CTATTACTTCGCTTAGTCATGTGCTGGATCCCAAATGGGATAAAGATAAGATGGTGAGAACAGATAGATTGACAGAAAACTGTCTCAGGAAGAATCTGCCTCTCTAACTAATCATGGATCATTCTCTCTAAATAGATCGAAATGGAAACAATCAGGATAAACATGGTGAGGAAGAAAGCGGGGTAAAGCGAGGTAAATCACTCATAAGAATAGAGAAGTTCGCCTTTCCTCTCATCTGGCGGCCGACCCTCCGATGAATCTCGAGTCCTAGCTAATTGATTAGGTGAATTTGATCGCAGCCTTAGAAGTTAGGTGTTGAACAGTGTTAACTCCCAACATATAACTATGATATTCATTTAATTAGATAATTTGGATTATTATGTAGTTGTTCATGATAGAATTCTAGTCTCATCTTAGTACATAAACTGTCGGCATTCGGGGTCTATGACAAAGCGAGTCATATTTTGGGCCCTAAATGACGTGGAAAGATAAGATGGGTGAGAACAGATGATGAGATTGAGAGAAACTGTCTCAGGGTCTGACTGAGTATCTGCTTAACTAAATAACGTTGGAATCAATCTCGTATAAATAGACTAAAATAGAAGCAAACAAGCAGACAAACACAGGAAGCGAGAAGCGGGGTAAATTATTAAAGCTCGTATTTTTCCCTTTATCCAAGGGCTGACTATCTTCTTCTGAGTCTTAAGCCCTTGTAAGCTGATCAGAATTACATCACAGCCTTGGAAGTCAGGTGTTAAACTACTTTGACTTCCAACAATAGGTGTATAACTATATCTGTCGGGAAATCACACGTGATTACCCTTGGGAGTGACGGCCGATAATCCATCCGAAGTTCTGAATACTGAACCTTTCCTATAAGTGGCGTCCAATATATAGAAGCCACATTAGATGTATGGCGTTTAATGTATCAAACTCCCCCCGTTCGTGCCCCTTTTCACTGCATATTTTGTTTGCACTATTTGTTCTATTCTCGGTCTATATATATCTACTTAGTTACATCATTAGTTAATCAGACAGTTCTATCTCTTTGACTGATCTCACTCTTCTTCTTCCACACATTCCTGGTTGTATGATTTAGCATCAGTCAACTTGCTTTGTCATCGGATACCAGCGAATGCTGACAATATCTAATGCTGCCTTAGGCTTAAAACACGCATTTCACGTCGATATGACTATAAACGAGCGTCATGTGTGGATCTGAAGATTATATAAGAGTGGTTTGATCGATTCTGATAGGCTATTATTCAATATAGTATTTATGAGAATAATATCTAGAATTTTGACGAAACTGGCTTCACAATAGGTCTAATAAGCACTTCACGTGTAGTCACACGTGCTGAATGCTATATAGTAAAAGAAGCTTATATAGCTAGGTAATCGAAAGTGGGTTACAGCGATCACTCGAGTGTATCAACTGATCTAATTTTCTCCCGCTGACTATTAACTTTAAAGGCCAAAACTTCAACTGAGCGCGGTTTACTACTATGCTAAGATACTAGCGCTTTAAAGTTAGGTTAGTGCAAATAGCTAGACGACGGATCAAATTAGTCTCGCCTAGCCTAAAAAAAGTTTCTATTCAGTATACTACTAACTGTCGACATAGGGTATAGTGGCTATTAGCGATAGACGGGTACGGAAGCTATATTGCACTTTAATTCGATGATACTAGTAAATCTATATACTATTCTAATCTGTATACCTCTATACTCTTCTCATTTACTTCAACCTCTTAATATTAGCTGTTTTGCTGTTTTAAATAGCTACATAGGTAACACGTTTAGGCTAAGATACGAAATAGTATTATATTAACAAGCTTGATTTTCTGGCCTCATATCCTCAGGCGCGTACAGGGATATAAACTAGCTACGATATTAAATAGCTTCGCCGCTATAGGCCTTATACTATGTCACAGCGAGTGCTTAATATACTTGATATTCAGCTTCGAATACCTACCCCTCTAACCAGCCGTGGTAGTGATAGTTGCCGCGATTTCATACCTCACAGGCAAATTCAGCTAGTTAATATCCGACGAAAGGCTTCTTTAATTTAAAGCACTGCTACAGCAACGCTCGTGTGCGCCCCTAAGTCCTGATCAGATTACATTACAGTAGGTAATTAAGGGTGCTAAACAAGTAATTGACTACGTTACTCTAGTAAGCAATGAGAATGAGCGGTTACGCGCTGAAAATGCCCCCTAAAAGCGAAAATGGGCATTACCAAATCAGCGAATAGCTAGCTAATAATAGTTGGATGACTGCTGGTGAGGCTCAGGAGCGTATTGAGAATGGGGCAAATAGTGTTAAAGCAGAGATCATACACAATACGGCGGCGGCTGCGGTAGCAAATTGGGCCAATAAGATAGCGCCGTCGAGGTGTTCAAATTGTTGGAATATGGGGCATAAGAGAATCAGGTGCCCTAATCAGTTTGTGAACAGTGTTAATTGAATATATTGGTTGGTGGTTATTTTATATATATTTTCGTGGTAGGGTAGTTGGGTAGGTGATCCGCTAGCTTACATGATCCACTCGCGTACGGGCTACGTTAGTATGACTTACCAGTTACAGCTAGTTAAGAATCTGATTTTATATTAAAAAAATATAATTGTTTCTAAATAGGCCTACTGGGAACTAATAATATTGTTAATATTAAAGAAATTAGGTAGTCCCTTACTATTAATCCTATATTTTATTAGATATTTAAATCCCTTACTATTATTAATCCTATCTATTATTAGTTAACTAGATAAATTTTACAACTTTATATAATACCCTTGTATTTGGTCTTCTTTATGAACTCTTTATAACAAGATTTTAGTATTAGATACTGCATTGGAAATCTATAATAATATCTTTAGATACCATAAAGTGACTCAATGCTGCGGATATTGGATATCACTTCATATCCATATCCAAGTTGAGGATATCCACAAGATATCCGCACTAGCATAAATCTCGCTTAATTATCTGAAAAGAGATAGTCAGTTGGTTTTTGGATAGCATAAAATATTCTCGCTTAGGTTGAAAGAAATACATGTTTGGTCTTAACCATAATAACAACCCAGCTCATCCCATCGCTTAATGGAATTTTAAGAAATGATCTTGTATCTATTAATTGATAATAAGTTTCTGTCAGCATTCGATGGTATCCGATGATAAAGCAAGTTGACTGATGCTAAATCATATAACCAGGAATGTGTGGAAGAAGAGTGAGATCAGTCAAAGAGATAGAACTGTCTGATTAACTATTGATGTAACTAAGTAGATAACGTAGTCCACGGCCGTGTGACGCACCCCAAAACACCATAGTAAATGCGATAAATGATATTTTCATGTCTCAATAACCACATCCTGTGGAATCTACTTTGGAAGCTAGCTAGCATAATTGAAGATTCTGAGTACTGTAATGGACCCTAAATTTAAAATTTCATGGGGGGATATGTATTTACATGCTCAAGGTCGAGATTACCTTGTAATTTTTTGTAATCATACCAAAATGATAATTAAAATAATTGATATGAACCTATGCTGCCTTTGATGATTAGAAAAGTCTTGAGACAAATTCTGAAGTCATGTAAGTCTATGGTTGCTGAGATATGATGTTGTAATTTATCGCATTTATTATGGTGTTTTGGGTCGCGTCACACGGCCGTGTGCGTTACTCGGGGGTATTTGTCGGGGCACCTCACTTTTTTCGGTAACGGCACCTCAAAACGTTATGTAATCTGTCAAGCTTAACGTAATCAACCACCGAGCGGCGAATTTCGACGCGCCCCATTGTATTATTTAGATTTAACACTCCACAATTATACTCTACTAGACCATCTAAAACACCAAATGAATAGCTATTTATTAGGACAACCTCGTATAGTATGTCCGACAGTCCCACAGCCACTGCAGCGTTGTGGAGCTCGCTGGCGAGGCCTAGGACTAGGCTCATCAACTTGCTCATTAAGCTGTGTATCAAGCTGCTGAACTCGATTGTGACCTTCGTGCACAAATAAAACAAGATCATTACCAAGATTAGCACGTCTCCTTGCCCTTCTTTTGATTTTTCGCTCGTTCTCGTAGAACCTTAATTTCTTGTCGAAGAAGTAGGTTTGTATTCATTGCCATCTGCGCCGCTTTTTCGAGGTGTTGAATATGCGAGATTGGACTGCTAGAAAGCGTTCTTTTCTTTCGAAGACTTCTCTGTAGGCGACGCGCCTTATGAATAACCTGACGAGGATTCTGAGGTGTCTGAAAAGTAGAGGAATTTGAACTTTCAATTTCTAATAGAGGTGGTGTTGGCGTGCGAAGTTGAGAGGTAATCCTTTCAAGAACTCGGTCTGCATCAAGTGGCTTAAGACCAGCTCCTGCGAATCCACTGCATATGTTCTCCCGATTGAAGACAGTTTCGCGCGCAGGTGGATATAGGTGTAGAAAGTCTTCCTTGTCAATATGGTAGTTGCCGGCAGCCATCATCTCCTCAGTCAATTTCCCGTACGCGCGTTTAAGCGGCCCAAAAACACCAACATCTAGTGGCTGAAGAAGATGAGAAGTATGGGGAGGCATGCAGAGGCAGATTATTGCATTCTCTTTGCAAAAATCATCAAATTCTGCAGTCAGATGGCTAGAATGGCCATCAAGAATAAGCAACCTCTTCGCACCAGTTGAGTAGCGTTTAGAATATGGTTCGAACATCTCCTTTAGCCAGCGAAAGCCAATTTCATCCGTTGTCCAGCCATTCTGGCTTCTAACAAGGGCATATCCCTTATTAAAAAGAGAAGGCCCTGATACCAAGTGGCTTGGTGAGATTCGGCTTTTAGGATAATCCATGGCGGTATAGAAATCCCTCCAGAGCTCACGCATTCGATGATTGTGACCCATTCACGATTCCCCTGAATAACCCTGCGAGGCCTTTCACTGCGCTCCACTGCGGTAATAACCTTAGAGGTTGAGCAGAGTCCCATTGCAAAGCCAGTTTTCGTCAAAATTCCAGATCAATCCTCATGGATACCATGTTCCTGAATAGCTTCATGCATAGTCTCAAACCACTGTTTTATAACCATCAGATTCTCCTGCTTTGCACGCTGGTATGTAATCCTCCGATTATATCGTGTACGTAGCGCTGGATGGCGTTTAACAAAGTTGTATGCCCAGTTAACACCAATGGTTGTGGTAGGATCCTGGGTACGCTCACGAAGTAAGATCTGCGCCATTCCACGCAGAAACTCAGGTCGAATCGATAAGCCTCGTTTATCTGCGTCTAGCAGGTGCTTGATCAAGACTTCTTCATGGGCTGTTAATTCATGGCAATTGGCACGCGTTTCCGACCGTGATTTCATTCCCTTGAGCCAATCTTGAAGGGTTGACCTTGGTACGCCAAATACTCCAGCAGCTTTTGATTGATATTGGATTTGCTTGCTTTTGTACACGTGTATGGCCATTTGCATTCGGTTTTCTTGAGATAGAGGCATTCTGAATAGTGGTGGTGGAATAAAGTCGCGTTGAATAGTGCTTGATGGTGGTGCTAGGGAAAACTGCCGACTCGGTTGTGGATTACGTTATAGCATCCTATCATTTTGGTTATGCTTTATCAAAAAAATTTGCTTTATCTTAATTTAAGGAACATAATCTTATAATTATCATAACAAATTATTAATCTAGAAACAATACAAGTAAAGATAATATTTAATTGAGATCATGACATTGCAATAGTAATAATTTATGATTTAAAACGATTAATACAGATATTTATATAGATAGGTAGACATTCTCGATGGATCCTATAAGTAGGCTGCGGCATATCCATATCCATAAATTATCCACATTAACATAAATCTCGTTCATCTTTCCTAGTTCAGGGTAGCACATCACCCTTATGCAGCTGATTCAGCCCCGTTTTAAAACCAAATACAGCTTTTTGTTCTAATTGCCGTTTAAACTGTAATTGACCTCCTGGGTAACCGAAAACTTTTGAATTGGATACGTACTTGTATTCTTAATCTTATTGATTAACTTTAGACAACTTAACTAACGTAGTTCCCAAGCGAGCCGCCCACCCCAAAACACATAGTAAATGCGATAAATTACCACGACATATCTCAACAAAAACGTCGATTTAGTATATCATATTTGGACATAATGGTCTAGATAGCGTCACCAGCCCCACTGGCGTAATTTTGACATATAAAACTAATAGGAAGAGAGACATACTTATATTTATGTATAGAATACAAAAATTACACTGTATTTTATTGTAACATTGTAACGCGATCATCTAAAATATTTAAAACGAGGATATGTTAATCCCTATGCTAAGTAAATCCTATCTTGCAATATGAAAGTAAAGTTAGTCCATGGTTGTTGAGATATGTCGTGGTAATTTGTCGCATTTACTACGTGTTTTGGGTGGGCGGCTCGCTTGGGAGCTACATTAGTTAGTGTGCAAGGATTATTAATAATATGGCCAGATAGAATGTGAGTTGTTCAGAGTGGCTGTCACGGAGTGTGCAAATATGAAAACATATATGTTAATGTTTAAAAGCGACTCACCAAAATCCTGAGAAATAATTGCGGAAGTTGCCACACACGATATCGTTATAAAAATGGCTCAAATTAAAGATATATATTACGCTCCTATTAGCTAATATTATGTATAATATTTATAGTAGCCTCTTATATAAAACACTAAAGAAACCTATGCTTAAAGTTCTCAAATAGTGGACAGCTATTTTGGAAAATCTTCTATAGATAATTGTGGATGATTTATAGATAACTATATATAACGTAGTTCCCAAGCGAGCCGGCCACCCCAAAACACATAGTAAATGCGATAAAATACCACAACATATCTCAACAAAAACATCGATTTAGAATACCATATTTGGACATGATGGTCTAGATAGCGTCACCAGCCCACTGGCGTGGTTTTGACATATAAAATCTAATTAGAAGAGAGACATACATATATTTATGTATAGAATACAAAAATTACAGTGTATTTTATTGTAACGTTGCAAGGCGATCATTTTAAAATATTTAAAAATAGGATATATTAATCCCTATGCTAAGTAAAGCCTACCTGCCAATATTCAAGTAAAGTTAGTCGATGGTTGTTGAGATATGGAGTGCTAATTTATCGCATTTAAGATGTGTTTTTGGGGTGGCCGGCTCGCTTGGGTGGCCGGCTCGCTTGGGAACTACGTTATATTATATTATCTATAAATTATCTATAATCTCCCATATAATTATACTATCTCAGCGAATCAGAATTAAGCAATTCACGAGTCACGTTGCTAACGAACGCGTCGATAGTATAAGATCGCTAGTACCCCTGAGATTTTCTGCTGCTATACTCTGTAGGTGATCTGTCTCTCTTCTCTTTCCTATACTGAGACTAATACAATATGTCGCATTCTTATATTTCTCAGTCACAAGAATCTCCCTATACTGTATCTGAGTCAGTCCCTAGTACTGATCCTCTAGTATCTGATGATATTTATTAACTTCCTTAGCAGCCAATAACTGTGACATCAGTAGCCCCATATATTCCTTGTGAGCGCATAATTCCTCTGCCCCCATTTCTCTGTCTCATATTGGCCTACGTCTCTAAATCTATCTGGGTTCTCCACCTAAGCGCGCCTAATATAAATGAATCTGCATAGAGCTTTCTTAACTAGTGGCAAATAACTGAATATAGGACAAACATGAGCTCTGGGTCGTAGGAAAGTCTAGAAGTATTAAATCAGAATTCAATATTCAAATAGGATAGCTATAAAAGATCAGAAATCTAGAACAGTTTTAAACAGATTACGCATAAGAGGACTAGGGAACCAAAGGTATTATATAAGTAATACTCATTAATATTAGTTTATCCGCAACGTTAGCGTGCTAGAACCTCTCAACGCGCAGGAACCTCTCTAATTATAGCCTATCTCAAGGATGCCTATTAACGGAAGTCTATATCAAAACGACGAATTAATAAGTTACTCTAAGATATAGTATACTCCCTGAATTCTACCTTTTTAATCATAAGCTAATTCTATGCTCTCTCTTTACTAGCCACATAAATTTTGGCTCAGTATTTTCGTAAGAACTACTAACCGGCCCCACGTAATTTTTACCAAAATTACTGGACCCTCGCTTGCGAAGGTCCGACACCCAAACGAAAAACGACCCCCACAATATAAATCTCTTCAAAAAGCTACACTTCCACTTCAGCATCCTCCCACGCTACCAACATGCCTCGTACAAATAGAGAAATTGAGGAACTGATTGAAAAGGCGCTGGAAAAACTACATACCCAATCTCGGCTAAATATCTCAAAAGTTGCGCGTGAATTTGATGTGCCTTATCAACGGCTCCGTAGCCCCTATCGGGGCAAAAAATCACTATTTGAACGTGAACCTAGGCGAAAACTTGTTTCTGGCGACCATACAAATTGTGAATATGTGACTGTGGTTGAAGCAATCTCAACAGATGGGTTTTGTGTTCCACCATTGATTATTGTTACTGCTGCACAGCTCCAATTTCGCTGGTTTGATGATCTGAAGAATGAGCATATTGCTATCACTGAGACTGGCTATATAAATGATCAACTTGCTTATCAGTGGATTCAGCATTTTGAAAAGGCAACAAGAGAACGCATGAAAGGTTCCTGGAGGATGCTCATATGTGATGGCTTTGGCTCACATTTGACATATGAGATGGTCAAATATTGTGAAGATAAAAAGATTTTACTTTTCTTCCTACCTCCACATACAAGCCATCTTCTACAACCTCTTGATCTTGGTGTTTTTAATGTGTATAAACACTATCACAGTGAGCTCGGCCATTGAATCAGCAACCGCAACTGGTTGTACAAGGTTTTCAAAGATTGATTTTTTGGCTGCAATTTCATCAATTCGCACCAAAACTTTTACATTACGCACAATTCATCTTGGATTCAAATTATCTGGTATCTGGCCAATAAATCCTAATATTGTGTGATAATCTGGTGGATTATAACATGCTGAAGTGCCAGAATCCCCCTCAACCAATTCATCCAATTCAACAAATTTCGGCACACCCAAAACAATTCAACGATTTCAGAGACTCGAGAGCAGGATTTTGACGTTAAACAAGGATAAAAATATCTCATGATGAAAATATTGTCAAAAAGCTCTCAAAGGGGGCACAATCATGTGCATATCAGCTAGAGGAGGCACACCGAGAGATTGAGACATCAAAAGCTGCAATTGCTGCACGCCATGCACGTTATGGTGTATCAAGAACAGGTTTTATCAAGAGGCATTATTTCTTCAGCGAATGTGGCGAAAATGAAGCAGGATAAACAAAAGCTGACTGATTTGGAGGCAATTGATAAACTGCGGCCCCAGTGGAAGAAGGTTATGATTGAACTAAAACGGCACTATAGGCAGTCAGGACGCCATTTGGAGCGCTGCAAAGTTTTTTATTGTTTGTCCTATGAATACACATATTGAGACCTCAATTACTAGAAATTCTAATGTAAATGTGGGTAATCTGGGTGCCAAAGTCGGATGCTGTGATAATTTATATTGTGGGGGTCGTTTTTTGTTTGGGTGTCGGACCCTCGCAAGCGAGGGTCCAATAATTTTGGTAAAAATTATGTGGGGCCTATTAGTAAGCTATTTACTAGAGTTTATTTCGGCTACTCAGCTACCTTTCAGAATCATAGAGTATCCTCAATTTAAAAGCCTAGTTAATCTTATTTAGTAGACACTTAGTAAGCCACTACTAGGATACTAGATATTAATAGCACTTAATTGCTAGACTTCTCTATTCTGTTAGCTATTGATAGCTATCAATAGCTACTTCTTAGATTCGGATTAGAATTATTATAAGGTACTCCTTAGGCTTAAGTATTGTCGGGAAATCACACGTGATTACCCTTGGGAGTGACGGCCGATAGTTCATCCGAAGTTCTGAATACTGAGTCTTCCCTATGAGTGGCGTCCAATATATTGAAGCCTTTAGATGCATGGCGTTTAATGTATCGAACTACCCCTGTTCGTGCCCCTTTTCACTTGCATATTTTGTTTGCACTATTTGTTCTATTCTCGGTCTATATATATCTACTTAGTTACATCATCATCTAGTTTAAAAGGGGTAATATAGTGTTGGAAGTCAAAGTTCAACACCTGACTTCTAAGGCTGTGATGTAATCCTGATCAGCTCACTGGGGAATAAGAGAGTTAGCTCGTGTGTAAAGGGGAAAGTACGAAATTTACCCCGCTTTCGCTTATATTGTTTGTCTGCTTGTTTGCTTCTATTTTGGTCTATTTATATGAGATTGATTCCAACGTTAGCTAGTTAGGCAGTTGAAGGTTCTCATCTCTGAATATTAGCTGTTCTCACCCATCTTATCTTTCCAAGTCAACCGAGGTCCAGCACATGACTAAGACGAGTCATAGACCCCGATTGCTGACAATATCTATAGTGCTAGCAGTAAATTTAGAATATTTTATATTATAATTAGTATTTTAAAATAAAATATGATATCTATATTTCCTTTTTAAAGATATATACATGAAATAGAAGATGTTCTAGTTAGCTATTAAATCAAAATTATATTCTTTATTCATGTTATTGGTAGTATTAGTATTGTCTATCTATTTAATAAAAAAGTCCAATTCTTTATATTTGATAATAACTATTCTACAATAGGATAACAAATATTTTTTACAGTTTATAATTCATAAAATAAGAATATATTAAATTTGTATTTGATATTTAATCTTGACTAATCCAATATAAAATTAAATAATTCATAAACTCTTCAATTTTTATCATTATCAATTATTAAGAGTTAAAAAGAAGAATAAATCAACTAAAGATTAAAAATAAATTAATAACAGAAGGAAAGTTGTTATAATTTCTGCTTTAATATATTAGATTTAAATAGACTCTTAGTATCTATGTTTATTATTGTATATAGAATTTTGTCCTCTTTGAAAAAATTCCTAATTTAGTATTTATATCCCTATTTTATTCGATAATTAGACTATTGTATTTCTATATTAAAAATTTTATGGTTTAATATTATCGAAATATTAGATATCCTGACTTTATATTATACTGATTATAATTTAAGAGGTTATTAATGATTTATAACCCCTAAATTGTAGATCATAATCTGTTATAAGTAAATTAATTTATATAAAATAACGAGTCTATATAGTGATTGGTTTTAGTACTATATATTTTTATTCAATATGAGAAATTTTTTAACAATATTTTAGATATAAATTAATTATAGAATATTATCATTAAAGCAGGCTAATATAGAATAAATCCCTCTGTTTAGTTATTATACAGTTGGAAGTTAGCACGGTTCAACACCTAACTTCTAAGGCTGCGATCAAATTCATCTGATCGATTGGCTAGTGCTCAAGGTTTATCAGAGGGTCGTCCCACGAATGAGAAGAAGGCAAACGTCTTCTTTTTTTGAAGTGATTTATTGTAGTTACCCCGCTTTCTTTTCTATCATGTTTATCCTGTTTGTTTCCATTTCGGTTTATTTATACGAGAATGATCCCATTATTAGTTAGAGAGGCAGATACTCAGTCAGACCCTGAGAGAGTTTCTCTCAATCTCATCAACTGTTTTCACCCATCTTATCTTTTCACGTCATTTAGGGTCCCAGCACATGACCCGCTTTGTCATAGACCTAGAATGCTGACATATATAGTAGTAAATTAAGTTCCCGTATTAGAAATAGGTATTATAATAGTTTAGATAAAATGGAATCAATTGTATTATCTAGAAAATTGATTACAACAAAAAGCTCTAAACAGAAATTTATATTTAGATTGGTTTTCATGGAAATTAACTTTTCTCTATGATTTAGTATCTTTTTATAATATCAATTATGAATTTCTTAAGAATGTAATGTATATTGTATATGTAATATCATCTTTATTATTTTTCTTCTTTCTTTGCTTATTTACTCTCTATATCTTGGTATAGTATAAAATATAAGAAAACACAAGAAAATATTTGAGGGTATGTAATTATAAAAATATGAAACTTATAATCTAGCATAGCTCAGCTACAATCATTTTTACAAATTATCGATATAAATGAGATGGATTAAAATGTTAATAGTAACGTAATTCACTACCAGTGACGCACCCCACCAAAATCGTGTTCCGACGCGAACCCACCACCATCTTTAACCACCCATCATGCTACCAAAACACGCTCAATCAAGCCAGGATTCGGCCAATCGTGAGGGCAGAATCTTATTAGCTATTCAGGCAAAACGGTCAACTTCCTAGTCTTCGCGCTGCAGCCAAGACATACAGCGTATCTGAAGCACAATCCGCCGCCGATGTTCGGGCCAGTCTTCTCGCGCGATTACACGCGCTAATAGTCGTAAATTGACTGATTTTGAACAAGAATCGCTTGTGCAGTGGGATACTATCTATGGATTCTCGTGGTACGGCCCCTAGGCCCTCTACTGAGAGAGAAATGGCTAATATTGCCGCCCGTGGAAACCCCCCACCAACTGTTGGGATTAATTGGGTAACTAAGCTTACCAAACGCCGAGAAGAGCTTCAAACATGTTTTTCAAGACGATATCATTACCAACGTGCTGAGAATGAGGATCCAAAGGTCTTACGTGAATGGTTTAAAACTGTTCAATCTGTTATCAATGAGAATGGTATCCAATCAGATGATATCTATACGAGACTGGTTTGCGATGCGCCTTATATCAGCACAAAAGGTGGTTACTCAGCCGAGTACCATGGTCGTCGGGCAATTCTACAGCCTGGAAATCGTGAATGGGTGACTGTTATTGAGTCAATTAGTGCGGCTGGTTTTGCTCTTCGACTCTGCATAATCTTCAAAGCCAAAAACCACAATATGAGTTGGCTTGATGGCTTCCAAAAGACAGGCGAATTGAAGTTTCACCTGATGGCTAGACTTCAACAGATAAAATTAGCATCCGATGGCTTCAAAATCATTCCTCCCATTCACCTCAACTCGGATGAAAGGAACATATCGCCTTCTGCTTCTTGATGGCCATGGTAGCCATCTCCGACCGAATTTGTGCTGAAAACTCGATCATCCCACTCTGCATGCCAGCACATTCATCCCATCTCCTTCAACCTCTAGATATTGGATGTTTTGCTGTTCTTAAGCGTGCCTATGGTCGTCTGATTACCAATCAGGCACGGTTAGGATTCAATCATATTGATAAGCTGGATTTCCTAGCAAGCTATCCTCGGGCACGAGAAGAGACCTTTAAACTAGAGACTATTCAGTCTAGTTCCACTAGATCCTGAACGGGTGCTTTCGAAGATCAATATTTCTCTCCGAACACCTACACCACCACCTAGCCGACCTTCTAGCCGATCAAGCCAATTCAGCCCGAAAACACCAAAGACGGTCGACCAACTACAAAAAGAGGTTTCTTCACTCAAAAACAACCTAGGAATTGATCAAGAAGCCCTCCTACTCCATCAAAGATAGTCCTAGATCGGATTATCAAAGGCTACGCTGTCTTAATACATCATACCAACGTGCTACAAGCTCAGGAAATTGCTGATTTACGGGCTGGGGATGAGAAGAAACGGCAGAAACGAGCACGAACGAATCGCCTAGTTTGATGCGAACAGGGTGTTACAGTTGGAGAGGGCCTACCACCACCAGCGCAGCCAGTGCAGCCAGTTGAACGTGTTGAGCAGCCTCCGCCCGCACCGGTTGATTCGCCTACTTTGCCACCTCTACCAGCCAAACGTGCACCCCGGGGATGTAGCGGCTGCATAAGCACTGGATATTCAGTTACCCGGTGCCCTAATCGATAGATTTTTGAGTTCATAGTGTTTTAAGTGGTTTTATCTATGTTTGAATATTCAGTAGTGGGTCGGGTGCGTCACTCGGTAGTTAGTGAATTACATTATAGTTGAAATTATTAAGATTAGGTTGACAATAATGTATTTCTAATTAAAAAGGGTCTAGATTCTTATTTAGAATCGTATTTTAATATAAGATGATATGAAATATTTTATATATAGATGTTGTTGGCATCCCGGGTCTATGACTAGATTAGTCACGTGCTGGCCGAGGATGTGGTGGGTTGAGACGAATCACAGATCAATCGCTCGAGGACGGGCTTTGCCTCGAGGGGTCGAGTCTGCGGGTAAGATTCACCTAGAATTCGCCTGACCATTTAGCTATGGTCAGGAGCAGTGTTAAATACACAAAAAAAGATATAAACACGACAAACAGAAGTAACTTAAACAGTAAACAAACAAGCGGTGTAAAGCGGGGTAATTCTGATATATCTCACTTATTTGCGGAGTGTCCCTCGGATGAACACGCACTCATCTGACAACATTTTCAGCCGAAATGAGAGATCTGGCCAATTGACCAGGTGATATTGATAGCAGCCTTGGAAGCCAGGTGTTGAACCGGCTTAACTTCCAACCCCTAAGTATCTCTTCTCCCTAAGCTATCTTTCGTCTCTTACCTGGATACTTGTCAACTAGCCTCTATTTTACGAACTTATATAGATATCACAGTAATATTATATTTAAATCTCTCAACAATCCTTTTTGCTATTCAATAGTGAAATTAGCACTAGGCAAAGTTCTAATTAAAAAATCTCTCTCCGTGGGGATGTAGAGTGTGATTCTAGACATATAATAAACCCCTAATATTTGATAGAAGATCAATAGGCTATCCAAGTGATCAATTCTCCAATGATATATATTAAGAATACGTAGTGTAATATTACCCAATGATTTTTTAACAGTGGGTCTCTCCTTGCTACCCCGCCCTTAGGTAAGCACTTACCATTGATAATTGATCCTGATTGCTAAATTGAACAATCTGCTTGGGAACCCCTCATATTACCTTCTTCCTCCCAGGACATGATCAACATATCGTGACCCATTCATTCGTCTTTCGTCTACCTATTTATAATATCATCGGGGTTGACTCATGATGTCGGATTCAAACAGAAATGACATTGATATCTCTCAGGTAGGGTTTTATGAGGTCTCGCGTTGCATGTTTCAGCCAAAGCTAGTATGGCTACCACTTATTAACGAGAATGCTAACATAATCAGGCATTGGCCGAACTTGCTAAGTATATTGTCAAAACTATAGAGACAGAGCTCACTGTTCAAGATGGCTGACATCCTGTAGAGGAGAGATGACCGCATCTGCCCTAGAGGACCACCTAGGCGCTATCGAGGAGAAGGTCGAGGAACTCCTGGCAGTGTTTGAGAGCCAAGAATCGTCGCGAGAGGACATAAGAGCCCATGATCCTCAGGATCCAGGCAAAGAAAAGAGGAATGATACTAATCCCGAGGGAGATGATCATTAAACAATGCGGCCATGTGGAATTGTCCATCGGGGCCTTTTTCGACCACACCTTTTTCAGTGATGATACCATCAATGAGTGCCGAAGGTGTCATGTCGAAGGCAGGGTTCCAGACACCAATTCCCGGTGCTGCAATGCAAACGGTTTCTAGGATTACACCATTGTCACTGACAGCGTCTTCACGCGGCCCCTTGATGCTGGTCACTTCTGATGATGGGCGCTGTTCAATCACAATATCGGCTCCTGACTTCGTGGCTAGGTCAATGGTCGTGAGAGGTGCTGCCACAAGAAACTTGACACCATGATGCTTGGCCAGGACGGCTAGGCCGTATGTGCCAATCTTGTTGGCCGTATCACCATTTGCAGCAACTCGGTCTGCCCCGACAACAATAGCGTTTACACCTGCACCAGTATCCGCGAGCAAGGCTGCAGCCATTGAGTCTGTTACCAGAGTAGCAGGAATATTGTCATGAACCAATTCAAATGCCGTCAGCCGGGATCCTTGGTTGTAAGGCCTTGTTTCCGTGCAGTACGCATGTCGTAGAAGGCTCTGAGATGCTAGGGATCGGATCACGCCAAGCGCAGTACCATAGCCCGAGGTAGCAAGGGAGCTATTCGCGATTAGTATAGACCGTAGGGGCAGAACTTGAATGCACCTACCCGGTGTTACAATGCGTCAGAACTGCGACCTGGGAGCTGCCTGCCTTTGCAGCGTTCCTCATAATCCATTCTGCGCCGTTGTGGCCGATTCGATGGTTATCTTCGAGGTCCTTGCCGAGCATGTCTTGTGCAGCACGTATGAATGCCTCCGCAACGTCCTGTCCAGTCACGCCAGGTTGTGCTGCCTGCGTTGTCGTCAGACTTTCCAGCTTGCGAGCTGCGTCGCTCAAATTCACTGCCGTTGGCCGACTGGTTACCAGATAGGCCAGCTTTTTAGTGATAAATTGGCGGGTCTCGTCCGGGTTGTTGGGAATCTTGCCAGCGACTCCAAGTGTGTGAAGCTCAGAACAGAGCGCTAGCATAGCCACTATGGCAATTGCGGGTGCTCCTCGGACCTTCATGGCCTTGATAGCATCCCAGCTATCCTCCGTGTTCCGGACGGGAATGTATTTTTCAACGAAGGGAAGTTGCAACTGGTCGAGAATTTCCAGGTGACCCTGGTCATATTTGATGGCTTGTAGCATTTTCACAAAGGTTCGACGTGGAATCAGGATCTGGAGGGAGGTGGTCCCGTGAATCGACAAGGCTGCTTTCTGGTCGTATTGGCGAGGCCCACTACGATGAGTTGGAGTAACTAAGAATAACGCTGGCTTACCTAAGAAACCCCTCTGCCCCTCATCGCTACTAGGTTCTCATAGAGGCAGGACCGGGAAACCCTGCCAGGCTTGATATCGACTATAAAATTCTGAAACCTGGATTCCCAACTGTGATATTGAGCGGAAAATGAAAATTATGTGGAGGGAAATTGAAGAAGAAACTGGGTGGTAAGAATAATAGAACAACAGTCATCTGAAGAAGCCAGACTTTAATTTCCGATTCCATAATTAAATGCCATGACACATTCCTCAAAGGGCGCAACAAAATGAGAGTAGGGCACCTTAGGCTTCGCATCTTAAGAATTCCTCTTGGTATTGGGCATTGTATCAATGATGATCAGGTGAATGTGTGAATGACTTCGACGGCCGAATCCAATTCAAACACAGTTGGCCCAAGGGTATATGCTGATCCACAAAAGGAAAGCAAGTTGACGTAATGCTGAGATTTTGCTTTTCGGCTCAATAGAAGAGCATGCATAAGGTCTGTGACGCGCAGAAAAAGAAAAGAGAAGGATGGCAGATGCAGCTCAACTGGCAGATATGTAAAGCACTAGACTTTAACTTAGCAACGAAAAGCGGAATAGAGAGCAGTAAGGCCGAACAAACCATTATTTCCTCTCACAAAAGCGTCGCCATAGTTACGCCGAAGCTTTCCATTCACGAATTCCTCTGTCTTCTCGAGCGCAATATTCATGTAACCATCAACCGACTGAAGCTCACCTACATGAGGGTTAGAACCGTAACAGTAAATTTCAAACGACGAACCAAACCGAATCAAACCGACCCTTGTAAACGACACCGGAGTTCAGTTTCACGATGACCGGGGCGCCGATGATCTCGCTCAGAAAGGCCGATGGGTCCTTTCCTTCGGAAGACGATCCGTTTTCCATGGTGTTTTTTTGTTTGCTTTGATGGAATGTATGTGATGACAGGTGTCAGGGTACCGATAGCCTAAAAATCATACCGAGTGAGCATTCAGATCTGGAGAGCGTGTGAGAGGGACTATACCTGGAAGTGGACACAATGATGGTGAGATCGGGGAGCAAGCTTTCGCGCGGTGACCCTCAGATAAGCATATGAGGAAAGCGGTGAGATGTTTTCGGGTGGGGTCGTTTTGGTCCCTAGCCTGCCAGCTATAGCCCTCTCCCCTCCATTCATCTGAACGTGGGGCCGTAGCCTGTGATCTCGTGTCTGACACCGATTCTGATCGTGATGCGATCCTTCTTCAAAAAACCGGAATGGGCCTCCAAAAGTGGAGACACTCAGCCCGAATTCTACAGACGGTCTGAACAAATTTACTCTGACATTGTCGCAACCAACCGCGCCGCCCACAGGAAGACTAAGTCTCCACCTGACACGGTCGAAGAAGCTATCACTGAGGACGACAGGTGTTCTAAGCGACCCCGGTTACCTGAAAACTACGGAGAAGTTCCGGAACTTACAGAACCGTCCCAGTTCGCCAGCGAATCCGACGGAGAAAAGCCTCCGAATTTATCCATCACACAAGACCGGGGCAATGAAGCCCAACAACCACTCTATGAGGAAAAACAACTCTATGAGGAAAAGCATTCATCGACAACGGCTGCCGCTGAATTGCCAGATTCCGACTTAACGCAGGCCCACAAATATGCAGACAGACCATCGTCTCCCGTCTCTTCGGCCTCCCATCAGTCAAGGCAGAATGCAGACCCGGCTGCTCATCAAACAAAGAACAAGGGCGAAACCAAAGAAAACCCCCCGGAAGACCCTAACACAGAAACATTCTGCCAGTCTCCGAATCAATCACTACCTGAGGTGGACGACACTATCGTGCAGATTCTGATCACTTCTGAGATTCCGAATTCCCGATCTCTGATTGTGCATCGCAAGATGTCCCAGGGGCTGAGAGATGTGCGTGTGGAATGGTGCAAGCGTCAAGGAATTCCTACAGAGATGCAATCATCTATTTATCTCACTTGGCGAGGGCGACGGTTGTTTGATGTGACGACTTGCCGGAGCCTTGGGGTAAAAGCTGAAAACAATCGTTCCATATTGGGGTTTGAGGATGACACTGCTGCGGATCCAGAAGAGCTGCGCATTCATATGGTGGCAACTACTGAAAATACAGCTCTACTACACTCTGAGCCGTTGCCGTTTAAGAGTGAAAGCACTCAATTGCCCCCACAAAACCCCGAGGATGAGCCTAATCAGCAAATCAAGCTGATATTGAGAAGCCCGGGCTTGGATGATTTCAAGATCAAGGCTAGACCAAAGACAATGGTGTCTAAGCTGATCTCGGTCTTCCGAAGCAAACAGAATGTTTCTGCTGATCAGAACATCTTCGTTATCTTTGACGGGGATCGACTCGATCCAGATACCTGCTTACGCGAGCACGATATTGCAAACCTGGATATGTTGGAGGTTCAGGTCAAGAAACAAGTATAAAGATGGACCACTGGCCCACAGCATTCCATATACAGGATATGCTCGCTTATGGGGTATTTACAGCAGGGTCACAGAAGCTATTGTGCCTTAAGGAAAATTCAGTAAATCCTAACTATAGAAATATATTTACCTGTGTTCGCACATGGAAGCTAATGAACGATGAGCATATTACATCTAGTTCGGGCTATCTCTTTAGTGTCACCTCTGGGTATATACAGCTATATTTACTGAACTGGTATACCTGGCCACTTGTCCAATCTCCAACCATCCATGTCCTCGTATGGCGCAGTGAGTAGTCAAGACGAATAGGTGCATACATATGCATATTGCCAGCATCTATGTGATAAGCATATACGTACTAGTCATAGTGCACAACAGCATCAACCCGTCGATAAAGACTATAAAGTGGCACTCAATAAATATAAATACCAAGGTGTGGTGACATTTTTGCGAGAATTTGTGCTATACCTGGATATTTGCGTCGGCTTCCAAGAGGATCACATTGAGATTGATGCGGCATAAGGCGCCATCGGCGGAGGGAGATTGTGTGGGGTACTAGTCCTTATCGATAATACAGTCACATGATATCTGATGGTTGGACGCCTCTACATTAGAATTGTCCCGTGGGGCGCAACCTCATTTTTTTTTCTAACTCATGAGCAGTCACGACCGAAACGACATCACTTGCCGAACAAGAAAAATGAAAATAATAACTGTCAATTTTGTGACCTGTGCAGTGAAGGAGTGCAAGACCTCACCCTCTTCATTTCCCTTACACTTTCATGATGCGGAACTCGAACTCCAGGAAGTAGACTTCCAACCGGAATTCATTCGCAATGTCATCCCTCGCATCGACTGGGAAGGCCTTCGAGCTACTGCGAATGAGGTACGATCGATGCATTGGCAATCGGCAAATGGTGCAGTGTGCTGACTTGCGTTACAGTTAGGATTCCCGAGTCTCCCGGAATCGAAGCCGGAGGGGGAAGCACTCAACAACGAACAAACACTGAAGGACTTGCATCGACTATTATTGGAGACCCAGGTCATGGATGGAAAGCTAGTCTGCGGAAATTGTGGCCATGAGTATGTGATCAAAGAAGGCATTGCCAATTTCTTGCTTCCAAGCCACTTGGGTAAGTCCAATTGCTTTTTCTCGGCCTCATTCTGCGCTACCGTCTTGCGCTTCCAGCCTCATGCTGACGATGCCTTGCAGTCTAAACATATTCCGGAACGAGGGACTTTCATTCCTCTTCGCTGTCTATCGATACCCTCTCAGATCACCTGAGAAAAATCCAACGCCACCAGGTGGGACGCTCCCAATCTGCAAACTGCTCGGAAGTCCAGCATATATCTATCTACCCTCATTTCACCCTGGATCAACCCGTATTGAAACGGCAAGGACGTGGAAAATGACAGATGTCACTGAAAAAAGGTGTGAAATTTTATATTGTACATGATTGTAGCGCTTAAAATAACGAGTTTCATCAGTAGACGCCCGAATGCCCCGACCTCCCCAGAACGCCAATGTGTGAACGCCGCGAAGATAAAGTGCGAGGGACCTAATTGAGAAACCCTTTGCAGCCAGTAGAACCACAGAGACACGGGATGCGATCATCGCTATCCCATTCCCTCTCGAACTTGTAATCGTACGTAAGCTCCTCATCTATAAAAGTCCGTTTTTTAGCAAGGTTTCAAGTCTCGAATATTCACTTTCCACGTACCTCTTTCAATGTCTCTGAGCGCGTAAATCACGATACGTTTACTTCCGTCAACTTTGATGATTTTGGCAGTGCAGTTTGGCGTGCAGCTGTGATTAATGAATCTTGCAATCCCGCCTCTCTTCGTGGCGTCAATGACCGTGTTCTCATCAATCCGGAAGAGATAGCTGCTACCAATTCCGCTCTTGAGATATCGTCGCTCTCTCATATCTGCCACCTGTTGTCGAACCTTTTCTCCAACGTACTCAATAATCATGTCGTTGGCTGATATGTTCTCCTCGGCATACAATCCCCAGTTATGAATGGCGGACCGTGCGAAACGAACAGGTTTCTTCCGCTTCTTCAGCTGATTGAATCGAAGAACATCTCCTTCACCACTTGAGGTGGGCAGGGCTTGCTTTTGAGCATTGATATCAGCAATCAGCCGGCGATTGTTGACTCGAGTTGACCGTGACGTCGATTTCGAAATGGTCTTCGCAGCTGCAATTCTCGCAGCCTCGGCCGCCGCAGCTTGAGGGTCAGCCTTTGCTTTTGCTTCTCGTTCCTCGCGAGCCTTTTGGACCTTGATGCGATGCGGGAGGTATTTCGATTTTTCAGAGTTGAGGATTCTCTTGCGTCCCTCAGTTCGGGCTGCGCCTGTCGTGTTCGGCACATAATAGCCCGCGATTCCAATTGTCTCGTGTGTCGGACCACTGGGCCCAAGACGATTAAGAGCCTTGATCTCCTTCTGCCGCCATGCCCATGCCCTAAGACTTTCAATTTGGGATGCGGGCTGATCTGATAAAACATGACGAAGAAAGCGTATGTCTTCATCATCTTTCACCAAGTGCTGCCAACCATGCAGATCCAAGACAATGTTTTCATCATCCTCGACTGTCGCACGTGGTACATCCTGGGACATGCCCCAGTGAACTTCCGTTCTTGGCTCGTCAACAAGCACTGCAGTCTTCCAATTTCCATCCACGGATATGTTGTCGCGCACTGTATCCTTGTCAACTCCCAGATCAGAATATTCCTCATGTGATAGCTGGTCGCCAGAGTCAATTGACGCGTCCTCTGCCTGAACGAGAGCGATATCGGCAGACACAACCGCCTCAATATGCTTGTCGGCGACGTCACTGACAGTCTTGATTTCGAAAAGCTCATCATCTTGTCTCTGCCGTTTCCTTGTTTCATGCTCGCCAGTAAGTCGTTTCCTCTTTCGCGAGCGAGGAGACAGAGTCTCTACATCATGCACCGGACCATTGTCTTCATCCAGACCACCCGTTGCATCTGGAGCAGTTTCTTCCATATGTTCAAGGGTGTCTGATCGGTATTCGTCATCTGGGTCGGTTTCCGAATCCTCGTCGAAAGATGTCCGGCTTGGGGGGTGGCTACTCCTCTCCTCTGTGTACCGAGTAAGAGGTGTCCGTTGCTCATCCTCCGAATCATCTTCATCATGCAATTGTTGAAGGCGATGGTAGAGAGGCCGGATTTCCTTTCTTCGCAGAGGTTGGCGTCGCCGCTCATCCACGAAGGCGGTTCCTGCACGATCCAAACCTTGCGCTTTGCGGATACGTGGAAGGTTGAGGACTGATCCATGCTTTTCTCGTCCATTGAAAATCTCAGAGCGCGAATTCTGAGCACCGAGCGTGGTGTCAGTCTCAATTCGGAATACCGGAGGTTTGGTGCCTTCCGGCCCGGAAATTCCCAGCTTCTCTCTTCTTGACGCGTGTTTTTCAGGGTCAAGGTAGTCGTACAGAGTTGGTGCGGCGATTCGTGATTTCACATCCTCGAGCAACTTATCCCTCAGATCACGAATGATAATGCAGAGTACTTCTCGACACGGATCCAAGTCGATTGCGCGCTGCTTTTTCTCCTCCTCGATATCCAACTCAGCCTCTCTTCGGAGCCGATCTTGCTTCGCCTTTTCTCGTTGCTCAGCCCGAAGACGCTCAGGACTGGGACTGCGAACGTAATTGGGATTGCCGTGAATCTGACTTTCCATGTTCATGATATATGTGAAAAGTGGCTGCATATGGCATAAGCGGAAACAGCGTGCCGCTTCCTCCTCGCCTCTTCGTGAATTTTCGAATATGATGTAGTAGCCAGTCTTGTCGCAACGGATAGTCTTATAGTCAAAAAACTTGAGACGTTTCCTGAGATGCGGAATGGTGGTGCTGAGGACAGGCACGTAGCAGTGAGCGATGAAAATATAGGGATCGCGTTTAATCTGAGCCAATATGGGGGCATCTTCAACCAATGATTGGACCGAGGGAGATCGCACACTGGCTCTTGGCCCATCGGGAATAACGAGACCAGGGCGCAAAGAAGACTTTCCTGAGGGACCCTTGGGCGCACTCGGTGGGGGCTCATTTCGTTTTGCTTGAGGCTCGACCTTTGTCTCGACGGTCGCCGAACTGTTTTTGGAGGCCAACCTTTGAGAATCTATCGCCCTGGTGGCCATTCGTTCCGAGACAACACCGTCACGATCCAGCTCAACCCGAATTCTGCGAGTTCCGATCCGTTGCTCCTTCTTGCATTCGAAGAAAGCCCGCCTCGCAGCACCCGAAGCCGAGACAGCACCACCGCCGCGAAATGAAACCGCATCTTTGTACTTGATTGAACAGATACCGAGGAACCGGCCTGTAATCGGGTCGGTGCGGTTGTTCATCTCTGCGATATCACCAAAACTCGAGAAAAGCGCACTAATCGGAGCGACTGGTGTGAGGGGGTCGAAACCCGTTACCACAACTTGTATTGGGGGCCCAGGTCCAATGCTCGTTGTTGCGTCGTATGACCATGGCTTGAGGTAGTAAGGCGAGGGCCGGTATTTGGCCTTTTGCTTGCCGACGCCGCAGGTATAATTGGAAATGGCGAGGCGCGGGTCGGAGGGTTTCGTTTGACCGTTTGAGAGAATATCTAAGTATTCCGGTTTTCGTTTTCTTTCTTTGAGGGCGCGCTTGTCCAAGTCGGGGTCATAGATCGCCTTGCAGCCTTTAACCACATTCCCTGGGCGACTCTGGGATTGCGGAGTGGGGGGCGTGTGAATGGGGGTCATGGCAGATTTGACAGGCTCTGGTAATCGACCAACCTGATGATCAGGCAAATATGCTTCTGTCGCCTTTGACAGTGGGCTGGTCATTTTTCGAGGCGGAGACGACTCTATGGTTGTGAGCGGCGTCAGGGTCTCGATATGGGCAGGGACCGTGGCCGGGGTAGGGAGAAGATGTCCATTGGGCGTCTCATGAGATGCAGTGAATTCGGGGTTGCCGGCGCGCGGTTGTGGTTGAAGATTATTCCTCTCGCCTGCGGATTCCGGCAAAGTCGCGCCGGTCCTGGGCGTGGTCGATGCGGCGAGAGCCGAGAGGGCGGTTGTTTCGGTTGCGTCGCCATCACCTTCTCGATCGCGCCGGTCATGTCCTGTCTCGTAGCGCTTGCGTTGCAGAACCGATGGAGCTGTTGGAAAGAAGTCTGCAAAGCCGGCCGAAGCGCGTGACATCGTGAGAGGTGGCTACACGCCCGAAACGACCGCGCGATCACCAGACAGCATCCTTGTCCACAGGGTTGTTATCGAAAGCTCATGCGGCCAGGGAGCCTCCCAGCCCTGCAAACGGCAGCGGAGAATGGAACGAGTGTATGATAGTGGAAAATGGGGGTGAAATAATCCGTGAAGGAGGCATGCAACTCGCGCGATTTCCAAAAAGGTTTGCAGAGAGCGACGCGACTGAATGGGGAAGCGGTGGAGGAGTGGAACGACGAGCGGGAAATTGGTGCCTGAACCTATCAGGTGTTTAGGTGTCGAGGTATCCAGATAGCGACACAAATGACTAATAATTACATCATGTGACTTTGAATGACTAAGGGATCCGGTCTTCTTTTTGAGGACAACTGTGGTGTGGATGGCAACATTGTCAGGGACCAGGGGGACTGTCGACTGTGGATTGAGGTCCCCGGTCGGCAAATACAATTGCATGATACATAGCTCCGACCCGAAAGAACACTAGCGGATTTTTTTGGAGAAATTTTATTTGTATTTTGTTAAAAATTTTCTTTTTAAATGACGAGAAAGGTTTGAAGGCAGAAGAAGGCTCGCAGGACGGAGTATCCGAAAGAGGGGCTTAGCAGAGCAAAAATAGTATCATAGTACATATCCCTATCATTTAGGGGGGGGCAAAGCTGGATGGAATGGGTCACGATTTAGTGAATAAAAATAAACATTATGATGTCTTTGCCGCGCCGCTTAGAGTGAACGGGTGGCCTGCCATCTCTCGTTCATGTTGCTCGCTCTTTTGTCTATGTAGGGGACCAACCTTGGAAGGACGAAGGTACTTCTGGTAGCGGTAAATCCGAAACATTTTTCCTTGAATCTGGGACCCGGCAGGTATCTGGGATGGGAGCGTGGGGGGTATGGATTGAGATGGGAACGGGGTACCTGAAGTTCTATCGGGTTCCACATGTCCAATTGACGATGTTGTTATTTTTTTTTTTTCCCTGCAGAGACTAGAGAAAGAAGTGGAGACGTGAAGCCATTCCATGGGAGTATCGGGTGAGACATGGTGCATTGGCCCGGCAGCTTCCCTGTGGACACCTGGGAGCTAATAATAATCGCCCCTCCCTTGCCCCCCTCTATAAATACGATTCAGCCTCTGCTGTTATTCTCTCTGAAACTCCCCCCCCTCCTTCATCAACCCCCTTCCCTACTTTCTCCTTCATCGTTTGATTCTACTTCTTCCTGCTCCCGTTATTCCCCCTGCTTATTCGCTTTCTATTTGCTCATCATGTGGTACGGAAATCTCTCCTCCCCCCATTATGCGGTGTGTGGCTGCTGACTTCGATCACAGTGGAATCTTTGGCTACATCAACTACCTGGTCGAGCGGGACCGCCAGTTCATTATTGACACCCTGCTCAATGGTCAGTGACCCCTATCTCTGCTCCCGTTTTCCTTCTCCCCGCCCGCTAATGATTGTAGGTCTGTCGAGACTGGAGTACCGAGGCTACGACTCGGCCGGTATGGCCGTCGATGGCGACAAGAAGAATGAAGTCTGCGCATTCAAGGAGGTTGGCAAGGTCGCCAAGCTGAGAGAACTCATCGCCGAGAGCAAGCCCAACATGACCAAGAGCTTCGAGTCCCACGCCGGTATCTCTCACACTCGTTGGGCCACCCACGGCACACCCTCCCGCCAGAACTGCCACCCCCACCGGTAAGTCGCCGCTGAGCTTCAACCCCCCAAACGTCAACCTCCCCAACTGCAATTTGCGAAGATCAGTACTAATCAACAGTTCTCCGCCTACAGATCCGACCCCACTTGGGAGTTCTCGGTTGTCCACAACGGTATCATAACCAACTACAAGGAACTGAAGGCCCTCCTGGAGAGCAAGGGTTTCCGCTTCGAGACCGAGACAGATACCGAGTGCATTGCCAAACTCGCCAAGTATCTGTATGATCAGCACCCGGACATTGAATTCACCGTTTTGGCCAAGGCTGTTATCAAGGAGCTGGAAGGTGCTTTCGGACTGCTGATCAAGTCTGTTCACTACCCTCATGAGGTGATTGCCGCTCGAAAGGGTTCCCCCTGGTCATTGGCGTGCGAACCTCGAAGAAGATGAAGGTCGACTTCGTGGACGTCGAGTTCTCGGAAGAAGGTGCCCTTCCTGCGGAGCAGGCCTCCCAGAATGTTGCCATCAAGAAGTCGTCCGCCAGCCTTTTGGCCCCGCCGGACAAGTCCCTGCTGCACCGCTCCCAGTCTCGAGCTTTCCTTTCCGACGATGGAATTCCCCAGCCTGCTGAGTTCTTCTTGTCTTCAGACCCCTCGGCCATCGTCGAGCACACCAAGAAGGTGCTCTACCTCGAGGATGATGACATTGCACACATCCACGAAGGTCAACTCAACATCCACCGCCTGACCAAAGATGATGGCACTTCCAACGTTCGTACTATCCAGACCATTGAGCTGGAGCTGCAGGAGATCATGAAGGGCAAGTTCGACCACTTCATGCAGAAGGAGATCTTTGAGCAGCCCGAATCCATTGTCAATACCATGCGTGGCCGTTTGGATGCCGTCAACAAGAAGGTTACACTGGGTGGTCTTCGCCAGTACATTACGACCATCCGCCGCTGCCGCCGCATCATTTTCATTGCTTGCGGTACCAGTTACCACTCCTGCATGGCTGTTCGTGGTGTCTTCGAGGAATTGACCGAGATCCCTATTGCGGTCGAGTTGGCATCTGATTTCTTGGACCGCCAGGCGCCCGTTTTCCGTGACGACACCTGTGTGTTCGTCTCTCAGTCGGGTGAGACAGCCGATTCCCTGATGGCTCTTCGCTACTGTTTGGAGCGCGGTGCTCTCACTGTGGGTGTGGTGAACGTTGTTGGATCGTCCATCTCTCTCCTGACCCACTGTGGTGTACACATTAACGCTGGTCCCGAAATTGGTGTGGCTTCCACCAAGGCCTACACCTCGCAGTTTGTGGCCATGGTCATGTTTGCTTTGTCTCTCAGCGAGGACCGAGCTTCGAAGCAGAAGAGACGCGAAGAGATCATGGAAGGTCTTGGCAAGGTCTCGGAACAATTCCGAGAGATCCTCAAGTTGAACGATTCGATCAAGGATATGTGTGCCAAGTTTTTCAAGGACCAGAAGAGCTTGCTGCTGCTGGGCCGCGGCGCTCAGTTCCCCACCGCTCTAGAGGGTGAGTACCAATTTGCCGTTCTATTCCAATGTCGTACTAATGTATATTCTCATCATAGGTGCTCTCAAGATCAAGGAGATCTCGTACCTTCACTGCGAGGCCGTCATGTCTGGCGAACTCAAGCACGGTGTCTTGGCTCTGGTTGATGAGAACCTGCCCATCATCATGATCCTCACCCGCGACAACTTGTTCACCAAGTCTCTCAACGCATACCAGCAAGGTAAGTGACGCAACTCCCTTTCGTGATTTTCTAGACTAACGCATTATAGTTATTGCTCGTGGTGGCCGTCCCATTGTGATCTGCAATCCCGAAGACCCTGAGTTCTCAGCCGCCCAAACCGAGAAGATCGCCGTTCCGAAGACTGTAGACTGCCTTCAGGGTCTGTTGAACGTGATCCCGCTGCAGCTGATCTCGTACTGGCTTGCGGTCGGCGAGGGCCTGAACGTGGACTTCCCGCGTAACCTGGCCAAGTCGGTGACGGTCGAATAAACAAGGGGTAGAAGGGTTCTGGAGTAGACGACTGCGATGATCTTGATATCTTTAGGTGTTTCTTAGCTTTGCCCTTTTTTTTTCAATTGCCAAAACTTTTCAATCAGTTCATTCCAAGTATATAATTGTAGAAGGGGGAGATCAAACCTCAAACCAAGTCTCGGGGTTGACCAATAATTATCTCATCCCTTTGTAGAATACCAGATCTCTATTTTGCCGTATTCGGCCTTCCGCCCCTCCCCCGCTACCAAACGCGGGACGATCACGATCCCACTGAATGTTTTCATCCCACCGCGTGACTATAAAACCGCCTCGGTCTTCCCTCTGTTTCTTTGGGCCTCGATTCCACTCAACCTAACCAATTAGTCACAATGGCTTCCATCAAGGGCCCTGGTGCTGCCCAGACTTACGACGGTGCGCAAGAGTTCCATGCCCGCGAACGTCATTTGCCCCTCTCCGCACCGCTCTGACTGTCTCTTGCAGGCTCTGGCTTGCGCGTCGCGATTGTGCATGCCAGGTGGAATGCGACAATCATTGACCAGCTGGTTGCAGGAGCGAAGAAGAGCCTTCTGGCGGCTGGTGTGACTGAGGAAAACATCACAGTTCAGACGGTCCCTGGCAGCTACGAATTGCCTATTGGCGTCCAGCGGTAAGCTTGATATTCTCTGACCCCAACCTCCACGAGTTTATGCGCCCTTTTAGGAGACAGAAATTAGTGTCTAACTTGACTAATTATTAGACTCTATGCGGCCTCCCAGGTCCAGGCAAGCTCCACTGGCGAGGGAATCAGTGCCACGGATCTGTTGTCGTCCTCGACTACCGACCTGAGCAAGTCGAACACGGCAGCTACTGCTCCGAAAAAGCCCTTCGATGCCATCATTGCCATCGGTGTTCTGATCAAAGGTGCTACTATGCACTTCGAGTACATTGCCGACGCGGTCAGCCACGGTTTGATGCGTGTGCAACTGGATTCGGGTGTACCGGTCATTTTTGGCCTCTTGACAGTCCTAACGGAGGAACAAGGCTTGGAGCGGGCCGGACTGGGCAAGGGCGGGATGCACAATCACGGTGAAGACTGGGGTAGTGCCGCCGTGGAGTTGGGAGTGAAGCGACGAGAGTGGTCGGAAGGAAAGATTGCCTAAGCTTCTGTACCGACAATAGACAGCTGCAAAATACTGTTCAAGTGTATTCAAAGGGGCAAAGTATCACAGAATCATCAAATTAAAGTATTCGGCGCTAGTGTTCTACCGGAGATTCACTCTTCCATCGCTTGACCCTTCTCTTCCTCTTCATCATCATCACCTTCCAAGGCCCTCTTGGCGGCCTTCTCGGCTTCTTCGCGCAGTTCCTTGGGCACCTCCTCATGGCGTCCCTTGGTCGGCCCGTCAAGCGAGCTAATCCATGACATCTCCAGCTCAAACTCCTTGTCCTTGCTATCCTCGTGAGCGACGTAGATAATGCGGGCGGCTTCCTTGACACCATCGGCCAAAGACAGGTTACCAGAGCTTAGATCTAACTTCTCCAGTTCCGCCTTAGCCGCCTGTCGTCCCTTGCCGGTGGCAGCACCATAATACCCCTGCATCAGCCTTGTTAGTACCTGATATGGAGCAGAAGAATGACTATTATAGATACCCAGTAAAGACCGCTAGGTTCAATCATGTATAGACCCGGTCCACCAGCCTCGGCACCTTCGACCTTGCCGCCGGCGCCCGAGTTCGGTCCCTGGCCGACTTGACCATCGACTGCTAGTTCCGCTTCGCTATCCCATCCACCGACTATTGCGGTGACACCGAATGGTCGTACACTTGAGTAGAGTGTGTAGGCCTGTACATAGCCACCGAGGCGGTTCGCGAGTGCGTTGGTTGGTATGGGGGCCTTGTACACGCCCCTCCATGAGGAGGCTTCGTCTCGAGCTCTGGAAACAAAATGGCGGCCGTCTGGGACGAGTCCGGCGGAAACCTAAATGAAAACATAGATAAGTTAGATGCGAATAATAAGGATATGGGCCAGGGTGAGCCCCGGTGGTCCTCGATGCGCTTGTCATGGTAGGGTCGGCGCTTCCAAGCTGGAGGGATCGTCAGGGAACGCGTGATCTTACAATGCCGACATGACGATCCACCGTTGCAATTCTCTTATTGGCACCGGGCTTCAAGAGCTTGCTAGTGATGATCTTCTCCACTGCCAAAACCACACCATCCTTGCACCGAATGCCGACAGCTGTGCCTCCGTTCTCGACTGCTTTCACGGCGTATTCAACCTGAAGTACATAGTTAGCTGCAGGTTACTTGACAAAGGGGTGCAGAGAGATCCGTGGAATGGGCCGTACCTGGAAATTCCGGCCATCGGGTGAAAAAACCGAGTTGGAAAGGTCGTAGCCCGTACCAATTGACGTCTACCATCCGTGTTAGCCATCTGTTTGAAAATCAAGGCAGGAAGCTTACCATGGTGGTGGCTGTGTGGGAATTCCTGAGATTCTCCTATTTTCTGGGGTGTGGAGGGGAAGGGCAGGGCAAATCAATGAAGCTGGGGAAGAGGGCGCGGTGGTAGACAGCTCTGGGACCAGGCGAAGCTGCGTCACGGGGTTGCCTGGATGGTCACCTGACCTGGTGGTCACGGCGGTAGACATGCGGCCCAACTGACACTACTTGGGCATCTGGCGGGGGTCAAAGGGGGGTCGACAACGTCGTGGGTTTTATGATTAAAGCTTTTCCTGTCCTCCATTCATTTTCCTTCGATAATTTTGGTGAAAATTTTTACTGCAGCAGGGCTATGATTTTTCCCTCGAATCCTCGATACTATTACATGTTTGCAGAGATACCTAATCCGGCATCCTTAAAACAATTATATTACTTCGCCTATTTCGTTGTGTCTTATATACGCTGCTCCGCACCAAATGTCTTCCTCTTTCTTCCACCAGTGTCCATCTTGTGGGCATATCTCTGATATATCTCAGGCCTTGGCAGCTTTCATCGAGAATCCTCATTGTACCCAGGTAGTATTTATATCCCAACCTCGGCGTATATCTGACCTTTTACACCAGACCTGACCAGAATATTTCTAGTGTGGCCTGTCAGCGTCAGAGAGTCATGGAAAACTGCAGGATGAGCTGTCGTTGTTGTTCGACAGACAGATGACCATGACCATGGTCCCGACTCGGGCAGACGACGTGGTTTCGACATCTCAGCCGACTATCTCCAGGAATAGCATCACCCAGCATTATCACCATTCATCCCACGTAGTAACACAAGCACCCACTTCAGACACCCGGGCGGACCTAGTGACGACGCAGAATATCTCTGATCCCCTGTGCCAACATGGACTGAACCCCGCTGCGTCTTCCTCCGCCCAGCTTGACTTGCTCAGGAATGCAGACGCTGCCCAGGGGCAGCGCTTTATTCAGACGTGGCAGTTCTATTCCAGGCCCCAAGATTCTCCGATCCAGGATCATGAGATGAAGGACTCCGCAGTAGGCGTGGCCGAGGACCATAGTGGGAATGCGGAGCCCTACATGATTTCCGGATACGAAGTCGGCGTCGGCCGTTCCACGAGTACTCCCAGGGAGCCAACAACTGGAGAACCTTACTCTGCGTCAACGGATCCGGTATACAATAGTCAGCAATGGTGGGAGCTCCCACGGACTGTTCCGATGGAGTCGCAGTATGGGCTCTTTGAAGAGAGAAGTCGATATTACACGACATGCGGCGTGGCTCAATCCCAGTAGCCTGGCATCGAGACGACCAAGGTGCAGATTTTGTACTGTATTATTGCATTCATAATAGGTCTTTGTTTGTCCGGTATGAAGGGTATCTGTACCCCATGAGATTCTATTCTCTATGACGCCCGAGACGAAATGAGAGCGACGGAGGTCGACAAGCATGATTTTCTCTACTATGGCGCTAGCAAATCTATAAGTTTAGGGTGTTGGTACAGCCACATCCCTTTTTTCTTCAGACCATATGCCCTTTCTGACATGTCAGGTATCAACTACCTACTACGTACTTCCAGGGTTCAGGACTTCCCTGGAAGTTTAAGTAGGAAATACATTGTAGACTTTGTACTCCGTGAATAAATACTTTTCTTTATTTGCCGGGGCCTGTGACAAATCTGTTTCCGGAGTAGCTAACCAGACAGCTGATCATGAAGGTGTCTAGATGGATGGTCGAGCAAGGAACACAGCAGTGGAGTAGATAGAACGTAACTTTCAAATTAACAATCACATAAAGGTGGTAATCCAAAGTGCTGCCGCCGAATTTGACACTATTTTTGAACAGGATTTTAATTTTATATTTAAGAGATGCCATGAGGAGTGGTGTGGTCTGAGACGAAGGGGATTGTTGAACCAATCGCTAAGTTTACGCAAACTCAGTTTATAGTTACTGGCGGTGTAGATGGAACCAAAGTCCTTGGACATGAGATTATCGTCAACTAAATACATGCGTATACCCTTCGACTCACGAGTCACAGGGGATAATGAGTAGAAACAAAAAGCAGCAATATTTATGGCCGAAGTTAAAAGAGTGTGTGCCATCAACGGGTTATTCAGCCCTGATTTAACCTTCGATGTCCTTGGTAGGGTTGATATCGACATGCGGGCGGAACCGAACAGGGATTGTACAATATGTCGAAGTTCGGCCGCTCTATTGAGTTGCATTATGTCGCGAGGACATCGAGGTTGAAGCGAGGCGTTGGAAGAATCCAATAAGTCAAAAGAGCGAGATTGAAAAAAGAGCCTGAGAAGGGCTATGCATTTACTCTTCCTCGTCGAGATCGGCCATGGCGCTCGCGAGAGCCTCGGCGGAGCGCTGGACCTCCTCAACAGCTTCGGCGGCGCGCTTAACCTTGAAGCAGCCCTGGCCGGGGTGACCGCACCACTTCTGAAGAGCGGCGGGGTGAGCCTCAGCCATAGCCTCGGCCAGGGCATCAGCAGAGCGCTTCACATCGCCAGAGACGTCGGCGGTGCGCTTCATCATGTAGCAGCCCTGACCAGGGTGGCCACACCATTTCTGAAGACCGCGGTAGGCAGCAGCCTGGGCGGTGGTGGCAGCGAGAGCAGCGAGGGCGAGAGTGACGAACTTCATCATGAGATTCGAGCTGAAAGTAGCTGGTGGAAAAATTGGATTGATCGAAAGCTAAACGAGAAGATCGTTGCTGCTGTGGAAGATAAGACTGTAGTGGGGGAGCAGCTGAAGATATTTATATTCGATGTTGGGATATTCACAGCTTCATTTCTGCTTTTCACTGTCAAAGAAGCTTATTGAGACCTGAATTGGGATGATGACACAAGATCCAGATTTTTATCCATTGGAGACGGCGAAAGCCCGGATGGACAAAGATTGGCACCTAGACCGATAATCCCTGGTCGCTCAGTAGGCGTGAATGCCCTACAGAGCCGATGGCGTTAAACATGGGTGGTCGAGGTGCTTCGGGCGCGTGGAGACTCTTTGTTTCACAGTGTCCATGTGTGAGGGCTGCACTAGAGGGTTGCCGAATGTGTAGCTCAAAAAGGCCTCTTCAAAGCACGGGGAGGCAATTGACATGGCCGGAAAAGGGCCTCAATAAGAATTTCCATATTTCACCGACGTTGGATGTCAAAGAAGAGTAGCTGCAGGCGGGCTGGGGCAAAGATAAGATCGGGCCGGCGCTACCCAGAGTCGCGCGATGCCGAGCCCATCCGGGGCCCTTTTTTTCCGTTTTCCCTTTGGTCGAATCCTTCCCTTCCGCCCGCCCTTCTCCCCTGCCTCCTCCCCTCCCACCAACTCGTCCTTGGATTTTCACGCCAAAGAACTTGAAAATGTTCTCTCGAACGGCCCAGCCTGCCCGGGTATGTCCTGAACGAATTTTTCTTTCTCTTCTCCCCTACCATCTCCTCCCCCCAATGTCGCGCGTCGCGCGCTAACCAGTTTCAGACCCTGCTTCGCAGCGCCTCCGTGGCTTCCAACGTCGGTCGCTCCATGCCTGTGAGATGTATGCCATTGACCTACGAGACTACTCCGGCGCGCTCGATAATAACTTCGCGGGACTAACATCGTACGACTCAGCCTTTGCCAGCGTCCAGTCTGACATCTTCAAGCCGACCAAGTATGGTGGCAAGTACACTGTGACTCTCATTCCCGGTATGCTCGATTTGACATTCTTCCATTGCCGACTTGATTGTGCTCGGCTTGCACACGATCGATCAATTGCTGATCATTGTTAGGCGACGGAATTGGTGCCGAGGTCGCCGAGTCGGTCAAGACCATCTTCAAGGCCGACAACGTGCCCATTGAGTGGGAGCAGGTCGACGTTAGCGGTGTTGACACCGGCAACAAACATTCGGAGGAACTGTTTAAGGAGTCCCTGGCCTCGCTTAAGCGTAACAAGCTCGGTCTGAAGGGTATCCTTCACACCCCCGTGGAGCGCTCCGGTCACCAGTCTTTCAATGTCGCTCTCCGTCAGGAGCTGGACATCTATGCCTCCATCTCGCTGATCAAGAACATCCCCGGCTACGAGACCCGCCACAAGGATGTTGACCTTTGCATCATCCGTGAGAACACCGAGGGCGAGTACTCTGGACTGGAGCACCAGTCCGTGCAAGGCGTTGTCGAGTCCCTTAAGATTATCACCCGCGCCAAGTCCGAGCGTATTGCCAAGTTCGCTTTCAGCTTCGCGCTCGCCAACAACCGTAAGAAGGTTACCTGCATCCACAAAGCCAACATCATGAAGCTTGCCGACGGCCTTTTCCGCAGCACCTTCCACAAGGTTGCCGAGAACTATCCTACCCTGGAGGTGAACGACATGATTGTCGACAACGCTTCCATGCAGGCTGTTTCCCGCCCCCAGCAGTTCGACGTGCTGGTCATGCCTAACCTGTACGGTGGTATCCTTTCCAACGTTGGTGCCGCCCTGGTTGGTGGTCCCGGCGTCGTCCCCGGCTGCAACATGGGCCGTGACGTTGCTGTTTTTGAGCCCGGCTGCCGCCACGTCGGTCTGGATATCAAGGGCAAGGACCAGGCCAACCCTAGCGCCATGATCCTCTCTGGATCTATGCTGCTTCGTCACCTCGGCCTCGACGACCACGCCAACCGCATCTCCAAGGCTGTCTATGATGTGATCGGTGAGGGGTAAGTGGGCTTCTTCCTTTGTTATTCTTCCATGGATGAACTCTTCCTATAGGCCTATCGCTAACAATTGCCAAAGACAGACGCGGACCCGCGACATGGGTGGTCAGGCTACCACTCACGAATTCACCCGTGCTGTTCTGGACAAGATGGAGGCTGCTCTGTAAATTTCGATCTCGTCGCCTTCCACAGTTCCAACCGCCACGCTACGACTGGGGATGTCTCTGGTCGACCCTCCCGGCAGTTGATCCTGCAGGATCAGAGTCGGCTGGTGTGATCCTCATTTATGTATTATCTCTCTTTCTACTTAGCTCGCGAAGTCCCCAGGCAAGTTATAGCAATAGACAATTTTTTGGATTCAAGAACTTGAAATTATTCCGAATGCGTATTGCCTACGACGGTCAATGTTCTGGCCAATATTCTGATAGAATCTAACGAGGCAGCTAAGGCGGAAAATGGCAAGGTCTAATCAAAGCTTTACTCAAATTTTGTTGCGTGCATGTCACGACAATCAACATTGGATATCCGTTTACGCATACGCGGACACCAGCAGATGTTCACCCTGGTGGATAAATTTGTCAAATACTAGACTTGCAGGGAGAATCAAATTGAGATTGGAGGTGGGCTGCTTGAACGCCTAGAAACTGCCCTTGCGAACAGAGTCGGGCCACAAACTCATCAGATCCCACTCTAGAAGGGGGTATCGTGTATATATGGGTGTAAGGGTATCGAGGACAATGATAAAGGGCCATGGCCAGCGGTGGTATAAATTGGTCGAACGGGCTTTGCAAGACCAATCAGAAAGCCACTCGTCTCTTTCGACCAGTGTACTTGGAATTGTGCTTCACCACTTTCCCTTTTTTTTCTTGCTGTTCCTTCTTCTTAATGATCCACGCCTTGTCGCCCTTTCGAGGCCCACCTCGGGCACTATTCACTTCCATAGCCTTCCTCCTTGCGTCCAGGACATTTACATCGTCCATGCCGTTAACAACACCTGTGATATCTCCTTGAAGACCACCGCCACCGACTGTGAGAACCAAGTACAATTTGCTGTTCTTCGTACCGGGGTCATCCTCGAGCATACCGGCACCAAACCCGGCCTTGATCGCTGCTCCGCTGATCATGCTTCGCTGGGTGTCATTCTTGGGGTAAAATTGGCAGACGGCTCTTCCTCCACGACGAAGGCTGGCGTAGAGACCCTCAAAGAAACGCTTGAGCCTACCCTCAGGGCTAACATCGCTGGTTTCCGCATTGCACAGCCATTGAATGGCACTGATACTGATCGCCGCATCAAACGAACCCGGTCGAAATGGAATGCCTTGTCCGATATCCGCCAGGAAGAGGTCACCCTCCACATCACGCTGAAGGGCGACATCCAGCATGCTCGGTGAGATATCCATACCCACCCACGTGTGTGGACCTCCATTCTCCGGAGCTTCCTGAGATAGAATCTCACCAGAAAGTCCGGAGCCACATCCGACATCGAGGATCAGTGACGGCGACTTTAGATCGAGTAGTTCAAGGGCGCGGTATGTCATATCGGCCTGGATATTCCGGATGCGGGAAGAAGTGGTATATTTGCGTGACTCATTGTCATTGTAGAAAAGATCTGGCGGACTGTTGTCGGACAAGCGATCAGCTATAGTTCTTTCAGGGAAAAGGTATCAAACCATACAGGACATCTTCGGGGCGCGACATGATGTTTGTTTGAGATAGGATCAAAGCCGTCGCCCACCGAGACTTTTTTTTCGGCGGGGTTTCGGCCTGAGGCATAAAGATCCTCCCCCGAAGCGTCATCGCCGGCGCGAACATCAAGTGTCCTCTTTGGCTCTTACACCCACCGTCTCCCACGAGACTGAAATTTGCTCATCTTCACCATGTGGATTCTACCGCTGGTAGGATACCTCGGGGTCATCGTCGGGTTTTCCTTCCTTACCCTAGCCATCGGTAGGTTCATTCTCCGACCGCGAATTGTCTAGATAGATCCAAACTGACACCGAAGGCAGCATCAGGACTCTACTACCTCTCTGAGCTCGTTGAAGAGCACACGGTCCTCGCACGTCGACTTTTGAATCGCCTGATATACGGAATTATTGTGATACAGGTCCTCCTCGTGATCTTCGACCGATTCCCGTTCTTTCTCTCCCTCCTCGGCATCCTCTCGCACCTGGTCTACGCCAGCAATTTACGTCGCTTCCCAATCGTGAAATTATCAGATCCATTGTTTATACTATCTTGTATATTGGTCCTCATCAACCATTGGCTATGGTTCCGTCATTTTTCGAAGCCGCCGGCACCATCACGGCAGGCAGACAACAACTGGCGCCAGCCTTACCAAGTAGACTATGACGAGATGCCTTCATTCTCCGAAGTCGCGTCATACTTCGGACTGTGTGTCTGGCTGGTGCCATTTGCTCTATTTGTCAGTCTCAGTGCTGGTGAAAACGTTCTTCCCAGCATGGGCTCCGAATATGCTACCGGGGAGCGTGCTTCAGCCGGACTTGGCCACAGCCGAGGCCCCTCCGACGGCAAATCCAAAAACAAAGGAATGGCCAAAGCGCTGGTTGATAATGTGCGGGACTGGGCACAGGAGAATGGCGAGATAATCGGTTTCTGGAGAGGTGACCAGGCCAAACGGTTTTAAAAGATGTCGTCTTGTCTCAAGGCTTTCAGAAATGTGAAAATAAGAGATTCTTTTGAAATATTCAATGCTAGGCAAGGCCATTTATTCAAAATAGTCGAGATGCATTTGGTGTAAAAACATGATAATGCGCAATAATCATGCTGAGCAGACAACTAAATCCGTTCCCAAAACTAGGTAGTAGAACTAGAACGCCACCAAAGGGCAAAAGAATGGAAAGAAAAAAGCGCAAAAAGTGATAAAGGAGAAAAATAGATAATAAAAATAAAAGTGAAGGAAGGGGTATAACGACAGATCAAATAAAGATTCCCAACGTCAACATAGCCTCAGGGCCACCGGCCCCCGATATTGCAACCTCATCCTATCCTAATTACCATTATCATTAAACATTCCCTCGCGCATCGTTGCCAAGTGGATAAATTCATCATTCCGTGTGCAAATCGTGATCAATTGGACATGGCTCCGATGCAGAGGCACGCTCATATCATAGCACAATAACCGAAGACATTTGGGATGGCACGTCAATGTCCCTGCAACTTGGTGTAGGATTGCATGCGTGGCTTATCTGCCCTGCTGGAGCATGAAATCTTCAGGTGCTGCAATGGCAAGTCAGTAATTGAACAGACATTCAGAGTGCTTCAAAATTGCGTACTATTTTCCATGAAGAGCATTGAGCTTTCCCGTCTCTTTGTCTTCGCTGAGCGGGAGTCGTCTGTATTAGGAGATAGCATGCCATTCAACGAGGAAAATGGAGCATCTGATCCCTGATGTTGATTGTAGACATCATGTCTATAACCTGGCTGATCGTAGCTTGGCTGCATGGGAATGAAGCCTGTGTCGTGAGGAACCCGGGAATTTTCAGCATAGTTTCCCTGCGCATCACCCGCGCCTCTAAATGAAGTTTGATTATATGAAGGCGTGGGTATGTCGGTGAACATTTGATGACGAGGTGATCGAACATCATCTGGCGACAGACTGTTGTCGACAGTCAATTCCACGGCTGTGGATGTAGCACTGACATCACCGAAGATGCTGTCAAAGTCCGTAAGGAACATCGAGAATACCGGTGCTGGGATATTGAGAGTTGGAGCAAAGACGATTCCCACATTTCTGACGGTCATTTTGTTGACATCCGAGTTGTTGACGATCTCGATTAAGAAAAGGGACAAGGCTCGAAGTAATGCGAGGTTCGGCCTCGGCAGTCGGTGGATCAGGGCATTGAACGCCATTACCTTTTTCTGTCGATCATCAAGCTCTGTCCTAAGTTAGCTTTGCCACGCGACAATGATATAAGAAGTGAGATGCATGCATACCAAGAACACGAAGGAAGTCCAGATGAAGCTCCCTAGTCAAAACAGTCGTTGGAAGCTCTCGAAGGTACTGTTTGAACAGAGACGCAACGGCATGGACATCGTAGTACTGGTCTCCGGCCAAGAAGTCCACGTCGCCCTCATTGTTGAATCTTTCTTTCAACCCCTTAATAACAACATTGGAACCACTGAGACGGAAAATGCCTTCCTCCGAGGCTGCACCCTTGGCGTGCAAATACTCAATACAGCGATAAACCACAGCTGGGAGTTCAGCATCAACACCGTGAGGCGGACAGTATTGTACGGCCTCGGCCAGAGGTATACCGAACACAGGCCTGACAGGGTCCTTCCGCTCAGCCTGCGCAAGGTTGCCAACAGCTGACCCGTCGTTGTTGACCTGCGAAGCCAGATCGAAAGAAGACCTCGTGCGGAATCCCCAGATGCTGCGCTTCTTTTCCTTTGTAGACGTCGCTGACTTGTTGCCCCATGCCCCGACATCCTGAATGATGGCACCGTTTGTGGGAGCTGAAATGATTTTCGGAGATTGCGGGGGTGCTTCAATAGCCTGGTTTAGATCACGAATTTCTGTCGATAGAGCAGCCGGGATGCGAGGCGATCGAGGAGCCTGTTCAAGAGAAGAGCCGAGGATGGGAGGCTCAGCTGCGACAGCGTCATCAAAGCTAAACCCTTGAACCATACCTCCGCTCTCTTGCTCGGGACTCTCAACGCCTCTGCCAGGTCGTTTGTTGCCATTGGTTGGCTGACCTTTGGGCTTCGCCCCTGCTGTAGCGCCAACGGACTGTCTTGGTTGAGTTTGGGGCTGGTTCTTGGAAGAGGTATTGGCCCGGCTGTCATTGTCCGACGAAGGACTCTCCACATACTCCATCAAAGCATCTACCCAAGTGTCACGCTCATCGTCGCTTTCGGCACAGAGAACATGACGAACAAGTGCAGAGGAGTCCTTCTTTTTGGGCTCAAGAATAAGGAATGCATGGCGATACTGATTGTCTGAATCTTCCTCAGACCCAGGGGGGAGTTACTTTGGCTGTTGGAGTTTTGAGACTGCTTGCCGATCTGCGCATGGTGGAGTCTGATGGTGCCCATGTGTGGACCACCTGGGGATTCAAAGTACTTCAGCTCGGGTCCATGGAGAACAAAGTATCGTGCTTTCCACCCGCCAAAATTCTTTCCTCGTTTGGTAAGATAGCCCTCTTTCCGGGGTTTGCCATCTGGTCCCCTCGACATATCGGACTTTGCTTGTCCGTGACCCTTCAGTAGGCTGGTTTCATCGTCTCGGGGCTCGATGGCATCATTTGTCAGAAACTGGCAAATGACCAGCGCGGCTTTCTCATCCATGGGTGTGTCTAGGAGACTGTCGAAATACAGATTCAAGGCGGCTCGTCGCGCATCAACCTTGGCGGGTGAATGACCACTAAAAATGGTGCGATCGGGCAACTTTCCGGAGAACGTTGCCAGTTGTCGGATTTGGTGGTCTAGTTGCGGTAGAGACGCAATGACTTTTTCAACTCGCCAAAGCTCCACCATCTCAGATCGAGAGATGACGCTCAGTGTAAACACAGGCTCTTCGTCGAGTGGCTTGGATGCCATATAACTGTTCCGAGAAGGCCGAAGTCGCGACGATGACACTCGAACTTGGATCAGAGGGAGGGCGTTTGGAGGCAATAATAGTCCCGGGTACTCGTCGGACACTAATCCCTGGTAGATGGTGTTATCATTTTCGAGGAATTGCGGGGACCTGGGACTATCGATTTTGACGGTGGGATCAATCATCGGGATCGGCCCCCCAGGCCTGCCCGCCCCTGTTGGGAGATCTCCTGGTTGAAAGGGTACAGGATAGTTAGCCGCTCGGGGCGAGATAGGCAGCCCGGTGTTATTAAAGCCCGTAGCCATGGGACTTGCCATATCTCGAGGCATTCGAGGCAAAGGGGAACCCATAGGCCGATCTTCTGGCCGTGGGCTCAATGGTAAGCCAGGACTTTTGGGGACAGAGACGCCCGAGCGTCCATTAGATGCCCCAGGGTGAATCCGGGAGTGCAGAGCAGATCCCAAGGGGCCAGTGCCACCAATGGTTGGCGGCGATCTTGTCACAAGTTCGCGGGGAAGAGTGGCTGGGCTAGCGGACGTAGTGGTATCGCGCGAACTGTTGGAGGTTCCGAATGTCTTCGCCCCGGCGGTAGTTTCGACGCCAAGTTCCTTGTCCAGTGCAGCCTCACGATCGCGATCGTCCTCCTCACGCGTTTTCCTCCTTCCGCGGTCCATGCTGGATCTTCCACCTTCTCCTTGGACATCGCCATAGTCAGAGTCCGAATCAGATTCCGCAAGCTCCACCCGAGTATCTCCCGGTCGTAGATTTAAAGGCGCAGGAGGTGGTTTGCGGCTTGGTTGTGCAAGTCTTTGTGTCTCAACACCAACCAGAGATGGGGTCTCGGAGATCGGGCTGAAGCCTACACGGCCTTCGCCAGTTATTCTGGATGGACCAGACTGTGGCGCGTCGGTCGGTTTGTTTAATTCTCGCCGTTCGCTCGGATTGTTTCTTTTTAGCGCAGTTGAGACCTGACCGGCAGGCAACTGGTCACTATTGGGCAAGACAGTTCGCGGAACGGCAGAATCGGTAGTTGGGACTGGAGGCGTAGAGTCCTGTAGATCCTTGAGCTTCTTTTTGTATTTTTCCTTCTCTTTGAATGCTTGCTCGAGATCTTTATTCAGTCCAAGTATCAAAGTCCGCTGCTTATCAACCAGTTTCCATAATTGCGTGTTCTGAGAGGCTGCCTGATGTTTCTCTCGGAGAAGATGCACAATGACTGCCTCTGCAGAGCCGGCAGCATTGATGAGGTTTCCAATATCCGCTGGGCTGAGGGCATTTGCATCAAAAGTTGACTTCTGAGAGGCTGAAGACAAGGACGAGATTGCGGAATCAATCGAGGAAGTGCGAGGCATGACGCGATGAGTTGGGCGTTCCCCAGGCGCCGACAAGATAGAGCTCACGGAGGAAGTTGCGGAACGATCGGGCTCTGTCACGCCAGGCTGTTTTGAAATGTTGCCGTCACCGGGTCTGGCGGCAACATCTGCCGGTTCCATGCTTGTCACGCCTGTTACTGGAGCAGAGGTATAGGCCGGATGCGATGGAGGTGCAGGGAATGGCGCATTGGCTATGCGAGAGATAGGCGAACGGTTATGAGAAGGGGATGGGTTCGCACTAGATCTGGGAGAAAGCGGGCTCTGCGATGCTGGTGATTCGTCGCGAAGGTGGGATTGCGGAAGAGATGTGGTATGCAAAGGTGACGGTGAGATATGGCGAGAACCAGGAGGTCCGGGGCGCGTAGTCACCTCGGATCGCGTCCCCAGGTAATCTCGCGGAATGAGACCACTACTTAGAGGCGGGTATGCGGAAGGCTGGGATCTGGTCGGCCCTGAGACGTCTTCCTCGCTACCTCGCTGCTGCGACATGATTCAGGGATCAGCATCAGAGGGGTCTCCGGGGGGACGAAGGGCCCAGGGGTGTGTGGAGGGGAGAGGCTGCCGTAGCGGGTCCCCGGCAGCTGAAGGTTCGGGAGAAAGGGGGCTGTTTCAGCCGAGCAACGCGGACTTTGTTGTTTCCACCGATGGTGGGGAGGCGAAGAGGTCGAAAAAAGGGGGGTTGAGGTTCCTGTGAATTCTGGCTATTTAGTCTCGAGTTCGTCGGTGGAGCCCCGGGTGACGATCCCTGGTGACAGCTAAACCAGAAACGAGGAAACGAGGGTTTGTTGGTGATCCACTTTGCGCCTGGGATAATAGCTGATCCTAGCTTTTCTTCGCAGTTTCTACTCTAGTTGAACTGCCTGGAAGGGCCTATGTACTGAATGCTCACCGCGACACACGAAATGCGAGGTATATATATATATTACCACCACTGCATTGCTTCTTGGCTCTCTAGATATCTAGGTTAGCAGAAAGAGAGAGAGAGAGAGAGAGAGAGAGAGATCAGTGGAGGGCAAGGAAGCAGCTGGAAACTATACGCGGCGAACGGGAAATTTACCTTTACCAAGGGATGCGAAGCTCACCGGGACCATGAGGTTCTAATTTGAGAATCAATAAAGGGCCCAGCATCGTGAGACTCGAGGTTCCTGGTAGACCACCGATCGCCAGAATACCAAAACGACGGGATTTACGATACGGTGACTGCCAGTTGAGGATCAGTTCGAAGGAGTCCGGCACCCCGGATCTCAACTCTGGCATGCGATGCTAGCGTGGAAAGGTATAATACATGCCGAAGCAAATAGAGCAGAGAGGAATAGAAACAGATCAAAGATATGCTCGCCGACTCCACCAAAATGCAAGAATGGGTTATGTTACAGAACCGCCCAACGAACGCCAGAAAGATGGCTTGCGTGAGGGGAAGGACCCCGAAATGTGCAGAATCATGCAATGTTGCCCGCCATTCCCATGAAAATGGCCTGTGCGGCTAGTTGAAGAGACCAAAACCCAACCTTCTTGAATCGCCTCTTGCGCGCTTGATCATCCACAACATCCCGGGCAAATGCGTCGTAGGTCTGTCCAAGATAAGAAACATTAGTCTGATAAAAAACATACGAGAATCGATCCCACTTACCGCGGCGGATAAATCGTCCATCAAGGCACTGTCAAAGATAGTCCAGCTTCCATCAAAATCACCGACGCGTTTGACTAGACGGCAGTTGATAGGGATGAAGGTACGCTTCGAGTTGATGTATGCCACAATCGGTCGAATGAGCGCATTGTTGATATAGGAGAGGTCACGCGTGAAGATCGGGACAACAGCTCGCACGTTGTTAAGATGGATCCGGAGGTCCATGGCCAGAAATCGTTTGTCGGCGTCGGACATATTTTCAAGTTCTGGGTGTGTCCGTTGCGAAACCGACTCCGAGTACTGGTTCGAGGTGACAGTAGCCTCAAGACGGTCGTAGAAGTCGGCCATGACCTTGGCCAGACTCTCATCGTTCTCTGCGGGGAACATGATATCTGCCACGATGTCGACTGTGCCTTCGTGAATCCATGAGAATGGACCTTGCACACCGCGGTTAAGATGGTCAATGTTGAGACCATCGACACGTATCCTGCTATGCTTCTTCCATGGGCTACGTTTGCCGTCTTCTTCCACGTCTTCATCTAGCCGAGCTCCAGTAAAGCCGTGAGTTTGGCGAGGGTGAATGGTGAAAAGTGAGTTGTCGAAGGATCCCGACATCATATTGGCAGAAAGGAAGTCGTAGAAAAGCCACTGCTTGCGTAACTGGGGAAGGTCGCAAGAGAAAATGCTGACAGAGAATGGGCGGAAATTGTCTGGCTGGTAGACCGAGACCAACACATCGTGCATCTTGAATGAGTCAATTTCAAAATCTCCAGGATGATGCTCATGTCGGTAAGACTTCGGGTCAAGATCTTCCTCTGGCCAGAAGACGTTCCGACGGTCGACCACACCGCGGATTCCCTTCACTTCCACATCGCGGAGGAGACCTTTCCCATTGAGCCATTTTGTGAATGACAACGTAACGTTGACTGTCTCTATGGAAAGGTCGAACTGGGTGTAATTGGTGTCTTCTTCCTCGTCGACGATTGGTAATTCTTCAGATCCGGGTTCGCCTCGGGCTGCAGCCGCGGCGGCGGCGGCGGCGGTCTTCGGAGAGCCTTTGCTAACGTGCCCGGTGCCCTGGCCAGGCCGTCTTGACACAAACACATTTTTGAATGTGATGACTCCATTTCGCCATTTGGGTACAATGGCAGACTCGAAAACAACCTTAGCCCCAGATGATTTCGTGAGATAGTTGCCGACCCAGCCAGCTAGTGTTTCTGTCAAACCGAGTTAGCAACGCACGTGGTGATAGAGCTATCACAACGAAACGAACCTTGTGCAAATACCGTGTTTATGGCAAGAATCAGAAGTGAGAAGAAAGTTGTCGTTCCGACGACTACCCAAACAACATGGCCCAAAAGAACCCATGAGAAGAGTGCCGTTATCTCGTCTAAATTGAATGGTCGTACACTCCTTATGGAGAACCACTTGAACCGTACCTTGAGCCGCGACCAGAATCCCGTGGCTGCAGCTAGAAGTTCCTCCTTGGTCGGTCGATGTAGATGCGGCATGTGAGGAAGGCGATCCATCAAGTGGCGATTTGAGGGTGTGTAATGAGGCACGCCCGAGGGATTGGCGGAGGATTTTGGCGCCGGGGGATCATCGGCTTTTTTGACATTCGCAGAATTTTGATCATCAGAGTGAGTACGACAGTCATTAGAACTTTTACCCTGTCCGCCATCATTTGGCGTATGTAGGGCTCGCCGCCAGACATACTTGGTCGCGAATTTCTTAGACGGAAGGATGCACGCAGCGGTCGATTCGGCAGCAGTGGAAGTAGGAGAAAGTCCGAGGACAAAAAAGCCACCGGAGGCAAGTCTTCTGGTAAGGTGAACGGGTTTCGCAGATGGTGTTGATAGTCGTCGGCCGGCGAAAAACGAGTCGATTGCTTTCCTTGAGGTCTCGGTTCCCGCGATGCGTTTTGGACGTATGCGGCCTAAGAAGGGTGTAGCTGAATCCCAGAGATGGGCATATAGCCGGCGTCCGAGGTTGGCGGACATCTTCTCCTTCACATCCTGGGGGTCAACTGGGGGAGGTTGGCAACGGGCTGCCAAAGCTCCCAAATTGGGGGGAGCATGAAATCATCGGATGTTTGTCATGTTTGCACCGGAAAATCTCGCGGCGCCCACAGGCCTTTTTCGCTGGGAGGGGCGCCACCTGATAAATTCTACGATAACAGATTTCCGCACATCTTTTTCTCCTCCAGCACCGCGTCATTATGCCTGCCCCGACTGCCCTTCGCCAACCGGCGGAAGCACCCGTGCTTCAGCCACCCCCCGCTATTCGTAAGTGAAGATATTCACCATTAGTGGTTTGCTCTGCACGCTAACTCTCAGCAGCCCAGGATCAGGACGATGAGATCTTGATCGATGCCCAAGCAACGGGTCAACCAGATGCCTCAAACCCATTGGTGGACTCTGCAGAAGACAACGAAATGCGTATTGATGAAGAGGGCCGCCCCGTGTTCACACCTGCAAAGGATACCAATACCGCATACCGGATCGAAACTCGCAAGGTGCCCGTTCCGCCTCATCGCATGACACCACTCAAAGCCAACTGGACCAAGATCTGCCCTCCCATTGTTGAGCACCTGAAGTTACAAGTCCGAATGAATGTCAAGAGCCGTGCAGTTGAGCTGCGAACCTCGAAATTTACCAATGATGTGGGTGCTCTGCAAAAGGGTGCAGATTTTGTCAAGGCTTTCACCCTTGGTTTCGATATCGACGACGCGATCGCCCTTCTTCGCTTGGATGATCTTTACATTGAGACCTTTGAAATTAAGGATGTCAAGACTCTGAATGGAGAGCATCTTGGCCGTGCGATTGGCCGTATTGCTGGCAAAGACGGAAAAACTAAGTTTGCGATCGAAAACGCAAGCCGGACGAGAGTGGTGCTCGCAGACCAGAAGATCCACATTCTGGGCGGATTTAAAAATATCCATATTGCACGGGAGGCCATTGTCAGCCTGATCCTGGGTAGTCCTCCTGTAAGCCACCCTGGAAGTAGGCCTAAAAAGAGCACTTTTCTAACTCCAAACAGGGCAAAGTCTATGGCAACCTTCGGACTGTTGCTTCCCGTATGAAGGAACGGTTTTGAATTTGACGACACTCAATCAATACCCGGCATGGTATGGGCGCTTAGGAGCATTTCGTTTCAATCTTGGGCTTTTCAAATTTCTATTTATACCGCTACTATGAAGGCGTGACGATATCAAGATATGAGTACAGAAAAAAGATTACGTTTCTACTTCTACACAAAACACAAGAGTCATTCCAAAAGATTCAGATTCTCATATTAGAAGGCTATTGTAAACATAGACACCCGCTCTAATCCTTCTTCAATGGGTGATAGACTTCCTGGATTCCGTCCTTGGTAGCGATCATCATTTGCAAATTATCACCAACCTCGATATGACGCTCCACCGCACTAGTGAACGCATCTCGGACCAGTTGCTTGACGTGGTCTTGGGGAAGCGGCTCGGCCTTCTTGGCCTCAAGCGCATGTCCTTCTCCGCTCCCTGGGATGTATTGGTTCTTGAAGTTGACCTGGTTGTCCAGGAAAGGCATGATCAAGCTAGCCGCTGCGCCTGCGGCACGGCATTGTTCCCGCTCGTACGAACCCACGGGGTCGTAGCTGTACAAAGCTCCCTTGCCTTCCTCGTCTAATCCGGCCAGAATGGCGGTAACATAGTAGGGGAAGAACCGTTTCTGGTATAGAATCGTCGACAGCCGCTGTGCACAAGCCGAAACTGACATGGGCTTTCCGTGTTGGTACTTGTACATCTTCACCACGGAATCCAGACGTTCTTTGAGGGCATTCCCATCGGCAGCGAAGCCAACGACAGACAGGATGATGTGAGCACCCTCGCCAGTTTCATCATCACCACCGATCTTGAAGACCTTTGGAACCATGCGAGAGTTGATATTGTATCCGGATGTCGAGCGAGTGTCACCAGCGAGAATGGCGAAGTCGGAACCGGTGATACCTAGAGTCGAGCCACCGTTGTCGGTGTATCTATGAAAGCATTATTAGCTCAAAATTCGTCGGTTTTTGGATCATAGGTGTATCGTACGGGTAGAATCCATGTTGCTTGACGGGAGCGGCTGCCGACTGAGAGAAGGAGTACCCGACGGTCTCACCGCGAGCTGTGTGATCCAGGAGCGATGCCATCGTAGGCTAAAGTGATGTGGATATTTGTGTATGTGAAAGATTTTCAGATGCGACAAAACGGAAGACGAGAAAGGGGAGGTAGAAGTTGAAGGTCAATTCGTTGATGGAAGCATTGAGGTCTGTCCGATGATGTCTGACGCGATGCTGCAGCTGCCTTTCGCGCTTATGTAACACCGCAGCTACTTTCGAGCACCGTGGCCGCCTGACACTACGGCGAGCTTCCATTCTACTCGTACAACGCGTGATTTCGCCCTACCAGTTTCCCTTCTCAAGCCCAGAAGGAGCACGAATTTGAAAGCTGCCATTTGAAATCCTATCCGTCGAAATTTTCACATTTGGCCATTCTGGGACCTCGGCGACCAACATGCAAGGTCTAGTTGCTTATGACAGCAGCAGTGAAGATGAAGAGACGAAAACGTCACTTCAGTCGAAGGTATCAGAGCTCAGTCCGAGTAACTTGAGTAATAAGTTGCTAATTGCCTGCTCATTAGGGCACAGAGAAGCCCGACGGTGCACCCGCGCAAATCGATCACGATCCAGGTTATTATCCTCTTTCAGCCCAGCCTCAAATTGGCCTTCCATGCTAATGACCCTACTGTTGATTAGGCAAAGACAGGGTATCTGATGCCTCCGTGCAAAATCAGCTACACCTAAACTATTTCGCCAGGGAACCCCCCCGTGGCCCTGTTCTCGGCCCTGCATCCGGACCAGCACCTCTCGACAGAGCGCAATCGCCGGACGGACAACCCCATAGCGGCCGCGCTTCGCCATTTTCAACATCACGGACCTTAATCCACGATCTTACACTCCCGCCTATTCCTAACCTAGACATTCCACCGTCTCCTCCTGGGTCTCCGGACCCCGCTGCCAACGCCAAGTTCGAGCATTTTCTTTCACTCAAGAAACAAGGCGTTCACTTCAACTCGAAGCTGGCTAGTTCATCATCTCTCAAAAACCCCAGCTTGTTGGTTAAAATGATGGAACATGCCGGAATCGACGAACAATCACAATACAAGACATCTCTATCTTCCGATTTATGGGCTACTACCAACCTACCCCGGTGGGGCTTTAAGGAAGAGCTTCGCAAAACCCAGCAAGTCGCACGTCAAAAACTCGAAGAGATAAAGTCGTCTGGGCAGAGATCCTCGATTGACTTTGTTTCCGGCTCGGGTGCGGATATGAAGAGACGAGCCAACCCATGAGCAAGAGTGGTACAAATTCGAATAGAAGCTCCTAGTGGTGACGCCCTTTTTTTTTTTTTTTTTTGGCCAACGGGAAAGGCTAATGGTCGGGGACCTAAAACTCCAATAGATATCATCTAACCCCTGGGCCTCGAAAAGCAACGACGAACCCCCCTCATTCTCTGGGCGCTTGTTTCTCTACCCACGGTCCATACCGAACTACAGGGCTCGAGTCAACGCAAGTCGGTCCTTTCTCATTGTTCCATAACAAGGCAATTAGGACAAGCTACGTGGCCCAAGGGCGCCGAGCCTCGGAGCAGCAGCGATTACAAAACACAACCAGGCCATATGCTCTGTATGTAAAATTATGGAATACATGGTCATCTCAACAGTGGAAGAATGTTGATGGCCACGGCTTGCCTCATCCTCCGCCGCCGCCTCCACCTGCGGCTGCGGAATTGTTGCGCCGTCTTGCCCTCTCATACAAGCCGAGCAAAGAGATCACGACCATTTTCTCGAATGCTTCGCCATATTCTGCTTTGATTTGAAGTTTCCCGCATTTGTTGAATGATATTTCGCGAGTGAAGACAGCCAAGACTTGTCCGGTACTCTCATCGACCAGTTTGAAGCTGCGCGAACCCAAGATAGGAGCACTTTCTCCGTCAACGGCGACATGGCGAGTTCGCTTCCAGAGGAAGCCACGTCTTTCGCGGTTACCGGTCTGTTGCTTGTTGGGCACGGTCATCTCAAACCGGTATTTCGAATGTATGGCGGATTCCTTGGTCATATCTTCCCACACAACATTATTCTCATCTATCGGGTCGCCGATGGCCAGTTTGAAGTCGCCTGAGAGCTTGATGAATTTACAAGCTGCCATGACTGCGGTATGTTCACTGTCGCCTGCATGTATAGTCACATCGGGCTTTTTATGTGTGAACGTAGAGATCTTCCCGTAGAACAAGACCTGGTCGTCTGCAGATTTGACCTCATAGTGTCGGTGGAAAGCGGGTCTGGAGATTTGGTAGATGCGGGAGGGGCCTTGCTCTCCTAGACCCGAGGGATGGGCAGACTCGATTGAGTCGGACCGATTTAGAGCCGAAGCCATCGCGGCGGGGGTGATGCGGTGGGTGGGTAAAAGGTAGGGAAAAGAGAATTAAAGCCTTAGGGCGCAGAGGGGGATAAAAGCTGCTCTATATTACTCAATCAACTGGTCACCACGGATCTGTGAATCGATCATCGGGTGAATACGAAGTTCCATGGAGCCTGAGCATCAGCCCGCTGGAAAGGCAAAACGATCGGCCTAGGAAGGCCAGCGGCGAATACGACGGTGCCGGAAAGGGTAGTAAGCATGGCGAAAATACAAGCAATCGCGGGGCCTAGGAATCCTGGAGCTATCAATAACGTAATATCGAAGAATCGCATCCAGTATTTCTCACTGGGTCGGGATAATACTCGAGAAGACATTATTGCAAATGTTTCACAACCTATCCATGTCGTGTCTGCGTAGGACATACGATCGAGTTATTAGTACCATTGGTATGGTCCGTTAACTAACTAGTTTGTGTAAACGCGCGCGTAGTGGATGAGTAAGCAGGAGCTCCGTCAGCTCGCCTGCCTGCGCCCAAGCCGAAGCTCCGTCCGTCGTCATCGTTCAATCCCCATTCTCCTCCTGCTCTTTTTCATTTTCGCTCAAATTCTCGACGACGTCCTCTTCATCCCCCTCGATTCATAATGAACCACTTTCCGGAGGCCTGGGGCCGTGTACGTTCAAGCTGTCCGACTCTTGATCCCTCTAATTGCTAACCCATTCTGCAGCCCAGGGACGATGTCTACGGAGCCTACAATCCCTCATATCTTCAGACGACGGGTCCAAAGGCCCACACTTCATCGCCAGCGGTGACAGGAACCTCGGTGATTGGCGTCAAGTTTAACGGCGGTGTCGCTCTGGCCACCGACAACCTAGGTGTGTACCAGTCATCTCGCAACCTTTTTTCACGAGGCACATACTAATCGTCTTTCTTTTTTTCATCACGGTATAGCTTCGTATGGATCCCTTGCTCGTTTCTCCGATGTCAAGCGTCTCCGTGTCTTCGGAGATAAGGCCGTGGTGGGCTTTGGAGGAGATGTGTCCGACATGCAATACATTGACCGTCTACTGGCATCCATCGACATCCGGGAGAACTACTCGAACCACGGCAACATGCTCAATGCCAAAAATCTACACACTTACCTGGCCAAGGTCTTCTATAAGCGACGTTCTGAGTTCAACCCGCTGTGGAACCACGTCCTCGTCGCAGGCTACGATGGAGAAGGCAAGCCCTTCCTGAGTTCGGCAGATCTCCTGGGAACCACCTTCTCTGCACCTCATCTGGCGACGGGCTTTGGTGCCCACCTTGCAGTTCCAATCCTGCGACGGCTGTTCCCCGACGAGAAGCCGATCGAGGAGGTGACCCAGGAACACGCGGTGGATGCCCTGAAGCAATGCCTGAAGGTGCTCTTCTACCGAGACGCGCGGAGTCTGGACAAATACTCGATAGCCGTGATTACCAAGGACGGTATCGACCTGAAGGAGAATGAGCAAATTGAGGGCCAGAGCTGGGCTTTCGCCGAGAGGATCAAGGGATATGGGGCCCAGACAAACTAGACTCGTGTGATATGCCTGTTTCTTTGCGCAATAGTTTTTTTCACGAAGAGCCCTTGCTGGAATCTGACCAGATTGACGATATATAAGTTGGATATGAAACATGTCATTACAGTAGATATGTACAGCTTGTTTTAGAGCTTAGGGCCCGGCTTTTCGAAGACCACCCGATTGGCGCAGGATCCAACGCCTTCCAGCGACACTTCGACGTGATCGCCATCCTTCAACCAAAGGTTGGGCTTACGGCCCATACCAACTCCTTGGGGTCTGCATGGAAGTCAGTCAGTTTAGGTGTGCACTGACAGTCGTTTGTGACTGGGAGAATAAACCGGAGTGACTCACGTTCCGGTGAAGATCAAATCACCCGGCAGGAGCGTCGTTCCCTGGGACAAAAAGGCAATTGTCTCTGCCACGCCAAAGATCATATCCTTAGTCGAAGAAGATTGGACTTCCTTCCCATTCAGCGTTGTCGAGATACGCAGCGCATTGGGGTCAGGGATGACCTGGGAGGAAACGATGCCAGGGCCGAAGGGCGCCCAGCCATCAAAACCCTTCCCTAAACCCCACTGCCCTCCACCACGCTTAATCTGCCATTCTCTGTGGGAAACATCATTCCCGACCGCATAACCGAGCACATAATCTAGGGCCTGGCTCTGGGGAACATTCTTCGCCTCTTTGCCGATGACGATGACCAGTTCACATTCGTAATCTAGACCCTCGCCCTCCTGGGCGGTCTTTGAGACGGGGATATCATCAGTCGGGCCTGCGATTGATGTGACGGGCTTGAAGAAGAGCACCGGGTATTTAGGCAGGGGCATGTTGGACTCCTTTGCATGCTGTTCGTAGTTTAATCCGAGACAGCGAACGGTACCGATATCCTTGCGAGCTAGCGGAGCGAGGAGCAGCTTCACATCAGCAATTTTATCAGTGACACGGTGCTGGCCAAAGATATCACCCTGGATCACTCTCGCTTGGGTGACCTGGGCGATGTCGTGTACACCGGACGGAAGAAGAGCATCGCCATAGTAGATTTGACCGTCCTTGGCCAGGAAGCGGATCAGACGCTACAAAGTGTCAGCTCAAGATCACAATTGCTCTCGAATATTCTACCTTGAATACTTACACTGAATGAGGCCATTGTGTTTGATCGTCTTGTTGGTTTGTCAGGGAGAAAGGAGAGCGGGGAGCGGAGCTAGATATGATGTGATGGGAGCTCCGTTGCCATCTCCAACTTTCCCCACGAGAACTCAGCCCGATCCACTCGGCCGGAAAAGCGATCGGCTCGCCCGGCGGAAAACGAATTCTTGCCCAGTTGCGCCAGTAGCACCTCACCAACATAGCAATGGCCAGGCTCTCCGGTCTGCAGCGGGAGGTGCTCTCCCTCTACCGCAAATGTCTGCGCGAGGTCCGCAACAAGCCCCTGGTGTGTCTCCCTCTCAGTCTCTCTCGCGATTTCTCTCCCATCTCTCTTTCTCCCTCGACTTCTCCCCGATTGGTTCTGACTGCCCCTTCAGGACTCCCAGTCCAATTTCCGAAACTATGCACGGTATGTTCTCTACCAAGTACAGCTAATCCTGAGCCTTTCCCGTGGCCATCCCATCGGTGCAACCCGGCTGATTCGCGGGGACAGAGCGGAGTTCCAAAAACATCGCTCGGTGAATAAAAAGGACTTTGGCGCTGTTGAATATCTACTACGCAAAGGCCACCGCCAGCTGGAGATGTACGCATCCCCGGGCATTCGCAACATCCGATGAATGACTACCCCGGGACGTCCCTATGGAGCTACTCCGTGGATTTCTCGTGGGGTTGCCCCTTTGGTCTTCCGTTCCTGAATTTACTCCTTGAAAAAGCTGAGAAGGACATTGTGAAAAGGTATGAGCTTTGCTGGGCTTCCCGATTTCACCCGGTTGGGAGGATTTCCTATCTGGACCTTATGGTTGGTGTGTACGGCCGAGATATATATTGATCGCCGTAGTCTCGGACAGTCCCGACCAACCTGGATGTGAGCACTGTCTGTACAATAGAGAACGTTTCCATGGCGGAGATCGCCTGTACTATCCTGTCGATTCACCGAAATTTATAACTGTGTACACTATTTGATTGTTCAGCAATCGCATCGCATCGCATCTCATTTCGTATGGCCGTGGCGTATCATACTGTAGACCCGATGACCAAGCAGTTGATTACTCATTCAATCGAATTGCCCCCTCAGCTAGTTAACTAGTTAACTAAACACAACGATTAATAATAGCATTGAATACAGCAGATTAAGATTCCATTAGAACCATTCGATCGCCCTCGAATTTGCGGGGAAGATCCAGAAGATTCGCGCGAGTGGGCGAGGCTGGGGGAATGCGCCACACCCTTCTGGATGTTTCCGCTGCGCTTGGTTGCCAGCTCCAACGCAGTATATAAGGGGCAACCAAGCAGGTCCAAAATCATCCTTCGAGCAGAATACAAAGCATCTTGCTTAATCAAGCCCACTCAGCCACCAAAACCCTCAACCTCTACAATTACAACCACAATGGCCTTCTTTCAGTGCCACTCTGACTTCGCGCCGCTCTTCCGTCTACTCGACGACTATGAGACCCACTGCTCGCGCCCCACACCCTCTTCAAGCTTCACCCCATCCTTTGATGTCCGTGAAGGATCCGACGCATACTACCTCGACGGCGAACTGCCAGGCGTCGACCAAAGCAACATCGACATTGAATTCAGCGATCCCCAAACCCTTGTCGTGAAGGGCCGCACAGCGCGCAACTACCAAAGCCAAAATCACACTTCCGTCGCGGAGGCCTCCTCAAAGCAGGAGAGCCGCAGTTCTCGCCAGTGGCGCCAGCCAACCGTGCAGGACGAAGACGAGGCTGAGTCTGATTCCGACAACAGCTACACGGATGTCGAGTCTGCCAAGTCGAGCACGATCGCGCAGAGCGCGAACCAATCGCAGCCTCAGTTCCACTTTTGGGCGTCGGAGCGGTCAATTGGAGAGTTCCAGCGCACTTTTAATTTCCTCACGCGGGTCGATCAAGATAATGTTCGGGCCAGTTTGAACAATGGAGTTCTATCCATCGTTGTGCCCAAGGAGGCAGCGCCGAAGTTGAAGAAGATCCGAATTCTGTAGATACCTCGTCCTTTGTGGTCGGGGTTATCCCATCACGAATTTCGCCGATTCGATTGCATTGGGTTGGGACTGGCGCAAAGATTCTGGATATGATTTTTTTTTTTATGTTTAATTAATGATACGAGTATGATAGACTGCAAGGGAAATTATTTTAAACCAACTCTCCTCCACTACTTATCACATAGCATGGTGCATGGTACTGCTTATGTAGGTCCACCGCATGGTTATGTACACTCCCTACTATAAGCGGGATATGTCCGTATCTACATTCATGTGATATATCTAGACTCAGCTGGTGAGCCCAAATGAAATTTTCCAGCATCCCGAGATGCATGCTCCTTGCATGTCGGTGGCTGGGAAGGACTGGCTTTGACGGTGAGAAGAAGTGCCACATGGCGCTCTTGCAGTCTACTGTATATTAGAATCTAGACGCGATGGATGTCTTTGGGGAGCTGTAGCTGCTACAGTGGGTACGATAACTCGAACCCATTAAAACCTAACACGAGTGAAGGCCGTCTGAGTATGAAGTGAGTTCAATTTTAAATAGCAAGAATTGGCTGCATTGTCGCATAAATCCCAAGCAAAGGACGACCGTATATAACGCCGGAGTAAATGACAAGTAAATTCAGTACCAAAGGAATAGTTTCAAACGAGGGTATCCATGTATCCATATCCCGAATAGACTCCATCCAACTCACCAAAGTCAACTCCAAGTAAATAAAGGCAAAGTCAACACCAACTTTTGTAGAACAGAACACCAAAGATTGAAAAGAAAAAAACGAAAATTGAAACCCAAGAATAACACCAACCATACACGCCAATATTACTAAAGCGCGTAAGGGGAGGTCGTCATATGAACATCAAGTTGAGGATGCGCCTTGATCAACTTCCGACGGCGGAAGTCGTGACTGCGACTTCGAGGTCGACCGCGATGAGGCTCAGAGGTAGGCGGAGATTCAGTCTCCTTATCAAATTCATGTGCAAGGTGGCCTGGAGACAAAATCGTAGGTAACTGAGGAATCTCAATCACCGAGTTATGGCGCCAGACCTGATGTCCGGGCTTACTTCGAGAGCGAGAGCGGGAGTGAGAAGCAGCCGAGCCATGCTTTCCGCTGCGGTGGCCAGAGATAGCCTGATCGACCTCCAAGCTTGACCGGGTGCTTCTGACCTGTCGGCTTGGGTCGAGAGCTTCCAATGTCGCGGTCGAGCCTGTGTCATGTACAACGTTCAACGTGCTCGTCGAGAACTGGTCCCCGTAGAGAGCTCCACGAGTTGAGACAGGGGGCTCGTCGTCGGAGACAAATGTGTAGGAAGAACCAGCCATAAAAGACTGGTAGCCGTAGCTGACATGGCCATTCTGTACAGGGTACTCTGTATTCCGTGGAGCGCATAGCGTCGATCGACGTGCCCGGGGTCCAGCAGATTGGGCACTGGTAGCAACACTTGAATCGTACCAACGGGAAGAATTCGGATACAGGCGGGAGAAGTTACCGACCTTCACCTCTTTGAGGCTAAACCGTCTCTGGATGTCCTGATCTGCCATAGCTTGTGATTGCTCACTTGTGATGCGGATACTGTTCGTGGTATCTGCTATACCCGAGCCCGAGGATTGCGAGTCAAAAGATGCCCGGGTGCGGCTCCGCTGAACAGAGTGAATTGAAGTAGCAGAACTATAGCCACTGTCGGTCTTGTTCAGTGATCGAGACGTGCTGCGATCAATGACCGTACCCATGGAGTCCTGGTTCTTCTCCGAATGAGTAAGACCCTCATCACAAATGACGATCCCCTCATCCTCCAATTCACCAGGGAAGATGGTTTTCTGTCGCGGGGCCACACTGATCGTCGGAGACTTTTCGAACGAGAAGGGACTTCCCGGGACATCATCAGATTTCTTCAAATCGGGCATGGCGGGGATCTCAAGAGTGGATCCCTGGGGCCGTAGAGTTTCAAGACGATCTAACCCTAGGCCTGACTCGGCAACTTGGGGTGGACCAAGTGGGATTCGCTCACTCGGGCACGGCGAGGCAGACCCATTAACTACTCGCAATGATCCGAGTTTCAAAGCCCCGAGCTGGGTATACCGAGGGTCTGCGGGACTAGTCGGTCTCATCGGTGTCGAGACGGGAGGTGAGGGTCGTTGGAGGGGCGGTAGAGGCCATTGCAATACAGGAGGCTCTGAAAGATCGTCCGTGGGACCCTCGGGTTCACCGATTGGCGACGGTACACGTCGCATGTTCCCGGTGGTCCGTCGAGTTGCAACGCCGGGTCGCGTCAGGAGAGAGCGCCGGCGTGAGAGCGAGAAGCGTTGATTACCAACCATAAAATGCGTGTTGGAGGACGTTGCCTCATGAGCCTTGTCTCCATAGATTGCGCTTCGATGCCTTTGCAAGGGGGTCTGAATGGAGTTGGCTCGCTTTGGCTGTTCCGGGACTAAAGAGGAGTCCGACGCAGCGGCCAGGGTTCCAGCTTGGTATGAGGCCCGCCGAACGGAGGCACTGGCGGAAAGAGAACCTGATCGCGGTGAAAGAGCGTCGCCATCTGGCCCATTTGCCGACTGTGGTGTCTCGGCAATATCTTCCACGAGGTGTTCTGGTAGATCGGGCACTGATTCAAACACCGTGGGAGGGATCTCTCGCGCCTTTGGGTATCTGTTCTTGACATCTTGAGAGATGTGTGAACCTACCCATGGATTCTGCCATCCAATCAAGCCTGAACCAAACTCCGGGGCATCAGTCTGCACAGGTGAGCTCAGGGCAGCAAGTCTCTTGGTCAACGGCTTAGAGAGCCTATTGGCAGGTCGTGTCTCGTCCTTCGTAGGGCTGGAAAATGTGTTGCCCATGACTTCGCAGACGCCACGGGCGAAGGTGACACTGATTGCTTTCCCCAAGCTCTCAAAGGGAAAACATGCGCAGCATGGGGCGACGGGGTGGGCAACGACGTAATATATAAAAGAAGGCCGAACAGACCGGAGGCGATGGAAGTATGATCAGCGTTGCAAATGCCAGAATTACTGCCTTGAAGGGTTGCGGTACGCCCTAGATTAGATCGAATCCCGGAAAATTGACGTCAAGCCACGGGCGTAATCGCTGAGCGATCGATCCGGGCTCCAAGCTTGTGCAACCGCTGTGTTTAGAATCGGCCGTACGATTGGCGGCTGAAGGTGCGGAGATGCTGGAGGAGTGTCGTGTTTCAGATTGGAGGAGCCCACGGGGCTTGGTTGGACCGGGGGGCACGAAGGCACGGCGTGCGAGGGTTGATTACGTCAAAAAATGAGGCCGATGGGGGATGTGTATACACAACAACCACGGAGGGTTGGAAGGGTGCGGGTTGGGACAGAGGTTTTGCAATGTTGCGGACAATGAAAGTATCCACGGCGTGTTCCAGCACTTTCAGTGGTCTACTCTCGAAGTAGACCAATTGGGAAAAGAAAGCAATCCCGCAATCAGCACATCAAGAGGTATGGACAATTCAAAACAGCCAAATCAAACAATCATGAAAATAATGGAAACAAAAAACAGGGAACTGGGAAGAGGGGAGAGATGCCACTACTAGGGGGGAAGGGTGGGGGTAGGCGATACATAAGGACAGTGGAGAGGTTTGGCGACGCATCAGCCCATGCTGCGTTGAGGCAGAAGCAGGACGGATGCGTGTAGTCGCCACGGCACAAACTCGTTCCCGGGGAAGACACGATCCATGAGGCCTGCGATCTGGCGAAGCTGCAAGCGGAACAGGGAAGCGTAGGCTGTCGAATTTTGGAGATTGAGTAGGTACGGGCGAAGCTGTAGAAGGGTACTTGGTTCGAGGGCGGGATGGTCATACTGCCACCAAGTACCCCCTTGGGGCCCACCGGTACTTCACAGCCGCAAGCGGCTAGGCCAGTACCTGCCTCCGGGGGAGGTACCCGGTACCTGCCCGCCCGCCCGTTAAGTATGGCCCCGCCCGCGGCTCCACAGTTGCCCGCCAAGTATCCGGTACGCCGCCCCCGTCTGATCTCTTCGCCTGGATTACGCTGCATCGTCCTACATAACCTGATGTGACATGGCCGATCCCCAACAATCAAATTGTCACCTGGCTCTTTCTCCGTATCCGGCCTCCCAGCTCCACTCCCGTCTCTCCCCATTGGATCTGCAACGGCGAGCCCCCAGCCCCCCAGTTTCGGCGCTATCTGATATTCCGAGAACGTCCAGAAACACCCCTCGACTCCTCAGTGCCACGCGTGACGGACGTCTGTCCCCCAGGCTTCCTCCATACTCGAGCTCGGAGCCGACCCGGTGCGACTGCCGCATTCGCTCGGCAGCGTGGTTGACAGCTCAAGCGAGAAGTGGGTCATGGCCTGCAGCTGCAGCGCCTTTCCTTTGCTCACCGCAGACGAATTCGAGCGCGCATGTCGAGTGCTGGTCGATCGAGCCTGCACCTGCACGACCGCTCAAGGTGAAGGAGGCTGGTCATCGACACGACTTGTCACACAGGTATTTCTATCCCTGTGCTTGTTCAGACTTGCTGTTTTTAGAGTTTTACCTCTTGCCGTGCAGGAGACTCGCAATTGATTGATTAGATGTGGCGCGACTAACGTAGCGTGAAATGATATTTGGATCTACTAGGACGTAACCAGCATCAAAATAGCGCGACAAATCGAGATCCAGAGCAACACAACCGCGAAGAATATGAATCTACAGGAAGCAGAAACATCGGAGGCATCAGAAGCATTGACATTGGAAGATGAAGATCCGGTCGGCTAGCTTTTCTCCTTCTCTTCCCTCCAGCATACAAAGGGATATCGATCTGCTAATACCTCCCCGCAGGAAGCCGTCATCCGCACTAGCGGCAAGCCCAGCCTACATATAGACTATGACATCGTGCTCTCCCCAACATACCAAGTCCCTGTTCTATATTTCACAATTCGCGAGGCCAACCAAGGACCTGTCGGACTGGATACGGTCTACCAGTATGTGGTTCCGGAGCTGTATAGAAAGGAAGTGAAGAGTGTCGGGGTAATGGGCGGTATTAGCTTTGGCGTAGGTACATTCCTTCCATGAAGAGAAAAAAAGAAAAAAAAAAAAAGAGAACAGAACAGAACGACTGGTGTGTTTCAATGGCTCATATCTCATAGTATCATCCAGTTTCTGGCGCTCCAGCCTTCTTTGTTCACCCATGCAACACGGCAGATGCCATGGGACATATTGCAGATGCACAGAGCGTCACTCCCGTCACATATCTTCTGATCTGGCTCGGGCTTGTTGGTCCGTGTGTGAGCCTGCACATTCCACGCGAACTCGTTTTACCCCAGGACGGTACCAGACCATCGTGAGGCATCATTGCAAGTGCGAAGTAGACGACCCTATTCGGGAAGTCAAATCCAGTGGCTTTGGGTGACGACCCTCATTCCTCATCGGAAGATTGATCCATTGGCACATCGCTATCTTCGTCCATCGGGGCGTCACTCTCGTCACTCTCGTCCTGGCGCGGTCGCTTCACTCCATGCGCTTCGCCGTTCGTCGCGGATGACTGGGTTGGAATGGCGCCAGGTGGGCCGCTGAAGATTGACTTTTGGAGGTCACTCGAAACATTGGTCTGGGCAGCGGCCGGAGTGTTGAAGGTACCGCGAAGCTTGGCGAAGATGTGGGACGTGCCTTTCGCATAGACGATTTTCTAGGCGTGATTGTTAGCTTGAGAAACTACCAGATCGATGGGAAGAAGACCTACCATTTGCTTGCCAAAAAAATCAAATCCTTGAAGAGCGCGCAGTGCCTGTGTGCTATCGTGAACGTCCCTGAAGACGACATGAGCCTGGCCGCGCATTTTGGTGGTCTTCATGGTCACGATATCGAGGACGGTTCCGTAGGTCGAGAACAGGGAATAAAGCGATGATCGCAGGTCGTGCTTCGTAAGCTTCTCTGGCAGATTTGTGCAGTAGAGGCTGAAAAAGCCATTAGATTCCATCACGAGCTCAATTGCGAACAGTGGGTGCCCTTACGTTTGATTCGGATAGCCATTCGCTTTGACGTCGGCGCCCTTTGGGGGCGCGTTCTTGGAAGCCATTTTAGGAGGTAGAAGGTGAAGAGACGGTGAAGCTTGTCTCGTGCGGGGTTCTGAGAGAGAAAGGAAAAGGAAAACGGAGGGATCGGAGCTCTGAACCTGCTGCCCCGAGCCAACGCGTAAACTCAAGAGAAAATGGGATGGTATTGTCATGTGACGTGGTTATCTAAGCGGCCCCGGGGCGTCATGGCCAGCTTCCCCCGAAGCTCCGCCTCCCCTCATCCCATCATCGACGGTAGAGAGCTCCTCCTGTCGTACATTGACCATGGCCGCTCCTCAAGTCCACCACCTCTTCCATGCCCCAATTGCTGATCACTCGTTCTCGTCCGACAGACAGACACTTGCTGTTGCCCGCGAGAACAATGTGGAGCTGTACCAACAATCAGGCAACAAGTTCGCGCTGAGCGATGAACTGAAAGGCCACGAGAAGACCGTCACGAGTGTTGATATCGCTCCTAACAGTGGTCGCATCGTTACCTGCTCGCAAGGTATGCCTTTCCAAATCCCGGCTGTTGGAATGTCTAGCTAATGCAATATAAATTAATACATAGACCGCAACGCTTACGTATGGGAGCAGACTCCCTCCGGCTGGAAACCTACACTGGTTCTTCTCCGAATCAACCGCGCTGCAACCTATGTGCGGTGGTCTCCCTCTGAACAAAAATTCGCCGTCGGTTCCGGAGCTCGCGTGATCGCCGTCTGCTACTTCGAGGAGGAGAACGACTGGTGGATCTCGAAGCACTTGAAGAAACCCATTCGCAGCACTATCACCACGCTCGCATGGCACCCGAACTCCGTGCTCCTGGCTGCCGGTTCTACCGACTCGCACGCACGTGTCTTCTCCAGCTTCATCAAGGGCGTCGACACTCGTCCGGAGCCCAGTGCCTGGGGTGAGCGTCTTCCGTTCAACACCATCTGCGGTGAATTCCTGAACGACTCGGCTGGCTGGATTCAGGGTGTCAGTTTCTCCCCGAGTGGTAACGCCCTTGCCTTTACTGGTCACGACAGCAGTGTCACTGTTGTGTATCCAAGTGCGCCCGAGCAGCCTCCTCGTGCGATGCTGAACATTTCCACCCGCCTGCTTCCTCTGAACAGCCTTATTTGGAACGGTGAGAACGAGATTATCGCTGCTGGACATGTAAGTAGACGGTTATATCTTGATGCGTTGATTGAATGTATTAACCTTGATAATCTAGGATTGCGAGCCATTCCGCTTCCGTGGCGACGAGAGTGGCTGGCAGCTTGCAGGCTCGCTTGAAAACAAGGACGGAGCTGGAACTGGCGGAGCCCGTGAGGAGTCTGCCTTGAACATGTTCCGCCAGATGGATCTCAAGGGCCAGGCGCAGGTTGACACCAAGCTCAAGTCGACTCACCAGAACACCGTCAACACGGTCCGTGTCTTCCAAGAGTCTGCCGGTCAGGTCTCATCCTTCAGCAGTAAGGTCGCCCGCTCAACGTTCTCCTGTCTTCAGAATACTGACATTCTTTTAAGCCAGCGGAGTCGATGGACGTGTCGTGGTTTGGTCAACCTGAACAGTGCAGTCTCGTGACTCAACAGCCCCTTAGAATATATATCCCTCTATGGAAACAAAGTGCGAAGCTATCTGTTAGCCTACATTTTGTATTACTAGTAGCCCTCGTGCCCTCTACATTTCTTTTTCCATTTCCGTTTGCGTAGTCCCGTGGTCTTCCCCGCGTGTCCCGATTACTAAGCTTCCCCGGATTCTCCAACTCATGTCGTTTCTTGGGAGTTCTCGTACGACATCTCACTTCTACAATCCCGACAATGCTTTTTCCCCGGAATAACTTTGGCTTCATGTGCCTTGTACCCCTCCTTTGGGGCGCAGTGTCGTCGGCGCACAATGAAACCCGACCGATCTCAAACGAGCTATTCAACTCGCTGGAGGAGCTATCTCGACTCGTCGACATCTCCTATTGCGTAGGCACGACGGGCGTGCAGAAGCCATTCCAGTGTCTCAGCCACTGCTCAGAGTTCCCGAACCTAGAGCTAATAACAGTATGTTCCATAACGCACAGTCAAACCCCATCATTTAGCCATCTGATCCTAACATCCGCAGGCATGGAGTACCGGAGTGCTATTATCCGATAACTGCGGGTACATCGCGCTGTCACACGAGCCCGGGGAGAAGCGCATTATAATCGCTTTTCGGGGTACGTATTCAATTACAAATACGATCATCGACCTCTCCGCATATCCACAATCATACGTCCCATATCCAGGAAACGATTCGGACAGGGAAAGCAAAACGCAACCAGAAAAGCACTGCACAAACTGCACCGTACACGCCGGATTCCTTAAATCCTGGACCAACACACGAGAAACAGTACTGCCGCGCATCGCCTCTGCACTGGAAAAGTACCCCAACTACGAAGTAACGTTGGTAGGCCATTCGCTGGGCGGGGCGGTAGCAGCACTAGCAGGGCTAGAAATGCAATTGAAGGGGTGGAACCCGACAGTCACGACATTCGGCGAACCGATGGTTGGGAATGCCGATTTCGCCAGCTTCCTCAATGAGCAATTCGAATTAGAAACCGGTCGCAAATCGCGTCAGTCAACGAACTCCTACAGCTACAAACTGAAGGAGCGGAAATACCGCCGAGTAACGCATATCAACGACCCGGTTCCACTTCTCCCACTTCGAGAATGGGGATACGCGCCCCACGCTGGTGAAATATTCATTTCCCGAGCAGAGCTTTCTCCCGCAGTTCGGGATGTTCGATTATGTATCGGCAATGAAGATCCAGGATGTATCGCCGGCGCCGAGTCACCAGAACGTGAACTCTTGGACATGTACCAAGATATAAACATACCACTGGATACGATGGAGAATCCAGTAGAGCCATGCTATGAGTCACCTGAGATGATATCCCATCCAAATGCGGAGCAGCAAGTCGTTATCGGGGCACGAAGCAGTCCAAGATGCAAACCGAAGGAAGCCACCTCAGGACTGTATCCCCGGAACTGGGATTGGTCTTTTATTCCCGGGAGATATCGACTTTGGGAGCTATTCTATGCTCACCGGGATTATTTCTGGAGAATCGGGCTGTGTGTCCCTGGTGGTGATCCGACGGGGTGAGACCTCTCCGAAGGGCTTCGAAGAATTTTGATGCATTTAAGGCGGATTTTAGGGGTGAAGCTAGGCCGTCCATGGCGTTCACGGTTTCTGGGATGTTAGTTTTATGGGCACACTATGTGATGTTCTGGAAGTGATTTATCCATTAAATTTGGCACAGCATTTATGAAGTTTCTAATTGTGATAGGATTCGAGCTCTACTTAGATTTGAACAATCTATAGCTATGCATATCACAGCGAACAAGGCACTGGGATGAGAATATAAAGTGTTCATAGGGTAATATGGAACATGGGGGTAAAGATAAAAAGCCTCTGCAAAGGTAAGAAGAGACATGAAGGGGTTCATGGCAAATTCGTGTGCAAGAAGCAGATAAAAATAAATACTGGGAAAAGAGTACCGGGGGGAAATAAAAAAATAAAATAAAATAAAATACGACGATCCCAGAACCAAAGCAATGAGGCTAGTAAAACTCATGAAAAACCCCAGCAGAACCACCATCACCTTCCATGCTCCAAGCTTGGCACAATAACAGGGCCATACTTTACAACACTAGCGTAAGCACCATCCCCCTGAACCATGAAATCCGCTGCTAGACTCAACTTCCCCTGTGAAGCAAGATGCGGCTGGTGCGGAGCAGCGCTCACAACTTCAGGATCATAAGCGACGATCGCAACGTAGTTCCGTCTAGCCATGAGCTTCCGATATTCGCGGGTCTGGCCATTCACGTCGGTCTGGAAGATTTCCATCATGTCTTCCTTTGTATCGGTAGGCTGGGCCGAAGAACGGTGACCATTTGCAGGGACGTAGAGGGGCTTGCTGTGGCTGTGGAGAAGCTTGATGACATAAGACGGAGGAGGAGTATTGACGACGGGCGAGGCGATGAGTTGATACATTGTCTTGTGGTCGGATGGCTGAGCGGGATCATGGACGAGACCTGCACCGCAGACATTGACGGCGCCGGAGAGGAAGGTCATCCGGAGGGACTTTTGATGAGATATACCTTGCAATGTACGAATGAGGTATGTTCGTTCCAGATCCTGAATTTGATGTTAGCGAGAAAATGCAAAAAGATAAAGGGGTTGGTATATGACAAACCTTTGATTCATGTGTCCATTGGTCACGGAGTTCGTCCATGAGATCGAATTCACCGAATGGACTCAGAATACCGCCCATTAGACCGGATTTGCCAACTGCACGCTTAACGGAGTCGAAACCCGATCCCACGAAGTCCTTTGCGCCGACGACGCCAGCAACAGAACTTGTCACCTTTCCGAGGACATTGTAGGCACCGGTGACGGCCCTCTTGCCGGTGGTGACAGTCTGAGCAATATGCTCGGCTGTCTCCAGACGAGGGTAGATCAGTGGCATGGAGACCATCCAGAGACAATGCTGGACGCTAGGCGGTAGCATCGCGATCTTAGGGAAGAGACCTTGGTAAGTTGGACCAGCCATGACTTGATGAGGGTTTCGCTCAGAGCGACAGTCCGGGCCGACGACCACGACACCAGGACCAAGATATTTGACAAAGTGCCAGCCAGTGCCGGTGATAGTGAAAAGATCCATATCGGTATTGACATTTCGGAGAATGTCGAGGGTGGTGTGGTGTTGGAAGAGAAGGTACATCTCGATACCGATGCGGCCGATATTCTTGAACATGTTCGAGAACTGCATGTGTTCAGGGTACGAACCAAAACCATCAAAGCTGGTATCGTGTTAATAGAGCGTTGGGAGTTAGTCATCAAAACTATTTGAACTTACATGTCGTGATCATCGATCTGGCAGATGTACGGAATCTGCGCAAAAGACTCGCGCAGATAAGGCTGATCGAAATGGCTGGTGTAGTAGTGGAAATAGGCATGTGAGACATCCTGCTGATTTGCCGCTGTCCAAGGAGCATTTTTCCTAGCCTCCTTCCCGCTGATAGCGAGCCATTGCTTGAGGCAGGGAATCTCTTTCCACATCCGATCCGCATAGATCTGACCACCGAGACACAATTGAGTATGAAAACCTCCAATCTCATTGTGTTTCTGCATGATATCCTTCCACATGAAGCCCACACCCCCAAGACGAGCACGCTCGTTGGCATTGACATTGAGCGAGAAATCGTTTCCAGAAATCGCGATGAAACGCCAGTTGGTCTCATGTCTGCCAGCGACAAGGAACTCATATCGTGTGCAGCCAAGGTGGGAGGTAATGGCGTAGGTCCACTTGGCTGGTCCTGCATCATCCATTTGGATCTCAATTTCGTACTTATAGAAAGTCCAGCGCTGGTGAGCCGCAATATTGACAGCCTTCAGCTGCCTGGGATTCGGTGACAGATCCACACTTTGGTGAATGTGGATGGTGGGTGGTTGCGCGGCATCCGTTACCAACAAAATAGATCCTAGCCACAGGCCTCGCTCGAGATCCATGTTGGTATAGCGGAGATACGGGCCGAAATAGACACCATTGGTGGGAGCTGTTTTGTAGAGATCCATTCCGCTGCTAGGTGGGGGCCCGGAGAATCCTGCCATGGGGGATTGTAGGCTCTCGAAGCCTGGTGTCATCGGAACACCAGGAGAAGCCAAGGGCTTCCCAAAGGCTGACAGACCCGGAGATGTGAGCGGGTGACTGCTGTACACGCTGCCCACAGGGGACAGCGGCGTTTCGTTGAGGTTCAACGGTGTAGGACCCTTGGGAAATTCCCACTGAGTTGACTGCGTGGGCAGGTGTATGTAGTAATATTGCCCCGAGTTTGGATCCATGTGCGCAATCCATCCTTCTGGAAGCGGCGGAGGGGAAGCTGGAGGAAGACCTGTAGGAGCCGGGGAGGCGACCTGTGCCACTGTCGCCTGTTGATATGCAGAATGGCCGCTTGGCCCAGCACTGTGCGGTGACTGACCCATATTCTGCTGTTGTCGGGGGTCATTGGCAAAAGCCGGGTGATCCTGCGTAGAAGAAGATGGCGCGGGCGAGGCAGATGTGCCCATGGCATTCGCCGCAGCAGTAGCAGGATGAGGTTGGCCCGCATGTGCTGGGTGTCCTGCCATAGCACCCGCAGCCACTCCTGCAGCCGCTCCTGCAGCGCCAGCGCTCTGCTTCTCATTCGGATAACCGCCCGAAGCAGCAGGTCCAGAAACACTTGAATAGGCGGGAGGAGGCTCGTCGCTGATATGCATGCGACTCATATCTTGTTCCAGCGCATTGGCCGGAATGCGGGACTGCTGCTGCTGTGGAACCGCTTGTGCGGATTGGGCCTGAGGAGACGAGCTTCCATACTGGCCAGGGTGCGCAGCTGGGGGCGGGCTGCCATATGGACCAGGATGAGCCGCAGCTTGAGGCGGCGGACTTCCATACTGGCCCGGATGCGCCGCGGGCTGTCCACCACTCACAACCTCTGCGCCTTGGTACACAGTCGGCGGACCATGGGGCTGGGTTCCCGGCTGTTCGGTAGGGGTCCAAGGACGCTGAGCCGGCGGTTGTTGGTACGTCGGGTGTTGACCAGAATATTGATCTGCGCGTCTCTGCGCTGCAGCATTCTGAGACTGAATGCCAGATAGAGTGGACGTACCCGCGATACCAGCCGCAGCATAACGAGCCTCGATATCCGAGCCCGGCTGTTGACCAGGGCCAACGATGGGCGTTTCTGGAGGAGGGGGCGAACCGCGTTGGGCGCGGGTTGTAGAGGTAGAAGCCGTGGAGCTGATGCGATTTATTCCACCCGATGCCTGTGGGGGTTGCAAAGTTGACGATGGTCGCGAAGCCGAGCTTTGAGGGGGTGGATAATAATGTTGACGATAATCATACTGGTTCTGATTTTGCGCCTGGTTTGCCTCAGCTGTCGCATGGACATTGGGGACTGAGGATTGGGTCGCCGGAGGACGAGGGTAGGTTCTCGCCGCGAGAGCATCGCGATCCGGTGCATGCGCACCAGGTGACTCTGGAAGAGGCTGAGGGGCAGCACCACGACGTTCCGCTAGCGTCGCGACTCGAGGTTCTCGGCCATCGCGGGGTCGCAAGGCCGGTGGATAATCGGCGGGGCTCACGGAGCCCGAACCGGAGCCCGCCGGTGGAGGGGAAGCATATCTGTCGTTGTCGGCATGACGACCGTCATTGGAACTCGAGCTGCGCATCTGCGGACGAGGTCGGTCATCGGGGTAGGGGAGTGGCGCGGTGGGAGGAGATGAGGCCGAGGCCGAGGCGGGGGAGGCAGAGTCCCTTTTGTTGATGCGGAGCGGTTCGACGAGGGGTGCTTCGCTAGGCCTGTGCTGTGGTCTGGAAGACGAGTCGAGGAAGAGTTCCCCGTCAGGGTGAATAGCACGGCTTTCGCCGGGGTCCATGGCTGCAGGTGAACCGATCTGACTTGGGATGGTGATGCAGAATGCAGAAGCTGGGAAAATGCGTCAGGTACCAATCACTCTAAGCTCAGCGCGCAGATCAGGCTTGCAGGTTGTCTTCAGGGAGGGGCGGAGACTAACGTGGGGGGTATTTGCGGGTTTTGGAATAGGGGCCGATCCTGCGATAAAAATAAACCGCGGGGAGGCTTGAGGGCAGCGATGCGAAAGGAAAAAGCAAATGCGAAGAAGTGGAAGTGAAGGCAGAAGAGGAATCGCTAGGCGCCAAGTTGGGCGAGTCGCCGACCCCGCAGGTGACGAGCTCCCGTCACAGCTGGTGCCTGAAGAGAGCAGGACGAGGAGACAGGACTAAGTGGGCAGGCTGAAGTACGGCGGTTAGGGCTAGTCTGCTAGTATATACAGCTAGTATCCTAGTCGAGGTAGCAGGGCGCTAAACAGAGTTCGGGTGGATTTGTGGTTCCATGGCACATTATATTCGTTTCTATACATACACTATCGTCACTCATGCTGGGAATATGACCCGACAAAGACCAAGAAGAAAAAGAAACAAAAGTACAAGTCATGCAAAACGTCAACACAGATGCCCGAGCCCGACGCCGATCCCAAAGAACTCCATCGACCAGGCCTAGAAGCCGAAATTGACCATCTGCAGCCCTTCCTGGGCCATGAGATCGGCCCAGTCCACATCCAAAGTGTGGCCGACCCGCATGAGCCGCTCGAGTTGACGCTCGTATACGGTCTGCAGAATGGCCCGGGTGGTCGCGGCATTGCGACCCATGCCGTCTTCCTCGTCTTCCATGCTGGTCATCAGTTCCATCGCCATCATCTTGAGGCCGCTGGCCGCAGCCGTGGCGCCGGCGAGGAAGAGAGGGAAGACTAAAGAGTGCCGGTCGGCACGCCGAGTGTGGGCGGTTCGTTCGGCAATGTGGAGGATCTCCAATGCATGATGATCGATATCTCCATCAGAACTGAACTCGGACTCGAGACGTTGCCCGGGCCACATGCTACTGAAGGAGAACAGTTGGCTAACATGGAAAAGAGTGGCAGACTATAATCAGGTTAGTATTTGTAAATGTTCATAACCCTTCAAATAGAGTAAACTCACCTGCTGCAACATTTCCTGGGACCGTCGCGGCAGAGAATCTTGCTGTTGGTGCCAAAACGCCACATCATGGGCTTCCCATAACCTTGCAAAAGCTTGGCGTAGGTCGCGGATCTCCTTTGATCGTTGATCAAATTCCGCGTAAGGGAGGGACAGTTTATCCTGACGGAGCTGAGCGGCGAGGAAACCAAGTTGGGCAGTTAACCTGAAGGTATCGGCGTAGAGGTGCATAATGGTCGGCAGACTGTCATGTTCATCGGAGTATATCACACTGTATCCCTCTGCCACGGACGGGTAGAGAAGACAGTCCGAGCTGGGCAGCATCTGGTTATCCAGGATGGCACGCAGAAACTCGCCAGTCCCGGCTCCACTCAGCAGGGCATAGAGATCTATGTGACAAATCCACCAGATGATGAACGGGTAGGGCTCCCGTCCATACCGATTTCGACGCAAGAAGGTGATGTGGAGTAAGCGAGAGATATGATGAGACCAGAGATTTGAACCATGAGGCTCGGCAGCCGCAACCTAACGGGCAGATGGGTCAGTAATGGGCCAGGGTCAATCCACAAACCGGGGAATCTCACCTCGTAGATCAGGAGAAGGAAGTGGGTCAAGAAGAGCCCGTCAGAGACGAGATCGTCATTGTTGCGGAGGCTAATTTGGAGGGAGGGAAAAGCTTGTTGGTAGTACTGCAGGGCATCGACATTCTGTCCAGTGCCGCTGTGTGAAAGACTGAGGGCCGAGACAGCCATGATTGCAGGAGAAAGCTAGACCCAATTAGCCCCAATGTCAATCCATCATTAAAAAGAAGAAACAAAGCATACCGGAGGAAAACGAACTGCCTCGCGCGCAAGAAAATCAACACTGAGACTCATACCATGGTTTTCGTGCCCATAGGAAGAATCATCCACGCTCCGGTCGTGCGGAAATAGCTGCTTCCACACAACATGTCGGAAATGAGCAAAGAGGGTTGGGTCCAGCGTCGGTTGATCCAGGCAAGGCTCGAGGAATGATGCGGAATCGTCCTCAAAAATCACCGGCGACGGCAGAGAATCAAGAATCGGCGAAAGCGAGAGGGCGCAAAAGGGATCAGAAATCTCCGACGTCGGGGACACCCGCGAATTGCGTCCCGTCGACGAAGATCGCCGAGTGATATCCTCAAACGCCTTCAAGATGACAACATTTGGGTCCTCGCTGATCGTTGTGTTCTCTGACTTGATCCCGGAAATCGGACTGGTTGCGACGGAGCTGACCGACTCGGGGGCATGTGCATCATCTGAATATTCAGGCAGAGCAGTAAAGCTGTCCGGCGTCACGACGACGTGGTATGTGCCGGGACTGCACGCCTCTGCCTTCCTCTCCCGATCCTCGTCCGAGGTGAGCATCGCAAACACCGGCAAGTTGTCCTTGCAGGAGAAGTAATCGGTCTTTTCTTCGCTGGGGGTCGGTGATGAGACTACGTGCAAGTTAGGCGATTCGAGTCCCAATGCAAGAGCAAGAGCCGGAGCAAACGCTTACGATCCCAAACAATGTTTCCATCTGTCTTTACGTCGGCCATGCGGCCCATGATGCGAGGGGTGTCATCGCGGAAGGCGAGCCGGGGTCGGTAGTCGCAAATATGTCCTAGACGAGTGCATTGCTAGAGGAAAGAAAAAAAAAGCTGTGTGAGTTGCCTGCTTGTGATTCGAGGCTCGGAGGGCCCGAGGAATTTCGTACATTACATTGCGGGTGTCCTTCATCACATTTGACTGTGGAATGCTGGGTCAGCCATTTGGATTCCTCCGGTGGTCTAGACCAGACCGTGCTGACGAGGAGGAAAAACGTACCTTTGCGACTCTGTAATGCGCAAGAAAAAAAAAAAGAATTGTCATTCCAGAGCCCTGGTGTTGGGAAGTAGAAAGCGGAGATGACTCACCCGACAAGTCCTAGATAGAGGGTCAGCGTGAGTTGAGCCATGCAGAGACGGGGAATTGACGTACCAGCAACCCGTTCTTGATCGCGGCGGCAAGCGAATCCGCGGGGGTGCAATCAGACCCTTGTCCAATTTACTATCGGCGAGTTCCTCCTTGGGCGCAATGATGGGGAGCCGCAACGGGCGTTTTCCAGAGGCATGGCCTCGACGGTTTTGCATAACCAGGCTGGTGACCGTCATAAGGCTGACTGGGTGCCTAGCAGCTGTCGGGGGTGGTCAGTTGGTGGACAGGGCGATGTCGACGTCAATGTAGGCGCAGACGGAATTGGAACACGTAAGGTACAAGGGCGTGATATATACCGGGATGGGGGGAACTTGGTGAGGGGGAGCGCCACCAAAGAGAGAAAGGGGGGAGGGGGTTTGGCTGACGGGGATAACGGGAGCTGGACGGTTCGGGAACACAACGGAGTTTGGGTGGCGGGATGAGATGGGAGGAAGAAATAGGGGAGGTGAATAGGGGAGGTGAAAAAAAGGGCAGGGAGAGAAGTTATGTAGAATCACATCACGAGCAGGACAATGCAAATGCAGGGCCAGGAGTGGAAAGTGGTTCGAGGCTGCATGGTTCACGGGCGCAGCCCTGTTCCTGGCTTGACAGAGTGGCGGGAATCTAGGAATTGGAATTGGAGGGGGAGTGGAATGGGAACCAATGCGGCAATGTTTGGAAAAAAAGTAAAAAAAAGTAAAAAAAAGAAAAAAAAAAAAAAAAATCGAAAATGGAATGATGGTAAGGGAAAGGAAAAGAATCTCTCGGATGCGAGCCCAAGTCTCCGAAACGAGGAAGAATGGGGGGAAAGACTTTGGCTGGTCGGACTTAAGGGACAGGTCAGACCCCGGAAACACAGCCGAACAAGCACGCAGACACATGATCCGGTTCGTCCGGGGGAGGCGAATCTGCTGGAAAAGAGGGAAAATGAAAAGAAAAAAAGGGCAGGATCAGACACTCACCAGCCCAAGGGCAGCAAAAGGGCAGAAAACAAGACTAGCAGATGGCATGCAGGTGCCAACCATGTGGGATGTTGCTATTCTTGCGCTTCGTTTTCTTGTCAGGCGAATCAGACCCGCGCCCTAGCGCAGACCAGGTCCGGAGATGCTGAAAGCAGCCTAGACTAGGAGCAGACTAGCCAGGCGAGCGTCTCGGAACATAAATCATGCACTAGCCACGCTAGGGCTGGCTGAGGATGAACACGTCGAAGAACCGAGAGCCCGGGACAGCCAAAGCGGATTAGAGATTAGGCTCGGTGGATTATGGTTACAAGGCAGTACTTCCCCGGGATGTAGAGTAGGACAGGGCGGTGCCGGTACCAATACTTGACAATTGTACCCTAGGGAGACTCGATCGGAGCCGAAGAATGGACATCTGGGGAAAGGCCTGGATCGGCCCGGCCAGGCCGGTCTGGACTCCGCGCGCGTGCTAACTTGAATAGTTGCTAGTGCGTCCGCCGGCCGTCCCTTACTACCCGGTGATTCCCCCAACGGCACCCAATCGCACACCCTCACAGGCCGGACTTGGCCGAGGGTTAAGCGAGTGGCGCTCCTTCGCACTCCTTGACTGTCTGCGATCTGTTGCGATCGGGACCCTAGTAGATTATCATTCAGAAAACAAAGCCCAGCAGATCCCCACGTGGCTCATCCATTCCCGGGGGATGTACTGCTAGTCCCGTCTGGTCCATGCGTACAACTGGTAGTATGTACTACATACTGGGTACTTGGCACTTTGGGACAGGAATCTGCAGAATTCGATAGTAGGATTATGCTAGCACTACTGCTGCCCTAAGGTAGTAACTAGAATTACTACTGTACCTCCCCCCAAGTCTCCCTATTCTTCTTCTGTATACGAGACCCTAAGGCACCGTACTAAGGTGGTCAGCTGTACTCCCGTAGGGCCAGCGCCTGCACAGCTGCAGACTACAGCAGCCCTAATGCCTGGTCCAAGATGCGCTGGATGCTCTCCGACCGCTCGCTCGCCCTCCACCCGCGCAGCGCCTCACCCAAAGCGTCGGGCACCCCCCGAACTCCCGGCCGAAGCCTCAGGTACACCAGCACTGCCTCTGCGCGATCCTTGCGGACTGCCTCGACCACATCCCTCTCGCACACCAGCACGCCCGCCAGATCACGCATCGGATCCACCAGCTCCCCTTCATCGGACCCCGTCCACCGATCCACTCGTCCAAAGAACGCTTGGAGCTCTCGGTAGGCCGTGCTGACAACCTGTCGTCCGCCGTGGCTCAGGGCCTGGTTCAACGGAGCGATCACCTTTCGCACATTCTCTCCCAGCACTGTGGTTAGGATTAAACTTAGCAGTGAACGGACGCTAGAGGTAGGGGCGGCCCATCATTGTTTTGGGTTAGAGACAGTCAACGCACCTTTGCCGGACTCGGCCGTGGGGTCGGAATTCAAACATTGCAAGAGACACTGCACACATGATGCCAGCGTATCCACCGACTCTCGTTTGGCTCCCGTTTTGTTGGGAGCCCCCGAGTCGATCTCCATCCGATCCTCATCCTCCTCCCCGATGGTGTCTTCAATCACCCCGGGGACGATTGTCAGCGCATCCTGTAGGAAATCCCCCGGGCGCACCAGTGCGATTTCTCCGAGGGCCATCAGCCCATGCGGTCGGTAGGCTGCATTGTTCCGCTTCGCTTCGCGGACGGCGATGGTCTAATGCGCGGGGTTAGTACGAGTCACTCGTCATTTGTCATTTGGCACTTGTCAATTGTCACCCGTCACCCGTCACCCGTCACCCATCATCCCCGTCCTCGGTGGGGGATCGCGAAAACGAAAGAGACTAGCAAGCGGGAGACAAGATAAAAAAAAAAAAAAAAAAAAAAAGAAGAAGAAGAAAGAGACCAGAAAGGGAAGAGACAGGAAGAACCCACTTTCAGCAGCTCCCCCAACTCGGGGCGCGCCGTCCACAGCGCCTGGGCTGAGCGCGCAAACTTGACTAGCGCCGTCAGCAGCACCTCTTTACCGTCCCATGTCTTGCCGGCCAACGCCTTTTCCAAGACGGGCCAGACTAATTGCGCGGTGGGGAGATGGATTTCCGCGTCTAGGGCGAGCACCGCCTGCGCGATCGCACGTGCGGCCGTGTGCTTGATGGCCCACCGCGCCGAATCCAAATTGTCGGATACGAGGCTGACGATCTCCCGGATGTACAGGGTCACCGCCCGGCTGCCCCCCACATTGTCCTGCCAGGTCTTCTCAAACTCCTCTCGCACATGTTCGTCCGCGTCGTGCTGACACACAAACACAAAGGGCAGCGCGCTGGTTGCAAACGCCATGAACCGGTCGTTCGACAGCTTGGACGAGCTGTACAAGATCTCGGCGGAGATGGCCCGGGTGCTGGCGTCGTCCGAGTCCAGATATAACCTTTTGGCGTAGTCGATGGTTTTCAAGACCCGGTCGTCGGACGCCAGTCTCATCAGGTAGCCTAGCGATGTGCAGTACGACGCGCTCACGGTCTCATTGCGATCCACCACGTACTTGCCCAGCAGCTGGATGAACCGGTCCGCGTACGGCCGGAAGAGCAGCGTCTTCATGCTCAGCAGGACCAGCACCCGGCTGCAGCCCACCTTGGAAGGTAAGCCTACTGCGGAGCGCAGCACGTCCTCTAGTCGAGGCGCTAGCTCCTTCAGGTTATCCTCGTCCAGATGGTCGATGAGATAGCGCTCAATGACCTCCATCATGGGGGATGTCCGAATGCTCGATAACCGCATCTTATCAATGTCCTGCCCGGTGAGGCCGTACTTGTCGGCATTCAGATGGACGTAGTTGACGGCCTGTGGCTCGAGAGAGCTGAGCGAGCCAAGGAATTTCTCCAAGATTGTCGGGACGAACGGGCGTAGGAGAGTACCGGTACTCTTCTTGATGATCTGGACCAGAGCCCCAATTGCGTAGCCCCTCACGTCTTCCACACTCGAATCAAGACCCTTGTCACTCAGCAAGAATGGCACCGCACTTGAAAGTAGAATACCCGCTCTCTTCTCAGACCCATTCGTCTCCAGGGTCCGAATCACCGAATTGGTAAGGGTCTGACAAAGCTTCAGCGCCGCCGTCCGAACAGACTCCTTGATATCATCAAGAAGCTTAAATGCCTTCTCGAAAATCTCATCGAGATACTGCGCATACTTCTCTGGTCGACGCCCGGAGACTAAATCCGCCATGGCGGCACAACTTGCTTGCCGAGCACGCCACTCGCGGCCCGAAAGCATGCTCTTCAGCAGATCTTCCATGATGGGCTCGAAATGGGCGTCGACCGCGGTCGTCGGGTCCTTGACGAGAGCTTGCCAGATGGTATTCATCGAGCGCTGGACATTCGGATTCGGGTCGAAGCGGTAGCGGAAGAGTTTCGGGTAGATCTTCGGGTTTTGAGCGAGATAGCCATCGACACTAGAAGACGAGAAGATACTGCTTATGCCAAAGCGGCCAAATGCAGCTCGGTTACTCCAAAGTGCATTGTTGGACGCCATAGACATGAATCGGTAGACAAGGGTAGGATCACCCGCCTCTGCGGCGAGGTTCATGATATCCTTGTAGGTATTGACGGAGGAACCTTCCCCAGTGGGCAGGGCACCGGGCTCGAAGAGCTGGGTGTCATCGTTGACATTTCCACCACCAAGGTTGGCACCGGTATTGGTGAACGAGTCGACGAGATCACGGACAAGATAATCCTTCAGATCCTGGTCACCGATCTCATAGACGAGACTGAGACCATGGGCACCGGTTTCTTGGACAACTTCGTCCCGATTACCGAGAAGGCTGGAGAATGTGGCTTGACATTTGCGGAGGCGTTCCTGCATTTCCGGCAGGTGACCGCAGTTTTTCACGAGCGATAGAAGCCATATGGCAGAGGCCTTGCGGAGAGAGGGCTTGGGCGCGGTGCAGTCAGCGATTACCTTGTCACATACTTCTGCAAAGACGGTTCGCGGGACATCCGAGTGAGGGAATCCGGCATCAACGTCGAAGTCCTGAATTAGGGCTCGAGAGTCCCATCCCACTGCGACATTACTCAAAGCTTCGCCTACAGTAAATTGGACCTCGGGGCTGCGGATCTCGTGCATATTGTAAAGCGAGTCGCGGAAGTCACCAAATAGAGAAGAATTGGCCGATTGGTCCCGCGAGAGGGTGATTGTCAGGAGACCCAGAGACAATATGGGGATGTCATTCTCAGATTTGGCATCGCTGGCCAGCTTCTGCTGAACTTTTTCCATCCGTCCTCCGGAAGAGTCTTTAGTGATAGAATACCAGATAGACTTAGTTGTCCAATAGCAATTTCTGCCGTACGCTGAAGCAGTTGATCACGGGAAGCATCGACGATATCCAAGACTGTCTTAATGAACTGCTTGACCTGTGCTTCGAGGACCTTTTCCAATCTCTTGCGGTATGCCAGTCTGCTGAAGAGGTACGAAAGGGCGAGAATAGCTCCGCGAACGCGAAGGGCAGCCTCGCCAATGGCAGTGTTCCATGACTGGAGAGTACCAGCCAGCTCAGTGGCAAAGCTGTTCAAGTCTTCATCAGAAGTTGCGGGATGAGAGACCAAGATACCAAAGGCTCGTGCCGCGAAGCCTTGGATCTGTTCGTTATTGCTCAAGATAGGTTTGTTGAGAGCTTTAGCGCGCGGGGTCAATCTTTCAACGACATCATTTGAAGAAAGCGAGCAAATTTCAACGAAATGAGCGCCGCATTGGCGAAGATCAGCAAGACCCTCCTTCTCCAACCCATCAAGGACACCCGATAGATAAAAGAAGACGGCGTCTTTTGAAGATGTGCGAATATACTTTCTCACAGCAGCACGGGATTCTTCATCCGCTGATAGGTGCACTTCAAGTTTAAAGTCCCAGTCTTGCTCCATATCCGTCACGATCCCAGACGCAGAGAACGCTTCCCACAGCAGAGTGTTTCGAAGGAAGGCAATAGCAGGCGCAAATGCATCTTTGTAAGGACCAGAAAGGAGCTGTGGTGCAGGTAGTGATTGATCCATAGACACATCTTCGTCTCCAGAGCCAAGCAGAAAGCGAGTTGCTTCGTCGAATCGTGGAAATTCAAACCAGGAACCATCGCGCTGCTTTTCTGCTACTTCAGTTGCAGACCACTTTTGATCTTTGGTTGGGTTGAGGAGTCGGAACCAGTAGGGATGCAGTCCCTTCTTGCCTTCTTCCACAACTTCTTGCTGTCTCCCAGGGCCCCTTGCGATAGCCATGAGATCGATCCAGCGAGCCACGACATCACTATACGGCAAGAATCGATTCGCGAATCGGACAGCGGCATACTGGACGCTCCGAACAACAGCAAATCCGGATTCTGGGTTCGTATCTCCGGGTTGCAGTGCCATCTGTTGAACAAGGAACGGGCGTAGTTGGTTTTGGAAATCCTTGTCGTGACTGTCCAATGATGAATTGAGGATACTTCCAAGCGCTTGGTCGATACTAACGAAGATTTCTGCACTTGAGTCGTCCGCGCTGAGGGAGGTGAACAGCCACCGAACCAGATCGAATTCATAATTCTCCACTGTCGCATCGCGGAGTTGGAAATCGACTTTGGGAACCAAAATACCGATGCTTTCGTAGGCAAGTCCTCGCAGGCTGAGGTCTGTAGCAGGCAACCTCTGCCCACTAGCACCCGGGCTGGGCCATCCCTGGGACTGGATGAAGTCTCGCAATCCAGCGATCAATTTGGGAGCAATCTGTTTGAGGTTCGACGGCGATCCCATCCGCACAACCCATGTCGTGAATGTGAAGATCTGAGTTCTCAACTTGGCAGCCTGCAAACCCTGCGCGGACCTAGCGGCATCAGAAAGTAGTCCGTCTTCAATAAGTTTGTATATCCTCTCAGTATTTTCCGTAGCCTTGATGGATTTTCCCAGGAAGACGAGAATCTTAGCCTGCAACGGAGGACGAACGGGAGGAGCGGTTCCAGCTCCAAAATATAAGTCATATAATTGTTCAACAACGGCGGCGTCCTCAAGGTCCACGGCGAACCGCTTGAGAGTCTCGTCACCCAGATCAGCAAGACGGGAGTTCGCATCAGCGGTAGCAATCAACGAAGGCAGGAATTTCTGGGCATCAGCGAAGGCGCCACTCCCGAGAAATCGGAGAGCAATGACCTTGGTTTCAGTGAGATTCAAGCCACCCGACGAAGCCGGGTTCCATGTCTCGCTAGCCGGCGCATCCTTATTCAGAAACTTATACTCATCTGGAGAAAGTCCGGGGCAGGAAGAAGTCTCGCCAGGAACGGGGGTTAAGAGGAGGAGCTTGCTCAACCAGAATGACAAAAAGCTCGCATCCGCCTCAGATAACCCAAGACGCTCTTTCAATTTCTGATCTTCATCACTGCTCTTCGGAGGCAGTTTGAAAAGCGGCAAGAGACGCAACACAAGATTGAAGACGATAGCTCCCTGGCTAGCGGAGGTTCCAATTTCCGAAATACCCTGAAGCAGGGGTACTAGGATCTCGACCCTGGCATCGGAGCCTAGACGATCGATACCCTGCTGCGCATAGATAAGATCAAAGTGACGCACAAGCTGGGACTTTTGCTCCTTGAATTGCTTCAACAAAGCCGCAACAGGCAATTGAATGGAAGGAGCCTGAACGCGGGTGTTGACATGCTGGCAAACGGAGATGACCTTATTGCGAACAGCAACGCTATCGGATGCCAGCTTCAGTAGTAAAGGCGGCAGGTAAGTTCCAAGAAGCGACTGGAGCTTCTCATCGGAGTCAGTCATGGCGATTCTGAACTCCACCTTGCCTATCAAGCTCAGCTCACGAGCTTCGGGGCTCGGTAGGTCCGACGCCATGTTGGAGGTTGATTTGTGCGAGGAGATGTGTGTGTTTAGGTGTGCATTGAAGAGGAAGAGGCTGCAGATCGGGTCGTAAAATATTTGTTTTCTCCGATCTATATAGGCAACCACACACACGTCACTGTCGTGGTTGAGCTTCCAGGGTCGCTGTATGGCGTGGGGGGAATAAAATTAGTCATCATAATGACTAATGAAATTACCCATCTTGGTTCCTGAGGCTCCATAGGCAATCACCTTAACTATCAATTTGTTGAGCGACTTTCTACTTCTCACTTTCAAATTTCTGGAATTAAAACTTAGTTGGACTTCACGTGCTGTGACAATTCTCAAATATTTTGCCTCTGAAAAGTGCGAAGATATATTGCAGTTTGTCAGACTACAACATCAAAGAAGAATTACATTACGATATACCGGATAATGTCCGCCAACTTTTGGCGGTCCCCTTCCGTTGTAGTGCTTACGCTATCGCCGCTTTTGCTCACTGTGTAGAATTGAGCATGCCCCTGATCGGCCTGAGCCAGTCAGTGATCATATGTAACCACCTGACTCACTCACTCAGCTTGTCCTGAGCATCCGGTTTGCTTACCAAGCTCATCCTCAAAGGAGTGACCTGAGTGAGTGAGTGAGCGAGCCCGTCACATAGTAACACTGAATTTCTCTGTTGATGAGTTCTGAACCAAGAAGCTAGCTAAAGATAGTAGTCCGGTCCATCACCTGACCTAACCTGTAACTGTGACCGTGACAACCGCTTTTTCGATTATGCAATTTAGTATCCCCATGGTTTATTTTCGGTGTCAAGAGATTTCGCCCATACGCGTCTTGCCTCTCCGTAGGATGGTTTTTCTCTCTGTAAACTTTTGGGAATCGGACGTTTCGTCGACATTCGAGGGTAGCATTGAGAGGTCGCTCACTGCAAGAAGGTCTTCGATATTGGTGCTTCCACTTGGGGCAATCCCACCACAGTCTTCAAAATCTTTCAGGGCCTTGTCGATTATCTCTACCTGGCCACTCATATGTAGGAAGTTTCCAATACAAGCGTGGATTTCGAGAAGTGGAGGATCAGGAAGTTCCCAACTTTGTGAACTCTGAACTTGACAAGCAGACTTTTAGGTAAATTTCGTATCGGCCTGTGGCGGTATCTGGGAAAGTCTTGATTCGATATTGGTGAGTAACTCCGATTGCTTCGAAATTAAGTCTGAATTGACCGAATTCTATGTGAAGTTAGGAGTCTAGCATTAGGACGTTCTTTTCCGTATTAATCTGTTCTGAGATAAGGGACATACTTAGAAGAACTAGAAAGTAGCGCCTTAGGTTAGTCCAAATAATTGTATGTCTATTCACTGCCTCGCTGTTATTGGCCTGAAAGGATCTAAGTGTAAACGGAATAATGTGGGCCGCTTTAAGATGGGTCGTTATTGCGTTCCGTGGATGGGCATGACTATGAGTGTACTGCCCCGTTGCAAGACATTTGTTGCTATCTCTTTCTAAACAGCGGTGCCGGAGTTACGACTGAGGGCTTCTGCGAATAGGCTCGATGTTTAGGCTCTTAAGATTCTCGATTGAATCTTCAATGCCTGAACGCGGAGACGGAGTGATTTTAGTGGGTGCTTTGCCATTATATGCTTTCATAGGAATAAATAAACCACTTCTGATGCTTTAGACTAGTTGCCAAAGCTTCTCATTGTTTGCACACCCTGAAAAGTCCCCCCGCCAGATTTTCCTTTCCATCAGGAACGAGGATCTTGAAGTCACTGAGGGAGTCCTTGGTACTGTCTGTGGCTTTAAGTGTTGTGTAACTATTCAGCTTTCGATCAAGCTTCTAGCTTGATTATGAGTATCGAAAACACTAGAAGACACAGAAGGACTCACCGTCTTTGAGGGTGATGACATGCTGCTGGCTACCTAAGTTGGGGATAGATTGGGGTCAGTCTGGAGGGTATAGCAGTTCCAATAAAAGCAAGGCGGCCGAATCAGCTGTGGCAGTTGAGAAGGGGATTGATGATGGATGAGTACGATTAGTTGAAGCCTTGCGAGGAGATGGAGTGCGATTGGTTGAAGGATTGTTAGGTGGGGGCGAGGAATCAGGCTTCAAGTCACTTCTTACCGCTTTTCCTATTCGCATTTGCTCTCATTCGGCTCATGACTGCATGAGCCCGTGCTGACATTACTCGGTGAGCCTGAGCCTGATCGCCCTCATTAAAGTGGAGGCAGCCCAGAGAGGAAAGCCCCACCAGGCGGACATTATCCTGTGTATATAGGGGCGTATTTCTTTGATAATTTGATGGTAGATTTGTAAACAATAAAGACACCGAGGCAAAAAAGCAGTCAACCAAGGATGGGTAGGTTTATACGTCATGACGGGTCGTAAATTCATCACTCTCTTCTTTGCTCAGCAGCCTCTCCTCGCAAGAACCGGCCAACCTCCCGCTCGGCCTCGGTCGAGCGATCATTTCCATTTTTCTGAGTGGATTTTCCAAACAAGCACTGCCACAAGTCGTCCTTCTTCACCATCTCTCCACCCGAGGAGCCGCTAGTCATCAGATTTGTTAGACTGGCATCTTGCATTTCCATCGAGTTTGCAGAGTCGATGGCAGTCTCGGTCAGATCCTGGATTATTAACTCTTCGCCTCCATCCTTAACCATGGCGCGTGAATCTTTCTCTTGCTTTTCCTTCTCGAGGATGTGGGCTAGTCGACGAGTAACTGAAAGCTCGTATATGGACTCTTCCACTGTCCCGGAGACAAGGTACATCCACACGGTTGTTGGACGATGTTGACCAATTCGATGTACTCGAGCAATAGCCTGGAGCTCAATAGCAGTGTTGATCAAGGGTTCGCAGAGGAACACATGTGTTGCATTGATCAATGTGAGTCCTGAAGATTGGGCCTTGCCATGAAGCAAAAAGCATTCAACCTGAAAAATGTCAGCAAGGTTGCTACATGGTAGAAATGATCACAGAAAACATACTGCAGGGTCCTTCTTGAAGTTTTCGATGCCACCCGGGGCATCAACACTGCTATTGACAATTCCAAACCGCTGGAAAGCTCTTTGCAGCACACCCAGGAAGTTCTTGTACTGAGAGAAAACAATTGATTTCGCACCGGGGTCATGCTCACGCAGCCAAAGAATATGCCGTGCAAGAGTGTCAATCTTTGTACCAAAGGAACCATCGAGGTCGATGTTTTTGATTTCTTTTAGAAGGCCTGAACTGATATCACTGTAGATGGCATTCTTGGGGTGTCGCTCATGGTCGAACCTCACGGGCGATTGCTCCTCCTGAGCAACCAAATCCTGCGGCTTGTAGGTGATCTGGTGGAAGTCATTGAGCTTGAGCGGCTTCTTACACATTGGACAAGTTCGATGCTGGCGCCACCACAGTCGCAAGCAGTCTGTACAGTACTTGTGGCCACAAACAGTCAACACACCTAGTGAAAAACGTTAGATAGAGCAATATGACTTGGGGTTCTAAATTTTGCACCCACCAACTTCGAAGCTTGACTGGCAGATAATGCAAATCCTTGAGCTATCGTCGGACCCGGAGTCATCCTGCAGATGAAGGAGGTACCGTCGCTTGGACTTCAATGACGCAATTTTGCCTTCGAGAGCCTCTTCCTGTTGCAATTTCGCCGCGAAGACAGCTTCATCCATTGGCTTCCCGGCATTTTCTTCATCATACGGTGCAACCGTGTCTGAAATTTGCTGCAGATGGCGGTAATACTCAAGCCGATTATTCATAGTGTCACGGAACATCTCAACCTCCCGTTCCAAGTTGGATGACACTTTGAGCTGCTCAGCAATCATCTGGCCCGCATTCTTCAGAACTAAGCCTGCAATTTCCAATTCAGCGCTGGCGCGTGAACTTCCACCGCTAGCTTGCCACTCAAGGGAGGTGACCAGACTGCGAAGCTCACTGACAATTCCACGAAGAGATCCAAGTTCAGGGTCTGGCATCAGCGCACTGCGAATATTCATAATGGACAAGAAAAGCTCAGGCGACGGTCCTTCGCCTTTTTCGGCTTGAATGATACCCGCTTTTACCTCATGGGAAATAAGGATGTTCTTTTGACCAGTGAGAGCGTCATGCCGATCCGCATACATGGAGCGTAAAGCTTCCATGTAGACATACATCTCATCCTGGTGCTTTGTTGACCGCTCATATTCGTTACCCTCCAGCTCGGCCTCTTCCTCTTGGTCAATGAGCGATTGTGATACCAACTTGATCATAATATCACGCCATGCATTGTATTGCTCCGCGTGGGAATTCAGGGCGGTGCAAAGGTCTTCAAACCTGTTCAGAAGGCGATAAGTCTCCAGTCCTCTGCTGTAGAGGTAAGGCTTCATTTTCGGAATATGCACGAACTGCTTTTTCTGCGTCTTCTCTCTTATGGCGCGCATGTAACGCTCCACCTTCTTCGAGATATCGGTCAACATCTCTTTACGGATGACTTTCGCAGCCTCGTATGCATCTTCTTCCTTTTTCTCGAGTGCCTTGAATTCATCAGAGTCAGGCGTGGTAAGACTTGGATCAGACTTGATTTGGTAATATGCATTTGCAGTGAAAAAAACCGCAATATGCTGAACCTCAAGAGCAGCACGTAATTTTAAGCGGCATTGGCCGATGCGGCTGTTCTTATCCGTTTCCTCGGCCTCATCATCCGAATCTGCAATATCGGCACAGGCCACTGCGTTCCCATTGGTTCCGTTCTCCTTGTTCTTGAGACGCTGCAACTGAAGTTGCTCTCTGCTGTCTTGAACAAGATTGGTAGAGTAATCCAAAGCTGCCTGCCACAATGCCAGAGATTCTCGCCGACGTTTGGCATTCTCGAGAAGCTGGCCTCGACGAAGTTGTGACAAGAGTAATGTTCGTTCCTCGGTACGGATAGAGGTATCGGTGGTTTCGATCATGACTTCAAGTACCTCATCAACGGTGCGCAGTGGGCCATTGCTTGCACCCAAAGCCCGTCGATTGCTTCCACTGACCTCTGGATGTAGGCAGGTTTGACGAAGTCGAGTAAGCCAGGTGCGCATTTTTTCAATCGTAGATGGATCTTCTGGATCCCAATCGCCCCGGAGAGGCGCCCCGGAAGCGTCAAGACCACAGCTTTCGCACATTTCCTCGAACAATTGGCCATAGTGTTGCTCCTCAATGGCAGTGAACGGGGTAGTAATCACGACACGCTTCTGTTGTGGGAGGCGAAGTTCATCCCTAACACGGTCTTTGCTATGCCGAAGAGCGATTGTGTTGATAATCTTCACCAACACCGGTCCGAACCGAGAGTAGAGGCGCTTCCACAATGGGCTTGAGTTTGAGAATGGGTAGTAATGCAGGAACAGCAGAAGACCAAAAAGGTCGTCAATGTTCTTGCGAAGCGGCGTACCCGTGACAGCCCATGCATTCTGGCGGGGAATCAAACGAGCCACTTTCGCGGCATTGCTAACCCCACTTTCAATCATCTGAGCCTCGTCCAGACAAACGCGCCACCATAAGATACGGACCAAGGGGGTCTTTCGGGGCTCGAACCTCTTCTGGTGTCGTAGACTGCGTGCTGGAGCGGCACCGGCATAGTGAATCTCTCGCGAAATCACATTGTAGGTAGTCAGAACAACGTCAAAACCAGCGATTTCCTCAATGATCAGGTCATCCGTTTGATCCTGGCCGCGTTTGATCCCTGTATAGTGGTGCACACGAAGCTTTGGGGCATGCTGTTCAAGTTCTTGTTTCCACTGCTCCAGGATTGCAGGTGGCGTTATGATCAAAGTAGCGCCAGATATTCGTAGTCCATCTGGATCGGATTTCACTTTCTCAGGGCGTCGGTTCAAACTCATCAATGCAATCATTTCAACTGTTTTCCCTAGCCCCATCTCCTCCGCAAGAATACCACCTCGCAAACTGTCTGCAGCATCGATCCACTGAGATACATCGCGAGTGATCGTCATGAAGAGATGACTGAAATAGCAAACTTGGCCGTCGGCGTCTTTCATTTGTTTAAATGATGCCGGGAGTTTGTCGCTGGCGGACCTATCGATCGGGATCACATTGCCATCTTGTCCAAAGCCCATTCCTTCACGCCATAATAGCCACCTCACAGCCCTCCTCTGGAAAGGAAATAGTTCACAGACAAGGTCGGGGCATTTTATCTTCGCCGATGCATTTTCTTTATCTTGCGGGACGTGAACACTTTCATAGAACTCTCGCGGGGTCCAATTTCGAGAGTACCCTAGAAGTTTTTCACGATGCTCCCGTTGACCGTCAGGCCCAAGCGGACGATCATAATGCTCGTTCAGAGCGTACTTGGCAAAAACTTCCAAAACCGGATCTTGCAGGTAGGTAAACTCCGGAATCTCAAGCGAGTCTTTCCAAAGAGTGATCACCTCTAGGATTAAACGTTGCCTTTCGGTTGAGTACTGGATTGTGGCCTGGTAGCATGCTGTCGGGATGCGGCTGAAGTATCGATCTGCGGTAACAAGCTTGCTAGTTCGATCAAGCTGTTTGAGAAATTCGAACAACCGAGGAGCGTCAAAGTCTTGCCGGAAAACTTCCTTGCGCTCATCATCCGTTGTAACTAAACGAAGAGTGTATAGTTCGTGGTTGACATGACCATTCGTAACAGCATCGGTGGAACCGTTCTCAAGTTGGAGAGAGTTGTGAATTTCTATGACGACAGGAAGTTTGCGAGAGGAATCGATTGGGTTGCATGAGCTTTCATGGTTTGATTTGGGTGCATTTGCGAAGTTCTGGGGGATAGGTAGTGTACGGTTAGTGTCTGACATCCAACTTTGACAGGCGCATCGAGGTATACTTACCATGCGCAGCACCAGCCGAGCCAATGGAATGTATCCAAATGGAATACCTGTGGAAGATAGACCATTCTCTTGAGCAAGGCTATGAGGTCCCGACTTTGCGACCTTGCGCCGCTTAATAGGACGTTCGTCAGGACCCACTGTGTTGGTTTGCGACAGAACGGGGAGCAAAGGTGGGAGGGCCGCGTCTAGAGTAGGGACATGTCAGTTTCCGAAGATTCATTTCGATTGAGAAACGCCGAGAGTCGTACCTGAAATCGTAACATCTTCTGCGACCACAGACATCCTGAAGCAATCGTCCGATCACGTCTTTCGCCTCCACGCCACGGAAGTGTCGAGTCCAAGAGGCGCAATGCGAAAGTCGGGTCTGGGGCAATGTTCTTATCTGAGTATCACGTGCTGATAGGTGCATATTTTCTCCGGCAATGACGGCGCTGTTATGCACTGGGGCTTGGCGCCCCGGGAAGTCCGCATACCTCTGAATAACAAGATCTCCGAGAGAGTGAAGGATTAACTATTCTTATCTTAAGGGCATTGGAAAAGAGAAAGAGAAACTGAGAAAGTTAATCCAAGATATCCATCTCCACTACCATTGAAATCCCTATGGTCACCCCAATTTTCAAGCTGCAGGATTCCCAGGACCTCTACCAAGCATGCTTTTGACGCTGTCTCTCCCGAAAGGCCCAACACTCTGAAAGGAGACTGAGAGAGCTTTATTTACAGGTTGAGTGTCATAAACCACTTCACCATTAACCGCTCTCACAGATCGAGAGTAAACTTCTCCATTCGCACTGCTGTCGAATCTATCGGCAGTAGTGCCCCACGAAGAACTTTCACCCGTGACGGACTTGTAGCGAGCTTTGCCAGATTGCGAGGTTTGAAGACGCGATGGCCCATTTGCTAGCGTGTACGTGGATAATCCGAGGCTTCCCGATGATTCGATTTCAAGACCTCTTTTCATCCAGGCGTCAATTGCCAAAGAGTCTTTGGTTATACCGTAAGTTGAGTTGACCAATAGTGGGTACTTGAAGGTGATTTCGTTGGCTTGCGAGTTCTGTCCAAGCCTCGTGATTGTAGACTTCCCTGCCGTCAGCTGCTTATTGACCTGGCTGTATCCCTGTTGGTTGAGGTACCCTTGGTTGGAGAAGGATAGATCTTGAGACCAGGAGTATTTGGAAGAAGTCGCAGTGAATGTTCTCTTTGCCTCCACGGAATATGACAAGGTGTCGTTACCCCCAGTGGCATTTTGTGTGAAACGTCGTGTGATGGTGAAGGTTGGAGGTTGTGCTTCCACCTGAGGCAGGTCTACCTGCTCATCGTCTTGCACCTCAGAGCCACCTTCTTCACCAAGGTAGAGAAAGATGCTTCCGGTGACAACCCAGTAAGAGCCCACTGTGTTCGCAAGTACTGCAGTTCCATCGGCTGCAATTTTCAAACCGGTGACTCGAATTTCAAATGAGTGCTTTTGACCATCTTGTAACAGGGAAAGGAATGGCGAAATGTCAATCTCTGGCTGTCGAAGGTCAAACGCATCAATGCCCACAATTGGGCGCCAGAATCCCGGAGCTACACCTCCAGTGAAGATGACAGGAAACGGCCATACAACACCAGCGAGCATTCCATCGATGTATAATTGAATCTCCCTGAACGGCGAATATCCGTAAAGCTCACCCACTGTGCTTTTGAAATCCTCGGTATCTTGAGAGAAGACGTTGGACCACCAGAACTCTTCTTGTGATTGTCCACAAGCAGAGATAGTCACAACAGCACGCGAAGCCGCAGCAGGGATCGCGTGCAGAACAGTCGTATTATCACTCGGGACTGAAAAGGCACTTGAAGAATTCGAAGCTGATTTTTGTGCAGAAATAGGTAGGATCTGATCAGCTGTTTTGACGTGGTTCTGGAACGAGAAATGCGCCGTCAAAGTCGCATTGAAGGAACCGGTGTACACATCATTGATGATATTTCCCAGATCGAAAATGAGTTTTTGCGGTTCTCTCCAGAGGGCATTGTATTGCGACATGTCTTTGATGTATGTCCATACAATGCCAGTGCTGGTTGGCTCTGCGGTCGAGGTTCGGAAGATCTCTACGTCTCCGAGGTACATCAGGGCCAGTCGATCGTACTGTCGACCTCGAGAAGTAACAGTGAGATTGATGCGGACCGTGTCAAACTGGCAGCTTGGTGGCTTATATTGATCTAGAAAGTTGCATTAGCCCTGATTCAAGGTTCTTGTCCGTGGCATCTGTGCTTTACCGACGAAAGGCTTGCCATAGCTTGAGCCAAAGACATGATCCATAAGCAATAGCTCCAGATCACAGCCTTTGCTTCCACTGGAGATGGAAGGTACAGGCTGATACACCTGGAACACCTGCTGAAGCCCCGACGAGACCTGCGCCTGTACCGATTCTTCTTTAACCGTCCCATAACGATGATCCAGAATAGCGGTAACAAGTCGAACGTGAACCAAGAGAAACAGTGCAACCGGAATAAGCATTCTGAATGCCATCGCGATCTTCGATGTAGTCCTTAGATCCTCTCCAACGATCGAATGACCCGGTTTTCCATATCCAGTCTGTCTGACAGACTTGAATGACTCCTTTGTAGATCCGGAGTGCTTCAACGTGTCTGACGGGCTCGCTTGCACGAGCTCCGGGGTCGAAGTTTGGTGGAGATGAAGACGCCTTCTAGCCCTGAGCACAAAGAAGACGCTGCCTGCAGTCCAGATGAAAAGAAGTGCGATCGGCCACGAGATCGAATGGGCCTGCATCGGGTTCATGGCCTTCAAGCAGGCGAAACTCGGGCACTGGAGGGGCCACCACGCTAACGGAGTCCGAAGCATTGCGAATGTCGGTAGTCGGCGCCGTCGTCGGACTAGTCGAGACTAGAGTGCGATCCGCAGACACGATGCAACGATATTCGAGGCGGTGTTGACCCCTGAAGATAAGGAGGGGTTGGGGAAGGCGCGGAGTACTCGTGGCTACCTTGTGGAGAGTTTAGTCTCAGAAGTGTAGATTTACTTCGGCGCTAGCTCTCACCTGTCGAAGAAGCGGATTTTCCTTTTGTTTCGAAAATGGCCCCAATGGATTTCTGGCCTCTGCGACCGCTTGACCTCCTACGCAATCCTCCCCTAAAAATGCGGGAGGGTTGTTTTCAGTGACAACGAAACACTTCAGAATATCAGAATAAATGCCGGGAAACCAGAGGGGTTGCATTGTCTAATTCGGTATTAGACTTTCAAGCTAGATGAGCTGGGATAATTTTGTACAAAAGAGAAATGCAACAAGAGAGACAGACACCTCGTGTATGACACCAAAAAGAACACCTCTAAACCATGCACAGCGAATTGAAGCTGCAATCGAGCTTCACATAAACAAGCGCCAAGCACCAAGGATCAAAGCAGCAGTACCAGTGCAGACACCCCTAGAAGGAAAAACAACCAATGTTAGCATAAATTCACCAAGCGACAACGGGAAGCGGGAGTCCATACATGAGCCACTGCAGAGTCGAGAACTTGACAGCCTCAACTCGCTCTCTCAAGCCCGCAACTTCCTGTTCGATACGAGTCTCTGTTTCCTTAATACGCATTTCTTGTCCGTTGGCTTCCTCGCGGATCCGGCCCTTCTCCAGGTTCAGGTCCAGCCGGACCGATGCTTGTGTCCGTCCGATTTCATCACGAAGGCGCGAGTTAAGCTTGGCGAGATCGGCAGCGATTTTTTCGTGCGATGAGCGAGTTAGCTGCGCTTCGGTCGAATCGGCATTGAGAAGCTCGGATCGCAGTTTAGCGAAGTCAACTTTTTGGGTATAGGTAGATCGCTCCGAGTCTATGCGAGTAACACTTGTTAGAAAGCAAGATCTATCATCTCAGGATATGCAAGATCACCTTCTCGGAGAACCATTGTACGTGTCAGATTTTGAATGGATTCTTGAATGATATCGTTTAACACCCGCATCATAGCCACGGCCTGCTCTTCGCTGAACCCCTCGGCCTGAAGTCGCTTCACAAACTTCAGGGTATCGAAATGGTGATCTCGCTGCTGAGCGGGCGTCGCATGAAATGCCCGCTTCGCAGATTTGAATATAGCGACATAGACACCATTATGTCGGACCGGGTTCCTGAGGGGCTGTGCGGACGAGCTTGTCGCATTCGAGGAGGAGCGTCGGGAAACGGCAGAGGCGAAGCGGGGATCGCGAATCGATGTGGAAATGCCTCGCGAGGTCTGATATGGAGTGTTTGCGGATTGTATTTGTCGGTTGAGAGGGCTCCAGCCTTGTAAATGTTGCTGGTGATGCCTTGTTGCCAGGACGGCATGGTGGGTGGATGTGACGGAAGGGCGAGAGGAGGAGCTATTCCATGTGAGACGAGGTAGAAGGCTCCGTGGCACTTCTGCGACGTGTTTTTGATGCGCCATGGCGCCGACGATACGATGAAGGGCAGATGGGTTCGTGGATCAAGCGGATGCAGGGAAGAGAATTGGATGACGGATGACTAAAAGATGCGGGAAGATCGACGTTGCCCGACGGCCTTTAGTGACATCTCCCCGCAAACTCCCGGGAAACGCGCATCCACACAGTCAAGCATCAGGTGAAACGTTGAAAATTTGAGATATTGGTTAGATTATGTTTCCAGTAATATCGCCAATGGATTGAGAGCACCTGTGACCCAAAAATGAGTTCCCTGCCCTTTCATACGCACGCTATCGCTACTTCCAAACTCAGAATCATCTTATACTCCGCATCGAGCTCTTCAAAGATCAAAAATCTTATTAAGCTGTTTCATAGTGTCATCGGGGTCGAAGGCCGTGTGGCCGATAGTCCGGGCGTCCTCATAGATCTCATAATCACTACCTCCGACGGAACACTTGTCACCGAAAAAGGGGATGCTCTTGCACTCCACGCCGGAAATATCCTTCTCGGCCGCGACGTGTTGCAGACAATAAGTCATATCCCAGCCAGTGGGTAAAACATCGAACGAAATCTGTCCGCCGATGGAAAAGCTGTTTTGTGCAGCACTTGATTAGTCCCATGTATGCAATGGGCCTGACGACCGCCGCCCCCAGAGACTTACGTGAGACCATAGTCGGGGATTTACTTCTTGAGTGCCTCAACAAAATCCTTCCCAATGTTGTGCGCCTTGTCATATCTGAAGTGAGACGTCAAACTGTGGTGTTCCTCACCAAGCACGATAGGATGATAAGCATACGCACCATAGTTGTTTCGCTCCTTAACACTGGCATTACGACCAATGGGACTGACATTGATCATACCATTGCGGAACTCGACAAAGGTACCGCGCTATCTTTGAAGCTTCAGGTTGAAAATATATTGCAGGCAGAAGTCTACCAGCTCCTGGTACTTCTCTTCTCCGAGCCATTGGATGAAACTGCTGCGAGTAAGCGCCTTGCCCATGCGGTAGGCCATCAAACCACCTTCTCGGGGAAGCAGAAATCGAAGAGTGTGGTGACATCTGTCGTTGAAGAGCCCTGTTGCTCATGTTGCTCTACAATGTTCGACCCACCGAGCTGGAAATGAGTTAAGAAGGGTGGAGAAAGGTCGGAGAGTCGAGACGGAATCACGAACGTATCCGATAGCGCATTTGTGGCGAAGACGAGAAAAAACTCGAGCATTTCGGGTTGAACAGTCTATAGATAAGAACATGTTAGCAACTGGTTTTGAGCAAGATTCTTATAGAACATACGCGCCGAGCCTTGGCCAGGGTCTCATCGACATCAAACAGATAGATGGTGTTGAGCGGACGGTTCTCCAAGGAAGAGTAAACTCCAGCGGCGGTGGCCATTTGAACAATCAAGGGAAAGTATATTATCCTGAAGGGGTACAATAGATGATACAGTGCAGCTCAAACATAAGCTTCATCGAAGTCTCCTTAATGCAAGCGGGTCAGCAGACGGGCGATTCGCAAGGTTGATGGTTGGCATGGCGCCGGTCCAAAACAAAACTAGTGATGATTCAGTGTCAACGCAGCTAGAGAGAGTTCGGAAAATGGGCCGGTAGAAATGTGGATTTGGCTGCTCAGAAGCAAAGTTAAAGAAAGACACACATGGGTGGTATATAGAGCCGATTTTCTTTTTGCAACACAATTCAATTTTTTGGTACGGATTGATGACGACTATGGAGACGAGGTTGCGTCAGTCTCCTTCAATGTGGTAATTTGAATGTGGCTGTACGAAAGTCTAACCAGGAAATCTATAGATAAAGTATTGGTATATCTTAATTGCATTGTGTATCTACAGGAAACTACCTACGACTATCTTGTGTACGGTATCCCGACGTCCAAATCAAATCATATCATCCAACGCCCAAAAACCCGACCAAACAGGCCTAACGTCCCATTGTATTTTGGAAAACCTTAGCCGCAAGCTCACTCAAGAGCCGCGTCCGGTCCGGTTGTGGAAGGTCCAAGAAAACCTCATAAACACTTTTGCCCTTGGCATCGCGAACAGCACCGAGACGATTTCCTGCTACAGCACCGGCCAGCGCGCCAGGGAAGTTGCCCACGATGAACCCCAACGCACCACCACTGACACCTCCGACTACAGACCAGAACTTCGACGTAGGACGAGTCCGTCGGCCACCTTCTCCGTCATTCTCTTCCGCCATGCCCTCCTCCCGCATCATCTCTTCAAATACTGATCCAAACTGATTGGCATCCCGTTCTTCTTCGCCCTGTCCGAACCCAAAACTAGACCATGGGAAACCACCCGGTGTGCCATGAGGGACCTCATCATCGACTTCGTCCTCGGCCTCTTCGTAGGCTCGAGCTGTATCGTATTCGCGACGGCGCGTGGGATCGGAGAGGGTGTAGTAGGCGTCGTTGACTTCTTGGAATTTCTTCGTTCGCTGGGGTCGCTCAGGGGAGTCTGCGGGGACTCGATCTGGGTGGGATTTCAGCGATTCCCTGTATCAGAAGATGGTGAGCCTTTAGTCGTATTACCCCACATCTGCATGTCACTCCAAGACGTGTTGCTAGGGAAGATATTCTGCTTCTCAGACACTCACCTCTTATATGCAGTGCGGATCTGCTGCTGGGTCGCATCGCGAGACACGCCGAGAGTCTTGTCTGTAGTTAGGTTAGAAGTGATCGCTAGGCTGAACTTCATAGGTGGTCATACAGTAATCAGGGCTATCTGGAGGAGACCGACAGTATTAGTATTGTGCCTGGTTGCACGCATTCTCTCGGTGTAAGTATACTAACTCGGCATGGTGATTTACGACCGGAGCAGAAGAGACTGGGGCCAGATTTAATATAGAGGCCAAGTGACCCAAGGTTATTAGCATTCCGGCCGACGCCAGTGACGTCGTTGCGGCCTGAGGCCGCGCTGAATCTGCCTCGATAGACAACAAGGCCACAAGGCAGTAAGGCCACAAGGCTACAAGGCCACGAGGCTCCCATCCTCGGCCCCTGAGAAGTGAGACTAGCAGCGTCTCACTATGCGACAAATCCCCAGCCACCAATTAATGCCCGCCTCCAGGGGTGAGCTCTTTTTCCGTAGTTCGTCTCCTCCACTAGGTCCAATCCACCTTACAACACACACCCCCGGATTATTGATTGCAATTAATCCAGCAATTTGTGTGTCAGGACCAGTGCCACCCCGCTCTGCAAAGCAAATCGGTGGAATAGACGGTCTATACGCAGCGGCCTAGACCACACATTGCGCATGCTCGCTGCAGCTCCTAGCGGCTGACCTGCATCTGTCTCCTTTTGCTCTTGTCAATTGCCACACAGGGGTCGCAGAAATCTTTGAAGAGGCGTTGTCAAGATCGAGAAGCCTCGAACAATCCCGATCAACTACTTCTACCAGAGTATACCTCATCTCTGCGACCGATCTTATCGCAGACATAAGCGGCACTCTCTCGCTCCACAGCACACAGAGCACCTGGTGATCGACTTCCCCAGAATCCCAGTCCCAGCACCAAACATCCCCCTACAAAGATCAAGATGGGATGGTTCGACGGACGATCCTCAACCCACGGGCACTCCCACGGGCACCATTCTACCAGCCATTCCAACGGCTACTTCGTGCGCCGCAAGGGCTCACCAACACGCAGCAAATCGGGCTACTCAACTTACCACTCGCGCAACTCGGCGCCATCCTTCTTCAACCTAGGCCGTACTAGCAGTGGGCGATCGAGTCCCGCGCACTCCGTCTTCTCCTCCTTCTCGTCCTCGTCCCGAAGAGCTCGACCGCGTGAGGGCTTTGTCCAGCGCATGGTCCGCGCAATCAAGCGCCTTTTCCGTGACATCTATCGCTATGCCCGACACCACCCAATCAAAGTGTTGATGCTGGTGATCATCCCGCTGCTTACTAGCGGCGTGCTGCCCAAATTGCTGGCTATGATTGGACTGCGGCTGCCTCATGGGCTGATTAGTGCTCTTGGTGGAAGCACTGGGGGTGCTCGCGGTGGTGGCTTCGGCGCGATGGATGGCGGACGTGGCATGTCGGAGAACCTCACCAGCTTGATGAACATTGCGAAGATGTTTGCCTAGATCCAGACCTCGACTTGTCCATATCTGCCCGTTCCCCTCGCCTTTTACTCTTCCAAACGACCGGAGACGACCAAAACACCCAATCTTATGACCATGACGACCTACTCTCCGCACCCCTTTTTCACATGTTCCTTTCCTTTTTCTTTCCCTTCGTCTTCAATTTCCTGCAATGTTCATGTATCGGGTGGCTCGCTTCGATTTTAGAACACTTGCATCCTTTTCGTTCCCGAAAAGTGACTGTTTGTTAGCGAACAATTGACCGTTTTGGGATTTTAGAAGTGTGTAAGAAAAGAAAAAGTACGAGACAGGAGAACTCGCGGGGCATTCTCTCGCACTCTTTTAAATCTTGTTCCTCTCAAGTCGGTGAAGTGTCGATACCCAATGGTGGGTATGTGCCCCATTGGACTTCCCTACATCGGACTAGAGGCTGTTGTGTTCGCCTCTGACTGGCGTACGCCCCGCAGGATTGGGGGTCAGTGGCTGGACGAGCGTTACAGGGCTGCTCTAGTAGAAAAATAGCTGCTGCGCGTCCCTCCCTGCGAGAAAAAACAAACAGGTACTTATAGCATCCATGGATGGGCTGATCTGGTTCGATTTGGGTATCCCATAAATTCTATTCGACTTTTATTTTGGAAGCAAACTAGTACAAAGAAACCGAGCAGTTAGGAGGGAGCAATACAGATGTAAAAGAGATGCCCCACAGCCTATGATCTCTGAGAGCGCTTTCCACGCTTCCTGCTCGGAGCCGGGTTTGACGTGGCAGTGGTTTCAGCAACCTCATCAACAGGCTCCACGACCTCTTCCTCCTCAGGAATCTCAGACGAGCCGGTAATCCGACCAACAGTCTTCTGGAAGCACCAAACCGGAAATTTGAACAGAGCGGTATCGGTAATGGCGGGTCGTTGGATCTCGTCGATATCGAGCAAGAATTCCTGACGCTCACCCTCCTCACTCTCTTCTTCCAAGAAGACATTGCCAATGGAATCGACAATCAGGACCTTGCCATTCTCAGCAACGACGCGCTTACGCTCGCCGGTAGAGGTGGCAGGCTGCTCACCCGTAGGGGTCGAAGTGCCCGAGGCCCGGCTCGCAGACCGAGAAGCACCCTTCCGGCTCTCCTTGCGGTTCTCCTTATCCATCATGCGCTTCTGACGACGGTTCATAGCAACAGCACCTTGGTCGTTGGCCTCGGGGGTAGGCGCAGGTGCGGGAGCACCATTTGAGTCCAGACCGGGAATGCCACGTACACCCAACTCATCACCCCATGCAGCACGACGAGCCTGGCGAATGTAGCGGCCGACAAACTCACGCTGACGCTTCCATCCAAGGATGAGAGCACCGTAGTGCGCAGCACCACCGAAGACGATGAACAGACCCATCAGCACGGAACCCAGACCAGGGCGGAATCGTGAGTAGTAGTAGCCAGTGCCCTTCCACAGGGGGAAACCATGCTTCAAAAAATGATCGTAGCGTTCACGGCCGGGACCCTTGAGGACATTGGCGACGAGATTGAGACGCGCGGAGCGAGCATTGGCGGCATTGACGGCAGCATCGATCTCACGCTTGGAAGGACCCTTGGAGACGTGGACGCCCGGCTGAGAAGACTTGGATTTGCTCTTGTCCGTGGAGTAATTGGCGATGAAGGCGCGCTTGACCTTGTCCGGGTGTAGGGTTCTCGACTTCTTGCGATGGGCTTTGACAATTTGCTCCTGATTGGCATTTGGGCGGATCTCGAGGAAGTCTGGATAAAAGAGATTGTTGAGAGGGTGATTCTTCTTGCCGCAGGAGCAGGTCAAACAGAAATCAATTGGGACGTACCATAGAAAGTCACATTGGCGCCTTCTGTAGCAGCCACATCGTCACGCAGGGAGAAGATCTCGTAGTCTGTCCATTGCACCGTCCGAGTTAATATCTGGGTGCTGTCGCGAGAAGGGGGTTACCATCCAACACGTACCTTCTTTGGACCAGGCGGCGACCAGACCCACGAAGACAAACAACAAGAAGGAAAAAGCGACAGGCTTCATATTCGAACGATGGAGCGGTCAAAGCCGCCTGTACAGAAAAGCGCAGAACGGGCGAATGGGGAGAAGTGCTTTCGCTGCGATTAGTGTCGACTTGTTTAGGCGATCGATCAAAAAGCGGTCGGGTCTCATCTCCACCGGCGCTTCGACGTGGCAGGCAGTTGCAGACTGCAGTAGTTGGCAAAGTGAGGGGAAAACCGACTTGACTCATCTACTTAAGAATGCGCTGGTTCCTTCGCTGTGGGTGGTGTCATATTGACAGATAGTCTTGATCTCCCCTTATTACCTTCGTCTTCCCTCACTCTATTATCACTGGAGGCGGTCCGGGGTCCTCTGCCACTATGGACTCTCCATTCCGGTGAAAGTGCCGCAAGCGAAAAAAACAATGGGGAGCCCCATGTCTATTCTTAGCCACTCGTACTCACCCATCGATTTCCCATTTATTTTCTGAAGGCTGCCATCATTCGAATTTAGGCAACCTGGTCTTTTTGTCGGGGACACACGGCCGTGTGTTGACTAACATCGAAAGGGGCAAAGCCCAAACGGCAAAAAAAAGTGCCTCCTTGTCCTCTTTCCTTCTTGGCCTGACACCTCTCACCTCTACCACCTTCTTCCTCTCCATTTCTCTCGATCTCCCTGCCACGCCAATTCCTCTTTCACCATGGCTATCTCCATCCCCATTGACGCGATCACTTCACGCTTCGGCGATCGCTTCAACAACATCCGCAGCCAGTCGCTGAGCACCCGCTTCGCCAACCTGCGCCCCGTCTCCGAGTTCCTCGACCTCAAGCGCCTGTCCAAGCCCGCCAACTTCGGTGAAGTCCAGAGTCGCGTTAACTACAACCTGTCCTATTTCTCCAGCAACTATGCCGTCGTCTTTGTGATGCTCAGCATCTACAGCTTGTTGACCAACCCGCTCCTGCTGTTTGTCATCATCTTCGTGACTTGCAGTCTCTACGGAATCGGGAAACTCGAGGGCCGCGATCTGGACGTCGGCTTCCGTCGTTTCAACACCTCGCAACTCTACACTGGATTGCTGTGCATTGGTGTGCCCCTGGGTATCTGGGCTTCTCCGATTGCCACGGTTCTCTGGTTGATTGGCGCGACGGGCGTGACTGTTTTTGGCCACGCCGCGTTGATGGATAAACCAATCGAGAATGCTTTTTCCGAGGAGGCGGTCTAGGTGGTCGGCCGCGAGCTCCTAATGATATGCCCCGATGGGGAAGACCACCGGGGGCACGAATGGGGAGACATAACAGGGGACGTGGAGGGTGGGATGATGTTGCACGAGTGGAGGAGATTGACAGCGAGGAAGAGGGGGACGAGTATGAACGCCAATTGATGCGCAGCGGTCGTGGATACATGCGGCAATTGGAATATGAAGGACGTGGTCCGCGCAGGAGACCAATGGACTATGGTGATTTGACCGACGAGACGGGCTCGGTCGACGGAGGCGATTACGACTTGTACGATCACGAAGACAGCACGGTGGCCTATGCCGTTCAGCTGGCCATGCGGGACAAGGAGGATCAGTTGGTGGAGACGGCATTGGAACGCATTCGCCGCGCGCAAATGCTGGGCAAGAAGAACGTGCGATTGTCCCAGCGTGAGCTTGATGCCCTGGAGCGAAAACGTCAACAGACGGATGACCCAAGTGGAGCTCGACGTGTGAAGCAAGCCGGGGCCTCAATGAACATACGGCCGTCGTCGAAGCGAAAGACTCCCAAGGTACAAATACCGGAGCCTGGGCTGCCTTATCCTACCGGTACGCCTGATCCTGGCTGGGGACAAGGTCCCGTTGCTCATGGTCGACCTTCGAGCTCGTCCTCTGCTCACCGTCCCCGAACTCCAACCACCCAGTCGCTGCGTCCGCAACAATCGAATTCACCATTGCGGCCGACCTATCCTGCCTTCGCCGAACGACTACCGCCGAATGGTCGCCCGCAGACGATGCATCAACATCCGATGTACACCCGGCCGTTACCAGATGATCCCTCCTGGGCCCCGTCGTACTACAACCCCATGCCGATGAATCCCTACACGGTCGAGCAACCCCCCTACCAGCCGCAGCTGCCTAGCGATCTTCGTGTTGGTCCCCAAAGCCGGATGAGCTACCCCGCGGGTATGTCGCCGATCCAGGCCCAATATCGACAATCTCCGGATGGCAACCGCCCATCCATGGGTGCGTCGCCCACCCGGGATGGTCGAGATCCGGATACGGAATCGGAAGTGTCCAGCGAGGAAGAAGAAATTGAAAGTAGTGAAGAGGACGAGGATGACAATGAGGTCCAAATCGTGCAAGTCGTCGAACGAGAGCGAGAGCGTCCGGCACCTCTGGGGCTCCAGCGACGAACGGTCTCTGGCAGCAGCAGTCGGGGCGGACGTGGTGGTCGCCAGCACAAAAGTCGGTGATGGGGAGTTTGATTTTGTTTTGTCTACCAGGGCTGCCCTCTTCTAATGAGTTTGGTTTTCGCGGGCTTGTCATCCATTCTTTTCGTTTCTGGTTTCGTTTTAGCAGGCAACATTTGCTACGAGGCGTTTCGGGTAGACCGGGTTCCCCGACCATAGATGCATATACATCGATTATGCTTAGCACAATCCTCTTGCACTCCCCCTCCGAGTAGGCATAAAACTCAAATCGTCCCCAGCCACGTTGAAGTGAAGTGGAGAGTGTGGCAGCGCAACAGTCACCAGCGTTTACGTGCAAATCACCCGCAACCATCGCAGCCTGGGTGGGGCGCATTACGACGGGGCCGAGAATAATTTTGTATGCCTTGGCAGCGGATGACGTCGCGTCGCACTCTCGGCTTGGCTCTTATACCCCGTCCTTGCGTCTCTCCTCTCTTCTCTTCGCGGCATTGCTTGCAGAATCTTCTCCCTTTGCACGGATTTCCCTCCTCCACCCTCCAATTGAGGTCGAGGTCGAAATATCCCTCCACACCGTCATTCCGAACCTTCCGACCGATCCCGCTCGATCCCCCTCTCAAAACTGTGCCTGGATTCCTCGAGCGAGCGCCACAACAAAAGCCAGCAAAGCAAAACAGCAAGGCCATAATCTTAATTTCTTCAGCCCGCCCGTCGCCGATCCTTTTAGCGTGGAATGTGAACATCGGGATCCCTGACAACAGTTGCATAAACATTGGATTTTCTTCTGGCAAGTTGCGGAACGCGGCGCTTCGAATCCTGTGTAACTCGTGGGAAGCTACCCGGCTCAGTGTGGTTGCATGTTAACCAGCACCATCATTGCAGGAATTATACTCGACCCGTTCCCACCGCAAGTTTTCTTATAATTTCATATATAGAGTCGCATTTCTGCCGTGCTTGCAAGGCGGTCGCGACGCACAGGATTCTCTTTCCGACATCACCTATTCTTTCGGACTTGTTCTTTTTGGGGGAAAAGAGAAACATATAGATCATCTTAATCAGTCAAGATGTGGATCATTTCATTTTGGGTATTCCCGTTGATATCGGCATGCATGTGGGTTGGTAAGTGACTTGTCTAGAATCCAGCCCAACTCAACCATGGAAGCACCAATCTAATCAGATTTGCCACAGCAATGTTGATTGCCATGCTAGTCACATGGGCCAGGGAAGGAGAGCCGCATTACCAGAGCATGGAGGACGGCCAGACCATTGCGTATGTTCCCTCCCCGGGACAGTGATAGTCCTGTCTACTTGTTTCGACCTGTCAACTGACATGAACTTGATAGGTACATCTCCGATGTCGGTGCACAGGGACTTAAGCCGTTGTTTGTCGCCGGAAGTGCTGTCACTGTTGTCTTCCTCGATCTGGCTCTCATCTCGGAGCGATGGCTTCGCCATGCCGGACAGCTTGCCCCGAATCGAGGACTCTTCGACAAGATCTGCGCCGTCGCATCCATCTTCTTCGCTATTGCCGGAGCTCTCGGTCTGATCCTGCTGTCCGTATTCGACACAGTCCGTCACCCAATGATGCACGATGGCTTCCTGGTCATGTTCCTGTAAGTACCACAGCTCCTTGAGAGGAAATGCAGCACCTGGCTTACAATCATACCAGTGTCGGATACGTGATCAGCGCCATCCTCATCTGTGCCGAGTACCTCTGGATCGGCATCTTCTACCGCTCGCAACATCGCATTCTCCTCGCCAGCTTCATTATCAAGCTCGGCTTCATCATCATCGAGGTTGGCCTCGCCATCGGATTCGGTGCCTGCATGAACAGCAACAACAAGGCGAAGAAGAACCCCGGCGCTATCCTCGAATGGGTCATTGCTTTCGTCTTCACTGGATACGTTCTTTCCTTTGTCGTTGATCTCCTTCCGTCCGTTCGCACTCGTCGACACTTGCCTCAAGGCGAAAAGCTCGCGACCATGGTGCATGACCATAACCTGCCCGCTGCTTCGCTGGAGGAGCCTCTGACCACCGATTCTGTTGGTCCCAACTTTTACCGGGGTCAGCGAGTGTAAATCGGAAGTATACATTACTTGTTTTATCAAGGTGTTCTTGGTGTGGCCTTTTGAATTGTCTTTACTGATTCCAACGTTTTTATGATGCTGTGACTTGATGCTTACCGTGTGGATTTTGTGCTTTTTTGATACCTCGCTCTTGGCTGTGTTTTCTTTCTTTGTCATTCTCTTCTCATGTCTGGTGTTTTAGACTTGGATACCTCTTTCGTGTTCTATTGACTTGTACATTACAACAACTTACAAAGGAGATTACCATAATGGTACCCCTTCTGCATTAGACCGCACTCTTCCGACTCTGCAGACGACTACTCTACACCCATAAACCCGTCATGGAAGGAAAACTGACAGAGTACGATATAATTGCAATATTGCCGCTTAAGCCAAGCCATGGCCTTACTGAAAGGCTCCTATCCCATCGAAAGACAAACTTTGATCTCGAACAAGTGCTTCTACATCACCATATCCTTCCGTCCAACAACTTTGTATCACAGTATCACCAGGTATAGTATCTACCGGAGGGAATTTTTGAGATGCAAAAAAGGGTGTCGATTAGTTCTATATATTCGATCGTCTCTGCCCCGGATTGAAATGGCCCAGGAGACTTGTAAGGCCAATGGCCAGTCATTATCGTGTAAAAAATCGACCCTAGGCTGAATATGTCCACAGCCTCTGTTGGACACCCATGGCTTGCATGGGTTAAAAAAGCCTGAGCCGGGAAGATGTCCACCATCGATATCACCACTTGTCGATCCTCCAAAACCACAGCAGAAGATCCGCTTGCTTCTGGAGTCGGAGTGCAATAAGAAATTTCTTGGCCGCAGGTCCGAATAACTCCCTTTTATTGGATATATTGGACGACTTCTGCTGCTTGGCGACACCACTTATACCAATTTAATCGAAGGGATAGATCAATAGTATCATTATACTTGCCAAAGTAAACTTGCAGATCACCATCGCTAGCTTCTATGAAGAGCAATCCACGAGGCTCCTCCGAGATACCAATATAGCTACAGTAGAATGAAAATTAGCACATCAAACCACCTGGATTTGGGCTGATGAGCATACCGTATTATTCTAGGGTGTGTCCCTAAGACATCCAAGAGCTGCTCTTGAACCCCCGAAATTGCGTTAAGCGTCCTTGACAAAGGAGTGGTATTTGCTGGCTCGGAGTGCCACCATGAAAACCTTGGGCATTTGAAAACGACACCCGGTTTCATTATTGCTAACAACGAGGTCGAGCCCTGGCCAGTATCTCATCGAAATGAGGCTCGTAGAAAATCAGATCTGCGATTTCGCCAGGCAAGACATTTTCGTCCTCTTCATTTGGTTCCAGAACATTGTTTTATTTGCGACAACAGGGGAATCGTTTTCTGATAGGGGCCGTTCGCATCGTTCAAGATCGCCAGGCTCTTCACGAGTGGACAATGGCATTCTGCTGAACAGAGATACTAGGCGAGATAAAAAAAATACAATGAATCATGGAGAAAGTTCACTAGTACCGCATGGTCAGCTGAGCAGCATTTCCAGAGGAGATCGACATTCTGGAGGTGCTGTAGGGATGCAGTTGTCATATGACATTTTATAGGAAAAACAAATATGTCAAGCCATCAACATCATGAGGATGACAAGATGTCATGGTGGGGCTTTATTTAAAATAAATATCTTTTACAGATCAATTGGAACAACATTCTCATCACATTTGATATGTTCCATTCAAGCTGTCATATTTCTGCCAGGCCATTAAGTCATTATGCGCCTAGGTGCTGTAAGATCCCTGGGCATCCATCATTATCATATCTACATGTCCGTTCAATATCAAGTACAAGAACCATGTTGGCACCCGACCAAGCCAAGGTAGGCCCAGCCCAAGTCCAGCATGCTGGCAGCGGACAAAACCAGTTGAGCCCATCTCGGTCTGAAACCGAGACAGCTCGAAATCACGCAGCCTCCTGAGGCAAAATCATCTGTCGGATAAACTCCTGCTTCTGCGTATTAATGCCGATCGAAGTCAAATATCCACTGACACCACCATATTTGTTCTCGAGGTATTCGGTCGTCGTTCCCACGAAACCGGGCGGGCAGCGAGTGTAGTCTTCACCAAGACCAAGCGCCCGAATTTCCTTCATGCGCTCCTCGAATTCAGGGACAAGCTCGAGCTCCGATCGAACGTAGTCATCTGTAAGCGCAGCCTCCGACACCTTCTCGCCCGCGAGCAGTAGCGTCATGAGAATAACCAAACCCGTCCGATCTTTGCCCTGGGTACAATGCACAAGAGCAGGGTATGAATCTTCACGTGCGAGGAGGTCAAAGACAGAGCGGATCTCGGCAGCGCTTGAGTCCAGCGTATCTTGCGCCAGACCTATGAGCCCGCGGGGTTGCATCACTTGTTCGCCAATAATACGGACTGCGTCGGGGCGATAGCCTGAGACCACCAGACCAAGCACCCGCCTAATTGAAAGAATCCATGGCATCAGTAATAGCTCGGTGGATGCTGTACTGCGGGGGTGGTTTTGGGGGAGGGGGGGAACATACAAATACGTCGTCCAGTCCAATTTCGACAACAAAGCCCGCTCAAAGCCTTTACCCGTCAGGCTGATTAGAGCACGCTGTGATTCTGGAATTTGGAGAAGGTGTTCGTCTGCGTCGAGAGGTACGGAGGCTTGGGCGGCGTCGACATCGGTAGGGCCATCCTCGGAGGAGCTGGCGTTCTCTGCGCGTCGCTTGCGGGTTGCCATTTGGTGTTCTGTTCTAATCGCCAGGCGGCGGTTAGTCGGGCTCAGCATCAGTGAAGGATAGGAAAGAACGTACTGAGATCGTAGGTCGATCACCGTTTTAATGTGCAGTTCTTCAGCGAGACGCCGCTTATCTCGTTCGGAGGCATCATCGAGCTATACGAAATCGAAGCCGATCGCCGATCAGCGCCTGTCATAATAGGTAGAAGCATAGAAACGAAGTCATAATACTTACCCTAGCGCTGCGAAACAAAACACCTTCCTTCAAAATCCTGACCTTGAGCTCAGCCCTCTCTCCCTGTCCCATCAAGGGTAAACCAAAACAAAAGCAACATGGGCCCACGTACCTGGCGCCGCAGAACTGATTGATCGACCGACCGACGTCACGGAAGTTAATGATGTTATCGAAGGGGCGATCGGGCGAGTCCAGATCAACGCTGGACTGGCGGGCCATGGCCGAAAGTGCACAAAGGAGAGTCTGGTCAGGAAGAGAAAGCAGACATGCCCAGGACGCGGTTCAAGAGCGGAGAAGCGCGTCAAATGGCGGTGGAGGTTGGGCAGAGAAATCTCGCGCCCGCCCTGTTTCTGGCCTGAGCTCCCGCCTTTCTTCCCCAGACCCACCACGGAGCTATGACGGACGGGGCCCGCTTTACCACACACATGCAGGGTGAGAACCGAATTCATCATACAGTGAGAAGAGGTAATGAAGAGAAGCATGTTTGAAAGATACCCTACTGATACCAACAAAGGACAGATTCTTGGATCGTGCAGATACCCCGCCGTCGACAACTGCAGAATATAGCTACTTCAACTCCCTATACATAGCACCTTCACCAGAGCAAACATCATATGACAGACTTCTGAGAGCAATCTCCATCAAACATACTCTCTCCGATTGTCTTTCCACTGCGGCTGCAAGTATGACCAATCCTGGTTGAAGTCGAACCCAGTCCGATACGCTCCATAAGCTTTCAGCTCAACCCGGCTCAACTGAGCGCCTTCGTCCGTCAACGCCCACATGCTAATCGCCAGTTTATTCTGACCACGATTGTTGATGATTCCCGGCGGGAATGGGAACAGCGTCTGCGGCCCAATATGCGGAAGGTAATGACCGAACTGGTACCCATTCATGAAGATCTGCACGCTGGCGGAGGTGTTTGTTGGCGCACTGAGCTGCAGCCCAATAGGAACATCCAGATCCTTATCCAGGTCCAGTTTAAAAGTTGTCATGTAGAAACGGCCTTTAGCACCAGAGAAGCCATCAAGCGGACTTTCACTGCCAGCACTATTCGGCGCTTTATAGCCGGGCAAATGCCAGCCCAGACGTTCACCATACAGTCCGCCTTCATTCATAGGTCCACGAACAGGATCGATATTCGCTTCCCCACCAGCATTGCCCTGGATACGCCAGGAAGTGAAGCTTCCTCCCTCGAGATGCGCCCCTAAAATTCCGCGAGGATTCTGTGCACCTGCTGGCTTCACGTTTGCCTCGTCGTGTCCGGTGTAATCCATCACGACGGTGAGGACATTATCTTTCTCACGAAGAGAGGAGCTGTTGAACTGGAGATCCGCAGATGTCGAAGCAAGATCTGGGTGGCCTAGTGCTCCGCCGACATACACACCATTCAGCCAAGCGGCCCATCCGGCTGCGACACCATTTTGAACAGTGACATTTGCACCTGTCGCATTCTTACCATCAAAGCGACCTCGATACACCTTCGTACCGGCATGATATCCATAGTCACCAGAATAAAGTACAGGGAGTGTCAACGGAGCGACGGAATTGACTGTCGTGGACTTGTTGCAGATAGTCCAACGCGAATCGTCGTAGTCGGGCTTAATCTCTGGCAATGTGTCCTGAGACTTCCAAGATCTGAGAGTTGGCAGTGAGATCTTCGCATCTTCTGCTCCTGGGACGGAACCGATCAAGCTTCCGTATGCGGTCTTCTTCGTTGAAATGGACTTGCCGTTCCACTTGATCTTCTTGACTTTGGAGTTCCCCGCATAGACCCTGGAGACGATTGTTAGTATAGAATGACACAAGTCGCTGGTAAAATAATTGGACCAACTGACTCGATGGATGCTTTGTTTGCATTGTCACCGACGAGACTGACGGTATCCTGATTGATGGATGCAGATCGAACCAAATAGGGACCAAGGGCGAGAATCTGCTCGCTCGGCGAAACATGAGGGTCGGAAGTTGTCGGGGCTGCGAAGAACTTCCATGCAGTCTCTTTGTCTAGCAGGTAGACAAGAACTCCGTTTGAAAACTTGAGCACTGTCGTCCCTTCACCTTGCGTGTAGGAGTACTGAGTTCCATGGGTTGACGTTGAAGATGTTACATTTGAATTGCCGTAAGCCTGAAAAATCAAATGTTCTGGTGCGTCCTTGAAAACGAAAACACCCTTTTGACCGATATTCAAGTAGAGAACGATGACATCCACATCGAGAGTAGCATAGGTCAAAACTTCGGCAGATGAGTATAGGAGGCTGGAGGCCTTTCCGACTTTGTAGTCTGTGACGACGATCTTGCTTTGTCTGCCATCTAGCTCAATGTCCGGGATTGTGATAGCCCCTAGATCGGTTGACCGGTCAGAAAATTACAGTTGAGCCAAAGCCATTTTTATACGTACCAGCTGTGGTGTTGACATTCAACGAAGTGGTAGTCACATCCCGAGAGGAACTCTTAGATTGAGCCAGGACATAGAAGCCCGCCTCGGTAGACGGATTGCGAAGAGCCCAGGTGAAAATGTTCGCATCACTAGTATACCCCGTACCATTCCCTTCCATATAGGTCTGCAGGAGATCAGAAGAAACCCTGGTAAACAAACCAAGAAGCTTAGTCTGCTTAAGTTTATCCTGAATCTCCCTGGTCTCTCGCAAGGGCGCCGCATAGTCGTACGATGTGTAAACAACCGGCGCAGCACTGTGACCCCAATTTGTGCCGCCGAAAACCATATAAAGATTCTGCAGAGTCACCCTGGAGCCGATATTATTCTTGTAGTAGACATCCGCAAACTCAGGCGAGTGCTCTGCCTCGCACTGGTCGTAAAAATACCCTCCCCAGGGCTGGAACCATCCACCTTCGAACTCAGGGAGGTATTCCGGCTGGGTATAGGAATAATTCTGGAACCACTGATAGTAAGTTCGGACCAAATTGAATCCAGAATCCGGGTTCGTGCACGATAGTCCACCGGGGTAGGAGTCAAGCCCATAGACGTTGACAGCACCACCGACATCTTGATAATCCGTCGACCAGCTCTGCGCGCGCATGCCCTTTTCGTTGTGCGAGCTGGGAACAACGATACCCGCATCACTAAATGCCTCAGCAATCTGTTCCATGTACTGGACCAGTGTATTATTGGCCTCATGGACCGTCTCCTGTAGCTCATTCTCATGCTGGTTCAAAATAACCGGTCCGCCATTCGTGATCTGGTTCTTGGCAATGATCTCGCCAACCTTGAGAATCCACGGGCGCCATTTTTCGTAGTAGGATGATGCACTGGTTCGTGCACTTCCCATTTGACCATTTGATGCCCACAAAGCAAAGCCACCAGCCGAGGTCTCTGCGTTGACATAGGGACCTGCACGGGCAATCACGTAGAGACCAGCCTCTTTAGCATAGTCGAAGACCCGCTGAATATCATGTGCGCCGTTTTCAAAGTCGAAAGTACCCTCCGAGGCAGAGTGAAAGCTCCAGAAGAAGTAAACTAGGGCGAGCTGCGAGTTAGAATATAAACAGATAATCGAACAGTAGATTAGTTCTTACCAGAAACAGCATTGAATCCATTCGCACGCAACTTCTGAAACACATCAAGCCAGAGCTCCGGAACCGGCAATCTCTGATAATGAAATTCGCCCGAATAAATAAAAATCCGTTCCCCCTTCACCGAGAGACTATACTTGTCCCACGTGACGTCGGTAGTCTTGCCATTATCCGTCGCCGCCGACAGCAGCGGCAGAAGAAGAAGGGAGAAAAATGCGAAAAAGCGCATTTGTTCAAATTCAAAAGGGAAACTCGCCAGAGCCTTCAAAGTGCAAATTTTCTGTGCACTGAGCTATGTCCAAGATAAATCCGCCTGGACCTCGGTGTTCGCGGTAGCGATACCCCGGTGAGCGTTGGGATTGGTGGATCTTTTCGAGACTGCCCATTGCGCTTTAGGCAATTATCCAGGGAAATGCGGGGGTGAGCATGGGGTCGGACGGAGATTTACACAATTGCTTGCAGGGTTGCGGAATCGAATGATTGTACGGGGCTATACCATGTCAGGTACGCGAGATTTCATGCGAGCGCCACAGGCGCAAGGGGTCCTGATGAAATTATCCGCTGAGCTTGATGCGCGAAGTAATTTCCATCAAAATGCTGTCAAGTTTTGTCAATTTTCAAAACCATTAGAGAGTATATTGTTGGCATAAAACGTGAGATTCGTGTATATATCAAAGCAGCTAAAACGACACGGTCCCATATCCACCCAGTGCGCCGCACCAAAAAAAAAAAAAAAAAAAAAAAAAAAAAAATCACGAATAAGATCCAGCGTCAAGTATCAAACAGACGTATAAAGAAACGAAAAAAAAAGAAAAAGAAAAAGAAAAAGGAAACTAGAATACAATCAAAATCAAAATGAAGATCACAGATCCTCAGAAAATCTCGACTCTCGACCTGTACTGGCAGTCTGGCCCAGAATGGGCGGAGCAGCAAGACCTTGCTCAGTGGCGCTGTTTCGCAGACCTTGGATATCACCTGTGCCGGTGACTTTGGTCTCCGAGGCAGCCGTTGAGCTCTGACGAGAATGACCATCATTAGTGGCCCCATTCGTTTTTGGCCCTTGCGAACCACGCGATATAGTGTTCATAAAGCTTTTTCGTAGACGCTGTCGCTTGCCATTGCCGTTCTGTCCGGGCTTACTCGAATTCGAATCTTCAGTGGTTGTCTTGGTCACCTCAAGAAAAGTGCCATTGTGGTTAGAACCACTTTGATCCAAATCATCTCCAGTGACAGGATGCGAGCTCAGCGCCGCCCCACGGCCCTCACCCCTACCAGTCAGCGCAGCTCCTCCGGTAAAGCCAACCTCGCTGTCAGTTTGGAACTCCGGACCAGGCTGGTGGGGGTAGACAGGCTGTGTGCCGCTGTTTCGACGAATCAATCGATCGCGGAACCAGGTCTTTAGTTTTGAATCGGCCCGGGGACTCGTGATGGGTCGGACAATGTGCATATCGCTGATACCCGAGGTGGCTGCCGCATCTCGCTGCGGGACTCGGACTGCATCGTGGTCCTCATACTTCTCGGAAGGACCACTCGTGACCAGTCGTACCGGTGCTGCGGTAGAAGAAGCTGGAGCTGCTGCGAAAACGGTTCCAGCACCAGGAGTCTCTGGAGTTGGTGGCTCAGAAGTAGCTTCTTCGGCAGTTACCTGCCTGGAAACTGTGGCACTCTCTGGAGCAGAAGCTACGGGAGCAGCAGCCTGGCCTTCTGTTTTACCCTTGGCTTTGAACTCAGTTTCATCCTCGGCAGCTGGTTCGGTCGTTTGCTTGTCTTTAGCCGGCACGTCATCGGTGGGCTCTTGTCTAATGTCCTCTTTCTGCTCTTCAGATTTTCTGCCACGATTCTTCTTGCTCTTTTTCCTGAATAAGAGGAAGCTCAATCTCTTGCCCTCTTTCTTCTCGGATTGTGTTTTGGCTGTTAAAAAGGACATCCAGTTAATCAATGATCCAAAATGGCGATTCGGGGTTGACGAACCTCCTTTTCTTTCGACAGCTCGCAGCGACGCCTCGCGCTCCTTCTCCAACTCAGTCTGCCTTTGCTTCTCCTCGGCATCAAGGCGAGCTTCCAGCTCCTGCGCGCGTCGGACTTCCGCCTGATCTGTGATCTCATCCAGCGCCGGCTGAACGCGAGAACGTGCCACTGCCTCAACATCGGCCATATCCATATAGTGCTCCGCGCCGATGTTTACTCGGTTCTCTCGAGCGCCACTCGCCTCGGCGACCTCAGTTTCCTGGCGGACTCGCTCCCGCGCTGCCTCGTCCCATTGCTTCTGCATGGATGGTGGCGCTCGACCATAGTCGTTGTAGAGCTTCATCTCCATGTCCTGGATAGTTGCATCCACATTGCGTCGAGCTGCTTCCATGAGCAAGTCACGGTCCTTTTGCCTTTGAACATCTACCTTGTCCATCTTCGATCGCAGACTCGTCATTTGATTACGGATGTGCCTGGACTGCTCAGCGTCCGTTTGATTGACATCCACATCACTAGATGTTCGCTTTCGACGGGTGGTCAGACGGGATCGCTGGGGCTGAGGGGCAGTACCGTAATACTGCTGGAGCTCGACATGTTCATTTCGCATGCGCGCGAGTTTCTCCGCAGCGCGCTTTTGAGCCGCATCCTGCAGCGCCAGCGCCTTGTGGGCTGTAGTTCCCATCGCTCCGCTCACCGTATTTCGATACTGCAGTCGGTTCTGACCTTCCTGGGCCGCATAGATCGCCGGGTCGATATTGCCCGACTCCCCTTTGGGGCCCGACACATCATACATGTCTTTGGCCATCGAGAGTGCCGCAGCGCGCAATGAGTTTCTGTGGTTGCGCTCTTCGACTTCACTGGCAACCGGAGGAGAGGAAGTGTACATGCGGGCGTTGGCGTTCGCAACGTGTTGGATGCGGCTTGCTTCCATCGCATTATCCAAGTGGCCCAAGGGGCCTTCGTCTTCGATCCTAACACGGTGAGATGCGCCAGCAGCAGACAGGGCATACGGCGCCTCGGAGGTCACAACCGGCTCACTTGGGGCTGAGTCCGCACGTTGCCGGTTGGCGTAGGCACCAGTGGCCGCTCGGCGCGCCTTATCCTGGGCATGGCCCCCACCTGCGGCGTGACTGTGGTCTACGGAGATCTCATGCTTATGCCTCGTTTGGGTTGGGCTGCTCAATCTCCGCTGCTCCCGCACCGCAATGATGGCAGCGCCCAATCCCTCCGCGCTATATTGGGTGCTGGGCTGGGGGACCTCGGGCGAGGTGAAATCCCTCACATGCCATGCGGCTTTTTCGGCATCGGGAAAGCGACCGGCCGGGCGCCATACTTCGACGGGATTCTGCTTTGCATGGGCGAGGGCAGCTCCGGCCGAGGCCGCGCTGAGGTTCGAGGCTCCTCCCGTGGCGCGCGCATCTATCGCGAAGTACATCGTCAGGGTTCGCGTTCTCTAGGACGTTTCCAGCGACTTGTGGGGGGGTGGAGAGCTACTCACTCAAATATGGGGTATCGGGGGCAGGCGCCTTCGTGGTTGGCGCCTCGCGGACTGACGCCTTGCGTCGAGGGTGTGTAGCGTAGAGGGCAGCTGTCGCGGCTGTTTCAGGGACGCATCAAGTCAGCGATCAATGCCTATCAAGGTGGATTCCCCGACGATCTCTGCGGCTTACCATCATCAGCTAATCGGGCGGACCGGTGGCCCGGCATTTGCGCACTAGCCATGCTGATGAGATGACAGACGAAAAGTAGCAGGGCATTCCTTGACGAGGAACGAGCGGGGGAGGAGGAAGTTTAAGCAGTTGGAAGGGATTCCCGGAAGCTTCTGGCGGCCCCGTGACGTCGTCGGCTGTAACGAAGATCCGCGCTGGAGACGCCCATTGCATCATCGTGCCAATGCCAGTCGATGAATCAATGAGAACTTGGCGGAGTCGAACGCCGGGCGCCAGGGCTGAAGCAAAGGGCACTTCCGCATTCGATCGGTCTCCGGTGGGGGGAATGGGGGGAACTCCTGCAGGGAGGACGATCGGGATGTGCGCTCACGTACGTTGTTGGGACGTCGCGGACACTTGACGATCTCGCGATAACTTTATCTCCAATTTTATTCGGGCGGCAGCCTCGCGCGATCGCATCCCTCGCAAGTCCGACTCTTCGACGATGCCTTAGGCGAATTTGTCGCAAATGGTCAATGACGCCCGAGATCCAAATCGGGTAGGGTTACAGCCGTGGTCTGCATTTAGTGGGAGCTTCTCCGCTGGCTGTCGTTGACTAGCTGACTTGCGGACGAGTTGACTAGGAACAGCCATGATCCACTCCAGCTGAATCTTAAAAGTTGGGTCGCCAGCAAGCTCGCAAGCTCAAAGTGGAGATCGACAGTGGAGTCGCAGCGTTGAACCTAGTCGGGCTCTCTGCGCGGCCATACCTACAATTGGGATCCTGAACGTGCATGCCAAAAATGAGGACGATTATTCATAACATCGGCAAATGCTAGAAGTTACTAATTGGAGCAATTCGTACGAAGCATCGCAGGTGGTTCAGAGCAGAAAAACTACTTCTCAGACTGTGCTGCTGCCTTATCCGAGTCCATCCTGGATATACATTTCCCGTCGGCTTGCCGAATCAGAACGCTGTCATCAATTCACCCCTTTCTGGGCATGCCTATAGCGTCAGGGTCACCTTCCGAGCCTGATGCTTCTCAAACATCTCGTAGGCAGTCGGCGCATCTGCGAGCGGCATGCGATGGGTGATGAAATCGGCAAACTTATCCTGGTTCTCAGCAAAGACCTTTAATGCCTCGCCATAGACGGGTCGTGCAGCAGCGCGTCCCATGTTGATACTACGAGTAGAGAACACAGTCAGTATAAAGCTGCCAGCAGATCGAAGGGTATGCTCACTCTAGGTTTTTCGAATATGCTTCAAATGCCGTATAAGGAAGGTCTCCCTGGTGGAAGCCCACAGACGAAACGATGCCACAAGGCCGGACCAAGTCAATGGCAAGGCGCATCGCAGATTGATTGCCCACGATCTCAACAACAGCGTCGGCTCCACGTCCTGCGGTAGCAGACCGGACAATTTCAGGGATGTAATCCGTCCCAAGCTTTAACGGCAATGCACCCATCTTTCTAGCTTCCTCCAAACGATCGTCGGCAGAGTCAACCGCATATACCGTGCCTGCCCCAAGGACCTTCGCAGAGAGAATTGGCACAGTCCAACTGGTCCACATCCAAGACAGACAAACAACCACCACCTCGTCGAGAGGGATCGTTTGAAAAGCGGGTCGCAGGGCCGAAGGCGCATGAAGCGTTCCCCCCACGATTGATTCAGCCGTCTGAGTATTCCGCAGCAACTTGGTGATGGCCTTCATGGCGCCGTAGTAGCCCGTTGGAAAAATGTCACACATGAGAATCATCATTTCGTCGTGGACCTCTTCAGGGATGAATTCGAGGGTGCTGTCAGCAAAGGGGACGCGGACGAATTCAGCCTGTCCTCCATCGAGAGCCATGCTTCCGTAGGAGGGACCGTTGACACATCGATTCGTGTGGCCGTGTTGACAGAACCAGCATCGCATACTTTTAAGTGGTTTTGAGACCTTAATATTCGAGTTCAAAATCGCGAAGAGATCTAATAACATACCACATGGGAGAGAACATAGACATCACTTTCTGGCCAACGTTGAATCTGGTGATCGCTGATCCGACGCTCTCGATAGTGCCAATAAACTCATGCCCCTAGAGAGCTTGGTTAGAATATTTAACGGCCCTGGTCCGCAAATACTTACCATAGTATGACCTGTGATTGTCTTCTGATGCCCACGGTACATATGCAAGTCACTTCCACAGACACCCGCAATATGAACCTTGAGGATAGCATCCGTATCATCGACAAGCACCGGCTTGGTCTTTTTCTTCACCACGATGTTAAAGGGGCCCTCGTATACCACCACTTGCATAGTTTCTATGGTACTCATGATTAATGTAGAAGTTTCTGTGCTCGCAGGCCACAGCGACAAACTTGAAAGAGGTGATTATTTATACCCCTATCGGAACACGGCAACAGTCATCAGTCATGGAATCACTCCCTATCCGCTGCGAAGTCCGATTCAGCTTGCAGACTGAGCATGTGCAATGCGGGGAATCGACCCCGACCCCAGTAAGCTGTGGGGCAAATGTCCGACTGTTACGCAGCCAAGATGATAAATGCGAGGGGAAGTCTTACAATCGGCTATCCGATCAGACACTGCAATATCTCTACTCTACTCAACAACTCTCTAGAAATCGAATAATCAACATGGCCCTAAACTACTCTGTCCCGACCGCATCGGAGCTCACAAAGCTATACATCAACGGCGAGTACGTCGACGCGAAAGCCGGCAAGACATTTACTCTATACAACCCAACCGACGACTCGGTAGTCTCCGAAATGATTCCCATCGCAAAGGAAGATGACGTGGACGCAGCTGTCGATGCGGCCGAGAAAGCATTCAATGGACCCTGGAGCAAGTTCACCGGCAGTCAGCGATCAGCCTGTCTGCGAAAACTCGCAGATTTGCTCGAAGAGGACGACCGGCTGATCAAGCTCTTGACGCTCGATGCGCAGAGCACCGGCAACCCTGTTTCGATTATTCCGACGAGAGAGAAGACTTATATTCTCGGTCACTTGTTGTATTATGGTAAGTATAACTACAGCCCATACATAGAGCGCAGATTGCTAATCGAAATAGCTGGATGGACGGACAAGCTGCGTGGTGACTACTACCCCGATGATGATGGATTTGTCAAGCTGGTTCGCCAGGAGCCTCTTGGGTACGTAATTGGGCATTTAAGAGGAACCGAAACAAAGACTGACCAAGGCAGGGTGTGCGCCGGTATCAACCCATTCAACGCTCCCATCGCGACCCTTTTCATGAAGGCCGCACCTTGCTTGGCGACTGGAAACGTATTAATCCTGAAGCCGTCGGAACAAAGCCCATTGGGGTCTATGGCAATTGCTCCCCTCTTCGAGGCCGCAGGCTTTCCCAAAGGCGTGTTTCAGGTTCTGACGGGAGCTGGTGATACTGGTGCATTGCTAGCAAAGCATATGAAGATTAGAAAGGTACTCAGCCACAGTTCCCAATTATGCAAAGCCAGAGCTGACCTTGCTTTTACAGATCAGCTTCACTGGAAGTATTCCCACAGGGAAGAAGATCCAAATTGCAGCCGCCCAAAGCAATCTGAAGAGGGTAACCCTTGAACTTGGCGGAAAGAGTCCAGCTTTAGTCTTCGATGATGCGGATCTCGATAATGCACTTACATGGTAGGTTCAAGCCGACAAATTGATTCTTTGGTTGTGCTTTGCTAACATGTTTAGGACGGTAAACGCCATCCTCGCCCGATCCGGTCAAGTCTGCGTCGCAGCATCCCGCGTCTATGTCCAACGATCCATCGCAAATGACTTTATCTCGAAATATAAAGAGCGCATGCTCGCAGCCGTCGAGAAACTAGGCGACCCCCTAGACAAGGCGACCATGATGGGTCCATTAGTCAACAAAGCCGCATTCGAGAGGGTAAGTAAGATGATCGAACGAGGCAAGGATGAAGCAGAGCTTGTTGTCGGCGGTGTACGCCACGGTGACCAGGGCTGCTTCATTGAGCCGACGGTATTTTTGAATCCCCAGAAAGGAGCCCAGATATACAGCGATGAAATTTTCGGTCCTGTGGCTGTTGTTAAGACGTTTGATACGGAAGAGGAGGTCTTGCAGATGGCTAATGATACCGAGTACGGGTTGATGTCTGGAGTTTTTACAAAGGATATCAATCGTGCTTTGCGGTTTTCTGCGAAGCTTGATTCTGGGGTTGTGGGTGTTAATTGTGTGAGCTATGTGAATAATTATTCTCTCTTGGGCTCTGATACTTGCTGATCTTTTTTCAGATGAATGTTCAAGTTCCGTTCGGAGGTAAGAAGCAGTCTGGACTGGGTAGGGAATATGGCGAATACGTGAGACCTCATTATCCGCTCTCATCAAAGCATTTGGCTAAAGTCTACTAGGCTTTGCGAGCATTTACTGAGCCCAAGACTGTGCTTATCAAGTAAGGCAATATTCCCATTAAATGCTCCAAGCTCGGTGCTGACTATTTGCAAGCATGAATTGAATAAGTTATAGATAGACCTGATAGTTGATTTTTAACTGTAGCGAGGAGATAGTACTATAGCAGATAGTCAACGAGAAATCAGACATTGCCTTTCATCCCAGGAAGTTCCCTTGCAGCTTATTGCTTCTGTCCGTATCAGCTAGAACGATGTCGAAGTGCCAGTATTCCGAAAAATCTCATAACGGACACCCCTCCCCCTGGTTGGCTGGACGCAAGCCTAGGATGCCATACCAATTTAAATGTACACAGGGAGATCCTCGATATCGGCCCTTCTCCCCGCAGAGCGGAACTAGGCCCCAAAGTCCTAGCGAGTACATCTCCATGGGGCTGGCCTTACCCATTCTTTTCGCCTCGACCATCTCATATTTGATTCCAGCTCCAACCGCGTTCGCCGAAGTCGGTTGGAAATACTACCTTCTTTTCATTATTCTCTCAGTCGTCAATATTTCGCTTATCTGATACTTCTTCCCCGAAACCAAGGGAATTGCACTGGAAGAGATAGGAGAGACATTTGGGGGTGAAGTCGTGATCCACTTAACCGGTCTCTCGGACGAGCAGAAAGAAGACTTGGACAAGGCTATTGAGACAGGGAGGAGGACATGATTATTCCAGCCGTTGAAACATCCTCTGGTCGGGAGGCTCCTTTGGTAACGGGCAAATTGACAATGAGTTCATGCGATATATTTCGTGCTCCACATTGGTATTGATGAACATCTACACATTTTGTTGGTCGTTATGGCTCGCTGTGGACGAACTCGCTCCACCCTTCCTCTCAACAGGGTGCTTTACCAAGCTCTCATACCACTGGATTGTAGACCCGATCATGAAAGCCCATGATCCCCAGAATGTTGCAAGAGTGGCCTGATATTCCACTCCCGAGTTAGCGCTTGCTGGCCCTAACGCGCCACAGAGGGTAAATCCGATGCCGCCAATGAAATTCCAAGCTCCGATATGCCATCCAAGAACATGAAAAGCTGGGATGTACCATTTAGTCTGTGTCTCCAACGTGAAGAGCAGTCCGCTGAGAATGAATCCGGTCCCTCCGACCATTTGAGGCACCCAATACACTCCATCGGCTAGGCCTTGGCTTAGGTGTCCATAAATTCCAGGTAGTCCCGTAAATCCGGCAATCCAGAATATAGTCGCCGCGATAAATTGAATCAGAGAGGCAAGAAAGCCCAGCTCATGAAGATAGTGCGATTGAAGGTCCGACCACGACGGCATCCAGCGAAATGATGTGCCAGTGGGTGACGATGTCACATATCCAGCAGTAGCATCGTGTGAGGGTCGGCGATACAGATGTCTCCCTGCGCCTATGAGATTCACCTTATTCGCATGATGATGATGACATTCATTCAAGCTCGGCTTGGCTGCAGCAACAGTCACTGTGTGCGGCGCGGTAGTATCGGATTTCATGAGTTCCGTCTCAAGAGCCCATCCAAAACAACCCGTCTGATTCGCATTGACAGCCTCTAGGAGAAGCAGTACACTTCCAATCTCGAAAACGGTAGCACCGATAAACGCACTGATTCCCCCGCCGTTCAAAGTCTCGCCGGGAAATTCGGTCGTCGGGTCCTCAAGAGGCAACCACACGAAGAAAGCATTGATAATCCAAATAACCGAGCCAAGAGTGAATATCACAGCGATCAAGTACGAGACATCCCAATAAGGCGCATAGGTAGCCATGCGTAAAACACCCCTCGCAGCCGCTGACCAGGTAGACGTTGGAGGCGGAGCCTGATACCCCGAATCTCGGGGTGGAACTCGATAATCGACTCGCAGCGCATGTCGACCTTTCCGATTATCACGAGATCGCCAGAGATGCTGGACGTGTTCTGGCTGGGATGGACTCCTCAGACTGGGTTCCACCATCTCACGGGCCTCAATCTCCCGCATGGCTGGCGCGTACCACGCCCAAGTGGGATTCAAGAACGACAGTGGACCGGAGACATAACTTCGACGGAGCTGCAGGCTCGGATGGCCCTGCAGAGGTTCTCGGCCCTGCCGGAAATGCGAGTTTCGACCCATTGCTGGTCGACTGGAAGTGAGAGAGGTGCTATTGTATGAAGCACGCCAAGCTTCGGCGGGATCCACTTGAGGCAGCAGGCACGTGCACTCGGGGAACAGCGCAGAGAAATGTACTTCAACTATGCGATCCCCTACAATTTTGCGAGTTCGGAGCCGGTAGGATACCATTTGAATTGTGAGTTTACTGCTTTTGTGCCTTTCAAGTAGAGTCTTGACTGGAAATAGGATTCTCTAGGTACCGCTTGCTACTGCAACAGTGTCTGCTACCTACTATCTTGAACGGCATGCGAATGAATCGGTAGATGACCTTATCAAAAGCAGACACAAATGTCATCTCCGTGGTACGGGGGCGGCTATTTCGAATTTTGAGTCCCAGGAAGCTGGAAATCAGAATTGCAATGCTTTTTGGTTGGTCTCCAGAGTGAAAGGAAAGCCCCCCTCTGTGCTGGGTGCTGATGAAGACTAAAGGCACCGACTGCAATACACCAAGCAATTATTTTTGAAGTTAATGAAGTCACTTTACCCTATGATTCTGTGTGGATAAGGCGGGGTAAAACAAGTTTCCCAAACGTGGTAAGTCCTTACTGTGACAAGCCAACACGCTACGATTCAGTGCGAAGAAAGTTTCATCTGGATAGAGAAGAAAGCCCAAAATAGTTTTCACTGCCTCCGGTTGGGACTTTTGTAAGATGTTGATCATTCATCGGCGACGATGTGCTACATTTGGCAACTCATTCATGTCGTGAACTCGGGGGGAAAGCTGTCAAGGAGCCCAGACAGCACCTCCTATTCTCATCCAGTATGTAAATCTGTAGTTGTCAAGAGGGGCTCAGAGCCCGGTGATCATGCTCAGCTGGGTCACGTGTAGATAATCACCAACCGTTCAATCAGGGCGCACGTTTGATGTACCCAGCCCCACTTTACGGAAACGCCAACATAGCCATACGCTCCACCCCCAGACCCAATCTCTCTCGGCTCGCCCTCTGCCACTGCTGGACATTGAAATATGGGTCAACCTAGGAGGCATTTTGCGCCATGGCTGACACTGGCATGTGCCGTGTCGACTGCCATGGCCGCGAAGAAGCCATTCAGCATTCACGATGACCTCCTGGCCTATCCACAGGTGACCCGCCCAACCGCGATAGGATTACTAGAGATGACAGCACTAACGCACTGTCGCTGCAGTACCGGGTCGTTTTCCCTGACGAATTCATCCTCAACGCCCAAGCCGAAAAGCTACTCGAGTCGCAAACGAGAACCACCGACGATGCCTCCACCCACGAGCAGAAAGACCCTCAAGTATACATGGATAAGACCCGCGCAGAAGAAGCTACTGGTGGTGAAAAGGGTGGCAAGAGCCCAACTTATGCCTATGAAGAAATGATCATGGACGACCGGAGACTCCTGTGCCAGATCCCCCATGTCAGCAGTAACGACATGAACACAACAGCGAGCAATCAAGCCAACGAGGCAGACCAACAAAAGGAACTGGCACGCGCGACAGACCGAGGACTCGAGCTGCTGCGCGAGATGGAGGGGAAATGCATGTACTACTTCTCGGGCTGGTGGTCCTATTCGTTCTGCTACCAGAAACAAATTAAGCAGTTTCACGCGCTGCCGGCCGGCCGCGGGATCCCTCAGTATCCGCCGATGGAGGACCCAACAACGCAGTCTTTTATTCTGGGGCAATTCCCGGATAATACGAAGGATACCGAGAAAAGGGATCAGAAGCAGAAGCAGGCCGGACAGACGGATGTGGCTGAGCTACACACGAAAGGTGGTTCGCGCTATCTTGTGCAACATCTGCGGGGTGGGACTACATGTGACCTGACGGGTCGCGATCGCAGGGTCGAAGTCCAGTTCCACTGCCATCCACAATCAACTGACCAGATTGGCTGGATCAAGGAATTGACTACCTGCTCCTACTTAATGGTCATCTACACCCCCCGTCTCTGCGACGACGTTGCCTTCTTGCCGCCCCAGCAGGACGAGGTCCACGACATTGAATGCCGGGAGATTCTAGAGCCCGAGGATGTTCCGGAATGGAAGGCTTTGAATGAGTGGTATCAAGCCAACCAATTAGTCGATGCTGCTACCACTCACTCTGGGGAGCCGGTCCAGATTGTTGGCGGGATCGAGGTCGGCGCCCGCGTGCTTGTGGGAACGGAAGGCAAGGTCATGGAGAAGGGACGAGTCGCTTCGGCCGGTGAAGAGCGCGTGGAGGTGGTTGCCAAGCGCGAAAATGGCGAAGTACGACGAATCAAACAGGTGGCGAAGAAGTACGATATCGATGGGGATAAAATCGAGGAGATGAGGAAGAAACTAGAAGATATCGCCGAGGGAAAAGACTGGACCCTTGAAGTCGTCGTGGAGAACAATGGGGTGATAAAATTCCAGGGCGTGGTTGTGGATGACGAGAGCGAATCCGATACGCCTGCTCAGCCCCAGCATGAGGATCAAAAGCCGCTTCGCGCAGAAGATACCCGACTGACGGAGTCTGCCGGGTCAGATCAAGAACCAGACGAAGACTCGACTAAATCGCGGTCCGCTGATACCCAGGAATCAGAAGAGTCAGAAGGCAGCGAGGAAATCTTCAAAGATGAACTCTGAGAGCGATAGGTGAACTTGTACAATAAGTATATTTGGCGAGCATTTCTGAGTCGTAAATGTTATCAATGACCGTCCATCATCACCAAAAAAATCTCTCGGGGACATCCCCGTGCCTGCTATATTAGACCCCGGAATTGACGGTTGTCTGCAGACTGTGCCTGTTTCTAATTGAGGTAGTGCCCAGGAACGGCCGGTTAGCTTCATGCCCAAAGACGTCAGACGCCCCAGTTGCCGGGGCCCGAGTGGGGGCACCAGGAGAAGACCTCGTGGACGCGCGGCCGAGAAGGCGTGGTGAGAATTGAGCGATAAGTACCCTAGGGTAGGGCTCGAGGGAGGAGTCACGATGGATGTAAATAGAGACGAGAGACGGAAGAGGGGTGCCCATGTAGTCGGCAGTGGCAGGGACCGGTCAACCCGCGACAAGACGTAAGGAACGTGACCGCGAACTCCTAGCGATCGTCCCGGCCCACCTTCCCACCCTCCCTGATCCAACCCCGTTCACTTCACAACTCCTCCTCTGGTGTATTTGGGTGCCGGTCCCCCGTTTCGCCTTGAACTTCTCTTCCCTATCCCTTGCCCGCACTCCGTGCCAAGGCTGACCCGATCCCGGCGTCACCACGCGGCCTCTCCGACCAACACCGCATCCCGCATCCACCACTCGAGCCGGCAAACCATCCCCCAATCGCTGCATTCCTCGCAGCGCCAGGTCTGCACTTCATTGTGAGAGATCGAACCTTCGGCAACGTCGGCACTTTCCTTCACGATGGGGTTCCTCGGCGTCTACTCGGCTGTGTATGATTACCAGCCTCAGGGAGAAGGTGAATTGGACATCCGCGAGGGCGACCTGCTCTACATCCTGGAGAAGAGCTCCGAGGATGATTGGTGGAAGGCAAAGAAGAAGGCAGACCGCGACGATGAAGACGAACCGGAAGGCCTAGTTCCGAATAACTATGTCGAAGAGGTAAGCATCCCGGGGCACGCGAGGGCTGCAAGGAGACCACGTCCCCCGTGTCTGTCATCGCTCGGAAGCGCATGCAATTGCTCCACTCAGTGCATAATGCGACTCAGTGATGAGGAATTGAGCCGTACTGACCCATCGTGAATTGATTAGGCGCAACCGACATACAAGGCCAAGGCTCTCTACGACTACACCCGACAGACCGACGAAGAGGTCTCGTTTTCCGAGGATGCCGAACTCCTAGTGTACGATACATCGGACCCAGATTGGACATTGGTTGGGGTAAACTCGGACTACGGATTCGCGCCGTCAAATTACATCGAACTTGTTGAGAAGACTGCCCACGCCGGTGGTGCAGTGGCTCACCCTCCTCCTACCCCAGCCGAACCTGAGGCTCCCTCCCTACCGCAGCGACCAACAGCGCCAGCCGCGGAGGAGTACGAATCATCGCCTGCAGCTTCTCCTATTGACACCGCGCAAAACCCCCGCCGCAGCAGCGATTGCGGATATCATTCACAAGCAACATGCTCCCGCTGGCACCTATGCAGAACCAGCGCGAGAGGAAACTCCGCCTCCGCAGCCTCCTCGGCCCTCACACGACCAACCGGATGACCGTGACGAAGGGCCGCCGCCTTCCCTGCCGCGGCGTCCGCCATCGGAACAGCTACAATTTAGCACCCCTATGGAGCCATATTCCCCCGAACCCGAGCCTGCTCGCCCACCTCGCCCCCAGGTGGCTTCCCCGGCCATGCGCGGCGACAAAACACACGTCAAGGAGTCTCCTCCTTATAACCGTGCCGGTGAACTGACACCTCGATCGCCTTCGGGCTACCATCTTTACAACATCAATGAAATGGTAGAGGTTATGGGCAAGCGCAAGAAGATGCCAACAACACTCGGCATCAACATGGTCACTGGAATCATCTTCATTTCCCCCGAGGGCGATGATCGTCAACAGGAGTGGACAGCGGAAAAGTTGACCCATTACTCAATTGAAGGCAAACATGTCTTCGTTGATTTGGTTCGACCTAGCAAGAGCATCGATTTCCATGCTGGAGCTAAAGACACTGCGTCGGAGATTGTGGCTGCACTTGGCGAGATCGCTGGAGCCTACAAGGCCGAGGGGCTTCGAGAAGTCCTTGCTGCTGGAAAGGGCGGCGGTGGTCAGAAGAAGGGACAGATTCTGTATGACTTCATGGCTCAAGGTGACGATGAGGTGACCGTGGCAGTGGGCGACGAAGTTATTCTTATTGATGACACCAAGTCTGAGGAGTGGTGGATGGTGCGGCGAATGAAGAATGGCAAGGAGGGTGTCGTGCCTAGCAGCTATGTTGAAATTACCGGGTTCGTTACCCAGGAACCTCCGGCTGGCGTTAATTCAGGCTTGTCCAGCGTGGAAAGGAATCGTCAAGAGGAGGCTCGATTGGCCAAGGCAGCGATGGGCAAACCGAGAACCGACTCCATGGACTCCTCGGAGCGACACCACCGAAAGCGCGACAGCAAATCCAGCAAGTCCAAGCCCGATTCCAGTCAAGTGAGGAAATGGACAGACCGTACCAAGGCCTTCACGGTCGAGGCGCAATTTATTGGCCTCCAGGATGGAAAGATTCATCTCCATAAGGTCAATGGTATCAAGATTGCTGTTCCTGTCGCCAAGATGTCTGTCGAGGATCTCGAGTATGTCGAGAGGACTGCTGGTGTCTCTTTGGACGAGGACAAGCCCCTGTCGAGTATTCGGGCTCGAGCTACTTCCGATCCCAAGGGTGCCGCAGGCGCTTCTGTGCAACGGCCAGAGTATGACTGGTTTGACTTTTTCCTCAAGTCTGGCGTTGGTCCACACCAGTGCGAGCGTTATGCGCAAAACTTCCTCAAGGATTCAATGGACGAGTCTGTCCTGCCTGACATCACCCCTGAAACCCTTCGCACCCTAGGGTTGAAGGAGGGCGATATCCTGCGCGTGATGCGTCACCTTGATACTACTCTTGGACGCACTGGTTCGAAGTCCAAGCTTCGCAATGTTAGCTTTGGTGGTGAGGAGGTCATTGGCAATGGCGAAGACGGCGGGCTTTTTGCCGGTCCTGGTGGTATGTTGCGAAACAACACCCGCAAGGGACGGCCTACACCCTCCGTCCAAGCAGGTGATGTTGTTGATCCCAAGGCATTCGAGCAAGCAGATGACTCGAAGCCAAAGGAGAAGGAACGCGCTGCCAGTCCTCCAACCCCCACTGCACCGGAGAAGCCTGTCCAGCGTGGCTTCGACGACGATGCATGGGAAGTAAAACAGCCGAAGCAGTCTACAAGCCCGGCTCCTGCTACTGCGAACAAACCTTCCTCTCCTACGACAGCCACGGCACCAGTGCAGAAGCAAGTCACTGGGGCGATGGCAGACCTGACTTTGCTGCAAGCTCCTCTGCAACCCACACCCGCGCAGCCTGCCCCTACGCCATCTGTTTCGACCATTCCTGCTCTTCAGCCTCAACAAACCGCTGTGCAAAATCCGCCTGTGCAACAACAGCAACAGCCAACCGGGGCCAATGCCAGCTTGTTTGCCCAAGTTGCACAACTTGGACAGCAGGCTAGACAACGCCCACAACCCCCTCAGAGCATGAACCAGAACTCGCTTCTTCCTCCGCCTCCGCAACGCCCCCTCTCGGCCCCTCAGAACTTCTCGCAACAGCAGAGCACTTTCGGTCCTCCTCCTTTGCAGGCTCAGTTGACAGGCGTTCCCCAGGCTGGTCCGCAAGGCGCCCCTGCCCAGGGCTTCCAGCAGCCGCAGATGCAGCCTCAGGCCACAGGTTTCATGGGACAGAATCAGTTCCAGAATGGGTTGATGCCCCAGCCAACTGGCTTCACCCCTCAGTCCCAATTTGGAATTCAACAGCAGCAACAGCAGCCGTTCAGCAATGGTCAACCTGGCTTCCAGGGTGTTGCACCGCAGCCCACAGGCTTTGGTGGATTCCCACAGCAACAGCAGCCTATGCAAACCGGCGTGAATTCGGTGCTTCCTCCAGCACTGCAGCCCCAGCCAACTGGTATGAACGGTTTCGGCAATGCCAGCAACTACACCCAGTCTCCACCTCCGGTCCCGCCGATCCCCCAACAGCCGACGGCAACACCTTTGTCACCCCAGAAGACTGGACCTCCCCCGTCAGTCAGGTTTGGTGTGAAGCCGGATGCACCCCCAAGCTTGCTCCACAGCCAACAGGATTGAGGGCGAACCTCTCACAAGCTAGTAAGTTACTTTTATCTTTTTGGTCAACGCAATGGATGGCTAATTCGAACAGCGCCCCACAACCCCTTCGGCTTCTAAGCAGGCGCTTTCCAACATCCGCCTACCCTTATCTGCCAATATAATTCGGTCTCCTGCGATTGATCCCCCTTTCGCATTCTATCCTTCGCTGCGACTTTCGCTGAAGAGAATTACACATATCTCAGCGTGTCTTTTCGACCTCGTTCCCACTGAAATTGACATGCGTACATAATCATGGCTCCCTTTCAACTCTCAACATAACGCAGCGCGTATCGAATGCCATGACTCTGGCTTTCTTGCCGTACACCTACTTAGCGAGCGCCATCGTCGATTTCTGCTCCAAGAACTGTGACTCTTACGTCTTGCATCCTTCTTTTCCTTGTTGTCTTTGATGTAATTTCGTCGACGATGTTTGTGGCTGAATGTCCTCGTCTTTCTTTTTCTCTTTTCATTCTAGTGTTCTATGTCGACGGCCTCCCGAATTTCCTTTCTCCTTTTCCTTATTTCTCTGTTTTCTACTCATAAGTAATGCGGCGGCAGCATCTCTAGTGGTTCTTTGCTTTTGCAATGCTCGCTGGATAATGTATGGTACATATAGGTTGGCTTTTATGCAAAAGAATTCATATGCAGAGTTTCCTTCTCTTATATGTGGTATAGTTTTATCCACATCTGAAATGGGCCTTTCATTTGGTGTAGGGAGTTTTGAAGAAAGTTTCCGGCGAATAAATCGTATTCCTCAACTCATATCCGGGATGAGGCTAACTATGTCTGGTTACTCTGGGTTAATCAACCTCGTGCTTACTCTCCAATTATTGTCCTATGGCAACCTTGCGCTAAATGAGTCATCCCCAAATAGTCGGTCACCTTTATAGAAACAGCTCACCAAAGTTTTCCCACAGAAAGCCGAAGTCAATCACGATTTGATCAAATCGACACCACCAATCAATTACCCCTCCATTATCCATCATCACGAATAAGATTAATCAGCACTGCCATCAAAGCCCAAGAAGCCTATCAAGATGTCTTTCCCAATCGACAGTACACAGATTAAAGAAGACATGAGAAAAGCCTACAACAGCATGGCAACCACCTATCTAACCTGGACGGAACCAACCCACAAAACCCGACTAGAATACCTGCAGAAGCTCCTCAAAAAGATGGACTCCTCTATCCGTCCTGGAGAATCCCAAAACATCCTCGAATTAGGCTGTGGCGCCGGAATACCCTGCACCAAACTATTAGCCAACCGCCCAAACACCAGAGTAACCGGCAACGACATCTCCGACGTCCAAATCGCCCTTGCAAAAGAAAGACTCGTCCCTTCGGAGAATAATCTCACCTTGGTGCAGGGTGACATGATGAACCTCGCGTTCCCACCAAAGTACTTCACTGCCGTACTCGCAATGTACTCGATAATCCACCTGCCGCGGGCTGAGCAGTCCACTATCCTTGGACGAATCTACGACTGGCTGGAGCCTGGTGGTTTGTTCTTGGCGAATTTTGGGACGGCGGAGAGTCGGGGCGCGTCGGATGAGGGATGGCTTGGTGGGAAGGATGGGTCTGTTTATTGGAGTAGTTGGGGGAAAGAGGAGTTGAGACGAATTCTTGGGGAGGTTGGATTTGTGATTGAGGTTGACGAGGTTGTTGTTGATACTGAGGAGTTTGGTGGGGTTACGAAGGGAGTTGAGTTTCAGTGGATTCTGGCTAGGAAGGAGAATGGTACTCAGGGTGCTCGAGATGAAGTTGAGAATTGACGCGCTTGAGAAAAAAAAACAGCTTGTGGAATGGAGAATGATTTCAGTATTTATGCGCAATTAAGTCAAGGACATATAAATAGGGTTTGTATGTAGTAATCTGGTTCGAAGATCTCTGAGTATATACTCCACACCAAATAAGGAATTCATCAAGTCATAGGTTACATATTGAGAGAAAATGTCCAGGCCCGCCGTTCAAAAGATTGCGCCAATACACCCCGCTACCAAAGATAAACAGAATGCAACGATATCAAATAGAACCTCAAGCATCATCCCATATCCCAAACACAGGAAGATCCTCGGCCATATAGAGTAGGCCATTCTCAGGGAAAATGACATCCGAAAGCGGAGATGGTCCACCAGAGATAGGAGCCTGTCCAGATGGGGGAATGGTACCGCCCGGCGAGCAACCGACGGGGATTCCTGATGTTGTCAGCGCAGAAATTGCCGCATCATATGGGAAACCAGCAGCCCCGTCTGAGCTACTGTAGAGGGAATCCCAAACGTCGTTGCCAGGGGGTTGAGGGCCATTGGAGAGATGTTTTTGTTGGGCCGCGAGGAAGGAGGATGGAGTCGTACCCCCAGCGGGCTTACCAGGAGAGGGAGGGGAGATCATATCCGGGGACTGGTGTGGTTCGGATTGGCCGGAAGGCGTAGAAATTGCACCATGACCAGCACAGGCTGAGGACATAGAGGCAGGATCAACGCCACCACCAACCTGACCGAAGAGTTGGTCGACTTGTTTGCTTCGATGATCCATCCATTGCCGGCTACGCCTTTGGATGTACTCGCCAACAGCAGCACGGAGATATTTGACAATGTGACTGAATCGGCATGCATGTGGGTCGTGGGGGACAAATAGTCCTAGGAATCGTTCGGCTTTGTTCATGCCCTCTTCTAGAGGAAGGAGGTTGTCATAGTCGGCAAAAAAAGCGGCACCAAGTACAACGGCAGAGTTGAACACTGAATTTATCAGGAATGGCAGCCGGCGCGGGAGAGATGGGAATCGACCGAGATCATTGATCACGTCGAGTCCTCGGAGAGCAGAGTAGACGCATGCATCGGCGAATAAAGAGACGCGAGAGCTGCCACTCCTGGATTCTGAAGACGTCGGTAGATCGGATTTGTTTTTCACGTATTGGGCGACGCGGAAGACGAGGAACGGTCTGGTCAGGAGGATGATAGACCAATAATATGATCCAAAAACATGGGCTGCAGCCAGGCTGTCCTCCATGCTTTTGTTGTCGAGTCGTTCAGTCTGTATTTTTAGAACAGCGGGGAGAGTGCGAACCCAGGCACGATGTTGATTTGAGATTGATTCCGCCACATTGATCGAGATGACTTGCTTCATATAGACATCTGTAAGGATTCGTTCAAATATTCGACAGAGGGAGATGACTGCAACTGAAAGCTGTTGATCTGGTGTCAGGTTTCGTTGTTGGTCTCCCGGTGCCATCATATCGTCATCACGCGTGTCAGGGTCATAGTCCGATGTTGCTGGAGGACGTCCCAGAGAGGCGGATAGAAATAGATCCATCATTCGAAGACTCTTCCAGACCCGTTCTCTCGCCCTTCGCTCGCGTCCACAGAAGAGTGCATTCGCATCTTTGCGATGGATTCCCACAGCATATGCAGCTCGCAGAGCGATTCCCAAATTCATGAATGCACCGTTACGCCTGCAGGCGCCGAGCATATACATCGACACTAGTATGTATGACTGGATCGTGTGAATGCTAGGAGTCTCCTGGAAAGCCGAAAATGCCAGTTGTCGACCGCTACCGAAGAATCGTTCCGCGACATCTTGGTGGACATTCGAAACCTGTGCGCCGATGGCGAGAACAAGGTAAAAGATGGAGCTGACAGTATCTTCATCGCCGGTCGGATTTCCGACCCAATTCGCTAATCGTGGGTGAAATTCATCCAGGTCAAACAGGTCTAGCAAAGGACTGGTGGCGAGGACATATTGCCGCGCAAGTCGTTGGGCGTCTCCATTGCTGGGTGGTGGGACGAGGGAACTGGGCTGGTTGCTCGGGTTATTTTGGAAGGCCTCGAGCATGGAGTGTCGAGAATTGTCTTCGGTAAATTCGCACCGACCAATCGACGACGAAACCACGCGACGGACACTCTGCAAGAAAGACAGACTGGCCGAGTCCCCGATATACATGAATTTCCCTTGCCCGTCGCGAAGAAGTCGCGCCACTTTCGGAACAGGAGCCGTGCCCTCCTTCTCATCGCGGACCTGGTGCTCCAAATTCATGCCCTGGTCCTCAAGCGAATTGAGTATGTGGTTGATAGCCGTCTCACGCTGTGGCGAGGGAACCATCCGTTCACTGAGTAACATCGTGGAGTCTTTGGTCTCGGGCTTGAGGAGTCGAGCCGGGCGGTCCGAAAAGTGACATTCTGACTCCTTCTTTCGCTGGACACATATCGTACAAGGGTGCTCGCCGTTACATTTCTGTTTGCGCCTCTTGCAGCTGTCACAGGCTCTGCGACAGCGGAGTCGCGCCCCAGGGGCCGTACTCGCGCGAGGCATTCCGATCGCACCGCGCGGCTCGTTCGGTCAATGGGTCGCCCGGGGACTGTGAAGGTCGGTGGTCATCGAAGCGTAGGGACTGAGGTTGGATGATAATCTGCCGGTCAAAGCGATCTTGCGGATTGCAGTTACAGCATGGCGGGCGCGAGTTGCTATTCTAAGAAGGAGTGTGGGCTTCTGCTTTCCCCGGACTTTACGGACTGACTAAGCACATCCCACTTTGGTGGCGCCGCTTTCGCAGCTTTGGACAAGGGTCATTCCAAGCACTCGAAAACAAGTATGGACTATAAACAATTTATCGTAAATGTCACAAGTTCCGCTCCTTTACTCTGGGCGGAAGGAAACAACCTTGCCCCAGGTGTCAGCGGTACCCCAAATGCCTGATCGCAGACACGACAACTGCACAATCTGGCTATGATCGACAAAGACGTTCACATCGATACCGAACTCCCGAACGTACCAGTTAAACACCTTGGGATCCGCAGCCTCAAACATCACACGCTCGGGTGGGAGTTCCTTCATGATTCTGGAGACCACGTCTGTGCGCCAGGACTCGACATTCTCCGTGATACCCTCTGACTCAATCATCAGACGTTTGACTCCATTGTCCAGGAACTTGCGTCCCAGGTTAACCAACTTTCCAGGGTCTGACGTTCCGATCGCTTCCAAGCCCGAAGCAGGGGTATCACCACCAGCGCCGAACTGGATACCCAACTCCGGTTTTGCTTCAAGCTTGTACGACTGCACTTTGTCGACGAGTCGAAGCCAGTCGTCCTCCGGGATGGACAAGAAGCCCGAAGACAATTCAATGACGTCGAATCTGAGATATGATTAATCATTTATGCTCTATATGGCCAGTTATGTCGATGTAACGTACCCCAAGTCCTTGCATTTGGTCAAGTAGCGGTCGAAGACTGTATCGGCATCGGGGTGCGTGAGAAGGTGCTCGGCCCATCCGCCCTGGCAACCACAATCGGACATGTCAGCTCGATACATTCGAGACACATTTTTGTGCTGCTTCGGTGCATACCGTCGAGACATAAACCCCATGCTCATGAGCAAGATTAATCAACTCGCGCAGCGGCTGCTCTTCAAACAGGGAGAAGGAACCTAGGAGCTGTTTTCAGCACATTATACATAGTAGAGTGCCGCGATTGAGAAGAATTCGACTAACCTCCAGCAAACTTAAGCCCATCCACGTGGTTTCCCATGCTGAATTACCATGTTAGATTCCGTCGCTATCGGATTGTTGAGGCTGAATGGTGCTTACGTCTCGAGCACATCTGCCAGATATCGCTTTCCCATCACCTGGGCGGGTATGAGCATGCTTGGTCTCTTCGACAAAAGCCGATTAAATCATACCGAGTAGTAGGGTCCCCGAATTTCCGTGACACCTTTGCTCCTAGGCTTAGCCGGTCGCGGGTTCGATCGCGCAAAGCCAAAGCCATTCTCCTTATCTTGTAGCAGAGTCAGTCCCTGTGCCGGGTTCTTCGTTGAGAGACCGCGCGTTTGTGTGGATGCTGCCAGCTTCGCGATCTGGGGAGTGTTGCGGGTCAGCTGCCGGGAGGCAGCGGCAAAAGAGGTGGTTGCTCCGAGCATGGTAGGAGGTAATTAAGATGATTGTTAAGTCGTTACTTGTTCCCTGTAGATCAATAACAGTTGAACATGTGGAATATATATTCTTAGAGTAGCTGTAAAAAATTGTATTCGATCGCCTCAGGTCAGGACTGAAATAATTCAAAGAACAGAGTCCATAACCTGTTTAATTTCCATTGTACCTCTGCTCGGTCTGTCTGTTTGCAGAGTGGTGTGAGGGTTGACGTCAAATATACTTCACTGTTGCGGAGAAGCTCAAATTAGAACCTCTCTCAGGATGACATCAGCCACGTCAAAAACTAAATAAGCGACTACAACTGCCCTGCGGTAGCTTCGGCCTACTAAGTATTCCATCTCTAGGAACTAGCAAAATGAAAAAATTTTTTTACATAGCAGCCAAAACAGTGCGATCGGCCCTCGTCGACGCCGGTGGCCGAGTCCGAGATACGCTAATCCTGGAAGAGCACCTGGGCACATGTCTGATCCGTAGTGGATTTTCGCGAGGACAATTAAACTATGTAAATGGACTCAGCACGCTCGGAACAGTGGGAACGGAACGGAGATGGTGCGGATCCCTCCCCTTTTTCGTGATCACCCCATTGATCTCCTCGTCCCGGCGAATCTTGCCCAGAGTTTAAGAGGCTTGTTGTCTCCCGTCGGCCGATGGACTCTCCGATGCCGACGGCCGGGCTCGATCATTCCGTATCCGCTGACAAACTTCGGCCGCGACCGAGGTGGATCCGCATAACCAATGCATAAGTATGGCCGACGATCAGTAATCTCAGCTTCCGACAGACCAAAACAATAGGGCCGTCACGAGGCCAGCAGGAAGCTTGGCAAGATCTTTGGCCCAGACACTAGCCAGGTGGGTATCGGAGGATCGAGCAGTTGGTTTTGTCTGGGCACTGCCTTTAGGTACGTATTTGTTTTGCGGGTGGGGCGTTCTTTTCTTAGATGCCGCCGCTTTTGTGATGGCGTTTAGAAGTCAGCACTTTATGATATGTAGAGGTCAAAGGATACAATTATGATTTTTACGAAATATTCTACGAAATTTCGATCAGCTTAGATCTCTGCGATCAGCATAGGCCCAAGAGAAATAACCAGGGGCCACGAGCTTGTGATAATGAGGTTTTATTTTCGGCGCTTCTTCGCTCAGGATGCGCTGTCTGAAATACATCGCAGTCGATAACACCATCAATAGGTGAAATTGAATAAACCGCGTGACTGATCCATTTAATGTCGGCGACAGTGCGTGGTTTATCTCCGAACCTGGGACAGTAATGTACTCCAAGGTACTACTGGCAGCTTTGATCATAAACCTTGCATCGAATTTTGACGAACTTACTCTTCTGCCCGCCACCTTGTTTTTGCTTCCCCGGGTTCTAGATGCAAAAGCGGCGGGCTCTGCATCCGAAAGGGGCAAGCTATGCGTTTGGTTAGGGCTGAGACGGGTCCACTCGGTATACGATTGCGAGCGAGAAAGCCAAGGCGTCCTGCAGGCTGCACCATTCATAAAAGGACTGCCGCCATAGGGCAGAGTCCTTCAAGGTCCCTAGTAGTATGTAGTACCTTGGGCCGTCAAGTGGATTCTAAGGCCCTGCCGCCGCGTACGAAAGCGAGTACGCTAGCACGCGACCGCACCAGGCTGGCGGTGATCAACTCCTTGGCACGCTTCGAGGCCTATCCTGGTTTCTGATTTGACCCCATCCGCCAATCCTGGCGCGGATGGGGTGTTCCTCCTGTCAACTGGACCATGTTGGACCCTGCTGGGCCGTACACTGATCCAGATGGCATTCGGTCTCCGGTGCCTCCGAGCATCCGTGCCTGCCCTCGAAAGGCCGTCCGTCACCGTGGGCGGTTGCCCAACTCTTCCAGTCCGGGCCAGGTGATCCCTCTTCAGCTATTCTTACGACGAAACACTCGACCTCTCGGTTTTTTTTCCTCCATTCTTGTTTATTCTCTATATCCTCTATCCTCACATTTACCCGGTCCAGTCTCGTATACTGGTGACGCATCATGGGCGCAGGGGCGGTTATAGAGCCGCTCGTGGTCATTGTTCTTCTGTTTGGAGGCACCTGGATTAATCGGGCCACTGAGGCCTCTTTGTCTCGACGATTTCCCCGTCGCAGTTCCGTCGAGTATCCTCGAGCTTCCTCACCTGACTCCCTCGAATCGGGATATATTTCTCCGACGGCCAAGGATGGCCTTTTGAGCCCTCGAGCCTCTTCACCATCGCCGCAGATTTCGGACGAACGTTGGCACAAGCGCATCATTGGTGTCTTTGGCTTTTCCTACAGCGTGACCTCTCCAAACACTGCAGTGTTCCAAGACCGTCTTCTCAGTCGTCTCCTGCGGAGACTGCCCTTTCTAGCTGAATGTTGGTATTGGGCTCTGGTGTATTGGGTATGTTTGTCTCGGCCCCATCGTGAACATTTCCTTCTCGGCCACACATTTTCGCTGCTCTGGTATCGGACTGGCCCTTAAAGAGATGGCTGCTAATCAATATATCGTATAGACCTATCAGCTCGGTCGCGCCTTTACCGCTGTGACGCTAAAAGACGACACCGTCGATGTCGCCCGACGACATGCCTTACAAGTTATTCGACTGGAAGAAACATTGGGGATTTTCTGGGAGGTCAAAATTCAAGCATACTTCCTCCGGCACCCTCTGTTGATGACTTGGATAAATTGGATATATTCTTTCATTCATATCCCTGGCACGATTGCGTTCCTCGTGTGGCTATACTACTATACCATTACCCGAAATCGAATCAATGAGCCCCAGCTTGGCAAGCCCCGAGGAACCGTTAGTGGATCACCTGCAGGCCCGCTACTATACCAGGCCCGACGTCGGACCCTTGCGGTTTGCAACCTTCTTGCATTTGTCGTCTTCACCTTATGGCCATGCATGCCACCCCGCCTGCTGAGCGATCCCTCAGCAGAGGGCCCTGAAGCAGAGCTGGGCCGGGCCTATGGCTTCGTGGATACCGTTCATGGCGTCAATGGTGCAGGAAGCGTGTGGACAGAAAACCGCTTCTGTAACCAGTACGGTGAGTTTGTCATCGGACATGATATATTCAACGACCCCTGTCTGACATAACCAGCGGCGATGCCATCTTTGCATTTTGGATATTCTCTCATGATTGGCCTTACCATTATGACTATTCCGCTTCCCGCTCACCACCGACGAACACTTCGCCTCCGAGTTGGATCTCTGGGACTGCGCCTGCCTTCTTGGCGTCGCCTTCTCTGCTTGGCTCTCGGATTTCTTTACCCCTTCACTATTCTGGTTGCCATTGTGTCCACTGCAAACCATTTTATCCTCGACGCCGTTGCAGGAGCATTTGTTTGCGGTCTCGGCTGGTGGTCCAATGAGATTCTGTTGAACCTTTTGCCCGTGGAAGATTACTTCCTTTGGCTTGTCCGAATTTATAAGCCGGAACCGTCGTCCTTGCAAGTACCAGACAATGCTAGTGGTTGGGACTCGGATGAGTCGGAGTCGTGGAACCCTTGAGTTACCGTGTTGGCCTGAGATCGAGAATTATACCCATTCGCGCTTGTCGAGTTTTCTGGATCATGGTCGATGAACTGCTGTTGGACTGGAAATATGAATATACACCCTTTTCTTTGGCGTTTGAACATGCTTGTGGCACCAGGATTTCTTGTGTACATAGCGCCCGCACTATCATTAATGGGCAAGATCCCGGCATCTGCTTTGATGGATTTTAATAGCGCGAGCTGATGCCTTGCAAGGCAAAGTACGACTCGAAAGTAGAAAGTGTTAACGGGAATTGTAATTTCTTCGACAACAGCCGCATGGTATCAGGTTATCAATACCTTAATCTATGTGGCACTTGGCGTCAAAACTGGCACCTTTTGGCCAAAAACTGGTCCCGTATTATCTGAGCGAAGCCATAACAGGGGTGTGGTCTTAGATAAAGGGGGTGTGGAAGCATCAATCTCCTTTTGAAAGGCGAGGAAATGCCCTCCCTCAAACAGGACTTAGTATTGCCTCAGCGTTGATTGGCCAGCACAAAACCAGATAACATATCGCCAAGTGTATCAGATTGATTTCATCAAATATGCTAAGTAGTACTTAAGCTTATTCTTTATGGTAGGTGGGCAATTTGGTTACTCGTGCGTAGTGCAAAGGTCGGGAGGGCGACGTGCAGCGAAGGTGGTGGGGTCGAGTGCTTACAGAGCAAGCAGTGACCTGCGTCCAACACAGTCATTTCACAAGGTTCACCCAAGTCGTGTCAGCGAGTCCAGTTCATTCCTCCTCAATCCTCCACGTCTACGAGCAAGTCCTGCGGCATTCATAACCTACGCGCCATACCACGTCCCCACGCGATGGGAGAACGGTGTATGACAGCGCCATGGTAAGCAGCTTGGTATAGTATCAAGCCCCCCTCAACGTAGTATGCTTTGCTCATGGAACTGATACTCCGAAGCTGCCAATAAGAACCGTTGATGGCCAATGAGAGCCAGAATGCGCCTTGGCTTCCATGACTGCCGTGGATTACGATCTGGTGCTCTGCTGGGGCTTGTCTGAGACCAACTGCCCGTGAGAGCCAACGGCAGCCATTTGAGGATACAATATGCAACTAGGCACTGCGGATCTTGCGACCACCTCCATTTAAACGGCCAAGTTTGCCTACGGCTTCAAATCAAAAGACCGCGTGTCGACTCGAAATGTCTTGCTCTGTCTATTGGCGGGCCTCTTGGGGGCTAAGAAATTATCGAAATTCGCGTCGGAATCATACAGAAAGCCCCAGGTATTTCTCCAGACCAAGTGACGCCAGCGACCTCAAAAGGCGACGGCTTAAGATCTTCATCCAGGACCGTGGAACCTATTCCGGTCATCATCTGACGCTGTGTTTCTCCTGTGAGCTTGCGCACACGCCAAATCCTAGGACCTGTTGGCTGGAATTTGCTCAAGCGAGTATTCTGCTTTTCTGATACAACCGCCATCCATTGTCGTGGGCACTGAGACCATAGCAGACCCCGCCGTGGCCGTATCCAGTCGTGGTTGCAGTCCGTGGAGTTGTGGCGTCATTGTGGTTGTTCCCGTTCCCGCAGGTAGACCCAACGCGTCTCTTCCCGCGATCCGACCTGCGCGACTCTTCCTTCTCCACATCTCTCGGCCACCTGCCCTCCAACCTCCCACCCACCAACATACCAATTACTGACGCTTTTCCAATTCGACTACTGACTTACTGCACTGCGCCATCATGGCCGAAGACGCTCCTGTAACTGCGCCCCCGGAGACCGCAGAGAAGCTTGAGCCAACTCCCGCAGAGGAGTCTGTGGACAAGGCGCCTGAGAACCCCTCAAGCATTGAGGATAAGCCAACTGGTACGAAGACCCATCGCTGATACAGTTACCTCCTATACCTGGAGCTTCCACTCCAACCTGCGACCCGGTCCGGGTCGTCTTGTCTCTGTGCGACCAGACATTTGCTGACCCACTGGTTTCTTCTCTAGAAAACGCCAATGTGACCGGCGAAAAGAAGGAGGCCGAAGCGGCCGATCGGAATGCCGTTTCCGAGGAAGCCACTGATGCCAAGGACAACAAGGACAATGGCGACGATGCTGCCGACGCCGCAGAGCCCGAGAACGCCGCGGAGACGAATGGAACCCCTGCGTCTACCAAGAAGTCCGCAAAGGACCGCCGACGATCTAGCGGCGTTGGCGAGAAGAAGCTGAACCGCAAGAAGTCCATGCCTCGCATTACCCAGATGAACGCAAAGCCCGGCGAGTACTACCTGGCGCGTCTGCGCAGCTACGCGCCGTGGCCCGCCATCATCTGTGACGAAGAGATGCTTCCTTCGGATCTTCTGGAGACTCGCCCGGTCACTGCGATGCAGGAAGATGGGACTTATCGAGAGGACTACGCGGATGGGGGCAAGCGAGCTCATGAGCGTACCTTCCCAGTAATGTTCTTTGGCACGAACCAATTGTAAGTACTAGCCCTGCATCTACGAGAGTTATTTCCGGAAGCTCTGCGTATCTAAAGTTTATCTGTGACTCGTACTAATGGTTTTGCGACAGCGCGTGGATTGTCAACTCCAACCTAACACCCCTGACACCCGCCGAGGCGAAGGACGTCTCCGAGAAAAACAAGTCTAAAAGCCTGCTCGGCGCATACCAGATTGCCGCGGAAGGCAATGACCTAGCATATTTCAAGAACCTTCTCGCAGAACACGAAAATGCCATTCAGAAGGAGCTTGAGGAGGAGGAGAAGAAAGAGGCTGAAAAGGCCAAGGCCAAGGCGGAAAAGGCCGAGAAGGCCGAAAAGAACAAGAAGACTAAGCGCAAGAGCAAGGGCGCCGAGACCGATGTGGAGATGGAAGATGCTGAGGACACGAAGAAGCCCAAGTCTTCCGCGAAGAAGCGCAAGAATGATGCCGATGGCGAGACTGAGAAGGCAAGTTAATTCTTGTCAGAATTGTCGCATCGCAAAGATGTAATGGCTAACAGATCCAAATGCTACAGCCCGCCAAGACTCCCAAGACTGCTACGAAGATCAAATTGAGCACTCCCAAGGCTCCGGCCGAGGAAAAGACCAAGACTCCCGCCAGCAAGACGAAGAAGGCCGCCCCCAAGAAGGGCAAGGCCGCTGCCGCTGCAAGTGAGGAGGAAGCCTCTACCGCCAAGGAGTCTGAGAAGACCATGGATCCGGAGGAACAGAAGAAGAAGAAGGAGAAAGAGGGTACGTTCTAGCAATGCGCTTTCTCTTTTGTTTGATGACAATGAATTGATTTGCTAACAAATGATACAGTGCTCTTCCTGCGTCACAAGCTCCAAAAGGGTTTCATTTCTCGCGATCAGCCTCCCAAAGAGGACGAGATGGCTACGATGGCCAGCTACTTCGACAAGCTCGAAAAGCACGCTGATCTGGAGGTCTCGATTATCCGCTCTACCAAGATCAACAAGGTTCTGAAGATGATTGTGAAGCTCAACACGATTCCGCGGGACGAGGACTTTGGCTTCCGTCCCCGTGCCATGAAGATTCTCTCCAACTGGAAGGCTGTCTTGGACTCAGATGCCCCCGGCGATGGTGCTAAGAGCACAGCCAACGGGGCCAAGGACGAAGATGCAGCCGATACGCCCAAGTTGGAGACTGAGGAAGAGAAGGAGCCCGAGACTAAGACTACTAATGATGATACCCCCATGCCGGACGCAGAGGCCGAATCCAAGGAGGAGACCGACAAGGTCGAAAACAAGGAACAGGAGACCGTTGATGAGCCTGCTACTGCGACTGACGAGAAACCTGCCGAAGAGAAGGAAAAGGGGACAACCGAGGCTAGTGCCTGAACGAAGCGCGTTCTACCTGTTCCTGTACTCCTGCAATCCCACTTGATTCCCTGAGATGTGTTTCTTTTGACCTCAAGTCGCTGCTGCTACTACCCCACTGTTTCTTCTACGTGGCCAGGTTTGGGGTTGGGACCTTTCTACTTTCCAATCTGTGTTTTCGAAATCGTGCAACTGTTTTATTTCTCTTGGAATGCCGTGAAAATCCGCCCAAAACATTCCACGTTGTCATGTTTGTGTTCTTATTGGAGCTGGAACGAAACCAGCGATTTTGTTTCTGTCAATGAATGAAAAACTACCTTCACTTCACCGTATTTTCCTTGTTTCTATTTTCTTCCTGAATATGGTGCATTTATATATGGAGCTTGCTGTCCTGCATTATTGACGAAAGAGCCTTCAATTTCTATGGTTTGGCAAGGAGTGTTGCTTATTCGCTCATCTTGGCACTGCGCTTTTTTAAGAAAAAACTATAGTAAGGAAAGCAACACTACATGGAAGTAAGTGTAAATCCGTCATAATCAAAAATCCATTATGGTATGCAGAGGTAGAACCCCTTGATCTGTATGCAAGGGTAATGCCTGTTTCTATATGGTAATCCCAATCCGTTTTGCAATGGACACTGGGATGGGGGTTGTCAAAGTCTATCAAAATCACATCAAGGATATCACGCCATAAGTAAACCGAATGAATCCATCCACAATATAATGGCCGTATGTATGCCATCTACCCATGCCATTCACCGAATATCAAATAACCAGCGCCACCGATGCACGAGGAGCAAACAAAAGACATGATATAGGAAAGAAGGGAAAGAAAAAGTCTTGCAGGATAGCACTCCTAGTGCTCTTTGAGATTCTCGTCCACGGCAACAAGGATCAATGTGCAAATATCATCGACCTTACCCCCGCGATAGTAGTCACCGGGATAATATCGCTGAGCCTCCTTTGCAAATGGCCCATCACGACGGAAATCCACACTGGCAAGCTTCGCTTCGCCTGAAATGGATGCAGCTACCAAGGACTGCAATGTAAGCGTCTCCTCCAAACGCTGGATCTCCTCCGCATTCGGAGCGGACGGAGACTGAGGTGGAAACGCAGAAGCAAGTCCACCAGGCATCGTCAACGCTCCCAGGTTCTCGGAAACACCAACGGCTCCATTATCGGGCGCCGTCCAGGCTCCCGCCATGATCATGCGCGAAGTGACCAATTTCAGGATGTCCTGATTATTCAGATTATCAAACACGCCATCCGTCGCAAGCATGAGGACATCACCATGCTGCATCTGGACATTCGTAACAGCCGCATCGCGGGGGAAGTCTTCCAAAAAGGCACCACCGAAGACGGAAGCTTGCGCGCGCATTCTCGGCGGGATAATGCTGAGTTGGTAAGGTGTATTAAATCCATGCGTTTGAGGCGTCGAGTAGGTGTGGACCGCCGCAAGACGAAGTAATACCGAGCCCGAATCACCCAAATTAGCCAATTCGACCTTTCCGTTCGGCAATGCGATTCCGACAGAAGCCGTACTACCACCAGCTTTGACAGACGGGTCCGCAACAACTTGATCATATCCCGCTTGAAGAAGCGACTTTGGCCGTAACTTGTCGGCAGGCTCGTGCCAAGATAGTGCAGTTTGCGCCATATACCCACATAAACCATGCGAAAAATCGGCCGGATCGACTCGACTCTCAGTCCAACCGCCAACACCGTCCGCGACGGCGAACGCGACAGGCTCCGAATCCCTGGATGAAGAAGGCAGGTGGCCCGTGGCGGTGGAGCCGATGCGACTAACAAAGAAAGCATCTTCGCCGCTGTCCGGTCGTGCTTTTCTTCTGGCGACCGGGCTCTTGTCTTTCGAGACGCCGATCACGTCGGAGAGGGTGGGATCGAAATTATAGGCATTTTTGAGGGGGTGGAAGCGTCGGCCTTTTCCCGATGAGGACACGGCAACCCGATAGGAGATGCGCGGCTCGGATGTAGTTGCGGCTGCGGCGGGAGACGAGGGTTTGTTGGCGCAGCTGGCGGTTGAGTGAAAGAATTTTCGTCCGGAAATAGGTGTATATATATAATGAGAAGCGCGCGAGGTCCAAACAGAGGCGGATCTGGTGCAGAACTTGGTGGTGAATGTGCCGGTGTTCGTGGAAGCCAAGCGCACCCCGGTTTGCAGGATTTGGAGGCTGCAGGTTGAACTGCAGGCTCGACGGGGGACTGGCGCAAGCATCGCAGGAAGAAAGGTGGACTTCCCACTAGAGCCAGAAGAACATCGGAGGGAAAAGAGGAGACTGACGAAGTTTGGAGATGAACTGCAAAATGCAAAATGGGAAAAAGCGCAGCTGGAGAGATCCAGGCGGATAAGACCGCCAATCTGCTCTTATCGCGATTGACCGCCTGGCGTCATTGCTATTTTAGGCTTGGGGGCTGCGTGGGCAATTTCCAACAGTACCCTGGGGTAGTACGAAATCTGAGTGTTTGTGTGTGAGAACAGTATATGTGTCAGTGATCAGGCGCTGTTATTCTGAATTCCTTGCTTTATTTCGTAGTAGCGATTGTCTACAATATTGTACCTTGGGGCAGTCGGTAGTTAATGAAATTTGCTGCGTTATCAGTTCTGCCGCCCGCTACTTCAAATCGGAGGAACTTCTTAACCCGCGTTGATCCCTCGACCGCATCCCACTCCACACAACACCTCAATCCGCCTTTCCTCAACTCGTGCGCTGGCCAGCGGTCAGCCTCTCATTCGCCAAGATGATGCACCCGTCGCGACAGGCCTATGTCGAGGAGGCCGAGGAGGTATGCAGCTGTCCTGTCCCCGCGAGGTCCTCGAGTGCGCGTCTGTCACCCAAGCCGTATTTCGCAATCTCTAGCAAGATGAAATTTCATGCTTGGGTCGCAGCACGTTTATTGAGCCTTGATCGACTAGATGGCAAGCTAAAATAAATGCTTATACAGGACACCGACATGGGCATCGACCTTGCTGATCTGCGTAAGTTCGCCAACCTCAAGTTAAACCAGTCCCTCTGGGAAGCCCACTAACCATGACGAACTAGCTACCGATCAGGACTATGAGATCCCTGCTTCCGCCGCCGGCATCCCGGCAGAGCGGGCCTCCGCCATTCTATCGCAATTCGAGCGTAAACGCAGAGCCGCCGCAATGGCCGTACCGACGGATGACAATCGAGTGCGCGCACGACTACGAGAGCTCGGGGAACCTATCACACTCTTCGGCGAACGTCCGGTAGACCGACGAGACCGTTTGCGCGAGCTCCTGACCGATCTCTCAGAACGGACGGCGGGCGATGGCGACATTCAGATGCAGGAGCCTGACGAAGAAGAGGTGGAGCAGCAAGAGGAATTTTACACGGAAGGTACGGATGCCTTGCTGGAAGCGCGCAAGGATATGGCACGGTATTCATTGCCACGGGCAAAGGCCCGCGTTGCCCGTCAGAGAGAGGAGTCGACAATCCCACTACGCACACACGTGAAGCATCGCAAAGCTATCAAAGAGAAGCTCGCTGGATTTGATCTGTACGGATCTCAAATTGCAGGAGAACGACCTGTCAGTATTTGTCGCTTTGCTCCAGATGGACAAACTGTTGCGGCTGGAAACTGGGCTGGAGGAATCAAGTTGCTTTCCGTACCGAACTTGGAGGAGCGCGCGAGTTTCCAGGGACATTCAGATCGTGTCGGAGGATTGTCTTGGTTCCCTGGCGCGACACTGCCACAGTCCAATGTCTCTCCTTCATCGGTCAATTTGATTTCCGGAGGTGGCGAAGGAGACATTCAACTTTGGGCTCTGGACAAAGACAAGCCCCTAGCCACTCTCTCTGGACACTCAGGACGTGTGTGTCGGACAGAGTTCCACCCGTCTGGACGATATGCTGCGTCGGCATCTTACGATACTACCTGGCGACTGTGGGATGTTGAAACTACGACAGAACTGCAACTTCAAGAAGGCCACTCACGGGAGGTGTATGCGGTGTCTTTTAACAATGACGGATCTCTCTTGGCTAGTGGTGGACTGGACAGCATCGGCCGCATCTGGGATCTCCGAACTGGACGCACGATCATGATTCTCGAGGGTCACGTTCGTGAGATATTCGGCCTGGACTGGGGCGTCGATGGTTACCGAGTTCTCTCAGGCTCCGGAGATGGTTGGGTCAAGTGCTGGGATCTGCGTCAAGTGCGGAATACGGGCGGAATTGGTGCACACAAGAGTGTTGTCTCTGATCTGCGCTGGTACAAGGGAACTGAGGCGGCATCCTACTTGCCATCTACCGAGATGGATATTGATGGTGCTTCACCCGCTCCTGAGGCTGCTCCAGAGCCACCCCAGCCGAAGAAATCAGGAACCTTCTTTGTGTCCAGTGGCTTCGACAAGAACGTGAATGTATTTAGTGCTGATGATTGGTCCCTGGTGAAGACGCTGAGCGGTCACTCGGGCAATGTCCTCAGTACCGATGTTAGTGATGATGCGAAGTGGATTGCTAGCTGCGGTCATGATCGGACTGTCAAGTTGTGGGGAATCGAATGATTGATATCTGAGTCCTTACTGACCTCCTGCTGCGTATGCGTCGGCATCAACCAGCTCATTTTTCCACAAGAACCATTGATGGCGTTATCTTTGACCGTGATGCAGTGATATGCGAATTCAATAATACCCTCACGATCTTACATTTTATTAGCCACAAATACATACCAGTTCCAGAGACATGCATACATATACACCGGATAATGTCCGCCAACTCTTGGCGCTCTCCTTCCGTTCTAGTGCTCACCCCCTCGCCGCTTTTGCTCACTGAGCCTGACCTGAGCGATCCCTGGGTTGCTTACTAATCCCCTCCAAGGAGAACAGGCCTGAGTAAGCAGGCTCAATAAAACGCGACACGCTAGCCCGGCCCCTGTAGAGCTTTTCCCTTTCAGTCAAAGAGTGGGCTTCGTAAAATTTGCCACTTCTTTGGCGATCTTTCCCATTGCAAGCAGGATGTATCTAGTGAACATCGTTCAACTGGACAATTACACTTATCGTGGATTCAACGCTCCTAGGAGCATTCTCCGTTTCCCCCAATACTTGGCCAGATTTGCGGAACTACGGAGGCAATTGTGTACCACCTAGTGGACTTCGTATATTCTTTCACTTTGGTTGGACACTTTCAGATCTCTCTATGAAAATTTCCAGACACTTCTAATTCTATAGTCACCTACTACTTAGCCAAAGACCTTTCGTGATTTTGACGTCATGCCATTCTCGCCAGATATAAAGTCGGCCACCCCTTTATTCATTTAGCATATGCATACGAATTCGCCAGCCCACAGGTAGCAACCCAAGCGCTCAGTCAGGGGTGCACTGAATATAACCCACTGCATACCCTACTTGACCACCCATCCGTGGGCAAGTCAACGTACAAAACCACCTCGCTGTCTGAAGTGATCGAGCGTGTCCGGGAGGACTCGCGCTTTGACTCAGTTCTCTCGGAGCCTGGGATACTTAACCTTGATATCCTTACGCAGCGGCAACACTTGACGTCGTACGGGAGCACTGGAATGCTTGGCAAGTGGTTGACCCTATACGCCAATTTGAGGAGTGCTGCGATCTAGCAGTTCTTATTGCACTCAGTAATGGCGACATGGAAAGGTCTTTCGACTTTTATAACGCTCATATATTGACGGTTGCGCACGCACTTCGTGTCCTATGGACTTATCTCCCGCCCAAGCATCTGGCGACTGTCTTAAAGCAGTACGTACTTTTTGTGATCTTGACGTATGTGTCGCAGCTACGACCGGACTTCGGAATTGAGGTTTTGGAGGAAGTTACGCTAGATGGGCGGGGTTGGGACTGGGTTATTAATACCGCGCTGAATAGCAAGTGGGCACTCGATGTACACTTTTTCAAAGTCGTGAGAGCTCCAAAGGTGTTTGAGGAGACGTTTGGCCGGAAAGAGGATATATATTTGAAAGCAGCCAGTAATATGTAACTGAATTCCGTGGTTGGGAGGAATATGGTTCAGGCATTGAGGGTTTCGTACCTAGTCGTGATGGATGGATGCCGGAATAAGGGGACGCTAAGTCGTTATGACTGGTGAAGATCGTTGAAATCTTGATTTACTTAGCCAATGTTTTCTCTACTGTAGTTTCTGTTCCATCTTTAGCCGTTTGTATATTGGCTTCAGTAGTTGCAGCCTTGAGTTCATACATGAAATTCTGCGCTTCACTCAGAAGTGGGAAATCATACAGCTGTGATATGCACCTGAGCCTAATCAACTTTTTCTCCTCGACAGACGTCATGCATACGTACAAGCATTTGCCCGTCCTCATTCGCTGTCACTCCTTGCTCATTTAATAGGTTGCAAAGGAGTAAATGGGACCACAATGCCTTCCTTCAGGGTCTCCCAGACCAACGATGAGTCTATTGACCGGTAGTAGAGGAGCTGAACGGCGCGACTCTCTAAAATGCACTTATTATGAGCGTTCATTCCTTGCGCACCAAGCATCTCACGCGGCAAGAGCGTTCTCGTCTAACATTTCCCCAAGTCGCCACAGTCACCCGCATCTGTTGAATCAAGCCAGTTGAATCAAGGCAGAGCTCGTGGTGAGTAGGGCGAGCGCTGCGTCAGGAGCGGGACAGACAGACGCATCGTTAGATAAGTTTCTTTGGCGCTAACTAGTTGCGCTCCGCCAGCAGTTTGCTCCGCGGGCGAACCTGAGCGAAATTGTTTCGTGAATGAGAGATACTTGTTGGTAGTTCGACTTTATGGTAGGAAGTTATTGATGTGTTCCAGGCTCTCGGTAATTGTGTAAATTAGCGGGTTCATATTATGGTTACCAAATTCCCAAGCTCCCAGCCCAACATTACTAAACATCGGCCCTCGGCCACATTTGGCCCCGAGCCACGGGCTTCAACGACGAGATAGTGGCCGACGGGAACCTTGGACACGTATTTCCCTTTCTACTTAAGACGCCTCTTACTTATATTTGCTTGTTGTATCTCCTCGAACCATTTTGGTTTTTGATCTACCATTCATGCTTGGAGCTGACTAGCCTCATCATGGCACCGAAAGAGCTACGTGATAATGTCTCCCGAGTCAAGAAGTCTTCCCCCGTGGGCAAAGGCTTGTTTGTGTGTCTCCGTATGGCAGATGTGCTGTGGCAACACAACTTGTTATATCGGGGCTGGGGTACACGTCTGATTGAGAAGCTCGGCGGCCATCCTGTGCATTCATCGCAACTACTTTACCCTGCAGCGATCTCCGGCCTACAACCCTATTATGTGGTGGTCAATTTTCTAGCTCTGGGTAGCAGCCTTAAGCAGGTAGTGCACATTGTCTTTGTCTCCGAACAAGCTATGGACGTGGGCTCTGGCATCGCTGTTGCCTGCTTTAATACCGTTTTCAACACTGTGAACACCCTCCTGTCGCTCTGGACGTTGACCTCCTCGGCTGCATCCGTTCCAAAATCGAACAGCCTGCTTGATACACTGTCAGTTCCTTTGATTGCTGTCGGAGTTGGGGCGTACTCTCTTGGCCTGCTAGTTGAAGCGATATCGGAATTCCAGCGCAAGACGTTCAAACAGGACCCTAAGAACCAAGGAAAGCCCTACGGCGGTGGCCTCTTCTCACTCGCCACTAACATCAATTATGGAGCCTACACAATCTGGCGAACTGGATATGCTTTGACTTGCGGTGGCCTTGCCTTCGGTGCAATGACCTTCGCCTTCTTCTTTCACGATTTCGCCTCTCGTGGCGTCCCTGTGTTGGATCAGTACATGAGCGAGAGAGTAAGTCTGTTTCTTACTAGTTAACATATCTCTTTTGATGGTCTCTGACGCATTAATCGCCATATAGTACGGTGGTGCCTATCGAGAGATCAAAAACCGTGTTCGGTACTCTTTGATCCCGGGCATCTATTAAGGTCGTTACATACATGTTGGGGTCGGAGGCATGCCACTGCTCCCAGCGGATATCCGCTCAAATTAGCCTGTGCCGGCGCCTGGAGCCCACTACACCATGATGAGGCCAGAGATAGGCTTATAGCCTGCACAATCCTACTATTGTCTGGATAGAATACAATGATACTAAGATTAATTTTGCTATTACGCTATCTGTATCTTGGTGACTTTTATGTATGGGTATATCATGACTGTTTTCGAGCAGCAATTTATGACGACGGAGAAGACTGGGTCAGTCGAGTGGGACACTCTTGGAAGCATTTGAATCCAGTGTCCGTCGGCTAGGGACCTACGTTGACGTGCCCCAGATACAAGGGAGGAGATAATGAAGGCACTGAATGACGTTGTGGACAGCGGCCAAGTGCGATACATCGGCGCTACCTTGGTTAATTCCACTTTTAATCTGCCCTCCGCGCCATCAAAGCAAACCCCACCGGGGTTAGGCATGGCGCAGAAAGCGCTTTAGTAAGATTGATTGGATCTGTAAATCTCAAAGAATATGAAGTCTTGCATTGTGATTTTAAAGATAACACGGAGTAGTACCTTTGCTTAGTAAAACAGAGTCAAGAAAGACTCATATACTAGTGCAACTGTATATCATCAATTAGCGCTATTCCTCATCATCTCCACAACCCTCCCGAATGCCTGTTGCCGCTGCTGCTCCCAGCCATTGAATGCAATTCTCGAAAAACCGACTGGGATCTGGTCGTCGCCGGCGATGAGCTTCTGCATAGCCTATACGCAACGAATAGGATTGAATTAGTCAACAATACACCGATAGCATGGAAATCAAAGATTCTAGGTAAAATAGGAGACTCGATTGAATTTAGACAAAAGAAAATCAAGGGGCTTGCTTACCTCGTCTGCGAACTCGTCCACAGGAATCCCCTGCGGTCGGTTTTTGGTCATGTCGGGTTGGTGTTTAGCGTCATGAAGTTCGGCTATAAGATACAGTCTCAGCAAATTCTTGGATAGTGTAAAGGGAAAATAATAGCTATGATAGTAAAAAAAGAAAGGTATGAAGGAGGCCTTACTTTCCACCAAAGGAGGAAATATCTCAACCACTTTGACCCTAGTTCCCTTCAGCTGTTCCCGTAAACAAAGAATCCAGTGGTGAAGGGCTGCCTTGCTGGCGCAATAGTTAGAGCACCGAAGTATCGGGACCAGGGCGAGGTTTGATGATGTACTGCAAGATGAGGCACCAATCTGTCAGTAGTGAAACAAGTATAAGATATGCTGCGCGAGAATGGTTCTCTTCCTTAGTTTCGCGCGCGCACTTACAAGATAAACGATGTAGGCATATCCGATTTTGCTTGAAAGAAAGGGAGAAATCCCTTCGTCAGAGCAAGGTAGGAGGTGTAGTTGACCTAGGCAACCCGAATTATATCAGTCCGTGTTAGACGCCGGCAGAGAGTTGGGGCTATTTGTCTGCTCACCGTAAGTTCCTCCTGAATGCTATCGATGTCGATCGTTTCAGGCTCGCTGAAGATAGATCGTCGCTGAATGCCAGAGTTCAGGAAGACGCAGTCCAAGTCCGGGTGAGAAGCGGTGACACTGGCAGGTTCGAATTTCCTCTGGTCAGCATCTAATGCAGAATAACCCCATGATGTTACTCAAAGTCCACAGATCAAATCGACTTACTTGGCCACGAACTGCTGGACTCCATCCAGATTGCATACATCAAACTGGATACCCGCGGCCCTCGCGGGGCCATGCTTCTGCACAAACAAATCAATATTTTCCTTGCGACGACCAACCGCGATAACAAAGCTGCCGTTCTGGATTAATCGTTCCGCCAACGTGTGACCGATCCCTTCAGAATAAGTTAGCTATTAGAGCTATACGAGTGTTTGATGAGCTTGCTCTCCAGAGAGCTAAGCACCGGTTTCTGCAATAAAAACCTCCACTCACCGGACGTGGCCCCCAGGATGATGATTTTCTTGTACGGAAAGGCCATGTTGTACTTCGCAGGAACAGAAACGCGATTACTACAATGCACAATACAGGTGTAGAGGAGTATTTGTAGGAGCTATAAACGAGAATATTCGTTGAGTACGGAGACTGAGCTTCGTGGCGTTTAGTTAATTCCGGGCGGAGATAAAATGGCAATATCAGCGATCAGCAACTGCAAAAATGAATTAATGAGCGTATAAGCAGACCCCGCGCTGATTGCACCCTACCGGCTGTACTTCCACCTGAGCATATTTCCATGACGCCGAGACATGTTCTTGAAGATCATATAATACAGGCCCCACACCTGGCTGGCTTGATATTGCCGCATGTCGGGATTTCGGTGCTCCGAGTACCGACCACCGATGCCCCTTCTGATCTGCCTCACAAGCCCACAAATTTGGTGGTCAATTGATCTGCCGCATCGTTCCCGAATTGTTGCAGTATGCAAACCAAACAAACAGTTACGTTGTAAATGTTCAGCTGTCCCGAGTCGTTGGAATAAATGGTTAATTGTATGCTAACACAGGGAACTGCTGCTGATTTACTGCCATTGATTGAGATTCCTCGGCTCTGGTTGGCTGATAATAGCGCATAGGTTGATGGATTATGGATTATCGGTAACTGACAACGTACGAAGAGGACAAAAATAAGAGTAGTATCGTTCCTAGGCCTCACAACATTGGTTAAACGTGATTCTCAGGGTCTATTTTCTCAAATCTAGCAATAAACACAAACTAATATTGTGTATTTTTCACCCAGTGACCCGAAAAGCTCAAGTCTGACAACGGGGTGGTGGGTTTATGATGCCGAACCTCCATTCACCTTCACCACCTGCCCAGTAATCCACCTGCTCTCATCCTTCCACAACAGACTCACCGCTCCAGCAATCTCGTCTGGGTCCGCAATCCGCTTGGAAGGGTTGTGACTTGCAATCTTTTGTATGGTGTCCACACTATTGGTCTTGTTGAAGAGCTCGGTCCTGGTTGCCCCAGGAGAAATAGCATTGACTCGAATGCCCTGCGTGGCAAGGTCCTTGGCCATTATTCGTGTCATCTGGTTCAAAGCAGATTTCGTGGACACATAAAGTAGAAGCTCTGGAGGCGCGGAACCAGAGTCTGCAAGGTCGGTAGAGATGAAGATGATAGTGCTGCCCGGTTTCATGTACGGGACAGCTTCCTGTTAAAAAGTAATCAGAATCCACTCCTCTGTATAGGGCAAAAAGATCTATCCACCTTCGCAAGAAAACATGGTCCCTTAACGTTCACGGCAAACGACCGATCGAAGTCTTCATCTGTGATATCTCGCAAGCCGCCTACGGGTACGAAGGCGGCGTTTGGAATAAGCACGTCAATCCTGCCGAATCGTGCCACAGTTTCCTTGACCAGACGAATAATTTCTGATGACTTGGAAATATCCGCCTGCACTGCAAGTGCACGTTCATTGCCAATTTGTGTCACAAGAGCCTCTGCCGCCGAAGAATCAGTCAAATAGTTGATCACCACGGACGCACCGTCCTTTGCAGCACACAGTGCGATGGCTTTGCCAATCCCTTTGGAGGCTCCGGCGACGACTATAACGAGGTCTGTGATGGACATCTTGGCTGAAAGGCCGAATGCAGGCGAATGTCAAGGAGGAGTGATAGTGCAAGAGTATGCCGTAGGTTTCAGGAAATAATTTCCGCTTTATTTTCCTTGCGGACATTACTCTTTTGGCAGTACGCCCGAGTCACTGCATTTGTTAGTGTGAAGATAAACTTCGTGGACTAGCAATAATCTCCCCACTTCGCCCATTTAACAGTGGCACCACGGGCCGAAGGCAGACCGAACGGCCGATGGACCGAGTCATTCACCGTGCGCTGGTTTTGCAACCTACCGATCGACATATAATCTAGCCAAATAGGATACCCCGCAAATTTAAAAATGTGGCTGGGCTGAGGAGTGCAGCTTGCCAAGCGAATTTCAGTTTGCGTCCGAATAAACAGAGCCAGAATCCGCTTAAACCCGTCCAAAACCCGTTATTACATGGTTGCTAAGTGAACAAATTGGCCTGGAAAAAAATGAAGGACCGTCGCGCTTTGTCTTCACTGCGGTTCGGCCTCCGATGTGCCAAACACATGGGCTCAAATACCACTATCTCAGTGGAGGCTACTGCTACTGCGACGCAGAACCAGCTGCGATCAATATAAATACAGTCCTTCACGCAACCAGTAGATGTGGACGGCCTTCCAACGCCTGCCCTGTTTTGATTCCATTTCACTTTACTTTCCCATTGCCTGCAGCAGACAGAAACTATGTTCGAAAATTTGCCGAGTATCAAACACACTGTGTCCCCTTGGTCAGGACTTGCGAGGAAAAACTGTAATCTTGACTCACAGCCCCCTTTACTTGCGTTTCTATGGTAACAGTAAGCCCACTGGAATTTTAATATTGGAAGCGCGGTAGATATGTAAATGGAAGTATGAACTGAGTACAATGAAGCGCGGAGCCGTCCTAGCCCCACATAGCCGGCTCATAAATCTCCCAAGTTATAGTCAATTGGATTGCCGAACTTACAACGACCCACATCTACGTCCCTCACATTTCCCGGCACGGTCATCGGACGTTGGGCGATGAGACCAAAGGCGTAATTTACATTTCGAGCTAGGAGAAGAAAACTTCGTCAATGAATTTTGCATATCCGCATATTGGGAGTCCATCCGAAAATCCCTCTTAATTCAGATAGAATTGTCTTTCGCACTGGAACACGCGAGGTGCGCGCTGCTGCCCTAAAAAGATGAAAAGAAGAGGTAGGAAAATACAGAGTCAAATTGGTGAGGTTTGATCGAACATTCAAAGTAAGTTGTCGTGGAAAAGTGGAGAGATTTATTACAGTGACATGGGATTGGTCCAAATCCAACCCACATTTCCTATGTGTTTGTATGTATTATGCGGGTAACACCTCGACATCAGTATTGTCACTCGAATACTCCGTTACACCGCCATGGGACAGCTCAACCAGCCCCTTTTCCATTCGTTCTAGTCTCCTCCTTCAATCAATCAATCACTATTTTACCTGATGGTTCCGGTAGCTCTCATTCGTCCAAATGCATACTAGTCTATACCAATTCAGCTCGCTTTGACATAAGTTAATTAAGATAAGACTAACGTAATTCACGGCTGACCGGGTCACACGGTTGAGCGGGTCACCCTAAAACACCATACTAAATGGAATATTTCACCACTTCAAATTTCAACGCTTAAGGCTGATTATATGATCTTATGCTACCCTAGTATTAAATATATCCTACTAGATATTTTTATGTGCTCTAGAAATATTATACGGTATGATAATATGGATATATATATCTACATCGCTCGATCGGAGCGTATTTTTGGTAATACTGGTAAATAATCAGTTTTTGAATATATAAGTTATACTATACTAATTCTTATGCTAGAAGATCATAGCATACTTAAAATCAAGCAAAATAATAGTCTCGTTGTTGATATATTATGACTTAAAATATCGCGTTTAGTATGGTGTTTTTGGGGTGACCCGCTCAACCGTGTGACCCGGTCAGCCGTGAATTACGTTAGTTATTTAAATTATGTATTGTTGTAAACTCAATACATCTGGCACCTCTACATCTCGCGGATTTTCCGCCTCTTTGGCATCTCTGGTTCTTATGAATCTGCTTATAAATATAGGCATCTTATTCTAGCGACTTCTATATACGGACCACATCACCAAACTGCGGAACAGCCCGTTCATTATACCTCATATTGTATGAGATGACCAATCTCGGGATCGGCGGGATGCGGTCGCCCCGACGCCCAGAGTGGTGCCAAGTTACCGTGGGTATATATGTCGCGACGATGGATCTGAGAAATACCAGGTAAGCAACCAAACCTCCACGTTCTGGATTTCCTATCTTCTATTGCACTCTTCCCGAAATTCCTCGCAACCCACAATGGCGACAATGAAAGCATGGCAATTTCGGTCTTCAGGCGGCCCAGTCGAGAAGAACCTTTTCCTGACCGATTCAGGAATTCCCAAACCGAAAATCACAGCCAACGAGGTACTTGTTGAGGTCTACAGCACGGCGCTCAATCCAATTGACTACAAGATTCTTGAACTTGGTCTCCTTACAAAGATGATATTCCGGTCACCTGTTACGCCTGGCTTGGATGTCTGTGGTCGTGTTGTTGAGATCGGTAGTCAGGTGGACTCCTTTCGCATTGGCGATATCGTATACGGCTCATGCAATGGGGTTTTTGGGCATGGAGCTCTTGCCCAATTTGTCCCTGTCTCAAAAGATGCACTTGCGTTGGTACCGGATGGGTTCAAAGCCGACGACATGGTCTCCATCGCTACCGTTGGGATGACAACATACCAAGGCTTAGAACCACATGTTAAAGCAGGCGACAAAGTATTCATCAATGGTGGATCTGGAGGCACTGGTGTAGTGTCGATACAAATTGCGAAGGCGCTTGGATGTCACGTCACGACGTCTTGCTCCGCAGCCAATGTTGAACTGTGCAAGAGTCTAGGCGCGGACGAGGTTTTGGACTACCAATCGGCCGGAATAATCCAGCAATTAAATGGAAAGGGGCAAATCTTCGATCTGATCCTCGACAATGTAGGATCCCCGTCCAACTTGTACAGAGTGTCGCACGCATTCATTGTACCAGGCGGCAAGTTCATCCAAGTCGGTATGGGAATGAGTCTGAGCGCCATGAAACAGCTCATCGGCAATTTTTTGCTCCCTGGCTTTCTTGGAGGCGGAAAAAGAAAGTACCTATTTGTCATGGCAAAGGCTAATAGCGCCGACTTCGACCAGCTCGCGGCGTGGATGAAAGAAGGAAAGATACGTGCCGTCATTGACTCCACTTTCGACTTCAATGCCACGCCGAAAGCGTTTGAGAGGCTGAAAATGGGTAGAGCGAGAGGCAAGGTCGTGGTCCACGTGAAGAACTCGTGAGGCAATTTGTGACGGATCTGACTTCAGAACTATTGGTTATCGAAACCGGGGGGATGGATGTTACATCTTTTTTTTGCTTTTGTACGTGGGACTGGGCATTCTGTGTGTTTCTTACATGACGTAGTCAACAAACGAAGTACGATATGATAGAAATGACCACCTGTATTATTATTATTAATCAAGTTTATTGTCTGCATCGAGCCCTAAAGCTATGACAGACCGCGAGTCTGAGGCAGGGTCTCCAGCCGCTTGTTGAGGCTGCCTTCAGATCTCTGCTCCTATGAGTTCCTGGGCGTGAGCACCGTGTAAATGCTGTCAGGTCCTTTTCCTCGCCCCAAGTCGCCTATATGCGCAGGGCATTTGAGCCTTTGTAGCTCTCCTCGGTGTCTCAAGTGGTACGGGTGTCCCCTAGGCTGGCGCCTAGGCTACCCTTCCTGCTATCCTTCCCCCGTGCTCTCGGCTTCCTCCAAGTCTTCTAATAAATCTACAAGCGACGTTTCTGATTTCCTAGGGTATCCTCGGCAGAAACTATCAAATTCCTTCGTGCGATAAAGGAGGATTCTGTCAATCCCAGCTTCTGGCATCTCCCACAGACTCTTCCAAAAGATTCGATACTGTCGCTGATTTTCGGCACCCAGCCCATACCCAGCATCCCGCATGAATTTTCTTGCCGACTGTTTTTCTGCCATGCTGAATCCATCGTTTGGCCCTTTAGCAGGTGGTAGTGTTGTTGGATTAAGTAACTCGGCATATTTGAGAATGACTTTCCAGTACACAGCTTCGTTGCATCGTCTTTGTAATGACCTATCTGTGGCGAGCGCATTGTTAAATTGTATGACCCGCATCGCGTTGCCATAATCATAGTCCACGAGCTTATCGGAATGCTCTCTAATTTCACCCACGACACTGATATTGCTAGCTTGCAGGGCAAATCGGCATGATATTTTGACAATTTTTTACGTGGGTCATTATGCCTCCGAAGCCTTCGAAACTTTTCGTGGATCATCCCTTCATGCGCTATGCCGCAAATTTCTGGCCTTATCATGGAGCCTTTTGCAGCTTAGAGGACCATCAGCAGCAAATGGTTCACCGACTCTTTGCGACGAGGTCCCTTCCTGGGGGTGGTAACTACAGTACGTGGGTCCAAGCACTATTTGGGCAAAGGGATGCTTCAATGCAAATAGACCCAGCAGTCATCCAGACGACACATCCCCTTTATTATGCTACATCGTTTGGAATGGTACCTGTTGTTAATGCTCTTCTCAAATCCGAGCCTAAAATCGATGTCAATGCCCCCGGCGGTCGTACGGGAGCCACGGCAGTGTGGATTGCCAGCATGCGATTCAACTTCGAGGTCGTTAAAGTACTGTTGTGAGCAGGAGCAGATCCAACCATCCCGGATCCAAATACAGGGATCAATGTCCTTGAGATGTCGAAAATTAAGGCATATCATGGACACAAGGCTGTTTTAGAATCCGAGCAGGGCCGGGAACCATTCAAAATCAAGCACAGATCGAAGCGACTTTTTGCCACGGGATCACCATATCTTCAGTAATGTTCGGATCTAGCTTTATAGATCAATTGAACAATGCTCGGTTAAAAATCAACAGCATACATAGTATAAGATCACGTGCACGAGAGCTGCGGGGATGACGTAAAAGCGGATTTTCCGCGGCGAGCGATGAATCTCCGCGGTCGGCTTCAACATCTTTGCACATATTCACCATGGCGTCTCGCGTACCCAGCGTGGCTCGACATTTGTGTCGACCAGCGACATCTCGCTCAGTGGTAACCTCCACTCGCTTAGGAATCCCTCAATTAAACTTGGGAAATGCATGCGTGCTCTGCCAACATCCGACATCCGTCCGAAACCAAGCAGTCATCGCCAAGCAGCAATCTTTCCCTATATCGTCATCCTCTACAACTGTTCGTTTCGCATCTGCAAAATCCTCAGGAGCTTCGGCAGCCAGTGAAACGACTCTAGTCGGCGCGCCAGACATCACAAATTACTACACGATCTTCCCGAAAACATTCCCGTCAGGTCCACCGCCGTCTTCCCCCTTCGAAATTTCAATCGGTGATCTACGACGCGAATTCCTCCAATTACAAAACGTGGTCCATCCTGACAAATATCCTTCTGGTGAGGCAAAACAGCACGCCGAAGCGCTCTCCGCCCGCATCAACGAGGCCCATCGGACACTTGCAGATCCGCTCCAACGTGCCCAATACCTTCTCCGCGAATGGCACGGCATCGACGTGACGGCCGAGGACGCCGCGACGAAACACGCGCTTGATGCGCAGACTTTGATAGAAGTTATGGAGGTTCAGGAGACTATTGAGGAGGTTGGAGCGACACCCGAGGGAGAGAAGGAGATTGAAGCTTTGAAGAAGGAGAATGACATGCGAATTGCGGTCTGCGTGGGCGCTCTGGCTGGCGCGTTTGATAAGGGGGATATTGAAGAGGCTCGGAAGGAGTGCATTCGCCTGCGCTTTTGGTACAGCGTGGGCGAAGGGCTGCGAGAGTGGGAGCCTGGCCTGACGGAAATCCGACTGGTGCATGGCAGTTGATTGAGTACACCATGGACACATGTATAATTTCGCATTCATTATGATATTTTTGGATATAGGGCCATAGACTAGATATCTTGATCTCCATTCTGATTGGTTTGATATATTCCGTACTGGATATACGGACGTTTGGGTCGTTATTGCTTCGCCTGGATAAATCGTCTGTAGAGCGCCCATCTTAATATTCCGCATATTCATTTGCTTGTGGTTGGTTAATCCAATCAATTAATACAGATCACAAGGGCTAGAGAGTGATTCTTATTCATTATTGATAACAGGCCTGCTTACCACCATAACCGTTGCTGCACGGCAATTACGCGATAGCACCTCGGAACAACCTCACCTCTCAACCATGACCCACCAGCTCTCCTGTAACGAATACACCGACCGCCACGAGTCCGTGAGGCGAATCCGAAAATGCAATCAATACCCAAAAGTGAAGCAATCACCACCCCAAAATTCCACCGTCACGGTCAAACCACCGAAGGCCCACCCATTGGGTCTTCAGCAGGCTGGGATTGGGCACGAACAACCAAGTCACCCGCACCAGCGCAGCATCCCAGCCGATCGAATGGCCCCCGACCACGGAGTTTGCACCCGGCACATTCAAGATGCACCATGCAGGTCGATAGAAACAAGGTGGAATGGGCCATTACGCAGCTTTGCTGCTGCTGCGCGTGGCTTTCACAATAGCTAGTTTGCGCTACTACGACCTCGCCTGACCTTGTGAGACGCCTATCGCCCCCGGTTTGATATCCTCGCGGATCCGAGTCGGTCTGCACGAGGCGTTGGCGTCGATGGAATTTGCCTCTCCACACCCATCAGGGCTGCACACGTAGCAAACTACCGGCGCTATCTGGGTCGCTTGCTGTGCCCGAGGTGCGCTTGGTACCTTGTGTGACTTGGTCCCTGGGTCCAGGAACATATTTAAGCAGTACGCGACTTCCTGTAGAGGGGTGGCATAAATCAGGGGCTATCGAATCCACCGCCGTTAAATCACCGTTTCGTCAACATCGAAGACGACGAGAGCAAGAGTGCAAGCCGCGAGCATCGTCGCCCCATGGACTCCCGCCCCAACTTCAGTAGGTGCGTGCTGAGAATCCCTCAACCCACCGCAATGCCAATCCCGATACCAGCAAGAAAGAGCGCTGACCCGCAGCGTCTTCCAAATAACAGCATCATTCATTCGCCTTCATTTACCTTTCTCGTTGGCCCACGACATACCAAGCTAACGATTCAGTCGGGATTAGCCGAACATGTCTCGAAACCTTTGCACAATCTCATGAACAATGGGCATACTCGAGAATCCAGGCATCGCATAGCTGTTCTCGAGGAGGAGGATGTCGAGACCTTTGTTGCTTTCTCGGAGTATGCATATACCGGGGATTATGTAGTGCCTCAACTGCCGGTGACCCGACAGGAACATCGGACCAGCGTCGCCGAAGGCGCACATAGCCCCGGAGGTCATTCGTGGAGAGGAACCTACCGGTCCAGTTCTATGTCATCGGCCATTCCTCCACCTGCTCCCTCGCCGCCGCCGGAGTCTGTTGATGGTGGTAGCCAGGTCAAGGCCGAGCCCGAGCCCGAGCCCGAGCCTGCACCCGAGCCCGCACCCGAGCCCGAAGCTCAATCTGGGACTCAACATGAGGCAGAGCCAACGCCTGCGATAATGGAGAACACGGCTGCTGAGGCCCAAGCAGAGGCTGAAGCTGAAGATGCAACCGAGGCCGATGTTGCTGAAAAGGAGGAAGAACATGCTCGGCCGAAGGAGGATTCTGGCGAACTGGAAGCCGAGGAGCTCGAGCTGCAACAACAGACGGAATCGTCGCCTCTTCTTCAGGCAGATGAGCATGACAACCCTGAACCATCGAACGAAACAGATGAATGGGCACAGTGGGATACTACCACCACTGCAACAAAGAAAAGCAAGAATAAGAAGAAGGACAAGAAGAAGAAGAACTCAACTGAAGTGGAGGAACATCTTGCAAATCTGACACCGCCCACTACTCCTCCTGTGCAGGTAGCTGAGTTGGCACCGGAGGAAGCAACAGCAGAGCCTGTCGAGTCCGTCGATGTCGAGCCAACTGCCGAGCAGATTACCGGAGAGCCATCTGAAGAGACTCCTGAAGGGCCAGCTGCGGAGCCAGCTGCAGAATCCCAAACAACCCCAGAACCTGAGACTGCCAAAACAGAGAGGTGGGAGGAAGCAGCCTGTACGCCCGATGACGAAAAGCCCTCAAGCGAAGGCTGGGCAGAAACTGCAGACCAAAACACTGTAGATGAGCCAATCGATCCTCCAAAGCCCACGCCAGTGATCGATATGTCTTTCGCCAAGCAACCGGATTCCTCACCACGGACACCGGGCATGAGCCTATGGGACGAGTTCTCAGCACTGCAATACAACGTCGACGCCCGAATCACTCCACAACAAAGAGACTTTGCAGAAGACCCGGTCGAGATTCCCTACCTCACTTTCCATGCAAAGGTCTACGTCTTTGCCACAAAATACCTCATCCCGGCACTAGCGCAATTGTGTCTGAGGAAACTGCATCACGACCTTCTGCACCTCTCCTTCGAAGAGTCCACAGACCAAATGGACCCATATCAGGATACTACGCAGCAGCTCGGCGGCTTGGCGGCGCAACAGGCGCTTCGAGTCCTGGATCTGATGCGATATGCGTATACCAAGACAACGCGGCTGGAGCCGATATCGCCGACCTTGGCGACGCAACTTCGGGAAAATGAGCTGCGGAGACTTGTTGTCCATTATGCAGCTTGCAAGGTGAAGGAGCTATCTAGATATCACTCGCCTGGTGATAGCGAGGCCACATCGCCTTCTCTTTGTCCGGTTGATGTCCGTGTTGGAGAGCGGAACGACAGCGCGCCGAAAAGCTTGAGGGCTTTGCTGGACTTGACGCCCGAGTTGGCGTCTGATCTTGTGTATCGGATGATGTGATTGTGGAGGGCATTGTGGTTCCTGCATCATGCATTATCGTCGTGGTCGAATGGTAAGGTGTGATTGGGGGAAATTGGAGGTCTGGAAGTCTTGGGAGCATCGGAGTTTTGTCTTGTCTTGCATTTGCATTTTCAGAGTGTTTCAACTTGTTTTCCCTTTCCCCTCTTTTGTGTTGCCATTATTCTGATCTTCTTTCTGAATTGTGACGCTGTGCGCGACCCGCCTGGCGCTGGGTGCTTATTTGTCAATCTGAGGCGCAAATTTGGACCCGATTTTGATTTGATTTTGCCGTGTCTTGGCTGGTATGAGTTTGATCTTGTCGAGAAATGCATATCGACTCTCAGTTCATGAGGATCGTGGCTGCGATGGCCAGTTTCTATGTATAGCACACGCATAGCACACGTAGCCAGTGACATTCCGGCTTAAAAGTGTTTGCCTGTATACATCGCCAACTTCCACAGATAGAACCGCCACTCTGCAGGATGCAAAGCGAACACAGCAGGTCAACCGAGCAGATCGACGGGAGATCCACCGGCTGCGCAGCGCCAGTCTGGGCATCTTGGCGATGAAGTCAACCTCTTCGCAAAAATAAGCATGAAACGCAGGCAAAGTGATCGGCGGCGTCCAGGCAGGCTTCTTGGCAGTCAATAGTGCATTTGGCCGTGGCTGTGAGAAGATAAGGACACGCTCAGGGGTTTTGCCTTTACACTTCTCCCCCTCGACAACTTCAGCCGGCAGAATTCGATAGATCTAACGACTCCCCCCACTTCGCACTCTCCTCCACCTCTCTCACAAACGCTTTTCCAATCCCCCTTTTCTCCTCTTCACTGCCACAAAGCTTGGCAGCGGTCCGTCTCCGAGGCCGCTACGTCGATCATTGAAGTTGGCCGCGCCGCGACGCACGTTGCACAGGCACAGGCTCTCGGGCAACTCGCTCCCCTTGTACGCCGTCTGCATGGCAAAAAGCCACGCCTCGGACCAGGATTAGACGAGAATCGGCCCGAGCAACGGGCCTGCATACATCATCTGGGTAACCTCTCATCCGATGATGCCACCACCAGCAGAGGAGAAAGAGAGACATCATGAACTGGACGTTTGGCAGCATTGGCCTGTCTCAATAACATGCCATTCAGGGGGCCAAAGAGAGGCTCATAGCCTCGCACAGAGCCACGACTCAAAACTCCATCCGCAGCAGAATATACGCTGCCCGTCTTGGCGGCGATGAACGCTTTTCCGGCATAGGCACCGACGTTTTCTGTATACTGTCGGGCACACTTGATGCTTGCCCAGACGGCGGTGGATCATCGGGTGTCCATCTTCACACCCTGCGCCATGTCCGTGCCGTCCGCCCCTGAGGGGACCCAAATGTGGACGACAAGGCTAAGAGTGATCCTGCCGAGCCCGACGAACTGGGCCGATCGGCCTGTGGCCTTCTAGGTATGTTCCCGGCCGCGATGGGTCCGATAACTATGTCGACGCTGGTAGGTCCGTTTTTTGCCACGATGCTTCAGGAAGGGGGCTCCTTGCTCTGGCGATGTCAATCTGAGGTAGCGCGGAGGTCTTGGTTTTTTCTTGGCCGTGGATCCTCGTTGCGAGTGCTTTGCACTCAATCAATGGCGGCTACCTGGCCATGTGCAACCAGAGATTCATAAATCTGGACTTTGCTCGTTTGGACTGTTCATTCTATCCGTTCCATTGCATTTATATTCATTACAACAATCTCCTTTTCTTGTCTGCATTGCTTTCTTTGATTTACTCCAGATCTACGGACATCTACTAGATCCACAATCCAGATCCAGTCTCATCTTGTTACATTTCTTACATTATACATTGCATCTCACCAAGCCTGCTCAATTGCATTTTATTGCTATACATTCCATACAACATCGAGCATGACAATGTCTACTCCAGGCCTCCTCGGTGCCGAGGCATATGAGCTCCCTCCACACTCCTCCCACTCCAACCACTCCGACACCCCTATCCTCGACGCAGAGAAAGGCCCTAAGCACATCCGTCTATCGTTCTACCAACGACTCCGACATTTCACATGGGCCTGGTACACCCTCACAATGAGCACAGGAGGCCTAGCTCTTCTAATGGCCGTGCAACCAAACCGATTCAAAGGCCTCGACGAAATCGGCATTGCAATCTACCTCTTCAACCTCCTCCTCTTCGCCCTCGTCTGTAGCCTGATGGCAGCTCGCTTCATAATCCACGGTGGACTGGTGCAATCCCTAGCGCATGACCGAGAAGGCCTCTTCTTCCCGACCTTCTGGCTCTCAATCGCAACAATGATCACCGGACTTGAAAAGTACTTCGGCGCCGACCCTGCACCCTCCTTTTCCACAACCCTCGAAGTCCTCTTCTGGCTATACTGCGTCTGCACATTCGCCGTCGCAACAATCCAATACTCCTTCGTCTTTTCTTCCGTCACATACCGACTGCAAACAATGATGCCCTCCTGGGTCCTACCCGCATTCCCAATCATGCTTAGTGGAACCATTGCCTCAGTCATTGCCGAACGTCAACCCGACCGCTCCGCCATTCCTATTGTGACCGCTGGAATGACCTTCCAAGGCCTGGGTTTCTGTCTCAGCTTCATGATGTACGCACACTACATTGGCCGACTCATGGAATCGGGTCTGCCGAACCGCGAGCACAGGCCGGGCATGTTCATCTGCGTTGGCCCACCAGCTTTCACAGCTCTTGCTCTCGTGGGCATGGCCCGCGGTCTCCCAACCACTTTCAGCGTAATGGGAAGCGTCGACACAGCCGAGGACGGACGGACGCTGGAGGTCCTTGCACTAGCTGCGGGAGCCTTCCTCTGGGCTCTGAGCCTTTGGTTCTTCTTCATTGCACTTATTGCTGTGATTCGATCCCCACCCACAGGTTTCCATCTGAGTTGGTGGGCGATGGTATTCCCTAATACGGGATTCACCATTGCAACCATTACCTTGGGTAACTCGTTTGAGAGCAAAGGGATTCAGGGCTTTGGATCCGCAATGTCAATTTGCATTGTCGCAATGTGGATTTTCGTTTTTGGTGCCCACGCCAAGGCCGTCTTGCGACAGGATATTATGTATCCTGGCAAAGACGAGGATGTTTCGGAGTGATATGCTTTCTTTCTCCTGGTTCTGATTCTCCCTGTCACTTTCTAAAACTTTTTTCTCATTGACGTTGGTTTCTTTTTTTTGCATATCTTCACCACTTTGCCGATCTTTCAGCTTTTCATTTCTCATGGCGGTTGGTCACTCGCTCTTGATGTTTTGGCTTGACTTTCAGGGGTATCCACGCATTTTTGGCGTTCAAGCGTTTTGGGATCGTCATAGCATGCTTCACATTACTTTTATAGACACGACTTTGCTCTGCATAGAATTTATATTGAATTCACACAAGCTCCTTTTTAGCATAACCGCTTTTAGTGAAATTTCGTCTTAATAATGCCTATCACTACATCAGTCTCGTTGTATCAAGTCGCAATACACAAGGGTTTCTGTGACTGTCCCTAAAGCTTCGCTCTCATCGCAGAATACTCCATGCCAAGATAACCACTTACTACTTCAAATTAGCTGTCACTATTACTATCTTAGTATTTCTTCTATTTTGCTTTACGTGTGAAGACGTCATGTTATGTCGAAGACTGAGGGAGACAGAAAAAGGAAAAAACGATAAAAGAAAAGGAAAGAAAAAATCCCTGGAAAGACATAATCGACCTACATCTTCACTTGTGTAGGGGATTTGTTTCCGAGAACTCCAATATGAAAATTTGACTTTCAGGATATATTATGATCGCCACTGCGGTGCCCGATATAGCCCATGACTACTGGCAGGATACCGTGGAATTCCTATGGAGCCACAAGAAATTTATTCCAAAGAAGTTAATCCAACCATTATAAGCAACATTCTACGCGAAAGACATTCGTGCCCCCATAATTAGTCACCTTTGCGAGTTGGATTGTAACTAGCTAGCCTTTGACTTACGAAAATCAGAAGTATTCTGACCATAGTTTTGGGCCACTTGGAGCCCCACTGATTTGTATTGCCATAATGATATTGCAGCTGCCACAAGTACAAGGGGTTGTATATCAGGACGGCACTCTTGAGTGCGAGGATATCTTGAATCATAGAAGTATTAATCCCGCTAACGTAGTTCCCAAGCGAGTGACGCACCCAAGCGAGTGACGCACCCCACCAAAAATGGCGTCCTGACGCGTACCCACTATTTTCAACCACCCACCATGCCACCAAAACACGCTCAATCAAGCCAGGATTCGGTTAATCGTGAGGGCAGAATCTTATTAGCCATTCAGGCTCTTCAAAAAGGACAATTTCCTAGTCTTCGCGCTGCAGCCAAGACATACGGCGTATCTGAGGCTACAATCCGCCGCCGACGTGCGGGCCAGTCTTCTCGCGCGAATACACGCGCTAATAGTCATAAATTGACTGGATTTGAAGAAGAATCGCTTGTAAAGTGGATACTCTCAATGGATTCACGCGGTGCAGCGCCTAGGCCCTCAACTGTGAGAGAAATAGCGAATATTCTACTTGCCGACCGCGGAAACACCCCCTCACCAACAGTTGGAAAAAACTGGGCATCAAATTTTATCAATCGCCAAAAAGAGCTTCGAACATGCTTCTCAAGACGCTATGACTATCAACGTGCTCAAAACGAGGACCCGAACGTCTTACGTGAGTGGTTTAAAACCGTTCAAAATGTGATCAATAAGAACGGCATCCAATCAGATGATATCTACAACTTTGATGAGACTGGATTCGCGATGGGCCTTATTTCAGCACAAAAGGTGGTTACTCGAGCCGAGTACTATGGTCGTCGGGCAGTTCTACAGCCAGGAAATCGTGAATGGGTGACTACAATCGAGTCAATCAGTGCAGCAGGTTTTGCTCTTCCACCATGTATAATCTTCAAAGCCAAAAACCACAACATCGGTTGGCTTGATGGCCTTCCAAAAGATTGGCGATTTGAAGTTTCACCTAATGGCTGGACTCCAGATGAAATTAGCGTCCGATGGCTTCAAAATCTATTCATCCCATTCACCTCAAGTCGGATGAAAGGAAAGCATCGCCTTCTGATTCTAGATGGCCATGGTAGCCATCTCACGCCTCAATTCGACCGAATTTGCGCTGAAAACTCAATTATCCCACTCTGCATGCCAGCACATTCATCCCATCTTCTTCAACCTCTAGATATTGGATGTTTTGCTGTTCTTAAGCGTGCCTATAGTCGTCTGATTACCAATCAGGCACGGCTAGGATTTAACCATATTGATAAGCTAGATTTCCTAGCAGAATATCCTCAGGCACGAGAAGAGACCTTTAAACTAGAGACTATTCAACATAGTTTCACAGCAGCAAGTCTAGTTCCACTAGATCCTGAACGGGTGCTTTCAAAACTGAATATTTCTCTCCGAACACCTACACCACCACCTAGCCGCCCAAGCAGCCGATCGAGCGAGTTCAGTCCGAAAACGCCAAAAACAGTCAAACAAGTACAAAGACAGTTTTCTTCACTCAAAAAACTACTTAGAAAACGATCAAGAAGCCCTCCTTCCCCATCAAAGATTATCCTAGATCAGATTATCAAGGGTTACTGTGTCTCAATGCATACCAATGTGCTACAAGCGCAGGAAATTGCTGATTTACGGGCTGCGAATGAGAAGAAACGGCAAAAGCGAGCAAGAACGAATCGTCTCGTTCGATGCGAACAGGGTATTACAGTTGGAGAGGGCTTGCGACTACCAGTGCAGCCAGTGCAGCCTGTGGAACCTGTTGAACAGCATCCGCCCGCACCGGTTGAATCACCTATTTTGCCACCCCCACCAGCCAAACGTGCACCGCGGAGATGTAGCGGCTGCAATAGTATTGGCCATTCAATTACTCGGTGCCCTAGTCTATAGTTTTTGAATTTAATAGTGTTTTTAGTAGTCTAATATCATTTTAAAAATGTAGGGGTAGGCGGTGTGCGTCACTCGCTTGGGTGCGTCACTCGCTTGGGAACTACGTTATCATCAAGTGGCCTGTTTAGTCAAAGAAGAAATCCAGGTAGAAAAGGCAGGCCCCACAAACATGCAGTCTGGGCGCTAACTATGCAAGGAAGCTCTGAGACCTCTGGGTCTAGGCTCACTCATATCAGCGCCCGTTGCTTACATCATGTTCATATGAGGGCTCGAGATCTGCTAGAGAGCTTAAGAGAGTAGGAAAGTTGTATTTAAAATCTGACGAAAATGAAAGGAATTTTTCACCTGTTTTCTCAAGTTTCTTGGTTCACTGTGATATTGATACCTGGCAAATACGGCCAATCACAAAGTCTGGCATTTTACAGTCTTTACTGATGAGTTACGTGATGATTGATATATAAGTTCAAGGATTGGGGCGCGAGATGCAACATGCCAGGGGCGCTAAGAGTGTATAAGACGGATTAGAAAGGAGTCCAGAGAGGATGTGGCCCTTCCCTGGCCCCACCTTGAGGACCTTGGCCTCAATAGTCACAGCGCTTTCAGATTCTCCACGGACACATGTCAACCAACCATTTCTCGACCTGCGCGCAGTTGATGTGGCCGATATGCACAACACCTGTATTTCCCATTCGGCCTGAAATCCAAAAACCCCATCATCAGGGCGAAGAATATGTATAGTGATCCAACGCCAGCGATGCATTTGACAATAAACGAGATCAGAAGACCACTTCAGAATCCGTATCAACATTTTCTTTCCTAATATTTCACAAAAACGCCCCGATTCAACCAGCCAGGAAAGTGAACAAAGTGCGATGGAATACATCAAATGCGAGATTGGGATCCCACAGACGGGACCACGAGCAACATCGGGTATCATGATATGTGAGTTCAAAAACAGGAACTTTTGTAGGTCGGCAGGCGAAACTTGAAGAAAGCAAATTAAGCGGCGCCACCCTTTTTCTTTTTGTGGATGTTTTCAATCCCAGAACCGACCACAGTGACAATAACGTCGCCGTCCTCGTTCTCAGCATCCCGAATGCCCCAACCCGGAGCACCGAATGTGGTCACATCACGACCAAGCTGGATCAAGTTGGGATCAGCAATCACATCGCGACCAAATTGCAATCGCCCGACGTCTGGGGGGCCCATAGTCATAGGGATAAGAAAGGTGGTCGCGGCAGCTGGAGGAATACAACCTCCCTTGGAAATAGTCTCCAAGAGCTGGAAAGCACATTGTTTCCCGATATCTTCGGGTGGTACGCCACCGGCTGGAGGGGAGGCAACATCAGCAGAGTAAAGACAACCCGTCGAGGACTCTGCGACTAATGATAAGCCGAACCCCAGTCCGACCTTCTTCTGCGCTTTGGGATTGTTCTTGGTCGGGGCCGGTATCAGAGGTGCAGAGGAAACGTCGGAGAAGATATAGGTGTCCGGGCTCAGGGGATTGAGGATACCACGAGCAGTCTCGATCATGCGAGCATTGTTGGATCCAGAGACACCGACCGAGTACGCGACACCGCGAATACTTTTGATGCGGCCAGGGTTCATCAAGTGCAGACGTTTCTGGGGGTGCGTCTGATTTTTAAAGGAAAGAAGCACTTCTCCGCCACCCCCTTTGCCATTGGGACCGGGATTTGATCTCTTCAAGATGCGAAGCTCGACACCTTTGGCGGCATTGCCGAAGCCGAGTTTCTCATAAAGTGGAAGGATAGCGGTTCGGACGCTGTCAACGGACATATCGCCTGTCGGAGTGGAGGAAGTAATGACACCGGGACCGCTGAACAGAATATCGAGCTCTGTTTTGGCGAATGGAGCGAGCATACAAAGGGGAATCAGAAAGTAGCTCAGGCCGCGGTCGTATTCATTGTTCATAAAAGATTCTGGTTTGACAAGTTTCGTAGAGGCAGAGCTATCAGTCCCTTGGGCGCCAGCCTTGGTTGCGCTACCAACAATCATGCCAGGTTTGTAGTACAGCTCCGTACCCGTTTCATTAAGAATGATTTTCTCGGCATTGGTAATATTGCTGAGGAGACGGATGAACGCAACCTCATGCGGTTTCACACCAGGGTTCGTCGGCGAGGATGTGCGAATTTCTTTGATTCTTATGGGGCGGCCGATGATTGTCGCAAGAACCAAGCGCTCGACCAGGTTATGATGCGACGTGAACTTCAGCGGGGGGATTATCGGTTCCATTTTGGAAGAATTGGACTCTGCTAAACTTCGCGCAGGGCGGAGCTTTTCCAGATCGAAAAAGAAAAATCGCGGATGCATGTTGATCCGCTCCGGCGCATCGGCTTAAGTCCGATGGGTATCTCCGCCCGCATCAGATAATTGCTGGACCCTTTCGAGCAACGTTCCACACGCGACACTTTCTACCAGGACCTTGTCGATCGAGGGGACTAGAGCCGGTTAATTCGGATTACACAGCTTGTGCAATGTTGCCTCCCGCCCTCAATATACCTAAATGGTACCGTCTTTGCCTGCCCCATGCCCATACATTCCGTGCTCCGAATACCCCTCCACCGGTGAATCATCGTGGGGGCCCAACGATATGAAGCTCCGACTTCAACGAAAAATGGCGACACACTTACTGACTTTACTTCGATAATTGATCTAGGCTAGAAGCCAATTCCCACCTTCTCCAGCCACCAGTAAACAACTACTGTGTCTACCACCCCTCATCACCGGCAACAACCGGGTACACTGTGATGATCGTCGGCGGACCAAACGCAAGAACAGACTATCACATCAACACAACCCCCGAATTTTTCTACCAGTACAAAGGATCGATGCTGCTTAAGACAGTCGACACCTCGACGACGCCACCGACATTCCAGGATATCCCGATCCACGAGGGCTCGATCTTTCTCTTGCCGGCGAACACTCCGCACTGCCCGGTGCGCTTCGAGAATACAGTGGGAGTGGTTATGGAGCAGCCGCGGGCGAAAGGAACTGTCGACAAGATGCGATGGTATTGTCGGAAGTGCAACGAAATTGTATGGGAGAAACAATTTGTTTGTACGGACCTCGGAACTCAGGTCAAGGCAGTCGTCGAGGAGTTCGCCGGCGATGAGGAGAAGAGGACGTGTAAGGGTTGTGGAGAGGTGGCTGCTACAAAGTATGGGGAGGGGGAGCTTGTACAGCCACCCAGTCACCCAGAAAATTGAAGAAGGGCACGACCTTAGCCGTGAAATGCCTGTCGGAGTTGGGCTTGATACCCGCTGCTTCCTGGCCGAGCTGGAAGATATCGGCACCGTTCGGGATCGTATCGTGTATTTTCTTGAAGATAACTGTATGACAAGCGACGAGTTGTATGATGAGTGACGAATTCAACATTCTTTGGGATGTTTCGGACAGTGCATTGTATTGCTTGGTGGCTCCATGCAAGTTGCACCCTTGTTGATGGTAGAAGTACGGATGAGATTCCAAGCAACCAATATTCTCAACCGTTTCGATACGTGAGGGTATGATCAATTAGATTTTATATTACCAATTCTCTAGCTTGGATAGAGAGGCGAGTATGGGATGGTCCTTAGACCCGAAGCCCTGTCCACGTAGAGCAGAGACATATGTGGACAGCTATGGACACCAGTACAAGGGGAGGGCGAATGGATTCAAGAAAAGGAGAAAGGAAAATGCGCAAAGGCCCGGTTCAGCAAAGCACCAACGAAAGGAAGGATGAAGGATGTATAAAAAGAATGGTTGAGAAAGCCGAAATGATCAAGGGAATAATACACAGGGTGGAAGGGGAACAAAAAGGAAAGAAGGCACAGACAGCATGATCATCAAACGACTGGAATCAGATTGGACCTCTTGCGGTAGTGCCGGATGGGGGAGGGGGAATAAGAGCGACAAGAAAATAGAGGGAAATAAGCATGTACTAGAAAGGAGCCAAAGTGCAATCGTATTCATCTCCATCATGATTGCCATCTCGTATATTCGCCATGGAACATTATTCATCAAAAGGGCAATCAATGCTCTCATGACCATCTCGCTCACACAGAGCACACCACTTGGACTCATCAATCACTCCCGATGACTTACCAGCAGCAGGGGTCATGGAAGATCCCAGACCACCAATGCCCTTGAGACCCTCGAGGACAACATCACGACCCGTCTTCTGGGTAGAGGTGCTGTCCGTGTGGCTATCTGCACCATGGTTCGAGTTCGAGTGATCATCGGCAGGCTTCTCTGCTGGGGGTTTTTCAGCAGGCCGTTCGGCAGGCTTTGCTTGTTTGGCATTTTGCTTAGAGCCGAACATGCTCGTGCAATTCAAGATATCATGTCCGCCAGTTTCGCAGATCTCACACCATTGAGAGTCGTCGTCAGAAGAACGCTCTGATTCAGGCATAGGCTCGAGGCGTGATTGGGAGGAGTTGGAGGCGCCACGGTGGTGCTGGCGAGCCTCACTAGGGTTGGCTGGGGCATCATGCCAGTCATTCGGAACGACAGTGCGGTCCGACAAACGGTGAGTGAGGTTGGCATTGTTCGCTGGAATGCTGCCAGAGGAACTTGTCGGCTTGTGCTGCTTGGGAGACAGCGTGACGGTGGAACTGCGGTTGCGACCTCCATTGCTCGAGTTGATCCGAAATTCCCGTAGCTCGCGCTCCAACTCTTCAATGCGAGTGTTCTTTCCTTGGGCAGTTTCCTCAATCTCTTGCAATCGCTTCTCCAACTCAGACAAGTGCTCGGATTGGTCGTTGTTTCGGTTGACATGGCCACTTTCGTCCAAATCTGCGGCATTGGGGTTACCCCGACTCAGCGAATGGATGATAGCCTTGAGACCTCGAATCTCATCATCCTTTTGGTCCAGCTCATGTGAAATGTGATGGCCCTCAGCGGAGCCATGCGCCTCCTTCAGTGCCGCAGCCGAGCAGTCGCGCTCTTTCTTGAGTTCCAACTTGGTGCGTTCCACCTCTCCTCGGAGGAACTCGACCTCAGCCCTTGCTTCGGCCTCCCCCCGCCTTGCATCTTCCAGACCCTCTTCGAGCTCGGAAACGAGTTCCTCGAGTTGTTTCAGCTGCTGTGCAACAATCTCAACATCCTCGCCGCGATCCTGCAGCTCCTTGTTCTGCTGCATGAGCTCGTCAAGTCGCTGTTCGTAAACACGCTCAGTCTCAGAGGCAGCAATCTCCAGCGTGTCGAGTGTGCTTCGAAAGTCAGCTCGGTGGCCGTCGAATTCAGCGGTCAATTGACTGATTCGCTCGTTTCTTTCACGAAGCTGAGCCCGCACGCTCATATTATCCGAGCCCTCCATTTCTTCCAACATCTTCTGGAAATCACCCAGGGTCTTGGACTGTTCCTCGAGCTGCTTATCTCGCTCCAGTAGTTGCTTCTCCAGTTTCTGAACTTGATCTTTCAACTCTTGGGCCTCGGATGAGGATGGTCGCTGAAAATCTGACGGTCTCCCACCGTAGGACGAGGCATCGTCATCTATACTGAGCCGGGATGGCGGGCGATCGGAAAGACGAGACGGCGGTTTGATAGGGCTGCGTTGGTATCCATTGGAGGCCTTGGAGGACGCGGACGGAGTCCGCAAACCGCTTAGGCTCAGCTTGGGAGGAGGGACGCGAGGAGATTCTGGACGAGGGAGAGAGGGTCTTCGCATGCGCGGACGCGGTGTCGAGAGACTGGGGCCAACTGATTTGCTGAAATTGACGGGGGCAGCGCGTGAAGGTGTTGTCGGAGCAGCGAAGGTACTGGCGGACGCGGACGTAGATCGGCGAGTAACATATTTGCTGTTGTTCATGGGCACGAAGATACCGGAGCCCGGAACGTTGGTCACGAAGTATTTTCGTCCGTCCACATCACCACTGTTCTTTCCTCGCGCGGCATGTTCGCTGCCCAGCTCGATTCCTGCAAATCGGCCTGGCTTGCCTGCAACTGCTCCTAAGTATTTAACAGTTCCGTACATGCCACCGGGTACATTGACCAGGTCGCCGACCTTGACGTCGTCGCTAGGCGCCATGATCGACAGCGTCCCAGGTATGTTCGCGAGTAAAAAAGAGGTGAGGTGGGGGGTGGAGTGGTGGACGAGGCGAAGGACTGTTGCTAGGCCGAAAGCACGGTGCCGAGTAGTCCGTAGCGGTAAATGGCTTAACTGCGGTCAAAGGGAAATTCAAGAGACGGGTCCAGTCTCGATCATGGTCATCAGGCAGAATCGGAGAGGCCTAACGAGTGCAGCGGAGACAGCAGAAGAACTGGCGGAGGTATATCCAAGGAAAGGGGGAGGGACAACAAATAACCCCGTCTGCCGCTCCACTCCGCGTAATCCATCTGTTCCGCTCAACACCAACTGCCCGATCACCTTTGCATATCCCCTGCCTCTGCCTATCCCAGCTTCATTTCCGATCGCGCATCTGCCCGTCGCCCGTACATACCCGTCCGACCTTCCGACCTGTCTAAACCCTTTTGCCACTCACCACCGGCGCTGCTGTGATCGTCGCCATGGCGCAGTACTTCTTCGATCTGCTCTACAACTTCACAGATTGCATGTGTTGTTTCCCCAGCTCACCACAGCTGAAGATCAACAATCGCAGCTTCAAGCTCCTGCGACTGCTGGGTGAGGTATGTGAGCCCGCGTTGAACGCTCTCGTTTCGCTGCCTCCAATTGGGGGCGATGATCGTGAAACCGTGGCCTAACTCCAGCGCAATTCATTTAGGGCGGTTTCTCCTACGTTTACCTGGTCCAAGATAAAAACACCTCCGAACTGTTCGCACTCAAGAAGATCCGGTGTCCCTTTGGCCAAGAATCTGTCTCGCAAGCTCTAAAGGAGGTCGAGGCTTACAACCTGTTCACCGGACAAGACAACATCATCCACTCGATCGACCACTGCGTTTCAACAGAATCAGGCTCGAAATTCCGGTCTGATGGTGGAGATGCGGGATCAAAGACCGTTTATATTCTACTGCCGTACTACCAACGGGGTAATCTGCAAGATGCGATTAACGCGAATCTGGTCAACCACACCAGATTCCCGGAGAAGCGGTTGATGATGCTGATGCTTGGCGTTGCCAATGCGCTGCAATCCATGCACCAGTATCGCGTGAAGAGCAATGCACCATCTACCCGTAAGGCAAAGGGGGCCCGAAGGGAAGGCGAGGAGGCGGATGCCGAGCGATCCATGCAGATGAAGCCGAAGCGCAGAGCGAGCCAGATGCGCGGAGACGACGACGATGAGGAGAATGAACCGCTGATGGAGGATGAGGTGACACGTAGTCAGGAGGGTGTTCAGGATGGTGGGTTGCGTCCTTATGCACATCGCGACATTAAGCCTGGTAGGTTTTCGTCTGTCACCCTCATTGCCGACTTCCCCGCGGCACTAACAATGCGATCGCAGGCAACATTATGATCGATGACGATGGCCAGTCACCCATTCTGATGGACCTCGGCTCCCTCTCCCCGAGCCCGATCGCGATTACCTCCCGTTCCCTCGCGCTGGCGGTCCAAGACACTGCTGCCGAGCACAGCACAATGCCATACCGAGCCCCGGAGCTCTTCGACGTGAAGACGGGATCGATCATCGACACCAAGGTGGACATCTGGTCATTGGGATGCACCCTGTACGCCTGCCTGGTCGGAAAGAGCCCATTCGAAGCGCGCAGTGAAGAGACCGGTGGTAGCCTGAGCATGTGTGTTCTCGGCGGAGACTGGCGATTCCCGGATGAGAAGTCCACGGCCACAAAGGGCAAGGGCAAGGTCAGCGCTGCTGAGAATGATGCCGCATCATCCAGCAATGGCCCTGCGATCAGTGCTCCGGTCAAAGAGCTTGTCCGCAAGTGTCTCCAGGTCGAGGCTTCAGAGCGCCCAGACATTGAGGAATTGATCCAACTCATCAAGGACGTTATTAGCGAGTTGCCGAATGACGACGACATCGCGGGTTCATCACACTGAGCTTGAGTTCGATTTACCTTCTCCATCTGTCTCCATCTGTCTCTTTTATCATCTTTCTTTTTCCCTTGTTCGAGTACCCGGCAGGTTCCGCTGGACTGTCTCGCGCGCGATCTGTGATTTGGCGATCTGTACAGTATAGTCTGAACATTGGTTTTACACATTTGGCACTAGGACCTTGGGATTTTGGATCGGTTTGCATCTCATGCAATTGGTTCCTGCACATTTCATTTATACTTATCCAATGCCGAAAACACCGTCTTTTTTGGTCATACTAATTTGTGGTTAATGGTCACTGGAGAATTGAGCCCGGAATATAAACCCACTCCTGTCATGATGACGAAGCACAAATAGAAGAATCGTAGAAGTGAAGCAAGATACAACACAATATTCGTGTTTTCTCAAATCACAGAGCACCATGACCCTCGACTTCAGCTGCGACACTGGGGAGCGACGTAACCGCAGCATTCGCAGAAAGAGTAAAAGGAAAAACATGTACGATGAATAAGCTCAACGCAGACCATCAACTGACTATCACATCCAGTCATCCTCCGCGGCCTCACACACGGCGACATCGCCGCAACAGCTGCCGACGCCCTCGCCCACAGCGGCGCAGGCAACATATTCTTCACCGGACGCTCGTAGCCAGAACTCCAATCGATCCTGGACCACATCCGACGCAAACACCAGCAAACGAAAATAATATGCGTGACAGCCGAGACAGGCAGCTTATCCTCCATGCGAGAAGCTGCGCAGTCCATCACGAATTTGAAGGTTCCCATTGACGGGATCATCTGTTTCCCGACGCCTCTGGCGACTCCTTGGGAACTCACGGATGGCGGTGTTGAGTCGCAGTTTCAGAAAATTATCTGAGTTATTTTGTGCTGGTGACTGAGTTGCTGGAGATCTTGGCTGTTGGGGCGAGGGCTTGACGACTACTATTAGGAAGGAAGCGCCTGCGCCGAGGTGAGAGGATATCAATTTCTCGGTTCTTTTGGATGTTCAGGGCTACAGAGCAGGTGGTTGATTACTTGAGGCAGCGGTATTGATGATGATGCATGTCTAGAATGGCTCGACGTATCACGCGCTCGACGCGTATGCGCAATCGATGTTTGCGAATATCATGTTCACGAAGTCGCTTGCTGGTCGGAGCAAATCAATAGCTGCATTTTCAGTGTGTCCCCGAAGTAAGTGGCCGTTTTCTTTCTCTGAAAAATGTTTTTGGGTCATCTGACAATAACATGCAGATACAAAGTCCAATATCAAAGCATATATCTCGACCGAAAAGGTCGCTTCTTGGATGCAAAGCAAGAAAGAAGGCAAGTTGAATCACTAGGATTGATCAGGAAGAACTGTCTTCTTGGGAATGCTCCATAGTGACTTATTCCAGCCGGGGAGGACCTCCCCCAATCCTTCTCCAACAAGAACCTAGATCATTAGCCGAGGCTAGTTCAACTGTCTGTCGGGCTCTTCTCGACCCAAATCTGACAGGTGAGGCACCAATCATTTCCCTGCGCATTATCTTATGGTGTTGCTCGACTAAGCACAGAATAAGTCGAAATCAATAGACTCAACAGGTGCGTTCCTGGACAACCACGAAATCGCCCGCATTGCCTCATCTGGATTTCCCCGCCGGCGAAGAAAACGCATTGAAACTGTGGGCTGTCAGCGAGCAGTTAGTTAGGAAAGTGGGCCGTGAATCATGAGGAACACAGCCAACCCGCTTTATCCCAAGGTATTGCACAAAGAGGAATAAGCGGGTGGCGACGCCGAGATAAGCTTGTCAGGCTTTCCTGGGGTAAAATGAGTATCCATGCTGCACAGTTACGGGCTCCCCAGGGAAATCTGCTCCGAATGGGGGACGATAAGAGTTGGGGTAGCGGATTCGAGTCCGCCGCCCTCTGCAAGTGTGGCGCTTGGGCCTGCCGAACGACCCTGAGTCGCGGCTTCAGAAGACGCGATTGGTGAGTTTAGGTGTTCGGTTGCAATCCCGGGCATCGATAAGCATTGTGGAGGGCTTGTTTTGGCCGGTGGCTGGTCGCGCCCGACTACTACTACGAATAGTAGGTTTCTTCCTTGTTGGGGCAGGATATCTACTCCGACAATCCGAAGGTATTGCTTGTCCTCTTGAACCGAATAGGTGGCGAGTCTGGCCTGACATTCAGTAAATAAGTTCTCTTATCTGGGGTTCTATCTTGCGCATGCAGCTATCTATAGCAATCATCGTCAGCAACTCGAGCAGAGTGGTTGAAATTCCGATGTATCCTACTCCATACCATGTGACATACTGCACAATTCCAAAACCCTAGGACTGAAACCACTTCCACTAGACGTACTAACTAGTAGCTCATGGTTACTATGAGTAACAACACTACTCTAGCCGGTAACACGAGGTACCCTCGGCAAGGATCAGCATTGCGCGGGGAAAGGGGCAGCTCCACCGCGATGCCATCAATGACTCCACCCAAATACCGCTCTATCGCAGGTCTGCATTCAACGCCGCACCCCCAAAGACTGGAATTCTTCCGTTTTTCTCTTCGGTCTCTGCATTGGCAGAATAAATCTCCTCGTTCCCATCTGCCGATCCTTCGGCAAAGAACGGTGAAAAGGGGAAAGCGTTATCATGCGACGTGGATGCTTATTCCTAAGGTGGACAATAACTTTACTTCTTTGAAACGACGTCTCCCCCTTCGCACCTCCACCCCTCGAATTGTCAACTCAGAAATCGGATCTGGGTCGCAAAAGAGGCTCCCCGATGTGCAATATGGCGCTGACAATAGACAAGTCTGCTATTCCGGGGACGGTGACTCTTGTTGATGTGCAGCATGTTTTAAATACGCGCCATTTGGTACAGGGGGACTCGGACATTGTGCTGATTCCGACACCCTCGAATGACCCCGATGACCCGTTGAATTGGAGTCCCAGGAGGAAGTTGCTTTCTACCATCTGTGTTAGCACGTGAGTGTACAGAATCCATTCTCGGAAATATCGGCTAACGAAGTGTTTGTTCTAGGTATACATTGTTTGCAGGTATCGCCTGTTCCGTCGTCTACTCGGTGCTTACCCCCCCTCTCCAAAGCGACGGGGCTACCTGTCAGTACACTCAATGAAGGAACGGGGTATCTCTTTTTATTGGCCGGATGGGGCTTGCTGTTCTGGCAGCCATTTGCGATGCAGTTTGGGAAGCGATTGACGTATTTGCTGTCACTGGCGGGAATTCTTGTGAGCGGCTCGAATTATCTAGGAGGGATCAGGGCTAACATTAATAGGCAATGACGATGTGGGGGTAAGGATAATACTCAACTGGGCAATGAGCATGTACTAACTCTTGGATCTAGACCATATGCCAAAACCAACGGCCAATGGATCGCCCGAAACGTCCTATCGGGATTCTTCACAGCGCCCATCGAAGCCCTCCCCGAAATCAGCGTCACGGATGTGGTGAGTGTTCTTTCTCAAAGGATTTGCCCAATTCATTTGCTGACGGCGGTAGTACTTCACCCACGAACGAGGCACATACATGGGTCTGTACGCATTCTTCCTAGCTGGCAGTAACTACTTCGCCCCGGTCATTTGCGGATTCATAGCCGAATACCAAGGCTGGCGCTGGGTCTTCTATTGGCCTAGCATATTCATCGCGTTCGCCATGGTCTTCCTATTTTTCTTTATGGAAGAGACAAACTACGCTCGCGAGCAGGTTGAAGACCCAAACGTCGCCAATGTGAGGGTTGGCACTCCTCATGGCTCAGTCAGTGAAGACCCTGAGATGACTGTCCCAGTTTCCAAGGAGCCGTCTTCACAGCCGGAAGCTGGTGTGGTCTATACCAAGAAGTCGTATGTCAAGAAATTGTCCCTGTTGGGCCCGAAGCAACCGCGGAATACGATGCTTCGACGACTTTGGCAAAGTTTGTATTATCTTTCGTGGCCTGTGATCTTCTATGCGGGGTATGTTTGACAATGTTTCATGAATGCTATCAGAAATCGCTAATGTCGTGCTAGATTTTCTTACGGGTCGTATCTTGTCCTGTTCAATATTCTGAACGGAACCGCTTCCATTATCCTGGGTGGACCGCCATACAACTTTGGGTATATAAATCTCCCGGCCGGCATATCGGTTTCAAGCTAACTAGTCACAGATCCTCCATGGTCGGCTTGAGCTACCTCGCATGCTGCGTAGGCGTCATCCTGGGGTAAGTCGGCACCAGAATCAGCATCGTTCCTAAACTAACTACATCAGCTCCCTATTCACCGGCCGCCTAAGCGACTGGCTGACAGTCAAGCTAGCCCGTCGCAATAATGGTGTCATGGAAGCAGAGCACAGACTCTGGCCATTCGCAGCTAACCTCCTTCTCGTTCCAGGGTCGTTGCTACTCTGGGGTGTCGGCGCGGCGCATGATGTGCATTGGTTCGGACTGATCGTTGCCATGTGCATGCTGGCCTTTACCAATACGAGTGGCATCACCCTGAGTGTCAATTATATGGTTGACAGCTATCGGGAACTTAGCGGGGTGGCAATGGTGTCTATTATCCTGGTGCGGAATACCATGTCCTTTGCTATCGGCTACGGGTGAGTTTTATTTCTTCGTCCGATGTGGCGATGTACTAAACCGATATAGAATTACCCCATGGATCGACAATCTGGGCTACCAGAACTGTTTCATTTCAGCCGCCTTTGTCGGCTTGGCATGTGCGTCCATGTTTCTGGTGATGATCAAGTACGGCAAATCATGCCGTGTTCGGAGCCGAGAGAAGTACTGGAATATCGTTGAAGAGAACTGGGAGAAAGGGATGGGACACTAGACATGCGATAGAAACAAACAAACACCATATATACAGCGAATGCACTTTGGAACCCGAATCCAACAGATCACATCAAGCCAGGCTTATCATTCCCTCCTCATCATAAACAATCTCGCGGACCTTTACAGATCTAAGATGATCGACACCTTTCGACAATTCACAATCATGATAGAACAGATACCACTTCCCTGCGAATTCAACAATCGAATGATGCGTCGTCCAGCCCAACACAGGCTCCAAAATCCGACCCTGATACGTAAACGGACCGAACGGCGAATCCCCAGTCGCATAGACAAGAAAATGCGAGTCACCAGTCGAGTAAGAGAAATAGTACTTCCCGCGGTACCGATGCATCCACGCCGCCTCAAAAACCTCCTCTCATGATCATCCGCAAGCAGCGGCTCCCCCGTCTCAGGCGCCAGGATCTGCAAATCACGAGGAGGTTCAACGAAGCTGAGCATATCCTCACTTAACTGCGCAACACGAGGACACAATGCCAAAACACCTTCACCAGAAGGTTCCTGCGGTCCAGTCTTTGACGCATCAAAAACGAGGCCCTTCCCATCCTTCTTCCAACATTGTAACTGCCCACCCCAAATCCCCCCAAAATAAAGATAACCTTCCCCATCCTCATCAACAAACGAAGCTGGATCGATACTGTAGCTGCCAGCAATGAACTCCTTTTCCGGAAGAAAAGGACCTTCCGGCGAATTGGCAACCGCAACGCCAATCCGAAAAATACCCTCTTGATCCCGCGCCGGGAAGTACAAATAGTACTTCCCGTTCTTGGTCGCTGCATCAGGCGCCCACATCTGCTTCGAGACCCAGGGAACATCTTTGGCAGCGAGGACGACACCGTGGTCGGTGACGGGGCCGTCGATGGTCTCCATCGAGAAGACGTGGTAGTCTGTCATATCGTATTGGTCGCCATTGTCGTTGAAAGCGATGTCTGTCTCGCGATCGTGTGAGGGGTAGATGTAGAGCTTGTTGTTGAAGACGTGGGCTGAGGGGTCTGCAGTATATAGGTGCGTTATGAGGGGTTGGGGGGTCATTATGGTGGATTGGGGATTTCGTCGTGACCCCTAGTTGGTAGGCCGTTTAAGGAATATCGCGGTTGACTTTCAGGCTCGAGACTGGTATTTATCATTAGCCTAACGGTTGTCTGTCGTGTTGCTTTTATCCGTGTCGGCTAAAGCGTCCTTCACGGCGCTATCTCCGTGTGGCTTCTGGTAACCCCACACCCGGATTCTTGGGTTTGGACCGAGGCGAGGCATTCAGTATTCTTTGCTAGGCAACATAAGTATCGTCTTCGCATGGTCGATGAGGTTGAATCGAATCCAAACGGCGTTAGGGTGGACGATCTGTGGAGAAAGTGGATTCGGAGTGCGCGTGTCGATCGAGACGTCAAATGGCTGCGTCGTGCAAAGGTCGAGCAATCTCGCAATGAATTTCGGGGCATTTCATCGGCTCGACAGTTGCGAAATCGGTTGCTGGAAGAGTGCCGCGTGGTGGAAGCCGCTTTGGGCCATTAAGCGTGGCCAATCGATTGCCTGCCGAAGTATACAAGTGGAGCTGACTGCTACTCGGAATGTAATGCTCAGCGCAATGGAAACTGGGTCGGTATTAAATAACATTGACAGCGTTGTTAGATTCGTATACAGATACGAAGCAGGCGCAAGAGAAGGAGATACATGGAAATTCCACGACGCGTCTGACCGCTAGTAGTACATTATCAAGAAAGGAAAACACCCCCATGTCCTCTGGGATTACGCCAAGCTCAGACAGTTTGGTACAGTGTACTGGCCAGTCTCATGAGAGACAGAGATTTTGATGATTGACGGAGAGTGCTTCTTCTAGCATACTCGCACGGAAAAGTCGAGCAGCCTCTCACCACAATTTCCTTGTCCAATGTAGAGAAGGGACGCCCTCGGAAAGCCCACAGCTGCTTGAACGCGGCAGAGGAGATCGGGGGGAGGTGGATGGGCGTGGGCAGGTTATTTGGAGGACGCAAAGAGAGATTGAGGAAGGAAAAATAGAAAAGGAGAAAGACAAAGAGGGAGGGGGATTTTGTTCGGCCTTAAGTGTTGTGCGTAGATTCGAGAGTGGGCGACGTCGCCGCACCTTCCCCAACATCCGAGTCCACTGCGGTGCCTGGGCACGTGTCCAGCTGGCTTCTCACTAGGAAGGCGCAGGCACGACGGTGGGCAGGCAAACACAAATCCCCCCTCCCTCCTCGATTTGTTTTTCTCTTCTTCAACTCCCCTCTTCTTCATCTACCGAAGGGCCTCTTCATCACCTCATTTCGTGCATCGCTTGACTTTATCATCCATTAAGCATGTCTTCAACCTCCATCATGTCCTCTCCATCCTGGACATGCTTTCACATCTTGAGCACGTCTTCGCTCCTTCGCAAACCTCTCCATCGAGCGTCCTTCCATCGAACATGCCTTCATCCATCAAGCATTTCTTCGCCTCTTGACATGTCTTCACCTCCGGCATATATCCATTACATTCCTACATTCATCAAGCATGTCCTCATTCGTCGAGCATGTCTTCTCATCTTGACATGCCTTCACTTGAGCATGTCTTCGCCTCTCGAATATGTGTCCATCACATGATCACCTTCACCGAGCCTTCATCCATCGAGCATGTCTTCACCTCTTGGGTATGTCACATACATACCTTCATCCATCAAGCATGCCTTCATTTATCAGATATATCTTCATCCATCAAGCGCCCTCATCCATCGAGCGCCTTTTTCATCAAGCATATCGTTTTTCAACGAACTTCTTCACTTACAGAGCATATCTCCATCACATGCCATGACTTCGCTCGCCGAACATACCTGCATTCATCATCAACCAATCGTCTTCGACATTTTCAATCCACATCAACCTCCGTCACTTGCCTTCCTGATTAGGTGATTTTTTGTCAGCTGCGCGACGCATATTCCAACTTTCCTCCCGCTCAATCACTACTGGGAATTTCTCAGGCATTCATTACAACTCGCACGCCGCACTTCATCGCCAATCCGAGATTGCTTTCGCACCTGTTACCTCCACATCGCACCATTTGTCACTACGCTGTGACATCTCGCCGTTGGATTTGAGGCATTTATCGCTTCTCTTCTACTGCCATCTCGCAAATACGAAAACAAAACAGAAAGGAAGGAGAAAAAGGAAACGAACGAAAGGAAGGAAAGAAACAAAAACGAAACTCCGAAAAGCAAGAATATTCTGCCGTGAACGGCGCACAATTGAAAGGTATTATCTTTTCGATTCCTGCGATCGAGTTTGCTAACATCTACTTGAGTCTACTTCAAAATTCGAGATTCGATCTTCTCTACGCACGCCTGCAACTTTGTATCGACCTCTACTTCAACACGAGATCTTCCAGCGCGGCTTCCACATACTCCCGTCCACGTCTATTACTGTTGCATATACTACTCTTCCGACTGTACATTCTTACACCCTCTATCTTGCATCACTCACCCGCACAGACAGTTGGATGGTTTACCCTTGGATTACTGGAGATGTAAAGAATCGAACCCTTCGGTTACTGGGTGATGTCGGTAGGAGCTCGGCAGAACGGTACCTCTCGAGAGATATTCCTGTACAGTATTTACTGTTGGGCAGAAGAAATCCTCCAGGGCGTGATTGACTCGCTCCCGTACCTGCCGAGAGCTGATGGCCACCCTAGAGATCAGGGGATTCTTTTGATGACTCCTACATGATCCACGTCTAGACTTTTTGGACTGGCTGATGGTTCAGAGAGCTGAGACCAGGGGATGTCTCTGAACTTGCTTGAGTGTGTAAGTTAGATAGGTGCGTCCGGTCACGTTCTCAACCGTCCATCCACTTATCACGCCATCTGTCCACGCCTTCTGCTGTCCTCGAAAATTATCATCGTCCACATTCCGCGCCGTCTGTCCACATGTTACATCGTCGTCCACGTCATTTATCATATTCCACGTTTCCCGCTATACGCCCTATATCTTGCATCGCTTGCCTACACAGACAGGTGAACAGCTAAGTTTACTCTTAGATCACTCGGTATTCGAAGAATCGAGCCCTTCGGTTACTGGATGATGTCGGTAGGGCCTTATTACACGGTACTTCTCGGGAGACAATTCCTGTACAGACTCAGCTGTTGGGCGGATGACATAATTCCTGCACAGTTGTACTGTTGGGCAGACGACACCCTCCCGGGACAGAGCCTGCTAAGGTCTGATGGCCACCCTAGAGACCAGGGGATTCTTCGATGAGTGAAGTCAAGGAATCAAACCCTTCGGTTACTGAGTGATGTCGGTAGGAGCTCGGCAGAACGGTACCTCTCGAGAGATATTCCTGTACAGTATTTACTGTTGGGCAGAAGAAATCCTCCAGGGCGTGATTGACTCGCTCCCGTACCTGCCGAGAGCTGATGGCCACTCTAGAGATCAGGGATTCCTTAATGACTGCAAAATAATCTGAGAGAGACTTCGTTGACTGTCTAGTGTTCAGGTGTGCAAGCAAATCGGCATGGTCATTTTAGAGGGCTTCCACAATTAGACATCTGCTTGGCTTCGTCGCACACATTCAAGGAAAAAGAAAAGAAAAGAAAAACGAGAAAAAAAAGGAAAAAAAAAGGGTCTGCAGCTCACTGCAGTCCAGTCTCCCTCCGCGACGGCCAGTCTCAATTTCCCCGCTGATGGCTTTGCTTATTTCATAACCGAGCCCGCCAATTTCCTCCGTCCAAACAGAAGATCCGATTTCATTCAAGTTTTGATGGATTTGAGGTTTCAATAACATTGACGGCCCGGTCAACCTGCGCACCCAGCTTTACATGACCGCAGCCTTCTTCTGTTGAAATACGACATTCACGTTGCCCAAATCATGAACCATGGACAATTACCATCTTACGTCCGTCAAGCCTTCCAGGGGAATTGACTCAATCGGTTCCCCTGCGCGGGTGCAACTTCTACGGACTGGGCTATACGTCCTCCTTTCAACATCAATCATGCCCTGCTTATACGCCCAAGGACCACTGCCAACTTTTCACTTCCTTCTCGATTAGGAGCTTTGGGTTACTCTGATTACCAGTCTCGACTGATATCTTTTGCTAAATGTGTCGTGTGTCCACTTTCAAAAATGCCAAACATGCCCTGTCTTCGGATGTCTTGTGCTGCAGCGGCTCGCCACTTTTCAGATATACCAGCCGTTGATAACAACTTCTCCATCTATCCAAAATGGTCATCTCTTGGGTTACCATCTAACCTGAATCTATCGCGAGCGTCTGCTGTCCATATGAGCACCCCTGGCTCCCCCGCCAGAACCAAGTCCCATTCTCCGCCAGCTCAACATTCAACCTCATATTACTGTCTCTTATCAGTAACGAATGTGTCCAAGACAAAAACACCCACAACACAAGACGTCGACCTCCTACAAATATCCTTTCCTGGTAACAACGCAAATTGCCTGAGACAACCTTTGAGCTGACTAGCCAGAAACACCATTGTTCTTGGGCGCAGGTTTTTTCTTCTGCAGTGAGGTAGCGGGCCTTCGCAATCTCTCATCAGGTCGGTACCAGCAAAGCTTCCCTTCATGGTCTGTGACTACACCGTTGCAGATTAGTTGGTAACCCCCTCTGGGGGAGTGGTTTGAAGCTTGCCCTAAATCCTGCTCTCAGAGACTCGGAGGTCACATGCTACTGCCGCGAGCCCAGCATATGGACCTCTTTCTGATTATCAGTATGATAGTGATGTCTCTGCTTTTCGTGTTGTCTACCGTATGGCAGCTATACGGGGTATTCGAGCTCGGACTGGCCTTTCCATTAATTCAATGAAATATTCTGGGATCGTCACAACCCCCAAAAATGTGAAGGCCTGACCTGGGGGATAAGGCCCCCAATGCACATTGGAACTACGAGGATGACGATGACGACGATGGTAATGACAACGATGATAACGACAACCGCTACTCCACACCTCGCACTTTCTTTTTAGGCTCCCTCGTCAGAACTGAGTACAATTTTTTGCCAACCAGATGCTCAACCTGACTCTGGAGACTGGGAATCTAACCACAATCACGATGACTACCGACGACTACCGACAACTAATGGACAACGGCGAACAATGACGATCTACGATGGACGATAAGGACGACAATACAACCTACCGCAATTGGCATGCACTCACCAACCCTTACGAGACGTACACAATGCACATAATTTTCAGGCACATTAACTGGAAGACAAATTCAGACCCATTCACATTCTGATGGCCTGCGTGTATGTCTCGAGTTCCGCTCGGCTATCATCCACATCGCCTCCTTATAAAAGCCTTTAACTACGCCTTCGAAATCAATAAAGGAGTGCCTCAGAGCCCAAAGCGGTACCCATAACCTCCCATCAACTCACCCGGGGGCATCTCTTCTACAATTCAAAGGGAGCGTCTTCTGTACTTTGCACAGCGTCGCACAGTTTAGATCGAATCGCCAAGCACTTTCATAATTCAACCTACATGCAATTCAGCAGCCGTGGGGATTCTTGCTTTCAGAAGCAAACAAAATATATACAAAAAATACATAAGACTTTTCTCCACTATTTTACTTGCGCTCCAGTAACAACCTCCACATATCTCAGTACTCTCGGTGCCGGCCCCTAGTCCTTGTCTTTAGCCGGGATTTAGCCATTCGGAATCTGACCGACCCACTCAACCAGATTGATGAGCCCTGGAAATACAAAGCTGCTGTCAAGATCATGCTTTTGTCTGCAGTCAGTATATGAGCGACCTCAATGCGCACGCCTGCACGACCCTTGCCTAAGGTGACATCAGCTCCACCAAGGTTTTGCATGGGGATTTTGGATGTCTTGAGTGCAGCGTCCAGTATCAGCTAGTCTTCCAGACCCTTTTGCTCCGGTCCGAATTGGGTTAACAACTTGCAGATCCCTCATCGCCAAATCCCAATCCAGCCACGCTTTGCTATTCTGTTTGAGATTTTGATCTGCGATGTTCCTGCATTGCTTTGAACGGCCGACATGGCTTGCTGACCATCCCCTTCAATGGTCGGCATATTGCAACATCAGATCGAGCTCATGTAGCTTCGACTTCACAGCGTTTTTACCCCTCAAATCCTTTCGCTCGGAGCTCCTCGAAATGAGGGCGAGATCCACTGCGCAGTGCGGTGTGTGTGGACCCTTATTTGCTGAGTTGCAGCAGCTAAACTATACTTGGCCCGGGGAATTTACACGGAGAGACAAAATGTCAACAAGTGCTCCGGGCGCTGCTTCTTGATTCTACTTGCTCTTGTATCATCCAGTCGCCATCATGCTTCTCTCAAGACAATAGCCTGTTCTGTTGTTCGCATCCTGGATCAATGGTCAAAATCTTGACCCCAACAAGGGACAGTCCGATCACTATGACCCGGGCAAAATGGGAACCAATACTACAACGAGCGCGACATACTTGAATCCAATCATGACGGCCAATGCTGGAGATCCGTACGATGCAGCCCACTTACCCTGGATGCGTGGAAATGAACATCACTGATACTTCGATACAAATTTATGGTCCACCACGAGGATTGGTACCTTTCCACGTATTCGACAAACGATAATATCACACTCAAGCGCTCTCGAGCCTTGACCGATAATTGGGACAATGCGGAAACTAAATTGGTCTTCAAGCCTGACTCTTCCAGCGGCGAGCCTTGGAGCACAGATGTAAGACCATCCATATTCGACTGTCCCGCGATTCCTGTTTGTTCCATTTACTAATAACGCAAACAACAGATTTGGGCGCCAGAGCTCCATCAAATCGGAGATCGCTGGTACTTCATCTTCAGAGCCACTCCAGACGCAGACTCACCCCACCCTCTACAAGACGCGATGTGCCCATTCGAATGTCCGGCCGTGAACCACCGAATGTTCGTCCTCGAGAGCGACGGGCCGGACCCCTGGACTCAAACTACACAGTGAAAGGAATGCTCAACACATTCGACCAATTCGCCATCGACGGCACCTATATTCGACACAAGGATGTACTCTACCACATCTACAGCTGCTGGAAGAATTTCTATGGCGCCTGGCCCGCAAACCTCTGCATTACACGCCTAAGCAATCCTTGGAACATATCATCAACCCTGACCGAACGAAGAACGATCTCGTTTCCTAACGAACCGTGGAACAAGCCCCATACGGACGGCCCGTTCGTCTCGCGACAAATGAGGGCCCGCAACAACTCACCAACCCCAGGACAGGACAGAACCTCGTGCTGTACTCCGCTGCCCGGGTGAATACCCCGTTCTACTGTCTTGGAATGCTGGACCTTGTTGGTGATGATCTGATGGAATATCAGAGTTGGAAGAAGCACCGGGATGGATGCTTTTTTCACCAGAATCCTGATGCTGGTGTTTACGGAACGGGCCATGCGAGTTACACGACTAGTCCTGAAGGCTCGGAGAGTTATGTTGTTTACCCTGCTCTGACTACGAACGATCCCGAGTGTAAGTCCTTGAGAAATCCCTGACCTTATTTCTCAAATGACAGATAGCTGACCTGGAATAGCGAATTTTATCGCACGGTGCGGACGCAGAAGATGGAATGGAACGAAGATGGGACGCTGAGCTTCCCGAAGGCTATGAATGGTCCATTCCCTGTTCCCAAGGGCCAACATTAGCTGTAAGGTTGTTAATTTCGCGCTTATTTTTGAATACTAGTTGCTGCGACATTACCTTGCCTAATCATGTCGATAATGCTGCTGCTTGGTGGAAAATCTTTATCATTAAAGCGAAGAGCTTGACCAAGTCAACTGTTCCAACAATTCCGAATAACTATCGTGTATAAATACTCTGTAGATATTGAAAAGGCATTCTTTATCAATTCACGCCTTGCTCCATACAGACTCACTCAAGTCACAAGTCGCTCCACATCATTAGTGCCGCCTTCACATACTTAGTATGATGCTTCAGAGTTTCGGCCCGCTCCCATAAAGGTAAGTTATTTTCCCCGCTCGACCTTGAGCCGTCGTCAGTGATCCACTGGCCGAAACAATCGTAGAAGTGTGTAATACGGTATGCAACGAATATAAATTGATTCGATTCCGCACTTTGTGGTGGGTGTTCATCAGATTGGTGATCAGATCATACGACAAACTCGGTTTCTGCAACACTTGTGGATTTGAACTTGTGAACGTCAGTTTTGTATAGAAAACACCAAAGAAAGGATGGTAACTGGAAGGCAATTGTGGGATCTACAGATACCTGAACCTCATGATTTCTCCAGCCGCCGATCATGATTGCCGGCGCTGAATGATTGGCACGCAATCCATGGATGCGAAAATAGGGAAATATGAAATGAGATGTATTTTCAAGGATCCATTAATATTACGATGCGATTTAATGGTATTTCAGAATATGGTATTAGTATGGTATTTATTTAATATTTCTAAGTCGATATATCTTCATATTGCTATTCTTCTCAAGTTTCGGCCAAGTGTGTACCATGTTGAGCACCCTCTCAGATAACTGTAATGGCTAGCATGGAGTCTACACTGAACATCCACCCAGATTGATACCCAGACCTGACGGTCCCGTTGAGAGTGTTGATTCCGAATTTCGTTTTGTGTGTTCTGTATTGCTCCTCATGGGCTTTCATCCTTGTCAAAGTCTTCACAGTGTTTGTTGGTCTGAGGAGCTGAATAGAGTGCGTTTCAGACAGTGAACGGGCCAAAGTATTTCTCTCATTGGTAGGCATTTGACGCAAATTATCTCAGTTCTCCTCTTCATATGGCGAGGAATTTCATCCACGCGAGAGTAGAACTCCTCACGTGATGTCCTCGCAGTAAAAAATTATTTCTGATTGGTGAAAAATTCTGGTCATATGATCTGGTACAACAACCCTGGTTTCATCCAATTGGCAAGATGGCCGAGTTGGTCCAAGGCGTCAGGTTAAGGTCTACCTTAACATCAATTTCCTGATCTCCGCAAGGGGGCGTGGGTTCGAATCCCACTCTTGTCATATCTTTTTTGCTTTCATTCCATTTGAATTTTTTTTTTGTCTGAAGGGCAAGACCCACTTCTTCGCTTCCGCTCTCCGGACGGAACGAATCAGTTGTGCGGGCTTTCTGTTCGATCTGCGCCGCATAAGTGTGAATTTTACGGAAATATTGATTTTGTGAAAAGGATTAGCATATGCCCCAGGCGCCCTAGAGTTGTCTTCGAAAGGTGTCTCAAAGTTGCGATAATGTATCTCGAGTCTCAACGCTAGTGGTAGTGAACCAAAAAGGTACAATGATCCGCACCACAACGCGTCTTTGAGAGCCTCAAAGTCCGGCCGCAGCCGCTAGAAGGACGACAGTCGGTCAAGGCCTAGAACAATTGAAACCCCTATTTATTCATCTGATCGTCTCTTCTTCATCCCATAAGCGCCCACAACAAAACATTTTACAGCTTCATCCTATATCAAATCTCGTGATCACAATAATGTGCCTCATCCCGACCAACCACAGCCAAAAACGTAGGCCCAACACGAAAACCAACACCTAAACCCAAAGCAAGGCGGCAAACGATACGCTTCGCCTCACTTCCGCGCCAACCTATTCTCCTGCTCCGCCTGCGCCCGCGCCATCGCAAGCTGCCACTCCCGCTCCATGTACAGCATCACATCCATTACACTCTGCGAGTGTGCGCTCTCAGCTTCATTCTCAGGCCGTGTTAAATTTCGAGCATTATCTTGACCCGGGTAAGATTCAGGTTGTGTCTGTCGCTGTCCCGCGGGGCCCAGATTTATAGAAAGCGGATGCTCAAGCAAAGGTCGCGCCAGGCGCGCTGTAAAATGTTCAACCTCCGAAGGGATGTAATCATATAGACCGATGAAATAACCAAAGGAACTTCGTTTTCTCTCGATGCTTGTTGAGTCTTCGTCTGGAGCGCCGATCCATGGTCGGAAGGTTCGCGGGTAGGAATGAGTGGTGGTATTTGCTGGGAACACTTGCCCGAAAAATCGGGCTAAGTTGTTTAGTTGGTTCTCGGAAAGAAGGTGATATTGCAGGACATTTTCAGGCCACCCTGGGGCTGCTTCGCCAGTTATGGAATTCACCATCGGGTTGAGGGGTTGGGCGAGGTGGTTTATAAATGGAAGGAAGTTTGGATGGAAGGTTGGTGGTAACGGTTGTGGTGGGTTGGTCGAAGCTGAGGATGAGGACTTGGCGGAGTTGCTGAAAGAGGATGAGTTTGATTTGCGGTTGGGAGAAGCGGGAGAGGTTTTCATGGCTGTTGTTATTTTGTCGAGTGTATCGGGTTGGGAATGCGAAGCCTGGACAGAAAGGTCTCAGGACGAGTTTTGTTGCGGTTGGAGGTGAAAGAAAGAACAAAGCAGTGATGGTGCTCGAAAGGTCTTCGGGTATCCTTATGTATTTCCGAGATTGTATTGTCGCTATAATAAATGGCAATAAATCATAATCATATAGACAAAGAGCTGGAATGACCCAAAAATACCGCTGCACGGGCAGAACGCATGCAGCCTCAAACACCCACCACATTTCGAACAAGCGCTGTAAAATCATACCAAAATTTCTTGCTGATATTTCACCCGATCCAAAACCGATATTCAAAGCGACATATTGTTGATGCCCGAAGATAAATCGGGCTGCTCAGCAATCGGCGGCAGGCCGGTGTACTTGTTGATCCAGTTAATGACAGTGCGATGCCACAGAAGAGAGTTCTCGGGGTTGAGCACCCAGTGATTTTCATCCGGGAACGTCAAAAATGCACTCTCAATGCCACGCATCTGAAGCACATTGAAAGCAGCCAGACCTTCGGCGATAGTGAGGCGATAGTCTAGTTCGTTATGAATGATGAGGTGAGGCGTCTGCCAGTTAGCCGTGAAGCGCGAGGGATCCCACTGCGCCCAGTTCTCAGGAACCTTCCAGATAGGGCCTTTCAGGTCATGCAGTGGGAAATATTGCTCTTCGCTAGCCAGCTGACCGGTCATACTGAACACACCATCATGGGTTACCAGGGCCTTGAACTTGCGACCAAGCGGATGGCCTTGGATCCAGTTCATCATGTAGCCACCGTAGGAGGCTCCGAGAGCGACGGCTCGGGTGGTGTCCACGTAGTCCAGGTTTTTCTCAATGTATTCGAAACCCTTGACCAAATCTTCGTATGGGCGACCACCCCACTGGCCCCGAATCGCATCAGTGAAATCCTGGCCGTATCCGGTGCTTCCTGTTGGGTTGGGCGTGATAACAATGTACCCTTGTTCGGCGAACACGGCGGGGTTCCAACGGCTGCTCCACTGGTCATTCCAAGCACCTTGAGGTCCACCATGAATCAAATATGCCAAGGGATACTTTTCGCCGGGCTTGAAGTCGGACGGCTTCACCACCCAGGCGTGCACAAGGTGATTCTCAGCTCCGGGGAACCAGATCTCATCGACCTGAGTCGGATCCAAACCGAAAGCTGCACCACCACGACCATTGGAAGAAACTAATTCGATGGGCTCAGGACGAGCAGGGTCGATAATATACCACAGACTGTTGTCCACCAAGTTGCTGGCCGAAATGAAAAGCTTGGTGGTATGCTTAGAGGCAGGCGCCACATCATTGACATATCCCGCACGGGTCAGCCTTCTCAGAGAGTTGGGTTTGGCATCTTTGATATCCTGAATGGGGAGTTGATAGAGGATTCCGCGACCCTTCTCTTCAGCCGTAATCAACAGTGAGTTGCCATACTGAGAGAAGGAAACGGCCGAAGGGCTGAGATCCCAAAGGCCCTTGCCATCGGTAGACTCAAACACCTCAATCATATTGCCATCCCACGGGTTCGGCACGTACAGTATACGGTTCTTGTCGGACTCGTATCCGTCCTGCTGCATGGCCAAAAGCGCAATGGAGCCACCATCCGAAGAAAGAACAGGAGAGGACATCGCTCCTCGCAGCGCGGTCACCTTGCAGACCTTTGCATTCTGAGCGGTCATGCTAGTCCATGAGAACATGGGAGCATAGTAGCACGAGCAAGCGGTGTGAGTAGCAGGGTTGACATCGGGGTCCTTGGCGACGAAGACGATGGCCGACGGACTGATATCAAAATCCCCAGAGCCACCAAATGGCGGAATCGGAGACTCAACTCCGGTCAAGCCCACCACCGAAATTAAATTGGTCAACCCCGAGACGCTAAACTTGCCAGCTTGACGACGGGCAGGAGACAAGGGCGCCTGCTCCAGAAGGCCATACCAGATGGCATTCTTCTGCGGCTCGACATAAGAGTCCCAATGACGCACAAATAATGAAGTATAGAGACGACCAGTGGTGTACGGCTTCTTGGCATCGTGGGGGTTATAAAGAGTTCCGTCGGCATTGGCCTTGCCGCTCACCGCAAACCCGATCTTGCCAGACTCGATAGTAGTCACCTTCAGATCGGAAACTGGACCAGGGACGGTACCGGCAGTGTATGTCTTGTCGGCCTCGCGCGCATCACCGATGATAAAGCTTGTGTTTCCATTGGCCTTGGTCTTCAGCCAGACCAGCTGGTCACGATCGCCCAGCCACTGCGGGTTGCTGGCACCGGGGTCATTGGTGATAAGAGCTGATTGGCCGGAATCGATTTCGATCACGCGGATCTCGTTGGTTTTGGAATGCGACTCGAAGGAGTAGGATGTCTGGGTGTAAACTGCGAGGGTACCGGCCGCGTTGGGGACGGCTGAGGACCGCCTGGGTGCACCAAGCAGAACCCTGTACGGAGTCAATTGAAGCCCGTGTCATTTCACAAGCAAGGGCCCTGTAAGGCACCCAGCATGAAAATTTCACTTACTCTGGTGTGAACTTCATGCTGCGAATAGCCATCTCGAATTGGAGCTCCTTGCCAGCCCCAAGCTCAAGATGCGATAAGATAGAGCTGGAAGTGAGCTGGGGGAGCTTGGGTTAGACCTTCGATAGGGAGCTCTGGGGTCTTGTTCAACCCAGAATCGATAGGTTTATAACGAAAAAATGAGGGCTGCAGATCCGATAGAGATAATGCAGACAGTAGGCAGAAGAGAGATGGGGGAGTGAGGAGAGCGAGACAAGGGCGTGATGCAATGTGACTCTTATGCGGGGGAGGGCTCCACTCTGCGCTCACCGGAGATCCTTCGGGGTATGCAGATCTTTGGGTAGCCCGAGGCAGCGGCAGCGGCAGCAGCGGATAAATTACAGTAGAAGACAAAGTAGAATAGAACAAAAACACCTTTTGTATCCTAGGAAGAGAGCGCCATAAAAACTATTATTACACAAAATTCCGGAGATCATTTACTCCTCATCCTCTTCTTCGCTCTCATCCTCCTCCATTCCTTCCGCCGCGTTCACGGAGAATGTGGGAGCCTGGTCCACTCCGACATAGCTGTCGCTCATCAGATACAGCGTGAGCTCGTGCTCACCAGGCGAAGGCACCACATACTCCAGACGTAGCTCCAGCTTGCGCCCAATAGTAATTCGCTTAATCGCCAGTAGACTCTTAGTCTTCTCATCGCCAACGACCAACCACCAGTTCTCCATCTTCTGGCTGGGGTAGAAGGGAGCGTGAACGGTAGTGTTGGGCTCCTCGTCTTCCTCCACTTCGCGCTCAATCTTGACCTTGAGATAGGCGGGCTCGCCGGAAGTGATGTTCTCGGGGTCCTCGACGTTGAATTCCAGGTCGACGTTGGGATAGTTCTCATTGGTGAAGGCGGCAGCCTGTGCCAGCTGCTTGTTGTTGAGTCCCAGACCCTTGACGAGAGCGGCGTAATCCTGGTTCTCTTCAGGATCCATAGCTTCCATAAACTCGAAGATATCATTAATTCTTCGGCTACTGTTAGTATCATAAGATGACTTCGAAGAAAATAGGGCAATACGTACTTAAAATTGTTGGCAACTTGGATGACGTCGGGAGAGAAGTGAGGAATTTGCTTCAAGGGGGTATCGCGGTCCCACATGGCTTGAACCACCATCTGAGACAGCTCCATGGCGTTCATGGCATTGAGGTGACCCTCCGAGGAAAGCACGTCCACACAGGCGCTGAGGAGATTGAGGACCTTGCGGACAACGTCTTCCTGATCCTTGGCCAGATCAATGGGGAGTTGCATGCGGGAGAAGTGGGCCTGCAGGAGGACAAATGCCTTGAAATGAGGCGAGTCGAAAGCAGGCTGGGACATCTTGACAGGCACACGCTCGTAGATGCGGCGAAGGATGTGATCCTCGTGGCGGCGCATCTGGATAGACTCGAACTCAGTGGCGGAAGTGACGATTTCCAGAATACCCTTGAGCTTGGTGCGGGAAGAGAGCGACAGCAGGAAGGTCTGCATGGTGATGAACGAGATGTTGTAGTAGGCACTGATCATAGCAGCATTCAGGGGGGAGACACTATCATCCTCGTCGTCCAGATCAATTATCTTGGCCTCGGCCAGCTCCTTCAACGTGTTCTCAACGAGATCCGACAGGAACTCGCTGAGAGCCTTGTGGCTCACATCATCCAAACCGTAGAAACTGGGGTTCGCCAGCAGTCGACGATAGAAGTAGGTGTAAGTCATCCAGTCAACCGCATCTTGGGTCGCAGCAATAGTCCGTGTGCTGGCTTCGGTCACAAAGGCATCATGGAGGTAAACCTGAAGGTGGCTCTCCACTGGCATGGCCTCGTTTAGGAACTTCTTGTAGTAGTCGCGCTTGACGGCGGGAACCATGAGAAGACCACGACTAATCTTATCCTGACCCGGACGAGTGGCCCTGCCAAACATCTGAAGGATCTCGCTGATGGGATAGTCGATGTAACGGTGCTCACGTCCCTCGAAGAACTGGGTGTTCATGACGATCACCAGATGAGCGGTCACATCCAACTCCCAGCAGGTATCACGGGAGGCCAGGAGAACCTGGATAGCGCCAATCTTGAACAGGTGGGTGACAATGCGCTTGTCTGAGGCGCTGAGTGCCTCGTGGTAATAACCGATACCATGCGTCAAAGAAGTAGCAAGAACCTGCTCTTGGACGCGGCTGAGGAGCGGAGCAAGCTCTTCCACGTCAGCGTTTAGGAATCGATCCTCATCATCATCCATGGCACAGGCAGCCAGAAGATCCATAGCGGTAGCACGAGTCTGCTTGCGGCTAGGAACGAAGATCAAAGCAGGCTTGTCGGGAGAAAGTTGCAAGATTTGCTGGTAGGCGGGTCTGGCCATTGCGAGCATGAGGGAGGGAAAGTGCGGAATGGTGAAGGATTGGATGTGCAATTCCATAGGGATAGGTCGAGAGTGCGGACTGAAGTTGTAGATGGTGTGCTTGTTGGCGCCAATCCACTCACCAATGTCGCGGGCATTGGAGAGAGGGACACTCAGACCGAGGATGCGCATCTCATTCTCCGTCTGGAGGGCAATGTAATGCATACGAGAAACGACAACTTCGTACACATATCCACCGTAGCCACCCAGCATGTGCAGCTCATCGGCAATGAACAGCTGCACGGTCTGAACATTCTTGCGTCGCTGCCATTGGCGAGAAAGAACATCCCACTGGGTGGGAGTGGCCAGGACAAGGTCGGCACTCTCAAGAAGCTTGAGGTCGGCCGTTGTCTCGCCTGTCAGCTTGACAATGGTTTTACCACCCACAAGGTTACCCAAACGCTTCTGCCAGTCAGCAAGACGCAGATCTACAAGCTCTTGGAATGGAGCAATGTAGATGGCACGGCCATTGCCCTCGGCTGACCAGTGGCGCAGGAGGGCCAATTCAGCACAGACAGTCTTACCGCTTCCAGTAGGAGCTCCAATGAAGACATTGTCGTCCGAGTCGTAAACGGACTTGAAGACTTGCGTTTGAATCTTGTTGAAGTTTTCCCAATCGGGGTAGAGCTGTTGATATTCAGGATGCTTCAGAGCCTTGACAGGGGCACGCTGCATGTCCAGCACGGGAGTGTGAGGGGGGAAGCGCTCAGGAAGGATCAACTTCTGGAACGAAACGGCAATCTTGGTCTCAGCGTGCATCCAACGGTCGGACACCAGAGAGATGAAGTAGTTGGGGGGCGTCGGCTCCGTAATTGGAACGGTGAATTCGACAAGGTGCTCGTTCATCTCAGACTTGGCAAATTCTCCCCGAAGAAGGAAGCGATCGTGGTACAGGATCTCTTCTCCGTCGCAGTCCTCGACCAAGATCCAGAAATCTTGAGCAGCGCCATGCACAGAGTCGTCCCAAATGAAGTTGGGGGTGATGGTCAGTTCGAAGCGGAGCATGGAGCGGGTGATCGGTTGCACATGTGCCTGAAGCTCAAGGCGAGGGAATTTTGAAACAAGATCACAAACGACACGGCCAGCCTTGGGCATCCCCATAAGCTCACCCATGCGCGGAGGGTCCAAGTCAAAGTAACTATTCCAAGGAACGTCGATACGCTCAGCCTTTTGCAGAATATCTTTAGGACAGCCGCTAAATTGGCGGAGGGGAGACATTGTCGGCCACATACGCTTCTCAGCCATCTTGCAAAGGTCGAGAGCAGTCTTCGTCACAGAGGCCCAGCCCTTCCTCAGGCAGATCTCGAAAAGCGCCCGGATAATACGACCAGCTGACTGAGTAACATAAACCATATCTGCCATCAACGCAAGTCCATCCAGCTTGAGGCGAGAGATGTAAGCCTGAAGCAGAACGTTGATCTTGGCATGAGGTTCCTCAATCGACTCCTTGACGGGGACAGGCACGCGACCCAAGAGCTTGCCAAGCTCCAACTTTTCGTCCTGGCGGACAGGAATGTACTTGAACTCATCACTGAGAGCAAAGATTCGGAAAAGCTCGATACTGGTAATCGAAGGCTGAAGGTGTTGAGCGTATGTGAGCATCGAGTTGTGGCCAATGTAGTAATGAGAAGCGATGCGACCCAGATCGGTTGCTTGGAGGCGGCCTGTTTTCTTCTCATACTTGACAAGGCCCGCCTTCTCAAGAATAGTGGCAGCCGAGTGGACCAGATCAACTCGCTTTTGCTCAAGAGCTTCATCATTCTCATAGTCGGCACCAACGCTGTACAAACCAGGCGAGCGAAGCATTCGGACGTACAGGTAGGTGTAGCCAAGCCATTCAACACCTTCGTCACGGTTTCGAACGTTGCCCAGTACAATCTCAGCATTCATATTATCCGCAAGCTTGCTGACCAATTGAGACTCAATCGGGAGTTGTTGGTTCAGAAGCGAGAGGTAGTACTGGATTTCAGCCTGGGAAGTAATGATAATACCTTCACCAAAAGTATCATACTGAGGCCGACCCGCACGTCCAAGCATCTGCAGAACATCCTGAGGACTCAGTTCAACCCAGCTACCTTTCTCGGGCGAGTACACCTGGGTGCCCTTGATGATAACGGTATGTGCGGGCAAGTTGACACCCCAGGCCAGGGTGGCTGTGCAGACGAGAACTTGAATGCTTCCATCGGCAAAGAGAGCTTGAACGGAATCACGGTCCGCAAGACTCAGACCAGCATGGTGAATACCCAGACCGTAGGGCAAGAGATCCTTCAGACCAGCGTCATCGACTGAGTCGGCCTCCTCTGAAAGAATAGCACGACTAGCAGCATCACTGCGCAGGATTTGACCAATTGTTTCCATCTCGACTGCCTTATCCCGAATGTACTTGGCGGTCTTGGTAGTCTCCTTGCGCGAATGGACGAAGATAAGCATTTGGTTGCGTTTCTGGCCAACCTGCTCCATGACCTTGTTGTAGCAGATATCGTTCATTGTCTTCAATTGCTTGATAGGCTTCTTGTCGGTCACACCAATGAACTCCTGCTTCAGAGGGCAAGGTCGGTATGAGCCATCGAAGTGGAAGATACCCTTCTCGGGATCGGCGCGCAGGAAGCTTCCGACGTCACGGTAGTTGGGAAGAGTAGCACTGAGACCGACAATGCGGACGGGCTCGCCAGTTTGCTCGGTCCGGCGGATCGTACGGCTTACGATGCTTTCAATAACAGGACCACGGTCGTCGTGCAGCAAGTGAATCTCGTCAATGACAACAAGTCGAACCAGGTTGGTGTAGCTAGTCTCGGAAGCCTTGCGAGTGATGACGTCGAACTTTTCAGGGGTGGTGACAATGATCTGAGTATCGGCGATTTGCTGTTTGGTGAGTTGACGATCACCAGTCAGTTCTGACACGCGAATGCCGTAGGGCTCCAGGCGCTTCCCAAGGTTTCCGACTTGCTCCTGGACAAGAGCCTTCAGGGGGAAATGTAGATGATCTTGAAGTCATCCAGCATGACCTCACCAGTTTCAGGGTTGCGGTTTTTGCCAATCTCGCGAAGGATCGTGAGCATGGCAACGTTGGTCTTTCCGGAACCAGTGGGGGCACAGACAAGCATGTTACCATCGTCGTTGAAGGCCGTCGGGAAACACTTAGTTTGGATTCGGTTGAGCTCCTTGGCACTTCCAAAGCCCACACGAGCCCATTCAGGCAACTCGGTGGCCGGGAGGTTCTTCTCGCCGGGCTTCTTGGTGGCCTTGGGAGGGGGAACATGGATCTCCTCGTATCCCTTGAACGAGCGCTTCGTTGATCCCTGGGGCAACTTGACGTTGGGGTTGGTCATAAGATGGTTACCCTGGGAGAAGACCAGGTTCTCGAGGTTGATCAGTCTCTTGGGCTGCAGACCGCCAACAAGGCCGGTTTCATCGCTGGCCTTCTTTTCGGGTTCAGGCGCTGATGGAATGTCGAGATCCATTAAGTCCATCTTGATCTTCTTTTCCGGTCGTGCGGCGAGATCGTCACGAGCGGCCTTGCCACGGATTTCATCAAGAATCGCCCGGTGCCCAGCTTCAACCATTTGACTTTCCACAAGGTTGCGCGCATCAGCATCTTCAGCAACCTGTCTCCAGCGGGTTACCCAGACTGCCTTATCACGGTTGGTGACGAATTTAGCAACGAGATCAGGATGGTCGTAGTCGAACAACTCCATGAGGTCATTCTCAACATCGCGGAGGGGTCGTTCGGATCCATCCTCTGACTGGCCACCGAGGATTTCGAGGGCCTCTTTTGTCTTTTCTTGCTGAGTGTGGGCATCAGGATAGAGCTCTCCGATCTGACGCTGAATCCAGTAAGCATCAATCTCGTTGGCGGGGACCTTCAATCCTGCTTTGTTCCCAGTTTTGTCATCCTTGCCAAGTCCACCGTCGATAAGCATTTCGTCGCCGGCATCGAGCTCTTGGGCAGCAGGTTCGTCGACGTCTTTCTCGTCTTGTTCGTCTGCTTCGTCTTCATCGGAATCTTCATCCCGGATTTCGTTCACTGTGCCCGGTCCTTCCTCATCGTCATCCTGGTCTCCTTCGTCGAAAACCACGGCGACACCTTGACGCTCATCGAGTTCGGCATCGTCCTCGTCCATACCGTCGCCGTCCATACCCTCGTCATCATCCTGAGCATCGTAGTCGGTAATTTTCTTGCCCAGGTTCACGAGCTCGTTGAATTCCTTCGGGTTCATGGAGCTGCCAAGAAGGTCATCGATCTCTTTTTTCTTGTCAAAATCCTTCATTTCCTCGTCTTTAAGCAGCTCTAATACGGCGTCGGCGGCACTTCGAATAACTTCGTGGGGGACATCGCCAAGGTGGCTTCCGGTGATCGTAAGGATGAGGTCGTGAGTGGCTCGTGTCGCGGGGGTTCGTGGGCGATATTTCAGGCCCTCGACAACAGCATCAGATGCTGAGAGAATACCCTGTCCTCGTAGTTGTGCGGCCTGGCCACGTTGGCGCTTCTTTTGTTCGCGCAAAAGCACATCTTCGCCTTCGCGAATGGATCCTCGCTCAAGATCCACCGGGCCTGTTGTCTTCTTCTTGGATTTGGGGGCATCGTCACGCGCGATTCGGGAGCCCATCTCTTTAATACCGATGCGGCCGGCGATAGACTCGGGGTCTCCGGTGGGTTCATCGTTGTTGCGGCTAATGAAACGACGGTCCGCCTGGAGAACCAGGTTGGACATAGCCGAGTATTTGTACTGTGAGATGTTTTGGTCCGCCATCTTGGTGGTGGGGGTGTTGTCGTGTCGAGAAAGTAATCAAAAGGGTAAAAACGAGTGAGTCGCGACTCGGTTCAGCCAAAATGCACCGAGCTCAGAGTCGTCCGCGTTTAGGAAAACCAGCGATTGAGAAAGTTCAGTTGGCCTCACAAGCCTGGCTCATCCTCCTGTCGCAAGCTGGCTGACTTGTTGGGGAGAAATGGAGGCCAGGGTTGATGAGATGGTGGTGGTTCTCAAGCAGAGCGTTTGCTTGTCGGGAAGATTTCGGTGGCGCGAAGGCGGAACGAGGGGAGCTTCCGTAAAGGTGGGCGGCAGAACCGTTCCGCCCAGCGAGTATTCGCGTCGCAACGATGCGCCTCAATGGCAGGGCTCTTACGCATTGGAGACCTTGCTGGCACTCGACAGTGAGATTTACGGTCGTTCCATCCAACCAGTATCACATCCATCGGACCATCTGCCACCATACGCGTCACCCACCAGTTCACGCTTCCGTTCTTAGCGCCACGTCGCCCGTCGAACAACGAAGAGGCGCGAAGACAAAGTCTACAGCCAAATTGAAGGATCTTCCGCAAGGCGTTGTGAAATTAGAGGCTTATGATGATGGTGTCGACGATGCGCCACAGTATCCGACAGTGGTACAGGGCCATCGTAACAATATGCAGAAGTTCAAGAACTGTGTAGTTCTAACACGAGTCGGGGGCTTCTACGAGGTAATAGTTTCTGTCTCTTCTCTAGACTCCACTTATTGACACTTTCATCTGTAGCTTTACTTCGAACAAGCCGAAGAATTTGCCCCTTTGCTCGGTATGAAGCTTGCAACCAAGAAGACCAGTGCCGGGCCGGTTCCCATGGCTGGCTTCCCCTTCTTCCAGCTCGATCGATACCTCAAAATGCTTGTCCAGGATTTGAACAAGTATGTGGCAATTAGTGAGGAGTTCGCGCCAGAAGTAGAAGACAAGGCCAGGTCAAATGGCCTCATGTTTGATCGAAAAGTCGCCAGGATCATCACACCAGGCACATTAATCGACGAGAAATTTATCGATCCATCAGAGAACAACTTTCTTTTGGCGATATATCTCGATGTCCCCTCTCTCGAAGAGAAATTTCGGAACAATGTTAGGGATCTATCCTCCCAACACATATTGTCCTCCGTGTCTCAGAGTGTCGGGCTGTCCTGGCTAGATTTATCGACGGGTGACTTCTTCACCCAACTCACGACGATGCAAATGCTTCCATCTGCTATCACTAGGATCGGGGCTCGGGAAATCCTGGTCGACCAAAAGGTGCAGGATCTCATCGGACAAGAGCTTCAGTTACTGGTTGGGCATGAGCATCGTCTTGTGACGTTTTTCCAGTTTCCAGAAACATTCGACCCAATGACCCAGTGGGAACCAATGCTAGAAGCCCCTATCCCCAAAGAAACGCACGCATCTTTCACGGCAGAAGAAGTTGCAGCTGGATATAGCTTGCTTGAGTACATCCGTCTGCAGCTGCAAGGGTTGAATCTCAAACTACAACCTCCACGTCGCAGACATCTCGACGAATCAATGAGCATCGACCGGAATAGCTTGAGGGGTCTGGAGATTTTGGAAACAGCTCGAGATGGTTTTGGAAAAGGCAGCTTACTTCATGCCGTGCGCAGAACTTCTACTAAAAGTGGTGCTCGTCTATTGCGAGATCGACTCAGTGAGTTCATCATGCTATACGATATTGAAGTACAATTCATTACTGATGCATCTTTCTAGCTTCTCCGTCTACATCTAGGCAGGTTATCAACGAGCGACTTGATCTTGTCTCAGTACTCATGGCGAATGAGGACCTCCGCGATAGCGTGGTTCAGCTATTAAAACGTAGCTACGATGCTCAACGTTTAGTGCAAAAGTTTGCTCTCGGCAAAGGTGACCCAGACGACTTGATTTGTCTTTCTCGGGCCATCGAAGCCTCGAAAGGAGTCAGACAAGTTTTGACCGATCATGAGAGGCTCTTATGCTCTACATCAACCGATGCCAAGCGCAGTCTTAGCTCCATGATCGCTCGACTTCACTTGGATGGGCCAATCGCCCTTGCGGAAAAGATTTTGGCTGCCATTGATGAAGAAGGACTTCTCCAGAAGCAACGCATCGAAGAGAGCACTGCCACCGAGGCAGCCAACTTGGCTCAAGAAGTCACACTGAACGAAGGCACATCCAATGACCTCGCGACGTTGCCGAAAAAAGTCAGAACCAAAAGCAGTGACCGGTCAGCCTCCTTGGACTCCGATCCCAGCTTGGTTGATACATGGATCATGAGACGTGATGCAAGTGATATCTTAAACGAGCTACATGCAGAGATCGAACGCCTATGGGGCGATAAGGCTTCCTTGACTCAACACCTTCGTGACTCTGTAGGATCCTCTGCGCTGAATCTCAAATGGACGCCCGGCCTGGGCCACATCTGCCACGTCAAAGGAGCCAAAGTTTCCCAGGAGGCGCTCGAGGAACTCGGCGTCACGCGCAACGTTTCTTCGACCAAATCCACCCGATCCTTCTATCTTCCTGCTTGGACCGAACTCGGAAATACGATGGAGAGTGTCCGCGTTAAAATTCGCCAAGAGGAGCAAGCCATCTTCGAACATCTGCGCCGGGAAGTAATCGTAAACCTAGTCAAGATCCGGCGCAACGCAGCGGTCATGGATGAACTCGATGTCGCCTGTTCTTTCGCAACATTAGCCCAAGAACAGCAAATGGTCCGGCCCATCCTCAATGACGGAACCTCCCATCGAATCGTGGGCGGCAGACATCCAACCGTCAAACTCGGCCTGGAAGAACAAGGACGGTCCTTCGTCAGCAACGACTGTTTTCTCGGTGACCAAGAACGGATCTGGCTCATCACTGGCCCGAACATGGCAGGCAAAAGTACATTCTTGCGACAGAACGCTTTGATCACTATTCTGGCGCAGGTGGGTTCGTATGTGCCTGCCGCTTACGCCGAAATCGGGATTGTCGACCAAATCTTCAGTCGGATTGGCGCGGCTGATGATCTGTTCCGTGACCAATCGACCTTCATGGTGGAGATGCTGGAGACCGCTGCTATCCTGAAGCAAGCGACTCCTCGGTCTTTTGTCATTATGGATGAAGTCGGACGAGGAACAACTCCCGAGGACGGCACGGCTGTCAGCTTTGCCTGTCTCCATCACCTACATTATCATAATCAGTCACGGACCCTATTTGCGTCGCATTTCCATTCGCTTGCAGATATGACGCGGCCGTTCGAGCACTTGGAAAGATACTGTACTGATGTTAAAGAGATGCCATCCGGTGCTTTTTCATTCGTGCATCGTCTGCGAAAGGGCGTCAATCGTGAGTCGCATGCTCTCAAGGTTGCCCAACTGGCTGGTCTTCCTCGAGAAACCCTGGATCTGGCTAGGCGAATGCGCCAGGAAATAAGGGAGGAGGCGTCTTCGTCTCGCACGACAGATGAAGTACCGCGAACGTCACATCGGTCCTGATCTATATCACGACATTACTTGGTCTCGCTATTGGCCCTTTTTTCGAAATGCTCTCATGTAGAATATTTGTCTATATATAATATATACAATACCCAGACTCGTTTTGTTCAATCCAATCTCCAACTAAGATGCATCAGTGGAAGAATATACATGGTACAACACACTTATCAAAGCTTCGCGGTCCAAAGCTTAGCCGAGCCCTGCTCCTTGCGACCATACTGGCCTCTCCGCCCAAGATCAACAACAACGCCCTCTCCAAACGCCGCCTCCTGGCAATCCTCATCATCAACCCCATTGATATGCTGCACAACGACGAAATCCACCCTGCGCGGACCCAAAACCACCATCGGCGCATGCCAAGTCCCAACACCATAGGTAACAGACTGGCCACCGCGCGCAATGAAAGCCTTCACATTGCGCAGATCAGGCGGATCCCTAATCGTAATAGTCTCACCAGCCTCATTCTTCGCTGTCGCTGTCTCCCCCTCCAATGTCGGCGCAACAACAACCAAGAAAATAGGCTCTTCGTCTCCATTTCCGACCTTGCTGTGACTCGATAGATCGGTTGGAATGAAGGTTTGGTTGGTGTAGGGGTGTCGCTCGAGAATGCGCACGTCAAAGGCCTCCTTCTCGGATGTGCCGCTGCCAATGGTGCGTAGTTTGCGCGGGAAGCAACAGAACATGGTCATTCTGGTTGCGGAAGGTTGACCGCTTGGACCGTTTTTGTAGGTGTCCAGCATTGGCGAGATGGGACTGTATTTCAAGGCGGAGTTTTGGTTTGCTAGTACGGGTGCCGGGTTGTGTGGGGGTAGAGAAGAAGGTTGAACAGCAATACTCAAATCGCGTGGAAGAGGCGATTGAATTGCTGTGCCGTATGGAGCGAAGTTCGTTGGTGTCAATGGTTCCGGGACCAGTGTGAGAGTCGGGTTGGACGTGAGGATTGGCGCCATGGTGGGGGTTTATTTCGCGGCGCGTGGAATTGTTTGGTTGATGAATGTACCAATTTACCTCCTGGAGTATATTCAGTTAGTTGCGGCTCTCCGTTATGTCTTGGGGAGTATGGAAGGGAAGAATGGCAGAGGTGGTGGTTATGGGGTGGAAGCGGAGAACTTGACGTCGGGGCTCTCCGGCGGCTTTGCGATTCCCACACCGGCAGCGATAAGATAGCGGCCGGGGCCGACGGGAAGTCTGGGGAACCCTGAGAGCATGGCAGTTTGCACACATGCGACGTACCTAGGTACGATTTACTTCCTGAGGCTTGGATCTGCTTTGCTGCGTAGAGTTTTCGCACTTCTGTCCTGTCCCATCTGCTACGGCCTTCCGGTAGGACAAAATGGCTGCACAGTGCCACGTCAATGCTAGATCAGCGATGGGCAAGCAGAAGTACATTGTAGATGGTCATTGGGGCCCGGAACCCTAATTTGAGGTACCCGCTGGTGCTGGGAGGCGCCTATTGGCTCCGAGGAGTTCATATCTCATCGTATGGGGCAATGCATTGAAGGTAGTGGCTACAAACCGGACAACAGCGCTGGGTAGAGAGATACATAATGTATCCACGCCCACGAAATTTCGCGAAATCTCACGTGACCCCAGATCTGACCGCACCCACCCATTTGACCCCCATCCCGCGCAAGATATCTGACCGCAGATCGAGCCTGCGAAATCTTGGCAGTAATCCTGAAGCCAGGGATAGCTTCGTACGTGCCCTTACGGGGCTATGACAGTACCTTACGATGAATCAAGGGGGGGATAGGGGATGATGGGGATAGGCGGTAGAAAGGCTGGTAAGAAAGGCAGCTGGTTACTGTGTGAATTCCGCGTCGCGTTCGTTCCTCTCTTGTCATTACTCCTACCTACACGCATCTCATCATCAAGAGAAAGAGAGAAAGAGAGAACACTATTTCGAACCTAATCAAAAATGGCTTTATCATCACCTTCTACTCCCTGCTCCTCTCCTCCATCATCACAGACCCAGGAGCTAGCGCAGATTGAGCTCCAGGACCGATTAAACCTCCACAGCATCAAGGCCCTACACTACATGCGAAGCCAGCCGCCTAAGAATACATCAAAGGCTTATGTTAACAAGCATAAGGAATGGCAGGTAAAAGAACACCCTTGTGACCTTGTCTCTAGTTCGTACGAGAAGCTAAGGAGATGCTACAGAGCTTCTGCAAAAAGCAGGGCTTCCCAGACGGCGAACTAGTCACAGAGAAGAAGCTTGTCTACTTTCTTGACACTGAGGTTCTTAATCGACCTCTTCGGTCCTCTCAATATAAGAAGGATCGTACACGGCCAGATGGATCAAAGGTAGAACAAACCCTGGGAAGCAATTCAATCACTCAATATATCAATGCTATTGTGGACCTCTGGAAGCTCCAAAAAATCATTGGTACGAATGAATAGCTTCCCTAACCCCCGTGGATATGCTGTTTCCACCTTGATGGCTGGCCGACTACATAAGGAAAGCGAGCGAAAGCGCGAGCAGTATCTTGACCGAGCTACAGGCACCCTGCAGGATTGGTATTCCAAGGATAAAATCAAGGACTTCGTACGATACTGTTGGCAAGGATGGCGAACAAAAGATCTTAGGCATCGAAAGCGTCAAGCTCAGGAGTCCTATCTTCGCACGGCCGTGGATTTCCTTTTCAGTCACAATATGCTCCTTCTTGGAGAATCGCGCCGGCAACTCCAGTTTCCTGACCTGTTCACTATCTCCTTACCCAACGAAGGACCGACCCCCTGTTGGCCAATGATCATGATTATGAATAATGGAAAGACTAACCAGTTTGGCCGCTTGCAGTATATGGGGGTAATGCGCCATCAGGATCCTCTCCTTTGTACGATGAGCCAGGCGGCAATTTATCTCTTTTATCGCTGGCAGATAGTAGGGGAGTCGCCACCTCGGTTTCGGAGCCAGCCAGAGTGGTATAATTTCCACTTCTTCAAGGGCTCAGATCGAGAGAAGCCAATCTCGTACGAAATCCAGCTGAAATGGGCCAATGAGGTCTATAAGGCAATCAATCTCTCTACCGACAAGAAGACACATGCAGGCCGAGCCCAGGGGTCAAAACAAGCCGAGCTAGAAGGCGTGGAAGAGAACCAGATCCGCCGTGCTGGTCAATGGAATCAGGATGCCTTAACTAAATGCTATCTGACGCATCTGCCGCGGAAATTCCTTCGTTCTATGGCTGGTTTCCAGCCTGATGCAATTGGGAACTACTATCTTCCTCGACCAAAATTCAACCTCCAGATTCCCTCGTACGAGCTCTCTGGCCATGGATCGATCAGTGGCTTGCCTGGTTCCCGTCCAACGATCCTACAAATGAGCCACCTAGCGGGGCTACTAGTCAGGAACAGGAAGACCGAGATGATATGGCAGCCCAAGGCTTTTTGCAGCTACTGAATCAACTACGGATCATCCTCCAGGACTCGGTTCTCCTACAGGCGCAATTCCCCCGGCATTCAATGTGGGATGACCCTATCTTTGCACGAGAAGACTATACTGCATTTGCAGAGCAAATACGGCAGTCCCCTCTTTGTACGGAGACCCCTCAGGAGATTCAGCTCCGGCAGACGCTTCCTATTATTGCCGACCGTCTTAGTGTCCTCCGGAAGGATATCCATCAGGCGGTTGATCTTCATTGTTATCAGGCTCATGAACAGCTTAGAAAGATTGCTCGCCAGCTTCATGATCTCCTTTCTGGTCACGTTATCTTTGCCGTACGAGCCATGGATGCCTCTATTATCGAAGCGCGGACACCAGACTCGGACTCATTCACACCGTCTTCTCAGCTAGCAGCATGTTTATCGGAGGCATCATCTTTGCAGCCTCCTGTAGATAAGCAGCAGCTTCTCTCAAAGGGGATCGATACTTCCTCCTCTCTATTATCCCCCTCTCGATCTCTCTACTCGCTCTCTCGTACGATACAGACTGCCGGAGGTCTGGAGAGAATGGATATGTGGGTTAGGTGCAAGGACGACGGGAACTTCGTTTCACACCAGTGAGAATTTTCAACGTTACGAAAGGGGCGATTCGCTCAAGAGAAATCGTCAGTTATAAAAAGGAGACTTATACCCTGCCCATAGGCAGAACTGAAATATGTTTCCCATCCACTTTTCCCCTCTCCCGTGTCCTGTGCCTTTGTCCCATTGCCCAAGGCGAGGCGCTCTGGATGGCAGGCTAGAAGACTGCGTTTCAATTGGCCCTTATCTGGCATCCTTGCTGCCCTCGCCGGAGCGCCAAACTGACTAGCACAGGTCTGCATTTACTTCATTCAAATTCTCATTGTAACTCGCTTTCTCTGAGGCTTTGTTACAGATAGTCTGCAAGTACATCAAGCACAACATACGATCAATCTGTGCTTTGTTCTATAGAAAGGCATCGGTCAGTTTTAACAACAGTCCTGTAATGCACGAGGACTGGCGGATGATTGGCTCGTTCGATCCTCCAGGCTCTGCTTGCTGTAGCGCCTGAGGTAGATTGCGCGTTAAAGATGACGGTGTTCTTGCAGGTATGAGTCAATCGTCGTTCTCCAAGAGAGAGATCAATAGATTTCCCAAGGGTGCGCCGAAGTCAGCACCGAGATATCCACGTTCATACCGACCCGGACATTGGGCAGATGGTAGAAAGTTCTTCGACTTGGTCGCGCAGAAACAAAATAGTGTTCGGCAACAAGGCCGGGGCGTGATATTGAGCACGTATATAATATCGGGTCGGCCTGTTGGAAATCTAAGGATCAGTTACGCAGAGAAGTCGATACGCGGGTATTGCAATATATTTCTTACTCATGAGATTCTGGCGGACATTCCAGTCTTTTTTGAATGAGTACATTAATTACCTTTGGGCACTTGAAGATCACGGAGCAATATTTGCAGGTGAATTCCTCCGTCTAGGTTTACTGTTGTGTTCCTTTACTCACCAAACAGTGGAATCCATTGAAGCGAAGCGAGGAAGTTCTGATATTCCCATCTTATTGACACGAGAATCATTTGTTGGACCATTTGTTTCTATCGCTGGTCAAAATGAATGGCATAGATATTTGCTTTGCTACAAAACAAGGTTAGTTGACTATCAGCGCTCCTGTGGATTCTATCATTTCCGACTGAAAAGACGAGCCGGATGAATAGAGAGTATCGGGGTTGACCGCAACATGCCCAACGAAGAGAGACGAAGGAAGAAAGTTTCAGTTATTGTGAAGACAAAAATATTTCCAGGGTCGGCAAAGATCCGGGTGGAAATAAGGCCACTGAACCTCGTGTTGTCGGGAGTTTGATCTGGAAGTAATTCTGGAGCAAGCCCTTGTCGCCACCGGAGTTCTTTGCAGACTTTGCAGATTGTCAAAATTGTAACATCAACCTCTCGACAACTAACTGGGACCTTCCTACGTGGGATGCTTTCTAATAATAAGCATAGCATCTCTCGCACTTGTTCGGGTTCGGCGATATATGATAAAGCGTGACGTCCAGTCGCGATTTACATCGATATCTAAGCTGCTGGTGCCAGGAACGCTGAAATTGCGAATGTACCACTTATGGTTGGGGATAACCAAATGGTTGAAGGATCCGTAATGCAGATGGTACAGTCCCAAAAAATAGACCTTTCTTACTTCGGCCTGAGCAGTAGTCTGGACGGAAAAAGCTAAGGTTAGACTGACAAAAGGGGTAATCGGTTCCTTCACTAATTAAAATACAAAGCTGAGCATGGCCCTTCACCATGTTTGCGTAGGCTGCAAAGGCTTGATCAGCGTGTCAACGCCACTTGTGGCTGAGACATTTGGTATATCAGCCTCTTTGAGCTCCTCGTCGTGAGAGTTGTGCGATAGAAATGCAATGCGATCTGAGATAATTTTGTAAAGAGGGTGCTTTGCTGTTAGTCTCGTCTCCGTAGCTGTCAAAGCAGTTCGATAGGCACTGATCGCCTTCAATTGCTCTTCGTTCATCTCCAACAGCTGTCCTAATTTCCACATTCCAGTAGCGTAGTCAGGATGCTCTTCGCCTCGAGAAAGTTTGACCTTGCTGACAGTCTCAAGAGTCAGTGCCTCAGCTTCGTCTAGACGACCTTGGCGCGCATAAGCCCGAGCAAGCTCTCCACAGCCAACCAAAACCCCAAGATGATGTTCACCGAGGCTCCGTTTTCCAGCGGCAATTCCTTCAACCAATGTTTCCTCGGCCCTCTGCAATTCACCCTCTTCAATGTATATCTTCGACAGATAACAGAGTGCCCAAAGCGTGTAAGGGTGTTCCTTGCCCATCTGGGCCTTGCGACGATTATAGACATCCTCCATTAAATCTTTTGCCACACGGAACTCTTTAAGGTCAAGGAAAGCCATTGCCAAATTGCTCTTCGTTTCGAGGACCCTCAAGTCGCTCTGTTCCAGAGTTCTCAACCGAATAGTCAAGACGTTCTGATGGATGTCTCTGCTCTCTGCAAACCTGTGCCAAGAACCTAGTGTGACACCCAAATGGTCTAGTGCTTTGAGCGTGTCATCGTCTTCCTCACCAAGGAACATGCGCATTGTTTCCGCAGTCTGTTGCTGAAGTTGAATGGCTTCACAGTATTGCCCATTGAGCCAGAAGGACTGACCCAGGGAGTCCATAGCTTGTAGAGTTTCACGGTGATTTGGTCCTAAAACCTTCAGCCGCGACTTAACCACCTGTTCTTGCAAGACTATGGCTTCTCTCAAGCGGCCCAAGCCCCACAGGACACTTGCGAGTCCTAACATGGCAGCCATCGTTCTTGCATTGTCAAGCCCCACAAGCATAACTAACGCGTCTTTTGCTAGAGAGAGGTGGTATGCAGACCTCGCAAAGTCACCTGTCTGAGCGTACAGGGCCCCACACTTCGCGGCTTCTTGGATCATCTCTCGTAGAGTGAACACTAAAGTCGGCTGTAGGACCAACATGAATCGTTGATATTTCCCAACCTTTAGACTGTGGAATTCCCTGAACTCGATTGGACAGGCTTCGAGGCATGAGTTGAGGTGAGGAATTAAGCTCCTCCGAAAATTAGAGTCAGCTCCTCCGGCGTCCTTCGGGAAGAGCTCAATAGACGCCATAAGGGTGTGGAAAGAGATCACTGCCCACAGACTCCTCTCTTTCATCGGAATGCGATCTTTTGCCCAGGCATGAACTAAGGGATGCAACGAGAAGCTTTGCTCATCTTTCCCGTAAGTTATCAGGGAAGTTGCGTACAACTCGCGTAGAGCTTCCCTGATGCATAATGGATGCATGCTATCGCCACTTTGCCTCAGGATTCTAGGAAGTGTCCGAGGTGGTCTCAAGCGATAGACAAGAGCATTGGTGAATTTTGCTCGAAACGATCTAGCTGTAGTTTGGCGCAACTGCTCTCGCTCTAGGCCCATGCCTCTTTCGAAGATGTCGACTGGCACAGAATCGAAGTGATAGAAGCTCACAATATTGAGGATTTCGACTGCATCTTGGCTTGGAATGGTGTTTCTGGTCGCAATATTTTGAAAGGAAACGTCGAAAGCCGTGAAGATGTCGTCGTTTTCGGCATCGCGCATGACGGAACCTTCAGCTGAACATCGTGGTTTCTTTCTGCGCCGGTTCTCCAAGAAGAGTTGAAAGAACCTGAGATATTCCGTTATATTGCACAATTTGTTGTAAATCGTGTTTCCAGCTTGAATGACAGCGAGGGCTAGGTAGCCTAAAGTTTTGGTGATCTCGATTCCTGCTGTTTCTGTAGACAGGTCCCATGGAGGAATGATATCCGCAACTTTCATGAGTAGCTGGAAAGCTTCTCGCTCATTAAGCCCTTTGACCTCTACACTTCCAACGTTGCCTAGCCTTCGGAGGCTGGGATTTCTTGTGGTGACGAGGATATGACCTCTTTCACCAGGTACAGTGAGACGTTCAAACCTTAGATCAGGGCTGTCTGCGTTGTCGATAATGAGGAGCCAGGGGCTTCTCGCCTGGGAGAGGAAATGTTTGCCAGATTCTTCAGTGGATTCGAGGCCTCCAATTCTTCCTATTTTGCAGAAGGACTCTTTCGCAGTTTGATGAGATGAAGCATCAATGGTGAAGACTGCCCAATAGCTTGACTCTTGCATCAGTAAATGAGTATCAATGCACAGATGTTCTGTTCTTACTATTTGCGGTTGTCTTGGGCATATTTCGCGGATAGCTGTGTCTTACCAGAGCCACCAATTCCATAAAGAACAAACCGCTTCTGTTTTCCTACCAGTGAGGCACTTCGTTCGGGCTCGAACCCTTCTTGCAATGCTCCCATGATTTCGACCTGGCCTATAAAATCAATAGAGACAGCGCATGGTGGGTTGAAATGCTCGTTTTGCAATACGGCCAGCGCTGGTTCATTCCTGCTATCCGTGAAAACCGGAGTCTTGTCAGGGATATCAAGAAACAGGCCCGTTAACTCCGAAGCTTCATTCCTCCGCATGCGCACCAGAGATTCCATTGCTTCTTTCCATCGGTAAGCGATTATCTCCGGCGCTGAATGGCAATATTTCATCAAAGCAGATATTACAGTCCGATAAGCAGAGTCGGTTTGACGAAATTTGACCATATCAGAGTGATTGGACGCCATAATTCCGCATCTTTCGGTGTCGTACATATGAGGAGCAGCAGATGATGGCTCAACCATAAAATCAACACCGTTTGGGAGACCTGTTGCTAAACCTTCCCAGAACAGATACAAATGAATTTTCTTCATGAGTGGAGCGAATTGGTTCGTGACAACCTCCAAAGCATGCACAGTTATTGGTGGCTCGTTACCACCGTCCGACATGTTTGCAAGTGCTTTTGGATCCTGCTCTGTCAAGGTCGGCGCACGCAAAGCCAGCCATCTTCCAACGTCGATGTGATCATGTGGCGTACCAAATAACACGATGGCGAAGGTTGAAACATAGATGGAATTGAGGTGTGACGTTTGATGAGAAGTCCGACTTGCGGAATGGACGAGCGCACATTTGACGATGATGCCCCCGAGCCCATGGCAGACAAAAATGAGAGGCCGCCGTGAAGCATTTGTCAGACTCCTTTCAGCCTCCAAATCTGCCACTAACGTCGTCGCATGACCCTGAACTTTGTCCATGAAACTTGATCCAACAAAAAGAAAAGGATTGGAGTTGTAGTCGAACGTAAGTACCCTCGCATTATGAATATTCTTTGGCAGCAGATCTCTAAGCCACAAGATGCCTTCATGGTGGGTCCAAGCGCTCGTTGAATTTTCGTCTAAGCCATGCACTGCAACGATACTATCGAACAAATCGTCAGGGGCTCAAGCTGTATAAATTTGGGATAAGACTTTCTTACTCGACGGCAGTGGTATTCTCGTCTGGGTCTGTTCCAGGAAGAGGGGCCTCGTGGGAATAAAGTATGTGAAGACCCAAGGGCATCGTTGAAAGCGCGATGGTCGCTGGAATGTCCGTGAGGCGTGGTGCGGTATATCTCCTGTAAACGGGGAGGACTGCAAGAAGAAAATGGTAGAGGTATAGGCGAGATGCACAGCATTGGGACATATTCTCCACATAGCGAGGCTGGGCGGTAGCTGAAACGGGAGGAGACGAGAACATTGCATCTAACTTTGCTTGTTTATACATGGTGTGTGATATCCATGCATTAGCGCCCACGATGGCGGCAGGTGATTTCTTGGCGGACACGTGCATTGACCGCCGGGCGAAATCGCCATGAGTTTAAAGTGAACATTCTCCCGCAGTTTCACCTGGATTCCCAAAATACCGATAAATATCTCTAACCTACAAGCCCCGCCAGATCATAATGGTGACGACAGTTTTGATCTGGGTTACGCTCATAGTCGCTTTCTTTCGGATCTGCCAGCTCTCTCTCTCAAAAATCAGCAATTACCTTGTGAGTGAGCATTTAATTTGCAAGAACCGCAGCCGCTCATGGGTTATAGAAAGACGCTGCCTTACGGTCGCAACACGGTTGCGAGTTACCGCCCGAGCTGCCCAAAAGATGGCCACTTGGTATCGATCGCATCAAGGACCTCTGGGAAACAAATGCGGAAGGTCGACTTCTTGCGTATCTCTGCAAGGTTGCAGAAGACTACGAACCTGGAAATAATCTTACCCAATATCTGTTATTTGGGCCTAGGGCCTTCCATTTGCTGCATCCTTCGAATGTGGAGGCTGTTTTGTCTACAAACTTCAAAGGTGACTGTCTTCTATCGTGATCAATATTAGCAGAGACAGCCATGCTTACCAGATTTTTGAGAGGGCCAGACTACGGTTTCGGTGCCAGGCGGGAAATATTTGCACCCTTGCTGGGAAACGGAATTTTTACTCAAGAGGGACCTGCTTGGAAGCATTCGAGAGAACTTCTGCGAAAGCAATTTGTTCGTGTTCAGTACCAGAACTTAGACCACTTCCGCGAGCATGTCGACAACCTGATCAATCGCCTACCTTCCAGCGGTATTGTCGATCTCCAGCCTTTGTTTTTCGATATGACCTTGGATACCGCAACAGCTTTACTATTTGGGAGATCAGTCTATAGTTTGCGGGCAGGTATCGACCAGCATAAAGAGAACAAACTCTTCGCAGAAAGCTTTAACGTTGCGCAAGAGGGACTTGCCAAACGCTTTCGTATAGCACCTTGGCACTTTCTCTATAACCCTCCAGCGTTCCGGAAAGCATGTGCTAATGTGCATCGATTTGTTGAAGGGTATATCAAGGAACTGGACTTGGACAATGCTGAGCGACATGATATGAAACAATATGGCTTCATAAAGCAGATCGCTGAAGAGTCTGCCAGCTTGAAGGAGCTCCGTGACCAACTTCTGAACGTTTTGCTTGCTGGCCGTGATACAACAGCGTGCTGTTTGTCTTGGACATTGTAAGTATGGAGCCGGAACTCGCTTCTCATTCAATACTGACTTTGCCTTCTCGTCCTTAGTCGACTTCTCGTTCGTCATGCTCATGTAATGAAACGTTTGCGGGAAGAGATCGCCTTAGTCATGGAGGGCAATCTCATGCCAAATAGGGACCAAATCAAGAAAATGCCGTATCTTGCTTGTGTCATCAAAGAAAGTGAGCCTGCTTATTCACGTTATTTCTGCGGAGCAAGTCACTCATCCTTACACGTCAGGTCTTCGTCTCTATCCTCCTGTTCCATTGAACAATCGCGAAGCGGTGCAAACTACCATTCTACCAACAGGGGGCGGACCAGAAGGAAATAAGCCTATGTTGGTAAGAAAGGGAGAACTCGTTGTATTCTCGCAATACGTGAATTCACGAAAGAAGAACATATATGGCGCTGATGCATATGAGTTTCGTCCTGAGCGATGGGAGAGCGGTGAACTTGGGAACGTTCGTTGGGCTTATTTCCCTTTCAGTGGTGGGCCACGTCAATGTCTGGGTGAGGATTTCGCCCAAACTGAGATATCCTACACGATCGTGAGGATACTGCAAACATTTTCGCAGATTTCGTTACCCCGCGAGGAGCCGAATGAACCCGTCGGAAGCGAAAGGCAGCGGCTGACACTTGTCCTCTCGAGCGCCGAAGGATGCAAAGTGGAAATCCGTAAAGGATAGCGAAAATATCTGCATCCTTGAGAAAGCTTCAAAATAGAATAGAAATCCCAATTATATGCGGGAGGATCACTGCCTTGACTCGCTCATTCTACGACTTTCCGCAGAAGGAAATTCACAACATGACTAAGGTGCTAATGAAGTGGTCCTTTCCACTGATATCTCCACGGATTGCAGACCCTAGCTAGGTCTCGCGACTATGACGCAAAACCCGAATCTTTTAAGAAATGACACTACCGCGTACCAATGTCGTTTTTGGTGTTGATGGATCTGAACACCTACGAGGCGAATGACGAAACGAGCTATTCGGTCCGTCTCGTGAACAGTAGCAAATCCTCAAGCATCAGATCAAGGCTTACCGCCAATCCGTCGAATTCCATGCAGTAAACATTTCATTCCATTCAAGCGCCCGCACTAATGCAGCGTTTATCACACCAAGAGATAAAACTTAGCGGCTAGGCAATGGCCTTGCATCCAATGGAAAGGTCGTTCGTTTCTTGGGTCGCTCTAAAAATGGAACAACAGAAAATATAAATTGAGGTAGAACCCAGTTACACAACAGTTTTGACCCTCCAAAGTATCCCAAACCCTACACGAACTGAGAAGAGCGTGCGCAATGGTAAAAAGCATGGAAGTTACTCAGTACGGTATCCAGGAGCTATACCGTCCGGCAGACGAGCCAGTTGAAGTTGAGTGAGTATTTAACAATTCATCAAAGTCTGAAATTCTGCTAACGGCCAAACGGCATCGTCGCCGTGCATGGACTCAATGGTCACGCAACGGCGACATGGACGTCCAAGCCTGAGGGCACATGCTGGTTGAGCGATTCGGCTTACCTGCCGAAATATATCCCACGCGCCCGAGTTCTAGTCTGGGGCTACAATGCGAGTATTTCGTCATGGAACGGAAAGACACCCAGTTCGGACAGGGTTTTACAACATGCGCAGACATTAGTTTCTCAGCTGGAGTCTGACAGGGATGTAAGTTCCCTCTGCGTTCACTATACCAAATAAACTTTGCTGATAAATTACAGCTCGAAGATGCAGCGCAAAGACCCATCATCTTTGTATGCCATTCTCTTGGTGGGATAATAGTCAAAAGAGTAAGCAAGCCGAGAATGGAGAAGAATATCGTAATTACAAAGTGTCCCATTCGCTGACCTCGAACAGGCCTTGGCATACGCAGAGAGCCGATCCAAGCTCGCTCATGTCCATTCAATTTTCACCTGTACATTTGCTATCATCTTCTTCGGTACCCCACATCACGGATCAAACAAAGCCAGCCTTCTTGGTAGTCTCCAAAAGATGGCGTCATTTTCCATTCCAAAAACCGTGATTGAATTTGAATCTGGGCTGGTCAACGCACTCGAAAAAGAATCTGAAGTACTGCAGAATATCACGGACCAATTTGCCCCATTGATGCCAAATTTCCGCATTTTTTTCTTTTGGGAGCAGGAGAAGACTGACTTCAAATACAAAAGAGATTATGTTGTGGACGAAACGAGTGCAGCACCAATTCTCGACAACACAGAAAGATGTGGCATCGGCGCAGATCATCAGGGAATGTGCAAGTTCCAAAGTCCTGCTGATCAAGGATATAGAACTGCAGTGGCAGCACTACGTCGCTATGTTCGAGAGGCACCTGATGTGATTCAGAGAAGGTGTCAAAGGGCCGCAAATCTGCAACGAGATGAAAAATTTCTTGAAGCTTCAGAGCTCTTGGGAAAGACTCAAACTCGTGTTTTGGCTCCCTGTCAACCCGTTTTACGTTCTTCAGAAACCGCATTTGGTATCTACCGGGAACAAGTCGACGATCCTCAGACCAATGCGCGGCCCAACCATGGGAGTTCATGGTTCTAGAGGTTTCACAGAAGACCTATCTTCCACTTCACTTGAAATATACTCGGTTTACCATACTTGAAAGTGCTCTCATTGCATATTTGCTAGTGTCGAGCGACAAAGCTTTATCGGCCTATTATGCTGTGGAGTGCATTGACCTTCCAGTTGTAGCGAAAGAGACCAAGGCCGGACTGTAGCTGGTGGCAAGGAGACAATGGTCTCCTCCTTGAGCAATTGCATGCAACTCGTCGCAAGTACTTCCCAATGGACCATCCATATTCTTTATATTGTTATATTTCTCTGCGGGACTCAGAACAAAACCTTCCTGGCAGCATTTATTCCTCGTAGATCCCACTGCTGTGGCGCAGTCTTCTCCATCCAGATTGACCAGTCACCCCAAAAGGCTGGCCGTAAGATCTGCGCATACTCCCAGTAGTCGGGATACCACCCCGCTGATTCCCAATCAAGAATGCCGGTGATTTTTTCCTGCTCGTCCACCATGACGTTGCGTGGCGCAATATCCGCATGCGTGAACACCGAGCGTTCCGACCTGGGCAGCATATCCAGCAGACTATTCTCATACCGAGTTCCTCCACAGTGGATATACCGCTCGTAAATTCTTGCACGTAGCTCTGAATCGCTCGAGAGTGGTCGAGCGGGCTTTTGTAGATCCTCCAGCATTGGGTCTCGGGATGGAGAGCCATCAGCAGCACACTGATACAGCCCCTCAAATTCTGGTGGACGAGGGATATTTCGGATCGTGGAGATCAGATCCCATAGTTGAAGACAGATTGACTCTTTAGCCACATCGTCTAGCGTGTCCCAATTTTGCTCCAAAGGGACCCCGGGAATAATTGTCATTCCAATCAGTCCTTCCGGTGGATGAAAATCGGACTTGAAAAAGTCACTTCGACTTGTTATCACTTCGTCCGAACTGAAATCGGTGAAGAGCACCTCAGGAACCGGCATATCGGTATGCTTAAAAACAAGTCTCATTGCTTCGGCTTCTGCGGATCGCACTCCAAACCCTGACTTGGTCACCCAGGAGAAGTCCCACTCGAGTACAAGCCTACCCATTTGTTTTTCGAGCACAGTTACCACCTCTTGGCCAGCTCCGAGGTCGAGTGGATTCACAGGGGCTTCACATGGTAGCAAAGTGTTGCCGTCCTTGATATATTGGTGCCCCTTGTGAAGGTTTTGTTGTTCATAAGGAACTTCAGTTGACGGAGGTTCAGTCATCTTGTGGGTAATATCTTGATTCGACAGTCGCGTTCACTTGTATCGCAAGGTCGTGCAAGTTCCACGGAGGTGAAAGCGCAGCTGGGAAGTGACAACACCTTGCGGGACTTACGTAATCATAACTGTCGCCTCCAAGTTCGGAATCTCTCTGCCTCCGAACCAGACTCTCAATTTTCCCCCTGCTAATTGGTAAATTAGGGAGGTAGCCATGGTCATCCCCACCCACAGGTCCCAACCCATGGCTAGTAAGCAATTTAGCTTTTGTGACTATTTGGGCTGAGCGTATACATCCACTACGCCGTACTTTATCACAACTTTACTACCCAGTTTCCCCTTAGGTCCCTTTACACTTGCAGGCTTAAGTGTCTCAGCTAAGCGCTGAGTATTTTTAATCCCTAAAATCGAAAAATTTGCTGAGCCTCCGACACTTTACGTAGAAATTTTAGACCGGACCGGTCAAATGGCGCGAATCTTTCAGCTCTTATTGGACAGCTTAGCGCTCTCTACTCCACGACTTGTTTGAAGGCTGTCGGCAACTCTACTTCCTGAGCTGCAACAATTTATATGCAATTAACGATTAGTGAATGTGCAACTAATAATGGCGTATGCCTTTCGTGGGCCACTCATTTATCGCTCACTAAGCGCCTTGTTACAGACTTCAAGTTCCAAAATTAGGTACCGGAAGTACTTGGATAGACACAAGAGTTATAAAATGACCAGGCTTCCTTGGATTTATTCATTTCCCAACAACCTGGACCTAGATTGGAAGTTTAGTCAAGCAGAACGCAAACAATAGGATCATCACGAGTTGCACAGCAAGTCAGTACCAGCATCAAAGTCCGAATTCCCCAAGAAAAATGTACTGATGACTATATTTTCCAGACTATGAGCGGCTACCCATCTCCGACAACTCCTATACGGATCGTTGGTCTCAGAGAGGTGTGCGAAGTCAACGGTCGGACATTTAGCCGGAGAAAGGGCACACGGGAATGGACTGAACAAGATTCTGCTCCTGGAGGCTCTAAGCCACCTCCTCCATCTATCTCTCGCTGGTACACCAGGAACAAGGTCCAGGAGAACCACTTCATTGGTCGCTATTTGTTGCCCGTGAAAACCAACCCGGCTATGTCTATCAGGTCAAAGGAGATGCAGAATATATGAGATACCAGCCCTCGGATAAGATGGTCAACATTGTCCAATCTGCCACTTTCTTAAATATCTATCAACTGGCTGTCGTGACGGAGCAACAGGATATGTTGATAAGGCAGACCGCAGAGCGGGAGCCTCCCCCTCAAGCCGCCAGTCGGCAATCAGTCAGGGAGAATTGCCAAGGTTGGACGGTGCGTGTTATCGCCAAGCTGGTCGAAATGGGAATCGTTCCGATGGCGAAGCTTCAAATGGCAAGGTCCATGCTGCAGCCGGTTTGAGAGAAGTGACAAGACCAGTGATGCACAATGTCATCCAGGCAAAGGGGGTAGAAAAGACTTTCCCCCTCTTTTCCCCTATTCATCTCTTGGCTCTCTCTTCCTTCAAATGGGGTGATGTGCTTGAATGTGAGGTGTGCGAATTCACAATGGACCCATCACTACATGTAGGCGATAGACTGGTTATATGTCCTTTCATTTACATATTTTGTCCTCGCACTACTCTTGCTATTAGACCAGCTCATGGTGCTCGATTTCGAAACTGTTAATGTGGCTCCACGGAGTCTAGTTTGTACTCGATCGAATCAGCCACATACTAGCCTTTCATGGTCGTTGAGGTTGTCAACGATTGTCAAAAAAATCAGGACCGTCTTCAGCGAAATAAAGCCAAGCGAGTAGATTGTACATTCAAGCATACGAGCTCCCCGAGCAGCATAGTGTTCGCGCTAGGTAAGTAAATATGCGCGTACTGTACCATAGGATATTTCGCTGCTCGAATAGTTTTGTGTCTATCGTTGTGTGTTTGTCAATAGAAACGGTTCTAGACAGTGTTTGTCGAGGTATGAACTGTACTCAGTCCATTCTACTACCAGTTTTCCCTGATAAACACCAGCGTGGATGTGTTGCCTCGAAAGATCATGGAGTCTCCTGCATACCTGCTCTTGCTTTATTTCCGTATTTCAGCGCCATGCCTACATTGTCGATTTGGTTTTCTGCCCAGTCATCGTAGGTTCTATCTCGCATACAGGATATCAAAGCTTATCCATCCGATTCTCTCAACTACTCCCTGCTCAAAAAGATAGGGGCTACGGATACGCAAATCCTCATAGTGCGTAAAATGTTGCCGTTGCCATTGCTTCAGTGAGAACCTTGTGCTAAAAGCCTCTATTCTTGATCAAAGTCTTGAACTTACATGTTACTTTCATTAAGGTTGTTCAAGGAAGCATAAACGGAGTCATTGATATATGAAGTGTCGCTACTGGTCTCGTTTGGGTGGAGCTGTGGACGAAACGTTGCGCGCTGACCGCTCGGTGGTCAGCTTGAAGCCTGGGCCATAGCGCTCTTTGAATTCCGACACAGGTTGCTCTTCCTGGGCTTCTTCGTGCGCAAAGGGAGAACCTCGTGCTGGAGATGAGCTCCTGCGATCGAGGCTCCCAAAAGTAATCTTGGCCATGTCCTTTGACAGCTGTTGGAGAGAAGCGTCACTAAGGTGACCCCCGACTTGCCTCGTCCTCCATCCCAATCCACGGTTCTTGCCATGAATGACTTTCTCATTAGTAGAGACCATGAATTGAATGGCGTCACCAGTGGCATAGTTTTCAATCGTACTAGATTTTTCGTCTAGACGGGTTCCGGCCTTCGAGCAGATATGCATGCATTGACGAGTAGTCTCCCACTCTTCCTGTAATCTGCGCAAGTCTTCGATATCCTCCTCGGAGGTTGTAACTGTCTTTGACTTTGTCATAATTCTTTCCATCAATATCTTAAGATGGTTCTCCAGTTTTCCCGCTGTGTTAAAAAGGCTTTCTTTGCATTCCTGTAGGCCCTCGTTGGTAACTCTTTCAGGTACACTGCAGGTCTCAACAGATTCCGCAGAACCCTTCCCAGTTTTAGGGGAACGTTGAAGCTGAGCAATGTGGTTCGATAATTGTTGACATATTTCCAAGCATTTCTGGGTGCTCAGGCGTTCCTCTTCCATTAGCTGAAGTTCTCCAGCATCCGTACTGGAGCCTGAAGCATTCTTGCCGACGAGTTTCTCGAGATTTTCGTTGATGCTCTCTAAATGAGCTTCGAGATCATCGGTGGTGGACTCGATCATATTTTTGTAACTCTCGAGACAGTCGGCTGCGACAGAGGATTGTCGGCTAGGAGAGCACATCAGTATTCCTGCGGATTAGGCGTTGCACTGACGTACTCACAGGTTTGCATCATTGAGGGCAATTATGATTGTTGATTTATAACCCGCCAACATTCGTCTGAAACCATCGATATCTTCCCCCATGTACTTCAATTTGGCCCATTCTCGGAAGCTCGTTCTGCTGGCACTAGATCGTGTGGAGCATTTCTTGAGTTCCTCCTCGAAATCTTTGCAGGCATTACCACATCGCAAGAGGGGATATTCGAGAGTAGCGAAGTTTGCATCACTGTTGGCATTGACCGTCTCTCTGAGAGCGTCAAGAACTCCATTCAGAGTTTCAAGCTCCTCGGTCAAGTCGCGTACACGTTTTGGATGAGAGTGGTAGCTTTGGACTGTATTGAAGAGGCTGACACTAGATTGAAACGCAAAGGTAGCCAAAGCTACCAAACCAGAAGCTAAGCTAACTGGTTCGGCCATGAGGATCGCTGGATGTTACGGCGGTACTTCTCAGAGTGTCGGTAGTTGTCTGGTGGAGATCAGGTGTTGCCAGGCTAAGCTTTCCTCTTTATAGGTTCGAAATCGATGCAGACGAGGCCTGATGCACTCGGGAGTCATTCATAAGCGCCGTCTTTTGTGGTGGGATGTGACAGGATAGCTCGGTCGAGGATGGTCGTCAGCCTAAGAGGGGCATCACAGTGGGTCTAGCGTGTAACTAACCAATCAAACAGAATGAGGGAGAGGACGAGGGAAGAGCACGGGTTTCCAGCAGTCACCCCACCCAATGGGGTGGAGTGGAGGCAGAAGGCAGTGTTGCCAGGAAATCTCTCCGCTCAAACGGGGCTATGTCGGCCGACCGAGATGGTCGCCTCAACCGGATGCATCTTCGAATGTTGGAAAGTGGGGAAAGAAGAGATAGAAGAGAGTGATAATGACGGAGCGACGCACCGCGGATTTATACATTCAGGCGGCGCGTCGCGAGGCGGTGAGGGGAAGGGGTGACCATTACGGAATAGCGCTGAGGCTAAACCACATTGGGTCGGTGCTAAACCATGAAGGGGACGATTGGGGGCGGGCGCTAAACCGGAGCTGGGGAGACCCTGGAAACGGCGACGGCGGCCCAAATGGGAAAAACATGACTTCAAAATAATACTGCAGTTTAGAGTATTTCAAACCCTCAATTAATGAATTACTTATGCTTTTGTCTATATATAAAGCACAATAACCTACGACACATCTGGATGACGCCGATCTAAACCCGAGACTAACACCGCGGAAAAGGGATTACATCGAGTTAGCCAAGGGGTCAGAAAGTTAGCCCACAGTTTCCAAGACTGGTCACCCATTTGTTCAAAATTTGAGAGGGCTTCCCCCGGTCATCGCTTCAGAACTGAAAAGGCGCCAAGCCCAGGGTGGTCAAGATCGGTTGCTTAAACGACAGAGAGGAAATCCGAGGCCTTGCTCGCCACCGCATCGGTGCTCCAGCCTGCCAGTGAATGGTAGGTACGCTCTCCTGGTTGATAGAACTGGCGTCTTTGATCCATTGCTGGACTTCCTTCTTGCTTATCTCCACAGAGAGTCTGCCGTCCGTCAGGAGTATATCCACAACGTTGTCAAACTTCCTGCAACAGGCTAGGGTGCTCCTGCAGTTGTACAGAAGATACAAAATAAAAGCATCCAGCTTAAAGGATTTGCTTCGGCTGCAGGATCGTCAGCAAAAGCAACCAAAACAAATTAGGGAGACCAAACATTTTGTTGCGTCTCTTGGCTGCACAGGAGAATAAATCCACGCCCGAGGAAGCACCCAGACCACCACCACCGTTCACCAACGAGTTTATGCTCATGGAAGGACATTCGAGCCTTCTTCGCGGTTGCCTTGGGAAGAGGTCCAGTGCCACATATAGTGTCCGTGGGTCGGGTTTTCGCAGTTTGACCGGGATGTCCAGCTCTCTTCTGTCGGTTGAATTCATCGACGTACTCCAGATATAGCATTATGTCGGCAAACCGAGATTTGAGATAATGCATCTCGCCCTCGGCCTGCATCGCCTCTACATACCTCCAAATTGCATGACCCTTTCCGCCAGCGGATGTATTGTAGTTGGACGGGTCAAGTGATGGAGAAGACCAAAACCCGGTCGACTTCCATATCTTAGTATATTTCTCCATAAACTCTGCCAAATCAAGACCGGAGGACCTGGTTGGCTTTTCTTTCAATTTCGTCTTTTTGATCTGGCACAAGGTTGGATAGGAGAGAATGCCGAGAGAAACGACCTTCCCACCGATCTTCAACCCGGTTGGGAAAGGCTGACGCTGTTTGACCCACGCTATTGCGAAGGCGAGGCCTGCGGTTCCTGGTTGCTAGAGCTTCCTGGGATTCAACTGTTGATGAAAGCCTTCGCTTACGGCGTATATTCCGGCTCGCGCCCTCCGAACATGTTTGAGGCCTGGCTACTTTTCCATTTGTCGGCAGAGCATGCTGCTTGTCACTTTCAGGTCGGCAGGAGGCTAGGGCTGGACCATTCGTATTCGGACTGGAAGGGCGGTTTTCATGATCAACAGAGGTATCCAGAAATCTGTGCGCGTCATCCAAGAAAGCCTTCATTGCCGGATCGTCAGAATCGTCGGATAGATCCTCAGCACTACGCTCGCTTTCGTCAGGGGCGTCTTCAACTGTTGGCTGATTTTTCAATGGCCATCGTCCACTTGGATAACTCTTCGAAGTTTGGTTCGCTTCTGCTGCTTCCGCCCTACTGTTTTATATCGTCGTTGTTGTCGATGTAGCGACCACACTTGTTTCCGGGGTAGAATACGAAGCACCTCGGCTCCAACCGGAACTCCCAGCAGAGGCCTCGGGGGTTTGAGGGCAGTTATCGTCAGAAGCAGCATTTGGACTTTCTCGGTGTGCGTCTTCGACATTCGCTGTGCCAACCGGAGTGTTTGGAGCAAGCCTATGTGACGGATCCTGACCCGTTCCCTCAACACTGTCAAATGTAGGAGCCGGAGTCTGTAGTTGGCCAGTGGAGGCCCCATCTTCACTGGCATCCGCTGTTTCACTTGCTGAACTTTCGTTTCTTCCCAGCGAAGATTGAGTTGGGGAATCGGGGCTATGCGTGCGGTCGCAGGGCCGTGAATGACCTAGTTCCATATCTTCGAGTTCTCGAAGGGCGGAGTCAAAGTCACCGCCGGCTGTGGTTGCCGCGTGTGAAGGGTCTTGTCCTCTGAAGGCACCTGAGGCTTCTCTATCCAATCCAGACGAAGGTGTTCTGTTCAGCGGCTCTCTAGTGCTCGGCAGTATCGGTGCGGGCGATCGATGCGAACCCGGAGTTGGGAATGAGGTTCTCGTACCACAGCCTCGTGCGTCCTTGTCCAAAGACAGCAACGATGGATCTAAACAGCAAGCGGTGTCAGCATCACAACCTTTATGAATGGGGTGTAGTGAGCATTACTAATATACTGGAATGTGGAGGAACTACTGTTAGTGTCGCTAATGGAACACAACCTGGGTGCTTCAGTTGACGAAACCGAGTAATCTTCGACACCATAGTCGACGAGACAATCACTGGTCGATTTGAGCCGCTCATAGAGGCTGACAATCTTGTCACGGGTGAAGGCGCATTGAATCTCGCAGAAACAGGAGAGCGCTCGCAAAATCTAGATCAAGATTAACTACCTAGCAGACCGATGCAAGGAAATGACACACCTCGCCATCCGATTGCGGGATCAGTCTTTCGGGGTTATTCCCATCACCATCACGGGTGCCCTGTGAGGAAGATGAGATAGTTGAGGACCAAAGCAGAATAGTTAGCTTACAGTGAGTGTCAACCTGATCTGAAGCATTCCGGAAAAGTGCTTCTACGAAGAATGTAGATCCGATGGCGAGTCGTCCGGAGATGGAGATGGCGTGGACATCCGGGGGGATGAATGGGATAGACGGAAGTGAAGCAGACCAGTGCCCCGCCCCCTTCTGCTCAGGGTGTGCTCAGGGTGTGTGCCTCAGAAGCGCTCACTGACCATGACCATGATCTTGGACCGCCTGGGTTTCGCAGCCTTCGGCGTTTTGGCAAGCGTAGCATGCTTGGGAGTGTCGGATGCATTTTCGAGTGCTTTTAGTGACTTGATCACTCTCGACACTCTCCATCAAATTTGTAACATAAATGTTGCGTGTGTAAAGGTGGAAAAGAGAGGGGGTTACGAGCCTGTTTAACAACTGTTTATTCCAGGGAATTGGTAAGGACACGCCAACTTTTTAGTAACCTAATCAGTTGGGGTGCCGTTACTAAAAAGTTGGGGTGTCCTTACCAATTCCCATCACATAAATCCTGTAGTGTCCGTAACAATTCCACATCCTCCAAACTCGCTGACGAAATGAATAAAGCGGATTGTTCTGCATCCACCATCGATGTAGTCGTCTTTCAGCTTCAAATAAGGCTTACAGTAAAGTTGTACTCACCTTCTTCAAGCCAGCTATAATTTTCCTCTTTACTATCACTCCCGACGGAGCTCATCGCGCGCCAGGCCACGATTTCCCTCGCATTCATCCACTCTCGCCTGACGGAGCTCGTCACACGCCGGGCCACGATGTCCCTCTCTTCAGACTACGAAAATATGTTTACCTGGATATTCGAGCACTATCAGAAGTAGAAGATTTGCTTGCGATACGAGATGCTGTGCCAAGATCTATGTGTGACCCAATACCTTAGCCAAAAACATAACGGGACAAAGATACCTCACTTTCGATGCTTGAGAGAGCTAGGGCACGAGGCCGTATTCATTGAATTCTGTCGCTTCGACAGAATCGGTAGATACTGTATGAACGAATAGAATCTCACAAACAGTCTGAACTACCTCAATCAGTCATTCCCAAATGTGGTAGGCATAGAAAACGGTGCTGTTCCTGCATTCCCTTGCCAGTTTTGCCTTGAGTGTCGTGCATGAAGCACCAGTACCGACTTTGCAACTTTGTAAACGCACCTATGGCAGGCACAGCATTCTAGACTGGAGATGGTAGAATGGTGAGATGGGTGAGAGAGGGAGAGAAAAAGTGGGTCAGACAGTGAGCCGGTTTCAGAGCGCGACACCTATCCGTACTCCTTGACCACGATTTGTACAATGAATGTTACAAACTGTGGCTCGAAGGACGCACAATGCGCAAGTGCTTCTTTCCCTATTTAATTTCAACAAGAATTCGCCTGTTTATTCCTCGTAGAGGTCACAGTCTGAGGCTTTTTTCATCTTCTACATTCCCAAAGATTCTGCACCGCCGCATGTTGTATGTTTGTTGCATCTGAACTTGAAATGGCTGCGAGACCTTCCAACCAAACGCGTGTCTCCAGTTCAGAGAGGAAGCTGGCCCGCCAAAAAAAGGATCGTCGCAAGTCAAGTCTAGTGAAGAAGGCCTATGAATATAGCAAGATGTGCGACGTCGACATCTGCTTTGGCATTCGGATTCGAGAGTCATGTCAGGTCTTTATATTCTCAGCTGACGCTTCGAACTTTTGGTCTTTTGTGAACTCTAAATTAGTATGTGGATAACCATTAACTGATATAAAGCATTCTGACATCTCCAGGACTCTTATTACCCAACGCCAGTTCAGAAAACAGAACTTGACCTCTAAAAAGTTGAAGGAAACGGGGTCGCCCATTCTATGATGTTCATACAGTCATTCTCGAAATCGCCTTGACCAGCATACACTGAGCAACTCTTTCCTGAGCCACCGCAAAGGCATTAGCGCAGATAACTTTATTGACCAAGCCGCACCAAACTGAGGACCGCAACACTATGCAGCCGCATAATACTGTTGCCATTAAATGTTTATCGTTCAAGAATCAAAGAATAAAGGCGTACCAAGTAATTTAAGATGGCAAGATAAGGACCGTATCAAAGCATTTTGTCTTGCCCCTCAATTGGGTGCGGCTTGTTCAATAAAGTTATTCGCGTTAATGCCTTGGCGGTGGCTCAGGAAAGAGTTGCTCAGGAAAGAGTTGCTCAGTGTGTATTGGTCAAGGCGATTTCGAGAATGAGTGTACAACACCTGCCTTGCATGTCTTGGGAATTGTAGAGGTACCGTTTTCATTCTCGAGTGTCACATCGCAACCTGCGGTGGAAAGTGGCGTGTTGTCAATCGCCATTGCGATCAGATGAGACTAAAAACAATGCGAAGGTCTTCGGGAACAAATTCAGATAGAAAGTTTGGACTAAGGGGAAGTAAACAAGTCCTTTTATCCTAACATATACACCTCCACTTTACCTGGTACACAGGTTGCCAATATCAGAAGGGGGAACACTGACCTGCGGCAGACTGAGTCAGTTTGAACTTGTCAGGAAGAAACCTGACTCAGTCTTCGGAGCTAGCTGCCTGCACGCCTAAAGAAAGTTGTTCATTGTATATTTCAGAAGTCATCCATAAGGCTAGTTGTACAGCGAGAAGATCATGTTGACTGAGAATCAACTTGGTGTGCCACAGAACTCTCGGAAACTTGTTGAGATAGTGCGGTTCTACGCCTGACATACGCCTGCACCAGCCTCGTTGACTCATTCGGCTAACAATCTTCAACATCAATGACTTTCACGACTCAATGCCTGGAGAAATTGTCAGCAGGTTGTCATCAATGAATAATGGTTTGATGTCAGGATACTTTCGATTTTCCCCCACCTGATGTCATTTTTATAAAGCAAAGCTGCTGCTCTGATCACGCCTGCGGACGCTCAAGTGGCAAGGGCAGCCATGACATCTCGCTTCCCAATTTTTCTCGCAATATCCTGGACACTTTCACCATTGCAACCCCTAATGGAAAAGTCCACCTTTTGAGTCCCCGTGAGCAATTGAATGATATGCACGTCTTCTCTTTGTGCGGCGTGGAAAATAGCGGTTCTACCTTGGTCGTCCCGCAAATTAAGGTCAATATCTTCGATTTTCAAGAGCTTTTGCACAGTTTGCCAATCATTGACGGCAATGGCGTGCATGAGAAGGTTTTGTTTACGGGCGTCCTGGGAGTTGACATTGACGCGCGAACCGCGCAGAAGAGCGTCCACAAGCTGGGTATTACGATTTGCCACGGCCCAGGCCAGAGGGCTTTTCCCTCCTGTCCCAGCCACAAGGCATTTTCCCATTGACACTTCCATTTGTTCCTCTCGGGCCATCATTAATCGCCTCTTGTTCTGTTGCTCCAGGAACATGAGCTGCATTTGATAGTCTTGGAGGGCATTGCTCTTCGGCGTATCTGTTTGGAACTCCCCAGCAGGTGGTCTGAAAGGAAATCTTCGTTTTTCGCCAGCTGAATTGCCAGCTGAAATGCCAGAGAATGGAGATGAAGGGTCATTTGCTTCTCCCCACTCTGACCTCTCTTTGCGCGGGAATGGTTCCTCCAGGTTGATACCGGGGCATGAAAGGAGGCTTTCAAACGCTGGACTCTTCCAAACCCCGGATAGAATGGCGCTCCACAGTGCTGCGTTAGCAAAGCCTTTGTCAACCCACTCCTCTACGAGGGATTGATCGGTAAGCGCCTGAGAAAGCCCCGCCAATGTTTCTTCTGCCACCTCCCTGGGTGGGATCTCATTGAGAGGGTAGAAAAGGTGCTGAACAAAACAGAGGTTGCGTGAATTGAGGCACACCAGTATATTCCGGTCCCAGATCGTCCTTTCTACCAGGAATTGTGCCACTCGAACAAAGGTTTTCAGGGCTTCTGAGCTTGGATTGCGTTGGAAAAAGTTGCAAAGCAACACCCAAAGTATTGGCGGAGGTTTAGCGGCGTGTGCTATATCACTATTCAAAATCCAACTAAGACCATGGGTATCATTCGCTCGGATTAATAGAGGCAGGATGAAAATTCCCGCAGCGCCGCGAACGAGGTCGATCACCTGCTTGACAAGAGCATCGTCACCCAGCCGAAGGACATTTTTGAAAACAGTCTCCAAACGAGTTCCCTTGCTGTCAATCATGAACGAGTCAGGAAGATTCTTGGATAAAGCTCGCGCTATGGTCCAGCCTTGTTCAGAGGCGATAGACTCGGAACTCGCCAGCAGATGGAGAAAGGCAGGCCAGTTATATTTGCCACAAATCGTCAAATGTATGTCAGGGCGCTCAATCAAACTACCCAGTACTTCCAGGTTGCCTTTCTCAGCCGCATTTGTCAAGGGTGTTTCAGTTTCCTCCTCGATTTTGATCATGCAATTTGCGTTGGCCAAAGGTCTCTCCCCTTCGAGCAATAAATTACCAGTCGAAGCCCTGCGTTGCGATCGGCCTTCGTTGCGAGTAGAAGGGCATAGTCAAAAAAGACGTGATGTAAATTGAGCTTCTCCAAGCGCCGAACGAAAATAAATCTCTCCCATTGCTGAAAAGCTGCAGATCCTCGTCTTGGGAATCCGTCTTTTACGAGCTTTTCAATGTCACCGGCTTGGCAGTGCTGGTACTCGAACGCTGGAGTTCCGAGCAAGAAATCTGCGATTTCATGGAAGCCCAATGAGATAGCAATTTCTAAACAGCGATGTTGTCTTTCCGCTTTGCAGTGTGGCCACAGCTGTCTGACAATCTCGGTATGCTCTCTCTGAACGGCGAGTTCAAGAATGCTGGATCTTTCCTCTTCCACGCGAGCTCCTCGAGCAAGAAGAATATTGCATGCATCTGAATGGCCTTTTTGTACGGCGAGCCAGAGAGGCGTCTTCCCATCTCTGCCAGGGGCATTGACATCGCAGCCTTCGTCAATCGCAGACTCTATATCATCGATGCTGCCTTTCCATGAAGCTTCGTGAAGATCCATTGTTCGAGATTTAGTTGTTTTGATGTAATTTGAGCGCCGAGCAGGAGATTCGGTCTGCCTCTGTCCACAAATACGGAAGAAGTAACTTAAACGACGTGACATGAACCTCACAAATTTGATTCGGGCGCGTAGATAGATGCCCTGGTTGGACTAACAAAAAGGGGGCCCCACCTGGGTATCTCGTTGAATCTTTGAATGAGCAGGGTGACAGAAAATTTTGCCCATAGGATTTGGGAGTGGCAGGGTACTGGGAGATGCACGGGCCTCAGGAGACACAAGTACATAGCTTGGAGCCAATCACGAATAATGAACACCACCCTTCTTCGTTGACCTGTGAAGACGGCGTTCAACCAGTTAGTTGCCTATGTTGGCTCTCATCACGACATGCTCAAGAAATTAATTTATGTAATCAAACAGCTGTTCCTCAACAAACCGTAGATCGCGTCATCTAATGCGGTTCATCGGCGATAGGACCCTGTCAACAGACTATCTATCGACATTTCCCGTCGATAACACTAATCCCATATTCCAATTGATCAACCGAGGAAAGAGAGCATGCCAGGAAATCGTCGATGAACAGGCACAAAGTCGATGGCAAGAGAAGAAAATGATCTATGGGCGGGAGGAAGTGTTGGCTGGCCAAAAAGCAACAGATTTATGGAAATAAAACCATTCAGATCAACAACAGCCAGCAACAGCAGGAAAGGAGATGCCGAGGAAAGTGGGGTCTAGTAGAATAGCACCTTATCTTCTCCGTTAAACCAAAACGACAAAATAAAACTGGACAGATGATGCAAATCTCTGGGTTAAACACGACTTGCATAGGTGGTGGTTTGTGAGGAGACGCGAATTCGATTTACCATAGTGATGAACGAAGATCAACAGGCAGAAAATGGCAGCCGGAGGAATGTCAAAATAGAAGGGTGGAAACAAAAGGAAGGAGAAACAGAGGGCCTAAAAAGAGATGTTCAACCACTGCTCTCTGAAAAGCGAGGAAGAATGAGGATTGAAATCAATTGGCCACATATCACCATTTCCCCCTCTTTGCACACACACTCCAGTGAGTCATATCACGTGCGCGCCGTGATACTCCACCGGTCCCCAGCTCTGCAGCGAGAGCTTTTTTTTTTTTTCAACCAGGAAGTCATAGTGGACTCGGGCACCAAATTCCAGGATTGTTGTAATACCTACGGGCATCGTGAATAATGGCTACTTGGGTCACGTGTAAGGGCTAATACTTAGCTGGTTGCGCCTGTGCCGGCCCCACCGGAATTGATCCAATCTAGTCCGACCAGGCCCCGGCCTCGGGATTTAGGCCTGAAGTCAAGGCGCAAAACCACGAGCTTCTCTCCAAGCTCCAGCTTGACCGCTCATTTCTTGCATAGCTTACCGTAATAGTGGCTATCGGCCGGGTGATGCTTCCGGGTTTCAGGTAGTTCTCTAGTTTGGGATTCCTCACCGGAGATGGTCTAGCAGCACACTGCGAACCCAAAACAGCGTCGCACATCAGCTCCAACGCCCCCTCTCTTGCGGTATCTATTTATGATACAGTGCACAAGGGAACTGGCGCGCAGGTAGCGAGTAGCTTCGTGTATGTTTGAAGAGAGCAACTTGGTTTACACGTGCATTTATTCCAGCATGATTGCGTAGGACAACGAGGATCTGCGTAATGTGAATACTCCAAGGTGGAGAAAGGAGAAGCAATGAACCAATCGTTGTATCTTCCAGACTTGCTGCCAGCTAGCGCCCGCTCGAACATCTGCTCCGTCTGATCCAGTTTGCCTTGGTCCCTATATAGAATTCCGAGATTGTCGACAGTGTTGAGGGTCGATATGTGCTCCTCTCCGAGCGCTTTCTCGTACTCAGCTAGCGCCTGCTGGTACATCCTCTCCGCTCGATCCAGCTTGCCTTGGTCCGGATATAGAAGCCCGATATTGTCGACAGTGTTGAGGATAGGCTCTAACTACATACGGGATGCGTTTTCCCCTCTACTTGGGCGCTAATAGAAGGTACACGTGTCGACAATACATTTTATTGGATGTGATAGCAGGTGCATCTTCGTGCTGCATGGACCCTAGAAGCACCAATTATCCTAGAGACGGTGGAGCACGGCAGAATTACTGGACTATCGATAGGGCAGGAACCAGTTTGCAGCAGATGGCGGAGAGCAAGGGCATTTGTAAATATAATACAGGTAATGTACACTTTGCCTCGTAATGTCACTATAATATTCAGTACAATACAGTATTTCTTCGACAGCGATAATTCGGAGCTATTCTTGATAGTTGATCTTAGCATAAGGGTTCGAGAAACAATCGGCGAGTGCAGGTGGTGACACCAATATCCGGAAGTACGGTATAAGCACCCTTCTAAACCTTTTCTCCGAATCTACCTCGGGATTTCTTTCATTCACCATATAGCACGCCAGGTAACGGTTATCGTTTCCTTCCACTTTTACAGAGCTCATCATACATATGCGAGGCCGTGACTTCCCTTTCTTTCATTATACCTCTGATAGGGCTTGTCGCACGCCGGGCCATGTAGAGTGACTGAGAAGGGACATCATGGCCCGTTCTTCACAGGATCCCAAGCGCCTCTTCTTCGCCTGACGTCATTTATCTTTGTTTAGTGACGTTGTGGAGTGAAAGCACTGGCCTGAGGCTGCTGTCATCATTGTACATACTGTACCGGTATTGCATGCTTTCAGATACATGTTAGATCAAACTGCGAATCTCTTCTTTCATTATGAAGTAGAAAGTGGATAGAGGAATAATATCTGTTACCTATGTGTACATTCTGACTCGCGGTACTTGCAATCTTGAAATCTTCATCGCTCTACGGTGACAGTTATGCCTTTCCTAGCCTGTCGAAGTCCCGGTCTGTAATCAAACTGGGAGTTGGGTAGTGGGAGCCCTGACAGGTCAGCTTTCATCGGCCGGATCAGGATTCCACAACGTACCAGCTGTGAGGTTAGAAAAGACCAAAATCCCGAAGTATCTGCTGACAGAACGTGTACCTGGCCCGTCTTTCGGAGACGAATTCCCACGCATACATCTGCATCACACATCTTACTGTACTCGTACGCCTTTTTTCATTAGGTTCATTTTGCGACGGCATCGTTTTTGTTGCATAGATTTTCTCTTCGAGGGTGAGTGGTAAGATCGGGTAAGGTTTATAGCAGCCATCGCGAGCGGTTTCCTGTCTGGAGGTGCTATTGAAAAAATGAGAGGGTAGGGCATGCACTTGCAGGAGACACACGGAACCTGCACTCATATAAGACGCAGGATTGCGGGCAGCAAGTACATGTAGTCAAATATAGGCAAATGTTACAAATGCGCAAAGGATCATTTTCGGCTTTGAATGAGTAAAGGCCACTATTCCTACTTGAAATCACGAGACCTGGGCGGTGACGGGCTACACCATACCTCCGTCACACACACCTTCTTCCTTTCCTTCTTCCTCAGTTAGCCAGATAGCTACGAATACAACGTTCGGCAAGCTGCACTCTGTTTAGCTCACTCCATCCAAACAATTCCCTTTGAGAAAATCATGCCCATATGTTAAGCTGGTGAACACCAAAACGGTGCGTGTCTGACACTGTCCCCAGCTCAATTGTGCGGGCAGTCCATTAGAGCCTTAATTGCGACCACTAAGCATGTTTATGCGAGAGTGTATTGTAATATCTTGGAGCACCAAAATAGAGTAGCAAACCAACAATTTAATTCACCTTTTCATTACAGTGCGCGGTAGGTATGGTCAATTGATGAGTTGCGATGCTGTCTCGGTTCGTAAAGGGATCTTGAAACGGCGTGCCGAAATGTTGTTGCGCGAGGGTGAGTTCACCAAGTCTATGCAGTTCAAAATTCGTGCTGTAAATTACTAATTACTCTAGGGATCAACTTTGAAATGACCTCTTCAGTTTAACTTGCAATTGTGGTCGAGAAACAGGCACGGTAAGTCAATTCCACGACTATTTCAACGCTGCGTCGCACCAAAAAGATGCTTAGGTAATAGCGATATTGAGTTCAGTTTTTCTCATTATATCAGTCAAGACAACGTCATTAAACGACTGATCGATCAATGGCAAGAAATAGTTCAGTCATAATTAAGCTGGCGTAAACTGACGGAGTCGGAGACTGTGTTAACTAAACAGGTTGCCTCTATTTTCGATGCGCTTTTTAGGAGGCAAGACTATTTTTGGGCATGACTATTTGACTATTTTTGGAGGTAATCACGGGACCACGCGATGAGCAGAGGGTTCCTTTCTCCTGCTTTCGTCTTGTATGTAATATGGATGCTGGTACACCAACTATCACTACTACTGAGGAGATTGTCTCCACTATTGCTCGACATTTTGATCAGAACGCGATTGCACTACTTCTGGACCATCAAGGAGATCAGATCACTATCACCGAGAAGGTAGTTAAGGCTGCCGCTGGAAACTGGAGGAACGGTAGGGAGGTGATGGCCTTGCTTCTGGACCGTCGAGGTGATCAGATCACTATCACTGAGGAGGTTGTCAAAGCTGCAGCTGGAAACGAGCGGAATGGCAAGGAGGTGATGACCTTGCTTCTAGACCGTCGAGGGGGTTAGATCACTATCACTGAGGAGGTAGTCAAGGCTGCCGCTGGAAACAAGGAGAAGGGCAAGGAGGTTATCACCCTACTTCTGGACCGTCGAGGAGACTAGATCGCTATCACCGAAGAGGTAGTCTAACCCAGGGGACCTGTTGCAGTCAAAGGCCTTATGTATGGGCAGTATTTGGACTCACCACCCTGACTGCAATCAATTCTTCAAAACCTGACTGTAAGCACTTTTTGTATAATTGATCACAGATTTTGAGAAACTCTAAGCTATATACTTTCTTATTTCCCTTTTTTATTTTGAGGCCTGTAGTCATCTCTAGCTCTCGTATGATCAAACCCTAAATCACTAATAAATTATTAGATCTTTTTGACGGGGTGCGACTGGGAAGACCTATACTAGACATAATAGACCCACTCTAGGGTCTTATGCTGATATTATGTCTTGTCGGCATCGGGGTCTATGACTTCGCTTAGTCATGTGCTGGACCCCAAATAGGATAACTAATAGATAAGATGGTGAGAACAGATAGATTGAGAGAGAACTGTTTCAGGAAGAATCTGCCTCTAATTAATCATGGGATCATTCTTGTGTAAATAGACCGAAATGGAAACAAACAGGGTAAACATCGTAGAGAAGAACGCGGGGTAAATACTGTACGTATCTGGGCCCGGCGATACTAAACCCGAGGTGGTGGCCCCGACACTAGGGTCCTAGTAGGTCCTGCGACCGTGGTCATAAGAGCTGGCGTGCCACCAGGCCACCACTTGGTGGCCCCACAATTTCAAAACCGGCGCGGTCGCAGGGCCCAGAATCCGAGACCGTCGTATATTAGTACTATTGCAAATTAATGACATAGATGATGATCCTAAGCTAGTCTAGAACGCGATTTATGCATGTCATGAACGATGGGATTTCTAGCTTCTTTCACTAAACGACAAAACTCTGGCCGTGCTCCTATCGCACGGTCATCCTCGGCGATACTAAGTGACGCAATATGTTATGGGATGACCTAGATGACTGTTTGCTCGACGTTGGCTTAGAGGATGTGAAATGGTTAAAGCGCCCTCGGGCCCTTGAACTGCCTAATCATTGTGTCAGAGCAGGGAGATATAAGTGGAGGCTTGAAAAGGGTTGAATCTGCGATATGACAGTACCTGTGAGAACCGAAGTCTTCTGGTTTACTACCTTTAGAGATAGAGCAGTATACCGTGGAGTCCGCAGGAAAATCAAGCAAAAGGGTCGGTCCCTTCGTGTTCAAAGAACTGATCTCTGATTCCTCATGAATCAGAGATCCTATAGCATACGTCCTCTGTAGGCGGTGCCCAGCGGAAGAATCCTCAGGCTCACCTTCTTCGGTCTAGATCTCCAGTACAATAGGTACATGTCCCAACAGTACCTCATGCATCTAGATATCTATGGGAAAACAGTGCAAAAATTACGCCACTGTTAATCTCACATTATAGGCAGCAAAGTTGGTAACCGGCCCCACGTAATTTTTACCACGTAATTTTTACGGTAAAAATTACGTGGGGCTGGTTAGTTGCCAGAATCATGCTATTCCGGTTAGTGGCGTTCGTATTGTTTACGGAGAGGCATCATCAAGACCTATCCAAGTTTACATGACTGGCTGGACCCGAAAGTCATGACGCACCCAACAATATCGGGGGATTCGATTTCTCTCCCGTTTATCCGATCCTGAATCAGAATGCGAGATCAACCTCGTAATCAACAGAGAAGCCGGAAGCGACAAGGCAGCCCTTGATGGATACTAACCCCATGCGCCCATTCCCCTCCCCCCACCAACCTGACATATAAAAGCCTTGTGAAGGAACCACCGAGGTTCAAACATCTTTCTTATTCCACTGCTCTTAAATTATAACCCTATTTTATTTCTCGAATAGTCAACAGCCATGGCTTCTAGCAAAATCGACCATCTCAGCATCACCGCCCCGGAAGAGCACTTTGAGCCTCTTATCGAGTGGTATAAGAAGGCTCTCTCTCCACTAGGTTACAAGGAAATCATGCGATTCCCTGGTGTCGTCGGACTAGGCAACGAGGTTCCTGACTTCTGGATCGCCCAGAAGAAGACGCAGATTCCGTCGGGATTTCATTTCGCGTTTTCTGCTCCTAGTATGTGACCTCTCCTAGATATCTCTCCTATCAATTTTTTTTGAGATACCTAAGTTATATATTCACTGGCTGATATGCGACAGACCGGGCTGCTGTCGACGCTTTCCACAAGGCTGCTATCGACGCTGGGGGCACCTGTAATGGCAAGCCTGGGTTGAGACCAGAGTATCATGAGAATTACTACGGAGCGTTTGTTTTGGATCCAATTGGAAATAATGTGGAGCTGGTAAGTCCAAGTACCTTAACTCCCGCATTTCCTTGGCTTATCTGGGGTTTCTAGGTTATCCATTGCCCCGAAGGCCAGGAGGAGTAGTATTCTTTGATGTACTTTGATACTCGTGGCATTTTAGCTGGAAATAATTGAATAGGTATAACTTCGTCCTTCTGCCTAGGTTTATAGTGGCAACCACGTGTTTTATTAATGAGCATAAATCGTCTAAAAGGCCCTAGTAGCAAAGTGGTCGCCTCATCTGTGCGTGAGGCTCCCGTTTCGAGGAGGCAGGGATTGGTTTGCGTCACGTTTCAGGTCATCGCCTTGCAGGAGAGGCGGCGCATCTGGGAGTTATTTGGTGGTTTTCGGCCCGAGTTCTGTCCATTCATTGGCGAGATTCAACCTTCTCGCGGTTCTGAACCGTGACGCGCACGGTGGACGGTTGAGAACAACGACGACTGGATAAGAGTAGAAATGCGGACAGCAATCCTGAATTCACCTAGAAAATAGCCATAAACAGACCCCGCAAGAGGGAGGCCGATGGAGCTGATCCTGCCACCGGAGAGACGGTTAAAGCGAAACTAGAGGTAGTCAGTCATAGGACAATTGAGAGCCTGTGAATGGACTCTTAGCAGTATATCCTATATAAGAGACGTATTTTATGATAGACTTCGGGCCATGAACATACACGGTACATGAACCTGCTAGGTCTGACCGAGAGTCAGGAATGCTATCTTGTGACGAAGTCTGCTTAATCAGGTCCTTTTGAGAAGATCCTCATAAGCATAGACATGTAAGAAACATTCTCAAGAACATTTTATTCCTGAGAATATCCTCTACAGAGAGAAGCGCTCACCAGAAAGGCAGCTTGTGCGAAAGATATGCATGAGACTTGGTCCATCCCAAGACATCTATCACAGACAGCACCACCTCCTAAGAAGTTCATCATGTACCCACCGAGCGCTCCAGAAAGGGTTCTCGACCAAATAAAGCCTTCTACACTTATGAAAGCTCATCGCAACGCGGTTAGCGTCTCTCTTAATGTTATACGGTGTCCCGCTATGCTAAATGAGGTAGAGACAGCCTGATGGTCGTCCCCCGAAAGGGTCACACTAAGTTCAGGGTAGGTCTGGCTCATCAGCCAAATAGAAGTCCTCTGCGAACGTGTTCAACGCTACAGTGTCATAGTTCTTTGTTGATACTACGCGGTGGGACTGAGCAACATCGCGCCCTGGTAAGTGTGGATTCGCCAGATCGCGAAGGCTTGGCGGGAGGGAGTTAAGGAAGAAGTGTAGACTATTGAACTCCCAGTATGTCCCCGCGTCACCGCATACCAACGCTCCAAACCAGATACCGTAAACTCCAGCATCAAACCTCACTCTCCAGGCTAGTCATTGTGACCCAACATAGGTAGGACCATTAACAGACCCCAGAAGAAGCATCAGGCTCCCCAGGAATAGAGTTCGAGCCCCAGTTGGAAGGTCCCAGCGGCTCAGAATTCTACACACTATGGCTTGGCTTTTTGTCAGTTATATTCCCTGTAGTGAATTTATCATATAGATTAGACAAGATATCATTTCAAAGGATTTCAGTCCTCGGAAGGCCATTGTTTGGGGCTACCCCCAAGTGCTTGGTATGTTGGAGGTGGTCACCTATATATCCTGCCTCATGTTTAGCACCATAGTTTTTAACTTTCAAAATCAATGGTGCACTTCTTCTCTGCCCACTGCCGCATTGCAATCCCCCTCTTCGTAACAATCAAAATAAGAAGGCCACCCAGAATGACAAATACTGCGCCTGACATTTTACCATATTAGTAATACTTCATTTTAACTAACGTAGTTCCCAAGCGAACCGCCCATCCAAGCGAACCGCCCACCCCAAAACACATAGTAAATGCGATAAATTACCACGACATATCTCAACAAAAACGTCGATTTAGGATATCATATTTGGACATGATGGTCTAGATAGCGTCACCAGCCCACTGGCGTAATTTTGACATATGAAACTAATAGGAAGAGAGACATACTTATATTTATGTAGTTATAGAATACAAAAATTACAGTGTATTTTATTGTAACATTGTAAGACGATCATCTAAAATATTTAAAACGAGGATATGTTAATCCCTATGCTAAGTAAATCCTATCTTGCAATATTAAAGTAAAGTTAGTCCATGGTTGTTGAGATATGTCGTGGTAATTTATCGCATTTACTATGTGTTTTGGGGTGGGCGGCTCGCTTGGGTGGGCGGCTCGCTTGGGAACTACGTTAGTGTAGTGGGGGGAACTCCTCCCCCTACTACATGGGTGCCATCCAGACTATGTGACATAGCCGGCAGTATACAGTGGCCGGATAGCTAGTTCTAGAATACACCTTCTTACACCTCCCCGACCTGACACCTGCATTTGGGGTTCTCGCTATTTCCTGATTGCTACGCGTGTGTTTTGTGGTGGTTTTTCTGCTGAATCGACCCGCACGTCTCAGCGCGTGCTGCCATCGAGCGTTCCCCTCTTCACTAGTTAGTTAAGAACGTAATGTGCTCTTACCAAGAGATCAGGGTCAGGTAATCCGAACTCGGAATGGACGAAGTTAACGACTTGCGTTGCGAGCTCAGCGAGACAAAGGAGCTTAGTGTCCATACAAAGGCGCTAGAGCAGTAGCGGGTAGCCGACTACTACAAGAGCAGTGTAGAGGATCGGTCGAGTATTCGAACCCCGGACCAATCAGGAGTAGATTAGGTGGAGTGGCGGCGCTGATCTGCGACCGTCACCAACCACCCACCGACCGGAAACCGGTCAGCACGCTGGCCGTTGGAAACGGGCGTGCTAGAGACTAGCAGAATTTTTTTTTTTTTTTTTCGACCGAAGTACCGGAGGAAACCAGCCTGGGATCGAAACTGGACGTGCAACCATTTGTAAGGTGGTAGCCTGTGGGGAAGAGAAGTTGATTGTTCTATCATGTTCGCCAGTCGAGGATATGCCCCGACAGGACTGACTATCTATGCTCGCATAACTAACTGATACGACTTTTTATCTCCCGCAAGAAACGAGTCGCATCTCTCGCAAGTTACATGTCATTGCGCGCACATGATCCTGGAAGCTTGATGTCGATCCCGTAGTTCTGGGGTACATGACTCGGTTTTTCCACCGATCAGAACAGCTGTAAGGCATTCGGGATTCTCTGTGGCTTGGATTCCGAATACTCAAACTGTTTGTAAATGGATATAGAGTTTAACTGAGGACTTTCGGCACCGACGTACCACTGAATCCAAAGGCCACCCGGTCCCAGAAATTGAAGACCCCTGAACTTCGAGTGGACGGTGGTATCCACTGAGCTCCGACTTGAAAATCTTACACAAGGCAAGCACTACCCACATCGCTCAAAGGCTATATACGCCACTCTATAATTATAAATGTAGTTAGGTGGGACGCTAATTCACGGGTTACAATAGGACTAAATGACGGGAGAGTATGCCCTGCAATTCACTATGTCTACTAAAAGGACGAAATGTTGTGAGGCTTGCCGATGATATGAGAACCACAGCTGTCTCCATGCTGGATCTTCGCAGCTGACGGGACAGAACGGATTAGGAACATCATGTGAGCTCCAGATTTGCAGTCAAAGAATGACCACATTATGTTTCAGACTTGAGACGGAACCATGGTAATGACGTATTACATTACTTCAGCCTTTCATAAGTATTTAGGACGGTGGAAATACCCGGGATAGGTTGCCCTTTGAAGGCCGCTAGTAACCGATTCCTTAACCTTGCGTTGGATTTGCTCGCTACGGTTCTATCACTTTTCACTCTGAAGTGAAAAATTATCCGTCGAACTTCGTCAACACACTGTGCAAAAAAAAGATGAATTATTCGCGTATGGCATCGAGGCTTTTCCGAATTCCGGTGGCATCCAGACGCCACTGCGCTCAAAAAAACGAAGTCTTACCGTTGTATCATACGCCATCATCGCTTCTGCAAGCCAAATTTACATCGGCCAGGCTTATCTCAACGGGCCAAGCCAACACGAGAGCAAACGTTCATGCAGGCCACATTCGACCAAGATACTTTCTTGCTATATCTGCATTGATATCCTTCAGTATGATTATATACTCTCGGCACCAAGGCTCAATCCCAATCCGGATGGACTCTGGCCAGACCGAGATAGAGAGGGGACCGGATCCAACCCTGATGCCTCAGGCGAATGAAGCAGCGCAATTGCACTCGAGTACATGTGATGCCCCTGGAAAATTTAAAAACATTGCAAACCTTCCAAAGGAGAATGCGACGTTCGCGTATGCACCAAATGTCCCTCCACCGATCACTCGAAACTATCCTGTTCTTCTCCAAGTGCCGTTGACAACTGCCACCAAGGTGAAACAACTGACAAGTCAGCACAAGTACGAGCAATGGAATTTTAACGGCACTGTCCCTGGCCCATTCATCCGAGCTCGGGTCGGGGATGTGGTAGAGCTCTCGCTGACGAACCTTGACGAGACAGGCAATCCACACAACATCGACTGCCATGCATTTCTCGGACCTGGAGGAGGCTCCGCACTGACGACAGCGGAAGAAGGCCAGACCAAGACAGCAAGTTTTCGGCTCATGTGCCCAGGTCTGTACTTCTACCACTGTGCAGCAGCACCGGTGCCAGTGCATATTGCGAACGGGATGTATGGGCTCATGTACGTCCAGCCAGCCGAAGGAGATCTCCCTCCGGTGGATCGTGAGTACTATGTGATGCAGAGCGAATTTTATCACGAACCTCCTGAAATAGAGGAAGATGGAAAACCGTCATCAACAGTGGAGTTTTCGTATCCGAATGCGCTGCGTGAGGAACCAAACGCTGTTGTCTTTAACGGACATGAGGCCGCCCTGACACGAGACAAGCCTCTGAAAGCTTCCGTGGACGAGACAGTCCGCATATTCTTTGGAAACGCAGGCCCAAACCTTACAAGCTCGTTTCACGTCATTGGAAGCAACTTTGAAAATGTTTACCGTGATGGCGACGTTGTGAGCCCTCCTGGGCGGTTTGTGCAAACAATCAGTGTTCCTCCCGGCGGTTCGACCATCGTCGATATGAAAATGCTCGTTCCTGGGACATATACCCTCGTGGATCATGCCATATTTCGTCTTGACAAAGGCGCTGTGGGATACTTGAACGTGGCTGGGGAATCGAGAACTGATATTTACCTCGGTAAAGAGCCGCCCGCCCCTTGCGTCGGCTGTAAGTTACATCCTTGACGATTAAGCTTTTGTTTGAACGCAGACTCGGCGCCCAATTGTCTGTGCAATATATTTTTATATTGATCTCTTGATGGTCGGCATCATCTTTGTCCATAATATACATTGTCCAAGTGATATGTCAAGCTTCTGAAAAACTTTTACATGTTAATGGGTCCTTGGAGACAGTAACTGGGCTCAGGCTTCAACTATCATGCATTATTGACATAGAGAAACTATCGATCAGTTTCCTAAGGGATTCGCTTTTTTACATTGTTGTTGTAGAGGTAGAGATTCATGCACCCTGGTTGGTCACGTCCATCCTCAGTTGTGGGGTATGACTGAATATGCTTTGGCTAGGAAACATGACAGACAGGAGTGTAGTGACGTCATTAGAATCTGGTTCAGAACATAGCATCTCTGTATGAGTCGGATGAAGAAAATTATCGCTGGTAGACTTGGGGGATGGCAACGTATAAGGAATGCACGGACATCAGGACAGGTGGAGATCAAAGAAATACCATGCTATTTTTTGCTGCTAAAGTGGTGATCAACCGTTAGTTTCGCCCAGCGGTATCATAATACATTATTTGATTTACTAGCATATCTATGTAGAATCATGAATGTCAAAGAGGGTTTGGTTTGTACGGCAGAAAAAATGGCAGAAAATTAAGCGGTGTAGAGGGGATTGGAGACTTTTGCGGTGCCACACTGTCGGGGGGACATTGGTCAACGGAGATCACGAATAAAGTCACGTGCTTGAATGCCCTTTCACGTAAGAAAGCTCTCACCATGACACCACAACTAAACCTGTTGGCCTGCTACATATCCTGCCTACGCCATGCGAACTTCCTTATCCTCCGTCCTTCGCCGTTGTACGCTTGTTTTTGCAAGTTCGGTCACCTCTCCGCCTTATCCGCTAGTTCGTCTCTCCATCCTGGTGTCACGATACAGCTCTACGGTCTCAACGCCTACTGGACCGTATCCGATTAGAGCGGATGCTGCCAGGAAAGCATTTTCCGCAGAGGAATATAGGAAGTACAATAGATTAGCTTTTAACATGGAGGGTATGGTACGGAACTTTTCTCGCACTCGCCGTAATGATTCCCCTGCAAGCCGGACTATATCTTAACCACTGCCATCTTTAGCATCACGAGCTGCGTAATCTGTGGCTTGGCCTGCGCACTGATTGCGCCAGGATGGAAGAACGCCTCGATCCGGCTGCAGGACAACGGCTCATAGAGCACGGACTCGCTTTTTGCAACGAGCTGGAAGTGCATCACGACCGCGAGGAGACTTTCCTCTTCCCGAAACTGGCCGACCGGATGCCTGAATTTGGACCCCAGTCAACCCTGGTGGACCAGCACAAGAAGATTCATGTTGGCCTTGCCGCCCTTAAGCGGTATCTGCTAGACTGTCACATTGAGGAAAAGGTTCTCGATAGGGCGCATATAAGGGCAATCATGGACACGTTTTCAGAGGTGTTGTTAGCACATCTTGATGATGAGGTATATGCGCTTCGCGCAGAGAGGATTCGGTGGCATTGGACCTTGGATGAGTTCAGAAAGATTCCTTGATCCCAAAGATGGTGGTATGGATTGTGCCCTGGCCCCGGCCATGCTTATTCGATCACTCGCCCGTTGCGGCCAGGTTATGTATAGTTAATAGCGCTACGTTATTAATATGGCTTTTCTCTCCCGGTCCACCATACGATTTAAGAGCCTAGCAGGCCCAAGTACGCCAGCCAAACGCAAGAAGAATAGCCCTCATTACATTCCTCTACGAAGGTGGGTGGTACCGCCAATTGATGGTCAGCTAGAGCTTTCAAACACGACCGAACAAGGTAGAGAACACGTCTCCAGCGTTTCCATTATTCCTGAAATGCTCTGTAAGGTGTTTCTCAAAGAGCATCAACAATGAGTTAGCATCAGTGAAGAGATCGCGAGTGAATTTTCCTGCCACCCAGAATTCGGGACTACAATTACTGCTGTAACGCAAGGCATCAAAAGTAGTATGTAGGGTGTAAGTGACTCGTGAATGGAGTTGCTTGGTCCAGCTACCTTCTTGATATCCTCCACCCAGCAGAAACGCCACGGTATTGAGGTCTTTTCCCATAATCCCCGATGCAAGTCTCTCAATCGTGGGCGATCCGGCGCCGGCGCTACGTAAACCACTCACTAGGTGCCGCACTCGTATCCATGGTCCTCGTGGTAAACGATCGGCGCTTCATGCAGCCTGGGTTCTTGGCAGCAAGCCGTATAACCGCTGAATATGGGGTGGTTTCAATATTTTGAGATGGCTGTTATTTGTCATAGTTTATAACAGAGAAACCGGAATTTTGTTAATGAAGAGGTATGATTACAGGAACTGGTAAGACTAAAGACCAAGTGGTTTCAATCAAGCATATTGATCAGGTACCAGAATGAGAGTGGACAAAAAACCACCAGCAATAGGTATATTACAGCGGAGCGGAGACGTAGGGAGAAAAGACTATCGGATATACATGTTCCAACAACATCCTTGTGGAGCAATAACATCATAACAACCTTCGCCACTAAGTGCATCTGTCGATCAATCAATCATGCGGAGAGCCAAATACCTCCATATGAATGCGTTCGGGACTTACACCCAAACTCTCCAAATTCTTGTTTTGAGCCTTCATAAACGGCTGAGGCCCACAGATATAATAATCTGCATCCGGGAGAATAGCCTTGTCTTTGATTTTGGCCCAATCCACCCGGCCTATATGATCATAGTCCAACCCGTGCGTGTCATTCTCGGCTTTCTCTTCGTAAAACACCACGCGGCTCACTGACGGGTTTTCGGCGACTATCTGGATCAGATCGCTCTTCATGGCGTGGACACGGCCATTGCGTGCCGCATGGACGAACACCACTTGCCGCGCTTGACCCTGCCGGCTGATTATGGTTTTCAACATAGACATCATCGGCGTCAGGCCCACGCCCCCACTGATCAGCACAGCGGGAGTGCTGGCGTTAATGTCGAGAATGAAATCACCGAACGGCATGCTCACGTCTAATTCGGCACCTTCCGGCAGCGACTCGTGAAGTACATTTGAGATCTGGCCCGCTGGCTTGGAATCCTTCGCAAACTCTCGTTTGACAGAGATCCGGAAGTTGATTCTGTTCGACATGTCCGATAGGCTGTACTGACGGGGCTGGTAGGAACCCAGTTCGGGCACGTAGCAACGCACGCTGACGAACTGTCCAGGCTGATACGATGGGAGGACGCCCTTGTCCAACGGAGTGAGATGGAAAGAAATAATTTCGTCGCTCTCTGGCACCTTCTTTGAGACGTAGAACTTTCGCCATCCTTTCCACCCACCTGGTGTCTTCACACCCTGTTGGTAGAGACCCTGCTCAAAGTTGATGAAAATATCCGCCAGTTGCTGGTAGGCTGCCTTCCAAGCATCGAGGACTTGGTCATTGACGGCCGGCCCTAGGACATCTTTGATTGCGGCGAGCAAGTGTTCACCGACAATGGGGTAATGGTCGGGCATGATACCCAAGCTGGCATGCTTATGTCCGATGCGAGAAACTGCTGTGCTCAGAGCTTTAGGCTGGTCAATGTTTACCGCATACGCCCAAACGGCATGGGCTAGAGCCGCAGGCTGCTCGCCGGTTGCTTGGTGGGTGACATTGAAAACGTTTTTGAGATCGGGATGCTTCTCTAGCAAGCGCTTATAAAAGAGAGTGGTGATCGTGACTCCATGTTCTTGCAGGGCAGGGATGGTGGACTTCACAATCTGCTTTTGCTGCATGGTAAGCCCCCTTGGTGTCACCGAGGAATAAGTCCTTCGGGCCAGCCACGGGAGGTTTAATCGTCGAAAGACAAGTTGTGCAAACATTGTGAGAATATTGCGGACTCGGCGAACTCCAGGATTCAGTTTGTGCTGATTGGAAATTCTCACGGTTTCATCGGCTGGACACGTCGAGGATTTCGACTTCTTTGGTATGTTATGTAATACTAGTCCCATGAATCTTAATTAACTAGGGAATGGGAGTCCGATTCGCGTTGTACAAATTACTAAACTAGGACTAGACTCCGATCTTCGAAATTCGGAAACTAGTCCTCTTGTGGCATAGTAGCACTCTTCGTCCTTACCAGGCACGAGTTAGTTACTACTTGGGTGCACGTGATCGTGACAGGACTGTTAGGGAGATGTGTGTTGTTATTGGTCATCTAAGCTAGAATGGAGTATATGACCCCCTGATGGTGGTCACGTGGCTCCCGGACTATAGTTGATCCACGCCGGAGGAAGATCCTCGGATGCAGCACGCTGGCACTCCCACTCATCCGAGATCTCTACCGAAGGCGTCAGAAACGACTAGGGTCCTCCCACTAGATCACGGGTGAGTCAAAAGAAAGACAAAATAGCTATATACAGACAGTCCTGGGGGAAAACCTCCATGCAAAACCCTGTGGGACAAAACCATGGAGGAAACCAGGCCAGTTCGGATACATAGATCCCAATTCCATCATATCGCTTCCATTCCCATTCCCTTGACATGACGCTGATGCAATTCCTTAGGCAGGGCCTTTGTCAGGATATCTGCAGTCATATCTGCCGTACGAACGTATTCGAGTCGAATAAGGCCATTAGCAATAGCCTCGCGAATAACATGGAAACGGATGTCGATATGTTTCGATCGTGGAGAGGGTGAATTGCTAGGTCGATTTGCAGTTGCAATAGCACCTTGATTGTCGCAATAAATGATGTTGGAGGGCATTGAATGTTCTGCATACTGAGGCAGAATCAAAAGGATGAGTTTACGAAGCCAAATGACTTCAAATGATGCAGTTGCTAATCCAACATATTCAGCATCATGAGTCGAGCTTGTGACTAGGGATTGCTGTTTCGATTTCCAGGCTATCGGGCCACCGTTCAGAAGGAATATAAAGCCGGAAGTCGAGCGTCGATTGTTGAGATCTGCAGCGAAATCGGAATCGCTATAGCCATATAGGATTGGTTCGGTGGAAGATGGTTTGCTGAAGACGATGCCTAGGTCCTGGGTGCCAGCCAGGTACCGAAGCAATCGTTTAAGTGCTGCTGCATGCTTTACACCCGGTTTCTGCACGAATTTTGATAGGCGTGAAAGTGCGAATGCAAGATCAGGTCTTGTACAGATCATTAAATATATCAGCGCTCCCACTGCAGCGCGATATTCTGATGAATCTGCTTCACTTAAACGGTCTGCATCAGTTGCTTCAACAAGTGGATGCTTGGGGTCTAGGGGAGTTGCAACAGGGTTGCTGGGTGCATTAAAGCGTTCAAGGATTCGCTTGATGTATGCTTTCTGATGCAAAATGGCTTTGCCATCTCGATAGTCAATATGGATGCCTAGAAACAGCCTGGGTGTTCCCATATCCCGAGTGTTGAATTCATTGCAGCATTCCTGGACGAATTCCTCAATAGCTTCCTGATCACCAGTTAGCAAAAGGTCGTCAACAAAGAGGAGAAGTATCATGAATTTGTTTTCGTGGCTGCGAATGAATATTGTTGGCTCAGCATCACACTGATAGAAGCCTGCTTTTGATAGGAATGCGGTCATCCTATCCCACCAAATGCGCGGTGCCTGTTTGAGTCCATACAGTGACCGGCGGAGCTTCAGAATATATCTGGTTGGATCTAAATCCATGCCTTCTGGTATCCCCATGTAGACTTCAGAGTCTATGCTGCCATTAAGAAAGGCAGTGATAATATCGAGATTGCGTAAGGACCAGCCATTGAACACAGCGATCGCCACCAGGAGTCGGAATGCAGCTAAAGAGGCAGTTGGGGCATAGGTCTCCATGAAATCAATTCCAAAGCGTTGGAGAAAGCCCTTGATCACCAAACGTGCCTTATAGCGCGTACTTCCATCAGGACTCAATTTACGCTTGAATACCCACTTGCCAGGGATCGGCTTGCACCCATTAGGCATTTGACTGATCTCTTGAACTATCCAAGTTCCATTTTCTTCATGAGATTTCAGTTCTTCTTGTACTGCTGGTGGCCACCTAATCGGATCCTGGAGCAAGGCATCCGAATAGGAGAGAGGATCTCCATTGTGGTCTGTTTGGACTGTCCTCTCTGCTGCTTGCCTGGGTGGGTAGGAGAGCGACTCCATACCTTGCACGATCAAAGCGGCTTCCACAAGCTCCCTAGTAGTATCGTACTCGTGGATTTTGGCGCAGGTGCCGAATACAACTCCTCGCTGGTTGTAGACGGTCTGGCTGTCCGTGAGGAGTGCCAGGGACGGGGGAACGTCCGATTCATCTGCTAGTTCCATAGGATCCGCAGGCTTCGCAGGATCGTTTGGGTTCACAGGAGCTGCGGGTGGGTGCAGCCAGAAGGGGTTCATCGAGGAAGGTGGTATGCCTGATACTGCGGGAAGCACTCCCGATACTGACTGACCAAGTACAGTATCGACCGCGGAACCAGGCGGATTTCGTTTATGTGCAATCGATGGTTTGAAACCAGCTGGGCGTTTAAGCCATGGACCTGGAAAGAGGTCCTCATCGAACTTGAGTTCGGAATGGTTGCTTGTTTGCAACGTGTAGAGATCAAGACATTTGTAAATAGAACTTGAGTCTTGTACATAGCCTACCATCATGGCTGGCCTGCAGCGAGGATCAGAACTCGAGCTGCGATGCTCCTTTCGAAGGTGTATCCAGACTAGACATCCCCAGGGCTTCATGGAAGCGAGCGATGGCTGCTTGCTGTACAGTAGAAGGTGTGGGGAGATATTACCTAGAGTAGAAGATGGAAGGAGATTAGATAGGAATACCGAAGTTGCAAGGGACTCAGCTTGTAGTCGGTAGTCATCTAGAACACCAGCTCCAGCTCTCATGGAGCGTTCCATGTTCTTGATTGTCTGGACTCTTCGTTCGAGTACACCATTCTGTTGCTTGACACCAGAGGTAGAAAGCTGATGAAGAATTCCAAATCTGCGGTTTATCTCGCTGACCATGCTGTTTGAGAATTCACCAGTACCACCATCAGTCCGCCATGACCTGATGATAGTATCAAATTGGGTCAGGATCATGTTTATGAAGCCTTGAAGAAGAGGTGCAATGGCTGAAACATTCTTGCTTGAGGCAAAGAAGCACCATGCAAAACGCGTGAAGTCATCAACAAGAAGCAACATATATTTGGATCCACCAAAGGAGATGCCATCCAGAGGAACAAGGTCAGAATGGACTCGGTCAAATGGCTTGCTGCAACGTTCAAGCACAGGAGGGTGAGGATTTGCCTTCATTTTACCCTGGAGGCATGCAGTACAGGTGGGAAGCTTGCGTGGTACAGATAGCTTCATCATAGCTCCCACTGAGCGGAGATTTCGGTGGCCTAGTCGATTGTGCCAGGATCGAAGTGTGCTGTATTCTCTTGCACGGAGGGCTCGTGGGCTGTTCAATAGAGATGCAGGATTCACATGCGTTCGATAAAGATCTCCACGTTTGGAGTCGGCGAGCTGGAACCATGCAGAGTCATGACTCTGTCGAATATAGACTTTGCCATTTTCAATGAGAGTTGAATAGCCAGCTCGGTCAAGAAGCTGCAGGGATAGCAGATTCTCAGCCAGCTTTGGTACGAACCAGACATTCAGGACAAGGAGATGAGGACCAATCTGTAGAAGTTGGGTCCCAGATCCTTCTGCGTGGATCTTTGTATTATCTCCAAGGTAGATCTCCTTAGGGTCAAGAAAGTGTTTGTAGTCCTTGAGGTCTGATTTGCTGTTCGAAAAGTGCTGAGTGGCTCCAGAGTCAAGGATCCAGCTGAGATAATCCTTCTGCTGGGTTTCACTGTTGACATAGGAAGCTCTCGCGAGGAGGAGGTGTGTCGGATAGTTGTAGGGATTTGATTCGGAGCCTTGAGGCTGTGAATAGGCAATATTCGCCTGTGAAGGTTGCGGAGGTGCAGGCGAAGATTGAGGTGGATACTGTGGGATATTCGGCTGCTGGACTAGATAGGCACGGCTGCCATCTAATCTTGCAGCTCCAGTATCTAGTTGTTGTTGACGAATTCGACAGTCACGTTCAAAATGGCCTTCTCGTTTGCACCAGTTGCAGATGATACGCTTGTTTCGAGAGGTTCGGTTTGATCGACCACGGCGGTTTGATACTCCTGAGCGGCCTTGGTCACGGAGATGCTGAGCGCTTGATCTGCGGTTTGGTCGACGACCTCGAGCTACTAGAGCTTGGCCAGAGGTGTTGTCACCTGCAGAGGAGGTGTCTTTGATATTGGCAAGCAGGTAGGTAACAGTTTCGATAAAGGGTAGGTTCAGTTGCTTGGCTGCTTGGCCTTCTGTCTTGTAGCAATCGGGAAGTCGATTCACAAGGATATGGACTGCTATATCTCGATGTATCTTGTAGGGGGTGTTTTCGAGAGATAGAAAGACATTGCGGAATCGGCTTGTATAGGTAGAAATGGTGTCTTTTGGTTCCCATTTGATGCTCTGGAACGATTCGTATTGGGCGAGCAATGGTAGAGTTGTTCCTCGATCACAGCCAGCCTTGAGCGAAGACCAGAGGTCTCTAGGATTTGTATGGCCAACAAGGAGCTTTCGACATTCAGGAGCAACATGCTGGCGTAGCTTTGCAAGGTTCTCAGTCAACGTTTTAGCGATATCTCGATTGACATTGGAGGTAGGAGGTGGCACGGTTGCTGTAGAGGATGGATCGATGTATTGCCAGAGGTCAAAGAGGATCAGATGGTCTCTCCAGAATTCGCTCCAGTCAACCCAATTCGAATAGTCAAGGATTGGGAGCTTTTCACCGGATGAGGGAGAGGCAGCTGACATTCTTGAAGGCACAGCGATCATAGAACAGCTCCGTATAGCTCAAATTGAAGAGAAAAGGGTCTCATAACCTGTTAGGGAGATGTGTGTTGTTATTGGTCATCTAAGCTAGAATGGAGTATATGACCCCCTGATGGTGGTCACGTGGCTCCCGGACTATAGTTGATCCACGCCGGAGGAAGATCCTCGGATGCAGCACGCTGGCAAGGACGAGGGTGACTGACCGAAGCAAAACTGGAGAAAATAAAGCAGATCACGCATGGATCACACATCATGTTACCTGGCCTTTGCTTTTACTGCTTTCCTGCTGACATTTCACCCTCACATTCTCCTATAACCATTCCAACTAAAACACAACCCTAGCATATTACAAAACGAAGCTTACTTTACTCTATACTACCTTCTAAGGTGCTATAGAGGATAAAAACAAAACTAAATTAATATCCTAAGAAAGCGTTAACTAAGAGTAATACTTAGGTCAGGGATGTACCCTTAGCTTATACCAGAGACCTCTATCTTTTTTGTCCTCATAGGCTAGTATAAAAGCTCCAATTCTCGCCCTAGTAAAGAAATATAATTAAAGGGCTAGCAAAATAGTCACTTTGAGTAACCCCAGTATAAAGTGGCGATGACCTGTCTGCCATATGGAATATATAGTTCTCATAAAATCTTTCTTAGTAAAGCTTTGATTTGGAGACTCGATTTTCTCAATGGTTCCTTCCGCTGTTAATGATCTTTGGATCCACTGTTCAGTTCTCTGTGGCCAGCGCCATTGAAGCGAAATAATATAGGATTTAGTATTTACGCTCACATTGAATATTTCTTTCCGATATTCCATTACGATGTTAATCTGCATCTCTTCTTCAAAGACACCAAACAGCCACTCTGCGCAAGATATAACTGACTTCATGAACTGGTCGCCCATTCCTACTGAGCCATCTTCGGGTTGAATGAATGTACGAGCGGAGGAACTCCTTTGATAAGCTAATAACCTGGCTCTTTGGAGCCTTTACCGCTGGCATGACCATGAATCTCATGTTGATCGAAGATGGTCAGTTTCTTTTCGACATGAAGTCTTGCGCACCACAGTTGGGAAATCATACTCCTTCCAAAGTTCTACAGTCTGCCGGTACATGCTCTTAGTTTTGTCTATCCTTTTGTCTTTATCGCAAATGGCATCTTCATTTGCATGTGCCCCGAACACATATTCGCTCTGTTCCAAACGTAAGCAGCGTTTCTCTTTCGCTATGTTGTCTTGTTGAGCAAAAAAGAGTGCCCGACCATGACTGAAAAAACGCCAACGAAAAAGAGGAGAGTCTCAGCTATGAAAGAGAAGGAAAAGAAGAAATATTAGTGGTTCAGCGGAGAAGGTGGTACTTTAACTTATATGATAGGTTTTAAGCACGGCAAACTCTGAACAAGCAACCGAAACTACCCTCATTCCGCACCATCGCTTGACTGGTAGGGTCTGTGCGTGCCATTTTGCGTCATTTAGTTTAGTTCTGTAACTTGAGGTGTCAGGGGGTGGGATAATTGAAGATACATTTCTAGCCACTAGAAATTGAGGTTTGTCTCGGCCATCAGAAATCGTTCTCTAAATCAAAAGCTATGTGGGGCCGAGTGCTCATTTCGGTATGGACTAATCCTGGACTGAGTGCTCAATAACTAGTCAGTTAGGTGGTCCCTGAGGGTCTCCGAGTAATCAGTGATCATCCAGCCAGAGTCAGTGAGCGCTTACCGAGTCTGACTGTTCTATCACGTGATTCCGGTGAGCATCTCAGTGAGAATGAGCCCGAACTGAAATTTACTCAGTGAGCCTGAGTCTGAGCACCCTCACTAAAGCGGCGGCAGCTCAGATGGGAATGCCTCACCCACCAGATGAAATCCGCTACGTAGAGTGACATAATTAGTGTTATAGACTGGGGTCCTCTGATATAGGTCCTTAACTATCTACCCACCCACTTTATTTATCCTGCTGCCTCCGAGTCGATCCACATTATACCACAGCAGCAGGCCTAAAGGAAGCGGAAAACGAAGTCAAGAGCGTGCATGGCCAAGCACCATAGCTGCAGAGATTATACATTGACCCCACCTCCATGCGGAGGCGTTCGCATGTGAAACACAATAAATTAAAGCTCGTGCTGGCTCATTTGCGCATCCTCGCTGACGGGGTCCTCATCACCAAGTCGTCATGGAAGGTGGAACTCTCGTTGTGCAACAGGCCAACGCATCTCCAGTCGATGCCCAACTGAGTGGGATCCCGAGAGAACAGGACGACATTAGTCTTAACTTTCCCCAGTCACGGACATATGTCATTGGTAATCTCGGATCAAGATGGCGCTTTCTGACTCGCACACATATCGTTTGATCGTAGTAGTGGGCCAGCAGAGAGCCGATCATTGGGTGCTAGAGATGGATCCACGTTGAGGAGATGCGGAACACAACAGCACTTGGGACAGAGAGATCATCGATATGAGATGACTCGAAGCAGTTCCAATAGTTGCAAAGCGGGAACCGGAACCCGAATGAGGGGTTCGCAGGTGGTTCGCACAAGGCAACCAACGACCTACATATCAATTCAATCCCACGGGAAGCCCTAGCAATCCCTGGGATTCTCTCACGATACCCCCCTCCGACGCATTGGATACCTGGATGGAGACCGTTCCCATGCATGTAGGCTTCGTCGACACCACCGCAATGCGGCTCTGTTCGAAGGACTTGTGCCCAAACTGCTTCCCTCTCGGAGTGGCCGCGCTTTGGAGAGGGGTCCATTGGTCCATCCTGTATTCGGTTGTCGGCTACACGGACCTTGTTATTGGAGATTGAGCTACTGCCCAATTTGCTGCGATATCCATTCAAATCCACTGCGTATCGCGTTGGGATAATCCAGTTGAACATCGAATATTATAAAGATCCTCTGTCCAACGACCCAGCCGGTCTCCGTGGCTTCTTTTCATAAGATGAGCCCATTTCCCTGGCACTTTCATCCTCCCTGAATTTGAACTTTCCCAAATCCTCCGGTCTCGCAAATTTTAATTTTTGCCAGACCCATTCCTCACTCGGCATACTTGTCCCACATACCCTGTTTGCTACTAGACTTCTGGTGAGCCGAGCTCTGAGCCCTCTACCACGATGTCGTCCCCAAACAGAAACACGGACCAGTCCGCTACACAGACAAGCGGCTCGCCCCAAAGTGGCAATGGAGCAGTTGCAGGTAGCAGTACGCCATATAGCCAGGGTCACGGTGGGGGACAAACGTATGTTAACCACTGCTCTTTCATATTCAACGCCAATTCTAAGCTAAATACCGCAGGTATAGTTACAGCGGCAAAAGTGACATGAATGAGAGTCTCAGAGAAATAGGCGCCTGGGTAAGTGAAAGCAATCATCTACACCTTTTCGCCATGATAGCATTCCGCTAACAGACAGCGACAGACAACGACAACGACAACGACAACGACTAATGTCTCTAGTAAAAATTGACCAAATCTCCTCCCGCGTGGGCGGCTATGTGGGGGGAGAGGTCTCGACAAACAGACGCAAAGCATCTCAGGGATGAGCTAGTGGAAGTAATGACACTAGCCACATGAATCCGGAGAGGGCCCGACAATACCCGATTTGGTCACGCCAGCCTTGAGCCTATGACGTTCATTTTGCGGATTCCCTGCATGAATACCTGGAAAGCCCGTATGCCCAAACGGAGCATTCACCGAGTCGGGATGGATGGATGTAGGCGTTGGAAATTGATTGTTCTTGTTTCTTGACGTTTTGTGAGGGGTAGGACAGGGGTTCTCACAGATCGAATCCCTGGGGTATTATGTTCACGGGGAAATGCCCTTGTCTTGCTTCTGGGCTTGGAAGGTGAATAGCGAGAAATTCCTCCAATCTCGCCCACCGTGGAGACGCAGTATGTGTTCGCTGCCGAGGATGAACGTGCGCTGCACATACTCCACTTCTCCCGCGTCCCGCGTTCCCCCTCTTTTTCTCACGTTGTGTATGGGGTCGGTGTTTTGACAACCGTTTGCAAGGATTCTTTCTGATTCTCGACCTTGGGTACTGGTACTCCATGTTGCGTCGGAATCATCTTACCATGTTTGTTAGCAACGCGGGCCGTTGATGCGCCTGCGTTTCCCGTGATCGACAGTGAAATTATACGACTCCAGCTTGATATCGTCACAGAATGCATTAGTAGCATCGTTGAGTTGCATCTGGCGCGCATTACTGCCCAAGACTCGGGAATCCTCCAGCTTGAGCATCCTTCACCGCACTCTCCATGTTTTCCGAGATTCGTGCGGCGGTCCGTCGAGACGGGAAAATGAATGACAGCGTAATGCAGGTTGACCGAGGGCTGAGGGTGGGTATTCCGGAGTGGAGGCTAATATGTAGCTGTTAAGGTATCCATATTGTGGGAAATGGGTTGGGCCCGGCTCTGTGGTATTTATGGGTAGTCAGGTAAGGTGAAGGCAGGTGCATGGGGACACTGCTAGAGGGTGTTTTGATCTCGTAAATCCAAGGAAGGTGTACAGATAGAGGCAAGCCGAGTAAGCCAGAGGACGAGTGCAACAAGTCAGGCAGCCGGACTACCTTGGGAGTCACATGATGAACCGTTCAAAATAATGGTATAAGTGTGGTTTGATATTTTTTCATTGATAGGATCATATTCCGTTGGTATTCGATGGTGCCGTGAAGAGACCCAAAGAATTACAAAGGGATAAGTATTTGAACACGTTAGGATCACAATTTGCCCCGTAGAGCGAAGAGCTTTGAGATGATGTTCATGGGCATGATGCAAAATTGTTCGAGATAAGAGCCCGGTGTCATGAAGCAAGATCCGCCTTCATTCCTCGTAGTCTGACCGGCAGATGTTGCTCCATGATAGACAAAGCCATAGATCCAGCTATGACTGCTGGAGTGTCACAACCACCGGCTTTCCAAATATACTAAAGAGTACTTGCATGGCGGGGCTACTTTCGAACAATGTGATAGAAGGCGACTGAAAGAAGAGACTCCAGACAATGCAGATCCTTTCCAGTTCAGCAGTAGGCCGAAAATGCACCTTAATCTGGCTAGTCACAGTCCCAAATTTGACAATACTTTTGGGGTTGCATGTCTCATCATCAGGTATCGACTGCATGTGCACCTCGTGACTCAAGGCGAGCTTTTTTGGCGCGACGTTTCATTTCCCTCTTTGAGAGAGCTTTTTCGGGTTCCTCAGCTGGCTCGGAGCCAAGCGAAGCCTTTCGTTTCAGAGTGTCTGCAGCGTTGCTAGATGGTGATGCCGTATCCTCCTTTGCTGGTGCGTTCTTTTTTGTTGTCGTTTGCTCGCGATTGACACTCTCGCCGCCATGAACAATGTCGACAATACCCCGCCAGCTGGTCCGCTTCAACTTGGCCAGAGCCGTGACCTTCCTGGCTTCCTCGCAGATCGCTTCCTTTCCACGCTCTTGTGACAGTCCCCAGACACAAGCCAAATTGATCACATCCCATGGGGCCCGCAAGCTCAGAGCTCTTTGTGCCTCACTGGACACAATAATACCGCGGCCCCGTGTGGCTCTGATTAATGACGCAGCATTCCCAATTAGGTTTCGGCGAGCATCCAGGCCGCTTCCTGTGATTCCGGGACCGTAGCAGATCTCCAGCCGGATTCCTCGTGATATAGCAGCCGACAGCATTTTGAACTTGAAATGGTACGGCAATCGCACCGAGAGATCTAATGAGATCACATCACATTCCAGGCTGGTACAGGCATTAAGCAGGGCCTTTTCATTTGTGGGGCGGAGAGCAACAAGATCGTATGCTTGAGTCAGGTTGGCAAGGCGTTGGTTCTGCGCGGGGTCGGAGAGGGTCAGGTTGAGCCGGGTCAGCAGCTGGAGGGACTTGGGCGGATTTGACGGGAGAGGTGGCGGAGTGAGGCTTGACGGGAGCTTTCCGCTAATAGTATGGGACAAGGCGACGGTAGTGTAACCCACTGCGCGGTCAGGTTAGTACCTCGTGTGGTCTGGCGTGATTCGATCGTGTGCTAGTCTCGGCGGAATGACTTACGTTCTGCCAGGAAATTTAAGGTGTGGGGTACGTCGGAGTCATCAGGACTATAGGGGACATTCAGATCGAAAAACATTCTGGTCTCTTTAAAAGACGGCACCAGGCCAGACGCTGCAGGAGGCGAGCAAGAATAAAAGAACGCTGCCGCGACCTCAAGTTCCGGAACTGTCCAAAACGGGCAATCAGAAAATCAGTCCGGAATAACGATTCATCCGACGCTCTAGCCGCATCGGGGTGGCTCCCCACAGCGATCCCGTGACAAGGCGGAACAGATCTCGCTCTCATCATAATATCCCCCTCCAACCCATTGCTCGAGGACGATCGATAGCACGGCTGCGTTCGGGCTGGTCAGTTTCTGGGCCTGCTGCTGCTGTTGTCTTCATCCTATTTCAACCTCTTCCCACACCCTTCCCTCCATCACCCGGTCTCACCCCGCGTGACCCCGCTGCATCTCTCAATTGTGGGCGGGCTAGAAAGCCGTCTGCGGTCAACATGGCGCGCGTTTACGCCGAAGTTAACGACCACATGCCGCGGTCCTACTGGGACTACGACAGTGTCAACATTTCCTGGGGTGTGCTGGAAAACTACGAGATCGTTCGCAAAATTGGTAAGTCGCAGCTGATTGGAGCCATCCCGTTCAGCCGTTGGCGGTACCATCTGCGGCTGTTCCTAGGCTGTGGGGGCATTTCCAGACCGACTGTTTACTGACCCGTTTTGTCCTTTAGGCCGAGGAAAGTACTCCGAGGTATTCGAAGGCATCAACATCGTCAACTATCAGAAATGTGTCATCAAGGTTCTGAAGCCGGTGAAGAAGAAGAAGATTAAGCGAGAGATCAAGATCCTTCAAAATCTGGCTGGTGGCCCCAATGTTGTTGCCCTCCTCGATGTTGTCCGCGATAACCAGAGTAAGACTCCAAGTTTGGTTTTCGAGGCCGTCAACAACACCGATTTCCGGACTCTCTACCCCCGCTTTTCGGATTACGACGTGCGCTACTACGTCTTCGAGCTGCTGAAGGCGCTGGACTTCTGCCACAGCAAGGGTATCATGCATCGGGATGTCAAACCCCACAACGTTATGATCGATCATGAGAAGCGCAAGGTACGTAACGATTTTTAGACGCTACAATAGCGTCTCCGATAAGTAGACGAGCTTGACTACTGACCCATTCAAGTTGCGACTCATTGACTGGGGTCTGGCCGAATTCTACCACAAGGGCACTGAGTACAACGTACGCGTTGCTTCACGTTATTTCAAGGGACCCGAGCTCCTCGTCGATTTCCAAGAGTACGATTACTCACTTGACATGTGGTCACTGGGTGCCATGTTTGCCTCCATGATCTTCCGCAAGGAGCCTTTTTTCCACGGCAACAGCAACTCGGACCAATTGGTCAAGATCGCCAAAGTTCTTGGAACTGAGGAGCTTTTCGAATATCTGGACAAGTACGACATCGAACTGGACCCTCAGTACGATGAGATTCTCTCTCGGTTCCCCCGCAAGCCCTGGCACACATTTGTCAACCCTGAGAACCAGCGATTCGTTAGCGATGAAGCCCTTGACTTCCTCGACAAGCTCCTCCGCTATGACCATGCTGTATGTGATTTGTTCCTTCGTTTTTTTTAAGATTGGAACGCATGCTAATCCCTTGCCGCAGGAACGTCTGACCGCCCAAGAGGCTATGGCCCACGCGTACTTCGACCCTGTCCGCGCTGATGTTCTGCGGAACAGCAGCAACCAGTCCTGAATGGCTTTGTCGTGTTGATGATGATGATGGCTTTTTCTATCTTCCGTTCCTCGCACCCTACACCCATACCCTCCTTTATCTCCCTCCTCTGCCATCTGAATAGCACCTCTGCATAACGGAACCCCCCTTTTATTTTATTTATCTGACTTTCAAGCCATGTCGATATGAACGGTGCACGATTGAGAAGTCGAGAAGGATAGTGGCGCAACTACTGGGACTGTTTCCGAGCCTTTTCTCGATGAAGCCTGACTACAATGAGTGACCGAAACCCGAACAGAGACGACATTGATGACAAGACATGACATCTAATCTTCTTGAGCCAACCTGCCCTGCATCGCCTCGGTTCCATGGGCATGTGAGTAAGCGCGATAAATCAGTTGATCTCTTAGAGCGGGAGGAGCTTTCCTTCTCTTCCATACTGCCTAATTGCACAGCGCTGCTTTCGCTTGTCTCTGCCATTTCTCTTCTTCTGCCCTCGCGCTGGCCCGGTGTTAATGGTCTTTTCTTTTCTGATTCCATACGACTTTAAGACCCTGCTCCCCCGTGCTTTGGCCCTGTTACCTTTACCTCTCGTGATATGCCTCATTTTCTTCTGCTTTATTCTTGGAGTGATGGATGGTATTGCAGACGGTCACTTGCTGCTTAACAGCGATTTTCATGAAGGGCGTATGAAGAGACAATGCATCGCGCTCTCACTAGGGAATATTTTTCTGTCCTGTTATTCCAACTTTTAGAACCCCGCTGTATAGATCGTAGCTTATCGAGGGACCACCCGTTGGCACCGGCGTCGTCACGTGAGGCTAATCGCGCCGTGCTGCGATCAAAAGAGACTAAGATGGCAGTTGCAAAGGGGTCAATTTAACCAAAAAACAACCAGCAGCCAGCGCATCCGATAGTGTTTCCACTGAACCTGCCCTGCAGCTGTCCGAATTCATAGTCCAGCGCGCCCGCAGTCTCCACCGATCCTCTCCTGCGCCCCGCCCTCTCATTCGTCGTGGGAAATTTAATCTGCCCGCATTTCGCACAACCACCCCTCCTTGTCGCATTTTCCAACTTCCAAGATACTTATCAGGCGACTAGTGGCGCGATCGGCGCCTTGGAGATTCCCTCCTCAATATCGATCATTTACCAGGATGGCTCAAGACTCTGCCTCCCACAATCCCAGTGAGTCACGGCAATGACTCAATTCCGGTCACATAAAGACATAAAGCTCACACGCTGCAGTTGGGGAGCAAACTGCCCCTTTGACCGGAAACCCTCCTCCCGTCGACGAGAAGACTCGTAATCAGATTGCCGAAGCCGCTGCGATGAACCCTCAAACCCAGGGCCAGACGCAAGGCGGCCAGGATGTGTCCGCGGCCCCCAAGGTGAAGACCGAGAAGGAATGTATGTTGCACTCGCGGTTGGACAATGATATATCTCTTGGGGTTTTGCTGACATTTCCGGTCACTCTTTAGTGGAGCGAGAGCGCAAGAAGGCCGAGAAGGCAAAGAAATTCGCCGAAAAGCAGGCAAAAGCCGCCAGCAAGCCTGCCGCCGCCCCCAAAGCCGAGAAGAAGGCCCCCAAAGTTGAGAAGGAGAAGACCACCGATGCCTATGATCCCAAGGTCATCGAGGCTGGTCGTCTCGAGTGGTGGGAGGAACGCGGCCTCTTCAAGCCCGAATTCGGTCCCGACGGCAAGGTCAAGCCTGAGGGCTCCTTTGTTATTCCCATTCCTCCTCCGAACGTTACCGGTTCCCTGCACATGGGTCACGCCCTGACCAATGCCCTGCAAGATACCATGATCCGCTGGCAGCGTATGAAGGGCAAGACCACTCTCTGGCTGCCCGGTATGGACCACGCCGGTATCTCCACCCAGAGTGTCGTCGAGAAGCAGTTGTGGAAGAACGAGAAGAAGACCCGTCACGACATTGGACGCCCCGCTATGACAAAAATGATCTGGGATTGGAAGGACCTGTACCACGCCAACATCAAGAACGCCCTGCGCAGAGTTGGTGGTTCCTTCGACTGGTCTCGCGAGGCCTTTACTATGGACCCTAACCTGTCCGCTGCGGTGACCGAGACCTTCGTTCGCCTGCACGAGGAGGGCATTATCTACCGTGCCAACCGCCTCGTCAACTGGTGTGTTGCTCTGAACACTTCCCTGTCTAACCTTGAGGTGGAAAACAAGGAAATTGAGGGTCGTACGCTCCTCGATGTCCCCGGATACGAGAAGAAAGTCGAGTTCGGTGTTCTGACTCACTTCTGCTACGAGATTGATGGTACCAACGAGCGCATTGAGATTGCCACTACTCGTCCTGAGACCATGGTTGGTGACACTGGTATCGCCGTGCACCCCACCGATGTCCGCTACAAGCACCTGATCGGCAAGAACGCTCGCCACCCGTTCGTTGACCGTCTTCTTCCCATTGTTGCCGATGAGGGCGTTGAGCCTGAGTTCGGTACTGGTGCCGTAAAGATCACCCCTGCCCACGACTTCAATGATTTCAACCGCGGCAAGGCCCACAACCTTGAGTTCATCTCTGTCATGAACGACGATGGTACCTTCAACAAGCACGCCGGTATCTTCGCTGGTCTTAAGCGCTTCGATGCCCGTTACAAGGTCATCGATGCCCTTAAGGAGAAGGGTTTGTACGTGAAGTGGGAGCACAACCCCATGAAGGTTCCCCGCTGCGCCAAGTCGAACGATGTGATTGAGCCTATCCTTAAGCCCCAGTGGTGGATGAAGATGGAGAGCCTTGCCGCCCCTGCTATCGAGGCCGTCCGGAATGGCGACATCATTATCCGCCCCGAGAGTGCGGAGAAGAGCTACTACCGCTGGATGGAAAACATCAACGACTGGTGTCTTTCCCGTCAGCTGTGGTGGGGTCACCAGGCCCCCGCCTACTTCGTGGATATCGAGGGCGAGGATAACTCTGACAGCGATGGTAACTTCTGGGTGACTGGCCGCACTGAGGAGGATGCCCGTGCTAAGGCCGAAGTCAAGTTCCCCGGCAAGAAGTTCTCTCTTGTTCGGGACCCTGATGTTCTTGACACCTGGTTCTCTTCCGGCCTGTGGCCTTTCTCGACTCTGGGATGGCCCAAGAAGACCCACGACTTTGAGAATCTGTACCCCACCTCTGTCCTGGAGACTGGTTGGGATATTCTGTTCTTCTGGGTTGCCCGTATGATCATGCTTGGTATCAAGCTTACCGGTCAGGTCCCCTTCAAAGAGGTGTACTGTCACTCTCTGATCCGTGATTCCGAGGGTCGCAAGATGTCCAAGTCCCTGGGTAACGTTGTTGATCCTCTCGATGTCATGGAGGGTATTCAACTGCAGGCTCTCCATGATAAGCTCTTGGTTGGTAACCTTGCCGACAAGGAGGTGGCTGCTGCTACCAAGTACCAAAAGAAGGCTTTCCCCAAGGGTATCCCCGAGTGCGGTGCTGATGCTCTGCGCTTTGCCCTTGTCTCCTACACTACCGGTGGTATGTATTGACCCGTACGTATTTGATATAGCTTGTGCCGCTAACTGTGTCTTTCTTGCAGGTGGTGATATTGCTTTCGATATCCAGGTCATTCACGGATACCGCCGCTTCTGCAACAAGATCTACCAGGCCACCAAGTTCGTTCTCGGCAAGCTGGGTGAGGACTTCAAGCCGCAGGCTAAGGTCACCAAGACCGGCAAGGAGTCTTTGTCTGAGCGCTGGATTCTGCACAAGTTCAACGCCGCCGCCAAGGATGTCAACGAGGCCCTCGAGAACCGCGAGTTCTCCAACGTGGCCATCACCACTTACCAGTACTGGTACGGCCAGCTGTGCGATGTGTTCATCGAGAACTCCAAGTTCCTCCTGGCTGCCGACGCCTCCGCCGAGACCCAGGAGTCTGCTAAGCAGACCCTCTACACTGCTCTTGAGGGCGCCCTGACCATGATCCACCCCATCATGCCCTTCGTCACAGAGCACCTGTGGCAGCGTCTGCCCCGTCGTCCCGATGACAAGACCATCTCGATCATGACCGCCAAGTTCCCCGAGTTCAAGGAGGAGTTCCACGACCCTGCTGCTGAGGCCGCCTACGAGCTTGTCCTGAACACATCCAAGGCCATCCGCTCCATCCTGGCTCAGTACGATGTCAAGACCAAGGGCGACGTCATCATCCAGACCTACGACGCCACCAGCGAGAAGACCGTCGCTGAGCAAATGACGAGCATCAAGTCTCTGGGCGGTAAGACCCTGGGCGACCTGTCTCACCTTGGCCCCGACAACAAGACTCCTCCCTCGGGCTGTGTCGTTGTTGCTGTCGGTGCTGAGGCTGCTGTTTACCTGCGTGTGTCCAAGGAGGTTGCCCTTGAGCAAGAAGAGAAGGCCAAGGCTGGTCTTGAGAAGGCCCGCGAGGCTGTGCGCAAGTCTCAGGGTCAACTGGAAACCCCTGGCTGGAAAGAAAGAGTCAAGGCTGAGGTCCTCCAGCTTGAGGAGAAGCGTCTTCGCGATGCCGAGAGTGAGGCTGCTCGTTTCGCGGAGCAGATCAAGGAGTTTGAGAAGCTCCGCTTGGAGTAAATGGGGGCTGATTGTACCCGGCATGGGTATATAGTAGAATAAAGTGTACGACCCAATCAATCAATCTTTTTTTATGTTCAATAATCCCAGTGACAGCTTATGATCGCTTAGTGAATTGGTAGATGGCCGATCAGGTATAACACGTAATCAGAACACATAGAAGCAGTGTGACCAAGCCTTGTGAACCAGGAAGCAGAGCCCTGGCGGAGGGGTTGAGGACAATGGGAGCTGTTTCCATACAGTATTAGACCCTCTTTTCAATCAAACATCTACGAGAGAGATCAGGAAGGGGGACAAATTTGTGGTTGGCATTCTGTATTATTACGGCTACTCTACATCTAAATGTCGTGCTCCGCGATAATTAAGTACGGCTTTAACCTATATACCATAGTTAAATGGACTGTCCATGTACATGCCAATTCTCAAGTGCCTTCACGGCAAATGCTGTAGTGGCTCCTCTATTTCCAACCTTTCGTTCAGCTCCGGGAAATAAATACATGCAGGAGGCCTCCCAGCCACCGTCTTGCTGCTGGATACTGCCAAGCTTCTGGCGATCGGGATAGTTAGCGATCCCGAGTTTATTGCATGTCAATACACGCATTCCAAGGCAGTATGCATCACCGGCGACCCCAATCCTCTCAGCTACACGCTTTCGGAGAGGAGGTTCGATCCTCTCCTTGAGGCTAGGATCACTGGACATGTGAAGAAGACGCGTTAGATAGTAGAGGAACCACTCTGCATTGGGATAGTATCGCGTCCCATTGACGTATGCCCTGTTAATCAGGATGTTGTATATCCACTCCATTGTATCAGGGAGCTCGTGGCCGCGCCCATATTTATGGAATAGTGTCAAAACGTTGAGGGCTATAACCGCGTCGACTCGTGGTCTTGATTTGTCGAAGTATGCCTGGGGAATGGCGTTAGCTCTACTATCGATGCACTGGCATATCGTGCAGTCGAAGACGTACCTGCACGTTACCGTCTTCGTCGATGTACTCGTGCATTTCGTCTAGAATGGAGTGGACAATGGCAGGGTCGGGAGGCATCGTTAGCAGACCGAGAGACGTCGTGTCTAAGTCTTCGGGATAGGTGTCACTTGTGTATTTGGTTCGCCTGGGTTATATTAATAAATAATAGGGGGAAAAAAAGGTCTACAGAGACTAACCACTGAAGAAGTTCCAGAGTCGAGGCGGGGCTCTGAGCTTCACCAGGCTCCTGATTGACAATAGTTAGCGAGCTGCGTGCTGCGGGTGCTAGTCTCAGTGTGAGACGCACGGGTCATTCAGTGCTTCTAGGATCAGAGCGGAGCATAGTTTTCTTCGATCGTCTCGTTATTCTGGGTTGTAGTTGGTAATGTTCCATCCTGGCGTCGCAAAAATGGAAGTCCTCGCACTACAGGATCGCCCACGAAGTTCGTGATTGTCCAATAGAGCTCTGACGTGTCGAACGTTCCTCTCATTCCAACGGAGAGCGCTGCAAGCACATTTTCGGGTCTGTCATCCACCAAGAAGGTTTTATGGGGCACTGATCTTGTGGCTCGCAGGACGTGGCGAAAGAATCGTACACTGGGCTTTCGAACGCCTAGGCTGGACGAGGTGAAAACACCGTGAAATATTGACCAGAACTCTTCGTTCCACCTGTGTTGAAGTGCCGCATAATCTTCCTTAGATATGTTGGCTACCAGGAAAACGCGCGCCCCGGTCCTACTAATTTCTTTGAAAATGGAAGCAGTGGCCTGGTCCCAGGTGGTAGTCTCCCGAAATCCCGGATCAATCCTGCCAGGTCATTTGCCTGAAAGTGATATTCCTCGAGAAACAATCTTGCTAACTGATGCGTGCAGTTTCGTAGTCCATCCAAACTGAAGTGGAAATGATTCGCCGCCACGAGACATTGGGGTCACGAGTCGCCAGCTTACATTCCACTTGTGGATGCATGAAGATACCCTCGAGGCCAACTAGGATGGCCGGTGAGCGGGTATTCAGGGAATTTATAGAGACCATTATGGCTTCAGGCGGTAAGAGAATTTTGAGAGAGTGATACTTTAACGTCAGTCGCCGTCGCTTCGTGGGCAGCCAACCAATCCTCATCCAACTTCAGGGATCCCCAATTGTTTGTTCCCGAACGCTGGCATCTAGCCAGCGTTGGAAAGAATGATATCAAAAGTGCCGCGCAATCTTTTTCGGTGGGTCCGCGGGCCTGCCCGGAGAAAAGGTTAGTCACTTCGTTGTGGTCAGTCCGGGTTGGAAGGCTGATCCAATCTTGCAGTCTAGTCTTTGGAGAGGCAAGCCTAATTTTTGCGCGATTGATATGGGCATTTGATTTGGAATTGTCACCACAGTGTTTAAACTGGGCAGATCAGCGTGCCTATATTATTTGGGACAAGGGTCCATTTATGATTTAATTGACGCCACGCTTTTAGAATGGCTCTATAGTTGTCTTCAACTTCTAGTAGAGCGGGGCTAGCATTCGTCAAAACAGAACGCTGAAAAAAATTCGTCCCACCATTGAATGATCCCAGTATTTTGAATGAGTTCGTTGGAGATGGCATTCAATAACCATAAAACAGGAATAACAGAGAGAGTAAACAAAGTTGAGTCAGGGTGTCCACCAGTGGCCTTGGGAGTGAGAAAATTCGTGCGCACGTGGTAGTTTGTCCTCAACCAGGACTGTATTGGTGCCAGGTGACTAGTCAGTAGGCAAGAGGGACTTGGGATACAATGCGTATATTCTCATAAACACAAGATCAACACTTGAGTCACTCGAGCGTATCGATTTCTAAGCAAAGTCTTATACCTGTAGATTGACCGCTCATTCTACTCAGTTATGCGCACGATTCTGCCAGGCATCTGGGCGATAATGATCTCAGTGACTTTTCCCTTGACAACACTACACTACTAGCACATAAAAATGCTAATATATGTGCTACAAATGAGAATAAACGGCGAAGAAAAGCATTAGCAGATCGCCTAGTTCGATATGAACAGAGTGTTACAGTTAGAGAGGGTCTACCACCGCCAGTACGGCCACTTGAGAGTGTTGACTAGCCTCCACCCACACCGGTTGATCAGGTTGAACAGCCTAATTTGCCACCCCCACCAGCCAAACGGGCACCTCCTAGGTATAGCGGCAGCCAGGATATTGGCCATTCAATTAAATGGTGCCCTTATAGATATTTTTGAATTTACTGGCGTTTTGGTGGTTTAATGTTGCTTTCAAATCTAGTAGTGGGTAGGGTTGACCGCTCGCCCATGGATTACGTTATCAATTTATGCCTTAGGCATAAAATTCACCAGCGCTGCGCTTATCGATAAGCGTGCCAAGGCTTCACCCAAAACTTTTCTGCTTTTTTACTCAGTCTCATCAAGGAAAACCAAACCGCCGCCGCCACCATGTTGCGCGAAGTGTAAGTATCAGCTCACTTATCGCTCGAATTCTTTTGTCTTAACGTTCCCCACAGTAAAGCTAAAAACCCGCGCACCGCGCGCATTCTCAAGGCGCGAGAGCCGCAACTCATCGAGCCCCCGAAGCGGACGCTTATCCTCCACGGCACAAAATGCCCGCAAAGCCTCGACACCGTGCTGAAGACCTTCCACTCTCTCACCAAGCCCCATTCCGTCCTTTTCCACAAGAAGAATGAAAACATTCACCCATTCGAGAACCCCGAGAGCATCGAGTTCCTCGCAAACAAGAACGAGTGCGGTCTCATCGTTTTCGGCAGCAGCAACAAGAAGCGTCCCAATTGCGTGACTCTCGGCCGTATCTTCAATTCACAACTTCTCGACATGTGCGAAATTCTTCTTTTGCCCGCTCAGGGTGACAACGCCGTTCCTCCCATCAACGAGCTCACCATGCACGTCGGTCAGGGCCTGCGCCCCATGATGCTTTTCGCCGGTACCCCGTTCGAGGACCCAACCTCCTCATCGCACGTTATGCTTAAGAGCTTCTTCCTCGACATGTTCAAGGGTGAAGAGACAAACGCAATTGATGTCGAGGGTCTGCAGTACGTTCTCATGGTTGGCGCCGAGGAGCCCCGCGATGATCTCTCTCCCATCATTCACCTGCGATGGTACAAGGTTGTCACCAAGCGCAGTGGTCACAAGCTTCCCCGTGTGGAGCTGGAGGAGATTGGCCCCAAGTTCGATTTCAAGGTTGGCCGTATGCGCCCTGCCACCCCCGAGGCCATGAAGGCCGCCATGAAGCAAGGCAAGCGTCCCAACGAGGAGATCAAGACGAAGAAGAATATCAGCATGGACTCTATCGGTGACAAGGTCGGTCGTGTGCACTTGGGCAAGCAGGATCTCAAGGGCTTGCAGACTCGCAAGATGAAGGGTCTCAAGCGCCGGGCAGGTGTTGACTCGGATGATGATGACGAGGATGAGGACATGATGGATGTGGATGATATCTCAGAGGATGAGGGTAACAAACGTGCCCGGACTGAGTAAAAAATGTTCGATTTACTTGCATTGTCGCGTATTTACTCAAACGGCGTTTGGATCGGCTCGGGATTTTGTGCTTTTAAGGCCTGTCTGCAGGATATCATGTACGGCATGGAAAAGTGTAGAAGCGCTGCTTCCAAAATTATTATTAGGAAATATCAATGAGACCATATCCAAAGACAAAACCACTAGTGCTTTCAAGCTCAATTTTGTATCTACTTTTCCCTTTCGTCCGCATGCACATACCACGTGACCATGACGTCGGCCGTCGGCAGCGTCTCACATGCCGAGGCCCTTTCGACAAGCGGATCCGAAGCAAACTGCCGTCCCCTCCCCCGTACTCACGTTCTATCTTCCTGTTACGTTACCTCTTGAACCTCATCGACTTTGCGACTCATCACCGTGTTGGTTTCTCCCGAATAGACCTCTCTAACCCCGACCGACCTCCGACCGAGGTCCCGTGGCGCCATGGATGCGCTTTTGGTGAGCACTTCTCCAAGCTACAAGCACATGAAAGTCAAGCGCAGCACAGCTAACAAGCACACCCACGACAGTCCCGCCTAGACGAGCTCGTCCTGAAGCCAGAACTCGCGCCACTCCTGTCCCTATTCAAGGGTGCGCGCAATGGAATAATCTACGGATCGAAAGTGCGGTTCCCGCATGCGTTGGTGTACGTCGACCCTTCGGAGATACCCTTGGCAGAGTAGTTGCAAGTATTACGGACTAAGAACTAACCGGTGCCACTCATTTATTAGGATGATATTCCTCTTTCGATCTGGGACGTACGTGAACTCCCTACACCACCTCTCCGCAACCAGTTTCCATCGGACTAACCGGCTAAATGATCTAGATTCCGGCAAAAGCTCAAGCTCGTCCTCAACGCAACACGCCTACACGCGCGAAACCTCTCCACATTCGCAGTTATCTATAAACTCTCCATGATCGTCCTGCGGAACCTGAACCCCTCCGGCTCCGGAAAAGAGGGTCGCTACGATAGTTTCTTTGCCGGGTTGATGGGCGGATATGCAGTCTTCGGCCGCCAGCCGGGAAGCGTTAGCCAGCAGGTATGCACTACTCGCACTCCACTTGTGTTTTTCCTTGGAAACGGTGACGGGTTATTTCTTGGTTTCAAGGCTAATCAGTTTAGATCGTCATCTATGTCTTCGCTCGCGTAATGCTGTCACTCGCGAAACTCGCAGTCCAACCTAACATGCACCCTCTCTCCTCCCTCATCACCCCCGAAGCTCGCACCAAAATCACCGATAATGCCTGGCCTGTCTTCGCCAGTATGACCTGGGCTTTTGTCATGTATATCTTCCGCTGGTACCCGGATACCCTTGTATCCAGTCTGCGGAGCAGCATGGTTTATATGTAAGTCTTCGCTCTCTTGCCGTGCCTTGGCATGAATTGTCTGCTCACTTCCAATCAAGCTATGCCGACTCGGACCACTGGGACTCATTCCGCACCCTGTTTATCCACAACAAATAAGTGTCCTTGACCGTTTCATTTTCACTCAGTCTTCCCTTGAAGGCTACAAGTGTCTCATTTCTCATATTATCCAACTGGCTTTGGATCACCGGCGTACGGAGCGATTCTTTTCTTTTTATTTGGCCTATATTGGAGGCCCGTTTGTGATGGGCATTTCTGGGCCCTGTTCACTGTACATACCGCTGTTTTGTGTTGAGATATGGGCCGTTTCATTTTTCCTTCTTCTGTTTATCTTACACGATATGGTTATATAGGCTAGCAATGACATAAGTGGATCTAGAATTCTACGTTTTGGCTGCTTGAAAAGGTATGAAGCGTAGATCGGGCCTTGATGGTCATTCCGTTGGTATCAAAACAAGTTACACAGTCATAGTTATACAGAAAAGAAGCGGAACAAATCTTCTTCGAATATCACCTCCAAGACTCCGACAAACCAGTACAGTACAGATCAACATATGAATTTCCGAACAGCATATGAACTTCCGATCAACAGATGAACTTCCAGGGCGTCCGAAGTTCCGAATCCAGTGCTTTTTTGGGTTAGCATTGCGGAGAAATGAGATCACTGTAACAAGCATACCTAATGCTGATTTTGGTGAAGATCGATCAAAACTTTCAAATCTCCGTCCATCCACTCCGTGGAATCGGCAGATAGGAGGGCCACGGTCCAGTCTTTGTCGTTCTGGATTTCGACGAGGCCATCCGGAAGCAAAACTCTGGTCTTCCATTGAGCAGCGACGTCTCGGGCTTGTTGAGAACTAGGCTCAAAATTGTCAGATCCGATGAGCTCTGGGAAGCGGCGCATGACAATTTGTTTCAACGTATTGACGTCAGAACACTCGTTCGCAGGTAGATCGATTCGGGGCAAAATCCGATTGCTCTGCTTCAATACGTTGATTCGGAGATATAGGGGAGATCGAGGGCTGTAATGTTGGGTTGAGGTTTGCGGGGGCGGAAAAGCATCCTCTCTAGCGGCGAGATTTTCGCGGATGATCCGCGATACATCTCGGGTGATACTGCTTGCACTGTTCGGGGTGTTAATGATCGAGTTTCAACAGGGATAGGGGAATTAGATACGACTTACAACTCATCACGCGCTGGCTGGTTGTTGACTCCTCCAATTCGCCAGTTCAAATTGGCTGTTGAGTTTGCATGAATGATGCGGTTAATGTTTTCGTTCTCGCAAGCGGGCGCACACTCGTAGTGACCGTTATGGACGACATAGTAGTGGCTATCGATGGCAGCGACAATTCCACGCCAATCAGGCTGTTGGAGACCGGACAGAGACCACAGATGGTCCAGTTGCAGGTCTGTTCCGTTGTACATGTCATATGTTCTGGCAACTTCGTTCCAGTCAACGGTGTACCCATCCAAAAAGAGATCTGTCAGGTTAATTTCCGTTGGCATGCAAGCCTCAGTCAGAGTTTGCTGTGTATTGATCTGCGGCGGAGGCATTGACTGGCTCACGCTCTCTGCGCGGTGGTTTTGGCGTTCGCTGTGCATCTGGAGTTGTTGCTCAGGTGAGAAACGAGGCCCGCCCAATTCCGGGAAGCTCTCGTTTGTCTGACGGCGGCGACGTTCGTCATTGCCGCCTCCTTTGCGTGTTTCAATCGCGTACTGGCGCTGGCGCTCATTTGTGACCATTCGCCGCAAGAGAGGAATGACGAGTGAGATGATTTTTTGCGAGTCTCGTGGCCATACGAACTGTCTCGGGCCCATGTTCTCATTGACGACATTTTCTCCGAAGAATCGCTCTCCGTTGCCTTCGTTGTCGAGGAATGTCTTGACGCAGTTCCAGAGTCGCAACTTCACCATTTCCGTATCACCTTTGCCTCTCTGTCCTACGCAGTCTCGTCGTTCAGGGTGATTGTTGTCAAGCATGTAAGCCTTTGCTGCAGCTTGGAGATGAAGGAAGTTTTCCGGAGACAATTCGAGTGACGAGAAGAGTTTGGACATTGGAGGTCGTGTGTATTTCTTATTGCTTGATGGCTGGCGAAAGAGCGCAGCCGCAGAATGAACTCCAGGTGCACGCTCTACGGGCAATGCTTGTTGTGGTACAGGTCGAATATCCATGTTTACACCGGGGTGACCATGCTGGTTCTGCTGGGAGTGATACTGTTGCTGCGACCCACTGAGTCCAGCAGCGGCAAGCTGAGGATCAAGGTTATCCTCATTTCTCTTTCGTTTCTTCGACACAGTACGAGAAAGGCCGGGAGACTGTGCATGTTCATTTGGAACTCTCAGGTGTCTATCCCCGCCCATACCGGAGCCGAAATGAGTGTCGCCAAAGGTGTCATCACCAAGGTGCATCTCCGTATTGTAGTTTTCCAAAGGGTGACGCTCTGCTGCTGCCGCTGTTACTTCAGCAGCAGAGGCCCAGGAAACATCCGTCGATGCGGCTTGGGTAGCGGCCTCCACCAAGCCTGCGAGTTGACTATCGATTGGCGCATATCCACTACCCGGATCGGTATTGGCATTGGAGGCAGTCTGAGATTGTATGTTCGCCGAGGAAGTAGGTGGTTGTTGGGTATTAGAAGTAGAAGACATGTCGTGTGGTTTGATGTGTTCGAGCTCGGCGGGATATCTGATACGGGAAGTCGAGGTGTGTACTGAAATTCTGAAGTTTTGGGGGATTTCTGGATGCCCGTCTTAGGTACTCTTTCGAAGAGTTCAGGGAAATCGTGAAAAAAAACTTTTGCGACGCGCTCTGAAAGCTCTGATAAGCTTGCAAAAGCAAAGCCCCGACGGGGAGCAGATCGCGACTTGAATGTGCCGACCAAAATAGTCAGTGTCTGGGTGACTGAATTGTCGACGCGAAGGCTTTCGACGCGAACAATTGGAAGATGTCCTTTGGGACGCCACGCCCCGAACGGGGGTGTCAGGTTTGTCGGAGGCTGAAGAACAGCGACTGGACGGAGCTCGTGAAGCTCCGAGCTGATAAGCATGCAACGCGACTGGCGATGATGATGTTTGGCTGGTTTGAAGGAAGGACAGACAGTGCAAACCTTGTGGGTCACGTGGGGTTGCGCGTGCGTCACGTGACAGTGTTCGTTCGCAAGATACATTCAAAAGAAAGCTTGGCGCATCCGAAATACTTCTTGGAAGGATTTTAATGTGAGAGGGACTTAGCTACAACTAAAACACCCTGCTGCAATATTTCTGTAATGTATGCTCCGCAAATGTCTCGCAGAACTTTCTAGGCTGCATGTTACGGTCTTTTCACAAGACTTACGAGTTACAAGTCTTCACATTTACAAGCACCGGTGCTGTCCAACTAAACACAGGTCTAACGACCAATGTGTAATAGGTGAGAAACTACTCTATCTTAAAAAAGGTCGGCAGGAGCCCGCGGTCCTGCTCTTTTACATATCTTCGACATCTTTGGCGAATGTGAACACAAGACTTCTTATTCTATGCCATGTTAGCCAAATTTGCCGGATCAACTAAAATCGCAGAAAGGAGTATAGAAATACAGCAGACAAAAAAGAATAAGGAAGACACTCTATAGATGGACCGCTGAAATCTTGCCAAGTATAATCACCAACCGTGGTGAAAAAGGTCGAGCTGTCCAAGTTGAAGCAGACGCGCCATGAAACCCATCTTCAACGCCCCCAAACGAAGCAGTAAATAGTAGTAGATAGCACATAGATCATGATACAGCAGTTTGCAATGAGATCAGACACCACCAGCTAGGAGTGAATCTAGAAGCTATCGCCAGGCTTCCAGGGACGACCGACTTCTTCGGCGCGGAGTCGGGGATCGTTGCCACGCGCAATGGCATTCTCGAGCATGGCATTCACCTGCGCAGCCTTGGCGGCGTACTCGTTTGCGGTTTCGGTCTTACCACCCGGTTCTGGAACATCCAAGTCCATGGTCTCATCCAGTTCACCATCGCCTTCTGCTTTGGCATCCTCGATATTATCGGCCATCCAGTCCCAGCTCTCAGTGTACTGTTGCCACTCGTCACGCTCGGCTTGTGCAGCCTTGAACGCTTCGAACCCATCGGGGCCGCCGAAGCAGTATCCGTACCCGTCGCACAAGCACACGCTTTCTTGCGGACAGAGGACTGTTTGACCAGTAAACACATATTGCCAGAGATATTCCCAAATTCGGCCGGCGATGTAGTCACTTAGATCGGTTTGCAGAAGCCAGTCACGGTAGAAGATAAAGCGTGAACGGGGGATGGTGCGGATGCGCTCTTTGGATACGGCGAATTGGGCACAGCACGGTTGTGCAAGGACCGACGGGACCGGCTCGTCGGGGAAGAGTTCGCCCCAGGCTCGAGCGAGCATTACTTCCTCTTGCTTTTGTTCGTCTGGCTCGATGGCACCAGGATGCATCCAGTCCGGACATCCGGGACCCTCACTGCACCGGAGGTTCATATATCCTTCCCTGATGACACGGTTCAGGTTTAATCGGCGCACCATCTCGGGTGTGTCGCCGTTGTGCAAAAAGTCATTGTGCCACGCGTTCTTGTGTGCGTGGACGAAGACTGAGACGTCGGGGAGGTCATCGTAGAAATCAATGGCGTAGGAGAGATATATCATGACCTCGTGGCCCTTATTTTTCGGGGGGTGTAAGGGTGCCGAAGGATCGTTAGCGACATAAATCGCTGTATCCCAGTCCGGCAATTCCTGAGCGATCCAGGTCACATCTTCCTCCATTGTTCGGGGAACGACGAGTCGCTTGGTATACTTTGCGCCGTGCGGTTTCGGTATGCCGGAAATGAAATGCGGTTGTGGCGCGAAGGGAATTCCCTTGCTCGGGCCGTATCCAGTACTGACATTATATGCTACAGACCAATTGGTACTGGCGCTGATGCTGAATCCGTGCGGGGAGGAGGAAACGTATTCCCCCAGGCCGACGGCCTGCGGCACTTTATTCCATACGTGGGGTTGTCGCAGTGCGCGGGCTGTGAAGAAGAGGAAGGTGAAGATGCCGAACCCGAGGAAGAGGACCGCTCGGCGTGAGAGAATCATGAGAGATTATATAGACGGAATTACTGGACGCGGAGAATTGATCTGTCGCACAAGACGAAGTTAGCTGCGCGGTCCGTCGAGGTTTAAAGATCGATTCCCGGGGATGTACAACCCGGCGCAGGGGTGGTTCCTGGCCGTCCACGGTTGCGCTTCAATGCGGTTGACGTACATAAACGCGGCTCAGGGGTGGATCATTGCAGTCGACAAATGGGTCTCATCGCAGACTGGAGCGAAGGAAGGGGGAGGTTGAATTCCAATGGCGAGGCTGTGCGGGATGGGATGGAACCGAGAGGAATGAAGTGGCCCTGGTCCTCCGCGGGAGGAAATATCCAACGTGAGTCGTGCCAGATCCATCGCGGGGGTCCGAAGGGCCACAGTGGACGAATGGACAGGTGAAACGGCGGTGCGCGGTGGATCTGCGGTGGATCGGCGTTGGCTCTGGACTGCCGCACCACCCGCTGATGACGCTGCACGGTGGAGATGCATTGGACACGAGGGTTCGACTAGTCGAACATGTCGGAGTGGCCGGGTCGCTGTCAACACCCGTCAGATCAGGCGCAAGCAGTAGTACAAGTCAGTATATCAGCTGAGGTATCGAGATAAAGACAGTCTTCGAAGTCAGAGAACAGCCGAAATAGACCTGAGGTACTTGAGGGTTGCGTTTCATGTTGATCTGTGCCTGTGGCGAACTCTAATTACTAGGCCGCAAACCAAAAGTCCCTGGCTGGCACTGGCGTACCTTAATTGCGGCGGCGCAGGGGCTAGGCTAGGCGCCCTGTCAATCACCTACATAAATGTATGGTAACCTTTTATCTGACCTATGCAATGCAAATCGACCAAGATGGCTCGAATGTTGTACCACTAGTGCCTACCTAAGTTGGTTATGAATATAATTCAACGAGAAAAATTCAAATGTGACGGATCATACATCTAAAATATATTCACATGCTGTTCTCTCAACGGTCATTGTGGCGGAACTATCACATGGCACATCAGGCTAATCCTCCGCAGAATATATTTCGCCGAGATCAGTGAATCCAATATCGCTTTCGGGACAATGATCTCACAAGGGAAAGGCTGACTAGGTCCTAGACTATTAACTCACTTCAAATTTCGAAACCCCGCCATTATAATATTCCCACTCGAGAGAAAGACAGCCCTTCAGAAATCCCAAGACTGCTCTCTCCATATCTACATCCGTCAACTGCCGCGTTGCGACTGAGCGGTGAGTGGCGTATCAGGAACCCCCGATTTGCTATCTCACGTGATCACGCGGAAAACTTGCGCCGCGGCGTCGGGGAAATTTTGTGACAATCTTGCCATTCCAAGAAGCATGCGCTGTCAAGATGCAGTCTTCCAAGATCCACGGTCATCCTGCTGAAGAGGCTTCTCCCCTCAAAGCCGCCCAGGTTCCCCAGAAAAAGTCCCACGATCCGTGGGTTCACCTACTCGCCGGCGCGTAAGTTTTGGGATCGCCATCCACGCGGTGGCATTTATCTACATTCTACTAATCCGGAACGAAAATGAAAAACTAACACAATGATGCAGGAGCGGCGGATTCGCAACAGCAATCGCAACATCTCCCCTCGATGTCCTCCGGACACGCCTCCAATCCGACTTCTACCAACGTCCCCCTTCACCCTCCGCCTCGTCCCCGAATCCTCCAATCGTCGACCCATCAAAGCACACTAGCCACAAGACCGCCCGAATAATCAGCAACATCTACCGTGCCGAAGGATGGCGAGCTTTCTTCCGCGGTCTCGGACCTAGTCTGGCCGGCGTGGTCCCGGCCACCGCAATCAAATTCTACGTCTACGGAAACTGCAAGCGCCTCGGAGCGCAAATGCTCGGCCTCGGCGAAGACTCTACCCTCATCCATGCGCAGGCCGCTATCTCCGCTGGTATCGCGACCTCCACAGCAACGAACCCCATCTGGCTCATCAAGACACGGTTGCAGCTTGACAAGGCCCAGACAAGTACTGGCAATCGCCGATACAAGAACAGTCTGGACTGTCTGCGCCAGGTCATTCGTCATGAAGGTCTTGGTGGGCTATACAAGGGTCTGAGCGCAAGTTATCTCGGTGCCGCTGAGACGGCGTTGCATCTTGTCCTGTATGAGCGGTTGAAGGGTATTCTGCACAAGTCTCTCGTCTCTCCCGATGGAACGGATACACCTACGCAAAAGGAAATTACTAGCTGGATCAGCACAACCGGTGCGGCGGGTTCTGCCAAGTTTGCTGCTGCTCTGATTGCATACCCGCATGAGGTAAGCATTTGAAGTCTTCATTTCCACTTGACTTTTCGCCAGTCATGCCAATATTTCTTCTCTAATCCAGGTCATTCGAACCCGCCTCCGTCAAGCCCCTCTCGAAAACGGCCGTCCCAAATACACTGGTCTGGTGCAGTGCTTCCGACTCATCGCTAAAGAAGAGGGTATGGCTGGTCTCTACGGAGGTCTGACACCGCACATGGTCCGCTCCATCCCTTCAGCAATCATTACCCTCGGCGTTTACGAATTTGTCCTCCGATTTGTGGGCACCTCGGCATGAAAATACCTCTCCTCTCTGGCTACCTATGGTAAGCACGATCTGAAAAAACGTTCGACCCACTGTACAGTACTCGATAACAGAAGCGGCCTGTTCTCATTCTGCTCCTGATATTTTGCTTTTGCGAAAACTAATTGCATGTACCCTACCTGGCGTTCTGGGGGATTTCGCTTCTCTGACTTCTTTTACTTGCTCTGGGAAACTGTGGATAGATTTTTCTGTCTTTATCTACCTTGTACTATACATCACATCATATTGTTATTATTATCAAACAAAATACATTTCAACAGCCCAAGTTCCTTCGTAAAATCGATGATGGAGATTGATCTTTGTTCTAGATAGATTATAATTTTAGGGAATTTACATACTGCAGAATGCCGACATGCATTTGAGACAGACAATATCAGGAACCATCAGACAAAGCCGAGAAAATGGTGAAAAAAAGCGAAGGAAGAATCGAAAGACCGGGTATGATATTCTGCTTAAAAACGCCATGCAACGCTGATTCAAAGATAGGGAATAGGAGAAACAACCGAAGCTGTCTCATCGCCCAAGAGCCATAAGCGGGGTGAAAAAAGAAAAATACAAATCGGGGGTAATATGGTCATGAAGATCCATCAAATCTACGAGGCGTCTTCGTCTGCCTCTTCCACGGTGGCTGTACGGCCCTTGCCCTTTGACAAGGACCCTTGATCTGTGCTTTCTATCTCCGGTTCCGATATAAATTCCATACCGCTGCCCCAGTTGGGTGGGTTCGTTGATGGCCCTGGTGCTGGGACTTGATCGGATCGGACGTCTGTCCACTCTTGTGATGGCGAGTCCGCACGATGGACTGTTGATGATGTCCCGTTACACTGGGACAAGTCGGACAGGGGGTTTGATGAACCCAGTTCCGCTGTCTCTGCCGTGGATGTCCCAGTTTGAGAGTTCGGTGCTGTAGCTGGTTGAGCTAGGTGGCTGCTATCCCCTTGAGGTACAACGGTGGCGGGGGTTGTGTGCGTCTGTGAAGTCTGCGCAGCTTGTTGCCGAGTGCTAGACAGGGCATCTTCCGGGAGATCCGGATCAACGAGGTTCTGAGTGAGACTAGACAGGTTTTCGAGATTCGACTCGGTCGATTGGAGTGGAACGAGGGACCAGCCCGCTGGGAGAGTGAGTCCTTCCGGTAGCCGGCTGTCCCCAGATGTCAGAGTGGAGGAGTTGGGGCCCCGCGACGAATTGACGGGCCGGAAGCCCTGAGCTACTGGTCTGGACAGTGGTAGTAGCAGTTGGAGATGTGGCGTGTTGCTGGCGCAATCGATCTAGCTCCAACTGACGAGACTGTACATGTCGGAAATGCTCCGTGACAGCGCGGAGGGAGTTAATCTCTTGCGCAATCTGCTGCTCAATTTGCTGAAGTTGAGAATGAACGTCAAAGAAGTTGGATGGCTGCGCAAACTGAGGCTGATCCTGGGGTTGTCCCTGGGGTTGTCCCTGAGGAGTAGGAACAGGTGGACGGCGACCAAATCCAAAACCAAAGCCAATCTGGCGCGCACCTTGAGGGTTCGCATTTGGTGCGGGTTGAAGCGGTGCGTTTCCTTGGTGAACCTGCTGGTGAAGATTCTGAAGAAGATCCCCACGCACAGCACCGAAGCCGATTCGGAAAGGACCGAATTGATAGACGCGGGCTCTGGGTGCTCCGTCGACACCTGGCTGTCCTGGTGCTTGATTACCACCGGGCATATTGGGAGCGACACCACCAGCACCATTACCAGCATTGTTGGCATTGGCACCTGTCACTCCCTGAGCACCACCTGCACGAACCACCGGGCGTCGGCATGTAGGGCAGTTCTGTTGCCGTTCCAGCCAGCTTCTGAGACAAGAGAAATGCAGAATGTGACCACAAGGTAGCTTCTTTGGGCGGAGACGGTCAGGAACGCGCTGAGCACCTGCGGCTTGCGGCGCAGGAGTTTCTCCGGCAGCACCGGGGGCAGGCTGAGCAGAAACCATTTCTTCGCGACAAATGATGCAGACTTCTTCTCTGGCGACCTCTTCGGCAGTCGCATCAGGGTATCTCTCGTTCATGTCTCTGGTTGCGTTGCGGAAACGAAGGAAATCCATGATCCGGCGAGCAAAAGAGCGGATTGTAACGACGACGTCGCGCAGAATATGAATCGGCAGGCCATAGAAAGTCAGGAGGATAGCAAAGAAGATAAGATAAACCATGAGCTTGACGAAATCGGTCAGCAGGTCAAGGTAGAAGACCCATCGGCCTTTCTCTTCCCACCCAGGGACATCGATCTCGAGCTCGTTGACATCATTCTCATCTGGCAAGTTTGTTGGTGGGGAGCTTTCTCCAGCACGTGCATGCTCCCTAATTGCCTCCAAACGTGCCCCGCGAATCTCTGCTCGGCGTTCTGCCATCTTTGCTTTCACTTGTTGGCGAGTGATATAGATCTCCGTCAATGCGATTCCGTAGCGCGCAGTGGTAGAACTTGACAGGATAGTCAGGATTGCAAACTCGAACCCGAACATAACCATCATATCGGGGCGCGCTTGGTGGATCACGGTATTGATACAGTACCGCAGCATGAACGCATTGAAGAGGACGGACAGGACTAGGGAAATCGCTAGTCGCGTATGGAACAATCGCGGGTTTGCCGGGGGTTGCTGCTCGAGATATTCCACCCGTCCTTCTCCAATCCATCCCCAAACCTTTCCGACCAGGAGCGAGATGAACATGACGAGGAACCACCCGCCAAGCTCACCGCGGAAAATGGTCATAGCCAAACATGTTTCGGTCACAGCGAACCACGCTCGTTCGTAGAGTTGTTCAGTTTCAATCGGCCGCAGGGGTCCGTAAAGAAGTCGCTGTAGCCAGAAGAGAACGAAACCGGTGATAATGAGGCATAAATTCGTGAGAATCTAGAAGTCGGCAGAGCGCGTGGTTAGCCACGTTTAGGAGCGGGAGCAGGGTGGCGGGTTATGGGAAGATACACCAGCCTCGGATATAGAAAGACGTACCATGAGATTCGCGCTACTCTGTGAGAGATATACGCAAGCTGCGTAGACGTTCGACCTCTGATGGAGGGCCTTCAAGAACACACCGGTGGCCAGAGCCACGGAGGCCTAAGGAGTTGTTAGCGGAGGCCATGCACGAGCCCGTTTCACGAGCGCAGAGATGGGACAGAACTTACCCCAGTGTAGGCGGCCAGTCTCATGGCGATTCTCTGAGACGCTTGAGCCGATGGTCATCAGAGGAGGAAGGGGGCAGACCTAGGGCGGAGACGTGGAGTAGTATACCTCGATCTGGACAGCTTTCCAGAGTAACGGCTCGCCTCCGCATTACGTCAGCCTGCACGTGCCGCTATCCTACATACAACAATATCAGAGGTTGAGAGTTTGAGCAGTGTCGCATAGGAGTGACTCATTTAATAGAGGGCAGTTAGAGAAAAAAAATATTGATTGGATAAAACGTTTAGTGCTGACCATATTTCCTTTGGAGGTGGAAGCGAAATGGCAGCATACGGAACATCCAATCATTCCACTAGCAACCATGTCCTAGTATCCACGCCAAATATAAGGTAAATCAAGCTAGAGGAGAGGGATTCCAATTTGAAATAGGAGCCTTGGAAATCCACAAGAGATCGCAAAATTCTCCAGGCACAGTCCCTCCGCAGTCCTCTACGCTACTCTGGAAAGCCCCTACGAGAATGGATCGTGAGTATGAGACGTTAATTCAATGTATTTAGACTGACATAGTCCTATGATATAGCCTTAACACCAACTGGACAAATTCGAATCCTCAATTGCTGATATTAGAGAAATAAGTACGATTTGCGGTTCCTTGACTCATACCGCGAAACTTAGGATGGTGGGGGCCAAAATCGCAGCGACGAATTAGAACCGTTGCATATTTCTGGCTCGTACATCCTCATCACTATCACAGATTACTGGTCCCTACTTGCCGAGTTTATTATCCCCCCACAGCGTTTATTCACCTGTTCGTCCGCCTCAGAATATGCCATTCTATTCGACCGAAATGCCGAAATGCCGAAATGCTGTACATTTTCTCTCGGAAAGGCATACATTTCAAATTGAACTTTAGCATTGCTGGAATATAGCCAACCCCGGGATCAGCTCATAAGATAAAGTAAGCCCGAAAGTGATTCATTGGTTTTGAAGCAATTCATGGCCCCCGATGAGGAAGAGTCCCCGCATTCTCGGTCTATCGGCCCCCAATGAGCCCGGAAAAGCTCGGAAACAAATGCTTCACAGGTAATTTAATCTTTCAGCCCCAGAGACTACGCCTGATTGAGACATAGGAAAGGCTGTCATCTCGCAAGAGGGTAATCCCAGGACGCTTACCACGAATTTCCGTAAATTAATTTGGTCAGCTCTCACGCAAACGCGCGAGTATTAAGATGAGCAATTTTCCAGCCTGATAGCGCCATTTCCTTGCAAGCTCATTGCCCTGCTTCGATTTAAGCTTAATACCTTTCTATACTCGATCCGCTCATCTATATCGCCCCTCAACATGGCTTCGTCTGAAGTTTCTCAGAGGCCTCGGCGACTCATGCTCGTCAGTGTTCCTCGCACAGCATCGAATCTGCTGGCAAAGATTTTGAACATCGCTCAACAACCTGATGTACTGTCTAACGAGGCGGCTGGGTACTTCTTCCATCCCGCGTTCTCCGCGACCGCACTAGGTGGATATCTGAGTACGCCATCCACGGAATGGACCGACGAGCAGAAGCAAACTCTCAGGAGCATTTTCCAAGGATGCGTCAATACGATTGAAGAGCATGCGGAGCGCGCAGAAAAAGCAAACAAGATTCTTTTTGCCAAGGAACACGCAGGCTCGCTTTTCAGCCCTGCTGCCTTCGAGAAATGGCAGACCGGTGATTCCAAGGCAAATGACGAGTTATTTGACGCTCTGAGACTCGAATTCCCTGAGAAGTTCGGACCCCATACCTTTTCGCCCAGTAGCCAAAGCATGCTGTCTGATGAATACCTGCGTCTCTGGCAATATGTCTTCATCATCCGCCACCCAGCACTAGCATGGCCTTCTCTCCGTCGCTGCCAGCGCAAGATCGTCGAAGCAGAAATCACGAAAGGCCTAGACCAGACAGACGAGCAAAAACGAGATGTCTCCTTGTCGAATATGACTATGCGCTGGACGCGGCTGTTGTTCGACTGGTTTTGCGACCAAGGCTTCAAGCCCACACCTTTGATTGTGGATGCTAATGACCTGATTAACCACCCCGAAATCGCTGCCAGGCTTTGCGAGCAGACTGGAATGGATGCCAACGCTGTTCAGTACGAGTGGGACAACATGGAAAAGAGGTCTGAAGATTGGAAGACGGGTAACAATGTTGATGATGCCACCCATGATAGGAACATTGCTCTGGCTAAGATCATGCTTGGTACACTTGAGAATTCTACAGGAGTGATAAAGCAGAAGGTATCTAGTGATATCGATATCTCCAAGGAGGCGGAGCAATGGAGAGTCGAGTTTGGCGAAGAAGATGCCAAATTCATTGAGAAAGCCGTGCGGGACTCGATGCCTGATTACGAGTACCTGATGGCTCATCGTATCACCGTTTGAGAACTTTTCTACACATCCTTGTTAGAAGAGGCGGAAACTTCAATTGGCAATGTAAAAAAAAAAAAAACAGCTTTCCACTCATCTCTCAATCCATATACATGTATTCAAAAAGTCTGGCAAAGTGGTTTAGATATAGGATTCTGTTTGACCCCAACAGCTAACAATGGGATGCAACAAGAAGAACATCAGACGTGAAAAAATGAGGAATGAGAAAATGACACGAAGAGTGAATTTAATCAGACCCTTTTCTCGATACCATCGAATTTTCCTTCTTTCACAAGTTCAGCCGTCAAAGACTTTCCAAAGTTGGCTGCGAAAATTTCCTCAAACTCCTTCCAATCAAGTATAGGCAAGCCAACAAGCTCATTGTCCGAGGGATTATACTCAGCGGCAAATTTACCACTGAACACAGCAGCTCTGAGCAAAGAGACCCATTTCTCAAAGTTGAGATCACTCTGCTTTGTGGTACTTAGAATCGTCTCAAGTTCTTTTGATGCATCCACTGCATTTTCGGTCCATTTGACATCGGATGGAGAGTATTTCTTTGCAAGCTCAAGAACTTTTCCCTGTGTCAACACGATATCGTGAACACGAATCAGACGATTTCTGGTCGCATCGGGGGTTTTCAAAGCACCCACGACGGCCTTGCCAATACTAGCAAAGCTCGTGGTGCTGAAACGGTGAACACCTCCGTCGTAGAGATCAACAGTATGATTCTGAAAATCAACAACGAAGGACGAGGAGATGACATATTCCAAGATAGGGCCAACACCAAAAAGGTTGTACTCAATTTGTCCGAGGGCGGCTTTGCTTTTAAGATATTTCTGAATGTCCACCCAAATGGCATTTGATGGAAGTGATTCCGCCGCTGGGTCGGTACCAAGTGCACCCCAGTCCGATGGAACATAGCGTTTCACACCGGCCTGGATGGCGGCATCAATGAAAGTCTTCTGAGCACTGATTGCTGGAGTACCGACCGTACATATCACCACATCTTGGCCCCGGAGAGCAGTCGCGAGGTTGTCAACGGATGAGTAGTCGACCTGAACAGTCTTGACACCCGGTGGCAGATCATTTGTGACCTGGGAGGTACGGCTAAAGACAGTCACGTTAAAGCCGGCGTCGACAAGCTGCTTGACAATGGCGCTTCCGAGCAGACCTTTCTGAACTTCATCGTTAGTGCTGTTTTCTTTCGGACGAATTGGATATCTGCCAATTACTCACTCCGAGAAGGGTAATGTTTTTGAAAGAGCTCATATTCAGAGGGAGATGCTCGGTGTATAGTCAAAGGTATGGAGAGCTTCCTGGTTGAATGATATGATAGTCCAAAATTCCAAGCAACTATCGATGCTTTTATACCTGGAGATGCCCGAGCAAGAGGGAAAAGCAGCACGTGTCTACATATTTGATTCTAACTTGATTCAGCAGTCAACTCATGAAATAGCGCACTAGGAAGATTCAACATATGAATTCACCTGCATAGATGAGGGATTTGTAATGTATCCACTCCCTGTCAGCTCTAACCCCGTTTTGGAAATCGGCTCGTAGAATAGCGTGGGCTTTCATCGGATCAGCGGGACCCCGCACTTCCGGGCACCGGGGGGCAAATAATCATTTGCCGAGAGCCCAACAAGGCGGTGGCCAAGGTAATATGCCCCGTGTAGACACACTTCATCTTTCATCTTCCACCGATACGTTCGAATTTCGACACTAGAAGCTATGGTTCTGAACAATCGAGCTAGCCCAGGTTGCGCAAACTGTCGATCAAGGCGGATCAAGGTTGGGCCCCGCTTGCTGCTGAGAGCCCAACATACTTATGAATGACCTAGTGCAATCTTCTGAGACCAAGATGTAGCCAGTGTTCACGAGCTGGCCTCAAATGTGCCGGATATCGGACTCATCTGGACGTCATATTTCGCGATCAGACTCGAGCCACAGTCCAAAAAGCTGGTCCCAAAACCACGAGGGAGCCGGATGTCCTTCAAATGTTCTCGATGGGTATTCGACAGGAGGAAATCGCGTCAAAAATATTCTTCGAAAGCTTCCCGATCATGGGCGGGGAATGCAAGATCGCAATGGAATCTCGAGCAGATCTGGTCTCGTGTGCGAATATCAGCATGGTTTCAGTCGGACTTGCAGCTCTGGCATCGATGCAACAAGAACCTTGGATAATGTGGTCGGCAAGAGAAAAATACCTTTTGGCTTTGCGAAAACTGGCTTATGCCACATCGCATCCTTGGGAGGCTCCTATTGAACAATCTATTGGCGCAAGCTTTATATTGTCAATTTTCGAGGTACGCAAGCAAGCCAAGCCCACGCAGAATAATCAGCGCCTGAAAGAAATTTTTCTAGATGATGACTTGTGATATGGGCATGAAGTCGCCACCATGGATTAAACATCTTTATGGAACAATGGCCTTTTTGTACTTATCATTTGTGTCCAAGAAAGGGCAAGATATACCAATTGGTCCGATGAAAGAGATCTTGGAGATCAGCTATACTATTGTAAGTGCAAGACGCAATTATTGATATGCTTGAATCGATATATGCCAACACAGTCAACTGCAGACTCTTGCGTGTCTGATAAACGAACAGCCTGTTCCAGCATTCCTATCTGAGATAATGAGTTATTACGTTCAGCAAAATAATTCAGCGAGCGCAAATAGCACATTGATTCCAGCAGCCAGATTGTTTCCGATCTTGAGCAATCTCGTCAATACTTATCGTCCCAAGAACCAAGCAACTGCTTCTTCAAATGCCAGCAGCCACGCACTTAAAGAATGGGTGCTCTATTTGCCTGAAGAGTGGCACTATCACTCCTTGAAAGAGGGCAGACCGATATATTCAAGCTCTTGGGTCGCTAAAGTGTGGAACTATTACCGTCTCGCTCAAAAGCTCGCTGCCGTATCCACTCTTGAGACAACTACATCATCCTCTACCAGTGTTTTCGAGCAAGACATTATTGCCAGCCTGCCATTTATATTTGAATCATCTCCATCGAGTTATTTCTCTGACGACCTTTTTTTTGTCATCACAATTTTGCAAGCGTTGTCAAAATTGACTCAAAAATGCACTGTGATGCACCGACTGGAGAGCTTAGCAGGCCCCATTGGCGGAGTAAAATACCTCACACTGAAGGAAACTGTGATTCGGAATCTAGTTTGAATAGAATTGAGACAATTGAAGAGTGGGTTTCAGTCCCCTATAACCTGCAAGCAAATCATGCATCTCCACGTAATTAGGCAAACCCCACCCAATCGGGAAGTATACCTCGCTGGTTATCTGATCGGCACGTGACGCCCCACCTTGGTGCCACCCAGCAGCTGAAACCAACTGAGCGAATGCCTTGATCCCCCAACTTCCGAGCAATGCCCCATCGACGGTGATGGCATTATCCCCGGCATTATTTACTGCCTCACGGGTACAGACCCTGACATATCTGTTGGGTGTCTGCCCGTTTTCCATCGCGTTCCTGGTCTTCATCAACTCATCCGTCTCCTTCGTTGTCACTGACCTCATCGGGCTCCATGACGGTGAAGGTGATGCTGTCGGGACCCTGGGCTTCGCCGATGAGCTCCTTGCTCTGGCTGCTTGCCCCTTGTGGGGTGTTCTTTCCGATCGGATTGGTGTGCGCCATGTATGTTGATTAACGTGACTTTCTAATAGGATCTAAACATTGCCCATTGCTAACGAGAAATAAGGTATGCACTGTGGGCTACGCGGTCATTGCTGTTGCTTTAGTACTATTCGTGCAAGCCAAGAACGTTTACCCGCAGCTTCTTCTCGGAAGATTGCTTTTCAGCATCGGTGGCTCGGCAGTTTCGACGATGGTGACTGCTGTTCTGCCAACGGTAACGGGTAAGATGGCAAATGCCTCTTCCTACCGAGCATCTGTCTCATCGGAGTTGACCATCACGCCCGAGCGACTAAACGGTTTTCGATCTAGCCGTGACGGCTCTGGAGCCCCCGGTACCTCGCCTTCTGCACGACTTTCTGGGTTTGTTGGGCTATCCGCTGGATGCGGCGCTCTCATTTCGCTCGGGGCTTTTTTGCCTCTCCCAGCCCGATTCGAGAAGCTGGGTCTTTCACCGATTGAGGCACTTCAGCGTAGCTATTACCTCGTAGCTACTGTGGCCGTTCTCATCAGTATATTCAGCTTCATCGGCCTTCGCAATCTCCCTGGTGAGGAAGACAAGGGATGGAGTGCCCTATGGACTTGCCAGTCCTCGCAAGACGTCGATGATGAAGATGACGATCTTGCAGGACCATCAAGGCTGCCCTACTGGAAGCAGCTGACGACTGCCATGTTGCTGGGATTCCGAAACCGCAGCATTGGATTGGGCTATGTAGGTGGGTTTGTCGCTCGCGCCTCCTCAGTTGGGATTTCATTATTCATTCCCTTGGCGGTCAACCACTACTATCGTGCATCGGGAATTTGCGACGAGCCACATGAGCCCACCCCTGGCTCGGGACTGGGGGATATCAAGAAGGCCTGCCCGAAAGCATATATCCTCGCCTCTATTCTAACTGGCGTATCACAATTGGTGGCCCTTATTGCTGCCCCAGCCTTCGGGTTCTTGACTGACAAGTCTCGACGATACAATTCACCACTCCTAGTAGCGGCTCTTGTGGGAGTAGTCGGATATCTTGCCTTCGGCCTCCTTCCAAACCCTCAATACAAAGCGCCTGATGGCAGTGGTGGGGTCTTCGCGATAATGGCACTCATAGGAATCAGCCAGATCGGCGCGATCGTCTGCAGTTTGGCTGTGCTCAGTAACGGAATTCTGAGCGTTAGCATCGATGACGAGACTTTACAAAAAATCTACGAAGAGCAGAATGGGGAGCAGGGCGAGGGGAGTGGGGGTTCGGCTGAGAACCAGCCCCTGCTTGCAGGCTCCATAAACCGGCGGCTCCAGCACCTGTCACATCTGAAAGGGTCTATTGCCGGGGTATATTCGCTGTACGGTGGGGCTGGAATCCTTCTGCTTACAAAAGTGGGTGGGTTGCTCTTTGACAAGTTGTCGTCGGGAACGCCATTCTACATCATGGCTTTGTTTAATGGGATCTTGCTGGTAATAGGGATTGTGTGCGGTATTATGAATCATGTCGCACCAGCTTTGGCAGTGGCTATTTGACCTAGATTGCTACGATTGTTGTTACTACTCTCCTCGAATCTCGAATCAAAAGCCAGACATCTTTCCTTTCAAGGACTAGTCGGTAGACCTTTGTCCTGCAGCTAGCCGGAACGTGGCTTCAAGATGTGCCCCGATCCTAGTGGGCATCGGCGGTCGCATTTTGTGCCAATTCGTATGCATATTCAGCCATTATAGTACCAATAAATACAACAAACCTACTGCGGAGGTAGATTAGTACTTCGGCAAATGCGTTCCACATGCAAGGGATCTTCAGAGTCAACGGATTTGAGTATTGGGATTGGGTCAACTAGGGTTGAACCCCATTGATGACCCACTCAAGAATCCATTTTTTCATACAGACCGTCTTCCCCTTTTCACTTACTAGGCCGGCCAAGGGGTCTTTTGTCACGGAACACTCTCATTTCCAGGGATTTTCGGAGCCACATAACGAAATTTTGTGGCAGACCGATACGTCTTTCGAATTGTCGGTATAAAACGAGCATGTTTGTCGCTAACTATTCGCGCGCTGGCTGGTGGATACCCTAGGCAGACCGATTAAAGTATTACAGGGCGGGTATTCAAACGCAAATTCTTAACAATAGATTTCAAGGAAAGGACCTGTGGCCCAGTTGGATAAGGCTTCGCTCTTATGTGATCCACCCGAAAGGGAGATTCCATGATAATATAGCGACGATCGGCGGTTCGAGCCCGCCCTGGTCCAATCAACTTTTTTTTTTATTGCTAAATTTTTTGATCGCTCTTGTATACCATCCTTCCAAGAATCAGTTTTTCTCTTCTAAAGAAGATGAAATGGAATTTTTTTTTTTTTTTTACCGTGGTGAATTCTGCAGTGCCCGTATGTCCTCATCGAGACTGAAAGTAGACTTGGGTAAATACCCGTTGTCAGAGTAGCCATACTCAAGTTGCTATAATTACAGGCCCAAAAGGCTTCTTATGCTGCTTTATCTCAGCACAACCAGCAAAATACTAATCATCCCCTCGCGAGATTCACACGATCGTCCCCGCAGTTGAGTAACGGTCTCGTTCTTGGACCCTGACAGCTAGTGCGATCATGTGATCTTCTTGAGAGTCAACACCCCGCCATTCCCGTTATAGACTAGCGCTCTTGCCAAGAAGCCAGGTCGACCCAAGTCACGGGCCATAATAAAGCACAATCCAGACCGGACGTTGGATTACTTCACGAATCTCGCCTGCTCCAGCCCCAAACTTCTCCGGATCCCGTCGCGGATCACTCCTTTGATACTCCTCCATTGACCACTTCACCCCCTGACCCCGCCGGGGGTTGTGGCCATCATGTCATCGCGTACGTTGCTGCCCGCCGCCCCTCCTCCCCTGAACATGCGAGGTTCTAATGCATCACTTCTCCAACAGTAAAGCAGTTCATTCGAAATGTACGCTCGGCAAAGACTATTGCCGACGAGCGGGCAGTCATCCAGAAGGAAAGCGCCGCCATTCGAGCCTCATTCCGAGAAGAGAGCCACGACTCGAACATCCGGTTAGCTGCCCCAACCATCCATTCCTCGTTGACCGTACCGGCATCTAACTTCCCACAGGAGGAATAATGTGGCCAAACTGCTTTATCTCTTCACCCTTGGAGAGCGAACTCACTTTGGTCAGATCGAATGCCTGAAGCTCCTCGCTTCTCACCGATTCGCCGACAAGCGATTGGGATACCTGGGGACCATGCTATTGCTCGACGAGAATCAGGAAGTTTTGACATTGGTCACGAATTCTTTGAAGAAGTGAGTGGCTCAAATATTCAGATATCGACAGGGGAGCTGCATGCTAACAAACGTAGTGACCTTAACCACTCCAACCAGTATATCGTCGGCCTCGCTCTCTGCGCCCTCGGCAACATTGCTTCAATCGAGATGTCTCGTGACCTGTTCCCTGAAGTCGAAAACCTCATGTCCACAGCGAACCCTTATATTCGACGGAAAGCGGCGATTTGCGCGATGCGGATATGTCGCAAGGTCCCCGATCTGTACGAACACTTCCTCGAGAAGGCCAAAAATCTCCTCGGAGATCGGAACCACGGTGTTTTGATTTGCGGTCTCACATTCGCGACGGATCTTTGCGAGGCAGAGGAGGAAGAGGAGGGCCCGGAGGGCGTGATCGAGATGTTCCGGCCGCTGGCCGGAGGCCTCGTGCGTGCTCTGAAAGGGCTGACAACCTCCGGCTATGCCCCAGAGCACGATGTGTCCGGCATCACAGATCCGTTTCTTCAGGTCAAGATTCTCCGGTTCCTGCGGGTATTGGGACGAGGAGATCCCGCTACTAGCGAGCTGATCAACGATATTTTGGCCCAGGTGGCCACCAACACGGACTCGTCAAAGAACGTTGGCAATGCCATTCTTTATGAAGCTGTTCTCACAATCCTGGATATCGAGGCCGACTCCGGTTTGAGGGTGCTAGGTGTCAATATTTTGGGTAAATTCTTGGCGAACAAGGACAACAATATCCGTTATGTTGCTTTGAATACCCTAAATAAGGTCGTTGCGATTGAGCCAAATGCGGTACAGAGACACCGCAACACCATCCTGGAATGTCTGCGGGATCCTGATATTAGCATTCGCCGGCGAGCGCTCGATCTCAGCTTCATGTTGATCAACGAAAGCAATGTGCGAGTGCTTGTTCGGGAGCTCCTGGCTTTCCTGGAGGTTTCCGACAACGAGTTCAAGCCGGTTATGACGACTCAAATTGGTATTGCCGCGGACCGATTCGCGCCTAATAAGCGTTGGCACATGGACACCATCCTCCGGGTTCTCAAGCTGGCTGGGAACTACGTCAAAGAGCAAATACTTTCTTCCTTCGTCCGCCTCATTGCGACCACTCCAGAGCTGCAGACCTATGCTGTTCAAAAGCTCTATTCTTCCTTGAAGGAGGATATCTCACAAGAGGGACTCACGCTTGCTGCAGCCTGGTCTATCGGTGAATATGCCGATAGCCTGTTGCAAGGTGGTCAATACGAGGAAGAAGAGCTGGTTAAGGAGGTCCGGGAAAGCGACATTGTCGATCTGTTTACCAACATCCTCAACAGTACCTATGCCTCGCAGATCGTGGTTGAATATATCATCACCGCATCCATGAAACTCACAGTGCGTATGTCGGACTCTGCCCAGATTGAACGCCTGCGTCGCTTCCTCAGCGGCCGAACTGCCGACTTGAGCGTCGAGATTCAGCAGCGTGCCGTTGAATACACCAATCTGTTTGGATACGACCAGATTCGCCGTGGTGTTCTCGAGCGCATGCCTCCTCCTGAGATCCGTGAGGAGCAGCGTGTGCTTGGTGCCCCGAGCAAGAAGCGTCAGAGCAAGATCGTTCGTGGCAAGTCCACTAAGACGTCTAAGCCCGCCGATCACGACCTGCTTCTTGACCTGATGGGTGGTTCCGATGCCACCGTGACTAGCCCGACTTCCAACGGCTCAAACACCGCCGATCTGCTGGCAGATATTCTTGGCGGAGACTCAGGTTTGTCCTCGCCTGCTCCTGCGCCCGCGGCTCAGAGCAGTTCCAACAAGAACGACATCATGGGCCTCTTTGGCTCGAATGGCGCCTCGCCCTCTCCCCAGCCGAGCCAGCAAGCCTCTTCCGGGCTCGACCTGCTAGGAGGTGGAATGGGCGTTTCTGCCCCTTCTCCTTCTGCCTCTCCTGCCCCGGTTTCTGCTTCGACTCCTGCACACACAGCCTTCAACAAGGATGGACTTGTCCTCGCACTGCAAGTCCAGCGAAGTGGTAATACTGCTCAAATCATGGCTCGTTTCCGCAACGAGTCTAACTTCGACCGCTTCTCCAACGTCGGCTTGCAGGCTGCTGTGCCTAAAAGCCAACGCCTGCAACTGAGCGCCATCAGCAAGGCTGAGTTGGACGCCGGTGAAGAAGGCACCCAGACACTGCGTGTGACTGCATTGAATGGGGTATATCTTTATCCTCTCCTTATCAACTAATTGTATGATTGCTAACAACTCCCTACCAGGCCCTGCCGCCGAAACTTCGTCTCCGTCTCCGAGTGACATCTTCGCGGGACAACTCAGACCCAGTCACGGACCAAGTGGACTGGACCGAGCCATAAGCACTAAAACCCTTGTCTTGCCCCCGGCTTCGATGGCAGTCTTTGGAACTGACCACTTAAACGCATAGGGAATGTGAAGAATAGAGAGTGCATAAAAGTCTTCTCCGACGAATGTCTTTAATCTTTTCCCTTCCAAAACACCACTGCCCTATCCTTTACACCCTAGTCCCCCGCCTTTTTGCCCCTTTTCAATCCCACATCCTCACCCTCATCTAGACTTTTATTTTACTTTTTGATTTCTTGTTGCTTTTCAGGAGGGTGGGGAATTTCCATGTACATGCTTCGTTAGCAGATGATTAGCGCATGAGCCAGAAAGCAAGTGTTGCATGGTGCGAATCAATCCGATGGTTTAAACGTGTTATTCCACTTCGTAGTGGGGAGTACAATCGTGTTGAAAAGAAACCTCGTATGCATGTCGACCATGTCGATCACATGGGACAGCCTCTGACGACTGTTCTTGAATTGGCGATTACTAAGTGCAGCTCATTTAGGAACAATTGTGTATCGATCTACCATCTAATGCGATAGGCTGATAGCCAATCGATGCATCGAATGGCTGTTGGTAAACTGTCTTTTCCGACAGCCAATGATGGGACTGATGGCTTGCCAAAGTCGATGTATCGTGTTGCAGCTCTGGACTTTCTCAAGGTAATTTACCGGGGCTTTTTTCTTTCTCTCTTTCTTAAACCTCTACCACTCCCAAAGTTCACTATACACTTCAAAATTCATACTTGCAGGGGATACTTTAACAATACGACTTCCCTCAAGTATCTTAGATGGGTCACACCACGCACCGAGTTTCTACGATTTTCATAGCATGTCTCACGAGAGCTAGTATCCTATCCTCCAACTTCGAGCCGATAACCCAGGAGATAATAAAGAGATGTAGATAGCTCTGCCAACGGGTTGCCAAAATGTATGCCCCCTATCCCCTCACAGCCCCGGGAATGAGTAGACGGCCACCATGTGTGGTAATAAAGTAGCTGATATATAGTGAGCTGCCATTATCGCCACAGCTCATCTAAGCAAGCGTAATTAGGGTACAGTGAAGAGAAGTTGATCGGGCCGAGACCGAATTTCATAATACTAGGACACAGCCGTACTTGGTCCACTTCGGGATGTGGTGGACAGCATCGCCTAGACAGAAGCACTAACGTCAGAAGCCAAAAGCAGCGACATCAAGACCGCGAAAGGATACTCAAGGGCTTCGAAGCGAGAAAAATGAGAGCAAAGTAAACTACCTAAGTTTCATATCCACTTTCGCTTCGCATCTTCCAGTTCAGCTTCACATCCTCTTCAAATTCACCTTTTCTCCTTCCACCTCACGTCTCCTTCCACTTCACTTTTTCTCCTTCCACCTCACATCTTCATCTCTTCATATCTTCTTTCACTTCGTACTCTCTTCTTCCAGATTGCATCCTCTTCCAATTCATCTGTCCTTCCACTTCAGCTTTACATCTCCTTCTTGACTAGATTGCCTTTCCCTTCAACATTCTCATCCATGCTTCGGGTCTGGCGGGGTCGTCAACATCGTCCCGTAATTCCCTTTTACATCTCAACCATACCCAACGATACAGACGGTCTAAGGGCCACCGCAAAGATGTTGAGCGACCAACCGCAAGGGATACTTCAACTCATCTCGAGCCAACTCGAGGCATGCGACCTTGGCCATCTGATCGCTACGTCGCGTCATTTATACTGAAAATTGCAGGAGAGTCTCTGCACCAACGTGACTCTGACCACAGGGAACTACTACTGCGGAAAGGCAGTCGAATCTTTTTTGTACGCTGTGATCCAAAGCCCGCTCCCCCCAGCTACGTTCGGGTTTTGAGGGTGGATGCTCATCCGTGGATACTCAGACGGAGAATTCCTTCGAAGTATGGCAGCACTGCTGTGGGACCGGAGGGTCGAATTGGATGGTGGCCATCTGTTTACTGTCCTAGAGAGGGGTTGCTTGAAGGGCTCGCTATGTCATGGCAATTCAGTGATAGGGGTCTGGTACGAAAATTGGCCGTGGGAGAGGGTGATTGGCCCAAAGACGAATTGGACGACTTGACCGCCAGACTCGATACGTTGAATGTCGAAAAAAGCGATTTCGTACGAAGACTTGTTGAGGAGAGGACGGAATACTCTGAAGAGGAAAGAACTGAATGGTTGAAAAATCTCACTTGGCCAGACCATTAAAGTGACTGGTTGGCACTGCTTCCCCGAAATTGAAGAACCTGCAGAAGCTCAGTTTTCAATGGCCGCCAGCTTCGGAATTGAACAAGTTCCTTACCAGAGAGCTGAAAAGTCCCGGGACAGCGAAGTACCCATATTCCCTCACCTCGAAGTCTACATCGCCTCCGGTCACCGCACCGCATTCCACTTCCACGATCTGAATCCATTTTTCAAATTTCATCTCTGCGGAAATTGGAATGTTGGAATGTCGGCCCAAGAGAATCGGATCCGCTCAGTACAACAAGCATTGCCCCTCGAAGTCCAAACATATCTGTGATCGATTTGAAACACGCCAACAACTCCAAGGGATTGTTCGAGTGGATTGAAGGCTGTAAAGCCTTGGTATCTTTCCGGATCTCCGATGGACCTCCTGAATCTGACTTTGACGATTACGACCATCGGAAACTCTGAGTCACTCTGTCTCCATAAGTCTACTTTGGAGTCAATTTGGACCCGACCTTCAGAGAATGACATGCCAGACTTCATTTGGGGCGTCAGCCAGTCTGACTACATGGAATCATTTGCGGATTTTACAGCTTTGAAAGCCTTTTGCATTTACGTTCGCAAATCTGTGCAAGTGGATGAGCACGGATGGCCTTCACAAAAGCTGGATGATCTTCCTTCGTCGCTGGAAGTGCTCCTCCTCGCAATTAATGAGGCAGGCAATGAATCACATTTACAAAAATCTGGAGGACTTGGCCCAGTTGGTCAATTGGACTAGGTTCCTAGACTAACTGCAATCCAACTCGAGATCTTCCGCCTAGTCTATCCCGAAGATGATTACCCGCCTGGAAGCACTCCTCCCCAGACCCAGTGGGGATGCGCCAAAAGCGCGAACATCGCGAAAGCCAAGTAGCTACAGGAGGACTGTGAAGAGGCTGGGATCTTCCGCCGTGTGTCTCATTCCCCAAAATCGTAGATGACAGAGGGAGAGCGAAGCCAGGACTGTATGTGGCATGAGGCGAGAACTCTAGGACATAGACGTGTGCCAAAGGAGCCATACCAAGATCACATGGGCGAGTATGAGCTTCAATGGGGGGATGGGAGGTGATCATAGAAAGGACCATCTGGCTACTTTCACAAGATCACATTCGATTTGATTATTTGGAAAATCCAGAAAACATTTGATTTCGGCACAACTCGTATTTGCTTGTATGGATTAGGCTGTGCTTATGACATGGCGCAAACCTACGGCGAACAACTTCATTGTGCTTGTAATTATCAAGAGAGGGGGAAATATCATTGGACAAGTGTTTTGTGGCATGGTGCGTTGGGCTACATAACCCAGTGGCAACCAGTCGAGTTTCGGACGCCTGATTGTAATGGAATGTTTGTTTTCATATATCTATAAATGCACATTCTACGTAAACAGAATGATGCTAGCTAGACCTCCCCCCAAAAGCTAGCCGAGTAAAGCGAAACTAATTCCGAAGAGTCCACTAAAGTGTTCTATTGAAAGGCAATATAAAGTCAGATGCTCAAGGTATATAAGGAGATCGAAACGAGAGAGAACGGAACGCAGTGAAACTCCGATATCAGCGCATTAGCAGAATGCAGGATCGCGGTGAGCGTGTGGGGAGAGGGGGAAGATGAGCGCATGTCTCAAGTCTGCAGTAAACCGTAACTAACAGGTTGAGTTAAAATGTTATATAAGACGCCGTATATCCGCAAGGGACATACGATGAAAATGCTTAGTGATGCTCGATCGGCTCCTCAGGAAGCAAGAGTTGGCCTTCTCTTCCGTTACGAGGAAGACAGGCCTTCAGAGGGGGCTGGATGATGTCGTTGAAGAGAAATGTACCGTAGACAAGGAGGCCAAAGCCGGCAACTTGAAGCCATTTGAAGGACTCCCAGCCAAGGCCCAAGGAGACGAGCCAGATGAAGAGGGTACGACAGGTGTCGATTGTGCTGCGTGAGGTGGCTGACACGGTGCGTGTAACAGACAGACCGAAAAAATTGAAGCCACCGATGCTGATCATGATCAAGACACTCGAGACGGCCACGGCGCGGTTGCTCATCACTTCGTGCCAACCTTCCTTCAAATCGAAGTAACCGTAACGTCCCGCCTCCGTGCTTCCGACAGCAGCATACAGAACCAACATACCGACGAATGTAACAGAGAACCCGAAAATGCCTTCCCAGCCCACGACCTGCATGGGATCCATGGCATAGTTCTCTAGAATCCACTCCTCTAGCACGAATTGCGAAGCGGTGAATATTTGTGCTGCGGCGATGAGGAGGACTCCAACTATAGTTTGAACTGCTTCGGGGGTGCCGGTAGTCTTGGGAGAGACACCGTCATCCTGTGTGATGTCATGGCCACTGTCGCCGCTGAAGAGCGCACCGGCGAGACCGACCAGGGCCACACCGAGGACAACAACAAAAAGAGCACTCCATTGGTAAAGATAGAGCTTTCGACGAAGGAATATCACACTGAAAAGACCAACGAAGAGGACCAGCGCTCCTCGGGTCATTTGGTAGATACTAGCAGCGACAAAAAGCAGACCCACGTTCATGAGAGTTGTGCCAGTCAGGTCACAGCAAGATGGGGCCGCAAGAAGGAAGACTCTCCAGCCCCGGAGAGGAATTCGGCCATCATTTTCGTCAACCGGCTTAACATGCCGTTGATCAGCTGGTCCGTCGATCGTCTGGTCTTCGTTGTCGTCAAAGCCGCCATCCTCGTCGTGTACGGGACGATAACCGCCAGCAAGGAGAGGGGAATGGTCGCGAGAAATTCGGGGGGCGATAAAGTTCTTGTATACAATGGACAGGCCGAGGACCAACCAGCAGCCCATCTCACCAATAAACATCTGCGCGCTGTTCAAAGAAGCAATCGTCAGTCATTAATCTTCGAGTTGGGTGACCAGCAAGACACGACACCCATGTAAGCCAGGCTTAGAGAGGACACGTACGTCTGAATGACCGGCTGTTCGAAGAGCTTGGGATCATCGGATTCGCAGTCGCGAACACATTGCATGTCCTTTGAGTCATGTCTGCTTAGCTGAAGCGTCCGGCTTCTTGGGCTCCGAGGGTCCCCAATATTTCGAAGATACACACCTGGTACTTGTTGAGGATGGTGTTGCAAACCCCGGTCACGAGCATCATCGTGACCAGGAACGGGATAATAGCGCGGTTCGCCATGGTGTCCTTACTGTGAAGAACACTTGCGAACGAGGGAGGCGAGGAGACGAGGTTGGAACAAAGCGGAGAAGCTTATCGGGTCCACGTTGGAGATAAGATGGCCAGCTGACGTGATGGCTGTTCACCGCCCCGCAGATCGCCCGAAGTGTTCTGAAGTATGCAGCTGACCCTGAGAATGCACGCTAGTGTTCACGCGTGTCGAGCTCAGACATGGCCTGCGTCAGACCTGGATCGTTTCAGCTTGGATCAATCTGTAGCATCCTAATGTTGTTTTATTCGTGTTATGAAAAAGTACTTACTGGGTAATATGAGCCGCTCTCAGCCATAGAACAGTTAGCACCGCAGTTGCGCCACACTGCTCTTTTTTGCGTGCATGTGTCTTGCCAAGTCGAGATGCCCATAATTAAGCACTACTGTGAAGGTCCTGTAGGGAAGCCCAAATTCCGCGCCCACTATTTAATTATCCGGGAAGATCCGTTTGTTTTGCTTGATCGCATTTGGTCTATTTATCCCGGTCCTTTCAACTGATCCCGAAGAAATTCTAAGCTGAAATGCTTCGAAAACTAGACCAAATAACTCATTCACTGAGACAGCTTGAGACGTTGAATTTGGGTATACCTGCCCCAGGTCCAGTTCATTGATGTCGCAGTTCTTCGAAAAACACAGACACGCAAAATCTTCACGCACAGCCGCCTTATTAACCATCGCCCGAGTCAGCTTTATATCGGGTCTGTGATGTAGATTAGGCTCCAGTATCGACCCGTTGCATGATTCTATAGCTTTAATGATGGTTTCCGTCGTAATTTCATGGGAATGTCATTTTCCAATGAGACTTTCGCAATCGCAAGATAGTCGACGTCTGGCAAATTTACGGCGACATTCAGTGCTTCCTGACCCATTTTCACATTGCCGAGTCGTTTTGCGAGAAAGTCCAGAGTACATCCTCTCTCGATCGTCCCCTCGCTGCCGCAAGGGACACTTCAATGTTTGTGTATTCGTTGCAGCGGATCCCACCATGTCCTGGGAGATTTGGAACGTGTCAAGCTGCAGATGGTACTTCATTACCTCCAAGTTGCCCCCTGATGGTGCTGCCACAAGAAGTGATGCACTGATTTGCTTGACTGACTGACATTCCACGATAAGCTTCATCATGTTCAGATTACCCGATGCTACCGCACTCTCGAGATCAGCGTCGCTGAAGGTGAATTCTCCCAATTTATTCTCAAGCATCTGCAACGTCTCAAAGCCAGAATGAGTATTGCAAATAGCAGCATTGATGACCTAAGCAGATGATCTTTCAAGCGTTCCCCTACGGTGCAAAGGCTATCTTGTCATCTCGCCACCAAATTGACGATTTCGCACTTCTCCAAGCATAATATTACATGTGATTGTGTGTCCACCATTTCAACCCAGGAGCCTGGATATTGTCTCGCCATAATCCAACACTTTCAAAGCATTTTCACCAACCGAGTTCGTAAGCTCCATTTCTAGATTGTCATCTAGAATCAGATCTATGAGTTGAACATTTACATACCACCCTCTCATCAAAGAAGCCAGTAAAACATTCTCTGGGATCTTCAAACGGGGCTTGAGATCCAGAATCACTCGCATCATTTCCACTCCTTGAAATCTATTCTGTGAACATTGAGCCATCATCTTGAGCCACATTCCATCATCCACCGGGCCATCAAGTAGAGTTGAGAGGAGCTTTACCATCCCATCTCCAAAAATGGGATTCCTCGCACATAGTTTCAAGGCGCTTGGAGTTATCTCACCACCGGCATCTAGGAGGACCCGGAAACTTTCTGTTGTTGTCTTCACGGCGCCAAATTCCACAATAGATGGAGACATGGGCCATCCAAGATTGAGAAGTTTCTCCAAAATGTCACAATTTCCTTCGCTACTACTTTAATCATAGCGTTTTTGGTCACTTCAATCGAACCGGCAAGCTCGAGAAGAAGCTCTAGCATGAGTATGATATGTTTCTACGAGATATATTTGGCGATAGCGGTCGATATGACATTGCATGTGATGTTTTTTGGGTCACACCTATCTACAAGTTCTTTGAACTCGTCAAACCTCAGCTTTTCCATGGTAATTCCCAGGATCCGAGATGTAATGGTTATATATTTTGAATTGTTGAGATAAGCGTTAGAGACACCAGGTAGCCATGCGCGACGTTTAAGCACTCTTGTGTTTATGTGAACAACGTTATAGTGATCTAACAGCATAAAATAGATTTCTGATTCGAGTACGCAACAGAGTGCATATTCAGTAACTTGCTTGGGTTCGATCATGGCAAGGATCCACCGAAGGGCCTCTGGATCACCAAAATGCAATCAGATTCATCGTTGGGCTGGGGTCCGATTTCACCATATTTGCACCCTTTTCGGGAAATGAATCTCACAAGCGAGGAGCCTTCAGGAACCTTCCTTGAATGTTGCGTCGGCTTAATTGAGGTCACTGACATCCAAATTTATCATGACCCCGACGAGCTTGTGATAGATAAATATATACTGGCAGTGGTGGAAAGCCGGCAATATGGCGTTCTCGCCCATATCTTTGGCGCCCAGAGTATTCAACAGCTGTCTGAACGTGTCCTGTTTAGATTTTCAGCGCAGTACTCAGGCTTAGTTCCCAAAAACTCTCAGGCAGACGGATGAGCGAAGCGGAAGGGTCGAATCCCATCTTCCCTCATGTCCAGGATGACGAAGTTGCTGAGAAGATCCAGAATCAACTCTTCATCAATTTTATCCACTCCAATTCTTACAAAGCCATGATGACTTAGAGGAACTCTTCTTGGGTGAGATTCTTGCTGCGCACACCATCCACTTGAGGGTATTGCGTAACACAGCTTGGTCTGTCTCTTGCGTGTTCTCAAGAGTCCTCTCATGAATATCATCGTATAGCTCACTCAAAGCACGGGAAGACTTAGACAAGGCGGACCGGATATCCTTCTTTTTCCAAACGAATCCACCGAAGACTTTGCAATTGTAACTCGGCCTAACGAAGCCTTAAGACTTGTAAGCATATTGCAACGTCTGATAATATCGTAAATATTAACTCACACGCCGTTAGCCTTGGAAATGACATCCTCCTTTATCAACTGCTTCAGCTCTCCCTTGGTAGACCTTTGTCTGATGTAGACCAGCAGCTGATTTTTCGTGACGGGCCTGTCCGTCTCAAACTCGACAAACTTCCGAATACCATCCGCATTCTCAAGGGAAGTCACCTGGACTCCGGGTAGTTGAATGAGGAACTTGAAAGCTGTCCTGCAATACATGTCAGGATCTTATGTGGATCTGCGCGTTGAGGCTCCACTGTGTTGCACGAACAGTAGAAGTAGGCAAGTGCGCAGCTTTTATCTTGGCTCAAATTCGACATGCTGTCATCAATTATTGTCGATATCAAGCAGCTTTTCTCGGCGCCTTGTATGCCATGCAGCCACAAGACTTTATTCTCTTGATCGTTTTTCGAACTAACGAAGTCAGGATGTTGTACAACCCATCTGCAAGTACCATCGAGTATTCTGCAGTTGATTGTCGTGTGGTGAAAATCATACGGCTGGAACGAGAGCCAGTCCAGTATCTGTTTTCGCTGCGTACCTGTAATACACTATCAGTAAGAGTGCCTTATTGAATGACTGACGGGAGGCTTACTGTCGAGATGATCTTCGATCTGGTTCAGTCGCAAAGTCATCGGCAAGATAGGCTTCTCTATTTGACTCAGCGCATCCCGAAGTAAAGAGATGTCCTTTATTTCCAAGGACATGTTCGCAATTTGGCCAGCAGTATCTCCGTTTATTTCTGCCTCCATCAAGCTGACACAGCGGTCTGCTTCTTGCTCACCGAAGTCCATTTGTCAAAAAATTCTGGAAGTCATTCTGAACAAGGAGCCCGCTCTTCAGCATACATACTCTGCGTTACTGCTGGAAGTAGCGCGTTGATTGGGCAAGGTAGCTAAGTGTCGTAGCATGAAGCCTTACAACCATTTGTTCGAGTTGCTCTGAAGCAGGGGAAGGGCGCAGAAGATACACCTTTTCGATGATTCTGTACGAGCCGTCATTTTGGAAACCCTCTCTACGCCTTCCATGACAATCGAACTTTTTGAAATCATTGGTAGCAATCTGTTATAGAATATTTACTTTTCTAATTACAAGGAGGCTTTTCGAGAGCAGCATACCTGCAATAGAAATCGAACTCCTGCCCATGATAGTGCGGCATGTCCCCCGTCAAACGAAACAGCTTGATCACCAAAATTCTTGGATACTTCAACCGAGTGTGCGACCTTGGCAAGTTTCTCCCGAACAACGACCCTTTTTCGTTGTTTCCCAGGTAAAGTGAACTGCCATATCTTGCGAATGCACGTGTCGTAGGCTTTGCAGGTCGTCTTTCCAAGTTTCACCAGGACATCGAGGTGGTTCATGTTGTTTTGCCGTCGTCGTCAAAAGTGAGGAGCTTTTGGTCAGCCTCATCTAGCGTGGCAAGACTAGAGGTCCATAGCGATTGCGAGTCGGCCTGGAAGGTCATGGTTTTTTACGCTTGCCCAGAGGCAAGTTCGTAAGAGCCAACCCCCGAAAATAAAACGAGAATACGTGTCGAAGGGTTTCGAAGAGGGTTTGATGGGTGTCATTGCTGATATCAGAGTCGAGTAAGTAAGCTGTCTGTGGAAAGTCACCCCCTACCTCAGTCCCTCAGATCACGTAGCTGGCGCACAGCAGTTCCCATTTACCGCCCTGATATATGAAGGCAGTTCTAGACAGCGGCCTCAGACAGCGATGAATATAGACAAAAGGCAGATGAAGAAGACATCGTGCGGACAGGAAGTCTCATCTACGTCGGACAGTCACGGTCACATGACCGTTTACACCGTCCAAACAAGAATAACTTGTATTTCTTGCGCATATTCTCTATTCCTAAGCAATAACTCTCCTCCACACCTTAGCCGGCATCGGCCCGGGACTCAAATTAGTCGTTTCTCTAACAGGTGGATCCCAATCTGGGCCTGGCAAAGCAAATTCAAATCGATGAACCAACGAAGCCACCAAAACCGTCTGCTCCAGATAACTGATATTCCGACCAATGCAGCCTCTCGCCCCAGTACTGAAGGGTAAAAAAAACGGCTGCAGCGCCTTCCCATCCTCACCAAGCCACCGCTCCGGCTTATAGGTATCATGATCCTTGAAAATAGACTCCTGATGATGAACCACGTACGCCGACATGCTGACCGAGGTATCACCAGCCACAAAGTCATCCAAGATAGGCATTCCTTCCACTGGCGTGCGTCTCGGCAGCCCGAAGATAACAGGCGGCATCATGCGGAGGCTTTCGTCAATACAAGCACGGAGGTAGGGGAGGTGCTTAACCTTCCCGTACGGCGCGACGACTTCATCGGTCTCAAGGACCTCGTCGAGTTCGCCCCGGAGTCTCGTGAGGCAGTGGGGGTTCTTCAGTAGGAAGAACATCACGTTTCGCAGGGAGATGGCTGTCGTATCGTGGCCCGCATTCATCATGATATTGATCTCGGCGACGATCTCGCCCCATTCCAGATTATGCGGTGATTCGTTCTTATCCTCCATCATGGCCGTGAAGAAGTCGTCCAATTTCTCGCCGGCCAGGTACCGGTTCAATCGGGTTGTGGCGCGGTTATAGATGATTCCGCCCCAGTCGCCGTCCAACTTCCACATTTTCCGGTAGCTGGACGATACCATCTTGCTGATACGTTTGAATGTTTTGAACCAGTCATAGGCCCAGACGAGTTGGTACGAGACTCGGCCTGTGGCAGCGTGGCATTCGCGGAATGAAACCTCCTTCACTGTCCCATCCTTGCTCTCGGACTTGACGACGTCAGAACCCTCGTTCAGAAAACCGAGATCTTCACTCAACCCGATATTCGCAATAGCAGCCGCAGCAAAGAGAACAGTCCACTCGCGGTAGTCGATAGTCAAATCCTCCTTCCTCGGCAACGAATTCGGTGGCAAGGGTGCCGTACAACGCTTATCGAAAGCCTTGATGAGTTTCCCACTCACTTCCGCAACCTTGAACTCCCATTCTTCGAGATTCTTGACTGCATAAGCACTGGACAGCACCTTCCTCTTCCGGGCGTGGTCCTTCTTGTCGACGACATCTGCAAGATGGGAATGTGAGCCACCCGTCTCGGAGTAAAAGCGATCCTTGATACAGGCTGTCCCATGGCCGTAGATATCCTTGATGGCGCTGGGGTCCGAGTAGGAGAGTGCGTTTGGACCGATCCGGAGAACGGGGTGTTTCTTGTGTGCTTCGAAGAGGTTGCGGGAGCGGAAGCCCTTGTGTGCTTCGTAGACGAAAGGGAGGTCTGAGATTCCGGAGAGTGTGTAGAAATTCGGGTATTTTCGAAGACCTTTTGCGTCGTAGAAGTACTTTGCAACTGGGATGACCAGGAAGTATACGCTCATGAACAGGGCGACTGCGATCGCATACATCTTGTTCAGGGCGCTGTGAGAGACTGGTTCATTTTGGAAAGCTAGAGACGGACGTTTTGTGTCTGATATACCACAGGATCTGAGGCTGTATCGGGGAGGGGATCGGAGTATTGCATCAAGTAGCTCGTGATGACTTGTTCGGCCGGCGAAGATCAACCGAAGAGGAGAATCTCGCCGACACCGTGGGCGGATCGGGAAATAATCCTTTACCCCCACAGCTGTGGATTTTCCCCTGGGAAACCCTGCATGAGTTGCCCATCTCCCCGGCCCTGCAAGTGCGGAGATGTGTCGGGATGGACGCACTTGAAAGGGCAGTGGACGCCGAGTGGGTGGAGAGCCGATGATCAAAATACTCGAAAGGGAAAGGAGTGGCGAACGGGTCGGAGACAAAGATATCAACCTTAGTATGACTTCACATTTACAACTTACTCGTGCTTTACGCAGTCAATTAGAAACAAATGAATGATCTCATCTACTGTATAAGTACAGCATAGCTCGCTTTCCTCTCCCATACGACTACTTCACACCCTTGGTGTGTTGCCGAGGCTCGTGGTTATTCTGCAAGTCTAGTCCTGTTATCAACTCCAGCAAGTCTATTTGACTTGGTCTACATCCATTTTTAGTCTATATCTACAAAAGATACGCATCATGTGAAACCCATTGTATTGACAAAAGGTATGAGAAATATGCACTAACATCAAAGGCCCTCACCTAGTACCCGGCGGCGGCTCAGAAAAAAAAGAGGACCCATCTTTTTCCCACACAAACGCCATCGCTGGACCAGCTTGATGGGAATCACAAAAAGGAAAAATAAAATAAAAAATAAAAAAGATGTCCGAACGGGGGTTGTCGCTTCAAGGATATGATGGCAAAGCTCAAAAAGGGAATGGAAAAAAGGGGAGTCCCGCGTTGGGTATGATACACACGCTTCGCCCCCAGTTCAGAAAAGAAAACAAAAAAAGAAAATAAAAGGAATGGGAAATGGGTAAAAATGATAAAGCAAATCTCCATGTACGCCAGACGAGCCGCCGCAAATTTGGAAAAAGAGCATCATGATATCGGTTCGGCCTCGTTTTCCCTACATTAAAAGGAGGAAATGGAAACGGGGAAATGAAAGCGAACTCGAAGAGAACAAAGAAAAAAAAAAAAATTTCAAAGATCCAGAAGATAAAAGGAAAGAAATAGAGAAAGAAAGGCGTAACTATCGTTTCATGATGGATGTCCACTCAAAGAGTAGAGGATGGTAGATGTCGTAGATGGTCAGGTCAATACGTGCGAATGATCGGCTGCGCCGGAACAATCTCATCATTGTTCTCCTTCATTCGACGTTCGACGAGATCCCAATCAACCTCGAAAGGCTTGGTGGGATCGTTCTCATCGCGAATGATCAAGTCTTCTGGAAGGTTCATCCACTCATTAGTGGCCGTCGCAGAAGCTTCATCCCAGGGCTCAAAGCCGACCATCGGGAGCGCATCGTCCTCAGGCTTTGCATCAGGAGTCAGAGTTGCAAGCGCGGCGTCGAACGAGTCAGGGGTATCTTCGGTCTGGTCCTGAGTGAACATGTCGGCGTTCATGAACTCCTCGAACGGATCGGAGCCAAGACGACGGCGTCGGCACTCGGTGATGACGGGCGTGACAGCATCTTGAATCGCGTCCAAAGAGAACTGGCAATCCGCCCATGGATCCTTCTGTGCCTTGTCTTGAGCCGGCGTCTTCTGAGCGTCCTTATTGGGAGAGGGGTCGGGGATGTTCTTGGTGGATTGATTGGGCGTGAGTTGCTGCGCTGGAGTCGCCGGAGAGGCACCCTTGGCGCCGAGTTGACTGGTGGCACGTGCCATCGGGGTGCTGCTCGCAGTAACGGGAGTCGCAAGGCCATTCTTGCCTGGGGAAGCAATCTTTGTCTTGTTCATACCCGGAGGCGGACCAGGAACCAAAGGAGCGGGCGGGGTGTACTTCTTGATGGGCTGGCCATCTTTGCCGAGGCCAAGACCGCTGGAAACAGCGTCGAGATACCACTCGAGAGGATTTTCGATGTTCTCTTCCTCGGGCTGGTGGTCTGCCTCGACGTGGTTGTCTAGAGCAGCTTGGGTGGGGAAGCCCTGGAAATGGAACGGGCACTCGACGACGCTGCACTTGAAAGCACCGACGGGAGCTGCGGGGGCAGCAGTCTTCGCGTCCGCCATGGCTTGCTTCTGCTTGGCAGCAGTGGTGGGAGTTGCGGTAGCTTGAATGGGTGAGGCACTTGGACCACCAGTGTGCGACTGCTTTCGCTTCTTGGGCGGTGGCAGCTTGAGTTTCTCCGGTGGAAGGCCACCAGGTCCGTAGACGTGCGGAACTCCCTGGGGGGAAGGTGCGCCAAACGGCGCAGGCGGGTGCGTAGCAGAGTGGCTGGAAGCGCGTCGGGTGCGCTCCAGAGCCTCTTCTTGTTGCTGCTGGAGCTGCTGAAGGTTGGAGGCATTCAGTGGCGTATTATTATTATTATTATTTGCCTGTGCTGCCTGGTTGTTGGGCTGCGCCTGGTTTCCGTTGTTGGTTCTGCTTTGGCTCATCCGAACCATCATCACCTGGAACAGCTTCCGAATGAAGAGGATAGAACCGGTCAAGTAGTCGCGTGTGATAGTGAATTGATCATTGACAATCCACTCCTGTGACGGCTTGAATTGTCGCATCAGTTGCACGCGCATAGCCAGAAGGTTCCTGACATTCTTCTCGTGTCCTTGCATCTTGCCGAAAGCATGCATCACCAGCAGATCAAGCCGACCAAGAACATCCAGGGAATCACGAAGGAGCTGAGTCATGGCCGCCTTCTGGTCGGGAGGGATAGGGAGAGGCTGGGACATGGGAACGTTCTTTGAGATTTCGTTGTAGTATTCCATAATCTTGGGCGGGAGATTATTATTCCACGCTTCTTCCGCAGCGGCCCTGTTGAGGACCGGGCCGCGGAACTGGCTCTGTTGCTGGCGTCGCATGTGAGCCTCAACTTGCATTCGCTGCTGAGGGTTCATTGTCGCAAATTGTTCATTGGGGAATGCCATGTTGGGTCGCGGAGCATTGGCGGGAGTTGTGGCAGGCTGAGGTTGCTGGGCAGAGCTGGCGACAGAAGTAGTAGCAGCAGCGACAGCAGCTCCAGTTTCGTCAGTACTGGGGCGCTTCCGAGGGTTCTGGTTCTGGTTCTGCTTGGCAGCAGCAGCAGCAGGAGTTGCCCTGGGGCCCTTTCCGCCGGCAGGTCCAGCCTGGGGTTTTGCGCCAGATGTTGGGGTTTCGATACCACTCGTCTGGGGCGGCTGACCCATCGTAGGGGGCTTGACCGGCTGAGTGTTCTGGGACGTGGACATATGCGGCTGGCGCATGGCCTGGTTCTGACCAGGCGGCATGTTTCCGGCCAGTTGGGCCTGTGCCTGGGCTCGCTGCTGGACAGAATGCATGATAATTGCCTTCTGGCGGCTTCGGAGAAGGTCGCGGATGTGTTCGTCGGTGTACTGCGGCGCATTATCTCCCAGCTTCGCCCGAGCCACCTGGATGTCATTGGCCGTGATCGGTCGCATTGGGGGCATGCCGTTAGGCTGCGGCTGACCAGGTTGGAAGTTCTGTGCATTCGGAACTTGGCCTTGGGGCGTCTGTTGGAATGGGTTGGTCAAGATGCCCTGGCCGTGACCGTTCGAATTCTTCGCCTGTTGGACATTCAGGATTTGTCCAAAGTGAAGCTTTTGCAGCGTCAGCAGCTTGCTCATATCAATGCCAGTTGCGCTTTGCGGGTTGGCGGCAGCCCATTGTTTGAGTTGACCCCAGGTCTTTATGTGTTTCGGGACAGCGGAATTCTGATTCAGAAGAGATGCCGGGAAACTGGCACGGTCCATTTCCTTGCTTTGTTCGGGGGTCATCTCTATGCCGTTATTTTGTTGACGGAGCAGTGCGAGCTTTTGCATGTCGCTCCGCTGTTGCTGCAACATCGCTCGCTGCTGGGGGGTGAGTTGCTGACCACCGGGGAATTGCTGAGGTCCTCCCGCGGCCATGCCTTGGGGCATGCTCATCGAGTTCCGCATCCGAGGATTATTTCCCATCTGGCCATTGAACATCCCTTGGGCCTGGCCTGGCTGCCCCATGGTCTGCTGGGGGCCACCGGGTTGCTGGTTGGGGTTATTTCCCCGCTGCATGTTGTTTGCCAGGGCGGTACGACGCTGGTTCGCAAAGTATGCCTGCACTTGCTCATTGGACATCATACTCAGTTGATCGGCGATCTGCTGGGGAACACCGGGAGGAATCTGAGGTCGAGCTTGCATGCCGGGCTGAGACGCTCCCCCTTGAACGCCTCCAGGTTGCTGGCCCATGTTGGGGGCTCGGGACGGAGGACGAGATTGAGCAGGCATCTGAATGGGCGACATTTGACCGGGTGCCATGGGCTGGTTCAGCGTGGACATACCTGGGCTTCCCTGGCCCAAATGCGACTGCGCCTGGGCATTTTGTCCAGACATAGCCATCTGGGCCTTTTGGGCAGCCTGGGCCCGAGCCTGAGCTTGGGCTTGAGCGGCTTGCGCCTGCTGGGACTGTTGGTTTTGGAATTGCATACGATCCTGGGGACCGTTCGATCCAGTCTGCTGCATGTGCTGCGGGTTGAACATCTGCGGGTTGACACCTGCGCCATTCATGTTCGCCTGGCCGTTCTGGCCCATCTGCTGGCTGAACATGTTTTGGTTGTTGGGGAAAGGCGTCTGGTTTATCTGCGACGAGCTCGCAGGGACCACGAGTTGGCCTGCTTCCTGCGAACGTAGGCCATCGGCTTGCTGACCTTGAATGTTCTCCACATTACCAATAAACGCGTTTGAGTCGAGCCCTTGTCCGGGGTTTCCAGCGAAGGCACTGTTGCGCTGCAGGTTCATCATGTTCTGGAACATCTGTCGTTGCTGAGGGTTCATGGTCGCAGGATCGCCCATCATGGCGCCGTTCGGATCAAGGCCGGCGTTGGGCATCCCGGCCATCTCTTTGGCGCGCTTGTGTCGTCGGAGCTGGTTCAGAGCCTGCGAGCGAAAGAAATAGGTCATGGGGTCCATGTTCTTCGAAGCCAAATACTTTTGTTGATCGGGACCCATGTTCGACAGGTTGAGCTTGATTTTCTCCATGTCCTCGGCCGAAGTCTTGGCCAGCATCTGGTTGGCAAGTCGAATCACTTGTTCGAGGTCCATCGGAGACAGGTTGTTCAAGTCATCTGGGAGGGGCGCATTGCCCGCACGCTGCTGAGCCGGTCGCTGCTGTTGTTGCTGCAGCATGGCGGATTGTTGCTGTTGCTGGCGCTGCATGAGGGCCTGTTGCTGGCTGGGGTCATTCATGCCCATGCCCATGCTCATCTGGGGCTGGCCAGGAACGGGGGACGACTGCATCGCGCGATTCATCTGAGGAAAGCCACCCTGCATTTGGTTCTGCATGGCGCCTGCCTGCGGCATCATGCCGCTTTGGAGGGCAACGGCAGCCTGTCTTTGTCGGGTGTCTTTGATGTGAAGGAGTTTTTCGTTGCACTCTTTTTCGTAATCGCTCTGAACGCGAAGAAGACGAAAGTCAGTTGACGGTGGTCACAAGATGGGTTGGGTTGATTCGATGGATGGTGGAGGCAAAGGAAACGCGGAGTCAGAAAGAGTGGAAGGAGAGGGGCAGAAAGGAAAATGGACGCGAGGCAGTGAATGTAGGACAATGAGGGCGTTGCTGGAACTTCCCGGACTTGGGCCAAAGTGAATGGGCGCGGGCGGGACACGGCCGCATTCACTGTGGCCGAGGGAGGGGGGCGCGACAAGTACGGAAACACCATTTACGGACCTTCTCAGTCGCCTTTTGGAAGGCTTTTTGTTCGAAGCTCAAGGCCGCCTGCGCTGCTTGTTGTAAATCGATTCGAGGCTGAATTAGACGAAGGGAGGTAATCCTAAGACGAGACGAGAAAAAGAGGGTCAGCGACAAGGCTTCAGAGGCATCCGTAGATGAGGCAGCATCGTCTACGGATTGAGCAAAAGGCAACCTACATTTGATACACGTTCATGGCTCTAGTTTTGATGGGAACTTCGGCCTTCCATCCACCAAAAGGGCCCTGGTTCGACAAGACCTGAGCGACATGGCCCATGATGATGTTGGCACCCTCCTTCTGTTGCGGCTGCATGCCCGGTTTGACGACGCCGGGCATGGCCCCGCCAGGGTTAGGAAACTGGGCGGGATTCATGACAGCAGCCCCATCAATGGGGAGGGAGCAGTCCGCGAAGGCGAGTCTTTGCGGTCAGCATTCGCTGGATCGCCACGTCGCGGGGAGGGAGGGAGAGGAGGAGGTAAGAGGTTCGACCCAGCAGAGAGGAAAATTAAACGGGCGCGTTGGAGGATGATGCAGGGTCGGGAATCCGTCAAGGTCGCAGATCGGCGGGAAAAAAGAGACGCCGGTGCTGGTGTGGAACCGGGTGGTGAGTCGAGTCGATCAGGGAGGGTGGGGATGAAATGCGTCCAAACGGAGGACGGGAGCGAGGACCAGCAGCGAGCGACCAGCACGGCGGGAAAGCAAGGCGTTCGGGCAGCAGCGTCGATTGGATAGAATTCGCTGACGAAAGCGTGGATGTGGCTTGGAGCGAATGAGGGCGACGGGCGCAATCGTAGGGGTGGATTGGGATCCGTGACAGGGATGCTGCAGCTTGTCAAGTCGCACGGGCAGTTGCTGGGGAGGTGCAATGCGGTGATTTGAGCCTGGGAGAGGGGGAGGGAAGACGCCAGGTCGAGGAATTGCCTGACGAAAAAGCGACGAAAAACGATTGAACCCAGGGCTCTGGAGGGGTGGGTGGTGGGAGATAAAAAGAGGGAGAAAGGCGGACCGCCGAACAAGGTTGGTGTTTCACGAGCCACTCGAGTGCACAGGTCTCTTGTGGAGGGGAACGAACGGACCGGAGGAGGCAAAAAGCCAACACGAGGGATGCTACTACTAGCAGTAGCAGTAGCAGTAGCAGTAGCAGTAGAAATACTATACTATACTATACTAGTATTACTAGTAGTAGCAGAATAATAGCAAAGCAGCTGTCCTCAATCTTGGAAGGGACCCGATGCGGGAAGAGAGAATCGCGGTCACAAGGCTGCCCCGTCAGGTACTCGATGCGGCGAGGATCACGCGGCTCATACTTTGGCTATGCCTGCTTGGGTATGCTTAGTACTACTACTAGTAACTAAGTAATTTCAGGTACATATGCTTTAGTACTGAAATGGCAGTCGCTAATGATTGCCATACTACACAGTCGTAATACTCAGGCTCAAAGTATCTACTCAAATATACATCTCGACTCGTGCCTCCCTCCCACCAATTTCGGCGTCGTCATAATTGTGGACCTCGTTTCACGGCCCCAAAAAACAACGCATCGCCAACATGCCCCGAGTCGGTACCTGGTTTTGCCAATTGTCAGCAATGCACGAGAACAATACAATCATAGTATACTGCTACTAGTATTAAGATCATATTCCCCGGCTAGGGTCAAACATCCCTTTAGTCGATCGCCCATGGGATCGACATCCTGGCTGGATCCGGTTGCGCCCATTGGCCCCGGGATGGTCCCTGGTACCAGATACCTGCTGCCGCTACATTAAGTGGAGCAGCCCGAGGTACCCGGTACTTCCAGGCCCTGGCGAGCTTAAGTCAGCCACTCCCCTGGGAACGTCAACTGTTTCTATATTCGACTTCCCGCTTCGTCACCCACCAACCTCTACGATCCCGCCATGAGCAACGGCTGAACCACACCGTTTCTCTTGCTGTCACCTTCCATCATGATATCCGTTTCCTTGCCGACCGTCTCGGTCGGCTCCAACATCTTCTTCGCTCTCGCCCTCTGCCTCATCTCCGTCTTCGTCCTCTTCATCTTGCGCCGCTTCCTCACCCTTCGCGCCACGCCCGCCTACCTACTCGTCCCAATCTTTCTTGCTCTTGCCCTTCCTGCCAGCGTTGTTCTTTTGGTGCCTATCGATTTGGCGTCAAGTTCTCGCGATGGCAGCGGAGCCAAGGCAATCTGGTTGCCGGACCGCGTGGTTCTCGTTTGCTGGCGCATTGCCTACTGGTTGATCTTTGTGATGACTTGGTAGGTACAACCCCCCCCCCCAGGTATAACAAAACTTTAACTGACAATGTTTCTCGATAGGGCCATCCTGCCTCTGCTTGGCGAGTATGTCGATTCCGGATACCGCGAACCCAAGGCCCGCATCATGTACTCCCTCCGCTCGAACGCCCGATACCAAATGATTGTGCTGGCCTGCGCCACAGTCGGTCTGATTTACGTTTCGATCTCAAACGGGTTCGATTTCACCTCTATCAAGGGTCTAGTCATGGCCTTGGCCTATGTCTGGGGTCTCGTGCTCGCTATCTACCTCATGGGTCACGGGTTGGTCGCGATTCCGCGTAATCTCTTCCGCAATGCCAATGCGAGCGGTCGACTGCGACGGATTCAGGTCCAAGCTCCCAAGATCCACGACCGTCTGATGGATGCCGTCAACGAACTGGAGAGTCTCAATGCGCAGGTCTCGCAGCTCCAGCAGCGCAAGACAGGTACCGCTCGCGACTTCCAGGAGTGGATTGAAGACCTGTCGGAAAGCCCCGGGGCATCCGACGTGCGCGCTCCCATCCTCGAGTCTTCCGAAACCTCCGGCACTATTCCCTCGGTCATCACGGAGCGCTATCTAGCGGATTTGACGAGACGCCTGCAGCGCGCCCGACACATGAAGGCTCGCTTTGTGGATGAGTGGGATCGTCTCGTGCAGTCGGCGTCGGATGTGCAGGCGATTATTAACTCTGCGGCGTCAAAGAAGCTCGACTTTGGCACGGCCCCGCGTCGATCATCTTACTTCCCGCGCGTGAAATTCCTGACTCCATACATTCGCTACCATCTCTATTCTAATGTGATCCCGACCCTGAGACTTGCATTTGGAGCATTTTTTGCCGTGGTCTCTGGCTGCATTGTCTGGTCCGAATTGATCAAGTCCCTGGCCCCGCAGGTGTCGGCAGTCACCTTGACTGTGGTTCCTAACTGGAAGGATGAGAAACCCGTTGGGTTCGGTAGCCAGGTGGCTGCTTCTGCCTGGCTCTTGTACATGTGTTCCGCCGCGCTGGTCGGTGTAAACGATGTGAAGGTCTGGGGCAACCGGGCTCTCGTGCGACGCAACACCTACGGCGAAAGCGCCTGCTGGTACGCCAGTCTGGTAGCCCGTTTGACCGTCCCGATCGCATACAACTTTTTGACCTTCTTGCCCAAGGACTTCCGCCGCGGAACTACTTTCTACGAATTCCTTGGCAAACTCATCAACCTGACCCCTCTCGGCAAAGGATTCGACTTCATTTTCCCGATCTTCATTCTTCTTCCCATCTGCGCAACCCTATTCAACCTCTACGGCCGCATCAAAAAGATTTTCGGCTTCGACCTCGAAGACGACCTCGATGACATCGAATCCAACCCAGCCGGCTACGGAATGGGTGGCTGGCGCGAAGGCCGCGATCTGATCGAGCGCGAGCTGAACGGGTTCGGCTCATTGGCCGTCTCCTCTCGCGGCGCCCGATCCACCTGGGCATCTGATCGCAGTGACGACGACTCGCATGGGTCATCCCGGCTGCGTGTCCCAGCTGCGGAGGGCTCACGATCTCCCCGGCCCACCCAAACCCAAAGACCCATGACAGCCCCCCAAGTCATCGACGGCGAAGACGAAGAAGAAGAAAACTTTTTCCAATCCTTCGCTCACCGTGTACGAAACACCTTTGAGACGACCAATACCCCTCAATGGTTCGAAAACGCCCGCTTACCTCGTTGGATGTCGGGCGATAACACCAATGCGGAAGAGGGGGAATCACGAGGCTCTTTGGAGGCAGCGCTGTCCCTGGTCGCTTGCGACTGGGCTAATTCGCTACGAGTCTTACTAGAGTATTTGCATATCCGGTGTTTGGGTCTTCGCTGCTGGACAGTGTAATATGAAACCTTTTTACTATTGTGTACATATGTTTCGTTGTTCTATGTCTTTAACTATTGCTTATATACTATTTCATTCTATCGGTAGTCTACTCTTGTCACCGTCCTATAAAATGAGCTACTAGCACCTCCAACCGGCCACGTTGCCTCCATCTGATGTACGTAAGTAGCTACGTGAGCTCCCCACCCCTTACCTCGTGAGGAGAAGCTCCATGAGGCCTACTGTACACTAACGTATCAAGCTGCACAAAATCTGAGCCGCTTTCTCGACCCCTTACATCAATCGGAATCAATCAGGTTTGAACGGAACTATCGATGCAGGTCTCGATTCGATCCTGATAGTGTGATCCCATCCAACCCTTAATTATCAATGGCGAGAGTCCACAATTCATACAATAATATCAACTAGTAAATATCTCACAAGGAACAATCCTCATCCCATCCTCATAAAATTCCACAAAAAAAGACCTCCACCTCGCCGCCCCAATCCCCTCTCTGTCCTCGGAAATATACTTCAGAAATTCACCATGGGTAACGACAACAATATCCTCCCTCCCCCCCCCCCCCTCATTCTTAAACTCTGAAACTCGTTTCTGAGAATATCCTTAACTCTGCCTCCCCTCCTCTCCAAATTCTCCATATCAGCCACGAAATCCCCCTCCTTCGCCGGAAAACGTCCCAACTCGATCTCATCCCAGAGGAGACTCGGGAACTCGGATTGTAGGACTAATGGTGTAGAACCTGTGTCGCACAGTCGGGAGGAGTGTGCTTGGATTTCGGGTTCGAGGCGGAGGGTTACTCTTTCGCCTTTTGGTGTATTCGATCTTATGTCTCCATTGACCGTGTCGTGATCGTAATATCTCCCCTCCAAACAAGACTCAAACCCAATCAAAGCAGTCTGCACCGCCCGGCGCAATGGCGATGTAATCATTAATCCCACTTTCTTATGGTATGGGAAGTCTTCGTTGAGTTGTTTGCTTTGTTGGATGCCGGTGGCTGTTAGGGGTGGGTCTGGGATTGTGGTGTCGTGGTTTGGGTTGTGGGTTGCTTCGGCGTGGCGGATGAGGTGGAGGTAGGGCATTGTCTCAGTGCAGTTGCTTTGTTTTTGAATGTGGGAGATTAGAGGAATTGTAGAATGGAAATGAGAAATTAAGGTGGAATAAATTAAGGTGCCTCTTGCGTGCGGCTTTCATCGTGGAATAGATATGCTTGTTGGTGTGGGTCTGTCCATGACCGAGTTGCCCGAAAGGGGGAATCTGGGCCGAATAGATCTTGTCGGAGATGCGGCGGACATAGCGGGTGATTACAGTACTAGTTTGCACATTTTCAAGTTGAATTGTAGATGATTCCAGGATGAATGTATCCATACTAGAATATTGCCCAAATAGATTGTGTGAAAGATGTAGATACTCGTTTCCGAATAGTTCTGCAAACTTGTACACTTCAACATTTCAAATTCCATGAAAACCCCGTTCGTAAATGTCGGAAATTGTAACTATTTAAAGTTCTCATTCCTGCTAACAGCGAGAAAAGTAAGAGACCACAACTGCCGGATATTCGACTCTAAAGAAAAGTTAGACCCAACACTACTCCCGCAAGCACCCCCTTTAGAAGAGAACTCACCAGTCTGACCCCCAACACCAGGCGGCGCAGGTAACACACCTAAAGGCGTAACCTGGAACTCATCATCACGGTAAATCCACGACCAAACCTCACCGGAGAGCTGGTCCTGGTTCTTTTCAATCGAGTCCCAGAGCGCATTATACGCCGCCCGAACATTCTTATACACAAACTCATCCGTGCAAAATTCCGGTGTGCGCGGTACCACATCCCCCGACCCAAAACCCCTCTTAAGACCCTCCGAGGCAGTAGCCAACGAGAAATTAGCCGTAACCTCGCATCGCCCCAGCTGATTCTCCAGTCCTTTTGCCATCATCGCAAGCTGCCACGACCAAACAACCGTCCCATGATACGCACCCGTCGTAAAATTCCGTGCATAAACATCGTCCTCGCCAAAAGCCGGATTAGCAACCACCATCCCGGCACCAGTCATAAGTCCCGCTGGGAAAGTACGACGGATATTAGTCGCAGAGGAATTAATGAACGGCGTAAGCTGGGCGTCGTTCGTGGTGTTTAGCAAGAAGTGGCGGAAACAGTCATCCGTGTTCATAACCGCCACCTTGGAGAGGTTGTTATTTCCGTCTAGAGCGACGGCATGGAAGGTGACGTCGGTGTCGATTGAGGAGGACTGGTCGGGCCCTGGGAAGTTTTGGCGCGCGTAGGATGTGACGAGGGATTGGGCTTGTGATTTGGGGAGGGTTATGCTGAAGAAGGGGAGTGTTTTGTCTTCCCAAATTTGTGCGGCTCGTGTTGTGCTATTGCGCCAGGTTTTGGGAAGGGTGCCGGTTTTGCTGAGGGATGCTATTGATCGTAGGGCTGCCGGGACCAGGGCTGTGTTTACGTCGTAGGGGATGCGGCCGCCGCCCAGGCCTGTGTGGTTTAGTGGTGTTCGTGTGGTGGTGGAGGGTAGACGTACCGTATGTGCTGTCTCTCCACTGGCCGGTTACCTGGCCTTCCTTGAGATGAATGAGGTTGTCTTTGGTCTGGTTGTGGGTGAATGGAGTGGTTAGACGTAGGACTCGTTCTGCGCTGATGAGGGCTAGGTCTCCCCATGTTAGGTTTTTGTTTGCTGGGTTGATGGAGCCTGCAGTGGTACTGTTGCAAATTAGATACGATGCTTTCAGATGGACAGAAAAGAGTACATACTTGAAGAATGCAGTAGCTCTCTTTTGGCCCACTGGGTTCTCGATAAAGTACCGCTGCATCAAAACGGGTAGGAAGTAATCCGTATCAATCTGAAGAAAAGTCAGTATTCCACCAGCGCTCGCTCTAGATATACTAGCAGTACTCACCATATGGTAATCACACCCCATAGCATTGCTTGTGATATTTTCCTGCAAGTTCGTCCAAGTAGCATAATCCCTAAACCTGAAAGTCAGCACTTACTCCTACAACCCTTTCTTTCTGACAAGAAAAGAGAAAATACCCACCCAATAGTCTCCTCATGACAAACACTCCCATCAGTCCGATTGACTCTCTCCAAAACAGCCCCAATAACCGCCTCAATCGCACTCCCATTCCCCGAATTCAAAACGGGCTCCAAAAGCAGCGTCGCTATCATCGAGTCGCGACCAAAATACGTCAAAAACCGCCACGCCCCAGCAAGGACTTTCTCCGAATACGACAAGAACGAGAGAGCCGCCGTTTGGTCTGACATGAACGAGGTCAGATTCCCCGATGCATTGTTGAGGACGGCTTCTGGTTTCAGTGGTGAGAGCTGGGGGTAGTTCATCGTTGCGGAGAAGAGGTATTCTCCTTTTTCGAAGGTGACGGTGCGATTGTCCAGCTTGACGCTGTTCGTGGTGGTGTTGTCCGCCGGACGGAAGGAGAGGCTTGTCATGGTGGTATTATCTAGCCAGGTCCGACGAAGTCCCACGCTGCCGGAGCCCTCTGAGAAAGCCACTGCGTCTTGAATCTCAGGGTAGAGGAGAGATGGTCCTTCGGTAAAATCGCGAATAGTCCGGATACTCCCCAAAATAGGGACTGTTAGTGTTGCAGACGAGTTGAAGCGCAGGATTCCCTGGACCCCGACACTGGGCGGGCCATCGGCTGCTGCGTTGTAGACCGGCAAGAGGGGGTGGTCGGAATTAGTCGAATTGACAAGTTGGACAGAGAGCGTGCCATTCTCGCCATTCTGCGGAGCAAAAAAGGCACAGGCACCACTGTTACCGGCCGGCCAGGCTATGATCAGTCGCGGACCGATGATAGAAAGTGTCAGGATGAGGAATCGATGTACTGGCTAGTACTGAAGATGTCCAAACAGAATAAGATGATTGATTGTAGGTCCCCCGATCGGTTGAGCGATCTCAGGGGTCTTTATAGTTGAACTATGGCGTGTTATGACACCATACTAGGTGGAAATTGGGTGAACGATGAATAAGCCAATCCCGAAGGGTCCTAGTGGTATTTGACCACCTTCTCAGTTTGTCACACCCCCTCAGCGTTCGCACAATCTCCAAAAATCCTCTGCTAATCGAGCAGGTTTCCGATATCCTCCATGCCCATCAATTGAACGAATTCTGCGTGCTTTTGACGCGGCAGTAGCTTGGTGAGCCCATCCGCAGCCATGTCCTTTGTTTCGCTCCATCTGATGAGAATTCTGCCTGCCTGGACCTCCTGACGGAGCCAGTGGTTGTGTACATCAACGTGACGTAGCTTCGTGCGCAGCTGAGGAGCTTCCTTGGTGAGAAGCCGGATCGTCTGCTGGTTATCACATCTGATAGCGAGCTCGTGCTTTGGATCAAAGCGAATAGATTCAAAGAGACGTTTCCACATGCTAATATTCCTTGCAGTCTCAGAGATCGCCAGTAGCTCCGCTTCGGTAGTACTGGTAGTCACTGTACGCTGTTTGCTAGCTCTCCAGTCAACTGGTCCTCCGAAAATGATGCATATGTATCCCTCCGAGCTCTTCCGGTCAGGATTATCAGCGAACGAGGCATCACTAAAGAGAGTGACGGCTTCGTTGTCCTCAGATCGGCGTGGCCGGTAGGTAAGGGCAAGAAAACGGGTGTGGTATAGGTAGGATATCACACGGTTGATCGCTTCGAGATGCTCCGGTCCCGGGTTCGTGAGGAATTGAGCTAACGCGGAAGTTGCTTTGGCTGCATCTGGCCGTGTGATGGTAGTGGCATACTGAGTGGAGCCTACCTTTTCCTGGTACTCATGAATCTGTTCCTTCGTGGCCTGCCCAGCGTACGGCTTCAATGTAGCTGGTGGTAAGGGTGTATCGAAGCGGCGATATGTGGTAAGGTGATATCTGCTGGCCATAGAGGAGATGTATGAGTCCTGACAGAGCCAGAGGGCCATCTGTTGTCTGTCACGGACGATACGAATCCCTAGGAACCACTCAGCTTCGCCTATGTCTCTCAATTCCCATGTTACATTGAGTTTTTCTCTAATGTCTGCCGCACGCTGGCGCTGAGATGGGTGATTGACAATGATTATATCATCCACATAGAAGAATATGATAATGCCGTCCGATGCGAAGAGACAAAGGTCTTCTTGAACGACAGTGAGACCTAGCTGAGTCAAGACCTTTGAGGCCTCGCGCTGCCAGAGCCTCGGAGATTTCCGTAAGCCGTAGAGAGCTCTTAAGAGCTTCCAGCAATGTCCAGACTGTCTGAATCCCTCTGGCATCTCGGTTATCACTGTGTCATCCAGTGAGCTATTGAGAAAGGCGTTGACGGCATCAAATTGGCGTGTTTCAAGGTCAAATGCAGCGACTAGGGCAAGAACGGTGCGGGCCGTACGGGAAGCGAGGGTAGCTGAATATTTCTCTTCTGTAGAGAGCTTCTGGAGATCTCCTCGCACACAGATTCTCGCCTTCAGCTTCGCGAGATATCCATCGCTATCGAATTTATAGTTGAATACCCATTTCAACGGAAGCACCTGCACGCTGCGGTCATTTGGACGCTGTATGACATCAAAGGTGCCTTTTCGTTCGATAGTTTTTACCTCAAGGCCGGCGGCTGCTAGGAAACCTTCGTTGAACGGGTGATTTATCATCTCTCGCCAGTTCCGGGGTTCAGGGGGAAGATCATCACGGTGAGGTCTCGTGTGTGAGTGAGATCCGTTGAGGCCAGTTGCAAAGGCTGCGAGTATACCCTCTTCAGCATCCTCGTCTGCCGAGAAGGCTAAATTGCTGATATCTCTTGATGTTCGTTTACGTGAGCCTGACAGAATGTTCCGAGTCGAGATATCTCCCACGATGTCTCTAGGCGCAATGCGAGTCCCTTGTGTAGGTGTAGCGGCTGAGAGCTCTCTCTGAAGTTGTTCAGTGAGTTGATCTTGAGAATCACGAGTTGGTGGTTCCGGAAAGGCACCTGGGATTGATTCTGGTGGTATGCGAGGCATCGAGGCCTGTATAGGCTGAATGGATGGCGTGGGTGACGGTGATATCATCTGTTGAGGCTCCACTAGCTTTGGAGTGGCTGATTTCTCTGGCTGAGGTATATCCAGACTTGGTCCAGAAATAACCTGGTCAGAATCCTCGTTGTCGTCGATAACGAATGGCATGGATTCCAAGATATCGCTGACAGGCTCCTTTTCTAGCTCTTGAGTGTTAAAGAACACATTCTCATCAAAAACAACATCTCGCACTGATCGTACGGCTCCTCTGCGTGGAAACCACACCCTCCAGATATTCGAGGCTTCATAGCCAACGAGATAGCCTATTTCGGCGCGTGGTTCCATCTTTGCTGCGTTCGGAATAACTTGCTTCCTCACATATGCTCGGCAGCCGAAAATCCTCAGATTCGCGAGGTTAACACGTTGTTGTGGCTGATTAAGGAATGCCTCTTGGTAAGGGACTATCCACCGGCCGTCTGGCAACTTCGTGGGCGATCTGTTGATGATCCATATCGCGGCTCTAACAGCTTCTGGCCATAGATTCTTCGGAAGGCCTGCATCGGATATAAGAGCACGAGCCATGGTGATTACCACCCCCCAGATCGCTCCGCGAAGCCATTCTGTTCCGGGGTACCCACGACACTGTGTTCAATGATAAAGCCTTCATTTGACAGGAAATCCTCTACTGTACGACCCGCAGAGCGTTCGTTATCGTATCGAAAGGCATGGATCGGAAGATTCCACTGCTTCTTGGCTAGGGCCACAAATTGACTAACCGCGTCTTGACAGCCGTTCTTCTTCTCATGAGTATAGGCTGCATGGAGGCGTACGCCCTCGAGGTAGAAGTGCGTCATCCAGCGATCTCCATTATAACCTGGGTCGATCTGGACAAGATCAAAGTGGATACGCCCATACTTGCCGTACGGTGTTCCAGTAGTCCTGCGAGAGATCTGACGTTTGGCCTTGGTTAGCTGACAGACTTCACATCTCTCAGGGTTGTCATGACGGTTATCTTCGCAGATCCCATCGATTTTGACTCCATCAACCATCTCTGGTAGCTTTTCAATCTTCTGGTCAAAGGCGTGGCCTAACCGACGATGCCAGCGCCGCGCTGAGGCTACTGAGAGATGGGGCTTCTCCGAATGCCGTACCGAAAATGCTGCTCGGTGATTCGGATCATATATGACTGTGTAGAGACCATGATATCTCCCTATCTCAAGAACAGCCTCTTCGCCTTTAAAGATCGCTCTTTCAGCAGATTTGAAGCAGAATCCTTTGTCTTCGATCACAGAGAGTGAGATCAAGCTTGTGTGGAAGCCAGGCGAGTACCACACGTTATCCAGGGTAATAGGCACTGTAGCGCCTGTACGAGGGTGTCTCCCAGTGATCCTGACCTGCCCATAGCCTATCATCGGCGTCACTGTTTGACCGGTTTTAACGGTGCTATTTCGCGGCGTATAGGTCAAGAACTGTCGGCGGTCGTTGCAGATATGACAGGTGGCTCCGGTATCAAGAATCCAGCTGTCTTTGAGAAGCTCATCGTCCACTGCTGACGCTGCGATAGCTCGAGTATCATTAGCGAAGAACGCTAAGGACGGATTCTCTGGCTGAGCCGAACCAGCAAGGTGAGCTGATTTAGCGTTTTTCTGCTGTATTTTGGCGATTTTCTCCTGATCTTGAGGACTCATCTGCTTTATGTATTCAGGAATGCGTTGAACAGTTCCCTCTCTTGGCTTCCATCCATCTGGTCGAAGTGATTCGTCAAGATAGAAGCATTTTGAGTAGTGATGCTGAGGATGTGCGTTACCACACGGACATTTCTTGCGATAGGCCTTTTCTGCAGGCTTAGCCTCAGGTTCACCATTCAGTGAAGCTAGAGCTATCTTGGGCTGCTTCCGTCCTCCAGAGACTGTAAGATCTCCACGGCGGCTGCGATAGCTAGCTATAACTTCATCAAATGTGACAGATTTATCCTTATCTGCAAGCTTTTCGCGCCAGGTTATGCACCAGCCATCATCAATTGGTTGTATAGCGTCAAGAAAGTCTCGTATCGCGAAGTGATCTCCAAGTGAGCAGTCAGGTATGCCCGCGATCTTGCCCTCTTCGAATAGGCTAACCCACTGAGTTAACCAGTGGTTTGTATCACCTGAAGGCTTTTGTTTGATCATCTCTCTCCAAGCACGGCGAAGTTGTTGCTGTCGATTCTGAGGTTTTGGTTTGAACGTTTCAGATAGCTTCAGTAGCTTCTTCCGCGGTGAGTCCTCTCCCACAATGAGATAGTGATGTTCTGTGGCTAGCGAGCGGGTGATAAGGCCATTCAATCGTGACATAGTCTTTAACAACCTCTGCCGGCGCTGATTACGACGATCGTACGCTTGAACAGCGAACGTGTATCTCTTCAGCTCAGCATCATCTAGCTCCATAATATCTCTCTCTCGTTGGCGGTTATCCCGGGGTAGTGAGGGCTCTTCCTGAGCCTCGGGCACTTGTAGGACCTCCTCGTCCGTCTTCTCAGGATCAAGGTAATCCCATACATCTTCTGCAACAGCCGCTGACTTGATATGGCCTATCCAGACCCTCCACTGCGCTTCCGACTGAAGCTTTTGGTCAAGCGGGACCTGCATCAGATCTTCCCTCGCGATATCAGACATCTTCGCACAAGATATAGCTCAGACACTCGAATTCTCCTCATATAACGTTTCCGAAGGATGTTTGTCGGTGCGGATCTCGCTGTGTGCTGAACGTAAGAGCTCACAAGGGGTGGCTAAGCGTTCAGGGGTATCCGACCGTGTTAGGTGCTTCGGGGATTCGTTGACTGCGAGATACAGAGCAGGTAGGTGATATATCTCTCTCATACAGTCAGGCAGTCCGGGCTCATAACTGTCAGGATGAGGAATCGATGTACTGGCTAGTACTGAAGATGTCCAAACAGAATAAGATGATTGATTGTAGGTCCCCCGATCGGTTGAGCGATCTCAGGGGTCTTTATAGTTGAACTATGGCGTGTTATGACACCATACTAGGTGGAAATTGGGTGAACGATGAATAAGCCAATCCCGAAGGGTCCTAGTGGTATTTGACCACCTTCTCAGTTTGTCAGAAAGATTGCTATCTGGAAGGGGACTCGTCACGACAGCCTGGGCGGCTACGTTGCAGTCGGAATAGAAGTAATTTTCATAAGGCGGGTCGCTGAGTGCGAGTCTTGATGGGGGATTTGAGCATCCTGGCTCCACATGTGCGTGGGTGGACTTTGCGTGCGTGTTGTTAGGACCCTGCTAGTAGGTGAAGTTGATGGGTAGAACCGCCACTTACTGCATCACCACTTCCCGCCGCCCGCGCGGCTGTCCCCAGGACGCCCAGCAGACACAACTGGAAGAGCTTCATGGTGTGATTGAGCTGACTGCGATGGCCCAGTGTCTGGATATTCCAGGAATATATATAGAGAATATATAGCAATGTCGCACTGCTAGGGACCTTCCTGAAGAAGTGTGAATTGGCGAAAAGTGGGTCGTCTCCCCACGGGGTTGTGGAGTCACGCAACCCCAAACTTTGTCAGACCCGATATTTCTCCGTTGACATCGATACCTGCTGTACCCAGATAAGTATTTCTGAGGGTATTAGTAGCAATTGTGTAGCATTTGCGGTACTTGTAAAAGTGGATTGTGTAACCTGATTTGAGCAACGCTTCTGCGATGTCTGGTAGAACAGGCCGTCCAACTAACCAGTGCATCTACATGCTTGTTATCAACAATCTCTTACAACTGCATATCACAGGGTTCTTGTAGAGCCATTTCAGAAGTCCCAACATGTCGAGTTAATCCACAGAGTTAGGTAAAGTTCCTCCAATCTAGATCCCTCGAAATGAGGCCGACAGACTCTCCGACGCCATAGATATGCGCACAAATCTACGCGGAAGTAAATGAAAGCTATCTTTTTGAGAAAAATATATGACGGATCTTCACAGATATCCGGTGTAATACCGACAGCGGCTCGGCAATTCGTAGTATTGCAACCCTGCCCCTACCTACCATCCACTATGCATGTAACAGTATCTCGGGATTGCTCGGAAGGGTTGGGTGGGGTCAATAAATACTGATAGATACATTCTTAAGAGTCTTGGGATATACTGCGGCACTAGCTAAACTGCACAGCAATATTGATTTCACACTGCAAAAAAACTATTTATATCGAACCACCAACAACCAGCATAAACTCAGTCCTACCTTAATATAGCACCATCAAAACCCACCCCGGTAAATGCAGTAACCAAAGCCCAAACCCCACCAAGCACATTCCCAATTCACTTCCCCTCCAACTATCAAACCACCCTCCGCAAAACCAAACAGTCCCCGCATCAACCAGAAATCATACCGGCGGTAGAGGCCTAGGGCTAGCATTGATGTGCTTAGGAGAGCTGGGGTTTTTGGGGGGTTGTCATTGTGTTTAGTATACTGAGGGTGTACTTTGTATGCGTTGGATGAAGGTTGGATGGTTTTAAGTTGGGATGACGCGGGTGATGCCAAGATCGTGGCATGGGTTGGATTGTGGTAATCTTATGGGGGTGTATCATTATGCTAAAGGTTCCTCGTTCGACTTTGGGTTGGACGGTACTTATCGTTAAGTATTACTCACAGCACACTGCGTACTATGAGAATGTTGCTATAACCGAATAGCTCTATCAGGCTAATCCCAGCTTGACCCCTTGCGTTTACCGCGGTTGAGCCTCATGCCACCAAGCGGTCCATGCCCGAACAAGGACTCTCAAAGAAACAAAGAGCTCACTAAGAGGTTTCAGCTCGAGAGTTACCTCACCTATCGATGCATTTGAAACAATGGTCATATCAAATCATATTTAGTTCGTAGACTACCGAATATTCTATATACAAAATAGACATGGGTGCATCCAGATTCCACCATGCGGAGAAATGATCTCGCGACGAGGTTGGAATCAGAGGGCCGGGCGTGAGCCTGGACATCAGCAGCGAGTGATTTCGTGGAAATCTTGGTATCGCGAACAGATTGCCTTGCCTTCGGTTCAGTCTTGTTCGCACCGCTCAGCTCTGTCGGATGATAGGGTAGTATCACAAGTGCGTATCTCGTAAGCCGTGAGTTCGTCAAGGAGTAATGAGAGAAATACAGGTATGGCGGTAGGTTGGCCCTTAGGGGTATGGGTATAGGTATAGGTAAGGCAAAAGGGGGATTCAGCCCGGTTTCTCAGATAACCTAGCCGGTTTCCGCTGATACTGACACCAAGGATTGGAAAAGCCGATGGTCATATGGTCGCCGTGATGCGCGATATGCGTTTCCGAGCTCCACGAGTTCGAAATCGAGGTCCTGTGTGGACCCTCGGGTGGCGAATGTTCGAACATAGCAATAGAGATATCATCCTGGTCCATCCAAGACGGGCCGCGCGTGATGGTGTGCGTTTGCGCCGTGGGTGCGTGCGTAAGGTCCGACGTGACGCGGGTAGCATCGACAAAATCGGGGAGATCGCGGGGACCGGAGAAAGACTCGGGTTTCCAGACGTGGTTGTGGACGAGGTGGATTAGTTTACCCAAGACCGCGAACTCGAGCTTCAGCTTGATGCTGTAAACCGCGCCTTTGAGCATTGTTTCCATGATGTAGTAGTCTCTGTATTCCGCAACCAGCAGGCCCAGGTCCATGATGATGATGAGCAGGTTGATGATGATGAGCTGGTATTGGATTTTGCGCTTTGTTCGATCCATGTCGAGGCGGATCGTTCGGACGGTCTCCCAGATGTATAGGCCTGAGATGATGAATTCTTGCAGACAGAAGCCTGTCATCTGGATCTTTTCCATTACGTTGTATCCGTTGATTATGGCGTGGCGCGAGTCGCCTTTGGCTAGGTTGCTGCCGTAGGTGAGGACGGTTGTTGGGAGGTGGAGGCAGACGGCGTCGACGAGGATCATGATTAGGACACGTCGGAGAATGCGCTGATTGGCGAGGACCAGATGCAGACGTGAGTAGAGGACGATCGACTGTCCGGTGACCATGCTCCACCAGCCGATGGTGAGAAAGGTGACGGACAGCCAAGTGGCCGAGGTGAGGTTGAAGAATTTCATGAGAAAACCCAGCGAATACGGAATGAGGCCGACAGCTGAGGACACAAACAAGCTCCAGAAGTAGAGACCACGGTACTGGGCAAAGGTGACGAAGATGAGAATGACCAGCTCAAATGCGTTATACCAAGTGATGCCGGCCAAGGTCGCGATGGTGATCTGCATACCGAGGGAGGACCCGGTGTAGCCGCCGGTGATGCCATCGCCGGCGGCGGTGATGTTGGCCATGATGGTTGTCAAGGAGGACAGGGCATGGTTGGGTGGAGAAAGAAGAAAGAGGCATCAGATGAGCGATTGGGATTCATATGGGGCGGGCGGGCGGTTGGGGGCTTGGGGGCTTGGACTCGGGGGCCTTTGTGGGGGGCGGATCATGAAGTGGCTTACCCCGGGCAGTCAGACCCAGCAAGCGAGTCACGATCGGAAAACGCCCGGGGCTACGACAGGAGCAGCAGGCCTAGCAGGACAAGTGGATCGGGGGGAGCAGGAAGAGGGCGCAGGATGAGATCCCTGCACGAGGCAGGGCTGCCATTGGTGGCTATTCCTGAGCCGTGCGATGGATACTGCGGTGGGCGAGTGCCGTTGACACCTACAAAGATACAAGAAATGAAAATGATATATCTATTGAGTTTTGGCCAGAGCTTCAAATCCTACATAGTATAGAGTGCTGTCTTGTATACTCCGGAATGTTTACCTGCGAAGGTTGCGGGTGGGCCGAGCCAGTTATTCAGCAACCCCAGACGGCGGTGGGACGCCTCACCCGTTCTTTTTCCAGGCTGAACAGTATTTGATCGAGTACTTCTACCCTAGGTACCCCCAAGTATCCCACCCCAAACTGCCAGTGGTACTCCTGCACTAGGCTCGAGAGACAGGAGTTGAGGTCCCGGGGATGCTCTGGGGAAACCGGGGTTGTCCCACCCGCTGCGCCCCACCTCGGCATCTCGACGACGCGCTCGTGCTATCATGGATCGGAGGCTCTTCTCGTACCTACAGTACTAGTACGAGTAAAACTGAGAGTGGAGGTACGGAGTACGAATACATCCACCCTCAGGTAAGTGACTCTGGCAGGTGGAGGGCCTGGCACGGTCACGGCAATCGATCCTGTGTGCCCGTCTGAAACGCGCTGGTCGAGTCACCTACCCTGTTCTATGGACAGGTCCAACGAGTCGACTTTGTTCACCGCAAATCGGAAAAGTACTGGCAGGTGACAGGTAATTTTGCATCCGGCAGGGCGGTACAAGTGCGACTGGGTACCAAGGACACGGCATGAGATCATTTATGCAAGCTGCAAGCGCCGTCGAGTCGGTCGGTACCTACGACAGATGTGGGAGAGTGTGGGACCGGACTCTGACTACCATACGGAGCACTAAAGGACCGCCAACTCTGCTGTATAGGTAGAGTACTAGTATTCACTAAGATCACTAACGCCCCAACGCCTCGCTAAATCAAACCAGAACTCCGTAAAGCCCCGATGCAGGTCCCTCTGACCCCAGCCTTGGCGCTCGCGCCCCTTGAACCGGACCCTACAGTAGAGTACTATACTAGGGTCAGAGTTGACATGGCCGGGCACGTCGTATTCCACTTCGCCCCCATCGCATATCCACCAACGGGAACTATCCCACGACAAGGCAAGCAACAGCATCATAATGAAGTCAACGCCCGCTCTGCCCGCCAGGCCTTCTTGGCTGCCCACGCCCATGAGGCTGAATCCATCTCGTACCAGGCGTCCGTAGAACCTTCCACGAGGCGTGGACTTGCAGATCGCAGGGCAATCGAGTCAAATCACCACAACCAGACCCAAAACTTCAAGTTCCTCAAGTCGTATCCGCTTTCAAAAGAATGTCTCACATCTACTCTCAAGCCCGGTTTCCCGCCTCCCCACCGGTAGTCTCAAGCACCCGATCAACCTCTTTCCGACATTCGGGCAGCGCAGAGCGCATTTCCCTTGCCAGCACATCCCGGAACCCGGCGAAAGCCTCCTGCTTCCCCTTGAGATCCTGATTCCCGCGCTGAACCAGCTCGACAAACTCACGCGTGTAGATATCGGGGTTGCGCGCGGAGTCGACGTAGTCAATGATCTCCGGAGGTAGCTGGATACTTGCCAGCGAGGGGTTTGCCGGGTCTTCCTTTTGGGAGTTTTCGGAGGTTTGAGCTTGTTCGAGTTGCGATGGGGTTAGGTGTGTGTCGGTTGAGAGGGTTTTTAGGGATAGGGTTAGGTTTTTGCTGTTGCGCATTAGCTGGCTTGGTTCGGTTCGATTGAGATTGACTCTGTGAAGAGGGGACGGACATTTTTCGTACGAGCTCTTGTTGTGTTTCTTGGCCTAGGTAGCCGTGGACGGCGGATTGGATTTCGAAGAGGTGCTGGATGACGTCTTTGAGGTCGTCTACGCGCGGTTAGTTCTGTATGCGGGTATTGTCGCGGTGAGAGCGTATCACGTACCATCGACCTGGTTTAGCTGGACGGGGGCCATGGTTTTGCTGCTGTCTGTTTTAGGCACGCCGCGATGATGAGGTTCTTCGAGGTGGGGAAGGCGGTGTGGGTGGAGTGAATCGGACAAAGCTGCACCTTACATGAGAGTACTGTACTACACTTAAGGCACAATCTGACGTGTAATATCTAGGTGTCATTTGAGAGGGATAATGGATGGCTACACCGTGAGGTAATAAATGAATGAGAGGTCAAATCCTCGTCTTATGTCACGGTCTATGTATATGCACACCTCAATCAAGTCAAGTACAGTCACCCCAGGTGAAACACGCTAATATCACAGCAACATTACACCAAATTGAACATCCGACACGCCCAGCATACAACTCGAAAATAAGCGATAGGCTGGGTCTACACCTCCCGCGTCCTCAGCTTGGGAAACTTCGGAATCTCAATCTCCGTCTCCATCTCGATCCCCGAAAGACTGGGGAATCGCCGACTAAAATTCGTCTCCCAGTCCTCACCCGGACTAGCCGGCGTCGCCTGGAAAGACGGGCTCTGATCATTGGCGCTCGTACTAGTGCCAGGTCTGGAAGTATCCTGAGCGCCTACACGTAGATTCTTCGGTTTGGGCGGCGCAGCGGGGCGCGCTGCCGGACGCGGGCCAGCAGAGTATTCTGTCGAATAGGAGGTGACAGTTCGAGGGAGTCCGGCTGGCGCACTAGCGCCCTCATAACGGTCTGGAACGGACACGCCGCCTTCCCGGGTGCCGTAGACAGGACCGGGGGTCCGCGATGTTGGAATACTGGCGGCTGTCGGCATATCGCCCTGGTTTGCCGGCAAACCAGGGGATTCAGTGTACTTCCCATACCCCGAAGCCGTCTTCGGCGCAGCGACGGGCTTGTTCGACTCGCCGAGGAGTGTCTGTACACGGTTCTGAATGGCGCGAGATCGGTGCACGTCCGCACCGGCTTTGCTGCCATCGCCCTCGGCGACCCGGCGCCGGTACTCGGCCGCGGCGTTCGCAACGCGCTTCTCCTCCTGGGAGAGACGGCGACGCTCCAGCTCGCGGCGCATCTCGGGGGAAATATCGTCTCGGTCCAAGTCGTCCAGGACGACCTCGTCGTAGGGCGACATATCGTCGTTGTCGTTGGTTGCTTCGGTATCGCTCATCAGGCTTTGCTGCGGAGCTTCCTCGGCTGAGGGAGTCCCGGGCTTGTCCTGGTTGTTGCTGCTCTCGAACCGGCGGAATGCATCTCCAAAGCGACCTGCCACTAATTTCTTGCTACCAGATAGCGAAAGTGAAGACAAACTGCCGCGCTTGCTGTGTTTCGCTCCGCCGCTAGAGCGTTTCTCGCGCTTGCGGTTGCTCTCTTCTTCCTCCTTGGCTCGGAGGTAGTCCATATCTGAAGATATGATAGATCGGTCATATTCACCACGATCCTGCTCTGTGCGGACTGGGCGGAGCGGAGCACCGCCTTCATACTGCGAGAGGTCCAGTGAGGACCGCGATCTTCCTGCGTCTCGTGGCATGTATCCTGCCTGCACCGATACGGGGCGAGCCTTGGCAGTAGAAGACTTGGAGCGGCCCACAGGGTCTTTCGCATCCAGAGCAGATGGTCGTCGCAGGGTCTCCATCGAGGGGCGCGCAGAATTGGAGAGGTTGGCGACCCGATCAGAGGACAGCCGCGGACTTGCCTCAGGCCGCAATCCTGACGATGGGGGAGATGGCGCCTTCGCCTTCTGTTCGTCTTGAGTCCAGGGCTGGCTGGCAGAATGCTCTTGGTCGGAAGGCGGGAATCGATAGATCGGCCGGCTGGACAGCTTTGGTTCTTGCAGACGCGGTGTTTGCGCGGGGGAGGTCATGGTGCCGGTCGACACCATCGCGGGTCGCTGAGGAGTGGGTTGATAAAGCGGAGCAGTTTGTCTCGGCACTTCCTGGGGCTGGCGCACAGGCGATGCTTGCGAGTTGCGGTTAGACGACGGGGCCTGTCGCTGCGGACGCTCGGGTGATGTTTGTCGAGCGAAAGCCTGATCGGCCAAAGCATTGGTGAGACGCTGTGACAGGTCGTCATCATCCGACTTCTCTTTGACTGTCGGCTCGAAATCGAACTTATCACCCTTCTCATGGAGGATATCAAATTGATCCAAGGTAGGGAATCGATTCGAAAGTTCATCGGCCTTCCTGCTTCGGGCAGCGGCGCCTCCATCCAATGCGGCAAAGGGATCATTGTTGGATTCCTTGGAGCTGCCGCGATACGGAGAAGGACTGGGTTTGGCAGAGCTATGTGATGATTGGGGCTTTCCGGGTCGGCCTCTGCGCATTGGCGCAATATCAGGAATCACCTTGGTCTCCTGAACCGGAGGCGAGTACACTGCTCCCACCGGGGGAGCTTCTGTTGGTGTCGGAGGCAATTCCTGGTATTTCCGTGTTTCGGAGACCGTTCGGTTTGAGTAAATCTGTCTCGCATTAGGATTTGCCTCTTCGCAAGAGGAGAAAAACTCACATCGCGAATCGGAACTTCTTTGCCCTGCATATGGCACACCTCTTTCACCACCTCATAGATATTGGGACGCTTCTGCGGGTTCTCTCGCAACATCGACGCTATAATCATCAGAAAACATTGCCTTTCTCTGTCAGAGCTCAAACTCACCAATCAGCATCTTTAACCGGTCCGAAAATCGCGGGTATGAAGGATATTTGAAAGTGGCGTTGAGGATAGCCATCTGACCAACTTCCTCAAAAGGGGTTGTATAGTAACATAGTTTGTACAAGAGCACACCAAGGGCCCAGATATCACTCTTCTCATCAATCGGCTGCTTCCGATATACATCAATCATCTCCGGACTGCGGTATTGTAAAGTCGTGTGCCGCTGCACATCATCCTCAATCAGTCGGCCTTCGGCAGCGGTTGTGGCGGCCGGGCGAGGAGGGGCAGAGGATCCAAAATCGCATAGCTTGTAGACGGCCGAGCTTCCCTTGCCGGAGATGAGAACGTTCTCCACCTTCAAGTCGCGGTGTAGCAGAGGCGGTTTCAGATAGTGCATACAAGCGACACCCTCGGCACAGTCTGAGAAGATCTTGATGATCTCCGGCTCGGTCAGCCGGTTCTGCAGCCGGGTGTTCATGAAGTCGATCAGACCGCCGCCCCCGCAGTATTCCATAAGGAGAAAGACCTCGTACCCGCCCCCATGCAACTGGGAAGCATGTGAATCGATATATTTGACAATATGGCGGTGTCCCTTGAGTTTCTTCATCGTTTCCACCTCGGTGCGCATGTTCGCCAGCGCCGACTTATCGGGGACAGCCACCCGCTTCAGCACCGCGGTCTCCGTGCCATTGACGGGCTTGGGCAACCGCACGACGTAGACATGGGCAAACCCACCCTCAGACAAATATTTCTCCACCACCACGCGGTGACTGCCCACCTGGACCTTGGTCCCCGGGAGGAAGGTCCCCGCGGGCGCAGTCACGGCGGCAACGGGATTGTACGCGGGGAATTGGCGCGACGCGGAGTGGCCCTGGTAGGACTGGGGAGGAGATTGGAAGGAGGACATTATGGACGGAACGCCCTGAACGGGCAGGGAGTTGGATCGGAGGTTCGGCGAGCTATCGACGCGGCATAAGAGTGGAAGGAGAGAGGATGGGTGCCTGAGAATGAGGAACGGGGAACGGAGAATGGGGCCAAGAGGACAGTTGGCGGGGAGGCGGAGAGATGAAGCGCTGCCCTGTATTTCCACAGAGACGCGAAGAGACGAGTCGCTGGAGCCCCCACCGATGTTGAAATTGAAATGTAGCGGAGGGCGAAGCAGGAATGGGATTCCTTGAGTGGAAAGGCGATCCAATCACCGACTGCGGGTCACGTTGCTTCGCGGTGATGCGCCGGCTCTTCTCTTTTACTCCTGCCCCCATCCTCCTGCCCTGCGACTCCCAAGTCCCACCCCTCGGTTTTGCGATCGTTTGATGCTGCTGGTGATGACTCCATGTGGACGATGACTGGCTCTAAATGGTCCTAGTGCCTCGAAAAACCTCGAGGCTCTGATCAGAATCCCGCGCCACATGTCCCAATCATGGGACATGACAGTTCCGCTCTACATTGATCACCACCATCACACCACATCACCAGCCTAACCAGGTGGCTGCTAACTTCTCCAGCTAGGGATGGTCAACGGCATCATCATGGGGACTTTCTTTCTGCTCGCAGTCTCACCCGTACGGACATGCTCCGGAGTGGGCATTGTTGACCTCCAATGTCGGACCCACTACTCTCGAACTATCTTCCCCAACCGCTTGACCGCAATGTCGACACGGCCTTCGTCTCCGCTCTTGACACTATACTGGTATAAGCTGTGCGAGGGCAAGACCGAGGTCCTTGTCGCCAAAGAGGGGACCTGGAAATGCGGATCCCAAGCTGGCTCTGGTTGGCCACTCGCGTAAAAAATGCTGTCGCAGCTCACTTTACCTTCATTAGCCCGCTGGCGCCAGCCCACTGGTGTTTTTAAGGTACTCGCGGATAATCACCTGTACGAACTGCTTCAACAGGATGTCTGGGATTCAGCCGTGATTGCGACTCCACTCTGCTCTTACAAGCATGTGGAGTCTGAGACATCATACCTTCTACGTACTGGGCCTGCTTGACCAAAGCCAGGCCTCTACCTGGGCAGGACTGACAGCAATAGTCACTAAATCAAGTATACGCTAGGGCATTGTAACCGGAATTTGTATCTTTGTCACTTCTATGTGACGGTTTCCTTTGGTGTCAACAGATTCTTCTGAGTGTATTTCGCATGCTGCGTCTCGGCAGAGACTTCCGCTGCTTAGTACTTACATTTACATCCTATATATGGATGGAAAGGTATTATTAGATGAAATATTTCCTGGGACGAAAGTGACTTCCAGTTTTCATCCTAAGTTTGTCGCGCTGCCATATTGACCGGGATTACTCTAACCACATCTTCACCTCGGGCCACGCCCCCGCGATGACATCTCTTACATACTCAAATAACCCACGAGCCAAAGCAGTTCTTATTAAGCCATTAAGTGCCAACACCGCTATAGTCTTGCTATTTTGAACGCTGCATCTTACCTTCTGCTTGGTCAAGGATTGCCTCTCTGATCATCCACCTCGTCATGTCTCGAGTCACCTGTATGGTCAGCTGTCTTGTCACCTCTACATTTGAATGCTCTCCAGTCCAAATAATTTAATTTGCTTCGGGTTCGAGTGCTTGTTCCCAAGCAGAGAGCAAGTAGAACTAGATCAATTTGGCTGAAAGGGTACAAGGGCCCCTCCAGTTGGTGGCTTCGAAGAAGCTTCTGGCTACATACTGAGTGCCTGACTGGGGACAACCTTACGTCATAGGTCATATTCAAGTGTCGTTCTTTGGGGCTCAACTGGTACGGGCTTCTAGACCAGTTGCAGAGATTTGCGATGGTGATATAGAGCACCGTCGCTCATTCTTAACCTCCATTGCGGATAATTCAATCTCAATATACTCACCAATAAGCCATGTAGCTAACGACATTACTAGTCATTTTCGGTATGTATTTCACAAAGAGTTTTTGTTCGATGCAATTATAGTGAAGTCACCCTGGGTTGGCCATGTTTTCTCGTCTCACCCCTAGTCGGGAGAAGTTGTCGTGAGGAACACCGGATAGCCCGAGAAATCAACCAATATAATCGTTTGGAGAGGTTCAATAATACTTCGATTTGCTTTTCAAAAACTCAGCAAACTTGAGGAGTTATCCCAAAAGTGATATACTCTAGTTAACTAACAACAACTGGCGGGTAGAATGCATGAAGCACAAAACTCCGGCGATTTTTTCGCTGACATAATCTCATCACCTGCCTAAAGCAGTAAAATGTAAACAAACATTTCTCATAAACTTTGAAACTCTGCCGATGCTTCATGGAGCATCCAAAAAAGAAAATAAAGCCAGAGAATAAAAAATCAGGCTGTAGTTCTGAATAAGGCTGCGTAATATCTGCTGAATGTTGAATACCTCTCCAAGAATAATTCGCTTGAAGCAAGGACTATCGAATCGATTGCCATTGCCAGCGACATCCCTAGATGCTGTGCCACTCCGCCAATTGACCACACGGCTTGCGAGCGCGTGGCTCGAGAAGAATCCAGCATTTCGCACAATCTGATACCCGAGAGACTTGAAGCGATGGGCGATCGAGACTCGGGCTCGGATTGGACGCGCCGTGTTTTGCTGTGCGTGATGACCACGTCCTCATTGCATGGAGCCGCCGATCGTTAGCGGCGCCCACTTCTCCTAAACAAACTCCCCCATAGCAACCTTCCCTCGTTGTTATCCGACCACCGGTTTTTATCTTCGTTGTTGTTCGGAGATCAAGGGTCAATTTTCTTGACCTTCACCGCGTGAATTGGAGCATTTTTGGCCTCCCCTGCCGTCTGACCCGACTCCCCCAAGCACTGAGTGGCCTAGGGCCTCAGTGCACTTCTTCCACCTCCACGAACATGAGCGGGCCGACTACCAACTGCGCTGGAAATCTGCTCTACTAGCCTCGACCATTTCAACTGGTCGCGGTAGGAGAGACTCGAGCTGGTCTCGGTCTGGGTCAGGAAATCATCCACAACAGACTCGACCGACCGGTTCGGCACGCCGAAAACATAATCTCATAATCGATCAATATAACCCTCGATCGCGAACACAATGGACGAAGGCCCTCCGCCCCCTCCGCCGCCGCATGGCGAGAACCCTCATACCACTGAAGGCGAATACCGCAAATCGTCCGATTTACCGCCCGGAAACTACGACATTTTCATCGTCCCGCCGCACTCTTCCGGCGGCGGCTTCCTATACCTTCCCTCCTTACAATGCCACCGGAACAGCTTCCTCGCCGGCGTTGCAAGCACACTGCTGGTCGTCTTCGTGTGGGCCCTCATTGCACCCATGGTGAAGACATGGTACATGGCTTCTGTGTCTAATGGCGCCGGCGGCGTGGGGATGGCTGTAGTGGGGCTTGGGCTGGGCGTTGCTGGCTGGGCTTTTGGAATGACCCAGTCCAGCAGCTCCAAGGGTGATGGGGGTAACAATGGCAATGGCAATGGCAATGGTGGTGGCAGTGGTGGTGGACGATTTGGCGGCGGTTTCCCTGGAGGCACCGGTCAAAATGCCAACGGCCGAGCCTCTGGTCATGGCCATAGCAATAGCGGCTCCAACTTTGGTGGAAACAGCTCAGGTCATCGTCAACAGCACAGTGGAAACTTTGGCGGTGGCCAGAACTATGGCAATCAGTATGCCGGCAATCAACACGGCTCGGATGGACCGCCAAAGGACGATGGCAAGGAAGATGAGAAGGCGAAAGAGAAGGAAAGACAAAGGCAAAAAGAAAGAGAAAGAGAAGAGAAGGAAAAAGCTGAACGAGCAAAAGAAAAGGCCGAACGAGAGCGTGAGCGCGAAGAGGCCAAGCGCAAGGAAGAGCTGCGCCGAAAGATGGAGGAGTTTAAGCGCAAGCGCGAAGCAGAAGCCAAGGAGAAGGAAAGAAGGCGTGAACGCGAAGCAATGGAGAAAGAGCTCAAGGAGCGCCGAGAACAACTCGAGCGCGAGATGGCCGCTGCAAGGGACAAAGCAGAGAAGGAAGCCCGCGAACGACTCGAAAAAGAAGCCGCCGAGGCCCGAGCAAAGCAGGAGAAGGCTGCTGCTGAAGCCAAAGCCGAAGCCGACAGGTTGGCCGCCGAGGCGAAAGAAAAGGCCGATCGACTGGCTGCCGAAGCAAAAGAGAAGGCTGCAAAGGAGGCTGCTGAAAAGGAAGCCGCCGCAAAGGCCGCGGCCCAGAAAGAAGCCATGGCCAAATTCGCAGCCCTCAAAGAGGCAGCTGCAAAGAGATATGCAGAGAAGAAGGCCCAGGAGGCCAAAAGCCAGGCTAGCAACAAGCCGCCTGCGAGTCCGGCCAGCGCTACTAGTGCACCGAGGACGCCTTCGCCCAAGAAACCCCAGGCGCCCTTTCCAACCGCCAAGACTACCGTCGAAGACGATGCGTATTCCTTTCGGCCCTATGATCGTCCTCGCCGGCCGTATGGGAACGCTTCTGGCTCGGGCTCTGCCTACTCTGAGTCCTCATATGCGCCCTCACAGTCGACAGCTCGCACCACGCCTCCGCCATCCCACCGTAGTGCATACTCCACCAAGGATCCTGATAAGATCGTGATCCAGGGCGTATACCAATTCAACAATGCATTCATGAAGACACCAGTTGCGCAGCTAGTCTCTGGCCAAGGCATGGTGACGAACGGTCTGGTGCTGCGAATGACAACAGAGGGTCTCTTCGTCGACGACGACCTCCGAGGCGTCGGACAACGAGAATGGGATGTTAAAGCTTGGACCCTGAAACTGGCTGAAGTCTGGTGTCCTCAAATGGGAGCTCACAGCCAGCCAGCTAAGTCAGGCTCGAGCAATCCATTCTCATTCCGCCGCGGTGCATCTGCACACTCCATGCCAACCAACGAGGAATCCGACGCCTTCACAGCCAACCTGTTAAAGGTGTGCAAGAACACCTGCCGCCTGGCCTCACCCAGCGCCTGCTTCGCCCGCAGCGCAGCCGCAAGCGGCGGCGGCCCCGTCCAGCCACCCCAGGCCGAATTTCGCGGCCTCCACGTGCTCCGCGCCAGTATCCGGGACCAAGAAGGCAAAAAGTTCGTCTTCGTGCTCCAGGATACGGAAGCGTGGAAACTAGCAATTGGCCTGCAACGTCTTCGTGGCGGCGCCCTCGTCCGTGCCCTAGGCGTCTCTGCCCTCCCCGTTCCCGAATGTAAGAGCATTCTCGGCGGACTGGGCTATATCTAGGATCATTTGTGGATTTGAGCTGGCTCGGGTCAGTCTCTATATTTTCCATTTTGAGCGATTGCTTCCTTTTTTTTTTTCCTGCGTGCGCTTTCCGAGCTGAGTCTCTTCTCTCATTAGCGGCGGAGTTTGCTGCATACTTACTTTTGACTACGGTATATTCATTCGCTTCATCTATGCCCCACCCTATATTTATTCGAGATTCCCCCCGAAATTACCCATGATGTTTTTGATGTTTTTCTATATGAGTACAGTTGCCAGCATGTGGATGTGGGGACGTACATAGCACAGATCATTTGAATCAGCGACAGCTTTGATGTGAAGTTTATGCAAGTAATTGAATATATGGGTTTCTTCCCCTAATATTTTATTTTCCTTCCTTTTTCAATATTTGGTGGAATTCGTTTCGACCCAAGTATACTGTTCATCCAATATTTATCAAGACGAATGAATTACCCTTTTGCAGTAGTTCCATCGATACAGGTCGCTTCCAGCTCTCCTTAAGCTGTTCGAGTATCCAAATATCTTCACTCAAACCAGATGAAACTCAATTTTTCAATGTGCTAAAAGTAAACGGTCTCAACTGGTCCTAATGAGGATATATAGGACGCTAGAACAACTCAAGGAGAGGTGGAAGCAACGTGTATCAACGAAACCAGCGAAAGAGCGAATCAGCTCTTTATAACTTATTTGTCAGGTTTTCGATGACTTTTGGATGATGCCGAGCCGTAATCAATTCATCTGTGGTTGTAGTTCGCTCGCGAGAGAGTCCAATCTTGAAATTGGGTCAACATCGCTAAGAGATGAAATCATATTAAATATAAACTTTGAGACCATTAGAAGATTCGCATTTTTTCGAGAGAAAGGCAACTATGAAAACGTGATCTCGAACGCCCTCACCAATGAGACTCGAGGATTACGATACTGTTGTGATTCGAACTGGCACACCCAGATCGCGATCTGGACCGAGCAATATTGACTCTTTCAATCCAGGCTAACCCCTCAAACTTGGCACTGGCCGCAGTATCTCGACTCACCCCACGAAACAAAGATCCCTCTCTATTCCGCTCCGCAGATCTCCCAATTACGCCATACCAATCCCAGTGCATTTTTAGTGCCGCCTCGTTCCACAACTCCCCGTTCTTTCCACGCCGACCCACAATTTGGCACCAGCCCCATTTTTGTCAGAACTCGGGTGGCTGGCTAGCTAAACTAATCTCTCAGGCGGCAACATGCAGCGAACTCGGTCGTGATTAGCCAGTGCCCAGAAACGAGTCACCAGACCCAGCCATGGCCCGGTTTGAAATTGCGGTCAGCTGTGATAGCCGAGTCTTGGACGATTGGTGAGTACCAGGGACGATGATGTCGATATTGGGCAGTTACTCGTGATGGCTCCATGGCTTTGGGTTCATGTTGTGCTCTGGTGATCAGTTCTTTTCGCGTGGATGTATGTGTAATTTCGTAGAGATTTCGTCAGAGTGAGGCGTCATATTCGAGTATTTTGTTCTGCTTGATATCGGTTATACGTAGCTCCTTAGGATGCTGGTGTTATGTTTACTTCCTCCTACCTTCAAGTCGGTAACTGCGCTCGTTTCCGGCAGTGTCAACAAATTGATGGAGATTAGAGTCTCCAGGCACGCCCCTCTATGATCCCCACCTTATAAGTGGCATGGTTTCTCCACGGGTGGCGTCCACTCTTCTCAACAAGAGCACTCCCAACTCAAGTCTTAATAGATCAAATAATGACGCAGAAAAGTCCACCTAACATTAAATAATTCATACATCCAGCCGCCCTCGACACAGACGTAGCCCAAAACTTCCACACCAGACATATCACGACAGTTTTCCACCATATTCATACTCATAAATTAGCATGCTGAGCCCTTCCGTCATCAGCTCCAGCTCTGGAGGTCCTAGTGGAGAGGGTTCGTTCGCGATCTGGCCGTCTTCTGCACCGATCTCCCAATGAGGCTTCGATCAACTGTCGCCTGAAGTTTCCATGTCAACACGCACCAATCTGCGGCCTCGCTTTGCAATGCTCAAGGTCCCGCACGACCCGGTGGGGTTCGTGTTACATCTTTTCCCGTTTAGGCTCAATTAGCGTGCAGCAGAGCTTATGATCAGCTGTTGTGTAATGCGACAATGCTAACTAGCAGGTAGCTGCAGAGCCGAAGCTTTAAGAGGGGCGGCTGCGGACTGTCATATTTTGATTGACCTTTCGCACTCACTGAATAATTTGATACACCCCTAAGTATTGAGTACACTTATACAGTATAATGTCTTCTGAAATTCCCCAGCCGCCTGGCGTCCCTTTCCTGGGCAATATCTTCGACATCAACCCGAACGACACATGGAACTCGCTCATCAAGATTTCCAAAGAATATGGTACAGTCCCCGTCATCAAAAAAGAGAAAACTTACCACCTAACACGGAAATGCAGGCCCAATCTGCAAAATCAACATCCTGGGAAAACAACTCATCTTCATCAGCAACGTCGCCCTCCTGTCCGAAATAACCGACGAGCGACGCTTTCGCAAATGCGTAACCGGCCCCGTCGTCGAAATGCGCGCCCTCGCAAACGACTGCCTCTTCACAGCCTACCACCATGAACAAATCTGGGGCATAACCCACCGTATCATGAAGCCCTACGTCAGCGCCAGCACAGCAGACAACAGCACAACCTTCACGGACATGAGCAACGTAATTTCCGACCTGACGCGCAAATGGACCTCCGCGCCGAAAAAGCACGTTCTTTTCACAAATGACCTGGACCGCCTCCTCATGGCATCCGTCGCGCAATGCTTCTACAACCAGCGCATCAAAGTACTGGAGGAGGACTCGGAATCGCCACCGCTAATTGCGGCATGGGAGGCGATTACACTCGAAGCCATGAAGAGGCCTACACGGCCGAAGATGGTGAATTGGCTACTTTACCAGCGCGGTTTCGAGAGCGATATTAAACTAATGCGGGATTACGCGGAGGGGATTGTGAAGTCACGGAAGGAGGATCCGACGCAGAAACGGGATGATCTGCTTGATGCATTGCTTCATAATTCGGACCCGGTTTCTGGAGAGAAACTCTCTCATTCCAGGGTTGTGGATGAGGTCGTGACAATGTTCATTGGGGCCGCGACGTCCGCGAATCTCGTGGCGTATGCTCTGTACTTCCTTCTGAAGAATCCCGAGGCACTGGCGAAGGCCCGGGCGGAGATTGATGAAGTCGTTGGTACAGAGTCTGGATCTACAATTCAACTTGAGCAGTTCCGACGGCTTAAGTACGTCGAGGCTGTGATCAGGGAGTCGCTTCGTCTTTCTGCGACGGCGCCGGGGTTCAATATCGAGCCTATCTCCTCCGACGCGCAGGATAAGAGTCCGATTCAGCTGGCTGGTGGGAAATACCAGATCCCGCACGATCAGGCTATGATTGCCATTCTGCACAACGTGAATCGTGATCCGGAGGTATTTGAGGATCCGGAGAGTTTTATTCCGGAGCGGGTGCTGGGTGAGAGGTGGGATGCGCTTCCTGCGGCTGCGAAGAAAGGGTTTGGAAATGGGAAGCGGGAGTGTTATGGGAAGATGTGGGCGTGGCGGTGGTCGGTTCTTACGCTGGCGAGTATTGTTAAAGAGGTGGAGTTTGAATTTGCGGATAAGGAATATGTGCTTGCTGCGAATGGGGCGTTTAGTTTGAAGCCGTTGGAGTTTTATGGGCTTGTTAGTCCGCGGAAGAAATTTCTTTAGGTTGTGATTTGTGGAGGGGTGGGATTCTCGTTTTGCTTTTCGGTTTTATATCCCTTTGTTATCTGTATATTGGGTCGAATATCATGTCACCATCATATCCCAACAGGCGCTTTTTCCTGACAGGAATATTCGTCGCCGACGAAAAACGAGATTTATTTGGGGGCATGGCCTCCATTCATTTCTACAACTACCGGATGTCGAAGGTCTTGACTCTTCTCTAATTGTTCATCGGCCAGTCGACATGGGTTCCAACAAGCATCAGGCTCTTTAGCCCAGTGGCCAAACATAGTCCAGAGGCGAGGCTAGTCGAACTACCTCATGCCAAATGCCCATCGAGAAGAATGTTGCCGTCAACTATGGCTTTGAACAACCTAGTCAACGTCTCATGGTTGTATCCAGGTATCTTGAATGTTAGAGGTTTTGCGTTCGAGAGTTGTAGGCGTTCGAGAGTTGTAGGTGATTTTGACGGATTTGAGGAGTGTGTGATTGTCGAATTAGAGGAACTGGAATTCTTTCTTGTTGACATCTGAAAATTGAACTTTGACTGGTGTCTGGTTGCATCTAGAAGAAACTCAAAAACCCTTCCTGACTATCACCCCAGGCCTGGGAGGGGATGTGTCACTTTCCAAGTTGAAGTGTATCTATTTCTGGAGGAACGTTCTAACATCTGATTGCGAATTCTTGGTACCTCTCTCTGCGCATCGCGGATGGATTGCAAACCACCTCGTCTCCTGTTCTTGATGGGCATCGTCGCGAGGTACAAATAGCTTGGTATGGTCGATTTATTACTTCCCAACAACTTGGTGCGTCAGTAAATGCGGGCCATGCTCGGTGCGCTGTGTAATATAAGGTGCTGCTGGAGCTGCGTAGTCCAAAGACAGTTTCTCCACGGTTTATCTTTGTCCTCATTGATGATGCGAGGAAACCTGCCTCCTCCGATATTAGGTCGAGCATGCCATTTGGCGCCTTTTCTGGCTCCCCAGGCGCATTTCCATGTTGCCAATCTGTTGACAACAAACATGTCTTTTGACCACCTTTTGATTTCATGCGTTCGCTCTGGCCATCTGTGCCAGCCGGGTGCGTAGGCAGGTCTTCCACTGTCACACTAGAACAACCCTCTCCACGTTAATCAAACCAGGATACGCCGTGCACTTCAACGTCCTTGAGGTTCTTTCATCGACAAGTCGCAACAAACTACTCCCATTCGGATGAAAACACAGGGCTTCAGATGCACGGACGTCATCATCTCTTCATCGTATCCTGAACAGGGTTTTCGAGTCGATTTTCAAGCGCTCCATTCACAGCACAACGCATAGATTCATTCTTTATCAGATTGTCTCTTGCGAGCTCATGTCCGTGTTGGCACAAAGGAGCGAGGCCACTTGCGCGCAAGCTTCTCGAGTTGATTTTCAAGCGCTCCACTCGCAACGCAACGATGAGATGCCTCTGAGTCTATATTGCGTCATGCAACTCATGTCCGTGATGGCACATAGAAGGGAGACAAATTCCGACTTGCCACTGCACCGTGCACTGCATCCTTGCGGGCTTTTCCAGCCATGGGAAGCGTCGATGCGTGACAAAGTCAAGATTCAAAGCCACTCCACCCCAGTAGCACGGAGTTACTAGTGACTCTGTGACTTGAGCCCTCATGCCAAAAAAGCGACTTGCCCTGATATTCGAAATATCGCAAGTATCCACTTCAATAATCCTGGCATGAACACTGGCTTTGAAAGACGCTTAGCTGAATTGAGCTCTTTCCGTGCCTCGCCTGCCTGGTTCCTTCAGTTGTGCGAGTTCCAAACCCCATCAGCAGGGCCAGGCACATCCGAATTTCGGTCCATCTTTTTCAGTATCCCAAGCCCAAAACTGACATTCGAGGCTTGATCAAAATTCCAAAGAAAGCCGGTCATCAGCCCATGTGTTGGGTATCGTGTCATCAGTGGCAAGTCCCATTGAAATGTGCGTCAAATCAATCAAATCAACTGACGAGCAACAGCACTCTCTGCGTCGGTCACCAGAAACGATCACCTTGAGGTTTTGTCCATTTTTCAGGACAATAAAGCCTAAGACTGATATCCGAGACTTGAGAAGAAATCCATGTAGACGCAAGTCCTTGCATCTCCAATATCCATCGCGTAGGCATCGATCGCGTTCGGTTCGTTCGGAGAAATCTTCTCGCGCAAAGGCTTCGGCGGCGACATGCTTGTTTAGTTTGCCACACGATGGCCTGTCAGTCACGGCGACGGCACTAGTGTCTAAATCGTCCGTGACTTGCGCCAACTCGCGCCAACACTGGAGTGTGCGTTTTGCTGGAATGAGATCCGTTCACCACGGATGTTCTGGCCTTGGCCTCGTAGCGCCCAGCGCCTCCTCCACTTCCCCGGCGAAAACACAGACAATGCCACGCATCGGGAATGAGCACTGTGGACGGCTCAGCTGAGAATCGGACCGTGGTACGTCGCAAGGCCCTGAGGAGGCGGGTCCACTCGAAATCCTTGAATTTCCATGCTAGGCATGAAAGATGCACCAGCCATGCGTTGTTTGTTAGGTCGTTTTCCGGGAGTGGGACAACAAAGAAATTTCTTCAAATGCGATCACAAACGCCCCATTGGGGTGATGGTGAGGTTCTCTGACTCAAATCGTGATGGTTGATTGAGTTGAAGGGCCGTATCTGGGGCGCCCATTGCGGAGTGACGTTATAAAGTCAATTGCACTATCACTGCTGCTCTGACCCCGATTTACCCAGTCTCAGTCTGAGCATCCTCAGTCGAAGCATGCTTCGCTTTCTTGCGTTTCCTGCCTGGAGGCGGAGGACATGGAGACCTTAGCCTTGTGTTCACAGAATCTGGGGTACTGGGCGGCGTTTTTTCTGATCTCAATGGAATGTACTTGCTTAGATTAGACAAGCAAGCACTACCCCTGCGTCGATCACCATAAACGATCAGCTTTGGGTCCTTGTCCATTCGCTTCAGGTCAGTCAAGCCCACAATTCGACGATTGGGGCTTGAGCAAAACCCATAGGACGCCGGTCATCAACTTATTCTTCCATGTGCATCATGCAGGTCGAGTCCCACACTGCGTTGGGACGGCCTTGGATCAGATCAGCTTACATCATCGGGCACGGGTGTCTGTTCAATATCAAGCCAAGCCAAATACCTCTTTCCCTTTTGGGAAAGGCTACCCTCCCAAGTTGCCAGTATTGAGTTCGACTTGGTCAACGATTTGCATGGGATCAGAATGGAACTGACTCCCTGTTGTTTGTTCTTTTTCTATCACTGTCCTTGGCCGAGGGATCTTTCCTGGCGGACGAAAGCGACCGCTTCGGGATGTCGGGTAGGTTCTTTCAATCAATGATTAGCTTTGTACAGGGCTGCTGGAACTAGGGGACTTCCTACCTTGGGTGGTATTTGTGGGAGTCGATGTGGTGAATCTCTTGCTCGCCTCTCACCTCTTATCCCATGCATGTGATAAGAGAAAGAGTCGTTGAAGACGAAGAACGAGGACAGCCCTTCGAGCGGTCCTTCGCTAGACCCGCGAGTCAAGTTTGAATTCTCGCGTCGGGTCAATGTGCTTTCGCACCATATTCGCGGAAGTTGTGTCGTGGTGATTCTCTGCTCATTCGAAGAAAGACTTACCTCTTTCCTCATGCTGGAAGGGGAAAGAGGCGTTGAAGACGAAGAAATGAGGACAGCCCATCAAGCGGTTCTTCGCCAGCTGCGAATTGACCTTGGATCCCGAGTCGGGGGTAACTGTGCTTCCAGCATCGTATTCGCGAAGTTGATATTGTAGTGAACTCCGTTCCCCTTCAAAATAACTCTTCCAAATACCTCTTGCATCTCCCAAGTGCTACTACCTAGGTAGGTGGAGAAAGAGGCGTTGAAGAATTCCATCTGCGTTTGGACGGTATCAATGCAGTCTCTACCGGATGTCCTGCGATATCGCCAAGCTTCATGGCCAGCCGGCCAGCTTCTCGCATGAGACCAGAACTGATCGAGACGATGAAGACGATGCCGGCCTCTAAGAAATGTACGGAGAAGGCGCTTAATGGTACCGCGGCCAATTCAGGCCACCCGCCAGTACCCCACGCGGAATCCAGAGGCCGGTTCTGTCCTTGTTATGGCAATTATGTGTCTTGCTAGACCTGCGTGGTCAGCTTGGATCCTCGAGTCGGGAGGTGCTGGTGAGTGAGATGTCGAGAAGTGGATGAAGTGAGGATGAATCAACTTCACATCAGTGTCAGTTCCTTCCCTACTATAAGACCAAGTCAGAAGTGAGTCTGGTGCAAGAGAATCACCACATTAGTTACACCAAACTGAAGCATATTTAAGAAGGTAAAGTGAGAAAAGTGAAAAAAGTGAAGAACGATTCATAACGAAAATACAAGTCTATATATGGGAATCAAGGCACATGGCCGCATTTGATCGTCTTGTGTATATCAGTCCGGATATAAACCCTCTCCAAGGGCTCTTACATACCAGACGGGGAACACCCCTCAGAGAGAACGGGACAAAGAAATTCGTGGAAATTTGGGGATAAAATCCACCGTCTTGATACCCATGGGTATATTAAAACAAACCTTACCGTGCTAACTATCATGACTCTTCATTGTCCTTTCTTTTAGGACAGCCCTTTTTCCGGGCAATGGCGGATTGAGGGCTATGCTGGGGGTTTAGAAGGGGAATCCACCTGGGAATCCGCCTCCGTTGCGCTGGCCTCCGAAGGGGTTACCGCCGGCTGAGGCGAAGCCGCCGCCGCCGCCTCCGCCGTTCATCATGTTGAAGAGGATGTTCGGGTCGATGTTGATGTGCGTTCCGTTCATGCCGCCCATTCCTCCCATTCCTCCCATTCCGCCCATGCCGCCCATGCCTCCCATGCCTCCCATGCCGCCGAAGCCGCCGCCGCTGAACATGTCGGCTGGGTCCATTAGGTCGTCGCCGTTGTCGTAGGCGGCGCGTTTCCTATGGTATAGTGTTATTTTAAATTCAAATGGGCAGGGTATACTTGATGTTTGTAAGGGGGACGTACTGAGGATCGATCAATGTCTCGTAAGCCTCGCCGATTTCCTTGAACTTCTCATCACCGGCTTCACCATCCCGGTTCTTGTCCGGGTGATACTGGATGGCCATCTTGCGGTAGGCCTTCTTGATTTCCTGCTCCGACGCGTCCTTGCCGATGCCAAGAATTTTATAGTAATCCTTGCGCTGGGCCTTCTTAAGCTCGAACTCGGCACGACGGATCTCCTCGGCAATCCCCTTCTCGCTGGGGTTGTTCTCGGCAACACTCTTGTAATCACGCACGGCCTCCTCCCAGTTCTCGTTGCCGGCATGCGCCTTGGCACGCACCTTCATGGCCTTGACATATCCAGGGTCCAGACGGAGGGCCTCAGTGCAGTCCTGTACGGCCGAGTCGTATTCCTTCAGGCTGTTGTAGGCCTGGGCACGGTTCTGCAGAATCTTCGAGTTCATGTCCTTGTTGGTAGGGTCGACCTCCAGAGCCTGGGAGTAGAGGTCGATGGCGCGGCGATAATCCTTCGCCTTGAAGGCAGCGTTGCCCTCGTCCTTGGTGCGGCTGAGCTTCTGTACAATTCGGAGCAGTTTGATGGCCTGCTTCATATCCGGGTCCAGCCCGAGACACATCTTCAGCAGCTTGAGCGCCTGGTCGGTTTCGCCAGACGCATAGAACGCGCGGGCACGGAGCAGCATGGCGTCTGGGTCCTGGCTGTTCTCCCGCAACAGGCCGATGGCGATGTCCTGTGCCTTGCCGAGTGAGTTGCTGTTATTCATCTTCAGCTGCGCCTCGGCAGTCAGCAGCGTCCACTTGCGCGGCTCCTTCACGCCGTGACCGAGACCCTGACGGGCTTGGTCAAGGCAGAAGATGGCCATCGATCCTCCGCGGTCCTCGGCGAGGGTCTCCTCTGCTTGCTTGATGAACTTGAGCATCTTCTCGGCAGGGCTGCGGTCGGTCGCGGTTGCCGGGGGCTGCACGCGGGACAGGACGTCGAGAGCCTCGGTGGGCCGGCCCAAACTGACCAAGATCTTGGACCAGCGGTGCATGATCTTGGGGTTGGTGGGGTCGAGTTCGTTTGCCCGCTCGATATCTTCGAGGGCATTCAGGTAGTTGCGGGCGGCCATGTGGGCGGCGGCACGGTTGGAGAGAAACGCGGCCGAGATGGGGTTGATTTCGATGGCTAGATTGGAATTCAGTTAGACACAACCTATCCAGTGGCTCGGTCACTGACAGAGGCGTGGTGGCGTATGAAAAATAGGGTACTGAATAGAATAGCTGCTTACCCTTGTTGTACTCTTCGATGGCGCGCTTGTAGTCGCCATCCTTGAAGAATTTGTTGCCGGCCAACTTGAACGACTCGGCCTCGTCGGTGTTGGCAGAGGTGGTGGTGTGTGGCGGGGGAGTCGGGCTCCGCTCCTGGCCGTTGACACCGTTCTTCATCTGGTCCTGGTCGATATCCATGGAGCTGCGCTGGTCCGCCATGGCCGAAAGTCGACGGCGGAGCTCGTCGGGCGGGAGATTAAGCGGGTGGAGGTCCTGGTCTCGCGAGGACCGGCCGAATTTGTAGGCGGGAGTGGAATTCGACGAGGAGCGACTGTGCGCGAAGCGAGTCTTGGTGGGCGACGCCTTGGTCGGGGACTTGGGTGAAGATTTGGAGGGAGATTGGGACTTGGAGGGGGAAGATTTGGAGGGCGACTTGCGCGCGGTGGAGAAGGAGGTTCGGGGAGACGCAGCGGGACTGCCACTGCCAGTGACTTCGGAGGGCGTACGCGAGTGACTGTTGCTGCGAGGTGAATGGTCTTTCGCCTTGTCCTTGTCTTTCTTGAAGATGTGGGCGAGTTGGACCATTGGGCGGGCGGACGGGATTTCCCTGGTTTTTTTTTTTTTTTGTGGTCGAAGGCGAACGAAGGCGGTAGAATCGTCAACCGGATAACAGCCGACCACTTCGAGTACAGTACTGACGGAATATACTGAGGACAGTATATTATCTCTGGGTATTTCAGAGTAAGGTACTCTAGGGTAGGAGGAGCAAATCAAGAATTGTCAGAACACTCAGGAGGATTCACACCATCGTCAGTCATAGCAGGTGGAGGATGCCAGAGTTGACCGGTTGCGCTGCCGGATCAGGAGAGAGCCGAGGGGATGGTCGCGTGTTTACTTTATAATCTATCCATTTCTCTTTCTTTCTCTTTCTACTGGTGGGGCTCGAAAAATATTAAGAGGCTGGAGAGCTACTGGTCTGTGTTAGCGCGCGAGACTGGAGACATACGAACCCGCCCATCCTGTCCCAGGGTTGCGATATTGCTGCTCTTTTCAAAGTACCTTTGCTTTGGAAAATTTCGAGAAGCTTCGATCCTTGGATTATCTAGCCAGCCAGAGACTTATTGTATAGCAGGATCATGGGGCGCACCCGAATCACTGGCAACCGTGAAAACAGCGAGGCTACACGCGGTGGAGCGGTGGATCCGATTTGCAGTTTGCTCCAAGAACGTACAGACCAGTGAAAACTGGGGAGGCGCGGTGAAGAGGGGAAATCCCGGTCTTATCACATTTCGTGCAGGGCAAAAGTACAGAAGAAGCGACTAGAAGGAAAGGCATTTACCTATATACTGTATAAAAATGAAAAATTGAGTGGGATTATGAAGTCCCGCTGGGTATTTGACAAGATCTTCGCTAACAAAAACAAACCACAAACCGGTTGCCGTGTGGGCCTGAGGTATCACATCTTCCCAAGGTCACTGGGACTGGCACTAACTAATAAGTGTCCGAATGTACCTTACCAGGTACTAAATAACCATGGCTGAGCTACCGTTGACAGGCGTTTCACGGATCGCGCCGTCGCACTAGCGCCGTTTAATATATATCGGCCATCGCTGGACAACACTGCACCGTGCAATAGTATAGACTGGCAGTACCATGGTCTCACCAGGGTACTGCTGACCGTCCACACCGATACTATCACGAGAAATGACACATATAATCCGGTCTCAGCCACCCATCCCATTCCAGCGACGAGCCACAGATGACCACCGCCGTCCCCCGAGTCGGTCGACGTGTGTAGGACTAAAGCCGTGACTCTCATACGTCGGCGGATGGTCAGCAGGCTCAATCTCATTATCGGCATAGAGGAGGTCCGTATAGATCTCCGGGTAGGCCGGCCGGCGCGACAGATCAGGCGGTGGCCCCGGCGTCCGATGTCTTGGAGCCGAGTCTTCACTTGTACTTGTCCCGCTTGCAGGTTGACGATACGGTCCAAAGACAACCCACCGCCTCTCCGACTCAACCCAGACAAGTGGGCAGCAGCTGCGTGCCCGGCGTCCGCGCTCGGAGTCACGCAATGTCTCGAGGTTCCATCTTGCCTCAGCCTCAGCTTCGAGAGACACAGGTGTTCGGAGTGGTGAGCGGGAGCGCTCGTAGGGCGAGGAAGCCGAGTGTCGGGCCAGTGTGGTGTCAATATTCAGATTCAGATTCAGATTCGCGTTACGGCTGTTCAATTCTTCCTGGTCCGGTGACGGGGTTCGTCGACCTCTTTGGGCAGGTGCACGACGGAGATAGGGCTCGTCATTTGCCTCGCTCTGAGATGTCTCGAATCGGTGGGTGAGTGGTCGAGGGAGGTGAGTGTGTCTGGAAGGAGAGGTTGGGTCCGCGGACGACGGTCTCGGCGGGAGCGATTTCCATAGTCGACTCGGGTGTGTATTTGTATCTGGCGTCGGGGGCTCGATGCGAAGCCTGGCAATTGGTTCGGGCGTTACCACTACCCTTGGGTCTTCTATTGGTGGTCCTTCGAGGGAGGAGAGATCCATGAGGGGTGGTCGGGAGTTGGAACGTGATGATTGTCGGTATCGCTGGAGGAGGGTGCAGAGGGGCATTGTGCCGTACCCCAGGGGCCGTCGGGACTGATGTATGGAGGAGATATACTATCTTTGAACACGAATGATGTGCGCTTTGATAGTCGGTTGAGTGGAGTTGGTACGAGGTGCTCGTATTCGAGCAAAGCATACCCCGAGCACGAGCGATCACCAGTGAGGTATTGTTGTGTGGCCAGGGTCGTGATGTGGGATGTAGACGAGTGTAATCCAGGTGTATGTGACTTGGCAAGGATGAAATTGTCAAAGAAAGCAAACCTGAGTTGGTTCCAACTTGAGGCCTCCAGCACAGGCTGGACAGGGAGGCCTAAGTCATACACAAAGCCATGAGATCGGGCAGTGGCATAGTTCTAAAAACGGTACCATGATTTGAAAGTCATCAAATCCTTCTGGGGCCGAGTACACCACCATGAAAGCCCTAGCATTAATTCTCACCTCCCTTTTAGTGTCAAAGCCAGGAATCGCTAGGAGAGCAATTGGGGTCCAACCGGCAAGAGATCGATCTTTCCCACCAGTCTACTCCACCAGGTGCGCCTTGTGGAGTCTGCTCGAGGCTGTCCCTCTGTCTTTAGGTTTTCCCGGACGTCAGACGGGTCGGGAATAAACCAGTGTGGCTGATCGGACCCTGAAGAGATTTGAAGCCATTCGTTGTTCCTAATGGCAGCACTGTAGGTAGCAATCGGTTCGGGACAACAAAGCAAGCTCGTTACAGGAGACTCTAATCTAGGGGAAATCCGGTTATCGTGGGCCCCGAGCGCATTTCAAACTGTGGTTCAGTGTTGGCATGACAGCTCTGGTCCCATGCTGCGCTGCAATCATATCGCTCACAGTATATCGCATGGGCCGATTCTCATTTTGTCAGTACACGCGATCCGGCGGGGTCACGTCTACCTCCCTCGCCTCAGGATTTTTCGGGGGCGAATGCCGTCTACTGAATCGCGGTCAGCATTGCAAGGCAAACTTTGGAAGAGGTGGGTATTTGCGTCGGTATCGCCGATTGCATCATCCATCTCAGACCTCAATGCGATTCGGCCAGGACAAGTACCGATAGAATTATTTCTATTTCATCTCTGCGGTTGTTGTTGTTGTGTACGCAGTGTCCAGCACGCACGACACTAGTGTAGAGTGGCAGTCAAGAACCAAGGATCGGTGGATAAATTTAGCAGCAAAGCTAACGCTGAAAGGGCAGATCGCAATATTAACAAAATCTGGCGCTACTCCGCATTGGCTTGGCGGAATACACGACGCCGATTTCCAGCGGTGCGGTGGCTGATGTCATTCTCGTGAGCCTGACTTGATCTCTTACCGTGTAGTGTACACTTGTGTAGGTAGGCATGGACATTAGGAGTGGATAGTTTGGTGAGGGTGGGATGTGGTTTTTTATTTTTGCCCAAAGTGTAGGGTTATGTCAGCGATATATTTCACCCGCGAACCACATATACCTAGCCAAACACTGAAGTTAGGTTTATTCTATCCAGTGATTCTGGTACGTATGAATCAGAATATACATGCAGCGCGAATGTACTAGTGTCATAGGGTATTTTAGACTCGACAACTGCCGTCCCTACACCACAAATAGTAAAGCCCTAGAAAGGCTTCCTTTGGCCAAGAAATGCGGAGGGTCCTTAATTCCAGCACACTACCCTAAGTACAGTACACTACGTGTAGGATCACGGCACTAGGAGATATCCGGTCGGGGCGATGAAACGGCCCCATGGCCAAGCCCTCACCCTGGAGCCGTTCTGGGAAATCAGCAACATCGCATCCGATTGGATTTATGAGAGGTCTTTTGTTTCCTGGATAGGCTAGTAGCTGCGAATATACCAACACACAATCCTGTGAAGGCTTGTGGGATTGAAATATTTGATGGTAGCACGTGATCCTATTATGAGGTATTTTGATCCCGCCAATTTTGGGGCCGCCCCTGACCATTCTTCGGGGTGAAACGATCTTGTGAATGTGTGGTTTTATCTATATTTTGATTTTGATTCTGTGAGAGACGAGGGGCAGATTTACTCGAGGAGTCTTTGCACTGCGAGGTCAAGGTGACAATGCGAATAGAATAGCACGCCATGGACGGATAATTCAGACAGGGGTAACCTCAAGAAGGGACTTCCACTACACACAGAATCAAATATACAGCAGATCAGACCCCAGACATTGCACATCTAATTAAAGAAAATAAGACCAAAAAATGGTGTAAGATACATTCAAAAGGGGTATTGGGTATTACTGGAACTCGGAAGGTGAAAGCTGTCATGGTTTACATTAAGGTCGTGCTCAAGCCACCAAGCGCTTCACACAACTCCGAAGCTATCCAGGAAGCCCAAGGAAGGAAAAGTAAATATGTATATCAAAATCGAAAAGAGGATAAAACATATCCAATCAGAAGCAAGTAACAGTATCGATCAGGCAGGTATCAAGTCACCGAAAGCCCAGGTTTAAATCACAAATCTCATCTCCGTTCCTATGTCCGTTCCACTCTATCTAACCCTCCCCTGAGGGGAGTTAAATGGGAGGTGTCATTTAAGCCAGGAAGAAGGCGGCGGCGGCAGCAGCACCAGCGAAGGTGAGAGAGCCGGAGACGGCACCAGCGCCGTTGTAGACGGGGGTGGAGGAGGGGGTAGCGGAGGCAGTGCCGCTATACAATGTTAGTTGAGGCTCAATTATAGAGAGTCGGGGAGCTCACCTAGCAGAGGGAACGGAGGAAGAGGGGGCGTGGGGAACGCCGCCGTTGCCGCCAGAGCCGGGGCCGACGGGGGAGGCACCAGTGGGGGTGGACATCACGGGGACGGAGGTGGTGATGACGGTGGGAATGCAGCTGGTGATGACGGTCTGGCTCCAGGACTGGACGGGGGTGACCGCGGGGGGAGCGGGGACGGACGACCAGGAGCTGGGGGCGGGAGCCGGGGCCGAGGGGGCGGGGCCCGAGGGAACGCCAGAGGAGGCAGGGCCCGAGGGGACGCCGGAGGAGGGGACCACGGCAGGGGTGGTGGGCTCAACACCAGCGGGGGTGGTGGTGGGCTCGACACCGGCCGGGGTGGAGGTCTGGCGGCCGGGGCAGTCGGTGACGGTGGGAGCGCAGGAGGTGATGGTCACCTCGTCGGTCTCGTAGACGGTGGTGTCAGCACCGTTCTGGACGGCGGCGGCGGCCAGGCCGGCGAAGAGGGCAATGGTGGCGGTGGTGAAACGCATTTTGAATATGGAAATAAACCGTGAAGGTGATTAAAGCGGGAAGGCTTTGGTGATGAAAGAGAGTGGTGGTAGTTGGGTGAAAGAGTGGATGACCGAAGTCTAGAGAGTGACTGGATGCGAAGGCAACGAAGTGTGTACTTGGGGAGAAAGAAGGGGAAAGGATGCCACGGGGGAGCCAGGGGCCCTTTGTATGAACGGGGAGATTAGCCCAGCTGATCGACGATTGCCCGAACCAGAAAGAAAGAAAAGGGGAACGCCCACACACTCTCCACCGTGTAAACACTCAGTATACTACTGTATGTAAGTACTGATACCACCGCATGCGTATGGCACACCGCACCCCGAAGGTACCAGTACTCCGAGGCTAAGGAGCTGTGTGCAGCCCCGGCCAACCCCTGGCCGATCGCCATTATTGGGGGTTCTGGTCTCGCTGTGACGCCGAGCTGGTGTAATTTTGAGGAGCACTAACGCATTAGCGTGGCTGCCGATCTCGTTGTGCCGACGTGGATGAGACATGGTACCTTGCAGGACCCTTGCTCAGTATTCCTCTGCTGCTGCTGAGGGCAAGACATACTTACAGTAGGGTACTGAGGTACTTGATCAATATCAGTCTCGACACAGTAGACGGAATAACTGCCCTGCAGATTCGACGCAGAGTAGATGAGATCGAAATCGCTCCACGCTCACGAAAGAGTCCGCGGTTTCAGGCCGCGCCGACTGGCCAATCCACTGCCGAATTACCGGCCGTTCCTGGCGGCGTGAGCCACTGCGCAGCGTTCGAGTGGGGCTGTCTTTAACAAAGCTCCACTTACCCCTGAACAACCCGTGAATGGTTTCCACTTTCGCCCCCGTAAACAACGCAATAATACAGTACGCTCGGTGGATTCACTCTGTGATGACGGAGGAGAGTTCATGGCCAGGTTTGCCTCTCCGATGGTTCCCTGTGTTTGGTTGTCTGGGGAGTTCCCCTGATATTTTTACAGTAGATTAATTAGGTATACTAGTATTTACTCCCACCCTATGAGAGTAGAGATTAGGCAGGTAACCCATACTCACAATTATAGCAGTGCAATTACATTATTATTACACCTTACAGTAATAATAATGCTGCTATTCTCGTCCGCCGAGAACTCCCATCCTGTTTGTCGGTGGACCCGATCACTCATGTTGTCTCCTTCCCCCCCCCCCCCTCCCATATTAAACCCGAACAGTAACATCCGGATCAGTGATTCACCTGCTTCTTACTCTGCAGCCGGGGGAACTGCGGTGTAAACTCTCCTACCGTTACCATTACCACTAACACCCTCCGCAGGGAAAGGGAAATTATACTGCAAGCGACAGCCCCCGCAGCGGGCCCTGCACGACTGGCGCCAGTCCCCAGTGCTTAACGGAGCTTACACCCGGGTCCAAGCCACCAAGCGGGGGGACCAAGCCCACGCCCCAACAGCATTGTTGGTGCAGTGTACTGGGCTGGCACTAACCCGCCAGATCGGTCTCGGTCCCGGTCCCTGGCATCGCGCATGTCTCGTAATTGCGGTTACACCAGGAACACTGAGATCAGTGCGCGGGATCAGCACCCTGCTCGAGTCGAGACCCGGTGCCGGCTGCAGAGTACAGCAAAGTACAGTGAAAGCCGGCGGGATGATCGGTGTGCTGGTGGCTCCACCATAGGGGCCACCAGCACATACAGAGTACACCATACACATACACAGGACAATATTGCAGTGTATACTCCTGAATTCAAGTAAAAGAATACCTGGAGCTTTGTTCTGTTCTGACATTTAGATCCAGACCAGCCGAATACCTGGTGGCACCTCGTGGCGGACTCCACCCTCGCTCTTGAATCCAAGCCCGTTGGATCTGATTTCGTGACCCCTTTTCAACGCCCACGATGGTGTCCTAATATGAACATACTTTTGGATGTACTAGTAGTTAAATCTGCTAGATTGACCCCATACTGCTTCTTTGTGCTATGTTTAGACTGCTCCATGATTCGGTGGGCCATGGCCAGCGTTTGCAGTAGGACGCTGAATAGGGGAAGCTCTTACTATCGAGACCCTACCCCATTGCTTCAACTAGACGCTAATTTTATTTCCTATATGAGCAGGTGAGATAATAATAGCACCACACACCATATATGGTACATATTGTAATACTGTAGAGTGAATAGTGAGTCAGTGGGTCAGTCAACCACCGAACATTCCTCGAAGCCTCCGAAAAGTGAGAAAAGGGGTTGCGACACGATGGTATACGGCACCGGTTTTGAGCCGCGGTCGCATACAACACAGTAAACAAGTAATACATCCTAGTGTACATACATACATTATCATTGGTAGGTGTAACCAGCCAGCGGACCAGACCAACCAATCTCGCTACGCGACGCGATGGCAGCGCTGGAACTCCGAACCGAAGTAACGATCATCGAAGTGTCCTCGCGACTGAATCCCGATCTGGCCCTGCCTGGTATTGAACCCGGCGTACAAAGGCAGGGAGTCCCGCACCTCTCGGAGCGAGACCTCGGGCTTCGCTTTAACCCCCCGTTTACAGTATTCATTTGTGTACTTACCCTATAGGTATCTACTAGACCCAGACCGTACCCTAGAGTGTAGCGTCTGGGCATTCAGCCCTGTTTCTCTTGGCCCTCAGACACGGCTCTACCTGCCTACCGCACCTTCCGTACCCTAAGGCACTACTACGACCGGGGTCAGGACAAATTAATTTCCGCCATTGCCGGATCAGCGGCAACGCGTCATATCTGCGCGGGATGAGTTTTCACGAGGGCTTGCTTGGATTTTACTTGGGGTTTGAGTCGGTGTTTTTTTTGGTTTTCTCATTTTTTGGGTGAGGGTAGTGCTTACCTACTACATGTAGTAGTCTGTGGATTAGGGGGCGGTGGGCAGGACCGTTGCGTGCCAAGCCTGGCTATCTCAAGGAGGGCCAGGTGCGTCTGTGGCGTTTTGGTGGATTTGCCGAGTAGAGCCTGTCACTTGACTTGAAGGGTAGTCGATGGGAGCTTCCTTGCTCCAGTATAGATTCTGGTCCAGTACAGGTTGGGGTAATTTAGGGGGAGGCAAGTCTGAGCCGCGCGTCAACAAGCAGGCCTGGATCAGGCAATCCAGGCAGATGACGTCCATCGTTGACAGTTCGGTTCTGCAAGGAGTCGAGAACAGTGTGGCTGTTCTCGTTGTGACCCAAGCAAATTAGGTACTGCTTAGAAGGAGTCTCCAGGTCGATCTGTGGCTGTACACTCGGAAAGCCGAGTGCTGGTTCAGGAAGGGTGGACCGAGTGGCTGTCTCTGTCTCATCGTGAGGGCTTGGGATGAAACGTGGCGGAGGTCAATTGAGATTAAGCCTGAGGATATCTGCGGTATTTCGGATATTGTCGTTGAGAGAGATAGAGAGATGGAGGGAGGGAGTGATGGACTAGGCGGTATATCTTAAATTCTTCGAGTAGTATCCTCATTGGCAGATACAAAATAGGTGGGAGTGGGAGTCTGGATCGGCGATATTCATGTTCCCCCGGGATGATTCCGAATGGACTCAGCCACGAAGGGATGGCTTGGATCTGATGCATCAGCCACAGCTGCCTCAGGCACAACATGGTTGATCCAAGGTCACTCGCCAGTCCTTTTCACAGTGTACCTTGGGCAGGGTCAATACCAAAGACTTTGACTTCTCGGCAAGGACCTCCCACACAATGCGGAATTACTCTCCCCATGTCCATATTCGTTGGTCGAAGTACTTTGGAAGTGGGGTGAGTTGGCAATGATGTCGACGGCGCATTCTTCGCATCGTGGGTTGGCGACGTCAAGTGGAGAAGGCATTGAATTTGCGGCTCAAGGCAGCACCGTTTATGCCCGACGGCAGCAATATGCCAGAATGCAGCGAAATAGAATACTAATGTCGAGCCCTGATAGTACTGTACATTAGTAGGTAGGCAATACATGTACCTAAGGGCACTTGTAAGTGACGGCACGCGAATGCGCCCGCATCACAATGCGAGTTGGATCACATCACGCCGGACAAGCGAGGCCATGTCAGCACCTTGACTGGACTCCTTTTGTACACTGTAGCATACAGCAGAGCATCAAGCACTCGCAAATTCTTCACTCAGTCTGGTTGTCAGTCTTCTCTTCAACTGCCCTGCGATCGCCGTGTTTCAGCTGAGGCGCCTTCTGAAACAGCCCCACCAGCGTAGGACCCGATCTTCCTCTTCTCGCCTTGTCCCACCCGGCGGCTGTGTCGCTGTCTATTAATATTGATGATGCTGGAGGTGCCATCATCGTGCGATCCCGGTTACTGAACATACATATTGAAAAGCGTCGACCGTTGGCAGGTGGAACCTCCGCAAGTCACCTGCTGCCACTCCCCTCTCGATTCCTCTTTGACTCCGACTCGCTCCCGCCGACACACCTCGACTCCCCAACACTCGTTCACCTCCTCTTTCCCTTCCATCCCCGCCTCGCCGTGGTCGAGTCCAACCACTGTGGCTACCCTGGCTGACCCCAACGAGTTGTTCTTGCCCGGGGAAAGGCAGAACAATCTCGCCATGTCGTCGCCCGTCCCACTGCTGCGTCCGCCGGTGCCTGGCAACCGCAACAACGCCGGAGGCAGCCCGCGAGCCCCCAAACTCACCTTGGGCATTCCCCCCTCGCCCAACAGCAAACCCGTCGCCGACAATGGCGTGCCCGCCGTCGAACCTCAGGCTCTTCCGATCCAACCCTCACAGCCCCAAGTACAACCGCAGCAACGACCCGGCCGACCGTCCTTGCCCCGCTTGCAACTGGCAACCCCGATGGGCAGCAGCCAGAATGTCCCGCAACAAAATGGTAAACCCGCCGGACTCTCGCTCTCGACCACCGGACTGGGCGTGAATGGCCAGCCCCCGCTCGGCCACAAGGCCAGCGGTCCGACATCGTCAAACTCTTCATACTCGACTCTCAACGTCGCCATGGAGCTGCGGGAGTCTGGCGGCAGCTCCGACCCCGCCTCTGCCATCAGCTCTGTGTATTCGGATGCAGAAGGCGGCATGCAGATGAAGCGTGATACCAGCGTGAACGGATTGCTCCCGGATCTGGATAAATTGAGTCTGGAAAAGGGTCGACCGCTCGACGTGGAGGATCTGGATGACGAGGGCTGGCATGCGGCTAGCGAACAGAAGAAGATTGAGGAGCTTGGAAGTCTGGGTGAAGGTGCCGGTGGTGCAGTGACCCGGTGTAAGCTCAAGGAGGGCAAGACGGTTTTTGCTTTGAAGGTACGCTCTCCATCATTCACATGTTACGTTAGACGGTGATGCATACGAGCTTAATGCTAACTGTTTGGTCTAGATCATCACCACCGACCCGAACCCCGATGTCAAGAAACAGATCGTCCGCGAGCTTAACTTCAACAAGGACTGTGCGTCTTCTCATATCTGCCGCTATTACGGCGCTTTCGTCGACAAGACGTCAGGAACCATCTCTATTGCCATGGAGTTCTGCGAGGGTGGCAGTCTAGACAGCATCTACAAAGAAGTCAAAAAACTAGGCGGGCGAACAGGCGAAAAAGTCCTCGGCAAGGTCGCCGAGGGCGTCCTGAACGGCCTGACATATCTGCACAGCCGCAAAATCATTCACCGAGGTTTGTCACACCCATTTATGTTTCATAGCTAGATATCTGACCCTCTCAGATATCAAACCATCCAACATCCTACTCTGCCGCGACGGTCAAGTCAAGCTCTGCGATTTCGGTGTCAGTGGCGAGTTCGGCACCAAGGGCGACGCCAACACCTTCATCGGTACATCCTACTACATGGCCCCGGAACGAATCACCGGTCAGTCATACACCATCACCTCGGACGTGTGGTCTCTGGGTGTGACCTTGCTGGAAGTTGCCCAGCACCGATTCCCTTTCCCGGCCGACGGAACCGAGATGCAGCCCCGCGCCGGTCTAATAGATCTCCTCACATACATTGTCCGCCAGCCCATTCCGAAACTGAAAGACGAGCCGGAGAACGGTATTCGCTGGTCGGAGAACTTTAAATACTTTATTGAATGCTGGTACGTATCGCCTTACGCTAAGGGACTTCATACCTCCATACTAATAATACCAGCCTCGAGAAAGAACCCCCTCGACGCGCAACTCCCTGGCGGATGCTGGATCATCCATGGGTGCAGGACATGAAGAATAAGAAGGTCAACATGGCCAATTTCCTGAAACAGGTGTGGGACTGGAAGGAGTAAAAGCGAAAAATCAGCATCAATTCTTCCTGCATCCGACAGGTGGAACCTCACTGCATTGCCCATTGCCCCCTCCTGCATTCCTTCATAGGATAGGATCTTCAAACGAGTCCAAGGCTGGACCTGTTGACCTGGCTGTCAACACGAACTCGACCTCCATCACACCATCTATTCGGCTTTCTCTTCCGAGTTCAGCCGTCGACCTCCAGGCGGGCACTCGGAGTCTCGACGACTTCCCCTCGGGGCTTTTCACGGGCCTTTCTCGTTTCAAACTTGAATTCAGAGTTCTTATCATACCCTGCAGCGACTATGATTTCCACGGCTACGCCTACCTATACGATCCTTATGGCCTGAATTTTCTCGCATCCGATCCCTATACCTATTCACATTCACATTCGTATTCTTATCCATACTGTTACAAGTTTTCTGGTGTTTGCTGGATATCGGTTTTGCGAAACCTTCTTACCCTTACCCATTTTGCGCCCTTTTTTTTCCTCATGAAGTACTACATTTGAGCCTGGACATATCATCATATCATATCATATCATATATTCGTGGTTCATTTTTTTTTTATTTCTCTGGAAGTGTTGCTTGTATAGCCTTGCATGGCTGTAGGCTTTTGGACTGATTTGCATGGTGGAGGGCGGTATATAGGTACCTAATCCATTGCGTTTGTATTTGAGATTTACATTTGTTGGCTGGGTGTACTGTAGATTTTGGATAGTTGGGATTCGTATAGGTTGTGTAACTACGTTATCTGGAGGGTACCTAAGGGTAAGCTTCAAAAGTGCTTGGTAAGAAGGTAGGTACTTACGGGACTCTCTGCTTTCTATCTAGACTCACGTTAGACGTTAACATTAACAGCGTTCATAAGATCACGATATTGTCTAAAGCATCAGAAACTCCTACTCGAAAACACTAGTTAAGAAAAATGATTAGAATGAATACATATCATCGCTATCATAATACACCTGAACCTAAATACAACCTGAACACAACACACCACTCAATCACCGATTAACCGGCTCCGCCCCCAGAACCCATCCAATCCCACTTGCCAACCCTCCAGTAACCATATTACTAACCATATCCCTCTTCCTAACCCTCCCCTCGCCCTCCGGGGAAAGAGGTCTTTCATCACCCGAACCCGAACCCTCTACTCCAGCTCTAGTCGAACCAGCCTGTGTCCCAGTGCCGCGCAAGGGAAACGCATTCTTATGCAACGCCATCGCCGCACCACGTGCGACCTCAAAAAGACCCATCGGCGCCTCAGGATGGGCATGAGGGAGAGCACGCGCACGCGCACGTCTTGCACTCCTCTGCTGCGCCGTTTCGAAAGCGTCGCGCTCAAAGTCACTCGGTCCAAAGCCGCCTGGTACAGTTGAGAGTTTATCACCCTTTGAGTCCCAGGCATCTTCTTCTGATTGTTCGCGGGCGCGTAGGGAAGAGAGTTCTTCGTCGGCTCGGCGCCAGGCGCCGAGGATTTCGGGGAGGGGGTCCGGGGTCGGTGTTAGAGTTAGGGAGAGGGAGAGGAGTTCCATTCGTTGGGAGAGGTGGGTTATTTGCGTTGTTAAGGGGGTGTTTTGTTGGTTGGAGCGGTAGCGGCCTGCGTTGTAGACGGCGCGCCATGTTATGTCGTCGGGGAGGGTTGAGGTGTTCAGGGTGTTGGGGGTTAGGCGGGTGAGGATGTAGGAGTAGGCAGTGCCGAAGTCGTTGGAGGTTAGGGCGGAGGAGATGGCGAGAGAAGTGATGCGGCGTTCGGCTGTGACGAGGGCGTCGGCTTCGCTGAGGGGTTCTGAGGTTTCCGGGGATGTGGAGAGACCTGCAGAGACGAGGTTGCGGCCGATGGAGAGGAGGTCGTCGAGTTTGGTGTAGCTTTTGGCGTTTTGGTCGAGGACTTTCTCGACCAGGGAGAGGGGGTCGTGGTGGACGCGGATGCTGACGGGTTGGAAGGGGACGCCGTGTTGGAGGGTTAGAGAATAAAATGATAGTGCATGAGTCGCAGATATCAGGGCGCTGATTTGTTTGAGCGCAGTTGACTCTGAGAAGTGCGGTTGGAATGCTTGGAGGCTGGAGGATCTGATTAGAGGCTATCTAGTTTGAGCTTCGTGGTGTACTTACGTCTCATGTGCTCGTTTCATTCCGCCACGGGTTCGGTTGCCATTGCTTGCATTGTCGTAGGCACTGTAAATAGATTCGACCACGGCTTCTTCCACTTGCGTAGATTTCAGCGGTGCAGAGGCCGACTGAGTATAGATCTCGATAGCTAATTGATATTCTAGGGAGAGTTAGAAATAAAAGAGTGCCTGCAATGGTCAATCGACACATACCTCTGGCACCGAGCAACGCCTTGAGAATTTCCGCTTCAACCGTATCCCGAGAGATTCTCCAGAAAAGACCCTGGTGGGTCGAGGGCTCGTCCCAGCCATTGTCAGACTCGTCCCATTGCCAATCTCGAAGCCAGAGAAACTGATCTCGAACAATCCGCCATTCCCGACTTGACCGATGTTGCTTCACAGTCGAGTTCACGACACTCTTCAATTCCGCCATTTGTAGCTTCTCGCTGCTATAGAGGCACATGTTGGCCACGGCCCGGCAGGGAACATTATGGCCAAGCCCGGTCAAAATGCGGAGAGACAAGAGTAGTGCGCTCAAAAGGGAGATTGAAGAAGGCGATGGTCGCGTCAAAGGATTGTCGAAGCTCAAAAGAGAGTTTTGCATGAGCGAGGCCCTTGTTGTTGAAGACAGTAGCTCTGAATCGTAGTCCACGGATGGGAGAGCTGACTCGGGGGCGCCCAGATATAAGCATTCTTCGAGATTAAGCAGCTTTGCGACGCGCTCCAGCACCTTCAATGATCCCTCAAGCGCAGCCTTGGATGAATCTGCATGACCGTACACCACAGCCAATCCAGATTGGCCGTAGCGGTTCAACAGTTCCGTGGCTTTGTCAGACGCCAGTGCTGCATCTTTGTCCTCATACCCTCCCATATCCACATCTTGAGGCCCATTCCAGATGCTGAAAGCACTGATGACATTCTCACGGTCCACAAAGCTGCGTGACAGTAGCCATTCATTGACGTAATCCCATCCCGCTGGTTCTGAAGTCTCGGGCTTCGACGTACCCTGGAGGAAGGAAACTGAATTCCGATGGGCCGCATCATTCAATCTCCGCCGCTTTGACCGATCGCTTCCATATAGCCAGGGACCAACCAGTCCCCTCAAGTTGTTGATCAGATCCATGCTGTTGTTCTCGGGACCGCTAATAGACAACAGAACATTGACCGCGGTCTGATCATCCATCAACTCCAATGTATCTAGTGAGATTGTCTCTTCGCGGTTCGGATAATATTCATAATTGAGTCGGAGGGCGGGCAGAAGACTCGAGACTAGCCATGTCCGAACGGTGGGGTTGTTCTCGTGAAAGGGTAGGACCAGGCTGAGAATAAGGGGCTGGAGAGCCGTTTCAGAGTCGATCAGGTGTGCCCGGTGAATCAGGAATTGGGTCAATGGATCGGAAGACAGCACTTCCTCCTCCTCGTCTTCGCGCTTGAGGGACCGTAAACGAAGCTTGCGCACACGTTTCCTCGCCGCCGATTCAGATAAGTCCTGGACGGCAGATGCGTCGATGTCTCGGTCTGTCGAATTTCCACTAACTAGCTCCTGTAGCACCGGAATGTAGTCTGAGGGTTCTGTACTTTCGGGGAGGAAGGTCAAGATGATGCGTAGGAGGCGTTCGAGCGGAAAACAATGGGGGTATTGCGCTTGCAGAGCAGGCAAGGCAGCGACATTGCCTTCGGCGCAAAATCGAGTCGCAAGTAATATCGCATGGGCATCCGATAGCCCTTCCAGAGGTGCCATGGCGGTTGGTTGAAGCACAGGAGGAGTGAGGTGTCCTCATACTAGCGACGTCAACGCCCCAAACGCATACGGCGGGCGCACGGACCAGGTCGGAAACGAAAGGGAAAGCGTCGCATCCGCCGGCACCTCACCACCTTCTTTGCCAGCTCTCTGCCCACCACTTCTGCCGATTGCTTTTTCTCCTCCTAGACAATGGCTTCCGGCTACGGTAACAACCTCGGTACGTGCCCCTTTGTGTCTTTTTCCTGGTTGGGTGGCGAGTCCGCGGCGGTGTTCGTTCGTTCGATCACATCTTGCGCAGGCCGTACACCCACCTCTGCTCCCCCGCGATCACCTGCAGTAAAAGCTAACCGCCGTCCGCTCGTTTCAAGGTCCTAACCGCTGCTTCCCCTTCTGGCAGGAGGTGCTTGGATGCTATGTCGTGAACTCGGCCGAGGGTGTTGAGGGCAAGAAGAAGTGCGCTCCTGCTTTGGAGGATTACAACGAATGTCTTCACCACAAGAAGGAGGTATGTCTACATCAGAGATTTTCTGAGTGTTAAGTTAATAATTGCCCTGTGAAATAGGTCTACCGTGCCTTGAGAATTGCCAACGCCGTCCGCAAGACCGAGGCCGCGTCCCCGCGTGAGAACGCCCCCAATGCCGAGGAGATTCGAAGCCTGGGCTTGCTGGGCCGTGAGAAGGAAACTGCCGCTACATTGGAAAAGATCCGGCAACAATAAGCGGGGAAGGCAAGAGCCAACTCAGGGCGCGATGTTCTTCTTTTGATGCGTGTGATCCGTGTGATCCTCTGGATCTTACCCCGGACTACCCCGATGGGGTCTGTGACTGTATAGAAACGTTTCGTTTGAGGCCGATTGGGCCATGTTTTGAATGATACTCCGGTTCCAATGCTACCATATCCCGCTTGATTAGATGTGGGGAGGTGCAGCGTGTAGGGTATGCGATACACGAATCTTCGTCCAGTCATTGGTCGATAATGGCAGATTAGATGTATTCTCGCTTTATTCAATTTCAATTTGTGATGGGCTTGCCAATCGCCGAATGTATGATTAATAGATGGTGATGTACTACCGGCACACTACAGTTCCAACCTTGACATTTGATATTGAACCCTGGCTGTAGTGTAGCTACGTGATCTATTGACAGGTATTAACACCAAGGTATCTCAAAATGGATATATTGAGACGACCCAGCTCGGACTGCCATAAATTATCATAAATCTATGTCATTAGGTCTTATACGGATAACTCAAGCTTGATATATAAATGTGATGATGCAAGTGGATATATAGTTCCCGCATATTGCCAATCCACTTCCTTTCATTGGTACACAGGAAATGCACTTCAAAAAAGATTCAAAACATTTACTTGAAAGAGCTTTGATCACTTTAAAATGAAAAATTTTGATGCAAGGTACTGTCTGATGAAACTAACATACTCGGGACCCCTATGATGATCGTGGGAATCCTCGAGTCCCCTGAGGCCATCTGGCATGTCTTGGCGCGGGCGATCGATCGCGAGATGATCCATCATAAACGAGACATGCCACTCGTGCAGAATCGCTTAAACTCAATCTCTGTTGGTCAACCCGATGGCGATTCCATTCGATACATTTGACGACATTCAGGGCTCCATGCTTCCGGCGTTTGTATCCAGGCAGCCGACTCGCGTATCTCACGTGACAGAAAAACTTGAAGTGGAGGCCCAACCACGTCTAGGCCCGATCGGGACTAGCGCGGCACACCCAAACATGGGCCGGCGCGCCCAGCTTGAGAGCCCCAATGATATAAACCCGGCTGCGTGACCTCGACCTTCTCCTCTTGTGTACTGAATCCAATCCTCCCTGCTGACTCATCCGTATCCATCACGGCGTCTGGGGCGTTAGTCTTCGGGCGTTTGCTTCCTCTCGCTCGGCGCTTCTGATCGACGCGCTCGGTCGCGTCTGCTTTCTCATCCTTGTTGTTTTCCTCTCACCTTTGGGCGGTGCTGTTCACTCGGCATCAGAGTGACGGCCCGCCATGACTTCCCGGTATGCCCCCATCCAATTATGACGCGTATGTCACATGATTAACATATCCACACAGACTCGACCGCCTGGTCACGTGAGTATTCACACCCGACATCACATGACCCTGATATAGTGTTGTACTATAATTTATAGACGGGGGTCATCGTGGTAAGTATATGTACTAACTAATTTCTTAACAGACTCCTCGAAACAGGCAGTACACAACTTATCCGAAATACTGCTGCACAACAACTTGCGGATGTCCAAAAACAACATCCGGATGAGCTCTTCAACCTTCTCGGGCGCATCTTGCCCTATCTTCGCTCCAAGTCCTGGGACACAAGGACTGCGGCTGCCCGTGCAATTGGCTTGATCGTCAGCAACGCTGATATTTACGACCCCAATGAAGATGATGGACTCCAGATCAAGTCGGCCGCCGACGACGACGACGTGGAGATCAAATCCGAAATTAAATCGGAAGATGCGCCTCCATCTGTAGATGAATTCCTTCATCTAGATACCCTTGACATTGCTGCCATACTAAAGCATGGTAAGCGTTTGCTTGGCAGTGCTGGCAAAGAATATGAATACTCATTGGCCTCGATGGAGCCCGCGGCACGCCTACAGCACCAGAAAAAGACATTGACTGCGCGCCTCGGCCTGGAAGGCGAGTACAATGAAGAAGATATCCTTGACAGCGTGGATCTGGCCCCGAAGCCTGCAACCCCTGCCCCGAAAAGAGAATCTTCCGACCCGTCCATCGCCCGAGAGAACAGCCTACAGGAGTCTCGGCGTGCGTCGTCTCCGACCGAGACTGCAGCAAAAGAAGAATCAGGTTTGAGCAAGCGTCAATTGAACCAGCTTAAACGCAAAAATAAGCAAAGTGCTAAAATGGGTGCAAACAAGGTCCGCGTTGTCGATTTAGCCTCTCGGCGACCTTCGGACAATGTCACGACCCCCACGGCGACTCCTCACCCCGTCAAGGCTGAGAATGAGGATTCCAAGAATGGCGACTCCAAGCCTGATTACTTCTCGCTCGACACTTCAGAGGCAACCGATGACTCGAAGATCGTGTCTGAGTTTAAGGGTCCCATCGCCCCTGAAAAGCCAATCATCCAACCCGAAATGGTGGATCAGGGTGCCGGATGGCCTCTTGAATGCATGTGCGAGTTCCTGACGGTCGACATCTTTGATTCCAACTGGGAAGTTCGCCATGGTGCTGCGATGGCTCTTCGTGAGGTCGTTAGGGTACAGGGCGCCGCCGCCGGTCGTCTCGAGGGCAAAACCCGCGAAGAAAACGACACTCTGAACCGCCAGTGGCTAGATGACCTCGCATGCCGACTCCTTTGTGTTCTCATGCTGGATCGATTCGGTGATTACATTTCCGACAATGTCGTTGCTCCAATCAGAGAAACAGTTGGTCAAACACTCGGTGCGCTATTGTCGCACCTGTCGCCACAGTCTGTCCGCCGGGTTTACCGATGCCTCTATCGAATTATTGTACAGACTGATCTGGGTTTAGAGCGGCCCATCTGGGAAGTCTGTCACGGCGGCATGATCGGTCTTCGTTACCTTGTTGCAGTCCGTAAGGATCTCCTTATCAAGGACTCGGAGATGATGGATGGTGTTCTCGAGGCCGTCATGAAGGGTCTGGCTGATTTCGACGATGATGTACGAGCTGTCAGTGCTGCAACTCTTGTTCCTATCGCCGAAGAGTTCGTGTCATCTCGGGCTGGCACGCTTGGCCCACTCATGAACATCGTTTGGGACTGCCTCTCAAATCTGCAAGACGACCTCAGCGCAAGTACCGGTTCCGTCATGGACCTTTTGGCCAAGCTCTGCACATTTTCCCAAGTTCTGGACGCAATGAAGGCGAACGCTGCCGATGACCCCGAAGCTTCATTCGCCAATCTGGTACCTCGCCTCTACCCCTTTTTGCGGCATACCATCACCAGCGTCCGCTCTGCAGTTCTTCGTGCGCTCATGACCTTCCTCAAGCTAGAGGGAGAAGGAAGCACGGACTGGGTCGATGGTAAGGCGCTGCGCCTGATCTTCCAGAACCTGCTTGTAGAGCGTAATGAGAACGTTCTCAAGCTATCACTTCAAGTGTGGTCAGAGCTACTGAAAGCCGTCGAGCTGCGTGGATTGTTCTCTTCTGACGCCGCTCTTCTGGAGTCGGTACAGCCTCTGATCACCTTAACCCTGGGACCCTTCGGCGTGCCTCGTTACCCCATTCCTATGAACACCTGCCTATTCATCAAGCCATCTGGTCTTCCGTACTCCGCTGCTGCCCCGCCGCCTTCAAAGGCATCACCCCCCGCTCCTGGTCCGGAGGGCGGCAAACCAGGCCGCAAACGCAAACCAGAGAAGAAAGAGCCGGCGCCAACCTCGTCAACTCACAATGTGGACGGACACATGCTTTCAGGCGATGTTGATCTTGTTGGAGCTGATACACTGCTTCGATCTAAGATATTTGCTGCCAAAGCACTGGGCGAGTTGATCTCCTTCTGGGACAAGAACGCACTTTCGAGCCTCTGGCCGGCTATTATCGATGGCCTCAACCTTCCGGCCTCTACCTCTCAGCTGTCTACGGCTATGGTGTTGGAAGAATATGCTCGTCTTTGTGGCCCCAACAGCAAGCACACCGAACTTCTTTGCGAACGACTCCGCCCCATCGTCGAGGGTGAGCGTCCATCCTGGTACGCCGACATTGCCTGCTACCTTCATGTCGCCCGAGCGCAGTGCCATTCGCTGCTCAATACATTCCGCGATCATGCTCACGTCCCACCATCACGACTCCCGGTCCTTGCTGTCGTTGTCCAGGGCGATTCCGAAGCCGGCCCTAGTGCGTTCTCACTGGCCGATGCCGAGAAGATTGTTGGCCCCGACTTTGACCGGCTGAAGAAGAGCTTGACACCTGCTCAGCGCATCGCAGCCACCCAGGTTCTCACCGATACTCGCACTACAGCTCAGTCTGCGGTTGACGAAGCACGCTCCATTCGGGAACAGCGCGACATGCGTGTCTTGGCCGCTGCTGCGGGTGCTTTGGTTGCCTTGCGTGATATTCCCAAGCGTCCTGGCCATATCATCAAGGGTATGATGGACAGCATCAAGAAGGAAGAAAATCTGGAGCTTCAGCAGCGCTCGGCAACTGCAGTTACGGGCCTCATCGAGCATTACACTGCAGCTACGAAGCGTGGACCCGTTGATAAGATCATCGGTAACTTGGTCAAATACTGCTGTGTGGACACTTCCGAAACTCCCGAGTTTCCACACAATGCCCAGCTGGAGAAGTCAATCCTGTCTCTGCGCAAAGAAGAAGATCGACGTGACCATCCAGACGCTGCAAAGTTCGAACGCGAAGCCAAGGAAGCCCGCATTATGCGCCGAGGTGCGAAGGATGCTCTGGAGCAGCTGACCGTCAAATTTGGTGCCGAGCTCCTAGAAAAGGTACCTAACTTGGCTGCACTGGTTGAACGCCCACTCAAGACTGCGCTAGAAGGTGACCTTCCGGAAGACATAACCAACCCGGAGAACGATCTCGGCCAAGAGGTTGTGGACGGTCTTTCCACTCTTCGAGCACTTCTCCCCAAGTTTGACCCCGGTCTTTATTCATGGGTTGCAGGTCTTATGCCCATAATTGCCAAGGGTCTGCAGTGTCGTCTGTCGGTGATTCGGTATGCTGCAGCCAAGTGTTTCGCTACAATCTGCAGCGTCATCACTGTACAAGGAATGACAATGTTGGTTGAGAAGGTTCTGCCGACCATCAACAATGCCCTGGACGTTCACCACCGACAAGGTGCCATCGAGTGCATTTACCATTTGATCCATGTTATGGAAGATGGTATTCTGCCGTATGTGATCTTCCTTGTCGTTCCCGTCCTTGGACGAATGAGTGACTCCGACAATGACGTTCGACTGCTCGCAACCACCTCATTTGCGACTCTCGTCAAATTGGTACCCTTGGAAGCAGGAATTCCTGACCCGCCTGGATTTTCCGAGGAATTGCTCAAGGGCCGTGACCGGGAGAGAAAGTTCATGTCTCAAATGCTGGATGTCCGCAAGGTGGAACCGTTCGAAATTCCGGTTGCCATCAAGGCCGAGCTCCGTCCCTACCAACAAGATGGCGTTAACTGGCTGGCTTTCCTCAACCGATACAACCTCCATGGTATTCTTTGCGATGACATGGGTCTCGGAAAGACTCTTCAAACTATTTGCATCGTTGCCAGTGATCACCACATGCGTGCCGAAGAGTATGCGAAGAGCCAGTCACTGGACTCCCGAAAGCTACCTTCCCTCATTATTTGCCCGCCCTCGCTTTCTGGCCATTGGCAGCAAGAGGTCAAGCAGTATTCTCCATTCCTCAAGTGCATCGCCTATGTCGGACCTCCTAGCGAGCGTACAAAATTGCAGGCCGAGCTTGCTACCTCAGACATTGTTGTTACATCCTACGACGTCTGCCGCAACGACAACGACATCCTTAATCCGATAAGCTGGAACTACTGTGTTCTAGACGAGGGTCATCTGATCAAGAACCCCAAGGCAAAGATCACACTCTCAGTGAAGCGTCTGATGAGCAACCACCGTCTCATTCTTTCCGGCACGCCGATCCAGAACAATGTTCTTGAGCTGTGGTCTCTGTTTGACTTCTTGATGCCGGGCTTCCTGGGAACCGAAAAGGTTTTCCTCGACCGGTTCGCGAAGCCCATTGCCGCGAGTCGCTTCAGCAAATCCTCCTCAAAGGAACAGGAGGCTGGTGCTCTGGCAATCGAAGCCTTGCACAAACAAGTTCTACCGTTCCTGCTGCGTCGTCTTAAGGAAGAGGTCTTGAACGACCTACCTCCCAAGATCATCCAGAACTATTACTGTGACCCCAGTGACCTTCAAAAGAAGCTCTTCGAAGACTTTAGCAAGAAAGAACAGAAAGAACTGCAAGAAAAGGTGGGCAGCACGGAACGCAACGACAAGGAGCACATCTTCCAAGCTCTTCAATACATGCGTCGTCTGTGCAACTCTCCTGCCCTGGTCGTCAAGGACGGCCACAAACAGTACAACGAAGTCCAGAGTTACTTGTCTGCCAAGCGTTCCACGATCAGAGATGTGTCTCACGCACCTAAACTCAGTGCCCTTCGCGATCTGCTTGTCGACTGTGGTATTGGTCTTGACCCCTCCGCTGAGGGCGAGCTCGATACTGGCGCCAGCTATGTCAGCCCTCACCGTGCTCTGGTCTTCTGTCAAATGAAGGAAATGCTGGACATTGTCCAGAACGACGTCCTCAAGAAACTACTGCCTTCAGTCCAATACCTTCGGCTGGATGGTGGTGTCGAGGCCACCAAGCGTCAAGACATTGTTAACCGTTTCAACACCGACCCCAGTTATGATGTGTTGCTTCTGACCACCAGTGTCGGTGGATTGGGTCTCAACCTTACTGGTGCCGACACGGTCATTTTCGTCGAACACGACTGGAACCCGCAAAAGGATATCCAGGCTATGGACCGTGCTCATCGTATCGGTCAGAAGAAGGTCGTCAACGTGTACCGCCTGATCACCAGAGGTACACTGGAGGAAAAGATCTTGAAGTAAGTTGCCCAACTCTTATGATTTTTTTCACGTACTAACAATCTTCACAGCCTCCAACGATTCAAGATCGACGTCGCCTCTACCGTGGTCAATCAACAAAATGCCGGCTTAGGCACAATGGACACAGATCAGCTCTTAGACCTCTTCAATCTCGGCGAGACAGCCGAAACCGCCGAAAAACCAGGCGATCAGACAGGCAACGAAGTCGACATGGTCGATATCGACGGTGAAGTCAGGGAGAAGGGCAAGAAGGGCTGGCTGGATGATCTGGGCGAACTCTGGGATGACAAGCAATACCAGGAAGAGTACGACCTGGATTCATTCCTGGCATCCATGAAAGGATGATGATAATGGTCACGAGTTCGTCATTCACCCACCACATATTATCCTGATCTATTTCAGTTGATTCCTCATACCCCCTGATTTCTTCTCCCACTTGTCTTTGCCTACCTCACTTTATCTCCATACGCCTATCATGCCTCACGTCCTACATTTCGCCTCTCTATTCTTCCATAGAGGCGAGAAGAAGAATTTTTTGTATCAGCGAACTAATCCTTTCGTCGTGTGGTGCTTTGACACCGGCACGATCCTCCTATTCTTACCCTTCCTGTATTTCTAGTTAATTTTCCCTCTGTCGACGATGAATGAACTTGAATGTAAATAGAGGAAAAGGTTCTCAATATTTCCTGCTATTGCCACTTCATTTCTTCGAGTAAAACCCGATTCTACCAAACGAAACCACGTAGAGTGAATTGAGCCCGCACACCGGTGCATTGATCTTCGGAATCATATTAGGACAGGGTCGAGTCAATGATGCAGGATGCTTCGGATAATTTAGTTGCTAAGTGCTACGAATAACGCCTATCGTCCCCCCAACCAGACAGACGTAGCTATGGGATAAAGACTACGAATTTAGAAGACATACAAGGCACAAAATAATTCTTCAAGTCATTAATTCATGGGTGACATCAATCTAGAAAGAACAGACAGACTAGATCGCCAAAGACAAACGCGATTAAACCGAAAGCCCCCTGCAGTTGTAACTCGCAGCCCGATGCTTCCTGTCGCCGACTCCAGTCATGAAGACAATGAGAAAGCCGCCAAAGACCGGGACAGGGACCGATAGAAGCAACCGCTTGTATCTTTGACAACAGAAAGATGACCGAATAAACATGAAACAAAGCCAGACATCATTATTGCGCCTTGTATCAGGATCAAATGAACCAGATATGCATCGGACCCGACGCCAAACCGAAAATTCCCTTGAAAACAAATTTTCAAAAAACAAGCATTCCGCCGGGGTAAAAATGGAGAAGATCAGACAGTGGAAGAAGTGAAAAAGAGGAGGGTACGAGGCCCGACGAAGAAAAAAGTAGATACAAACACTGGGCAGACGAGTTGAAATGCGCCGCCGCAAGAAAAGAAGCACTGACGACGAAGATCAGAGCCAGAAAAAACACCACAGTAGAACGGAGGCCTCAAACGAATGAGCTAGCTCTCGACAAAGTGCCTGTTGCATCAATCCACGCCTAAGCACGACCCTTGGGCTTGGCGAGCATGTTCAGACGGCTCAAGCTGAGAACGCCGCGAGGCTTCTGCTTGGAACTGGCGGGAGTGCCGACGCGACCAGAAGGTGTGCGCGAAGGGGTCTTCGCAGGCTGAGCCTTGACTGGGCTGGGGGTGGCTTTGATCCGCTTGACGCTGCGCTCATCGGGCTGAGAATCGGCAGGCGGAACATTCTCGGAGTTGTCGGTATCATCATCCACCTCGTCACGGTGTCGCTTCTTGTTGCCGATTCCATGAGCAATTCCGTGGGCAATGACAGGAATTTCGGGATAAGCAGCGGTCTGCTCGTCGACATTTGACTTGCGGACGTGGCGAATTGTGGGAGAGGCAGCAGGTTGGTCGTTGGAAGGCTCAGAAGCAGTCGCCTTCTGATCAGGAGTAAGGGTGGGGAGGGCTGGGTAGACGATATCCGACAACTTGGTGCGAGATGGGGTGGTGGGAATTCTGGATCGAGAAGGCGAGGCCTCGGCGAGTTGATGACGAGACTTGACGCTAGGAGTAAACTCGACGTGCTTCTTGGGCGATGGAGTGGGAGCAGAGTCAGCCACATCCTCCTGCTCGGCAAATATCGAGTCCGGGTTGAAGTCGGGGGCAGCCACGTGAGTGCCAGCAGCAATCTTGGCTGGGTCACGAGAGAACAAAGGCTGGCGACGACGAAGGATGGACTTCAAACCGTCCAGAGTGGGCAAACCGCCCTTGATACGCGGGTTGAATTCAGTCCGAGGAGTTCGGGGAGATGCCAGTGCCCGGGTCTCCGGAGAGCGCGCAAGAGAAGGAATGAGAGAAGTCTTTGGGGCCTTAAGACTGGCCGAGGTGGTGTGAGCCATGGAAGCTCGGGTGGGAGTCATGAAAGAGTTCCGAATTGCGGAGCGTGGGCGTGGTCCGGCAGGCTTACGGGGCGTCTTCTCTTGCTTGAGCTGCGCCGGGTTGAACTGGACAGGCTGATTGGCCTCAGCCTGAGTGGCAGGCTTCTCATTGGCAGGGTTGTGCTTGACGCGCTTGGCATTGGCAGCAGCAGGCGTGGCGGCAGTGGGCGGCTTCAAGGGAGATCGCGAAGGAGATGAGTTGGACGAGTTGTTGGAGGGCTCAGGCTCATCGAGTTGTGCCTTCGATTTGGTTCGCTTCAGAGACTTGGTGACGGGCTCGAAGCGACCAGGCGCGGCACGGAAAGATGAAGGATGGTTGGCAATCGAATCCATCTTCTTGAACTCAGCCATGTGCACGTCGCTGAATCGGCCAGCCTTGCCCTTGGGCTTCGCAATCTTTCGCTCTCCATGAGTTGTCTCAGACTGGCCGTTTTCGTTCGCCTTATCCATGATCATCTTCTCCCGAATCTGCGCAGCCTCTGCGCGGACCGTGTCCATCAGGCGCTTGGCTTCGTCGCTGAGCTGAGCATCCTGGCTAAACTTGAACTCGTATCCGGGGGTACCAAACTGAGTGGGAGCTGGAGATGCCTTCGACTTGGAAGGAGTGCTTTCCTCCTTGACGACATTGCCGTCTGCATCTTTCTTAATCGGGTTGAAGCCAAGGATCAGGCCAGAGTCGGCTTGCTTGGTGGTGCTCGGATGGGCCTTGCTTGGGTGCATCTCTTCGCGGGGTGGACGAACGGCAGATCCGGTGGTTGGGGTCTTTGCTTCGGTCTGGCGCTTGCTCGTGGTGGGTGTTTTTACCGGAATTTGCTTTTTCGTGGACGGTGTGCGAACAGGAGCCTCATCGGCGGGCGTTTCGTCGCGCTCCTGGACAGATGCAAGTCGTGCCATCTCGGGCTGAGGAGTTGATTCCTGAGCCTTTCGGAAGAGAGGACTGTCAGTTACCGAAAGATCGAGGCTCCAGGGCACCTCGGGGCTTGCCAGGGTAGGCGCTGCTAGGGGACTCACCTCAGGCGTTTGACTGCTGCGCAGGCGGGCGGAGCGCCGGACAGACATATCAAAGGAGGGTTTACGCAAGGAAGCTAATTTTTCGCGAGGCTCGTGAAGGAATTTGGCGATTGTCGTGGGGTGGCGTGAAGTCGAAGGTGTGTTGTCGATGTTGTCAGGTGGAGCGTGAGGTGACGGATGTAAACAAACGCGTTTGACGTCACCTGACTAAGCAGAACTAACTAACGTAATCCACAAGCGAGTCGATCACACAAGCGAGTCGATCAGCCAACGCGGTCGCGTCCCCCATTTAATCTTCCACTACCTTCAACCACCCACTATGCCACCAATTCGCTCTCAAAATGCCCAAAAACGTGTCGAGCAGGAAGGTAGGATCCTCTTAGCTCTTAAAGCCATCAAAAACCATGAAGTCTCTTCTATTCGTGAAGCTACGCGCCGTTTTGATGTGCCCTTTGGCACGTTATATAGCCGGCTTCGCGGTCAGCAATACCGACAAGAATCACGCGCAAATGGTCATAAATTGACCCAGTTCGAAGAAGAATCGCTTATTGAATGGATACTATCTATGGATCTACGTGGAAATCCTCCCCGGCCAAGCCTGGCTAAAGATATGGCCAACTTACTACTCGCAAGCCGTGGACCTACACCTCCTCCGACCGTTGGCATTAATTGGGTCCCAAACTTCATCAAACGTCATGCAGACACGATCGCGAGTCGCTTTAGTCGTCGATACGACTACCAAAGGGCACAATGCGAAGACCCAGCTGTCATTGGCGAGTGGTTCGACTCTGTACAGCGAGTTATAGCCAAGTACGGCATCGCCAACGAGGATATCTTCAATTTTGATGAGACTGGCTTCGCAATGGGCCTAACTGCGACCGCTAAAGTGATCACTCGTGCCGAATATTATGGGAAACGATCGATGCTACAACCTGGGAATCGTGAGTGGGTGACTGCTGTGGAATCAATCAACGCCGCTGGTTGGCACCTTCCACCGTATATCATCTTTAAGGGCAAAGTCTTCATCGAATCGTGGTTTGATGACCTTCCGGATGGCTGGAAAATCGACAAAAGCGCAAATGGATGGACTACTGACGATATTGGCCTTAACTGGCTTAAGAATCACTTTATTCCATACACTAAAGGCCGCTCGAAGGGCAAATATCGACTACTAGTCCTTGATGGACACGGCAGTCATTTAACGGCTCAATTCGATCAAATCTGCACGGAACACGATATTATACCAATTTGCATGCCAGCGCATTCTTCGCATTTACTCCAGCCACTTGACGTGGCTTGCTTTGCCCCCCTAAAGCGTGCATATGGTGAGCTTGTCGAAAGCCTAACTCGGAATGGCATCAACCATATCGACAAGCTTGACTTCCTTTCGGCATATCCTGAGGCCCGTCTACGAGCATTTAAAGATACCACTATACAAAGTGGCTTCAAAGCAACAGGATTAGTGCCATTTGATCGTACTCAAGTCCTTTCGAAGATCAATATTCGGCTAAAAACTCCAACACCACCCCGAAGTCGTGGAAGCAACAGTTCAGCCGATTTTATGCCTATAACACCACACAACTCTAAGCAGCTACATCGGCAGGCATCTTCGGTTAAGGCACTACTTAAATATCGATCTCAAAGCCCTCCTACCCCCACCAAAGCGGCCATTGATCAACTGATTAAGGGCTGCCATATGGCTATGCATAGCGCAGTGCTTTTAGCCGAAGAAAACCGGGCCTTACGTGCTGCAAATACAAAGAAAAAGCAAAAGCGATCAAGATCCACTCGTCAAATAGCTCATGATACAGCATTAGGTGCTACAGAGGCGCGTGCGTTGATACAGGCCAGCCAACAGCCAGCTGAAGCCGAAGCTACAACCTCCGTGGAGATCGCAAATCAGGCCAGTACGCAACGAACTCGGGCTCCACCAAGATGCAGTGGATGTGGAGTGATAGGGCATAAGATAAATAGATGTCCGAAGCAGTAGCTATTAATTTAATTGCGTTGTGGTGGTAATATATGCAAATCAAAATTATGACTGTAGTTGGCTGATCGACTCGCTTGTGTGATCGACTCGCTTGTGAATTACGTTATGGGCCAGCACCAGCGAAGATGCAACACCAACACTCTGTGTGGGCTCTTTTGTTTTTGATGACACCTGATTGTTACAATAAATTAGAGCCTGCCTTAGGGTACGCTATCAGCAGATAATGATTACAGTAATCGAGATGTGTGTTTTAGCAGTGAAATGGGGAGTTCATGTCGATATAACATACCGAGTCCAGCCGCCTATTGTGTTCATTGGCAGAATTGTACTTATCAGTACCATGAAAAGCATGACTACTTACTCGACGTTATTGTGATCGAGATGGAGCAAATCCGGAGTTTCGACTGCAGACGGGCGACTCCAACACTCCAAACTTAGTGTGAGGCCGTGTTGTGGAAGCCTGATTACTAAGGCCGCCAGGCGGGAGATAACGTGATCGGTAAAAGATGTCAACTTCCGTATAGTATCCGACCAATTGGAGATATCAATGACTCTGTATTTCCATTACCCCTATTCACGCTTTTTATGGTCCAATTTAGTTACATAAGCAATGCCGTCGGTAGGGGTGCACACGAATAAGGATTTTGGTTATTCGTATTCGTCAATTTTCCTCAACTCATTATTCGTATTCGACTGGCTATTTTCGTGACTTTATTCGTATTCGATTCGTAATTATTCGTAATTTCCGCCAAGACTAACTTACCCTTACTGTAATAGAGACCCACCGCCCATCTAACGATGCTCAACGCGTCGCGTGATTGTTTACACTGCAGATACACGACCATAATTTCGTTTTCTACGCACTTCTTTCCTATCAGTCAACTATCAGGACAAATTTCTCGCGCTACGAATGGACGAGTCCACGGAGTCACAGCGCAAACGGCCATACAGGTCTCAGCGAATCAATTACTGTGCGCTCAATGATGGCATCGACGAGGAGGCTCCACCAGAAGACCGCATTATTGAGATCCCTCCTTCGAAAAGGGCACGCAGTAGCGTTGAACCGATTACTCCTGATGACTCTGCAAGCCAATTAAGCCGGGCTCGAAGTCCACTCGTGGCGATCTGCTCCCAAAATGAACTGACTGCGGAGGCGTTGCCTGACGTGGTCAGTATCTCCAATGAATCTGGCCTTTCTCGAAGAAAGATGCAGAATCAAGCTCTCTGGGCACATTTCGACTGTTCCCCGCTACCGGGAAGGATGTGGTGGCCAAAAAGGGGAAAGGGCCCAATCAACGACCGGGAGGTGCGCTGCAAGCGATGCAATTGGAAAACGACAGATTCTACAAGGGCAACATCAACATCCAATATGATGTTCCATCTCTCTAAACATGGTATTATCCTAAGTGGCCCTGAAAACAGTTCGGAGGACGACAGAAGCAGCATAAAACAGCCGTCAGTTAGCAGCTTCTTCCAGAAGCGGACTGAGGAGCAGAGAGCAAAGGTCCTGGAGCAAAACCTGGTTCGGTGGGTGGTTATAGACGACATGGCATTTGACGCCATAGAATCGCCCCCCTTCCAACAGATCTTCCAGGACTTGGGTGTTTCACTCCCTTTCGCATCTCGCATGACAATGGCTCGTCGAATCGATCGTGATTTCGACAATTGTCGGGAGCAGTTGATTGAAGAGCTAGAGCAGACATGCCAAACGATCTCTCTTTCGCTAGACGCTTGGACGAGCAAGAATTCAAAAGCCATGTTCGGGGTTGTTGGCCACTGGTTGACAGTGGATTTTCAGTACCGAGAGCGGGTTCTTGAATTTACGGAAATCCACGGCATTCATAGCGGAGAGAACATGGCAGAAATTCTTCAGACGCTTCTCACAGAACTTCGAATCGAACACAAGCTCCTCGCGATCACAGCAGACAATGCCACAAGCAATGAGCGCTTGCTATCGGAATTATATCTCAATCTCACCGAGAAATTTCAAGCCATGTACGGAGCCGTGAGTGCTGCAAGAGCCCTACGATTTCAAGGAGTGGATAGTTATATTCGCTGCACTGCGCATGTGCTCAATCTGATTGTCAGCGATATACTCGTCATGTTGCAAGCAGGGGACCACGCGTCGGCGAATGCAGCTTGTGATCTCATGCAGGAAAACAAAGAGATTGGCCCGCAATCACCATTGGCTCGCCTTCGGATTATGGCGCTTTGGATTGCAAGAACCCCGCAGCGGAAGCAGCAGTGGAAGATCATCTGCCAGAGCAATGGGCTCAAGGACAAGTTCATCGAGTACGACGTGGATACAAGGTGGAATTCGACACACCGAATGCTCCGAGACGCCCTGAACGCGAAGCAGCAAATCAAGAAATGGATCCACCATCAGTTAGATTTTCCACCCTTCAGTGCTGAGGATTGGGATCGTCTCCAACAAATTGAGGGCTTCTTAGCCAGGTTTGAGGAGTTCACCCTCACTGTTTCCAAGCGTCAACCGCAAATTACCTTAGCCATCCCCATTTACTATGAACTGCACGATCTGTTGCATGATGCTGCGTCTAGGGAGGGAGAATTCTCGGATCTGCACCTGGAGATTTCTGCTGCTGCTGCTGCGGGCTTGAAAAAGTTCCAAAAATACTACAACCTGATGGATGGACAAGACGCCTATTATGTCGCCCTAGTGCTTGATCCGCGATTTAAAACGCTCTTGCTAGACAGAGATCTAGGCAAGCTCACAGCACCCCAAGTTGTCACGCACATCAAAGAACTACTGCATGATCAATATCCATTGGCAGTCGACTCGTCGGCAAAGCCCTCTAAGGAGCAGCCGAGCCTGAAGAAGAGCATAGAGGCCCGTTTACTTCAGAAGCTGCAACCTAAGAAGAGACATTCATCTGACATTGACCGGTACTTTGAGGATGACGTCGTCACGATAAATGAGTCGATTTCACAGGACAAGAATTGGCTTTTATCGTGGTGGAGAGCACAGAGGAACGAATACCCACAGCTAGCTACTGCTGCACGAGACTATCTGGCCATTCCTGCATCATCAGTGTCGGTGGAGAGACTATTCAACAAGGGACGAGATTTACTGGGTGTCAGGAGAAACACCTTGAGCGCGGAGACTATGCGGCGGTTGATGTTGTTACGAGATATATATCTCTCTGAGGAATATTAATCACACGTGATTTTTACGAATAATTTACGAATAAGACACATTTTATTCGTACGGATATTATATAAGCGACGATGCTTATTCGTATTCGTAAAATTTTACGGTATTCGTACGAATATTCGTAAAGTGATTATTCGTGTGCACCCCTAGCCGTCGGATCATCCATAGACCCGGTTTCATGCAGTTTTCGTAAGGTAATGCCGACACACCCCCTCAGGGGCCTCAGTTTTCACATATTCACTGAGCCGCTGAAAATGGCATCAAATCCTTCGAATCTGCATTCTTTTCAAACAACCTCTATTTCCTCTTTCGGACTAGCTCCATGTCCGTCGGGTGAGCTTCATGCCCGACCAGACGCGCTCTCCACGTTCGACTAGCTCTTCGCGATCAAATACCGGAGATCGACCATGCGAAGAAGCTTGATGAACCTCTCATGCTGCTGTCTCGATAGCAGCTTCGTCAAACCGTCAGCTACCATGCTCGCTGTCGGCACCCAGCGGATGGCAATGCGCCCCGCTCTCACTTCCTGTCTCAGCCAGAGATGGTGGATATCAACGTGTCTGAGCTTGGTGTCGAAACTAGCGTCTTCGGTGGTGAGCAGTCCGATTGCTCTCTCATTATCGCATTCAATAGTGATGACATGCGATGGGTCGAAGCCGACATGTCCTAGAAGCCGTCTCCACCATTGGAGATGCTTTCCGGCTTCTGACAGTCCTAGCAGCTCTGCTTCGGTAGTGGACGTAGTGACCGTCCGCTGCTTCGTGGCTTTCCAGTCTACCGGTCCTCCGTAGACCTGGCAGATATAACCTGCAGAGCTTCTCCGATCTTCATGATCGCCGTATGAGGCGTCACTTGCTAGCTGCACCGATTCAATGCTGCCGTCCAATTGGGCACTGAATTCGATAGCTAGAAATCTCGTCGTATAGAGGTAGCTGATAACTCGATCAGCTGCTCTCTGATGTTGCGGTCCCGGGGTTCGTCAAAAATTGCGCAAGCTTGGCGGCAGGCTTGGCGGCATCAACTCGGGTGATTGTGGTGGCATATCCTATCGATCCGACCTTTTGCTGATATAGGTGGATTTCTTCAGCACTTGCTAAGCCTTCGTACGGCTTCAGCTCTTCAATTGGCAGTGGGGTAGACACTGGTGGTCTATCGGTAAGGTTATACCTTGCTGCCACGCTGGTAATATAGCTGTCTTGGCACAGCCACAGTTTCTTTATGTGCCGATCCCGAATAATGCGAATATTCAGGAACCATTCGGCTTCTCCATGATCTGTAAGCTCCCAGTGAGCTTCGAGGTCCTTTTCCAACTGTCTTGCCCTCTTTCTCGCCGACCGATGATTTGCTATCAGTATATCATCGACATAGAAGAAGACAATGATGCCGTCTCCTACAAAGACGCATGGGTCTTCAGGGACTTGGCGAAGTCCTAATTTGTTGAGAACTCCAGCCGCTTCCTGCTGCCACAGGCGCGGTGAGATTCTCAGTCCATACAGCTCTTTTCGGAGCTTCCAGCACTTGCCCGTGGTCTCAAAGCCTTCGGGCATCCTGGTGTAGACATCCTTTTCAAGCTTGCTGTTCAAAAATGCTGTCACAGCATCGCGCTGCCTCAAATCGAGGTCGAATGCTGCGACCAATGCGAAGATCATCCTCGCTGTTCTGGCTGCTAGTGTAGCAGCTCTCTTTTCTTCGGAGGAGATCGTCTCAAGGTCTCCTCGTACGCAAATCCGCGCCTTCATCTTCATGAGATAGGCACCTTGGTCGAATTTGTATGCAAAGACCCAAAGAAGCGGTAGGACTTGCTTGCCACGGTCTTTCGGGCGGTCCACGGCTTCAAAGGTCGCTTTTTCAGTCAATGAATCGATTTCCTTACGCATCGCAGCTAGGAAACCTTCCTGATATGGGTGATTCATGACGTCTTTCCAATGTTTTGGAAGCTCAGGGAGATCGTCTCGATGGCGACGTTTCACTGGCTTCTCCGAGTATAGACCGCTGCGAATGCATGGAGATACGCTGGCGGCTCTATCACTGTGCTATATGCATAGGCATCATCCCGTTTTGCTGTCCTTCTTCTTGGCCCAGTCACAATGTTCCCTTCATCGACATCGCCGTTGATGTCTCTCGGTGCGAGCTCCGCTTGCAGCTGTGCTTCAGCTTCGTCGTCCGATTCCTGAGACACTTGCTGGGTCTCCTGGGATTCCTGGGTCCCTTGCTGGGTCTCCTGGAGCTGGTCCTCTACTGGAATTTCCGGCGTCTCCACCCCCTGACCAGTTGCAGGAGTCACTTCATTATGTGGAGGAGTCGGCGGCAGGGGTATTTCTTGTGGGAAAGCTCCCGGGACGTCCGATATAGCATTCATTTGCCGATCGGGTGTGCTGTACACCCCCTGAAGTCTAGCATTTTGAGGTGCTTTTTCAGCATGAGACGGTTTTTCGGCCGAAAAACGGTCTCTTTGTCCAATGTTATTTTGACATCCTGTGTCTTGGGCTTCGTCATTATTGACGTCTCTGCTTGCTTCCAATTCTGGCACCGACCCAGTTGTTATCGATGCTTGGAGAGCTCTTTCAGCCTCAGTTTGGTCCAATTCCTGAGGTTCTTTGACCAATGGCAGCGGGATCGGCTGAAGCTGTTGGAAATCAGGCGAGTATCGCCGTGTTTCATCAAAGACGGCGTCTCTAACAAGCTTCACCTTCCCATGCTGCGGGAACCATATTCTCCAGATATTTGAGGCTACATAGCCTACCATGAATCCAATTTCAGCACGGGGATTCATTTTATCTGACTGCACTTGCTTCTCAATTCGACAGTAAGCAAGGCTTCCATACAACCTCACATTTGCTAGGTTGATTCTCGGCGCAGTGTCGCCGGTGGTTGTGAATTGCTTCACGACTTCGCCCCAAGGGACGATCCAGCGATTCTCGGTTGCTAGATACGTCGGGGTGCGATTCAACAGCCATATGGCAGCCATTGCTGCTTCCGGCCATAGCTCCTTCGGGAGCTTGCCTTCAAGCATGAGCATCCTCATGCGTAGGATGATGACACCCCCTGCTCTCTCAGCGTGTCCATTCATTTCCGGATGTCTTGGTGGACTGTGATATACCACGATGCCGTCCGACGTCAAGCCATACTCGGCTGTACGTCCTGCGGCGTTTTCATTGTCGTAATTGAAGGCTCTTATCGGTAGGTTCCACCAATTTCTGGCTAGGTTCACGAACTGATTGATGGCATGCTGACATTCGGGTTTGAATTCATGTGTCATTAGCCAATGAAACCTGATTCCCTCGATGTAAAAATGCGAGATCCAGCGATGCTTATTATAAGCATACGAGAGTTGAATTAGGTCGAAATAGACCATTCCAAAACGTCCGAAAATGCGTCCTCTCGGTCTTCTTGACACTTGGCGGTTTGACCTTCCTAGCTGGCAAGTCTCACACATTGCTTGGGCTTCATGCTTGCTGTCAATGCTGACTCCATCGACCAGCTTCGTCATTTGCTGGAATGTTTTATGCTGAGGATGGCCTAGGCGACGGTGCCATTGCTCAGCCGACGCCGTATCATTCAGCGGCGTCGATGATGATCTCACTGCATTCGCTGTGTTGCGAATGGCTTCCTTTTTCGGTTGGTCGAAGACCCACAGACCGATCTCATGCCATAGACGCAGGCCGACTATCGGAATCCCTTCATGATCCTGTATATATCCATTGGATTCGGACCATTTGCCGCCCTTTTCTCGCAGCCTAGAATACGACACTAGGTTGACATGAAAACCGGGTGCGTAGCACGCATTGCTTAGCGTGATGGTTCTCTCCTGCTTCGATATCGGGTCCACGCCCGTGAGTCTCACTGTCCCACGTCCAATGACGGCAGTATCTCCTTCGCCGGTAGCAAGCATCTCATTGCATGGCTGAAGGTTGACGAATCGGGTCTTCTCATTACAGACATGGACTCCCGATCCAGTATCTAGGATCCATCGGTCTCGAAGTGATGTGATGGCAGGTCCGATAGCCTGGCTTGAAAAAACCATATTTCCTGGGCGTATCTGCGCTGCATTTGACGAATTTTTTCGTCTTTTTTTCAATGGCTTCATCGATCCATTTTTTCCATGCTGGGTCGGATGATAGCGCTTTCTCGACTTTCTGAGAGCTTTCTTTGTATGGGACAAACCCTGCTGGCCTAATTGCTTCATTGATGATAAAGCAATTAGGGGCGCTATGCCCCTTCCTCCCGCAAGGACATGGCCTTTTGTTGAATGGCAGGTTTTGGAACTCATTTTTGGTCTCCTGCTTCGCTTCCTGGTGACCTTGCCAAGTGGAAAGGGACCCTTTCAGCGCTTCCTGCGATGAAGCATTAGGTCCGATTTCGCGATACATGGCACGGAATGATTCGATGAGACTCTGAGTATCATACGAGGCTCCATTCATCACGATCTCTTGGTATTTGGCTTGCCACCAGATTGGCAAGACCTTCTTGACTGCTTGCAAGAAGTCGTGGTTTGCACTCTCAGCTTCGTGAAGCTGGAGACTGACCGCTTGCTCTCGCAGCTCATCCCATGAAACTAACCATTTTTCGACATCACCGGTCGGTTTCTGGGCAGCGAAAGCTCTCCATTGCATACGTATCTCTTCTTTATACGCATGAGTTCTAGCAAATCTCTTGCTGAGATATACCAGACGATCGTACGGAGTATTATACTCCAGTACAGTATCACGAATTGATGCATCCAGATAGATAAGGATGAATTCATTCACCTCATTCAAAGCTTTCCGCTGCTTTTCCCAACGGTTTGCCTTGATCTTATAGACTTCAAGACGGTCCCTCCAGTCTTTTTTGTCTTCCTGAGACCCATCATCAGGGTATTCAGGTTCAATCGGCTCAATGAGAACCTTTGGACGATGCAATGCATCAATATCCGGGTTGCAGAGATCCCAGATCATACGTTGCTCTGCGAATGCCTTCACTCGCTTGTGCCAAGGTCGCCATTGTGACGAATCCTTCAATTTTTCGCTTCTCAGGGCGGAGAGTATCGATGTCGACTCCATGACTTGCTCAAATGATGAGCAAGTGATATCGGAGCTTGGTGGGAGGTAGGAGGAGGGTTCAGGGGTAAATTGGCGTCGAATTTTGACTGTGTTGGATGCTTTCAAATGTGAATAGCTTCAATTCCTAGCAGTGTATTCAATCGCAGCGAACCGGGCTCATAACTGTCAACTTCCGTATAGTATCCGACCAATTGGAGATATCAATGACTCTGTATTTCCATTACCCCTATTCACGCTTTTTATGGTCCAATTTAGTTACATAAGCAATGCCGTCGGATCATCCATAGACCCGGTTTCATGCAGTATTCGTAAGGTAATGCCGACAAAAGAGCTGCGCACCCGCATACGTATTTTCTACCTTTTAGTACTTTAATCAACCACAACGCCTTTATATTTATTATTGTCTATTTGGACAAGCATTCTTTCTATGCCCTATTTCACTAAGTTACCGCATTTAGGTAAGGCCCGCGCCTTCGGTGCTTGCGTACCCTGCGCTGGTGGCACGCGTGGACCTGGTATTGCCTGAAAGAACGCATTATGAGCTTCCTCGAGCTCTATTGCTTCTCGTACGGATAGACCGTCATCGTGAGCTATCCACCTATTCGTACAAGCTAGATTCTGCCTTTGAGTAGCGTGTGCGATATGTAGCTCCTTATTTTCTTGCTCGAGAAGTATGCCCTTTTGTATCGCGATTTTGACAGCCTTTAATAAGCTGGTTTAAGGCTTCGTGCGATGGCTATGGCGGGCACTTTGAGCGCTGTTTGATAAAAGCTTTGATCGAGGATGCTTGCTTTAAAAGCTCGTCGACGTTCGCTGGTGTATACGGATAAAATTCGGTTGACTGACTACCGCGGCTTCTTGGGGTGTTGGCGTCCGAAGTTGAATATTAAGCTTAGATAGTACTGGTTCAGGATTTAATGGTACTAATACTGTAGCTCGGAAGCTGCTTTTTTATCGTATCGAGTCTAAATGTGTCGGTACGAGCTTGTGGATAGGCTGCGAGGAAATCAAGCTTATCGATATGGCTGATCCCGAGTCGTATTTTCTGGCCGACTAAGCTACCAGATAAGCGCTTTGAGATTGCGAAACATCCGATATCAAGTGGCTGTAAAAGGTACGAGGAGTGCGCTAGCATACAGATCGGTATAATATTATGATCCGTGCAAACTTGATCGAATTGTGGTGTAAGATGGCTTCCGTGTCCATCAAGGACTAAAAGTCGATATCTTCCAAGCGTACGACTATTTGTCGACGGGATAAACTGCTTTTGGAGCCAGCGAAGGCCTATCTCATCGGTCGTCCATCCGTTCGCACTAACCTCGAAGCGCCAGTCGGGGGGAAGGTCTTTAAACCACGCTTGGGTATATTGTTTTCCCTTGAAAATAAGCGTTGGTGGAATCGCCCACCCAGAAGCGTTGATTGACTCGATCGCAGTAATCCACTCGCGGTTTCCTGGCTGTAAAACCGATCTCCGACCGTAGTATTCTGAACGGATAATCACTATTTGATGCGCACAAAGGGCCATCGCGAAGTCAGTCTCATCAAAGTTGTAGATATCGTCTGGTAGGATCCCGTATTTCTGGATCGTAGCTTGTACGGTGTTAAACCACGCTTGAATAATCTTTGGATCCTCTTGTTTTGCTTGCTGGTAGTCATTGTTGAGATTTGGATACGACGAAGCACTGAATATTGAATAAGGGCAGACAAATCGAACTTGATGGAATTGACAGAACTTGAACTTGACTGTATCATATTAAACTGTCTACATACATTCTTGGGGTATTTATCCCTGAACGGGCGGCAAGCCCCTGACAGTAGTAAACCCCTATTATCGGTCTCAATCGGAATTCTTCCATGAAGATCCCCTGAATTTAGAATATAATGTCGCACAAGAGCGTTTGCTCGCACAAGAGCGTTTGAAGCGCATATCAAGCTCAGTGCCCCGGGTTTCCCTGAATAGGCATGCCGATAGAGGTTGGGAATGAGGCATCAATTCGGTGCCTTATCCTGGAACCTCAACAGTCATATCGTCGTGGACAGTGAGATTTAAGCTCGGGATAGCGTTGAGTGAAGTATATACCCATTTCTGGCCAACGGTTTGGATTGGGGTAGAACGACGCTTTGCAAGTAGAATATTCGCCATTTCTCGTACTTGAGCTTATGTAGGGGCTGCTCCGTGTAGATCTAAGGATGATATCCGCTATTTAAGCAGATTCTCTTCAATCTGTGTCAACTTATGACAATTTGCGCAAGTTTCAGCGCGATTTGTAGTCCCATGTAGTCACATACGTAGGGTAGATTCAAGGACAATAAAGCGACGCGCTGTCTCGCGTATTGACGTGGTCTCTTTATTCTGAATAGCCTGCACAGCTAGTGATAGCCGGCGCTTCCTCTCCAGAGAGACTTGGCTTGATCTAACGCGAATTGGGGGCATAGTGGTTGATAGTAGATAGATGGTCCCGTGGATGCGCGAAAAAGTGGTTGGGTGCGCAGCTCGCTTACATGCGCAGCTCGCTTACCGATCACGTTAACTAACCGCCCGTGACTCGGTGTATTACTTTGCTTCCTTCTCCAACCCATTGAGCGAGGCATTCGATCATCATACAGCGAACCTCCCGAGGCTACTGCTCAGTGATGAATGCCAAAAGCACGAATATAACTGGGTCCGAATCACGCCCGAGAGGGCGAAAGCGTGGACGGAAAACAACATCTTGCACGCAATGTCACTCTCGCAAGCAGAAATGTAACCAGGAACTACCATGCTCGCGCTGCATCCAACGTGGTGTCCCGGAACTGTGTCAATGGCCGGATAATGAGGAGGAGAATGGGAGGAAGCCAGGAGCTAGATCTCAAGATGGTGTACCGGCAACAGGTAGGCATATTCTCAGCAAGCGAGGCTGCAGACATGGATTGACTGACCAACACCACGTCGAAGTTGAAACGCAAGGGACAGAACTTGGTCAACTCTACATCGCCCGTGGTGCCCCGTCGTTCTTTGGAAACTCGTACTTCGGACACCAAGTAGCGGCACGCATGATTCATGAGTCTGCCCCGGATCTACCGCCAATGAGCTTACTTTCAACAAAGGACTCTTTGCAGTCATTCAGAAATGACTCTGGTCCCTTCTCACAAGTATGGGACTTGCTCGGTCTACTACCGCGGAACAAAGTAACAGTTGATCGACTTATTGAAAATTTTTTAACAGAGATCAACTGGGCTATCGATACAGTCCACCCCGATACGTTCCGGTACCAATTTGTCGAGTTCTGGGGACGGAAGTTTGGGTTTGATGAAATTGCGGGAGTTGACCTTCGTTGGTTAGCGCTGCTGTTCATCATTCTTGCATTCGGCGTTCTCCTCGACGATCCGACGACAACCTCACCGGAGAAACGGAAAGAGAGCGAAGAGGCCTCTTTGAGATTCTACTGGGCTTCCAGAAGAGCCATTGTCATATCTCCTTCTTTTCATGGCGAGAGTCTTGATCTTGTCCGCGCTGGTCTCATGGTGACTCGCTATCTGCTTCACACTCGGCAAATCGCCGAGAGCTGGCTTACTATTAGCTTTGCCATGCGGATGGCTCAAGCGCAGGGTATGCATATCGACGGGGAGAAATGGGGACTGTCAAGAAAGGCAACTGAGGTTAGGAGGAGGCTTTGGGGTAATTTGTACATGTTGGATAAGACAATCGCTCTGGCGCTTGGCAGGCCATATGCCATATCAGACCACATGTGCCTGATCAATGCGCCCGAGAATACCTGGCTTGATGATCTGACTGATGAGCAATCGTCGAATATTCCAGCCTCGCCACTTTCAAGTCCCACTCGAAGTACTGTGACACTCCTGTGCAATGGACTGGCTAAAATCGCCGGGGAGATTCAGGACAGATGTTTTGGACTATATCCAGCTTCTTACGAAGTCGTGACTGAGATGGACGAAAAGCTTCTAGCATGGAAGAAACAACTCCCGGCCTATTTTTCGCTGGACGATTCCGACTTCTCTATGGATGAATTGCACCACTTCTTACCGTGGCATCGCCTGTATCTGCATTCAGCATTCCACTTCGCCCGCATCACCCTCCACCGACCGTACCTTTTGCGAGAGTCGATCACCAATCGTTTCCGCCTCAGTCATGAAGCCTGCATATCATCCGCCTCATCAGATCTGAAAATCAGACTACGTTCAGTCAATTTCGGAGCAGCGGAGAATATGAGATGGACGCTAGGAACCCACAACATGTTCAACAGTGCCTTGATATTGGGCATTATTGCCGTCCGTCGACCGAATGCTCCACAAACAGTGGCAATCCTAGTCGACCTACAGGAGTACTGCGAAAAGTTACGAGCAGACGCATGGATAAACGAATTTGGCCTAGCCGAAGTGAAAGTGGTAGAACTCTGCATCGCTCGCACAAAAGGCTTTGCCAAAGCAACCGACCAGTTCCATCATGGCTCAGTCCAGCCCCCAGATATCATGGCAGATATCGTGGATCGAGACAACGATGAAGAAAGGGAAGGAAGCCAACTAATATCTGGAGAGTTACCACTTGGACCAGATGTCATCGGTGCATCCCCAAATGCGCCTGGGTACTCGCCCGACATGATGTGGCCCGCAATCTGGGAAGATCAAAATTTCGCGTTTCCCCAAGCTACAGATCTGGAAACGTGGGAGCAGATGATTTCTGAAATTGCCTATCATGACTAGCAGAGACCCAGTGGTATCCATAGAATCCTTTTACAGAATATACTTGAAATCCGGGTGAAAATCTCCTCCCTTCTTCTCGTACGACCCAGACTGAATAATCTCCTCTCGTTCCTCGGGGGTCAGTCTCGCTCGCTTGTGGTTTTGGTGTCGCAGATGCAGATACATGCTGATGTTTCCGAGAAAGGCGACAGAGATGGCTGCGAGGGAGACTGCGTGTCCGGTAACGTATCGTCCGTTCACTGGTGTCTTGTAGATTTGGCCCGCCTGCGAGCAACATTAGAATAGTCCAAGTCATTGAGGGTCAGCAAGTAACTCACGATCAATCCGCCAGAATTACCAATTGACTGCTGCAAGCCAACGGCCATGGTCCTCTTGTAATATCCTGCATGACTGTTCGCATTCCAGGAGACGCCAAGACCAACAACACAATAAATCCTGTTCACAAAGTCAGTCGCAAACAAGTTCAGCTTAGTTGAAAAGAACAACATACCCAGTAACACAAACAAAAGTCGCAAAATAAAGCGGGCCCCTCGCATGAACATCAATGCCCAACATCATCGCATACCCGGTCGCCGTAACGAGACAAAGCGGCACCATAAAAACGGCGCGCAGACGCACCCGATCCGAAAATTGAGCAATAACAAGATAAAACACTGAAGCCCAGATATAAACAGGGACAGTAAGCAGCTGCGTGCGCACCGAGTCATACCCAAACGATGAAATAATTGTCGGCAAGAACGTGCTAAACCCAAACGAGCAGATATTGACACTAATCTGATTGAGTGAGGTCAACCAGCTCTTCGGATCGCGGAGTGTCTTCCAGACTTCTCGGATGTGGAAGGACTCGGGGGCAGCGTATTGTGCGGCGGATTGCATCCGTATCCGCATTAGTTCTTTGTCTTCTTCATTGAGGAAGTAGGCTGTTTCGAAGTTGTTCGGGAGGAAGAAGAATGTTGCTATTCCGATTACGGCGCTCATTAGGCCTTCTACTATGAAGAGCCATCGCCAGCCTTCGAGCCCGGCGGCACCGTCGAGGCGGAGGAGGCCGAATGCTAGCCTGTATAGGTGAGTTAGATGATTCTTTCCAAGGTTGGTGAGGGGGGATGCATCGTACAGGCCACCGAATCCGCCGCTCAGAGCGGCGGACACGAATAGGTAGGATATTCTTTGTGCCTGCTCTTCGCGCTTGTAGAAGGTCGTCAAAAGGACGGTTAGACAGCTGCAGGTCTTCGTTAGCCCTGTTTAGTCTTATTGAGGAAGAATCATACGGGAAGAGTCCACTCTCGAAAACGCCCAGAAGCAAGCGCGTGATATAAAGACCGGCAACATTCTTGATGAACCCAGCCGAGATGATCGATGCACTGAAGCCAATGATAAGCGCAGCAATGAACCGATTAGGTCGCAACTTTTTCAGCAGCATCGAGCATGGAATCTCGAAAAACACATAGGTGGCGTAAAATAAGGAGACGGCATCTGAAGACCGAGGTTAGTAATGGCCTTGAGGAGCTTCGAGAAAAGAGCAACTCACTTCCAAGCTGATTTCCAACCAGTCCAATATCTTCCTTCATCAGGCATGTGTATTAGCATAGAGTAAGTACCAGGAGCAAATTGCCATGACTCACAGGCATCCCAGCAACAGCCGCATTCCTATATCAAAAATTAGCAATCGACGCCTTTATCAGAAATTTGATGTGACATACCCCAGATTACTCCGATCGAGATATGCAACGAGAAAAATAAGCATAACAAGCGGGCAGATAAACAGATCCAGCTTTAAAAGCAACTTCTTCTCCCTAGCCGGGTCGATATTGCCGAATTGCACGTCGTGCTCAGATGAGGCCTCAGCCTTGTAGATGCCAGTTTCTTTTTCCATCTTGAAAGCGAAGATGCAAACAGCACAGGATAATCCTGCAGGTCATAGCCCTTTGGGTTTAAATGTAGTCTGCGACTTGAAGATAACGGCGTCGGGAAAAGAGTCGGTTTATTCCACTGGAAAGTTTGGAGAAGGACTCAATTCCCGATCGACACTGGGTTGCTATCGGCCCGGTCTACTAGCTTGGTGGCGTTCGGAGTCAGTGATAAGGAGCCGTTTGGTTGTTCTTTTATTGAAGAGTTTTGATTGGCTCTAGTATTTCCTGGTAGTCGTATCTACCAGGCAACACTGGCACCTACCCCAAGCTGCTAACCGCAAGCGGTACCTACCACCACAACTGACACCAAAAAAGAAACCAAAAATCGCATGCATGAAGAGTTTCTTACCCCAGAATCATCGCAGACAAGCTCGGCCCAAGTCCGCCGACAACTGGAGTCTTTCCCCGCGTTCCACCTCTTGGCATCGGCAAATTACACCCGCAGCCCCTTATCTGGAGCAATTTCCCGACGCAATTACCGACACCCCATTCGCGTTGGGGTCGCTGATAGCCGTTTTAAGAGTGTCTACTGGTCACACTGAAAATGCTTTCTGAAACTTACAGCATTGCAGTGAATTATGGCTATTTCGAACGGGTCGTATAAGAATGAGAAGATTACCAATGGTGGCGCTGGGACGGGGTTGGGATCTCCTGTAAGTCAGTCTTGCTCATGGCTATGTTACCTACACGATAAGGTAACGACTAAACAGATGTTTTTGATAGGTCTGGAAGCGATGGGTTCGTTTCAGGAGTACAGATGGAAAGATTTACGGCGGCGAGCCCGTCGACTCGGAGATCGATGGTAAGCATCTTGATATTTGACATTTGAAACGCGAGAGTAAACTAACACCCCATGATGATAGTGGGCCTCGCAATCGCAAATAAGGAAGAAATCCTCGTCAAGACCGTAGAGGGATCCTCAGCCCTAAACCACACAGCCCAATTCAACGGAGAACAAAAACCCATCACCGAACTCCTATCCCCCATCTCCCAAAGCGAAGCAGGGGCGATTCGATGCATCGGTCTGAACTATAAAGAGCACGCGGCTGAGATGAAATTGGCTCTTCCGAGTACCCCGACGTGAGACCCAACTCCAGAATAGACTCTGCGATGTGTGTGCGTATGCTAATGCATCGAAGCATCTTCCTCAAGGCGGATACATCCCTCGCCTCCGCCGCCGCGCCCATTACCCTCCCCTCGAACGTGTCCGAAGCCGAAGCCGACTACGAGGTTGAGCTCGCTATTATCATTGGAAAACTCTGCAAAAATGTTGATGTCTGTGAGGCTGGGGGGTATATATTGGGTTATGCGGTTGCTAATGATGTTACTGCCCGGCAACATCAGGAGAGGACTTCGCAGTGGTCTTATGCGAAGGGAATGGTGAGTTTGCATTTCGTCACAGATGTAGTGGAAACAAACTAATGATACCAGGATGGATTCTGCCCACTAGGACCATGCATCGTCTCAAAAGAAAGCATCCCGAATCCAGCCGATCTGAACCTCCGGACGTCATTGAATGGAAAGATGATGCAGAATGGGTATGCGGATGATATGATCTTTAGCATTCCGGAGATTGTATCTCATTTGTCACAGGTAATATAAATGTGAAGACATTCTTTTCAGTTTGAATACTTATAATTTGACAGGGCCACACCCTCCGTCCAGGAACGGTAATTATCACCGGCACGCCATGCGGGATCGGCGTTTCGCAGAGTCCGCCTCGCTTTCTGCAGCCGGGTGATGAGTTGCGCGTTAGTATAACCCATGGGCTTGGGACTCAGGTTTGTGAGATTGTGAGGGATTGAACTCGTGTTATTGCAAAAAAGAATCATAAAGAATGTTATCTTAGGGTAGTCTGATCTTGAATAGAGTACAGATATATTGAAGGTCCTGACAATACCCACTGTACAGTATAGATGGATAAGCAAGACTTCAAGATAAACGCAAAAAGAAAAGTACCTCGCAAGCCGAAAAATCACGCAGCGGAGAGACGAAGATCAATCACGGCTTCATCAGCCGTCGGCGGTCCAACGTACTTCTCCCTCCCCCAGACCCAGTACCAGAACGTCGCGATGAGGATAAACGCGACGAAGACGACGGGGGCGTAGTTGACCGTCTCCGCGGTGACAGGGAGGTAGGAGGGCATGCAGAATAGGGGGACGGCGAGTAAACTCCAAGCTATTGCCACAAATTTATCAGTACCGTAAACATATCAAGGGGAGTTTGGACTTACCCAACGCAACAACATTACAAAAAACTCCCACCTTCCCCAAGTTAAACTGTCCATTCCTAATATGCTTCCTCCCACCCAAAAACGAAACCGCAATAGGACAAGCATAACTAACCGTCAACGTAATAACGCCTACACCCGAAAACGCATTGAACGCAGTAGTAGACCCGAAATAAATTAGCCCCAGCGCAATCTCAATAACCATCCCCAACATCATAGCATTGAAAGGCAGCCCAAGCGACTGATTAACGACCTTCCAGTGCTTCGAGAAGGGGATGCCGCCGTCACGGGCAAAGGCCCAGACGGATCGGGAGACAGCTGTCGTACAGCCGATGCCGCAGAGTAAAGCCAGGACGGCGAGGGGCATGAGCAGGAGGAATGCGCCGGTGGAGTTTCCGACTGCGTTTTTGATTATCGTTGGAACGGGTTGGCCTGAGACTAGGGCGATGAGGTCTGACGAGTCGTGCAAAACGAAGACTAGGGGGATTAGGAAGAGAAGGCCCGCTAGTGTGTTTAGGATTATTGTGCCGACTATTGCGCGGGGGACTTGGAGGGATGGGTTTTGGACTTCTTCGCACATTCTGCTTTTGTTAGATTGAGTCTTGTGGAGGGAGGGTTAGGGGTAAAGAGGACGCACGAGATTACCATGCCCGTGGAAGAGGTGGCGTATGCAGCTTGTAAGAGTCCGACACAGAATGACCAGCCGACTGGCCAGCCTGATTGCGGCTCGAAGCGGCCGAAGACGTATGCGCCGCTATTCCGGCCGCCTTTGGCAAGGACTAAGACGCAGACGACGATTGCCAGAAGGCCTGCTAGAGTCCAGAAGATGGCGAATGTCTTTGACGGTAATTAGCAAAGAACGGGGAGCGGGGGAAGGATATACGCACATCAAGCCAGGGCAACCACTTATTCCCCAGCGACGAAACAGCATTACACAAAAGCGTAATACCCAAAAAAATCAAAAAAGTCTGATAAGTAGTCGCCTCAAAGATTCCCACACCGGGCTCGACCTCAAAAACATTAACACAAGCAATAATAAACTGCGTGGACCCGAAGTTCACAGCGAGCGTAATCATAATATTGCCCACAACATAGCTCCACCCACAAATCCACGCAACAATCCGCTGACAGTACTGCGGCGAGAGCATGAAAGCCTGGTAATACACCCCACCGGCCGTGGGATAGACGGAGGTAATCTCACCCAGCGAGACGGCCACGCACAGAATAATCAGCGAGACGATCAGCCATCCCCAGATTATATTTACCGGGCCGCCGCCGACGAGCGGGTAGAAGAATGTTGTTGCGAGGCCGTAGGGGATGGAGGCTAGCACGAAGGACATGAATGCTACCTGCAGCGTTGAGCGGTTGCGTGTCAGTTCGGGCTCATAGCCTAGTGCTTCGAGGAGGCCGTTTGCGGCTGCCGGCTCGGTGTCTAGGCTATGCTCGTTCATGTATTTCGCATTATTGTCGGAGGACCGCTTCGGACCGGAGAATAACTTGGCTTCGTCCATGGCGCACCCACTTCGCAAGTCGTCAGGCTGGTGTTAATGATGGACGTGCTGTGCGACGTGTGTCGGACGTTGCAATGCAGACTCGGGCCCTTGCACATGGCGGGCTTATTATATATGAGAGACCGGGGAAACTCTGTTCGAACGCTTGGGAAAAGCGGGAGATAAGCAAATGAGCGTGTCGTGTGCTTTTACCCCGCATAATTCGCGGTAGCGTGGAATTGGGACCCTCTTTTGCAGTGGGCCAGTGGGGCGGTGTTGACGGGGGCGCAATTGAAGCCATGAAATAGGCCGAGGCGGCCTATCACTCGACTGCTATTGGTGGTGCGCGGGCGGAGAAGTACCGAACTTTACGTAGATTACGAGATCCGTTGAAAAAGCGAGGGAAATTATTGCTACTTAGAGAGGGCTCAATTGGAGATAGTCAGAGGCTCATTTCCACCTGGCTCTGTTGTATTGTCATCTACTGGCATACTGTAAGGTAGACATGGTGCTCCACGTGGTGGACAAGGTCGTCTCCACCTGCATAGCGCCCGGCGGGAGCGACGCCCCTAACATGAGATAGACGATGCCTAAGATAGCATTTCTAGTTAGGATAGCTCTTCCTATCAACTCTTACGTTAGATGCCCGATTCTTCTATACGTAGTCGCCACCTCTTTGACAATTGGCCAACAAGAGACCTACACTAGGCGCGAAGGGTTCTATCCTGATTCTGAGGGCGATGGGATGAAAGGAATCCCACCAGGTTTGGAAAAAAAACCCTAACTACCCTTCAACCAAAAAAAATAAAGAAAAAACTCACATTTCAGACATGCTGTCTCAAATTAACTTCAAAATTGCACAAGAATCCACCAAATGTAGCCTCTACATATGGAAATCAAGGTAGGTAACTTTCCGACCCCCTACCCAAACACCCAATCAACCACCTCACAAGTCCTCACACACGAGCGCGGCTACGCTACTGCAGGGCGGCAACGCTAATCTCAAATAGATGCATCAAAAGGTTCAGGGGGTGATTCTAGCAATCAGATTCAAGATTAGCAGTCCGGTACACGCTAGTATCAGGGTAAAAGTCATCGATAAGCTTCGTGGGGACTCGGGGATGATCTGGGAATCGTCGATACAGGCATGGCTTACCTTCCTACAATAAGAGGTGTCTAGGTAGATGGTGGTGCGATAAGAATCAGGAGATGTGGATCGTGGGCCCCTAAGCTGGGTAGCTGGCCCGTGCTTGGTTGATGATGTCACTAGACCCAGTATATGTACACTACCCTACTAGTTAACAACATTATGAGGGTGCCTTGGGGGGTACTAATATGCGATTGATTTAGCTAAAGGAACTCAGATAGGACACATAGTTATTGAGTATTAATTTCCAGGTATTCACAATTTCTATCAAATACCCAACACCAACCATGCAACCAACGCACATGCTACCAAAACCACAATGCTTGCACAGCAACTCTACCCCATAATAGTCTCCAACCCCCTCTCAATCATAACATCAAGCCAATAATCCTGCACCCCCTCATCAGCTCTCTCCCACGTCATCCTCACAACATCCGAAATCCTCTGCATGCGCAGCTTCGGCAAAATCAAGCCCAGCTCACTCAACCACAAACTAACCCTCCTCCTCGCCTGCGCAATTTCGACGTCAAGTGTATTCAAACTCGCGATCGCGTTCGCCGCCGGCCCGAAGAGCGAGTCGTTTGAGAAAATTAGGTCGCTGGATATACAGGCTAGCACGATGGGGTGCATGCAGCGTGTACCCGATGTGGTTGGAATTTGGTCGAGGAGTGAGACGATGTGGAGGGCTAGGATGCGGCGGGTTACCTCTGAAGAGGGGAAGGTGATATTGACTGAGGAGGTGGAAGAGAAGAGGACTGAGAAGAGGGGGGGTATGTCCTGCCCAGGGCTTTGGGAGAGGCGGATTCGTTCGTCTAGGATGTCCGGGAAGACATGGTAGATTTGGAGTAGGGAGGCGCAGCGGTATGCCTCTGCGAGGGTGATGAAGTGGGAAGGGGGTGTATCTGTGTCGCCGATATCGACCGGGCCACAGTAGGACGAGAAGCCTGTGAAGAGCATATCTTCTTCTAGACGCTCGGCCTTCTGTCGGAGGTCAACTTCTTCCATTAAGAAGGCAAAGTCGAAGGTAGTGGGGTCTGGCTCGCCGACGCAGGTGCGGTAGAGGATGCGGGCAGCGCGGACGACGCGGGCTGTCTGGTAGAAGAGGCTGAGGGATTTGGAGAAGGGGCCTGTCCAGGGGTGGGGGAGGGCTTGGCCGTCGACGAGGTAGACGGATGTTTCTGGTTCCGGCGCTTCCAGGACGCTTTCTTCTGTGAGGAGGAGGGAGTCTTCGGCGACGAAGGCGGCGAGCATGTTCCAGTACAACAGGCATTGCTGAAAGAGCGGGTATTGCTTTGCGAAAGTGGAGTTTGCGTCCTGGCAGAGTTGTTGTTGCTTTGTCAGGTGGTCTTTTGCTTCTTTGAGGTATTCTAGGCCCAGATCGCCAGCGTCGTGCCAGGCGGTTGTCATTCCGATCATTAGGAGAGCGAGGAAGTACTCGTCGTCTTGATTATCCCGGTGCAGGGAGCCGACACGCGGGTTGTTGCGCAGGCAGGCGATTGCTTGTTGTTGGGTTTGTATGCCGATTGTTTTCATTCCTGGGAAGTCGTTTGCTAGGGAGGCGGCTGCCATGCTTTGGATGGTGTAGTAGATGGCTGCGTTGCGGCTCCAGAGACGACTGACGATGATTCGGAATGGGTTGAGCGGGGAGTCGAATGATGACCAGGACTTGCAGACGTAGTCGAAGTAGTACTGAACCAGAATGGCGGGCATATGAATGAGGAATGACGGGACGGGTGAGGTCGCGAGTCTGCGATGCAGCACCGACAAGCTATCCGAATGCGTCGCAGGCTTGTTGATGGACAGATCGCTCAATATAGGATCTAATTTGGAGGTGGCTCTGATCGAAGGGTCGATTTCCGGCAGCTCATCGAATAATGTCGAGCTGGCTTCATCCCACAAACTCTGCAGGTTCTTGCTGTGCACTACCTCTTCCTCTTGGCTCTCGGGCGTGGTGGTAATCTGCTCCTGCCCGAACGAGTCGTCCAGCTGCACGGAGAAGGAATTTGTCTGCCCGCCATAATTGTCCTCTTCTTTGAAGACGTATCGCCATTCGAGCGGTTTCTTTTGATAGCCAGGGCAGTCGAGGCCTTTTTTGGTGCACTCCTGACAGCTCGGCTTGGTCTCATCACATCTGCGCTGAGAGGTGTGTCAGATTCGAGCGTGATAGAGCACTTCAGAAAGATAAGGAGTGCCACGATCTACTTCGACTTACTCGCCGCTGCTTGCACCGCTGACAACCACCCTTGGACTTGGGGCGACACCGATTGGGGTTCTTCTGCCGTTTCTGTCGCGCGATCGCGACTTCAGAGGTAGATTGATGCATTCGACCCGGCGATCGAATCTCTAACTGGAATACCCAGTATGGGCGGGGACCCGGTAATCGAGCATAAATAAAAATAAAGCGAGCAGAGCTCCGGCATTCAGGTGATCGGCTCGGCGTCGCGCCGCCGTCTACCCCGCACAACACGCCTTCCTACACAGTCGCACCCGTACTTGGAATTGCTCCTAGTTCCTTCGCAACGAGCAACGAGCAGGCACGTCAGCCAGAAAATACGGGGCAACACCGTCATTGGTGGGGTTGCTTCCATGATCTTTTTCATCGCGCCCCGATGCGTTGTCTCGGGTGTGCCGTGGTCTCTCGGGGTCGCCAGCCGATGCGTGGTGGCGGGTGCCATTGCCAAGAACGGACAGCAAACCCGCCGGGGACATGCTGAAGGACGCCAGTCCACAAATCAGAGTGGTGACATATTCCTCTGCTCGCAGTGCCAATGTCATGCCTGATTATCTACACACCGTTAACCCTTGATGATCCTCTTCAGCGGTGTAGAGAATGGGTTCGTCGCCACGAGATAGCTGTCGCGGCCAGTCGGGTTGGCGAGATACGCGCCACAGGCACCTGACATGGTCACTTGATAACAATGCCAGCTTTGTGTCGCACTCAAGGGAGCAAACTTGTGACAAGATCCTTGCTGTCGCCACTATCGCCAAGCGGTGCTGCAGTACCTTTGGGATATGACTCAACGAGTCTACAACTCGTTGATGGACGAGGATGAACGCATCATGAAAGCATCATGAGTCTCTGTCCAGGTTGCGCCTTGTTCTAGCAACCGTGCGCTCAAGCATGAAGATAGCAGATCTAGAATTTCGACGGTAAGAGGTAAGCAAGTGGCGAGTCTCATGCATGGGTACGCTCATTCGCGATCGATGTTTGTTTACTGGGAACAAAGAGCTCCAGCTTAGCATGGATCTGGTATCCAATGGAAGCCCCCGCATATCCTGAGTAATATTGCAGCCGATGCGAATCTCAAACTTAATTCTGCGGGGGTGATAGGGTCGAGTTGTTTGTTGGGTAGTTGGTACTGAGATTAGCTCCCCAGCGACAGAGAGACGCGCATAAAGAAAAACGAAAGAACGAAAGGTCAGCTTAAGAGAGGACTCGCAAGAATAAATAGCCAGGCTACACTGTGGTATCGAGGGCGTATACCACTGCCTAAACGGGACGGTTAATCCAAGCGTGCTACAGGGGACTATCTCAAGCTCCTGAAACGTCTATCGAGTCCAATATCCCCAGAAATTGCACCATCGATTCAACCTTGTACGATAGCGCAACGGTTCTGTGTACCTATCGCCTTCCATCGCCTGGTTTGGATCGGTTGTCTAGAATGGCAGTCACGCGCGACTGGCAAAGAGCGATGAAGACATGGTTGGAAGAATCTCAACGGCCAGTATCGCAGTCCTCTCCTCGAGCTTTTGCGGTAGCCCTCTACTACAATGTAGCAGCTAGTCACAGTGCCAAGCACTAAGCATCCGGCATGATAAGCCGTATTAGTGCATTGGGGACACAGGCGGGGAGACCGCCACAGCTAGTACTTTCAAGCATTGGGGGTATCACTTGTTTGATCTGGCAGATACGTGGATTCGCCGGTGTGGATAAACCACTGATAGTAGCCAACACAAATATGTATGTAGGTGATTGGTGGCCCAGAATAGATGTGAGTTTATACGAGATTGCGGGGATAAGCAACGGTCTGCCGAGGCTAACTCAATTCTACAATGTATTTCAATGTTATTAGGTTGCCTCATATTCAGTCCAATACAATGAAATTTCAGTCGAAATGGTAATTCCCAGGAACATTTTGTGAGTTCGGTAACATCGCATTCGACACCAGATTGTCATGTTCACACTGCAGCGTCAAGATTGCAAAGGTTGGTCTGTAGGCAACGCTGACAGTGACGCGTGTCGATGGGTCCCCACGCCAATCCTGGCGCGACCTCCGATCGATCCTCAGGGGGTGTGAGGAGATGCCAGCCGAGCGCCAAGGCAGCTGCCCTAAATAACGCGATCGCAGGCAGATGGCAGTGAGGACGCGATGGCGTGGAATTAATTGGAGCCAAGTGAGAGCTTATTTGCTTTGAGATGAGTCTCCCGTCCGATCTATATCCGTGGGGCTTCAGACAATGTAGTGTACCAGTTCGATACCTTCAATGAGGATGAAATGCTGTCGGTCGCAATTTTCGCATTTTCGGGTACGGTTTCACATGAAAATGGACCATTTCTACCCTACATACTATATACCGTATGCTGTTTCAGGACCCTGCATTAGGGTCGGAGCGCGCGTACACTCCGACCTGATCGGGATCGACCCACTACAACCAACCAGCTCGGCGCAACCAGCTCGGCGCAACCTGAACATGCGAAACCAACTGTCGATCCTCACTCCTCCACCGGCCCCCAACGACAGTCGAATTCCCCTCGACTCGACACTCCCTCCTCCTCGCTTCGACCTCTGGCAACGACCGTAATGCCCCACGGATCCCCCCTCTCCGCGCGATAGAGCCTCACAATGCTATCCGCCGTGCGCCGCGCCTGGCTCTGGGCGCAATCCAGCCTGAGAGACGGCCCGCAGTACACCATGCTAGACGGTGCCCGCGAAAAATCCTACTACTACTACACACGCACCTCGCGACGAACCTGGTACATTGCTTGCGCAGGCGCAGCACTCGTCCTTCTCTACTTCGCCGCGGGCGCGCCTCTCCCCGCAACATACCATCGCCCGTTTTTGGCATCCGACGGATACTCCTGTGCGCATCCGGTTACGCGACTAGCCTACGATGCAGAAACGAACTTCAATCAGACGCTCGACCGACAAAGTCAGTCGCTGGAGGATGCGGTGACGGAGTACCAGCGGCGATACGGGATGCCGCCGCCGCCGAATTTCGATAAATGGTATGAGTTTGCGAAGGCGCGGGGGACCGTCTTGATCGACGAGTTTGATACGATCTATCATGCGCTCTTGCCCTTCTGGGGCCTTGCGCCGTCGACGATTAGGGAGCGCGTGCGTGAGGATCTGGGGTTCGATAATCACCAGATGACGATTACTGTCCAGAACGGGAAGGCGAAGCATATTGGGAATTTCCAAGGCGAATTCCAGCGTGATGCGACCATGAAGATCCTCGATATGTGCGCGCAGTGGTTACCGGATATGCACCTGCCCTTCAATATCCACGATGAGCCTCGCATCGTCATCCCGCACGAAGATCTGCACCGGATGGTCGTCGAAGGCAAAGCAGCACAAGCACGACTCCGCGCCAACGCGGAAAGCACAACCTCCTTCTCCAAGACAAAGCTAGAAGAAATCACCCCGGTCCAAAGAACCCGCTTCAACGACATTGAGCTGCAGGAAACATGGCTCTTCTCCCGCCTCTCCTGCCCGCCCGACTCACCCGCCCGCGCACTGGACAACAACGCCAAAGATAACAGTACAACCTGGGCCAGCGCACCCCTCGGCTTCGTCTACAACCAAACCGCCTCAACAGACATGTGTCTCTCCCCATCCCTCCGGCACAAACTCGGCGTATTCGAACGACCAAACGCCTTCAAAATATCCACCGACCTAACCCCCATGTTCTCCATGTCCCGCCCCTCCTCCTTCCAAGACATCGTCATGCCCTCCCCCCTTCTACTACGAGTCCATCGCAGAATTTAACCCCGAGTTGTCGGTCAGCTGGGAAAAATTGACACCCCAGCTGTACTGGCGCGGCTCAACAAAAGGAGGCCACAGCCGCGGCGGCTCGTGGAAATCCCTCCAACGTCAACGCGTCATCGGAAACCTCACACACCCAGAATCACAGCGCCATTTCCTAACCCGCACTCCAAACACCCGCTGCGCCGGCAGGGATTCAGGGTGGGACCTTATCCCCGCCAACGCCTCCCAGTTGAATGCCTACGTAAACACATACTTCACCGGCATCGAAGACTGCGACGAAGATTGCCTGGACGAAGAACTTTACTTCGAAGTCGTGGATAAGGAAAACCAGGATGCAGCGTGGAAATATCGGTACCTTCTCGATATGGACGGACACGCGTACAGTGGGCGGTTTTATGCATTTATGCGCAGTCCCAGCGTGCCGTTTAAACTTACTTTCTTCCGGGAGTGGCATGAGAATGCCCTTTGGCCTTGGGTGCATTATGTCCCGCTCAACAAGGATGCGGACGAGATTCCGGAGTTGTTGCGCTTTTTTGAGGAGGATGTGGAGGGAAGGAGTCTTGCGAGGAGGATCGGGCTTGGGGGGCAGGATTGGGCAGGGAAGGCGTTGAGAAATGAGGATATGGAGGTTTATTTTTTTAGGCTTTTGCTTGAGTATGTCCCCTTCCCCTGGAGGCGCTGGCTTGGAAGTTGCTAACTGATTTACTACCTACAGGTATGCGCGAGTCCAGGATGATGAGCGTGAGAGTTTGGGGTATTATGTGCGGGATAACTTTGTTTGAGTCTTACTGTCGAAGTGGATATGATTGTATAAATATTGCATTGAATATGGATATACGGGATATACCACGCACCTCCTGGCTGCGTAGATATCTGTGCGTCAATAAGCATGTTTCTCGCTGTATATTCCGTGGCATTTGTAATCGTTGCTATGTATGCTCCAGACATATTCGAGCCGAGCTCTCAGAGCCTGATGTAAGCAACAGCCGACCCCGTACTGTCTCCCGGCCTGATTCCACCTTTTCAAGGTTCCCGACGACGACACTTGATCTGTTGACTGGTCGTCCAAAGACCCGCCCATATCTGCATTTGGGTTCCAAGTTATTGCGAGTATATTCCTCACCGCCAAAGCTGAACTTTCCTCGGCCTCGGGTACCACTTGCAGCGTGTCGTCAGACAGGTAGAATCAAAGTCAACCTTGCGGTAATGGTTCGGAATTTTCGACCCATAACGAGGAGCAATAAGCCTGACCTGACCAGACAAAAACACCACCGCATTGCGAATATCCTCGCTCAAGTCTCCCCACCATGGAGAGAACACTGCGTTATCTTAACCTTGCCCCCTCTCTTGCGATAACTGCCAAGTTCAATAGTGACCAGGCTGGCTCTGCGAAGCTGAATGTCTTTTGAGTGAAGCAACATCCAAAACGTTTTTAATTCGCCTTGTTGGAGGTGCTGGGCTGTCTACACAGACTGCGCAGGTGCTTTGCGAGTAGCAGGCAACACATACCTGGATGCCATAGTGAAAGTAAACAAATAAGTGGCAATACATCCCCTCTTCACTGGAATGTTTGCATAAGAGCACGCTAATTTTGCGTTGCCTCATATTGCACTTCGGATCTGCTCTGATCGAGCAGTGCAGGAGTTGCGGAGGGAAAGGAAGTATCTTGGACTTGGTTCGCTGTCGATTTGTCCATCAGGAGAGTTCTGAGTTCCGTTAGTAGTGTTAGAAGAGGAGGGTGGGGCCAGCTTACCTTTTTGGTAAGTTTTCTTGATCCTTGTCTCATTTCTTTATTCTCGCTTCCTAAGATTTTTGCCAAGACACCCTTTGAAGCTTTCTTGATCCTTTCCTCTTCTTCCATCGCAGCCTCTTTCCAAGATTATAGTCAAGGCATCTAGATACACGCTACGTGAATCTGGATGAACATGTCTTGAAATTTTCCTCTTCTCTCATCACTGCCATTTTTTAGGACTCTCTTATCCACAAGGTATCCGGATAAGTGCGTCTTGAACCGTTTCTCTTCTTTGTTCACTGCCTCCTTCCAACATCCATGTCAAGACACCCGGCTAACGCTTTCTTGAATCTTTTCTCTTTCGACTTTTGTCTTCATGGCAGCGTGTTCCTTGGCCGGCTCGGTGACCAGGAAATCCGCTCGTTCCAGTACCAGGATGCGAAACATGTGAAATCCACTCGAAAACGGGCTTGTTTCTCAGCTCGGTGTCGTGAGGTAATCAAGCCACGAAGTGAGCGTCACTTTTTATCCCGGGTTCTTGATACCCTCCGAGGAGTGACGCTGGATATGATGTTCCGGGAGCTTCACTCGACATCATTTTCAACTGTTATTTCCTCTTCTTTGGGACTGGGTTTGTCCTCACTTCGTCTTTATTGACCTACTTTTGCTAGGTCGTGAGTTCTCTCAAATGAGTTCAGCTCGAGGTTTGATATTGACATCTTCTGGGGATATTGAGCATTTCTCATCGGAGTCGCGTTAGTTTAAGGTTTACACTTCCTGTTTCAGATATGCTGAAGCCCGTCAATGTCGCCGCATCCTTTCTTCTTTCGATACTGGCTGTTTTTATGACTAGTACACCGCTCCAAATTGACGTTGGGAGCTATTGCCCTGTCACTCGGTCCATGGGGCTGTCCTTCTCAACTTCGTCTCAAAGAACCATGACATTTTATCCCGAACTACACGAAGGAGGCAATATCCTACAGCCGAGACGACGGACGTGGCCAAAGATACCATCCCTGCACTGCAACCCCGAGCAGATCGAAGCTGTACACAGTTGTGATATCCAAGAAGTGCCCACGGAATCATGCCACTATCGTCCGCCTTGGGGGCCATATGTGGCTTCCTCGGCGCTCTCACTTCGACCTCAGACGAGTGGGTGTTTCTTTTTCTCAAGCAATCCCACCACACGAGGGTGCGGCGGCCGACTGATTTACCTCGAACCAAAGAGAATTCAGGCCATCTGGGGTGTTACGCCTGACAGTGGATCGCGCTTATTTTGGGAAGCGAAGATGAAATGAAAAATGGTCCCGCAACGGTAAGTCTGAGTCCCCAAGCTGAGAGTGAATAAAGACTTGGCTAATAGGACTGAACAGCGTTGTCATCAATCGGCGAGACAAAACGCTTGACGGATACTGGGTGGCGGTGGTGGTGCAACTATGAGCTACGAGCCTGTTAATGATCTGTTCGCTTCCCGTCATTGATGCTTTTTTGGTCTACAGCGGGAGACGATTGACCTACCCCGCTTGTCGAACGGAGACCGGGAAGGTTAAGAAGGACGACTGTTTTGATGTGGAGAGAACCCATCGTCTGCAAAGTGTTCCTTCTCACGCCCGGCTCACAGATTGCTGGGCCTATATCAGCCACAAGCAATGTATTCCAAACAACGGAGGCGAAAAGTGGTTGGCGGTCCACAAACCGTGAAGGACTCAGCCATGGGATCGGTCTAAGTATCTAAGTATTCGGGTCTGAGCGATACGCATTCGCTGTGGGAGCTTCCAAGTGAAGACTCAGCGACTCAGCCATGGCCTCGGTCTAAGAATGCGGGACTAAGTGATGTTCATCCCCTCTGAGAGCTCTCAAGAGGAGGAATGGCTCAAGTTCAGAAATTACTGGACAATATTTCAAGTCTCTCGCAAGGTACTGTTGCACGGAACCTAGTCGGTGAGGCTGTGCTGCTGGTCGTGGGCGGGATGGGATGTACACAGCAGACCTCGCTGAACACAACCTCCCCTCTGGCACGATTCTTATTAATGCCTGACGGCTACTAGAACAAAGAATGTGCCACCAGAGAATGGCCTCAAAGTGTTCGATGGGAGATACATGGATTGCAGCATCAAGAGAGTGGCGAAATCGGCAAAAAATGTTCTTTTCGTTGATTGGACCGCTGCCAGGCTGGTTGCCTTGTTCAATGCGACGATGAACACAGGAGCTGGAATATTCAAAATTAAGAATGAGAATGCGACACTAGAGAAAATTTCAATGTTGTTGTCACATCTTCCTGCCTCAGAGACTGCTGTCGAGGCAATCGAAGTGAGCGCTGAGCGCTCTGGAGTTGGAGGGTCGGAGATACTTCGAACTACGTGCGTCGATAATCGGCGACCGTTTATCGCTATCCCAGTTGGGTGGCCGATGGAAGCATTATTTCATGCTTGGAGTTCTGGATGTCGGCGCTACATGTCCAGAACCTAGTGAAGGCTTGGAAATGTGTGACAATCAAAGCTATGGATGGGGAGATCCAACATCCCTTCAAAGTCATTAGAAGAGGAACACACTGAGTACGACAGGTTGTCAAGGAAATAGCAGATTTTACGCGTCAGGCTGTCTTAGCATCAGGGGTACTGGCAAGTCACGCTATTGATGCATGTTTATAAAGATTGCTTCGTGGTGTTCAAAGAACGCTTCACTGTTCATGATTTGGTCAGCGAATGCCTGGCTGCAAGGTGTCTGGAGTCGAGGAATTCCGTATGGGAGTGAGCTCCAGACTACATATGGGGTATGTTTCCCTTAACCCTCGATCGCAGACACGCAGCACTGCCGCCTTGAGAAGTCGATATGAGCTAACCATACTTGAATAATAGGGATCTGCCAAGATGATCTCACTTCAAAACTCAAAGACATACTTGATATCTTTGAATATCGAGAGAAAAGGATTCAGGGCACAGCATCCATTCTTCCAACGAGTCATGTCTACAGGTAACTTTTTCTGCTCCTGTCTATACCCACTTTTGTACGACTAGCATAACCCTCAATTTCAGTGGGTATACTGTCAAGGTCTGCAGCATGGGTACCCAAATGCTTACATCAAACAAAGCGGATGTAACTACAGACAATTTGTTCTGAGTCAGCCGTACACCGATCCAGATCAGTTCTCTGTTCTAAACGAACATCCTACAAATATGCAGATAACCTCCTTTGTCTGCAAATCGACGAAAATCGGAGAAACTGATTGCAAAATTTTTGATGTCTTAGTTGTGGTCGCACAAACCATGACAATTCAACTGCATGCATCTTTTTTCATCTTTTTAAAAAGTGCTAATCCTGTGGAAAATATTTGTGAGGTTCCTTCCCGGGGGGTTGAAAAGCCTAGGAAACGCCATTAGGCTTGTTCTCGCCCCGACGCATGTTGTTCTACGAGCAGCCCGGACAGTAATAAGTGCAAGTGATCGTGGTAAAGGCCACACCTTGTCGGCAGGGTCAGAAGAACACAGACATATGGCTGGCTCCTGTGAAATGGCGTTTGCTGAAGCAATTCGGAAAGTACTCGCGAAACACCAAAAGAGACTCGACAATGCCAAAAGAAAGTCAGGCTAGCACAATATGTGCTCTTCACCGATGACCCTGCAACTTTTGCGGAATCTGTGGTCCCCGTTATGCCAGTTGCTGCTCCTGCGCTGGTCACTGTCGCCGCGGCCTGCCACGCTTGCCACTCCTAACCATCTCGCCACAACCGGCCGTTGAGTCTGTTAAATGGGAAGAAACATACTTCCCATTGAACTTGTCACTTTCCGAAAAGCCTGTCACAGCCGTTCCGGGGTCAAATCCCATCCCTGCATCTCGAGGCCAGGGCCGAAAGACCGAGGTATGGAGTTCATTCTAGCTTCCATACCTACATCTTAGGTGGTCTGGTAGACTGGCCACAAACAATTTCACAGGGGAGGCCGAACACGTTCACAGCGTCAGATGAGGGACTCCGCATCTACCTCTCAAGATTTTCGAAGAGCCCCATGAAATGGCGTTAGGGGTCATTCGCAATAATTGCGATGAGGACGCCTGTTCATTATAAGCAAGCACCATGCGAAGAATTCCTATGTGTGGCTGAACGAATGGAGGGTTTACATGCTCGAAAGAACCCGATGAGTCTTGGACCGTAATTCCAACGCCAGAGTGCCGCGACTGCAAGTGGCCCTCAATTGTCCTTGAAGTTGGGGTTTCAGAGAGTCAAATGTAAATGTTTAATTACATCACATGCTGCTGAAATACACTAACCGCTTATGCGAGTTCCTGGTAGCCGACAAAGTCGGGATGGTTACTATCCACAAAATCCATTCATGTCATGCGGAACCGGCACCTGAAGTATGTGTGATACTTCCCCGGCCGAAAATGGAGGCCCAAGACGAATTCTGCCTCGCCCCTCCATGAACGCCTTAATTTAGTCCTTCTGACTCCTCATTGCTTCGCATCTATCTGGAATCGAATTATGCTCAGTACTACGAAGACCCAATGCTGTAGGCTCATGAATGTCAGTGAATGAAGAAAGCCGCGGAAGTAATTGCCAGTGAGAAGACACGGTGTGGTTATTATACCCAGTGGGATATTGAATGGACTCTCCGAGTTTGGGCTGTTTGAGCCGTGCGAATTCGTCAGGAGGCGACCGTGAGATTCAATATCACCTGGCGACCGATGCATACGGGGGTGGCATTGGGGGAGTTTTACACCAGACCCAGTCATCCCGTTGGGAGAGATAAAACCCAACACACTCTGTACGATGGGAGGATGACCACGTACCTGCCATACGCCCTCACTGGTGTGGAGGCAAGATACACGGTCACAGAAAAGGAGGCACTAGCAATTAGCCGTTGTCGTCTGTTGGCTTGTCAAGCGATCTTGGTTTCCGACCGTCTGTCACAGATGATTTAGACCTGGAGACCACCTTCGACTATAAAGATTCGACAGCTCAGTTCGCTCACTGACTAATACTCTGCAGGAGTTCGACTTGGATGTGGTTCATGTTCCGGGCAAGACTCAACTATTCCAACGGTTTGTCTCGATATCTTACCACTAGGTCCAGTATATTATCACAAGGCAGCATACGAAATATCTTCTGCGGCATCGCCAGATATACCCTGTATGGGATGAGGCACAAAGAGGCGGACATTCTCGCACACTGAGCAAATCTACTTGAGGCGTCTGCCTCGACATACCTCGCTCGACTTCCAACCATTCTCTCTCATCACCCACTACTTTCTCACCCGACTCTGCGGCTCAATTCCGATCCTACCAACAGCGCGTCAAACGCATTGTCAGAGCCTAATCCAGAATATCTGCAGCCGACCGTGGATACCAAATAGTGCTCCGAATACGTCCCGAGCTTCTAGCCTACGCGTATGCTTTGTGAATCCGGCGAGGTCAATAAGCCACCACAATATAGACTCAACCTGGATCGAAGTGTTTTACCTTGCTATTACTATCCTTCGCCTCTTTAACTAACCCTCGATGCCGGCCTAGACCTACCCCCAAATTTCCGGGTCTTGCTAGCGATGGGCACATCAAGCCAAATCTACCCAATGTTGGCCGACCGCCCATCATACACGCATACGGTGTGCCATGGATCCCCGTATATATAGGGAATATTACGCGATACAAGACAGGCTGAGTCAACTGCTGGCGCCACAGCTATTCCCTGACTACAAGAGCACCTAGACAAGCGTGCTTCGCGTTGGCCACGGGATTGAAATTAAATCTGATGATCATTGTACATTACCTAAGAAAGACATAATAGTTATATACAGCCCAGACCTAACATAACAAAAGCAATTCATTCCGATTCGTAAAAATCCTACTAGCAACATCCACCCCGGGTCCAGCAGCCCACACCTCCTCAAGCTGGTTCAACGCCGTCTCCATAACACCCATTCCAAAAACCCGAACGAGATCACGCAGGTAAGACCGCGCCAGCTCCTTCTGATGCGGATCACGGGCATGAATACCAATAGCAAAAACAGGCCAAGTGGCCGTCGTCGCAATGGGAGATGTAGGTGGTAACCGGGAAAGAAGCGACTCCAACACTCTAAACGCCTGATCGATACAACTCTGCGCGTCATCGGCAAACCGCGAGTCAAGAAGTAGCAGTAGGCTTTGCTGGTAGAGTTCGGCGCATAGGATCAATTCTTGCTGGTCGCTGCGGGGAATCCAATTCGAGATTTGTGCTCGGAGGACATGGTATTGGCTGACCAGATGTGGATTTTGGCCATTTCCGGATTGAGAGTGGGATGATTCTTCCCAGAGCAGGGCAGAGACGCGTGGGACTAGAGTGAAAAGCTCATAAGCGCAGCCGCATAGGACGCCGATTTCAGGACCCGCGGTCGCGGGGGTCGTGGTCCAGGCATTGGGGAGCATAATCGGGGTCGGGGAGCAGTTGGTCGTGAATGATGCGAGGGCGGCATTGTATATGTAGAGCTCCGTAGTGAAAGATACGATACTAGGTTGGGTTGGACTTGCATTTGCATTTTTCACGTAGGCCATTAGATGGTGTGCGCCTCCTAGATGCCTTTGCATAGCCTTCGGATCATTACCCCTTGTCGCCTATACGGAGTCAGTATTCCTACCATGAGGACTGATGTATGGAATGTACCTACCTCTAGAAGATAGAATATTAAAACAACTAGCAGGGCGCGCCATGCAGCATCTACGCTACTGCCTTGCCCGAACGCCGTTGGGAGCGTCAGCCGAAGCTGCTTCAAAGCGCGCGTATAGCTCGACCACGTCAAGGACTGAATGTCCGAACTCAGCTCTGGAAGTCGCTGCATCAGATGAACGCCCGACAGCGCGAGGATGGAATTCATTAACAACTCATCGCCCAGAGCCGCCGGCAAGAGTGTATGAAGGAACGGATTCGCGCTATCTTGAAGACAAGCGAGGCGATTCGCCGTATCTTTGAGATAATGATCCAGCAGCCTCCACGTCTCCGAGCCCGTAATCGCCGAGCCCGGCAGCAAAAAAGACGACGGCGAGGCAGGGATCGTAGCGGGCAAATTGCGACGCGCAGACTCTCTCGAGGCTAGGGCCCACGCGTCTGACGCGGGTACAAGGGTAGCATCGAATGTTTGCGTAGATCCCGATGCCTTGGCTGATGCTCTGCCGGGGGCCCGAGGGCTCGCATTCGGATCTGGCCATTCGCAGCGAAGATCATTGCGCAAGCAGGCTGTGCAGATGGGCTTCACTTCGTCACATTTCTTCTTGCGACGGCGGCAGGAGAAGCAGCCTAGCCGTGATCGGGCCGCCATGATGCGCTGCTCGGATGGACCTCACTCCATTACGAGAGGTGGACTTGTCGCGGTCGACACGGGCGATGGAGATGCCTAGAATATGCCGTTTGTCGTCGTGAAGCAACTGTGATCGGGAAACCGCATTCTTCTGCGATTCCCCGCCAGTGTGGGTCTGACACGTGACCGGTTATGTGAAACGGCATTGCGATTGTTATCTCAACTCCTCCTTCCTGGAGGTAATTGTGGCAGGCACCGAGAGGGCCTGCATTTGCTGCAAGGCAGCGCGCGCCCAGATGAAAAGGAGAAGAGACTAGAGGGGGAAGAGCTGGGTTTTTCTGATAGAGTGTTGTTTCACTTGACTACAGGGATCGACACCGGCATCTGGGCTTGACGACGGCCAATAATGCAGCGGGAATGTCGTTCCGGTCGAGATTACGCTGGGCCTAATTGGCTCTACAAGTGCTGGACCTGGGCTGGACCTGGGGGTTTGCGGAGCAGACGCAAAACACCTGCACTGTTTGCGGGGACGATCACTTGAGCTCGAGCCTGGCCGTGCATATTTAGATTGTGGAGAAGGTATTTCGAAGCGCTTACAGCGCCAGCGGGGACGTTTACCCTGATCAAAAAAGTAAAAATGACGGAAACACTTACCAGATCCACTCTTTGCTTCCCATAGGAGATTGCTGTCCACAGGAGAGGAGTAGCCGGAAAGGGCTTCCGATTGGCGATAGGTTTGTTGTTTGGACGGTTGAGGCCTGGCACAGTCACACCAGCACGAGACGGAAAACTTTAAAGGTCGAGTCAGCCGTTGAACTGACACGACTCTTCCATAAATATACATTATCTACAAACCCTCCAGTCAGGCCATATAGTTTTCGCCATCCCGAAATGCCTATCTCACGCTCTTTAACCGTCGTCGGATGCCATGCCGAAGGCGAAGTGGGCGACGTGATCACCGGCGGAGTCCTAGACGTCCCCGGTAAGACTATGTTCGACAAACTCGTTCATTTTGAAACGAAGAAAGACAGCTTGCGACAACTCCTTCTCAACGAGCCTCGAGGGAGAGCAGCAGTCAACACCAACTTGGTCCTCCCGCCCTGCGATCCACGCGCAGACGCCGGCTTCCTGATTATGGAAAGCGAGGAGTACGCCCCCATGTCTGGGTCCAACACGATCTGCACAACGACAGTACTCCTCGAGACTGGGATGATTCCCATGAAAGAACCGATCACCGAAGTAACCTTGGATACCGCTGCCGGGCTGGTAAAAGTGATAGCGGAATGCGAAGCCGGGAAATGTAAGAGCGTGGAGTTCGACAACGTGCCCTCGTTTGTCTTGGAACTAGATTTCAAAGTAGTGGTTCCTGGAATCGGAGAGGTGGTTGTGGATATTGCCTACGGAGGCATGATGTATGTGCTGGTCGATGCTGCGTCGTTGGGTCTGGCAGTCGATAATCAGCAGTCTCGTCAGCTGGTCGAGGTTGGGGAACGTATCAAACGGGCAACCGAGGCAGCCTATGTCCCTATCCACCCTGAGAACCCAGGTATCACAGGCTTCAGCGTGATAGCTTTCACTGAACCTTTGAAGAAGGAAGATGGATGCCAGGTGGCTGCGAATGCCGTTGTGGTCTCGCCGGGACGGTTCGATCGCAGTCCGTGTGGCACTGGGACATCTGCGCGTCTTGCAGTGCTACATGCCCGCGGTGAAATCAAAGAAGGGGAAATCTTCAAGCATCGGAGTATTATTGGCACGGAGTTTGTTAGTCGCATTCGTGGTCTGACGACCGTTGGGAAATATCCGGCCGTTTTGCCGACTGTCAAAGGGCGTGCGTGGATTACCAGCTACAAACAGGTTGTTCTCGACTCGACAGATCCTTTCCCTGAAGGGTTTCGTGTGGGCGATCAGTGGCATATCGCCCCGAACTAGGTGTGATACTGTGAAAATAAATTATTTTTCTTGATCGCTCGTGGGAGCAAGCTTCGGTGCAAATATCAATATTCCCTGTGCTCAGTCAGCAACCTCTAGTAATTCCTAGGAAGACACAACGAATAACGAATGGCAAATGAAAAAGCGACCGGAAACAATCCCGATCTCTAGCCAAAACATAACCAGTTTGATCTACGACCAGGCCAGCTTACAAACAAGACGAAGGCACTTTTCCGAGCCGATGCCAAGCAGATCGCCAGCCAACCCCGCAGTTTCACCCCGGATATCGCCCAGTCCTGAGTACAAAACAGTCAAGAAGCCAAGCCCTTGGCCAGTCTTGGACACAATCCATTACTCAATCTTCCCAAACCGGCCAGAGTACACGAAAGCAAAACTTGGCGCCGCTTTTTACCTCGACATGTCTGGGCCGAAGGGGACAGTCGTGGACCATGTGGAGCACACCGCTAACAAAGACGCGACGGGTCAGGTCGGCCGGATGCCGACTTTCCTGCTGAGTTTGACCGAAGAGGAAAGAGTACAGATGGAAAAGAAGTTGGTGAGGAAGATTGATGCTCGGCTTTTGATCATGATTGTTGTCATGTATATTCTGAATTATTTGGATCGCAATAATATCGCGTCTGCGAAGCTTGCTGGGCTTGATATGGATCTTAATTTGAAGGGGGATCAGTATCAGGTGAGTCGTTTACAGTGATGGTGGGAAAACAAGCTAATGGGTTCAGACTACTGTCAGTATTTTGTTTGTTGGATATCTGTTGATGCAAGGTTTGATCTACCACCAGAAATCTAAAAAGTTCCGTTACTAAATGGCTCAGTCCCGTCGAATATGATCCTGAACAAGTTCGGAAAACCGTCAATCTACTTACCCGGATGTATGTTCGCATGGGGTATCATCTCTTCGGCTACGGCTGCCACGACAAACTTCGCAGGACTCCTAGCTTGTCGATTCTTTCTTGGATTTGTTGAGGCGGCATATTTTGTGAGCAGCCTTTCTCGTTCTTACTTTATACAGCACTGATAATTCAAAGCCGGGATGCCTTTATTTACTCTCAGCATGGTACACACGCAAGGAGCTCGGGAAGAGAACTGCCCTCTTGTACTCGGGCTCCCTCCTGTCGGGAGCTTTCTCCGGGTTGATTGCAGCGGGAATCACGAACGGGCTGGCCGGAGCTCGAGGGATCGCTGCGTGGAGGTGGCTGTTTATCATCGAAGGAGCCATCACTGTAAGAGCAGTTGCAATCTCCACCAGTCGGCAAAGCAATTAACGCAAAAGCAGGTCTTCGTCGCTCTGATATCCATTTTCATCATTCCAGATCTCCCACGAACAACCGCCTGGCTCAGCGAGCAAGAAAAGGAGCTAGCTGCCTGGAGACTAGAAGCCGATATTGGCGAAGACGACTGGGTTGACAGCCAGCATCAATCCATGTTCCATGGCGCGAAGCTTGCATTTAAGTGAGCAAGGCATTCTCCGCAGAATATTCATGTGACTAACATTCTCGGGAAGGGATTATAAGACATGGCTCCTTCTCGGGGCGATCTACGGCTGCACTTCTGCAGGAGCCGTCACGACCTTCTTCCCAATGTAAGTTTCCAGCCAAAAGTATCTGCCACAATGCTAATGTTAGATATAGTGTCATGTCGGGTCTGGGAAAGAGCAGTGTCGTTACGCTCCTCCTAACTACACCTCCGTACCTAATCGGAACAATTGTTGTCTTAATAAATGCGTGGCATGCCGACAAGACCGGCGAGCGATATCTCCACATCGCATTACCGCCAATTATTGCGATCGTTGCCTTCATCATCGCATTGGCAAATACTTCATTCGCGGCTCAATATGTGTAAGTAAACTAGTTTCGAAACTCGGACGAATGTCTCATCTAATCTGATTCAGCGCGATGTGCCTCATGATCGGCGGAATATACGCAGGATATGTCGTACTACTAGGCTACGTCTCAAACGGTAAGACAAGCCAGCATCTCCACAATACAGACACTAACTACTCTCCAGTACTCCCCCGCCCAGCCTCTAAACGAGCCGCAGCACTAGCCCTCATTAACTGCCTAAGTAACGTCTGCCAGATCTACACACCATACCTCTACCCCGGTGAGTTCGAACCCAACCTTGAAAAGAACCAAACTGACAGCCGCAGACTCCGCAAGCCCGAGATTCGTCGCTGCTTTCTCACATAACCTCACACTATGCGCTGTGACGATAATTTTCGCGACTATCATCCGGATCGTGCTTGGTCGCTTGAATAAGCAGTTGGATCATGAGGAGGGGTTGGATATTGATACGAGCGGAGCACAGGAGAATGAGGAGCACGGGCTTCCTGGACGGGCTGTTACGCAGGGTTTCCGATTCCTGTTGTAGGACTTTGCTATAGATGTTTGGAGATTAAAATGTTCTTTTTCAATAATCAGATGGAATCGTCATCCGATTTAGGGTGAACGCCGCGCCGGCATCCCGGTGTTTGGTACCCACTCGATCGACGCTCTTAACTTGGTTGCCGGTAGTTACTGACAAATCTTGTTTATATCTGTAAATATGTAGGCTAAGTCTTTCTTGCTAATTCACATTGAGGTTGCAGAAATTCTTAATACTAGCAATTGTCTCCGTTCGGATGAATTCGTAAGCTCTTCAGTCTTACTTTTCGAAGCATATGCCTGAATACATAAAGATCAGGACATGGATTTCAAAAAGCTTATATATATATAGCAACTACCTTTGAAGAAGTGTAATTATCCTCGAATGATCCTGAGACCAGTTGACATTTTACCATTCGCCCAGAGCCCCTTCGACATCTCTACCACCAAAATGGACCTATCACCCCTCCACATCGTCCACAGCGTCACTCCCTCCCTGACCTTTCAGGTATCTGCTAGTCCTTCGGCTTGGGTATCCTGGCTATGGTAGTCGAAACATGAGCTTTCTGCCCTATGTGGGAGGATTGTTCTAGCCCAATGTCACTCATTCTGCATCGCGCATCACTCTCTAAAATAGTCATCCAGAGAGCTGATCACGTAGGAGACTGAGTAGGTGACCCGCTGACTAAGTATTGAACAGACGGTCAATTATCAAGATCATAGTTGACGGGATACTTGACATCGAAACTGGCACCGTGTTTGACCAAGGTTCTAGTCCTGTATTATCTGGGTGAAACCATGACGGGGTTGCGGTCTGAGACAAAGGGGCGTGAAAGCATCAATCTCCTAGATGAAAGTCCCTTTTTAGCTCATACGTTTGCTCTTTCTTCTATTGGTGGATATTCAAAAATTCATCTCCGCCGAAGAGTGGTCAAAATTCTTTCGCGGACTTTTCCGGTCCCTTTTCCGGCCTCGGAAAAGACATACGGCGACTGAGGTCATGGACTACAAGGAGATAGTGCGCATTGATATGTCTACTTTCACCAGCTGGATGAAGTGCTCGAAGTATTCATTCGGAAACAAAGCGTTTAAATTTTTTCACATGGCTGAGAAGAATCGCGCACTAGTATTCTTTGCATTTCTCGAAAGAATCGACATCTCCAGAGGTGAATCTACAATGCCCTATAAGCCTCTCGATCGGTATAGCTCCCCATTGCACAGGAAATAGCGCCATCTCATCATCCTCCTCTGAATTAACATCCTGTGCGCCTTGTGGATCAAAATTTGGGATGACATGTAGCAGCAATAGCCAGACTATTGCTTCCCACTGAAGGCATCGGCGAGACGAATTTCCAAAAACCGAGCTCTATTAGTGAAATAAGTCCAGCCACCGAAACAGCACTCACCATAGCAACCTGCGAAAAAGCACAGCTAATCATACTCTGTGAACGTGCTTTTCTCATTTGCGTGTCATAAGCTTCGACTACAACCATCAACAGACTTTCCACTATAAGCCGGTGAAGAAAAGCATATGTGACCATGAGGGGTAGTGTATAGCGTTATGGTACAGAAAAGAAGTATGTGCTTCTCTGGGAAAGTGTTGGATTGTTGGTGACCCGAAGACAACTGCTAGACGTAGAAAAGCGGGCCCACTCGCCTGCAAGACACATGGCGGTGACAATGCCGTTCGATGTAAAGTAGAGAAAGAAAGGATGATCTGGGGAGAGTTTGCAATCAAGACATTCTTTATGACACATTTCGTGGGCCATGAAAACGATACTATGATTGCACCGGCCTTGACGTCTCCAGGCAGGAAAAACATTTCTTTGCCTTCATTATTCTCAAGATTGGGTGAACAAATCCAATTGAAAGGGCCTCCACGCATGGAGAAGCTGCTTCCCCAATTCTCAGCTGCGATATCTCCCATGGCGACCCCTACACTGTTTCGTCTGTTAAAGACTGCATTGAGCATAAAACGGAAATATGCGTGATTTGCTTCAGTGTCGTTGGTCACCAATAATGGCTTGTGGTACGCTTTTTGGTGGGTTGTGCCAAATTCGGTTATGCACTCTGCGTTGGTAAGATTATCGAAAGGACGATGCCGTCGGCGTGGCTTTATTTTGCTCAGATGTGTTATCGTTGTCTATATGTGAACCCCCGACAAAGACTTCTGTAGACGTGCGGTCAACTGGTCGATCGGAGGCATCCCTATTTCTCGTGGTGTATGTATTTATGTTCACCCGGGTTAAGATGAAAGGCGCAAGGCAGCGAGGATGTTTTGCCAACCAGATCATACGCTCAAGGAGAATTTCCTTCCGGTGGAGGCACTCCGAAGGAAGGTGATTGAAAAGTATGTAAAATATCATAGCAGGGCAACGAAAAGTTCCCTAGAAGGCTTGGGGAAGTGGATGTAAACACGACATGAAGTCATGTGACTGTCGCCATATAGAGACGGCAGCGATAGCCCGGTCGATGTATGGTGAAGATGGTGACATCTTCATTAAGGTTTGCCCACAGCTATTTTAATTGCCCAAGGCTGGATATCACATGCGCAATCGGCTGTCAGGATGACCGGGAAAGTGGGGAGAGCTTAGCGGCATCACTGGCGCGAAGTCGCGGGGTAGTACCCCAGATCGAACAAAGTCCGGGGCTGACCTCCAACTTCCACGCTACTCACCACCCGGCCCGCCTCCAATCTCTCCGGAAAAAATGCATTGAAACCTATCGCATCATGTCTGACCCACACTCAAGGAAACGCCGCCGGGGCAAGGAGCGTGTCCGAGTGACGCGGGCATGCGACACCTGCAAGAAGTGATATTCGAACAGCTCAACAGGGGAGGGAGATGCTGACTACCGTCCAGAAAAAAGCTCCGATGTTCGGGGACGCTCCCATGTTCGCTTTGTTTTCGGTCGGGAGAGGACTGTCAGTATAATGCTGGCTACAAAAGGGGCAAAATTCCTGATATTCCGGCGATGGATCAGGAGATGATGGGTTTGGAGTCGCCTCCGAAACCTTTGACACAGGTACTAGATAATGTGCAGCTATCTCCGGTGGATGCTTTCTCGCCGAGGAAACGGCAGGATACCTTGAACACACAGCTGAAACTTGGAGACGTTGATGACATTTCGGCGGGAGATACTATTCAGGAGGCTCTCCGTTCGCCGTTGCAGGATTCGAGAATCAACATGAACAGCTCGAATACATCTACTGTTCCAATGCAAGACGAGCAGCAAGCTGCATCTTCTCAGCCTCCTACCGAGGCAGACGAAACAGATCTTGAAGGACACTACGTCGGACCATCGTCGGGTGTCTCCTTTCTACTCCGCGTCCAGAAACGACTGCACGAGAATCTCCGATTTTCAGCATCGGAACCCATATTCAATTTTGGCGACGCACCGTTTCCGACATATGATCCGCATTTTCTCGTCCTGCCACCGCTTCACGAAGCGCTCACACTCGTCAATCGGTACTTTGACTTCTCGTTCCCCACACATCGATTCCTGCATCAGGCCACAGTCGAAGAGTGGGTTCGAGCTTTCTACTCAGTGATTCACGGGGCAGATGAGACAGTCAGTAAGGCTATAAAGGCTGTCATATTGATGGTAATGGCTCAAGGCAGGCAATACCTTTCGGCTACGGACCAGTCGACCTGTCAGTCTGTCAACAGGTAGGTGAATACCTCGGTCAGCCTGTCCAGATGCATTCTGACGCCCCAGAAAGCAATGTATATTTCGCAGCCTCCGAGAACCATCTGTCATCCGAAAAGGGACCAGTGCAACTTACCAGTATTCAAGCCCGTCTAGCACAATGCTTCTACCTCCTATCAGAATCACGAATGAATCACTGCTGGAGTCTATTCGGAACAACGGCTCGCCTTGCTCAGGCCATTGGAATCAACAGGAGACGAAGGCGAGAGTTGATTACGGATCACGTGGAAGAGGAATGCAGGAAGAGGACATTCTGGTGCGCCTACAGTCTGGATAACTACTTGAGTGCGGCTCTGGGCCGACCGAGGATTTTCCATGATGAGGACATTGACCAGGTTTGTTGAAAGAGCATTTTCAGTGAGTTGAGGATACTGATGATAGATCCCAGGAGCTCCCAAATTGTGCAAACGACTCTCAGATTTTGCGACATACAATCCTCCCGGCTCAGTCATCACGACAAAGCCTCATGCTAGCTCCAATATATCATGCGAAGTAAGTGTACTCACCGAGAGTGTGAAGCTAATGCTAATCGAATTGTAGACTCTCCCGAATAATGAGCGGAATCCTCCGCGATCTCTACGGAATCCAGCAAAAACCCCTATCCTCGCAAACCGAGATCGCGAGAAAGTACGAAACAGACCTATCCCTCTGGAGAGCTGGAATCGCAGAGTTCATCGACACGCCCAACATCGAGCTTCTCCAAATAACATTCCAACGACAATGCAGCGTCTTGAACCTAGCCTTCGAGCATGCCAAGGTTCTTCTTTATCGGCCTTTCATCCTTCAAAACCTGGCGTCCCTGGGGAAGGAGACGAGTGCACCGCACTCACCGTTACAGGAGGTTATTGGGGAGAATATCAAGAAGGGGTTGGAGGCTGCTACGAGGACAGTTGAGATTTTTCAGAGTCTTTGTCGGACTAGACGGATGTATAAGTCGTTTTGGGTAAGTATTCGTGAGCTTGGCAGAAAAGTCAGCAAGCTAATTGTCTTAGTTCACCCACTACAATGTCTTTTGCGCTATTGTGGTGCTTTATGTGTACGTGATTCAAACTTGGTCAAAGGCGGGTCATGAATATGAGCATTGTCTCCGGATCGGAGAAGAGGCTCAAGCGGAGCTGGCGAAGTGCGGTACCAAGTCGTCGTTTCCTCAGCGGTATGTTGTTGTTTTGGAGGAGTTGAGACGGGAGGCGCGCAAGATCACGGCCCAGTCTGCGAGTCAATACGATACGTCGAACACTTCACCTGAGGAGAATGGGATGGATTCTGTTCAGCTCGGAAATGCTGAAGGGATCCAGAGCGTTCCAAGTCATAACCAGGATGGAGACGTCGTGTATCCTCCGGATCCGAGCACCTGGTTACCCAACATAGCCCAGGACACCAGTCCGGCGTCTTACCTTGCAGACATGACTGGATGGGGTGATTTTGATTCCATTGTGCTGACTGGGCTGGGAGATCTAGGCCATATGTTTCCAAGAGAATATTCCTATTGAGCTCTTCTCTAGAAGTCAAATGAAAGAAAAAAACGTATATTTTGCAGCTTGCGAAACCTCTTTCCTCCTATACCATATTGAGCGTACCTCCAATGGAGACCTTACCTAAAGACCAAACGGATAAGTCTCCTCCTTCCCAAGCGGTGTCTTAGGTTGAATCGTTTCAAGAGGCCTAACCGCCTTCGTCCGATCAAACCAAATAAACCCATCAAACTGTTTATGCAAAAACGCATACGAATAATGCGACATCCGCTCCGTATCCGGCCTATAAATAACGCCAATAAACCTCTCAAGCCGATTCTCCGCCGCCATAGCCGACCTCAGCCGCGTATCAATCTGACCCCGCCGAAAATCAACCACAAAACTCGGAACACCAGTCTCATGCGCCACCCTCTCCCAACTATCATCACGCGAAGTATTCACGTCCATAACCTCCATATCATCATCCCAATCTTGCGCAGCTGCAACTGTCCCCGTATGCGTCCCACACCCCAAAATACAAACATTCTCCCTTCCCAGCCGCTCCCGACACAATTGTCCGATATTCACCTCGTTCCGCCGCATCCCCATACTCGTGTACCGCGCGTCGCCGACGTGCGAATTATGCGCCCAGACAACTGCCTTGTGTGCCGGCGGGGGCCGGTGCTGCATTAGTCGGTGCAATGTATCGAACATGTGCGTATCGCGCATTGTCCACGACGTCGCGGAACTCCAGTACATCGCCTTGTAATATTTCTCCGCATCCCGCACGAGATACGCATTCTGCTTTCCACTCTGATACTCGTCGTCCATCCTGAATTCACCTTGCGCATACTCAATCCGCCGATTGAGCAGGTTCTGCAAGATATCCATGACCTGGCTCTCGCAATCGGCCATCCCCTGCAGGGCGGACAGGCCGTAGGCCGTCGGATCATCGACCCAGGGCTCAAGACAGCCGTATCGTTTCCGCGCGACCTTCGCCGCGGCAGGATCAATGCCGTCGAGATAGTCGATAACCGCCCTAATCGAGGCACCCATACTGTACAAATCGAGTCCGTAAAATCCAACCTGTTTCTCGGGTGACTGATCCTGATTCCAATCGCGCATCCATTCGACCAGCTCCTGCATTTCGCGATTCCGCCACATCCAGGTTGGGAAGCGTTTGAATGGTTCGTGGCCGGCGGCGATGCCGCCTACGCTTGCTTTTGGACCGGGGCGCATGCGCACATACCGATCTATTGCTTCTGCGTCCGGCCAGTCTGCTTCGACGGCGACGATTGTGTAGCCATGTTCTTGGATTAGGCGTTTTGTTATTTCTGCACGCGCGGAGTAGAATTCAGAGGTGCCGTGACTGGCGTCGCCGAGGAGGACTACTTGTTTGCCGGCGAAGGTGTCGAAGTTTGAGGCGAATGTTTTGTCGTGGATTGAGGGGAGGGGCTTTATTGCCTGGTTGAAGAGGTTTTGGAGGTGTGTCATTGATGCGGTGAGTCGAGCAGTGAAAGGTAGTCGCATGAAAGTTATTAGTTAGGGAAATAGTAACATTTCATCTCATCTGCTGGCATTGCACTCTAAAGAGAGTAAGGATATGGTTGCGGGGCTTCCCGTGGCGCGGACAAATGAGATCACCCTCGAGGAACCTGCTTGTAAGATGACTCAAGATGACTTCACGAGCTACCGACTTAATTCAACCAACCAAACAGTACCTACTACTGATAGTACTTAGCGGCATTCCAGAGAGAGAATCGTCTGATGAGGCACATTTGGTGTCAAAGCATCCGCCACTCCACACCCCATCTGTATAGATACCTCACTCATCCAAAGCAGCAAAAAACCCAAACACCCAAAATGGCCCTCCCAGTCAGTAGCCCCTCCCCAAAGCTTGAACGCTTCGAACAAGCAATGTCCTCCGTCTACGGAAACTTCAGCACCATCGAAGAACCCTCCACCTGGAGCCCACCTCCACGCTCAGGCGGGCATCGCGGGCGGTACCTTTGGACCGATGCCTTCGGCGTCCTAAATCTACTCACCATGCACAAAGAATACAGCCAGGCCGGCGGAGCGTCAGTCAACGACGACAGATACCTCTCCATGGCAGCACGGCTAATCGAAACCGTGCACAACATCCTAGGCCGTACACGCGACGGAGCATCTCGACTGCCCGGCGCAACAAACGACAATCCCTTAGGCGGAGGGTTGCGAATCGGCAAAACAGACGAGCACGGCTCAGACTGCGACGGGCAATACCACCACTACCTAACGATCTGGATGTTCGCGCTAAACCGAATGTCCAGGGCCTCCGGAGATATCAGCTATAACAGGATGGCGGTGGACCTTGCGCGGGCGATTCATCCCAAATTCTTTGTTGAGCGGGAGAGTTCCAAACCGCGGATGATCTGGAAGATGAGTACTGATCTTTCTGCGCCGCTTGTTTCGTCGGAGGGGAATTTGGATCCGATTGATGGGTTTGTTGTTTTTCGCATTCTCCAGGCTGCTGCTGTTGAGGCTGGTGATGGGGCTGTGCTGGCTGAGGAAATTGACGATTATCGGAGGGTTATGCGGAGGAAAGGGGAGCATTTTGTTTCTAGTGATCCACTTGATCTTGGAATGACACTTTGGACGGCGCATTGGTTTTCGTGCAAGGAGAATTGGGCGGCGAATTTGGTTGGGAGGTGTTTTGAGCAGTTGTGTTAGTATCCACCCCTGCTTTTCTTTGTGTAATGGCTTCTGACATTCGCAGACAATCTGTTCGAGGTGAATCGCTACCTCGACCGGAATATCAAATTCCGGCTAGCGTTCCGCGAGTTTGGGACTTGCGTGGGGACACAGTGTCAGGCAGAGAATATGACCGAGAAAGACTGGTCTGTTGATCTCAAGACGTGGTCTGATGCCATTGTCGCGGCGTGGGATCCTTATATGGAGCTTACTATTTCGGAGAATTTGACGCCAGATGATCTCAAGCCGATTACGCGGGTTATGTATGCGTCGGCTTTGATTCCGGGGGTGAGTCTGCCTTTCCAAATATGTTCGGGACATGTAGAGCTAACGGGCTTCGCAGCTTTCTGTGCAGGGTATCTCGGGAAAGAGCCCGAGTCGATTCCGTTAGATTAGCGGGGAAACTAGCGCTTAATACTCGATATTGAGGGTGAAATAATCGGATGCGAATGCCATTTTCAAATGCAGGCTCCGTAAATGCAATCTATAACATACTATACAGAAGGAAAACGAAGGCAAGTGTCTATACCCCCGGAATCCCGATAATCTCTCTCCAAGGCGCAAGTCTTCTCGGGAGGATGTAAACCACATATACAGTACTCAGTGCGACAAACAAACCCGACCACTAGATAAAGTCAGCATCCATCAAAAGTAGATGCATATTTGGGACGAGAATCTTACCTTCTCCAACCACGTATGGAACCAGATAGCCGTCATGAAAAGCATCCACCAACCCAGCCCGACCACGGCCCAGACCAAGCGCAGCGACCAGGTCTTGATCGGATCAGAGCCATCCACCTGATCACCTTCCGAGACGGTCGGATCACTCGCCTTGCGTTCCCGGGTCGTCTCCCCATCAGCGCGCGCTGAAGGGGCAATGAATGCACCAACACCAATAGCCTCGAACGAAAGAAGCGCAGTCGCAAGTACAAGCATGAATACATGTCCACTGATATCATGTCCACCCCTCCACGATCCACCCGCAGCCTTGCAAGCAGCCGCACTAAACAGCAGCTCAAGCTGGGCAGACGCACTCGGCTCGGACTCCAGATTCTCCACCTGGCTGAGAATCTGCTCACATTTCCCACCCGTCACCACAAAGCCCCGGTCGATGATCGCAGGCCCGAAGAACCACTGCGTCATCAGATACCATACTGCTGTCGCGAATGCGTACCGGAGGAAGGCTTGGAAAGTGCGGCGGAGGCGAGTCTGTTGCTGAGATTGGGAGAGCGATGATGAGGAGCGGTAGGCTGGTTGGCAGAAGAGAAGCGAGGCAAAGGCAAGGGTTGTCCACAGCCACCCGATCTTCACGAAGTAGAGGTTGAATATGTTGTTTTTGCGGGCGAAGTAGTTAACCGGGGTTTCGGAGATGTGTAGGTCGGCGGCGAGGGAGGGTGCGAGGGCGCCTGGTGTTTGCGACAGGGCGGGCAAAGCTCGTGTACCGCGCGCTGTTGGCGAGATGACTGAGAATAGTGATCCGAGTAGCAGCGTCACTGGGTAGATCAGGAGAGCGATTGGGGAAGGGGGGATGTCGAGCGTGTGCGGCCATTACTGTCGGTTTGTGAGAGATGTTGCAAGAGGCGCGTGGGGCTGATTCTGCGGTTTTATTCGGTCGGAGACAATGGGGAGGTGTGACGTATTCAGGCTCGCGACATGGCTGGGCAATTGCAGAGTCCGCGCGAAGCTGGGAAGTTGACGGGTGTTTTGGCAAGCTGGGCGGATGACATCAATCCACAGTGCCTGCCGAGGCATAATGTGGCCTTGTGGCCTGAGGCACATCTGGTATAAAGATGAGATCGGATGAGAGTATATAGTTAAGTGCGGCCCAGCCCAGAACAAAAGGAAACGTAGGTATGTAAGTAAATATCCTAAGTAAGAGTGACATTCGTTCGCATCTTGCATGTACGAAATGGATTTTAGCCCTTTGTCAGCTGGAGTTCCTCGAATGTAATCCGGTAGCGCCCAAAAATGCTCGGACGAAACACATAATGCATTCTACTAACAGCTATATGTATCAAATCGCTACGTGAGCTTCATTCGGTCGTATCTCCTAGTCGACAAGAGAGACACCACGTACCACCTCCTCATCAGTCTGAAGGATCACCGCAGCCACGTCTGCAAAAAATTTCAAACGGGCCGACATTAGCACGAACCAGGATACTACGTGGTATACATCATTCATCATCAGACCATGGCAGCACAAGAAACGCCACATCTTAATCCGGTCATAATCTGCACAGGACAAATCTACGAGAGGTGCATACCCCTAGGCCTAGGTAGAGACTAGACGATCTCTGCATCCGCAGCTCGTGCCTTCCTCGGCGCTCGAGTGCATATACAGGGGGTAACTGACCAAGCGGGACTGGACGCAAGCGAGAAGGAAAGACGGAGACAAAGGACTATCCTTACGCCGAACGGCATCTGGGCAGGCCTTCATCTCCGCTTTTAGTGGTAACCACCCAGACTGTCGGGTTCACGGGCTGCAGAAATGTGACGAGGGTTACAGCCGGCACAGGCGAAACGAGGGCGATGTTCTTATGGATGGGTGGTGGTCGGCTGTAAAGACATAGCCTTGTCGATCCAGAGGCTCTGCTCCAGCGAGGGCTTAGCGTCTTAATAAATTGCCCGCTTCATTTCCAGGTGTATACAATGCACATAGTAGGGAGTAGGTGTGTATGGTAAAGTATGTAATAGAAATACAAGAATACGTCCAGGACAACCCCCGCCTTATTGGATCACAAGCGGGCCCGTTTGGGACTCGCGGCGGATCAGCTCGTCGCTCAACAAATCACCTTTCCAATTCCAGGCACTATTGGCACTCGCCGTGCTGTTGGTACTCGCAGACAAACGCTGGGCAGTGGACCTCGCAAAGGTGGACGCCTTTGAGCCTGATTCCAGACGGTCGGGACCGCGACACTTTTCGCCCGGAACGAGGCATGGACGTCCCGGCACTCTGGCACCCTAACAGCTGTCGAGAAAATCGGAGGGGTCATAAGACAGGAGGTGGGCGCGATGAAGCTTCGATTTTCCTCACTCCTCCGCGATCGAGATCTTGCCGACTACAGTAGTAACACCCTAGGTTACTTGTTCGGAGGTTCCTGACCCTCCCACTTCGGGTTCTAGGCCACTTCGGGTTCTAGGGCATGCATCATCACCCCGAACATGGCTCGGACGCCATCGAGGCCGACGTGCGTCGCCCCGCGCAACCAGCCCCAGCTTCGTCCAGAATGCTAATTTGGTAGATTTCGGATGTCGACTCGGCCTACCAGGGATCGTGAGTACCCTGCTCAGTGCGCAGTACTACGCTGTAGTATGGGCGACTCTGGCGTAACGGCTAACACGGGACTAGGCTAGGCAATGCGAGCTGCACGGATAGCATCACGTCCAGTACGTTCAATTACCAGTATGTCTCTATTCCGTCATGTCGCGGATCTTTGATTAACCAACTCTCAGGTACGAGGTAAGATACCCGTCACCTGGCTTCATTCGGGGATCTAAGAGTGTAGAACGGTCGCAGATATCACTCATACCACGAGGGGGAATACGTCTTAGTATGTGCCCTCACTGATCAAATGTCGACTACTTCTGACTCTGAAAGCCCAATGATGAACAAGAACAAGATCGTCTTGATCTGGTCAGTACATGTGCCGGTGCACCCTCAGGTGGCCCGAATTCAGGCTGACCAAATTAGAGCCACCATATTTACTTGATGCTCCTAAGAGGAGAGCTACAAGTAGCACCAGTGAAGAACCCGGGCAGGGTATTAGATCTCGGTACCGGGACCGGGATATGGGCAATTGATTTTGCAGAGTAAGTCGGAATCTACCACGGTAGCCAACAGAGCTGATCTTGTTCAGTGGAAATCCCAACTCAGAGGTGATCGGTACTTTTACCAATACCCAAAAGCCACAATCAAAACTAACAAACGGAAGGCATCGATCTAAGTCCCATCCAGCCTGCATGGTACATCTCCTAAAACCCTCCTCAGTATTTATCGGGTTCATTGCTGATAAAGCCAGGGTCCCCCAAAACTGCCGCTTCGAAGTAGACGACTTCGAACAACCATGGCCTTACAGCCGCAAATTCGACTACATCCACGGCCGCGAGCTAGAAGGCTTCATCCGCGACCACGACAAACTCTTCCAACAAGCCTTCGACAACCTGAACCCAAACGGCTGGTTCGAGATGGTGACTATGGAAGTCAACTCCTACTCTGACGACGGAACCCATCTGAAAGCCGTCAGCATGCTCGAAAGTGTCAAGCACATACATTTGTCATCGAAGCTTTTCGGAAAGGATATGGCGTCTGTGTTTACCTGGAAAGAGCGGATGGAGAGGACGGGGTTTGTTAATGTTAAGGAGGATATTTTAAAGGTAGGCAGGCCCCTTTCGAGGTAAACAATATGTAGGATACTGACTGAATTTTGCAGCTCCCTCAAAGTCCCTGGCCGAAGGATCCCAAGCTTAAGGAGCTGGGTCGATATCATCAGCTGAATATGCTTGAGGCGATGCCACCGTATAGCTATGCTTTGTTCACACGGATGCTTGGGTGGCAGCGGGCGCAGATTGAGGCTCTTCTTGCGGGTGTACGGCATGAGTTGCGGGATCTTTCTAATCATCTATATACCAAGGTTCACATGGTCTACGGGCAAAGACCGCGGTGATACCCTAAATGATGAAGAAAATATGTATATAATCAGTCATGACCTAACGAAGATATCCCATTTGCAAGCCGTCGGTCCTCATACATTCCTAGTTTGCATCAAGATTGCGCCACTGCATTAGTTAAGATATTAGCAATGATCCATTAGACCAGCTAAAGTCACTCACAAAGCTTATCGTCTCCTCCCACAACTCATCCATTCAAAAAAGCGACGAAATATGTCCCCCAGGAACAACCCATTGCAAAGCATGGCCCTGCAGGATCTGCGTCAACAGCGCAACCGAGAACCACCCCTGCCAATTCAAACTCTTCACATAGTTAAGATGATACCTCAACGGCACAAACCCGGCAAGAAGCATACACCCTCTAGTCCTTCTTCCAGCCGGGAAGAGCGCATAATCCGCGCCGTACAGTATCTGCGCCGGAAGAGTCACATACGACCCGCCGGCCAGATAAAGAGCGTCAAAGTTGTCGTCTGGATAGAGGTTACTTAACAGCGCGGTGATGTCAGCCGCCAGACCTCCTGGTAAGACACTGAAGTATCGCCCGAGCTGCTGTTTCCCATGCCCGGGAGCGTGGGCGCGATCCAGTGTGCTGGTAGTTTGCAGCAGGGTCCTGGGAAGTGACTTGCGGTTCCTGTGCTCATTATGCCGGTGAACAAGAGAATTATTGTTTTTGAGCGCGGGCCATTGTGGGCGTAGGCGAGTTGCCTGTTATGTGGGAGGGGAGGAGGTGTTCTTTTGAACCGGCTGAGGTGGTGTGTTCTGTTTCGGCCTTTTTTTTTTGTGGATTTTGAAAGGAATTGCTCTTCTTATTGATAGTCACAGGCTGTCTTATTAAAGGTCGGTGGTAGCGCCGTCGGTTGATGCAGGTGAAGGCAGGTGGGGACCGTTCATGTTGGCAGGTGCGGGTGACTTCTCCGATGGTAAACTAGGCAGCCGAGCAGACACAATATAATGGCTTCTGCGTCGTTGATTTGGGGAGATTTTTGCTGAATGTCGATCGGGTAGGATCCGTTATTTTTGGTGTCTGCCTGTCAATTTCCTTCATTCTTTCCGTGTCTGCCACGGAGGCTACTGATAGAATCAGATGATCCTAGCATAGTTATCCTTTTTCATGAGTCTCATTTCGAGTTGAACGACAAATATTCATGCAGAGTGGATTCACATTCTGACGAGCGATATTACTGAAGGGGATATTGGAATAATAATCGGGTGGCGGAGGGAGAGAAGCTCCGCCGCATGGATGGGTGCTGCGCTGTCATATGACCTCGCACCTGAGGCCCTGAGGTCAGCACTTCTCTTAGATACACGACGCCTCTAGAAACAATGAAATCAAAAGCCTGTTTGGCTCACTTTCAACACATTGCTTATGGAAGCACTAGTGCTGACAAGCAATACATAGCGAGGAAAAGATCTACAGACCGAACCGTTACTGTTGGCAAAGCATCCAAAGCAAGATTTAAATGCACTTACTGAGAAACATTTGTAAAAGAGCAATGAACGCTGACTTCTGACTTCAGATGAAGAGAATTGAGAAAGCGATTCCCGAGAATCAATCAGTCCCATCCAAAAATACCTGCTGATCGACCCTCTCAATCCATTACCCGTGGGGGCAATGTGACATTAATTCTTCACACTTTGCCAAGAGCGGGATAATGTGTTAGGTCTCTGCCAAGATCAGCAATGACGCAGATATATGGGGCCAGAGAGTTTGAAACGGTTGTATATAGGTGCATCCAAACCTTTTTTTGCCCCATGTATGCTTATTTTCTTGGCAGGGGCGGATTGGGTTTCGTTCTACTAGAATGGAAGGTCGGGATGGTGTCGGGCAATGGATTTTGGTATTACTGGTTTCTACTACACAAGTAGTAGTTAATTTCTCTGGTTCTAGAGGATGCTTGAGTTTGAGCTCGCTATATAAAGGCCCAAGTGTTCTCGCTGTGATATCGGCGGCACTTCCTCTACTACTCCCGCACTGGTGCCGAAATCTACTTCTACTTCTACTTCTTTACTTCCTTAACTTCTCCTCGAGTTGTAAAACGACACTATGAAAGTCCTTTTAGCACTGCACTACATCGCGGTATGCATGCTCTCTACGTCAGTCGCCGCTACCCCAATGCCCGCCGACACACTATCCAACCAAACCTCGCTTCTCCCACACTCACAAACACATATCCTTCAAAAGCGCTCCCCCGTAATCCTGGGCCTGGGCGTCTACGCCTTCATTGAAGCCGCCGGCTCCGCCGCAGGCCTGACTCTTGGCGACCTAGCCAACACGCTAATGAACGTCTTCAAGCCCAACGAAGCACCCTGGGAAAACACAGACGAGTACTGTACGATCTACATCCGGACACAAGGCGGTGGGAACTGCCACATGGAAGTTGATCCTAGCTTCGCGGGACAGGAGAAGGTTACGCACGAGGATTGGGATTGTGCGTGGGTTGATACGGACGCCGATCCACCGATGGCGTCGTTTAGTGACCCCGGCATTGGGGAATATCGGGTGCAGTTTACTGCGACTGATGGGAGTGCGTTTGATGGGTCGGAAGAGTGTGTTGCTGACGGGCTATGTTATCCGAGACTGGAGTTTCAGAGGGATGGGTGGGTTTTTCTTCTCTTTCCTTTCCTACGTTAAGGGTGACGCTGAGTTCTTCAGGTTCTATATGCGGATCGATAGCTGGACGAGTGAGGGGGATATTTCTGAGGGCCAGTATACGGGTGATTATGGGGGTGTTTGTCAGAATTATGTTGAGGATCAGTTTACGACTGGGGGAAATAAACTGGCCACAAAGTAAGTTTATGTCCGGTCCGAGGGCTGTTTTTACTAACTTTATGACAGGTGTGCTGTTCCATGTGAGAATCAAAACGTTCTTCCGGACTCGACGCCCTAGACCATTTGCTTGCTGGACAAGTGAACGATTTTGACAACTTGTGATGGTACGGAGAAGTTGAGGAAATCGGTGTTTCAGTGAAGCTGTATAGATTGAATTGAATCTTGAAATTGAGCAATGGTATATCCGAATATGCATATAGGCCAGGACGCTTGAAAAATATGTAACAGGTCCCTCGTTTTCGTGACTTCGAGTAATATTGCGTCGACACTAAGTCCGTGGGACAGTGGCCGTTTATTTATTTATTTATTTTCTTTCTTTCTTTATTCATTCTACCCTCGCACTATCCATCCTTGCAATAATATTCGATAGCGAAGTCGACTGCTGCGACCTCACATCATTCCGCGCATGCCTCCAAGCAAGAATCTCATCCAACTCATTTGTCTCATGGCTCGCATGATCTGGCGTATCCGGACTTCCGAGGTACTCGACCGAAACATCCCCCGGCGTCTGCGTGATAATGATCTTCGGGATTTGCGGTGTAGGGTTGGCGACGACGAGCGCAGAGTCGCCTGGTAGTTCTGCGATGACTGTGGTGGGTATTGGATCGGAGGGGAGTTCTGCGGGGGCAACGGGAGAAACGAATTGTGAATCGCCTGAGAGTTCCGGGATGGATGTCTCAGACGTCCCGAGCTCAGCAATGTCCTCTTCCTTTCCTTGTTCAGAATCGGGAGAGGTCTTTTGAGATTCAGTCAGATCTCGGAGGTGGGTGAAGACCCGGCTGAGTCTATCCTGGTGGAGGATCAAACGGGATTGTTTCTCCTGAGCCTTCTGGCAGTCCTCGATTTTCCATCGCTTTCTATTCGCGGAGGTTATTTTGCCCTTTCGTTTTGCCATATCGAGACGATGTGGTTCCACGAGCTTGGCTAGGTCCTGGCCGACGTGTAGGGCGTCGGTGATGATGGAATTGATCCAGTTATGTTCGATTTCTCCCAGCAGCGCCGACTTGGAATTTCGGAGTTGCTTCGCTTGGTGGATTTGGAAGAAGGTTTGGTCGGTCATGTTGAGGAGCTGGCGGATTTGCTGTTCTTGTTTCTGCCCTTTCGAGAATGGGTCGATCATGTCGTATTTGGGCAGTGCGGTGTCTGTGGAGGCTTCTGAGGGTGACTGTGTTGATTGCGAGGACTCGGATGAGGGTCCGGATTGTGGTGATTGGGTTGCTTCGGATGATGGGGGCGATGTGTAAGACTGAGGCTGGGTATTTTGTGGTGATGTTTGTATGGATGGGCTGGGTTGGCGTGATAGTGTCGACAACGACTCGACGGATTTCGAAGCCCGGTGTTTGATTGCGTTGCTTTCTATCGCTTTATTTGAAGTCTGAGGTAATCGCTGCAAGCGATCGGTTGACTGGTAAAGCTTGGTGGCGGATCGATTCAGCATATCGGCAGTTGATTGCCGACACCGAGTTTTCGAGTCAACCCAAGTGTTTGTAGATCGATGCCATGCCTCCGCAGTGCTCTGCTGGTATCGCTGTTTCGAATTGGCCAAAGAATCCGACGACCGATGCCAGGCCTCCATCGTCGATTGATGACATTTGTCCTTGGAATCCGACCAGACCTGTGTAGAGCGACGCCACAGATCTTTCGTTGACTGCTGCCATTTATTGGTCGACTGCTGCACCTGTTCGCCCGGTCGGCTCTGCGTGTCTGATGACATTGTGTCGTTGATCGCTCGGGGTGGAGTGGAATAGGAGCAAGCATTCACTTAAACCCACGGCAAATTCCGAAAATTGAAGACTGTTGATGCAAAATGAGCGTTCGTCTGGGTCGCCTGGCGCGATCCTCGTTTTAAGGGTTACGCAAGAGTTACAAGGCTCATTTCCACCCCAGACAATCTCATGCCTGGGGTGGGGCCGCGGGAGCTGTTTATCAGCGACGTGCCCGGTCGGCACGGCGTTGCGGAGGGGCTTAGATGCGAAAGGAAGGACGCATGGCTGCTAGCTCCGAAATGGCCTGGAAATTGCATTTCCTCAAGGACTGGATTGGCTGGTGATCAGCGTGAGCTACGCTCGGGTTGGCGCAGGTTGGGGCCAAAACTGGGAGTGGAGTTGTCAGCTGCGATATCACTGGCCGGTTCGTATAATCACAGCCTTGCTATTTTTATCATGCAGGCAGGGACATATTCAGTTCATGTTGACGACAGTTCTAAACGGAGCAACGTGATCGCGATGGTGTTGATATACTCGAGATCTGGATGAGGTTGGAGAAAGTGTCAACATCTCGCCCTTTTCACTGCCTCCAACCTTGGCCATAACCATCGTTAAGAAGAAAAGGGGAAGAAAAGTATACCCTATACAGAGATAATGAAGAAGAACGCGCAATGACAGCTTGCTTATGAGAGTATACCTGGGAGGAAACACACACAAGACACGCGAATAGCCGACGTAACACGGAGAAAAGCAGAAAAGAGTGCAGTGCAGTGGATGGATCCGTGGATGGATGCCTAGGAAGGAAACTCTGGGTGATGTATTTGCCTCCGCATTCAATGAGGCGGTAGGTGGATCCGCTTATACTGCCTGATCGTAGCAAGTGCAGGCACACCCCGCGTTACAACAGGAGCAGTAGGTAAGTTGCGAAGAGAAAAAGAAAGAAAGAAGTGAAGAAGAAGAAGAAAAAAAAAAAAAAAAAAAAAAAAAGTGCATAAGAGCCGTCCAGTCCGACAGAACATATGGCAAGCCAAGTTCCAGTAGCTTAACGTGAGGGACCGACATAGGGACAACCCATCCTCGAAGGTCACACACACCACCAGTTCCCAACTTATGGTCCATTACCACTCGGCCATAGTCCCATCGCGGAACGATAGTATACCCTTTAAATGGTTTATATAGGTGCGATTGCGGTACTTGAGAAAGGGGAGACAGGTTGAGGCACTTCTAGATAAAATTTGGTGCTGTAAATTGGCAATATGATTCTTTAGGCTGTGCACTGTAGGATACAAATTCTGTGAAGATGCTGAATTGCACTTGAGGGTTGTAGCAGTGTCTTGAAGTTGATACCGCGCAATAGATCGTGAGGTTGTTTTTGCAGGTCGATGTCCTAGGCACCCAGATATCCACTTTCGTGAAGTGCGCGTTTTTGAGGAAAGTCTTCTCGGTTCGCCAGAGGCCTCGGGTTCGATTCCCGCAATGAAGCCTTTTTTTTTAATTTTTCTTTTTTTTCTTCTTTATTTTGTCTTTCCATTTTGATAGCTCCTGTCATCTCTATCTCGTGCCAAGAATGGTGAATGGTGGGCTTTGGTTGGTCGGGGCATTGCTTACCCGAGTGGGCACTCTGCTTACTTCCGCAACGGGAAATTCTCAATCTTGATTCATGACTGCCTGTCGCTCTTTCGCAATCTCCTTAGCAGCCTGGAACGAGATTGATGAAGAAGGGAATTGATACAGCCACGCCCTCTCTGCCTCAGACCACGCCCTCTCCATGACATATTCAGTATCTGCTAGCACCTCAGCTTAGGTTTCCAGGCTCTTCGAGTCCAAAAATGAACTTGGCAGTAGGTAGACTTAAGGTTTCAGGTTATTAAGACCATGTACAGTCTATGTGGGCTTCGCTCGGAAACTGGCACCACTTTGGCCGAGGCTCTGGTTTTGTATTATCCGAATGAAGCCATGGCAGAGGTGTGGTCTGAGACAAAGGGGGTGTGGAAGCATCAATGTCCTTAAAATGGGCCGAGGCGTTTGGAAGATTTAATCAAAACTGCACTCTCATGCCTGCAGCGGTTATTTCCTTTTACCCGTATAGAATCATTATTAAATTGTGAACTTGGTCAAAGAAAAATGTCGTGATTGTAATGCAACTCGCTTTAACAAGAACAATGCTAATACCCTCTAGTAACAGAAAACGCGCTATGTTACCTAACTCCATAGACGAAATATAATCAAAAAACAGCCCCGCTTCACTTTTACTCCTCACAATCAAGTTCCCCTCTAGTTCGCCGGCTGCGAATAATACTTCTGCGCCGAACCAGGCATCTGGCTCCCATGCATCTGGCCATGGCCCGTGCCATACGAAGGCGGGACACTGTCCATTTGAATGCCGTAGGTCTGAGAGCCCTGAAGAGAGCGGTACTCAGTGTAAGGTGCTGCATTCATGGCATGGCCTTGGTGTGACTGGTGCTCGTGGGAGCGCCACTGCGGATGCGAATGGGCATTGGCCTGGTTCTGGTACATGTAGCCCATTTGCGACTCGTTGTAGCCGGGATGGTAGGGCATTTGAGGTGGGCTGGGGGGCATGTTGGTGTTGCTGCTTGGGCGCTTTTGTTTCTTTTCTTCGTGGTCGTTGACGGCTCTGTTGGTTATAAGTATAATGTACCATGTTTGTGACGGTTGAAGGAGGAGACGTACTTTGAGGCAGCTTTGATTAGGCCGTAGCCGCCGGCGAGGGTGAGACCAGTCTTGATGAGACCCATTTTTTGATATGCTGGAGATGTGGAGGGCTGAAGTCTGGAAATAGACTGTGGTAGAGCGAAGCTTCGATATGAAAGAGATGCTTTGGTGACGATAAAGTTCAAGATCGACGGGTCATCAACTAGTATTTATGCTGCAGCCATCACGACGAACTCCTGTCCCAGGGGCAGTGCGCCAAATCGTCGGTACTCAAAATAGCTTGTTCCTTTTCGCAGGCGCCGATCAACTCAGCCTTGTCCAAGTGGGACTCGTTGGGTGAAGACTGCGCGCTTGTTTGGCGTGGGCAGGCTATGGAGCGTGCCGACAGCCAATGAAGCCCGGTGCGGTGTGGCTTGTTTGGCGCTTTCCCCAAAACTGTGCATTGAACCGAGCCGAAAGCGAGGCTCTTAGGGGCCGGATTGTCCCCTCTTCAAAATAATGACATCTCCAAGTTTATCCTGCTTCCTTCGCTGACGCTGACCGCCGACGTGATCCGCACAGATCCAGTCGAACCCGAACCCGAAACCGAGACGCCCGGAGAAAGGCTTAGCTAGGTAGCCACATTCTTCCCCGACAGGCTTATGCCGCCACGTCTGAGCCATCGCAAGTCTACAACGGGCTGTTTGCGATGTAAAGCACGGAAAGTCAAGGTAAGCATTCGATCTGCGATTGCAGGGGCTATGCCAACTTAAATAGTGCGACGAAAATCGACCACAATGCACCCACTGCGTCCGCCATAACGTACCCTGCGAATGGCCGGCACTAGCAACGCGAATCTACAAGCCCAATCAGCCAAAATTGTCAAATGCACTTTCCAAGAGACCCGCACCGGCACTACAGCTGGGCCTTCCATCCCCCGAACTGGGCGGACTGCGGGTCCTCGAACTGCGACTCATGCACCACTGGACCACGACAACGGCCGAAACAATGAGCTCCGCCCAACTAGCCTCCGTCCGCGAGATGTGGAGCGTCTCTGTACCGCAGATGGCGTTCGAGTACGAGCCACTTCTTCACACTTTACTTGCGCTGGGCGCCGCGCATCGCTCCACCCTCCTGCCGGATGAGGCGAATTCCCTGCGCCCTGTGTATCAGGGGTACATTGATTCGGCGCTGCGACGGCATCGACCGGTCACTTCTGATTTGAATGAGAATACGGGTGAGTCGGTTGCGCTTAATGCGGTGCTGCTTTCACTTTATACGTTATTCCTGCGGTCGGAGCCTTCGAGCGAGCCGTATGAGCCACCGATGATGTGGCTCTCAATGGCGCATGGGATCCGGACGGTCATGGCGCAAGTCTTTCATCAGCTTGTCCGGAATAAATCCAGGTTGTGTCCCCTCCTCTTTGCGCAGCCGACGCTTTGGGATCGGAAGGAACAGGCTACTTCGTACGACGGGCCCGCGAAGCCGTTTCATTTTCTCCTCAGTTATCGACGGGATGAGGAGGTTCTAGATGATAAGGATGAGTCTGCGTACATGGATGCAGTGCAGTATCTCGAGCGCTTGTATGTTGCCGTGGAGACACATGAGCCTGAGTTTATCGTTCGCAAGATGTTTAGCGGGTTTCCTCCGGTGGTTCCTCGTCATTTCCTTCGGCTTGTTTCTGATAAGAGGCCGCGGGCGCTTGCGATTCTCGCTCGTCTTTTTGCGCTGGGTAAGACGGTGGATAATATTTGGTGGCTGCGCGGTATTCCGGAGAAGGAGGTGGTTGGGATTAATAGTATTATGCCGGCTCAGTGGAGGTGGACGATGGATTGGCCGCTTATCCTTGTCTCTAAGGATTCCAGGCAAGGGAATGTGTCTGTTCCTGTGACGAATCGAAGTGTCATTGACGCCCTGTTTTGACAATGACCATGTACTACTATATTTGAATGATAACGACAACACTAGGAGAGCATTACCCCATTCAGAAGATTTTGGCTATATCAATTTACCACTCTGAACATAATCGCCAACCGAAAGCGTTGACCACAAAACAACTGTGATTATGATCAACAGCCCAGTTCGCATCGGCTCCAAAGGCCTGGTGAAGACTGAGTCGACCAAGGCTGCAAGGCTGACGCTAACCCTCGGGTTCGGGTTAATTGCCCTACGCGCTAGTCTAATCAACGCCCGCCATTGGAGAGGCGGTGCCACTTGCGATTATCCTCAAGCTTAGCTTTAGCATCGATCGTCTCCTGGTCTTTTCCGTAGGAGACCCGATATATATAAAAATAAAAATGGGGAGCCCAGCTTGCCTGGGCATAAAACTTGGTTCCAGACTTGATTCTTTAGCATCAATCCAATTTTTTCTATCTCTCAGCTATTTTCAAAACATCTTAATCTTGCGATCATGCCCTCCTCAACCGAAGGCCTCGAGCTAGCCCAGCTCGCATTTTACGTCCTCACATCCCTCCCCGCAATTTACTGCCTCATCCGACACGGACGAATCGGCCTCTTAGGGTGGATCTACGTATTCGCCATGTGCGGTTTGCGGTTGGTGGGTAATGGAATCGCATACCACTCTCTTTCCACGACTGGTGAGCCCAATCGAGCGGCATCTATCATTAGTGGTATCGGTCTTTCGCCGCTATTGCTCGCTGCGCTTGGTATTCTTCACGAAGCGTGAGTCTTCAATGCTTGAAAGGCCCTTCGTCTCAAACAATACGCTAATCTGATCTAATGAGGGTAGCAACCACTCCATCCAATCAACCCTCCCCGCCATCCTAAGCGGCTTCGGCATGTTGATCCCTCACATCGTTATCGGAGGTGGAATCGGTCTTGCGGCTGCCAGTGGAAGTCACACTGTCTTGCTGAAGGTCGGACTCATTGTTTTCGCGACGGGTTGGAGTATGGTTGTGGCGCTGGTGCTTGTTTCTGCGAAGGCAAATGCCACTCATCGCCGACTGGGTAAGGAGAGGAAGGTATGGTTTGCTACTCCCATTTCAGCTAAGGATTCATCTAATGAGTCAAATGTGAAGCTCTTGTTTGGGATTATGATTGCCCTGCCGCTCATTGGAATCCGTCTGATTTACGCTATTGTTGTTGCGTTCAAGTATGGTAGTCCTTCTGGTGGAAGCCTTGCTGTTGAGGTTATCTTTGGGACTCTTCCGGAGTTTTTGGTTATGATTACGTATCTTTCTGCTGGGATTGTTACGCGCAATTTGGCGAGTGGTCGAAATGAGCGGGGGGTTGGGCCGGCTTATGACTCTGCCTATGTTTCTGTATGAGTTTACTCACATGCGCTTAGGATTTATGGAATTGCATGTGCTGCAGGCGTTGGGAATAGTGTATTGTACGAGATCGGCATTGTGATATTGCTTGGGTATGATCACATGATTCTTGTTATAGAGTGAATGTTGGGCTGCGGGACGCCTAAATATAATTTTCAGATGCATGTCAGTCTCACCGAGAATCAATTGGTGTATTTTCATGACTAGCAGCAGCAGCCTCTCCTGATTCGGTATATTTTATTCATTCAGCCTCAATAACTCCTCTGCTGATACTTTGGATCAATGTATTAGTTAGTTAGTAGTATGCGGCTCTGAGTCAACATCTGTCAGAGGGTGAGTCTTCGTCTTCCACCAGTCACCGCCCGCCCTCCGCCCCACATTCACCAGGCATCCACATTGCATGGTCGCATTTGCAGTCATCAAGTCTGGCCCAGTCGGTCTTGGCCGCGCTGGTTACTCCATTCGGACCCCTGGACTCCTTTATAGGTACCCTTCTTCACCCCAATGCACCACCATTCAACCTCACAGTGCCATGTCTCACGCGTGGCTGCCGTGCTCGGCAGCAGACCAGGACCACTTCGGCCCGACCGTTGACAAATCCTGCCACCACGGCTTCGATTTTACCCTTCTATTCGAAGAGACGGTATTGACGCTTTTGCCGATTATCCTCGTCTGGATAGCGGGATCTATACGCGTCTGGACACTGCGTCATGTCTCAGGAAAGGCGAATCGATCATGGCTCTACACCGCGAAAGAGGTATGGCATACCCGTGCCGAGAATCAGTCACAGAGAGCTAAAAGTGTGTAGATCGCACTGGTACTGCATGTAGCGATTCAATCGATTATGTTGGTTCTGTGGTGTCAATCGTCGACTCCGAGAACGCGAGCGACCGTGCCGACTGCCATTGCGACTGTGGTCACCTACTGCTTCTTTCTCTACTTGTCGCACCTGGAGCATATCCGCTCTCTGCGACCTTCTTCGATTCTTTGTCTATTCTTCGTGCTGACCATTCCTTTTGATCTGGCTCGACTTCGTACATTTTATTTCATGCCTGATAATCAACCCATCACGGTTCTCTTCGCGATCGGTCTGGTGAACAAGGCTGTTATTCTTGTACTGGAATCGACAGAGAAAAGACATCTGCTCAAGAAAGCGTTCGAGGGGAGTGCAGTTGAATCCACGAGTGGGATTATCAGTCGCTTCTCCTTCTGGGGGATGAATGACCTGCTCGCGAAAGGATCAAAGTCTACGCTGACGGTTGAGAGCCTGCCTCTTCTTGCCGACGATATAAGAGAAGCTTCCGACCCTCAAAGCCTGGAGGAGCGATGGGATAAAGGTAAATTTCGGCACATTTATTGAGCAGGTTTCAAGACTGACATGGGTGACAGCTAACAAGTATCGATCCAACGCCCTTCTATGGACCTTTGCTCTCCATTTCAAATGGGATTACCTCGCAGGTGTTGTACCTCGCCTCGCCTTTACTGGGTTCTGCTTCGCGCAGCCGTTTCTGGTTGAACGGGTCCTTGATTTCATGACCGAGCCGGAACATGTCAATTCGGACAATTATGCCCGTGGCCTTGTTGGGGCGTATGCGATCGTCTACGTGGGTCTTGCGGTTAGCTTTACCTACTCGTCATAATGTTGGTGAGACCGAGGTGACTGACTCGAACACAGGTCTCGTTCGCTGCCTATCAACACAAAATCGACCGGATGATCACAAAAATGCGAGGAAGCCTGGTCGCTATGATCTTCAACAAGACACTGCGAATGAGCACCTCTACAGTCTCTGATGCATCTGCTATCACTTTGATGAGCACGGATATCGAGAGAATCGGATACGGCCTGCGAGATATGCATGAAATCTATTCAAACTTTACAGAGGTTGTACTTGCCTTGTGGTTGCTGGCGCGATTGCTCAAACTCGCAACACTAGCATCCACGCTAGTCGTGATAGGTGGGTGCATATGCACTTCTCGAAAGCCAAACCATCGCTAACATGTCTTCCAGTGTGCTTGGTTGCTGGAGTTCCACTAGCTGTCGCATCCAGCAGTGCCCAGGGCCTCTGGCTAGAGGCCGTGGAAGAACGCGTCGCCGTCACCGCGAAAGTCCTCGGAGTGATGAAGAACATCAAAATGACCGGATTGACAGATGTAATCGCGGACCTAGTTCGTAAGCTCAGAGTACAGGAAATCAAAGCCGCGTTTCCATACCGGCTGTACGGTGTCATTATTGTCACTTGCTGTTCGTCAACACCCTCCGTTTGGGCCGTCTCCAACTAACAGGAATTCTACAGCATACGCATCTTCAGCACTAGCCCCAGTCTTTGGATTCGGTGTCTACACTCTTCTCGCCCGTGCACACGATAACACAACACTGACCAACGGAATTGCCTTCTCGGCCCTAACACTTTTCTCGCTCCTGGACCAACCTATGATATCATTCGTCTACGGATCAGAGGATATCATGGCGGTCGTGAATTGCTTCCAGCGGATCCAGAAGCATCTGCAGGAAGTAGAGAGAGCCGACTATCGACTCACGCATGAGTCCCAGTCAACTCAATTAATTGACATCGACTCAGACGACGAAGGCCAACATTCGTTCAGTGCAGTACTCCACGAATTATCAGCAGCATGGTCCGTAGACGACGAGCCAATTCTCAAAGACCTTAACCTCAAAATCCCAACAGGAGAAACAACCATGGTCGTCGGACCCGTGGGTTGTGGTAAATCCACCCTGCTGAAAGTGCTTCTTGGCGAGGTTCCCGAGTGTACCGGGTCGATCTCGACTACTTTCAAGAATGCGGCTTACTGCAGCCAGTCGCCTTGGATTACGTTCGGTACTGTCCAGCAGAATATTCTGGGTGCTTCTCGGCTGGACCAACGGTGGTATGATCGTGTTGTTCAGGCTTGTTCTCTGCAGTTTGATTTTCAGCAGCTTCCTTTTGGAGATCAGACGAAGGTTGGTGTTCGTGGGTCGCGGTTGAGTGGTGGGCAGCAGATGCGGGTGGTAAGTTTTGATGTCTATCGTTATGATCTTTTGTAACAATTTACAGGCATTGGCGCGGGCCCTCTACTCGAGACAATCTGTTCTCATTCTCGATGACGTTCTTACCGGCCTTGATCGAGAAACCGAAAAGTCTGTTCTAGAGGAAGTTTTTGCTCCAAATGGACTTGTGAAGGAATTCCGTCATACCATGATTTTGGCCACTAATTCCAGTAGGAGTGCATTCTTGTTATTCCATTTAACCTTACTGATATGGCTCTAGCACACCATCTGCCCTACTCCGACTTTATTGTTTCGCTTAGCGAAGATGGCCACATCGTCGAACAAGGCTCCTACGACGAATTAGTGTCTGCAAAGGGCTACGTCAGCTCTCTCTCCAGTACATCCAGCACAGTCACGACCAAGCGAGCACCTGATGTAGTTCTCGACGACGAAACTCTTCAAGAACTGAAACTCCCCGACGACGAAAAGGTCGACGACACAAGTCGACAGACAGGAGACTTTTCAGTCTACCTGTACTATTTCCAGAATATTGGCTGGCCACTCCTACTGCTTCACGTCGCGTGCTCTGTCCTATTCCTTGCTGGATTAAAATTCCCACGTGAGTAACCATGCCCCACAAAATCCATTTTGAACAGTCACTAACCTCATTAGAAATCTGGCTTCAATGGTGGACTCGCGCGAACGAAGAAGTCCCGAATCAAAATGTCGGATACTGGCTCAGCGGATATGCTGCACTGGGAGTCTTGACTCTTCTTGCCACCTGTCTCGCCAATTGTGTCTTTAATATGATCATTGTACCCAAGACAGCCCGTCGATTCCACGAGATTCTGCTCGGAACAACCATGAAGTAAGACCCCAACCATATTAAAAGACACATTAGCTAAAACCTCACAGAGCAACAACATCCTTCCTCACCTCAACCGACATCGGATCCACAACCAACAGGTAACACCGGCACTCACCTAGTTCAAACACAAAACTAATCCCTCCCAGATTCAGCCAAGACCTCGAACTAATCGACGAAGAGCTCCCCTCCTCCTTCGAACTAACCCTCGACGCAGTCCTCGGCTGCATCGTCGAAGTCTTCCTAATCTTCATCGGCTCCTCCTACGTCACCATTGCTGTAATTCCGTTCTGCATCCTAACGGTCACCTACGTAGCACGCTACTACATCCGGACATCCCGTCAACTCCGCCTGCTCGAGATCGAAGCAAAAGCCCCCCTCTTCTCGCAATTCCTTGAAGCGCTCAGCTCCCTCCCGAGTATCCGCGCTTACGGCTGGAACGGGCACTACCGGACCCAGAACAGGATTGCCCTCGATATATCGCAGCGTCCGTTCTACACGCTCTATTGTATCCAGCGGTGGCTGAGTCTCGTGCTGGATTTGATTGTTGCCGGGATTGCAGTGACAGTAATCGCGATTGCGATGTCGATGAGAGGTCGTTCGGAGCTTAATCTTTTCGGGATTGCGCTTTTTAATATTGTTGGTTTTTCCGCGACGTTGCAGAGTCTTGTTACGGAGTGGACTGGTCTCGAGACTTCCATTGGCGCGGTTTCTAGGATTAAGTCCTACGTGCAGAATGCGGCGGCTGAGGATCTGGAGGGAGAAGATGGTGTTGTTCCGGGATTTTGGCCGTTGAATGGGAAGGTGGAGTTTATTGGTGTTTCTGCTTCTTATGAGTTCGTCCTCTCACTACGCTTATACCGACACAACTAATATTTTGCAGTGCATCCTCCAACCCCGTCCTCCAGGACATAACCCTAAGAATCCACGCGGGCGAAAAAATCGCCATTTGCGGCCGAACAGGCAGGTTCGTTCCCCCTCTCCACCTCACCATCCTTTTTAAGATACTAACAACTCGGGAAACCCAGCGGCAAATCAACCCTAATCTCAAGTCTCCTCCGACTCCTAGACCTCACCACCGGCAAAATCACCGTCGACAACATCGACATCTCACGCATCCCCCGCTCAACCGTGCGGTCTCGCTTAAACACCATCCCCCAGCAACCCTTCTTCCTACACGGCAGCATCCGACTAAATGCCGATCCCAGCGGTACTCTCGAGGACGCACCCATCATCTCCGCATTGGAGAAGGTAAACCTCTGGTCGCACGTCAAGAGCAAGGGTGGACTCGACGCAGAGTTATCAGATGACCTCCTCTCGCATGGGCAGCAGCAGCTGTTCTGCCTGGCTAGGGCTTTGTGTAAGAATAGTCGGGTTGTCGTTTTGGATGAGGCGACGAGCAGGTATTTCACCCCCTTTTCTAATCTATCCTCGTCTTTCTCCTTGTACTGATGATTGTAGTGTGGATGCCGAAACAGATAAACTCATGCAGCAAATCATCCGCACAGAGTTCAGGGAGAAGACTGTTATTGCGATCGCGCATAAATTGCATACCGTGCTGGATTTTGACAAGGTTGTTTTTATGGAGCGGGGGCGGGTTGTTGAGTTTGATCACCCTGGGGCGCTTCTTCAGAGGGAGGGGTCGGCTTTTAGAGGGTTGTTTGAGAGTTTCGAGAGGGGGGTGGAGTAGATGGATAGTGTGATTCCACCCATAGATGATCAATGGATTATTGACCAATTTTGTTGGGTGGTGAGACACTGTGGACTGTTCATGCAATCAATCCAAAGGTCAAGGAGCTTGTGTGTGGGCTATGTTGTCTTGATCCTTGCTGAATCATATAATTATCTCTTACCCTGGCCTTTCTCCCTCGTCCGCCTAACACCTGGAGAAAAGCAATGATTTGTGACGGATGAACCTAGGAATAGCCTCATCTCGTGGAAGGATGCCTGAGGCATAATTTTGGGTCGTTTGCACTACGCGTTTGCTGGTGCGCGTTTGCTGGGTACTTAAGCCCTCTCTTTCTGGCCGACTTTCTTTCTTTCTCCTTCCTACTTCATCATCGAGATTCTCATCCTGTAGGCACCAAATGAATCTGTTTCTTTCGAACGGCCCGTAACAACAACTGGGAGTCTTTATGATCCACTTCAATGCCATCTCCGGTACATACGACCACAGGGTGTTGAGAACAGGGCTTCCCGTCCGCTCAGCCGTACTTAAGCCACATGTTATCCGCAGTCAATTTCCAAAAAACCTCGATCTTTAAAACAGCGTTGGATCTCACCCTAGGGAGAGTGTGGGTGAAATGGGTGAGAAATTTTTAGACCAGGGTGACAGGGGTGAGAACGGGTGTGAATTCTCATTCTGGCGACAGGCGCAGTTCCTGATAAGTGCTGGTCAACTCTTCTAGCGCCGGCTGAACCCCTGGCGCATAATGATTGCTGCCAAACTGATCGAGATATCCTTCGGTGTTGGGGTTTGGGAAAAAGAATGTTTAATGTCCGGTATCATGACCAAACATCAGAGGCAAAGGACAGCGATGGTTTATTCCTGCGTTTGGTGGCTAATGAGATACAAAAGTTAACTAAATGGAATACCAACTAAACCTGATCGAAACGACGGACGCTGGTAACGAATGAGCATTGCAACAAAGAAGAGTCATGGAAACAAAGAGCATGATTCCGTACCAAGGTTAGTTCTCTCCAGTGCCAGCACAGCCTGCTATTGTAAATCGAGCCTGGGCGAAGGCTACATGCGATGGGGAAAATGGAATGGTGGGCGATCTGGCAAGATCTTGCCGGAAAAAGCTATGGGCCCATAGGCAGGTGCACCAGTTGAATCAGAACAGGACCTTAATTGTAAATTACGGCTGCCCAGCTTATTTGTAACCGGCTAATGAATAACTAACCTATTATCTCTTCCTGACGTGTTTTCTCGACACAGCAGATATTCCGTTAAAGTGGGAATTACCATAGATCTGTTCCATCTGATAAATTGAATGAGGTTTTGAAGTTTGCATGATTGAATTAATGGCAGAAAAATGCGGTCAAATCGGGGTCGTAGACTTTTGCGGCTCCACTGTAAAAAGGGGAAGGTAATGAAGCTGAAATGAAGCTGGGACCATCTTCCTAGTGGTAAATTTACTGTGTGCCGTTGGTTTTCCCGGTGGATCCCACCTGGATCAAGATTTCGCAGGTCAAGTTTGTCCTTCTGCCATACAAAACCTCATCAGCCCCCACCCTCCCCTCATCTCGCATTTTTATATCCTTCACCCAAAAATAGCGACTTGATGGTGTCTCAGACGTCTTCGATAGAAAGGCAAAGTCCTTGGCTTGCAAATCTCCCCACGGAAATCGTCTTAGTTATTTCATCCTTTTTGACCAATCGGGATCGCAAGTCGCTGCGTTCGTCATGCAGAGCACTGAACAAAGTTACTCCGCTCTTTTTCTCGAGGGTGTTTCTTTCTACAAATCCGTTGGATATTGAGGTATTTTGCGCCGTTGCAATCCATCACACCTTTCGGCATCAGGTCACCGAAATCATCTGGGACGATGCACGTTTCTTGCCGGAGCCAGTAATTCCAGAAGAGGAATGGCGTCCATATATGGACCGTGAAGACCTGGAGATGAACCCAGACGAAGAATGCCCGAACTGGTTTGTGGAAGGATGTGAAGAGAATATCGATCTGCTGAGGAGGCGGAAAGGTGACGATGTCGATCGACCCGATCACATTGCTCGTCAGAAACAAATTGACGCGCAGATGCCGCTCCGACAATGCTGGGAGCTTTATTCAAAGTTATTGAAAGATCAGAATGAGGTTATCGACTCTAAAGCCGACGAGAAAGCATTTATCCTGGGCCTGCAGCAGTTTCCACATTTGAGAAGAGTGACGGTCACACCGGCAGCGCACGGCTGGCTCTTTGCCCCCCTGTACGAAACTCCCATGATCCGCGCATTTCCATATGGATTCAACTATCCGATTCCACGGGGATGGCCTACGGTTGATTTTCGGGAAGCGGCGCAGGACCCGGTTCCATGGTCAGAGGCAACGGAGGAATACAAAGACCAATGGAGAGGCGTTCGAATCGCTCTTCGTATTTTATCACAGCATGACCATCGTGTCTCGGAATTGAGTTTCGACTCAAAGCAACTCATAACTGGCATCAACTTCATGATATTTGCCCAGCCATGCGAGGAATGCGAACACTTCACAGCGATTATGAAACGCCCGGCTTTCAAACACCTTGACCTGCCTCTGCTTGTTGGACATCAAGGATATGGTGGCTGGGAAGGGCTAAATAGTGGCAAACTCTATCAGGCTTTGAGTGAGGCGAAAGAGCTCACTTATATCAGTTTTTCAACCTCCGTGCTGGAGGGACCAATTCCCGATGTCCCTCCTTTGAAGAAAATCTTCCCAGTTGAGCATTGGCCAGCACTTTGTCATTTTGGGCTCTCTCATTTTTGCGTCGTTCAGACAGATCTGATGGAACTACTCAAATCATTCCCAAATACCCTGCGATGTGTGGAGCTCAGCTTCCTACATTTTGCCGATGCTGGACTTGGTTGGAGGGAATTTCTGGATAAAATGCGCCAAGAACTCGATTGGTCTGAGCGAGATCCCCATGTAAGACCGAATGTTCTCAGTATCATGGAAGGATATAACCCGCCTTTTGTTGGCCAGGGTGTTTGGCTTGAAGATGAGACTACTAACTTTCTGTATGGTTCTGGTCAAAACCCTATGGTTGAAAATGCTCCATATTCCCCTGAATTTGGATATGGGATGCTACGGGACCTTTTCGAGCCCGAATATACCCGGCCCAATCTCGATCATACAAGGCTGTCGGAGATGGGTATCACGGTACGTCTGTGGTAACAAAGAATGAACTATGTTGCGATCTAGCATGTAGATGAAACAAGCTTCTAATAAAGTAGCCGTAACCCATTTCCATGGAATATCAAGCTAGTCGTGATAGGAGATACCTATCAAAGCATCTAACTGCTCTTTCTCGTGGCTGTTGCGACTCCCTCTATCTGCGAAGTACTGATACTTGCTGTACCAACGCAAACATACTCTTTTGCTTGTAGGCCAGCACAGTTCGACTTGACCGCTGGGTTCCAGTCGTAGAAGGAAGGAAGAGGAATATCGTTCTCGTTGGCGATATCACTGCAAGAGTCGTCGGCTAATACCTTGTAGAACTTATCGCAGGTAGATATAATGCCCGTTTGAATGGGATAGGGCGTCACAATATCGGTTCCTGTAGTTGCCGCTTTGATGCCCACACAGACGTACTCATTTGTCTGCAAGCCGGAGCAGTCGGACTTAACCGCTGGATTCCACTCGTAGAAGGAGCCCGGGGAGATATCGTGATTGGTGGCGATGTCGACACATGAATCATCTTGACCACCTTGTAGAAGGTGTCGCACGTAGAAACCATGCCAGTTTGGATTGGAGATGGTGTAGAGATAGCATTTCCAATCGAGCTCGGAGTTTGCGTCTGAACGCTACTGGCTTCCAGGCTGGAACTCCGTCTCCAGGCTGGAGGGCCAACAGGATACCCGCCCGCATGGGTTGAGAGACAATAGTTTGTACCAATGCTCAGCCCGCTACAGTCCTTGCGCACAGTTGGATTCATTGCGTAGAGATTGTCCATACTGAGACCGTAGGTATGAAGAATGATATAGCAAGTATCGTAGGTTTCCAGTGGGGCAACCCACATGGTACAGTTCGCGATTTCACCGTGAGCACGAGGACTAGGTGTTTTGACGGCATCCTTTGTTCCTATGAAACCAATATGAGTTAGTGATATGCAGCGTACTTTTTATTTTCCGTCTTACCAGTAGAGGTAGGCTTTGAAAGCAGAGCGCAATATGAGCTGCTCGGATCTAAGGTGCAAGGGTAGTCAAATGAATTCTTGATATTAGTTGTCGTCGCCATTGATGTTGCTGATATGCGTTGAATTGAGGATTTCGACTCTCGCTTCGAAGTCAAGGTAGGATTCCAAAGAACAAGTTCCTGCTTTTCATTAATCTCCAAGAACACGAAGAGAACAGAAACACTAAATTAACGTCTCTTGTAATACCCCAAACCCATGCCAAATTCCAACAATCAGCAGCTTCGTTGTCCGTGACATTTTGGAACCACGTGTATCTGCACAAAGGTCAATACATGCCCGCCAGACATATGACCGAGTACCTACTTTTCACAATCCTTGCGGGATCCGCTTGCCAGCGGAATGATTGGCCGAGAGGCAGAATGGTAGACAGGACGAGATCCATTACGTGGTAACGGAATGGAAGGCGTTTCGTTGAATCCCACCGTTGGAGTAGCCGAGATTTCTCCGTAGCCCGGATAAGTCGCAATGTATCCCACTGGCTCCACGCAATAGTAAGTGTCGGCTTGGAGATTGGTGCAATTTTCGAAGAGTCCAGGGTTCAAAAACAGACTATATAGATTGGATTATATTGTTCCATTGTTTCAGTTAATTTCACTCACAGATCAATTCTGGAGACGCTGTATTCCTCCACTATTCCTGTGCAATTCTCTCCTTTGGCAACTTTGTGGTATTCACCACAGCGAGAGGTTGTTTTGTCCCCTGTGGGAGAAGGAATGGAGCTGAGAAACATAAATCAGTATGGCTTCATCCAAGCCAATGATACAATAAGCACAGACGCTGTAGTAGTGATAATGGATGACATGCCCGAGAGGCCATAGTTGCCGTTTGGGTTGCTGACACAAATACTGCTGTTGACCAGGCTTTGAAGGTTTCTATTATTTGGTGAATTTAGCAGACTGCGGTATCATATTTGTACATTTCCACATACGAGCAGACAGTATTTATATCAGAGTTCCAAGACAGAAGCTGTGCGTAGGTGATATTTTGGGACTTTCCAATGCTGGAGCAGGTATCACCGGACTGCACAGTGTGGGTTTTGCAGCTTGAGTCGGAGCGAGGGAGGACAGAAAAGAGAGACGCCTGGGCTCCAGCGATAATACAAAGTCTGTAAACTACAGCCCTCATCTTTGTTTGTTCCCCTCGTTGTCGGAAGAGTAAAGACAAAATAAAAAAAGAAAGAGTTGCTGGAGCTCAGCGACTCAACAAGGTAAATATTCATTCAACCGGAAATCCAAAATGAGGAATATCCTCCCTCCCGATCAAGCCAAGAAATGCCAATCGGCAGCACGTACAGATCCAGAGCGATGTAACGATGCTAAATTTCGGAAACTACTCCGTACTACGGAGTCGTATCCGTACTTCTGCGTTATCATGAGAATCAAGACCTACCCCTGCTGGCCTTTACCCCATATCGGTGAGCTTGCTCGGTTAGTCGAGTCCCGCTTAATTGAGATGATGTCTTGAAAGTTAAGTTTTACTCGACAAACAGCAACATGGGTTACAGTCGGGAAAGACGAACCCAAATTTAGGTCAAAAGACACAGAGATGTGGATTTTGACCCGTTCGCATAGTAACCGGCCCCACGTAATTTCCAGCTATCAGCGATGACGAGAAAATCTCACTTGAAGGCCTGACTGTTCATAGTGGCCAAGTTGGGGGTTTCATGACCTTCGATCCATATCTGCAGGTCAACTATCAGATGGGCATCCTTAAAAACATAGAAGTTCAATTCACAGACGCCGAGGTGCATTTCAACGGTCTTCTTACAACCCGTGTCTTGACAGATCTTGGCAATCTCACTGGCTATTATCCATCTCCTACTGAAGAAGAGATCACTGCCGATTTTGAGGGTCGTGCAGACAACAAGATTTCTACTGGCTCAGAAAATATTGTCCACGATGTGTCCGGTGCCGGCGGGAAGATATCACTGAGCACATTCATTCGCTTTGGTATGGGTATCAAATTCACGATGCCTTTCTCATATATGGATGTAGATACGAGCAAAATCACAAGAAAAGGAGACGTGAGTATGACAGCCTGCAATTTTCTTTGATATCTGATACAAATTAACAGTCTGTAGATGGGTATGGCATATGACAATTTGGTCACTTTCGCATTTTACCCTGGAGACGATGAGGATGAAGATGCTACCCCTTGCTTGGATTACAATGTCACGTAAGCTCGCCATTATTTGCTCGAGCCCATAGAATGCATTTGCTAATGAGTTTTCTTTTTATAGTACTGCCATCACCTAGAGTGTCTTTGACGGGTATGGCTTTGTATCTTCAAGGTTGGAGCATATTACATTTTACTAACCGGCGTTTTATTCGAAGGGACTTGATGGGCTGGGACACCTCGAGTGTTCAGCTAGGATTTGAAGAGGTAAGGCAATGCTTGGTCCAAGACATTAAAACCATAACGTTTACTAAAAGCCTCCAACAGCGATCTCCAAGCGATGGGCAAGTTTGCTACCCTAGCCAGAAAGATTCCACTTCTAGCTTGAAACGAGAAATCGAGGCTGAAGAGCCTGGACAACTTCTCACGGATCAAGACATTCCGGACAATTCTTACATTGAGATATATCCTCGCAAAAACGTCATTTCCAAGCGAGGGGGTATCGGGATAACGGGTTGGGACGACCTCGTTCTAATGGAAGTCCAGGAAGCCCCAACACTTTTTTCGCAGCACTTGGCGACGATATATCGGTCCTTATAAGCAAAAGTCCCTCAAGGTCGGCTGCCCTAATGGTTATGGATGCGCTACCGAAGAAGATCCAGACGAGGTAAGCTGGTGTTGTGGGTGTGCATGCATGGACTGTCTCGGTTATTATGGGGATGATATTCCCGAGTGTGAGGAGTGTGATGACATTCCATCCGGAACCTGGCCTTACACCGGCTTCGATGGCATCATACATCTGAAGAGGGATCTCCCCGTTTCAGAAAACCCCAGCGCAGTACTGTCTTTGGTGGCCGGTCATGAATTCCATCAGTTGGAACGTCGCAGAAATGGTATAGCTACCCCTGGCTACAAGAAGGTTACTGTGTGTGGTGGAAAGTATTCAGCGGGGAAACCCGGTCAATATCCGTCGTTCCCATCAAACGCTCACTATGCCTGGGATGGAATTGAGGGCGGAAAGTGGGACCCAATATCAAGATACTGGGGAAACAGTTCGGCTTCATGTACCAACTGGGGAGTTTTTCGAAGACAAACCGCTGATACAGTTTCACTGATGCGAACGGAAACTCAGAGAGAGCTCAGTATGAGAGTACGTATATTCGTTCCTGGTTCTACCACACTGGTTCTACCACGAATCCCAAGCTAATATCCGCAGCGGAGCACGTCTTTGAGGGGCAGCTGGTCGGTTACTTTTCAACTATTGGCTGGTCCATGGCACACTCAATAAATATACCGATTGGCAAGTGACCACCGCCAATAAATTACCTTGCTCATTTACGAAGCCATGGATCATCAATCTCAATCCGGGTCACCCCTGGATATTTAGCGGTCGATCGGTTGGCTTTCTTGAGCGAATGCTCTCTGAGCTAGGTAGTGAAGGTCATCTTGACAGATTGACCATCTTTATGGGACGACCAAATTTGAAAAATGGCATCGTGAGTGTTTTCCAAGAATGCCTGTTGATGCAATTGTACTACTTCTTTATTAACACTCGCTAACACATTCCATTAGCTATTCTCTGGAAAGAGTCCCGATATAGGTGGTTTTTCGGATATGAGCGACGACCAGCAAATTTTGGCTGCCAAGGAGCTGGGTATGGTTTTCAACTACATGAATGAAGATGTAATATGGGATAAATTTTGCGACACTTACGAGGCCATGCGAGACTTACTTGGGGATTTTCAAGCCTTCTATCGGAGCAACCCCAGCCCCAATCTACCTCAAGCCAATCTCCCAGACCTACAAAAGGAATGGGAGAATTTCATTCATGCTTCTCTCGAACAGATTGTTCACAACGGAAGAGTGTCATTTGATTCAATGAGAGACAACAAGTACGTTGACGTTGTCGCAAAATTCGCTTCTTGGTTCTAACTTGGATTTTTAGGTCTCCTTATAACCCTTACTGAGTATTGAAATGGACCCAGCTTCGTCATTTGAACAGACAACAGATTCGATTGAATAAGGGGTGCCCAAACCTGAGAATGTAGTCACTCTGATAGATTCTTGACTTATCGGCTACTCAATACGATCTGCTGTTCCTTCGCTATAATGGCCCTTCTCTATCCTAAGCTGAAGGAATCATTCAATAATTATCTTCGCTATGGGAACTGGTCACTCTCAATTCAAGATGGTTAGCTCTAGACAGAACAGAGTTCTGTAGTTTCAGTCGCGGTCCTGAAGTTTACGAATATGAATTGAGACAGCTCGTGAATATTGTGATGAGTTCAGCGATTGGTCCAATCTCAACGTGCAATTTACATGTAGTTGGTGCTTTTGCGTCTCCATATAATCCGCCCAATGATTAATGGGTCACAGAAATGGAATCTGCTGATGTGAAGTCTAAAGGGAGATGCGCATACACTACGGCGGATTTATTCGCATTTCGCCGCCTTCTTTATTTGTCATCTCAAAGCAGTTGAGAGAAACAGAACTGAGAGACTCTGAGGGGTCAGGGAGTATTAGGAAACTCACGGGCTTCTGGCTAGGTGTTTGGGTCAAAATCGGCGCCTACCTCATCTAATATCAGGGGACCAGCAATTAGCTGCCTCTTGTGTAGAGTACTATAGATTCTACACTTAAAGTCAATCAACGATTATCAGCTACAGCCCGCAGAATATATGATCTTTACGTTGATTCCTGACATAAATCTGTTACGGCGTTGTTGAACGGGTGTTGCAAATCTGCCATGACTTCTACTATTGCCACACCCACTTGGCGTCTGCAAATAATGACTATGGTTTGTCCGGCAACCTCTCCGTCGGTGGCTATGAGGATCTCTGGGATGTTGTGTCCAAGATCAGCGCCACTGTTCGCAACACAGGATCTGCGGAATAGTGCGGAGTTGCCTCAGCTCTACATTAGCTACCCGAAGTCGGCTCAGCAGCATCTAGGCCAGCTGCGTGGGTCCGAGAATGTGGATCTCAAGGCTAGAGAACAGTCGTCGGTGGAGTTTGAGCTTCGTCGCCGCGATCTCTCTTACTGGGATGTGAAGGCTCAAAAATGGGCCGTTGCTCCTGGTACTTATACTGTTTATGTCGGTGCCAGCTCGCGGGATCTGCGACTTCACGGTACCTCTGAGCTTATATAGAATTACGTCGCGACACCAAGTGACGGTGAATTTGTGAACTGATCAATATTGGACGTGGAAAGGGTCTGATCGGCGTGGCAGGAACGGATCATATGATTATTACCATAGTCAGCAGTTGGGGCCGGAAATGTGTCTCACTTTAGTTACCACCCATCGTCACTTGCGAAATCTCGTCCGCGGTGTGCCAGTGACTTTCACTTGCTGCTTCCAGTATCGGAATCTCCACCCCGCTAGCCCCTTACGGTCACCCTTAGTTTGGTGTCGTTCACCAGCGAAACTTACAATCTAAACCCGCTCCCACTCAGTGGATAAATAACTGGCCAGATTCACATCCGCTGTCCTGAGACCCAAAGTTCTCCCCATCCGCTACACGGATCATGGAGCATTTATTTCCTGGTTTCGTCCGCGTTCTACGGAACCTGGATGATGCTAATGGCTTGCTCGCGACCTTTCAAGAATTTGAAAACAACCCCTCGGCTCTTAGTGCAGAGGATCGCATTCGGCTCCTCGATTTTCCTGACCTTGCAACCCAAGTCGCAAACATTGCTGCCACAGCTTCAACAACCTTGAATAAGCAGGACTTCTTAAAGAAGGGTGCCGAGTCACCCAGAGATCTAACTTCCTCCGAGATTGCTTTGTTGAAGAGTCGCTACTGGGGAAAACTTACCTTCGATGAAAGCGTGGCATTTGAGGATGCTCTGGGTACATTGTCCGATGTCTCCTATGGGCACCGCACGGAAACCTTGGAACGCATGCAGAATTTCCAGAGTCATCTCTACGAGCAGTATGAAGCCAAGGCAATCGAAAATGCGTCTGATGAAGAGGTTCGACGAATTGAAGAAAGGCTCGAAGCTCGGAAACAAAAGGACGTGGAGAAAATGTTGCAAAAAGGGCAGCCCTGGCTGCGTCAGCTATGGCAAGAAGATCAGGATAAAAGGCCGTGGGGTTATGCGATATTTGAGAATCCTCAATGGAAGGCAGAGAATCCCGATCGCTGGGAACAGTATAATCGAAAGTTGTCGCATTCAATGCACATGGCTTTTAGCGCGATAGCCTCCGGTTTCACGATCCAATCGAGATACTGTGTTGAGCGTCTAGATTGGCCTCCCGAGACGCCTACTGAAGACGAAAAGTTTCCTATGATCTTGAGCGAATTACGGAAGCAGTTCAATTATCTCCGATCGTACCCTCCAAAAAGGAAATATCGTATCTTATGAACGATATGGCGTTGGGGAGCATTGACTCTATGCCAGAGGGGCTCACAGAGGGGACTCTGCGGAATGTTTTTCTATATCTAGATGGCGATTCTGCAGCATCTGTTCTGGAAAACCGGTTAGCAAATGATTTTTGGATCTGGGCTGTCGACCCAGACTACGTGGAAGACACTGAAAACCAAAGCTCCAGTGGATATCAAGGTTATCTGCGCGTTCGTCTTCAGCAGCTTATTCACAATTTTTACGTCGCCCGGCGTTGGCATACCGATACGGTCTCCCTGAAAGACTTGTGGAAGGCAGCGCAGAAGGATCCTCACAATGGCTCGTTTGTTTCATTGAAAGATGAGGAAATATTTTCTCAAGACTCAACTTGGGAAGTTGCAGCCGCCCTTCGAACACCATTTGCAAGATAGTAAGCCTCCGATTGATTGTACTTATTTGAAGCCAATAGAGTGGACACAAAGCCTTTTGGTAGTTTAATACGCGTTCTACCAAGCCGAATAGGTGTAGATGGAAATTGCTTGGCTAGTACGCCCCTTCCCCTGGGAAGGTCCCTGGATTCTCAAACTAGCGTAGTAGTACAACGACAAGAAATATCACCTGAAAAAGCAGTATCCTATTTGCACATGCTGGAACTCGTTCCAACACAGTATGCGTCTCCGGCTATGAGCCCTTGGCATTCACCCTTCTTCGTGTTGAGAGCCAGGTTCATTTTGTAAAAGTGGCCTCAGCAGCTCGTCCGATTGGACTGGTAGTTGCATCAGCGGAAATGATGGTACTGTAGATTTGTTACTATTTCCTTGAATAAATTACTGATACGAGGCTCAAAAGAAAAGAATCAATTAGACACGTAGTGTAACAGGCTTCCGCCAAAAGAGATATATGCAAAGAAAGCAGCTCTACGCTGTACACAAACGAGACCATTCAAAATAAGACCACTTCACCCAGAACATCCACACTTCACTTCATTCATGAGAGAATCATTTCGAAGCGGGCAACTCCGACTCAAGCGGAAGTCTCCGCGACGAATTTCCAACATACACCTTCTTCTGCGCAGGAGTAACTACCCAATTCTGTTTTGCAACATCCCAACTCGACAAATCGCGGCGGGTAAGAGTAGTAGTCCACTGTGCCTTCTGGCCAGGCGCAATGGTGATCCTGTCAAACGCACGCAGGACCTTAACGGGGTTATTCTCCCCGCCCAGACTAACGTACAACTGGGGAACTTCGTCGCCCTGCACAGAGCCGGTGTTGGTAATTGTCACGGTAACCTGGTACAGATCCTCGAAGAGACCCGCATTACCGCCGTTGGCACCGCTGGATGGGAGGCGGGTTTGCGCGGAGCCGTTGGTTGCGCCGGCGGGGATGTACTCCTCTGTCTTAGCGCCGTAGTAGGGGTCGCCGGAGGAGGACTTGAGGTTTGTGCTGTTCAGGTAGGGGTAGAGGTATTGGGTGACACGGTGGATGCCCTTCGGGAAGAGATAGTCGGATGCCTGGCCGATTTTGCCGAAGACGGGGGCAGGCTTGGTTGTCCCCGTTGTCGGGACATACTTGTCTGCGTTAAGGGACTTGATGTGCAGATCGCTGAATTCGAAATTCGTGTAGCTGAGTCCGTACCCGAATTCGTAGACAGGCTCTTCCTGCTCCTTGTCGAAGCGGCGGTAGTCGATGAAGACTCCCTCTGTGAAGTCTTGCTGCGGCGCACCATGGCCGTTGTTGGGTTGTGTGAGGAGCGGTGCGCCGTAGTCTTTGCGAGTCTTTCCCCAGGTGAAGGGTGTTTTGCCGCCTGGGTTCACGCGCCCGTAGAGAATGTCTGTGATACTGCGGCCGCTTTCTTGGCCCGGTAGACCGGCCCAGAGGATGGCGGTGATGTTGTCGTGCTCGTACCAGTCGCTGATTAGGACGGCGCCGGGGGTGTGCATGATGACGACGGTGTTGTTGCAGTTTGCCGCAGCTGTTTTGATGAGGTGTTCGCCGTTCTTCCAGAGGGTTAGGTTCTTGCGGTCACCCTCGTTGCCGTCGACATTGATGAAGCCTTCGCCGGAGTCGGCGTTTACGAAGACGAGAGCGACGCTAAAAAGGGTCAGTGGAGATCTCAGAAAAAGGTGGAAGGGGAAACTTACCTCGACTGCGCAGCAATGGCAGCAATCTGCTCCGTGTTGGTGTTGTTGGTCACGGCAAACACATTTGTCTGGCCATTGCCATAGTTCAGAACCTCGTTCTGAATGGCTTGCTCGGGGGTAATCAGGTAAGGGAAGTTAGCAGTACCACTACCCCAGCCCATAGCAAGGGTGCCGTCATCGCAACCACGGTCCGCACAGCCATTAGCGCCAGCAGGGTTGGAACCAGCATCCTCACCCAGAATACCAACGAACTTCTCATTGTGAGTCAAGGGCAGAGCACCCTTGTTCTTCAGCAGAACGGTGCTGTCAGAGCCAAGCTTGCGGATACCCGCGGCGTGGTCGCGCTGGACATTGACGCGCTCGTTGAGCTTGATGTAGTTCTCGCTGACCATGAAGTGCTCAAAGCCATACTCATCACGAGTCCAGGAGCTGAAGTTGGGAGGGACACGGACACGGTCACGGCCGACCTTGTAGTAGGCCGACATGATGCGGACGGCCATATCGTCGATACGCCATTCGGGGACGGTACCGTTCAGCACGGAGATGGTCAGGTTCGTGCCCCAGAAGGAGTACGGGCTACCGAGGATGACATCACCGGGCATGGACATATCCAGACCAGCAAGGGTAGCGCTGACACCGCTATGGTGCGCACCCCAATCCGACATGACGAAGCCCTGGAAACCCAGCTCAGCCTTGAGCAACCTGTTCAAGGTCTCGCTGTTCTGGCATCCATAGCTGTTGTTGATCTGATTGTACGAGCACATGACAGAGCCGACACCGGCGCGGATAGAGTCGACAAAGGGCCAGAGGTACAGTTCGTGCATAGTCTTGTCGTCGATGTTGGAGCTCACACTCTCAGTGATGTTGTACCCATAGCCCTGAGCCTCGCCCGACTGGCGGAAGTGTTCCTGCTCGTTTCCGATATAGTGCTTGGCGCAAGCAATGACACCAGCATCCTGAATACCCTTGATAGTCTCCGCCATCATAACACCGGTGAGGACAGGATCAGGCGAGAACCCTTCCCAGCCACGGCCGCCATCGGGGCTTCGTCCCAGTGGGCCGGCCACAGGACCGAGCTGCACATCGACACCCTTGTCGCGGTGCTCCTCGCCCATCGCCAGACCACGCTGGTAGGCGAGTCTCTTGTCCCATGTGGCGGCAACATTGACGCCCGCGGCGAAACCGGAGTTGTAGTCACCTTTACAACGATCAGCATTCTGCTCGGGTATTCTTCGGACGTGAATAAAAAAGGTATGCTTACTGTCGCGGATGCCCAGGGGCGAGTCTTGCAAGCACATGCCCCACATTCCCAGTCTATTTGATGGTTCCTGTCAATCATTCCATTCCTCGCGCGTGGTTCAATTCTTCCGAGACTCACCGGGGAATACCACCCGTCTCCCCGACGCAGCGTTCTTGCTCCCAGCCCGCACCAGTGGTCAAGTTGACCTTTTCAGCCAGTGTGAGGTTGGAGACGAAGTCGACGGCGCGGCGGTAGGCCTCGGCCCAGTCGCCCTCGCCGGTCATCCACGGGGACGGATAGTACGGGGGCGAGTATGCCAGGTCCTGTATGGGAGCAGTTAGTTAACCCTCGCGATCAATTGAGAGGCTTTTTCAGTCACGCAATGGACTCACCGACGCAGTGGCGGCCGAGGCGGCCGTCAAGACGGCGGCTTCGAGCAACCCGAGCTTCATGATGCTGGGCAGTGGGCAGGTTCAGGAGTAAAGTCGAAGTGAGTACCCAGAGTAAAGTACCGAGTCGACGGAAGCTGGGCGAGAGCTGGGCGCTGAACTGCTTGAGCAAATTGGGGACGGGGGAAGGCCGATTTTAAAGGGCAGCAGGGATGTTTACAGAGGAAGCGGGTCCATCGCGATCCACCGCCGACGCGGGGAGTTGGGGAAGGGATCGACATGGTGCCTCAGCGTAGGGGAGAATAAGAGACCCTCTAGTATGTACTCTGGGACTGTTGGTGAGTACTGCCACTCTCTAGTGTCATCTTGGTTATTTGGAACATCCAATTGCATGATCGAAACAAAAAAGGAGATTTCTCCCTGGGGGCTGGCTACGCGAGGGCGCTCCCTTGAAGGGCGAGTATGCCAACCTCCCATGACTAAGACACTTCTCACCGCAGCTAACTACCTCCACCACCTGCACACCTTCCACGATATACCACCCTGATCTACTAGTGCGATGTACTCGGCTACCTCTTCCCGATTCCTGACCGAGAACGAGCCGGCCGCCTAAACTTCGGCACTCACTGCGACGCTTACTCTCCACTTTGCGCTGGTCCGCTAATTCTCCGTCTGGAATGCCATTTACAACCGCCACTTTCTCGAGCCATCCTGTTCCAACACACTGTGTAAGTCGTGCTACAAAGAGAATTCTACTTGATATATCTTCTCTCTTCCCATTAGATTGCGTCTTGTCGACCAGTCTCCAAGGTCCAAAGACACATTGAAATCCCTCGCGGCATCATAAAGATCATCGCCTATATTTCCCAATGGGGAAATTCCCAATTTCCTTTTTCCCGAACACCGGCACAGGCCATCGCAGCAGCACGGCAGCACTGCTTTGCTAGTATAGCCTAAGAAACCGGGAAGGCGTGGTGGTTCCCACATGGCTGATGGCTTATGCTCAAGCCATGGCTGGCGGTCAATGTGCCACGGCGCGACCCGTCTCTACCTTGGTACATTCTATGTGAGCAGAAAACAACAACAAAACATACAGCAGAATAACTGGTCACATTACCATGGCACTCACCATGGAAAGAAATCAATTGTCACCCGTTGATTACTCCCATCCCATATATCCCATCTCCTGCAAATGAGGGGTTGCGGAGACCGGGGCAACCGGGGAAGTGCGGGGCTGCAGGCATGCCGATGCACTCCGGATTGCCCAACTCATCACTGTTCCCTCACTCTAACCCATACTAACCAATTCCATGCTAGGTCTCCTCTTGGCTGGCGCAATACCTGCATGCCGAGATGCCGTGCCTTGTCCTCTCAGGGTAGCAAATGCCGGCTGAATCGCATCTCAATCACGCCCTACTCTACTGGCTAACCCGATCTCACTCCGGTCAAATACCGACTGACCCCTCTCGCTTGGTGGTGCCATGCACCATTATTAATCACGTCTCTGAGTGTTCCCCCACGCTACTCCGGATCGAACAGCATCCCCGCAGGCGGCCTGAACAGTACCTCTGCTCGATGCAACTTGGCCAACATCCAAACGTAAATTCGGAATCAATTGGCGTAGCTTTACGATCGGTAGACGGACCGATGTCGCGGTCGATCTTCGCCTTGTTTTGTGGTGGAACTCTCACTTCACAGCCACGCATGGCGTTGTCACTGTCCCACATCCCACGTCTGTCCGGTTTCCCATGTGGAGGGTGGAGGTGTTATTGGCATGATGCTGGTGTGGAAGGGCGCAAATTTTGTGTCTGTTGTTGTTTGTAGTCGGGTATCCACGACTCCGATTCGGCTCTGTTGGCCTTGTTTTTTGTGTTTTGTGTGATGATACTGACGTCGGAGTTTCTGTGGTTGCTCAATGTCAATGGAAAATTGCCTTCGTTTTGCTACTTCTTCTCTACCTTCTAGCTATCAGAATCGTTCATCGCGACCTTCAAGAAGAGCTGTTTATATATCCAGACGTTGTTGAGATGAGGGATAGGATCTGGAGGGAATCGCTTAAGCCAGCAAGGAAGTAATATTGAAGATGTCTAATAATCTAAGATAACCCCTGAGTGGAAGTGTGCATAGCACACTTCCCGAAGGTCCGCGTTACCGTATAAGGCTAGTGCGACTCAAGGAGGATGGCATAGTAGCCCTCATGGCCTCAGTGGCATTGAAGACTGCTGAAAACTCAACAGACGTAGCTACAATGTACCTGCCAAGCAGGTCAAAAGCTCACCACACCTCCAAATCATCATCCAGCCCTCTAAAAAGCAACTCTCAACTCTCCTGCACTGGCTCCTACCTCAAATCCCCATCAACGAGCGACCAATGTCCAAACTCTCCTTGCTCACCCCATCCCTCAGCCCTAACCAATGCCAATTCCTAGCTCTCCCGTCAAAAATGCTGGAAGTCTTCAGGCGCGCATGGGACGATATATTCTTGTTAGACGAACGATTAATTTGGACGGAACTTTTGTTGTAGATCAGACGAAAGATGATACTAATGCTTCAGATACGGTAGTTTGAGCTGGATGTATAAATCGCTTGCGGCGGTGGAAATAAGATAATGGAAGGACGGCGGTGTTGGCGAGAGGGAGGCGGTCTGGTATGTCGCAAACGAGAATCTCGCGGCATGAGTTGTAGTTGGAAGCCGCCGTTTGTTGCTTTCTTGGTGAGGAGGGAGTCGCATTGGCTGAGACCAGACTATCAGAAGGAGGAATGAGGACCTTTCATTGAAGTAGAAATTTGAACTTACGCTATCAATCATTGACCGAGCCGGATGATTGTGCCGGCGATGTCGGTTCCCAGGATTGCCGGGTAGTTCAGTTGGGCGTAGGGGTGGTTTTGCATCTGGATAGTAATAGTGTCAGATCTTTCTTCATTTTGAGTGTTTGGATCAACCTACCTTCCAGTCGTTGGAATTGACTGCTACATACGCGACCTTGATTACTACCAGGCTGCTTCGTTGAGAAGGTGGTTATTTTGATTTGGACGTTGGATAGTAAATTTTGGGGTTGACTGAATTTAAACAATGAATGTTTTTTTTTCATGACCCTCTTATAGTCCAGAGTGATTGCTGCTCATCTTCACAGTTCGGAGCTGGATAGTCCGGATCCGACAATACGGATCCGAGGGTCTCTTGTTCAATGTTGGCGGCTGCCATTTGGTGCCGGGCTGAGTTTCTAATGCTTTTCAAAATTGGGGTTTTCTTTCGCAATGTTCATTTTGGTGTGGGTAGTAGCTAGGTAGCTGCGGTTAGATCTGAGGGCTAAGCATGATCTACTGTATCTTGTCAGCCAAGCCGCTATACCCGATCCTCACCAATCGCGCAGAAGCGATACCAGGCATTGTCTCGTCCAATCACATAATTACACAGCTTCCTTCGCGTCGACTGATCAAAAGAATGTGCGGTGGTCATGCGGACGCAGACCAATCACCGAGCGCAAATGACGCGAACCGATACGACCTCGCATCATCCGCATCCCCGCATTGCAATCAGCTGCCTGGGGACCTTGCAGCTTATCTCCCCCTCGCTCACCTTAAATCTCCTCGGTTCCCTTCTTTCTGCAAATAATTTCACACGACTGAACGAAATCGCATTTCAAGAATATGGGCACTACTTATTCCAAGCCGGAGCCGGAGCCGGTCGGCGAAAAGGCTGCTATAACCAAGAGGGATGGCTTCAACACTAGCAAGATTGTTAAGCAGGAGACCAGCTCGTCAGAGCTTCGTGAGTTTATTCCACCGGATCTCCTTCTATACTTAGCATCACTGATGCTTAAATAGCTCCTCCATACCCAGCCCGGGAGCGAACTAGATCGCTAGAGATATCTCAATTATCAGACTGGAACGAGAGCTTGTTAGACGACGACAAGGTTCGAATACAACGTCCATCTTCCAAGAAGCCAAGCTCATATAAGAACCACAATAGAACCGCCTCGCAATATCCACCTTCGCCAATCAACCCTACAACCAACTCCTTACCAACAACCAAGCCCTCCAATCCGACCTCCACATCTTCAACCTGACCATCCCCATCGAAGGAGCCCCAATAACAAACCAACGCTCCTCCGGTCGCTGCTGGCTCTTCGCCTCAACAAACGTCTTCCGCGTTCCCCTAATGAAAGTCTACCAATTAAAGGACTTCGAGCTCAGCCAAGCCTACCTCTTCTACTGGGACAAGATCGAGAAAGCAAACTGGTTCTTTGAGCAGATCATCGCAACCGCCAACGAAGACCTCTCCGACCGGCTCGTGCAGAAGCTTCTCGAGGACCCCGTCACCGACGGCGGACAATGGGACATGGTTGCGAATCTCGTCAAGAAGTACGGACTTGTTCCGCACGCTTTATACCCCGACGCCTACCATGCGCAGAATAGCTCCAAGTTGAATTGGTTGCTTACTGCTAAGCTCCGCGAGCAGGCTTTGGTGCTTCGGAACCTAGCTTCGAAGGATGATGGGCACTCTGTGAATGCACTGGCTGCTAGCAAGGATCAGTTCTTGAGGGAGATTCACTCCATCGTCACTCTCTTACTTGGAACCCCGCCAAACCCGGATAAGCCGTTTGTCTGGCAGTACTACGATACCAATGGGACGGCCCGTGAAGTGCGACAGACACCCCTGGAATTCGGACAGCAGGCCTTCCGATCGCAGACTCGGGTCCTTTCACGTAGCCCCGCCGTCTCACCCGGTCGAATGTTCAGCCTCGTCCACGACCCACGAAACGAATACAACCGCCTCTTAACCGTCGACAAACTCGGCAACGTTTTCGAAGGCAGTCCACTGACATACGTGAACGTAGAAATGCAAACACTCAAGAAAGGCGTTATCGCAATGCTGAAAGCCGGCCACCCCGTCTTCTTCGGCTGCGACGTGGGCAAGTTCTCCGACAGCAAGTTGGGCGTCATGGACGCCGACCTCACAGACCTGTCACTGGGATTCAACATCTCGCTTGGAATGAACAAGGCGGAGCGATTGACTACTGGGGAGTCGTCCATGACACATGCCATGGTTATCACGGCTGTGCATCTGGAAGATGAGGAGCCTGTTCGATGGCGTGTGGAGAATTCTTGGGGCGAGGCTGCTGGTGAGAAGGGGTGGTTTGTTATGACTGATCGGTGGATGAATGAGTATACGTTCCAGGCTGTTGTGGATTCGAATCTTGTTTCGGAGGAAGTAAGGGCTATCCTGAGGCAGTCGCCTAAGATTTTGCCGCGATGGGATCCTCTGGGCGTTCTTGCTTAAGCGACAGCACTCTAAGATATGGTGAATGCTATCATGCTGAATGTATCGCACTCTTCGTGGCTAGATTGGGTAAGGGTGCTGCTTTTCTAGCTCCTAAGTTGAAGATAGCTAGATTTGAATATTGTTCATTGACAAATGCGCGCGGTCTGGCGTCCTTTCTATCGTAGATTCCCAGCCATCATGGAAGTCCATCAAGGCCTCATCTCAGTAATTGCTCGCGTTGCGGTAAAGATATCAGTGGAAATCCTGGGCGAGGGGCAGAACTCTCACCCGAGGCACGCTCAGCTATTATATACGCTTCCGAATTAGGCAAGATGATCGCTGCCGATTTTGACGTCCATCGCCGCACGATGTTTAGGACACTTGAAACGCTTCAAACAACACCTAACTGTTAATGGAGTGCCTATATCAGGCGCCCTTTGCCACTTTGGGCAGCCAGCTTCCCGATGCATCAAAATTATCACCCGAAGATATCCCTGGCTAAGCTATAAAGAGCTTACTGCTCAGGGACCAGGCCACCCCTTTAAGTCAACCATTACTCGCGTTCTACGCAGATTTGACCTGAAACGGTTCCGGGTGAGGCGCTGTATACCTATTTTGGAGGGGGTAGCACGGATTCGGAGACGTTTTTGTCAGAAATAGCAATCACAGAACCTAGGAAGGCAAGTTGGAGACATTATCTTTTCAGATGAATGTAGCATTCAACGGACGCCTAATATAAACGCTAAATATGTTACTCGACTCGAAGGAGAAACAGATAGGCATGATTTAGTCCTGATCAAACCACATGTGAAGGATATTTCCCAAATTATTTGGCCGTAACAATAGAACTAGGACAGGTTATCTCGTAAAAATATACAATCTGGGCCCTTTTCTGTGTTAGAGAAAAGCAAATGAAAGACAAAGAAACATACCGGAGTTAAGACTCCAGCATGTAGTTCACGACCCTGAAAGCCTGGCAGAAGCAAGTCGACACAATCCATCGAATCCAAAAACCCAAAATACAGCTTGTGGAATGACCTCCTGAGGGAGGCCGGGTATGACTTTCGTTAGAAATGCGGGCCTTTTCATCACATCTTCTATTCAGTCTGTTTGCTTTCAGTAAACCTGAAGAGGACATGATTTGATCACATAAGTGTTCAGATGATAATATTCGCTTGCTTGAGCTCAACGAGTTTACGGAATTGGGCTGTTCAATTGCAAATGCCGAATCGGGACCGCTGATCTGTCAATAAGCACTAAAATCCCAATTCTTTCTTCCGAGTACTCTTCTGCCTCCCAACCTGTCTCCAGCCAATGATTAATTTATTTGAAGACCGTTCCCCCGTTTCTTATGCTATGCTGTTTTCTTAAGGCAAACCTGGTTAGGTCTTGTTACACGAATTGAACAAGAGTTACAGAGGTGGAAATGATGGGTAAATAAGTAAAGCAGAGATCACTGGTATCATAAATCACTCTGTTTGAATTATTCAAAATCATCTCTAGTTAAAAGGAATCTTGGGTTCGAACTCGAACCACGTGCTTTTGGACGATTTATTCATGTCCCCACTTTCAGACTTTCAGGAATACACCTCTGGCCGACAAGGAGGCCCTCGGGAGAGTTGAACCAAGTGCCAAGCAAGGCGAACTTCCCGAGCATCTTATCTTTCTTCTCGAGCCATGCTACCTCTTCGATCCGAAATTCACGAGTCGTCAGTTCATTTTCTTCTATTATGTTCTCGATCGCTTGCTTGCTTGCGTTTTCAAGGTCGAAGTCTTTCAGTCGGGGTTCCGTGAACGACACCGAAGTGTGGCTTCACTAATTTTGTATTATTTCCCAGTTCATTCAACCCATTCAGCATTGTTGTAAGCTACTTCGGCTGGCTCGGAGTTCTTGAATTCAAATCAAGTATCCCGTCCTGGTGTTGCCAATTCCAGCAACCTGGGCGTCTTCAGCAGCGCTGTGCGGATATGATTATATTCCCGGAATTCGTGGAAAGGTATCGCCTGAAGATGTTCCCGTCATCGTCGGGATTGTCCCTTGGATCTACAAAGGGTCTCTGAGCGCGTATTAGAACACAGTTCTGGTCCTTGTCAGGACGTTGGTGGATCCGTTGGGGAGAAACACTGTTGTCGCTGGCCCCTACCGCGGCCCATGTCCGAGACAGGGGTGCTGTAGGCGTGGCTTCGTTTTGTATTGTCAAGGCTTTGACCTCTACGTGAAGCTTTCCATTTTATTCGAGGAGAAGATTCTGATCATGTTTGACTTCCTGTAGCGCAGCTTTGGTCGGTTTGATGAGTGCGATTTGGTGGTGGATGATGTCTTTCAGATCGACGATCAGCTTCAACACCTCCCGGGTGGTAATCCAGCCTGTTCCCTCCTCGGGTGCATAGTTCTCGTTGCTCCGTCCTCGTTTTTGAGTAGCTCGGCTTGGGACCATTGTCACCTTAGGTTGGAAGTCCTCGACTGAGGATTTGGTTTCCTGGGTATTTGTGGGAGGGGTCTCGGGAGGCCCCTCGGGTGCGTCCGCCATCGGTCCGGGGTTATTCTCCGCTCGATACACAACAAAACAATTTTATATCGTAGTAATAGCAACCACAACAGGCCAAAGGGCCCTTGGTGACAGGGTCGATCATTGCTCCGGAAAATACAGTTCCCGCCCAGGTGGATGCGCCTGCGGATATCCTCGCTTACTGTAGGGTGGGCTCGTATTTTATCACGCGGTTGTGACCAAAACGTAGTTTGTTTGGCTAAGATAGCGAATCATGAGCCCCGGGCCACTACTTGTGTGAGTCGTCACAACGCGGACACGACCAATTAATTAAGCTCGCACTGCGGGCGAAAATGGGGCCCAGTACCTCACTTTACCACATGGTACATATTCGCAAACGTCAAGTACTCATTGGCTTTGGTTCTATTTTAATCATGATTTGACATTATTCCTTGGCATATAAGATGGTTAGATACTTTATCCGCCGGTCACGCTTAAAGTCTGCTTTGAGGATTTGGGCAGCCGCGCGTTGGGCTGCAGCGGTCAACCGCACCCAGTCGCACCCAGTACTTCGGCGGTAACAGATAGTCCTCAAATGTGAGGGTCTCTCTTCCCACCAACCATTCTTGTGAAGTTGTGCACTCTCCTTCCGACCCTTTTCCGCCACCAATTACGTTCTTTTGTCCTACAGGAAGATACTTCCGGACAATCGAGACATACAGCACCTTTTCAAGCGCTGAAATTGGTTCTGTTCCCATGATTGATAGTTACAAGACTGGCATTACACTGCTTTTGCCTACCGCGATTCACCCTGTACCAACACAGCCCAATCGCCAAAGCAGATGGCCAACATCGACTGGGAACGGGGCGAGTCGGCAGGCTTGGTCCCTCTGCAACCCGGACATCGGCTCTTCGTGTCTGTCTACGGACCAGATCGCGTGCCCGGGACTCCAATCGTCATCTTCATCCCAGGAGTAGCTTGCAGCATCACCGAATGGGTCGTTGTCCGCCGCCTCCTCCAACCAGCTATTCGCACTCTCCTGTACGAGCGATCGGGAATGGGGCCATCGGACGAATCGCCCGAGCCTACCACAGCATCTAGCATGGCCCTCGAGCTGGACACTCTGCTCAGAACACTGGGCATTGCGCCGCCTTACGTGATTGTGTGCCACTCATACGGTGGGATAATTTCCCGGGAATTTATCGAGCTGCGCGAAAGGGACAAACGCGTTGAGGACGTGGTCGGGATGGTCTTGGTGGATGCGAACCAAGAAGAGAGTACCGCGCTCTGGCCGGACTCCAATCTCGAAGCACTCGGACAAGGGCTGGACTGGTACACCGTAGTGGGGCTCTCCAAAGCTCGGGTTCTGACAGATACCGAATGGCGAGCTTTTTTGGATGAACAAGCGAGTGAGAAGCACCAACGTACTGCAAAAAGGGAAATGGAGCACTATGTTGACAGTTGCGCGGCATTGGGCGCAAAACACCAGCTTGACCGAGATCCTCCCTTGTTAAATAGGTCTCCTGTGAGTGTTTTGAAAGGACACCCGGAGCTGGATCTGCGCAAAGCTTTTGAGGCTGGCGTTCTGGCTGGAAATGGCACTCCTGAGCAGAGGCGCCACTTCTCCGAGAAACTTGCTGCCTACCCTGCCACCCATCGGAAGTTTCAACGAGAAATACTTGGTCTGTCTAGGAACCACCGGTTTGTAGACGTCGAGGGGCACGGCCACTTTATTCATATGACAGCACCGGATGCGGTCGTGGAGGAAGTCAAATGGGTGCTGCAGAGCGTTTGAGAGGGTTTTGCGGTGGTCATTGATCGGCTTGTGAAATTTCCTTCCTATAGCATCACTGCATTTCATGGCTATTCTTTTCTTTGGGTGGTGGAGGCAAGAACACAATACCTTAGAAGTGATAAGTCATCCAGTATTGGATCGAGGCAGGTCCCCAAATCCACTACTTAACTACAAGACAAACTTTAGATTCACAAGGAAGTTGATTGATTATGTGCCTTCTGACTCGTTTATGCACACGATTCTGCCAGGCATCCATGTAGTAATGATTTTAGTGACCTTTTTTCCCTTGACAATTACACATCTGCCTACGTAGTTCTCCCAAATCTTTCCGATGCATGGGGAGAACGGAGAAAGCTCCTAGGAGCGTCAAATCTGCGATAGGCTCAATTGTACAATGAAACGAAATTGACCAAGGGCACATCTTGTTTGCGAAGGGAAAGATCGCCAGATTAGTGGCAACTTTACGATGCCAACTCTTGTACAGCGGTCGAGCTAGCGCGTTGCGTTTTATTGAACCCGCTTACTCAGATCAGGAAGCAGGTCAGGCCGACAATACTAGGTGGGTCAGGCCGCACTCCGTGGGAAGATATATTTTCCGAGTGTAGATGGTTGATTAGTAAGACATTATGATTTAATTACAGACGCCAAGAAATTCAGTGCGGCCTGACCCACATGTGGATGTCGAGGCGACATATGTTCTCGTGTGACCCGTTCTCCCGTTAATGACGTTAGTTAAGTCAGCTATCATTTCGGCCTCAGGCAACGCGTCGCCCTTTATTCCAAATCAGACATATCCGGATCAGACCATCCGCATAAACATCATCCTCTGATCTATCGTCGCCCCTTCGCCAGGCCACAGTTACTTTCAGAGTATGCAGCATGCGATCAAAAATAGACAAAATCGCCGAACCCATCCACCGGAGCCCTACACGTGACCCAACGTCATGAAGTCACAACGCCAAGGAATCCAAGACAATGCCCAGACTCGATCGCGAACAATTTTCAATCCAAAAAACCCCAAATACAGGAATCAATGAGTTACCAACTCCTCGTCAGACCAACTCCCTCTCCCTAACATGGCAGGAAGCTTCCTCGCATACCACGAACCTGGCAGTGAGTCTTACCTTTGCAAGTCTAGTCTGAATCCGGAAACGTTAACCATAGCAATGCAGTCGTCGAAATTCTGATAATCGTATCGTTTTTCTTCTTCCTCTCGCTAGCTGAATGGGTTTCTGCCAAAATTATTCGCGCAGGCATTATTGGTCAGATTGCTGTTGGGATTATTTATGGGGAGCCCTTGGCGAATATTCTTGAGAGGTCTTGGCAAGATACATTTCTTGCCGTGGGATATGTTGGGTTGATTTTGATTATTTTTGAAGGTTAGCTGCAGCGTGCTGGGGTTTTAAATATTAGTGTTGTCGCTAACTTGACGATTCTAGGTGGTCTGCAGATCAGACTTGATCTCCTCAAACAGAATTTCGTTCTCAGTGTCTTGGGAGCTGCTACGGGTGTCTGCTTTCCAATTGGTCTCTCTTACTTATTGTTGTATCTGGGATATGGATATGGTGAGCTTGCCCCTGCATATTGTCGCTCACATTGCTTTACTAACTGGAAAGGCGCCGTGGAAACATTCATTGCCGGTGCTGCGCTCTCCGCAACCTCCCTGGGCACGACATTCTCCGTCATTTCCTCGGCATCCAAGGAGGTAGATCTCTCGCAGACCAGAGTCGGCTCAGTCCTCGTTAGCGCTGCCGTCATCGACGATGTCGTCGGCCTAGTATTGGCAAGGTAAAACCCCCTCAACATCTACCTCATTCATTCTTACCCGACTAACCTCATGAACAGCGTCATCCACGACTTGGGCGCACTCTCAGACTCAGGCCAGGGCCATCCAAACCTCGGCTGGATAATCGGCCGCCCAATCGTCGCCTCAGCAGCAATGGCAATCGCAACCCCAATTCTAACAAAGTTCCTCTTCGCGCCAATCTTCCGACGATGGATCGAGCACACCTTTGCGAAATACGACCACATCTCCAACATCACCCTGATGGTCCTCGTTCTCTCTGCATTCATCAGTATCGCAGCATATGCAGGAACGTCAGTTTTGTTCGGGGCTTTCCTTGCCGGGACATTCCTCACTTACTTGCCCAGCAAACATCCCGACGGGCCTTTTGTCGTCATGAGTCGCGAGGAGGGCGAGAGAGAGGCGGATAAAAGTCCCACTTTTGTTCATACGTTTGAGGCGTATCTTCTTGATGTACAGAAGTATCTTATGGAGCCGCTTTTCTTTGCCAGTGTGGGCTTTGCGATTCCTTTTTTGAAGCTTTGGACTGGGAAAAGGATTTGGAGGGGGATTTTGTATTCGTTGTTGATGGCGTTTGCGAAGGTATGTATCCTTTTTCTCGATATTGCGAGACTTGTGCTGATTTGCCTGCAGTTTATCGTCGGTGTGTGGGTTCTCATCTGGGAATCTCTGTCGAAAGATTCGTCAAAGGAGCCTGTCCTTGGCCAGCAGGGCGGTGCTCATCCGAACAACAAAAATGTCACTCAGCCTCGGAAGAAAAAGAATTATAGCGCCGCCTCCCTTGCAGGACTCCTCCTTGGAGCGGCGATGGTCGCTCGTGGCGAAATCGGGCTATTGATCATAGAGGTCGGATATAACGAGACAAGTTACGTCAGCCAGGAAGGCTTCATTACTGCCGTCTGGGCTATTCTTCTCAACACCATCATTGGTCCCGTCACTGTGGGATATCTGGTGAAATTCTATGGGAAGCATATTGGAGAGGGGAAATGGGGTCTTCAAGATACCATGACGGCTGCTCCATGTTCAAGGGCACCCGTTGACAGCGGGCCTGCCTGAAGCTGGATTAAGTGGATGAAGAGACGTTCCTGAGTTCCTTGAATTCTTGTATACTCTGACCGAGTCGTGACAAAGGGAGATGAAGGACTAAAACGCCATGTGGACATTCGTTCATGGACCTTTGGGGCCAAAATGTGAACAATTGCATCAAAGAGACACTTCCCAGCTAATTCTGGGCTCCAGGCCCTCGCAATGAAATAAAGCCTGGAGTACTTTCTCGAAGAATCTTCAAAGGTCTTTGTCTCTGACGATTTCCCGGGCATATTATGAGTTGTCTCGGTCTATCTAGACAGAATTTTGTAAAACATTTCCAATACCAGTCTGTTCCTCAGTGCGCGCCTCCCTCGCAAAGAAAACCTCAGATTCTCACTCGTAATTTCACCATCAAAATGTTTAATCCCGAGACTGAATACAGTTCCGGCGAAGAAATGGAACTTCCCGCCAGAGCCACTGAGCCCCTGACTCTCATAACATAAATTTTCAATTCGCTATAATGCATAAATTAAACCGCTAAACTACGCAAAACATACTAAAAATCCTTTCTCAGGTATACAAGGGTAAATAAAGCGGACACCTAAAATCGAGCTGCCTCGACTGAATCATCCTAAGCGGTGCCTTCCCCTTTTCACTCATGCCAGCCTTAACCCCATCCCCAAAAAGACCAACAGCCGGCTCAGGCGCCCAGCCAGGCCCGTGGAAGGGGTCCTTCGCAAAATCTGCCCAGGCCCTCTGCATCTCAAAGCTAACCTCCTTCTCAAACCGCGTCTGGTTGGCCGTAGGGTAAGTGCCGAACACGAACGGAATCTCTGCAGTATGGTACGCCCCGAAGCCCTTCTCGTTGTTCGGGAAACTCGCATTAAACAGGTATCGCCAGGTCGGGATGCCTGCGTTCGCGCTTGCGTTCGCGTAGGCCGCGACGGGGCATTGCATCTGGAATTCCGTGACGATCAGGGCTAGGCGGTCATTTTCTGTGTGTGCGCCTGGTGAGCCGAGGGGATATTTTGCCAGGAGGGCGTCGGTGAAGTTGCCGATGAGTGGTTGGAGGAATTTGCGCGCGTCGTTTTGGCCGATTACGCTAGTCTTTCCTTCGTCGGCGTTGTTGCCTATCAACACGGGGACGCGGGCGATAGATGAGGTGTTGGTTGTGGAATTTGAGCGTTTGGCGCGGGGGTGCGAGGGGAGGGTGAGGCCGTCATCTGGTATGGGGCCAAAGGTTAGGGAGTTTTTCGTTGCGATTGTTTTAATGGTTGTGGCGGGGAGGCTCCGGAGGCAGCTCAGGGTGTCGGTTGTGCAGTTTGCGCTTTGGACGAGCTTCGCCCAGGATTTCTTGTAGCTTGAGGGCTTGGCGTCGAGCGGTGTTTTCACGGATGATTGGCCTGATTCCATGATTGCTGCGCGGAAAGGGAGGGGCGAGGGGGGCGCGAGGATGAGGGCGTCGACGCTGCTTCCTCCGGCGCTTTCGCCCATGATTGTTACTTTTGACGGGTCGCCGCCCAGTCCGGCGATGTTGCGGTGGACCCAGTCGAGGGCGAGTCTTTGGTCGAGAAGACTGGGTTTGGATGTTAGTGTGTTTGGACAGTGTCGGGGTTGTGGTGAAGTACATACCCCAGGTTCCGTTCCTTCTTTGGGATGCTTTCATCTGCAGGGAATCCAAAGGCATTGGTGCGGTAATTGATCGAGACAACGACTACATCTTGGTTCGCCGCAAAGCTCGATCCGTCATACTGAGGCTCAGCAGAAGCTCCATTGCGCCAGGCGCCGCCATAAATCCAGACCAGGACGGCCTTTGAGCCGGCCGATGCATTGGCAGGCGTGAAGACATTGAGGTTCAGACAGTCCTCATCCTCCCCGCCCAGCGGCAGGGGCATGTTCAGCAAGTTGAAAAGTAATTGAACGGACTCGCTCACTTCCTGGATACAGGCTGGACCCCATGTTGTCGCGTTGTATGGGGTTGACCAGCGCTCGGCGGGTACGGGGGGACTGAATCGAATGGGTTTCTTTCCGAATGGAACGCCCAGGTACTGGTTTACAATGGCAGTCGATGAGGGGAGAGAGGTTGTTGTTCCGGCGATGGTGCCAGAGTCGATAATCGCGGTGGGAAGGGGCTTCGAGGCTGCGGCAAGCGCGGCCAAGCCGAGGAGTATAAAGGGCACCATGACCCTCACAGTATACTTGGAGTAGTGTAGTGTGAGTTTTCAGACCTACCTGATCTGTATTTTTTTTAATCTAGCACTTTGCAATGCAGCGAAGGGCCAGCTCGGGGTGAACAGAGACTATTTATGCTTGTCGGTCAACAGTAGGTTCCACAGGGCATACGCGGAGTAGAACTAGCGTAGCTGCAACTCAGCCTCGACGAGGCCAACAACTACGTCAACGCCGATCAGGGTGAACTCTTCGGCTTGGCCTTGCCCCGCCGCGTTGCGCTGGTTATCCGGTTCTACGACAAGAATCCGCAGCGATGTGTTTAATGCCTGTTAGCGGGCTTGCAGGCACCGGCCACTCCACAGCTTCCTTGTTTGTGGGCAATCCCCACCGCCATCGCGCCCTCTGCGAAAGCTTACCCTTGGCTGATCTTGGCTCCGTTAGGCACAGCCAATCTTGTGGGGGCGATCGCGATGACGCAAGGTTGAATATTTATAGCAATTCCCATGGTTGGGGTGATTGTCGATGTCGATACTTCGCAGAGTATTTCAAATGACAGAAAAAGAGTCTGGGGAGAATCTGCGATGTGCGGCGATGGTTGTTTCGAGTCGATTTTGACAGCACCCGACGGCATGTCACTGCTCGGCTGTGATTGGTCGGTGCCGCCCTGCGGCGGAAAACCACTCGATCCAAGCAGCCCTCAAGTGAAAAACCGCAGAATCATGAGAAAATCAATGATTGCAAAGACATTTTCAGTGTTTGCTTGAATCCGCACAGAGTCGATCGAAATGCCCGACGTGGAATCATCTGCAATATCATGTTCGACCGACAAACAAATATACCCCGAAGGGGCTGAACTCAACAAGGGCAACACGAACCCAGAGAAAAGCAAGCACACCTCAGCGTTCCAACAACTGGGGATTTTGGACCGCTTCCTCGCAGTCTGGATCTTCCTAGCCATGGCAATTGGAATCATCCTAGGCAATTTTGTGCCGAATACCGGGCCTGCGCTGCAGAAGGGAAAGTTCGTGGGTGTTTCCGTGCCTATTGGTGAGTCTCTTGACCCAGGTAACGCAGGGTCAGTCAGTTAACACGGTCCAGCCGTGGGACTCCTTGTCATGATGTACCCGATTCTCTGCAAGGTGCGGTACGAAACGCTGCATCGAACGTTCCGAGCGAAGGCGCTCTGGGTGCAGATTGGGTTCAGCGTGGTTGCAAATTGGATTGTGGCTCCTCTTTTCATGGTAAGTCAGAATCAAAGTTGGTGTCAAGTATATTCTAAATTCGAACTAATGAATGGCGTAGTTGGGTCTTGCTTGGGCATTTCTGCCCGACGAGCAGGGTCTCCGGGAAGGGTTGATCCTGGTGGGAATCGCGCGCTGCATCGCAATGGTTGGTTCTCACGATCGCAAAGAATGACCAAGACTAACATGACTAGGTTCTCATATGGACAGGCCTTTCTGGTGGTGATGGAGAGTACTGTGCGATACTCGTTGCCATCAACTCTGTGCTGCAGATGGTGCTGTTTGCGCCCATTGCTATCTTCTTTATCAAGGTAATCGGCGGGTCAAGCAACGCCACGATTGAATATTCCCTCGCCGCAAAAAGCGTCGGCGTCTTCCTCGGGATTCCTCTCGGTGCCGCGATCGTGACTCGTTTCGGCCTGCGCAGCATATTCGGAGCGAGCTGGTACGAGAAGAAGTTCTTGGCCTGGATCAGCCCGCTCTCGCTGATTGGTCTGCTGTTCACGATCTTGGTCCTGTTCGCATCGCAGGGTCGTCATGTCGTGCATCAGATTGTATCTGTCATTCGAGTAGCTGCTCCGCTGATTGTCTATTTTGCTGTGATCTTTCTTGTCACAATGTTTGTGACCCGCCGGTGTGGATTTGGGTACGAGCTATCCTGCACCCAGAGCTTCACGGCCGCGAGTAACAACTTTGAGCTTGCCATCGCGGTGGCGATTGCGACGTTTGGGGTGGACAGCGATCAGGCTTTGGCGGCGACTGTTGGTCCCCTGGTGGAAGTACCGGTGTTGCTAGGCTTAGTGTATGCGGTCAAGTGGGCTGGCAGGCGCTATAATTGGTAGAGTCATGCGTTTATTCCGTATTGGCGAGGCCTCAATGCGAGTTTGCAGATAGTGAAATAGAAGTGTCGCAGATCAGATATCGTGGCTAATTTCATCCAATACTTGGAAAAGTACAGTATTCTGTACTCGGCATCCATCACCAGTGACTCCTGATTGAAAGCCAGCCCATAGTCGTTGCCGGATCTCTTCGAGGTCTGTTCCACGGGTGTTGTACTGGCTGATAAGCTCTTCAGCGATGGCGCACAGCGTCGTGTTCAACACATCGCCATCAACAGGTCCGGAGGCTAGATCTCTTTCCCCGGGAGCGCATTTGCATAGAGGCGGATCTGGCGATCGCAAATCTTCGTCGGCTGATTTTTTTGTGGCTCCAGCAATAGGGTCATGAACTTGGCCGCCTTCGGCCAGCGCCTTCTTTGTGAGTCGGTCCGATGGTGGGAAGCTCTCGCCCTCGTTGGCTGGCTCTGTGGAGGACGTGTTTGCAGACCGTTGCATGGCAGGAATGGCCACCTTCCGGTCGATGGCAGCCCCTTGATCTGCCAGTTGCACATACTGTTGAAGCAATTCCGTCGAGATGCCCAATGAGCCAAGCAGTGTTTTCAGATGCCGGTTCTCGGCCTCGACCTTTTGCAGAGCCAGCCGATGCGCGATGTCCCTTTGACGAGCCTCATTCTGGCATGTTACCAGTTTCTGCTCGAGCTCTTGCAGATACTCCTGCTTCTTGGCTCTGCTTTTGCGCTGGTTCTCCCGCACACGCGCGAGGCGGTCCTTTTTCTTTTGGCCGTCAGTCTTGCATCTTTGTTTTCAGCTGATGAACCACGCACCTTTTGACTGCTGTCGGGGCTCATTTTTGTTGATCTCCCAAATCATGCTCGAGTTGCATCCTCGTTGGAGTGCTGGATATCAAGAGAAATTGCACGCCGCCTCCGCTGGAAAGCCGCCGGCACGTGTTGGTGCCTGGGAGATCAGGTGTCACGGCATCACTGTCACGAACTACTAGGAAAGTCAACTGAATTGTTCTTGGAGATTGATGCTTCCACACCCCCGTCATTGCTTCGCTCAGAAAATACAGAACTAGAACATTGATCAAATATGATGCCAATTTCGACACTGTATACTCCCTCGAGTATGGTCTTGATACCCGCCAGGTTCATTGCTTAAGTCACCTATCTGGTCAGCTACCTGGCACCTACCCAGTCACCTACGTGATCAGCGTCTAGATAGCTATTCTAGAGAGCGATGTGCTATGCAAAATGAATGAGATCGGGTATAATTCTCCCACCTATAGCAGAAAGTCCATTTTCGACTCGCATAGTCAGGACACAGGACACCCAAGCCGAAGAACTAGCAGATACCTGAAAAATTAGCAGAGAAGTGTTCTGTGGCAGAAGGTGTGTGGCTGTATCAATTCCCTTGTTCTTCCAATCGGGCAATTAAGATTGTCATCTTGATAGCGACTGTACAGCGCATCCCGGAGTCGATCTCCGACAACCTCTGGTCGACTTATCTCAATTCCTCATGGCGACAATGCATTTGCGCACCGTCAGGGTCCTCGCATGGAGACACGAGGGCGCCGACTGGGTCAAATCCGGGGAGATGCGCGGACCCAGCGTGGGGTAAGTTGTCCCGGCCCAAGCACGGTTGGGATGGTGAAAACGACTTCCTGCTCGTAAAGGCACGAGCATTCCCCGACTCGCACCCCCAATCACGCTCACCGCAGCACTGAAGAGGCAAATCATCGCCCGAAACGTCGGGCGCGCAGCATCGGGTGCCCGCAAACGATCACCTCGGACGCTGCGACGACGTCACTGGCCGTCACCAAGGGAATGCCCCAGAGGCGCTAAAGCTTAGTGCTTCTCTCCAGCTCCAGCTCACGCATTCTTCATAACCCTAACAAATTACGACGCTACTACTACTCCGACTGTACTAGTCCTTATTCTTCTCATTGTCCTCCCCCGGACTCCCCGATCCTGCGCTCTCCACCCCCGCGACTCTCCATCGCATCGCATCGTCGCCATGGTCTCCACGCGACATCACCCCCGCGAATTCCCCTCGCCCGAAAAGGCCGCAAAGGAGGTGACCAAGTCGTCGCCTGCCCCGACAACAAATGGTAATGCGCGCAAATGGGTCCATACCCCGTCCGCCGCCCTGACTATCTGGCTGGTCATTTCACTGCCGCTGGTCGCGTGGGATGCGGGCTACGTGCTGTTGCGACCGCATAGCATGCCTGGCGGTCGTCTGCACTCACCTATCTGGACCCCGTACGCGCTCTACGGCACCGTCGACTACATCTACGGCTGGCCCGCGTACAATGCGCGCAATGGCTTCACCGCTGCGCAGACAGTCATGAACATCGTCGAGACCCTCGGCTACCTCTACTACCTGTACATTGTCTTCCGACATGGCGCGACTGTCACCAGCGGTCGCGGCGCGCAGAAGCGGCTCAAGAAGGGTTTCGTCTGGATGCTGGCGGGCGAGAAGGTGGTTGCGGGCAAGACGGGCGCGACTGCTCTGCTCGTCGCATACACCGCTTGTGTCATGACTCTCAGCAAGACTCTCTTGTACTGTACGTTTACACCGAAGTGACACCAAGTCGATGACTGTACTTATCAATCTTTAAAGGGCTGAACGAGTTTTTCTCTGGCTTCGACAACATCGGTCACAATGATGCTGCCACGCTGATCTTCTTGTGGATCATTCCCAAGTAAGTCCTGTCCCGTCGAGCGCATTGGCGCGAGCTCTGTTAATTTAAACTCCTCAGTGGTCTGTGGATCGTCTTCCCGGCCTACAGCATCTACACACTCGGCGCGGAGATTTTGGACTCCCTCGACCAGGCGACCGCGCGCGGCAAGCCTGGACGCCCCAAGTCGTCATAGACCCGTCGCGACGAGATTGTGTACTACTGGCGGCATGTCGAGGTGGAAGTGTCATTCTATGAGACGTCTTGTCGATATCCTTGATTCACCTGAGGAAATTGGCCTACTAGTACTTGAAATGAGAACAAGTTGATGAATGGAGCGGCATGATTATTTGATGATATTAGAAAAGCGCGCTGTGGTGGTCTAGAGACCCTCAGGGCGCAGGTATTTTTAAGTGATGGATCAATGCTATTCTTAATTTCTACCCCCCATAACCAGGAAACCCTCGTATCCCATCCCCCTTTTCGTCGTATTTTCATCGGACTATTCTCTATAGTTTCGGAACTATCGCCAGGCCGGACATCAATCCACCGATCGATTGTCCTACCACGATGGTTCGGCCCGAATGTGGACCACTTACAACGAGTGCAGGACAGGTTGATGTACGCATAGGGTACCCTATAGGTGCTTGGAGAGCCTGTGCCATCATCTGGTCGTCGTTTTTCTCCGAATTCTTCACATTGTATACCTCGCGCTCCAATCCGATGCTAGTCGGGCGGTGTGCAGGCAACTGATGCGATCATCGCCGAGTCCGGAGAGGCATGTAACGTAGCCAGCGTCCACGCCAAAAGGTCCCTGCGCAGCTCTTTTTCGCCACGAGTCAGACGGAAAAGCACGCGGCTGAACACCGTCTTCGAGTGTTCCCCCGAGGTCTTCGGCAGCACCGTCAACGTGTGGAGCTCCGTAATATCAACCCTGCCAGTGGCCGCCATCCGCCAAGCCCCGTCGCCGCTGAACCTTTCCCCATATTCCTCTATTCCTCCCATTTCTCCTCACTTTCTCCTCCTCCGACTCTCCCGAACTCCCCCGCCGTCGCTTACCGTCTCACACCCTCCTGAATCGCTCAGCGTGGTCTCCCCTTCCCTCGACGCCCTTTCTTCGAGCTCCTCCCGCGCCAAACGATGCTTCAGGCTTGGGTCCTGGGGTACCCGCACCCGTCATGATCCCTCCCGGCTCCGACGACTCGCCATTGAAAACCTCTGGCACTAGCTTTGTTTCAGGCCATGAGGATCCGACGGCCATCTTAGACGATTTCGATACCCAAAGTCATGCAAGTTCCCGCGACCTCGGTAGCACACAAACCGGCGACCCCGCGACGGGCCCGGACATCGGTGCTGAGGGCCCGCACGACGAGGCCACCCAAGATGCCGACAACCCGAACTCGGGCCCGTCCGCGGAGAAGGATGACAAGCCGGCCTGGAGCGAGATGAAGACCAAGGCCGGCAAGGAGCGCAAGCGCCTCCCGCTCGCCTGTATCGCGTGCCGGCGGAAGAAGATCCGATGCTCGGGCGAGAAGCCCGCCTGCAAGCACTGCACTCGATCGCGGATTCCCTGCGTATATAAAGTGACCACGAGGAAGGCTGCCCCGCGGACCGATTATATGGCAATGCTGGACAAGCGTCTGAAACGCATGGAGGATCGTGTCATCAAGACGATCCCCAAGGACGAGTCGCGAGATATGGCTTCCATCGGGAGGTCGGTGGTCAAGCCCTCCGCCTCGAGCCAGGTGTCCAAGGTGCAGAAGAAGCGAAGTGCAGATGAGGCTTTTGCCGCGGAAATGGATGGATGGTCTCGAGAAGAGCGTCGCACGCCACATGAGACGTTCCCCATGAATCGCGAAATCAAGTCCACTGATGGATCCGGGCTGTTGACCGAAGGCGCTGAGTTCTTGCCTTCTTTGGAAATACAGGAACACTTGGCGGAGGTCTTTTTCGACTGTGTGTATGGGCAGTCGTATCTTCTGCTGCACAAGCCTAGCTTCATGCGCCGCCTCAAATCCGGCACCGTTCCCCCGGTCCTCATCCTCGCCGTATGCGCCGTGTCCGCGCGATTTTCCACCCACCCCCAACTCAACTCTGAACCTCCTTTCCTCCGAGGCGAGAATTGGGCCAATCCTGCTGCTGCCATTGCTCTCAGCCGACATGACGAACCCAACATTACCATTCTTACTGTTTTCCTGCTGCTCGGTCTTCACGAATTCGGAACATGTCACGGTGGACGAAGTTGGTCGTTTGGAGGCCAGGCACTGAGAATGGCATACGCTTTGCAGCTCCATCAAGAGCTAGAATGTGATCCATTGATTGGTCAGAATAGTTCTAGCTCACAGCTGAGCTTTACTGACCGTGAGATCCGGCGACGAACGATGTGGGCTTGCTTCTTGATGGATCGCTACAACTCTTCCGGAAGTCAGCGTCCGCCCATTGGAAACGAGAAGTTCTTACATATCCAGCTACCTATCAAGGAAACGCATTTCCAGATGGAGATTCCCGGACCCACGGAAGATTTGGATGGCGATATCCCTAACCCTGCACCCGAGGATTCGGGGCAATTATCGAACGCTTCGGAAAACATGGGCGTGTCGGCTTACATTATTCGCGCCATTGTGATCTGGGGTCGCATTGTCGATTATCTGAACCTTGGTGGGAAGCGAAAAGATTCGCATCCTTTCTGGCATCCGGATTCCGGCTACATGCAACTCAAGCGGCAGATCGAAGAATTCTCGTCTTCTCTCCCGAACTCTTATGCTTTCACCTACGAGAACCTCCAAATTCATGCCGCTGAGAAGATCGCCAACCAGTTCTTGTTCCTCCACATCATCATCCATCAGAACATGCTGTTTCTGAACCAGTTCGCTATTCCCCTGTCTCCCGGTGGTCGACCACCTAGGGATATGCCCAAGCCCTTTCTTAGCAATGCCGGCCGAGCGGCTGTCGAGGCTGCCCACCATATTTCGGTACTTTTCGATCGAGCTTCAGCCTATCCGCTGACTGTGCCTTTTGCTGGTTACTGTGCATATACAGCCAGTACAGTTCACATCTGGGGTATCTTTTCCAAGAATGTGCAGTTGGAAGCACGTTCAAAGGAAAACCTCCGACATACATACCGCTACCTCAACAAGATGAAAAATTACTGGGGCATGTTCCACTACATGGTCGAAAGTGCCAAGGACAGATATAGACAATTCGCCGATGCAGCCATCAAGGGCTCAGTAGCCACTCAAAATGGCACTTCCTTGGCTCCGATGTTCCAATACGGCGACTGGTTCGACAAATACCCTCATGGTGTGTCAAGACTTCATTGGGAAGACCCAGACACCCGTCACAAGGAAACAGGCGAAGACGCCGTCATGGGCCAGAAACCCGATCTCCAAAGCGTAGAAGACTTCTTCGCCAGCCTCTCACCAACCCCCAAACCGGTCCTCCCGCGCAAACCTCGCTCGCGCAAGAACAGCAAGATCTCCGAAGGAACTCCCAACGTGGACCAAACCTCCCCACAATCCATGGACGTGACAATGGGAAGTGCCCCCGGTGTCCCAGGCAGCGCCTTCCCACAGCCATCCCTCTACAACCAAAACCGACCCATGCAATTCGGCCAATCCCCCTTCGACTTCAGTATCCCACCTGACCAACTGCCGCAACTGGACCGACAATTCGTCTACGGCTCCTTCTCGGACTTCGATCCAAACTCGTTCGTCCCCAACAACCCCCCAATCCCACCTGCCCCGGTCAACGGTGTCGAATCCCAGGCTTCAGACCACACCCTCTTCACCGGCCAGCTAGACCCCAGCGCACCCGCCGGAACAGGCGAATTCTACCAACCCAGCGCATGGTTTCTCCCCTTTCAACCTCGACCCGGTTGGCGGCGGAAATCCACCACCCATGGGACCCGGTTCAAATCCACCGCCTCCGCCTGGAGCCCCGACAGGCTCTGTCCCCGGTGCTGGGGGTGGTGCCTCCGGTGGTATGGGCGATATGTCCGGGTTCGGCAGGCCATTGAGTGCCTATGATCTTGGCCTGGTGCCAGAAATGAAAGACTCGCGGCATCCGTGAGGTGTCCGTGAGGCGGCAAATTGGAATTCCGTCGAAATAACTTACCAACGACTGCAATGTTATATATCATGATGGTGGGGATTCGGGGCTGGACGACTTTACTTTTGTTTTCAACCTTGAGTTAAAAGCCTGGAGTATTGCGCTTTGTTCTCCCTTTTTCTTTTGCTGCTTTGTACATACTATGTCTCGACTTTGTCTGACCGTGTATATCCCGATGGAAGGTTCTTTGGCTTATGAATGTATTGATGATATTCCTACTGACTTTTTCCCGTGTATTTGATCTTCAAGTGCCCCGGCATTCCGAAGCAAAAATGTTTGCTGTGGATGTCCACCTGCCGCCTTTCTGTCTCACCCCCACTAGCAGTGGCGAAGGAAAAATAGCCTTGGAGAATCAGAGATGGCAAAAAAAAAAAAAGTGCATCATCCGTGAATCGAACACGGGCCTCGTCGATGGCAACGACGAATTCTACCACTAGACCAATGATGCTACTGCTTAAAAACTGGGCTGCGTGTGGCTATATGAAGGTTTCGGTATACTAAGTGGGGTTAGCGACGCACGAGAAAAAAAAAGCCCCACAAGGTCCTCACGCACTCAGGGGGTCAGAAGACAAACATTATTCAATTCGGGCTTTAGTTTTTTCATTAATGGGGGTTCTAGGAATTGCAAAAATAATACTATGCATCGAGTAGTACCTACTGACCCCTCAACGTTTCACGGAAAAATATATAAAAAAAACAAGCTTATCGCGGATAAGCTTAAACACGTGAGGAATAGGGGGGTGCTGAGCAAAAAGATCTGCATCATCCGTGAATCGAACACGGGCCTCGTCGATGGCAACGACGAATTCTACCACTAGACCAATGATGCTGGTTCTTGTTGAGTGGAGCGAATTGAGCGGATTTGAGCGGTGTGGTTTTGGAATCGTGGGTAGGCGTAGCCGAGGCGAGAATGGGAAGTGGGCTTGCACTACGACAAATTTATGCTGTAGCTACTCTTAAGTTGAATTTTGTTTAACAAAAAAATGATCTGATTACAGACACATGAATTCTCTCCCTGGCATTGTATTGAGCTGGGACAGAAGTATTCATCCTATACGGCGTGGTTAGCAAGGCAAAACCCATCAAACATCGTGGCTGTTCGGTAAAAAGCAAAAAGAAATAACTGTGCATCATCCGTGAATCGAACACGGGCCTCGTCGATGGCAACGACGAATTCTACCACTAGACCAATGATGCTTCTTGTTGTGGGTCTGTGAATTTATGGATATTTGAGGATTTGCCGTGCCCAGATGAACTATTCGGTAGTTTGTCTCGCATAGTGTATAACCAAGGCTATCGCGAGGTTTGAATGGGCTTATTGTTGAGTAGAATTGTTGAAATGGATTGCTTTTAGTTTTTTCTAGTAGATTTTCTGTTCCCGAAAGATCAAAGAGGTTGGTTTGGCGTTGCTTTTCTGGGTGCTGGGTTTCTGGTCTCTGGATATATATATTTCGAGGTCAAGGGTACACGAGTTCGAAAGAATCATCGGATGGGAATTTAATCTCAATGAGTACATATCTGGACGATATAAAATCCAATATTACAACAGCGAGACCGTGAAAAGGCATTAGTCCCTGATAGCCCTCACGTTAAACAAGATCTCGACACTGTGACCCTAACCCCAGATGATACACCGCGCGTACCTAGGCATTAAGATCCAGGCATTAGACGAAAGTGTCTATTCGGATGTCTCAATTCGATATCTGCCAGGAAGAACAAAATACAACTACATCACACAAGGTCGGGTCAACAAAATGCAGCTCGAATCTTGTCTAGAGAAAAAGAAATCAATTTCTATAACATTCCCTCCCAGCAGACACCAATTGTCCAAGATGATATACTAGCGAAAGCAAGCACTATACAGCCCTAATCATCCCAAGTCTCATCCAGCTGATCTATCAACCGGTTCTCGGCATCCACATCACCGCGTCCACCAGAACCAGCTCTGCCACCCCGGCCACCAATCGCACCAATGAAGCCGCCGCGAGTATCATCGCCGTGGCCGGCACGCTGGTAGCCGCTGCTCGATGGTCGCCTGGAGCGAAAGCAGTTGCCCAATGACGAAAAGGCGATGACGAACATATCCTGTCACGATAAATTGTCAGCAGGCCGTTCGCTCAATAGAAGGTAGTAGCAGGAGTTTAGCAACGAGCAGGCAAGCTTCCGATCGTGACACAGCAGTTTGTACAAAGCACAAGGATGCTATCTAATACATGTCCAGTGCGCAGAATCCGTGAAAGAGAGACCAGATGGGTCGGGTAAATAAACTGCCTGTGGATGTATAGAATCATGGCACCTTGCTTCAGATCATGACAATGTACACGATGAAGTCAACATAGATGGGAAGCTTCACCATGCTCGAAGGGAGGGAAACATAGACAAAGGCATGACGGTGAAAGAAGGCTGATAAGCAGTCATACTCCAAGCCAGCTGGAGCAACCTCAATCCAATCGCGAAACCGGTAACCCCGCCATGCTTGAATCCTTATATTTGTGCGAAGGCAAATGGCCATATCGAGATCTCCGACGAGGCCGACACAAAACCAATCTCAAGAGACTTACCTTGACGAAATCGAACATTCCAGCCCAGAGACTGAAGTTCGGGCACTGGCGCCAACCGCGTTGGTGCATGACTGTTCGTTGATACGCGCAACCACCGATGAAATAGGCAGCGACGGCAATAAGCATGCTAAGACACAAAACGTTAGCATCGAATGCACCCATAACGATATCTGGAGCAAGCTCACATGACACCAAAAACCCCGGCCGGTCCCAGCCCGCCCGAGTTCGGGTCCACTGCAATTCCACCGCACGCAGCAGAGCTCCGAATCTCAAAGTAGTAGGTGCAAGAGTCCATGGTTCCAACGAAAGACGGAGTAGCTGTGTTCGGGGGCGCGTCGCGATCGCAAAGGAAGGACATCAAGGTTGATTTGGTTCGAATGGAGGTATTCGCGCCAGCGGTGTTCCAGTCACCCGGACACGGGGAGCCATTCGTATAGTTGAGGACGAGTTTGCGACCACGAAAGAAAGGATCCGAAGCTTGTTCTCTATTGAATTTACAATTCCGGATGTTAGCTTGCCAATGCCTGTCACGGAGCTCTCCGGAGCTAAACACGGGGCACCGTACCCGATGGAATAGATCTTCCCTGCTTGCTCGTAGTAGGCGCTGACGTTCCTCCAATGCGACGAGTCGACGCCGATGACATCCTTCACCTCTTCAATGACTGGCGCGCAGATGTTGATCGTGAAGTTTGCGGGGTAGTCATGGCCCTTCGCATGCCAACTTTCGTCCCGCGCCTCCTTGTCCACCTTCTTGCCATCCTTCAGCTCGGGCGGCTCTAGCGAGAGGGCGGAGAGGTCATAGTATAGGCCGCTGATCGGCGAGCGAGCCACACAAGGGGAGTCATCGTTGAGGTGCGAGGAGGCCGACGCGCCGGACAGTCCCACGATGAAGGATAGGAGGAGCAGCGAGTAACGAGCGGAATTGGACAGCTTCATGGCGGGGGCAAGTCTGTCGATAAAAGAGGGTAGTAATTGGAGACCAGCTCACGAGGGTGTCGATCGGATCGAGAAGCAGGTACGTGGAGTGTCCAATGTTTCGCGGGCTTAAACTGCTTACGTTTGCGTTGCACGGGGCCCGCGGGCGCGGAGAAGCCAAGCTACGACTGCCGGCTGCTCGCCATCCGACGTCGTACGTATCGCCGCTTCTTGGATCTGGGACCTCGCCCACCCTACTTAAACACCGGCCAATCCTCGTTTCTGGATTCATCAGCGCAAGATCTCGCGCACTTCCAGATACATCAGAACATGGCGCCCAAAACTTCCAAGGTTCCCGTCCAGATCGTGCCGGAGAAGCGAGGCTACGAGTTCGGTGGACCGTATGTCTCGCCCTATCACAGCTAAAAAGGGATTATCGCTGATTGTCGCTGCAGCCTAGGAGCCTTTGGTATTGTCTTCGGCCTTCCCGTCCTGGTCTACGTCTTCTACTTCGTCTGCAATGATGTTTCGGGCTGCCCCGCGCCTTCATTGTTGAGCCCCTCGACCCTGTCCCTCGAACAATTGAAGCTCGAAGTTGGCTGGCCGGCGGAAGGCCTGGCGGGACTTTGGGACACTGAGGTGGCCCTGTGGACTCTGAGCTACTATATGTTCAGTCTGTTCCTGCAGATCTTCCTGCCTGGTCAGGAGGCGGAGGGTGTTGACCTTGCATGTGGGGGAAAGCTCAAGTACAAGTTTAATGGTGAGTCCGAACTACTTGGGAAGCTTTGGGAGAGCTGTGGCTTGAGTATTCAAAATGAATGATACCAAGAAGAAGCTTGCTAAGGACCTTTTGTTTACTATTAGCATTCCCTACTGCCATCATCATCCTTTCCAGCCTCGCGACGGGCACCTACATGTACGGCGCGGATTTCGTCGTCTGGACCTTCCTGTGGGATAATTACCTACAGGTTATCACCGCCAACATCTTGATTTCCTCGTCCATTGCGCTGTTCGTTTACATCAAGAGCTTCTCAGTCCCCGAGGCCGGCAAGCCCAACCCGGAGCTCCGACAACTCGCACCTGGTGGCCACACCGGCAATGTTTTGTACGACTTCTTCATCGGTCGGGAGCTAAACCCCCGTATTCGTTTGCCTATCCCCTTCGTTAGCGAGGCATCCCGCATCATTGACATCAAGGTGTTCATGGAGATGCGACCCGGTCTTCTCGGATGGACCATTCTGAATCTGTCCAATGTCGCCCACCAGTACCGTACCTACGGCTACGTGACCGACTCTATCGTCCTGGTGACTATCTTCCAAGGTTTCTATATTCTGGATGCCTTGTATATGGAGCCTGCTATCATGACCACGATGGATGTCATCATGGATGGGTTCGGCTTCATGCTCTCCTTTGGTGATGTTGTCTGGGTTCCTCACATCTACAGCGTCCAGAGCCGCTATCTATCCGTCTTTCCCATGGAACTGGGATGGAGTGGCATTGCTCTGGTGCTGGGTGTGACCGCCGTTGGATACTCGATCTTCCGCGGCGCCAACAACCAGAAGAACCGATTCCGCACCGACCCCAACGACCCCCGCGTCAAGCACATCAAGTTTATTGAGACTGCTAGCGGATCGAAACTCATGACCTCCGGTTGGTGGGGTCTGGCCCGGCACATCAACTACCTTGGTGACTGGGTTATGTCGTGGGCTTACTGCCTGCCGACCGGCATTGCTGGGTACACTCTTATCGAGAGCATCAGCCCCTCCACCGGCAACATGCAGAAGCAGGCCGTGCAGACCCCCGAAGTTCGTGGTTGGGGTATGATCCTCACTTACTTCTACATGCTCTACTTCGGTATCCTTCTGATCCACCGCGAGATGCGGGACGAGGAGAAGTGCCACAAGAAGTACGGCAAGGATTGGGACCGTTATACCTCCATGGTGCGCAGCCGCATCATTCCTGGAATCTACTAGAGTACTTCGAACTCGGTGATTCTTAACTGTCCTGACATGATAAACATGCAAGGGCTTGCTTCTCGCTTCTTCCTCTAGCTCGACCCAACCCCTGCTCGAAAAGTTCTGCTGTATAATATTGCTGCGAGAGTGCTACGATGATAGTACACGATTGCACGCCTCCAAACTAGCTCGTGCCTGACATAGGCTAACTTGCTTAAATAAATTAATATAATCTATTCATTCTATTCAACGCTTCCTCTTCTGAGGATCAACAAGCACATCCAACCCCCAACTCTCATCCCCCGAATTCCGAACCCACCCCTTGAGAACGCTCTTCGCTTCTCTCATGGCCTCTTGCCGGACTCCAAGCGGATCAACCGAGTTACTTTCAACAAGCTTGAAATCTCCATAAGTGCTTGGTTTCAGAACGCGCTGCTGAAATGAATGCAGGACAGTATCATCTGCCAAGCCAGTTCCAGAAATGCCCAGATCATCACACGCGCTTGGCTGGGCTATATTCCGCACAAGAGCCCAAAGTTTTGCCCGAGAAAGCGATGAAGCACCTCGCACGACAGGTGTAGTTGCGCGGTGACCCTGCTTCACCCCATTGATGATGTTCTCGAACAGTCCTGTTGTGGTCCGTCGGAGAGAAGGCAATGACTTACTTCCTGTATCTGACAACGCAGCACAGGAATGGGCATGCGAGGGTGCTGCAACCCAGATAACACTCACATTACCCGGTTTGCTCTTCGGCGGAGCTTTAGATTCAGTCCCATCCTCCTCTACCGGTATATTATTCTTCGGCTTCGCAAAAGCCCACTGCGCTTCAACCTCCTCCGCCGGCACAGAAAGAACCTCAAAAGGATGAAACCGATACCCAATCGTCCCCTCTTCCTTCCTCCCAGCCCAAGTCCGTCCAACAAGCACCTTCATCCTCCCCCTCTCGCCAAAACACCGCTCAAACCCAGTCGCATTAATTTCATCTGCCGGCAAGACAAGCCCAGCTAGATACGCACTCTCCGTCGGCGCAACAAGCCGACTCGTCCCGCACGATAGCAGAGAAGATACCTGTCGCAAAGCAAGTTTATCCGAGCAGGATTTGCTGCGCGTAGACTCCGCGTCCATACGAGCGGGCTTTCGACGGACGATGCCGAGGAGCGAGAAATGGGCTCGACCGTCGAGCATTTCCTCGTGGGATCGTGCGCTACTGCTCTCGCGGACGACTTCCCAGGGGGTCGCGTCTTCTTGGGATGCCATGCAGAGTTCCATGCTTGCGTCGCCGCAGGGTGCGCAGGTGCAGTACATGTAGAGTTTGAGGCCGGGTTGAAGCTCGAATGGGGGCCATTCTGTTGAGTTCTCGGGTGTTTGTGTGTCGTTTCTTCGTTCTCGTTTGCGGATGAAGGGGGAGCTGGGAGGTTGGGTTTTGTTCGGTTGTGAGTCGGTTTGAATAGATGGGTCTGTGATTTTCTCTTCTGCTAATAGTCCGTGGCATTCGGTCAGGAGCCAGTAGTTGAATGCTCGAATGGCTAGAATTTCGGCGTGGCAGTCATGTAGAACGAGACCCCGACAGCGTGGGATATGAGAAGCTGAGAGGCATTTCGCGCCGCTCCTAGATAACTGTTAGCTTCACATGAACTGTCCTTTGTTATGAAGGGCCGGTATAGTCCGTACGTGATAGCTATACAGTGCAGACTCTCTGAAGCAGTATTCTCTCCTATTCAATGTATAAGCAGCTGATCTATGAAAATCTCCATTTGTAGGTAGTCATACCAACAACGGCCACAATGCCCGTCATAGGAATCCATTCTCTCGACCCATCAGGGTAGACATGTGGTTTAGAGCGCTGGGGAAGAGCATCGAAATGCGCATGAACTAGTGCTGCTATCCGTGACGGCAATGGCGGCGTATCTCCAGAATCAAACATCGCAGTCAATAAGCCTCATGAAGCAGACCATCCCATGAAATGCGACGTCCAAAGATGCAATTAAATGGCCAGATTTCGACGCGGGCAGATTGTGTTTGGATGCGGTATCACGTGACAACTCTCTGCGCGGTTCTTGAACGAGGTGGGGTCCCGCCTTCAACTTCCCTTCTTCAATTCCCCACTCGTCCGCGTCCGATTCACATCCACCCACTTTTTCATTATCGAAACCGACTTCCAACCTTCTTTATATCTCTCAATTCGCTTCGACACCTCTCACGATGGCTGACAAGCTTCGGACCACGCAAAATCTCGAGGCCCTCCAGGCCAAGCACGTCGGAACCGGACACGCCGATACCACCAAAAAAGAGTGGTTCGATAACATCGTGCGTGACACCGCCCACTCCTTCATCGGCCACCAGCCCCTGCTGGAGCTCACTGCCCTCGGTATGGGTCTTCACCCCGAGGAGGTTCGCATGGAACAGTACGAGCACCTCATCCGGGGCTGGGTTCCCTCCGAGACTGCTGAGGTAAGTAACACTGATACCAGGCTCCAAAGCTGAAGCAACCCGAGCCAATGCCAACTACTCCCGAACTTCCAGACGTCGGACAAGAAGAACTCGACTACCTAATGGCAGTTGAGATGCAGAAGCAGCAGGAGGCATTGGCCTCGGCCAATGCCACCACTACCGACGACATCGCCAATGGCGCCACCAAGTAATTCTTACTTGCCACGTTCTTCATTCGCATTCCCAAGGTGCATGGCCAAGGAGTTTTTCTTTTCTTTTTCCTTCTTCAAATCGGAGTTTCAAAGGGCTAGAGGGGGTCTTAATGGCTTCTATGGAGTTTTCAATGAAGTTTTAAATGGATTTCTCTCAGGTTCCCCAACCCGAGAACGGATTCCCAGCATTCGCATTTCTTTCAAAGCAAACATCCCCGATAGAGTAAACTGAGTAGTAATACGGCGCGTCCGCGTAGACTTGACCCGTTGTCCCCACCAATTGACTTTATTTCCCTTTCGATGACCCTGCAGAAGAGTGAAGTTGATTTCTCTTTTTGACCTTGGAATCCTCACTCTTACCGTTTTGATCTCTTTCCCATCCGCCTTCAATCTACTCCTGTCTCCGTGAACCCACCAGTACTCTGCCTGTGCATAGCAATGCGCTCACCAATCCAAGCGAAATTCGCTGAGCTTTCGCAGTCTCATCATGACCAATTCGAGTGCTGTGTTCGCTTCATCTCTGAATACGATCTTGCAGCCCCATTTTGAATTTCACACTACTCACTATAGTAGGTTTAAGTGACTGCGAACTGAATATGTCTAACACATTCTTTGTTTTCACATACACGTTCTTCCTTTCTTGCACCTCATTCCCTCCCGGCTCTCTACCATGATCCTCTCTCCTCTCTCCTTCTCCCTCTCTCTTCTCTCATCCACGCACTCTCACTACTGTACTCCTCTCCCTCTCTCATTCTCCCTCTCCTTCCATCCCTCTCATTCCATACTCTCTCTCATCCCCTCATTCTGATTGTCCTCAGCTCTCTACCATGGCTCAACCTTCTTTACACACTTCAAATCGCTTTCGAATTTTTCTTATGGCTGACAAGATACCACGCAAAGACTACCTCATCCAGACCAGTTATATCGGAGACGGCCTTGTCGATACCACCAACAAAGAGTGTTTTGATAATATCCTTGGTGGTTGATACACCCTGACAAGAAAGGTTTGTGCTACAACACAATCAATGATAGCCAACTCTGACGACAGGAATTCCCTACTGATGCGGAAAATTCCACCGAGCTATTTACTTCGCAAGAGAAAATACTTATAAAACGGCATTCAACTGCAGACTCGGTCAATTGTGCTATAAGATGTCTTGGTGGGCCATGATATGGGCTTAGCCTCGAGACTCTTCAAGCCTGGCCAAATCGATACATCATCACCAAAGGGGAGTGGTTTAATAAAATTGTTGGTGGCTCGACCTTTTTTTCAGAAAGACAGTGTGGTTTGACAAAATCAGCCGCGAGATGCAAATCTGCTGAAAGAATTGCTTTCGCAGTCACAAGCAGCAAAGGTTGGGATGGATTTGCCACGAATATTACATCAAGGGATGTTCCATGCCCAAGCGACAACTTCATCAAAGAGATTCGTCCACCCGCTAATAAAATTTGACACGATGAAGTAAGACTGACCCCAAGGACCCAAGCCAAAGGAGCATGGTGCGTTTTGCCTACACTTTCTCCTTCCTCTGAGCTATGTTCTCGGCCTCGCCGACCCTACGAACATCCTCAAGGCGGCGGTCATAATGGAAGGAAAGGGGAACGTTTCGAGTCTTCAAGGTTAAGGTGAGGAATGGACCATGATCGAACGATTCACTGGATTTAAGCGTTTATCAAGAACATACGCCTTGTTGGTGGCAGTCTTCATGTCCAGAACCAGCTGGCCTGTGACGCCTCGAGTGAAGAAGTGGGAATGTTGTTCCAACTACATGACCATCTTTCTAGAGCTCGGTCCACGAAGCCAACGCAGGACTCTGAAGAGATGATCTACTACTGGATGTTATTCTTGTTAAAGGTCCGCAATCGAGGTACTCGAGAGCTCTCACAAGGAATGCTTGGTGCTTTTAAGATACCTTTAAGAGGTGGGAAGGCTTGAGTATCCTTTCAAATTCCAAAAGGTTGTGACTATTTTCAAAGCACACTGCACCGGCGTCGACCCAGTCCACCTTAAACGGACATGAAGGACAGAGAAAAGCCTAGACGCAAGCGCAAGCATCACGCAGCGAATGGAAGAGAACGGGCGTGAGAATCCTGGAGGTGAACATTCGATTCACACAAACTCGACGGCTACGATGCAGTGTAGTTTTTTTAAGAAAGCAACCATAAAGATAAACCGATATCTTGCAATTCTCCAAAGGAAATGTCAATGCATCACTGCCGAAAATAGATATCGCTAAGGAGAATACCAATGTAAACGAGAGTCTTTACTAATCATAGGACTATATACACCTCCTCCAATAAACCACCAGATATAAAGCACTGTAGTGTACTACTCCCGCTCACTCCTGGCAGCCAACTTCGTATTCTCCGCCTGCAAAGAAGCAACCAAATCAACCCACTTCTGCCTCTCACCCCTCAACCTCCCAATCTCCTTCTTCATCTCCTTCATCTCATTCCTGAGATTCTCAACCTCAGACCTGGACTTCGACTTCTCCTCCCGATCAGCCTCCTTCTTCTGCTTCGCCTCAATTTTCGACGCAACCTTCAACTGACTCCCCTCGACCTTCCTCAACTGCTTTAACAACTTAGCCTCCTCATTAAAAAGCTGCGACGCAGCCTTGTGCATATGCGCTGGGAGCTCGGGCTGAGGCGTCTGCGGCTGGGTCTGAGTTTGCGAAGACTGTCCTTCGTTGCTTTGTTGTGTGGCTGAGCTGGCGGGTGTTGAGGAGCGTTTGTCTGAGGGACGCTTGTGTATGCCCGACTGGTCGCTGCTGTCTCCTACATCGAAGGCTCCCTTTAATGGTGTACCTGGGTTGCTTTGGGAGGTGAGGTGGAATTTGTCGAGTTCTGAGCGGATGGTGTCGAGCTTTGCGTCGATTTCGCGCTTGCGGAGGGCTAGTTTGGCGAGCTCTTTTTCGTGGGAGCTTAGCTTGCTGGCTTTGGCCATTTGCATGAGTTCCGCAGGGGGGAGGTTGTTCTGTTCCAATCCTGGGATGGCGCCTTCGGATTGGGCTGAGGATAATGAGACTTGGTCGGGTTCACGGGGTTGTGCTGGCTCAGAGTCGCTCAGAGGGTTGTTCTGCTTGGACTGCGAGATCGGTGCTTCGTGGATACTTCTGGGGGAAGTACATGGCTGCTGGACCTGCTGTGAGAGAGTGATTGGTGTGGAATGTAGTCTAACACAGCCTGTGGCGCGTATCTTTCGAATCCAGTGTTGAGTAAGCCCGTGACGCTGGCAATGAGGCCATGGTGAGGATGGGTATCTATCTCGGTCGAGTCCGAATCTGAGTCTGAGTGTTCGTGGTCGGAACTCAGGCTGTCTGTTTCCCCAGACTTCGTGGTATTCTGCGAGTTCTGACTGGAGTCCTCGGACGACTTCTTCTGAGATTCCTCGTCTTGAGTAGCCCATTCGACGAACTTCGCAGCATCGGTTCCAACACTCTTAGGTGTGCCTTTGTCCACCATCCAGCGAGGGATGTTACCACCAGGATCACTTCGCGTGACCATGATCCACTCGACCGGGTGTATTTCTTCCTGAGCATGCTTCTCCTGGCCCGAATCATCTTTCGACGATTTCTCTGTACATCCCTTGGAGTCCTCATTGCTCGACGAGCTATCCTCGCGTTTCCTTGGAACCTCCCGAATGAGCTCCACAGACTCATACTCACCCCGCGTATACCCCGTCTTATGCGGTACATCAGGATGCTCACAAGGCTTAGATATCATCAACCAACTCCGACCAGCCTGCTTCGACCCACCAACCCGCAACCCAACCTCGGAAGTAACAATCATCGCGACAAAATCGCGCGGCGCGGTGGGTTTAGGAAACTGCGCCGAAACATGATAAACCATCACCTGGCCTAGCACCGAACCATCATCATCCTTAACCTCAATCGACTCAACCTTCTCCTCAGCTCCAATCCCCCGAATACTCTTATCAGGCGTCTGCCCCTTCTCAATCTTCTTCCGGTTGACCTTGAGCGTCTCGTCGTATTCGGAAGACATCTTCTCCTGCCATCGCGTGTATGGCATGCCCTCGTGCACACTCCGTCTTCCGAACCAAGAGCCGCCTCCGTCGTTCGCGGAAAGTTTCCACACATGAAGGCCGAGAGGGTTCTCTTTTGGCCCCCCAATTTTGATGGGTTTGCCCCATTGTTTCTGGAGTGGTGTGATGTCCGGGTCTGTCTCCGCCACTCGTGCGGAGGAGGGGGTAACTCGAGAGGATGGTGGGTTCTCTTCGTTCTCGTAGGGTGGAGGGTCTGGAAGAGATTCGGCGACGAGTCTGCTGTCCTTGAAGATTTCACGCACGTAATCGCGGAGGTCGTCGGGGGTTTGGGGGACTGCGTCCCAGGTCGTCGGTTTGAGGCATTGCAGGGCCTGGTGAAGAGTCGCCATGAGGGCGCGGATGTGGATTGATGAAGAATGCTTCGGATAATCGTATGGACAAGGTATCAGGTAGTTGTATGAGACCTGCATATCCAGGGAACATTCGTCAGCAATGGATTCGGAGTACAGCGAGGTCGTACCATCTGCGATCAGCGACCTTCACTAGAGCGACACTGGCATTCAATGAGAGCGTAAATCCAGTAGATCTTACCGATATTAAACAAGCACTATACAAGCGAGAAAACAGAACGATTGAGCCCCTGATGGCGGACAAGGGGCAGGAAGGTGAGATCGAGGGTAATTGCGGAGTTCAAAGAGCGGGGACCGACGGAGATGGCAACCACCGGATATGACAATAACACTGGCAGGTAACTCCCCAAAAGATCAGGGTGAAGTACCAGGGACTAACTTGTTCAATTCGCGTCTCCGTCCGTGCTTTCAAGAAAGATACAATCGCCACGGCACTGGAGTTCGTAGATCGACCGGCCAAGCCTGCTTCAGCCTGGATTTGCTGACGTCATGGGCCTGGAGCTGCGCCCGCTGTGGAACGACGTCTATACATCTGCTTGTGGTTTGTTTTTTTCTACTGAAATTTGGTCAGGGAGCTAGAGGATTGATATATGAAATTTCAATTTGCAATGTATTTTTACCCTTTGAAAATTCTCTAGGAATTTTTGATTTGGCTGGTTGGTTATTTGTTACCGAAAGCGTGGAAGTATCCTATGTGAAATCAGACAGATTGCATACCAGATGTAGGATAGTACTGTAGCTCAATTCTTACCGAAACAAAGGATCTGATAGCTTGGGATAGTTTCATGGCGAGACTGTTTTATAGGATTCTGGCACAGGAACAAACAACTACAGTGTACTGCTGAACAATTTGCGTGTACCTGATTCAACTAAGCTAAAAGATACATACAAATCAGACTAAGCTATAGTGACAAAAAACCAGGAGAAGAGAGACAGCCAGCGGAAGCGGACTAGCCGCCGATCGCAGACAAAAAGAACGAAAGTCCCAGCATCCGATTCCCGGTGTCGAGGCACAAAGAATGAAGACTCATCATCCAGTGATAGAGTCCCCCGACCAACCGAGCTCCTCCGGGTAATCAAACAAACCCAGCCCGGAGGGTATAGGAGATGAACCTAAATGCCAGCTGCAGTCATATGCCGATAAAATCTCGAGCATCGAGGGGTTGTGCCGTCCAACATCATCGCGTGGAGCGGGATGGAGGGCAAAGGTCGCAGACCTGACTCCATCCACGACTCCTCGCCCCCAGAGCTCGCCACAGGCGAGGGATCCGGATCAGACGAGGTGGTGGCGCTTGTTCTCGCCGCGGGGAACCATCGGCATAGACCACAGTAGGCGGGCAAAGGTATGGCTGGACCAGACATGTCAAATGTTGGCGAGCCATACCGTCGCGTAGACGTTCCTCAAACGACCCAGTGATGGCGTTTGCCAGTCCGGTCTCCAGAGACCAGAAGGAGTGTCCTTGACAAAGGATCAGACAGGGGGAATCAGCGCGCCGAAGCCGGTTCAACACGACCGAAGATCCCCCCTGTTGTCCTCTATTCAAACCGCGACGCGAGAATCAAAGACATAATGGACATTCCACATCCAACTTCATATCCCGTGCCGCGAGGCAAAACCTGGTCTTCATGACATATATGCGGGAAATGAAACAAAAGAGAAGTGAACACAAGAGCCGACCCGCCGCTTCTCGATGCAAAACGCAGACAAATAAATCAAAACGCTGACGCTGGCTGGTTAACAAGACAAAATAGCACAAAATAGCAGAAAAAGCAAAAAAATAAAAATAAAATAAAAAAATAATAAAAAATAAACGCGAATGCTGTCAAGAATTATTCGGGAATATTGATGCAATGGGCGACGTGGAGTATCAAAGATGCACAGAGTCATTCGAACGCCGTCAAGAATGCCAAAGTCGGGAATGCGGAGCGCGTTTCTTATTGTTGTATCGATTGCAAATTCGTCGCACGAAGAACGGACTAGGATCTTGGACGATCTACGTCAGGAATCCATAGTCTGGTTCTGTGACTGGAGGCTGAGGAGTCCCCGCGGGTAGGGAGTCGACACCAGGTCTACTCCGCGCCGGGAGCTAGATGGTCGTGGCATACTGCAGGGGCGCGAAGTTCTCCCAGCCGCCGAAACCGGCCATGTTGGCAGCCGTGCTGCAGGGTTGCACGAGCATGCTGGGCAGTGGCAGGGTGGCAATGGCCGCGGAGGTGGCCGCCATGCTGTCATAGGTCGGATACGGGGCCGTGGTGTAGGGTTGGCTGTAAGACGGGGTGGGCGAGGGCAGTTGGGCGTGAGGATCACCGAAACCAAGACTGGCCCAGAGATTCGCGTTAGAATCGCCCGTGCTCGCCGGGGATGGACTGGGCGGCATTACTTTCCACGACTCCATCTGCGACGCGTTGGGATGCCACCAGGTCTCTGAACCCGTCGAGCTGGGCAGTAGCGGAACTGGGCGCAGGACATCGACCACGCGCGGCGGCGGAGGCAGCAGAGGCACGAACAGGCCCGAGATGGCGGACTGGGCGTCCTCGCTGCGGCCGCAGAGGAGCTCGCCGGCCCCGTCTTCCTCTAGGCCCTCGAGGGCTTCGGCATCGGTGCGGTAGACGAACTTGTTCGCGGCTTGCACGAACTCATCCTGCAGCTTCTTCAATTGCGCTTGTTTGCCCGACCAGTCCCACGTGTTGGCGGCGGCGTCGACGGAGTAAATCTCTTTGTGAAAGTCCACCAGGGCTTCGATCGTCTCCGGGGTCAACTTGAATACGACTTCGTTGCGGGATACCATGTCGACGTGCACCACGTAGGCCTCCATATGGATCATCTGGTAGTTGAAAAGGCCTTCCACGAGGGGGTTATCGTCCTTGCGCAGTTCTGAGTCGGGTGCTTTGGTGAACATCATCGAGCAGAGGGTCCAGATCGCATTGTTCGACGACAGTGTCTCGGTCAGACAGCGCGTATGTTGGGTGACGTTGTTCAGCGGGCGCTTGACTCGGTTGACTCGCTTGAGGGTCGCAGTCAACCACGGCGCGACTTTGGTGTTGAGGACGACATTGGGTGACGAGCGCGGCGCAAAGGCGGCCGCCGATGAGGGCAGTAAGACGGTGGGCATTATGACTCTGGGCGACAGTTGGGTGATACGTCCGGCGTTTCTTTAGTTAGCTCCACAGTCGAGAAAGAACGAATAAATATAAAGACTTTATAGAAAGTTGGCGTTATAAAAGAATGTAGGTCGGAAGCACAATCATAAAGGCGACATTCGCCCACACAAGTTGGAAGATTCCCTGGAGATGGTGTATTTCTGAATCTCGTTTAGATCGATCGCATCCTCCGTGGAGGGCCTGACAGTTGGAGAGGTTGAAAAGAAGGCGCGAAGACTAATTAGTGCGGGCGAATGCGCAAAGAAGAAAAATTTAGATATAGCGAGAGAAGACGAAGGCAGGCAGCGTTTGAAGTAGGAGTGGGCGGTGGGGACGAGTATAGTTGGGATGTACGTGTGTATGGTATTGCCGGCTTGCGAGGGTAGGGCTCGTATCTGGGTGTATGCAGGCGGATGGAGTCGGTACGGTACGAGTATCGCCTCTCGGACTCCCCGAGTGGCAACGCAGTATACTCACACACTACACTACCCAAGGTGAACACCAGCGGACTAGCTACGGCACAAGATGCATTTGAAACGCAGACCAACCGCCGTTGAAACAGTCAAACTTGATCGTATCGTTCTCCTCCTACATACATTGGCTGAGGAGGAATGTAGGGCTACTGAGTCTCACGGCCTGCGCGTTGCACATCCATTCGACCAGTGCCATCTGCAAGATGCCCCAAACTGCAAAAGCTAAGCCCCGATGATCCGCGCGAAAAGTGCGGGCCAGCTAATCCTCCGAGATTCCTGTTTAGGTCTGCCGGGGCGCTTTGCCTCGCGCACAAGTCGTGTTGACTCGACGGCACCGAAAGATCTTCAGCTGGCCCTGTTGCTCCTTCGCCTTGGGTTGCCAGAGATTCCAAGGTGTGTATGCACGGTACTGCATGCGTCCTCAGAGTCGACATGGGCCTCATGCACCGAAACATAATCATTTCTACAGATGTCTCTAGACCGTCCCATCTCGCTGGTTCCGGCCTGGAATCTTCAAGCGCCTCCATGCAGCTAACGACTCCACAAACCCTACTCGCCTCTCCAGGCCCGGTCGACGCTACGCAGAATGCCGCCAGAGCAAGATCGCACTGCAGAATCCCACGTTTCTCAACCTGGATCACGCCCGTTGGTGTTTCAGGAGGAATCAAAGGGGGAAGGTTACAGCAGAACTGCAGAAACTCGACACACCCCCTCGTCCACACACACACCCTCTCTCTCCCGTTCATTTTCGGATGTGTCGACTGCACTAGTCCACCACAACCATGGACGCCCCCAGCTGATGGAGGGTCGAGCAGACGTGGGGCAGCCCGGTCTTGGGCCGCTTCAGCACGCGGATTCGCCGACGACCGAAGCCGGCCGATGCGCATCCCAGCTGAGATCCCTGCTGCGATCTGCGATTGGGCTGAGCCTCGACGGTCCGTCATCGCTAGACTTTGGGGAGGCGCCCACTTCCCTTCCTCCACCTTTGCGAGTCACCACTGGAATGTATGTACGAGGTACGATACCGGTTATTTCGTGCTGCCCTCGGATTTTCCCCCGTGAACCCGGTGATCTCATCCCACAGCGCCCCTTTTCCTATATCGTGCCCACCACGCGCATTGGGGTCTGTCTCGTGCAATCACTGGTTCCCGTTTCATAAACCCTGAAGCCTGGCGGCATATGAGTTCGATCATGTGGTCTGGAGTGTGTATTGGGGGGAGGAGGCACAGCGCCGGTTGGAATCGGAGGTAGGCTTTGATTCAGCACGGTACAGTAGACAGGCAGCTTCGTCATTTCTGTGCTCCGCATTGCATCGCGCAAGATTTTTTTTCTCGTTGTTGGTGCCCGAGTCTCCGATAAGCGGGCAGAATCAACGCACTTCCTAAAATAGGACCATGTTGACTGCACTGCCACACGGCGTCTGCGCCACGTCACTCGCCACCATGTGGCTGTTGGGTATCGAGCCGAACAGCCGGGAAGAGTTAGTTCTACCCTAGGGCCTAACTACGACTGGAGTAATGTTTGATCTATTAATGCCCTTATGCTTAATGATCCATACTATTCAGCGCTTAGGAGGATTTATCCGAGGGAAATTGCGTTGCTTGCCAATCAATTCGTATGAAACGTCGATCACTCAAACTACCCTCTCCTCACCCAAGAGCCCTACAAATGCAAGATGAGGCTTCCCAAACATCCCCATCGAATATTATTGAATATTGCCCTGGGTTCGGGTCATCGCGACAAGGACTGAAGAGTTCCACCTGGTAGAAAAATAAATTATGAGTCATATTGGGTCGATGACGCTGAATTTGAAACCGAGCTGCCGTCGATCCTACGCCGATTGCACTATACGGAGAATTTCGCAACGATAGATTGTCGCATGACAGACAGACATCGAGAATACTTGATGATGCATCACATAGTGACAGATGAGTCATTCCTTCAAGGTAATGTTGAGAATCGGTCGTCAGGGCCGGGGTGGATATCGGTGGAAAATTTGCAAATTGTAGATCAGGTTAGGATCGAGATCGCATCACTGTTTGAACTGCGTCTGTAACCCTGACGGATGACCCCAAACCAAAAGGTCCAATATGATACATCACTTACACTCAACGAGAAGATCAGTAGTTTCGGGCAATATCAAACTTCCATGTCTAGTTAGCATCCGACGGGTCAGCGTTCCGTGGCCTGTCCCAGTTGCCGGTCGTCAAAGTTTGAGACAGGGTGTCTAGACTCGGGCACCGCCGACGAAAGAGCTTTTTCAATACAGAAATGATTGACTGTTCTCATATGGATCTAGTTTCCAAGAAGGATAATTGCATCTCTATGTTTTCTGTGGAGCCGAGCGCCCGACGACAGTACACTATGATGCAGATGAAAAGTCACACTATACCTGCACCTGTAAACTGAGAGCAACAACGCAGACACCTGACAAAATTAGGAACACCAACAACATCCTCGGCTCTACAACCTGCTATACAAAATGGGGAAAATAGATATTGCGACAAAATAACCCACACAGCCACCCATAACCAATCTAGTCAAACTGCAGCACCTGAACCAAGCCACCCATTCAAAATCTTCAAGACCATATCCCGAATTCTCCCTCAAGAAATTCTAGACCACTGGAAAATCAACAAGATCTCAACCAAGGTTCCGGGTTTGGGCGCCGAGATATTTTTACGACACGGGCGCTTAGAATCGCACATCAGCCAATGACGGTTATTGCTGACACCGTTCGACTTCCCTTTCTGGCAAAAAAAAACCCACCGCCTGTATGGCATAACAGGCCATATTCTGGAGCGGTCTGAGCAGCATTTAGATCATTACGTATGTGTGCTTGGATTCTTCCCTCCGAGTCGGGAGTCAGTATGGGGTCGATTCCTTTGTTTTTTGGATCTGGTAGCGCCGACCCGGGAAATGCTCTTGATCAGAGATATCACACCGCTGTTTAGGTTTGTGGCCGGATATTTTGTTATGATGTGTTTTGCATACGGGATGGTAATAATGGTTTTGTTTTGGGGGTTGTTTTACTGGTGTTTCGTGGGTTATGGTCATTGTTCTCACGTGATGCAAGCCTGTTCCGATGGCAGGTAGTGAGTCTGGAGGCATATATGGATGTCGGAAATTATCTGAAAGGTCACGAGGTTAGCAAACGTTAAACTGAATCATCTGATTAGATTTTCTTTGCCGACACTTTCAATGCGTCCGATATCATGACGCACCTGACCATTCTGAAATGGGATGGATACCATATGATCTTATCACTTCTGCTAATGTATGCCTATTTAAAGTATCCGATCATTTTGTGCATGCCATTCAGGCGATCTAAATTTAGAAGCACCACGATATTGACAAGAACATTATAACAATATACTAACCTAAATCACTCGAGAAACTCACCACCAGTCTCTTTCAGTAACAACTGATACTACGGCTCAACCTGCATATACATTGCTTCCGGCGAGCCCGTGCCTTTCTTGGTATACACAGCAGTCTCATAATCAACAAAAGACTTCTTCAGCTCACTCGAAACAGCCCCAAGCGAGCCCGGCGCAGTAGAAGCTTCCACCGAGAGCTGTGCTTGACACGCGTGTTCAATCGCGATGAGAAAAGCCGCTGCTTCCGCGACCGTTCCACCGGCCGTAAGCAGGCCATGATTCTGCATTATCAGATTTTTATTCTTAGGACTGAGGTAGCTTGCAATTTGCTGGCCTTCTTCTTGTGTGAATACCACGCCGCCGAATGCTGGGTAGACTGAAATGTCGTCGAAGAACATGCAGGAATCTTTAGACAGAGTTAGCAGCCTCAAAGTAGATGTGGCGGCAAAAGCGAAATCCATACCTTGATTGATAATATTGATCGGTTTCCCGAATGTACTCCACGCCCTCCCGTAGGGACTATGCATATGGCATGCGGCATGGATATCAGGTCGTCGCTGGTGAATAGCGGAGTGGATCATGAATCCAGCGGTGTTGACGGATTTGTCGGCACCATCTACGCGAATGCTGTTTTCATCGATGCGGACCATGTCTGATACCTTCAATAGGGCAAATAGGCTTTATTCGGAAATTGGACGACACCATGTTAAAGTGGCGAACCGCCGGGCGGAAACACCACGGTTATACAACAAAAAGTCACGCACAATCGTGACCTTTTCGCCGTTACCCCGACTTACTCCGTACGGGTTGACCCAGAAATTCTGGGGCTCGATAGGATCTGAGAAGATTAGTTACTGATGAAGATCTTGACGATGGGCTTTAATCATGTACCGCGTAAGCTAATGTGTCCGCTGCTCCCGTCGGCGAATCCGAGTTTCGCGAATACGCGAAAGGCAACTGTCATCTGGCCGAGTTTCCATTGTCGCTCTGCTTCTGTGATTGCGGGCCGTGGGATATGGTGAAGCCGTTTTACTTCGCCGTTGCTGGATTTTTCTGTATTCAGGACCGATGAGAGCGTCTCGTTTTTGAGAATCTTTGTTATGGAGGACATGATACGATGAAAATGAGACTGATTCGGTGGTTTGCTGGAATGGAACACGTCCGAAGTAAGATACAGGGTTACACTTGCTCTTAGTAGATGCTAGGAGAGGAGAGAAGTGCGTAGTCCATTTAGTTCATGGCACGGCGTTTAGGGCAACCAAGGTCATCTATGGCGAAACATAGCATACAAAGCTAATTTTATGCTCGAGAAAAGTGACTATGTTTAATCTCCTTCTCAAGTCTCGAATTTAAAATAGGAGAATGCCATATACAGGTATGTCAATAGTTGTCCGGGTACTTGGAAGAGATCGGGATTTGCTGGGAGTTCCTCGTCCAGACTGGGATTGCCTTCAACCACCGTCACTATGCAGCCTTGTGAGAGCCACGCACTAACTTCAAAACGATACCATTGCAATCCTCCTCTGTATTCATTCAAAATCGCGAAAGACTTCTACGACTTACGGTGATGACATCGGCTCCCGACGCAGGGGAAGCTAACCCCGCAACCGATGCGCACGAGAACAGCTTCTCGCCCGCACCATCAGAGAACTGCGAGGATAAACTGAAGCAATCGTCCGCCAAAGCAGGAGGTACTGGACAGAAGAGGCTATAGATCTTTCCCGCGGCAAAGAGGCAAAAAAACCAAGCGGGAAGGGTGAGTGGCAACGTACCAAAGAGGGGCAAACCGACTACGCAGACGACCTCACCATCTCTCCCGGAGAGCTTCAAAAAGCACAACCGTGAAAATGCTCTCATTCCTCAACCTCCCGCCCGAGATCCGCCTAATTATCTACGCATACTCGCTAAACCCAAATGAATATGTCAGTGGCTATCGCAAAATAGAGCTCCTAGCGGCTGCGGAAATGGACCGTGCCCGCGGCCCTGTCTGTGCCTACCCACGACCATATATTGAGCGCAATACGCCTGCCATCCTCCTGTTAAATCGAAAAATTACGAAAGAAGCACTCGAGGTTCTATACAAGATTCCGCTGAATCTGTACAGTCCCCCGCCTACTTATTTCGTGATGCGGCGGATGGATATTACGGAGTTTATCGGCGAACCTTTGTTGCAGAGGATCCAGCATGGTGTTTTGAGGTTGGATGATGCTTCAAAGCATTTTATCTCGACGTTGTTGGATATTTGGGGGAAGGCCAATAGCTTACAATCGCTGCATGTGTACCGTTCAAAACATACTCCGTCTCCCCCTCGTCATTGGAAGGTTGTCGAAGATAGGGTACTTCTCCACTCAACTATTTTGAACATAAATTCGTTGTCTAATCGAGGTGACAGCTCCGAACATTTTCAGAAAGCTCTGTACCGATCACATGGCACCGAGTCGACGACCCGCTCAAGGCCGATTACTGCGAGACAACGGAGCCTCCGAGGCCATCACCCCTTGGAAAGCTTCTTGTATCATCGACACAGAGAGGAAATGGTGGAATCGACTCAGAAGATGGCTTTCACGAATAAAACATACCCGAAAAGCCCGATAATGACGCCATTGTTTGCCTTTTGTAGCGAATGACCTAGCGCCAAGTGGAAAAGTTATCTCACAATCGGTTGGCAAGATTAGACCGAATCTTTCTCATTGATGACCCGGCACCTGATTTCAAAAAACCAACCACGTTGCTACATTGCTTTGCCGCTCAACTGACGAACTTGGAAAAGCTATATTCGAAATGGCCAATCACTTCATCATGCAGTTGGACGGCAAATGGATACCATCGAAATATTAGGATATCTCATCAAAAGTGACACCGATCAACTCATTATGTACGGAGCACCCAGACAGTCCTTCTTGGATGTTGTTCTGTTTCATTGATCGCAGTAATGCACCTGGCTCGGCAAAGCGAATGCAGCCCGCTACTGATGGGCGTAAGAGCGCCTCAATCTCGTTGCTTTCAGAAGTGCAAAATGTTTGGTTTTATTGAGCAGGATGTCCAGAGAAAAATTCATGTAGCTACAAAAAGCTATAATCTACGCACCAACAACCTTTCTGGGCCTATGTCATAGAGTAACATCCAAATGGACCAAAAGACGCCAACTGAGTCCATTTGTAGATCAGGGGCTAAGCGAGCTCCCCAGGGACCGCGCATTAGCTCGAGGTGTCGGGACGGTGATCACACGACAAGGATAACTGGCCATAGAACCCTCATTTCCGAGGTAGCTGACCTACGAAGATCGTTACGTTCGCCGGTGGAAGATAGACTCCGTCTCCGAGTCTGCCGCTTCGAAGAAAGCTAGAAAGTGTTAGCACGGACGCACCCATGGATCCTATTCGCCGTTTTTCATGAAGATCGACCAGGGGCACGAGGCTCGGGATCGGATGAAAAGTCATTTTGGTATATTCCAGTTGGAAATAATCTGGGAACGGATGTAGAACCGCAGCCGGAAAAGGAACTAGTTTTGGCATTGAACTATGGACATCAATCTCCGCATATTTCAGATGTTCGACTTGTTGGCTAAACATTCTAATAGCGATAAATCTGAATCGATCAAACTCTGCATCGGGGTTTCCCTTCAAGCGAACCCCGACAACTTGAACCCCGCGCCGATCTCCCCGCTAGCAACGCTCGCGAAGAACGGAGGCTCCACTGGGGTCCAATTGCTCCGCTTGCTTTGAATTGACCCTTGCAGGGTTCCCTGCTTTGTGTGCGGGTGTCATGCAGCCACCCGAGAAGCATTTCGGATACGAACTATACCCTCGATCCTGAGCGAACTGGACCGAGTCGGGATTCGAACTGTTTGTATCACATTATGATAGAACTGACGTACGAGCGACTTGGAATTCTCCTCCGGTCCCTGTCATTGCACAGTCGTCAGGGCAGCACGCGAAATGAGACATGCAAACTCAACGCCCCAAACTATCATTGTGTAGAGATCCAAACCCAGAAATCGAGATTCACAGGCATTTCCAGTCAGGATCTACAGCAGGAAAAGAACAGAACTGGGGAGCCCCAAGTCGCTTGATGGGATCTATTTCAGTCCAGTCATCGTCCTAGCGATCTAATCTGCTGGGTAACAACGAGACACCAAAACAGGAAGTGCTGGTTGACAGGAGATCAGCAACTTGACGATGAAGAACCCACTCTGACTGAACCCCAAGGTAAGCGAGCGGGCAGTCAGGTACCCGTCCATTCTCATTAGCCAAGAACATACTTGTCAGTGCTGATCTGCAAGGGCAAGGGCAGCCATTCGGTCTCCGGACCCTGAGCAGAACACGCGAACACGTCGTATCGCATTTTCCCGCTTCTCTCGTTCATCTTCCCCGCGAGACCAAGACACTAGCTGCGCTAGTCTGTCTTTCCATTGGCTGAATAGGAACAATGCTCCAGATGGGACCGTTCGCTTTCGTTCCGGTCCAAGGATATAGAGATCCAGCGCGTGAAGTCCAACCACGGCCGTCCAACGCGGGTCGGAAAGGGGAACTTCTCCTTTTCAGGGATTGACATCAGAGAAGGAAAATGGAGGTTTGGGGTGCAAATCCTCACATGTGGAGTGCAAGTGTCCTCGGCCTGACCCCGCTGCTGGCTTGAGAGCGGATCTATGGAGAGTAATGTCCGGTTCATAAAAGGGGACCACCCAGAAGCACCAGTCTTGGATTTCCTTAGACGTCAGCTCCCGGCAAACATTCCCCGCCGCGTTCGTCCCCTGCGTGCGTGCAGATCGACAATCCAAAATGCGCTTCTCCGCTGCCTTCATCTCAACCCTCGTGCTGTCTGGCACTGCGTTGGCCGGCCCTAATGTCCAGCCCAGTGTCAGCTCCGAGGCAGGAACGGAGACCACTTCTGTTGTCCACGTCCAGGAAAATGTTGCCAATGCTGCGAATGCAGCTACGAGCTCATCAGAAACCCCGGCCATTCACCAAGCTGCTCCAACGACCGAAGTGAACAGCAAGAACGACGACGATGTTGCTTCCAACACTGCCACCGCTGCACCGTCAACACAAGAGAGCAAGGATGCTCCCCAGACAGTCCACGCGAACTCAGCCGAGTCGAATAAAGATCCCTTGAGCGTGGACAGCATTATCCCTTCTTCCACTGGCGCCAGCTCGCCGGCCGCGGAACCAACCGAGACACCCTCATCGCAAGTAGCCAGCAGTGCTGCGAATAGTGCCACTGGCAGTGTCACTGGCAACTCCAAGACGGCCACTGGCACCCAGTCTGCGACGCCCTTTGCTACCCCTGGTGGATATGCGAATAGTATCCACGCTGATGGTGATGACGATGGGAATCTGCTTTCGTTCGACGGCACCTTCCTCGACTCTTTCAAGGACTTCGTGAGCTTCTTGGAAGGCGTTAAGGGCCTTCTGGCTCCTACTCTGCTAGGGGACATCGAGTCATTCTTCCACCACGTTGCCTACCTCCTCGATGACAAGACCACGGACCAAACCAAGGCCTTGATCGATACTGCCTCCAGCCTCCTGACCAAGAGCCTGATCAATAAGCTTACTGGTCTGCTCGAAAACGCCAGCGAGCTCTTGACTGCGGACTTTATCCATGAAACCAAGAGTCTCATCGGCACTGTCGCCCCCGTGCTTACGCCCGAGCTGTTCAAGGAGATCAACAGCCTTCTTGAGAATGGCAACAACCTCTTGAGTCCCGATTTTGTTAAGGAAACTAAGGGCCTCATCAACACCGTGGCTCCTTATGTGACACCCGACCTGCTGAAGGAGGTGAATACCCTTCTCAAGAACGGCAATACCCTCCTGTCCCCCAGCTTTATCAAGGAGACTAAGGGACTCATCAACACTGTCGCACCTGCTGTTACTCCTGAACTCCTGAAGGAAGTCAACAGCCTGCTCCAGAATGGCAACAGCTTGCTCAGCCCCGACTTCGTCAAAGAAACCAAGGGCCTGATCAACACCGTTGCCCCAGCCGTTACCCCCGAGCTCCTAAAGGAAGTCAACAGTCTTCTTCAGAACGGCAACAGCCTGCTTACCGCCGGTTTTGTCAAGGAAACAAAGGGTCTTATCGACACCGTTGCTCCCGTGGTCACATCCGAGCTTCTCAAGGAAGTCAACAGCCTTCTTACCAATGCCAACGCACTCTTGACTCCGTCCTTCGTCAAGACCACTGGCGGACTGATCGACGGTATATCGCCCATGATCACTCCCGAGCTGCTGGACAACGTATCGTATCTGCTGGGCAATGGCACGAGTCTCTTGAGCCCTGGTTTCGTCAACGATACCCGGACTTTGGTCACTGGTGTTGCGCCGGTCATTACCCCCGATCTGCTGGCTAAGGTTGGAAACCTGCTTGGTAACGCGAATGATCTACTTTCGCCCAAGTTTGTGAATGAGACGGAGACTTTGATCGAGGATGCTTCTGAGGTGAGTTCTCTTCTGGATGGAATATTGGTTGATCAATGCTGACTGATATTTTTAGCTGCTGCCGCTCGCCATGAAGTTGATTGATTCTTTGTAAGGGAGGTGACGGTGTATTGCATATTGTTTGTTTTGGTTTCTTTTCTTTTCTTCCAAATAGCTTGACACGAATAATCACGGTCACTCATGGTTAATGCCTGAGTACGGCAAAATGTTAATACGACTTAATTGGATGATCTTTTCGGTCATCTGGCCTCTCATAACCAGGTTCGGAACAAATCGAGTTGAATCAAGGTGTATATCGAGCCCAGACTGGCACTGATCGTAGGAAGATGGAATGAGTTCGAATGTGGTATTCATATTTTAAAAAAGAGTTGGTATATGGATGCACAAAGTCTCTGATTTGCTAAGCATGACTGAATACTCTCATGTAGAGGATATCTTTTCCTGAACAGCTCCTGATCGTTCGGGGAAGAGACTGAGCCCATTGGTCAAATCGTAGGTGGTGCTCGCGGAAGTTGATTGCCTTAGCATCGTCGGAAGAGCTGATAAATCCCAGCCAAAATTCGGAAGTGGCAATGTGCTCCTGATCGCGATTTATATCAATCATATGAAAGGCCGTTGATAAGGGGTTTTCAAGGATAGGGCTGCCCGATCAAGCTGGCTCTCTATGTGATCGCATGGAAGCTAACGAGAACTCTTTGGGTCGTGGCCTATCGCGTTGTACTTGCCCGTTGCCGCCACCGTCGTCGTCGTTGCCGCGGTCATTGCTGTGCATATCAAGTCCTTTTTCTCTCGGAGCGGGCATGCTGATGTGCCTCCTCGATGGCACGGGCCACTTGGTGGCCAATGGGAGTAGAAGGCAGACGAACGCTTCCATTCTGTTCGGAATAAGGCATGGGTTCCATGACCATGTTGGTTGATGTTTCTAATTTTTAGAAAGCGCTCTCACGGACCTGGTCGTTCACATCTCTCAAGAAGGGATATCCGAGGCCTTCACTTCTTGGTATTTCGAGAGAACTTTCATCTCCGTATCGCGTTCCTTGATCTTCTTGTCGATAGCCTTTTGGACCTGCTCTCGCTTCTTGCTGACCTCCTCAATCTTTCGCTTCGCCTCCTTAGCCGCCAACTCCTGCGCCCTCAAAGCACTCTCCTTGTCCGGGAATTGTTGCTGCAATTGCTCGAGTTGCGCGCGAACATCCTGCTCTTCTAGCGGCTGGCAGGTGACCGGGTGGTACTGGTAAATCGGGAGTGGTCCCTCCGGTAGTTTGAGCTCCGGCAGATCAGGGTGAATTGGAGTGGTCCGGATTGGGGAATCGAGAGGGACTGCCGGGCTCTCAGAGGGAGGTGAGAGTAAAGATGCCTCGGTTTTGACCATAATCGCGAATCGGCGAGATATATGATGTGAAGGTTGTAATCCACGCGGACGACTCGTGATGGTTGCGAATGGGTTGTGCGACGAGTCAACTCCGGTAAGGAGCCCGACTTAGGAGACGTAGGAGGTGGTTTGACAGAGAAGAGACAGGCTGGGCCGAGCCGTTCTCCGCGCGAGGTGCGTAAATGGGCCGTCTCGGCCACCGTAGAAACTCCGGAGATTCTGCCGCGCATGCCGTTGACCGCCCAATCATCGTCATGCGCGGAGAGACGGGGACAACGACATCGCGCAACAACATTCATGGCCACGTCGAAATCGCGTCTCAAAATTGACATCAGTCCTTTGGGAAGGTCCAGGTCGGACCAGTTGCTGTGCACTTAACGTCCGGTACGCGGGCGAAGAGATCCCGACGGGAACATCTTGTCTCAAATTAAGGGCCACTTCGTCGCATATCAATTCGAGCTACTATGCAGGCATTCGGTAAGTCGCGCCTGTCTCGCCTTATCGCATTTCCACATGCATACGAAGAATATTCGACGCGAAAATTATTGCTAATATACTACACCTCTAGTTCCAAAGAATCGAAGGGTAAGCTTCGCCTTGCTAGAGATCAAACCAGAAACTAACCGTACTATGCACATGAAGCCCAGGTTTGAGCTTGTTTTAAGGGTATGGTTCGACCTATTCCAATCACTGAACCAAATGGCTGACTGAGGTGCTAGATAAATGACATAAACAATGTTCCCCTAGGGAATGGTGTTGCCTGGGTACGATGGCGTCTACCGTCAGCAGTCGCCGCAGAGCATCAGGGACATACGGAAAAGGCAACCCTCAGTGACCACCGCGCATACTGGAACTACGAAAAATCCCTGACGGTGAGACTCACAATTGACAGGACGTCAATACTCCAGGACTGCGATATCAACTTTGAAATCATCCAAGAGTTCCACAACTCATCTGAAAAGAACGTGCTTGGAAAAATCAAGCTTAACCTTGCCGAATATGTGGACAAAGTCGAAGAAGATGAAGGTGTCGTCAGGCGGTATCTTATGTTCGACAGTAAAGTCAACAGTACTGTCAAGATCGGGATCGCAATGCGCCAGATTGAGGGAGATCGTGTTTTTACCACGTATGCTTCATTACCGTGCCACCGTTTCGGAAAGTCCCAAGACTAACACAAAGATAGGCCACATCTAAAATCTGCCACGGTATTCGGAGGAATCGCAGGTGTTGTGCACTCCTCTGAGCCGGTGGACTCGGACGAGCTGGGCCAAATGCCTTCGATCAACACCAAAAGCAGAGAAACTGCTGACATGCAAGACCTGTATCGACGAACACTAGCAGCCTCATGGACCTCTCGATCATGCGATCTTCCTGCCGATAAGATGATTGAGGAACTATTCTCTGGTGGAGGATCCTGGAATATCGAAGCCCACAACTTTGCAGATGGAGACTATATCGGACATGATAGTCGAGATGCCTTTTTGGACCCAGAGGCGGGTGCCAGAAAATCTCGCTCGGGCAAAAGGCTATCACCTAGCTTGTCTCCGGGATTCGAGAGGCGTCCGAAGAGCTCTTCGAGTAATCATTCCAGAGGTAGCGCAAAGACGCCAGAGCCCTTTTCTACTCTCGGACATCCTCAAAAGAGCGGCAGCATCGAACAACAGCTATATGACGGGGCAAAGGGTCGCGGTTGGAAGAGTCGGCATGCTGAGCATGAACTTTCCGAATTCGACGTCAGAGAAGATCTGCGAAGTTGGGAAGTAGGATCCAATAATTGACTTGCCATTTGAGCAAGTTCTTAAGCACTACGAAACACAAGCTACCTTCACACGTTGAGCTTAACTCCATAGTATTATGGTACAGCAAAGAATTAAAAAATTCTCCTGGCTAGATATTAGAAGTTGCAATGTGTGTTCGTAAGCGAAGTATAGTTTTTTTTTGGAATGGACTATGTATAAACAGAATATGATATACAGGCTAAATCGAATTTGTCGGGGACCATCCATGGATGGATTGAATTGATGCGTAATCGATATATTTTCATCACGACGAATGTTTTCAAGTATTTGCGAACCCTACCGTAGTTATATTGGTGCTAGTTGGTGCCAACTATGAGCCGATCAACTACATTCGCGAGCGGGGATGGAATCGGGACCGCGGAAGAACTGGGGCGGAGGGAGCGGGGTATCACATGACGCTGCTCTTGACGTGTGACTGCTTCTCCAAACATCCGCTCAAACCACACGACAAGACACTGGGTTCCGAAGAGGTGCGAACTCGAACTCGGTCGGACAACTGTCGATTTACTCTCAGTCAACCTGAGCAAGCGCCCAGCGCCAGCCCTCCCAACATACCCGATCCTTCTCCCTCCTTCAGCATGAAGATCTGAAGATCATGCGTGCGCAGTGATCACGGTTTACGGCATGGAGAGAACACGGATTGCCAAGGTGAGTAGCCTCTGTGATATGATCAATGGCTTTGTTTGTGTATTCATGGTCGTCTCCTCCTCTCAGGTTGACAATGTGACCTTGACTCGCCGTGGTGAGCAAGTCGATGGCACCCTCCACCTCACCCCTCACCATCTCATCTTCTCCCACTTGCCTCCGATATCGAGCGAAGACCAAGCCAAAGGCGTAACCATCAGGCCGAAAGAGCTTTGGATTACGTACCCGATCATCTCGTTTTGCACGCTGCGACCGGCACCCGCAGCGTCCCGCCAACCCTCCTCCATCCGCCTTCGCTGCCGAGACTTTACATTTGTCTGCTTCTATTTCTCCAACGAGCACAAGGCTCGTGAGGTGTATGAAAGCATCAAGCAATGGACTTGCAGATCCGGTCGGATCGATAAACTCTACGCTTTTTCCTACCAGCCACCCCCGCCGGAGAAGGAATTCAATGGGTGGGACTTGTATGATCCGCGCACGGAATGGGCGCGCCAAGGACTCTCGAAGGAAAACTCTGGATGGCGCATTTCTGAAATCAACACTAACTATGAGGTTTGTTGTTCTATCCTATTGACCGTCTGATCCTTCAAATGCTAATCGCACCTCCAGTTCTCTCCGACCTATCCCGCTCTGATTCCCGTGCCTTCCAGCATCTCCGACAACACAATAAACTATGCAGGGCGATATCGCTCTAGGGCTCGAATTCCAGCCCTAAGTTACCTCCACCCTGTGAACAACTGCACCATCACTCGAAGTTCGCAGCCACTAGTTGGCGTTCGCCAGAACCGCAGTATCCAGGATGAAAAGTTGTTAGCCGCCATCTTTTCAACCTCTCGTTCTGAGCGGCCATTGGCTAGCTTTTCTCAACCTCAACTGGAGAAAGAGGCCTCAGGCTCAAGCAATGATAGTGCGGAGTCCAGCCAGACTGATCCGGACATGTCAAATGCAGAGGAAATTGAGGATGACTTGCTAGCTACCGCCCAAGGCATCCCTGAAGAGCAACAAGCGATTTACGGGGCTCAGCAGCAGAACTTGATTGTTGATGCGCGCCCGACCGTCAATGCCTTCGCCATGCAAGCTGTCGGCTTAGGATCGGAGAACATGGACAATTACAAGTTCGCTACCAAGGCCTACCTGGGTATTGACAACATTCATGTGATGCGTGATTCGTTAAACAAAGTAATTGATGCCTTGAAAGAGACGGATGTGACTCCACTTGGGCCGAACCGCGATCTGCTCGCGCGGAGTGGATGGCTGAAACATATTGCTGGTATTCTGGACGGTGCAGGGCTGATTGCCCGACAGGTTGGCCTGACACATTCTCATGTTCTGATTCATTGCTCTGATGGTTGGGATCGAACCAGTCAGCTGAGCGCTTTGAGTCAAATCTGCTTGGATCCGTATTTCCGGACCATGGAAGGTTTCATGGTCCTAGTGGAGAAAGATTGGCTTTCTTTTGGCCATATGTTCCGGCATCGGTCTGGTCATTTGAACAGCGAGAAGTGGTTCCAAATCGAGAATGAGCGCATTGGCGGAGATGCTAATCGCGGGTTCGGCGAAAGTGGTGGTGCAGGAAAGGCGATCGAGAATGCCTTCCTCAGCGCCAAGGGTTTCTTTGGTCGAGATAACAACAGTCGAGACTCTTTGCCGGACTCTGATGGAGAGCTTCAAAGCTATGATTCCGACAATCCGGCCTCCCGAAAGCCTAGTTCATCGCCTCGATCTGCCGTCCCCGAAAAAGAAATCACGAAGGTGAAAGAGACGAGTCCCGTGTTCCATCAGTTCCTGGATGCCACATACCAGCTACTCCATCAGTACCCCACACGCTTTGAGTTTAATGAGCGATTCCTGCGCCGACTTCTTTACCACCTTTATGCCTGCCAATTCGGAACGTTCCTGTTCAACAATGAAAAGGAACGTGTGGACACCAATGCTCGTGAGAGAACCAGAAGTGTCTGGGATTATTTCCTTGCTCGACGTGAGCAATTCACAAATCCGCAATACGACCCTGAGGTGAATGACCACCAACGTGGGAAGGAGCGATTGATCTTTCCCCGCGCCAACGAGACTCGCTGGTGGAGTGAATCTTTCGGTCGAGCAGATTCAGAGATGAACGGGCCTCGCCCGTCAGACTCATCTCCGCCTTCTGGCAGGGAGAGTCCTAGCGTGAACCGTACGCCTGTCTTGACTGGCATTGAGACTGCGCAGCAGTCTGCTGGAACGGGAGGCGCCAGTACGAGTGCGGCAGTATCTGGATTGGCCGCTGTCACCTCTGGTATATCAAATCTTGCAGTGTTAAAGAACCCGCAAGCTGGGGGAGAAGAGAATAAACCCAAGCAGATGGAAGTTGAGATGCAGTAAAATAGGGATGTTCAAGAGATTAAGAGATTCCGGGATGACGTGTCATGCTTTTAAATGTTGATTTGGTACATCAACATTCCCCACTATGAAGCGTTCTGAAGATAAACAAGCACAATACAGCGGCGGTCATCAGCATCAGCAGCCAGTTTGGGAGTCTAGCCAACGTATGTCTGTTCAATATACACATAAACACCAGTACATAGGCTGCATTAGGGTGAAAATGGATGTACCTCGTCTCCAGTTTACGAATAGAAACAGTCATTCGTGCTGTACGAGCATCCTTCCCACCCATTGCCAAGCCTCCGCAGGTGCTCTATGAAATACATGCATTGAATGCAATCTAATTATACTTGGTTCAGCCTTTCTCTGAATTTGAAACTCATTTTTCACAAGTAAACCATCGCAGTCAGGTATAGTTGGACTAAGGTTCGGGTACGTGTACGCCCACTATGCAAAATCGATGCGAAGACCATTACAAGCGAAGCCAATCGAATATACTGGAGTTCTTAGCAACGAAAAAACCTGACTCACCAACTGTTAACCCAGACAGAGCCTGATTCGACGGAGACAATTATAATACTGGAGACCCCAATGGGGGATGTCGTCGACACCTAAGGGGTCGGGTGTCAACACTAGTCCCAACGAGGCAACGCTCCCGTTGCGTGCAAGCGAGGGTTGAGCCCTAGCCCAAACGGGCAGCGGAAGCCCTACGCCCAAAAAATCCCCACTAACAGAAACGAACGACCAACTCTCGACCACGACCTCGCCCTCCCTCCGTCGACACCCCCAATTCCAACAACAAGGAACGCAAAAATGGCCGCTGTCCAGGGTGCTATCTCCAAGCGTCGGAAGTTCGTCGCCGACGGTGTCTTCTACGCCGAGCTGAACGAGTTCTTCCAGCGCGAGCTGGCTGAGGAGGGCTACTCGGGTGTCGAAGTCCGTGTCACTCCCACCGTCACCGACATCAGTACGTTTATCGCCCCTCGAAATATTTCTCGTTGCTGGATGGAATTGCCTTGAAAGAGTCGGAAACTTGAGTCGAACCGCTGGAATAAAATTTTGAATATTGAAAATGGGACCTTCGCAATGGGAATACCGTCAAAGATTGTTATAGGACATCGATGCTAATGGAGACTTTCTTCTTCTAGTCATCCGCGCCACCCACACCCAGGAGGTTCTTGGTGAGCAGGGTCGTCGCATCCGCGAGCTCACCTCCCTCATCCAGAAGCGTTTCAAGTTCCCCGAGAACTCCGTCTCCCTCTATGCCGCTAAGGTCCAGAACCGCGGTCTGTCTGCCGTCGCTCAGTGCGAGTCCCTCCGCTACAAGCTCCTGAACGGTCTGGCCGTCCGCCGTGCCTGCTACGGTGTCCTCCGTTTCATCATGGAGTCCGGCGCCAAGGGTTGCGAGGTTGTTGTGTCCGGCAAGCTCCGTGCTGCCCGTGCTAAGTCCATGAAGTTCACTGTACGTCTACACCGATTGTGGAGGAAAGCGCGCAGGAAGTTTTGGTTAATTGGATATTTTGCTCTGGTTATCGCATGCGTCTCGGGTCGTCCTCAAACCAGTATCCAACTTCTGCGCGCCTTGACCACATCAAAATATTTCGAACATACAACTAACAATCAATTCAGGACGGTTTCATGATCCACTCCGGTCAGCCCGCCAAGGAGTTCATCGACTCCGCCACCCGCCACGTTCTCCTCCGCCAGGGTGTCCTTGGTATCAAGGTTAAGATCATGCGCGGCTCCGACCCCGAGGGCAAGGCCGGCCCCCAGAAGACCCTCCCCGACTCGGTCACCATCATCGAGCCCAAGGAGGAACAGCCCGTTCTCCAGCCCATGAGCCAGGACTACGGTGCCAAGGCTATTGCCGCTCAGCAGGCTGCCGAGCAGCAGCGTCTGGCCGAGCAGCAGGCCGCCGAGGCCGAGGGTGGTGCCGAGGGTTACGCTCAGGAGTAAACATGTTTCTCTTCCGCCTTCTCCTTTTCCTTCCTGTTCTAACCTGAGCCTATACTCTACCTCACGCAATCAAAATTACATGAACACTTCAAACAAAGACTTTCTTTCTCGCTTCTGCTGCATTCCCTGGTGTCTGGGTGGAATGCGTCTCCGGCATGATGTATGAAGATCTACGTGGAGCGATCAAAAATAATGATTCAAAGAGAGCAACTTTTTCGTTGTCAAATCTTTATCTCGACTGTAATTTTCCATTTGTAATGTCTATTTTCTAGTATAAAAACTGAGATCAACCTGCGTGTGGTCTCCCATGACGTAACAGGCTGATTTATTGAGTTCTACGCTTTGTTGCTACTACCCTCATGAGGCTAGTGGGCACTGCACGCTGCACACTGCACCTGCCCCAGGGTGGGTTTCTACACTTTGAGCACAGCATTGAATCACAGTGGTACGACACTCAGCAAGAGCCATATGTAATTTGCTTGCACTCAACTGTCATACAGGGCATCCTGACTTCTGATTCCCTGTCATGGGTCAGGTCGTTAATTTGAAGACAGTCAAAAAGAGACTGTACATAGACGTTGAATTTTATAGCTTTTGTCATCTCCGCAGCTCTATTCGAAACATACTCGACATCTCGCAAAGAGCCTCTCCATCATGTCATCATCTATCTGCGTCACGAAAAAGAAGTAAAGAAAATTTGCAACCATAGAGATAGTCAATCTAAATGATTGAGCTTACAGGAAGGGCTCGATGTTGATCTCGAGAGTGCTGACGGGGTTCTTCAGCTCGTACTTCTCCAGCACGGTGGGGTGCAGGATACCGAAGGCACCAACAACGTGCTCCTTGTCGCCCATGCGAACGTGAATGGAAGCAGCGTGGCCAGGCAGGTAAGTTGGGTCTGCGAAACAATTTATTAGTGCTCAGTTCAATATTTTTTGAGAAGCGAGTAAACGTACCATCCAGCTCCTTAATGAAGTACTGCGAATCATTCATGGCGGGGTTGTTGAGGCACTCCTCGCCAGTAATGAAAGCGCTCTTAAGCATGGCCATAACGCGATCCATCAGACCGTGAACAACCTCGAAACCACTGTTGCGGCCGTACCAGGCGGCAGCAAAGTGTCGCTCGTTGCGACTCTTACGTTCCAGAGACAGATCCTTGAAAGCGACATCGCTGACCTCGAAAATCTTCATGGGCATACTGTGCTTCTTGTTCTCACGGATGGTCTTCAGCAGACCGGGCAGAAGGCTTGTGCGGACGACCTGAAACTCGGTGGTCTTGGGGTTGGCGAGCTTGACGGCGGTGTTACCGTCATCCTTGCGGTTTAACCAGCCGAAGTTCTCGTCGTGAGAGCATAGAATCAGCGGCAGAACCTCGGACCAGCCAGCCATGGCGGCCTCAATGCGGATGATATCGGACAGCTTGTTGATGGCGAGAGGCTGGGCGATGGTTCCGGACTTGCTGGGAAAAGAACGCGGGAGCTTGTTGAAACCATAGGCAATGGCAACATCCTCCATGATGTCGCACTGGTGGAGGACATCGGCACGAGTAGGAGGGATCTCGACATCAATGAGGTCGGGGTTAGTGGTTGAAGGCTTGGCGCGGAAAGACATCTTCTTCAGCAGGTTGCTGATCTCAGCGGGGGTGAGGTTCAAGCCGCAGCATTGGTTGATGTAAGACACTTCCGCTTGTGAAACACGAGGGGCGATGTCAGGAGTGATGCGAGTCTCCCCGTTGTGCTCCGAGACGATCTTGACGGGCTCGATACTAGATGTGGAACATGTTAGCGTCCGATCTCAGAATTTTTATACCCGTTGACACCTACGTGAAGGGTTCCGAAGTATATTGGGAGAACATTGTGACCATCATGCGGTTCACTATCTCAAGCTTTGTCCGGTCAAGGGCAGTAATCTCAATGAAGATGTTGGTGGTGTTCATGGAGATCTTGGAGTGATCGCCGTTGATAATCGGAGGCAGAGAGCAGATAGTCTTGTTGGAGTCGTAGATGACCGGGTACACGGAGGAGTCGCGGATAATGTGCAGGTACTTGCCCAATTGCTGGTGCTTCTCGTAGTAAGTCATCAATTGTTCACCGTCCAGCTCCTGAGTCTGGTTCAGCGGAACAAACTTGATGTCCTTGGGGGAAGGGCATCGTAGGTGAAGGGTCCCTTGATAGTGTCGAGGTCATGGGTACCGATGGAAACGAGGGTTCTTTGACGGGCCAGGTTCTGGTGAAGCTTGTCTTGAAGGGCAATGAAGGATTCATAGCGAGCCTGGTCGAACTTGACTCCGCGCAGGATAGCACCGGACACGTAGGGACGGATCTTTGTGGTCTGCTGAGAATTTTAGTGCATGTTTCCCTGGTGCGATACATTCGGGAGTGCACCCACGTCTTCCTTGACAATAATCTCTTGCAGCTGAGCTGGCTGAGACAATGTATACTCGGGCAATGGTTTCCGGCCGAGGAAAATGTTGAGCATCAGCTGGATACCCTCGATACACAGCAAGTCATATCTATGAAGTGTCTTAGCCCGCGGTTTCTTCCATCATCTCGCATGTTTGTTCGGCATACCGGTTGGCGGGGATCTCGATCTTGAGCTGCGGGGGCTCTTGCACGCCGTCAACGATGGGACGGTCCTGGTCTGTGGTCTGCGAAGATTCAGCGGTTGCCTTTCATGGTATCGGCGGTGTCGAAGGGGGGGGGTACATCTTCGTCAAGTTCAATGCCTATTTCGCTTGGTCAGTCTATGCCCCGCAGAGTCTCGCAGAAGAGTCAACGTACCAAATTCGAAGCAGAGCTCGTCGAATTCCTCAGTAGTATATCTGTAGTTGCGCGCAATACTTGTCAGATCCACTACATCCCTAGGGATTCCCAGAAAATCTACTTACTCCCGACCCAGCTCCTTGAAGAGAGCGGCCTTGTCGACCGAGATAGTGGGCATGGCGGGGGGCTCAATGCGATGAAATCTGGTGGGCGGCGCAAAAGAGTATGGTCAGCGAGTGGAACAGTATTTATGGCAAGCCGAAATATCCAAAATCGACTGCAATCTGGAGGGTCTCATACCAAATCCACAAGAATGACGGGGTGCCACGGCGAAGACAGCGATGACTCCGACGGACTCGAAATTATTGTCGGGTCAGCCACACTTGGACCACCGCCACATTTCCCCCCTCTTTTGTGACGACGTCACGGTACTGTCACAGCCGCCCCTGTCTCTTTGCAAACACCCAGGATCGCCGCCAACCAATGTGGTATGTAATTTACACCAGCCGCAGGGTGTTTGGCAGCAAAAGCTCGCGGCCACCAGTTGCTGCCCATCGATCGAGAAACTCACGACCTCGAAGTCGAAACCCACTCACTGTCACCCCGCCCGTTCAGCTCAAACGAAATCCCTGCTGGGGTGCTGTATACGTCTTCCAATTGTTCCAAGGTATGCTCTGCGGTGCTAAGAGGTGCCCTGCCGCCCACCCCACGAAACCTCGCTCCGGCTTGCCATCCCCTTCCCATTTGAAAACCAACTCCCCCGCCCGTGATCGGACCTGACATTTCCAACGGGCTCAGCTGTGCTAGTACTTGATTTCATGGTCCCAACCTCTCCTCTTCGATAATTTCAACATCACCGTGCCCATCTCAACCCGCCCGATCTTCCATCTTCTCCAGGACTGAGACCTGCCACCTCGACTCCCAGACACGCCTCCGCCTTAACTGCAACACACAACTGCGTTCGTGATGGAGGGTCAAAACGAGAACGATGAGCTTTACCCCATCGCGGTGCTCATTGATGAGTTGAAGGTAAGTGGAAGCTCCGAGCTCCGTTTCCCTCGACCGTTGGCCGCGGAGGGGGAGACCAGCGGACGCCAGCTAACAAGGTTCGCACCACAGCACGACGATGTTCTCCTCAGACTCAATGCTATTCACCGTCTATCTACCATTGCCCTAGCTCTGGGCCCGGAGCGCACCCGGGATGAGCTCATCCCCTTCCTTGATGGTCCGTGACCGCCCCTCCCTCCACGCAAGCTGAACGCGCGCTGACCTACACGCTTGATAGATTCTGTCGAGGATGAAGATGAGGTCTTGACTGCGCTGAGCGAAGAGTTGGGCAATTTCACAGAGTACGTCGGAGGACCGGAGCATGCACACGTGCTTCTGTCCCCGTTAGAGAACCTGGCGGCGATTGAAGAACCTCTAGTTCGTGAGAAGGTATGTTCTGGAAATATTTGCGAGAGCGAGTTGGAAATAGACCACATTTGCTAATGCGATGGGACTAGGCCGTCGAATCTCTCAACAAGGTTTGCGAGCAGTTGTCTGAGAGCCAAGTCGAGGAGCACTTTGTGCCTCTTGTCCTGCACCTCTCCAAGGCGGACTGGTTCACCTCGAAGGTCTCCGCAACAGGCCTGTACTGCACACCATACCAAAAGGCTTCGCCGACACTTCAGCAAAGCCTTCGTCAACACTTTGGCGCCCTTGTACACGATGAGACTCCGATGGTCCGTCGGCAGGCGGCCAACAACCTGGCCAAGTTCGTCAAGGCAATGGAGACGACCGTCATTATCGACGAGATGATACCCCTTTTCCAATATCTGGCTAGTGACGACCAGGATAGTGTGCGACTTTTGACTGTTGATATTCTCATCGCAATTGCCGAAGAGATCCCCAAGGAGCAGCAACCCAGCCACGGTGTTCTGCTCACTTCTCTGCGAAACCTGTTCGAGGATAAGAGCTGGAGGGTCCGATACATGGTTGCGGATAGATACGAAAAGGTTTGCACATTCCCCATCCCCCAGGGACATGGATACCCATAGGACCGCGGAGCAGGACTAACAACTCTACTATAGATTGCTAAAGCCGTGCATGAGGAGGTTATTACGCGCGACATGGTGCCCGCCTTTGTCAAGCTCTTGAAAGATACCGAGGCCGAGGTTCGCACGGCCATTGCTGGCCAGATTCCCGGTATGTAAACCCACCCCCCAACAAAAAAGTTGTTTCATTATTTGCATCGCCTGCTGACAACTTGACCAGGTTTCTGTGGATTGATTGACCGCGATACTCTGCTTAATGAGATTATGACTAGCGTAGAGGACCTTGTTTCCGACCAATCTCAACACGTTCGGGCGGCTCTTGGTACTCAGATCAGCGGCCTGGCGCCGATCCTTGGAAAAGAAGAGTGAGTTTTAATACACGGGACACCAAAGACTGTCTATTACAGATAGCTAACTTCTACGCTCAGGACCATTGCCCACCTGCTTCCCATGTTCCTCCAGATGCTCAAGGACGACTTCCCCGACGTCCGCCTGCACATCATTTCCAAGCTTGAGCAGGTTAACAAAGGTACGCACTCCACTTTTCTCGTGAATACTATCTGATGTACTAACTCAGTTTCTAGTCATTGGAATCGACCTTCTTTCGCAATCTCTTCTTCCTGCCATTGTCCAGCTGGCTGAGGACAAGCAATGGCGCGTGCGTCTCGCTATTATCGAATACATTCCCCTCCTCGCGAGCCAGCTGGGTGTCAAGTTCTTTGATGAGCAGCTGAGTGATTTGTGCATGGGGTGGCTCGGCGACACTGTTTTCTCCATTCGTGAAGCCGCCACTCAAAATCTGAAGAAGCTCACTGAGGTTTTCGGTGTGGACTGGTCTAAAGAGTCGATCATTCCTAAGGTGATGGCCATGGGCCAGCACCCTAATTATCTCTACCGCATGACTACTTGCTTCGCCGTTTCTGTGAGTCGTCCTTCATGATTTCCCCGCAGACGAATGCCCACTGACCGATATTTAGACCCTTGCCCCCGTTGTCACTCTTGATATCATCGAAAGCTCCCTCCTCCCCATTCTGGATCGCCTGGTTACGGACGAAATCCCCAACATCCGTTTCAACGTCGCCAAGTCCTATGCTGTTCTGATTGACACTTTGCGTCGCCTCCCGGCCGACAAGACCCTGGTCGAGGTTGAGAAGTCTGGCGAGACTGTTACTCCTTCACCCAAGAGTCAGGAACTCATCCAGCAACGAATCACGCCCAGCTTAGAAAAACTCCAGGAAGATGACGATGTTGATGTCCGGTACTTCGCTACCACTGCGGGTGGCACCCAGGACGAGGCTATGCAGACGTCCCCTTGAAATTGCTGGTCTTCTTGATTTCGCATGAACTACTTACTCTCTTCGGGAAGCCTGAATTCTAGTAAAGGCGCGGATGACAACAGATCACCCACAGAACCACAGAACATTTGGGGCATGAGCATCCTTGTCAGCTTAGAGAAATAGCCAGCTTTGGGATGAGATGTCTTGATGGCGTTTTTAATGTAGAGGTTTTTTGTTTCATACATAACCCGCCTATCTCCAGGTAGTCATAAAAGCAATTAGCAACTACGGCAGTTAATACTTTCCATCGGCGTGAGAGTGTTTCTCAGTAGAGCTGTCAGTGTCAATCATGCCGCGTTGCTGCCGAGGTCGACGTGGGGCGTGGCCAGTCACAGCGCGTCATTTGTCAGCGCGCCTCGCACGCGTCCGCCGATGACACATTGCACTTTTCAAAAGTCGCCTAGTATACTGCAAGTACATCTACTTGATGCATTCTCAGATGTATTGAATTCGACATGTTCAATTGGAACTCCAATTAGAGCTATTCGCCTCGAGATCACCAGCGGATCAGTTTGAACTCATCCAATCGACCGCAACTACATTCTTACACTATTGCATATCGACATACCCACCACTGAAGATTGAATCATGACGATCAATGTGGTAATCAACAACATGTCTTCGTGGCCCTACCACTTCGCCACCCTCTCCGAGGAAGACAAGCTTCGCCGGCGCGAACTGCTCGATTTGCGCGGGTCTTATGCGCAATGGTCAGTTATCATGGTGATTACCCTGCTCCGAGTCTATCAAGCATGGGTCAAAGCAGCCTACCCCACAGATAGCTCGGTAAAACCGCGCTGGGGACCCGTCTCATGGTGGGATCGTCCTCTGGTCGCTGGGTGGATGGAGACTCGGAGGCAGTATCTCATCTGCGGAGTGTGGCTCTTATGGCTAGTGGCTCTTTCAGTTTGGAATAGTGGAGAGGGTAAGCATATTCCAATATCCCGAATTGAATCGGGAACACCTTCTAGCAGAGGCAGTGAAAAAGTCAACTAACAATTACAGATTACCTCCACCTCACCAAGGCCCTTGGTCATGTCGGCCTCTCCCAGCTCCCACTACAAGTCCTAATGTCCCCAGCAGCCTACATCTCAACCTCAAAGCCATCCGCCTCATCAATCGTTTCATTCCTTACTTCCATCCCCCAAGGAACGCTGACGCCCTACCACCGTCTCTTCGGACGAATGGTCATCTCGCCTCTGCTCTTCGTCCACGCAACTCTCTACCTTCTCTTCTTCGTGCAATCCGAGCATCCAGAATTCGGGTCGCTCCTAAATAAGCGGGTCCGTGATCTTGACGTGCAATGCGGCCTGTTAGCGCTTTCTGCCGCGGTTCTCCTACTGCTGTTTGTTCGACCACGTGCTACTGCGCCGAAGAGTGGGACTCAGACGTGGCTTGCGGCGGGCTCGATGCAGGAGCGCCGACGATCGTTCTATTTTGGCCATGTTTCTTTGGTAGTTATCTTGTGCTCCGCGGCGTACTTTCATGTTGCTCAGGCACAGGGTTATATGCTGCAGACTTTGGGATCTTCTGTGCTCAATGGGGCGTGTTCGTTGGCTATGATTCGTTGGGGAGGGAGGGTAAAATGAATGGTCTTATTCGTTGTGGGATGTCGCATTTTCTATATCTATCACACATACTCATTTAATGCACATTGCACTATCTGCATTTCAATATGAAAAGCGCTCAAACATCTCCTGATGACATGATGCCCCGTATCCGTATTGGCATTAACGCATCTAATCCTGGCGAGACCCGCTAATGCGTTTCTCCAACTCCCCCTATGGGTTCACTGATAAACCTGGATCTGCCAGCCCTGCAGAGACTCGGGGCATTCGGGAAGGCTAAGACCAGCCGCTTGTGGAGCCACAAGGGCATCGTCGCTGGTTAGGTGGGCGAAAACCCGCGAGGAATAACGTTGAAACAGCCTCGCACTAGCTCCGGCTAAAACACCCTTTCAAGTCGGCATCCACTCTACACCAGACAAATGAGACTGAGACACCCACAATTAAGGATGCTCTTGGCAAGTCACTGACACGCCCACCGTGCCAAATGGTCCACTCGACGCACACAACCTGATGATTCCTATACCTCTCCGAGGACCAGGCGCCCGATGGTCTCGCGGCTTCTTAAAAGAATGCCGATCGCTCATTCTCGACTTTAAGAAAACAGCCGCTGCCGACTCATCCCTCCAATATGCGTGGGTCTTTCGTTCTTTCTCTGTTTTCCCTGGCGCTGGGCGCTTCTGCTGTCATTTCCAAGTCCAAGTTGACTACTTATGTCGATGTGCTGGCACTCGATAATACTTTCAACCCTGTCAAGGAGGCCTACTGGACTGGCTATCCTCATCATCGCCGTACCCCCTTTGCGGTGTCACCGGATGGCAAGTCAGCTTATGTTGCCTATCTCGACTCCAGTGAGACCGATGTTCATGTGCAGGAGTTGAACCCCAAGACGTTTAAGGCGACTGGAACGACGGTGACCGTCTCCGGCGGCAAGGAAGGTAAGGAACTCCGTTTAAGAGCCTATGGAAGATGAGTTTGACAATAAGAATTGCATAGCTGGCGGCCTTGTGGCTCACAACGATGGCTTTGCCATCCTGGTCAACGAAGCGATGCCGTCGGACACCACCAACGCACCCCCGAGCGACACCCCAGTCGCCGTACTGTACCGCTACACCTCTGGAAAGCAGACCTGGAAGACCTGGCTCGGTGGTCCGGGAGTCCACGACTCCGAGGGACGTGCTGCTTCCCCAGATATGAATGGTGATCTCGTCTACTCCGAGGACGCAGGCCTCTACGGCGCGTACTTCGTCGTCACCGATTACTCCGGCGATGCCTCGGGCCACTACGGCGATAGCATCGAGTATGTCTCCGAGAACGGAACTCTGGTCACCATTGAAGGCGCGTCCAGCTCGTGGGGGTGCAGCCACAACACGGGCATTGCGTTCGAAGCCGCCGACGCCGCCCCCTTCACCAGTATTTGTGCCGAAGACCAGGGCGCTATTTGGCTCAACACCAAAACCCAGGGCATGACCAATGACGGCGTCAAGATCTCGAACGAGAACACCACCAACGGTGCTTCCGGCGAGCCTATGGGCGGTATGTCGGGTAGTTACAGCGCACTGGCTCGCTTCGCCGAGACGAGCCGATACATCTTTGCGTGGGTGTCCCGCGGTGCGATTGACGTGACCGAGAACACCTGGATGGGCGATGGATACACAAATGTACAGAATCGGACCAACGGTCGCAACGTTGCCTTCTCCCTGTTCTCGGACAAGTACACCAAGGTCGGAGCCCAGGCGACTTCGAAGGTAGGTGCTGGGGATGGAGATAGCCAGGTTAACTGGGTGACTTCTGGATCGAATGACTGCTCGAATGCCCACGCCGCGACTTTCGGTCCTGTCAATGCGCTCGTCACCTGGGAGGAGATCTCGGACCCCATCTGTGATTATATTGCGATGGGATGCCGTGGTCAATTTGCTGGTACTTATTTCCAGCAGATTAACAAGAAGGGTGAGTTGGTTGGTGATTCGTTCAAGAGTACTGATGTCTATGTTGCGGGTGACATGGTAACTTTTGACGAGGGTCTTGCTGCGGCTCGTATCTGTTGGCCGTATGTTAGCATGGACTGGGATCTTTCGCAGGCTGTTGGTTATGGTGGTTCTACGACCACCACCAAGAAGCTGAGCTTCGCTTGTCTGACCCGCTAGAGTGGCTGTGGAGGCATGAGCAGCCGCCTGCGTCTCAGATAATTTGAATAAATAGAATGAGATGTCTACAGGCGTGTGTTAGGGAAAAGGTGCAGATAGTTTCCGCATTGAACTGTGTGGTCATCACTTTGTTGGTCAATGTGGGTGTTTTCGTCGGAAGTGTAAATATATAGTTCGCGTCGCAATCGGGGTATCCCAGCATCGTTGCCCCATCAATATAAGGCACGCTCACCCAAGCCGTCGTGTAATTTCAATATCAACTGCTTGATTAGTACATTTCTGGACATCAGCCTAGTTTTGTAGGGCTGAGTGTAAGACACGCCGTTAACGGCAACCGTGGAATCGCGCCTCCGCAAAAGTTGCCACCCCGGTCGGAGGTGAACAAGGATAAGCACTTCCAAGGGATTGATATCAAAATCCACGGCATCCAATCTAAAGTCGTGGGAGAATTGACATCATCAACTGAGCTTGTCATGGTTATGGTTATGGTTGCAATCACATTGTCATGGGTTGGTAGGGCAGCTGAGTGGCCCGGGCTTGGCGCCTCCTAAGAATAGCACGAGACCAGAACATCTTCTTCCTGGACCCTGTCCTTCAAACACCCGCCCTCTTGATGACTCCCGCAAATGGCAGGATGCGCTCTCAACGGCTGACGATCCTGCTTGCGATCGTCTTCGTCGCCTGCTTCTCCCTCTTCTACCTCCGTCCCGCCGAACAAGCTCCCCCAGAGCCCCCAGTCGACTTGCCTCCCCCCGAGCCGATCAAACACCCTCAGCTCCAAGCCGGCAAGACCTCCTACCCCCCGGAGAAGGTGCACCCAATCTCGAACTTGATCGGCAATGCGCAGCACACATTCGACAATGTCCGCTCCAGCCAGTCGAAAACCCTGGCCGATGCTGTGCAGGAGTACAAACGCCGCTACAAGATGCACCCGCCACCGCACTTCGACAAATGGTTTCAGTTCGCTCAGTCCAAGGGCGTGCAGCTAATTGACGAGTTCGACTCGATCTATCACTCCCTGCTCCCCTTCTGGGCTGTCAAGCCGCAGACAATCCGCGAGCGCGCCCGCGAGACACTCGGATTCGATAACGCGGTGATTGGTCTGCTGATTCGCGATGGTAAGGTGACTCTGACGGACGGTGGAGGTGATGGACGCAAATGGCAGCGCGATGCTACCGTTGGCATGATGAAGGACTTTGTGAAGTACCTCCCGGATATGGATCTGGTCTTCAACACGCACGACGAGCCCCGCGTTGTGATCCCCGGCGACGATCTCCAGCGCCTCGTGCAAACCGCAACGGATCGTGCTATCCCGTCTAATTTCCAAAAGAAGACTCCGACGAACGCGTGGTCTGCGCGGGCCTCGGACCTGAACAAAGGCGACCGCATCGACGAGGTGCGCACGACTCGCTTCAACCGATTCGCTCACCAGCCGACCTGGACCAATTCTCGCATTTCCTGTCCTGTCGATAGCCCTGCCCGATCGCTCGATGAAGCGGAACCGGATAACATCGACCCATACGCATACGGCGAATTGGGCTTCATCTACAACACCACCGCGTTCACCGATATCTGCCTAACTCCTTCCCTCCGCTACACCTACGGATTCTTCGATCGCCCGAATGCCTTTGACGTCGTGCATGATTTGTTCCCCGTCTTCTCGCAGAGCAAGATCTCAAGCTTCCAGGATATCCTTTACCCCAGTCCTTGGTACTGGGTGGAGAAGGTGCCGTACGAGAAACACAAGGATTATAACTGGGACGCCAAATCTGATCGGATGTACTGGCGCGGTTCTACAACTGGTGGTTTCTCGCGTGCCGGTGGCTGGCGCCGCCAACACCGACAGCAGTTTGTTGACAATGTCAACTCTTTGGAATCATCCAAGATTCTGGCCCGTCAACCGGACAGCTCGTGGGTTTCGCAGGATGTCAGCCGCGACGCCTACCGTGATAACTTCGACGTGAAGTTCACATTCATTGGCCAGTGTGACCCGGATGATTGCCACGCCCAGCAGGAGTACTTCGATGTAGTCAAGCCTGCCGGACAACAGGATGCATGGGCCCACAAATATCTGGTTGACGTGGACGGCAATGCTTTCAGCGGCCGATTCTACGCCTTTTTGCTCAGCAACAGCTTCGTATACAAAATTGCGCTGTTCCGCGAGTGGCACGACGAGTGGCTCAAACCGTGGGTACACTACGCTCCACTCGGCCTGAAAGGTAACGAGTATGTGGAAAGTATGCGGTACTTTACCACCGAGGAGGAGGGCAAGCAAGCGGCCTCCCAAATTGCGGTCTCGGGACAGCAATGGGCACAAAAGGTATTGCGGAATGAAGACTTGGAGGTCTGGTTCTTCCGTCTACTTCTGGAGTAAGTGTCATCTCGAACCGATGTCAAAAGTTTCCCTAATACTAAACACCTTTCTATAGATACGGACGTCTTGTGGACGACAACCGCGATCAACTAGGATTCTCCCTCTGATCGTACCATCCTACCCAAGGGAGTCTTAAAGGCCCAACCTCCCATTTTTTATATACCCAAATTACTCCGCCTGCTCGCTGAATATCGTTCAGCTTTGCAGGAGCTCGTCGATATCATGGCCTCCCTTACCTCTCTCCCTCTTGAAACGTTTGAAACCTGCTCTTTCCAAAATTCTGTGTTAATACCCTCCTGGTTTCGTTTCCGGCGGCTCATGTTTGCCACCGTTCATCTAAATGCATCTGAAAATGGACTTGGCGTTCTCGGGGCCTTTCGGTCATGCCTCGCTGTATCCAATATACATATAAATTGGAATCTACCAGATCTATACAAAAACTAATTCTGACTGAATGGGTAGTCTGGGCCACGCGTTAGGCAGTGCTTCGGCCTATTTGGGTTACGTGCAGCATTATTTGTCCTTTTCTGCTACGGGTCTGCTTACCATCTTGTCCCTCTCCATACATTAATCGGGAACCATCAACTTCCATTGCTCCCGTTTTGCTCTTCGATAGTCGCGTAGACGACTGCCATAAGACCATCCATGAACATCACTACTTTCATTCAATGCCCAGATCCTCTACCTGCTGAAAGAGCGCGACCATTGACCCTCCAGTTATTAGTAGACAATGATAAGAGTATGAGTCCTACTCATAACCAGGAACAGTGTCTATCGCCGATCCATCGAGATCCGGTGCCTCATCTACCGCGAGCTACTGACTCCCCCTGATGGACACGAACTACACGCCGGCAGCCACGGCCAGCGCCTATATTTCCGTCGATACTACGCCACGAATTCGGACGCGGGTGGCTGCACCCATCATTACTAGGAAGCTCCTGCAGGGTCGACGAAACCTGGTGAAGAAAGGACGAGTTCTGATAAGCAGGGGTACAGCAAATTCAATGTCATGGTCTGATATGCTCGTGTATACGCATGTATAACCCAGCCTATCAAGAACCCCTTACACTAGTATATTTTTTTGACCATCGTGCAGATACTCCGGGACCATAATCATTCTCTACGCGGAGAACACATTCCCCTTCCACCAAACACGAACAATCCTAGCCTACACAGCTACCATACCACCCCAGCATCTCCACAAAATTCGCTCACTGCACCTGGACTGCCAACTGCCACGCCCATGGACCTCAAGGCCTCCATCACCCCACGACGCCATCAATCTTCCACACAGACATACCCTACTGGTGGAACTCCGCCTGGGATGAAATTAGCAAAGTGAACCTATTTAACCTCCGTGTATCCCGCAGTGCACCAGGATTCGGGGATCTGAAAGATAAAGCGATGCTAGCGCAGCATCTGCGCCCGTTGGAGAGTGTTCAAGCGAGGAATTTCTATGTTGATGTTTATTGGCCCGTAAACTGAAGATGACGAGGCATTTTTCGAATGAGCGACTTTCTTTTGAAATTTAGGTGAAGGAGTGGGCTTTGTGCCCAAGTTTTGGTTTTGGATGCCTTGGATTGAGCGTCGGGGTTGGGATTTTGAGTCGAGAGAATTCTTGTAAATGTCCTGATGCTGGTTGTTTGGTGTTCAGTGAGTTGATCCTTGTGGTGGTGCTATGAATGCATTTGCTTTTTTACCTTTTCCGGGATGCAATCCTCTTATTTCTCAAATAGAACCTATGGTGGTATATTTCGCGACTGTATAACCATGTACCCTATGCTGTGCGTACTTCTGCCGAGGCCCCCAAAGCGGTGACGTTTTGCCAGTGGCGCGCCCCACAGCGTTGCGACTCCACTTCGAGGAGCTGCGATCGATAACGCATGATTTGAGTCCTATAAATCCCCCCTGCCCCGGCCTACGCACTCTTCTTTACCTTCGTTCGATGCTCGATTTCGCCTGAATCGCATCATGGCGGGCTTCCTCCCCAAAGCGATTGTCTCCGTGGTGGTCTTCGCCTACGGCCTGTTTAATGTGGCCCTATACGGCCTCATCGCCATCAAAAGGGGTCTCTACTTCAAGAAGCCGACTGAGAAGCAGACCCTCGAGCTCAAGATCGGTGCGTACGCTTCTCATACACACCTGCCATCGTCTATCTTCCATCAAGTCTCCATCCTTACTGGGACCATCTCATGTGATTTGATATCAAAGTCAAAAATCCGCCTGCTGATACCGGATCTATATAGCGCGTGATCGGATGTGGAACCTGTCAAAGGATTATTCCGGCCTGTCGCACCATTTCATCACCTTGACCAACGGCTTCAAGTTCCATCTCGTCAGTAATGTGAAGCCCGGCTCGCCTGCTGCGCTGAATGCCGACAAGCCGTTGGTTATCTTCATTCATGGGTGGCCGGATAGCTCAGGCATCTGGCGCTATGTCGCTGGGTCCCCGGACTTGCAGGAATCTGCCAACGTTGTTGCTATTGATCTGCCTGGATTTGGCGGTTCTGGTCGTCTAGAGAAGTACTCTGCGACTAGGGTGCTGGAGCACTTGACAGAGCTGATCCTGACTCTCCGGATGAAATATGGCGTGGATAGTGATTCTGAGTCCCGGAAGAAGAGGACTATCATTGTCGCCCATGATTGGGGCTGTGTTTTGTCGATGCGACTCGCGTCGGAGGCACCCGCCTTGGCCGACCGGTGGATATTGAGCAATGGACCCCTGGTATGTTTTGCTTTATACTGGTGTAGGCCGTTTATAAGCGCATCGCTAACTCTCATAACAGACCAAAATGGTCGAATCCAACATCCGCCGCTTATTGACATCCGCCAAGAAAATGCTCAATACTGCCCTCAACTCTCCCCTCTCATCACGGACGCCAATTCTTCAGGCATTCCGAACTATCAGCCCCATCCTGCGCCAGCTCAGTCTGTCCGGCTACATCTTCGCGATGCAATTGCCTCTCCCGCTCGTGCGATACTTCCTGACAGGCGGCAACAGTGCCCTCATGACCAGCATCCACTTCAACTCCCACGGTAAACAAAAGCCGACCCCTCAAGAAATGGCCGACTGCATGTCCAGCACCATGGGCCCATCCCTCGCCGAGTCCAAGACCCAAACCGCCGATGGCGAGTCATACCCCACCGGCGTCCAGTACGACCGGGACTTCTCCAAGATCCTCGACATGGCCAGCTACTACCGCCACGGCGCAGCGAGTGGCCGCTGGCAAAAGTCGCTCGAGACGATCACGGGCCTGCACAGCATTGCGGGTGAGAAAGTGCTGCGCCGCACGAGCAGTGGAACCGGTGTCTTCGACGAGGGCGTTCCTGGTGCCCTGAAAGCGAGTTCGACGATTGTCTGGGGCCAGAAGGATATCGCGCTGGACCCGCATCTCTGCTTGGATGGGATGGCCAACTACCTGGTCAAGGATAGTCAGGTCGTGATGCTGCCCCAGTCAGGCCATTTCACGCCGGTGGAGAAGGAGAGCCGTGCGGCTCTGGAGGCGGCCACTAAATGGGCGATTGAGGGCGAGAAGGGGGATGTGCAAGTCGCTCTGCAGGTTTCGTTCCCGGAGGCCCATGTTGTGGTGCGCCGCTGAGTGCGCCGACGAGCAGATCGATCCTCACCTTTTTCCCTCTCATAATGGCCGTATTTAGCTCAGTCAATTTTTTTCTCCCTTTTATCTCTAAATGTCACGATACTCAATTTGACGGGCCAGCCGACGTCTTCTTTTTCCACGGAGCTTCTGTATGACAGCGGGGGTCCGACTTCGCCCCTGGCGCCATTCCGGCTCCGACGCGACACCAGCCCCTGATTTAAGCGATCGAATCTTTGGCAGTGGTTCATGTAAAACTCTTCCGAACGCAATCGCAGTCTTCAAATTATACCGTAAGGTTGTCTTCACCAGTTCCAAGTATTTGTAGAGCAGAGCGGACACTAAGAGCGGATTAGGTGGGTTTGGTGAGGGGAAGCTGTCTTCGGTGTGGGCCACCTAACGCTCGGTCGTGCCTGCTGCACCCGCTGACATCCCCAGCTTCCCCTCAAGATCTCCGTCGAGCTCATTCCCTCTTGCCACTCTGAGTCCTTTCTGCCTGGCACTCTTTCTCTCCCACACCTCATTCCCTCGCTCCTCCCGGTTCCCACATCAACCACGTCCTCGCACGAACGCGATGCACCAGTGAACTGTTTTCGTCCACTGAACCTGCGTACGACCCAGGTACCACAGCTCTGTTTACCCGCCCTGCACCGGGCCAGGCCAAACTGCCATTGCCGACCTACCACGATATTTAACCCGGGGTGCCCTTTTTCGCTCGTTTATATTCTGTTGGGTTCGCGTTGGGATCTCGTTTTAGCGTGCCGCATCGGAGAGGCTAGCCCTTTTTTCCTTTTCCTCTTCATTCGTTTTGACCTTCAAGTTTCGAGCGAGCTCGCGCGCGATGGCTTCTGAACGGAATGCCGTGTATTGCACGGTAAGTTGTAATTCCCACCCCACCCCCATCTCCGAGATCGACATTCGGGACCCGAAGCTAACAATGGCCGGATTATGACAGCTGCTGCTGAGCGACAACTACCTCCCAGGTGAGCAATTGATGATTTTTGTGATTGGTTGATTTTCTTCGGATTGCTGATTTTGCTGTTTAGGTGCCATGGTCCTGGCGCATTCCTTGCGCGATAATGGGTCGACTGCGAGGTTGATTGCGCTGTACACGCCAGATGCGCTGCGCCAAGAGACGATCAAGGAGCTCCAGGTGGGTGAAATCATTTCCCTCAAAAATGATCCCTATGTGCATTGAGTCCTAACTAACGTTTAACTGATACAGACTGTTTACAACGAATTGATCCCGGTGCACTCGCTTGTGAATGGCCAGCCCGCCAATCTATGGCTGATGGACCGACCCGATCTCATCGCGACCTTCACCAAGATCGAGCTTTGGCGCCTGACCCAGTTCAACCGGATCGTCTATATCGACTGTGACGTCGTGGCCTTGCGAGCGCCCGATGAGTTGCTCGCTTTGGAGGTAGATTTCGCGGCGGCCCCGGACGTAGGCTGGCCGGACTGTTTCAACAGTGGTGTCATGGTCCTCAAGCCAAATCTAGAGGACTACTATGCCTTGAACGCACTCGCGGAGCGGGGAATCAGCTTTGATGGTGCCGATCAGGGCTTGCTGAATATGCATTTCCGGGACTGGCATAGACTGAGCTTCACGTATAATTGCACCCCGAGTGCGAACTACCAGTACATCCCCGCATACAAGCATTTCCAAAGTACCATCAGCATGATCCATTTCATCGGGTCGCAGAAGCCGTGGAACTCGCCCCGACATGTGCTGCCCCTGGACGCGCCGTACAATCAGCTGCTGGGAAAGTGGTGGGCGGTTTACGACAAGCACTACCGTCCTCCTTTTGTGGGTGCTCCTTACTATTTTGGGTATGAAGAGGTCAAGACTGATCGCTAAACAGGCGTTTATTCCGCCTTCGCAGGAACCACAGACGCATGAAGCACCGTACTATGTACCGGAAAACGCCGTCCAGATCTGGCCCGAACCGCAACATGTCCATCATCCAGAGCCGGAGCCTACAAGTCATCGCCATGAGGAGGAGCATTCGGACGGTAAGATCCAGGAGCATGTTACGATCTCTGAAGAGCAGGAGGGATCGCATGGACATGCCGAGACAGACCAGGCGCCATCTTTGCCGGTACCGACACTAAGCGCAGTGCCACAGTACGTCCGAGGTGAAGAGCATGTCTCGACCTGGATACCTCCACAACCTCATCTCCCAGCTTCGACTTTCCACCCGCAACCACATAACGAAGAGCACCCAGCAGCCCCAGAGGAACGCCACGAACATCACGAACCGTCCCACGATGAAAGTCACATTCACCATCCCCAGCCTGTACCACCACCGCCAGCCACCGAAATCTTCCACCGTCCTCCATCACCGGAGCCTGAATCTCCCAAGTTCGAGGCACCAAAGGTAGAATGGGACGCATCGCGGTATGTTTCTCTTTATTTCTCTCCAACTCCATTGCGCCCCTTGATGAGATCCCCGCTTATACTCGACAGAGAGCCACCACCCCTCAACTCCAAGCCGGAAGGAATCAGCCTCGAACAAAAGACCTACACCATGTCCGAAGACACAACCCTCTTCCAACCACCCCCGTCATATCCGGAAGCGCCGAAAAACATGTACTATCAAGTCCCCGTCACAAAGCCTGAACCGCAAAAGATCTCCCAGATCTTCCCTTGGGAGAGCCACGCCCCAAAACCAACTCGCGTCTTCGCATACGAGCAACCCATCCCCAGTGCCCCCGATCACGAAGCAGCTCCCTCGCAGCCGCAACCCAATGAACCTGAACCTGAGTCCGAGCCGCAGTTGCTCGAAAACACACCACCTACCAGCCACCCAGCACCACCCCCCTTACAAACCTTCAGCCGAAAAATTCGAAAACTACTCCCACTCCAACGCCTGGGACGAAGACCCGCATATCCAGCGGTACATTGAATCCATCCAAGCCGCGCGACGAGCCCGCACACAAGTGCTATCCGGCAATCCAGCCGGCAGCATGTCACCTCAAGAATTACCAACCCATGCAATATCCGGCCACCGGCCCAGTATCCTGCTAACCGACTTCCCGACGGAAGTCGAGCGACCCAGTCTCCCCGTGACGCCGGCTCCGATCGAGCGGCGACCGGGCAACGACGACTACGTCTCCGCGACAGCCCTCCCTGCTGCGGAGGGAGTGCCGGATCAGGAGGACTGGGTGGGTGTCACGGTTGATGCGTTTTCAACCCTCTTGAGAGCAACCTACTTATTCTGGCAATCTACAGAATCCAATGGAGAGGCTCGAGGTGCTGAGGAGGGAGTCCGTGGGGCGGTTGTCTAGGTGGGAGTAGTATGTGGGTTAGTTGTGGGTTGCTAGTGCTTTTGTCTAGTAGGGTCATAATTTTTTGTTTGATTTTCCTGGATTTTTTAGTTAGTTGAAATTTTTGTTGATGAATTGCATTTCTTTGCATTGCGTGTTTTTTGCTCGTGTCGGGCTTGTACATCGCGACGCATTTGCATCGGTTTTGATTTCAGTATAATCTGATATGACTGTATTTTCCTGTTGTGATTTCGATCATGGGATCAGTCGTTGATGTTTGTTGTTTGTTTTTTAGTACGGCGATTAAGCAATATAATGCATCGTCTTGTTGTCCCGCTCACCAAAGACACCCAGAAGTAATCAATCCAGCAGGTTGTCAATCCAGTAGGTTGAATAGTATGACCCTCAAGTGCATGTGGCAAGTCACGTGTAAGCTTATTCTGCAGGAGCTGGGAGCTTGGAGCTGTATGTAGGCCGTGTTTATTGTCCCAAAGATCCCGGATACGAGAGATCCCAAACTATGACTCGCGCACAAACGTACTCGGCCCAAGGAACACCAGCAACGGCATCTCCACCACTCCCACCAGGCGCTCGAAACCTTCGGAAAGGGAAGATCTCCGAACCCTTCTGACCTGCCTTTTTAAATTAGCGTCTGTGGCCGAGGACACAGCCTATGGTAGCGCGTGATGTTCAGGGGCCAGGGTGCTGAGAACCAATAAGGAGGGCTGGGAAGAAAATCTAAGGAAATGCTTATCTGCGCCCCGGCTGCACTAGCCCTTAGGTGGACAACCTAAAATCGGACCCGGTGAGAAGAATTTTCGGTGTCAACCATACGAGTGGTAAATAACCATCTTGCCTACTGGATAGGGAAGGACCTTTTATGGGTATGCCACGCCTTTATAGGCTTACTACTGCTGCTAGGTATGTACTAGAGTATAGTTACATCGGACTCCTCGGATCCCCCAGCTGCCCGCATGCTTGGGGTTTGCTAAGAAAGTATATTAATAATGGCGCCGGGGTGGGAGGTTCCGGGTTGGGGTACATGATTGAAACATTCAGAGGAAGCCGGTGAGGGGTTGCGAACTCCAGTCATTTAGGCACTGGTAGTATTGGGGGCGCAATGTGCTCCGGTGTACGCCGTACAGAGTACGCGTCGTCGCGAGGCGGGAAGAACTCACAACCGACTTGGCCTTGTTTGCCGTGAAGAAAGGTAGCCGCGTCTGCCTCGGCGGTCCACCGAAGTAGATTTTTCATCCGAACCTTCCTATACCAGACCGAAGTATGCAAACAAAACACCTTGAGATAGAACAAATCTAGACTCAGAGTACCTACTCATCCTCACCCCAGCAAAAATAAAGTGCAGTCTGACCCCTCGCCCCCTCATCATGCAACCGATCCATCTTGGGGGGCGTTACATTGGCGATTTCATGAAAGCGCCCCCATTAGTCACCACGCGGAGACCCTCTCCATTCCCGGACTGCTGATTGGCGTGCTATCCGACCATCGGCCCGACTGACAGACAGGCGACCAATCAGGGCCGCCCACGGAACGTTCGGCGGGGCTTCCATGGGACGTTCTGCGCAGATTCGCCTCCCACGGGGCAAAATCGGCGCGCGGAGACCTGGGGACACTCCGAAACTCAATGTGATTTTCTCTTATTAATGCCTGGCTTTCCCCATCTTTTCATTTCTTCTTGGGTTGTGCTGCTCTGGTTTGATCTTTTCCTTTCGTTCCGAGTCTCTTGCAGCCGTTCTTTATACTTGCCCTCCCTTTGCATCCATCCGGAACAAAACTAGCACCATGGATGCCGTCACGCCCCAACCCCCGGCGTACGAAAATGACAAGATCGGTGAGCACAAGCACGAGCCGGCCTTCGAGGAGGAGAATGGTCTGAAGCATGGCGAGGTCTCGGATGCCTTTGGTAACGAGGAATATGCCGAGATCAAGTACAAGACCCTGAAGTGGTGGCAATGCGGTCTGCTCATGATTTGCGAGTCCGTCTCGCTGGGTGTCCTGTCTCTGCCTTCCGCCGTCGCGACGCTTGGTCTTGTCCCTGGTGTCATTCTGATTGTTGGTCTCGGTCTGCTGGCTACCTATACCGGCTACAACATCGGTCTGATGCGCGAGCGGTATCCTCACATCCAGAACCTCGCGGACGCTGGTGAGATTCTGCTCGGTAGTTTTGGACGCGAGCTTTTCGGTCTTGGACAGTTCCTTTTTTGCATCTTCGTTATGGGTAGTCATATCTTGACTTTCCGTGTTATGATGAACACTGTCACTGAGCACGGTACTTGCTCTATTGTCTTCAGTGTTGTTGGTATGGTCATTTCGCTTGTCCTGTCTATCCCTCGTACTATGAAGGGCATGACCTGGATCTCCTTTGCTTGTGAGTCACTATCTATCTAAACCTTACATACCCGCACAAAGCATCTAACACCCAAAAGCCTTCCTCTCCATCTTCTCCGCCGTATTGATCACCATGATCTCTGTCGGCGTCGAAGCCACCCCAGACCGCGTCATCGAAGCCACCGTCCAAAACAACCTCTACACAGCCTTCCAATCCGTCTCCAACATCGTCTTTGCCTACTGCGCCCACGTCGCCTTCTTCGGCCTAATTGCCGAAATGGAGAACCCGAAAGACTTCAAGAAGTCCCTTTTCATGCTGCAGGGCTTCGAAATCTGCCTCTACCTTGCTGCCTCCGTCGTTATCTACTACTACGTCGGCAAAGACGTTTCCTCCCTGCCCTGACCTCCGCCGGCCCCGTCATGAAGAAAGTAGCCTACGGCATTGCCATCCCCACTATCGTCGGCGCCGGCGTCGTGAACGGCCACATCGGCTTGAAGTACATCTACTTCCGGCTCTGCGCGAAGTCCGACCTGATCCACCAGCGCAACTGGAAGTCCGTCGGTCTCTGGCTTACCCTCGGCGTGACTTGCTGGGTCGTTGCGTGGATTATTGCCGAGGCTATCCCCGTGTTCAGTAACCTGAATTCGCTGATTGCTGCGCTCTTCGCTAGTTGGTTCAGCTACGGTCTTTCTGGTATCTACTGGCTGCACCTTAATTATGGGCTGTGGTTCGCTGGGCCAAAGAAGATTGCTCTGACTATTCTTAATGTCGGTATTGCGCTTATTGGTCTGGTGCTTTGTGTGCTTGGTCTTTATGCTTCTGGTACTGCTATTCATAATGATAATAGCAGTGCCAGTTTCACTTGTGCCAACACTGATACCTAAGTGTTTGTGGGGGTTGTATTACGATCCTTTGCTGTTTTTGTATTATATGAATTGCATCTTGTACATAGAGCATTTTGCTGCTGGTTTCTATAGAGGAACTTGACTTGAGCTGATTACTGGCTAATAAATGACTGCATGCTATATACCCGTTTCATTATTGTAAACTCGCTGTTCTAGAATCAGTTGCCTTTGATGCCAGACGAATTTTCATTCACTTTCGGCTTGAATGATGTGTATGTGGAAGGTGTATTCAAGCTGTACCAGCCCAGAGGCCCAGGAAAAGATGTCTAATTTCATCAGTCGTAAGAATAATAACGCTAAGCGCTCAGAAATGAAGAAAAATGCCACTGTCGAAAACCAAGCTACTGCTTATGCGTCGCTGAGACGCTTCCCACGAACGGAGTAGTAATGACTCTGCTTGATATGGCTCGCCTTCCCAGTCTTCTCATCAAACATACTGAAGCCATGGATAGCGGCATTAGGTGGTGTGTAGACTGCATTGCATTAGCCTTAATCAAGAGATGTTGGCGGAGGAACTCACGGTGAAGCGAAATAGCAAAGTTGTCCGGGTCGGGGTTCGAGATTCTGTGAAGACCCAGCTGTGGTATGAATTAGTGAAGACCCTTAGCTTTAGCGGGGATGGACTCGACGAACCTTGTCGGACATGTAGGTGACCTGGTTTTCGCCGTAGATGGTGTGTTTGGTGATTTGCGGTGGGGAGGTCTCTCCGTGTTCAATTCTCTCCGTGTCGGGCCAGGAGTAGAGAGTTTCTTGGAGGTTTCCTTTCAGGATCTGTTGGAGTTAGAGCGTGAAAGATGCGTGGGCTATTGAGTGAGGCTACCTTCATCACGCAGTGGGCGTTGGCGTGGTCGTGGATTGCACTTCCCTTTCCAGGGCTCCAGACGAGGATTAGCTGGCGGTTTATTTTAGCCTCGTAATCAGATAGACACAGAGAATGATAGCTGATGGTAGCTGGGTATTTCAAAATATCTCCCATGCAGCACGCTTGACCTACCAAATTACTCTTCCCATTCCCCTCGTCAATCAGGTTTCTCGTGTAGGTTCTGCTCCCATCAGCCAAGGCAAAGGCACCCCACTCCGATTCATTAGAGACATATTTCTCCATTAACTTTTGAATGGCCAGGGGATCAACGTCATCGGAATCGAGACCAGAGCTTGGGCCCAGGGCCACGCTGAGGTCTTGCACAAGTTTCTCGAAGGCGTTGGAGTTTAACTCGGAGTTAGCCGGTGAGTCAATCTCGTTCCGGAGGTAAGGCATGGCGAGAGATGCAGCTTGAACAAGATGCCAGGCGGGGGAGGTCTTGAAAACGAAAGCAAAGTGAGGGTTATCCAAGGCCGTTATCGGAATTCGGGTTGAAGTGGGCTGTGGAATAATGATGCTGTCCACGGAATGGATTGTTTATGCCACTATGCCCCGCTAACAATGTCAATGAATGAGGCTGCAAATATGAGCGTAGTACAAGTTTCGAGGACAAACCTAATTGGCGATGTGCAAAGAAAAGAGAACAGCGACTGTCGACCTCTAATGGTTCCTGAGACTTCCGCCACCCCTTGCAGCCTCAGGCATCAAATGATGCGATAACGATAAGGAACACGTGCTTCCATTCAATTTGCTGCCTCATAAATCCGGCATCAATGACATAGTGGTAAAAATCTGCCTGAGGCCGGCACCCCGCCCTGACTAAGAGGATAGCCACAATTCAAAGATTGTGGTCTCCGCAAATTCATCATCGACGAAGGCGTCTGTTCTGCAACACAACGAGGGAAACTCACCAAGGCGAGAGTTTCCTGTACGCTGCGACTTGGACCTGGAATAACTACACTGCCCTTACGATTTTAGTGTTTTCCAACCGCCAACATGTCGACCACAATTGACAAGGTTAGTTCGCTGTCACCGCTGGACCCTTGAAACACGCCACCACGAGAAAGAACTGTCGCTAATGGGGATTTTTGCTACTTGCAGATCAAGGAGATCGAGTCCGAGATGGCTCGGACTCAGAAGAACAAGAACACCTCCTTCCACTTGGGTACGGACGCGCCCCGATGCAATCTTTAATTTCTCGACGGACTCGACTGACAACGTGAAGGACAACTTAAGGCTAAGCTTGCGAAGCTCAAGCGAGAGCTGCTGACCCCGTCTGGAGGTGGTGGCGGCGGCGGTGGTGGTAAGTGCCCTTTCTCTTGAGATATGACGTATTTTTGCTAATGTGGATGATTTTTAGCCGGCTTCGATGTTGCGCGTACTGGTGTTGCCAGTGTGTATGTTGGCTCATACCTCTGTTGATGTCTGTGATGGTATACTGATATATATCCTACAGTGGTTTCATTGGTTTCCCCTCCGTCGGAAAGAGTACTCTGATGAGCAAACTCACCGGCCAGCACTCCGAGGGTATGTTGCGCGTGATCTTGATGGGATTGCAGTTCTAACTTTGCTCTCTAGCTGCCGCATACGAGTTCACAACCCTTACGACAGTGCCTGGACAAGTCATGTACAACGGTGCGAAGATTCAGATTCTGGATCTTCCTGGTATTATTCAAGGTGCCAAGGATGGTAAGGGTCGTGGTCGTCAGGTCATTGCTGTCGCGAAGACCTGCCATTTGATTTTCATTGTGCTCGATGTCAACAAGCCTTTGGTTGACAAGCGTGTCATCGAGAATGAATTGGAGGGATTCGGTATTCGTATCAACAAGTCGCCCCCCAACATCATGTTTAAGAAGAAGGACAAGGGTGGTATTGCTATCACCAGCACTGTTCCTTTGACCAACATCAGTCACGAGGTGAGTACTCTCGCTCTGCTATAGTCGGGGTGAGAGTCGAATGCTGACACCCCACAGGAAATCAAAGCCGTCATGAACGAGTACAAGATCTCGTCCTGCGATATCGCTATCCGTTGCGATGCCACCATCGATGACCTGATTGATGTCCTGGAAGCCAAGAGCCGAAGCTACATCCCCGTCGTCTATGCGCTGAACAAGATCGATTCCATCTCCATCGAGGAGCTGGATCTGCTGTACCGAATTCCCAACGCTGTGCCCATCAGTTCGGAGCACGACTGGAACATCGACGAGCTGATGGAGATGATGTGGGAGAAGCTTGAGCTGCGACGAATTTACACTAAGCCTAAGGGCAAGGCACCCGATTATACCGCTCCCGTTGTGCTGCGCAAGAACAAGTGCACTGTGGAAGACTTCGTAAGAACCCCTTTCTGCATATCATTCGAAGAACCATGCTAATTCGGCCCATCACAGTGTAACGCTATTCACCGTACCATCAAGGATCAATTCAAGCATGCCATTGTGTATGGCCGCTCCGTCAAGCACCAGCCGCAGCGAGTCGGTCTCGCTCACGAGCTTGCCGACGAGGATATCGGTACGTGACTGCAGAAGCACACCCGATACCAAATGCACCGATCAAAGATCAAAAGCTGACCACATCTACAGTGTCGATTGTGAAGCGGTAAACGCCCACCTCAACCACCACGACCGTCGCCCGCGTGCGATGCGACGAGCAAATCCAAATCGCGCTGGGAACGGGACCAATGACCTGGGCGGTCCGGAGCGGATGTTTCTACCCCTGCCACGCTGACAGGTACGGGGCTTCTGGGCTACAGCTCTCCGTCAGACGCCACGGACGCCGAGCATAGTTGGACGGCACGAGTCATTCCCGCACGGACAACCGAGTTCATCGAATAGGGACTCGGAAAGTTGCAGGGCTTGCTGAGGAGGAGATTGAATGCCAGGCTGTGAGCAGGGCCGGACGGCCCACGCATACTCTACTTGCTTATTGTGATGTTCGTTTCCTATCCCGTTACCTTCCGAGGGTTGCTGCGTGGTTTTTTTTTCCTTGCTGTGCCGTCGTCGAGTTGGAGAAAGGTCCAATGAGTTCGCATCGGTCTCAGGGTCAACATGACGGGGGTCGTGAGGGGATGTTGCATTCTCGTTTTTGATAGTCTTGGCGGGCTTCCAAGTTTGATGCATGATGCTTTTTGATTTTTGCTTGATGTACTATGGCCTTTTGAAGCGACCGGTCCATATTGTTATGATCACCCATTCTTCTTGTTGCCGGGACATTCATTGTTTCGCCAACAAAAATGATTCCAATGAAAAAGTTCTAGATCAGGTCTTTATGGGTAACCAAGCCATTGTTGCATACGATGCGTCTTGACAGTTCTAGTTGAAGGAATTAGCGTAGCGATGACAAGGAAAATACATCCATCTTTGCTTTTGCTGCCCAAGGCATTGAACATTTCCTCCCGCATTTAGTATCGATCCTGCACTGACTTCGCGAGCTAACAAAAGAAAGACCAGCCACGCAGCCCGCCTCGCTGATCCGGCATACGACATGCATGGATTGCCCGCGCATAGCCAATGGCCCAATGGCCACCCCGGCATATACTAGCGAACTACGACAGCAGGATAGGCCGATATACTTATCAAATCCCAGCAAGCGCTCTTCCCAAGGGTGGGTGCCCAGGCCCAAATTCAGGCACGCGAGACACGGCCGACTGAGTCGCCGTCTTGAGCAGGCGCGAAAGTACATCCATCACAGACTGTGATTGTGATGCTGGCAGCTGGGATGGATGCACCCCCCCCTCCTGGCTGCGAGTAATTCCTGAAAATCGGTGTCTGCTCGCTGCTTTTTCCAATTGGCTTGGTGCTGTCATTGGCATTGACATCGCGGGGCAAGGTTTTAGTCCGTGCTGTCCCTGCGCTCTCTTTTTACTACCACTTTAGTCACTATAAGTATATCAGAGTACAAGGCAAGCGATCCATGCCCTCGATCAAAAGTTATCCTGCTCGCCACCTTGTCATCGGCATGCCCTCTGGGGTAAAACTTGGACGAGGCTGGCGAGTCAGGGGCCCTGTCAGCTCGACTTGGTCTGCGTTCGGAATGGGCGTAGTCTAGGCCGTCTAGACGGGGCCACAGCCCGCGTCCTTTTGGCCAATCTACCGATGCGGCACCCAGGCCTCGTAGTGTCGAGGTTCGAGTCCAGTCGAGTCCAGTCGCCAGGGCCAGGCCGAGGTAGGGTCGCCCCACGACCGGTCCAAGCTCCCTGATAGCTCTCCTACTCCTAAGGGTTAGGGGACCGAAATTATGGTGTGCATACGTTGCAGATGGACAGGCCCAGGACTGGTGCACTGACCCGTGCTAAATTATTCACGATCCAGCTAGGTTCCATCGTTGCGATTCCCGAGCGAAAAGGTGGGCAGCTAGGCAAATGACAAATGGCTGTGGGTAGTTCTGCTCGAGGTCGACGATCCATATTCGGGGGGATGCGTATACCCGCCACGCTCCGCCGGCAGGAGAAGAGACTAGGGAAAGCAGAGGTGATCCGATAGGAGGAGAAAAGAGGGGAGGGGGATGTAAATTGGATGTGTCAGGCCCATCGCATGTCGTGCCCCCTGCTCCGTCGTGGCCCTGCTTTTGCTTGCGGCTTCATTCGGTACCAAAATTTGGATCGGCCTGCCAAAAGTACTGGGCTCGAGCTTTTTCATTTTTCCCTGAAGGATCTGCGCGACTTGACGTGCTGCATTCTGCGAAAAGGGCAAGATGGACGGCCGTACCGTACGGCGCAGTAACAACTTACTCTTACAATGTAAGCTTCTCAGCTCTCCATGTTTATGGGCCGCTATACTAGCCGGCCCTCATCAATCCATGGTTGAGGATGAGGGGGAAACAGCGGTGAATGTCGGCCCCGTTAGCGATGGTTGCGAGCTGCGTATTGTTGAGGGTGGAAGTTCCCGACTGTAAGGGACTAGGGTCAGGATGAACCAGGGTTATCTGATTCGACCTCCGCCGCACTCGCTACGTGATGCTGGCCGTTCATACCAGCGCCAGTGCGTAGCGGAGTCCCGCGGAGACGAAGTGGAGGCCCGTAAATCGCCGATCTCGATAGCCCCTCGGGGGCACGATCTGGTCCGTCCGCAGATGCGATCGGTGGAATGGACTACTGCAAACAAGTCCGTTACTGTCATGGTTGAGAGATCTCCGGTGGTGCAGTACGGAGTGCAGTCAAAAGCCATACGTAGTAGTACTATGCACACTTTGTATTGTGGTAGTGTGTACGTACTTAGTCATGCTATCAGGTGACTGCACCGGCACCGATCCCTTCTCGTGGTCTTGTTGCATTGCATTGCAGCCAGGCACCGCCCGGCAGTGTACTTTCTTTTATTCTTGGCACACACCAGTCCATATATCCTGATACTCAAATCCTCTTCCCCGAATGCCGTAGACCGATTGAAAGCCAGCGCCCGCAATTATGTCATGCAAAGCTGAATAGTAGGGCTGGTTCGTCCTTCGTCTCCACTCGATCGACACCGCGCGGTCCGAACGAGATGCAGTCGAACTGTCTGGCCGGAATACCTCCAGCAGGTACGTGCACTGCCGTTGAGAACTCGTGTCGATCGGTACCTGACTCGAACTGGACCAGCCAGGTGCATCCACCCTGGTCGCCTTCCCGGTGCGCTTGTGTTCCCCCAAATCCTCCCTCAATGCGCACCAGACGAAAGCTATCCGATGGATGGTGGGAACCGCCGCAGAAGCAATTTCAGCCTGCGCTGCCCGGCCATAGGACGGCGATTTCGATCTTGACCGGTCTAGACTTCTTTCTTCTTTCTCCTCCGAAGTGAGACCCGGCCGCGTTGGGGACAGCAGCCACCCCCTCATGGCTGGCCCTAATCTTTCTGGCAAGAGCGTCACCAATGCCACTCAAAGGACATAGGGACTGAACACCACGCTGAAGAGACTGGAGAGATCACCCGGGATTTCTACCCCCACCCCCCAAGAAATGGCGTCAGCCCACTTTCCTCTGATCTGATGCGATTTCACTTTTGACCAAACCTCTCCGGGATAGGAAACGATGGGCGGGTGGATTCTCGTGCATACTCTAGGGTATGCGGTTGCTTTTTCCCCTTCCTCCGCTTGCCCTTTTCCCCGGCATCGACGGCTCTGACTGGCGCAAAGCCGCAAAAAGGAAATAGACGGCAGCGCGCAGGATGATTGTTGTCGTCGTCGAATCATCGGTGACTGGGGGCCACCGACGGTGATTCGCAGGCTGCCCTGATCGTCGACCGAGGGATTGTCACGAGAATTTGTCAGACCTCCCCTCTTCCATTGTCGACTAGACATGCCATCCCCATTCTTTCGTCGGTGCAATGTTCGAGAAAGAAAAAGGAATCACCGGACCAATTTGACATTTGCTTGCCTCGTGGTGAGGTCGAACAAGCGGGGAGGGTGCATGGGCAGACCCGTTGCTTCTTGCCCGTATGCGACCCAGACCGCATCCAAATGATTAATATCGATGAGGCACTACTGTACCCAGGTCAGGTATAGAACCAAATCTATCTACCCTACAGTACTGACTCTACCTATACCCTAGGTATGCACGCTGGGTATGTATCTATGGTTATTCGTACCCTAGGATACCTCAGGTATATCATACCGATCCGTAATTACCCCAACGCTTACCGTCGCAAGTATACATACAGACCGACAAGGGTTCACCTCAGAGTGCTCTCGGCAAAGGGCGTCTGTCTGTACGAGATTCTCCACCGCGATCCATGGGACGCCTTGTCACTATTATCTAGTGCACTTCCGTAGTCTTACTCCTAGTAGGAGTACTAGTCTCTTCGAGACTGCATGGTCACCGTTCTTGACATCTTGTTTACTGAAGGTTTCCGGGCCGGCGAGGACCGCAGTGGGTCGCGGGTGGACACACAACAAGTAGCGCCAAAGCTCGATCGCATCATGGAGTTCCCCTCTCCTTCGCATTCCCCCCGCTACGCCTTGTGATAGGGCCAGCCCCAGCCTGCTCGTTCGGCCCTTGTATCGTCTGCGTATTGCTCGCAGGCCCGTCGCGGCGGCAGATTCGTCCAGCCACGGAGGATCCATGCTGCTCCTCATTTGCCTATTGCCTATTAGCCGTGCCCATCGACCATGACTGATGCCTTCACTGGCAGAAAACGAGGGAGATCTGCACTGTCCTTCACAGATCCCTCATGTTGAATCCGGCAGTAGTCCCTGCCTCGTCCAAGGGATTTGCTCGGTCTGCTGCTCAGCGCCCCAACCACCCCTCCACCCTGCCGTTCACTAGGCCTGCCAATGCCCATTGCGGTCATTCTGACTTTCTAGCGAAATCCAGTCATGGTCGAGAAGCGCGCTTTTGTAACTTCTCTGGATTCATCCTTTCTTCTTTCTGTCGAGGCTGCCTTCCTGTTTGGCTTCGACACGCTTCCGTCCGCGACAACCGTGCCCGCGAGGGTGATCACATGGAGTGGGCCAGACTACTTCCTCAGCATGTTCTGCTGTTGCGAGTCGACGCCATGGGACTCTTTGGCCGCTCCAACCGTTGGACCTTCATCCGGAATATGAGCGGGATGAAACGATAGTCGGCACTGCCGCAATCGCCTTGTCCACCCCCCGGTCCACTTGATCGTCCGAGCCTACGCGATGTACGTAGCGGATGTCATGCGGCCTTTAGGTTCAGTGGTTTATCGATCCGCTATCCGGCCCCCAGCAAATCATCACGGATACCTGCCCGTCGAGAGAACCTCTTCTGCTCCCTGCGGATGATCTGCTGTGCCCCGACGGCCACTTCGTCCCAGTGCAATTTCCTGAAACGAGACAGCCTCCACCGGCCAGAGCCAGTCGGGCTGGTGGACTCGGCCGTGAGGCAAGACGACCAATTTGTAGATCTACTAATCGGGTGAACAGATGAAGGGCTTGAAAATATACGCAGCAACACGACGGACGCCCCGAAGAGGTCCGACCCAGATCGTTCCAGGGATCCTCGTGGTTTGACCCGTCGTGAGGAGGGTCTTGTTCGGTACTAGGTAGAGTCGTATTCGAGCAGAGCATAGATTGGGTACCCAACAGGTTCAGTGTTCCTCCTCGGTCATATACCCAAGCCAGATCTCGGCTGACTCGGAGAGAGGGAGGGGCTGGAGAGCCGGCAAGCGAGAAACTCCGAGGGGGAAAAAAAGAAAAGAAAGGAAGAGAAGAGAAATGGATGAATAACAACTAACAATTAATAACATGGCCACTACGGAGCACAGCTTTAGAATATCCCTCGTTGACGCCGGATATCCCGCGTTTGCCCTGACCCTCAGGGAAGTCACCATGGTAAGCCAAGCAAATAAGCGTTCTTTACAAACAATACGATTCCGCGTAATACACAAACCCGCCGAGCAAATCGACCGAACGGACCTGAGGAGATGTAACTGCTGCAGGATATATCGCACTCGGGACCAACCACACACCGTTTCCCCTCCGTTTGACAGGGGTATTCTTAAAATGATGGCTGGGAAAATAATCCCCCATAAACGTCCAAAAAGGGAAACACGAAATATTAAAAAAAATTAAAAATTGAAAAAATTAAAAAAAAAACCCAAAAACCGTATCCTTGTATTTGATTTTATTGTTTCCTTTTGGCCAATTTCGCCCAGCTTGGCCAATCACGCGACGATTGGCTGGATGCCTCTCGGGGCAGAAGGTTATCATTGATTTCTCCGGAAGTTGTGCCCTTCTCGTGCCAGTTGCAATCGTGATTCACCTCGTTCTGTCAATCCACGCGATTTTTGAAGGATCTGCGCTCGACCTGGCCCTGATTTTCCTTTTAACTCCGCCCATTGCCTTACCCGCACGTCGCACCTTCTATCTTCTTTACCTCTTGCATATTGTATACCTCCCCAACCACCCACTCCTCCTTGCGCCAGGGATCCCCTCAGCATTCGACTCAGCTCTCGCCTATCTGCCTAGGTAGATTGCTGTGTGCTGTGGTGTGCTGGTGTGCGGCAAAATCCCACCTGCGTGTAATTCTATACAGCCGGTGGTAGAATATGCATAGTCCCTCATTGTCTTACTAGAACTGTCGCATTGTTCCCATCGCCCCCATTGTTCTACTCCGACCAGGTCCTTTGACTGAGCACTTAGCACAAAGAATCTCCGCAATCTCCACCTTCTCCATGAAGGACTCAACCGCCATGGAAACGGAATCCCACCATGCAGACGGCGAATTCGCGCATTCGCCCTGGGTTGATATGGGCACTTTCACCTCGCCGCAACACTCACCGCCGATGCCCGAATACACTGGTTTTGACTATGGCCACTCGATCATGCCCGTGGATACCCCGTACGGCATGTCAATACCGCCGCCCTACGCCTCGATGCCGCTACCCATGCCCTCGCATTCGTGGCCCAGCATGCTGACCACCCAATCGCCTTTCCACGAAAATGGCCCCCCGCCGGTCTCGGCTCCACAGTCGGTTTCGCCGTCGGTGCCTGCGCCGCCGGCTCGCAAGGCCTCGACGGGCGGTGCGACGCCGCGCAGGACCTTGACGGATGAGGATCGGAGACAGATGTGTCTGTACCATGAGGAGAATAAGACGGCGAAACAGACTGATATCGGAGGTGAGTTTTTTCCTCATCTGATGGGAATAAAATCAAAGCTGATTTGTCTGTAGCATTGTTTGGTGTGGAAAGAAGGTATACTTCTCATTGTTGCTGCATCATCTTCTGGACTAGCATACTAACACCACACCCAGTACTGTCTCCAAAGTCCTACGACAAAAAGAAAAATATCTCAACCCAGACGATGGAACTCGATCCCCCATCAAGCGGGCCAAGGGCCGAGTCCCAGATATCGAAAAAGCCCTCTCCAACTGGGCCCGCAACTACCAACGCCAGGGCTTCCCACTCAACGACGAAATGATCAAAGAGAAAGCCCTCTTCTTCGCGAGCACCTGCGGCTGTCCCGAGGGCAAGGCCAAGGTCCGCACAACCGCCTGGCTCGAGAAATTCAAGCAAAAGAACAGCCTACTCGGCGCAAAGACCCGCAAGGGCTCCGGCATCCGCAGTGGCTCCGACAGTCCAACGCGCATCAACACTGACTCCAACAGCGACTCCACGATCCACAGTCCAAGCGGTCGCTCGCCTGTTTCTCCAACAACTCTTAACGGCTTTGGCTCACCACTTTCTCCCACGCAAAGCCACGACGGTATCAAGCGTGAGTCGCTCGATGCTCTCCCCGAATTGGCGGGCGGGTATCAGCACAACCATTCCAAAAGCACGACTTCGCTCGACACCACCTCGACAGGAATGACCAGTCCCGCCTCCACGCTCGTCTCAGACAGCCCCTTCACACCAACAAGCCAGCGCCTCCCGGGCCTCCAGTCCCGACCACGCAGCCAGACCTTCCCGCTCGTCCCCATCGATCCCACCCTGCTGACAGCAGACGAGTCAATGGAGCACCCCTCCAAGACCGAGTCGCAACCCGTCTCTGTCCTCGAGTCACCACTGGAACTGGGCGACGAGGAAGCGCGGAATGCAATCAAGGGCACCGATCCCAGCAAACTGATCAAGCGCAACCGAAGCAACCCCGAGATCAAGACCAAGTCCATGCAGCCCCCGACCACGAAGAGCAGCACAACCTCGCCCATCGCCCCCAGCTCCCCGACACAGGAACAGTGCCGTGATGCACTCGAGCTCGTCATGAGCTTCTTCCAGAACCAGCCAGCTGGCCTGGCGCCGCAGGAGTATGTGACTATCGGCAAGCTGATGGAAAGACTCGAGCTGGGTAAGAGTCCTCTGGGCAACTTGCCGAGAATCGACGAGCACGATGATGGTCCTTGCATTACGAAGAAGCGCAGTATTCACAATCTCGGGTGAATCTGCTGCTCTTGCTCTTATTCTACCCCTGACATACATCTACAGCATCTTCCCCTGGTTTCTTTGTCTGGTATTATGATCCTATCTCACAAACCCGACTTACGCTCTCTATGTTCACTGTTCATTAATGCGTCCCATTATCCTGATTCCCCACCCATTTCGTTTTCGGCACTTCTGGCTTCTGGTTTTATTCTCGTGTTTTGTCTGCATTGTACGAGCCACCCCTTTTCCACCCGGAAACCAAAACTGTCAACACATATACACAACAGAGGGCAACCTCACTGCTTTGAGGGGTTTGGATTGGCGCTGGATTTTCTTTTCCTGCTATTCAGTGTTTTCGCATTTCCGCGGAATTCTACGCGGACCGGAACTCGGTACGGATTTTCTGAGGGGTTCATCGTGTTGGACCCAGGACCATCGTGGAGTTATGCTCATTCTTGTTGGCTTACCTAGGTACATGTTTGGTTTTTTGTTGTTTTTCATGTTTGCTACGCTTTTTGATGTTCACGCCCATACCCCATACCCCGATTGTTTGTTATATCCCCTTTGCTTTGTCGATTATGCCAAGGTTATTCTCTTACTCTCATTTACTTCTCTCCTCGAGTTTCTTTTTCTAAACTGGGCCGCTCGCGCGGAAAGTATAATTTACTGGCTTGTACAAGAGTTTAGCTGGTCTGTCAGATTAATCTGTCTTGTTCATTTCTCTCATTTCTCCTCCTGGATCCATGTTCATAGCAGCGCTACATTATGCCATGCACTGTATTTGTTGGTTCCGTACTGCGACTTCCGCTATATTACTCCAAGCAAGATGACATGGAATTCAGAGTGTTATACCCCCCTGAATCACGCACATGGTCGATGTTCCTCATTTAATGAGTTTCCAACACTATACCTCCGATTGCGATGAACGCGTCCCCCACACCAAAGTAGAATAAATATAGACTAAGCGCTTAGAGTCTTTCAAAAAGTATATCCACGAAAGTTCACAGTAAGAAATAAGGCCATGCAGGAACAAAGCCGAGTCCCGAGCCTAGAAACCAGCAGGTACAGGAGCCACCCCCCGATCTTCCATGAGATCTTGCACGCTGCGCTCCGCCAGCTCGGGGAGGACCTTAGACAAGACCTTCTCGATAATCGAGTAGATGAGATGTTTATTACAATACTCATCCGCAAACACATCCAGTACGTCCTCGATACTCTGGAGGAGAAACAACTCCTCCAACTCGGGCTGTTGTTCGCCAGTCTCCAATCGTCCACCCTCCTCCGAAAGCCCAGAGGCCAACCCGAAAGGCAATGACGTCGACGCCACCTGTTCGGATCGGGCGACTCCACCCCCCTCTTCATCCCGTGATGAAGGTGGAGATAAGGTCATGACGGAGGACGAACTGCCAGTGGCGACGATGCAGGAACGATCACTGGAGAGAGCTGAAGCAGCGAAGAAGGTTCGTGCGACGGCGCGCGGGATCAGAGCGAGGAGGCTAGCTGCACATCGCCGCTTGATAGCGGCGATCTCCGAGTTAGGGCGAGTTGGGTCTTGCTTTTTCTCCGACCTCGTTGTTGGTGTGCCCGCGCCGGAGTCTTTGATTCCACTAGGAGTAGTCGTAGTATCCACTGTCAGTGATGGGCTGTTTGTTAGGGCAGGGCTAGTTGGCTCTGGCGATACTGCTCGGGACAGATGATCACCGCTCCTTCCAACTTCAACATTTTTGTTACTTTTAAGTGTTTCGCCTGTGGCGCCCTTGTTCAAAGTATTTCCGATATGCGGTTTCAATGCTGCGCCGTTGCCTTCTGCCGGGATGGGCGCGGCTGCGGCGAGGGCTCTGGTCTGCACGGATACCTGCGGAGTCGGCGCGGGGGGTCCTCCAGTGTTCACGGCAGGAGCCTGGGGACGTGCATTGGCTGGAAAGAGGGCTGTCCTTGTTGCAAGAAGAAGGTTGGGCAACAAAGTGGGGGTCAGAACGTACTCCTCAATGGTCTCCCGGAGGAATCTGTGGAGTTTCAGGAATCAGTAATCAGAAATCAGGAAAAGATCTGAAATCATGACATCGGGAGCCCCGAGGAACGGAGTATAACGCCAGTAAAGGTGTGCAGTGAAAATCCCTCGACTGTGGAGCTGCCAGCAACGTTGTAGCGCCATGCGATCGGGGTGCGTTGTTTCCTGTGTCGACCAGTCCACCGCACGAGCAGAGCTTCATCTTCCCGCCATTTTAGGGCGATTGCGAAGTGGGGAGGCGGAGTACGATCGGCCCCGGTGTGGATGATGGGAGCTTGGGCCAATCCGGGCTGCAACAGGGATGTGCTCGCTGTCCACGAACCAGCGTCCTCAACGCCGGCGAAAGTGAGGCGGGCGCTGCTCCATCTCTCCTTCCTGCCCCCCATGTCGTTCCTTCCCCTTTCCACAATGCAGGTGTAGACGCAGGAGGATGCGCAGAAGGAGGAGCAGCAGCAGCAGCAGCAAGAGCAGTAACGACCCCAGCAATGTCCAGGGCGATGGCGGGTAACATCCCAGCAAGCCGTACCTGGCGTACAAAGCGGGCATATGCACCAGCCTCGGTCGCGCAGATTCGAAACTGCGCCGGCGACGAATTTCGCTGATTGGACGGGCGGCGGAAAAATCACTAGCCTCGGCCAAGCAGTCTTTCTTCATGCAAGTGCACCAAGAGGCATGGGCCATCCATCGCAGGGGATCGGCATCAGGCGATTTCCTTGCTCGTGCGCCATTTAGATTCCCCATCTCTGCGTTGAACGTGGTTCGGCAGCCGGAAAACTCTGATTTTTGCTCGCTCGTTGCTTTTTCTGGGCTGCATTTCATTTCCATCTTAGCGGCGCGGCGGTGCCAGGCCAAACCAGAGATCCCAAGGGTCAAGCTGAAGAAAAAGGTCTCATGATGCGGTGGATTCCTCCCCCAACCCCAACATCACAACCCACCAGCCGATTCGACCAGATGGAAACAAAGGCAAAGCGGCACGGAAAGGGCCGGGCCCCCAATCACACAGAATAATGAGACGCAGGAAAAGACCGAGAAGATCCCTGCTCCATCGTCGCTCGGGCCAGCTCGAGGAGGCCAATCCGACGCCTGAAATGGCCGGGCTGTAAGACGGTAACGGCAGTACGGCGAGTCAGCCACACCGTAATGTGACCATACCGGTCGAAACGGTACGATCAAGTGATCGATGCAGTATGCGAGCAAGACATCGCCATCCCACCATGACTCGCACAAGGTGACACTTGACCCTCGTAGATCGCAGTTCGGAGATCGCAACGTTTCTCCACAGTCGAGGGTTCATGCGCTCCCGGGAGGCCCGAGCCCGACGCTGGAAATGCTCCGGAGACACATAGTATAACACAATATAGCTCACAACACATAACACGCGTATATCAAAACGAAATATGGACTCACCTGTCAAGGACCCCGTCTGTGTCACCTAGCTGACCCGGTCCCGCCACAACCAGATGTTGGACGAGGGCAAAGAACCCCGATAGCCACGGCATCCGCTGCGAGAGGCCAAGGAGTTGGGAGGCCATGGACGACACTCGGTAATCCAAAACTGGGCGCTTACGCCCAACGCCGTCTGACGACGACTCCAGTCCATCCTTCTGGGTCCCTGGCGTTGCAGCGGGAAATGAAACACCGGCTCCGTGCGAGTCTCCTGGCCCTGGATGGGATGCGACGCGGAAGAGACCCGTCGCAATGAAACGCAAGGCGACGTAACCAAAATAGATGCCCTGGAGGACACTCCATATCCAAACCGTGATTTGCGACGGGGTGGCAGAGTGTTGGGGCGCCGGAGAGTCGTCTTGCTGATGGAGGAGGCCAAATTTCTCGAGCTGACTGGTGGGCGTATTCGCCGGGGAATCAGAGCCTTGTGGGCCTGTCGTCTGGTGGTTTTTGGCCGTGGCCATCGTTGCGAGTTTGGTGGTGATTTCCCAGAAGAACCGGCCTTCGCAGATGCGACCAGCAACTTCTTTCCCCAGTATCAAATCGGCCATCACATCGCTCACTAATGTCCGGAGACTGCTATTCTCCAAGTCCTCAGTAGGCAAGAGGACCGCCAACGTGCCATTGGCGAGAAGGCGCCGGTAGATGGCTTCATTCTCGCTCTGCGCGCCTATCGTATCAGGGTCTGCTGGGTCCGGAATGGGCGAGAGACCAGGATGAGGATTCAATTCGTGATAGATGGTACGATGCGACGTTGGGAGCCCTGAGAGATGCGACTGTTGCTTGGCTAGTCTATAAGCTAGATCGTACACCACTAGTTAGCATTGTGTTCGCTCCAACCAGATGGTCGCCGCCAGGGCCACCAGAATGATTTGGTTCCTTCCATGTTGTCCAAGACATTTGGGAGAGGGGGTGGTCTCACAGAGTATATGTGCTTCCACCAGCGCCGGGATGTCATCCAAAACCAGCTGTGCGACATCGATCTGACGTATTCTCTGTTCCAGGGCGCGGGTGCAGTGTGCCACGACTTGTAGTACCTCGTTAACCAGTGCTTGGTCCGACGTAATCTTCGAGTACCATGAGTACAGAAATTCCTTGATTATTATCGCGATGAGGGCGTAGAGCTGACGGTCAACGTCGTTGGAGCTTGTGAGAGGAGGTAGCAGCTCTTCCGGAGGCTGCGGTGAGGATGCGCCATGGCTGGTCTGCGGACAAAGCACGCGTCGAATGAATGCGAGGGTAGCTTTCTCGCTGGTTGGGTCGATAGTTTCTTCTCTGGCTGATGACCGCTGCGTTCGCAGTCGCGAAGAAGGTCGTGTTAGAGGCGGTTTATTTGAAGGCAGCGCGGTCGATCTGGAGCTGGAGGTTGTCGGGCCGGCCTTGAGATGAGAATACGGCTGCAAGCCAGGGCGGGGAGAGTCGGTCATGGCATCTCAGGGCACCAGGCCTCGCCTGGAACCAGTACAGTCGATATCGGTGCGTGCGAGGGTGTGGACCCTTCTCATAAACACCGACGTGTTGCTGTTGTCGTCACCGCGAAGTTGATCATTCGTATACCCAATCGGGCTGTTAGGGCTTAGGGCTTCATGATAAGGTCATCCCCGCATTGCGATAAGCAGCCAGTTGGGGTCCGGCGACAGATTCAGAGGATGTTTTCCCAACTCTTTCGCCCAATTCTTCTCAGAGACAATTCACGAATATGTTGGCCAATTATGACGCGATCAGTCGTACCCCGCTGTGGCTGGACTGTGATCCTGGTATGTTTTCTTACTCGTACCTTCAAACAGTGACGCTGTTGATGCTGACTCACGACAGGACACGATGTAAACACTCCGCTCTGACTACTCCTTCATAATGTACAAGTCGGCTAAATGCTGCAGGATGCATTTGCGATCTTAATTGCTGCACACCACCCCTCTTTGAACCTCCTGGGTATCACAACTATCCATGGAAACGCGTCTTTAGAAAATACAACCTGCAATGCTGGTAGTATATTGGAGGCTATCGGAAGACCAGAGGTCCCGGTCTACCCGGGAAGTCGAAAGCCATTCTCCAGGCCTGCCCTTCATGCTCCAGATATTCATGGTAAGTATATGCGTGAAACTACAAACTTTAACCACGATATACATATTGTGTTCGAAATGACATATGCTTACCTGGGTTTGCTAGGAGAGTCCGGGCTCGACGGAACCGATCTCCTGCCAAAGCCCTCACAAGCACCAATCACAACCGAAAACCCAATCCTGGCAATGCGAAATGCACTCCTTATGCAGCCAAAGGGTACACCGTGGGTTGTCGCAACTGGAACCTTAACGAACGTCGCTCTGTTATTCGCGACCTTCCCCGAGGTCGCAGAACATATCCAAGGACTGAGTATCATGGGAGGTGCCGTTGGAGAAGGTTTCACGGATGCACCGATGAGCAAAATTGCGGGAGAAATGACTCGGATTGGAAATGTGACACCGTGGGCCGAGTTCAACATTTACGTGAGTGCATCAAATTCCCTCCCAGTGATTTGGTCCTGGCTAATCTACTAACCATGGCCTTTATAGTGCGATCCCGAATCCGCAGAGTCAATATTCAGCAACCCAATCGTCGCCCCGAAGACGTCCATTGCCAGCCTAGACCTGACACACCAGGTTCTCGCTTCACAAGCAGTACAGACGCGAATCCTTCACGGCTCTAGTGACCCCTCCGAGCCACCGACCGTCATCCGCCAGATCCTGCACGCATTGTTGACATTCTTTGCGGCCACATACGAAAACGTCTTTGGGTTAGCTGCCGGTCCCCCACTCCATGATCCTCTCGCAGTCGCTTTTATTCTGTCGAACTTGAATCCATCTTTTGCGAAAAGTCACCCCAACCAAGTGCTCCACTTCGACGATAAAGGCGGGGAGCGATTTGCTATTAAGATCGTCACGGATGGTGAACATGGCAGTGATGTGTCTACTACTGGTCAGCTGGGACGGTCTATTGCTACCCCGGTTGATGGGCCTGGAGTTGCTATTCCGAGGGGAGTGGATCTTGATGCTTTTTGGAATATGATTCTGCAATGCGTGCAGCTGGCTGATGACTGCAATGCAGCCCGAAAGGCGTGAGAATGTGATGTGTGACTTCTAGTAAGCTGAGATATATGGAGCTTTCCACTGATCGTCTGCATATACACAATAGATAGATTGCCAGCACCGAAGGGCTCCTAGCATTTTCCATTCTATAAGTGCTCTTGCATAACAAACACCAATCTAAACCGTATTCTATAAACAACGCCATGCAAGTTCTATCATCTGTCAAGTGAAGAAGAATCTACCACTCCCGAATAGACCCATCCGGCCCAAAGAACTCCTTCGGCTGCCAGGGCTGCGTATTCTGAGCCACCTTCCGCACAACCTCCTCATCCACCTCGATACCCAGACCAGGCGCACTCAGGGCATCAACATACCCATCCTCCACATCAAACACCTTTGGGTTCTTAACATAACTCGTGATATCATACTCGCCCGCCTCAGTATTATAGTGAATACCAAGACTCATCTCCTGAATAACAAAGTTCGGCGTCGAAAGGTCCACCTGCATACAAGCAGCCAGGGCAATCGGCCCAAGGGGACAGTGCGGCGCAATCGCCACATCATACGTCTCAGCCATCGACGCAATCCGCCGGAGCTCAGAGATACCACCGCAGTGACTAATATCAGGCTGAAGCACATCAACGCTGCCATCCTCAAGGAATCGCTTTACATCCCAACGGCTAAAAAGCCGCTCGCCCAGCGCAATCGGGCAGGAAACCTGATCCGACAATTGTTTGATACCCTCCGGGTGCTCGGAGAGAAGGGGCTCCTCCAGGAAAAGAGGATGGTGCGGCTCCAGCGCCTTGGCGAGCTGCTTTGCCATGGGTTTGTGCAGACGGCCGTGGAAGTCGAGAGCTGCGTCTAGGCCAATGGACTTGATAGCCTTCAAACGCTCAACGCTCGAGTCCAGGACGCTGGGTGAGTCGAGCCAGTTGACATCCTCAGTCGCGTTCATCTTGACAGCCTTGAAGCCCTGCGCGAGACGCGCTTTGCCGGCGGCTTCGACGTCCGAAGGGCGGTCGCCACCAATCCATGCGTAGACGGATAGTTTGTTGCGGACTTTGCCGCCAAGGAGTTGGTAGATTGGTACGCCTAGACGGCGGCCTTTTAGATCCCAGAGGGCAATGTCGATGCCGGAGATGGCGGACATGAAGACGGGGCCGCCGCGGTAGAAGCCGAGACGCCAGGCCATCTGCCAGATGTGCTCGATGTCACTGGGCTAGGTTAGTGTAAGCTTGTAAAAGGACGCGGCAATGGACTCACTCTGCCTCGTATCCCTCAAAGCGTTTGCACAAGGAATTGAGAGTACCCTCAACAGCCTCGGTGTGGCCTTCCAGGGTACTTTCCCCCCAGCCATACATTTCCTCTTCATCGGTGACTTTGACGAAGAGCCATCGAGGGAGGACTCGGAAATACTCGATGCTCTTGATCTTGACCATTTTGCTTGCGCTGTCTGGGCGTTGTTCCAGCTGCAGGGCTTGGAAGATGCAGAGGGGTGAAGACGAGAATCAGGGACACTATGGCCGAGGGGCAGAGAGAGCTGGGGTTTCAATCGGAGTTGCTCCGTCGGGAATGACGATGAAGAAGCGGATTGCCGAAGCGTGGAGGTGCTCCGGTTCCGCCGTCACGGCCCGCAGGGTCCAGGGTCTCGGGGTGGACCCGATTCTGGGGTACCAACATGCAGGGTGAAAGGGAGTCAATACTGGTGGTTTCACTATTAGGATTGCAGTGCTTTGGTAGCTTCGTTGAATTCGTGGGGCTTGAAGGTACGTTTAAATGGTGCTGATTTTGTGGGCACGATTGCTACATCTACCGCACAGTGTAGTTGTGTTATCTTTGAACGCCACGTATAATCTATTGCCTATTTTTTAATAGTATTGACGTCAAGCTTTGCTAACGTGAAAATCTCACCAGTGTTGTAAAAAAAGGGGAGAGAAGTATACGTACCCGATTTCTCTGGCTTTACCACGACAGTTGATGTTTACTGCTGTAGAAATAGTGCGCTTAGCAATAGTGCCTTGCAATTCAATTGGGTCAATAGCCAATCTACTTAATTTCATCATTTTGTAGCTGTAGTATCGTGGATAGAAGCTGAAAAGGCAGCGGGGGCACGACTTGTAGGTGGCGAGGTGAAACGGCGAATCGAATAGCCCATCGAGAGCGGTTTCAGGATCCTTCTCGACAATCGAATATTACTAATGATTCAATTTCAAGTTCGAAACAGAACCTATGAGAGCAAGTGTGTGCCTTTGAACTGGATGTCTGAGAAGAAAATCTGGTGGATATAAATCTATGTGGTTAATTCCGGTACTTAATAAGGCTGCGTTTGCGATAGAATTTTATTATTTTATTTATATTCTATTTATATTTTATTTATTTATTTCATATTATCTGATGACTTAATTCTGGCCCAGTTGTAGCCTATCGCGCCTAAAAGCATATCCCTCCTACTCTCATTGTTTCTTGTTGTGTCCAGGCAGATGCACTCTTCGCTCCTTCCCTCTTCTCGGAGATCCCCGTCGGCTGAAAGGAACGTCATTTCGCGGCTCCACCGCCGTCGTTGACCCCGTCCAACCTTCCCCAGATCTTCGATCTTCTCCCTGTCAACACTTGCAGATTCCGCTTCGCTACCCGAGGATGCCCCCGCCCAACTCGGCATCGGTATGTCTTTCCTGAGTCCTTCTCTCCCTCCGACGACTAATCTCGTCCAGCACGGCACTCCCACCCTTTCTCCGACTACCCCTACCCCTGCGACGGCGCTGGCGCCCGAACCCTCGTCCCGGTCCGACTCGCCTGCGCCCGTTCCTGCTGCGCCCGACGATGGGGCAGATGCTATTCTCCCCCTCTATTCCAGCTCGTTCCTGATCACCCCACGCTCAAACCCACTTCCGCAACGGTCTTCGCCCCCGCGACACTCGAGTAGTCAATACCCCTCCAACGCCATGTCTCTACGGATGGAGTTCGATGAGATGCAGCGTGAAATAACGGGACAGACAGAGGAGGAAAACGAGACCATGTGGGAGGAGGCACAAAACGAAGCACGGGCCGAAGCTATGCTCCGAGAAGATGTCAATGTCGAGGATTACCTGGGTTCGCATGGTACATGGAGGTTCCACCTTCCGGATAGTGACTCAGATGGGGATCGAGATGATAGACAGGATATGACCTCCCAGAGAAACAGACAACCTGATGACTTCACGCACCCCGAACGTCGCCCTCAAATTCCTCTCCTGCGTCACTCGCTCGATGTCGTTCGCCGCGCGCGCGAAGACCTCGAGAACAGGAACAACAACATGTCCAACTACGAATCGCCCCGCTCAAACCCCCGTTCTCTGTACGGATGGGCGCCCGGCTCGGAGGAGATCACTGTCACGACCGGCGGAGAAGTGTCCGAGGATTTCAACGATGTCCTGGATCGGGCCAACGCGTCTGTTGGCGAGGAGCGTGGCCCAGCCCGCCTTCGCGAATCCTCCGATCGCTTGCTCCCGCGGCCTTCCACGGACGATCACGCAGAGGGGAGCAGCCGAATGCGAACTCCGCCGCTCTTGGCGATGGAGGCTCTGCTGCAATCTACAAGGCGACAGTCGCGCCTGTCACGAGCCCGCAGACTGGAAAACTACCTGCTGGATGGACAGCCAAACCGGTCGCACGAAAACTCCGATGATACTGAGCGCGCAGCTCCCTCGTCTTCGTCCTCCTCACGAGCCTATCGCTACCGTCCGGCGACTCGGGGCTTTACCTCCACAAACTTGCGTACGCAGCCGACGGCGCGCCAAACGCGCGTAATTGGTGATCAAAACTACAGCGTGAAAGAAATAATCAATTATCTGGGTGTTTTGCGCTTCTACTCTTACGAGGAAAGCATTATCACGACCGGAACGCGGAGCGTGTTCGAGGACGTATTACATTGGGAAGATCCTGATCTCGTTACGAATATCAACTCTATCGCTCCACCGGCAACCTGTTCCTGGCTCCAACCCGGTATCGTATTTACAGGCCATCAACGTGCCGCAAACACAGGTAGCTCGGTACTTCCCAACCGAGTGGCGGGCGCACGTGGAACGAACAACAGCGACCCCATCATCGTGGGTGGCTTCCAAGAACCGAACCCCATTAGCGTCACCACGACGGCGGGACGGCGTTACATGGCCAACAACCGGGACGAAAACTGGCCGGTTAAGCTCACCATCCACGAAATCAACTATTCAGATATGACCCTGTCTGGCACGATGGAAGCTTACAATATTCCCGACAAAAGCTCGCCCACCCACGACGCACATATCGTCACGTTCCTGGAGGGCGAAATCATCGACTTCCACAAACACACCCTGGAGACGGAGAATTTCAAGGCAGATATTGATGTCGATAGCACATACTGGCGCAAATTGCCGCCCTTCAACAAAGACACGGAACCAGAGATTGCGAAGAACCTGGTGAGCAGGAAATGGCACACAGAAAAAATGGCCGAGGGATGGATCTTGATGCGGTGGAAAGGTAAGTTATTCCCGCCTTAAATATAGGCAATCATTTGCCTAAACTGTCTATCAGAACGATGCTTTATCACACCAACCGACTCGCGTCAGGGTCTCACCATCTCCGGGTTCTACTACATTTCTCTACAACGCAGCTCCGGCCAGATCGATGGACTGTACTATGACCCTGGCAGCTCGCCGTACCAGCAGCTGTCTCTGAAACCCGAGTCTGAGAGAATGGTTCGCCCTACCTATACCTTCCGGTAGATGGGCGAACTGAGCACACACACTTGATCTACACACTTTTCATCTTCTATTTCTAGCGGCCTCGAAAAATCTTCTGCGTCGGGCAACTGTATGGATTATTGTGCCCCATCTCTTCTTGAATATTTTTATCATCATATGGTTATGGTTGTGGTTATCTCTTATTTTGCATAGCTCGGTGGCGTTTCTTGGGTCCATTTATGTACATCTATGGATGATGTCTGGGAGATTTTCGCGGGACCGATTTTACGTTCTATTTTTATTTATTCTTAGCCCATGCAGAATATTCTCACCGCTACAAAGCAGTTCTTTCAAAGCGACAGATGAATAATCTTTCGAAGGTCCCTCGCAGTGAGATCTGAAGAAGGGAAAGTGCTATGGCAGGCCAAAAAGGATGATCTGACACTGATTATCTATCTCTATCTGAGCAAATTCTCCAGTACAAATGCACCATGGGAGTGGGCACAAGCACATTATTGGGGAGCAGGGGTGTCGTTGAGTGGGTTGTTCGGGGTCCTTCCCGAGATTTTGCTATTGGACCCGTAGGGCGTATTGGACACCCGCGCCCTACTCTATCCGTTCTATCTTGGTATGGATCACCTTGACGAAGTTCGGCCCCATTATGTATACCAGGTAAAGCCCAAATGAATCTTCTTGATATTTTGACATCTACTTACTCAGACCTGTCATCAATGTCCTTCGCCAGGTCGTCCTCCATGGCGTCAATCGCTTCGTCTTACATGAATGGCCTGCTGCCTCGAATCCATGTCATCGGCCTCGGCAGCATCGGCACATTCACCGCACACTCCATCTCAGAGATCTCCTCCGGACCACCGGTGACCCTCCTGTTACACCGAAAATCCCTCCGAGACGAATACCGCTCAGCCGGCAACCAAATTCGATTCGAGTCGAGAGATGGGAAAAAGCGCACTTCCCTCGAATATGACCTCGAAACGCTCTACGACGGCCAATGGCACAGCAGTCCGCACGATAGTCAAAACGACAATAATCCAAAAGTCGTCCGAGACACTATCTCCAACCTCATTGTCTGTGTAAAGACGACCCAGACAGTCTCGGCCCTCCGACCCCTCGCGCACCGCCTGAATCGCGACTCGAACATCCTCTTCCTTCAAAATGGCGCCGGAATGATCGACGAAATCAACGGCAAAATCTTCTCGGATCCCGCCTCTCGACCAAGCTTCCTCATCGGAGTCATTTCCCACGGCGTCACTCTAAACGGCCCCTTTGATATCACACACACCGGATTCTCCGCAACCTCTATCGGAGCCGTTCCTCGCGATTCGGGATCGTCTGCTATTCCCGACTCGCAATCATCGTTCCTCCGAGACGTCCTCCCTCGCTCTGCGACATTGAACGCTGCCTCCTATTCCTACAAAGACATCCTCCAAATCCAACTTGAAAAACTGGCAGTAAACGCATTCTGTAACCCCGTCTGTGCACTGAATGATTCCATGAACGAGTTCCTCTTCTCCGTCCCACATATAAGGAGGTCTATACTGGAGGAAATCTCCCAGGTTGTTCTTGCCCTGCCGGAGCTGAAGGGCGTGCCGGGTCTTGAGGAGAGGTTTTCAGTGCAACGGCTGGAAGACACTGTGAACATGATTATTGAGAAAACGGCTAAGACGACTTGCTCGATGGTCTGGGATCTCAGGGCTGGGAGGGAGACGGAGATTAATTTTATTAATGGGTCTTGGAGTCGGATGGGGAGGAAGGTTGGTGTTGAGACGCCGGTCAATGATGATCTTGTGAGGCGGATTCTGGACAGGAGTTTGAGAAAGTAGAATTTACAGATTTGCTTCGAGGGTGTTCTTTGTTACTTTCAATTTTGATTTATGCGTTGGAGGACTAAATCGCAAAAGCGTAGACAACGGGATCAACATGATACAGACTCATGTCCAAACCATACCTTCAAACAAATACTGCATGCTTCTGTGAGGGGATTTCAAAATCCCGACTCGGATTTGCTGCAAAGCAGCAGTCGGGACGGGGACTTGGTACCGTGGCATTTAACTGGACGGCGCCATTCTCGTCCAATCATGCCATGCGGCGGAGCTCCACCACGCCCTACATAGGGCGCGAAATCTTGCTTAAAATTAGAGGTTGGTATTTGGGTCTTATGGCATTTTCGAGGGGCATTAAAATAGTATGCAATGATCATTCCTGGTAGTGTCGGTTCTGAATTTACTGCCGCGTTTACTCCCTTGGGTATTGAAAAGTGATAATAAATAAAGCAAAATAAAATACATTAACTTATCTATAACGCAATATCAAATGCATGCGAGCTCTTATAAGCATTCTGCAATAGTGTTGAGAAAGCATCTCATATCTTTTCCCTCGTGACGAAGGCTTATTTTGGTGACATAGCAAAACGACTGACTCTTTCGCCGAACCTTCGGCCCATAAACATAAGTATTGAAGAGGGGAACGCTGTATGGCAGCACGCGCTGAGACGTGCGGGTCGATTCAGCAGAAAAACCACCACAAAACACACGCGTAGCAATCAGGAAATAGCGAGAACCCCAAGTGTAGGGTTCAGGTCGGGGAGGTGTAAGAAGGTGTATGTTATTCTAGAACTAGCTATCCGGCCACTGTATACTGCCGGTTATGTCACATAGTCTGGATGGCACCCATGTAGTAGGGGAGGGCGTCTCCCCACTACAATATCTACTCGGCTGTACGACAGTCCTAGGGTGATCGACTTCCCAACATCCCGTGTCTCTACACAAACACGATGCCCCCTGCCGCAAAACGGAACAAGCCAAACCCAATTTGCAGCTTGCCAGTTGATGATCCTGATTGAGATGTTGGTCGCCTCATGGAGAGAACGATTCTGATTGAATAAGTCTGTGTCCTTGAATCATCTTCACGATCGACTTCGTGCATGCTCAAACTTTTTACATGCACGCGGAATGTCTCAAGCTTGGACCCAAAAAAAGCGCTGATTAAAATATTACAGTTCGGGAATTATCCATGGTTGCGCCGTGTCTGCCACCGGGATTTAGGCGGGGTCTGCCGAGAGTGAAGATCATGATTGGGACAATTCATCTTCTTTGACATCTCTACTAACACGGGCACGTATTATGCTCTGGGGCAAACATCTCTGAATACCTTGAAGCTTGCCCCGAGAATCCATCTCAATAACTTGCGGGAATTTTGATCGTCTTGGCATCCACACAGCAAACAGCAAAGAACAAAAAAGACAATGTCGTCGTAAATCTTACCGACACCAAATATCACCAGCTCGTCTAACGGCCCCAGACCCCAAGAGAAGTACATAGCTCTCATCGAGGCCAGAGGAAAGCCCGATCGAGCTACGATCGATGCCCTCTTCACACAACTTCCACCGATAAAGCCCAACCAGATGCTCGGCAATTGGAATAATGGCGGATTGTTTGATACCTGCCACCCGGTGGGTCCGCAGCTGGTGAAGATCAAATGTATCTGTTCAAGCCTGGCGCATATAAGCGACAGTAGCGTATATCAAATAAGGAAATTCCAGCCTGGAATACATTACCCGGCCTGTATTAATCTTTTAAATCTCGTTAATTTATCCTGCAACTACCGAAATATCAATGATGGCAGCAAGTCAGTCCATCACGTAATCGTGGACTTGTATAATCGGTGGACAATATCCTCCGTTTGCCTCTGTGCCACTTCTTTACGTCAAAATCTCACGTCTTATCAGTAGCAGAACGTGGTTCTGCTCTCCAGTATCCACTTTCGATATCCACTTCCCCAGAGTCGTCTCTGCCATCTTCTCTGCGTCATTTATGTCTCGCTTGCAGTTGCTGTTGCGGAGCGACCTGGTCCCAATCCCCCACGTAATGAGAACCACCTTCCACACCCTCTCCATTCCCCCTAAAATCCGGGGATGCGGGGAGTCATCTCCACGGGGCGAATACACTCCACAACATCCCCTTCGCTTGTTTGCAGTTCAAAAGCAACCAACACGATTCGCGCAATGGCGATCCCAGCCCCGCGATAAGCGGTCGCCTCGCCCGCATGGACTTACCCGATCCCGCAACGGCCTCGGATCGTGCAGTGTTACATGCCCTGTCGATCACACTTGGCTGCTTTCGGTGCTGCAGCATGAGCACCCTTGTGCATACACAGCGCCTTGCAGCGCAGCCTTGCTCGCGTATTTATTTATCTGAATTGCATCCCCTCCTGGCGGTGTTTTCCAATTACTCGCGCTCGTCTCAGGGTTCTTCGGGCGCAATGCATCTTCATCATCTTCCTTGCTTGGCAGCTCTGGCTGGTTGGTCGATTCAGCCAGCCTTGGGCGTGCCGCACTCACCTAGAGGGCAGGAGGGACAGTGCAAGAAGACTAATGTTGCGATTCTGTATGTTTTATTTCGTCTATGCCCAAGACTTCCGTTTTCAAGCTAAATTTTTCCAGTGGAGGTGGAATTGCTGGCATCTCGGCTGCGGTAAGCCTGCGCCTTGACTGCGCAATCTGAAGATCAACTCTGATTTATGCGCAGCAAGCTTTGACGAACGCATCGATCCATGACTTTGCCATTATCGAGTATCGCGATACCATCGGAGGCAGAGCTTGGCACAAGCCTTTTGGCAAGGGTCCGGATGGGAAGCCGTATACCATCGAGATGGGTGCGAACTGGGTATGTGCTGCTATTGTTTGTACACAGCAATAACGCCGATTGACATTATGTGATACAGGTTCAAGGTCTTGGAAACCCTGGTGGTCCTCAAAACCCAATCTGGACTCTGGTTTGTTCATTTTGACACGTTAATCTGCGATATGGCACAGAACCACCACTGACAATTTGACACAAATAGGCTCAGAAGTATAATCTGAAGACCCACTACTCCAACTACGACAATATCTCGACCTACAACGATAAGGGGTATTCCGATTATAGTCACCTTCTCGATGCCTATGACAAAGCCTACGACATCGCCAACAAGAAGGCTGGCGAGATCTTGACCCAGAATCTGCAGGATCAGACAGCCCAGTCAGGTCTTGCGTTAGCCGGCTGGAACCCAGGAAAGCACGACATGGAGGCACAGGCTGTTGACTGGTGGAAATGGGGTATATTCGGATCCTTTACTCTTTGCTTACTAGCTGCTAACTCTCCTTGCAGACTTCGAGGACAACTTTACTCCGTTGGAGAGCTCCCTTGTTTACGGATGCGCTGGAGACAACCTGACCTCCAATGTATTCAGTGGTCACGACAACTTCGTCCTTGATCCGCGTGGATTCAACACGATCATCAAGGGAATGGCTTCGGATTTCCTCAAGGGTGACAACGATCCCCGTCTCTACCTGAACACTCAGATCACCGAGATCGAATATCATAAAGACGGAGTCACGATACACAACAAGGATGGGAGCTGCATCACTGCTGCATATGCTATCTGCACTTTCTCTTTAGGCGTTCTGCAGAGCGACGCTGTCAAATTCACACCTGCTCTCCCGGAGTGGAAGCAGACCGCCATTCAGAAGTTCACCATGGGCACCTACACCAAGATCTTCATGCAGTTCAATGAGACCTTCTGGCCCACAAACACCCAGTACTTCCTCTACGCTGATCCCGTCATGCGCGGCTGGTATCCTGTTTTCCAGTCTCTCTCGATGCCTGAGTTTCTCCCCGGATCCAACATCCTCTTCGTGACCGTGACCAACGAGTTAGCCTGGCGCGCTGAGCGACAGTCCGACGAGAAAACTAAGAAAGAAATCATGGACGTCCTGCACAAGATGTTCCCCAAGAAGGAAATCCCGGAGCCAACCGCCTTCCTCTATCCGCGCTGGAGCCAGGAGCCCTGGGCCCATGGCAGCTACTCCAACTGGCCTCCTTCCACAACCCTTGAGATGCACCAGAACTTGCGCGCCAATACAGACCGTCTGTGGTTCGCTGGTGAGGCGACTAGTCCCACTTATTTCGGATTCTTGCATGGTGCTTGGTTCGAGGGTCGTGATGCGGGCCGAAATATTGCTGCTATTATGCATAAGAACTGCGTTCATCCTGAGTCGAAGAAGCTGAAGGAGTGCGGAGCTCGTCGCCATTATGAGACCCTTCATGGTACCTCTCCATTTGCTGATTACAGTGCTGTAAATGGGTGGACGGCAAACAGCTTTTACGATAGCAACACCGACTAGATTTACATAGACTAGATAGTAGAATAGGTAGAATACAGAACGAAGAGGTCACATTTCTCGGTGTTTGCGCAAACAAGGGCTCAATAGAGCGATTGCTTACTTCCTGCTCGTGATTGTGCTGGTGGCGTGGCAGTCAGCCGGCCGGAGCCGACCCGAGACAAGCCTTGAGTGTGGAGCGTACGCCTTATCTGATCCCGATCCCCGCAGTAACACCAACAGTCAGAGGGGTGTTTTCTTGTATAAGTCTATCCCCACTCTCGCGCCAATTCCTTTTGACTCACTTTGGTCCTACTACGAACAAGTTCTTGCCTTGCAAGACGGAAATGGCTTCCAGCCCTGTGTCTAACAACGGCAGCGATGCTATCACTGAAGCGACCCCCACAGACATCGAGCTGGCACGCATGACCAGCTACAGCAAGCAAGATGACAACTTCATCGTCACATTTGCCGAGCCTTTCGACGCAGAAAATCCGAAAGATTGGCGAACAGGACGCAAATGGGCTGTCACCGACGTCCTCTCTGCGACCGGCTTCAACCGCATCATGGTATCTACCATCATTGCGCCAGCCCTGTCAACAATATCCACCGAGTTCAACAAGAACTCAGCCGAGTCGGCCATGGCACTCTCAATCTATCTACTCGCAACTGCATTTGGCCCATTGGTCATCGGCCCCTTGTCCGAGGTCTATGGACGCAAGCAGATCTTGCACGTCTCAAACATCTGGTTCGTGATCTGGAACATTGCTTGTGGATTCGCCCATAACAAAGAAACACTCATTGCCTGTCGTTTCCTCGCCGGTTTCGGAGCTAGCGCAATCTATGCTTTGGCCAATGGTGTTCTGGGTGATGTGTGGCGACCCGAGCAGCGTGGTCGATCACTCAGCGTGTACCTGTTAATCCCCTTGCTCGGGGCGGCCGTTGGTCCGATCATTGGTGGTTTCATGGCTAACCGCACGACCTGGCGCTGGATGTTCTGGGCCACTTCTATATTCCAAGCTGTTATGATATTGGTGTCGTTCACAGCGTTTCGGGAAACATACGAGCCGCTGATCCTTCGAAAGCGAGCAGATAGAATCCGTCGCGAAACTGGTGACACGCAGTATTATACGCTGGACGAACGTCTTCACGCCGAAAATTCAGCAGTGCGAGTTTTGGGACGCGCTTTGATCAGACCTGTTCGACTCCTCATTTTCCATCCGATTATTCAAATTGCTTCGCTCATCTCGGCATTTTACTACGGTATTCTCTACATCGTCCTCTCCACATTCTCCGACTTGTGGATCGACCAGTATCACCAGTCCGTGGAGATCAGTGGTTTGCATTATATTGCTGTTGCCCTAGGTGAGATCGCGGGAAGTCAGATCTGCGGCAAACTGATGGACAGTCTATATCATCGTCTCAAGGCTCGCGCCAATGGGGAGCACGCACCCGAACTACGGACACCTTCAGTTTTCCCGGGTGCTCTTCTCGGCCCACTGGGCTTGTTCCTCTACGGATGGGCCGCTCAGTATCGTCTCCACTGGGCTGTGGTTGACATTGGAGCCTTTATTGCGATGCTCGGAATGCAGATCACAAGTATGCCGTTGCAGGCTTATGTTATGGAAGCCTACCCGGAGCACACGAGCAGCGCGGGAGCTGCTTCGCAATTTGCGCGCAGCTTAACTGCGTTTTTGTTCCCTTTGTTTGCGCCCACGATGTACAATGTGCTTGGGTACGGATGGGGAAATACCACTGTTGCACTCATAGGACTAGCTGTAGGCTTGCCGGCTCCGTTGGTCATCTGGTATTCTGGGGCGAAGCTAAGAGCTAGAGCACAGCCGATCTATTAGATGGGCTATATACTTTTCATAAATAGGTGAAAATACTTGCATTGTCTTGATAGTCTAATGGATTTAATAGTCAATTCTCTAGTTTTGCGCAACGAATCGCCCAGGCATAGCAGAATTTTACTTGAAGAGTTTACTCTTGCTTCTCAGCCATGGCCCATACGCCCTGAAGGCAACGGGAATCGGTATCATAATGGCAGCCAGACACCCAAGCAAGGTACAGGCCCACTGCACACCCATGTTCTCAAACATCTGTGTGGTGAAGACAGGAAATCCCGCGGCGACAGTTGAACGGAGGATGATATTTGCAGCTACCGTCGAAGCAGCGCTGTATTCAAACGTCAGCAATTCTGAGCTCGCGATTGATTTCAACTTGGAACCTACAGTGGAAGGTAAGCATCAACCAAATAGTTGAAGCACGGTAAGAAAACGCAAAGAACGCCAAATCCAATGAAGATTCCGGCTGCTGTAGGTACAGCCCAATGGATCTGGGGATTATAGCCAGTCCAACCAAACCTGAAAAGATTGATTAACATTCGAGTGAAGTCTTTTTCTCCAAATCCAAGGCCTTCGCTTACCAGAATATCCCAATAGTAAACACAGGAGCACCAATAAGTGGTGGAATCAAGCGCCACTCGGGAACTGGAACGCCCTTATTCGCAACCAGCTTCTTTGCGTAGTTCGTATGCTCCAGCAGAATAAGCGTGACGGCCAGGACTTGCCCAACTATAAGGCCAATAAACGGCAGCCCACCGATACCAGGACTCATGCCGTAGATATTCTCAAAGACATATGGGTATGCCTCAAGTAGCGCATAGACCAACCCGTAAATGAAAGACATATAGAGCGAGACGAGCAGAATAATGGGCTCGGTGAAGAGCATCTTCAACGGTCGAGTGAAATACTTATTCACCATCACCCTTATCTCAACTTCCATTCTTTCTTGCTTCGCATGGATACCCCAGATCTGCGTTCGACGTCGCAATTCCGCAGCCTTGTTCATTAGAAGACACGGCGCGTACGTTTCGCTCAGAAAGAGTACCGAGATAGCACCCGTAGCTAAACTCAGAATGGCCGGAATATAAAGCGTCCATCTCCAGCCCAGATAACTGGATGCAATGAATCCCCCTATAAAAGGGGCACTGAACGGCCCAACGAACACAGTCAACGCATAAAGCGAGATAGCCACGCCCCGACGGGTATTATCAAATACATCGGCCAGCACGCCCGGAACAACAGTGAGCTGGCTAGCACCGCAAATCCCCGCAAAGAATCGACAAATAAGAAGAGTCTGGATGTCTTTCGCTACCGCAGACCCGATGGTGAATATGCCGCCGCCGAGCAATGCGATCGTCAGCGGCCATTTCCTTCCCCGAAGCTCGGATGCCGGTGCCCATACGACAGGACCTAAGGCAAAGCCAAGGACGTAGAGTGTTGTTCCCAGCTTCCCGACTTCGGAACTGACGCTGAATTCTTTGCTTGCTTGGTTGATGCCAGCGGCAAAGACGGCGCTTGTGAAGGAAACTATGAGGGTTCCTGCGCATACGAGGATGGAGGTGAAGAGTCTGCAGTGTGAATGAGTCAGAATTTCTTCTTGCGTAGGTGTTATTGATGTTTCACGTACTTGGTAAACAATTTCCAGTTGTACGGATGAGACGGGTCGTCCGCGCCGTCGAAATCAACGACATAGTCTTCGAGGTCTGGAAGGGATGGCGGTGACGGCTTGCCTCTTCCCAAAGATACCTTCTCGTTCATATTTAAATAGACACGGGCTCCTGACTCTTGGTGTACCTGCAGCTCTGTCATTAGCACGAGCCGATCACACTTCCATACTCGTCCGTACGCTAATCTGAACCTTTTTTCTCTGTCCTGGTGCTGGGCGATCATGCAGGATATACACACTTCTGTCATGCGTGGCACAGTTATCGAGTATTCAAAGACGGTAGCTCTTTCAATATATTTGCAACTGGCTTTATTATTGAGGTTTCAAATCTTGCGTCACAAATGGCCGGGATGTGTCTTCGGCGGAAATTGCGGGATTTGCGGATCTGACCCATGGCCCTTCACGATGGCGAATCGGTCTGAAACGTATACTCGGTAAAAGTAGCGCATTGTCCAATTCATATCTTCCACGATTTGAATACTCATGGAATATCGAAGTGGCTGGATAGCCGGGACACTTTGCTTTCTGTATATCTGCCTTGAGGCAGTCACTCAGGCAGTCAGGTGTCTGCTGTCTAAATTTGGAGTAGCGTCATCTGAACCTGAGGCATAGTGTAATGACGGCGACTGAACTTCCTCTTTTTTCTTCAATAATTGCCTCATTTTATTGTCTATGTATATAAGAGTGTTCACTGGTAATGGTAACTAGATTATTCGCGACTCGCTATCTATGCAGACTCGCTGATGAAAGAGGGAACATCAATCATATCCGCATTCAAAAACTGATCCAGATCTACCCGTTGGAGTCCAGGTAAGTCTGCAACCAGAGCCCCCAGCCAGTTATACTCTTCGGCACTGGGAGTCGGCTGGGATAAAATCTCCAGCTGGGTTCCTTGCTGAGTGCTGAGTGCCTCGCCCAGAATGGCTATATCATCCTTCCTGCGTTGTTGATGCAGCAATACTAGCAAGCAAGCCGCACTGTATGCTTCTCTCATGGTCTCTGTGTCGTAGGTAGAGGCTACTAAACTTAGAGTTCGCATTGCTTCGGGGAGCATCGAAAGTGATGAGCGCGTGTCCAGTACCAGAAGAACACAGATAATGTGAAATGGTACGTTTGCGACTTGATGCCAGGGCGTGCAGTCCATGACCATACTTTGAGCGCAGCCGAGTCCCATTTTGAGCAAGGCGAGTACTCTGTCGGCTAGGTCGGAAGAAATATCAAGATTTTGAGAGTGAATCCGTCGAAGAATACAGAGTACAAGATTACACTGAGCCATCGTTGATGGTGGCGCAGTGTGGACCCCGTCCAGGAGCCTTATAAGTGTTGCTGGAAGATCGGCCTCATCTTTGGACCTTCCTGGGTCTAGACTGAGAGATGCGGGGAGGAGGCCTAAAACTTCGTTGGTATAGTCACCAGGCTTCGGCGACGGGGGTAGAGGAAGGTCGTCCTTTTGGAATGATACTCGGGACAGGCCGAGGTCAAAGGATGTCCACACATTCAAGTGATGTGCAACACCGACGAGCCTTCTTTGAAGATCGGGATCAACTTTGACACTTGGTGGAAGTACAGAGTGCGATTCAGGGTGAAGACCTGATGCTTCCAACAGATGCATGAGGGTCGAACTCGCTATCCATGTTGCGTGTGGTGAGTCGGTCATTCGGAGATAGACTGAGCGAAGTGTCCAGCCAGTCAGCAAATCGATAGACGGAGGCCCCGAAAGATGATGTGCGTCTAATGTGGATCGTGCTAAGCGGACTAGATGCACCTCGGTGATAGTGGCATTTCGCTGGGAGAAGAGACAGCCAAGTGCCCCTACACCCGCAATGACGCTATCATATAAGTCAGGTAGCAGAGGTGTTTTCCATCTTTCAGAAAGTTGCTCGAAGAAAGCCTGCTGATCGATGAATCCATAACAAGGGGCAATCTTGTCGAAATAGACCTGAGCGAGAGCCTGAATATGCTCCAAGGAAGTGATCTCCACAATTGGAAATACCGAAGAAGCAACCGTCTGGGCTGACAGCCGCCTCGCTCCGATATTCCACCCGAACAGGTTGAGTTTCGGAGCTTTTTGAGGGTCGATCTTTAGACCCAGTTTTCGCACGAAGGCAGCGCCTGAATTGGCCTCCAACCGTCGGACTAGCCCACCAGGATCCGGTTCGACTGCTGTATGATCAGAAGCATTCTGTACCTGCGGAGATGCAAGCAGCTCTGGCGACGATGTCTGTTGTACAGCCCGAGACTTCCTTCTTCGGACCTCGTAGTAGCACGAGTACCCCCATTCAGAGCAGGTCGAGCATGGCTCACCCCCGTCGCATTTCCTCTTGCGCTCTCGGCATGGCTTGCAGGCCAGACGCGCTCGTTTCCCTTTTGGAGCTTGGGCCTGCATAATGGCACTGCGGCGCAGCGATGGAGGAGTGAGGTGGAGGCTGGAGCGGATCGTGCGGATGACATGGTCGGCGCGAGCGGCAATTGCGGAAGTGCGGGGCCAAAGTAAGTACATCCGGAATGACTTCATCCCTCGGTTTCTCCCATCGCAATAATCTCTCCAGATTCGCATGTGCTTGCGAAAGCAGCCAAATACTGGGTTCTTCCTTTCAAGCTGTCTCTCACTGTCCTCCACAGCAATCTTCGATCAAGCATCTCAATAACGACTCTTGCATTGCCAACATGGCTACTAAGCTCTTGTCCCGCTATCCATGGGCCAGCAGCCCCTTTATCGTCGGCGCCCCAATGCGCGTCATGTCGGGACCGGCCCTTGCGCTGGGTGTCTCAACCGCAGGCGGACTAGGATTCATTGGACCAGGCGTCAAGACTCAAAACACTCATGTCGACCTTGAGGAGACATTGGCGTTAATGCGCAAACAAGATCGGGCCTCCGCCCTGCACTCACATTTCTCGTCAACATCCCTTCTCCCGGTGGGTGTCGGATTTCAGCTTTGGGGAGACGACATCGACGTAGCGGCCGCAGCAATTCAAAAGTTCAAGCCATGTGCTGCCTGGCTCTTTGCCCCACGCGAGGGCCCGCAAGAATACGACGCCTGGTCGCGACGGATCCGCGAGGTCTCTCCACAGACCCAAATATGGATTCAAATCGGCACATTGAGAGAGGCGAAACAGCTCCTCCAGATCTCAGAAAAACCAGATGTTGTCGTTGTCCAGGGCGCAGAATCGGGTGGCCACGGTCGCTCCGAGGATGGGATGGGCATTATGACGCTGTTCCCTGAAGTTGCGGATGCCATGCAAAGCAGTCAGATCCCACTGCTGGCTGCGGGCGGTATTGCTGACGGCCGGGGAGTTGCTGCGGCTTTGTGTTTGGGGGCATCGGGTGTCGCGATGGGATCTCGATTCTTGGCTGCTACTGAAGCTCGGATTAGCAAGGGATACCAGGATGAGGTTGTGCGCGCGACCGATGGGGCGGCATCAACCAAGCGAACTTTGCTCTACAATCATCTCAGGGGTACCTTTGGATGGCCCTCTGGGTACAGTCCTAGGACCATTATCAACAAATCATTTATCGAGCATCAGGCAGGCACTTCTTTTGAAGAATTGAAAACCCGGCATGACGAGGCTTCGAAGATGGGTGATGCCGGTTGGGGGCCGGAAGGAAGACTCGCAACCTATGCCGGTGCCTCGGTAGGCTTGATTCCGGATGTACGACCCGCAGACAGCATTGTGCAAGGCCTACAAAAGGATGCCCTGGAAAGACTCAAGTCTCTCACCCCCAGCAGGCTATAAGCTACTAGCAGCATACCGCGCCAAATTTCAATGATTTACGAAAACACGCATGAACATGAATCGATTTAGTGACTTAGGTATTCCCGATATCCAAGGCCTGGGAAATTGTGAAGATCAGAAAGACCAGATTCAGTGCCAAGGTTATGGCGCGTAGAGTTGATGATCAATGGAGATGCAAGTGGAGGTCATTCCTGGCTGACGGACTTGCTACAATTTCTCGGCCGTTTACAGTGACTAAGGAGTTATCGGCGAAATCTATTTTTCCCAAGCCATGTCTTTTTGGCATCTCGTGGCTGCCAACATCAATGCCCAGCTGAAGATGGGAGTGTGAATTATACATTTTATGTCTATCTATATCTGAAAGATGATGAAAGGGGAAAGAAAAACAATACTCGTACAGAGCGAATTAGCAGACCATGCTTAGCCAGCAATGCCTTATCAATAACGGCTTCGAGAAGCCACTTGGATTTATTTCTGGGGGGCGGCGCAGACCTTGTTGCCCTTCTGCATTGTTTGGTTAGACGCCCGCTCATTCGTACAGTGCGGCCAGCACTTACAACAACTTGGCAAATCAGCTTGTTAGGACTCTGGCAGTCAGCTTCGGTCTCGCACTCGTCGCCGATGACAGCACGCTTGTCTTTGGGGGCAACGCAGGTGTTGTCGTAGTTGCAGACAAGGCACTTGACGCAGTCTCCGTTCAACTTGCAAGCTTGGTCAACCAGGGACTTGGAGTTCTGATGAATTCTATGTCTGGATGTTACATAAAACGGAGTTTTTGATGTGTCACTCACGTCGCGCTTGTCTCTGAGGGCAATGCGTGTCCTTCTCACAGACAAGACCCTCCCGGCAGTCGAAGGTGGCGTGGCAGTTCTGGCCCTGGGGAGCAGCGTTCTATTACCCGTGATTAGTTCTTATCTCTGAGCCTTTTTGTTGGAATATTCAGAAACTCACCTCACGCTTGCTCTTCGGGCTAAGGCAGACGTCCTTCTCGCAAACGAGGCCCTTGGCACACTCGTTGTCGGTATGGCACTGCTGACCAAGGGGACCATCGCGCTTGATGTTGACCTTGGCACAGATGTCCTTAATACACTCAAGGCCAGCAGTGCAGTCTGAGTTGATGTGGCAAGCCTGGCCAAGCTCAGCGAGGTGGACATCGCGGGTGACCATGTTGGCAGCGCAGTTGCCGTGGTTGTCGCGGTGCTCGTTGGGCTTGCAGTCAGAGGGCTTGGTAGGAGAGGCCATGGCAAGGCCAGCAAGCACGGCAGAGAAAACGATAGAGTACTTCATTTTGAAGGTTGGAGGTGGAAAATGGGTAAAGAGTGACGACGTAGGAAATGGAGAGGATTAACGGTGATGAGAATGATTGTGATTGTTGATATTGATGTTCTTTTGGGAATCTGGCGTCATTTATAACCCCGTCCTCAATCCTGGATCCAGATGCTATCACCGCTAAATGAGATATACAGCTCTCGGCCGCCGCATCCACTTCCCGTGCCACGCGTTTCTTAAAGTGAGCTGGGACGTGCCTCTGAGCGATTTACACATCTGCCAAATCATCGTCTGTCAGGCATAATCGTTAGCCTCCGGAGAATGGGATGATCTTTTCTTGAAGGATTATCGCGTTGGTTTCAAGTCCACATTGGAATGCTATTATCGGTCTGGGCTCAGCCTCATCAAAGTGGGTTGCTAACAAAGGTCGTACTGCCACAACGGGCACAAACGGGCTCTTCCGTACCGTGTTTGATCCAATCTCACCATCAGATGAATGAGATCCATGCCTTTTTCGAACATATCAGTCGCTCTGGCATACTATCAGTTGTCCCGGGGAGTTCTCGAAACAAAAGGCAATTAGGGGCATGATGACTTTATTCACATACAAGCCCGTGCTATTGGGTCAGTGCCCAGCCCCAGCAAAGACTAGAACATTTCGTCCGGCCATCGCCTGGATGTACCCCCGAGTACTCCGTTTGGGGGAACTACCTCATTGCTAGCCCATGCCGGCGTTGTTTATTGAACGCTCCTCAGTCGCTGGAGCTTAATTAGGACGATCGTCGCCAAGAGCCGGGCTAGCTAGACTCCACATGCCAACGAATCCAATCTGCAACCTATTCATATTCTGGGGCCGAGGACCCACAAGGCCGTCGTCAAGAGAGGTACGTAATCTTCTTCAAGCCCATTATACCGGTGAATCGCCGGGGATTTATGTTGATCGTCGCTTTGTACGCGTTGTAGTATTTCGATTCTTGCTCTCGTAGTTGATCAGCGCTTCTTTGGGTTGAGATGGAACGGAGAGCGGGATTCTCGACGGACAATATCTTCAGTTTCCTAGCCCCAGACATTGACTTTGGGCGAGGAAGGAGAATGGCTTCCAGCGGGTAACCACCGAGAAGTCGTTTTAGCGTTCTGATGTCTGATGGCAGAGGCAAAGAGCCTAGTCTAGGTGTGACTCTCGGCCTTAGGGGTGAGCCCGCGAACACGTTCGATCGAGTATCGGCACTATCCTAAATTGTCGATACTTCTTTTTGTTCGTTTCAATACTCACATTCTTATCAAGAGCTCTTCCTGAAAGCGCTGGTACTCTTGGGCTAGAAGTTCAATCCCTGTGGTTGTCGGATGAACTCTCACAGTTACTTAAAGCACGGATATCCGGATTTGTTGGTATGAGACAATTGTATTAATTTGATATAGTGATTGGAGATTCTCGGACATAGTGAGTCGTGTTGTTCAATTCCCTCCAAGAAATTACCCTCCCAAACGCCAGAGTCGGAAAGATCTATTCACATCGACCCAAATACTTCCATCATCCACGCATCGTCAAAACCATTAATCGGAAAATCAGGCATAGTTGAACTTGGTGTGACGAAGTCGCTCTCAATTCCACTCGGTGGTACATTCGGGTACCAGATCTCCATGAGCTGTGGCTCCCAGCCCTGCTTGATCGACTGAGTCATTTTCATGCCTTTATCAAAAATGTTCCACTCCGGCGCCGATACATCGAACGAGCTGGCACATATTTTCATGTTGTACGCTATTCGGTCAAGAATCTCGAGGATATTCGCAGTGTTTCGAACCATGTTCCTGTCCCATGCTGGATCGTCTAACGTCGAGAGCTTGTACAAGGTGACAAGAGCCCGAGAAAATTGGAAGTACATCGTGAACGGTATTCCTAGATATAGCTCTCCTGGTATAGGAAGCCAAGTATCGAACCAGCTTTTCGCCGCCTGAAGGCACGCGCAGAGGCTTTCGAGGCGATGGAGCTCCGGCGAAGTTACTGATGGTGTGTCTCGAAGGGCTGCTTCATGGATGATGATTTCTGCGGTATAATAGTGCAACAAGACGCTCCCTGCACATGATTTTAAGCGTTGGTAGCGACAGGACGGATTCCGGCTTCACTTACTGTCTTCTTTCAAATGTGGAGGAGTTTGGTTCTTCACAGACTCCAGCTGGGCTTGGATTGATTTTGTGTACATCAAAGAAGGTGCTTGGTTGTCTCCGTCTCTTCGAAGGTGATATACTTTGTCCATCACCAACTGAATTTTGACAAGAGTTACCAGAAGCTCATCGTCCGGACACTCTTTGGCTTCCATCAATATGGTAAGGCTTTCCTCCATGTGTGGGGTCCACCTCAACGCGTCGACCCTAAACATTGTTAAGGCAACACTAGTGTTCGCTGAGGTCAGCTAAACTCCGAATGATACTCAGGGCCTTGACCTACCATGATGTGAGCAAAAAGCACCCGAGCACGGCTCTTCGCTCTTCGATGGTTCTAGATGTAGATACGTGCTGTTTCCAGCCCACGGCGCATTTGAATGCTTGCATTGTGGACAGTTCCTTGGGCACGGCTTGATTGATGCCTAGGTCGCAGACAAGACCCATGACCATATGAGAATAGAAATTCAAGAATGGTCTTCGTGTATAAGTTGTCCTGCTTGCGGTTAGTATTCCTGAGACCGATGAAGAGCGATGCTCTCTTTCTATGTAACCCACCATGATACGAAAATCATAAGTCCAAGTAACAAATCCATACTTGGGGCGACGTCCACGAGGATTTTTTGATGAATGATATCGGTTATCCGGCTGAACAGAATGTCTCTTTGGTCGATCCCGGGGGTCAACACTGCCATAATACACATCCAAACAAACGGCTTCTCAGTGCGAAGCTGTTGTGAGGTGACGTTGGGCGGTATATGAATGAAAGGGATATACCGCATGTTATTAGTACGGAAATTCCGAATGGTCTTCTCGGCTTCTTCGGGCGAAATTCGAAGCGACTTCCAGAATTCGACAAGTGGGCTGTCCCCTGGCGCCGATGGCACTGGCGATGGGATACCGGGCGGAGTAGAATTCAAATTTGTCGCCTGGCATGGAAGAATATTTGGTCTGGCCGTATTAATTGTGGTGGCATTCTCCCAGTCTGCTGGGAGACCAGGTGCTCCACCATTAGCCTGAAGTAGCGACACAATATTATCGAGCTTGGCCTCGAGCTGTGCCGTTCTAGACGCTGAGGAACGGCCATTTCGCTTGCGTACTGATGGCGATGGTCTGCAGTCTTTCTTCAAGCGCTGACATCTACAAGCCGTCAGCCTGGAACGCAATAGTAGCTTTACCTGTACAGATACTCACCTCTCACAGCCGTTTCCATTGGACAAAAGAATACATTTGCTTTTGGCACGAGTGCAGTTTAGACAAGCCCGGCCATAGGGTGCAGGAGTCCCACTTGGGACGTGATTGGTGTCCATCCCGATCTCCGGCCGTTGGAATTCGGAGTTTAGGTCACGCCAAGTACGCTCGGTACAAAAGTGTGAAAAGGAGTGATAATCTTGAGGTTGGAGCACCGCTAGGGATTCAACGGCCCCATATAAGCCGTAGCAGGAACACAAACAGGGAGAAAAGCCCCCAACGATTCATGAGTCGTGTCTCGAAGGAACGATCGGGGTTGAAGACCCGAAATCCCGAAATCCGCTCGACATAGAAAACTTATGACTAATATCGCTCTTTACGGGCTCCGGCAATATGAATTGTTGATTGAAAAGCGAAGTACCTTCTTGCGCGGAAAGTAATCTACATCGCTTTTGAAATTTAAAAAAAGGCTTGTCGCTTTTGACGAATTTAATGGGGAACAACACTATCAACCTCCATACGTGGCAGGCAGGCTTCGGTGTCCTTCCATCTCATCACGGCCGGTCGGGTTTCGGGTTTCGGGATTGACCCCCACGCCGGCCACAGACGCCCAATACACCAATAGGAGGACATAGACCCCTGCAAGTAAGAATCCTTCGTTCACCAGGTGGACTATGAGTCTTGTTTCTGGCTATTTCAGGAAGTCGGGCTTTTCAATCGGCGTTGGCCAATTTCCATCGTGGGAGAGTTATAAGGCCGAAGCGCGAAAACTATCGTTGGGTCGATTCATCGTGTACATCTCAACAACATCAATAATAGATCTGACCTGAGGATGATGAGCGAAAATAAGCCAACCTCTGCGGAGCATTCAAACAGCCATCCAGAACAGACATCTCAAGCAATGTCGAAGGAATTTGCATCTGACTCTTCTTTACGGAGTTCAGTGGACAAAGCACCAGCTGTCAGCGAATCCACAGATGAAGAACGAGTATACCTGACGGGTTTCAAACTTTTATGGTTGTGAGCGCAGTTACTTTAGTTTGTTTCTTGGTGCTTCTGGATACAGCTATCATTGTCACTGTATGCTTTGTTCTGATTAGAGCTTTGAATGTTGCTAAGAGGAAGAAAAGGCCATTCCCGTAATCACAACCAAATTTCATTCACTTGAGGATCTTGGCTGGTACGGAAGCTCATATCAAATTGCAAGGTATATGTCTAATGCCCTTTTATTTGGTCATATGAACACTCACTCACTGTATAACAGCGCCTGTTTGCAGCCCCTTACCGGGAGAATCTATACGAATTTTACCTCCAAGGTGCGTTGTGTTTACTCTGTCCCGAAAAAATCCAGAATGCAGTATTGACAACGAGCTAGTGGACGTTTCTGGTATTCTTCTTTATCTTTGAGCTTGGCTCGCTTCTATGTGGCCTCGCAACATCTTCGAAAATGCTGATTATCGCAAGAGCAATCGCCGGCATCGGCTCCTCGGGGCTAATGAATGGTGCATTGACTATCGTCTCGGCATCTGCACCCCTGCACAAGGCCCCAAGTGAGTCAGCTCACTTTTCCACTCGTGCTTCAGTCTCAAATTAACAGACTTCAGCTCTTTTTGGGATGATTATGGGATGTAAGTGCTCTTGAAACCCCTTTCTCTTAGGCTTCCACTAAGTCCATATCTTAGTCTGTCAGCTCGGTGTAGCATTCGGTCCTCTTATTGGAGGTGCTTTTACAGAGTACACAACCTGGAGATGGTGTAAGTCCTTTTCCGTCCGATGAGTTTCCGGCTTGTCTAATCCTTGTACAAGGCTTTTACATCAATTTGCCCATCGGCGGTTTGGTAGCATTGATGCTTATTTTCATTGAGATTCCTGATCAAATTGCTAAACCGTCAATCAAGTCAGCATTCGATACTATCACTCAGAAGCTTGATCTTACCGGTTTTGTTCTTTTTGCACCCGCTGCCATTCAGCTTCTTCTTGCACTTGAATACGGGCAAAACAAATATGGATGGAACAGTGCTACCGTGATTGGCCTTTTCTGTGGTGCAGGTGGCACATTCATTGTCTTCGTTCTCTGGGAGCATCACCAGGGCGATAAAGCGATGATTCCTCTTGCGATGATCGCGAAGAGGATTGTGTGGTCGAGCTGTCTTGTCATGGTGACACTCTTCGCCATGGTACTCTCCGCTTCATACTACCTTCCGGTCTACTTTCAATCGATTAAAAACGGATCACCTATGATGAGCGGAGTCTATATTCTCCCTAGCATCCTGGCACAGTTAGTCTTTGCTGTTATGTCAGGACTTCTCAGTGAGTGGACTTCAGACGAAATTCTGCAATGCAAAGCTAACTCTGCTTTCAGTTGGGAGACTCGGATACTACCTTCCATGGGCCGTTTTCTGTGGTGTGGCAACCGCCATCGGTAATGGTCTCATATCGACATTATCCCCTGACACATCGACCGGTAAATGGGTCGGCTATCAAATTCTCATGGGTGCAGGTCGCGGAGCCGGTTTCCAAACGGTAAGTTTTTCCCAAGAGAAAATGGTATGATATCATCTTTATGCTGATAATGTTTAGCCCATGATTGCGATTCAAAACGCTCTCGCGCCTAGCCAGGTTTCCGTTGGAATGGCTATTCTCATGTTCATCCAAACTCTCTCCGGAGCAGTATTCCTCACCTTTGCCGATGTGATTTTCTCAACTGGTCTCAAGTCATTAATCCCAGAACATGCGCCAAATGCCAACGCAGCTGCCGTTGTTGCTGCAGGAGCCACAGGCATTCGTGATGTGGTTTCTGCCGAGGATCTTCCGGGTGTCTTGACAGCGTACTCGAAGAGTGTGGATCACGTTTTCTACATGGCGGCTGCACTTGGTGCTGTTTGTGTCTTTTTCGCATTCGGTATGGGATGGAAAGATGTCAGGAAGAAGAAGCCTTCTCCTGAGAACGTTTGAAGCCTCAGGCCACGGTGCCATATCATGAATATTGCAGTGTGTATCTGCTCATATCATTTAGACACATAGAAATCACCTATTCATAATGGATAATGATTTAAATCTGATAGTTATACTTTTCAAAATCTCCGGAAAGGTGAAGCCAAGAAAAATTAAAAATTAAAAGCTTGATGAGAGTCAAGCTTTTCCCTCGTCGCGTGCTGTCGTATTCGGGAACTTTGATCAATGGCATCCGAAACTTGTATTGCGGGAGCATGAGCCCTATGGAATAAATTCTCCAAACCCTTCACCTTTCTGCAGGAACTCTTGAGAACTACCAGATGCTCCCGAAATCCAGGGTATTCGTTCAATCTTAGTCAAAATGACCACACTTGGATTGTTCGTAGAAAACATGCATGTTCCTAATCGAACTAAATTAGGGTAGCTGGTGTGATCCGATCGGCGGACCGTGCCTGGTTCCTTTCGACAAATTCTGTATGCAGGATCCTGGTGATCTGTGATGCCCATCTTCCCATTGGCTGTTTCCAAGCTTTCGAAACCGATCAGCATTGCTTGCTAGGTGGCGAAAGGTCCAGGCCACCATAACCCCGTAGACACCCCCATACTCCATTCAGAACCCTGTTCGCGACATTGATGCAATTTACGAACCCTCACTTTTGACTTCGCTCTATAATACTTATCTCGTTTGTTAATTCCACTCCTTCTCGCAACATTGACCTCCTTCTATTTCAAAAAATCTGCAATGGCCGTCGCAATTGACAATCTACTTGGACTTGAGGATTTGAAATCTGAAGTCCCATCATGACGCGATTATCCTGCTTGTTGATTGTGTAGGGCTCAAGAGACTGAGAACAAGGTCACAGCGCAAATAGTTCACCTTAGCTTCTTGTTGGTGTAAACCGATGTTAGCATCACGAGTCAAGATACGTACTTCGGAAACAATGTCAATTTCATCCTGCAACGATGGGAAGAGTACGTGAAGATTGACGACGAGCGTGGTGGGCCTTTTGGTGCCGAGGCGCAAGCTTCAGACCGAGTAGGTGACTACTTTTCTACCGCCTCAAATCAGCATCTCTAACATGCTCTTATTCAGGCGCTCCGATATGACCACTCGTGGTCTATCAACCCCGGATTCTTTGCCGGTGTGAAATGTTTCGCAGGTATGCTCCCGTCTTTTCCTCAGTACCAGATATTGCTGTTACCGACAACGTGATTTGCATTGCAGACTCCCACGCCGAGCGAGTCATCCTGTACGAAGGTCTTACGAACTAGATAGCCCCGGACGGACCTGATTACAACAACATTGCCCCATTCTTTTGAACGAGACATTCCGTGAGAACCGGTACCGCCGCGGAGAAGCATTCATACTCGCTTCCATTCTGGCTGTGGCCCTCGATCTCTTCCTCCTGGAACCCCACGAGCTAGGTGCGAACCAACGCCTGGACAACTTCGTTCCTCTCGAAATTGATCTTAGTTCCACGACTGTTTCCCAGCTCGGATGCTTCCTCGTCGAGAGCGTCTTCGATATCGTGTCTGATCAGGCCCAGCCTACCATTTCTTACAACTACGAGTTGTTCGAGGGCTTCGTCAAGGGAATACTCGCATCTTTGGTCACCAACGATGGCTTCTTCAACTGCCCTACTCTCAGCTTTGTTAGGCCGGGTGAGAATACAGCTCGATCGTCTCATGGAAGTCAAAGCTCTCAAGGATTTCTGATCAATGTGACTATCCTGGCATTGGCATCAAGTCTGACTCTCCAATCGTCTGAAAGGCAAGGGAGAGTGATCTCAAGAGGTCGGTAGTAGTAGGGCATCTGGAAAACGCTGATCATTATGGTTATGGCTCTGTTGTTCATATGTTGTGGAGATCCTTAATCTAGTGATGCAAATTGATTGTTGTGAGCAGAAGAAAAGTAGTTTTCCAATTGATTATCCGCAAATACCTGTTGTAGCCCAACATAGTCACCTGATTCCCGATTTTGAACTCTCAAGCACCTTCAAAATATGGATGAAAGACGAAATGAAGGAGTTTGTGTTCAAATACGATCTGAATCGTTATCACGTTATCTCAGTTTATCCTTCAGGCCATGCCCGGCAGTCCTAAAGCCAGCACGGAGGCGAGGCTGAGGCTGATGTCGAGCGCTGCTCCGACAGCAACTCAAATATTCAGCCTCCTGGTTTCTCCTCACTTCTTCCCTCTCATACCGACTCATGTCATCCGTCGGTCGATTATCTCGTCGAAAATATATTGCCTTGAAGTTGTAGGGATTGCGGCCAGTATAATTCAGATCGCAGATCTACCAGACTCTCCAGTCAATCCAGGCTCTATCGAGCGACGTCACCTAACATGTGCCATTCTGCGTGAATTAGACGAAAGTCTCAAGCAGGATGAACAGTCGAAACTTTGTTCGCCAGAGGCATATCGCACTGTCCAGCATGGTTTGAAGCAATGCGAAGAGGTCCTGCAACAGATCCAGCAGATGATCAATGACGCTGATTCTTCTGGGAACAGCAACAATACTCGCTATCAACAGACGACAATGAAGATCAGGAATGTCCGAATGTCCTGAGTGAGCCTGATGTTGAGCACTCAGAGGTAATTTGGTTTAAGTCGACAATGCTTTTACTACTAGACGTTATCATGTATGCGGGACATATTCATACAAGGGCAAGGAAGAATGTCCTTGAAACAGACCAGTTACTCGGTCGAATATTGATTTCTGTGAATTTCTAACAGTGGAGAACAGCATGATGTTCCAACAATGCTTCACGAACAGCGTGCTCTGATTGATAGTCTATTGGCAGAGAAAAAGAGGTGTAACCCCTCCGCTCCTAGTCACTCCCGATGCACAAATTTTACAGGCCCAAATCTGAACAAACAAGTAGCATCCATCCGAAGCAACTTCAACATGCTGCCCCATTCAGATCAAACGTGGCTCCTTTCGCAACTCAATCTACTTGCGAGCCATGGGGCTCTAAACATGCATGGTACAAAGGACGGTTGGGAAATTTCGGAATATAATTCTTTAACTGAAGCCATACTCAGTGAGATTGATGTGCAGATATAAGCTTGAGCAGGGTCGTCATTCGAGAATTCAGGATGGTGTCCTGAACATCCATGCCACTGAGATTGTGCAGTTCCAAGGAACATACGGGTCGTCGATTTTAGCGTGATTATTCTATTTTCGAGTACTTTCTAGCTGACTCCTAATTTCCAAATGAGGAGGCTGTGAAAATAAAGGTACTGGCCTCAGCTACTTCGCATATTCTTGGGGCCAAACACCCGAGCACCAATTACAGACGCCTCGCAATCGAGTTACGTGCAGCATGATTGTGTGCCGCATCCACTACAGAGCCCGAAGCTAAACCAGCACAACAGGCTGTACTGAGGATGACTACACCATCTCAAGATACTGCGCAACCCATCCTCACGAGCAGTAGCAAGGGTCGGCTGAGATGCCAGGTCATCGAGAAATAATGGGCTCGATCGAACGAGATAAGCAGAGACAACGGCTACTAAGTCAACCACAATTGCAAGGAGGAACGGACGAAAGATGCTTGTAAACAGAAACGCAAAGGCAAATGCCAGAAAAAAGCGTATCTACAAACTGGCCAGCATTTTCTACGCCTGACTCGGCTAACTATCCTGCCTTAGTATACTGCCTACCGCTAAGGAATAACACTGCTGTCACAGAGGCACGCAGAGAATTTGACACGAAGTTGCAAAATCGGACATACAAGCGTAATCTGCTCCAGGTAGCCTTGATCACACAGGTCTCCGACCACCAGAACCAGTGATATTGACCCCAGGGGGCAATCTGCCATATGGAGCCCACGGGTCAGAGGGCAGAACCGAGGGGGCCACCCACCACATTGGAGGTTCAATACTTCAGCAAATACTAGATCCTCGTCTATTCATCGATGTTCTATGGTCAGCAAGGAGAGAGAACCATGTAGAGGGGCGAGGCCATCGACGAACTCAAGCATTGATACCAATGGTAGCGAAACGAATGAGGGGAAAGTTCAAAGAAGCGAGCGAGACTGGACTCCGAAGAAAGCTCCTCAAACAGATTCATGTACTCGTCTATTCGGACCGGTGGTCAACCTTTTTCCATCGAGCATATTCTTCAACCCTCAGCCGAAGAAGCCACAAGACCGTCTTCAACAAGCCCCTTCCTGGATAATCTCGCGGAGTCATTGCAGCGCTGGACAAGGCTCAATACAGATCAAATGTTCCATCTCATGACAGTTCCGAGCATATATTGGTAGGATGGAGATCGAAAAGCGAGTTCACTCATTCCTGCTGGGTCAAATATCGAACACTAGTTGTAAAGCAGTCAGGAGACAGCCACCTACTTGCGAGCTACAAGCACCTTAAGGTAGAAAGCTAGTCGAAAACTTCACTTGTGAACTAATGATTCGTGCGGCATGTACGCAAGAATACAAGGATCAACTTGTCTACAATTGCAAAAGATTGTCATCACATCGTCGTGTTTTATTTTTGTCAAGGCAGAAAGGAGCCTAGATGTCACAGCACCGCCATCCCGAGTTAACGGGTCACAATGCAGGGTGCACCGCGCAGATAGCGGGAAGATTCAATACAGAAGATTCCGTCAAGCCAGCTCATGCCAGTAAACCAAAATTTCCATCCGTCAATCCTCCACCCATCGATTCACCCAAGTGACATCCACGGTGCGTCCGACCCTCCTAAACCAATCGCACGACTAGTCCACTAGGAACTAATCTACTGCTCGGTCTGGAAGTAGTTGAGGAGGACCTCACGCTCCTGGGACTCCTCACCCCAGTCCTTGACAACGACGCAAGAGCAGTTGACGACCTTGCGGGCGTTACCCTCACGGTCGAGAGTGCCTGTGTACAATGTTAGCAATGTTCTCATATAAATAAATTGGGTATGGTAACGTACAGAGACCAACCCACTCGCCCAGCATCTTGCCATCGGGGACCTTGATGAGGGGGATCTTGTGCTCGGAGCAGAGAGCAACAACGAGCTTCTTGTAGGCCTCCTCCTCGCAGCCCTCGTTGAGGACACACATGTGGGCCTCACGGCGGTCGAGGGCCTTCGCAGCCTCGCGCAGACCACGGGCAAGACCGTCGTGGATCAGGGAGATGCGGAGGACACCCTTCAGAGCGTCGAGGACGGACATCTGGCCGGAGCCAGCGTCAGCGGAAACCTCGACCTCATCGGCGGCGGCAACGGGGGGTTGGACTGGGTCTCTTCTCCGTCCGACTATAGTATTCATTAGATATTATTGCGGGCAAGCAAGAACTGTGCCGAATGCCGGAGCTTAAGACCGTCGTAGTCGTCGCATGGAATTTGCCTGGAAAAATTGACCTTGTCGACGACCAATTCCTATGCTCGGTTCTCTTGGACGGCGAGCTGGTTGGTGCGGCGCAGTCGCAATCTCCGTCTTCAACCCATGCTTGTAGTTCGACTGGTCTTTGCCAAGTGGCTTTCGAATTGAGTGGCCAGGACGTACCATTTTGATTGCTACTGTGTTTTTCGGGTAGCGGGTATGGTCAAAGTCGGATAATCCTCGAAGAGGTAGGTGTTTTGAGTGATGGAGATTGAATGGAGAGGCGCTAAGGAAATTTTGGTGGGTTTCGACTTTCCTGTTCGGTTGTGTGTGCCCTACCTTAGTCATCGCGTCGCAGTCACGTGATGATTTCCGGACTCGGGGAGCGGCTTGAGTTCGGGTGCATCTGCGGAATCAATCGTTAAAATGACTTACAAAAGAATAATTTGATAAACGCTTCCTCATTTTGGAGGCTTAAGCTACCGAATATAGAAGTAGATTCGTTACAAGAACGCAAGAGGTATCATAATCGTACAATCAAAATCCGCCTTTACACCTCGCCCGCTGAATTTCAATGACCTGAATAGCGATGATTGCTGCGGAAACTAGAAGTATGTACCGGGTCGAGGATAGCCATGACCGTTAATGCCCATGGAGCCATTTGTCTCAGTAGCAAACGCGCCCGGGGCGTGACCGTTGGGCTGGAAGCCACCCGCTGCACTCGGAGCTATGGAAGGCTCAGGGTCGATGTGCATGCTGACGAATTCCAGTTCGAGTCCGTGGATATGAGGGATATGCGGAACGAGATCCGTGAAATCAGAAAGTCGGATCCAGAAGACATGTTCCATGTCGAAATACTTGGGCTGCGTCTCGTTGTCCAGCTGCATGATCTCTGCGAACGATGCGTTGTGATACTTTGGGTCGTCGGTGTAGACGAGCATCCGACGTGTGCATCGCCAAAGGTTTACGCGCTGAGTTGGCGTGGCTTTGCGCTTTTCCCAGCTGGAGTCTAATGAGAGAATTAGCCGGTGCACTGGTTTGTTTGAACAATAGGACGAAAAACTTACATTGAGAAAGCTGGAGGTCGTTAGTTGCCAGCAAGGGTGCAACCAAGTAGTTGGGGATCCACTTCTCGTCCGCCGTTTCTGGAGAGCAGTCGGGCTCAAGTTGTCGGGTAGTCGCCGTCACTAAGGGCAGGAAATTCTTGAGCCAGGCATGGCTTCGAGCTCGGGAATCATTGGAGCCCACGTAGTTGGCAGAGACGCGAAGGCGGCCGGGGAGAGCGTCACGACGTCGTTGCTCTTGGGCCTCCGCCTCGCGGCGCATCTTCATGATGCGAGCTCGCTCGTACTCCATTTTCTTCTGGCGTTCGTCTTCGGCTTGCTTGGCTCGTCGTTGTTCGGCTTCCTTGCGCTTACGGTCGTCTTCCTCGGCTTTCTCACGAGCAGCTTGAGCAGCTTCGGCAGCTCTGTCCGCTTCTTCCTTGGCAGCGCGAGCACGTGCAGCTTCAACGTCTGCTTTGGCCTGAGCCTCTGCTTTGGCTTTGGCTTCAGCTTCAGCTTCGCGGCGTTTTTCCTCTGCGATACGTTCCTCTTCGGCCTTCTTAGCTTCGGCCTGCTTAGCTTCAGCCTGCTTAGCTTCAGCTTGCTTGGCTTCGGCCTGCTTAGCTTCAGCCTGCTTAGCTTCAGCCTGCTTAGCTTCAGCCTGCTTAGCTTCGGCCTGCTTAGCTTCAGCTTGCTTGGCTTCCGCTTTCTTGGCTTCCGCTTTCTTGGCTTCCGCTTTCTTGGCTTCAGCCTCTCGATCAGCTTCTCGGCGTTTCTCTGCTTCTCGTTCCTCTCGCTTATCGTCTGCTGGTACTTGGGCGACTGAGCTCGTGTTCGGCTCTTGAGGCTCCTTCTTGACCTCGTCGTTTTTATCAGCAGATGCGTTTTCGGAAGCGTGATGTGATGATTCTGGTTTCTTCGGAGGATGAGAAGGTTTGCGAGGTGCGGCGTTATCGCGTGGAGTATCTTCAAGTGGTCGACGAGCTTGAGTCTTCTCACTCTCATTCGCCACACTTGATTTCTTCGGAGCACCGTTTGGCATTGCTTTCACGTTGTCTTCAGTAACTCGCGGCCGCTTCATTTTCCGCTCAGGTGACAAATGATCACTATCTCCCCCACGAGAGCGCGATCTTTCGGGTGAAGCGTCATCGGCGCGAATGCGTTTGAGAGAAGTATTGGCATCGGAGGCATTATCGTGACGAGATTTGGGTGGTTCTTCACGGCCTGACAGAGAATCTGATGAGAAAAGGCTTGGTCGACGATCCCGTTCTTGAGGTCGACGTCCAGCAATGAGACGTCTCTTCTTCACCTCATCCATTCGGGCCACGCCACTTGATTCACTATCTCTCCGCGCTGAAAGGCCAGTCTTAGGCTTCGCTGAATCGGGGCGGTTCGAATCGTGATCTGAACTAGCGCGGGCATCGCCGCCGTCACGAGCAGACGACTTTGGGCGGCCCATCGTGCGAGCTTTCTCCTTTTCCATCCTCTTTTCCTTCAACAATTGAACCTCCTTAGCAGATCGTGGGCGACTTGAGTTCGGACTTTCGTTGAGTTTCTTGGGTCGAGACACAGGTGAAGATGACTCTTTGCGAGCTGGGCGTTTATCTTCCCTCTCTTTACCACGTGCTCGTCGTGGTGATGACAAGTCTTTGCGACCTTTGTCAGAACCTCCAAATTTCTCATATGCGGACTTCAAGATGTTGTATTCCTCCTCCCAGTTTTCACCCTGTCGAGATCTAGAGAGCTCGTAATAGGTTCGGTCTTCGAAGAGACGGCGGGTCGGGTTGAAACCAGGTTGAGAGAGGATAAGTTCGATGACAGCGGTATTTCCGCGCCCAATGGCGGCGAGCATGGGGGTATTATAGCCTGGCTTTTGACCGCGCAGGGGATTCGGATCGGCATCGGCGTCACCCATGGCGTACATGAGAGACAGGACATCGTGGTGGCCTCCTTTCGCGGCCGCAATGAGGGAAGCGTTGTCTGCTTTTTGCAAAATATTCAGAATGCTGACAACACCAACCTCATCACCCTTCGCGGCGAAATCTCGCAAATTCTCGGATGTTGCTTGCGTCCAAAGCAGATCATTTCGTGTTGCCTCGCTGCGACCAGTCTTCCGTCGATTTGATGCAGCGCCTCCTAACGGTGGAGGGCTTCGAGAGGGGCTCGCAACTGATGCCCGTCTTGAAGAGACCTTGGTATCCGGACCGATTTGCTCTTCAGACCGTCGACCTGGTCGTGAGCTAGCTTTGGCGTCGGCAAGCGCTTTCCGAATTTCCTCGTATTCATCCTTCTCCAAATCCTGCGGTACTAATTCGTAGGGTTCGTCACCGGAAGCGTTGACCGTTCGAGGGTTGGCACCAGCATCGAGTAACAGCTTTACCACTTCCACATTACCATTTTCCACCGCATCAATCAATGGAGTATCCTTGTCGATATTTTTCGTGTTGATTTCACACCCGGCACCCAACAAGAACTTCACAATCGGAGCTTCGCCATTGAGAGATGCAATCTGCAACGGCGTGTTGCCGGCATTGTCGGGAACATTCAAATCCTCAGGCCTTTCTCCATGACGCTGAACCACCTGGTCATACTTTCTATCCGCGCATGCCCGGGCGAGAGGAGTTCGGCCACTCTTGTCGCGTAGCTTCTTGGGGCCCATTTGTTTCGCAGGGGATGCCGATGCACCCGCCCCCGAGCCGAGCTTTCGGAAATGAGCGCTGGGCATTGGCGACCCACTCGCAGAGGATGAAGTTGATTGTCTGTCTTCCGAGCCTTGCCGTTGGAATCCGGTAAGAGGAATGGGAGCTTTCTTCTTGGAGGGCAGATGTGAGCCTGACACCGATCGTTGATGGGATGAACGGGTAGGGGAGACAGAACGAGCCGTTGAGGAAGGTCGGGAGAAATGGGCGTTATTATTTTTGAGGTCGCGGATCGTCGAATTAGTGTGGGAATCGCGTCGACACTCTCTCTTCTCGTCCACGCTATCGCTGAAACTCCTCTTTCGATAGGGTCGTGGCCGATCCGCGTCGTTTGCACTGCTCTGGTTAAGAACATCATGCGTGACGGATTGCGAGTCGTCTGATTTCTCGAGTTTCACGACGGATGAGGGGGATCCAGCTCTCTGAGATGGACTCGGAAAGCGTGAGGACCGAGGGCCCCGGGACGGGCGATCGCCACGGTCGGCATCGATGCGCGGTTTCTTGCGGAGGCTGCCATCGATCCCGTCGACTGCCTGGCGAATGGGGTCGTGTCGAATGTGTTTCCTCTTCTTCTCTGGCGATAAGGATTCCCGACCTGACTGAATGATGGTTTCTGCCTCTGAATCGGCCTTTGGACTGGGAGGACCTTCCTCGTCCGATTCCACCGGTTGCGATCCAGGGCTGGGCCGCCGCGAGGGCGATGTGGGCGCCGCCTCGGACTTCCGGGGTGATGAAGACCCTGGAGCGTCCGGCTTCACCGTGGCGAGCACATTCTGACCGACATCGACATCCAGGGCAGCGGGTAAGGAGACCGCCTCGACATCACTCATAGCGATAGCACTCGATGTGTGAGGATTCCGCTCGTCATTTTGGGAGAACGCGACAGGCCAGGGCGACCGTGGTCGGCAACGCCAGCAATGATTCGCAGACGCTGATCGGGGGATTGATGTGGGTAAATAGGTGGGAGGAAAATAGCAGGAGGGAAGAGACGAAAAGTCGGAAGCACGAGATTAGAACAGATGGAAGAGGCGGAACGCCCCAGAGAGAGCAGAAAAATGGAGTGGAGGAATCGGGGGGCGAGTTTGGTCGAGAAGGAAAAAGGATGGGGAGGGAAGAAGGGAAGGGAAACGGGAGAAAAGAATGGGGCAGCACGCCGTGGCCACTCCGTGAATCATCCTCTCCTCCTCATCGCAGCCGCAACCCACCCACTCCCAGCACACTAGCTCTGCTCGGTCTTCAGTGTCTGCGCCCGTCTCTCTCCCCTATTTTTCCTGCACACACGGGCCCTCCCTCCGACGCCCATTCCGGACGAAAGCAGTGGCTCCACCCGTGTGGCGATCTCTCGATGCGGCCACTCAGCGCCCTCTCGCGTATCGACCAGGCAGCTGCAGCTCCAGACGGGACCGCAAGCTGCGAAGTCTGCTCGTTGCTACCTGCTGCCTGCGACCTGTTCTCAGGGAGCTGCTACGGCCCTGCTGCTACTGCTCCCACTGCACCGCACCATCGCCTTCGCGTCTGCCCATGGAGGATCGGCGGGGGGCGCGTTCTCCACCTTCCAGCTGGGCACCTTGAACTGCAGGTTGGTCATGACACAGGTTTTTTCCATCGATTTGCCAGACCCCATCGCGGCCGCGGAGAGCGATGGTTCCTGTTTCGTATGTCTATTAGTGCTAATCGCAGCTCTACTAACGGATGGAACGGGTATTGCGCACGAAAGGGCATCGGAAGATCAGCGTGTCATCAAGAACCCTACCCTGAGGAACTGATTGCTATAGGACTATAATGATAGCTATCAACGCCTCCCCAAAAACAGACGTCACTTTCCGCCCATGAACTTCAGAGTTCCTCCCATCTTCGCAACCTTGGCCACATCTCGGTACGTGAGGCTCGTCCTCGTCTCCCGGCGGTACCAGCCATCATGAAACGAGTCTCTCTCCCGCAAGAGCGGCCAGTTACAAATAGAGTAGGGCCCCAGATCTTCATCCGTCCTCGACTCGGCAATCCCATGTAGGAACTCCGTATATAGTAGTCCTCGCGTAATAAGCAAGCTTCGACGTTCCTGGAGGATCCGAAACTGCGGCTTCGCACCGGAGTCGGGAACTTGATCACTATCATCGGAACCCTCCATGGCCGCCTGATCTCGATGCTTCTTCGCGTATAGATCGAGCACAATCGGAGCACCCAGGCTGACTGTCGCGACCAGTGGGTAATAGGCTGTACCGTCTTCGTGAGGCATGATGCCCTGTCCTGGTCGGTATTCATTTACCAGAACATGGTTAGGCGCGCCGTGTGGAGCGTTATCAAAGATGCCTAGTGCTGCGAATCTTGGCTCGATGATGGGCGATATGAGCCAGGGTGGTAGTGGGGAGTCGAGTAGAGTGTTTGTTTTGGTGAGCGCGGATGGCCATGTTTGAAGGCGGCGGTGTGATAGCTGGGTCCAGCGTGGTATAGGCGCTGATGCTACCTGCAGGCATTCGTCAACCGGTGTGATATATAGAGAGTGGTTTCACGGCGGAGAGGGTATATTCCCATGTACGAGATATATCCGAAGAGGTGAGAAACCTTGGAAGTAAGCAGAACGAAAAATTACGGTAGGGATTGACCTTTTGTAAAAGCCATTTCTCCTCATCCTCCGAAATGAAATCGGCGATATAGAATGCATCGGGGGGCAGTGAGATGATGCGAGCGGTCTCAAGATTGCGGGTCATGAGCCTGGTGCAGCCCTTTTCCTCTCAAGATGGCGTCTCAAGATTTGATGTCAAAAGTTCCACCTAGATGCAAAGACCTTTTTGATGTATGATAGCGATCCGGCGGGATTGAACAAGGACAAGGGGAGTACTTAATCTGGAGAGTACCCTGTATGGCCGAGTAGAGCCCAATCCCACGTCACGTTCTGCCTGAGGCGTCCACCCCACTTTCCACCCGAGCAAACACCCATGGTTGACCGACCTGCCTGCCTTACCAATAATTACCTGCACCCATCAGAAGACCAGAAATCCCAGTTCAAAACACGCTGCCTGGGACCTACTTCGTCACGATGGCCCCCAAGAACAACAAAGCCCCCGCCAAGGGCAAAGGCAAAGAGGCATCGGATGACTCCGGTGCCAAGGGTAAAGGCAAGGGTGGTTTGAAGGCTGCGACTTCGATTAACGTGCGACACATTCTGGTAAGTATTCGTTTGGTCTACTACTATTAGTCTCCGTGTGGACATAGACTCGGACTCAAACTTGGAATCCTGCCATGTCGAACCTTGGCATAGGACAACAGCTTACGTCTGACGTCTTATAGTGCGAGAAACATTCCAAGAAAGAGGAAGCCTTGGAAAAACTGCGCAATGGCACGAAGTTTGATGAGGTAGCGCGTGAGTTCTCGGAGGATAAGGCGAGACAAGGTAAGTTCTCCTCGGTCCAAATCAAGCGTCAATTAAGATGTTCATTCTTTTATAGGTGGCGCACTTGGGTGGAAGGTGAGGGGAAGTCTGCATGGAGACTTTGAGAAAGTAGCCTATGAACTGGAGCCGAGTACGACTGCCAGTCCTAAGTACGCGGAGGTGAAGACTGGGTTTGGGTACCATATCATCATGGTTGAGGGCCGGAAGTGAGGTAGTTGGAATAACCTTTATGAAAGCGAAACGGACAGAATCGAAGCATACTCCATGTCTGATCATGTATGATTCCATAACAATTGGTATCTTGAATTGAATGCAATGATGCTCTAAGTCATCCCAGATATCCCTATCCTAATATCTACAAACCCAAACAAACTCCAAAATAAAACAAACGATGCAAAACTACTGCTCTTTCTTAGCAGCCTCCTTCTTCGCCAGCTCCTTCGCCTTCTTCTCCTGCTTCTGAACAACAGCTTCGGCTCCAATACCGCCGAACACAAGGCCAATGCCCAGCCACTGCCCAGCGGACAAGGAGTGACCGAACCAGAACACACTCAGAAGCATAGTCAACATCTTCCGTGTAACTGTAACAGTTACCAGAAGCAACGATGAGAAGCGCGACAGCGTGTAAAAGATGAAGAGCTGTCCGACAGCTCCGCACGCCGCGAATCCAAGGACATGCTTCAGGGCCTCCGGGTGGCGCGTAAGGAAGGAGATGGCGGAGTACATCTCCGTCTCAGTGGATGGTGGAATGGGGAAGGGAAGCAGGTTGTGCAGTAAACCGCTCTGAGAGAGATGCGGTATGATCAGAAGGTAGGCGGCTGTCAGGATGGAGGAGAGAACGTTCTGCGCAACCATCATCTGCGGTCCCGTGAAGCGGGTGTACAGCTTCGGGGAGGCAAAGACATGGTCTTGAGTGGTGTTGGTCAAGCCATCCAGAAGGAGGTTGATCGACAGCAAGAAAATACCCCACATCGAGGAGCCGGACTGCTCCGAGGCGGACGTGGCGACCTTCTTACTAGTGCCGGGGTGGTGCAGGGTGAACGTGGCCACGCCCAGTGTGACTAGAAGCACAACACCGTATTTGTAAAGGGGATATCGCTTGCGGAAGATGGTGAGGTGGAGGAGCATGACTGGAAGGAGTTTGCATGATTTCGCAAGGATGAACGTCAGGTAGTCGATGTGCGCGAGACTGGCATAGCCGAATGGGGACGCCAGAGACGAAGAAATGCTGACCAGGAGCAAGGGGAAGAGGATTCGACGGGTGGGAAAGATGGAGGGCATCTTCTGGCCCTTAGGGGTCGAGGAGAAGAGGTAGATGAAACCAGTGATCGCCGCGAACAAGGACTGGACGGTGTTCAGCACGAGGGAGTAGGTAAAGCGCTCTGTCGCGGGCTCGGGTTCGTCGGCCGTCGCGGGACGAACGAGGTAGCTAGTTGTAGTGATTGCCTCCTGGAGGACTCCCCACGAGAGGCTGTTGTCTGTAAATATGCGGCCATGTAGTTGTTTAGAAGGGTCTCTTACAATGCTGCATAAATACCGAGGACGCAGATCAGGAGCTGCATCAAGCCGGGGGGTTCGACCGTTTCTTGCGCTGTCGTCACCTTAGCAGACGCGCTGCCGTTGGCATTGGAAGGAAAATTTGCGCTTCCATTTGTTGACTTCTCCACGGCTTCGGCTTCGTTCGGAGGCATGTGCATCACGGAGGATGAGGGAGCGCGTTGGAGCGGCGTTGGTTGCTTTTGCCGGCCCATTGCGGTGGTCTTTTGAGTGTAATATAGCGCAGGAAAGTATGGACACGGGACACGGACGGATTTGCGAGAGGCGCGGTATTTGCAGGATCAAGCAGGGGAATGGATGAATCTTCCCTTTGGACCCTGGAGCGGAGCTGAAAAAAATAAGATGATGCCATGTGTTCTTAGTTCCCATCTTATCGATGCGGATCGCCAGGGGGCCCCACTGACGCCCTGCAGAATGCCCGGAGTTCACCCAGGCATGCAATGACCGTCCGCAGTTTCCCAGTGCAATTGAAATCCTTTCGAACAATATTGGTCTTAATGGATATACTCACCTGCCATTGAACCCCTCAGCATTCAACCTGTGTCCATGGACGTATGTAGTAAATTAGGCAGGCGGTGTACACAATAAGTTCTCGATGTAGGCGGTGAGGCACAAACTGCCGCCCTATTCCACAACCTTGTCGCAAAGCCACTGTGAACTACGGACCGCAAGCCTAAATTACTGCACTTTCTCCAGCGTAGAGAACAGCAGGTATAACCCTCGAAATGACGACCAAAAGGATCGAGAACCCCATGCCGGAGCCCTCCCAGCTCACCGAGCTCATTGACTCCATGTCCGCCTCCACAAACCCACAAACAGCAACCACCCTCCAAATCCTGCACAATCTCCAATACCAGCACCTTTGGACATCGCTCCAGATCCACGCAACACCAGCAGACATGGCTTCATCTGCGGAAGATCCTCGGCCTACATTGATCTCCGGAATTCCTCCACACCGCGTATATACCCACCCCGACGAACAACTGTACATGTTAGAAAGAGGTCTCCGCGACGACGACCTGCGCCCGGAGCGACTTTTCGTGATTCCCACTGCGCAAGGACAGCGCTGGTCTCTTCGGCGCATGGCTGCTGTTTTTGATGCCATGTCTGACATTGAAGTTGCTGCTGACGACGAGTCTGACACTGTTGCTCTGCCTGAAGGAGCAAAGGCGGAGAAGCTGGAGGAGTACTATCGGAAGAGGGCGGAGGCTGATATCACGAAGGAGTGGGGCTCCAAGCGGGCACTCTTGGGCATGGTGGACAAGGGGATGGGTGGAGAAGGGACGGTGGTTTATTATATTGTGCAGGAGGGTGAAGTGAAGCCTCGACAGAACTAAGTTGGGAATCTACACTACGCCAAGCGGTTGCACTTGTGATATGACAAGGTTGAGGCGAGAGAGCGACGGAGTTTCATTGTTGCACCAAATATCTGCTCAGAAGCGAAGGGTCGGCTCGAATATGTACGCCGAGAATTATCCATGGTCCACGCAGCATGGGCGTGACCGCTGGGTATAATATGCAGAATGAGGGTGGAGGGGTACATTGCAAATGGATTCGGGGAATTATTGGAGCGAGATTCAAACGAGTAGGTTCTCATGCCCATTTCGATGATCCTGCTCCTGCTCCAGTTGACAGCTGGTGCAATATCTCTCATACCACTCCTTGACACTGTCGGTATTTTCCGCAAAGAAGCGCTCGGCTTGAGCCCGAGCGCCTGCTTCGCCTTCCTCGCTATTCCCACTCAGAAGAATTTCGACCTGGCGACAACGGCGAAGTTCTTCGCGGAGCCAGCGTTCCCATTCACTCTGGATGACTTCCTTCTCGATGCTGTTCACCACGCGCAAGGCTACCAGGAGGTTGTACCGGTAAGCCCCAAGGCGTTCCCGTGTTTGCTGGAAACGCTTCGTTGCGCTCTTGGCCACTGCGTCTCGAGGGCCGGAAGTACTGAGGGAAAGAGGTAGTTCTGCATAACGCATTGCGTTCTCGTGGAATGCATTGAAGCAACTGCTGGCATTTCCGGTATTGGGCCAGAGTGTCGTGTTGGCGACTGCTTCGTCGATGTCTTGAATGTAAATGGCCTTACTCATGACCATGTTCGGCTGCACTCCCAGTCGAGCCATGAAATTACTTGCGTGTCTCTCGTGCCACCAGTCCCATGTATCTCGCGAGGTGTAGAATCCGTTCATCAATACACTTGATGACAACAAGACCAAAATGACCTTGTGGGCGCTCACGGTCTTCCAGGACCAGCGGACAATATCGAAGGATGACATCATCAAGAAAGAGAGAGTGCTTTCCAGGAATGATAGCACCATCTCCATTATGAGCTGAGGCATCGTTCGCTGGGTTCGCGGCTTCCGAGGTTCTATCTTCAAGTTGACCCCGACTCCGTTGAAGTGGGAGGTGTTGTTCTGGCGACCAACGTGGCCAAAAATAGTGATGGCCTTCTTGGTGCGACTATGTGCTCCGAGACGTCTCACTTGATCGCTCACTAGGTCAACTAAATCCAAAGCGTCTTGCTCGAGGTCGTCACTTGCTTTCTTATCGATGACATCTGGTAGATATTAGCTAGGTCCCCAGATATAGTCGATAAACCCTGTACTTACTCTTCAGACCGAGTGGAGACTTAAGCCACTCGACTTTGGTGTAAATCGCCAATTTGCTCTTCGATTTGGCCTGGAACGTAATCACGACCTTGCTCACCAACCGGAATGATCGTCGGAAGGGAAGATGCCACGGTGTGCGCTTATCCGTAATCACGTAGCATAAATGGTCATTCAAAACATCAATGATTTGATAATCCGAAATGTCGTTTTCCTGAGAGTGTCCTATTGGAAATAACGGTCAGTCTAAATCCTTCTATGCTGGAACTATCCTTGGAAGAGCCTTACCAAGAGCGCTTGCTGTCGCAATCTTGTAATGGAAGTCTCGTCTGAGGTGTCGAGATTCATTGCTTGCCCAAGGGCCTTGCTTGATGTCTGAATGGAATATTAGTAAGGCGTAATTGAATGAGAAATGGTTTACTAACCTTTGGCTTGCCGCTCGTGCAGCAGAAGCTGCCAAACAGCACTCTTGTCTCCAAACAGAATATGGAACAATGCCTTGGGACTCACGTCCAGTACCTTCTCGGTTGACAGAACAAGATCTCCCTGAGGCACGTATTCAACAGGCTGAGTGGGAAGTCTGAACTTCGGAATATTATGACCACGACCTCCTTTGCCACCATCCAGATCAAGATCCTTGTCAATGTAGATAGGGACCCGTAAATCCTTGCCATGTCCGTGAGCGACGAGGTTTGTGTCGCCTCTTGTGTCATTTGGCCCGGATGAAAGGTCCTCCCAGCTGTCTGCGCTCGAAGGCCGGTTCGGTGTCCCACTGTCCAACTTGATCAAGTCCTTGATGACATTCTCCAGGCTCGTAGGCTCGACCGCAATAGAGCCTTGGATCAGATAGTTCAAGCGCTTTTGGAGGAGTCGAAGGGGCTCAAGGAAAGTCTTGATCGTAATGCGCCCAGGCGTGTCGCTTCCAAGGGGAGGAATGGTGTGCAGGAAAAGGAAGTCACAGTCTCTTCCAGGGGCAGCCGTCACTTCTTTGATGCTATCCAGTGACACGCTTGTGGTCAGCACCAGTCCGAAATGGTGACTGTAGAAATAGATGTACTGAGTGGTAACATATGCTCTGCCAGGGAACTCCTGCTGGTCATTCGGGTTCCACGTTGCCCTGAAAACCAGTACCAAGGACTCCTCTCTCTTGACATCAGGGAATAGCAATCGGAATTGAGAATCCTGGATTTTCAGAGACTGCGGGTAGACTGCGGGGTACTCGGTTTCAACGATACCCACCGCAGCCCGCTGGATCTTGGAGGCGTCGCCATCAAGGCTCACTGTTTGTCTGTGGCGTGGACCAGATGGCTGCCGGGAACCCGACGTGTCACCGGGCTGGTCTGCCTGTGCAGCAATAGTTCGTTTCGACGAATCACTCTTTGCCGACGAGGGTCGATCTTCCGCTGAATCATGGTCTCTATTTGCGTTTTGAGCTTGTTCCCGCTGTAGCTTATTGATGAAGCCCCAATTGGAACTACCCCATAGATTTGCCATCATTCCACTAGGCATGCCACCGGTGCTATCGACGAGCCCCAGACCAATGCCTCTTTCATTGCTGACAACCACTGCAGCCTTACTCATACTTGTTGGGGCCGGTGGGTTTGCAAGCGTAGGAGGTGCCAAGTTCGATCCAGGTTCGTCAAGATTGCTCAAGCTTCGGCCTCTGTTTTGGCCGTCAGCCACATTAACAGGAGCAGTGCCTTGGTAGGGGAGGATATTATGGCTGGCCGAAATAAGGCTAGCAATTCCACCCACAGGACCCGGGATTAAGGGAGATGTGGGTGCTGCATTATTTGATTTGCGATGAAGGTCCAGTTTTTGAATAATCCGATTGGTGTGCTCTCTGGCGTGATCCCTAGTAGAGCCTTCGCCGTCCAAGCCAGTAAGTCTGCGACCGCTCACGTCGGTGCTCTTTCTGTGGGCCATGCCATCATGCACATGGTCTGGGACAGGTAGGGTCGAGCTACGCTCACTACCGCTTGGTTCATCAGCGGTATGAGGAGTCAAAGAATCAGATGGGTCGGCCGTAAACTCAGGCGCAGGCGGTTGGGAGATTGAAAAGGCTGGATCTTGAACGGTGGATTTTCCAGAAACCGAGATTTCGGTGCTGGAGGGGTTTTCCAGGGCCTTTTGTTTGGCAGCCTCAAAAGCACCGATCCACTCCATCAACTCCTTCTGGGTCTCCGCTTGCAGCACGATGTTGTTGTTCTTAGTCTTCACCTGGAAGCAGAACCGGCGCTCCTCCTGGAAAGCTGGGCGAACACTGCATAGTAATACTCCAATTCGCTCACTTTCTTCGACACCGCCAGTGCGTGCACCCTGCACGAGGCACCCGAAAATACCGTGTTTCAGGAACGCCCAGCGTCTCACCCACACAGTCCGAGTCGGCTTTCCAGAGAGAGTCCGCAAGTTTACCCATCCTTGTTTCTCAGGTCGCACATCCTTGCCCATGTTCAGCGTTGACAAAGGACGAGAACCGAGGTAAGGAACTGTCGAGACGGAGTAATCCTCCAATTCACGAGAAGGTCTTGCCGCTACCTCTGCAACCTCTTCAATTTGCTTTCTGGTAGACAAAAGCTCCCGCTTGGAGGACCGGTCACTAGATTCCATCTCATGAATCCAGCCCTTGATACGGTCCATCTCACCCGCCCACTTCGAGAACGTCACCGAATTATTATTGTGGAAGGATCGGAATTCGCGCCATTGGTCGAAGGAAACTAGAACGAGAAGTCGGTCAAGTGCATTGCGAATCTGGGGAGCCTGGACCGAGAAGTCCAGGGACGTCTTGAGGTAGATCTTGCGGGCTTCGTGCAGCTGAAATGCTTCTTCTCTCAATGCCGAGGTTTCTTTAGATTTGGACTGAGCAGAATATCGAGCCTGCAGATAATCGTATGACTTTTGTGCGTGTTCGAGGGCGCGGCGGGTTTCCTATAACAATCATCCAAAGTCAGATCCACATTAAAACGAAACCTCGAGGTCACAGAGGGGCCACCGCGAATAATACCTTAAAATGGCGCAAATCCTCATGCATGAAAGCTCGAATGGGCTCGGCGATCAAGGATTCCATCTTCTTCGTCGCCGTAACCAGTCCACTCCATAGGTCCCTCGATCCTTCCCCACACCTCCTCATCGCCAACAGGGTATGATCATGATCGACCACGGCCTCGGAGACGACCAAGGGGTGCGTAGAGTAGGAAAGGAAGCTGCTCACTACACTCTCCAAGGTCGCCAGCTCGGAGGCGAGTTTGGTCGCAGCTTTGGCATATCCGTCAAGCCATCTCTCAATGAACTCGATCTGGTCGCAGAAATGATGGGTGGTGGCGCGGAAGGTCGGCGAGTCGAGGGCGGCTTCTTTCAAGCCAACCGGACTAGAATTAAGATGCAATGTTAGCATTGATCGGTCAATCGAGACGCGTCTGGACATACACCACGCTCACGAGCTTCCCGACTTGGGGTAACGGGGTGTGCGCTTGGGTCGACATCTAGTGCATGCCTCCAGCCATACACTCGACGCGAGCAGGGAAACCGCAGATGTAGGGAGATCAATCAGGCCCTCTTTCGGCTGCTTCAGATAGTAGAGGGTAGGGTCAGGAGAGAAGAGCGTCTGGAAAAAGCTGTCTACGTGCTAGTCAGCGGATCGAACTTGAACCTCGCTGCTCTGGACTCTTGATTTAATTGGCTACGTCAGGCGTTTGGACGAGTTGGGGCCTAACCTGTCAGGCACAAAGGCGCTAAGGCCTCAAGGCACCAAGGCACCAAGCCGGTTTCGTGGCAGAAAGCGGTGTGTGAATTTTTTCTTTCTGCCGGCGCCCGCGCTGTAGATTTCGCCGAGACGAAGAGAGATTCTGGCAGACACAGACAATGGAGCCTCCTTCGAAGAAACCGCGCACTCTTTGGGAAGACGACAGCTCGGATTCCGGCGATGATGCTGGCGGTGTTTCGCTGGGCAAGTCGCCTGAGACTGCCTTCAAAGTGAATGCCGATTACGCCAAACGGTTCGAGTATAACAAGAAAAGAGAAGAGGTCGCTAGGTGTACGACTCCCCATTATCTTCATGGTTGTGCTGTTGAAACATTGCTAATCGCAATTCTCTTTATGCAGTGGAAGCCAAGTATGGCAAGACCAATATGGGCAAGCGGCGTGACGAACCATCCGAAGATGAGGAGTCCTCAGATGATGAGGAGGAAGATGAGGATGGAGAGCTGGCCACCAAGGCTCTCGATGCTGAGATCATGGCCACCCTTAAGGCAATTCGCTCCAAGGACCCCGCCGTGTACGACAGCAACGTGACTTTCTACACCCAACCTGAGGAAGACGCCGACGCTGCCCCCAAGGAAAAGAAGGAAAAGACGATGACCCTGCACGACTACCACCGCCAGAACCTGCTGGGGGGAATCAACCCCGCTGAAGAGGAGGAAAATGCCCCCAAGACCTTTGCGCAGGAGCAGGCCGACCTGAAGGATGAGGTTGTCAAGGCTATGCACGAACAAGGTTCCGACGATGAGATGGAAGATGCAGATGACTTTCTGGTCCGCAAGCCCGGTCAAGAAGAGCCAGAGGAAGAAAAGGTCGAGCTTGATATTCAGAACGCCGACAAGGACCCCGAAACTTTCCTTTCCAACTTCATGTCCTCGCGCGCATGGATCCCCGAGAGCGAAAAGCAAAGAGCGCACCAGTTTGATTCGGATGACGATGATGAAGTGGATCGGGCCGATGCTTTCGAGGTGGCCTACAATTTCCGTTTCGAAGACCCCAACAAGCTCAACGAGACTTTGATCACCCACGCCCGTGATACCACCAACAGTCTTTCCGTCCGTCGGGAGGAAAAGAGCTCGCGTAAGAAGCTCCGTGAGGCCGAGCGTCAGCAGAAGGATGAAGAGAAGAAACGGCGAGAAACTGAGAAGAATCGCCTACGCAAACTCAAAATGGAGGAGCTTCAGACTCGGGTCAACGAGATCAAGGAGGTTGCCGGTATGCGCGCCTCCGAGTTCACTGATGAGGATTGGGCCCGTTTCCTGGATGGCGCTTGGGATGATAAAGAATGGGAGGAGGAGATGGAGAAACGATTTGGAGAAGACTACTATGCCGACAAGGATGCTTCTGGGAAGAAGCACCCCAAGAAGCCTGAGTGGGATGATGATATCGACATCACTGACTTGATTCCCGACTACAAAGATGAAGAGGACAAGCCTGCTGTGGATTCTGGCGATGAAGATGAGGAGGCCGATGAGGAGCAGTCCAAACCCAAGAAGAGCAAGGCCGAAGAGAAGCGTGACCAGAAGCGCGAGGCCCGCAAAGACCGTCTCCGTATTGAAGAGGCCGTCGACCGTAACCTCGACCTTGACATCACCCTGCTCCCCGGTGCTACCAAGAAGAACGCCACTCGCTTCCGCTACCGCGAGACCTCGCCGCAAAGCTTCGGTTTAACTGCTCGGGATATCCTGATGGCCGACGATGCCCAACTGAACCAATTCGCCGGTCTGAAGAAGTACGCTTCATTCCGTGAAGCCGAGAAGAAGGCCAAGGACGAGAGGAAGCTCGGCAAGAAGGCCCGCCTCCGTCAATGGCGGAAGGACACCTTTGGCAATGAGGATGGTCCTGTCTTCAACTTTGGCACCAAGAGCCCAGAGGATAAGAAGGAAGAGGCCGATGGTAATGAGACTAAGCTGGACATTCGTGAGGGCGGTGGCCAAAAGAAGAAGAGAAAGCGTTCGAAGAAGAACTAAGCGCAGGCGCCAAAAGCTGTCATAATGTCAATAACTTAAAGTTGTCATTGGGATACTGGCGTTTGTTTGATTATGTATTTATTTATTTTTTACATACCTATGGTATATGACGATTATTTGCTGGAGATTGCCCAGGTGAATTCTGAGTATACCCTTTTCGACTCCATATCCCTAAGCACGCTCAACAAGCGATATGGCGTGGGTGCAGTATAAATTGTGTCTTGATTTTGCCCCCCTTAATTTCTCCAGTAAGTATGATACTCGTTGCACCTTTACAGACCAGAAGCTCTGTTGAGAGGTATCCATTGGAAGCAGATATATATTTCGCCATACAGGGGCTATTACAAAGTAAAAAGCAACTCTTGTGAAGCATTGACGAGTCCGATTTGTAACAATGGATCTATATAAAAGCTGATTATCCTCGCTTGTCCTTGGTTATTGTTGCCAATTGACAGGAGTTGTTTTTCCGAAGACAATTGTTCATCACCTACCAAGGTATGTCGGAGGTTGTATAGTGCTGCAGGCAGGCAAGCGGACCCACCGAGCTCGAGATTGGCCCGTCCCTGGCCTTGTCGCGGTACATTGCATATGCGGCTCACATCCACCGTAAACCTTGTACCGATACATAAATAGCAGCTGTGAAAATGTCTCATATTGAATTACCATTGGCAACTGGACAAGCGTGGCCAGAAAGGGTATCATATCGCCTGCAAGGCTACTCTGCAGGGTATGCTGATGATACTCCGATCGAACCGGTCGTCTCTTACATACGAAGTCCATACATTAAACGCAAGCTCTCATAGATGCTCCGGAGCATTGGAAAAGTCTGTGTTTAGATTTCCCGATGGGAACAAAATCCCAGTTTAGGCTCAGGAATCTAAATGTTGTTCTCTGTTGGTCGGACTCTGGACCGGGCGCTAATCACGAGCAGATATAAAATTCTTCAAGATCGGCCCTGTGTCCTCGTGAACCATAAACCGACTCTATCGGTGGCAACTTCTCCAGGCAAACCGGGTCGACACTCGGATACTCGGGGCAGGGAAAAGGAGGTTGCCCCGGCGTGTGGAGGCCCGGCATTGGCCGGGGCTAATACACGTACCCATACGTGTCCACTGGGCGCGCTTGGACGCCGTTGCTCCGGACTACGCAGGGTTTTCACGATCGGAGCAGCGACATAGCAGACCAAAACTGGGCGACGGGGGAGATGAAAGTAGTCGGCTAGGAATTGACCGTAGTTTTAATTTACTGCTGAAATCAGGCCAAGCAGAGGCATATGTATGGGAGGCTGGTCAGCTGAAAATTTTTCGATCGGGAGAATTCGGCAGGGCGGCTGCACGATACACGGCGGATACAGTAAATTACCCCCCTGCTCTACCTGATTGGGTCTTAGCGGCCAGACTTCGCTTCTGCCAGTGGTATTTTTCTGGCCCCCTTCCGCCCCTGCGCTCTCTTCTTCTTTTTCTTCCCTCCCATCCCTGGTGTACTTTCTTGACACTCCCCATCTCCTCTCTTTTTTTCCGTTGTCGCATTCATCTTTTGCACAACCTTCACAATGGCTGCTGGTGATGTTAACCAGGGCGAGAAGTCCGTCTTCGGCATGCCCGTAAGTTTTCCCTCCCTGTTGTCCTGCTGGCCATCTCACTGGGTCGCGACACGGTCGATTCAAACGCATCGCGATAATGGATCACTTCCATCATCCAAAGGATGCTCAGGATCGACTCTAGTCATAAACGGGACAATGGCACAGCCGCGAGAGATGAAAAAACAAGAAACACCGTGCTAACGAAAAATTTTCACAGGGCTTCGTTGTCGACTTCCTGAGTATGTGATACACTTGACGCCACCAGTTTCTCGCCGAGAAACATCGAACAACATTCCGCCTGACATAGATACTAACTAATTCGCAGTGGGTGGTGTTTCCGCCGCCGTCTCGAAGACCGCTGCTGCCCCCATTGAGCGTATCAAGCTCCTGATCCAGAACCAGGTTTGTGAACACCAAATTCTCCAACCGCCCGCCCAACATGGATCGCCAGGAAGAAAAGAAATTTACAGTTCTGCCTTGATTGGTGATCACGATCGATTGTCTGCTGCAGCGTGACAGCCTCGGTCGTGTCACTCGGGGCAGAACATGGAAAAATTTTTTCGGCGTCCGTGCAGAGATCGGCAATAGCACGTCTACCGAATCTGTTGCTAACATGCATTTTCTCAATTAGGATGAGATGCTCAAGGCCGGTCGTCTGAGCCACAAGTACGCTGGTCTCGGTGACTGCTTCAAGCGTACCGCCGCCGAGGAGGGTGTCGTCTCCCTCTGGCGTGGTAACACCGCCAACGTCATCCGTTACTTCCCTACCCAGGCCCTGAACTTCGCTTTCCGCGACACCTACAAGTCCATGTTCGCCTACAAGAAGGACCGTGATGGCTACGCCAAGTGGATGATGGGTAACCTGGCCTCTGGTGGTGCTGCCGGTGCCACTTCCCTCCTCTTCGTCTACTCCCTGGACTACGCTCGTACCCGTCTGGCCAACGACGCTAAGTCCACCAAGGGTGGCGGTGAGCGCCAGTTCAACGGTCTCGTTGACGTCTACCGCAAGACCCTCGCCTCCGACGGTATTGCCGGTCTCTACCGTGGTTTCGGTCCCTCCGTCGTCGGTATCGTCGTCTACCGTGGTCTGTACTTCGGTATGTACGACTCCATCAAGCCCGTCCTCCTGGTCGGTCCCCTTGAGGGCTCCTTCCTCGCCTCCTTCCTGCTCGGCTGGACCGTCACCACCGCTGCCGGTGTTGCCTCCTACCCTCTGGACACCATCCGTCGTCGTATGATGATGACCTCCGGTGAGGCCGTCAAGTACTCTTCCTCCATGGATGCCGCCCGCCAGATCATCGCCAAGGAGGGTACCAAGTCCCTGTTCAAGGGTGCCGGTGCCAACATCCTCCGTGGTGTTGCCGGTGCTGGTGTCCTGTCCATCTACGATCAGGTCCAGCTCATCCTCTTCGGCAAGAAGTTCAAATAAATTATTCGCTCCTAGCGGATAGTTTAGCACTGTAGCTATACTGGGGACGGGGATGAAACCTCGCCCAGTGTAACTGCTGGGCGATGGAAGCCGAGGTTGTGGGAACTGCAAAAGATAGATGCGTCAAGAAATGGGTTCGGGGGGATCTTGAAGCATAGAATGTTGGTTCTTCCCTTTTTGTACCCGATGTACTTTACTGCCTGCAAACTCTTTTTCTTTTCTTCAATTTGTATTTTCTTGACGTATAACTCTCCGTGTAACATGCTTTCGTAATCAACTTGAACACTGCAGCTATCGGACCTTGAACAAGCCCATTTTGAACGAATCTCTAATCCAGCCATCGCTTGGGCCGAGCTGGACAGCTATCATTATGTAGGCATTTCATGCCTGGTCTGAACTTGTCAGTCATCTCCTGGCTCTATTTCTTCCCTTAGTCCTGCTACTTGGCGACATCCGTAGGCAACACTTTATACGAGACACGTTTCACTACAAGAAAACGAATCTTCGACAAAGCATCTCAACCTTTCACCATGCTCTACATCTATATCGATATTGTCGTCTAAAGGTCTTCAGCAAAGCTCCCTGAGTGGCTCCCCCCGAGAAATCCACCAAAGCGGTGACAGCCCCACAGCGGCAGGCGCATGACGTCTGGGGCTGGAGCTCCTTGAAGCTTCTCCCTTCATACAAAATTCTCTCCTTCCAACTCCTCGCCACTCACCATACCCGTCAAAATGTCCGGCATACAAACTTACACTTCAGCGCCTCTCAATTCTAACAAAGAAGAGGGAGGCGAAGACACTCAAGCAACCACCTCGCACCCCGAACCCGCCACCTCGATCGAAGCTTCAACCACTGCAAACACACAGCCCCCCAATACTTCAGCTACAGCTACGGCCCCTGCTTACTCTCCCATATACGCAACTGCCCAGTCTGGTGAATCGTCTGCGCAACCAGGCGCAGCACCAATTCTGCCTGAACCGACAGCAGCACCAGCGGCGCCGAACAATCTGACCGCAACGCCGACATCAACCCTCCCAACTACGAGTACATCCTCTCTATCACCCCCTCCACCACAGCCAGGCGCCACCCCAACACCATCAGCTCCAACTGCGCAATCTTCCGTCCCCCCGCCGCCAAAAGCAGGCGAAGCCGTTTCTCCCGCCATGTTCACGGCACAATCCACCGCACCAGCGCAAGCGCCAGCAACCCCAGCTGCATTCACACAGTCCTACTCGTACCACCGCTCGCCGCCGCATCAGTCAATTCCAAACTCCACCTCCTCTCACTACGGAAACGTCTACAACGCGCCGTCCGGCGGCGGACCTTCTGGACATGGACTCCCGCTTCATGGTAGTAGTGGAGGCGGTGGCGGTGCAGGCGAAATCTTCCCTGATGACGAGCCGGGGTTTATGAGTACGGCTAAGTCATGGATGCAGACTGCTGGGACGAAGTTGGCGGAGGTTGAGGCTGAGGTTTGGAAGCGGATTAATGATGCGCATGGGAAATAAGAGATGATTTTGTTGTTAGAGGGATATCAAGAGGAATGTGGTTCTGTTCAAATGCGTGTGCGTTTTTCATTGGGTTCTTTTGGATTGGCCGGCTTTTGTTGTTTTCGTTCGGGGTGTGGGTTTCGGTTCTGGTTGGATGCAGCTTTGGCTCATGGTTATGGGAGAATAGGACTTTATGAGATTGGCGCTTGGACATGATCCTTTTACCATCCGTATCCAAGGAATTGGAAACATCAAATACCTGGGCACTTAACGTAATCCACTAGCGAGTGAGACACACGGGCCCGTGAGACAGAAAACCAGCTACTATAATTTCAAACCAATTTATTAAACCAACAACGCCATTGATTTCAAATTTCTATCTATTAGACCTATCAGGGCATTGCGTTCTTTTATGCCCTATTTGATGACAGTCGCTGCATCGCGGGGGTGCGCGTGTAATTGGCTGGGAAGCTGACGCAGCTGGTTCCGCCGGGGCAGTATTAGGAGCTTCATGAGCCTGGTTCATCGACTCCCTGGCTTCTTGGCCCGTAAAACCCTCCGTATGAGCTACGCGCTTAGTCGTTCTGTTGCGTTTTCGCTTTTGTGTCTCGTTTTCAGCCCGTAAATCGCGGACTTCCTTTAGAAGGATTGCATTAGAATGCAATGATTGCTGATAGCCCTTGAGGAGCTGATCAATAGCTATATTCGTAGGCGTTGGTGGGCTTTGCGAGCGTTTCTTAAGCAGTGCCTTGATTGACGAGCCCTGTCGATTCAATTGTTTGAGATTTGCCGGCGTTTTAGGGCTCCACGCGCTCGATTGGCTCCCTGGTCGACTACCTGAGGGGGTAGGTGTCTGAAGTTGAACATCAAGCTTTGAAATGACCTGATCGGGATCATATGGTACTAAACCAGCTGCGACGAATGCATTTTGAATAGTCTCTGGTTTAAAGGCCTCTTTGCGAGCTTGTGGGAATGCTGCAAGGAAATCAAGCTTGTCGATATGGTTGACCCCCAACCGTGCTTTGCGCTCAATCAAGCTCCCATACGCGCGCTTTAGGGGGGCAAAACAGCCTATATCCAAAGGCTGTAGTAGATGAGACGAATGCGGAGGCATGCAGATTGGAATAATATCATTTTGCTCGCACAATCGATCAAAACGGGGGGTCAAATGACTGCCATGGCCATCGAGAACTAGTAGTCGATATTTACCCCTAGTACGACTAGTAGTCGCAGGGATAAATAGCTTTTCTAGCCATCGAAGCCCAATTTCGTCTGTAGTCCAGCCATTCTCACTGATTTCGATTCTCCAATTGTCGGGTAGGTCATCAAACCATGCATATTGTTGGTACTTTGACGATTTGAAGATAATGCATGGTGGGAGTATAAAGCCCGTTGAATTCACACATTCAATCGATGTGACCCATTCGCGATTCCCTGGCTGTAGAACTGACCTCCGACCATAGTATTCAGCTCTTGTAATGACTTTCGCAGTGGCTATAAGCCCCATTGCGAAGCCAGTTTCATCAAAATTGTAGATATCCTCAGGTTGGATACCATTCTCATCGATCGTGCGTCGTACAAGGTCGAACCATGGTTTAATAACCCTCGGATCTTCGCATTTTGCCCTCTCATAATTATATCGACGAGAATACCGCGATTTGAGCTCATCATAGCGCTCTGTATATCTGTAAACCCAATTGACTCCAACAGTCTGACTACCACGCTCTGCTAGTAGAATATTGGCCATATCCCTTACCATACAAGGCCGGGGAGCTGATCCACGTGTATCCATAGAGAGTATCCACCGTAGGAGCGATTCCTCTTCAGTTGGAGTCAATTTATAATTGCTGGCGCGGGTTTCCGATCGATGAAGTTTGCCATTGTATCGGCGATGGAGAGTTGCGGTAGGTACTTGAAATCGGCGCGCAGCTTCGCGAATTGATCGAAATTCTTTGTTCCGAAAGGCTTGTATTGCGAGCTGGATCCTACCTTCTTGGTTGATAGAATTTTGAGGATTTTGACTGCGAATTGGGGGCATAGTGGGTAGTTGAAATGAGGAGGTTGACGCGCTGGGGCGCGACCGCGGTTTCTGTCTCACGCGCCCGTGTGTCTCACTTGCTAGTGGATTACGTTAGTTGACTTATCGTATGGAATTGAACTTGCCGGCAGACTGGTATCCATTCATGGACCACACATCTTATCAGAGGGTTTCGTACTTTCACATGCATCCCGTTCAACTCGAATAATTAGAACCTAGATATCTTACTGGAGGGTAGACAACAGAAAATTCTACATGCGTATGCCTCGTGCCTTGATTGAATCTGGAACCCTGGAATCCGGCTGATGTTTGCGGCGTCTTTAGGTTTGCTACATATGATGTGAGCCGTGCGGTGTCGTCTTCCGCTGGTTTCCCGGCGACGTGCGAATGATGATCGACGTAAACTTGAGAAGACCCTTCGGGAATCATGGAAGGAATCGCCTTACGATGGACTTTTAGAGTCGACTCGCATATCTCTGGAGTCAACGAAGTCTGGTAGGATATTATCCCGCCTGAGGCGCTTGGCCTCCCGTTTTAGCTTGATTCTGTAAGATAGCACGAAGACACAGAGCATTCTACCAGGAGTGCGTTGTAATTGACCTTATGATAATATTCTACTCGTCTGTAGATACCACAACAGAGAGTTGCAATAGGGTAACATTGTATCTACCAGTAACTGATGATCATCCCACTCGTCAGTTTCTAGATGCTCGATTTATACTATGGCAGTGACTCTAGTACCTACTTCAACCCCCTGGTACTTACCAGAGGCTTAGGGGACCCTGCATTTAAGCAAAACCCATCAAACTTGAAGGTTAGCCTCCGCCCTCGTGGTGCCGGTGGTCCGTGCAGTCTCCCAGTTCAATTGGATATGCTTATCTACACGAACCATTTGACCCTAATCCATGCCAACATTTACGAACGTACAAAAAACTCATGATTTCAGTGAATCTCTCTCCCATTAGAAAAATGAAAAAAATACATCCAAACAAAATAAAAATCAACGCCCAAAAAAATGTTGACGTCATACCCAAACAACGTACCAAAGCCCAGCAAATCGACACCGCAACCGGCCGGATAAGACCAGGCTGGACCATGCATACTCTTTTCCTATAGGTGAACCAAAAAATACCGGTTTATCAAGCACCAACTGCCTATGCAATCTCAAGAAAAATACCTCCATCCCCTTACACGCGGGCCCCTGAATTTCTCCGTGTAGAAATCCAGTCTCAACCTCACAATAATGAACACCAAACAGAAACAATACCTCCTCCTCGCCTCAAGCATCCTCTTGATCTTCGGTGTTATCCTGTACCTACGACCAGCATCCTACACACTCCCTCGAGAAGAAAGTTCAGCCCGGCCTTTGGATTTCCTTCAATCGACTAAGGCGGAGAATTGGACATGGGATTATAAGCGCGATCGAGATAATTTCCTTCTCACCCGGAGCCAGTGCGATGCTGCGTTTCCGGATTTGTATGCGGAGATCGAGAGGGCAAGAGCGGATCGGTTGAATAACCCGATTACCATTTCTGAGATTGATTCGATTACGCCGAAGAATGGGTATATCCGGGCTATGATTTATGATCAGCAGGTACGTCCATACTGTGTTTCCCTTTTCTCTTTCATGGTTTGTGGTTGAGGTTGTGAGTAGGACTATCATTCGATGCATCGATATCAGAATGACAGTCGAATCAAACCTCACACCTACAACCATATGAATTGACCTCCTCAAGCAAACACTAACAACGCTATCATCAGCTCTACATAATATCAAAACAAGGCTCAATCTGGACTCGCGAACTAGCGACCCTCTCCTCTATAAACCGCGCCCTAACAACCTCGCCCGAACCCCTGCCCAACATTGAATTCGCCTTCAACACAGACGACCGCATCGAAGAAGTCGCACAATGGGGCTACGCCCGCCGCGCACAAGATACCTCCATCTGGCTAATCCCAGATTTCGGATACTGGTCCTGGCCGGAGATAAAAGCTGGCTCGACGAAGGAGATAGCTATGAAGATTGAAGATGACGAAACCACCGCAGGAGAAAAAGGGTGGGCAAAGAAAAAGGGCAAACTCCTCTGGCGCGGTGTCGCGCGCATGGGTCCCGAAATTCGTGACAAATTGTTGCAAGTAACAGCCGGCAAAACCTGGGCAGACGTGAGAGAACTTGGCTGGGGCGATAAAACCTCCATGGCGAACGACTACAAAAGCATGCCGGAACACTGCGGGTACAAATACGTCGCGCAGACGGAGGGGAATTCGTATTCGGGACGACTGAAGTATCTGCAACTTTGTCGGAGTGTGGTTATTTCGCACCGGCTGGATTGGATTCAGCATCATTACCACTTGATGAAGGATAGTGGGTCCGAGCGGAATTTCGTACAGGTTGAGCGAGATTGGCGGGATTTGGAGGAGAAGATGGAGTGGTTACTTAGCCATGATGATGAGGCGGAGAAGATTGCGGAGAATAATGTGCGCACGTTCAGAGAGAGGTATCTTACGCAGGCGGCGGAGACTTGTTATTGGAGGAGGTTGATTTGGGCTTGGAGTGAGGTTGGTGATTTTGAGCCGGAGTTTTATAAGGTTGATGAGAATGGGGAGAGGGTTTGGAGGGGGTTGAGTTTTGAGAGTTTTCTGTTGATGCGGAAGATGGAGTGGCAGACTTAAAAACCTTAAGAGAACCTGTGGATTACTGGATAGAGTTGAGGTTAGATATGGGGTTTGTATATGAATGAATCTGTCAGCCCGCCATGGCATAGTATTTGTCCATCTACGATTGATTTTAAAAAACGTCAAGAAGTACGGTGATAGCCGAAGAGACAGGTCTCATTCACTTGGGTACTAAAAATTTTAAAACAAACTAACTACCTAGGTACCAAGGTAGACTGGCACTAATGTGATACCCAAGAAGCCCAACGACATGATGTATGTATCATCCATCCGCTCGAACTCACAAGAAGCCAGGCCCACACACAAGCCCAGACAACCCGAACGCGAACGAGCAGAGGAAAATCTCCCAGTGGAATCAATTAAGATGACCGAGAGTGAGCAGAACAGGAGGTGATTGCCAGACAAGGACAGAAAAAAAAACGAGCGCCAGTACAGTACAGTCAAGACGACCGACAATCTCGTTTCCCTTCTGAATTGAAAGACTCCCTGTTCTGACCGTGTGATTATCCAGAAAAGGCGAGAAGAAAAACGAAAATGCGGTCCCGAGTGGAGATATTAAAAAAAGTGTAGTGTCGAAAGAGGGTCGTAAAATCCGATGGGTATGGTTGAAGCCCCGGATGTGGAGAAGAAATTGCATGACAAGAAATAAACTCAGAGGGGTATTCAGGGAATCGTCACAGCTCAGTGCAGAGCTGGCGAATGTCGGGGAAAAAAAGGCAAACTCGGAACGTCAAACAGCGGGTTGAGAAGCCAACGGAACTGAGACGATCGAGGAAAGACAAGTCGTATAACGCCGTTGGAATCGAGTCGTAAAGATATTCCAGAACGCCGTTATTTCCCCACCCAGAACAAGTGAAAAAAACCATTGCACAGGTAACATGTTTGCGACCCGTTGGTCTTTTCAGTTGAAGAAAGTCGTGAAAAAAGCGCGAGAAGCACGTCAAGAGCGGTCCGGACCAGCCTTGACGACCTCAGCAGAGGAAAAATCGTGTATCCCAAAAAACCGACCGCGTAAAAACCCGTGAAACAAACGCCGATCATATGTGTGATAAAAAAAAAAAGAGGCTTTACATGGAGCCCAAGCGGAGCAGTGCCTCGACCGCAGCGCGTTCCTGAGTGTCGATATTGCGGGGCGCGCTCGCGTCTAGGGTGGGTCCGAAAACTCCAGCAGGAAGAGCCTTCGCGCGAGCAGCAACGTTGCTGCGAACAAACGGACCGCCACCCCCGTTGTACGAGCGAGCGCGCAGCGCATCCGCACCAATCTGCGCCCAGTCCTCTTCGTCCGTGTCGGTGCCCTCGTCATCATCTTGCATCTCGTCAGGCGCCTCGGAGGAAGAGCAGAACTCGCGTCCATCTTCGCCGTCCAAAGACATCTTGTCGGCCTCGTGCTCGAGCATGTCGAGGTCCTCCGGCATGCCATAGTCCTCAGTGTATGAGAAGGCGGCAGACTCGATACCGGTGGCGCACGAATACCGACGGTCGTTGTTACGGCCCTCGATCTGCAGGCCGCGCTGCGGGAAGGACTCGGCGATGCTGGAAGGTGGCGAAGACATGTTGAGCGAGCGCTCGCGGACAGGCTCGCCCCGTCGTCGCGCGTCCCAGCGTCCCCAGCCAATCTTCTCGAAAATCACGTCGCCGTCCAATCCGCCCGCCTCGCCACCGTTACCTCGACCTTCGAGCGCAGCAACCACCAGACGACGAGCCTTGGCAGGGGGAATGCGCGAGAAACCCGGAACTGAAGTGGTCAAGTGGCCCATGACATGACGGATGGCGAGAGGGCCCTGCGAGAGCAGAATGTCCGGTAGATGATAACGCGCCAGCATGGCAGGCGTAATGGCGCCGGTGCTGTCTAAGTCTAGGGTGGCGGACTGGGGCTGCGCGTGCTCGTGAGTCTGGTTCTGGCTGATGGCATGCTCGACGGCATCCTGCAGATCGATATCTGAGTCCAGCTGGGGCACTGTGGACAAGAGCGAGCCGGGAGAGAGGGCGGCGCGGTGCTTGAAGGCTTGGGGAGGCAGCGTGGGCGAGATGGAGTTGGGTGGCGTCGGAAGCATGGCCGGTTGGCCCAGCCGGGCAGGCGCCTTGCCTGGGATGCTCCGGGGCAGGGGGATATCAACAGAAGCGGTTTGGGTCTTGCCAGCAAGAGCCATCGCGATGCTGGAGGGGGTCTGTGAAGCCATGATGGATGGGAAAGAAAGAAGATGGGATCTTGTCTGTTTGAAGCGCAAGGCCGCGCATATGAGTCAGACGTGTTCCATACAATGAGACCGCGCGCGGCGATTGGATCTGGGCAGAGTGGCGACTGCGACAGATCCGGGGGACAAACAAAGGACGATCTAACTCCAAAGAGATCGCTGGAGGAAACTCACCTCTTCGCAATAAAGAGACCAAGTGTGCGCGCGTGTGTGTGTGAAGAGTTGAAGACAGTAAGGCAGCCTGAGCTGACACGACCGATACGCGACGCTAGGGCCGGAGATTGCGACGCGGCAAGGGGGATCGTCACCACGAGGATGACTGATGGGTGGCTGATGTGGAAGGGGATGAGAAGGTGAAGAGTAAGGAAGAGGGGCAGAATGTGGCCGTAAAGTACCAGCACCTGTGAGTAGGCAGTACCGTGACAGCAGGCACGACCCTCCGAACAGGCAAGTTTGGGACTCCGCAGACGCCGCTCGTGCGGGCGCGTGGGCGGATTGATTGGCGTGGGACCGGGTGCTTCCGGTTCCAGTATACACCAGGTAGGTAGGGTACCTCAGTAATCACTCAAGTAAAGATGGCAAGTACGGGCATTACTGTCGAATGATCACATCGACTCGCAGAGACATAGGGTGCTATAGTAAACCAACACTCTATACCTTGGGTCTACTTCCATACTACACTATTTAACTACCCTTAGTAGAGTACTACATAATCCCTGACGGGAATCGGCTTCCCTCGCATCCCACTGGCACACCCCTCGCCCTAGTGTCCTAGAACGGTTCGAATCCGCGATCGCCCACAGGGCGCAGCCCTAAGCGGCGATGTATGCGCATCCACTTGGCCTGAGAGCCGATACTTGGGGTAGCATGTACTGAGTGAGTACCTTATGGTACTTACCCTGGCTAGGGTACTTTCTCTAGAGAAAAGTACTCGACTGATAAGGCGCCCTCCCGGCACGTGGTGTCTTGTCCAGTCAGCATCGCCCATCCGCCCATCTGCTCTCCCCTTCCTCCGTTTTTGTCCCCCAGGGCAAGCCCGCGGTTCTCGCTAACTTTTCAATTTCTCACAGAATCCCACACAAATTGAAGTCTCCATGATTTCTCACGCCCCCCTCGTGCCCCTCTTCGCGCTCCCGGCTGGCCATCGCTCCCCCCACCGCGTTAAGCCAGTGGGACCGCACTGACGTCAAGCCGACTCCCAAGGTCTGGGGCCTGAGGTACAGGCTCTACTGTACAGTAAATCTACCTCGGGACACTGCACGTCCCCAGCGCTACTGTATGTACTCTACATTAGAGTACCTAGGTACAGTAGTGCTGAGGGGTACAGGACTGTACAATCGGAGGTACGGGGGACTCTTACCCGACGCGTGTCGAATCGTGCCTGGCAGCATTGGCGACTGCAGGTTTGTCAGCCACGGGGCATGCGGCCAGAGTGGCACATTCTATTCGACTGCCCTGTGCGAACACTGGATGTACACACAGTGTTGTAGCGGGCACGGGTATCTCGACCGTGCGCGATTTGGGTTGCCCGGTGGACCGAAAGCCTCCGAGGGAATGCCGGGCGCCCCAAGCGGGTTTTCTATTATTGGGCATCCATCCCACATGAAACCCCTCGCACGCTGTACTACACCCTCTTTCGGATCCCTCGGACAGCGATCACAGTCTGCCAGCGATCACGGCATTACAATAACGCTGCTGGCGCCGTAATGACGCATTCGTGATCCGATCTCGGATTCGCGATAGTACTGTAGAGTAGTGTTGGGATGTGGGGGTTAGCGTCTCGCTATCTGTGCCCTACTCTCCATAGTACAAAATAACGCGCCTAGTCCGAATGTGATTAAACCCACACGGCCGCGGGCCTAACTGCTTAGCAGTGCCAGGTCAGTGCCTTGCTTTTTCTCTATTTGCACCTGTTATCGAAAACCAACGGTCCACGTCGGGCCAATTTGCGTTCCGCCTGAGGCGTTTCGCATTGATGCCAAGATTGAACTTGAACTGTCTGGTGCGTTGAGCCCCGCAATCACCTACTAGCACACTACACAGAGGCCGGTGATACTTGGGTGCCCGTGATAAGGAGGGGTATATTCGGTCTCCACAGACCTGAGGGATTTCTGATCGTGGACTGCTTAAGGAATTGGCAGGTCTGGATTGTGGATTCGTGGCTGTCTTGTTGAGCCCTAAGGGCAGATTGAGATTTTGTAGAATTTGATTGAAGGGATTGATGTGAGTGGGATTTACTGGGATTTTACTGAGGTATTGAATTGAAATTTGTGTATGAATTGCGTGAATGAAGAGAAATGAAATTCAGTAATTCATGTTACTTTCTATCTACTTTTGTTGAACAGCTCGAGCTGCATGAGTCCTTGCCATATGTTCTCACCGAGAAAAAGCAAATCGATCGTACAATGCGCAATTGTGTCGAAGACAACTGGCAGTTTATCAAAAGCAAAAACCAATTGTAACACCAAAGTAAACACTTTGAACCCTAATCCTCACACATAAAGAATCACCATCGACAGTACGACCCCTCCCAACCACCCCTCAACCACCCCTCAATCCCCCAGCCTTCAACAAAAAGGAAAAACAAAACCCTGAACCACCTCACCACCAACCGAAATCCGACAGGACACAGCCCGATAACTCCTAGTTTCATATTCCGCCAATCTCGCCGCATCCGCCTCACTCACCACCTCATACACAGACCTCTCTACTCGTCCCCCGCACGGCTCCAGGACAGCGGGGTACTACCCCATAATTTGCACTCGAACCCTTCGATGGATGCGGGTCGGAGGATTGGTTTGGTTTCTAGGCCCAGAATCTCGGAGAGCATCCGTGGGTCTTGTAGCGTCCCGTAGAAGAAATAGGGGTTCCTGGCGTTGGGACTGGTGGTGGTGGTACTTGAACAAAGATATTGCCGAGTATTGCGTACACCAGGCAGTATCGCACTTGGATAGTGTCTACCCGAGTGGTGTCCACGAGAAGCGAGAGGAATGGAGGTATTTTCTGCCTCATGTGCTCTATTTGATCGGGAGTGAAGAGCTCCATCCTATTCAATTAAAGCAAGCCGGTCTTGTTCTGTTCACCATCAGTCTGGAGGCCTGCGAAGACGTACTAGGGCCAGACCATCCCATCACGCTCGGGCCCGTCAAAGATCTCGGATTCGTTCTCGATCAACTGGGCAGGTACCAAGAGGCCGAAGCCAACATCGACGGGCTGTAGAAGGCAAAGAGATGACTCTGGGACTAGAGAATTCTTCAATCATTGCTAGTATTAATTACCTTGCGATGGCACAGGAGAATCAATGGAAATTCGAAGAGGCCGAAGTAACCTATCGGCGAGCAATCGCGGCTGCAGAAAAGGCTCCAGAGAACGTCGAGAGTTTTGCATCAGCGAGCACTGAAAGCCAGTGAAAAGAATCTAGGTCCAGAGCACCCTGACGCCCTTAAGTACTACCAACAACCTCGTTCTGTTGCTTGAAAGACAGGGTAAACTTGAAGAGGATGAAGCAATGAGTCGGCGAGCACTGGAAGACACTGGAAACGTTATAGAGTCCGAGCACCCTCATACTCTCACCAGCCTTGATAATGTTGGCCTCGTCCTTGGAGACAAGGGATAGCACAAAGGAGGCAGAAGTATGCCATTGGCGAGTACTAGAGGACCGCAAGAAAGCTCTAGGGCCTGAGCGCCCTTTAACTCTCGACAATCTTAACAATCTTGGCTCGGCGCTTGAAGCCCAAGACAAGTACAAAAAGGCTTGAGGCTTTGTATCGACAAAACGTGGAAAGCAAAGAGAAATCACTTGAACCAGAGAACCCTTGTACTCTTAACAGCCTCAGTAATCTTGGTCTCATCTTTGGCAAAAAGGGGCGAGCATAGAGAGGGTGAAGCACGCAATCAGCTAGTACTAGAAGGCCGCGAGAAAGTTGCTTGCAAGACAAGGCCCAGTTTGACGAAGCCGAAGCTATGCTTCAACGAGAAACAGTCGGCACAGTGAAGTTTCTTGGACTAGAGCATCCAAACACTATCGCTAGCATATGCGATCTTCATATTTTGCGGGAAAAGTATTGAGAGGGCTCGAAATGCGTGAGTTGTAACGGATGAATACCCGGGAGGAGTTGGCGAACGGAGTGTTGATATCAGACCATTCGAATTAAATTGTAATGTTTTTGTTTTGTCAATAATAGCAAAAACCCAAGAGAATTTCTCCCTGGTAAATGCCATGAGCCCCAAACAACCTGTGATAACTTTGTTGAAGAACCCAAGATTTACATTCTGGCCTATCGACTAATTGGAAGGGAATCGATGCATACTTGGTGTAGTACTCTATCTTCAGCTCGCACTTACACTCCGGGTAAATTACTTTTGTCTCATGATTCGTGGTGGACAAATACAAGATTCCCTCAAGCTGATCAGTTACATCTCTACATTTGTGCGGGGAATCGCGCCAGACACAGCTCTTCAAAACAAAGAACGCCATTATCATCACCGGCTGAAACAAATAGACATGCCCGGGATAAATTCACCGAAAGCCAGAATCTTGAATAAGCTTGATCTGATCTCAACTTTAGCCTTTCGCCTTAATTCGATCGGATGAATGGAGCCCCCGCTTCAGATCGATGCATGTCTGGGGCACGTATTTTTCCGGCGCGGGGTTCCCGTGGCTAAATTGGTATATGAGAAATATACCCAGGAATTGTTTTCATAAATGGGAGTGAAATATGCTACTGAGCGTAGGATTTGTATTGCAATGCGTTCTCGACTTTAGCTCGATGTTGAAAAAGATTTGTCTTGCGGCATCCCTGGCTGCTATCGCAGGTGCGGTGGTTAGTCCGCATATGCTGGATTCGGATATTTCGATTCTTATTCATAATGACCTGCAAGGTAATCACTTGAGAGCTTGTGGGTTCATTAACGAAAAGAAACACCACTAACTTCAAATCTAGAAAAAGAAAGCCCCTGGGCTGGATCAGGAATCCTGGTTCTGGATGCAATGTCTTTACAGGAAGCGAACAAGAGCTGTGAAAGCCTTGGCGAGGCCATTTGGTCAGTGGATGCTGGTTATTCAGCCATTGAATACAATTTGGACTATATCAGCTTCCAAGGGAAATTTTTAGCAGGTTCCAGTCAACGATACTGGATTGCCCCTGTCCACGGCACACCGTCGACTATTGATGCCAATGGCCGAGTCAAAAAAGCTTCCCCCAAAGAACCTCTACCAGTTCTCTGCACCCAAAATGCTCCATATTCGTCGACTAGCTCTCAAGATACGAGCCCGAAATGGCAGGTATCCGTCCATTCGAACAACGAGCAAATCACTGGGTTCGTTAAGCCACTTCATTGTTGACCAGCTTGCTGACACAAGCCAGATATCGCGATCGCCTGAGTTTCCGCTTCCTCGGGATTCGATACGCAAGTCTAACAAAGAGATGGACATATTCGAAATTGTACGAAGGGGCCGGTCCTAACGTCTCGGCCTTGAATCTTGGATCGACATGTCTAGGAGCCTCGACTGGGTCGTCGGAAGACTGCTTCTTTCTCAACGTCTGGACACCATACCTTCCAAACCCAAAAAAATTATCCAAGAAGGATCTAAAGCCAGTTATGTTCTGGATCCACGGTGGCGCATTTACAGGCGGATCAGGTGGCGACTCTCTCTTCGATGGGAGCAATCTTGCATCGAGAGGTGACGTCGTGGTAGTCACCATAAACTACCGTCTAGGTACACTTGGCTTCCTAGCCCTGGATGATGGGGAAACGAACGGAAATTATGGACTCGCAGATCAAATTACCGCGCTGGAGTGGGTGCGACGAAATATCCAGGACTTTGGCGGCGACCCTGATCGGATTACTATCTTCGGTCAGTCGGCTGGTGCTGGATCGGTAAGGGCGCTGTTGGCTTCTCCCCGGGCTCGAGGCAAATTTGCCAGTGCTATTATGCAGAGCAACCTAGGTGGATTAGGTTATGGGACGACATACTCGAAGTATTACACCATTGAGGAGGAAATGGAGGCCGCAGGAAAGAATGTACTGGCATTGACGAATTGCACGGATGCTGAGTCGCGAGTTGAATGCCTACGAGCAGTGCCTGCGAAGACAGTCTCAGATCTGGATACAACCGCGAGATATCTCGTTGTCGATGGAAAGTATCTGACATCGTCGGAATTGGACTTGACGAACAGCGCCGAGACTGCAAATGTGCCTCTTATGGTCGGGACCACTCGAGATGACGGTGCGGCATTAATCGGATACCCTACAGCTGGCGAGACGATACAGAAATTCTTGAATGAATCCGGTATGCCGTCGATTGCCCCAAGCTCCATTTTCCCAGTCCCATCTACGTCAAACAGAACACTCGACATCTTCAACGCAACAGCTCGAGTCGCGACCGACGGCATTTTCCGCTGCATCGACCAGGTTACCGCATACGACGGCTTCAAAAATAAGATATTTCCAGAAATATTCTACTACGAGTTCAATCGGACATACCAGACACCCGGCTGGTCTCCGAACTCACCAGTATGCGAGGCGCCAATCACCCCAGACTACCCGCACGGCGATCCGAACCAGGAATACTTCAAATGTCACTCCGGTGACCTATATTACGTTTTCGGGAATTTGCTACGTGATGGAATTCCTATGCGCGATGAACTTGATTTGCCATTTGAGCAGTACGTGGTGGATTTGTGGTCTAGCTTTTCTCGGACCGGACGGCCGACGCCTGATTTGGGGTTCCTCAAGGCGAGGGGGTACGTGAATACCACGCGACAAGTTGAAGTGGCGGGACAGTGGAAGCCTTTCAGACATGGGGAATATCGAATGCATCTGCTGCAATCTTCTTCGAAAATGGTGGATTTGGGTGAACGAGAGCAATGTGAGGCTCTGAAGCTGCCTTTGTCGTACTATAGCGCTTAGTCTTGTACATGAATACACCTCCAGTTGCTTTTAGATTACCAAAAAAAGCAGAGTTCTTCATATACTCTTAAATTTAAATACTGATTATCTCAAAGTTCTCGAATGACTGTCGTACCCTACCTTGGGGTAGTATACTTCGGCACCCTCACGTAATCCCACATCCGATCTTATCGCTTCCGAAGACGATCCCCGGGCCGGACTTCGGATAAACGTTGCGGGGTCTACTTTTGCAGCACAATGTCCCTTATCCGCCTCAAATGTGAGCCGACGGCCGATGCGCGGCTATGGTCTCCCGACGGAGCAATCCCGATGTTCGTCATATATAGACCGATGAGGTCGTCCTCACGCCCATCTTCGAAGTTCAATTCCAATCCGCGTCGTTCTCCCCGAGAGTCGCCACTGCCGATCCATCCATACTTTCCGCGCAAGTTTAATATCGGCGCAGACGCAAGCAGTCAGGTATCGACTGTTCGAGTGAAATTTTATAGCTGCAAGTTGCAAATACTGGTGAAGCATCAGTGTCCAGACGATTTGAGTCTGATATAGAGAAAATGGCAAGCAACGGTCAATCTAACGATGCGCCGTACTCGCCCGTTCTCGAGACGAGTCGGATTTTCTCCAATCTGTGCGAACAGGCTGAGCGTCTGAGTCTGCCTTCCGAGGTGCTCGCCAACAAGGACCGCGTGGCATTCTCTTCCAGTCACAATGAAATTTACTTCCCTATTCCGTTCAAAGAGACCGAGACTCTGGCCGCCTTGAAGGGTATCGAGGGCTCGGTTGCGGCTGCATTGGCGGATCTGCGCTTCGGACGCGGTGCGCAACCCCGTGGTGTCCAGGTTAGCCTGGAGGGCGCGACAGCTTTCGGATGCCAGGCGTATATGGCCAAGGTGGATGGACTGTCGAAACTGGATCCGAATGTGAAGTCTAAACTGAAAGGTGAGTGCGCGAGCTCTGTACAAAAATGGATGAAATTCTGACTTTGCAGATACGGATCTTTTGGCTGCGCAGTCCAATGGATACCGTCGCATGTCGGCTAATTTGTACAAGACCAAGAATCCGGGTGAATATTACCATATTCACGGTTCTTTGGAGGCTACTACGACGCTGAACATGATTGGATTGGAGGGTCATCGTCCTGATCTGACAGAATATGAGGATGTTATCAAGGTTATTGAGAGCCATGTGCAGAAGTACACCGTGGCAGAGCTGGAGGAGATGAACAAGGAACGACGACAGGCTGGTGTGCCTGCTCTAAAGCATGAAGACTTCATCAAGACTCCTCACGTATGCTACTCAGACTCCTGAGACGATGGAACAAAGCAAGCTAACACAGTCTCAGGGAAAGCTGAACGTCCAAGAACCCGCATGGAAGGTCACCCAGCTCCCAGGCAACGTACCCCCAACTCCATTCCCCGCCAACCGCACCGGCAGCACCAAAATCCTCGAAGGCGTCAAAGTCCTAGAATTGTGCCGCATTATCGCAGGCCCAACCGTCGCGCGCATCCTGGCCGAGTACGGCGCCGACGTCCTGAAAGTGACTAGCCCAAACCTGTCTGACGTCCCTTTCTTCCAGGTCGACGGCAACATGGGCAAGCACGCCGCAGACCTAGACCTGAAGACCGAGGCCGGACGACAGGAATTCGAGAAACTGCTCGATGAAGTAGACGTCATCGTCGACGGATACCGCCCCGGTGCTCTGGAGAAACTCGGATACGGCCCTCAGGCTATGGCTGCTCTCGCTGAAAAGCGTGGTAAGGGTATTGTCTACGTGAACGAGAACTGCTTCGGATACGAGGGCGAATGGGCTGGACGTGCCGGATGGCAGCAGATCGCCGACTGTGTAAGCTATATCTTTCCTCACAATCTGTCTCTTTCTAACAATTAATTAGGTCACGGGCATTGCCTGGGCCCAAGGACAATTCATGGGTCTAAGCAACCCCGTTGTCCCCCCATTTCCCATCTCCGACTACGGCACAGGCTGCATGGGCGCCATCGCCGCCCTATCAGGCCTCTACCACCGAGCCAAAACAGGCGGTTCCTATCACGGCAAGGCCTCACTGATGCACTACGACCTCCTCCTCTTCGCGGTAGGCCAATACTCTGTTGAAGTCCAGGAGCAGCTGCGTGCGGCGCAGCCAGCCGAGTTCTTTAAGCTTCGTCATTGCGATAGCGTGGATCGAATCTCGTCGACCGTTCTCAAGGGCATGCAGGCTCGTTTCCCGCATCTTTATGCACCTGCTGGCGTGGGCTCTGGGGAGGGTCGCCCTGCTTTGACGGAAAAGTGGTTCTCCAAAGCTTATAATGCTGATGTTGAGGTTGTGCGGCCTGTGGCTGTTGTTGAGGGGGTGGATAATAAGTTTGTTCGGGCCAGTCGGCCTAATGGGATAGACAAGGCTACTTGGGAGGATTTTAAGGTTGACGGGTTGGGTGAGGGGGACGTGAGGAAGTGCTGAATATCTCCTTTGGAGATGATGTTTATGAATCGGTTTATAAGATGATTGCATTGTACATAATTTGCATCTTATGAGCTTGACAAGTTCCATTCAATACTAACATTTGTAAGGGACCCACTCTATTGAGTCCCGAAGCAAGGACTATAAACATCCGAGCCCCGAATTATCTTGGCTAGATCCATAAAATAGCGGATATCAGTGGGTGAGTCGGCTGCTGCGCCGTCGGAAAACGCAGAGCGTTGGAATGCAATTCAGAAGAAAAAAAAGTAAATATGATGATCTCAAGTCTCTTCCTACTCAAAGGAATATTCCCACGAAATCCCGAAAATAAAACTCGGGGAATCAAGAAACAATACCGTCCCCCGCCGCGCAAGAAGAGAGCGCCTCGATAAGATCGGATACGGCACCGCGGCGTCGGACCGACGGTTAAGTTTCCCTCATGATGAGATAACCATCCATCAGAGAGCACAACACACCAGCTCCGATTCCCCATATATTCTCTTCAACTATCCCCTCACTCTCACTATCTCATTGCGCTCACCAATCACAAAAAATGTCATACAGCATCGCCTACGACACCGCCCGCGCACCACCCCGCGGCGCGGCCCTCGTCGCATTCATGGAAGACTTCTACTGCACCAGCGACAACGAGTCCTTGCACGAGAAGTACGTGCAGAGCTTTACTGAAGATGCTACCCTGATCATGGGTCCGAAGGAGGCGAAGGGTGTCAGTGGTAAGTGCAATATAATATTTTCATCCGAGCGCAGCAAGATCGTTGCGCTTGGAGCTTGGAGAATAGATCGAATCTCCCCAGATGAGAATTGTATTTGATCTAACGCACTTATCCAGAAATCCTCCCCCTGCGTCACGGCCTCTGGGCGCACGTTGCGTCGCGGAAACACACGCCTGAGCGGATCTTCTTTGGCGGCGAGAATGAGATCATGCTTTACGGTGGTGTGAACTACAGGCTGAAGGCGGATCCTGAGAAGGATGTCTATGTGCCGTGGGCTGGACGGGTTGTTTTTGCGCCGCAGAAGGAAGGCGAGGGTGTGAAGATGCAATTTTATCAGGTTTATCTGGTATGTTTATGACTTTCACCTTATGAGTTCCATTGGAATACTTACGAAGGTTCGGTTCACTTATTTGTTTAGGATCCCTCTGCTCAGTCTGGAAAGAAATAAGCGGGAACGCTGTATATAGAATCAATGAATGTATTTGATGTCCAGAGCCTTGTGTCGCATACCGGTGTGTAAGAATGCATCCTACAACAGGGCATACGAGAATATGGATGTCAAGTATCAAACCTAAACCTGACTTGATGCCACGATCACTGCCTACTTGAAACTATAGCCATTGGCCACTACAACACTACACCCGGCCAGAGGAAATTGAACTTTTTAAGTGTTTAGACATGCTCTTTATTTCCAGGAGACCGCGAGAGAAAACAGGAAACAAGACGCCTTGGGTTTGGTCATGTCAAAGAGGCGAGGGAGATCAGAAATGTAAAGGAAAAAGAGCAACCCTGTCTCGTCCCTCTCTCTCGCTCTCGCTCTCACGATAGGAAAAGGCCTCCTCATGCAAAAACCTCCAACTTTCTCGCCGCTAGCCCCATCTGGTCGTCATGGGAGTATAACAGGTGCAACAAAATAGAAGAACAAACGTTAAAAATCGCCGGGACCGAGCTCCGAATTTTTTGGTTGATGAATCATTTCATTTCCCACCTGCCTGCTAGTTCTGTTCCTTTTTTTTGTTTGGGGTATAACTAGAGGCATTGGTCAAAACGACCCCCCGAAACAATTAAGCCCTTGCGAAAACGTTTACTCCTCATCCGACTCCTCATCCTCGTCGACGGTGGTCTTGGCGATACGGTCAAGATCACGCTGGCCAGACTGAGTGATGCGGCGGCCACCCTTGTCCTCATCGGTCTCGAGGACACCGATCTTCTCGAGGGACTGCATGACCTTGCGGTCGACGGAGCCGGAGGCATCGACGTGGTGGGCGGGGCGGGCACCGCGGTTCTTGGTAGAGCCGTGGACCTTGCGGAGGCGGCCAACACCGACGGTCTTGCGCATGTAGATGTGGCGGGCGACGGCGGCGGCGCGGACGTAGTACCTTTAATTTGTATGTCAGTTGAGTTGTTCTGTCGTTTGACGTTGAATTTGTGGTCATGGTCGTACCAGTCAGCATCCTGGGGAGGAAGCTCGTTGGAGGCGGAGGTCTTGACAGTGTCAACCCAGCCGGGGATGGGGAGCTTGCCCTGACGCTTCAGGAAAGCAGAGTAGGCAGCAATGAACTTCTGCGCCTGTAGGAGAGAAAAGTGATTAGCATTCTGATGCTCGGAGTGCCGATTGTGCGTGGTCGGATCAGCGTGCGCAATTTTGCAGATGTCGGGTTCCGGTATTCTCGCAGAGAAATCCACCTCTTGATCCGAATGCAATTTTCATCCTGGCTTGTTCCCATGGCCCTATCCCAGCTAGTCTTTGGGAATTCAATGAGAAGACCGCAAAATCACCCCTCAAGACAAAGTTTGCAATCCAACCCATCGACTCAATCCTCGGACAGCAGAACCTAGCCAAATCCCATACCTGCAGCAGATGCAGCAAAGCCCCCCAATATAATCCTCCCAGATGCATTCGAGAACACCAGAACCCTCCCAGCTGCATCGCACGCACGCCGACTCCGACCCGGTGGGATCGGGGGATTGACGATAATCATCAGGTCCCTCCCAGATTTGGGCGTAGAATCGAAGGACACTTACGTCCACATCGCGAACGGAAACACCACCCATTTTGGCGACTTGTCGAGGGGTCGGAAAGGGCGAAGGGGATGAGAGTTGGCGGAAGTCGTGGGCAGGGTCGAAGTCGAAGAGTCCAAAATTTCGAGACACACAAACTCGTCCCGTTGGGCTGCGCTGGGTCTGTGTGCCGTGGGTTCGCTTAGCCTGTTCAGGCTAGCCGTACCCTAAGCGGTCATGTGATGTTGTCAGTGGTGCCTTAGTGCCTGACAGTCTAAGGTCTTGGCACTCGAGATTCACACCTGAGTACTCAGGCAGAACTTTAATCTTCCCTGCCTCAGCTGATGAATACAAAGCTTTCCTGAGTGTTCATTTGGTCTTAATTCTCAATGCTGCATCTACAAACATATGATTGAACGAGTAAATGGTAATCACAGAAGAAGTATCACACGAGCCTACGACTCGTGAGGTTTATTATCGTAATAACGAATCTATCGCTGCAAGTAAACAATCGTGTCTCATAATCCGAAAGGAGTAATAAAAGAAGTTGAAGTGAAGAAACCCATCGCCCGTTCCGAACCAGCCCAACCGCATCTAAGAAAAACGCCACTAGAACCCCTCCCAAAAAGTAAAAAGAAGATCATACTACAGAGTAGGAGCCCGCTTCAGCCCCACACAATACCTCACGAAGAGAGTATCAATGAAGTGACCATGTCGAATACCCGGTGGTCGGCACCGGTTGAACTCGTCAATCGCATCCTGAACACCATATCCGAGTCGCTCGATGAGGTAGCAGACGATCAAGAAGCCTGTGCGGTTGTACCCATAGTGACAATGGACACCGACGAGCGGGCGGGTTGCATGCTCGTTCTTCTCGTCTTCGCGAGTGGCTTCTAGTTGATGGATCTCTTCGCGGAGACCGTCGACCAGAGCGATGAAGTCGCGAGTCTCGTCGGGAGTCGGAGGGATCTTGGAGACGGTTGGTTGTTTGCGGTAGTGGATGCCGCCTGCTTCCAGCGTCTCGGGGTTGTAGACTGGGCTCTCGTGACTGATGTCGATCACAGCGTAGATGCTGCCTTTGTATTGCGCGGAGAACCGAACGGGGTTATGTTCTTCGTCGACCTCACGGAGCATCTTCAATGCGGCAAGGGTGCCGGCGATCGGCTTGGAGACGGGGGCTACCTTCTGCCATTTAGCCAGATTCTTCACGTCCCATTTGCCGGATGTGTTCATGTGTTGGAGTTGCCATCCCAGACCCAGCCGCTTGTCGATGTTTGACGAGAGGAAGTCTTGGATAATTCCGGCAAGCGTGCGGTAGGTTGCTCGGTCGTAGAGGAGGGCGTGGGAAGCCGGCGCTGGCAGGATGGCAGACTTAACCACTCGCTTCAACTGTCCATTACCTTGTTCCAGCGGCTTTTCCGTCTCGGTGGTCTGAAGACCATAGACTTCTTCATGGGCACGGCCGTTTATCGGAGCGGTCATCTGATCATGGACACGCGAAGCATCGGGGATAATGCTGCTGCCAGTTGTGTCGATTGCGGTATGAGCCGAAGTGTCGCCAAAAATATGCAGAAGCTTCTGTACCTCAGCAGGCTTGGTCACTGCGTCGGCCTCACCTGCAATTAACAGGACGGGCATACGGACACCAGCCCAAATTTTCTCCCCCGGCATACCTCCAACAGCTCCCCCGGTCTCGTAAGAAGGGAGTGTACCCCATGCCATGCGACGCCAGACCGGCGTACGACTCTGCTTATTGAAGCGCACTTGGAGATCTCGAGTCTCCAGATCAGCATCGTTACCAACCATTCTCATCACGCTGGCACTCTGCGTGCCACCACGGCGGTCCCAAAGACGCCACAGGTCGAAGATCGGACCAGGGATATGCAGCAGACGACGGAAAGATGCGACATCATCAGCTGAAGGGGGCGTTGCCCGGGGACACACCGCGACAAGACCAATTATATGCTCTTTCAAACTGTTCCCAACGGATGACGCAGAAGAAGCTATCAGAGCCGATAGAGAGCAGCCCAAGCTGTGACCGATCAAAACCACATCCTGTCCAGCTTCGCGATCCCGGTGTCGCTCGATAGCCACGACGAGAAGTTCAGCCAGTGCCTCAACGGTGTAAGCCTCCCATTCGGTGGGCGCAAATTTGGACAAGCCACAACCGGGCAAATCAATACCAAGACAGGTCCCAATGTTGGACAGACTGGTGAGCAGATGGTGGAATTGCGCGAGAGATCCGCCAAGACCGTGCACGACAACCAGTAGCGGAACGGGTGAAGGCTTTGTCGGGAGGCGGCTTAGGTGAGGATGCGGGGAGTAGAAGGTCCGAATAGCAGGATAGGTCGCCACGGAGGTAGTGTATGAGGCGAAGGAGGTAAACTTCTTCAAAAGACCAGGATCTGTTTTGACAGCTTTGGTGGGGGTTAGAAAGGGTGTTGCGACAGCTTGCGCCTGGATTGAAATTCTCTTACCGTCCGAGCCTTGCTGCTGAGGTTCCACCGACCACTCCGTGGCCTTGGTGTGGTTAGGGTCAGTGCCATGTCGCAGCGAGCCATTGCTATCGTAATCGTCGTCTTCGTAGTCGTCATCGGACGAGGTAAGAGTCTTGGTAGATTTGGTCGACTTGGTGGAGGAAGCGTTGCGCGCCTTGGACGATCGAGTCTTCAGCGACCATCTGCGTCGAACAAATGAGGAGATGAGACCGCAGGCGGCCATGGTGATCACGCAGGTAGTCAGAAACACGACCTGGCCCCAGTTCACTGAGTCATTGCGGTAGAGGGAGGAGAAGTAGTTTGCGACGGAGATGTAAGGAGGGCGTTGGGCCGCGACGAGCTGCCACAAGGCCGCGATGCCTGGGCGATTGGAAGAATCGGAGAGGGCGGAAATCGTGGAGGAGCCATCGGCATTGGACCCCATGGCGGAGCTTTATGTATGGGAGCTGCCCCCGGTGGTAGGAAGGGATCTGGGCCCTGCCGGGGGCGGCTGTTCACAAACCGTGGAGCGATGGGCGCACGCGAGTGCACACGGAGACCTCCTTGGATTTCGGTGACTGGATCCCAAACAATAGCGACGCCAATGGGAGGCGCACGATCGACAACGTTGAAGACGCAGAAAAAGAAAGCGCAGGACTCGGCCCGTCGCCGCCAGTCGGTTGGCCACTCACAGCCGCGGGTGCTTCAGCGTGGGGAGGTGACTCCCTTACCTAAGAAGGCTCCACCCGTGCACATGACGAAATGGTGGTTTTCTAGAAGGATGGCGAGTGGAGCCAGCACTCTTCGAAAGTGGGAGCTCTCGCCTTGAAGTGTCGGTCTGAAGAAAGGAGATCTATCATCTAGGGGTTGTTTGCTTTTGTTTGCTCATAGTGTTGTCAGGAAGGTCCATCGCAGGGATCATCAGGGGCGTACAACTCATCCAAGCTATCGGAACAAACATTAAAAGTTCTCTGCCATGCCTCACGAGCACGGCAGCCACCACGTGGTTATATATCTCTGCTATACTCCGGAAAAAAGTACCCTAAAGGAGCATCTGCAATATCATTGCAGCTATTCAAATAGCAGACCAGACTACAGCTGTACACTCACATAGAATAATGAATCTACTGGTCCTCGGTATATCATCAAGGCACACATGTGCAGAGTTCACTCCGCCACAACGCGGCAACCAAATACCGCAAAGTCGGGGCAGTGCCCTGCGCCCGAATCATAAAACCACAAAACCACTACACTCAAGTATATAGACGAAACCACCCCTGGCAGTTCCTGACACAACTTTATGTGATCATACAGTCTACGGATAAACCGCAAAAAAAGTACCTCCGAGGATCCCCCTACCACGTCGCCCGCGCCCGGAATCGTAAACCCTCAAGGTCGAACCCACCGCGCCCGGAGGAACACTCAAGCACTAGGGCTGGCACTAGCGCTGATACCAACGCTTCGAATCTGAACACAAGTACTCGAAGTCACCATCAAGAGTCGAGTAATACTAGCTAGAAAGTGAGTCAATGCTTCACTTTGTTCTCTTTTCGGACTAATTGTAAGTCTGAGACTAACTGTGTTTCACTTAGCTCAATAATGAGTGGTGAGTTCGAGAAATAAATCAATTCCAATTAACCTCGGGATGATCTGGATAAGGTGCAGCTGACACGGGGATGATTCCTAGCTTCTCGCGAGACCTATGCTCCCAGACAGGATAACTCGGTCTATGATCACCCGCCGCCGTATTCTGAGTCCCCAATGCAGGGTGCTGCTTCATCACAGACGAACCAACCGGGATCTGTGAGTCGGTAGCAACAGCTTTTCAAATTCACTTGTATTCTACTATTTGTACGATAGCAAATATATACCCACACCACAGTCAGAATCTGCTGCAAAACCTAGCACCATAGATATAAAATTCTCTTGAAGTGCAACTAAAACAAATCCGTCATAGCCCCATGCGACGCATCCCCAACCAAATGAGCATACTTCGCCAACACACCCCTAGTGATCTGCGGCACAGGCCGCGTCCACCGTCTCCTCCGCTCCGCCAACTCCTCATCCGAAACATCCATTGACAGCGAATTCGTCTCCGCATCAATAGTAATAACATCCCCATCCTGCACAAGCCCAATCGGACCACCAACAGCCGCCTCTGGCGTGATATGTCCAACAATAAACCCATGACTAGCACCCGAGTACCGACCATCCGTAATAAGCGCAATATTATTCAACTTGGCGCCCATAAGTGCCGCGCTCGCCTTCAGCTGCTCCGGCATCCCGGGCCCACCCTTCGGACCCTCGTACCGAACGATCAGGACGAGGTTCTCGCCGCGCGGGATCCGGCCTTCGGTGAGGGCGTCGTTAAGTTGGCGCTCTTTGTTGAAGACGCGCGCTTTGCCCGTGAAGCGGAGGCCTTCTTTGCCGGTAATTTTGGCGACTGCGCCGCCGGGGGCGAGGTTGCCGCGGAGGATTTGGAGGTGGCCGGTTGCCTTGATGGGGTTGTCGAGAGGGCGGATGAGGGTTTGTTCGGTTGGGAGGGAGGGCCAGGATTCTACGTTCTCGCGAAGGGTCTTGCCTGTTACGGTTGGGATGTCGCCGTCCAGAAGGCCCGCGGCGATGAGCAGTTTCTGCACGGAGGGGATGCCACCGATCTCGTATAAGTCGGCCATGTAGTATTTTCCGCTCGGCGAGAGGTTCGCGATGAAAGGAATTTTGTTGCTGACGCGTTGGAAGTCGTCGAGGGTTAGGTCAACGCCTGCTGTGCGGGCCATGGCGAGGAAATGGAGGACGCCGTTCGTACTGCCGCCCAGTGCCATGGTCATGACCAAGGCATTCTCGAAGGAGCGCTGAGTTAGGAGGTCGCGCGGGCGGATGTTCTTCTCCAGGCAGGTTTTGATGGCGTCTCCGGCGCGCACGCACTCGCGCATCTTGGATGGGGATTCTGCGGGCGTGGAAGACGAGCCGGGTAGAGATAGACCCATGGACTCGATGGCTGTGGCCATTGTGTTTGCGGTGAACATGCCACCGCATGCACCAGCGCCGGGGCAAGCGTGTCGCTCGAGATCATCCATAATCTCGTCTTTCGTCTTGCTGGTGTCGCCGCCATCGTCCGGCTGGCGAAGTGTATCGTAGGCGTAAGCACCGGCTGCCTCGAAGCAGGTGGAGATGTTGACGGGTTTCCGGAGGTGATTGGAGTAGCCGATGTTAATGGTGCCACCGTAAATCATAATCGAAGGACGGTTGTGACGGGCCATACCCATCACCACACCGGGCATGTTCTTGTCGCAGCCGGGAATGGCAATACAGGCATCGTGGTACTGAGCGCAGGTGACCGTCTCCACGCTGTCGGCAATGATCTCACGCGTCTGCAGCGAGAACCTCATACCTTTTTACGACAAAGTCAGTTTATCAAGAACCTTGCCAACATATGGTATAATGAATATCCTCCGGCGAAGCAAAACATACCTTCGCTGCCCATCGTAATGGCATCCGAGACGCCAATGGTGTTGTACTGCCACCCAATCATGCCCTTATCCGACACAGACTTCTTGACCGTCTTGCCCAGATCCATCAGATGCATGTTACACGGGTTCCCCTCCCACCAAACAGAGGCAATGCCCACATGGGGACTCTTTGCCATGGATTCCTTATCTGGGACACCGGCGGCGAACAGCATCGCCTAGCGGAGGTCAGCATTGACCATAGACAAGAAATTGGGTAGTTTCTTACCCGTGCACCGGGAAAATCATGGCCTCGCGTGATGGTCGACGAGTGCCGGTTGAGTGCGGGGGATCCATCTGGGTGTTTGGCGTCAGCCGGGAGACTGGGGAAGTCGATGTACTTGGCTTCGGCCAGCGTGCTGGTCGTTATGGGCTGAGCGGGATCCATGGCTGATAGGAAGTGCAGGATGTAGAGAGGAATGAGCAGAAACCCCGAAGCTGGGGGCTAGGGATAATTAGAGGGTTGTGAACTCGCAGGGAAATCCGAGGTGGGACCGCGCGGGGCGGCGACCAGTAAACGCGGGTGCATTGCTCAGATCGGAGTTGCGCCTATTTCTCGGTAATGCGGGGACACAGTCAGATCGACGGAGAGAAGTATAGACTGGCGGCCAACACGGAGATCGTGAGTGCAATGGAGTCGATAGACGCTATGCAGCGTTTGAATTCCAAGAAATTGGGTTTCGTCGGAAAAAGCAGTCAGCCTTGACGACGTCATCGAGTCCGGGACAGCGCGGATTTATTTTGTTCGTTGAATTCCCCTTAATTCTGCCAATTCCCACGATACTTCCCTAATTTCTCAATAAGCAAGCCCCTGTTCAAAATACAGCCATATACCGATATATTTGCATCCAATTGGCCAAAATGCCCTATGACATTATCATCGCCCAGCTCATTGGCACCCTGGGCTGTGGAGTCACAGCCGGCAAGCAAGACCCAGCCTGAATTGCTGATTACTGGTAGTATATCAGACTAATTGTAGTGCACAGGGGGTATAATGTGTCTATCAACGGTAGCCATACCGACACTATCACTGCCAGCTCGCCATCCACCCTCGGCCACGGCCCACGAGCACCACGTTCCCGCAACCCCTGTGGCCCATCTCAGCCACCAATGGCTTGACGTCTACGAGCGTGGAAAGAGCATCTTCCCTCCAATTGCTCTAGTGGCATCCGCGGCCAATGCGTATTTGGCATGGAAACTGCGAGACGCCCCGGTTCCCTACACGCTGGGCTGTAGCTGGAGCTCTCTCTATGCGACGGCGATCGTGACCACACTGGGAATCATCCCATGGACAATGACCGCGATGAAAGGCACCAATGGCCAATTGAGAGCGCACGCTGTCAGAGATGATGCTGCGATTGCGGAGGGGAATTGGGAAAAGGGCTGTTAGTGCACAGGAGAAAGCGAATCGGGCGAAGCAGGATGCACAGGTGCCAGAACTGTTGCAGACGTGGGGACAGCTGAATCTTTGTCGGGCTGTTTTCCCGTTGATTGGAGCGGTGATCAGTTTCACTGGTGTAGTTTATATGCATTGAATGTGAAGGTAGAGTAGAATGTGTAATATGATGATTTGATATGTACAGGGCAGAATTCCAAACTGAAGGTGGGTATCGTAGGGAATCTAATATCCGGGTTGCAGTGGACCGCGGAGTGGTCGTATAAACACTGCGAAGAACCGGCAAATTCAGTATATCGCAGGCGTATATGCAGGTGCAATCATGAGTGGTTCTGAGGCGAGGCAGCTTCTTCCTCGGGGTGTTCGTGTTCCGCGGGTTCCTTTTCCTCGGTCGACCATTCACTCGAGTGCTGAAGAGCTTCATCCGCAGTGATCTCTTCCAGCGGGCTCGACTTGCCAACAGCGTTGTCACCAATGGAGTCTGCCTCCTGCGATCCGTCGCGTGGCTCTTCGTCCATGGCAAATCCAACGATCTTTCCGGTACCGGGCTGTGAGCGAGCCTCCTCCAGGACATCGCCGTTCCAGGGCTGGCATTTCTTGACAACCTCACCGCAACGGAGACAGACCCAGCCCTGGCCTTCCTCGCCCTCGACCTTTTGGACGAGGCAAACAAAGCAATACACACATCCACAAGGGAAAGCTTCGTAGGGGTTGGTGATATCTGTCTGTGAAGATCCAGTGATACCGCCGGTCGACGCCGATGCGGCAAGGACTTCCGTTTCGGTGGTTGCCGCAGGGTTCTGATCGCGGTAGCAGATAGCGCAAGTCCGCTCGGGAAGGTGGCTGAGCTCTCCCTGCTTCTCGTTGACTTCTTCATCATCTCCACTAGACTTGATCGCAGTCACAGTCTTCCTCCAGGCACGAGCTATCCATCGCTTCCAGCGGCTGATTCCCACGAGCGGGAGTAAGAAAAGGAGGAATTCGGTAAACGCGTGCCAGACCAGCTGTCGATTCAGGTACTCGAAGGAGACCTCTCGACTGGCCTGGGCGGATGGAGGTGCAAGGCGGATACGGAGGATGCGGTCGACCAGAGTTCGGTAGCGGCCGTTCACCAAGAACACGAGAAACGAGACAAAGGCCGCAATCGAGTGTGACGTGGAGATAAAATCCGTCAAGCGCGACAGCATGCGGACTTCTTGCGATGGCTGGGGTGGAAGTTAGTTGAGAAATAAACCAATCAGGTCAGAATTACAAACCTCTTCATAGCCGCCTTCTTGCCCGATGAGCCAGCTCTCCCACTTGTCCCAGGCGTAGCGTCCACCAACGGTCAACAGGCCGTAAATTGATTTCTGCCATTTCGATGGCGGCGATAGCACCGGGCCATTAGCGCGGCTATCGCTATATTGGAGGCCTTGCAGAGCTGCACCGTAAGAGGCATTGTGATCCCAGATCGAGAGTTTGAAGAGGATAGCTCGGAGCGCAAATAGGATTTCATGTGACCAGTCTTCCCGCATTTGAGACTGTTTAACAATTAGCAACCATTAGCCTAAAAAATCAAAGAGAATGGCCATGCATACCCCGAAGTATTTAAGAGCTTCTCCAACCTGGCCCTTCAGCAGGCCCAGCAATTCCTCATCCAAGAGCTCGGCATCCACCTGGCCAACTCGAAACGCGGGCCGTGTCCCATCTCGACCTTTGACACTATTCCACAGCGACCAGCCAGCACCGGGGATGCGGTTCAGAGGATAGGGTAGACGTTGGACGGTAGCAGGGTTGATCGGGGAAGCCCGCTGTTGTTCCGCACGTCGGGCGCGTGCTTCCGCCTCGCGTAAACGACGGCGTTCGAGCACCCGCTCCTGTGCAGCGGCGAAGTTTGTCGAGCTCATCGCGAAATCATATTGCGGCTCCGCGAAGTGGAAGGGAATGGAGGGGGTATAGGAGGTTGGTCGACGGGAACCATGGCATTTCGGTTCCCCGGACTTGGGAGCCGAGGTTAGCTTCACGTGACTTCACCACTGACAACTAGCCACCAGACCAGACAGTGATCGGGTATTAAAGTCTTGGCATTTGGTTTTCACCTCTACCTATTCAAGTAGAAGTCTTCCGCCTCCACTGTTTGTACTAGCTTTGTAAGTTCCGACAACATAGAATAGGAGCCAGAATACAACATTCCTACTAAATTATATTAGATGTTACCAAGAGCTTTGGAACAGTTTCTCCACTTCACCGCCGATATCTGATGTTTGCACCGCTATGATACACTGAAGATTCATTCAAGTACAAAAGAAAATTGGATTATCGAAACACCAACCGAGGACCTATTGACCATGCTCTTTTTGATAATAAAGAGACCGACGAAGCCAATCAAGACTCTCTTGTGTATGATGATGCGTTGCACCAAGTGTCACCTCTCGACCTTCAAAAGCCTTGCGAAACATCACCACAGCCTTCGCATACTCTTTGTGATAATAAAGAGCTCGACCTAGATAGTCAAGAGAGGCGAGCGTATGTATGTGGGTCTCACCGAGGACCGCCCCTTGACCCTCAGCAGCCCAGCGAAAAGTCGTCACGGCTTGACCATAATCTTCGTACCAATAGAGAGCCCGACCAAGCCAGTGGGCGGTTTCGAGTGTAACCGTATGGTTTCTACCAAGACGTAATTCTTGGCTCTTGTGGACTCGGCGGAAACACAAGACAGCCTCAGCGTAATTTTCGTTCCAATACTGTGACCGACCAAGCCAGAACAGAGACTCGATTGTCTGCTCATTGGATGGACCAAGAGACTGTTCCCAATATTTGAAAACACGTCGACAAACTCCCACAGCTTGACTGTAATCTTCGTGCCAGTAGAGAGCTCTACCGAGCCAAAGCAGTGTGTCGAGGGTTTGCTGATGGGATGCTCCCAGGACTTTTTCCTGTCCTTCGTATACATGGCGAAGGGTTGACACAGCTTCATCGTAGTTCTCATGACAGTACAGAGACCGACCAAGCCACCCAAGGGATGTAAGAGTATCTGGATGAGATGCACCAAGACTTTTGGTGCGAGCATCAATGGTCCAACGGAAAGCGGCCTCGGCTTTGCTGTACTGTTTGCCATCATAAAGAGATCGGCCAAGCCACTCTAGAGCTGTAAGAGTGTCCTCGTGGGATCCACCAAGAGATTTCGTTCTTCCCTCAAAAGCCTGACGGAAGAAAGCCTCGGCTTGAGCATAATTGCCCTGCTCGTATTCGGCTTTACCCATCTCATGAGCAGCTGTAAGTGGGTCTTTGTTGTTACTCACAGGCTTCGAATCTTGCTTGGGGTTTTGGCGCATTTTCGAAGACACGGGCTGATGCTCCCTGCTCTTTTTAGAGCCGATCAGTACATGACTCCTGCTCGTCGCAGTTGAATGCACTGGCTCAGATAGAATAGAAGGCATCTTCTTGGCCGTACTTTGATTATTTTCAGACTGGATGGGTCTCGAAGTGTCTCGCAACCCTGCAGCCTGACCCTGCCGTCGTTTCATCCACCCACTATTGAGAGTTTCGCGAGCAGACAATCTCAACTCAGCGTCTGCTTTCATCGTATCCAATATAAATTTGCGAGCGTCCTCGCTGATCTGCACGCGGGTCGAGGTAGGAAACGGAAACGGTCCCCCATTGACGTATTTCGGTAGCCCATGTGGACTTTTCAACGTAAATGGGAAGTCGTGGAAAAGCATATAGAATACCATCACGCCGAGAGACCATATGTCGACTTTGGCACTGTAATGGAACATCGCACTTGTCTCTTCCACTCCAGGTGGGTAGAGCATCTGTATTTCTGGCGCGAGGTATAGACGTGTGCCCACCATTGATTGGAGGCTGCTATCTTCCTTGATGCGTTTGCTGAAACCAAAGTCGCCGATTTTGACCCACCACTGGGGGCTTCTCCGGACCACGAAGACATTCTGCCTGACTTAGCTCAATTGATTCTGTTCGATCGGGATAAAACGTTGACTATCTAACCTCTGGTTTGAGATCACGATGCACGAAGTCATTTTCGTGTAGATGCTCCAATCCCTCTGCAACCTGGAATGTAACCTCCCGAGCCTCATTCTCAGGAAAAGGCCCTTCCAAATAAGAGCCCAGATCGCCGTGTCGGATATACTCCATAACTATGAACACAGAATCCTCATTCTCATACCAGCCGAAGTACTCTACAAAAAGGCCATGATACTATCAGACACTCGTCAGCAGAGGAACTATAAACGGATAGTAGAAACAAACCTTCTGCTGCGAAAACTTCGCAATAGCCTCCAACTCCTTGAGAAAGTTGATACCTGTAAAAGACAGGCTCTTCTTGCTAATCGCCTTCACAGCCTGAACCTGCACCTCATCTTTGCTCGTCAGGCATCTATGCAACCGGACACTTCCATATGATCCGTTTCCGATTGACTTCTCTTCTTTCCAGACATCGACCTTTTCCTGCCGCCTCATGTATGAGTCTGGGGCTGTGCTGGAATGGACGGTGAAGCGGTAGACGAGATTGGAGTTGAACTCCACGCGGAATTTTGTGTCGGTTACTAGGTCTGTCGGGGTTGAAGGCATGCTTGGAAAAATTAATGGGATTTTCAGGATCCAGGTCAATAGTACTCGACTGATATTCTTATGCGCGCGCTCTGTGCGGGGTTCACGTTCTGCAAGCGCCCGATCTGCGGGTGGAGAGGCAAGTATGGGGGCCAGCGGTTACGGCCCCATCATGTCGTACGTAAGTGTGTCATGATATTTTTAGTAGCCTCTTGTGCAGTGTGGAGAGCAGTAGGCTGTGGAATAGTATCTGCCGGGCGGTTATCAAAGCAACGGTCGCCTCAAATGCCCGCCAACCCGTCCTTCCGCTGACACAATTCCACTCTTCGCACTGTGCACATCTGGAGTTAGATTCAGGAAATTACCGAAACTTGACTGCTGAGCTTATTTACCTTGTGAAGGAAGTATAAAAATTACAAGTTCCGATTGTGATCGATAGAAAAATGCTGTATGGGAATTGCAGCTTTCAAAATAACTTCTAAGAAGATCCGAGATCGCAGAGCTGGACATAACACTAAGAAGTCCTTTTTTGCATGATTTTCTGACCTGCGGCATACCGTCGGCGCTTAAGAGTTTGCAATGATTAGTATATTTGTATTTAGAAAAATTGAGAATTGTGTGTTTCCGCATACCAGATCAATTGTCCGCAAAAGACTTGAGTTTACGACAGGCTGACGGAAAGGAGAAGATTCAAAGTGATGTAATACAACTGCCACTACCCGTCGAGGTTGACATTTGTATATTTATTAAAGATTACATTTGTGAACTTTAAAGGGTTCTTGCTCTCACGGTGATACCTATCAACTAGTCATATGCACTTTTAGTAGTAGAGTAGTAACCTAAGTAAACAGTGGATTAACAGTCAGCTGTCTGCCGGCTCAGTGAGCGCAGCAGAGGGGATTAGTACTCTAAAAACCGCCCTATAGGGTCGCTAGCGTAGAAAATCATCGATGATGAGCGGCTCAGAATGGGGGATGAGGGCGTCACGTGCAGGGGTTAAGCATTGGGGGTGGTCTGGGTGCCCCCGGCAGACCAAGGTCCAACCAGCCAATCAGCAGCTCCGGACAGGGTGCGTGATTGTATAGATCGCGGTCATTGCTACACACAGCGGCGCACCTCCGGAGAGTACGCAGGCTACCGCGGGTTCACCCGTGAGCTCTGAAGCTGGCAGAAAAGGCAGGCGCGACGGTGAGCTGTGAGCGAAGCCAGTTCTCTGGCGATCTACCTTAACTGTTTGTATTCCCTTCTTTACCTCTCTTACCGCACTCACCCCTCTCCATCCCCGCGACATACCACAACATCAACTGATCTATTAATCAATCATCACGATGAAGGTTGCTGTCGTAACCATCCTGGCTGGAGCCGTTCTGGCCTCGGCTGAGGTGGCTACAACTTCATTGCCTCCTCTAAAGGAGATCCACGCGGCTGCGGCCACAACCCTGCCCGAGTCGCCCACCTCGGACGTCAAGGGTCTGGCCTTCGACCGGTTCTACCAGATCTGGATTGAGAATATCGTGAGTGGCCTTCTAACGCGACGGATGTTTTGATGCCCTGTACTGACTGTGATTACAGGACTACAATGATTCCGAGGCGGACACCAACCAGCAGTGGCTCGCCTCGCAGGGTATTCTCCTGTACATGAACTCAACACCCCGCATCACATTCTGAGATTTGACATTGACAGCAATACAGAACCAACTTCTGGGCACTCACTCACCCCTCTGAGCCCAACTATTGCGCTTCGGTCGGTGGCGACACCTTCGGTATGGACAATGACAACTTCAACCAGATTCCTGAGAACGTGTCCTCAATTGTTGATCTGCTCGACACCCGTGGTATCTCGTGGGGCGAATACCAGGAGCACCTGCCGTACCCTGGCTACCAGGGCTTCAACTTTTCTGACCAGGAGACTTATGCCCCTGACTACGTCCGCAAGCACAACCCACTGGTTCTTTTCAACTCGGTTGTCAGCAACGATACCAAGGCCCGCCAGATGAAGAACTTCACCTCGTTCGATGATGATCTAAAGAACAAAAAACTTCCCCAGTGGGCCTTTATCACCCCCAACATGACCAACGATGCTCACGACACCAACATCACGTTTGCCTCCAAGTGGGAACGTCCGTTGGTTGAGAAGCTACTGAAAAACGACTACTTCATGAAGGATACTTTGCTTTTGCTGACTTACGACGAGGACAAGACGTGAGTGCTTCCCCAATCCCCGAAGATAGACACTGAACATACCGAGACTGACATTTTGGAAGGTACATTCACAAGGACGGAAACCGCATCTTCTCGATCCTCGTTGGGGGCGCTGTCCCCGAGCACCTCAAGGGCACCAAGGACAACACATTTTACACTCACTACTCGATGATCGCGTCCGTGAGCGCCAACTGGAAGCTCCCGAGTCTGGGTCGCTGGGACTGCGGTGCCAACCTGCTCGAATTGGTTGCTAACAAGACTGGCTACGTCAACTACGACGTTGACACTTCTAACTTGCTTCTGAACGAGACCTATCCCGGCCCCATGGCGGACGGCGAGCATGCCAAGTTCTCGCCCGACTGGCCTGTGCCCCTAACCACCGGCAACTGCTCTGCTGGTCACGGTATTCTGGACATCGTGAAGAAGACCTACGCTGGCAAGACTGCCACTTACAACTACACCAGCCCCTACCCCTGGGACGCCAAGGCTGGGTACAACAACAAGGTGACTGCCACGCGTAAGGCTGCTAATTCGACCGGAACTTCGACTACTGACGGCGACTCCAAGAAGAATGTGGGTGTTCCCGCCCACGTCCCCTTCTCTACCATTCTTATCGGCTTGGTGCTGGGTGTCCCTTCCTGGTTCATCTAAGTCAAGTGAATCCGATGACAACGCCCTGTCTACGGCATGGGTGTCTGCTCCCCCGGTGAAATGACGCTAGTTAGGTGATCATGGTTTCTTTCAATTTACTGGCTGCATGCACGGCGGTATGCGACTTCCATTTCTCGGCACAACGGTCTACGGGGCGGTAAGTTTGATTTTCAGTTATGCTTCAATATCCTTAACAGTAGCAACGGTATTCAACAGAATAAACGATTTTGCCATCCGCACTCTCAATGGATTCAAAAACAGTAAAATTTTCATTCTTAGATAATCGCAGTAACTCAACCAACCGACCCGATCAGAAGAAACCCAACCCCTGCCCAGCAGCCTTAATCAAAATACTCTTGGTCTGAACAAAGTTATCAATACTATACAACAGCCCCTCCCTTCCGGTCCCACTCATCTTATACCCACCAAAAGCCGCATCCTTAGCATTAGTAGGACTGGTGCAATTAACGCCAACAGTACCAGCCTCCAAGGCGCGGGAGAGCCTCACCGCGCGATCAAGATCGCGCGTGAAAACAGACGCATAGAGTCCAAACTCGGTATCATTCGCCTTGCGAATAGCCTCCTCTTCCGTCTTGAACGTATTAATTGCAACAACAGGCCCAAAAATCTCCTCACGCATCACGCGCGAATCATCAGGCAAATTCTCGAAAATAGTCGGCTTAATAAAGAACCCCTCATTCGCATCACCGCCCACAGTGAGCGAGCCATCCTTCGCGCCAATGCCCAAGTACTCCTGGATACGCTTATACTGCAGGACGTCGATCTGGGGCCCCTGTACGGTGGCCGGATCGAGGGGATCACCGAGCTGGAATTGAGAGAATTGTGCCTTGAATACGTGCATGAATTTTTCGGCAATGCTTTCTTGGACGTAGATTCGGGAGTTTGCGATGCAGACTTGGCCGCTGTTGAAGCGGATGCTGAATTGCGTTGCTGCGGCTGCGGCTTCAAGGTCCGCGTCTTCGAAGATTACGGCGGGTGATTTTCCGCCAAGTTCCATATGGACGTGCTTCATGTTGGACTTTGCGGCGGCTGCTTGGATCTTTTGGCCTGTTAGTGAGGAGCCGGTGAAGCTGATGCACCGGACGGTCATGTGTGACGCTAGTGCTGCGCCGGTTGGGTTGCCGTAGCCGGCGATGATGTTGACGACGCCTGGTGGGAAGCCGGCTTTTTCGATGAGTTTAGCGGCGAAGATGGACTGTCAACATTAGCAGGGAAAACATCGATATCTTTGTGATATACATACCGTCAAAGGAGCCTTCTCACTACTCTTCAGCACTACCGTATTCCCGGCCGCAAGTGCAGCAGCCATCTTCATCGAGAACATCATAAGCGGGAAATTCCAAGGAATAATCAGCGCCGCAACGCCATACGGTTCCTTAACAGTCATGCTCAGGATGCCGGGGGTATTGGAGCTAGCCGTGCCCTGCACGGCCCAAGCTCCGTCCGCGAAATATCTCCACGATTCCGCGGACAGTTTGGCATCGATGTATTGGGAGATGGGTCGGCCGGTGCAGAGCGTTTCGAGACGGGCGAGGTCGTCATTGTGTTCTAGGAAGAGGTCGGCGACTTTGCGGAGGAGGGCGCCGCGGCCGTCGACGCCAAGATCTCGCCAGGCTGGGAAAGCAGCGTGCGCGGCTGCGACTGCGTCGTCGACGTCTTGGACGTCGGCTTCGTGGACTGCGGTTGTTAGTATTGTGATGGGTGCGGTTTCGGGGTTGGGTCAGGTTTACCGTGGGCGACGACTTCTTTGGTGTAAGGGTAGACGACGTCGAAGGTTTTCTTGCTTGAAGATTCACGCCACTATCATAGGGAGGGAGGTTAGCTTGTCTGGTTGTTGGATGTCGAGCGAGGAGTTATACCTCGCCGTTGATAAACAGCCGTGTCTCGATAGGCTCGGATCCCTTTGCGGCCATTTTGATGTAGATGTTCTGATTGCAGGAAAGTAATTCAAGGACACAAAGATTGAAGAAATTAAAATCAAAAAAGTTTGCACGAAGGACCAGGCTGGCTTAAATACAGCATCAGACAGCCGCCTCAGAGCTCAAACACGACCCTCCGTGCGAGCCAATAAAGCAGCACAATCGAGCCCGCAGACATCTGAACTGAGACTACTAGTACAACCTCGGTAGCAGTAACAGGCCGCAGGATGCAGATTCCCCTCTTTTCCTTAGTCTAGACCATCAGTCCGGCAACCGGAGACGCTATCTCCGGGTCATCAAGGTGTTATTGCGACTGCTTTCGGATCCTCAGGGAAGCTTACTATTCTACCCTGCCTGAATCCAGCAACTGATTGTCCAGTCACGCCATTTTCTGCAGCGACAATGGGTCTATTGGGTAGGCCATATGGCGGCGGGGTTAAGTCTCGGCGTCGTGGCGGTTGCAGGTGGGGGCCGATTTGACAGCTGGGCGGGGTTGGACGCCTTCTTGGAGCTTCCTCGTATGCTTACGACTGGAGATTGTGGTGGAAGGCCTGATGAATGAGTTAGGGAATTCCCCTAAAACTCTTATTAGGTTTAGGCAGTCCAGAATTCCGTTGTTGGTGGAGGTCTAGAGGATGTGGTGTTGTCGAACGTACATGGGAACTTGAAGCCTCGGCAGCTAGTCGAGTTAGTGTTGCAAGGACCTTCAGACGTACATGGCCGAGAGCTTGACAACGCAACGAATAATCATTATGCACATGCCAAGCTACCCTAACACAATACATTACCATTTAGTAGATATTCCAGCAAGAATGAAGCAGGTGTTATGCAGGTATCATAGCCTTAAAATTCACGCAGCATAGTCGTACATATCGTCAAGAACGTATAATACATATTTACTCCGCAACACCCCGACGCTTAAAGTCCTGCAAATTGGGGACGTCCTGGTCACCCGGACGGATATCGGACTCGGCCTTGAGGCTATCCTCGGGGCCACCCTTGCCCTTGAAGTGCTCGCCCTTGGGGAGTCTAGTGCAGGAGAAAAGTGTAAGCCATGTGCTAAAAGAGTGAGGGGGGTCTGATGGTATAAGCTTACCTGCCACGGTCATCACGAGTGCCACCCTCATCCTCGGGGATCACGCGGTGGTCACTGCCAGAGGCAGTTGAGCCAGGGCCGTACTTGACGCCGCGGGACTCGGGGAAGCGCTGGTCGACCATCTCGTTGACGCCGGACTCATTGACTATGTCATTGTTAGTTTTCTTTAGGATTCTTTAGTGTATCTGACAACAGTGTGAACGAACCGGAGTCACTCTTGGGGCCGAGACCCTGCTTGGCCTGGTAGGAGTTGAGGTCGTTCTCGCACTCGTAGGCGACGCGGCGGTTGTGCTCGAAACGGGAAGTCATATTGGCGGATAGAAAGTGAACGATGAGGAGAGAAAAGGAGGATGGTTATTGATCGATAAAATGCAAAGAATTGTCTACAGAAGGAAAGCTAACGGTCTGCCCTGCCTGAATAAATACCCCAGAGACAGACATTGGGTTACAGGTTCAAATGCTTTGCATCATCAAGATACATCATAGGCATGTCACCTTCGTCCAATCGAAGCCGGTAAAGGAAAGCTGGGACATGCGACCAGATCCAAGAATCTTGATCGCTCAAAGGTTGGCAGTTGGCAGCTATGATGTACACTCGGTGCCACCAGGAAAGATCAACGATCGCGGATGCGGCCCAGGACCTTTGAATATGTTTTCGCTTGCCGCTCAATTGTCTCGAACCTCCTTCAAGCAGACCAATGCTGGTAACTGCTGGTCCAAATTAGCATGGAGGATCTTACGACGATCAATACTCACGAACCATGCCGTCAAGCATGGGAGAGGCTGGACCCTGACGATTGGAGTGACTTCATCGGATCCACCAGGAAAGCCCTATGTCTTGGCATCCCAATTAGGCCATGAGCTAGGGTCCAGACCTAGGGCTCCGTGGCTCCCCGGAAGAACGAAACACCGGCGGTCAGCGAGGAGGGGAGCAGAAGTGAAGTGGAGGGCAGCGAGGCTTTGTTGACAGCCCGCGCGCGACTCCAACTTCGTCTCCGCACTCGTTTCTTTCCTCGAATCGACACTGCAAACATCCATCGATTCATTCAAATCGTTACTGGCAAACCCTCTCGAAAACTACCCCTCTACCCGTCGGCAGTCTCTCGTCACCATGGCTATGGTCGAGGTGCCCGGGGAGGTCAACCCGTTGACCTTTGAGAATATTGTGAGCGCTCTGGTGATGGCCGCAAGTTCCAATCTGCAGCAGGTCAAGGAAGGGACCAAGCAGCTGCAGAATTGGGAGCGGATGCCTACATACCACGCCTTTCTCCAGGTCAGTTCGATTTAAATCTCTGCGAATTACTTTGAATGGAACTGACGTTTGATGCTGCAGGATGCTTTCCTCGACCAATCTGCCCCTCATGCGGTTCGATACCTTTCGATCATCCAGCTGAAGAATGGCATTGACAAGTACTGGCGGCGCACGGCTACGAAGTACGTTGAGAAATGAAGTCGTGATTTCAAGATCCAGGCTAACTGGTGACAGCGCCATCGAACCGACCGAAAAGAACAAGATCAAGACCAGGGCTCTGATGGCTGGTTCCGTTGAACCTTCTCGGCCACTTGCAGTTCAAAATGCTTTGTTGATTGCCAAGATCATGCGCTTCGAGTTCCCACAAGATTGGTATTTCATTTCCACCTCGATCTCGCGAGTACAGGCTAACACTGTCTTTTTTTTTGCAGGCCGGAGGCCATGACCGATATCCTCCAAGCAATCCGACGCGGATCCGACCCGAATGTGGATCCAATCGTGCTTCCTCGATCCCTCCTCACCCTGCTCCAAGTGATCAAAGAGCTCTCAACGGCCCGGATTCAACGAACCCGCACTCACCTCCAGGCTGTTACACCGGAAATCTTCGAAGTCGTGGCAACCGTTTACATGGAAAAGGTCACCCAGTGGCCTATGACCATTGAAAACACCCTTGCCAGCAATACATGGAATCAATTGGATGAGGGAGCGTTGGTCCAAGCTATCGAACAAACTCTTTTCGCGCTCAAGGTTATTCGCCGCCTTCTCATCTCTGGCTTCGAACACCCCGGTCGCGACGAGAGTGTGCGGGGACTCTGGTCACAGACAGAGCAGCACTTGCTCCAATTCTTCGCATATGCCGAGAACAATGGTGTCCCTGAATCTGTCCGCACGTTGATCGCGAAGCATGCTCTGCAGTTGTCAAAGCTGCACCTGGAGATGGCAAGGGACAAGCCCGCTAGTTTCGTATCATTCGAGAACTCCCTGTCGCTCGTCAAGACATACTGGGGCTTTGTTTCCCAATTTAGCCATCGCTATGCCGATATGAGGGAAGATGACGAGGAACTGTCCGAGAAGATCGCTCTCCGAGGCTTGCTTATGCTCAGGGCATGCACGAAAATGGCATTCCATCCCATCCACACCTTCAAGTACCAGACCCCGCAGGATAAGCAGGAGAAGAAGGATGCTGTTGAGTACATCAAGAGTAGCTTGTTTTCTCAGGAGTTTGTCGTCGAAGTGATGGAACTGATCGTCACTCGATTCTTCCGTCTACGGAAGTGTGACTTCGAGGATTGGGAAGGTAACCCCGAGGATTGGGAAAAGCATGAGGTCGATGCGGATGCCTGGGAATACTCCATCCATTCTTGCTCACACAAGCTCTTCCTTGATCTTATCACCCACTTCAAGGACTGGCTGGTCGCTCCAGTGCTGAGCACGTTCCAAAATTTTGCCGGTGAGTTTTCTGTTTGCGCTCGGATGAAGAGACAGCGCGAGAGGAAAATGATGGAGGAAGCCCTAACAATTATCTCTAGCCACCGAAAACAAGGACGTCATGCTGAAAGACTCCCTGTACTCTGCTATCGGTCTGGCGGCAGCATGTCTTGAACAGCATCTGGACATCAACACATTCTTGCAGAATACTCTGATCCCCGAAGTTCAAATTCAGGAGCAGGAGTACAGAATTCTCCGTCGACGCATCGCTATTGTGCTCGGTCAATGGGTGCCCATCAAGTTTGCGGACATGAACATGGAGTCAGTTTATCAGGTATTCCAGCATTTGCTTAACAATCAGGATTCCTTGAATGACCTGGTGGTTCGCATCACTGCCGGCCGACAACTCTGCAACGTCCTCGATGCTTTCGATTTCGATGTTGAGATATTCTTGCCGTTCGCCCAGCCAATTTTGACCGGCCTCATGTCTCTCTTGCAGGAGATTGAGTCCGCGGATACGAAAATGGCAATGCTCGAGTCGGTGCGAACGATTGTTGTGAAGGTTGAGCAGCGTGTAAGTCTTTCCTTGGTCTCTTTTCCTAGTGAGCTAGAGAACCTAATATGTCTTCTAGGTTGTCATACTTTCGGACCAGATCATTTCGCCGCTTCCGCAGGTGTGGGAAAACTCTGGAGATGAGCATTTGCTAAAGCAGGCTATTCTCAACCTCCTCACGTCGCTCATGCACTCGATGAACCAAGACTCCGTTCGATACCACTCAATGATTCTGCCGCTTATTCAGAGCTCCATTGATATGAACTCGGTAAGTACTCCCAGAGCGTATAAATGATCATCTGCAGGCTTCATGAGTATTTGCTTGATCACTTGCCCGCGCAATCTCTGACTCTGTAATTTCAGGATACCTACATCTACCTCTTGGATGAAGCTCTTGAACTGTGGGCAGGCGTCCTCATGCAAACACCTTCGCCCGCTTCACCCGAGATCCTGTCTCTTCTGCCCTCCTTGCTTCCGATCCTGGAGGAAGAAACGGACACCGTCGTCCAAGCTCTCGAAATCCTTGAATCCTACATCCTGCTTGCTCCCCAGGCAATTCTCAGCGATGAGCTTCGCCCAAAGCTCCTTCGCACATTGGAGCCTCTCCTCGAGAGCCTGACCATGCAACGCTGCGGACTCATCCCTCGTATCGTCGAGAAACTTATTCGCGGTGTTGAAGCCATCGACGGCGGAAGCGAGGCCGCCTACAATACCATGACCCAATCCCTTCTCGAAACCAACATTCTCCAATCTCTCCTGAAGGGCCTCTACAGCGCCTACGAGGCCAGTCAAACGACTGGACCCAACAGGAAGAGAACCACTGTCGACGGCAAAGTCGAAACAGACTACTTCTCGGCCATCGCACGCCTCGCCCTCGCAAACCCCACCCTCTTCGCGCACGCCGTGACGGCCGCAACCAACCAATCCCAGGAAGAGGCCTTCACCTGGCTTCTAAAGGAATGGTTCTTCCACTACGATACTATCGCCATGGCCAGCCAGAAGAAACTGCACGTCCTCGCTCTCACCCAACTCCTCGCCCTGCAAGGCCCCAACGCGGCCCCACCCGCCTTCATACTCAAGTTCCTGCAGGACTATCTCACCATCTGGACCGCGCTGATCATCGAACTGGCCGAAGGCGGAAACGACCCCAACGCCGATTATCTGGTTTACTGGGATGCGCCCCTGGATCGGAGACGGCGCAGCCCGTGAACGCTGGCGTCGATCATGCGCAGGCCCGCCGTCGTCGTGAGTGGGAGGATAGCGATACGATGTATCGCTTCCCTATTCGTGACTTTGTCCGTCACCGTTTGCAGGAGGTTATTGTTGCTTGTGGTGGGGCGCAGCGGTTCCAGGAGGACTGGCTTGTTAATGTTGATTCGGAGGTTGTGACGGCCTTCGGTGGTCTTGGCCTGATCTAGGGTTGTGATTGTTGTGGTTTCTGCCTTGGCAGGGATACTGCAGATGGTGATATTTGATGTTGCATTTAGGGAGTTTTTGCTCTTTTTTCTTTAGGGCTTACTGCTAAATACCCCGATCAATGCATTATGGTTTATGAGACTCCACGAGTCGAGTTGAACAGTATTTTTCGGGTACAGTGAAAGTCTCGCGAAGACCAATTCCGGTTACCCAATTAGACAGCACCGACCAAGTACTGTTGGCTCTTAGAACGGATTCGGGGATATGCCTTGCGTTGACCCCGACTATCAGTACAACTGAAGACGGCCCATCATTTGAGTGTTTTCCTTAGGAAATTGTGCCATGGATCTTTTCAACCCAGGCTTCGAAGACGCCTCTTGACTCTTTCGCAGATACATGCATCTTGGTGTTTTTGGGGAAGGCCATGTCCCGGCTAAAGAAGCCGTTATCTCAATCGATTTCAGTCCTTAGTCCAGGTGCTATCGAATACCAATATTTCACGCATCTCAAGGTCATCAGAATAGCCCAGAGCATCAAGGTAAAGAAATGAATGAGCAGGAATTATCCTCAAATTGAAACCCCAAGTCTGCGAAGCTTCCACGGATTTCTCTTGCGTCTTTAAAACATGATCTAGAGATATAGAAGAGGTATTTCTGACATTGAGTTTCAGCACTGCTTCGTAATAGCAATATTTCGGCATAAGTACCGTTCAGCCACTGTGGTATTTCTGCTGAACTGAATATAGTTCCTTCTTTTGCTGAGGGCCCTGGTTAAATATGACCAGGTAGTTGATCGTATAGGTGACGGTGTAGTCTGTGTAGATGATGGGGAAGACGACCAACGTTGATGGAAGATTGAATGAAAATGATAGAAGTGACGATAAAAATCAAGGACCGAGTCGTATGAAATTCGATTTCCTTCTAGCAAGCTTAAAAGTATAAGGAAGGCACAGATAGGGGCTTTCCGATTAGGACTTTGCAATTCCTCGCATCAATATTATCGTCGTCCTCGCGTGTGGCCCTTTTTCAGGTAACAAATTCGCTCTGGTCTCGTAGTTGACGTATGCAGTGCGCGCACCGGCATAGGTGGTTTTTTTGCTGACGAGACAGGGTAGTTTAAACAAACGATGTTTTTTGTTTTCAATTACAAATGCGGAATTGTAAAGCTTCCGACGGTGACGCAGGGCGTACTGCGCGATATCGAAGTCGCGGCCCTCGAATTGCGTATTAGTTTCTTTCAGCATGATAGCGAGAAATGTGGCTTCGTCCATATGGGTCACTTCATTGGGGGCCGTTGTAATAATACCCACAATATTTGCCCCCTTCTGGTGGTCAAGCCTTTGGCAGCTGAGTGCACATCCAAAGGAGCATGGAAAATTTCGAAAGACGCGATGGTCAGCTGGATATGATGCACTGTAGGTCACGAGAGATCACCTTGGTGAGAATGCAGAATGTGGAGTCATAGATAGTTGAATAGAAGGAGAGGAGTGTTGAAGAGAGAAGGGGAGAGGGAGGGGATGAAGAGAGAGAATAGCCGAAGCACTTCGAGTTGTTTAAATACTGGGGCGTTGTGGGATACCCAAGGAGGTTTTTTGAGGTAACACTATGTATGCCGAAGTTGAAGTTTTACTTTTTCAGCTGCATGAGTCCCACAATGGAAGGCACTTCGTGACCGGATACTGACTCTGGACCACAGTACCCACGACTGAACGACAGCCTGGTTCTTCGGGTGCTGCCAGATACATGGTCATTCGCTGCCTTTACCCTGATGAAGCGGACATTGGGCACCGATTTCGGTTGGAGGTCGACTTGAATTCAAAATCCGGATTGCCTGTCCGCCAATGAGCCCGTGTTGTCGTTAAATTGTCCGGGAGGCTTGATAAAGTGCAGACATAGATGGATAAAAGCCGAGGTAGTCTGCTTCTAAAGGAGGTCCTCATGAAAACAACATAACAACGCTACGTGTCTGCGAAAAGTTGTAATAAAATAAGACTTCATCATATCGTGAGCCACCAGTAAATGATAACAATAGCCATACTACTGATACTGCCTACAAGCTATAGAATCCTTCTATTGATCTAGGTGCGGTATCTGTGGGATACTCCGGAGGAAAGAACAAATAATCATTACCCCTAGAATGATATTAGCAGAGTCCAGCATAATAAAATCCGAGCAAAGCGAACAAAACTCACCACATCTGCTCCTCAAAATAGACCTCCGGCACCTCAAACCACCCCGTCGAACTCGAAAACAACTGTGCAAGCGGAATCTGATTCAACGGATCAGACAGCGTCGGCATCTCCTGCACCGTCTCACCCATCTCGGGACCCGGACTCGCAACCCCATTCCTCAACCGCTCTAACGTCTCAAAACAACGTCCCGCAAAGGGACTCAAACCAACCATACTCTTTATAATCGCAATCGCCTTATCGATATCCTCCTGCCAAGCCTCGACAAGCGGTGACTGCGGCTCACTATGCAGCAGAATGACGGGGACCAGTGTTGCGGAGAAAAGGAAGTATAGCGCGTACCAGCACGCCATGCGGGTGTGGGCTGTGCTGTTCCAGAATTTGTCGATGCATGTGATTGTTTCGTGGGATTCTTTCTGGCAGCGCTCGCAAGCTAGGTCGATGTAGGGCTGTGATGCTGGAGAGGTTTCGATGTTGCTGGGTGGGATCGGGAATGCGTTGAAGTAGGCTGTTTGTGGGCGGGCTATTTGGAGGGTTTTCTGAATGAGAAAGGGTCGGTAGATTATTAGGCGGAAGTGCTTGTATCGCCAGGTCATGATTGCATGTGCGAATTGGTGTCGGACGGGGACGGTGGCGGTCTCTTTGTAGTATTCCGGGACGAGATTGAGCCATTTTGTCATGTAGAAGTCGTCCCATTCGAGGACTTGTTTGGCGGATGGCGAGGGCTTGGAGATTATCCGGTTGTAGATGTGGTTTGTGAGGAGGTGGAATTGGGACTGCACGCGGACGTTTGTGTAGATTGTTGGGGCGTTGATGCTTTCTGGCGCGACGGTTGCTGAGACGGTTAGATCGCTTTCAGATATGTTGAGGGGGAGCTTGGAGTCGATGCCGGCGGAGGGGATGGCGAGGGGTCGGCTGAATGTTATTGTTGAGCCGGCGTCGAAGATGTACAGGCACCACCAGGTTCGACGGCGGATTTCGCGGTAGAGGAGGTTTCCTTCCACGCTTGGGTGGTCTTTGTGTAGACCTAAGCCGTAGGCCATGCGGACGGCGAGGCCGAGGTAGTTGTGGCTTGAGTTGGGACGGTCGCGCTTTTGGAGGTAGTTTGAGATGAGGCTGAGGCTTTGCACTAAAGTCAAGCTGCCGACTTCGAGAATCTCGACGGATAGGTGGGAGCGAGCGCATTGGTATAGGACGAGGTCGTCGTCGTTGGGGGACGTGGCTGACATAAATGCACCTAGGGCAGCGACGATGTACATCAACACTGTCCATCCATACTTTGGCCTGGGAACGATCTCATGGAAGTGGGCCATAAAGAGTCCCTGGTGGACGAGAGGGTAATTGGTGTGGTATTCGTTGAAGTAGCTGGCGACATATGCCTCGATCTTGTGCGGGGGAATCTCACGCTGCAAGTTGACTTGCACTTTTTGCGACGGTTCAGTCTCGGGGTTGGATTGTGATGTATTTGGCAACGCAGCGGAGAATGGGTCTGTGAAGTGGCTTTTGATGAGATGAAGCAGCACCGCTCCAGATGCCAGACCGAGGTATCCCGGCCGTACTCCTTGGATGGACAAGGCCGCCATGCCGTCAATACAGCTCTGCGCTTCAGTATTCCTCTCGTCCCAGTCATAATCAGCTCCATTTGCCACGGGATTGTCGGTAGTGGCGGTTGGAAGAAAGTCCGTGGGAACAGGCTCCTCAATACTGCCATCTGAGATCAGCATCTCCAGACAAGGCTCGAAGATGCCAGATTCGATCTGTGTGTATTCCGGCGATTTGTCCCGGTCCTCAACGGGCTCATCCGTTGCCATCCGGGATCTCTTCAACCCGCCCGGTGGCGTGGTCACCTCACTCTTTGGAGGAGACGGCCGGTAAGTCTGACTTGTTCCATTTCTTGCGCGCGCCAATTCGGCATCGAGGTCGACGTTGAGGCCGTGATCGCGGATGATTTGCGTGGTGATGCGGAGGGATTCCTCGACTTCGGTTAGATATCTGTTATAACATTTAGTCGATCATCCCTTGCTTAGCGCTGCATTAGATCAAGCACTTACTTGCGCGTCAGAGGACTCCGCTTCGGCTTTTCATACAGGCAGTGCCGGCGCCATTGGAGACATTGCGCGCAGACTGGTAGCTCGCGCGAGCACTAGATGTAGCAGGTCAGTATATTCCGTGATCGCCGGCAAAGTTGTACATACTCGTGCTTTTCGTCGTCGACACTCATTGCACGCATGCGCCTTGTTCGATTCAGCCATATTATCAGGCCGATAGATTCAGAAATGAGGAGGGGCTCCATGAATTCTGCCCCCTCGTGGGGTGTGGGGTTGTCGCAATTGTTCCGATCATAGCATGACACAGGACGCCAGTCCCCAAATAGGCATATCTCGCGGGGTGGAGATTCCCAAGTGGAGCAAGTTCAATCATCAAAGAGTAAATTTGCCGACGGCGGGTCCAACCTGCTCGTCTGTGTTTGTTTTGGGAAAATCTTCCCCGGTGCAAGTTTGTGGCTGACTGGTGAGAAAATGTGAGGATATGGAGATCTCGCGGGTGAAGATGATCCTCCAGAAAATGACATTCGGTCTAGAACTATTGAACAGCCTTCGCATACACCGCCTCACCAGTTCCCCCCGGCCGCCGCCCGGCATCATCCAGCTTGGATTCGCTTGCATGTTCGAGGGTACTGCCGCGGACCAGTAGCCGTCGCGCAATACCCACCACATCCCATGGTGTCCACGGGTTCGAGTCGGCAAATATCTCATTAATCTCCTCCTCAATCTCCTCCAGAGACTGATTGGCCGTCTCCGGGTACAAAAAAATAGACCACGAAGAACATCAGTCCGTTCATCGCCGCGAAAATCGCATAAGTATAGATGCCGATACTGTTGAAGGAGACAAGGGTGATCATCTTCACGATCATGAAATTGATCACCCAATCGGTCGCAGTTCTGAGTCCATTGATAGTGGCGCGAAACTCCAGGTTCACGATCTCGGCGGGATGCAACCAGGGCATACCGAGCCAGCTTAGGATGAATGAGGCGTTGAAGGTGACGATGAAAAACGAGGCCGCGATACCGAATTTCCAGTTGTAACGCGTGGCTGCCCATACAGTGCCAGTGAGAAGAACCTTTGGAATCATTTGTCCAGCTGATCCGATCATCAGGAACTTGCGTCGTCCAATTCGTTCAATAGTGAAGATGGCAATGCACGCCACGATCATGTATGCGGTATTTTGGCACGCGGCAATAATCCGAGCATTGATCGCGTTCAGCCCGAGGGAGTTCTGATAGATTGTCATCGCGTAGTATAGTACCGGGTAATTGCTACATTGCCTGACTCCAGATGGCGAGCATAGACCGATGGAAATGCTTCTTAGACCCCTGGGTGCCAATCATTTTTAGAGAGAGCCGACTGCCCTGTTTCTGCTCGAGCACCGAAAGGACTTCCTCGACATGCATTGAAAACATGTGGGTCGTAAATCGGGATACCGTCGAGTGCAGCAAAGATGGCCTTGGATACCTCGATCCGACCGTTCTTGACCGGCCGTCGCGGCGACTCGGGCAGGTTTATGATAAATGCCCCGAGAATTCCAGCAAAGACACACTGGAATGCAATCGGAAATCGCCAGTTCACTTGACCGGGCACAAAGTATAATGCAAAGTTCAATCAGTATGAAGATGCGAGGCTGAAAATGATCAAGACTCCCTCGATCATTACCATGGCACCTCGTCGATGGGCTTGGCAAATTCAGACTGCCACATTGGCACGGTAGCTGTGACAAAAGCCAGTTCCTTGCTGGTGAAAATTCTAGACAAGATTGATTTGCATTATATTCAATCCAAGACAGGCATGCTGTACTTACCGACCCACCACAATTGAATCGCAGCTCCAACACATGAAACCACAGAACCGCCAAACACGACCTTTTTGCTCCCAAATTTATCGCCGGGCCATAGTGTGCTTAGTGCGCCCATCATTCAACCAATTCTGTAGATAGCAACCATAATGCCCTGCACTTTCGTACTGTATGCCTTCTCCACGTCCGTGAGGGACTTGCTGGATGTATCCATTTCAGGAAAGATCCCGACAGAGGCGTTTAAAGTGAGAAGACTCTCATGACTCCCTGACCATATCCAAACAATCTAGAAGTAGATCCACTTCTTCATCTCAATCTCTCAGACAGACAACCGCCGAGAGATCGCAACAGGTAAGTCGCAGACCGTCAGCACGAGAATATAAGCACAAGCCATAAGCAGATTACATGAAGCCAATACCGGCTATCGTAGCCACAACATGATGGAGCCTCTGTCCATCCAAACCGAAATACCTCTTCATCGTCGTGGTCGCCAAGTGTCGGCCTATCTCCGGATCTCGTTGAACCAATGATTCATATTTCACCTCAAGGTAAACTTCGGGGGCAGTTGGCATCAAATAATTCTATAGAATTCAAGCCATACTCTCTCGGGCCAGTTCATCCTGACCCGGAGGTCTGTTGCCCTTTCGGTTCTTGCAAAACCGGATGTAAACCCCACGGGGAAGCGGGGTGCGTCGTGGCCGTAAACCCGACAAGGCAAGAGGTTGTCCCCACCATGGCTGCGTCGGGGTTCTGTCGCCCTAGTCAACGATCGTATGTTTCGGCATCAAATGATTCCTGCAGGTAGTCGGGTTTGCTCCGTGGGTGGAATGAGTGGGAGCGAGATCCGAGGCGGGATTCTGTAGGTGTAGACGTAAGAAGGAGCTGGGGTATGGCGAGCTGCTAGCAAAAAGTAAACAATAGCAGGATTCGGAGGGAAGGTAAACTGCTAGGGGTCTGGGGAACGACATCTGGGGTTGAGTGTGGAGGAAACCGCCATCCTCATTCCTCCCCACCTATTTAAGGCTGATCCCCCCAGGCCCATGCACCACGACGAGAACATGCTCACAATATGCCAAGCCAGCTGACGATTCTATCCTCGTGAAGGAGCCGATCTTCCAGCAGCATCCAAAATCCCATTTTCGCCACTTATCACTTCAATCATGGCAAGGGGAGCAGTTGGCACTACCATCGCCGGCGAGCATGGCATCTCGTACGGGCCGGCCGGATACAAGGGCCTCATCGAGGAGATTCGCATCTTCGGGCTGGCGTGTTTCGCGACAATCGGTGGGTTTCTCTTCGGGTATGATCAAGGGATTATTTCGGGGGTACTGGTTATGCATAGTTTTGTAAGTTCAGCAATCGCAAAATGAAACGCTATAGAGCGGTCACTTACTCGTCCTAGAAAACGCATTTTTCCGATCTCTCTTCTGACACCGGCCTGGAGGGCTGGGTCGTATCCATCATGACCCTGGGCGCGATGCTCGGCGCCTTTATCAACGGACCCATCTCGGATCGTCTCTCGCGTCGCTGGTCGATCCTTCTTGCAAATATAATATTCCTCATCGGTTCCGTTATCCAGGCGGCAGCCGAGTATATTGCCATGATGTTCGTCGGACGTTTTGTTTTTGGTACTGGTGTCGGAATGCTGGCGATGGTTTGTCCGCTTTATCTCTCCGAGCTGGCGCCGCCTAATATTCGTGGTGCACTCGTGGCTCTACAGCAGCTTTCCATTACCTTTGGTATCATGGTTAGCTTTTGGATTAACTATGGGACTCAGTATATTGGGGGAACGGGAGCCGGACAGAGTCAGGCAGCCTGGAGACTGCCTTTGGCGTTGCAGTGCTTTCCTTCTTTGATTCTTGCTGCTGGCACTTTCTTCCTACCATATAGCCCGCGTTGGCTTATGAACCAAGGTACGTCTACCCGCAAGGTTGACTGGTGAGGGACTGACTCGCGGTAGGTCGAGAGGATGAGGCGCTGCAAACTTTGGTCAAGCTGCGGCGCGTTCCTGAGTCAGATCATCGACTGCAGACCGAATTCCTTGAGATCAAGGCGGCTCGCATGTTCGATCAGCAGACAAAGGCAGATAAATATGGCTCTGATGCATCAAAGTACTATGTGGCGATGCAGGAATACAAGGAGCTGTTCACCGTGAGACACCTGAGGAAACGAACGATGGTCGCTTGTCTCCTTCAGGTGATTCAGCAGTTCACTGGAATTAGTATGTCCCAAAATGCACCAGAAAATGACCATGTTCATGTTGATGACGGTTCCTCTCCACAGATGCAATCATCTACTACGCACCGCAATTCTTTGAAGCAATCGGCCTCAGCGGTAACTCCGTCAACCTCCTCGCAACTGGCGTCGTCGGCATCGTCTTCTTCCTCTCCACCATCCCAGCAGTAATGTATCTGGACAGATGGGGTCGACGGAAAACACTCATGTACGGCGCCACCGGTATGTCAATAGCACAGCTGATTGTCGCAACCCTGTACGCCGTGTACAAGGACAAGTTCAGCGAGCATCCGTCTGCGGGATGGGCTGCTTGCGTGTTCGTCTGGGTGTATATTGGCACATTCGCTTTCAGTATCGCCTGCGTCAATTGGATTATGCCTTCGGAGATGTTCCCACCCGCAACTCGAGGCAAGGCTGTTGGCGTTGCGATTGCGTGCAATTATCTTTCTAATTTCATTGTTGCGCTTATCACGCCGCGAATGCTAGAGTCCATCACTTTTGGGACGTTTTACTTTTTCTTGGTGTTTTGTCTGATTTTGGGGGTGTGGACCTATTTCTGCGTTCCCGAGACAAAAGGTTGGTGCTTTTATCCATGTCCAAGTCTGTCAGTTTTGCTAATTGTCTTTAGGCGTGCCGATCGAGGAAATGGACAAGTTGTTTGGCGGAAATGATGGCGAGGCTGATCTGCAACGAATTGCTGGCATTCGCGCTCAACTTGGAGTGGGCATGGATGGTGCCAAGACGAGTTCATTCAGACTTACAAGGGCAAGGATAGTAGTGAGCACATTGAGATGGCGGTTTGAACTGGTCAGGTCGTGATGAAGAGACATCTCACAAAGAATACCTGTCCATCACGTCACATCATAGGCACGTTAAATGTTCCACCTCAGGCAGGAACACAGATTGCAATTGTAACCAGATGCGTGCCAGATAGAGCTATCAATATGATCTTGATGATTTCATGTCCAGCAACGACTTAAACCCCTTTCCTATCATTCTTGGGTCCAAATATGTCTTCATACGTTGGTTCTAGAACAGCTTCATGCGTACGGGCTTCCTCCCGCTATCTACCGCTCGATTTGTAGAGTAATGCGACAGCCCCATCTTGGCATAAGGGGCGCTGGCTCATAACCAACGCTGAATCAAAGGATATGCAGATCTCTGCAGAATCGGGTAATACGAAAGGAGAATTGACAGTCCAGCCCTGCATGGCTTTTCTTGGCTCCAGCCCGGTCTTGGCACGCGCAGACCGGAGAGAAGTATGAGATATTGCCCATCTACTGCTTATAGTCAGTATTTACATTTTTTGGCTGCGATATCCCAATCTTAATATTCCAATAAAAGTCAATTACTGACTGACCATGACTGGATAGTCTTCAACCCCCAAAACGTACCCCATCCATCCGGCCCCATAGCCGTGACGGCCCCCGAGGGGCTGCGAAGGATCAATACCAAACTTACATCTCTCGCACTCTAGGCCTTGGGGGCGATTGCAACATGAGTCGCAGTACTTTGAATAGCAAATAAACCAACAATACAGTCATATTACCGTACGGACGAGGCTGTCTCGCCCGATATTAATGTTTCGTCCCATCACATTAAATGCGTAGTAGCACCCAGGGCATCTTCCAACTCACACTGTCTGTATACTTGCCTGATCCCAAGTGTTTGCCAGATGAATCTCAAGACCCTCTTCCTGGGCCTTAGCCTGGGATTTCTTGCGACTAATGCCCTCCCGCAGGGTGAGAAGTATAGTCTGTAAGTGAAAGATGTTGTTTTCGTCTGGATACCATCGCTAACGGTAGCAAAAGCGTCGAAAGATCCATCCCCGAAGCAGGCGAAGATGCCACCCACATCTCCCATCTATTCACGCGAGATGACAACGATATATTCGGAAAAGTCACAACGGCAGTCGGAAGAGCGGCCAGCGATGATTGCAACGAAAACACCCGCGTTGAAGGGCTGTACGTGCCACAAGAATGGGCAGGCTGGATCCCCGCCGAGGGAAACAAATGGGTCCGGTACAACTGCGCCAAAGCAGAATATGTCGAAACCTCGACATTCCGTGGAAAGGTTAAAACATGCAAGAAGCAAACGAATGAGAACAAATCGAACGTCAATGTCCCACGTGCGATTGTGACAGACGGGCTAGCTACTTGCATGTCTATCATGGCAGTTTCCAACGCAGGCACTTTGATGACGCATGTTTCGCCGCCGATCTGCTCTATCATCAGCCAAGGTATCAAGGATGCATCTTCAGATGCGCATAAGCAGGCCCAGGGTCTGCGAAACTCGATCGTCGCGCTCAGGAAGGAGTATCTGCCCGATATGAGTGGTGTTAAGATGGTTGTTGTTCAAGGCCCCTATAATCCTGGGGTGGATGCTGGATCAGATGGTACAAAGGAACGAGCGCGGAAAGCAATCGCTGAACTATTTCAGGTTGAGCTTGATAATGCGATGTATACGCAGATCAATAACCGTGAGCTCTCTGAGTCATGGGTTCTTGAAGCGGCTGGTGGTGGACGTACGGCCTCGGTTGAATATGTCGATGGACGTCCGAGGGTGAATGCGGGCGTTCATAACATGGAATTCAATGCTTCCTAGGCCGACTTTCGCTGATTTAGATGGCCTTGTTGCCCTTGTGAATTGATATCGTCTTATTTATATGTGTTGCTGGAATATCCCACTGGTCAATCATATACCGTTATCGGTCTCAGTGATTTAGAGCAATTAATCTGCTTTCTATGTCTCCCTAACAACAACAAAATCAAGCCCCTTCAACGGGCCCTCAACAGTCATCCAGGAAAGATCCCCCTCACCAAGCCCCCATTCCTCCAACCCAACTGTCTCAACGTTCACATTCCACTTAATCCCCGTATGATTCGCCGCATCATTCCAAATCCCCAAAAGCGAAACCCACGAATTCAGAAACCTCGAAAACTCCCGATCCCCAACTTCCTTGTAGTCCCGCTCATTCAAATGGTCCGTCCCAAAACAGCGCCCAACAACCTTCGTCCCAGCACGACTAAGCAGCGCAACGGTCTCCGCAATCGCTACTTGGTCGCTGTAATTGAAGAACTCGAGTAACCCAGAGATGAGAATGATATCTACCTTCCCTCGTAGCTTCTCCAAGGACCCCCGCGGTCCAAAGGACGCATATTTCCCCGAACTGGCGCGGAGCCGTGCGTCGGCGAGGAGGAATTCCGGTCGTGCTTTATCGCGGTCTAGAAAGAGGTCACAGCCTACACTCCACAGCTCACGACATGCGTCCGTCGCATATAAATTGGTCTTTGTACCTAGACCAGCATCAAGCCGTAGTCTCCGCAACTCCTGACCGAGTCCACTCCCAACGTCCAGAATCGTCTTGCCTTCTTTTGCTTCCAGCACGATATCCGGCCATGATTTTGTTTCCGAGAGGCCTGGGAGTAGGAACCAGCCTAGACCGAAGCTGGGGTATGGCTCGATGGCCCAGGCGCGGTCGCGGATGCTGTGGACATGGTCCTGAAGTTGTCGGTTATTGAGGCCGGTATATGCGCCCAGGAATGCGCTAGACGCTTCTATGCGGTCGGCGATTGATGGTGAGTAGTAGGGTGCGTTATGTTGCTGGCGTTGGTGTTGCGCTTTTTGGCAAGGGAATAGTGTCGAGATGAGTCGTTTTCTTAGAGCGCGGCGTGTCGGCTTGTTAGGTAGACTGAGTTGGCCGTAGAGTGGGAGTTGCGCGGGCGTAGGAGGCTCTGGGCGTTGCGGAGGTGATGGACCTTCTCCGGTTTCATTCTCATGTGATGAGGCCATGTTTTTGCGTCGTAGGCCGAGCTTTGATGTTCGAGCTCAATGTTCCCATGGAGGCGGAGATGCTGCTGGATAAGCTACCCGACACAGCCTGGAGCGTTGCGAGGATTCGCCTCTCGGTCAGGGGCAAAGTGGCATGTCACTTCTTCAACTTCGATGTGGTCGATACCGGCGAGGCTCTCGCTGGCCCCGGAGTGAAATTAGTTGGAAGATGAGATGCGGGCCGCGGGGGTGGGGGCCGTCGCGCTGGATTCTTGTAAGGCGCGTTACAAGACTGCTCCAGGTATTGGCCCCTGATCATCACTTGGCAGCTAAGGACTGGTCCAGTGATTGGTTTTGAGTCATTTGGACTCAGCCGGGGGCTGTGATCACCTTTTTTTCTGACTCTTGGACGTCGCGGAAGCTTGGGGGCTGGAGAAGCAATGTCATGCATCTACTTTACAGTACTTCATATCTCGACGCGAAATGGTCAATGGAAATGCCAGGCAGGTCGGATTCAATTCTATATAGCTAGTGAAGCGCCTGCAGGCTAGAAATAAAACTCCCAAAAGAAGAAACTCCAGAATCCAAAATTAAGAAATAGTAGACAATGTCAGCAGGTGGCCAGATGAGGGAGCATCTCATAGCTTCATGCTCATGCTCGTGCTATTGCTTAGCACTGGCCAGGGAACGCACGGGTGTCAACGGGATTAGGGAAGACACCAGCAGCAAGCTGCTGCTGCATATCCCACTCAGGAGCACCCTCAGTCTTCCAGGTCCAGTACAACCAGCCCCTGCCCTTCTCGTAGGCATCCAGCTGGCCCTCAATAAAGCGGCGGATGTTGTCACGGTCTGCGGCGGGAAGAGCATCAACAGTACCGACAAACTTGCCATCACAGCTACCGATAGCGCTGCTACCCTGGTAAGTTCCGTCGTAGCGGGCACCGATGCCCTTGCCGTTGAGGTACTTGGCGCAGTCAGTCATGGCACCGGTCCACTCGCCGACAATAGTCCACTTGTCGGAGGTCTGGACGTGGTCTTTGACGAAGTTGCAGGCAGTACGGACGTGTGAGCTAGCGTCCAGAGCGAGAAGGCCGCTGTCGAAGACTTCGTAGTGATGAGTGTCCATCATGACGTAGTAAACGCCTGCCGCGGGGCTCATGAAGCCGTTCCAGGACTCGGTGGGCATGAAGCCGTCGTGCAGGACGACGGTGGTGTCCTGGCTGGCCTCGCGGGCAACACCCCAGCAGTCGAAGTAGTACTGCTTCAGGCCGTCCTCGTTGATACCACCGGGGATGCTGGGCTCGTTCAGGGCTTCGACTGCCGTGACGACGTCGGCATCGCCGCCGTAGCGGGCAGCCAATGCCTTGAAGGCCTCCTTCGCCTGCTCGGTGGAGTTACCTTGCTGCCATTCGATGGCGCCGCGCTTTCCGCTGTTGTCGAATCCGTTCTGGGATCCGGGGGCTATTTGGTATGATGAGCTTTGTTTCTAGATAGTTGTAGGAGGCAGTATCAGGGGTCACTTACCACCGTGAAGATCAATGAGAACCCTCAGGCCGGAGGCACGAGCCCAGCCAACGGCAGCATCGAGGTACTCGAGCTGGCCATCAACGTAGGGGTCGCCCTCGATAGGGGTAAGGGCCCAGTAGCCAATGGGAATACGGACGTGGTTCATTCCTGCGGCAGCGATCTGGTTGAAGTCATCCTGGGTGATGAAGGAAGCCCAGTGCTGAGACAGCACGGCACGGCACTGGTCGGCGCCGAGAGTTGCACACAGGGAGTACTCGTCCACGGCAGCATCGCCGGCATCATCGAAGATCGAGGGAGTAATCCAAGGCTCCAGTACTAGCCAGCCACCCAGGTTGACACCGCGAACCATATCACCTCCGTAGTTGAATCCAGGATCGGCACTGTATCAAGTCAGTTTTTAGTTTGTGTAGATGGGAACTTTTGTCCTAGGCCTCTTCGACGTGAAGCTAGGACTATATTTCACTCACACTGCTGGAACAGCCAGGCCGAGAGCTGCCAGAGACAGCCCGAGGAGGCTCTTTTGCGAGAATTTGGACGACATACTGAGCTCCCTTAGACTAAGTTCACCCCAAAATTCAGGACGTTAGGCTTCTGGAATGGAGTGATAGAATGATTGTGTCAAATGGCATGGAGATCGACAGGTATAAGTAAACTCTATGTCGATGCTTGGCCTTCAATTTGGCCGCTTGCAGACAAAAAGCCAGTTTGAGCATGAGAACGGAAGTAGCCACGATGCTCTGGAATGAAGAATCACACATCTTGGGTAACCTGGGTGTCGATCTGCTCTTCAATCGTGGCAGCGATAGCCTGACAGCTTCCGGGAAAGGAAGACGAGCCGTCCGAAAGCAGAGAGGAGTGGGTCCAGGGACTCTGGAGTCTGGGGTTTATGACATAGAACAATGGCCTTCTCAGTACTTGCAAGGTCACAGCGGAGGACCTCAGTCCAGTAGTTTCTGGTGTTTGATGAGGGTCCCTGGCAAGGCAGTGGGTTTCGCGAGGCTTAGGTTGTAGTAGGAGCAGTCAAGGTTGGAACAAAGATGGAGTCAAGCCCACTGCACAGGAAAATGGAGACAATGAGTGAGAATCGGGAAAAGCCGAGAGAGAGAGAGATGCAACGTATTGATCTGGGAGGACGTTCTGGCGACTGTTGTATGCCATTGCCGGAGGTTGGAGAGCACAAGATGGCAGGAGCAGGGCGGTCATACTCGTGACCTGCCTCAGTTTGACTCTCGGGGATTGATGGAATTTCCTAGTTGACTTCTCAATCACGGCCGATCTGATCGCCGATTGACACGCAGCAGCTCTCTTGAGTGCTTCTGGGCATTAGAATTCTCTCTGTAGTTCTCACTGTACTTGTGCAAGGATTTCGTGCACCAAAATGACATTCTCGTCGGACGAGATGCAAAGCCGCTGTTTGCGGCAGCCCGTCGGCCGATGAAGATCGGCACCGCGTGGTACCTTCTCAGGAATGTGAGAGACAGATCTATCTAGACTAACCATATAGTCTTGCTCCAGCTGCTAAGGAAAAACTTCAGCAAAGGTGAAGGGGGCGATTTTACCAGCCGTCGGCGCCTTCGCTGCCTGTTGTTATATAGTACGCCCTTTGTTTACAGCGACCGGCATAGTTCAATTACACTGCAGCGATACCCTGGTACAGTGGCCTCGCGCCCCTGGGAACACTCTTGGTCAACCCAATTTTGACCTTGGAGAGCTGTTGTACGCCCGTCAAAACCGTGGGTTTCCCGGGAGCTCCCGATCTAGGCTCTCGCGCCCGAGAGACGCTTCCGTTCTCGGAAACAACAGCTTTGTACCCCTACAAAACCCCAATGACGCGCCATTGTCACAACCGCAGGCTTTTGGATCCATGGGACGCCAGATGATTAGTTCCATTGATTGAATTTGCGCTCTTTGTCCCAGGGAAACCCCCCACAAATACCTGGGCCAGCTCACCCTAGCGTAGGAGTCGCTCGATCGTGTGTAACCCTGGATCGCCAGGAATGCTGGCTGGAATGCACGTGTCCTACGCTGACTGATCCAGTTTAGCAGATTAGATTGAACTTCTAGTTTGCGGGACGATCTTTCACAAAGCGCGAAGTCGTTATGCGACCGTCCGAATCCATTGCTCGTCAAGTCAGGAAGGGTGGCTACACCGATAGGTCACACTATTTGAGCGGCTTTTCCGATCCAACGCTAGTCCGAACTGATCATTCTGTGTATTTTCTTTAACATATTTGTCTCTTTAAGGAGTAAGCAAGTACTTCGTGTTCTACATGTATCCAAACCGCGGTCTATATGCGAGCATTCGTCCGCCGAAGCACCGATACATTGGTATACCTATTTTAGTGGGGAGACCCCCTCCCCCTACTACATGGGTGCCATTCAGACTATTTGACATAGCCGGCAGTATACAGTGGCCGGATAGCTAGTTCTAGAATACACCTTCTTACACCTCCCCGACCTGACCCCTACATTTGGGGTTATCGCTATTTCCTGATTGCTACGCGTGTGTTTTGTGGTGGCTTTTCTGCTGAATCGACCCGCACGTCTCAGCGCGTGCTGCCATCGAGCGTTCCCCTCTTCACTATGTAGATGATTACTCAAATTTTGTCAACACCCCGATCAATGGACCAATACTCGTGAAGCACGCCATAGCGCGTGCCAATCATTCATGGTTCCATGATGATTTCTAATGCTTCACCCTGAATTTATGACCGAGGTATCGGTGGAATGCTGATTGCTAATCGTTGAAGCAATGTTCGGCCGAATGCTCGGAGTCAGATCGAAACCTGGAAGCGATACAAAACCAGTCGACGCTGAATCGTGTCTGGATCCCTAATGATCAAGAATTTATACTCGACAGAATACAGTATCCAAGAAGACTGTGCATACTTTGCAATACTCATAATCGCAATGGTCAAAATCGCTATCGCCGGCGGCTCCAGCAGTGTATCATTCTACATAATCTTAAATACGTTGTGGGATTATAGCTGAGTCTTAAGCAGACGTTGTCAATGAAATAATCGATGGCCTCTCTGCTACTAAGAGTCATGACTTCGTGATTCTAGTGAGAAAGGGTTGGTCTTCGATTCTTCCGTGCATTTTTATCTGAATTTGACTGACATACGTAGGAAATCCCGGTTGCTATAGAGCCTCCCGGAAAGAGATGGGTCAAGGCAGACTATGGAGACCCGGAGCAGCTGGCTTCTTTCCTGGAAGGAGTGCACACCGTTTTGTCCTTTGTCTCCACTCAGGATAATCCATCCACCACGCCGCAGAAGAATCTCATCAACGCCGCAGTTCGAGCGAATGTGAAGCGCTTCGCTCCTAGTGAATGGGCTTCGTGAGTCATCTTTTTGGAGAACTAATTCGTATCAGTATTAACAATTTCTAGTTCCACACTTGACCATCTGAGCTGGTACACTTACAAGAGAGAGATTCGCAGATTCCTTGGAGAGTTGAACAAGGACAGCAAGGTATGAAATCCTCTGGAATTTAAAGCAATACGCCACTTACACTATCCCCCTCCAGGTCCTCGAGTACAACCTCTTCCAGCCAGGGATGTTCATGAATTATCTCACCCACCCTTACCCATCGGCCAAACATGTCCACTCTATGGAATTGCTCTTCGACTACTTGCAAATGACTACACAGCAATAGTGATCAGCTTGATTGAAGTCTGGCCCACGAATACAGACCTCAATTTAATCACCGATACACCAATCGGGCTATTAACACATATACAATGTGGAATTTGCACATCGTACATAACGCCCGAGGATCAATCTCCACGTAAAGTACTCCAGCTACCTCCCCTCGACTCGCACCTAGTCTTGATCGCACGAAAGCTTCTCATGCTCGGCGCATTTCTCCTAGGGATAACTCCGCTCGCTGTGAAATACCTTGAAAGTCAAGGAGTATCATGCAGCAAGCTCATGTCTCGCGCCATTGAGAGAGCATCTAGGCTCGTGACCACGAACGACCAACTGATCTGCTCCGTCGAAGGCCTTGAATGTATTATGATTGAAGCACAACTTCATAATTATTCTGGCAATCTCCACCGTGCCTGGTTAGCAGTACATCGCGCCATTGCCGTCGCGCAGATGATGGCGCTACACCGCGGGTCCAGCTCGCCATCTCTTAAATTCCTTGAGCCTGAAACCCAGTCGACATTCAAACCGGAGAATATGCTCTTCCGTATAGTCCAGATGGATTGATACGTGTCAATCATGCTTGGTCTCCCAGAAGGATCACTAAATTCTTGGCTGACCAGCATGAAGGTGTTGCAAGGATGCTCCTCCATAGACCGAGTACAGCGCATCCACTTTGCTATCGCCGGGCATATCCTCGAACGCAACAATGTTGAAATATCCGATCTAGACGAGACTTTGCAAAATACTGCAACCGAGATGCCGCCGCAATGGTGGCTAATGCCGGCTTTTGCCCATATTTCCAATTCCGCAAAACTCCTTGATGACACAGTGCGTCTCATGATCCAATTCACACACTACCACCTACTCATCAGTAGGTACGACAACAACAGACTCACAGCCATAAGCGCCAGTCGCGAGATTTTATCGCGGTATGTAGCCTTCCGTTCCTCGAACCCGGCGCACTTCTACTGCCGCGGCTGCGACTTTTTTTCGTTCGTCTCCATTTTCGTACTTTGCTTTGCCCACGTCGGATCGCGATCTCAGCATCATTCACTCTCTTCGACTCACGTCGTCTTCAACTTCCTCGCACACAGCCGGCCCAGTGACCGGGGTATGATGGAGCGTGCGATGGAGATTCTTCAGTCGATGAATCCAGATGATACGGATTCTATTGCTACCAAGCTATGTCATATGATCAGACATCTGCTTATTGTCGAAGCAGATGCTGCTCGTGGAAGGAGCTATAGTATGAGCTCTTCGGAAAGCGATGCAAAGACCTTTGAATGTGGGACGCAATCGGGCACGTATGGTCGAACTTTGCAGGTTCATATCCCTCATTTTGGTACAATCAACTTCCAGCCTGGTGCTATATCAAGCTCGGCTCCAGTTGATTCCGCGCCGCCCGGCCCAAACCCTTGCGTCACTTGGGCTTCGGATGGATTGCTTGCTGGCAAAGAGATCTTCGGGACCGCCAGCTGTTCCAGAGATCTCGTCAATGCTTTCACTTCAAAACAATGAGCATTTGTCCTCTCGACTAGGCTCTTCATTGGATGAAGTCGAAGTATTCAATTACGATGATACTGAAAGCATCCGGAGCCAATACCACTCATATTCTCTTGGCACAGGATATGATTTGGCTCTGCAAGATATTGATCTAGCTCTATTCGACAGTCTCTTCCGGGGTACGGAATTTCAGGACTTAGCCGATGGCAGGATGGCTTCGATCGCTGGTGGAGAATGATCGGAATACTCGTTCCGGGGACGAATATATGATCATTGACGGCTGGAAATAATGAGCCTCTATGCGTTTGCCTGTACTCCAGGTTGGACCCGCTACCATGAATATTTTCAATGCTCTACTCGCCAACAAATCAGCGGCCATCTACGATCCCGATCACAGCACACTCAATGCACAGGATACAAATTGAAGAAAGCAATCCCTGACATTCCAAAATCAGGCTTCTTCACAAGAAATAGTTCGGGAAGTTTCCATACTGAGATGCTCGAGGCGAGGTAGCGCGGCCGCTAGCCTCCTCGTTTACCGTGACGGGCGTCGCTGACTGGGCCGATCACCTGGCGTGTCCCCGCCGGGCGTCATGATATGATTATCCCAGTCGCACGTGGCGAGCATCAAGACCATGATTGCAAGTTTGTTTTGTCATTTCTTGGGGCTTCCTCCCGGCAACTTTCGTTGTCTCGAATGTTGCTGATGTGCAAGCGATCCAATGGTTTTCTTTGCCGAGGGGCGGTTGTATACGGAAAATCCAGAGGAGTGATATTTAAAAAGACAGTATGATCGTGCTAAAGAGATGCGAAAGTGTTTTATTCGAGAAAAGGAAGATGGCTGCAAATAAGCTCGGTATGGTTCTATTCTTGCTGGTGCTGGCTGGGGCTGCAGATGCAAAAGCCATCCAGCAGAGAGCGACCAGTACTCAGCCTGATTGGCTCCAAATGTCGCCTGGCAACTATGCTGGTTATTTATATGGACATCACCTAACTGTGAATGCAATTGACATTTCATAGGCACGACAGCAACTGGAGCTGCTCCCTTCTTAGCGGAGCTGAATCCAGCACCATTTGGTCAAGCTACTTACACCCCGAATGCTCCGTTGGAGATTTCGGAGCCCATCAAGGGCGCTCAAGGGCGAAATATTTTCCATCTCATGGGAGATCAAAGGTCAGCATTAGTCATATAATCAATAATCTATCAAGGCTGACCCGCTTCCTAAAGCTCCTACTTCTCACCTGAGGACGGATTCGGGGTGGACGAGTACCCATTGCCCAAGGGTGCAAAGATCCATCAGATGCACATGCTGCAACGCCACGGCGCAAGATACCCTTCCTCATCGGAAGGCCTCGACTCATGGGCAGCTGGTATCGCGAACTCCACGGCCAAGGGGAATACATTCACTGGAGAATTGGCGTTCTTAAATGACTGGTCTTACAAGCTTGGAAAAGAGATTCTTGTCCCGCAAGGCCGCCAGGAGCTGTTTGATAGTGGTATCCTCAACTACTACAATACGGCCATCTGTACAACAGCTCGTCCAAGCTGGTCATTCGCACAACCTTGCAGTCTCGCATGCTTGAAAGTGCCGAGAACTTCTTGGCTGAATTCTTCGGGCTCGAATGGCGGGCTCATGCGAATATCTTGGCCACGATCGATCCTGCAAGGACGGGCGAATACTCATGCACTAGGGAAGGCAAGACTATGCTTGCCTCGATCGCAGAGCCCGTCGCGACATGGATGGAAACCTACTTAGCGAAACGCACAGCTCAACTGAAACATCTGACCAGCAACTACAATTGGACAGTAACCGACACCCATAACGCGCAGAGCTTATGTCCCTACGAAACGATCAGTCTGGGCTACAGCGACTTTTGCCAGCTCTTCACCTACGAAGACTGGGAAGGCTACGCCTATCTCATGGACATAGAATTCGCCGCCATGTCTGGATTTTTGAGTCCTACCGGCCGAGCACAGGGAATTGCCTGGGTTGAGGAATTCCTTGCGCGCGTCGAGGGGCATTACCTCGATGTCCCTGCCAACACTACCGGCGCCAACATGACTCTCGACACAAATCCAGTGACCTTCCCTCTAAACCAATCTCTCTTCTTCGAATTCACCCACGATGCCAACATCGTCTCAGTCCTGACTGCATTTGGCCTGAAGCAATTCGCCGACTTCCTGCCTCTCACTGGCCCGCCGAAGAACCAGCAATTTTCTACTAGTAGACTCGTCCCATTTGCTGGTCGCTTCAATATTGAGATTATCAAAGCACCTCACAAGGTTTCTACCACGCGCTCTTCCAAGGCTAGCAAGAAATCGGATTACATTGCCGGTACTGGAGAGACGAGCTACGTGCATTTTATTCAAAATCAGCGCACTGTGCCGCTACACGCTAGCTTCGAGGCGTGCGATTACCGCGATGATGGCTGGTGCGAGCTCCCTATTTTCCTCAAGGTGCAGAAGGAGAGTCTGGCTAAGGCAGAGTATGAGTATGCTTGCTTTGGCAACTGGACTATGGGGAGCTACGGTGCTGTGCGGAACGGTGTTCCTGCATGAGACGGTCAATTCTCTTCTCATATACTATATCACTTCAGAATGTTAATTGTTCTTCCGTGCGGAGGCCCGATTCAGTTAATGTCAAGCGTGGTCATGTGACCGCGACTGTATAGATCTCGGCTTTGCATCAAAATTAGTCCACCCACGGTACCCATGCTAGTTGGGGATTCAACCACCTCCCCGCAACATTACCCCTGACAATCCCAATAACTCCGCACCCAACCCCGTTCTCGAGCCTCTGCTCCGCAATCCTCATTTGAACTCGACTAGAAGCTGGCCCGGCCCCCGGAGAAGAGCAACCCTCCCCCGCGGGGCAGATATTGTGATTCTGGGGATCACACCCACTTCGACCCAAACAGTCGCCGACGACTCAATCCGGCACTGAAAAGGAAGCACAATCTCACCATAAGCTGACCATGGCGGAATTGTGGAGAGGCCACCCTTCCTGCGAATGAGACCGGGGCGATCGGCATGCCAAGTGGAGGGCTGGAGGAGGGGGACGCGATCGGGCCCTTTTCGTATTCTTAATTTTGCCAGCAAGATGGACTTTGCGGGTTGGATGGAACCTCGATATGTGACCTTGCTTTGCCGAGCAATGCAGACCCCTTGACCGCATAATCGCCAGCATTGGAAATTATGACTCGAGGCAGTGTTTGGGATATGTCTAAGCGCGAGAGACATTTCCCGTGCGGCTGCAAGGGATGCGACAAAAACAATGCACAACGCACTTTGTTCCAAAAAGAAAAATGTGCCTAAGATCGTGGCCAAGACAGATCCCTGCGATAATGTGATCTGCACACATGATGAATGCCTCACGAGTCTAGTGTTGCCCAGACTCGTGCTGCGATTGAAATCCGGTAGATGCACATTTGGTACATGACCATATCATGCTGCCTGTGCGATCGCCGATGATTCTCCACTAGGCTGCGTCCAGGAAGCCTTGGAGTCTACTTGCTCGCTCCTAATGGGCCCGATTGGCTCGCGGAAGGGACGCCGCTGCAGCTCATCTGCACTGTCATTCGATGCGTGCTGGATCCGAATCTCTAGGATGATACACCAGAGACCAGGATCAACGGCTACTCCCGATAACTCCGTTCAGGGCATTCTCCATGCAATGTCTACCCTATACCTTAATCTTTTTTTCTTTTTGAACAAAAATCAGGAACACAGTATCCCTTTGATGCAGGCAACTCGAGCCGAGTTTAAATTCCAACAAGCCGGACACACAATATACCGCCAAACATGTTGCTGGTGGTCAACCCTTCTCGGCGCCAACGCACCCGCCAAGCAGCGGGGTGCTTTGTACAGGGCTCCATATATCGACCCACCAGGCACTGGGTTGCTCCTTGACCTATCACGGAACCCTTTGTACACCCTTTCTGCGGGGTGAAGGGTCCCCATACATTGTACTGATTCATGTGGAGACATGCCGCCATGAGGCAGGGCAGTATCCACTCCCAATCTGGTCGGTAACCCCATCCCTGCACGCGGGAGGTCCTAGAGTGCCCAGCTAGTGCCCAGCTAGGCCCAGCTGCCGCTTTTTCTTGGGGCAGTCGGAAATTTGGACGGGCGTCGGCACGGGCATTTTGGCTTGCGCATGTCCGATGGCTCGAAGGTAGTTTAAATAGAAGGGGTGGTTCGGTAGTCTGTCGCTTTCTCTTCCCACGGGGCTTAGCTCGAGACTGCAAGATGGTTTTGTTGCAGGGTGTGCTTCTCTCCGCGCTGGCTGCTACAGGCCTGGCTAGTCCCAGCCTTGATGTTTCTGGACGAAACTCCGCTAGACAGGCTGCGGGTTACTCGCCCAAGCAGCCGCCGTTGAAAACGCCGTGGACGGATAAAGTAGGTACTGACCCCTGGCCTGAGCATCCCAGACCGCAACTGCAGCGGTCTCAGTGGCAGAACCTCAATGGTGTTTGGGGGTATCAGAATGCGTCTAGTCTGGATGCTGTTCAGAGTCCGCCAGTCGGTCAGAAGCTTGGCCAGGAGGTGTTGGTTCCATCGTGTCTTGAGAGTGGTCTTTCTGGTAAGCCTATGACATGCTCATGCTGGCACGGCTTGTACTAACGTATCTGCAGGCATTCAGGGAGTATATACTCTCTACTCGTGGTTCTCCAATTCATTCAAGGTGCCCGACGCCTGGAAGGATCAGCAGGTTCTTCTCAACTTTGACGCCGTGGACTATGAAGCCACGGTTTTCATCAATGGCAAGAAGGCTGGTTTCAACCGCGGAGGCTACTACCGCTTTACTTTGGACGTCACGCAATACGTCAAGGTCGGCCAGCAGAATGAAGTGTGAGTTGTCCTGGAAACACCATCAGGCTAAGAAAATGAGGCCCTAACGCTTCATTCCAGGCTTGTCTTCGTCCACGACCCAACCGATGACGGGGACTATGTGATCCCCATTGGCAAGCAGACCCTCCGTCCCAGGTGAGCTGTCCGATATTTATAGTCATGATCTCTACTAACTCGTCCTAGTCACATCTTCTACACGCCATGCAGTGGAATCTGGCAAAGTGTCTGGCTGGAAGCCGCGCCAAAGGCTCACATCACGAAGCTTGATCTCGACGCCAACATGGACGGCCAAGGTAAGTCAAAAACATCTGTCATCATTTTCACAGCAGAACTGACATGAGCCAGTCAACATGACCGTGCACACTTCGGCAGTGAACGCTACCCAGAATGTGGTGGTCACCGTGCACGACAATGGCAAGGTGCTGAAAACCCACAGCGGACCCTCCAATAGACCTTTCCAGTTCAATGTGGAGTCTCCGGAGCTGTGGTCGCCCGACTCACCCAGGCTGTACAACGTCACCGTCAAGATGGGCAGTGACAAGGTGCAGAGCTACACCGGATTCCGCACCATTGCGAAGGGTACTGTTGACGGTGTTGTTCGACCGATTCTGAATGGCGAATTTGTCTTCATGTTTGGCACTCTTGATCAGGGATACTGGCCGGACGGTCTCTACACGCCACCTACCAAGGAGGCCATGGTGTATGATCTCAAGGTTCTGAAAGAGCTGGGATTCAATATGGTTCGTAAGCATGTAAGTTGGGACTTTCGACTGGCTTTGCATGAATGGTGCTAAATTATTACTTCAGATCAAAGTGGAAACGGAGCTATTCTATCAGGCATGCGACGAATTGGGTCTGCTGGTTATTCAGGATATGCCCTCCCTGCGCCCCAGTCAGAGGAAGACCAACCCAGATGACTGCTCTTCGTCTCCTATTCTCCCTGATGATCAGCAGCAGGCTGAGTTCGCGCGCCAGTTAGACGTGCTGATTAACCAGTTCAAGAGCTTTCCTAGTATTGTTACTTGGGTGAGATTTTCCCGGCCTCCAAGCATTGAGAATTTAACTGACACCATATCTAAAGGTCATCTACAACGAGGGTTGGGGCCAGATCACAGACTACCATCCCGAGTTCGAACTGACCGACCGGGTCAAGCAACTGGATCCAACCCGTCTGGTCGATTCCACGACTGGCTGGTATGACCACGGAGCCGGCGACTTCAGCGTAAGCTTCCCTCATCTGCAGCCCAAGCAGCATTCCCTAACTCACCCAGGACAACCACCACTACGCCAACCCGCAATGCGGCACCCCTTTCTACTCTGCCAGCTCCAGCCCCTACGACGACACCAGGATTGGCTTCCAGGGTGAATTCGGCGGAATCGGAAGCAACGTCTCGATCGAACAGTAAGCTTTCTCTCCGTTCTCCAACTCAAGAACTCTCTCTAATAAAATCCCAGCCTCTGGAACAACCAAGCAGCCATCGACACCATCAACCAAACTTACGAAATCGACGAAACCATTGACGCCTGGAACTACCGCAGCCATTTTCTTCTCGCCGAGCTGCAGGACCAGGTCAAGCGGTTCGCTTGCAGCGGCGGTGTCTGGACTCAAACCACTGATGTTGAAGGTGAAGTCAACGGGCTGATGACGTATGACCGTCGTATCAAGCGTGTTGATGAGGACCAGTGGAAGAAGGATATTCAGGGCCTTTATGATGCGGCTTTGGCGCGGAGTAATACGACTATGTCTGCTTCTTAGAATGCAGAGTGCAGAGCTGACCTGACCTGGTTTCGGTATGGAATTGGATTGGTCCAGACCATTTTCGATACTGGTCTCAGTTTTAATTTATATTCAATATATATACCCTACAAAACTAAACCACTTGACTTTTCTGTTACACGTGAAGTGCAGTGTTTCAGGGCTGATCTCGTATTCACATATCAGATTCCACTGTGACACGACTAATTGCTTACCAAGGGGCATACACGTGACCTTCTTTCTTTTTACCTCGCGGGCAATGTTCTTAATCCTTCCACCTTTCAACCTCTATACGAAACTAAACATTGCCTGCTAGCTTCGATGGCCATTGTGCCACGTCATTTCTTGCCGTCGGTACCATTAGGGTGGTCTATGCCGTTGACGAACACTGCGTCATCAAATTTCCTACCTCAAGAGGATTTTGAGCGCCCTGCTTTGATATAGAAATCCGCGTCTATGCAAAACTTGGGCATCACGAGCGGATCGAACATGAAGCTCAGCAGGAAGGTCTCCGATTGGACCGTGGAGCGTGGTTACGGTGCATCCTTCAAAGTGACAGCTGATCTTCCTTCCTTTCGACCTGCAAGCTTCAGTGGGCCAAGAAAGCAGCCGATGGTCTTGCATACTCCCACAGCAAAGGCATTGTTCACGCAGGCATTGGCTGTCACAACATGATTTTGGATTGCTTCGGCCATCTCAAAATTGATTGACTTTTCCGACTCCGGCATCGAAAGCGAAGGCCCAATGATTTGCTACGAATGTGGTAGCTTTCGACCAGGATGGGAAATTGGCTTTTGTAAAGACAACTTACCCTTTGAGACCGAGAAATTCCCGTATAGTGAGCTGGCAAAGGACCTAGAATGTAGGTACTTCGTGCACAACTGTCGAACGCTTGTTCTCCGAAAACAAATTTACCCCTGTGGAAACGCTTACCTTGGGGGGCATCATCTCTGGCTGTTGGTGCGGAAAGTACTCATCAATGACCGAGGTCCAGAAAGATATTGCCCTCTGCTTCGAGAGACACATGATGGAGTAAACAACTGTTTTCAATAAGTTGAATCATACAAAATTACTGCTGTTGGAGAGCTTTACCACAATGAGGACCAGCTTACAAAAATGGGCAAGAAGAAGAAATGAGACGCAGGAGACACCGGCTCGCTCGGAAAGTGCCTTCAAGACGCCGCTAGGAATATCAGTGAATTCAGAGCATTTATATTAGGCTCCTTAAGTAAATCAGAATGATCTAAGAGCAGCTCAGAGTAATCAGGTAACGATCACTAATCCGCTCCAAGCGCTCAGAGATATGATCAGATCTACTTAGATATCAAAAAGCAATGCCCACTGAGCCCTAAAATAGAAGAAAAACGCTAAGACCTCAAATCGGATTTTCCCTACGTAGGTGGTGCACTACACTAGGGCTGGTGGACACGTTCTCGGCCGGGGAGACTTTTTCCACCCGTTCCCAATAGCACCTGATATTTGCCAGGTTGTTTCGCATGGGTTCTTCAGTGTGACTCTTCGTTTAGATTCTTCTACCCTCACTTTCATCTGGTCATGGTTGAGGGCTCGAAGCCGTCCAATCGCCATAGTCAGACATGGGTATTGCGACCCTAGGACTTTTACTTCTCGCTATAATGTAGTAGCTTGTACCGACCTCGAGAAGCATTAGACTCATCAGACTCGCCGCTAACTCCCGCGTTTGATCTAAACCGCACATCTCAACTGCACCGTGACGCCATCTGCAAGAATCCTCATTGAGCACAGAATACGGGTAGTCACGAAGATAATTATCAAGTCGACAGCTCCAATCGCAACGATTGGCCTCAAGCCCGCGATAAACGTCTGGCCTAGATTAAAGAGGCCAATGTGACAAGCTCATCACATATTCCTCGCTCGACAGCTCACACCTTGGAGCTCGGGCTTCGACAAGTCCAAGCGGACCTCCAGCTGTCACTTTCCTCAGACAAACCTAAATAGATTGAATGCCCACGGCAATTCCATGGAAACGGCGCTCTAGCACACGCCTGGTATACGACTAACCGTCAAAGGACCTGGGGCAACCGCAGACTGAACGGCCCAAGCCCGGCGACGGGTGTCTAGACCAGCAACGGGCAAGGGATCAGCGCAGGCATTGCCGATCGACGAGCGCGGCTGTTTGGGGATGGCGTAGCGCGTCTCAGGTTGAAATTGGCAACACTGGAATGAGGTCACGGCCTCAGGAAGCGATTTGATGTGTCGCGAAGGACAATCGAAATATGGCGACGTTTGAAAGGAATTGACCGCTCTTTGCTCCTTTGTCTTTTTTTTTTTTTTTTTTTTGGATGGCATGACTAAGCGATGCTGGCCGAATAAGCCCGTACATCAGCCCATCCACTTGACTTACAACTAGTCAATTGTCAGGCCACGCCATCACGCGACAACGCATCGCTGTGAAAGTCATTTTAATATCTCGTCGCTCGCTGACTGGACGCTGGCATTCTGCGTCTTCTCCGTCTGCATCCTTGTTTTCGCGGGACCCACCGGGCTTCTCGAGGCCGAACAGTTGGCGTTTTTCTGGAAGCAATATACCTCAACCTTCCGATTCCTAGTACTACTCTATCAGACTTCTGCTTTGATCGGAATGCAGGATCCGAACCCCCTTCTCGTGTCAGCAGCTGCGCCCGACTCTTTCTGAGAAAAATATACCATGCCATACATTTGTCACTGCCATCATGCACCGAAAACAAAGCCCGCGCCGAGCCATCGGCCGAGTGGGCCTAATTTCGGAGGTTAGACGAGACCGTTGAACCGCTGCGGAGTACCTGTCGTGCGTTAACACGTTCGCCAATAGTGGCAGCCTGGTACGCTGTTAGTCAGGACAGACTGCGACGCATCTAGTCTTGGCTTGCGCGATGACCTAGCTGGAACCCTATTGTAGGGTCCTGTAGTCGATTCAAGTGACAGCGACCAAAGCGCGTGCGCCATATAGATTGCATCCCGAGTTTAAACTCGTCCACGGTTTGCCTTCGCCACGAGGTCGCTTGTTTCACCTTATTACTCAGGATGCCGTGACAGATCTAACCGTTAACCGTCTGGCCCATGGATTCCTGACAATGGCAGCCCCAGTGGAGTTGAGTGGAGGAGATTGCAGGGATCAGCCCACCTTTGCCGATTCCTTGTTCTGTTCGCCCAAAAGAGGATGCCCTAGGTGATCAGTCTTTTCGATGGCCATGGTCTGATTTGACGGATCGCTGACGCTTCTTTCTCGCGCCCGTTCGGGGCCTCCTGGTTGGCACGTCGCGATCGTCAGAAACCGGAACGTTATCCCCGTCTTGGAAGGTGACCCGCTCGACATGCTTGACGATGCCCCTGATTGAGGTTAGTCGATATCGCGTACATCATGTTGGAGGGGTCGGATCGGACGGATCTGGATCGGAATCGTGCTATGCGAGATGGCAGAAAGTACTATATAACGAACGCGGTGCCCCGGCCATGCGATTGCCACGAGATGCCCCCAGTTTTACCCTGACTTTCCAACGATCCTTTTGCTCTTTCAGAGTCTCTGCTTCTAGTCGTTTATCTGGTTCAAGGACACTTTGAAGGTTAATACATCCACATCTGCAACATGCCATGCGATTACGGTGTCCGTGATGGCCCTAAGCCGAAACATATCGACCGCAAGGCGATCCATACTAGTCTAGAGGAAAGAATCAAGTACCTCCACGACTTTCTGGAGTTTGGCTCTGGTAAGCTTTCCATCTATTTAGCCTGGTTAAACCATAAGCTAACCTCAACGTTTTACAGCCGACATCGAAGCGCTCGCCAGCGGCGCCAAGTACATCAAGCAGCTCATCCCCGCTGTCGTCAACCTGGTCTATAAGAAGCTCCTCCAATACGATATCACCTCTCGTGCCTTCCATACCCGAACGACAGCCTGTGAAGACGAGTTAGAAGAAGACTTTCTTCACGAAGAGACGCCCCAAATTCAGCGGCGCAAGATGTTCCTCCGCTGGTACTTGACTCGCCTGTGTCAGGATCCTACCAGTATAGACTTTTGGCGATATCTGAATAAGGTTGGGTAAGTACAGTGCTATCAATTATGGCCGACGACTTCTCTACGAACTCAACTAAACAATACTACATAGGTTGATGCACTGCGGCCAAGAACGCATGGCTCCCCTCAACATCGAATACGTCCACATCAACGCCTGCATGGGCTACATCCAAGACATCTTCATCGAAGCCTTGATGTCGCACCCGCACCTCTCGTTGCGCCGGAAGATCGCCCTCGTCCGTGCCGTCAACAAAATTCTTTGGATCCAAAACGACCTCTTCGCCAAATGGCGCGTCCGCGACGGTGAAGAATATGCCGACGAAATGTCGATCTATAGCTTTGGCTCTCGCGAGGGCTATCTGGGCGACAAGAAGATCCTTGGTAGTTCATCTGGTAGTTCCGACGACGATGATCGATCTAGTATCACCAGTGTTGCGCCTTCCACGCAGAGCGCTGCTCCCTCGACGAATACCACAGACACGACGCACACAGCGCAGACGACGCAGAGTGCACGGAGTGGTCCGACAAAGTCGTCGGCTTGTCCTTTTGCGGAGTTTTCGAAGGCGCAGTCGATGGAGACGAAAATTTGGGCGGAGTGATTTTGATCCTCGTGTGTGGGATTGGCATTTGTTTATAGCGTGGATTGGGCGTTGTTTGCATGGGCGGAGTTTTTTTACCTGAATACGAATTGGATCTCTCTTCCTTTCTTCACTATCATACACTACCGGTATAATATCCGACGTTTAATTGTTGGGTCGGATTTAAGAACGTTAAAGCCACCGAGAAGACGGGTTTGTACCGGGGAGAACTTTCGGTTGGTCCATTGTTTCGGGAAACCCCCACTGCATGACGAAGCTCGTGGCTGCCCTCGTGGCTGTACGTCGTGGCTGGATGAGGTTTTGCGAGGATTGTCGTAGGGTATGTGGAGTATTCTTATGCCGGTTGACAGGGATTGACGACGCTAAGCGTGTATATCGTAGACAGATTGGATGCCACTGATTGGGGACCGTTTAAGGTTAGTCTGGGTGAGGTCGGCACTTTTTGTCGGGTGTTGGTGACAGCTAAAGGAGCGTGGAATTATCTCTAAGTCCGAGTCTCCCCTGATTTTACTGGGTGACTGTTCTGGAAAGCATCCGAAGCATCGCAACAGCATACTCCGTAATTGGCATACACAGGATCAACAGCATGGATATACGGAAAGCTTCCGGCCCCGCTTTGTCAGCCCCCCTCAGCCTTGATGATCCTGCATCTGCGATCTTAGTACATGAGACTAATATTGCAGTCGAGTTCACGATCGAAGAGGACAGATCGAACCTGGAACTAAATCTCGGAAGCGTCCCTCCACTCGGCACCGCCAGTCCACACCGTCCACGCATTTATACAAGCTCCCGTCTTAACTCCGCCAGGTCTTCAGCTCGCGGGTCTCCCCTCCACCCCACATCTCCAATTCGGCAAGATCAGCTTAACTATCGACTCGTTAAATCCAGCCCCTCCTCACGCCATCACAACTTCACACCTCTTTTTCTTCCTCTCTTGTGCAAGTCCCCTCCTCCCTATATGCAACCATGGCGCAAAACAACGTAACCCCGCTCATCATCAACGGTGAATCCATCGTCACCGACATCAAGTTCGAGGTCCACGCACCCGCCACCGGCGAGCTCTCCAACTACTGCGCCGGCGCCTCAGTCGACGATGCCGTCCGCGCTGTCGACACCGCCAAGGCTGCATTCCCGGCCTGGGCCAAGATGAAGGCCTACGACCGTCGGGATATCCTCCTCAAGGCCGCTGACATCATGGCCTCGCGCAAGGAGGAGCTGATCGCGTACCAGCGCGAGGAAACGGGTGCTGGCCGCCCTTTCTCCGAGCACACCTTTAATCTGGGTGTGAGCTTTATCAAGGACTTTGCAGCGCGCATTCCGACTATCGAGGGCGTTGTCCCGAATGTTACGAAGGATAACGAGGGCGCGATGGTCTTCAAGGAGCCGTATGGTGTTATTCTCAGCATTGCGCCTTGGTATGTTCTTTTTCTTAATTTTGATGTCGTGCTTCCCACCTTATGCAGTGTAACTCACATCGACCTCGAAAACCAGGAACGCCCCCTTTATCCTGGGTACCCGGGCCGTGGCCCTCCCGCTCGCCGCCGGCAACACAGTCGTACTGAAGGGCTCCGAGCTCTCGCCCAAGTGCTTCTGGGCTCTGGGTGATATCTTCCGCCAGGCTGGTTTGCCTGCTGGCGTTCTGAACGTCGTCTTCCACCAGGCTTCTGATGCCCCCGCCATCACTAATGCCCTCATTGCCCACCCGGCTGTGCGCAAGGTCAACTTCACCGGTAGCACCAACGTCGGTTCCATTATTGCTTCCACCGCTGGCAAGCACGTCAAGCCTGTCCTGCTTGAGCTGGGTGGTAAAGCTTCGGCAATCGTTCTAGATGATGCGGATCTTGACAAGGCGGCTATGAATTGCGCTATTGGTTCTTTCATGCACGTAAGTGCACATCCGCATCCAAATAGAACAAACTATAGAGTAAAATAACCTAACATACTGTTCAGTCCGGCCAAATCTGCATGTCAACCGAGCGCATCGTCGTGCAACGGGGCATCGCTGACCAATTCCGCGAAAAATTGGCCGCAACAGCCGAGAAGCTCTTCGGCAAAGACGCACCGGCACCAGTGCTAGTCAACTCCGCCGCCGTGACAAAGAACAAGAAGCTTGTTTCGGACGCCGTCTCGCACGGCGCGAAACTTTTGTTCGGCGACGCGGGCGCCAGCGAGTCCGTCGATACTAGCATGCGTCCCATTATCGTCGACGGCGTCACAAAGGACATGGACATGTACGCGACCGAGTCGTTTGGTCCGACTGTTTCGCTTTTCATTGTTGATTCGGAGGATGATGCGATTGCTCTCGCGAATGATACCGAGTATGGGTTGACTAGTGCTGTGTTTACTAACAACCTCTTCCGTGGATTGCGGGTTGCGAAGCAGATTGAGTCTGGGTGAGTTTACTCTAACCGATTATCTAAAGACTAGAACCAGGATGAGAAAACTAATTGTTGCTACAGTGCCGTCCACATCAATGCCCTGACTGTACACGATGAGCCTGTCCTGCCTCACGGCGGATGGAAGAGCAGTGGATTCGGTCGCTTCGGTGGAATCCATGGCTACGATGAGTTCCTGCAGACTAAGACTGTTACCTGGTTGGAGTAAATGCATAGCTCAACTTGGTATTTGAGGTAGTTGGCGCACTGGCACGTGATGGCATGTCTGCATTGTGATTGACTTGAAACGACTTGGTCGAAGACTGTCGGATTTGCGATTTTTCAATCTCGTCATTTGATTCGGACACCCTGTCTGGCTGTCAGATCTGCGTTCCTTTCCTTTTTAAAAGCCTTGGGCGGAGTAACTATAAATACCCCTTGAACATATTCACAAACTCATTGATTAGCGATTATTCGCTTGCATGCTGTCTTCAGTGGTCACATCTCTTGGGCATGTTGGCCTCTTGAGAATGTTGTAGTCCATTTCGGGGTTGGGAAGCGTAACAGGAGTATTCGACAAAAAGGAGTCATCGTGTCGTGCGTAGTTCCACCCTGGTGAGCAAAAAGGCGGAAGCTTTAGGCTGATGATGTTTAGTTGAGCTTGAACGAGATTCGTAGCGAGACTGCACTCATGCGCATATCATCATTCCTTTCAAGGAGACTGTTTCCAATTCATTTTGAACAATTTCTTGGTTCGACTTGCTTAAAAATTAATAGGAGAAACCCTGGACAAGGGGCCTAGGTGCATCTAATTAGATGGTCATGTTTACCGGAGTTCTCTTCAAACAGCGAAACTCCGTCTTTAAATTCTTCCATGAAGGACTATAGAGGTATTGCATTCTAGCCAAGAAGACGCAAGTCATAATTCTCTCGTCGAGAATGAACGCCCCAGACAGTTGAGATTGCTAATGTTCGGGTAAGTAAAGACCCGAGCCATCGCAGATACTCGCCTCAACGGCAAGTCAAGTCATAACTGTGACCAGTAAGAGTGCATTTTTGCGCAGCAAGTTCAATGGGCCATCTGTCAACACATAGCAATGCATTCGGAAGCACCTCCGAGCTAACCTCCAAGCCCCATCCCATCGCATTACGTTCTCGACAACTTCCCAAAATCGAGCAAGCGCCCACCAAGTGAGGCTCTACTCGCAAACTCCATCCAGCTGCACTACTACGCAGTAGCACAAAGAATAGTAGGATTTAGTGTCATCGCCAACGAACGGACACACCACCAAATCAGGACAGATAATTGGAAGGAATCCGACCCATTGGGGCCATAAGTGAACCCCACAGGTGGCCGACATAGCGCCCGAAGAAACCCCGTCCGGGCCACGCCAGGCACGACCTCGCCAGGACCACCACAGCGTGTGCCTGGCCCCTGCTGGGTTCATCGGTGGCGTCGCGATAATGAGATACAAAATACTACCCCATTCCGCGATGCGATTGGTCGTCTGCGGGCTTGGCAGGAGAGTCGGGAGGACTCCTATAGGTGTGGCATAGGGCGGGAGGAATTAATATGGAAGTGGCCATAGCCTTGGATGAGTGCGGAGTGAACGCCTTGAAATGACAGCCTTTCTGACGGCGTTTGGCTTTCGTATTCTAGTATCCTATTCGTGCCGTGTACCGTCAGCCTCGCAATCTAGCCGACGGGCGGCCTAACCATCATCAAGTAGGGCTTGATCAAGCAGCTGTGCCTGCAGCTGTGCCTGCAGCTGTCGCCGTTCCTACGTCTTAGCTCTGTAGGCCAAGCAAAACCAAATATCCCAAGCCAGCGAAGCACCGATGACATTGGCCACCACTCTGGGTCAAACTCTCCCGTACTTTGACCGCAACCGACCCACGCGCGAAAGCACACAAGGCCCCCAGAGCGAAAGAACCGGTTTGCTAGCGGTGAGCTGTCCCTGTGCAAATTTTTTCAAGGGTGGGTGTTGGAGTGGCGGACTGCTTGAACGTCACGATCAGATCCGGCGCTGGGAGACAACGGAAGCAAGCCGATGCGAAGAGGCTGAATCCATTATCCCGTTGAAAGCCAAGCACAATCACCGTTCTCTTGGAGGCGCGAAATGGGGACTGGGAGGCTATTTTGAGCGTGCGATTCACCGGATTCCATGGGCGGGTGCCAATAGCGCGGAAGGAGCTCCGTTGGCGGATTCACTCTTTTTTGTGCGGCGCAGGGACCGAGCCCCAAATCTCCGGAGGCACAGAATGTGCTGTACATACAATTGGCTCTGCTGGGGTGTGTGTTGCACGCAGGAACGCCCCACCACCACGCGAAGTCAAGGAAATGCGCAAATCACCGTGCACACTGTGAGACAATCGAAATTTCCTGGGCGGAACAGCCGAACTGAACAGCCACACCAGCCGTGGTGCCCCCAGTTGAAGTGTCACGGCAGCACGCAAGTTCCCCTCACCCGCAACCACCCCTGATCAACCGTTGATCCTTACCGGTGGTATCGCAGGTCCGACGAACCGGTGGGATCGGCAGAGCGGTGGGTTGGGCACCATGATGGGTGGGAGGGGTGTGGGGAGCCGATGTTCAGGGGAGACCCGACGGTGCTTAGCGTAGGGTCAGGCAGGCAGGCAGGGTAAAGTCAGTTAGATCGCGACGCAGAGAGAAGGTCAAGGCCCCGATCGAAGTGCGCCAGAACAAGCGGGAATGACACGATGTGGCGCTCGGAAATGAATCGACGACATCGTGAGACCCTGCAGGGAAAGCAACGGTAATACCGGCGGTGTCAATACGGGTATCTTACACCCAGTTGGGCCGGAGAATATCCGGCCGTTGATCTCATTCTCTCCCTCATCATTACCTTGGGGCAGCACTGGCAAGAGTAAGACATTTAAAATTAGAAGTGATGGATGCCATTAGCTCTTCTTTCACGATTCACGACTAAATGCTGGGCACTCATGGAGCTCTCTGTCTCCATATTAATAGATTTCGTAGATCGTATCGTCTTTGATTAAGGGCTAGTTGTGATTACCGCTCCATTCCTGGCCCTTCCAGCCAATTTCCCTCCGTATTTTGGGTTTAGTCCGGCATGGGCATTTCTCGACATTCCTCGTCTCACTGGCTGCCCTCCTGCGGTGCTCCAATTTTTTGGGATTGCAATCTGGTCAACGGCGAGCCTTGTTGCCGTATTGTACATACACCTGCACTACGGCAAGTACATAATCCACGAGCTACGCCCCACGAGGGACCCTAGACTCGTCGGAGTATAGTCGTACAGCTTGTAGCCCACCAGTGGTACCGTCGTATCAATCACTTTCACTCGGTCTCAGATCCTGCTAGCAAGAACCCAAAATAATCCGAGTCCGCCGGTGGCGTGTGAGTAAATGTATCACAGGGTCTTTGGTAGACTCAGTTATTCTTACATACAATGGTACACCTGCCAGCAGTGTCAGCGCCCCCGCTAGACAAACCGGGGAGATACTCCGTCTCCTCGCTTGCAAAGTAGGCTTTTGATGCCGACCCACTATGATGCAGCCCTTCGGCCTGACTGGTGCGTGCCTGGCCAGCGGGGGGTCCCGGATGGGGCTCTGAAATGTACCTCTCCACTGCCCTAAACATTGCCCCAAGAGTAGAAAGCAACTGCGCCTTTCTCCTTTCCTACTTCTTCTCTCTTTCTCCCCCAAGTCACTCCTTCCAACTTCCGTCAATCATTAGCTTTCCGCAAGCGTCCCTTCGCTCTTTCCCAACTTCAGTCATTCTTTGCTTCTACAGCTAAACAAAAACTCCGCCACCATGCGTTTCTCCTCCGGTGCCATCTTCTCGACCCTCGTCGCCTTCGCTGCGGCCTACACCCAGCCCGACTACTCAAAGCCCCCCTCGGGCAACGCTGTCCGCGCTCCCGGTCTGAACGAGCAGGTCCCCGAGGGCACTCCTTACGAGATCAAGTGGGATGCCGACAAAGGTGACCGTGTCTCCCTGGTTCTCCTGCGCGGCCCCTCCACCAACGTCGTGCCCCTCGAGACCATTGTTGAGAACATCCCCAACTCCGGCCACTACACCTGGACTCCCGGCTACAACCTGACCCCCGACACCACCCACTACGGTCTTCTGATCGTCGTCGAGGGCACCGGCGCCTACCAGTGGTCTTCCCAGTTCGGTATCTCCAAGGGCTCCGGCTCCGGCTCCTCTGGCTCAGGCTCCCACTCCACCGTCACCATCGTTGACGATGTGACCACCACCATCTGCCCCGAGACCGAGACCGAGACTCCCGCTCCCACTTCCACCCCCGCCACCATTGTGACCGTCATCGACAATGTGACCACCACCATCTGCCCCGAGGAGGACCAGACCAGCACCCCCGCTGCCGTCCCGACCTCCACCGCCACCCCGGTCGTCACTCCCTCCTCCGTCGCTCCCGTGCAGTCCTCTTCGACCGTCTACGGCACCATCGAGGTCACCACCACCATCTGCCCCGAGGAGGCCAGCAGCACCGCCACCCCCGTTGCTCCCGTTGTCTCCAGCCATGTGCCCCACGTTCCCTCCAGCATCAGCACCCTGAAGAGCACCCCTCTTTCCTCCGCAGGCGCCACCGGTACCGCCTCGGCCACCCCTTCCTCCACCCCCGTCTTCAACGGTGCCGGCCGCACCTCCATCAGCCTCGGCGCCGTCATGGCCGGTGTCTTCGCTGTCATGGCCTTCTAAGTATCTTCTTCTTGACGGGAGATGATGAACCCCCGGCGGCATCTCCTTTCCATGTCTATTCTTTCTGTATGAGTTTTCTGCCCATGAATCTCCAATTGTTTTAACTCTTTGAACGCTCTGTCCTCTGGTGAGGCGGAGTTGTATTCTGGATGGAATTAATGAGGGTTGAGAAATCTTATCGACTTACTTGTGGAAACTTATTTTCTCTTTATGACCTCGCGGTCCTTGAGCAGGACTTTTTTTGCGTTTTGTATCATGTTTGTCGCTTTGATGTATGTTCAAGGAATCAAGTCGGCTTATGCTTGTAATGCCATGTCACGTCATGCTTTATCTTCTGCGTAGCTCCGAGTCAGTATTTCATTGACCAGTATTCGGATCGAATTAAGTACTTTGTGCATTGGGTTACATTCCAGTCAGCCCTAAATACTCAAAACAGTTCGTGGTATCAATGCAGATCTGAAATAAAGTTAAGGTACTCGGCCAGGAGTTTCAGATTGAATGAAGCTACATCGAACCAGCATACGGTTCGGATCTTGAAACTGCCACGCGTTAGCCCCACCTAGACTCCCAGTCCTTCCCCATGGCCACCTAGTATAATTGCAGTTTCAGTTCCATGGCGTACAGGACAAACTCCTTGATATCGGCCTCGAATTTTTGTCGCTTTGGTTTGAAATGGTTGCGGCGTCTTCGTTGATTATTGAGGCGTCTGAGGTGTCGGTTCGATAGGGGGATTTTGAGGCGGGAATGGATGTCGGCTGCTTTAGTATTTTGAATGGAATATACTGTAGGAATCGGAGCTTATAAATCCGAGATGGGACTCTTTTTAGGGTTGATAGAAGTCAGCCAGGTTTGTTATCGGATTATCCTTGTAGGAGCGGGCAACGGACGCTAGGGGCGTATTTGCTACAGACAGTCAGATGATCCCATGTGTTGCTACTATTACTATTCCCTATGTGATGCCTATATTTTCTTTGTACCTTAGGGAATGATCAGAGTTTCTATCGTCGATTATCATCCTCTTTCGTTCGCTCTTACTCCTCTCCGCCCTCGCATGTAGTATACGATCGTAGTACACGAGTCCCCCAGCATATCCACCAGGTGCGAAATCTGCCAGCAGGCCCCCTGTATCAAGCCTGAAAGTAATCCGGACTTGCTTGTTCTCAGGCAGTACTCTGCCGATCCATACAGACATACGAACTGAAAAGACAAATATACTTCCAAATCAGGAAACTCATACCCACATCCATTATCCACCACGTGACCGCGATAAGTCGATAAGGATTTTTCCAACAATCCACGGGGCAACCACTCACACTTCTGAAGGTTCAAGTTGTAACCACCTTAACCTTACTCAGATCGCAAACCTCTCAGTGCTGCAGGCAGTACTCGCACCACCACACAAAAAGCACAATGGCACAAGGACTCCTGAAGAAGAGCAAGCCGACCACGGCAGCGACGAAGCGGTACGTCGGACTCAATCCAACCTCAACGCATTCTTCGCCCTAGCAACGGGCAAAGAGAAGAGAATTTCTACAAGGCAGGACAGAAACAATGCTAACTATTACCATGGTACAGTGGCGCGAACGCCCGCACAAAGCCCGGTCCCCGACAGGTCGCGCCGAAGAAGCAGGGTCTCATTAAGCAGGCGAAGTTGAATAAGGTTCGTGCAGCCACTCCTCTGTCTTGTCTGTCTGGGGACTTGGATGAAGATTAGTCTCATTGACTCGAACTCCTCTCGTCGGCTTGGTGGATGATGCTAACCATATTCCAAATAGAAACTCACTTCCGGCCTGGTTGCGAAGACGGAGCGCAGTCTTGCGTCCAAGGCGGGACATTTGGAAATGCTTGCTGGTGGGAAGAAGGATAAGGGGGATAAGAAGGGGAAGAAATAAAGTGATTATTGTGTTTCCGGGTGACGTTGGACATGTGTTTGTCAGTGGCTGAGGCGCAGGTGTTTGTTTTTTCTTCTTGTTGGGACTGCATTTTGCTATCCCGTTCTACTGATAAAGGTCTGGTTGGTACATGGGCCTTGTTCGATTTGTTAAACTCATATGTGATCGCTCAGCGATACGATTCATGAATTCGATACCCTGTTATTCTCCATGCGCGAGTCCTCTACTGTTGTAACCTGTGAGGTTAGAACACTGACGAATAATCTAGTACGATATCATACGTGTCTGCTCTTCGTTATTGTCCAGCTGCTAGTTCATTGATGCTACCTATCAAGAAGCGAAATATGTATGGAGAAAGAAAAATCCCATGTACAAAAGAGCCGCCCTCTAAACAAGCTACCCATCGAGTCGACATGAGAGGCGATATTCGTTAATCATAAACACTTGGAAGTAGAATATAGTCGTGAGCCATTGAAAGGCAAAAATCCGGACGACAAGGCAGAAAAAACAGAGAAAAATGAAAATCACAAGAAATGAAAAAAAAAAAAGAAAAGGGTATCTAATATCCAACTCCAATCCGCACCATTGCCAATCCAATCCATGCCGTGAATGCTGCCGCTTTATATTTTGTTCTTTTCGAGTAGATCAGAATTTCGAGATCTGGCTGGGTACACGCACACCAGCCTGCTCGATCAATTCCTGTCCCCGGTCCATCCAAGATTGAAAGCCAGCATCAGATGGGTCCGAGGGGAAGTCGTCCCAAACTGCGTTCTCCGAGTCCGCATACGAAGACCAAGTTCCCTTCGGTACATCGCTGGTGGACCATGAAGGCAGCTTGGCAAGGACGCAGGTGTAGTAAACGTATAGAATGCGGCAGAGCAGCTCGACGCGGTCGACATAGTGCTGCTGCGTTGGATCGGGGCTTTGGCCTCCGTCGCCCAGGCGCTTCCACCAGGAGCAGCGCCAGCGCAGCGAGAGGAGGATGTGGCCGAGCTCGTTGAGGAAGCGGATGTGTGTCTCGTGCGATATTTGTTTCCATTTGATGTTGTAGAAGTCGCGTTCGAGTTTGCGGAAGCCTTCGACTTCCATCATGCGGCAGACGATGCGGGAGAGTTGGGCGGCGAGCAGGATGTCGCGGCGGTCTTCTGGGTTGTTGATGTCCATTGAACGTTCTTGGCCGTTTTCGTCGAGTGGGACGAAGGTGTATCTTGCGCGGCTGGGCATGTTGTTCCATTGCGAAAGCAATGTCTGTGCCAATGTGAGTAAATATTCTATCTGATTTTCCGCGGATTGTTACTCACGTATGCCTGGTTCATCGGGTCGCAATCCTTAACACAGGTCAACCAGTTCTTTGACTTGTCCTTGGACTCGACGATGCGGCGGTCAATGAACTCCAAAAAGGTCGACTTGGAATTGCCGTTATATTCACTCAAGCTCTTCAAGAACTTGTACGTCTCACCAAGATCGAGAACATATAAAGAGCCCCAAGCCTGGCTGGCACGGATGTTGAACCGACCCTGGCGCTCGGAGAGGAATGATAGGAGCTGGGTCATGTCAAACTCGGTCGGGATTTCCATTCGAACTCGAGCAGTGCCGTCAAGAGTAGGGTGGTTGACAGCTCGTTGAGCTAGGTAGAGTTAGTTAAAGTCGCTTGATTAGAGACGTGGGAAAACGTACAGATATAGTTGCATGTTCCGAATTCGACAATGCTGGAGAAGCAAGCACGAGCACAGGGCTGTTCGTGAAGAGTAGGACGACAGGCATCGCAAGGCGAGCTTCCATCACACTGCATCAGATTTAGTTTTTACAATTCAAAAACATTGTCGGTTGGGAAATACCGACCTTGCGCTTATTCAGTCGACATTGAACACAGGTATCCTTATTCTTGCGGCGCATACCAGCATTAGCCCGACCGACCATACTCAGCGGACCCTTGCGGCGAGCACCGCGTGGAGGAGAAACAAAATCGGCCGACGCAATGGAGCCACCTTGACCATCCTCTTGAACAATCTGCAAAGGCTTAGGCTGGCCCTGGTCCATGGACTGAGGGTTCCGGTTTTTGCGCTTGCGGATCGTAGCCACGGATTGCATCGCAAGAGGCATGGGTCGGCCAGAAGCCCGATGACCCGCAGACGAAGAAGCCCGAGATCTTGAGGGATTGTTGTTGATCACGGAATCTGACGGGGTCTCGCTGACCATAAAGGCAGTAGTGCCGGGGACAGACGACTCCGGGGAACTGTGGTCGGGAGTCGCAATTTTCCATTGCGCATCGTCCTCCAGCTGACGGTCCGCAAAGGCCGGGGCATCGTCACTCGAGTACTGGTACTCGTAGATACCAGACATATCTCCAGCGACAGAAGAGTTCTCAGACTTGAACTGGAAGCAATCTTGCAGGGGTTGCGGGGCCGGCGATGTTTGCAACGAGGTAGGCGGCGTCGTCATCTGGGTCACTGGCAACTGCGATTCCAGATTGTTGATCCATCGTGACTCGAGAGACCGCATCGACGGCTGGAATTGCTCCTTGGCGTTGTTCTGCGAGTTCATTGCCAGCGGCACGGAGCCTTGGCCCGGCATGTTCTCCGTCGAGATGCCGTGCGGGATCTCGGGCCATTGTTCCATCATCGGAAACGACGGAGGCACCTGCTGAAACATGATCGCCTCCGCCGAGGCATCCGGAAATCCTTGACCCTGCGGCATCTCGCCCACGTCGTCGACAATCACGGCGCCGGCGGAGTTGTTTGGGCCTTTACCGTAGGGGAACATCACCGGTGCTTCCAGGGACATCCCGGCGGCCACGGAGTTGAAGAGTTGGAAGTGCGGCCACGGTTCGTCGGTATGGAAGTTGTCGTCGGTGGACGACGGGATGGTACGAGGGCTGATAGTACCACTGCCAGTGCCCTCGACCGGGCCATCGGCGTAATTGTATTTATCGTTCGTCACATCGCGCTTTCTGTGACGCCGTAATGGGTTAGTCTCATCTTCTCTTCTCAACCCCTCACGACAATCGACCTCGATCCCGCGAGCGAGCGGGCGACGACGGAAAGCGAATGCGCACCTATTCTGGATATCACCCGATCGATCCAGCAGTGATCCCGTCAGCGGATCATGGAAAGCGCCCAGGTCGGCGACATCGGCACACTGGCTCGATTCCTGACTGGTATCCCACTCGGGCGGTTGGTCGTATCCCAGGTGTTCCCACGACCCGACAGAGAAGGCGCCGTCAGTTTGCCAATTATCCAAAATTTTGGGGTCAATCCCCGCAGCAGTTCCAGCGCTTGCGCAGTCCATACAGGATACAGGCGTAGCTCTTGCAGAGATGGGCGTGGGTAGAGCCGGGCAAATATCGCAGAAAAAAAAAGGCCGAAGCTTTTTTTTTTTCAGCGACTTTGCGGGACGGATGGGAAGAGGCGGGACCGAATCGAAGGAGATTTGCGAAGTCGCTGACGATGGAGGAATGATGAAGGATGCAGAGGGGAAGAAGATGACGGGTTCCCCACCACCAAAGTTTTGCGTGCTTGCGATCGTCTCTAGCGTGTTTCTGGGATCCGCACAGACCGCAGCAGCCTGACAGAGGGCGGATGGCGGATTGCGCGCCAAACTAGTCGCGTTGGGATTTGATCTGCTAGTTGGGATGTAACTACAGCAATATCTTGTGGACGATAGTCTGTACTATAGGAATAACATCCATCCTTCTTGGACAAAAACGATTCAGGGCTGCTCGTGTACCCCCTGTATACAACGCCCGGTATGCACCAGGATCTCTCGGGCACGAGGTGGACTGATCTTACGCGAGACAATCAGCAAATCGTCCCTGATAGAGAGGACCCGTGGGCCAGGCGGGCTGTGGTTGGCCAGTCAGCTTCGACCCAGGTACCTCGTGTGTTAAGGTACGGCCTGGACAGGAAATGTCCCCAGCGACCTTTGGAAAGCCGGACTGCAGCGTACCGAGTGATTCATCAGTCCAGCGGCTGCGCTGTACACCGTAGTCTGGGGGCTGTATTAGTCATATCACGTGATATGTAGATCATGTGATATATTAGTCATAGACAAGAAGGGCACGAACTGGAGTACTGAGGGAGGGTATACTTTCAGTATGGGGTATACGGTATACTCCTAGTGTAATAGCCTAAGTAACTCCATCAATCTGGTCATATATCGGCTGCACGCAGCTGCACCACACCTAAATCGAGGTTATTTCGCCCTAGAAAACCCATACCCGGCCCATTCTCGCCTTCCCCGTCTGCCTCTCCTCACAACCGCCTCTGCTGGCCGCAGAATCTGCACACCGAACGGATCGGTTCACCGCAGACTCCATCTGGCCTCCAATTGCCGCCCCCGCAGCCCCCGACAACTTTGTGCTCAACCCCATTCGGCACGCCGGTACGCTCCAGCATGCCAGTGCCACACCCAAATGCCTCCAATCCAGCCGAATGGCTCAATCCTTAGCCATCCCCATATAAGGCCCGCGTCCCGTGGGGTTGCAACTGTTTCACAAGTGTTGCATCGACTTATCCCTCACTGTACATACAGCTATAAGTGATCTACACTCGTGGAGAGCCAGATCCCTGCCCGAGCTCAATCTCGAATTTCTGTATAGCCGAGCACTGCGCCGGCCCGGTCTTTTTCGTCGCAATGCATATCTTGGTCAGTGTTCACGCGATCCCTCGATTCTTTTTCTGTTCGCCCTTTTTTCTTGCCGTGGGCTGGTTATGCGACGCTATGCCTTGCTATGTCAATACCAAGGCTAGCGACCAGCGCATGAACTATGACATATCCGCTGCGCCAATTCTCCCCTTGGTTGGTTCAAGATAAGGATTTTGAACAAGGATTACAAGCGCATGCACCAGATGCAAAAGAGAGGGGTAAAAAATAAAACTATGACGCAGCACTAACACCCACCAGGTCGTCAACGACGATGGTCCACCCAACACCCGGCTCTCGCCCTATATCCGGCCCCTCGTCGACGAACTCCAGACAGCCGGCCACCTCGTCTCTGTCGCCATCCCCGCCGCCTCCCGCTCCTGGATCGGCAAAGCCCACCTCATCGAAGCAGCCCTAACAGCCAACTTCGTGCACAAAGACTCCTTCCGCGCAGATGGCACCTGGGACGAATCCTACCAAGCCCCCGCCGGCTCCAGCGCAACCGGCCAAGATGAGGCGGAATGGGTCGTCATTGAGAACGGCACGCCCGCCAGCTGTGCCCAACTGGGCCTGTACAACCTCTTCACAGACCGCCCGCCCATCGACCTCGTCATCTCCGGCCCCAATCACGGCCGCAATGCCTCCACCATCTATAACCTGTCGTCGGGGACGGTCGGCGGCGCGCTCGAGGCCGTGTTCTGCGGGAAGAAGGGCATTGCCATCTCGTTTGGGAGTAAGGATCCCCAGACTGATGCGGTGATTGCGGCTGCAGCCAGGTTGGCGGTTAAGGTTGTTGCGCATTTGTGGCGCAATTGGGATGAAAGGGTTGAGCTATATAATATTAATGTGCCCATGCGTGAGGACGTTGAGGCTCAGCCTGTGCTGTATACGCGCACTCTGCCTTATTATTGGTCGAGGGGGTGCTTGTATGCTGAGGCTGGCGTGGAGGTGAAGAAGAAGGCGGTCAATGGGTTGACGAATGGTGTGCACAAGGACGAGTGTAATGGTGTCAATGGCGTTAATGGTGTTCATGCCGTGAATGGCGTAAATGGGCACGTTGAGGCCCCGAAACAGCGCCAATTCAAGTGGTCTGCCGACTTGTCTGATATGAAGAAGAGGTTGCAGGAGAGCGAGGACGGTACAGATGCGCATACCGTTCTGAACGGGTCAACGAGGTGTGTTGCCTCCTTTTTCTATTATCTCATTTATACTAACCAACACAGCGTGACTGCTTTGCGCGCCAACTTCTGGCACGTCCCCGACCTCGAAGGACCAATTGACCTCGATCGGTAAAGCGTGGCCAGAGCACTCTGGATTGCATGGATGATGTTTTCTTGTTATCATTACCAGGCGCAGTGGTTGGTCTTGCATTGGGGAGCAGCGCGCATGAACCTTTATGATTATTAACGGAGCGTCGGGCTATAGATGGGACCGTGGAAAAGAAAGAGGACCCATTTTGTACATAGATCATAGATCATATATCGTGGAACATTTTATTTACGACCTGTTACCCAGCCCAAACGGTGCTCAACTATCGAAACTGAAAATAGGAATGCATTTGCAACAGATAATTGGGGGTGTATCACATGAACAACATCAAAAGAGCTACTGAAGCTGAGCTTTCGTCTACAAAGCGCGCGCAGCCTCACCTGCACCACTCTCCACAGTCGTCGCTTGCTCGGCCCGCATCTTGCCCTTTCCAATGCCGCCCTCGCCAACACCCATACGGCGAGCCACGTACCGCTGCGCAACGACGCCCGCTGCGAGCGAAAGAGTCTCCTCGATCCACTCGGCAACCCACTCGCGCGGGTCCACGCCTCCACTCTCGATGATCTCGGCGATAGCTTCGGGCACAACGGCGCGCGGGACCTGTGCGTCCTCCGCGTCCGGGTTCTCCGGGGCCGGCGCGGAGGCGTCGAGCCATTCAATCCACTGCTGAGGAACCGGTTGGGAAATGGTGTGAAAGGCAATGCCGTGCACGGGATCATGGAGGTACAAAGCAAATGAAATCTCCTCCTCTGGCTCGGGGGTATCGACCGCGCCGGGTGTGGTGGGCTTCTCGCCTGATGCGCCGGCCTGGAAGAGGTCTGTCGAGACCGTCTGGCGGATAGCCTGGATAGCCAGGAAGATATCACTGCTGCGGACCGGGTTAGATTCGCTCAGGACCTCGCTGGCTTGCTTCGCGGCTTCTTCGATTCCGCCTCGGGAAGCAAAGTACTCTGTTGCGTAGGACTCGGCGCTTGCACGGGCCAATTTGGATCCCTCGATTGTACCGGGCACCGCATTGATGGTGCGCGGGGTTCCGGGTGTCACTGTCCGCCACCAAGGCCCATCGCTCCATCCAGCACTAGAAATATATCCGCCGACATCAAGACCGCGCTTGGGAGCAGACTCTTGACCCCGCTGAATGACCAGCAGGTCTCCACCCTCGACCTGTGCCATCACGCGCGAGAAGACAGCATATACTAACGGGTCCACGCCGGGGTAGCCAGAGAGGTCGTGGGTCACATGGATCTGGAGACGTTCGTGCGAGGAGATGGGAGGCGCAAGAGTGTGAATGAGGTTGGTGAAGGTTGGGATGGCCATGTTGCGAAGCTCGCCGCCTATATAATGTTAGTGTTAGCAGGAATCCCAGTGCATGTTAAAAGAGTGTAGGGGGATAATTACCAAAGTCCCTCAGCGCACCAACATTGCCCTTCATTTGCTGCGCCCAGCGCTGAGCCTCCTCATTGTTTTGGATTTCCTTGACAGCAGCCTCAGCCTGCTTCATAGCAGCAGTAGCGGTAGCACTGGCAGTTGCGAAGATTCCTCCCCACCAACCACCACCCTCCTGCTGCTGCTGCGGTGCAGCCTCTTCCGGCTCCGTCTTAGGCTGTTCCTGCTTGACGCCAGCACGAGAAGACCGACCAGTCTCCTCCGACTGGCGCGTCTTGTCCTCGCTAGCCCGATCGATCGTCGCACTAGGCCGCGGCGACCGCGTCGAGGACCGAGCCTTATCAGACGAAAGACGCGGTGTCCCGGGACCACTGCTCGGTCGCTGCGTAGCTAGGTGGTCCAGCTCAGCGAGGATATCCTCCTGCTCGGCCTTCGCATTGTCAGCCGCGGGGGCAGCTGGTGCCGGGACGCGCTTGGAGCCCTTGTCGGACTGGTCGATACCAAGGTTGTCGAACTGAGCTAGCAGTTCGTCGCTAGTGGGTTTGGCTCCCTTTGGAGGCATGGTGTTTGGGGAACCGAGGGGGTTGTTCAGGAGGTGACGACACTGTTGTTTGGAGCTCCCGAAGCGGCGGGTGGAGACCGCGCCAAGACCCGCAGTTGCGTTGCAGGTGCATGCAGTCGAAATAATGATATACTCGACTAGGATAAGTTCGGAGATTACTCTCTTGCTTTTCCAGTTTTTGAGTTCTTTCAGTTTGAATACGTTCGAGTTGACCAATATATTCTCATGAGGTGAAGGTATAGCTGCGATGCAATGCGGTTATACATTCAACTCGCTCAGCAACTTAAGGCGCTCCATTTGGGTCATCTTAGCACCTACAGGCATCTAGCAGACGACAAATGCAGAGTAAACACTATTTTCAAATATTGTTCCGAACTTGGTCTTATCACACTGTTGACAACTTGATCTATAAGTCTGTTGACTGACTTTTAGATGTATTTAGGCTTGCTATAATTATAGTAAGGTGTGGAAATATATACCTTGCTTGGTACACCACCTTAGAGCACAATGCATACTTACTAGCACTCATATTTGTCATGTCTAAACGTCCCCGTACAAGGTTATTTGGCTGAAAAACGTCAATGTGTTTCTGCTGAACGGAGCGCATCCGGCACGACAGCGGAAGCCGCAGACCGACATCCGCGGCATCAATTATCGGATCACTCCCGCTGCGGGACCACGCGGGGTTGGCGATAAACGCAACCATAAATACACCTTCCCATCCTCAATCTTCTACATCGGACTACAAATCCAATAAATACCTGGGTTTTCTATCGGCGCTACCCCAAGCAATCAATTCATCCGGTCCGTTATTCTCCAATACCCCTCCTTGAAGTCGGAGATCAGATGCGCCTGGCGGAGCAGAACAACCCGATCTCGCACTAGCACCAACCTCGCAACGTTCAATCTAACACACGCACGTCCAGATCAAGCTACCCAGAACCGAAAACAACCCAATTCTAAGAATTCATCACCATGCGCCTCCCCTATGTCCCCGACCCACCCCCAACCAGCACCCCAGACGAAGCCAGAATCCTATCAAGTGTTCAAGCCCGCCGAGCACCAAACCCACTCCTCCCCCTCGACCTCGCTCTCCTGCACTCATTCCCCGTCGCCGAGGGCTGGAACTCATTCATCGGCGCCATCCGTACGCGAACGAGCCTATCGACAATTGTCCGCGAACTGGCCATCTGCCGCGTGGCCGTCATCAATGGCGCGCTATTCGAATGGGATCAGCATGCGCCGCTGCTTTCGCAGGGCGGATTGAGCGAGGAAGCGCTTAAGGTTGTTGGAGATGCGCAGACGGATTTCACCGATGAGATTTGTCGTGTTTTGAGTGCTGAGCAGCGCGCTGTGTTGAGGTATACGGATGCTATGACCAAGACGGTGACGGTGCCGGATGCGGTGTTTGCGGAATTGAGGGCGTGGTTCAATGAGCAGGAGGTGGTGGAGATTACGGCGACGGTCGCGGCGTATAACTGTGTCAGTCGGTTTTTGGTGGCTCTTGATGTTGGAGAGAAGAATCATTAGATCAACTTGAAGTGTGATGTGCTATGGTTTAGCGAGAGTTTATCGGGTTTAGTCTTTTGAGGGCCATGCTTCACATGTTGGCAGCGTGGCGGGGAAACCTACGGCCTCTGACACTATCAGCAACTGCCTCCTAGGTATGGTACACTGCTAGTAGTTCTATTACACTCTTGTAATGTCACACTACGCTGGACTATTTATCCACCCTATTTTAGGATCCCGACATACATTGTGATCGATCCAATTAATACAGCGGTTGACGCGTCGAGCACCCTGATTCTCACCAGAAAGTAAGCTCCGAGTACGCGAAATTCTCGTACTATTGCCAGCTTATCAAATATGAGCGACTGGATTTTTGATCACGCTGCTCCGGTGGTGTTTAGTACATGCCGTCCAGACGTGACCAACTCCCAGGGTTGACGTCAGTGTGGAGGTAATATAGATGAGCGCCAACGGGGTTCGTGGGGTCGGGATACATCCAGCTGATGCGGGCGCAAGTGTACTGTACTAGCAGTTCACAGTTCCAGTAAGGGAGTTTGCTCCGACTATGAGATGATGATTCTTGTACTGCAGTTAGTATGGTATGGCTGTTGCGATTCCGGAAAAATACGATGATGGGGTCTGTGCATGCAGTGAAGACAGGCGGCGATCGGATCAAGGGGCCAACAAAGGAGGCCGATACCTACCGTGATCGTGTCGTCCACCATCGAGTTTGAACCATATGGAGAATCCCTGGAAAAATAGAAAATCTTCGATGTCTTGTTTCTTTCTCTGGATGATTTTACATACTGCCGTGCGTCCGGGAGGTCCCCAGCAGGGATTTACTCCCTTGCGCAAGGGCGCAACCTGATAGTATGCCGTCGAGAAAAGCGTAGACAAGTAAACAGAAGCAGTGTGTGAAACGTAGGAGATATTTAGAGAGTACCAGGCAGCCGGAATATGGTTCTATCTTGGGACACTCTTACCATAGAGTGGTTGCTGGCCGGGTAATAGAGTTGAAAAATGGTCAAACCTTGAGCAGCTGGCTGGCGAGCACTCGGAGGCGCTGGCCATCACGCAACTGCGACGAAGTGCAGTCACTGATATTGGGAAGATATTCACACTCATCCTTCTATTGTGCTTATCTCGTCTCGCAGTTTGCTGAAGCTCGAGTGAATCGCCTCGATCCAGCTGACTCTAGATGTCCCCCCGCTGATTGGCCACCGCCCCGGCTCCACACCAAATGGTCAGTACAAACTAAACTACTCCCTCTCAATCTCTTTCGCCCTCAGCTTCGACATCGTCCCCCATCTCTTTACCTTCTCCCCATGTAATTTTCTTCCGAATCTGCCCCATTTTCGATTCGTCTGCTTTCGATTCTCCCATTGCCCTGTGGCTGACTTCCCTTCCGCGCGCCGCCGGTGTAAAATTCTTCTTTTTTTTTTCTCTTTACATACTACGCTCCCCCCAAGCGCGCCTGCCACGCAATCATCTGCTGCTGCCAGAACTCCTTCATAGTTCGCGCGATTTTCACCAGCAATCCGCTGTTACTCATCTTCATTCTCTTTCACGCCGAGTCGTGCGTGTTGGTCGCGCGCTGCACAGCTCGCGGCCCAGCCTTCTCCCCGTGCAAGTACACATCCCTGGCAGCCGCTCGCGACCTGCCTGAGCGCTTCACGACAAGCGCATAATTGACCTCGATCGGCCTGGCCCCGATCGTTTGATTCACTCTCCTGGTAAGTGACTGTGTCGCGTGCGCGATCCTGGCTCTCTGTCGCGGTTTTTCATGTATGCTGGCAAATACACTTCGGGTCAGATCCTGATCCACACAATTTGCCGCGACCGTGTCTGCATTCACTTTCTTCAAGTCACTGCTGCCCCCTCCGCCGTCTATTTTATTCTACATTTCCCTCTATCTCTTCCGTGCCAATTTCCTCATTTCCGCCGTTTCGTATCCCTGTGCTTTTTTCCCCTGCAGCTGCTTTTCACCTTCACAGTCAGTCTCCCCTGGCTTCGGGAAGCGCCAATTTCCTGGCGGCTTGGCACCGCAAGCGAACCAGCCCGGCTAACGTAACTCTATACAGATCCGCTCCTCAAACCACTCCGGTTTGTTTTCTGCTTTTCCAGATCTCTGATCTGAAAAAGAATGTCTCCAATTCCTCGTCCCGACGTGGAAATGGATAACCAGTCATCTGACGTGGGCGACAGCCAGGACTCGCCCATGCGCCGACAGTTCTCCGAGCCTTTCCGGCCGCAATCTACTTCCACTCAGATCTCTCAGTCCCCTGAGCCCTTTGCCCAGCGCGTCAAGTGCGAGGGATGTGGCAAGCTTCTGGAGTTCCCTGAAGATGATTCCATGACTGAAGACGATTTGATCAACTCTCACATTGCTGCTGAACATCCCCACTCAAATGGGATGAGCTACGACGGTGCCGGCGATGTGATAGATGAAGGCGCTGACGATGTTGTCGAGGACGGCCTTGATGAGGCCATGGATGAAGGTTTGGAAGAATCCAACCTTGAAGAACTCGATGAAGATGCCGAGTACCCTGACGAGGAAGTGACCAATGGTATTGCTCATCCCGAAGAAGGCGATCTGAATGAGCAAGAAGAGCCTATCGAGACGGCTCCTGTCTCAGCCGCCGGCGACCGAAGTGCTCAGAGTAGCAACTCAGAGAATGAGGCGACAAAGACCTCGGACACAAACAACAAGACTGCCCAAGCCCCGCAAGGCAAGTACGACCTCATCGAATTCCTCTCCAATCCCAAGAGTGCATATCCAGATGCATACCGCCAGCGTTTGTCGGAGTGGCAAGAGTCGGAGATGAAAGAACGTCTCCCAAAGATCTGGACGGTTCACAATGTCAACTACTTTTCGCCCACCTACGAGCAGGACGGCGCCAAGTTGGACGATTCCTGGCAGCAGGTCTTCCGGGATGCTAAGCTGAAGAAGCGCGACCCTCCTGTTCCCACCACTCGTCCTTCTCCTTACAAAAACACCGATGTTGAGACTGGCAAGTTCCTTGATATCAACTCACCCGATGAGTTGATTGAGTTGCTCGAAAAACCTGACAAGCTCTCCCACGAAGAGCTTTACGTGGTCACCGAAACCGCAGCTCATATGATGAAGACCTGGCAAGAAGAGTATCTTGCCCTCGACAAACTCTACACACTCGCTCACCGCCATATCCGTGCTCCCATCCCAAGTGAGGCGAAGAGAGATTACTCGACTGGTCACAAGAAGCGAATTGGTAATCCGCTCGCTCAGGTGCCTGAAAACAACATCGACCATGAGGAAAAGAAGGAGGCCATGCTGTATGGCTACAAACACACCTACTTCACCACGAACACCCCCACAATGGTCAGCCGTGCGTTACAGAATCCGTTCATCCAAGGAGGATTTGTTCCCACGCCCGCGCAAGCTCGAAAGATGGCAGCCAAGGTTCCTCCCGAGGAACGAAACCCGGATGGCTGGACCCCCGTCGTGAAGCATGGCGTGGAACACGTTCCCAAGCTTTGGGAACCCCGAAAGGAGCCCATGACGAAGGTTACCCGCAAACGTAAGGCCGTGGAAGTCGATCACAAGAGTGATTCCGAAGATACGCATGACAACACACCCGATGTCGATGAGGATGAAGACGATTCTCACCCTGCAAAGCGCCGCACCCGAGGTCGCGGTGGCCGACGCGCTACATTCGAAGCCTACCAACCTGAAACACCTGCTCCGTCCTCTCGTGGCCGCGGTCGCGGTCGTGGCCGAGGCCGAGGCCGAGGTGCTGGTGGCCGTACGGCAACTACTACAACCCGACAGTCCCTCGATGCATTTCAAACTCAACCTACTCCCACATACACTCCTACTTCTACTCGCGGCCGAGGCCGCCGAGGTGCCAGCTCAATTGTAGCAGCACCTACCCCCCAAGCACCAAAATCCGCTGCATCAGAAGAAACAACCTCCCTTGCCGCCGCCTCTCCTATGCCCGAGCAAACGCCTCCAGCACGTTCCACTCCCACAACGAAGAGGGACCCCAAAGACATTACCGCCGAAGAACTCGAGGAGCAACGCCGGCAAAAAATCGCCAACTCCAAGAACCCCAAGCGAACCAAGGCTATGTTGGACCACTGGGAACGGTTCAACCGCGAAGGCCGCATCCGAAACCCCAAACGATCCAAGGCTCAAATCGAACAAGACCGTCAGAAGGAGGACCAAAAGCCCACAGAGGTTCCGCGCTCCGCTGGCCGTCGCCGTCGATCCCCTTCTACCGCCCAAATTCCTCCTGGTAACCTTGCCCCGAAAGTTCCGCACGCCATGGGCCCTATGCCCGGTATGCAGATGCCGATGGGCCAGGGCCCCATTCCCGCTGGTCATCCGGGACCGACTCTTCCTTCTCTGCAGGCGTTACCTCCTCACCCCGGTGCCCACTATACCCAACAACACCTGCAGTACAATGCATCTCCTGTTGGGCTTGGTCAGCCAATGCCCTCCAATGCGCAGTATGCGCCGTTCCCCTGGGTGCCTTATGGCACCCCCGGACCCTCCGCGCCCCCTGGGCCCTCTGGACCTCCTCCCGGACCTCATGGTCCGGCCCCGCCACCTGCACACATGCCTGGGCACCACCCACCCCAGGATCACCGACGTTGAGTTTTGAGAGATGCTGCGCAAATATTGTGGTTTTTATGCGTTATTGTTTTTTGAAAGTATCAGCGGAGATACGGGCGTTTTATGTGAACATTATTACCATTTAAATTCAAATCAGGGCAGTGTACAATAGGGGTTTTTAGCCCTTGCAAATGTAACATTTATTCTTACCCCATATACGTCTCCTTCTAGAAGCCAGGCCAAGTACATTGAGTAGAAACAATTTAGATCTTTCTCTCCCCTCTTCTAGAACTCCCATTCTGCCCTCGCCAGTCGATTTATCTACTGGTGGAATTCCAATTGTACTATGACTCCATCTAGTACTCAGTCATATTCCCCGTCACTTACATTTCACATTTTCTTCTTTCTTCTTTTTTACTTTCTCCTACTTCTCCATTCAAACTTGCCACACTCTCCACCCATGGATGGGTTCGTGAACACTCTGAATAAACTCCGAAGACACCCATCTGTTTCCCTTCTCCAGTTTCGATCGACTGTTCGAGACGTCACGTACGGATCTTGACACTGTGGTTTCATTGTCATAGTACGAGCACATGTGCAAGTGCTCTCAATACTCCTTGAGTGTACTTGATTATTTCAGTGTTTCGAGAATGATAAAAAGGACGGAATGCAGCGTGAAAGCTTATTTCGCTTTATCTATATGGATGGGCTTCGTCAGCGTGATTCGAGTGCGACGGTGTTGTTCCTCAGATAGAAGGATATTTGCAAAGGTTACTCGAGGTCGGGGGTGGGCATGAGTCTCAACGCTTTTTTTTTTCCAAGTTCATTTCTTGTTATTTTTTCATTCCTCATTAATTTTATATATGATATCCTCAGCAAATCCAGATTCACAGGTATATGAGTTTCCATGAGCTCTGTTTACTCTGTCACAGAAAGGGAGAGTAGCAACAACACAAAGTACGACCTGCAGACCATTCATGAAATTCTCAATAATTGCTTTTAGAATGTCGTGAGGCCGCAATCATGTATTTCTCTTTTTCATTTTCGGCCTCTTTTACCTTCTCCTTGCTTGTGTGAATGGTCGCATGAGCCACGTACTTTTAACGATTGACAAAGCCCGAAGCACATGAGCACAGTGATAAAATGCCTTGGCGGTCAGACGGGCGGTGAGGTGGGCAGAATTCCGAACCTCACAAGCGGATCCGCAGGCGGCTGCAGTGACTTCCTTCTCCACCTTACCCTTTCCTTCGACAATCCTTCACGCCCGCCATCACACTTTCGTTTTTCATCTCTCGAATACTTTCCCCGTTATTTTCTGTTTCTAAATCAGTACGTGCGCATCTACCGTCAATATGGTCAAGAAGAAGCGACCTCCCACCCTCCAGGAGAAGTTGGAGATGCCGTGGTGCTACTACTGCAACCGCGAATTTGTCGACCTGGTGGTCCTCACAACCCACCAGAAGACTAAGCACTTCAGGTGCGATGATTGCGCCCGCCGTCTCAACACCGCAGGTGGTCTCAAGGTGCACATGTCCCAGGTGCACAAGAAGGAACTCACAGAAGTTGCGGGTGCCATCGAAGGCCGACGCGGTCTGGACGTCGAAATCTTCGGCATGGAAGGAATCCCCGCGGAAGCGATTCGCCTTCACGAAAACCAGATCCGACACGAATATGCCGAAATGAATCGCGAACATATGGAACGTACCGGCAACCCGATGCCTGGTTCTGGAATTCAGCCGCCGCCGAGCAAGAAACCAAAGTTGGACGTAACCGAGGACGTTTCCAATATGAAGAAGCGTCTGGCTGAGCACCGCGCCAAGCGTGCCGCTGAAGCAGCAGCCGCCGCCGCTGCCGCTGCTACTGAACCTAGCAGCGGCAACGGCACCCCCGCTAGCCCCGCGTCAAACACACCGGTGGCGGCCGCGGCCGCCCAAAATGTTCCAGTAAGTATTTTCCTCTAATCCCTCGACAGACCCGGCCTCGAGCAGCTGGATTAATAGGAATTCAGAACGCACTGTCGCTGGCTGCAGGCCTCGTCCCCGGACAACCCTATTCATACCACATGCCGTACGGTGGCGTCGCAGCTGTCGCCGCCCCCGTCCCTTACGGTGGAAGCCCAGGCTCGTATTCTCCTGCAACTCCTGGACATGCTCCTGGCGCCGCAGCTTCCCCTCTTGCAGGCAATTCGCTTCACGCACCCTCCGCTCACGGCTACGGTGCTACACCTAATCCTAACCAACCGACCCCTACCACCGATTCCAGCGCCCGAGCTAGCGCCAGTCCTCTTCCCGCCGGACTTCCCAACCGTCCTCAGTTCGAAGCCCCTGCTGTCAACTTCCAACAAATGCAGCAGATTCACATGGGTCACCCTCTTCCTGCGGCCTCACCTGCCGCAGGCGACACACTCGCGAACGGTTCGAACGGTGATAACGTGACTTCCGGAGCCACGGCCGAAGCCAAGGTCGAAACCACAGCCGGAGCTACGGAGAAAGTCGACAAGCCGGCGAAGAAGCCGGCCAACGTTCGCCTGATTTACTCGGACAAGAAGATTAGTCCTGAGGAGAAAATGGCTGCTCTCCCTCGGTATGCATTCAACCGTGCCCAATTCCCGGATAATACTGCACTTGGCGAGCTCCCCGCCTCTACGGTTACGGGACCCATTCGTGACCAGGATACCGTCCTCGACCCGGCTCAATGAGACACAAAAAAAAGGCTTTTGCGTCGGACTCGCAATAATTTTCGATGGTTTCCGTGGGGACGGACAACGGACTCCAGCTAAGTTCCGACGCAAGCAGCTTAACATTGATCACTCGTTTAGCCTGCCATTAGCCTCGCCGATGATGTACTTTTCCCCTCACGACTCGAATGCAATGTCAACAAGCCTTCCCCTTTTCGAGCGTTCGCGGCTTTCGACTTGTGAGTGGACACGACAGGTTCCCCCAGGTTTTTCTTTTCCCCGCAATTTTCCCCAGTTCGTTTTGAATGATTCCCCATTGCGAGTACCAGTTCCATTTCCAGTTTCGATCTGCACTCGCCGGTGTGACGGGATCCATGCGATATATGCGCTTCGCTCTCCCGTTCAGACCGCGTTTCTTCTTTTTCGTGTTGTGTGCTCGGGTCTGCGATGTGCCAATGTGGGACCGAGGTGCGTACGTTCTCTGCTCCCAGATCAACAGACATTTCCTCTGGATGTAGTTCTGTTTTAGCGTCAGAGGGAACCCTAGTTTTCACAATCTACTCCCAATCTGGAACTGCCACGATATTCTTATCTCGTATGGACCAATGCATTATACTCTCCGTAAAGGTTGTAGAGACAGCTGTAGTAGATACATGGACGTGGGGTTCCACCGATAGCTATAGCTCATAGCTCCCAACCTCTTGTGTTCTTGGCCGTATTAACCTCAGGTTCGTCTACAAGTAAAACAAGTAGACCAAATCACATGCAAAAACAAACAGCCCCGAAACTTTCTTCAAGCAAAGAAAAACAAACCCATGAATTCGGAAACCTTAACATTGGCAGTAGATACAACCAGACCACTCAGGACTCTCATCCCGTTAAATTCCCGAGTAGCACTATCCAACCAATCTCAAAGCACCCCCTCAAACTTAAACCCTCTTTTCCTTGTATGCAAGCGCAAAAACAACAGCACCATAAGTAGCCAGCACCGAAAGGCCAGTAGGAACCGCCTTACCACCGGTCTTGATCGCGCGCGGGATAGAGCTACCGCCGAGTACGGCGGAGGCCAGCAGACCCAGTTCTTCGCCGTAGGATTGGCCGGCGCGCAGGCGGAGGAAGGAGAAGAGGTAGATTGCGCCGACGGAGAAGCCGGCTGCGATTGAGGGGATTGAGCCGGTCCGGGCGTAGCCGATTGCGCCGCCCAGGGAGGTGAGGAGGGAGAGGGCGAGGGCGGAGTTTGTTGGGCAATTGGAAGATGACTGGGTTTTGATCAGTTTTTTGGATTGGGTTTGGATTGGAGAGGGGAGGTACCATTTTGACGGTGGGATTGTGTGTTTGGTTTTGTGGCTGTTTGGTGACTCGGAGGTTGGGAGTTGGAGATGATGCGATGGCTGGATGGGGGCATTAGTAATGGGTCGTGTGGGGTGGGCCGAGGCCGAAGTATACAAGATGGGATGATTGACTAGTTGGTGGTACAATGTTATGCACTTCGTAGTATTGTAGTTCTAAGCAAGATATGTCCAATTTATGATCTCAAATACAAGTTGTTAGTATGTCGTAATATGCAGTCATGATGCACCCATTCTATTCGTTAATGCCGAGTCCATTGCACGTTAACATCACCACGCGAACCTCCAGAAGAATGCATTACTTCCGACCACTCTCCGCCGACTCCGCAACAGCACCATACACACTGCCAGAAGTGTTCTCGTTGGGTCCCTGCTCCCCCTCTTCCTCGACCACCTCACGATAAGGACCATCCTGCTCCACGATCCAGAACGACGGAATCACACTAGTAAGCGCGAGAGAGCTAAGAAGCCACCACGGGATAATCACATATCCCCTCTCAACGCCCCAAGAGAACGCTGCACCAATCAATGCCGGGCCAGCCGCGCGGCCAAGAGCACTGACGCTCGTCGCGACGCCGTTCAGAGTACCCAGGACAGTAACGCTGGAGGCTGAGTTGGTGAGAAGGATCGTACAGCAGGGAATGGCGAAGATGTTCGACCCGAGTTTTGCGAGCAGGATGAGGAGCACGCTGGGTATGCGAAGGGGTCTGGGGACGAGCGCTGTGAAGGGCGTGAGGAAGAAAATGATTGGCATCGAGACGGCGGCTACTTTGAAGCATCGGAGAACGCCGAATCGTTGAACGATGGGCGGGAAGCATACGAATTGGATGATCATTCCAGCGATGCCGATGATGGTGTAGAAGAGACCAATTGTTTGGGCGTCTGATTCGATGGTTTAGCTCTGTCTTCACTAGGCAGCACTGAACTACATACCGATGCCAAAACCACTGGCGAACTTGAATGGAAATTCGACGACTGGGTTATTTTTGAACTCTTGCACTGGCCAGTGCAGGAATACAGGGAAGACCGAATCGAAGGCCATTCCGCAGCCAGAGACCAGTGTATATGAAATGAGCACGAGAACGGACTGCGGAGTCAGGATATGCGACCAGTTCGGTCGAGTCACAAGTTTCTTGGTCTTATTCTGAGCAGGTCGATCCCCAGAGAGCAAGGGTGCCTGCTCCTCATCTTCCTCGGCATCTTTGCCTTCCGACTTGCGCTTTCTACGCGAAGAGCAAGGCGAAAGCAGCGCCTGTCCCAGAGCGAGTCCAGGATCATAGCGATCCCTCTTTGTCACAAGGGTTTCCTAAATCATCAAGTCAGACCATTACTTCGCCTGCAAGAAACCAACCGAAAATACTAACATTGAGAAACAGGATCCCCGTGGTAATCCCCACAACAAAGAAACAAGCCGCAACAAGATTCGGCAAAGCAAACGGATACCGTTTCAAGAACTCCGAGCCTCCAAACAGACTGGGATGTTTCTCCGCCGGCCTCGCAAGCGCACCCCCAAACGCCGGCCCAAAGATACTTCCGACCGTCCAGACCATCGGCATGATACTGAACGCTCTTGGCTGTAGCTCGCGCTGCGGCACAATCTCCGCGACCATGGTGCGGATAATCCCGACATTCCCGTTCATGAGGCCGACCAGGGCACGCGACGCGAGGACCATCGATAGATTCTGCGACATGCCCAGCATGATCGAGAGGAGCATAGTGAAGATCTGTCCGCTGATGATGATCGGTTTGCGGCCGACGTAGTCTGATAATGTGCCCCAGGGCACGGCCATCATGGCCTGGCTGACGGACGCGACCGCGGAGGCGATGCCGGCCCATTTGGCGACCTCGGGTTTGGGAACGCCTACATATTCGATGAGTTCAGGCTGCGAGGGAGTGTTAATTTGTGCTGCTTAGTTTGAGATGCGGCCGCTATGAAAAATTTCCATGTTGGTGGTGTTGTGAAGGGTGGGGAATGGCGTCAACATGTCAGGGACGAAACGCACCAGGTACGGGAGAATCGAGGTGAAGACGACTGGTTAAATGTTGATCTTAGCCTTGTTTTTCTTTCTGGTATGCTTCGACGTTTGATATGACACCTGAGCCTGGGGTAAGCACCGGGAGTACGCACTGGGCTCTGATAGTCGACATATTGCTAGGTAAACAGATCAGCGACAAGGTTCTAATTTTCAAAGGGCGAGGAAATTTGCAAGAATGGAAGGTGAAGCGTACACAGAATCACCAACTGCTGGACCGGCAGCTGCGGTTTCGGCATTTTCTTCGGGGGTCCGACACCGTTTGTCCTGTGAACCAAAAGCAATAAAAGAATGAGGAGAAAGAGAAGAGCCAAGGCGCGGATCGATAATGCTGTCGTTTCGCTCCACTTTCGGGGTCCGAGCCGGCCTAGCGTCGCTGTAACCGGACTTCTGCGCGATGTCAGCTGTCTACGAGGGGGTGACTGCGTGAGCGATTTCAAGATCATGTACATTCTGATTGGATTCTGCTCTGGTTTTAACTACCGGGTTTATATCACAACTGTATACTCGTGGTCGTATCCCGAAAAGATTTCTAATCAACTATACCGCTATTCGAGCAGCTTGGCTGCGGCTCCAATCCTTTCCTGGATGATTTTGCTCCATTTCTGCAAGGCGAGAAGAAAGCGGTTAGCAAGATGGGGCCCGTCAAAAAGATACTTTGGAGGGTTAAAAGGACCACATACCTTGGCGTTCTCCACATCTCCGGCTTCAAGGCTCTCCACCAGTCCGGGGTAGGTGGCTCCCGAATAGCCGGTCCAGAGTCCCGGCGCGAAGACAACGTGCTTGAACCAGCTGCGGCCGTCAAGGCCGGGCTCGTACAGGAACGCACGCTCGATGCCCTTATACTTGTCGTTGGTGATCCGGACCTGGAAGAGAAGCTTGACTTTCTTCCACCAGTGATACCAGGGGATCTTTTGGCCGAGCTTCAAGTTGAGGCCAGCAGCCCAGGTGTCAAGCTTTTGCGCTGCCTCGAGGAACTCGAATATCGATAGGTCCAGATCAGAGAAGTCAAACTTCTGGTCATCGGGCAGAGTGTCTGCAGTTGACTTGGCCTTGTTGAGATACGAGCCCAGTCCCAGAGCATAGTCAGTAGCGTTGAAGGAGATCACCGGGGTTTCGATGAGTTTGGCAGCCGCCAGAGCCCAGAGCTTGGTGGTGGCGATGTGGTACTCCCAGTTCTTATCGCCAAACTTCTCCATCCACGCGAAACTGTCATAGTTCGAGTGATAGTGATACACGGGGTCCTTGGCGCCACGGCCGAATCCGAAGTCCAGACTCGCGATGCCGGCAAAGTCCTGGAATGCAGTGAAATCACTGCCACTGCCCATGGTCGCAATCTTACCATTCCAAACGTCACGGACCGTCTGACCGGGAACGGTCTGGTTGGGGGATTGCACAAGACCGGTCACTTCGTAGATGACCTGGTTCAGAAGCGGTGCGGCGCGAGGACCAAAGTCGGTTCCAGCGGCGGCAACATCGACATTCAAGTATGCGACATTGGCCTTGGACAGCCAAGGAAGGTTCTCTTCCACCCACTCAGTCGAGCCGAGCAGGCCGTACTCTTCGCCGTCCCAGCTGGCAAAGACGATAGTACGCAGGGGTTTCCAGCCGGCCTTCATGGCCTCGCCAAAGCTGCGAATGACCTCGTTCAAGGCAGCAGATCCACTGTTCGGATCACCTGCGCCACCAGCAATCCAGGCGTCGCGGTGGTTACCAAGGACAATAACCTCATCGGAGATATGGCCCTTGACAACGCCAATAACATTCCACAGGGGCGTGGTGACGTATTCCTGCTGATTGTCCAAGTTGATGACAACGTTGTCGGGCGAGGGACCAATGTTATACCCCACACCCTTATAGCCCAGACCGCCTCCTTGCCACCACTTGTTAAAGTCAGTAGCCTTCGGACCATGCCCATTCAGAGCCTTAAGGAGCGGCAACACCTCCTTGTAGGAGATGGGCAGGGAGGGGATGGAGGGAATGGAGTTGTACGGGTCCTGGCGCTCGCATCCTGGCTTGGAGGGATACCCTGGTGTTGTGGGGTCACCGGGGAGAAAGCCTGACCGGAAAATTAGATGGGCGATAACCAATTATGAAGGGAATCGTATACATACTCAGGAACTGTGTGCTACCCCTCTGAATGGCACTGGGATTGCGCGCGGGACCATCGGGGTAGGCCGTGTAACCGTTTTCCTCCGTGATCTCGCCATCCTCCTGCGGGTCACTATAGATGATCACACCCACCATACCAAGCTCCTGCGCGCGCTTGACCTTCAGACCGCGGAAGATTCTACCGTACTTGACGATGGCGATCCTGCCTTCCAAGGTTATATTGGCGTTCACAAGGTCCTCGAAGTCCTTGTATGTGCCGAAGTTGGCATACACATAAGAGGCGGTGACATTGCCAGTGGCCGAGTACCCGTGGAAAACGGGGACTCGATCAGGCAGTCCAGAGGTAGGATCCTCTTCCAATACATCTTCCTCGAGAGTAGCCTCAAATGTGACCTCTGTTTTATTTCCCGACTTCTTAAGCAGAGCCAAACGGTGCTCTAATGGGTAGTTCAGATAGATGTCATAAGTCGAGAGGGTGGTGTCCTCAATGCCAAATTCCTTCCACTTCTCCAGCGTCCACAGGGCCTGGCTGAAGTTCTTTCCCGCCAGGTGGGGGCCGGCCGTATAGTACTCGCTCCACTGCTTGGCCTTGGCCGCCGAAGGTGTGTTAAGGACGACCTCTTGGAGCTGGTCAAATGTAAGACCGAAGCCCTGCGGCCAGGCGTCATGAGGGTATGGGTTTGCCCAAGGGGCATAGGACCAAATCGAACCATGCTCTCGCGGCAGGATAGCGGTGGGGATCATGAATAGGACGATGGCGACTACTAGCAGCGTGCAGAGCATGAAGGTACATGTCCGACGTAGAGTGTGATGCGGGTACCGATGCCGCTGCGGGGCGACATGGACCTCCAGCAGAGGCGTCGTTTCAGAGAAAGGCATTTCTTTCTCCCTCATTTTCGCACGGTTGGGAGAAGCAACAACCTGCGAGAAGAGGGGAGCTCGAGTCTCGAGCTCTCCGCACTTGATCGCGTTATCGGATGACTAATGGCCCCACGCTGAGGTCCGGCCTGAGGTATCCACTTGATGTAGTTAACAGTTAATTAAATAGTTGACTAGTTATAACTACATTTAGATGTCTAAGGTATTTAATTCACGAATTTCGGATTCTTGTCGATTGAGCATTCAGACGGTTGAAGTAGAGTGGTAATTAATCAACGGTTGCTGGTGTGCTGCTTCTTCGGCCTATCTGGCAGCGATTTCTGCGGGGAGTTAGGTTGGAAGTGGATCTACAACCGTATAGCTGGGGAAGCTAATGTGACACAACTCAGTCAACAACGGGGTGATATGGCAAAGAGGAGAGTGTGTCAATTTCAAACAAACCCAAGTCACTGATGGGATTATGATGGTACTGCTATTGGCTTTTAGGAGGGTAGTCATGGACAAGCCTCTGTTACAGGAACACCCAGCACTCAAGTACGAAACTCAGCCGCTTTACCGACTTTCCTCTTTTCCTCATCCCATGTACCCTCTCTTTTTTCAACGAAAAGACGACAAACTACCCCAGAAAAAACTTAAGAATCTCTTTACAATGCCTCGATGTGCATTATCCCGGAACTGTGAGAAACAGACAAAACACCCATGCGGAGTGAGGTCAAAGAGCGAAACGTTGCATTGGACACTCGAAAAGATCATGACCATCTCATTCCTCAAGGGTGCAATTGCCGCAACGCTTGTAGCCAGCGCTGGCTGCCATGCTGCCGCTCTCACCAGGCGCAATCTATCTTTCGGAGGCACCGACTGGCACAAGTATATTCGTTCGCCGGATAAGTCAATTGTCAAACCCAGGTCTAGCCTATCGGCCAACACTACTGGAGGTGTGGTCAATCCTGATGGCTTGTTTGGTACGAAGGGTTCTCCGACTATTCTGACGCGCAAGGATGGGCGTGACGATATCCCGAGTCTTGTTATTGATTTTGGTCAGAATGTTGTTGGGATTGTTTCTATTGACTTTGCAGGATCGACCAATTCTTCGGAGGGCCTGCGTGGGTTGAGGCTGGCTTTTTCGGAAACGAAGCAGTTTCTGACCAATACTAGTGATTTCACTAGATCAGATAACATGCAGGCTGTGTGTAGTGTCTGCCAATACATCAATTACATATGCTGACATTTGTTCATAGAGTCGAAAGTTTACCAACGGTACTGATCAGGTATGCACTCCAGAGCAGCTCGGGTCCTCATATCCTAATATGCCTACGGATTGCCGTTGCAAACTATCCATATACCTGGAAGGACCATATTGGCTGCCAGCACGACAATAAGGTTTGCTCGGACGGCCTCCACGGATTTCGATACCTAAAGATCTGGCTCGACGCGATCACAGGTGATGCTCCTTACACACAGCCCTACGGCTCGGTATCTATCTCCAACATTGAGCTCGAGTGGTCCGCCTACCTGGGAACAGCAGATACCTTTACTGGATGGTTTGAGTGTTCCGACGAGGATATTACACAGTGGTGGTTCGATGGTGTCTATACAGCTGATATGGGGACTGATACGTTCCTTGCCAATGAGACCGATCCCCGGGACTCAGCCACGCCTACTCTGGAAGGCAAGGAGGTTCTTTTCGACGGCGCCAAGAGAGACCGGGACCCTTATGTTGGGGACTTAGGTGTTGCTGCACTTACTGCATATCTCTCTCACGATAATCCAGATGCGGTTCGAAATATTCTGGCTGATCTGGCTGAACATCAGAGAGATGATGGTTGGATTCCGCCAGCTAGCATGTGAGTCTCTGCTCCTCTGCTCCTTTCGGGAGACTTCTTAATGGCATAACAGCAACAACTATACACTCGACTTGTATGACTACCCTATGTGGTGGATCGTCTGCACTGTTGACCTGGTCATGTACACCGGAGACACATCCTTTGCGAGACAATACTACAATGTCATGAAAAAGTCTCTCGATAACTACTACGGTCAAAACCTCACCTCTACCAGTGGCCTCCTAAACAAGACAAACGGCTACGGCGACTACGCATTCCTCCCTCTCTCTGGAATCATCACCTACTACAACGCACTATATGCCCATGCCTTGAAGTCCGCAGCCCAACTAGCCAAAGTTTTCGGCCACGACACCGACGAGCAAACCTGGACTTCACGAGCCTCAGACATCAACAACAAGCTCCTTGCGCGAAACTGGGACTCTTCCGTAGGCGCCTTCTATGACGGAGGCCCCTGCCCCAATAAGCCAGGAGACACAATCTGCGACGTCCACGCCCAAGACGGAAACAGCCTAGCCGTACTCGCTGGCACCGTCAACTCGTCACAGGCCATCAGTCTACTAGACTACTACGGCAGGAGGACCGCCCGCTCATATGGCAACGCCTTCTACGACAACGACGCTCTCCAAGAAGGATTTTCCGAACGGGTGTATGCGTTCTTCTCATACTTCGAGCTAGCAGCTCGCTTTGTCACGCCCGGTGCGGCGGGATCGGCTTTCGAAGAGGTCAAGCGTCTTTATGGGTGGATGTCGACCCATGATCCTGAGGTTACGTTTTGGGAGGGCAATGGTCCTGATGGATCCCCGCATGAGGAGGGGTTTACCTCCATGGCTCATGGTTGGTCTACTGGTATCGTGCCACTTATGAGCAACTATGTCCTTGGAATCAAGCCTACTGGTCCTGGCTTTGAGACCTGGGAGATTTGTCCTGTTATTGATGGTGGTGATCTTACTTGGGCGAGGGGTCAGGTTGGTACGCCGAAGGGTCCTGTTAGGGTTTCGTGGAAGAAGGAAGATGATGGTACTTTTGTGCTTGATATTGAGACTCCCAAGGGAACAAGTGGTGTTGTTTGTGTTCCTACGCACGGTTTCAAGAATGGCCAGGTAATTATTGATGGGAAGCCGATCGAAAGTGCTAGTGATGCTGCCACTGTCGGACCAAGTGCGACTTCTGGGGAGGAATACGTGGTTATCAAGGCTGAGGGTGGCACGCATGCTATCTCAGTTGGAGCTTGATGGAGATATAACACATGTGAACTACAATAGTTGATTATGGAGAGTAATATATTGAGTTTGTTTCAGACAAACGAGGAGATGAGATATCCAATAACAGCGTTACGTTCGAATTAACCTACAAAGAATAATGCCGATGCCAAGTTCAAGCTTAAGGTAACTATTACAGTGAATATCACATAATCGCTAAGATGAATAGAATCACAGGAGCAAGAACAAAGAAAATGCCAAGAATAAACGATAAAATGCTGTTTTCCATCCCTGCAAACCGACGGAACATAATCTCCTAGTCGTCATCAACGGGAATCGGCACCTCATCATCCGGTGCAGGGTTAATCTTATGTCCGATATCAATACTTGATCTTAAGATCTGACGAGCGGAGTCATCATCGACACCCATATCATCCCTCACAAGACGCATCGCAAGTTCCGGGACGAGGACAGATTGGGCGTAGCCAGCTACACCTGCTGTCTTGATAATGTTGTCGGATGTAGCTAGTCGGCGCAACGAGGCCGAGAAGCGATCGATGATTGCTTGGAGCCTGGACGTAGTTGAGATTAGCTTTTTGCTCGTCGGGTCCACCTGTAAATGAGTCGATGCTTACATCTTCGCCGCTCCTTTCGTCCCGTAGTATCCGCACGAAATAGTCTCAACGCCATCACCAGACAATGTGAGACGGAAATTCTTCGCTTTCCCGTCTTTCATGATCGTCGCCAGGATATTATGATAGTAAGAGGTGCTGGAGTTGCTCTGTGCCAACAATTTCTCCAAATCAGGGAAGTATTTCTTAACCCGCTGGTCAAAGGTGTCCCAATTAATATCCGGATATCCCTGATTCTGCCATTCCTTTTCGGCTCGATTTTGTTTATGCGAGGTGCAGAATTGCTGCTGCTCGCGAACACGTTGTTTGGGTTGCGCCTCGAAACGAATTAGGAGGTCTGGATTTACCTCTTCTTTACACATGGGACACAGGTACTTCCGCGGCTGTGAAGCCTCGTCCGATTCCTTGCTCATATCCTGGAAGAGTTCATCGCCGGAATCAAGCGCGGAGCTCAGGGGAGAATCGTCATCCAGAGCCTGTGATTGTGTATCTTTCGAAATTCCCGTGCCGAGAGAAGAGTGCGAAGTAGAAGGGAAATCAATATCTTCCGGGGGCAACCTAAAGCCCGGAGAATTTTCTTTCTCTTCTTTTTCGTCCTTTTTCTCGCCATTCCCTTTCTTTGGCCTTGGCTTCGATTTTTCTGCGCGCTTATTGGGTGTTGGTACGGAGCGGGCGCTGGAGCTCGGTGCTCGAGAGGAAAAGGAATTGGGCGGTCCGTATTTCTTCGTTCGGGGGCGCTTGTACTGCTGCGAGGAAAACAGCATATCTTCTTCGTCGCCCCCGGTCATCATACTCGAAGTTCTTTGCAGCGTTCCTTTCCTCGCGTGTATATTCCGGCCCTGCGAGCTCCAGACCCCAGGTCGTTCAGGCGAAGCCGGCCCCCTCTCTGGCATGCGCTTGGGGAACTCGGGCCGAGCGGGCAGTTCATCATCATCGCTGGAGCTCTGCGGCTCGTCGTCTGTCGCAGGCTCGGGAGCCTTGCCTTTGGGTTCGGGTTTTGGGTTTGCCTCGTCGCTGGACGGGCTTGCGTCATTGTTGAAGGTGGAGAGCAAATGGCCTCGTGGACCATTGCTGCGCGTCATGCGATTCGATGCATAGCTCGAATCTGGCTTTCTTTGGGCCACCATTTTCGAGCGCAGTGCGGATCGGAGAGGCTGGGGGACGAATGGAAGGTGTAACAGTGTCGGGATTAGACGCGCTGTGCTTGCGCGACCGCGTCAATGCAGAGAATATGTCCAATTGGGGGTCAGGGCTGCAAGCGAGCGGATCGCATAGGAATCTAAAACAGGTCGAACGTCTAGGCCGATTGCCAACGGCGCGGAGTGTCAAATCTAAAGTCGTGAGGGGAAACGCGTGACGCGACCAAGAACAGCCCCACAGCGGAGACGCTTATCGATTCCATACTTTATCGGACTATTGCCTAGCTAAGCTATCTCTGTACATGACAGCTGCTCATTTACAATCATCTCTGCACCTGCTAATCCGTGGAAATAATGCTCCTCTAGCAATCCCATAAGCAAGGAAAAAATGAAGGAAAAATAGAACCACAATCCTCTACTCAAACGTCATCGAGATCTCGCCGTCTCCATGTCCCATATCATCATGGTCGGCCCAAGCATTCGGCTCGAGGGCCATGGCGCCGACTGCCGTGGCACCGATGGTGGGCATGGTGGAAAAAGTTCGTAGCGCTGGTCGGGAAGGCGGGTCATGCTGGTTCTGAGGCGGAAGGTCATGATAGGAAGTATCAAAGGTCATTTCAAGCTCTTCCTCCCTGTGCGCGGAGGAAGGTTTGTGGAGAGATTCGTAAGAAGCGGCGGGTGGGTCGGTGTTCAGCTTTGGTTCTGACATAGTTCGAGGAACAGATGCTGGCTCAAGGGACTTGGGATCTTCCTCCTTTGCCTTTTCGCTGGGGGTGGCCGTCTGCGTGGAAGGTGACTCCGTCGGAGGATTCAGATCGAGCTTCATCGGAGGCAGAGTGGATTCCAACTGCCTTACTTCAATGGCCTCTGATGCCAGCTCAGCTCGAATGGCCTCGATATCGAAGAGTACTGAACCCGGCACACTGCCTGCATCACTGGAGTCTCTCGACGCATTATTCCGCTCGATATCGTACGTCTCCCATGATTTCTTCTCGGCCATCTTGCCGCGCTTGAAAAGACCGAAACGCTTTTTCTCTGGTTTGGACTCGGCTTCTCGGCGAGCTTCGTCGATTTCGCGGATCAATTCTCTCTGGCGTTCGGCGTGGTTATCCGGGTCCGGGTCCTCGATCTCGGCGAACTCGTCCTCCAGGACTTCCCAGCCTACTTCTCTCAGAATTCGAGGCATGGCAGAACGGTAGTCCATATGGCCATTGACAAGTTCTGTCAGGTTGAAGTTCTCTAGTCCTGGGATCCCTTCAACCGCTGCAAGGCCAGACACTCGCATGATACCTCCGCTAGTGGCGCGGAAGAGGTATCCCAGAATCCAGTCGTTGGTTGAGTATCCGTTGACAAATCGACCCGACACCACACTGCGAGCTTTCAGATAGTCGTCCTTGTTGGCCACAATCGGCGAACCAAAGAGGTACACATTCTGGATGAGTCCATGTGCACCCTTGTCGGCCAGCTCCTTGAGACATGAGAAAATGACTCGGGCACCAAGGGAGAATCCGAGCAGAGTGATCGGCCGTCTTCCAAGATTCCTATCTTGCAAAGAATCGGCCATGATCAGGCCAGCTGAATGAGCACGGGCCAATGAGACGGTCCATGGATTATCGATCAGGTAGGCAAGCTTCGTGAGAACCAGAGGTAACTGCAGAGAAGCCATCAGGGCCATCAGGACTGTACTGCCCAACACCTGCTGCAGGCCTTGCGCCAACGCCTTACGAATGGGTTAGTCGGGAACGGGCATGATATCCACAGAAGAGTGGTACTTACCTCTGTTGCGAGAATATTGATGGTGTCACCCATGCTTCGAAGCATCTCAGGCTCCCACAAAACTGAATAAATATCGCCCATGATGGGGTCAACTGTACTGTATGGTAAGCGAACATCATCGACCTTGCCTGTCATCCATCCGGAGACGGTGACAATCAAGTTGACCTTCTTATTGTTGTGCAGAGGGCGGTATTCAAATGTCCGGACAGCACCAGTGCGGCGATGCGAAGCCTTCAAGCCAATTGCACTGCCACTCAGAGTGGCACCTGAAGCAATCAGGGCAGTGCCGCCAACACCACCCAAGAATGTACTAGTTCCACCAATGCCGACGGTGGTCAAACCAGCAGCGAGACCAGCTCCAATAACAGGGGCCAAGAGTCCGGCAGAAAGACCAATGACCAATCCACCACCAACAGTTGCCAATCCCATAGCGATGTATTTCCTCTTCAGAGACATCTGCCGACGCTTCTCCATATGTTCTGACTCGTCCCAGTTCTCTTTATCTGCCTGCTCTTGCATTTCAAGAGAGTCTGTGACTCGCTTCTCAAACCGCGAAATTTGCAGCCATGTCACTTCCATGGCCTCTCCGACCCGTTCCAGCAATGTTCTTGAACGTGCATCATACGCCGAATCAGAGATAAGAACCAGGAACAAATCACACAACACTGTCCATCGAAGATCTATGTCGATGCGGTCTGATGTGGGCATTTGCGATGGGGTCTTGACCTCCGTAGGTTCGTCATCCTCATGAGCTTCGTATGGAGGAGGGGAGCCAGGCTCAGATGAGGCTTCAGTCTCGACAGACAGGTGCGACCGTGGGTCTTCTTTGGAGGTAGGAGACGATACTGAAGAAGTAGATGTCTTGTCAGCACTCTCGGCCATGGGGTTCTTTACACGCGCATTCTGCATAAGCGGTCGAATCAAGTCTCCAGGATGCACACCATGCTCGGCGAGCTGCTCAATCATGATCTGCTCGGCCGAGTTGATATCCATGTGGATATACAATCGCCCCATCATCGCCTGGCCCCATTTCCTCATGTTATCGAAGGCTTTCTGGTGTGACTTGCGGGTGTTTTTGGTCACGGGAAGCTTCTTCAGTTCCAAGGTCATCTCGTGAATCGCCAAGCGGACCACGCCCACATAAGCGATCTTCTGCGTCTCGTTGAGAAAGTCTTTGGTGGCTTGGAGCTGGCTGACGGAATCACGATATTCTTCACCGACCAGACCAGCAGAGTTTTGCGCTGAGTCCTTGAAAAGGTAGCTGGTGTCCTCATCCATACTGGTGGCAGACTGCGCATCTTCGTCGACCTGAACTCGGGTGTAGCCCTTGCCAGCACCTCCCAATCCGCTGTACACAGCATCATCGCCATCTTCTTGAGCACCCTTGGCGATCAATCTTCCATAGTCGTCGTAATAATCGAACTCTCCGAGCGCAGGCATAGATTTCCAATCCCCTTGGTCCTCCTCTTCCTCCTCGCTTTCGTCATGTGGCTGATTGGGCTGGGCGAGTCGCATGTGCGACCATTCCGAAAACTCGACCTTTTTAGGCTTTGATGTTGATGGTCGCGGGGAAGTAGCAGCTTCAGGGTCTTCGAGTTGGGCTTTGCGAGCAGAGGCATCTTCAGGCGTCGGCGATTCATAGCCTTTGTCTTGTTGTGTTGCTGGGTCTTCATGCTTCTCGGTATTTCCAGCGCTACTTTCTGCTTTTTCGTTGCTATCCTCGGTTCTAGACTCCTCCTTCTTTGGCTGCGTATCGGCTGCGGGACTTGTAACTGGTTCTCGATCTTCGGGGGTTGGAGCGTCCTCTTGCGATGAATCGGTGATGGTTGTCTCGGGTCTCGCACGAGGTCGAATGGGTAAACCGAAATCGTCAAACTCCTGGGCTACTTCCACTGACTTCTGCTGTTCGGAATCTGCGGCCCGAGTCTCCTTCTCGGGGGTTATGCTCTCCTTTTCCTTCCCGGGCCCATCTTCGGAGGCGGCACCCGCGTTGGACGGCTGTGGCGTGTTTGCTGGAGAAGTTGCGGACGGAGCAAGCTGCTCTGGGTTGCTGTCGGTCGTGACGCCCGCTGCGGTCATGATTTCACATGGACAGCTAGCCCTTGCGAGGTCGTGTGTTGGCGTTGTAGCTCCGGGTTGGCGATGCGTCCTCGCTTCCTCGCACGTTCCTAGCGATCCTTGGAGGCAGCGCACCCATTCCAGTCGAGGCAGAATTGTAGACGATGATTATGTCGAGCAGCCCCGATTCCCTTGTGGTGGACCCGACGGTGGTCATCGGACTGAGGGGATCTCCGCAGATGACGATCGAGTGGCCACGCGGAAAAGGAGGTCGGAGGGGCGGAGATGGCGGGGCGGCTGTTTGACAGCTTGACACCTCCCCGTGAAACAGCCTCGGCAGGAGTCGATGCAATTGGTTTGACTGCTGCTCAGCACTGGCAGTTGGAAATGAAGTTTAACTCGAAATCGAATCTCAAATTCCCTAATAACAGTGCTAGCACTGCCTTGTAGGCAGCGGTGCCGAAAGCGGAAACGCGGGAATGCACAGCGACAAAAACATCGACATCAACGCCAGATCAACAACTATGAAGATAAATGCAAACAGCAGTATGCCGAGATCTACTGACAGGGCTGAATGGTGTTATGAGACTGGTCATCAACTATTGACGATACTGGCTTCCACTGGTTCTTTGTTGCCTTCAAAAGGGTCGCCACAAAGAAAGCTGCCAGTGTTTACCGCAAACTTGAGCCTTTCACAAACCAACACCAGCATATAAATTTCATGTTAAGGAGACCATACAGAATTTCTTTCTCGGCTCTAAATCATTCGAAACATGCATCTTGTCGAGGCCAAGTCTGGGTGGACCTGCTCATTCAAGATCCTGCTCGTCCTGCCCTCTGGTTTCCAGACCCCGCAGCTTAGAGACGATCACCAAAGTATAAACACCAAACCATTCTTCTCCGAGTGACCGGACAAGCCGACCAAATGATGAAAAAGGTCGCGTCGATCGGAGGTAGTGTAAGCCCGATGACACTGTGCGGCGAGGCATGCGCAAAGCACGGAGGCCAGGCCACGAGGTACAGAAATTGGAATAATCATAGTGTCTTCCGGGGAAGACTTTCAGAGATTAAACTGAAAAGAACTGATACTACACTTGATCTAAGCCAAAAGGCAAAGAAAGCTGGAGAGGAGAGAAAGAGACGCAAAGATTAGGAAGGCAGGCGGCGTTTATACTGACGGGCGGTGGCCTGTGCGCAGGCGTTTCATTCACCAAAGCGGTCACATGATTAGCACGTGTCTTCGCGGGAAGACCACGTGACCGCAAGGGGATGGAGATTTGCGAGCTCCAATCCATGGGAGTAATAGTATTATGTTGATTTTGCATGCGGGAAGAAGTATGACTTGAATCTATTCTCCGAATGCTGTCTCGATACTCCGAAAATTTCTTCGTGGCTTCGGCGATGTCACCTAGGCATCCCAAACAGATATAGACATTAAGACTTAAACGGTGTATCCGATGGGACATGACAAAAGTGCCATTATACACTTAGTGTAGTAATTTTTGGAGGAGTATCCTAGAAGGACCACACTGCGTCCGTGTGAAGATATCTGACATGAAAGTGTCTAGGCCTAGGCAAAATCCATCTCGAAATTTCCATTACTGTGGATGACATGGCTATACGTGTCCTGGCGAGTCCTCGATCGTGCTTCCCGACAGTATCCAAGTCCCGTCGAACCTCCGGAAAGATCAGAGCAAGGTGATCCGATGCAGCCTCGTGTTGTCGACTTGCAGTACTGGTGGGTGAAGGCATTTGTGGAGCGAATAAGCACTCGTTGAGTGTCGGAAGCTCCCGTGTGAGGTAGAAGAAACAGCCCTATTGTTGACTGCATTCACCCCGGTGAAGATACGTTAACCTTGAACCAAAACCTCAGAATCTTGACAGTGCTACTATCGAAGACCTTACGTTGTATACTATTTGTGTCACTGTGAAAACTGTACTGCCGTCTTGAATGTTAGAGTGTTCATCTATACTACTAGAAGTGATATAGAACCGGTCAAGGCACAGCCTTCGAAAAAGAAAAAGATAACCTATTGAAGTTTTGTTCAACCACCAAGAAGATGGTACACACCGAGTGACCTTACATGAGGCGGTGCCGGCCCGTCTGGCTGTTGTCAGAATACGAAGTGTCAGCGCCTATCGGCAGACTTTCCGCAGACACAACACTCCCTTCCACGAAAACAAAACTCCGCCACGCACAGCGGTGTCTGCGCCTATCAGCTACTCTGATCGCAATCAATACCTCTCCCATCCATTCAGCGTAGCACGCCCTCCTGCCGAAGAGCCATCTCGATAAAGAATACGAGCGATGCAGACTGCGGCGGACCGCGGGGGAACGTCATGTCGATCACGGTTCCCAGGCCCACCCGGGCGAAGCCCTGCTTTGTTTGCATCGAATCGAGGCAGTGCATCCCAGATCCGACAGGGTACTTTTTGCCCGGGTTTCTCGAATCAACGGGGAAGCAGAGGTTTGCACCCGCCCAAGCGCGGGATAAGCTGGTGATCGGCTGTGTTTACCACCTTCAGGCCAAAGGGAGGACCGTATCCCCCGCCATGGCGTCATGGGCATGGGTGGCTCGGACACGCTGACGGGCGTTGCAGTCAAGTGATATGCAGGCGACTTGCGGCTCTGAGCGTGAGGAGTGAGTAGAGGCCATGAGGGGCGTGTCCTATGAGAGCGCCCAATAGAGCCGGCTTGCATTTTGTCTTCGGCCGTGGCAACTTGACCCTCCCTGAGTCGCTGTCGCCCTTTCACTTTCACCATGCTGCCTTCGTCTCTCCACTCTTCTTTTGACTGTCTGGCTTCATGATCTGAATTATCTTGGACCCTTTCCATACATATTCTGCCGCCCATTTCTCGCCATGATCATGGCATCAGGTAAGTCTCGCTTTGTTCGCTCTTTGAGACTCATTCTGACTCGATGAACGTCGCCCAGGCTCAGAGGCATCCATCGTTCGTATTGCGGGGGCGGGTTTCCGCCTTTCGCTCCTCTTGAACGCTGCAGCATGCCAGCTCGCACAGTCCCGAATCGAAATCCATAGCATCGCAAAAGGTGTCTCGCTCTTCGCTTTGACACTCAAACATCTTGGTCAGACATTGGAAGCGGATGACTTGGACCGATCTGTCGAGGCTACCGAGAAGGCATGGGAGATCGCTGGCCAGGGACAGCTGGTGTTTGTGGATATTGAACATATGCTGGATAAGCTGCAGGGTACCGATACCGACGAAGACCTGAGAAGAATCCCGGTGCAAGAACGTCTGAAGTGGTGTTTCCGGAAACACCATGTTACCTACCTGCTTGCACACCTTGAGTCTCTCAAGTTCAGTCTCATCGTCCTGCAGCGAATCTTGCAGCTAGGCAACCTCCTCAAGCAGACTAGAATTGGCTCGAGCCCCAACTCCAACGCCAGCTCTCCAGTCCTGCAAACCGAGGATCTCGTTGCGCAAGAGAAGGCTGAAGCTCAAAATATGATAATAGTGCGATATTGGTCGACCAAACGAATCGATCGCCTTTGGGATCTCGTCGAACAAGAGGCATCGGAAGCAGCGACCGACCAGACGAGCCAGAAGATCCACTTGAATTACTCCAGTACAACATCGGCTCTAAGACCTCTTATTGCGGCAACAAAAGGCAATGATCCTACCAAGTTGCATATGGTTACGCTGGGAGAGAATGATGCAGGGTTGAGTGATATGGAACGTTCACCTAAAGACATGGTCCACCTCTCGGAGAGCGCAATGAACCGCCTCCTACTAGCTTGGGTACCATCGCTCGACCCATCAAAACTACGTGACCCATGCAAGGATCCCGGAAAATACAACGCTCCGCGGGCCTTTGTCTCATCGGACAGTGAGAGTGCACCAGAAGAATTGGATTTCGACGAGGAAAACCGCGGCTACTACCTCGAGGGCAAGACCGATGACTGGCGCAAACCACACTCGCAGGAAGCCCGGGCTCATGCTGCTCGACTTCGCCGTGAATACTCCAATTATCAAGCCCACGTGGAAAGCGACTCGGAATCCGATGAGCCCCGTCGTCGCGAAAGCCCCGTCAGCCCCGTGAAGTCGCGGACTGCCGGCTCAAGTGATGAAGCCGAGCAGAGGAATGGTGGTACACGGCAGCCTCCGAAGAATACTTATTCTAGCAGTAGTATCGACGGCCGGAAACACTCCAACAGCGTGTCCTCCCGGGCTCCACCACAGTTCCCTGACGGTCGATCTGCTGCATACCCTAGCAGTAGTTTCCCTCCGCCTCCTCCGCCAGGCCAACCGGCGCCTCGTCCGCAGGCACCAGCGCATGCGCAGAGCCAGCCCCTTCCGAACTACACTCCGTACCCTCAAATGCCTCCACCGCAACCATTTCAACAACCCTACAGATACCACCCGGGCCAAGATCATAAAACAGCACCCCGGTCTATACCTACTAGCCAATCAAACCAGCAGAATACCTTACCAATTCCATCACCGCGGGGCACGCCTCCCGGTCAGTTTGATGCACACTATGGCCGTCCCCGTACATACAGCAACAACATGCTCCAGCCACGACACTACCAATCTGCCTACCAACTCTCCTCATCATCGCCTGAATCCAATCTCCGACCCTCGCCGCCTCGCTCTGGACAGCGATCCCCGTCGCACTCCCATAGTCGATTCTCACGTGAAGAGGCTCGGCGCGATGACGCTCGGGAGCGGCAGCGGAATTTAACTCGGAATGCGACTCGGGGTCTAGCGGGGATAGGAGCGATCGCCGGGTTTATGGATGCGTTGGAGGCGTTCTCGATCCTCTAATGTCTTGATTTTTAGCTTTGGCTGCTAAGCCTTAGTATGATTTCCCTGCATTTCTGCATTTCCCTTTTCTGGGCAAAGCGTTAAGGCACTACGATTACGATTCGTGATGAGTTCGAGACGGAGGGTCACAGGTTTATTTTTTATTTCTCCTCCGTTTGCCTTCATCTATTCAAGGAGTCATGTATTTTATTACGACGAAATGAACTTTACAGTAGTATGGAAAAATAACATTGCCATGACTCGGCACGAGATCTACTCGAATTCGCCGAGAATTGTCGACGATTCTCCGGCTCCACCGGTCCCCATCCCAACTTGTATCACTATTGGAGCTATCATGCATGACAACCGAGACATCTTTTTCGTGCCCACAAAATGACCCCAACTGGCCCCTACAGTCCCGTTCGAGTTGGATGTAGATGTACATAGCTGGAGTCATCTCCGAGATCCACGGCTGAACTCCGGCTCTGCTCTTACATGAGCATTTGTAAGAGCCCACATACCCCAAACAAGTATCAATCTCCCGCTCCCAACAAAGCAAAAAAGCGACAGACAAACCCCCAAAACTCACCAGTTCCCTCCCTCCTAATGACCACTTCCTTTTGATTCTCTTTTTTTGGTAATGGTTAAAGTGGCACACTAGTCCCAGAACTCCCATTCCACCTGCCAAGAACAAGCCGCACGCAATTTAGCCGGCCATCCCCCATTCTCGCACGTCGGACGACGATCGACCCGACACGCAGACCGGACCCTTTTATCACTCCGTTCTGTCGCTGACGCCATCATCGCCGTACTCGTTCTCGCGAAGACGCTGGTTCAATGGGGTAAATGCAGTCGCTGTCGCCGATTTTTGGGTCAGCCACCTTGGCTGAGATTCTGTTGGGACAGCCCTCGAGTCGTTTATGCTAAAGGCTAAATGACGGCCTTTTTTCTGGTGCCGAGGTGACGGTCCTTTCAAATTTACCGGGGTTTGGGTTTTTTTTTTTTTTTTTTCTTTGATGTCCAGGACGGATGGACTGAGGTGTATACTTCTTTTCGTTCTTCGCTCTTCTACTCAGCTCGGTTTTGTCAAGGCCATGTCTCTATTCTTTGCTCTCTTGAGGGCCGCTCTGGTAAGTGAAATTATCTGCATTATCTTTCGTATTTCCCATTCTTTATTTTCCCCTTCTGCGTGCCTTTATACATTGCTAATAAGGTTTGTCCGTAGAGCAAGACCATGCCTTTATAATCGGGACCAGAGCGGTGCTCGCCCAACCCTGTCCCATGAAGAGTTCAATTTTCTAAATGGTGTTGATCATGCCATCAAAATTCCGGCAAAGGAGGCATCCCAAAGATGCTCCCATCAGGAAGCCAGCCATCCAGTTCCATGCCCGTCCCTGGCATACCTCCACCCTGCGGAGGTAGTCTCTGCGGATCATACGCGAACTGCGGCGGCATCGTCACCTGTGGATGCGAAGACTGATATCCACCAGGCATAGGCTGGAAGAACTGATTATGCCCGTGTCCATGTCCATGTCCATGTCCGTGTCCATGGCTGCCATCCATCGGCCACATACCGGCGCCACCCATGGCGACATACCCATCACGCATACCCTCCATGCCCGGCGGCATGTGCGAGACGCCAGCTGGGACTGAGAAGGAGTCCACAGATGGATTGACCTGGTCCAGATGCGCGGGCTGGTCTTGCGAGCCTGGCATCCGTGACGATGGGATCGGCTCCGTGCCAGTCGACGGGCTCTCAGAGACTGAAACCAATCCAGTCGCTGTCCCCATGGCTGTCCCCTCGCTTGCCCCGGAGTATCGTTTCTCAAGACGGTCCAACCAGTTCCGACCCTTGACAGCCACGACTTGATACCACCGATCCGGAATCTTGAACTTTCCGCCTCCGCTCGCCTCGCCCAGTTTATTCGCGATCGCATCAAGGTAGTACCCCACGTTTACGGCATCGGGCGTCACGACTTCTCCCAGCGCGCCGGTGCGTACGGAGAAATAGATCTTCAGTAGAGAAGTCATGGCCATGCCGAAGCGGGTGTACATCAGATTCGGCATCCTACGCATCGTGTCCGTGCTGCAGGTCAACACTGCATCGAGGAGTTCCTGCGACGCATTCATCCATTTCACGTTGATGTCGATTCGGATTGCGCTGAGGGGAGGGATGGGGGTCTTCGTGCTGCCTCCCTCTTCTAGTGGGGGGAGAGTGAAGTATCGGCGTTTGATAGCGTCGGGATCACGGTAGCCTTCGCCTACGCCTAGCTCGTACATGGCGAGAACGGTGGATCGATATTCAAGGATCATTGGCACTGAAAATTACAGCTGTCAGTCGGAATGGTTTTTTTTCAAGTAGGTCGCCGCTCTTACCGGTGAGCATATCGTTGGGAGTGCTCTTCTTCCATGCGTCCATCCGCTTGTCGAACCATCGCAGTACGGCCTGAACGCGGGATTCGGTCAGAGGAGACGAGGAGCTGGTGTCATCGAGTCCAAAAGAGGACATGGCTTCGTCACTTATTCGCTGCAGTTCGAACCAAATGGCTAGGTGCTGGTCCGTCCGATGCGGTGATCGTTCCAGTTGCTTCACACATTCAACCATCCAATCATTATACTGAAGCAGGTTGGGACGACGAGTTTTCATGGCGACACTATTCTTTGTCAACTTTTGAGTATTAGGCCTGGCAATTATGATCAAACTTACGTCGAGCTCAAATGGTAACAACCCAGAACCGTTCTCGCCTGCTCGGCCAGATGTTCATCATGCGGCTCATTCCTGCTCTTCCGGTCGGCTTTCTTCTTCGATACACGTCGCTTGGTGGCCAGTCCGATCTCCAGCGCCATCGTCGAGGCAATATGGGTATACTGATAGAACTGCAACTTCAAGGGCGAGATGGGCGGGAAATAAAAGATGATCATCACCAGCAGCGCTTGCACCAATTCCAACGACTTCTCTCCCTCGATGAAAAACCGTTCCGCATACAGACGCACCATCTCACGATTCAAAACGCTGGCCAGTCCCGCATCGACAGAGATTGACGCCGCCGCGATCACAGAGAGAAACAATATCGGTTTCGACTGTCGTAACTGCGCCGCCGTCGTGCTGGCAGGCAGCACCACGAGCGGGAAAAACATCGCCAACTCATGGGTAAAGAACGCCACCAACTGCTCGGCATCCTCGAGAGAGATGATGCCTCGATCCACCACGTCCTCCGGGGGAGGTTTACTGGGATCGGGCGAGAAGCCCGCCTGCAGGCCTGCAAAGGATGGCGGGGCGGACAGAGGACCCCTGCCATGCATTCCCGAGTGAGCGGCATTGATGAAATCGGGCGAGTAGTCCATGAAATGGACAGCGTCGGAGGCACTGGCGGCGCCCTCCGGGATGGAGGCCAGACTGTCGTGAAAATCCATCTCATCGTCGTCCTCCCGCGAGCCCTCGCTGCCGTCGGCCGACTCCGGCTCGCTCTCTTCTCGGATCCGATCCTTCAGCAGCGAACGCATCATGCGCATCTCCTTCTCCAGCTGGGCGACGCGTGAGTCGGTCCGCTTTCGGGGCCGGCGCCGCTGAGGAGCCACGAAGACGCAGGCCTTTTTGCCTTTTGCACATCGCTGGCACTGGTTGGGCGTGGATGAGCTGGGGAGACAGCGCACCTTCAGGCTTCTGCACGACTCGCAGGATCTGTTCAGCTGGGCCGATGGTGCCTGTGCCGGTTGGCCTGTGTTTGCTTCACCAGGTGTGGTGGAGGCCTCTGACATGTTCACACCGTAATGTCAGAGGGAACCGATGCACGATGGACCGCAAGGGTTTGTAAAAAGTGATGCACGGGCGAGTCGGACGAAATTTGATATGGGAGCGAAGACTCGGGAAGCACACCAAGACACAAAAGACGAACAGGGGGTGTTATTGGAATGGAACTCGTTTCATCGCGAACGCGTATGGACTGATGACGAGCATGGATGAGGCCACATCCGGGGTCAACACAACGAGATCTGGGAAAGGACAAGAGCCAGCGATCGTCGAAAACCTGCACATAGATCCGACCTTGTTGTAGCGTGCTGGGTGTGGTCACCGCACTGGATCTGCACGATTGGACCCTGACCCAACGAAGCGAAACGCAAAGAAGAAAAAAACGCGCAGGAATTCCGCCTTGGCTCACTTTCATGTGCAAGAGAGCATAAGGGCCGAAGCTTAAAACGAGCAGAATATGAATCACCCAAAATGTGTTAGGTAACAGGGCGAGGGAACAATGATGGCGCCTAGCATGCCAATTCCGCAGGTCCACAACTGTCACTGGGGTCCGGGGCTTAGCGAGGGAAAGAGCCAGGTACACGATGCAGGCCCTGGGTGTGATGAGCCCACTGCTTCCGAGGGAACCAGCGTCGGAAGACGCATCTGACTGGGCGTGGGCATCCAACGGTGGCTGGATTAGGGAGGAACAGGCACCGACCGACCAAAACGTCAACCTCGCGCGATTGCCTCGGGGCAGATCCAATGAAAAGCAGCGGCGGAGGCTTCGCGATGGCGACGGCGGAGCAGAACCCTAAAGTTAAACCTGGCGAATCATTCGCCGTCAGCCAGAATGGCGCTCCACCGCGGCGGTTGAGATGCTGGGGCGCGCCGCCGGCCACAGCCACTGGCGATGCAGAATGCCTTTTTGTCTGGACGGCTACGACCGACTGCCCAAATCGGGAGCCCTTGCGACCCTTAGTCAGTCGGTACGAGTGTGCCGACAATCTGGCACAGAGTGGGTGATGTGCAGACCTTCGCGGTGGATTGCCTGTTCGACGTTGGTGGTGGATCACCGAATTGTCCGCGGAACCCGAGAGTCTAACACTAATAGTTAAAAGGCGGGCGGAGAATCGAAGCCTCGGGGTATTCTGCTGCCACACTGCAGTATCTCGGTCTCTACGGGATATTCGCTTTTCCTCGTCAATTCACCAGGTAAGGCGTAGATATAAATGTAGAACACTCGTAGATCTCAATTACTACTAGCACTACAGAAAGGTGTACCTGCAAATATCAAGCCATTCTAAAAGAGTTTTTTCTACGTGGATAAACTCCACTATGTCGACAACCGACCTGATCGAAGCCCTCCATCTCCACGCCACCGCTGCAACGGTCTCGGCCCTACCGCAGGCAGAGCGTCGGCAACTCCAGCAAGCATGTGATCGGTTACAGCGCAGCCTAGAGTCCCCCTTGGACACCACGGCGCGCCTCGTATTCTCGGTATGCCGGTGTGGAGCTCGAAGAAGGCCATTGACACGACTGACCAGACCCTGTGTCTCTTGTTTGCAGGCCCACCAGGCCATGGCCATCCGTTTGGGCGTCGACCTGAAGCTGTTTGACGCGATAGCCGCACGGGCTGGCCCTGTCGAGTCCTCGGCGAGCTCGTTTAAGGTGCACGAGCTCACGGAGGAGCTGCGGGCGGACCCGTTGTTAGTTCGTAAGTACATCCTTAAACCGTGACGAAAGAGAGATCAGATGCAGGATCCTCATGCGCATCGGTAGGGCGGATCGTCCGATTTCTCGCGGCCATGGATGTGGTTAGCGAAGTGGAGCGAGATGCGTTCGTCCAGACTCCATTGGCCGCGGCCTTTGTATCCAGCTCGCCTCTCTCCGCAGCGGTGATCCACAGGTGAGTATTGTCTTGGCTCCTGATGCTGAACCCTGAATTGTACAGTCGTAGTATTGACATCAAATGCGCAAAGTACACATTTCACCACGGTTTTATCGAGGTTGCCAGAGTATTTCCATGCCAATGGATGGACCTGTCCAAATGATGGATTCGACGGGCCATTCCAGTTCGCCATGGGCACCGATGTCCACTATTTTGATTTCCTGAGCTCACACGAGTATTATGGACAAGCCTTCAACACAGTCATGTCCTCGTCCTTCCGCCGTCGGGGCCGAGACTGGTTTGAGTTTTTCCCGGTCGCCAAGCGACTACAGGGGGTCAAGGATACCGATGCGCTGATTGTCGATATCGGCGGGGGCCAGGGCGAGGATCTGAAGAATTTCCGAACCCAATTCCCCTCGTTGCCCGGCACTCTCATCTTACAAGACCTACAGGCCGTGGTTGAGGGTGCTCACGCCCTCCCGGGGATCGAGGCCCAGGGGTACAACTTCTTCGAACCCCAGCCCGTGCGGGGTGCCAGGGTCTATTTCATGCGGACGGTTTTGCACGACTGGCCGGATAGACAGGCAGCGCAGATCCTGGGGCGTGTGCGCGATGCCATGAGCGACGAGTCGATCTTGTTGATCAGTGAAACGTTGCTCCCGGAGTCCGGGGTCTTGTTGTCTTCGGTGATCTCTGATATGCAGATGATGGGCTCGTTCGCGTCCCTGGAGCGAACCGAGGAGCAATGGCGAACCCTGTTGGAGGACTGTGGCTTCGAGCTGGTCTCGGTATGGCTGCCCCAAGAGTGCGATCACAGTGCCAAGTCGTTATCGGAACAGCCTGCTCTGCTAGAAGCCCGATTAATGAGGCATGCTGTCGACACTTCGTCATAGAGCGTGTCCAGTGGTCATCGCCATGGCCATTGTTGAGAATATTTCTGCACACCATACTTTGTGTAACCCAGAGATAGGCAATGATGGCCGTGGTTGCATTATTAGGCGTGCTGAGGCGGGGCTAAGAGAGGATCAGGAGTTGGCGTTGGGGGCCGCGTGGACGCCGAGTATAACCTCGTGATAGCAGCCGACTGTCTAGACAATTCAGACGGTGAGGATGAGAATAATTCGTGTCACAGTATATAGAGAAAATTCGAGCGGTTTAGATACTGTAACAAACAGCGGAGAGATTTCCGGAGTATTGCAGAGGGTGCGAAGAAGCGTCGGATCGCCAAGTCTCGTACACGCTGCCCGATGAGGGCCGATCCTTCGCGGTGGCGTCGTTTTCTCCGCGAATACGACGCCCTCCGCCGAAGCAGAACAGGAGAGCAATAACCACAAGCGGAGTGAACATGCTATGTAGTATGCAGTAGAGTCGACATCACGACTGTTCCTGTATAGTTCTATTTTCTTGTCTCCCCTTCTGTTCGATGTGCATTGTACCTCGCTCCACAGCCAAGACTCGGAAGTCTCGGGGCCGATCCGCTCTCCACTGAAACGGGCAACTGGCCGCATGCGATGGCTAATTTTGTTCTCCGCCCCTTCAGCCTCCTCCTGTACAGCTTCCTGTCCCTGTCACTCTTTTTCCTCCCTACCTGCGTGTTGCCGTTGCGACATTTCCGCTCGCTTGCTCGTCCCCTTTCGTACGCGCGGAGCCAACGACAGCGCTTTTTCGGCCCAACAACCCCCACCCCCCGGTCCAGGTCCGCTGTATATACCGGAGCATGTGCCTGTCGCCTGTTTGAACTCACGACTCCCCTATAAAGATGCGATTCATGACCCCTAGTCTCCTGGGGCTTCTCGGCGTGGCCTCCGCCGTCGTTCTCCCTGTCGCTCGCAACACGAGCGTGGAGGCGGTTGAGAACCAGGTCACCCCTGAGAGCAGCGAGGTGGCCACCGACTTTATGAGCGTGCGCGACAAGATCGTCAAGGAATATAAGAACGTGGACGAGATCCCCACGGCGAAGTACTTCAGTAAGTCCCGCAATCTTCAGACGCCCACCTGTCTTGGCAACCCTCGACAGGGCCACGCGACCAGGACTGACTCTCTTCCTCTCGTACAGCTGAATCCTCGTATGTATCCCAAGATCGCTGGCTATCTCACCATCTGTGATGGACCCTGTAACCTGAAGAAACGCCTATACTAACTTCGTGCTTCGCAGCTTCCACTATCACTATGATGGCCGGTATGTACCACGAAACCCAACTTTTCCTTCCGAATGCCGCTGACATTTGACTTGCGCAGATTTGCCGATCGGCCCCTCCCTGACTACAAGGTCATTCCCTACCTCTCCGCCCTGATTCAAACGTATCTGAAGACGATGGAATCCATCGGTGCGGAGACCTGGATCATGCACGGAACGCTGCTGGCCTGGTGGTGGAATCAAAAGGTACCGCAAACCCAATGCCTTCAACAACCGTGGGAATCCGGCCATGTGCTAACCACCCGCCAACAGATCTTCCCATGGGACAACGACCTGGACGTGCAAATTTCCGAACCGACAATCCACTTCTTGGCGGATTACTACAACATGACGGAGCACCATTTCCACATGCCCGACGAAGACAAGGGCCGCTCTTACTTGCTGGAGATCAACCCTCACTATGTGGTCAAGGATACGCGCGACCGGCTGAATGTGATCGATGCCCGCTGGATCGACATGTCCTCCGGTCTCTTCATCGATATCACGGCGGTACGCAAGGATGACGCGAAGCGCAGCGGCGGTCAAACCGAGGCGCTAATGTGCAAGGATCGCCACCATTATCTCGAGAGCCAGATTTGGCCTCTGCGCGAGAGCTACTTTGAAGATGTCCCTGTCAAGATTCCCTATGCCTACGTTGAGCTACTGGAGGAGGAATACGGCGCCAAGTCGCTGACCAACGCCGACTTCCATGAGTACGTTTTTTTCGGTCTTCCTGAGTATTTCAACCTCATCCTAACATCCACCAGCCACCATTTCAACGAGAAAACCAAGATCTGGGACGAAGTCAAGAAGCAGGCAAGGCGCTTTCTCCGCCGAGCCTGGGGCAGTAACACCAACACTATCCCTGTTCGCTCGGGACTGCCCACTCGCCAGAACACCGTTTAATCGGTGACTTGCGCACCGTCATACACTTTTCTTCTCATTTCTAATTTCTTCGAGCATATACGTCACATCTCACGGCCATGCCTACACCTCTAGCATGATGATCCTGGAAATTTCCGCTATTTTCTGCATATACACGGCGTTGGGATACCTGTTTGAGCATACGTCAGGCCGATTTACTGTACCTATTTACCATTCTCGCTCTGTATATATTGACGAGGAGTACTGCATCTGCGAATGCATTTCGATGATGATCTGCCTTTTATGTCTGGCTTTTTTCGTTGACCAGGGGCTCGTCGCAGCCTTGTTTTTATGGCTTGTTGGATTTGGGGACGTTCTTTGTGCGCAAGCCTCGTCCGGTCTCGGCCTCGTACACGCCACGTTTATCTGATTTCAGCCTTGGGACTAGCAGACGTTCAAAAAAAACACCGAATGTACCTTGATAGCTCCCACTCTCGTATTTTTCATTGTAGTCACCACAAGCTCTCGACTTTGGTCGGATATTGCAGGCTGGCACAGGATTTCGGGGATAACGCGAATATCCCGACAGTCCACATCGCGCTGACTCACAAAAAAATCAAAAGTCACATGTGGGTTTGACCCCTGGAGAATCGGGCAAACTCCAGCTTCCATACCTGTTGAGCCTCCCCAAGTCCTCCAAGTGCCTTTGCATGTTCGGAGAATGTGGGATCCCTGGCCATGTCCTTCCACTCAGCTTCTCCGGAGGGGGTGAACGTCTCCCCCGCCAGCGATAATTCCCCGAACCAGCGTGTACCCGCCACCGCCCCGCGCCCGCCCCCGGACGCCAGCTCACGGAGCTGTGTGACCTGCCGCCGCCGCAAAGTCCGCTGCAACAAGCGCTCGCCCTGCTCCAATTGCGTCAAGCAGGGCATCAACTGTATCTTTCCCCCACCGGGTCGCGCCCCGCGGAAGTCGAAGCGCCCGCCCGATGCGGAGCTGCTGTCGCGGCTGCGGAGGCTGGAGGGCGTCATTGAGCATTTGAGTGGAAAGAATGGAGAGAGTGGGGGTGGGTCGACATCCAGTCTGTCACCGACGCAACCTGTGCCTGCGACCATCTCACCTGTTGTGACAAGTACGGCTCCCGCTGCGTCTGCTCCGGCCGAAAAGGTGGAGAGCAAGGTCCAGAATGGCGGGTGTCCGTTTGAGGATGCGGATCCGAAGAAACTTGCGCCTGGCAAGTTTGAGAATGAGTTTGGACGCTTGGTGATTGATGAAGGCAGGAGTCGATATGTGAGCAATCGGCTTTGGGCGAGTCTTGGTGATGAGGTATGTTGCTTTTCTCTATGCCCGGTGACTCTATTTTAGGTTTGTGTAACTATACTAACACGAATGATATGTAGATTGAAGAGCTTCAAGATATCCTTGATCATTCCTCATCCGATGAAGACGATATCCCTTCGCCAGAGTCATCTCATTCTGGATCTCATGATGGGTTCTTATTCGGTTTCTACGCCTTATCTCACTCCCTGCGAGAATTCCACCCGCCCTTCCAGAAAGTCTCCATTTTTTGGGATGTTTATAAAGAAAACGTGGCCCCTTTGATCACTATTCTGCACCGACCAACTGCCCGCAATCTGCTGGTCGAGGCGGCGCAGAATCCAGATCACCTGGATAAAAATTCTGAAGCGCTTGTCTTTTCGATATACCTCTCTGCCATCGTTAGCCTGAAGCCCGAAGAATGCCTATCACGACTCGGCGAAGATCGAACTACAGCTGTCAAGCGGTACCGCTTTGCGGTGGAGCAGGCGCTAGCCAAAGCCAATCTGATGAATACACAGAGTCTGGCACTCCTACAGGCAGCAGTCCTCTTCCTGATCTGTGTTCGCAGAGAAGATGATTCCAAGTTTGTGTGGTCCATGAACTCTCTTATTCTTCGCCTGGCTCAGGGTTTAGGCTTGCATCGAGACGGCACCAACTTCGCCCTCAAGCCCTTCGAGACAGAGATGCGTCGTCGTCTGTGGTGGCATATCTGTCTCATGGATGTGCGGTCATCTGAAGACCACGGAACTGACCCATTGATCCATGAAAGCATGTATGATACTCGTCTTCCCTTGAACGTAAACGACGATGACATCTACCCGGAAATGACGGAAACTCCCACGGAACGAGAAGGCTGCACGGATGTCACTTTCTGCCTCATCCGTTGCGAAATTACATGTGCCCTGCGACGAGCAAACTATGCATGCCCCGGTAGTCGGTTCCGTATGGACGCTGCTACCCCATCTATCGAACGCTGTGAGCGGATGATCCAAATCATCAGCAGCCGCGTCGAGGACCGCTACATCAAGCATTGCGATATGAACATCCCCATCCACTGGGCATCAGCAACAGTGGGACGTCTCATCCTCGCCAAACTCTGGCTCATCGTTCATCACCCGATGACGCGCAAAGACCGAGCCACCAACGTTTCCCAGGCAACACGACAAAGCCTCTTCCTCACAGCAATCGAGGTCCTCGAATTCGGCCGCCTCCTCGAGTCCGATCCGAAGACAGCCAAATGGGGCTGGCTATTCCGCACCAACATGCAATGGCACGGCGTCGCATTCGTTCTATCAGAAGTCTGCGTGCGACCAATCTGCCCCGTCACCGACCGTGCCTGGAACGCCATCAACAGTCTCTACAATGACTGGAAATCACAAGCCACGCACAAAAAGGGCATGCTGTGGCGACCACTCGCTGCATTGATGAGACGAGCCGCGGCAACCAGAGCAAAACAGCAGGAAGAACTACGAGCTAAATTCGGCCCGAATCCCCCACCGTACAAGCACACGTCCGACTTTATCGCCTCGCATCATCACACCCTGCCTCGTATTCACATGCTTAATGGTACACCGGTTCCTTCGCCTTTACCTTCGACTGAACGATCTATTCCCACTTCCGTTCCTACTACCACCGCCGCTACTACCACACCACTGGACATCAATCTTAGCCAAGGACCCTGGGAAACATTGCAGAATATTTTCCCGGATACAAACTTCTTCTCTCCAACTATGCTCGACGATTCAACTCTTCAAAGTCAACCTCCCGCTTCAGCACCCGCCCCGAACCCAGTCACCGAGATCCCGACGGGGATCAATTTCAACACGCCTGTTCCTGGCATGTCCATGACCAATCCATTTACAATGGAAGAAAACATCCCCGAAGCAGGTACGCTTGGCTGGGAAGAATGGGATCAAGTCATGCGTGATTTCCAGATGGACGTGGAAAATGAGAATGGGCCCGATCCGGCGCAGGGTATTAATGTTACGGAATGGTTTGCATAGGCTTTGGACCGGTGGCGTTTTCATCGATGTTGGATTGGTGATGAGATAGTTCTGGATGTGGCTTTTGAGCTCTTACGATGTGATGAATATGGTGTTTACGGTCTTTTCGTTGGGTTTATACCTCCCAGTTGGTTCTACCTCCACTCAGTGTTCTATATTACCTAGTATCTTCTCTCTAAACAATTATAAAGATGTGGAAACAATTACAGAAGTATACGTGAATTTTTACTGCAACGTGGATGATAATCGTTTCTCCAGAGGCTATCGTCCGATTTTATAAACAGAAGATCGTTTGCCCCATAACGGCACGTATAACTCGGGGGTGGGAAAAAACTTCCTTGAAGGCATCGTATGTCACTTATTTCAAAGGCACCGGAAAATCACTGTGGAAAGGATATGCAAAAGGTTCTAGCTAGCAGCTATAGAATTTCTTTTGAATAGCGATTTTCTCTAATTCCACTGTAATTCAATCAATTTGCCTATTCTCTAAAATGCACAGATGCGGTAGTATGTCTTCGGCAGGCACCAGCGGAGGCGCATATAAACCACGTGACCACTGATAACGAAGCTCCAAGCTGGCATCAACGGACCATCCCCACGCCATTACACACCAGATCCACAACCGTCACCTATCTCAAGACGCCTTGACCGATACAATAAGAGTAACTAAATCATCAAATCCAATAACGCCAGCTCGAGTCACCACCGATCGCCAATTGCCCACCACCATGCCTGCCAAACGACACGCGGCCACAACCACCTCCGCGGCGACCCCAGCAACAACAGCACCGCTCTCCTCCGGTCCCGCGACCCTGAAGACGAATGCCTCGCCCGCTGAAATCGCCCAACATGTCTGGCAGCAGTACCTGGCGACCACGCCGCAGCGCACAATGCTCCTGGACGCCTTCATGGCGTTCCTTGTTCTTGTAGGCGGATTGCAGTTCTTGTACTGTGTTCTCGCTGGAAATTACGTATGTTCTTCGTCCTGTCTTTGCTTTTATTGATCGGGTCCTTTTGAACTGTCTTGTATTCTTTTGAAAGGAAGAAATGAATGGTTGCTAACTATACCCAGCCCTTCAACGCCTTCCTGAGTGGTTTCAGCGCCGCCGTCGGCCAATTCGTTCTGACTGCCAGTCTGCGCATGCAGACAAGTGACTCCGGCTCTGATGTTAGTAAGCCTAGTTCCAAGGGGAAGAATGCGCGGTTTGCTGAAGAGAGTGAGGAGGGAACGGGTATCTCGCACGAAAGGTGAGTATCAGACCCAGTCGACTTGACCTTTGCTTTGCTGGGCAATCTGCTAATATCCTGGTCCTTTTTAGAGCATTCGCCGATTACATCTTCGGCAGCCTTATTCTACACTTCTTCTGCATCAACTTTATCAATTAAACGCTTGGAAAGAATACTCGGTATGGGTGAAGGCGCGCTCCGCATCTGCAATCGGTCGAGGTGAGCATTGGATGGTTCGGCTCTTCGTGTGTTAGACACTTTGGCGCTGGTCCGTTAGATGGAAGGCCTGGACTGTTCTTTGCTTTCCTATGGCTGGGGCAGAGGCGGTCGATGGATTTACTCATTCTAGTGATAGGATGTTTGTGTTTTTGGTTCGATTGAGTTAGCATTTCAGCTTGAATGATCATGGTTTGTTTGTACAAAATATCAAAGCGAGTTTCAGATTACTATCTTCCATGGTAACTACTTTGGTAGTGTTGTAAATGTAGATCGTATGTGCATAGGGTATCTTGATTGATTTGCATCGCATGAATTTATCCACTCTAGCATTCATCATCCCGACATATGGTACATGCGGTGAAATTGGAACATCCGACATTCAACCAGCTCAGGTTATCACTCTATCACTCCACCTAAAAGTGACGTCCTGCCCTACGCGGGACAACCGGCTTCTTCACCACGCTCCCGACACCAGGCCGGGTAGATGAAGAGGTAGACACACCTCCGATCTTTTTGCCCTTGATAACAGGCCGACGAACGGCAGATCCAGCTCCTGCCTCGATTTCCTTGTGGCGGCGCCTGCTAGGATCGTTGCGCTCTTGTTCACGAAGTTTCTCAGCTGCAGCGCGCTTGCGATCCTCCTCCATTTGGGATTCGATCTCCATGCGCTTGTTGAATTCGACTTCGGTGACGCGACGGTATCGTTTCGAATAGCCTTTTTCTTTAACGGAGTAGAAGACGCCTCCGAGTTCGGCGAGCCACTTCGCTATTGTTAGATTGGTTGGATTTGGGGGGAATTGCGGGGAGAACTTACATGAGGATCCACAGCTGTCACGGTGGACATGTATTCCTTGGCTGTCAAGATCAATTCGTGGTAGACGACGTATTCTGGCACGTAGCCAAGACCATAGAGAGCACTGGTGGGGTGTAGCGCCATAGTCACACTGGTGCGAAGGTTTATGAACTCGCCAATGCCCTTCACTCGCGCGGCTTGATGGTAGAAGCCAGAGCAGATGCATTTGCGAATCAGATCCCAGTCGGTACCACAGCTGACGAGATTCATCTTCTGCACGGTCATGATATCGTGGAGCTGGTCGCGGACTTCCTTGGCGCGACGGAGAGTCTTTGAGTGGAGGAAATGTCTGGTGCACCAGCCATCGGAATACCCGTTTGCCTTCCACTGTGTGTAAACGTGAAGAAGGGTCAAGTGATCCGATTCGGGGACGCAGAATTTCTCTCGAGCAGAGTCAGATTCTTCTTGGCGCTCCTTGGGGCGGTAGAAGACATTGGGAACGGACAACATGGAGACAATAGTCAGCATCTCCTCGCTACAACCGTATTCTTCCGATGCTGTGATCAGAAGTTTGGCGAGCGGGGGATCCATAGGGAACGGTGTCATTTGCCGACCCAGGTGGGTAAGTTCACCGAGGTTGTCCAATGCACCGAGAGACCACAGTTCGAAAAGAGATGTGGAAATTGTCTCTTGTGGTGGAGGGTCCATGAAGTCAAAGTCGAGTAGATCTTTAACTCCAAGGGATTTCAATAGAAGTACAGTGTTTGCAAGACTTGTTCGCTGGATTTCGGGAATTGTCTGGATGTAGAGCTCGTTCTTGTAGGCAGGTTCCGTGTACAGTCGATAGGCCTTTCCAGGCCCAGTTCGTCCGGCACGCCCAGATCGCTGGTTTGCGTTGGCTTGAGAGATCGGCGTGATCTGAAGTGTGTCCATACCCATGCGTGGATTGTAGACCTTCAATTTGGAATAGCCAGAGTCGACCACATACATAATGCCGTCGACTGTCAGACTGGTTTCCGCAATGTTGGTCGCCACGATAACCTTGCGTACACCAGTCTCTGCCCGTTCAAAAATCTTTGCCTGTTGCTCGGCGGGCATTTGACTGTAGATAGGGAGAATTCTGAGCTTTGGTGGATCGTTCAGCAGCTTCAGTCGCTCGTCAACAAGCTCGCAAGTGGCCTCAATATCTTCTTGTCCAGTCATGAAGACGAGGATATCACCCGGACCCTGTGAGACGTGAATGGCCAAGACCTGCTTGACCGCGCTATCCACGTAATCTTCACAAGGAGTCCGAGAAAAGTGAAGGTCGACCGGGAAAGTTCTTCCAGGAATGATAAATTCGGGCGCGCCGCCGTAGAAGCGTGAAAAGCGCTCTGCATTCATGGTGGCCGAGGTGACAATCAATTTGAGATCCCTTCGCCGAGCGAGGACCTTTTTGAGAAGACCCATCAGAACATCGGTGTTCAGCGCTCTCTCATGCGCCTCGTCCATGATGATGCATGAATATTTATCAAGATCCGTCTGAACCAGGGACTCTCGAAGTAAAACACCGTCCGTCATATCTGCATATTTGCGTCAGCATACTACTACTAGCGATCGTACACGGTGTAGCAGGGCGGTACTCACATTTGATCACAGTCTTATCGCTAGTGCAATCTTCGAAACGAATGGCATATCCGACCTCATCGCCGAGATCCACTTCCATTTCCTCGCTGACACGCTTCGCAACACTCATCGCAGCCACACGTCGAGGTTGCGTGCAACCAATCATGCCAAGTTTGGAGTAACCATCTTCGTGAAGGAATTGGGTTAACTGGGTAGTCTTTCCAGAACCCGTTTCACCAACAACCACCACAACTTGGTTATCCCGAATGACTCGGAGTAGGTCCTCGCGCACCGCAAAAGCAGGGAGAAACTCTCTTTGCTCGCGCATGGTCTTGCTCTTGCTGAACGAACTCGCGCCTCCTTCATCCTTTTTCAGATGTTTGGCAAATTTGTTCCCACCACCTTTGTAGACCTCTTCCACCGGCATCGCGACAGCGGTATCGCCTTCGTCCTCCTTAACACCCATCAAATTGCCCAGAGCGGTACCGGCCATATTTGTCGCCTGTTGGGCCTGCTTCTGTCGTTCTCGCTGCTGTCGACGTTCGCGAACGACCTTGCTTCCCTTTCGGCTGAAGACGGCCATATCACTCTGAGGGTCTCGGATGGCGGAAATAGGCTCCAGCTGCTTCGTGAAGATTGTACGGCCGTCGAGGAACGGGGGCCGGAGGTCATGGGTGAGCAAGTGAACTCGGGTCGCCTCATCGTCTTCGGGCATAAAATCGTCATCGTAGTCTCGTCTTTGCGCGACACCAGATGTGAGCATGCGATTGGCCTCCCAGTTGTCAATGTCCTTCCGTTTGGCATCGCGGAAAGTGTTTGCCATGTTCGAGTTCTTTTGCCGTTTGGCCGGCGGCCCAGAGTCGTTGCCAGACATGACAGGCTGTGAGGTTTTGTCTGGGTACCGAACCAGTCGAAATCCCCGGAGAGGTTGGTGCTTCTTGAGAGTTGGAGCTCGCAGTGAATCCAACGCCGCGGATGGATTTCTGAGGCAAACACTGCAAACTGTTATCAGTCACGTGATACTGTTCCATTTTCGGGTGAATACTAACAATGGCATGGTTGAATGATGTATTGTGGGTTTGTTTAAAATTAGAAAAATAAGCCGAGTTTTTCCAGATACATTTACATCGCGGGTGGGATTTAGTGAGTGGAGATTGGTCTTCGATGTTCTTGTTTGCGAATTTCCATACTGTAGTGGCGGCGGCCCGCGAACATTCAGCACCCGCCCCGCATCGTCATCTCAACTTTTGAGCTCCCTGAATCGCATTCCCCCGAGTCCGCACACCATCGCCATGTCAAGCCAAAAGCAGATCGACCCGAAGAAGCAGCAGGGTAGGTTTCTTCTTTGCCATCGAAATGTTAATTTCCCGCGTTCGCTGACACGTTCCCTTCCCAACAGAGCTGCAGCTTCAGTACACCAACTTCAAGAACACCCTTCAACAATTGGCGCAGAAGATCGGTGATATCGAGCAGGAGGCTGAAGAGCACAAGTGAGTCCTCAGCCATCTTGTGCTGTCTGTACAAGGCCATGGGAACTGGCGACAGCCCAGGCTGCGAGCTACAATCGCCCTGCAAGACCAGAAGCGACACTGGGGTTAAACAGAGGCTAATGTGAAAATTATCTTATGGTATAGACTTGTCATCGAGACACTTGATCCCCTTCCTGAAGATCGCAAATGCTTTCGCATGGTGAACGGAGTCCTGGTCGAGCGTACAATCAAGGATGTTCTCCCGACATTGAAGACCAACTCGGATGGATTGAAGCAGGTTCTGGAGGATATGTTGAAGCAATACAAGACCAAGCAGTCGGACCTGGATAACTGGAAGGTATGTTCGGATGTCTATGGCTGTGCTTTCAGCTGGCCCCTCTGGTACTTCCTACGTTGAGGCTTGTGTTCACAGGACTAATCGTTATGTCTTCCTCTCTACAGAAAAAGAACAACATCCAGGTCGTGCAGCCCTGAGCAAACCACTCATCATGTATTAATTTTTCCGGTTTTCCCTGGGTGGAATCATTTGCGCGGGGAGCGAGTGACTACTGGCGTTTACGGGCAAGGCACCCAACTAGATAAAATCTAGCGCTTCGTTTGATCATATTGACCATTGAAATGAAACTGAGATGACATCATCAAAGTTATGACAGAACAATATTTTCGTAAGCTCACACTGTAAGCCACCTGGATTCGAAAGACTCCGAACTGTGGACATGGTCCTGTACTTGGACAGGACATTCGTGGACTGGCAGTTCTGTTACTGGCGTCACTATAGCCTCGTTCTGCAGCTAAATGGGTCTAGACTGAAACCAAATGACTGCACATGACCGCTGTTTTCATATCAAACAATGGGTACCTAACTTATTCTCATTTTCGCCTGCATGTGGGTGGGTGCAAGCCTGAATGCCTGACGTTCGACAAACCAGATACGTTGGGCCCTGAGGACCCAACCTGCCGGACTTGGATCGGCGATGTCATACTTGATCACGTCAAGTCAGAGAATCAATAGAATTCCGTCCCTGCTACACGGGACGAAAGGTCCGTCTGCATTTCTCGTATCGAACCAATGTTGATAGCCTTGATGGCGCTGTAACTGTATTACTGACACCAATGCCATTTGCGGTAAAAATCGCGGCAAGATATTGTACAATACGGTAACTTACCGTCACTGTCATTTATGCCTGAGGCGGCCGTTGCGATTTGCCGGCAACTGCTGAACTCCCCTCTTTACTTCTCTTTGGGACGAGTTGACTTCGATATCACCCCGTGCAGACACAAATCCCCGTACCCGTCGACTTGGACTTGCACTTTTGTTCCTCGCGATCTCCGATTTTCCTCCCCGGTGGGTCGATAGACTGCTCTACTTGCATCGACGTGGTGAGTGGCTAGTCCGGGCCCTTTGATCAGGGAGATCTGGTTCGCCAATTGCTCTCACGCTGGGCCTCCCCAAACACCTCGGCGCTCTGACCTGACGCCAGGCGAATCGGAAGAATCACGAGTCCACTGGAATCTGAACCCCGGACGACCTTGCCTCATTGCTTCAGGTTAGCTTCTCTCCCATCCCCCGCAACCCTGCGCAACGTGCGACGGAGCAGTTGGGCTCATCCGACCCACCCTCCCTTCCCGCGTTGCATCACCCCCCCGGGAGCTCGACGAGGTTCCTATCCCAACGCGTGAGGCGCGCGCATTGGTATTCGCACTGCAGCTGGTGTGACGCGATCGCAACTGGAATCCTTCCCGACTTTTCCACTCTTCCTCGCTTCGGCCTACACAGGGCTAATCGGGTCTGCGCGCGAGCGCGTCGCAAAGTACAGAGCTACTGTGCATTATTGCCAAATCCCGTCCCCGACCACCGATCCCCTCTCCCGGGCTGACGTTCTCCTCTCGAGGCGCGAAGTGTTAGTACCCAGCCAATACCACATCATTCCCCTCCTGACCACCCACATACACACACCCCCCAGCCGATCTTGGGCTTGCCTGCACACTGGAATCGTGATCGCGCACGCGCACCAAAGATTCGGGATTACTGACGTGGTCGTGCCAGCAGAGCGAATCCTAGTTTTGACGCCCAAAGGATCCGCACCGAAACTTTCAAATAACTCATAATCATGTCGTCGGCCTCGCCTTCAAAGGAGCCGGAGGTAGACCCCGAGGTGCAATCGGGTGACGACCAGGAGCCTATGGACAAAGACCAGCAAGACCACGCGCATGGACAGGGCGAGTTCGAGGTGAAGGAGCAAGATCGGTGGCTTCCGATTGCAAATGGTTAGTTGCGTCGCCTTGCAGGCTTTTCTGTTGTTCTGATTTGCGCGTACCTTGCTGCTGATGGCGAACCATTACCGTTTGCTGGTTCTGTCTTCCCCGCCTTTTCTGCCCACCTCTTAGAAGCTTCTCCTCCACCTGATATCACATCCACTGAAAAGATAGACATCTACCTGCGATGGGGTTTTGTTTGGATGACGATTTTACTCCTTTCATCTCTTGGAGGCAACAACCGAAATTGCTTGCTGATTTCCTGATTTTGGAGAAAATCCATTATGCTAACATCTATGGGTCTGATCTAGTGGCGCGTATCATGAAGCTTGCCCTGCCCGAGAATGCAAAGATCGCAAAAGAGGCGAAGGAATGTATGCAAGAGTGTGTGAGCGAATTTATCTCATTCATCACAAGCGAAGGTTCGTCTTTTCTTCTTCGGCCTATCTTGATGTCGCTGTTTGCCAAGGTCACTAACACCGGATTAGCATCGGAGAAATGCCAGCAGGAGAAGCGCAAGACTGTCAACGGTGAAGACATTTTGTTTGCCATGACATCGCTTGGTTTCGAAAACTATGCTGAAGCCCTCAAGATCTACCTCTCCAAGTACCGTGAGACCCAGTCCGCTCGCGGCGAGACCCAAGCTCGACCCCCGAGCAGCGGCTACGGTGGCCCCGTTGCAGGCGCCGCTGGCCAAGCTCGCCCAGCCGGTTTCCCCGAGACGGCAGAGGGTGCCAACAGCATCTTGAACCCGAGTATGGACCCGTCGCAGCAAGACGCCGCAGCATACGGGTACCCGCCCATGGTAGGCGAGCCACACAACGGTGCTGCGGGCGAGTCTTACTAGACAGGGCGCTTGATATCTTGATATAGGGGGGAGATGGCGTCGGTTCTTACATAGGGTCTATTCGGAACCCCAGTTTTGTGTTTGTGTTTGTGTTTAATTTTGGGGCGGCCATGGGCTATGGCAGTACCCCACCAGGGAAAGCTGCGATGTACCCCAGGGTGGTTTCTTCTGGAGTTTTATGCGGCAATTTACTACACTGGCGGGATAGATGATGGCAACCTGTACTTATGAGTGGTGTCTTTGAGTGTCCGACTGGGCGCTCCGGTAGAAGCAAGACATCTCACGGCCATTGCGGACCTCGCCCGATCATTTCCAGCGTTTCCTGTCCTTTCCGAACGTAAAGTTTGCCCCCAACGATCGAACTATACGCGATAAGCTGTTATCGACGCCACACTGATTGGCCGCCGGTTGCAGGTTGGGACAGCAGAATCCGACGTACATGAGCACTGTTAGTAGGGTAGCAAGACGCGATATGCTGTATTTCGGTGGCTACTCGATTCGCCATTTCTCCTTTCTACTCAACATTTCCTATAGAACTTGCTGGCGATCGCCTCCCACCGTAAGGGTTTTGACGAGTCGCCGCGTTACATAATTCTTCTCCGCATCCACGTGAGGCCCACCGGCACCGGACCCGAGCCCGCAGCCCTCGACTTCCCGAACTTTTTCGCTTTCTCGTCGCAATGCTACCCTCGGCAATCGCTTGTGCTGCAGGATGCCTTGAGTTCGTCGGCGTGAATGACACTTCCACAGAATAATGCAGGGCAGTGGCTGGTCTGCACAGGGAATGATGTCGATGGTTCTTCGCCAGCCATGTCCTCCACCAACGATAACGCCTCTTCGCCGCTCCCGGCCGACGGAGTGAGCAAGCGCAAGCAAGGTGTGTGCTCGCCCATTGCCTTTTTTGTTATTTTTTTCCCTTTTTTTTGGAGATCTGGACCGGCTTCTACTCGTCATGATGCCCTTGTCTTCCTATCGTCGAAATTCGCTTGACCACCCCACGAACAAGCCAGGATAGTGCTGACCGATGACTCAAAATCTACTAGGTTCTGCCGCCTGTGTCCACTGCCACCGGCGCAAGGTCCGCTGCGATGCCCGCGTCGTCGGACTCCCCTGTACCAATTGTCGCTCTTCGGGAAAGACCGATTGTCGCATTCACGAGAAGAAGAAGCGTCTAGCAGTGCGGTCAATTCTTGACCCCGTCCCTATCCGATCTCGACCTATCCAGGCCTCTGAGCAAGCTGCCAACCCCGCCACAGCACCGGGAACAGTACCTCCAAGCTTCCCTACGGCATTTCCTGGTAGAAATTCCTCGACGCCTCTTACCGGTGGCCCCACACAACATGGATTTCTCTCGAATGTTCAGCCAGAGACCTTCTCACGCCAAGGCCCGGATCTCTCGCATGCACATGAGGCGCATACGGAAATGGAACAGCACCTTGTCAAATTGATCGACGAGGAAGACTCCGGTAGAAGGGAAATTCAGCGTGGCGTGCGCGCGTTTTACGTGGGCCATGAACATTCCAACATGTCATTCTTAATCCGCCAACAGCGAGACCAGGACGACGATGTCTATCATTTTGCCAGCAATGAGATACCACGACGACAAATGAAGACTGGCCACGACCAGCTATTAATGGATGCATTAACACTCCCCGAGCCGGCTCTAGCGGACGAGTTGGTGCAAGCATACTTCAACTATGTCAATCCGGGATACCCAATTGTCGACGAGGATTTATTCATGACACAGTATCGAAATCGTGATCCGGCAGACCCTCCCCCAATTCTGCTACTTCAGGCGATCCTGCTAGTTGGTGCGCACGTCAGTCGTGCCAAGGCGGAACGGGATGCACTGAAAGAGATCTTCTTCCGACGAACCAAGTATCTCTTCGATAATCGCATTGAGCGTAATCGAGATATTCTCGTTCAGGTGGCATTGCTTTTGACTTGGCACTCAGATAGTGCCGACGATGATGTTGCTGCGGACGCCCACTTCTGGGTCGGTGTGGCGGCGCGCATTGCCACCGGTCTGGGAATGCATCGGAATCCTGTTTCCAGTCGATTTGTGACTCGGGATAGGAGGATGTGGAGACGAGTTTGGTACATTATGGTCCAGTTTGATGTGATGGTCTCTCTTTCTTATGGCCGTCCGCAAGCAATGTAAGATGGCGCCAATCCTTGCTAGATTGATGATCGTATACTAACCAACAATCTGCAGCAATTTGGATGATTCAGACGTGGCTCCATTAACACCGGCTGATTTTGAGAACTGTGGCCCACATGTACAAACCGAGTTTGTCATTCATTTCACAGAACTTTGTACAATGATTTCGTATCTCATCAGAGATCGATTTGGTCTTCGAGCCTCGGATGAACGAAGGAAGGCTGTTCTCCAAGAAGCCGACGAGTCGCTGGCCAACTGGTCCTTGAAGTTGCCCGATAACCTGCGTCTTCGAGCGTCAGACATGGACCCCTGGTCCGCTATGCTTCATCTGACCTACAACAACTTCCTTATTCTATTGCATCGACCCCATCCCCGAGCCTCAGCATATTCAGACGACTATGGACCTCACGATGCCGAGATTTGCAGTGCTGCAGCTGGTGTGATTGCATCTATCTTCGAGGAGCTCCGACTTAATGACCGCCTGAAATTCCTCTGGTACACGGGCGTGCATACCCTCTTCACCGCCATGATCCAAGTACGGGTCGAACTCCGATTTTCCAACCCCGTTCTTGCGATTAACGCCCTGCGCCGCTTCGACTCGGCTTCATACTCCTTGCGAGAGCTGGCGCAATACTGGGTCCACGCAGGTACAATTCTCCGCCTCTTTGAAGACTCCAAGCGTCTCCAAGACGACCTGCGCCTTGCAACTGGCGATCACCGGCCGAAGCCAGCTTTCAATGGCGCCCAGCCCATCAATAAGATGCCTGTCACTACCCCTGAAGCTGCAGCTGCAGCTATGGCTGCACAAACACCACAGCCACTATCGTTTGGTGTTCCCACCCCGGAGTCCACCACCATGCAGCAGGCTACAATATCCCCACAAGCGCAGTCCACCCCGCAATTCGACAATTGGATCACTGCACCTCTCCGACTCAATGTGGGTCCTCTGGAAACCAACGATCCTTATTCGGGCACTGCCATGCAAGTGGACCACATGGAGCAGAGCCGCGACTATCCCGATTGGAGGCAACTTTTCTCCTTTGCGGACGCGGATCTTCCAGTCTCTATGCCGATGGAAGGTCTTATGGAGCTCGAAAACGAATGGCGCCAGATCTATTGGCAGGATACCCCAATGGCAGATCTCATGCAAGATGGCGGCTGGATCCCAGGCTAGCCTTCTTTTTCCTGTATTTACCCGAGATCTCCTTCTGGATGACCTTCGGTTTACCCCTCCACCTCTTCCGATTCCCTCTTACCCCAAGCATCCATTATAGCCACTGCTCTGCAACCCCATGACGAGACGAGATACGCAGAGACAGACTCCCATGAGATTTTTCATAAAAGCTCACACGATACCATGTCTACACGAACACATACACCCATTCTTCCAATAGAGATACACTGTTTATAATGGCAAGAATATCTACAGGGTAAAGGAGTACAGAGTCCTTGAAACTTGCAATATCGTTTAATCTCTCACTAGATACCCTGGTTGGTGACCAGTCCAGCATGCACGTATTCTTGCTAGAAGACAAATAGTAGTTTGCAACTCTATAACTATCTCTTTGCTTTCTCACTCAAGCAACGTTTAATCCTCACCATAAGCAAACCGTTTCCAATTATCCGCGAGCTGCCGCACCCCAGCCCTCAACTCCCACCCCCTCAACTGACATATCTCCCTTGCAACATTCTCCAACAACTCATCCATCTGCCGACCCGCAACATGCAAGTCACTCTCGATCAGAATGCGATCATCGGGCAACTCCTTAATAACATCGCGAACCTTCTTCGCCGGTGCCCCACCGAAATTAATCACCGTCGAGAAAGAGAAGTACACATCAGACGGATTCGTCGCATGCAGGAACTGCCGGATAGGCTCCACAGGCCCGCTGTAGGAATGCATACATATACGCGGGGGTACGGCAACATCCCACCCTTCTCACTCTTGCTTGATCTACGAGGGTCTTGATCATCCCCATCTTCACCTTCGGATATCGCGCCCTCGGCATCCTTCTGCTTTTCTCTCTGTCGCCGTGAAAGAATCACTTTCTCGTGACCGGACCAGAGCTCTCTCAATACATCAAACACCACCCCGTGGGCCTGCACGCTGTGCACAGAGACGGGCCGCTGCATCTCCCCCGCCAGCTGGAGTTGCGCTTTTAGCACCACCCGTTGATGGTCCACCTTCACTTTGTAAGGTGATAATTTCCTGCCCTCTCGCGATCCGGGTGTAAGATCCTCGTCCCGCGAGGAAATCTCCTCTGCTGTCCAGACGCCCGGTAATCGGAATGCTTTATCCAGTCCCACCTCACCAACCAACGCGTTTGGAAACCGACAAAGTCGTTCACGTGTCTCGAAAATAAGTGTCGAGAGCGGTTTTGTGGGAGGCAGCTGGTCAATGAATTTTGGATCGGAAGCTGGGGACGGCGTCAGGACCTCCGAGTAGTGGGCTTCTTTGGATTGCTGGGTTGTTGCGGGTGCTGTGTCGTCGAGGATTTGGTGGGAAAACCACGGGTGCCAGCCAAAGCTGGGTAGGACCCGGGGGGCTGTTGGCCTTCGGCGGCATTGAGGGATGTTGCAGTTTCTGCGACGAGCTCTTGGTCTTGCGCTCTTGTTGCCATCACCGTCAGGGTTGTTGCTTTCATCGTTAGGATCTCGGCGACGGCTGCCATCGTGTCGGTTGGGTGGCAGTGGGCATCGTAGATGCCCAGCTCCCAAGGAAATGCATCTTGGGGTTGCGAGTCGGGGTGGCTCATGGTAGGTGTGAAGGCAGGACAGCTGATGTTGATAGCTCCGATGTTGGAGTGCTACGTCATCAGGTGATTTCGGTGGGGTTGAAGTATCCCAGTCCGCGAGGGTTTTTGGGTTGATAGATCTTGAATTGATCGAAACCTAGATTGTTCAAAAGTGCTGCTTATTGAATATTTTGTCTAGTAGCAATTGAATTTAAACAAGATATACTTCACACAGTGTTGTCTGCTGCTAGACTGTGGCAAAACCGCGGTTTTGGATATCATTTTGAAAACCGCAACCACAACCGCACTAGCATAACTCTTGCTTCTTTAACCGATTCTAGCCCATCAGGTGATACTTCTGCAGCTTACATACTCCTGTTTTTAATTTAAACTTACACCTGTTCTGGTTAAAACGGCACAACACTGCAGTTTTCCTTCTCACTCTATAAAATAATAAGAAATAATTAGGTTTTTCTTAGATTAACAGCCGAATACTGATATATGATCTCTTATTTTGCTTAGCTTAAGTGATAGTTGTCTGAAATTTTAAGACTGCTAAAGAGTTCAGATTGTTTATTGCGAAGATATATTTTACATGCATATGAAGTAAGTACACCCTCTCAGTCAACTTTATAATATTGAGCGGTTTGAGTAAATCGGGCTATTATGGATTAAAATTATTACTAAACGATCTAGAAGAATGTTCTATACTTATATTCTACTTTATATTAGCATATTTACTTAGAAAATTCAAGAGAAAATCAGACTTGTACTTCAAATTGCGTGGACTTAAGTGATTTTTTCCCTGGTGGATATTTTGCGGTTTTTGTGCGGTTTTTCGCGGTTTTCCAAATCAGCCCCAAAACCGCAAATTTGCGGTTCGGTTTTGGTTATCCGCGGTTATCCATGGTTTTGCCGCAGTCTATCTGCAGCTATACCATGCACTGGATACTAGTGATTCAGACTACTTGGTCTGCAATGTAAACATGCAGTGATATGTACACAGTGTATGTTCGCAAAGCTACCAAGTATCCGCGATCAAATACCTATAACTTAAATCAAATCATTCATTTTCTCAAATGCTCTCTGCCTGAAAATTACAATAAACGAGTTTGTCAACACAATTGTATTGTCATGCCGGCCATGTGCTTCCCCGGATGATGTAAGGCGCGCAGTGTCACATGCAATCCCCCAGACCGTTGCAAAAATAAGCAGCGGTGGCCTTCCGAGCGAAAGCCGTCAGTTCTCTTTTAGTTCACTCTTTTCTCATTTCACTCGCTGCTGTCATGGTTTGTTTCCTCCCTCGATGTGTGCCTTGCTGACGTCGTTGTTGGCACTGCCGGCGCTCGGCCTCATCGCTATCCCGCTGTTCGTCTCGGCGTGGATCACCGTTGTCGTCGCTCTCTTCACGCTCTGCGTGCGGCTGTCGGTAGTCTATGTCGAGCTTGTCTACGAGTTTGTCGTCAATTTCTTTACACTTCCTGCCGTCACATCCTCGCTCTTGACATTTGCGCCCTCGGAGCCCCCGACCCCAGCACCGGGCTCCAGGCGCAACTCGACGCATGGCCTGATCCACCCGCGAAAGAGCCATGACTCGCTTTCATCATGGTCGATCATCGATGCTCTGGATAATCCGTCGAAAAGGTCAAAGAAGACCTACGCGCGAAGCATGGTCGAGGCCCACCACCTGCCGACCGGTCCCTTGTTCGGTATGCCTGTGAGCGGCGATGAATGGCGCGACTTTGAAGGTGTAGGTGGTTGGCGGTCCTACGCAGATCGATCACGCTCAAAGGGTGGACCGAAGTCACTTCGCGAGAGACCGATCACCTCTCTCTCGTCTTCATCTACGCCCAGTGCCACCGGAGAAGTAGATCCTGATGACATTGACGAAGACGAACGCGCGTGGCTATCACTCAATGATCGGCTCGAACTCCCCTCTCAAGTCCTGACATGGGCCGCCGGCTCCAATGTCACAAGTCCAACCCATCTCGACTCACTTTCTCCGCGGGGCAGCATCTCCCACGCCCTGATCCCAGCAATGTCACCCAGGCTCTCTCACAGCCAGCATCAGAGCGGAGAAAGGCACCACCGCCGGTCTCACACAACATCTTCTCTCACGACTGCAGACCAACGCTCCACTCATGGGCTCTCTATCAGCTTTTCAAATCGCCCAGATCATACCTGTACAGCCCGAGCCTCCGGCCACGCTGTGTCACCATCCGCATCGCGACTAGCTCCGTTCATGACACCGCAGCTGTACCCCACACTCCGTGCCTCGCGTACTATGCCAGTAACAACTGCTACAAATGGCCTATCCACCTCGACAGATGGCGGTTACTTTGCACTGCCAAGGCCTGGATCGTATGTTCCTTCACTCGAGACTAGAGAAAGCCCCAGCCTGAGTGGATATACAACCCCCGGTACAATGGGTTCCGAGGACCGCGACGTGGTGACCCCCCAGCTGACTCGGATGATGGCGCATTACCCTATCAGTGTAAGACATCGGAGGAGGAGCATTTCAGGGCCTCATGCAAAGGCGAGCTCTATTGGGGAGCGGATTGCTTAGGGCAGCTACGCTTAGATTAACGACTTTACGGCCATATGTTTCTGAATATGATTGAGCAACTGGCTGCATTTTAACTGGATTTACCGCGAAAGAGAAAATCATTTGATTCTTGAAACTCTTTACATCTGCCTAAGACTTCCTGGCAGCGTTCCGAATTAAGGCCACCGGATGATCTGATGAGTATATCGATTCACTATAATTAAGCACGAGAGCAGTGAGTCATGGAATCTAATAATTATCAAACATAATCTTATTAACAAGGTTCATGATACGCAGAAATTTTGTCTTGAAAATGTATTGAACTCGTCCTGGTTATCGGTTGGGAATCCACCATGGATCTGCTTGAATTGCGGGGCGGGCAAGTGGGGGAGAGACCCGGCCCGGTTCACTTCACCCAGCTACATATGAACCTGCGCAGCCCCTCCCATCACCTTTCCTCGCGTGTCTGATCTTATAACTGTGAGTATGGAGGTCGGTATCATTGGCTCGGGAATCATTGGCCTATTATCAGCCTTAACACTCACCGATGTCGGCTATAAAGTGACAATAGTCGCACGTGATCTCCCTGGAGATGATTCACAGGACTGGGCAAGTCCGTGGTAAGTTGTTTGAGGACTGTTTACTCTATAAGAATATCTCTTACGCGGTTGGGCTCTGTAGGGCCGGGGCAGCAATCTATCCTCACCCTGACAGCGGTGGAAACTCCCTGCAGAGGGAAAATTTCAGATACTACTGGGATTTAGCCCATCGTGACCCCACTAGTTGTGGTGTTCAAGTGAGTCCAATGACTCAACAGATGGGAGCATCTGATAGCATGCCTTCTAACCCTCTGCTCTAAACCAGGCCATCAAGGCTACAGAATACTACGATGACCGCGACAATGATTCAAGCATATGGTACAAGACAGTCGTGCCCAACTACCGCCTGATTCATAGGGAGGACTTACCAAAAGGTTCCAAACTCGGCTTCACCTATACGTCCATGACACTCAACCCAGAAATTCTTCTACCATGGATTCAAAAGCAGCTGCAAGCACGCGGCGTGAAATTCATCAGGAGAGCACTGCGCTCCATCGAAGAAGCGAGGAATATCACGGGGGCTCGAGTCATCGTCCATGCGTCAGGCCTGGGGGCCCATACCCTGGCCGATGACAAGAATGTGGAGGCTATCCGAGGCCAAACAATGTTCGTCAAGACAGATTTTGCAGAGACGAAGATACACCAGGGCTCGCATTACACCTACGTGATCCCTCGACCACAGACCGATGGCGCAATCATGGGAGGCGTGAGCCAGCCTGGTAATGTAGATCGCAATGTTGACAAAGATCTGCGCGTGGATATTCTTCAACGCGTCATAACGCTTGTCGGTGGAGAACTGGACTCGGTTAGGTTGAAGGATGTGAAGAAGGACATTGTGGCCTATCGACCCGGGCGGAAGGGGGGATTTCGCCTTGAGGCTGAGGGTAACACGGTGCATGCTTATGGGTTTTCAGGCCTGGGCTATGTTTATAGTTACGGGGCAGCCTTAAGGGTTCGAGAACTTGTCGATTCGTTGTGCAGTCGCGAGAAAGATAGAGGAAGCCGTCTCTGATGTATACATTATACTCTAATGTATTCTTGTTGGTCGACCCCTAAAAAGAATCACATATCTTGTTTATTGTACTTTGCGTATAGGCACGATGGTAGGGGCGAAACTTATGTGGTGGGAAAACATCCAGCTGCACGAAAATGATAACCAAAGAACTTTCAAGATTGCACAGCTGATCGACCACGCCTTAGCATCTAGCTGCCACATATGGTTAAGTACCAGACTTACGCGGCATACCTGGAGAGCAATGCTTAAGCCGAAGTATGAACTAGAATTTTCTAGACAATTGAATTAATATAGCTTACAACTCTATGACTGTTTCATGGTAGTGGAAAGCAAATATATCGGTGGGTACCTTTGCCGAGTCAAATTCTTGAAGTGGTTGGGTATAATGGTAGGATGTTTTCGCGCCCCATTTAGATCTCACTGGGATCTTCTACCCGCGCAACGACGGCGGAAACTAAGTCATTTTTGTCCACCACCACGCTTTTTATCAAGAAGAATTTGTGTTATCATCACGTGGCCACCGCAATACGTCAGGGTCAGTTGCCTTTGCTAGTAACTGTATACATCGTTGAATAGTCATAAAGTGACACGATGGCCTGGATTCAGGCAACGATGTCGGAATAGTTTCCAAGTTCATATTTAGACTTCACAACCAGGGGCGCGTGCAAGATGCGATCGGAGCCATCCTGTAGTTGGAAAAAAGTGTTTTTCTTGAAAAAACATTTTCATTTTTGAACCCAAATTAAATTGCGGCTAGCCTACATTCTCAATGACCGAATGTTGAAAAGAAGCCTGAAAACTGGGTGGTGATCATTGGAAGAAGTGACAAGGTTGAGGCTGCGGGATTCGTAGGTGGCCTTTTCGAAGATTTCGATGAGTAATGGAGGAGAGAATTATTGAAACCTTGTGTATTGCTCATCTACTAAGTGATCTTAGATCGCCCCTTCTGGGGGTGGTGAACACGTTCCCCTAGAGTGCGCCCAGTGGGGCCCACAAGAATATCAAGATCGTCATTTCACCCCGAGCAAGGGATCACGGCGGAGCATCAAACGCAGTCGACGCAATCGACGCAATCATTACACTGAATGAATTGACTGAGAATTACTTTTCTTCGCCGTCGCACGATCGATATTAATCTGCAAAGTTTATGAGTTCAAGGGACGGGGGCGATTTTGTCAGTTTCGTTCCTGTAGGAGTTCGGGCTTGGCAATATCAGACCGTCGGAGAAATTGCGTGCACAACATACTCAAGACGCTCCACAAAATCGAGTAAGGAACTGCCATTATTTGAACACGCGTCGCTGTCTCAAGGCCGAAGGGGCCGCATACCTTTTGCCCTTCCATACCAACCACCAAGCTTCTGTCGAGGTATTCTTGCTCCCGCTCTTATTTTTAGGCTCGATATTGCCGTCTTCCCACGAACCTTCAGTTATCAAAAACTTTATTTTCCTTCAGTCAAAGCACTGATCACCCGGGAGCACCAGCTCTCTTTTCGGATTTCATATCGTTTTGTATATGCCTGGTCCGGACCCATGAGGAGACGAAATTTACCATGAGTTCGGGAAGCCAAGAACAACAAGGCAACACATCGGAATCAAAGAACGAAAACCATACCTCGAGCGATACAGCGTCCATCGAGAAAAATGATTCCTTCGAATGCCCTGAAGGCGGACTCACGGCCTGGCTGGTCGTGGTCGGGGCCTTCATGATGTTGGCTTGTTCGTTCGGCATGATGAATACACTTGGAATTTTCCAATCCTACTGGGCGAAACATCAGCTGCAATCCTATTCTTCAAGTGCAATAGGCTGGATATCTTCAGTATTTGTGTTTCTGAGCATGATGCTCGGTGTACAGAGTGGCCCGATTTTCGACAGATACGGTCCGCGATGGCCTACTTTAATCGGATCTATACTATACACACTCTCGATTTTCTTAATGGGAAATTGCAAGACCTACTACCAATTCATGCTCTGTTTCGGAGTCTTGGGTGGGATCAGCAGCTCGCTTCTCTCCACACCAGCAATCGCATCCATCTCACACTGGTTCAAAAGGCGCCTGGGTATTGCTACTGGCATTGCATTGGCTGGATCCAGCGTTGGTGGAATCATCTTCTCCATTATTTTGAGACACGCGATGGACAGTCTGGGCTGGGCCTGGGCACTTCGTGTCCTCGGTTTCATCTTCCTGGCTTTCTTGAGCCTGGGAAATCTCTGCGTGAGAGGTCGACTTCCGACGAAGTCGCGGAAAGGAAGCATTGATTTACACTGCTTTAAGGACATCAGGTTCATATGGGTCACCACTGGTGTATTCTGTAAGTTTCTATGGAACCTGGTGCCTGGGATGTCTCAATTAACTCGTTTCTTCAGTTGCCGAACTCGTTCTCATTGTCTGTCAAGGCTTGCTCCCTTCCTATGCATCGGCACAGGGATTTGACACAACCACGGGAACTTATATGCTCGTCATGTACAATGTGTACGTATACCGTGAGCCATTTTTTAATCATTGCTGACAGAACCAGAGGATCGGCCGTGGGGCGACTGGTTTCCGGTATCGCATCCGACCATGTAGGACCCATGAACACCATGTCACTGACAGTGGCATTGACCATGCTGATTACGCTTGTCCTCTGGCTGCCTGTGGGTAACTATCTCGGTGTGCTCTACCCAGTCTGTCTCCTGTTGGGCGCTGGAACTGGCAGCTATATTAGCTTGACAGCTGTGTGCGTGGGTCGTCTTTGCAAAGTTGAGGAGATGGGTCAATGGCTGGGGACCTGCTATTTTATCGGAAGCTTCGGGTAAATATTTCCACTATTGCCTTCCTGGTGCGCTTCCACGTTTGCTGATATCCCGTCAAAGAACTCTAGTTGGAATCCCCATTGGTGGTGAGCTGCTCCAGATTGCAGGACCATCAAAACTGGTTGCAGTTCTCGGCGGTATATTCGCTGCTTGTCTGATCAGCTTCCTTGTTGCACGATGGTCATGCTTGAAGTATGAGTGGAAGTGGCTCATAAAAGTGTGACCGGCCAGTTTTCAATTCTCATACCCTGCTGTGCCCGAGGAAACCATTTTGGATTTTATGTTGGGGCATTTTGGACGGGAATAGATAGATAGATTTGCATTCGAACTGCTTCATCGATGTACAGCACAAAAGCATAAACTAGGCGAACAGAAAAGGGCCGTATCCAAGCCCAGACTTTGCGAAATGGAACTGCCATGCATCCACATTTTCCCAATTTCCCTGCTTCAGTTCGAGGAAGCTCAATGTATTAGAAATAGATATCTGGTATCCACATTTACACTGTGTATAATTACCGGCCATTTGAAGTCTCCGCTACGAGTGATCCTTAAGAAAAAAAAAGACGTCCACACCAAGACTTCAGTGACTCGAGTTCCCGATGTGACCTCTTCTGTGTTTATCCTGCCTGATCAGACTGTGCAGAGGTTGTATTGCCGATCGTATCGAAAATGTGCTTGGGTCTCGGAGCAGCTTCCTTAATCTTGGTAATTACTAATTACTGCTTCATCCCAATAATCAAAGACGTGTTGAGCACCGTATGAGCGCACCAGGTCTGCGGGCTTTGGGCTGCAGGTAGTGATAACCTCTAGCTCATACATGGCAGCTGAGTGAATCGCATAAAGCCCAACACTGGCTGATAGGTTTGTTAATACCAACTGTCATGTGAGGAAAGTTTGAGGACAACTCACAGCTACAGCCCAAGATCGAGACGCTCGTCCCCTTCTGCTGTTCACGGTCAATTGCAAGGGTCTTCTTTCATTACAATGCCAGCCACGCTGTTGCACAGGCCAGGGGACTGTGCTAACGTGATGGCGAGATAGACTAGCCGGTACTGGGAAGGATAACGAGGGAGTATTGAGAATATCTAACGAGGCCCTTATTTTCCCCTGTACTCTTATTAGCCTGACCAAGAGTGTGTTCGCACAAGATAACCCACCCCCATCAGATCAGACCCGCGACAATATCACCAAGTTTGTACCGCTTGACCGAGTTTCCAAGCTCAACAACTTCGCCGACAAAATCACAGCCCAGGACCACGTCATCGCCAAGTGCGTTGCTATCGAGAGATTGAACTATATCCGGTCAGCTATATCTGCCCAAGCTCTTGTATTGAGGAGGCAGTAAACAAGATGACCCATGACATACCATAGTTGGATTTTGTGCCACATATTCTTCGCGCAGCTTTATGTACACTGGCGGGGCTTTTGAACTTCTGTTGAAGAAGTCATGACTTCTCTCAACCAATTGGTTCTATCCGAAAGGTCCTTTTTCTGGGTGTCAGTGACAGTCCTGCTTGGGTCGTGAGCTAAGCAAATCAATGTAAGAATTTCTCGTTTTTCCATAAATGTTTTCATTAATCCCCGAAACAGATGCGCGAGACCATAGCATGCGCCCTTGCTGCGTTTATCAGGGTCAGTGTAGTGCAACAAGACGTGACTTCGAGCGCGATATTATTCCGATATGCCATGCTGAAGGGATGGGAATATGTCCACGGGGTACCTTCGGAAGTGGCAACTTCAGACGCCACGGCACGATGATTCGAATTCGAGCCAAACAGGTTGTCAATGCAAGCACGCGATATTGACATTAAGGTCTCCAAAGTGCTTGAAAAAGTCGCGGCCCGACATGCTACTGTGCGGACTAGCATTGCGCTAGCATACGTGAAGCATGACTTCGATCATGAAGCTCCAACACATCCGGCAAATTCCACTTTCATGAACGTTGCTGGGACCTTTGATTATGTTGATCTTCCGTGTCCAATCGGTTCAAAGGAAAAGGCTGATTAGGGCCGACTCAGTGACTTTCATGAATTGAGATTGTGAGCTGTACTAGTGCCGTTTGTAAACTCTGATGAGTAAATGTTCTGCCTGGATGACCACGTATGATCACATGACCAGTGCAGTAGGTATTCAGTGAATTCTTGTGTACGCTTGCATCGCGCTTTCTCTTTAGGTCTCAATATTTTTCATATTCAATGACCTATCTAAATTACCCAAATGTGACTATCCAAATTATTCGGGCTCATAACACCCACTCCGCAGAGAACCAACAACTTGAACAGACTTAACCCTGGAAGACATTACATGCAGTTCGCCAAGGCTGCATTGACCCTTCATAATGCTCAACAAGATGCCGAAATCAGTTCTATGTTCTGCACCAACCAAAGACTAATCTTGAATATGTACTTTGCCTGTATTCTCCGGTGCCCAAAATAAAGTTCCACGTCAAGCAGAAAGTTTCGACAAGGCAAAATGCAAAAAATCCCGCCTCGCCAAAATCGCCGATATATAACCGCGCTTATCTTATCTGACCGCCTACTCCAAGCAAGGTACTTTGACCTTCCTCTTACTGTTCTGTGTGTTCAGCAAGGGTATCTCGAGCATAATTTTCGCCTATTACCAGACACCTACGTCATTGCGCTACTCTTAATCGGATTCAGGACAAATCCTCGTCGCTATCGAAGAAGAAGATTCATCCGTGGGTGATTTTTTCTTAGATATCACTCTCTTCACATTATCTTACCAAGGATCTGGATATTTGCAATAATTTCTACTCTAGAGTTCCTGGAAAATAGCAAACAATTCCCTTGGCGACTCAGTCCACGACAAAGTGACCGAGCGAACGTATGCTGAGATATTTCCGCATGAGGCAGACATTCCTTTACCAGAAACGTTGGAGATCGCACATTGGTATAGAACATCTTATCGAAACGATCATTTATGACGTCCTCCAGGAATAGCTCGTCGCCTACACCGGCGTTATTGACTATGATATCGATACCGGGACCAAATGCGTTGATTACGGCGTCAACAACGGCACGTGGTGCGTCGGGAAAGGTACAGTTTGCCTGGACTGCGCTTGCCTCTCCCGAGAGATTGAATTTCCTTCGCTACCTCTTCGGCTTTGTTTGATGAGGCGGAGTGGGTAATAAGGATTTGGCGTTCCCTTTCGCCAGTTCTTGGCAATTCACGCCCCGACTCCTCGGGATCCTCCGATGACAATTGCGTGCTTTCCCTGAAGAGTCATGGTCAGAGATTCAACGTCGCGATATAGGTTTCTAGTTCCATTCAAAGTATTGATCCATTGGGAAATTCATAATTTTGAGACTGAATTTTAATTGGTCAGGATGGTTCTCGCTGCAATCAGGGTCAAGGTAAATAGTCCTTGGGCGCGGCTACTATGCTGCACGATGGAAGTATTCTGGGTGGGGCTTAGAAGTCGACTGTGACCTCAGGCCCGGTAGAGAAAACATGCCGCAACGATGCTCCACACATTGTAGTTTTCAAGGATAAATGGATAATCACGGAGCAGGCTCCAAAATTGGTGGCCCATGGGTGATAGTTGTCCTCAAGTGTCAACACTCGCTACGATGCACATGCTCATGGATTTATTTCAATTCTATGTAAATGGAAAGCAAGAGAGGTAAAAACTTTATCCGGTCTAAATGTAAATATTACATAGTATCAACAATCACCAAGCCGACAACTCCGAGAGAAGAGACAAAACTGTACAGGCCCGGGAATAGAGCGTGCTCCGAGCAAAAAAATTCATTTACCATCGTTCATCGGCATCGCATCGCCATGATAACCTTCCATTTCACGAACTTCGTTCCCGCTTATTCACATCCTCCATCTCCGAGAGAACGAAGTTGTTGAACTCTTCCCATCCATCAAGATAGAGGTGATGTCCAGCTCTTTTGATGACCACAACTTTAGATGAGCCTTGATCACGATCCCGTTCTTCGGGAGAGGCAGTAGCTAGAACGCGAGATTTCTCCTCGTCCAGGCGTGCTGCGGCTGCGTGACCGCCCGATACATCCATCCAGTCGTGGTCACCGTACATGAAGACAATAGGAATACCATTTTCACGTCGAGGCTCTTGGGTTGGGACTGGTGCATCTGGAGCTGGCGCAGGAGATGTGGGAGGGGTTTCCACTTCCGGCGCCGTAGATTTAGGGGCGCATTTAGGGAGGATAGAGCAAGAGGAAGATGATGTCGGGGTTTCAAAGGGATTTGTCGTCCCAGGTTGAATCATCTGCCGGCCAACACCGTGAATTCGGCGGATGAGGGGGCTTCGTGCGAATGCACCTGGGGCCAGGATGTATGCCAAGGCATATTCACCGCTACCACGCATGCTAAAGATCGAGTACGAGTAGTCGTGCAGTGCCTTCGCTTCCTCGGCTGGAAGATGGGAAAAGCGTCGAGATGTCCAACCGGAGACAATACGCGGCCCTAGAGGTCCGGTCCACCGGACCAAGCTGAAGGGCGAGATGTTGGCGTCCCAGAGGTACGCAAACCATTTAGGAAGATTCCGACGCGGTGGCTGATTAGATCCAGCCTGAATTTCGGGGTTCCGACCAGTGATGAAACTGCCATCACTGGACTTGGGCGCACTGCCTGGAACCGCAGCCGACGCAGTGATATCTGTTTGGTCCTGAGTGAGCTCATTGGCGAGAGTAGACTCTGAGGGCTCAGATACGCCCGCGGTGACTGCATATGGGTCCTCGGGAATACCCACTGGCGACGCCAGGATGAGCTTGTTCAGATGGCCTGGGTATTTGAGAGCGTAGGCCACAGCCATGTAGCCACCGAGACTGTGTCCGAGCAGGGTGAAGCGGTCGATCTTGCGTTTGATGCGCCACTCTTCGAGAGCATCAATGAACCACGCCTCGGCTTCTCGAATCGCATCCTCGCGCTCCTTGGCCTTGATCTTGAAAGCGGGTCGCGTACTGCGGCCCATGCCTAGCATATCCAGTGCATGAAGCTGCCAGCCTTTCAGTCGGCTCAAAGGCTCGAAGTTCTTGTAGAAAAAGCCCAGGCCAGCACCATAGCCGTGAAGCATGACCAAATGCTGATCAGTGTCTTCGCCCACTCTCTCAACAGAGAACTCATTGAGTGCGCGGTCTTTGCCACTCAGTTCGACCATGCTTGAACTCCATCGACGCGGACCAAAGGGGTCATTGAGCGAGTTGGTTGAGATCTGGCCCTCCTGGTTGTAGTCTGCGGACTGCAGACTGCTCGGGGTTGTACCATTTGGAAATTCGGCAGTATTACCAGTCTGAAGATGGGTCGGGGGCTGGTGATGCAGGTAGGGGAGATATGAAAGGACCTTGTGTTCGGCGGCGGCAGCAGGAAGGCGAGCCCACTAGAAGAAATAGTCAGTATCATTTATAATTTTCATCGAGCCCGGCCTTTTGTTCGCGTAGGACGAAATCGCACGGAGAAGAGGGTGGGAGCTGGCAGACTCCAAGTTACTTACCCATTGGCTAAAGCCTTCGCGGTATCCCAACGGGAAGAAAGAGCTGGCAGCAGCGGCACCAGCGGCCGCGCGGGCGGCGTACGGCGTGCCCTCTCGGCCGTTTGGGTTCGAATTGCGATTATGCTCGCGAGCGTCCCTGTCGGATGGGTTCAGGGACTCCGACGCCATTGTAGAGGCTTGGCGATGGCTGGGAATGCTGGTGGCGAATGATGCGAGGCGCGGAGTGCAGGCCCAGTATTGGGCAATGTGGCGAGGGGCAAGTCGCGAAGGCGCCGTGCGAGAACCGGACAGATAGAGGGGATCTGTCGCGAGAGGAAGGAGAGCGAGGCTCATGGGCGAGCAAATTTGAGACCACGGAGACAATCGGCCACGCCGCTTAACCCCGACAGGCAGACGCGCATACACAAAGGACGGGTGTAGGATCGGATGGAAGGGTCGAAAGGGACACTCAGACCAGCGGTCGACCGACGAGACAGCTGTGCCGCAGCAGATCCGCCAAGGAAGTCGCGGAAGGGAAGGAGGGTGTATAGATCGAAAAGTGGGCAGGCGGAGGATGATGTCTTGATCGGCGCCCCTTCCCTTCCGCCTCGCTTCCGCGGCTTCTGCTTCTGCCTTCCCCCAACGACCTTTGGCCGCTGCGGCCGTCACTCTCTGCTAAACAACGATGGCCTCGCCCTTAGACCAGCTTGTCAAGGGCGCCCCGGTGCCTGAAGCCCGCGCTCCCACCCCGGAGCCATTGGCACAAGCTTCGACGGACTCGTCGTCCCCGCCACAAGCTTCCACGCCAGATCCGCTGGCCATCGCCCCCGACTCGCCTCCCCAGATCTACTTGAATCTCCTGATCATGGAGGCCTCGCTACGGGCACAGTACCTGGCTCTTCGTGAACGCCGCCGCCAGAATACGTTCTTCCTGCTGCTGTTAGCCACCTGGATTGCTTACTTTGCCTACGCACTATTCCTTCGCCCGCGAGAAGATGGCCGCGGCGTCGGCGGCTCCGTATATTGGATGGTAGAGATGGGAGAGAAGGTTGCCCTGCTGGGAGGAGTTGTGACCGCGTTGCTGGTTTGGGGCACAGGGCAATGGGAGCGTGGAATCCGCTGGCCACGACGCTGGCTCGCCGTCTCCAACCGCGGCCTGCGCACCATGAACACCAAGATCATTGTGATCCGTGGCCCCTGGTGGCAGGAGTTGCTCTCTTATATATCCTTCCTGTTCCCGTTCTCCATGCCATTCTTCCCTTCCCCTACAGGCAACTTTCACCTGATCGAACGTCATCCGAACGAAAAGCGCGGTAGTCGGCAGCACTACCAGCAGTATTACAGTGGTGCAGACAGCGAATCGGGTCTGGTGGAGGAGGATCTCAGTCCCGGAGGCGACTATATACACCTTCTGCTTTTGCCCAAATCATTTTCGCCGGAGTTCCGCGATAAATGGGATCAGTACCGCACCGACTTCTGGTGTGCCGAGAACGAGCGCCGAGCTAAGCTGCGTCACCAACTGCGCGAGCGCGAGCGCCAGATCGCTCAGGCAGAAGGACGGTGGTTCGGGCGATTTGGGCTGGGATGGCGCGCTTCCCGACGCCGCCGTCTGGTTGCTGCCACCTTGCACCGATCATTGGAGTCGGAAAGCAAGCCCCGGTTTCATTCACACCAGCACCAGCCGTCGATCTCGTCCAAGTTGAGCCAGGAACATCGTGCTTCCTCTGTGCGTCGGGGGACGCGCTCCGAATCCTCTCACTCCCGTAACTCATCACGCAGCACCACCCCTGTCGACGTCGAAGATCGACCACCTTCACGCTCCTCTGCCTCTGGCCGTCCGCGTCGTGGAAGTACAACACCTTCGTTGTCGGGTGGGGACCAGAGCCCCCAGCAGCGCAAACGGAAGGGCTCAAAGTCCTTGCGCCGTGGGCTGTCACCTCTGACGCAGGCACAAGTGCGCGAAGGTGTGCGAACCCCGTCATTCTCGTCAGATGACTCCGTGATGGTGGGGGACAAGGAGAAGGAGAGCATACCGACCTCTGTACCTGAATCGAATACTGCTGCTTAGAATTATGTCCTTTTTTCATGCTGTGGGCTTCGCCGGTTTACTGCCTTGCATCTTGCTCGGAGACTGGCACTTGATGCGTTGCTGTTCGAAGTGTTCGTCGACATTCGTTCTTATACTTTGATCCCGCACTTTATAGATACCATTTCAGTAGTCCAATTTGCCTTTTACGACATTTTGCATAGCTCTATTCGATAGAAATGGAGGGCACGGCACATCAAATATTTTGAACCTCTGGGTTGTGCAAATAGAGGACAGCAAAGCTGCACAAGCGTTAAAGCACATATCAACTAGCTGACAGGAATGACTCCGAATTTAATAGACATTGCTAAGTTCAACCACGTACACTTACGATTCCACGTCTAGACCTACTTTAAGACTTTCGAGATATGAATTTCCATTCACTCTTAACGAATTGAACCTATCCAGATCCCTCAATGCATCGACGCCTGACTCCAGACAGAAAGAGAAACATGATATCATCCCAATGCAACGAGTTGCAGAAATATGCCCGTAAACCAGGGCTAAACCACTATAGCCCAGCACAAATATCACACGTCCAGCCTCTAAATACGGTAGACGTTGTCATCGTCCTCGAGGAACCTATTACGTAGATGATTAGTTATCCGTGATGTATTGATATGGTCAGTGTTCAGTGGGATATACTCACATCAGCAGGTTCTCTTCGTTCATTACACGCAAAGCCTGGATGGCCTCCGGTCGGGAGAAGACCTGGGCAGCACCTTGGCTGGGCGAAGTGCGGATAGCCGTGTTGACAGCCTCAATAAGATCGTTGACGTTGGTCGTGTCGCTGTCAATAAAGACACGCGAACCCATGAGAGGACCCAGGGTCTGGCGGAAGACAGCCATACGATCCGGTGTGATGGGTGGTGGTGCTGACGAAGAGGCGGGCTGTGAGTCGTCCTGTGATTCCACGAGCTGGGAGGCAGGCTGCGAGGACGCAACGGACATTTGAGTGTCCGTCTGGGTCTGGGTTTGGGTACGGGTAGTTTGGCTCTCCAGCTCGTCTTCGGGGATGGCGGAGCTGGCGGCAGCACGAGTTCGCGCAGTTCCAGCTCGGCGGCCGGGGGTGGCTGTGGAGCTGCCTCGGAAAGGAGCATTGTCATCTTCGTTATCATCGAGCTCGGGATCGCTGTCGTCATTCGAGGACGAGTCTTCGTCGAAAGTGGTCACCTTGCGTCTCTTGGTGCGCTTGTCCTCCTGCACCTCCTTGAACATGGCGAAACGCAGAATGGCTTCAGCATGCTTGGCATCCTTCTCATCGACTCGGTTCGAAAGGCGAGCCTTGGCGTGCGCGGTTGAAAGACGAATCAATGTCTCCAGGGTACGAGGTGTGATGGGGGATGTACGGCGTTTGTTGCCGTGAAGCTCGTCATTTCGCAGGGCGGAGTAAACGGCAATGATATGATCGGCCGCACCCTTTGTGAGGACGGGCTTGACTCGAGATTTGGCGTACTGGATGTACTTCTTGATGAAGGGGATGCTGATGATTTCGACGTTGTTTTTGCCTTTGCTGCGAGCTGTGTTGGCCATGCCACCGTGAAGCATGACGTTGAATTTCTCAAAGACCTCAGAAGACTTGTTCTTCTCTCCCTGCTCTTGAATGCCGACACCAAGGGTTTGGTTAAGCTGCTCACGAACTGGTGCGCCCTCCTCTGTTCCTGGCTGGCGGTATCGGTGCATTCGCAGAACGTGTTCTGAGATGGTTCGGTCCTTCGCATCCTCAATGTCATCTGTAACAATGAAGAGCAAATCGAAACGAGACAGAAGAGAGTCAGGGAGAGCAATGTTCTTGTGAGGATCTTTGTGAGGGTCGTATTGTCCGTAGATCGGATTGGCGGCGGCAAGAACACTGCATCGGGCGTTCAAACTGGTGTGAATACCAGCCTTAGCAATGGTAACAGTCTGCTGTTCCATAACTTCGTGAATGGCAACACGGTCGACATCACTCATCTTATCGAACTCATCAATGCAGACCACGCCACGGTCACCGAGAACCATTGCACCAGCCTCCAGTCGACGCTCGCCGGTTTCCTTGTCAGAGGTAACAGCTGCTGTCAGACCGACACCGGAAGATCCTCGACCAGTAGTAGCAATGGCCAATGGGGCAGTGTTGAGAACGAAACGAAGAAGCTGAGACTTAGCAGTGGAGGGATCACCAACCATGAGGATATTGATATCACCACGCAAGTGGGTACCATTCTCCAGGTTCTTCTCCATACCACCAAGCAACATGAGGAGAATTGCCTTCTTGATGTAATCATGTCCGTGGATACTAGGTGCCAGGGACTGGGATAGCAGCTCGAAAACGTTCTTCTTCTTGGAGATCTTGTTTATGTTTCGAACGTCCGTATCGGTGATGGTAGCCTGAGCGACACCTCCACCGGATTTGGAGGAAAGTTGGATAATGTTGTTCGCCATCACAACGGTTCGAAAGGTGGACGATCCAGAGCTGGCGTTGCGGTTACCAAGAGTACGATAGATACCCACCAGCTGGATTCTGTCTCCGGGCTTGGCGAAGTCAACCAGATCATCGTCCACAATCACATCGACACTGCGGGGCAGTTGACCGGCCGGGGCTCGTTCGGGCATTTCTTGGATCGAGATGGTCTGGTGGTCCATATATGTAGAGTAGCCGTACTCGGTGATGAGTGGGTTCTTTTCGTCGTCTTCTTGGGGATAGACGTTCAAACTTGTCGCACCGCTGGCGGTCATAGTCTGGTCACGGTATTTTCTTGCCAAGAAACGATCTTTCTTCTCGCTGTAGTGAACACTCTGAATGATCTTGGGTCGGACCAAAGAGCACTTTGTAACGATTCCTTCAAGAGCCACCATGCGGTTCAAGTGCTGGGAGCCCAGTGTGCGAGGGTTGCAAGAGAACTCTCCGAACGCGCCGTGGAAAGCGCAGTAGTAGACCTGTTTGGGAGATTGATTGTCAACATCTTCTCTTCACAGAGCACATTGTAAATCCATAAATACGCACCACATCGTCCTCTGTCTCCCTCTTTCCAGACCATCCTGGCAAATATTTCACGATGTCCTTCAAAGCTGCATCGAAGGCTTGGGTATATTCGAACGGAGACGTAAGAAGCCTATTTGCAAAAAGGGTCAAAAATACAGCCAGTCAAATTTCTCGATGTCAGAATATCAGCTCACCCATCGGCCATCTCCCTGCTATGTTGGCGGATTTCATCGAGGTCGACCTGCGGCGATCATTAGTATTCGTCCCTACGTTGCAGGGGGGAAGTAACACACAAGCAAACGCCGCGATTTGCGATTGAGCATCACCACAATATCGGCGCGATAACTAAAAAATTTGGTCAGAGCGAATCTTGGCAAGGAATTGCAGATTGACCAACCTCCTAGCCCGGTTATCACCTAAAGAAAAAAACATGTTAGACAGCAATTCTCACAACCCTCCAGGCTACACTTACTGGGATCGAGAAATTCCTTAGCGGCCCGCACGCGATCCTGCGTGGCCTCATCGCGCAGCTGAACATCCATTTTGGGTGTCGTGGATTCAATGTGGGAGTTGCGACAGGCGCTTGAAGAAGGAGAGGGGGCGGAGGATGGAAAGTCAGAAGTGCACGCTCACCCGATTAGGCAAAATTGAAATTGGAGCGCGTCGACGTGTTCGCGTTACTTATGTAATCAGAGTTTTGGCGACCGCTGCAGATCTTCAGAAATTATGGCTGAACCCACCGTCTGCCCCGCCATGCCGCAACTGCCATGGCTTCAAAACAAAACGACGCCCGCTCGGCCCTTGGTGAAAATGAGGTCGACAATTCCCTGGACGATATCTTTGGTTCCTCGCCCCCAGACGCAATCGAGACCCGGGCACACCAACCTGCTGGAACGCAGCCATCCGCAGAACTAAACGATCTCCCCGCGCTCCGCCGACAGCACGTCACGGCAGGCTATCGTGATGGCGTCTCGACATCCAAAACCGAACATGTGCAAGAAGGATTTGATGCGGGATTTCCCGTTGGCGCACAGCTCGGCATGCGAGCGGGAACTATCCTTGGTATTCTAGAAGGAATAACCCGCGGACTTGAGGACCGGAGCGTTTCCGGCGTTGTGAAAAAGCCAGCACGCGGTACAGCTTCCGGATCGGCATCAGCACTGGCCCACGATACTCGTCAAGAAGCTACTGAAGACGCGCGTCGAGAGCTACGAGAGCGGATCGCAAATCTATATCAAGAAGCCACGCAGACGTTGGATGTGCAATCTGTATTTGCCGGTTTTGAAGGTGGATCCGAACCGACTGGCCCTCCCACGGAAGCGGATGTCGCAGAAAGAAAGGCTGAAGAGATGGCTGAGACCCAATTGGGTCGAAAGGGAGACACTGTCGTATCTGGCTGGGAAGAACGTGTTGCCGTGCCGCGGTGGGAGGAGAACATGGAGGCATTGGAGGAAAAGGATGCCTCCGGGCCACAGAGCGATAAGAAGGCAGAAACTGAGCGGAGCTGAAGCTTTTGTGCAAAGGCAAGAGCAACCGACAAACACAAAGACATCCTCTTCGGCTCCTCTTTCTTTTGCGCCTCGAACCAGCAAACAACCTGTGCATGAGCGTCGGCTCAGCGTGAGCACCAATATCCCCACCGGTCCGTAACAAAAGCTACGAACCCATATCCAGCACATGTAAGCGGTGCCATACAGGTTTGCCGCAAATGGTACTGATTTCTCCGTTGTCAAGTGAATTCCTGGCAACGTTGGTCCTTCCGGCCGAGATACCGGATCTACTCTTTTAGGCTGGAGAACCATTCGCCAAGCCAGATCACTTTCCCGTCAACTCTTGTCGGTTGCCGATCAGCCTTCTCAAGCGAGCAATGGTCCTGACACCGTAATCACATATATCCCACAGTTGATCTTTTCCTTTCAGGGTTCCCCTTCAAGTCAGGTGAGTGGTGAAACCATTATCCACATTTGAAGATGAGTGTTGGATGGGAATGTCAACTGTGGCAACTCGTAAAAAATATACGATTGATTCGAGTGGACTCAAGAGACGTTGGGTGGATTGAAAAGGATTCTGCGGCGGTTTTACAAAACGAATGGTGCCTCTGGGGTATTGCACATTTTTGATGCATCGCCCTTATTTACGCTCATGTACTGAAACATTCTGTGTGCAACAAAAAGAATATGTCAAGATCTCAGAACTCATATGTGAATCTAACATCTACTCGTAGTCAAATGCATAGTTACTCCCAAGGGTCGCGGTTACTTGAAACTGGCAGAACCATCAAGAGCTCGTAATTGGTGCATGTAGAACGAATTGCGGCTGACGAAATGACTAGGAGGATCAGAGTGAAATATGATACATTGGGACTATATAGACAGGATATATGCAAGTGGGCTAATTAAACAAATCAATATACAGAAAGAGGTGTGTCCACTTTATTCATCGGCCTTTCCTCCTCTATTTTTTCCGTCGAGGTTCTCTGTGGCCGACGCAACATTTTCAGCTTGATGTTGGTCGTGGTGCACTTCTGTTACTTGGCTGACAGCGGAAGGCTCGTCCTCCGCCAGTGGCTGTTGATCCATCGAAGACAAACCTCCCATCGTCGAAACATTCGGCAATATCGAATCGTTATTCGATTTTCCGCTTTCCGAGCGTTTGTATCGCACCTTTTCGCGGCCAACGACACCAGCCAGGTGTAGCTTGCGACTTCGCTGGCGCTTCTGGCGGGAGTGACGAACGTGTCCTTCGGCATCAATTCGATGTTCGGGGGTAATCACGCTCTCTGGTCCAACTTCGCCAAGATCTTCCATCCAAGATAAATGGGTCGTGTCTTCTGCCAAGTCACTGATAGGGATAATGCCCGAAAGTTCAGGCTGCTCCTCATCCTCGTCAAAAAGGTCGTTTCGATACCTAGCAACTCCGCCAACACCGAGAACACCACCAGGTACGACACGACGCTCGTGCGGAGCTTTCGCTTTGTCAAGTTGTTCTGAACGGTTTCGAACTAAGACGCCCTGGATCTTGTCACGCTTATACGGCATTTGCCCAAGGAACTTGACTGTTTTGGGGGCTGCAGCATTCACGATTTGGAGCTCGATGTTTCCTTGGGAGATGGTCTTATCTCGAATGCGGTTTAGTGACGCTGCAAGGAAAGCCATGGTGTAGTAGGTAGGTTGCGGGAGGTCCGGCTCTATCTTCATCCAGTGCCCTCGTGCTTTCTTTCCAAGAAGACTATCCCATCGCTCAGCTTGGGGAGCTTCCAGCATCCAAACCTCCCTAGGCACCGCAGAAGACTTCAAGCCAAATCCGCGTAAAAGCTTATACCAGCCGGGGAAAAATGGAGCGAATTTCTGCTCAAAGGTTTCGAAAGCGTTGAGCTGATCGGAGAAGTTATCGGAAGATGCTAGCATCTGCACCCATGTTGACCAATTGAAAGTGGTCAATACAAAACCCAGATGCTCAAGATGCGCAACAATATCGCGGATCCTACTCGTCTCGTTCTTGTAACCCAAGGCCCGCATGTAGATGGAAAGGGCTTGGCCGAGAATGAAGCGCTGCGCGGGTAGAATGATGTTCTTCTCCGGTGAAGTAGAAGCATGAGTGGACTTGGGCTCAGAGTTCTTGAGTGTTGCAGGAATATCTTGGGTCTTTGACGCGGGGACGCTCTTTTCGGATGATTTGGGCGCTGGGACAGGGGGATCCTGGAGCATGTCAAGATGGATGCGGCCGGCCTTCTTGATGGCGTCAGAGAGCAGAATCTTCCAGAGATCCTCCACTTTCTGGTACTCTCCGGCCTTCAGGTGAACAGTCATCATGGCAGCCAGAATGCCCATTGGAATCCGCTTGGGATCCTTGCCCTGTGGCATTTCCGGAGTTCTGCCATCGGCATACTGTAGGAAGAGTGCACGAGCGCGCTCAACTCCGCCTCGTTTCCCATACTCTTTGATGAGATGCTGGTACTGCAGTGACAATGCATAGTCTGTAGCATCGGAAACCGATGGCGCCGGATCAGATCTTTCAATCGATTGTTGTAAAACCTGTTCTCCAAGCGCCAGGCGCAAACGAGCACCTTCCGTAATTCCATTCTCCTTTGCAATCTCCAAATCACGTTGGACCTGATATTTGAGGTACAAAAGATTTGATTGAGGGCCAGCCTTGCCAAATCGCTCAAGGATCTCACGGAAGATGATGTGCACCATATCTCGATTGCCTTCCCGGACAAATCCATGGAGGATAAGAGATAAATGCATCTCTGTGGCATACATGCGACGCTTTTTGTGCAACTCTCTGAGCATTCGTCGCGCCCTCTCGGTCCTGCCAGCCAGAACGAGCCCAAGAAGAATTGCATAGTAGCTGCCAGCATTCAGTGAGACACCGGCAGATTCCATGCGGGCTCGGATTCGATAGCAGGCCTTCACGTCCATTCTGCGCGCGTAGTGAAGCAAAATTGTGTTCCACATTTTGAGGGACGAGCCTTCAGCGTTAAGACTCAGAGAGGCTCCCGCAAGTTTTTCGGCAAGTTCCAATTCTCCATTGTGACAGTATGCCTTGATGATTGCTTGGAGAAGTGGCATCGTAATGCGCACTTGGCAGTCTTGCGCTTCTTTCAGCAGCCGACGAGTGCTATCGATATCGCCTCGCTTGGCTGCAATTTGCATTAAGGTACCAAAAGTATGCGAATCCGGGTTGGCGCCATTCTTCAGCATCTGCGTGAAAGCAGAGCACATACTAGCCCAATCATTCTTGGCCGCGTGCGACTTCAGAAGCACGTTCCAGCAGTACGTATCCGGTTTAAGGCCGAATTCACTGCTCACTCTCTGGAATTGTCGCTCTGTTTCCTTCGGGTTCCCCTTTTGCGCATGAACCATGAGCAATGGAACAAGAGGGCCACAATTGAACGGCTTTCCATAGTCCGCCAACATTCTATTGAAAATCAAGTCGACCTTGGAAACATCGCCCGCATGAGAAAAGCAATTTAAGGCGTGGCGGTAAGCTCTGAAACTCGGTTTTCCATAGAAGTAGATGAACTCCTCCAGGAAGAATTCAATCTCGCCAGTCGCGGCCCAAAACTGAAGTGCGCTCAGTTGCCGATTGAGCAGATCTTTCGAAGGCACATAACGAGGTAGCTCCCGGCGTAGTTGATGGTAAAAGAACGCCGAGCGGGAAAAGCCAGAGCGTGTTGATGATGATTGGAGGGTGCTGATGCTGCTGAGATAATATGGCGTCGTCTGTAAACCAATCTCGCTGCATGACTTGAGAATTTCGAGGAGAGCATCTAAAGAGCCGTGTTCAGGTTGTTTTGGGGACTGATAAATGGTTTCCAAAAGCTGTTGTCCAAGGCTCAAGGCGGGTGGAATTCTTTGGTCTGGATTGTATCGCAAATGCCTGGTAAACTCAAGCCCCTTTTGAAGAATTGCGTGTTCTGTCATCCGCGAGAAGTACGTCTGTGGCGATGGGTTTTTGGCTGATGTTTGCAGATACGACCGCATTTCCCAAATTTCGACAGCATCTGTCCACCTCTCCCTTTTCCAAAAGTACGCGAAAATCCATGGAGTGCAGCGATCTGCAAGGTCGCACTGAATGGCTTGTTGGGCAAGTTGCTTCAACCTCGTAGGGTCCTCATATCGGAGCTGCGAATGGACCATGGGAAGGAAAATATCGGCCGAGCGATCTTCGAGAGGGATTTGGCCAAATACTTGCCAGGCCAAGTCCTGATCTGAACGCCGGCCAGACCTTGACAGATAACTGCAAAGCGCGGTGCGGATTGCTGGCGGTTCACCGGCGGCGAGGTACAGCACCCATGCCTTATCAAAGTCCGTGTCTTGGCTTTGCAGTAATGTCCAAAGATCTTTCATGGCCTGGCTAGGTGGGTCTGCCGGGCCTCCATGTGAGTATGCTCTGTGTACTCCCTGGTCATCAAGAAGCGTTGCCGGAGGGTTCGAGACTGCTTCGGACGTGTATGTTCGTGAGAAGCCGAGTAATGATTTTCTCTTCCGACGCGATCCCAGTCTTTTTGAATTGCGAGATAGCCGGAAGACTGATTCTGGTCGGGTGGCTTGAGGATATAAGAAGTCGAGGAAAGGCGTTCCTCCATCGAGGGCCGTCGGACTTCCGGGGATCGGGTTGAGAGCGGAGGACGAGCGTTTATCCGGGGATTGTACCAGGGCGAGAAACCAATTGGAAAAGTCCTCTGAGGCGGCATTGTGTCTCCAGAAGTTGCGAGACAAGGACCTCCGTGTTCGAATCGCGTCATGGGAGTCTCGGAAGAAACGCCGTCCTGCGCTCTCGAAACAGGCGGTTGCCCGTTCCAACATCACCCCCAATCGTCGCGGTGTTAAAACAACACTGAAGTCACCGAAGTTGATCAATAGGCCGCATCGTATCGTCTCGGATAGCTCTGTGTAGGTGAGAGCGAAGTCAGAGACCAGTGTTCACGAGTGACTTTTTTTCCCTCCGGCGTTGAGATTCAAGCAAGCTGTTTTTGATGGTGCCACACGTACCGAGAAGGCGGAGAGAAAATTTTAAAAGGTTGCACGTAAACTGGAAAGTGAAGCTCGAGATATCTAGCTTCAGATCGATCCAAATTTGTGAAGGGTTCCAGGAGCAGCGGTGCTTCACCCAAGCAGGGAGCAAAAGCAGACGGGAGCAACAAAAGATGGTTGGAAATTGCCGGACTGCGTCGGGCCATTCGTTTGGCCGAAATGGTGCACCGCCTTCCCGCGCACCACCTCGCCGAAACCTGGAGGATCCCGACTCCCCTCCATTTCGCCAGTCGCATCGCCACAATGGAGATCACTGATTTTATCTTCAAGGAGCGGGAAGACCTGCACCTGGTGGGCGACTACAATGCCTACCGGGCGCACGCCACTCGCCGACTGCACAATCTTCGCAAGAAGCTGGGCCAAGCCACCCCCAAAGGCCGCAAATACACTGCCAAACCTGAAATTACCGCCGAGAACGTCGGAGGAAATGTTGCGTATGTTTTCTATGTCTTTGGCATGAATCGTGACAAGTAAAAAGTGCGCTGGCTGACTTCAATTTCAATCTAGATATGTACACCTATTGCTTCTCGCATCCGAACGAGCTTGGGCGCAGGCGATGCACATGAAATCGACACATTCCGCAGACCCCGATGCCAAGAGTATTTCCGGTGCGACTAGAAGCCATGTAATTTCGCGATTGAACAAGGCCAAGGGGTATGCGCAGCATCTGGTTTCGCTGCTGCACGAGCAATCATCGACGGGGGCGAGCGACATTGACGTCCTTGAAGCGCGGGCATACTTCGCTACCATCTCCGGTGCGTTGTGGCTGGAGAAGCGACGCTGGGAACAGTGCCTGTACGACTATGCAATTGCCAGAGTCATCTACACTGCGCTTGGTCAGAGAGTCAGGAAGGACGCTTTCCGGGATCTGCTCACTGGTACCGTCGACCCAAGTCTCCGCTATGCCGCCTATCAGATGAAACTGCCCCGCTCGAAGCCCACCTCTTCCCTCGCGATTGAATACTTCCCCTCCGATTCTGAAATCCGTTCCGAGGTCGAGAAGCTGGATCCTTCCTGTTTGGCCGAAGAAGCCGCAGGAACACGACGAACGGCCGAGGGTGAGGTACAAAAGCTACCGGAGTCGGTGACATGGCGCTCGCGGACCGTACCTCTGGACGATGCCTCGATTTCTCAGGCTTTGGCTGCTGCTTCGTCTGCAGAGGACAGACTTACTGCCTGGCTGGCTGGTGAGGGCAAGTCCGCTTCGGCGAAGGACCAGGCAGCTGCATACGATCATGTCATCATTGCCAGTCAAGATGCCGTGGATGCTACGAAGACCGCCATCGATGACCTGACCAGTGAAGGTGTGGATCCGGGTGACAAGCGCTTGCAGGCACTGCAGATCACTCGGACCGCTGTTAACTACCAGCTTGTTGGATGGCGCGTTGGTCGTAACCGTGTACTATGTGGTGGGCAGGACGGTCTTGCCTTCGGCGAGGAGCAAGCGACCCAGGGCAGCAAAAGTGCCAAGCGCAACGGAGGCAATGGAAAGAAGCTGAACAAGCTTCGCGAGCGAGCTGTTCTGTACGACTCGACTCTGCAGAGTGTTGACTTCATTCTTGAGTTGCCTGGTGTTGCTGCCGACACTCCCTTTGTCCAGGACCTGGAGGCCAAACGACGCTACTTCCGAGCATTAAGGTATGATATCGAATCGCCCTCTTCTATCTTTTCTTCTATTTCCCAGCACATAACTCACTCTTTGTTCAACCAGATGCCTGGCTCTGGGACGATCCCATGGCGTGCTCGGAAAGCCTACCGAGGCCCTTGCCCTCTTCGCGCAAGCCTTGAACCTGTCCGTATCTGCGACACCGCAATCATCCGCTGAATCACAGGGACCCCCTCGTCTGGATGTCTCCACGGAACAGGTGGGGACTCTTGAAACCACGTTGCGCGGCTTGGTTGCCCAGTATCGTGGACTTGTGACCCTGAAGCGACTGGAAGCTCAGTCCAGCTCGTCCCAGCAGCGTCCGCTAGTGGAGCGACTTAATCAATTCCATCAGGGAACCGACCTCCACAACCTCGTACCCTACCCGCCGCAAATGCAGCCGGTATCGGTGAAGCCTCTGTTTTTGGATGTCGCTTGGAACTATATCGACTACCCCCACGAGGCTCAGGCTCCAGCGCAGGAGGCCCCAGCGGTGGAGGAAAAGAAGCGGGGATGGTTCGGGTTTGGACGGTGAACATATTTATGCTACGTATTCAATGGATCCGATCTTACGGTTTTATCATATATGATGTTGTAGATTCATTGTTACTTGTCCTGTAAAGCCTCATCATCAGTAGATACATTATCCAAGGCATCGTAAGTGTTGGCATGCCTCTACCATGGTGTTGCTATTTTGAAAGGTGCATTCAGCCTACTACGTGGCCACCTTCTCTGTACATTGTTGCCTCACAGTCATGGACAAAAAGGTTTGGTTCCAATGTAGTAATATCCGATCTTTTTCTATACTTCGCGCGGCCAATGGAGAGTTGCCGTTAGTCAGCACACGTGCCGTCCGGAACCCTTTGGAGCGCCAATCGGCCGGGCGTTCTCGAGCCGAATCACGCTACTCCTAATCCATGTAGCAATGCATGCAGAACGGCATGGAGTCAACGCGCTGAGGTTTTGGGGATATAGATGCAAGGTGGGATGTCTGTTGCAGTATGTTACTGCATGGTACGGTGCATGAGGGCGTCTCCGGAATGTGGTGGTCTGGACTCGAATCTACAGTGTACATCAGGGACCAAGCAGGGCCCGCTTCGGCGCCGGCGGAGTTTGTACAAACTATGCAATGTGTAGGACGACCACACAGAGGGGGAAGACAAGGGAAAGGAGGAATGGGGTTGAGATCTAAATGAAAATGACCGGTTCCTTTCCACACGACTATTGTAATAGGACTAAACCCCGACAAAGCGGAGTGGGCCGGTCAGACCATATAATCCCTCGATAGTCATTCGCGGCTCGCCCAGCAACCGAGTGGAAATTGGCGTTCCCGCCCCTGACCGATTTCCTTTCTTCCCCTCTCCACCTCTCGCGCATTGATAGTCCGGGTCCTTTCTTGGTCACTGGATTTCTCTTCTCTCACCAAGGTCTCTCTCTTTCACGACCTTGCCGGACATCATGGCCAACGTTAACGGGAGCTTCGTCTCGCCCTCCGCCGATGCGACGGTCGTTCCCCAGCTTTTTGCGCCGGCCGGCCTTGTCGCCTCTGTGCTCGATGGCTTCACGATCTGGAAGCTGCTGGTGACTTTGTTCCTGGCTGCAGTCGTCTACGATCAGTGTGAGTATAATCCCTCTTTTCAAGCCCCTCTCTTGTGATTTCTTTGCCTTGCCAATTTTTATTTTTTTTTTCCGCGGCCGCTTCGGCCTCATCACGCGTCGGAGAATATTTACTAACATGTTCCCCCTTTTTCAGTCAAGTACCACTACTACAAGGGCTCCATCGTCGGTCCCGCGTATAAGATCCCATTCATGGGCCCGTTCCTGCAATCGGTCAATCCCAAGTTCCACGAATACAAGGCCAAATGGGACAGCGGCGAACTGAGCTGTGTCTCCGTCTTCCACAAGTGAGCCGCACCTGATCCCCCACTCCCCCGGATCCCAAGAAACCCTGTTCTCTCGACGCTTCCGGATCTCCGCGAGATTTCTCAGGATCAATTGACTAACATTGCTACTAGGTTCGTCGTTATTGCGTCGACTCGGGACATGTCCCGGAAGATCTTCAACTCGCCCACCTACGTGAAACCATGTGTAGTGGACGCTGCCCACAAGCTTCTCGGAAAGACTAACTGGGTGTTCCTGGATGGCAAGGCCCACGTTGACTACCGCAAGGGTCTCAATGGCCTTTTCACCCGCCAGGCTTTGTCCTGCTACATGCCCCGCGTCGAGGAGGTCTTCGACGAGTACTTCAAGCGCTTCCTGGACAAGTCCGCTGCCGCTGAACACAAGCCCACTCCCTGGATGCCTCAGTTCCGTGAGCTGATGACTGCTCTTGCCTGCCGCACCTTCGTTGGTTACTACATGTCCGAGGAGGCCGTCCAGAAGGTCGCGGACGACTACTACCTGATCACCGCTGCCCTGGAGCTGGTCAACTTCCCTATCATTCTGCCCTACACCAAGACCTGGTACGGCAAGAAGGCCGCCGATATGGTTCTGGATGAGTTCTCCAAGTGTACCGCGAAGTCCAAGGCTCGCATGGCCGCCGGTGGTGAGGTTTCGTGCATTATGGACGCCTGGGTCAAGGCCCAGCAGGACTCCGCCAAGTACCGTGAGAGAATTGCCCGGGGTGAGCAGGTTGACCCCTCCGAGAAGCCTCCTCAGGTCCTGCGTGACTTCTCCGATTTTGAGATTGCCCAGACTATCTTTACCTTCCTCTTCGCCTCGCAGGACGCCACCAGTGCCGCCACTACCTGGTTGTTCCAGCTGATGGCTGACCGCCCCGATCTCCTAGAGAAGGTCCGCGAGGAGAACCTCCGTGTCCGTAACGGTGACCGCAGTGTTCCCATCTCGCTCGAGCTGATCGATCAGATGACCTACACCCGCGCTGTTGTCAAGGAGACCCTGCGTTATCGTCCTCCCGTCATCATGGTGCCTTACCTCGTCAAGAAGGACTTCCCCATCACCGACAAGATCACTGTCTCTAAGGGCTCTATGATTATTCCTTCTGTCTGGCCCGCCACTCACGACGAGGAGGCCTACCCCAACGCCGACTCCTTCGAGCCCGAGCGATGGATCACCGGTGATGCCGAGCAGCAGTCCAAGAACTGGCTGGTTTTCGGCACCGGTCCCCACTACTGCCTGGGCCAGAACTACGCCGTTTCCTCGCTGATTGCCATGATCGGTAAGGCCAGTCTGGAGATGGACTGGGAGCACACCCCGACTCCCCAGTCTGAGGACATCAAGGTGTTTGCCACCATTTTCCCTCAGGTACGTACTTCACAATACTTTCCAACACCGTGGAATCCGATTACTGACCGTTTGATACAGGACGACTGCTTGCTGAGCTTCCGCCCTCGCTCCTAAATTTCGGAAGTTCCCCAAGAGTCAAAAAGCGTGAAGTTGGAACCCGGCCTCTACCTCCAGAAAGAAGGGCTCGGTTACGATTTGACGAGGTCGTTCTGTCCTGGAGATGGAGGGGCCTGTTTCACTTCTTTTCATTTCTCATCTTGATTTGGCCGGCGTGGCAACACCCTTGATGTAATGGGTCCCTGCCCTGGCATTTGGTCAGTATGGGGTGAACTTTTAGAGGCCCCTATACCCCGTATCCACTTGTTTTTATGACTGCGGCCCATGTGGGCGCGCTGCGATGGAGCATTCCCGGGGTTCTTCTTTTTCCTGACCCGGTTCGACATGACCACGAGCCATGCACATTAGAATAATATTAATTCTTTTTATGTTTATGATCTCTCGTCTACCTAGTCGTATCACATGTGGGAGCAGGTACCATTGTAGTATATTACATGGAATTTATAGTTTAAAGCCCGTGGCGAGTGTACATTAACATATCGGACAGCACATCAATGTGACGTGGAGCGATCACCGACGATTAACAGGTGCTATGAATTGGTGCAATATGACCATGCATCGATAATAGAGCATGGTGTAAGTACCGCACTGGTGCGATGCTGGGTTATATATTTCAATCGAGGACCCACAACAGTACATATTAGTAGTGCACCTACAAGTTTGCACATCAACAATTTACCTCCTCAAAATAATACATACTATATTTCTTGACACCTAACAATTATTATCATCAAAGTGAGTTCAAATGGAACCAAGTAAAATTCAAAATTCAAAATTCAAAGTATCACCAATAAAACATTTGATGTTTAATGACGAGAAGGCTCATAAATTTCATATCGTTTCAAATTGAGCAGGCGGTCACATGCGGCAGTGACATCACAACGCAACCCCCAAGCCCGAGGTTCACCTCCGCGGGCCTTCATCAATCCCAAGATTCCAATCTTACCACCACAGAAGTCATGGCATCAATATTCCAATCTGCCGTCCGGCGCTCATCCAGGGCTCTTTACTCCACTGTTTTTAAAGCGCCAACCCGGCAGGCCCTCCGCTCGACCTCTGCTTTCCAGTATTCCGCAACAACCCGTGACTTCACCTCTCTCCACCAGCAAAGCGGATTGGCCGCGCAGAGCCAGCGATACCGATCCCAGCTCGCTAAGCCCCGATCACAACTGCGCTGGTTTAGCGAGAAATCCGGGAACGATCTACGCCAATGGGGATTTGAAGACGTATGTTTCTCCAGCGTTTCTCCAGCTTCACACAAAACTACCTTCCCCACCCGGAACAGACTCCTTCCTCTCGCCTCACTACTCGACTCTGTTTTGAAAAAGCAAGGGGAAAAATTACTAACAATGATGGAAATTTTGAATAGATAAACGCAACTCTCCCAGCTGAAGAGCCCTCCCCAACCCACACTCCAGTCTTAATTGACGTCCGCGAGCCCGCCGAACTTACCGGAACGGGCATCATCCCCCACGCCCTGAGCATCCCGCTCGCCTCGCAGCCCGACGCGCTATTTCTAACCGCTGACGAATTTAAGACTCGCTTCGGGTTCCCGAAGCCCCTTGTGGATCCTAAGCACCAGCTCGTGTTCTATTGCAAGGCTGGTGTGCGGGCTCGCGCGGCGGCACAGTTGGCTGTGCAGGCTGGGTATGATCCTGAGCAGATTGGTGTCTATGATGGAAGTTGGTTGGATTGGGAGAGGAATGGAGGCAAGGTTGAAAGATGGGAAGGGCATGATTAGATTTCTTTTCTAACCGTGATTTGAACCCTGTGGTTGCTATTTGATTTCTGTATATACTTGTGAAATTATTGTATGGTAGCCCATTATGCTGAAGTACTGTGTAATGACGGAAAATTTCTAAACCAATTTTAAAGTTCATTAAAAAGCTACAGCAAAATGATATGGTCTAAGCCAGCTTTCTTGCAATTCATGTACATACAGGTGTCCGTGTCTTTCCTTTTTCCCTATCCATACGTTCAAGTCGTGGTCATTCATGGTTATGTCCATGTCACAAGCCAGAAAAATACAAAAAACTTTTCTTTCTTTCGCTTTTGAATGGCAATGGTCATATCTCGACATTCTCATTCGTTGATGAAATTTAGTGGGTAACGATGCCGCACCGGAGTGATGCCATAGCTAGAAATGCGGGAAACAGGCCAGGCGACACGAACGGATTGGAACTGCAAGCGAAGCAATCCCCAATGGAATGCTTCTTGAGCACCTGCATGGCTGTCCGGAGACTCACATTCAAGGAATGTCGAAGAGCGGCTTCAGCTTCTTGACCAAAGCCCATTCTTCCATGGTCACATCGGAACGGTAGAACTCCTTAAGGGTGTCGATACTGGCACGGGAAATCGCAGAGTAAAGCTGGTCCTTCTCTTCCAGGTGACGGCCGTACATGGGCTGGTTAGCACCTTCAACCTTGACGGCGACGGAAGGCTGACCCTTCTTACAGATAGGAATGGCCTTGTGGTCACGCTCGATGGAAGTTCTGTAGTGATGAAGTTAGTATAGAAGGCTGGCGATAGGAACTGGGGAAGTGTGGGTGACTTACACTCTGCCAATGGGGACAATCTCCTTGGCACCTGAAGCGTTCGTTCGCACGGCGGCAAGAGGGGTGTGGAGGCGCAAGCTACCCTCAATGACATCGACACCGATTACAATGGGAGATGTCTTGTTGAAGACGGCGACAGGGCGAATAACACAGGGGAAGACAGCAAGCATCTTGCTTTCCTCCTTACGCTGCTCGGCCAGTTCAGTCATGTGGGCAGTGAAGTTGTCGAACAGGTGGTAAATGATATCGGCAGTGAAGATCTTGACACCGACATCCTGAGCGTACGCGGCGGCCTCCTTGTCGACCTTGACATCGAAGCACAGCATGACTGCGTACTCCTTGGCCTTCTCCAGCATGGTACCTGCCATCATGACATCACGCTTGTAGACAGGTCCAATAGAGATGTTGGCCACAGGAATCTTGGAGACCTTCAGGAATTCCAGAAGGGCCTCAAGTGAACCCAGGGTGGAAGCTTGGACAGTGACACCGCGGTTGTCGGTGGAGACTCTGCTAAGCAGATTCTCCAGGTCGGACATGACCTCTTCCTCCAGATCCTCCTCATCGTCATCAGGACCGACGACAAGAAGACGAGAACCGGCGATAGCGTGCTCCAGGTCGTTGGCAGCAATCTTAACACCAAGGGCGGCCTTAACCTCCTTGTTATGGACGTATTGGGACTTCAGGCGCAGCTCCTTGAGCGGTGCGGGTGTCAACAATGCACGGATATTCGTTACAATAGGACCATTGAGACCGCAAAGAACCACGCGATCACCCTCACGAAGGATACCGTTGGACAGGACCACATCAATAGTGGTACCGAGACCCTCAATCACCTTCACTTCCAGAACGGTACACTCAACCTCAGAGAGATACATCAGGGAGTTGGTCATACGCTCTTGGGTCAGAGATGTCAGGAGCTTGAGCATGTCAGGCACACCTTCGCCAGTGTGAGCGGAGGTAGGAACCAGGGAAACATTGCGGGCCATGGACTTGTTCTCGTAGAACAACTCCGAGTTGAAACCCTGCTCGGCGAAAGCCAACTTGGTGGCATCAAGACGAGTGCGGAACTCGTTCTGGACACCCTTGTTCTGCATAGCCAGACTGTCTTGGAACCCGTTGTTATCGATCTTCTTCCAGCCGTACAGACGGTCAATTTTGTTCAAAGCCACGATGAAGGGAGTCTTGCGGTCACGCAGCAGACGCATCGACTCAAGGGTCTGGGGCTCGAGACCGTGCATGATATCGACAACAAGAATGGCAATGTTACAGAGCGAGGAACCACGCGAACGCAGGTTGGAGAAGGACTCGTGACCAGGGGTATCGATAATTAACAGACCAGGCACCTTGAACTCGAACTTGCCATCCTTGTTCACAACGTTGGTCTTCTGCTTCAAAGCCTCGACAGGGAAGTAGGTAGCACCAATCTGCTGGGTAATACCACCGGCTTCGCCTTCTTGAACGTTGGTTTGACGGATCTTATCCAGCAACTTGGTCTTTCCGGTATCGACGTGACCAAGAATACAGCAAATGGGCGAGCGAAGATCGTCCTTGGAGCGGGCTGCCAGGGCCTCCTCGTGTTGCTTCTTCCGTCGCTCGGCGGCCTCAGCCTTCCTTTGAGCAATAGCCCTCTGGTTGGCAGACCGCTCCTCATCTTCGGAAGAGCTTTCGTCAGAGGAGTCGTCGTCAGAGTCTTCCTCCTCAGACTCCTCCTTCGAGGCTTCGGGCTTCTCAGTCTTCGCTTCAGTCTTGGCAGGCGCGGTTTCCTCCTCATCACTGGGGGCATCCCAGCTATCCTTCACATCATCCTCCTCGGCAGCAGCCTTCTCCCAGTCGTCAACGGCATCGTCGTCCTCAGCAGGAGCAGCGGCAGCGGCAGCGGCAGCGGCAGCTTCGGCCTTGGCTTTCTCCTCGGCCTCCTTCTGGCGGCGGGCGTCCTCGGCCTCACGCTGAGCACGGGCACGCTCAGCGGCAGCCTCGAGGTCCTCCTCCTGCTTCTTGCCACCCTTCTTCTTCTTGTTCTCGTAGACCGGGCGCTTCTTCTCGGCTCCACCTTCCTGCAAGCCGGCGACTTGGACGCCAGAAGCAAGCATCTGCTTCATGCGCATCTCATTGCGCAATTGAGCTTCTCTTTGGGCCTTACTGAGAAGTTTACCCTCCTTGCGGAGTTGCTCCTTCTTCTCACGCTCCTTCTCTTTCTTGAGCGCGCGGGCGGCCTCCCGCTTCTTCTCTTCCTCCTCCTCTAGCCTCTGGGCCTCTTCAAGGGCGGCCTTCTCTTCGGCGGCGAGTCGCTCTTCCTCTTCACGCTGTTGACGGAGCTGTTCCTGTTGCTTCTGAAGAGCCGCCAGGTGCTTGGGCAGCTTTCGGCCCTTGCCAGCAGGCTCAGCAGCAGCGGGAGCGGCGGCAGCAGCTTGCTCTTCCTTCTTGGCCTCAGCAGCAGACTTGGCCTCTTCGGCCTTTTGTTGAGCGGGAGTGAGCTTCTTTTTTTGGGCAGCCTGATAGATAAGACAATTGAGTTAAATCGAGTTCCGGGCTTGATACATTTAGCGGCCAAAGCCTTACCTGTTCCTTCTTGCGCTGCTTCTCACGTTCCTTCTTCTCACGCTCCTTCTCTTTCTTTGACTTCACGCGGAACTCGCCCTCCTCGGGCTCAGCAGCAGGGGCCGAGGCGACATCCTTGATAGGCTTCTTGGGCTTTCCCGCGAAGACATCGTCCTCATCGAAGGTGCCTTCTTCGGGCTCCTTGCTGGCGGCGGGGGCGGACTCGGCATCCTCACCCTCAACAAAATCGTTCGTCGGCTTGCCCTTCTTCGCCTTCTTGGCCTTGTTCTTGCGCAGGGCAGCCATCAGGCCACCGCCGCCGGCGGTCTCGTCCTCGCCCTCATCGTTGTTCGCAGGCTCCTCAGCGGGAGCATCCACAGTCGGGGCGGATTCGCCGAGATCGGCCTCCCAGTCTTCCTCTTGTCTCTTGGTTCCTTTCTTCTTGGGCGCCATTTTGTCGGGTTTCGGGAGGGAGAGTGTATCAAACGGGTTGCGGTCGGAGGTCACGGTGATCGCACAAACGGAGCTAACCGCTCACTTGCGAGGTTGCGGGCGGGTGTGGAGGAATCACGGGCCGCTAGAATTGGCAAGAAATGACGAGGTCGATGGTTGTCAACTCGAATCCCCGGGAAAGAAAGGCTGGTCGTGCACCGAGAGGGTGGGGTGGGAGAGAAAAGAATTTCGGGAAGGACATCAGTGGGGAACAATGCAATCTGACTTCACCCGTTGCTCCCAGAGTTGCCACGCCCCCGCCATAACATGGTGTGCTTCCACAATATCCCCTGCTCGCCTGCAAGATCTATAATGAATGAAGGGAATTTTGTTACATGTCTAATATTTTATTCTATTTATATTCTACTTTTTTTTTGGCTTATTTTGAACATTGTGTCGAATTTGCATTGGTCTCGTCAACCGGGACATCTGACATATCTAACAGATCGACTAATGGCGGTCTTAGATGCGCACATTCAAACATTTTTCCTAGTCAAGGCAACGTTTAGAGTCATAGAGTCGACAGGATTTTCGCCATGTATACGCTTCAGATTGTAATATGAAGGAGTCGCTGCAGCCACGCCATGATGCACTTCAGATACTCCTTGTCATCAACCTCCAACACCGAGAATGCCAGCTCCTTCAGCCGATAACTGAATGATGATTCAGAATCTTCTGTGGTAAGATCGAGTGAAGAGATCAGCCTTTCAAAGGCCTCTGTGCCGCGCTTAGCTAGGCGGTTCAGGACATCACCATCGATCTGACTATTGTCTTCCTCGGGTTCTCTCCAGGAACGCAAGCGTCGTCGACGAGAGCTGGAGTTGGCATATTGACCGATCTCGCCCCGAAGGCAAATAACTTGTAACAGCCAGAGCAAAGAAAATTCTTCCTTCCCAACCAATTTGAAGCGGTAAAGAGCGCCACTTAAGGCGAATCCATAGAGGGCGCCTCCCCTCGACCAACCAGACACACGTGTGAGAACTTGTTCGTGAGATGGGCCCTCCCGGTCTAGCAAAAACCTATGAATGGAATCAGGGAGAATGTTATTGGCAGTTCGTAATGTCACCCCGTATACCCTAGTATCAGGCGATAGCACAGGTGCTCGAATGCGCCCGCCGCGGCTGCTCAGGAACACGAGAGTCTTCTCCCCACGGCAGATTTGATGAGCCATTCCAGCGATGGGTATCACATCCCAGGAATAGGGGTGCAAGCATCCGTCCTTCACTTCAAACCTCTGGAACCCATTGCGCGCAGTGGTGACGTTGATGAAAGATTCATATACCGAGATGGAAACGACCGGGGATGAGGTTGTTTGCCCAGCGTTCTGAGCCCATCTGATAGTAGCGCCTTTGGAGCTCATTGGTATTAATTCCTTTCCTGCACCAATAATCAGACTATCCCCGTACGGTGCGATTGCACGCACCGGCCCTGGCATGTCGTGCACATGCTTTGTAGCACACTCAATCCTTGCAGGGTCGGATGGCGATGCGCTTGCCCTGAGAATAATGACCCGGCCCTTGGAACGCTCATCATTGTTTAGGGCTGCGAGCGAAGTTCCGAGGACGATGAGATGATACTTGTCTCCATTTCGCTCAAAGACCCAATCCAGAATACAGGTAATGATTTCTCCAGCGGCGCCATGGCATTTCCGCAGTTGTTCTTCGGTTGGGTTGACATCACTCTGCAAGTCTGGGTCCACGAACTCGATATGCGAGCGTGTGATCAACTCAAGAGGAGAGTACAGGGGTTCGATCTTTGTGACGTTATAGGATACAAGAAGGCGGTTGAGGTGTTCCGAAAACACCACCTTGACAGGGTTGCCTGGCAAACCGATTCTCCGGGGGACCATCTTGGCTTCCTGATTCAGTGAGCATATGAGAAGCTCCCCATCGGCAAAACAGTACAAAGTTCCTATGATGCTGTCCAATTCCTGGTCACGTTGATTGACCAGGCCGAAGCCATGGAACGTGACAGGGAAATACGCAGGCTGCCGCGCGGTCAGCTTCTGGCTGGGCACTAGAAAAGGGCATTAGTGTACTTACATTGTTCTGGTCCGTGATCCAAACTCGCCACAAAAGGCACTCTCCTGGCAAATTTGGGCTGTATGACACCCTCCAGAGTTCATCTCCGCAGGTAAAAAGCGCAAAGGAACCTTGGCTTTGAAGTCGTAGAGAAGTTCTCCCGATATGCCATGGTTTTTGTTGAGTGAAGCCTGAGTGAGTTTCAGATCAGCAATGGAACTCGATCACAGTGTATTGATCATCTTACCATTGAGGGCACCGTTTGCAAACCCGATCTGGAACGGGACAAGTATGCCACTTCGAAGACCACAAAGCAAAAATGCGCGTGGTATACCCTCCCAGGACACCTGGATCGTTGCCAAGCTCTCGATGGCATTGGAAATATCCTCACTGCGGTCAATGGATACCTGGCAGTCCCACATGTGCGAGATTATTCCATCCTCAACCTTGAAGACAACCACCGTTCCGTCTCCCGTGCCCATGAAAATGAACATGGATTTACTCGCGGCTTCAAATCGAAAGAATGACAAGCAGATTGGCTCTCTGTCAATTCCACATGCTGGGCCAGTGTCGAGGTGAGCCATGCCCTCTGTGACGACTAGCTGGCTGAAGTATAGGCCCAGCGTATTTTGACGCCGCACAGAAGTAACCATTGATGAACTTGGGCCATCCACGACGACAGCAGCGATCGTATTATCGGCACCGTGAGGAATTTTGGTATTCAGGGAGGTATTCCCGGGGACAAAGAGGTTCGTGGTCCTTTCCGTGACCTGGATGAGCACGCCCTCGGGTGTGCAACCTGCGGCAAATGTTTGCGCATTGTTATCGAACCCCGTATCTTCCTCATGTAAAGCTGTGATTCCCTCTTCTAAATTCGGTTTCATACAAAGAAGCAAGGAAGAAAGTGGATCCGAAAGCAGGACATAAATCTCGTCGTTCACTTCATCCATCATGGCCCACATGTCTCGGATACTGAAAAATTGCTCCAGTGGGGTCGTTGTGCCAAGCTGAGCTTCGATGCCGTAGCGAATCTCATGAAGTGCTCCGCTTGAAGCAGAAGCAGAGCTAGTGAAAATCCGGTTGCGATGCACGTCGGTTTGAACCTTGTTCTTAGTATCGTGAACCAAGACCGCGTCGGTCACTGGAGCCCAATTGGGAAATTGTTGGATGCATCTTGGAGGGCAACGAGCCTCCACTTCAAAGAGCCCTCCATCAGACATGTTTCCGGATGCCAAGATGAAATCGCCACCTTCATGTCCCATGTCAAGGAAGGCAAACCCAGTATCAACGTGAATATGCACTTGGCCCAGAGTGCAGTCAGATTCAAGCCCTCCCTCATTGCCAAATTCTAGGAGATGGATCCAGCCGTCTTCGCGAGCGAGATAGATACCGTCCTTTTGTTGGCTGTACAGCCAGTTTCGCGCGGGTCTTGTCCAATGAGTCCAAAGTGCGACCTCTTTGGTGGTATCTCCATCAGGAATGATGGGGCCGTATCTTGTCTGGTATGAAGGGCCAGTAGGGGGGGTAGACCGCCATAGAGGAAGAGCTAATCACCAGAAAAGAGGACTCTTTGGTCAGCGGAACAATCGTGCTGGGCAACCTGTCTTCCTTGTGCAGCTTGAAACTGATCTTTTTCGGGTTGTGTAAAGAGGAAGAATCATTTTCATTCCACTCGTAGATCTCTGCGAATGTAGAGTTGTCTCTAGCCACGATGAGAAGCAAAATGATTTTCTCGTCGGCAATCGTCTTAGGGAAAAGGAACTCCATGAACACGATCTTCCCGTCTATCCTGTAAAAGCTTTCCTGTAGATTCAAAAAATCCATTAGCTTTATTCTATAGACATGATTGTTTCGATCTTACCTTCTCGATGGGATCTAGCTCGCCCAAGAAGACTTGTTGGTCAATCACACCAGGTGACTTGAGAAGGAGGATTCCGAAATAGTTGCTTGCTGCACCGACTGCAACGGCCCGAGATCTGGAGTGCTGTTAGTGAACCGAGCACGATTTGATTGTAGAGAGCGAAACACTTACTTTGGATCAACAGCCACATGTTTTCCATACCGTTCTGCTACGCTGACATCGACTGGCAGAGGTCGACAGTAGGTCACAAATTCAGCCTTCGATGGAATAAAGCCAAGTGGGCAGTAGAGAAACAGAAGTTCCTTGCAATCGAGAGAAAGGACGAGTATTTGGGAGGGCAAGTTGTCTTGACGATCCATATAGCCAACAGCTTTCTTGGAAGAGCCCTCACTCTTCGTTTGGGATTCCCAGGGAATGGGAGTACCGATATCGAGAACTCTAGCTGAAAGGATGGTGCCATTGAAGTCTGTTTTCTCTATGACATCTTCCAGGTAGCCGCCGTTCGTAGCCTCTTTAATCTGAACCCGACGATGGCCGACAAAAACGACGTCATTCAGCTTCTTGCTCCGCAGGCGCGCCGGGAGGATCCACTGAATCACTGGGCTATGAAAAAGCGTCTGTGTCAAAATCCCAGTTGATTTTTCATCGGGCACCAGTGGCGCATCTGGTTCTTCTGACATCTTTGAAGTCAAAAGCGCCCGAAAGGGAACTCGGTTCGAGCACTTTCTCTCGAAAAGAAAATTCTCAGCAGGAAGAATGCCTTGGACACCAGATAAAGGGCAAATACTGGCTCAGATGTGCGGAGGCCCGTATCAATTTTGCACGGTCATGTTCGAGACGCAAAAGTACAGGTGAGGGGCCGTAGAACCTCTAACGCTTGGAGTTGGGTAATAGTCGCGTAGGAAGAGCAGGATAAGGATCACCCTTCTTCTCAGCAGCGAATGTGCCTTTATAAGAAGACTTCCGATCAGGAGGGATTCGGCTTCGCTAGAATCCGGAGCTGAGTACCAGCACTGGAGCACTGAAGCACTGAAGCACTGATGGAGCCAGGGTAACCGTGGGGTGTACAGGTCGAATATTGGGTTTCAGGTATGTCTCCAGAGAGCCTGGCTGGGATAAAGCGCCAAAGGGACCCTCAATCGAATCCCGTCACTGACACAGTACCCTCCGGGCTTGCAGGTGGGATGTTGTATTGAGGCTCTTGTTCGCGAGCTACGCGTTCCGCCTGTGGGGTGGTTTTCGGCGAGCCGCGGGAACCCTGAGTTCGAGAGAGCTCGACAAGCTGAGGGTCCGATTGCGCGTTCGTTGTATTTGTTTTAGGCCCGTTCTCCTCCTTAGTAGAACGAAGATGTGGAAGTATCAGAGTGCTCGAGCCCGCCGGTGATGTTTTGCCGGTGGGAGGGAATCACGTTGCTTGGTGCCTGAGGCGCTCAGGCGGATAGGCCATCACGGCCGGGGCTCCGCTCTTCCGCAATGCATGAGCAGCATCCCCAGCATTCAGCTGTGTTGTCCTCTTCTGCGGGGATTGCAAGGTGCAACTGCACTTTCTACATTGGCTGTCTAGGGCACCGCTACTTGTCGATTCCTGGCCCTCAAGATTTGGGGTCCTGAGTTGTCATTAAGGGAACTCGTGCCCAACGCAGGCATCAATCCGTGATCAAGCTCCAGCAAATCAGTTATCAGAATCGGGACTGGGACCGATGGACTGATCCTGGAATTTGATTTTCGTCACACGCGGCTTCTTGAACCACGTTTTTCCAACCCCCAGCAAATCCTGGCCTGGGTAACTCCCTGCCCATGCAGATGGATTCGTCAAGCATCAAACAAGGCGACAGCAGCTCGCCGGAGAGTTCGGCCATTATAGAAAGCGACGAAGTTTCGGTTCCTTCCGCGAAAAGCTCCCAGCTGTCGTTGAAATCACAGCAGATCGCCGCAGCACGGGCAGAGAAAGCAGCAGCCATCCGCAGAGCATGTGATGACCATGATGTGGAAGCGTTGGTGTCATATGCGACGAGCGAAGGCGGCTTGGTTCAAGACGAATTACGACAAAAGGCCTGTAAGAATCCCTGAATCAACAGTCGTAATTCTCTGTTGAGCCTTGTTAACACCAAAAGCAGGGCCCATATTCTTACAATGTGACGAAAGTATACAACGTGGCGACCTCAAGCCCCTGAAAGATCTCCCGCGACATCGCGATGAAGACCAAGTCCAGTTGGACGTCAATCGCTCTTTTGTCTATTATCCCAATGGTAAACTGGCTATTTCTGTCCATCCGTATCGTTCCAAGCTAACAGAATGGACTCTATAGCTCCTGAAGACGAGCTTGCACAGAAGAAGGCACAACTTTCCGACCTGATCATCCAAGTCCTCAGGAACCATCCCATGTTATGCTACTTCCAGGGATATCACGACATTGTACAAGTTCTTCTCCTGGTCTTAGGCAATCAGAAAGCCGCATCAGCCATGGCGAACTTGTCTCTTTTCCGTATTCGTGATTACATGCTTCCCTCGCTCTCACCAGCCGTAAAGCATCTTCATCTCATTCCCGCCATTATTGAAACCGCAGACCCGGCACTATGTCGACACCTCGCCAATATTCAACCTTTTTTTGCCCTCGCGGCTACCCTTACCCTGTACGCCCACGACATCCAGGAATACAGCGATATCGCCCGTCTCTTCGATTTCCTCCTAGCTCGCGAGCCGGTAGTCGCCATTTACTTATTTGCCGCTATGATACTTTCTCGGAAGAAGGAACTATTGGAAATCCCGGCGGATGAGCCTGAAATGCTTCATTTCAAGCTTTCCAAACTACCTTGCCCACTGGATTTGGATGGCCATATCTCCAGTGCGGCACAGCTTTTCGAAGATCACCCTCCGGAGTCACTACCATTTGGTGCATGGAGACAAATCTCTCGGAACAGTGTGCTCAAGGCCTCACGAGACCTGTATCATGATTATACCGTCGCAGAAGCGGTAACATTGTTCGAGCGGCAAGCGCGACAGGTCCGAAACGAAGAACGTCGTAAGGAAGCTCTCGAGTTCGCTTGGAAGCATCGCCGAGCGGTTGGCTCTGTGGCATTGGCCATTGTGGTCGGTGCTGTATCCATATATATTCGCAAGAAGGGTCTTGATTCATCTATCTGGTCTTACGTTGGTCGAATTCGAATTATGCTGCTGGGTTAGAGAAAACCCTCAAAACATCCATTTACCTGTACGATAACGACAAAAGTAGTTCATATTATTATGCCAGAATTATATATCACTTTTTTATTACAGACAGTTTCCTGCAAAATTAATTGCAAATATTAAAATGGATGTGCAGTTGGATGCTCCGTATGCTCCTTGATGGCCGTCTGTGTGGCTCAAGTGTGGCGTGGCCCGCGGGACGGAAAGCTGATGTGTACACTTCCACCTCCCCGATAGCACCGCATCTCTTCATCCCAATCCCACCACCATGGCAAACAGGGGCTACGACGTGGTTGTCGACGTGGACGCCGAGGTTCGTACGGTCTAACAGCACTGGAATTTCGATCTTCAATAGCTCACACTTCAACAGGGCGACCTTGGACATACCGACCTGCAAGAGGACCTTGAATTCCACCCGTCCAGTGAGTTCTTCCGCGACGGCCCAACCCACTCAGCCAGATGCTAACTGTGCCCTCGCGTGTCGCATTAGATTTCGAAAATGACCAACGAAGCGCTAAAGCCCAAGCCGATTCCCAACCCTTCCTCGGCGGTGGTAGTTCTTCGCGCGGCCGGGACCGATCCCCTGGCGGCACACCCACCAAGCACAGCTGGTGGTCGATCCACTACTACGAGCGATTTTTCGACGTTGACACAAACGAGGTCCTGCGCCGTTGTGTAGCGACTCTCTACCCGCGCTCGAACTTCCTGGATGTGCTGGAGGGTAATGCGGACCTGTACGGGCCCGTGTGGATTGCGACAACGGTTGTGGTTATCCTGTTCTTGACAGGTACAATCTCACAGTGGTTGGCAAACCGCCATGCCGAGCACTTCGAGTATGACTTCAAGTTGCTCTCTGGCGCGGCGGGTCTTATCTACGGATATACTGGTATTCTGCCTATTGCGCTGTGGGGTGCTCTGCGCTGGTTCGGGAGCTCAACGGCCGATTTGATCGAGTGCTGGGCTTTGTATGGATACTCGAATCTAGTTTGGATTGGTGTTGCGCTTGTGAGCTGGAGTCCTTTGACTGCGCTTAACTGGGCGCTTGTTGGTGTTGGCTTTGCATGGACAACCTTCTTCCTTCTGCGCAACCTCTACCCCGTCTTGAATGCCACCGATGCCAAGGCCAGCAAAATTCTCTTGATATTGGTGGTTGTTTTGCATGCAGCTTTGGCGATTACGATCAAGTTCCTTTTCTTCGCGTAAGTTGCCTCCTTGCCCCTATACTGCTAGCCCGACGGATACTAACCTCATTATTTAGACACGCTAGCCCTGTTGAAGACAAGAAGGATGATTAGGCACAGGATGAACTCGACATATACGAGAGATGGAGTAAACTATCGCGTGACTTGGGATCCTTGGCTCTGCTCCGGTAGCATGTGGTGCCTATGATTTCTTATCGGTGAGGTCTACCTCTACAATTGTAGACCTGCGTATTGTATGTGTATGCGCAAGCTGTCAACAGCGTTTGAGTTCCAATGGTTTTCTGAATTATTAAAATGTTCACGACATGTGTGACCGTGAGTCGACATCTCAAAATGGTAGGAAAGCTATATATGTATGTTGATTTTGTATGAGTGATCCGTATTTTTATGATGTTTGGCGGTCGACGTATCAATTGGAATGGAGTCCCTTAGCACTGCGTACCGTCAAATGTGTACATCACATCGACTAGAAGCTGAAATGGATTTCAGTGTTAAAAACATTGTATATCGCATATCTCCATGTCATTGCCCACACCACATACCACAAGTTGCACTAGCAGCAACCACGTACTAATCGAGTGCTAATTCTGATTCCACAAATAGTGTACACTAGACGACATCAATACATTAGCACCGTTCCTTCATATCACTGTTGTAGTAGACTAAGGTAGTGCAATTGTGCACTTCCTCTGTGGCATAGTAGTATGATGTGATGTTTGTGATTCCGAGAAGTTAAATATCTTGGACTACAGTACCTAGGTAATATTAGTATTGTTCAGCGTGATTCTCAATGGGCACACTATGACGTTGCTACTGCAACTCGACTAATTCGAACGCCGGGGGACCGTACACCAACTGCATGCGTCACCAAGAACATTCGGCATGAAGTCTGCCAGTGTCTATGAAATCAAGGCCGAGGCCTACATTGACGATGTTTGAATGTTCGAACTTTTACTTTAATTCATGGACTGCGACCTGAAATCGAGAGGTGCCAACTAAAAACAGTATGACTGTGGCTGTGATTGTTTCATCATTTCTTACGCCATATGTAAACCTCTGCGTGTCGCGTTCCAGCCATACACCAGACCTGGACCCTGCACCACAGCACACCGAGCACAACACCGATAAGCGAGTCGTTTATTTGAGCTTCTTCTTGGGGCGGAGCTGGTTGGTGTGACCGCACTTCTTCTTACGGCAGTTGGTGGCACGGGGAGGGAGACGAGCCTGTGAGGATAAAGCGTGAGTGCTATGGCCGGAGGAGGATTGCGGATTATTGCGACCGGGGTCTTGGTTCGAAGGAACAGTCGGACCCCGCGCGGTCATGGAGGGGTAGAACGTACGTAGCACTTGCGGCAGATGGACTTCTCGCAGTTGTACTTGGAGGCAAGGGCCTTCAGGGAAGGCTCAATGATACCACCACGCAGGCGCAGGACAAGGTGAAGGGTGGACTCCTGTAGATCGACCGGGTCAGCCACTGTTCCCATAATTCTGGTTTCGATGGTCGGCACGGCATGGACAATTCAAATCCTGATCCTCTCAACTCCACAACGAATAGTGTTGGTCTTCGTTTCGACACCACCATCATCCGATGCTGGACGGTACCGGTGTAACCATTGTCCATGCTCGGCCCAACTATCAATGAATATCGGATTCCAGGGATTCATCGTACCTTCTGGATGTTGTAGTCGCTCAGAGTGCGGCCATCCTCGAGCTGCTTGCCGGCGAAGATCAGACGCTGCTGGTCAGGGGGGATGCCCTCCTTGTCCTGGATCTTGGTCTTGACGTTGTCGATGGTGTCGCTCGACTCGACGTCGAGGGTAATGGTCTTACCCGTCAGGGTCTTGACGAAACTATATCGAGCCGAATTAGTGGATGCTCATTTTTTCGTCCATTTAGAGGCGCGTTGCTCTTTCGCGGGTTTGTCGGATCCAAAGGGGAGGGGAAGGCGATTCGCGGACGACGAAGGCATTCGGGGATTCATGATGACCTACATCTGCACTGGAAGCACGCGGAAAAAGAAAATGTTAGCTCGCCATGTTCACACGGATCTCAGGAATGCATTGCAGCGGGTTTCACGGCACGTACTGGTTGCGAGTTTTCGTTGGTGTCGGCGGTCGGTCGCTGTGTTCGAGGCGGAGGAGGCGATGACAATTTGAGGATTTCTCGCTTAGCAAAGGTGGACCGAATGGAGATACCCTAAGCCCTAACCAACTTTCCGGGTTGGGAACGACACGTGACCTATATGGCGCTTCCATTTTTGGAACCGTGCGTCATCCGAAGTATGAAAGTACAACAACAATGAAACATACGAAAAGAAGTGCCGTGAGGATTGATTCGTGAAACAGGAAGTGTTATATGAGGCCCGTGAGATTATGCCTCAAAAGACCGTTTTAGAAATAGCCGGAATAAATAATAAAAAATATTCTCCTTTTGGTATGGTTCACGATGAGAAATTGATTGAAAGCGACAATGCTCATACGAACCGCAACCCCTAAACACCGTAATGCTTCCAATTTAATAATGCATAACCAAAATTAGTTCTTCAAGTCGGATGTTTTTTTACGAAGCAACGGTGGCATCTTCTTGCTCTCCCCCGACTCCCTCCTCTTCCTCCTCCTCCTCCTCCTCCTCTCCTTCTTCTTCCTCTTCTTCTTCCTCTTCCCCAATCTCGTTTTGTCTGAGCTGCTTATTCTCAATCTTGGTTGATATTCTGGATTCGACCGACGCAACGGCGGTAATCATCGATTTCAATGACACAGAAGCAAGCCGAGCCGCAACTTCGTATAGAACTCGCGCTGCATCTGGGAGTTGAGATTCAAACCGGTATCGAACATACCGGGAACCTGGCCGCATGTCTTTTTTGCCGGGCTTGACCGAAGGGGCCTTGATGTCTACCATGACTGACTTTATCAATGCACTAAGTGCCTCGTCAGGACCCAATCCTGCGCCCGAGCTGGGCTCAGAACCAACGTTCGGCTGATGTGTGGCTTCTGGTCGACTTGGAGAGAACATATCGGCGATTGGATTGGTCGTTTGGACGTTATCTAGCCACTTCTTCTCATACCAATCCATATACTGATCAAGTTCACCGACGTTCATGTTCGGTATGTCCTTGTCAGTAATGTCAATGATTTTTTCTGCTCCAACTCGAGATCCAGTCCCTTCGTGTTCCCTGAAGTTTCGCTGGGCTTTTGCCCATTGGTCCCAGTTTATGACCTGAGCAGCGGGCTCTTTTGTTGTGCCAGGGCTTCTTTTCAAGCCATCGAACGGGAATAATAGTTTAGTAGCGATGACGATCAGAACGACAATTTGCAGTTCAGGTAAGTGCAAGATTTGTTTTTCACGAGTTTCTCGATTCCAATCAGGATATTCATACTTGAAACCAACGATACTCTGCAGTGTCTTGACCGTATCAAAAATATCGACTGGCAAATGGTTAGCGGGGTTCTCGAAACGATGACATTTCTCTTGGGTTTCATACTGGGAACGGCCAATCTCTTGATGTGTCGGTAGAGGACCAGAGGCGAGTTCAACGGCGGCAGTTGAATACCAAAATTGTTGCGGAATAAAGCAGCCTGCGCTATAAAGTTCCAATGAAAACGCTCGGGCGATGGGATATGCTACAGTTGCACAAGTCAGATAGGCACTCGTAGAATAAATGAAACTCAGTATCACGCACAGTATGGTCAAGAATTCTGAAAAACATCTTAGGAAGGTGATTGCGCATCTCGTTGGGAACATGTCTGATCGCTCTGACATAGGGAATCTCCTGGCGGACGATCAACCTGGGACAAAAGTATTAGCCTGTAGTGATGCAACCAAGAAGAGTTGAGGCTCATGCGAGTCACCAAAGAAGACACGTACCGATGGAAATCAACAACGCAAATGGGCAAGCGCATGAGGATGGCTGCCATGTAGCAAAGACCGACACCGTCCATTACTCGGGGCCACATCAGCGGTTTGTCCTCTGGCTTGAACCACAACTCCTCGTCACTGCTTTCGTTGCCTGAGTCTGCTGACGACGGCTGAGAGCTAAAGAGCCGTGGCTCATCGTCATCGTAATCATCATCATTATCGTCATCAAAGCCTGGCTTGTCGATTATTCTCCTGTTATAGCCCCGCAAACGGAGAGCCCAGAGATCTCGAACGATGGTCTGTTGAAAATGTCAGCAATATAAAGTTCTACCAACAAGGATGCTCAATTTGATCCTGCGAACGTCAAATCGCACCTCTAGTTGTTCTGGGAATCCATGGTCCTTGACCAATGCATGGCATTGCTTCCAGAGAATCAATTGAAAGGCCTGTAGAAATAGAGTAGCCGCTCTCCGACCTCGAAATTCTGAGATGAGTTTAGCGGAATGTTTGCAACCTCGAGATAGCAATTTCCACATACTCTGTGATTCGATCTCGTGCTTCTCCGTCTTGACTCGGTGAATCTTTCCCTCAAGCTGGATTCCGAAATCAGCTTCATCGTGTGCGACTTGTTGGAAACCCTATTCAATAAGTTAGTGTATCATTTTTGCTTGATTCGTGGCATCGGGTTCCTTGAGATAAATGATGCAGGAATGATCGCATCCCCAGAGACTGATGAAGGCAGGAAGGGCGCATACCTGTTGCAAATGACCGCGGCGGCAGAACCAAAGGCCGTTATCGAGATAGAATCGCTTCTCACGGCATCCTTCCTCGCCGCAGCGACCTCGGGGGGCATTGTCCATGGCGAAATAGGATGGTCATGCTGGTTGGGTGGGAATCTCCGTCCGGGGCGAATGTTTGGCAAGAGGTCCTCCGGTAACTTTTTTCTGCCGACCGCATTTGCGGCAGTGTCGCGGCTGCCAACCACAACCGGCGGCTTTCAGGACTCTGTAAGCTTTGTTTTTCTGCCTTTGCATTGGATGCAATCTTGTGATGCACAGCGGAATGTAATATATCGTCTGTAATATTTGAGCTTTTGAGGAACTTTATTTTATGCCTAGTGAACGAGTCTCATCGACTTGGTACGTGGCTGGTGCGGGGAATACTACTGCGAAGCTACTACTATACTACTTGTAGTACTGCTACTTCTACTTCTACAACGTGAAAAGGGCCAGAAGGAAACCGGAGCAAGGTTTTCATGTTAATTCGTTCGTCACACTATCATGAGATGCTGGAGTTCAGAACTGTTCGGACAACACATAGCATGCCAACCAAAGCAATTCTTCTCATCGGTCCAGCCTACATCCCAGGCTAGATGTCGGACATGATTGTAAAGCATCTTATGCTCGGAAACCCAACAACCAAGTCCCACATTGAACCATTGAAGATGAATTTTTTGGGGGGACAGAAGCCCATTTTGAAACATAAAAGGTTGACATGACATGCGAGAGATCCAATGTCATGGCATTTATTTGGGGGCCTCCTTGGCCTCAATGGCGACCTCCTCACCCATGGCGGTCTGGATGATGACGTCTGTGGATGGCGGTTAGGAAGATGATCTCTGGCGACGGGGTACCAATTTGTGTCGTGGGTGTACTCACTGACGTCCTTCTCCTCGTCACGGAACATCTTGACGATGCGAGCACCGACGTCACCATCGGGGACCTTGACGTCGTCCTTGGTGTCACCGTCATCCTTCATCAGGGAGAGGAAGTTGTCGTCGGTGATGTCGAGCTGGAGATCCGAGTGTCAGACCGAATGCCCACCTTGTAGGGAGGGGAAGCGGGGTAGGGCGGCGGGCCCGGGTGACTTACCAGCTGGTACTCCTTGCGGCCGACGTTGGGGACGTCCATGTTGTGGGTGGAGGGAGACAGATCCTCAAGCTTCTTGCCAGTGAAGATATCGATGGCGACGATGTGGACCTTGGCGTGACCGTGCTTGCCAGTCTTGGAGGTGGACATGTCAACGATCTTGCAGGGGCGGCCCTTGATCACAACGTGACCGTTCTTGCGCAGAGCAGAGCACTGCATGGGGTAGGTGGTCGACGCGCCGGCGTCGGCGGACTCGAAGGTAACATCGTGCTGGTGTGGTTGTCAGTATGGGGGTGTTCCTTCACGACATTCGTGGTGGCCGCAGAACGGGTGTCGCATGGTGCCTCCCGAAAGAGGGGAGCCTCCAGGTGCGGGGCTGAGTAGGGGCGATTGGAGGGGGGGAACTCGGGGGAAAGGGCAGGGGGAGCCCGAGAGAGCGCATACCTCGTCAGCCATGGTGAAAGAGTGATGGGAGTGAGAGTAAGGAAGGGAGATAAAAAGGTGTAGGAATGGGGGAGATGGGGAATGAGAGAAGTTTTCTCGAGAAAAAGGCTTTCGTGGTGGGGTCTGGTCGCTACCACCTGTTTGGGTTTAGCGTGCCCGGGGACGGTTTCGCGGCCAACTGCCCAGCTGGTCATCTGGACTCAGACGCAGTACGCCCTCCTTCGACCTTCCAGTCCCTGCTGGCATCTGTCCATGCCACTCGTCTAGTCTCTCGACAATGTGGCGCGACCGCATTTCCGGGCCGAACCCCCCGCCGCGAATCGCAATCCCTCCCTACCTCGACGATCCTCTTCCCAGCTCTCCCGGAGCCCCTACAACAACCGTCCCGGAGCCACCTCGAGAACCTCATCGACTTCCTTGCTGGCCAGTCCCAATGACTCGACAGCCTCGCTTCCTGGGACGGCTCGACCAGCCAATGGCTTGGGTATCAGACAAGCAAGCGGACAGCGATCGCGTCCGGCGGTTGTGCCCGATCCGCTACAGGTCTTGAATGGAATCATCAGGAAAGAACAGCAGCAGCAGAAAGATGTCCCTCAGCTATCAGGCGCATGGCCAGATGAGCTTGTGGAGTCTATTGATTTCGGCACAATGAGCCTCGAGGAATTCGTGGCCAAACCAGATCCGCCGCCAACGCGAACGAGCGCGAGTAGGGACGCCAACAGGCAAACAGTCAAGCAATTCGAGCAAGAGCGCGACAAGTTCCAGGAACTGCATACTTCAATCGCTGGATGTGATGATGTCTCGAAATCCGTGGAAATATATCTCAATGACTTCTCGAACGAGTTGGGGGCTGTGTCGGCGGAGATTGAAACATTGCAAACCCGCTCAACGCAACTTAATGCGATGTTAGAGAACCGCCGCAACGTGGAACGACTACTGGGTCCGGCCGTGGAGGAAATCAGCATTTCACCCAAAGCTGTACGCACGATCGCGGAGGGACCCATGGATGAGAATTGGGTGCGCGCCCTGAACGAGATCGATACGAGGACAACAAGCATCGAAGCCAAGGCGGCCTCCTCGACTGGCTTTAAGGCGATTGAAGATATCAGACCGCTTCTAATCAACGTCAAGGATAAGGCGATTGAGCGAATTCGGGATTATTTAGTGTCACAGATTCGTGCCATGCGGTCTCCTAACATCAACGCGCAGATTATCCAGCAACAGCGTTTGTTGAAGTTCAAGGACCTATTCAGCTACCTCTCCAAGATCCACCCGAAGCTGGCCAGCGAGATCTCCAAAGCATATGTCAACACCATGCGCTGGTACTATACGTCCAATTTCACTCGCTATCTCCAGGCACTTGACAAGATCAAGGTATACCCCAGTGACCAAAACGAAGTTCTTGGAGGTGACCCCCGTACGCATCGAACCGGAAACATCCTCCCGGGCGGCCGAGCTGGCTCTGCTGCACATGATCCTTTTTCTCTGGGTCGCCGGATTGACATGCTTCGCAGTGGGAATACCCAGGCGCTCTCGTCATATCTAGCCGAGGAAGACAGTTCCTATCACGGTATCGAGGTTCCATTCCGGAATTACAATATTGCGCTGGTGGATAACGTCTCCGCCGAGTACTCGTTCCTCACTGAATTCTTCTCGGCCATGACATTTCACCAAATCTCGCGCATGGCCGTGGAAATCTTTGAGCCGTCATTTGCACTCGGCTCAAATCTGACAAGGAAATTAATTGAAAACACCACTGACTCTCTTGGAGTTCTCATGTGTGTTCGCTTGAACCAACACTCGGCCTTTGAACTTCAACGACGCAAAGTGCCCGTGGCTGATTCTTACGTGAATGGGATCAACATGCAACTCTGGCCACGGTTCCAGGTTATCATGGACCTTCATGGAGAGTCACTCAAGCGGGTAGCCTCGAACGCAGGCCGCAGTGCGGTTTCCGCTCTTTCGATTGCAGGTGGTGATGACCTGAAGAATTCTTCTGCGCCACACTTCCTGACACAACGGTTTGGACAATTGATGCATGGCATTTTGGTGCTCAGCAGTGACGCTGGGGATGATGAGCCTGTCTCGAATAGCTTGGCTCGACTCAGCTCCGAGTTCGACACTCTCCTGGCGAAGCTGAGTCGAAACGGGACGGATGCCAAGCGCAGAGAGCGTTTCCTGTTCAACAACTATACATTGATCTTAACGATCATTAGTGTAAGTTTTCTGCCATGCACTGCTGGAACAGAACCGATTTTGACCCCTATCCAGGATACCCAAGGCAAACTCGCCTTGGAGCGGAGGCAGCATCTGGACGAGATGCTGAAGAATTGTAGTAAGCGTTAACGATCGCATAGCGTCTGGGCTGTAAATTCTATTGGCGTTTCGTGCATCATATTACCGTGCTTGAATATATCCATTTAATGAATGTTAGCTCCATACTAGTGTTAAGGAGTATTTTAGTTCAAACAATTACAAGGGATTCCGTCTTTGCTTTGCATCCTCCCGCATTGCGGCTGAAGACAGAGTTACGCACAGCAGATGCTGGGCACCTCACCGCCTTTGACCCCGGTATAGATACTCGCTGCCTCCGCGAACCTTCCTCACTTCTCTTTCCTCTTTAGCTCTCTTTGCCTTTTGGCGTAGATCAAGTGTAGTATCTGTTCTTTTCAGTTTAATCTCTGGAAGACTTCCCCGGAAGACACTTTGATTATTCCAATTTCTGTACCTCGCGACCTGCCCTCTGTGCTCTACACATGTCTCGGACAGTGTGATCGGGCTTACACGACCTCCGATTGAAGCGAACCTCTAATGTTTTTCATCAACTGGTCGGCTTGCCCGGTCGTTTGGAGAAGAATGCCTTGCATACAAGTTTGACTGTGACCGAGCTGTGATCTTGGTATCTGTGAGCTTCACACCTCTCCTGAGAAGTCAAGCTGCCCCAGATCAGAGAAGGCCTATCCCTTGCGCTGTGACAGCTTTACCAGAGGATCACTCTCGAAGATGCATCACAGCAGCTTCTTCTCCGGACGAAAACATCGAGAATCAAGCATCAATGTCTATCTGAGCTGTCCTAATCCTGAATCCAGCCGACTGTAGATGCGCAGGCGGAGTGGAGTCGGCGCGATCTCCGGCCGCGGGGCCGCTCCTTATCGCGGCGGTTGCGTCCTACCCATTTTGATGGCGTTCACCTGCGACACTCTCCCAAATCCTCAGGATCAAAATGTACACACGGAGAGCTGCCTCGAGAACTCCGTCGCTCCGTCGCTGCTTCTCGAGCGCCCGAATCTGCCGTGCGGACTTCACGCATGCAGTACGTGCTCCCCCTTCGGCGCCGAGCTAGCAGCAACCTTGAGAAGCTCTGCTGCAGAACCCTGAACGGCCAGCAACCACCATGCAAAGGCTCATCACTGACTCGAATTAGGTCATTGGAGCTGGTGTTGTCGGCCTTGCAGTCGCTCGGCAAATAGCAGCTCGCGAAGGCACCTCGACGATCCTCCTTGAACGACACGATGGGCCAGGAACGGAGACTAGCAGTCGGAACTCTGAGGTAGGATGGATCCGCATACGAACACCAAGATGCTTGGATGCTTGGGTGAAGGCTATCGAGGCTATATAGGGCACTCAACTGATTATATTTTCGATATACAGGTCATTCACGCCGGCCTCTACTACCCAGCCGACTCCCTCAAAACAAAACTATGCATCCAGGGCCGCAACATGCTATACGATCTGTGCTCCAAGCACGCCATCCCACACAAAAACACCAAAAAATGGATCGTCGCCCAAACAGCCGAGCAGTGGGAGTCCTGTCTGCGGGTCCACAACCACGCCCAATCTCTAGGCGACGCCCCGACCCGGATCGTCGGCCGCGACGAAGCAGCCCGTCGCGAGCCCGACGTCAAAGCTGACGGCGGCATCGTCGAGAGTCTGAGCACCGGAATCGTCGACAGCCACTCGCTGATGACATATCTGCAAGGCGACTTTGAAGACCGAGGCGGCGACATCGCTTTCAAGACGAGGGTCACTGGCGTCGAGCGTGTTAGCGATGGTTATCAGATTACTGCTGTCTCAGATGAGGATGGCTCCGTCACGACCATCACTGCCGAGACCCTGATCAACAGTGCCGGGCATGGTGCATGCGCTATCAACAACCTTATCTTGCCGGCGGATCGGCATCGGGAGCCGCACTATGCGAAGGGGACGTACTTTTCGTATGCTGGGTCCCGGCCACGGGCATCTGTGCTCGTCTACCCGGCCACTGTGCCTGGACACGGTGGATTAGGCACTCATTTGACCCTAGACATGGGCGGTCGTATTCGCTTTGGTCCTGATGTCGAGTGGGTGGATGATCCCAATGATCTGACCCCCAGTGCTGCGCGATTGGAACAGGCAATTCCGGAAATTCTGGCGTATATGCCTGGCGTGGACCCCTCGGCTATTTCCTTGGATTATTGTGGCATTCGACCTAAGCTGAGCCGTGGAGGTGGCGTGAACATTGGAAAGACTTTCCAGGACTTTGTGATTCAAGAGGAGGAGGGTTTCCCGGGGTTCGTGAATCTATTGGGTATTGAGAGCCCGGGATTGACTAGCTCGCTGGCGATCGGTGAGATGGTTGACGGTATTATTTACCGGTGATCACAGTGGTAGATGGCATTTCCTTGTTATTTAGCGACATGTAAAAAGACTATATCCTGATCAATAGAGCCAGTCCTGAATGGATGTGTAAAAAGAGATCACGCGCAAGCGGACCTTGCTATGTAAAATAGCTACATCTTGGATGCTCTTGTAGGAAGGAGAATGTCTTCAACATGTTCGAGGACGGCATGTGCTGCGCCGAAAGAATGTATGTACCCCCCTGCACCGAATCCTATTGGTAATCAGTAAGAGAAGTGGGCTTAATGAAGACATGATAAATGATATACCGTAAGCATGGACAACTTCTTGTCCATTTAGATACTCTCTTTCAAGTCGAATTCCGGAGTTTCTTGCAGGGCGCACACCAACATTGTGCCCGAGAATTTCGTAATCGTCCAGATTGTTAGAGAACACACGAGGAAGGCATTTGTGCACTCGATTGACAATCTTGATAAACTATATCAGCCCTATGCAGGAGCCAGGAGTCATTCAAAGAAACTTACATCCTGAGAAATTTCCCAATCAAACTTGGGATCACTTCATGGATGGAAATGTCAGTTTGAGACGAATGGAAGTTGACAAGTGTTCTATACTTACGTTCGGCCGTGTTGCCTCACTCCTCCAAGAATAACGGTCCCATCCAGACGAGGAATGGCGTAGGTGTAATTTTTGCCATCATCGCGTTGCATCACCTTGTCGTAGCTATGCTTGACCACAATTGTCTGACCTCGGATCATTTGCATATCTTGGTCTCGAACATCACGTAGTGATGCAGATCCCACTCCAGTGGCATTGATGAGGATGTCGTGGCCCAAGGGCTTCAGTTCGGAGAGAGATTCCACATCCATCCTCTTGAACTCTACGCCTGAGTTCTCGAGTTGTTTTCTGAGCCATGGGAGAAAGACGCTTGGGTTGAGGACAACGGTCTTATCTGTTGATCATTAGCAGAGGAACAATACGAGCCTTAGATTTAGGTGACATACATGTTACTCCCATTGTTGCGCCGGAAGGTAGTCGATCAGACGAGATAAACCGAAACTGGCCGAGAATCAATATCTAGCGATTTGGAAGATCGAGAAATGACTCAACATCAGTGTGACACTTACCTCAGGCATAAAATTCTTCCACCAAATATCATCTTCACTCCTATCATCATCAAAGATATCTTCTAGCGTGATCCGCTTAATACCAGAATCAGGATGACGGGCATTCATATTCCAAAGCTCAGAAAAAGAACGGAGTTGCATTTTCTTGTCGCGTGTTGAGTCGATTCCTCCAAGAACTGTAAGGGCCCCGGCCCAAGGACTGGCCCACTCGATGCTTGGTTCATCGCCCGGGAGATTCCTGGCTACGATGGTGACCTTGTGGCTTCGAGAGATCAGAGATGCTGTGGCTAGACCGGTGATGCTGAAACTAGGTTAGTGGACGCAGAGAGAAGGATCCGTTCCTGCCACTTGAGAAAGAAACGATAAGGAGGAGGGTGGGGTTGTGTACCCGGCTCCAAGGATCGTGATGTGTGCCATTTTGATGTGCCCAAGAAATATGGAATCAATAGAAATTCGGCGTCTCAAAAGAAACGTCATGGATAAACCCTAACGCTTGAAGGGATTTTGCTTGTTTTCCTGAGAGAAACTGAGTATCAGTAGTATAGAGTCAGATACGGACTCATGGTGCAAAGCGAAATAATTCTGCTGGGCTGGAATGGGATGTGTTGAACCTTGGGATGAATGTCCTGCGGAGATTGATAATACACAACCAATGAATACACGCCTGGCAAGATGCTCTCATTTCAGTTTCCTGATTTGTCAAGCCTGCTCTTACCATAGGTAGACGAGAATAAGCAGCCCGCAGTCCTGACGTCTTAGCCTAAAGAAGGCCAGATATCGGTATCGACGCCGATGCTCGGATGATTGAAAGTCGGGAACATGTCCCGGTATGAGATGAGATGAAACGACCGACGTGCGATCATTTAGGATCAGTCCCAATGATAAAAATATTTTGTGCGAAGGTTTGGAGGTTTTGTAGGTTAACTTTTTAATGGAAATACAGATTAACACCAGCAATTCGTGAGAAGTCCGAGATCTGGCAGCAAGGTAAATTATCTGCGTCGACGACAATACGCAATTCGTTCGTGCGGGGTTCAATAGATCGGCATAAAGTTCGTTGCGGTGCTCGCTCTAAAAACGTCTGGAATCCTTCAGATAGCTCCATTGTGTTAGTCATAGACCGGTGAAATCAATCGAATGCAAATTTTCATTAATTCATATGAGACTTTGATGATATATCCCTCGAAACGAAACATCCACCACCTCATATCCCCCGTGTGAAATAATTTGCAGCCACCATGAGCAACTTCACCGTCCTCGGCGACAGCGCCATCAAACAACTCCTCCTCGACCTGTCGAAAGAAGAAATAGCCTCCTTCCAAGAACAAATCGAAGACTGCCTAATTTCAATTTGTCCGGGAAAAGAGGGCGAATACCAACCGAGTCCAGGGATAATCAATCGACCCGACGGTCAAAAGATCCTATTCAGGCCCTTCACGTCCCCCGAAAACGTCGGGACAAAAATCATCGTGCATCCTGCTCCCACTCCTACAGGGACCCTTGCCCAGCAAGCTCTACATGGCATTGTGGTCCTCGTCGACAAGTTCGGACTTCCCACCGGCGTTCTGAACGCCGAGGAAATCACTGGGTATCGCACGACGATGAATGCGATGGTCCCGTATTCGTGGAGACGCAGAACGGAGAAAATTGTTATTTTTGGCGCTGGGAAGCAGGCGCTTTGGCACTCTCGGCTTGCGCTTGCTATTCGGGGGGAGGAGATTGGGTCTATTACGATTGTAAATCGGTCCGAGGAGCGGGCGAAGGAGTTGATTCAAACTGTGGTAGAGGAGAATGCGTCTCGGTGGAAGTCGGGTTGTCGGTTCGAGTTTCTGAATTCTGCTCAAATTGGAGCCGAGTCACGGTTGCGAGATCTTCTTGTACGGGCTGATGCGATCTTTTGCACTGTTCCATCTACGAAGCCTTTGTTCTCACTGGAAGATTTAGGACTGGAGAAGCGGCACGGAAGACTTCCGTTCATCTCTGCTGTTGGATCGTGGCAGCCGGATATGATTGAGGTCAGCCCGGAGATTCTGCATCATATCACTCGTGGGAAGGGGTTTGGTAGGTCTGGCGACGACTCCACCGGGACACTGATTGTGGATGATGAGGAGCATGCGTTAATTCATGCCGGTGAAGTGGTTCAGGGTGGCTTGAATGAAGACCAGATCTTGGGCATTGGTCGCGTACTAAGCTGGAAGCGAGACGAGGCTGCACTTAGCTCTGAAAACACAAAGAGCCTGAATACATGGTTAGCTGAAGGCTTGATTGTGTACAAGAGTATCGGGGTTAGTGTCACGGATCTCGTCGCTGGAAATGCGATTCTTGCGTTGGCGGCCAAGAAGAACCTAGGGACGTCAATTACGGACTTTTAGATACGGTCAATCTGAAGAAATTCGCAAATGTGGTATCAACGCAGGGGGATGCAATACGTGCAGGATGCTATGTGAACTATGTACAATGTGATGTGCATCAAGCTACCGCTCTAATCTATCATCACAAACAAGGCTGACATCGAATTTCTCATGTCCATGCCAGACCTTGGAGCCGGAGTTGCAGGAGGCGACGATGCTCCGCAGGTCACTGATCATCCCGCCAGGCCCGCTGGCAAAGACAGTAGTAGGGCCTCGGATATTCATATCCAGGAAATCCGGGATCAGCTTGTGGAGACAAGGATGTTTCTTCTTGCAGTCGGATGAGAAGCTGAGATTCTCGCCCGGTGTACAGCTCGAGCAGTCGCAGATCCCTGATGCAGACGATACACAAGCAGGAGAAATATTTACAGCCTTCTCGTCTAGATCTGGGGTGGAGATACCCGATTGATCCTCGGCGCTCGACGAGGGGCCTTTGACGGTGGAATCTCTCGTGGTAAAGATGTCAATCTTTAGATTCAAGGCCTTCTCAGCTTTCCATAAGAATGCAAGTTCTTCGCCGACCCATTCTGTATTGGACGAATGTCGGATGGCCCAGATGAGCTGGATTTTCCGATCAGGAGATGGCGATCGCTGGGCCAGTTCCAGCAATACCGGAAGGACATACGTAATGCCCGTGCCACCAGCAACACAGATGATATTCGTGTCTGGTGTCAAAGCTCTCGTCATCGATTCCCCGTAGGGCCCCGTGAGAATAACCGGTGTCTTTGAGATACCATTTGCGGCGAGATCTGCGATTCTCTTTGTTTCGCCCTTCTTGGCTCGTACAATATATGAATGCTTCACCTTGCCCTGTGATACAACGGGGGCATTCAGAGGCGTGAACGGGTGCGATTGCCAAATGCTGCCTTGCTTGAAGCAGAGGTAGTAGTGTTGACCAATGGCCCACGGATCTTGTGGATTTTCCAAGACCAGTCTGATCACGTCGCCATTGTCTGATTCCGGAAAACGGGTAACGGATGCCTCTGCGGTCTTGAATCCCAAGACTCGTGACTGATCGAGTTGATCGGGATGATAATGCAAGATGGCGGTGCGAACAAGGCGTGCGCCGCGGTCGATGAACCAGAAAATCAACGACGGCCACAAGAAGCACTTGAGCTGTTTCCAATGTCCCCAGCAGGCGCCGATGTAGACCATGGCGAGAACATAGTGGACTTTCCTGAAAGTCTCGTATCCAGTGAATCTAATGCCCCACGGCGTGCTCAGGAAAAAGATTGCGAGCAATAGAATCATAGCGACAATACCCCAGACGATGTAAGTCTGAGTGACCCATTCAATTCCAGTCGTCGGTTGGGGCTGGTACAGTCTTAGCTCGACAATGCACCACATGATCGTGTGGAGAGAGCCCTGTACGACGATGATATACCCGAGCCAGCGGTGGAGGAAGTTGAATGTTTGGTAGGGGAGACCCGTGACAAGAGTTAGAAACGACTCGCGGCTGCTCAGCATGACCGAGAGCGGAGTCAGGGCATACGCCAGCACACCGACGCGATCGGACCAGGGACCAATGGTAGAGCGGGTCTGGTAGGCGTCAGACATCTCTGAGACGGGAGTTACCCAGGTGTTATATTGAATGCCGACGAAGCTGAATATCAGCAGATATCCAGCCAGCGCGGCTAGGACGAGCACCTGCAGGCGCGTTGTACGACCGAAGATCGCACGGCATGCATCTGGAAGTAAATATCGATGGGTGAGCGCTGCGAGTGTGCGGCGAACCTTGTAAATGCCGGATAATCGGGGCGCGAACAGTGCCGAATTTGTAGATGAGTGGTCGTAGTGCTTCCAGCAGGCCCAAATAAGTAGAATCGCACAGATCACTGACCACAAGATGCCTGTATACAGCATGCCGCGATCGTGGGCTGAGTAGTCGGCGTCGAGATAGGCGCAAGTGCCCGCATCGCTGGTACACGGAAGGGCACGGTCGGCGTATCCCCAATGAGGCTCCAATGTCGCGGCAGCGCTCATGTCCTGGATATGCCGAGCATTCAATGAAAACGACATGGCTGCCATTGGTGTCTAGGTTCAATCAGAACGCAGTCGATTCTGGCTGACGATGGAGCTCGGAGCGCGCCGTATGAGGAGGAGTTTTCATAGACCGGCGGCGTCGGACTTGAAGACGAGAAATGGGTTGAGAAGGTCTGCTTTGATGTCACAGCGGCCACAGCGAAAATGATGGCATCTTGTAGGCCTGCCATCCGAGCCGGCCATGGCGAGATCGAGGGCCGAGTCCGCTTGATTTGCCTGAAACGTCCACCTCGAGAGCATTTGAGCAGATTTTACCGTAAACGGCAGACCACTCAATTCGGGGAAATCTCCGCAGTGGGGTGGAGGGGCATCCGCAGTGTCGCCGGCCAGCTCTAAAAAGCCACGAGGGCCTCGAGGACTCCGTTGGTCCATTATCTTCGATTTGTCCTGCCATTACTCCCTCATTCTCCGTCACTCCTCCACCATGCACGACATGGACATGGGCTCGAGCAGCTCGAGCGAGTGCAAAATCTCCGTGAGTTGCCAAGTCCGGCCTTGGCGATGTGCGCCCCACTGACATCCAGCAGATGCTCTTTAACTGGTACACCATCGACGCGTGCTTCCTCTCGGAGGGATGGCACATTCAGAACAATGGCATGTTCGCGGCGACGTGCATCGGGACGATTCTGCTGGTGGTGCTGGTCGAGTTCTTCCGGCGGGCAGGCAAAGAATACGACAACCTGCTGACGCGCCAGTTCGAGCGCCAAGCCGCCGCGCGGAAGACCGCGTTGGCCGGCGACTGGCTGGATTGTGCCGGCGGAAAACACGCCCGTCGCGCTCTCCGCTTTCGCGTGACGCCGCTGCAGCAGCTGGCCCGCGCCTTCCTCCACGCTTTGACCTTCGGCGGCGCCTATATCATCATGCTGCTGGCCATGTACTTCAATGTCTACGTCATCATCTGCATCTTTATCGGCGCCGGCCTCGGCAAGTTTCTGTGCGATTGGATGGTGGTGCAGATCGATCTGGACTTGGATCAAGATGAGACCCATGAGGGCGCCAAGGGCGTCGAGGAGACCACCGTATGTTGTGGGTGATGCTAGCACCTCGACTTGTTAATTCACATCGATACCCTAAAGCATAGCGATTGCACATATCACGAATGCCATGAATCCCATACACCACTGATAAAACGATCGCTTCTTGATCTCGCACAATAGAGAGAATACATGTCGCAATGTAGACTCGAGAGATGCAACCACCGATACTCATGTATTCCCGCGAGGTCTCAAGACGAGTACTGTCTTCTCCGTAAAGCCTCATGCGTTGGAGCTGACTAGATATAGCTAGAGGCAGGTCATCTCGATTCCTATTTGGATATAACATGCGTCAGCCAGACATGTACTACCTTAGCCCAATTGTCACTGTATTCACGCCAACTATCTCAGTAGAAAAGGCAGCCAGGTCTAAGAGAAGCTAGACTATGGAATGCAATGCACCGAGAACATTTTCGCAGGTCCAATCTGTGCACCAACATGGAATAAGATACTTCTACACCCGCCAGTGCCCGCATCCTTTTGCTGCACGGTAAGCAACCCAGGTTGAAAGATGTCTATAGAACAGCCAAATTAATAAAAACTGGTCTGGTCAATTCTTCTCCTACAAAACCCGCTTCATGCAAAATTCTCTATGCGAGACCGTCCTCAGCTGCCTGTGACAGAATTCAAAAGCAGATGGCGTGGACAGTTTTGAATTTGTATACCCAACAGCCATTCAACTTGCCAAACTGCGACGATCCATTGAAAGGAGCTAGCAGCATGCGTGCGTGGGGACATGGTGATCCCGAGGAAGATGAGATTGATGGCATTCAAAAGTCCATCTCTGAGATCCTTGAAGAGCATGGGCCGTCCGTGGGGATTGTGGGATTTTCTGCGGGAACAGCTGTCGCGGCTCTGATTACGTCGCTTTCAGAGAAAAGGGAGTCTGTGTTTGATCTGAAGTCTAAGGTAGGAATCGTCTGAAAGTTCCGATGGATCTTCTACGATGAACTCGTTGTTAGCTGACTTTTTCTCTAGACGAAACATCCGCCTTTGGAATTTGCCATTGGCTTCAGTAGTTTCAAATTAGAGAAAAATTATTTTTTGATCCTGCATACGAATCGAAATCCAGACGCCCCTCTCGAATGCTGTCGCGACTATGAATTCGATGATCGATCCGGCCCAGTCGCTCCACGTACAAGAGTTCTGGGAGACCCCGTACCTGTACCAGTTTACTGGGATACATTGTATTCCACGGAGTCGGGATTTCTTAATTGTTTTAGATGATTTTGTGAGAAATGTCTGACAGACAGTCACAGAGCCGGGAGGAGTGGAAGGATTGCTAGCATTGTTCGCACTAGTTTGATAGTACCTGATTCTGGAGACAGTAGCTCTAGACTTCAAGATCGTTGATAGAAAATCACCCAAGCGCCTATAAACACTTTTGAAATCAATTAGCATAAGCTTACTTAGCCTAAATTAAGCTCTACATTCATCAACTCCCATTAGCCGTCCCACCTGGACACCGCGGTCATGATGTCATCCATACAATCTAGACCTGCGCCCATGTGGCCGCGATGGATGACAAAGGTTAATTTACCTGAAAAAAATCTTGATTTATCACAATAAAGGAATTCAACCTCCAGGAATCTGTTGCACAGAGTATGCTGTCTTGACCGCCATGACGTACCTCGAAATCTCCTCCGAGTGGCCCACCTTCCTCAGCGATGGAACCCTCCACGAAGCCTACGAGATCGACATCCAGTCCAAGAATGGCGAGACAGTACGTTTCGGTGAGCTTGTCGCTGGAAAGGGCGATTCAATCACGACGATCGTGATATTTGGTGAGAGCCACCTCCAAGTTGTGTCTGAACATTGCTAACGCCTACGACCTAGTCCGCCACTTCTTCTGCATCTACGACCAAGACTACGTCCGCACCCTCGCCGGAAAAATGCACCAAAGACTCCTAGACATGATCCCGCCCTCCGCGCGCCCAGCGCAAGTCATAATCATAGGCTGCGGCGACCCCTCCATGATAGTCCCGTACATCGAAGAAACGACAGACGAATTCCCGATCTACTCCGACCCGTCCGGACGAATATACGACAAGTTGCAGATGAAGCGGACGAGCGCGTTCACGGACCCGCCGCCGTACACGGAGCATTCGTTCAGCAGTTCATTCGCGACGTGTCTCAAGCAGCTTTGGAAGCGCGGGTTGGCGTCGCTTAAGGGTGGGAATTGGGATCAGCAGGGAGGTGAATGGGTTTTTGTTGATAAGAAGCTCAGGTATGCGCATCGAATGGAGGCGGCGAATGATCATCTTACTGCGGAGCAGTTGATGGAGATCTTAAGCTCGGATTTAGTTGGGAAGGGTGCGAAGGGGGAGGTGAATGGAAGTTTGGAAGGGACGCAGCAGGTGCGGAGTGTGAGTCGGGATGAAAGTGGAGCAGAGGGCTGCAAAGATGAGGTTGAGGCCACGACGGTTATTTAAAAGTGAAAATTGGTGTTGGGTGTTTCTAGCGAAGCGTTTCAGGTTGGAGTTCTTTGGGTATTTGTTTCATCAAGGTCATATTCATCGCGTCTAGCAGCTATACATGGAGTATCGAATCTCCGCCTGCCTAGCCTTGAAGGTAGTATACATGATAATAAACGGAGGAATTAAGAGCCTTGGCATCATTCAACATCCATGAGTACATCACTCATGATATGCAGCACGTATGAAAACTTCTTGACGCTCCATTTACCGGAGTCCTTGAGGAGACCAGCGTAGTCGAGCAAGATCCGACGAGCAGACTGGTATCCGCCTTGGAAGGGAACACCTCGCAGGTAGATTATCGCACCGTTGCGAATGAAGTTGACGGCAGGGTCATCTGTCGGAGAGAAAGACTGACTGCCTCTTGGCTCCATGAAGCTCGTGAAACCCTCCGTACTGACCTGCTCCCAGTTGATGTCATCCATTAGTTCGATAGAGCCCATCGTAGTGGTTGCATTGGCGGATTGAGGGACCATAAATGTGTACAAACCCAGTACCAGAGCCGCAGAGAAGAGGGAAAAGACGGAGTGAAAGGTGGGATGATCGGAGGCTTTGCGGTTGGTCATGGATTTATAGATGTGGGCAGCATGAAGACAAGCTCTCCGGGCTGCGGGGGTCTGTGACCACTCCGCGATATCGTCGAGCGCCTTGCGAGCTGGTCCCGGCCCGGCTCGGCCTGCGGCAACATCGAAGATTTGGATGTCAGCCGTGAGCATCATACACATGTGATGCCACATGACGAGAGCGTTGGGATTCATTCGTTCCATTGTTTCGCCGTAGCTGCTTGCGATTTGGAACTGAATAGATGGAAGACATCTGGCGCGTCCGTCCATGGCGTATGTGTGACAGGGTGCGAATGGATAGCTTGCTCGGTTGGAGAGTAGCCGGTGATATGCTTCTGATTGGCGAAGCTGGACCATGGCTAGGACTGCATGGACGGAAAACTCGTCGGTTGAACCTTCCAGAGGAGGGATGTTGATGTTCTCTGACGGCGCCAGCACCGTGGGCATCAGTATCCTCTTGCCGCTGCGGATTAGTTGAGTCCAGCGCATAGATGAATGTGCGCGAAAAAGGGCCTCGTTGCAAGGCATAATGATTTGGAGGGAGTCTGGCACGACGATTGGACTTGTTGAAAGAAGTGAAGAATACCAGGAATCCAGTAGGAGTAGGCCGATGATAATCCTACGAGGAAAATGTTAATAACTGTAGAAAAACGTGGGTTAAATACCAACTTACCTCTTGGTGGACTCAACCTTGCTCCATGCCTTCCATCTCATGTCGATATCTGGCACGGCTTCGAAGAGACTCATATCGAGAATTTGGCCTTCAGTCGCCGCAAAAAGACCATGTCGTTGTGTGATCTAATACATCATTAGCTTTTGCTCACAGCTACTAAGATGTCAAATTCAATGATTACTCACCGACATCAGATTCACATAGAGCATCTGGCATTGCTCGAGATGTCCCTTTTCCTGTGACATAGTTAACATTTCGAACGATCACTGATGCAACAGTGAGAGCCTTACGCCTGTCAATACTGCCAAGTTCAGAAAAAGAAAGGCAGTTGCGAAAATGGAGATCGTGCTAGACGGGGATTCGACACCCATAGTGCACCTGGCGAGATCCGCAGTGACCTTTTCAAGCACATACTAGGATTCGAGTTAATAGATAGAGTATTGGCAGAAACAGCAGAATTATGCATACCGAAAAGTTTCTAGAAACAAAACTTGCAGTTCCTTTCGTTCCAAGTAGCATCATGCCTATGAGGCACATGACATAAAGAAGTGGCTGCCGCGTCGTCTTTGCGGAAAAAGTAGGAAGGTGTACAAACGGCACAAGAGTGTGGAAATTGCGGAAGTATAGGTCTAGTGCCATATCTAAGATCTCAGCAGGAGGGAAATTCGGCAAGAAATTAGAAGCCGAGCCTGTTGTAGCAGGAGAAGCGGCTCCGTTGTGCGGTGATCGCATCTGCGGGAAGGGAAGAGGTTGGCCGAACACAGCCTGGAGTCTGCGTCTGCAGTCTTCATCGACTCCACAGCGTGATCCCTGAATGTGTGGCGTATCGTTTGGGGGTTGCAAGACGTTGATGGAAAAGACGTTGTCCACATCAGTGCACACGATGTCCCGCCATAGACTGTTCATAATCCGGCCGGTATGGTTCGGCGGAGCCAGCCAACAGCGTTGGACTTTAGAAAAACGTTCGTTGGGGATATTATCCCCCCTGCTTTACCACCATCTATTGAGCGCCGACTTTGCTGATCTGGAGTGAGGACCACATTGTCGCTGATGAGCGGGAAGTGGCCGTTCGTGAAATCGAGAGAACCGTGATTCGATCCGGCGTCGGTACGAGGCTCGAGCCACATTTGCAGCACATCATTTGGCGCGGGCTCAAAAGCGAGACTATTTCGTTGCGAGTGGTCGGCCGGGTTCACCTCGTTCCATCCAAAATAGGACTGCTGCTCATCTATCATCATTGGGTTCATGTCCGGTTCGGTTCGACCGTGGTGGGCAGAGATATCCGCCAGGAAGTCTAATGATGACGGTGGAATCCCGGTAGCCGAGAGGGCTGGATCGCGCGGCGTCGCGATGGAAGCAAACGCATGCGCGTCTGTCGTCATGCTGGGCAACAGCTGCGAACCATTCTCAGAACCCGGCACCATGGGAGACATTCCCACTATGGCAGATTGGCGTCGATCATGCGTTTGAGCTTGGTCTATAGTCGCATTATTCGGTTTGACCGCGGCACCTGTCGTAGCGCCTTGATTATGGCCCTTGGCATGTCGGCTTAGGACATCGCTGCATAGCCGTTAGATTATTGCTGTCCTGACGCGTGTTTCGCGCATTGGGCAGATCAATGCGCAATTTTCTTCACTCTGGGACATCCGCACCTTCGAGAAAACCGCTTGAGGCAGACATTGCACTCGTACGGGCGTTCCTTGGTGTCTATTGCCGTCAGTTAGCATCTGGTTTGTGGAGTTTGCGCCAGAATCGGGGACTGACGGGATCGCTCGTGGCGTTTGAAATGCTCGGTCTTCTTGAAGCGACGGTCGCAGATGTTGCACTTTCGAAGGACCATGGCGGGGATCGCAGATCAGCGCATCACAGCGTGCGGCGCATGGTTTTGAGTTGAGGAAGCAAAAATCATCGCAGCTGATGAAGTGCAGAAGTCGGGGTGGAGAGGGGGCGGTTAGTCAGCCCTCCCTGGGGTTAAGCCGATCGAGACGAAGCGCCTTTTTCTCTTCTCCCTTGACCACTCGAGGCCAGTCGATCGGCTTCCTCTAATCCTTCATTCGCGCTAGTTCTACCGAGGATGTCCCGCAGGCCAATGATCCCATTGCGGGAGTCAGTCCCACTGCGTCTACGAATGGCAGTCGATGACGCCGGGCCAGGCTGTCGCATTGGCCCCTGGCGACAAGCCACTGGTTTTCCCCGTGGGGAGAGACAGGCTATTGATCCGAGCCCTAGCAGCGGTCCACTGCCGATCAGCTAGCACTGGACTACATCGGGATACAAAGATGGATATGGTGCTCTTCAGCCCAAAGATGAAGACCTGGCTGATCCTAAGTTCAAGTTGCAGGTAAACAACTGGAAGCTCCCCACTTCCCCATCTTTCCGCTCATTCGGACCGGCGCTGATTCAGCCGGCTTGCCGAGCCGCCCATTGGCCACGTTGCCGGCAGTTGGCGTTTGCAAGTACCGACAGCCTGACGTCAGGCAGAATTCAATTGTACTAATGCGATGAACCACATTCGGGAAGAAACGTTTCAATTTTGAAAGGGACAGCTGGATATTTGCACTCAAACTATCAAATAACAGTTGATTTGCCAAGTCTATTGACGAGCCAGTTCTGCCAGTCGGTCATCATCGTAGAATGTCTCAAGGCGTTGCTTGCGAGCCTCCCGGTCCTCCTTGGCACGCTGGAGGATCTTTTGGATATTGGGGTACGAGGAGAACTTATCCTGCAGGGAGGTTACTAACAAAGTCTCATCAACGCTTAACATGAGGAACTTACCGGCAATGCATCCCAGACCTTCGGATCAGTTCCTTGGTTCTTGAAAGTGCCGCAGCCAGTGCGGGCATACTCCGTGAACAAGAACGACCGACTGCTCTCAATCATGATGGTCATTTGGTCTGCATAAATAATTAGCCTGAAATTCGACTTGCAAAAAAACGAAATAAACTCACTCTCAAGGATCTTCCGAGGCTGATTGACCTGGTTCTGCATCTCATATACATAATCCTCACTGAAGTTGCCATGCGGTGTATGGCTTATCTCCACACTTCCGCCACCAGGCAAGAAGTCATCCGAACGACCCAGTCCATTCCCATATAGAGATGCGAGGAACTCGGTGGCCGAGTTGCGATGAAAGTAGGGTAGACGGAAGGTATTGGATGCAACATCCCACCGAGGTCCGAACCACAGGAAATCAGCGAGGGGAGTGTTCGGGTCGCGAGAGGCGGCGGTAAGGACGGTGTTGATGGAGGGATCGGTGTGGTCGATCGAAGTGGAGTTTTGAGAGGAGAATTTCGTCAGGTCATACTGGAGTGATTGTTAGAATTGGCATCTTGGGAAAGTGTGTGACGGCCATGACATACCTTGTAAGGGACGACATTTCCATGCCAAGCGACTAAATCGAACGGGCTGTGATCCTGCTCGATTGCGTGGTACAGACCATTTGCCTTGTTGACGATAGCCCAGTCTTCGTGCAGATTGTCATCGATAAAGGCCACCGGGTGCAAAAAATCGCGAGGGTTGGCCAGACCATGTCCTCCAATGGGCCCTAGGTCAGGTAGTTCCCATCGCGAACCCCAGATCTCTGTGATGTATCCGCGAGCGACGCTGTGTCCTGGTCCCAGACGAACAGAAAAGCGGATGCCTCGAGGAATAACGCAGATCTCCCCGGGCTGCACGAATAGCTTTCCAAGCTCGGTCTGGATATCCAGGTTTCCCAGTTGGGCGGTGATCAAAAAATCGCCATCTGTGTTGCAGAATGCTCGTTGGTCCATGTCGGCGTTGATCATGTAAACGTAGAGTGCGATTCCCTCGCGCAGGTTGGGGTCTCCACTTCCTCCGAGGGTGTGCAGTCCGTCGACAAAATCGATCTTCTCGTCTTCCTTAGGTAGTGGGAAAGGCGCCCATTCGCCTTGTTCCGCCAGAGTCGCCACTCTGGGGTTAAGGGTCATTAGGCAGTTTTCGATATCGGACTTGTGGGGGATGTTGGCCTTGTAGCCATCTTCGAGACGCGGCTATTAGCATGAAAGACTGACTTTAATGGGCGAGGGCAACGTACTGTGAGCTGCTGCAGGCCGCACACGGTACATGTATGTGCTGAAGTTGACATGTCGTGGAGCTACAAAGGCAGAGTATGTAATTCCTTCCGTGTATAAGCCGAAGCGAGCCTCCTGGGGGTTATTTTGACCTGCTGGCAGTGTTCCGGGGATGACCTCGGATTGGTGACGGTTGCCGAAGCCAGCCTGGTATTCGTAGGGATCGTTATCTCTTGTCGGCTTGCGGCTCATGGCATCCGTATAGTGGAAGACCTTTTGTAGGTCTTTGACCGGCTTTCTTTCTGTAATAGGTGAAGCAGGCATTATGTCGAGTAGGATAGAAAAGTGCGGTTGGTATCCAGTCTTTGTAGAAAAGTCGTAGTTGATAGGTTCAAGTAATTTGCGTGATATGAGGAAGAAGAGTCTTTTACAACCACGATTTTATCGCTTGGACATGTCCCATTCTCGCTAATGAGACCCATATGGAGCTCTTCTATCATCGTTTGTGTCTTATACACCTCCCACATACGGACCCACATTGGCCTCATGCCCCTATAGAGATCTCGGGTTCGACTGTGGGCCGACCACGAACTCGAGTTCTTTGGCTTTTTCATTGCGGGGCTATGTGGATGTGGAGCAGGCCAACGCCGGAATGTCATCCCGGCCAAATGCCCCAGCTAAAAGGGTGGGAGAGCCCCATTCTTCTACGCTAAGAACTACTGTCAAGATAAGTTATTACTATCTACCGGATTCGTCTTGTTTAGACAGCTCGGAACTTCTGTTGACGAAACACTAAATCAATTAAAAACGAAAGAAAGAAAGAAAGAAAGAAAAGAAAAGAAAAAGAAAGTATGCGGATGTCAATGGGGAATATCATCAATATTCATGTTGGGTTTCATATACAGCTAGATATTATGTACCAACGACTTGAGCACATCTCGCTCGCTCGATTCAATTGACAGCCAAGACATCATCCACCATTCTCGACGATGCACCCAGATAGTTGACCGGATCACAAAGCTCACTCAATCGCTGCTGGCTCATCTTTTCTGTAACTTCGTCCTTCTCCAGTAGACACTCCAAAAGCGTTCGCTCCTTCTCAATACTCTCCCTACAAGCCTCGTAAACAAGATCATGAGCCCGCTGACGACCAACATGCGGCGCCATCCCCATCATGACAGCCTCCGCCACAATCAAGCCCTTGGTAGAATAAAGATTGTCCAGCATCTGCTTGCTATTCACCGAGAGTCCGGACAGCGCAAAATGCGTCTGCGACAGCGCGCCCACGGCAATGACAAAGCTCTCTGGAACCGCAACCCATTCAAGATGCCAGGGACCCGAAGCGCGCTCAAAGTCCGCTACCATGCCGTCGAGAACTAGGCCGGCATTCGATCGCAGGATTTTGGATGCGGCGAGGATTACCTCGCTGGAGATGGGGTTTTTTTTTTGAGGCATTGTAGATGATGCTCCGCGGTGCTGGACGAAGGGCTCGGAGACTTCGCTCAATTCGTTGGAGGACATGATTATTATGTCCAGAGCCAGCTTGCCCATGGATCCTCCCATTAGAGCGAGGAAGTTTGCAATCTCGGCCACGCCGTCCCGCACCACGTGCCATGTAATCGAGGGGTTGGAGAGACCTAGTTCCTCGGCGAGTGCCTTGCGTACTCGAAGTCCGTCGTCGCCAGAGCCAAGCGATGCAAGCGAGCCCGCCGCACCACCGAATTGCACCAGCAGTGCTCGATCACGGAGCTGCTCCAATCGCTCGAGGTGCCTCTGGAAGCCAGATAGCCAGACAGCACACTTATACCCAAACGTCACGGGCAATGCATGTTGCAAATGCGTTCGACCAGCCATGGGCGTATCCTTGTATTGCTCCGATAGCTGACGAAGAGTTTTGATCACGTCCTTGAGCAATCGCTCAACGATATTCAGACCCTCTTTCATCTGGAGTACGCTTGCCAGGTCCATAATATCTTGCGTCGTCGCGCCCCAGTGCACATACTTACCCGCCTCGTCGCCGCACATGGCCGATAGCTGGCGAACAAGCGGGAGAATCGGATATCCCACGATCTCCGTTTCGTGGCGCAGACGATCAAAGTCGAGTGTTGATCCCTGCACTCGCTGCGTGACCATTGCCCCGATATTTGAGGGGATTACATTGCATTGTGACTGCGCGCGTGCGAGAGCTGCTTCGGCGTCTACGCAGCGGCGGATGTATGCTTCGTCGTCGAAGACCTTTCCCACAAAGTTAGCTTGCGATCTTGCTTGTAAATATGGCGGATCATTGTTAAATGTACTTACCTTCCGAATCTCGTCCGTGCCAAATAAAGTCCGGAAAATGCTCGAGTCGATGGCGCTGACCGAGCCAATGGATCGACGCCCGCTAACCGCCACAAAGACAGCCGGGCGAGCGTTCACCTGCGAAAAGGGTCGTGTGAGGCTCACAATCTTCGACATGCTTAGGGTCAATGGGAGCAAAGAGTTTCCACAGACACTACTTGAAGGTGCCAATTGTCCACTGAATTGATTCCCAGTTATCACCCCGGACGCTCCGCCATCCACGCTCCACGCAGTCCAGCTCTCCGCGCTCAACGCCTGGCCCCACATCAACACCCAGAGGCATGTGGGGCAGTCGAATCTAGCACGTGACAATATCCGTAAGTCACTTTACGCCTTGAGGCATGGATTATCACGTGTTCATATTTCGTCCCATCTGTTTTTCGGTGAAGTTCCTGGTTGACTAGTCCTAGATTTTTGAATTATTACTCTAAGGCTGGTACGCGTAATAATTATTATCTGCTGAATCCATACCAACAATCTACCAAAATAAATGACCAGGTGCAAAGTTTTCAAATATATATGTCTATCCATTTCTCCCGAGCGAAACTCAGTAGCAGTAGATGGTGTTGAGATGGGCTGCGACGAAGCACTGAATATTGAATGAGGGCCTGCTAGACAAATCGACCTTAATGGAATTGACAGAACTTGACTTGAAAGTGTTATGCTGTCTCCGTGCGATTCTGGGGGGATTTATCCCTGAACGGGCAGCAAGCCCCTGACAGTAGTAAATCTCTCATAATCGGTCTCGATCGGGGTTCTTCCATGAAGATCTCCCGAATGTAGAATATAATGGTGGCAAGAGAGCTTGAAGCGTATATCAAGCTCAGTGCCTCCGGTTTCCCTGGACAGACATGCCGACAGAGGTTGGGAATGTGGCATCAATTCGGTGCCTTATCCTGGAACCTCAACAGATGGATTGTTATCTCATGGGATGAGTGTATTCTGCCTTATTGTCTGATGGTGTGCCTAAATAAGCTCCGAGGTATCTAAACAGGATCGACTCATTCCTCATTTATCCGGCAAAAAATACGACTGTTTCCGACACTTCGCAAATCCTATGTACAATGAGAAGTCGGATATCGGTCTATCTCATCTATTCTCTAATAAAGAGGGATGCCACACCCATACCCGTGCTAGCACACATGCTCACAATGCCCATCTCCTTATCCGACCGTTGCAACTCCGCGAGAAGAGTAGCAACCTGTCGGGCACCCGTTGCTCCGACGGGATGTCCCAGGGCAATGGCGCCGCCGTTGGGGTTCACCTTGTCCATATCAATGCCCAGTTCGCGAAGGCAGTAGATCGACTGGCTCGCAAAGGCCTCGTTCATCTCGACAATGTCAATGTCCCTATTTTCAATGCCCAGATACTTGTACAGGTTCTGGATGGCAAAAATGGGCCCAATTCCCATCTCGTCCGGTGCACAACCGGCTACCTGAGTGCCGGCGAATCGGGCGATGGGTTTGAGACCCTGTGCTTCGGCCCAGGAGCGGCGGGCGAGAACGGTGCTTGAGGCGCCATCGGAAATTTGCGAGCTGGAATTAATGTTAGTATAAAGTTCAAATTAATGAGCAAGGTGCGGGGGTGGGGATATACGAATTTCCAGCCGTACTGAACCCATTCTCCAGCACTGGCTTCAAAGTCGCCAATTTCTCCGCCGTCACCGTATGCCGAACACCCTCATCCCGCTCCACACCCGAAATAGTCTCCTCATCAATTCCCACACTCACCGACCGGACAGTGACAGGCACAATCTCTGCCTTAAACCGACCTGACTTCTGCGCCTCACTCGCCCGGCGCTGACTCTCCGCCGCAAACTCATCCTGCTCCCTTCGACTAATCCCATACCGCGACGCAACATTCTCCGACGTCTGCAACATGGGCAACAAACAGTCCCTTGCATCCTTGACATCTGACTCCCGGAGCGTCGGCGACACGTCCACGGGGATTCCGCGCGTTGCATAATTCCTCGACATGCTCTCCACACCCCCGCCGAGTCCGACGTCAATCTGGCCTGCGAGAATGGCATGCGAGATATGCGTGATGGCTTGCAGACTACTTGAACATTGTCTGTTGATGGTGTGGAAGGTTGTCGAGTTGGGAAAGCCTGCTGCGTTCAGCGCCATGCGACCTGTTTTCGCAAAGCCCAGCTCTGCGAGGACGTTGCCGATCATCACATCGTTGACTTGGCCTGGTTCGATGTTTGCTCGTTGCACGGCGGCTTGCATTACCTAGCACCGTGTGAGTATGTGGTGTTTTTTTATGTATTCGTTCGGACGTACCGGCATCAAAATCTCCTCTGGGTAGGAGTCCTTGAATCCGCCCTTGAAGGCCCGGGCGATGGGACTGCGAACGGCGGAGAGCACGACGACATCGTTGGGACTCTTTTTAAGGACCTCGCCTGCTGTTCGTCGTAACATCTTGGGCCATAGGAGGTGTGCGGAAGGGGAATTGAGAAATGGATGTAGGCGAGAAAGTGGAAGTGGCATTGCATCATGGCGGTTTCCCCCGTGGGGCCGACGATCGCCCTCGGCGTACGCGGGCCGTGCTCGAGGATACTCTCCCCGCTTCCCGCGGGTCGATCGGCCGTGGCGGTCACAACCACGTTGAGAGACCGTTCGTGTTTACGTTTTGCTTTTGACTACTTTTCTTTCGTCCTCCCTTTTTGTCTGCCGCCAAATTGGCAGATTGCGGTGCTGGCTTGAACAGTGGAGACCGACCCAGCGATGTGGGGAGCTGTCGATTCAACGCACCACATTTTTGGCGAATGCGAGGCCCTTCAGCAGGGATTAAATGTACAGCAGAAATACTTACATTAGGCACTGGCATTATGACAATTTACAGCTTGATCGAACCCACACCCTGACCCACCCCCTTCCCCTCCGACGACTCATCGCTGGCACTCATCTCCCACCCGCGCCCCCGATACCTTGCCGGCCAAATTCCTGACTTCCCAGGAGCCATAATCCCATTCGGATCCAGACAATCCTTGATCCGCTCATTGAATCTCATCAAAGCCCCATCATTCCAGTTATACGTTCCGGCAATCTGATCCATAAACGCCAGATGCGTCCGGTACTCGCCGTACCCTCGTTTGGCGGCATCATCAATCATTGCCCGCAGACAAGCCCGCATTATCGCGCATCCGCACATCGTCACGATTAAACACGATTTCCACGATTAGATGCATCTCCCGCAGCCCCACGCAGAAAGTGGGGAAGAGGTCGAGATTGTACTCCTCGCACCTTCTCCGCGCAATTTCCCACAGCGCTGTTGCGTCGGCGCCGCGGACCGGCGAGACGGGGCTGAAGGCTACGTGTCCGCCGTTTGGGTGCCAGTTCACCCAGCGCAGTTCTTCGATGTCTGGGATGCCGGAGGCGATGCGGTCGCGGACCCAGAAGTAGTCTGTTGACGGGAGGGTGGATGGGTCGATGCGTTTTGCGCCGGGGATTTTCATGAATTCTTTGTGGACGATGTCGAGTTTGTATTGTCGGATTTCTTTGGGGCCGTATGCCATGCCGTAGTAGAGCCAGGAGCAGTCGCCGTGGGCGAGGTGCTGCGCTGCTTCGTGGATGTAGGAGTCGGGGACTCGGCCTTGGCCGTTGTAGTAGAAGCTGCGGGGTTTGCCTTCTAGACCGATTTGCATGCTGATGTGACGGAGTTGGGCGACGTTTTCGAGGATCATGGCGATGCGTAGGGGCCGGATTATTTCGATCTTGTAGGCGATCAGCAAATTGCATGGCAGTGTCAAGGGTGGTGGCTTCTTACCAGTTGGCTCAGGTCTTCGTCATTGGGGAATGTGTAAAGCTGCGCAGCCGTTAGTCTCATCAAAGAGTAGCATAGAGTGTGGCAATCGCACATAGCTCTCATGATCTCCAGGATTCGGCATCAATCCAAATCCCATCTTCGTCACGACCCCCATATTCGATTGGGAGAAAATTCCACTGGATCACAAATTAGCCAGATATACCAAACAAGCAGCAAGAGTATACATACTCAGCCGTCGGCCCAAACCCATAAGGGAAAAGCTGCCAGCTATTATTCCCCGGCAAGGCCCCCATCCCCGTCCGAATCACTTCACCCGTCGGCAAAACAACTTCCATACCACAATGCATCATCCAATGGTCTCCATAGGGTGTATATCCAACACCTCTGTCGAGTGCATTTCCCAGAACCGAGCCCCCGCCAATATCGGGTACGTCGATCCAGAGGTTCTTGTAGCCGCGCGCACGGATCTCTTCGTAAAGGGCGAAGTAGGTCACGCCTGGCTCGACGAGGCAGGTACAGTCATCCGGATTGATGTCAAGGATGCGGTTCATTCGTCTGCCGAGGTCCAAGACTACGGCGCCGCGGACGCGGGGGGCGGCGCCGCCGTAGCCATCTATTTTTATTATGGTGTCAGCTATGTATGGGGATTTATTTGGCTGGGTACGTACAGTTTCGGCCGATGGAGATCGGGGAGATGGGGATGCGGTAGTGGTTGGCCCATTGGACGATTGTTTGAACCTCTTCTGTGCTGCCGGGGTATACGACGACGGAGGCGACGAAGTCTTCTTCGGAGGATACGTGCATTCCATCGTGGGTGTTGGGGTCTAATCGTTCTTCTGTCAGAGTTGCTCACTTGCCAGTGCTCTTGCGGTGCAAGTTGGTCGCATTGTAACTCACTCTCCATATACCACCCATCATCCAGCCTTGTCACAAACTCTACATATTCCTCGCCGAGCCGATCGTGGAGCTCTGCAATTGCAACACGGAACGTGGCCTGGTTGATACCCTGGGGCAAAGCCACTTTGGTTCGTTCATTCTTGGACTTGGTGGCAATGTCGAAGATGGCGGACTTGGCCTCCTGCGCCTTTTCGAATAGCCTCGGTGGGATCCCATTATGCTGTTCGGACAGTAATGGCGTTGGGGGTACGTTTTTAGAGCTCATGATGTGAAGGAGCAGTTTACTGAGGCAGTCTTCCAGATTGCGCGTGGGGTGTCCCGGCGTTGACATGTGCTTTATTACGATGAATCAGGAGATGCAGCCTCCCCTCTGCTCTAAAGGTGTCTATCGTACTTATAGCAGCTTCCCCTCTCACCACGCGTTCCTCGATCTTGTGCGATGATTGGACAATGCACGCGAGCACATGATGTCCGTGTCATGTCCGACCTGGCAGTGACCCTTCATGCACCGGCTGGCCAGCAGGCTTGCCCCGGATGGTGTGGTTACTGCAGGCATTGCCCGGTGCTGATATGCACGTCGAGCGGAGAAGTGAGGGGACGGCCCCGCTGTCGATCGGATGGTGCCTGTCAGTGCCTCAGGGCGGGCAGAGGGGCTCTAAGTTATCTACCTTAGTAGGGTAGGAAATGTAGCGGACAATTAAGAATGGCAAGGGCTGCTCAAAGTGGGAGTCATGCCAGACCCGAGGCGCGGTGGTATCCGTAGAAGGGTCTCCGGGATGGCAGCCGAAGCTCCTGGCACTTCCGACAATCTTGCGCCGTCGGGGGCAGTCGCTGCCGAAGACACTCCCGCGTAAGATACCTGTTAATTTCGGCGCCTGTGACCGCGTAATTACGGGTTGTGCCTGCCACAACGGCTGGTGATGTATTGAGAAGTGTTGATATACTGTAGTATTAAGTCGAGTAGACTATTGGTAGGATATAGTTTTTGTACAAGTACAGTGCAGCATATGATCGCCGACTTGCCCTCCACATCACTGCCCTACTGTTCGCCCCGCAGGATGTGCGAGTGCCTCAGGCACTAATGCATGAGTCAGCATCGGGTAGGGTGTGGGGTCGGCTTCCGATGGCGGCAAAGGGCTTTGGGGCGCGCTGCAGTGTCGCTCTGATCTTGTGGGGGAGCAGGCGGTGGCCACTGCCGGCTAAGCGTTTTTTCGGCTTGTCTGGCTCAGTCCCTAGCCGAACGGGTTGGGGGGATGGGGTTGCTTTGCGATTCAATTAATTCTTCCTCTTTCTTCTTTCTTTCTGCTGGTCCAGAAAGCACTACCCCAGATTCTCTGCAGGTAGTTTTCACCATGTCGCGGCCTTTCCCTGCGATCAAGGTGTTCCGCCCCATCTGGCGGCGGAACTTCTCCGCCTCGACCTCGCGGAGCGCTATCAACAAGCTATGTGACTCCGCCGAGGAGGCTGTCAAGAACATGAAGGGTTCTTCGACCCTGCTGGTCGGTGGTTTCGGTTTCTCTGGTGTTCCCAACACCCTAATCAATGCCGTTCATGCTCGTCCTGAGGTCAAGGACCTGACTGTTGTCTCCAACAACGCTGGTATGCCCGGCACCGGTCTCGGTAGGTGCAATTGAAAGATTGTGGTGCTGTCGAGGCACATGCGCTAATCTCCAATGCCCCGGGCAGGTCAATTGCTCGAGTCCAAGCAGATCACCAAGATGATCGCCTCCTTCATTGGCGAGAACAAGGTGTTCGAGAAGATGTATCTCACCGGTGACCTGACCCTGGAGCTCACGCCCCAGGGTACCATCGCTGAGAAATGCGCCGCCGGAGCGGCTGGCGTTCCGGCTTTCTACACTCCCGCGGCTTACGGTACTATCATTCAAACTGGTGAACTCCCTATTCGGTACAACAAGGATGGCTCTGTGGCAGAAATGTCCAAGCCCAAGGAGACCCGCACGTTCAACGGCAAAGATTTCATCCTGGAAGAATCGATTTTCGGTGACTACGCTCTGGTTCGCGTCCACAAGGCCGACAAGCTGGGTAACTGCCAGTTCCGCAAGGCCATGAACAACTTCAACGAGGCCATGGCCAAGAACGCCAAGTACACCATCGTCGAGGCCGATCACATCGTCGAGGTTGGCGAGATTGAGCCCGAGAGCATCCACCTCCAGGGCATCTACGTCGACGCTGTCATTCAGAGCACCCAGCCCACCGCCATCGAGAAGCTTACCTTCGCCAAGAACCCCGAGGACATGCTCGCTGCTGGCTCCGGCGAGGCTACTGCCCGCCGTGAGCGCATCGTTAAGCGTGCCGCTAAGGAGTTCAAGGATGGAATGTATGTCAACCTCGGTATTGGTATTCCCCTGATCGCCCCCTCCTACCTGCCCGAGGGTGTCGAGGTCGTCCTGCAGGCTGAGAACGGTATTCTGGGCCTGGGCGGCTACCCCCACCCCGGTGAAGAGGACCCCGACCTGATCAACCCCGGCAAGGAGACTGTCACTCTGGGCCGCGGTGCTTCCCTGTTTGGTTCCCACGAGAGTTTCGGTATGATTCGCGCTGGTAAGATCGATCTTACCATGCTTGGTGCTCTGCAGGTCAGCCAGTACGGCGGTAAGTTTCGCCTGACAATCCAAAAATGCATCAATTTGAATACTAAAAACTTATGCAGACCTGGCCAACTTCATGCTTCCCGGTAAGGTCAAGGGTGTTGGCGGTGCCATGGATCTGGTCGCCAACCCCGAGAAGACTAAGGTCGTCGTCACCATGGTAAGTTCCGCAGTTGCCCAACTCCAGAACTCAACAGACACTAACATCTCTCGATAGGAACACACCGACAAGAAGGGCAACCCCAAGATTCTACCCGACTGCAGCTTCCCCCTGACCGGCCCCCGCTGCGTCTCGACCATCATCACCGACCTAGCCGTCTTCGACGTCAGCACCACCGAGGGTCTGACTCTGATCGAGCACGCCGAGGGCGTCACTGTCGAGGAGATCCGCAGCAAGACTGCCGCTCCTTTCAAGGTCTCCCCTGATCTGAAGCCCATGCAGCTGTAAATATGATAAGATATATACCAATTTGTAGACCTGGGATTCATACGGTGTCTTTGTTTTGCATGTGAAGATTCTAATTTAGACTGAGAATGAGCATTTTCTATACTATACTTTATGGACCTAGTAGAAGTAGTAATCCAGCATTCAAACTTTTTATTCGAGCCATCTGTCAGTAAATTCGCTGGTGCTGCTCGATGAATAGTTCATGTGGGGTCGAACCCACACCTACAGGTTGCCCGTGGGGCTCTCCACGAACGGCCAAGCCGCGAGAAATTAAAACATCCGCGACGAGTGACACTTGCTGCGAACATACAGTTCACTTGGCGTTGACTTGTCATGGTCGTTGGGGGCCTTTATAATTACAGGATGAATCTTCTCTCATTATCGCGAGAATTTCTGGTCGCAAGGTCATCACTCTCCCTCACTCGCCCGCGCGGATCATGCTTCTCCCGGACATTGGCCACGGCGAGCAAGGCGCAAAAGAATAAGAAGCTACCTCTGGCTGGGGTGAAGGTCCTGGATATGAGCCGGGTACTTGCTGGGGTAAGAGTCCCAGCCAATTGTGATAATGCGAACCAAAAGGACTGACATAGGGACAGCCTTACTGCACACAAATCCTAGGTGACCTAGGGTGAGTATAACTTGTAAGAATTGAAGATATCACCCAGAGCCTAACGAAAAGCAGAGCAGAGATAATCAAAATCGAACACCCCATCCGAGGCGACGACACCCGAGCCTGGGGCCCCCCATTCGCCGCCTACAATGACGGCCGCCAAGGAAATGGCGAAAGCGCCTACTACCTCTCAGTAAACCGCAACAAGAAGTCCCTCGCGCTCTCCTTCGCGCACGCTGAAGGCGCCGAAATCCTACACAACCTCGCCCGCAACTGCGATGTCCTGGTCGAGAACTACCTCCCCGGCTCTCTAAAGAAATACAAAATGGACTACGAAACCCTCTCCAAAATAAACCCAGGTTTGATTTACACAAGCATCACCGGCTACGGTCAAACAGGGCCTTACAGCAATAGACCGGGATTTGATGTGATGGTCGAAGCGGAGTTTGGGCTCATGCATCTAACCGGGACAAGGGATGGACCACCTGTCAAGGTTGGCGTTGCGGTGACGGACCTGACGACGGGTTTGTATGCTGTTAATTCGATTATGGCGGCGTTGTTGGCGCGTGTTAGCTCGGGAGAGGGGCAGCATTTGGATGTTTGTTTGAGTGATTGTCAGGTTGCGACGCTTGCGAATATGGGGACGTCGGTTTTGATTAGTGGGGAGAAGGATTCTGGAAGGTGGGGGACTGCTCATCGTGAGATAATCTTTCTTCCTTTTGGCTTTTTGACGGTGCTAATATTTTTTTTTTTTAGCTTCTGTCGTCCCTTATCAAGGCTTCAAAACGGCTGATGGGGATATCTTCGTTGGCGGGGCGAATGATCGTCTGTTTGGAATTCTTTGTGAGAAACTTGGGAAACCCGAGTGGAAGAGTGATGCTCGCTTTGTCACGAACAATGAGCGAGTCACCAATCGCGCGGAACTGGAGCCGCTTATCGAGGGCGAATTGACCAAGCGAACGACCCGCGAGTGGCAGGGTATCTTCGAAGGGAGTGGATTACCTTATGCGGCGGTGAATGACATCCAGGGGACTATGAATCATGAACATGGTGAGCTGGTCTTCTAAGTCGCTTTTAATTGGGACTGATACTAATCTTTGTGTAGTGCAAGCGAGAGGTATGGTTCAGTCTATTGATCACCCGACATGTGGCCCTATCAAAGTCATCAGTCCGCCTGTGAAATACTCGAATGCCGAGCCGAGTATTCGGCGTCCGCCTCCTTTGCTTGGAGAGCACACAGATGAGCTTTTAAAGGATCTGGCTGGTCTTGATGACAGGCAGATTAAGGATTTGAAAGCGAAGGGGGTTGTTGCGTGAGTAGAATTGTACTATACGTGCATACAATAGGCCAGCATTATTTAATCGGCTTTAGGAGATTTTCATATAGGAATAGTAAGGTTTAGAGCAGGCGAGGGTAGACCACATAGATACTTCACGCTAGGGGAATTACGCGCGCGGAAATATAGTTCGAGAGATATGAATCAATCTCATTGTAGATATTAATATGAATGCTTTGGGTATAAAGGTGATGATGGAAGTGATATTCACTTTGGTTCCACCAATTTGGAGACAGCTCCACGGGTATGCAGTGGATTAGTATGGCAGCTAGGACGATGGTTGCTTTCTGCCTCCGGGTAAGTCATGACGTTGGTGCGTATTGCCCAGTAGCTCTCGCTGAGAAGGATCATTGTTCAACTCCACCGGAGCACCACCATGGCCTCCTGGAGAGTAATAATCCTTCGTTTCATATTGCATAAAAAGGTCCTTCGCGTATCCCTCATAATCGTCAGGAATTTGCTCGGCAGAGGAACGACGACATGGAAGAAAAAGCCATATTATCCCCATGAACAAGAGTGCACCGCAAAACCCTCCGATCACATCACCCGATATTGCCCCTTTTTCCGCAGATGATACTTGAGACCCTGGGCCTGCTGAAGTTGATGAAGTTGATGTAGGTTCCGATGTGGCCGTTACCGAGGTTTGTGAGAATCCCGTGGCAGCTGAAACTGTCACTGAAGCAATTGTCACTTTTCATGATATTAGCTCCTGCTGCTTGTTTGTGGCAAAAGAGGACGGAAGAGCTGACTTACTGGGTGATCTGCACTCCTGAGTCGCCCTGGACATAGTGTCGTCCATCTGGCTTTCTTGGAATTCATCCGTTGTCGCGCAAACCCTGTAGGCATACTCATTGATGTATCCTATCAGACCCACGTCGCAGCAGATATTCCTCCGGATCTGACCAGGGGACCGGTGATAGATCAGCGCATTGCTCTGCGAACTTGATGGGCGCATCTCCAATACACCATCCCGTATTGTTCTCATTGTTCACGGAGAATGAAGTTCCAGATGGACGGTGGGGGGGACCCATTGATTCTCTTCTTCACGAATTAAGATTATCTGAAAACGATGGGTTCTTTTCTGACATTCGAAAATATGGCGATGCAACGCGGGCGACAGAAAGGGACCATGAACCTCAATAGGCTTGGCTTGAACACGAGGCTGCTACTGATTGTACATGTAGATCACTGGCAACTGCCCTCTTCAAGGGTATCATCCCCTAATCTGGTTCTCATCGAAAACCCATTACACCCTACTGCCCCATGTCCGTGGACAAGTGTCTCAAGACTGAGCATTGACCAAATTGCGCTGCAGGAACTGTTTCCATACTCGTTGCATCCAGCTCGAATTTCAATCGCTGATCTTCACTAGCAACCCATAGCTCCCATTCTGGCGCAGCGGGATTGCGATATGTATTGGGATTCAAAGTGAGGATGAAACTAATCCAATTATCCATGACAATAGGAACCATCGGCGCATTGTATGTGAGATAAGAACAGCCATCGCAGGATCACTCCGAGGCCGACTTGCTCATTATCGGTATCCTGGACATTGTAGCGGTAACTCCATGTCTGAAGCGGAGAATTGTGAGCTGCCATGGAAGAGGCGAGCTCGATTCCGGGACAAGTAAATGTGGCTTTGCCGTATGCCATCTCTGCTGGTGGAAATACGGTGCATGGCTTGGCCTCAGTGAGTCGGACTCTTCGAGGGGATAAGTTTTGTTCATTCTCTGGAGATTGGCCGGGGCCAGTCGCGGGTAGTTTGCCTGGATAAAATCCAAGAACCCCGTGGAGGTGGTGACATTCGAGTGAATCCGGTTCCTTCATCGTTGTCATCGCCGATTATCACAGGCACCTTAGTGACCCTTCCCTGTTCGAAGAGGGTCTGTAAATCCGACGAGAAAGAACTGTCGATAACAGGCAGGAAGTACCATAGAGGAGTCTCGTTGGTTCCGCGAATCGCGATGCTACGTCTACTGCTTGCAAGGTCGCCGAGTCCTGAGAGCGGAGACAGGCCAAGGCATCACCATCATCACTGCAATTGGCGTTCTTGACAAACCGGTCGAAATGGAACTCCGACTCTGCCACGGTACGGTGAGTGGGCAGGAAGGGAGACTGAGATTGCACTGACGAAGACTCGCTCGCGGCCACCACCCCACGCCGTCAGGTGATACGCGACGGAGCCTCCGCCGGCGGAGTCGCGGTGGATGACCACGTGCTCCAGGTCTCTGCCAACTGCTCGTGTCGGCCGTACTTTCTTCTTCTGGGGACGCTCGGGAGATCCCAGCTCTTACCAGGTGGATGTATTTCTGTGCCCAGATCAGCGCTTTGTGCTGGTCAAGCAGCCCAACATTCAAGTCTCCATTTGCTCGAATTCTTCGCTCGCCAGAACCCGAAAGCACCCACGCGATAATTGATCTGCAGAAAGGCCATGCTATTATTTGATCTGATGATCATCTCAGTCGCATTGAAGTTCTGGTCGGAGTTAGAAGCATGCCTCTGCCCTGGATGAAAACCCACACGGGAAGCTTGCTCTCCGGGTTGCATTGCTGGTAAAATGGATATTTGAATCTGGAGAGGGCTCGGACTTTTAAGTATGATGATCCCAATCCCTGGGATGTATACCCCGGATAGGGACCGTGCTGAGAGGGGTTACTTGAACGCGGGGTCAAGTCTCTATTGATCACACGGAGTTCTTCCTATTCTATCTCCGGAGTGAAAGGTCCGTCTTGCATCTTGGAATGCACAGAGCAAGCAATCTAGACCCAAGCCAATATGAGATATTTCCTTTCGACCGATGTCGTATCGGTGGCTGAACCGGGCTCCTTTACTATGTAAACTACATCACTCTAAAAGGTCTTCTACCAAACAAGCTCAATCCAGGCCATTCAAGATTAGTGCTTGATTAGTAGCGCTCAAGAGTACTAGCAAAATGTGCACAGACTCTTTCAAGCAGTTACCAGAACCTGCAACGGGGATATACTGCCCAGGTGTGCTTTTGTCTAGGACGTGGAAGGTTCAGTGCTATTTCCTGCAAAAAAGAATTCTCAACTTGCCCAGGACGCCGTGATGATGACAATACCCTGACACCATATATCACATCGTATCCTCAAAATATTAGTACTTTGTGGCACGTGGGATGCGCATTGAATCGGTCTGAGGACTCCATCGACTTGAATATGACAAATACTTAAATTAGTCTTGAAAAATTCTCCCCTCGTCCAGCAAATCCCAATGACACATCTATTTACGTCTGTGGACCAAAGATTGTTTATCAGCCTTCCACGAGTGTCCTCACCACCCCTGTTTACTGCATATGTGGGACGATAATTTGGGGGCCAAAAACCTAATAGGTTGACCATTTCACATGTTGCCTTAAACAAGACCGAGAAAATTGACAATCCATTCCCCTGGAGAGGTACTTTTGGAAAAGCCGAAATTTGGGACCTCGATGCAGGCCGAAGGAATACCCGATCAACGCTTGATGAGCTTGAACCCCACTCAGGGCTCGGAGCCTTGCAACGAAAGTCAATATGCCGCGAGGAAATAGCGGGAAATGTGGGGAGATCGGCGGACCCGGCTGTTTCACCCGTCGTTTTCCATGAGCCACTTTCGTCGGAATCGGGAGGTCAGTGCCCGCGACTATCAACGTATTTCGATGGGTGGGTGGAAGGATTTGGTGGTGACGGGATCGTACTATAGAGACAGATTGCGAAGTGCGTCGCCTCACAGGTGCTTAGCTGGAATAGTCCGCTTTTTGGGTATCATTCAATTATTATTGTATATTGTCGGTTGATGCTTGGGCCAATTTCGAAATTTGACTAGACTCGATGAGATGGTAGTATGCTCGGTGGCCGTTCTGCCGCGCATCTCTCTTCCGTTACTTCCCACTGGACCTCTTTGACAATATGGGATTGGCTATGGGTGCTTCCCGTATTTTCGGCAAGGGCAATGTCATCCTGTAGACGACTGAGACCCTGTTTGCGACGACTGCGAGCCGTACCTGAACTGTAGTCCCTGAAGTAGCGTCGGCCAGTACTATTGACTTCGCCGATCCAAGACGGGGAGTAGCGTCTCATAAATTGACGGAGAAATGGGAGGCAGGGACAGATGACGATGAGATTGGATTCGACATAGCTGGAAGATGGCATTAGCTTGTAGTATTCCCAGTGAGGGAGACGAATCTTACATCCAGAGTTGCGACGGCACTAGCTCATATGTGACATCAGTTGCCTTGAGGAAGGGGATTAGGGTGGTAAGACGCAGGATACTCGTGATAAGTGTGCTGTGAAAAGAATTCAGATAAAGTCGAAGGCTATTTTTTGTGGACGGGGTACTCACGCGCAACCAACAACGAACATGAACAAGAGTCCGAGTTTTTGAATCTTCGGCATTTGCAGACTTAGCACCAGAGGTACAGGAACAATAATCAGAGCTATGTCTGTGACGATGTTGGTGACAGCTGTGGCGATGTATAAGCCGTTGCGATCAACACAGGACCCCCCAGTGATCGAAGCGTCCCATCCTTTTGCAATGGGATGGCATGCAAAAATCAGCGCGAAGACAATTGCTATGCTGTATCCGCAGACAACAGCAGAGATGATATGTAGTGTCCACGTGTAGAAAGGTTGCTTGTTCATAATACGGTGGTAGAGGATGATGAGGCCGACTTTGGCGAAGGCGAGTGCGGGTACGTAAACAACGGCGGCAACGAGAATAATCTTTCCAACAATACTTAGTAGAGATAGAGGACAGGGAGCCTGGTAAAGATACTTGTTGATAAATGTCGAACATTTCTGGGGTGACATTCCACAAATGAATTCCAATTCCACCGTGGAGATAGCCATCTAAGAGAAGTGTTAGGAGAGGGCGCCGATTTCAAGCAGAGAGCGGGAAGCACCACGTACGTATACACGCAACTTGTGTCCCCAGTGAAAAGAGCTGTTGAAAGAAACCACGAGTCTCAGCAAGGAAGAGAGAGTATTGGAAGATCGGACTTCTTACCCAGGCGGCGATTATCGATACTAGTCAATAGTGTCAGCAAGCCCCCGATCTTATAAATCTCGCAATGTACAGACTTACCATCATCCCAACCAAATTTCGATAATAGACATGCCCTTGTATAGACACGCATGCTCAAGAACAAAGTGCTGAAAAAAAGCCCGACGCCGACAATCGTCATATTGGTCTTGAATTTCCAGGGATTGGAATAGTCGAAATCGGGGGTTACCCCGGGGGTGGAGGAACCACTCCAACTTTTTCTCCCATAATTATTGCGTTCGATTTCCCCTCAGAATAGAAGATAGGAAGCAAGGCCGGCAGAGAACGTTCTTCACTCCAGGCTGCGTTTAAGTTGCTGTCATGAGCGTCATTTAAGGAGACGTTTGGTTCCAGCCTCGCTGCCTTCATGGGTCAAGGTGGAGGCAGGACAAAGTTTAAAGCTATAACCGGAGTTCGTGCTAACTGGTTCCTGGCTCGATGCACAATCGGACGCGATCCCCTCTAGTGCATCCTTCGCGGTCTCATGCGGCGATTGTCCGAAGTGGGGACTGCTCGAGCCCTAACCCGGGACTATATGCACGTTCTCTAGGCGAAGCGATCTGATCATTTATTTTATTTCCAATATTGGCGTGGGAGACGGTTCGATGCCTTGCTGGCCCGTTGGGCGAGACTCGCACTGGGTCCTCCGGGGATAAAGTATGGCCCCGAGGGTTCTCAGTTTTCGGGGAGAAAGAATCGGGAATAAATGGCACTGTCCCTAAAGAAAGTCAATTGTCTGATTATTGGGACATTTTCAAAGACCGAATTCTTTTTTTCATTCTGCATTGGCACCGCCGAGGTTTCTCGTGCACTAGCAGGTACCCTGTTGTCAGTATCGTTATCGGACAGGGTAAGCAAATATGCGCCTCGTACGGTTGAGCCAGGCGAGAAGTGGACCGCATGCCTACCAACCATACTCTTGTAGGTAAAAAGTGCCGGCGCTGTTCCACGATCTTTGCCATCTCTGGCTGTGCACGGCTAATTTTCGAGCTGTCTTGGTTGACAGGCGAATCGACCGTTGGCGTGGCCCGCGGTGGAGTCGAAGGATTCATGAAATCCACCACTAAGCAGGCCTAGACGATCACTATCCAAACCTGGGGCAGCACCGCACCCCACGCAAACTGCGTCTCCTGCATTAGCTGTGTGAGCTAGAGTATGAACGCTTGCGAGCGCGGTATGCATGGTAGCCGAGCCATAAGTACCAAACAGGGCTGCGGCTCTTGTTCCAATGGTTCCTTTCTTCCAACTCCTGTCGAACTCATCCTGGAGGCTGCGCTTAATGTTGTGTGCCAAGATGCTGAAGCTGGGAGCTTTCCTTGGGCTGGCCGTAATTCTCCCTTCAATTGCGGCGTCGGACAGCTCATCTTGCCGATGTTTTCCCGGTGATGATTGTTGGCCCTCGGTGTCGACCTGGAATTCCTTCAATCAGTCCGTTGATGGACGTCTGATCGCGACGGTGCCTCTCGCCACCCCTTGCCATGCGCCCGAGTACAACGAGAAGAAGTGCGAGACACTGAAGGAGGGCTGGTTGCTGCCAGAGGAACAGTAAGTGGTTTAGGGCACGTGCTACGTCTCCGCCGGGCAAGCAATGCTAATTAAGGACCAGCTACCAATCTTCCTCCTCGTTTATGGCCCCGTTCTTTACCAACGGGACTTGCGATCCCTACCACCCCGTCTCCAAGCCCTGCACGCTTGGAAACTTCGTCCGCTATGCCGTGAATGTCTCGGAACCTGCTCACGTCGCCAAGACATTGAAGTTCGCCAACAAGCATAATATCCGATTCATCATCCGCAACACTGGTCATGAGTAATTTCACTCTCCACCACGGAGAAACACAAGCAACTGACAACATTCAGCTACAACGGAAAGTCTACCGGCGCGGGTGCCCTCTCAGTCTGGACACACAATCTGAAGAGCATCCAGTTCAAGGATTGGAAGGACGAACACTACACCGGCAAAGTCGCCAAGCTCGGCGCTGGTGTTCAGGGAATTGAGGCATACGAGGCCGCTCACAAGCGTGGTCTACGCATGGTTGGTGGTGAGTGCCCGACTGTTGGTCTGGCCGGTGGATACAGCCAGGGAGGTGGTCACTCTTCCCTGTCTTCAAAGTATGGACTAGGCGCGGACCAAGTCCTCGAGTGGGAGGTGATCGATGGAACTGGCAGATTCCTCGTCGCCAACCGTACCCAGAACACCGACCTCTACTGGGCTCTGACTGGTGGTGGCGGTGGCACCTATGGTGTCGTCTGGTCGATGACCTCCAAGGCTCACCCCGACAGCATCGTGTCTGGCGCGAACCTCACCTTCACTACCTCTGGCATCTCGGAAGACACCTTCTTCAAAGCTATTGAGATGTACAACACCCACCTTCCTTCGATTGTCGATGAGGGTGTGATGAGCTTGAACTTCCTGACCAACAACTCCTTCTCGATCGCCCCTGCAACCGCTCCAGGCGTCCCACTGAAGAAGCTCGAAAAGATCCTGAAGCCTGTTCTGGACGGCCTTGACAACCTGGGCATCAAGTACCAATACCACGGCGAAGAGTTCAAGTCTTATCTTGATCAATTCAACGCCCAGACTCCCCTCGTCGAGATCGGAGTCGCCCAGTACGGCAGCTGGCTTCTTCCCCGGGCCATCGTTGAGAAGGGCAGTACTCGCCACGAACTGACCAACTCTGTCCGTACCGTCCTTGCCAAGCACGCCACATTCACCACTGTCGGCGTACGCGTGACCGAAGACGTTACTGGCGACGTATACAACTCCGTCAACCCGGCCTGGCGCAGCGCTATTGCCCACGTGCTCATGTCAACCCCCTGGGAATTCAACGAGCCCAAGAAGATGCAGAAGAGCCGAGACTTGATGACCAACATCCTAGTTCCTGCACTGAGCAACCTTGCACCGGACTCTGGTGCTTATCTGAATGAGGTACGTCATTTTGAAACATCTGATTACTCTTTCGACTTGTACTGACAAATTTATCCTAGGCCGACTGGCAGCAGCCGGATTTCAAGAAGGCTTTCTATGGCAAAAACTACAACAAGCTTCGCGCCATCAAGGCCAAGTACGATCCTCACTCGCTCTTCTATGGCTTGACTGCTGTCGGCTCCGATGAGTGGATGGTCTCTGACAGTGGCCGTATGTGCCGCGTGGGTACCACCTACGACAAGAATGAGCTGTAAGAAGCAGAAGGCCCCAAAGGCCTGAAGACTTGTTTAGGGCCTGTTAGGAGGCCTGTTGAATAGTGATGAGGATGTTGTTAATATACTTTTTATAATTATTTAGAGAAATTTTAGAACAATTGAAGAAATCATCCAATTCACAGTGTACAGTGTAACATCAATTTTCATCCAAAGGATGCGGTTAAACAGAGTCCTGGGCACAATGCGGGTCAGTTACCCCATAGTGGATCATATGCGATGATCCATGATAATTGTGGGCCCAAACGGTCACATTAAACGCATTGACAGCTTTGTATTTCATAGCCATCTCGTTGTACCAGTGTGAGATCAGGCTTGAATTTGGCTGAAGAGAGTATACAATTTTCGGGAAAAGAACTGAAACCACTCTATGTCATGCAATCTCTTGAATGTGTGGTCGAGGACTTATTAGGTCGCTAGGATTGATAGAATTATCAGATGCTATTGATTAGAACTTCCAATATGCTGTTACATATTCACTAAGGTTGTGCTATAGGAAGTAAAGGTCGCTCAGAGACACTCGATCTCGATCGGGCATCGTTGTTGGCACCCATGCGGTCGTCATTATCATCGTCGTCAATGGGGACACTTGACTTTCTTTCATCATCCTCATGCTCAGAACCAAGATCGAAATCCTCCGCCTTCAATTCCTCGTAGCCACGGCATCGCTGCCAGACCCAGATAATGCACGTGACCAGTCCAACAGTAGAGAACACTGCCAAAGCAGTTCCTAGCAGAATCAATTTCGTGTCAAAAGACTCCCCAGACTCTGTCTTCGTCTCTGCTTTCTCAGTTGGTTTCGCGAAGGGAAGCGTGGCGTTGGCCTCATACGTGTCCATGGCAACAACGAGGTCGGCTGTATCCAAGTCCACGACCTCGCTCGATCGCAGTATATTCCCGTTGACATCCAATGCCTCAGCCCACACATACTGCCACACGGTGTCCCCAACAACCAATTTTGTCTCGAAGCCTGTTCGCGAAGACTTAGCAAGGACATTGCCATGGCCCTGTCGTGAAGGAGTCGCAGCACCACGGACAACCCAGTTCGTAACTTCCGTCGCACCATTCCAGCTAACGTAAAAGACCAACTCGCCCTGCGGATTCTTCCGCGACGCAATAGCAGGATCCCACCAGGGCGTAGCAGTCCAATCCATCTTGTATGCGCGGTAATTGTCGAGTGCATCAGGAATATCGTCACTATGCCACGGCGAGAACTGCACATTCATGACTGTTTCGCCCAGAGAATTATGCTCTGTGAATGTCGGACATCGGCCCCAGCCTATGAATACATTTCCGAGATCCGTGCTGGAGGGCGAGAGGGGCTGAACACTGCCCTGACTTTGAGCCTGAAGTTGTGATGGATGACGGAATTCGCGTAGGAGTTGAACCGTGGGTGGTGAGACGGTATCGTTGATGGCGATGTGTAAGCCACGCGAGCATTCTGTATCACAATCGCCGTGGTTCGTGACTTTTCCGTGGTTGTCAAAGAATGTCATTTCTGTTTCATTTGTGCCCGGGACAAAACGGGCGTGGTGTTGCCAGCTCATTGAGAGGACGGGTTGGCAATTTTCAGAGTCAATTGAAGGGGGCAGCTCGACAAAATCATTGCGCTCACCACCCATTGTCCAGATGATCTGGCCTGTTTGGCCATCGATAAGCAAGATGGAATGCGTGTGACGAATTGAGATGAGATAGTTGCCCGCTTGAGTCTGATGTAAAGCTGGTTAGACTTTTTTTCGTGTCATGCCCGCTCATAGAATAGGGCCATACCTTCTCAATGGAGTTAATGTGATAGGCATCCCAGCCAGTAGCGCCTGGCTCAAATGAATCCATGGGATTGATATGGTCAATTGCGCGCCAGTTGAAAATCACCTCATTGGTCTCAAGGTCAATTTCCTGAAATATCGCGTCCAACATATCCAAATTGTAGGGCAAGTTCCACTGCGGAAACTCCGATTGAAGGATGCGGGTCGGGTTGACGCCCGTTACCAAGGCAGTCCCATTGCCAGTGAATGCAAATTCATGAAGATCACTGTGGACCTGGATATTTTGAGCCCATACTTTATACGCAAGGCGGTATGTATCGTCAAATGCGAGCCCATAGCCATCGCCAACACCGTAGCCTTTCTCACCCTCCCAAAATGTGAGGTACTTTTTGCCAAAGTTTTCTTGGACGCGGGTGCCGAACACGTTCTTGAAGGTCCGGTTCATATACACTGCGCTCAGATCGTGTGCGTCAATGACCAAGGGCGTTGCGAGCGGCGAGGTGTCGTTGCCATCGTGTCGGATGAAAATGTGTGATCCTTTTTCGGAGATCTCGTCACTGTTCCAAACAGTTGCTTGGAAAATTGGCGAGAATTCGGTGCTTGAGTGGTATTCAAGATGTGGTCGGTGCCCAAGCACGCCATCATTATACTCATCGTAGTTCGTCGAGACAAAATCCCCGCTCGCTGCTCGGGCAAGCACGACAACCCCCGCCCAGATGAGAGGAGATACCATCCTGGAGTCGGACCCACTAATCAAAGGCCGCTGCGACGCGAGATTTGATGAATGGCAGTTCGTGGCGTGCACACCATATCTATCAAGCAACCCGAGTTGGTGTCCGGACGACTGAGCTTCTCAAGAGCGCCCGATTCACAGAGTTTGGGAGGATTGTTCGACTCGAAAGGCGAAAGCCCGATACGCGCTCACCAGCTTGCGTATGCTGGGCCAGGGGTCGTTCTCTTTAGCCCAAGTCCCACACATGGCTAAGCAATCAGTGCGCGGGATTGTGGGACGGAGATCTACAGCTTGCCCAATAACACGAGGAGAACATCTTGACATTGCCAGGAAACAATCTGTCGAAGAGCTCGATGCCGGATATTTGCAATTTCCTGTCAAGATGAATTTGGCAGACATTTAGGTCTGAAACATAGCCCTGGATAATCCCAGCTTCATCTGTCAAATGAGTATTTGTCCGAACACGGCAGTCGTCATCGTCGCCAGACTTTGCCGCCGGTGGAGCTCGAGGGCTCCATGGGATTCGTACTCGTTCCAACCGTAATGAATATCCCGCTTGGCACTAGGCCGTGTTGGAGCTAGTCGCTTGGCGGCGTTGTCGGCCGCGTACGGGGGTGACTGTCCAACAGCGGAAACAAGGTCGACTCGGAGGAGCACAGAGCAGCGTAGTCACCGTCGATGAACTGAGGTACACCTCATGGTGACCTTCAGCGTTGTTGACACGGGGGAGCCAAGAGAGCCAAGCCCGGGCCACGTGAAGCTGAGGGGATTCGTACTCGTATGGAGGCTGTGCTCTTCCGCTTCCCCACTCTTTTTTCGTTGCCCGACGGAGGCAGGTAGGCCGGGGTCACGTGAGGCGCAGACAGCCTGACCAGCTCAGTTTTACACAAAAACAGATTTTACGGACTCTGAGTACAGAACTGATTTAACAAGCTTAGTGGCTTACTCGCTGTGAACTAAAGAGTAATTCCGAGGATTTATCGAATTGTTATTTGATATTTGCCGGATGACGAGACTACACGTTTTCCTACAGTATTTACGAAGTATCCTTTGGCTCTCAAAAGCTCGACTCAGTACCATCCAGATCTAAATCACCCGGAAAGATTTCAGTGCGTCGGAAAGGAAGTCCCTGGTGAGCGTCTCGAAGCCGCCACCCGAAAACAATCCGCCCCGCCTCGCAATAGATGTCCTCATTGGTTTCGAAGATTCCTCTGACCTCAGTCGAATAAACTAAAGGCCTGCCGTATCCCAAATATCTGGTGGTAATCGTCGCCCGGTCATCTTGAATGGCATATTGCATTTGTGCAAGACGTGCAGAGCTATTCAACCGTCTGTCTGCATCGGCGAAGAAGATATCTACCCAACATTTACTTTTCCGCCTGTAAGCAAGCGCCACTCTGATACACTAGGATTGACATCCTAGCACGCTATAGCTATCCTGCTAGCAAGATGATATATCGATCTGAATTTATGTAGGTGACAATCAAGTTGATTACGTGCTGCGAGGGAATCCAATAGTTCAGAAACATCGAGGACGCAGTGTGCTACCCACTGTATCGGAGTACGAGGTTTCCTTTAAATACTGAGAAGGGATATATCACATATCGCTTCTACTTATTACAGCTTTGATTATGTATTCACAACGAACTTCATTGTTAATCCCTTTAATTTGGTTCTTTCAGTTAGTAAATGCAATTAAATCTCAACTCCAGCTGGCCTTTGTTGTGTCGAGATCCAATCTCTTTATTTATCATAGATCTCAGTGAATAAGTTGTGTACAGATTCGTACCTGATTATTACATGCAGGAATTGTCTATCTAAGTCATCCCAAATCAGTCCTAACACTAGTGAAAGGGGGAACGATAATTTACTCATGAATCAAATTGCAGAATGATCACGAGAGGCAAGATCTGGCATAGTGAAATGGAGGCTATCCATTTTCTCCCTCCACCAACGTAGAAAGTCATCTTCCCCATCGTAAATTTTCCAATTTCGTTCTAGTTTTGGCCAGTGCTCCCTTCTGTTCTCAACTTTGGTAAAATACGTCCAAGGTTGCATTGCCGGATAAGAGGAAATCCAAATATATCCCCTGTTTCCATAACTATTCTTGGAGCCAGTCTATTACATCATCATCTCTCCAGTGTACCATACCGGGGTGAAGCATAATTGTTACCCAGACGTACGTGCCCAGGTTATGGTCAGCCATTGCTCATGATATCTGACAAAGACGACTGGGATGAAAGGGATAATTGAGCAGACTCGAGACAGGGAATAGTCTTTTTGAGCACATGCTGTATTGGCTGCTGGCCCTCGGTTCTTTGACTATCTTAGGCATTGTACATGATTACAAAGACTCTTTATGCGCATAATGATTTGTCTCGAGTCTAGCAGTATCAAAGAAAGAGGCTATTGTCATAGTTTCACCCCAATTCAGGCAATGAACTTCTCGATCTCGTCACAAACCGCATCAACCACGCCTTGGGTGTTTGCTGTCCCACCGAGGTCAGGCGTCAACACGCCAGCAGCACAGACTGTTTCAACGCAATGCATCAGCTTGGCCGCAGCATCCTTCTCCCCGATCCAAATGAGCATCTCGGCTGCCGACCAGAATGTCGCTACGGGATTTGCGACACCTTTTCCTGTAATATCGAAAGCACTACCATGGACAGGCTCGAAGATGGACGGGTTCTTCCGCGTCGGGTCCAGATTGCTCGAGGGGGCCACGCCGATAGACCCAGCCAAGCCCGCGGCCAAGTCTGACAGTATATCCATGTGCAAATTGGTGCCGACGATAGTATCGATTGATTGAGGCTTGGCGACCATTCGCACGGTCATTGCATCGACTAGCATCTTCTCCCACTTAACATCCGGGAAGTCCTTCGATACCTCCGCAGCAACTTTGTCCCATAGAACCATTCCATTGCGCATGGAGTTACTCTTAGTAACGACGATGAGATGCTTCTTAGGACGTGATTGCGCTGTCTCGAAGGCGAATCGCATGATACGTTTGATTCCGACACGAGTGAACATCGCCACCTCGGTCGCGGCCTCCCATTCCTGATCGATGTGCGAGCGACCACCTTGGCCGGAATACTCGCCCTCTGAGTTCTCACGCACGAGCATCCAATCGATGCCTTCGGTTGCGGTGTTCAGCGGACACTTTGTTCCAGGGAATGTCCTGACTGGACGGACGTTGGCGTAGAGCTGCAGGGGGGCCGCGGATGGCCAGGAGGAGGCCCCACAAAGAGATATGGTCTGGTACATCTAGAAACCAATCAGTAACATGCAAGCCTTCAGTCCTGGCCGTTTCATTCTCTTACCTGGCGCGCCTACTGCTCCGAACAAGCCAGCGTCGAACTTGCGCAGCGTTTCCAGGCAGTCGTCGGAGACATATTTTCCATGCTCTTTATAGTATTGAGTTCCCCAGGGAATATGGGTGAAGTCGATGTTAAAAGTCCCAAGTGTCTTGGCAAGCTTCTCAACAACTTGGATGGTGGCGCTGACCACCTCGGGGCCGATGCCATCACCGGGGATGGAGGCGATGCGGTAAGAGGGCGACATGGTAAGAAAATGAATGACAATACACCGAGAGAATAGCGAATGCGGTAGAGAACAACATGGCAGGCCAGTATTCGTTTATATAATGTCGATGTAGTAATTGCGGCGGCTTCCGCGGTGGGCAGGCTAATGGTTCCGCCGTCGGCAGAACTTTCAGGCGATGAAATCCTCCACCGATACCATCAACTCTTCCTTCAACTGCCAACTCCTCCACGGCATCAACAACTACCAAAATGGTCAGAGCCAAGGAAAAGAAGCCCGCTAGAATCACGATTGCATGCAATGCGTGCCGATCTAGGAAGCAGAAGGTAGCGACAGCCCCCGGATGAGAAATATCCTTCTTGCCACTGACGCCAATCGACGCTCTAGTGCAGCGGCGACAAGTAAGCCTACGAATGGGTCCTTGCGATTTCAAAAAGCCATAATGACTGACAGCACCGGGAAGACCAGTTTGTGTGCAGTGCTTGGACAATAATCGTCCATGTGACTGGCCAGAGCAGCTGCGCCGGTATGCAGACTCTGAATGAACCCTTAGCCTGATCGCCCGATCACTTATTCTTTCTTGTGATCTAGTGGGCCCGCAAAGGGTCATGTCGAAGCGCTTGAGCATCGACTCCAGTTGACAGAGGGCGTCCTTCTGCGAATGCTCTCTCAAGTCTCTGACATGCAGCTTTCAAGCATTTTCCCCAGAGATAATGCCAAGGGCCACGATAGCAGTCCTACTTACATTCCTCTTGCTAGAGTTGATCGGAAGGGAATCCAAGACTGGTCTCAGTTTCCTCTTGATAATGTGCAGAATATCCGGGACTGGCAGTATACGTGCATCGGCCAGGGCACGGGGAGTTCTGGCACTGGATCGATTAAGCCTAGTCCATCATCCGGCTCGGCTCACCAAGAAAGAGGATTGAAGCGAAAGTTTAGCGAGACAAGCGGTGCTCAGAGCCCTGCTTCATCGCAGAATGAGTCTTCTGTGGTACCCGGGGCTGTGATCTCGCCTCGCCATCATCATGACCAACCCGGCTACTCGCCAGTTGCCAGTCGTCTGCCCCTGGATCATTATTGGTTATCGCTCGAGTCTGTCACCAGTAAGCAGCAACTGGACTCGGGTATTCCGTTCTCGAAAGATGTCAGTTTCATTGGAGACGGCCCGATTTACCCTGAAGAGCTTCAACCGGTACAGACCAGTAGCAACTGGGAGGGAGCGCCTTCTGCCAACTTTCAGCAAAGGTTCCTATGGTGAAAGCAACTATTGAGCTACTCATATACCTCGCAACGGTATATATAACTACTCATCCTAGAAACCAGGCTGAGGTCTCATTGGAGTGTCGGGATTCCCCCGGCCCCGCATGCAGCCTTGTTGTCCGTGCAGCCGTCAATGTTTTGCTCGGTTTAGCTCGGTTCCCCTCTGCAAATCGTGGGCACACCTCTCTGACGTGCTCTAAATCAATGGTAAGTTCACTAAGCTCACCAAGTGGGCAGGCCCCACGGCGGGGGGTAGGTGGAAAATGGGGCCAACCCGCAATCGAAACCACCGAGGACCCCTCCCCTGGATGCGAAAATAGCATCCTGCAAGCAGTTCTTCCCCTGTGGTAATCACAAAGTTGTTATCAATCGGCTCGCTGCATATTATAATGTCGATCAAAAAGGTATGTATGATAGTCTTAGGCTCGTCATCTATGCCACTCTAACTGATCGTCGCCCAGGTTATTGTGGTCGGAGCCGGCCCTTCGGGCCTAATTCTTGGCCTGCTCCTCTCTAGACAAGGGATTGAAGTTGAGCTTCTGGATGCTGGCGCAGAATTGGACAAGCAGCCACGTGCAGCTCACTATGCGACCTCCGCGGCCTACGAATTGGCGCGAGCGGGAGTTCTCGACGATGTGAATGCGAGGGGTCTCCAGCCCAAAGCCTTTGCCTGGAGAAAGATAGATACATCATTCATTGCAGGGATTCACCATGACTCTTTGCCAGAGGATTACCCGCATAAGATGGTTGTCCTTCCCCTTGACCGACTGGGAAAGCTGCTGTACGAGCATATCCAGCGCCAGCCGACGGCACAGGTGAAATGGTCGCATCGTGTCGTAAAAATTGGGCAGGATCAGGGTAGGGCCTGGGTGGATGTTGAGACACCAGCGGGCATGCGCAGGTCAGAGGCAGACTATGTGGTTGGCTGTGATGGTGCAAGCAGTACCATTCGACGGGAACTGTTTGGTCCTGAGTACCCTGGCGAAACTCTTAACGCGCAGCTTATCGCGACGAATGTTTGTGGATCTCATCAATTGTTGCCCATTACCCAGCATTGACTATGCTGTTTAGGTGTATTATGACTTCGACCGTTTCGGCTACTGGGACGCCAACTTCATTGTCCACCCGCAGAACTATTACATGGCGGCAAAGATCACCACAGACGGAATGTGGCGAGTCTCATATGCCGATACACCAGGCTTGAGCAAAGAAGAGTACATTTCTCGACAGCCACAACGCTATGAAGAGATTCTGCCAGGCAACCCCAAGCCAGCTGACTACCAGATTACCAATATCAGCCCCTACAAGCTGCAGCAAAGATGCGCGCCCAGCTTTCGCGTGGGCAGAATCCTCCTCGCAGCAGATGCCGCGCATTTGTGTAACCCATTGTAAGTTCTACTTCTGTCCAAGCTCGAATCGGGCGTGACTCTGACCTGGTCTTTTAGTGGTGGTCTGGGTCTAACAGGCGGAATCGCCGACGTCGGAAACCTTTTCGATGCTTTGAATGGTATCCACAAGGGACTGACAGACGAAAAAATCTTGGATAAGTACAGTGAAGTTCGAAAGCGTATCTGGCAAGAAGTCATCGATCCCATGTCGCGTGAGAATCATCGACGACTGCACGACCAGGATCCCGACACAGCGCACAAGAACGATGAATTCTTCAAGATCTGTATTCAGGCAGAGACAGATGACAAGCTCTCGCAAGAGCTGGCCCTCGTGAGTGCTGCCAATTTCATGGTTGTTATTACGATCAGGCTAATGAATACAGGGATTGGATATCTTGAGGCATGACATGACTCAATATTATACGAAGGATAGCACTGGAGGTCCCAAGATGTCTCATCTCTGAATTTGTATTTGTGGCATAATCAGGATTTAGTTGAAATCGGAGATAGAACTGTATCGGTATTGAAATGGAAATATCATGGCGAGATATTGATCCTGATAATCAACGGAGTTTGAAAGAAGCTCTCAGCGTTTTCAGGATAGTCGTGTAGCCCTTTACAAGTTCCACAAAAAGGGACCCCTCATCAAATGGAAACAGATCACTCTGGAAGATTTCAAACTCGACAGCAAACGATGGGTCACGGAGCGGGCTCGGTACATCATCCAGAACAGGGGCCGGTGGGGGCTGCCCGTAGTCTGGTTGAAGAGGATCAAAGACGCGCTGTTCATATTCTAGCAAAGGAAGGCTCCATGAGATTGTAATGGATGGAATGTACCTTGTTAAAATTGCTGGGAAGGCGAAAATTATTCCAGTTAAGTAACTCATCTCTGTAATGAGCGAGGGCCCGTTGTGCCCCTTGTGACATGTCATGTCTTTTTGCTCGGTTGTACATGCCGAATCCAGGGAAACTGAAAGGAGAATGATGTCTTCTGACGTTGGTCCCCTTTTTTCTGATCCGACGCTTCAATATGTCGAGTGTGTAATCGACAAGCTCCGTCAGACCAGCTCTGCTAAAAGAGTGACCTGATGCTTTTGGGGTAGTGTGAACTGTTGTAGGTCGCGACAGAGGTGACTCGGACATGAGCTTGAGATGCTCACATATGCCGAGTGCAGCTGAGATCATATCTTGACTGAAAATCTCGTGGTATGTATTCCAAGCGGCGTCATAGCCGAAAATACGAATACCATAGAGCTGCGAGACAAAGTAGTTCTGGTAGAAGATAATCGAAGCCGAAATGTCCAGGCATGCTTTTGAAATATCAGTGAACGAGGGATGAGGGTGATGGATCTATGTAGGAGAGGTTGTAGAAGAGAAAGCAGAAGCCGGGGGAGGAACACGTCCACAATCACACTTCAACGCGAACCGGGCATTTACTTCGGTGACAGAGTCAGATGGTTTCGTAACAGGCGGAACCTGTTGGAAAACCCTCTTCAAGGACTCCCTTTTGTTTGATCCGCTCGTCTACGTTGCCCTGTGAGCTAGTACGCTGCGAAATGTCATAGCCCGAACGCGCTGGGAAAGCGATTTGGCAAGGCAAATCTGGTAAAGTGAGTCGGTCTCGTCGTCAAGTGGCTTTCCAGATGGCAGTCCCATCATGTCTTCATCAAAGGCAGAATCGTCAAGGTGGCCGGGATTAGAGGCTCAAAGTTGAGCTCCGGGGTCATCATCGGCATGCCGGAGGAGATGGACATTTGAGGGTCCAACTCCACAATGTAATCCACAATCGCCTTCGACACTCTGCTTGGGAAGGAGATAATGTATTCAAATGGTTTTGCGCTGCGTAAACCACGTCTTGCGCATCGGGCAGAATGGGACCATGCTTTTCCCAGTAAACGAGATCGGTTGATGTTGCGAGGCAAAGACGTGCGGTTACTCCGTCGTAGCTTGTGTAGGTCATGTAGAAGACTCCGTCGACTCGAACAACTCGGGGGTCCTCGCAGCCACTTGGTGTTTCATACGGCTCTGTGGGGCTGAAGAACCGGACCGGACTCTCATAGCGTATGAAGTTCCCGCCGTTTGTCGACCACGCGAGACCAATCGATGACGTTTTGGACTTGTTCTGGGCGCGATAGAGCATCCATATCATATCGTCCACGACAATGGCGGTTGGGTTATAGAGGTAGGCAGATTCCCAGTCATGCTCCGGGTTTGGTGACAAGATTGGGTTACTTGGGTATTGCTTAAATCCTAGTATCGGGAAGTATGGTGCCTTGTAGTGAACGTCGCCATCGGCAGAGTCTCTCGTAATGTTTGGGACGGTCGACGAACTCCTGGCTGATGACGAACTGCCTGGCTTCCCTGCATTAACAATAACCAGGAAGAAGACAAAAAAGGACAAGGAATTTGCGAGTCAATGATTTCATTTTCAATAATTGATAGATTTGACTGAGCTGTATTGAATAATTTGTACAGGCAATTTGGTATACAAGAGAAACATGGTCATTTAAATTCATATTTTGGGAGCAACGTCATCGGTCCCACAAAAAAGCCTCTTCCGGCAGTTAGTTTGGCCTGACCTCCGGGGATTTTCTTTTTGTAACTCCGTCAGCACTAGATCAATGCACCTGACGACACCCCGACGGCCCATTCGTCTTAGGAATCAGCATTTGATTACAGCTTTAGGGTTAGTGCCCTATGGTTACGTTCAGCCCTTGGAAGGTGATACTCAGGCAAACGACACCTATAGACCCTTCAAATTTGAAATTAATATCACACCTCCCCAGGGTGGGGTGTACTTACAATAGAATCTCAACAATGAGACCATGCAAGTGAATTGGCTGCATCCAACGTTGATAGACGTCAAAAACCCACCAAATGCTCACCGATCTTAACAACGCGCATGTATTGCCGGCAAGGGGGAAATGGTTCAATATGGTGATCAACAACGTTCAACCCGATGGTGGCACCAAAGTTGCTCACTCCATGCATTTACCAGAGTTATGGAATGGGTCAATCAAGACAGACAATCCCCTGCGGCAGGATTCGGCCATGTTACACCCAGACACGAGTCACCTATTTCTTCAGAAACATACCAAGCTGAGGCCTAAACCTTTGGCCGCCCGGATTTGATAGACAGTGTAGTCCGGTGACCGTTGACGGACGAACAAGTTTGGACGGTTGTTCATACGAATCGAGATTTCAGTGATCGCATTGTTGCCTATGTTGACGTTGGTCGTTAGGCCCATGGTATCCCACGGTTGCATCTCGATCAATGCCACGGAGCTGAGGATTTCCGCGTCGATTGCCGTATGTTCGGAGGTAAGAAATTTCTTGTGACCGAGTTCTGCGACCTTCTGGCCTTCTGCGTACTCAACCAGGCACCGCAACTTGGGTCCGCTGGGTAGCGAGTAGGTCGAAGAGAGAATTCCCGGAGGCATCTTTAAAAGATCCTCTGAGGGACCATGTTCGAGAAGAGTTTCTCGCCATCGTCCCTTGCGATCTGGTGCGTTGGAGGTGGCGGTCATGGCACCGTACCAACAAAACACTTTCCTGCTTCTCGCATCGCCGTAGATCACACTGACTGATGAAGCTTGCGCGTGCAGCTCCGCATCCATTCTTAAATATCGAGTATCTCCTCGCGAGGGTTGTTCAGGCGTGGAATAATCCGGCGCAGTGGGGAAAAGGGCAGAAGATCGTGCGGGGGCTACCGACGGAGGACGATGGAATTCATTTCACTGCCGAGGTATCAGATGGTGTCATTTGGGGATGCAGTGATAATCGCCTTTGGTTCCAGAGATTGGTAGCTTCGCCCACTTTAAAGTTTGGGCCAGCTCTATCGATATAGGAGCCAACCATTGAGCGTGTTCTCCTTGGGGGGATTTGATACATGGGGGCCAATACCCCATGTTATCATTTCGTCGCAACCGGGAGAGTACAACGGGTAGACACATCCGTCGTGCAGGTGGACAGGTATGAGAGTGAAGCTGCCTCGCCGGCTTTCAACGTTATCCTTCACGGGTGCTTGCCTGAGGCCGCAGCATCACATGGCATGTCCCCTTCCTACATCGACAGCTGTCGGCTTACACCAGCCCCACATCCCAAGTACTCCGAGTCGGATGCCAATTTGAGCGGTGCTTAGAACGGGCATTGGCTTCGGCATAGATGCGGCCTCGAGCCTGGTCGGAGTCACATTTGATTCGTCTACCTTCGGCCATCATGGCAGCCCATGAAGTGGCTTCGCTGAATCCCTTCCTAGGGATTCTTCAAAGGCTCCGGGACAACTTCCTCCAGACCAAGATTACCTTTTAACAAGATTACCTTTTAACAAACTCCTAGTCAGAATCCTGCCCAAATCTACATTACACCCGTTTCAACACAGTCCCAAATACAAGTTCTTCTTGAGCAAATGGGCATCTATCCAGCTTTCATAAAGTCAGAGGATTGAAAAGAATGCCCACAACATATGAACCACCTCCCGTGAATGCTATCGAGCACTGATGCGCTCAGGCGGAACCGGATGTCTTGTTCACCTCATACCGAGGCCGACGCTTGCTTATCTTGTCTTGTTTATTTGAGGGTTTCTTTCGTACCCAGAGGGACATTTTTTTTGCAGTCTGCAACTTGCAGATTCTCGGCAAAATCTCGCGATGGTACTGTCTATCGTTTCAGCTAGAGCGATCGGCAAGCGAACGGTGTGATGTTTATCGGCGCCGAAAAAGCCTCTGGTTGGTGATGGGAATTATATTTGGACTTTGACCCACTTCGACTCAGGATTGAGGCATTTGGGGTCCTTCAAGTATTTCCGCGCGACAAGTTTCGAACGAAACATGATGCGAATTGGCACAAATTGCTCACCAAATGCTTGAAACTGGCCCAGTGTCAACTATCGGGCCCAATTGCAGCTCTGAGGACTGCAGACTAGCATTCATCGAATTTCGAGTCACCCCGATATTCTAAAATGATATCCTAGATTTTGAAACCCGGGGCAAAGCTACCCCTGCTTCTGATCTTTTAGGGGACCAATTTCGAGCGATTTCACGAGCAAGCCTGGAACAACCTCCATTTTTACGCCAAGAAGTCGACACAGCAAAATGTATTTAAAGGTGGGTGTTCGTTGTCTTCGAAATAACAACTCCAAACCAACTTCATCAACCATCCTACCAATCTTTTTCACATCCACCCAATCCAAACTTTTTCCCTCTTCAGAATGGTTGCCGCCAAGCTCCTCTTCGTCTCCCTTTTTGCCCTCGGCCAGGGCGTGATGGGTCTCGCTGCTGCTGGTGGCTCCTCGCGGCATTCTGTCCAGCATTGATAAAATCGACAACTCCTGCGTGACCCTCAACAAGACACTGTCCGACTTCTCCAGCGACGGTGATGTCATGGGTACCGCCCTGAAGCTCCAGAGACAAGCCGGAGGATCTCCTGGACGAGATCAAGGTCGGCAAGGAGACGGCCAGCAAGATTGACTCCCTCAACTCCTCCGACTCCGACAAGCTCGAGGAAGCCGTCAACTCTCTCTCCCAGATAGTCTTCTCCTCCCTGCTTGACGGATTTGTCGCCAAGAAGTCTGTCTTCCAAAAAGCTGTCCTAGGCCGCTCTGCCGACGGTCTCGTCGAGAAAGACCTCAGGGACCTCAAGGATGCCACCGATGGATTCGGAAATGCCATCATCAGTATCATCTCTAGCGACTTCAAGAAGGATGCTCCTCACATCGTGGAGGACCTCGACAACCACTTCGACCATGCGATCAAGGCTTTCTCGTCTTGAATCATGGTCATCGCTAGGCACGAGTTCTCGAATGGAAAGTGACACGTCGAATATGAGATCTTTTAGGGTAATCATAGATGTTTCCACTGGCTCTCCGAGGGTCAGATGACTGATCAAACTAATATATGAATGAAATGAATGGCGAAGAATGTGGCTGAGTACATTATCAGGGTATAATGTATATTTCAACAATATCTGGAATTCCTATGAAATATCATCTGAGCCTCTTCAAGTCAGTAATTATACCAATTGAAAACACACTGTGTAGGCCATCCCTGCCGTTTCTGGATATCATTGAACTGACGTACCATCGTGCCTGTCTTCCTTATTTTCCTTTTATCAAACCTTTTTCTATGCTCCAAAGAACTCAGTTATGTTCAGTGTTTTTGTGAAGACTTCGAGTGATCAGAACAAGTTGTTTGAAGATAATAAAGCAAAAGCTATTACTCAGCGCTATTGTTGTTTGTCCGATGTTGATATAAGGTTCACAGGTTCAAACAAAGACGGCCATTTGTTCGAAAGATTTGCAACCAAGCCTATTGTCATGATTATGTAACAAAAAGATTCGATCTTCTTCAGGAGACTGAACCTAGCTCTTCTGGTGTATTTAAGCAGCCAATATTCGAGTCTCACTAAATTTTTACTTCTCATAAAACATTGGAATTTATTATTCTTAACCGCTTCATCAATTTCCGAAATTTTGACACCAGTTTGTTCATTACTGACAAAATGCTACCCATTTATACCAACAATTCTACAGACTACTATATCCTAGAGTATAGTATGGCTCTCTGGTTAAACGTTCGATTTGTCCCCCGTGATAGCGACATGTCAGACAGAGAAATTCTTGAGAAAATACGCGATTGTCTTCAAACTCTCCAGTTTACGATCTCTCCTTACTCTAAAATGCTCCGCCAAGGATGCGTTTTCTCAGTTGAGATTGAAGGCCCCTTCCAAAGCACCAAGGACATTTATGAAGGGGCACGCGTAATTATTGATGGCTGGTTGCAGGCTGTAGATGAACAGGGACTCCCCTTCTCGCGCTGGGAAATTTTCAAATTCTGAGTCGTCCTAAAAGTGTACAAACAGGTAATCCATAAGCCGGCACTCAAGCTTTGTCCAGGAGGCTCTTCATAGGCCGTTTCATGGATGTGATTTTGTAGCTGAGGTCGGGGATTAGTAGAGAAACCTGTTCTCTTATGTTACTCATTTTAAGGACTTATGCTGCTTTGCCTATCAGTAATTGAATGATGGGTATGCTAAGAAATAGCCTAGAGATACTGGGAAACTGTCTGGAGATACTGTCTGGAAAAGATAGGATCCTGGTCTGAGGCATCAGAGCATACTAGTAGTAGTTCCGCAATCACGGGACCGCAACAGAGGCTTAACCAACCAGACCGCATAGGTGATGAGATTCCCGTCCAATATTATCGCAGGACGAGTTGGTCTCGAGCCGGTTTGCCACTCTGGAGTGCTTCTCGTCGCACCGCAATTATTTCCGAGCGCTTTCACATTGATGCCATGTTCTCTCATAGTGGTCAAAACCATCAATCTTTCTTTCTTTTCGTAGAATATATGACTTAAAAAGTTTCTCAATTTTTCAAGCGTTCGAATAATATTTAACCCTGCCCCTTTGTGGTTTAATTCACAAACTGAGTGAGCGTAACATTGTCGCATCGGGAAGCTCTCACAAGACTCATTGGGCTTTTGGACCAAGATCATCGTGGCTTAGATTGTTTTGATGATGGTTACTGTTGGTATCACCTGCTAGGTACTGTGTACACAGTTAAGTGGACAGTGTGTATGCTTCCAAAGCAAAAGTCAATTGATTCATGTAGATAGATGTTCCTTCTCAGTCATAGTTGGAAAACACCCCTAGATCCCACACTCCGGGCCTTCGGCGGTCACAACACCGGGGCCGCAGCCCAGCGCAAGAATGCGTATACCAAGCAAGGGATGTTATCCATCGGTCGCTAGCAGTGGGTCACCGCTAGTTTGTTCTGACAGGAGGATATATCCCGACAGTTACTGTACGCTGTCAGGAAATGTAGGGAACCTTGGAAGTCAATTTGAGAAAATTTTTATAATTCAAGACACCAAGCACCACCCTGCTGAAATTGGGAAGCGAGCTTTCGCCGCTATCACCTTCCGTAGTACCCGGATACCACCAACCCTCAGGAAGGTTGCCTCGACGGTGTTTTCGACAAAGAACATGGGTATCTTGCCGATAGGCATTCGTTCATCTTCCACCATACTTTCCAATTGATGGAGACAGCACAATTCTTTGCCTTCGGATGGGAACAAGAGATTTTGTTACCAAACAAGATGTTTTGGGCACAGTCTTGGACAAAGAGCATTGTTCCTACCCTAAACAAAGAGATCATTTCTGATATGCCACGATAAGTGACGATATTTCACACCACCTCTCGACTCCAACTATTTAGAGGTCTTCGGATACCCTCAGCATTGTGATCTCCACCAGCTCAACAATAACTAATAACTACCTGACAAACAGATAAGTCTCTTTGGAACTATCTTCGTTAACATCGAACAGAGTCGCTATTTATCGTTACTGGACATCGGCAAAATGTCTTCTCAAACTTGCCACGACCTGGTGGGTACGTTCTATTTTGAAGGATGCCGATGTTAATTCGGACCTTATTCAGCTACATTTGAAGATGTTGGTAGACATCGATAAATGAACACCCATCACCTTCTCCCGTATTCACACCGGAGAGAGACCACTAGTGCTCCCTGTCTTAATAATGGTTGAAGTGTACACCCTCGAATCGATCCTTGATGTGGCTCGAACAACTATTGAGATCCGATTTCAGAACCTGGAGGTTGATGGGCCGCAGTTCACTAAAGAGGAAATCTTTCCATGGCTCGCTTGAAGATCTACTTTAACTCTTTATCTGTATCATTCGTTTTTTACATTCTGTTTTAGCGCGTTGCATTTGCAATACTGGATGCTTGCTGAAGGCATTGGTCGGTACGAAACCGCAGCCCCACGACGCAAGATAAGGTATTGGCATCTGCATTATCATCAATAAGGTTCTGTCTTCGATTCGCAAATTGTATTTAATGAATAACTAGAGGCATAGGTTCGTAGAATTGAAATACTATAATCGCTGACAGTGAAACAGTTATTCAACCCGTATCAGATATGAAGATGATCCCTAAAAACTCGGGTACTGTTGCCCGATCATATCGAACAGGGAATCAAAATTAGCCCCTTGTAGCAAATCCACCATGTTTAAATCGAAACTCGAGCCCCCAGCCAGCTGACTAGAGTCCGTCTGCTGGAAATCGAGCGCCAAGGAGGAGGGAGCGCCTGCCGGCCCTAGGTCCATGCCAAGTCCGATCGACTGATAAGGTCTTTGAACAGTCTCATGGACAGTCCCTGTACCTAGAAAATTTGCATTCAAAGAAACGCCCGCCATTTCCGTATATGGACCCTCGGTTTGTGGTGCTCGCCTTTGTGTACTATTGGCTTCGAAGGGTGTTTTTTGCGAGTTCGTCCGTGATTCGGCCGAACGATTGTTCAGTTGTGCTCTTCTCTGTTCACGCTGTTCTGAAGGATTCAAGGGCTCTCCTTCTTCTCGTCGCATTATTGCGTAAGCATGAGCTTTCGCTGCTGCATCGGGCTCGTTCTCTGCTTCGCGGATCTTCGCAGCTAGCAACGAAAGTGCAATTTCACAGTGTCTAGCCGTTTCCCATTGGGTAGACATCTGATGCAGGAAGTTCGAGCAAGACTCGATCTCTCTGATACAAATTAGTTCTTTGACTCTGAGCTGATTGAACTGGGTTGATCGGTGACTTACTGTAAACCCTTCGCAACAACGTATTGGTTAAGCTGGCAAGCAAAAGCCAAGACTAATCCCGACATCCACGCTGCGGACAAGAAGCCAGGCCAAAATAGAGCCTGTCTGGTTTGGGCTTGGCTCCTCAGTGCAGCTAAAATACCCCTAGCGGCACCAATGCACGTCTGTAATCCCGAGCAAAAGTCTGCTGATGTAGGATCCAAGGACAACGATGGGCGGTGGATGATGAGAATAAGATGCTGGTATAGCACAGTAAAGAAGGGGCTGAAGTCGAATGCAGCTTCTGTGTCTCTAACTGCTTCTGGCATCTTTCCTTGCAACTCAAGTGGCAAACTATTCCACCATTTATGCACATCCGTCACCAGGAACAACACAGAGCTTCGGCGAACAGACCGAACAAGTATAGACTTGTGAAAAAGCTCCAGAGCCCGACCGGTGAGTGTTCCAGAGTAGACATAGCTTGCCAGTACGATTTCCTTCTTGTGATTCGCTGCCTCGTGGTCGGACCGCGATACGTCTTCCACTGACTGAGACGGTGAACGCGTACTGTTCCCTTCTTTGCCGCTTTCAGATACCTCTACCGGTGTCGAGCCCACACTCTGTGCATTTTTGTTGACGTTTGGGTTCATGCGGTGTCGTGGAGAGTGCAATTCTGGCGCAGCAGGCAAGCACACATCAATATCCGAATCCTGGATTCCCAAAGGCAGCCCCAATGCCTGGCTGAGGTAGCGATCAATCGCATACGCACACCAGAAGATTCGCTTCCTCAGCTGTCTGTCGTGGGATGAGAGCTGGGTGTACCGGAACGGACAGCGATGTAGTCCGGCATGGAGCACACAGCGCAAGACACAGCCGCCAAAGGTGGACGCCAGCCTGAGTGACATGGTAGCAACAAGGTATACCTGGACAGCTAGTAGTGCCTGCAAGGAAGCAATATCATGTCGAGTTGCAAGGACTGAGAGTAACGGCGCCATGTTGGCCGGTGGCTGGATCCGGGATTCTGCCGGAAGCTCCAGATCAGGGCGCAGGAGGCTTCCCAGATTGAAAATACATTGTAGAATCACTGTCCAGCAGAGGCTCCGATGACCTGATTCAACAGTGTCTTGGATCAATTGATCTGATGCGTCACTGGAGTATAGCCTTTCCATGGCCTGCAGGAAGGTGGGACCATGTAGGAATGGAAAGAGGGGATGCCAGACTTTGAAGTACATCATCATGAGTTCCCTTGCCAGCTCCAAGGGCGGTGCTTGACCCAAGGAGGAGACAATGGCCGGATCGCGTCTCCATTGTAGCGGGGAATGCCTCGCCTCCACCGAGGGAATGGGGTCTTCTCGAGAAGATGACGTGCGACGTCGCTTGCGCTGGGGTGAGTCTTCGGCACCCATCAGGGTGTCTTCTGCCAGAGGAAACTCTGCCTCTGAAGACCCTTTAGCATCCTGGCCATTTGAAAAGGCCCTTTTGACGGTATTAATGAAGTAGACGCCGCTGGAGGAGCCAACGAACTGACTGTCCTCGTTGGAGTTGGCCGTCAAGGACCCAATCTCGGAGGTTTCGGGCACATAATCTGGCGGCTCCATAGCGAGCTGGGCATATCGCCCCGATTTCCGTAACTGCTTGAAGATCTCAAGTCCTTTATCTTGCCCGTGGGCTCAAGGCTCAAGAGGCGTGAACGTGAAGCATCCCGTCTCTTGTGGTCATGGATCATGGACCTGCTTAGTCATGCAAACCCGATAACGTAACACCCGTAAGCGAGTGGATCGATCGTGTAAGCCAGCGGATCACCTACCCAATTACCCTACCACGAAAATATATATCAAATAACCACCAACCAATATATTCAATTAACACTGTTCACACACTAATTAGGGCACCTATTCTCTTATTCCCTATATTCCAACAATTTGAACACCTCGGCGGCGCTCTCTGATTGGCCGAATTCGCTACCGCAGCCGCCGCCGTATAGTCTATGATCTCTGCTTCAACACCATTTGTCTCCTTCTCAATACGCTCCTGAGCCTCACCAACAGTCATCCCACCATTATTAGCTATTCGCCGATTTGGTAATGCCATTTTTCGCTTTTGATGGGCATTTTCAGCGCATAACCGCTCATTCACATTGCTTACTAGAGCAACCTGATGAATTGCTTGTTCAGCGCCCTTGATTAGCTGCAGTAACGCAATTTTAGCAGGAATTGGGGGCGTATATGAGCGTTGCCGTAGTAGTGCTTTGATTGAAGAAGCCTGCCGTCGGATATCAACTGGATGAATTGGCGTGTGAGGTATGAAATCGCGGCTACTATCACTACCACGGCTGGTTGGAGGGGTAGGTGTTCGAAGCTGAATATCAAGAATATTAAGCACTCGCTGTGGCTCATATGGTATAAGGCCTGCAGCGGCGAAGCTATTTGATATCGTAGCTGGTTTATATGCCTCTGTACGCGTCTGAGGATATGAGGCCAGAAAATCAAGCTTATCAATATGATTAACACCATTTCGCATCTTAGCCTGAACGTGTTGTCCGTATAGCCGTTTTAAAACAGCAAAACAGCCAATATCAAGAGGTTGAAGTAAATGAGAAGAGTGCGGAGGCATACAGATTGGAATAATCTGGTTTTGCTGGCAAATATCGTCGAATTGAGGTGTAACATGGCTTCCGTGGCCATCCATCACTAATAGCCGCCATACCCCATGTCGACAGTTGGTAGTATGCGGAATAAAGTGTTTTTCAAGCCAAGCAAGACTAATTTGATCCGTAGTCCAGCCATTTGCACTAACTTCAAAGCGCCAGTCTCTTGGCGTAGTAGTAAACCACGCTGAGTTGAAGTTTTTGCCTTTAAAGATAATAGTCGGCGGGAGAACATTAGATCGGTTAATACACTCGATCGCTGTAACCCACTCTCGATTACCTGGCTGTATAAGCTTCCTTTTGCCATAGTATTCAGCACGTGTGACTACACGTGAAGTGCTTGCTAGGCCCATTGCGAAGCCAGCTTCGTCAAAATTCCAGATATCATTCTCATGAATACCATATTGAATAATGACCTGTCGGAATCGATCAAACCACTCTTGTATAATCTTCGGATCCTCACATAACGCGCGTTTGTAGTCATATCGACGTGAAAAACGTGTTTTGAGCTCAGGGCAGCGTTGGATATAGTTATTTACCCATTTACTACCAACCGACTGAGGCGTGCGTTCTCCACGTTTTAAGAGCAGTATATTGGCCATTTCTCGCACCATATCTTGCCTAGGCGCAATACCACGTGAATCCAGCGAAATTATCCATTTTTGAAGCGATTACTCTTCCAATTGGGTTAATTTGTGGTTGTTGGCGTGTGTGGTAGAGCGAAACGCGCCTCCGTTCATACGGCGTTGTAGTGTGGTATATGGAACGTCGAATTGCTTCGCTGCTTCGCGAATAGAAGTAATTTCGTTATTTTTGAGAGCTTGTATAGCAAGTAGGATTCGGCCTTCCTGCTCAGACGAATTTTGTTGAGATTGAGTGCGAATTGGTGGCATGGTACGTGGTTGAATAGGACGTGTTGCAGAACGCGGTCGGAAATTGGGCGGGTGATCCACTCGCTTACGGGTTACGTTATGGGGAGCTTCGCTTTACAACTCTCGGTTTTATGCATGGTGAGTTACAAAACAGAGGGAGATTGCAAATTAAGTGGGCATTCGACGTTCCTGTTTTTCTTCAAAGGCTGCGCTCTCGACCTGGGCACAGTGAGAAGGACGAAGAACGCCCATTCGTGGGGAAAACATGTCTCTATGTTACAAGGTGAGAGAAGACTGAAAAATTCTGAAGAAAAAAGATAAACGTGAACCACAAATTCGGTGGACAGGAAGCGAAAGACGTCACAACTCCCTCCCAGTAGACAATAAGAAAAAGGATAGAAAAAAAAAGAAAGTAGATCCTAAGAAACCCACGTCCAGCGCCCAAAAGAAAACTTTTACCGACCCCGAGTTACGGTGTAGTGTCCCGTGAAGCTTGTCCTCGAGATATCCAAGGCAGGAAGAAAGATAGGTTCCAAACTGGGTGTACGATAGAAGGAGGCAAAGATGATGAAATCGAAGTCGTGCCGCGTTCACTAAACCACCCAAAGGTGACTGCCTAAGACAAGAAACTTTTCAAACCGAGGGATATCGAGATCGGAGGGAAAAAGGAGCAGAGCGAGAAAGGTTTAACAGTAGAAAGGAAATGAAATAAGGAAAGGTCATCAAAACGTGCGTTCAGAAGGTTCCGAATGAGGCAGGCGTAGACCATGAAGTCCAGCACATCCTCCGAGTCGCCTGATTGAGACACGTCGTTTAAGACTTGTTCTCCTCCGAGGAAGCCTCCTTGGGCTTGGCCTCAGCAGCCTCACCCTCGGTACCCTTGTTCTTCATGTACTCGTCATAAACGCTCAGAGCCTCGTCAACCTTGGCGCGGAGAGCCTCGTCATCATCAAGCCTAGTGAGATTCATTAGCAACCAACCCATTGTCGAATTTTGAGCCGGAGAGAGGATGTGAAACTTACAGGCCAAGCAGCTCAGTGTTGTCCATCTCCAAAAGCATACCAGTAATCTTCCCAGCCAGCTCGGGCTGCTGAGCCTGGATCTTAGGGTAGAGAGCTTCACCGAGCATCTGCTTCTGCTGGGGAGCGGGAGCGGCGGCGATGCCACCAGCAACACCCTCAGCGGTCTGAGTAGCGGGGGCGGGCTGGCCGCGGCCCTGACCACGACCCATACCCTGGGGACCACCACGGCCGTAGCCGGGGCCGCCACGCATGCCCTGGCCCATAGGCATACCAGGAACCTGACCACGGCCACCAGAGCCACGGCCGAACTGAGCCTGCATAGGGTAGCCCATGCCGTTAGGCATGCCACCGGGAACCTGCATACCCATGGGCATGCCCTGGAAGTTGGGGGGAATCTGCTGGTTGGGGCCCATGCCACGACCGCCCTGCTGAGGGAAGCCGCCGGGGTACTGACCGGGACGTCCACCCGGGATGCCAGCCATGACCATGCCGGGCTGGGGAGGGAAGGGCATGCCACCACGCTGGGCGCCGGGGATGAAGCCCTGCTGACCGGGGCCGTAGAAGACGGCGGGCTGCATGTAAGGCTGGGGCATACCGGCAGCGGCGGCGGCCTGCTGCTGGCGAATGGTGTTGCGGGCCTGGATGCTGGCCTCGAGCTGGCTGCGGCGAACATCCTTGCGCTGGGCAAGAGCAACGTAGAGAGGCTTGCCGTTGACCATACGCTGATTCATCTCGGTCACAGCCTTGGAGGCCTCATCGGGGCTGCTGAAGCAGACGAAGCCGAAGCCCTTGCTCTTTCCAAGAAGCTTCTTCTCGGACTTCTCGCCTTCCTTCTCCTCACCCTCTTCGCCCTCCTCCTTCTTCTCTTCGGTCTTCTCCTCATCCTTCTTCTCACTCTTCTCCTCGTCCTTCTTCTCCTCGGTCTTCTCCTCAGACTTCTCGCCCTCCTTCTCCTCGGCCTCGGGAGTAGGGGTACGGTCGGTCACGGAGTCGCGCATAACTTTGGCGGAGGTGATGGTGCCGTAGGGGTTGAAGAGCTCACGGAGCTTCTCGTCATCAACATCGTCAGTCAGGTTCTTGACGTACAGGTTGACACCCTGGTACTTGGAGGCCTTCTCAAGGCGGGCGGCCTCGTACTGCTTGCGCAGCTCCTCCTCACGCTCGTGCTTCTTCTGGGCACGGCCAACATAGAGCTTCTGGCTCTTGATCTCCTTCTCGTTCATCTCGTCAACGGCGGCCTGCGCGCTCTCGTGGGTGGAATAGTTGACGAAACCGAAGCCACGGCTCTTGCCCTCCTGGTCGTGGCTGAGGGTAGCGGAGGTGATCTCACCGAACTTCTCGAACATGGTGCGGAACTCCTCGTCGGGGATCTCAGTGTCGAGGTTCTTGACGTAGATGTTGGTGAAGTTGGCCTTCATCTCCTCGAACTTGCTCTGGCGGTCCTTCTTGGAGATGTGGTGGCCAACGAAAACCTTCTTGTCGTTCAGAAGCATGCCGTTAACGTGCTTGATGGCGTTGTTGGCAGCCTCGGCGGTCTCGTAGTGGACGAAGCCGTAGCCCTTGGAGTTGGCGAACTCATCCTGAGCGACCTTGCAGCTCAGAATGTTACCGAACGCAGCGAAGGTGTCGTGGAGGGCCTTGTTGTCGATGGCGCTGTCCAGGTTCTTGATGAAAACGTTACCCTGGCCAGTCTTGCGCAGGGCGGGATCACGCTGGGACCACATGATACGGCAGGGCTTGCCCTTGATGAGGGTGTAGTTCAGGTCCTCCAGAGCCCGCTCGCCATCAGCCGTGTTGTTGTAGTTAACGTAGGCGTAGCCGAGGGAGCGGCGGGTGACGGCGTCACGGCAGACACGGATGGAGGCGACCTGGCCGATGGAGGAGAAGAGCTCGTAGAGCATGGCCTCGGTGACGGAGGGGTCAAGCTCGCCGACGTAGAGAGAAGCCGAGTGAGGCTGGTTGTTGGCGGCACCAGAGCCCTCGGTGCTGGTCTCGGGGGCGGCGGCAGCAGCCGGGGCACCGTTGGCCTCGGGGGAGCCGTTGACATTGTTGTCAGTGGCGGTGGGGGTGGTCGCAGCTTCAGCGGACATTTTGGCGGGATGTAGTTTTCTTTTTTACTTCAGCGGTGTTAGCGTAATTTTTTTTTTTTTTTTTTCGCCGAGTTCAGAGTTGTGGGGAAGTGTAGAAGAAAGGCTTCCAGCGAAGGTTACACTGCATCCAAATGCAGCCTCTTTGGTGAGGTCGCTGGAGCCTTCTTCAAAGGCCGCGAGGAGTGAAAACGTGTCAAAGGGGAGAGGGCATAACACAGGTGACCACGCAAAAAAGGGCTTTGGAGGGGGATTGAACCGATTCAGATTCGACGCGGAGATCCAGTGAAGGAGGAAATCCGGAATGTAAAGAGCCAGAGCAAGGCGAATGCAACTTCGGGAGGAGTGGGATGGGAAGTTCGAGGGACGCGACTAACCTTGAAAGTGAGGCGGTTGAAGGGAAATCTTCCGCACACCGCACAATGGGGAGGGGATGGAGATAAGATAACCGAAGGTTTTTTCTGGGGGTTTTTCAGATTTTTTTGAGGATTTTTTGTTGGCTTTCGATTTGGTCGAAAGGAAAAAGAGTTCTCTAAGAAAGAGAGAGAGGTGGGTGGTTTCAAGGGAAGAAAAAAAAGTTGGCCCGCGAAGGGCGTTCTGGAAAACTCAGCGGAAAGTGAGAGGGGCCGCTAGTCCCGATCGGGAGGCGGTGCGCGCCGCTTTAAGGGCTTACTGGAGGGGTTCACGTGGGCCTCAGGCTCACGCAGGCATCTAGTACTGCTTGCAATGGCACTCTCAAGTGTGCGACCCTAGGCAGATGGGTGCTGTCAGCGACTCAATATTATTATTGCATTGAATTCCACTCGTCTTGACTATAACAATCATCATCGCCACGTCGGGTCGCCAACCACACCGGCTTTCTTCCCACACGGTCTCGGCAGATGCAAGGCACCAATGAACAGCCCGGTATTTGCTCGACGCCAACGCTATGCATAGACGATGGGTCCCTGTGGACGTAGTTACAAAATAAAGTAGAGCACAAGAGATTAAAGTAGCAATGTTAAGATGTGAATGCTGCCACCCCCAAATTCCTCTCGCTCAGCTCAGGTCGAACCCTGCTCCCGAGCTCACCGCATACAACAGCTTGCTGCGTAGCCCAGCGGCTGTCGAGTAACGAGGTAACTTCAACAGATTGACGCAAGTGCTGGTACTTGGCAGTCGCTCCTCGTCATCGCTAGAGTCACGGATGCTGAACCGGGGATTCAGATGGCTGAACCCAAGCAGTGGAGCACGAGGAGTCGAAGTCACGAATCGCAACACCTTCTGCCGCTCTTCGTTGCTCATTTCGTGCAGCACCTGCCAGAACAACTTGATTGTCGGATGCTCCTCGTTATCGTCCCCGATTGTGTACACGCCGCCATATAGCGTGTTGCGCCGCAGGTCCTCCACATCAATATCTCCAGTCTCGCCACTCACAAGGGTCTGCAACTCCGTCTGGTTGAACATGGACAGCCAGGCAGGCTGAATGATTTGCCCAAGCCCTTGCAGAAAAGCGTTGGTCTGCATAGAGGGCTGAACCTGGAGACGGTATCGAGCAATATAGGATATGTATACCAGTCGGTTCTGGTTCGTCACCGGCGTCTTTGAGCCATTGTATCGCAATTCCTTTGTCACGGTTCGATTTGTCGAGTCGGGCATCGGGATGGTATCAGTAACGGTGAAGTCCAGCGCGAAGTCCTCCACGTCTCCGGAATAGTTCTTCAGTTGGAGCTAGAAACAAGATGTGTTAGGCCCTTTGTTATTCACAACGAGAAAATTTCAACTTACGAGTCCTTGGTATAATCCCTGGTCAAGGTCCTTCAAATCGTTCAGATTGGCCCGGTAGGATGATTCCCTCATCGCCGACCCCGTACCTCCAGTCAGGGCCCACTTCAACAGGAAGAACGGCGCGAAGTGAACATCGATGAGGATGCCTTCGTAGAGACACTTCCCGATCACCCGACCAAGGAACTCATACCGGCGGAGTAGTTCGCGGACGTGCCCTGCGCTCTCCGCACTCGACTCGCTGATGCCAGTTCTCCGGCATTTTTCGTAGTACTGCTCAGTGCATTGTGCAACAGCGGTTGGATTCGGGTACAGCAAGTGCTGATCGTTCTCAGAGAACATGTTGAAGTTACTCTCGGTCTTGAAGGCTTCGGATGTAATACTGGTCAGAAATTCCTTGGTCACACCTCCACCATCAATACCAGCCTCCATTGCTCCAAAACGATCAATGAAGCTGATTTGAATGGGCTCTTTGAGGCCATCGCCGAGCGGGTAGAACTGGGCCAGTGCATCGTCAAACATATGCTCTCTCCGGATTTCGGCTTGATGGCGGGCTAAAACATCCTGGAAAGAAGGATTGCCGTTCACCATCTGCCCCATAGCAGCCTGTACAACCGATGCACGCCATGCGTCAGGGTCAACAAATCCATGACGTCGCCGGTGCTGGTCATGATAAATGAAGCGGCGGAAGATTTGAACACGGGTGGCAAACGGGATGAAGAAGGGCATATTTCGGAGGATTTCAAGCCGTGGTGCAATAGCTGCGAGAACTCTTCCTCGAGCAACTCGCTGCTGATGGCGACGCAGGGACTCCAGTCGGATAGTTTGCTGAGCATGACCGGCACCGGCCAGGCCGTAAGGGGTGTTCGATTCATCATCCATTAGGTCGGCTTCTTCTGGATCCTCCATTCGTGCTTGGACTTCGTGTCTCCTTTCTTCTTCAAGAACAACAGCGGGGATAAAGCCCTCCATGTCAAACTGACTCGTCATAAGCCAGTGGTCTGGAGGAAGGAACTTTCGGCGCGAACTAAATTAGTTTTGAAGAGTTAACATCTGCCGGCTTAGTATTACATTTCGGGATGTGCAAACATACTCTCGTTCATGCAGCATGCGGAGCAAACCAGTAACAAGTCCCTTGAAGTACTCCAACGGGATTCCGGTCACCCCAGGAAGATAGTTATTCTGCCCTTTTGCTTCCAAGTCCGCAGCACTCGGAACGGGTGCAGAAGATCCGGATGACTGCGAGGCGCTGTTGAAATAGCTGCTTAGGTTAACAGCTGTTGGACGAAGCTCGGGTTCGTTCAGATCCACAGCGTTCCAGTAAAGGGTAAAGGCAAGATTCTTCAGAAAGATCGTCATGTCCTTAATATCGGTCAATGGTAGGGCGCTTTCTCTCGTCCATGAAATCTTCGTACTTTCGGCTGGCGGGAAAGCGGAGATACTCGAGAAGAATTCATCGTCATCCATGACCTTCAACACAAATGTGAAGAGTTCAAGAAAGAGCAAGATCGTGGTCCATTCCTGGTCGCGTTGATCCTGAGGCATGTTGATCGGCTCTTTCGCTTGTTCGGGCAGCTGGAGCAACGGTAGAACCTTCGTCGAATCACCGCTGATTGTCTGAAAGATCCGGCTAGACCGAGATGCCTGCCAGAAATATTTGATCGCTGGGATTTTGGCATCTAATTGGCCCGGCACCTGCTCTCCGGACGGTGCTGAGCCCAGGTATAGCCACATTCGAATATCGTCACCTCGTCGTGGAAAGATTCTGAGCAGATTCAATGCATATGTAGCAAGAATGCGAGCTTTCTTCGACTCGTCCGAGTGGCTTGTCAGGCCTGTTTGAAGATGGCGGGGGCTTCGGATCCGGGAGAGGAGACCAGTCACACTACCTTGGTTGACAAGACCAGTGACTTGGTCTTTGATGAATGGGTGCAACGGGCGGACCCCTTTTGGCAGGTCGACCTCGCTTGGATCTTCCACCTCCAACCCCTGCATCAAATGCGTGGCCGTCAGAGTCAATAGCTCCGACACGACAGTCACAAACTCCAGTTCCGGGACGTGGGAGTTCGCGTGCGTTCCAAGCGCATGACGTTGAAAGAAGATCAGGTAAGAAAGCAACCAGGTACGAGCTTGGGTATCATCCAGTGGGCGGCCTTTCTGGGTAGCCTCCGATAGACAGCCAGACACGGCCAGGGCCAGCATCCTGTAGTTAATCTGAGTAGCCAGGCCATCCAGCTTTCCGAGGTAGTTTTCAAGATTGGGAATTGTAAGATATGATGTCGCGAGTGATTCATACGCTGACATTGTCTCTGAGGTGATCGGACGTAGGAGAGCGAGAACAGCTTCCTGGAGGAGATCAGGGTCGAGTCCCTCCTCTCGCTTGTCAGACTCCGGTTCCTGTCTTTGGAGCTGAAGCTTGGAAAAGTTCTTCGTCAGGAAGGCCATCGCATTGTAATAGACGTCTGCCACGTTTGCCATTTGTTTGGGGATCAAGCCTGCAAGGAACATGACCGATCGGAGAAGAGGCTCCAACGCGGTGGAAGGAACATGCGACTTCGATGCCGAGCTCAGCACCCTTAGCACCGCCATCGCCAGGCGCTTGAGTAGCTTGGTCCATTCTCCTTCCGCAGCGATCGTAGGGAGGGTCCTGAAGGTCTGCTCGAACGCATCTACAAAATAGACCAGACGAAGAATGTCATCTCGCTTTCGAGAAGACACAAATTGGACCAACAGCCGGAGCTGAGACAAACACTGGTCCCCCGTAGCATAAGGCATCGAGCGGCGAGACGAGAAAGCATTATCATCGGCCGATGCTTCGACGCCCGCCATCAAATCCATAGCGTCTGTCATCTCCCGCTCGTTTTTATCCCATTCCAATCTCCACAAAGCATATGTGTGCGTCCTGCTGCGGTGACCCCGCCAGGATCGCTGTATCACGCGGGACGCATTCTGTTTCTCCCTATCCCGCTGACGCTGCAGGCGCTCCTGCTGTGCAATGGCGACCGCACTTTGAGGGTTTGAGGCATGAGGGGTCGGTCGGGCTGGCGAGCTGCCGGGGAATGCAGCAAAGGGATTGTTGGTGCGGCCGCTGAGGTTCACCTGCCTCGGGCGACGAGAGTTGCCGGTGAATGACTGGAACATGGTGAAGCGCCCCTCTGCCCTGGGGCCGGGGCTGAGGATTCAGAGATCAGATCTATGCACAGGATGGTCGCTTTGAATGCAAAAAATGAAAGAGGCGCAAGCCCATATCGCAGTGCTGGGCGCGGAAGCGAGCGTTGAAGAACTATGACATATCCAGCTTTGGAGAGTGCCTCCGATACGCGCATGGCGGCGCCCTTATCGGGCTCGGCACGGTCGCCCACTTGTGCACACGCACTACCTGCGTGGGGGAGTATTACGAGTCGGCCGTGGGGCAGTCGACCCGCTAAAGGTATGCTAGTGCCACGCTATTGCCACTTTCTCAATAGAAGGCCCGGCGTCCTTCAAACTAGCTGGTCTGACTACTCGTACTAGTATGTAGTCTTGATGGGTAGCCAAGGGGCCAAATATAGAAACTTCAAGGATAGAAAGCAATTTGTTTTCTCATTCCCATAGATTGTCGATTACTGCGAACAAATTTCTATCAGAGCGAGCAGAACAGGCCCTTGCTCTATTCCAGCTCTTCGTTCTTAGGGCCCAGTTCCCGGATGAGGATGTCCAGAATGTCTGCATAACAAAGCCAATGGGTATAGGCCGGGGCCATTGTTCAATCAAGTATGCTGTACATATAATACATAAGGGTATGCGATCGGCCAGCGAAGCGTTAGGAAGGTATAGCGAGTTGACGGGTGACGGTTAGAGGAGGTAGGCAAACGCATCGCTGAAGATCTAGTAAGCAGTCAGTAACATGAGCAGGCGCATGCATATGCCACGGAAGTATTGCAGGACTTGATAAACTCACATCCGATGTAAATGGTTGGATCCATCAAGCCAAAGACCCGTGGCTCAACAGAGCGTAGTTTACCGCTTTCTCTTGTACTCGTCGACCTCGCGCTGCATTATTTCCTCGCCGTTACGCTCACCCCAAATGTTCAGGAAATCCTGGCCCTTCATGCTATCGACGACGGTGACGGTGCGCCCGTTTCGCTCAATGTCCTTGGTGTACTTGGTCGGCTTGGGGTCAGCGACCTTGGTGACGAAGGGTGTGAGCTGCCACTCAGGTTAGCAAGGCTTGCACTTCTCAATTGTATCTGTATCCTCCAATGTGACCAACCTTGAAGTCTTCGAGATCATCTGGGGCGCAGTAGGTGCGGACTTTGTGCCAGTCGATCACGTAGTTGCCCTTCTTGTCGAAGTTACCCATCGACCCGGTCCGGTTACCCTTGTAGAATCCGCCATTGACCTGCTTGGTGGTGAAGCGCAGGCGAGCCATCATCGGGTTCGAGGGCTTAAACATGGTGGGCGAGGAGAAGACACTGGGGGGAAGAAGAGGATGTTCGCGGTGCCTGCGAAGAAGTGGGCGAAAGTTCGGGTGGTCGGACCGCGCTACTCGCCGCGCCGAGAACTTTTTTTCCTGGAGCAAAAAAAGTTGAACGATCTGCCAAACCCCTCCACACCGCAACAACCGGATCGCTTTGATACCGTTGTGGTCGGGACTGATTTTTTATACTGTGAATTTTCGGTCTTCTTTCTTTTCGTCCATATTGCTGCCATGCCGCGCAAGCAAACCCAGCAGCGCGCGCCGAAAGACCGCTTTGCGCAGCAGAAACCAGCGCAAAGGCGCAAGATCGGTCGAGCTCAGGACGCTCTTTCCATTGCTGAGGTAGAGACCAAGTCAAGACTTGGTGTTCGCCGCAGTCGTCTCGGTGTTTCAGAGGACAAGAATGAGCGCAAAAGGCACTCTGCCCGCGACGAGGACGAGGACGACGATGACGACGACGAGGACGGCCCGACCCATAAACGCCGCAGAACCGGAATCGACAATGATAGTGCCGACGGTGGCAGCGACAGTGAAGGCCACGAGTGGACTCTCGGACAAGTCAACAGCGACGACGACAGCGAACTAGACAGTGACGAAGCTTTGGGGTCGAGCGACGAAGAAAGATTTGAAGGATTCACCTTCCGCGGGAGCTCTGCGAACAAAACCAAAGCCAAGCCGAAAAAGCCTCAGCCTAAGAAGCGTGCCGAGATCAGCCTGGATGAAGACATGGATGAATCTGAGGATAATGAATCTGACGCTGAGGAAGACGACGACGATTTGGGTGAAGATGCTGTGGACCTTCTTACTGCTTGGGACATGAACACCGCTGAAGAAGAAGCGGAGTCGAAGAAAGCAGCTGTCAAAGCCAAGAAGGCAGCAGGCGGGGACGAGAGCGATGAAGATTCAGGCTCCGAAGGAGACAGTGAAGACGACCCCAGCGATGAGGATTCTGACCTGTCTCTCTCTGATAACGAGGACGATGCCGACGCTCAGAAGCAGGGTCTTTCCAAGCTACAAGATTTCGTCCAGTCGATGGAGGCAGGCAAGCACACGAAATCTAAGCAAAAAACATACGAGCAGACCAACCCTACAGAGTACGGATTGACCTCTTCTCGCAAATTGACTGTTGCGGACCTCCTTCCTTCAATTACGGATTCTCGCCTCAAGGGCTCTCTTAAGCATGTCGATGCGGCACCTCAAGCCTCCAAGTCGGGTATTCCGGGCAAGCTGGATGCCCCATTGGCCAAGCGTCAACAGGACAAGCTCGACCGCTCTGCTGCTTACGATAAGAGCAAAGAAACTCTCAACCGATGGCTGGATACCGTCAAAGCAAATCGCCGAGCCGAGCATCTCGTCTTCCCTCTGCCGAACCCGGACGGTGAACAAGTCCACAGTATGAACGTCGCTAAGCCTAGCAACGACCTTGAAAACACCATCCAGAACATCTTGGTGGAAAGTGGGTTGGCCGAGGCCAATGGCAAGTCTGCAGAAGATCAGGTTCAGGACATCGAGGGACTGCAGTCGCGTGCATTGCCCATCGAAGAGATCAGAGCTCGCCAGGCCGAGTTGCGGAAGCGCCGTGACCTGATGTTCCGCGAGGAAGTCCGCGCCAAGCGGGTCAAGAAGATCAAGAGTAAGGCCTACCGCCGTGTCCATCGCAAGGAGCGAGAAAAGCTTGAGCAACAGGAGCGTCAGGCTCTTCTGGAGGCTGGCGTGGATATGGATGAGGCCGAGCGAGAGCAGAACGAACGCAAGAGAGCCGAGGCTCGTATGGGATCAAAGCACCGCGAGAGCAAGTGGGCCAAGAGCTTGAAGCAAACCGGACGCACTGCCTGGGACGAGGATGCTCGCAACAGTGCTGCTGATCTCGCAATGAGAGAAGAAGAGTTGCGGAAACGTATTGAAGGAAAGAGCGTGGCTCGTGGAGATGATGACTACTTGGACTCCTCGAGCTCGGAATCCGATGATGAGGATCCCTGGGCTGAAGATGCAGAGGAGACACGGAAGCGCAAGATCCAGGAGAAGCTGGCCGCCTTGGAGGGAGATGGCAACGAGGAGGAATATACGGGTCCTCATTCGAAGCTTCTTGCTATGAAGTTCATGAAAAATGCCGATGCCGCCCACAAAGAGGCAAACGACGCAGAAATCCGGAAACTTAACCGCGAGCTTCATGGTGAAGAGTCACAGTCTGAGGCAGAGTCAGAAGCTGGTCGTCGGAAATTCGGGCAATCAGCCAAACGTGATCCCAAGACGACGAAGGCTTTGCCAAAGAATGAGTTTGAGGAAGCTGCCGACTCCGATGACGAGGAGCGTCAGGTAGTTGATTCAGACCAGGATATCGACATTGTTACCGACCGTCCAACAAAACAAAAGACTGCCGGTGCTTCCAGCGCAAAACCTACTGCTGGTTTGTCCAAGAAGGTGTCTGCTCCGCAGAAAGCTGCGCCAGCGGAGAATGAAAACCCATGGCTTGTACAAACCGAGCGCACCAACCGTAAAAGGAGCGAAGCGGACTCTCAGGAGGCACTCGATATCTCTGTCGACGCCCAACAACCTCAGGCCGCCCAGGCGACAGATTATTCCAAGAAGAGCATGACCGGTAAACTCTCCAAGCAACACCGCCAGGAAAAAGATGACAGTGACGATGAGGAGAACGTGCCTGTCCTGCTGAAGAACCACGACCTCGTGAAGCGGGCCTTCGCTGGTGACGAAGTTGTGCAAGACTTCGAGCAAGAGAAGATGGACACTGTTGAAGATGAGGGTGACAAGGTTGTCGACAACACACTTGATGGATGGGGCAGCTGGACAGGTGACGGCATCAGTAACAGGCAGAAGAAGAAGCAAAAGCGCTTCCTGACCACTGTGCAAGGTGTCAAGCCCGAGAAGCGCAAGGACACCAAGCTCGACCGTGTCATTATCAACGAGAAGCGAGTCAAGAAGGTAAGCTACAATTTTTCTGTGGCATATGACTGGACTACGACTAACTCTCATCTCCCAGAATGTCAAGTACATGGCCACCCAACTGCCTCACCAGTTCGAGAACAAGACTCAGTACGAGCGTTCTTTGCGCATGCCGCTCGGTCCGGAGTGGTCGACCAAGGAGACCCATCAGGACAGCACCAAGCCTCGTGTCCTGGTCAAGCAGGGAATCATCAAGCCCATGGAGAAGCCCATGATTTGAGCTGTCACGACATGGATGACATTTTGAAACCCTGTATATTCATGCATTCATAATGTTGGAGCTCCCAGCATAGTCTGGAGTAAAAAGAATACCATTGTTTAGAATTGCGACTGGCTCTCATAATGTTTTTTGCCCAGTTGCGCCGTCATCTGCATCCTCGCTCGTTTAGTATTTCCTAGTAATGAACGCCTCCGTAGAGCATACTTCAACGTCTCCTTCCCAATCCCCGACCCTCTCCATGCTTTCTCCCACCTGGCCACTGACAGTTCTCTCGCATGGTTTGCAAAGTCGTCATCAGTCAGCAGTTTTTTCTCATGGCGATGCACGCCATCCAAAAAGGCCAGCCTCGACCGAGCACTGGAATGCCACTATGACGGCGGCGGGTGGTGAGTGAACCAGCCGCTGATCAGGGTCATGCCTGCCGAACTGATCCATGGTTTGTGCGGTGATAAACAGACACCGAGTCATACCGATGCGACTAGTTTGAACGGTCTCTATGGTAATGAGGATGATTCCTCAGGCTCAGCAGAGGAGACGGCAACGGGGGAATTGATGCTCCACTTTGTACCCGCGCGCCAACGTAGCTGCCTGCGTCAACCTTCAGGAACATGCTTGTTCCTACAACACCATTGAATTCGTCAATCTGATCCTGCTCAACTCCTTCGTTGAGTATTTGTCCTCGCCCTTTGTAGGACAGCATTGTCGACACTCGTCGTGTTTACATCCCCGCCTCACATTCTTGTAGTGGGGACAACCTCACCCACTCAGGAACTTCATTGTTGTCCTCGTCGCCCTACATTGCTGAGCCGGACACGCGCTGTGCTCCCCATGGGATCTCGGTTTTCCCGTAAGTTTTGGACGATTGCCTGCGCGACGGATCTCGCATGAAGATCGACGGTCTCGGATTCTTTCTGCAGGCCGTACACAACAATCCGTCCCGCGTCTGCCTCTGGAGGGGGCGCCCTGAGTCCGAGGAGGATTCTGAGTGCTGGCTGGAATCCACAGTACATACCTAGGTACTTGTAAGTCTAATGTCCCTCTCGTCGGTTCCTTTCTCTCTTCTCGTGTTGGATTCGACTCGCCCCCGACAACTGAAGCTGTTCTGTGCTGCTGGTCCATGCTTGTACATGAGACACCTTAAGGCATAGAATTGTGCTTTCAGTATTCCGTGTATCCCTGCAATTGACCACTTTGCTTGTTTTTTGGTCTTGCAATTGGAAGATGGGGTCATCATGGAAGGCGACAGCCATGCTAACATGGCTTCTTGCTGCAGAATCAGTGAACTGTCTGCCGCAGTCAATTGGCACCGCTGCGGAGAAGATCTTGGAGCAGACTGCTACCGAAACTAGTACGGCTTTCAAGACTCAGTATCCGCCGTCGAACGCCGAAGAGCGACTACTTGTGCCCGAAGCCTCGCCAGTATGTTGTAGACAATGAGCAATATGCTCTACTGCGTGGTAAACCAAGTGTTAACTTCTGCAACACAGATCTATCGAGTTGTGCTTGATAACGAGGGTCACCCGCCACAGCTTCCTTTCCCAACTGTCGACGTTGATCGAGTTCTCAATAGCATCCAGGGCTTGTTATCCGACGACGACAGCTCGTCTGCTGCTCCCGCTGCGCCAGCTACTTCCGACGTCCCTGCCGCAACTTCAAGTGCTACCTCGCCAAACACGACATCCGCTGAGAGTCAGTACCGATTGCAGTCGCACATCTTTTTCAGCTCAACTTGATTCTAATCGGCATCCAGACGTTCCCTCCGGTCCGTCCACTGGTACCCCAGGCGGCCACGATCACCCTTCCACCATGAACAACCAGGATATCTTCCAGCCTATTGCGACCAATGCGCCTCCTGCAAACATCAAACCTCGTCACGATCACCCTGTGAAGAACATTCATGTAGGTGACGACCCTATCCCAATTACCAACGTCTTAATTTAACAGTCCCGATTCAGGCCAATACTTCTGACCCAATTGAAACCAACAAGTTTTACGCTGGTCTGTTCCTTGGCTCTCAAACAAATGCCAGTTTCACACAGCCCTATTCTCTGGCTTGGTCCAGGGGAGGCGGTACTCTCAAGAGCTGGGGCGTGGGTGTCTCACATCTGGAGGCTAACGTGCTTGCGTATGGTCCTAAGAACCACAAGCTCCCCGGCGACCCTGTTGAGTACTACATCAACCCAGTCGGCCTGCAGCATATTGTCCTTTCAGCCACCGAGCTGGATGAGTCGAGTGTCCTCAGCACCGAGGACCCCAAGGCGTTCTCCGCCCACGCTGTCCTGAAGCGTTCTGGCGGTTCCGCTCAAAGCATCACATTCCCTATTGTGCAGGGCATGGGCTATGTGACCGGTATCTACAATGACTTGCAGCCCCTCATCGAGAGTGGAGTCTTCTTTCGAGAGGTTGTCAGTGCTGGTTCTCCCAAGCCGGGTATCTTCAAATACCAAGTCGCCCTAGAGGATGAGACTCACTGGGTCCTCTATGCCTCTCCCAACGATGGCAAGGATCCCCACCTGAAACTTGCTTCCAAGTCCAGCCTTAGGGGTCCTCACGGTTTCTCTGGTACCATTCAGATCGCTAAGAACCCTGCCGGCAAGTCTGGTGAGAAATTCTATGACAACTCTGCTGGTGTCTACCCCGTTGCTGGCCACATCACTGGTGCTGTCAATGGCGATGTTGGTACATACAGCCTGTCCTGGACCAAGGACGGCAAGCATGCCCAAGGAACCCCTCTGATCATGTTCGCCTTGCCGCACCACTTCCAGTCGTTCGACAGCAACACCGCTGGCCGGATCACCAGCGTCCACCTCCGCAGCACTACCAAGGGTAACGCGACCGCTGTCATTGGTGACAGCTGGACTATGGTCGAGCACGGTCTCCCCGTGGATATGGGCTTTGCCCCTTGGTCGGCTGCCAAGGGCAACATCCACTCCTTGTCTACTCAAGCCAAGCAGGCTGTCGTTCAGATTGCGCCCTACGAGCTGCAGCAAGACATTATGGCCCAGAGTGATTTGAACAGCATGTACTACAGCGGCAAAGCCCTCAGCAAGTTCGCGACTCTCATCTACGCGGTCAGTCAGCTTGGTGGAAACCCCGATGTGGCCGCCTCTGCCTTCCAGGACTTGAAGAAGGCCTTCGCTCGTTTCGTGAACAACCACCAGCAGTACCCCTTGGCCTATGACTCTGTCTGGAAGGGTGTTGTTTCGACTGCAGGCTACTCCGGTGATCTGAACCAGGACTTCGGTAACACTGCCTACAACGACCACCACTTCCACTATGGCTACTTCATCCAGGCTGCGGCGATCATCGGATCCCTTGACCCGGAGTGGCTAACCGAGAACAAGGACTGGGTCAACATGCTGGTCCGTGATGCCGGCAACTCTGTGGAGAACGACCCGCACTTCCCCTTCTCTCGTGCCTTTGACTGGTTCAACGGCCACTCGTGGGCCAAGGGTCTTTTCGAGTCATTCGACGGCAAGGACGAGGAATCCACCTCGGAAGACACCATGTTCGCCTACGCCGTGAAGATGTGGGGTCAGACTATTGGCGATGCAAGCATGGAGGCTCGTGGAAACATGATGCTAGGCATCATGCGCCGCACGCTCGACAGCTACTTCTTGATGCGAAGCAATAACACCAACCAGCCACCAAACTTCATTGGCAACAAGGTCACCGGTATTGTAAGTATTTCTGATCTCTGTTCACCCATACCTGACACTGATTTCAATCGACAGCTCTTCGAGAACAAGGTCGACCACACCACCTACTTCGGTAACAATCTGGAGTATATCCAGGGAATCCACATGCTTCCCCTCCTCCCGAACTCTGCCTATACTCGTTCTCAGCAGTTCGTCGCCGAGGAATGGCAGGCCATGTTCGCGCCCAACGCCTCTACCCCAGCCCACAAGGTCGATGGTGGCTGGAAGGGCGTTCTCTTCGCCAACCTCGCCCTCATCAACCCAAAGGAGTCCTGGAAGTTCTTCGCACAGCACCACTTCGATTATAGTTGGATTGACGGCGGTGCCACTCGTACTTGGTACCTTGCCTACGCTGCAGCCCTCGGTGGACTGTAGGCTTCAATCGTTTACGATTTTGGTTCCTGGCGTCCCGGAGTCGACATTTTTCTTCTACTTACTTGCATGGATATTCGAAGTAGCTATTTCTCGTGGTGATGGGTGTATATTAGATTGTTGTGCCACTTATGATTGGGAGAATTGAGAATCGATTTGCTACTTCATGTTGGTCTTTGTATGCCATAATGGTATGATTTATGGATTTTGTGGTATCTCTCTTAGCCAATTCAAATCAAATCCTGTGAAAACTTATTGTCTCTAGCTCTTCAACGAATCAAATCCTCATTTTAAGTGTTCTGTGTTACTATACCTTCTTGTTCCCACGGCGCCGTCCGGTCACGTGACGCGCCGGGTCCGACTGGAAGTGTCTAGTCGTCCAGGAATGGACTAGCGCCAAGTGACTGAGTTCTATTCAACGCTACTTGATTGTTCCTCCTGTGTATCAATCTTCCGCTTCAATGTATCAATTTTCTTGCCTCCACACCATAACGCCATACAATGTAGTAGCAATGCGAAATTGCGAAAATATTTTATCATGTTTAGATTACCCGCTTGGTTTTCATGTATTGGAGGCTATGTCGGATCACTACTTAGACCCATCGTGTGGTTGATATATATCCACCCAAAATCAACAACACCTGTGAACTCAACACCACATTCGCATGACATCACATGTGCCCCAGTGTGCATACCAAAGATTAATGCCGATATAAGCTACGCATCTCATCATTTCGATTTGAGAATTTCATGGAGCTGAGCTATCAAGTACAAGATCCGGGACAGAAATACTGTTGCTAAGAGCAGAGCTTACATTACACTAATAGATCTGATATTATCTGACAGTGAGATATTCCATCCGAAGGCATTTATTTTCATTTATCATCACATCATAGTCATAGCATCGAAACCAAACCATGCAAATCAGTAATGTGCAACGCACAGTTCAACCCCTCGGCAAATCAATATCCACAATCCAAGGCGCATTGATAGGCTGATAAGCAATATCCACAATACTCGCATTGACGAAAAGCGTCTCATCCCCAAACTTCAGCGGCCGGTTACTCCCAGAGCTGACATCGTAATATGCGCCCCGGTTTTCCAGCATCTCCTCGGGGTCCGTAGGGACTTTCTCCTGCTTGATGCCTCGGTCGGCGTACATATTATACGTGCCCCGCACAGCTCCCCACCCTTCATGGATGTGCCCAAAGACATAGAGACGGGGTCTTGCGCGCTCCGACGCGCGTAGGAGATGTTCGCAGCCCACACGCCGGTCCCCGTCGCGTCCGACCCAGTCTAGGATCCCTGCCGGCGGGCCGTGGGTGAGCATTATATCGATAATTGGGTGGTTGGGGACCGGGTTTTGTGGCATGGGGGCTTTGGAGCCTGGGAGTGGGGGGATTGAAGCGGTCTTGGTTGCGGGGATAGGCGAAGGCCCAGCCGAAGAATTCGGGTTGGTAGGGGGAGGCGTAGACGGTGAATTTGGCGCCGGTCGACAGAGTGAAAGTGTGGATTCCTTCATCGAGATAGCGGATTCCGGCCGCGTAGGCCGATTCGTTCGTGTATAGGTCTATTATGTCGCGGACGTATGTCTGCATCTCGCTGGTTGGCGGCGTGGTGCCGTCGCGGATTGCGGCGAGGCGGCTTGCTTCGTCTTTCTTGAGAGGGATATCTTTTGAACCGAAGTATTCCGTTTTCCGGTGTCGTTTGTACCCGGCGCGGAGGAAGTGTTCTTCGTCGAGGGTGATATCGTGGTTGCCTGCGATGACGAGTTTCAACTCGGCGTCGGCGGCTTTGAGCATTGAGACGGTTTCTTCGTGCTCGGTGCGGTAACCGACCTTTGTGAGATCGCCAGCATGGAGGAGGACGTCGGCTTTTGGGAGGGGGTTGCGATAGACGTGGTTCTTGGAAAGCGGAGGGTATGGGCTGGTGGTGTGGGTGTCTGAGATCATGCAGATTCGCGTTTTGATCCCCGCGGCGGAGGCCATTGTGAGTGCGGGGTTGAAGGGAGGATGAAGGTGAGAAGAGACGAGGAGGATGAAGGGTAGAAGACGGAGACGAGCTGCGGACGTTTAGAAAAGATCGCGGGGAGGGAGAACCGACGTTAAATCAGCCCAACTTTGACCTGGATTTCCATGGAACCCACCCCGCAGATACAACATCGACTCTTACAGGTTTGATTTGATACATCAAATATGCTAAGTATTGTACTGAGCTGTACATTAGAATAGACAATCAATACGTCCACTACCACCGGACTCTACACTTCAATCTCTACGGTGCATGGATCACAAGTAACGTAAACAGGAAAAAAGATTCCCATAAAATTGACGGCTCAGAGCTCTACAGACATTGCATCCGTGGATGCCCAGATCATGACGGTTTTCTGGTAAACATAGCTGAAACTCCGATAACCACCCGTGCAACGACAACCCAGGCGGTCCATTAACCACATGGCTTTCCCTTTTTGTTTTTCGTTTACTTGCGGATCGCGCGCTGGTAGAAAGCCAGCTCCTCACCCTCCAGAATGTAGCCGTCGACACGGCCGGACTGGCCGGGGCGCGAGGCAACAACGGCGTACAGACGACCGGACTCGAACTGGCGCTCGATGGCACCCTCAACCTTGCCCTGGTCGGCGTAGCGAGCGGCCTGCTTCTTGGTGACAGACTTGCTCTTCTTCTCTTCGGTGGTCTCACCCTTGGCCTGGCGACGGCGGCCAATGCTCTGGCCGTAGTGGGCCTCGTACCATTGACGGAAGGGAGCAGCGTCAATCTGGACGACAGCGGACTTGGTCAGGGTGTTTGTGCGGACCAGCTCGTTGTTGGAGGGGTGGAAGGAGACACCGATGACACGGGTCTTGCGGGAGACACCCTCAGAGCCCCACGAGAAGTTACCGGACTCGAGACGGAGAGCACGGAACTTGCGGTTGCCACCACGGGTGCGGACCAGATGGATGCGCTTGGTGCCAATACGGGTGTTGGCGGGCTGGCGGCCCTTCTCGAAGGCTCTGTTGAACGGACAAGTCAGCACTTGGTCCAGAAGATCACGTAAAGTTCTCGCATCCAGCAATCACTATCCCTTCGAATCGGTCCACAACAATATCCGAAAGTCCTTCCCCACGCAGATTGCTTCCCCCCTCTCAAAACAGAAAATTCAAATGGATGGTGCCGTACCTCTTCTTGCGGTAGAAAGCGCGCTTGGCACCGGTGGCGCTGCGCTTGTGGCGAGAATCGCGAGAGATACCCATGTTTGCGGTTGATGGAGGGGTCTATTCAACAAGACAAGAAAGTTAGAACTCGCTCGGGTTGGTGCGATCTGAACCCTGCAATTCCGAGCACTTCTGTTTCGTCCGGAAGCGATGTGATCGTGCGGATGTCGAATTAGGTATTGCTCTTTGCAAAGGGTTTTGGCGATGTGTGGTGGGTTGTCGAAAGTCGAGGCAAGGCGGAACGTTCAATGTCGGATTTCGATGTGCTCGATGGAATTTTTTTCTCACGCAGCGATTGTCGACTCGGACGAAGCAGAAGGAAGGAAACTGGAATTCAGAGGTAATTGAGAATCACTCACCCCTAGCTCTGCAGCCCTTCACCAAAAAACACAGAAAGTTGTCGATGGGTTGTCGTTGGGAGATGCCGTCGTGGAGTCCGTCGAATTTCGCAGGACGCACTGTGTCGCTCGCTTGTGCGGTTGCCCTAACCGGCACTAGTCTGTATCGGGCTAGCGCTGTCCATGTGCGGTCCCGTGATCAGCCATTTGCTGACTCAGTGAGATATCTTGGCAATGCCAAGCCCTGGGAGCAACGCATGAGACTGGATGCCTTTCGTCGGATACTTCTTCATGACTGAGGTATTTCACGGATGCATTTGCATGGATTCGTCTAGCCTAGCCCGAAACGTTTGGTCTATGTACTTTTATTACCGAATGATTCTCATATTCCCCCATCTTTCCAGACAGATCGTTTCCAAGATGATCAACGCCATTAATTAGAGCCGACTCGACTCATTGGACTCCGCTTACTGACTCTTCCCACCCTTCTCCCGCTGCTCTTTTACGATCTTGCCAATCCGCTGAAACGTACCAAATCCTTCGATGAAACACGAACCGACCCAAGCGAACCACAGTCCCGAGAACAAAGGCACACCCAGCGGCTTCAACCGTGTGACAGCCAACAAGACCGACTCGAAGATATGGATGGCCACCACGCCAGGGAACAACCAAGGCTGAATGTTGTAAACGAAGTGGGCGAAATCAGGCAAGAACTTGTAACCGAGGTTCTCGTAGATGAATGAGCCCGGCAAGAGGTTCTCGCGGCGGAAACAGCTGGCGTAGGTGAAAAGACACAGCGCGAAGATGATGGCGTGGTGGCCACGTGGGGCACGGTACTCGGTCAGTGTCATGTCCGAGCGGCCGAGCTTCTGCAGGCTGTCCTTGTGCAATGCGACCAGGCGACCCCGGGCCTCGTTGTAACTTGTCATGGGCGGGTCGATCGGAATGCTGTAGCGGGTTCCGTTGGCGCGGATGGTGAGGGCGGAGAGGGTCAGGTCTTCGAGGGCGGCGCCTTTCGATTGAGCGGCTGTGATCCGGGCGTATGCTTGTAAGTACAGCTGGAGCGAATCGCCATGGTCGGCGTTCATGTGCTTAATAATGAAGTCTTTGCCCGACATGCTTGCGGTCAATGGGTGCCGATGTGAGACAGACGGAAGTAAAGTGTAGGTGATCAATTGGGCGGAATTGTGGCAGATCAATAACCAGAGAGCGTATCGAGTGAGAAGGTATACTCAGCACCAATGCGACAGGACGCGAAGGGGAGAGAGGGGAAGGCTCATAATTGAGATGCGAGTTGCGGGTGCGGGTTGACGATCCGCGCCAAGCCCCGAACCTCGGCCTGGCCTCTTCAACACCTGTGAAGTTGTATGGGCGATCGCAGGATTGAGGTTGGCAGCAACCTGAGTATTGTTCGACCTCGCGAGTATGTTTGTTTCTGCTTACAATATTAGAGGGTGTGGGATTTTGGGTCACACAGAATTGAATAACTGCAAACAATACCCCTCTCGGCGAGCTCAGTGCGTTTTCAAATTATGTATCAAATACAGCAGAGTATATGCATGCATCATGGCCACGGTACCCCGACATACATTGCAATGACTCACTTTGGAACTTAATAGACGCAGTTAGGGATGAAGCTACTATCTGCACGGGTAAATACGAACCGGTTCTTGGGATATATACACTGATGTGGTAATACAGGATCCAAAACATCGACCCCTGCGCCGCAATTGCCCCACCGCATGGCTCCTGATCCAGTACAGAAAGACGCAATATTAAATGACGAACCAGACAAGGGTCTATGAAAACTTGCTGCAGAGCACAAAGCAGAGCGAAAAGAAAAGAATCAACAAAGAACATCGATCGTGAGAATCATGAACATGTAGTAGAATGACTGCGCGAGCGAATGCAAACGACCATAGCATGTGGAATAGTCAGAGACCGAACCTAGACTGGGGAACAAGTAGAAAAAGAGGTGAAAGATTATGCCCTGCGACCGACGTGATCAACTCCTGTATTCATTAAGCGATTTGGCTTTTTTTAGGAGGAAGAGGTGGTGAGCACTTACATGAGAGCCAGAGTCAAGTCACCATGGATGCGCGCCTTCAACTCGATCTCGATCTCGAGGTTCAATTCCAACTTCAGCTTCATGCCCTCTTCGTCGTCGATGCTCTTTTTTTCCTGGTTGATGACGTTCATGTCGCCGGATTGGTTGTTCTGCTGCCAGTGTTGGATGCCCTTGCCGTCGGTCATTCCGTACTCATCATATTGATCATCATCGTCGTCTTCTTGCAACCAATAGTCATCTTCATCGGAGTAATCATCTAGCTCTTCTTGTGGTTGTTGCTTTTGCAGCTGTAATCGCCGACGACGCTGGAGCTGCTGTTTCTGGGGGACGGGCTCTTCTTCTTCGTCGGAATATTCGTAGTCGTCGGCACTGTCGTAATCCTCGTCGTCGTAGTCGGGCACCTGGAACTGCTTCTGCTGCTCCTTGGTCTTTTCGGCGGTAGCCATGGTAGAAGGATAACGGCGCGACTCGGATTGTCGTGAGGTATAGGTAGTATAGGTGGAGGGAGAGGGAGAGGTAGGTGATGAGGTGAAGGTATTCAAGATGCAAGGAAATGCCGGGATGGAGCTCGAGACCAGACACTAGAAGAAAGACCAGGAAAGCGGTGGTGATATGATATGAAGGGGCCTGGAGCGCACTGCAAAGGGCCCGGGCATCGTCACAACCCTCGTCCTCGCTGTGGCTGGCATGACGTTGGCGGCGGATGAGATGGTATCCCTACCGGTAATACTCCCTGCATCGCGTAACTATCGGGATTCACGTCATGCCATGGCCTGTCCCACTTTCCTGCAGGCGCGTGGCGTGGGTATAGTTCTAATTCGGGTGCGCCAACCGGATACTCGTCACAGTGTAAGAGCGCAGTACATGTGTGTACTAGTAGTAGAGTAGTAGAGTCCATAGTATGGTATGTACTCTACTAGTATATGGCCAACCGCGGGAATGCATCTCCGCCTGGCAGCGACTACCAGACACATACTGCAAATAGCCCCGGGCCTCGACTGCTCCTGTCTGAACCGTGGAAATATTATTACCTGGGTACTGGGTGCATACCTGTGCATACCAACGCAGCATCCAGTTCATCTCGCAGAATCAAGTTCATCTCGCAGAATCAGGGATGTGGTGTGTCGTCATGACCCAACCACCAAATCAGCAGAAAAGGTGCAACGGTCTTACGTCGTGCTTAATTTATAAAAGTGGGCCCGCGCTGCCAAAATGCACCGCGTGGCCCATGATTGGCATGTGGAGCCCTGGAGACCCCCGAGGTGTCGCACGTCTCGTCGATTTTCTCGCTCGACCAGACCGCGTCTAGTCCCGAATCCCCCAACGCCGGCGCTGATCCCCCCAGACACGCCCGGTTCAACAGGCATCTAGATCTGTCTTGGCCCCTGTGTCTCTGTCCCTGTGTCTCTGTCCCTGTGTCCCCCGGGCAAGCAGTTGCAGGTAATTCCTGACCGCATCCCAGTCAGGATCTGCTCCCCCCGACGTCATCTGGCCCCAGCTCCACCCAGTTTGATGCTCGAACGTGGCGGCACACCGCGTGTACCTGGTCGTGAGCCATAGTTCAGATTAAAAAAAAAAAAAAAAAACAGACCGGGAAATTCAAAAATACATCAATTCAACACCAAAACACGTCTGACGTCGGAGGCGGTCCCCCACACGCCCATCCCCGCCGGTTTCGAGCCAGTTCGGTGGCGCACTCGATATAAACGAGTGCAGCATCACATCATCCCAGCCCTCGTCATCTGCTATACATCCATATTACACACACCAGTCACGATCCGGACGCTTGGTCCTTCATAACCCGAATCGTCTGCATTGCACAACTTCATATTCCCCCCCCCCCCTCTCCCCAGCTGCCTTTTCTTTCTCTTTTCTTTCCACCATGGCCGATCAGGATCAACCCTCTACTCCCAAACCCGAATCTACACCTAACACCCCCAACAAGCCGAAGCGTGCTCCTCCTAAGCTGGGCAAGAAAACCCCGACCAAGCAAGAGCAGACCCCGCCTCCTTCCGAGCAAGGTCAAGAGCCCGAAGATAAAGATCAAGACAAGGGAGAAGACCAACCAGAAGAAACCGAGGGCAACCAAGAACAAGAACAACATCAAGAGCCCGAGTCCCTCCAGCAAGAACCCGACTCTGAAAACGAGAAAGAGCAGAACGGCGACCAGTACAAACCTGAGGAGCCGCAACCCCAACTAGAAGAACAAGAACCGCCTCGTCGTCGTCGCCGTCCCCGTCCAGCTCGCAGACAAGACACCGACACCGAATCCATTCCTCGGAACGAGATGGATGCCCAACCCCAGCAACGCCAGCGCACCCGCCGCACCCGCCAGCCGCAGCAGCAGTTGCAGCAGCGAGGCGACGCAGGCCCACTCGGCGGCCTTGGCGGCGTCGATCAAGCTGGCCAGCTGGTCCAGAACACGGCAGGAAATGCTTTGCACGGCGTGACCGGTTCGGCAGGTAAGGCTGTGGGCGGCGTCCTGGGCGGCGACCAGAAAGAAGAGAAGGATGATGGCGGTCGAGATGAGCAACTGCGTTTGCGACTGGATCTGAATTTGGATATTGAGATTCAACTCAAGGCAAAGATTCATGGTGATTTGACTTTGGGATTGCTGTCAGTATTCCCATTTTCCTCTTTTCCCAATACACGGAGTTCCTTTAGCTCTGCCTGCATCCTCACCCGTTATGTCTGCTGTACATTTCAACTAACTAACCGTGTAGAAATTGATCGGCCGAGTACAGTGGCTGAAAAGCGAGAATCCTTTTACATCTGAGCTGTTACGCTTCCACGATATGATTATACTCTATTGCCACGACGATCCCATGTTGACGACGCAAGATTTCCGTTGCAGTAGTGCTTGGCTTGGCCAGTTTCGTTATTTATGATTGCGACATGTCTCTCTTCTTTTTGTTTCATCTAGGCCTTGCTTTTCCCTAGATTTGACTTGGCGCCTTTGTCCCCAGGGTTCCGGTGTCTGGTCTTGACTGTGTGTACAGTATAATTGTGCTTTCGTATAGTTTCCTCGGCAGGGTCAATGAAGACTCGTACTTGCCTGTTTCGCTCATCGAATAGATTTAGACGATCGTAAATAAAGTGCAGAATACTTTAGTTCGCAAGTGTTATCTCAAGAGCAATGATTGTTGGGACGTGTCGATCCGGACTGTTGCCGTGCCGTGTAACGCTACGCCTGACGTGCCTATCCTATCATGCGTATGAGTAGGTGGGACCGTGTGACTACCTGCAAAACACGATGCATAACTACCGTAGAGGTACTAGTCGCCAGGCTAACATCTACTTCGGAATTATATCGCGATGTATGTTCATTGTGCCTCACTCGAGGTATGCTATATGTGCATCACATTCGGAGGAACATTTTCCACCGGCCAATCTATGTCAGTGGAACTGGAAGGCGTACGCCGTGGCAACAGAAACAGTATAAGTAACAAGTCGCTCAAATGACTCAAGCACAAAGACCATTTTTGCTCTTTTAATATTCATCTTCGCGGTTAATGCGCGTGTTTCTCGAACGGATCGTACAGGACCGTAGTTCGTATTCCTAGGACTTTTTCTAAAGTCCCGCGATATACATCAAGCCGTAACCGATGGTCACAATCACCACAAACGCCATCAGACTCGACGGGGTACCGCGAGTGAGGAAGTGGCGGACTTGAAGGTATCGTTGACCGGTTGTCGGGACTTCAGTCATGATGGCAGCTGTGGAAGAACGAGTCAGTATAATAGTGGGTGAAAAGGTCGTGATATGCAAGGGGGCACGCACTCATATTTGGGAATCCGCTCGTTGGGAGCGCCATGGCAACGGAGCACATCAATGCACTTGCCATCACCAGCAAATTAGGGTGAGGGTTCTCCATGTTGACGCCGATCTGGCGGACGAGAGGTAGGATGATTAAGGCGGCGACCGTGTGCGAGATGAAGGTCGCAATCACGAGAATTAGTGCAGAAAACACGAGAAGCACGCTATACAGACTGAGATGTTCGACGCGGTCGGTGATGCTTCCAGCAATGGTATGAAGCAGACCGGACGAAGTGACGGCCTTCCCGAGACACAGGCCACCCGCGGCAAGAATGATGATTGTCCACAGGAAGTTATTGAAATCCTCTTTGTTCAGAATTCCAGTTCCGAAGAACAGCACGAGAGGAATGATAGCGATGACGCCCATATCACCAAAGACATGTTCAAGCTGGTGACTCACACACCAAAGAATAATAGTGCCGACAGTCACAGCGCTGATGAAGTACTGTATTCCGGTGAACCGATCCTTGACGGGACGCATGGGAATGATGGTGGTGTTGCGTCCCGGGTGGAAGGTCGCCAGGAGCAAGCCCCAAATCAACAGAATGGATATGATACAAATAGGCAGCGAGACGAAGAACCAGGTACCCCAACTGATGCTGGGGTACATGTTTTGCAAAGCAATGATGTTTTGCGGGGATGCAATTGGCGACGCAGCTCCACCGACGTTGGCCGCAAGAGCAATTCCGAGTACAAGCGCCTTCGCAAAGTTCGAATCCGGTGACAGATTGCGCAGCAAGGGCTGGATGATGGAGTAGCAGAGCACAGGGGATGCCACGTTACTGATCCACATGCTCAGGAACATACTCACGAACATGTTGGTCAATAGGACGATCTTGGGCTTGGAGCCAGCTTTGCTGAGAACGAACATGGCCATGCGTCGGGCAATATCGTACTTGGACAGAGCCGCCGCAATGGTGAAGCCGCCAAGGAGAAGCATGATAACGGGAGTCCACATGGCCGAAAATACCTGGCCGACAGCTTCTTTCGGACCAAGTCGTTTGTGCGGCTTGGCTTCGGACCGCATGATACCCAGAACAACGACCAAGAATGGAATGAGAAGCGAAGTGACGAACAGAGGAATTGCCTATCACAATATGTGTAAGTAAATTAAACAGTGGCTGTATTCTCGAAGTTCTGAAACACTTACCTCTGTGGCCCACAGAATGCTGACAAGTACCAGCATTGCAAGACAGTTCTGTTGTTCTGGAGTCTCCATCAATGGAGTGGCAAGCAAAGCACCGAAGATGGCAATACTGAATATCAGAGTGCCGAAGCTCAGACTGCAAAGCCACAAGGGAAATTGAATGCGTCCCAGAGGAGTACCAATTTCCTTTGTGTGAATCTCCTGCTTGTCACCCTGGCGTCGCGCCGTGGCTGGATCTTCATCGCCTCCCAGAAGAGTGTGCCGGATACCCACATTGGCAGCCTGTGCACGACGTTCGATCTCGATCATCTCACGCCAAACCGTGTTTCGCTCCCAGACAACATGCTCACGGAGGTGAAGGCGCAATTCCCGGCTAGCCAAGGCTCGACTACCTTTGGTGACGATGTCGGCATACGCGCCTTCCACCTTGTCAATATTGCTGTCCACGGCTGCCATAGTGGACTCGGTGAACGGCAATGCTGGCGCGACGACTGAATTGAGATATTCTCGACGCATGCTCCTAAACAGTGTCTTGTCATACTTCTTCAAAGCTTTTGAGAAACCAGTCTTGTTCAGCTCGATGAATGATCGAAGCCCGCATAGAGAAACGTAAGCCTCGACTAGACGTTTCTTCAACGAGACTCCAGTGTTATATAGATCGAGGAAAGCTTGGTCACTCAAGTCGGAGTCCTGGGGCCCTCGACTGCTTCCCAGCCCAAAGAAAGCAGAGTCCGCCAAGTCAGCGGCGCGATCTTCCGTTGTGGTCTCTTCATCGGTCGACTGCATCAATCTGTTGCGTGAATTGAGCACTGGTGGGTAGTGTTCGTCGTCACTGTCATCAGCGTCCTCACTTGCAGCGCTGGACTGCCGGCGCAGTTTTTGGCCATAGCCAGTTCCGGGCCGGGAGTTGGTACTCATGGTTCGTGCCTTGACCACACTCTCGCTCACAGGGTCCATGTTGACGCCATCAGTCTCCGATATATAGGACGTCGCATCGTGCATCAACTCGTTTGTTAGTTCGAATATCTCTTCTTGTTTCGACTGGAAGAAGGTACAGATCTTATCCAGTTCCGCATCGAGGGCGTGCTTGAAGATACCATCCGGGTTATGCACTTGTGAACCGGATAGCAGCGGAGCGGACTCGACATCGGGAGCAGTTGGCTCATCGGGGCGGTTCACTTGTTTCTCAAGGGTATAGATCCTAGGACGGGAGTCGACACATTAGCCACAGGAACGGTAAGTCAAAAGCAACGCGCAGAAATCATGCAGCACGCCAAGCCTATCCTGTGCGATGTGGCACCCGCCTCAAATCTATATCAAACAAAGTACCCCAGAGATGACAACGCCATGCCACTAGAAGAAGGCAACGACCAAATCTACCAGACGATAAGAGAAAGGGAATCTCCACTCACAATTTCTTGAGATTGCTATACGCGATATAATTCGAGCTCCAATCTGGCACCGCATTGAACTGGATGCTGTGCGAAAATTTCATTTTGGCAGCGGTCTCGGGGTCAACGTCCGCCTGTCCGCGGCCAGCGAGGTGAGCCCGGCGTCGAAGGGCTTCAGCCCAGAACCTAAGTCGAGAAGAGCGGGGAGCCCGCGGGCGCTGGTCGGAGGCAACAGTCTTCTCCCAGTCTCTGTCGGGCCGGGGTCGAAATCCCGCAAGTGATTGTGAATTGACAGCTGGCTTAAGCGGCCGCGAAGCACGTTGTGATCGTTGTGTGCGCGCAGATGCTGTACGAGAAGCTCCTGCTACTGATCCGGTTGCGGTGTTGAAATCGGCGAGCTCGAAGGATTCGTGACCCGGGGAGGGAGCCACCGTCGTTGGAGGGCCGGATGGGAATCGGCCAAGAGCGAGCAATTGCGCAGATGAGAGGAGAGGGGTCCGATCGAGGAAATGAGGAGGTGTTGCGGGGCGAGGCAGATAGTGGGTGGTCAGCTGGGCCGGCTTCGTGGGTTGCACTGATGGTCAGGTTGAAAAGTGGTGTGCACGGCTTATCGCAGACGCGTTCGCCAAGACGTCGTCTTCTATTATTTTCCGATAGACCAGCTGGATACGAGCATTGCCCCTGTTGGCGAGGTGACATTCTTTTCCGCGATGACTTCAGGAACCGTTGCATACCCGATCGGGAATAGGCGGTGCTGAGTCATCACACGGGTGGCCTATCAGCCCATCGCTATATAAAGCACCCGCAGCCAGACAGCTTCGTCGTGGAGAACTAGTAGACCATGCGCAAATACAACGATTTACTAGTAATTATATACCAGATAACATAGAACATATAAGTGAAGATGAATACATAGGATGATACCCTGTGCGTTCTATTATGAAATGAAGTGAAATGATCCTATATGATCAGACTAATACTACATATACAATGCTGAAAGGTTGCTCAGAAAAGATGCGCACCAAATAAAACCAAATAAACCATAATGATTTTATTACCTATTACCGGCGACGAGGCGCAAGTCCCAAGTTAGCACGACCGGAGATACCAATCTTGTGCTGTCCATCTCTCCGGTCCCACACACCGCTACGACCTTCAGCGATAGCAATCAGCTCATTCGCAACGCGGTGAGCCAGCTGGGCATCGCGGCGCTTCTCTGAACCATCAATGATCCATTTAATAGCAGTGCGACGGCGCTGACGAAGGGTCAGGGGGTGGGGGACCTGCACGGCAGTACCACCACCAGCAATACCCTTCTGCTGACGAATGCGGAAAAGAGGAGCCACGGAGTCGACAATCAAGGTAAGGTAGAGAACGGGATCGAGAGGGAGTTGAGGAGCGGGGGAGCGCCGATGAGAGGACGGCGGGGGTTGATGTTAGGGGGAGAAGAAGTGCGGAGTTGGTCCAGGATAATGGACATGTTCTGAAGAGCCTGGGTGTCAGTCTGAAATTCGAGAAAACGGTTTTCGGGCCATTCAAAATGATCTGTTGTACCTTTTGGGCGCGGGCCAGCTTGCCATCTTGCATCAGCATCTTGGTGAACTGGTCCTGCATCGTATCGTAGCGCTTGCGAAAGTTTATGGTGCCCCGCGGCGCCTCGGGTTTCCCGAACTTGAGCCCCGGGATCCGCTCGGAAGCCTGCTCCTCCACACCTTGGATCATGCTAGCAAGCATGGCAGCAGACGCCTCGTCGTTTGCTTGCGAGCTGTGCATATCGGGCGTATGGCTGCGGGCGGAGGTCGAAAACGAACGCTTGTTCTTCTTGAATTGGTCCTGCATAACCTTGGGCATGTGCTTCATGGCCTCCTTGTCGCGCGAAAGGATCTAATCATAACACTCAAGAGTCAACACATTGCTTCAGAAAGAAGGATTCTCCCGGGTTTGCTGCTTACCTCCGAGACCGGGGAGCCTTGCTCCAGCTCAGGCGCGGTCGGTTGTCCATCACAGCTCTTCTCCTTGCTCATAATCCTGTCGACTTCAGCGGCCTCTTGGCTGACATGGGGCAGAGGGTCCTGCGTCGGGAACTTCTGCTCGTCGATCGGGTTGACCTTCTTGTCATCCTTGGAGGAACTCCATCTTTTTTGGACGGGAGCGGACTGCTCGGCGCGGAATCGGAGCGGTCCAGCGACGTTGCGTGCGGTAATGGAGGAGACGGTAGGCTGGCGGAGAGCCGCAGCCGCCTTGCGGGCTGTGAATAGATTGAGGCGGGGAGGCATTGTGCGCGACAACCTCGAGCAATGACCGAGTGTGTAGAGATGCGAGGGTCTGCAGCTGGATGGCGATGGAGCGCGGTCAGCAATTTTCCGGCGCTTAGTCATCTGCTGAGAAATGACTTCAGTTGCGGGAAACAAGGTTGCGCACTATGGCCAACGTCGGCTTAACGTAATTGTACATATACAACAGTCATTCTCTCCAAATTGGTTGTTTGACTCTTTCGCCTGTGCCGGTGTCGGCCGATTCTATGGAATGGTCTTGTCGAATGCGGCTCCTTCGAACTGTTCTCCACGATCGTCCCGCTTACACGAACAATCGGAGGGCTGAATGAAATTCTGAGTCACAACACCGCCATGACAATGGACACAATCATGCATGTAAAAGGCCGTCAATGAGATCATTGTTGAAAACAAAGGAGCATTTGAGCGACAAAACTACACAGTAGTAGCCAGCAGCTACTCCTTCGCTATGCTCTCAGAATTGCCCTCTGAGATTATATATCATGTCGCAATATATTTGCCGACCGCCAACGCTGTGACGTGCCTGGCCCAAACCTGTCGCCGACTGTATAAAATCATTGCTGCAGACGAATACAGGCTTTTCCGAGCACTGGTGCACAGCAGATTTCCGTGTACTCCCACACCTTCTTTCTGGAAAGATGCAGCGTGCGCCCTCACCTCGCGGTCGCGTGCCCTCGACCGACTCGGTGTCATCGGCCGGTTTGTTGTTTTGCCCAAGAATGTCACTCGGATTGGCTGTCAAGAGGTGACTCGACGCGACAATCCCACGCTGGGCTACAGACCCGCCATTGACTCATACGAAATCTGGAATGGTGCTGCTTGGGCTGATAGGAAGGAAGTCCTAGCGTGGGGCGCCGCCCACCAGCTTGCGATACGGGTCAAACAGTCTGGGGCGCACCAACATGAAAATTGGATGCTATTCAATGACATGGAAGATGTGAGCAGCTACGAGGATATCTGCGGTGTGCATCTTTTGCAGCCAGAGCAGAACAAAGATGGCGACACAGAGCATTTGATTTTTGGTCGGAGGAGAAGCGACATAATCCACCTCGCCATTTCTCCCAACCAAGCGAGCCACGAGTACAAACAAAAATTCAAGACGAAAGGACTCGAGCTCGATAGGACAGACATCAGTCGGGGCACCAACTCGACACTTGCAGCCCACTTTGATGATGGATCTATAGCGTTTTACAACACGGCTACCACCGAGGACGAGGTGGAGGCATTTGCTTGGATCCGCAATGAAACAAGCACTCTAGCACGAAGTCGACACTCGAAATTGCTGTCTCCATCGAGAGTTGCAGTCGCCACCGGTGAAATTGAGAATTCTCTTACGATCTCGACAATTTTGCCTGACGGTGTTTGCCTGGACCGGGAAATTGCCGTTCATTCCCTGGATTTACAAGAGCGAGTCAATCGCATTCACGCTGGCGTGACCTCGATCGCATCATTAAACGAAATACATCAACATATTGATTCCCCAGGCGATGCATTCCTTGCTGCATGGGGCGATCGGACCATTAGGTATGTTGCATTCGTAGTGATTCGTTGATATTGAAAGTGCTGACCCTGCCCTAGACTTCACGACCTTCGCTCCCCTAGGTCTTACGAATCAACATATAGAGATACAACCGATATGAACATCATGTATTGTGTTCATCCATTTGGAAATGACCATTTCTTAGCCGGATCCAGCGGTGACGGCTTGGTGAAGATTTTCGATCTGCGCATGGGGAGCACTTACAGCTACCTCGATGCGCAGACGCCACCTTCACCAAATCCCAAAAGAGATGACCGACCAAGCAAGGACTTCTCCATGTTCCTCTCCGCCAACCTGCCGCCTGATATTACACGCCACATTCCTCATCCCCGCAGACGAGGCCAGCAGCCTTATCGCGGCCCAATTTATACCATGTCCACCCCATCGCCGTCCTCCCCGACTGTATACACCGGCATTGTGGATGGTGTAGCTCGGCTAGACTTTGCCTCGACAGACGACTTGACTGGCCCAGCGAAAGAATGGTACGAACGTAACCTAGATTTGGGAATCCAGACAGGGCAATCCGGGGTCGCGGTTGCGGAAGATCAAGTCTTCAGGATAGCAGGCTATGAACGGCCAGCCCAGGATGATTTTACTACCACTTCCAAATTGAGAACGCAGCATGGATACTGGCATCTCATGCCAAATGACCGGGCAAACGAGGTGGTGACTGGATGGGATCGACGCTGGGAGCCTCTCGCAAAGCCCGGGGCGTGGAGAAGGCACTATTGAAGTAAAATGGTGTAAACCCTGGCATTCATGTATATTTCGTTCTGGAGTTGTAAACAGGTCTGAGAATTAGACGCATAGACAAACCATTTAACCAAACATTAGTTTTACGGCAGGTGAAAATTGATAGTATTTGGAAAAATAGTATGAAACTTTTTGGTATTCTTTAAAGCAAACAAACATCATTGGAAAAGCAATTCTCGTAATAAAACATCCGTAGCTCCATAAGCGCCGTGCTGTGTAAATGGGGGATGACGAGCATCCAGGTGATAGTAACAAGGCACAGCAATTGAATCCCGGTGGAGCCATGATAGCAAACATGCAAACCCATTGGGTGAAAGCGTAAAACATGGCTCAAATGAATCAAAAGCTGTTGCTTAATTCAAGGCAGAAGCCAAGCCAAGAGTAATATGTATCGTGGCAGTTGGCAAGGACAGATACATGAAAAAATGGGTATCTAGTCATCGAACTTGAAAGACTTGCCACCGGACAAGTCAATGAATCCACCGCGGTAGGAGCCACGCTTCTTCTTGTTTTTCTCCTTGGTGAAGCCCTTTCCGCGAGTGACCGACAGATCGGCGTACGCACGATCGGCGTAATCATACGAAATGTAATCATTGGAAGGAAGGTGGCTGTTGTCCTGCTGGCTCAACAGGGCGAGAGGGGTGGGGCGAGCACCAGTGTGCTTCTTCTTTGCCGGGACATTACCGGGGGCAGGGCTGGCATTGGAAGAAGTTTGACCAGAGTTGTTAGCGGGCTCATCCGCGGAGACAGTGGCGCTGGTGTCCGAGCTGGGACCAGCAGCAACCGAAACACCCCCAGCCTTGCTGCCGTCCGAGCTGCTGTCATCGGAGCTGGAGTCGCTAGAGCTGGAAGACTCGGGAAGGGGAGTCTTGACTGCCTTCTTCAGGGCCTTAGAATCGGCCTTTTTGGTAGTCTCCTTCTCCGACTCAGAGGAGTCAGAAGAGGAATCGGAGCTGGAGTCGCTGCTGCCGCTACCGCTGCTGCTGGAGCTGGAGCTAGAACTGCTGGAGCTCGAAGAGTCGGAGTCGGAACCGGAGTCGGAATCAGAGCCAGAATCAGAATCAGATGAGGAGCTAGACTCGGAGGAAGAAGAATCACTACTGGAGGATACAGCCTTCTTAGCCTTTTTAGCTTTGGGAGCATCGCTATCAGAAGTAGAATCAGAGCTCGAGTCGGAGGAAGACTCGCTGCTAGATTCGGCCTTGCGCTTCACACCGGTAGGCTTCTTTGCGGCGGGAGAGGGAACGGGGGCCGCATCGTCCTCATCCTCATCATCGGCGTCACTGTCGGAGCTGGAGGAAGATGAGGAAGGAGAAGAAGAGCGGATCGACTTCTGGTCCTTCATCTCCACATCCGAGTCGCTGTCACTAGAACTGGAGCTGTCGCTGTCGCTGTCGGAGCTGTCGCTAGAGTTCGAGCTGGAAGAATCCATATTCTCGGAAGCCTTGTCCCAAGACTTGAACAATTCCAGCAGAGACGGAGCGTTCTTAGCATCAGCCGTCTTGCCAGCCTTCTTCAAGTCCTTAGAGAAAGCCTCACTTGCACCGGAGAAACCATTGTTGGCGAGGAACGCCGCAACAGCAGAAAGCAGCTGAGGGGAAACGTCGGGTTTGGAAGCATCGGCCTATTGAATCACCATGATTAGTTTGGATTTCGTCGGCCATGAAGTGAGTACTGGAGAAAATTCAAACTCACCTTCTTGGCCGCAGCCTTCTTAACAGCGTTCTTGCCCATGGTCAATGGCGAAGAAATTTCAAGAATCCTCGAAACAAGTCAAGGAAAGCCGAGAAAGACCAAGATGCGAAAGAGTGAAGGTGGAGTAAAATTGGCTGTTTAGAATTCCGAGTCGAGCCTTCCCAGGAACAAAAGAAAAAAAAAAGTATACCAAAGGCGGTGTGTGGAGCACACCTGGTGATTGGATATTCTAAAGCAGTATAGCGTATCACGTGTCCCGAGAATGGACCCGGAGCTCGGGTACTATTAAAGCCTCAGGCAGCAACGCCTTCTGCGTAAGTTACGCAGAAGCGAAGAACGAACCACTGACAAGGAAGCGTATGTTAATTGCGTAGTCTCAAAAAGTGAAACATTTTGCAGAGCTGCTCTGAAAATCAATGTGAATTTAAGACAAGAGCTCCTCGGACATGACATCAAATGGCGGGCCGTTGCAGCCGGATCAATTCGATAACCCGCTCCCATGAGCTCTCTCCGCCCTGCCCGCAACCCCAAACAGATGAGATAATTCAATGTCCACACCTCCCACTTGGCATTGGATCGACCTTGTCTTCTCCCGTCTTCTCATCTACCGCTCCAGAAAGGTGCGCCCGATTCGCCATTCATCCGACGTCAATTCCGGCGTGGACATCGTGCGCTCGACAGTTCCCCGGGTGGCCGATCTCAGCTGCCTGATCATGTCCCCTTGATCCCCCGGATTCCACAACTGATCTTGGTGTCTCATACTTCGGAGAGGATACTACAATGAACGGTTCAAATCGTCCCCGTCCGCCACCTCCCGCTGAGCCACGACGCGGGGGCGACCCTCGCAATGGCATGGCCGATGCCATGTCCCGAGCCGAGAAGTTCGAAGACGAGAAGAAGCGGATTATCCAGAGCTGTTACTCGAAGAAAGATGCCGATGGAACATGTACGTGACAGTTGCGAGCACCTCCTGTATCTCCAAGAGGGGACAACCCCTTGCCCACACTAGGTGATGGCGACCTATGGCGCTGGTGACGTGTTGGAGCGCCCAAATAACCCAAAGCTCTCGCATTGCCCTTACGACTTCACCGCAGTTCAAGCAGAATCCCAATTACTCTCAAACAACGACTGATCGTTATCGTGCCTCTAGTGACCGAGTCCTACATTACCCATGTTCGAATCACAGAGGACAGCTCGCATCCTTCTACCCCTGCCCCGCCAAACTCGGCACCCGAAAACAAAAAGGCTCGAGTTATTATAGTCTCGGTCCGAAAGTCAGGCAGAGTTCGAATGCACAAAGCCCGCGAAAATAATGATGGGTCCTTCTCGATTGGAAAAACGTGGATGCTGGATGACTTGTCCGCGATTCAATCCTATACCGCATTTGTTCCAAAGTCACCTGTCGAACAGCAACACAAAGAATGGGCCGGTGCTCTTGGGTTCGTGGTTACTGTTGGAAAGCCCTATTACTGGCATGCCCGGACTTCGAAGGAAAAGGAGTTCTTTATCGGCAGCCTGGTGAAGATTTACAAGAAATACACTGGTGGTAAAGTTCCAAATCTTATCGGGTTCGACGACAGGGAGCGCCAGCTTCTCGTCGGTACTGGTCCATCAGGGTCTCCGGCACCCCCGCCACACCGAGGTGGCCCTGGTCCTTCGCCAGACGTTGTTCCTCCACAGCAGCCACCTTCCTCTTATAGCAATCGTGATCCTAGCCGTGATGGACCCCGCGAAATTAGACGGAAACCGTCCGAGGAGCCGTCTCTTCGACCACAGAAAAGCCGCGATCAAATGCCGCGCCCTTCTACAGGAACCAGACCACCAGCGCCCTCTCCATTTGGACCACCGCAGAATCCTCCACCTATGGTTCCGCCCCAGCGAGCGGAACCGAAGTCATTTTTCTATGCAGATGAGATGGCTCGTCCTAGCTTGCAAGATGAACAGCGACCATCTTCATCTCGGAGTGGCCAACCGGGTCAGACCTTGGAAGCGAAACAACAGCTTGATCCTAAACCCAGTTCGGATGGACTGCGGCCTACCACTCCTGGCTCATTAACCGGCGAAACGCGGGCTATGGCATCTAGCCCGGGCAGCAGCATTGGCCAGAGGTCACCGTACCGCGAAACCAATGATAAAGGACCGACCTTGGAACAACAAACCCAACCTGGGCCACCACAAAGTGTATCAGAAGACGTGTCCTTTATGACGTTGGCAGATGAACAGAAGCCAGCGCCGGTTTCAGAAGCAGAAACATCCTCCTCACCACCACTTGTAGACCCGGCAGTGGCTGCTGTTGTGGTTGCAGCTGATGAACCACCAGCGGCAGCATCGGCACCGGCACCAGCTGCAGAAACGCCGACAGAGCCGCCATCCACAGCTTCTCTTGACAAGGGAGGTGATGATGATGAGGCACACCGTCCTGGTTTAGGCCCTATGATTAAAAAGAAGTCGGCCAAAGATATTGCTGGGGCTTTCCGGACAGCTGCTAACATGCATGGTGCTTTCAAACCTCGGCCTGGGGGAGCTGGTGAGCGACTTCTTGCTGCGGCAAAGAAGCAGCAACAGGGTCAACCGGGCCCTGAGCCAGATGGTATCACTGGTGTTGTCCCAGCTCCATTCCTCTCTCGGTCTGCCAACGACGCCCCGAAGAGCCCCGTGGACGATGACACAGAGAAATCGTTGCCACCATCAGAACCAACACCAGCTCCAACATCTGTGGAGCCCTCTCTAAAGGTTGAAATTGAAACGCCGACAGTCGAGGTCACAGAGCACGTGGTCCAAGAGGCTCCAGTGCTTCATCTTCCCAGACCTGAAGAGTCTAAAGATTCATTGTATGAAACTGGCCGGGTGGAAACTAGGCCAAGAACCCCGTCCCCGGCAGCTCAGGGCCGTCGCCGCAGACGTCGCGAAGACCATACCCTTAAGTACTGCCAAGCACTCGGTATTGAGGTTGCTGTCCTTGATGGACGAGGTGTTGACTTCGACGACATCCTAACTGATCTTGGCTGGAACGGACGGTTAGGCGATGAGCAGAAGATTGAGGATTTGGAAGCAGACGTGCGTCGTGAAATTGGCCGCGTCGAAGCGACCAGCTGGCTGGGAAATCTCGAACAGCAAGAGGGCAAGGTTGAGCAGTTAGCGGTCCTCATTGACAAAACCATTGAAGAGTGTGAGGAGTTGGACGGGCTGTTGACTCTTTACTCCCACGAACTCAACGTAAGTTATTCCTCGGACTTTAGGATGATCCAAGTTCTAATAGAACGTCCACAGACTCTCAACGAGGATGTGTCGTATATCGAAGCACAGTCCCAAGGTTTGCAGGTGCAGACTGCCAACCAGAAACTGCTCCAGAGCGAACTGCAGAATCTCCTCAAGACTCTCTCCATTTCCGCGAATGAAATGCGTCCCCTAAAGGAAGCCTCGCTGAGTAACCTGGACGGCTTGAAAGACACTGAAAATGCATTGTCGACGCTGTACAAGGCCATGCTCATGATCGATGCTGATATTGGACAAAACAAGCGGCGACAGGCCGATGCTAGCGTTGGAGTTTACGCCAATACCGAAATTGGACAGATGCGGGCGATCAAGGACAAGAAGGAAGAGTACCGCTCTATGGCGTTGATGTTCTTGCAGCGCTTGAAGCAATTCATGTCTCTGGCCTTCAAGATGGCTGAACAGAAGCGGACCGAGGCCATGTCTTCTGCCTCCAAGGATCCCCTGAAGTTGGATAACTCAGCTCGACAAGCAGGACGCGGTGAGATCTGGATGTTCAGCCCGCTCATGCTTTTTGCCCGAGAAGTGAGCACATCGGAGTGGCAAGGGCTCCTCCATCTGTACGAACAGCAATCCAAGTCATCGTACCAAAATGAGTTCCGTGATAACGGCTTGGCTTGGCGGAGAACGGCTCGCAAACCCACTGGTGATGAGCAAGAACTTCTGTTCACCCACCAAGAGAAGGAGAAGGAAGGCGAGGGCATTACTATGGCCGCTCGAAAGCTGACTGTCCGACGAGGCAAGACCGTGCGAGCTGCGGCCGGTCTACGTCTTGGGTCTGGCGAGAAGAAGGCTCCTACCAATGGCAAGGTTGAGCCCTGCGAGGCATTTGCTGGATCGCTGCGCGAGACGCTGAACATGATCACCGAAGAGCAGAACTTTATTGTTCAATTCTTCCACCTTGATTCTCTCGCCACCGCGGAATACTCAGACCTTATTGCGTCCGCTGCTCCTGAAAACCGACAATGCCCTGATTTCTCTACCAAGCAGTCGCATGACCCCGACCGGGGGATGGCAAAGAGGGTTGAGCACATCATGGATGAGGTTTATTCCTTCTGGCCAAACGATGTCCAAAGCATGGTGGACTGGGCTCTCCAAGCCGACCCTATGTAAGTTGCACAGTTTGTCATCTACTTTTCATGAGCTTCTGCTAACAACTCTTTAGGCAAGGAATTGGCATCTTGTTTGCCATCGAGACGGCTATGGCTGATCTCGACGACACTAATCAAGAATTCATTATCCATGCTCTCCAGAAGATGCACTCGCGTCTCATGGGTCTTTTCAACCGATTTGTTGATGATCAAATTCGCGGCATTGAAGACACCAAGGTCAAGATCAACAAGAGAAAGGGCGTCATCTCCTTCATGCGCGTCTTCCCCCACTTTTCCACTGCTGTTGAAAACATGCTGGCCCAACCATCTGGCGAATTCTGCGACATTCGTATCGCCGTGAACGATGCCTACGACCGCATCAACCGGGCGATGTGGGAGTCACTCAAGTTCATCGCCAAGGAAGCTCCCGGCCAGCCACCCGGTGTCGCTGCCAGCGCGGGAGACCCCGAGGACAAGGAGATACTCAACTACCACATTCTGCTCATTGAGAACATGAACCACTACGCCGAAGAGGTTGACGTGCACAACCTGCCTGTGCTTCAACGGTGGGTGGACCGGGCGCACCAGGATTTCGCGGAGCACATGAAGCTGTATCTTGATGCGGTCATCCACCGCCCTCTGGGCAAGCTGCTGGACTTTATCGCCTCCATTGAAACCTTGCAGGCGAATGGCAATGCGGCGGATGTCGCCTCGCGCACCAGCCACTCGCGGGCCGTTGCCAAGAAGGTTCTTTCGTCGTACGACGCCAAGGAAGTGAAGCGTGGCATCGAAATGCTCAAGAAGCGGGTAGAGAAGCATTTTGGCGACGCGGACGACCCTGGGCTGAGCCGCAGTCTGGTGCTGAAGGTGTTGCGGGAATGCGAGGGCCGTTATGAGGATGCGTGGGAGCGGACCCGGCGCATCATCGATACGGTCTACGACGGGCAGCTAGAGCTGGAGTGGCGCAAGGAGGACACCGCAACGATGTTCCGGAAATGAATGAGCTGATCTTTTCATGTTCTGTTACTTCTTCTACTACTAGTACGTGGTACTGGTGCCTTTTCTACCTCCTCTACTTAGGTACTATTTCCCATTCTCCTAGTGTTTCCTTTTTTTCCTCCATGGGTGATCGTGCAGCATTGGGACATTGGCTGGGCGTATTGGGCTACTCGGGACCTGCCATGTACATTGCCATCATATATAGCTGCAGCGTATGAAGGGAGTTTGCCTTATTCTAGATTGACTCTACTGTACTTACCTGATGTGCTGTACGTAGCATCTTGAGTGCCGGTGATCGGCATGCTGTGATTGGTGCGCCCATCGAAAATGGCCCACTGGTTCGAGCACATCGCATTTTGCGCTCAGGGGCACGCTCTGGTCTGTGCGGCTGCTGCGATCGAATCTCGTTGAGTTGGTCACTCCAGATGCCAGTAGTTACAGTGTGAGCATGTAGTATAATGGCTATCGAAGAACAGCTTTACTAGAAGTTAATGAGATATAGACCGAGGTATCCATCACTGTGATGGTGCATATATTGGATCAATCCCATGCGGACCACAGCCGTTAGCCTGCCTGCTACTATCAGCAATAGTTGCAATTTTAAAATTGGCCTTGCGAGTCGACTTCCTGACGCCTGCAGCCGTTAAGGGGCCGGCCTCTTGGGGGCGCCACCCTACCATACTTCCACCACAGCTGTCCACGGCGGATTCTGACCTGCCTTTTTCCTTTTTTACTATTCCTTTTTACTTTCTTTCTTTCTCTTTCTTTCTTTCTTTCTCTTTTTTTCTACTCACAATTAATTTCCCCGGCGCGATCTGATCGTCGCCGCAGCTATCCTCCCTGCTGAGACCTCCAGTGTGCTGGCAGCCCATCCATTGGTACCTGAGGTATTCGGTTTAACCCCCCAGCGGTCGGTGTGGGGGACCTGAAGATCGGTGATTTCCTTCGATCTCTCTTCTTTCTTCCTCACCAATTTTCCCGGTCCTCTCCTTTGCCTTTCCTTTCTTGCGCGTCTGTACCATATTTCTCATATTTTCTTCTAATTCTTCCCCACGGTGAGTGCACTCTGCTCGTTTCGCCCCGTCCCCACTGTTTCTCAGGGTGTTCGTCTCCACAACGCAAAAGGTCTCGCCTCGCAAGGGGGGCACGGATGCCCCAAGTCGTCGGACCTTGACGAGGACTCGACCTTGCGCAGGTGACCGGTCGTTGCGACAGCCTCCTCCTTTTCTCCAGTCTGCCCGCCTCATTGCTTTTCCCCCGGCGGGTGGTTTGGCCCCGAACACTCTGCGAGCATCCGTTTTGAACAACCCTCCTCCTAACGACGAGCGCCTAGATCGTTTCACAGCTGTCGCATACCTTCAATCGCCTTTCCCTTTCCTCCTCTCTTTCGCCTCCGGGCCCGGCGACCTGGACGGCGGCTCTGCATGCCGCGTGCCATTTACCACGCCAACATTCCTCATCGCGAGTCTCGCCCTCCCTTGCCGTGAGCGGAGCGGAACGTCAAACGTCAAACCACATTCCGCGGGGAATTGGCATACCCTCTGAGACTGTTGTCTTGATTCGAGGTCGCTCCGGATCCTTTCACACGCCGCAGCTATGCCCTGGCGGCCGCTGCCTCGCATCGCCTTTGCGGTGGCTATCTACCCGTTCCACCCGTCCTCCCCCGCGGACCTCCCCCTCGAACTCGGCGATGAATTGTACATTATTGAACAGGGAGGCTCAGATGGTGAGTGGTGTCGAGGATATCTAGTGGCGCCACCCTCGCTGCTCGCGGGGTTGACGAGTACCAAGGGTCAGACACTGGAGGCCCGCGTTTTCTCCGGAATCTTTCCGCGGAATTGTGTTGAGATTCGAGAAGTACTGGGCGACGGCGAGGGCTACAAGGCACTGCTCAATGGCGATCGCAAGAGTGTGGACCACTTGACGCTGTCTGGCCTGGACCCCGAGTACGTTCGCAACAGTGTGGCCGCCTACTCCATGGTGGATTCCCAGAATGGCGGCGAATTGTCAGATGCCGTCTTTGGGAAAAAGGGGAAACCGACGCATATCACGATCCACAAAACCGATGAGCCAGATCTGGCGAGTCCGCGATCGATGCATACATACCGCACAGGGTCGATCCCTCATACACCCGTGGCGTTTGCGCCACGCGATCCTGATGCGCCGAAGCCTGCGGCACCGGTGCCCATGCTGAAGATTGGTGACGAGACCCCGACCTCTCTGACGGAACCTTTGGTGGATGAAATCGCTTCATGCCTTCGCGAATGGCACTCCACGAACTTGCATGAACTACTCCTTGCCCAGCAGTATGACGTCCTCGAAGAAATGTCGACAATAGTCCAGGAATTGGATTTCGCGCGTCGTCAATTGTTGCATAATGTGTTGACCAGTAAAGAGAAGGAAGCGCTGCGAGACGACACTGTGTGGAAGCTGGTGAGAGCAAACAAGATGCTCAGTGGAGATGTGATTGTTCGGGATCCAGAGCAGAGAGGCCGGTTGTTGACTGGCGATGACTCCGCTATTCAACTAGCCAAGCTGCAATCCGAGATGAGCATGCTTGACAATCGGCCCGTGGTCAGCTCGGACAGTACCGCGCTGAACCATCTACTATTGGAAATCAATGCACTATCCGGCAATTCTATGGGCCCGGTGTCACTCGGAATGCAGCTCTATTCACGATCTGATGCTGGGGCATTCCACCCGCTGTCCGAGACGTATAACCTGGATATTCCGTCTCCAGATAAATTTGTTAGCTTGACCCAGAGCAACAAGTTGAAGACCTTGTTCACCGAGCTGGCAGCCACTGATATTGGTGATGGATCTGCCAATGGACGTCAACTATATCTGGTGGCCTCCGTGCGGGCATCCGAATCGCGCACCACAGCTGATAGCACACCGGCGTCGAGATCGTCCATTTCTAGAGATAGCCCCTCTTCTCCAAAGGCTGGTACAGCCGGAGGGGTTCAGCCATCAGTCAAGGGAAGTTTGCGGACACGGCGAAGCATGATGTGGGCCCCCAAAACGAGGACTGGAACCAGCCTTGACCAGCCCAACAAGCCAAATGTCCAAGGGGCCCTGCGCTCGTCCAGCAGCTCGTCCAGCGTCAAGGAAACACCGAACAATAACCAGTCATCTTCGAAGGATCCAAATGCAATCCGTACTGTTGGTGTGGGAATCTTGGAGGTATCACCGGTTCTCCGACAAGACCGTGATACTGAACAGGTGATGAACATTTGGTCTGCTCCCCGTGAGGGTGAGGAGGGCGAGGGTCACCCTGATGGCTTCGACAAGCTCCTCCGCCACCTCCTGCCCAGCCCGACTGGCCGTTATGTACGCACCGGTCCGGCTGCACGACTTCATGTCCACCTGCATCCTTTCACAAGCACGGATCCCGACGACCTTGTTCGCCAGAACCCGACGATTCTTCACGATGTTATCCAGACCAGGCGGATCGGGTTCTCAAAGGCTCCGACACGACCGAGATCTGACATCTACGTCACCCTCTCGCAGGCCGTGCTGCCACCTGACGCACTCCTCTCTCATCCTTCTGCAGGTCAAATCCCTGTGTCATTCCTTACTGGTCTTCGCAATCTCCAGCTCACCCTGGAGGTGCGCGATGCTTCTGGAGCTCGAGTCGACCGGTGTGTCTTCCCTTCGTCAGCCCCTATATCTCATACGGCTTGGCGCACAACCATTGCCGAACGTGGTTCACCTTGGAACCAGACTATTCGTTTGAAGATCCCGACTGAGCAAATTCCTGGCTCTCATATCATCATGAGCGTTGCTGATGCACCTGAATTCCCATTTGCCCTGGCTTGGATGCCACTTTGGGACCAGCAAGCCTTCATTAAAGACGGAAGTCACTCTCTTCTCCTTCACGCATATGACAAGCAGACGTCTAGCATGGAGAATGGAAAGGGTGCTTATCTGGGCCTGCCGTGGAGTGCACTGGGCAAGAATGAAGCTGCCAAGGACGAGGCAGTGACCGGTCCTTTGGCAACTCTGCGCCTTGAAACACACCTTTGCAGCACGGAATACTCGCAAGATCAAATTATTTTGAGCCTGCTCAACTGGAAGGAGCGCCCTGTGGATGAGGTTTTTGACACCCTCAAGCGCTTGCCCTTCGTTCCTGAAATCGAGATTGTGAAGCAGCTCCGTGGTGTATTCGATGCGCTTTTCGGCATCTTGGTCGAGAATGCTGGAAATGAGGAGTATGAAGATCTAATCTTCAACAACTTGGTTACTGTTCTTGGCATCGTTCATGATCGACGATTCAACCTGGGCCCCCTGGTGGACCACTACGCCGACGAGCAGTTCAACTTCCCATTCGTTACGCCGTGCCTCATCCGAAGCTATCTGCGCCTTCTCAGCGCTGCCACCGATATGCACCAGTCTCGGAATCTTCGTGCAGCCTTCAAGGTAGGTCGGCACCTGTTGAAGTTCATTATCAATGCTCGCGAGCAACAGAAGGCGAAGGAAGAGGGAATCGGTATCACCACCGTGCAATCGACCTTCAACCGGGATTTGCATACGATTTTCAAGTCCATGGAAAATCTCATGAAAAACTCCTCCCCGACACTCGTGGGCAGCAAGACCTTGATCGTTCAGCACTTCCACTCATGGCTGCCCGAACTTTCCAAGGTCCTGGGTCGGGACGAGATGATTATGATTGCCTTGAGTTTCATGGATTCATGCAAGGACGTTACTGGTATGCTTGTTCTTTACAAACTGGTGCTCATCCAGAGCTACACTCAGTTTGAGATCTTCGCATCCGGTGAGGAGCGACAGACCTTGATCTCCAGCTGTGTAGGTTGGCTTAAGCCCTATTGGGGCTCTACTGCGAGCGTTTCAGACCAGTACCGAGACCAAGTTCGTCTCAGCAGTGCAATTGTAGCCCAGTTGCTCACCCAGCCGGACGCTCAACTCTACGATTTCATGCCCAGCATCGTTGCCTCTTACTGCGCTATCTCAACAGAGGGGGTGGAAGACACTGAGTACCTTTCTCTTCTCTTCAGCAAATCCTTCCCATTCCAAGTCAAGACATCGACAACGCCGCAAAGATTTGATGAATCGTTGGTGGAGTTGTCAGCCATCATGGCTGCGATTGCCAACATTGTGACCCCCAAGACTCCCAATCTCAAGGACCTGGAGCTCTCAACCTTCATTGCCCAGGCGTTGGAGGCCCACAACTCCATTCTGGATTGCGAGGCTTATCCCGAGAACTGGTTCAGCATTCATGTCTACAACCACCGCGCAGCCGTCAAGGGCCTCGAACATCTTGCCTTGCTTATGATTGACAGGCTCCTCCCGAGTCCTGATGATGCCGACACATTCGACACTAAGCTTTGGGAGGCATTTTTTGCTACCTTGCTGAAGGTCATCTCGAGCGATGCCCTTGCCCTCGAGACATTCCCCGAGCAAAAGCGGAGAGCTGTTTGGAAGATTGCCGGCGACGTTCGTGAGCAAGGCGCCGACCTTCTGCACTCCATCTGGGAGGCAATTGGCTGGGAAACCTCGGATGAAGAGAGGGAGCGATTTGACCTAAAGAAGCTGGGTGGTTACCAAGTTCAATACGTGCCAAACCTCGTCCCGCCCATTGTCGGACTTTGCCTCAGTGTTCACGAAGGCCTTCGCCATGTCGCTGTTCACATCCTGCGCACCATGATTCTCAGCGAGTGGGATCTTAACGAGGATATTTCGATCATCGAGACGGAAATCATCTCTAGTCTGGATTCGCTATTCAAGTCTAAGCATATGAGCGAGAGCGTTAGCCAAAAGATCTTTATCACTGAGCTGTTGGATGTGTTCGAAGGTGATGCGGAGTCTGATGAAGGCTTGTTCAACGCTGTCAAGGGTCTCATTTCTACCGTTGATGAGCTACTCGATCTGCTGATTGCTTCTCAGAGCAGCACCTCGACCCAGAGTCTACATGCTCTGAAGCTCATGGAGTACATGAAGGATATGGGCCGTGAAGATATCTTCATTCGGTATGTGCATGAATTGGCCGATGCCGAAGCTGCTGCTGGCAACTTCACCGAAGCCGGTCTCGCCCTCCAATTCCACGCCGACCTCTACGAATGGGACGTCAACAGACCGCTGCTGGAGACCCTGACGCCAACTTTCCCAGCCCAGACTGCCTTCGAGCGCAAAGAGGCCTTGTACTTCTCTGTCATCCAGCATTTCGAGAACGCCATGGCATGGGCCCCCGCTTTGGCTTGCTACAAGGAGCTTGCTGCTCACTACGAAAGTACGACTATGGACTTTGCAAAACTTTCTCGGGCCCAGAGCTCCATGGCCCGGATCTACGATTTCATCGCCAAGGGTGGCAAGCAGTTCCCTCGATACTTCCGTGTCGTCTACAAGGGTCTTGGCTTTCCTGCCACTCTCCGTGACAAGGAGTTTATCTTCGAAGGCTCCCCTACTGAGCGCATGGCTTCTTTCGTGGATCGGATGCAGCGAGAGCATCCGACAGCCCAGATCGTGTCTTCCGGCGAGATCCCCGACTACGAAGGCCAATTCCTGCAAATCACCAGTGTTAGCGCTCATCGAGACGTTGCCCACCCAGTCTATCAGCGATCGAAGGTCCCGCATTCCGTGCGTGACCACTTGCTGATCTCTGAGCCGTCGCGCTTCTCCGCTACCTCGCGCCGACACACCAGCAGCTCTGATGTGCGTGAACAGTATGTCGAGAAGTTGATTTTTAGTGTGGCAGAGCCGTTCCCCAATATTCTGCGCCGCAGCGAGATTATCAATGTCCAGGAAATCGCCCTGTCGCCTCTCCAAACTGCCATTGAGCGGACTTGCCGCAAGACGCAGGAACTGCAACTATTGGAACGACGGGCTGCTTCGGGTGAGGATAACACTCTATCCAACCTCACTGAAGCTTTGGACCAGCTGCTGGAATCGAGGTCGTCGCCATCCAACTGCGTTTCGATGTATCGCGCCTTCTTGAGTGGTGCCCAAGGTACAAAGGACAAGTACCAGGACGTTGCGGAAGGAAATGAAGATGAGGAGGACGAGGTAGAGGACGAGGAGGAACCGGAGATAATGGATCCGATGGAGAACGCGCTTGCTGTTGCCCTCATCGACCACGCTTTGGCCATTAAGCACGCCTTGTCTCTCTACCAACGACCTGCCCAGCAAGCGACCCAAGCCGAGCTGTTCCGTCGTTTCGAAGACGTCTTTGAGCCCGAACTAGCGTCACTTTCTACCTCGCCTCCGGAGTACTCCTCACCCACACCCACTCAACCTGCCCGTCGATCCCCTTCCTCGTCGGAGCATCGTCGCACTCAGACTGCCCAACGGTCCGTCAGTCCCGAGCAAGAGCTCATTCGGGCGTCCCGCGGCAAGTCACACACTCGCAAGCGCTCTGAACGACAGTCGGTCAGCCATCGGATCAGCATCATCAATCCTTTCAGACGCCACGGCCATGGGGCATCCAACTCGATCTTTACCATCCAACAATCCGACAGCAAGAACCAACTGGACCAGGAAGACGGTGAAGACGACGCAGCCACCATCCACAGCCGCGCAACCAGCCACTCGCGCGGTGACAAGCGGCGCAGCTGGTTCGGCGGCGGCGACAAGATCAAGTACGGATCCTCTCCCTCTGTGGCTGATGACGGTTTGAAGAAGCGCACGTCGCGGAGCGCCTCCCGCGACACGACGGCGCAATCTCACGACGGTCGCAGTCGGGCAGGATCCCAACATCGCGGCCCAACGGCCAGCGGTGCCGCGACCAACTCAGAACGACCGGCCCCTGCGTCCAGTGGTGGTTGGTCGACTCTGCCTCCCACGCGCGATTATTCTCGCCCGGTGACTCGCGATAGTGCCCATACGGGACGCGACATGACGGTCGGCACCAACGGGACCCCGCGGGGGTCATACACAGCCACAGCCAACAACACCACTGCTAATGCCAATGCCGCGAACCACGGGGTGCGCGACTCGGTGTTCCGACGCTTCAGTTTGCTCAAGGGTGTTGGGCGGAAGAACAGCCGGATGGATTTCAAAGCCAATGGTGCGCTGCCGGAGGAGTAGCGTCGGACTCCTGGATACCCTGGATACCTGTGATATACCCCTTTTCATTCCTTTGACCCTTTCACCTTGACCTTGCCTCTTTCATGTTTCATGTTCCCTCCTTTCTCTTCTTGATGTGATTTACTACCTGATGTACTCTTTTCCCTCTTACACCTTTTATTGGAGCTTCGACTGTGATTTACAGACTGGGATTTGGTGTTATGCGATAGATACCAATTGACTTGTCCTTCTCAACTTCACATAGCGTAGCTCTCATTTAGTAATGTCGTAGATTGCAGTATACGATGTAGGACATACTACGGCGTGATGACATGGCACAGCAATGTTTAGACCTACACCAGCGTGGCCAGACTGCATGCTCTTAAATACACATTACTACTAGTATCAAGTCGCGAAGTACAGAGTGCTGGTTCAATCGGTGTGGCAGTGCACTACTTGGCTTTCTTGGCTGTGCCGCCCGCGAATCACATGGCCTGGCGATGCTGCAAGCGGGGCTTTTGCTGGGGAGATCGTCCAAGCTCCTCCAAGCTCCGTCACCACATCTTTTCAAGTGTTACTAGCGTCTGTCCTCATTCCGACTCACCTGCCTTCCATCCACTCAGGGACCCCCTAGTGGCCAGACCCACCATCCTCATCTCATCGAGGCTGTGCTCGTCTCAGATTCCCTTTCGGCGTGGTCCTTGCGCTCGCCGCACCAAGGATCTCCCTCCGGTTACGTCGTGTCAACCACGGATCCTGTGGCTGGAAACCTCACACCCCCCCGCTCTTCGATCTACCAGAGCTTGGCTAAAAAGCCAAAGAGAGAAAAGGGAAAAAATGTGTATGTTAGAGAGCTAATTTCCCCTTTCTCTGCTCCCTCCGCTCGCTTCCGCCGTCACCTTCAATGCTCGCGTGGTTGCGTCGCTGGTTCCGGACATCCCCTCGCCTCGCCGCGAACTGACACTGCCCCAGCGTCCGTTCCTTTTCGCTCCCAGTTTCGAAGCTACACCTTTGGTCCGGGCAATCGCAAGATGTCCGGCAATGGCTCTCTGACGCCTGGCGAGCATACCGCTCTGCTGGGCAACTCGTCTACCCTGTACTCCTCGCATGCTCACATTGACCACCGTGGTCATCACCACCACCCCAATGACACCCGGGTGTGGGTGCGCTGGCCGATGCACGTCGTGCGTCTGACATGGTTGACCCTTGTCCGCGACTATGTGAACCTGTTGCTTGTGTTCGTTCCTTTGGGCATCGTCGCCGGCGCTTTGAAGTGGGATTCCTCGGCGATCTTCGTGCTGAACTTCCTGGCCATCATCCCGCTGGCGTCATTGCTGAGCTTTGCTACGGAGGAATTGGCTGGAACGATGGGCCAGGCCTTGGGTGGACTGATGAATGCCACTTTTGGCAATGCTGTCGAATTGATTGTAAGAATTGAATCCGGATGCTTGCCATTCTCTGAAAAACGCCCACCAAATTCTAACCTAACACTCGATGGATGTAGGTCAGTATCATCGCGTTGAAGGATAACCAGATCCGGGTCGTTCAGGCGAGTATGCTGGGTAGCATCCTCTCCAACATCCTGCTCGTCCTGGGCTGCTGCTTCTTCGTCGGCGGTCTCCGCTTCTCCGAGCAGAGCTTCAACAGCACCGTCGCATCGACCATGTCCTCCCTGATGGCCGTCGCCTCCGCCTCGCTGATCATCCCGGCTACCCTGTACGCAGCTCTGTCCTCGTCCCCCAAGAACGCCCAGGACAACATCCTCATCCTGTCCCACGGTACCTCGGTTATCCTACTCCTCCTTTACGTCATGTACCTGTACTTCCAGCTCCGCTCCCATGCCCAGCTGTTTGAAGAGAGCAATGGTAGCGACACCGAGGTTGCCGGCGCTGATGAGGACGAGGAGGATGAGCGCCTACTGAACCCGTGGGCCGCTACCGTCGCGCTCATCGTCGTGACTATCCTCGTCTCCATGTGCGCCGATTACCTAGTTGGCAGCATTGACGACATCGTGCAGAAGACCGGCATGAGCAAGACCTTCATCGGTCTGGTGCTGATTCCCATCGTCGGCAACGCCGCTGAGCATGTCACCGCTGTCGTGGTCGCCTACAAGGATAAGATGGACCTGGCCATTGGCGTTGCCATTGGCAGCAGCCTGCAGATCGCCCTCTTCGTTACCCCCTTCCTTGTCATCCTGGGCTGGATCATGGGTGTCGAGATGACTCTCCACTTCCAGACCTTCGAGACCGTGGCATTCTTCATCTCCGGTCTCGTCGTCACCCTCCTGATCCAGGATGGCAAGTCCAACTACCTGGAGGGCGGTATGTGTCTCGGCATGTACATCATCCTCGCCCTTGCCTTCTACGTCTACCCTGATGACGCGGGTGACGGCATGGGCATGCTGAGCAACATGCTCAATTAAACGCCGCAATTCGAAAGGTGGATGGTGTACATAGCAAAACTGTATGTGTTGATCTCCGTTGGTTCATCTGCGTGTCATGAGTCTGCTTTTAGTCGCCCTGTCGGGCTTTTCTTTGTTGCGATAGCGCTGGTCGGCTTTGTGTCTTTTTCTGGGCGCACTGTCCCTGTTTTGAGTAAATCTTCTATGTTCATATTCGAAAATGAATGAACTTGATATCACTTTTGTTCCTGGAGTAACTCACGCTGTTGACTCATTTTTCTTTCTATATTCAAAAAATCTATGGTCTATATACATAATTTTTTTGGAGAGAACTTGAATGGAAAGACCCCAGCAACTGGAGTAAGGAAGTCTCCATTGGGTCTGCCTTTCCATGTCTTGTCTATCCATCGCTAGTCAAGCAGCACTAAATTTTATGGCTGCGAATTGTCAAGCCCAGGAAGGACCCAGACAGCGAAAGGACGAGGGACATCACTAAACACGCAATGAGGAATCTGATCGGAATGGTTGGTATAGACAAACTTACAGTATGTATACCGGAGCCCAGCCACATAGCTCCTCACGACTATTTGTCGAGCCTCGCCCGCAAGCCCCGTGATGTAGTGAAAGTTTGCCAAAGAGTGACGAATAATCTAACCATGTCAGCCATAATTGAACAGTGAGGACGCGAGACATGACTTACCTCCTCTGCATTCGAAACACCAAGATCCCTCCGCATATACCGCTCAAACGCAGCCATCAAAATCGAGTTGGACGCCGTAATACCCACAGTCATGGCAATGCTAAACACAAGCATATATCCACCCGTCGCCATGATAGCCTCCTCAGAATTCAAAAAAACCGACATAGCAACGAAAGACGCCGCAGCCGCAAATGCAGTGCCCATGCCACTGGGAACAATAAACAGCGACTCCCAAACGGACGTCTCTGCATCCCAACGCAAAAAGAGCAACAAGTACGACACAGACGCAACAAGCCCAGCCATAAAAAGCACAGGTTTATACTGACCCGTCCGTCGAATGAACCACCCAGCAATCAACCCGCCGACTGCATTACCCACAACAGACGGAGTGAGATGCGCCCCCGCAACGGTCGTCGAGACGCCCGCGGTAACCTGGAAATAGAGCGGGACCGTGAACATCATGCTTGACTGTGCTGCTATCTGCAGGACGCTGATGAGGTAGCATGTCGAGACGTTCGGGAGGCGGAGGATTCGTAGGTCGAAGATTGGTTCGGGGGCGACGTAGGTCTCGTAGTAGGCAAATGTCGCGAGGAATGAGAGGCCTGAAACTGCGAGCATGAGAGCGTATTGTGAGGTCCAGGGGAAGGCTTTGCCGCCCCGGTCGATTAGGATGGTGAATGATATCACGCTGCTGGCGAAGAGGACTGCGCCGGGGATGTCTACTCGGCATATGGAGGGTTTTGAGTCGGTGGTTGGGGTGGTTGAGCTTTGTTCGAGGTGTAGGAAGATCACCACGAGGATTGCGGCGATGCCGAGGAGCGGGGCTTGAGAGAGGAAGACCCTGGTTGAAGAGAAAGAGTTAGGTTGGAGCCAGGATGAGGAATGGGCTTGTCGTACCAGCGCCAGCCGATGGTATCTGTCAGCCACCCACCGATGGGACCGCCGACGCTTCGACCTAGAGTCATGGAGATATTGACGACTGCTCGCCAGCTGGCGACATCTCTTTTGGGAACGACATCTTGAATGAATGTGAGAGGTGTTCGTTGGGATGGACAGGTAGATGCATACCTAAGATGATGATTGAGCCCATGGACATTATACCCGCGCCGCCCATGCCGCTAACAACGCGTCCAACGATGACAATCGACATCGAGGGTGCAACGCCGCTGTATTTCCAGCATCATTAGAGATCCGGAATCAAGTCTGAATTTGATATCTGCACAACATACCAGATAGCGCATCCAAACCCGAGAAGAACGTATGCCAAGAGGAGGATCGGCTTGCGGCCATAGATGATGCCGAGCTTTGCGTACTGATCAAATTGGTCAGAAAATGAATGAGAAAAACATAATTCCGGAGTTACGCACTATCAACTGCACAGCTCCATTCCCCAGCGCAAAAGCCGTGGCTAGCCAGCTCGCATCTTGTAATTTGTTAAAGCCAGATGAAATCGGGCCTGCGGCGGCCATCACGATTGTCGAGTCGGCATTGGAAATGAATTCACCTGAAGAAGTTAGTAAGAAAGAAAAGAAAAAAACGAGAGATTGAGGCTTCTATCTCACCAAGTAGGAGAACCACAATAATGCTGGCGACGCTGCCGAGAAACGGTCCACATGTAGAAGTTGTACTGGGACTGATTAACTCTTCTCGATCCGTTGAGTCATATATCTGTGTCTCTGAGTCTACAGCAGTCTTGGTGTTAAATGTTGAGTATGACCGGTCGCAGCTTTCTCCAATTTGTCGATCTGAATTTAGCAGCGCAGTCTCGTCTGGGTTGGAATCTAGTGACATCTTTTGCGATAGTAGATTTTTGCGACGGGCTATCACATAAACAACCGGCGATAAATGGGAAAAATCGAACCAATTGGTGATTGGAGACTGAAAGATCGGATGATTCAGAGAGACAACACGAGACGAAAGAGAAAGACCGAGACGAAATTCTCGACAAATGTAAGGATTTTTCGACTGGGGCCATTTCCAAGACCTCGTCCCTCGTGCATCGTCTAGTCTACATCATGGCCTCGCCTAGAGAAGCCCTTCGAGAGAAGACCGATGAAAAACCTGTCAGATCGGCACTTATGCATGTAAAACAATAGAGATATGGATGGTGCAATTTTAGGGGCCTTTTTCTCATGATAGTGGATCAGTCCTATGAGCGCCCCTTAATTCCATGCGAAGGTTCAAGTTGTCAGACGCAGTCCGTGGTAATGTTGTTTTCTCTGTTCAGTTTGAATAAGATAATCTATTAAATTTATTGGAATATCTGACGCCTTCGATTTTTGATTGTATTGTCGCAGATCCTTCAGTCTCCATGGACTGCAAACATTTCTATAAATCTGTTAGACCCTGTGCACGGACAGTATACGGTAAATCTCCGGCTCTTCCCTGGGTTAATGCCGTGAACGAAGTGGGTTCTCGATCCGCCAAGATCCGCCCTACAGCTCGCGACATTCCGACAAGTGATAACGTGCTTTTAGACAAACGTCTTGATCAAGACCTCGACAGATCAGCCATTCGACATGGAATGATTCAACCGATCAAGAGCCGCGGAAGCCGAGAGACATTCCATTTCTATAGCACCGACCCTGAATTCTCTGAACTTAGTGTGTTCAAGGAAATTGGTGCAGCACCAATCACCTCATCTATTTTTTTTTCAAATGTCATTATTCTTCTTCAAGAGAGTTATCCCGCCATATTTGAATATAAAGTACGTTGAGTAGAAGTGTAAAAGATAACTGTGGCCTTCATACCCCGCCCGAATCAGTGGTCATCGGGTGCCACAGTCCGACCTTATCCAGGGTTAAGATGGGCGGAATATCATTTCTGGGCAAAACAACCATTGTTCTCAGCCTTGTGCAAGCAGAACGCGCGACAGTGTATGATGAACAACAGCAGCAAGTTCTGGTGACCGACATTCCGAACAATCTTCAGAATGACCGATCTAACATCATTTTCATTCTGACGGACCAAGACTTGATGCTAGACTGGGTTTCGTACATGCCTCAATTGAACAAGCATCAGGCGCAACAGGGAACATTCCACCGCAACCACTTCGTCACGAAGTTATGAGGGACATTATACCACGGATATCCTAAAATCGAAGGCCTGGAATTCCTCGATTCGGCGATTCGGTAATCGGCAAAGACGCGCCTTCCCTCCTCACCATTACACCCATTGCGCCGCACTCGAATCTAGCCCGATTATTCCTCGCACGAGTTCGAACCATATTAAGGCGACAGCGCCGATTTCTGTGGAAAGACACAAGCATCTTTTTGAGGACGTGAAGATTCCGCGGAATCCGAACTTCAAACCCGACGATGTATGTCCCCCGGAGGCTTATAGGGCAAAGTGACATATGTATAACGCAAGCACCGAAAGCCGAGCGGCGTAAACTAGATCAAGCGCCTGCCAAAACTGGACCAGAGCAACATCGAATATAATGACCACTTCTACCGCTCAAGACTGCGAGCGCTCGAGCCCGTGGATGAGCTCATCGGCGAGATTATTGAAGTCCTAAAAGACAATAATCTCCTGGAAAACACGTATACATATCATCTTCGCCTCGGACAATGGATATCACATCGGACAACACTGTCTTCAACCAGGGAAGGAATGTGGCTTTGAAAAGGACATCCGTGTTCCATTTATAATTCGCGGTCCTGGGATCTTGCCGAACTATGAAGATTTGGCTGTTTCGACTCATGTCGATATTGCGCCGACTATATTTGATATCGCTGGTCCGCCGCTTCGGTCTGATTTTGATGGCACGCCTATGCCGTTGAAGCAGGAGTTGAATTCGAGTGAAGAGCCCCTGCACGAGCATGTTACTGTTGAATTCTGGGGACTTGCGGTCCTGGAAGGAACATACAACACCCTAGGTAAGTATCCTTCGCTGTGTCCAGCTCCTGTTGGTATGAAATTAATTTGCTTTCATGTCAGGCTCCGACAACCCGCAAACCTATCACGAATAACACGTACAAGGCGGCTCGCATCTATAGTAGTGAATATGACCTTTACTACTCTGCCTGGTGCAGTAACAAGCATCAGCTTTATAACCTCAACGTACGTGATGTCCAAGTTGAGATTTGAATATTCTCTAGATGAAACTTGGCTAATTGTGAACGATCTGTAGTCTTACCCTTATGAGATGAACAACTTGTGTGATGCTTCCGGGTATGCGAACGAAGGAGAGAAAGACGGTCGAGAGCTTCTCGGTGTTCCTCTCGTAAAGCTTATCAACCTCCTGGACGCCCTGCTTCTCGTTCTCAAGTCCTGCCAGGGACGGGCTTGCATTCGTTTCCATGGGACCTGCTTCATCCTGATGGTGACGTCCATACCCTGGTGGACGCGCTGGACGAGAGATACGACGAGTTCTATCATGTACAATCCAAGGTATCTTTCAGTCGTGAGTTTGGGTATCTTCTCGATGCAGAAGAACCTCAAACCGGCCTGGCCTACAGGAATGGGCTCGAGTGGCATCACTGGGTCTGAAGAGACTCGGAATCAGATTAAAAAGAGCAAAGAACTATCACAAAAGTCGTTTTCTACCCAGCGTAGGTCCATTGTGTCTTTTCGGGTTGAGCTGGCTGTATCTTGTGTGGTGGTACTACTCCTCATGTCATCCCCACATTTCCAGCTGAGACATTCCCGACAAACTCCCCAACTCCAACTACACCTTGCCTATCAGCAGCCCTCCCCTCATCGGCTGTCTGAAATTTGGCCGACTGCGACGCTCTGCTTCAAGCGGGGAACGAGAGTTCATTACCTAAACGGCGCGCTCGGCAATCCCGCGGAACATTAAAAGTATCCGTCTCCACCAAAGCAACCACTCCGAGAACGAACATTTGAAATCCGCACTCACCTGGGGAATGTCCCATCTACTCCGGATTCCCTGACTGACCAGAATCTCGATCAGAACCATGGTCACCTCCGTTGCCTCTCTGGCCGCTCTGCTCGTCGTGACCGTGCTTATCTACAAGGGCCTCATTTATCCGGCCGTTATCTCGCCGCTGGCGAAGATCCCCAATGCGCACTGGAGTGTCCCCATCTCCCCCGCTTGGATGTTATGGAGGCGATTCCGGATGCAAAATAATCGCACGATCCAGGCGGCGCATGAGAAGTACGGTCCGATTGTGAGGCTGGGACCGTCGGAGATCTCGGTGAACTGTGTGGATGGAGGTATCAAGTCTGTCTATACCGGTGGATTCGAGAAGCATGAGTGGTATCCGCGGGTATTTGGGTCTCTTGGGTACGTTCTGCCCTTTATCTAAAAAGAGTATCGCGGAGGAGACACGGATTGATGGATTCAATAGGACCGTTAGCATGTTTACTATGATCGGGGCTAAGCCGCACTCCACACGTAAGAGGATGCTCTCCAACATCTACTCCAAGTCCACCTTGCAGACCTCACCTCACCTCCGCGTGGTGTCCAACGCAGTCATCTATGATCGTCTCCTTCCGATCCTGCAGGAGACCGTAGACTCCAACAAACCAATCGACGTTCACGATCTCAACCAAGGCCTGACAATGGACTTCGTCTCGTGCTATCTCTTCGGCCTGCAGAACGGCACAAACCACCTACGAGACCATGCATTCCGCAAACACTGGCTCCACATGTACCTCTGCCGCAAGCCATTCGAGTTCTACCACCAAGAGACGCCAAATCTGATTCGTTGGATGAAATGCATGGGTCTGCGCCTGATTCCAAAGTACTGCGACGTCGCCAACGACATGCTCGATGCGTGGGCGTTGGATCTGTGCGGGAAGGCTGCCCAGTCACTGGCTTCGACGGATCCCTCAGTCGAGCCTATTGTGTACAAGCAGCTTAAGCAGAGCTTGGACAAGCAGGCAGCGAAGGAAGGTGGCCCGAAGACTGACCCTGTGGAGCAGCAGAATGATATCGCGTGCGAGATGTACGATCAACTCACAGCGGGCTTTGAGACCAGCGCTGTCGGGTTGACTTACTTGCTCTGGGAACTGTCCAAGCACCCGGAAATACAAGAGAAGCTGCACGAGGAACTGATGTCCTTGGATCCTCCGATCCAGTTTCCAAAATCTGCAGAGCTGCCCTCAGCGAAGGCGATCGATGGCCTGCCATTGCTAGAAGCTATCGTTACCGAGACGCTGAGACTCCATGCGCCGATCCCAGGTATTCAACCTCGCGTCACGCCATCTCCGTCGTGCTCTCTTGGAGGGTATGATAATATCCCCGCCAATACGCGAGTCAATGCGCAGGCTTATTCGCTCCATCGGAACCCAGAGGTGTTCCCGGATCCTGAAACTTGGCAGCCGAAGCGATGGTTGAAGGAAGAGAACTCGGTCGCCGATCTTGAAGAGCGGAGACGGTGGTTCTGGGCGTTCGGGAGTGGTGGGCGGATGTGTGTCGGAAGTAACCTGGCACTGCAAGGTCAGCTTGAATCGTGTTATTTGATGAAAAAACTGGTATTGATTGTTCCTCCAGAGACGAAGCTTGTCACAGCAGCGATATATTCCAATTTCCGCACCATGGTGGTCAACGATGATGACATCGAAGAGATTGATGCTTATACGGTCCACCCGCGAGCAGGGAAGTTGATGCTGAAGTTTCTCTTCGTTTAGAAAATAAACCCATGATGTCGGAGAGCCCAAGATTCAGTTGAAAATAGTTATACAATCAATTCTTTTCAAGACGATGTCGTTGCCGTAGCCGTAGTCGACATAGGTATATACTGTACAAATGTGCCGCAAATAATTACCCAAACTCCAGAATGAACGATGGTGGCGGGGCTCGCAGATCACTCTCAAGATGCTCGTAGTCCCGAATTTTGTCCATGAAAATCGAAAGGCAGTTTAGCCCAGGACACCGTCCTTCTTCCGGGGGCCCACGACCTTGGGATACATTCTCATCAGGTGGTAGTTGACGGTGTTCTTCTTCTTTTCTTGCGGTTTCTAGAGGGAGAGCGGACTGTTAGAAAATTGCTTGGAATGAGAATGAGTGCAAGATATTTCGGCAACATACCGGTGCGTCCATGCACTTGCGCAATTGTGCCTCGAGGGCAGCACAGCCTTCGGCGTTGTAGCCTTGAGAAGCCCAGCAGTCTGCAAACGGATCCATTAGCAATTGATCGGTGGGCCACCAAGGTCCAATCAAACATACTCAGCATAGACGACATGACAGTGACGCAGGGGTTCTGCTCATTCTGGTTGGGCCGGCGAACGCGGAGGTGGTTGATGGTGTTCAGGCGAAGCGGGTTCAGCCGAGTCGAAATGTTGCCTTTGGGAGCCATGGCAACGGTAGAAATTCAATATCGACGCGGTGCGGACCGAGGATACCGAGAAAAGCGAAAGTAAAATGCCGCAACGGGCTTCGTGGACTGCGATGGGGAAGTTGACGCCGGCGGAGGTCGAGTTGGCGACGACCACAAAATCCCTGGCGGGTTTGGCTCCGCGGAGGTGGATGACTAAGCGCGCGCCGAAGCCGCGGACTTGCCACTTTCTAGCACGACTCTTTGGCAGCTGATCTATGATTGTGTTTGCTTTTTTGTCGAGTCTGATTTGGAGGATTACATTTCAATCGAAGAAGCTGCTGGTCATGAGTGGGACGCAGATTTGGGGCACCCAGTTTCGCCGGGTACCCGTTTGCGCCTTGACAGCTTCAGCTCCCGCAGCTCGGCGGTTCACAGCGGCATGTCAACGAAGCCAGAATGCGCCCTCGTCCTCGAGAAAGACAGACGAAAATGACACACAAGACAAGCCCAGAGAAGAGGATGAGGAAGGACAGAGAGCAATGTCTCGCCGACTGGAGAAGATGACCGAGGATGCGATACTGGAGGGCGGCCGGGCTGCGCGCCGCAACATTGAGCACGCTGGATTCTCGGAGGATCTGAAGAGGCAACTCGAAGAGAGGGTTAAGGCAGCTTCTTTTAAAAGCGAGCATGCTGCTGCTCATTCTATACTAGATATGCCGGTGAGTACTTTCATCAGTCTTTGCGGCGATGACCATGTTGCAGTGGTTGACTTGGATATTGAAATATCAAGGCTAGCGCAGGCCAAGGAACTCGAGAAACAGCTACTGCGCAAGCATGGACAGGAACAGAGACCCTTCACGACTCCGCTCTACGCATGCTGGATGACGCCAGCAAGCCAATCCGCACGCCATACAAGATACCCCAACCCGTTGACCTCAAACCCGCTCCGAAGCCCAAACGCTCGCCCGGGGAACGTCTCGCCGACGCCAAGGACCGTACATCTACATACGCGCTCAGCAAGGCCCCTGGGTTCTCAGAAGAAGAACGAGAGGCAATGCGCCGAGAAATGAGAGAGCAGTTAACGCCTGGTGCCCACTCCATGCCGATGTCCATACAAGGACTGTCCTCCCTTGCAAACGAACGAATTGAAGATGCTATTGCCCGTGGCCAGTTCCGCAGCATCAAGCGTGGGAAGGGCGTCAATACGGAGACAGACCATAACGCTAACTCGGCTTTTATCGATACGACGGAATATTTCATGAACAAGATCATCCAGAAGCAAGAGATTGTCCCACCATGGATTGAAAAGCAACAGGAGCTTGCGATGGAGATCAGCCGATTCAGACAGCGCCTCCGTGCGGATTGGAGGCGCCATGCGGCGAGAATCATCGCGAGTCAGGGCGGATCCCTAGACGCACAAATGAAGCGCGCAAAAGGTCATGCTGCTGCTGAGGCACGTCTCTCAGGGAAGAAAAAGCTTGAAGCGTCGCTCAGCAAGGCCAGCAACGAGGCCGTTGGTTCTGAACTAGACTCCGATAGCCGAATAGTCTCGAAGATCCGAGCACCAGAACTCGCAGTCGAATCTGAGGAAGGCAAGAACCCACCGGACGATATCCCGCATCTTCCTCCTCTACGAGATCAAACATATCTTAATAACGAACGCTCATACCACGAACTTGCCGTAAAGCATCTGAACGCCATCGCCCGCTCCTATAATTTACAAGCACCTCGTTCCGCGCAGAAGCCATATATAAACCTGGACCGGGAATTGAATGCCTGCTTCATCGAAGTCGCGCCCCAGCTGGCCGACGAGATTCGACGACGAGCAACTGAGCGAGCACGTGGTCCTATGACTACTGGTGGATCCTCGGCGGGCGTGTTTGGGTCTCTTGGAACAGCGCAGAACGTTCGAGTTTACGAGGAAGATAAAGAGAAGGCATATGGATTGAAAGAGATGTGGCGAGATTTATTCTCTAAGGACAAGTAGTGACCAATTGTAATAGACTGTACATACGCAATACAATATTTATTGCCAAGCACCCATATCCTAGTGTTCGCAGTAAAACCCTGCCAAATTAGCGGAGTATTGCTCGACGAAATTTCATCTTTCAGAAATTCCAAGCTCGTTTGTTCTATGATATTTTAAAGGGCACAGTGGGTTCGTGGCAATTGGATTGACTAATGTAGAGCACCTACTGCTTCAACAGCTTCCTCAAATATCTAAGCCTCGAGTATGTTTATTATGTTCAGACTACTAGTGATTATGCAAGAAGACAGAAATTTTCCTGCAATTTCCTCGACGGTAATTGGGCGAGAAATCAAATATTCAAACATTAAGCAAAAAAAGTTCTTGTGCCCAATTGACATAGTACGATTGCCTGCATATCTATACCGGAAGTTTCCGCTTCGAGGGCCGGCCACATCGAGAGAGGCTGGATTGAATAGACAATTTCTCGAAGTTACTAGGCATAACAGTGAAATTAATAAAGAAGCCTGTAATAAAGCGTGGGAACCCGGCAAAAGTAGTCCATTTACTCTAGGGCAAGTGAATGATGCACGTGCTCGTTGAGCTCCCCCAGGCAGCCCACTCAAGCCACTCATCGTTGAATTGCTCGCGCCTGCCTCTTTGAAAATAGGTCTCTCCCATCGCCCTCCTACTTTGTTTTCTTCCTTCTGCAACCCTCTTCGCGATCACCATTTCGTATCTTCCCTCCATTCTCCTTACCGATTTCCATCAAAATCTCTATCAAATCTACCACATTTACTTAAAAATGGCCAAGATCTTTGTTGGGTAAGGCAATAGCATGTTTCTACTGTCATTTCGATGGATTCTAACGCGACTTTGTCCAGCGGTCTCGCCTGGGCCACTGATGAGACCAGCCTCCGCCACGCTTTCGAGCCCTACGGCGAGGTCCAAGAGACCGTAAGTACCCATCACACTCCAACCCTTGCACGTTTCGTGCCACTCATTCACATATCACTTGTAGAACGTGGTCCGGGAGCCTGAGACCGGTCGTTCCCGTGGTTTCGGCTTCGTGAAGTTCTACCACGAACAGGATGCCGAACGTGCCATCGAGGCTATGAACGGCCAAGAGTAAGTTACCTTGACTCACCCACCTGTCATAACGACCTATCTGACTCGATCTTGTTCAGGCTGGATGGTCGCCGTATTCGTGTCGACCACGCCAATGAGCGCCCCCGCCCTGACTACCGTGGCGACCGCCTGCCGGCGAGCCACCAGCGTTACCGCGACGGTGGTTACGGCCGTGGATGCTAATAGGCACCGTTGTTGGATCTTATCCTTCGACACATGCGACGGGGGAGTATTGTGGTCGGATAATGTCTTTTGAAGACAATTCGGGAGTTTGTTATGGGGTTACACGTTTTTCATATGGATTGGCGATGTGCCTAGCCGTTTGGCAGATCAATAAATTGCATAAATGTCTTCAGGACTTAAAAAAAATCGGAGTTCGGTGAATCCCTGCAGTTGCATCACATTTTCTTAAAAAGTTTCTCTATGCGTAACTAGGTGCCGGTTCCAATGGCAAGCTCACAACTCTATACATGAGTGCAATGAACTCGGAGTGATCCTGAGGCAAATCTCGAGGCTGACAGACCTTGCTTAATTCATATCTCTGGGAACGTTTTATAAGTTCACCGATCATGGAGAGCGAGATCCTACTGTTATCGCAGGTCGGCATCAAAAAGCTACTATTACCCATGACACAACGAAATGTTTGAGAATGGTAAGACAGACTAATTAATGCAGAGTTACACGGAATAACCTGGGGTCATGACGAAAGCAAAAGCACTCCCGTTTTGAAAAAGACACTAATAATTCGAGAGTGTAGACAGAAAGAACACTGCGTCGACAACATCAGATGTTGAAGCAGTAGAGAGTATCGATATGACAAATCAGTCAGGGCCCAGAGCAGACTTAGCTTATGTCACGCAAAATGTATAGACCACTGGCAGCTCGTTCGGACGTTCCATTCGGTCATCTTGTTCGATTGTCAAGCCTTTCGCTCTGTTTGCTGCGAATCGACTTCCGGGACGGAGAGCCTTTCCACCAATACGGAAATATCGATCGACTCGAGCAAACGCTGGGCACATCTAATAAATGTAGTGGCTGTTGCGATTTCTGTAGCAATATCAACTTCATCCGACTCTTTTCTGGCAGCAGCTCGCGACACCGAACGAGCCAGGTAAATCGATCCGATGAGTGTTGAACAGCACACCAAAATCAGCTGGGAAAAGAAGAACACGAGACAAACAGGCAACAAGTTGAGCTCTATCGTTGCAAGAACAATCGACGACAGTCCACAGACGATACCAGAAATGACACACCAGGGCATAGAGCTCTCCTTGACAAGTCGCCAGGGCCATTTCGTGACATTTTGTGGTAGCAGATCTGGGTCAACAAGTCCAAGAGGAAGACTGCGAGAGCTTTCAATCCTGCGATACAGCTCCTTTATGTCGTAAAGGAACAAGTACCAACAGAAGAAGCTCGCTTCAAGGGCAGCGATCCCAATTGTAACCACGAAAATGTTGAGAATACGATGATTGGCTGTCTCCTGAAAGAGGTAGATGTTGGGCAAAGGGGGCGTAATCGTGTAATTGACCCCCTCATACTCGAAGTAGGCCGTTGTGTTGCTCGCCATGGAGGGACACTGGACCGATTCGAGGTCGCGTTTCAGCGGTATGATGAACTGATGCCATGGAATCTTGGGCCAGTCGTGCAGAGGCCAGCTGGCTTGACCGAGATCGGAATCGCCGAAGGGAAGACGGGATACGAGCTCGTGCTTGTCAATCCAGATCTCGTTGACTGCGTTTCCGGGAGCGTAGAAGTCGGAGGATTTGACACCGTTGATCGCGGAGATTTTGTTTCCCATCGGAAGAGGAAGAGATGCGAACGCAGGGAGATGCGAAGGAAAAAATTGTCTGATCCCAGTGGGAAACAGCCCTGGAGGGATGGATCTCTACAAAGTTGAGCGGGCACGCTGTCGAGGCGATGGGAAGGTGCGAACAGTACGGGCAGTATACACCAAACGCCTGCCACCTTTGGACTCCCGCCTCAGTCGAGACACAGACGACTGCAGTTCCCCACACTGTCTTGCCATTATGCACACTTGAAATCCCTTTTGTCTCTTTTGGGCTTATGAATTGAGCTAGCTTCCAGACCTTCCTGGCATCTCTTCCTCTTTGGCTAACCAGGCGCACGGCTGGGTAGTCCCTCCTCTACCCTGCGCACCACAAAGCCCCCCATTCCAACGCCAGGCATGGATAAGATAAAAGCACTGCTCTGCTCCAGACCATACTACAAGTAAGTTCGATCTTTTAGGTTTCCTGGAGCGACCCTTGTAGATCTGGATGAAGCTAATACTGTCGCAGCTCATCCCTCAAGCCCAACACGACCAATTCGCACCCCCTTCGTCCTTGCCTGTCGATCACTCCCTGGAAAAGGGCTCAATATCCTGGATCTCGGGGCATACGCCACACACCCGCTGCAATCTCCGGCCAAGGAAGAAATGGGCTTGTTGTTTACCGAGCCGGCGTGGCAATCAAGGTGCCAAATCGGGTTCATAAGGAAGACCATCTCGATATCAGCGTCCAGGCCAATTCCTACGAGCAAACAGCCTACCAACACTTCATTAAGACTCTTGGATTTTCCACTGGTGAGGGTCACGCTGAGTTCAATTTACTCGTTATTCGTTAAAGTTGGGAGCATGAACACCTGCTGACCACATATCACCTCTTTACTCTCCAGTGACCATTTCCCACAATTTAACGGTCGAACATCTCCAACAAGTAAAGTGGACAATTATCGAGATTCTGCTAAACAACGGAGCATTCGTTCAAAGGCCAAAACCTTGCACACAATACAGAGAGACATTCAAGTTGTTTCTAAAGCTTATTGCGTCGGAACAACCCAGACAGCACCCTTCCGAGATTATACAAAGCGCTCGACATGCGAACGACTTTTCGCCTGGAGCAACCTTACAGTGAAGCATTTTACTAGCGAGTAGTGTACCTTTAGGTGCTTGGATATGCAGTTAGTCAGCGCCAAGTCCGGTGAAAGTGACGGGGGATCGGTGGACGCTGACTGGCTGCGCAGGGGTGACGATCGTGCATACGGGCGCTTAGTCGCAGCCAACGACAGGCCATATCCCACGCTCTTTTGACACTGCGCTCGTCTCGTCACACTTGATGCCTCGCGTCTTATACCGCACCCCTCCCTCATCTGCCGCCTCATCACTTCCGAAGCACAATGCACCCTCTCTCTCCTCGAGATTCGTGCTTCGCCATGCCGATCAGCCTGCCTGACTTCACCGGCCCTTAAATTTCGATTCCTTGTTCCCCGCTGTGCTTTTTCTTCGAGTCACATACAGGCGCCGGAAATGCCTCCTTCCCCGGTTGCCTCTTGGTCTCCTTTTCTTTCCCTTCTGTGTTTGTGCATCCTGCCAGTCTCTGGAGACAGTGGAGTACTTACCGAACATTGGACTGTCAACCAGCGTCCACCACTTGATAAAGCCCTTCTTGGAATTCAGGTCGGTAGTATATTTGCTGCCTACGTGATCTTCGTTGCTGTTCTGCTCGCTCTACTACTACTGGTCGGAAGACGGTTGAGGCGAACTGTTCAGTCATCCAACTACTCGCTTCAGATGCAAATGCTGAAGCCAGTCAAACCGCCCATCAGCTTGGATCCCAGTCCAGTATCTCCAATCTCGCACAACCTGCCCAGTCCCAGGTCACACCAATTCACGACCTCGTGGGGAAGTATCCATCGTGGAGCTAGGCCCTCTCAGAGCTCTGTCAACGGCAGTATGGTGACAGTCGATGAATCCGTTGTCGCTTCGGACCGACAGCGAGCCCAGGACCAGATGGAAATGCTCTATGCGGCAGTCATGGAGCATGATGCTCAAAAGGCCTCCGGCGTGGACGTCTCTGTTCGCGGCCGAGACTCCCAGAGCCAGTCTCCGGACAGTCAATACACCAACCCTTTCACCGACCGACACGCCGCATATGCCCCTGAGCAACCACCATTGCCACCGCTGAAATCCCCGAAGTCCTCGAGGTTCTCGAATAGCCCGCGCCTCTCGAAGCTGTTTAGCTTGAGGTCAGGGTCAAACCCGGATGCGGGCAAGCTGCGTTCTCCAAAGTTCCCTATCCGAAAGATGGGCATCTCGTCACCGCTGGCTTCTCCAGACTCTTGGACTCCCCAGACATACTCTCATGAGCCTGCCCCTCTATCCCCGCGTTTTTACAACCCCGGTCCCCCTCCGGTAGCACCGGCGTCTCCGGCAGCTCCTCGAGCACCACCCCCGGCCGCCTTCGGGGCGAATGTTCCCTCTCCAGGTCGCGCTCGACCGCCAGCCCCATTGAACCTAGCTACCGCATCGCCACAGGCCCAATCCTCGCAGTCATCACTTCCATTCCGCGAGGCGTACCCCTTGCAAAGTGCTCCGGCTACCAAGACCACGATTCTGGAGCGTCCTACAAAAAATCGCACTGGGCCAATCACTGGTGTGCCGACTCCCTATAGCGCATACATGCCGTTCACCCCGGTGACTCCATTTACACCGGGACGGACCGTGACGAAGCGCCAACGAAGACGCGAGGAGAAGGAGAATGGGCTTCGGGTGTTGAATGAGGATGACCTTGTCAAGGACGATGAGGATATGTGGTGATAATTTTTTCATGCCAGTCAAAGAACTGTTTTTATGTCAAACATCTGGCAGGCGTAATAATCATGGGACGATCTATTGTTTTCATGTGCCCCGGAGGCCACAAATATAACTATCAAACATAGTATGCAAGTGACAATTGATTTATTTGATACCCAACAGCTGCAGATGGAACTTGCGTAATTGGATCGGACGGAAAAGAAAAAGCCAGGCACAGGGATATGGCAAATAAGATGGTTGGTCACCCCCAAGGAACACAGATTCGTACCAATGTATAGGATCACGTGACCCCTTAGTCTTTCAAAGACTCTCACTCCTCATTCACAGTAGAGCAAAAGAGCTACAGTAATGTTTGCATGATGTGCGTGGAGATTCCTTTGTCACAAAACCAGCAAACCAGAAACTGCGGAGGCCGCTGTGCTATAAAATGGAAACATCCGACATCCGTTTGTGTTGCACCTTACCTCACTTCACCCCTTCAACTTTATTTGAACAATATTGACCTCGCCCAGCGGAGACACAGGTGTCGGAGCACCCCTCAAGCGCTCATCATATATAGAGTCCACACACGAAGCATATCCATCAACTGCAACGCTGTATAAAAGATGCCATTCCGCGACCGCTAGGAAATCGGCAGCTGCATGGATGGCTCATCGAGATGGCAGATTCAAGCTGTGAAGATGAATCTGCTATGGTATCATGGCGCTGAGGTCCTCAACCACACTGATAAAGTGGAAGCAAGACATCACCGTGCTTGCTGTGTTGTTCCCCATCTCGGATATTGTCTCTCTTGGCCACAACTTTCATGAAATAATGATTGGCCATTTTAGAAATATGGGGGTGGATGGCCATCTTGGACCAAATGCAGCGGGGGCATTGCGGAGAAGCGGTTAAGTTGCACATTTTCGGAAAGGACTCCAACCCCTCTGGAGGAACAGATCGCGGATGTTGTACAAAAGTGCGTTTCAAAAACATTTGAGACAGCTGATGAGGTGGTTCAGGCGCTGACCGGTATTGATATTTTTGTTTAATGCTATTCATACGAGTACAAAGGAGCTGAAGCTGCTCAATGGGATTTTCATTAATGTTTTACTTTGTTCTTGAACATGTTGGGGGAAAACAAAAAGTAATCATAGAGAATGAAAGATAATACAAAAGTCACCACCCTAAAAAAAAAAAAAAAAAGGAAAGAAAAAGAATTGCTGTGAAAATGCAAGTTGGTACAAAGACCAATTTGGAAATGAGTATCAAATTGACAATGTGAAGGAGTCTCAGGCGTGGACGAATTCAAAGATGGGGTTTGGAATGGGAGAAATGGATTTAAAACTGGCAGGACCAATATTCCATAACGTTGAGAATAACAATGAAACGAATCTGACTGGAATTTTTTAAAAACAATTGAACCAAATAAATTGTTCTGACTAGTTGTACTCTACAGTAGAGTCATTTTGATCATCTACGGATGGACATAAGAAGTCCATGATTATTAATGCTCTAGATAGGTTTTCCAAGTTTTACGGTCGTCTAATGAATTATCCGATACATTAGTATGGCTCATTCTGCCACTTCACATAGGATGGCCCTTTGGTTAGATACATTTAGTGATATGGTCGATTGAAAGCATAAAATACTGGACACTATGTCTAAATCAAGTCTCTACATCACCAGGATAAAGTACTTCCCAAGCCCTTCTATTTATCCATATTTTTCAGATGATGGGTACCCTTGATAATAGCTTCAGCATAGTCCGCGCGACTTCCAGCCTTCTCAAGAGCAAGGAGTGCCTGAATAGTACATCCACGCGGTGACGAAATACTCTCACGAAGAACGGCGGGATGAATGCCGGACTCGAGAGCAGCAGATAGGCCCCGGATCCCCTTCAGCACCAGCTCCATGGCATCGGGCCGCTTCAGCCCTTCTGCGACGCATCCATCCAAAATCCCCTCGATGGGAACTGTCATCGCCGCCAGCGCCGCACCCACGAGGACAGACCCTAGATCCATTTGGCTTTGGGGAAGGTACTTGATTGCGCCGACCTGGGTAAACATCCAATTCACGATCTCGGTCATTTCGGCAGGGATGGGCGATTCCGGGGTTTCGATGATTGTCATGGACTCGCCGAATTGCGCGCCCATGTTTGGGATCACTTTCACGACGACTGGGTCGGCGAAAGACCCTGTGCTGCTCTCGCGGACAATGCGAGTTAGGTTTTGTGGAGTCTGCCCCGCCAACAGGCTAATCACCAGCTTTCCTGCCAACGCCTCGCAGACGCCCTCGGAGCTAAGGATGTCCTCGGCCATGAATGGCTTGAAACCTAGGACGACCACGTCTGCTTTTTTCATGATTTCGACTGGTACATCTTGGGATGATGTGACCTCCACATGCGGCTGTTGCTCGGCGGGCAGAGAAACCCGCAATCGTTCCGCGGAGGGCGCAGTTTTTGTGCATGCGATGAAATGAGAGACTGGTCGTGATTTGATTGCTTCAGCAGCTGCGGCAGATTTGGAGAAAGCGGCATCTAAAACACCGTGGAGGATAGCACCTCCCATGTTTCCTGCCTTTGCTGTGAGTCAATGCCGTTGCGTTGCGGGGTCGGGTACTCGTACCGCATCCGATGAATGCTACTGTCTGTGTCTTGGATGCCATATTAATTGCTGTTTTGGTATCTGTCGGTCCAATGTTTGCTGGGACTGAGAAGCTGAGGGTTTAGTCGGTGAGTACAGGGTTGAAGTGCGGTTGGCCGCTTATGTCCGTCGGAGGAGCCATCCGATATGTTCGGTGGGCCGAGCCGAAAGGTGAACACGATCGATCCAACGCAACAATGTGAGATGAAAATCAATATGATGGGATTGTATTAATTTTTGACAGCTGACCAGATCTAATGCCTCCAAAGATAATATTTTATTCAACATTGATAAGATGTGACTGATCGAATCTGGGCTGTGGATGGTAGCTTCGGACTGCAAGCCGAGCCTGCGCCACACACGCTGATAAGATGCAAGCGTTTGCTTAAAATAAGACCGAAACTTACGCTTGGCCACATTATCTATCTTCATATGTATATGTCTAAAATATTTCCACTCGAGAACTTGAATAACTGGAAATTTATCTATCTGAATAAAGATGGTCATGAATTCGAAACATTCGCTTTGGGCGCAAGGTACAAGTGACTATGAAATGTATGCTGTTCTAGCACTTTTCAAGAAGATGAATACTCCAGCAGCAAGGCCAGAAGAGACTGCTTATTTGTAGGTGCCTCAGCGAACAGACTAAAAGTAGCATTCATGGAACTAGGAACACAGTCACCGCCATTAAACATGGCGTCGGCAGCAGAGGCCCAGGTAGTAGCCTGGTTGACGATGTTTTCATATGTGAAGAATCGACGGCATTCACCAGCCTCGTAGACAAACTAACGAGGAAGACGATCATTCTTCCGACCAAATGAGCTGAGCTGGTTCACGCTGCCATTTTGGATCTTGTAAGGGAATTCATCAAGCTGGCAAGGGATCACTTGATCCCATTCCTGGAGTTGATCTACAGTGAGCATCGGCCGGCCATTCGCGGTTGCGTTCTTTGCAATGATTGCGTAATTCTTCAGGTCCTGCGCAAAGTCACTGAACTTGGCAACCTGGGAGCCCTTGACGCCTCCAATAGCCTGCATGGGTCCATCCTTGGGCCGGCCTCCGAATGCGATGCTGCGGACTCCTGCATTTTCATGAGCTCGGCAAAGGTCATGCAGGTCGATGCGCAGTATCCGTCAGTCGTCAAAATGTTGTTCTCGGGAGCAAATGGTGCTTTCGCGGGGTTGGCGAGTTGGATGCCGTAACCGTTCAGGGGAGTAGTGCCCTCGGGATCGCTGACAACCAAGGTAAAGTTGGTGGCAGACGGAGCAGAAGAGTTCACGCCCATGGCATTGTAAGGACCGTAGTAGTCGTCCCATGAATCGAGACCCGTCTTTTGATCCGGCTTCGCCTGAGACTTCCAGCCATAGATATTTCCAGTGGTCTCATTAGCGTCGAAATGTCCAAGAAGCTCCCAAATACGATCGGAAGCTTCGTTCGCACTGAAGCGAGTCGACAAATAGATTTCCTCTTCCGTGAAAAGCTGCCGAAACAAGTTCAGTCTAGCAAAGACAGTGCCTCCTCCGTTCCCGGACAGGTCGATGATCAAATTCTTTTTCTCCATTTCTGTGGCGTTGTTGAGGAAGTCCCTGCCGACCTCGGCAAACGCGTTCAGATCGTCAACTTTAAAGGAGATAATAGCTAGCACGGCAGTGTCCTTGAGAGCATCTGTTTCTGGGAAGAATCCCATCGTCCTGTTTTTGGGTCTCTGTTGAATGGCTTGGGATAATTCGAGGGAACGAGTGTGGGCGTGGGTGTGCGACATGCAGCCGATGAACTGGCAATGGAGGAGCTCGGGGATGGAGTCGCGGAGGATGATGGAACTGCAGAGGGGCTAGAGCTAATCGGAAGACAAGCAGCTTCATACAGTTCTTGAGCGCTCTTTGGGGTGAAGGATCCGAGGATATTTACATAGGCGTCGAAAACACTCGTGGTGCCGTTGGCGAAATGCACAGCTCGATATGCGCCAGGCCAGTCGGGGAGAGAAGTTAAAAAGACCTGGCTGGTCTTCAGCTCGGCAGAACTTCCAACACTCAGAGGGTCATTATAGAAAACGCTGTTGTACCTGTTTCACAAGTGGTATTACCGACCTTCGTGGTAAATCAACATTGTAAACATACAGTGCATCGACGGCGTAGCTATTGGAGAACGTTTCTAGCCCCATGGTCTGAGCAGATATCAAATAACGATCAGCAATCATCGAGAATAAACAAGGCTCGCGAACTGCGACAGCGAGTGTCGGTCGCACAGGTCGGGCTTGAACCAGCAGGGAGTACACACCTGGGACACCAGCAGCTGGGCCACGCAACAACAACGCTTCGATATGTACGGGCTATGGTTGTCCAGAATATCCTTACATCTGCGGAGGTCGCTGTTCCAGCCCCTCGACCACATTTGAAAACCACATTTAAAACCCACGACGAACCTCATTTGGTGGCCAATGAGATGTTTGAGGAGTATTGCATGAAGAAATATCTGCCAAAATTAGCAGGCTCGAGTGATCAACGCAGCAATTCTCACGAAATGGTGGACTGAGGAAATTACGTCTTCCCGGCCATGTCGATCTTATCGTCGCTTTGGATTTTAGCACTCTCTGCTTTGGTCAATTTCGTGCGAGGCTGTGCTCGTGTCTATAGCCGTCATTCAATTATGATGGGTGCTGTCATCAAGTTCTATTCAACCCTGAATCTCGGAGATTTGGACTATTTCTGATGGAGTAGGTTGTGCGATTCAGCCCTACCCCCCAATGTAAGCCCCCTCCATGACCACGATGAGACTGAACAATGATGCCCGAAGCTTAGCTCTGCTTCTTGATTCTTTCCTTTTTTTGGTTTTTTTTTTTTTAAAAAAAAAAAAATCTGCGGCCATTTGTATGACGTGTTTCATGTATTGATTTATTTGGTTCTTAATCCCTCACAAACTAAAATCGATAAGCTAGACGATCTGCCGTGCTATGCATCGAAATGATGTTAGATCAGCACTTTAAAAGCCTCATCCAAGCTTGTCTCTGCTCCAAGATAGTCTGCAACCCGTCCCAAATGATCAATTCCCCAGAAGCCCTCCTTATCCCCGTCGGTGTTTGTACATTCAAACCAAGGTAGACCGAAAGCTCCTGATGCGAAGGCCATTTCCGTATTCTTGTCCAAAATTTCCTTGGAGGCGGCATTGGACTAAAATGACAACAAATATTAATTTTCGGACTATCCCGAGGAGCAGTATTTCAACAAACCAGGTCCTGAACGGAGGTTGCGTCGCTCATTCGGCCCATCTCACTCTCAAATACGGCAGTAAATTTTTCTGGAATGACAATACTCGTATCACCATTTCCCCAGAAAATACTGAAAAGCTTAGCGGTCACAGCTATGAGTTTCTCTGGCGCGTGCTTCGAGATACCAGCAAGAGCAGTCTGGAGATCAGCTGTGGCGGCGGGGAAGCCCTTTGGGACCGTTTCGCTCATTGGCACGCCAAATCGGCTTGCCCAGTAGAGACGCTCCTTATTGATCCATTGAAGCTTGTCTATAAATACCAGTTAGCATATAGGTCAAGTGTGTTGAGACTTAGTTCTCGCATACTTTTCACGGTGATCGGAGGTGGATTTTGACACTTCTGGAATAGATCTCTCAGAAGAACGGGAACATATTCAATTTGGCAGTTCGAGAACACGGGCGATGTCTGAATATTATGTCAGTTATCTTTTCACCCATAATATGGGAAAGACCTTCGTCTTTACTCACTCTGAGAGCATGGAATGCAATATAGCTGAATGGGCTACCAATGTCAAAATAAAGAGCGATTTGTGGAATTCCCATTGTTTCGGTAGGATAGAATGCTTTTCCTTTTTCGTTTTCTCTCTATTTCCGAACATCTACCACTCTTCTTATACAATGTCTTCTGAATTCGGATTATTCATACGATACCTTGAGTCACCGCGATCCGTAATCCCAACGATTTGTACCCCGTAGAAATCAGTCCTTGCGGGGCGCGTTCTGAGACCTGCCAAATTTGTTAAGGAAGCCCGTCGAACTCAATTCGTCCCAACCAACTACCACACTGGTAGGCTATTTTAAATTTGGAACAGACAGAATTCAAGGCAGACTCAGAACTACAGAAAATCTGTAGAAATGACTAAGGTATTTGTTTTACGATGCCTTTAGCTTTAGCTTTTAAGTCTAATTTCATTTACTGTTTTTTTACCTGGACGAAAAGATTCAAACCCAAGGTTGGAATTGGTACTAAACTTACTGAGCTAAAGTAAATTATAGTAGAATGCATTCAAGAATGACCTTCCACCGTCTCGAACCTACTCAAGCCCCTCAACTTCTTGCCAGTCAGGAAGAATAGCCACGGCACAGGCAATAAGGCAACCGCAATGAAACCAAGCAAGCTAGAGGCCCATCCGATACCGAGTCTAGTATACACTAATATAATAGCTGATTAGTATCAGACTCAGTCCTTGCGTGATGAGAACTTACTCTGAATCGTGAAGAGAGGAAATGCAGCTGCCAGCCCATACCGAGCCAAGCTGTTTGCACTCATGGCACTGGCTACAGTCAACCCGTGGTAGGTATCGACGATATACTGGGTCGTGCTGACGAAAACACACAGATTTCCCCATGCAAATAGCATGATAGCCACCACGGGAACCGCCCATGATATGCCGACCTTCGCAGTCCAGCCAAACCAGAACAGCCCGATCGGGAGACCGACACTTCCAATCATGGCCGGGTAAAGACGATACTCCGGAGGGACATGTTGCCCCGCAAACTTTGCAGACTTGGAGCGATAGAGGAAGATGTCACAGAGCAATACAGTGAGAGCCCCCAGTAAGCATCCTACCACGATAGAGAGAAACACAAGGCCAGACTCCTCGATGCCGAAGCCGTACACCCCTTGGAAAACGAGTGGGAAAGCCGCGAAGAACGAAAAGAGCGTAGCGAACTCGCAGGCCACATAGAGGCAGATGGATGCCACAATTGGCTCACTAAGAAGCATCTGGATGGGCCGGAGAAGTGCGATTGTCATGAAAAGTCGTAGCTTCGACGCAAGGGGTGGCGAGGGAGGTAAGGATCGACCGGATGTTTTAGCCATGCGGCGCTTGATGGCTGGGTGGAAAGTTTCTTTTGAAAACAAGGTAGTGATTATTGTGAAGATGCTGAAGAAGATCATGGTCCATTGGGTCCAGCGCCAGCCTTTGCGATTCACAATGAAGCTGCCGATAACTGGGCTGCAGTTTTCCGAAAGTCAGTGAATCAAGAAGACCAATTAACAGGTTGACGTAAGTTCTGCAACTCACCCAAGGCCAGGACCTAGAAAAGGAGTCAGGATGAAAATCGTCGATGGAAAAGCACGTTCCGCAGGTTTGAAGGTCTCGTTGATCGTGCCCCCAGCGATAGCCAGAGATGGCGCGAAGCAGAACCCTGCCAAAAAACGAAGAACGCAGACTCCTGCAAAGGTATGACTGAAGCCCACTCCGAGAGTGAATAGACTTCCAAGTATCACTGTGCCCAGATAGACAGGGTATCTACCGACTGTCTCGGACAGTGGTCCCCCTACTACTGGTCCCAGACCCAGCGCGAAAACGTAGAGCGACAAGGGTAGGATAGCGACTGTGCTGCTCACTCCAAATTCTTCCATAAACTGGGTATGCGCCGGAGACAATATCGATACGCCAACAGAGCTAGTAAGAGGTTAGTAGGGCTCAGTGTTGAGGATGTCGAGCACTCACGTTGTGAAAGCGGCAGATGCCATCATGAGAACTTGTAGGACTTTCAGCTTTAGGGGCCAGTTGTAGGGGTTCCGGGCGTCATGCTCCCAAGTCTCTTCAATGTCCTCTTCGGTGAGCTTGTACTTCTCGCTGAATGCATTCTCGATGTCTGGCGTTTCGGCCCCCGGCGTTGTATCCTCGGTCTCGTTTTGTTGATTCGCGGTTTGTACTTCCTCAATCGTCGCCATTGTGGCTTCGCTATTCTCTGATCGGAGTACCACTTTGTAAGTGACAAAGTGAGCTCAGTTCACGCTGCGTTACACTGGAATACTTGATCAGGATAAATACACAATACTGTCACCACTTTCGCCGCCCCGCGTTTTGCCTATGCCGAGCTGATAAATCATCTACAGACGCATTCGATGGTATTTTACGCGAGGTTTCCATCGTGCAGGAGCAGATGAGGGGCGGCTTGGGCGTGTTCTGGGATTTTACGATTACTCAACAATAAATCCCAGCAGTTCGCCCAAACGGGTAAGGGAGCGCCATCCAAGCAATAGCCGATTATTCAACAATAAATACGAGCGGGTCGAAAGCATGTTGGGGATTCAACACAGGATTGTGGATGCAGATATGAAGTCTATTCTGCTCTGGCGAAGGCAAGTTACTTTGTATTATTAGTAGGCCCGTTCAAGTTTCGAACATTGCCGAGGGCTGATAACTGAATCCAAAGCGCCCGACACCGGCGTTTGGATTTTCAGAGGCCGATAAAAAGAAGGTAAACCAGGTAGCTTCTAGAGCGAATCATGATGTAGCGAAAGCATTGAAGAAGTCGCAACCCAAAAGCTACTTCCAGTTGAGAAGAGTCAGTCTATTGGCAGTGGGTAGATCACGTGGGTATAAACATTTGCCTCAGGCCACATTTGTGTGTGACGGCCAGCGAGAAAGCGAAGCTGTCTCACCATCTTCTAAACCTCAACTTTCAATATTCCTTTCCTCCGAACCCTGCATCGCAACAACAGCGTTCCCGATGATTCAAGCATGTCGAAATTGCATTCTTGGCACATTGCACATCCCCCACAGTTGGCATTGTGGGCAATTACCCCACACATATATGCCCACTTTCCGAGATGATCTATAAGGAATCCCTACTACATGAGCTTTCTTCTTGAGGGTCTTGCTGAAGCAAACTACACAGGCCTAGCGCAGAATCTGCTGGATAGCACTTGGGGACCGATGGTCCGTCGTGATCGAAACTTCACGGGTGGGTATTGGGAATACGTGGGAAGTGTCTTGGTTATTCTACTACTTTTGCCGTTTCATTTTCCGCACACATATTGCCCACCTACCACGTTAGAGCGTTGACGGAACATATCCCGGCCTGGATCTTTTCACAGGCATGAGTCATTTCTGAGGTGGCTACCCTACTGTTTTCCTAACAGAACACGCTCTTGGAATACGTCCCACAAAGCCCGCCTACTGCGAGTTCCTCTTCTCGCCCTTGACCGAATTCAAGACAGAGTGGGTTCAGGGTCGCGTTCCAACCCCATTCGGTATCATGCTGCCTTGGGGTATAACTTTCAAGGCAAGATTATGATGTTATGATGGAAATACGAGCACCGCGTGGAACACGAGGCGAGATAGTGCCGCCGTTTCCAGGCGCCTATTCAATCAAGGGAGACAAAAAGCATAGAGGCAGTTACACTGTCAATGGGGGCTTATCTATTCTGGTCGTACAGGAATAGGATGCACTAAATAGATCCTTGATCCCGATTTTGTTGAGCTTGCTCTCTTGCAGTCTTGCTCAACAATCTCATCATCTCATACCAGTTTTGCACATATTTCAATCCAGAATGGGGACCATATAGTTCAGTATCCCACTGGGGAATAGGAGGCTCCAAACCAGTTTCCTCTAGGCACGTTTTACGGAGCTCCTCAAGGCCACCACCACGATCGTAGAGGGGAACATCACCCAACTCAGCACGTTCTTTCGTCATCTGAGCACGTAGAGTCTTTGTTCCCTCTTCGTCCACCGTGAAGTCATCCTTCACGACAACACCGTATCCCTTCCGAGCTCCTTCAATTGTGACAAGCTTGCGATGAACCTCCAAAGCAACCTTCTCAGCCGGACGCGTCAAGGGGTCTCCCAGTCCACCACCACCCCAGGTTATCCACTCAAGGAGATCACCTGGATCAACACGGATATGATCACATTTCGACGGGAGGATCACAGTCGGCGGGTTCTCCGCAGACTGCGAGTATCGATACAGCACCTTGCTAGATCGCTGACCGGGCTTACCCCCTTCAATCCCCACGGCTTCGTGAACCAGCGGTCGTCGTGCAGACTGAATTCGCCTCGGGCAAGGAAGCGATAGAGGGTCCGCTGTGCATTGCCGCCTCGGAAAAATCCAGGTCCACCGCTATCGGCAACACTCTCGTTGGCCTCTATGCGTAGCGGATAATTCAACTCAATACTCTCTGTGGGAATCGACTTGATGGCTGGGAACAGGCAGTGGCAGTCTGGGCCGTCACCGGCCTGGCGAGCGGGTACTCCTCCAAAGCCAATCTGGTACAGCTGGTACCATTCACCGTTCGGCTTGAACCCGGAGTAGAAGAAATGAGGCGAGTCGCTGAACCCAGCAGCGGCTTGATAGGCGTCGTCTTTCTGACCGATGAGAGCTTGGACGATGTCCAATGTTCGACCCATGAGATGGGTTCGGCAGGAGATGGGCGCTGGGCGAACGGGCTTCAGCACGGTACCCTCAGGGATGTGGACATCGATCAAGTCGTGGAAGCCGTCGTTAATGACGGTTCCAGGTGCTGCGGCTGCGATCAGGTAGTACCCGATAAACATTTTGAACATGGTTTCCGAAAGGTAGAAGTTGATACTGTGCTGGCTCTGTGGAGAAGTGCCCTTCCAATCGAACTTCAATCTGTTGCCGTCGATCTTCTCCATGGAGCAACTGAGCCTCCACGGTCCGACGCCATGGCCGTCGTCATCCACGTAATCAGTGAATGTGCTTTCCTCATCGTCGAACTGTCGCTCAACAATCTTGGCCAGTCCAGAGCGGTTTCTGTATAGCAGCTCGTTGCACGAAGCCAGGTAGACCTCTTGGCCGAATCGAGTGGCAAGCTCACGTACTCGTGTTGCTGCCATTGAGCATGCCGCGATAATTGCAGTAAGATCGGAGCGATACCATGCTGGCTGGCGGGAGTTTCGACACAAAAGTTCCACGATGTCTTCGTTCATGACGCCCTTATTGAACAGCTTAATGCAAGGGATCTGAACACCATCGTCGAAAACAGAGGTTGCGTTAATTGACATGCTACCAGGAACGATACCGCCCACGTCAGTGAGATGGCCGAACTGCGAGGCATAGCCAATCAGACGGTGTTCGTGAAAAATAGGCAGAAAGACGATGATATCGTTTAGATGACTGATGGCACCCTGAACTTGATAGGTGTCGTTTGTGATGAAGATGTCGCCTTCTTCGATCGTTCCATGCCAGACTTTGAGGAACTCCGTGATGAAGCTGCCAAACTGACCGACGAGCATTTTTCCATTGGCATCGGTGATGACATTGAACTCGTCTTGCTGTTCTCGGATAGCAGGAGACATGCTGCAACGGAGCATCATCTTGTCCATCTCGCCGCGGATAGAAGCGAGAGTGGACGAGATCAAGGTAGGAATCAGTGGAGTACTCTTCACAAGTTGATTTGCCGACTCTGCAGTGTGCTGGGTGACATCCGCTGCCTTTTTGTCGAGAGGGTTGATCAAGATATTACCGATGCTGTCAATCTCGCCGATATACCCGGGTAGAATAAGTGTGTTGCTGTCCATCTCGGAGATAATGCATGGGCCCTCGACCCGCACTCCCTCCTTTGTGATCTTCTGACGGTCCCACAGGGTAGCCAGTTGTTCCTTCCCTTGCACGATGATCGTCTGTTCACCGATCTTCGCATCTACTGGGGGCTCTGTCGTCTTCGCTTTACCGACTTTGGGGATATCAATGCTAGGCGATGCTTCTTCAAGAACAACACCGAGGCGCATGAGTTCAAGCTCAAAGTCTGGAAGACAGTAGGTGAATAGCTGCTCGTGCTGCTGGTCAAACTTTTCTCGCAGAATCTTATGCCATCCCTGAGTATCCAAGATCAGCTCCTCGGCAAGCAAGTCTACAGTGATGGTCAAGGCCTGTCCCTTGTAACGTAGATCTGCCTGGTAGGAGGGCTTCCATGTCACGGGCCAGTTTACTCCAGATGACTTTGTCAGGGTCTCCCGGCATTGATGTTCTAGACACTTATACTGTTTCTGAGCTTCATCGGTGGTGGTTTCAGAGACCAGGCGAATGAATGTTGTCGACTGCTCATGTCGAAGCTTCGTCGTCACATCACCCTGTGCACACAGGATCCCAGGAGAAGGAGGGACGATGACCGGCCATGCCCCGAGGAGCTGACCGACAGCGTTGGCGTGTAGCGGACCAGCGCCTCCAAAGGCAACCAGTGCAAAATCGCGAGGATCATAGCCTTGTTCGACCGAAACCAGACGCAAGGCACCGTACATGGTTTCATTGATAATTGAGATGATATCTTCAGCCGTCTGAGTAACGGAAAGCTTCATTTGCGACGCGATCTCGCCCACTGCCGATAGTGCAGCCTCCATATTCAGTGCGAAATCTCCACCCAGGAGAGTCTTGGGCAGATATCCCAAAACAAGATTCGCGTCTGTCACCGTTGCCTGCTTTCCGCCTTTCTCATAACAGGCAGGGCCAGGCACAGCGCCGGCACTCTCGGGTCCAACGCGCAATGTCTCGGTCAATTCCATGTAGGTGGTGATTGAACCTCCACCAGCTCCAACAGTTTTGATGTCCACGGCCGGAGACCGAACAGAGAGGTTTTCGACAACCGTCTCTCTTCGAAGTTGTGGCTGGCCATTGTAAATTAGCGCACAATCCGTCGACGTGCCACCCATATCCAGGGTGATCAGGTTTTTGTATGGTGTGCTGCGAGCCACGACATCGGCCACTCCCTTCACACCTCCAGCAGGACCGGACATAAGAATGTTCACCGGCAGCTCGGAGGCAAGCGTCAAGCTGGTCAAACCACCGTCGCTCTTAAGAACACGAATCGTCTCACTCTCTTCCGCGAGGGTTTGGGAGAGGTTTCGGAGATAGGTCTCGACGACTGGTTTCACCAGTGTGTTGGTGCAGGTGGTGACAGTCCGTTCATACTCGCCAACCTCGCGCAGGACATCTGCGGAGCAGATGACCGCAACTTCGGGTCCAAGTTCTTTGCGTACGATCTCTTTCACCTCGCGTTCGTGCTTATCATTGCTATGGGAGTTCAGCAGCGAGATGGCCACTGCCTCTGGCTTTTGCTTAGCCAATTCTTGCAGTCCCTGTCGTAAATCCTCGACGTCGACGGCGGTGACGGGCTCGCCTTGGACAGACATGCGCTCCTTGCACTGCACGACACGCTCTAGTGGCACAATTGGCTCCGGTGGGGTCCAGTGTAACCAGGCTCCTAAACCGCCGGGGATTTGAGATCGGCGCAATGCCAGGATATCCTTGTGTCCTGCCGTGACGACTAGGGCAGTGCGGGCGCCTTTGCCTTCGAGGACGGCATTCGTCGCAGTTGTCGTTCCATGATGGATAAACTGAAAAGTGCCTGACCAGCCGAACTTCTCTTTCAGAATCAGGCGGGCCTTTGCGATGCCGTTCTTGATGCCTACGCTTTGGTCGGGGATGGTAGTCGGGACCTTGGCTCGCACTGTTTGCCCGTGCGGCGTGAAGACGTAGACATCAGTGAACGTGCCACCAACATCGACACCCAGTTGGTATCCCTGGTAAAATTGAGCGTCTCCCATGATTTTTGCGCCCGGGTGAGATGGTCCTGAACCCAAGCTTACCGCCACGGGGAGCATTAAGCTTAATTATAAGGTGGCCACGACAGCCTAGCGAGGCTCGGGGTTCACCGTATGGCCCCCAAACTCCACGTATGCCGACGCGACATTTTGTGTTTTAACGATGCGTTATCGCTTTTAAGCAGCCGCGTGTGTATGGACGCGTCGCTTCCCATCGTGCAGGTCCGAAGCAGCAAACTGGGCTGGTGGGTCGATGAGTGCCAATGATCACAGGTGAAATGGGCTGATCGATGCAACTAGAGGAGAGTGGAGGCCCGGGAGGAGGGGGTGAGGGGGGATGTCGCCTATATCAGAGGACCACCTAGGCACCAAAGTTCAACTGGCGGTTCCAGAAGGGAAAGTGGCGGGTCCCGTCCCGTTCAGCTGCAGTAGACTCTCTCCAGGCTGCACCGTACAGTTTCGGATGAATTTATGGGAGCTCGTCGCTTGACTTCAGACCAACTGCAGCCTGATCCTCGCGGTATCCAACCTTTAAGATCACGTGATTCCTTCTGCCCTTCACCAGTATTTCTCTCTTCGTCCATTTGAATGGTTTTTGAAGAGTTATAGTTTTGCGATAATGATAAGGCATCACATCCTGCTATCATTCGTGCAGCTGGAAGGTTGCCATCTATACTAACAAACGATCACCTACCAAATTTTGCACCGAAATTGCTGAGCAGCTTGCATATTTTCTTTGGTCGATGATACAGAAGCTACATAAAATCGTAAACTAACTGCCGGGCTTTCAAACCCTCTTTTTCTGGTTGGTGATAGAATTAGGGCGGCAAGTGTACTAGTACATTTGTAGTGTTGCTCGCTTCTCTAGGGCTCAAGAAGTACACAGCGCCCCTATGCGCTTGATATATGGGCATTCGGCACTTTGCAGGTTATTTCTTTGTCTTCAAAAATCGATAATCAAACATTATTTGAATACATGTTGTCAGTGACAAGCTGATTTTCGGTATAGGCAAGCGCATGAATACTCCGAGTCCGAAAGTGGAAGATCGACATATACAGACTTCCGCATCGGGTGGCGCTGCAAGCAGCAGGGATCCGACAGTAGATCCCCCGTCAAAGAGGCGATCGCCTTTGTTTTTGATCACTTTGTCCAGCCTTCTTTTGTCTCTGCGTCTGAGCTCCTGTCATTTGCACCGCTCAACCCCCTCACACCAACTCCTAACGGTACGCTACGGGACAGCGATTCTGGCCGGGCGTCGCTGATCGCCCCGCGCTCCCCACTTCTCACGCCGTGGCTGTCGTCATCATCGGCGAATTTGCATTCGCTCGGCCTGCTCTTAAAACTGGAACTCCTCCACGGCGTGTCCAACTCCCTTGGCAGGCGCAACAAATACGACATATATTACAATAGGTTCTGCACTTCTTCTGTGGATTCTGCTAGAACCTACCAGTGGGATCCCCGGGTGAGTCGGTTCACCTCGAGCTTGGCGAGGACACGGCTGGTGGAGGCGTTGCTAATAACAGACAGTTCTGTTGATAGATTCCCTACTGCCCCTCGACGGTGCCCCTCCTATATCCTTTTCTTCCTCGTTGACATTCCTCGCCTGTCACTGGCTACATACGCCCGATGCCTCTGACTATCCTCTCGCAGTCGCAACTGCGAGCGCTACTGCACTCCCTCTCCCGCGACGACATCATCGAACTCCAAAAAAACCTCTCCGACGCCCTGCGCGAATACTCCTCGGGTGCCCAGGACAAGGGCTGCTCGGCGACCTATCAGCCGCAGCGAACGGCCATTACCCGCCAGAATGGTTGCACTACATTGTTCATGCCCGCCACCACGGGCCAGACGATCGGAATCAAGATGATCTCCCTGCAGGACGGCGCCGCGGCCGGATGTGCCGTGGAGCGGGGTGCATTTGAGATCCCCGAGGGCGAGTCCACCTCGAATCGGTCGCGGAATGTCTCTGTGCGAGATTCCGTCGCCTCGCTCTCGTCGGACATGAGCGATCTCTCGATGGAGTCTTCCCAGGAAGATAGCAACTCGACAACCACCGGCAGTACGGGGACCGATATCACCGACAGCCCGACTCTGCTGTCTGGATGCGTCAACCAACAGCCTGTCGTCAACAATAATGTTTCTACCACGATGGGTGCCTGGCCAGGGGCCGGCAGCCGTGATACTTCGCCGAAAGGCAGCGTGACGCTTTTGGACAGCGAGAGTTTGCCATTCGCCCTCATCAACGCCCACGAATTGACAGCCTTCCGCACTGCCTTGGCTTCGTTGATGGTCTTCAACAAGCGCAAGAAGGTTAAAACTCTTCTGGTCTTTGGTGCAGGAACCCAGGCCTACTGGCACATTCGGTTGGCATTGATCCTGCGCAGCGAGGAAATCCGCCGCGTATACATTGTCAACCGATCCTTCGAGAGAGCGGCAAAGCTCCTCCGCGACATTTACCACCCTGATAACACCAGCTGGCGGCGGGACGTCAAGTTCTCTGCCATGAGCAACGACTTTGGCGAATACCAGCGCATCATCAAGGAGCATGTCCGTAAGGCGGACGCTATCTTCTGCTGCACGCCATCCGTCGAGCCTCTGTTCCCCGCAGAATACCTGACCTCGCGTGAAGGTCGTCAGAAGGGCCGTCTGATCAGCGCAGTCGGGTCTTACAAGGCTCACATGGCCGAGGTGCATCCAGACATCCTCCGTGACGAAGTAACCGTCCAGCCTCCCCATCGACATTTCCACAAACACACTCGTCGCAGCGGCGTGGTTGTCGTCGACAGTCTGGACGCGGCTATCAAAGAAGCAGGCGAGATTGTCCAGGCTGGTATCAAGCCCAACCAAATGGTGGAGCTTGGTGAGCTGCTCATGGTGCGCCATGCCACGCAAGAGACTGCCGACGAGCAGAAGAGTCTGCGGGAATGGGTCGAGAAGGGCAACGTCATCTATAAAAGTGTGGGTCTGGGCCTGATGGATCTCGTGACAGGCGGTGATTTGGTGCGTCTGGCGCGAGAGCGCAAGTTGGGAACGACGGTGGAAGACTTTTGATCGCTTTGGGATGGTTTGTAGTATACCCTTTTTTTCCCTTCTACCGATCTGCATTATCTAAGAATTGCGTTGCTTAACAAGTGTCATAAGACACCCAAGAGAACGAAATAACTTCATGAATTGGTATCTCACTGTTATCTTTCCCTTGTCACCTCAACCTCGGTCGTACTTTGGTAGACTGTCCTCGACGGCATCGATCTTCATGCCCATGTTAGATCCGAGCATCTTGCGGGGTCTTCCCCGCAGGGTCGGTGATTCTCGGCCGTTCAATCTTCATAAAAGCATCCATATCATCTATACTATAAACCTCAAATTCAACCCCTCCCTAACAATTCAAGCTTCAATAAAGCCAGCACAAAGATAACATGGCCACGCCCTCAATCCTAACCCGCCTCACCCACCGCAAAACCGGCAGCATAGCCCACATAACAATCTCCCGCCCCTCAAAATTGAACGCTTTAGACACACCCCTCCTCGAAAAACTCCCTTCAACAATCCAATCCGTCACCTCCTTAAATGCAGATCTACTTGGCATCGTCCTCACAGGCGCAGGACCCAAATCCTTTGTCGGGGGCGCAGATATCGCCGAAATGGCAGCTCTGGACTCACCGGCCGCGGCGCGCTCCTTCATTACGAAAGTCCACAAGGCGTGTAGGAGTCTGCGTGATTGTCCAGTACCGGTTATTGGAAGGGTTAATGGATATGCGCTTGGGGCTGGGTGTGAGATTGCGGCGTCCTGTGATTTGAGGGTTGCGGGTCAGAATGCGGTTTTTGGGATGCCGGAGGTATGTATTTCTATACCTTGTCATATTCTTTTTGAGCAATTAGTGGATTATATTGAGCATTTGCTGACTTCACAGGTCCGAGTCGGTATTCCGAGCGTGGTTGAGGCGGCTCTTCTTCCTGGTTTAATAGGCTGGGGACGGACGAGACAGCTCCTCATGCTGGGGGAGAATATCAGTGCGGACGAGGCGTTTCACTGGGGACTGGTTGAGAAGCTTGTAGAGCAGGATATGCTGGATGAGGCTGTGGAGAGCTGGTTGGGTCAATTGGAGAAGAATGGGCCTATTGCGGTGCGCCGGCAAAAAGCTCTTATGCGGACGTGGGAGAATGTTTCTATGGAGCAGGCTATCCAGGCTGGTGTGGCTGCTTTTGGGGAGTGTTTCGACGCTAAGGAAGGAGAAGTGACCGAGCCGGCTAGGATGATGGGTGCTTTTTTTCAGGACAAGGCGAAGAACAGGGCTTCGTCGTAGCTATAATCTGGGCCATAGACGAGGCTGGCATTATAGTAGGTGAGAAGCTATCCTAGGCAATCAAATCATGTCATGAATTAAGATTATCAAAGCGACTTGAGTCTTTTTCCCTTCTAGTCATCAAACTGAAGCGAGCAAACCCCGAAATATCACCCACGGCATCACATAACGTACACGTCCTTCACAGTCCCCATTTTCTGTAATGTACATTTTCCCTGCTGTTACCAATGCAATTGAGTTGTCAAGAAAGAAATCAATTACATCTTCAGCTTGAGCAGGTTGCCAATCATCTCGCGACCGGTGATGCGGGTGGTTGCCCACAGGGTCGGGAAGTCCAAGGTGCTGGAGAAGGTATCGGCGTAGCCGAAGAAGAGCATGGGAGGGATCCAGCCACGGGCGTACTCGAGCGCGAAGCACGAGGACTCCATCTTGTACTGCTTGACCTCGCCGCGACGCAGGTGGTGGACGGTGCCGGCCGGGTAGACCTCGGCCTCGTACTCGCCGGGCACGTAGGCGAGCTGGGTGCCGTGCAGGATGTTGAAGTAGTCATCGGCAGTGTGGCGGCCAGTGTGGCCTTCGGTTCCGATCGCAGTGCCGAAAATGATCAGGTACTCCGTGATACCTGGGGAATGGGGAGGAAGCTTGTTAGTTGTGTTGGGGATGGAGCCCGGTGTGCTTTCCTCGCGTACCATTGGCGTTACAATTTGGCACGAGCGAGGTCAAAATCACTCCGGGACCTCCAGTGAAGCAGAAGGAATCGACCTACTGGCGTGAATGATGTACATGGCACCCATGGCACCACCGGCGTTGTTGAACACCCACTCCTCATCCTTGTTCAGGTGGTTGGGTCCGATCTTCTCCTCGAGCTCGGCGAAGATGTAGTTGACAATGGAGCGGGTATCATCGCCATGGGCCTTGACGGCGCGCTGAGAAAGATCGTGGAGGTGCTCGGGGTCGAAGATGTAGAATTGGTTCAGACGCGCGTCCAGGAAGCTGTAGATGGCAGAGAAGAGCGCGAGGAAGACGGCGATGATGCTGAGGGTGCGGAAGGAGAAGCAGCGGCAGCCGGAGGACTGCTTGCTGGCATTGCCAGCGGAGGACTTGGAAGGCATGGTGGGTAGAAGGAAAATGGTGAGTGACGGTGTGGAGGGCTGCGAAATAATTTAAGATGGCGCCCCTGTCTCCCCGGACCTAGTGGGGCCCGCCAGCCAAACAAACATTATTCTATCAGCTTCCACTTGAAAATACTACTACAACGGGTGGAAAGGGTATTGAATATAATCATATATGTGTTTTATTTCATAGGCAATTAGTACTACTCGATATACTCAGTACCATGTATCAAATACTCTCTGTCGTGGCCGAGGGGTCATTTTCAGCTACTCACACGCCATTCGGATCGCCGCAATCCGAATCACCGCCCGCTGATTGGCCCACCCGCGAGATCGCTGGGCCCCGCGGACCCCGAGGACTAAACAACCCTCACTACTACACTGTGAAGTCCAACTAAATGGATGATGGGACATACGCAGGCAGCATATGTGGCAGTTCAATTTTCTATGATATTCAGAGCGATTACTCTTGTATCGCTTCTCGACAGACCTCTCGAGCTCCTTGACCTCCGATTGGATACGCATGGCTCGATTCTGCCACATTGGGGGCTACAATAGCAGAGCGTACGTCCTCCGCATATCTTTGCGAGCAGTTGGTGACACATATCAGTCATTCCAGTCATCATCCAGCTGGTGTGAAACAGGTTGGCGAAGATACTCTGACCGAGCAGATCTGCGGACCATTTCTATTGGGGGTATTTAACCTGAACAAAGCATCGCGAACTATTTGGTCCTGGTGAGAACAACCGCCAATATGAAATTCCATTTCTACACACTACTGACCAAAATCCCGCTAGCCCACGCCCTCCTCCAACCTTCACCCGAGCTCCGCGTAGACACCTCCAGCGGCGTCGTTCACGGCATCTACAACGACACCACGGCGACAGTCCGAGGCTTTCTGGGCATCCCGTACGCCGAGCCCCCAGTTCATGACCTACGGTTTGCGCAGCCGCGAAAACGATCTCCACTGCCCTCGCCAATCGACGCTTCATCTTTCAGCAAGCCATGTCCCCAGATGAACCACAAGTTTGGCGACTCCATCCTCGACGTCCTCCCTTATCAAATATGGAATGTCAACGATATCTCGGAGGATTGTCTATACCTGAATGTCTGGGCACCCTCGGCAAAGCACAGTGGGGAAACCAGCAAGGCGGCTGTCATGGTGTTTATTCATGGGGGCGACTATGAATTTGGGGGGACGTCGATCGCTTACTATGACGGTACCAATATGGTTCGTGATAATAAGGATCTTATCGTTGTGACGCTCAAGTATGGGTCCTCTCCCGAGCGGCACCCAGCTCAACACTCAAATTTATTTCATCCAGCTACAGGTTGAACGTTTTCGGCTTTCCGAATACCCCGGGGCTAGACCCGGCACGTCGGAATCCGGGCTTACAAGACCAGGTACGATCTCATCTTCGACCGTGCTTCTCAACTCACACCATAAACACAGAGATTGGCGATCCATTGGGTTCATGAGAATATCGCTCGATTCGGCGGTGATCCAGAACGCATCACGGTTTTTGGACAATCGGCTGGGGCGGGCTCGGCGGATATGTACTCCTATGCTGTGAGTATTCAGTCTAGTCTACCAGCCCCTATCCGCTGACGAAACATTCGACCTAGTACCCGGATGACCCGATTATCAAAGCTATAATCCTTCAATCAGGAACACGTACTATACACCCTCTTTCGTATAGTGTTAACGACTGGGATCGCCTCGCAACTGCACTTAATTGTGGTACTGGACTCGAGTCCATGGCTTGCATGATGGAATCCCCCATGATCGATATTATCCAAGCCATGGAGAATGGGACATATAATTTCATTCCTACTCCGGATGAAATCACAGTCTTCTCTGATTACCCATCTCGAGCGAAGCAGGGGAAGCTCGCGAAACTGGTAAGTACTTTACAGTCTCCGTTCTAATGGACATTGATTTCTAAATATGGCTTGTCTTTAACATTGAAAAGCCAACACTCGGGGGCTTCGATGAGAAAGAGCTTTCTTTCAGCTATTCCTTGTCATCACCTTCCATAAACGAGTCAGCTGTATTCCAAGACGCCGTGCAGAACTTCAGCTGTCCTCTCCTAGAGGCCTTGCAGTACGGACTCTCCCACGAAGTTGCGAATCTTCTAACTTATTATATACATAGATCCCGCATCAAAAATAACATCCCTACGTGGAGATATCTCTATCGAGGCAACTTTCACTCTCTCTCGCCTAAGCCTTGGCTCGGAGCGTATCACACCTGTATGTCTGCAAGTCTGCCCGAGAAAGCTCGGCCTGCTAACTGCCGCAGCTGAGATTCCACTCGTCTTCGGGACCTATAACACGACCGCCCCGGGCTTTTCCCCTCCGTCGGAAAGCCTAGTTCAAACCAGCAGATACATGCAGGGTAGGCAGACGCATTCAGGCTATTCAGTCCACACCACTCGAGGTTTGTTACTAACCCTTCGCAGGAGCCTGGGTTGCATTTGCCAAAGATCCCCTCAATGGTCTGAACGAGTATGGATGGCCGCAGTTTACTCTCAAAGGTGAGTCTACAAGCCAGCAAGTTCCCCAGCAACTGGAGCTGCAGTATTCTAAGCTCGCTCTGGCAGGGGATATCCAAAACAACGTGGTCAACCTTGGACTGGGGAATCAGCCGTTCGCGGTGATGACGACACCGCTAAAGTGGGATAGTCAGTGCAGCGCCAGCCAGATCTAGGTATAAGGGAAGAATATTCTGTACATAGTACGTCCGTCGCCTCGGTGCTGCATAGGGGAACAACTCTTAGTATAATCGATCATCGGTCAAAACCAGATGAAACAACAAGTAGCTCAATAAGCCGGTCTACTGCAAGTACACCGGGCAATGCAGATTTCTCAGAGACATCGGGTGGATATTTTCCACCGTTGAGAATGGCGAGTCGCTGGGAAATTTAAGTTGGGGCGTGCCTTGCTGTTTACGGAGTAATTCCGGGCGACACCACGAAGCTGAGACGCCGGCGTCGGTCGGCGGGGCCGAGGCGAACCCAGTTGGACGGTCGAATCGATCCGAAGATTGTCCGAGGTTCTTTGTGTGATTCCAAGAGATTTGGAAATCGCGTAGCAATTTGTTGCTCTCTTGCACGTTGGCTGGGAATTGGATCACAATTATCTGCGGGTTCAGGGGTGTTTGGTCCGGCATTCTCTGTAATCGCAAAGTGGAGTTGCGTCGACTTCAGGTGACAACAATGCAGCAGGTTGTGATGACAGGATCCTGGATTTTCCCCCTATACCGTGCATGATCCTTTTTAGCATAGTTTGTGCTTGTGGGAAATGAAATAAGCCACGCGTAGAGCTTGGATGCAGAAGAAGCATATTGGCGGAAGCTGAAGAATCCAGTCACTTCCCGAAATATATTTCCCGCGACTCTGCAGGCGGCTGCACCCCGCATACACCAACATCACACTAAATTGACATTAGACCCAAATAGTGAAGTACCATGATTTGATGTCTGGTTCGTCAACTTGTATATTTGAGTCTAACTAGTCTTTCAGAAGCTCCAATATTCCATGCCGCGGGGAAGCGGATCCAACGCCGTTTTATAGTAGGGGATGATCAGCATCACCATTTGACTCCTTTACCCGGCTAATCTAAACCCTGTTCGAGACTAAATTACCCGGACCAGCCGGACGGGCACGCTTTGTTGATGTGGTGGAGCCGTCACTTACTGAGACAGCTCGCTCCGTGCTTTATGCGGAACAAGCATCCACAAGTGCCAAACCGGAGGAATTTCCTCATGGACCGCACCACCGCAAAGCACACCACGATATAAGATGGAGCTGCCCTCACCTTCTGTTCACCTAACCCTTTGACTTGCCAGCCAGATCGTTCTCTCGTTCATTTTTTACTCTGCACCTCCCACCATGAAGTCATTCATTGCCCCCCTCTCCCTCCTCTCGCTCGCTCTGTCCGGCCTCAGTACCGCGGCCACCATCCCCACAAAGTCCCTCACCAAACGCTCCGACTTCTGTGACCAGTGGGGCTCCATCCAGACCGGCAGCTATATACTGTACAATAACCTCTGGGGCCAGAGCTACGACACCTCTGGCACACAGTGCACCGGTGTCGACTCGCTGAGCGGCTCCAACATCGCCTGGCACTCGTCGTGGTCCTGGTCAGGTTCATCCAGCCAGGTGAAGAGCTTTGCCAATGTGGCCCTGCAGTTTACGGCCAAGCAGCTGAGTGCTGTTAGCAGCATTAAGTCTGCTTTCAAGTGGAGGTGAGCATCACGTCTCACTCAAGTCTCCGCTTCTCGGAAATTCGATACTGATGCAGTGAACAGTTCCTCCACCACCGACGTCGTCGCCGACGTCGCCTACGATATGTTCCTCAGCTCGACCGCTGACGGAGACAACGAGTACGAGATCATGGTCTGGCTCGCGGCGCTGGGCGGTGCCGGCCCCATCTCCTCGACTGGCTCGGCCATCGCGACCACCACCATCAACGGAGTCAGCTGGAACTTGTACGAGGGCAAGAACGGCGATATGACTGTGTACAGCTTCGTCGCTTCGTCGACCGTCAACAGCTTCTCGGGTGATATGCTTGAGTTCTTCACCTACCTCGAGAACAACCAGGGTCTCAGCAAGAGCTTGTATCTGGTTGATGTACAGGCTGGTACCGAGCCGTTTACCGGCACGGCCAAGCTGACTGTTTCTTCTTACTCTGCTGTTGTTGCGTAAGCACACAGAACATTAAGTAGGAGGATGCTGGCGTGACGGGTGTGGTGGTTCAAGGTGTTGGTATATAGTTGATTGGATGAATCTGGAATTGATTCTATGTATTTCTGACACTTACGGAATTTTTTTAATGACAGTAAATTCCCAACTATGTATATATAAAGCCGAAAAGGATACCTACGACAGTCGTGGTTGTCAGCGAGTCTGGAGGTCTAGCGTCAGTGGCTGAAGAAGCTGGGCATGGCTAGCTGTTTCAGCTCGCGCCAGAATCGGCCCAGCGCCCCTGAAATGGCGCCTCGCCCATTTCAGCGAGGATAAGACGAGCCCATGTTTCAAGAAGCCTGTCGTTCGTCACGTCCGGATCCACACATTCCACACCCCACTCGTGTCTTCTCAAGCCTTGGAATGCGCCCACAAGAAACGCCATCCAGTCGAGCAGGCGTCATCGCCGTGGCACGAAACACTCGTCGTGTCGCAGTCGCAGAAACGGGTGTCTAGATCACCCCAATCGCCTGGCCCCTATCGACTCGGTAGAGTCATCAATCATACTGTATTTATTAACATGTATCTTGTGTCGCAACTCCTGCAGTTCGTGTTGGGGGCCGTCAGTCGCGCCGGGAGTACGGGCGCATATTCGTTGCTAAGAATAACAGACGCTGTGCTATTCATAGCATCGGTCCGCGTCGCTTGCGGGCCTGGGGAGAGCGTTAGATGAGAGTGTTGCAGTGGGGGCGTGAAGCGCTCCGTTGGGCGAGAAACCACGGTGCAAGCGCTGGCGGGGAGGGCGCTTATATACACCCACACTGTAGAGTAGCCTGAGTGTGCAAATGCACTCGCTATCTCATCCCAGAATTAGCCCGCTGCTTTTTTTAGCTGGTCGGAACATTGCATGCATCGCTAGCTGCGTCGGGCGATACACCACTGCGTCAGTGACTTCGATAGCTAGAATGATTGAACTCTGCAGGAATTGCAGTGGCGGGGAAATGCGATAGATCGACTTCCCCCGCCGCAAAACAGGGCCGGACGTGACCTACCTCATGCGAGGTGGCGGACTATTCCATCGCGTCCCGTAGAATGCAAATCCAGAACGGGAGAATCAGGCCCTTTGATCGCGTTGGCATGTTGAGTTGTTCCCTTGGAGTCCCCTCGAACACGCCCACGCGTGTGTTACAGGGGTGGTATGGAGCAGGAGTCGCACGGACTCGGTCGCCAGTCGCTGGACACCCTAAAGCAGTTGCAGTGATCGGACTGGGCCATACTGTCGGTTCCAGTAGTGCTAAGCCCGCGCCAAATTGAATTGGATTACCACATTGTTCGACGGGGCGATACCAGTGAAGTCTACTGTATCCTGAGGTAATAAGTACTGTACCTTGGGTGAGGTACCACGTACGTACGACATGAGCTCATGTCGATGCGCCCACTTCATTCGCCGGTCCAGTCGAGCTGAAACGATAACCCCTTTTCCACCTGGTTGGTGTGAGGGTTGTCGATAGGTGTAGAGGAGGTGTGCCCTTTCCTTGGATGGTGCCTATATTGGATGCACCTGGATAGGAGTCGTACGGGCGGGACGAACAAGATGTGTCTCGAACCCCCCCTCATGGCCATGCCAATGAGTGGATTGAGTGAATGAGGCATGGATGAGGGGATCTGACCTGGCACCTTCCCCCCGCGTCTCGGGTAGGAACAATGAGACGGTCGCGAGTTTCATGGATGAGCATCCTGGCCGAGGCCCTGGACAGCAGTTCGCTGGGATGATTGGGATGGCCGGCTCCACTGCGGGCGTCGGGTGGGCCTAGCGTTGATCTCCTCGCAGCCTGGTGGAGTCGTGTCAGCGAGTAGCTGGGCGATCGTCTTGAGATCGCGAAGCGCTGAGGTTGGCACTCGGTGGCGAGCTATTCTTAGCGACCGCTGAGGAAAGAGGAACAACTGAATGTAATTCATCGAGAATAACGGAGGCTGGGCCGTGAATTCGCAGTATCAACGCGGTCGTACGCGGGGTCGTGGAGGATGGGGAGGCGAATGCCAAAGTGATGAATCTAGGGATGGGCACAGACTTGATAGCCTCCGCCCGGCCCTACTGTCCCTTAGGGTACTCTACCCTCCCCATAGGCACACTAGGCACTCCAGGTATCCTATGTAGGTACACTGCACTAGCGTAGGTATTGAGTATTCCACGCATTCTCCACACAAGGCGGTTCGAGCTCTCCGATCCAACTATGCAGCTCCTCGACCCCTGGGCCTGCCCTTCAGGGATCGTGACTGGCCCAGCCTGCCTGGCGTGCCTCCTCGCCAGCCGCCGGCGGGCGCATACCGGAGCTATATCTAGCCAAACTATTTCCACTCGGATTCTTCACGGGATTCATCCGCATGCCCAACGTCGTCACCACTCCTTTTAATATTTGGTCGCTCCCTCTCCCACTGCCTCACGTCCGTTGCTTCAGCTCTGCACTACCAGTACCTGTATCGAACCCATAATTGCAAGACAGCGTCTGCTCGTTTCCAAACTATTGCCATAGTCGGTGGGCTGTCTCTCGGGTATTACCCTGGCACTCGTCGCCGCAGGTCTCACTTGCTCTTCTCCCGACTGTTAGGGCTATCGATAAGAAGGGTTGACACGACAACCTCTGCTATCCTTACCGCAACATTCTTTTTTTTAAACATCTCTCCACCGTCCTGCTGGCCAGACATTCCGTGCTTTGATTCGATTTTGTTATTTGCATTGTTGGCTGCGTCGTCTTTGCTTCTTTGTTACCGCGACTTCGCCAAAACCCCTCGACAATCCTCTTGTCTCGTCTCGGCTCGACCTTTCACTCCCAGGTCAAACATTGCGAACATTGTCGACAATTTCTCTTTGCTTTGTTCCTGCTACCGAGAATCGGTTCTCAAATTCACCGGTACCCTAATTCACACCCTCCCGTTGGTTGCCTATCGACCGACCGCGACCCGATCTATAAGCATCCAGTGTGCTTTCGATCAACATCCCCCCCCCCTACACAACACCATGTCGGCCTCAACAGCACTCAATCGAGCTGCGCTCGAGGAGTTTGTGACGCAACGCGTCGATCGAGAGATGGTGACGCACCTGGCCCGCCAGGCTGCCCAGGTCATCAGGTGTGAAGCCCATGTGATCAACACCCTCAACCAACATGGTCAGCCCACGCCGCCGTCCACGCCCCCTATGGAAGCTGCCGACAACGTGGCCCCGCTACCCTCGATTGAGACTTTCATTGCTTCCCTCATCGCTCGCTCGCAGGTGCAGGTCCCCACCCTCATGAGCTCCCTCGTGTACCTGGGTCGTCTGCAGGCCCGCCTGCCACCCGTTGCCAAGGGCATGCGCTGCACCGTCCACCGAATCTTCCTCGCCTCGCTGATCCTCGCTGCGAAGAATCTCAATGACTCGAGCCCCAAGAACAAGCACTGGGCTCGCTACACCTCCGTGAAGGGTTTCGACGGGTTTGGCTTTTCGCTCCCCGAGGTCAACTTGATGGAACGTCAGCTGCTTTTCCTGCTGGACTGGGAAACCCGCGTGACCGAGGAAGATCTCTTCCTCCACCTCGAGCCCTTCCTCGCCCCGATTCGCCAGCGCCTCGAGATCCAGCAGACGGAAATGAAGAAGCGCGAGCAACTGCGACGGGAAGAAATCGAACGACGACGTCGTGAAATCGTTCGTGATTGGTACGTACCACCTACGCCTCGCCTTGTCCCGAGACCCCCCACTCACCACTTCGATGTCAGGTCGAACTTTCATGCTTCTGCGGAACTGCTGGCCAGCCGTCTTCGTCGTAATAAGCCCGACCTTCACAGCAACCGCCAACCGGAGCGCGAACGTCGACTCCCCAGCCATGTTTCTTGCCCAACTATGCAACAACAAGAACCCCAAGCAGTTGCTGAACATGATCGCTTTGCTCCGTACAACCGCCACCGAGCTTCTCCTTACCGTCCTGGTCGCTCGATCTCGCCTCCGTCCATCCGTGATGTGCCCGCCCTTTCCCATGCCGAAACCGTCAACTCCTTGTGCTCGCGGTCGTCCAGTGTCGCGGCTAGTTCTCGCGGCACCCCGGCCAGTCTCAGCACTTGCTCTACAAACAGCGACGAGTTGATGTTCTCGGACCCCAACACCAGCCCCTCCGCCTCCTTGACGCACAGCTACGTCAATGTCGGCTACGAGAACAAGCAGAGCCTCCGCGCGACTCGCCAACCGAGCAAGAAGATGAAGACCGGCGGCTACCATCACGGTAACGGCTTTGTCGCTCGTTTCATTGCTTCCGCTACTGGTTCCTACCGTATGAGTCGGCATGCCTAATCGAGCTGGCCTCGATGAATCTCCTTCGATCTACTCTTCATATTCCGCATCTCCTCCTTTTCTTGCCTCTGAAAAGCATTTACCCGTTGATACGCATCTTGTGTGATAATACCCTTCGTTCATGTTGCGCCGTCCCGCCTATTTCTCATGCGCGGTCATGAAACTCCTTGACTAGACAGTTTCCATACACTCTCTTTCTAACACTCTTTAACTGCATATTTGGGTTCGGAACGGCGTCTACGTGGACTGGTTCTTGTTTTCTATCTTTTTGTTTACGGTCATATCTCCTGTACTCAATATGTGGAATGACTGCGGATGGAATGGTATCTTAGATATTTCGTGTATCTTACGGATGTACTTATCCTTATTACCCCATTTACCGGCGTTATGGCTACGGACTGAATATCAATACTTCATACATAAATCCTCATCCCTTGATCAGCCACTCCACTAACCCCCGACCAGCGAACCATCCTTGCCTCTCTCGGCCAACCCGCATGACCGGAAATGCGGCCAGCTGCGGTCAAGCCTACTCCTGATGTTCCGCACGAGGACCGAGCTCCGCCTTGCCCAGGTGCTCAATCTTGATCTCTTCATGTTTGGCATCTGCCACGCGGTGCACCGTATACCACGACCGATGGAACATATTGTCCAACGCCTCCAGTGATCGCCCGGTGGTATCTTAGACATTACCGTTAGTCCATACGTCATGCGAGGAGTCGAATACCAGTACTTCTGGCATTTTGTCTCACGGAAAAAGAGCTGCGCGTACCGGCATGGCGAAATAAACGTAGATCAAAAGACAGCAGACAAATCACGCCAAAAAAAAAGAAACGTCCCCCATCGATCACTTGCGTATCTTGGTCGGGAAGATCTGACCCGATCTGGTAGGGAATACTGAACCAGCCGATACTCCACGCGACGGCGTGGAAACAGATGGCGACTATGGCGCCCGTCGAGGCGCGGTGGATGATCACCGCGCCGAGCGGATGTATTCGTTCCTCATTCCGTTGGTCGAGCCTAGGTACCCGCCGACAAAGACCAGGGTTGCCATTTGCAGCATGATTCCAGTGATGACAGACCGGGCCGCCCGATGAAGTCTACAGTGAATGAGCGCAAAGGCGAGGGTGCTGACGAACTTGACGACGGCGTAGATGCCAGTCGCGAGGAACTCGGCTTCATCGCCGATAGTGGGCGAGTACTGAGTGATGGCATTTGCGCCAAACCACTGCGAGAAAAGCGTCGCCATGACGATTACGAAGAATCGCCGGCGGTTTTCAACAGGAACAAATGTCTCCTTCAACAATTGCCACTGAGACGAGCTGCCTACTTCCTCGCTCTCGTGCAGGATCCGCGCGTCCATCATCCCAATCTCGGCTTGTAGGGCTGGGTGGTCGACTGGGAGATGTCGGAGTTCCAACATGGAAGCGAGGGCTCCTTCGCGCCGGCTGTGGTATATGAGCCAGCAAGGGGGTTCGGGGCAAAAAAAATTTCTGCGCTCCAGATGGTGGCTGGAAGCAGCTGGAGGAGTGTTGGGAGCATCCATGGTGTGTTCGTTCCTACGTAGGATTTTGTGACGCCGTAGTTGATGAAGAAGTCGAAGACGACGCCGAGTTGCTGGCAGGCGGCATATTGGAGGGTGAGGACGCCGCGGACGGCTTTGGGGGAGATCTAACTCATGCAGGTTCGAGTTATCAGAGCTGTTATTCGCAATGAGGATGTCGCACTTTGTAATGTACATCGGGAAACGACTGTCATCGCCCCAATGCCCATGCCGGATATGAATCGGGACGCATAGAGGCCAGATAGACCAGCGCCATTCAAACCCTAGCTTAGGACGCCCGCAACGTAGAAAATAGTTACAAGCACTAGAGCCCAGCGACGTGCGAATCGATCAGTAATTGGGAGGCACTAGAACACGATTAGCCAGGATCTTCTGTAGTTTCCAAGAGCACCACCCACCCCAAAACACCTAAAAACAGCACCCGCGGTAGCCATAGCTACAATCCATCCCTTCGTATTGGCATATTCATCCTCGGTTTGCTGATCCAGTACGAATGAGACTGAACCACGATCGAGGCGATATTTCCTGCTGGTTTTGTTCTCACTCCCGAAGACATTCAACACAGACAAACTTACCTTCATCAAACCCCTTCGAAACTCCAGGAAAAGCAAAGATCGTTAGAACCAACAAGAGCACCGTCCAAGCCATCAATCGCGAAGGCTCCTCTGCGATATCAACAGCACAGAGCGTCTCAATCATAGGAATGAGCATGGTCTGGGTGTTCAGGGCCTCGTTTTGCTGCAGTGTATGGACATGGAAGTTCAAAATGGGCTGGTTGTTGGTGCACCCACAGGCACCGAGCGGGTCGTATTTGGCGTGGTGAACGAGATCTCGAACTCCTTGGACAGTTTCAGTATGCGGAATCACGACGGCAGCGGCGCCAGCATCAAGAATGCGGCTAATATGCCAGTGAGACTTGGACGGTGATCGGACGACAGGCGCATCGCTGACGTACTTGCAGGCCAGAATCAGTTGGGCCATAGTGCGCATGTCTAGGGTGGAATGCTCCATGTCAATGAAGAAATGAAGACGGCGTGGAAGCCTGCCATCTTGGCCATCATGGCAATTCCATTGCCTGTGACGAGCTTGATGGACATGGGTGGTGTGATTTGTCCATTGATGATTCTTGTTCGGAACGGGTTGAAAACCACGATGGATTCTTGGATGGAACCCATAATGACCAGAGTAGGTGATTTCGAGAAGTGTATGAATATAATGATGAAATAACTTTCTGGTATTTAAAACACTGCACTATATTCGAAGAAGCTCTATTTTTTGAGATCGATGAGCTTGTGGCCATTGGCAGGATTTTTCCGATGGGGACGGCGGATGTCCGACGCGCCCTTCGACCAGTACCTCGCTTTGCCGGCCATGGATGACATGGTCTATCCCTTATAATTTTGAGAAATGGAGGGACTCCAGGTCAAATTGGAGGCTCGCCTGATGACTCCAAACTGACTTGTCGCTACCGTGGAAAGTGAGCAGATGCGGATGTAGTCATTTTATACCCAAGTTCTATGTTTGCCCATCCAAGTGTCGCAGCGAGATGCGTGACGGCTGTACGTGAGTAGACCAACCCTTGGTTTTTCAAGCAATGGTACTGGTGTTTTTTTCGGCAGGTAAATGCCCTACGACCAGTACATTATAGTAGATAAAAATATGAAAGCCCATCATAGCGGTTGTCTGAGATATAGACTACTGTTGTCCTAAGTCATCGCAGGCCAGTGCCATAATATCTGCGCCAAGAAGATGTAAAAAAAAATCTCCCCATTCAGATCGACGATGCGAATTCCTTAAAAATGATACCTCTTAGATGAAAAGACACACCACATCAAAGCACATACAATGATATTAATGGGAGTGGGGCCTTTGTTTGTCTAATCGTGATCTTCTCGTGTTTTAAACAGAGGGATGAGTGACCACTTCGAAGATTCCTCGCTGACTTCTCAGTAACTGTAGAAGATATCATGAGAAGCATAATTCCCAGCATACGCAATATACCTAACTTGGTAAGGAGTCGCTGTGAGCGCTGTGATTGAAAGGGAAGGAGTGATGGGTGAGCCACTGCCGGGAGGCGAGCCAGAAAAACCGGGAGATCATACTTCAAACCAAGGGAAGAAGGCAGACTGATTAACACGCCGCTGCAAATAGCAAAGAGGTTGCCTGAGGAGGACGGTCTCGTGCCTACTACTAAAACGCATCCTGCCAAAGAGAAACCGGTTGGCCCTGACGCCATTCTTCGGAAACATCCATCTGGCTGGCAGCATAAACATCCTTCCCCGTCGGTCCCCTCTTCGTCTCATCCACATCACAGACATCAACACTACAAAGATCAACACGGAACTTTTTGCAATTCTGAACTCTGCCAAACACCATCACATTATGACTATCCTGAGTGGTTGCTACTACTATGTTCGCCGAAGTGATCGAGAATATCTACCCCAGATTTCACTCGAAGCCCACGCCACCATCCTCCCGACTACATCTTCCACGACCCTCACCCAACGATTCGCCAACCCACTGGAAAATTCCCTGAAGGAGGTCTCCTATGAGTTTCCTCTCTACGACGGCGTGAGTGTTGTCGGGTTTGAGTGTCAGGTGGGAAAGCGTCGACTTCGCAGCCAAGTCAAAACAAAAGAACAAGCCAACGCCGATTACCAGAATGCCGTGGAACAGGGAAGAAAGGCTGCTGTCTTTGACCATTCTGACAGAAATGGCGATATTTTCTATCTCCGTCTCGGCAGCGTCCCACCCCGCGAATCAATCCGGGTCCAAATCACCTTCGTCGGAGAGCTGAAACAAGATTCCCAAGTCAACGGCATCCGCTACATCCTGCCAAACGCGATTGCCCCTCGCTACGGAAGACTTTGCGAAACACGCTACCAAGCCAGAGATCACTATGGACCTGCAGAGCTACAAGGAATTGATATTACCGTCGATGTCAAAATGGAGCGATATTCGATCATCAGGAATATCATGTCTCCCGGCCATGCCGTCAAGTTCTCACTTGGTCGAATCTCTTCAGCTCCGACAGAGTATTCTTCCTTCGATCCATATTTCGCATTTGCAAATCTGCGACTCGATAATCAAGACCATGCTTTGCTGGAACGCGACTTCGTCCTCGTCGTCAAGGCCGATGGAATTGACAAAACCTTTGCCATGCTTGAGACTCACCCGACATTGCCTGATCAGCGAGCGATCATGGCGTCAATTGTTCCAAGATTCAATCTAACCCCGGCGAGCCCAGAGATTGTCTTCATCATTGATCGCAGTGGCAGCATGCATTCCAAAATCCCAACCCTCAAGTCTGCGTTGCGAGTGTTTCTGAAGTCACTGCCCCTGGGAGTTTGCTTCAACATCTGCTCGTTTGGAAGTAAATTTACTTTTCTGTGGCCAGAAAGTCGTGTATACGATGCTTCAAGTCTGAAAGACGCATTCAATTTCGTTGGTACTGTGGATGCGAACTATGGTGGAACCGAGATCGAAGATGCAATGAGGGCAACAGTACAAAGGCGAATGGACAATAGAGAGCTCGAAGTCCTCCTACTCACCGATGGTCAAATTTTCAATCAGCAATCTTTGTTTGGCTTTATTCAACAAATCCGGGCCACAGACACCGTCCGCGTTTTTGCTCTCGGAATCGGTGATGCGACGTCACATTCCTTGATCGAAGGTATTGCCCGTTCAGGCAATGGAATCGCACAGACCGTTTTGGATCTTGAGGAGCTGGATCAGAAGGTGATAAAAATGCTCAAAGGCGCTCTCACTCCTCAAATCCGTGACTGCACGCTTGAAATCGAATACGATGACGGAAGTGAAGACAAACCCGAGATCATCGATGCTGACAATTCGATGACCGACTCTCAAACTGAAACGGAAAGCAATTTTCCAGCGACTTCCATCAGAAATACTCAACGGGTAATCCCCATCTTTGTCGATGAATTCAACGAGGCCGAAGTCAATGTTGGAGTTCCTCAAGACGACGATACTGCTGACCTTCCTCGTATTGTTGCGCCTAGGAGTCTCCAAGCCCCTCACAAGATACCTTCCCTGTACTCGTTTATTAGGACCGACATTTATTTTATCATGGACCCTAATCTATCTGACAAGACTCCGCGACATCTCAGACTCGATGCTACTTCTAAGCATGGTCCCCTGCATTTGCGCATACCAATCACCGACACCGGAAAAAGCGCGATGATCCACCAACTTGCCGCACGGAAAGTGACGATGGAGCTCGAGCAGGGAAATGGCTGGCTCGGTGACTCTCAGGATAAATATGGCAAGTCCTTTCATCAATTGCACTTCAACACAAAAAACCGCATCATCATTCGAGAATGTCAGGCCCTCGGTCTCAAGTACCAAGTCACCGGGAAGCACTGCTCCTTCATTTCCGTTGAGAATGACGATGTCGACGAGTCCACTGGAAAGACCCAATTTCAGGGCACAAAACCACCCAGGTTCCCCAGAGGTGATACAGGTGATGCCAGGTATTCCTATCACGCCAGATATTCCGATCATGCTAGGTATTCCGACATTTCTAGCTTCTCGAGAGACCAGGAGGAAGTTCCAACTGGGTCCAGCAGTGATCGTAGTGTCCCTAAGGCGACATGCGCATCTGCCGCACCCCCCACAACAGACCATGACATTACCCCACCCGCAGGCGCACCTACGAAGACGGTATCACCTGGGCCCAAAAATTGGAGGGGCAGAAGGGGAGGTGAACGTACAAGCGGGCACAAAGGTGAAAGATGTCTCGGAAATGCAAATTTTTGGCCTCCTGCCATGGTGCAAACCTTTATTGGACAAAATATTTCCAGATCATCTAGTGAACCAGGCTTTGGGACTGCTCGTCCAATCCAACCAGATCACTCATCTGCTCTATCCCAGGTTCACGCGTTGATTGGAATGCAATGTTTTGAGGGAAACTGGGAATGGAAACCCGATCTCTTCGCGTTGTTGTACATCTCAGAAGATCGTGTGCGCCGCAGAATTTGGGGGATTATTGTGTATCCCATTGCTGAGCATGATTGGAAGATTTTTGCAACTCTTCTCGCTATGGGATTCCTCGGAGGACATTATTCCTCTCAAGGTACCTGGGATCTGGTTTATCATAAGGCTGAAGAGTGGATTAACAAGACTCTAAAGAATTTGGGAGAGTATGGTCAAGAAATCGACAATTCGAAAGTGAACGTTATGGATTTGGTTCAAGAGAAAAGTTGGTTTGCTACGAGAAGGTGGGGAATGAGAGGATACTAGAACAAATTCGCTTTTCTGCAAGGATAGCTACTCCTCTAGCAACTAGATACTGACTCAAATCGATTCTCATTCCTTTCAACGATTCTTCTACCTTACAAGATGTAGCTAGTTGCTCCAGGACCGAATTCCCAAGTATTCAAGTGCTAAGTACAAACCGGGCTCACACATCAGGCAAAGACCGCTTGACTTCAACCGACAAAACAAACCCTGCTATCTAGCAAACCAAAACGTCCGAACAGTCCATTCCGAATCATCAGATACCCACTCTATCTCGAAATGACGAATGAGCTGTGGAATAAGCTCCCCCATTTCCATGATCGAAATATTCTTTCCAATGCAAATTCGAGACCCATGCCCCAACTAGTGATCAGAGTCAGTAGATGATCTTTTGCAACGTTGTGCGGATGCTTACAGTCATTGTAAGACGGTTCATGAGCTTTATTTTCTCTTCGCTTGAATCTGTCCAAACCAAAATTTTGGACTAAGTACTTCTTACAATCTAATCAAAGGTAAGTTAAGGTAATCAGGCCCGTTTTTGAGGCTCGCTAAACCCCGCCACGAACCATTGTCCAGCAGTCCTCAGAGAAATCAGGCTTTTTGCGTTCTGGAAAACAATCTGCTGACTCGTATTCTTGTCGAAAATTCCTGCAAGACCATCATCCAGCCTCTTTGCCAGAGACCCAGCAAGGGGCGCAGGCGTGTAGGGATAATCACTCCCATAGAGCAGCCTGGACGAGTCCACCAGCCGCAGTATACCGTGAATCTGGTCCGGGAATGGCACACCCGCAAGGTCGATGTAGAAATGGCGCTGCAGAAGCTGCTTGATTTCCTCCTCGGTGATTTGCTTGCCCAGGAGGAACGCAGAGAATTCTGCGATCCGAGCCACTATCGGCGGGAATGTAGCTCCGCAATGACAGACCAGATATGTTAACTTGGTACACCTAGCCACTGTTCCAGATGTGAATAGGCTAGTCAAAGCGCGTGTGCTGTCGAACATGAATTCCATAACCGGGCTAGGCACTCCGCGCATTGGGGTTATGGTCTCCACCGAGGAACCATTGCCGGTTTGAATGTTGCAGCTGGTGGGATGGAAGAAGATGATTGTACCACGCTCGTTCAATCTGTCGAAGATGGGGCTGAAGAGCTTGTCGCCAGGGTATATACCGTGGGAATTTGTCAAGATCTGAAATCCGATTGCACCCAGATGGTCGAGTGCGTAGTCGATTTCGGCGAGAGATCCCTCTACGTCGGGAAGAGGGAGCGAAGCGAAGAAGAGGAAATGGTCTTTGTTTTCGCTGCAGATTCGAGACATGTCTTCGTTGACTTGGCGCGTCAATTTGCGCGCTTCGGCGTTGTTCCCGGGCGTCAGGTGAGTGCCTGGAGACGACATGCTCAGGATCGATTTATTGATATTCAGGTCCCTCATCATTTGAATATGAGCCTCTGGGCTCCAGTCCTGTTCAATATACCAAGTTAGGCAAGAATCATCAGCAATTTGACATGCTCGGGGCTCACGGGTATAGCTGGCATGCCATCAGGGTGGCCTCTCCCAGCGAAATCATTCTGAAGACAGTATTCACGGTAGGCGGGCGGAACACAATGAGCGTGAACGTCGATTCTCTCCATTGTCAAAAGCTTCGTACTTCTCTCGAGCAGCTATGGGAGCTTTGACGGGAGATGTTGATCTCTAGTGGCGGTCAAATGGCGGTGGGAGTCGATAGTCCCGCAAGAACAGCCTGTGCAACATCTCACTTGGCGGGGCCTGCATTCAGGCCTTCCAGATCTGCACCATATCTTGGATACGATATTGACGTTGTCTGAAATCTGCCATTGAGCTCTCGTTCGCCCACGGAACTGAAATAATGCATAGATTTAAATAAAATCAGCCGTCGGCAGCTCCTTCGGCTCACTGATGTACCCCCGGGCAGCCAGCAGACGCGCCTGAACGAGCTTGAGAAATCGATAAGTGTTATCTAGAATCGGGGTCTGAACCCCTTTCTGTCGAGCTATGCGCAAAGCATTTCCCAGAACCACTTCGACCTCCAGCGGGTTCCCCTTATCTACGTCCACGAGCATGCTAGGACGAAACGACAGCTCAATGGGTGTGGCGTCCACCATCTCATCAATAACCTTGTCTCCCAGGTTGTATCCATCTGCTTGAGCGATTTTGGCCATTTCAGCCATTCCTGGTCTGATGAGACTGTGCTCTCCGCCGAATCTTCGGATCGCGGCGTTGTCCAGCTGTGTGACGGCACACATGGTATTGAAGATTCCGTTCCATAGCGCTTTTCGCCAGCGATAATGCACAATGTCGGCGACGATCGTGGCGTGGGCGATGCCGGCTCCGTTATAGATTGAGGCAAAGTCTTCCAGATTCCGTCGCTCATCTTCCGGGTCGAGTTTTGGGTTGTGGAATACGCCTAAATGATAGCGATCGGGGTCATCATGTATAACATGGCCGTTGTGCTGATGTGCGCCGATATAGCTCGGCCCAGAGAGGACCACGTTGGTCTGAAAAGCATCAATAATCGGCGGCTCGATATAGATGCCATTTTGCAGCAATACAATCGTCGTGCGATTGGGCGTGATGCTTGGAGCGATGATTTCCACAATGTTGTTGATCTCCGGAATAGTCTTCAGTGTGACAACAACGTAGTCGAATGGGCTTTCAGCCGAGACATGGGGCACTTTGTTCACAACTGGACTTCAAATTAGGAACCGCCGATGTGAATAAAAGTGATTAGTATGAAGCATTAGGAGCTAACCGTGACTGGGCCGCCAGCCTGACAGCTTTCCATGGTCCACAGACTCGATCTCAAATCCATCTCGAAGGACCTTTTCATAGTTAGACCGCAGGGCAGCCGTCACCGAGGCCATTCCAGACCGCTCCAGCGCAACGCAGGCCATCGTGCCCACCCCGCCTGCGCCGATAACGAGAACATTTCGTTTTGATTGGTGTGTGGACTCTGACATGATGACTGAGTGATTCGAGTTTGGTTTGATTTTGAACTCTGACGGGTTTCTTCACTCCTTGTCTCCGAAGAATGTGGTCAGCTGGGCTCGTGATACGAGTGGAAGTAAGTCTAAAGTGCCCGAGGACTCTCCCACGTGGAAGAAGCGTCCCATTATGTAAGAGGAAACGATAAGACCGGCGGAAGATGCAAAATGTACCGATTAGCCCGAAACTCGCTGATACGAAATAATATGCCTTCATTTTACTCCGATTGGACTCTATGTAAACTATCAGTCATTCTATTGCCCGCAGGTAGCCGACGGCAATTGGTTCGAGTGACTGGATCGCTGGCCCTTCCGCGACAAGGCAGCCGCTTGTGTGACACGTCGAGGAGATATAACAGCAATGCATCTTGTAATCCCAGAATACTTCATACGTATCATCTTTACTGTAAAGCAGGGTCGCAATGAGTGAAAGCGAGAGCTCCTCCATTTCCTCCCGGATTGCGGCTTTGGCTGAAGATGTGCAAGCCGAATACATCTATGAAGAAGCTCGCCTCGAAGCCCTGAAAGCAGCACGGAAATTGCTGGCTAAACTAGAGCCTCCAATGGAAAGGATGGCGCATGATGTACTACTGGTATGTCACCAAAGAATTTCCTTGTGGGGTGGACATCGGAGGCACCTTATGCTGAGGTAAACAGTGGTATCCACACTTTATGGCTTTGCGTATGGGTGTCCAACTAGAGATATTCTCACAAATCAGCAAATGCTCTGACACAGGCATTCATCTCAACACGATTGCTGAGAAAACTCAGGCATCTCCTATCCTTGTAGGTCAGATTCTGCGTCTCCTTGCAGCGACAGGATACGTCGATCAGCACGACGTTGAGAACTTCAAGCCTACCGCCCTTACAATGATTATGGTGGACCCAGTGATCGAGGCAAGCACTCGTGCTTCGTGAGTACACAGAAATATCACCCTATCCGATATCCCAAAGCATCTAACCCAGTCCAGCTTCGATCTCGGGCTCTCGAGCACAATGAAGGCACCGGAGTTCTTCCGCAAAAACAACAATCAATTTCCGGGGTCAATCAGCAATACGCCTCTGCAACTAGCTCTTGACACCAAACTGACAATTTTCGAATGGCTCGGCCAAAATCCTGAATCTGCCAAAGACTTCCAACAGATGATGAAGCTGAGGCAACAGGTGACATCTAACTGGGTCGAGTGGTTCGACATCCAGCGACATATCATAGACGGTTCCGAGCCTCGTTCACCAGAGAATGTTCTTCTGGTAGATATTGGAGGTGGGGAAGGGCACTACCTGCGGCAGTTTTCTGAGAAGTTTCCCCGTGCACCTGGTCGCCTGATCTTGCAAGAACTGCCGGATGTGATTAGAGGCATCCAGAGCCCGCCAGAGGATGTGGAGTTGATGCCGCATGATTTCTTCACGCCACAGACAATTAAGGGTGCGTATATCATGCACAGCGTTAGCTGCTCCGTCTCAAGCTCACTAACAGATGTGATTTGACAGGAGCTCGGGCGTACTTTATGCACTGGATCCTGCACGACTGGTCAGATGAAAATTGTCACACTATCTTGGCTCATATTGCCGACGCGATGAAGCCTGGATACTCGCGCTTGATCATTCATGAGCAGATCCTCCCTGACATGAACTGTGATGCCGAGGCTGCTGGCATGAGTATCATTATGATGGTTCAGATGGGGGCGCTGGAGCGTACTGAGACGCAATGGCGGGCGCTACTTGAGTCTGTTGGTCTCCACACAATCCAGTTTAATCGAGCACCGGTATCTGGGGAGGGTATTATCGAAGCAATCAAATAGTCCCAGATCAATTATCCTTTTTCCCTTGTTGAATGAGTTGTGAAGCAATTGATTTTTTAAGCTAGACTGCCCATTATGAGCATATTTCTGGCCCCATTGCGGGCTGCAGTTGAGTGGGCTCCGATCTAGACGCCTTGAGTCCGCCTTTTGGACTCCACTGAGCCGAGCCGCACTCACGGTGCTTGAATTCGTCAAGTAATCTCCCTTTTTCTTTTTATTTCTAGAGAGCTGAACGAATTTGGTCAGAGCTTGACATCAACAACCCCAGGATAGATATTGAACCGACCCGAGGGCCCTTCAAGTTCGCTGTGCTCGGGGATGCAGGAGTCTCTTAAACAAGCCTGATCTCCAAGAAATGCAAGGCAAATTCGACCATGACTATGTTCCGACGATCGGTTATGAAATCAGTCAAATTATTTGGACAACGGTACGAAGCTCTGTCTGTGGCTTTCTTTTCCTCGGCGTGTTGCTGATCGCCAGCCCTTTTACCTCACAGGTAGAACTATGGCTCTATAAGGCTTGACATGTACGACCTCTGGAAGCCACTGCCGGCCCAAAACGCGGGTCCAGTGCTTGCAAGGTGTCCAAGCTGCAATTATCGTGGTCAAGCGGTCGGAGCCACGAACGATCGATAACGTCTTCAGCTGGTATCGTATGTCTCTGATTTGTCTGCACAAAGCGTTCGGATCTGAGAGGTTCGTATACAGTACAGCCTTCCTTACACCTGCCAGGTGAATTCGGTCCGGTCGCCGGTACCAACGCCCCTTTCGAGGTTTGTTCGATTAAGCATTGTCTGGACCAGTTTGCTTCCAAGAACCAGTCAGACTTGTTTTGGGGGGAGAGGGGGGGGGGGCATATCTATACATCGCCGATAAAACGGAGATGGATCACTCGTCCATGGAGGATGTATCATTCTTTCACCTATTTCCCGCATTCACACATCTTCCTGACATTGCTCGTCGAACTCCACGCCCGAATTTGGCTCCTTGCCAACGACTAACACTCGCCTGACAGGGAATTTCTCCCCCTGTTGGCTGCATCCTCGTTCCTGACATTTCCCTAAAGTACGCTGAGCGGCTGGAAATGTATCGGTGGGAGATGGAGAAAGCCGCGAGTTGGCCCCTTCAGGATGAAGATGACTCGGATCTCTGAGCGGATTGGGGATGTTTGGAGACCCTTTTGTTGTTGATGGCGTCCGAACAAGCAAAGATGTATGGACTGGCGAATCATGACTGCGAGAATGCGAGAATCAGGAGCAGTAACAGGAGGGAGATATACGGTGGAAGCGATAGGCCTGGCGGGATTGAGTCCGCCAGGCTCGAGCGCCTGCCACTCCGGTAGAGTCGTACTTTACCTACCAATAGTACAGTACCTAGGCACTACCAGGTACTAGGACTCAGCTGGATCGGCGGGGGTGGAGCAGTCGCGGGCGCTCGAGTGCTCTCGCCAAGCCGGCCTGTTTCGCGACGTATGATTTGATGAGGCGAGATGTCTTTGCACTTTTTCCCCACAGCGCGGGCAATCCACCGGTAAGGCGTCGATGGCGGCTCCATCTGAGGTCGTCGGCTTCTCCGCACCTGCAGCATGCTTGCTTTTTAAAGATGCTGCCGCCGCGGTGGCGGCGTGTCCCTGGCGTCTTCGTACACACCTGAACTTGACAAAAGCAAAAGGAAAGAAAAAGGACTTTCCCGGAAATCCCAGCTCTTCACCGTCGCTCAATTTCATCCTTCCTCGCACTTCCAGGCATGGTGAACGTGAATGAGCACGATCATGATGAGGCCTTCTGGGCCCCGGGTACGGTGGTCCTCGAAGACGGTAAGATGGTCACCGCCCTCACGCACCCTTTAATCACACCTCATAATTGATTCATCCTAATATATGTTTCTCTTGGAACAGTCCGCCGGACTCAAGGCCAGCTGATCCTATTCCCCACACCCACCGCCGACCCCAATGACCCTCTCAACTGGTCGGCTGCCCGCAAAGCCCTCAACTTTACTCTTGTGAGCTTCTTCGTGATCTGGACCTTCGTCCAACTCGATATCGGCTTCACGGCATGGGGTCCCATACAAACCGAGCTGGGCTTTTCTCTGGATATCTTGAACGCCGGCGCCGCCGTGAACTATGGAGGGCTGGCGATCGGCTGCTTCTTTTTCATTCCCCTCGTGCACAAATATGGCCGTCGGCCCATCTATATCTTCAGCGCGGCTTTGCAGTTCGCGTCATGTGTCTGGCAGGCCCAGACATACACAGTCGGTAACTTTATCGGCGCTAACCTGATCTCCGGGCTAGGCGGCGCGATCAGCGAGATTGTGGTGCAGATCACCGTGGCCGATGTGTTCTTTGTGCACCAACATGCCACGATGAACGGGTGGTTCGTGATTTTCCAGTCCACGGGCGCCTTTCTCGGACCGGTCGCGTCGGGGTATATTGTGCAATCACAGGGCTGGCGCTGGATGTGGTGGTGGTGTGTGATCTTCTTCGGAGTCACATTAGTCTGCGTCATTTTTCTCTTTGAGGAGTCCAAGTTCGTGCCGATTCTGGACGGTCAAAGTGTTTTGTCGGGGTCGCAGACAGCTCAGGTGCAGGACGACGAGCGCAAGGATAGCGTGTTGGCCGACTTCAAAACAACTGCTCCTCAAGAACCAACACCTCAGCCTGCCCCCGTCCCGGAGATCAAGCCCAAGACCTATTGGCAGCGGATGGCCTGGGTCACCAAGACGAACGAATCCCTCTGGCCTCATTTTTACATTCCTCTGATCACGTTATTCAAATACCCCGCGGTCACATACACTGCTCTGACCTATGGATCGACTCTGGCCTGGTTTGCCATCATGACATCCCTCCAGGCGTCGTACATGCTGCTCCCGCCGTACAACTTTGATGCGATTGGGGTGGGCCTGATGAATGTTGCACCGTTTGTGGGGGCAATGCTTGGCTTCCCCTTTGGTGGATATCTGAGCGACAAATCTATCCTCTGGCTATCCAAGAAGAATGGAGGTATCTATGAGCCAGAGATGCGTCTCTGGTTGGCACTTCCCATGGCCATTCTGGGCCCGGCGTCCATCTTGATGTTTGGTTTGGGACTCGCTTATGTATGCTCTCCTTTTTCTCTCTTACTACCGGTGGCCATGCTTTGCTAATCTCTTTGTCCAGGGTATCCATTGGGCGCTTCTAGCGGTCGGGTTTGGAGTCTTTGGATTCACCCTAGCTGCCATTAGTGGAATCTCCCTCTCCTATCTCATGGATTGCTACCAAGATGTACGTGTTGTCTTCCACTACCTCACATCAAGTTATCGGGGGCCGTGTTTAACTAAGACGTTCACACGAGCAGGTCATCGGAGACGCCCTGGTAGGCGTCATTTTCATGAGAAATATCATCTCGGTGATAGTCCTTTTCGTTCTCACGCCCTGGGTCAACGGAATGGGTATCCAAAACCTCCACATCATCTGTGCCGTGGTTGCTTTCGTTATCTACCTGATCCCGGTTCCTTTGTTGCTTTGGGGCAAGAAAGCGCGAGTCATGACCGCCGGAAGCTACAAGAAGCTAGCAGCTACCCATGTCAGCCACCGGATGGTTTGACCTTCAGTAGCGAGTCTTTTCCTTCGATACAATCCAAACCGAATTGTTTAGTTTGTACAGAGTAGCAAGTCTCAGATCATAGTCCCACCCTTGCGTGCATCCAGTCCAGACCTTGATTCCCCGCAAAAAGTCTTATCTGGGCGCTAGGCCGCATCAGGCATGGGCCAGCCATTTGCCCAAATAGTCAGGTATAGCCGAGGCTTATCACTAGCAGGCGGCCTCTCCGCATTCCAGCACCACCCGAGGATTCGGCTACGCTTGATCCTGTTTCTTGCCGAGCAAATGGGTTCGATAATATGGGTTCGTCAATGGGCTGAATTGGTCAGCACGCGTTGGATCTTGGAATCTTGATCATCTCACTCTTCAGTGTATGCTACACCTCCAGGTAAGTATTTCGACTGCACCCAGCCGCTCTCTCACTGAGTATAGATTGCTGATGCCTGCTGCTTGCATAGAAGATCAAAGTGGGGCATTGATTAACATGCTTCCAGACGACTATCGCAACAGGATACCGATACAGGAGACCAGGATGCCGATTGCAGGTCTTACGAAACGAGCCTGTGATCAATGTCATAACGTCAAAGAGAGGTGTCGACGATTGGGCCCGAACGACCCCTGTGAACGATGCACGCGTCTGGGTCAGCATTGCCAGACAACGCGATACGCTGTAAAGACGGGGCGGAAGCCACGCGGACTGAAAAAGCTGTCTTACACGCTTCCCACCTTTGCAAACCTGCCGGCCACGCGTGATACGGCTGCATCATCCTTGGGGAGCTCGCCCTCTGGACTCAGTCCATATGATGGGGGTATGGCAAGCAATCCGGCGCTATTCTCGAGTCTTGACGAGTGGGAGCGACATTTCCTCAACTTAATGAAGGATATACTGGCGCCTTCTCCTCTTGACAAATTCCTCGTGGGCCCCAGTTTCCACGAAACACACCATACCTCCTTCGTCCAGAATCTTATCAGACCAACCCCCGTCCTGAAACATGCGGCTGTCGCCTGTGCAGCGGTACTTTTCGGAGATCAGAACGACGAATATTCTCAAACAAGCGTTGAGATCGGACACAAGCGTGCCGCTCTGGTGGTTTCCTCGTTACGGTCTTTCAACGTATCCAATGAGCAAGATCTGGCTACCGTCCTTATCCTTGGAGTAGCTATGGTCACCTTCGCCATGCATGTTGCCGACGGTCAGCCATTCTTGATATCGCATTATACCCTAAGCCTCATCAAGCCGCAGGTCGAGAAACTCTTCACCCTCGACCCCGCCATGATCGACTTCTGGATGTGCTTGGTGAGTACAGAGACCTTTGAGTGTCTTTTGAGATCCGAAATTCCAACAATGAGAGTCGATCCCACCCGACGAGAGAATGTTGTCGATCGATATCTCGGGTTGAGCTCAACGATCTTCACGCATCTCTACGATATCTGCGCAGCCGCAACAGCTCTGAAGCATGCTTCCACCGCGAGGGCTGTGGAAGTCGTTCAAGATCTCAACTCAATCAAAGCCGCTGTCGACAAGTGGCAGCCATTGCCTCCATCAGATTTCCTTAATCGATATACGCAAGCTGAGGTCCTTAGCATGCTTGTGCAGGCGAAGATCTTTCGCATTGCCGCGCTCCTGATGATTCATCGTCTGCAACACCCATTCGGAGAGCAAGACCGGGAGGCTCACGTGCTTTCTCGTGCTATCATTGCCGAGTTTGATATGATTCTTCAGATGACGCAACGATCGATTCCGTGTACCGCGCTTCCGTATCTCGCCGCGTGTTTTGAGATTCTGGATTTCGAATCACGACATGCTACGCTCAAGAACAGTAAGCAGATCGTCGCATTTTCCAAGCAGTCGCAGATCCGGTTTGAGGCTACCTTGACCTCTGTCTGGCAGGCAAGAGACCTTGGACATCAGTTTCACTGGTTTGAACTCGGCATATATGCATCTACCCTGTGGCCGGGAAAGTGAGCCAAGTCATTTGTATCATACAATTTCACCGAAATCGAAATTTCAGTACTTCTGCAGGTGTGATTTGTGTTTATTCACCGGTATCATGGTTCGCCTAGCCAGATTCCTCAGCGGTGGACAATGCACGCTAACTTGCTGCGCGACATACCCTATACTGAAGAGGCCGCTCTCAGACACCCCGACCCGTTGGTAGATCTCAGACCATACAGAGTTCATACATCATCACATTCGTGATGATCGCTAGCCATTGGCTCGCTGTTCAGAAAATAAACTCAGCAAGAACTTCACAGACCGGTTTCTTGTTCACTTCGAAAACTCCGGTGGAACATGAGACGTCAGCATCAACCTACCCATCTGCATATCTCAACCGTCAAACAGATAGGTGGATCAGGTGCAGCATGTCCTGTCTTCCATGGCTCCCAACGCAGCAGTTGATCGTCTCAACCGCCAAACCTTGACATTCTGAACTTTTGAACCGTCTCGACTTCTTCACATCGGTATTTCTGCTTCCAGATATGTCTAAAGGTTTTAAACGCCCTTAGATTGGTCGCATTCTAACTACGCCTCCGCCGAGAATGCCGGGCTTGCTTATCTCGGTTAACGGAAGCTGCATGAAGCGGTGAACATACAAACACACCTGTTCCAAAAGCGGGAGACGACGAGCCACGTGAAAGGCCTGAGGGCCCTCGCGAGGCAGACTTACAATGCTTTGTATACGCTTGTAAGTCCTCGCCAGGCGATTGTAGCACCTTGCAAGGCCGAACACGAATATAGCAGGCGACTCGCGAGCCGTTCCAGCAATGAGATGCCAGACGCACACACTGCCACGATCGACCCCAATGCACCGGGGCAATCAGTTTCCTTTTTCTCACCAGACAGTGCACTCCTCGATTGGAGTACTGGCTCTGAATGGTTCATGCCACGAGGGTGGCCCCTGCTGGGCGGGTTGCACAATGCTGCATCCCCCTCACCTTAGCTGCAGAATCCTGCATGCGCCCGCTTCTGGAGCTTGTCCGGCGCCCAGATCGACTCCATCAGACCCGGGAAGCACGTTCCCGGCTTCGACGCTGGAGCTTAACTGTCGCGACTATATATTGTGCTGCGCGATCCACCGCAATCTCCTATCAAAATGACTTCCTGTTTATGCAGACTTGCCCCTCGCTTCTTCTGGTCGTGATCTTTGACGGCGGGTCTGAGCTCATTTATCTACATTCACAATGGTGTGGAATTATTATGATGGCAAAATCCTGTTCGTCACCGGGGGCACAGGATTCGTCGGCACGACGGTCATCTACAGACTCTTGAGCAAGGCAACGCCAAAGCATATCTATGTGCTATGTCGAGGTGGCTATGAGTAGACTGCACAATTTTCCATTGGGGAGACTAGACATACTTATTTTTTTTATAGGAGAGCCAAAGTAAAATGGTCCGACATGCTACCCGCCGCCGAAGCCAAGACTCTCATCCAAAGCAATTGCATGACGATCCTAGACGGCGAGTTAGGAGACACTGCAACAATGGACCTTTCCGACGAAGACCTTCAAATACTGAAGCGTAAAGTGCACGTCATTATCCACGCAGCTTCCTCAATTGCTCTCAAGAACTCACTCCGTGAGCTCGACTACACGGTCATCGCACCCACAACTTGCCTGGTGCAATATGCCTTAAAATTTGCCAATTTGGAGAAGTTCGTCGTCCTCTCAACCGCCTACGCAAACGCTCATCTCTGGACAACAAGTAAATCCACCGATGTCGCAGTTGAAGAGCGGATATACTCGCTCGGATCCAAAGACGAAAATCCCATCGAAACGGCTCCCGATGTCTGGAAACAACTGCAAAAAGAGGGAACCACGGACGAGTACGAAAGTCATGATTTTCCATGGCCCTATGCGTATGCGAAACAGTTGGCAGAGCGGCTTGCTCTAAACAAGGCTGCTCTGAAAGATGCCTCGGATAAAATCCTCATCATCAGACCTTCTGTCATTGGACCGGCTGACCAATTCCCTTATCACGGTTTCACGACCTCATATTCGACTCCATCAACAGCTTGCGCGGCTGCGTACGCACTACACCCCGGGCGAAAGATCAATTTGGCGACACGCTGCGAGAACCCGGAAAAGGAGGCGACCATTGATGAGGTACCGGTAGATGTGGTTGCCGATAGACTACTAGTGCATGTCGCGCTCGGCTCAAGTGGATGTGTCCATGCAGTTAGCGGGACAAAAGGGCGACTGCGCCTCGAAGACTGGTGGGCGGCATTCAAAAAGGAGCGGCGGTGGCCCTGGAATGTCAAACCTGTTTGGATATCGGAGGATTGGCATTCCTCGAATTTACATCATGTTGCGAAGAATCTGAAGATTATTGGCACTTCCTTTGCTTTTTCGGAGGAAAAGACCGATCTCATTGCAGAGAAGCTCGATGATCGGAATCTAAAGATTTATGCAGATCGCTCTCAGCCATATCACAATTCGCTTGTTCATCGACGGCATCATATTCACAATCTTGCTCGGGAGATGGCGAAGAAGAGTAGGTTGCCAGCATGCTCAGCGGGGATCTTATTGAGGAAAGGCAAGCCTCCAGTTCATTTGGACAAGAAGGTGGCAGTGAAGTGAGAAATTATTTAAATGACACTGTGTCAAAATCTTTCTACGTTGATCAATGGTCCATGTCGGAACGAGTGCTAAGATGAGGCTCTTTCGGGATATATTCTTCTGCCAAGCTGCAAATAGTTAGTTGTCATGCCTATACTTCAGACTTTGTCAAAGAAGCCCAGTCTCATATATCTGAGCTCATTCTCACGAATTCCACATAATAAAAAAAAAAAAAATTTATTCCAAGCGAGATAATCGCCCTAGATACATTGATTTGATTCGATGTATACCAAAGGGAAATCGGCGGAGGCACGGGCCACGCGGGGAGCCGAAATTCTTTTTGCCCCGCCACTCTCAATCCCTCCAGCAACACTCGCGATCCACGCATCATGGCCCCAACGGCGTGCTTTAACTGCAAGGAGGCCCGGGCCGTCATTATTCGCCCTAAGAACAGACACAAGCTTTGTCGTGCCTGTTTCATCGAGATTTTCGAGACCGAAGTACACGAAACCATCACCGGCGCAAACCTCTTCTTCCGCGGCGAGCGAGTGGCGATCGGAGCCAGCGGCGGCAAAGACAGCACCGTCCTGGCGGCAGTCTTGAAGACACTGAACGAGCGATACGACTATGGACTGAACCTTGTACTCCTCTCGATCGACGAGGGGATCCGCGGCTATCGCGATGATAGTCTGGAGACGGTCAAGCGCAATGCGCAGCAATACGAGATGCCCTTGACAATTGTTGGTTATGGCGAGCTATACGGGTGGACGATGGATCAGGTTGTGGAACAGATTGGGAAGAAGGGAAATTGCACCTACTGCGGTGTGTTTCGTCGACAGGCGCTGGATCGCGGTGCTGCGCGGTTGGGAATTCAGCACGTCGTTACCGGTCACAACGCGGACGATGTGGCGGAAACTGTCATGATGAATCTGCTTCGTGGCGATCTCCCCCGTCTCTCTCGGGGAACTAGTATCGTGACTGCCTCTGGTGGCTCGGATATCAAGCGAAGCAAGCCGTTGAAATATGCCTACGAGAAAGAAATCGTTCTCTACGCCCACCACCGTCAGCTCGATTACTTCACCACCGAATGCATCTACTCGCCCGAGGCGTTTCGAGGCAGCGCTCGTACTCTGGTCAAGGACCTGGAGAAGATCCGCCCCAGTTCGATTCTAGACATCGTCAAGAGTGGCGAGGACATGGCCGCTCTTGTTCCTCGGGAAGTATCTCAGAGCGGCAAGTCGTGCAAGTCCTCCGCTGCTGTCGAAGAGGAAGCTACCGGTGGTTGTGGAAGCCAGAATGGACGTACCAGCGGTGGAGAAATGGCCGCGATGGAACAGCAATTGGCTGAAAATGAGGCGGCCGAGTCTCATGAGACCGAGATTCAACTTCCAAAGAAGGTCAACGGCAGAGCCCCCAAGGTCGTCAAGGCTCAGACCTTGGGTCATTGTGAGCGATGTGGCTATATCTCCAGCCAGCCTATCTGCAAGGCATGCACTCTTCTCGAGGGTCTCAATCGGAACCGTCCCAAGACGGCCATTGAAGTCGGTATTGGGATGGAAGATGAGGAAGGCAGTTCAACGCTGGCCCGGCAGATGGAGCAGGCCCAGTTGACCAACAGTTGAGCCTTAACGAATCAGGTTCCTTCTACGAACACATCTGACCATCTTTACCACCACCCGTTGCGACTCGACCTATTTCGGGGCTGAGCCCTACAATGTCCTACACGCAAAATACCCAGCTTACAGACCGGCTACATCCCACGAACATTCAAATCACGCGACTCATTTCAGTCCGCGATGGGATTCACGAGCGATCAGGACGCCCGGCAGGGGCACATTGAACTATGGTCCTTTTGCCTGACGCTGCGAATAGCGCATCGGCATCAGTTTTGGATTACAGATGCCGCATGATATACCCCTAGCATAAGCACCTTCGCAAAGAAGCGTCAACCAGATAGAAATATCAATTTCGCCATGTCTATATTTTATACAAAGTTGCCATGGATATACAATCTCAGGGTATCTCAATACCCGGACCCTCCTTCACCCTACTATCCTCCTTATCCATACATTGCATGCCAGTGGTCCCATACTCCATCCGGACTCGACAACTTTTAAGGACTCAACCCAAATCCAACATTCCCTCAGATCAGTTGTAAAGACGAAACAACTTTACTCAGACTTCTTCCCCTCGGCATCATGCAACTCAGGCAAATCAAGACCAACCCGTCTGGCCGTAAGACGAATCCGCTCCTCCTCATCAAGGTTCATGCCAGGGTTATACCGCTCCAGCAGCGCCGCATATGTCCGTTGCGCGCGAGCATACTGCGCCAACTGCTCCGCCTCCTGCAGGCGCAGAGCGCGCTCCTCGTTCGAGGTCGGCGTGGAGAAGGGAATGGCGTCGCTGCCGCCAGTGCTCGCTATTGAGGAGGATGGGGATTTTGCGTCGGTTGTGGAGGCGGTTTGCGGTTCGGAGCGGAAGAGAGTTCGGAGGCGGTTGTGGATTGGGGATGGGGCGGTGCGGCTGCGCTTGGGGAGCTCGCGGAGGAGCGCGCGGTAGGTGCTTCGCGCTTGGTTTGTGAAAGGTTGTGTCATTTTGAGCGTGGGCTGGTTGAGGGGTTTGCCTGTGGTGATGATGAGTTGATTGCGGGTCGTTCTCTAAGATGTGATGGGGATGATGTTCACGTGACTTGTATATACGGTCAAGGTCTTCGACTGGATAAAAATACGCTAGGCAAGGCCTAACGTAATCTATAGATGATGTGAAAACAAAATCAAAAGGGTACAATTATTTACTGCTCAATCTACAAGGGATATTCAGTCAAAGTCGTCATATATACCAGAGGTAGGATTATTCCGCATCGCGGCTGACGATCATCGCTACCCCATCAGAGCGCACTCCTATATACAGAATTCGTAGCAGAGTCTTGCAGTATTGCCGCTTCAAGCGTCATAATGTTCATGCCGTGGAGCCAATTCCAAAAAGCATGCGAAGACAAAAAATCAGGCAGTATATATCAATCATAGAAAGCGTTTCGACGTGAGAATGGGTATGGCGGACAGGAGACCAAAAGATCAAAAGGGAGACGTGCACAGATGAAGGTATTTGGGAAACAAGCGATACGAGACCTATGCGCGTAGCCAGCCGAATTTCTTTCGGCTGGGCTCGCTGCCGTTGGATGGTTCGACTTGCAGGCTGCGAGCATACAAGTCCTGAAAAATGTTAGTAAATGTGGAAACAGGTTACAATGCAGAGACAATATTCTTACCTCCTCGTCTCCCGACAGCTTTGAATCCAGGATCAATCGTTCGATATCGTCGTACTTTTGGGCTTGGGGATGGGGCGACTTTTGGCTCCGCTGAATCCCAAGGATAACCTCGCCCATCACCTCGAATTTCTTCCAATTAATGCGAGACTTGTTCTCGCCCACGAACGTCTTGTTGCCCTCCTCGGCAGAGACCAGATCGCGGCGATGCAGTGGAAGAAAAGGAATCCGCTCGGAGAATGAGTTTTCCCAGGCCAGGCGATAGGCAAAGTGGCTTCGCTGGGTGCTCATGAGAATCACCAGACGCATGAACTCCTTCTGGGTCTGGACGGGGATCAATTCGCGGGTCTGGGTGAGACGGTGAACAGGGGTGCCATTAATTGCAGCAATGACAGCGCCCAGGGAGTTGTAATTATTTTGACGACGCAGTTTGGCCGCGATCCCCATAAACTTCTCCAAGCATCTCGCTCGGTGCTTGGGTTTGTCCCGAAGAAGAATCATGCTTGCCACGAAGAATGCCAAATGGTTGAACTGACGGACCATACGATTGACATTCTGCAAGCTCTTAATCTTGTCCTTGTCCACTCCCGATATGCTGACATGGCGCACGAGATCACGAGGGCGGAAGGAGTTGTACATGATCCAATCGATGCGAGTCAATTCGCGCGCAAAATCCTCATCCGGCGTCTCCATAAAGTAGCGCCATTGGATTTTGGTGAGCACGGTCCTGGAACTGAGTTCCAGTCGGAGGGCTTCTTTTTGTGAAGCCTCCATGGATAGAAGAGAAAATGATTGGTTGAGGGTGGTGGAGGGTTTGTCGGTGTTGGAGGAAATAGATAATGTTCCTGAGAGACGTGATGTCGAGTCATGTGGCCCATCGCTGAGGTCCAGATTGCTCATGCTGTAGATAGGATCCTCTTCCTCTTCGTCTTCGTCGCCATCGTCGTAAGTGCCTGTCAGGAAAGGCGCTGGCGAGCTTCGACCAGAGTTATCGAAGAATGTTTCTGTGAGACTGGAATCATCCACATCGCCATCGCTGAAGGCCCATCCCATATCGTCATCTTCGGCGTTCGAGTCGAGAAAAGAGCCGATCTCTTTGGCTGCAAACATGTAGAAGTGGCTCTTTTCGAGGGTAGCCACGAAATCGGTGATTCGTTTCCGAGTTTTCGGGTAGGCAAAATCGCCCGGGTAGTCCGAGGCCCAGAGGGCGATGACATTGAGGAGGCGCAGCTGGTCGGCCATACGGGCAAGCTGATCGCTGTTGCTGGATTCGTTCTTCTCAAACCGAGTGACTAAGGCATTGAGAAGGGCCGCCGGAGCGGCGAACTTTCGGTAGAGACATAAAAAGATGGAGACGAACTTCGAGTCCTGCTTCGACATGGGCTGGGCGACCAGACGATCGACCAACTCGTCGAAGCTTAAACCCGACTCGGCGCTCGAATTGCTCTCGCTGCTAGGCTTCGGGCGCACGACGTTGCCTGGGATCATGGTCTGGCTGCCATCCATCTCCTCCATATTCAAAAAGCTGCTGAAGGCGTCGGCGCCTCCGCTGTGTCCCCAGGCAGGTTCAAGGCGTTGACGCTGGTGTTCCTGGATGGGAGAGCGATCCCCCTGGGCGGATGGGCGACGCGGATTCAGACGTGCGCCTGACGGTGGAGTTTGCGGTCGCACCGGTTGAGAATTACTTCGGGCATTTCGCGACGAACTGGAAGCATGCTGTTGCGCCAGATCGGAGGGGACGGCTGGGTCGGTGGGCACACGGTGTACACCGTTCCCATCGACTCGATCGGAGACCGACGATGACGAGCCGCCAGCGGCTCCGGGGGCGAGGGCGGTAGAGGTTACTGAATTGGCACGATGGTGCTGCCAGTCGAGGGGCGGCGTGGGTTGAAAAGACTTGGTCGTCGTGCGCGGCGGGGCAGGGGCGGGCGGAGGAGGATTACGGTCAGACGAGGCGAGGTCTGGGCGGATCAGGGCGAATTAGCGGAGGTCAGAACCAGCGGAACGCCACGGATTTATTCGAGGACTGCTGCGCTCTTGGGGCTCTCCTCTGTCGATCGGTGGGCTCTGGACAGAAGGGAAAAGGGTAGCGAAATGCTAGTGCCGTGACCCACCGAGCAGGGGTCATGGCTCTCCCAATATGCACCTTTTCGCCCTACTGCCCGCCGTCGCCCATTGTCTCCGAACAAAGCATTCTCTCCTGACCAGGGGGTACAACTCACCTTCTCGGTGCGAAATAACGGCTCGCAACACGAGCGCAATGCACATTTGCTGCGATCGGGGCGACTCGGGCGAGGTTCGGTAAATCTCGTGGCGCTCGTGGACCACGGCCATTTCGCTGTCCTCCGGCCGTAGATCACACTTGCATGCAACCAGCAGCAAGGGCAGGGGTGACGGCGGTGCATCCATGGCATCTAGAGCCAGCCGAGGTCAGCAAACACGAAAAAATTTTTTTAAAAAAAGGAACACGACGACATCGCGGTGGTGGCATGAGGTTGTCACAAGGAACCTCGGGGGGGATGAGGGGGGTCAAGGCGACTTCAGTGTTGGGGAAGCGGATGTAGCATTTCACTCGCTCATGGACGCACCGATGAGATCTGTGGAGGTTTGGTCAAACCTCTCGGGTTGAGTGGCATCATGAAGCATTAATACTCCGTCGACGATGGGCGCCGCGGCCTCGTCGCCCAACCGGGGCCATATGATCTTTTTTATTGTCGTGGTCCACTATCACTTGGTGCAAATCGACCTCCAACAATCGCACCATGTAGACCGATCCGTCCAGGGACATTTTCTTCTTGGTCGAGAACGACGACGGGGCATATTTCATGTCCAGGGCCCACTTGATAAAGCTCGACTTCCCGGCATTATCCTCACCGACCACGGCAATGGTGACTTCTGGTAGACTGGCCTTGGAGGGTTCCTGCATACCAGGGCTGCCGTTAGTAATCAGACGATCTCATTGAACAGTCGTGCGCTGCAGGATGAATGCGAGCAGATCATGGAGCATTGAACGCACCTCGTCCCCGTTGTTCCGAGACCGAGACCGCTTGGAGGCATTGCTGCTTTTCCTTGAAGGGCCTTCCTCTTCCATGAGGGTGTGTCCGACATTCGGTCCCGATCTGCGGCCGGAATCCAATTCGTGTAATTCGCCTGCCGGGGCAGACGACGTCCGATTGCCCATCCCGGGGCGCTGCGGGGGTCCTACGGGCATCGCTTGCGTCCTGTCACTCAAGGCTCGCTCGCGGCGGGCTTGAGAAGACATAGCAGGCGGCGGAAGATGACAGGTCGACAACGAGGGTCAGGAGCAAGGTGATGAGGCAGGTAGAGGCGTCCACGGAGAGTCGACTACTGCATCTGGGCGAGCAGCTGCAGCAACATATCCATGGCCTTTTTCTCTGGGAGAGAGGAGGGGGGTTGAGAAGGAATCAAATTCGGGCGTAGAGAGACTTCTGCTGACTATGGCCAGAGATCCATGCGGAGATCGCACAGGATCGAGATTGAACGCACTGCGTGTTGCTGTATAGCCCAAAGCGGCAAATTTGAAGAATTGGAGAAACGAAGAGGCGTCGCCCCGAACGTGCCGACTAGGAGGTTGCGGGAGAAAGGAACCGTGGAACGGAGGTGGGCACTGTCAACGGGCCCGGGCTTTCACGCTGGATATCTTATATTCTAGTAACTGCACCCTCACCTCCTGGTACTGGGGCCCTGAAAGCCGGCAGTGCGAATGGAGAAGTGCAGATTGCAATCTGGATGGATCACAGAAATGCAATTCCAGGGGTTTTTTTTTATTTTTATTTTCTCGGAGCTGAACGCGCGCCGCTCATTGGAACCGGCGGTGGCCCGTTCTCCAGATCTCGCGTGCCCACTCATCGCCTTCCCTCTCGTCTCCATCGTTCATTCGCTGGCCTACGAACGAGCTGAGCTGAAACGTGAACTCCTCCGGACACCTGGCACTTCTGAAGCAGCTCTGGCAAGACTACCAGACGAACTAGTACGCCTTCTTGCTACCGAGCTCCATTCAGGAGGGCTTAAATGCAAATACACAAATCGACCCGATGTCGACCGCCACCGCAAAAACTCCCCTCGCCTCGGGCTTTGGGGCTATCAATTAATATCGAGATGGACTATTGCCCAAGCCGCAAATGCGACCGGAAGGGAACCCGTACTTTTGGCCGGGGAAGAAGGGTACTGCGTCTGCCAAGTGCACGACGCAACCGATGCCCCGGGTCGCAGTGGGTTAGGGGAGTCCACACATAGAGTCAGGGGCCTGCCTGGGCCCTCCGCGGGGCCCAAAAATGGGACGCTTGGGAGAATCGGGGACCTCACTCGGCCTGGAAACTCGACCAGTCCGATTTATGCAGTCATCGTTCCATATGGGCCACGGCCACAATTCACGAAAACCCATCCTCGACGCGGGAATCGTCGCAATCAGATGCGAGCTGGGGCTGATTTTTCGGAGTCGCCACTCGTCACTCGTCGGTCGCGACGTGCGCTCGTGCTTGTGCTATGGGAAAGGACCCCCGGCAAAGCAGCTTCTTGCAGCTCTTCTAGCTGTCAACCGACGAATCCCACCACGCAGCACCCCCGCCGCCCCTTCATTGGGCTTGGTCTCTTGCACAATCACAGATCTCGAGCGACTTCCAGGGTACAAAGGCTGCGTGATACCTGACGACTAAGCCAGACCACCTTAACCCTTCAGCAACATGCCGTCCAATCTATAGGTACGTACCAGGTTTGTTCGGAGTTGTGGGTCAGATTTGCAGCGACGCTCAGCCTTTACACAGATCGAGCTACTCTATGTATATGACCGAGGACGCCTCAACCCGGGGAACCAGAATGAAACACATGTAGACCGAATTAGAAGCCTCCCCGCAGATACTATCGACCAGTCGTCACTCTAGCAATTCTGGGAAGACAAGACCGATACGTTGCCCCGAGTCATGTTTCTCAGCTGGTGGGACCCTCCAGACGGTGGGTCTTGACTCGGCGTCGTCTTCGCCAGAATTTAGTACGGATGAAGACTTCTATTTTAGGAAGCTGGGCATGCCTTGCGCCTCTTCCGACGCGCACTGTGACTGAAACAAGATCGCAGCCCTATCTTGATCGGTTAGATATCTGTTTGATCGCCCAACCGTTTGACCTTGTTTACTTCAAACTTTGATCTTGTGTCAAAGTCGAGGCCGAAACGTAATCCAAGAGCCTTTAACTTTGGGCTCTTTTGTCGGCTCGCATATGCAAGCAAACGAGCAAATTATGTCGGTGGCCAGCTCACCATGGGAGTATTTCAGCCAGCACAATCAAAACCAAAACTGTTCCAGGTAAGATAACTCATTAGCCTCCATATGTATGCGTATTCGTACATTCAATTTCATTGTCCCGCAATGTGTTGTCCACTCCCAAGATGAAACCCCAAACGCCCGCAACATATGCTCAAGACACCTAGACCGAGCCACCTGCTTGGCCCGGTTGGTCTTGCTGGTTGTTCTGTACCAGATTCAAAAACTGCAAAAAGGCCTCTGCACCGGCCCCCGTCTCGTTCCCTTCTTCGCAATCCTGTCTGAACTTCCGCACTCTGCCTAGGCCACGATTGAACCCCTTCTCGGCAGTCCATGGACCACGACTCCGACGCGAGGGGGCTTTGCCTCCTCGTCCATTGAAACGGCCCCTCGTGGGAGGTGTGTACCATTCTATCCATTCGTCTTCCAAGGTCGATCGATACATGTCATGTAGTTGGTCGCGAAGCAGGGGGTGACGGCGGAGAAGCTCTGTTATCTCTGGCGAGGCGGATATAGATGAAGGAGCTAAATTCTTCTCCTGAGGCTCAGCGCAAGCTGTCGAGTCGTGGTTGAAAACCCCATTTTCCATAGGACGCTCGACATGGCCAGGTGTAGATGATTCGGCCGGCTCGCTCGGTGCTTGTGGCTTGGGAGCGCAGTAGATCTTATGTGCCTGAGTGCACACGAGAGAGCAGCTGTGTAGAAATCGAATCAGCACCCCTGCCAATACTCAGGAGAAATAGCAAGCTTCCAAATACCTCATCACCATGCATATCGGACACCGATACTTGGACGGCTCCGAGGAACAGACTTCGCACGAACCGGGCATTTTCCTCGATAGATCAGGACTCTGCGTCTCGGAATCCGTCCGTCATATTCGACCGGTCAACACTTCGGGTCTGTGGGTGGCCAAGGGACAAAGTCGTATGCCGGAACGAAGCTTGAGCACACGGCCCGGGATGCAAAAAATAAAAATCGTTGATGCCTCAGGCCGGAATCACCCCCACCGATCGCAGCTTCCCAAAACAGCCACAAGGCGAACGATCGAACCGCACGTGATTTCCCATGTATCGATCGGTTCTCTCTTCAAGCATAATCATTTGAGGGGAATGTTTCATGCTGCAGTTCCGCAATTTGAATCGCCACCGTGACGTTTGCCTCTATACTCGACAAATTCCTGTGAGGCGTGATCTGCGTTCATGGCAAACCCGCCGTCAGCCCTTCCGCCCCCATTTAATGGGTCTCCTGGAGTTATCTGATCACGGACCACGGCCGTATTGGGAATGGGCGGAGCCCCATAAGTCGAAAGGGTGCAATACGTGCCGACGACGGAAAGTCAGGGTAATGTTCCCCGGTCCTACAGGAGGATAGTGTTTCAATTTATAGAACACTCTAATCTCCTCTCTAGTATGATGGAGCCAGGCCAGAGTGTGTGCGTTGTCTGGAAAATGGACATGTATGCGAAGGCTATGAAAGAAGCTACGTTTTTGTTCACAGGTCGAATGCGTCAGGAGGTGCACAAGCTCTCGTTCAGCGGCTCCACCAGCAAAAATAGGAGAAGACAAGAAAAGACGATGCATCTGGTCTGCCAGCTGAAGAGCCTGGCGTGCCTCGATTTGATATCAGGTCCGAAGTTCTGACCCAATTTTGTCGCCATTTTTATCGACAACTTCGCACCGACTTCGTCAGTTGAGGATGGCAGGGCCGGGCCAGTCATGCATCTCCAAGACACCTTTCCTGTCCTCATGGGGAGCAGTCTGATCCTCGACGAAGCTGTCACTGCTTTGAGTTCGGCTTTTCTAGTGAAGTGCAACAAAGATGGTCATCTGCTAGTGTATAGTACGAAAGTATATGGCGAAGCTTTGCAAATTGTGCATGAGAATTCGGAACGACCGCAGATGTGGCCAGGAAGAGCTGTTCGCGACAGTGATTTTCCAATTTTACCAGGTATGCTTTTTACGCCGATCTCATTATATGGCATTGCGCTGACAACAATTTTACTGGCAGTTGATTAATTCTTCACCCCTTGGCTTCAAGGGATGGTTGGCTCATGTTCAAGGAAGCAATGCCATCTTTGCCGAACATGATAGCCATGGACCGCCCACTGTGATAGAACATCTCTTCTGTCGCCAGCTAAAATTCATGACGGTATGCCTTACTCAACACCTTACGCTTTTGTAACCTCCAAATCTAACGAATTGGAAGATATGTGACGCTATCGGGATGCGAAAGTCTGCCTACGGCTACAGTCCATTTTGGAGAAAGCAGACTGCCAAAAGTGTTTGGGCCAGCCAATTGATGAAATCCTCGATTTAATCATTGAGTGCTCAGTATTAATGGAGCAAATAGATCATATTCAGCATGGGAAGCTTAATGTGCAAGTCGACAACGGCCTTGCTTGCGAACCTCTGGATTCGAGTCTGCGTCTCTGAGATCAACTTTACCCCGGTTTCTGTAGGATGCAGGGAAAGCTCAATGCCCTTAGTCTTCTACCGAACAGTCCACAATTTGGAGTGGCTTGGACGACTTCATTCCACAAAATGTCTTTCCTGGCTCCATCGAATATCTCCCTCTTATCTACGTTGAGTCGCACTTGTTGTATTGGAAAACCTCCATTCTTCACTACCCATTGATTGACCAGCTCCTCGTATTCCGTGGTCATTCTCGTGGAAATATTTCCTTTGCGCTCCGAAATGTTTCTTCGCTGAGCACTGCAGCCCGTTATGCCACGGTTCTCTCCGAGCTCCCCGAAGATCTGATGGAAGTCGCAGACCACTATGCGAGCCTGATATGTCGCTCTGCAAAGTTACTCGTTCAACCAGACACGAAAGCTTCGGGGCCCCAGCTTTTCCTGATTCCATTCAGCCAAGCAATGCAATTCCACCACAGTATAGGTGCCACCGACAAGCACCGTTGGTGCCAGACAGTATTTATGCAGCTGCACAAATCTGGGCTTCGGCATTGCACCTTTTCTGAAAGATATGATTTGGCACAAATATAAAGCTGCCACTGTAATGGAACGCCTACTCCTTCCCTGAAGTCAATTTAAATTGAGTATGAGTCGCCGGAATCCTGAGTGTTCTATTTTATGTGCCTTACCTTGATGTACGTACCCGGTCCGTTCGATTTTTGACAACTTTCGCAAGGATAAAGATTTACCGGTAGAAGCCTGTACGAATAATTTGAAATTACCGAATTTCCTGCTTGCAACCATTCCATTCTAATTTTTGATACGCTGACCTGTCCTTTCTGATGAACCCTCCGACTTTCGGCAGAACCCATACAAAAGGTAGTCAAACAGCTCGACGCTGATTGGTTATTCGATCGGAATTTGTCATCCTAACCGGTCACATGACCCAATGATTGCGTCAGAGTCCGGCGTGTAGCGCCTCTTCAACTTTTGCGCGGTGTGAATACAACTTCTCTGCATATACCAAGATACCCCGAAATTGTGACAAATCAATATGTCTATGAGCTCAAAGTCCACTACCATGTTTCGCCGTGCGTTACTCAGCGCCCGCACGGGCTCGTCCGTCGCCGAGTCCTGCTGCCGAACTATCAGACCCGTGGCATTCGCTCCGTCCAGGAGTGTCTTTAGCGCAGCCAGACTGTCTACTCTTACAGCCTCAGAGACTCGTCGTCGACCGACAGTGCGACCGCATCAGCAGTCCGTAGCGGCCAGCGGTGTCAACGGGATGTCCCCGACTAGCAAGCGAACGATCTTTATCCAGACAGAAATCACGCCTAACCCCGATGTGAGTAGTATGGAAGCTCCGACGCGCATCTCTCACATTGTACTTACCATATCAATTTCTAGGCCTTGAAATTTATCCCTAACCACCGTGTCATTCCCGAAGATTTCCCCACGTCTTTTCTCGAATACCTCAATCCTCGCTCCACCCTCGCACCTCCCCATCCCTCTCCGCTCGCCGCCAAGCTCCTCGATGTGGAGGGTGTGACATCCGTCTTCTACGGACCGGAATTCATCACTGTGACTAAGTCCAGTGATGTGAACTGGGCTCATATCAAGCCCGAGGTTTTCAGTCTCATCACACAAGCCGTGACTTCGGGTGAGACGATTGTTTCGGTTGTGGAGTCTGACAGCACCGAGGGCGCTCAAGAATACGAGGAGGACTCGCTCGCGTTCAATGAGGAGGATGACGAGGTTGTCAGCATGATCAAGGAGCTTCTGGAGACCCGCATCCGACCCGCGATCCAGGAGGATGGCGGTGATATCGAGTTGCGTGGATTTGAGAACGGCATTGTCATGCTGAAGCTGCGTGGTGCCTGCCGGACCTGCGATTCCAGCACTGTCACTCTGAAGAATGGTATCGAGTCTATGCTGATGCATTACGTGAGTTTTTCCCTATATCAACTCCATCTTTCGATTTTTCTACTGTTCAATTACTGACGAATTCTTTTTCCAGATTGAGGAAGTCAAGGGAGTTGAGCAGGTCATGGATCAGGAGGAGGAGATTTCCATGCATGAGTTTGCTCGGTTTGAGGAGAAACTCCGCCAGCAGAAGGGCGCCGGCGCAACGGCTAGTAGCCCGTTGGACAGTGCGCCGTAAATTGTCTTTCTTTACATACGATGGCATGTGAAATGCCTCGACCTGGCCTGGGAAGCAGCCAGAAATTTAGACTCGGTTGAACATACTGTATATTAGTTCCAGCAATAATCCATCTTGTGAACTCTCGCCTTACCCCCCCATTTTCGGACTTTGGTCCCAAAATAGAGACCAGAAGATCACCTCCCACATCGAGTATAGAATGGTGTCTATTATGCATTGTTCATCGTCTCCGCTAGCCGACGATCTAGACGACCGGTCGCTTTAGCGAGAGGGGGAGAATACTCCGTGTTGTGCGGGGAGACATGCAGATTCCCCGTGTTAGAAGACGAGGGGTTGATTCGGGCCAGACGATCGACCATGTGAAAAACTAATTCATAATGGTGTAATCGAAAATTTTTTTTTTTTTTTTTTTTTTTCCTTGGCTACAACATTCGGTACTGAGTACTCTAGAGTAGTCGATTCTGGTATCTGGTATGCTCATCAGGCTTATACTTGGCCATTTGAACCGTAGCCACAATGGTACTTTCGTCTGGTCACGACCAGGGACATACCACGCAATGCAGTACTTTTATCAGGCCACCGTAGGGCAAAACATGAATATCACCCGTACTTCCAAGACCGAGGCTGGCGGGGTAGTTGTTTGCTGCTTCTCCACCGACGTCAACGATATCTGCAGAAAACCGCATGGACTTTGCGGGTAAGCAGAGCAACAAATGCCCGGAACATCGGAGGGCCGCTAGATATCATTCGAGGCCGTGGTAATAACAGTTTCCTTTTGCCTGGTCAGCTTTGGAAGACTGGGGAAGTCGGGGACGGACACGCATGATGGCCAACCACCCTGGGTTGAACTGCAGATCTTTTATCCGCATGGGGCAGCTTTCGATATTAAACTGCATTGGGATATGAATTCACTGCCCCACATTTTTCCGTTGAAAGCACATGTGGTCGAGCGGTCTAAGACGTTCGACTTAAGCTAGGCCTGACACGTCAGGTTCTATGTGAATTCGAATCTCCTTTTGGAGGCGCGCGTTCGAATCGCGCCGTGTGCATATTGAAACCTTTTTTTTGGCCGCTCTGTAAAAATGAAAATCCATGAGAAAAGCGATCTTTATAATCCGATAAGTCCTAACTGTAATTTTAACCTCTAGCGCTAGCGGTCGCTATCGATTCTAGACGCCCAAGGCACCTTCCAAGGTTGTTGTTCGGACCCGCCGCCACATATATTTTCATTTGCGATCGCACTTTACGCTGTGTACTCTGCACAATCATGTTTTGACGCAATGAAAATGATGGATATAGATGACTTCAGTTGCGAGTCCTTGTCGGGCCAAGAAAAGCGACGAATGCGCCCGGAGGCTCGGAGGGCCCGTCAGATGCCATTCGAGGACGTGGCAGTACCGATGTGCCTTTGACGTCGAATTAGGTTGGTGCCGGGGGAGGCAAAGGCTTCGTGCACTTTGTCATACTGTTGGTAACACGATGCTAGTGCATTGCTCTTCTCGCTCGTGCTATTCTCTACGATCGCGGGTCCAGAACGGAGGGGCATCAACGGGAAGAAGACTCCAGCAGACGTGTTTGGGGCGCCCGCAGGAGGGAGAAAGCCACCTGCACGTAGCTCTCCCCGCAAAGAGGATCACGATCGGCCCTCTATCAGTTTCGGATTCAGCCTATTGGGTCTCCGCAAGAGTTTCCCCCACGAGGAAATCGAGGGTGACCGATGACGTTCAGAGCGTCCATAGCAATCGTGCCCCTCGCCAGCCCACCACCATTGTACCAGAGGAACTGGTCGTGTCTAGCGGGTTCGCAGCCGGCTGCCAAATGTCAACTCGTCCACTCGCCAACCCCGCAAGTGTGCGACCCGATGCATGGGCCGTGCGAGGCCGTGTGCCTCCTGTGGGCTGACAGGGGCTGCATAGCGGCTTTAATCTGGGCCCTCGCTTCACAAACCAGTCAGAACCCCAGACGATCGTCGGCTCCGACCTCCTCCAGAGACCCGCACGACCGCAACTAGCCTAGATGGAGCGTAGCGGGGGGGGCGGGAAGCTCCGTAGACCAGTGGGGGGCGGCGTAGTTGCTTGTAGTTGCTGGATATCTGAGCAGGTCGAGTCGCGGAGTAACTCTGTGGTCCGTGTCCCCTGAACATCAATTCGGGGCGACGTTGCCAGATCCGTTTCCCCTCTTGACCTCACCATTGCCATCCTACAACTCGGCCTCTCTTCCTCTTTACCTTTCCCCCTCTCTCTCGCGCTTCCTCTGTCATACCTTCGTCTCTATCCTCAGCCCCAACATGCGCCGCCCCTAAAGGGATACGGTTGCTCCACAACGTCATTCGTGGTCACGCTACCAGCTCCCCTCCGGGCTCGCGATCGCATTTCGCCTGATTCCCTCGCCACACCCCATAGAAAGGGACGTCAGGAAACGAGGAAAGACACGAAGCCATAACCGAGAGGAGAGACAGATCAAGAAAGCCAAGACCACTCACCCCGAAACTCACACTCCGAGACTCAGCGATTCCCCCCACGTTCATACTCCACGATTCCCGCGACTCCGCGTTCCGAGCTGCTGCGGTCGCTGCAACCTCGTGACCTGCCGGCAACTTGCAAGCAGTCGAAATTCTGACGAGACCCACGATCCTCCTGCGCTCCTATTTCCCTAGATTTCCTCCGTCCTTCTAGATTGGTAAGTTTCATCGGCCCTTTGCTCGGGATCAGCGACCACTTGCGCCGCCGCACGACGAGAGCTATGAGTTCGCCGCTGACATAGGACTGGAGCTATCCACAGCTACGATTACGATTACGGCTCGTTCCTTCGTCCAATACTCGACTTTTTCTCCTTTGCGCAAGGCGTCTGGTGGTTCTCGTAAACTACTAGACATTTCTTCAGGTAAGTTTGTCCTCTTGAGTTGGCTCGTGTTTCGCTGCTTCTTTCATTTGCCGCCCTATCCTACCACATCCGGCGTCGAAGTTGGACGCATCGGTCTGCAACGAAATCGCTTGTCGCGTGGCGCGCGGCGATGCTTATGTCAATGCCAATGCCATGCGATCCTATTTCGACCCTGATCGTGCTGTTGTTTCATTGTCTCGGGCTGTTCTGCGTGCGATTGGGCGGTGCGCTGCAACGGCGCGTCGGAGCTCCCAGGCTCCATCCCCGCTTTGTCGCGAAGAGCCTCCCGTCATGCCACACACACGTTCTCTCCTCCCATCACTATTTCTTTACTGTCGCTGTGCCTGCAACTTCGACTTCGCATCCCTCTTTCACCCTTTGTTATCATCAACTGCTCCTCACGCAGTCTGCTGATATCTCGCTTCTCTCCAGTGTTGCACATACCGCAAACTGCAGTCACTCCTCGGCCTCGAAAGATCGAGACTGCCTTCCTTCCTTTTCATTATCGAGCGCGTGAACGAAAGACTGGTGCTTTGTCGCGCGTGCGGGACGGCAGCATAGCCGCCCACTCAGTTCACTTCTCCCACTCGTTTCCCAACGGTCACACAGGTCAGCAACTCTTCGGCCCACCTTGCCCTCCGCAATCCTCCCCACCCGCGCATCGCATCCGCATCTGCTCCCCCGCAACTAAATTCCGGGGAGTCAAGGCGATCGCTGCACCCACGCCGTTATTTTTAAACATCCATCTTGCAAGGGCAAATTGACTGACGTCACATCAGCATTGTGATTTAGGCGTCATGGCTGCACCTTCGGGCAAACAGACCTCGCTAGGTCCTTCGGGCACGCCACCAGTGCCCGCGACCAATGTCACCAGGCTCGAGAAGAGCCATGCCGGCGTCCGTCGCTCTACTCCTGATTCAGAAGCTCTCGCCTCCTCCGATGATGATGGCGAGCACAATACCCTCACCCAGACCATCACTGCGCCCGCGACGAAGCCCGTTCGCCGAACATCTTGGTTGAACGAAGTGCCTCCTTCGGTCCAACGAAAGCATTCTCTTCCTGGTGGTCCCCTCTCGTCCGGACCTTCCAACCCCGCAAGCCCCTCTGGCGACCAGCCCCCATGGGCTTCAGCCACCAGTGGATCGTTCAACTGGAATCAGTCTGGAGGGAGCCAGTTCCCATGGGGAACTGGTATCTGGAACACCGAGTCTCGCAAGGAACCTCCACCACGTCTTTCGGAAATTGTTCCCTCTCCGACCATGACCAGTACGCAGAATGTTAGCGGCTCGATCGGCGAAGAGATGCTGAGCCCCATTACACGCACTATCTCTGGCGAATCCGCCATTCCATTTTCGATCCCCCTACACCCTACGCCCAAGACCTACCGCTCGCACTCTTATTCCGTTGGCCAAATGGATCCAGAGCTTTCGGGACTCGCGGCAAATAAGCCCAGTGCTGGAGGTGCCTATCCGAGCACTCGTTCCCGCGGCCCCGGACAGATGTCTTCTGGCCAGCCCCGAGGTTCGCGACCCAGTGTACTTGGCGAGCTCGGCCATGACCCTGCTATGCTCGGACGTGTCCGGGAGGATGACGATGGCGACGAAAGCTTCGGTTCAGAGGGCGATGTCAACTACACCAGTCAAGCCAGACAGATCGAGCAACTCGCTCGCGAAAACGCTCTCCTCCGCCAGGCCGCGGCTGCTGGCCAACGGGACAACCGATACCGTGATCGGGCGTCCTCTTCTGCCTCGACCGCCAGTGGTATGCACGCTCTTCATCGCATTCGAGGCAGTGTTCCCGAGGAAGACTTGGCCCCCGAGGACTTGGGGGAGCTACGCGATTTTCAAGGCTATGGAAACATGCGCGGTAACGGCGGACGTCGCTTCTCAGAGCATTCAGCCAACCTGGAACAGCAGTTCTCCTCATTTTCTTCCACCCCACTGGAGAACCGAGCCCTTGACAACGTCCGCAAGGCTCACTGGCAGACTTCCCTGGGTTTTGGAGGCATTGCCGATATTCCGCAAAGCCGCCGCCACTCATTCGCAGATATCCCCATGCGCCACGCATCTGTCAGCTCTATAGATTCACACTCAACTGTGACGCCTCGTGCTGGACTCGGAGAACGCGACGATGGTTATGGAAATGCCAGCGATTATTCCAACCCACCCATACAGCCTCGTAAGTCCCCTCCTTATCTTCCCTTTCTGCGACCATGCGGAGAATGCCGGCTAACGCGCCGTCGTCGGCACAAATCAGAGCCCTACTACTCTCGCGAACAAACACTTCGCGGAGATGGCTCGTCTGGTATCCCAGCCGCTCTCAATCAGTACGCCATGTCTGGGGCCTACGGTCGACAGCCTCCAGCGCTGGCACATGTACATCAGAATCAGCTGCTGTACATTGTCTCCTTCAAGTGCCACCGAGCCGATGTCTTCTACATCCAGGAGGATACCGGTCTTCAAGTGAAAGCAGGCGACCTTGTGATCGTCGAGGCGGACCGAGGCACTGATCTGGGTACTGTTCAACATGCAAACATTTCTATCCAGAGAGCGCGAGAGCTCAAGCAGCAATTTGCCGAAGAGCACTACAAGTGGCTCATGATGTTCTCTCGACAGGCCCAACTTGAGGGATCCGATGTCGGTAGCGCTGGCCTGAACTCCCGCAGTGCCACTGGTGGAATGGGTCCCCATGCTCACGGAGTGCAGGAGGCGGCAACCGACATCAAGCCAAAGCTCATCAAGCGACTTGCTCAGAACCACGAGATACTCACGTTGCGTGACAAAGAAGGAAATGAAGCCAAGGCCAAGCGGGTTTGCCAGCAGAAGGTCGCTGAGCATCGTCTGAACATGGAAATTCTCGATGCCGAGTTCCAAATGTAAGTTAAACCCAGCACTATGTTGGGTTGATAAAGTTGGACTAATGTTTTGCACAGGGACTGGAAGAAGCTTACTTTCTACTACTTCGCTGATTCCTACATCAACTTCAACTCCCTGGTTACCGACCTGTTCAAGATCTACAAGACTCGAATCTGGATGTCTGCGATTAACCCCGCCTCATTCGTGACGCCTCCGTCTGCCGGTCTGCAAGGACCCGGTGGTATAAGCAATCCGCTTTACAGCCAGGAACCGCAGCACCCCGATCGTCGCCACCAGCACGAGAGCCGATCCTACGGTGGACGTGACCCGGTTGATGTTAACCGCGATGGAATGCAGAACCCGGTTGGCGCGCTTCGCACCGCCTTCACTGATTCCTACCAGCCCTTCGCTCAGCCCTCCCGTCAGATGGATACGGCCCAAGGCGATCCCTTCGCACCTTATTCCCCGACAAGCTTCGGACCGATGGACACAGGCTTCCCCGAGTATCCTGGACACGGCACCGGCAACGGTACAGCTCGCATGCATCCTGCCCAGAACGAGTGGGTAGGCCGGTTCCAGGGCCTGTCGCTTAATTCGTGATTACCCCCTCGAATCCTCTACTCGCCATGTCAATGCAAACCTCATCCTTAAGTTCGACCACCGGGTTACATGGGTATTTTCTTTTCATCCCTCTACTTCTCGTCGCACGCCGATTACCTGGCCTTTCAGAAGGCACATGATTTCTCACGCAATCTTTGTACAATCCGCTTCAACATCACCCACCTTTCTATGATCGACGTCTCGATTTTACTTCAAGATTTTCTCCACGTTACGACGGAGAAGAATTCTCCTAGACAACAAAGCCATGCGAGCATGGCGCTTCGACGCAGCTTCTGTTTCCTGGATTTATGTGCCATTCTGCGAAAGATTGTTTTTAAGCCCGTCGCGATATCTCTTAGCCTTTTAGGCGCCATGCTTTGTGATTCATGCCCTCTCACCCCAATTTATCATGTATCACTCCTATCCCCTGTTAGATTCCATACCCTGGGCCGTATTTTCTGGTCCGTTCGGTCTTTTCAGTCACGCTGTTTCTTTCTATGAAATAGACTCGAAGCGGTCAGGTCTGGTTCTCGTGTTCATATCTCAAGAATCTCTGCGCTGGTTCGCCCTTATGTCACACTATCTTTATTGTCGTTATGCTGGGATCTTTATCTTTACTTTTTGTGTCCCATGGTTGCCCGGATGAGGCTATTTTTATTGTTCTATCTTTATCCTCACCATTCCCATCCTATCTTTATTTTTATTTTTTCTACCTCTCGCCGTGCTTGATTTTTTCTTCGCTTTTTCCAGGCTCAAAAGTGAAGGTAAAGTATCTCTAAAATGCTTCAAATAAGTCTGGTCTGATATCATAAAATTGGTCACGTCAAATGGGATTCTCTCGCCTCGAAGCTATTTGGGCTATATTCTTTTATACGAAAAGCTCTGCTTGTGCCGTTCTCTTTTACGCTGCATTTCAAAGGACAAGACTGTAATTTTGATATTTCGATAATGTGTGACAGCTTTTATATCTAATCTGTACGAGCAAACCTCGCCGAAATTGACAAAAGCTACGGCCTTCAATATGATGGATGCATACTACTCCTCAGACTGATGCATGGAATGGCTATTTGAGGGTACCGCCTCAACAATTCCATCTAATATCAGCTTGCAACAGAAAAAGTCCCTTGCAGCCGAATATCCCGACTCGACGCCCCAACATAAACCCGGAAAGTGCCACTCGGCACAACCCATTTCTGCAGCGTCACATCCCAATAGCTCAAATCACGTCTCGTCAGCTCAAACGTAGCCGTTCCAGATCCAGCAGCTTGAAGAAATACCTTCTCGAACCCCCGCAGCTGCTTCGGCGGACTCAACGGAGCAGATTCAGGAAGTCCGATATAGAGCTGCGCGACTTCGGCACCTTCAACCGAGCCATTGTTCACAATATGTACTGAGACAGTTCCCACCGACTCGAACAGCTCCACGGGTCCACCAGAAATGATAGATCCGATTGTCGGACCAGAAGTAGCGAGCACGTTAATCGAGAGTCCACTATACGCGAACTCGGTATACGAGAGTCCGTGTCCAAATTCATAGCGTGGATCGATGCCGTTCTTGTCGAAATGGCGATAGTCAACGAAGAGGCCTTCGGTGAAAGAATCTGTTTGGGCATATATCCAGCCAGCGCCGTAATCGCTGCGCTGCTTAGCAATGGTATAGGGTATTTTTCCACTGGGAGAGGTGGATCCGTAGAGGATGTCGGCTAGGGCATTCCCGCTTTCTTGGCCTGGGAGCCCGGCCCAGATAATTGCCTTGACGGAGGGTTGGGCGAGGATGGTTTCTAGGATTATGGGGCCCACGCTGTGAATTACGACGATGACGTTTTTGTTCGAGGATGCGACGGATTGCACAAGGGAGTTTCCGTTGTGCCATGGGTCAAGGTTGTTTCGGTCTCCTGGATTGTTTTCGACGGTGATGTATCTGGTAGAGAGAATTAATATTGTCATATTTAGATACGCTGAAGATCCATATACGAGTAGTACGTACCCTTCTCCCGAGTCCGAGTTAATGAATACAATGGCTGTCTCAGCTGCGGCTGCCGCCTCTGCTCCTGCTGCTGCATCATCGGTAGTGCTTGTGATGATTTGTGTACCGGTCTTGTCTGCTTGCGCTTGGATTGCATCGACGGGAGCAACCAGGTACTATTGTGGACATTAGACTCAAGAGGAGATTAATGGAAGTATGTATATAACTCACCGGAAATTCAGCAGTTCCACTGCCCCATCCCATGGCCAGTGTACCATTATCACATCCACGGTCAGTGCATGCGTTGGGACCCGCCGGGTTGACGATAGCGTCTTGTCCAATAATGGCTAGGCTCTTTGGCTGTCGAAGAGGTAATGTCTGAGCCTCATTCTTCAAAAGAACGATCGAATCACGAGCTACGGCTCGAGCAACCGAAGCATGGTCGGCTGTGACATCGACGCTGGCCTTGCCGCCATTCCACGAACTGAAGCTGACCTCGGGATAGCCCTGGTCTTGATTGACGAGATACCACGCAGCCAAAATCCGAGTGACCATGTCATCCAGACGAGACTGCGGCACAGAGCCATTGGCGACAGCTTCGACCAAGTTCGACCCCCAGAATATACTTCCTCGTGGAGTATTGAAATCGCTTCCCGGCATGGTCATGTCCAGCCCGGCCAGAGCACTGTTCACGCCGGTGTGCTGCGCATTCCAGTCGCTCACAACGTATCCACGGAAGCCGAGCTCATTCTTCAGCAGCTCGTTTAAGATGGCCTCGCTCTCGCAGGCCCAGGTCCCGTTCACCTTGTTATACGAACACATCACCGAGGCCACGTCTGCTCTCACGGCATTCATGAACGGCCACACGTACAACTCGTGTGTCTGGCGATCAGCCATTTCAGAACTAATCGTGTCCCTATTAACCTCCTGTTCATTTCCGATCCAATGCTATAGACCAAATTAGTCAACCTGCGTATTTGAAAGGAAAGACAAAATAAAGAGCATACTTTGGCGCATGCCTGTACCCCCGAGTCCTGCATTCCGCGAATTGTCTCTTCCATCGCAACTCCGCTAAGATACGGGTCAACTGAGAAGCCTTCCCAGTTCCTCCCACCATCGGGATTCTTCCCCAATGGACCAGAGACTGGGCCCAGCTGCACATGGACTCCGAGACCCTTGGCCTCTGCTCCCATTGCCACGCCACGGGAGTAAAGAAGACTGCGGTCCCAGGTCGCGCCGGCATTGATTCCTGCGGGAAAGGCAGTGACGGGGTTTGCGAACCGGATGCCCAACGGCGAGTCTTGAAGACATAAGGATGGGTAGTCGATTGAACTGGGGGCGTATGTGTTGCCCACGCAGGGTCCGCCCTCCCATGTCACGCCCGTCGCGATGCCGGCCTTTTCAGCCTGGCTGAGCTTTTGTAGAGCTGCTTGCGCTTTGGAATAAGCTGCATCCCAGCCAGAAGTGGCCAGTCCAGAAGCCTGGGCGGCGGATGTTGTCAAAGCAGAGAAGAAAAGAAGGCGCATTTGAGATCGATTCGAATGCATTGCAGACACGCTCAATGCCACGTTTGGGACTTGTGGCTAGATCACTCGCCTCCTTATAAGGCCGGCCTCCCGGGGGCGCGGGCCAATATTGCAGCAGAAACCCCCTCATCTTGGGAGTTCTGGCCTGCAGATCGAATCCCGGGGTATTTACTCTCTCCTCGTTCCCACATGAGCACGAAATGTGAGTCGGCTCAGCTTGGCAATGGGGAATACGCCACAACAAGGGCTTGCCCGCCTATCGTGACATTCCCTGGTTGCACCGAAGTATGCGGCATGAGCTGGCCGAGCGAACTATCGGCCGGGGTGGCGCCCTTTAGTGGGATGTAGATGGTGGGTGATTGGAGAAGCAAAGGGATCCTGGAGAGAGTGCGGGGGAAGGCCCGATATAAGGCCGGGTGGGTGGGCCAAGCTGGGAGAGTTTAGGCTGAATACCAGGCGCAATGCAATTCCTATAAGTAGATACATTCGAAGGCTGATCGATGCCAAAAATCACAGGTCGCCAAGTGTGGATATCATGGTTGCAAAAAAAAAAATTAAAAAATTGTAAAGGCACGTCAGGCCGGTGCTATGAGCTTCAATGGCCCGCTTCCTGTCACTTCTTCTGCTTCACCCGCGACAGTCAAGGATACAGTCCACTGCACCCTATTACAATGTTTGATATCATGGGAAGCAAAATCAGGATGAATCCCCGTGGCCGGGTGAGCTAGCAAGCGTGTTCCGGCCACAAGACCATCCGAGCGAAGAGCAAGTTGAAACATTCGCCCCATATTGAATGGCTTATATCCCTTTTCGTCGGTCGATAGAACCAAGGGGGTGTCAAAGACTTTGAAAAGACGATCAAGACCGAAATCATATTGCCACTCATGGACCTCATTCCGGTGCGCACGCATACCAGGAAGAGCACTTGGCCTTTCGCGGGCGAGGTGGCAGCTGCTGAGGAGCACCATACTCACCCAGTTCACCTGGATTCTGGGGAGAGTCCCCTTCAAGGGTGCACTGGTTTCTAGGTCTGGTACAATCTCCAGTATCACCGGGATCGTCTGGGGATTATCAATCTGGGCAGCTTCGGGGTAGGACATCTTTACTCGGAAGTAGAACTCCGGAGTACGCGACCACCGAATGGTCTTTTTGGGGTCTTTCATTCCTGGGACCAGAGACCAGCTCTTGATCCGTCTCATAGCAGAAATCTGCCTCAGCGTCTGAAGGTTCACCGATTCATCTACCGGGTGCCGCATTATGATCGGCCACGTCGCATCCATAGTCCTCTTGGAGCCCCCAAAGATACATTCGAGCCGCGCGCGGAGATAATACTCGATGAAGCCTTCCGTGCGGAAAGCAAGATGTTTGCGAGACGAAAAGAACGACCCTGGAAAAGTATGATGTCCAGGATGCCAAGGATCATCTAATGGAATAAAGCTTTCCGACCCAGAATGCTCCTTGATGACCGTTTGATCAGGCTCACTGGGTATCTGCATCGAAAACTGCCAATTCAGGGCCTCTTCGCTGTCTTGAGCGTGATGGAGGGGACCGCGAAACAGCGCATCTTGCACACGGTAGAGGAGGTAGCAAGTATGTGAGCGGAATTCGGAGAAGTCATCCAGCTCGGGATTAATTCGTGCCCGGCCGACCAGCGCCAGAGAGACTTTGGCATCTGGCGATCTAATCGGTGCGTGGCGCACGATGCTTCCGATGATGGTGTCCCCCGCGACGAACGACCAGCCCGGGGGCGCGGCCACTTCGAGTTTGAGATGCTCGTCGCCTGTCGGAGGGACTGGAGGCATCCTGGAGGAGCTGTGGGGGGTCAGGATGGTGTTAGCATGTTTGGTGTTGAGAGACAGCGAAACAAGACGGGGGCCGATGATCGTGCCCGGCCAGGCAGCCAGGCAGCCAGGCAACCAAGCAGCCAAGCAATATTCAGCGACTCTGGCAGCCGTATTAAAAGGCACACGCCCCCCTCGATGGCCAACGCAGAGGGGCAGTGTGGCCCGTTAATACCAAATATTTAAAAGGAAATGGCCAAGCATTGGACTCGCTGCGGCGTTGCTTAACCCTGCATAATGGCTTCGGTGCACCGTGCGTGCACTGCTCTACACGATCTTGTACGATCCCGTCCTACTCCGTATAAGTGTTGACGATTGTCTTCAATGATCTTGTTTTATTGAAGGATATCGTAAATCCTTTCTTATGTTATATTGATAGGCGCGATCTGCACAGCCCAATTGACTCCCCCATGTGTCCACGTTGTGGGGTAAGGGTTTGGCCAGACGCCTTCGCGGCTCGCGGTGATTGGCAGCAGAGCTGAAGATGAAAAGGGTCCGAATTCTTGTCACCGTTTGTGCGGAGGCTACATGTTAAACGAACGCTCTCCAATGTACAGCCAGCTGTTCTCAACAAGTGGTGCGATCTCCCAGGTGGATGTTGTGGACGGAAAACGGAGAGAGCTGAAGCCACGTCAGGATCAACATGACGGGGCTGAAGAAGATTGTGACGTTTGAGAAGTCTAACCATCTCAAGCAAACTTGTCGTGCTTTCCTTTGACCTTGACGTCCAGCATCTCTTCGTGGAAATTGCCCTCTCTCCGCGCCCGCCGCAATCGCTTGACCTCATCATCCTCCAATTTCCGCCCCACAAGAGCCTCCAGCTCTTTCCGACTAATCTTCTCGTAGGCCTTGGATTCCTTGTTCGCGCGGAGGCGTGGCTTGAACCGCGCCTGCATCCGAATGCGCACGGTCGTTTCGAAGGAGATTGTGGTCGCGTCGCCTCGGATCTCGACGCCGCTGCTTGCCTTTGCGCTTTCCTTGACGCTGAGAAAGGACTCCGAGTCTCCGCCACGCACTTGGATGGCGAATGTGCCTGTGATTTCAGCCGAGGGAATGGCGAGGAAGGATTCGAAGGGAGAAACGGCGGACGCAGTCGCGGTGAACAGACCGTGGTTGTCGCAACTCAAGTACCTGCGCAACGTAGTGTTAGCTTCCAATTGACCACTTGATCCGCTAGTCCGATGATAAGACTTGACACATACTTCCCATGATGTCCCTTGAAACTAAACGACTCTGTCCCTGCCACGCGCGTTGCAACCCACACCTGCCGCACATCGTGCGGCTCCGCAGTCCCCGGGTCCCCCTCCACCATATTCTCCAGGATGCTCGCAAAGACTTTTCCGTTTGCATCGCTGGCAATGCAGCTCGGCTCATCGGAGGGCAGAACAAGGATGACCGGGCCGGAGATGTCGCTTGCTGTGTCGGCGGAAACCCAGCTCTGGTCCTCGGGGTTGTCGTCCTCTTCGGCCTGGGGGGCATCGGTCTTGCGGGTTTTGGCAGACGTTCCGACGTCCGGGTCACGCTGCTTGCGCTTCTTGGTCTTGGGCTTGTCACCCTTGAACACGAGGGGCTTGACCATTTTGGGGGCGTTGGAGAGAAGTGGTAAAGCTGTGGGTAGCTGCCGTTGCGTTGAATAATGTTCGAACGCTCTTATCGGGGTCGCCTTATCGGCTTAGCTGGTCAGCTCCCAAGCCAGCCTACGACTACGGCAAGATGCCTTCACTACTACGACAATCCAATGTTGACTTACAACTAGAATAGCATAACTACAGAATTACCACAGAATAACCAACCGTGAAAGGAAATCCTTTGTAATCTTGGGTAAATACCCCAAATTTCTTGCTAAGAAAGCCACAAGAGATGGCGGGCCCAAGCCAGCCCAATCTTTAGTTAAGCCCCAGATACCCTTAGGCTTTAGATGGGGGCAAGATCTCGCGACCGTCGCCGGGCTCGTTAAGGCTCTTCGATAAGAACAGTAATAATGGACCGCAAATTCAGGATTCGAGATATGATAGGTCTAGATTCTCCGGAGAAGGTAGGCAGCCAATAAACAATGTCTTCCACAGAAGGCCGAATTCACGCTAACACAGACTCTCTATATTGCCTGATCTGATTGGTCTGGTTGCATTATTTGTCTGCTCCGATATCTTATTCAATGGAAAAGGAGTCCAATATGACGCGAAGTATCTTGTAAGAACCCTGTAACTTAACTTCCTAGGATACAAGCCGTGCCAATATCTACAAAAATCCACAGAATTCATGAACTTTGACCGCTGCTAATCTTCAGAGTGCTGGTCAGAGGAAGACTCCGACTCGAGGAGCCAACGTGGATCCCGTAACTTCCGCTCTGAAGCTGCCACTTCTGAGCAACCACATCCCAGGTACTGAGGTCACGTCGAGTCAAAGGGAAAGAGACCTCGGCTGAGCCCCGTGCGGGGATCTTCACTTTCTCAAAACCACGAAGCTGCTTCACGGGCCCATTGGGAATGCCAACGTAGATTTGAGCAACTTCGGCACCCACTCGATCTCCAATATTGCTCACGGTTGCTGTGACTGTAGCCACTGTCTCCCAGAGATCAACAGCGCCGCCTTGCTCAACTGCACCGCTGGGATATTCAGCTATTCCATCTTCCACGGCAGAGACCTGAAGGTCGGAGAACTCGAACGAAGTGTAAGAAAGACCAAACCCAAATTCATATCGGGGTGTGATGTTATGGGCATCGAAATAGCGGTAGTCGATAAAGACGCCTTCATCAAAGTCATCCTGCGGGAACAGACCATAAGGCGTCTCAGTGTAGGTATGGTAGAAGTTCTTATAGTCCGACTCGTTCTTCGCAACGGTATATGGCAGCTTGCCGCTGAAGTTCTCGTCTCCATAGAGCAGAGAAACGATAGCACGACCCGAATCCTGACCTGGCAAGTGAGCAAAGACAATACCAGTGACGTTCGGATGGTCAACGAATTGATCCACGAGACGAGTCCCAGCATTATGGATGATGGCAATCGTGTTGGCGCAGGTATTTGCAACCCGAGTGACGAGATCATCTGAATATTCGTCACGCACCCCGGAACGGTCCATGCTCTCGGTCGCGAAGGCATTGATGAAGACTAAACATGCGTCCGATGCCTCCATCAGTCCGGTGGATCCGGGCAAATCGGATGTATCCCACATGACGACCGAGCTGTCTTCGTAAGCTCGCTGTTGGAGTGCATCCAGAGGAGCGCTCAGGTAGGGGCCGGTGTTGGCACCAGAGCCACCGCCAACACTGAGGGTGCCATTGAATGCCACTTGGTAGTACAGTGGCTCGTCCAGGGCGGTTGACACAAATGCATCCGCGAGTTGGAAGACAGCTGGCTCGAACCCGATTTGCCAAGGATTCGTCAAAAGATTCCCTCCGTTTGGCATGTAGGCAGGCGGAGCCTTGGCGTCGTATCCAAACACGGAGATTAGCCTCGGCGATTTGAGAGGCAGCGCGTTGTTCTCGTTCTTGACGAGCACGTGGCCCTCCACCGCGCCCTCATAGATCACGGGCTTGGCATCGGGACTCAGAGCATTCACGATCTCATGAGGCCCGCTAACATTGTATGGCATTCCGACGCCAGGCTTGGGATAGCTGGCCTCGTCTTGGCCTAGCTTGTACCAGGACGCAATGATTCTGATGACTTGTCAGTGGCACTGAAGGAATGTACAGGGGTTGAGAGATTCTTCTTACCTTGTTGCCATGTCATCCAGACGAGATTCCGACACGCTGCCATTGTTGATAGCTTCAGTGAAGTTATTGCCCCAGAACGACTGACCGTCCGGCATAGCCATGTCAAGACCCGCCAGAGCTGCAGCCACACCGGAGTGCTGAGCGTTCCAATCAGTGACGACAAACCCTTCAAACCCGAGCTCTGTCTTCAGGAGGCCATTCAAGGTCTTGCTGTTTTGGCAAGCATAGGAGTTGTTGACTCGGTTATACGAACACATGATGTTAGCCGCGCCGGCCTTGAGAGCATCTTGGAAAGGCCAGAGGTATAGCTCATGCATTGTCTTGTCATCGATATTACTTGATAACGATGCGACTGTCTCATTCTCTGAGTTGACGGTCGGGTTCCGATAAAGCTCTTGCTCGTTGGCAATAAAATGCTATCGCAAATCGCAATCAATCACATCATCCTACAAATGCAAGTCCAGTTGGTCAATTCTGGCTACTAACCTTCACACTGGAAATCACACCCTGGCTCTGAAGACCTCGAACAGTCTCTGCGCCAATAACACCGTCAAGGTATGGGTCATTCGATGATCCTATGAGAATGTGAGTCTAATGTCCCCAGCAACATGGATATACCCCAAAACAATGTTACCTTCCCAGTTTCGACCGCCAGTTGTAATTCGTCCCAAAGGACCAACAACAGGTCCCAGAGCAACCTGGACACCCTTTTTCCGAAACTCGCCACCGATATGCCAGCCCCGGTCATGGGCAAGAGACTTGTTCCAGCTGTGTGGCAAGTCAGTAAAATGCTCGTTGACTGTACCACCAAAGCCAGAGTGCTTCGTACCTCGCTCCAATGTGAATGCCGCTTGGGTAGCTATTAACAAAGTCCGTGTAGCGAACCCCATTGCCAGCATCCTGAAGACACATTCCATTAAACCCAAGACGCGGTATAGCTGGAATGATCCCCGAGCATCCATTGTCTGTATTAGCGGTGCCGTATGTAAGATTGTTCTTCAGTTCCGTCAGTCACTGCAGAGCACTCGGGGGTAGGGTAAAAAACCTTCTCTTCCAGTGTCATTTTCGAGACCAACTCTGCGGCCTTTGCATATGCATCAGCCCAGTCACCAGTCCCTTTCCCCTGTGCTGTGTAATGTTAGCTAGTACCAATACCTGAAGTTGTCATACACATACGAGAGGGGTACACAGGCTCAGACTGTCCATAAAAGTGGGTGTCTGAAGTAATATTTTGCTTTGTCTGGCCCAATTCACACAGAGAGAGAATGGCCACAGCCAGGCTAATCTGCTTTGCAGATAACATGACCTCACTACTCAAGTCAATAAGATGTTGTACTTATCTTGTAGTCTCACAAATAAAACGTTTCCTCTGAATTAGAGGCCCATGCCCCTCTATATACTCCTCCGTCCCAGCCCCTTCTCCTGTAGTCTCCCCTGGTCTCCTCACGACACCAGAAGCCCCTCACCGAATGGTAGCTATGTCATAGTACGTCTGTGAAGGCTCCGGACCAAAGGATCATCGCTTAAATTTCCCGTTTAGCTGACCTTGGACGTCCAAGCGTAGAACTTGTTCTCTGCACTAGGAGACATAGCAGCATGGCTGGCCCCGCTTTCCCTCTTGATTTCTTCAATTTCAGTACTAGAAGCTCAAGGAAGATGTTTTCCATCATGGGAAGTTGCCGATCTAGATCAACTTTAACTTTAGAACTTGGGTAAACTTCGGGGAAACTCAAGATGCGGTCACCATGCACAGATTTTTGCTGCGTTGCTAATAAAACACACAGACCAGAGCAAGCATAATATAGAGAATGTAGCAGAGTTATTCGACTACTTTACAAGCTCACCTATCCCGGGTAGTCTTGCTTTTCTACAAGTTGTGTAATATTCAAATTTTGGATTTGACCAAGGGAAAGCCACCAAGACACGGCTTTTTGTCGGAACAAGCCACCCGCTCAAGGCTTCGAGGAGTATTCTTTACTATTCCACGTGCCCAACTTACCATAGTCAACATGGGACGCAATGTGGAGGTTCCATCTTATGTAGATACAGACCGGTAAATGTGGGGATGGCAATGTGGGGCCTGCAGCACAAACAATCTGGGGGTCGAAGAGGCGGGGGTAAGAACCATAACGACCCTCGAAGCTACAATTCTTGATCTCTACAATTAACAAGGTTAGCTGAAGTTGTCTTTTTATTTCTGAAAATGGGCTCATCAGATAATCCTGTATTCCAAAGGTTTGTCTCAACTGAGTAATATTCAGACCACAATATTAAGCTACCGAGGCACGGCTTGAGCTTAGTACTAGGGAACTCACCCACGCGCCGATGCACCCCGCACATAAGAAGGTACTCCCCTGGTGGTCCCACAAATTGCATACCATTACCGTGTGACTCCCGACGGACCGACCTAAAAATCGCGCTAGCGGAATGGTTGTGGCGCGTGATTACGTACATCACGGCCTCTCTGGTAGCCTTGGATTCTTTCTTCCGGAGACGCCGAAGTCGGGATATGCTCAAACCATTCCCCGTGCATGGCGCCCCAAAAATGGAAAGTTCATTAAAACGACAAGTTCGGATTATGACCGTCTTACCTGTGATCCTAAGGGAATTATACGAAGATTGCCCTCGGGCAATGCTCAAGTTGAAAGGTCACATCGATGTTATTCTGTCTTCAAGACTAATTCAAACCGCCTGGGCGCCACCGTGCATGGATTGAAAAGCACTAAAGTCGAGCATAGCAGACTTGCGCCAACACCAGAAAAAAACCGCCGACTCCATTCATGCTGAGCGGCGAAACCAACACCAAAAATCTATACAAAACGCAAGACAGTCATAAAATCATAGTCGCTCAACCAGGAGCAGACAAAAATGAGATCATTTCAAGCCGAACCCTTCGCTGTTAACCACTGCATCCCAGAGAAGCCGTCGGAACTTCTCCCGGTTGGTGTAGCGATACAGACCCAGTGTGTTGAAGCAGGTTCGGGCGATTGGATATCGGGAGCAATCATCCCCCATGCAGGCCAACCGAATCGACAGACTTGTAGCACCCATGGCGGGGATTCGATCACTGCCGGTGATGAACGACAAGACCTTTCGCTGCGCCTGGGGTGGAGCGGATTCAAAGAATTCCCAGAACCATTGCACGGCGGGAAGTGACTCGGGACGATGAGACTGCCAATTGTCATAGGTAGCCACTGCTCTTAGCGACGACACATCGAGCGGTTCGTCTGAGCCACGAACAAGAAGATCAATTTCTTCTGGTCGGAAGAGAGATAAAGCGTTACCTCCACAGACGGTGAAGAAACCACGCTTGAACGGTTCAAACTGCCGAGCCACCGACGACTCAAGAAGATGATGAACATACAATTCAACAAACTCTCCACGGTTCTCGTTTGTCACAGCTCGCTTCTCGCCTCCTGGGCACAGCGGGATGTTCACAACCTCTCCGTAGCGGTCCACTTGGGCAACGAAGTCGTAGCAGAATGTTTCGGCAACGTCACCCTCAAAATCCAACAAGGCGCGAAGTCCTTTGGCAAGTACGGGACGATATTCGGCAAGATCTTCCAGGCTGCATCGGAACCTCGACCGGTGGGAGATCGCTGTCTGTGGTGTGTGGCTCTGGGGTGCTGTTGACAGCAACTTTCTAAACGCGAATGGCGGCAAGTCGATATCAAGGATAGTCGAATTGTAAATTGCAAGCCCCAGTAAGACTCCAACCAGGAAGAACTGCTCAGAAGACTCAAAGCAGTAAGGGTTGAAGTAGCAGTATTGTGAGTCCTCGTCGTAGATAAAAAGCCCTGTCATCCGTTAGAAATTTCCTCAGATGGTTTGGTTCATTATGACTTCACTTACCATGATGCGGGTCAAAGACCTCTCGAACGAGTAAAAGAAACCATTCCTTGCGCAGGCCACCGGCATCGATTCCCTCCTCTCCTAAAAATTCAATCCGGAGGCCCTTTTTGATTTCTTCTTGTCCAGAGCCTACCACTTCACTCACTCCGCGAAGGCTATCCTCAACAAGACATTCCCGACGAACCTTGAGCACAAGATACTGGCTAACTGCCTGATGGTTCAAAATGCTGTTAAAAAATGCTTCTCGGGCCTTAACCTCCATCTGACGGCGAGCATCATGTTCCATGATGCGAATCTTGGCCCAGATGCTGAGGAAAAACGGATACTTGCAAAAGGAAAATTTGGAGCTTCGCGACTCCCAGGTTTCAAAGTCACCAATAAGGTCCGAGTAGTCCAGAAGTGTGTTATAGAATGAGCTGATAGGCACCATGTAACCCTTCTGGCGTGCATGGTTATTCGCACTAGATTCGGCATGGCGACGGGCCCCCGACTCCAGACCGTCAGGTCTGCGCGAGTGATCAGTGTGGTTTGCAGCGAACAGTAGAGACATGACCCTTGCTGCTGCTCGAATCTGCCAATCTTCTGCGTAGATGATCGGAGTCTCTTTCTTTTTCGCCGGCTTTTTTTGAGGGCTTCGTCGATTGATGGCAGCATGCAGCTCAGCAGGGGTATTACCCGCAGCACTGGCAAAGCTCGGAACGAGTTCATCACCATCCTTGGTAACCTGAGTGCGCTTGCGGCCATGCTGGCGGGATAACCGATAGTTGACAAAGCCGCCAATCAACTCAACAAGCCTTTCGAACTGACCAGGAGATAATCGAGTCAACCAAGATATGAAAATATGGTGGGCTTCATTCGGCAAGTTTGAAAGCAAACCAAGGATCCTCTTGAGAATTCCGTAGTGGTGGTTTGAGCTGCTGGCGCCTGTCGCAGCGATGCCATGGTCTTTCCGGGCTGACGTGCCGTCTCTGGTGCCTGGACTGGCACTATGGGGGTTGGACGGACGACGATCGACACGCGAGAATGCATGAGGGGAATATGCGCCAGGGGATGACAAAAGGGGGTTTTCCAGCAGAACGAACAGAAATCTGGTGTCCTCAGGTTTCTTCAAAACACATCTTGGGCGCTTCAGAAGATTTTCGATGGCCTTCATTAGCGTCCGCTGAAGATGAACCCTAGAATCCATAACCTCTTGGTCAATTTCTGCAGGATCAGCTGCCTCCCATCTCCTACTCCTGATCAGATCGGCCTCCGAACGATTTGGGTCGGGTTTCTTTTTGGCCCATTGCTCAGTCCACGAACTACCTGCTGTAAGAACAAGCTGATACCACCGGCTCACTTCCACCCAGTTGATGCGAGGGCTTCTGGATGATACCAAGCGAGATCTGTACGATGACCTTTCTTTGATATTGGAGTGAACTTGCCCCTCAGCTTGTGCCCATTCATTCATCCACCAAGCGGAGTTCTCAGCTAAGTCACCCAGAAGAAGTGTTTTGGCGTCAGGTTCGAAGACAGGCACATTGAACATCGAGTCAACTGCTGCTCCTGAGTCCATTTTCATTCGCGGGGGATTGCCACTGCTTGCCGATCGAACTGATGGCTGATAGGTGGGAAATGAATTGTTGAGAATACCGCTGCCTTTGAAGGTGGCGATAATGTAATTCTCCAAGCGCTTGAAGATAAACGACTTGTGATCCTGGTCCTTGGTCTCCGATTCTGCAGGCTTGAATGTCTCGGAGGGACGTCGATCATTGGAAGCAGGGGATCGCAAGTCTGAACCGGCACGAGTCATAATCGGCAGCTCTGGCAAAGGCTTTTCCTTCGGCTGTGCTGCATTAGGGGTGAACCGCGCGCTGTTTTCCTTTGTACCGTACAACCTTCCCTGCTCATCTGATGTCGACGTGCTGCGACTACGAGGATCTCGTGGTGGCGATAGGTGGCTACTGCGAGGGTCATTCGTTGGTAGAATTGGATCATCTTGAGCCCTGGGCAGTCGGGACCTGTTTGCTCGGCTCTCTTCAGGTCCAAGGTTATTCCGGGGCCCATCAATAAGGCCATCGAAATATTTCGAGAGGCAATCGTCGATCATACCACTGAGTCGGTTTGCCGACATAAGCATGTCTGTAGGGGTCAGTAAATAACTGACAATGCCGGAATCGTTTTGGGAAAAAATGCATACCGATCTTTGGCTCTGGCGGGGAAAATGGTGGCAAGGCCTCGTGTGGATTCGAGTGAGGATGTGATGGACGGTCCCCTCGCACCCGATGGCCTCGGTCATCAGACAACGGATTACCTCCGTGCTTGGTTTTGGGCGTCTGCGTCTCAAGGTCTGTAATCATGAGACAATCACTGCATCGAAATACATTCAAATGCTGTGGCCATCGTACAATTGAGTTGCAAGTCCCGCACCTGGTCTCCGCAGTGCCATTATTACTAGGACCCCCTTTCGTTGAATCTTTCCGGGGACTTGCGGAAATTGGCTCGGCCGGGTATGTGACTTCATCCGAGTCGGAGTCAGAGTCCCATGTGTCATGCTTTGGAGCTACCTTATCGCGCTTCCTGCCAATGCCCGTGAACGGCGAAGTGAACGGGTGACTGATCGAGCGGTGGTGACCACGGCGGTATGAGCTATTGGGCGCACTGCCATTCATTGGTGCCATGACTGCAGCATGGTGAGGCTCGAATGGCCGTCGAAAAACTCGTCTCGTGGTCGAGGCCGAAGGAGGGATCAAAGGAGGGGCGCCGAAGCCCGTGTTGGAGTGCAGATAGATCGGTGGATTACGTTCGGGCTGAGAGGAGGCAGGAAGGCATTCGCTCGCCTAGAGCCGGCAGAATAACCAGGATGGTGTTTGGACCGGGTGTCGGTATACGAAGCTTGGTTCCGGAGGCAGGGGCAGGCGGAGTTCGGTCGTGGGGAGGTTGCACGTTGATTAGGCAGCGAGGATGGAGAGCGATTCTTTGTTGTCAAGCAATAGCGGTCCAGGTACCCGAACGCGAGTTTGAAAGTGTATCGGGCACCAACGTGAGTTGGAGACACGGCAACGCAAAGTGAAAAGTCAGCAGATGTGAGAAGTGTCGTTGCAGCATCTCATAGTCGGCTTGGACGGATTGGGAAAGTGCCTGCAGGGAAGGGGCGGGCCTGATTGCCGCCTGAGGCCACAAACGCGGTATCAGCTATTTTTGGCGTGGGCGCGAGCCTGCTGGACCAGCGCTTAGTAGCGCTGAGCAAGTGGAGGATCGACTAAAGATCGAGGCATTATCATACAACTTAGCCAATGGAATTCAATAGTACTACAGTCAATATATCGAGGTACTACGACAGATTGACGACAGGAGTTGCATCAATGCTACAACATTTGAGCATGCGAGCACCCGCCTCACACATACGATCGACGGATTACGTAGACTAGCAATACCTTGAGGATCACTCTGGGCCAGACTAAACCTACAAGACTACAATTGGCAGTTCTACAATCGCGTGGCGCCAGTAGGAGTTGAACCAGTCATACTTCGTTAAACAAGGGGGAATTCAACATAAAACAAGATGGCTTTTTGGCTAAGAACAGATCCTGCCGGTCTGCATTTAACTCATACCCGGCGCGAGAGACACGGTACGGGAGAGTAGTGTTCGAAAAGATAACCACATGCAGCCAATATTCTCCAACCCAATCCACCGCAGTGCATTAACGCACTTAACGGTAGCGCCAGTAGCTCTGGGTGTTCTGGAGCTTCCAGGTGTGGCGGCGACCAGACTTGGTGTTGTTGTAGCGGTGGCCCTTGTTGATACCACGGGACTTCTTGCCGGTGGCAGTAAGACCACGGGCCTCGCGGTGCTGGAGAAAGAGAATTTCGTTAGTCGAGTCCATTAAAACCTTCGGGAAAATTTTTCCACAACTCACCTTGTGGACGGGGTTGCAGATCCAGTTGATGCGGGCATCGCGGCGGATGGCCTTGTGCTGGGGGTCGACGCAGATAACCTCGAAGTACTTGTAGGTCGAGTCCTGGTTGATCCAGTAGGAGTTCAGGACACGCAAGTTGGCGCAGCGGCGGCCGACACGCTCCTCAGCGGTGGCGCTCAGGGCACGCTGGTACTTCAGCTGGTTGATACCCTGGTTGGTGGGCTTGCCGTAGGTAGCACCCTTGGGGGCGGGGCGCTTGCGGCCACCACGGCGGACACGGATGCGGTAGACGACGTAGCCCTGCTTGGCCTTGTATCCGAGACGGCGAGCCTTGTCGGGGCGGGAGGGGCGCGAAGCACGGTGGATGGCGTTCAGCTGGCGAAGCTATATTGATGCACTCTCAGCAATGTTCAACGAGTGTATAGCAAGACACACAAGGCCCTCAAGGGAGTCTTTTTCGTGCCACAACCATTTCCGCCGAATCTGTATCGTTCGGGTCGCCCAGTAATACCATTTTCTCAGGCATTTTCCGTGGCTAACGCTTACGAGCGCTCGGCGGAGATGTTAGGCAGTCGAGGGGTCGGAGGGGCTCTATCTCACCTCCCAGCAGCGAACGCGGAGCAGGAACCGAATGACATCGGACTGCTTCTTCTTCTGGATCTCTTCGACGTACTTGAGGGCACCCATCTGGACGAAATTCAAGTTAATGGTTGAACGGTAATGGCAGTAGATGAATCTGGATGTGTGCTGTCGTACCTTGTCGGCTTCACAGGGTCGTCGGTTGTCGTTGTCGCAACTGCAAAAAGTTCGAGGGAGAAAGATTAGAGGCGAGGATTGTGTGTGGGACGCTAGCGATTAGCCGAGTGTGGCTCCTGCACCAATAAAAGAAGCTGTGTGGGGCCACATTCACAATCATGCCTGAGGTGTCATTTCCAGCCTTTTCTGTTAACGAGTTAGTTAACTAGTTACGGCCTCGGGTTCATTACTGTGTATAGTGCATGATGGTAGTAGTATACAATTCAATTGTACATGCCCGTACTTGGATCCGCTACTAGACATCACATTATACGACAAGCTAGAAATTCAATTTACTGTACGTAGTAGTTTCCCCAAGATACAATGTAGTCCTTGATGAACTATCTCCGATCATCAATTTCGTCCTAAAGAATACACTTCGAATACAAACGCTCAATGCAAAAAGTCTTCAAATCCTGCGGTATTTTTTCCTCTCCACGCGTGTCTGGAGTGTTCATAGAGAAAAGAGAAACAATTCACCGGTCGCTGAATATACCCAAATATCGGTTGCTCTTATTTACATGATTATATATGTGTGAATCAGCCTAGCTTCGGCTCCGCCGGGTTGCCGCTTCTTGTCGAACCATCTCGTTCGTCACCGGAATTGGACACGATCCTGTTGGTAAGACGCTCTTCTTACACAGAGGGCACAGACTACTGGTCTCGGTGAGATAGTCGTCGATGCATCCTGGGTCAAAAATATGCCCGCAGGGAAGTTCTCGAACGGTGGTTGACCCGGCCACAAAATCGTCCAGGCAGATAGCACAAGTGGTTTGCGTATGGCTCATCCGGAAGGGATTTTGGGATGAGAGTCTTTCATTTTGCTCAGCATCTGCGCCATCTGTCGAAGGTTTGATGACGGCCGGCTCGGGTCGTTGAATCCCAGCATAACTCTCCGTATTTCTTCGTTCCTCTGCAACAGATGGCATCGAAGTCGTGCTGGCGTTGCTGGTGGCATAAACCTCCAAAACATCGGAGAGCACAGGAGTCTTAGGGGTCCCTGACTCCGGCTCTGGTGTGAAGCCTAAATACGTGTAGAGAGGCATTTTGTCGACGATTTCTCGGGGAACTGTGAGCTGGTTCATGGCCAGCTGCTCGATATCGACTTCTCCAGAATTGATGCGCTGGCGAAGCAATTCTCGTCGTCTCCGTTGAAGCATGCGATAGAGAACCAGCAAGACCAGCGTGAGACCCACTATAGTTCCCAAGATGGCGAGCACAAAGCTCCAGAGACTGGGTTCTGCGGTGGGTGTAGTGTCTAAGGCCGCATGAGTATAGAACGCATATATACTAGCCGGAATTGACTTACTGGTATCAATCATAGTAAATAGTCGATCACTGTCGTTATCTCGAGCAGCCCGGTTACTGTGACGAGTCGAGTTCTGGGAGGTATTGTCAGAGAACCACGAGAGCTCTCGCATCAAGGTCACACCTGCAGGACCGGGTATGGCGTAGACAGGATAATCGTTGTCACCCCTCCACCGCTCGTCTTTTAACTTCCAGCCGTCGTCGGTCGCTGGGGGTGGAAGCCCGGTTTTATTGCTGTCCGGCTGAAAGAAAACCAGAGCTGATGTGCCAACATCCCGCGAGGCAGCCAGGAACTTTTGCGTGCAGTGGTCGGATATCCATGGGGCGAGTCCGATGACCGGGTACCCGAATTCTGAAACATCCTCATGCCGAGTCACGTTCGATGGGATATGCGAGGCGAGGTCCTCATTACATGAATCTTTGGGGCTGAGGCTTGGAACGAATAGAAGGCCCGACACGGAGCCAGACTCGGGGACGCCGTTGCTGGAGAGAGTCTGGACGGTCCGGTCCAGAACGAATCGGAAACCCACGTTTTCCTACATGTTTGGCGCGAATTAGCCTTCCGACATTCTTTTTGACGTCTACAGATTGAGGCTGTACTTACACTGACTGACGAGGTTGAATTCGAGGCGCTGCCCGGGCCTGCAAATAAAGTGGCGACGGTGGCTTGCGAATCGGGTGGCGCAGTGCGAGACATGATGGCGATCGATCTTCAAAATATATTGGGCCGAATGTTGTGGAGAGCAATCATGGTTTGGTAAGAGAGAATCGGGATAGCCTGCAAGGTGCAGGTTCATGGTGCTGCCTTGGAAGGTGTAAGAGAGAGCCGGGAAAAGTTGCGAAAGAGTTTCATTTTGAGGAATACTCTCAAGGCCGATATTGTCGGTCGCGGCGATTTCCCATCCCAAAATGGGTACTATGACCATTTCCTCATCGAGGGCAGCCCCAAGTATGCAAGGGCAAATCGTGTCCGTCTAAGGAATGTGGGCATGGCTGAGACCACGAGGCAAAATGACCCTGGAGCCTGAGGATTGTTGTCGGGAAAAGTGTAAGAGACCGCAATCGACTGGAATGGACGCATATCCGCTCGATCGTGTGTGTACGTACCTGGTTTGTAAAGCTAGTTGTTGATCGACGGCCGGGTCAGGAAAGCTGTTTGCGGGAGCCGTTTGCGGTAGGATCCGCACCCTCCAAGATGGCTGCATTGGACTTCAGCCAAAGAGACAATGACGGAGCATTTCAAAGGCTGTAGGAACTTACAGTGTCTAATATAATATTTCCCACAGTCTGAAAAATCACAATGAGGGACATAGGCGGTCTATTGCTATGTTTGGTGTACAGGCAGAAGACCCCCAAATTTTGAGACTTCACCCAACAAGTTTCTATAATTGCAATGATATATCAAATCTTGAATTCGGTTGAGACACTCTAATTAAACTAGCAAGAAGCGCCATCTTTGAGCGTTCCAAACTACTAGTAAATGATGCAGCCTTTATCTACTACGGATTTAGTCGAGGTGACGGCGAAAAGGTCATGATTGTGCGTGGCTTTTTGTTGGAAATCCGTGGTGTTTCCGCCCGGGGCTCGCTCACCGCTTTAACATGGCGTCGCCCAATTCCCGAATAAGACCTAGCCAGTGACAGAAAGCGTTGTATGGCAAATTCAAAACACTGGACGAGAGCTCGGCGCGTCCACCATGAGTGAAAGGAAGATATTAGAGAAGTCCAGATATCCTCCTCCGACACTTTCATCTTCAATCGCTCGTCTGGAGAATTTTATCGTCACTATGCTGCCAAAGGGGAACTAAATAAGACCGGGACTTCATAGAAACACGCACGGGGATGTTAAGGGAGCAATGTGACGCTAAACCTTAAACGGAACACTAAACCTCATTTAGTAATTATCCGTCGCCCAACAATACGGAGGATACTGGGTATTTTCGCCTGAGGCCACGAACAATTATTCGAATTCACCGCTTTTCCTTGCCCTCCCACGTGACCTGATAGTGAATGTAGCGTAGGAGGCTACATCACGTGGAGGTCCCCGGACAGGTGAACGCGAATACACACCAACTGAGTTGATCTTCCATCCTCTCATCATTGCTACGATCGTCCCTTACGGTGATTACTCATGTGGGACGCGCAAAGGAAGTCTCAGCTACGAGCGATCTAATATCGATTCACTGCACCAGGCGGCACTGCAGTACTCCATCTCCGTCGTCATCGTCGAAGACTCCCTGCTCGAATATCGAAGTTCTCGGCCTCTCCTCAATTGAAATATATCTCTATCTCCCAAAAGTATACCCAGAAGCTCGACACAAAACGACCACGATGCCATCCGCCTACAAAAGTAAGGGTAAAGGGCGGGATGCGCGCCAGTCGCGCAGTCGCAACACCACCCCATCGACTGCAGGCGGTCCGACCTCTGTTCCTCCATTACCAAGCTACCTCGAGAATCTCGACGATATGACAAAGCGTATCAATGAAGCTACAGACAAGTATAACGAGATGCTCGACCTGGTTTCTGGACCTAACATCCCTGACTCCAAGACCCTGGAAACTCTGGTGGAGCATTTGAACAGTCTCAGTGAAATGGCCAATGCTCGTGGCGATGCATGTAACCAGGTCATGCGCGAAATGGCTCAAAAAAGGAAAGAATTGTCCGATGACCCGGAACTGAGTCGTGAGGTTGGCGACCGTGCAAAGCTCAAGCGCGAGACCGAGGAGGACGACGATCCAGTCCACAAAAAAACCAAGAAGCGTAAAGAGCGGGCGAGTAAGGAAGCGCGGCCTTTAAACCATGGAGCTCACGACGTGGCGCGTCAAGATGGAGGCGAAACCAAAATTGAAGGAGGTAAGTAAAATCTACTGCCCTGCGTCGCTCCCTCCAGCACTCTTTGTTGATGAGCACACTCCACTCTCACCCACCACTCCACTCCGAATCCATCGCATCTGCTCTTGGTTTCTCTCTGCTAGTACTCAATTGGCTGACTCAACCTAGCGGCATCCCCAGTGTCGAAAATTTCCAAGAACGCAGGTTCCGAAGGCAGCTCTTCCCTCTCCCCTCCCTCTATGATGTCTCCCAACGGGGAGCCGACTGGCACCGATGGGCCTGCTGCCCCCGGCAGTCCTGGATCGGACTCAAGCGACAGCTCCCATCAGCCCGAGCCTCAGCCTGCCGTGACCCAGCACCAAGTATTCGGAGACAACCCACTCAAGTTCGATGACCCAACGATCTACCATATTCGTGATGTGTACCCGGAGACAACGGACGAGGAGAAGAAGGAAATCTACAGCGTCGCGGTCTTCCCCAAGAGTGATCTACGCCACATGATGGCAGGCATCGCACCCGACAAGGACTTTAGCAATTCTAAGCCTTCCAACCAAGTCAGCGCCAACACCTTTCTGGCCTATATCGAACCTTACGTTCGGCCCCTCACAGAAGAGGACATCGCTTGGTTAAGAGAAAGGGTAAGTTTCCACCGGATGCCATCTTCAACAGCTCATCCGCTAATTGAAGAACAGGGTGATCGCGTGACACCGTTTATGAACCCACGCCGGGGGAAGAAGTCTTATCGACAAATCTGGTCGGAAGAAGACGGCGTTTCATATGACCAGAACCAGGATGACAAGGACCAGCTTCCTTTGAATCAGGGACGTGGCAGTATCGATACTCTGACGGACGACAAAGCCGAGACCAACGAGGTTTCGATCGGACCACTTCTCAGCCGACTATGTTCACTCCTCCGTTACGAGCATCGTACTCTCCCCGAAGACACTTCCGGATCTACCAACGGTGATGCGCCTACCAATGGAATCGGGGGAGACGCAATGGATCTGGACCAGCCTAATGGCGAGGTGGAGTCAAAATCGGAAAACAAGCCTCTTCCCCCTGCGACTGCATTCCGCGATGCCTCTCCAACGGGATTCAAGACCTCCGTCGCCAAACTCGACCATGCCCAGCTTGATGAACGTGCCAAGGCAGAGTTGCGCTATATTGGCTTTTTGGGGCCCGACGACAACCCCGACTACGATGCACACTTTGACGATGAGGTCTCAGAGCGACTCCGCCTTCTCCAGAGCGAGCTCAAGAAGCAGATAATTGTCAACAATGCACGCAAAGCACGGATGTTGAAGATTGCCCAGGAGCATATGGCGCTGTTGGAATTCACTACTATTCAGGATGACTTGGATTCGCAAGTCCAACAGGCGTACCTCAAACGTACCCGAACTATGGGCAAGAGCAAGAAGGGTTCCCAGGCCAAGCATCGACCCGGTGGCGCTGGCGGTGGAAGTCATGTCGCGGGTGCGGGCATCTCTCGTCCTGCGGTCGGGGATGCGGCGAAAATCGTCATGGACCGTCGTAAGCGCTGGAATGACGCTTTCATGCCTATCTTCGATGATATCAAGACTACCATCCCGTCGGAAGGGGAGACAATATTTGATCCAGCGACGATGGCTGAGTACGAGAAGGCTGAACTGGAAGCCTGGGATGAGGAGTAGACTGCTCACTTCGTCTTTGGGGTGCTCTTTTCTCGATTCCTGCGTATTTCGCTCTCCACGGACTCTTCCTTTTCGCACCTCCTTTTAATTTTCTCGAGCGCTTGATATGACACGACCGGAATGATGGGCAGGCACGGCGTTTGCGGATACCTTTTGATATTTGTTCTTTCGAGACCTTGGGGTAAGGATATTTAACATCGTCTCCTCAGCATGACCGGAAGGAAATTTGGGGCACTCTAGCGTGTCTTGTTCTTAAAGCAGATACCTCCTTCTATGAACAACTCTAAGACACATTTTTATCTTATCCCATTTCTCCAAATGGTCACATTTCTTCAGGGTAGTGTTCTTTTGTATCTTCGGGCTACTCGCTTACTTATTAGGCAACGGAATCATGGGAAGTTGAATATCTGAATATCCCGATCCACCGATACCTACAGGGCTTCATGTGAAGGCTCGAAGGGCCAGGATGAGTCAATAGGGCAAGGGGTAATCTAGGGGCCCTCGGTATGTGGATTTATTCACTAAATGGCTAGGCATGGGATGTATCCCACGGCGAGCATAATAACCACTCACTCACGACACATCCTCCCACGCTACTGCATTTGGCTGTTCTTAGATCATGTCAACACAAGCCCTTCATCGGCTAGAGTCCCAAGAGAGGAATCAGAATGTGCTTATCCTGCCGATAACTAGCCCAACAAAACTCTAGTCTTCCCAGGCGGTGGCCTCCGGGCATGGCTCGTGGCCCTGGGAGCGTAGATCGGCTTGTTCAGCAGCTACAGCTGGATAAACTGTAAGTTTCATGCACCTTATAGTATGAGCTGCCATAGCTCATCACATCATCCTTAGGCGTTGGAGTCTTTCAAGCATACTACCAGTCTCATCGACTGCGAGACAAATCGGCAAGTACGGTAACATGGATACCAGCAATGTCTTTTTTCGTGATGTTTATAATGGTAAACAATAGCCTGAAATTGACAGCATTCAGTTGTGCAATTCAGATGAATATGACTTCAGACTATCCCAAACAAGGGTCCATTTGTCGGACGACTCTTCGATAGATTCGGACCTAAATACCTGCTCTTGGCAGGAACCTTTCTCCATGTATTTGGCCTCATGATGGCCTCCGTGGCGATGGAGCACTACCAATCCATGCTGTCGCAGGCAATATGTAGCCCTCTCGGCGAGAGCATGACCCTCTACCCCTGCCTGAGCTGTGTCACAACACGGTTTCAAAAAAGAGACGCGTACCTGGCAATGGGCATAACTGTCGCTATATCTAGACTTGGTGGGGTTTTCATGCCCATCCTTGTGGAGTGGCTCATACGCCTGGTCGGGTATGCTTGAACATGGCGTATTTGCGCGTACTTTATACTTGCTCTTCTCGTTGTGGCCAATCTTACGGTCCAATCTCTTCCCCGGCCTAAGCCATCAAGTGTTTGGGAATACCTTGGCCAGGACACCGACCTGCCTTTCGTGCTTCTTATTAGGGCAAGCTTTTGCTACTCAATGGGAATGCTTATTCCGATCACGTTTACGGTGAACTATGAAGAGTATGTGGGTCTGTCGAACTGCATGGCGGGATATCTGGTCGCCAATTTAATGGGGGCAAGGTAAAATGCAGAGCATCTAAATACGCCAATAGTCAAAATTGTAATGCTAATGTTTATTTTTCAGCGGTGTCGGTCGTATCCTACCTGGATAGAAAGCCGATAGACTTGGAAACTTCAACATCTCAATATCGGCAGCATTTCTTTCCACTGTTCTTTTCTTCGCTCTCTGTCTGCCTGGCCACTCCGGTGCAACTGCAATTGCATCTTCCGCAGTCTTTGGATTAAGCACCGGTACATACACAGCCATCAGCCCAGCGCCCGTAGCACAGATTTCTAATCTAGGGGAAATTGGAACACGATCCGGCCTGGTTTATGCTTTCATTTCCATTGCACCTCTAACAGGTAGTCCGATCGGAGGCGCGTTGATTTCCCTTCCGCGGGAGGGAGTTATTCGGAGCTACAGGTCTTCACTTAAGCGATGCTGGCTGCTGGGACTTTCTTTTACGCTGTGGCTCGAATTCACTTGGGGAAAGGTGGGCTATGGGTCAAAGTGTGATGTTCAGTTTCTTCATTGCAGTAGTATCAACTTTTTAGTATCTACCACGAGAGAACCCATGGCAGTTTAGAACCGCAGAAAATGGGTATCAAGTAATATCATATCATAAGTATCCAAAGCAGTCATCAGACTGCCCTGCAACTCAACCTCTGGATTGTGCATCATCGATGGAGAATCAGCACTTCGCCGGGATACCGCTTCAGCCGAGCCGTCAACTCCCGCTCACTGATCTCCAGCTCCGTACAAATCTGGTCAAAGCAATGCGTGCCGTCCAAGTATTTTGAAAGCTTTCGGTCGTCGATTTCATCCTCTTCGTACTCGAAGAGCCCTGAAGATGTACCACCATTGCCGAACCCATTGCGACTTCCACCGTGAAACGACCCGGAGCGCTCCCGGCTTGCATCTCCGCGTGTTGAGATGGGTGCATCCTCGGCAACGCTGGATGCAGAATAAGGGGTATTGTTGCCAGTCGTGGCACGGGAGGACGGTCCAGTTCCGCTATGGATCTGGAGCATTGATGAAGAACGAGCTGGCGGGGCCGGCTGCCCCGTTGCACAGGCATATTTATGGACGCGGTAGAGGAAACCCTTAATCACGCCGAATGTAATAAAGCGTCGGATATCGATGTTGGCTAGCTCACGGTAGTGGGTTGAATACCACTGCTTGACGCTCTGGCCTTGCTTTAGGCTTGCATAGAGCTCCACAATACCCACGCCGTCAACGACCCGAGGCCCTTGTCCTGGTGGTGATACATGAGCATCAGCTGAAGTAGAACTGTGCACTGCCTTCGCTGCATCATCGGAATCCGAATCGTCGGGTTCACCCAGCAGTGGCCATATCTCTTCTGCATCGAAGCGGGATTCGTCACGGGATAGACTGGCGGGTGGTTCGGTGAGTGAGCCTGCCAGTACACCGACACCACCACCGCTCCCGCCACTCCCTGCTGCTGGTACTGCGGGCAGCGGTGTGTTAGGTCCAATAGGAGAATGTGGCGCAAAGCGTGTGTTCACATAGCGGGCACATTCAAGCTGCATAGCCTCGTCGGAGGAGATGGTTGTGCTGAATTGTGCCGTGGGTGCATAAATTGCACCGAATGAGAAGATATCTAGGATGAATAGACAGCCATAGTAGAGGAGATGCCGAATTGCGCGGCAAGTGAGGGAGAAGTCCGTGTCGGCGAGAACAGAAATGATGCGAACGCTATTGACACCGTTGATATGTGGTACAATCTAGAAATGTTAGCTGTATGTCTCCCTACATATGGGATAACAGGGTCTACGTACCCGTTGAAGAGTCAGATCCCAATTCTCATCCATGAAAGCCTGATATCGGACAGTAAAGAGAGGCACATGCCATGACTTGACAGCCGGCGGAGATGGGTAGATGGGGAATAGCTTGATGTTTAGCGTGTTCAGTTCATCTGGTTAAGAGTGTTAGCGGAAGCTTTGGACAAGACCAAAGACGCGTCCTACCGATAGGAATCATGCATTCGCAATAGTTGTTGAGGTCTTCCATCAACATCTCGCAAAGGCTGTGCACCTTTCCCTCGCCGCTCTTCGAGAAATCCCGAGATAAAAATCCGTTCTGTTCCTCCAGTGCATGCATCAAATCGGCGATCTTTTGCACCACACTACGGTACGTGCTGAAATCGTCCTCCTCGGCCAACACCAGACAAAAGTTGAAGATAAATTCATTGCGGTCGTAGCGGGCGGACTTCATGCAAATCGGGTAGCCTAGAATTCGGTATCCATTGGTGCATACCTGCAGCAAGTTGCCGCAGAGCTCCTGTCGAGGAATCACGAAGAACGAGACGTCGGCGAAGGTCAGGAAGAGGGGCTGTCCAGGCGCGGTCGCGGAGGGAACGATAGCACCATCCGGGACTTGATGGACGACTTTCGGACCTGCGGAAGTTTCTTGTGAGACTTCCCACATATCTGGGGAGGAGGATGGACCCAACTTACCCTCCTGAGTATCGAATTTGCTGTAGAAGATTGCTTTGATCATCGTGAAGCCGGTGTGACGACCAAAGCCAGTGGTGGGATTCGCGGCATGGGAAGTAGTCCGTGGTGGCAGGGGACACTTGAGTTTGTCTTAGCGACCTTGACTCCGCTTTAATTGAGCAGCAATCCCTCACATGGCACCGTCGCGGTGCAGTCGAAAAGAGGGGTCGACGGTGATGATGGAGATGAAATCGGCGGAGGGCGGCCGACGCTTATCGGCGGACCCACCACAGCTTGGCTTGGCACTCCAATTGTATCAATTGGGACGGGACAGCTTGGGCTAGAAGGCTGCCTCGGACTATACAGTTGTATCCCCGCCATCTTAGAGCAGTTCATGACCAATTGTTTTATCCATGTGTGGGGTTCAACCAAGCAATTGCCTTTAGGAGAGGGGAGGGTGGAGTCAATTAATTCATTCTACAGTCGCTACTGGAATTTGGTCAAGGAAATTTCATCCGAGAGCTGCGTTGATCCTATTTTGATGGGATAGTCAAGGGCTATCTGGTCCGGTAATTGATAAATATTAAGCCAATAACAAGCGATTAGGAGGCAGAGCATTAACATCGTCTTGCGACAACAGAAACCGAACAGAATCTATGCGTAGCCTCGGTAACAACGCGGACATGATATCATAGCTTGGGAATAGCAAGTTATAAAGCAGCCGAGGAGCCAGTCCGCCGGGGAAGGAGAATGCTAGAGTGCGCCTGAAAATGCAGCCATGGTCGTAACAAATATTTTGTTGGCGGTCGTTAGGGCGTGGCGGGGGGAGGAGGGTTCTGCGGTGCAGAATAAGACACTCAGCGTGCCGTGCGGCGAGTGTGGCTGGGAGTCTGGGGGAAGGCGATGGAGTTGGCGAGGATGTCGGAGAAAAGATATTGCTCTGCAGACACAGTAGCTGCTCGCGGCCCGCGATGCAAGTCACTATGTCGTATCGCAGATGTTGGCGCTTCGGGCACGAAGTTGAGCGGCTGACCGGCACGGATGGCGTGCACCATGTCCCCAAACGTTCCACGCTCACCTGCCTCCTTCAGCCATTGCTCCCAGTCTTCATCTAGGGGGACATTGGCTCCTTGGTCGCGCGCAGCCATCGCATCGAAGAGACGTCGATTGAGAGCCACCCCACAACTTTCCATCTCATCATCACTGTAATCCTCCTCTTCCTCGGCTCGGAAGTCGGACACCACGCTCGAACTACCGCGAGACTCGCTCGCACGTACTGTGTGATCACTACGAGTCTCTATCATCTGCTCCAGAATGTCGAGCTCCAGCTCCTCCTCTGGTTCACAGGGATCGTAGTGGTGGACCACGGCGGAAGGTTCCGGGGGTGGTGTCGCAGGACGCACCCCACTCCCAGTGGTATCCTGCACTGTTATGCCTTCCTCGGCCTCATATCGTTTGCGTGCCGACTTTGTCCCTTCCCAGCAGCAGAGCTCATTGATCTCCGTCTCGGTCAGTCTGAGCTTGTCGAATACCTGGAAGAGGCGACGGTGCCAGGGGAATCGGCCGAGCCTCATGCGATGAGGGCCATACGAGTAGTCTAGCCCCGGATACTGGGCCTCGATGGAATCCAGCGGGCCGTAAAAGGTGTTGGTCTCGATGCGCACCTCCGGGACCAGGTTGCGCGTGATGTGAGCGGCAAAGGAGCCCGGATCGCAGGCGCGTGCGCGGGGGAAGGTCGCATTGTAGACGGCCTGGGCGAGAGAAGGTTTCCGCATGGTGCAAATTGGGGAGAATGAGCTGGGACGAGAGAGTTGCAGACAGGAAAAGAGCCTGGATTCGAAGGGAGACCTGCCGGCGACGCTCAGCCGCGAGTCTGAAACGAGGCGAGCCGCCGCCCCCCTCTGTTTTGAAGGCAAGACTAGGGCAATCTGGAGGGCAGCCACGTGTGGGGCGGGTCTAGACACGCGGTGGAGGAGCAATTCATGAAGCGCGGGGAGATAGATGAGAATGAAGCCGGCGCAAAGGTGAAGTCGGGAAGGGGGCGAACAAAGAGTGCGGTGTCACCTTCGGGGCAGGTGCGTTTAGTGTGTTGTCGCTGCACGGCCAGCTGGACTCGGTGGGTTCGGTACAACTCACACTTTGCTTCTCCCACCACCGCCAGCCCGCATGTCGACATTTGACGGTATCCTGCCAGGTCAGCACCTGCACTCCAATTGATTATGCCCCGGTACTAACCAACATCGACAGAGTTCCCCGACATCCAAAGTAAGTGTTGGTGTTATCGTTCGCTGTGGACGCCTCCCAATACACAATTTTGCTGACGCTGTGCAGTCGACTACTTCCGGAAGAGCCCAGTGCGCCCAGCGCCGCTGGCCTGCTTCCTGAGTCATGTGCATACCGATCACCTCAAGGGCCTCGAGTCCTTCAGGGCGCCCTTCATCTATTGCTCACCCGCGACCCGCGAAGTAAGTGTGAGACTCTTCCCTGCAAGGTCTAGGACGGATCCACAGGCCCTCCAACCCCATTCCGTCCGCCTGCAGGGTTCCAGCACATCATGGCGACAAGCGACAGGGATGTGGAGGGTGGATCTCGCCTTTGAGGCCCTGTTTGCTGAGGATGAAACATTTCCGACTGACCCGGACACAGCTCCTGTTACGCCTAGAGAAATTTCCTCATCGAATGAACTTTGAGAAGGGAATTCTGGAAACGCGCCGGTTACACTACAAACATCTAGCCACGCTATTGGTGAGTATCAAATCTGATGCGTCGTACCTGCAAGAAAGGATCGACTGCTTGTCCCACCTTGTAGTTGCCGAGGACAAGGATCTAGCCCGGTATGCGGTTCAGGTCCACGGCAGTGCCGGGAGAGCCAAGAGCCTTGAGCACCCTCTTCTATATCGTTCAGTCTGTATGATCATGGGACTGATGCGTCATCTAGCGCCCGATTCCACTGCACACCCCGACGGAAATTGAGCTCACGCCCCGGCGACGCATCCGGGTCACTCTCTTCGATGCGAACCATTGCCCTGGGGCCGTTGTGTTTTTAATTGAGGGGAGTGGCAAAGCGATAATCTATACTGGGGACATTCGAGGTCAGCCTGAAACTGTTTGGCCCCGTTCAATAAATCTTGAAACTAAGACCTGTCAGCTGAGCGATGGTGGGTTGACGGCCTGAAGCAACATCCAATTCTGATTCCCTATACATTGGGGCAGAAACGGTTGGACCGGCTGTACCTCGATACCACATTTGCTGCCGCATCAGACCCCTTTCGTGAATTCCCCACGAAGGCCCGGGGACTCGTTGAGCTGTTACAGAAATTGGAAGCTTATCCAGATAACACCCTCCTTTACTTCCGGGCCTGGACTTTCGGCTACGAGGAGGTTTGGACAGCTCTTTCAGCTGCCCTCAATGCAAAAGTATGAACCGTCAGGCTAGCTTGAATTGATCATCGCTAACCGTTGATTTAGGTCCATGTTGATCGATACCAGATGGGCCTCTATCGGTCCCTTGCGCGGCTCTCTGGAAGCGGAGGCGTCCGCGAGGCCCCGGCCCTCTGTGGCTTCAAGCTCGGGAACACGACTATATCCGGCTGTTTGAGCGAGGACGAATCCAGTCGTATCCATAGCTGCGTATCCGCAGTTTCATGCTCTGCAATCCGCGAGCCAAACACTGTTTATGTTGTTCCAATCGTCAATCGCACCAGAGATGGTGTTGAGATTCCCGAGGTAGGAGCTGGCGGGGGGCTGGTTGACCTAAGCCAGACTCATGAGCTTGAAATACCGGATGAGTCTGCTCTTGCTAAGCTGCAAGATCTATGTGACTCATATATCAAGGATGATCAGGTTCTATCACAGATGCGGAAGACCCTTTCTGAGGCTTTCAAATCGCAAACAAGAAAGATGGCGCTTGATCAGTTCGGGGTCAATGAAGAAGACGAAATCTCTCTTGAACAGTTAGTGGCGAAGCTCAGCCAAAGCGTGCCCGCCGAGAAACCCACTAACAGCCAAGCTGACCATCCGAATATAATTGTGAGTTGCCGTTGTTTTCATTTGCAACTTCCTGCTCACACCTGTCAGCGCTTTCCCTTCTCCCGGCATTCCTCGTATTCTGAATTGTGTGAACTTGTCGCTGCTTTCCAGCCCAAGGATGTCTGGCCCTGTACAGTGGACCCATCTTCATGGAATGAGGACGTCTCCATAAGGCGACTTTTTGGCCACTTATGTTCGGGAAGTGACTTTGCTCACGACAACTATATGCGTCATGTGCTTGAAGAAATCGACGAAAGTGATCATCCGCCGAAGAAGCGAGCCCGACATGACAACGACGTCTCAACGCAATCGACTCGATCCAGCAGCGTGGGAGAAGAGTTTGATGTCAGCGCCAAAGAAGTACGAGTGGAGGAAGACGTGGGTATTTCATATTCTACCCAGCAAAGCCGTGATCCAGCCGGATCGCCAATGATTTCGCAACCTCAGTCGGGGTGGACCTCTTTTTTTCAGCCCTACATGTCAGCTTTAGGCCAGGAAGGGACTGTCGCAGATGGGATTAGCTCCGCTGAACATACCCAAGCAAGCCATGCAGAAACGCACAGGGTGCATGGTTATCTCCAAGAGCATCGTGACCGTGATCAGGGGAGAATGCAACTTGGGCCACTCCCATCATTGCCATTAAGTGATGATCAGCAAGATGGCGGCGATCAGAACAACTGTCAAGAGCATTCACACTGGACACAAACAAGTCCACAAGCTCATAGCTCGGTCATCTCTCTTCCCGAGTCTGCACTCGCCCCTTCTGTTGGAGGAAGCGATGACGTTTCATTCGAGGCTCGTGGAGTCGAGCACGGAAGTCCATGCAAGCGGCCACGCTCTCACCAGGTGGCACGCACCCGGGCGCGCGTTGCAGCATACCTCGCTGCACGCGAAGGAAGCTATTCTGCGTGGGCGGATGTTGCTCCAGTTTCGACTGGAAACAATCACGCCGAGGTGGAAGAGGAGCTTTGATCCTGTAGAGGTCATAATAATTTTGAACTTTTCAAATTATGGCTAGATCAAAATGTCGATACCAACAAAATGCATCATCATTCTCCTTCTTACCAACGGCTATGTCCCTTCAGGATATCCATTTGACAATGTATCCAATTCCGTCGTCTGCCTTACGGGCGGGGGGCGATACTCGCGATCCGGCACATATCCCAGCCGCAGCGGGCGGACTGGTATTCAGTGAGTTTCGATACGGGAGCCTCGATGCCAAACTAGACCAATGGTCTGCCCATTCATCCAGAATAGTCCAAATGAATGTGTACAAGGCTTCGGAAACAGATACAGTACTCCAACTATAAGAGCACCCCGGCTCCTGATTCGCCTACGCTTACGATCAACCATCTTAACCCAAAGCCGTCGCTCCCACGAGGCGCTCCGCGGACCGGCCCGACCCCAGCACAGGCGTTGCCCGTCTGATTTCCACCGTGGGGTCGTCGATCGGCCACCTCCTTGGTAAAAGGTTTAAAGGGCTGCGGCGAAGTCCGGGGAGCAGGTGGGTCTACATTGGCCGAAGGTAACATCACCTCGGCTTTGCTTTCTCTATAGGTGGGATACTTCGGCATACATAGGAAAATTAAATTATGTTGAATGACTTGGCTCGCTCAGAGAGAAACAATGCATAATGCATAATGAAATACAACATTGAAAAATCAACAGAAATGCAAAACAAGTGCTCTCTCGCTATGACACGAACGCCCGAGGTCGCAATTGAGATGAGGTATATGGAACCGGGCAATGCTAGAGTAAAACAATACGGGGAAATATAGCGTGAAAATGGCAAAGGGGGAAGAGGGTAGCAGGAGATGAAACAATGACACAGCACAAGTGCCACGGTCTCGTGGGGTTCGCCAATTTTAGAAAATATAGTACGCCTGCGTCAATGGTAACTCGGTCGCGGGCTCAGCGTCGCACAGCATGTTATCTGCTTTGACGGTCTGGGACAGGGTCAGCACTGATTGTCAGGAACAGGGGGGTAAGAGTGTAGAACAAGACTTACGTAGCTCTCGGGATCGACTTTCATCTTTGGCATCGTGTCGTTGAACTTCATATCTTTCTTGCCGACGCTGCGGCAGTTCTTGACTGCTTCGACGCGTTTGCGAAGTCCGTAGGTCTGCACGATGCCTTCGTCGATGGAGGCCTGGGAAACGAACATGATAGATGTGCTTGGGACTCGAGGAGCGAACATTGGGCGGACGATCATCGGTTCAATTGTCGGGATTGATGCGTTAGGATCACCCTGCAGATATGTTAGTGTAGGCTCGTATGGATTTGGCACAGAGGAGGACGGAGGAGGCATACCATCTCTGCAATGGCAATCATGCCGCTCTTCAGGACCTGCACCGGCTTTGTGCCGAAAGTGCTGGCATTCCAGATGACCAAATCGGCAATCTTGCCCACTTCCACACTTCCAATCAAGTGGCCCATACCCTGTGCCAGGGCCGGGTTAATCGTATACTTGCTAATATACCGCTTTACACGGAAGTTGTCGTTGTTGTTACCCGCGTCTTCGGGCAAGGGACCACGCTGAGTCTTGTTCTTGTGGGCTGTGTGCCAGGTACGCAGAATGACCTCTCCACAACGGCCCATCGCTTGTGAGTCTGAGGACATCATACTGATGGCGCCAAGGTCGTGGAGCACATCTTCAGCGGCGATGGTCTCGGCACGGATACGGCTTTCGGCAAAGGCAACGTCTTCGGGAATGTTCTTGGACAAATGGTGGCAGACCATCAACATGTCGAGATGCTCGTCCAGGGTGTTAAGGGTGAAGGGACGGGTAGGGTTCGTGCTGCTGGGAAGGACGTTGGGGTGTTCCACGACCCGGATGATATCAGGCGCGTGGCCACCACCGGCACCTTCTGTGTGGTATGTATGAATGGTACGGCCTTTGAAGGCATCAATGGTCTGTTCGACGAATCCGGATTCGTTGAGGGTATCGGTGTGAATCATGCACTGCACATCGTATTCATCGCAGACTTCCAAGCAGTTGTCAATGGCGGCAGGTGTGGAGCCCCAATCCTCGTGCAGCTTCAGACCGGCAGCGCCAGCCTTTATTTGCTCCTCGATACTCAGTCGTCCGCAGTCGTTACCCTTGCCCGTAATACCGATGTTAATTGGCAAGCTATCGCACGCCTGCATCATCTGCCGCAGGTGATTTGGTCCCGGTGTGCAAGTAGTCGCGTTCGATCCAGTACTCGGCCCAGTGCCGCCACCAAGGAAGGTGGTAACACCTGATGCCAGAGCTTCATCCACCTGTTGCGGGCAAATCAAATGGATATGCGTGTCAAATCCACCGGCCGTGATAATCTTGTTCTCGCCAGCGATAACGTCTGTAGTGGCACCCACTACAAGATCGGGGTGCACACCGTCCATCACATCCGGGTTACCGGCTTTGCCGATGCCCGAGATGAAACCGTCCTTGATACCAATATCCGCCTTGTAGATGCCAGTGTAGTCGATAATCAGCGCATTCGTAATAATAGTGTCGGCGCATTCGGCCGACGAACGTCCAGAAGCCTGGCCCATGCCATCACGGATCGTTTTGCCTCCGCCGAAGGCACACTCATCGCCGTAGTTTGTCATATCTTTTTCCACCTGGATCCACAAGTCGGTCAATCCCAAGCGCACCAGGTCGCCGGTCGTCGGACCGAACATGCGAGAGTAGGCCTCCCGTTCCATGGAGAAGCCGGTAATCAGCGCGCTGTCCGCCTGAGGCTCCGGAACATGCGCAAATCCAGCAACTTGCAGTTTTGAGACGATTTCCTCGGCGCAACTCATATCCAATGGCCCATTGGCGAGACAGTTGCCTCCTCGGATAACCTTGTTGCCGCCAATCTCCACCAAGTTCACGGTCTTGGTGTCGCCGGGCTCGAAACGGATGGATGTACCGGCAGGTATATCCAGGCGGTATCCGTACGACTGGATACGATCAAAGTGCAATTGCGGGTTGGTCTCGATGAAATGGTAGTGCGATCCCACCTATTGTCCTTCCGTTAGCCTCCGCCCTTTTCTTTTGCCTCGCTGGAGGGGATTGCGTTGGGGGGGGGGGGGGTTCACGTACCTGAATGGGACGATCTCCTTTGCTCATCACTTTGAGGCGAATCCGTTTGCGCCCGTCATTCAATGCGACCCGAGCACTCTTCATTGGAATCACCGCGCCGGGCATCTTCTCGGGCAAGAAGTCCTCAGGGTCCGGGTCCGGGAAAGCCTCGCGCCGCGGTACCGGCAAAAAGCTGCCATAGAGTGCGCGCTCCAAATCACCTTCGTCGCTACTTATGGGGTGGTGTACTGTCACCAGATAGGTTCCCGATGGGAAAGTACCCTCGACCTGCAACTCGACCAGGGTCGCGACGACGGAGGGCAGGACGTGCCGGCGACCCAGCATGGTCTTACCTATAGACATGAGATCGGCGACGGAGAAGTGGCCATCGCGAATAAGCTATAGACGTCGAATGGGATGTCAGAGTCGATCAACGATCAATTGGGGCGCAATGACAGAAAAGTGGATCGTACGTACCTCGTGCAGAACGCTAGATATCAATGCCTGGGGAGGGGAACATAAATTAGTCTTGCATATGGGACGAGACGAGGGCTCTGAGACCTACCACTGACTCAGCGTGATTCAGACGCACACCCCGGGCCAGGCGACGCTGGGCCAGAAACCCGAGGTGGGCAATGGTGAGCTTGTCCAGCTAGTGTGGTCAGCGATTGTCAAACAAACCACAGGCTTGGCTGTCACGACCTACCTCCTTGGGAACGAGCTGCATGACGGTGGGACCCCAACCTGGAACTGCAAAGCTTGGCCACGGAGGTCACGAAGCAGGTTGAGCGAAAACGAGAGCAGACGAGAGTACGACCGCAAGTCCGCAACGTCACCCGGGGAAGGATTGAAGGGGGAATAAGAATGTGGGGGGCGGTATATTTTATTCTCGCAGTGCTATGGCCGCAAGCCGATAGCCCATAGATAAGCTGCCGTCCTGGCCGATTGGGCCTCGCGGTCGGCCGTGTTAGTCACGGCTTTTCTAATAGACGTGGGTGCTGGTTCCACTTCGAGTGCTTAGCACTCGGCAATGACTGGTTCCTTAGTACTATGACTTGGTAGTGGGACTAAGTATATCTACGCGGGCTCAACTCGCCTGGTCCAGCTGGCTCGTCGGCACTCGGCGGGCCCACCGGCCCTATAGGGATGCGCCTGAACTAAGCAAGCTCCATTTTATGAAAAGTCGGGTTAAAATACATGCCCTAGGTACACTTTTCAAATCAAACAAATCGAACACAAACGCCCTAACAGAGTACCCGGCTCAGATCCCGCGGAAAGTCGATCAATCAAATTCAGAATCACACTGCTCATGCCTCGCTCTTGCGCTTTTTGGCCTTGCGCTTGTTGTCGGCCGGGGTGGCCTTAGCCGAGGCAGGCTCCGCAGGCGCAGTTTCCTTCTTGCCGCCGCGCTTCTTCACAGGGGAGGCCTGCTTCGCGGGGGACTCGGCCACCTCCTTCTTGGACTCGCTCTTGCGGCGCTTGCTGCTCTTGGGGGGAGACTTAGCCTTGGGGGGCGAAGGAGGGGAGGAGACTCTTCCTCGGACTCGGAGGATGAGGTCTCGTCATCAGAGTGGTGCTCGTTGCCAGCGCCGGCAAAGTCCTGTTGCAGCTGGTTGGCAGCGGGATCATTGGCCGCGTCCTTGTTGGCTTTGTAGGCGGCCATCTCCTTCTTGTACACCTCGAAGTTCTCAGCATACATCTGCTTGTAGATCTGTGTGGGAATGTTAGCATGATACAGGTCGTGAGATCAAATCGCGTAGGGGGTGAGAGTATGGGGGCTCGATGTTGTCAAGACATACCTCGCGCTCACTATCGGACATCTTCTGCCAGCGGCGGGTGCCCTCGTCCGCAACCTCCTTGGGGCGCGCATTGTCACCCAGGTCAGCAGCAATGCTCTTGCGGTTGTGCTGCATGTACAGGAAGTAGGGGGTCAGGGCCCGCTTGGGCGCATTGGGATCAGCGGGCGCGCGCTTGCGCTTCTTGGGGCCGCCAGCTTCAGACTTGGCCCCGGGGCTTGTAGGGTGCAGGCCAAGGTCGAAATTGAAACCCGACAAAGCCGCGGGGACGGCAGGGAGGTCGATAGTGGCAGACTCGCCGTTCATCACATTGTTGGCATGGTCCAGATAGGCCTTGCTCAGGTCGGCGATGTAGGTGTGAAGTCCCATCAATCGTCCCAGGATCTGCGACGCAGTTAGTATCAAGTACATCCGGTGAACAATGTCAATATGCAAAGCTGTCGCATAAGGTCAAATTTCATCGGAGACAATTTGCGCAATGGATATATGTAGGGTGAGCCAAAAATATAAATGAATGCAAAGTGGCTACCCTCAGCGTTGATGACATTGGGCGAATGCAACACGCGTAAGAGTCGCGCCCGCCAGTGGCGCCTCGAGATACGCCCGCCTGGTCGGACGAACAGACCCTTGGAGCTTTCCATTGTATCATGACTACATTGTAAATGACTCCTCGAGCTGTAAAGGCAAACGCGCAACAAATATGCGGGGATGCGTAAGCTGTTGCAACATATGCGACGCGTAGCAGCGCGCGGGAACGGGCGCGGCCTCGAGCCAAACAAAACTGCAGGTCCATCGCGGGGGGGCGAAAAGGCGGGAAAGAGAAAAAGACCAGACACTTACAGCATCTTTGGATGCACGAAGCTCGTCAACATTGACGGAAACGGTGGCCTCGGAAGCCATAATGAGGGGTGGGATGGTGGTTGGTGATGACGGTGATGGCGGTGGTTAAAGGTGGGAGGGGTGAAGAATTTTGTTGGGGGGGGGAAGCCGGAGGCTAGGGATTAGGGGGAAGGAAGCGGGCGGACCGGCGAGGGAATGGCGACCAGGGCTAAATAAGGCCGGGCGCTGGGCACTGTGCCAGCCTGCGGCTCAGCGCTGCTTTTGGCTTAGGCCTAAACCTCCCCAGCGGCTGCCTGGGCTTGGGTTAAGGGTCAGCCCAGCGCCAACCCGGCCCTTAACGGGTCGCCTCACTCGGCGCTGCCGTACCCGGGGCACCCAGGCTTGCTGGCCAGTGACATAACCACTCTCCCACCCAGACGGTGCCGCGGGGCTGCCACCGCTGCATCGTGACACCGGGGCATAACCATGGTGCTCAAGGGCACTCAAATAATTGTTTCCTCGCGCGTTATTAGAGAAAACATTAAACTGAATAAATCAAATCGAAATTTATTGTATTTTTTATGAGGCACATTCAAGAGTTGCCCATGCCCCTTTCCCACGATATATTTCACAAGTGTTCTACCATTCTACGTACTGACCACTTTTGGATGGAGCGACGTGTATCGTTGACAAGGTAAGACCTGCACCGTTGTTGTGGAACCTGCAAAATCACCTTTGTTTTCGTTACAAGCCAGAATTCTGGTCTGAAACGACCAGTCTGAGATCGTGAATATTTACAAAGTTCTGAACAACGAACAACTTGTTACTAATGTAACACGTTGGATTTGACAAAAGATCCCTAGGCGTATCGCCAGCAAAAGACGCGGGAAGCAAACGCTCCAAGTCGAATGCACTTTACATAGCAGTTTCATGCATCTTTGCCGCCTACTCTATAATCTACACTCATCTAGAACTTGAAGACCTGCTCCTTGCTGTAGCCAAGATCCTTCAGGATACCAGACAGCTCGCCCTGGTCCTTGGGGCTGACCTTCCCGCCGCTGATAGCCTTGTACAGGCCGGGGGGACCGCACACGAAGAGTTTGATGTTCTCCTCCTTGGGCTCCGGCAGGACAGTCTTCAGCAGCTCCTTGGTGATGAAGCCCTTGCCGCCGGTCCACTCTTTGGGAGGGTTGTCCAGGACGTAGAAGGCGCGGAAGCGCTGGGGGTAGGTGTTCTCCAGATCCTGAAGTTCCTTCTTCAGTAGAATGTCGTCCTCGCTGACGTTACCGAACACCAGAGTGACCTTGGTCTTGTCCTCGGGATTCTTGAAGATCTGGCGGGCCAGCTGGTACATGGGGGTGATACCGGTACCACCAGCAATCAGGCAGACGTGATTGTGCTTGTTGGTCTCCCAGGGGTACTTGACAATGGGGCCCTTGAAGGCCAGGCGCTGGTCGACGTTCAGGGAGTGGATGTGCTCGGACATCGGGCCGTTGGGGTAGGCCTTGACGACCAGCTCGAGGTAGCCAGGTTGGTCTAATAAAATTTAGCGATGTTCTTGCGCGCGCGGTTCATTAGCGAATTGGACACTTACCCTCTTCGCTGGTGGGAGTGTAGGGACGGACAACGTTTTTCTCGGCACCCTCGGGCTTGAATCGGGTGAGCAGAGCAGCTGCCCAAGGTGTCAGTGGAAGGTTTGGCAGCGGGAGCTAGGAGAGGGACGAACAGGCAACGGGAAGACCGCCAACGGCCTCCTTGTCCTCGAACTCGAAGCGCAGGCGTTTGGTGTTGTGGCTCAGAGTCTCAATGTTGGAGACCTTGAGGTCGATCCAATCCTCGCCGTTGAAAACCTTCGGGCGGTCCTTGACCTCGGCGCTGGCGTTGTAGCGGTAAAGACCAGCACCCAGGCCGGCCAGACCGACACCGAGGTAGATAGGGGTCAAGTTGGCCTTCTTGGGAGGGGGAGGAGGAGTCTGGGCGGCAGACTCAGCGGCCTTGGGTGCCTCCGCAGAGTACTTGCGGAAGCTCTAGAGGGAAACGTCAGCATTTTTTGCACTTGCGGATTGGGGGATTTGATCACACTGACCTGCTTCAAAGGCTGAGCGCAGCGGAATGTCTGGCGGGCGAACATTGTTGCGATGTCTGATGTGTAACAATGGAAAAGAGAGTAGTTGGGGAGTTGAAGTAACGGGGAAGAAATCGGATTATGAAAGCGGACAGGCTCAGTCAACACCATTTCGCATGACGCAATTAGCGGTTCCTGGCTGCAGCACAACATACATCCGACCGTCGGGCCATTGCGGAGCGGCAGTGGATTGAAAGGTCTTCACTTACATTGTGTTTTGATGCTGGGCTTAAAACAGTTATTTCCTCCTTTTTTTTTTTCTGCAACTGTTGTCCATAATGCGACCGTGGAGAAATGTGCTTTTTTTGTTCCTAGCTGACTTTCTCTAGCCTTCCGCTCAGCCTCGGACACCTAAGCTCCGAAAAATTTACGAAGGATACGAGCCTGGGAATGATTGTCGAACTGAAGAATAGGATTATAGGGGCATTTTTCGTGTGCAAGGAGGCAAAATATAGTTTATCCACGATAGTTAGTCGAGGGCATTCATTATGATTTTGACAGATTTCGGTGAGATCAACACGGAATAGCCGATTGTTAGGCTGTCTTTTATGATATCTCCGAAGGTCCCAAGCTACCATCAGTTAATACGATTCCCAGAATCTTACCCCGCATAGCATTGTAACCCGGAGCGACTTCTTTTTTCATTGATGAATGGTAGGTCGTAGCCAAACATGTTCCGAGACCAACGAGTGCCTCATTAACACTTCAAGAATACAATATTTGATCCGGACTTCTACGATAGAAGGGTGTCGAACAATTGAACCCGATATTTTTTGAAATTTAAACCACAGACGTCACTATACGGGACTAGAGACATCCAAACTATCTCCCATTTGACTGGGAGACACAGGCCGTTCCGCACGACCAGTATTTCATGCATTCCATGGCCGTTACGCAGTTATTCATCCACACACTCCATCTCCAGAATCCCAAAAACATCACATTTAAGCAAAGGTGGAGGGGCGCGAGTAGGCGAACAGCTTCTTGCCCGGCTTGGCGGCGCGGTGGGGCAGGGGGAACTTGAGGTTCTTGGAGAGGAGCTGCTTGATGTAAGGGCGGCGGATGGTCTCGTTATCGGTGATCTCAACAACCTTGAGGATCTGTACCAGTGGGTTAGATTGTAGCCAGCGAACAAAGTAGACCGGAAGGAACGTACGTGGATGGAGCCGAAGCGAGCACGGTGACGGGCAGCCATGTCCTGGTAGAGAGCCTCGACGGCCTCGGTGCGGGACATCTCACGGAACTCCTTGTACATGTTGTGGGTACCGGAGCGCGAGTCGTAGCGGATCCAGATGCCGAAGTTCTTGACCTTGAGAGGGCGCTTCTCGGTGATCTAGAGGGGCCATCAGCACTGATTCCAAAAAAGTTGCGGTAGAGTGCTCTCTACATACCACGTTCAGGCTGACGATCTCGCCGTTGGCCTTCTTCAGCTTGCGGAGCTGAGCCATGAAGTACCAGAAACGGGACTTGGCGACCACAGTGTTAGGCGCAAAGATGCGCATGCGGTACAGCTTGGGGGTGGGGTTCGCCTCGTTGGGCAGGTGACGCCCGATAACCTGGTACTCAGTAAGACGCCCTGCGAGGGATTCGTCAGTTATAGTTCGAAATCGTCGATTAATTCCTCTTGCGCTTGTGCTCTGGCAACGGGACGGTGTGCGATCGCGGTAGGTGAAATCCCAGCGGGCGGAAGGGGGATGTGTGGTTGATGAAAAATTTCGAGATTCGACTCCGCCATGTTTTGGTCGACAGTATGGCGGTTATTTCCCCCCTTATCAGTAGTCGTCCCAATCAAAACGGTCATAATTCGTTCGGCATTGCTTTGTCCTCGGGGCAATTGTCGATTAGTTGTCGCCGCCGCATGGTTTTTCGTCCGTCCGTTCGCACACACCGTGATCACCGTAATCGTTTCGAGTCGAGCGCAGGAATCTTCTCAAAAAGTGACACTTACCCATCTGGAAATCGATATGTTAGCAATAGTCTCGAAAATAGAGGTATAGAGGGTCACATACTGTGATTGTCGCTGTGGTGGTTGAGTCGTTAGTGTGCCGTCGGTGGAGAGAAATCTGGGAGTGTGTTGCAAAGTGCTTAGGGCTACCGCCCTTCGGTTAAGCGAGTGGAGGCATCATGTGTGCGCTAGTCCCAACGTGGCAAGTCATACACTAGCCACATAGGGTGTACACCGCCACAGGGTCGCCCCACCTGGCGCCTTCTCCAATTGAGGGAACCTTAGCCTCGCTACGCTCCCGAGTCCAAGCGGGCGAGATTCTTTTAACGCGCGACTTGCCTGGATGACCTCCGAGATCCCACCACAACGAATTCGTCTACACTGACGCCGATTCCTTGGACGCGATAATCATGAGTTTCCTCCCTGACGAGTTCAGGACCGCCTACAGCAACCGATCTGGCCCAAATCTTGCAGCACTGCTAACTCCAATTGCGACTCCGAATGACCCAGATCGCCTACGCTCGTTTCACAATTTTTCGAATGCCGACTATGTCAAAGAAGACCTCGGCGCCTGTCTCTTCAAGAACAAGAAGCCGAGAGTCTCGCACGCGGAGAAAAATGCCTGGGTGGACATTTTCGCTGCTTATTGGGAAGCTGTGGGAGAACTTCTGGAGTTGGACATCCCTAACCTGGGGGTTACCCCCGTTACAATCTTCGTTGCATGGAAGAAAGTGGCGAATGCGCTCATTCGAGGGTACTCCGCTTCCTCTGGCCTCCCTGCTTGGACGTTGCCTTGCTTGTACTCCGTGGGCAAGTACCTGCGTATCTTTGCGATCAACGCCGATCTACATGTGGCATCCCAAGAATCGTCTGCCCTCGACTTCCAGGAAGATGTCGCGGCTGATTCCGAAAAAAATGCGAATCTCGAAGAGGCCGCTCGCGTTATTAACAGGATGTTCACTCTGTGTCTCAGTGATCGGCAAGTTCTCATTATTTCCAAAAGGCAAGTCTATCGCTAACTTCAATAGAGCCCCAATCGAGGAGTCCCGAAAGTGGGGAATCTACAACACCACCAACTTGCTCTTCAAGACATACTTCAAGGTACGGTCACCCCACCTCGTCTTTAATGTCGAGGGCAGTTGGATACTAACCAACCCTAGATTAACTCTGTCGGTCTGACCAAAAACCTCATCCGTGCTATCAATGCTCAGTCGGATGACCTACCTCCTCTGGAAGCGTTTCCAAAGTCTCATATCGTTACATTCAAGTATTATCTTGGTGTAATCCATTTCTTGGATGAGAATTATGCTGAGGTATGAAATACAATGCCGTTTTTGGGAGATTTCGCCAGCTAACCGCTGAACACTTGCAGGCTGAGGAACATCTTACCAGTGCTTGGAGACTATGCAATCGGCATGCTGTCAAGAATCAAGAGTCAATTCCCCAAAATAGCCATCTTTCGTGAGCTCCAGCTTACTGTTTTACAGGTTGATTCTCACATACCTCATTCCCTGCCACCTAGTCACGACCCATACTCTTCCTAGCGAACGACTCCTTTCTCCATTTCCCCGTCTGGAAAGACTCTTCCGTCCCCTATCGAACTGCATTCGGAAGGGCGACCTCGTTGGCTTTGATAAGGCAATGTCTGCCGGTGAGGAAGAGTTTGTAAAGAGACGGATCTACCTGCCGCTTGAGCGAGGCCGCGATATTGCCTTGCGCAACCTTTGCCGCAAGGTATTCGTTGCTGGAGGGTTCGAAGAACCCAAAGATGGCCAGGCACCCGTGCGCCGAACCCGTGTACCAGTCGCTGAGTTTGTGGCTGCTCTGCGCATCGGTACTCATGCCCTGGGCCGGGTGGATACGGATGTGGTCGAGTGTCATTTGACCAACCTCATCTATAAGGTAGGCGATCCCGAACCCAAATTATTGATTATCACTCACTAACAATTTTTTTCAGGGCCTCATGAAGGGCTACATTGCTCGAGAACGAGGAATAGTCGTTCTGAGCAAGAAAAATGATGCTTTCCCAGGCACAGGCGTTTAGAGAATTTTTTTCCGAGCGTGCTATTTGGTTGCATGTTGGGAGGCCTGGAACGTCACTTATGAGATAACGAATGCAAATGATTCTATACAACTGGATACTCACCAACCGCCCTTTAAAGGACGTGGGCCTGCTAATGAACATATTTTATGCTATCTTGGGGGTCTATCGATCCAACCTTGGAATGAGGACTGAATCTAGCATGGATTCTCGGGCTACATGTCTTATTGTTCAACGGTGAGGGCCCCAAACTGAATTGAACATCCAAATTACCTATATTTGTCTTCACACAAAGCAATAATTCAATTCTGACCCCAGCCGCCACATTTCTCCCCGGACTTGGTGTCAATCTAGTAGTACAAGGGTATAAACACACCGAGCTGGCGAAATAAAGAAACAGAAGAAACACCCAGATCCACAATCCGCAACGCAAGAACCTACTACCTAATGATGTACAGAACTACAAACAGACGCCTGCTCCGGCGAAAGATCATCCTGGAAAATAACAATCAATTATGCGATCAAGCTGGAAGCGCGAAATCCATTAAGCAGAGACAAGGACATTGACTCACCATATGATTACACATAGCCACGAATAGATCAAAGAACAGACGTCCTCCACGCTCCATTTCAACCTGCATAGTCCCGCTCCTCTTAAAAGTGCCCCTGGATCGAATAATCAGCGCCAAATAATGCGCCCGGAGCCTGGACTCCGTCTCGGGCGTGTTGGCATAGGCGTAGCGAGCACTGGCAAGGATCGTGCTACAATCTATACCCGTTTGCAGGCCTTGTTTGCGCAGCGCGAGGCGTTGGAGTGTTGGGAGGGAATATTCTTGGGCGGCGCAGCTGCCATGCATTAGTATTGGTGTTCAATGTGATGGCATACACCCAGTCGCAGGGGTGAATGATTTCTGGAGAGCCAGGGGCAGGGACATACTAAATGGCAGTATCGCGCAGTATCAAGCCCCCGCGGTGATGATAGATGGTCGCACAGGGACCGCCTTGCGCAGAGGCATCTTCCAGCTCCCAGGTTCGACGATTGGCATCGTGTCGAAGGCGAGGGTAGTAGTCGCCTTTATAAAGGAACTCTAGAATGCAAGAGAGGACCTCGGGGGATTCATCGGGCAATTCGATGCGCTTGGTTGGATGCGGCACGTGCGGCTGGTTGTGGAGTGGCGGGCTGGGGCTTTCCGGGGCGTAGAGGGAAGAGAAGAAAGGAGATGCGCAGAGGATGGATTCATGGGCGGCGAAGAGACGCTGTTCGGGTCCTACTCGGAGCACTATTACAGGGGAGGCGTTTCTTTTGGGTGGAGAGCTGGGAATTCCATCGTGTTAGTAGGAGAGGTCTCTTCTTTGATGGGATGGAAAGCATCAAGATCATAGATTCCTAGGGAGTGGGGGGAAGACGTACGATGAATTTGGAGGCGTCACAGGTTCAATTCTTCGTCTCCTTTCCGCATGACCTTTTCCATAAACTCGATTGGCCGAACTAGAGCTCTCGCGTGCGCGAGATCGGGACGATGCTTTGGTGGCACGATATCTGGAGAAGTTATCAGGAGTTTGTGGCTGTCGTCTGGAAAACATGATGAATTTGTCTATGGGCAAAGAGATAGGCTCGTACAGGAGGAGTGGAAAGAGTTGGAAGCTCCAAGGCCGAGCAAGACTCAGGGGTAAATGATCTAATTTATAGGCACAGGCCGGGTAGTTACTTCGTTACAAGTTGTATGTACGGCCTGACCTGGGTATACCGGCGATCTGCCATGTAATATAACCCAAACGGGCCGAATGGGGCTTGCCAACGCGTCATGACCGGTTTGAAACGCGTCTTGGGCGAAAAATGCGTCGCCAAATGGGCGCGTGGTCACGGGACTCTAACCAATCAGGAAGGCTTGTGGCAGATCGAGTGGGGCCGGGAAATTGCGCCTGACGGGCATGGGGCTTCTGTCAATGCACATCATCTACCTCCAAATCCGCTTTTGATGCCTTCAAATTACTGATTAGGACCAAGGCAGACAGTTGTCTGAAAATGCTGAGCGCCAGCCCCGGAAAAATCTCTTGGACGGGCGAATAATGGACCTCACCAGTATTGACCTTCTGATGGTCTGCGGACTGTGGCCAGCTCGTGATCATTATCCTCGAGGAACGATTGCGAGCCCATCATCACTTGTTCTGGATCGGACATGGTTGACAGTTTGGGTGCCAAGCAGATATCCTCTTTAAATAGTGAGAAGCAGCGCTGATAACAGAATGCGTGGCAGGGCAAGTTCCAGGTCATATCCACCCATCTCTTCCACGGTGGTTAGCCACTGGGTAGCGCAACGCCATTTTGACTTAATGCTTGCGAGTTATTTCCGATTGTAGGTCAGCTTAGGGCTATCGGATATTTGAGAATAGCAGGTCAACGGGAAGGGTTTTGGCATGCCTTGCGCGAAGTCTGAGACCCTGTCTCAAGCTACAAAATTACGTCCAGCATCAAGGATAAAAGTGCTTGTATACGTGATGAGAGAGTGTGTGTGCGTGAAAGGGAGAGATATCTGAAATGAATTTATATTAAGCTGATTGTGAGCTTCAATCAATAAAACTATGAAAAAAAATTCTGAACTACCCGGAGCTTTTTCCCCTCTACTCCTTCGCCTCATAGGTCAAGGTCAGTAGACCTCGAGCAGCCGGGTCCACCGCACTGCAGACCTTCTCGATTGTCGCGGCGCGTGCAAAATACGACAGAATCTCTGCGTTGAAGGAACGCACGTCACGGCTCAGCTTGTGCGGCAGCCAAGATCCGAAGGTCTGGGTGGATGGGACCCGGCCGCTCGAGTTCTGCTGACCCTGCTGGCCCTGCTGGGCCCCAGCGAGCTTCGCATCCGGGAAGGACTTCTTGAACGCCGCGTACTTGCCCTCCAGGATCTCGCCAAGGAGCCCGCTGGCCGCAATGAGCTGGGCAATGACATCCAGCCGGATCGAAAGGTTGCTTTGGCCGATGACGGCCGCGAGCCTGATAGGAATGGGTAAGAAGGACATTCAACAGTCAGGTGAGCACAGAAGGAGTATTTATATTACGTACCATTGAACGTCCGCATTGTATTCGTATCCGTTCTGCATCGGGACCTTGGCCATCTGGCTCTGTTTGTCCCATTCGGCAATTTTCGAGAAGCAGGCCAGAAGGGACTTCAGCATACCCGTGCTAGGCAGGTTGCTCTCCATGTCACATGTGAGGCACTCCCAGTTCAAAACACCATGGTGCTCGAGAAACCGAAAGACCTGCCACGCAGTCACCTGCCGAACCGACCGCCAGTACAAGTTGATGTACAGCTTAGCCCAGTTCGGTTCCGAGGAGCGCATGTTGCCGAAGATGTTAAGCTCGATCAAGTGCTTGGACTTTTGGGTGGCATCGCGCCTCGCGATGTACAGGATGGTGGTCTTGATCTCGGCAGGGAGGTGAAACGCCTGGGTAGCTGGACTACGATCAGTGTCCATGTCCCTCCAACCTTCGCTTCTTGCAATCATCTGGTTCATATGGGTACTTACAGTGATTGTCGGACCAGTATTCGGCATTGGCGATCTTCTGTTGGAGGTTCTCGTGGATCGCCGGCCAGTCAATGTTGCGGCCAGTCACACGGACGGCCTCGTCAGAAACAGAATCCATGACGGTCGAGGTAAAAGGTGTGTCAAGGGGACGAGGAGACGGAGAGAAAGTAGTTGCAAGAAGCAAGCAAAGATGTTGCGGGCTGCAAGACGAGAGAAATTCGATGGGAGAAGAAGTTGCAGGAAGCGAAGACGCTGTGGGCTGCAGGACCAAGAGGATGTGGAGGGGAGAGAAGTGAAGGGAAGAAATGAAGGGAGTTGCTGGGAGGGTGGGCGACGGTGCGGGTGCCTGGTACATTAGGAAGGTGCGCGGTGCAGACTGGGAGCAGGCGTAACAACACCCAGCGGAGGCCCCCACCGTGCTCCTAGGTTGCGTATTGAACTACGAGGTCTACCCCGTGAGAGCACTGTCATGAGTTTACCTTGAAGATGGGCCAATCTCTGTAGGCACAGCTTGATCAAATGAACTTGAAGTCTTTCGCCTAAAAAAATCGAAGAGAAGTCTCTCCATCAACGCCGGATGCGAACGCCGCAAGAACGCCATAATTGTACCCCGAGACCTTGGCTAAGAAAGAAAAGAGAAAAGATAATAGTGGCATCATAGGAAGATCTTCCGTGCGTCCTTGAAATGGCTTTCATTTGGACAGTAGGGACACTTGAATCGGTTTCCCTTGCTGAGTCGTTTGAGGGATTCCTCGGCGATGACATGCCCACAGGGCATCATCATCGGCGGATTCTCGTCTGTCGCCTGTTCCTTGGAAACAGGGCAGACGAAGATGGAATGGAAAAGATAGGCAGGAGGCAGTGGGATTTCAACCTGAGGCCTGTTAGCTAAGACAGTTCTTGATTGTATCAATTGGGGTGGCGCACCGGGAGCTCATTCTCGCTCGTCCACTCGGTACGTTTGGCCTTCATGATGGTTTGCAACTTCAGCAGCGTCGGCAGCGCGACGGCCCCGGCTGTTGCAGCGATGTAAAGCGGCGAGTCGGCAGATAAACCTAGGAGCGAGCAGAATTCTCCGGTGAAGGACTGGGAAACCTCTTCCCAGGCGGATGAATTGTTGAAAATGGCGGCATATGGCGAGCCCTGGAGGTTTGGGATAAACGCCATGGCACCTAAAAGCCTCTGAATCTCTGCTTGATACCGCGGGCCCAAGTCTGCAAACTCTTGTCGGGCGTATTCCATGGCGGCCTTCCAGTTCCCGGGTTGGTTGGTAGGCTCAAGAGATTTGTTGTGGTAGAGCCAGACGTATTGCAGACGACATAGTTCGAATTCCAGGTTGCTCCCTCGAGCGGCCAGCGCTTCGCGATTTTCTCGTGACCAGGTAATTGCTGGAAGAAGATTCCGGTTCTCTTTGAGTTCATGGAGGATATAGTACATGGCGGCAAATTGCTTGCGTATCTCGGTGGAGGGGACTTCGTCGATATCGAGGAGATTGGCGGCTTGCTCGGTGGTACGAGGACTGAAACCCCCTTCCATCGTGGCCCTTTTTTCGGTTATCGCGCTGAGGAAAGTTGCTGCGACAGAGAACTGCCCCTCTCGGAGAAGGTGCATCGCAATGGCGCGGTTCGTGAGGTGTTTCTTTTTGAAGAGGGCGTCATGCTTGGTGCTGGGGAGTGGCCGGTCTTTGAATAGCTGTAGAGAATAGATATACGTTAGCGACTACAAATAACATACCATGTGTGAATGTGTCGACGTACCTTATCCAAAGCCTTATTGTATTTATTGAGGCCGCTGTGGGTCTCTTTCAGACTTTCGTTGATGGCGTCAACGGAGGACTTGACAGGACTATGATGTTTAGCTAAGGTGACTGCGGCTTCCTCTGGGACTAAAAACCGAATGCGTTAGCAACACTTGCTGAGATATGCTTGTGGTTGGCAACCGTGAAGCTTTTGTCCCCGCCCTGCAACAACCAAGATCCCCAGAGGTTTCACACACCAGCAGCGATGGCATCTCGAACCGATTGTAGTTGATCGATGACGGCCTGTACATTCTTAATCCCTTGAGAGGCGTTGAGCCTCTTCACGAGTCGATCATGCTCCTTCAGGGTGAGATCCATCATGGTCGCGGGCTATGGCGCGGGAGCTCGATGCGGAGTTGATGAGGTTACCGCCCGACGAGTCCACTGGGTGCCATAGGGCGACGCGGGGCACAGGCAGAGCGTTCGAGACGACCTAGTAGTTAATAAAAGCCCCGACGTGCTCAAAGTAGTTGCATGCGTATCGAATATCGCTGTGGCGGAACAATGATGTGGTGGCCGAGGTCACGACGTTGATCTGTTCCGGATGATCGCCGTTCCTTACGACATCGACACGTGACACTCTCCCGTTGCACCACCAGAGGGATGTCACCCGTTTGTTTCTAGCGATCCTACTAGTAGTACCTTGGCCATCTGGGATATGCAAAATACATGCATAGAGGATTGCCTCATTCATGGTGGGAAGAACGTGAGGCATGTACTTTGCATTCTATCGGACCTTCGACTCGCCCTGTAGTACTACGGTACATACTTTCATCCTAGGTAGGGGACGCTACTTCGGGAAATACCCGGCCGAGCCGGGAAAACCATCCCCATTGGGGCTAGCGCATCCCTTGCGGCTGGCTGCCCAACCCTTTCATGCACGCCTCCACTTGGCAACTGGAACTCTTGGCAAGCTAGACCTGAATTGCAGCTGGTCCCACTCTCGCTTACGCTAGCGCGTGAGTCAACGGAAGCTATAAGAACTGCCGGCTGCCTCCCGCTCTTCCTCTTCTTTTTTTTCTTCTCCATCCTAGTGCACGGGTTTTACACGTATCAGTGAGGAGAGATCCGAGATCGTGTTTTTGCTAGTTGAAAACTATCAACGTGACCGCTTCAGATGGTCTTCGGATCGTCTGGGAATTTTTGAAACTTTACATCGCTCTGAACTCCTTGGTTTTGAACCATCGGGCTCTTGCTGGTGCTGCCTCATTGAGGCTGGTACCGCGCTGATTTCTTTTCATTACTGCGCTACCCATGCTGGTGGCTTGTAGAGAAGAGCAAATGTTTACTGTGCGTGTCTGGAAATCACTTAGTCCGAAATGTGTTCTTTAGTCCCATGATTTCCGATGAGTCGCGTGACCCGTGAAAACGAACGACGCGTCGCTGGCCAGCGTGCGTGCTGTTGTGGCTCAACGCTGGCCCGACACTCGAGGCAGACCCGAAGCGGCGACACCACGCACGTCTTCTGCCTCAGCAAATAATGACACTGCGATTGCGACCGTGAAAGCTACCCCAACCAAGGACAACAGCTCGAGTGGAACCTCGGCCAGCTATCCCGCCAGCTCGACGACCTCTGGCGCGTCAGCAGCCTATCTCCTCGACCGCTTTCCATGCTCTGCTACTCCACTACCAAGTCGTCCTCTGGTTGTCCCTACGCATCTCCACAAGGACGACCGTTGCAACAATGGGGATTGTGTTTATCACAGCCATTTGGCCGCTAACATCTTGCTCGGTCATGTGTATACTTGGGATGAGCTGCTTGGGATGAGCTCAGGCGAGAAGGCAAACATGATGTAGCCTTTTGTTCCCTTCGTTGCTCGTACGAGTCTCCATCCACCGCCTGCTTGACTGATCGTCTGTGGCACAGTCTTTGCACGAGTTCTTCTCGGGTTTATACTAAGAATATTTGATTCATCTAGACGCAGGTGGTCGCCATTATCCAGTAATACAGTAATACAAAAGCTATTTTCCTACTCAGACTCGAGCCACACCGAACTATCAGGCCCGAAAATAAAAGTTGTTGATGGCCTTCTGCCCATTTGTGGCAAAGGAAATTTGAATAGCATTAGCCTGCCCGCCATATAGGCAGATTTACTATGAATCAACACAGCCCACCATGAGCGTTTATTCTCGTACCGGGATATTGAGGGTCACAGCCGCACTTGTTCCAAGACTGACAATCTTTGTCCTACTTCGCCTATACGTTCACTATGAGAGCCAAATGAAATTCGGACTAGACGACATTATGGTTGTTTGCCCATGGGCTTTCCAAATGGCCCTGGCAGGGGTATTAATAGGTAGTGCAGGTTATTTTCCGCTAGTCAAGATCTCTGGCTGACAAGGCTCACCGCAATGAGCAAAAGGCAGTGTCAAACATTCCGGCGTTGGGTATTACATTGCCTATCTTCAGGACAATGTGCCATTTCTCACCATCGCCGAGGCAAAGTTATCGCACGGCGGATATGTTCGTGTATGTAATAAGTACCAACCTTCCAATGATATCGATTCTACTTCTTTATTGCCGTTTATTTCCTCCATCGACGATGCGTGTCCTGAGCTTGGTCCTGATTGGAGTCTTGACTACAACAATAATAGTGGGAGTGAGAGTGCTGTTCTTCATGTGCCAACCATTCGCAGTTCTGGAGGAAAATGCCTTGATACCTCGGCTATATACGCTTGGAATGGTGTTCCGAATACACCATTATTACGGACGTCATCATGCTTATTTTGCTGGTGCCAATAGTATGGTCATTCCATACAACATTCCGAAATAAAGCTCAATTGACGATCACTTTCATCATTGGTGGCATGCAAGACAACTCGATTCATTGTTTTCGCTTATTACAATATCATTTACTCAGTGTCATAAAGATTTTTGACCTGAAGGCTGATACTATATATGTATTTATTCTCAGAGGCTTGGTTGCATCAATTGTGCATTTCAACTACTCCATTTCCCACCAAAGCAAAGATCATACATGGATATCCGGAAATCGCGTTACCTGGACTAAAATAGAGACAGCTGCGTATTTGATATGCGCGTGTTTGATGACATTCAAACCTCTTGTGGACAGAGCTACCCGGTAACGGCCGGGTTAAGAGAGTTGCTAGGGCCATCCAGCCAAGGATCCATCCAAATGTCGATTCGCGAGAGAGTTGACAGTCTTTGGAGCCATTTGCTAATCGCTGAGAAACGCTACGACTACATAGTGTATGAGTGGAAACTTTTGCGGAGATGGAATTGCACATGCCTTCCATGTTCTTTTCACATTGTTGTGTTCTGCAGACCTCGGGAGTCCCCAGGCGCTATCCTAAAGGCTGTCCGTAACTCGTGAAGATAAGATTACTTCTTATTTGCATGAAGGAATATGTAACAAGCCAGACCCAGCTTTATTATACCATCAGCACTCTATGATAGCTTATCGCACTGTAGTCGATGTGATTTGAGGTCCCTGGATGTCCCTAGTACCGGCAACTCACCGCCTGCAATGCAGTGACGTCGGCAATTCTGCAGCCTGCGGGCTTTCACAAACTCAGAAACCAAGAGGTTCACAGCTCCCTCGTCCCTCCGCTGCCTTCCTCTTCTGTGCGACCGCAGGAATGCCACAACAGTCTTTTCCAGGATATGTCAGCGTGGTTCCTATGTGACGAGTCTTGTAGGAGCTTTCAAGGAAGGTCGGCGCCTCCCTGACTCGAGCCGAGGCGAGGGGTGTACCTTGTCCAAGGTAGCTCGCACGGCGCAAATGGTTTTTACGCTTGGTTTCGCAACCGCCTCTCCTGAACCGTGCTTCGTCTGGGTATTCCACGCACCGAAAAGAAGTTGAAATGCAGGCCAACGCACAGGTTGCGCCAGCCGACCGCCGCGACTCCGGCAAGGCGTCTGACGGCATCAGAAGCAGCCCCGCCTCCAATGCAAACGGCCCCGTTCCTGAACGCCAATTGCAAGGTCACCAGAGACTCGTCTTCACCGATCCTGTCGCCCTCCGATATCTCGAGGAAGATCCCTCCACAGACGTGCTACACCGACGGACCACTTTGCAAGGATACGAGATCTATATTGTTGAACAATGGGCTTGTTCGCGATCGCATCCCACCTTTGTAATATCTACGTATACGGGTGACCCGTCACACACGGTGGTAGTCGGCGTGCTGAGCGTCCCGACAGATGAGACAACATGGTCACCCCGCCTACGGATGTACTTCGATGCGGTCGAGGACTACCATGCTCGGAGGAAAGAGACGCCGCTGGGCACGATTATGGTGACAGATCTGGGCTCATTCCCATCCTCACTCATGGTCATTCCGGTGCCGGAGGGCGATATAAAGAAACACAGGGACGATTTTATTGTGAATGAGAACTTGAAACGGCTCGGCTGCGCTGGTCGCGCCGGTTTGAAGCTCCAGCAGCCTCTGCCAGCGACAGAAGCCAAGTTTCACCAATTATACCGAGCAAGCGAGCGAGTCTACATTTATGATGCCGTCATCGAGCTGGTCAAGCAATGCCAAATTGCACTAATGGTTTTTGATAAGCTGGCTCCTGAATATGTGGATGGTTTACTCTGCGATGTGACAGAGGAAGCTATTGGTAACTGGTGGGCGGATATTGGAACAGAGCTATACAATATCGAACCCAGCGATGGAGTCCTGGGACCGACTACTGTGGCTGCCCTGCTGGGAACTCTTCTGGGCGCCCGCAATCGACTTCACGCCTATGGAGCCCCAGTTGGAAAGGATGCATTTGACATCGACAACCTGAAGAGAGGAATTGGGGGATTCCAAAAATCTCAAAAAATGAATCGCTCACGCAGACTGGATCGACGGACCTTGGATAGACTCCATCGTGCCACGGCCAAAGCAGCCAACGCCGAAGGATGGACCGACGCTATCAAATCTACTATGACGGAACTCAGCGGACAGGGCGGTGAAATGGTGATGGGTATGGTTCGTGGCCGAGAAAAGGGTAACATCGCCGATATTGAAACCCTCGACTTGGATGTTTTTGTCCAGTGCGTCTATGGATCGAGAGCTAAATGGCTCTGGCTGGGTAAACCCCGTAAGACGGGCAGTGGCCTCAACAATGGATTCACCAAGGGTCCTGGGTCGGACATGATGTTTACAACGGATGACCAAGGCGGCTACGTATGGACTAGCCGGAAAAAACACTCAACGGAGGACCTACATGCCGAGCGAGTTGCCTCGGGTCTGGACCGGCAATGGAAGACACCGGAATCATTGACTATTGAGGAGAAAGAGCACCGGAAGAAGGGCGTCAGCGGTCGAGTTTCCGATGCTCGAGCCGGTCTTGGTCGGTTCAAGGATGCAGTCGGTCTACCTGGACTGCGTTCTCATAACCACAAGCAACCTCGAGATGGCTCGGAACTGACACACGATATTGCGTACCGCCCATCCATCGACAGTGACACAGAGGCGCCTTTCCCCAGAGCCCGAGTGGGTTCCGATTTGTTATCTGAATCAAAGGGTGAGGAGTTGGCAACCCAGCTAGAGGAAAACGAAAATGCCCAGCCCACTGCGATAGGCGACGTGGGATCTGATGTCAACCCCCCAGAAATCCATATTGAATCTCCTCCGCCAGCAGAGGAGCCAGAAGCCCAGGAGGAAGATGAAGTACCAGATATGCAGCCCATTCGAGGAGCAGACGAGGAATCAGACACTGAGCGCACCAGAACTCGTTCTACTGCCGCCTCCAGTGAACGTGGACGCGACCGTGATGAATCTGCGTCTGGCTTGGCCATGATGGCCTTGCAGCGGCCCCAGAGCTGTGAAGAGCTCCGGAATATCCACAGAAACGCAAACCAGGATGATAATCGATGTCCCCGACACTTATCGTTCAGCAATGTCGAAGAAGTTGTGCTGAACTGGGAGTCGCTTGGCGGGCAGCTGAGGATCAAAGACACCGCCAACCTGGAAGAGGCCATTGCACAAGAGGATATGCTGGCCTCTGATGCTCGTATATTCAGCTCGAGAATCCTAGAACTGAGCGAACATACCGTTCCCTGGGTCGAGCGTCAGGTCAATTCAGTGGATGGGCTCAATCAGGTGTTATATGATCGACACGAAGAGCTCAATGCGGTCTATCTAGATCGCTTTGGCGATTACCAGCGTCTGCGCGAAAGATCCAGTGACCTGCTGACAGACGAGCACTCCCATCTTACTGATGGCGTGAAGCGTGTTGAACTTCTGGGCGCGAAACTGGATTACGAGCTCCATGTCCTCGAATCCAAAGTCGACGATGTGGAGGAAGGCGTGACCGACTTTGAGCGACACATTGCCAATGTCGAAACCCGAATTAAAGCCCTCCTGAAGGGCGAGGAGGAACACAGCAGCATTTCCTGGATGGCCTGGGTACGGCGCTCATTCGGATCCCCGGCGCAATGACCGGAAATGCCTTTTTACGCGGACACGCTTGTACGATATGTTTTTTCCTTTTTGGTACATTTCTCCAGTTTTCCTTTTATTCCTAATGTACATAGACCTTAAATCGGAGGTCTTTCACCAACGTGACGGAATATTTGTGTCCGTCGCAATGCAAAACTTTCCAAGCATTCGGAGCTCCAGAGCTCCATTAATCCAACCTGGAAATTTCCATCCAGCCCGTACTGAGCTCATCGAAACAAAGTCGTCACTAGCCAATTTCTATGGAACAATTGGCCGGTTCGGTTCATTTTCTGACGGGTTCGGCTCGCGTTGAATAGCACTTTACATGCCGAAGCCCATACCGCCCTTAGAGGCGTTGGCAGCAGCTTCGCCCTGCATCTTCTCGCTGACCTTGATGTTGACGTCGAAGAACTTGGAGACGCAGCGGTCGAGGCAGACGGACTCGCCCTTGTTGAGATCGCCCTCGCGGTAGTCGGTGGGAATGCACTTCTTAGTGCAGGATTCGGAGAGGCTGGCAGAATTAGCAATAGCACCAGATAATCAAATTACGATAGAGCATAGCAAAATGATCCAGATACAGCTGATGAAGGCTTACCGGGTGAACATGTCGGAAATCATCTCGACCTCGGTCTCGGCAGCAGCAAGCTTCTGCTCCGAGGACATCTTGGGCTGACCGCCAAAAAGGAAAGACATTGTGAATGTGGTATAGAGGTTGACACTTCGAGCTGCGGGTTCAAAGGCGGATGGATGGGGGAGATGGAGGTCGCACCCGAAGTCTCAAGTCGCGAGGTCAGCTTGGCTCCACCCGCGCTCTCCGCCCTGGCAAAAATACTTTTCCCGTTTTTCGTCCGTTCTCTCCTTCTCTTCCTTTCCTCTCCCACAATGTGACTGCATTGCATTTTCGCAATGCATTCAATTCGCCCTCGAGCTTTCTATCGAGGCTTGGAGGGCCTGAGGAAAAGGTAAGGCTAGCATTGGTTTTCTTTCATATTCCTTTATACTCTTTCTACGTGATGATATTCCTACCTGCTTCAGAACCGCTGCAGTTGATGCCTTCACGGGCAGATGAACGCACCGGAATCTACCAACTCTGATCTCTCTTTCATTGCATTGATTCTTGTCAATTGCATATCTGGACTCTTGCTAACAGGTCATCAGTACAGGATTGCTACCTCGAAATCAGTCCCCTCTGAGAGCGACCCGACTAATCCACCAATCCGCACGGAGGGGCACTGCGTCTCCTGAAAAGGCCTTTCAGGAGCGCGTACAGGAGGTTCGCAATGCCATTTCCGATCCCTATCCGCGCCTGGGAACGGATGCGCGCACGGTGAGCTGTGGCGAGTTCCGTACGCGTTATGCCTCACTGGCCATCAATGAATCAGTAGAAGAGTCGGTTGTGGTCTCCGGTAGGTGTGACCCTTCTCGCGTCTCTGCTAGAGCTGTATACTTAGACTAGTTTAGGTAGAATTCGTACCTATAGGCTTGCTGGAAGCAAATTGATCTTCTTCGATCTCGTCCAAGACGGCCACAAAATCCAAGTGATGTGCAACAAGCGTCAGCTTGATGGCATCTCGCCCGAGCAGTTTAAGAAGTTGTATCGCCTGCTGCGCCGCGGCGATGCATTTTGTATGTGTCTTTTTTTTTTGCTTTCGGATTCTTTCAGGTCTGACTCTGTCCAGCTGTGACCGGAAAACCCCATCGCACCGGCCGAGGCGAGCTCACCGTTGATGCCACCGAGCTACCTACGCTATTGGCTCCTTGCCTGCACGATGTCCCCGTCCACGACTCTTCGCACGAGACCTCGCCCTATCCTCGCCATGTACAGTTCCTGGCCGACCCAGCTACCGCACAGATCATTCGCGCGCGGTCTTCGTTGACGCAGTATCTGCGCCAGTTCTTCGTGGATCGCTCGTTCATGGAGGTGAATACGCCTATAATTGGGGCCCAGGCTGGTGGCGCTATTGCTCGTCCATTCTATACCGCGGCCACTGAATTCCCAGATCGGGAGCTGTCTCTGCGAATTGCCCCCGAGTTGTGGTTGAAGCGGCTGGTTGTGGGAGGGTTCGACAAGGTCTTTGAGATTGGACCGTCTTTCCGCAATGAAGGTAAGTCTCATATATAGAGAGGCACATATCGCGCGGCTAGTCGCTGACAGTATCTTGCAGGAATCGACAAGACCCATAACCCCGAGTTCACTACCTGCGAATTCTACCACGCGTATGCCAACCTGGAGGATCTCATGCGCATCACGGAGGATCTCCTCTCTGGCGTAGCCAAACACATCCACACCCTTAACCACGACGGCGCTCTCAGCCCAACTACTGCAGATTTTACCACTCCATTCCGCCGCATCGACTTCGTCACCGGCATCGAGGAACGCATTAATCGAAAACTCCCTGACCTTACCTCTCCCTCCGCTCTCGAAGATCTGCATGTCCTTTTCCGCGACCTCTCCCTCCCTCTCCCTGAGAAGGCCACACTCCCCCGTCTCCTCGATGAGCTTTGCGGCACCTATGTTGAACCGGACTGCATTAACCCAACCTTTATCATCAACCCACCCGAATGCCTTTCCCCACTCTCCAAATCCTTTAAGCACCCGACTACAAACCAGATTGTTGCCGCTCGCGGTGAGCTCTTCATTGAAGGCAAGGAATTGGTGAATACCTACGAAGAGGAGAACTCACCTTTTGAGCAACGCCGCAAGTTCGAGGACCAGCTGCGCTTTAGCAAAGCGGCTGGCGAACCGGGCGAGGTGGACGAGAATTACCTCGAAGCCCTTGAGTGGGGACTGCCCTCGACCGGCGGTTGGGGATGTGGCATCGATCGGCTGGTGATGCTTTTCACAGGCGCCAAACGGATTAGCGATGTGTTGCCCTTTGGAACTTTGCGTGCGGTCACTCGCCGTTCTGAGTAGACATGCCGTTAGTGATACCTCTTACCTAAGTAGTTGATACCCTTGTACAGTACCCTAGTCATTTAAGACACGACCAATAATAACCCGCCATCTCCGCCGCCTATCTGCTCTCTCGTTTCGTGTATATTCGGTGTATCTCCAGGATGGCCGGCGTTAGTACTGTAACCTCGCCCGTGGCTAGCCGTTTTATCGCGGGGCGTCGAAGCGGGGAAGAGAAAAAAACATTCGATCCTCTCCAGCACAACTCGCCAGCATCGTCTGCGTCCCAACAATAACATGGTCACCAATGTCCCCGTCGCCCAGGCGGTCACTGTCAGCCTTAAGGATCTGGAGAATGGTCAGAACTATACATTCTAGGCATGGGGCGCTCCCTCAAGAATCGTCGCTAACATACGCCAGGAACCGTCTCCTTCGACACCCTCACCAAGGCATTCGGCCCATCTTCTTTGGGCATAATCGTTGTCAAGGATCTTCCTGCGGAATTCGCCACACTACGCGCCCAAGTCCTCTCTAATGCATCATATCTCGCTGCCCTGCCAGCTTCAGAACTGGGTACTTTCTCCGCCAATCATACCATGTCGAGAAAAAGAAATAAATCTAAGATAACTAACAATTACTCATAGAGACCCTCGAAAGTCCACAGTCCAAGTACCTTGTCGGCTGGTCCTGCGGCAAAGAGACCCTCAAGTCAGGACAATACGACACCCACAAGGGCTCCTACTACATCAACTGCGCCTTCTACCAAAATCCAGAACTGAACAACGCCCCAGCAGACGGATTCCCAGATTTCCCGCAGTACACAGCGCCAAATATCTGGCCAGACAGCGAGAAACTCCCCGGGTTTCGCCCAGCTGTGCAGGAACTCTGTTCGTTGATCATTGATACCGCGGCCCTCGTGGCGAATGCGTGCGATCGCTTCGCGGAGGTGAATATCGATGGGTATAAGGCCGGTTACTTGCAGCGTGTTGTGCGGAGTAGTCTGACCACCAAGGCGAGATTGCTGCATTATTTCCCATCTGACTCGCCGAAGGATGAAGAAGAGGAAAATGATGATGATGACTGGTGCGCCACACATGTTGATCATGGTTGCCTGACGGGTCTTACGTCGGCTATGTTCCTTGATGAAGAAGCTACACCTCCTACACTCCCTGCAAATGCACCGGAGACAGCGACTCTGTCTGAGCTTCCTACCTCGCCTGATCCAGCGGCCGGTCTCTACATTCGCTCGCGGACGGGTCAAATTGTCAAGGTCAATATCCCCAAGGATTGTCTTGCTTTCCAAACTGGTGAGGCTTTGCAACTTATCACGAAGGGTAAATTCCGTGCAGTGCCTCATTTTGTAAAGGGAGCTCGGGCAGGGAGTGGGCGGGTTGCGAGGAATACGTTGGCGGTATTTACGCAGCCAAATCTTGGGGAGGAGGTTGATGAAGGTGTCACCTTCGCGGAGTTTGCAAGGCGTGTTGTGCAGAGAAACTATTAGGTCTGATTAAATTAGGTACACTTGTATGGTTCTAGTATTGGTCTGAATTTACTGGGGTCAAGATGTTTCTACTCATGTTTATTGCTCTCTTGCTGGCTCCTCGCTCTCTGATATCTAATCTCCTGCAATGTCTAGATAAAGAGCTTTGAGGGTCACTCACTACGCATACTACTGTCATTGTACAAAGAACGTCACATTATGGACGTGTTTGCTGAAAGTGCCATCCTGATTTTTAGGATTCATTTCACCCGCGCTTTGAAGGTTGGGTTCATAAAGTACAGGGCATCGTTGCTCGTCGCATTTGTTTTTGAAATTTTGTTGATTTTTGGATGGTATCATTCATTCATTCATTATGTGATGCATAGTGTGATCGAACACTTCCAAACAGGGTAGAGTTGCGACAGAGAAGGGTTGGCAATTACTCGTTTGAAGACGAAGACGCGTGGTCCCAGTCGTACTCATACTCCGAGTGCTCGTCTTCCTCATAGTCCAGACTCTCTTCTTCTTCTTTCTCACGGCCCGAGTCTTCCTCTTCTTTCACAGCCCCTTCCGAGTCCTTGTTCTCCTCACCCAGATCCATCTGGCTCCCTACTCCTGATGATCGCCTGAGCTGTTGCCATCTTTGGCTTTGCCAATTAAGCTCTTGTCTTCCTAAGACTGTGAGCCCTCGTCATCGGCCTGAGCCTCTTTGTCGGCAACCCATTCGTCTTCGTCCTCATGGTTCAATGTGTCTCCTTGTGTGAAGGGATTTGGTCTGGCCAATTCACCCTCAGAGAGATTTGTCTCACTGTTGAGCGCACTCTCACCGCTGGAGGAATTAATACCCAGGCCAGTGCTGACCAGTCGACCGCCTGCGAAGTTCTTGCGAGGATGGCCCCTCTTGCCCTGTTCTCTTCCGAGATCAGCCGTCTCAATGTCTTTCTTGGTGTGAATCCCTTCACTGATCTTCAAGATAGACAGCCATCGATCAGGTTCCTGGTTTACTTCGGCGGCCGGTCCGACTTCGATACCATTTACCTCTGCCAGGCCCAGTGTCTCCACGCGATTGTCACCGAAGAACCAGAGATTTTGAACTGGAATGCGATTGTCCGTTTCAACTGAGTATTGGCGTGCTTTAAGTACGCTCTGGAGGTCGTATCCGAGGCCAAATGATCCGTAATGAAGCTTGGTGGGCACGGGCTCGTAGCAGCGGCCGAGAACGGAACCCGGGGTGATCCGGCAGGGACTATTTCCATTCATACGGTACCACTGTCCGTACTCAGACATGCCCACTTGGTTGAAAGCACAATCGGTTTCGTGGTCGTCCAGTTCCTCAAGAGGCTTGTTGCCGAATGCGCATGGGCGGTTCAAACGATTTTTGTCCAAAGTGTAGACTTTGCCTTCGATCCAGGCTGTAACTTTCTTCGCATACTCATTCGCGTTCTCGTCATCCACACAGCCAGTCCACTCCAGCCAAATATCCGAGATGGTCATGACGTCGGTGACCTTACGGTCCACTTCTTTGGTACTATCTTTATAGTCCGCCAGCGTGAGCTTGAAGGGTTTCAGTCTAATTGTATCCCTCACAGCAAGAAGTTCGTGACCGACCCAGATTCCCATACAATGAATGCGAGCGGTGGGCCAGGTGCCTCTGAACCAAGTGAAGTGCAACATGCTGAAGGAGGATGTGGACGTGAGAGCGAATTCGATCGTGGGGTGCCACTTCTCGCGAGGGATTCGGTGCATAAAGAGCTCCCAAGAGTTCATTGGCTTCATGCAATTGAGAGGAACGTAAGCGTTTCGTATCGAAAAGCTCTTGTCGTCGTCAACCGGGTCAGGAAGACATTCAACGCGGAACCCCGTGTTGGTGATAGTGGCCAAAGCATTCTCGTTAGCGGAATCGTGGATGTCGAGCGCATATGTTTTCTTGACGCCAGGAGCTGGGGTTTGAGTGACGATACCAGCGCGCCATTCAGGTGTACCCTTCCATTCTCCATCGTAGCCGAAAACCTGAAAGGTTTGGGTGTCCTTGTGAAACTGCAAGGTGCCGTTCATTTCGTTGACAAAGAGCACGGTTTCACCTTTCCGAGGAATGAAGGAGTGGTCGATGCTCAGCTGGGCGAAATAGGTATCCAGCAAATCCTTGCCGAAAACCCAGTCCTTGTTCAGGGGTTGCCAGACCTTGATGTCGACGGGGTTCGGAGACGCTTGTTTCATCTTCTTGATCCAAGCTCGCCAGTAGTCAGGACCATTGATGCCCATGGGCTTCAAGATGTAGGAACTGTGCTTGTTCTTGCGCAAGCTCTTTGCCCTGCCAGCCTCCGTGTCCGTCTTGATGCGACCGGTTTTAAATTCAGCCCTTCCAGTCTCTGTTCTGGCGGCCTCTGCTCTAGCGGCCTCCATTTCGGCCTTAGTTCGGCCTTTCGATGGCATTAGAACTTTGCTTGACAGCAGTGTGAAGACGGAAGGGCTAGGGGTGGTGGGGGTGGGAAGAATTGCGTGTGTGGCAGGAGTGAAGAATAGTGGAAGTACTCACGGCTACGTGGCGCCGATTCTTTGTTGTGTGGTCCTGATTCTCTGTTACATAGCTTGCACGTACAAGTCTCAGTTCGCTCAGACATCAGCCACCGAAAATGAGGGAAGAAGGTGGGTCGAGATTGAAAGTATCTCCCGCTTGGATGGCCGAAAAGGAAAACATCACGCTGTCGATATGTCAGATAGAAGGCAACAAACGGGTTGATATAAACTTACTATTTTGGGATCTTTTCCTCTGGGTCGGTCAAACAAACAATACCCCTCGGGGAGCTTCTCAAGTGTGTATTCAACGCCTAAACGCCGGGCAGACTAGTTAGCGGTATCCTGGGAGAGTACCCCGAAAGCTGCCTCAGCCCCGAGTCCCATACAGAAAGTGACTCTAGATAGCCACAGCCGTAGTCAACGCTTCACATGGCTTAGCTTACCTTTTTTCGTAGGCGCCTGTCTCTTCGACCCAGGCCAAGGCAAGTGCTGCCCGCCATCTGCTGTCATCAATGGGGCGGTAGTTCCATCTTGGGTCTTTGAGAGGCCAGGTCGACTTTGAACCATCGCTGAGGCTGTCTTCCAGCGGGATGACAACCTGGTTAGGGTCCTCCAGAAGCTCGCTTTCCGACATTTTGATATAGAAGCCGAAACCACTCAGTGAGAGGCGTCGCGGGGCCTCGGAGCCCCGGATGCGTAAGTTTGTGCTCAGGATATGGAGTTTTTATTCGATTGGAAATCAGATTCAGTTGGCGGTATGAGACAAAGATGAAAAGGAGAGTGTGAGAGTGTAATGAAAATGGGATGAAGCTAAAGCGCGTCGCATGCCCAAGTAGAGCTGCTGATAAGCTGCTTATCGATTCTGCCGGTTTTAAGTGCGCGTGGGAGGCGGTCAACCCCCTTATCCCCCTCCCTTCTTCTCGAGCGATTTCAACCTTGCCTAGGTTGGCTTATATAATTCCAAGTACAATAGTTAGCTGTAATTGTGCTGGGCACAGCATGGAATCTACTATGATCGAGATGCTACACTTGTAAGTATGCTCACTACGGGATAGTATGCAGAGTTACATCCTATTTACATAGTAGATACTATTCAATAGTTACTTCATGGTAATTAACAAAAAGCAGATGGTATACAGAATGCGCTCCAAATATTCAAAATCATAGAACAATTCCTGTATGTAGGTATGAATATCGCATTCACTTTGCGGTGCCTTCGGTGGATTTCTCCAGGGTTGGATCCGGAGCTGGTACTTCCTGGTACGGCGGCGGCGCAATTTCACCATCGGTGGACCAAACCTTGGACAATTCCTGCTCTATCTCCTCTCGGCGGAGCTTCCATTCATCCACTTTGTCTAGGCGTTTGCGCAGCTCTTGAATCTCCTTCTCGACACCAAGCTTCTCCTTCTCTGTGCCAATTCTCTCAAACTCCCAGCGTTCGCCTTCGTCACCAAGGCCGAGGATCATGTTGTAAGTGTGGTATTTCTTCAGGGAAGCACGGGTTGAAATTGTGATCAATGTAATTCCTCGCTCCTTGGCCCGTTCATAGAGCAAGCCTTCCACGTCGGAAGACACGGCTGATGTTCCTTCATCGATGAATGCGTATCGGGGTTGGTGATAGAACAAACGTGCCATGGCCACACGCTGCTTCTCGCCGCCACTGAGAACATCTTTCCATTCTTTGCGGGTATCCCAGCCGCCTTCACGCTGGGGCAGATAACCCAGATGGGCATCGTCGAGGATTTTCTGCAGCGAGGAGTCCGATTCACCGGCTTCACGCATATCGATTTCTGTATGGGGGTAGATGACTTGATCGCGAAGAGTACCCACACTCAAGTATGGCCGCTGGGGGAGGAACATGATGCCGTCCAGTCCGAATTCGCGAGGCCGGCTGACGAGTCCACGATAGACAGGCCACAATCCGGCAACGATACGAGGGATAGCAGACTTGCCCACACCGTTGGGTCCGGAGATGAGAAGATGGTCGCCGGAGTGAACAATGAACGATAGCGAATCGATCAGCTCGTCTCCACCCATGGGGTAAAGAGATGGCGCTACAATGGGGACCTGCTCCAGACGGACCCCGTCGAAGCCGTTATGCGTGGTACCTTGGGCATCAGCAAGCGAATAAAGCTCCGGATGCGAGCCACGGGGTGGGTAGTAGGCGTTGGCGTGCACGCGGTGCAGCGTGGAGATAAGGTTGTAGACCCGAGAAGTGTACCCTGCAAGCTCGGAAATATCCTTGATGCTGTACATCATGCGACCGCCTGCATCAGCCAGCGAGAGCATGAGCCGTTTGTTGGTGATGAACTCCTTCATGCGACCACGTTCACGGCCAGACTTCTCTCCTTCGGGCACATCGGCCAGCTCCATCGCACCGCCTGTACCACCCCATGCAGGAAGGAACACCGGCAAAGATGTGATCAAATAACCAAAGGCCGACCAGGAGTACTTCAGGATCATATCCTCGAGCATATTGTAACGAATCTTGAGACTGTAGATGCCTTCCATCCACCGTTGCAGGTCCTTGAAACTGCGGATCAGGAACACTCGTTCGATATCGGCACCGCCATAGAACGAGATTTCCTCTGCATTGGCCAGGAGACGCGAATGGAGACCACGGAAGTCTCCCTCCTTCTTTCCTTCGACGGCCTTCAGCTTTCCGAACGGCGGGGACAGTTTCCGAAGCACAACGGCCGTGCTGAAATAGCCAGTGAGGATCCCACTAAGGGCCAGAGGACCAAGAGAGCGGTAGAGTTGGTAGTTGAAGACAAAGAGATCCACCAAGGGTTTGCCCATTGACGAATACAGCGCAGCTGCAGCGGAGCAGAATAGGGTCAGGTCTTGCGTGATGAATTGATCGGGGCCTTGGCCGATTCCACCATCCATGTTCATCAGTTTGTAATAGTTGTTGTTGTCTGTCAGATAAAGGTCGTGGATATATCTCGTCAAGCGGGTCCGGAAGGCAATGGAAACCTTGGACTGGAGGAACTTGATCATCGCGTTGGTGTACGAGGCCAGGGTTCCAATACCACACCACTTGACGATCCCCCACGCGAATGCTTTTCCTTTCCCAGCGACTAGATCCCGGACAATTTCACCGTCGAGTCGTGCGATTAACAGTGAGAGGTATGTTCGTAAAAGCAGGAAGACTCCATGGCTCATGAGCAAACCTGTCTCCTTGCTGCCCCATCGCGGAACCATGATACTTCCGAGACTGAGAAACTGGTGCAGGAAGGCCAGATTGAGGCCTGGCTTGGTCGTCGGCGGGGGATCTGACTTGCCGAGGCATCCTCGCTGCTCCGCGCAGATGCCGGTGGGTTGAGGAAGAGTCGTCGGTGGGCATCGAAGGTGGTTGGCTTGGTTGGATGGATCAGGACCTTGGATGTCCGGGAGTCCTTATATGGCACATAGATGGTCCGCGATCCATCTTTACCGCGAATGCCCGAGTTACGACGCAGGAGCCGGTGACCTTGAGCTCGTTCCTTGGACCGCTCACGGAACCAGTTGTATCCTCCATATGCCGAGCCGATAATGGATAGCAGTAGCGTGATCGTTGCAACGATTTGGGTGGTCTTGGACGAGCGACGAATCCGAGATCGGATGAGGTCTGAGAAGTGTAAGTAGAGGGCAAGGAGAGGGTCCTCCGGGCGACGAAGGGTGGACTGGGCGGCCATGATCGCCCAGGTCCGTCTCGCGAGATGCCCAAGCGGCGGCAATTAACGTGGATATAGGGCCATGAGCCAGAGACCAGCTCTTTGACCGTAAAGAAGAGAGACTCGGAGATGGAGAGGGAATAAGTCGCAGGAGTCGACGCCTGCAAGGGCGTTGCATCATTGCATGTGAACCTCGGGATGCGGAGGCGGCACGTGCCCGGGGAAACTCCAGGTCACACTGGCAGTCTGCCCCAGCATTACGCCGGGTCAGACAGAATATGGGGTAGAGGTACCGGTACATTTATGTACTCGAGTAGTACCTCCGGTGAGATGCATCTCTGCTGGCGACCACCGTACCTGGGAGGTAGCGGGAAATCTATATATATATACAGAGTGGTGCAGCGGATGTGCTACGGGCCGAGAGATCCCATGCCCGCTCTCCCCAGCATCTCCAGTACGTCCAGTACGTACCAAGGTACCTAAGCTATACAATGTATCTGCCACCCACGCTGCCCTAGGACACTCTCAGTCATGTAGGAATATCCCAGCGGCACGCATCCAGCTCTCCTAGGGTAGTCCTACGAGAACCGCCGCGATTACTCCCATGTTTTCCCGCCAATCCCAGCCGCACCGGGGCCATAGCTCCCCGGTGGGTTCTGGGTGAAAAGGGGGCAGCTGGTTGCCCTCCACCCATTCACAGCGTACACCCAAGCAAGTGGAGATGCCCTCGATCTCCATCACCGTGCCACCGTGCTATTCTGCAGCCCTTTTTGGTTCCAGGCCTTGCGCTAGCCCCTCGACCCATCCGCATCGTATCTTGTAAATGGGACAACCACCTCCATGCGTAAATACTAGTAACACGACGACATACACTGTAGTAAGTCGGGAATATGGATGTTGATGCTCCTGCTGACGCCAACGCCGGTGCCTGATTGGCGTGCAGGGGTGATTCGACCGTAGGCGCCGGGGCGTGCGACGGGATGCAGTTGGCACACGGGGGGTCCAGCACTAGCGGGAGGAGCTAGACTGCGACTGCACGACTAAAGAGTAGGACAAGAGCAGGTTCCTCTCTTTTACACCTTCCACCCCCACGTGACATCCTCTCCTCTTCCCCCTTCTCCCCTCTCCCCATCCGCCTCTGTGCTTGCTGTGTCTTCTCGTCTTGGCACGTTGTGAACCTCCGGGGGCCAAAAGGCGGTACGTGCGATTCTCCGCCCTGCTGATCCAGGAGTGTGTTGACATCTCCATCAGCCGCGCTCGCTGTTCTTTCAGATCGCCCTCTGTGACCACCGGCCTCGCCCCGATTCCGACTTGCGTCTCTCTCTCTCGACTCCGGCATTCAGTTCGGCTGCAGCAACCCTCAATGCCCGGAGCGAGCGAGGGGAGTGATCCCTCACCCTCTGCTCCCGAGTCTGCGGGCAAAGCACCCATGACCACCACCGACACTCCCGAGGCCTCTGGTAAGTCCCAAGTTCCTCCATCAATCGCATGCCGCTTTGCGATGCGCGATCCTGCAACCCGATTCCCGTCGCAGGACCAAAACCCCCTGACCACTGCTAGGCCCCAACTCTCCCCCCAACCCGATCGCCACCAGCTCCGGCAAGCCTGACCAGCAGTCCAAGCCGAGCGCGTCTACGCAACCTGTTTCGTCGGTCGCGCCCACCGCGAATCCCTCAGACACCGTGGAACCGGTCGAGATGCCCAAGAAGCATCATCTACTGATCCCAATGCCGTCGCGACGATCATCCAAAGCCGAGAAACAATCGACTTCGGAAAAGACCGATGAGGTGACTGTGAATGACCCGTCCCGCCGTAGCTCCAAAGTGAGCATCTTGAAAGGCAAGAGGGATCGCAGTCGCGCGAGCAGTCGGCGGTCGCGACGGACACAGGAAGCGGTCACCGCTGAAAAGAGCAACGAGGCGACAACTCCCACCACCCCCGAGATGAACGACCCTTCAAAGCCCACACAGAAGAAGACTTCTCGATTCCTCGCCTTTCTGTGCTGCTCGTCTCCGGACGCTGATGGCGATGACTCGGCGTTACCGCCGAAGAAGTCGACCAAGTTGCCACCAACTTCAAACCGATTGCCCACTCCAGACAAAACCGAAGCGCACACCGGTGATTCAAGTACAGCGGAGTCAAGAGATCCCGCGTATTTCGCAGACGAAAAAGCTCAGCCAATTGTGAGCTCGGAGAACTCCCAGCCGAAGGCCGAAGAGCATGCGAGCCATGCCCCTGAAGACGCTCAGACCGAAGGAGCTTCGGCGGCTGCTGGGAAATCTGAAGCGAATCCCGCGAACGCAAAGGAGGAGGAAACTACCTCAACGACAGAGAACGGGGTCGTATCGGAGCCGAAGACTCACGGTGCCGAGCCTCCAATTCAGGATAAGCAGACCGTAGGGGACGAAGCACCCCCGGCCGTGGCAGATGACGCTTCGGCCAAGCAACCTCTGTCCAGTGATGCAGACGATTCTGTACATGAGGAAGAAGTGCCACCTACAACGGTGTTACCTCCACCTCCTCCTCTGCCGGTCCCTGAGGCACCCAGTGCCCCGGATGCAGACGATCAGCGATGGTTGCTCCCGCCACCGCTGCCGCATCTCCAGAATCGAAAGTGTTTGGTTCTGGACCTTGATGAGACGCTAGTTCATAGCAGCTTCAAGGTAAGAAATCCCAACCATCATGAGAGACAAGTTGGTTGTGTGCAAGGAAACTTACCATTGATCCAGGTTTTGGAACGAGCGGACTTTACAATTCCCGTTGAGATCGAGGGTCAGTACCACAATATCTATGTGATTAAGCGTCCTGGGGTCGATCAGTTCATGAAGCGAGTCGGCGAACTTTACGAAGTGGTAGTTTTTACCGCTTCAGTCTCCAAGGTATGTCGATCGCGGTGGTTGCGCCCCCCCCCCCCAAGATGAGAGTCGTGCTAATTCCTTTCAAGTATGGTGATCCCTTGCTGGATCAACTGGACATCCACAATGTTGTCCACCACCGTTTGTTCCGTGAGAGCTGTTACAATCACCAGGGGAATTATGTCAAGGTATGCTCCTTCAATCTCCTTGAAATGGTCATGGCCATTGCTAACTCTGAAAAGGACCTTTCCCAGGTCGGTCGTGACCTTCGGGAGACGATCATCATCGACAATTCCCCCACGTCCTACATTTTCCACCCACAACATGCGATCCCGATCAGCAGCTGGTTCTCTGACGCTCATGACAATGAGTTACTCGACCTAATCCCCGTTCTTGAGGATCTTGCCGGCCAACAAGTCCAAGATGTCAGCATGGTCCTGGACATTACTCTGTGAAACTTGATGTCCGAATCTTCTTTACGCCAGAGATTCCCCCCCAATTGAGCGTGTCATTTTCTTTTGTTTTCGATGCGAGAAAAGCCTCTGTTCTCTTTTTGCAAACTTGCCAACATAGTGTACCCTATGAACGACGGGTCTTCGCCCCGTACTTTTGTTTCCACTACACCTCTTCGTGAAGCTTGACCATTGACCCAGATAAGGAACTGGTTCTCCGCCGGGTCATGGCCCATCTGACGCATCTGTTGTGCTCCTATCTATTTTCTATCTTTTTGTTGCCATAGCCCGCATTAACCCTGCCATCCTCTGTTTCTCAACATTTTTTCTGTGCCCATGATCTTTTTCATTTGACCATGCTCCCCGAGCGAGCTCTCCCCCTTTCCTATTCCCGTCGATTCCCTGTCCCATGTCGTATTTTCTTTTTTATCACAATCCCCCGCATGCTCCAATGCATTCCGCAGGCGTCTATTGATTATTATGCCCCTTGTATCTTCCCTCCACCAGTTTTCGTTCTATTGCGTCTTGCTACCCAGTCAGCTACTCTGCCAGTCAGTGGGGGTCTAGCTTGTCTACCGAACAATCCAAGTTCCTCATTGGGCTGGTTTTTCAGTGGTAATTTTCTACGACCGTGTCATCTAACAGTTTCCCATTATAATGCTGCGGTACAGAAGGGCCTATAGACTAAGACTAGTATGGTGCTGAAGTGACATCCACAATATACACGACTGCTATGGTACTTTATGCTATGAACCGTGCTCGAGAATATTTCTCGTCGGGAATAATCATCAGCTTCACTAATTGCGTGCTGTTCCGGTTCCTGTCCCTGTCCCTGTAGTCGTTGCCGTAGTGGTACTAGTAGTGGTAGGCCCTTTTTGTGTCCATGGTTGAGTCGTCGCCGCATTGAGCACCACCGCCTTACATGGGGTGATGTCGACCTCACCACCTTCCGGTTTTTGTTTCTTGAAACACACCCCTCCATACCGGCTCAGGCCAACTCGTTTCCTGTTTTCTAACCCCCCCGCCTTCTCCGAACAAAACTCTCCAGCAATTTCTCTTACTCCGCGGAACCTCGGCGCCCGTCCAAAGCTCCCCGCATCGCACATCCCACCGCCCGCCACCTCCAGCCATCCCACTTCCCTTCGACCTTGCCAACCATGAAGAACAAGGAAGGCTGGGACGGCAAAATGCGCGTCGAGCCGAAAGCTATCATCACAAACCCGGAGGCCCTGGAGGACTCGGATTACTCCGACCCGGAAGCGCCTCCCGTAGAGGAGATCGACGCGGACGAGGGTAGGAATTCACCTGCGAGACTCGCAAAGGAGCTCACTCGCTGAACTGAAAATTGGGACTGATGAGCTGGCAGATCTACTGGCGGATGAAGACGTGAACACCGAGGTTTGTTGCTATTCCTGTCTCGAACCGTGAGCGTTGTTGCTGATTGCTGCGGGTTTTAGGATATCGATCTCGTGCATTGTCGCATATCGTCGCTTTCGGCCTTGCATCTGGAACGATTCGAGAAGCTTCAGGTACGACACCCTACAAATGTGGCCTGTGTTTCAGCAGCGATAGAGTCATTTGCGGCCTGGATGCGATTTTCTCTCTCTGTTTTCTTTTGTCCAGAAAATCCCGCTGCGGAGATACGGAGTCACCGACCGGTCCATTAATGAACCTTCTGACTGGGACACAGAGACTATGCCTTCGCCAGAACCAAATACAACGCATCAATTTCCCTTCGAACATTACCCCGACCATGAAGGAACTCGACCTCTATGACAACCTTATCTCGCACATCAAGGGCCTGGATGAGTTTCGCGACCTGACTAGCTTGGACCTGAGCTTCAATAAGATCAAGCATATCAAGAACGTTTCGCATCTTGTTCACTTGACCGAATTGTTCTTCGTGCAGAACAAGATCTCGACAATTGAAGGGCTAGAAGGGCTGAATAAGTTGCGGAATTTGGAGCTAGGAGCGAATCGGATCAGGGTATGTGTTCTGTGACTTCCTGCAGCTTGGCGCATTAGCTATACAGCTTCGGGGCTATTATAGAATACTGACCTGTCCAGGAAATCGAGAATCTCGAGACCCTCTCTGCTTTGGAAGAGCTCTGGCTCGGAAAGAACAAGATCGTTGAGATGAAGGTGAGTATTTCTACCCAAAAGACCAACACAAGAGAAGAATCCAGAAGTTGATGACTGTGCAGAACCTTGATGCCCTCCAAAACCTCAAAATCATCTCCATCCAATCCAACCGCCTCACAAACATTACCGGTGTCTCCAACCTCCCCAACCTCGAAGAACTCTACCTCTCCCACAACGCCATCACAGACCTAACCGGGCTTGAAAAGAACGTATCCCTGCGAGTACTCGACTTCTCCAACAACAAGATTTCCCACCTAGATCACCTCTCCTCACTTAAGAACCTGGAAGAGCTCTGGGCCTCGAACAACCAGCTTGCTAGCTTCGAGGAAGTCGAGCGTGAGCTGAAGGATAAGGAGAAGTTGCAAACGGTTTACTTTGAGGGTAACCCCCTGCAATTGAACGGGCCAGCTGTCTATCGAAATAAGGTGAAGCTGGCGCTACCACAGATTGTGCAGATCGACGCAAGTATGTGTTTCCATATCCTTATCCGAGCTTGGCCTTTCAGAGTCATTCAAGAGTATTAATGCTCTCTTCTCTAGCCTACCTGCGGGTTTGATACGACCTCTTTATTTCTTATTTGACGAGTCCTGGTTGGAATGATAGCCTTGATGTTTCTTTGTATGACCATGATCAGATTTTACCAGGTGACCAGTCTCGATGAGAAACGAACGAGTTTGTGCTTGCTATGATTTCCTTGTAGCTGGTATTAGGAGCTCTAGACGGGGAAAAGAGAGTAAACATGTGAAGAGGATGAGAGTAGATCCTTCATATACCCAATTTACCTGTAGTTCCACGCGCCTTTGGAAGCTTCTGTAGTATGTACATGTCTTTATATACAAAGTTGAGAATTTATGACTGGCGGACGACCTGGCATCAGAGTGTCCATGATTTCACATCTTCGCCTGTTTCTCAAGTAACTGTGCGCAGTAGTGGAACTTCTTCAACGATGACCAGTGTACTGTCCATTCCTGCGCCAGGACGACCGCGGCGGGATACACACCCGATCAAATCGGGGACCGGAAAAGTTGAAGCTGTTTCAGAGCAGACAATCGGTCCAGCCGTTTTCAATTGCCTCCCACCCCAGTAAATTCAGCCAAGGCGACAGGTATTGTCTGAGATGGATAGTGTTCTCGCAAACGAATCCCATTGTCTTGCCGAGGACAGATGTATAAGATAAGTCCTCAGTCTTCCACATCCTCAGTGCGACTCTTCCCAGCCTGCCGTGTGGCTACATTTTTCAAGCCAGTCCGCCTAGAATGCTGCATCACTGGTCTCGGGTTCTGTACCAGCCTGCTCTGCTGAGCGCCATTCTTGAAAAGCTCCATTAGACTGATGTGCATTTCGTTTGGGTTCTTCCGTCTCATATCGTGCGGCGTGAGCTGGGGTGTCTCCTCGTATGGGCGATGAAGAGTGTTGGTGAGCTGGGGCAGTGGGATGCCATTTTCTTGACTGATCAAGTCTTTGAGAATGGGACTGTCCACATCGCGGGTATTGTAGACGTTGTGTGGAGGAGCCCAGAAGCCGTGGAAGGGTCTGGGTTCGGACGTGATGGTGCAGGTGATCTGTCGCCTGATGCGGTCGGGACCGAAGACCGATTCGCGTCGGGCGATGTAAGGTGATGTTATTTTCCAGCTTGTGGGCGATTCGGAGGTTGTGGTGGTGTCCGCGTCTTTCGCTTCGGGGAGGTCGATGTTCACGGTCAATGGTGATGCGGCAATCGCGCGGTCGGCGGCTGCTTGGTCGTCGAATATGGCTATGACGTCGCGATTGAAGCCGTTCGCTTCTTTGAAGAAGTAGTCGTACTGATGGAGTTTAGATTAAGATCTGGGTCGAGGTTCTGGGGAGGACTTGGATGTACCTTGAGGTTCTTGAATGTCTTGACTTCGCCGAACTTTCTGAGCGCGGCGAGGATCGGTCGAGTTTCCAGAATGCGTTTAGGTCTGGGTTTCAGCTTTATGCGCACTGAGCCGCCGATGGGCCCAATCGCGCGAGGCGTGGCGCCGTAGGGTATCATGACTGGGGAGACGTTGACAATCGGCGGAAGTTGAGCTTGCACGGCGATTCGGAGATGCGGAGAGCAAAATGTCGATCTGCTCTTGGCACGCGGCGAACTATACAACGGCCACTCCGGCACCGGTCGGGGAGGTGCAGATGGTCATGCTTATAGTCAATATTGTGGACATTGAGCACGAGTAATGAGTCTGACCTGATTTATTTTTTACGATCTGAGACTGAACGTCAAATAGTCTATTCATATGTTGCTGCTCGTCTCTCGCACCATGTATTTGTCATGTCGCTGGTGTCTTTGAGATTCTATAGCCTGTCCTTTTCTTGAAATGAGCCCGGATAAAGCCCATATATAGAGCGACGCTTTGATTGATATTCGAGTACTAAGATCCCAGAAGTACTATAACTAATATGTTCTGCTACAGTTTTGACCGGTGATTTGCGCGACAAGTCCCGAGGCCTGAAGGACCATCGTAGATCTGTTGCTCTACTAGCCGAGTGTTGATCTAGAGACTAATGTCAGTCAGAGATTCAGATCAAGAAAGCTCCAACAAGAATCGTCACTCACATGTTGCATTCCAAGTTGATCTGGCCTCTGCACTCCCAGCAACCGCATGCAAGTCTTTGTCTCATCCACCAGTACTGAACATTGGTCAGTTGACTTCAAAAACGTCCTTCTTATCCGAGGGACTTACTCTGCAATGTCCTCTTAACGCCATCAGCACCTCCGGCAGCTAAACCCCAAAGCGGCGGCCGTCCAATGCCGACACCTTTAGCACCCAAGCAAAGTGCCTTGACAACATCGGTCCCTCTCCTCACCCCGCCATCCACCCAAACCTCGATCCGATCAAAAACCTCGGGGCAGTACTTCCGTATCTCAAGGAGAGTGTGTACAGCTGGAGGAGATGTATCCAGTGATCTACCCCCGTGATTGGAGAGGATGATACCCTTCACCTGGAGCCGATGTAAGGAGGCAATGTAGGCATCCTCATGCGTCTGCACACCCTTAAGGACAATAGGGAGCGAAGTATGTCTGGCTAGCCAGGCGAGGGTCTCCGTCCAGGTCAGAGTTGGATCCATGCCTGCAAAGGCCTGCTTATCGCGCTGTTTCCAGCTTTCTGGGGATGCTTGTTCGGTCAGTTCGTCAATGACGTTGCCGAAGCGCTGGTCGTCTTCTCGTTTCCCCATTACCGGGGTATCAAGCGTTAGGACGAGGAACTTTATCGCACTCAAGTTGTTGATTCGGGCGATCATCGCCTCGCTTCTGCTTCGGTTGTCTTGCACATAGAGCTGCCACCCGAAGCTTTGGTTCGGCGACGCGTTGGCGACAATTTGTTCGGGTGTCATCGATGCACTGTTTGAAATGATCTGTATTGTGCCCATGCTCTGGCATGCTTCTGAAATACCCGCTTCTCCGGAAGGATGACCCAGACGGGCCTGAGCGGCTGGTGACACGTAAATGGGCATGGATGTTGGGTTTCCAAGCAACGAGGTGTTGAGATTGCACTCGGTACAGTCGATGAAAACTCTCGGCCGAAGCAGAATGGAGCGAAAGACTTCGGTATTGAAGCGCTTGGTGATCAAATCATCGGCGGCCGAGTAGTAATACGCCCATGCTTTTTTGCTGATCTTCTTCGTGGCCACTTCTTCGAACTCGTCCATATTCAACAGGGTATGCACTGGCACGTCTTCGATCTTTTCAGAGTTCGTGGCCTGTGGTTCTGATTTGGGCATTGTCGCAGGATCAACGCTGCCGAGAAGGGCTTCGGGCTTGAGATTGCTTTCGAGGGTACCCTCTGGATGCACCGGATCGTATTCCTCAGTTGCATCCTTGCCAGCAAGTTTGAGGATCACCTTTGCGCCTCCTGGGTGCTGCGAGACGAAGTCGGTTACCTATGCCTCGAGTCAGTATCTTTCAAGCTAGGCGCTCATTCTGAGGTGACTCACATCGTATACCTTTCCGTAGAGGATCACCCAGCAGCTCTCGCTGGTGTTGTGATTGGCAACTGCTATGGTGTTAGTCTAAAAAGCACGTCTTGTTCTGTCAAAACCAGGATATATCGTACCTTCGGCAGCATCCAAGACCCTCCCCATCTTGACGTTGGAATTGAAACGAGGCGTGGCTGGAATGGATGCAACCGAGCTCTATTTAAATGCCGGGCCTGCGGGTTTGGCCGACCTGCCGGTGCCAAAGGTGGATTGATTGGGGGAACAGTCATGAGTGGGGGTCTCGCAGGCAACGGGGCGTGGACCCGATAAGCGGCGACGTTTTAAAGACGGACATGCGGGGTATCGCCCGTGGGTTGGATGTGATTTGTCGGGCTAATGACCATACGCGAGAAGGTATGATAGATCGATGAAATAGGAAAACACTTAGCCTCAGTATACAATAAATTGATTCAAGAGATATGAAAGAATGGAAATCCTGACACCACAACCCCAGAAACACCCAGCCCGTTCCGACATCAAAGAAAAAGAGAAAAAGAGAAGTCACAGGTATAAGAGTACATGGCTTCAAAAATAGGATTATCATTACCAAATAATTTTGTTTTCTTGCGTATCATTAAACCGCATCCACCGGATTCTCGGCATAGCCGCTATTCGCATGCTCAGGGCCCGCCCCGTGCATGCTAGGATCATTCGACATGCGCCCGACAAGCTTATCCATCAGATCGTCGGGCGCCATCAATCCATCAAAGTGATGCGATTGATGCGGCTGCTGCGACTCGCGCGAGGCGGGCACCTGGTGCTCTGTCTGGAAGGGCATGTGGTGATACCCGCCGCCGCTCACATCGCCGGGAATAGAGGTAGAATGCGTTCCCCACGAGGCGTGGCCCTGGCTCAGGTCATCGAGGGTCTGTGTGCCGGGGCCAAAGAACCCGTCGAGCACGTTATTGCTGTCGTGGATGTTCACGCCATGTTGTTGAGGTGGCACATACTGGCTCGTATCAGGACCCATGTTGTATCCCATGCTGGGGTGGGTGAGAGGAAGGCCGTGCATGTTGAGCATCATGGGTCCGCCGCTGGTAACGCTCATACTGGTCGGTTGGGAGGTCTCGGGAGCGAGACTAGTGGAGAAAGAGTCGAGCACCGAGGTCACGGCAGTTTTATCACCAAGACTGTCTTCTGGTTTGGTGATGGCCGACATAAAGTCCAGGTGACCAGAGGAGTTAAAGATATTAGCCACATTATCGTGGGATTGAGGGTACATTGGCCATTGATGCTGGGAGTGTCCCTGGTGGTGAGAGAAGTCTTGAGGCTGAGGCGTCTGATAGACGCTCTGGGTGGGTTTGTTGAGGAGAATGGAGTCCAGGGACAGAGGAGGAAGGTCCACACCACCAGAGTTGGGCCGCGGGCTGTTCGTCTGAGTGCGGTCTGGAGGCGGAATCAAGCGGCGCCAAGTGGTTGTGCCAACTTCACCGGGCCGGGTCTGGCGGAATTTCCAAACCAGAATTGCCATGCGCTCGCTTTCTTCGACCTGGTGAGATTGAAACTGGTTCGACAGCCGCCGGGAACTGGGAGGGATCGCGCGGAGCTCCTGTACTGCAGACAGAGAGCGGAAGTAACGGCGAGTGCGTTCGTCTGTAGCATGGATCGACTCGGGCTGGCCCGAATCCTCCGCAATGCGCTTATCCTGGGTCAACTCAGTGAAGAGCCGAGCCCACCAGGATGATTCGAAAAGTGGTTTGACCTTGGTCGATTGAGGCTTGGGAAGGTCGTTGTAGGTTTCCCACAGCTCCCGCCCCTCTTCATAGAGACGAGTGCTGCACGTCCAGTTCTCCATTTGGTTAACCATTAGCACATCTCCAGCCGTGGGGTGGCCGAAGTCAAGATCCAATTGAATGCCGAGTCGAGAACCCGAGGGAGGGAAATCGGTCATAAGTTCGAGGTTGACTTCCAAAAGAATGATATCACAGTCCAGAGGGCCATTCATGTCATCGAGAGTAGAAGCCAGATGAGGGAAAGAGGAACGCCATCCACTGACATTTTCCAATGGCATGGGAGGCGCAATAGGATGGTGGAGATCTCCTTGAAGACGAGTGTATGCGTGGAGGGCCTTGTCGATGCGGTTGGCTTGCTGAGGCGCACTCACCCACATATCAAAACTGAAGCCGTGGATGTTCTTGGTGCCTACTTCCTGCATGTTTGAACCCAGTGTGTAGTGGGGCGGAGGCAAATCACCACCATATGGCTGCACTGATCTCATAGGATCCTGATATGACGGGTGTGCATGACCATAGTGACTGGATGCGGTATGATGGTCCATGGAGGATCTCCATTTCGGGACGGATGTTCCAGAATGGCTGCTTGATCGCTCGCCCGACTGCTCTCGAACTAGACGCTCCCCTAAAAACCCCGGGTATTAACATCGCGTGTTATGAAGGTTGCTGCAACCGACGTAAACTCACAATCAGGGTCACCCTTCAGAAACGAGTCCAAAACTTGAAGATGACTCGACACCTGCTTCCGAGTCCTCCTTTTGCCGGTCAACTTGAAGATGTACTCGGCAATCAGCTCATTCCGTCCATATGACTTTCCACGTTCCGACCACTTTCTCCGTCCCATTGGAGGGTTTGCTTCGAGGGCTGTACCGGATGTTAGCATTGACCGAGTATACTCAAAATAGGAAAAGGGAAAAGGTGTACCCTGCTGGAAGGCATCTTCCAACTCGTCAGACCACACAGGCTCTCCATCCTTTCCAGTGTCACGTCGAGGACGTGCCCGATACTCCAAATACTTCTGAGATTTGAGGTAGCTGCGTCCCCGTCGAGGAGCTACATTAGGACCAACAGAGTGTAGGCGCCGCAGCTTGCGTGCATGCAACCGGGCAGCCACGGCCTGCTGGTGAGCTAGACTGGGGGCGGCAACAGTTTGAGGGGCAGGAGCCGCATGAGGATACTTGAAGGCCAGCTGCTGGAGATGCTCATCGCGGGCAGCGATGTCTCCATGAACCAGACTATCAGAGTAAGACTGGACATTCCCAGAGGTATTCTGCAAAGCTCGGTCGGTATGGGCTCCCACAGACTCCAGGGACGGCTGGTTCTGAGGCATGAGGCACTCGGGTTGCCAGTCAGCAGCCATGGCAAGTGTACCAAGTGACGGGCTTCTCGAAAAGAATGACGGATTCCAAAGAGGAGGGGAAGATTGAGAGGCACCGTCAAAAGCTTACTGCCTGGCAAAGAACGCAGCACAGTCAAACACAGCTACCCAAGAACGCAGGCGGAGGGAAGAGAATGTCAGGACCTGGGAAAGAGAATGTGAGAGCGAGCAAGATGGTGTTTATAGGGAAGCATGCCTCCCCTGGGGGAAGGGTGTGGTGTCCCAGTAGCAACATTGCTACGCCAGGTTTGCTTTGCCTGCACCACGACCCTCGAACGCCATCTCCATACTCCTAGGCAGGACCCAGTCCTGGCCGTCGTGTGTCCAGGCACCGTGTGGGGAGCAAAGGACGGCCGCCAGCTGTCCTTGCCGCGACAAATCAGGAGCCCAGAAAGGGCACGATATGAAGGAACTGTGGCCGGATGCAAGGGATGCTGGAGCAGCACGATCCAGTAACGAGCGAGTCGGAGATTTTGCACTGCACGAAGTGACCTTGGCAAGCCATCACCACGGTCAGTGTCGACAACAATCGTCAGCGGTCGGTGGCAATGGCAGGCTGGCAAGAATGTCGAACCCCCAACGACGTCGTCCCATTTGTTCAGCCCAGGGTCTGGAATGCTCGACCACGGCCGGAACAGCGGTTGGAATGTAGGCCTGGGAGATCATCGTGTTGACTTTTTGGCACCGTGGGGAAAAATAACTCATGACCCTTTGATCCCAGGTGGTCGCGTGGGTAGCGGTTGTTGCGAACAGGAGAGCAGTAGTACCCAGGGTGTACCCTAGGGTAGTTGGAGAGGGTTAGGGCGGAAGGGTGGACGAGCACCTTAGAAGGGGAGCCAAGCACATGAACTACTATGAACAGCACGAGGGATCTTTAACTGCAAGGCCAAACTGACAGCCGCAGGAACGTGTTCGGGGTATCTCTTCACTCTGCGCAGGTACACTAAAAAAATTAAAAATATAAGGGAAAAAAGTGTATGCAAGAAATCGTACATCGTCGTCCTCCACTTCAACACGCAAGGGGGATATCTCAGCCAATCCATGGCCAGCGAGAGACGCGCTCACACCATTCGTGCAGGGAGGAAAGGGAAAAGGGACGCGACCTTCATGCTTCCTCGTCCTCCTGGGCCCCTACGGTAAATTTCCTTCGGCCGCCGCCCATCATCTGTTGGGCCTTGACCCGGTCCACCTGTTCCCCTACCTTCTTCTCTATCTTCGCGATCTCCTCCTCGGGATCGACAGCCTCCTCGCTCGCGAATTCAAGCACCAGTCGGCGGCCCAGCAGATGCGTGTTTTTCAATGCGTCCATGGCATTTTCCGCCTCGCGAGCACTGACAAAGTCCGCAAAACCGAAACCACGAGCCGTGCGGTCGAACTTCTGCGGCACCCGCACGGACCGGAGTTGTCCGTAGGCCCCGAAGAGTGATCGGATGTCCTTTTTCGTGGCCTGGAAGGGTAAGTTTTTGATGATGATCTTGGTCCGTCGGGCCGCGATCTTCTTGGCCGTATCTTCGCGTCTCCGTTCCTCGGCAGCGTCCATGCCCTTGTGAGAGGCACGGATGACCAGCTCGTGCTGGTCGAGCTTGTACCCATTCATGGCTGCGAGAGCTGCCTGGGCTTGAGCCTTGGTCTTGAATTCTGCAAAACCGAAACCCATGCTGAGAGTTTGACCAGGCTTCTTGGGATCGGACTTGGTCTTGATGCGTCCAGTGACAAAGCCGTCCAGTGGCCGGAAAATCTCGAGGAACTTCTCGTTGGTAGTCGAGAAGTTCAAGTTCTTGACGAAGAGAGTCGAAGTCATACTTCCCTCTTCGGGCTCGTCGGCCGCGAAAGTATCGACCGTTGAGAACCCCTGGCCCTTGCCGCGAGCCTCTGTGGTAACAGTCTTGGGGGTGACCGAAGGATCGAACAGGTCCTTTGGCGCCTTCTCCAAGAAAAGGATCGAATCACCAAGTTTGCGATAGGCCAGACTCTTGAAAGCCTTTTGGGCCTGGTCGGGTCGAGCGAACTCCACGATAGCAATTGTGCCACTGGGTGGCATGAGCAATCGAATAATCTGACCGTAGGGTTCGAACAAACTCCGGAGTTCACCAGACTTGACTCCATAAGAAAAGTTCTTCACCAGAATCGCGGTGTTTCCACGTTCGCGACCCTTAAAGGCGTCGATATTTACTCCATTAGCCGCAAAGTAAGCCTTGGTTTCTTGGATAACATGCGTTTCAGCATGAGCTTGTTTGACTGCCGCGTCGGACGATGTCGGGTCGAGCAGGTCTGCCTTGGAGACGCCTAACCTCTCAGATACGGAAGACATGACAGCATCCGCCTAGCAATTGTTAGTTTAAAGTTTTTCGTTCACGTAAAGTCTAGTAAACTTACGTTCATGTAGAGGAGTTCCAGCTGAATGATGAGGAAGTAGCACCCTGCTTACGCTTGATCTGCTTCTGTTTTTTCAAGGGAAGCTTGGACAACTCATGGTCGTCAATTTTATACGTCTTCTTGGCAGAGGCCGCAAGGACGTGCAGCACCCGGCCTTGGAAATGTTTTCTATCGAGAGCCTTGTAAGCTTCGATGGCCGCATCGGCGTCGGCGAACTGAATATAAGCGAAACCTTTACTGGTTTCGTAACGGGTATCGAAGGCCACATGTACCTAGTTCCATCAGCGTTGATTCAAAGAATAACACAGAAGCATTTGGCAAGCGGAATATTTGGGTTGCTCTTTTCAGAGAAACGAGAAGCATCTACTAAAATCTCTCGACCTGGTAACATCATCTGCTTTTGCATCGGATGTCCCTATCAGGAAACTCATCATGCGAGCAAGTGGCCAGCGTATCATGGATGCTGGCACACGTGGGAATAGGAAAAAAATATATAAAATAAAGGGCGACTTACTTCGTTGACTTTGCCAAATTGAGCAAAGAGCGGCTCAAGGTCCGCATCCGTTGTATCGTAAGCAAGATTCCGGACAAACAAGCGAGCAGAGTCACGAATGAGGTCGATGTTCTTCTGTTGCTCAGCCGTAATCTGAGCTACATCTTCAGCTTCCTCATCCTCTTCATCGTCACTGTTAGTGGCAGGCTGAGGTGCAATGATTTTAACAGCAGCGGTGCGAGATTCAAGTTCATTATTGATGGGACTCGGAGATTTGGCTGCTTGTTGAGCCCTGAGTTCATACTCAGCCTCCTCGTCATCATCCAACAGACCCAGAAGACGGCTTGTCTTTGATCGGAGCCAGTCTTCATCCGAGATAGGGGGCGCCTCGACTTCCTCCTCTTCTTTTTCTCTATTGTCCTGCATCGTTGTGTTCTCATTCCCCGTTTCTTCACTCTGGTCGGCGACAATAGGCTCTGGCTCCTTATCAACCCAATCGACACGTTGTTGAATGCGGGCCTTCTTCGCGTGGGACGGCACCTCGGTTGCACCGGTGTCCTGAGTCGGTTGGTTAATGGCCACGGCAGGCTCCTCCGCTGGGTTAACCATGCCATCATCGTTTGCCCATGTGCGGGTCTTGGAAGAGTTTTGCATTAAGGAGAGGTACTCCTGCAACTTAGGGTCAGGAGGCTTCTCATCTCTTTTACGCTTAAGCGCATTTTCCGAGGACTGGGCACCGTGGTCTGCATCAAGTCTTCGTGTCGGGTGAGCCCTTTCAGCAGGTTTGGAATCAATCTACAAAGATACTGGTCAGTCTCAAGACCAACTGAACTGGTCAGCGCGGGGCGGCAAGAAAGACGAGGGGCATGGAAGAAAATTCTTCGCGTCGACAACAAATTTTCACGTACCGGACGAGCAATGTCTACCGTGATCTTGGACATCTTCATATATGTCCTGTTGAAGTATTTGACGGCTTCTTGTGCCGCATCATGGCTCTTGAAGCCGACAAAACCCATACGGCGTTTTGGTAGAACATGGGCATCAGTGACCTGAAAACGGCCAGCAAAATGATTGCGAAGCTGGTCATTGGAGCAGGAGGGCGGAAGCCCACTGACGAACACTCGCGTGTTCTCCATGTTGGCGTTCTGCTCAGAAAGCTTGTGCAGACGTAGAAGCTTTGCCGGGAAATTTTTTTTCTCACTTCTATAGCATGGAAGGCGGTGTGTTGCGTGGTGGGTGATTGTTTTGTTGGCAATAAATCGGCCAAGGCGGTCAGCGGGTCCTGACGCGCGCTCCATCAGCACGCCAACGCTGCTCCAATCTACGAAGACATCTCCTTTGCGCTGCTTCAATCACTCCTCTGACTCTAACCGACTCGCTGCTACACAACTCTCGCAATAATGACCACCGAAAAGAAGGACAATATGGAAGGTGAGTTGTCCTCGAGCGTTGAACTCGAGAACGTTTCCGCTGATAATCTGGCCAGCGCAAATCAAGTCTGTGGACATGGTAAGGAACTCTGGTACCTGGACACACGGCGCAAGCCCTGACACTACCCAATAGACCGAGGATATGCAGCAGGAAGCCATCGCCCTTGGTATGTGACTTGGACGAAAGCCTTGCGTACGATCCTGACTGACACACCCCAGCGATCGAGGCAATGGAGAAGTATCACATTGAAAAGGTATGTCTTTTTTCTGATTATCCGGCATGAATACTTTTGGGTTCAATGTATTTCTGACTTTTTATAGGACATTGCGCAGTACATTAAGAAAGAGGTCCGCCCATTATTCGCCTACCCCTCCCTACACCATCGCTGATAAAACCCCTCCAGTTCGACTCTCGCAAGGGTGCCACTTGGCACTGTGTTGTGGGCCGCAACTTCGGAAGCTTCGTCACTCACGGTCAGTGTTAAACGCGCAGACCCTGTCCCACGTCCCGTACTGACCTCCCGGCAGAGACAAAGCACTTCATCTACTTCTACCTCGGACACTGCGCGATCCTTCTTTTCAAGACCCAGTGAGGGAGGAAGCATGTCTATTCACATGCGGGGAGATATGAAAGTGAAATATTGCAAAATGCCATTCCCAGCGATTTATTTTTTCCCTTCGTGTCATGACTTTCCCGGCTCTTTATTCATTTATTTTCCCCAGCGCTTTCTTTGCGAGAGAATTGCGACAATTGTACACAGATCACCATCAAACATAGGCCAGAACTAACGCGAATTTGTGACTTGCGTCTTGCAGTTTTGAAAAATTGTCTCGATTTTGTAGATCCAATCCTCAGTTGTGATATCCTGTCGTACGAGCACCCTATCATATGGACCTCACGTGCCGCCAAGCAGCCAAGCCACAGACAGCGCCCCAAACGCCGCTGCCTTCGAACATCAACCTCCCTTCCTCATCTTCACAACAGTCGTCATGGCTTTTTGTATCACATTTGGCACCCATGGTAAGTCACGATTTCCGATCATCTGGGCGGAGCTAGCAATCCCGGAGTGGGGGCCTGTCTGTTCCTGACACCGGTCCTTCGGGTGTTTACCCATGTGGACTCCTCCGCCCCATTTATACCGCGGGACACTGATTCAAGCCACAGAGTTCACGGGCATGCTCGAGGGCTATGAGCAGGTGCGCGCCTACTGCTACAACTGTGAGTGTGGATTTGAACTGCCCTTAATCATTGGAAGTCGTCGTTTTTGGACATTGGACTAATGGAAGTCCCCTCCGGCTAGGTCAACACTGGAATGGCCATTGTGTCACCCGATGGTATGTACCCAAATTACTTCCGTTCTTCGCCTCTACCTAACAAACTCCAGGCCTTTCTTCACCATTTGCTTTATTGTAGGTCTTTGATGATTGATTTCCGCGACGTCCCTTAGGTCGGGATGTGACGAGATGACTAACATCACCATGACAGCCCTTGATCCCGCTTTCAACCCACAAGTACAAGGTAATGATTCTTGTCTCCAAATACCAAATTCGCTTCGAATTTTAAGGCAGATGGCCTTTTCAGTGCTAACTTATCTCAAGGAGGTTCTTTGTTACACCTGCCGCGTTAGCCAGGATCTTCGGTAGGCTACCTTGTTTCTATCGTTTGAGCATTTCCGAACTCAAAAGCTGATGATATACAGGGACCGGCCTGACATTACCCCTGATACTCGGCCACCACCTCATATGGCATGGGGTCCGCAGCCGCCCCCTCAAGCCTATGGTGGAGGCTATCCGCAGCAGCAGCAGCAGCAGCCGCCGCAGCAACAGCAGCAGATGGGATACAAGTGATCCTTGAGTCGATTACCGGACAGCCAAAGCTTCGGCAAAACCTTTCTTATTTGTCTCTATTCCGGGAGTAGACAGGGGAGCATGGCGGGGAATAGGTGCATGTTTCCGCCTGAGCTCAACGGGATTGTTTCGGCGTCAGTTTTCGACATTTTTGCTTTCCGATATCAGCAATCGAGTTTTGAGCAACTTTACGGTTGTTTCGAGCAGTATGGTGTTTCAATTTGAACGAGTAGAGTCAATTTCAAGAGAATTATTATCGTGAAGCTATGAACAGGGGTATAAAAGAAATCAAAAGTCCCAACCATGCCAACCTAAGAAACAAGAGATCAAATCATAAGCTCATTATATAAACTTCTCAAGTCGAAGAGTTCTTTGCTTCCTTCTCCTTATCACCGGTCACTTCTATCGGCGTTACGGCCCCCGAAGGCTGAGTCTCATCCGCCTTGCCACGGTAAACAGTCGGCTTCCGACCCATTAGATCGAGAACCATCATTCGTGACGTGCGAATGATACTCTCGCGACCTTCGTACAGCGGGAAAACAACCACGCCGAAAAGCGTACAGAACAGCCAGATGAGACCGACAACAACCCAGCCAGTGAAGAACTTCTTGCTGAAAACATATGATGTGCCGTACATCGGGATTGGCCAGAGGATAAGGAAAGAGAAAGCAAGGAAGACGGTCAACGTGCGTGAGTACAGCGCAGCACGGTTAAGTTTGCGTTCTTCTTCTTCAGTCTGGGCAGACGAGGTTGGGTTTCCTTCACCCGGGACCAGTTCCAAATCGACGTGCGCCTCGGCAGCGACCTCGGAGTCGTCCACTTTGCGGATTGCGCGCATGGATTCATAGTCATAGTTTTGTTGGCCAAAGATGAATGTGAAGAGGGGAGAGAAAATCAATGGGCTGAGGAGAGCGGCAACGTTTCCAGCGAGCATGGGGTAGCTAGATAGAGATTATTGTTAGCAGGACTCGTTGCTGAGGAGGGAAGACGAAGACTTACTTTGCTCCTGTGGTATCCACAGTCAAGATACCAGACTCTTTCTTCGCAGTCACCAGCCATGCAATAAGCGAAACAGCCAGGCCAAGAGGCGGCGATGCAGCGGCAGCAATCCAGTTTTGACCCTTCCAGAGCAGAGTCATGGCACCGGGGAAGACAGCAGAGGAGATAATAACTCCCATGAGTAAATACAGGTATCCCATACCAATGCCGGCATAGTAAAGACCTGTCGCGAAGCCCGCCATGATGATTGAATAGACAATGCAAGACATGTGTGAGATCCAGACGAGCTTCTTGCCCTTGGCAGTGGGCTCGATGTACGCCTGGTAGATGTCGTAGGTAAAGATCGAAGAGACAGCGATCAACTGGGCAGAGAATGCAGAGGTCACGGCCATGAAGATCATCAGGGTGGTAGCGACTGCACCACTATATCCGAGCAGCTTGACTGCCGCGAAGGGAAGAACCAGACCGGCCGTGACGTCCTCACTACTCATCCGCTGCGAGCCTTCCAATGCCAGAGCTGAGATACCCATTGTACTCGCGCAGAGCCAGGGAATGGCAAACCAACAAAGGCCACCGATGACATATCCCGGGAAAGCGTGAACAGGGCTAGCGGCAATGGCTTTGTTGTAGTAGCCGTTGTCGAGGAAGACGGTGCTACTAGAGGTTAGTCGAGTGTAACATGGAAAGAATCATTGATACGAACCCAAAGTTACCAATGAGGTTGATAATCCAGAAAATGCCACCTTCCTTCGACCGCATGGTGAGGTAGCTTCCTTCGGCATTGCCTTCCACGGGATGTCTCTTCGCAGCCTCGACGAGAGCATCATAGACGCGGCTAGGAGAGCCAAGCTCGGCGTTTGTGGCATAAGCGGAGAATGCAAAGAGGAATATCACAACGAGAATGACCACAGTATGCATGTAATCCGTGATGAAGGTCGCCTTGATACCACCAAACAGAGTATAGAGCACGACACCAATGGGGAGCAAGAAACAAGCTGCGGCGGTGTGAACCCCCGTGAGCGAGGTCATCACGGCCGAGCCTCCAGTCAACAACATGGCTGTCACGAGGATGTTTGTCATGAGGCAGAATACGATGAAAACAATGTGAACGATTGTGCCATAGCGGGCTCGAATGACTTCGAGGAAGGTGTGTGCGTTCGGGGCTCGTCTCTTCAATTCGATGGCAAGGGTTGCGAAAAGGAGGATTTGTACCGTCGCGCCTGCGGCCATTAGCGATATTGAACACGATGATGAGACTTGGTGTGGAATTGAAGCTCACCAGAGGCATAGAAGAAAGGACCCGAAATTCCATACTTATACGCAACAGCCGAAGATTGGAGTAGAGTTGCTGCCCATGTCCAGCTACTGACGACGGCAGCGGCAACGAGACCGGATTTGACTGATCGACCAGCAGTCGAGAACATTTCGGAGGTTTGAACTTCATGCTGGTAGCTGGATTGTCAATTTTTTTAGTCGCCTGGTTTTCCTTCGGACATAAGAAGTGGCGAAAACTAACCGTTTCAAAGCCCAAGTGATGAAAATCATGACCAGGGCAAAAGCAAATCCTAATCCTAGGATGATGCCATACCCAAAGCCCTGAGACAAGGGTGCTGTGAATGAGACCTCACTGGCGGCCATTGTGTCGCGCAGAGTCGGTATGTCTCAGTCAATGGAGGAAGAATGCTCGCCAATGGCGCAGAAACAGCAAGTTAACCGCAAGGAACCAATATGGTTTGACAAAATGGATCAATCAATCAGCGTATGCTGGAATTATGTCCCTGTTATTATGTAGTAGGTCGCCTGTTCCAGACAGCCAAGGCTTCCAGGACCCAGGACCGTCTATATAACATCCTACCATCTCACAGGATCACCACCCGCAGCACCAATCTCCGAATTCGCACGTCCTAACCCCAGCCGACGCGAGTAAGCACCCTACCGTAGTGCTTGAGCTTAGATAGGAGGTATGCGACCCGCAATCCGGGAGCAGATAAGGGCTGCATTGCTCTCGTAATGGCATGGGAGTGGAGGAAGGAAGGGACCACCGGTTTCCCCCAAGTCCACCACGACCCGCCACCATAGCCGACGGACTGGAGGGACACGAGCAGAAAGGCGCCTCGGTCGATTCAAACACAGGCTATCGCGGATGCGAATCGGTTCGACAATGGCTTATCAGTTGCGCTTTTCTTGGCTCCATGAGGGGCGAGTTGGGAGAATGTGATTGGCGCAGGGCCGCTGGCGATAAGGAGACGGTCCAAAAGTGGACCCGCGAGTCTAGGATGCTGCTCCAAACGGGCGAGAATGCACGGCTGGATCGGGAGTGGCCGTTCATAGATTATCCAGGCCGGTACCTTAGGGTAGGTTGATATGCCTGCCGCTTACTCGATGTCTGTGGTCATTCGTGATTAGCATGTGCTAGACTGCCCGAAAGGTTGGTGGTAGGCAGGTGGTAGGGCTGCCCCACTGCCACGAGTGTCAGTGTGAGCTTAAGCTTGACACGGGCAGTTGAATCATATGGAGGTTCTTAAGTGGATTGGCCGTTGTTCATTCAGATTCGACGATGTCTACAAATTTTGAACGATCTGCGCATCTGATAGAAGACCAGCCAATCTTTTATATAAACTTAAGGAGATCGATGCTTCCACACCCCTTGGGTCTCAGACCACACGGTAGTTTATAACTAGAACCTTGATCAAACATGGCACCGATTTCCACGCCAAATTCCACTTCAACTATGGTCGTGATAAACTGAAAGCTTCATTCTACCTATTGCAAGATTTATTGCTCAGTCACCTATCTGGTCAGCCACCTGGTCACCTACGTGATTAGTTCTCTGGCGAGAGTGATATGCTACCAATATGCCAAAATAGATGGACTTCGGGCTAGGATAATTCCATCCAATCGCCTCTCCCCGGAGAGCAGAAAGCTCATTTTTCTACTCGAATAGCCGAGTCACTCAAGTCGAAGAACTAGCGGATACCCGAAAGACTAGGGAGGGAGCGTGGCTGTCTCAATTCCCTATGTGATGATCTGTTCTCTGCTCAGGAACATTCTCCAGGTCAATTCTCTACGATACACATGTTACGATAGAGCGAACGAGAAAATACCGTGTTGCTTGAAATGTCAAGTCCATTACTTCAATGCAAAAACATTTGGTTGATATGGTACACACACGTCGGATCCCACCACGCACTGAACGAGTCCTATCATCACCAAGGCTGCCACTGCTCTTCCAGCGCACGAATCGCAGAATAAGAGTTGCAGCAAAGCCCACTTATGGCGATGATAGAGCCTCAATTTACAATATAGAGTATTCCGACCGACCTATGCAGCGGATAGGTCATGGGCACTCCCAGCACCCACAAAGTAAAAAAAGAAAAAACACCACGTATGTTGAGAAAAAAATGGAGTAGCCAAGAAGAACCCGGTGCCATTCAAGGGCAAGGATCAAATATCATAGGGGTATAGGAGAGAAGGATTGAGGATTGGTGGAATAGATTGGCGTCTCGCGAACCGCGTCGCTTATGCGGAGAACTTGCGGGTGATCTTGGCAATGACTGTGGAACGAATTAATGCCTAGTCCAACGTCGGATGGGAGATCCTGCCAGTTCGAGAACCGCGGATGAAGACCCCCAGAGGAATAAAAATGATGTGAACTTACCATGCAGACCAACAACCGAGAAAATAAAGCCCAGACTCAACACCAGAACAACGACGGGGTCCACCCGCAGACCGGGGCTCTCATCAGTGTAGAGCTTCAGCATAGTACCGGACGAACCGCCAGCACCGGCGGAGCGGGTTGAGCTGGGGCGGGCATTGCGCAGAGACTCCTTGTGGTCGGCCGCAGCACGACGGCGCATAGCAGCGCGAGGACCGCCGGGAGGAGTGGGCGAGGAAGGACGGCTGACGGAGGAGCCGGAGGCGGCGGCGGCAGCACCACCAGACTTGGAGTCAGGGCCGGACTCGGCGCCGGAGGTGAGAGGAGAGGCAGGACGGGGAGAGGCCTGTGTCATTGAGTGATGAGTGATGAGTTATGGATGAGACAGATGGTTGGGAGGTGGTGATTTGGCATTTGAGAAAAGAGATGGATTTCGACTCGGAGCATTGGGGGAATAATAGTGTCGGTGCTGATCAACTGAATGTTCGGGGTAGCTTACCATCGTGAATTGAGGCGGAGGGTGGGAGCAAAGGAATGAATGAAGAGAGTTGGGGGAAGATCGAAGTTCGGGAGGGAGAGGATTTGCGGAGTTGAGGCCACGATCGCGCTTTACTGATTCGATACGAGGGGTGGTATTGGTACCGTCATTGCGAGCTTGGTCGCCCCACATAAATGGTAATTTTGCGTATGGCTTACGGGAAATCCACCAATCAGGAGTCTAATTTGGTACTACATATGGATTGGAACAACGGCACTATTGTTCTTGAACAGAAATGAGAGCAGACTTCCCAAGAGAGTTTAAAACAAATGATTTACGATGCATTAATCATAGCGTTTGTCAATATTGAAAAATTGATTCTTAGATCTAGAGCTAATGGGATCGTTGGAGCTGCCAATCTGGCATTGCACCATCGTAAGTGACATGGGGAATTTAAACACCCCGGGAATCATACCAAGTAAAAACGCCACCAGTGCCTCGTGAAGGATATGTAAAGGAAAGGCCAAACGGAGGTAAAATCACAGGAATTTGGGACCCCGCACCATTTGTCAATGGGCGATCAGAATCTGGAATGGGTCGGGTTTTCGCAGGGGAGGTATCATGTCGAGGGCCAAATGGACCGTCGAAGAAGTAATAAATGCGCAGAAATCGGGCTGAAATAAACAATGTGAACAGAAATCACATCCGGAAAAACGCAAGGAAATGATAAAAAGATATACCGCTCCAGGCCCCAACGTCGGAAGAGATCAATATGAAATACACAGTACCATTGATCGTATTTGATCAATCGATCATCATCCGGGAGGGGACCTGGCTGTCGACGTTGGAGGAAAGCTCGGTCGACTTCTCCTCCGTGCGACGCTTCTTGTTTTGGATATGAGGCTTCAGACCACGATGGAAGTTGTTGACGCACATGCAGGCGTTGATGATGGTGATCACAATGAGGATCAGGGTGATGACGGCGAAGAAGGTCATCGATGGTCGGGCTGCCAAGTAATTCGCCATGGTGGCTTCATCATACATGCGGTACAACTTGAAGATGAAATAGGCCATGGCTGCGAAGAAAAGAAGCTAGAAATTATAGGTTAGCGAGCCAGTCAGCCACAGCAGGGCCATGAGGATAAAAACTAACGATAATGGTGATCATGCCCGGGGTTGATTCCCGACGAACGAACCAGGCACCGCAGGCCAAGATAATGATCGTCACCGGAATGGCGACGATGGTGAGGTAGAACTCCGCATCATGCTTGCCTGATGATACGACCACCAAGAACTGGATCGTAAATCCAAGGAAGAAAAAGAAATCGAACTTCAGCAGCGCAATGTAAATCTGGAACGTACAAGTTAATCAGTGACCATGGGCCGATAGATAGATAGGGCGCCGTGATCCTACCTGATATGTCAGGTACCGACGCTTCATGCGAAGATCCGCGCTGATGTGTTTATAGATGGTCCAGGCGAACTCGTCGTACAGTTTCCACGCCACAAATGTCATCAAAATGCTTCCAATACCGACAATGCAGGGAATAATGACCAGGAACGGCTTGGATTCGCCCCAAACTTCCAGTGCGATTCGATGGCTTTGGTGGAGGACCGTGACCGCGGTGTTGATCTGCTCCACCTGCACTGCTCCGTAAATCAGCAGTCCCACGTTACACAGACACAGTCCGATGATCTGAATGGTGTTCTTCATCCGCAACGCATCGTACACCAGCACCAGCTCGTAGATGAAACCGAAACTGTAGAGGGCGAGGAACGTCGGGATTGTCTTTGACGCGGGAATGTTGTTGGGCTGTTCTTGGATTTGAAAGTTGGCAAAGACGTAACTAAATTAGGTCGCAATGGTCAGATTCAAATAGGCGTATTTCATGTTTCAGCCGCACGACAGGGGGAGACTCACCATTCGAGACCCAGCACTACGACTGTTTGGACGAGCGTAACGATGGCAAAGGCCCAGGTCCACTGGGTGTTGGGGATATACATCCTGCGCGGCGCGACAGGCGCGGGGGCTGTATTTGCATATCCTTCCCGTGGACGAAAGCCAGCTCGCCGTTGATACGAGGGATCGAAAGACGCAGCCCCCAAGAGGGAAGCACGCGACCCGTGAGAGGGAATCTTGCCGAAGTGCTCCGAGGCGGAGCTCGGGTCGGCGGAGTGCTTGGGAAAAGACACAGTGACGGTGTTGACCACCAGGGATGGCGGCTTTTAAAGGATAAAAGAGGAGAAAGACGGTGTCAGGTGGCACCAAAAGGCTGTCTCGTCCCTGATACGTGCGTGCGTTGAACCGCCGAGGGAGGCTCGTGTGCCCGGCTTGGCGGGTTGACTGAGTGTCGACGGTCGCGGTGAAATCAAACTCGTAGCGGGAGTCTCAGGAACATCGGCGTCGATTGTTGAGTGAGTTGACTGAATCGATAGAATCGAGATTGAACGAGCGACAGGGACCGTTCGGCGTTGAGCGCTGGTGCCTAGAGTGCCGCGAAAAGCCTGGCGATCTCAATTTTTTGGTCGTTTGGACGGTGGTCGTGGGGGATGTGCTGGAGAAGGGGCAGCAAGGCGTAAGGGACCCCGGGCACGACAGATGGCGATGGAAACGAGTGGATGACGAGGGGAGAAAAGAGTGAAAAGTAATCAGGGGCCATCTGGGGTCGCGAGGGCATTCCGCGGGTCACGGACTCGGCACGACACGCACCCGCCTTCTTCGGGCATTCTAGACTTAGCCCTCCCAACTACAGCCTGCACTGCTCCACTGCTCGTTATTCCGGCCTGAGCCCCGTCGACCGTTGCCCTAGGGTACCCTCAGGGCCTCCGTGGTAATAATACGCTAGTGTCCGCTCGTGTGGCTGCCTGTCGCTCAGCCTAGCACGCCGACCTCTGATTACCCTCGACTGTGGTCTCCAGTCCCCTCACTCATTGCGAAACCGCGGCGCCATGTCACTTCTCGGCGTAAGCCACACGGCATTCTCCTGATCGACCTGCTCCTCCAGACGGAATCTGGCCCCGGCAAGGCGTGAAACATGCAGTGGCTGTGGCTGGGGGCCCGGAATGTGGTGGCTGTGGTCAGGCCAGCAACTGGACTTGGCCCCCAACGGGCATCGTGGTCTCTGGCGACAGGAAATGCGAGGCAGTGGAAGTCTATTTCGTGCAACAATGACCCGTGACGCTGTCGAGGATCCCAGCCTTTTCTGGGGGTCGTGGTGACAGCTCTGAAACAGTGCGGAGCCCACCGCGGTCTGACATTCCATTCTTCGACGGGGCCATCGTGATCGCAATTGATGCTCACACGCGACAGCTCTTTCCTCATTCCGCACTGCTCGTCTAGACCTGTTCGTCTGTCATCTCATATGCGAGTACCACGGCCATGCATATGCAGGGATCGATCCCAGTCTGGACCGCCGCCGACCGTCGGGGGCTCCACCGGAGATTCGCAATCCCACCGTCATCGTTATCCTGTTGCCCAGGAACAACAGGGTCAGGTCTACTCCCAGGGACTCTGAAACGGCATGCAAAAGACGGCTAAATACCGGGGTTCCTTTCAATTGCCTTGTCCCGATCGATTCTTCAAGACTCGCCCCCAGATCCCTGCCGAACCATGGGCCATTGAGGGCGGACCGCTGGGTGAGGCTCTTCCGCGCTCGATCCAACCCACATACAACTTACATGTGCGCACCAAATGGAGTCTCGGCAGGAACAGATTCACTCGGATTGAGTGATGGTCGAGTATACCATGCTAGAGTATGTAGGACACTCGTAGAACTTATGGCCATCGAACGATTGAGCTTGGCAAAATTGGTCAACGACTGTCAATTGGCGGTTTTCCACTCCCATCACAACGCTCCCGGTCTAGTACGTCTGCGGCGGAATTTCCAACAAACCCGCTCCCGATTGAAAAGAGTATATCACTATGAATCTCAACGAATACGGCATCACAGACACGAGAAGGGCAAACCCCTATGACTGATTGTGCTCGTATCTACCTAGTCCTCGTGTTGAGATCTCGGTCAGTCTGACTCAATCCCATGCGGACTTGCAAGTGGCTTGAGTCCGAACCCCGCAGAATGCACAACATCAAATGGCCCCCTCGGTCTGCCACACTCTACACTACTACTACCCTGGGGTATATAACACTGCCTATGTCCAACTCGGCTTACATGTGGACTCAATAAGCGAAATACAAAATGGCCGACGACATCGAAACTAGCATCCAAGCCGCCATCGACGCCGGTAAGATCAACGGCGCCGTCATCTGTGCCACCGATACGCACGGCAGCTTCACCTACAACAGAACGATCGGCGAGCGAACACTGCTCTCCGGTGATAAGCTTCCACACCAACTAGACGATGTGCTCTACCTCGCCTCAGCAACAAAACTAGTCGCCACCATCGCTGCCCTCCAATGTGTCGAAGACGGGCTTCTAAGCCTCACGGGCGATCTCTCCGCCATCGCACCCGAGCTCGGAGCGAAGAAAGTCATCACCGGCTTCTCAGATGATGGCGAAACGCCAATATTGGAACCCGCAGCGCGCCCCATCACACTTGAAATGCTCCTCACCCACAGCGCAGGTACGTCGTACCATTTCATGCAACCCCATGTCGCGCAGTGGCGTGAGAAGTTTGCGGCGCCCAAGGAAGGCGAGAAGAAGAATGTGGAAGAGCTTTTCTGCTATCCGCTGAGCTACCAGCCAGGCTGTGGATGGATGTACGGACCTGGACTGGACTGGGCGGGCCGAATTGTTGAACGGGTGACGGGCTTGACGCTGGGTGAACGCATGCAGAAGCGAATCTTTGATCCCTTGGGTATCAATGATGCACAATTTTATCCAGTCACCCGAGAGGAACTGCGAAGCCACCAGGTAGATTTGAACCCGGATGACCCTGATGGTCTGGGTCGGGCTGTTCTGGGTGGTTCTGCGGACATGAACTCGCGTGGGCGCGGGGACTTTGGTGGGCATGGATTATTCATGTCTGGTGAAAGTTATGTGAAGATTCTTCATTCGATCCTGGCAAATGATGGGAAACTGCTTAAGCCCGCTCTTGCCGATGAGATGTTTCAACAACGACTCAGCCCCGAGGCCGCTGAGAGCCATCGAGCTGCACTGGCCTCTCCCATGGGCGTGTTCTTCCGCGTAGGTGTTGGTGTTGAGACATCATGTGGACATGGTCTCGGGGGTCTGCTTACTTTGGAAGATGTGGATGGATGGTACGGGGAGCGGACGTTGACTTGGGGTGGTGGTATGACAGTTGCTTGGTTTATTGATCGCAAGAATGGCCTTTGTGGTGTTGGTGCCATTCACGCTAAGCTGCCCTTGGACCACGACGCTGTCTCTGATCTAAAGCAAGTCTTCCGCCGCGACATGTATCGGAAGCTCGCTGCCTGGAAATCAAGCGAGTAAATACTCCTAGTCTAGCCACGAAGGATTAAGAACAGCCACTGATGAATCGATGGCTGACGAGAATAGCAAGCCAAATTCCATTTCAAGAACTAGATAGACGCATCTAGTCTTCACCACTGAAAATAATACACGAGTATGATAAAGCCCGACTAAATGTGAATCCCCATTGTACACCTTTTGCCCATGGCATGCCGTCTGCGATAAGAAAGAAAGGCTGCGATTAACGCCGCGAGAAACAGCAAAGAACACCCGTTTTCGCCAGGAACCAAAGCGCCCCAAAGAATCGAAAGATGGAAAGACCAGATGTACCCCAGAGGATGACCTTGAAATACCATGCCGTACGAAGCGTAGAAGTAGTCTATGACCATTGTTAGTATGTGTCCATCTTTCTCACTCGAAAGGAACTCAACATACCGATAGGCAAAGCTGTGTAAGTCCTTCGTTGTTGATGCACAATGCCAGGAGGCCATTGCTGAATGTCCACAACAGGACCAGGTTGGTCCGGAAGGATTTGTAAGAATCGTCGAGATTAACCTCAGGCTTCTCTTCTGGCTCCCGCCACGGTGCCAGTGCTCGCTTGACTGTTTGTTCGAATTGAACGTCAATGTCGGCCTGTGGCTTGTCAAGCTCCTCCACGAACGCAGTCTGGGCATCTGATTTCGTTTGTGCAGATGGAAGCGCTTCGGCTTTGTCGGATCCCTTCGTGCCCCACGAGACATCGTGCCAGTTGCAAAAGGCGTACACCATTAGGATGTTGATGGAGGACGGCATACCGAGGAAGTAAGCCCAGGATGAAGTGAGCATATGCCAGGGGTCCAGATAGAGGATGCTGGCAATGAGGTAGATCCCGTAGGTGGATATTAGGGCAACAAGTACGAGGCCACCAGTTGAGTTGATGAAGGATGTAAGGAAGATGCCGACGCCATCGCTGAAGTTGAATTTCAAGTTATCGCCCGTGAGTGCTTGTGCGACGAGGTAGAACGAGAGGACGAGAATATAAGCCTGGACGATTGAGAAATAAATCAACGAGAGGGTGTAGTATGACTTGGTCCTATATTATGTTAGTATTTTTTCTGTGCTTGGATCCATAGGGAGAAATTACCCTTTGGGTCTGTTGCCAAGAGCCAAGATGAATTGGAGCATGAGAAAGGCTAGATATCCGATCTTGAAGGTATTGTTTAAGATAGGAGTCACGTTAGCTGGGAATGGCCAGCTTTTGTAGTGGTTCACTGCACTGGGCGTTCCGACAATGTCCATGATGACGGAGCTAGTAAGCCAGTAGGATGCTATAGAGAAAAAAGTGGGTTGTTAGCAAAGCTGGTGGTGTCTTGGAGTTTATAAAGCTGCCGAAACACCTACCCAGGGAGAACCATGTCATCACGAGCTGGCAAATGTTGTAGACTAGTTGGACATGGAATGCGAACATGCGAATCCAGTTGTGTCCACTCCTGTAAATCCGATTGAAGTGCATCGTCGCATAAAGACTAGCCGCAAAAGACCCATTCAACCAGCGTCGCCGCTGGCTCAGAAACTCTGCTGGGCCTTCAGGGACATCTGTCTCGCCTTTCGATGCTTTGACGTAAGTCAACTTCCACTGACATCCTGCTTTAGCGACGAGTTCGAAGCACAAAATCCGATCTTCTGCCAGGAACATGTTTTTTTTGAAAATGTTCATCCCCTCAATTCCTTTCTTGCCGAGCCTCTCGGAGAGTGTATGATCGCCATGGAAATACTGCTCCAATGGTCGGCCGACGATTGCTCGGTATCTATATGCAGAAAAAGCCCCAGGAAGCACACTCACATAGCCGAAGCTACTTTCGAGAGGCTTATCGAGAATATTAGAGATTTTGTACTCGAAATTTTGGGCTGCAACAAGCGGGTTTAACACATTTCGCCAGCCGCGACCGAGCAGTGCGTGGATCTCACCACATGCGCCACCAAGATGCCTGTCATTGTAGAAAGCTTCCCAGAGCTCGAGGAGAGATTTGTGTCCAGGTTTCGTACCAGCATCGATCAAGATACAAATTTCTGGGTTGAGAATACGTCCGAATGCATTGAAGAGCCAGCGATGTGAATTGATCTTCTTGCTGTTCTTCTGTTTGAGACAGAAGATCATCTGGACAGGTGGAAGATTTGTTGGGTCATCTCCGTAGGGTCGGACAAGTTGCTGTGTCGGCGTAACAGACAGCTGGGTTGTATACTCAAACTGAATAGGTCCTGAGTTAGTACTGTCAACTACACCAAAGAATCATAAAGAGAGAATAATCAAAGCAACTGACAATATGAGCAACCGTCTCCCGACCGTCAACGTCATGCTTCATCACACCGTCCTGGTAAATGCCGACCGTAGCAAGAAGGTCCAAAGTGTTCTTATCACATGGCTTGATGCCATCGAAGACGAGACAAACCACAATCTTCTGCCATGCTGGACCTCCCTTGTTCCAGAATTCTGTTTTCTTGAGATTCACGATGTCGCGAACGTTTTGCATAACGCTGTGCAAGGTCCTGGCCGTCAGAACCTTATCTTCATTGTAGTAGGTGATCGCGATCAGCATTTCGGTATGCCGATTGTACATGGACGGCCGAAGGTTGTATCCGTGCTGCAGAGTGAACTCGTCCGGGTCGCATGTGGCCGCGGTATCTGCTCTAATTAGCTTCAAGATTTAAATTGAGACCTGGGGATATCTGTTATACGGGGGTATCTCACAACGCATGTGCGTGAATTCCTCGGATTGACCTCCCTCCAGATCACGGTATTTGGGCTGCACGGCATTCCGAATGGCGCTCGGCACTGGGTAATCGACGCTCAATACCGTGCCCTTGACAAGCTTGATCCGTCGGGTGGGGTAGCGTCTGAGGATGGTCGATGCAGTATTTTGGCGTTGTGCCCAGCGCTTCGAAGTGGTTGAGCCGGTCTCAATGTTTTGAGGCTCAGACGGGGCCTGAGACTCGCCATCTTGGGCCTCCGAGAAGTATGAACTCACTGAAAGGGCTGTACTATGACGATATGGCGACTGGTATCTTGGCAAAGGAACTGCAAGCGATTGATCGGGGCCACCATACGGATTGGGTGGGGGATTCGAGGATGGATGGAGACGTGGACTCGGAGGGTGAAGAAGAGGCTGGTTAGAGGGAATCTGATCATCAATCTCGGGGCTTGTCTGTGATTGATGAATGAGTCTTAAATTATGGTTCGTGAGTCTTGGGTGAGGACTCACTTGGCGCTGCTCGAGGTGTTCTCCCGGAATCGCCTGGCGCGAACGACTAGGTGGAGATGTCCTCGAGATATGCTCCATCGTGGGCAAATACAACACCGAAGGGTTGGGTGAGAAAAGAATGAGGTTGTGGAGAGTGATTTGGACGTGGCATGGAGGATGAAAACAACAGCAGGCAGGCTTATTCAGCCCAGGGTAGGGCAGGGGACGGTTGCGCGGGCGAGGACATTCGAGTTGGAATGGCGACGGAGTATAGTTGCGGAGAGTTCCGGTTTCCTTCAGTCATGGCGGGCCTAGCCTCATCAAGTGAGCGCAGGGAGGGGAGGGGATCTCCCATCAATCCATGCCCTTGGTGAATGAGCGACTCGGGATTTTAAACTGGATGGTCTGTATTTGAAAGTAGACTGGATCTGTTTGACGACTCGATCTACCGCGAGAAGTAACCTCGGAGTTCTGCGCCGGTTTATTCCTAAGAATAGGTGAAACCGGGGTGGTACAATGTCCCGTGGCAGAGTATTTTCTGCTGTCTTTCCTGTGGAGCACAAATGGGCAGAGATAAGTCAGTCCAAAATGGGCCGTAGCAATGCTGCAATTTAACCACTGTCGGGTTCCCGAAGTAAGCTTCGGGCAGATTTGTTCCCCTGGGCAGACTATATCTTCAAGTCACTACCCAGGTAAAGCTTATGCCTCATTTCTTGCAACGTTTTTTGAAGATGCTTCGAGTCAGACAGCCAACAATGAATGTACAAGTTCAAGTAGATAATGAGAAACCCTTCTATACTAACAGGAAAAAAGTCATAGAAAAGATAGTTCTACATGTCGAGTCTTCAGCGACAATATCAAAGATTGCCGTTACTCTCTCAGGTATTGCCGTGTCGTGACTGAGCTCCAGGCAGGGAAATGAGATTCACGTGGTATATCACATTTAATGCTGCTCTCTTTGAACCATTTCACTAAAATCGCAAAATACCTTGGAAAACTCAATGGATCTTTGCTCTCGATAATAAGCCGGGGAGTATCAAGCTCTCAGTGCGTTCTATGAGAGCAGGAAGAGATGTCTTTTCTTTCTCTGTTCCGGTGAGACCCTTTTGGCTTGTCATGATTTGACCCTTGATACTAATACACTCGAGGGACAGTTCTCCCAAACTTCCGAGTGTCTTGGCTCTAGCCAGCAGAAGAAGTATCAATTTCCGTCCGCAATCAGAAAGCAATCGCGCAGAAAAGTTTCATCTCTTGCGACGACTCCCACCTTCAATAGGCAGTTGGAACTCGAGTCGAGGTCAAATATAGACTTGAAGTTTTTATTTTCGGTCGCAAAATTCCGGAAAATTGAAGGAAAATAGTTGAACACCCCCCTTGAAGATCATAGAATGTATAATATTCAGATTAATTGCACTAACGATTCAAAGATAGACGCGTGTGATCATATCCCATGATTCTACCCCTTGTCCGGGCCAATATCACTTCAAAGACCATCGAAAAGCACAAATATTTCGTGGTTGATCCAGGACTCGTGAGCTCCACGAGATCCCTTAATGGCAGATTAAGGTCGAGCTATTGAACGGACCCTGGCTTCTTTTGGGCCAGTCACTCCCGCTTAGAATAAAAATCAAGAAGCTTCCTGGGAAGGATAGCAGAATCTGCCTTCATGACTTCCAGACTCCTCAACAAAACGACACAGGTGCATGCCCGAGGGTATGTGGAGATATTCAAATGGCCATGGTTCATTCAAACAATGGCAAATACTGAGGGGAATATTTGCACAGATAACAGCTCTTTTAGATCTGTTTTTGAGCTTTCCGAGTCAATCTGGGCTTCTCTTACCCTTCCCTCCACCCTGACCTCCACCTTCGAGATTTGCAATATACGGAGCTATCAGCTTGAAGTACGCATTGGACTAAATTCATTGCACATGATCTCATTTGATCTTACTCTAAGGTATCATTTCCATGGGGCCATGTCTAAATGCTCCAGGCTACATCAAGTTTTATCAAAATGTAAGAAAATTTTCTGAAGAGATTCTTCGAAAGAGCTCTAGCAATGGATCGCATCACTTATTTCAATTATTATCACGATACATCATGCATTGCCCTTTCCCAATAATCTTGAAAGAGATGGATGCTCTAATCCGGAGACCCAAGGAGTGGCCGGCCGTCGACTAGAATTACTGGGGTCGAAGCCGGGCCTTTTTCTGACATCCATCCGCTCAGGGTTTTCTGGGCTGGAACCTTGGAAAGTCTCAAAAGGGAAACTAGACTACCAAGGTACGTCTTTACACTTTTTAGATAAGACACAGCAGGACCGGCAATCGGACTTTTTCCCATCTTCAAAGGGCTTTGGCACCTAGAGTTATCTAGTCCAACAAACTGCGAATTGAAGCCAGAATGCTTTGGGTGCTTGGCTGGCGATTAGAAAGTATCCGAAGGCTGTGTCATATCTTCGATTGCCCTCTTTGTAAGGGAAGTTTTTATCGGGTCGGCGCCGAGCTATCCAGCATGTGCCTTTTTGCCTTCCCTGCACGCTTCCCCACCGGCATGGTGAATCTGCTAAGCCTGCCAAACTGGTAGATTGTTACAGTTTACAAAGAGAAGCCTATGTAGCCAACCACATCATAATGATATTTGCTCACTATTTAATCAAGCCATATCTCGACCATTTAATAATTTATTACAATATCTGGGAGCTCTTTCTTTTCATCGGATAGCGAGAATATGTTATTTGAGCTTCGTCAAGGGCACACTATGCTATCAATCTGGGTAGCCCTTATCCTTCTACTTGGCTTCTATGTCAGCCAAGGGGCTGTGTCACCACTGCCCAAGGTTCCAGGTCCATGGTACAGTATACAGGCCTATTCATCAAGTGCCAAGAGTTTGCATTCTGCCGTCGACAGTCAATACGCCGGGTTCATCAGAAATATGGTCCTGTTGTGAGATTGGGACCTAATGAAGTAACTTTCAGAAGCCTATATGCTACCAAAGAGATCTACGCCTCCGGGGGAAGTGGCTATGACAATACCGAATTCTATAGTCGGTTCAAGGAGTTCCGGACCAAGACAATGTTCTTCACGTTATCGAAAAATAAGGTACGTATTTTCTCTACCACGGGTCTATTTTCGAGCTGAGCTTTTGGCTAAATTATAGCATAGCAAAAGGAAACGCATTTTTGCAGAGCGCTACGCCATGACCAACGTCATGGGATTTGAACCCCTAGCCGCAATTCACGAGCGAACTATGACCTTTGTATCCCAGTGCACCGAAGCAGGCAATAACAGCGTTGACATCTATGTAAGTTTCTCTGGATACTTTATCACGATAGCCAATTAACAATTCCAAATTCTCGTTCATTGATATGCTGCTGATTGTGTTACCCATTTCATGTTCAGTCCAGGCGGTTCAGAAGGACTTCGATATCATGCAAGAGCTTACTTATCACTCGAGTCTTCAAAATGAGTACTCTTACGATCTTGACGGGAATGCATTATCTTCTCTAATCATTAAATAAAGAGCCAGTCGGCCTATTACCTTCCTAAACTAGAGCCATACTTTCCGAAATTCATTCATCCACGCAGCACTCCGAAGACAAATCAATATGTTCTCGACATGGCGGGCCAGACATAGATGGACGACTCCTTGCTATAGAAACTCAGTCAAAAAGAAAACAATTTGGAACTCATGCAAGAGTCGAACATTCATGGGTGTTACAGCCAAAAGGTCACACCGACATGTCCACTGAGATGCAGTCTCCCCTTGGCTTTGGTCGTATTGGGCTGCATTGAAGTGAAATTCCTTTGCATGCTCGCCACTGCTGTCGAACCCCGAACAGAGATCTTTCTAACGGTCGGAGACGCTATTGCGTCGTTTCTGCGCCGTGCCGACCCCTACACAGCCAACAATTGCCTGATGGCCCGAAATAACAAAGGGCAACCAAAGAAGCCATTTGCAGTCGATGACTATGCCTGGCATTCGATTTTTTCCTGAGCCGTGCTTTTTCGTCTGGGCCAAATTCCGCTTCCACAGCCTAAGAAAATATGTTTGAAGAGATAGTACTGGCATTCCGCCCTCCCCGCTCGTCTATTCGGCATCCTACAATTCTTCAAGGTCGGCCAGGTTGGAGCTGCCATTTGTGGGATTATCTTCAATACCGTGTTGATCGCCGGTACCAATAGGCAAGCATAAATAAAGATGGCGTGTTCTCTATACAACGAACGATGACATCGTGGTACAATACCAAGTTATTCTCTCTGCAGCACATGGGGTGCATCGCAACTGTGTTGGCAATCAATGTTCGGCAGGTCGTCATATCTGTCATCAATTCGATCTACAACAACACCTTGACTGCTGCTGGCCACTGAATACAACGATTACGGGGTGGAACGAAAGCTCTTTGGGTATCGTTTCCCACCGGCCGACAACGATCAACTTAGTACCTCTCTGTGCCATTTTGTTATAGCGTGCCATTCCTTGTGATGTCCACTCTGGCCCATTGGCTTTCGTCTGAAGCCTTGTCATTATTGAAATCATCCCTCGGGATGTCCATGGGACTTTAATATACAACTGAGGCGTGCAACGGTTCGGTACGTCAACTATTGGTATACAGATTATGGTTGTCCCGTGGCTTATCATTGCTTTCTCGGTCCTTGTTCTCATGTTCCGGATGTTCAAATTGGCCACCATGCCGCGCGCAATGAACTGTAGCGCGGCTATCAGCGCTGCCTGCCACCCAGCAAAAGATGACTTCGATGCTGCAGAGAAGCCTGTCAACTGGGGCCAGGCATATAGAGGATATCCCCGAATTCACCACATTCCTGGGACCGGGTGTACCGGAAATCGTGACCAGATGCCGTCGCTGCGCTTTTACATCAAAGGAAGTCGTTGAGCCGAAGCCGGACTTTGTATACTATTGAATGCTATGAACCGTAAATAATGATACCGAAATGCATTAAATGCAGTTAACCTCAATTGGTCAGTAGTTCAGCGTCTTTAATACACGCATCTATGGTCGCGAAGGCCACGCAATCGGGATCTAGTATCTCTGTGGACTCGCTGCTCCTAGCAGTGCAACCCAAATGTGGGTCGCGTGATTCAAAATCGAAGCAAATTCACATACGGAATCTTTATCTGGCAGTAGCTGCCGATAGCCCATGCAAAAGCTGGCTGATATCGATTGCGTGAGGGGGCAGGCGTGAAAGAGGGCGGAGGCAGGCGGAGCGCGGCGGTGCCCCTCATCTCCTCCAGATACCCGATTTGTCTGGCGGACTCGGCATTTCTAATGCCTGCGACTTTGGGCTTCTTTTAGCCCACAAGGTAGAGCTGAAATCTGGCTAGTACTTCGCAAAAGCTCGACAGAATACCCCTGCATCCATCGAAGAAGTAGGGCCGATTGGGCATTCTCGCTCGACCATGGCAGGCAGTGATTCCCCGGCTACTAATTGCCGCTTTTCCACGCGCATTTCGCTACGATGGCTTCCAGAGCCTGCTCACGAAACTACGGACACAATTGTGATGTCCGTGAAGGGCTGGTATCTTGATCTGAGAATGGACAAGTACACAGGCGAGATAAACTGGGCCATTGCCGGTCAGCGGCTGATTGAAAGCCAAGAACCCCGTTTGTCTCTCTCAAAGCAAGCTATTCCAATATTCAAAGTTGTGTCTAATATTCTCGCAGTCGAGGTCTCTTTTACCCATGAGCTTGACTCCCACAATGCCTTCGAGAGTGCCGACTGTGGCACCTTCGTCACTCTTCCAAATGGCGATGACCTCGAGACTGGGTCAATGCCCCGACCAGATCTGCCAGGCACACCTGTTACGGCATATGAGGAGATTTGGCGGGAGCTGCCATTCCGTGAAGGACCAGAGGGTCCGAAGAAAGGCATCTCATGGATTCTCGAATCAGATGATGAAAATCTCGGCGAAGGAGAGGTGACCGTGACCAAGACCTTTTTGGGCCGGATCTGGGGGACGTTTCTGAGCCTTCAACAGGACCAGGTCCATGGAAGGAAGAAGGGATCTGACGGGAAATGGACTGTAAGCAAAACAGGTGCTGATGTTAGTGCCAGGCGAGAGGAATGGAGCTCAGGATGGAAAGAGCGATATGTGGTTGGCAAAAATGGAGCCACTTTGCCTTCAATCATCACTGGATTTGAAGGCGAGGGGGAAGGACCTTGGCGAGTACCCGGCGAGAAGGTGAAGATCCAAGGAAAATGGTATATAGTTCGAGCATTTGAGGAGATTTCATCCTCGTTGCCAAGTAGACTTTGATTATTATAGCATTTCAGCCACAATATACTATCTCATTGACTCTTTAAGCCCATTAGCACAATGAAAAGTATCGTTTTTTTTCAGGCCATAGATCTAAATTGACACACAAAAAAAAAATCCATAGTATACTCATTGATTGACACCTGGGACATAAAATTGCGGGCGATTCGACTTGACCGCGTTTAAGGCTGTGCCTTCACGGCAGTATATCCATTTATCGCCAAAACAGGCAAGCGGTCTCTATGCTATCCACAGCCGACATTTTCTACGCTCGACTCACGACCTTCCTTTCTTCCTTCTTCAGGCACCACCCCCGCCAATGCTGCGTTTCTTTGCTACACACGGCAGAAGGCCCAGTCTTCTGTCCTCGGTCCGTGAGCCCCGCTCACACCGAGACTACTCGCAAATGAGAAATTCGGAGAAATCTTCATCAACCAACCCGCGTCCTGTCTTCTCGGAGACTGGGTGCCGGTACTGCCCGTGAGGGCCTGGTGTGACCTTTCTACACACCTGCACTTGGCATCAGAAACATCGGGGCGCCTCTATCCTCCCGGGGTAGCTGGTGATTTTCCCATGGGAGAGTCGGTGCGGAGATTGTGTGTGATGACACTTTAGTGCAATACGCAGCATACCTCACTCCTCTTCTTTTCTTTCGCTTCGGTGGGAAAAAGGGAGAGGATGGTATCATTCGATTCCGATCATTCTGGTGGGGGTGGTGCTTCACCTTTTTTTTCTCAGGTCAGTATTTGTTTCTCCCTCACCCTTCGTTTTCAGGCGCGTTGTGCGCTGGGTGGGGCTGGAAAGGATTGTTTTTTGACGACTCTGCTAATTGTGGGGTTGCGGGCCATGTCCCCTTCTAGGTCTCGGATTTCGTTCGTGATTTGATTTGGGTCGGAATTCGGGTGTGTTTTGAGCCTTGCTTGGGTCATGCTTCGCGTGGCATTTCTGGAGATAGCTTTCCCTGCACAAGGAGGAATTCTTTACGCATATTCTAAGCTTGACGTTGCATAATGAAGTGATTCGTTTAAGATTCATCTACTTGAACTTGTGTTCTCTGTTGTTCTTGGAAAGCATAATGAAGTGATTCGTTTAAGATTCATCTACTTGAACTTGTGTTCTCTGTTGTTCTTGGAAAGCATAGTGTAACGTAGCTTGAATCAGCCCGATGGGCCTGGTTGATTGGACCGCTCGAGATGTGTAGGAAAATTATCATTGCAAAAATGTTGCGGCCCCTTTTATCCTCAGGAGTATCGCAAAAACAAGAAAAAAAAAATATTGGAATTCATTGCCACCGTCAGAGTTTCTCCATTATCATTGGGGCGTCGCTTTGTATTTTCCCGGTCTGGGTTTTATCCTTACTCCTCGTCGCCGATCTGGGGAACTGGTTAGTAATGGCCGTGGAGATCGGAAGGGACGACAACATACCTTGGGGGCAAGGTAGAACCGCAGGTGACCACTGCCGAGACCGTACTCAACAAGCAGCGGCACCTCCTGGGAGAGGTGGAGCGTTACGGAAGTAGACAGGTTAGACGCCTTGCAGAAGTTGACGAGGTACTTGAGCGAGAAAGTCAGGGCGACGGGCTCGGAAAGAGAGATAGAAACGTTCTGTTCGGGCTTGTCGACGTTGGTGTGCTGGCGGATGGTGACGGCGCCGTTACCAATGTCGCCCTGGCAGGAGAACTTGACACCCTCCTTGCTGGCCTCAATAACGACTTTGGGGGGTACAAGTTAGCTGACTGGGTCATCCGCGGGACCAGCCCAAGGTCTTGTGTGAGCTGAAAACTTACCAGATTCGGACAGAGCGTTCAGGTCTCTGCAAATGCGTTGGAACTCCATGGCAGGCATCTCGACGGTGGCGGCATATTCGGTCTCGGGGATGGCCAGATGCTCTTGGTCAATGTCCATAAGCTTGATATCATACTCGCTAAGACGGTCGGACTCGGCACTCTCAAACATCAAGTTAACAGCGTCGGGCGAGTCTTCGGCCTTGAGGGTCAGGATGTCTTCATTCTGGGCGGCGCGGAGGACCTTGGTCAGGGAGTTCAGGTTGATGCCGAGAGCGATGTTGCGGTCGCAGCGGTAAGGAGAGAAGCCTTCGGCGCGGAGCAGCATGGAGACCAGGGCAACGTGGGAGTTGTCCATGGCCTGGAGAGCGATGCCGGAATCATTGCAGTCAAAGTTGCAGTCTTGGACCAGGTCCTTGATGGCGTCGACGACCTGGTGATGACAGCGTCAGTTAACTGAACAAGGCATGCAGCGCGGTGGTGCGGCATCACTTACGCGCTTCAGCAGACTGGCTTGCTCAAGGCGGGCTTCCAACACTTTTGTCCAGTGAGTTAGTTCAATTGTCACACAGGGTCGGGACAGAGTCTTGAAGACTTACTGATGGCGAGGGATTTGTTTGTGGAAAATGAGATGAACGTGAATGGATTGAGAGATAATGAGAAGAATAGCGTCGGTTTGACGGTGAGGAATGGCGGGAGGTGACCGTGGAAGAATTAATGCTAGAGGCAGAAAGGACAGCGGTCTGAATATAAAGCGAAATCGCGTTCGAGGATTAGTGGGGAAGTCGCGCTGCAGGTCGCGACTCGCGTTTGGCGATATGCCTCCTTTCGGTTAGCTCTTATGCCTTAGGCGACAAGGTGTCTCTACTCATCCCAGGACGTGAATCAGGCATCTTGGCATGTGGCCGGGAAGTATATGGAAATCGACCGGCCGCCGCGTTTGCTTGCCATTTCTTTTTTCTTGATGTTTACATTGATTAGGTGGCCATTACTATGGATGCGGCTTTCACAGATTTCCCCCTGCACTGCACAATGCGACAGAACATTTTGTTCATAGTATCATTGAGGATTTTCTCATTGAGGTGCTCGAACCTTGAAACCTTGGATGACAGTATATGTATCTCTGTAGCATGTGTACGATGTTGAGATCGGCTACGACGAAGCACTGAATGTTGAATGAGGGCCTGCTAGACAAATCGACCTTAATGGAATTGACAGAACTTGACTTGACTGTATCAAACTGTCTACATGCGATTCTGGGGGTATTTTCCCTGAACGGGCGGCAAGCCCTTGACAGTAGTAAACCCCTGATAATCGGTCTCGATCGGTGTTCTTCCATGAAGATCCCCTAAATGTAGAATATAATGGCGGCAAGAGCGCTTGAAGCGTATATCAAGCTCAGTGCCTCCGGTTTCCCTGGACAGGCATGCCGGCAGAGGTTGGGAATGAGGCATCAATTCGGTGCCTTATCCTGGATACCAGTCGTGGTTTCAGCCACCATAACAATTCATCCACGATCAGTGTACATAGTACTATGAAGAAATTGGCCATGGCAGGTGCCACGTCTTAAAGCGATCACAACATACATACGACGCTCCTAACACTACATTAGTGTAGCATCTATTTGTGTGCCTAGTGACCAAGGCACGCATAGACAGTGCAAGCTCGAACTAAGAACGGTGAACTATTACTAGTTTTGTGATATTTGTCTGACTTCAATTGCTACCTGGGCGTTTATTTACAACCGGCTCCATCGCCACAGCAAATTCATGACTGAGCAATTGCCGCCGAGCACTCAGGCTTTTTGCTCTGCACGGCTGTTTGTAGTAGTAGTCATGGAAAGAACATTCAAATATATGACACAGGTAATCAAAAAGGAAAGACAAGAAAAGAAAATTGAATGAATCGAATCCCTGAAAACACCGCGTGCGCCGCATCCTTCTATGGTCATTAGGGGTATCATTACAGTTCCAACCAGTGGTTGTCCGCAAGCCACGTATTTGGCCGTGGGGTGAAAGAAAGGAGAACAAGACACGCAGCACCTCGAGCAGATAGCCAGCGTCCACTCAAATGCTTGTCACGCGCTTGGAGGAATTGTTTTTGGGTCGTTGCTTAATCACCATTTCCAATTCTTTGAGCATGTTGGTGCTGGCGTCCGCTTTTTCTCTGGCGGATGCTTGCCTAACACGTTCCTCCCGGACACGAGCCAAACGCTCATCCCGTGTCAATGACGCTCTCTTGTTCCTCGAGGCGGGAAGCACAACGGCTTCAAAGATCTCTTCATCGTCAAAACTGTGTAACAGGTCTGGGCGGACATCGCCGTTCAAGGCTTTAAGAGCGTCGGTGGGGCTACCTTCCACCGCCGTAGTGCCACCAAGGCTAGGAGTGGGAGACACTGGCAGCACGGTGCTGGAAGGTCGTGACTGGTCCGTTGCGCTAAGACGTTCCTGGCTATTGATTATAGCAGCTTTGCTTGATTCCCATTCCTGAAGAAGACCCCGAAGATCATTTCCGATCGTTTCATATTGGGCAAGTAGGATGGAATCAAAGTCACTGGGATCGGTCCGCTCCATGTTGGCATTAGTCTCCTCGCATATAATGTGCATCTTCGCATGCAAGGCACGGACGCCCTGGGACAAGGAGTTGAATCGCCGAAATTGAGATCGCATGTTCTCCTTGCTTGGAGAAACCGAAGGCAATGGGGATGGAGGAATGGAATCCCCTACGAAGATCAGCTCAAGTTCTGATGGACAGTCAAAGGGAAATGAAAGGGGGCAAAGAAACTCACGATCCTCTTCGTTAAGAATGTTGGTCATCTTTGTCATGTTGGAGCCGGTGGCGGCAGCAAGCTCGCGCATCTCCTCCACAGCGAAACTCCATCTTCTGACATCGGAACCGCCCCCATCGGCGCTGAGTGCAAGCAGACAGCATAGAACACTCTTTCTCATTGTATAGAGCTTTCCAAAAAGATCTCGCAAGGAACGCAAGGAATATTGATCATCTCCATTTCGACGCGACAGGCTTGCCTCAATCATTTCGAGGTCGTCGAGTCCAATATCGTAAATATCGTAGTATTTAGCCAGGTTGACATCGTCAGTGAGCGGGCGAAGGGTATTTTGAGACTGGATATAACGTTCGAGCATCGACCAGAAGCATTCCGATACAGCTCTGCGCAGTCTCAGGCAGCGTCGAGTTTGAACTTGATCTTCCAGGCGACTGATTGGTGGCAGGGGGGTGCTTCTAGAGAAGGCAGTCAATATCTGTCCTGGCACTTCACTGACACAGAGGACTTACATTCTATAGCCTCTGGACACAAGCTCCACCTCCTGGATGAATACCACAGAGGCCGACGCGGCCGAGTCAAATCCCTGAGCGTTTCCAACGAAAGTGCCAGCGGCCTCCACGGCCTGGTGCCTCATGAACTTCAGCCACTGTCTTTTCGCAAATGCGTAGAAGATGACCCCAAGCACTGGCACGAAGATCAACAAAACTCCCAATCGCCTCGGGTTGATTTCTGAACCTGTTTTCGATCGACCCCAGTGTAACAACCATACCACTGAGAAGGAGGTGACGGCAGTAACAACTGCACCCTGCAAACCGAAGGTTGTAGATAGGGAAGGAAGCTCTGAGGGCTGGGACGCGGACGCAACATCGGCGGCCGAGGTGTAGGATGGTGCACTATGCTCGTTCAACAGCTGGGAAGCGACAATGACGTATCCAAATTGCTCCAAAAATCTCTCGTTATCTCCTCGTCCGATCCGGGCATTCAATGCGGACTAGAACGAAAATCCATTAGTGTTATGGGCGACGACAGCTGCGAGACAAACCAGGAGGGGTCGTACCGAGCAAGCGTTGTAGACTTTGTCAATAACCACTCCCTGGGGCGTGTTCTTCAGGTTCAGTGGTTTTGGCAGCTTGTTACGAACACGGTCCTGGAATCGTGAAGCTCCTCGCGGGGCAAAATTGGTGAAAGCAGTTTCGCGTTCATTCTCGTTGTGCGTCTCCTCCACTGGCCAGCTCTCGTCGTTCTCTCCCTCCGCTGGACGCGGCACAAGTCAACATTTGCGATCTTTGATGGCCCGGGACATGTCACGAACCTTGGAGGTAATCGGCCAGCGGCGAATCTTCATAGACGAGAGACTCCATGGTCGAGAATCATTCCGGGACGAAGCGAGGAATGCGGCGGAGGGTGGAGGGCGCGTGAGCGTAACGGAGATTGGGGGATGCGGAACAAGGTCGGGAAGGCAAGGCGCGTGCCTACTGGCACATCTTAAGACGACCAGCACTCTCCAGTCACAGAGAAAGCCGAGTTGAGGTCATAGGCGGGCTGAAACGGACAAGGAACTTGAGAAACAAACGACCGGCCACGTTGAACATCTGGGGAAAGGAGAGGTCACGAGAGTTTAATTTAGGGCAGAGGCCCCACTCACCTCCTTTTCGCGATGTCGTGGTTGGCTTCTGATTGCAACTCGACGGGAATATTCAGCCGTTTGATTGGTAGACACTACATCGAATCCTGCTCCTTGACCACAGTCTAATGTTATGATCAACTGAGGCTGTCTTGCAGGAGGGGAGACGGTTGGTGCTGTACCTGCGTTGGAGTCCACGGCCAGCTGCGGATGTACTGCAAGTTGCGCACTGCCCGGTGGATCCTCGGAACGTTGGTTATCACACCATAGAGACTACAATTATACGGAGTAATGCTTCCGGTATTTTGCTTATGCACTAGTATGGATCTCCGCGAGCCCCCTGAGACCCCTAAGGGAATTAGTCTGTGCCTGAAGGGACTCCATAATGACCGATGACGGGATGAAGGTCTCCCCTGATGACTAACTAACTCTTTCCTGCCTGTTTAGTCAGGCAGAATAAACATTATCATCACGTGATGTTTGCCCCGCAATCATTAGATAAGCGTAGTTGCCCTAGACAACGCGGCTATCAACAGACATGGCCTAGATTAGGCAGGCACGACACGCGAGGAAAGCGCGCGGTGGGCGAACGACGTGCCGCTCGTGTCCATTCCGCACTTTGGGTTTTGATGTCATCTTCTCCTCTTGCTGAAATTCGCATCCAGGACACTCACCCGTCTCACCGCTTCTCCTCCGGTCAACATCCTGCAAGGGTCAATGATCATAGCACCTCAACGACATCTTCGCTAAGGTCCTGATTTAGGGTACCAAGCTTTCAAGGTACACGACCTGACCGATGTCCTCATAGGCTTCCCCACTTCCACAAGTCGTGCCCTTGGGTATCCCAACACCATGTCTGGACTACTCGAGGAGGCTTTCACCCCGTGTCCGTCGAGGTCGAGATCCTCCGGCTTCGGCGATACCAGTGGCAGTGAGACATTCGACAGTTTCATGGACGACTCGGTCTGTGAAGCTACAGACCAGATTGATTTCACCACCGAAATCCGCGCCCCAGTCTTAACCGGAGCTCGTCCTCGACGGGCCAACCGAACTGGCTCTACTTTTCATATCCATGACGATCCAATCGAAAACCGAATCGGCCCAGTTGAGAAACGCAGAAGGCCAAACAGCCTGGCAAAACCACAATCCGATCGCAAATCATCTCTCCTTGCCCAGCCAGCTCTGCGCTTCCGCCCTAAAGTCAATTTCGCCCAAAGCCCGCCGACCCGCCCTGTGAAACAAGATATCGAACCCCAGCCGAAGCTGCAACGACGTGATAAGACAGCCAGCGAAGGAAATACCAAACAGCACGATGACAAGCGCGCAAGCAAGGCGAACAATGACGACGGATTGAAGAGGAACGTCCGGCGTGACACCGTGTACATTCCTCCGGATGATACCACGGTAGCCAGCGTTTTCATGGGGCTATTTAGCCCGCTCAAGAAGCAGAGAGGGAACATCCTGCCCAACGCGACTGAGGATACTCAAGTCAACACACTGGAGTCCCAGATTGCAAAGCGCCAGGCTCGAAAGTCAATGGCGGCATCTGCTCGGAGAGCGCCTTTGCAGCCGAGCGCAAAGATTGCGCAGGAGACTGCATCAAGATGCGATATTCCTGGCAAAAATGGCGGCAAAGAGAATGTCCCCCCTGGGACATTGTTCGACGACGGAAAGAAGCAGAAGGCTCAATCTAATTTTCCGATGAAATCCAAGTCCACCAACGCTGTTTCGGCGCCCAACCCAATTCGTCGTACCACTGTCCAACAACCCATGGCCCAAAAGACAACATCGAACCGAAGCGCCCTTGGAGAGAAAAACGGCAATTCTAAGACCCCACTGTCTACTTCCGTCCGAGAAACAAATACTCTCGCTAAACCAAAAGGGCAAACTCTTCAGAAGAGCTCGGCATCGCTCAATGCCCGAGCATCTGCTCTGTCAGGTGGCCTTGGCGGCAGCAGATCAACTCACCTCTCCCGAATGGGGAATGCCTCGTCCAAACGGAAGGATCTGAATCTCGAATACCCTGTGTTGACGGAGAATACCGCTAAGCCTGCTTTGTATGAGGAAAATTGGCTATCACATCAGGAGACCGTTATTACACAATTGGTCAACGCGTTGCTTGAATGCACAAATGGTGATTCTATTCCTCGCGACCCAAATCCTCTCCGACTTGAGTTGCTCGAACTGTACCATACCGAGTACTTCGCTCGGCTTCACCAACGCCTCCAGGCGTCACTCTCATGCGGAACATTGAGCATTCCAAAGGACCTTATTTCCCGCCACAATCGCCTGCGACAAGATGTTGGTCTACGGCGACGATTCCTTGACATTTGGATTCAATCTTACGATCTCCGCGCTTTGGTGCCTGCTGTGGAAACAGTCGTCGGCCGACAGGTCTCCAACGACCCAGGCTTCCTCGATCTTGGCAGTGATGGCTCCGTTGCGTACGAGCCAAATAGAGTGGTCATCAGGAAGCTGGAAGGATTCCTGGAGGCATTTATCCTTCGCAATGAGGATATCGATCAGACTCTTCCCTGTTCCAGGGATATTCCGAAAGAGATGCAGGCGAGAGCTTATCGTCGAACCGTCCTCCGGAGCATCCTGTTGGTTGTCCTCTTGGATGAGGCAAGACAGTGCCGCGGGACAAGCCTTCCCCGGCAGCTCTTTGTGCCTTCATCTCCTTTCAAGTCTTCCGTTGAAGTGCTTCAATCTCTTGCCCGCGTGTTGCTACCCTCCTGTGGAGACATGGCTAAGCCTTTAAGTCATATCGGCTGCTGTCTGTCTTACAAACAGCACCAGTTGCAGGAGTACAGTTACCAAATGGACAACTTGGCAGTCGATCTGAGAGATGGAGTACGGCTGACGAGAATCGTCGAGATTCTCTTCTTTACCTCAGAGCATGTGCGATCTGATGCGGAAGACCAAATGGAAGTCACGCTGTACAACGGAGATGCGTTATCGCTACTTGGTGACGAGACAGATCTCCCCCTGTCGAAACATCTGAAATTCCCATGCATCAGTCGAGCTGCAAAACTCTACAATGTTCAGATTGCTCTCTCTGCCTTGAGCTCCATTCAAAATTTCGGCTTGGTCGTGCGCGATACTAGACCTGAAGACATCGTGGATGGCTACCGTGAGAAGACCATTGCCCTCCTCTGGGCATTGGTTAGTAACTGGGGTCTGGCCGGCCTGATCGATTGGGATGATGCCCGCAAGGAAATCACACGACTCAAGAAGAAAGCTTTCCTGCAGCTTGGGCCCGACAAATGCCACCAGTCGTGGCTTGCTGATAGCGAGCCAAATGACAACGATGAGTATGCTCGGGTTCTGCGCCAGTGGGCTTCCATCTTGGCAGCATTGAAGGGACTGCACATCGCCAACATGACTACCAGTTTTGCCAATGGAAAAGTCTACGAAAGCATTATCAACGAATATGAGCCTTACATCATCGGAAATACGGCCCAACACAGCACTTTGGGTAATAGACAGCTCATGTCTCTAGAATCGCGTCTGCGTCTGCTCGGTTGCAGCTCTCAATTTGGTAAGTTCAATGAAACTCAGCCTGAGAATACCGGGCGCATATTAATGACTTGTAGCACAACTTGTTTCACCAAAAGCGTCGTCTTCGCATATTCTCGATGGCCACTTTACTCTTGGGGTCCTTGCCTTCCTTTGTTCTCGATTACTGTCTGCCTCAAAGCATGCCCGGGCGGCTACGGTTTTGCAGCGTACCTGGCGAGCCCATCTTGTCAAGCGTGATGCCATCCGCCGCGCCATTGCGCAGGATCTTGCTGCTAATTGTGCCGCTGTCGTTCAAACGAGAAACGAAATTCTTTGGGCGAAAGAGGTCATTACTCGTTGGTGGAGAAATGTCAAAGCTCACAGGCAATACGCCGATACAGTCCGATATCCACCTCGACACAAGACCGGCGACCAAAGCCGTGGAGCCGTTACGCGTTGGCTCTGATTTGACTATTCCATCGGACCATACCTGTCCTTGGTACCTACATACTGCACTGCAGATACAGTGGTATTCTTATGATAAAGCGTTGGAGTTAGTTTCATTCCTTGACTTTTCAAGCTATGGGCACTATCTTTTCCCTTCACACTTCATGTCATGACTTTTTTGGCGTTCAGATCCTCAAGTCTGTGGTGCTTTTTCTTTTTCTGTTACATGTTGAAATACCCTCTTTTGTTTCTCTTATCTGGCGTTCCTTCCCCGCAATGGATACTCCGAGTCGTTCATAAAATCCCCCAAGTACCTAGAGTGGATTGTCGTCTGATATCCATCTTTGCACTTCAATCTCTTTAGTATGAACATTACAGCTCTCCTGCCTCTGCTTTTGTCTTGACCTTTACCTCGTTCTTTTATGTTTCCGATTTCAGGACCCTCACGCTTTCGATTTGCGGCCAATGAAAAAAAAAAAAAAAAAAAAAAAAAAGGCACAAATTAGAGCACTTCTGTAAAGTCGTAGACCAGAGGCTAAGGATATGGATTCAATGGGCTATCCTTAGTCTCACGGCTTTGACACGCCAAAATTTTCATGGGTTTCCATGTAGGCCATATAGCGTCTCTTGAATGGTAGTTCACCGTGAAGACGGGAGAATCGAGGAAACCTCGGAGCTTTTGTTTTAAAAAATGACAAGTAGTTAAAACTATACAATTAGAGACTAAGTATTGTGAGAGGCATGGCTTTCAGCAGCTTCGCGGATTGTCAGAATTAAGTGGTGCGTGGATATTTTGAATGATTGTTTTGGAGTCTTGGAATGAGCCTTCCGGTATTTCTTGAAATTGCTTGCTGCCCGACAATGGAGTCTTGGCGCGGTCTACATACGGCGTTACTTTGAGCCAGGGCCGCGTTTCAAAGGCTCACATGATGTCAGTCTGGATAAAATAATTTTTCGATTGTAATGGGAAACAATATACGATGATCCAGCGAGCTGGATCGACCACCTTGGCCATGTAACCGATGGATCTACTAGTGCTCGGATAGAATACCAAGCCGCTCGACAAAGCTGTTTCAGCGATTTCTAATGGAATGCGTACTTTCCCTAATGTCCATATTCTGGGCCTAAAAAAGATCCTTTTCTCTGGTGTGGTGGATTGCTACAATCTAATTCGATGCTTCACAGGATTATGAGATTCTTCTCAAGGAATTTATATTACTGTACAAAGATGCAAGTTTTGCATAGAATCGTTTGGTATAAGTCAAAACCACACCATGATATATAGCGCATAAGGCAATAATTCAAAAGTCAATACAACAGATCATGATAGGAAGCACAGCAATTCTGATTCATATGAGCACATGGCCTTCAAATCCGTTTATGAAAAGGGTCCAAGTTTCATCAATTTAGACAAAGGGTATACATACGGGACCACCGGGGCCTCCAGGACCACCGAAACCTCTATGAGGACCTCCAAATCCAGAGCCACCATGAGGACCGCCGAATTCAGGGCGTCCGGGTCCGCCAGGGCCCATGTGTCCAGGTTCGCCGAATCTAGGTCCGCCCGGTCCTTCGGGGCCTCCAGGGGGCCTCTGAGGCCTGGTTGGTGGTGATGATGGTGGTGAGGATCGCCTGGAGGAGGTCCCCCGGTCCGCCGGAAGGTCCTCCAGGGCCAGGTGGGTGGTGGTGGTGATGGTGTGAGAAGAGACCCATTTTGAATGTAGGTTATATGAGTTGAGAATTGAGTATGCTCCCGGGAATCAACTGCCACTCGCGACTCTTAAGTACTAGCTCTCTGGATGATCTTCGGGACTCGGGTGTCCACTACATAGCTAATCAACGTGGCTTTGCTTGCCGCGGCCTTTTAGAACACGCTCCACGGTGGCGTGGTCAATCATACTGGGGGAGTGCCAAGAGTCTCCTAAGCTTGTTAGAACGAGTGGAATATTCGGTTGCCTAAGTCGGTCGGACTATTGCTGGGAGTGCAGGACGAAAAGTGAACAATGGCGGCGTCGGGCTATATGTTTTGCCTGGCAACTTTAGCTATCGTCGATCCCCAATTTAGGTTTGCCACCACGTTTTTTGGGGTTCCCGCTCCAACGTTGCCAATGTCTTGCCCTGCGGAGTCGCGACAAACTCGAAAGACCTCAGTCGCAATCCAGATCGATGTTCGGATCTCAGGCGACGTCCACGCAAGCAATTTCCAAGCGGCGAATCCTGCACAGCCCTACCCGCTGCTTAAGGCTAACGACGGACCCACTCCGAACAGAGCGTGGCACCGATTGACGCGTCCCAGGAACACTTGCGCAGAGTTGGATAGCACCAACCTTAGGCTGAATTATTGAATGTTGGCTACAAATGCGTAAATGCCGAATCTATCTATCGCGAAGGCAGGTGCAGTGAGGTGATCATATATACTTATAGGGTCTTCCTGCTTTGCCTTTATTTTTTAATTAACTATAAGTTGATTCTCTATACATCATGTTCGAGGCAATCAAGAACTGGTTCGCGCCGGCCCAAGAGCCCGTTGCCGAGAGCAAGTGGGACGCCAATACTATGACTTTGCAACAGCCAAACAGTCCTGCCACCCCCGAGATGAACCAGACCCTCACAGAGCAGCCAGTATGAATCCCCGTTCACGCCTTCTAGCTCTAAGTTCAGCGAAGCAGTAGATTTTAACTGTATTTATAGGGATCTGCTCAATCAATGGATGTTCAAATGCGCGGTGGCGGTGCGGGTGAGGGCATCTGCAGTGGAATGTGAGTATATTGAACCACACGCCAAGCCAAGGTTGACTCTGTTTCTAACATTTCCTCGCTCAGCTGCGCTGGCCTCTGCTGCTTCGAGTGCTGTGAGTGCTGTGAGTGCTGCTGTGGGGATTGCTCTGGAGATGATAGTCCCCTTGGTCCCCCGGCCCTGGCGGACCTCCAGGTTGGTAAAGGGAATGAATACCATCGTGTTCTTTTGCACAGATATGCTCAGTCTGACGCCTTTGGAAATTCCTCAATTATTTTATTTTATCACCGTATATTCCCCTTCAATGCATTATAGCGCCTTCGCTTCGCTAGACTTATTTGACCATGGCGTCCCTTGCAAAACATGGGAAAGTCCCAGCCCAATAGACTCCAGGGCAGCAAAAACTTCCTGGCACCATTGATATTTATCATCAAACCCGTTCCTATGGAAGAATTGAGCAGCCATGGCTACCGGGAAAAGTAGATTGTGGCCACCCAGTATGTGCATGTCCGGTTGTATGAAGTAGCCACACCGCAGCAAATCTGATCAGCGTAGAACTCGGCATTTTTCATGTGAATATCAAACCCGTTCTCAGGGTTTGCTTCGCTAGATTGACGAAGCTTCTCGTGGGGCAAGTCTCCATATTGAGAGAAACTTCCCTGGAGGATTTCTGGTCCGAAGGAGACAGAGTAGATGATCAGTTGCGCAGCCCAGTATAGCATATGTGCTTCGGCGATCTCAACGGCGGAAAAGTTGTATCGGTTGGGATATAAAACTCTGCTATTCTTGCAGCCTTGGCCTTGTCTGGCGTACTGGTGACTAGTTTATCACCAAACAAAGATCGTAATCGCCGGTACCATAATTCGGTCTCTCTTTCCAGCTTCCAGCAGGTATTCTTCAGCCGTTGAACATCATTTTGGGAGGATGTCTGTCCAACAAGCTCAACTAGTTTCGTACATCGCATCAGGGTATCGAAAATTTCGTCAGTGGGATCAATTTCCTCTCCAAGCGGAGGTGTAATTGCCACATGGGGCAGGATGCAAGCGCTGATTTAGATTTTCTCGATCGCTTGAAATATCTAGAAGTAATACAATGTCGGCAATTGCAAGATACCTTGGCTATTTCGGTTAATCGTCTCACTCAACATTTGACAGTTTGAGGTGTCGCAGTAACAGCTTGGACAGCTCATCCCTCTCAAGATCATGATGGTGTAGAGCGAGGACGGCATTAGCGCTTTACATGTGTGCCATCCATCCGGAAAACCCCGATGTAGAATTAAGGACCTGCCTTTGTAAGATTCCTCAATTGTTTCAGTAGAGAGCCTGGAGGAACTCACTTCGTATAGTTGGAATATGACATTAGCACAAAGCATCCCCTGGACCGGGAGGGTGGAGCGAGGTATTAAATGTAGAAATATTTGAATTGCTTGGTTATAAAGCCTGAATCCATTTCTCGTCAAGTGATCATCGTGGAACAATTTCCCCACAAAGACAGATGCGAGCGCCGAAATAGCTCTATCGAGTAGTTGGCTCTTTTGGCCATTCATCAACGATGGGAATGATTCGATGAGATTCGATGACTTTTGACATCGGAAAGAGACCTGGCCGGGCGATGAATTTGGGATATAGGAGTCAATGAATAATGAGAACAGCCAAGACCGAATTTGGGCATTGACATTAATGACGGATATAGTCGAAGCCTCATCAGGGGGCGGCTGGGGCCGGTTCAATTGAATATTGGGCTTCTTGCGAATTTCCAGAATGTGCTGATGACCAGCCGGCTCGGCATATGTGTGAATGAATTTGGGTGCTCGGTCATAGCCCTGGCATTGATGTCCGCCCGCAGACATATCGCACATTCGGGGCGTTGAAGATCGCACTAAATACACAAGTCAGCCTCCCACTCCGAAGGATTCCCGGTGCTTGAGCTCATACACCTTCACTCTACGCTTTTTGCATGTATTACGCCCCGGTGATCTCCAGGGGGCTCCGGGCATCCTGATGGCGTCCTTCTCCGTTGATGGAGTTCATTGAGCAATGAACCTGGCAGTAGATAGAATGAAGTTTCAGGTTATCAAGACCATAGTTAAGGTGGCATTTAGCATCGAAATTGGCACCATGTTTGATCAAGGCTCTCGTTCTGTATTACGTGAGCAAATGCATGGTAGGGGTGTGATCTGAGACAAAAGGACCGTGGAAGCATCAATCTCCAGACTCATGCTATATTCGGAGCCTAGTCTGATCTGTATATGCGATAGGCCGCCCAAGAAGCATTGTGATAGTCTTGTTGGCTCGGTGCAGTTGTCACCTAGTACTACAACCCTGGAAGTTTGTGGACAATTAACCCGGGACCTCAACAATGTATCGAGCACATAAGAACATTGGCGACGGAAATATGAATTACATTGATCTATCAATTCCCAGCCTTTTTTTGGAAGGTTACCAGAATAATCAGATTCGACGTCACCGTAGTATCGAGTATCGAGCAATAATACAGTAAACATACGTCAAAGCCACCATGACGTAGTTGCGTTTCAGGACGATCCCAGCCCTAAAAGGCATCCCAAGAAACGAAAATAGATAACCAGCCCCCTGCTATTCATCAGTCCAATACAGCGGTGTCGCTGTAGATGATGAAACAGCTTCACTTATCCCTTCATGTGACATCACTGATGATGCGGCTGGCTGAGTCGTAATCCCTGCAGACAATAACATTTGTAACCCCATCAACGCCAGACCGCTGGATCGGTGCCCTGCACACTTTACGAGACTCGGCGGCCTAAACCCAGATGAATACTCGGACAGATGTCATCCGGGCGCTGGATGAGTAATATAATTCGGCCCGGGATGTTATTGTGCTGGGCATCTGTACCCTATTCGAAGTAAGATGTACGTTGGTACCCTACCTGTACAGTAATTGTTTATCGACAATCCTATCTTTCGCCCGGCACTTTATTCAGCCCTGGGAAAGTAGAGAATATCAGTGGAGCCACTAGTAGGATCAACCATATTGATGCTCCAAAAGAAGAGGACGGAATAAGGTGGCACACCCCCATGTCCCTCGTCTCGTGGCGGCGCCGCTACGTGTTTCTTCCCCGGTTGATTGGAAAGATATCACACCTCTGTTTCACTTTCCTCTATCGAGACCTCTTTCATCATAGTCCACCTCGATGGAATCCAACTCCAGGAATTGCTCGAGAGATCGCAAGCCATGCCGTCAGCGTGCATGCGTGGGACGGGAGGGGAGGGGATGGGAAGAGAGGGGAATGACCTTTGCTCTGCTGGGTGGTATTGAGCTGGCGCGTGAACTCTATGAAGAGCGTTCGAGTAGCAGAAAGAGAACTCCAGGGTTAGCCGATGCGCGTAGCTCGGTCAGTTGCGAAGAGCGATAAATGACACTACAATATGACTACAAACTTGGGGCATGAGGGCCGGGGCTCTGTACAGTGAGGAGTGTATGTGGTTTGTGCTGGGGAAAGGCGGTCTTGTCATTGACAAGGAGGTCTCGCACGGGTGTGGCCCGATGACCGCTTGCGCTGGCCAACCACATTGCAATGCACGTGTCGATCGTGACTAACAGTCGGAGAATCAAAATTCGTGATGTCGGCTGCTGAGTTGCGGAGGAAAGATTCGGAATTGTCGCCCTAGTCGGCGGGATAATATTGCGTTGTGGTGGTGCATGGCGGGAAGGGCGATAGGCAGCCGTGATGCGACACCCATGGTCATGGTCTTGTAATTTCCTAAAAGGAAGCTAGGGCCTGATAGAGTAAGCGTTCGCCCATGCGATTCGATCCCTGCAGCACAATCGCAGGTGGCTGAGATCAACGTGAGCCTCATTGGGTGCGGGCCCGAGGCTTATGCCCGCCTCGATTCTATATTTGTTTTGCTTGTTTGTTGGGTATGAAGAGCTGCATGGCATTCGATGCTGCCTGTGGTGATCTCTGTATAGTAAATCCAGTGTAATGCGTGCACCTAAATGTGAAATGTACGGCACAATGCAATCCGCGATGCAGGGGACGAGGCGCAGCATTGCTTCAGGCTTGGCGATGAGCTGTCGTGAATATCACATCTGCCTGCGCTCATTGCAGATTGCAGATTACCATAGACAGGTGTGTACCAAGAGGAGAGACCGGTTCAATCCGGACCGAATCACCAGTTAAGACAACAATTCGACAGGAGGTCGTACTGCCCTAACTTCCAGCGTGCAGTGGTAGCGTGCAGCGTCGCCCGGTACGACGGCTTGGCAGCCTCAATAGATCGCACGCCCGCCAAGACTCCTTCCTGTGCACCTGCTGGGGTCCATGATCGACCATGATCGACCTTGGCGCAGTTTGCAATTGCCCCAGGCCGCCGTGCTGTACGAATCGCTCCTGGTCCTGCCCCTATCGACGAGTGATCGCGCTTGGCGCCGAGGGCTCCGCGCAGAACGAGATGGTCTTCTGAAACTTTCTGCTGTTCCGGCCAAGATCGCGCGAAAAGGGGTGCGACGAGATCTCCATTCCAATCTGGGGTAATAGTGGACCGATAGTCTGTTTCTCGTTCCCCATTTTTCTCCACGATGGGGTCTGTATCGCGGCGTATCTCCCTTGTTTTTGGGATGGAGTCACGGTGCCCGTCGGAAGTCGTGAGTTGCACCGGGCGCATTGCGTATTCTGAAGAGCGCGATGCCCAGGGCTTGGCAGTCTGGAATATCAGACGTCCTTGCCAAGCCTCGCGGATTGGAGTCCAGCCCGTGTGTCTCCTGGCGAGGTGCACTGCCGTGGTGTCTGATGATCGACCCCTAGTCTGCGAGCGGGTGCGAGAAGGTGCACGGGAATGTTTCGGGGAGCGATGATGATTCTTGGCGGCCGATAAGGTCGGATGTCCGTATGCGCCTGCCTATCCCTCCCTCGGTCTGGAGTATAGGTGGAATGGAAGTCGGTCTCGTAAGTTCGTATGTAGTTCATTAGTGCCTCGACTTGTCGATCCGCGGGGATCTATAGACAGCCGCAGCTATTTTCGGAATGCTTCATTGCACATTGTACTCCACCAATGTCCATCTTGGGAGAAACTGAGCTGGTCCAACGCAGTCATTCGGCCGGAATGGCATCGCAAGGACCAAAAAGCCGAGGAGTCAAGTCAGCGCATGGTACTTGGGCGCATTCCGTGAGCTGGAGATATTCCGGCATTGCCAACGGGGCCCAATTGATCGGGCTTGGCGAGTCCGCATGCCATTGCGTGAAACTGTGGTACTAGTCAGCGGAAGCGATAAGGATATGTAGTGATCTCGTGAGCGATTCAAGGCGCTGCTGCAATGTGGCAGTCATGGTGATACACGGTTCATTGCCGATGCCATGCATGACGTACACTGTACTCGTGCTGGAGGAGGTACCTGACTGTGTACCTGACTCGTAGAGGTACAATGAATCAGCGCAGCGATCGCAATTGATACTGTCATTCCGCACTGTCAATCGACCTTCGATAAGAAGAATATTCTTGGTGCCGGCTGCAAAACCACTTCAACTGTGGACTTGACCCAATATTAGGGAGCTGTCAACAATGCAATTCGTATTCGGCGAGGCACATTAGCAACGAACCCTGGCCATTCGTCGCAGTGGAGCAACGGTTAAAATGCCTCATAGTCAGCCCGCGGCGGCAGCAGCAGCCACGCCAACGCCTGCACGCCTGCACGCTACTGCGCCGTCCATCCCGCTCGTCCGCGTTGGGGAATTCGCAGCCGCTCCACTTCCCCCGGTTGTGCTCCGGTCAGCACTTTTGCCCTTTCAGCGCCCTCTCCATGCCCATTGTTGCGGCGCTCCACCTGCACAGTTCACACCTTATTGCATCCTTGGGGTTAGTGTGGGCGCGAAATTCCCCGCTGAGGAGCCCGTAAAGCACTTCCCGTCTGGTGCCACGAGCGCAACGCTATACTAGCTCTGTCGCGTTCATTCCGATGTTTCGCGATAATTGCCTATTTATCCCGTGCCGTCGAGTCCCCTCAAAGGGTTTGGAGAAGGGCTCCGTGAGGGGTCAGCTTGGCCGGGCTGTATACATTCTAGTACCGAGGTCGCGAGGTACTACATACAGTAGAGAGTATATGTATGTAGTTACGTATCTTGTACAGAATGTACGAGAAAGACGGGATTAAATCGGATTCATCCTGGGGAATACAGACACCGTCGATGTACATATTTGTACATTGTACATCCACAGGGGCAACAAGGCGCTCGCCCGTGGAGCTGATTGAATCTCAGCGGTTACTCGTGCTGGAGCCGTCTCAAATTAAGATCAAGATGCTTCCTCCGGAGGGGGCGATCGCCCGACTCTACCATTATGCACACTGGCCCTCCCTCCATCACAAGAAACTTTTTACTTGTTTGGTAGCCGGAGATATTCTCCACACAAACAGGACGTCGCGCAGGTGTATGCGAGGAAAATACCTCGATACCACCGGCATATATCCAGCTGCACCGCCGTTCGATGGCCACCAAGCTTCGCCCCGTTTTCCAGATCAATCGCGGTGACCGATTTGTGTAGAACCCCCCATCATCCACTGAGAGAGTTGGGGGCGACAAGGGCCATGCCTGCTCGCGCAGATGTAGTGTAGGCGGGGATCTCCTCGTAATCACGAAGCTTGTCACGATCTAAACGCCTCTGCGGTGGTGGTCGTGTGGGTGGGAGACCATAGCACGATCGTAGTTTGATCCAGGGTTTGTCCCTCGAGGTCGGTTTGGATCCCTGGTTCTGCCGTGCCGCAAGCTGTCGCGCCCTATAGATGTAGACGACGAAGAACCGAGATTTTGATCGCGGCTGACCGCTCCTCCTGCCTCCCACGCCGTGTGGGCATCTTCTGGCGGGGTTAGGTCATTCTACGAGGCATTAATGCTTCCCTTTTCGCCTGGTACTATGTGCCTAGTACTAGCAGTACGTTGGATGGCTTTCTTAATGTATTGCCCATGGTTGGCTCCGCTGGAAGTCTTGCTGTTTCGACTCCATCATGGCTGCTGCCCAAACGGTGGAGTCGAAGTTGAAGCAATACACGTTTCACCGCAGATTGGAGGTGGTAGAATGCTCGTCTGCCGTCCACGCGACTGCCTGTTCCGATGCGCGCTTCGCCTCGAGTATGACGAAGGATACTGGGTACTGGAAGTGTGGTATCAAACTCGCAGCGTCTGAACAATCCCCGAGTTGAGCTGTCACGCCGAGAATAGAAACAAGGCTCAGACACTTGGCGCGATTAAACAGTGCTGCCTTTGTCGTCTTGGCATGCTGAAGGTATGCATTGGGGATCAATGATGGGGGTGTATACCAAGACCGATCGACCGGCTAGGAGGAGAGCTTTCTGTGGGGGGCAAGATGATGTGTTCGGTGCGGTGCAGTTGTACACAAACCGTCTTGGACTCCACTCGGAGAGGCCTGACCTGCGATACCCCAATACCTCAGAGACCGTAACTTACGTCAGAGGTGTCCGCATCGAGGAGCAAGGGCAGCACGACCATTGAAGACCAAGCATTCTGTATGTACGATACAGTAGTCGGAAGAGAGCTTGAAGCTAGTCAGACTACGAGGAGCGGTATGGAATCGGAGTCCGGATTACTGCTGAGAGTATACAGTAATTGGTGCCAAGCTCTCAGTGAAACAAATTGTGAAGCGCGCAGAGCGCGTTTATGTTTATCGGTTTCTTGAGCCCTTGCCCTAGTCAGCGTGGTATGGAGTCGTCGACGCCCCCAAGGGCCCAGTAGCATCAAGTACCAGTACAAGCCGGTCACTACGCTCGGTAGGGTTCGTTTCCAGGCTAAATGAGGGTTCAGGCACAGGCACCGCTTTGGGCGATACACGGTACCGTACACGCTTGTTACCGCCGATTGGTGTCGTGGGCGGCCTCAAAGCTCCTGTTCTGACGTGGGATGACGGTATCGTTACGAAGCCGCATTCGGCTGCCGTCCGCTGTCCGCCTTGGCTGGGAACAGTGGTCCAGCAGGTGCCACCAGCTGAACATACTCGAGGTCAGCGCAGAAATAGGAGCATGACAGTTTGAAAACAAAGAAAATCATCCGCCACTCCCTTCCAAAACAACCAGCACAATGGGGGAACTGAAAATAGCATAGTAATCATAGTAGTAATCAAATCAAAGAGTACGGTAAATTACCGACCGGTTGGGGACGGGCGGCCCTGAAGCGGTTAGACAGCACAAAATGCCTCATAGTCGGCGACAGCCACCAACTCGACACACAATGGTCATCACTCTCCACCGCAAAACGAAATGAAAATGAAACCCTGTCTTTGTCGCACGGATCGAAGACGAGGCAAAGCGTAAAAGGAAAGCGATCAAGTACAGACGATGAGAACTACATGTACACGTACAAACTGAAACGAAGAATGCCCAAAAATAAAAAGATCGAAAATTCCCTATGAGGCGCAGGAACCATTATTCCCCGTACTGTAAGCTGCATCCCTGGTGGGGCTCGAAGAAGCGTGGAAGGGAAGGGGAGGTTGTGGCGACCAAAAAAAAAAAAAAAAAAGTAAAAAAAAGGGAAAATTCAACGCGCTAAACCCAAGCCGACCGTGCCGTCCTGCCGCGTATCGTCACTTCCCCCTCCTCCCCCAAAGCCCGTCCTATACTTCCCTCGCCGCAGACTATTCTTCCCTTAAACTCCACTCTTCGTCCACCTCCCTTTTCCACCTTTTCTACCTGACAACTCCGTCACTTCATCTTTTCTTCTATTCATTTCACAGCCACCCACTTACCTTCTTGGCGTCAAGCCTAGAGGTACCCCGTTCCTACCGCCCCGGCGCTCATCATTGAGTTGCCCATTCTGCGTTTTACCACTATTCATCTTGGCGGCTCTCTCCATCGTCAAACGACTTTTCCAGGTCCCTGCGCCCCTTAAATCATGCGCTGGATATCTTGACAAGCGTCCTTTGCGGGACTTTGTTCTGACCGTTGGGTCGATCGACCAATTTCGTGATTGGTATCGAGTGCAACCGTTTCGACCATCGCCACCCGACGCTCACGTTTCGTGACGCTTTTGCAACGGAAACATGGCTCAATCCCGTGGTGACAATCGAACCTTTTCGTTCAATAACCTCTTGAAGATGCTGCTTTCACCTGGATCGTCGGCCCGGCCGACCCACGACGAGGCCGACCTCGGCGAGGACCTCGATGAGCCCCCCGAACAACATATCCTCCACGCGAAACCCATTCACCCCGAAGATGGCAGGATATTCGCCCGGCCCACGATGAGTGAGCGCCAGGAGTCCTTGCTTACACGCGCCCTGAAGAGCAGCCCCGAAATGTCACCTACCGAACCTCAAACGCCACCTCACGACTCTACCTACACCTATCGCTCCTACCCTCACAGCAACATCAGCGGCATTTCGACGGCCGAGCTGACGAGTGATGGCGGCCAGACCAGCCCGTCTTTGTCAAACACCCCGAGCCCGCCACTTCCCTCGCAGATGATGGCCAACAAAAAGGAAACCGCACCCAAAGTCAAGGTCGTCAACCCCAGTGAGACCACCGTGGAGGCAAACCTGGGACGCAAGCGCTGCATCAGCTTTGCCTGTGGCCGGAAAACCGACCAGACACCTCAGCAGAAGCCTGCTGCGCCACCCGCTCCGGCTCCTAAGGAATCTGAAGAACCTACTCCTGAACCTCCCAAGCGCCAAACTACCCTTACCTTTGTCTGCCCGGGGCGTCAGACAAAGACTCAGACCCCCAACATTCAAAGAGAACACTCTCCGGCTCATAAACTCGCTTTCCGGTCCCGATGCCGCGGTTCCCCTGCCCCCATCTCTCGCAAGACCTCGCCACCTGCTGAGAGCTCCAAAGCACTGGAAGTGCCTACCGCATCGACCACGACTAGCTCCAAGGCAGTTCCTACCAGTGGATTGGGGAAATTTGAGGAATCCGAAGCGACTCGATTCCACGAGTTTGCTAGTTCCCTGGACGAGGACGACGAATGGGTGAACAGAGCTACGGACTACAAGGAGAAGATTACTATGAATGACTGCATGAAGAAGGAGATTGCTATTCGCAAGTTGGGCGAAGAGGCAGAGGAGGAAGCGGAAGATGAGGACGATGATGACTTGGACATCGCTGATGATGACTCAACGGTTCACGACTTTTCGGATGACGATGGAAACGAGTCGGATAACGAGGCTGGCTTCGCTGACTCGGATGAGAGTGATGATGATGGCGACTATGAGTTTTGGGCTCCGTCTGCCGCCGCCTCTGACTCAAACGTCCCCTCGATCGAGGTGTTCCCCACCACGATGGAGCGACGTGCATCCAATACTTCCCTCGACTCCATGACCGACGATAACCAGAAATGGCTGCCCGCGCCCGTGCAGAGATCCGCCGGACGTCGGAGCTCCTCCTCCAAGCCCAAGCCGATCAAGATGCGCCCAGGTACACCGAACTTGCCCGACAGCACCGATTTTGTCTGTGGTACTTTGGATGAGGACCGTCCTCTCGAAGCTGCTTACAAATCCTGCATGGAACAACGACGTCTCTCGAAGCAAGTCCTCATACCGCAAGACATCGACCCCAGCTTCCCGACCAGTGACCCCGAGGACAACGGTGATCTCGAGGACATTTCGGAAAGTGCCTTGGATAGCGTCGTGTTGGAGCCCACTCGTGGTCGGACCGATGACCCAACTCACAAGACTTCGCCGCGACACTCCCCCAAGCGCATCATGTCTCCGCCGCCGCCGTCTCGTCGGCATGGACGCACCTCCCCCAAGCGTCTCAAGTCCCCACCTCCTCGCATTCGGGCCAAGTCGCCCTCACCGGAGAAGTGGAACTTGACCGAGGACATGCCTGTGGTCGACTCTCCTCGTGGTGTCAACATTAGTCACTTGGTTCAGCGCCAGCCCCTGGTCCGCACCAAGTCCCTCCCCCCGCACTCCCAACCCCTTCTTCACTAGCTTGGAACGGACTGGTCGTTGGCAGGGTATTTCTACCCTCACCGAGTCTCCGGAGCGTGAGCAGTCGCGTACCCGCGAGTTACTGCATACCCGCGGCCCAATCGATATTGTCGAGGGCCTTGAAAAGAAGCGTCAGAAGCGCAAAGAAAAGTTCTGGCGCCAACATTGCCGCAAAGCTGCCAAAGAGCAGATGGTGCGACGGCCGATTCCCGGCAAGGGAGCCGAACGGATGAAGGAGCTTGGCCTCGAAGTTGCTGAGAGGTGCAGAGCTTACGGCGTCGGTCAAGACGCCCAGCTCGTCCTATCTGTTTGAGCTCCCGACCTCAAAAAAAGAGGTACCTTCTACCCACACCCCTTCTTCTTCCCCTCTAAATACGAATACCCTTATGTTGTACATATCTACTTCTTTACCCTTTCTACCCGCTTGGTCTGGATCCGAGTGCCCTTCGCTATTACATACTTAACCAACTTTGTCATCCTTTGCTGGTATTCCCTTACACTTTCTCGCTCTTTCTTGCTTGCTTTTAATCTCCTTGGGGGAACTCTGTCTTTTGCATATATTTCCTACCGGGCATGTTTTTGTTCTCTGAGGAGGCTACTTTCTCTTAAGTTTTGCATGGTTGCGGTGCATATACCCCTTTATCTGAATTTGCTGCATTGTGGATAAATGGAAAGAATGGGTTGGTCTAGTCATGATACTAGAATACACTGTTGAGCAATATCTTGATTGAACAGTAGAACCCTGATTATCCTACTGTAGAGCCACCTTGGGTCAGTACTTATGTGTATTCATGTGCTTTGATACATTTGACCGAAGATTCGTCGGGTCCGCCACCGCTGATCCTTGATGCCTCAGGCACCGACCCTCAATCCCGAAAACAACATCCAGCCTGTCTTCTCGCCTCTCCTCCGCTTCATCCATCACCGTCGCCGCCTTCACGTCCCTACCGAATCCCTCGACACGTCTGTCGTCCGAACTCTCCCGCTGGCCCTCTAGCTCCTCACTATCGCCATGTGGATCATCAACTGGTGTAAGTGCCCCGACTCACACCCAACCATACTCTGCCCGTTTCTCCGTCCGCGCCGTGACCGAGGAAGTCCGCTGGAAGAAAGCCGCCCATCTAACGGAGGTTACGATACGACCCTATCATGCGAAGGCGAAGGGGCGGATATTCTGCAGACTGCCGTGCAACCCCGACCTGGTCCAATGCCGCGACTTCTGGGCCTGTGACTTCTGGAGGCGGAGTGGTCGCTTTGCTTTCTGTTCGGCTCACTGATTTGTTTGGGATAGTTTACGATGTTCTGGCTTCGCTTGGCCTTTTGAACAAGCACGCTAAGCTCCTTTTCCTCGGCTTGGATAACGCTGGCAAGACCACCCTGCTGCACATGTTGAAGGTGAGTTCCGAGATTGAGCGCGGATCGTTCCTCGGATGAGGCATGAGTGGTATCATCCAGCACTTGAAGGGGGAATCTTTATGATGAACCTGGCGTTTGAACGAAACTGGCTGGGCGGGATTTGTGGATACTACTTCCAGTGTTGGGATCATACGGCGCTCTGCCCGCCGCGGGACGAGATATACGATGGCATGATGGCTAACGATTGCATTCCTTCAGAACGACCGTGTTGCCGTCCTCTCGCCTACCGCCCACCCAACCTCCGAGGAACTGGCTATCGGTAACAACCGCTTCACCACCTTCGACCTAGGTGGTCACCAGCAAGGTGAGTTGACTCGATCCCCTACCCGATCCCCCACCTGATCCAGATCAGCCCAACTAACGTTATCTTGTCTGTGTCTAGCGCGCCGCCTCTGGAAGGATTACTTCCCCGAAGTCAGCGGTATCGTCTTTCTGGTCGACGCCAAGGACTACGAGCGTTTCCCCGAGTCCAAGGCCGAGCTGGACGCCCTTCTCGCCATGGAGGATCTCGCCAAGGTCCCCTTCCTTGTCCTCGGTAACAAGATCGACCACCCTGACGCCGTCAGTGAGGATGAGCTCCGCCACCAGCTCGGTCTGTACCAGACCACTGGCAAGGGCAAGGTCCCCCTTGAGGGCATCCGGCCCATTGAGCTCTTCATGTGCAGTGTCGTCATGAGACAGGGTTACGGCGAGGGTATCCGCTGGCTGTCGCAATACGTCTAAGTCTCTCTTTGAGAAGGATTAGACAGTATACGATACCAATGACAACTTTCGGTTGTTCAATACCCTTTTTCATTTCCACTTCGGGTTGATTGGATTCAATGCGATGGCTTGGCCTTGCGGCGCTTCTAATCGCTTCTCCAGTCTCCGCCTACAACTCAGCCCTCTCATCACCCCCTCACCAATGATCTCTCAACCCCCCAACACAACCCTTACTACACTATGGCTTGATGTGTCACTCTATTCTACAACTTGTAACCCTTCACCCCAATGCATGCCTTTGGACTTGACTGCTTCTCCTTATGCTTCGATTGCTTACACTGCTGCCTGTTAGCCGGTGACTTTGGTTCCATTGCTCCATATAGTTCCAAAATATTCTCTCATGAAATTATCATACCAGTAATAGCCAGTAAAACTTGAGACTCGAGGACAGATGAATTTCGGTTGCTTGCGTTGTGGATAAACAGGGTATTTCCGACAATGACCTGTGGGCAGCCAAGACCAAAGGATCAGAATGTCCGAAAAGCTTACTTATCCTTGCCAACCCGAGGCATGCGCATGTGGAGCACATCTTCAATCAAACAAGTCTAGACCGGGTCCGGCAGTGGAGGCGAGAAGGTATGAAAATGTAAAAGGGAGATACATGAATTACCTACGATAATGAACATCTGCATGGACGGGAATACCGAGCCCAAAAGTCTAGACAAATATCAATCCCTCTATCCCCATCTCAAATTCCAATCCAAGCCACAGGACAGGAATAGGAATAAGGAGCGAAAAGGACGATAGCTGGGAACTGGGAACCTATGCCTGTACCTCTCTACCTACCACTGTCAAAGCAGAGGGATTCTCCCAAGACGAACGAGGGAAATTTCATGAGAATGGGACATGGCTAGGGGCAGACTAGTCGAGACTCAAGACGGAATAAATTAAGAGGCAGGACAGACATGCGTTTCAATTCAAGCACGAGACCGATAAGACGGAGACAATTGGAAAAAGATAAGAGATAAACCAGGGATGCCCCCCGCCGCCTTTCCAGGATTGCCGAGAGTAAACATTCCGTCCAGATGGTTAAGAAAACAAAAAGCAGTAGAATGAACATGGGGGAAAAGGGTTAACGAAGAAAGGAAGGGGGGGGCAGAATACCAACAAAGGTCGAGAAGAAGAATGGCAAAGCAAACGCTGCTCCGGAATACAAAGGTCGCGCGGTTGGCCGGCCAGAAATGATGGGAGACGGGGGTTTTTTTCACGCTTGTCAATTCAGGGTAGCCCAGGTCGTGACGTGTATGAGAGGCTGTTCAAAAGGAGAATTATCGCGGATTTCGAGAGGTATGGAGATGGAAGGCGTATGGGCTGCACCCGGTTGCATGAGGGTTCCTCGGTCGTTCATCGCTTCGTGGGTCTTTGATTGGGAGACTCGCGGTGGAGGTGATGGAATGGTTGGAATTGGATGTCATGGCGGGATGTAGGAGAGGACAAATTTGTCGATGCGATTTGAAAAAAAGTGGCTTATCTCCGCCCGAACCTGCTGCAATTGGGAAAGCTCGTATCGATTCCTTTACTTCTTTTGTTTGCGCGGAGGAGTGATTGGACCGCCGGAGCTCATCCCACTGTAGACGTACTTTTGTTTCTTTTCTGCTGGTTTCAAGATCTAGATGGGGGTAGAAAATGGATTGTCAGTATTCACAACGACTTCTTCCAAGGACGCGTATCAGATCGAGGTTGACAAACCTGGAAAGAGCAGAGCAAGCTTTCGTCAACACTCATCATTGCACCTGCATTGTCGAATTCACCACAGTAGTTGGGTGCACTGAAGAGCGTAACCAGCTGGCGCTTCGAGAAGAATTCGTAACCATCCTCCACAACCTGGTGGGCACGGCAAATCAAGTCCATGTCGTGTTTCTGCAGGAAGCGTGATACAACGTCGGGTCCGAATGTGAATGAGACACCACGGTCGTTCTCGCTCCAGCCGGTGATATCCTTATCAGGGTCAGACCAGAGGAGATCGCAGAGGAGACCGCAGTCAGGAATCTATTTCAGTCAGCATTTGGCCTTGAGCCATAGAAGGTCTCGCAAACAACTTTGCCACTTTGAACCCAACCAAAAACACAACACGCGCGAATGAACTTGGGGTGGAGGGAAACTCACATCAGTGGGGCGCATAACTCGGCGAATCTGCTCCATCGAGTTCAGGTCAGGGCTCAGGCCACCGTGCATAGTGAAGATCTTCTCGTCAATGATAGCCGCAATGGGTAGGCAGTTGAAGCAGTCGGTGAAAGTCTTCCAGAGCTTGATGTTGTATCGGCGCTTGCATTCATCGTAGAAACCGTAGATACGGTTGATGGAGGCGCACTCATGGTTGCCACGCAGAATGAAGAAGTTCTCGGGGTACTTGATCTTGTAAGCCAGTAGCAGGCAGATGGTCTCGAGAGACTGCTTGCCACGATCGACGTAGTCACCGAGGAAAAGATAGTTGGCCTCCGGGGGGAATCCTCCGTACTCGAACAGGCGCAGCAGATCATAGTATTGACCGTGGATATCACCGCAAATCTGGGAAGGAGCGGAAAAAACACATTAGTATTGGGAGGAAGTCATGCGATGATGTTTGTCAAAGTCGGGATCTATTTGAAATGTACCTTGATGGGTGCCTCCAGTTCGAGGAGGATGGGCTGCGAGATGAAGATCTCGCGAGCCTTGGTGCAGAGGTAGCGAATTTCTGATTCCAGCAACTGCACCTGCTTGCCCGGTCGGCTGCCCCTCACCTCCAGGAGGCGATCAATGATGGAGTCCAGATCCACTTCCTGGTCGGCCATGACGAATGGTCTGGAATGAAAGACAAAGGCGAGAAAGAAACGAAGAAAAAGGAACGGAAAGAAAAAGACGCGCCGAGGGAAGGGATGACTTCCGGGGCGGGCGTAGGCTTGATAACGCGGCGGTTATGTCCTGCAGCGGCAATATTCGTTAAAGATGAGTTCAGTGACGACCAGGGTGTCAATCCGATCCCCAAAACCTGGGCGGGGTGCAACAAAAAAAAAAAGACAGGCCCGTTCCCGACGAATTTCGACGGATTTTTTTTCCCTGGCCACCCAAATCTCGTGCTTCCTTGCCCCTGGTGGGATCAGGAGGGATATGGGAGGTAGTCGAGCGACTTACCAAGAGAAACGAACGGTCAATGAGATCAAAGGACTCGTGCGGGTATCAAGGCCCTACGGCCGCGGGTGTTTTGGGGTGTGAGAGTCTGGCAGGGATGCCAGACGAGGTGGACGAGAAGCCTCTCCGACTGTGATCCGTTCGCAGTTCGATGGACGGAGAAGACAGTACGACTCCTAGGCGTCTATGGGAGACGGTGACCGAGGCGGAATCAAATCGAGTTGTCGAGTCGATTCGAGTGGGATGAAGGGAGGGGGAGAGACGATGGTTCCGAGCGATCGAAGTTTTCCCGGGGGGTTTCCACAGGGTGAGGAAGGGAGTAAGGCAGTCAAAGGAGGAAAAAGTTCTCCAGCCGAGCGATGGCAGTTGTGCAGAGACGATCCAGAGCAACGGGGGACGTGATGGAGCGTGGTGGCCTCGAAGGGTGAAGAGAGGAGAATCTTGCGCAGGGAGAAGCGGGAACTTCCCAACTTCCAGAGTTTGTGTTTGCGGTGTTTGGCTCCCGCGCTTATAGATCGGCCTAATTATAGCGGCACCGGGAATTCACAACTACCACTCCTCCACTGATACGGCCATAGATAGCTATGGTACGAGCTTAGGGTCTCTGAGAAACAAACTCCAAGTGCGATGGTCGCGGTAGTCAATTAATTTATGCGCTTCGCTCTTGCGCCTTCGTGTCCATTACCACACACCCCCTCCTGCAACACGGCGTGGAGGGGCGCCGGTCTCGACCCTCTCGACTGCATCGCAAGGGGCCCCAGCACGGCGACCAGAGCACCGGCTGGCATACAAATAGTCCAGGACAGCCCAGATGGCTAATCTCTGACCCTGCAGAAAGGCGACCAGGGCCCTGCGATGGTGCCGACCCGACCGCGCGTCGCATCGGAGTCGGGAGCCTTCCCCAAGCTGACTCTACCAGTTTACACAATTCTACAACACTACCATACCACACCCTACGGAAGACCCGGCACGGACAATAGACTGAAATTATTTTTGTGATTTCGCTCATCACGCTGTGATGGCTCCGAGAAATTTGCAAACACGCCTTCCCAGAAGAACAAAAGGGGAATAGAACAAAGCAATCCGCCAACGCCAGAAACCGAGAACTCGAGAACAGGTACAATACACGCGCTCTAAAAAGGAAACATGTCCTCCATATCGCCTCCAACAGGCGAGGACGAAGGAAGCGCAGGGACATGCGTTTTGATGCCCGAGGAATGTTGGCGCAAAACCAAAAAAAAAAAAAAAGGCAAAGAAGGCGAAACAAAAAGACGTGAAGAAACAACCGATAACCAACAGAACGAAACAAAAAGCGGCCGTAAATGTTCATACATCCTACCCACCATATCTCGTAAGTCATTGAACGCCATAAACAATGCAAGTAATCGAGCGCCTTGAAAGGGCGTGCTCGTTGTGGTGTAATGATTCCGGAATTCGTGCGAGTTGCTCTCCGACGAGAGTCTCGATCGCATAGAGTGGGGAGAGGTGCGTGTAATAAGGTCATATGTGAGTGACGAGGCAAATAAACAAACAGGCTTGCTTGATGAGCCTCGAGTCGAAGTTCACCCGCCTAGGGGGCATGGCCACCGCTCATTATAGCGTGGCTATTCGCCCGGGCAAGTGACGCCGTTGGGAGTGGTGAGTGGTCCAAACTGCTTGAGGCAAGATGTCCAGGTAGATTATTTGGCGGGTTGTCCCACGGGTGGTCTCCCAACACCGTGATCCAGTTCTGTCCCACTTCCTGTCGAAGGACTTCTAACTGTTGGCGGCAGAGCTCCTCGTCCAAGACCCAATCCTTTCCCGGAGCTGGGTGTGCCACAGCAGGCTGTACAGGAGGTGGGCTTGCCGAGTTTCCTGACTTGAGAGGGGTTTGGATCATGCTCGAGGAGCCCGATTGGATCGCGCTATCGAGCTTGCATTGGTGGTCGTATGGAAGCACAATCGGCGGATTGATGGGGGAGTGGACCTGCTGTGTCGGCTGAGCCAGAGGCAACGATGGTCCTGAACTACCCAAGCCGTCCGTCGTGAATGGGTTTTCCGTCGATAGATCAGCGATTCTTCGGCGCTGGGACTTCTTCCGACGTCCAGTTCCCGTTTCATGATCACTGCGCTGAGCAGCCTTCGGGTGCACTTGGACTTCATCGTCCGCCGTCTTGGGCAGTGGAGTCCCTTGGATAACTCCGACATTGGCGGGCTTGTGCACAACGGTCGACTGATCTGCCACGGCAGAGCGGACCACTGGGGCACCTTCAGGTTCTGCCACTCGATCGGCCAGCTGCTTCCTCTCGGTATAACCCGGGCCACGGCCATCGATAATGATATCCTCTGAGTAGCCGGGTGTGCGGCGGAAGAGATTCATAATCACAACCCGGTAACCCGAATGGGTTTTGGTAAATGGATTGCCAGACACCCAGATCTCCCGTATTTCAGGGAGACTGGTGAGCCGAGCCATCTCCGTTGGGTCCATGAGGTTGTTGTCGCGGAGGTCTAATCTCTCCAGAGAAAGCAAGCGTTCGATTCCGGCCAGCGAGCGAAGGCGGTTGCCGCGAAGGTTGAGAGCCGTAATAGCAGGCAGAGGGTTGCGCGAGAGAGAATGCAAGGACTCAATCATGCAGTGGGAAAGGTTCAGGGCGCGAAGAGCCATGAGAGATGCCAGGCTATCGGGGATCTCCGTCAACAGATTAGAGGACAGGTCGAGCGAGTTGAGAGTGTTCGCCACAGGAGCCAGGCTGGCCGTGGAAATTGAAGTCAACGCATTGTCCGGCAGACCCAGGTGTCGTAGGAAGCGCCATTTGGATGCAGGCAGAACGCCGGCGAGGAGATTGGAAGAGCTTCCAGTGTGATAACCGCCCGAGGTGTCGCTTGAGTTCGAGCTCCCGGAGCCCGTTCGTCGAATGCGCGCCGATTGACCACGGCTATGGCGCTGATGGCCATGCTTTGTGGTCGGTCGCGTCGGGGAGATACTATCAGCCCTATTGCGAATCTTTGCACCTTCCGAGCTACCTCGGATCATCGGAGCAGCCTTGGGGCTCGTGCTGGTAGCCAGTCGAGTCTCGGCGATGGGCGAGCCGGGAGCAGAAAGAGAAGTATGAGCCGCAGAGTGCACAGGCTGAGCGCTGCTGCTGTTGGTCCACCCGAGCGGCGGCGATTGTTGAGACTTGGTTGATCGGCGCCGTCGCTTGTCGATATCATCCAAAACAATCCGCGTCAACAGGTCGGCGGGGTCATCCAGATGGGCCCGTTTGATGGACAAGGTCCTCAGCTGCTCCGATAGTCGGTCCCACCCATAAAACGAACGGTAGTCTAAGTCAATGATCTCTAGCGCACTCAGGTTTTTGAAAGAATGGAGCGGCACAGCCGTATCGAAAGGAAACTCCTCATAGCCACGGATCAGACAGGCACGGTGGTCCGGGGCGAGACGCAGGCAGGGGATTTTCGTGAAAGCGGAGTAAAGATACTTCAAGTCAGCTTCCAGGGCCGATTTGGCCCTCTCGGATTTGGAGGAAGAGTCCTTGGATCCCAGACCGAATGATGACCAGAGGCCGCTCATGCCCGACATGACACTCCGGACACTGGATACGGAATGAATTGAGGCACCATCTCCTTTGGAACGCTGAGGCTTGTTCAGAAACGAAACATACGACTGTGAGACATCGGTATGGATGTTCTCCAGTCGGACGTTCATGGGGCCCACCGCAATGGACAGATCCTCGAATTGTGATAGCAGGTAGAACAGGTGATGCGGGGTGAGGGTCAGTTTGGCGGGCTTGATGCTCTGCGACGTAAACTTCAGCGCCCCAAAGGACAGGGCAGACGCCAGGGTCAAGGACGTCGAGGAGAAAGAGGAGCCACCTGAGCTCGAGGAGCCCGGGGGAGATTGTGGGGTCACAACATTTTTGGATTGGCGTCGAAGCTGTAGAGCGTTCGCGAGGGCTTTCTCGTGAGTGCGGACGAAGCTGGCGAGGTTCTGTTGAGCAGAGAAAGAGGAAAAGAATGTTAGTTGAGCTCAAAAAAAAAAAAAAAAAAAAAAAAAAAAAGACCGAAGATCATCGCAACATGCGAGTGGGGGCCAGGACTCACCTTGATGAAGAGTTGTCCATCTTCAGTGTTCAGCTTCTCCATGGTTGGCAAGGAGTCCAACGAGGCAGGAACCCAGCCGGAAGAACTCTGAAGATGGCTGGCTCAGTAGATGCAATCAGAGAGAGTCGACATTTTGTTGGTGCGACCAGGAAAAGAAAAGGAGCGTTGTCGCCTAGGCGATGTGAGGAGTTAGCGCGGACCGCCCAAAGCAAGGTTAAGGGGGCGGCGGTACCTCGTGCGAAAAGAGAGACCGATTTGACAGGTCGGATTTGAGGCTACACTCGAATGGAGGGGCCAGCAGATGGGGGGAGGGGGAGGGGGAGGAGGGGAGGTTGAAGGGGTGGAAAAGGAAGCGTGAGGGAATCGGTGGCACGGGGTAACCGCTAAATAAGAATGGGGGATCGCAGAAGTCGAGATACGTGAGATACCAGATAACAATACTCCTTACGCAAAATTACTCCAAACTTTCCGCCCCTCTGCCATGACATCTGGTATTCGCGACCGATATTATTTGCAGATTGTATGCTCCTCATATTTCCAGGGCCTATGAGACTGTGAACCATATGGTCTGATCGCTTGCGTGCATTGGCGGATTGGAAGATGCTCATTTCCCACTGTTTTGGCCACGAGTCCCCTCACGTTGAGTCAACCACGATGTCTCATCTTATTTGCGATACAGCCGATGTCCCTCATTTTTCTGTTTTTGGGCCGGATAACTACTTTATGTTTCTGTTTCTCAGGGGCGCCTGGAGATGATACCCGTTCCCGCTATAGCAGGTCACTTTTTTGCTGCACGCGGCCCCGGTGGGTGGCAAGAATCACCGTACTAGTAGTACGACTACTGCTAGTAGTGATGGAGGGGTACTAGGGTTTGACTTGCTCGGCCGCGTCTATCAGGGACCCTTTGATGGGATCGACCCCAATGGGACATGCGACTGGGAATGCCCGTGGTGGGTTGATTTGATGCTGCTGCATGGCCTTGTAACCGTGGATTGTCGCATTCTGAGTCGATCCCCTCCAGCAAGGATAACTTTGTCTATCACGCACGCGGTGGGGCTCCGAAGTCTCTCCTCCCCTCCTTCGCCCGATCGACATCCAATCAAGCAAAAAAAAGGAAGGAAAACGAAAAACGCGATATCACTCGACGCTTACCCACCCACATCCAAACGCTGCACTGCAAATCCCGTGGTGGCGGGTGCTGATCGTCCTGACTCTTTCGTACTGTCTCCATCCCCAGTAATCATGTACTGCAGCCACAGTGCCAGGCAACCCAGCCGCCCGGTGTGCAGCTGGTGCAGACCGGGTGGGAATGCCGATGTTTGGCCCAGTTGCCCCATGCTCTTCCTGGCCCGCTTTTCTTTTTAGTGCCAAAGGGCCCGCTGTGGACCGTGTTCCCGAGTTCTGCGGCTGGTCCGGTACAGCCTGGTACCTGAGGTAAAAGAGGTCATCTGCGGTGCACGCTTGGTCAAAAGGCGTGCAGCCGATCGAGGGCAGATATCAGCCATTGGCGGGTATGCAGCTGCCTCCAGAGGCTATCTACGTCGCCAGCATCGTCGGTCATCCACGAAAAGGTGAAAATAGCAAAATGCGCGGACCGTTTGGCGCTATAGGCCGACTCCATGAACCAGCCAATCACCGCCCGGCGACACTATGCGCATTACGCTATCTGGCGCCATCCGGGTCAGCTCGCACTGACATCTGACATTCTCGCGGTGGGCCCAAGATGGCCGCTTTTTTTTTTTTGTTGTTTTTCTTGAACCCACCATATCGTGGCTGCGTGGAGCATGCTCGTCCTCGATGACATCAAATATCTTCTTTTGGGGCAATGTCATCGGGATGGACGAGCGTTCCTATGGATGGCACCCGCCATCAAACCACGTCGTGCTCCAAGCCTGGTCACCTAGCTTTTTACACCGCTCCCGCATTCCGGCCCGAACAAGGCAACCCTGGGTGTTGGTCGAGCCATGGTACTACGCGATCCCTTGGTTTCATCTATGTGAAGACGGCTGGGAAGAACGTTGACAGGTCGCACCCGACAATCGCTAGCAACGGTGTTTCGATACAGTTTCAAGATGCTCGTATACAGTACATCCATCAATGCGGAAGAGATTTGTTTTGCATAGTACAGATGCCGGCGAGGACAGGGACAGGTACTTCATGCACGTTGTTCTTGAATTAGGGGGGCTTGCCGGGACGGTTTGAGATTGGTCGAGTACAAATTTCAGGTCAACATCCCCCCTTCCCCTGAGGCCGATCCCTCAGGCGCGGGGTAAAAGGAGAAACAATCCATGGATCCATGGCCATTCACATTCCTGGGCTGTGATGCCGCAAAGCGGCGCTCGGGTCAATCTAAGATCCCAGCCTGCTGTAGAGGCTGCAGTTGCAAGGAGTTCGCATGCAGCATCCTTGCATCTCCAGTGCACACAATCTCGCTGCATCAATCCGCGTACAAAACACGCCTCGCGCGCGATCGGGATAGGACACAATGTATAGATGCAAGACAAAACAGTCGCAATGAGCAGAGTACTACCCCGCCCAGGCGAGGAATGCTGAGCACATGGGCATTGCGACAGGAGGTTCAAAGGGGGGACCACACATGATATGCGATCGCCCTCCCGATCGGCCGCCCCGCCCCCTTCGTCGGAGTTAGTACGTACGCCGGCCTCGTCGCTAGGCGAGTAAACGCCCTCGGGCGTTGGCCGGTATCCCCACTCCTGGGCGATCCATCCAGCACGAGCGTACGAACGTGATATCGCGGGCGCCGCCTTTATTGGAGGCGCCCTGGTCATTTGCTGCCTGCGCCAAGCCGAGTGTGGCGCGCTGAGCCGGTGTCTTGACATCGGAGGATACTTCGCATTCGCTTTGACGGGCAAACACTGCATCGCTCCCAATGCGGAAGCGTACAATCCAGCAGCAGCTCGCTCGTCGTTCTCGTCACCGACGAGCCATGGCATCCCGCGGAGTAACCTTGGGGCCGGGGAATTCCACTCTGAGGAGTAGAAGTAGTAGTGCCCTGTCTGCCATCCCGGAATCTCAATTGCAACTAAAGCAACTTAAATGGCATATAAATTCGAGGCGGCTACCGCGCAACCCGCTCAAAATAATGCATCTCGTCGTGCGTCCCTATACACCTATCGTGATGTGGGACCAAATGTCTTCTATTTCCGTCGCCGGGTATATCCAGCCGAGGGCTCGCGGAAACGAGATGCGACGCCGTCAGAGTTGTTTGCTTTTTCGTGGAGGATTCACAGGATATCAGGGCGATCGACATGATCAGCATCAGGGAGCACCGATGAGTGGGAACAGAGTCCCGGAACTACCAAGCGGGCGTAACTAGCGGCCAATCCCAGCAGAGGCCCGCGACGACTCTGCACATCATCACTATCCTGCGCGATCAGGTGACTGCGAGCCATTTGAGCCTTTGAGCAGGGTGCCGTCGGTCGGTGGACGTGGGAGTCCCTGGACATACACCAATCGCCGTGGTGTGACGCCCGCAGCGCTAGCGCTGCAGAGACCTCGGGTCCTCTGCACGTCCGATATATCGCGCCCTGCTCGTATGCGGCTAAAATCGAGGTGGTCTCCTCGTCAGCCCATAGGATGCTTTCCTGCTCCTCCATGTCGGCTCTCCTCTTAAAAAGCATCTGCGCTGCCCGCCAATGAACGGAGTCAATGGCCCTCTCCGTTGAGATCTGAACGAGCTAGCATCTAGCGGTGAAGCAATATCCTATGCCGTGCTGCCGCCGGAAGTTTTTGTGGAGGGGCATTTGCAGGACATGGACAGATTATCGCGTCGTGGAGAGTCGGATCGCGTTCAATCAACTGCCTCTTGGGGACACCATTCGGAGAACGGCATTGCGGATGGTCCGCACGACCGTGTGAGCCATCCACAGGAAGATTCCACCGCGCCTCGATAAATCGGAGCTACGAATCGCGTCGCACAAGATAAGCCGTTGCTAGATTTTTTGCGTAACCTTGGGGTGGGTTGGGGAGGTACAATTTCGGAGACCGGAGGAGACAACTGCTGCTCCATCCCATCAGTAGATACAGATCAGAAATATACAATGGCATTTCACTTTGACCTTTCTGTACGAGCGCAATATCTGCAGACCGTCCCGAGGGGCACCCAATGTCTACGCCTTCGAGGCGGTCTGGAATATACTTCGCGTGCTACCGTGGTTGACGTTGAGGGACGGATGCACTTATCTGTGGGGCTCCTCCAACGGCTCACTAGCCACAGATACACCCGCCACACCCATACCCCACTGCGGAGTGGCTGATTGATACACGTGACGCTGACGTCGTGGTGTAACTTCCCCAACCGGATTCCCAATGCTGTTCCTGCTTTGCACCATGCATTGAATATGCCCTCCGAGGAGAAGGCTACGTTAACTGACCCTTATGACCCGGCCGGCCTGCCGGACTATGGTGAGGATTTTATCGATCCAGATGACCTCCGTCGATTTGAGCAGGCTCTCAACGCGCCCGAAGCTTCCCCATTGGTAGCCCTCAACGACTGGCGCCCGATCAACCAACGCGTACGCAAGACCCGCGGTCGTCGCAAGGCCCCGAAACGAAGCAAGGATGAGACGAGAGAAGGCGTGCTCTACACAATCCTCAAGTGGCCCTTCCTCTTCACCGTGTTCGCCTGGATCGCGGTGCTGAGCTTCGGCTACGTTTTGGTTCGAGTATACATCCTTCTTTACGAACAATGGATCACATGGAGAGGAAAGAGGGAGCGACTGAGACGCGACCTGTCGTCGCAAAAGTCTTATGCGGACTGGCTGAGGTCGGCCCAAGCGCTGGACATCCACCTGGGCAACGAAAAGTGGAAGCAGACCGACGAGTACGCTTACTATGACCATCTTACGATCAACAAGGTTGTCTCCCAGCTGAAGAAGGTGCGAAAGGACGCGGAGTGGGAGGCTGAGCATGGTGGGGTGAGCGTCAACGAGATACCGGCGGTGGAAGAGCTTCGGTCTTTGTTGGAGGCCTGCGTGAAGAACAATTTCGCGGGTGTGGAGAACCCTCGCATTTACAGTGAAGCCTATTCGGGAACCAAAGAGCTGGTTCAAGAATATATTGATGAGGTGCATGCGTGTATCAAATTGGTTCTGGACGGCAAACAGACCGATCGGGAAGCCAAGTATCAGCACTTCAAGCACCTGGACACAAATTTCGGGCGCACGGCACTATGTCTGTCGGGCGGAGCCACATTCGCGTACTATCACTTCGGAGTGGTCAAAGCACTGCTGGATAATGGCGTGCTCCCCGAAATCATCACTGGAACATCAGGCGGAGCGTTGGTAGCCGGCCTAGTGGCAACCCGAACCGACGACGAGCTGAAGCAGTTGCTCGTTCCGGCACTTGCTCACCGAATCCGCGCTTGTCACGAAGGATTCACGACGTGGATTCGTCGTTGGTGGAAAACCGGTGCTCGGTTCGATACACTAGACTGGGCTAAGCAGTGTAGCTGGTTCTGCAGGGGCTCGACTACTTTTCGAGAAGCCTATGAAAGAACCGGTCGCATATTGAATGTCTCCTGCGTACCCTCGGACCCTCATTCCCCCACCATTCTGGCTAACTATCTGACCTGCCCCGACTGCGTCATATGGAGTGCCGTTCTCGCCTCAGCTGCCGTGCCCGGCATCCTCAATCCGGTCGTTCTGATGACCAAACAGCGGGACGGTACTTTGGCTCCTTACTCCTTCGGGCACAAGTGGAAGGACGGGAGCCTGCGGACGGATATACCTATTAAAGCGCTGAACTTACACTTTAATGTCAACTTTACGGTCGTATCTCAGGTAAGATTTTATCCGTTCCATTCATAACTCCCAGCCACTAAGACCGTTTTAGGTCAACCCTCATATCAATCTGTTCTTTTTCAGCTCCAGAGGAACCGTGGGGCGACCGGTCACCCACCGCAAGGGACGTGGCTGGCGTGGTGGCTTTCTCGGCACTGCGATAGAACAATACATTAAACTCGACCTCAACAAGTGGCTCCGAGTCCTGCGCCATCTGGAGCTCCTTCCTCGGCCACTGGGACAAGACTGGAGTGAAATATGGCTACAAAAGTTCAGTGGCACTATCACGATTTGGCCGAAGAGCATCCCGTCCGATTTCTATCATATTCTCTCGGATCCGACGCCCGAGCGGCTTGCGCGCATGATCCATGTCGGTCAGCAAAGCGCTTTTCCGAAAATCCAATTCATCAAGAACCGGCTGAGTATTGAGACGGCGATCATGAGAGGCCTCCAAGAATGTTCCGCCACCGGGGGCCGTTCCTTATCTCCCATTTTATCCCGCCGCATCCAGCGCTCGCAACACGAACCATCAGATGCCCTGCTCGCACGACTCGACGAGAATTTTCCCGAAAGAAGCGGCGACTCCGGCTACAAGACCGGGTCGCATTACGCGGACCTCTCTGACAGCCTGTCGCATTCAACGGCCTCCTCACGCCCTCAGACCCCGAGTTCTCGGAGGGGTAGTGTTATAGAGGAGATGCGGCGCCAGTCGGCAGTTTTCTTCGATGATGCGGACTTGTACGGTGACGAAGACGCGGTAGTCACTTGAGTCCTTTTTTGATTTCGCGGCGGCTTAAGCGCGTCCATTAGTGAGAGGCGACCAGCGCATGACGACGAGCAGGGTCTTCCCCTTTTAAGCCACCTGCAGGCCCATCTTCCGTCATGATACATTTCGTCCCGATGTGATATTCGAATATGACCGGCGGCTCCTGCTGATCGCCTTTGCTATTGGGGGCGGATACTTTCGGGTTTGGCTTTCCATCGACTCTCGGCCTCGAGGACCCGGCCACCCCGCTTTTTGAAAGATCTTACATTTCGCATGCCAAGGAGTTTTGCTTTTTAGCCTGGAAACATCTTATCTCTTGAGACCCCTTTTGAGTTTCGCTTTTTTTACAGACTGCCTTACGACACTTATGACTTTGCTGGTTACTTTTCCCCGTGATGAGGTAGATATTATTGCTGGTGGTGGTCAGCGACTCTTATGTAATATACTTATAGGCTAACTACAGGATTACATATCTTGATGTGTACAAATACGATACATATTCGGGAAAGGTTCTTCTCCAAATGTCAAATCCTCTCCTAGAATATAATACCGCATTGTACAGTGTTAAAAATATTGGTGCTGGCGTCCTCGCAGCGCTTCCCAGGTTGGATCCAGAAGCTCAGAGCGGGGCCTGCTTGTCTCAGAGGCGCGATGACATCAGCTCAAAGTCGAGTGTACGACATTAGATAAACGCCCTGCGCTAATGCAATGTATAATGGTGTCATTCAATATACATTTGATTTAGTCTGGTGTGCATCGTAGTTTAAACACCACCCACTCTATAGATATGACGTTCGTTAAACAGTGGGTCTTTGTACACTACTAGTGTATCCATGCATCGGGGGTTTCAAACGGTTTACAATGCGTAACAATGCGTACTAATGTTTTGAGGGTACTTTTCCATGAGTACACTATGCATTCATCTGGAGTTGCCAACTAGGGCGGTATTTACTGAAAGCGCACAAAATGTCTTTTGATAATAATTCAAATTTGATTCGAATCTTCAGTCTATCAACAACATAGCGGCTGCGCATCTTCCGTTGCCTAATTTTGCGATTACAACGAGAAGAAATTGATCTTTTGGTACTTTGGCAATTGTAGGATACCGCTCGTTCCTCTTGGGTCGAGAGATATCTCCCTGCCATTCCCAGTTCCCACCCTCGAGACACACGCCGAAGCATGGTACACCGTTGACGAATATCTGGACTGAAGACACCCCAACAAGTGGATCACTTGATAATACAGTGCCTGACACCAATACACGACGGCATACCTCCAGCTTCGATTCATTCAAATTTTTGGATTCAGTCGCGGTAATGTTGAGGATAGGTTTGGCATCAATCGTGTCCCCGTGCAAGGGTGTTGGGAATGAAATATAATCTGTCGGCAACGGCGGTGTTAACGAGGGAACGGTACGAGCTCGAGATGCTGCCTCAAATGCGTATGCGTAGCGCAGGAGATCAGTATCCGAGTATGCTCTCGACGCAAATGTAATCCCGACTGGCATTTGCTTGCCTTTCATCATGCCCATGGGGAGGGTGATACAAGGTATACCACAGTGCTTCAAAGCGCGGCCGCCATTTGCATACTTGACACCATCTTGCAGGGCGTGAAGACAGGACTTGTAATCCTCGTCGCAGTCGGCGTATGCGACATCACCGTTAGTCGGAAAGGCGAGCAGATCAAAGTCGTTGACATCCATCCAGTCTTCGAATTCCACCTTCCGCATGGCCTCCAAAGACCTCACAGCCTCCTCTATGCCTTCGAAGGAGTAGATTGTGTGCATTCGATCTTTGACGGAATCGATCATGTCGGAATATCGCACTTGATTTTGTGCTTCGGTGTGTCTTATCGGGTCGTCCATCGGGGCAATATGCGGATGGATCTGGTCGGGGTCCGATGCGGTGAGGTCCGGATATTTCACATCGCCGTTCATCCGGAGGAAGTCGTCCCAGGCCGTCGCAATCATTTGGCATCGCTCAATACTGGTCCATTCAGCCGGCATCCCCGGGACGTTGCAGCTTTGTCCGGGGAAGACTTGCTTGACATAGAGCTCGAGAAAGGGGAAATCTGTCTCGATCACCGCGGCACCGAGGCTCTCCAGTGTCGCTCTTGCTTTGTCCCAAAGCCTCTGCACTGGTTCGGTGCAAACATGGAATGGCTTTGCGGACGAGACACCAATGAAACATCTGGGGACTGCAATGCGCTTCCCAATCAAAGCAGAAGAATCCGCTAATGAGCAAAAACTGGCAGGTCGGATGCTCCCAGCTTTCGGAATCGAAACGAACGGCTGGTTTGGCCAAAAGTCGCCCCTTCGCGCAATATCGGTATCCTCGGCCACAATGATATCGAGCACGGCGAATAAATCTTTCATTGTTCGTGTATGAGGAACGATCACATCACAAGTTGGATAAAGAGGCCATTGTCCTCGATTCGGGATCACACCACGAGACGGCGAATATCCAACAAGCGCATTGTTCGATGCTGGCGCTCGACCGGAGGATACTGTCTCCCCAGCGAGCCCAAAGGCAGCAAAGCTTGCGGCTGTTGATGTACCGCATCCATTCGACGAGCCTGATGCATATGCTGTGGTGGAATACTCGCTGTTGTAAGGACTTTCTGCTCGTCCATACAGTCCTCGTTGCCCACCGCCATCCGCCATAGCTGGCATATTCGTTCTTCCGATTATCACTGCCCCGGCCTTGCGAAGCAAGGAGACAACTGCTGCATCGTCCGAGGCTATAAGGTCGCTGAAGGCAGGCGAGCCCGCTGCAACAGTCATGCCTTGAACCTTGAAACTATCCTTCACTGTGAAAGGAATCCCTTCGAGAGGCCTCGGGGCCTGACCAGATGCTCTATAGTCATCTGATTTTTGGGCTTCTTCGAAAATATTGGGGTTCAGGACGCAAATAGAGTTGAGAGATGGCCCTCGGCAATCATAGTACCCGATTCGGTGCAGATAAAGAGAGACGAGTTCGACACTGGTGATAGCTCGAGTGTTCAAAGCATGGAGAAGCTCTTCGACACTGGCTTCAACAAGATTTAATGCCCTTGACCGCTTGTCGATATCAAGTGCTGGCATTTTGAATTGATCCTGTTGAGCGGGAGTTTAGGATAGAGAAAAATAACAAAACAGCGATCTGTCTTCAATTTCAGCTAAATATGATCTCTTTATATTAAACAACTAACCCATATCCCCTTACATTCGAAGACGTTTTTGATACTACCCTGAATATTGCTGTACTTCGGGAACTGTATACTTCGGAGAACCAGGGCGTTGTTCTGATTGGCGAGTGGTTCTCCACGGCTCGACCTTCTTTTTGAAGCGGCCCGGCTCGCATTGCATTTCAACCCTTCCCTCTCAATACACTGTTGACACTTGGCTACCTTCATACTAGTCAGAGATGCAGAGAAACTTCACGTGTGGCAATTTTGGTAATCTTCAGTTCGTTAGTCTACTATCTGGCTCGAAAGAATGCTGATCCTGTTGATTATAAACTTACTACTTAAGGAGATAATATTTTCAACGCTCGTAGAAGTGCATTATTCGTCATTCATATTAAAATTGCCCAAATGCCCATCTCTCTCATCGTAATTCGACTGTCTGCTCGACCGGTCTCTTGTAATTTCCAGCACTTCTTAATTATCTTCAAAACCGTTGAGCTATTTCCTACTCGCCCCGAGTCCCGGACCATATCTGACATTAAACCTTCAAAATATGGACGAGAGCGTGGCTGTGCCATACAACCTAAAACGCACAATGCCCACACCGACCCTGTGAGTGAATAGTTCCAGGGTCTATTCTGAAGTGCAATCATGCTTCTTGTAACCGCACTCTGGATTTCCGGGAGTGCCGGTAGGGGTCCCGATAATATGCTATGTAGCAGTACCAAAGCAGCAAGGGCGAAAAGGCGGGTAACCCAGCTTGATATTGACTCGACATCCGTGTGCTCCTGGGAATTGTCAGAAAATGCCAGGGTACATAATACGGATCTTCAACTTACGCTTCGTGCCAAGTCAAGGCTCTGTATCCCATCTTCTAGGCGTCTTTCTATCTCCTCGGCTTTGCTGGCCAACTCGCGAATACTTAAAACACCATCCCTTTCTTGAACATCCTTCCATATGGCAAAATTTGCGAGGTCACCGATCGCTATCATGACCCAGTTCTGACACCCCATGAGGTCGGCTGTGTTCAACCCCGGGATCTGAAGCCAGCGCTGGTAAGGTAGTCGTGGCGCGCGTCCTGTTGGCAGACAGGCAAAAAGGTCAAACCAAATCACCGTCACCATCAAGAACTTGAGACCATCATTTATACCGCCTTTTTCCGGACGAGGGTTCTCCACGAGCGGACTTAGGTGGTTATTGGTATCGGATAATTTTGGACTGAAGATAGCCTCAGCTGATAATAAACTCATGACAGATGCTGCTGCATCGAGATGGACTAGCCAATCGTGCTCCGCACCACTAAATACCTGGACCGTGGTGTTAGCAGCCTGCTTGGATGCATAGAAGAATGAATATGCTTCTCTCACCTCGAAACTTATTAACATGAAGCTACATGTTAAGAACTCCGCCAACTCGCCATGGTCCTCGCGTAGCTTGTCGCCCTTCTCACTCATGAGGTCACATAGCTCTCGCAAGGCTCGCGAGTGGTGGTCCAGTGCCCTCTGTTTCCTTTGAAATTCTTCTTCGGTTTCGAGTATTGCACTTTGGAGAAGTGACGAAAGACTCAATGCGGCGTGGTAGAGAGGTCCTCGTTTTATCAGCAGTAGGAAAAGCCAGCCCCGATTCCCTAGTCGCGAGCGAGGGTCGTGATAAGGGAATTGCCACGGAAATACTTGGTCAAGATAATGCATCAAGAGCCAGGCCTCCTGCGGATCAATAGTGCCGTAGTTATCGAGAGGTCGAGGACTGGGCGGCGTGGGTGGTTCAACGTTGTCTGGAGAGCAGCTCTGAACATTATTTTCACTGTCAAAATGAGGCTCCGAAGTCGTGGCTCGACGAGGTGAGCACGATGGACTTGATGGTGTAATCACGGTGTTTGGTAGTCTTTCTTCATGCGTCGGCGTCGGCGTCGGTGTTTTGAATGATGACCGAGAGAGCTCGTTAGCCCTTCGCCGAGCTCGACCCTGCATTTTTTTAACATGGCAGAAGTTCTCCTTGACAGCAGCCTTGATCCGTGATTTTTCCTTTTTTTCTTCTAATCCACCGTCCATCCATGCTGGCTTGGGCCCATAGCCGTGGCAGTGAACATGCCGATCAGCGCATTCCTTGCAAGAGGGTGTTTCAAGGTCGCATTTCCTGTGTCTCACGCGGCATGTCCAGCATCCCGGTGCCATGAGAGGCGTTTTTCAAGCCCGTCAAACTCGGAGAATCGACGCATATGTGCAAGAGGAATTTGGAGAGGGAGCCAAAGTGACCGGGAAAATGCCAAGGTGGTAATCAAATTAGGAAGGTCGAAGCGCCGATGAGGTAATCATCACCTGACTCCAATGGACTCAGTAGCTCCACTACCTTAGATATTGACATAACTCTTGTAGTTTATATTGCTCATTATCATGCAGATAAGCCTTTCTGCTTGATAATATCTACAATTGGGGCTTCTCATTTGATACCAGGATCTGAAGAATATACAAAGTGTCCATCACACCAAATAGTACAGTACGTCGAAACCGCAGTTACACCTCGGCATATTGACCCGCTGGTCATTATTCAGCGTTGCATGAGAATGGACGACTGATTGAACCTGTGTGAAATTTATAAATCTGTAAATGTTAGCAGAGATTCAAGACCGGCTGCTGATAATGGATATTACCCACCACCTGATTCACGCTGGCATACATTCCACATCCTAGAATGGTGACACCCACAATAAACACAATCAAGTTCAAAAATGCGTGTCGGATATTGTGTTTCTCGAACAAGGTTCCCTCTTTCAGCAAGAAAAACCAGAGAACGGGGGGAATATAGAATGAGAACCCAGACACGAGCAGACAACCGCAAATTGAGAGTAGCTCGGAAAAGAAGGGAATGGCCTCAGCAATAATCCAGGCAAGAATGTTGATAAATGCCACAACCACCAGCCAGGTAATCCAGCCTTTCGCTGTATTAACGTATCGAACAATTGAGTCTTGATAAATGCGGCCGTGAATGAAGCGGCAGGCGACGGTGGCATTGATCGACCCGGAAATGAAGATGACGGGTAATGCCACACCAAAAGCAATTTTCGCAAGCAGGGGACCAGCAGACAGCAGGGCTGGTGATTGAACGTTCTGTCCCACGAATGCGTAGATAAGTGCCCCAGTGACTGTGTAGATTGTCATCTGTGTTGTCGCCAGAGTGATGATGGACTTTGTGAAGTCCTTTGGGGTGTGCATCTCATCCATAAATGTTGGTTGTGCCGAGGAGAAGGCATAGGCAAAGGCGATATTCGAGATGGCCACAAAGGCTTCACTAAATGTCAGGTTCTCCTTCGGCCAGGCCGACCATGGTGTTGAAATGTTTGTTGGCTCGTTGCTTTGAACTCCCGTTGCAATGATAGAGATCCCGATTGCCACGATAATCGATGCAAAGTCGATGTATCCCAGAATGGAAATCTCGGCGAAGGAAGGCGGCACAGCAAAGGCAAAGAGAATGATAGCTGACACGACACTAAAAACAAGAGCGCATACATTGCTGCCAGTGATAGTTGCAAGGGCAAGCTTTCCCGTCAAACAGTGCGACCCGACCGTCAAGGTCATGAGCGCAACGAAGAAAACAGCAAATAGCTTGTCGCCAAAACCACCCATCAGGAGCCGCCCGAAATCGACGTAGTGTGGGAGATGCGGATATTTGAGCTTCACCAAGCCAACGATGTAACTCGCGTAGATCGCAATGACTCCCATCCCAATTGTCAATATTATCCCGGCCACCATTCCCATCGTTGCAAACGCAGAGGGGAGACTCAGACTACCCAATGCAATTGACTGGACGATCAACACTATCGTCAGGCGTTTCCAGCCAAGGCGATGGAAATGTTGGTCTCCTTGAACAGCTCTTTCATGGTCTGCCTGTCGAAGCATTTTACCAAAGACCTCTCCCTCAGATTGGTCAGGCTCGATCATGTTGCTAACGCCCTTTTTGCCATTGGCCTCGGTATCTTCGATGGGCGATATCTTTTGTGACATGTTTGTCTTGAGGGCATGAAATTATGCAGAATTTGGTCCAAGGAGTGACTGAAAACGTCCACAGTTGAATATTGGGGAGAACGCAATTGGCGGCGGAGATTTATTAAGGTCCTAATGGCTATTGCCGGGCCGGCTTTGTGGAGACCACTGGAGATTCTGGGGAACCCCCTCTCCGGATTTTCTGGCAATTCATCTGGGGCTTTGTTCGGGGAATGGGGGGAGTCGCGTTGTTGATCGAATGACAGGAGCCGAGTCACTTGGCAGGGTGTTCATCATTGGCCTGAGATATGATTTTAATATACGACCGAGTTAGCATTATCGGTGGAGATGCGTTTGGAGCGATTCCTTGATCGCCTCGGTTGTTGTCTTGATATAGATGGTGGGAGGAGCAGCCAAGAAGCACTTGGAGGGAAGGTCGAGGCGAGGTCCACTCCGAGCTTCACTCCAACTCCAAGTGGGGACCCTCATCCTCAAGTTGTCAGCCCATGTCGGGAGAAGCGGACCTTGCATCAAGATGTTGTGTGTTGTGCAGTGCAATTTCCATTTGCTCCTTTCGACACTTCGCTCAGCATGTCGAACACCACCATTTTCTCCAACGGTCGAATCTTGACGAATGAACGTGCCGGTCTCCAGGACGAGCCCATCTTCGCCGACTGCATGCTCGTCAAGGATGGCCGAATTGCAGCTATCGGATCCTATGCTGAAGTCACTTCAACATACGATGGTCCTTCAGACACCTGCGATCTCCAGCAGAAGGTTGTGCTTCCGGGCTTCGTCGACGGTCATATGCACCTGCTCCTTCTCGGACAGTCCCTGCGCAAACTCGACCTGAAACACTGCAAGACCCTTGACGATATACGATCGACGATCAAAGAATACGGCGTCGCAAACCCTGAGACTCCAACCATCCTTTGCCGAAATTGGTTTCATTATATGACGCCCGATGGCGTGTCGGCTGCAATGCTCGACGATCTAGATCCCCGGCCGATTTTTATTGACGCGAGCTCTCAACACTCCTGCTGGTGCAACAGTGCAGCTTTAAAGGAGCTTGGTGCTGCCGATCTTCCAGACCCTGCTGGAGGTAAGATCCATCGTGATGCAGACGGGAATCCCTCGGGAGTGCTCGATGAAGGTGCCATGATGTCCATCATTTGGCCTTACCAGGCAATGTCAAGCCCCAAGGAAGAACGAATCGAGGCTATCCGTGCTGGTATCCAAGAATACAATTCTTCTGGATATACTGGGCTCGTGGAGATGGCCATGGATGAAGAAGCTTGGGATGCACTGGTTACTCTGCGAGAAAGGGAGCCTTCGCTCCCCATGCGCATCGCAGCGTATTGGCTGATCAAGCCGAGTGATGATCCCGATACCAATTCGAAGCAAGTCCAGCGGGCAATTGAGCTATCGAAGCAATATAGCTCGTCAACAAGCCCCGACCTTCGCCTCGTTGGAATAAAGGTCATCTGTGATGGCATTATTGATGCGTGTACGGCGTATCTATCTCAGCCATATGCCCCCATCGGATCTCCCCCACCTATTTGGGCCCCAGAAGATCTCATGCCTGTCGTGAAAAAGGCAGATGCGGGTGGTTTACAGATCGCCCTTCATGCTATCGGTGACGGAGCAATCAAGATGGCCATTGACGCGATCGAAAAGAATGCCACCCCAGGTAGACGGCATCGCATTGAGCATCTTGAGCTAGCATCGCCAGAAGACGCGAAAAGACTCGGTATATTAGGGCTGACAGCTTCGATTCAGCCTATCCATGCTGACCCTTCTGTCCTCACACAATGGCCGCGCTTACTTGGCAATGATCGATGCCAGCGGGCATTTGCCTATCGGGAGTTCTCTGATGCAGGGGCACTAATGGCAATTGGAAGCGATAGTCCGACCTCTCGGTGGGCACCGATGGAAAATCTTTATGTCGCCACCACACGGCGCTCATCGAGAGATCCTCAATTTACCGAGGTAGTGAACAAACATTTCCAGCTAGGCCTGTGCGAAGCTATGGTGGCCGCCACTGGAGGAGCCGCGAGAAGTGTGTTCGCAGAAGGCCGGGTAGGTACCCTGGCCACTGGAAAAATGGCAGACTTTGTTATCGTCGATATGGAGTGGAATGCCGATTCTCTTCTAAATGCCAAATTAATAGAGACTTGGTACGAAGGAAGAAAGGTCTGGGGTTAAACGAGTCCGATAACCAGAAATCCAATCCCCGTTACTATTTCAGGCTTTGGTATAACCATGGAACTTGTCACATGAAGTTGAGAAGCAGGGTCTCTAGACACTGGTATGATCACATTAGCACTATGTATAACATTGATGGCGTAAGTTCCGGGATAGCGAAAAAGCATCACGGGCTTGCCCGAGAGAACACACTTACTCGCAAACTAGATCCAATACCCCGGTATCTATCTGCTTGTGCAAGGCACTAGCACCATAGGAATATGGCGCCGGCTGGTAAGCCGAGCAAAGGAAATATCCCACACATAAGTCAACAACTCGTCAACTCACATGTTGTTAGCCAGCGGAGATCTTCAATTTCTGGTCAACGGTGTCTGTAGCTGTCGGGATATATTCTCCTGTCAGAACAAACTAGCGGTGACCCACTGCTAGCGACCGATGGATAACATCCCTTGCTTGGTGTACGCATTCTTGCGCTGGGCTGTGGCCCCGGTGTTGTGACCGCCGAAGGCCGGCGTGCGGGATCTAGGGGTGTTTTCAAACTAGACTGAGAAGGAACATCTATCAACATCTATCTACATGAATCAATTGACTTTTGCTTTGGAAGCATACACACTGTCCACTTAACTGTGTACACAGTACCTAGCTGGTGATACCAGCAGTAGCAATGACGCATCTTATCTGCTCCTCAGACGTATATTCTCCACCTGTCTGATTCTCCGGAACAGCCGATCCTTCTAATGTCTGCCTCGTGGGGGCACTAGCAGCGTCGGCAGGTATGTCTTGAACAATTACAGGAGCCCACCTCAAGCAAGTGACGAAGCTTTAATGAGAGTCTGAAAGTGTCTTCACACATTTTCCTTCCTGACTCAAACCCAACAACGGATTGTCTTGTCATCTGAGGTGGATAACAGATATCTGCCACCGGGATGGAAAACAATTGTTCGTAGCCAGTTGTCATGTCCAAACAGTGTCAGGAAACAAGCCCCGGGGGCGTCCCAGAGTTCGATGGTCTTGTCACGCGATCCAGCTGCCATGAATTCAATCGTATTCGCCGCAGATGGCACCTTTTTCAATCCGACTAATGGCGCAAGATACTGTAAGGAGCTTGGTGGAGCAATGGCACAGCACTCATTGAAGATTGCATGACCAATTAAGGTCAGCTTGGTCTCTGGCTTCCCTGAAATGTCCCGTAATCGAGCGGTCATATCGTCCCCTTCAGAAAGAAGAAATTAACCATCAGGGGATGGACAAACATCTCGAACCCAGCCAGTATGACCTTGTATTGTCTTCACGCAATACCTATTGGTCACATCCCATAATCTGGTGTCCATGTCCTTGTTTGTGCTGGCAAGTAAGCTCCAGTTTGGTATAAAGCGGACGGCGCTGACGATATGGTCATGGCCTTGTAAAGTGCAATATTTTTGTATGCGTCTGTCGGGTTCCATAACTTGATTGTGAGGTCGGAATTGCAGGAGGCTAGAAGAACTTCCTTAAGTGGACAGCTATAGTCAAGAGCGCATATGGCTCTTGTATGGCGTTTGAGTGTCATTTCTAATTCTTCAAGTTCCCAATCCCATATCTTAATCGTGAAATCGTCGGACCAGGAGGCAACAAAGGAGAACTTTGGATGGAAAGCAATGCATCTGATGGCATTACGATGTAAGTGTAGCGAACAACGGGGGTTTTGGGAAGCCACGATTGCGCGCGAGGAGGGGGGTAGGTGTCGCATTGTCAAGTGCGGTTTGTAAGATTGCATTTCTCGTGACTCGGGGTTCATGATCTATAAGAAACGAATTATCCTCGGCAGACTGCAAATGTTTATGATATGATAGACGTAGATCATCTGCAAATTTGACTTGCCTTTCTCTGTAAGTGAAGTGTACTGGTTCATTTCTTCTCCAACAATCACTGTGGGTTCAGTGAAGTCTTGTTCTGCGATACCCAGTTCTCTGCGTCTCTAGAGTAACAGCAGACTCTAAAATGGCATTCACTGACAGGCACACAATCCTGGATTTGTGCCTAGAAGGATGGCAATTAACATCGGCTTCACCATCAGAGCTGGCCGCTCCTGCAAATATTTACAGCTCTCCAGCTTGGCTGTCAGTTAGTAAACGACTCATGTCACAGAAATTCCAGCTATCTCATAGAGCTTCGATACAAGCGAACAGTCGAGCTTCAGAAGGAAGAATGCGGTGAAGGCCAAGGTCGCAATCCGAAAGCACCGATATTCGACAACTCAAGTGGCTGGTCCCCCTGAGCTTGTGATGGGATAGTGGGTATCGAGATGGCGGAGCGGGGGCTCGTGGGTGTTGGTCTGACACCAGACTAATTTGGTCCTCCGGAAGATGGTTGAACGCTTTGCTTTCGGTAGATGAGGTATCGGGCATGTTGCAGGAGTTTTGTTATGCCAGAATGAAGGGCGGAAAGGTGAAAGCCACTGCCGCCGCCGCACATGTGATGGTGTGAACATGGGGAACGTCCTAAGATCTTCTTTACCATCCCTTTCATAATATGAAATTACCCTGCCGGGTTTGTGTAATTATGATTTATGAAATCGTAGATCACAATAGGTACCTACGTCTAAGGTACTTTACTACCATTGTACTACTGTGGTAATTTTGTTAGAACGAGCTTGTCCACGTACACTCTACCATGCCTTAAATTACCTTGAGGAAGGTAAGAACATAAGGTAAGCTTTAAGATATATGATAAGCATGACCCGAGGATACTTTGTGCTTTGACGTGTCATTTTAAGACTACATTGCAGTGTCCTACATCAATCATTCCAGCCAGAACACAGACAAGGCCGTCTTGAGAACAATATCTTTGTTGTCACTTAGGTATCTAGATAACAAGCCATTGATCAGTGATATCCTTCGCGGTCTTCGCGTCGCCACTCAGCACGTGAATAATTTGCAAGGAATAAGCAGCCTCAAATGAGAAGTCCTCAGCGAATCGCGAGGGTTTCTCTACCTGGTCCCCTAACCCTGCTTCAACTATGTCAATATTATTGTCATCTGCGCCGCTCATAGACCCAGTTTTCAATTTCTTTTGTTCCCGAATCTGGCCACCAAGATCAAGCACCTTTTCGTACCCGGTCACAGCGAGATGAACTAATCCAAGCCCATGATACACGCGCGCAAAATTAAATTCCATCTCCTGTCGTTCCTGCAATGAACTTCCCGGTTTTGCTCGAACGCGTCGATACTCGTCCATAAAAGCAAGACCTTGCATTATGAAGTAATGGCGGTTGTCTGACTGTCGCTTCAGAGAATGGTGGATGTAACAGAGCCCAATTGAAAGCAAGACGGCCGGGTTTTGGTCGTCTAGAGCATATGCTCGATAGAGGTAGTTGAGGGCCGGGAAGAAGCTGCCTCCGGAGTAGAGAATATGACCATAGAGCACAAGAAGCACAATGTCCATTTCCGTTGCCGGTATTGGCTCTCCAAATTCGTCCTTTGTGGAGAGAGTCGCACGCTCCTTCCAGATGGTCTGCCGAGGCTGGGGCTTGTTAGACTCATCTGGCAATGTAAAATCCATGGCCTTGATCTGACGAAGCATGAATTTCATGTTGGGGGAGGAGTGGAACAAAGATTTCTGAGGATCACCAGCCAGGTTGCTCAGTATCCCAAATAGTCGGTAAGTGTCCGTGACGAATTGATATTCTTTGAGAAACCAACGGGCCTCACTGGCAAGAGCCTCCTCATCTTGTGCCCGAAGTGCACAGGCTAGTGATGGTTAGCTTTATCCACTGATCAGACGTACCGAAGGATACTCACTGAACCAACAGACATGGATCAAGCGGGAGTTGATTTTGGAATGAAACCAGACACTAGCGTTGGCTGCTCCGTCCAGGGCCTCATATGCTTCCTCGGCCTCGCCTTGTTCTGTTGAAAGAAGGGCATACTCCAGGAAAATATCGAGCCACTCATCAAAAGGGATGCCGTGATAGTCGGATGGAATAGCATCTGACAAGGACTCGTCTGCTATGCCGTTGCCTATGCCATGCATTAGCTCTCCTTTCTCGGTCAGGATAACCAACCCACGTACCAAGGGCCTTTTGAAGACGGGCTGCTATCTCCAGTGCTTCCTCAAGCAACGTGCGCTGCTTGGACTTTTTCTTTCGATGTCCGTCCCCTGAATATCCTTGGAATTCCATCGTGCGGGCAATGGGATAGAACACGCGGTTAGTTCTGAAATCCCGCAAGAGAGCATCGGCTATGTCGAGCCAATCCTCAACGACATCAGAATCACCCTTTTTGATGAGAGGATGCAGCTCCTTCATCTTTTCATACAGAAACAGGATGTCGTCCGTTCGAGAACCAGTTCCTGGCTTTGGTCGAGTGCGAGAGGCAGTGAGCCCATCAGCCGGCTGGGGAGTACCGGGTTCGGGAGCCCTCTGAAATTCGATTGCAAGTTGCTCCAGCCTATTGTCGTGGCGTCTCGATCTTCGGGTTCTGCCTTCCTGACGGCCGATCAATATGGCCTCGTTTATGTATTTGAATCCCTCTTCATGCATTTCAAATCCCTCATAGAGCGTCCCTAGCTTCACACGACATTCCATGTTCCGCGAGTCATTCTCAGCAACCGTCAGATAGCAAGTCTCTGCCTCCGCCATCTTCTCTAGCTGGACACAGCAATCTCCCATTGCCATGAAATAGCCAAGATCTGCGTATTCGGTAGTCTGTTGTATGGGAGCATAGAAACGATAAGCTTCGTTAGGGAGCCCGGCGTCCTTCAGTGCATCGGCTACCTCGCGGAAAAGATCACCATAATCAAAGATACGCGCGCCTTCCGACGTGTCATTTGGGTTCAGCCATTCGAAGTGATGCTGCGAAGGTATTAATAAGAAATAAGAGTTCTCGCGGCTTGTTGGTATATTAAACTTACCAATGCCTCTTGATGATATGTGTCGCCCATCTTTAAACGGAACAGGCCCATCTTGACCCGCAATTCAAGTGGGAGGCCGAGGCCATAAGTTTCCCATGGCCACTGACCAGGGACGAACCCACTAGTCTTGATACGTCGAGGAGAATCATCTGGGTCCCATTCCCTGTCGTCCTCTTCGAAGTCATCCCACATAGCATCATCTTTGCGGCCCAAAAACCATCTCGAGAGCGATTTCAGTGCAGCAAGGCCTTCTTCATGCTTGCCCACGTAGCCAAACAGTTCGGCGTAGATATTGATATCTGACCAAGAGAAGTCACGCATTTTCTCGGGATGGTCCTGGAAATAATCTATGCTCTCTGCCCAAATTTGAATTGCTCGCGGAACGTCTTCAAGATCGATGTAGATTGACGCAAGGTGTCGGAGCGCTCTGGCACTGTAGGGCTTTTCCTTCAGGATTCGCTCATATTCCGTAGCCGCTCTGCCATTGTGTCCGAGTTCTCGATAGATCGCTGCTCTTTGGTATCGAGTGTTGAAGTTTTTCGGGTCGATATCAATGACACGGCTATAGCAGTAAATGACATCTGGCAATGCACTAGCTCTGTCGGTGCCAGCACGCTCGAGGATCAGGCGAGCGACTTGAAGCCAGACCTTTGGGTCCTTTGGCCGGGTGTGAGCACCGTTCCATAGAGCGGCAAGGGCTTTGTCCTTCTCGCCTTGGGCAAGAAAAATTTCGGATAGTAGCGAATGAGCCGGAAACATTTCAGGATTGACTTGGATGGCACGCATCACAAGATCAATGGCCCGATCATAGTTACCGTCGATGAAAGCCGAGGTCGCTTCCGAATGAAGCAGCTTGAACTCGGGGCTAGGCTCAAGCGGCTTACGGGGCCCTCTCTTGATGCCTTTCCCACCACGAGCACCGTATCGGCCCGAGAACCGCCCTCCACGGCGGCCCCGCCGTCGACGGGAGGCACCTGAGTCGTCAGAGGCATCTTCCTCAGGATATTCTTCGGAAAACTCTTCATCGCTACAACCATTGTCAGCCCTGGAGCGTTCTCGCATGAGCCAGAACACGTACCTTTCACTTTGGCCATCAGAATACCTATACTCCGAGTCCTCGTCGGATGTGGGAGCTTCATTTGGCATCATTTCCGCATCATCGTCCAGGTCAGAACGCAAGTCATTTTCCTCGTCGGTGTAATCTTCACCAGGAACTCCCGGGATGTCACCCTGCGGTGGCAGGCCCCCATACAGACGAGGATCAATCAGTGATGTAGCAGCATCTCCAGTTATCACTTGCTGTCTTGTCTGCCACGGATACTGCACAGACTCATCGATATCCGGATACATCGTATCCTGTACGGGAGACTGGGAGCCCATCGGGTAGTCAGAGCTTGCCATGGTGTCCAACCACTCAGCTGGGCCAGCTAGCCCATCCACGGAAAAGACTTTTCCACCGAAGAAAAAAAAGTATGGCTGGCGTCAATAGCTAATTTGTATCGTGACTACCGCGAAGGCAATGAAAGATAACGTGCGTCGTGAACCAGACCGCTGGGACCATGGCCCAGACCGTATAGACGCGGCGCACTGTGTCCTCCAGGCGTTTCAGATGCAGGAGCCCCGATTATTCATAGTAACAAACTCCACTGAGCCAATCGATTGATCACAGCGGAATGCGATAGGGACAGGCAGCAAAAGACGGCGGAAGCTGGACGAGGCCGTTGAAGGTGAATCGAAGTGAAGTCTTTCCAGGAATGCGCGAGGTTCGACGTTCTTCATTCCGTGCGGAACCCGTGACCCTGAAACCCGAAAAGCTTCTCCGCCGCACTTCTTCCCTTCTCTTCCTCCCCCATCATCTTCGATCTCTCCTCCCCTCCCCCCTTCTCTTTTCTTTGGGTTCTGGGCCTAGGCTTGCTGTGTTTGACACACTATTGCCTCCCTGGTTCCTGACTTTCCTTCGTTCGGATCTCTAATATTCACGACCTCCCGCCTCGCCTTCTGCGTTTGGTTTCCCTCTTCTCTCCCCCCCCCCTTCTCCCCCAAAAAATTCGAGGTGCAGCCCACTGGCCTGGTCTGTGCCCCAGTTGTCGCCTAGAGGTCCAGATTTAGGCTTCAAAGTGTCGCTGTCGACTCTGGAAATCTCCTCGGGCCGTTCGGTCAGGGCTTTTTTTTTGATTCTATTTTGTTACGCAAACTCAGCAGGTGCTGCAGGTGTTTTGCAGTAATCTTTTCCCCGACTGTACTTACTACTATTCACCTTTCCAACCTGTGAGCCATGGCCAGCCATATCATCGGTAACCGCAACAGCACCCCAGAGGCGGCCCCCAACTCCACCTTGCGTCCGCCATCGTCCGCCCGCAATCTCGGCTCGCACCAGCTGCGAGCATCGGCCGACATGTCCGGGTTCCCCTCGCCGCTGTCCTCTCGCAGCATGCGTCCGTCATCGGAGGTTTTCTTCAACCAACAATCCCAGGGTCAGAACTCGACGGAAGATGCGCTGGACCGGGCTGCTCAGCAATGGCTGGCGGATATCGATCAGTATGAAACAACGTTGGAGGAGATGGCAGCCGCCACCCTCGACCAGGATTTCAAGGATGAGCTCAGCGCTATCGAGCAATGGTTCCGGGTCCTAAGTGAGGCCGAGCGGACGGCGGCACTCTACGCTCTGTTGCAGCAGACAACCCAGGTGCAGATTCGCTTCTTCATCCAGGTTTTGCAGCAGATGTCGCAGAGTCATCCCATGTCCGGACTGCTCTCTCCCGCCAACTTTGGCGAAAAAGGTATCCAAATTCCATCCGGGATCCTGAATGACTACTGAAAACTAACGTTGATTTGAACCCCAGATGCCATGTCTAGCCGTCTAAGCGATGCTATGTCGAAACTCAATATGGACACCTCCCGAAGCTCCTTGGGCCGGCCCCCGCCATCCCCGGGCGCAAAGCGCAACTCCGGCCTCGACTCCTCTACGATTAATGCCATGTTCCCCGACGCTGCTGCCGCGATCGCGAAGAAGAAGGCGGAGTTTGCTCAACAGACCGGCAATGCTCCTCCATCGAACCGCAACAGCGCCGTTTTTGGAGACCGTGGCTCGTTCGTTGCGCCCACCATCTCCGCTCCTGACAACAACCCCGATGGCCTCGGCCAGCCCCCGGCATCGCCTTGGGCCCAGCGTGGTGGACTGTCCGACACTCAACCTCCGATCGCTCGGCCGAAGTCATCCTCGGGCCACCAGCCCATGGGCCAGTTCAGCCAACCCTCTGCGTCCTCGGGCATGCGTTCGCCTCTCCCGCAAACCGCCACGATCCCTGCTCCCGACATTGAGCCACCCCTGCTTTCTCCCTACAATGTAGGAAACCACAGTTGGGCTTCGATGACGAACACGCCCATGACCGCAACGTTCGGCCAGCAAAACCAGCAGAACCAGAACTCCCAGGCGGACATGGTGGCCAACGCGACTGCGATGAAGCTGGCGGCTCTATCTACCGTGAACAACCGGATTGCTCTGGATGATGCTCGCAAATACCGTCGCGCTCGTTCCAACGATGGCCAGGGCAAGAACTCCAATGCGAATCCGACCATCTCCCAAGGCCTGGCTAGCCCAGGCCTGCATGGTTCGATGGCCGGGCAGCTTCTCAATGCCCAACAGCTGGCCGCTTTGCAGGCTCAGCAGCAGGCTGCCATGGCCGGCCGTCGTTCCCGCCCGAACTCTCCCGGTATCGCCATGCAAGGCGGTGGCCTGAATTCCATGAACTTTACCTCGCCTCAAAACAATGGGTTCCTGGCGGCCTACGACCCAAACAACCCGCTTATGGGCAACGGTCTGGGATCGTTGGGCATTGGACAGTTCGGTCTTGGCGGTGAAGGTTACCTGTCTGACCATTCTGAAGTCACTCGTGGACGTTCGCCGCGTGGTCGGCGTGGAAGCTCCAAACCCCCAGAGGACCCCACAGACCCTGCTCTCCTGAAGGACATCCCCAGCTGGCTGCGATCCCTTCGGCTGCACAAGTACACCGACAACCTGAAAGACCTCAAATGGACGGAATTGGTCGAACTGGACGACAAGGCCCTGGAGGACCGTGGTGTCAACGCGCTGGGTGCGCGTAACAAGATGCTGAAGGTACGTCTTTTATCATTCTTAATCCCGAACCCAGCTAATAATTTATGTAATTAGGTCTTTGACCAAGTCCGAGATGCCCGCGCGGACGGCAAACTCGAGAATGTTTAATTGAGCCTTCTTGTGCAAGGATCATAGCATGGCCCCTGGCTTGACTAGGGCCGATCTGCTGTCCAGCGATTTGCATGGAATGGGCATTCGCATGTCGTTTCACGTGATTTTTTCTTCTCTTTATTCATTCTTGTTCTTTTTTTCTCTATATTTTCTCCATCCTCTCATTCGTTCTGTGATCTTTGTTTCACCCTAATACGATGGAAGTGGGATTCGACATGTATCAAACGCAGTGATGTCACGAAACGGATTCATGAGGAGGGAAACTTCGGGCTACTGGGCATTGAAAATGACTGGATTAATCGTAGATATGTCATGATTTCCAACTATGCCTATACGTATAAACTCTCCACGTAATAATACTTCCAAAGTAGGCAAAACGTAATTCATTCTACGTTAGGCAGCACTTGGGTATGGACCTTGGATGGCCGTCTGGCTTGATCTGGCAGCATGCACTTGTGGCCCGTGCACTTCTAGAAACCCGCGTCCGACCTCCGTCTCACCTCCCTCATTCCCGTCCACCACTGACCACATCATCTCACCGAGGATTGCCCTCTTCCAACCCAATTACTGAGGCGCGAGGGGATTGAATATCGCCTTTTTATTTATCCTGCGTATCTGAATCGGACAACAGAAAAGTGAGACGCCACAACACTAAGCCGCAGCAACAACCACATCCACAAAATGGCTCCTACAAAGCAGGAACTCTCCCTGCTTATCAATCCCCTGGTCCCAGAAGCAGTCCAGCATAACAACAGGGTAAGCCCATACCTACTCATCACAGCACCAGTTCAAATTCCACGAGCCAGCAAACTGACGCAAACCACCCGACAGGTCCTCTCCTCTCTACACAGCCTAACAGCCTTCCTCCTCGGCCTCTCAGCCGGCATCCTCGCCCTGCAATCTGCTACCGGCTTCGCCTTCTACTTCCTCGGTACGGTACTGGTTAGCGGCCTCTTCCACCTCGCCCTCATCCAGCGGTCCTCTGGTGCGGGCGCGGGCGCCTTCTTCCCTGGTAGCAACGGGGGCGAGATTGAGGGGATGGTTGATATGGGGAAGGACGGCGTTGTGCGGATGGATCTTGCTGAGCGAAGTAAGAAGCGTGGTGGATTTGTTCTGAGGAGGGGCGCTTGGAGGGATGTTTGGTTTGGCGGTGGTGTGCTTAGTGAGGCGCTGAGCGGGTTTGTGCTTGGATGGGCTGGTGTTGGCGGTGTTTTGAGGTGATTGTGTTTGAATTACGTTCTCATCTTCATTCTTCGCCCTATCCGTCTTTTAGGAGAACCTCGACCTCCTCAGCAGTTTCTTGTACTATCGATATTTTCAATCGGCGCAAGTCTTCGCACTTCGGGCTTTTTCTTGCCCGATGTAGTAGATAGGTATGGCACACAGCTTAATATATGAGATACCATGCTTGACTCTTCATAGTCGGTCGATTGGAAACTTGGCATGTCTTTAATCTACATTCTATTGGTTTTGATACTCTGCACTTCTTTTTGACTGGATAGGGTTACACTAGTAGTGTACGGTCACACTGGTGTTTTACTTTCGAGATTTTTAGACCAATGGACCAATGGGTGGTGCCCTGGCAGCGTCTTGCATACCGTAACGTGCCAGGTGGAATTAGGTTTGTATTAGGATGGGCAGGTGTTAGGGTCGCTCTAAGGTGATCACTACGAAATTAGAGGGGTTGCCCTAGTTGAGTTCATGAAGAAATCACGCGGTCTATATTGAGGATCTATGGTAGGATTAAACGGGCCTAGGCCCTGCATAGTATGTGGAAAGCTCCCTCAGGAAGTGACGTATATCCACAGTCCACCCATGCCATAATGCGCCAGGCGAATCGCCAATATATATAAGAAAAAGAAAGAAAGGGTCCCCCCCGCGCCAAACATTCAAAAGAGGATGATGGGTAATGAACAAAAATATTAACAAGTCATATCCGGGCATATCGATACCAACAGGACTCCAAACCAGGGACTGTCCGTGATAAATGCAAATATGCAAAATGCAAAATGTTCCAAAAATGAAATGAGAAAAGAACTATGTCCAGTCCTTAGAGAGGGATCTCCTCGGATGAGTTGGCCACCGCGCTTTGAAGGGCGCTGGTTAGATCGATGTGGAAGAAGGGTCGGTTCATGCCCTGGACCAGAGCGACCTTGCGACGGCTGCGGTAGGCCTTGCTGTCGGTCAAATCGCGCTGAAGCTTGTCCTCACGGATGACAGTGCTATCCTCGGAAGAAGTGTCGATGCCCTTGGTCTCGAGCTCGCTGGTCGTGTGCTCACTCTTCAGGCCAGCCTCCAGATCATCGTGGGGCTGGTGGTGCTGGTGCTCGTTGGTCATCATTTCGGCGTGAGCGGCAGCAGAAGAGCTACCCTCGATCTCGGCCACACTGAAGATAGGTTTCCAGCGGTGGAAGCCCTCACTCGAAGCGGGAGTCGGGTAACCGAATCCGGCGGCGGCAAGCGCACGCTTGGTCCAGCGGTTGTTGAGGTGGGCAAAGTGCCATTGCACGGACCGTGGCGATGCATACATATCCAACTGGTTGCGCACATCAATCAAGTTCTGAATCGAAGTCGTGTCGACATTGTTGACCGAGGAGAAATCCAAGATGATAGCCTGCAGAAGTGGCCGAGGATCTTCAAGGGCCTCTTGACGGTCCTTCTCACGCTTCGGCCCCGGGTCGTTCCATGGGCGGTCACCCGGTCGAGCGTAAGCGTTGGGGTTGGTGCGTCGGGTGCTGTTGAAAATGGTCTGAACCAGGTAGTCGGTGTAGTGGTTGGCGTTGGGATAGTTGAATCCCTCGGAGAAGCGGTAGATGAAGATACCGGGGTGGGGCTGTTCGATGTCGACTTCAGGGTTGGAACCATCAGTGTGGTTGATGGGCAAGTAGATGGAGCGAGTGTGATCCTCTTCATCTTCGGAAGGAGACTTGGTCGTTCCGAAGGATCCGTATTTGCCATCGCCGTCCAGCAGGTGGTCTCCCACCACAGAGTGAATAGTCACTCGGCCGAGGAAGTGGCCGCGAGCCTTAGCCACGCGGAAAAGCAGAACTGCCACGGAGACACAGATGGTGCAGTAGATGCCATCTTCGATGGAAGAAAAGACCGTCACAAGAACACCAATGAAGAAAATAATGGCATCGAGAGGGGCAACACGCCAGAACTGGTACACCACGTTGGGTGGGGTAATCAGATCGCCGACAGCGTGGATGATGACACCGGCCAAAGACGCCTGCGGAATGTAGTAGAAGAGGGCGGGAAGAGCGTAGATGGCAAGCAACACCACGACGGCAGTGATACAGCCACCCAAAGGGGTGCGCACGCCGGCCTTGGATTTGATGGCGGTTCGGGAAAAGGAGCCAGTGGCCGGGTAACCACCGAGGAAAGGACCCAGCAGGTTAGTGACACCGATACCAACAAATTCCTGCGAGGGGTCGATGCTGTAGTTGTTGACACGACCGAAAGATTTGGAAATGGCGATGTGCTCGATGAGAAGGACGATCACAGCAGCCGGAAGTTGGCCTGAGAAGGCGCGAATGATTTTTGGGTCCATGTTGGGCACTGCGGCATTTTGGAAACCGCGAGGCACGTGGCCCAGAAGGGAAAACATGGGGGTCTCGCGGTGCAGATTCACGGCGGCACTGATCATGGTATAAAACAAGATCACAAAGACGGTGCGGAGCGTCGAGGCGAAAAACCAAATCTTCGCCTTGGATGGGTGCTTCTTCGCGGCGTACGTGCAGCCTGAACGGATAATGTACAACATCGCACAAGCAGTCACACCCATGGCCGCATCAATGGTGGAAGTAGGGAGGTACTTCAGCGTGTTGATAATGGTCAGGTAGGTCGCACCGCGGGTGGAAAAGTCGGCGGTTTCACCCAGCATGGTCTTCACCTGGCCAGAGCAGATGTTCAGGGCCGATCCAGTCATGAACGCGGAGATGGCCGGCAGGGGAATGAAGTCCACGATGAAACCCAAGCGGATGAGACCCATGAAGCAGACAATGCCGCCCAGGATCACAGCGAGACACGAGGCAATTACGTTGCCGGGGATATCGGGATATTGGGCTTGAACCTGGAGCACAATTTCACCCGTCAAGGTGGACATGACCGCCACGGGCTAGAAATATGGTAAGCCACAATGCTTTTTTGGGGAGGTGGGGGATTGTCACCGGCACCTCCAGGGAAAACCGTTGATGGATTCTACTTACTCCGATGGTGATATCTTTGGACGTGGCAAAGAACCAGTAGATCAAAACACCCATAAACGAGGAATACAGCCCAAATTGCACATCCAGTTCGGCCAATTTAGCGTAGGCCATGCCCTGGGGCACGACGACGGCACCGACGGTAATACCGGCCACCAAGTCACCGATGAGCCATTGGAGGTTGTAGCGGCCAATCCAATTGAGAAACGGGAAGAGGGAGATGAGGTAATTGACGAATTGCTTGAAGGAGGGCGTGATTTCGCGGATCCATTCCACGCTGGTGGGCTCGGGCTCGTTGTAGGAGTAGGTGTCGACGGTGCCGACAGAGAAGGTCGATTCGCCGCGGGTGACGGGGTCGTTGGCTCCCATGGGGTCGCGGTAGGCGACCTTGATGCCCAAGCCCTTGGCGAGGGCGTTGCCGACCTTGGAGGCTCGCTCACCAGCCATGATTCACCGCTGTGAGGCGAATATATCAACGGACTGGGTCGGAATGGGTGGAGACGAGAGGAGAAGGAGAGGAAGGAGGAAAAGGAAGCGCGTGATCGATGACAGGACTCAAAAATGTGGTGAGCTTGCGAGAGGACGGGAATATAAAGCGACAAGAGGAAGCCGATCACGCCGTGGACATGGTGACAGGCACTAGTAAGATTAGATGGGATGAAACAGGCAACTGATAGCCCCCAAGAGGCGAACAGGCCAAAAAAAAGTAGTGGACACGGGCCGGTGGAGGCGTGCGTGATCCGGGTGCAGATGGCGTAATATGCTAAGCTCCCCAGATTTCCGTTTGGCGAAGGCTTAGGTTCCCACGCACAGGACCAGAAGAAGATTGAAACGCAGCGAAACGAGGCTCGTAGCGGCCCACCGCTGATCGCAGAGTGCCGGGCCCACCCGCGGTCTGGATGGGTGACGAGTCTTATATCCCATACCGTGGTCCTGTGTATCAAGTTGATCACTTGTCAGTACCACCAGCAGTGTTTTACGATTCAGGTAGACTCGAATACACTGTCTATATCTACACCTATTCCATACCCTCTACTCCTCTGTCTCGTCTGTAGAGTGTACAACACCCTAAGGTAGGGTAAGTTCGATCGCCGGGGATTACCTCATTTGCCAAGCTTCCTATGACGAATCAGCATCTCCACGCGGACGCCAGCGATCGGCGACGGTGCCCCGCGTCCAATCAGCGTGGGCCCCGATGGTGAAATCGTCCACTTGGATGGTGCCAGCCAGAAATTTCACGCGATCGAATCTTCCACTACATCCTGTATATACAGGAACAGTGGTATCCTTAGGGTAGCACTGTGAGAGCTATCCCCGAATGGCCTTCCTAAACTGTTCGGCAGTGGATCCAGGGTCTAGACACTCCGATGGAGACCTCGTATCCCATTCCCTTCCCAGGCAGTGTGTACGGCCGCCGAGGCCCAGTTCGAGATTTTAGATTTAGCGGCCGCGTGGTCCCTTATCCCTGTCCCTGTCCCTTCCACTCCGAGTCCCTACAACCGTCGACCCAGAGGCACTCCTTCTGGAATTGTAGCACCGCCCTGCTCGTCGTGGCAAAAGTCCACCCGCCCCACGCCCTTCCCAGACTCTCCGCCCTTGGCAGTGGAACTGCTACGACACTCCCTACTGCTTTCGTTCGGTCCGCCCCAGATGGACGTCCTCCGAGTCGGCTGCAACCCCCTGTTGCAGCTTCCCTCCGGGCATTCAAACAGATTCTGCTACCCGTCTCCATCGCTTCTGATCGCCCGGCGTTGCTCGTCTCGGAATCCTTGATCGGCACTCTGCACGGCACCAGCCAACGGGGGCAAACCCTCACCTGCACACTGGAACCCCGTCAGGGCCCCTGGGCATTGCAGAGGGTAGTGGAGCAGATGCACGCAACGGGCAACGCAGAGCGGTTGCACGTCGAACCATCGCCATGGCATCCACCCCCAGCTGCATCTCAGGCGTGATCCCGATCCAAATCACGTCATGTAGCTTATCGCGTCTGCGGCCCATTACTTAAATCCTGCAACGGGGCCGCCACGATGCCATTTCGGCTCGTCCGCGCATGCAATCAGATCGGTGGCTGAACCACATGGTCGTCCAGTCCATGCATCATCCTGAAGCAGTCCTGCGTATGTAGATCAGGCCCGACGCCACAACGTGCTCATGCTCGCGCTCAGCTCAGAATGCGACCCAATCTGAACACCGCTGCCTTTTTTCACTTGTTTTCTTTCGGTTTTTTCTGCTCACATCGTTGCTTTTTTCCCTGTTGGTGGGCCGTCGAAATGGCCGTAGACAAGCTTCCCTCTATTCTAGGGCCTGAGTGGCGCAATGGTCTGATGTTGCTTTAGCTCGCCTGCCGCATCAGGCCATACCGCTTCCTGTCCCAACACATATACTTTTTACTACGATATGGTAGTACTAAATTCACTCAGGGGTAAATTAATCATGCCAGAAAAAAAGTACTCCATTAGAGATTTTATCTCAAGTCTCTTGTTCGAGGAGAGTAAACCCAAGCTTCGCCCGTGATACGACCCGAGAATCTGGAACCATGCAACACAACGCCCCTCAGCCGACGCCCTAGTTTGTCGTGTCCGTACTCCCTCAATCCCTTGGCTGATGCCGGGCGACATATTCATCGCAGGGATGGCCATGGGGGAAGAGACCGCTGGATCGGCACATATGCAGGGCGCATGCGCCTGATCTGATCCGATCCGTTGGCTTTGCGGGGAACCACACGCGTGCAGACTCTGTCGTCATCATATCTCCTAATCAGAGCTAGTTCGAGGTGACACGATCTCAGCGATGAGCGGCGAGCGTGTACAATTCTCGGTGTGGTAAGGAGCGAATTTGGTGAGTTGTTGCGGAGGCTCTGCGGCGTCTTGGGGAATTCTGGCGGCGGGATGACACCATCTGGGGAATGGCCGCTGCGTGGTCTCAGATGGGAAGACCCAAGCGAGCTTGGCGATATGCCTTACCCGGCATAAGCAAATGGGTTTTTGTGTATAAAAATAAATCCGGTCGGATCTATACCAGGGTATTGATTGGTTCATGGGGAGAACCAACACATAAGGGGATGGTCAGGTGAAAGATATTACTATAATAGATCCTACCCTGTAGTACACCGGTGCCCTTAATTATGAGTCCTCGAGTCCTCGAGGCAACCACATGTGTTCAGGTGAGCAACATCGTAAGTAGACATCCGAGAAATGCAGCCAGTTCTGTATTTGGGGACTGATAAGTTGTTTGCGAGAAGTGATTTCTTGCGAAATATGGACACCTACTGCTACCTTTGATTATCTAAGACAGTACCGTTTGAAATAAGAAATACACTAACGACGACAAACAAAACTAAGATGTTTCTGCATTCAACGCGCATTCCCAGGCAGCCCAGTATCCCGGTATGTGACCAGCACCCAAATGATATATACGTGTGCGCCACATGACGGATGTCGAAGGCTATGTGCCATGAAGCTACCCTTGAAAGTGAATCAGGGTCTACAGTAGTAAGAAGGTAGGCGATGGATCAAATGTCAAGAGCTTCATGGGAGGCGACTTAATCGATACAATACACTACGGGCCTTCCTCTCCGGGGCCAGTGAGCGCTTGTGATGGGTGCGAGCCTACACACTGCATATACACACTACACCATTGTGTAGGTATACGATGTCTTATGCCATGGATTGGATTGGGTTATTACTCCAACCACACGCTTTTTGTCTCATCCCACACCTCCTTGGCCTTTCAGGCAGCCACTACTAGTACTCTGGACTGAGATCCGGTGATTGACAGATTCAGATGGGTAGGTCAGAAAATTGACTTTCTGCTCCATGAATAAATTTTGCAGACCTAAAACCATTTATTTGACTTGAGCCGTGCCAAGTGGCATACCAGCCTCCTGAGTAGCTAACCAATGGAGACATGTGGTCACGTGTGTGAATGAGCGCATTGCACACTGCAACACAGTAGATGGTGAGGTAAAATTTAACTTGCAAATTAGCGAATGGTTTGACAATGAAGATTGGTAACATTTACCCCCGAAACCGGCATCATGCTTGACCAGGTTCCAAAGTGTTGTGTATCAAGCTGCGAACAAAGGTGGTATGTCTAGGTAGGGTGCAATCTCCTCCTCTAATATATACAGTTCTGTACAGTGTAGTAATGTACCTAGGATTATTCCCCAGGCATATACCCGTTGCAATGCAATTGTAATTTCACAGGAAGGGACCGCGGCACTATAACACATTAGCACAGCACCTGCGAAAGGCCCGGAAACACCATGACCATTTTGACTGGTAACTTAATCGACTCGACGCGCTATCTCACAAAGGTATCTCGGCCAGCCGGCAGCAGTACCTTGGTGGAAATTACACTAGTGTACTTTCACATTCCTCAATTTATAGGGTGGACCTATTTGAGCTAGTCTAAGGACCCCGCTAGAGAAACTCTCAGTTTAAAGATCGCTGTTAGCCCCTCCTATACCCATATTTTTCGTCACATTTCCGAGCCCAAGGTTCTTGAAGCACCTGAAGCCCTGGACAGGCACCGATGATATCAGACGACACCCAAGGCCGTCTACATTGTGATACCCGGACGAAAATTTTACGCGTCGCTTCATTCGAAATGATCTAAAACCACGGGCTACGGTCTTACCTCACCTAGGTAGGATACGTATGTGTACAGCATGCGAATGGTCATAATGGCAGTATAAAATGCATTCAGCAAATAAATCAAGCAATGTCTATTCAGAGTCATCATCAGTGCATGCTAAAAAGAAAAACAGAGAAACCCCCATTCTGATCACGCCCACGATTCTTCCCCATGTCGATGATGGGATGGAGAAAAAACACATCTCTTCTTTTCAAAGTCCCACCCCACGCAGAGGATACGGACTGGCATCGTGGACTCGTGTTCATCCGGATTTTTCTCATCGCAACTCCAGCCGCTTCCGACTTAAATTCCCAGGGCAAAAACCAGGTATGGATGAAAACAACACAAGGAAAATGAGGGAAAGACGGGGATCCCGGTCCTGTGCTAAATTTCCCCCAAGGAAAAGGGGGAAGGCAAGGGGAAAATCTCAAGCATTAACCCGTGAAGAAACGCAACGAAGATTCTTGGAATAAGTATCTCTCGAGGAGTTCTTCAGAGCAAGCGCCATCGCGACATGAAATGTTCCAACATGATTGGAACATGACAGAATTAATGAAAAACAAGCCCGGTATCTGCCGAAATTGCCGGTCCACCTCCATTCATGTCCATTGGTATCATAAGCGAATAGTTTCGTTACTGGCCCGGCATTTCACATCTTTCCCAGTCGCAGCAGCAAGAGATGGTCCATCCACTCCTGCGCTTACTGCGAGGCGCACTGCACGCGCTCAGCACCGGGAGGAACGTCATCATCATCCTCATCCATGCCACCGGCCACGCCCTGAGCACGGGCCTGCGAGGCCCCGCTGCCGTCAATGTCCTCCAGCTCGAAGTCCTCGACCATAGCGTCGGCCGGGGGCTGGGCCTGCTCCATGCGGGGAGGCAGGACCTTCTCGAGGAGCTCAAGGTTGCTGAGCTGGTCACGCTCGGGGAACACAACCTCGAACTTGATGTAGAGGTTGCCGTGGTCGTGGTGGCGGAAAGAGGGCATACCCTGGCCGGGAATGACCTTGATAAGGTCTAGAGAAAGGAAAAAAAAGGTCAGCATTTGATTGTATTCCAAGTCAAGGTGGGACAAAGATGAGCTGGGGTAAAAACATACCAGGAGTGATAACCTCGCCAGGGGCGATGTTAACGGTCAACCACCGGTCATCGAGGTGCTCAACGTGAATGGTACCGCCGCCAAGCGCGGTCAGAAGGTCAATCTTGGCATGGTAGAACAGGTCGTCGCCCTTGCGCGAGAAGCGGGGGTGGGGCTTCTGCTCAATCTCGAAGACAACATCACCAGGCATGACACCAGGCATCTGGTCACCCTCGCCGCGGAACTCAATCTTGTGGCCGTCACGAACACCCTTGTCGACGTGGACGTGCAGAACCTTGCGCTCCACCACAGTCTTCTTGCCGTTACACTTCTTGCATCGGTCCTTGTCGCGGATAATCTCGCCCTCACCGTTGCAGTCGGGGCAGACGGTCTGGAAGCGCTGGATCATGGGACCCATCTGGCGCATCATGGTCTTCATACCACTACCGTTGCAGCCAGAGCACTCCTTGACAGCGCCCTCCTTACCACCGCGGCCATCGCAGCCACCGCAGATAACGGACTTCTGCAGAGCCAGCTTGGAGACCTTGCCCCGGTAGATATCCTCCAAGTTAACCTTATGCACATGGTGGATGGTGCGGGCCTTCTTGGGGCCAGTGTCGCGCATGCCACCGCCGAACATTCCACCGAAGCCACCACCGCCGCCGAAGAACTGGGAGAAGATGTCCTCGGCGTTCATTCCAGGGCCGCCGGCGCCACCCTCCAGGCCTTCCTCACCATATTGGTCGTAGATCTGGCGCTTCTGGGGGTCGGAGAGAATCTCGTAGGCGTGCGATAATTCCTTAAATTTCTCTGCGGCCTCGGGGTTGTCGGCGTTCTTGTCTGTACACGAAACAACATCGCGTTAGCCTCGATGATCAGATCTTTCTCCCAGGCCCCCCGATCGAGGCGATTTGTTTGGGAGATGCTTTGATTTTTCTTTGATTTTGGAGATGGGAACGTACCAGGGTGATACTTCAGAGCACCCTTCTTGTAGGCGGTCTTCAACTGGGACTCAGTCGCCGTGGGGGGAACCTATAGCACACACAAAGACCTTGTTAGTTCCTGTCGATCACGGATTTGCACGATAAGGCGTGGGAGGTGGAAACATACCCCAAGGCAGTCGTAGAACGCGGTTTCCTTAACCATTGTGACGTGGATTCGTACGACAGAGGGATGGGGAAGGGTCGGAGATGCAGAAGAAGAGGTGAGGTGAAAGCCGCTCCTGGTGGGGCAGTGACGAAGAAAAAAGCGATGCTCGAGAAGTGGAGGACGGAGGGTTGAGTATCTTTTGGATAAGGCAAGAATAGGGAGTGAATGGCTGAGTAACTTTTTTTCCAGGCACTGTACGGACCGCGTAAAATAACAAAGGGCGGGTTTATTACCAGGGCGCGACGCCTGGAGATTTGTCTATCTTACCCAAGAATAAGAACTCAAGAATAATCGGCTACACTTTTGTCCTCCTGCTGCTTTTCTACATATCCCGGTCGGCCTGATCGATTCTTTGCCTCGTCGAGCCGGGCCCGAGCGTCTGTTCGACGGGTTTCTGCGGGCTTCGATGACTTTCGCTGTTTTTCTCCGCGCTTCCGTCGTTTCAGGACCGTAATCGGCTGACTCAGGTGCTTATTCAGTGAAGTTTCGGTGCTTCTGGTTGTTCGTCGCAAACCCAAGGTCGGTCCCAGGGTTATTGGGCAGTGGCGACTATCGGGCGAACTGTGGTTCCGACCGGAGGCTGCCCGGCATGGACCAGCTCTTAGGACATTGTACAGAGGTAGAACTGAGTGTGTATGGTACCCAGCACATGAAGACAGAGGATTTTCTTCCCCGCCACATTCCAGCCCAATTGGAGCCACTCACGTCTATCAAATTTGATCAGCCACAGTGTTATCGATAAGCCGAGGGGATCCCCCAAGTGCAAAATTTCCACGATCCACTTGGGACACGCTTGACCCGTCATGGTGGAAGCGGGCGTCTCCGATGGACTGCCTAGATAAGACGTAGGCGCATTCCTGTCGAAGCATCGCAATCTGTCAATTCCTCCGACATCTACATATCCCCGCAATAAGATCACAAGCGCATTAGCTGCACATCATGGATCAAGAGCCTGGCTTCATTGCGGCTGTCGAGGAGGCTAAGCAGGGCTACGTCGAGGGTGGCGTGCCTATTGGCGCTGCGCTGGTCTCCAAGGACGGCCAGATTCTGGGCCGAGGTCACAACATGCGCGTGCAAAAGGGCAGCCCCGTTCTGCATGTCAGTAGCCGCCCAAACTATAGACTGGTCCACTTGAGAATCGCCCAGACTAACTCCTAGCTCTCCGTGATCCGAATAGGCCGAGATGTCTGCTTTGGAGAACTCCGGCCGCCTGCCCGCCTCCGCCTACGAGGGCGCGACCATGTATACCACACTGTCGCCCTGCGACATGTGCACCGGCGCCTGCCTGCTCTACAAGGTGAAGCGGGTGGTCATTGGCGAAAACAAGAACTTCGTCGGCGGCGAGGAACTGCTGAAGAGCCGTGGCAAGGATGTCGTTGTCGTTGACAACCAGGAGTGCAAGGACCTCATGGAGAAGTTCATGAAGCAGAAGCCGGAGCTCTGGTGAGTATCACGCAGGCTGTTCGGGCTCTAGAACCAGGCTAACCATCAATCTCCGCCGCATAGGAACGAGGATATTGCCGTCTAAGCTGTTATGGACCAGGTTTAGTTTGCATATAGCACTATAGTTTGGAGCATCAAATGAGGTGGGACTTCATAATCCCGCCCGAATCTCATTTATATTCAAAGTGGGAGATGTCCTGTGTATCATGAAACTTTTCGCTTGACTGCTGTATACCGCTCGGTGGTAAGGAAGCCACCACTCGTTGGGTAATCTAATAATCACGCCGCGGTGAGACGGTGGATTTCCTCAAAGAAGAACTTGAGGTGCTCCGGATCCACGAAGGGAGTGACACCTATTCACGAGTATTAGCACCATAGATTCACTGCCGTTTGAAACGCCACGTACCGTGTCCAAGATTGCAGATCCAGCCCTGCTTGCCCTTCTTGAATCCCTCAACCATCTGCTCCACAGTAGCAGTGATGGCCGGACGACCACCATACAGCATACCGGGATCAGCGTTACCTTGAATAGTAACTCGCCCATTGGCAATGCGCATGGCATCGGCAGGGTCATGCAGCCAATCCAGACCAACAACGTTGTAGCCAGACTCGCAAAGATCCTCCAGGCCGTACCAAGCACCCTTAGCAAACACAGTCATGGGGACAGGCTCCAGGCCCATCTCCTGCAGTCGCGTAGGCAGATTGGCAGAGATGTGACGGAGGTAGGGAAGCGAGAAGGACTTGAAAGAGCTGGGAGACAGCTCACCGGCCCACGAGTCGAAAACCTGCACCAACTGAGCACCCGCCGCGACCTGGAGAGCCAAGTACTCCACACAGATCTCGGCAATCTTTTGCAGCAACGCCTGCGACTCCTTCGGGTACTTGTAGACCCATGTCTTGGACTGCACAAAGAGCTTGCTGCCGCCACCTTCAACCATGTAGCACAGCAGAGTCCACGGCGCACCGCAAAAGCCGATCAGCGGGACGCGACCCTTCAGCTTGAAGCGTGTCAGGGAGATGGCCTTGTAGACATAATCCAACTCGGATTTCACATCCACCTCTTTGGCCATCACCTGCTCGTATTGCCCATCTGTCGGCGACTGGAGCGGCTCGGGGAAGTGCGGGCCCTTCTTATCCACCATTTCCACCTTCATTCCCATAGCCTGGGGGATGACCAGAATGTCTGAGAAGATGATTGCCGCATCTATGAGGCCCTCGTAGCGTTCAATGGGCTGAAGAGTCAAGGTCGAGGCGACCTCTGGCGAACGGCAGCACTCGAAGAAGTCTCGGCCGCCCTTGGCCTCGTGGTACTCGGGGAGGTAGCGACCAGCTGATGAAAATCAAGAAGAAACCATTGTCAGCCGTGAGATTCACAAGGGGGATTTCAACAAAGGAAAGGGACGCGGCATGAAACTCACCCTGTCGCATAACCCATATCGGCGGGCGCTCAACCTTTTCGCCTGCGATTGTCAGCAGGTTCCTAGGGGGAAAATATGATGAAACCAATTTACCTCGCGCGGCTCTCAATAGGAGATCATTCCTCAGCGGCTCAAATTGTTCTTGCATGGTGGGTGGTGGATTGCAGATTGGAAGAAGGGAAGTGGGAGGATTCTCGGGGTACCGCGGGCAAGTGATTTGATCCGCCGCCGGAACCTTGGAGGCTAGGAATGGGTTATCCGCCGAGGCTGACCAGATCGAGGGCGTCCAGGCACTCACCCATTAGTAAAAGTAAGGCGCTCTACGAGCTGGGCTTTTGATACAAGGATTATGTGAAGCCAATTGAATTCTGGTTTAAGCTACAAATTTTACGTATGGTAGGTAATAATCCATGCTGTTTTGTGCTTCTGCAGAGTTTGATTTTTAGTACCTAAAATTCGTCTAGGATCCAATGTACATTCAAACTTGATTTTTCAGTCGTAAGCCCTCTTCCGAAGAACGCCCAAAGTGTACAGAATGTCGTCGAACCCCTTCTTTTGCTTGTCATCGAGCTCAGCCGGGAGAGCCGAAGTTCCCGCTGAGTTAATGCTAGTCGCCAAAGGGTCTTCCACTGGTTTCCACTTCAAAGATTCCACCTCCACGCTGACTTGAAAGTATTCAAGGAGCTTCTGAGGTGTCCCAGAAGTCGACTTCCATGCTTCGGTCGAGCCAGGCTCCCGGATGGTGTCCACAGAGACAGCAATTGAGCCTCGAGAGTCGATACCAGTCAGATCCAGGACGTTTCCGAAACATTGAATAGTGTCCTGCAGCTTCAGAGTATCTTCCTCGATTGTGAATGATAAAAGCTCTGGAGATCTATTCTGCATGTTAGTGATATGTACGAAGGTAAGTGGGACTGTTACATACCCCTCTAGTGCAACCAAGATTGCTTTCACTGTAGCTGCGGACTGCTCAAGAGAAACTGCCCAGATTCCTCGAACAATGGGTTCTGGTGTTTGCACAAGGCCTTCCAGCGAGACTTTTTGAAGGACCTGGCTTTCACCCCAGTTCCATAGAAGTAAATAGTTGTCACCTCCGCCGGAAATGAGGTATTCGGGCGCCCAGGATGGGCTGCAAAGCTTCGTAATAAATGAGGTGTGGCCCAGGCAGTACCGTTCAATGATGTGAGACTGGGGGATTCCTCGAGACACACGAATATGCTCGTCACGATCAGCGGTTAGAATATAATTTCGGCCTGGCGTGGCCTCTGTAGGCAGAGCCACGGCGATCAAATCGGTCAGTAAGGAGACATGACCAATAATCAACCTGTGCTCGAAATTGAGAGAAGTCTTTTCTTCGGAGCTGGGCTTTTTCACGCCACCATTCTTGGCGGCCTTCTCGGCTTGAATCCGTTGTTGCTCTAGGGACTCGAGGTTGCGCCTCGAGTGTACGGTTAGTGCCGTAGCAGCAGGCTTGTAGGCCTTTTCCTTCTCCGTGCGAGGAAGATACTCTCCCGGAATAAGAGGCAAGGAATATGCATCACCAAATTTGTCGCCACACAGAATAGTTTGACCGTCGGGAGTCAAGACCAATGCGCTCGGCCGCTTGGGCATCTCTCTTCATCATTCTTAGCACTTGCCAGTCGAGCAACAAGAAAACATGACGACTACCTACCGCGAACTGAGCTCTTCAAGCTTGCCATTTTCACCCAAGTTGAACACCCGGATGCATTTGTCCTCCGCAGTCAGCGCGATTACATATTTTCCATCGAAAGACGTGGTCAGAATTGGGATGTTAGACCATTCCGGCAATTGCTTGCCCGAGCTTTTCTTCGGCGCAGTGGTGTCTTTCAAATTTTCCTCGAGCCCATCGGCACCCGACGAGAGCTTCCTCCTCTTCTCAGGAGGCGCTTGATCCTCGGGAGCAGACTCGGTGTTGGACTCTACATTCTTCGGCCACACGTCCAGAAATTGACCAGTGGTGGCGGCATACGAGTAAAGATGCCGCCCTGCCGAGGCAATCAAGAATTCTCCGGAGCTCGGCGACTGCTGTTTGACATACTGCACGCACTGAAGGGGCTGCTGGAAGCTCGCCATGATGATGCCCAGGCTTTGCCAGTGGTTCACAGAGAAAAATTCAAAAATTCGCGGTTGAGGAAAAGTCAAATGCACGAATCTACCCAATAGGAGGACGGACAAAGTGACGCAGGAGAAATCGAAGAGATGCGAAGGTCCGATCCGATAGCCAAAATATGCAACAAAACACAAAAAAGATTTATCGACAGCAAAAATATCGCGCGGCGGCATCAAATGGCCCTTGCCGTTCTACATCATCACCGCTCGCAGCCCGCACCAACGTATTTCCGGGTCGCGACCACGTGACCCACTAGCGAACCGCACCGAAAAAGAATTTCCCAAAATCGCATCTGCTTCCTCCACAACCAAATCACACACCAACTTGTCCTTAAACAACCTATCTTCAGCGAAAATAAGGAGAAATGGGGGGCAAGTCTGCTACCAAGGCCGCTTACTTCGACAAGCTCAAGGGCTTGGTGCGTATCCTTGATTCTCGGCTCACCGTCGAACTGCGTCGCTAACTTGTATCCCATTGTAGCTCGAGGAGTATGCTAGCATCTTCATCGTGGGTTGCGACAATGTCTCTTCCCAGCAGATGCACGAGATCCGTCAGTCCCTCCGTGGCGAGGCTGTCGTTCTCATGGGAAAGAACACCATGGTTCGCCGTGCCCTGAAGGGTTTCGTTACTGAGAACCCCGAGTGGGAGCGCCTTCTGCCCCACGTCAAGGGTAAGTTTTCTATACCAGCTCCAATTGCACCAAGGTGACCAATTGACTGACATGAATTTTCTTCATAGGCAACGTTGGTTTCATCTTCACCAACGGTGACCTGAAGGAGACCAAGGAGAAGATCCTGGCCAACCGTGTCGCCGCCCCCGCCCGTGCCGGTGCTTTCGCTCCCGGTGACGTCTGGGTTCCCGCCGGTAACACTGGTATGGAGCCTGGTAAGACCTCTTTCTTCCAGGCTCTCGGTGTCCCCACCAAGATTGCTCGTGGTACCATCGAAATTGTCTCCGATCTCAAGCTTATTGAGGCCGGCAGCAAGGTCGGTGCCTCCGAGGCCTCTCTGCTCAACCTGCTGAACATCTCTCCCTTCACCTACGGTATGACCATTCAGCAGGTCTACGACCACGGCCAGTGCTTCGGTGCCGACGTCCTTGACATCGGCGAGGAGCAGCTCCTGAAGACCTTCAGCCAGGCTATCCAGACCGTCGCCGCTCTGTCCCTGGCCACCAACATCCCCACCATCCCCGCCACCATCCACTCCATCGTCAACGCCTACAAGAAGGTTCTTGCTGTCGCTGTCGAGACCGAGATCAGCTGGCCCGAGATTGAGGAGCTCAAGGACCGCATCGCTAACCCCGATGCCTACGCCTCTGCTGCTCCCACCACCGCCGCTCCCGCCGGTGGTGACGCTCCCGCCGCGGCTGCCCCCGCCGAGGCTGAGGAGGAGTCCGACGAGGACATGGGCTTCGGTCTGTTCGACTAAACGCCTCGTCCTTGATCGGATACGAATGCCATGTTTTAGATACTTTGATTTGATCCAGGCCTGAAAAAAAGGCTGGTGAATGAAATAACGACGACTTGGCAACGGATCTACTTTCCAGTTTCCTTTTTTCAGACACGCTTGATGGAACGTAGAAACACGCTCCATTACCTGTCTATCTATAAACGGTGAGTTTCAAAACTTCTTTTTCTTGCATGCTACCTCGCTTTCTCTTGACCTTTTGTCTTGTACACTTTCCTTTCTACCTTGATCGAGTACTCTCCCCTGGCGGATGATTAAACATTTTTAACCCCGAGCATTCGGCCCTTGCGTAAGGGTCGCGCTGACGATTAAAAACGCAACAACAACACTCTAATTTTTTGCTGACGCCACATCAATATTTGCCTTTGTTTTTGTCATGACTTATTTTCACATCACAAAGCAATTGCTAATTTGTTCTCAGATGACAGGTTTATTGTACGCGGACACTCTGTAGCGGTCGTGTCAACGTAGAGCGTAGGAATTGGTGGTGGATTGTGGTCCGTGTGTTCTTATAACCAAAGAATTACTATGGCGCGGTACTAGCTAGTTTCAATGGGACAAATTCGGCCTCTTCATTTCTTCCATCAATCTATAATGTAGTTGCTTGAGCCTATAGACTGCCCGAAGTGATGTCCAGCCTTTTTGAAGGGCGACCATCATGGAGGACTATGCCGCTCCGCCCGGCGAATCGACTGGTCAACCACCGGCGGTGCCGGGGCTTTCTCCGCATACCCGGAGTCTGCAACCGACGTGGGGATTGTTGTATTGCACAGATAAACCATCGGTTCTTAGCTCTCCAGTCTCAGTGTCCAGGGGATCGCTTTTTCAAAGTGCAACAATCAACATCTGTCTGATCGTTTAACCACTGGCTCATAATACGGTACTTGCATCAGAAGCAACATGGCGCAACCAGCAAAAGAGCCACAGGTTAGGCTGATCGAGTTGACGCCCGACGAACTCGCTTCCAAGGAACTCGGCTCGCACAATCTTCAAGCTGCAGTCGAAGCCCTCCATCGAGATGGGATCGTCGCGATCAAAAATGCCGTGGATATCGCACATCTAGACAAACTCAACGCCCGAATGGTCCCTGAAGCTAGAGACCTCTACGCACGGCCGGACACACATCGCAACTTTGGCAACGGCACGGGCAATATCCAGCAAGAGCCTGTGCTTGAAGACGACTTTATCTTCGACGATGTCATTGCCAACCCTTGGGCAACGCAAGCCATCCAGTGCATGCTCGGTCCACAATCAATGGTGCGATTCTACAGCGCCAATACTGCATTCAAAGCGACAGAACGCCAGCCGCCACATATCGATATCACGTTCGACTTTCCAAAGGTGCCGTTTGGCTATTGCGTGAATATCAATCTCATTGATACGACGCCGGAAAATGGGGCTACGGAGGTCTGGCTAGGCTCGCACGTTGATACGGATCGGGATGTTCTGAATCTTTCACAAGAAAGCATGGAAATCAAACCCGAGTTTCAAGAGCAACGACGCAAGATTAGCCCGCCTATTCAGCCTAGTCTTCCTAAAGGGTCGTTGATCATCCGGGACTTTAGGCTGTGGCATGCTGGGAGACCGAATCAGACGGATCAGCCTCGGGTGATGCTTGTTTCGGTGCAGTTCCCTCGCTGGTACCGGAGTAATTTGAACATGAAACTTCCGGCCAGTGTTAGGGATAAGTTGAATTGGGGGGATGCTATACCTTGTGTCGAGTGGATGCCGGAGGGATACGATTATCTTCAAGGCTCCCACGACCATGATTTTGTTTTACTACCTTAAATCATGTGTAAAGATAAAAGATACTGGTTTGGCAAGAGGAATTTTGCAAATTTTCGATCGATCGAGTTCAATTTTTCCCACAACAAACAATTAATGTTTGCGCAGAAGCAATTCTATGTCTTGTCTATGTCTATGTCTATGTATATATTCAATGGTGTATCGAACATTTGGTCATAAATCCGAGGCGATGTCATGTACAGCGACGGGATGAGAGGAAATAAGAAAAGAAAGGAATGGAATTTTTTCATCAAAATAACTGGGATAGTGGCATGTTTATCCCAGAGTCAGGACGTACTGAGCATCAGTCGAGCACGAAAGAGTGTTGACATCATCCGGGTGCTGGTAGGAGTCGGCGCAGTTGGAGTCGCCAGCCTCACAGGTAGCAGTGTCGCAGCTGGAGTCGCTGGGGATTGCAGAGAAGCCGTGCTGGACGAACTCGGAAGAGGCGTCCATGTTGATGGAAGACAGGTCCCAGAAGAGCTTGTCGGAGTCGAGAGTGTACTCGAACTGGAGGACACTGTCGAGGCTTTCGCTGGTGGACAGCTTGATGGAGATACCACCACCGTTAGGGTTGGTCTGCCAGTTCTCGGTGTAGGAGTCACCGCCAGACTTGATGGTCTGCATGGCGCCAGAGTCGGCGGAGGTGGACCAGAGGTAGACGTCTGTGCCGAGGTTGTTCACGATCTGGACATTGCCGCTGGAGGACGAGTCGCGGGCACGGTGAGGCAGAGCAGTGGCGGCGGCGGCCAGGATGCTGGTGATGACAACGTTGGAGAAGAACATTTTGGTTGTAATGTGTCGTTGGATCGACGAATGTGATGTCTCGAAAAGACTGTGATGGAAAGAAGAATGTTCTGTTCAAACGACAGTTGAAGAGAATGTATGAATCCGATAAGAGAGAGAATCGGATTGCAAAAGGCAAGAGAGCGAATAAAAAAGAAAAAAGAGAGAGAGTAAAGGTCTCAATGATTGTAGTGATTGATGAAAGAAAGAAGAGTTCTTAGTCGAGATAGATACACCCTTATATATTGTTCCTGGGCGTGTTGGAGTCGTGGCAACCCCCGGCACCCTAGCCTTACCCATTCGTTCGATGGAACAGTGAATTCATGGTTAACCATGAGGCTAGCCAATGATTCTGGGGTTGGTGGAGTGTCCTGGTCCCAGATGGTCTCGAACGCCGTTGCCATCGCCGGAAATGGAAGGCTTCTCGTAGAGTTTTGCAGCCTTCCATCCTTTTCGGGGGAAAGTCTGGTACGGTCTGTCGTTCGTCGATCCCCCGGAAGCGAAGGAATCCTGTGGGGTGCTTGACATCAGAGCCGCTTCAAACTTTTGTTCCTTGTGCTTGACGCGAATGATTTTGCTGCGGTCTCCAACCGAGGACTCCAAACCTTTTGTCCCTGAAGTTTTGGAAGGCTCGACCCAGACATCGGGCTCTCTGAAGAGACTGATTTTCGGTAGTTCTCGAAAGTTCCTGTTTCCTTTCCATGGCCGGCATGAGAAGGCTCGCCCACTGTCCGTCATGCCATCTGGGCTCGCTACCGAGGGCCAGTTCCGATGTCGCCTTCTCCCTCTAAGCACCCTATTTGACCCTGGCCACGCGACTCTTGCACCCGCTATCAGGGTCTGGATTGAATTTGCCAAGCAATTGTCAAGATCCTCATACCATCTTCATCCTGGCGAACGCTTGGCGGGTGGCCAGGCCCAGGATGCTCTTTGTTGAAGGCGCGGGGCGAGGGAGATATCCTACAAATTTTAGCATTCTTTGGTCTCCGCAACGGCCGAGTGTTGTATGTTGCCAGTCTGAGTCCGACAGGGATGCGGAGACAAATTTGACGTGGGCAGGATTGGCATGGTGGTTGAGGGGAAGGCTAGACTCTCCTTCACGGGCATGGGAAGCAAACCGTTGCCAAGCATTCGTCCCGGCTCCATGATTTTTCCAATGCAACCAAGTAGTCTAAATAATCAGGCAGAGTTAACTACGAGAACCACGACCATTTCCAACTTCTTTGGTGCCCCCAACCTTAACCTAATGTTGCCCAGTTGGTGACGAGGCGGAAAACGAACAAAACCCTCCGGAGGAATAGATCCGGTGGAAGCCACCGGGTGCTTGTCCACGTCATACCATGAGGCAAAGCACAGCCTTCCACCACCACCCGGACCATGTGCGAGCAAGAGCCATGTACCAGTATCTGACAGGCCAGGTACCCCTCCACTCACCATCGAGAAGCCCATGGACGGCCAGGGACGGACAGGTACGCACTTCCTCCGAGAATCGAGAGGATGCTCCGGAAGGCAATATGCGATCGAACGATCACAGAGGAACACAAGAAGGGCTCCAAGGGACGGAGTAGGTACAAAACCCAGTTGCGAGACAGAAAAGGGGTCCAGATTCGAACCGACAACGGATGGTCGAGACTGGCTCGGTGTGGGTATGAGTCCAAAGACCTGTCTGCCAGAGGGCGCTTGTGAATCCGCAATTCGGCTGCTGTCGTCGTTGCGACAGCTCAAATTTAGAACAGTCTAGATGCATCTGCTTTTCAACTTTATCTGGGACCATTTCTGGGCCCGACTAGTGCCTACCACTCCGGCAATGGCGATCTTCTAAGAAAAAAAAAGGCGTCCCCAAAGCCTGAACGCTGATTAAGCAGCTTCCCCTTGACCGAAGTTCGGCCACTTCGCATCATGACCAGAGTAGTCACGGTGGTGGAGTTCTAGTGTAGTTGGAAGGCGAGGATTCGTCGCAAGTATTGTTGCCCACAGCACCACAAGCCGCGAAGTGGAATCCTTTACGAGTGTCCGGTCCCAGTTGGGTATCTAGTTACCAGTATGTCTGTGCAATATGCTCAGGGTATTCAGGCGAGACAAAGATATTTTGAGAATTAATTACATGTTCTCAAAGGCAAAGATCATGTTCAGGCTCACGGATCATCAGTGCCACGGCCAAAGCGTCCTCCAAACCCACCAAGGTCACGACGGAAGAATTTACCAATGTTCTTGAGGTTCTCGTTGAGGTTTCCGGCGGCTGTAGACTCCGACGGAGTATGAGCGTGACCAGTCTGCTGCGACGATGAAGGCGGGGCAGGGGACGAAGATCCGGAGGTACCCCCCATACCGGTGTTCGAAGTTGCACCTCCGGAAACCCCGGTGGAGCCTAAAGTGCCGAGGCTGGGGTTGCCAAATCTATCCACGCCGTCCTTTGCTGCGGAAATGATGGCTGATCCAAGCATGGAGGCATCAAAGCGCGACGGCATAGACATGGAGGATGTGCCAGTTAGCCCAAGGCCCTGGGATACCGAACCGGTGCTTGTGGCACTGGGGGTTTGCAAGGCGCTGAGGATGGGATTGCTTTGCTGGAGGCCAGCAGCGTAGCGGTCTGAAGCCCGGTGAAGCTGGAAGAGCTCCACGAGGTGATTCTGCTCCTGGCGGCTACGGATGCCTTTGATATCAAGGATTTTGCGGAAGTTGTTGTTGTTACGGTCCGCGATGTGGATGAGGTATGCCTGGACAAGAGCCTCTGGCGGAGACGGACGGACCTGTACGGTTTTGAGAAGTGTTTCGATTTTGAAGAAGCTGGTGTTCACGCGTTTGACAAAGCCTGCTGGAGCCGGTGCAGGCAAGAGGGACGAGAGACCACTTTTCAGTGTGTAGGAGTCAAGAAGCATCTGGCAACATGTCAGTTGGATGGAATCGAACCAAACAGCATAAGAGGCAGTTATGGGGAAGAGAGTATTACCTGTTCAGCGCCTGTCTCCGAAACCGGCTTGCATAGAAGAACATTACTGATGAATAAACTGCATATCAACTCAACCAAATGGTCAGAGAAAGCTCGAGCGTATTGCTGTTTGTGTAGCAATTGAAGAATCTCCGATGCCTTCTCCTTCGTTTGCGAGATCATTTCACCCACATAAGAGCTTTGATCGCTGACGGCCTCGATTTTACTCCATGGAGTGTTGCGCATCTCTCGCCAGCATGGTTCCAAGTGCACTTCAACTTGCCGCACAAGCCCTCGCACGGCCGCGGATGCAATCCCCATGAAGGAGTCTGCTTGGCTTTGTAAGTCGACCGATTCTTTGAGAGGTTCATCTAGTCGGCTCTTGATCTTCTCCTCTAGCTGAGAGCACGTAGTGTAGCAATAATCAGCGGTGTTGAGAACAGAAACCAGATCTTCTATTGAGGGCACCTTGGAAGGCGTATGGCCAGACGGCCGTTCACTGATGTAAAGAAGGAGAACTTGCTGTGCGTACTGGTCAAGGTATTTGGCAAAGACCTTCGCCAGCTCAGCAAGACTATTGCCTGTCGAGAGCTTGGCACATTGTTGCAAGGAGTGTCGATAGAACGTGAATAACTCAGTCGACGATGATATCACAGTATGAGAGTTGAACTCCTCATCAGGGGGTTTGAGAGGTTGTTGGCGATACTTGGGCAAGAGCGCAGCCAGCTGTTTATCTTGCGCCTCGACCCAGACACTGAGATATGGCTCAAATGCCTCAGAGATAGACTGACTGAATGCCGGAGTTTCCGTTGAAGCGAATGTATCTGTAGAGGGGCGGGCAGGTGTAAATCGACGCTCAAGCGAGTGCTCAAAATCAAGAGTCTCTTGCAAGCATGAAAGAAGCAAGTTCACGTCGATGGTCTGACCACTACGGACCGACCGCGAGAGGATTCCTTTGAAGTCGTCTCGGGTACCCTCACAAAATACATTAGCCAGGATTTCATTGACGCGCCACGAAGCTGGAAAGATGGCCGCATTCTCCTCGTCGTATATCTTCAGGATGCGTCGGAACCACGAGTATCGGCGAGAAATGTTGTCCAGGGATCCGGCCTCTTCGTTGTTTCGGAAAACTTGACGATACTCGCGCAGCTGGGTGTTGCAGTACCAAGTTACAAGCCGGGACCGAGCGTACTCGCCCAATGCATCCACCACAAGACATGCCTCCGACAAGGTGACCCTCTTCTGAGCCACTTCGCCCTTGGCGAAAGCTATTTCAAAATCCTCGCAGACCTGCTCTAGGAGACCTCTCTGGATATCTGCAACGTTGCGGCTCAGGATTGCTATCTGGTCGATGGATCGGTAGGACTTGAAATGGGCCATTAGCTGGATCACCGCCTGCAGGAGCTGCGCGCAATCGCGATACTGTCGGGTCCGACTGAGCGCCTGCAGCTGGTCATATGCGGTCGTCAGCATCTGCAGCCGCTTCAGGGCTGTCATCGACAATGTCAGGTTCTTCTTCGCATTGTCCAATTGCTTGATGTCGGCGGTCATGTCCGTGATGGCCTGCTCAGTTTTCAGGGCACGTTCCCGTACGTCATCAATCTTCTTGAACAGTTCGGACAAATCGGCCTTTGCGGTCTGTATGCGTTCGACGCTCTCGGCATTGGAGGTAACCTGCTCCTCCACGAGGGTGCCAATATCGTTGTCCAGTTCATCTTCGTAGGTGTGGAGAGCGTCGGAGATCTCGGAGACGGAGGAGAGGGTGGAAGGGTGTGAGAAGATGGCATTTAGATGGTCGACAGGATCGTAGTCCACTTGAATCGTTCCAGTCAGTTTCCGACGTAAGTACAGCCTCTCCGGTTGACGTGACTCCGTACCTGCTTCCAAGGCGTCGAGGGTGGGCTCCTCTGGAGACATATGGCCCGTTTTCGGGGAGGTAATTGCCATCATCCCGTTAGCTCGCCAAGATCATTCTGTTGCCAGCCACAGGATGCTGCGCCAGGTCAATGCTGAGATGCTTGGGGTTGGAGGGGAATCAAGCGGCCGAGCTGATCGGGCGAGTCGCACGGGCCGCACGTCGGGGGCCACCTGGGCCGCTTGGCATTCCAGGGATCTCCCACGCCAGCGGCTCCATTGAACAACTACATTCTGCCAAGGACGTCCTACGTTAGAATCTACTACATGGAGCCATCTCATCTACGATCTCCGCGCACTACATGAATAGGGGACAATCAGAATATTTGTACATGATGATATTGTCAAATGTCTGTCTGGAGCCACACGAGGCATAACTTGATTCTTAACGTACAAACCCTGAAAAATCCCCGCAGAACCGTTCCTTTGCGCCTGGAGCCATGCAAACGGAAAATAAATCAAAGCCACTCAGATGTGTCAGGTTCCCTAGCATCAGCTGTTTTCCACCGCGGGATCGAAATATTGACTAGATCATAATGATAGGTCGAGTAAGATTCTCACAGCGAGCGAGCGAAAAACAAAATAATGATAGATTTCTTTTTTTTTTTTTTCTTTCTTTTTTTTTGGGCGTATGATGAGATCGACGTTCGGGTCATGTCCATTGTTTATGCCCCGTTAAGAAAAGCCGTGGCGGGCAACGCCCCCTGTGCCTGTCGAATCAGTCAGAATTGGTCCATCTTTCACGTGTAATGTCAGTATTCAGCTGCCTACCTTGAGTGTTTCGAAATTGTTCCAGGCGAGATCGAGGTTCCAGGAATTGCCCTCAAGAGCCATCTTCGAGTACTCCATCGTCATGCCCGACTTTGCACTCATCTGTATAACCAGCTGTTCTTGCTGAACCTGAGCGTCTGGCTTGCCAGGTGCAGGAGCACCGTATCCCTCAGGGAAAGGGGCAGCAATGGAAGCAATCGCAGCGGCCGGAGCCATGGCCTGAGGAATTGCCTGACTTTCCGGACTCCACGCCTCGTGACCGCCGTATGCACGGTAGCAAACAGAGTCATTCAAAACGCGGATGCCGCCCTCGCCATTCCCAGGACCAATGGTAAAAGTCCGATCGAAGCTGCGGGTCTCAACCTTTCCGTTAATAGATTCTTCGAACTTTCCGTGAACCATGATAATAAGACCACCGACTCCGGTGGGACTCTGTCCGGTTGGGTCGGGTAGACCGGGGATTGGGTGGCATTCGATGAGATAGTGCTCTGGATGCGTAAACAAGTCCGGGTGATGTGTTTGGGGGAGAACGTTCCAGAATTCGCGGATTTTTTCAACACCAACGTAGAGGCGGGACATGCGAGCAGGCAAGTGACTGATTTTCTCAAGGTTTCTGCTCTTTCGGATGTACGCGTCCCACCCTGCTGTCTCAGTGTGCTGAGCCTTAGGGGCTTGAGTATTAATGTTCATAGAGAACTGGGAGTTATTGTCGTAAAATCGGCTGAGGAGACCACTGCGATCATTGTCGTACGCAGGGAAGAAAACACGAATGAAGTTTTCGCAAATCTGGGACTCGTCCTGGAAGTAGGGCGGCTGGACGGGGATGGGGGTCTTCTTCCGAGCGGCAATCTCCTCGGGTGTGCGAACTTGAACCTTGTTCAAGATCTGCAGCTTCGGGTACCACTTCATCATGGTTTCTTTGAAATTCGGGTCGGAGCTGTACTCATTGTCGGACAAGTCGAGACCTTCCAGATTGCGGAATTTCCACCGCCACGCAACCATCGCCCGAGAGTCCTTGATCTTGTTGCCGGAAAGGTCCAGATTTTTGATGTCTGGGAATGTCTGAGCCAGGGAAGTGAAGGATGAGACATTTGTGAGTTGGCAACGAGCCAGCGAGACACTCTGCACCGCCTCTTGCCGTTGGACCGAGCTGTTGAACTGCATTCCGCCAAGTTTCATCAAGGCAGGGAAGAACTTGGATTCAGTGGAAGGATTTTCGAAAAGTCCCATGGCTTTCAGATCGGGATCCTCCATAATGTTCGACAGGTCGAGGAAGTGACCTTGAGGGAAATAGCGTTTGCTCAAGACCGCAGTCAGCTTGGCCTTGGTATCGGCCGTCGAGGCGTTCTGACTACCGTTGGAGAGCTGGCGGTCAAGCACCGTGACAGAGGAGTCGTAGGGTTCAATCGTAATAGCAACGCCGGCAAAGTTACTGCCGTTGATTCGAAGCATCCTATCTGCCGCGTCCTGACGTACAGAGGCCACCAGAATATCTCCTTCAACCCGCGACTAATTGGAAGTCAGCAAGTGATAACCAAAATGATGTGAAAAATAAGAATGGAAAAAAAAATTAGAGGGAGGCCGCAAGTCTCGACAGTTGTCGACTAGTGCAAGTCCGAAAGATCGTACCAGCCGATGAAGGTGACAATCAAAACCGCGAATAATCAAGAAAAGCCGGATTTCGTGGGTTGCAACTAAGGGTTAATGATATACCTTTGAGATTCGGACACGGGGTCCCTTTTGTGTCATGTTGTGCATCTTCCGTTCGAGGAAGGAAAGAAGGTGCTCGACGCCGCCGTCGCGGTGGGAGGAGACCTTGCTGCTTCTCCAGCCGCTGATGGCGAACTGGGCAGTGCCCCCTCCGCTACCCTTACCCTGTCGGACATTGGCCTGCGAGTGGCCCTGGGTGTCCTCAGAGATCGCCTTCTCGATTAGGTCCGGGTTCATGCCAAGCTTGTCGCGAGCCTTTCCACCGGCCAGTCGCCCTCCAGATGCGCCGCGAGAGCGACCAGAGTTTCCACGAGCTCGTTTTCCTCCACGGCCGTTGCCATCCATGTCCATATCGCCATCTCGATCGGTGCGCGTTGGGCCCCGCTTGCGGATACCGCCGCTGGATGCGCCGCCCGATCGGCGGGACTTCATGGACTTCATGATGTTGGTAGAGGTCGGTCAAGAAGTCGAAGGTGGGTTGAGGGAGGAAGAGTCGAGAAATATAGGAGGAGGGCGGAGAGGCGGGCAGGTAGATATGAGAGGACGGCTAGTGAATGCCTCAACGCGTTGCGGACCTTTAGCCAAGCGGGACGCAGTTGTTTCGCATTCACTGGACGGGTTGCTGTCGAAACCGGAGAGAACAAGGAGAGATTGAGAGTGAAAGGCCTTGGAAATATAAAGAGCGGAATGTTTCACTGTCAAAGGAAAGAAGGCAGCGATCCCGCCGGAGGCTTTTTTTCGCGACGCAAAGAACCGCGAATGGTCTCGGCCAAAAAAGTGACGCATTGGTCACGTGATAAGATCGTAGTGGATGGATGCCGTGTCAGGTGACTCACGCCGGATGAGTCAGCGTGTCGCCCAATCAGAAGCTGTCCTCTGTCTTCATTGTCAAATGGGGCCAATCGACACGGCTATACTTCGATCAGGCCAACTTGCACCAGATCTCATTCCCCGGGCGCAGGACTCTGGATTGCACCCGCAATTGATCTGCCTTGACCGGTCCGAGTAAGTGTGACCATTTGTCTTCCTCCTTTCGCTCGATATGTTTGATCGCGACCTTCCTCGTTTCGCCAGAGGCAGCTTGCGCGTACCAAGTTACCATGAGACCTCTGCTAATCTCCTCGCTCGCTTACACCAGACGATCGCGCTGCTGACGCCCTCCGAATTATTCGCCCGGTTGACGGCTCGCCCTATGGTCTGCAATTGACTTGCAAGATGCCCGCAACGTCGCGATTCACTAGGCTCGATGCCTTTGCCAAGACCGTCGAAGATGCGCGCATTCGCACCAACTCTGGTGGTGTCATCACCATCGCGTCGCTATTGATAGTTTTGTGGCTAGTGTGGGGAGAATGGGCCGACTATCGCCGGGTTGTAGTGCAGCCAGAGCTCATCGTCGATAAGTCGCGAGGTACGTATTGACCTGTGTGGAGTGATCAGTGTGAGACGCAACCCTCGAGGAAGCTGGCTGACAATGTGATATGGCTAGGTGAGAGGATGGAGATTCACTTGAATATGACATTTCCTCGGTTACCCTGCGAACTCTTGACTCTGGATGTCATGGATGTCTCAGGCGAACTCCAAACAGGTGTTGCACACGGTGTGAACAAGGTCCGGCTTTCTCCGCCCTCCGAAGGCGGACGTGTCATTGATGTCCAATCGTTGGATCTGTATGTTGACTCTTCTGGCTTTGGGTGTCCAATAGACCCGCATACTTGGCTTTGAACTGACATGGTCTCCTTGACAACCAGGCACTCGCCTTCAGATGCCGCTGCGCACCTTGCCCCAGACTACTGCGGTGAGTGCTACGGAGCCACCCCTCCGGAAAACGCGATCAAGCCTGGCTGCTGTAGCACTTGCGATGAAGTCCGCGAGGCGTACGCGCAGAAGACATGGGCCTTCGGAATTGGTGAGAATATTGAGCAATGTGAGCGCGAGGGCTATAGTGAGAAGCTCAAGGCCATGCATCGCGAGGGCTGCCGTGTGGAAGGCGTGCTCCGAGTGAACAAGGTGGTTGGCAACTTTCACATTGCTCCTGGCCGTAGCTTCACAAACATGAACATGCATGCCCACGATCTGAAGAACTACGATGTGCCCGGCACCCCACCCGACGAGCAGCACACTATGACCCACGAGATCCATGAGCTTCGATTCGGACCCCAGCTTCCTCCCGAGCTCGCCGGTCGTTGGCAATGGTCGGATCACCACCATACGAACCCGCTTGACGACACGAAGCAGGCGACCAATGAGCCTGCGTACAACTTCATGTATTTCATCAAGGTTGTGTCAACCTCTTATCTCCCTCTGGGCTGGGATCCTCTCTTTTCGTCAGCCATTCACAGCGCCTACGACAAGGCACCTCTGGGCACCCATGGCCTGGGATATGGTGCTCAGGGCAGCATCGAAGCCCACCAGTATTCAGTTACTTCCCACAAGCGTTCCCTCATGGGTGGCGACGATGCTGCCGAGGGCCACAAGGAGCGTATGCATGCCGCGGGCGGTATTCCTGGTGTTTTCTTTAATTATGACATCTCTCCCATGAAGGTGATCAACCGTGAAACTCGCCCGAAGACATTCACCGGTTTCCTGACCGGTGTCTGTGCCATCATCGGCGGTACCCTGACTGTTGCCGCGGCACTGGACCGGGGTTTCTATGAAGGAAGCATGCGCATCAAAAAACTGCACTCGAATTAAACCAATTCCCTTAGAGATCAGAAATATGGCGAATTGCATACCTGCTTGAGAATGCATTGGGGACGAAGACATGTGGGCACTCATGGCGTTTGGGGATAACTCTCTCTATGCATTTTTTTTCAACTTTATATTTTCTTTCTGGGCTCGTCATAAGTATCTCTTATCAATTTTTTTACGGTGAATGAAATAATCAATTTCAATTCTCCCTGTGCGTTTGGTAGAGGATCCCTTTAAATGGTGCTTGTGTTGCATTTTATTCGGCGACGAGAGGTTTCCGCCTACCGTTTGACTATACGGATTAAATCTCCTCGCTTGATATTCCTTTTATTGGTTGTATTATTCAAACTTTCCTTGTAGCGCGTCCAGAGGCCGTTTAGGCCGGTTTTGTCCACGACACTTCGAATGGCGCCATTAACCATGCCGCTGACTTTTCGATGTCCATACATATTATTCTTTTCATACGTTCACCTAGAGCATCTCCCAAGCTTCACAGGGTTGAAGGGCATACCTTCAATATGGGCGGATCTGCGCTGGTCGCCATCTTCCTCGCATTCAACAGTCTCGATATCAACAGACCCATATCAAGTCTCTCCAACAGCAACTTGTCCATTATGATCATCGCCAAAGGTGCACTCACTACCTCGCAAGAAAATATCACAGTGAAGCGAACATTGTCATTTGAAGAAGCCAGCGCACGGCTATCCGATTATGATCTCATTATACTCGGCTCGCGTTCGAGAAATATCCTGCCCTACGTCCAGCCCGAAAATGCGCAATTGAGAGCTTCTCGAATTCATCGCACAGTACGCAAGTCCTCCGATACCGATCACTAAAGAGAGCACAATAATGTCTGTTTGTATCGGAAGCTATCTGCTTGCAGTAGCTGGGGTTCTTGATGGCCTCGCAGCTACGACACATCGTTTGGCACCCAACGGCCTACGTACGACCTGCAACAAATATATATCGAAGACCCCCGGCGCAAAAGGGACGCGGACCCTGCCCGAGAATCCTTCAGAAACCGTTTCTCATTATGACGGAGGATGTAACGAGTCCGTGTTCGACTCATTACACTGGCGCGGTCACCAATGGGATAGATGCTACTTTGTATTATGTTGCTGGTCGTCTTGGACAATTAGTTGCTGTTGAAGTCTTAGAGCTTATTGGGCACAATTGGAGAGATGAAGGCATAAAAAGCAGTTGAAACACTTTTGAGTTGTCAGCATGTGATATAATCAATGGCCATGTTCACACGCTGCAGTTAATATATATACACTACACTACACACGGTAGCCACCATCACATAGATTACCATATCTCATCTCAATGTGAGTGATTTTGAGGAGATAGACTGTCACATGTCATGGTACACACCGCAATAGCCCGCACACGAGCGTGAGAGATGATACCTATATTCATTCTGATAACTACAGTAGTGTACTTGTAGTAGTGGCCTCTAAGCCAAACTAATTTGGGTACTTCTCTCGCGTCAGATCCCGACTGAGAATATACTGCTGGCGCTCAATACCCCATTCAGGGAGAACTGTCGACAAAGGTCGGACTCCTTCCTGCGTAGCCTGCCAAATATCCGGATCTATAGTGCGAATCTTCGTACCATAGGGGAGAAGCAGCTTATTCTCATCCGGAAGACCCTCAGTCTCGAGTCGGTTCATTTCATGTAGAATTTCCGGAGTTGCCTGCCGGCGAAGCAGCGCCCAAAATTCCTCATCAGATGAATTCCAGAGGGCCTCTTCTTTCACTCGCCCGGAATTGACCAAGTCACCGATTACCTGCCCAGTTCTTTTCGAGAGATCTGCCTGTGATCTGTGCGACCAGACATCTCGATCTGTTGCTATGTATGCTCGGGACAAGACCAGCGCAAGTTGTGCATCCTCGAGAACAAGGAGACGCTCAGGAGACGAAGCAGAGGGAAAGGCTTTAAGGGACCTAAAGACACTTTGAACTTCTTCAAGGCCCAACTTTTCGAAAGCTAGTGCGTCGCGGAGTGCATAGTCGAGTCGATCGGCACAAAGTTGGGGCGCTGGTCTTTCGACGAGAGGAAACAGTTCCTCCTCGAGCGCCTTCAAGTCTTCGAGTCCATGTTGAATGAGCATCTGAGGCAGCTGGGTATTTTCCAAGTACCGAGACTTATGGACTTCATGATAGCTGCCTTCTCCAGGTTTGGCTAGCGCGTCATCGACGACGTGGCTGAGGCTGGTGTGACTGATATCATGCAGAAGAGCAGCAACCTGCTCTTCGACGCTGGCTCCAACCTTGCGAACGAGTAGTAATGCACCGACTGAGTGTTCAAAGCGGGTAACCTTGGGACCATAGCCGAGAAATGTCATCACTCCATGTTGACAAATGCCTTTGAGACGCGACAGCTCGGGGCTTTGAAGGAGATGTATAAGCACAGGCTCTGTGATGTTGTGCTCGCCATATAGCTTGTCTCGTATGATGATGTGCTCATTTGAGACGATCTCGAGAGTCTGAAAGACACCCGTGGGCTGGTGTGACGACATGGTTCGGGGTGGTTGAACGGGGTGGAGTCAGTGTGACTTGCGCGGGGTACCAACAGGTCACAACGCGCGTCTAACTTGCAGCATCTGCGACTGATACGAAGTTAACCGACGATTGACCTGAATATCGCAAGAGGTTTGGACTGGAGACACTGTCAAAGAACAAACGGATGTCTGCTAAAGGCCATTGCCTGTTTATTGGGTCCTTCAGCAAACCATACCCAAGGGGAAGGGATCATCGTGTGGCGTTTAGGCAAATAGAGACAGGTCAGGCAGACAATGGCCGTTTCGACTAGTACACCACTTCACTACATACGACATTGACAATCATTAAAATTACGGTATCAAAGAATGGTCACCCCACAACGGTGTAGCTGCATTCATGCAATCTCATATGTGCAAAAGAGAAAATCTACACCGAACAAGATAGAATGGACACTAAAGTAAAAGGGCGAGATTGACGAAAAACGACAGAAAAAAGTCCGAAGAGGATACGGGAAGGTAAGACGCCTAAGTAAACCATCGCAAGACGCCACGCCCTTCTGCAACTCCATTTTGATGCGCGATGCAATGAAAGACGAGACAAAACTTGAGGGGAAGCAATGCTATAATGGCTGAAGATCATGGAGAGGAAGAAAGAGACTCAAAGCAAACGACGGGTATCAGCCAGAGCTGGATGGTCTAGGTCATAGCTGGTAGGTAATATGCAGACTGAAAGGAGAAAGGCGCAAGTGATGGAAGGGATGAGGAAAATCAATAGTGTAGGACCATTAAAGAAAAGTTTCAAGGCAAAGCCTTAAAGGTGCATGGAGTTGACGTTGCCATAGTAGTTACCCTGCTGAGCATGGTGCTGGCTCTGCTGGTAGTTCGGGGGTGTAGACGACACTTGGTTGAGCTGCCCATACCAGGATTGACGACGGGGCTCACTGGGTCGGTTCATTTGATGAAGGGCGTCCCAGGTGTGGCTAGCTCCCGGAAGGTTATACATGGATTCCTGTCGAGGCTGAGCCAGAGGCGGAGCGACAACTTGGGGGTGATACAACGAGCCGGCAGTCTGAGGAACATATTGCTGAGGGGCGAATGACTGTTGCTGCTGCTGATGTTGCGCCAGTTGATGGTGACGCTGAGCAATCGCATGCTGGACCATCTGGTTTGACATGCCTTCTTTCATCGCCCGCTTTTCGCGCTCTCGGGCATCAATCGACGACACAAGGCCTCCACCCACAGAGGGCTGTGGCTTTTGATTGTTGCTCGACATATCAAAAAATGAAGAACCAGTCATGCGGGCCACATGCTCCTGTTCGCGGGCAGAGAGATGGTTTGAAACATCACCATAGCCCACCATGGTGTTCGCGCCACGCGAGGAAGGGCGATAAAACGGATCCTGGTAGGAAGTCATTCGAGAGCTGGGCCGAGCCTGCTGAGTCCAGTCTCCAGACGCCGGGCGCTGTGGTGGTGGCGGTGTCTGGCCGCTAGATCCGGGACGATGGTGCATATGCATCGGTGGGCTTCCCGCAGCTCGCTGCTGCACAAACTGCTCTGGCGTAAGACTACCGCCCGGAGTTGTGGGACGGCCAGATGCCATTCCAGGCTGCCACAAAACACTTCGTCGGTGATGGTCTTCCTGGCTCGGTGAGCGCATGTGTCCACGGTCCATTGGATTGGTGGGGACATTAAGTCGATATCTCTCAGCATCCGACTCATTGCGCTGATGAGAGGCCTTTCTCAGGGTGTCACCAGTGCTTGGGCGTCCAGTTGTAGGCATGTATGTCATTGTAGGACCGAAATCGACCGTCGGAATATCGAAACTGGGCTCTGGTGGCTTGTCAGATGAGTAATGGGCATCGCCAATCACAAGGTCCTGTTTGGCAGGCTGGCCGACAGTCTTCATTACACCCATCCGAGGCTTGGTCGATTTGACCGACTTCTTGCTGTAGACCGACTCGTGAGTGCTTGCGTAGTCCGGAGAAACTGTAGATGCATCGTCATTGTACACACTTTCCCCCTGGGTGTAGGTTGGAGAGACTGGTGATGGAAGATGAGGAGCAATTCGGTTCAGCGCATCTTCATCCAAGGTATGACGAAGGTCATCGAAGCTTGGCTCGCCTGGGTCAGGAGAGAGCGGCGCAGCGCCCACAGTCTGGCGCTGTGGTAGAGGCTTGCGTCTCACTGACTTGGCTGTGTCAATCTGCAGATGATGATGAGGTGGCGGCGTATCCTGACTACGTGGGGTCGGTGGCCTTTGTTCGGTCTGCATTTGTCGAACCGGCAATGCAATGCCCAGACCTTCATCACTCGAAGAGTGGGCAAGAGCGGAGTTTTGAGATTCAGCGGTCTGTGGAGTCATTGGATGACTGGTCGCCTGAACTGGTCGTTGTGTACCAATGCTGGAATCAGAGTTCTGGTTACGCAGCGTAGCCGCAACCTCACCCACACTTCCCATCGCACCAACTGAGGACAGCTGCGAAAGAGTAGCAAAAGACATCCTGTTATTAGCAAGAGTCTGCTCGTGAGTCGCAGCTGGTCTGTTTGTTGGCATGGCCCTTGGGCCATGTGAAAAGGCAGGCGGACTTGTCACAGGAGATGGTGGCGTGCGTGGTGGAGGCTCTGCAAAATGGGCAGCGTGCCTTGGTTCAATCATGTTTCGTTCTCCCTCAAAGCTAGTATGTTCGGCGATGGGTCCGGCCAGAGCTTGGGCTCTGTCGCGGTGCACTAGATCCTGAGCAGACGAATCGGGGGAGCTTTCAGTCAATGAATCATGCCCGGGCCGGTGTACGGTTTGGAAGCCAGTCGTGTCGGACATTCCCCGGGTGTGGTATCCAAGAGGTTCGTTCCTAGGAGTCTCGTGGATGACAGCGTCCGTGGAGTGGTTGAACTCGGGTTTGGATTCGGGGCCAGCGAATGTACGACGAGATGGATCAGTGGGGATATCACCATGGTGGGTGGAGATGCTGGTGCGGTAACGAGGCCGAGAGCTATTCACGCTGTTTGTTCTGCTTCTACCAGCGGACATTCGCTTCTGCGTTGCCTCCTTCAGCTGTCTCCTCCACTGTGCCTCATTCCAACTCATACTTCCCGGAATCTGAAGAAGATTGACAATATCCAAAACGTCCAGGTAGCCATATCGACGCTCTTTTGGGAACGCGAACATGATACTCTTGATGTGATTGGTGTCGGCCACAAGGCGTGTTGGGCGACCATACAGGTTGAAGGTGTCGAACGTGGGGAACAGGAATCGGAGCATCGTCTCGAGTCCTGAAACGGCTGCGTGCAGCTCAGGCATGACAAACACCATGCCCTCTGCCGTCTGGCGATCTGCATGCATGGTGACCTGACCTTCCATTTTCACCAAAGTCGATTGATCGATTAGCGCCTTGGACTGAGGATATATCGCATACGCCGAGTAGACGTGGGTCACTGTTGCGATCGGAGTAACCTTTTTGGTTTTCTTTGTCTCATAGAAGCTAATACTGCCCGTGATGGGAATTGACAGGCGATCGTAGGCGGATTTCTTCATCGCCTTTCGGGCCTTCTGGACCTCCTTCTCATCAGGAGGGTTGATCACAAACCAGCATCGCCGCCACGGCGTGCCCGCGCCAAATCGCACACGTGCCCAGTCTTCATGGCGAAACTTAGAGGGGGCTAAAATGCCCTGGATTCCAGGAAGCGTTTTCCCCTTGGCGGCAATCAGGGAGCCAGTGTAGGCTTCGTAGAGAGAAGTGTGTTCGTACATGGCGAGGCGGATAGCGGCGGTCCACTGGGTCATTGAGTGGAAGGAATTGAAATGCATCAGATAGCGATTTCTCCCCGCAGACGAGACGCTGACGACGTTCTTTAATGGTTGAACGGCACCATTCCGGATTGGAAGAGTCTCAATCTGTTGCTCATAATTAGCTCAACTGCGCTTGTTTCCTTTAAAAAACCCCCCTGATCACATGGGAAAGGCAGGTGGAATTAATACCATCTTGATTGATGCATCGGCTAAATTGATGTAAGTCGCGGGGACATCCGTACCACCTGCCGCGTCCAGCGCAGCAGCATCCCAGAGGGAAAGCACGGTGCCTACTAGCTGAGCATAGCATTCTGTCCACTGCCGATCGGCGCATGGCCGCCCGTCTGCGCATGGGATTTGCATTAGTTCTAACTTTTCGACGCATTCATAATTGATAGCGAATAGAGGGTCACTTACGGTTGTCTTGGTCATTCAGTTTCAAGAAGTAGCCCTCGTGGTAGACTTTGTTGGTGTGAATGTTGAGATAGGAGAAGATCGGTGACAGCTCCGGTGGGGTATCCTCCGCCTGGGTCATCAACGGCGGATTGCGGGAGAAGATCATCGAAGCCGGACGCGAGCCGAAGCCGTCACCTCGTTGAGTCGGACCATTGACCTGCGATAGTTCAGAGGGAGGGGACGGGGTATCGGGCGAGGGCGTCTGCCAGCGTGGCGGGGTCTGGGAGGGGGTCACGTTGTTGGACGACTTTCGACTGTCTTTGCCGGAGTCATTGTTCTTGGGCGCTCCAAAGGTGGATATGAACGAGAGTACTAAGACGCAAGGGGGGATTAATAAGGTCCATCTGCCGCAGATTCCGATGCACCCGGGGGAAGGGATGATTACCACGCGAGCGACCCATGATGGTGGACGGCGGTGCACCGCCGAAATCTCAATTTCAACGGAAGCTGAACGAGTCGTGGAACGTCCCAAGTGAGAGAAACAAAAAGAGAACGACGAGTGAGTGAAGGAGCACCAGGGGGGCAAGGCTCGAAAAGCCACGGTAGCGCACGGTCTTTTGGCAGCCGGTGGAGCAAGGAACGAAGGAGCCCGCGTGTGACTGAATTAAGAGGGTCAGGTTAATCCATGGAGAAAATGCGCGAGACTCGATTGAGGAGGAGGGGAGGGGGGTGGGAGGAGAAGAAAGAAAAAATTAAAGATGGGGGATGTAAAAGGTCGGGCAGATGACGTTGCCGCCTGGTTGGGAAATGGGAACTAGTCCCAGTCGGACCCGAGGGAGGGAAGTCGTACTGTACTTTTCAGGGAGGATTGTGCCTGACAGTCACGATGGTTAGCCGAGAATATGTGAAAGAGTTGAGGCGCAGAAGGTGGGAAAGGAGAAGGAGCCCCGTGGGTCTTGTTACAAAAAAGAGCTGGAGGCGCATGGAGAAGCTGCATGACACCATCCACCACTCCAACCCTTCGGACGTAGGACAGCGTTACGCGAGCTGCTAAAATTATATTTACTTTATTCCGCGGTCATAGTCGCCGATGGCTCTCTGAGTAGTAGTATTGTAAAACAATACTATTGCGACTAAGATTGATTTCCAAATTCATGCGGACTGCGAACAATATCAATTTCGACTGGCGTCATTGGTAGGATCGGCGGTGGAGCAGCCAAATTTAGCAGCGTCTGTCTTAGCCAGGTTGGCCACCAAGTCGAACTATACCTACCTTGGGGTACTTACAGAAAGAACGATACCCGCTTTATCGCAGGCAACTCCATTCACTCTTTCCCGGTCTAGATTGTCTTGACTTCCAGTTGTTGCTACACTAGTATTATTGTGACCATGTGTAGCCACCACAATAGGCCTTCAATCGAAGGCGTCTTTCCGCCACTCGCCACCAACCCGCGGCAGCCGACCAGATTGGGCTGAACCCACCGGGCCCACGCTGCGTTTCTGCCGGGACGCGCAACGCCCTGGCGCGGTTGCCCAGCACACCGCCCACCCGCTGTCATGGTTGGCCCGCGTCCTGCAAGATATCTGCATCGATGATCGAAGGAACTTTGATTCTCCATACTCTCTCCTATTTGCCTCGTGCCGTTCCTGACATCGCCCTTCGCCCTGAGGCGCTCGACCTTTGCCGCCGATGACTTGGGACACTTGGACACTCGCCTCGCCCGCCGCGGAACTCTAAAACCCTACTCTTACTACTCCTAGTAGTACTAGTAGTATGTAGACGGGCGGTCAAGTCGTCGTGTCGGCCACTGTGACTCTTGGCCGGCATGCGATTGGCCTACAGACACAGAAACGGGGTCTCTCCAGATGTTTCCCCAGAGAAAGACCCCTCTTTGCTCGCCCTTTTCGTACGAGCCATGGCCGAGAATTCAATCATCGTGGCGGTGCCGAGAAGACCGAACGTTCGCTAGGTGCCTGAGAGAGCCATTATGGACGTTACTACCAGAGATCTACTAGGGTCTACTACTAATTGATCTCCCCCTCCCCTGCACCAGGTACTACCCGTTTCGAGTTAGGCCACCCGGTGCGTCCTCCATGACCAGAGGGTTCTAGGATCCTCACATCAGCGTCGGATGAATGGCTTAATGTACTTGGGCGAGACACGGTCGGGCTCTGCTGGGCGTTTGTCGCATTCTTGGCTCCGTTTAGTTCCACGCTCAGGGCCCGGACCCTTGTACATGTGGCCTCCTGCCCGCGTGTCTCACGTTGAACCCTAATAATAAACATAGCCACACTCCCGCCACGTCCATACATACTCTCTGTACGAAGGAAGTGTACCTGCCCAGGAGGGCCTAGTCGGGTGACCGGATGTGGTGGATTTGCCCCTCGATTTGATTTTATCGTCTCTCAGTTAGAAAATTCAAATCAACGTGATGCCTGGAAACCTGGAGATCCAGGGAGATCGGCTAAGATCTACTCATGATCCACTCCTGGGGTGTCTTATATGAACGCCGATTCCGCAGATCTTGAAACAAAGTAGAAAATGGTGACTAATCAGTGTACAGTAGATAGTTAACTGACTAGTTAACTAGTTAGCGAATAAACAAAGAAAAGAGGAAAAGACATAGAAAATACCAAGCCATCCAGAATGAAGGAGTAAATGCAATCAAGATACAAATGAAACCAGCAACGAAGGCCTCAATACACCACGAGTACACTCCGGTAATTGGTACTACGAATTCATATGAAATCAGGATACCCTAATCATATGTTTGATCTCCCCTTCGATGAAGCAATGTATGAGAATATCTCCCACTGCATGCTTATCTTGGCTATCCCACCAGAACATTGAACCATTGAAAATGCCCAGTGGAGCATCGCCATGCCAAGAACTACCACGCATACCCCACCCCCGGTCGCTTTATGATCATTACAAGAAATGAGACACGGACTCTTGGATTTCTTAAGAGTAAAACTTTCATGGCTTCGTGATATTCTCAGCTCTAGCTGGAATTGGCTAAAAACCCGCATAGCAAAAGAGACAACAAATGTAAACGAGACGTAGTAGTACACAACGCCGTAGCTGAATGCTGGAAACTGTTCACTGCTCCATCAAGTGATAACCCAGAAAAGGGTCAATCATAGCCATCTCATCGTGGCTGGGTATCATCAAATTATCATCTCGGCCTGCCTCTGCGGCAGGAGCATCTTGCATCATGTAATCCAAATCCAGACCCGCCTGGCCGGACTCGGCAGCCTGGTCATTAGGTTGTGCGTGGTTGGCATTTGCATTCGGGGGGAGAGGCGGATTAGTAGTGCCGAGCCCAAGACCGTAAATACCAAAGATGGTTCCATCGGGACCATTCTGGTCCGCCAAGAGAGCACGCTGCATAAAGAGCCCTTGGACCTCTTCTTCAGAGCAGCCATGCTTGGCAGACATGTGTACCCAGAGATCATAGTCGCGATGGAAGCGGTGCTCGCATGACTCGTCGAAACAGGAAATGCGCCGACCTGTTTCCTCGGCGTAGCCATGTCCGGTTAAAGCGGCCAATGTGGAGATGCCAGAGGCCTGGGCTTTCTGGTTGCTTTGTCCAAGTCGTTGACGCCGTTCAGCCTTGGCATTCTGGAGTCCCATGTGCGCCGTGCGGATATGCTCTTCCAGAGCGAGCTTGCTGCCATAGCGCTTACCACAGCCAATGCCGTCCCAGCCGGCAACTTTCTTAGAACTAGAAAGATCGGTTTCGCCGCAGCCAAAACGCTTCTCTCCCTGATGAACAGTTCGGATGTGGACAGTGAGGTTTCCCTTCTTGGTAAAACTGCGGTCACAACCTTGCTCTGTGCAGGGAAAGACCTTCCTATCCTCGAGACTAACATCACCGTGGGCGACCTCTAGATGGCGTCGAAGCTCTCGCGGCGTCGAACAAACGATTGGGCAATTGGGGCACTTCGGCGGGTGAGCCTTCCGGATATGCCGCTGCAAGAGGGCATAAGTGGGGAAAGCTACACTGGAGTCAGATGTAGCTTCAGCGCCACCGTTAGGTGCCTGCACCTCTTCAAGGGCAGCGCATTCCGCGCAACTGAACCGCTTCTCAGAGTGTACCCTGCTTTCATGGGCCCGCAGATGACCAGCCGTATCGAATGCCATCTGGCATCGGTGACCAGTCTTCGAATCCAAATGGGTACAGGGAAAAGGCTTTTGGTTCAAATGAACGCTCACGACGTGTTTTTGCAGGGTGGAATGCTTTCGAAAGGTCTCTCTGCACGGGGGATATTCGGTACAGCGGTACTTGTCTTGGCCGTCGTGCGCTGCAAGATGGCGGCGAAGTCGTGAGCCAGTCACGAAACTTCTATCGCATCCAGGCCGGTCACAGACGTAGTCGCGGAGACCGGTGTGCGCGCTTTTTATGTGGTGCGTAAGATGCGAAGCGCGTAAAAAGGTCTTATCGCAGCCTTCGAAAGTACATTGGAATGGACGCTCATTGTTGTGCGATCTCATGTGCTCCTGGAGTCGCGCCGGGCGGTTGAATGCCTTGGTGCATCCTTCGAATGGACAGAGGTGGGTTTTCAGTTCGGAGGGATAGCGAGTGGAGGTGGTAGAGAACGGCGTGGCTGGTGTCTCGTTCAGATCATCGCTGATGAGGCTCGGGGTTCCTGACGCTGAGTACTCGGCGTCTGAATGGACTTCCTCATAGATTGGGTCTGGGGTACGGTCATCAGTCGGTCGATCGAGTTATCGATAAACTGCAGATCGTATGGTTAGGGTACCTACCGTCGACATCCAGAGTAGCATGATGCGGCCGCTTGGATGGCGTAATCTCGCCCAGGGTTGGCTTCCGCTTCAAGGCCATGACTCAATGTCCCATGGGGACCACAGCGGCAGCAGCAGTGGAATGGCATGGGAAAAAGCGCGTCGCTGACGTTCCAAGTGAATAAAATAATTTTGCCGGGCGCAAAAGGCGGTGGGCCGAAGACGGACTAGCGTGGTTGGAAGATTTTCCGCCGAGAGCTTTTTGTGCTTTGCGATTCCCCGTCTCCTCGGTCCCGTGCGCTGGGTTTCTCTCTCTCCCTCTGATTCCTCGGACGACAACACTCTTTGCCACATCCATCATGTCTGACTACGGCGGCGACGACCACGAGGACACGTAAGTGACCCCTACATATGGCTGACGCTTCGGCGCAAAGATTTGCTCGGGATCGTGGCTCTGGAGCTCTGGATCTACACCAAAGGGACAAATTGCCATACTAACCTGCGGTTTTATGCAGTTACGACTACGAGCCCCAGGAGGAGGTGTTCGAAGAGAACGAGCCGGAAGATTTTCTTGACCAGGATGGTCTTGACGATGGCGCCGAAGAAGGCCCGTACGACCCCGCCGTCAATGGCGAGAACATTGTTTCCTCGGGCGACCTCAATGCTGGATACAACGGCAAGGTGATGGAGCAGGCACGCGAGAAGAAGGTTCCCAACGACCAGCGTACTACCACCCCGTACCTGACCAAGTACGAGCGCGCTCGTGTTCTCGGCACCCGAGCTTTGCAGATCAGGTACGTTCCATCTCCATGGCGCCTTGGATATAGAAGGCTGTGCCCGTCGGTGAACCCGGCAGTGTTTGGCTGACTTTTTCTCCAGTATGAACGCGCCCGTGCTGGTTGATCTCGAGGGTGAAACCGACCCCCTTCAAATCGCCGTGAAGGAATTGAACCAGAAAAAAATCCCTCTCATCGTGCGACGCTATCTGCCGGATGGATGGTAAGCTTTTTATTTTAGCTGCGACAGATGCAAACTTTTCTGACTGATACATTGATTAGGTACGAGGACTGGACTTGCGAGGAGCTCCTGTAGGTCCAGGATGATTTTCAGCACAAGCCTTCCTGGGTCAACGAAGACAAACCTCAGTTTGATTTCACCACGGCAAACATGCATAGCGTTCGGAGTTTGGGAAATTTGTCGTTCGAGAAACCGCAGCTCAAGAAACCCGCGGCTCAAGGAGCGGGAAAGCAATGAGCTTGGACATGGGCACGACCTGTACATCAAATGCGTCTGAAAAGGGCCAACAACAAAACTACCAGTAACGGTTTCGATAAAAAAATCAAAAACCATAACAAAGGGTTCTACAAAAAAATTATTGAATCTTGCTTTCTACAGTAAAATTTCTAGCCGGACAGTAGATGACGTGAGTAGTACATTACGGATGCGAGCCATTACCCCACAAAGCACTTAATGGCATTCGAGCTACACTACATTATTGCACCGCTTATTACCTACCCTAAGGTAGTAGGGAAAGCAACTATAGCACACGCACCTACATGCACTTCTACGGTGTTGCAGACCGCTCCTGATTCGAAGACTCATACTCGCCTTCTTATTACACCCCTACTCACATAGGTTCTAGTCAGAGTACTTCACAAGTGTTGCTTCCAAGATTTAAGAAGTGCCCCAAGCACCTATCGATTTTTCCGGTATTGGCTGATGATCCTGGATCGCCGTCGGTGAATGTTGAGCTTGACAGCAGTGAACACACAATCTCTAGAAAGAAAGAGCTGGTTTTCCTCTCTCTCTCAGTAGGGTGTTTTCCTCTTTCGGGGCTTGTTTCCGATACTATTTTCGATTGGCGGGGGCACCATGACAAGGAATGTACTATGTACTTGGAGATGTTGCATATTGCACACTGCAGACAGCTCCAAATCCGAGTCACCATGACTCACAGTGTCCGTCTTTCTTGAGGCAACTGGTCAGACCGTCAGTTCTAATCTATTCCAACACATGTGGGCTTTCCGATGGAGCACCTCAGAACTCAGTTAACTCCGAGTCTCGGTGCTGCCTAGCACTATTATAATGAGGATGTATTGAAGGTAGTATGGAATGAGTGACGCCGGGGAGAACCCACCCGACCCCGAGGGCCCACTTTTTTCCGATTTGCCCCTGGAGTCCATCTGGTCCTTACAAGGTACGATATACCCTAAGGTACATTGGATGCACTGATGGCCGGCGTATGCCATCTGTCGTCTGCATAACTCCAACGGGCCATGCTCGGCTGGCACCCCCGCCTGGGTAATCGGCACGCCTCGCTGCCTTGGACTTGGACATCCCACCGCTGCTTTGCGTGTCCAAGCGTATCTCCGACCCCGATGAAACCTGGGTTGCGGTCCCTCCCCCATGGCCCTAGGCAAGTGGGTGCCGGTGGACCACTGGCTATCCCAAAGGCGCTTCTCTTCGGTCTCTTCCGCCCTCCCAGCAGCTTAGCAGGCGCCCCGCTTGCCGCGGTGGGTTTATAATCAACCCCAAGAATTTTTTTCGAGGCGATGGTGACTCGAGTTCTTGCCCTGCACTTCCCTCGCGGATTCCAGTCCAGTCCTTGTTCTCGCACACGCGAGAACCTCCTTGTGTCGCCCAGGCGTCCAGTGTCGGTCCGAAACTAATGCCACCGTCAGAAAGAATGGGTTCGACTAATCTGGAAGTAGAGCAGAAGGCCCTTGGCCTCACCGCCAGAGCTGAAGGAAATGTGACGGCCAATGCCACGACGTCCCCCGACTTGCCGCCAGAGAAGGACCCTGAGGTGACCTTCGATACGGGTTTTCTATCATGGCTCCAAGTTCTGGGTTCTTTCTTTCTCTTCTTCAATTCATGGTACGTGCTTTCGAAAAAGAACAAGTCCGGAGACAAAAAGGAAAATATTTTAAAGCCATTGAAAAGAAAGAAAATTTAGCTAACGCTCACTAATACAGGGGCCTCATCAATACGTGGGGCGCATATCAAACCTATTATGAGGCTAATCCGCCGGCTGGTGCCTCATCATCCTCTATCGCATGGATTGGTTCACTCCAATCTTTTCTTCTGATGCTGATTGGAGTTATCACTGGTCCGCTTTTCGACGCGGGCTATTTCCGGGCCCTCATCGGCTTCGGAGGATTTATGTTGCCGTTCGGGTTAATGATGACCAGTATCTCCAGCAAATACTGGCATCTCATTCTCGCCCAGGGTATCTGCGTGGGTTTGGCTGCCGGTTGCCTTTTCGTACCTTCAGTCGCCATCCTCCCGCAATATTTCCGACGTAGGAGAGGTCTCGCCAACGGTCTCGCGGCCAGTGGTAGCAGCATCGGTGGCGTGGTCTATCCTATTATGTTCCATAAACTTCAGCAGAATGTCGGTTATGCCTGGGCCACTCGCGTAATCGGTTTCCTCTGTTTTGGTACAATCTGTGTCTCACTGAGCATCATGCGTGTTCGCTTCAAGCCCAAGGACAAGCGCAAGCTCTACCAGCTCTCCGCTTTCAAGGATCTCGGCTACTGTCTGTTTACCGTGGCCATGTTTCTTGGATTCCTAGGATTCTACAACTTCCTATACTATGTCCAGCCCTACGCCATTGACACGGGTATCGTGGACAGTAATTTGGGATTCTATCTTGTTTCTATGCTCAACGCTGCCTCAACCTTCGGCCGAATCGCTCCCAACTTCCTGGCCGACCATACTGGCCCGCTCAACATGCTCTCCCCTGCCGTGACCGTTACATCCATTCTGGCATTTGTGTGGATTTCCGTTGATACGACTGCCGGCATTATCATCCTGGCCATCTTCTACGGCTTCTTCTCCGGAGGATTTGTGTCTCTTCCGCCTGTGGTGATGGCCAGTATGACGGCTGATGTACGTGACCTGGGTACTCGGCTCGGCATGGTCTTTGCCATCACTTCGATTGGCCTACTGATTGGAACTCCTATCGGTGGGGCTATCCTTGGTGACACTGGCAAATACATTGGGGTTCAACTATTTACCGCTTGCTGTCTTGTTGGATCAGCTATTCTCATGATCATCTTGAGAGTGGTGCGCTCTGGTCCCCGCTTGATAGCCAAGGCCTGAACATTTCCTGACTTGGAAATTTGGTTATCCTAATCTTAAAAGATTCTTTACGCAAGACCGGCGCCTTCGAGATGAATAAAACGGAGTTTTCTCTCCCTCCTCTCTGTCGGCCTTCAACCCAACGCCGCATGCTCTGAGATACATAGGGCCTAAAATGCTTGCGTCCACCCTCAGCGCATTATGACACCAAGCTCTTCCTTTCTCTAACTAGGATACAGGAGACACCTGATACCTAGATCTCTAGTTCCCGATACCTGGGCCCTGTGATTGAAAAAAAAAAAAAGGAAGAAAGGAAAAAAGGCTGCCAGTCCTCGGTGTGTTCAAACAGTTTACAATTGTACTGTGGAACTAGACAATATGGTTCCCAATTCCATAAGGAGACCTTGAATGATGATTTTGTACTTCTGTAATTTATTTTCCGTACATAATGAAGGCTGAGGCGTCCTGCATGTGGCTATGGACCCCCATGCGGTCATATTAAACTGTTTAAAACATCTCGCTTTGTTTGTTAATACACGTTCATGTTACCGGGCTTACCTAAAGCAGCTTGGAATCAAGGCACATCTTCAGGAGCAGTTAGGAAGGCCGTGCCTTTCTCATGCATATTCAAATCACTCGGCTTACCTGAAGTACTCAGAGTCAAGACACGTCTTCAGGGGAAACTAAGAAGGTCTCGCCCTTGTCTCGCACATGCTCAAGCTTCTTGTCTCGACTACACGGCTTCCGCATATCAAATGCATCTTCTCCGGACTCCGACATGCCCGTTGGGTCATCGCTGTAATAGTTGACGACGCGACGGAAGACAGAGTATCTGCATTGGCTTGGTTCGTAATCATATCCACAGAGACGCGCAAAGTTGGACTCCAGTGCTTCTGGTCAGTCGATGATAGACTTACCCCATTCGCTTGTACATGTCGACCGCCACCTTGTTCCCTGCTCGAACGTAGAGATCGACGAACCAGGCGTTGTTGGCATCTGAGGCTTGCTCAAGCTGCTCGGTCAAGCGGGTGGCAAAGCCAAGTCGGCGCCATTCAGGTGCAACGGTCAATACTGTGATATGTCCGTGCCATGGGGTATAGTGCTCTGAGGCACGCATCGCGGTGGGCTGTTCTTCGAGTTTGCCCATGACTGAAATGCGCATTAGAATTTCTGCTTATAGATGGGTCTGAAAAAGAAGGAATCCATACTGTAACCCACAACCCCAGCGTCACGGTCCTTAATCACGTTGCACAGCGACGGCCATCGGGTCAAGTAGTTGAGGTAGAAGCCCAGATCGTAGTTCTCGGTCAGCGGGTCCAGATTCGTTCGATTCATCTGTAGCAGGTCCAGCGGGGACATGCGATCAATCGAGGTCATCGTGGCGGCTGCGGAGCTGCGATGCCTCGGAGAATGCTGGAAGACTGAAGAATGTGGGGTGAAGCATCTATGGTGCCAAGCACGTTTTCTGCCAGCGGTGGCCGCCCTCTTCGCGTTGTGTCCGATGTACAACCGTTGCGGGCTGCTAGACTCCCCGACTGGGTGGTGTCCGCTCTTGACTTCCTGGGATCTGCTCGATTTTCTGCTCGACGGTGACTACCTTTGTATGCATAGGTCATGCCGTGATAGAAGCTAGACACACCGACAACTCTTGGGCATTTCAGATTCGCCCGCCTTCCTACACACAGCACTGTGTGTTGATGGTTCAATTCTCTCATTTCTTCCTTTGACTGCTTCATTACCCTTTTCTTTTTCTCTATTCTTCTCTCCAAAATCCTCGCTGCATTCTCTCGGGGGTAACTGGTGTTCCTCGTCCGCTTTCACCAATGCCCCTCCCTCCATCTCCCCTGAAACTTGCTCACCGCAACCCCTCAACAATGGACGATCCGCCAATCTCACCAGGGACCGGAGCCAATGGATTTGCTCCCCAAAGCCCTCTCGAGCCACGAACCCCCCGGTTGTCCGCACCACCTTCTCCGGTCACTCCCCGCCAGAATATCCACGCCATGAACGGATCCCAGCGCGAATCGGTAGACTTCTCCACTGACACAGGGGGTGGTGGACTGGGAAATCTTGCCGATGAACTGGCAGATGCTTGGGAACAAGAAGAAGAGGGCTATGGCTACGCGTCGGGACAGGAGACCAGTACCGCAGGGTCCCAGCAAATAGACCATAGCGATGGCGAAGATGCGTACATGCAGTCCGTCCGCGATATGCGCAATCAGTCCCCTCCGCAGAGTCGCCTGCGTCCAGGAGCAGGCTCCGACCTAATCAATTCCGCCACCGACGGGCAGAGTCTCATTATGACGGCTCGGACTATGGGAACGACTCGGACCTTGACGAGGCGGCCGACATTTCCCCCGCATTGGAGACCCAAATGGCAGATATCGAAAGCCTTGCTCGGCGGGGCATCGAGAACAATGGCAGTGAGAATGATCATGTTATCCAGCGAACCATCGAAGCCCTTCGGGACCTCGGTGCACAAAGCGGAATTGAGAACAGCGCCATGCGGTTAGTGATACATTCCCGGTCATCTATCTAGACCCACGATAGGATCTTATATTAACATTCATTGCATAGTCTGATCACTGCCCACTCTTCCATCACATCACATCTTACACACCAAACCCGCACGCTCCAGTCCCTCATCCACCCTCTCCTCTTCTCTCCTTTTCCACTCCTTTCCGAAGACGCCATAGACTCACTCATGCCCCTCATCGACGACGGCCTACTGCCAAATCTCCCATACCCGCTCCCCGAACAATCACAGTCCCGGCGCGACTCTCGGCCATCTACCCCCTCACAGTCGCCAGCTATCAACCCTCTCGTTTCCCTGCAGGCCCTCATCTCCCAGACATCCGATATCACTCACTCCCTTCGCGGTCTGAGTGATACCCTTTACGAATCTCGACAGTTGACCTCTACCGCGTCCCGGCGACTGCGGTCTGCTCGAGAACTCGTTTCCGATCTCCGGCGGGAGGAAGAGAGCCGCGAAGAAGGCTCACGCTGGATTGAGGTCGGCGAGTGGGATCGCCGGCTAAAGGATCGCGAAGCCGGGAAAGAATGCGGTGATGTCGTCAGCGGCTTCGAAAAAGTGTGTGGCGAGTGGCGCGAAAAGCTTTTTGGGGCTGGTGCTGAAGTGGCTGCGGTCTGAACATAAACTGACGCTTTCTCTCTTCCATCGGCATGTCTCGCAACTGCTTCAGGATCTCCAGCTAGATTTTTATGAGCTTTTCTTGGGCTTCGCTCTACATTTTCCCCTCGTCAGATATCCACTTTGTTTCTTTTTTCACAAGTCTATTATAAACTGGATTACTTCGTTTCCAGTGGTTCTGTTAATGTCCCGAGGCTGGAGCTTAGACAAACATGCACATAGTCTAAAATTCGATACCATGCATCCGATCTGTAACCAGACCTGGCATTTGGCTAGATTATGGGCAATGCTTTCCTTTTTCCATGTTGTATTTCTCCCAGCATTACCTGCCGGCATTCCATGTACCTTGCAGCCATGACTGCGTGGGGGCTACAACTGGAGAAGTGGAGTGCATCCCACTCGGCGCAGGTCCGAGATCCTCGACGATCTTAAGCGGCTTTCAGAGGTCAAGCCGGACGACTGCAGACCAACCCTTGGCTTCACAAGCTTGGCATTCTCCAAATCTCGGGGAATTTGCCCATTGAGGGGTTAGATGAGCCTGATTGTGCGACCACCTGCAATGGTTCGATCCCGTCCTCCCCGCACTTCGGGCCCGGCGTATGACGCGGGCCGGAAAGTATGCTTAAGTTGGGGTATAAATGCGTCATCCTGTCCCGGTTCTTCTGAATTCTGCTTTTATTTAACCTGAGTGGTAATCTCACGCTGTGGGGCTCTGTGCTATAAAATAATTCTGTTCATCATGCCCGTTCAATCTGGGACGTTGGCTTCCTGGCTATTGCTGGGGCTGAGTCTCTTTACTCCAGTCTTATCAGCAACAGGAAAGATCCCCACCCAGGCACAGACAATTGATCAGAAGAGCTTCAATGTTTTGAATAATACTCGGCCGCCTGGTGAATTCAATGCTTCAAGCGTACGCGAACTCATTCACTTAATAAGCATCGCCTCGTCGCTAACTGAGCCTGTTTTTTAGGTCTTTACTCCTCCAGGCTTAACTGAAGAGAGCTTGCTTGGTCGCCCTTTTCACATCTACGATGACGAATTTCTGAAGGTCCTGGGGAGTACACCCAGTCTGACCCGTATTGCTTATTCTAAAGTAGACCCTCTATTCCATGAAGCAGTCGTGTGGTAAGTAGATCAGAACTTCCCTCGATTCAATAGAGCTTTCGTCATTTACGAAATCAAACAGGTCTAAGAGAACAGACGAAGTGTTTTTCGTTCAAAACGCCGGGCCTCCTGAGGCCGGTACTGGACTTAACAAGTCTTCTATCATTGAAAAAATCTCACTATCTCAGGCTGCTGCTGTGGCAAACAAGACGGATGCTGTAGGCCTGGTGGATGTCGAAAATGTTACATCTACAACCATGATCATTAATCCTAACGGTAAGTTACTGATTTCTTGAGAGTTTCTATACCGGGGGAATGATCGATTAATCCATATGTACCATTTTAGGAGCCAACAATTATCGCGGAAAGCTGATTTTTACTGGCGAGGGCCAAGGAGATGACAAGGCACCTGCATTATACGTGATGAGCCCGAAGAAACCTTATGATACCAAAGGTATATGTGCTGTCTTTTCTCAATTCTCCCTGGTTTACAAAAACGCATTGCTAACATCACCTATAGTGCTCCTCAATAATTTCTTCGGTCGACAATTCAACTCGCTTAACGATGTAGCCATCCACCCCAAAAACAAAGAAATCTACTTTACCGATGTTCCATATGGATACTTCCAGGACTTCCGTCCTCATCCCGGTCTTCAAAATCAGGTCTACCGCTTCAACCCTGATTCAGGTGCTGTCAGCATTGCTGCTGACGGGTTTGTGAATCCAAATGGTACAGAAATTACTGTCCACTGGATACCATGAGAGACTACATTGTATGCTGACGTTCTAACAGGCTTCACCTTTTCTCCGGACGGAAAGCACGCGTATGTTACCGATACAGGAAATAATTTTGGCTTCTACGGTCTCAATTTAACAGGGCCCGCTTCCATGTATGATTTCTCTCTCACACCTCTATTCCGAAAGCTCCATTCTAACTACTTATTTTTTACAGTTATCGATATGATGTTGTAGATGATGGCACGCTTGAGAATCGCAAAACCTTTGCATTTGTCAACTCTGGTGCTCCAGATGGTAAGAATTCCATACTTGATATAGCCTACACATTTCTGATGATTCTAATTTTCACTTTTCTTTATTAAACAGGGGTTCACTGTGACACTTGGGGTAATGTTTACGCTGGCTGCGGGGATGGTGTCCAAGTCTGGAATCCGTCCGGCAAGTTGATTGGTAAGATCTACTTGGGAACAACTTCTGCAAACTTCAATTTCGCTGGAAAAGGAAGAATGGTTATCTGTGCGGAAAATTCGCTGTACTATGCAACTCTGGCCGCATCGGGAAATATTGTGGAAAGTGAGATGTAAATATGAATATTGAGGATACCTATGACAGTAACTGAAGGTATTAACATGAGCATTTGAGGAATTCCAACTGTAGATATCCATCTACTCCCCGATAACAACCACTTTTCCCGCAGAGACGCCCTTTCTCATCAGGTTAAATCCTTCCTGGATACTTTCTAGCCCCTTAGTTACAAGGACAAGCGGCTCCGATGCAACAAGACACCCTCGCTGAATCAAAGTTTGCGGTAAATACTCCTCCTCCCAAATAGGAAGAATATTATCAGGCCCATCACCGAAGACCATTTTGACATTGAGGCCCTCGGGGATTTTAACTCCCTGCAGCGGTGTCGTAGTTACAACAAAGACTTCATTTCTCTCTTTCTTCGCAATTTCCAGGCAAGGCACAATGGATTCTTCCAGCCCAGCCGCTTGAAAGATCCCCACACACTCAGAAACATCCAGCTGAGCTGTGACATCCTTCACAACCTCTTGTCTGGAGTAGTCGGATACATGAGAAACACCAAGATGTCACATACTAGAAGTTTTTTCCTCCAATGCTGTTGTCAAAACTTCAAACCCGACTGCACATACGAGCTGTATTGCATTGCTTCCCACTGCAGATGCACACCCCAATTTCTGAGCATCCTCGCGCACAGCCTCAAGTCTCGGGTGGGGCAGAGAGAGGAAACTACAGTTGAAAAGTGCATGCATGTGCAACTGTGGTAAGGCACAGTGGAAAGACACTTGCTTTGGCGAAGCTCATCCATTCTGGGATGGGCATGCTAAAATTGCATCCACGATCACACAGTCTTGAAAGTCTCACAATTCCGGGCCTTAGTTGCGCGTTACGCAAAGGCCAAGATACGATCATTGAGCTTGTAGCAAGCCGAGACGTCTGTCCAGGCTGAGATTACCGTCCCTCCAACGACTTCACCGAGGATAACAGAGTATTTGACGAAGGCGAGAGGACGTGTCTTGGAGGGTTTGATCACAGGATTTTATGGCCCAGGCGCTTGCTTGTATGAGAAGCTGATTTGGTCTCAGGGTTGTTGGGAAAAAAGTGGAGCGGATGGCTAGAGGTATAAGAGGGCGGCTGGTCGAGCCTGAATTACGATGTTTCTCCGGTATGAGTAAATTCAGTCTTGCTTCTAAAAATTGGAATGCTGTGCTATTCATAGGCCTATATCTTAGATGAATGCAACCTATGCGTATGGCTCGGATTGATTTCTATCCGGGTGCAGGCCTCACAATCTGCTCTGGGCTATTTTTATTCAAGGGTGCGTAGTTGCTATAGGTTAAAAGAACAGCGTATCCTCCGTATACCGAGCTTCGGCTAGTGATGTCCCGTGTATGAACAGATACTCCTGCAGGCTAGATTGGGAAGGCTGGGCTAAATCCGCCTAAATCCGATTTTTAGGCCCGTCAAACTCCGTCGGCACAAGATATACGAAGAGCTGGAAACTGACCCTGATGAAGGTTTGGATGAATCTAGAAGGTGATCCTATTCACTGGATCCCGAACGTTCGGGACCCAAAGCAATGTAGCAGTGCATGATATTGGCATCACGGCTGGCAAATGTAGCCCAACCGAAGTGAAAATAAGGAAATTAGAAAAACATGAGTACGCAAAGAGAAACAACGGACCATGAAGGCATCCCATAGGAGGCCGATGATACAGGGTCATTGCAGAGAGTCATGACAGCATGCGCCAGATAAGAAAAAAGGAAATGTTCCGAGTCACTTTTGGTTCGCTCCCTAGAGATGTAAAGAAGAGAAGATACGAATCCACCCGTGCACGCGTTTAGCTCTGGTTCTGCTTCCAGCGCGGCACCCACTTGCCACCGCTGTTAGGCTTTTCCTCGGCAGGGGGAGCCGATGATTGCGGAGCGGGCTCGCGGCGGGCCCAGCGGTCAGCGGGAGGTGCGTCACGGGGCGGCGGAGCGGAGCCAGAGCCACCACCAGCATTGCGCAGGTGAGGAGGAACATATCCACTACGGCGAGGAGCCTCCTCCCTGGCGGGCTCAGGGGCAGCGGCAGCTCCACCGGCGGCCTCCTTGGCAGCCAAACGATCTCTCCATCCACCACCGCCACCAGTGCGGGATGCCAGACTGAGTCGGGGGGCACCGCTGGCGGCGCGCTCGGGCTCGGCGGTAGCAGGGCCGGCGAACTTGCGGTTCGTGCGACGAGCCTCGGCTTCCTGCTCGCGCTGAGCCTGGCGGGCAGCGATCTCGTCGAGTTTGCTATAGATGTCAAGTCAGTTTGAGTGTCAGATAGGAGAAGATGCAGAGTAAGGGTGACTAACGCTCTCTCTTCGTCGCGCTTGGCCTTCTCCTCGGCCAAAGCACGACGCCGTTCCTCCTCCCGGGAGGTGCGCTCCTCTTCCTCACGTTGAGCACGCTCCTCCTCTTCCTTGCGGCGACGCTCCTCTTCCTCGCGCTCTTGCTTCTCGCGACGACGGCGGTCCTGGACCTCCTTGATACGCTGCTTCTTCTTGGCCTCGAACTCCCGCTCAGCGGCCTTGCGGCGCTTCTCGAACTCCTCATGGCGCTTCTCGGACAGGTCCTTGCGGAAGCTGCTGAAGTGGGGAACAAGGCGGCCCAGGCGGTGCTTGAGGGCAACAGCCTCGGCGTGCTTCTGTTTGGCCTCCTTGAGGGTCTCCGCCTTCTGCTTCTCGTAGAGCTCCAGATCGTGCTGCTTCTGCTTCTCGTAGTCGGCAGGGATGTGCTTGAGCTCCTCGCGGCGGAAGGCACGCTCCAGATGGTCGATACGCTTGGCGGTGGTACGAACACGGTCGTTAAGCTCGTTCTTCTCCTTCTCGAGCTGAGCAAGCTTGATAGCACGCAGGCGGTTGGCGTCGAGCTCATCCATATCGAACTCGCTGATATCGATACCCTTGACACCAGTCTTAAGCTCCTCGAGCTGCTTCTTGAGCTCTTCCTGGCGAATACGGTCTTGTTCGTCCTTGATCCGTTTGCTCTCGCGCTCCTTCTGCTCATTGGCAAGGCGCAGCTTCTCAGCCTCCTGCAATTGCTGGGTGCGAATGCGCTTCCGGGTCTCCTCCTCGCGCTGCTTGCGCTGGAGAGCGTCGGTGGCGGCCTCCTTCTTCTTGTCGATAACGACACGGCGAGCCAAAGTCTCGTCGTGTTCTTGGGCGGCACCAGCCAGAGCGCGGGCCTGAGCAGCCTGCTTGGCCTGCAGACGAGCCTCGTTGTAGGACGGGTCAACATACATGCAGGTGACGTGGAGAGTCTTCGCCAGGCGAGCGAGCTGGAAGCGGGCAATCTCGGCGGGGGTGTGCTGGAGACGCTGCACGGAGCCAACCTCGCTCTCAGCAGAGCCAGCAGCACTGCCGGCGTGCATTGCCTTGGACGAGGAGAAGACGTCCGAGTCGAAGGTGAGGACACCAGAAATGTGGTCCACGCGGATAGCAAGATCACCCTTCTTGCAACCGTTCATGATGAACTTCTCAATCATGGCGGGGGTGATCTGGAAAGGATCGGGGAACTGGGCAAGCTCGTAGACGAACTTGAGCTCGACGGACTCATAGACCTGGGAGAGTTGCTGGAACAGGCGAGTAAGAATAACCTGTTGCAGAGGCTGCACATACTTCTCCATCTCGGGATCGGCGCCAATCTGCTTCAGAATAGGTGTAATCTTCTTGCAGATGGACAGAGGGTGGAAGTCAACCTCCAGGATATTGTACAGATCCCGGATCTCAGGACGGACACGCTTAAGAAGACCCTTGTTCAGAGCATCGCGGAAGAGGACCGAGCGAGACGGGGGCTGAGCCATACCCAGCAGGTTGGTGAGGCGGGTGTTCTTGTTCTTGCGGGCCTCATCAACGTCGACCAGAGCACCCCGGGAGCGGGTGGTGCTGATGACAGGAATGGAGAGAGCAGAGAGAAGAACGAACGAGGCGGCCTTGGTCATATCGGCCTCGGTGACGGAGGGGTTCTCCTTCTTGGTGCTCTGGCCGGTAGCCAGGGCCACGGTAGACAGGCGAAGGAGGTTGTAGTACCGGTTCCAGGCGGCAGCGTGGAAGAGATAGTTCTCGCTGACCAAGAAAATACGAGCCAATTTCTCGTAGTAGTTGGCCATCATGACGTTCTTGGCCGGGCGCTTGCTCAGGTTCAGCAGGGTATGGATATCCTCAATGCTGCGGAAGGCCTCTTGCCACAGCTCCAGCTCGACGGCGACGTTAAGCTGCTGGAAACGGGTGTCTAGGTGGCGTTGCAGAGTATCCGCATCGCTCAGGTTGATAGCGTGCATCTGAGCAGAATACTTGGCGGCATTCTGAACGTGGTTGCGGAGCAGCTCGCAAAGACGGCGGAACTCGGTCTTGCGGGTGTACTTGAGGCAGAACTGGAAGGCCTGCAGAGCGGTCGACTGGTACATAATTTCGAGACGGGCATTGTTCTTCAGGATCTCGAGGACGGTACGGTAGGTCTCCCACAGAAACTTGAGCCATGGAGTGACGACGGCGCGGTCGGTGCGATCACGAGATTGTTCGCCAGAGACGGTAGCCAGCAAGATGGTCTCGGGAGTTTCGATGGCCTCCAGGTCGTCGATGTTGGAGGAGGGGGCGGCGGACTCAAGGGACGACTGGATCTCGTCGGCCTTGGTCTGGGCCTCGGTGACCTTCTGCTCGGCGAGTTCAATGAACTTCTTGAGGACAACCTCGATGGTGCCGACGTTGGTGTTCTGGGCGATGTTCTTGTACTGGTACAGGCCGTCCTTGGCCGCCTTTCCCTTGCGCAGGTCGACGCACAGCTCAACGAAGAGGAGCATCACCGGCTCGAGCGAGGCGATAGGACTGCTGCGGGTCCGCTTGGAAGTGACATGTTCGTGCAGGACGGTCAGGGCGGCGGGTGCCTGACCGACGGCGATAAGTTCCTGGGCCCTCTTCAAAGGCTTGTTAGTACATCGACATGCGTATCGCACGACGTGAGTCGATGCGGACTGTCCGGACTGATTCAAACTTACCTTGAGGACATTCTCAGGTTTGATATGCGGTGGAGGAGGCATGATGGGCAACCCACCCCTTCGGGTGATGGATTTTTTTCGGGGGAAAAAAGGCGAATTCGAAGAGAGAGAGCGCAAACGTCTCGTACACGGGCAGTGGTCGAGGACCAGAGTTGAAAATGGCTGCCACGCGATGTCCCTAGACCTGGAGGGGGAGAAGGGCCTGTTGTGCGTGAGCCAGCGAAAATTGCCCGGTGTTCCCACTTCGGGCTAAGCGATGGGGCAGTCACGTGTTTGTTTTGTGCCGCGGGCGGTGTACATGGTTCGATTTTACGGCCGCAGAGTACGGGGTGTATGATCAATACCGTATCAGTGGCAGCAGACCAGTCAACCGCCAGTGCATCCACTGGTAGATGCCACCCCCCAATTGGGCCTGTAGATACCTCAAGAACCAAAAAAAAGTACCTATTGACGCAGAGCATATCGCTATCTTTCCACGATTCACTTGCATTAATTATAATTCTGCCCACTAATTTGGATGGGTCCGATTCACCCACATGTACCCAATACATCAGCACACGCGACGCAACTATTGTCGCACTATTGGGAAGTGCCGCCCGGCACCGTACTGTGACTTCCCTCCCGCCGAGCCCCCCAAATTCCGTACCTCCTGTACTGAGTAATACATACATCGCAAAAGGGAGCCCACGGACCCCCCGTACCACCAGCATTCGGGGAAAATCCCTCTCCAACGTCTCTCCTCTACCACTCTCCTTTGACCACTCGCTATTCCCTCCTTTTCCTTGTTCGGCCCATCGTCGAAAGAAGTGCGCGTTATCGATTAATCCCTTGGTTCACGACCCATCGAAACCCCCCAACCTAACGACACCCCCTCTCGACCCCCTTTCTTGACCGCGCGCCCCCAATTTCCTCGACACGATGCCTGCTTACGAACTCCGATCTGGTGGTGATGTCAAGAACAAGAAGCAAAGTGTGGCCGACCTCAAGTACCGTCGCTTGACCGAGCTCAATGCCCGTCTGAAGGAGGACCTCGACCGTCCGCGTGTCAAGGTCTCTGAGGCGGCTCTTTCGTGAGTTCACCCGCTCCCCATGCCCCCTTTGTGATGATGACATGGCGCCCGCGAAAATCAGGCCCGATGCTGACTGGGTGCTTCTTTCAAATAGGCTGATCAACTACTGCAACAACACTCGCGACTTCATGGTGCCATCCGTATGGGGACAAGTATGCGACCGTTCCCAAAAGTGGTGGCGCACACGCGCAAAAGCTGACTTGCTATAACAGGTCGACAAGCGGGAGGACCCCTACGCTCCCCAGCAGCAGGGAGGCTGCTGCACCGTCATGTAACGGCCTAATGACGGGAGAAGCTCGATCGCTACGACACGACTTTTTTCTTTTCTTTTCGCCTCGTTCTCTTCCAACCTTAATTCCGGATCTCTCCGCCCCCCTGGGCCCGAAATAAGACCGCGATCGCTCAACCTGCCCGGCGCGGACAGCGAGACGTGGACCTGCACGAATATCAAAGCTTCAGAACCATGCGGGTTTCTTCCAATCGGTCTTGGATGGCACGGGGGAAGGTTTTCAGCACTGGACGATGCGCCGACCCCCGTTGCCCTGTCTCTTTTACACCCTTTTTTTCTAAAATCCTTCTTCTTCTCTTCCTTCCACTTCGATAAGCACCATTCCCCCTTTTGTCGTCTCTGTGTTTTGAAGCCATTTCCTTTGTTCTCTGGGTTCTCCAAAAGCCTCCCGTACGCACAGCAGCGCATGGGAGATCGGGTTGCCATTCGTGTATCATAGATTCGATTTGCATCCATGATCAATAACAATCAACCGATAATCACATGGTGTTCTCTTCTGTAAACGTAATACTCAGGCTTGCGCTCATTTCCCTTGTTCCGGCCCGGCCTTGAATTCCACTGCTTGTCGCGTCCTCGGGAACCTGCAGGAGACGAACCAGCCGAATCAGGCAATCCCCCGCTGACATCATCCCACCACCGCCATCAAACAGTCCAATTTCCTCCATCGTTCTACCCAACGTGACTGCGTCGGTCCGAAATTCCAAATCACCCTGCAACCACGAGCCCCTGTCCTACTTTCGCTACGCGGTGTTCGGCGCCCATCTGGTTCTCGGGTGACGCCCTCGGTTTGCAATCTGTGTTCTGCCTCTTGTCCCCGGGATATATCCAGCTTCGACACCAGTTACCATGACCGAACCAACTCCACCAATTGAGACCAGCCTTACCAGCGGCGCAGCGCCACAATCCCAGGCCCCGGGACCTGGCTCTGGCACTGCTGACAGGACTGCCTGGGAGCGGGTGCATCTGCCGCGCATTGCAATCAAGTTCTGCACGCAGTGCAGATGGATGCTCCGAGCTGCATATGTAAGTTTTTCCTGTGCTTTGATCATCAAACTCTTTTTTCTCTCTCTCCTGATTTTATACTTTCGAGGGTGCTTACAGTTAACCCATGGATTGGACATTGGCCTCCGAAAGATATAAGCGGGGGTTCAAACATGGCTATGGCAGCGCTAATAACATGATGCAGTTTGCCCAAGAACTCCTTTCGACCTTCAACACTGACCTTGGAGAAGTCGCCCTAGTTCCGATGACTGGTGGAGTCTTCATAGTGACAATGTGGTATGCTGGCCCGGAAACTGCACTGGGAGAGGTCTCGACACAGGAGACTATTCTTTGGGATCGTAAGCGGGATGGAGGATTTCCAGGTATGTCTTCTCATAAGCATAAGTGCTTGAAAATCCAAACTCTCATCACATGTGATTTGCATTGAATCCGCAAACTCATTGACATTTGCAGAGGTGAAAGTACTCAAGTCTCTTGTCCGGAACATTATTTCCCCAGACCGCGATTTAGGCCATACGGATCGGGCCCTGCAAAAGCAAGCGGAAGAGCGACAAGAGAAGAAGATAGAAAGCCCTGGAGGTCAGGGAAATAAGAAAGATTGCGAGGACTGTAAATGAGCATTCCTGAATATTATTGGAGGTTGCATAACTCTTTAGGTTATAATTCTCCCCTCGTACATGTACCTGAACAGTGGAATCTCCACGACACTGTGGAGTGTCTTCCGGGATACACTTATCCAAAGTTTACGGATTGCCCTAAATTTGAGACACCCTGCTGTAGACCTATGGTAACCTCTTCTGTGAACTAGATGTGGTATAGTCTACCTTGATTTGGCATTGTGCTCTATTGCGATCTGCAATCCAAGCGCCTCGAGGCGGTCCACTTTCTTGGGTGGAATTTTTCTTGATGACAATTATTGTGCTTCGCAATGGCCTCCCCCTGGCCCGGCACCTCGTAGTTGCTATAAACCGAGAACTAGATGCACACAGCCTTTGCAATTCGTTTTCTTGATTTTGAACACCCCTCACGATGAAGTGGACATTATTGTTCACGGCGGCCATTGCGGCCGAGGTCTCTGCCCTGAGCTTTCCAGCTGACCACCCGCCCGTCGCATGGAAGCCCGCTGGTCCCAATGACAGTATGTCGATCGATTTATTGACAAGAAGCTTGGAATATCAATCATTAATTGATTATCTTCAGTGCGGTCTCCATGTCCTATGCTCAATGCCTTGGCGAACCATGGCCATCTGCCCCACGATGGCAAGGACATCTCAAAAGAGCAAACCATCAATGCCTTTGGATCAGTCCTGAACATCGACAAAGAATTTGCCGAGGCCCTCTTCGCGAACGGGATGACGGCAAACCCCAAAGAAAATGCAACTACCTTCTCCCTGGACGATCTCAATCGCCATAATGTGCTGGAGCACGATGCCAGTCTGAGGTGCGTTCGTGCCGCACTTGCCCCCTTACCCAGCGGGGCGGCTCGGGAACCCCCCGGCTAACCCTAACATAGCCGCCAAGATTTCTACTTCGGCGACGATCACCGATTTAACCGAGAGGTCTTCGATGAAACACGCTCCTACTGGACAGGCTCGTTCATCGATATCCAGTCGGCAGCCAGAGCTCATGTGGCCAGAGTGAATACATCCAACACGACAAATCCGACCTTCGCCTTGTCTGATGCTGCAATGACGACCGCCCTAGGCGAGTCGGGATTCTGTATCGTGGTACTTGGTGACAAAACCGCGGGTACAGTGCAGAAGAATTGGGTCGAGTACCTTTTTGGTATGTGTTCAAAGCACCCTGATCTATCATCTGATAACTGTTGCTCACATCAAGCCTAATGCAGAAAACGAGCGACTTCCTTACGCAATTGGATGGACGAAAGCCCAGAATAGCATCTCGTACTCCGATTTTAATGACATGACCTCACGGATAAAGAGCGCCTCGGAAAGCTCTGAGTTGGCAGAGCAGAGCTGCAAGGTGCGAAGGGGGAAACATACCCACGGTCGCTTAATTAGGCATTGAGCTGGAACCTACCCAACAGCTGCTACAAAGACCGATTACAATACCGGCTGGACGACTTTAATTTACTAACGTGGACAGACTCTTGATGACTATGGCTTGCAATTATATTTGATCTAGCGAATTATACATGTGTTCTCAAGCTATTCAATGGCAATAATTTCACATACTACATGCCACTCAAAGCGTTCAAGATTTAGGTACGACGATATGTTAACTGTAAGTAGAGCGAGTGAGATACACTCATATGATGACTCGTGTATAATGACGTCTGAGTAGCATAAATAAACAAAGAACATCTGCGAGTAAATACTCCAAGGTACTTTTATGACAAGCTAAGAATATATGATTGTGTTTATTTCAAAGAGATGGTGGTGCAGTGTGGGTGCAGTGTGGTGCTGCTGGAGCAGTTGCCAACCTTGGGATGCCGAGGGACGTAGTACATTAATGTAAACGGGATGGCGCAAACTGAATGCACCCCACCAACAATCAAACGACACCAGAGCAGGATAAATAACCTAGGATAGTTCTCAAAAGCCACTATCCCATATATTTCAAGCTCGTCTTACGGCTACCATCAAAGAACCTCTGCACAAAAAAAAAAAAAAAAATAATAATCAATATTTATGAGGGAGAGTTGGAAATGCGAATAAATCTCGCGAGATAACCTCCGGACAGAAAAGGCCGAAGCCAAAGCAGTAAGATAAGAAGAAAGAAAAAAAAAATCAACGCCACCAGCCGCCAATCCGAATCTAATGACCATCCCAAAAGCAAATGCAGCCTCCAAGGCGAGAAAAGAAACACAGAAACAAGAAACGTCGGACATGTCCATGATCATCACACAAACGCGGGTGGAAGAAGACCCAATGAAATAACACTCAAGGGCGAACATGTATCATCCATGAGGGAAGAGAAATCGTGGTATCGGCAACCAATTCGGTTAGACCTGTCGTGGCAGATTGCACCTGGTCATCGTCGTGTTCTGGTCGTATCTTGACTTGGTGCAGACGGCCATGCCAAATGTTCTCATCAATATCATTTGGGTCAAGGAGAATCAGAAAGGAGGGGAAAGCCAAGTAAAGGCCATGGGCAATTCACTCGGCAAAACCATGCAACTCCATCGGAATTTTCAAACGCTCATTACAAAGTGCACCATTCATGAGGCCATGATCGCATAATACACAGCTGATACTCTCATAGGCGTCGAGAATACCGGCTAGAACGAAAGAAATCAAGGGAAATCAACTTTCGCCGTGTACCTCCGGGTGGTGGCTACGGCGCTTCCAGAAGGCAAGCCGCAGCCGACTCCGCCGCTTCGAGATGCGCCGTAGGGCACCATTGCGCGAGTCATCGCCATGCGGGCTTTCGTTTTTGATGCTATCGCCGGTGGTCGTAGACTGGGTAGGGCTGCGAGTCCCATTGATGGCAGATTTCTGGTCTTTGGTGGTTCCATCTTCGGACCGTGAGTGGCCGGCATCCACGATAGAACCCTGACCGCGACTGTAGCTGCTCTCACAATCGCCACCAACTGAAGCATACGACGTACTCGGACGGGTACTCGCATCGTCGGGACCGCCAATTTCGCTTTGCGGTGCACTGTCGTCTGTTACTCGCTTCTCATCTCCGCTATCAACCGCTAAAAAGCTTGTGACATTCGTAGCGGGGGAAATTGGAGCCATGTTGTTGCTATATGTACTGACGCTTTGTGTCCGAGTGCAACTGTTGCGGTTTGAGTTCGACGGAGCCGAAGTTCGGGCGGACGAACTGTGATGTGCGTGATGACGCTGAGATCCCTGCGAAGGACCTTGGCGAGAGCTACTTGGTCGATCGGAGGTAGTCTCACTGGCTTGGTCAGGCTCAGGGGGATTGGGATTTGTCGGGGCATTGCCGCCATTAGTAGCCGAATTCGCGTACAAGACGGCAGCCAAGACGGCAGGGTCTCCCGGAGCGCGGTTTGTATCTGTGAGCGGAGTTTGATATTGGGTTCCGACGGAGCCCCGGATCGACTGGGGTGCATTTGGAATGGAGAAATACGACAGGTCGGGCATGGCGCTAGACGATTTTCGAGACGGCACTTCGGGGCCCATCGGGCTTCCGGTGATCTCGATCTGAGGACCCGGGGTGTCTGGAGACACGACCGGCTCGATATTGTTCTCATTGTAAGCGCCATTCTCTGATTCCGTGCTGTAGCTGGATCCAGGTGAGGAGGGATCATCCGGGGCATTGCCCTTGTCGCCCTGAGGAGCCTTCTCGGTGTCGTCCGAATCAACCGCAGGTGCAGGGCTATGTGAGCGAGGCGAGACCGTAATTTCCGCACGGTGTTCAATTGGCAGGCCTTGTTTCCGAAGCTCGTCGTTCGCATGTTGTTGCCATTGGGCTTGATTGCGGCGAATATGGTCTGCCGTGAACTGCAGTTGGGGCAGAAGGTCGGAGATCCCCTCGAAAAGTGGGAGCGCGAAGATCGACATGAAGCCTATCTGGCCGGTGGCGAGCTTATAGATGTTTCCCAACTCTGGGGGTCCACCAAAGAGCGCAGTTTCCATGCCAACCTCCTTTTCCATCTCTCCTTGGTTAGCGAACTCCTCTTGCAAGATCCGAGTCCATTTTTCAGCAATCTTCCACGGCCGGGCCACGTTGCTGATATCGGCGCACTTGATCAACAGTCCACACAATAAGGTCTTGTACATTTCAACGTCCTGGGGCTTCCAGCCATCGATGGATTTCTGATTCTCGTAGAATTTCTCTTGCAGAAATCCCATCCGTTCCATAAACTTCTGGTGAACGCCCATATCCGTCGCCAAGATAGAGCTGATCAGCAGTTTTCGGAGTTGCTTGTCCTTGAACGCGGCAGGCCAGTGGCGACGGAGGATCTGCGAGAATGCGGCACAGTGAAACGCCTCCAGGACAGAGTTGTCATTGTAAAGTTGTGCCAGCGGTGCGTTGAGCTTGACAAGGAAGAAATTGTTGACACCGGGGTGACCGACATCGTGACCGATTGCGGAGATGAGGAGAGTAAGGGCATCGAAGGGCGAGAGTAGAGAGGCGATAGGTGATTTTGATACAGGAACTTGGCCGACCGGTTCGTAGGGAGGCAAGGCACCAATATGGAGCAGGAAGCAAAAAACGGATTGCAAGACATCAATGGCGTGGCGGAAGTTGTGATAGAGAACGAAGGAGTTGTAGGCGGCCCGGCAGGCAAGGAGGAAGGTTCGCAGTTCGCCCGACGTCAACCGCCAATGCTCCAGCCCGGGCAAGCTAAAAGCATGCTGAATCATTTGGCAGGCACTGAAGACCAGCTCGTCGTCTGAAAACTCGTGAGCTGAGAACTTCCAGCTACCCACTTGCTCTTTCACGAAAGCTTGGCGGTCTGGATTAACATTAAGTTCGTGGTCCTGAAATTCGTCGACGATCTCTTCCTCGGGGTTGCAGATGCCCTTCATCAGTTTCGATACCATTGCCTCTCGCAAATATGCATACGGTTGCTCATCGTTCACACCAACCCAGGAAAGCTTGCGCAGCTTCTTTCGTGCCAGAAACCGAGACATTTCCTTTTGTGCAGATCGTCGTGCCCGATACGCTTGAACCACCAGTCCCTGGATTCGAGATCGATCCAGTGGGGTCATTAGGACATCGAGAGCACCGGCATCGAGACACCGAGCGATCTGCTTGTGCTCGACCGTGAGATGGCTATGACTCTGTGGTTCACTCGTGGGTTCGGTGGTATTGGCGTTGGCACCGGCTGTTCGCATAATGGCAATGGGAACGACCAAGTTTAAACCATCTTGAACTTGGATATCGGTCGACACGCCCGACAAAAGGGACAGGCCGGGCGCTTCGTCTTGATGTGAGGAGAAGGTGAATGTGCGTTGAATCGATCCGGGTGAAGGCGGTGCATTGTCACTCCACGAGGCTCGACTGGCTTTCCGGCGTGCCGGATTTGTATCATCGCCGGAGAAGTCGATGCCGAAGAAGGCGAATACGGGGACGCAGTCACTGACGGATCGGTCATTCAGCTCAGCTAGCTTACTGGCAAGAGACGATCCACTGCTGCATAAATAGACTAGGCGGTTCTCCGTTAATGGCCGTGTTCCAAAACCACCGGATCTTCCCCTGAACTCGGTCCATACTCACTCTTTTTGCAAACTTCCAGTAGCTGCTCCACATCGGCCTGGAGGCCGTCGGGCTCGTCAGGAAGCGCGAACGATCCGGTCGACGAGACGGTGGATGCGTCGATAGAAGTTCGGCGCACCCATCGCTCCGACTGCACGCGATCGTCGATGTAGACGCCCGAGCAATCCACGCACTCCATCATGTAACTCTACAAAGGGAGACTCTGTGTCTCCGGTCGCGCCACCAAGATCACTGGACCGCGACCAAGAAAGGATCAATCGGAGAGCGGAAAAAGGAAAGAAAATGGTGTCCACCGATCTGGCCGGGTTCGCATAAGGCTCGAACAATCGGCTGTATCGAAGAATTCGGTCGAGCGGGGGGACAGTGAAAGAGGGCCGGCGACGAAGGGTCTCCTTTGGGCAGCGCCGCGGACGGAATGGGCGGAATGGGTGGGACGGTCACCAAGCGGTCGAAAGACTAGATGACACGAACCGGGGAGGAGGGCAATAACGAGCGGCGAGTCCGGGAGGAGTGAAGCCTGCGAGGAGGAGAGTTGAAATGGAAAAAGGAATCCGGGAGCGAAGGAAAGACTAGAGTCGGCCGCCAACCCCTAAGGGCTCAATCGTACAATGGAGTTGTTTCCCCCTGCAGGTCGACCCGGGAGTGTCGTTGGTGCAGACAGAGATCCGAGACAACTGCACGAGAGAAGGTCGCGCGCAAACTTGGGGGAGAGGATGGGTGAGCGCCACAGATGACGGCACGTGAGGGGACGGGAAGGGGGTCTTTTTCGCCCTAAAGGTCGTAGTTCAAATGCGACGGGAGTTGCAGAGGATCGTCAGGACGACATGGTCGAGATCGGACTTGGGAGGAGGGAGATCTGGAGATTGGGGGGGGAAGTAGCGATCGAGGGGGGGGAGTTGCAAAGGGCAAAACAGAGTGGAGGGAGGGGGGCGCACGGGGAAGGGGCTTCTTTCCTCCTTCCAGAAGGCCTTGAGGGGGCGGGACGGGATGATCCTCGCTGCACGACTTGCTGCGACTTGCTGCCCTCGCCGTTGTGACTTTCGGCCCCCGCTTCGGTCCCCCTCTTTCCGACTACGCGACTTGACTATATACTAGTAGTCTGTTGTATATTACTACTGATAGTAGACACTAGAGGGTACTGCTGGTAGTAGTCACTCCTACGGCTTCGACTTTGACGCAGAGCCTCGATCCTGGCCAGTGGAGCCCCCAATGACGCCTCCTCTCGCACAATTTTTTTCTAGAAGGCCCACCCCTTATGTAAGCCATCGGGCATTGGTCACTGCAGGTTCCCGTCGAGGGTCTCCTCTAAGCCTACGCCGCCGGACTACATACTAAGGGAGTGAGTAATTACCCTAGGGTACTCACTATACTATATTGACGATAGTGGTGAGCCCGGGTAGGCTAGACTGATCGCATCCTCCGAATCTTTGTGGGAGTCAAGTCCCGGGCGATGATCTCATCGACTCTCCATCTTTTGCCATCGTCGCCACTGGTTCCTGGAGCATCACCCGATCAGCTCCTCCCCCAGCGTGGCTCACCCAGCGAACATTCGCCTGGAGGGCGACCAGCCAATCGTGTCCCCGGCAACGTCAGCGATTTTCAGCATTTACCTCCCGAAGGTACTTTCTGACGCTACTGCACTCGCCCTGTACGGCGGAGAAGGATCCGGAAGGATTCCACCTCCATTCCAAGCTTTGCGCATCTCACAGCCCTCCAGCTGCGGTTCATTTGGGGGCTATTTCTGGGACGTATTACCTGGGACCCTGCGCTGAACTACTCCGTACATAAACCTTGCGCACCCGGCGCCCCCCTTCTCTCTTGTCGCTGGGATGGTCCACTGCGACCTCCATGTCCATGCATGCCATAGAGACGGAGTGAACACGTTGCCGGATTACTCAACCACGCAGATAATCTTCCCCTTGGTCGTGTTGCTCTCCAGCAACTGGTGCGCCTGCAGGATCTGGTCGAACGGGAAGATCTTCTCCACAAACACCTTAAACGTGCCATCGCAGAACTTGGGCAGTGCATGGTCGACTAGCGTATCCCGCAGCTTCCGCTGATACTCCTCGTCGCGACTGCGCAGCGTACTTCCCTCAATCCGAATCCGCTTGAACAGCAAGGGCGCAATATTCACTCCATCCGGCAACTTGCCCCCGCCCATCAGACCTAGCAACACTACCCGTCCGTCGCGGGCTGCCGCGTCCAGGTTGCCCTGGAAGTAGGTTGCGCCGATGAAATCCACAATCAAGCTCACACCGGCGCCGCCCGTCGCTTGCTGGATCTCGGCGGCCCAGTCCTGCGTCTTGTAGTTGAAGGCCTTGGTGACGCCGAGCTCCTTCTCCAGGAAATCAATCTTTTCCTGCGAACCCGCGGTCGCGTAGATGGCTTTGGCCCCGGAGGCTTTGGCGAGCTGAATGCCTGAAATGGAGACGGAAGAAGCACCCGCGTGCCACAGCACCGACTGGCCTTCTTGGAACTCGCCGATCAGGAAGAGCGCCTGCGACGCGGTAATCCAGGTCTGATCGAAATGTTAGTGCCAATCCCTCAGGGTTGGTCATAAAACACAGATTTTGGTCAACCAGTCACTCACCTCGGGCACACCGGCAGCTTCCTCCCACGACAGTTGCTTGGGCTTGTGGACGAGCATCTTGGTCGAGACAGCAATGTACTCCGCGTAGGCACCTACCGACCACACTGTTAAGCATCATAAAAATTCCATAGCCTCTGGGTATGGATAATACATACCACCATAAGCAAGACCGAGAACCTCGTCCCCCACCTTAAAGTCCTCATGCCCATCCGGGCCAAACTCCTCCACAGTACCGGAGAACTCAACGCCCATCGTCTCGGGCGCTTGCGGTGGAAGCGGATACAAACCCTCCCGTTGCAGCAGATCCATTCGGTTCAGACCGAAAGCCTTGATCTTGACCAGGGCCTGGCCAGCAGCCGGCACCGGTTTGGGGATAGAGTCCACGTAGAGTGAGGTGGCCGGGCCCTTGCCGCCCTTCACAGCTATGTTTCATATTAGCCATGAACAAATCCAATAGCCGAGGCTGCGTCAGTCGCGGGTGCCCCAGGGAATTCCAGATGTGCTGTATAGTTGGGTATGTGTTCGATATCTTGTGTCTTTAGGGGGGTTGAGGGGGGTATGATGTATCCAATAGAGGGGGAATGCTGGGACGCTGCCTGATAACTCTCAAAGGGAAGAGACATACCGATCGCGCGCATTGTGTTGCTCATAGTGTAATTATTGGAGCTTGCCGGAATGTGCTCTCTTCGATTTGTCGACTCGGCTTCCTTTATAGCCTGTGCTAGTGGTGGCTCTTGGGAATCGTGCAGAACGCAGATGTGGGGGGTATCAGGCATTTGTCAGCACTCGTCACCTAACTAACTAGTTAACTACTGTCAGGTCAGATGCGCATCAGTCGCGCTGGCAGTCGCCGACAAAGGCGGGTAACCGGCACAACGACTACCTCAGGGTAAGAATCCTACGATAAGAATGGTATCCTCGGGTCGCAGAGCTCTGGAAAAGGCGAAATAGGCTTTTTTTTCTCTCATAGTTTAGAACAAATTACAGTGGGGCTGTTCAAGTCCGTCGGAGTACAGTAGCATATGCAAATCACTTCTTCTAAACAGGGGAATATGGTAATCATCAAAAGTCGCCGACCTGACAGTACTCCATGCAGTTCCCTTCAAGGGCCCACCATCCGAGAATTCCGTTGTTTTTCCAGCCATAATTGTGACGCCGAGCAGATGTGAACAAAGGAGAAGATGAACGAGCAAACATTGACAAGAGCATCCGGCGGAGACGCCAGAGGGGGGAGTTCTTCTCCCGCTCTGACATCTTTTGTCTTAAGCACCACACATATGCAAGAAAGACAGACAGAGATAGGGGGAAAAAAGAAAAGAAAGAAAAGAAAAGTAAAGAAAAAGGCGTAGCTATCATACAGTCAATTAACACACTTGACAGGAGTGGTTTGGAATATGAAGAGGGGTTAAGAAAGAAGGTTCTTGAGCGACGGACTTGCGCTGGCTCCAGATCCAGCGCTCGCACTCGTGCCATTGACACGATTCGAACTGGCCATCACAGACGGGGGAGTGTCCTCCGGTCGAGTGGGCGGAGTGGGCCCACGCGGGTTCATATGTGCCGGGGCAACAGGCGGCGAGTGAGAAGGTGCCCCCATTCGATCAACCGAGTACATACGCGGAGGTGGTCCCCCATTCAATGCACTGAGGGAGGTTTGAGGGGACCGGTTCACTGTCGCTGAGACGATCGGTGGAGACGCCGAGGCAGCATATGAGCGAGGCGGCGGCTGGGAAAGGAGAGGTGACCGGGCTGGAATCGGCCCATAGGGACTTTGATGAGCTCCATATGGCTGCGTGGGAGGTGGGGGAGGCGGTCCAGTATTGCTGTAGTGCGAGGAGGGAGGGACTGGAGGATGAGGCGGAGGATAGGTTCCCATATGGTGTGGGGGAGGTGGAGGAGGACCCGCGTGGTAGGCAGGCGGCGACATGCCGTTGCGCAGAGCACTGTCGCTTCCAGCTCGCTGCTCGAAGCCACCGCCGTATGGTATAGGGGCGCTATGCGAATGGGATGGGGGCATCGGGCGCCCGAGAACACCAGTGGGGGGTTGCGGTTGTGGTGCAGGAGGAGCAGGATGCACGGTATGGGGTACGAAATTAGGGCCACGCAAGGTCGCGAGCATGGGGCGTTGACCTGCATAGGGCGAAGGACGTGGATCGGGCACGGCCGCGGGCGCAGGAGCAGGGTCGGTGGGTGGGTGGGGGTTCTTCAAATGACACTTGTGGCACTCGTAAAGTTGCTCCCCCGCATCGTTATTTAGCTGCGCAAACGGACTTTGCGATAGATGCATGGAACCCATTCCGGCTCCATTCGTCAAGGGAGCCCGCGAGTCGCTGCGTCGTCCGCAGGGCCACCACCGGGGACTAAAATCGGTAGAGCAACGGAAGCATCGTTGACCTGTCGAATGACCGCTGGCAGAGATGGATCGCCGTGCAGGGCGTGCAGGGTGCTCCTCGGTGTCAATATCCATCGTATCTGTTGTATCCTCAAAGGGGGTTGATTGGGCTTTGTGAGGGTCTCTGGCTGCTGCCAATCCACTACTTGTTGAAACACGACGATTCCCTGCACTGGCGCCATGATGATGCGGGGCTGTGACCGATTGCTGCACATAGGCTGCCTTTCGAGAGGTTCCAGTCAGGGTGAGGTCAGCCTGCTTGTAGGCCTGGGCAAAGAGCTGTAGTGCATTCAGGCCATCAGGGCCAGCAAGCTCGCCAATGTCGTGAACAGCGGCCGGCACACTATGGTTAGGACAGTAAATTACTGGCGTAGCCATTCCAACCTCCTCGCCCAGACGGATGGTCTGCACACTGTCTCGCCGCGAGATCTTCACTGGGGCGAGATCAAGACCAAATCGATACTGTGCCTGGAAGGCGCAGCCAACATGAACTTGGACGTTGCACCCAGTAGAATGGCAAGGGATGCAGGCACCCTTGGACGACTTGCAAATCTTGCAGACCTGCCGCCAACGGTCTTTGGGGATAGTTCCAAATCCTTCTGCGGGTTCCAGTTCTTTCGCATCGCCGTACTTGATCTCCGGTGTCCACAAGGAGCACATCACGTGGGCCCAGTTGTTTCCTGCGGTGCGTTTCAATGGTTCCCGAGGACTGACTGGCTTACCAACGGCTTCCTGTCGCTGGCGGTAGAGTTTGATCGCCTCCGTGATCATTTCCTTCTCCAATCTTTCCTTTTCCTTATCCCGGTCCGACTTCTTGCGGCTATTACTCTTCGTAGTCTCCATCAACTCGTGCTCAGTTGACGTCACGGGGCACAGGACACATTCGTAAGTCGTCGAGATAGAGGGACTGCGATCATTTGAACACATATCGCACAGCCACTTGTTGCCAGGTCGAGAGTTCTGGACTCCGTAACAATTGCGGTGAACGGTTAGGCGACAATCGCGGCAAGAGAGATGCTCATCGCCTATGGGTTCGAGCGAATTGCATACGGCGCACGGGAGGGTTTTCGCTTTGGGCGGATCAGGAATGACAGGAGCAGCATCGGTGGCGCCCTTTTCCGTGACCATCTTCTTCTTGGGCATGGGCTCCACTGATGTCGAGGCCGAGGTCGTCGCAGTGCTTGGGATATCGGTGCGCGCCTTCTTCTTGGCCGCATCCATCTTACTCTCAAGGAGGAGCTGAGGGTTGTTTTCTATTTGAATTCCCATCGCAGCGGCCGTGGTAGCTGTCGAGTTGTTGATGATCAATGGCGTCTCAGCACCAAGGAGCAATTGCGCAAACAGTTCTTCATCAATACGCCGGCGCCAGGATTTGTTACCGCTCGCGGCAATACGTTTGCCGAGCTCATCCACGTCCTCATAGTGGAGAGCGTACTTCCGCCATAGCAGAGCGCAGCGAAGGCAGAGGGCAACGGTAAGCATGGGCCCTTTGTCCTTCTTTGCTGAGGGATCAGAAGGCACTGCGGTGCCGGGCGGGACGAGAGGCGCGCGTCGCCATTGTCGAGAGCTGCGTGTCTCACAGAATTTGCACTGGAATCCTCGCTTCTGGACGATGGCCTTTTCGCTATCAAAGGCAGAATCGTCGTGATCATCGGCTACATCATCGAGCAATTTCGACGAGGCGACACTCTGGCGCCGGACCTCCTTCTTGCCGCGTCTGCCTTCGTAGCTACCCCAGACCTGCTTGCCACGAGGTGTTTTCTTCCACATGTAGTAGAATCGCACGATTGCCCAGTGAGGAACGGTTTTAACGTGTCTGTAGATACTGAGCCATTCCGAACCGTATTTTGCAACACCCTGCTCGAAGAGCTTCAATTCTTCCGGTCGAAGATGAGGTTCTTTGAGATCCTTGTATTGGTTTGCCTTCTTCAGCTTGGCAAGAGCTGCTTGCACATCGAAGCTTTCGGAGTATAGCAGCTGCAGAGCCTTGTCCAAAAAGTTGGTGTTGTACATTTCAACACCGATATGCGGAGCCAGTTCCTTCGCCTGGCGCATGTAATCGTCAATGAATGCTTCGCGGTCTGCGTCACTGAGGTGGGACCCCGGCACATCATCTTCGCCGCGAGCAGGCATCTGGGCTGCAGTCGGCATCTTGAATTTGAGCTCGGCTGTGCGTGCTTGCTTCCCGTTTATTGTGACAGGCTCATCTTCACCGCGAGCAATGTAGCCCGCGGGCTCATCCTGAATCCACTTCGGCCGGTTCGCCTTCTCCTGTTTGGCAGCTTCCAGCGCAGCCTTGGCGTCTTTGGAGAGGGGACCCGTGGCTTTTGCACCCGTCGCTTTCACTCGCTTCTTCAAATCGATTGGCTTCACGTATTCAACGGGACGGCCAGGCCATGGGTTCACGATCGCCTGGTGTTTCGGTCCGAGACGAGAGCTGGCACGGGGGTAGATACGATCATCGTAGTCGAGGGCGTCTTCCACGCGGCAATGGATACCAAGGTAACGGTAGGGCCACATCCGTGTTTGAGCCATTTGCTCCGCCGTTTCGGGCTGTGGCTCCTCCTCGACTGCAGCGGGAGTGCTGACAGAGGTTCCATTGGCGGCGCCATTCGGTTGATGTTCGTCCTCTTCTTCCTCCATGACCTCATCGTCGCCATCGGCTCGGTTCTCGCCCATCAAAGGCGTGTTGCGCGCTTCAAGTTTGCGTTCTTGGGCCCGACTGCAGGGGGCGCACGCCCACGCAAATCCTCGGGCAGGTTTCTTGGTGAGAGCAGGGCGAACACAATGCATGTGATATGTTGAGTGACAAACGGCGCAGTCGACTGATTCGGAATTTGCAGCAAAGAGGTGACATCGCTTGCAGGTCTTCACGGCGCCCGTCAGCTCCTTTCCCTTACCGACCTCGACCAGAATAAATCTCCAGCGATCATTTAGGACTCTTTTGACGTTTCCGGGGACATTAACAACATCTTTCGTCGGGATGACATCGTACAGGCGATGGATGTATCGATCAAACATCTTATCATACCAGAAGCTGTTCCTGTTCTTTTTGTAGTCATTAAGGTTCTGGATCTCCGAAACATGGCGGATTGAACATTTCCCGCGTAGTGAAGACAGTGGGCAGGTATCGGAATGCATGGATGCAAACAAATAACGCGAGTCGCTGTTGTGGCGCTGGATATCCCGTGGGCGGTAATACCAATTGACCCGTAATGACTCAATGACTCCAGAATCTTTTGTCTTGGACGGTATGAATTCCATAATTCGAGCCAGGTAGTATGGCTCGCCTGGTGGTTCACAAATTAAGTAGACATGGTCTGCGGGTTGTGTTAGTCGTGTTGAGCTTTCAAGGCAAGAAATGTCTCATGCTTTCACACGAAGAAAATTTCACATGGATTGGGGGAGGAAATGTACCGTTCACTTCGAACGTGGTTCCATCATCAGCTGTAATTTGACCATCTTTGAGAATCGGTTCTGACGCCTCAAAGCTGACCATGTTGGTGAAATAGCCGCCGTCAGAATCTCCCGGTGCGGCAGTGAAGATCTTCTTCGCGGCGTTGGCGCTGGACGGAGTGCTGGCGGTGGCCTTGCGCTTACGCAGCGGACCGGCCCCATTGACATCCTCGGGGCGAGCGGAAAATGACGAAGTGCCCGGAATGGCCTCTTTCGGGATTACAGGCGGGGCGGGACCGTTATTTAGACTCTTGCGTGGTTGCGCCGGCGAGGACTTCTCGCTGTCCGACTTGGAGCCGTTGACGATGTTGGTGAGGGCCACGCCACTATTGCGCTTGGCGCCCTTTGCGGGAGTGGCTTCAAAGTCCATGTCGATATCACGATCCTCGGCATAATTGGGCCGGGGGGCATTGCGGCCTCTGGATCGCGTCCCATAAGGGGCCGCAGCGGAGGAGCCGGCCGGATCGGCCACAGCCTCCGGAGAGCTGGTGGTGGTCATAGAGTGCGGCTGTGGCTCATCCACGGCAGGGCATGCGAGACACAATGCCGCAGCAGGGGAGACTCACGGGAAAAGACGACACCAGGGATTTCTGTGTGGGGTGTCAGTTCACGGAAGAGCACAAACACGTCTGGACGTGGCGCGATGCATGTAGGTGCGGGTGGTATGTGGGAACATGAAAGGGCCCGAGGGGGGGCGAAAATCTGAACAGCGCGGGTAGAAATGCTGGCGAGAAGAGGGTTGACGTCCTGGGGAACACGAGTTTCCCCGAACCACGAACGGGAAGAAAGTTGGGAAGAAGGAAGGAAGTGAAAGTGGGCACACAGGCAAGACACAAAAAGAGTGGACCAGATTCCCGTGTCAGATCTTATTGACTGCAGGGGTGAAGGGCGCAGGACGGGGCCGATATCAAGGTGGACCGGATGGACCAAAACGGGGGGAAAAGGCAGTCGGGTAGAGCATCACGGCCACGGCCTAGACTTGGGGAAGGAGGGAGGGGAACATGCAAAATGGAAATCGAAATGGAAAATCAAAAGTGGCATTGGGGAGGGGAAGGGAGGTGGGTGGGATCACTTACGAGATTGTATGGTATTCCACCTGGGGATGTGTTGTGGGAGGAAGGGGGAGGGAGAGAGAGAAGAAGAGAGAGGAAGAGGGAACCGAGACGCGATGACGGAGAAAAAGGAAGGGTAGGGAACACAACCGTTAGGGTAGGTGTGCGGAACAAAACAAGCGCGCAGCCACCCGTAGAAGAAAGCGACAAGCCCAGTGGGATAGATGGGATGACTGGATGGCGATGGGATGGGTATATCGGGGATTGACGAGGGATGGGAAGTGGACGAGGAAGAAAGTGGAACACCGATTGCGATATAGAAGAATACCCCGGGGGAGGAGAAGAGGGAGATGTGGAAAGGAAAAAAGCGTCGAGGATCCCGAGCGTGCCCCTAGTCCCGATATGTTAATATGACGGATCCTCGCTGTCGAACCAAGGGAAAAAGCAGAAAACTCGTCTGGATCCGATGGCCCTGGGCTCCCTTGCTCGATCTACGGGGATTTGATCGGGACCGATGGACGCCTGCGACGTGACCACTGGAGCACGGGGTGAACGGGGGCCAGCTCATCCACCGGCGAGCTCTACGAAGGAAAGATCGAATGGGAAAGACTGCAGACGGAGCCCCGAAGGCTGCTTGCTACTCGTACTAGTAGCAGCCTGAGGGGAACGACTCAGAGATGGGATTTGCAATACAGTTGGAACCGTTTTCTCGCCAAGTCATGGCTCACCCGTAATCTATTTGATGACGATTAAGAATGTTGTCACGTAGGAGCCACACCAGCACTGGAGCTCGGGGACCACTCGAGCCACTGGGGGGGGGGGATGCGCATTGTGTCCCCAAGGCACCAGAGCAAATGATGGCGCTGCAGTCTCCTCCGATCTGTCTAAGGTTTGGGGCCTGTTGTGTGAGGTTTGGGTTAACCTCTCCGGGTATTGGCTTCACAGAGAAGGGAGGGCGGGTGGGGGGATGATGGTGCCCAGGTGGATAACCATCCCAGGTCTTGCGATCCCACATCGCGGAGGGGGACTTGCGCCCGTTGTGACAAGCATCCGATCCGCAGACCAAGACGCAGGATGCGATGTGCGAAAGCCGCCCGAACCCGTTCCTCCAAATGGACTGATATCGAGGGTTGTGGTAAAAGTAGGAAAAAGGCACTAGCACCCGGCTCCACACTCCATCCACGATCCCTGCGGAAACATTACCTACAGGTACGTACGGATCCGGTATCGCGACTTCTGCACTGCTTGATTCTGCCTTGTGTCACCCTGCATCGCGAGCCTCTCTCGGCCAGGTCAGCACCGGGTCATATAATATCATGTGTAGCACGCTAATTTGATACCCTAAAGGGAGAAAATATCTGATTTTATGATGATTTTCATGGAATGACCATGTCTATTGTCATCCGTTAACTGCCATACTCGTCGACAGTATCGAACTTCACCCATGAGCGTATCCTGCCAGTGGGTATCCCATATCCAGTGAGATAGTTAAATCTCCCAGGGGCGCGAATGTAGAATCCGGGGCAAGCCATAGCAGTGGGAGGATCTGTCGAAGCTATGAGTATTATCCGACCGCAGGTGCTGGACCTGGTGCGGCAGATGAACGAAACCAGAAAAGCAAAAACTTGGAAGAAAAAGAAAGGAAGCAAGGGCATGGACCGTGCCGGTCACCATCGAAACGATGAGTAGCAGCCCGGCCAACCTCTTGCATGCGCCCATGTGGTAATCATCAATTCCGTACCTACAGGAGTACGACACTGAACACTGTGCAGACCCATCCACAGAGGGTCTCATTACTGCTACCGAGCACCCTCAAGGGCTCTCCTCTCTCTTCACTGACAAGAGTACTCTACCCTACTACATGAGTACAGGAGTGTAGCAGTAGTAGAGTACTAAGGTACCGAATACCTTCTTATCTCGGGGTAATCATACTGTACGGTATACTCCCGGTGCAGTATGTACTACCAGTACTAGTACCATAGCAGTAATTTAAACTTCTCCCCGTCCAATGACGATCCAGGCGGCCGAGCAGAATCCGCTGTTGGCCGAGGGTGATTTGCTCCCGGCGGCTGTTGCGTGTCGCCACCGAACGTGCCGCCGTTCTGGGTAAGATGCTCCACGACCCGAACGGACTCACCTGTACATATACACAGTGCACCAATCTGTAGTATACATTAAATACGCGGATGGAGGTAGGACCAGGAGACAAAGCATAGAATCAGAGGTCGTCAGCGCGAGTGTGAGCGATCAGACCGCTAGGGAGATCTGTCCCGATCATGATCACCTCCCCCAGGGTGCTCTCGACCCTTCTGCACACACGACCGCCAGGCCACCATCCGGTTGGCCCACGTTGCGCCGGGTGGAATATATATATGAGGTCGGCAGCCGACCGCTAGTACGTACATCCGACCAAGCACTACACTGGTGTACTGAGTAGGTACGCTAGTGTGGTGTACAATTGTAAGATATCACATTCCTCCCCATGTATGGCGATTCGACTGAGATTCTTCGCTGTCGATCACCATACGGCATCCGCGGCACCGGGGCTCGATTTGACCGTCAAGAATCGGTCACCGAGAATCCTTCGCAGGTGCTGGTGCCCTCTTCGCCACCAACTCCATAGGGACACGACAAAATGGTCGCCTATATTATTATCCACCGATGCGACCGGATAGGGGAAGAAAAGCACTTGTAGGAATACCCGGGAGCTTGTGTCCTGCCAGTGTCGAACTACCATTCGCAGCCCAGGCATTCGTCAGCCGACCCCAAAGTCGTCCGGGTCGCTTGATGTGCAGATCCCGCTGCATTGAAGGTGGGCGTACGCGCCGTGGAATTCAATGCCGGTCTCGTGCAAGGGGTCCCTCATGGGCCGCTTGGTCTCAGGTGGCGCGTAGATGGGCCCGTCAATCACAGCCGGCCCAAAATGGCGGCCCCAGGCTCCGATCCAGGAACCGATTACGTAATGAGATTGCTGCACATGACATAATCCATAATTTATGCCTGAGGCCGCATGTCGGTCCCATACGCGCCGCCGAGAGGGAAGGATAAACAATGAGCAGGTGCGATGGACGAGCCCATATAAAAATTGCTAGCGGACGACTTGAGCACAGCTGTCCGCAAATCTATCAAGGTTTCCAAAAGGGGCTTTTCTCGGGAGGACTTTCGTACGGTTTCTGGCAATCATCTTTCCCCATGTCTCAGTGAACGACATCCCAGCTATGTCGAACGGACATTTCATTCAATCCCATGGGGTTGAGACTTCGATGGATATAGCCCGTCGCCAGGCGTACCATGTAGCTCCCGTGGTGGGACAGAAGAGGCCTTTTACAACATCCCAACCCCAAGAGCCTCCCAAACCTGGAGCGGGTGCGCATCACATCGCCCTGCGCAGGCCAAGCGAAATATCCAACCCACCGATTCAAGAGTCGGTCCCTTTGGACTTGGCTCGAGCCTCGCTGGCCCCTTCCGCAAGCCGACTTACCGCCAGCAAAATCCATTGGGGTCTGGGTGCCGCGGCGCCAGAGGAGGAACGAGGCATATCGAACGCTCCCGGATCCAGCCAAAATCCACTCCTATCTCTTTCGCATCCCAGATACGGACTGCCCACGGCTCTCACGGCCAATTTCGCTGCACTGGGGGTCAACTCTATTTACGCCTGGCAGGCGTCGTGTCTCTTGGCGCGGGGCCTTTTGTCCGGTGAGCGGCATTTAGTTTACACAGCCCCCACTGGCGGGGGCAAGTCCCTGGTGGCCGATGTACTGTTATTGAAACGCATCATCGAGAATCCAAACCGCAAAGCCATTTTAGTCTTGCCCTATGTCGCATTGGTTCAGGAGAAGTTGAAATGGCTGCGCCAGGTTGTCCAGGGCGTGGAGAAGGGTATCTCGGATGAAGAAGAGGACGAGGCTGCCGGGATACATTTTACGCGCAAACGATGGAAACGATTGCAAAGGTCCATTTGCGTGACTGGATACTTCGGCGGAAGTCGGACTACTACTAGCTGGGCAGATACCGATATTGCAGTTTGTACTATCGAAAAGGTAAGCTACCCCGAAACTACGAATATCCCCACCTTCTCTTTCCTCCTGGTTGATTCCCTTTCCTAACTGATGAATTCTAGGCCAACTCGCTGATCAATTCCGCCATTGAGGATTGCTCCATTGGAGATTTGGGTGTGGTGGTGCTAGATGAGCTCCATATGCTTGACGATGAACACCGAGGGTACTTGTTAGAGCTGATGGTGACGAAGTTGCTTTTGCTCCAGCAAGATATTCAAATCGTGGGGATGAGTGCAACGCTCTCGGTATGATGACCCCTTCCAAACAAGTGCATGAATGATCATTTATGACAAGCACCTAGAACACGGAGATGCTCGCGAAATGGATGGATGCCAAATTCTACATCTCTACATACAGGCCGGTGCCCATCGACGAATACTTGGTCTATGAAAACACAATTTATCCGGCTGCGACTTCAAGGCAGCTGTTTCGAACAGCGTCCAAGCTGGCTGTGACCACTTCTATACAAGATTCCATTCCTCCACATCGAACCATCGAGCCTTCGGCTTACAAGGAGCTCAGCAACTCGGCCACTAATGCTATGGTGGCACTGGCGGTCGAAACTGCAGCAGCAGGGTTCGGCGCATTAGTCTTCTGCGGCAGTCGAGGAGCCTGTCAAGTCCACGCCGCTACCATAAGTGAGGCAATGCCCCCACTAACAGAAGAAAATGATGAGATGAACAAGCGATTGGACCTCCTGGCCGAGCTGCGAAGTCTGTCATGTGGCTTGGACCCCGTCCTCCAGAAGACAATTATAAAGGGAGCTGGATTCCATCGTGCGTGTTCACGCTACATTCTTGACTCGTTGCAATTCTGACGTTCATTTATCTAGATGCAGGTATGACGACGGAGGAGCGGGAGCTGATCGCTCAAGCCTACGACCAAGGTGTGCTCAGAGTGCTGGTGGCTACATGCAGTCTCGCAGCCGGTGTCAACCTTCCTGCGAGAAGAGTCATCATCAATGGTGCTCGAATGGGCCGAGAATTGGTTGGTCCCGCAATGCTGTACGACCGCCCCTACATGAACTTTCTAATATGGACTTGAGCTGACAATGATAGGCGCCAAATGTGTGGTCGCGCGGGACGCAAGGGCAAGGACGATGCTGGGGAGACGTATTTGATTTGCGTCAAGGCCGATCTTGAGGCGGTATGCGATTTGTTGGATGCTGATATGCCGGCCATTGAAAGTTGCCTGGCCCCGGAAAAAAAAGGACTCAAGAGGTAAGCATCGAAACAACCTGTTGATGCACACGAGACTGACATGCTGCAGGGCCCTCCTCGAAGCTATTGCAACAGGCCTGGTGTCTGGGTCCGAAGCAATTAAAGAGTATGTGCAATGTACTCTTCTTTACCTTACCCTCGACAAAAAGCTAGTATATGCCATCATGAACTCCGCCTTGCAGGAGCTCGTTGAAGAAGGGCTTTTGCTGTTGAAAGAGGATGAGGCCTATGAAGCAACTCTATTGGGACAAGCGGTTGTGGCGTCAGCATTCTCCCCAGAGGATGGACTTTATGTGCATGAGGAGCTAAAGCGGGCACTCCAAGCATTCGTGATGGATGGTGATATGCATATATTCTACATTTTCACTCCACTCCAGGTAGCCATGAACAATCCGATCAATTGGCCGATCTTTCGTGATCAGCTGGACCGCCTGGATGAGAGCGGGCTTCGCGCACTCCAGCTTGTTGGCGTTCAACCGGGATTTGTCAACACTATGTGAGTGACATTACCATTGTACTTATGCAAACATGTGAGCTTACTTGAATTCTGGGCAGGGTCCAGTCCGGTGCATCGTTGAAGGAAACAACTTTAGCCCAGGTCAAACAAGCTCGTATTTACCGCCGCGCTTATACAGCTTTCCAGCTTCGCGATCTAAGCAACGAAGTCCCTCTAACAACGATTGCGCAGCGTTACCGAACTCCTCGAGGGTCCGTCCAAACTCTCGCCCAGCAATGCCACGGCTTCGCTGCCGGAATTGTCAAGTTCTGTCAACGCATGAACTGGGGCATGTTGGCTGCTGTTTTGGACCACATGCGTGACCGCCTAGAAGCTGGTGCGCGGGCTGATCTGCTTGAGATGGCGCAGGTTACCTATGTGAAGAGCTGGACGGCGCGATTACTTCGTGAGAACGGATTCAAGAAACTGCGCTCTTTGGCCGAGGCCAACCCGAAAGACTTGGTGCCGATTCTTATGATGGTATGTTCGTCTAGGCTTCGGGTGAATGATCGCCGGCATGAATAAAAGGTATTAACTTCTTGATCAGGTCAACCCGCGCCAGACGCAGAAAAAACAGCTCTATCCTACCGAGGCAGAGCGTTATGCCGCAAAGTTGTTGGCGAAAGCAGAGACTATAATTGCTTCTGCAAATAAGATCTGGGGTATGTTGGGTGATCACCATATCAAGCTTCTGTTCGTTGACTAATGCTAATTTCTTCTTCTCAGATCGGGAAATACAGGTTGAGTTAGAGGAGTAAGGTCCAAGAGGACGCACCACCGGAGTTTGGCATGGATACAGGTAGAATGGTATTTGGTTGCATATGCATACAAAAGGGCGTTTGTGCTTCCATGAAATAAAACTCCTTCAGTGAATTCAGTCCATATTTGCATACATTATATCACGATGTAGTACGCCACTGGCCAGCATAACACCAGCTACTACTATCACACGCTACCTGGGTAGTAATAGATAGATGGCACTAAAAACCATTTAAACTATTCTGTGCATTGATAGCATCTCCCTCATCCACGAAATCCAACAATATCGCATTAGGCGCACGATCATACATGTCCTCGCATAGACTGGCTTGTCCTCCAATACTACCGTCACCCGTAGCTGCGTTGGTTCTTGCCGCGTGTTGACGGTCCGGGATCTTCACACCGAAGATATCCACGTCCAGGAAATGGTTCACGATGTACATGCGGCCTGATGCGGAAGCACCGAAGGGTCGGTCGATACTGCAGTTCGAGAAAGAAGAGTCGGTGACGTCGTACGCCGTTTCAAAATAGTAGTTGAACTCGTTGAGAATGTAGTCTACTTTGGTTGTGTCGGTGCCATAGTCTAGAATGTTTTGTTATAAAGACACAATCACATATATACTTTAAATGGAAGGCTATTTGGAACTTACCTAAAAACACGACCAGCCTCTTTCCACTCGAGATCAGCTCGCCGATGGTAGGCCATTCATCGATAGGAAGGGTGTCTGGACTCGACAAAGGGGCAAATGCGTAGTCGGCAATGCCACTGTTCGAGAAAGTATCGCCGAAGTCGGTAATATCAACCGAGTCCCCGTTTGTCAGAAGAAGCGTAACGACTTCGTTTGTATTGGCATCCAGCCAATCCTTGATTGTTCCGAGGAATGACTCGAGGGTCCCTGCATCCTCCAAAACACAAGATGTGTGGCACAGCTCCAGCACACTGTCATCCAGGAGGGAATGGTGCGTTTGTGCCTGCAAGAACCGGACACCCATGTCGAGCTGAGCCTTAATATCGATGTTCTGGTTCTGCTGTGGGAGTTTCCCAACGAAAGCCGAGTCGTGCGAGCCGATGAATGTGACATTTGAGTAGGACCGGTCGCAATACTCCGTTCGGCCGTTGCAGGTCGCTGCGGTGACGGCGGCGGTTGTAGCGGAAGATGTAAGTTCCCTTGCAGCGATCTGCCCTTTGCTTGGTACCCCCAGGACGGTCTGGAAAAGCAGAAGCGCACCGAGTAGGACGCGCATCATTCGTTCTTGGATTGAGCTCATCGTGTATGGCCTGTTTGAACTCTGGTTTGTGTTGACAAGGAGGGGGCCCCTAGGTCGGACGAACAGGAAGAAACAAATAGGGAGATATAAGGCCCTTCGTCGGCTTTTTGGCACCCGCGGATTCTGCTCATTTATTATGGTCCTCCAGGGAGGGCTATCCTACTCTCGTGGATTGCCGCGGCCGATACATAAGCATGGTCATCGGTCATGCTGCTCTCCGGTTGGAAAATGACCAGGTCCCCGGCATTCCTCATGCCGACGATCCCTAACCAGAAGGGAAAATAGACAACTGATCGATATCATGGCCTCATGCCCGTGTCGACCATGGTGATAGGGCATGAGGTGGTCGGCGTGAACGCTCCCTTGTGACTCGATGTAACGACAAGCCCCGCACTCTAGGAGACAAGGATGTGAATGGCGGGACGAGGCAGTACCTGTTCTCGAGTTTGAATTCGATCGGAATTGGCCCTGCACGCGTGCGACGGCATCTCCGTGGACGCATTCAGCGCTGGCCAATGGGGTTTTCTGCGCTTGGTGCAGGGGGACATGCCATCTTTACTGTGAAGTGTTCACAAGTGTTGTTTGGGCCGGAGATGATACACTGCATGGTGCAGAGTGTGCCTAGGATGCCAGAAATATATCGTGGTTTGGTATTTTGAGGTAGTACCTAGGTATTGTGCAATGGAATGATCAACACGGCCGAAAGCCATACATAATCCACGGTACACAAACTTGTAATAAGTGTACTAGTGTTATGTTGGTACAGGTACACTAATAGTAGCTACTAGACGGTACCCCTACTAGGTACATATTGAAGAGTACTCAACCTGACGAAGGTCGGCCACTGAGATTTGTAAAGTAAACGCATGAAATAACTATATATATGCGAATGGGCTTTCGCGACGTCAAATAATCATTTAACCCAATACCTTGGGGTACCGAGCGTAGGGAAGGGACATGAGTGTACATGGAGGTAGCCCAGCCACTGTGGCTGAGTCCGGGCCGATCCAGGCAGACGGAGGGGGGAGCTCGCAACTTCTCCACATGTTTACAACGTCCGAGCCGCACGACCCCGTCCCATCCGCTGCGCTCTCCAACTCCCCTCCCGCATTGAATTACATATCGCCTGCGACCGTACGTACCCTCCCATCGGAGCGCCTCGCTGACTCGGCCACGCTTCCCCGCCCTAATACAGCGCCAGCGATGATCATTAGGAGACCTCGCTCATGAGCTCGATGGCTGAGGGCAGCGAAGGCTGGGCACGGGAGGATGAGCTTGACCTGGGCCAGGAGGCAGACGAAACCCAACAACTTGACCATGATCCCATCGATCGACGGCGGCGCTCCCCGCAGGAGTCAGGCGAAGAGGAGGCCCTGGCCGAACTCGAAGAATTGGACACGATAGATAATGCGCAGGACCAGGCGTCAGAGAGAACGGTCCAGCCCACAGACGCCGGTCTTCCCCAAACGCCGCCCAACAGACACTCCGAGTTTGCAGGGGCCGTAGGGAGCCTGGATGGAGCATCCTCAACCCCGGACGACTCGCCGTCCCTTCATGTCAGTGCTGCGATCGGGGGTGCGCCCGCCCGCCCCAGACTGTTCGCTAATCGATCGCAGGGTTCTGTATTGTCCTCGCAGAGTAGTAGCGCTCTAGCTCCGAGAAACTCGCCCCGAATCAGTCCCAGCCCAGGCCATCGTCCGTTCGACCTCCGCTTCCAATCCCGTCTATCTTCATCGCCTCTCGGCGTCTCAAGAACTGGCTCGCCGTTCCTGGCGCATCTTCATTCTCGACAATCGTCCATCACAAGCCAGCTCTCTCCCACCCCCGAATCTGACCGTGAGACATCTGCGAACCCCTGGGATGTTGTGCGTTGGACGAAATTACGAAAGATCACCGGACAGGCATTTTCAGAAATTGGAAAGCGCAATTTTGGTCGACCAACCTGTTTAACAGTTTCAACGAGCATCATGATTGGCACTTCCAAGGGGATCATTCTCGTCTTCGACTACCAGCAAAGTTTGAAAACCATTATTGGAACAGGGACGAAAGGTATGTGAGCTCCTCTTGGTATTACTTGGAACGAACACTAACGGTTGTCAGCTGTCGAATGTGGCCCTATCACTTCACTAGCTTTATCTGCTGACCATTCGACCGTGGCTGGGGGTCATGATTCGGGGGATATTTTTACCTGGGAAATCGCGCGGTCTGCAAAACCGTTCCTCCATATCCCGCCAATCCCGGCGAACCAACTTGAAATCCGGGTTTCTGATGGCCACATCGCGGGATCTTCAGTGATTCATATTGGGTTTCTCGGGACTCGCCGTACGGCGGTCGTCTCGGCAGATACGAGAGGAATGGCATTTTCACATTTGGCAACGCGAGGCATGGGTGCAGTCGGGCGCACGGTAAAAACATCTCGGGTCCTTGGCCGGTATCCGCCAACTGCGCCGGAGGAGCGTCGACGAAAGCCCAGTTCCGTCTTGGCCTTCTCGCCGCTTCCTCTCGGCAACGTCGAACAACCATCGGATTCATTAGGACTTGTTGCCATGCTGACACCTTATCTTCTCGTAATTGTGTCGACCACCCCAGTCGCACAAACTCAGCATAAAACGCCGCGTCCAAAAGAAGTCCCGGCCCACAGCGCCATGACGGGAGCATTGGCTTGGTTCCCAGCCATTCGGCTGAAAGGAAAAGATAGCCAAACTTCAAATACAAAGCTCGTCTACTGCTGGTCCAACGTCCTGACTGTTCTTGAGGTTTCGGAGGCAGAAGCAGAAGAGCCCAGTGACAAAGACAAGCCACCGAGTCTGTTATTCAGAGCGCGCAGCAGATGGAAGGCAGATGAGGCCATCGTGGCTGTTCAATGGCTGAGTCGGTCTGTACTAGCGGTATTCACCATCACCCAACGACTCTTGATCCTCGAGGACTATTCCATGCACGTGACGGATTCTATTGACCTCGCATTTCGACATATATACCATGTCGACCTCTTTTCATCACAGCTTCACAACCTGGTCGAACAGCTCGATGAAAACGATACCTCCATGCACGGTGTTGTAGCAGACGCGTTCTATATGAGTTTCCGTGCTTACAAAGGACGATTGTTCCTGCTCGGTTATAACGAGGCTCTTGTCGGCAGCCTATCAAATTGGGCTGACCGACTTCTAGCTCTAATGGAAGCTGGTGATTTCATTGGTGCTATACGACTAGCGACTTCCTACTACACAGGCACTGCGGAAAAACTTACAGTTGGCCTTCCTGAAGAAGACAGTTTGAGACAGCCCATTGTCCAAGAGAAACTCCTAGAGATGATATCCGCGTCTCTCAAGTACGCCTTTGGCCGCAACACCGAGGCGGACAACGAACGTCTAGGGAACCCGCAGCTTGAGGAACTAGCTGAGGTATCCATTGATGCCTGCATATACATGGCAGACGAGGGGTTTCTTTGGGAGGAAGTCTTCATTTGGTTTGAAGAGAATGATTCCGCAGGGATATTCCTGGACGTTCTCGAACCACGCATTGTTGATGGTGTCATTCGCTCGCTTCCTCCTACCGCAGTGAAAGCTCTGATCAATCATTTCGTCAAAACCCACTCTGCTGGCCGGCTTGAAGAGATCATATGTCTTCTTGATACTACGACAATGGACATTGATCAGGTGACCATATTATGCAAACAATACAACTTGTATGATGCATATATTTACGTTTGGAACCGCTGTTTAGCAGATTACGTGGGACCTCTGGAGGATCTTATACAATTTATTCCCACCGAGACGGAGTCTCTGGCCAACGGGGACTACGCCGTCGAGCTGAGACGGCATACGAACGCGATGAAAATGTTTCCTTACTTGTCTTTTGTTCTCACGGGCCGCGTTTACCCGACTGGCGATGATCTCGATGAAGTCGAAGCATCACAGGCCAAACTCGCCTTGTATCAATATCTCTTCTCGGGCCATCGGTCTGGCACAGGGCCCAGCGCTGTTTCTGAAGAGATCGATTCGTTCTCGCAGCTTCGAGCGATTCTCAAGTTTGATGCTTCGAGTTTCATGAGCATGCTCAATGAAGCATTCGAGGACAGTTTCCTGAACGAGCCTGATTCAGAGGATGGCCCGACCGCAGGTGCATCAATTAACCGACAGTACCTGATCAGCATTCTGCTTCAGGTAATGGATCCGTCCGCATTTGCCGCCACTGATATCATTTACTTGGATATGTTTGTGGCTCGCAACCTTCCCAAATATCCGCAGTACATCCTTCTTTCTGGCACAACTCTTCATGAGGTCCTTGTCCGGCTGTGCAAGTACCCGGAAGAGGACATGGCAGATGATTGCGAGTTGAGTACTGAGTACTTACTTTCTTTCTACCATCCGGCAGACATTCAAAGCATGATACCCTTGTTTAGAGATGCTCGTTTCTTCCGGATCCTCAAGTCGACACGCCGCTCCGAGAAACAATATCCGCAATGGATCATGACATACCTCGATGACCCAAACGACAAAGAATCCATTTTTAGTGCTCTTCAGGACTGTCTCCGTTCCGGTTCCGGTCTAGGAAAGAAACAAAGAAGGGATGTTGTTGATGTGGTGAAAGAACATGCCGGGCAAATTGCCGCCATTGATGTGATCAGGACTGCTCAGACGATGCAGGAACTGATCCCCGAGGTTCATTCCAGGTTCCTCCAGGTACTAGAGACGGATAATCACAAACAATACCAGTATCTCTTGGTCCTTGTGGAGCCTCAGAGCAAGAGCGGAGAAAGTCGACGTCTTCCATCGGTGGAGAATTGGATGATTGAGCGCTACGTGCAGCTTCTATGCAAGTACAATCCATCTCACGTCGCGGAATTTGTTGATGGTCTACGTGCTGGTGATATTTATCTGGAAGCACTTCTTCCTTCCATTGAGGAAAGTGGTGCCATTGATGCAGCTGTTATTCTACTTGCGCGGCAAGGCGAGGTGCGGCCAGCCCTGAACCGTCTCGTCACACACTTGAGTACCCTCGAGTCAGGCCTAGTGGGTATCATCCATAGTATGAGCGAGGCTCCAGACACGGTCAGCACGACCGAGGCAGTCGACGACCTCTTGGAGTCTCTGAACAAGTATGCAGGAGTCGGGACCTGGCTTTGCCAGGGCCAGACCAAGACAGCCAAGCAGAGCCGTCCGGCTACGAATGGCCATTCGGGCGCATCACCACTTGAACAGCCCTTGGACTTTGACGAGGGCCTTTGGCTGGACCTCATCGAGGCCGTGGTTCGCATCGCCAGCAATGTCTTCGCGTTGATGCGGGACCATCAGCTTAAGGACGCCGCGCAAGCCCAGACTGACTCACCCCTGGGTGGCGAGAGTGGTCGGTTGACGACATCTTTCCGAACCTTGGTCCAGCAGGTGTTTTCTGCTTTGTTGGCCAGCACTGTCAAGGGTGGCACCCCTTCGATGGGCGAACGAACCGACCTATCCTTCCTTCGTATCCTCCGGTCGTTCCTGACTCGGGCCGCTAGCTGGTCACCTTCTCTGCTCGAATTACGGGCCGTTCTCGCCTCATTCTTCTCCGCCTACTCCTATGAAAAGTCGCTCCTGACCCTGGCTAATGGCATGCTCGATCGCGACTTGTTCGTGCATGTGGACGAGGTCACTCGGCTGCGGCAGCATGGGTGGCGCCCTCGTGGACAAGTCTGTGAAGTGTGCCGGCGACGGATCTGGGGTCCTAATGCCGGCTCTCTATACTGGGCCGCGTGGGAAAAGAATCAGCACGATGAGCACCAGCGTCGCATCGCCAAGCGTCTCGAGGAGGGTCGTGATCCGGTCCTGGAGCGGGGCAAGGGCAAAGCCGCTGCCGTGGCATCGAGTCAGCCGCTACATCTACTAGCTCAACGTATCGGAACGAACTCTGTCGAGCATGAGCACGATACTCTAGATGGAGATGAATCAGGGGCCAGTGTGCCCGGGTCGCTCGAGCAGATCCCCCTGAACCGGTGGTCGTTTTCTCGTGCCGGCATCTCTATCATCGCCAGTGTGTTCTAGACGCCATCAGCACCCCGGGACGACCCACCAATGGCGCTGCTGCTGCATTCCAGCGCGAGCATGCCGACTGGCCGGTGACCGAGCTGTTCTGTCCGGCTTGTAAATAGCATTTCTCCTGGTACCGACCGGTCTCGTCCAAATTCCCCTTCTTTCCCCCCTGTGATCCATTTTTTGCGCCTCTTTTTTTCTTATTTTCTTTGCGTGTTGCGGTTGGAAGACCTGGTAGGCGGCATTTTGCGTGCACGAACGAAATGTGTGATATAGTTTTCTTTTCTTTACTTCCCTTTCTTTTTTTTTTTTTTTTTTTATTTTTTTATTTTTATTTGGATTCCCTCTGCAATATCATTGAGCGTATCTGGCATTTGCTCCGTCTGAGGTTGTGCATCATACTAGTCCGTTCGAGTTAGGTTCTAAAGCGACGAAGATTTGCAAATCCCGCGAGGTGGCTAGCATTTTCCGATCCATGTTCCTTGCCCGGTTCCTCTGTACTTCGTCATTCTAGTTCCGTGTCGTTCCAGGAACCCGCAGATTGCAGGAAACCCCCTCCTTCTCCAGAAATGCCCCCAGTGGGAAAATGGGGCCCGACCTCGTCTATCTGCGACAAGACGTGCAAATCCCTGTGGGGTCGCATCGAAGGATTGGGATTTTAGATCGCAACCCATGGCATTGTCCGAACGAGGTATGTCGAGTGTCGGGATGCAGTGTTCAGATGAATCTGGAAGTATGCGACCGTGGAGGAAAGCTGGAGACCGTGTTGTACAGGGGCTGAATCTGTAGTCCGACAGTACATTTGCCGGTCGACCCGCGTGAATTGGGTGTGCCGGTACCTGGAGGGCTGTACCTTCTCCCCGTACCCTACTCCTGTGCTGGAGGTACTCCAAGAAATAGTACGACGCATACATCCCATGTAGGGCACGGCTGGACTTCACCGCTTGGCGGCCCGCCACCCTAACCATCCTTCCGCCTTCCATCTGCCTTCTGTCTCTTCCTTCACCGGTCTACTATCTATCGGATCTTTCGCACATTTGCCGAAACGAGAACCGCCAGCTTGGGCGCTTCCTTGGAACCGCCTGAAAAAAAGGAAAAATCAAAATGCAAAGCTTAATCCCAGTCTCGACGGCGTGTTTCCATTCGTGGATCATCCTTGCCACCTCCAACTGAGGACAGCCAGTGACACCGCGCAGACGCCGCTCGGCACCAGGACTTTCTTTTCCGTCCTGCAGCGCTGGGCGAGTCACCAGCCGCATCGCGGGGATCGTCTTTGGTTCCGAAACAGCCAGCCGAACAGGCAAACCTTGAGGCGCTTGATATTTCCGCCGTCGACTCCATCGACGCAGGTCCTCCAAGTGGATCCGACTGGGAAAAAAGGCGGCAGATCATGTCACGCTCGCCCAATCGTATGCTCTAGCGCCGTGAAAGAGAGTATCACTCTCCAAACGGGCGCTATCGCTGCCCCTCTTTGTCTCTGTCCAGCAATGGACCCGTGAAATTCGCCCCCATCTGATGCATGAGCTGGATGCAGCGTCTGGCGTTGTCACGGCCGCGCAGATGATCCGCATCCCTTCCCTCTGTACACTGTACCAGTCGACCACGGCTGGGACAGCAGCCATGGTCTGGACCAATTTACGGACTGGATCTCGACGGCGTGGTTCCGGGATCCACAAGTGCCCCGTTGGAAGGACCGGCCTGGGCTGTCACACTCCAGGCCTTGACGGAGGGACAATGCCTAGAAAGTGGATTAGGTCTCATCCTTTTGGGCCCTGCGTTTCAAGACTTGGGACCCGCCGTTCGGCCAGGGACCAAGCCCTCCTGCCGCTGTGGGAAGACGGCTCCGCGTTTCGCATCTCTCACATGGGCCTTGTCATGCATGTCCCACTAGAGTCTCAAGATCGGGTCGGGTGGGTGCAGATCCAGGGCCGCCACGCGGTGGGCTCTTTCTCTGTCGGTCCCCTTTTACAGTCTTCCTGGTATAAAAAGTTGGCTGGTCTCGCCCCTGCGTCGAGTCTCTTCATATCCATATCCGTTGGCGCTTAGTCCTTCCTTCGTTCCACCCCGTTTTTCGTTTTTTATTTACATTCCTTTCTTCGGTATATACTTCCTCCCTCTTTAGGTTGTATATTCCATTCCTTCCTTTAGCGCCCTGTGGGTAATTTTCGACCATTTTACAAACCGCCGGACTGCGTCTTTGATAGATCGCGTCCTATCATTCTCTCTTGGCTTTTGCTCTTTTGCATACAGCAAACAAGAAACATGCGCATCCTTAGCACCCTCGTTCCGAGCCTGTGTCTGTTCGCCCCCCTTGCCGCCGCAGGCTATACTCTGAAGGACGACTATGGCACCTCCGACTCGTTCTTTGACAAGTTCAACTTCTTCACAGTATGTGCGGCTGTAGTCGATATCTAAATGCAGTCAAAGTCTGAATCTGCATACTGACTGAGCCACGTTTAGGGCAAGGACCCAACCAACGGTTACGTCAGCTATGTCGACCGCTCGACCGCTCAGAGTGGTGGATTGATCAAGTCTGGTAGCTCTGTGTATGTTGGCGTCGACACTGTCAACACCGCGAGCGACCCCGGCCGATCCAGTGTGCGCCTGGAGAGCACCAACACCTATGACCACGGGCTGGTGATATTGGACTTGAACCACATGCCGGGTAGCGTTTGCGGCTCCTGGCCCGCTTTGTATGTCTATAACGATATGGGATATCGGGAAGAAAAGTAGCTAATCTTTTCTTTGCCGCGCAGCTGGATGCTCGGCTCTAACTGGCCCAACAACGGCGAGATTGATATTATCGAAGGCGTCAACGACCAGACCTCCAACCAATTCACCCTGCACACCGGCGATGGCTGCTCGATTGACAGCTCGGGCTTCAGCGGCACCGTCCAGACCAGCAACTGCTACGTCGAGGCCTCGGGCCAGTCTGAAAATGCCGGCTGTGCCATCACCAGCTCCAGCGATTCCTCCTACGGTGGCGGCTTTAACAAAAATGGTGGTGGTGTTTATGCCACTGAATGGACTGGCGATGCTATCAGCGTCTGGGTCTTTTCTAACTCGAGTGTTCCGTCTGATATTACCAGCGGTACCCCCAACCCCTTAGGCTGGGGAACGCCGTCTGCCAAATTTGCTGGCAGCTGTGACATCGACTCACACTTCAAGGAACTCCAAATTGTATGTTCTGGTTCCCGTACAAAAGATTCTGATGAGATATGCTGATCGTGATCAATTAGGTCTTCGACATTACCTTCTGCGGTGACTGGGCAGGTGAGACCTGGTCCTCTGGCAGCTGCGCATCCAAGGACAAGTCTTGCAAGTCTTACGTGCAGAACAATCCCTCCGCCTTCGCCGAATCCTACTGGGGCATCAATTCTCTCAAGGTCTACCAGGACAGCAGCAGCTCTAAACGCGACATTCACTCGCACGCCGCGGCGCATATCCGCCAAGGTGCCGGCGAGCCCATTTCCTACCCCAACGTCGGCCGCAACTCGTCGAATGTTCGTTTCGTGGCCCGACCAACCTGGAAGCACCGCCGCGACCGCTACAAGCACGGTCAGTGAAAGGGCAATGAGAAATGGATTTAAATATACGCATCCGGATTCGATTTCAGCTGGACTTTTGAGAATTCTTTTCTTTTCTAAGAGATCGGCGATCTCTCTTTTGTTTTTATCAAGGCACTTGTTGTCTTCTATCTTCTCTTCCTCTCTTGCAGAACCTGGTTTTGTTCTGCATTTTTTGTTCCCGACTTTTCATGGAACTCACTGCATTTGCTTAATTATTTTGATGATGGATTCGGCGATTGATGTTGACGCTTTTTGAAATACCCCTTTAAACCACTCGTTCCTATAGCAAATCTGCATTTCGATTGTATCTCAATGCGTCCGTATAGAAAGTTCTCTCTCGGTAGATCTTGATACCGTGTTTCAATAAAGTAGAATATTCCTTCTTCTCCCCTGACAGAAACAAAAACAACAGACCGCGCCCATGCCACCTGTCAAACAATATTGGTTCGAATGTTGGATGTTCTATCACATTTGTCTCCTCGCAACAACAGCTGTTTCATACGTTGTAAGCCCAATATCGTCCAATAATTCCACTTTGAAAAAGGGAGATTGTCGAAAACACTCCTCATAATCCACCCAGTCTACTTTCGGCCCAAGCCAAAGAATCATTTGAACGGATTGATTGCCAAAAGTATCAATATACTTCGTAACAAGCTTTGGATCACGAGGGTATACAAACATCCACGCACGGGCTTGTTCAGCGCTGGGGTGAAGACCCCAACCCCCACCAACCACATGCATGTCTTCTTCAGGGATGTACCGGTTGACGCTGGAGTTTACTTCCACCCCTTGTACAGAGACGCTTTGGTCAATTTGCGCAAGAAGTCTCTCCAGCAGCCCTGATCCGCTACCGATAGAAAGCGTATAATCTGGCTTTTGGGGAAGTATCCCTGACAAGCTCTTGAGGAGGTTGCTGGATAGACCGAGACAGCAGTCGGGAAATCTTTTCGGCGTGGCGGTGAGGTCATGATATATTCGAGGTACGTTCATTCTGGACGATGAGAACAATATTCCTGGGAGCAAAACATGCCATAGGCTTGTGTGGGATCAAATCGAGACGTTGGTCATGATTTTAATTGACGAAAGATTAGGCCCGCACGGAAGCGGACTTTCTGAACCGCCGAGCTATCCCAATATCCAATGGAACACCCACTGCTCCCTCCATCCTTGCTAGTGTACATCCCATACGCAGTGAAAGCTTAAGTTTAATAGGTGCGCGATGTATTCCTGTCGTATGGTTTCTTTTCGATCCCCAAAACAGACATATTAGTGGACAAAACGATTTACTTTGCCCCAATAAAGTAGGTTCAATTCGGAAGCACGAATTATGCGCTTACGAACAGGTAGAAATATCAGCCCCGTTGAAGCCATCATGCATGTATCATTAACTGGGCTAAATTAAATTACTGGAATAGCCTGAAAATCAGATCACCTTAAGTCTAGCCAGGTAGCTTATAGCCGAGTACATCTCTCCGGTCATCTGTAAGGCGCCCCCACTCCAGCAAAAGTCGGAAGAAATAGATTTCCATATCTTCCTTGCGCAGTGCAACATTGCTCCATTTGCGCCCGTTGTCGGCGATCCACTTGCCCTGCTTCGTATGGGATTCCATCCTCATTGGTGCCGATTTGTTAGGGTCGGCGTCGCTACTAGTAGCTTCCGATACATGCACACCGGAGAAATATGCTAGTGTACTCCAAAGACCATGAAGCCGGATGTCGATGGGAACAAAGTGCAGCCACGAGACCACTCGCGAATCGAACCATTGGCGGAAGAGGCCAGTCTTCATGGGCAGACTGCGACTTTGTAAGAAGGGCAAGAACCGACCGCTAAACCCGGCACCATCGAGATCAAACAGATATCGATGAGACCAATGGTTTTGAAAATCAACCCAGGAAATAGTCCCCAACTCGTCGTGCTGATTCTCGCAGTCCCCGCAACGGGTAATGGGATCGGCGATGTGGACATTCGTTTTTAGATGCAAGTCGTCAACGGGTGCAGACCCACCCATGATTTCGTATTTGTATGAATGCTCATTCACAGGTAGGAGTACGGAGACATAGTTGTCCGTGTTGTTGTTGATCAGGTGCGCAAATCGCTGTCTTGGGATGCCTTTCCACTCATCGAATTGGCTGTATCCTTCAGATGTGCTTCCCACCCAGTACAATGTATTATCCTTCTCATGATACTCCGGATCGGGGAATTCCTCAGAAGGCTTGTATTTGACCTTATCCATGTAGTTCCAGGGACTTGGAAACAGGATGTCGCTGAACCCGGAAAGAGCACTTTGACTGAACACGGGAACCAGCTCTTGAGATACCTTGAACGAGGCGGGGGGAGATAAGCAGCCCGTGAAGATAGGCCAGATCGGGCTGATGGCAAAAGTCCGAGGCAAGGTTGAAGTCCACAGGAAATTGGCCCATGGTATGAGGCTCCGTGCAGTCCAGGCAGATGTCATGACGGTTCCAGATCCTCTGTGTGCGGGCTTTGGAAGAAGGTGAACAGATGGCACTCACATACGGATCAAAGACGCCCCGCCATGCACCGTCCGTGAAAATTGTGTCATTCGTTTGGTGGGCTGGATTGATGGATCTCCAGCCATCTTTTCTTTTAGACGACCAGGTATCCACTAGTTCTGCTTCAGAAGTAGCTTCCCTGAGCCGTGCTTCCCGTTTCAGAGGCAGTGCCTTTGCCCATGGCACGGCTACTCGCGGCTCATCATTCAGATTCAAAACAATGTCCATGTCAGGGAGATGCTCCGAGAACTTTTCAATCATTTGCGCAGCGCCTTTTACCATCCAGGCATGGGTCGGTTTTATTCCCTCTTGGACCTCTGGTTTTCCATTGCGAATGCTGATTGCCCCGAGGTCATTGAAAGGGTTTGTCGCTAATTGGTGTGTAGTCTCCCGGATGTGCGAGGGATCAAGGGCTCGAAACGGCAACAAATTCTTGTATATCTGATCAAATTCATCGATTATAACTGAGGAACGCTCATTCGCATACTGGTACCATTTATCGAAGCCCCTAGAAGAACATTAGGCAATGACGTGGACCATAAGATAAATATGGATACTCACGGTGGCGGGTGTTGCTGATAGCGTCTCCGATATTCTATAACAGCAGCTTCCAAGGTTTGGCTGGCGCCAGCCTTGGCCAGGTAATCTTCGTATTGGACACTTCCTTCGTGGATGAGAAGATCAATCGGGTGTGTATGTGTGAGGTGGTGTTTGGTCGAGGTTACGCATAGGCCCAAAAAGCAGAGGAAGACCACGAGTATCTGGAGAGCGATATTGGCTCGGAACAGAGCCTTAGACTCTTCGTCCGAAATGATGCGCGAGAGGAGGAATAAGACTACACCAGTACCAGACGCAACCAAAGGGATAATCGAATGAGCCAAGGAGATGAATGGGAACGGCATTTGCCCCATCAGCAGAGCTGAAGTTGCCGAGAAGTACGTGAATACGAATCCTCCAATGATTGAAAGTCCTAGGATTCCAAATTGAGGTAACTTTCCAGAAAGTCAGTACGAGGGAAGCATTGAACGGGCAAGCAACACTCACCAATTGCCAAGCAGACAGAGCAAAGAGCAACACCAGCACTGCTTGGCTGAAAGCACTGCGTGAGTACCTGGGATCTAGCAAGGGCTGACCAATGTACTCTGGACGACTATTAGAGACGAAACCCCCTATTATAGTCCATAGTAAAGCAGCTCCCTGGGGAAACTTGTCAGAACGCTTGAGCTTCAAGATTTGGCGACTATTTCACTTACAAGGAGACCAGCTCCCAGCGACAAGAACGTTCGCTTCCGCCTGATACCTTCGAATCCAGAATCATTTTGACATAGCTCAGTCACACCAATCAGTAGTATAGAATCAAGGAGCACATTGAGGAGCCGGAAACCTTGTACCCGCGATGCCACACGCAGGACAATAGGACAGATGTAGGTTGATCGAGTACCATCATAGAATGACGCAGCAGCATAACCGCCAATCAAGATTAACGTCGCGGCCAAGATGCCCCTATAGCTACTTTGAGTGAAGTAGTAGAGACCGCGACGGCAACATGAATACGCAACCTGTATTGCCGGGGTTTGGAAACGGTGCGAATGGACGTATTCATCCTTTGGTCGACGTCTTTGATGGCGCCAGAAGTCATACACGGAGATCACGAAGGGAATAGTATACTGATGAACGATATAGTGTCAGCGATCTGCAATACGGCCACCAAGTAGGAGCTTATCTTGAACATACTGCATATCCAGCTGGCGTGCACTCCGAAGCGAGAGATATTTGACGGAAGAGCTCAACCCGGAGGCAAAATAGAACCACCAGTAGACCAAATTTCCACCAGTATAGGGATCGAACTGGGGCACGATCCTCCGAGCTTCCCAAAATAGGCGACGAAAAAGAGGATAATGAGGTCCGTGACGACGTTCGCGACGACAGTTCAAACTGTTCGGCAAGTGGAACGCCAGCCCGCTTGCTCGGAGAAGATGTCCGTGATGTTGTTGGAAGGAACTGGCCGAGACCTAGAAAGACTGCGCCGACAATGAAACAGACGAGCACGGCCGTGCTGACCGGGCGATCTGGAAAGTCAGCACGCGTCGCCTCTCCAAGGGCGAAGGTGGGCTTACCAAATGCAAAAGTGGCATTGTAAGACGTGGCGAGAAAGAAGGAGCTCAGAAAGAACACTCTAGACAAGTTGCGCCGATGAGTATTTGAACTCTCGTCGAGAGGCCGGGGTTGAAATGGTGTCGCAGGAAGCTCACTTACCCCACACAGACCTTGAGTCCAGTGTCGGCAGATAAAAGGACCATCATGTGCCCAAGGTTTATCTGTCTCAATCGAGGGCCACACAGCCCATTGCGCCACCGTTGCGACTGGAATCCGACTGGTAGGGCAGAACAGTATGCTGCACAACGTGCAAGTAGCATAGGGAGAGAAGCCCGGGACAGAACTCAGAGGACATGGCACTTTTCGGTGGAGACCTCAGGGGATTGACATCGTCGGCATGTTCCAGCCAGCGTTTTAGGACCGAAAACCATTGGCCGAGTGGCTAATCGAGAGCGGCATGACGGTGGCTCCCCGGCGATCAAGTTGCGTCAACTGAATTTCCCTTGAGCACGCAACCATGGGCCCTTGTGTATGCCTCTCACGATCGCGAGCCAATGAAACTGGTGGAGCCCATGCAATTAGCACCGTGAGGTCTCACTCCTTGTTTCTGCCGGGAATGCACCCAAGCAGTAAGATATGCCGGGCTAGGATCGGCATCCAAAATCAGGGCCATCGCGACTTGGCTTCCGCGTAACTCCACTTAGCGCTCTCCCCAGTCCTGACGACGCGGCGCACAGGCTCGAAGGATCCATGCGCCTTCTCGTATACTCAAACTTTTTGACTGCTGTACCTAAGTCCCCATGACGGACGCATCGAGATATTTTCCCAAGGTGCAGTGTAACCAGAGAACCCGGCCGTACGCTGGGCGAGGCTGGAGAAAGTGGAGATTCCCAACTGAAGAAGGGTCCCAGGTCCCAATTGGGCAATGATCGATGAAACCCTGGGACCCTCCGGAGGCTGTACTTTGATCAGCCGATGTCATATCACATGATGTCACGTGGGGTGCTCTGATAAGCGCTTGCAGTCACGGGCAACGAAGGCGGTGATCATTTGACCAGAGGCAGGCGGTGCAGCGGGGCAGTATTATTTTTTTTCCCGATGGTCCAATTTGGGATGTCAACGACTCGGCAGGATTTCTTTTTGGAACCAGCAACCGGCCGGCCTTGGTGTTGATTTCACGAAAAACCCATAGACTAGCAGTATTTGAACTGTGGAAGTCTATTTCAACTTTTTCTCCGGCAATTACCGATCCAACAGCGAGCTCCAGGGCCCGGCCTTCCTCGCGGCCAGCTCCGCACCTTCATCATGCCGCGCAAAGCGATTGACTCGCGCATTCCCGCCCTCATTCGAAATGGTGTCCAGGAGAAGAAGCGCAGTTTCTTTGTCGTGGTGGGTGACCGGGCTAAGGATGTGATTGTCCATCTCCACTACATTATGTCCAGCGTCGACGTGAAGCAGAACAAGTCGGTATTGTGGGCCTACAAGAAGGATTTGCTGGGGTTCACCAGTCATCGCAAGAAGCGCGAGGCCAAGATCAAGAAGGAGGTCAAGCGTGGCATTCGTGAGCCGAACCAAGAGGATCCTTTCGAGCTGTTCATCACTCTCAACCAGATCCGCTATGTGTACTACAAGGAGACCGAGAAGATTCTGGGTAATACCTACGGCATGTGCATCCTGCAGGATTTTGAAGCTATGACACCAAACCTTTTGGCGCGCACAGTTGAGACCGTCGAGGGAGGTGGTATGGTGTTGCTGCTGCTGAAGAGCATGAACAGTTTAAAGCAGCTGTACACCATGTCAATGGATATCCACTCCCGATACCGAACTGAGGGACATGACGATGTGGTCGCTCGATTCAACGAGCGTTTTATCTTGTCGCTTGGCAGCTGTGACTCTTGCCTTGTAGTCGATGATGAGCTGAATGTGCTGCCCATCTCCGGCGGCAAGAATGTTAAGCCGCTTCCTCCTCCAGAGTCCACTGATGAGTCGAAGTCAGGAACGAAGAAAGAGCTGAAGGAGATCAAGGAGAGCCTGGCTGAGACCCAGCCCGTGGGCCCGTTGGTCAACCTGGCCCGCACCACAGATCAGGCCAAGGCACTCCTGACCTTTGTTGATGCAATTGCCGAGAAGACCCTGAAAAGCACTGTGGCGCTTACTGCTGGGCGTGGACGAGGAAAGTCTGCTGCCCTCGGCGTCGCCATTGCCGCTGCAATTGCCCACGGATACAGCAATATCTTCATCACCTCGCCTAGTCCCGAAAACTTGAAAACTCTTTTCGAGTTTGTTTTCAAGGGGTTCGATGCTCTTGGCTACCTGGACCATGTCGATTATACTATTCTCCAGTCCACCAATCCCGACTTTAATAAGGCTATTGTGAGGGTCAATATCCACCGCAACCACCGCCAGACCATTCAGTACATCCAACCGCAGGATGCACACGTCCTGGGCCAGGCGGAGCTCCTGGTTATTGATGAGGCTGCTGCTATTCCTCTGCCCCTCGTGCGGAAGCTGATGGGCCCTTATCTCGTTTTCATGGCTTCGACTATCAATGGTTATGAGGGTACTGGTCGTTCCCTCTCTTTGAAGCTCATTCAGCAGCTTCGAGAGCAAGCCCGGGGTGGCCTGAAGGCAGACGACACCGACGTTGCTGATCGTGACACTGGAAAGACCGCGAAGAACATTGACAAGAGTCTCGGCGGTCGGTCACTGAGGGAGATCACACTGGCAGAGCCAATCCGTTATGCTCCGGGTGATTCTGTTGAGAAGTGGCTGAACAAGGTCCTATGTCTGGATGCTACTTTGCCCAAGTCCCGCATGAATACACAGGGATGCCCGCACCCGTCGCAGTGCCAATTGCTTCAGGTCAACAGAGACACCCTGTTTTCCTTCCACCCTGTCTCAGAGAAGTTTTTGCAGCAAATGATGGCTCTTTACGTTGCCAGTCACTACAAGAACACCCCCAATGACCTCCAACTGATGAGTGATGCCCCCCGCACATCAGCTTTACGTGCTTGTTCCGCCCATTGATGAGGAGGCTACAAAGCTTCCGGAGCCGCTTTGTGTGATCCAAGTTGCTCTTGAAGGTCGCATCAGCAAGCAGAGTGTACTGAACAGTCTGAGCCGTGGCCAACGCGCCGGTGGTGACTTGATTCCTTGGTTGGTCAGCCAGCAATTCCAGGATGAGGACTTCGCCGGTCTCTCCGGTGCTCGTATTGTTCGTATCGCTACCAACCCCGAGTACACTGGAATGGGTTACGGCTCGCGGGCTCTGGAGCTTCTTGTCGACTTCTTCGAAGGCAAATTCACCAGCCTGGATGAAGATATGGCCGCTCCCCAGGAGGAGATGGTCCGCGTCACTGATGACGAGCTCGCCAACTCAAGCCTTCTGGACGACAACGTCCAGGTCCGGGATATTCGCTCTATGCCTCCGCTGTTCGGTAAACTGACCGAGCGTCGTCCTGATGTTCTTGACTATGTTGGTGTCAGTTATGGTCTCACGCCGACTCTCCACAAATTCTGGAAGCGATCCTCCTTTGTCCCTGTCTACCTGCGTCAGACTCCTAACGAACTGACTGGTGAACACTCCTGCGTCATGCTTCGCACTCTTGCTGTTGGAACCAACGATGTCGCTTGGCTGGGTGCCTTTTCCCGGGACTTCCACCGCCGATTCCTGGCTCTCCTGTCCTATCAGTTCCGCGAATTCCCCTCGGTTCTTTCTCTCAGCATCTGCGAGTCCGCTAATGTTGGAGCGAAACTGGACACCGCTGCCATGCTGCGCGTTCTTGAAAAGGCTGATCTGGACTCTACCTTCTCGCCCTTCGATCTGAAGCGCCTGGATAGCTATGCGAACAACCTCCTCGACTACCACGTCATTTTGGACATGGTGCCCATTATCGCCGATTACTACTTCAGTAATCGCCTCGCTGGTAAGGTCAGCCTGTCTGGCGTGCAGCAGTCCATACTCCTGGCCATTGGTCTGCAGCGCAAGAGCCTGGACGACGTGGAGAAGGAATTGAATCTTCCATCCTCCCAGCTGCTGGCCATGTTCCTCAAGATCATCCGCAAGATCTCAACTCACTTCCGTAGTTTGGTCGAAGGTGCTGTCGCGGAGTCTATGCCTGTTGAGAAAGTTCCTGTGTCTCTGCCCACCGGTGGAGCTCACGATGACGAAGTTGTAGAAGATCGCTTCAAGCCCCTCGAGACCGGACTGGAGGACGAACTGCGAGAAGGTGGCGAACAGATCGATGAGGAGCTTCGTGAAAAGCAGCGTGCTCTGATCGACGCTCTTCCGCTGGACAAGTAAGCAATCCCTCTCATGTTAACCCAAACTTTCTGTCAGCCTTGAATGAACAATAACTGATTCCTAGTCTCCAGATACGAAATTGACAACGGGGCCGCAACATGGGAGGACGCTGAGAAGCAAATTCGCGGCGGCGGTGCTTCAACCGTCAGCGTGAAGACCAAGCCGTCCAAGCGCAAGAAGGGCGAGACGGCGCGCGACATTTATGACAAAGAGATCGACTCCAAGAGGCAGAAGATTATCAAGAAAGGCACCGAGGGCCGCAAAAAATAGTAGTTCGAGTTATTTGGTATGAGTGTTCAGTGGCGTCTCTTTGCATTTCCCACGGTGTTCTTGTGACTCTGATCTTGTTTTCTTAAAAATTTTATTTTTTTAACTTGTATTCTATGAGTGTGGGATCTCGAGTTATATTGGCTGAGTTCCCACCTCTGTACATATGGACGGTATCACTTGTGTCTACGTCTTCCACGGGTTTTACGTATCACTTTAGTAATCTGCACTAAAAACCGAAATAAGGCTTTGGATGTAAGATGCAATTACTTCGTCAAAATTTCATTTGACTTCAAAAGAGCAATCCATATAGCGCTACATTATGAACGATATGTGTAGGCCTGCTGATCTGGGTGCTTCACAGCTCATCGTGCTCCACTTCCTCTTTCTCTTCCTTTTCCTTTTCCTTGTTTGTAGGTTCGGTCTTTCCTGCTCGGACAAGGCCCTCGGGCAGCTTCTCCTTAGCACCCTCTCCTAGTCGGATAGTATCGAACCAGCCCTCAATAGCGGCGATGCCGAAGTCCTCGGCATTGCCATAGCGACGCCACCATCCACGGCGCGCATTGACAGCGATTATTTCCACACCCTTACTGCCTTCTAAACCCAAAGCGGTCCGCACAGTTTGGGATCCAGTGTTGGTCATGGGCACTGAGTGCACGGGGAAGAGGTGGGCGCCGCGCAGAGAGTGCTTGTGCGCGATCTCAGCCACACTGCTGAGAGCGGTAGTGGCAGCCTCGTCCGAAATAGTCTCTGGGAGGAGAACCAGAACACAGGTGGGCGACTTCGGGGGCTAGACAGGTAGACTCAAGGGCCTCCGGGGTAACCAGGGCTGGGAGGGGAGGCACCTCGGGCACTTGAGCGGGTTTGGTTTCAGTCTCCTCTTTTGCGTCTGTCGGTGCATCTTCCTCGGTTGACGATTGTTTGGGTGGCGTCTTAGCCTTCGGCTTGGACTTCGGCTTGTTATTAGCCGATGTAGAAGCTGCCTTGCCCGTGGCATCTGGGTTTGGAGACGCGAATTGGGTGAGAAACTCGGTTATAGGTTGCTTTTTGAGCTCACCATCATACACCTGAATCTCTGCACCCTCACCACTAGGTAAAACGACAAGTTTGGGGAAATCGGAGATACCAAACTTCTCCACCGACGCGGATTCCTTGCTGCGAACCTGGGCAACATCAATCGCGCCCAGGTAGTCGATTGCTAATGCGCGGATCAAGGCACTCGTTGTGCCCTTCTCCGTAAACAAGATAGCCTTAGGGCGCTCCTCATTCTGTCCAAGCCATCTATCCAAGTCCTTGTCCGTTGCGCGCTTCACGTGGTTAGGGATGCGGTCGACAACCGCATCGACGATAGCTTTAGCACTGCGCGCACCTTGGTAGTCTTCTACACGCGGCTTGCCGGGTTTCTTGCCGGGAGTAACGATCTTCAGAGTTGGGAAGCCCTGCACGCCCATCTGGCCGCAGAAAGGCTTGTTCTCATCCTCATCGCAATTCACGGCGGCCACCCTGGCCAGGCCATCCAGGCTCTGTGCAGCTTTCTCGTAGGCGGGTTTCAGGTTCTGGCAATGCCCACACCATGGGGCATAGAATCTGGGGTACTTCAGGGTTAGCGAGGAGTAGATTGACGAATTGTAACGTCTATGGAAGGTTTGTTTTGACGATGCGGGGAGAGCTCACTCGACGATCTAGATGGGCAGGTTAGCGAGCGCTGGAGACAGGCGAGGGATCCCGAAAATGCGCAATCTCACCGATGTGTAATTAGAATTCGCGATATGCGACCCGTAGGTCTTCTGGTTGAGTTGGAGCACCGGGGACTTTCTGGTGTAGATCCCATCGGCTTTGGCAGGCAGAGCCGCCAGCAGCGAGGCGACCAACAGGAGGGCGCTTTGCGGTAGCATGATTAGAAGGGGGAGCAGTGGAGAAGACAGAATCAGCTGCGCCGGAGCATGGCCGAGGCCCTTAAGAAGGAAGCTGGAGAGGGAGAAGAAGCCAGATGGATCGGACGAGCATTACGCAAGGTGTCCTGAAGCTCTTGGCATGCGGAGAGAAAGCTCTCCAATGAGAAAGCTTCGCCTCCTCGATTATCCCCCCAAGCGATGGCCTCCGCGGTTCAGGGCACCGATGACCTGGCCTTTCTGCCACGGGACATTTTCTGGCTCGTCCTGGCCTACTTGGCCCCTCGCGATCTCGTGCGCTGCCGTCGAGTTTCCCGGGCATGGAATGAGGCCTTTGGCAACCCGGCTATCTTGGTCCCACTCATGAAGAGGCACTTCCCTCGCACTAGAGAGGTGCAGGGTCTCCATGGCTCCAGTGCCGACAGGAACACAATCCGCATCGTCTTCGATCAAGTCGCCTCACGCTATGATCACTTGGAACGAGGAAAGCCCCGCTCCGTGCACAAATACCGCCTGTGCGACGATTTTGGTGCCTCCGGGGAGCGGGAATGGTACCAGGTGCAGCCCTGGGAGTCACACGCCAGCCATGTGAGGCAGCTGGTCGACCGCCAGTTCTCAGAGGCAATGTGGTCTCACGACCAGGGGCTGCTGGTGTTTCCCAGCGCCGAGCACCAGGGCCTGGTGCTGATGGACCTGAGCAATGACCGGCAATTTGTCGTTCCCTTGACGATAACCGGCAAGGTCGTGCGCAGAGTTCGCCTGCAGAAGCAATTGCTGGTGGTCGAGTGGGCCGAACCAAAGGCTTTCCACTGGCTCAACGACAGCGATGGCGTGCATCGACATTTTGCTTCTTCTTTTGACGTGAAGCCATCAGAGACCGGTGGGGGCTGGGATGTCACTCCTCGCAACGAGTGGAAGATCATGTTCCTGGGCCATCCATTGAGCGAGCGAGACCGATTCTTCTCCTCCCACAGCAACACGCACTATGTAATTTACATCTGGCAGCCCAATCGCAGTCTGTACACGGCGGACGAAGACGCACCCATTGAATCCCTGTTCGTCTGGGATATCTCCAAGCCATCTTCCTATCAACCATCACTGGACCCCACGGGAAAGCAGCATGATGCTGGCGCTGACGATTCACCGACTATTGTGACTCGTTTTGGTTTCCGTGATCTCGAGTTCTTCGGTGTCCGGCAGCGAGGCTGCCCCAGCGTACAGCGCCTCGACGTCACCGACGACGGCCTAGCAGTGGAAATCACTGAAAATATCAACACTTGGTTGACAGACCCCGACCCGCTTGGTCTACCCATGGTTATTACCACCAGTATCCCGATGCAAGGCCAAGGTCCCCATTGGCGGCAGCAGACCGATTTGATTCTGCCAGCCTACCGTGGCAATTGTAGCTTACAGACATCCCCAATGAGTGTCTTGGCCATCATGGCAGAATGCTGGTATGGCACCATCGCCCAAGTCATTGACCAGGCTGCCGGTGTCAGTTTCTGTCTCCACTTCGACCCGGCCAGATGGGACGAGGACCGAAGGGAACCAGACCAAAGAGACCAAACAATCAACCTTACCTTTCAGGTCTTGGGCTCCTACGAGGAGCCTTCGCAAGTAACGGCGGTGAACCAGGACTTCACTGGAAGAGGCAGAATCTGTGGGTCTGAGAGGTATCTCTTGGGAGAGAACCGCAACAGAGAATTGGTCATTTATAGATTTGATCGATGAGACCCTGGACCTTTGAACGTTATGCACAGCACATTCGGCACCCACTCGTTCTTGTTTTGGTGATTCAGAAAGATGCTTATCCCGCCGGTATGAATGAATGATCTGATTCACGAATGTAATGACTCAGAAGTTATGTGATAGACCTAGACAGCTGGCACGCTTAGCTTACCCCGAGGTGGCAATCAGAAGACAGAAAGATAGAGATTTTCTATGGGAAAAGTGAATACTAGTAATTAATAGATACTACAGGACAGGTAGTTGAATATAGTCAAGGATAGAAATGAGAATGAACACTTCAACGGCTCGACCCTCTCCGTCATAGCACGGCCCCTCCCTCTTTCAGATTAACAATTCGGATTTCAGATCCTATTCGTATGGATAGTACTCTTCGCGCCTAAGTGTTTGCTGCAGGCAGGCCCTTAATCCAGGTCTTTACTTTGGATCCAGGTAGATTTCGTGATGGCATCCATGGGTAGAAAACAAGGCAGACGATTCAGTAGGTGATCAGGTATCAGTTCATAGATGTTCGAATAGCACGTTTAATTCAGTACAGAGTGATCAGGCAGATCACGAACATGGCCGAAGTGGCAGGGAATCATCTATTGTCATAGAATGATTACTTGACACATTATAGAGTACTGGCGGATATAGGGGGTGGGTTTTGATCCCTCTCCTTTCATTTCTTGCAGTTCCTTTCTCGAACTTGACTCTAACGTATTTTCAACATATGCACCATTTCTTTCCTCTGCTTGATCATGGCAGTTGATCATAAGTACATAGCCTAGCCATGACCTGGCCCCTAGAGAATAGACTTAATTGAGACTTCTACTGATCTAAATGATGTTCATAATGTTTCATGCGGTCTGTTCAACAGGGGAGGTATACGCGTAATCAGGTAGTAAGGTAACAGAGGTCTGTACATGGGTAGAAGAATTTTTCAGTTCTTTTCACCAGACTGTTAGTAGGGAGCTGTCTGGTCAGAAGTGAAAATGAAATTCAGTTTCAGGTTGATGAAGGACTATTGAATATCGTACAGCATCAAATTCAGGCATCTTCACTTCAATTTCTCAATCGACACAACGATGATCGTGGTCGTTGCATCTATCCCTCAGCCAACATAAATGCGGAAAAGCATGCAGTGAAGCTCCCGGAACATATCCTCCATAGTGTACATATCGTTTGGGTCATTCAACCGGGCGTTGAAGTACGGAACGAAAGGAGCAAGTGGGCCTATGGCCGTAACGAATTGCGGCTGGGAGCTATTGTCCCAGTCTGCGAGCGGGTCATCAACCCTAACACCGTCGCATGTGGAGGGTTCTGAGGGGTCTTCCTCCTCCATCGTAGCTTTGATCCCTGCTTCGGGTGCGGCTTCCACATCGTCTTCATGGTCGTTCAGGTCGGAGGACATCTCTGCTTCATGCTCGGCTTGCATTTCTGGGTCATAGTTAATCACATCCCTGTGTGTTCGATAAACCAGAGTACTTACCTGCATATTCCGCTGCCCAAGCCTCGGCCGCGGCTGCTTTGCACGCGGACTCTTCCTTTGACTGCTCGGAGTGGGGATCCATATGAACGCTTGAGCCGTACGAATGCATGTAGCGTTCGTCAGCGCGCCCCATTTCACAGTAGATGTTGTCGGCTCCGCCTCGGTCATAATGCCTGTTGTTTCTGTGGTCGGGAGGCCGTTCGCCTCGAGGATTGTACTTATGGAAGGTTTGTTTGGGGTAGAGGGTATAGCCCAGCGACTGATCATGTTCCAGGCGGCGGTGGGGATCACGAAGGACCTCGGCTGCCTCGGCGATCTTTTCAGCAATGCATATTAGTGCTGGAGAACCTGGGCCTGCGAGGGGAGCTAACATACATCGCGAAATCGATCTGAGTCAGTTTCACCGCATTTATCAGGGTGATACTTGAGGGCGAGCTTCTTATAAGCTGTATTGATTTCTTGGGCTGTGGCACCGAAGCCCACGCCCAGCACGGCATAACAATCCACGGGCACGGGGCCCGCCATATCCCAGTTGTACAAGATGTGGCTCAGTATGGCTGGTAAGGAAGTCAAAATGACCCAGGGTGCAGAGTAGGTCGGTTGGAAACTTACTGTGCGTGGAGTGAGAGAGGAAGGATAACAGATGTGAGAGAATGTCGATGAGCACATCCGCATGGAAAGAAGTGAGGGCAAACAGAGGACGAGCCCCAAGTGAAGGAGATGTGAGCCTCAGGCTAGCAAGCGTCCCACTGGCAGTGTGTTCTGCCGCAACCCGTGCTCCGCGGAGTGTTTGGAAAGCGCGGTAGGTTACCAGGCCGAAGTTACGGTACCCAGAATAATCTATGGTAGTAATGCTGCGAAGAAGCACATAAGAAAATGGAATGGATTGACACTGATTTTACACGAACGGAGGGTCGATCTAAATATCAACAAGTCTACACCGAAGGCGACTTCATCCCGTAGAAGGAGGCTTCTACATGTCCGCGGAAGCGGTGGCACCGGTGATAATCTCAACCAGCTCACCGGTAATGGCGGCTTGACGCTGACGGTTGTAAAGAATCTGGAACCTGGGGAAGAAGTCAGTGTCGAGCTCTTGGGAAGACACTAGGGGGTACACATACTTGTTGATCATCTCTCCAGCGTTCTTGGAGGCGTTCTCCATGGCGTTGCGACGAGCCTACAGCGCAAAGTTAGCAAACAAGACAATCTTTCGCAAAGGGGAATGTGAGATTAGACGCACGGAGATCTCGCAGGCGTGGCCCTCAGCCATGGCCCAGTAGAGGTTGTTGGCAAGGGCGTACTCGCGGAGACCAGCAAGGGCCTCATCGTCAATCTCGAAGGCGGAAATGTTGGCTAAAAAAAGTGAGCTTTAGCACGAAGAACTTGACGCCCAAACCTCGTGCTCTGGGATCGCAAAAGCTGGACGTACCGGATTGGGTGATGGTCTCCTCGGAGAAAGCTTCGATGGTGGTGGCCTCGTAGCTCTGGGCGTTGATGAAGCTGTTGTAGACGATCTTGACGCTGCTGTAGTCGGTGGGCAGGAGGGAGATCTGGTCGGCGATGGCCTGGGCATCGGCAAAGGTGGGAATATCCTTGCAGACGTTGGAAAAGCTCATGAGGATCTTCTCCGGAGCGAAACGGGTCAGCTGGGCCTTGGCCTTCTCGCCGAGAATGACGATGTCGGCATTGGGGTGAGTCTCCAGCATGCGACGAGTGGCCTTGCTCAGACCAGAGTGAATACCACCGCAAAGACCCTTGTCGGAGCTAGCAACGACGAACAGAGTCTTCTGGTCCTCCAGAGGCTTAGTCTCAGCCTTCTCGAAGACGGTGTTGGAAGTCTCTCCGTAGGCACGAGACTCATCCATAGCCTTCTGGGCACGAGTGAGACGGGTCGAGGCAACAATCTTCATAGTGTTGGTGATCTTCTCGATGTTCTTGATGGACTTGAGACGGCCCTCAATTTCACGCAGGGTCGCGAAGTTGGCGGCATTGGGCGGGGCAGTGCTTTAGCAGAATTGAGTTAGCATTTGATCGAGGTTCGTCTTCTCGCAGGATTCATCGAGTCTGGGGACTGCCGTATGATGCTGATCGGGGGGTTCGCGGAGGTCGGATGAAGGACCTGGCGCCACGAGGCGGGCATCGGAAGAGAGACTTACCGAGTAACAGCAGCACTGCCAGCCCTGAGGGCCGGGCGGACGGCACGAGAGAACATTGTGAGGTAGTTGAGGCGGTAAAGAGCAGGGGATTAGCTGCGGAGGAGAAAGGAGGAAGGGGAGCAGGGCAGGATGCAGAGGCCTCGCTTTGCTTGGAGAGGAGGTCGGGAAGTGCGAAGTTCGCAGCACTCCTGGCCGCTCCTGCACTAACCCGAATAGGCATAAATCTACGGTGCGCCATTCCGGCTTCCGGCGAAGTTTGGCCTTGGCGCCTGAAATACCAGGTATTAATTTATGCCTCAGGCATCATGAGTGAGGTAAGGTGAGGCCTCAATTCTGCCGCATTCCCAGACTTTGTTGGTCCCCCCAAACCCTCACTTCTGTCCACTTTCGCTTCCCTCCTCGCGACTCGGGTGCTTCCCTCGCTCCTTTCCTCCCGAGTCACAACCCTCCTCCCCCACCCCCTCTCTCATCATTGATGCATCGTCACCTATAGCATCTCCAATATCTCGTCATTGGTCAGAATTTCCCTGGCTTCATCATCCCGACCTTCTACCAGGCGGCCTGGCTTGCCCGACGCGGCGCACGAGGACTGGCCCACTACTTCGCCCACCAGCATTTCTACTCTCATCTGTGTCCATTTCGATCCGTACTTCGAGCCGCCATCATGAGTTCGTCTGAGGACGACATTCCTCTCGCGCGCGCGAATGGCCGCGCCAATGGTAAGCTTCCCCCGGGTGACTCGGCTGGCATATGTACGCCCTCGGCTCTTATTCATGCCTCGAGGTCACCTCGTTGAGGAAATCTCTCGTCGGAGTTCCTTCATCACTTCGCCTCATCACTATCTCGCACTACATCTCCCTAGCTTTCACATTCTCATCCTAACCCTCACTCTGACATGTTATCATCTGGATTTTTAGCTGCTCCGACTTCTGCGAAACCGATTACGAATGCCTCATCGACTGGTACAAACGGCGATGCCGATGCAGGAATTTCGATCCGATTCGGGCCCGTGCAAGACCAGGATGTGGATATGGTGGAAGCTGATGCGGACGCGGACGCGCGTGGCATAAGCAAGCGCAAGTCCCGCGCCAGCATTGACCAAAAGAAGTCATATGCCGAGCCGGAGAGCAGCGACGATGATGATCAACCCTTGGTACGCAACACTATGATCTATCTATATAGATGGATGGCCGGCACCTCCCCCACGCGACCTTGTTGTCGCTCTTGGTTTCGGCGACTGACCATTCGATAGAGCAAACGCCGACGAACTTCCGTGAAACACGAAGACCCCGAGACTGATGACGACGTGCCTTTGGCTCTCAACGGACGGAAGCTCCCGAAGGCCTCGGAGACGGCAATTGGCGACGAGTCTGATTCCGACGCCCCAATTGAAAGGAGACTTTCTGCCCAGAAGAAAAGCATCGAGCAGAAGGCTAAGAAGGATGCTCCAGCCGCGCGTAAGCCTGCGGCGCCGAAGAAAGAGACCAAGCCTGCAGCGAAAAAGCAATCCAACGGAGTGAAGAAGGAGGCATCGAACGACAAGCCTACGCTGAAGAAGGTCAAGGCCGAGACGACTTCCCCTATTTCCAAAAATGACAAGGTCAACACCAAGGCGGAAAGCGAGGATGTGGAAGACAAGGAAGGCGAGGAGGAAGAATACCGCTGGTGGGAAGACCCCACCAAGGGCGACGGCACTAAAAAGTGGACTACCCTGGAGCATAACGGTGTGGTATTCCCTCCTGAATACGAGGTGTTGCCTCAAAGTGTCAAGATGAAGTACGATGGAGTCCCCGTGACGCTGCAGCCCGAGGCCGAAGAGGTTGCTGGCTTCTTTGGCAGTATGCTGAACTCGACGCACAATGTTGAGAACCCAATCTTCCAGAAAAACTTTTTTATGGATTTCAAGGAAATCATCAAGAAAACTGGCGGTGCGAAAGATTCTCAGGGCAACAAAATCGATATCAAGGAGTTCAGCAAGTGCGACTTCAAGCCGATCTTTGAATACTACGACGCTCAGCGCAATGAAAAAAAGAACTTGCCACCTGCCGAGAAGAAACGTTTGAAGGCCGAAAAAGATGAGCAAGAGGCTCCCTACCAGTATTGTATCTGGGACGGTCGTAAACAAAAGGTTGGCAATTTCCGAGTCGAACCACCCTCGCTTTTCCGTGGACGTGGTGAGCATCCCAAAACTGGCCACGTCAAGACTCGAGTGCAACCCGAACAGATTACCATCAACATTGGCAAACAGGCTCAAGTCCCTCCACCCCCGCCTGGTCACAACTGGAAAGAGGTGAAGCATGACCAAGAGGGCACTTGGCTCGCAATGTGGCAGGAGAACATCAATGGCAACTATAAATATGTTATGTTGGCCGCAAATTCGGATGTCAAGGGTCAAAGCGACTATAAGAAGTTCGAAAAGGCCCGCGAGCTCAAGAAGTACATCGATAAGATCCGCAAGGATTATCAAAAGAACCTCAAGAACGATTTGATGGTAGAGCGCCAGAAGGCGACTGCTGTCTATCTCATCGATCAATTCGCTTTGCGTGCCGGAAACGAGAAAGGCGAGGATGAGGCCGAAACCGTTGGCTGTTGCTCGCTGAAGTACGAAAACATATCTTTGAAGCCGCCAAATACTGTCGTTTTTGATTTCCTGGGAAAAGATAGCATTCGCTTTTATGATGAGGTGAAGGTTGATCCTCAGGTTTTCAAAAACCTGAAGATTTTCAAGAAAGCGCCTAAGAAAGAAGGCGATGAAGTGTTTGACCGCTTGACCGTAAGTTTCCTTTGAGCTGTCTCTTATTTTTGATTTACTAACAAAACCAAACAGACATCTGCCCTCAACAAGCATTTGCAGAACTACATGCCCGGTCTGACTGCGAAGGTTTTCCGTACATACAATGCCTCATACACCATGAGCAACCTGCTCAAGGATATCAAGGCCTCTGGTACCATTCCTGAAAAGGTCAAGACTTACAACGACGCGAACCGCAAGGTTGCTATTCTGTGTAACCACAAGCGTACAGTCACTGCGGGCCACGCTAGTCAAATGGAAAAGATGAGTGAACGGGTAGGTTTTCTTGGATGTGCGCGAGCACGATTCCTCTTACTAATCTTGGGCTTTTTGCTACACAGATCAAGGGTCTCCGCTACCAGAAATGGCGTTTGAAGCAGCAAATGCTTGATTTGGACCCCGCTCTCAAGAAGAAAAAGGGTGCCGCTTTCTTTGAAATCGATGAAGACCTAGACATGGAATGGGTCAAAGAACACCAGGCTTTTCTTATTGAGGAGCAAACCCAGAAGATCAAGAAGAAGTTTGAGAAGGATAATGAGAAGCGGGTTGCTGATGGCGAGAAAGCAATGCCGGCATCAGATCTGAATGAGCGATTGAAGGCCGTGAAGGATATGGAGGCAAAGTTCAAAAAAGAGAATAAGACCGGTAAAGTCGAGGCCGAGGGTCGTGGTCCGAGTGTGGAAAGGATCGAGGCCAGCATCGCCAAACTCGACCAGCGGGTCGAGACCATGTCCATTCAAGCCCAAGACAAGGAGGATAACAAAGAGGTTGCCCTGGGTACCTCAAAGATCGTGAGTTATTGTTGCGACTTGTAGGCACGACATCTGCTAACATTTTCTTTTCAGAATTACATCGATCCCCGTCTCACTGTTGTTTTCAGCAAGAAGTTCAATGTCCCGATTGAGAAGTTTTTCTCCAAGTCATTGCGCGAGAAGTTTGAGTGGGCCATCAAGTCTGTCGACGAGAACTGGGAATTCTAACCAGCGAATTGCGGCCTGCTACATTGTTCTACCACCTCATATTTGATATTTAGCTTATCTCATCCCACCTTGCACAGTGGAGAGGTTTGGTTCGATTTTTGTCTTTGCTTTTTCTTTGCTGTCTTTTTTTCTGTTGTTTTGTTCTTCCTATCTGATTTCTATTTAAAGAACTTGGGTTTTGGTCTCCGGCCAACCCCGACTTTTCCCTTTCCCCCGACCTTGCACAACAAGCAACCTGCAAGTGTCTCGCGAACCTCGGAACCCGACACTCAACGTCGAAAAGAAAACAACAAACTTAAAAAAAGACCAAAAAAAGACGCCTGTGCATTGCATTCGGTAATATGATCTTGATCTCGGTTTCACCCTCCCATCAAATGTTCGCAGGTATTGACTCTTTCTTTCCTCGGTCAGTACATAGAAACTAGACAGAAAAGATCGCAATGTATTCTACTTTCCACGTTTCTCAAAAAATTTCGCCTTAAACAAATCCGCCGTATTGTACTCCGCAGTAAAATCCTTGGCGAGTGGCTAGCGTGGGCCACACGTGGTGGGGAAAACATGCATGGGATATATATGCATGCAGGGCGTATGGCGCGCGTCCCGGTGGAACCAAGAACCACGTTCTGCATTAAAATCCTGTTTATGCTTACTTGATTGACTGAGATATAACGAAAAGGATTTTCTTTTCCAAAGTCTAAATTACATACAGTTCAAAGGAATATGCCGGCATAAGCCAATGCCATATGAAACGAAGGAACGTAAGAAGATTGGATAGGAAGGCTCAATATGCAAATGCAGGGTTGATCAAGCGAGGGGAGAGACCAAATTTGTACCAATAGGGAAATCACGAAGAGAAATCAACAGGATATATGCAAGAAGAGAAGAAAGTGTAGAGAAGCAAAAATCAAAAGCCCGGCCGGAGAATGGGTATTACAGTACAACAGCAGGCCCAGCAGGCTGAAAACCAGATTTGTCTGGCCCGGTGTAAGTTTGATTGACGAGGCGGGGCGAAAGAAAAGTTGGATCCGAAAGAAGAAGAGGTATCTTGGGAAAGACGAAGGAAATCATCAAAGGGACATTTCGGGGAGGGTGAGGCGAGGCAATGCTTTCTTTCTTTGCGAACACGATGCGATGCAATGCGGATTTCAAGAACGGAGCTCTCTCGACCAAAGGAGACCGTTAAAACATTCATGGGAATCAAAGACCAAAGTAATCAGCCAGCTGCATTGGGGCCAGGCTTAGGGCCACCAACCCATGCGCTTGTAACTGTCGACCATGGCGCGGACACTGTCGGCGTTGAAGCGTTCATACTTGGGCTTCCAACCCGTGGTTGACTCGAAGAGCGAGCCGTCGATGGACATATCCTGGTCCTTAAGAACGTCACGCTCCAGGAAGGGACCGATGGGACCGGGGCGCTCGATCTTGCTCTTCTCGACCAGCTCAGCCCACTCTTGTAAACTAACCTCGTTCATGTCGTCAACGACATCGTCGAGGTTCATCTTGGCAAGTTGCGATACAAGCGAGCCGATGAAGGAGACCTTGAGGCCGAACACTTCGGCCAGAGCATTGGCGACATGTTCCTGTTGGGTATCATTATGGTCGACGACGTTGAAGGCCCAGGTCATCGAGGGGTCCTTGAATATATCAGGAATACCCTCACTAGTCCGTGTCTTCCCGGCACGCCATTCGGCAGCGCGGAACAAGGCACTCGCAGCGTCCTTCACGTGTAGTGTGTTCACTTTGACATCCTTGGTGTAGAGAAGCTCGAGGTCCTGACCCATTTCAAGGTGGACGCGGGCCAAGCACAGTGCCATGGCAAAGTAGCCCGAGTTGTACTCGCCATAGACGTGCGGGAGTCGCAGCGCACAGTAGTTCAATCCCTCGATCTTCAGCAGCTCATCCGCAGCCTTCAGTTTCCACTTGGCCAACTTGTGCCACGGCTGCATCTTGTCAGCCTCCTTGCGTGGGGAGGAGCCGCTCTTATAGACATGAGCGGTGGAGCACTCGATGTAGCACTTGATTCCACGCTTGGCGACCTCCTTGCCCAACGAGATGCTGAGGTTACAGCTACGCGCTTCGTAGACGTCGTCGGGCTGGGAATGCCGTGTCTCGCCGCCGCAGTTGATCACATAGTCGAATTGTTCGCCATTGGCTCGGTCGAAGATCCGTGGAAGATGCTCTGCGGAAATTGATTGTTAGAGGTTGCCCTTTCTTATTGTCCAATTGTGATTTTTCTCTGTGATTTTTTTTGTCGTGGTCTGCCCCTCCACAACCGGGTTATCTGGAGGGGTTAAATAAATAGTGCGCCACTTACGTTCACGGCTGGCATCCGCCTGCACGAATTTTTCCTTGGAGCAAGCTTCTTGAAACTCGGGGGCCAGCCACGCCAGCTGCGGGAGAACCTTGTCGACCAGACGGACCTCTGAGGCCAGATTGTTCTCATGGATATAGAGAGCCAGATGGCGGCCGATGAAGCCTACGGTGGTGGGAGGGAAACCCGGTCAGCCTGGTTCAGGGGAGAGTAGATGGCGGAACACGCACCGAGGCCACCGATGATCAGAACGGCAGGCTTGTTGGCGTCGGCCATGGTCGCGGAGATGCGGTACAGGGGTGTCGAAGGGGAGAAGAGGAAAGGAGGGGAGGAAAAGACTAAAGTGCGCAGCCGGGGCGAACCTCCCGCGTGTGGTCCACTCGTCCCCTCGTGCGTCGCTAGAAAATTCGGGAAGATCGCATTCCTCTGATTGCCCCCCTTTAGCCCCTCCGCCTAACGACGCCGTTGATCTATAGTCGCCCGCCTATGTGGACCTGGCGGTGGAGCACAGTTGCAATTCGCCGACCCGGTGACGTCGCGGTACCTTGGTTCTTGATGTGCCCATGGCTCTGGGTTTGGGGATCGCCCCGACCCAAACTTGGGGTTTCCGGGGTTTGGCGATGCGCGAGAGCTCCTACATAGCAGATGCATCATGATCCAGGCCAACTATGTACCCTACACTATGATAAAGTAGCAGCCGAGACGCCTAGTAGTTGGCCTTGAGAGCCACCTCGATAATGAACGTTGCCGTCGAAATCTTTCCCCACGTCGTCTGCGTGCCACGCACAGCACACATGGCGGACCAGTTCTTGCAGATCCGAATCGTGATCTCGTCGCACCACAAAGCTCAAACCCAACCAGCCGAGACGAACTATGGCGCATCGCCGATAGGTGGACTCACGCCGACCGCTGCGCCTGGTCATCTCGTCCTCCATATGCGAGACTTCTTTCTGCATCCGATCAATGAACTCGGAACCGGCCCGAAACAATCTCAAGGGAAGAGAACGAGGCTTCATAGTAAGTAATATATCATCGCGGAGCAAGAAGAAAGTTCTTTGTCGTGCGCTCCCGGGTTTTCTGGCATGTGTATCGTCACTATCAGCAACAGTCAATATGCTGGCCCTACACACAGTATGGAGATACAATCGTTTTGCACAGAATCCAGAAAATGACCAACTTACCTTCCTCGGAATCATGGCTGCTTGAAGGCCCGCTCGAAGATGGCTGGTCTCCTCGATGCTCTAGTGCTGCCCGTCTCCCCGGGGTTCGGACCATGGGATTGAAATCATCGCTCTGGCCCCGATATCCCTTTGGTTCCGCGCGGGAAGACACTTTGCGGGCACAGCTTGAAGGTGTGGACGGCGGGCAGGGATGGAAACGACGATATAAGCCGTCTCTGCCGGTCGGGCAGTGTCGAGTAGTGGGGGTCTGGTGGGCGACGGCGAAGGGGCTGGAGGGGACGGTGTGCACAACGGCATTAATGAAAGTGATCATCTTTTCGGTAGAGGACGTCCCAATCGTCCTGCGCCTGTCGGCGATCAGTCGGAGTCGACTAGGTAGGTCGTGCCAGTGGCTCTAACGGCATCGTGGATCTGACGGAAGGAGACCATGGGGCCTAAAGAGGCGACTCCTGTACACACCGTACTGGTAAGGCGGTTTGCGTCCCTGTCTGAGATTGTTTAGTTGGTCGCACCGTCGCAGATGACGGGGGCTGGCTCGTGGCCTATATCGAATCATTCTGGTTAGCATCGAGTCTAGACAAGCATTGACGAGACAAAGCCCCGGGGAAGAATGCACAGATATTGATGTTGGTGTCAGGCTTCTCAATGCTGTGAGCAAGTTTATCGATCAGAATCTCAATCGCTTTTGGGATGCTAGTGATTGCAGAGTTGCTCGATGTGTGAGACACAGTAATGCACGGGACGAGCACTCACGATTCCTCGTCTCTGGGCCAGCTACAGCTCTCGGGTTCGTCTGCGCCCTTGTGAAGCAGGAAATCGTCCCTGGAGATGGGGTCGGGTCCCCAGGAGACCCATTCATAGACTTGGACATACTGCTCTGCGCTGCGCCGGCGGGCCTCCGGGTCTTTAGAAAGCCTCTCCCAGCCGTGGTCCCTCACATACACTTTCCACTCCGTGGCGGAACTGAGAGAAGACATGCTCGTTTCGGAAATACAGGAATTTCTGGAATCGGTTATAAGGCTTCAAGGGTTTCAGGAAATTTTCGCTCAGCAGCTGGTCCATCATTTTGGGACTTGCCGCGTCGTTCGCCTGTCGCACATGCTTGCGGGAGGATTGGGCCATGTCGAGTTGGGTTTCGAGTTGGTCCTGGTCAAAAGGTGAATTGAGACAGGAAAGATATGAAGGTGGGAAGTTAAAACATAGAAGAGGGAGAAGGAAGTCACGAAGAACACCCGTGAAAAGTAGCTGAGCAATGTCAGTGGAGCTAGCTGGCCTGCACCCGGGGACGGAAGTGTCTAGGCGCGCTCGCCGCAGATGAGATTCAGAGGGGTCTCACATGGGCTGACCTCTCGAGTGGATGAAAAGTCAGGTCAAATAAGATACCCTTCCATTCTGACCTGAAGCGATCTACCACGGCTGGTTTCTGCCACAATATCAAATCAGTTTAACTACCATTCTGGGTTGCACTTCGGTCACCGATCTAACCGTCTATCCACTGATACCCACCTGCACGGCTACTGCAACTGACCTTGCCTATCTTGTCATTTATCCTACTTCTGAACATACAAAGGACAAAGGACAAATTACTTAGATAAGGGATATTCATGCAGAGTGAAGGTCGACACTAAGCAACGATCGACACTGAAAACTTTGACATTTCTTCATGAAGCGCCCAGGTATTTCAGAGAATTCTTCAACTCCTTGACTGCCGTGTCGACATCGTCGAATGTCAGCGCAGACACTGCCCACCGGGCATGTTTCTGCGCCAGGGAAATGGAATTATCGTCCACCGAGTGGGAAGGTTGACTCGTTGCTGCAGGCAGAGGAGCAGGCGGAGCGTTACCCTGCACAGATGTAGACGGAACAGAAGGCGAGGATGCCGGGGGTGGGATATGAGCACTAGCACTTGTTGGATCATAGAACGAGGCAGGGTCTGGGGCAGGCACTGAGGGGCTATCGGCCGGCGGTGGGAATGACTGGAAAGTATTGGACTGGCGTGTGATATGAGGCGCGGCGGCGTGAGAAGATCTAGGTGTGTCTGGAAGGTTTCGGACGTAGCTTGATCCGCCGATTGTGCCGGGGGCGGAGGGCAGCTCGAGTCCTCCTGGTTGCTGGTCATCGATATCCATCTTCTGTCCTAGAGTCCCAGGTGCATTGCTAGGGACGGAAGGAATCTCAGGTACAGATGATTCTGGGGCTCGCGGCATGGAGGATGCTCGAGATGGATGGAGCGACTCGTCCAAAGACGACTGGTTGGCCATTTGTCGTCCCAAACGGTCTGCCTCGTCCGGAATCTCCTCGACAGATGCTTGTCTTGGCATTGAGGCCTGCTCTGCTACTCCTTCATCGAACGCTTGAACTTCTGGATCGGCAATATTGACTTCCTGCTCTTCTTGTGGCGCGGGATTAGTTGCATTGGGATCCTCTCCAGCCTTGATAGCCTTCACAATTCGAACGGCGTGGTACTTGGCGAATTTGATTCTTCCTGCAACCTCCGGGTCAAAATCTCCCCAGATTTGGCAGAGCTCAAGGAATGTCGCCGCGGCTTGGAATGTATCTGCTGTTTGTCTATGTGCATCAAATCAGTTCTTGAGTCCGCTGCATCGAGGCGTTGGTGGCCAGGCTCACTTGGTGACTTTGTTGGCGGTCATGGCCGCCTCAGCGCGATTGAAGACCTCCAGCCCAAATTGCTCGACATATGCGCTTGCGGCAATATTATCCGATATAGTCTCGTTTTCCTGATTCTCGCTCTTGAACTAAATTCCATCTCTGGTATCAGTATTCACGTTTCGCGACAAGCGGAACGGGGTGGTAGGAAGCGCCGGGAAGGAGCGAACCTGTTCAAGCTTATCCACCAAGTCTGTGGTATATGATTTGATTTCATCATCTGAGTTATGGAGGCCTCGTTCAATAATTTTGTTCACAATATGGAAATTGCCTGTGAAATTGACGGTGGTCAGCTCGACTGTTCCATCGCGGGGTGCAAAGACACTCACACCAATAGGCCACGACCGGCTTGGCCTTTTCGATTTGCACAGCCCTGAGGGCAAAGCGACCGATATCGGCAGATCGGAGCGCCGCGGGGATATTGTTCGCCATGGTCGAGAGATGTGGCAGGAAGGAGGCGAGGACGTTTGGACAGATGACGTTTGGAGCTCGGCGAACCCACCGCCCGTGCGGAGACGGCGACTAGCGGCAGGGACAAAACATCGGTATCTAGCACTACCTAGGTAGTAGTATGGACCATAGCTACCATAGGGTAGTAGGATTGAAAGCACCCGTTAAGGTATACAACTAATTGCCTGGCATAAACAAAGCCTGAATTAAGGTATTCATTGTTGGTGATCATTCTTTGTTGCTCCGAAGACCCTTGCGCGTGCCCTTGGCTACCGTCTTCTTTATTGGTGTCTTTTCCCTTTGACGAGATCCTCTACTGGTATCCTTCGAGATGTTCTTCTCCACGAATGAATCGGCTTTGAGTGTACCAGGGGTCTTTCCCTTTGCAAGCATCGCCACCAAAGCCTCAATCCTCTTCTTCCGCACCGTGGGAGACGCTGTTTGGATGCGCCACAGCACGGAGTAGCGATCACTTTTATCTAGTGATTCGAAAAAAGATGCCGCTGTAGGCTGCTCCGTTAAGATGGCAGTAAAGTCCTCGGGCACAGTGATGGTCGCTGGCCCAGCATAGGCGCGTTCCCAGCGCCCGTCGGCCTTTGCGGCTTCCACAGCGACCAGGCCGGCCGGTCGCATTCGGCCCGTCTCAATGAGTCGGCCGATTGTGTTGACATTCTTCTGAGACCAGATGCTTTTTGCCCGGCGAGGTGTGTACCGCACGAGCCACCAGTTCTGATCGAGGCCATTTGCGCGGCCGTCAATCCAGCCAAAACATAGCGCGGTCTCCACGGCATCAGCGGCGGAGACTGATGGGATTCCTGAGTTTTTCTTGGCGAGCTTGAGATAGAATCCCGGTGCTGTTGAATGCTCACGTTCAAGGAACTCCTCTAAATCTTTGGCGGTGGGGAATGAATGTATTGGAAGGTCTGACGGGAGTGGCTTCGTTGACATTGATCGTGATGGCACGAGAAGGGCCCAGTGAACGGGTACGAGACGCCTCGAAGGATTGTGATATAGTATTGTAGTTGGGGGGTACGAGCACAAGAGGCCCGACAGCAAGACAACACGGTGAGGTCTATGTGGCAGTGCGGATATGACATGGATGCTCATGCTACCAGACGTCTAGAGGATGTTGGACGGAGGCTCTGGTGAGATCGCCCGCACTAAGCTGCAAGGGGAAGCCAAGAAGTTCAGTGCGCTGACGCGGCCCAGAATACATCACTAATAGATGCTTTGGGCTACGTGTTATAAAAATTGACCATTCTATTTCATATGCGGCTTGAGATATTCACGACCATATCAGCTCACTATGATGTATATAGAGTGTAGTACGGTTTCATCAGCAATCCTCGACGATCCACTCTCCAATCTCAACACGCTCCTCGGCCAGCGCCTCCACTTCAAAGTGGTCTTCCACTTGCCCTCCCGGGCCCCCAATCCGTTCGATCACAATCCATACTTGGCCTCGAGAGTCCAGGTTCGGCGATAGATCAAAATCATCTACGCGGACCCCCGATGCAGCATCACAATGGCTTCCATCTTCCGAGGCAGCTAGCACTTCCTTATACGGACCTTGTCCCAATTCCACGGTCATCAAGACTGGTGACGGCGCAACCGATCGAGATCCTATTTTCGATAGTTTGTTTCTCGCAATGAGCCTGAGTCGCGTCAGGCGAGAGGTTTGTAAGGACGCCAACATCCGATCTTTGCCAGGATGGAGGACGCCGACGTCAGACACAGCCACGCGGCGACCAGCAAACTCGGAGGCCAGTGGTTGCACCGTGCATGGGATGTCAGATGAGATCCAAAGCGTGAAGTGACCCACTTGGTCCGATGCGAATGTTGAGCAGACGATCGTATAGATACCCTTCTCGAGGGATGTCGTCTCGGCCAGCGCGCATCCGCGACGATAATCTCCGCTGTCGGCGATGATGTCTCGGCTTCGCACTCTCGCGATGCGCTGCCCGTTTGACCAGAATAATTTCACATGGGTCGCCAGTTCAGCTTCTTCGGACTCAAGAAGAATTGAAACGTCGGTTTTTTCCGAGACTTGCAGGCTGAACTGGGGGTTGGACGAGTACCGAGCTGACTCGGCATTACCGCCAGCTGTCAGGGATGTCCAGGAGCCAACTGCTTTATTCAAACACATGTATCTGTCCTGTGAGCGAGCCACACTTACGTGGGAAGTCGAAAATGCAGAAAGTGTGAAATTTTGGGTCGAAGAAGGCAATGATTGCTCAGAGATCACGGCCGTGTACGTGGTTTTTGGTGGCATCTCGAGTCTCATTAGGGTGTTGGGCGAATCCACAAACGGCCCCCGATAAAGTGCTCCATCGCTCAGAGAAACTCGCTTGCCATCAGCCTGAAAAATGTAAATGCTGATGAAGCCCACTTCTCGACTTTCGGGGTCAGGGTTCTTCATGAGGCGATGGTGGTCCGTTTTGAAATGTTTCCCAAGCAGCAGCCAGACAGTTCCACCGGACTCGTTGTGAACTGAGAACTGGGGGTTTTTGACAAAGCTCTTCGCAACGACACGCCCGGGAGATAAGTCCCAGGTGAAATGAATATCCTCCCGATACTTGAACAGTCCGGGGTTCCAGTTGAGATAGAGGTTTTCAAAGTTTTGGAGGACTTCCTCGCAGTCCATCCAAAAGGTCCCCGGAGAGAGGTGCGATGGTGGATCGTCTCGGCTGGCTTGTCTTGTAGTAGGCTCTGCGCCCGCCCATGGGTTCTTCAGAAGGAATTGGCGACGTCCACCGTCTTCTTTCATGTTCAGAATAGCATAGTCATGTTCGCTCACCAAACCCAAGCCCTTTTGCTCCAACTCTGTCAGTTTCCCAGTGCCAATGGTCAACACAACGTCGCCGTAGGAGAACGCCTTGTAGAGGCGGCCCCAGATCTCGTCGGATGTGGCATCTTCATTGTGTAGAAAGACCTGTTCTGGAATCCAACCGGTCAATACCCAGAGGTCCGTACCCGAATTGCTGCCGGGAAAATCGTAACCTCCGCGGACTTTGAGGTAGGCCTTCTCGACAAGGGCTGGCCATAGAAAGCTGGGGTTATTCCGGTCAATTACGTGCAAAGACCGCGATGTTTTCGAGGACGGTAGTCGATCATCTATGACAACCTTCCTGAATGCTCCGTTAAAGTAGAAAGAGAAGACGTACTTCCCGATCGGGCACAGAGTCGGGTTCGTTGAGTCGCCTTCACACGGGTACATGGCTGGCGATGCATGCTGCCAGTGATTTTGTTAGTCATGACCAATTTGATTGAGGTACCTCTTGGTCCCATACCTTGCCCAAGCCTCGCTCAGATCGAGAAGTAGTCGCACAGAGGCTCGCCACTACTGAGCAGTCGGTGAGGACGTCTTGAACGAGATCGGTCAGTCCTGCTACCGACATGACCGGCTTGGTGCCTCCATCCGGCAACGGCATGACAGCACGTCTGGCACGCAGAAGATCCGCAGGTCTTTTCCATCCTGCAAAAATTTCCCTCTGGCAGTCAGAGAGACGTAGATCTGGGGTGTCCCTATGTAGCAGATCCGGTCAGCAGGAGGTCGCCGTCAACAGGGTTGTATTCTCCCCCTCCAGCACGTACGTAAACAGGCCGTCATCGTACGTCGCGAATTCTGCGGCTGCCGGCGGGCGATCCCACGGTGGAAAGATGAAGCCATTGAGTTTTGCGCCCTCGAGAATGATGATCTCTTCACGGGTGGTGAGCTTCCGCGTGGATGTGGGGGGGCGCAGGCTGCGGACCGCTTTTTGGCGGGCGGCGACCTGCCAGTCCGCGGCGGCCTTGATGGTTTCGGCGCGCGTGAGGAGCTCCTTGCATTTGGCATCGAGATGCTTCTTGTCGTCCGGGGCTGCGAGGCGCAGCGCCTTCATGTAATGTTCGGCGGCATCGATGGCGGCATTGAGGGCGGCCCTCTGGGAGGTTGCGACGGCGATGGCACCCTCGGCTCGCTAACTGCCGATTAGCGTCTCCGGGGAGTTATCAGATCCTGGGGTTTAGAGTATATACCAGTGCCTGCGAGAGAGGGGACGGCGGCAAGGCCCCGTCGGGTCTCGACATGGCTTGCGCGGGCTCTGCGACCTTTCGCAAGCAAATCCGATCGTCGTGTCCAACGACTCGACCAAACGTGGTCGGAACAGACGCGCCCCGCAACAGCCGCGCTCATCGCCTCGTCTTGGCAGACCAAATGGGATGGCCCGACAGGCCCGAATCGTCCTCCCTGTAGACCTCCGAGCAAGGCGTCCGCAGACTCCGGCTTCTCGGGATAGCGATAGTTGCGCATACGCATTCGATTCCGATCGCTTTCATGAGTCCGCCGAGCACGTGAGGGTTGCTTCTGCTTCCTTAGGAAACGTAGTGTTGTTGCGATCGGTCCCCATGCAAGGCTGACAGTGCGGCCGAATGGACCTCGGTTCATTTCGTCACCGCGCCGAGGTGCGTTTTTGCCTGTGCCTTTCCGGCTATCCAGCTCGGTCGTGCTCTTGTCGGGTGACATCGGTTACCATGACCTAGCTGTCGATTCGTCCGGCATCATCTACGACTTCTTGATCGTCCTCCTTCACTTCTGCTTGCTCCGGTCGCTCAACTGTCTCTGTCGTCTCCGTCTTCGGAGCAGTCCAAGTTTAGAGGGCCCCGCTCCGGTTTCCCCTTTCACTCCCTTCGACCGCTCTTTTATTCCCATTCTCCTTTGCTGTCGCTCGTCGCGGGGTGATCTTGAATCCTACGCTCAATACACACATCATGACTGGCCAATCGAAGCCTGTACGTCTCTCGCCATGGGGCAGCGCGGTTGCGGGTGCAACGGGCGCAGTCCTGGCAAATGCTATTGTATACCCGCTTGATCTGTGAGGAATCCACAATATTTGAGAGAGGAAAAAAGAAAATAGAAAAAGAAGGCCCCGACTAATGACGTGCGCTGCCAACAGGGTCAAGACAAAACTGCAGGTCCAAGTCAAGACTGAAGGAAACGAAACGCACGAAGGTGTCGACCACTATGAATCGACCGTGGATGCTATCACCAAGATTGTCGAGAAGGAAGGCCTCAGTGGACTGTACTCAGGCATTGCTGGGTCTTTGCTCGGGGTTGCGTCTACCAACTTTGCCTACTTCTACTGGTACAGCGTCGTACGGTCCCTCTACATGGCCTCCAACAAATCCCCCAAGCCCCCGGAACTGCGATCGAACTGTCCCTCGGTGCGGTGGCCGGTGCGGTGGCCCAGATATTTACCATTCCCGTCTCTGTCATTACTACGCGACAACAGACACAACCTAAGGGGGACAAAAAGGGCCTGCTCGAGACGGGCCGTGAGGTGGTCGAGAGCGAGGACGGCTGGTCCGGCCTGTGGCGCGGCTTGAAGGCCAGTTTGATCTTGGTGGTCAACCCCGCCATCACCTATGGCGCCTATCAGCGACTGAAAGATGTCTTCTTTCCCGGCAGAAACAACCTCAAGCCTTGGGAGGCATTCTGTAAGTGTCGTAGTTTCTTCGATATGTCAGGATAGCTCGCTAACCATGCATATTGACATAGTCCTCGGTGCCATGTCCAAGGCTCTGGCCACGATTGCCACTCAACCCTTGATCGTGGCCAAGGTTGGCCTGCAGTCTCGCCCGCCTCCCGCGCGGAAAGGCAAGCCTTTCAAGACCTTTGGAGAGGTCATGAAGTACATTGTTGACAACGAGGGCATTATGGCCCTCTTCAAGGGCATTGGCCCCCAGATTACTAAGGGTCTTTTGGTGCAAGGCCTGCTGATGATGACCAAGGAGAGGTATGTCCGGCTATTATTGTATATGTCCTGTTACTCTTGCTGACTGCATTTTCAGAATGGAACTTCTCTTCATTGTTCTGTTTGCCTATCTTACCAAGCTCCGAAAGCAAAAGCTGCAGAAGGCAGCGGATACCGTCGCTGAGAAGGCTAAGACTAGCCTACCTGCGACCCTGAAATAAGCGATCCGCCCAAATGCTTACGACCATGTCAATCTATCTTCTAATTTCTACCTTGATCGTCCCCCCATGGACTTTCCTTTTGTCTGTTATCGGCGTGCTGGTTCCCCCCTTTGCAGTTTCTATAGGCAGTCTAGATCCGTTTGGCTTTTGACTCTTGAATATAAGATGCCTGGTGCAGTGAGAACATTTGTGTTTCTAACGAAATAGCATCAATATATGAGGTCTACTTGTACATAAACAGTCGGAATTTTGGTTTCTCTTAAGCTCAAGCTTATGATCAATACATGAAGAGATTAATTTTCATTTTCCACAACCGTAATGGTGAGGACCATCTATTTCACAGAGGCTGAACACTAGGAAATTAGAAACAATACATTCATGTCGGATGAGGATAGTTTGAACGGGGGTATCACTAGGGCGTTTTGAGCCGAACGGCAAATTACGTTATCTTCGGCAACGGTTGTCCCGCGGCTGTGCTTCGAGCTCCCGCTGAGAGGATCCCCGACCCTCTTGTCCGCATCAACATCCATACCCTCCACCTCGCCTTCCTGTCTTGCCGGGCAAGAGCATGGGCCACAATGCGATGGCCACCATGGAGCTCCAAGTCGGACAATGACAATCAACAGAACCAGGATCCCAGCTCCTCCGTCTTTCCTCGCCCCACATCCACAACAAACAAACCCAGTTCCCTTGTCGACTGGACCGCTTTCATAGAAACTAGAACTCTTGTTCCGACAATTCTCTTGACGAGCGGTATTCTCTTTGGTATCCGATTCCACCGCCGATACCTTCGCCGTATTCCCGATGCGCCTAGTATCTCGCCCTCTTTTCTTCGACGCCGCTCAGTGTTCGGCCAAGTGACGAGCGTGGGTGATGGTGACAATTTCAGACTTTTCCATACACCAGGCGGTAGACTTGCGGGATGGGAGTGGTTGCCATGGAAGAAGGTTCCTACAAACAAGAAGGACCTCAAAGATAATACCGTTCGTCGCACTCGTCAGCGCTCTCTTTTTCCACGTGGTCCACGCGAACTGTTTCTATTCATCGTTGATCCAGCTAACAAGTCGCCCACTGCGCTTCAGATCCATATCCGCCTTGCTGGCGTGGATGCACCTGAGCTCGCTCACTTCGGTCGCCCTGAACAACCCTTTGCCCGCGAAGCCCACGCGTGGCTTACCGGCTACCTTCTCAACCGTCGCATACGTGCATTCGTCTACCGACAGGACCAATACAATCGCGTTGTAGCAAGCGTATTCGTTCGAAGGGGTTTTGACTTCCCCCATTTCGTCGGAGGGACGTCTCGTACGAAATGTTGAGAAACGGCCTGGCAACCGTTTATGAGGCCAAGGTCGGCTCGGAGTTCGGGGGCGACGAAATGGAACAGAGATATCGTCGCGCAGAGTGGTGGGCCAAATGTCGGTCAAAAGGATTGTGGAAAGATTACCGCCGAATCGGGTCTGATTGGGAGAGTCCGCGAGAATATAAAAATCGCATGGGCATGGGTGAACCGACGGAGAATGGTGGCAAATGGAAACCGAAGTCCTCGAAGTCATGAATACCCCCGTTCGACACTGATGTTTAAATAACGATTTATCTTCTCGTACTTGCATGATGACACGATACGACTTCATTTTTACATTATTTGCCACGATCGTTTCTAGGTCCAGTTGAGGCCCGCATCGATTGTATTTTATACTTCAATAGTACAACTCGAGGATAGCTATAGAAGTACTAGGCGACATTCCTCTAGCACCGAATCATAAAAGGGTATAATGAAGCCCAAAACCATGCTCACGTACTAAGCACACGCCATTTATTTTATCAGTGGCATCGATTTAAAAATAAGTATACATGCCAGTGTCGGCCTTTCTTCAGCAGAACCGCCTCTCAACCTCTGCGAACAGCTGGGGGAGATCTCATCGCTCGAGTTACCCTCCACCCGCCAGAGACAGCCCCGACGGTCGTAGTGATTGAGCAATGCTCGGCTGGTTTCTTCGAACTTGTGCAGACGTTGATTCCAGGTATCAATGGAATCATCCTCTCGCTGGGTCAGCGGCTCACCCGTTACGTCGTCCCTGCCGGGAATCTTTGGCGCATTGAAACCCGTATTATATACCCGGCCGGAAGGTTCATGTACCCAGCGAGATGCTATTCGAGAAAGAATCACAGAGGGCGGGGTAATGAGCTCCACGACGAAGTTCACGGGAACGAGGGAGTCTAACGCTATCGCCTGGGTCGCAGTTCGGGGGAACCCGTCGAGTATGAAAGATGCCGAAGGGGAGATTGAGGACGAAGATGCAGTGGATGGAGAAGAAGAGGACGGCGACGCAGAAGGCTGCGATGAGGTCTCGAGTGAAGGGAGCCAGCCCTTGGATCTCAATTCGGAGGAGATCAGACTCAGAATCATTGAGTCCGGAACGAGGTTACCAGACTGCATGGCAGCTTCTGCCTGAACACCTGTTGTTTCGTTAAGTACTGAGCTCGACTAGTCACGAGCAGGCTATGCGACGTACCAATCGGTGTCCTGCGGCGCACATTCTCGCGCAATAGATCGCCGGAGCTGATGGAGGCCAACTGAGGGAAACGAGACAGCAGACGCTCAGACTGTGTGCCTTTTCCGACTCCAGGGGCGCCCACGAGGATGATGCGAGCAGCTTTCTTTAGCTGCTTGGTCGAGTGAGACATCTCGAGGTGATAATTGGCGGGTAAGTGCTTGTCCGGGGTTGGTTCGATATCGAAATTATGTCCTGGGATGGTTCTTGAAAATCCGCGCGGAGAGGGCAGGGGTATCGCGAGACGGCCAGGGCTTGACCAGACAGGAGGGACGGGTCGGGCTATTGTCTATTGCTGATACATGCCTGGTCGAAGGAAGAAACCGGGGACAGTAGAGGTATATGCAGCACCCGTTAGAGGCTCAAGCGCATATTGTCAATTTCGTGATGCTGTGGGGTTGATGCTGCGGGTTCTGTCTTCGGCGGCCGGTGAGAAGAACTCCGAGGGAAAGAAGGGCTGAGGTTCAATCTCCCTCTACAATTGCGTGTCGGAGTCGGTCGCTACGGGATGAACGGGCTTATCAGGCCGATGGAGCTCAGCGGAGAAGGCTGTTCGGCACGGACGCACTTCTGGCAGCTTTCACATGCTTTGGGAAGCCATAGTCTAATGGCCTGATGCGCGAGGCCCCCAGACACAGAGTTCACGTGACCGGTACCGGGACGCGCGCGTGGGCGCGTGAGGGTCGCGTCCGCCAATTTAGTGATATCGACGGATCAACAGGTCGAAGACATCCCGCCTCAGATCGGTCCCTGCCTTTCCACCGAGTTCGTGCAGCCGTCATCATGATTCGACAAGACTTCCAGCGAATCGACCCCAAGCGCAGGGCAACTATCGACCCCAAAAAAAGACAGTTCGCTACTCCCACCTACAAGCAGCAAGACTACCCATTTCGTCTGAATCTGTACGACACGCCGCCGACGGCTGAGATCACCCTCGAACAGTTTGAGCAATGGGCCATTGACCGATTGAAAGGTACGATAATCCCATCTGAGCCTACATGCGCGGAATGCTAATAACAGGCCTAGTTCTCGCCGAAATCGAAGCATGCTCCTATCGCAACAAGTCCCCTGCCGAGACCGAGGCGCACATCAATCCTCTTCTCCAAAGACTCCTTCCTCTCTCTTCAAATACGTCATCTCCGCATGGCGCGGCAGATCAGCGCTTGAAAAATGAACGCCAAAAGGATCACTACTCCCACTTCATCCTCCGCCTGGCTTTCTCCGCGACGGAGGACCTGCGACGACGATTCGCACGTGCTGAAACAATGTTGTTCCGCTTCCGCTTCCAAAAAGACGACTCGAGGGAGCGACGTGCTTTTGTTGAGAGCCTCAGTCTCGATTGGGAACCTGTCAGTGATGAGGAACGTCACGAGGTGTCAGAGAGCCTGGGTAACTCAACACCCGGACTACGTAATGTCAACGAGGAGATATGGTACAAAGTGGACTGGGAAAAGGTCCCCGAGCTTGTTGAGCGTCGGACGGTACATCTGAAGAAAGGCAAGGCATACGTTCCTGGTAGAGAACAGCTGAGCATGATCATGGCCGAATTCACGGCTCGCCTGGAGCGTTCACTTGAGGTAGGTCTTGGTTAAATGTGTTGAACCTGTCTGTTTTCGGAAGAAATCAGTTAACCCTATCTCGAATAGCTCACCAGTCGCGCTCTCCCCCGTTTGGATGAGGATGATCGTCTGACCCCCATCTTGAATCATCTCTCCAAGAACTTCGGCAGTGCCGAGTCAGTGTACTCTGAAGGCGAAGGGCATGTGGATGGAGCGGCAATCACTGCAAGCTCCATTGACTCGCTGTCCCAGCACTTCCCTCTGTGTATGCGCAGCTTGCACATGAACCTGCGCAAGAACAACCACCTGAAGCACTTCGGGCGACTCCAGTACACCCTTTTCTTGAAGGGAATTGGTCTTTCTCTCGAGGAGTGTATCATATTCTGGCGCCAGTCGTTCAAGGGCAAGACAGATGACGAGTTCAACTCCCAATACAAATATAACACCCGTCACGCCTATGGTGATGTCGGTGGCGATGTTAATCGCCGTGGTCGAGGATATCCTCCCTACTCATGCCAAAAGATTTTGAGTGACAACAACGTCGGTATCGGGCAAACACACGGTTGTCCATACCGCCATTACTCGGTCGACAACCTTGTTGGGCTACTCCAGTCTACTGGTGTTCACGATAAGGAGATTTTGCGTGGAGTTCGCGAGGATGTAGGCAAGCAGCGGTACCACATTGCCTGCAACCGAGTTTTCGAGTGGTCACACAAGGGCGAGATCAAAAAGGTCAAGGAGGATGGCACATGGACGCAAGCCGACCTGGACACCATTGTGCATCCTAACACCTATTTCAAGCGTAGCTACTTGCTGAAGCAGCTGGCAAAGGCTCCGGGCCGAGACGCTTGAGCCCTCTCGCATGTGAAATTTTATTTTTTATTTATTTTTTAATGAGGTTACGTCTACTCGTCTGAGATCGTGCAATTGGGTCAGCTGGCGTTTTTAAGGCATGGATTTAGTACAATCAAGGCTATTCAGTAAGGTTTTTTTGGGTTTCTTGTGAATGGATAGTAACATGTTGATATTAATGTTTGATAACTAAGACTCATTTACGGGAGAGGTCTGTGACCACAGCTGATTCCCAATAAATCCGAAAGGATCAGAATGACCTTTCAAAATCAGGTGCCCAGCAACGGGTCAAATCGATCTCCGCTCGACGTGAGAACAACTTCATCATGGATGGACGGAAGCTGTCGATATTAATTGTGAAATTTTAAGTCGGCGTGTTAAAACATGAAGAGAAAAGAGAGCGGCGGGCCGCGTCGAGATTTAAGGCGGATAGGCTACGGCGGGCGGCAGTAACCAGTAGCGCTGCAACCTGGCCTTAATGGGGGAACGGGCACCTCCACACAACAGACTCACCCTGTACTCGAACCTCGAACCTGTTAGCTGACATCGGGGCCTCTGATTCTGGGACTGGGTTGTGCTCCGGTGTGGTTCTTTTGTCTAGAGTTCCCTGGAGCTATTCGAAAACGAGGCTTGCTTGCGACTTGATTCGCTCCTTGTCCCCCTCATCTCCTTGTCAACATCGCCCCCCAAGAACCGAAACGCAACCGCAACCATGGATTTCGAAGCTCTGAAAGATCAATGGAGCGATGTGGAAGATCGCGATGGAATTCGGCTGAGTTGGAACACTTTCCCGAGCTCTCGCATGGTTCGTGCTTGATTGGCCGCTGTCAGCTCTACTCTTGTATCATTTACTAAAACTGGATATAGGAAGCCTCCCGCTTGGTCGTTCCCATCGCTGCCGTATACACGCCATTGAAGGAGAAGCCTGATTCGCCATTGCTTCAATATGAGCCGGTTACTTGCAAGCAGCCCTGCCGGGCCGTTCTCAACCCATATGCGTAAGTGTTATCGATGACCTCGGTATGTTCCGTGGACTGACCGCTGCTAGGACCGTCGACATCCGCGCGCGAATCTGGATCTGCCCCTTTTGTCTGATGCGCAATCCTCTTCCGCCTCACTACAAGGATATCACCGAAAACACAATACCCCCCGAGCTCCACCCGCAGAGCACCACCATCGAGTACCAACTGGCACGACCCGCTCCGGCGCCCCCGATCTTTGTTTATGTGGTGGACACTTGCCAGGAGGATGATAGCCTGCAGGCGCTCAAGGACTCGCTCATTATGAGCTTGTCATTGCTCCCCCCGAATGCGCTGGTTGGCTTAATCACCTACGGCACAATGGTAGACGACCCATTCCTCCCTCCTCCAACTTTACTCTTGGTATAGAACTCGCATACTGACTGCAGGATATAGACACAAGTGCACGAGCTTGGTTACACCGAGTGCGCCAAATCGTACGTCTTCCGAGGCAACAAGGACTACACTGCCAAGCAGGTGCAGGAGATGCTTGGTCTTGCTTCGGGTATGCGTCCCGGCATGCCTCCTCAACAGCAACCGCAACGCCCTCCCCTCGGCCCCGCCGCTCGATTCCTCCTGCCGGTTCAACAGGCTGAGTTCCAGATTACCAATGTTCTTGAGCAGCTCCAGCGTGACCCGTGGCCCGTCGCAAACGATAGACGTGCTTTGCGTTGTACCGGGGTGGCTCTCAGTGTTGCTGTTGGTCTGCTCGAGACATCCTTCCAAAATGCCGGAGGCCGCATCATGAACTTCACTAGTGGACCTGCCACAGATGGACCTGGCCAGGTCGTCTCACCCGAGCTGAAGGAGCCAATTCGTTCGCATCACGATATCGATCGAGACAACATCAAGTTCTATAAGAAGGCTGTCAAGGTATGTTCCTGGTTAATTCCTGACTTACAAGCCCTATCAGCTAACTATGATAGTTCTATGATAATCTTGCCAAGCGCGCTGCCAACAATGGTCACGTCGTTGATATATTCGCCGGTTGTCTGGACCAGGTCGGTCTTCTGGAAATGAAGAACCTCTCCAACTATACTGGTGGCCACATGCTGCTTACGGACAGTTTTACTTCCTCCCAATTCAAGCAATCGTTCGTCCGGGTTTTCGACAAGGACGCCAATGATAATCTTCTGATGGGATTTAATGCCTCACTCGAGGTGTTGACCACCAAGGAACTCAAGGTCACTGGTCTCATTGGTCACGCGATCTCTCTGAACAAGAAGTCAAGCTCGGTTGGCGAGACAGAATGTGGTATTGGCAATACCTGCGCTTGGAAGATGTGCGGCATCGACCCCTCCGCCAGCTATGGCGTCTATTTTGAAATTGCCAACCAAGGTGGTCCTGCTGCGGTTCAGCCCGGTCCTCAACGTGGTATGATGCAATTCTTGACATACTACCAACACTCCTCCGGGCATTACCACCTGCGTGTGACGACTACTGCACGCCCCCTGAGTGGCCCCGCGGGCGACCCGACGCTAGCACAGTCCTTCGACCAAGAGGCTGCCGCCGTACTTATGGCTCGAATCGCGGTCTACAAGGCAGAGGTCGACGATGGTCCCGACGTACTGCGCTGGGTAGATCGGATGTTGATCAGGTTGTGCTCACGCTTTGCGGATTACCGGAAGGATGACCCGACGTCATTCAGACTGGAAAAGAACTTCACTCTCTATCCTCAGTTCATGTTCCACTTGCGGCGAAGTCAATTCCTGCAAGTGTTCAACAACTCGCCCGATGAGACCGCTTTCTACCGTCATGTCCTGAACTACGAGGATGCTGGTGACTCGCTCGTCATGATTCAGCCCACTCTGGACTCCTACTCTCTGGAGGTGGAGGGCAGCCAGCCTGTCCTGCTGGACTCTGCTTCCATCCAGCCCGCGCATATTCTCCTCCTCGACACCTTCTTCCACATTCTCATATTCCACGGCGAGACCATTGCCGAATGGAGGAAAGCTGGCTACCAGGACCAGGAGGGCTACGAGAACCTCAAGGCGCTTCTGGAACAGCCGAAAGAGGATGCTAGGGTTTGTTTTTCCCACAGTCCCCATTGGCATATATATATATTCTAAAGACTAATCATCTCGCAGGAACTCATTGCTGACCGCTTCCCTCTGCCTCGATTCATTGTCTGTGATGCTGGCGGCTCTCAGGCCCGTTTCCTTCTCTCTAAGTTGAACCCGTCGACCACTCACACCACAGGTGGATACGGTGGTGGCGTGTCCTCGCAGACCATCTTCACTGATGATGTTTCGTTGCAGACCTTCATGGACCACCTGATGAAGTAAGTGCATTCTCTTTCTTGCATTCAAATTTCATCCCCTGTGCATGTTTTAACTCCTTTTTCTAGGCTTGCGGTGTCCGGCACTAGTTAAGTTGCAATGAGATAATAGCCATGAGAGCAAAGGGCGGTTTGATATCTACCCCTCGGGTCTTGTGTATCTTTAGCGGTGATTGAATTTCATTTTGACGCAATAAAGTAGTAGATTGAATGGATTGATACCAAGGCATTTACATGTTAGTCGATCGTTGGGACTTTTGCTGTCTTTCCTCGTATGTAGATCCTTCGATGGGGCCGAAAGCCGAACTGTTCCTATGCAAATACCGCGAATCCGACTCAGGTCAACAAGATACCTGATCGGGTACAAAGCTCTATGTCACGTGACATTTTATGCAGGGTTGTGCCCTATTACCCGTTTCGGATACTCGCTTACCACTAGCCGCTGTGGGTCCGCGGTACGCCCGACAACTTCATTTTGAATTCCGAGTAGCTTTTTCTTTCTTCCTTTCCCATCCACCCCTTCGACAACCACAGGCAGATTGACTACCTTTCGCACTCGCCATGCGTAAGTATCATCGCCTTGGTCATACTTAATGGCGGCTAACATGTTCTCTACTCAGCTCCCAAGTTCGACCCCAATGAGGTGAAGATCATTCACCTGCGTGTGACTGGTGGTGAGGTTGGTGCCCAGTCTGCTCTGGCCCCCAAGATCGGTCCCCTCGGTCTGTCTCCCAAGAAGATTGGTGAAGATATTGCCAAGAACACTGGCGACTGGAAGGGTCTGCGTGTCACCGTCCGCCTCACCATCCAGAACCGTCAGGCCGCTGTTTCTGTCGTTCCCTCCGCCTCTTCCTTGGTCATCAAGGCCCTGAAGGAGCCTCCCCGTGACCGCAAGAAGGAGAAGAACATCAAGCACAACAAGTCCATCCCCTTCGACGACATTGTCGAGATTGCCCGTACCATGCGCTCCCGCTCCATGGCCAAGTCTCTCCAGGGTACCGTCCTTGAGATTCTGGGTACTGCTTTCTCCGTCGGCTGCCAGGTCGACGGTCGCAGCCCCAAGGACATCTCTGACGATGTCAAGGCTGGCGAGATTGATGGTAAGCCCAGCTGCTGATGTACCCCCTATCAAGACAAGTGCTAACTTTTCTCAGTTCCTGAGGAGTAAATTTTCCTCTAGGAATCGAAGGAGGTGGCGATCTGCTTTTGTAACGGCACTCAAGCCCGCCGAAATGCGGCGCTAGTTACAGAATACGAATGTTGCCTACAAAACAAGAAAAAGTTTCATGAGTCATGACTTGATACCATGTTTTCTGCGCTCTGGTGCGAGTGTCCGAATGAAAAATTGGATCACCTTCGCATCTTCGTCTTCTCTTCGTTCGTATAGATTCCTTTCTCCTTACACTCTTTCATGGCATCCTCTCGCTTCACCTTTCCCTTGGCGGTGGAGGATCCTGGAAGACTAGACGCCCTGGCGCACACCATTTTTCCATCTCCAAACACCTTGCAACACTCTGGCCCTTACCGTTCTTTCCCTGCGGGGACTGGACATTTTCGCTATGTGGTATCCGGCTTATTTTAAGCAAGGGAGAGCAACCGATCCATTACTCACCGCGGTTTCCTTGGTGGGCGGCCTCTGGTCGAACTCCGTGGTAACAGTGGTCCATCTTTTCGGGTCTACATCAATTCAGTACTAATCGAGGTTAGTTCTCGGTTTCGTAGCATGTAAATCATGGTCATCTGGCAGGACATTGGCAGTATATTAAATCAATTCGACTTTTTTTGTATTTTCTATTCCCTTTCATCTTCAAAGTTACATTGGCGTGGAACAATTGGCGTGTTCACCGAACACTTCTTTGGTGTAATTTCCCTGTTCCACTGCATTAGATGAGATCTTGAAGTATATTTTTTGTACTGGTCTGATCCCGGGCTGTGGTAAATTATATCAAATAGATCTGTGGTACGTTCAATCCCAGGCGAGCATACTCCGCGTGCGCTGCGACTCGTAGTATCAAATATGAGATGATCATCAATAGCAGCTTGTGTCACCCCAACTATCTGCATTTTTCGCGCCAGGACTATCATGCCTTTTTGTTTTTTTTTTTTTTTTTTTTTTGTTGGGACCTGCTCTCGCATGTCTAATGCTTCAATGTCTGGTATCCCACAACATTGTGGTCGTCTGCACACTGCAAGGTCCACATCTTCCAACGCAGCTAGCGGGGAGATATATACAGGTGTGGGACAGTGATCTTGAGGCACCAGACTCAAGACTCACTAACATATACCGAAGGATTCCGACCCCCACTCGAATCGAATTCAGCCCCAAGACAGCGATCTCCCACGCAGCAAGCAGCTAATTCAAATGCGCGGCGGAAACGGGTACACTGCGGTGTACATATATCGCCGCCCACCCTCCCCCAGTCCGCGCCAGCGACCCCACCGCCATATGGCGATGAGCTTGTTTCGTGCCATTCTCGGCCATCAGCAGGGGAATTCGGCGACTTGAAACGTCACATACACATATCAAACTGCCGTTCGCCTACACCGCATTGGCAACCCTGGTTTTACAAATCGCCTGGCGCAACTTGTTGCATGTCGATGTCCCACAGTGATTGGATGCCTCGCACCCGGTGCGCAGGCTGTGTAGAATACCTACAGTCGGTATACGGGGTACAGGGCTGGGTGCTCATCTGCCTCCAGGTCGGCCTTCAAGTCCGGAACAGCGACGAAGGCGAGAGGAGATTAAAAAAAAAGGCAGAGTGGAGGTCAGCAAAACGCACGCCTTTTCCACACCGAGGCGACACGAGTGATTGCGATGCAGCTAAGAATCTCTGGACCCAGACGTGACCGTGAGCGACTCCACTGGCGCCGACGATCCTGGCTGGTTGGCCCTGATAAGGCCCTGTTCGTGCACTGCTCCTCCATGCCTCCACTCCCTCTTCGGACGGCGGTGGAGACTCGAGGCGCGGGAGTTACAGGTGCCTCCATCGTGGGTGCACGGTTCCTCTGGGAAGTCACGCAGTGGATAAATCCCTCGAGGACAGTGTCGCTGGGACATACTCACTGGCTGCGTTGACCCAACACTGATCCTTAGCCCCAAGATGGCTTCGGGGAATATCGAAGGTTGGACAAATGAGCGTTGGCCCGGGCCTCCAGGATTCTCGCTGCGCTCCTTTTTGAAACCGGTACCTGCCGGGCCATCTTGGGACGACGGCGCCCGTACCACCCGACCCGCATGCCAGACAAACGTTGCTCAGGAGGATGGGAGGGGAGGGTGAGTTTGCCGATCGCTGCAGCCTGTGGAGGGAGTGGGCATGGGACGCCCATCCTCCCGCTCTCCAGTGGCCAGCGGCACATCTCTCAGGTCCGCTCTGGCATGGAAGTTTCGATGGTGTATTCCTCGCTGCCACTGTGTCGCCCATGCCATAACAGCGCCCCGACAGGGGAGGCGGAGAGGTGGGAGTTATGTGGGAAAGGAGCGCGTCCCCACCACCGACCTGTAGACACCCTCTGCTCACCCAAAACAAATGGCACCTCCCAAGCAAAGAGACAAAAAATTAAGGCAAAGGGATAGGATCGAAACATCCCTGCCAGCAACCCCAGAATTCTATCCTGGATAGGAAAGGATCGCAGGGTGGATGAGGCGGCCACCAGCAAACAGGGGTCGCCTGTCACTGGGACACGAAACGATGGCAGATGGCGGACGGTGGCTGCAGGGAAAGGGGGTCGCCTACTCCGTCCAGCTGTGCTTTTTTTGGGGCAGTGGTCGTAGGGTCTCTTTTTTTATTATTTTTTATTCTAGTCAGTGTGGTTTCAATTTGCATACCGCATGACTGCCAATATCCTTCCAGTACTTCAGTACGACTGTAAGTACAGTATAGACCGGCGGAAGATTTCGTTTCGATCGTCCCTGTGGCGCATCTGGGGAAAGGCAGCCTCATCGATGACTGGAAGACAGAGCGTGGCAGGTGGTGGCGCCGGGCATCGAGTCTAGCCATGAGAATCACGAAGGTTCCGCCAACTCCATAGTAATCCTCGCGACTCCACCGCGCGCAGCCCAGGACGAGAACGGGCTCGACTCGATCATCACAGCGGGGCGTCACCGATCCATGACTAGTCACCCGGATGGGGCCAATGGCCCACTGACGTTGGCTGCTTGCTGGAGATTCCAGGCCAGAGGAGGGTTCAGCCGTTGGATCGAGTGGAGTCGGTGGATCAGGGAGGAGGAGGCAGAGAGAAAGAGGTCGAAGCCGCCGGAGGGGGCTGCCCTCTACGGCAGAATCGAACATCAATACTACAACTACATGATAGCATCTCTTGTATAAGAACAAATAGTACACCATCCCATAGAAGAAAAAATGCAGTCGCAACTCGCGCTCTCGTAGCCGCTACACGAAACAAAACGCAAATCCCCCTCAAATCAAATCACATTCAGGAAGAAAAAAAAAGTGGCCGCGACGATCCCGCCTTCCCCCACTCGGCTTGGCTGGAGTGCCTCTCTGGAGCTGCTGCTGGCGGCGGTAATGTATGACTCTGCCCTTTCCCACCCTTCGCAACACTCCTTCAACCACGCAACCCCCTCGGCCAAGGCCCTGTCGTCTCGACTCTCCTTCTCTTCCTCGTCGCCCCGCTCCTTCGCTCGACGTCGCCGTGTGCAAATTACTGCCGAGATCACCTGCATTTCATTGGCCCACTCGTCTCGGACACCAGCAGATCGCGAGCTGGAGGTGCCCCTTCTCCCTTGCATGTGCGGCGGAAGATCGAAACTCAGCTGCTTCCAAGCTGTCCTTTACCCTTATCACCCCGAGGCTGTTCATCGCGGGGACACCCAAGACGCCCCTTTTCGATGACGAGACTGTGAGCCGGGTGTGCACGCCTTGCTCCACCATCATCGCGCGGGACCTGGAAAACCCATGATGAGGTGTCGGAAACGCTACAAGGAGGATGCTTGTTGAATACTCATGAGCTTGAACGGACCGTGTGTTGATTCTCACTCTTTCTCCCTCGCCGTTTCTCTTCCTCGGTCGTTCTCGACCAGGAGACCGACCCGTAGTGGTCGAACGTCGTGAAGATGTTTCCGACCGTCGCGCAGTTGCCTTCGGTCCAGCCTCACCTCCACTATCCCAACCATGATGCCTTCAACCAACCGCACGACCTGAATGACCCCACTTTATCTACTCGCAACGACCCCTCGAAGCCACCTCATAACATCAACTCATCCTTACGAACGTGCCTCCCGCTCCCGCACCCCGTTCAACGCCTCGACTCCCGCGACGCTTCGAGGTCGAGCTCGACGACGGCGGCCGGCGAACACGCATTACGAAGGAAAACTCCAAACGGAACGCTGGCGGCGGGTTATGACGGGACTCCTGGGGATAGCACGATCCAACCGGCGAACAAACACCTCCTGATCTCTCCGATGGAGTCGGGCCAGTTTCTTTCCGCGCAAGCAGGGTTGCATCCAGATGCATGGCCCCAGCCGAATTTGGGCCAGTCCGTATCCAAGCAGATGAACTTCCCACCAGTCTTCAAAAACGACGGAACCAATAATGCCATGGCCCCCGGTGAAGTGGTTCAAGACGCGAATGGTACGAGCTGGGTTCGCCCGGTCAACTACCCGCCAGGCATCGACTCGGTCCTCAACCAAAGCCTCCCCTTACAAGCGTCTCAACGATTCCTTCTACACAATGGCGCCTATGTACCGACTGTTCTGCCTGCAACCCTGCAGCAATGTGTTGGACCGACCGCCTCCGCCGGCACTGGCCCATTTGGCCCATACTGGCCGGATGGTGTTTACATTCCCTATCGCCCAGCTGCGTTTCGTGATGCGCGGTTTGGCTCCCCCACACCGACGGGATCGCCCTTCTTCGAGACTAACCGCTCGGTTTTCCCTCAACCAATTCAACCTGGCAGCCGCGCGGACTCAGGATTCTCATGGAACCAATCTGCCGCCGGCATGCCCCCTCAAGATCCTTTGATGAAAACACATTTCCCTCCTCGTCACTCTGATCAATTGCCCTATCATGCTCGCGTCAATAGGCCAGTTTCGGGGTACTCTCCGAACCCGCTCCATAACGAACCCATGACCTGGGCAGGCCGAAATCCGGGACCTGGGTTCCAACCTCAAGGTCCACCGACCACGGTCAATGTGGAATTCAAGGAAAAAATATTATCATGGGCGCATGGTGTCTATGTCGATTTACTAGCAACTATCCACCAAGCTCGTCGCAACAGCATATCCAACGGCGGAGTTGACGGTCAGAATCAACGATTTTTGAAACCAAGCATTTATCCCAAACCGCCGCGACAGCCGGGACTTGACTTTTCTCATAGTAACGTTGCCGATGTCCCTCGCCACAACAGTTACCCGGCGAGCCAACATGACCTGCGACGGCAGAAGCTCGTTGCTTTGCCGAACCCGAGAATGACCGACGGCTCCTCTGCATCTCTTGGTCTAGGTAGTGTTCACGGGCGACGCCCGTCGCTGAATCAATTCTCCCAACATAGAGGTTCCGACGCACAGATGCGTGACGCCGGACGTTTTTCAGGTGCAACCACTGCCCCCCGGTTTTCCGGGACTATTTTCAATGAAGGCTCTCCCGTGGCCAACGCAGTGTCTGCACTCGAAATGTTGTCCCACCTTTGCATGGAAAGCCACTGGGAGTGGATCGATGGGATACTTCTCGGTGGTTGCCTGGCGTATGGCCTTGGGGATTACCACAAAGCTATGCGATGGTACTCGCGAATCATCGGACGTGACGCAGCGTAAGTAAGACTCGATGCCCGATTTTTGACGTGTATGTCACTAACCTTGAAATGTCATTTGTAGACACGTGGAGGCCATCTCAAACCTCGCGGCAACCCTACTGGCTCTGGACCGACGAGAAGAGGCACTTCAAAATTGGCTACGCGCTGTGAAACTCCGCCCTAGTTTCTTTGAGGCAGTCGAGCATTTGATTGGCCTTTTATGCAGTAGTCAACGTGGCAAGGAGGCTGTCAATATTATCGATTTTGTTCAGACCTCACTGCGTCACCCTAAGGATGGAGATTGCTTCAAAACCGATGAGAACGCCAGCGAACCAGAAAGCGATGCCGAAAGCAATGTGTCCGATCTCGGCCTGTATGAAAAAACATCCTTTGATTATGAGGATGACATGAGACGTGTACAAAACCTGAATTTGGGCTCGCCCGATGGCTCTCCTATCGGCTTTGCCACTAGTGGTTATGCTATCCCCGGATCTGACAATGGGAGAATGTTGGCTCTGGTTCATGCCAAGGGCAACATGCTCTACGCTCTGGGCGATAATAGCGGTGCCGCGGAAGCTTTCGAGGACGCCGTTTTGATCGCCGCAGGGAGAAGACGGCATGGTATTCAGGGTCTCATCAAGCAAATTTTCGCCGCCTTCACGCATGGACCCGGTTATCACCCGTCGGAACCTGATCCCAGCAGTTTCGACAGCGTTTTGTTGTATCCGGACAGAGCTCTTCAAACCTCCAAGCTTGTTTTCCAGACGAGCAATGGAACTCCCCGGGCTTGAAATTCGTGACCGAAGGCATTTCTCGGAATGCGGCAATCTCTACCACAAGTAATTCGCTGCTCTCGTTGGCAAAGATATACCAAGACGGCATGTCCACCTTGTCTTCGAAAACTCCGAGATCGGTACCAGGTGTGCGAGATATTCTGGCGCTCTATTACCTGTCGCTGTCTCTCCAGCCGAGCCCATCTACTGCTAATAATGTTGGTATTCTTCTCGCTGGGATTCAGAACAATCCTCCTGCAAGAGGGTTGGTGCGACCTAATGGAGAAAGTCAGCATCCCGAGATACCGGGCGTCATTCCTGGAAGTGGCATTTCCCTGGCATTGGCATATTACAACTATGGCTTGCATCTCGATTCTCGGCACGCTCATCTCTATACCAATCTGGGAAGTCTTTTGAAAGATATTGGACAACTTCAGGCCGCTATCAAGATGTATGAGCAGGCCGTTCAATGTGACGGCAATTTCGACATCGCTCTTGCCAACCTGGCCAATGCTGTTAAGGACGCTGGTCGAGTCAACGATGCAATTTCGTATTACAAGCGCGCTGTCACTGTGAATCCAGAATTCGCAGAGGCTGTCTGCGGATTAGCCAATGCCTTGAACTCCGTGTGTAACTGGCATGGCCGCGGTGGTATTGTCCATGGCCGCGGATTCCGTGATCGCTGGCACGTGGATGAGCAAGGCATGCTTCGCGACGCCCAAACCAATGATTCTGGCGCCGGCTGGGTCAAACGAGTCGTGGAGATCGTCGATCGACAGCTCAGGGAAGGAGAATACTGGGGCCGTGGCCTGTTGACACAGAGCACAGCAGAACAGTTGGTGGGCCAGTTGACTCCAGCATTGGATTCCGGCCGCTTCGCTTCGAGCCGACAAATGTCTCTTGCCAAAGTTCTTCGGTCGTGGGCCGGGCAAAAGTGGGAAGGGTCTCGTATTGTTCGACTTGTTGAACGGGCTATTCGATCAATCACGTGGCAATGGTATCAGGACCGATATGTCTATGGAAAGGACTATCCCTCCTCCAAGTACCGTCGGCCTCAACTTCCGGCCGCGCTCACCGCGCCAAATGCGCCAACGGTCCTTCCGTTTCACACCTTCACATGCCCTTTGTCCGCAAAACAAATCCGACAGATCTCACAACGCAATGGTTTGAGAATATCATGCTCGACTCTGCGACTGCCGTGGCTTCCGAGCACGGTATATCGGCCACCATCCCCTCCCAAACCGTATCTTCGGGTTGGTTATGTGTCGTCTGACTTTAACAATCACCCACTGGCGCATCTCATGCAATCGGTTTTCGGCCTACACGATCTCAACCGAGTCAAGGCGTACTGTTACGCCACCACTACTAGCGATAAATCCGTCCATCGGCAGCAGATCGAGAAAGAAGCACCGGTATTTCATGACGCCAGCGGGTGGCCGGTGGATCGACTGGTCCAGCAAATTGTCGACGACGGAATCCACATCCTGATCAACTTGAACGGCTATACCCGCGGAGCCCGCAACGAAGTCTTCGCCGCCCGACCTGCCCCGATCCACATGTCCTTCATGGGCTTTGCCGGCACACTCGGCGCAGAATGGTGTGATTACATCCTCGCTGATCAGCTTTCGATTCCTCCTGAAACCCTGAGTCCTGGGCGGCGGATGACTCGCATCGAGGATCGTATGCTCGACGGCGACAATGGTGAAGATCTCGAGGACTGGGTCTATGGTGAAAAGATCGTATTCACTCGCAACACATTTTTCTGCTGTGACCACCGACAGAGCGCTCCAGATGCTGGAGAACGACTTGGAACATGGGATGACGAGCAGATTCGTCGCTGGAAGATGCGCAAAGAGCTCTTTCCCAAGCTTAGCGACGACACCATCATTCTGGGTAATTTCAATCAGTTATACAAGGTACGCAAATCTTGATCGACTAACTGCAATTCTTTTCATCCACTGACCAACTTTCTGAGTAGATTGAGCCAACTACATTCCGGACATGGCTGCGTATTTTGTCGCGAATTCCCAATGCTGTGCTCTGGTTGCTGCGATTCCCGGAGTTGGGCGAACAAAACCTTCGAGAAACAGCCAAGGCGTGGGCCGGTGAGGAGACAGCCTCGCGGATCATCTTTACGGATGTTGCACCGAAAAACACACACATTGCACGAGCCAAGGTGCTGGATTTGTTCCTGGACACGCCGGAGTGCAACGCGCACACGACAGCCACTGATGTTCTGTGGAGCGGAACTCCACTACTCACGTTCCCTCGTTACAAGTACAAGATGTGCTCGCGCATGGCTAGCAGTATCTTGAGCAGTGCTCTCCCAAGCTCCGAAGATGGCCTGCGGGCCCGTGAGGAGCTGATCGCCTCGTCAGACGATGATTATGAGGCCAAAGCTGTCCGGCTCTGCTTGGACCTACAGTACCACCGAGGCGGCGAAGGCCGGGCCACCGGGCGCCTAGCAGACATTCGGCAGATGCTGTTCCTACGACGATACACGAACAAGCTCTTTGACACGGCGCGCTGGGTGCGTGACCTCGAAGACGCTTACGAAGCGGTATGGGCGCAATGGGTGAAAGGTGAAGAAGGCGATATCTGGTTATGATGTGCACAGCGAAATATACCCCTTGAGCGTGATTTATTTCTGTTTCATTTTGTCTTTTTTTAATGTTATCTCTATTTATCTTATTTCACTTGAAGATCAGGCTTCTTTCTACCTTCACGATTTCCATCTGGATTTTTATCATTCACTTTACCTTTCATCTCTTCACTCTCCACTATGCAGAGCTTCTTATTCTTATTCTTTACTTGTTCATTTGGGACTCTACATCTGGTGTTAAATTGATGTATTCATATTGGGATCATGAAATCGCGCAGGAGTTTTTCTTGTCTGCTTACATAGAATGTTTTCATTATCGCTTTGTAGCCGAGAATACGTCGCTCTCGCTCTGGCGCACATAGCCAGCTAGTCCCAGCACGATTAGGGTACCTTTGTAGGTGTATTTATCTCTTCCTAAATATGGATATTGTATCTCCGGTCGGTATTTCCTAGATAGAACTTACTCCTCAAGATAGCAGTAACATATACGAAAAGTTATGGCGACCAAAGCCCACTTCCAATTCAGTAGGGCTTGATGCTTGAATTATACCTCCACTTGACCGCCCTACATAAAAGTCATCAATACTGTCGCCCAAGCAGTCTTCTGAACGGTCAGCTGAACCGTCATCTGAATATTCACCTACCTGGTAATATCGCCACTTCCAATCTTGAAAGGCCGATGAAGCTTCAACAAGTGTTATGGATATGAAACTTTTTTATAGTTCTAGTAATTTTTCGTCTGTCAGTATTGGATCAGCCAGGAATGGAAAATAGGGTATCATCACTTGTGACCATGGGCGAACAAAGGAAAGTGAGCTCTGGCCACTATAACCTGCCGTAATTCTGTGCCATGTCAGGCGCCGAGACCACAAATTCAGCTTCGTTGGGCTAGGGTTCATCTATTTCCAGCGGCTACGGATGACCGACTAGCAGGTATTGACTGGGTCCTGGCAAAAGTCTACTTAGTGTTGTCGACATCCGGACAACACGAAAATTGCTGCCAGCCAACCTCCTTCAGGCCAAGGCCTAGTGAGTTCCAAATACCGAGTCCTGCCAACGCACCCAAAGAAGCAACTGGAAGGTCGTCAAGATGATTGTCACCGCTAGAATCGATAAAACGACATACTAGTCCAGAAGCAGGACGGTACGCCGGCTCAAAAACGACGCCGAAGGGGATGACGAGGAGGAAGATGGACCAAGATCTAGAAGAGCCTTGGTGGAAGCCATTCCCCATACTGCAACCAAGGAACCTTCCTGTTCCAGTGCGGAGATCAGTCGTTAGTTAGTTTCGGGGAGGTTTCAAGGCCTAAAGAAGCAGCAAAATGCGAAGGCCGATCATTGACAGTCATCCACTGCAGCCCCACCGCCCGAACGCTTCATTCCGATCCGACAAACCTAAATATCAAATCGCAATTATTTCTTTTTCGTGTCTGCGCTCCTTCGGTCAGGCAGCCCAGAACCTGGCAATCCAACCCCGAGTCCTATTCTTTGCCGCGAGCCCACTTTTTCCTTGTTGAATGCCAGCTGGGAGCTCCGAGTGTCGATCAGGCCAATAGAGCCCCTACTTGGTTCGTATGCACCAATTATTATTCCGTTCCCACGGCACTCCGTATATATCAAGTAGACATTTATAGAGTGGGTGCGTAACAAAGAATCCAGACTGGCAGGTCACGTATGGCACGGAAATCCCTGAATGATCCCAGTTCAGGATCCATGGTAGCTGAGTTCAGCCCAGCTCCTCAGTGCTCCGTCCGAAGCACTAGTGGCACCGTCCCATTGAGGAAAATGCTGGCTTTGGCACCTGGACGACCCACGATCCGGGACGGGCACGGTCGGGGAGAAGCTCAAATTCGAGCAACGGTTTTGCCTTTGACTTCGCCCCGACAGGCGGGTACCTATGTGCGCTAGGCCGAAGCGGGGGTTAGCACAGATTCGACCGAGATCCTCCGTAGGCCAATGAGCGAGCCGGGTATGGCGACTCCGCTGGGCTAGGTACTGCTAGGTTGTCCACTAGCAGAGGAAGGTGAGGAGAGCTGGGGTGGGACGGTGTTTGAAATTGTCTGGTATCTGATTTATTGTGTGCTCCATCTTCCCAATCTAGTTCCCTACAGAGCCATCCTCATATTACAGTACTGAGATGCGCAATGCGATCTGTTGTGTACGGTTGACACGGTGCACATATGCTTCATACTATAACATACTAACACTATAGTTGTACTAGTAAATTAGTAGTACTAGCAGTACTACCATATCCACAGGTGCTACCGCATAACGGAAAATGGTGAAGGTACGGGCGGGTGCCGTTAGCCCTAACTCGCGTCATCCGCGGGGTAAGGAATATTGATCGAGGATCAAATAGCGTGATGAATGATTTCATCTCGTGATTGTCCGGTACCCTGGAAAGATCGAACGCAAGAACAACCGTGGACAGGAGACAGGCACCTCCATCTCCTCAATAATGGGTGCGCGTGCGTCAAGGTTCCCAGCTCGGGCGAGAGTAGGCGTCGATCGCAGGATCCGGTGGATTGGGCCAACGGGTGAGTCTAGTATCGTACGGTATTTTATGCAGCACTATGTATGACCATACAGTACGTGGCAGATTCCAGAGAGTGTGTACCCTACCTCGGGAAGTAATTTGAAGGCCCTCAGTATTGGGGTAGTTCAATATTTACCATCTCGTCAAAGCATGGAACGAGATCCCCTGATCCTTCGGTGGTGGTTCCGTGGTTCGCCCGACGGTGATCCTATTTCAAACCCCAAGGTTCCTGGATACGGAATACGAGCCCCAGTTGTACAGGATTACTCGTACAGCGTACAGAGTCAACAATACCAGATCGCTCGGCACCGTTTGGCCGTCACCCGGACCGGGAGTTGGCCCTGGCAGCGAAGGAACTTCTAGTGGCCGCCAACAAACTCTGACTCGTAGGACAGGTTTCTTTCACCATTGCGCTGGGCTTGACCAGGATGCAAAACCTGGAAATGAAGTCGCGCACTTCCTCGGGTTTCTTTGTTCCAGTCTCCAGGGATTTGCCAGAGGGATTCCTTTTGTTATTCCTCCCCATCCCGCGACGCTGGATCGGGATTCCCCTGTACCGCGGGGTATCCTTCGTAATTCCCTGTATGCCGCGTGTAATCGATTACCGGAGAATTTACGCCATTTCAAATTCCAAATCTTTGTTCGCTTGAACCGATCTGCCTGGTACTATTGATTGCTGTGCCTCCGGTGATCAGCAGGACGGGGCCGTTAGCTACGCTGATTCGATCTGCCGCACCTCGCCCATCACAAGTCAAGACACAGGGCGGTTTCCTGGTTCGGAAGTCGCAAAAAGCTGATGGCTGGCTGATGAGTTCAGAAGGCTCAGCTGAGTTGCGATGCACAGGGCAATCGTGTGTGTATGTGTGTGTGTGCTTCAAGATGCAAGAGTGGTGGGAGTAGTCGTCGTCGTCGTCGTCGACGCCAGCTCGCTTACCATGCGCCAGCACGCCATCCCGATGCTACGATGCTGCGATGCCTCGGCTATCTCCGTCTTGGGCATACATGCTCGACCTGGAGACATTACTACGTAAATACCCCGTACTTCTGTAGCCGACGCACAGCATACAGACAGATCGAGGTCGCAGGTAAATGGGGACGGCTTCACAGTGGATCATGCCCCCTCCATGCACGGCACAAAGTGGGAGGGCTAAAAAGAAAGTGGAGAAAGCACTCCCCTCCTCTCCCAGCCACCGACGGACTTAATCCTTCGTCCCTGGCTGGCGAGTGTGGCGAAGGAACCAAGGGACAAAGAGCAGGAGCAAGACGACGCACACCCCTCGCCGGGGCAGCCGGAAAGCGAGGCGCTGCAGGCTGCACGAACACCCCGATGCCAAAGGCGAATCGAGCCCCGCCGTTCCTCCTGCCCAAGGTGACCAGTCCGATGGATGTATCCAGTCATTGGCTCTGGGTACTGGTCGGCGGGATGAGGGGCGAGACGAGGCGCCACTCAGACTCAGCGGGCCAGCGATCGCGGGCTCTTGGTTGGCGACAGGCCGGCTGGTCGTTGGGGCTGCTGCAGCCGCGGACGAACCTCTCCGTTAGCGTTTGTGCTGGTGGATGCCGATGCAAGTCAATTGGGCTTGTACTTCTTGTGTACTGTGCACTGTCGAGCCACTGTCGAGCCCGCTGTCGTCACAGTGCAGTCAGCGGACCCGCGCTCTGATTTGAAAAAGGCGCCGTGCAGGCCCCAGTGGGTCGTTGGGTCGTTCGCGAGCGTGGAAGAGAAATGTGGACAAGTACCTGATGACGACCCCTCATGGTGGTCTCATGGCCGGCCCTCCTTGCATGGCGGCCTCGTGAGCATTGTGAGTGGTGAGTGGCGCATTCCTCATCGCGACCCGGGCACCGTTGGCCAAGTGTTTCCTCGAGCGCGGCGGGACGGATGAGATCCCCATGTACAACTGTCACAGGACTTCCTCTACCCAGATTCGATCGCAGATAGTGTCCTCGCACATTAGTACACTACTAGCAGTAATGCACTGCAGTATGTAGTACATAGGTACCTTCTTGAGTATGTACCTACGTAGATGGGCTGCCTGATGTAAAACCCCAGGGTACAACTCCTGTATGGGTCCAGTGGATATGTCGGGGTTACTCCGAGGAAATGTCTCAAAATGATCCAGTTGAAACAACTGTTGATTCTTGATTGCGCGGGGGTATTATGCTAGTGATCCCAAAATCCGGGGAGGTCGGTCTCCCCTTTTCTGCAAGAAAAATTACTCCGAGGACGCCAGTCCCATGGCCGAAGAGAACCAAAGAGGATTCCAAAAAATAAAAAGAGCAAGCCCCAGTTACATCTCCCGCTGAACCGAAAGGAAAATATGGGGAAAAAACACCCAGAATTTTGAAGATCCGAACCATGGCAATACACATTAAAGGTACAAAGGAGAGTAGTGAAGAAAAAAGGAGGAAAATAACGAGCGTGGGGCTTTTGGCACATGTACAAAGTGCAGGATCCGGGTTCAGATCCGCGCGAGGAGGGGAATAGAAAGTAAAAAAAAAGGTATAGAACAAGAGAAGCAAAGATCAGATCAGAAGGTCGTACAATCGTAACAAAAGGAAGAGGATCTGCACTAGATGCCTCATAAGTTGCAAGGCGCTTCCTTGGAAAGGAAGCCCTAGTTGAGCAGGTTGTTGACGCCCATCCGGGTGTCACGCGCGGGTTCTGGCCTTGATTGCCATGGCTGAGGAACAGACTCGGTAGGCTGGTGCCACGAGGCCAGTGTAGTTTGGTGCTCCATCCAGCGCCGTTTCGACGCAAGGTCGGAGAGTGACTCGAGTGAGCGGACGGGGTAGCTTTGTGGCGAGTCGTCGACCACATGAACAGAGGCAACGCTGGGACGACGAACATCATATTGCACGCGCATGTCCACGGGGAGAGGGAGGAGCTGAGGAGAAGGAAGAGTGCGAGGAGATGAAGAGCAGACCGAGTTGTGGTCAGACACCATAGAAGGAGGTTCGGCGGAAGTAGCGTTGGAGGTCTCTGAGAAAGCGGGCGAAGTCAAGGGAGTCTCAATAGGTCGGTTGATAGAAGGCAAGGTATAGATGGGCGAGAGTTGGCGGGTGGTGGACATGGACTCCCGGCGGGAGTGCGAGAAGGCCTCCTCACTGCTCGACTCGGAGTCGGCCCATGGACGAGTGCTGAAGCGCGGGCGAGATGGACTGATTACCGATGCACGAACATATGGTGCTTCGATGCGGCCACTGAAGGTGCGCGAGATGGTGGGCGAAGAAAGGCCGCGGCGCTTGCGGTTCATGCTGCCATTCCACCAGTTCTTGACGGCATTGTCACTGCGGTTGCCGAGACGGCGGGCGATCTCAGCCCAGCGCTTGCCCATCTCGTTGACCATGCGTTCGATCATGAGGCCCTCATCTGCCGAAATGGGTTCCCGGTTCAAGGATGGCTTCAGGTTCTGGTGGAAACGTTCCCGACATTGCTTAGGCGAGCGGAAGTGCATGTGCTGGGAGATACGGACCCAGTTGTTGGGGCCTTGTTCGCGAACGAGTTGCAAGAGCAACTGGTCTTCTTCGGGGACCCAAGGTCCACGACGGTGAGAGGGAGCCATGGCGGGAGGAGTGGTGGGATGGGAGGACGTTGGGGTTGAAGTTGTGGGAGTTGTAAAGAGCCAGCCACGCAGCGCACGGCGAGAGTTATATCTGCACCCAGGGGGACGGGTCCAAGAAAAATGTCCAGCTCCACCCGCACACGCTATGGGAAGAAGATCACGATCCAAGATCTCGGAGCTGACAGTTCGGAACAATACTGCGGATACGTGGTACGGTACGGTATGGCCCACCGGGCAGTTTGGAGCTGAGCTGTATTACGTCCATATGCAGGCTCGTATACCCTCCCAAATAGGGGTCCCCTGGGGTATGAATGGGATTGCCCATTTTCGGGGATCTCGATTCTGCGACTGATTCCTACAGTCAATTAATTATAAGGTACTCCATAATTCAGCACCACCGCCAACACGTCATAGCCAGTCCTCTCGGAGCTATTCAAAGACCGAGCGGTCTTTGTCCCGGAGTGAAAGAATAAGAATTATTACCTTACGGTACCCTAAACCCAAAAGAATCATAAATGGAATAATTCATGAATTAATCATAAAAATAAAACCCCGAACAGTACGACCCGGGAATCCGGGCTGAGGAATACCGTAATGATCGGAGGGATCGACCCTGAGCCCCGTCGCTGGAATTCCAAATCATCGCCCGCGCTAAAACCAAGCTATTCAAAAAAAAAAAAAAAAAAAAAAAAAAAAGTCCGAGCTCGCAGAGTCCCAAAGCGCCGGTCTTGAAGAAGCAATATGCTGAAGAGTCGTGGAGGGCACCACCATCCCCCAAACGTGATCGAATTCATACAGACGTACTCTATAGTAAGATTTATAAGTACTAGTACACTAAGACTAAGTAGCTGCTCCTTGTAGTCGGCAGCCGAGGCAGATTCATTGTTTATTATGATGGGCGTAGTTCGGGCGGTAGCCATGGTAGCCTCCAGCGAGTTCCGTGGTCGCTGCCAATTGCAACCGCCCAACCTCCTCCTCCACTTCCCCCTGACAGACACACAGACTCAACCCACAGACAACCGTAGGAACGGTGCAGTGGAATCCCAAACGGGCCAGGGGCAGATCTAGCTTCCGACAAGTGACAAGCGAGAGGCGCGGTTAGGGTCATGATTCACCCCCAGTCTTCAGCCAGCCATGCACGACACGCTGCTGGATCGTCTCCGATCCATGTGCAATCGGCCATCTGGTCTTCACCATTGGTTCGATCGGCGGCTCCCTCGAGCTCCTTGGAAGCTCCACTCCCCATCCAACTTGGTGGGTCATGACGGTGGAGTTCGGATCGTGTGTTGACAAATTCCCTACACGCCGTTTCCTGAAGAAGGAACAATTGGAATCATCATCCAATACCCTCCCCGAAATAGGGGGTCACCACGAGACTTTATCCAAGCTGACAACGGCGACGCCGGTTCCCCAAAGGAGCTGAGCCTCGTCCACCCCGAGCATGTCCGAACGGTGCGGATGCTTGTGCCAGGAATGTGGATCGGCGGGAGAGCGTTGCACATCGACCCAGACACCGCACACCCCCTTTCCCCTTGGGTTCCTCCTTCGTCTGTGCCTTGCAGCGATCGAACTGATCGAGCTGCCCGAAACTGATCGAGCTGGCCGTTTCGGGCAGCTCGCCTCACGATGACTATAGTATATACATCCGCCTTGGCCGGTCGATGCTGTCGACGAGTTCTCGGACCCTAGGTACGCTGGGGTCTTCACATTCTTCGGCCACACTGCCAAAGAACTACACATTGCAACACTGCAACTCGCCCTTCGCTTATGCAAGTCTGTCCAGATGTACGTATTCCTCCCCCATCCTCCAACAACCAAAGGTTCCAAAAGTGCAGGGGCCACCTGCCACCTGTCACGGCTTGGGTCGATCCCTTGGTGTGACGTGATAGTGTACCATCTGAACGGAGTCCTACTCCCAAACCCCCCCCTCTTCCCTTCAAGGGGCCCATAGCGGTCGACGAGCAGATCGGAGATCGTCCACTCGGCTGCACGCTGCGCGCAATGGGCTGTCGAAACTGGCCCTTGGTAACCAATCTATTTCCCGTCTCTCTCCCACTATTCCCACTCTAACGCTTTGGGGTACCGGACTTTGGCGCTCACCCGATACATCACACATCGATCGGGGCTAAAGAGGGATCGCCCTGTCTGGTGGAATACCTGTTCGGGTCTCTTGCAGCTGGCCTTCCCCACTCTGTGGGAACCGTTGAAAAAAAAATGCCGTCACAAGCCACACCTTTTTTGCTTGTTTTACCGTATCTCCGCTCTGGACTCGCCTGTAACAAACGTAAAAATCGTTAGTGGCATACCCTCAGGTAATTTCTGGAATCCCCCTATCCGCATCGCCCATGGCCTTCGGATTGTGTCGCGACATGCACGAGCACGATCAGCGGTGATCCCTGCAGGCCGACAGGGATTTATCTCAAATACTTGCCGTGCTGTTGATTGGTGGGGAAGCGGCCGACAGGTCACATCTCGGGTAGACCCTAGTAAATGTTGCACCCCAGCATGATGGGTTGTGTGTTGACAATAGGCCTCGTTTTGTTTTTCCCAAGTATCTGGGATGTCCGATCGGTCCACACGAGGTTGATCTCGCATGGTGACGTTTCCTGCACTTCCCGGCGACGGGAATGACTTCATTTCGGACGACTTGGGCATGATTGGGTTCCTTATGCCAGCAAACCTAGATCTAAATCATCAAACAATAGTGGTTTCCATCCTCCATATTGGAAAAAAAAGGGGGGTTTGTAGCGATCCGACGGTTAGAACTTTGACTCCACTACAGCTTCTCTTTTCCTTCTCCTCCCCCCCGGTTTTATTCTTAGCTACTGATATGCCCCAGAATTAGTAGCCAGGCGTCTGGAATAGATTAAATGTCGACGACGGTCCGGGCTGTCGATATCCGCTGGGCCTATCCCTGCCTGAACGGGCCACAGACAATGACAAATACCTGGAGACCAATCGTAGGCACAGACAGTGGTTCATTGTGCCCCACCGGAGATGCCGTACAGGTGAATGGTGCCGGGGAGGGGAGGAGGAAGCGGTACGAGAGGGCATAAGTTGGAGAATAATGGGTTTCAGCCCACGAATGCGATTCACTGATAAATAAAGTAAAAAAGGATAATCATGGTAGAACAAGTTGCGGTACTGCTAAGTACAATGTACATGTCCCACCAAAGCGCAACCCCCGAAATAAAGATGGACCGAACGGCCTCGCATCCGCCACTGCTTCCTGACTGTCGGGCCTTCCACGCTGCACGGCAGGGGGCCGAGCGCGTCACGTGGAGGGCATGCCCTAGTCGCCAGTTTCCTCCTCCATCACCGTCCCCCATGTGCCAATCCAGGTTCAACTGCAGAACCCAGGCCCAAACACCAGTCCGGCTGCGGCGGAATCCTCAGGGATTTCAGGAGGATGAATCAGACGGTCTCTGTTTGACAATTTCAATATCAGAAGTCGTGGCCAGGGTTCAAACGGAAGCCGATGTTTTGAATTTGCCATCTCGGGCATCCTGGACAGCCCCCGGGCGCTTATTGGTCCACCGCTCTCGGGCTTTAGATTCGGGGACCACTTTGATGGTTCCCGATCGGTGGGGAACCGTTTGGCTTCGATCCTTAACGGGCGTGTGAAGGAGAAGGAGCTGGTGGTGGCCAGGGGGAGTGGTGGGGAAGGTGCATGGATCCACCCGTTGGAGCCGTTTTCCCGTCATCCTTCAAGTACAGAACCTACCTAGGTACATTGATCGCAGAGGTAAGCATACATACAATACCGAGTGTATTAAGTATAGGACATACATACATTGGGTTCGTGACTAGTGACTAGTGACATTGTATCTTCTCGCGAGGATTCCAGTTCTCTCTTGCCGACAGTGGAGTGTTACCAGAGAGCAGGTGAGCATCCTCACCAGCAGTTCGTCAGTCTGGACCTCGGCGATGGAGAATGGGCCAGCCGCCCCGCCTGCAAGCCGTCACCATGGCAGATGGTGACTGCTTACTGGTTCCCTCATGTTGGATGGGGGTGACAGCGGTCCCACGAACTGGTTCGCTCGCGCCCGTTCCCGCCTTGATCCCTTATGGCGCCCTGGTGTATTGCGGAGTGCGCCTAGTATCTCTACTAGAGGTGAAAAGGGGAAAAGGAGGGGGGCGACAAGGTTTGATCGGAAAAGATTCCCAATCTGACAGCCTCGACGGAGATGATGAGGAAAATAAAAATAAATAAAAAAAAGGTAAGAAAGAAAAAGAAAAGTCTGACAGGCGTGGACAAAAACAGCCCACCTTTGTCCACTCGCACCCACCAGCGGGACGGCAGGGCACGCTGGTTGCGCTCGTCCAGGAAATCCTGGCTGTCTATCACTGGGGTCCGGTCTTCTAGTAAGCTGCTAATGGTTCTCCCCCTGGGTCTCTCCACGCCGAGAGAACCAACCACATTGGCCACCCGCTGCCCAGCTCAACCCTATCTACCCGGTTGAAACTTAATCGGTCAAGTGCCCAACGAACTTCGAGCGCAAAGGTACCCATGACTTTGGTCAGGCGCACGGCGTCACTTCCGTCCCGGGCTTCCACGCCAAATCTCCCCTGGCCTTGTCCAGACTCCGTCATGTCGACGTGCAAGGTTTGGGTTCTTCGGGGCATTTGGCTTTTGCCAACGATCACCGTTGAGAAAGTAACTTGGTCCCGGGTTGCTTCCCGTTGGAAGTTGGGCCCACGCCACTGGCCCAGACTTTGACTTTCTCTTGCCGCCCGACTCCGTAGAATAGGGGGCTGACAAGGCAGAACTTTGCTTTCAAGGTCCAGAAGATGAAATTGAAATTAGAATTTGGAAAAAATAAAATAAAATACAATAAAAAATGTCGCCTGCAAAGGGGGCGTTGTGGATGACGGGCGAACTGATGGGCTGGGCCAAGTGGAGCAAGCAGCGGAGTAGACGGCAAATGTCATCGCAATTCCAGCCGGGCATTGTTTTTTTTCCCTTTCATTCTCGTCTTTGCTAAGGCTTTTCTTTGCCTTCCTTTTTTCTTTCTCCTTTTTTTTTTTTTTTTTTTTTTTGCTCCTTTCCTGTGACCAGTCAGGGATAAGAAGAAGGGTGACGGATACTTCCACAACCCTGTCATGGCTTCGCTCAGATAATTCAGAACTAAAAGCTTGATCAAACACGGTGCCAATCTCGACAGCAAATGCCACCTCGACTACAGCCTTGATAGCCTAATGGAACCTTCGTTCTATTTAGTGTACTGCCAGATTCGTTGTGCAGTCACTTATCACATATCTGGTCGGCTACCTGGTCATCTACCCAGCCACCTACATGATCACCTGTCTAGCTAGCTACTCTAGAGGATTATGTGCTATCACAATGTCAAATGGATGGACAGGCTGTACTGGATATGAAAGTCGATCCTTGACGATCGCCCCATTTGCGTCACGTACTGTAGGTGTGATGTTGAGCCGAGAGGAAAACATCAATCGAAGCTAGTCCCATCATCGAGCGTGCTCCGTCCTGACTCCAGTCCCGTTTGAGCCGCACCCCGGGGTCAAAACGGCAGGGGGTCTTACGGGGGACATGGGTCTGCATTGCCTCCTTGTAGAATAGCTACCGACCGAAAAGGTAGTACTGTCACGATATCGTTGTGTTGACCGTCAGGCCGAGCCTAATGTGTTGACGGCTCTCAGTCCGCGTGTAGATACGAGTCCGTTGCTGCTGGTACACGATACCAAATCCTCGGGTCTGCCGAGGCAAATATGGCCCAGAATAATTCGCATTGTTACTCCGATGTAATCGTTATCGTCTGGTTACCCGATCGGGTGTACTGCCCTTGTGATCGGTGTCGATGTTGTTTTCATCCGAATTTAAATTCGATGATAGAGTTATTGCCTAGGTAGTCTATGGATGTCGAACGGGATATATAGCTCACAACATCGAGCATCTCAACGCTTGGGCGGTCTAGAACATGAGATCCAACACACTACTCGTGAACAACCCCGCTGGAACTATCGGTCAAGATAATACCCGAATTAGCAGCTTTTAGAGAGAAGAACTAGGGCAGGCCACCACTCATGCGCCCCCAATGGGTGCTCGATCGGTTCAATGCTGTCCATCGACCGTGGCGTGTGCCCCATGCAAGCCACGCCAGTCAGATCGCTGTACAGCCGAACACGGCCAGCTGCCGTCCTCCACACGGAGACAGTGGCACGCCGTGGCAAGGTGACACCGCACATGGACCATGCCTTGCGACGAGGGGTGATTGACCAGGCGCGACTCGGCGTGCTCGTGGTGGGCGATTTCCCGGGAACGGCAACGGGACTGAGACAGCAGGGCGTTGATGCAAGGGATATAAGAAAAAGGTTGGGAGATCAGGAGATCAGTTGATGCAAGGTGGCCGTGGTTAGCCTTCGCGGGGACGTGCCATTATTGCTTTTTCCCCTTCTTTTTTGGCCTCGACTTTGGTCGTCCTGGAATGGTCGAAGGTGTAGGTTTGAGCGTGTTACACATTGTCTAGCTGTGGATCATATCGGATCGCTACCCGGGGACGACTTGCATTGTTTCCTTGTTTTCCACTCGAGGCGCCCAACTGGCTGTGTCTGTGGCCATTAATTGGCATCCGGCGTGTTCGATCACGGCTCCGGTCTGGATTCAAGACTTGTTGGCTTTGGCACATCACCCTCATACCGGGGCCATGGATCTCTCTGCAGCAGCATGTGGCATGCACTAAGGAACCTGCAACCCATGTCATGGAAAAGAGCAGGACAGCCAGGTGTTGGACTCGGGAGCTGGCATGTTTCAAACAATGCCCTCCTTGCAACTGGCCACACACAGTCCAGCGTCATAGATCGGCATGCTTGCTCGTGCAGTAATCCCCTCCATCCCACGCGCAGAAGAGGAGGCCCCTCGTTCGCGGCATGCACGACCGCTGGTGTCAAGTCGTGCCTGTTGGTTGACCCCCCTGATCGTCAAATCGATCCATAAGACCGCTTGCGTGGCTGCCAGCGCCCTGTCTAGCGCGGGCGTGATGTCTATGACCGAAGCTGGGCTGGTGATGGGCATGTCAGGAGTGTCTCAGCTCGGGTATGTGCTCTGATTTCATCGTTTGGAGGCGTGTCTCGCCTCCACACGGGGGTAAAATCGTGGTGAGGGCTTCTTCCCCCTCTCCCCCATAATGTGCTAAGCCGTGTGCTGTGTGTCTCGAAGCAGAGGTTGGGGTTGATGCATGGATTTCTTGAAAATCAGAGGTCTGTTCGCTGCATCTATCTAAACTCTGCGTTCCGACTAGTTGTATGTAATGGATTGCATGCATCTGACGAGGTATCCTGGATTACAGCTCCTGTATAACACGCATAAGCCTCCATACGGGCTGTTACAATGTCCATTCCGAGAAAAGAGGCAACAGATACCGGCTTGATTGGATCGATCTGCTCAGACACGGTAGAAGATAGGGATTGTCTCAATTGGGCAGTCGACCTCGACCGTCGTGGGACCTTTGTAGACACCCGGAACGCCACTGTGAGGAGGTTTGGTCTGCCCCCAGAGAGTCCAGAATGCTCCAGCGGGCAGATAGACGGTCACCTTCTGCAGTCCGGGGCTCAGGACCGGTGCAACTAGATACCGGGGCCCGAACATGTATGCCGTTTCCACTTCCCAGGCTTGCTTGTCCCCAGGAAATTCATAAAAGAGGGTCCGCATCACTGGCGTGCCTTTCTCATGGGCTTCTCTCATCAAAGATCGAATATACTCACGCAAGCCTTCGCGGATCCCGATGAACTTCTTGCAGATTTGGTATACCTCCTCACCATACGACCATATTTCATTGCCCGATCCACTAGCAGTCGGCTGTCCTTCGGGTTTTGGCTCACGATCGCCATGCAGTCGCATCACAGGACAGAATGCACCCCATTGGAACCACCGAGTGAACAGCTCACGGAACGCCGGGTCATCAGGGTTACCACCGTGGAATCCGCCGATATCAGTGGTCCACCAGGGAATACCGGCAAGGCCCATGTTGAGGCCCGCGGCTAATTGACTCCGGAACGAGCTCCACGACGACGCGATATCACCACTCCATACCAGTGCACCGTAGCGCTGGCTGCCTGCCCAAGCACACCGAAGCAAGTTGACGATATTGGTCTGGCCCTCTGCCTCCATCCCCTCATAAAAGCTGCGCGCATACTCTTTCGGAAAGATATTGCCAATCTGCAGATTGCTGCCGGCGTGGTAACGGTAAATATCGAAGTCGTAGATTGAATACTCCGGCTCGGCCTCATCGAGCCAGAATACCTTTATACCGTATTTATAGTAGTTCTCCTTGGCTCTGCTCCAGACAAATTTCCTTGCCTCTGGGTTGGTGGCATCAAAATGGGTGATGTCCCCATCACATTGCATTGCAATCCGCAGCCCGCGATCATGACGGATTAGAAGCCCACGCTCGAGCATTTCAGGATAATTTGTCGACTTTTTTTCAACTGTTGGCCAGATCGAGACCATAAGCTCAACCTTGAGCTCTTGCAGTTCCTTCAACATGGCAGCTGAATGTTGTCGTTAGCAACAAATGGGGAGATTTCGAGATACTATCAACTCACCTGGGTCAGGCCAGAACTCTGGATCAAAACTCCATTCGCCTTGATGCTTCCAGTGAAAAAAGTCAACAACAATCAAGTCCAATGGGACCTCTCGGCGTCGGTATTCACGAGCCACATTCAGCAATTGCTCCTGATTCCAATATCGCAACTTGCACTGCCAGAAACCAAGACCGTATTCAGGCATCATCGGGACAAAACCGGTCACCTTTGCATATGATTCTTCAATCTCAGCGGGTGTATCACCGGCAACAACCCAATAATCGAGGGCCCGTGTTGAATATGCCTCGAAGCTCATCACGTTCGTCCCGAGCATTGCGCGACCGATCCCGGGGTTATTCCACAAAAGGCCATATCCTCGAGACGAAACAGCAAACGGCACACTCGCTTGAGAGTTACGGTGTGCCAGCTCCAAATCCGTTCCTTTAAGGTTCAAATACGGCTGCTGGTACTGTCCCATCCCAAAGATCTTCTCTTTTGGATCCAATGATTCAAAACGCATGGTGAGATGATAATCTCCTCCAAGGATAGGCCGTAGCTCCCGTGCTTCTATCTCAAGAGCACTGCATTTAGGGTCGCGCGGATCTCTCCTGTGACGTGCATATTCTTCCAGAAGTTTGTTTCCACTCGAGTCGTAGATGATGACCTTGCCTCGCGGGGAGACAGTAGCTTTGATCTTGCCGTTCGTGATGCTAGCATCTTCGCCATTCGGAGTGTTGATGATAATCTGTGAGCTCTCTGGCTTTGATGCAAGGGCCCAGTCTTCGGCTGGCATGGAGGACTGCTTGGTTGCCCGCACACGTAACGCATTGTCGCCCCAGGGCTCGACCCAGAGAAGGTGGTCATCGAAGCGAAAGACAAGCTTTTCGTCCTCAAAGTAGAGCATGGCGGAGGCTGGTGTGATCTTGGTTGAGATTAGTCGCTTTGAGTTGAGATGGTCGGGTTCAGAGGAGAGGGGCTTGGGGACGAAAGAGGGGACACAGCCTCGCCCAGTTCAAAAGTCGGGACTCCGGTATGACGAGGAGGCGTCGCAGGCGCCCAGGATATCTGATGTTCTTTTCAGATCAGAAAAAAAGATGGATAACAGAAATTGAACTAATGGGGTTGTGGGAATGTCAAGCTTGAAGAGCTCAAGTTGGAAGGTGGGATGGAGGGGGATCCAAAATACTTCCCAGAGAAACACGGCCATACCCCCGCTTCACCGTACATGCTTTGAGGATGCTTTTACCATGGACCATGTAGGGATCTATCGGTCTCCAGAGATAGTTTGACCAGCTCTGATATTTCTGCAACAATCATCACGGGGACCGAAAATGGCGTTTTAGATCGGGCTTGTATTCCAAATCATGCATCAATGTGGTGTCGTCGTATGTGACTCTGCGGAGTACTACGTCAAGTCGGTAGTCTCCTCATTCAGTCGTCTGTGGAAAACCCTGGGATATACCTACCTATTTTGCGTAATGCTGGAGACGCCCGGTGAATTCAAGAGCAGTATCTCTTATATTGTCGCTAGGAGAAACGCTTGGTGAGATATCACATACCCCCGAAGACATGGGTTCAACCTCTGTTGATTTGGATTCTTGTCCTACCCTCGAGACAGTTGTTTCTTTTTTCTTTTCTTTTTTTTGTGTCATTGAAAACAACTATTTCATGAGACTCCAAGCACACACTGCATCTTTCATCTTAACACATTACCAGAATCGTACTGGCCTTCCTTACGCACAGCCACCCACAACGCACAGACGATATGTACTCCGACTAAGAGAAGCCATTTTGATGACCAGAATTTAACTCCAGAGCTAGATTGGATATGTTTTGAAAATGGTCGCCTGTTTTTAGCCCCAATGCAATAGTGATTGTTGACCTGGGCTACACCTGGAGCTGTGTCCAATAAGATACAGCAGAATAGATTAGACTGAAAGCCAGATGTTCATAAGACTGAGAAATGTATCTATCAATTCTCATTCAATGCTCATTTCATCACAATCCCAAAGCCGTCTGCGTCTCTTTGCTAGCTGAAGAATTCCGGTGGGTGTTCGACAGTCGGACGTTGTCGGCGGTGATCACGTTCCCCACACGCTAGTCCCGATTTGGCCGGGCCGACCGCAAACCGCAGGAAGCTCTTTTCTGCCTTGCATTGACTTCCCACTCGCCCAATTCGCCCCTCTTAACCCCTTCTCTCTCCATGGCTGACGTACATGCGAACGGGAAGCGCCCGGCCGACGCATCGATGGATATCGACATGGATATCGACCTGGGCCCGGAGCCCGGAATGGAGCCCTCGGCCGAGCTGGTTCAAGCTGCCAGTGTGAGCGCCCAGCCCCATTGCCCATGGCCAATGCATTGTGCCTTTGTTCGATTAATACTGATATACTGCTATTCTCAAAAAGCAACCTGCCATGCAAGTCGATATTGCCGATTCACTGGCCGAAGAGGCCGTGTATGAGAAAGTCCACGTGCGCGGCGTGGATGAATTGACCACCGACGATATCAGGCAATTCGCCCAGAGTCACTTTCAGCAGGAAGCGCCTGCGCGTATCGAATGGATCGACGATACCTCCGCGAACATCATATATTCCTCCGCCGATGCAGGGTTACAGGCGTTGGCGGCCTTGACACAGGCTGGCGAAGAAGGGGATACGTCTCCCCTCCCATCGCTACGTCTTCGGTCCGCGAGGCTTCTACCCACCCACCCCGATTCGGTCCTTCAGGTGCGGTCCGCGGTCAAGACGGACCGCAAGCAGCCGCGCGCCCACGAGAAAAGTCGCTTTTACCTGATGCATCCAGAACACGACCCGCGCGAACGACTGCGACAGGAGCTTTCGGACCGGAGGCGCGGGGATGAGGACAGCGAATACCGACGTCGTCGATTTGACGATCATGAACTGCGCCGGCGCAAGAATCGTGACCAAGACGACCTATTCAGCGCAAACATGTACGATGACAACCCTCAGAGCTACCACGACTCGGAACGCGACCGAGGTGGTCGGAAACGGCGCGGACCGCGAGAATTATTCCCTGACAGTGAGGGTTCTTCTGGGCGACTTCGAAACCGCAGTGCCTCGCCGGGCCGAGACACACTGGACGACGCAGACCATGTCGATCGCAGCAATGACCGCAGGCGGTTCCGCGAGCGCTCTCCTCGTCGAAGTAACCAGGGCCGAGAGCTTTTCCCAGAAAAGTCGGGTACTCGCGAATTGTTCCCCAATCAACCTTCCTCCAGTTTTCTAAAGAGGGAGACAAACAAAGTCAGCAACCACCGCCGCTCCGATGCTTTTGATGCTGCGGACGAGACACCTGACCTTCTCGGCCGGAGAATATCCGTCCCGCACGAGGGTAATGCCCGGAATCACAATGTGGAGCTCTTCCCAAGCTCAACAAAGGAGGACCAGGGTTTCGCATTGAGAGGAGGTCAAAGGGGGCTGTCGATTAAGGGTCGAGGCGCATCGGTTCGTGAACTATTCCCGGATAAGTTCAACAACGATAATGCTGGAAAGGAGTTGTTCGATGCACCGATCGAAGGCCGGGGAGGTCGTCGACGGAAAGCGGAGGATTTGTTTGGCTGAACTTTCACTCTCCGAGTGTGACATAACGTTTTCTCAATTACGCTGTCTTTCTCCACGATGTACGTACGGGTGATGAGTGAAACCGTGGATTCAAACTCAGGTGTTTTCGAGAACGGGACGATCGCCCCGACACGTATAATTGTAAGGTTGTAAGGCTGAGGTTGAGGTCCCGGGGGCGCCCGTGGAAAATGCATTTTTTTTCAAGACCCTGTATTACGCGATTGATGGCTTAGAAATCAAACGAGACCAATGGCCGTGGTTCGGTGCTCAAAAATGCTTCAAGCCCAAGAACCAATCCATGCCAAATAGATCAGGCCAACATTTCCAAGGTTGTGGACGTTTAATAGCATATGAACCTTGGGAAAGTGCATTCCAAACTTGCATATCAGAGTGATATCGTGTACTGGGCAATCCCCTCCTCTATTAAGACTGCAATGTACTAGATATTGTATTAATTTAATATACGGTGAAGCCATCCGTGGAAGTTTAAGTGATTGACGATAGTCATAGTACATTACCTAGGTAATGTATATTCCTACACGTGATGCTGACTTCGAAGCCAATGGTGAAGTGTATGTCCCACTGAGTAAAGAAAAAAAAATACCCTAATAGTCTTCCACTTCGCACGAATTAAGACCACCCAGAGTCAAGGCGTTGCGGGCTGTAATGGATCCCGTGCTATAAGACTATGATTTCTTGTAGAACAGAGTATTGATACTTCTTCCGAGGAACAGTGAAGAATGTCTAGGGCCTTGGCGCTGGATCCCTTGCCCTAACAGCATGACTGCTCTGGTGTTAATATGAATGGTCGCAAGACTCCCACGTCTCACCACAATTTACCAGAAACTAGCCTCAGGCCGTATCGGATAGTAATTAATCCAGATATATATCGAACAGCCGCATGAGACGTAGCCGTGGCTTCTGGGCCATGCCTCGAACAACCGCAGGATAACCCAGTCCGAGCTGGCATTGGGACTGATTGCACCATTACCACGCTAATTCGAGGTGCGATAGACTACTTCGGACAGAGAAATTTGTTTCTCCTCGTCCTTCACGCCGGCTTCAGCGATGTTTGACACGCATATTCGATTCCTGGTTACCCACTGCTCGCCGCTCATTCGCAGGTCAGATGGTCACCTGACGGACCCCCACGGGCGGGATTCTTGGCCCTCAGTTTCCTATTTCTATCGCAGTAATCGTTGGGTCTGGATTGCGATTTCAGGGGGTGGGCGGCCAAAAAAAAGGCACTATTACGAAGTCTCGCATTGGATTTGTGATGCGGACGGCATCTGCATTGAATGCGTTCTTGGACTCGGCTCTGCGTTCTTGGACTAGGGAAGTCCACTTTTCTCGCATACGCAGGTGTGCCCAGCGTTGCCTCGGATGGGCCACTGGCCAAGCCGTTTGGCGTGGAACTGTGCCGTCTTTGCAGAGTGCAGAAGAACTCAAGCACTTCCATGGTGAGAACGGGAAAGGACTGAGGCTCGTACGGTAGGGAATGGTGGACCGCGCTTGTCCATAGTTCCCGTCTCGACAGACGGCGGGTCCACCGCTGCAGTCGATATTGATGAAGTGCACAGCAACTGTGTACACCGTCTCTCACCCGAGCGTCGGTGCGGAGTTCACTAGTGTCTTCGGATGGGCATTGGTGTCAGCACTTGGCCTATTCGGACCACGTCGCCCATCCCACCACGTCAACGCCACCATGCAGCAAACCCTTCGCAGTACCCAAGAAAGAGGGGCTCGTGTAGAGAGTTTCCTTTTTTCTTTTTCCTTTCCTTTCCTTTTCTTTTTTGTTTTTACAACCTGCGTCAGGACTGGGACGGACGTCGAATGCGTCCCGGGGCGGGCAGCCTGTGCGATTGCTTTGTGTCTCCAGGGAGGAGGGGCCCTGTGCGGTGTGATTGGCGAGCAGAATGAGGCTGCTGCGGCCCTGCGGCTCTACCACGTCAGGGTGAGGCTGAGGGGGTGAAGAAACAGAACCCACACCCCTTTTCGGGGCCGAAACTGGGAAAGTTGGAACCGTCCCGCTAGCCCAGGTCGGCTGAAGAGTTTTGTCCTCCCCTCTCCTTTCCATCGGGCCCTCCAGGGAGCCTCCGCCCTCTGTCCTCCGTAGCCTCCCACTCCCCTGGGATGCTTGTTTGGTGCCCGTGGTCGTGCTTGTGGTCGTGGTCAAGATCTTGGTTATCGAGGACACGGCGCGGGCCGCATCTTGCCTGTTCAGCCCCCCTGAAACGCAACTGTTGCGTTGTCAATCCTTCAAGGCTGTCGTGCTGGGGAGGGGTCATCGTAGCCAATCCGGACGTGCTGAGGAGGGAGGCCAGTGGATCATCGAGCTGGTGGAGTGAGTCGTGCAGGTTCCCTTCCCGGGTTTAAGCCCCGTGGAGCGGGGACGGGCACTTCCACTCGCCCAGAACCCCGGCTGATGACTCCGAGAAGTGCGAAAATAACGGTGGAGCCTGCTGCGACTGTGCGACCACCAAATCCTCCGAGTTTGTGTGCTGCTGCGTCGAGGGCAGAGCAGACCAGGATGCCTGTAGAGCGTTGAGAAGTGAAGGGGATCAGCTGCACTTGTCAGCAGGAAGGTTGCGGGGAATTGCAAAGTCCGTCTGGGAGCCTCGATTCAGGCCCACCTTGAGGCACAACCCCCTCCCAGAGCCTCATTTCGCTCTTGGGCTCATTTTTCCTTTTCCCCTTCGTTTTCTCTTTTGGGCTCGCGCAGGATATTGATTCCACCCACACCCCCCCATCCTTCCCCCTTCTGGTCCCGTGTCGCTTCCGCCTCGAGCATTCGCGCTTAGCTCATTACTTTGTCCGCCCCCTCCTTTCGTCCTCCTCGCCTCTTCCTCTCCACGGTGATATCATTCGAGGGAATGGCGTTGGACATCCGCTGTTGAGCCTCATCTGTCCTTCTCTTTTCTGGAGCCTCACCCGGTACGTTAGCGTCCCTGCCTCCAGTCCATTCCCTGTCCCCAACCCCCATTTACATCCCCCAAAGCTCTGGACACTTATCAACTTGCACCGTCTTCCCCCTCCCAGCCCCAGTGAGACCTGCAGTCTGACGGAGCGGACGAGTCGACTGGTTCTCTCTGTCTCCCCATCGATAGTGGTGATGGTTGATTCCCGCTTGCTCGCTGCTTGCTGCATTCGCCTCTCTGCCATCGAACTCGGAAGAGTTGTCTCGTGGTCTAGCTGCTGTGGTCGACTGTCGCAAGCGGGGTGAAATGCAGTGATTGTCCGCGGTACAGAGCTAATCCATGCAGTAGACCCATTGACAGAGGACCACAACGTGAGGACCCGACCTCGTGCTATGCTGTGCGATCGAGCTCCAGGGCACCGCGAACAACACATCTCCTCCCCCTCCCTCCGCTAGGCGCCGCATGCGCCCGGCCCTGCCTCCATGACGTCCGACCTCTACGACTCGGACGATGCCATGGGCCGGTCGCCTCCACCGGTGGCGGTGAAACCCAAGTTACAAGCGGACGAACCCCTGCCGCCGTTCGTTCCCAAATCCGACGATGCTCCCGACAAAAGCGAAGGCGACAAGGGAACGCCAGACCGTTCCCGTAAGCCGCACTGGCCGGAATCCCAGACTCAAACGCGTCACGGCGACTCGGTGCTGATCAATTTTTTAGCCCCAGACCGTCCGGATATTGCTGCCTATGCGCGCGAGAACCCGTTGACGGACGGGCTCAGGCAGGATCGGAGTTCAGAGGAGAGGAAGCCACCGGCACCGTGGGAGGGCACGAGGGGGTCAACTTTGGCGACGACTCCCGCGACAGCAACGATAGCGGCACCAACACCGACACCGACACCGACAGCGTCAGCGACAGCGACGGCACGGACGACTATAGCCACCCCGGCAGCACCGCCAGAACATTCTCACAAAGAGGAGGGACCGGACTATTCTGCAAAGGACCACGAGCGATCACTATCTCCACGCAACAAGTTCCCCACCACGCTACCCCCACCGGTACCGTGTGCGCCGGTGGATATCAACAACAACAACAACACCCACCTCCACGGCTTCAAGTCTCCGCCTCAGCGTCCGCATCGTCCCAGTGTGTCCACTCTCACCCAACCAGACCGCAGACTTTCGATCGACCAGCCTCAGCCTCCGCCTCCACTCAGTGACATCAAACGATCCCCCGACCTCAGGAATCGCATCTCCCTACCGTCTCTGCCGTCTCTCCAGGCACTGTCTCCTCCGTCCTCTTGCGCCGGCACCTCCCCCGATAGCGGCAATAATAACAACCAGATCCTGCCTTCTATCCATTCGGCCCTCAGTGGTCTCTCCTCGAGCGACTTCCCTCCGGCGCGACACAATGGGCTCTCACCCTATTCCTATCCTCCATCCGCGACGTCACAAAATGATTCGCCTCACGATCGTCAACTGCCGAGGCAATTCTTCCCCCAGCAAATACCACCCAGCCCATTCTCGCACTTTTCCCCGGTGAGCCTCAAAGATGCGTCAAATAACCCGTCCCCGGCGTCGCAGCCATCGTTTTGGAGACCGCCAGTACCTCCGGTCACACAACCTCCTCCGCCTTCGCAGGCTGCGGAGACCCCGCACCACCCGCCGACTCCTTACGACATGTCTCCCATGACCACGAAAAGCCCCGCAACGAGCTATCCGACGCCGACTGAGCAGATTGCTCCGACTCCCCCGGCTGGTGTTTGCGAACGAACTGCGTTCAGCTCTACCCCGCAAGCCAACGGAGTCGCGACGACGGGCAGCTACAAGTGCACCCATCCGGGATGCACGGCACCGCCTTTCCAGACGCAGTATCTGCTCAAGTAGGTGCAACGAGGGAAAATAAGTATTCCCAAGTAGAAAGATCCAGTGCTAACATTATTCCTACAGCTCGCATGCGAACGTTCACTCGCAAGACCGGCCACATTTCTGTCCAGTCGATGGCTGCCCTCGTGGTGTAGGAGGAAAGGGCTTCAAGCGCAAGAATGAAATGATGCGACACGGTCTGGTGCACAATTCGCCGGGCTATGTCTGTCCATTCTGCCCGGATCAGCAACACAAATACCCCCGCCCAGACAATCTTCAACGGTATGTTATTATTTGATTCGTACACCGTGGTATGAGGATCACCATTAACAGGAGACAGACATGTCCGCGTTCACCACGTCGATAAGAATAAAGACGATCCGATCCTCCGGCAAGTCCTCGCGCAGCGGCCGGTAGGCAGCACCCGAGGGCGGCGGCGGAGGATGAACTCCGGATGATTCATAATCTCTCTTTGTCCCCTCCGAGAGCGGTGCCATACACGATGTGCATCCGCCATGCTGCAGCCATGGCGTTCACCCAACCACCAGTACACGGCAGTTCCTCGAGAACCCACTTACGCGTGACGAATTTCCATCTGTGATACCTTTCTTCCAGCCGTTTCCTGCACTGTTCCTTCGATGATACCATACCACATGTCACTCTGTTAGAAGCATGATGATACACGGGCCATTCGTTTTGTTAATTCTATTTTCGGCAGCGTTACCACCCCGCAAAATGGTCCATTCGTTTGTTTCTCTCTTGTCTTTTTTAAATCGAGAATCTGGTGTCGACTTCTTTTCATGTATCTGGATTATATGGTCAGCTCGACTGGATCAGCACCAACAAGGAGTTTTGAACAGGGTACTACTCAGTGCTTTAAATTTTGTACAACTTTCTTTCTCACATATCATACTAGTCTTATGATATGTCAGTAGATGTCCTGGGTGAAGAATCATGCGCTGTATGGGTCAATGATCGACAGCCTCGAATGCATCAAGCACGTTCTGTGTGGAACCCTCTACTCCGTTCCAGTCACAACAACAACTCTCACCTAAGACTGGGGGACTAGCAGGGAAAAGGTGACAGCCATATCACGTGCGTATATCTTATAGACTTTGGACAGAGATCTTCACGTTTCTCTCTCTGAAAGGTAGGTTTTCTGGAGGCGAATGCCCGTGCTAATGTGGTTAAGATTGTCATGATCTACGCGGCAGCCAACACGAGGCTGAATCTCCCGACCCCACCACGAGAACATCCAGCATTCGGCCTCACCAAGTCATACAGAGAATAGATATGGAAAAGGGAAGAAAAAAAAGCAATTTCAAAACAACCATGATTAAAATAGCAATATCCACACAGCCCCTCATACGACACGAAATGTCCAACAATCCTACCTCGTAAAGAATCCAACCCAGCATATCCTTACCCTAGGCGCGTGATTTTCTGGAAGGTTACACAGCGTAGATGTCCCTGATAAGCCTGGGGAAGCCAAACCAGGTTTAGGGGTAGTGACTCAAATGATTCATCCTGGCCAGCGATCAATGCCACGTTGTGGTATGCCATGTGGCCCGGCTCGAGGAACAGAGCCCCAACGAGAGGAATGGACGATAGAACCCCAGGGACTGCTAGATAAGGGATGAAACAAGGAGCATCGACGCCTAAATTGTAAGCTGGTACCTTTCTGTTTCAGAGATGTACATGACAGAGCCCGTGAGAACCCGACAAGTACCTGAAGTACAGTATGTACCGGGTAGACTTCTATGCCTTGTAGGGTGGGTATTCCCAACGGGTTCCGGAATCAAGTCAAGTAGTATTCCCGAAGTATTTTTGCTGAATACAATTGTTGATGCATGACGAGAGCAGCCAATGGAGCGTTCAGCCGCGCCCCCCACCCCCGGGGAAAAACAGCAGGTGCTGAGCATTGGCGAAGGTTCCAGAGAATAAAGTTGACCACCGTCGCGATCGACTCGCCTCCACACCGCGCCATGCCTCTTGCAGTTTAGAGGTCCGAGGCGCGGAGGATTCCCAGAAACCGGGTTTTACGGCGTCTCTTGCTTCGCACGCAAGACAGCGGCGACCACGGTGGGGAGACAAGAGAGGCGGGTACACCAGATCCGCTCCCAGCCGTCGCAAGGCCTACCCCAATGGGCGTAGCTTCAACCAGTCTTCGAATGAATAGCCTTAGGATGGCTCGCACTTCGTCAGGGATCCCAGGCAGAGCTTAGCTGGCATTAGCCTGGTCAAAGACCGGACTGGTGCGCGGGTGGAGTCCCCAAAGAGGCGCAGCTGCGTACCGACACTTGCTCGATCGGGCCATGTGTTGCGACGAGGCTCGGTGCAGATCATTCCAGGTGGGGGGTTGGGATTGGTGACAACTCAGCTCGGTCGGAGATGAGGGGAGGTTAAGGGTGAAGTGGTGAGGGGGAGATGAGGTGGCAGCCGGTGCCGTCCACAGCCCATACTGCTTTTGTGGCGTATCTACTATACCCTAATGTATCCTAGCTAAAGTGCCTGAGAGCACTACAGGGAGATAGCGGCTTCCAAGGTATACCCCAGGGTAGTAGGGATTTTAGGTACCTGTACATACGACTAGTACATACACCGGTTTGGCACCTCTCTCTACTTTGCACCAGGCGGTTTGCGCACTCGGTTTCTCGAAACGGTCGATCAGTGGACTTCCGCACGGCCAGGGAGGACCTCAACGGTCATGCTTTAAAAATAAAGGTGCGCGATGTTGTGCTGCTTCAGTGTTGTGTACCGATGAGAAATGCGCACATTCGAAATGGGGCTTCGATCTGGGCATTCTGCCCAGGAGTACACATGTCACAGACCCTGAGACGCGGGTGCGGAATTCCGCTTCGAGGCTACTATTTTTACCAAATATCGCAAGTAATGAGCCTGAAGCCAACCTCAAGGCTTCCTCAGAGTTCTATGTAACTGCCAAAATAGAGATATGACAGAAAATCACAAAATAAATATCCAAAATAGAGGACTTCTGACAAAAGACTGTAGTTTCTCATTGGCCACAACATACTATAATGTCCAATTCCTATTTTGAAATCAATATCGGAAGATATCGAAACAATCGAAGGGCGTTCAAGCTCCCAGGCTCACCGGCCTGTTTCTTGGGCTTGGGCTGCCTGCTCCTGAAATCTAATCCATGTCAATCCATATTCGCCTATTCACCAGATCCTGCTATTCCCACCCGTAGTTGTACATTCCCAGAAATAACACAAGAAATGAAAGAAGAGAGGCAAAAAAAAATCAAAGAAGAGCAAAGTCCTTGCACATCGTAAACCTCGTAAGTCAATATCGTCCGTAATTCAGGAACCAGAATCCATGATCAACGACTTCCGCCTCGTCGATGAATCCGTCGCACATGATCTTTCATATTGTCCACTCGGCTGAAAACCCGTCCACACCCATCCCATTCGCACACAATCCCGGGGTTATGCTTTGCCTCATGGCGCGCACGATCTTTCTTGCTGGAGAATCCGCCTTGCCTGGACTGCGGGCAACCCTCGTGTCGACAGAAGAGATGCTTGCGGTGACGATTGAAGTGCTTTCGCAGATCGCAGCCACGTCGGAACAATGCCTGCGAGGTGCACCCAGGGTGGGCACAGCGCCAAACCCCCTCACCCGCAGGGATTCCATACCGCGTCAGATCGGCCGGGTTGAAAGGGGGCGAGGATGACTTGTACTCAAAATCGGAGAGAGTGGGGGCCGGTGACGTGCTGATGGCGGACGAAGAGTCGATAGAGATGGCGGTGGCAGAAGGTGAGAGGAAGCTGGCATCCTGTGCCGGAATGGACAACCAATGCTCAGCGGAGGTGCTCACGCTGTCGTTGAGACCCGAGTAGACGTTTGGGGACATCTCCGCGGGAGGGAAGGCGAGTGGGCTCATGGCCGGATATGTCGTTGTGGGCTGGTAGAAGCTGCCGGCCGGATCACTCTCCATACACCACTTGTTGATTTGTTGCGGGGTGTATCCATTGCTTGCTTGAATTTCTGAATGCATTGATGGTGTCGGCGGCCCGAAGCTATAGTATGGTGGCATGAAGGGCGACGTCGAGGCCGAGCACATGGTAGGATCCACCGAGGGGGAAGGTTTCAATTCTTCCGCGTTTGAGGAGTTGGACCAGTTGTACAGAGAATCCATCGGGTCGTTTGTGGAGTCCCGCTGGTCTGATAAATAGCTTTCGGGGGCTAAGAATGTTACAGAGTGCGCGTGGGCTGGGACATAGCCTGCCTGTGGGTTGACGCAAGTCGAATGAGGATGACCGGTAGACGAGCTGACAGGAATCCCTGTCAGACCTACCAAGGTGGAGGGGTCCAACGATCTGCTGCCAGAGCTGCCAGGGGGATTGCTCTCCCAATCGGAGGTTCTCTTCGTCGACATGCCGGGTACCGAGTATACAGTATTGTTGGTAAAAGGGCTCTTTTCCGAGAACAAGGAGAGAGGGTCGACCTCCCGGTCAAAGTCCAGCAAGGCGTTGGAGGGAGAGTAATGAGCTTTCATAGCAGCGCCCTTTCTTTCGTTTTTCCTTTATTTATTTGGCGTTACTTCACGGGGAGACAGGCGTGCAATTTGTTCAATTCTGGTCGTACGGCGAGCAAAAGCCGAGGGCCATCTGCCGAACTTCACAATTTCGCAATGGGGGAGCGTCTATGTCTTGGGACGAAACCAAATCCAAAGATATCGATGGACCCCAAAAATAAAATCGCACACGGTGGTGGATGACGAGAGCGAGATTTATAAGCTCCACGAGGGGGAAGGATGATTTAAATGTGGCTTGCATCCAGGGACGAGGACCCGAAGCGCGGTGCAGCCGAAGTGTATATAAAGAATCTCGGCGAGGCAGTGCTTCTTCTGCGGATGCCCAGGCGTTCCGTATTGGAATGGAAATTCAAAGTTGATCTGCAGCGAGATTGACTCAGATGGAGCCCGTTGGATAAATATGTACAAGAGGGAAGAAACATGCAGCTCCCGGTGGTTTATCATCAGTGGTGGGGGCGGGCCCAGGTGTGCATGGGACGGGGAAACGCACACCGGCCCCATGGTACCAGAACGGTGGTTCTGGCCATAATACACAGTGATTCAGATCGGTCAGGGCTGGGGCATGTCCATGCAGGCTCTGGCAGATCGACGTAAGAGTGCCAGTAGTGTGTTCAATTCGAGTAGGGCTGAACCAACGGGTAATGCAGTGAAACGGCAGGGGTGGGGCGCTCTAAAAAAAAGCACGGCCTTGTCGACTGCTGATAGGGCCTCTGTACGAACAGTGTTGTGAGCGGTGCCGGTGACTGGCAGTGACTGGCAGTGACGGGCAGTGACGGCGACTCTGGCCTGGGGGAGGCATCTGGTCGAGCCAGTCGGACCATGTTCGCGCCGTTAAACCAGATTGGGGATTGCTGTCGGCCAGCGTCATTGGCCACGACGGCTGGGGTTCCACCAGGGATTGCAAAGCCACCACCAAAAGGCCAAAAGCACGTCCGGCCGACTGGGTCAATACCTCGGGGCCCTTGGCGGGGCCTGCGGACATACCCTGCCCCTCCATACTGGATGTCCATCTGAATACACGGCGGACCCTATGAGCGTCGCCCGAGTGGGCCGGCGGGTGGGCCTTGTCGGGACAGATCGATGGGGCCGCAGATGTCGAGGGAGAGCCTCCTGCCTGAGGCTTGTCGCATGCTCCAACAACCCGATCCGTCCTGTTTCCAATGCGAGGTCCCAATCGTCTTGACCGTCGGTTCAGCTGCCAACCAGCCGCTCTTCATTCCTCGGACGCCTAGACGCAACGGCAGCATAAGGGTAGTATCCATCTATTGTGGCCATGCTCGCGGGGTGAGATGGCACTAGCTGCCGAGATGGCCAGGACAGGGCCTGGGGTTCGAGACAATCGCATACTACGTGAGCGATCCTTCCTGAAACAAGCAAGGATGGCGTATAGCAGCGCCTGGGAGGACTTCGAAGGGTTGGCATGCGGCCTGGGGTGCGTTCGTTCAGCTGATCCCCGAGCAACCCGACACCGACGATTACAGCCGAGCCCGGATCCCAGTCGCACGCCCTGGCAGCAGCCCCATTGGCCTGCTAGCTTTTAGCGCCCTGGCCGACCATTCAGCGTGCGCCAGGCGAGCGCAAAGAGGGTCGCCGCCAACCGCGAGCAGCGGTGTCGCGAGTACGACGGGTATACAGAGGGTACCCGAGTACCTCCCGTCGTCGTCCGGCACACACGCAGCTGGAAGCTTTAGGGCTGATGGTCCACAACGAGTGCCCGACTCGTTCCTCCGCACGCTGCCGGATCCCCCTAAATGTCAGCCACCCATGAGGATTGCCAGAGCCGTCGAGGAGGGAGGCACGGTAGGGCTGAGGGTCGGCGTGGCTGCTGCGGCCTCGGATCGGAGCTACGAACCCCACGGATGCGACCCGCGGATCCCTCGGGCCCTCATACACCAGATCCGACATCAATACGAAGATGATGAATCACATGATGGCCTCGCGAACCATGTCTCATCGCTTCGGGTTTTGCGTCTCGGTACTTGCTTTCCCCTCCCCAAACCAGTGTCTCTTCTTCTCTGCTGCTTGCAAGAGGATCGTTTTCTACAAAAATAGTGTGGTTCCCCACAATGATGTCTTGGATTTGGCCCCTCGGCGTGTGCTCTATCTGATCTCTTTCGACGCTCGTTGGTGGATCGAAAAATCCATGTCTCATGCTCGACGGCCATGGCCATGGGCATCAGTCAACAGAGGCGTCGTCGGGTCGTGGGCGCGCTGCGCCTTGGGTTCCTCCGCATCCCGATATAGGATATAGTGTTGGACGATGAAAATCAAGTCAAAGAAAATGGTGACATTGCCAAGCAGGAGCTTCACCGGGTTTCCGGTGATTCCGCTCCAGTCGCGCTGGAGACTCGAGTCCAGCACCAGCTGCACCAGGGAAAGGACACCTCCCGCCAAGTCGAACAGCATCGGCGCAATGCTCCACCCCACTGTTGACTGTCGCTTGTAGTTCAACCACGCCTGCGGAACATACTTGACCACCGTGATCAACAGCTTGATATATGAGAAAGCATAGATCTAAGACCCGACCCGAGGTTCCTGCGTTAGCATTTCGATCAAGACTGTTCCGACGGCTGAGATCGACCGGATCTCACTTACCACATCAATCCAGGCCCACCCTAAAGGGTCATTGCCAGCATCCGGGCTTCGGGCCAGGACAATCCAGGTGAGCACCACAGGTGCAAAGATGGAGCCCCAGAACAGCCCAAGCATCGCCCGACTGATCCGCTGGAGACGGGAAACATGAAAGCCCCAAATCGAGGGCCAGAATTGGGTATAGATGATTATACTGAGGATGGTGGCATGCGCCGCAAATGCAAAGTCGTTGAACCGCACGGTCGGTTCTGTCGCAACCGGGTGTCGGGCCGCATACTGGTCACGAATTAATGGCGAATACAAGAAGGCTGCGGTATAGATGGTGTAGCAGGTAAAGCCTAAGAAATTGACCGTCGGATAGTCGATCGACAGGCCCACGGTAGATTTGCGCTGGAAGTTATAGATTGGTTGAGGGTAGAAGGATGCCGACCAGCTGAACATACTGCACCGAGGCAGGTTAGTATACTTCTCCGTGAGAGAAAGGTGTTTTCATCTGGAAGGAGGGTGGCTGGCAACATACTAGGCCCAACCCAAGAGGCTGTCGTAAATCATTAGTATCGGAGTTCAGCCCCGCCATCAAATCAAAGTCATCCAAATGTACATGTTGAGCACCGTGACTTACCGAGACAAAGCTCGCACAAATATCTCCAACTGTGATTCCGGCATTGCTGGATGCAGCTTTATGGAAAAGTCTCCTTGCTGCCTTCTACTTCCCAGGGGCGACTCGGAAACCAGGCGTCGACACCAGACAAGAGGGAAATGACGAGCTCGCTTGCCCCAATTTGGGGTCAATGGCACAAGGTCTCGTGCCGATAAGATCACATGACTTTATCTGATGCGGCCCACCCAGAATACACCCGCTTCAGGAAGGCGGTTAGAGCTCCGTTGCTGCGGGAATGCGCTGGCACACTAAACCCTTATTGGAAAACAGTTGACACGGCGCTCTCAGCCCGTCTGTGTTGATCCTGTGCGACTCTCGCTCGTTCTCCATCGAATATCTTGCCCGTGGCTGACTTTACAATCCTCTTGCATCCTGGTCGACTTGGGCATTAGCATCTCGTACGACTTCCTCTCCTTCTTCTCCCCCCGGCGCTCTTCAAGTTCTCCGAACTCTCTTGCTTACACCGTTATCATACACCACTTAGACAACGGATCCAGAACCTCATCTATTCCCCAATTCCATCCAAGCTGCAGTCCAAGAAGCAACAACTACTTTCCGGCGCCTGTCATACAGCATTCCATCCACGTCCTTCCCGTCGCATGGTGCATTCTTCGGATCGGGAGATCGCGACTGATCTCCTTCGGTAATCCCGACATTCCAGAGCTTTACGATCGCACAAGACTTCGGCAACAGCCAGCGTCATGTCGGACTCGGGACTCACGGCTGCCGGGAGCAGTACGTACTCGTCAAACACACTCCATGTCGGAGATGGAACATGGGACTCGCAGCGCGACACGTTCTTGTTGCCCAATCTGATGGGTGTGAACTTTGAGACGATGCGATACAATGGTGAGTTGGCGGGCACCTTCAGAACGCCAAAATCACTTTTTTGAGCCTAACTAACCGATCTTAGGCATGGGCAATCGCTTCAAAGATATGACCGGATACCACTCCATAATCATCGCCCACGGTGTCATCGCAACAATTGTCTTCTTGGGTATCGTCCCAATTTCAACCTTGATCATCCGATACTACTCCAGATGGAATCCTTACTGGGCATTCAAGCTTCATGCTTGGTGTCAGGTTATGACGCTCCTTTTGACAACAGTGGTGTTTGTACTTGGCTGGTTTGCAGTAGGACCGGAGAGAAGCCTGACCAACCCACACCATGGCATTGGCCTGGCAATCTATGTTATGGTCATTTTCCAGGTCCTGTGGGGTTGGCTTACGCACAAGATGGAGAGTAAGAGGAAACGACATCGCATTCCATTAAAACTAGTGGTGAGTCTGAAATCTCAAATGGCCCCGGCTATAATCAAATGACTGACATCGCATCCAGATCCACCGCTGGCTCGGCCGAACTTTGGCAATCCTGGGAGTCATTCAGATCCCCCTAGGTCTGACATTGTATGGATCGCCTAAAGTGCTGTTCATTTTGTATGCGCTAGCGGCATTCGCGCTGCTTGTCACCTATTTCGTACTGTCTTATCTCTACGACGACGAAGGATACCATTTACCAAGTGAGCATGGCAGCCGATATGACGGCCCGTCAGTCATCGAGGAGCAACATCATCACAGCGGCCTCGGGGGTGCCTTAGCTGGAGGTGCTTTGGGTGCTGGATTGGCTTCTATGTTCCGACGACGACCACGGAGCCGTACCACCAGCCAAGCATATGAAGAATCCCGAACGTCCTACTCGGACGAGAAATACTCGGACGAATCTTCTCGCCATGGCGGAGGCGGTGGCTGGGGCAAGAAGATCTTAGAGATCGGTGCACTGGCTGGCGGTGCCATGCTTGCCAAAAGCTGGTGGGATCGTCGAAAGAAGCGCGAGGAAGACTCTGAAGCGGGACGCTATAGACCTGCTCACTCCAGGACTGACAGCTATACCGAAGACTCTTTCAGTCGCCTAGAGGAAGGGCGGCCAGAGCCTACTCATCACGCACCACTTAATCACCCCCAAGCCGGCCGCCAAGCAGACCCCAGAGCCCGGGATCCTCGTACTATTATGACAGCGCCTACTCGACAGAGCCCCCGAGGCGTCCCTCGCATGGAGTTCGTGATGCTGTAATGGGTGCTGGTGCCTTTGCTGCGGTCAAGAGGCTATTCAGCCGCGGTAAGAAGGACGACGAGGAAAAGCGCCGAATGGAGGAAATTCGCCGTCAGGATGAGGAAGACGAGCGACTCCAAAGAGCCAACAGCAAACGGCGCCAGCAGACAGAAGGATTCTATCCTCAACGCCGTCGACCAAGTTCGTATACCGAAAGTGACCTCACGCCAACCGATTTTACCCCTCGTCCGCCACGTCACCCATCCCATGGCGACTCTCTCCTTTCACCGGAACCTGTTGCATCAGGCGCTGTTCCAGTTCATGGAACCCATTCCGACATTCCTCCTGTTCCACCAGCGCATCAGCATGTTTCTGGTGATTTGATTTCTGAGGTACCGCCTTCTTCGCATGATGGTGAAGAATGGGCAACAGGCGCCGCCGCTGGTGCTGCCGGCGCAGCAGCGTTGGGAGCTGCCAGCAATCGTCGCAGCAGCGTAGGCCGCCACCGTGACGATAGTCGACATCGGGACGATAGTCGACGCCGAGATGACAGTCGGCATCGCGAGGACCATGTTGAGTCTCCACCGGTATCAGTCAAGGTCAAGATGCACGGCGACGGGCGCCATGTCACTCTCCGCCGGTTGACTGAGCAAGAGGCCGCGGCCAGTCGCGAAGCCAGACGTCGAGAACGCCGCAACTCTCGCCGACGCGCAGGCAGTGCAAGCTCTCTATCTGGTGACGAAGGGCGTGAGAACGATCGTTGGCGGCGTGTCGAGGAGATGGAGCGGAGACAAGCGGAGCAGATTCAACGTGAGCAGGCCGCGGCTGTGGCGGCGATGCACACAACTGGTGCTCCCTCAGGAAGCATTCCCTCTTTCGCCCCGCCCCATTCGCAAATCAGCGATATGCCACCACCGCCTCCAATTCCTCAGGCTGCACCTTCGAGCATGCCCTATGGCCCAGGCAGTGTCACCTCGCCCACATGGACAGGCACCGAGGCCAGTGGGTCTTATGCCAATAATCGTCGACGTCGACGAGCAGAGCGGGCACGAGCACGCCAAGAACGACAGCAGCATGGCGTGGAGTTTGAGTGATACAACACGATGTCTACCTCATTTCCTACTTTATGTTCTTCCCCGTTCTTCGCGATGTCTTCCCACTGGATATTTGCCACCATGATTTGTATAAAATGGGATTCCCTTGTTTTCAAGCCCACGTGTGGATATGAATGGCTTCATGTGTGATGGATATGTTTTTTTGCGTCTGGATATGTTGCGATGGAAATGACTTGGTTTGGGTAGGATACCTTTTTTACGACGCAAGCGAAATTTATGGAATTTTCTGATTCGGGCACGAGCAATACTGGCGCGCTCAAATTCGCGCCCTTTGTTTGTCATCACCCTATGAAAACTTACTTCGTTGATTAGTTGCTTAATGTGAAAATAGCTCTGGTACAATTACAGCAATCTTGCCCACGTTGCTGTGGTGGTTAAATTTTTAGGTTGATGTAGTGGAATACTGAGTAGTAGTCGGTTGGTGGCTACACCGAGAGAATCACGATATCCAGATTCATTTATCCGACGACCGATATTTTTGATTTACACGAGTAAGTCATAACTGTAAGAGCTCAAAAAAGAATTTAAATTGGTCAATGAATGAAGTTTAAACTTGGCATAAGCTCCAGGCTGTGAAATCCTGAGGCTGTAAAATCCTGACTGCAAGAACCCCATAAATGTGAGTTGGGTATTAAATACTTTCCTAGGTATACATTGAAACTCCTCAACACAGACTCTCGGACAGAAACAAATAAAAACCCCCATGAAGGAGGATACTCGAGCACGCGCGTAAAATATAAGAGCATGGTGATAGAACTTGAAGTGAATAGCCGAGGCACTGCGGTGGTATTTTGGCGAATGGAGCCGTAACTCATGCGCCAGCCATTGATAAAAGAAGAGCCCATTTAGTGGTGAGTTCGGTGGTCCGAGAACAGGATGATCTCCATACCTAGCTTGGATAGAAGCGGGATAATAAGCTCAACCGCCAAGGACCAGAATAGGTGCAAGATGAAAAGCAAGGCAAGGCCGGGGCGTGTATGGGCAAATTGATTGATAGCATGGAGCATGGAAAGAGGGACACGCAAAAGGAAGGAGGGAACAACAAAGAATGTGTGTAGAATCAAGTCATTGACAGCGGTGTTACACACAGCACTCCGCGGATTCTCTTCTTGAAGCCAGGTACTCATTGGCCGGATAGTATAGGTCAGCTGAAGATTCATTGCTCGAAGTCCGGCACCAGAGAATTGGATGGAGTTGTGAACACGATGCAGAGAAAGCGATACGGCGACTAGGTCGAAAAGTTGGTGCCGAGGTGCCACGGAAGGAGTCAGCCCCGGGTCAACTGTTAAAATACCTGCCTCCCGAGTATGACTCTCTGCGAGACTTTTGGGCCGAGGTGTGTTCGAAGACCCGGCTTCATCATGTCGATGAAAAGGGGATTGAGAGAGTGATGAAAATCGAATTTCCGGCTGCAAGTTCATAGGGTTGTACGGGATCTGCGTTGCTTTTTTGGGGCTGCGGTATGGAGACGTACGCTGGGCCTTAACATGAGTAGCGCTTCGCCACTTTTCAAACTGTTTTTTCTGCCGGAAAGAAGCGATGTAGTCTTGCTTTCGCTCCACTGACGGAACAGGAAGGTGCTTTGGGCGCGGTGGATGGCGCGGCGGAGAATCTGGGGGCGGGGTGAAGCGAACACATCTTGCGGATAAGATGACAGTATCGATTTCCTTCCTAGGGTGAGACGTAGAAGCTTCGTCCATTTTCTTGGGCCGGGGAATCGGCGAAATGGAAGTTTGGGGTCGGGTAACGAGAGCATCGTCGCCGTCGAGTAAGTGAAGGGAACTTCCAGGTGGGCGCCAGTCAAGATACATGGTTTGGATCTGGGGGGCTGAGCTGGTACGCAAATTGTCGCGATTCTTGTGCCGACATGCGTCTTGGAGACTTTCGCAACCGTTACGTGACGCGGGGGCACTGCGTGATACCGGCGTGTTCTGTGGATTCAAAGGCTCAGTGAAGTCATCCAGAGAGTGGTATTTGTCCATTTCGACATCCAGTTCAAGTGGAGGATATTGCTTTGCGGATTCTCGAAAAGGGAAAGTCTCGGAATCGTCGAGCGTAGACCGAACTTCAAGAAGCCTGCCGTGAACACCGAGATCCATCTCTTCCATCTCACCATCACCGCCATAGTGCGGGCCATCAAAGGGCACCACGGAAGCAAAAGAAGGCGAGTGGAAGTCAACCTCTGCAGAGTCAGTCATGGCCAGACGAGTATCGATTCTTCCCAGCGGGGTTCGCATTGATTGCATGGTCAGCGCGGGGAGTGGGAATAATGAGGGGGAAAGAGTCTTGTTGAGCCCGCAGTCGAAGGTTTGAAGGTCACGAGGGAGTCACGAGATATCGAGACTGTGTCAAAGGAAAGGGCGTTCCGTCTACCGCAAGCAGGGAAAGAATAAAATCAACGAAATACCATAGGTACCTTAGGGTACTACAATTGTAGCATTGTTAAAGAGAATTGCTATAATTCTACACGTTTAAACAGGGTTTAAACACGGTTCAAACAGAGGGAAGTGCGCGAGTGGATATGTACATCTATTTGACGTGGGCCTGCAGGGTTTCGAGAACCTGTTGAATCGAGTTAGCTTGCGGTCTTGTGTTTCCGGGAAAAATTGGAAGATATTCATACCTCAAGCTCAATCTTGGCCTCAGCGATGTCCTGCTCGCTGCCGTTGCCACCGGCGATCTTCTGAGCCTCACCAATCTGGTTGCGGATGGCCTACAAAAATAGAATATCAGTATCGTTCAAGTTCTTGGGATCGCAACAGTGAGTGGAACGTACGTCGACGCTGAAGTCCTCCAGAGGGAAACCTTCGACGGCGTTGATGCTCAGCTGAGAGTCGGGCTGGACAACGGCGAAACCACCGGAAACTGCGTCTCCTGTTAGCTGATATTCCTCTTGCGCTGCCGACCCTTGTTCGACACTTCTAGTTGGTTGCGGTTTAGAGGTCGGACATACGGAAGTACTGCTTGGTAGCGCCACCCTCCTCAACAATCTCAACGAGACCGGGCTTCAGCTGCTCGATGGAGGGAACGTGGTTGGCGAGGACACCCATCTCACCGGAGGCGGCAGGGATGTTGACCTGGGTCCTGTGGTCGCGAAGGTCGAGTCAGTATTCAGGGACTGCTGGTAACGGCGCGGAGGGAGAAAGGGGTAACAGACACGCCAGTCGAGCGGTAGATAGTCTGTCGTAGAAATAACACATTAGCTTATGAATCCCTAGTCGGATGTCAATCCGGGGAGGCTCAACGTACCTGGTGAGGCAGGGTCAGGGACAGCTTGATCTTGTCGGCAACAGCCTCGGCGTATCCACGGCGCTGGATGGGAGCGCTGAACATGGAGGGATAAGCCCGGAGGGCAGAGCGGGCAAAGCGGAAGGAGTTCATTGTGAAATGATTGGGGGGTGGAACGGCTGGAGAGATCCCTCTTGAAGGTTGCGTCTGCGTTGCAAAGGTCGAAGTCGGAGCGCCGGTTGTTCCCTAGCGGCCGGGTCACGTGGTGAGACCACCCGGGATCAACAAATGCGCGCTGCCAGCCAAACAGCCAACATACATAAAACGCTCCATGGCGTCTATTTAAAGTGTAGATCAGGTAAATAGGAATACCTCCCATTGTTCGTCTCTCTCCATAGCTCACAATTTATCTACATGAGGAATTTCCAGCCATTTCGGAGAGAACCAAAATCTTGAGAGTACACGGGACCGATGAGAGCGGTCACTTGTTCCAAATTAAGGATGGAAAAAGGAAGTTTAGATACAATTCCTTGTTCAGATACCATTTCAATGTATCCGAGCAGGCCATACAGACGTGAAGGAGATCGTAATCTGTATGATCTGCTTCTATAGTTTTAGGTCACGTGAAGCTGCTTCTTGTCTCGATCACGTGATTTTCAGATTTTCTCAAGCCTCACGAGAAGACTAAATATGCACTGATTGAAGACAGAAAGACTAGAATTGGTAGTCGTACCATTCGTCAAAGAATGGCAGTTTCTTAGAATAATCGGGAATCCTCTATATTCGCCTCGACTCCCCAATTGTACTGACGCAATCGATCTGATGCAGCAGTCCGGCCCATATTGAAGCGTCCGTGCACCACGGCGGTAAGCGAGATCCCACACAAACGGAAGTAGCCCTAGCCGACCCTCCATTTGGGTCACCTCCGGGAATACCTCTTCTCTCACCATCCCGTCCACGTCAATCAACGACAACATCCGACAAGATGGCCAGTACGTCTTCCCAGCATATTTCGAGTCTCCTTGCCGCCGAGACATTGAATTTCCGATCGCTGACAATTTGCGCACTACAGAGTCCAAGAACGCGTCCCAGCACCACAACAGCCAGAAGGCTCACCGTAACGGGTCCGTATCCCCTCTTGCCCCTCGATTCCCACGGCACCGAACGAATTGAACGACCAGGCTACCAGTCAGCCGAATACATTCGCCAAGGAGAGAATGATAAGACCGACCCGTTAGACATGAGGGTTGCAAGGTGGATCAATCTTGAAAGTGTTTTCAAGTCAAACCGGGCTCGGTCTTTCCCTTCTCCTCCAATGCCACAACATTATGCAGGGCACCGTTGCTGATATTTATTTGCGTGCAGTATTAAGAAGCCCAAGACCAACCGTTACCCTTCCCTGAAGGGTGTCGACCCCAAGTTCCGCCGCAACCACCGTCACGCTCTTCACGGCACCGCCAAGGCCCTGGTACGTTCAACCATTCGCCAGCATCTACATTATATCGGTTGCGGAATAAAACGGAGGCTAACAAATGAAACAGAAGGAGCGCAAGGAGGGCAAGCGTGAGCTCGCATAAGCGCGGACGACGTTGAAAATGGAAATGGCTTGAAAAATGAGCGCGCAAGGACACGGGGACAATAACGTGCGATGACCAACGAACGGTCCGCTTTGTCGAATCAGGCCTGGTTTTCTGTTTAGTCCTTGCGCGTTGTGTCTGAGGTTGTTTGATATACAGAAATCCAACAGGCTTCAATTCGAAAAAATCACAGCGGCGGCATTCCCAAAATGGGAGTTGATACTCCCTTCTCCGTTTAGTTCTTGCGATCTGCTTCTACTTTTGCTGTGTGCAGTACCATTTCTGACTCGCAGTCGACTTGTTTCCTTTTTCATTTTCTCTTATGTTTCTCCTCGAGCATAGCTCGATTTCCCCTTCCCCGCTACCACGGCATATGTGTGTACAGCAACGTGCTTATTTCCATGCGCGCCTGCTGAAGGATTTTTATTACGTGCCAAGAAAATCTCCCAAGCCCCCTACTAACCAATCGCTCTTTCATGCCCTCTCTACGGCGAATGAGTGTCTGATGGACGGCTACATACCCGTAAGCAGTAGTACAGATTTTTGAGAGTCAATATCAAGTTTGAGCAATTTCCCAATATTTCTGATGTCATTGCATATTTTGAACTAGAGTGATTCATTCACGGACCTGGCGGTTTCCGCAATATGGTCATCAGCTTTGTGTACCTCCACGACGGTCAATTTCATACTTTCCAGACAATCAAACGTTTATCAAACCCGCCACTTATAACCCATTCTTCATGACTTGGTTCCTTCCCGCCCACATCTGAGAATTCAACACGTCCTGACCAGACAGAGCGTACTTTGCTGCCCGGCTCATGGCCGCCCTTCAGCATCGCGACGACCTTGCCTGTCTTCGTCTCAATGCCGCGAATCACACCATCATCTCCGTTGACCCAGATCCCCGAACCATCGGGTCGCCACGCTATTTGCGGTGTGGAATATGCCGTTTGGGGTGCAAGGGTGTTGGCCTGGACTAGAATGGCTGCATCTTCGCGATTCTGCAGTGCCAGAGCCTCAAGGGCCTGGGAGGCTTGTGTCACTGCAGCATCGATATTCGTTTCATCCTTGGCCTCCCTTGACGGGAACAGAAGACGTACGATGATCACTTTCATATGCGGTAATGTTGATGTAGCAACAGCTAAAACGCCGGGGTCGTGTGGACTAAGCGCCATATGTGCTGGGGAGAAAGCAACCCAAGCATTCGAATGAGGGGCCAGATTCTGGTGTCCCAGGAGGTGACATTCGGGAGGAGATAGCCCTTGGGTATGGTCGGCTGCAATCCCACTCTCTGTCTCCGTTACCGATTCAATCTCGTAGTAGTATACGTAGGTGGAATCCCGCCGGGAAACTAGCAGAAACAACTCGCTTGTATCAACATGAGGAACAAAGAGTAAGGATTCTGGGTTCGTCCTTGTCTTTATGCAAGCCACTGGCTCTCCGATCACTGGCGAATTTGTTTCTTCCCCATCAGGAATATGCATGCGGTATAAAAGAACGCTCGAATCCCACCCAGCGGTAGCGATCCAGAACTTTGTAGGATCGCGACGGTCCTTGTGGGCAACTACCTTAACGGCATACTTTGCATGGTCTTTTCTTTTGTCCAGTGTAACAGATCCTTGCTGGAGCAGCAAATGCCCTGACATGTTGGTCATCAGGACAAAGCGGCCCCCGAGGATCGACACGTATGAGAGGACGGGCGAGTCTGACAGACTGGAAAAGGAAGTGAGTTTCTCATTTCCACCCGTAGCCATTAGGAGATGCACTTGTCTATCCGCACCCGTGGAAATGATGAATGGTCCGGACGACGTGTTGGCACTGTCACAAGGCTTCTCCCACGATTCAACTGACGCAGCGAGAAGATTTGATGACGTTGGAGTTGAAACCACCGTCGGTTTATTGGGAGCTGGATACTTGTCAGTAAGTCCGAAGCATGTTGGTGGTTTTATTACAGTCCTTCGAGTTTCCGTCCCGTTCTCCAGCCGCAAGACAGATAGACCTTGCACAGACGAAATGAGAGAATCGAACTTACCTGGTTCGCTCCAAGCACCAGTCTCTTTATTGCCATCACCATATCGCTCAAAATTCACGCTGTGGTCAAACGCCATTTTCTCCTCCAGCAAGCTCTGGATGGACCAGTTGTTTGTGTCATCGCCGGAGCTCTGCCCCACGTCGGGGGCCAGTCCGGCTTCGCGGATAAAAGCCTGGAGAGTCTCCGAATAATTATTTGTTCGGAGAAACCGAGCTACCAAAGCGCTTGTCAACGCTTCGATCGTCGTGGTTGGCGCCATGATCTCCTGACTGTCAGGATGCTGCAAAGATTTGGTCCGTGGGGAGGTGGCGCTAACCCAAGTGGTACCGTTCGGTTGAAGGTAGGATGGCTGTCAAAAATATAGCTTACTGCCTCCCGAGCCGAGACACCACACATGGCGTAACCAGTGTACCTAACCCTAGTGTCCAGTTAGGTACGCTACGGTGCAGTGTATTGTAGTGATTCCGAAATGCATCCACCACCCCCGGATTGATCTCACTAAAAATTCTCTCTAGACCATCCAGAGAGACTCACTGCACATTCAAGCTGAGCTATGTGATGCAACGTATCACACTCCTCCGCAGCTTTAAGATTCAATACTATTGATTTTCTAAGGTTTTCAGCTAGATCGTTCCATCTTCGTTTTGATAATAGATACCACTACATACTGACACCCTTTACGCCCACAGACTTCGACATGGCCCATATTGGTGATATCCCTGATGCCGAGAATGGCACGTGATCGAGCTCAATCTTAGATAAGTCACGTGGTGGGCTTTTGGGTATACCGTATAGCACCTGAGAGGAGGTGCTGTTACACACTGAGCTTCCGCCCTATTGTGACCCCGTGGGGCTCTACCTTACTACACAAGTGTAGCTGGGTTTGGTATACATTCATAGTGTGTGCAGTCACGCCTCCACTTAGACACCATTGATCCTGACAGAACTAATGCACTTGAAATTCCAACCACCGCCTCTTGCTCAGGAGATTAAGGATTTCCTCTTTCACTAGTTGTCTGCTTTTTTACGCTCAACTTGACTTGTCCGATACAGTTTCTGCTAGTCTTTTCGAGCTGTGTTTTGCGAAACCGGGATATACGAAGCAAAATAGTGTATGCACCAAAAATGGGATGTCTTTGCAGAGACAGAAACTATGTACAAGCGTGGTCCACCGAACACGATGGTACAAGGGCATACCTCACATATGCTCGACTAGAGCTTGCCCTTCTGCTGAGCCAGCTTCTGCACCTGCTGCACGCGTTGCCATGCTCCCAAGGCAAATGGCTTGGCCCGCTTTCCGTAGTCGTTGGCCCGCGCACTGCTGGCCTGACGGGCTGCAAACCGTGCTGCAATGCCCTGCATGATCACCGAACCCCGGAAGGCGAAGAATGCATCTCCCCAGAGGATATCCTCCGCTGGGTTGTATCCCGATACCTCGGCATACCAACTTATGCATTCTTCCCGTGACGGCAGGCCTGGCGTACGGCCGGGCTGGAACGACTCTGTCGACGAATCCGCCCCTTCCATGATATACGGGCTGGTGACGTTACAAAAGTCCGACAAGGGATGGCCGACTGTCGCCATCTCCCAGTCCAAAATACCAATCACCCGTGCCTCAGTCTTGTGGAAGATCAGGTTGTCGATCTTGTAGTCGCCATGAACCAGCGTTCCGCGATCGCGCGGCTGGGACGACTTCTGCGAGAAGAAGCGCACCATATCTTCAAAATGGGGCAGATCCCCAACCGGCTCCTTGCTGTCCACATCTTGCACCTGTGCCTGGGCTCGCGAGATCGTCGTGAAAGTCGCGATCTGTCGGTCATAAAAGCCGCTTGGCTTGCCAAAGGTCTCGAGGCCGACGGATTTTGGGATGACTCGATGGAACTTGGCCAGCGTTTGAACTGCTGATTTCCAACTACAGTTTGTGAGTCAGGAAAAAAAAATCATTCTCATTTTGGGTGCGACAAAACTGGAATAAGTAGAACTTACAGTGCTTTCCTTTCCTCGCCATTCACGCCCGGCATCGACGGGTCGGTGAAGTGTCGACCGTCGAGGAACGACATGATGTAGAAGGGCGTGCCAATCACGCTGTTATCTTCGCAGAGACACAAAGTATCTGGGACGGGCACATCGGTGTCGCCTAGGCTCCGAATGATCTTGTACTCTCGCTCCACCTTGTGGGCCGTCTTAGAGAGAAGCTTGCCCGGTGGCTTCTTTCGCAGCACGAATTTCAGGCCATCGGCAGTGGTCAGTTGGTAGGTCGGATTGGATTGGCCAAATCCGAACTAAAGTAGAGAGTTATCAGTATTTAGTAACACTACAAGGGCATTGTTCACGCACTTGTTTGACATCTAATGGGGTCTTCAGGGCTGGCACGTTCTGGTCAATATACCGCTCCAGCGACGGAATGTCTATGGGTTGGCGGACGGCTCCCGCCATGGCGATGAGGTCCGGATATGGGAGAGACAGGCAAAAGGTTCAAGGGAAGAGAAATGGATTAGGTTCTTTCGGGGGATATAATGTACAATCGAAGCGAAGAAACTCGGGGGAGACAGCCGGGGTACCTCGGTCCAGCAACCTCGGTCAAAGCGGGGAGCCAGCTCGATGCAAACATGGCAAACATGGCAAACACCACAGCATCAACAAACACCACAACCAAACAATGCAAAGCTGCGACTAGGAACTACGAACATGATAAGGTGCTTTCAATACCCAAGGTTGTCCTGCATCCAAAATTGAGCCATTTGGGAAATTGAGCCAACAGCGATGATCCGGTCAGATGAAAAATTCAGTGCTGACAACCCGGTAGAGTCTTCTTTATATAGTAAAATCTGTAATGGAAAGATCTCATTATAGTGGTCCAGTGATGGTGGAGGCAGCCCGCGGGCGGTAAGCTCCAGCTCAAGGCCAACAGCATGAACTTCAATTATACATGATAATGGCAGATGCTGCTTTCCAAAGTTGAGATTGGATCAAGGATTTACTCGGATGCTATTGGTATTCTTCCATGGGACGATCTCAGAGCATCAAAGTCGTTTTTAGGCTGCGAATAATCAAAGCTCCGCATCCGACAAATCCTCGCAGCATTGGGAAGCGCGTTGGCGGTGAACGCGTCCCAGCGGTGAAACGCGCAAGGGACGGCGCCTACAGATATGGTTGGTGGGCACACCGCAAGTCTCGTTTATCAGAACTCGGTCCCACTCGACTTTCCTTATTCTCCTTCCCAATTGCCTTTCGATCGCGCACTGCCATGACCAAGGAGACCACCCCGCCCACCGATTCAGTCCCCGCCACCCGCAAACCACCTTCGCTTCCCGCCTCCCCGCTCGCGAAACGCACCAAGACCAACGACAACATGACTGCCTCCGCTGCTCCCGCCGTGACCTCCATCCAGCAGCATCTGCCCCCGTTGCTGGTGAAGAAGCTGGTCGACTCTGCCCGCGCCCCGACCCGGGGCTCGGCATTCGCAGCCGGATACGATATGTACGCGGCGAAGGAGACTGTCATCCCGGCCAAGGGCAAGGCGATGGTAGATACCGGCATAGCGATTGCTGTTCCGGAGGGTACTTGTGCGTGGTCCCGCTAGATTGTCGAGAGCAATTCATGTTTAGAATTGAGGCTAATACTTTGCGGTAGATGGCCGTGTTGCTCCCCGCTCTGGTCTCGCCTCCAAGCATTTCATCGACACCGGTGCTGGTGTCATCGATGCCGACTACCGTGGCGAAGTCAAGGTGCTTCTGTTTAACCACTCTGATGTCGACTTTCCCGGTATGTCCAATACCTAAAGATCCGAGGACAATTCTTCACTTATAGCTGGATCTGGCACTGACCCATTGAAAAGTCAAGGAAGGAGATCGTGTTGCCCAGCTAGTTCTGGAGAGAGTAGGTTGCTCAACGAGTTGTCCATTGAAAGTCTTTCTAATAGATGTCTGCAGATCTACACTCCCGAGGTCGCTGTCGTCGAAGAGCTCGAGGAGAGCGTGCGTGGCGCCGGCGGATTCGGCAGCACCGGCGTTTAAAGAATTTCTTATTCGAAATCTGGAACTGGAATTGGGCGGATGGCTATCGGGGTATAACTAGAAATTAGACTTGGACTACCCGGAAACTTCAACGAATTTTACGCGCCAAATGTCTCAAAAGAAAAGAGGTTTATGAACTACTCAAAATTCGCTGCTTTGAATGGTGAATCTATCCAGACCGGAATGCAAATGCCATCTTGGTCGTGATCCCATAAAATAGTCAACTCCTCACACCCTTGTCTCAACTTATATTTATCCAACATCTCATAGCATGCTTCTATTGCAGCCCTGTGGGGAGGTCTTCCTTTTGCCATTCCTGTACCGCGAATTGGACAAGAGGGTCTCGCAAGAATCGCACGTTCCGGACCAGTCGAACTTCGGCAGCCTTTGTCCGTCGCAGATAGTCTTGCTTTTGTTGCTCCTCATTGCTCAGAGTTCCATTTTGAGTGGGTTCCAGAGCTCTCTTGGCCAGCTCTGCATTGCGGGCTTCCATGGTCCGCTCGAGAACGCTGTGCATGCTTGAAAGTACCTTCAGAGTGGCCTGTGCCAATGGAAGTTTGCTGGCTACCACATTATCGGGCGACACCCAAGATGCAGTGGACTGGAGACATTCGCCCGCCGCTGCAACAGCTTCTCGCAGGCGGGCAACCATCAGTGCAGCGAACATGTCACCAGTGCCGCTGAAAAAGCAATCCAGTGCCGGAACATCAATACGGAATAGGCGTGGAGACCCATTGCTCTGGGTAGTTGATCCAATGACGGTCAAGAAATTCTCCGGCGGACTAGGGGTGGACCCAGATTGAGATAGGTTGGATAGCTGCATAGAAGTGATGATGACGTGAGGGACTGAGTAGATTCGGTGGATTGCGGTGATGGCCTCCGCCAGCGTGGCGAGGGAGGTGATTTTGATGCCGGAGAGGACTCTGGTGGAGCAGGTTAGCACTGGGCGTGGGGATCAAATGCAGTCGATCTCTACTACTGAGCAAGATTGGAACTCACTCGGCTTCAAATTGGTTGGGCAGAATCAGATCTGCATGATGGATGACTTTTTTATATGCCGGAACGACATCGTCATTGACGTATAGTCTACCCTGGTCACCCATCACCGGGTCCAGCACTAGATCGAACAATCAGCCTGTACCGCCAATACGGGGAGAGAGTCGTATGCTCGTACCCCAGAAGAAAGAGCCCGGATTTTTCTCCGCTTTCTTCTTCAGATCCATCCCAATCGCGCCAACTGCGTCCACGGCCGCAGCGCTGGGAGCATACCCGGACAGCATGACGTCAAAGTCTGTGAGGTTACTCTGGCATAGGCCCTGGTACAAGTCTGTAATCTCCTGTGCGGTTGCGCGCGTGCCTTTGAACTGCCGGTAGCCGGTATGGTTGCCTAATAACTGGATTAGTCTGTTGCTCGAATGTGCTGACTTGCGTAGATCTTGTCTCGTGCGGGATTTGAGTCATCCGAATCCATAAGTCGGACCTGGGATGGGTCCCTCGAGATCGTTGGAACATACTGAAATGCACTGTGTTCAACGCAGCGACCTCGCATCCGAGGGACTGCATGGCATATGTCGCCATTGAATTGCCCACATGGCTATGGCTGTCAGCTTGGGGACGTCATCGCATGACTCCACACTGGCACACGTACCCATAGACGACCTGATCGAGGGGTTAGCATGATCGATTGAAGATCTCAGAACATTGGCCGTACCTGGCTGGCGACCGCCAGTACTCTGGTCTCCGGCACAAGGGAATCGGACATGGTTGGGGTAGCAGGAACAAAAGCAGCACTTGAAGCCGTCGAGATCGCGGGGAGGAAAGGGCCGAATTCTGCCTTACCTAATTGGCTCCGATGGCCGCGGAAATCTTTTGGAACTTCAGGGTTACGTTTACGTCCATTTCTGGCCACTTCAAGTTCGTTCGCGCCGTGGGGAGTCGCGAGTACAGAGCAATTGTTCTCTTGCGCGCGTGCTCGGCGCGGTCGCAATGCAGCTACAATGGTCTCCGATCGCTTTCGACGCGGCTGTCGAGTGCCGAGGGCCTGCAGGTCGCGTCTCCTTGCTTGGGGGCCGGAATCCGTTTAATTGCGCCGTGCGAGTTTCGAAACGAGGCGTGCAGCAAGTGACACGGTCCCGAGGCTGCTCCGAGTGTCCGACTTGGTCCATCCGACCTGTTGCCATGGATGGCACAACAGCTCGAGCTCGGAGCACTCTGTCGCGGGGATGAGAACCGGGGATCGACACCTCTCTGCACGATGGCCCGGTCAACAACGTCGACGGGCCTCGCCCCGACGAAGATCGTCATCAGCCTCGATCCTTTAAAGACAAATGACCCAGCTGTCCATGAGGATCGTCAGCATGCGAACCTGATCCTGGCCCCTGCACGATGCAAGCACCCCTGAGCCATCGCATCACAGCCCCGAACTCCAGTCCAGGATCCACCGAACGATCTAGTCCTCCGGGTCTGCTGTTTCGGGGCCTAGCGCACGGCGCCGTGGGCAGGCTTTCGGCCTTGGCTGCACTTGGATAGGGCAGTCAATACGAACTAAAATTTGTACCCATTCGGCTCGTTTCTCCGTGCGTTGCCGGCCCTCTTATACGACGGCTGTCCCTCGTGGTCATCCTGTCAGGCACCGCGCACTTCATCGAGTTCTGTTCTTCCCCCGGATGACTTGCTGATCCTTCAATTGCTCAGTCCCGGGGCCGTGGATTAGCAAAAGTGCGTGCAATGTTGAACATTGTGTAGCGTTGGTGTTCTGTTTCGGCTCTTTTCCAGCCCTTCGTGGGTTCGTCACTCGTTAACCACCTCCTGGTCATGGAGGCTCCTTCGCGTCTTTCGACCTGCAACGGCAGCCGAAAGGCCTGCCATTCGTTTGCAGGCGAAACTCGTCTTACCTCATTCCTTCAACGCCGCTGGTCGCGTCCTGGCCAGTCCCGCCGACTATTGCAAGTCCCTGGGCCTTTCTACCACGGCCTCTTAATTTTAATTCTTATTCTCTGTTTTTCGCCTATAGCAGCTCTAGCGCAGCCTGCAGTTGCGTCGAACCATCTGGCAGATTTCTTACGATCGGCTCCAGTTTCACATGGAGAGACTTTTGCGAGTGGTCTCCAACGGGGATCTTCACCACTCCAGTTTCGTGGTGTACCAGCAGATGGGGTTGGTCGCGACGATGCGGCCAAAGGAAACGATACAAAGAATGACGGCGCTTTGCTACTGCGACGGACTGTAACTGCGGATTCCAACTCATCCTCGGACATGCCGACCCCGTTCGATACCATTTCTTATAATTTCGCCAACCAGAGCTGCACGACCTTCTTTACCAATTTTCTCTCCAACTCCACGATAACCGATTGTCACGCCGTTTCGCTGCTCCTCGAGAACTCTAATTCCTTCTTTCACACGTTGGCTTCTGCTGCGGCCACTTCACGCGTCCTCGACATAACCTGCTCCCAGCCGGTCGCCAAATGCGCGTCGATCCTGACATCCCTGGCGAGTGAAATGATCAAGAACGAAAATTGTGGCCAGGACTATAACTCGGGCAACTCCGTGGTGCAGAGCACGTATGAGGACCTGATGGCATACGAGCCCGTTTACCGCGCGTCATGCTTGACTAACCCCGACACCAAGAACTACTGCTTTGTTGACGTGGTACAAAATTCAACGGCGCCGAATGACTATAATGTCTATTTTGTCCCGCTGGGCTCAACCCTCACCAAGTCCGGTACTCTGACTTGCAATCAGTGTTTGCAGGCAACCATGGATATCTTTGCGCACTGGGCTACCGTCAACGGCCAATCTCTCGATACTACCTATGTTCCATCCGCGAAGGTCGTCAATAGCTATTGCGGCGCCGGATTCTCGAATGCCAATGTCACTGTCGGCTCTGACACAGTCACGGCTGGTGCTGGGCGGAGTGTACGTCTGCCCGATGTACGATTCGCCGTCTCTTTATTCGGTCTATTCCTGGGAGTCGTACTTACAGGGATTTTCTGAGAGACTCTGGACCCCACTGGACTCTATGACGTGCTCCCATGTCTATCTGGTAACTTCATTACCGGTACTCATGTCCTTTACCTTTCCCGACTTTCCTTGAGACCTCGGTCATGCATAACGACAGCGAAGAGCGTGCCATTTCACCCTGCATATTATATACAATATTCCCTGTCTATTATTTAATTGGATATACATTCTGTCTATACAAGAATTTTGATTCCACATTGTTCCTAACAGATCTATAAATAGCGCGTCCCGGATCGCTCTCCGAATCTTTCTTTCCCCCGTTTTGACGTGGACTCCAAAATCTTTTCCTGTCGCAGTGGATAACTCTCGTATCAGAATGTCGGTTGCCCACTGTTCCACCCGGCTTAAGTATTAAGCTTGAATACACAGCCCCTACCGCTGCTACATACTAATATGAATGGCAATGCTGCAACGCCTCAAGGGCGGGGCAATCGGGGGCCAAGTGAAGATCCCTGCTCCGCCCCCAAAATTTGTCGTGCAAACCTCGAGGCAATAATGCGAGCCCGTCTATAAATGCAGACTGCCCTGGCGCAGGGTTCTTTGCTGTGATTTGCGACTTGCTTGTGCTGTTTTTCCATTCGCATGTCTCGCCATTTATCATGATGGCGCTGTCACAGACTCCGGCGGAACTATCGCACCATCTTGCCACGATCCGACCGCTGGCCGATTCGCTTTACGATTCTACTCGCGAGTCGACTGCCTTGATCAATCTGGCACACAATGAGCTCGGCCTACTTCTAAGAGTGTTGGCTGCGGCCGAGGCCCGCTCGTCGCTGCTCTGCGCGGACCGCTCCATCTTTGCCCTCGACGAAAAGCTGGAGGGTTGTCATGCCATTCTGCTGGATCTGCAAATGCTTCAGAGAAAACCGGGTGGTGTGGGGTCGTCAACACAAATCGCAGAGATCCGAGCTCGTATTTCGTCTTTTGTATTTGAACTCAATGTGATGAATGCCGATATGACGATGTAGGTTCGCCTTCGGCTGTGCATCCTGATCGGGGGGTTCTGACGTTTCTGTATAGATATTCACAAAACAAAGTCAATCGACTGGTCCGCGACTTCATTGAGGATGTGCGCGAGGGCAAACGAGGGCGCTCTGTTATCACCGATGCCCTGAATGACGAGGCATCCGCCTCCGAGAAAGAAGAAGCTTGGGAAAATCTTCAGCGAGAGCTCCACGATGTGGGTCTGGTCCCTGGCTTGTCAGGCCAGGACCACGAATTTATCGTTTCGACTCTTCGAAAGGCGGTTGAAGATGATCACCTCCTGGAAAATATAAAGCCGACACCTGAAATTCCGGCAGGCCCGACGATTATCGTCTCCTCGCCATCACAGCTAGATCAGCATGAATGCCCCCCGTCGTTACCCCCGCGACCTCGAGATTCAGGACTGTCAGACCTTTCGGAAAAACAGGTTGTCGTCACAGAGGACTTTCCAATACCGGCCGCCACAGAACTTCAAGGAGTGTCGGATACCGAAAAGCAAGCGCTTCCCATAGACAACTATCCGATTCCTGTGGTGACCGAGGCTTTCTTCAACGCGGTAGGTGACTCCGACAAGCAGGCCCTATCGCAAGATAACTATTCGATTCCTGTGACTACAAAGGAGCATCTCTCGACAGCCAATGGCTTCGATAAACAAGTCATTTCTCGAGACAGCCTTTCCATGCCCCTGGATACTGAGTATGTCGCACGAGGCCGCTCAGAGGGAAGCAACACTTCTGCACCGCCGCCTCTGGCAAAGGGGAAGAAGCCTAGCCTGATGAACAAGGTGAAGTACAGGCTCACGAATAGCAAGGAAAGCTTCATCTCTTCAATCCAGATGGGTGGAGCCTACTCTGTTAAACTGGCTCTCGATAAAGGTGCGGATGTGAACACCATGAATCACCATAACCAAACGGCTCTGATGGTAGCTTGCTCCTTCGGACATGAAGATGTTGTGAAGTTGCTATTGGACTACGGCGCCGACACTGCAAAGGTCTCTATGAAAAGGGAGACCGCCTTGGGCGTGGCGGCTGCCCGTGGGATGGAAAGTATTGTCCGGGTACTCCTGGCACATGGCGCGAATATGAATTCTGGAATGAATGCAAAGCCTGCCCTCATAGAAGCGGCATCATCTGGATACGAAAATATCGTGCGGTTGATGTTGGATCGCGGGGCGAATCCCAATGCGATGGGGACAGGCGGTTTAAGTGCGTTGACCGAGGCCGCAATGAACGGCCATGTCAACATATGTCGCCTCTTGCTAGATAATGGGGCTAGGACTGAACAGCCGAACAGCTCGCTGACCGGCAGAACTGCACTTTGGAAGGCGGTTTATCAAGGCCGGACTGCGGTTGTCGAGTTACTGATGGAACGGGGAGCAGACCCCCTTTGGAAGGACACTGCCGGCAAGACAGTATTGTCACTTGCATCGGCCTACCGCCGGTCTGAGATCCTCAAAATATTCCATCAGTATGGGTATGAGAGCACCCCATTCCAGTACTATTGATGGATGGAAAGCGACCCAATTGAGAGACTGGGCATGTCATTGCCATTTCGACATTCAGCATTAGCTAGAATATTACCTAGGTCTTCGCTGCATGAAATAATCGTTTATTGTGCATAAGACTGTTGAGTTATTGCCTCTCAAATCTACCTGGGGATTGTGCTGACATGAGCCGAATCCCTTGATCTGGACCATGTGTACAGCCAGTTTGGAACCCTCTAGTTTCTCGGATATCAAGATCCATAAGACTTATCGAACAGTTCCATGCGATGTGCCTCCATACCAAGCGTTTTAGCTCCTTTTTTGCCCGTCAAGAGGTCTTCTCTGTCCAGTGAGAGATTTCTAGATTGGGTGATGCTCTTAGTCAGCAGATATGGCATATCTTCACGAAATCCTTGAAGTGTCCGACCAGCAAACAACATCGTGCGCATAACCTTTCGGCATTATTGGGATGACCCCCTCGACAAGTGAACCCCTAGGAAAGCCACTGATTCAAACGTCGATTGGGCTGATCTCCTGAATACTGCGGATATTACATCGCCTGCCCCTCCATCGATCAACGGGTACGCTGCGTCCCCACCCGAACTCCATGAGTGAGCTCCAGAAATCCTTCGCCAAGTCCAAACTGGCCAAGTTGCCTCCAGAGGCCCCGATGTTCGACACAATTACCCATCTGGAAGAGAGCCGCGAGGAGGACGGCTCTTCCGCCTCCTCCGTTTCTTCCACAGGAACCCTCATGCCGTCCCCAACGCGGCATTTATTTGCCCGGACGGGCTCAGGGTTGGTCTCTCTTCAAGATAGCTCGATGAGCGGATTTCAATTCCATTGATTCAATTTTCTAATCTTTCTCTAGATCTTCTCAATCATTAGCGTGGTCGGACTTCTTTTCCCAGGAGCTGTTTCTTCCGGAAGAAGTGGACGACCTCCACATCACACATCATGCCTACCTAACGCCGCCCACGGGAACAGGGCCTCTTTTCATCATGCACCACGGTGCAGGCTCATCTGGTCTTTCTTTCGCCACGTGCGCTGATGAGATACGGAAGATTCTCCCCAAAGCGGGGTTCCTGTCTCTCGACGCGAGAGGTCATGGGCGGACAACGATGACATCAAATTCCAAGCCACTTGAGACTGAAACCCCATCCATCGCGGCTGCTGCCCAGTCCGAAGCTGATGGAGAGATTAAGCTCGATCTGAGTCTGGAGACCCTGAGCCGGGATCTTGTCTTCATTGTGCGCCAAACGCAAGCAAAGATGCGCTGGGAGAGTCTTCCCGATATCGTCCTTGTTGGACATAGCCTCGGCGGTGCGGTGATCACAGATGTGGCGAAGAATGGCGAGCTTGGTCCCAAGGTGCTGGCGTACGCAGTTTTAGATGTTGTGGAAGGTAAGCCGTCACTAATTCACCCGACTTGACTCATTCTAACCGGATTTTCTAGGATCCGCCATGGATGCCCTGCAAAGCATGGAGACATACCTCTCTACCCGGCCAACCAGATTCCCCTCGCTAGCTTCTGGAATCGAGTGGCAGTATGTAGCCCCCATCCTTACATCTTGTTTGTAATCCCAATTCTCATTCCCTTTATAGCACCCGATCCCGCACAATTCGCAACACGGCCTCAGCTCGAGCTTCGGTCCCATCCTTGATTTATGAGGAAACCAAGTCCCCAGACACAACACGCCCATGGGTGTGGCGCACTAATCTCTCTGCAACGAAACCATTCTGGGAGAATTGGTTCATTGGCCTAAGCCGGAAATTCCTCGATGCGCGGGGCGGCAAACTGCTACTCCTTGCCGGGACAGACCGACTAGACAAAGAGCTGATGATCGGGCAAATGCAAGGTACGCTACAAAGGATTTTACATACACAGAGCTAATGAAAGAGAAATACTGGCTAACATTCAAGCATTTTAGGTAAGTATCAGCTCCAGGTCTTCCCCGAAGCGGGGCATTTCATCCAAGAAGATCAGCCAGTCAAGACGGCACAGGTCTTGGTGGATTTTTATAAACGTAACGACCGCAGTGCATTGGTGCTCCCACCTAAGGTGGCGGATATGCAGGCTGCTGCTGCAATGAAGAAGAGCGCCGGTATACCCGATAAAAGTGGAGTGTTAAAATGATATTAATATTTGATTGACGAGCTTAATGGTGCAGGGACAAATGCCGTCTTGTGGGCAATTTCGACGTATGATTGCTACGACTAGAGATAAACTAAAGGTGTATGTGAAGCTTTTAAATCGAGCACTTGCCCCACTCAAGATAAAACTATGAATATGGATACACTCTGCCAAAATTGTTCAGACGTGCATCGAGGGTCTAATCATTTTCTGTTGAGCACGTACTACAGAATTGGATGAAGATGGGATCAGATCTTACATCTACAGATAAAACAAGAAATTCCGCATGGTGCATGCCGACTGAGTTTACATTTTCACAATATGGTCCGGTCCTAGTGACGGTATGCCGGCCAGCCAAAAGCCAAAAGACTACTTGGAGGCGGCTGCGAATTTGAAACCTTATGAGTTTGATTCATACACGATGAAAAGAAAAGAACTAGACAAAATTGTCCTTGAAATCTTGTAAAAAAACACCATACCCTGACCCTATCCTATTCCTTGAGGAGGTAAAAAAAAAAACGCCTTGGGAAAAGAAAGAAGACACATGCCTAAGGGCAGTACGCTCCGCCGGCCACAATCAGGTTCATGTTGGTGAATTTGACCTTGTACACGGGGCTTTTCTTGGTAGGGAAAGCGCTAATCTGGTCCGGCGTAACCACTACATCCTTTCCCTTCTTCTTCTTGCTCTGACCCGCGGTGCTGGCCGGAGCGTTACCGGTGGCATCCAGCTTGGCACCAGCACCTCCTTCGCCGACCACACGTCCGGGGTCTTGAGGCGCGGCCACATCCCACACACGCACGGTTCCATCGGCTCCGCCAGACACGAGAACAGTCGACTCAACACTCCAGCTCAGAGACCAGATGCCACCCTTGCCGTGACCGCGCATGCGCTTCAGCAAGCGACCCGGAGCCAGGTCCCACAGGAAAATGGATCCCTGGTCATCAGCCGACGCAAGAATCTTTCCATCACGGCTGCACTCCATGGAGGTGATGTTTCCGGTGTGGCCGGTAAACATACGCACAGCGTTACCGGTAGTGACAGCCCACATGCGAACCGTGTGATCAGAGCTAGCGGTAAACACATATGCGGAGTTAGGGTGGAAACAAACGGTGTCCACGTCTTGGTCGTGGCCCGCGAAAATTCGTTGCTGACGAATATGATCTGTGACCCAGAGACGAGCGGTGCGGTCATTGCCACCGGTCACGAAATAATGTCCGAAAGGCCCCCAGCGAAGGTCCCAAACCGGGCGATCATGGCCTTTGTAGACAACCATGCATGTCCAGGTATCGAGCGACCACAAACGGACGGTCTTGTCAGCGGAAGACGAGAGCAGCCAACGAGTATTGGTCGGCACGTAGTCCTCGTTGGAAACGCTTTCATTCTTTGGGGCAGAAGGCGCAAAGGCCACAGCATACACAGGCCCAGAGTGTCCGATAAGTCGTCGGGAGTTGGCCGGTGGGTTGTCATCCAGGTCCGGGAATGCGGCCTCGATGTTCTTACCATCGAGACTCCAGACTCGGATGTAGGAGTGCGAAAATCCTGCCGCAACGAGCATATTGTCATCTGAGAAGTCGATGCAGTTGATACTGTCTATTTGTCAGCGAGTTCGGTTCCAAAAAGGAAAGAAAAGAAAAAAGCTTGTGCGAAAAGGAGCTTACCCTTCGTAAGTGTTGTGGAAGGTAAACATGCAGACGCTGACGCCAGGTCCCACGCCACCAGTGCGGCCGTCGAGCTTGTACCGATCCCGGTTTTCCTTAACTTTCATGACTTCAATAGCTACATCCCGAGCAATGGAAGGGGGAAAAGGAATGTCTGCACGGGTCGGTGCCTCTTCCTCGTCCTCCTTTTTGATCATCTGGTCAAATTCTTGAACAAGAGTGTTCTTGCCTTCGAAGGGAGGTTCCTTGGAATCCTCCTCGGCCAATTCCGCACGGACATCCTCTTCCAGAGTCTGCTCCATCGGCAATTTGCCTAGTCTCAGTCTCGGCAGGGTTCCCGCCATAGCCGGGTTATCACCAGTGTAAGCTGATCCCGGGTGATGACCCGGAATACCTTCATCTTCGGAAGGGAATGACTGGCCCGCTCCGATTTGCCCAAGCATGGCAGCAAAGCTGAATCGATCATCGGCAGAGCGGTCCATAGTCTTGATGGTGCAGTAGCTGCTCAAAATGGCATTCATAACAGAGCCCCCCTCCTTCTCCTTGCTCTCCAGGAATTGAAGAAGGTTGGTGTATGCTGGGTTACTCAAGACAACGCGGTACTTGTTGTTTCGGTAGAGATTTGCGGTTGAGTTGTCCTGAACATGCTCGGGCAAACTGATGGGTTCGAAGATACGGATATCGTCCGTGTGCTCCGGAAGGAACATGTTCTTGTGGGCCTCAAAGAACTGTTTAGCATCTTTAGGATAGAAGGACGTAATCATGTTCAGGAACGAGTAGACAAAAAGTGGCCATAAGACTCGACGCAGCTCCGGCTATGCAATCGTCAGTGAACCCTATTCTCGAAACATTAGTGCGATAGATTGATACCTTGTAAAGATCCAGGTTTTCTTCAACCCAAGTCTTGAGAAGATCGAAGCCTTGGTTAAACTTGGGTCGGGCATCTTCCGCAAGAGGAGGCAAGGGACGTCCGTCGATTTCCTGGTTAGCAGACTCCATGCGGAGCATAGCCTCAGTGCGGCTGTAACCTTTCTTTGCAAGATAATCGATAACCTATGTTGGAAACCAGAGAGTTAGCCTTTGAGCCTTCAGCTTGTAACTAAGCATTCTAACGGACGATGAAATCTTCAGTGTCATGCGAAAAAAGGTAGGAGCCCACGGCCGAATCCATCTTGGGCGCCGTCATCGTGTTCTGGCCAGCAGGCGACAGTTCTCGAGGCGGTTGCACCGAACTTCTGCTCGCCAGATCGCCCGTCTGATCGAGCCCGGCATGATCGGCGGGACCAACGACAGGAGCAGTTGCGTGTGGCCTTAAGCCGGGGGGCTTCTTGGGTGGGTTCAACTTCAGGCGAATCGGCCGTTTGGGGTGGTTGGAGGACATGATTGTTCCAGCTCCCGGATAGATCAAAGGTGTTGCGTGTGAAGGTGAAGTGAACAAGTTGAGTGAAGAGATGAGCGGGTGGGTTGGATGACAGAGCATCAAAAACAGTGTTCCATGGGGTGACGGGAACGTTGGTTTCGTGGCCGAGAAGGTGCACGTCGAAACTCGACAGATAGAAGGCTCCGCTTAAGGGAGACATGGGAAACTGGACAGCTCTGCCGGCCCAAAGCCAGGCAACCTCATATCCTTTCACTCTCCCCACTAGTCCAAGATCATCTCCCCTACAACTCAAGGCCTGGCAACGGGAAGCTGGAAGCCATACGCCCCGACCATTAAAGAGAAAGTGACGTTAAGGGCGGGTTGAAGGGCAAGTTTTCAATCATAAAGAATGGGGAGAATTTTGTGCAAAATAGGGCTGTTATGGCAAAATGAAGCCACTGGAGGAGAATGGTACAAGACAAGATGAACAAGATTGAAGTGAAAGTCAACTTACTATCTGGTTTAGATTCTGTTGCGACATCGCACCGCTCTGGGGCGGAGGCGGACCTGGAGTGGATGGATGCTGAACCGGAGTGCCCGACAAGGGCTGCTGGGAGGACATAGACATGTTTCCTCCATTCGCACCAGGTCCCATGCTGCCGCTGCGCGGCGCAGGACTGGGAGCGCCGCCAGGCGCAGACATGGTGATCCCTGCGGTGCGGAGGTCGACGGCCCAATGCGCGAGCCTACGAAGTTGACGGAAATTTCGCTGACGAGTGGTCGAGAAAAGGTGCAGCGGAGGGAAAAGGCGCTGCGGCGAATTTGATATGCAACATGGAAGTTGCGCGCCGCCGCCCACCTCAGATGCCTTTTCTGGGGATGCACGTGATTGCGATCCGCGCTTGTCGGCCACTTCACTGCAGGTCGACCTCCGCGTCGACGACTTTCGGAGTCTGTCAAACACTTGCACCCACTCGAAACCGGCGAACTGGAAACTCTCTTCCCCTCTGCAACTACTTTGCACAAGCACAATGGCCGAAGAAATGCCCACTCAGACCTTCACTTCCGCAGACCGAATCCGCCAGCTCAATGACATCGACAAGGTATGACGCATCTTCAGACATCCTCTTGTACAAAGCTCACCGATCTCGTTCCATAGGAGGTCGCTCAGTTAATACGCTCTGCCGGCCTGGCAATCCAGGCCCTTACGAACACACATCCCGACTCGGACTCCGTCGACGCCGCATATGGTTCCCTCGAATCCCACAAGACTCAATTCAAAGAAGCCACCTCAAAGTACTTTGCCCTTCTGTCCACAATCGATGTACGTCTACGCAGACAGCTTTATGCGCTAGAAGAAGCGTCTGTCCTGGGGCCCGACGCCCTCGCGCGGACAGATGCCTCGACTACAGGTGGGGCAAGTGGTGCGGCCGCAAGTGCTGGAGCAGGTGCGGCCAATCCTCTTGATACGAGCTGGCTGAACAGTCGCAAGGATACGGTTGGGAAGGATAAGGAAGCAGAGCTCTGGGAAGCCGCTCGCGGGTTTGTGGCGCGTCTCGATCAGAAGTCGGAGGAGTCCTCCCAGGCCATTGGTGACTCGGAGAGAATGCAGGTGGATTAGTTGCCAGTGCTTTTTGGCAATTCGCAAGTGGTTCTTGACATTCTAAGCGGTTGAAATCACTCTTGACTTCTCTTTTTTGATACCCCGAATATCTATCATTGCTGGAGAAAATCTCACAGCATACGCACCACACTTTTTACCAAAAGGAACTCAAGTTGTAGGAGTAACTGGGCACTTTGTCTCTCAAGTCCTGTTCGTGCGATGTTCATGAAACTAAGGCTGTGCAAAGAAAGCAATAATGGGCCGCCGTCTAGCGTGGGCTCCTGAGCCGCTAACCCGACAAATGCCGAATCTATCAAAACTATTTCTGCATGGACTTGATCATCTCCAGCTGCGCCGCCCGATCCCGATTTGTCTCCGAAAGAGGGGCTAAGTCTAAGCATGTGGTTAGTACTCATAGTAAGAAGTGACACGAATTCCAGCAGTATGATAGACTTACTGCGCAGTTCGCCAACAACATCCTTGGCCTTGCCAAAGTAGACCTCCTCTGCAATCAGTCAGCACTCCGAATTGCCCCCGGGGAGGATACAAAGCCAGGGAATACGTACGCAACAAGTTACGCATCTTCAATTCCATGTCCTCAACCAGTCGCCCCACGTTGGCAATGTGGCTAGCATCGCCTTGCTCAACGGGCAAATCTGCCTCAACTTGACGGGTCATGTTACCGCTCAGGTCCATGTCTCCTAGAGCATCACTCTGGTTGGCTAGATGAAGGATCACAGTGCTGGTGAGTTTGTAGTGGGAAGAGCGGGCGCGGTCGGTGGCTTCGAAGACGTGAATGCTATCCCATTCGCCGGAGCTCTGGGAACCGGGGGTGACACCTGGGGCGAGAACTAAGTCAGTCTAGGTCCATCTTTGAAGACGTGTAGCTCAGTGCTCAAAATGGAAGGATTGGATCCATACCCTTCTTCAGGAGAACTACGCCTGCGAATCCATCGTCCAGGTCCCAAAAGTAGACGCTCCCGACTCCGCCTTCATAGTAAAGTTCACGATAAACATCGAAGGCCTCGTTCGCCGCAACCTCGAGCTTGCGGACCTTCTCGCTCGGAACGGTACCATCCTCCAGTGGGGGGTCGAACTCATTGCTCCATGGTGAGCGGTAGCTGTCACCGTCGCGGTTGTAGTCACAGAGCAGGTAGTCCCGGTTGGTCTGGGGGCAGCGGCGGACTTCCAGGGGCTGATCGACGGAGGAGAGGAGGTCTTCCTGGAGCTCGGGGACAATGGAGTTGATTGCGTTTAGGTTCTTCTTGGTGTCGCGTGGGTTCAAGCGTCGGAGAAGGTCGCTGAGAGCAAGGTGGTCAGCTCGGTGGTCTCTCCATGCACATGGGGTGGGGTTGTGGAGGGCCTCGCATTGCCGCTGCCCTGGTTGAGATCGAAGACCAGCGAGGGCTGCAAAACTAATGATACGAGGACGGATACTCACAGTGCGCTGTCAAACTGCTGGTCGGCCATGGTGGGGGAGGGGGTGTACTGGGGTTATCTTCTGGACGTCGGACGGCGGTGTTGATGGTCGGAGGTGCGTGGGTGTTCCCGCGGCCCGCCGTGGCGTCAACACCGGCGATCTTTCCCTTGCTTTTGTAATGTAGTCTCCGATTCGAATTGTTGGTTTCCAGTATCGTACTTCTGTAATCTCATCCCGCACATACCTTATGAAATACAAATAAATACTGAGATAGATATAGGTTGCTCTCACACTACATCTTGGTAGATTTAGGAGAACCTTGGAAGAAGCGAAATTCTGCCAGGCAGGCTTTTCATTTTTGCTGAGAGGATGCTACTGACAGCACCCGAAGAAATAATTCATATCACAAAGTGCTGGCGTGAGCAGAGACTTTTCAAAGCTTTTGAAACATTTGGATACAATCCGGGAATGTCTTACAGATGCTCCACGTTACAGAGCATTATATGCAATTCAATGGTGTCTTTGTTTAGAGTAGGATATCTTCCATGTTATCATATTTATGCATACAGTGCTATGTACATCTGAACAAAATAAATCTTCCTTGGGAAACTAAAAAGGTGCTCATGACATTAAATCGCCCAACACATTTCATGACAATCAAATCCCTGATTCTATCATTACATTTACCAGTCATCACTGCCTTGAACAGTTGGCCGGGTGTTACGCGTCTTATTATTTGCCTGATTGAAGAGTACACTTGCATCTGGAAGATCAAGGTCGGATCCATCATCATCAAATTCACTCCCAGTGAAACAGAAAGGTTGAGGATGAGGCTGCTCGGTAGGATTCTTCTTTGGTTGAGACTCCATATCAGACATTTTTGGAGACAAAAAGGCAGCAATCTCGGCATCCTGAGGACTCTTGGCCAATGGAAGAGATTTGCCGTGTGAACCAGACTGTCTGGGCGTCTTTTTTGCTTTGTTGCTCTGTCGACGCTGCTTCGTGTTGTCCAGAGAAATTTGTTTGGAGGCGGGCTCATCAGCCAGGATCTTTCGAAATCGATCTCCACAATCAGGTCCTGCAGCTTCAATCTTTTGCAGAGTATTGACCATGCGCTGTGTGATGGACCCATGTCGTACAGCTTTGGTGGGCCTTGCAACGCGTTGCAGGTCGGGAAAAGCATCATGGCGCGGAAACCGAATGATTTGTGGCGATGTATCGCCAATGTTCTGATAATGACCCTCGAGCTCGGTTTGCTCAGTTGCACTGAGCACCACTTCATTCAATGGGGGAATCTCCATAGGTTCAGGTGTTGGTGTCCGGGCCCGCTTATTGGGCGCCGAGGCCTTCTGCTGGGCCTTAGCCTTGGGCTTGGGCTTCTGCTTGTTAGTCCCTTCTCCCAGCGTCGAGGCTCGAGTAAAACCAGTCTCCACGTCGTCAGGCATGTGGAACTTCTTCGGAGGTCGCTTGGGTGCCCGACCCCGACGCTTTGGCTCAGGTAGACCCTGCTGGGAATTCTCGGGTGGAATGTCGATGATTCTCTTGTCAGGCGTAGGCTTCATTCCCGAAGGAAGGATCCGGGCAGATCGCTCGTCGTGGAAAGTGAATTGAGATCCATTGGCAATCATCTGCTGCATCTTCTCGTAGTTATCCTTGGCTTTGATATACGAGTCTTCTTCCTTGCCCTTCATGAGGAGCAAGGTGATATTTCCCGCTCTTTTGCGACCTGTTCGACCCATTCGCTGCAACATGCGAATTGGCGAGGCCGAAGAATCGTAGCAGACAATGAGATCCACCTCTCCGATATCTAAGCCTTCCTCTCCTATTGATGTCGCGACAATTGTGTTATATGTGCCTCCCTTGAACTCTTCGATGATCTTCAGTTGAGTCTTCTGGTCCATGCCTTCCGATCCCTTGGCACTGCTTTGACCAACAAAAATATGAGGCCGGATCATGGGTGCATAGCGCTGTAGCACCCTCGTCACCTCTTCGGCACTGTCACGGAAATGAACGAAGATCATAACTCGCGTAGCTGGCTGCGCACTGGAATCACCTGTGTCTTGTCCCTCACCCGCATCCATGAAATGGTTGAGAATCACAGACTTGAGATACTCTAGTTTTGGATGACCAATGAATTCGGGGTTTTTGCTCCAGGGTTCGAGATGACCCATCAGTTTCTTGAAACTGTCATCTTGTACCACCTCCTTTTGCCATTTCCCGCTCTTTTGGCCATCGGTATTGGATTTAAAGTGCTGCAGGTGGCGATAAAACGGGACGATTCCGTGAAACTTGAGCAGATCGATGGCGTGTGCGAGACTGGCAAGAACAGTGAAGATAGCGTTGACCTTGCCCTTCAAACCGAAATTGGCATTTCGACCGGCATCAGATTGCATCCATTTCTGTCTGGCCATGGTGAGACCGTAGGCAGTCAGAGCCATAGGATCGCGTCCCCAGTATGCATTTAATGTGGTCAGCTGTTCCACAAGCGGACGAAGAGTCGTGGAGAGCAATTCCATGCAGAAGAGCATCTCCTCCGAGTTCTCAAAGGTTTCGATCTCGATATTACGAGCGTGTACATAATCTCGGATATCAATCGAATTCTCGGTACGAATCTCAACTCGCGAGATGTCTAGCCCATCAATAACCGCCTGGACAGATTCCACGGTCGAGCCGGGCGTTGCTGTTAGGGCCAAGACCCGGAAGCTTCTGTTGTACCGTCGTAGGAACTTGACAACCTCCACATACGCGTAACCACCAGTAGCGCGATGGGCCTCATCCACAACCAGAAGCACAATACGTTTAGGATCGGCAATTCCCGTTTTGAGGTCATTGATTAATGTTTGTGGGGTCATGAAAAAGACGCGCTTGGCTTGCCATTCTTCTGCACGGATCCCAGGTGCTGCGCCCCCGGTGAGCATGGTCGTTTGTGATCGTGGTATGCCGGCGATGTCCAGACACGCCGAGACTTGTTGCGAGACCAATGGCTTTGTTGGAGCCACGAAAATGATTTGCGCATCTTTTGTCCACCGGAACCAATTCAACATGATCGTTGCTGCGATAAAGGTCTTACCCAGACCAGTCGGCAACGCAACGAGCATATTGTGAAAGAGCCCTTTCTGAGTGATGTTATACTGGTAATCTCGGATGCTGCCCAAGTTCGTCGGGTACCACCACGTATTGAGGGTGTCTTGGTTGAGCTTGTGGTGCGTCGGAGGCTCAACGTTGTCTGGTGGCGCCCAGTCCTGTTCTCGGGGTGCCATGCGAACCGGGTTTGGCGCAAGCATGCCGAAGAGGGTGCTCTGGCGCATAAGACTTGATCGATTTGCAGAGTGTGATGAGCTCGATGAAAAGGAGGAGGCGGGTTGCGTCGGCTGCGCCGGCCGTGATACCGGGGATAGAGATGGGGAGGAGTCGAATGCATCATCAGGGATATTGTCCAGTTCGAAGGAGACGTCCAGGGAGCCACTATTCTCCTTCGGTAGCCCTGTGTTTAGTGACATTTTTGGGTTCTCGGCCGTTTTCGTTGTCCTCAAGCTCTCCTCCTCGAACGCATCCAGCGAAGCAGCCAGAGCAGCTCGCAATTCTTCTTCGTCGTCGTAGAAATTGTTGTTGGTTTGTCTGTTTGCCCCGTTCAGCGGCGGTGTCCGCATCGGTTCCGGTGTGGGCGATTTTGGGTCTGGCTTTTTCCACCTAGGCCCACGAATGCGCTCGGGGCTGGAGTTGGGTTGGGTGAGTTGCGTGACAAAGATGTTTTCATGGGACTTGCTTTGTTTCGGGACAAAGCTCCGGTACTTGGATCGCGCTGGGGGGTCGTCGTAGTCGGAGGATGGATCCCGGCGACCCTCTCGTAGATCGCCGTCCATGGCGGACTCGGAATCTGCATCGGTTTCTGAGGCGGCATCGTCAATGAGGTCTGCCCCGCGCGCCGACGACTGCACTCGGCGACGTTTTGCGGGGCGGGGGGATGGGAGATCGTTGAGAGTACTGGGGGCGACAAAATCATCGTCATCGAAATAATCGGACCCAAAGCCAGATAAAGGCATGTCGCCTGTCTAGTCGGTCAGTCTTCGACCTCGACCACGACCTTTACGGCGATGCTAGATTTATCAGGCTTCAAGGACGCGTCGCGTCGAATAGATCGCGATGTCAGGTGATCGAATGTTTGCCGTGTTTGCATCACGTCCACTCAGGTTGACAGGTGGTACATTAATAGTGGGAATGTACACCTTGTACTACAAGACACATACTAGATCACCTAGTATGCAGTAGCACCATGTATGCATACTCCTGCAGCTTCACCGTCTGCAGCTGCATTGCAGTCCTCGCCAGTCTACCCGGGCATCTGCCAGTCCCTGGTCTTATCTCAGTGCCCCGGCACCAAAAGATCGAACGGTTCTACACAATCAGTAGCACTCTACTTTCCTCGAAAGTTGTTTGGGTAGATTTCCTTTCCGAAGCACCCAAGGTTATCTTCTCTTGTGAATACGCTTGCTTCCGAACAAAAATGCAAATGTCTGGCGTTGAAACCCTGACAAATATCGCCCCCAAACGATATTCATCCAACAACCCAAGGTGGTAGACACTTCAGAAGATTGAAAGGCCTCACAATACTCGATATAGACCGGGAAAAGGTCTTGGCTACGCATAAAGTTACTCCTCTTTTGTAAGGCTTGCATTTGATTCTGACTTTACACTCTGCCCTCGTCGCCGTCGCAAATCCAAGAGTGGATGTATCGCTGGTATGACTTCCAGTTAATGCGAAGTAACTCCATTTTCTCTGCGGCGAGCTGTTATAAACTGAGACGGCTGCGACACTACAAGTGTACCTACACTGTACTAGGTTGTGCATTGCGGTAATTTAATCCGGTTGAGCGTGTAAGTGATTGGGTGATGAATAACGGTGGACCTGTCCGCATATATAGTTTGATAAACCATTCTCAATCGTTCTGTGGAGGGATGCAAGAAAGTGGTGTGGTCGAGGTGGATGATCATCCAGTGTTGCCCCCCACACCGTTGCTAACGTCCACTTCTCCATTCTCCAGCAGTACATGTGGCAAATGGACGAGGCCAGCGATTTACGGCGGGACAGCCCGAATCTCTTTCGGCAACTAGCCTTGATGGCACCCCACAATCATATCCAGTACCTACTGTAGTAGGTACATATGAACATTGTAGGCGAAAGCACTGATCGTCGCCAGTGCAGTCGATCGCGGGCGCGGCCGAGCCCCCAGATTTGACAGATCCACCGGGGGGCGTCAGGGTCCGTGTTAGCGTGCAAGGGATGCCCTTCGCAAGGGGAAACTCGCAGGCGATCCCTCCTACCCTAGGGTACCCTAGGATACTATGGGGTACTACGAGGAGAACCTGCCTGGTGGCGGACTAGCGCGCTGCACCCTCGCACCCTCGCACCCTCGCGAGAAACAGGTCTAAAGACCCCGATCAATCTGAGACCCAGCGAATCAGCGGCCCCGCCACCGCGACCCTGGTCTTTTTTTAATCGTTTGGGGTTTGGGGTTAGTCCGCTTTGGGCCTTTTTGGTGTCTATTTGTGTCGCTGGGGGTCTCTTTTGGGCGGGACGGGAGCAGGCCGTGAGGAGAAAGCAGAAGGCCAAACATGCCGCGAGGACGGTTTGTATTTAAGACTCGCCGCGCGCCTTCTTCCCTTTCTTTTTTCCCCCATCCCCGCCGTTCGTTAGCCACCGTCGCTACCTTCTTCCCTTCTTCACTTCCGTTTCAATTCTGCATTCTCCCAAGACTTCTCGCGATTTTAATTCACCATGAAGCTCAACATCCTCGCCGTTTCTGCTCTGCTGGCCCTCGTGGCGGCCGAGACCACCACAACGGCCGACAAGGTGACCACCACCACCAGCGCTGAGGTTGAGTGCGCCAAGAACTGTATGTGATCACCCATCCTCGACCACCGTCCTCTCACCGGTGCGGACATACTGACTGGATTCTTTCAGGCGCCGCCAAGGACATTTGCTGCACTGCCAAGTGCTACAAGGTGCCCTGCCCCAGCGACAGCCAGGCCAACGACACGAACGAATGTGTCTCCAAGTGCCCCCAGGGCACTGGCACGCCCGAGGACACTAAGAAGTACTCCGACTGCCAGCAGGCCTGCTTCAGCTCTCACTACTTCCCCATCGATGGCACCACCGCGACTGGCACCGCCGGCACCGCCGCTACTGCTTCGGGCAGCGAGGCTACCCAAACCGGCTCTGATTCGAGCAACGACTCTGGTAACTGTATGTATACTCCACCAAATCCCCCAGCGATGCCCCCCTTCCTGGCTAATTTACTCCTTTCTAGCCTCCAAGGGCACCGGCACTGCCAGCGGTTCCGCCAGCGGCACCACCGAGACTGGAGCTGCCAACACCAGCAACGCCGCCAACGCCAAGTTGGGTGCCTCTGGCGCCGGTCTCTTCGGTCTCGTTCTCGCCGCCTTCGCTCTCTAAATGTGTCAAACAGGGTCTGCAATCGACATTTCTTAATCTTCGAGATGCTCGTCTGGGGGATCTGTTCCCCATATGATGCCTTAGTTTCCTTTCGCCTGTGTGATACCTTTTTTGATACCTGATTTATGACCCTGCGGCGAATGAATGAACAGCATTTTCTCATGGAAACCTCCTATGTAATTCTGTATGATCACGTACTGTCGTATTGGTCTGCCATACAATTTGTATGCCCTGAATTAGTGTCGTCTCCGCCGTGTTCAATGCGCTGTTTATTAAAACCCCATCCGACACACTCCGTTCTTCCTGGTCCCATCGCTCGGTCACCCACTAATATCGACCTGATCTCAGCCTGGCGACCGTCTCCGTCCTAGAGATCCACTTCCCTGATGGTCCCAGACAAGAATCGGCACTGAGCCAGACGTTTATGTACTAACTACATCAGCTTATAGGATACCAACTGGAACCAGCTTCTAACCCGCATACACCAACTTACGCTACTTCCAAGCACCTTAAGCCAACCGCAACAGTTGACAACCACTATGTGTTTAGACTTGAGCATACATTTTTCCAGCTTTAAATCCAGGAAGCGACGCGTCGATCGGGCTCCAGCTGTCGCACCCTGCAGATCGAGCCCCACAGTGGGCAGTTCCCCGCATGCAGTTAGGTTGGACTGCAAGGAGCAGGGGAAATGAATTGTCGAGTGTTGAACCGGACCGGCTTGCATGCAGGGGAAAAGGGGAGGGTTGCAGCGAGCTTCACCGCCGAACGCGCCGCGGAAAGTTCTGCGATGTTTGTTTCTCTGCACTGACCCCAACTGATTGGATCGATATTATTGAGATTACCAGTAAGTCGATGTCCCTGCAGGAATCCTGAATACTCCGACGGTTCAATTTAACGTGCTTCGTGATAGTCCACAAAAACATAAAAATTAAAAGAACAAGGTTACTTGGAAGCTGACTGGGACCGATCGCGTCAACCATGCACGACACCACCCCCCAATTCCAAGCGCTTTACGAGTCGATGTTGACCTTTGTCAACACCTGCATGTCTGGTCATGATCCATCGCATAACCCGGCACATGTTCACCGAGTTGTGGCTCTAGCCAATATCATTCTTGATGCTGAGCGTGCACTCCACCCCAACACCGACTACGATGGTGCGGTGGTCAAGCTCGCAGCCTTGCTCCACGACATTGGGGATCGGAAATACCTGCATACACTCACAGCAGAAGGTGAGAACGAAACGCTCGAGCCGACTACAATGGTGCGGCATGCTCTTGTCAAGCATGGTGCCCCGGTGAATCTTGCGTCAAAAGTACAGACGGTTGTGTCGCATGTCTCGTATTCAACCGAGACCAAGAATCCATCTGCTATCCGGCAATTGATCGATAACGAAAGGCTTATCGAGTTGGCCATTGTGCAGGATGCAGATCGTCTGGATGCAATTGGGGCGATTGGTATTGGCCGCACTTTTACTTTCCTAGGTGCCCAGGGGACGAAGTTTCTTGTGGATGGAAAGTGGGAGATGAATAACTCCATTGAGCATTTTGGCGAGAAGTTGGAGCTTCTGGAAGGAATGATGAAGACGGAGACGGGAAGAAAGATGGCCCAGGAGCGGACGGAGAGATTGAGGATCTTTCGTGGGTGGTGGGAGGAAGAGATGGAGCTGATTTCGGCCTCGCGTGTATAAAAAAAAGTAAAGAGTTGAAATGCAGAACGAACCAAGACACTACCGGTGTAGGTCTGCAACGTAACTATGTTCATATTGCCGAGTCTGTAGGGACTCCGTATGTATTGTGATTCCTAGCTAGTACCCTAAGGTAGGGTGCTGGAGCCCAGAAAGAGTGATGGGCAAAGTCTCAAAGTCTCACTTGGTTCCTCTCCGTGGCAACGAGTGAATCGTGAACGATAACAAATGTCCAAAGAAAACAAAAACTGTATCAAACGGCGGACAAAAAGAAAAGTCGCACGTAACAAGCACCTAGAAGTTAAAGCACAAAGCCCTCCATCTATCAAAAATGCGAAATCATCGGTACAGGGTTGGGGGTATTGGAGTTTCTGTGAGTAACGGCGAATCAAAAACTGCTGGAACCGCAAGGGAAAAAAAAAAAAAAAAAAAAATTTAAAACCAACTGAGACGATGTCATAACTTGGTAAGGAGGCAGTTAACGCCAGAGTATTCCCATCGAGGAAGACACGTCTGATGCAATTTCGTAGATATCACCGAAACCGGCGAAACAAAAACGGGGTGCAGGTCTTAAACGCCTCCAAGCGTGAGCACAGAATCTAAATCATTGTGTTATCTGAAATAGGACGAGAATAAGAAAAGGACCAGAAAAAAATAATTGAAGATCAGACCCGATCCCGGGCAAAGTCGAGAACTTCGCAGTCATCCTCGAAAAACCCGTCATCGGCTTTCAAGGGAGCCGAGTGCCTCTTCTTTCGACGGGTGGTGATGAGAACTTCTTCCATGTTACCGGTGCTGTTGCCAAGAGTAATCAAGTTTTCCATATCACCGCCAGCCCCAAGAGAATGGCCATGAATCGCGGCGTTATCGTCTTCGTCATCCGCGTTGTCATCGCCACTATTGCTGTACGACCGTACATGTACCTTGGTGGTCGGGATGTCATCTCCAAACACCCACTGGCCGGTAGAAACGGAAGAATTGTTCCCCATTTGAAATACATGCAAACCGACGCGCTGGTCCGTATGGAAAGGCTGATAGGGCGTATTCGTCTCAATCTCGGCCTGGGACAAAGGCTGGCAGAAGGGCTTTGTAGTGCTAGGTGCCTGGGAGTTGGCTGATGGTAGAAGAAGCGAAGCCTGAACCACAAGGTCCGGATCGTACTTCAATACCGGAGCCGACCCACAACTGTTCTGTAATTTGGCAGGAAGCTTGAACTGGCTTTCCTTGCCGCCGATCACAGAGTGCGACTGGCGGGTTTTATGACCACTGGGACCCTTTTTCAGTCGATACAACTTGAACACACCCTCATCTATCACTCCCAGGGAGATGAGACCCTTGCCACATATCCACATGACCCGAGACGGCGCCGGATCATGAGCAAGGCCAGCCAGATGAAGCCGATTTTCGCCAACATGCCGAAGAGTGTGCACGGTTCCCGTTGCAGCGGCACCCATAGATTTACCGAGACCAGCTGCCACGACTTTTCCGCCTTTGATGCTGGCTGCACTTGACAGTGCAAATCCACTCATATTGGGGAAAGAAGCGCCGGACGAAGGGACGCGGCCTCTGACTGCGGAGAAAAAAGGCTGCGTCTTGCCGCCGACGAGCTTCATGGCAGCCGACAGGGGATTACTAGGGTTTGTCTGCGAAGACATATCATCACTCGCCGGGCCGAGGGCCGGGGACCTTTGCACCACAGACCGAGCTCGCCGGAAAGGAGGCCATTGAAAAGCGCTTTGAAGTAAGTCAAAAACATGGACTGTGCCCTTTCTGGTTATGATGGCTAGCTTGTCACCAATGGGTGGTGTCCAAATCACATCCACAATACTGGATGTAGTTAAGCGCGCGTACCTCGCCACCTGACGCACATTCGGGCTATGAGCAGTATGGTCGTCAGTCATGAAGGCCATTGCTCGGCAATGTTTGAGCTGCATGAGATCCCAGACATATTGTACGTCGCCTTTCTTACTGCCCGTGAAGAGCATCAACCCATTCGGAGACAGCGAAAGAAAGCTGCAACCGTTGGGAACTTGAAAGGTAGCCACAGGATTAAGCGATGCAGTCCTTGAATCCATTCCATCGTCGAAGCGTTTGAGATCGATGATCGAAACCGCGTCAGGTTCAGGTGATGAGGATATCTGAGTATCCTGAGCGTGGGTTGGGGGAAATACTCCGTATCCCTGAGATGGAATTTCGGGAGTCCGGCTAGGCCGTGGAGGTGGTGGCATTCCGGGGGGCTGTTGGCTGTTCCAATAATTGTTCCATGCTTGAAGGCCCTGGTCGCCCATCCAGCGGGCACCTTTAACTAGCTCCTGCGTTACACCTCGAGCCACCTTGTTGAGAAAGCTCTCTCCTTCACCCACGTCGGTAGCACAATTCACTGAAGACATGGAAGGTGGACTCCGAGTTTCCAGTCCTTGAGCTTTTTCATGTATTATGTTGGGGGGTACAAATCCCTGAACCGATCCCCTATAAGACGTCGAAGGAGGCACAATTGCTAACCATCTTCCCTGTACCGCCACGATGGGTCTTTCCAAAGCCGCAGTACGCAGGGAATCATTGTGAGACCCATCAGGATCAGTGGAGCTTGAAGAGGTGGAATATCGTCGAGCTTCTCCGGCATGGACATTGGTCCAGGTCTTGCCCAGGCATTGATAGGTGTCCGCTGAAGTCTGTCTAAAGACATAGACTTCTCCACTAATCCCGGAAGCAATAATCACATGGCTCCCGGTAGCGAAGAGTCTCAAGCTACCAACTGGCGAGGGAGCAAACGATGGTTGGCCTGGAATGTTATCCAATGAGGGGACAGGCTTGCTTGCAAAAAGCGTGGCAAGGAGTGCCCCGGACCGGAGAGAAAACACTTGAACCTTGGTCTGATAGAATGGAGTGTCAAGACGTCTGTCGCCGGAGCGACCTCGTACCATTGAGGAAGGGACTTCATGGATATCCGATCCCGCCGGGGACCCAAGCGCCTCTTCTTCGTTTGGAGGGATTGGGCCGTGGGTCGTAATCGCTATATGGGGTTGGGACGCGACGTTAGAATCATTGGAAGATTGACCGGCCAAGATCTTTGCTTCGAGGACCCTGCCACCGAGACCAGTGATCAGCCCGACCAGACGGGCCCGGCGGTCCTCGATAGCGTGAACTTCGACAGTGGCGTCGGAACCCACAACTAGTACATTAATCCCTGCTCGGGGCGATTTCACCGCAAAGCTCGGCAGTGTATCAAAGCCGCAGTATGAATACGCACAGTCGGACGGAGGGCGGGGTTGAGTACCCAGGTCAATGTCGGGTGCTCCGTAGAAATGGGCCTGGGGCATATGGGGAGGAGGTGCGAGGTTGCCCATCGGACTACCGTACGACTGGCTCTTGCGTCGATCCACCGATTGCTGTCGGGATTGAATGCTACTTCTGTAGCCACTGCCATAGCTGAAAGGCCGGATGCGCGTCGGCGGCGATGCCGAAGAAGGTTGACTACTGAAACCACCTCGCTCTTGGATTGTTGGAAAATTGACCGGTGACTCTTGCGGCAGGTCTCCATCCATCAGATCAGTAGGAGGGCTTTTGCCGTACGGAACTGCCTGAGCCCAGGTGTCTGTACGAGTCACGACGTCGTTCTCTGGTGTTCCATCGATTGAGCCAAGTGCATCCAACATGGGCGAGGCAACGGTAGGGCGAACATCGTGGTCCAAGGTAGGATCAGGGCAAGATGATGGCTCAACTGGGGCGGCGGCGGGAGTTGGTAATCTGAACAGGCCGTTCAACAACGGAGTCTCCAGTGGAATGAAAAGGAGGAGGGATGCGATACATACAAATCTTCCGACGGCGATTCCGTCACAGCCTTGGCCGCCTTGGCCTTTTTGTTTTTCTTCTTCTTACTCTTTCCACTTGGTTCATGCTCCTGGGGTGGGCGAGCCAGATCCGTGTTGAACGGAGTGTCGTCTTCTAAAGACCGGCTGTACTGGCGATTGAAGTCGTCAGCCGCTGCCGGGGGCATTCACCTAGAGGATGCCTCGACGAGGCAGTAGGGAAACCAAGAGCACTTTGGACCGCTCCCAAGACCCTTGAAAAGGTCTGAGAACGGGGGAGAGACCGAATCGCCTGCTTGAGGGGTACCGAGCGAGGGAGGCGACGAGGGAACTACTGCGGTGGGGGCAAAATCTGGGAACGAATGGTTACATCAGTCCAGTATCCTGGTGCGAGCATCTGAGGAGGATGCGCTATCGTGGCTACACGACCTCGGTACATACCTCGAAAATGGCGTCGTTCCACGAGGGCGATAAATCAACTGGGGTTGTTGACGATCGACGTACCGGCGAGCGGAGTCGCTCGTCGATACGCGGGGAAGCTGGTGATAAGGCCGATAGGCGCGAGGTCGAGGGGTCAAGCACACGCTGGCACAGACAGGTCCAGCGGGTACAATGAAGAAGGCGGCGGTAGGACAGTCAGATCAGAGACGGAGTTGGAGGTATGCAAGAACGATCGGTTCGCAGAAGATAAGAAGAGGGGGGAGGGGCGCGGTACCTGAGTCAGAGATCCCCAACGTCACGGCTGACCCCGTCATTCTCCGGCGCAGCTGCCTTCCCCACTTGACTACACTACGAGCAGTACTAAGAGTGCCTACGAGTACTACCAGGTATCCCCCGTACCTACTGACCAAGGGTCCCGTAATCCTCAAGACAGAACAAAGGCTTAGCTAAGATGGCCACCCCGTCGCCCGTGGAACAGCTGATCCAAACAATGGGATTCCGACCATAGCCGTCTTTTGTTCTGGACGTCGCAGGGTGGAGAGGTCACGGGGGATGCTGATGCCCCTTCCATGAACCATCATTTGCTGCGTGTCTACAACCTCGACCCCGATGAGTGCATTCCAACCGGAGTTTGTCTGAGCGCGAACTGTCTACCGCATAACATCATACCCCGGGGCGGCCTGTTCGCAAGGTCCCTCGGCAAATGGTCCGAAGCAAGGAAATAGAGCTGGTTTTTTTTTTTACTTTTTTTTTCTGGATTAGATAAGATGCGTCGTGGTCCGGAGATGATAGCAGCCTCGAGTATAACTGCGGTTAAGGTGATGGTACAGGGGCCCGTGGGGCCGGATTCGCATAGTTCCATCCATAGAGGATGGCGGTGGTAGTAGATCTCCCCAGGTCCGACCTGTCGCTACCCCTCGAAAGGAGACCATCGCGTCACTTAAGTCTTCTTTTTGGCCGCCGCCTTGGCCTTGGCCGCCTTCTTCTTGTTGCTGTTGATCATGACGATGCCTATGAAGGTGCCCACCACCGCGGATCCCAGGAGGGTCAAGATAACAGGGATGCGGATGGCCCAAACGCGCGGAGGGAAGATGTCATGGAGCGGGTGGCCCGGGTCGACGAAGGGCTGTCGGACGGATTAGCAGTGATTCCAAGATCAACGAGATCGTCCACAAACCATCAGCAGAGTCCAGGCCGTATAGTAAAGAAAGATTGCGGTGGCGGCCAAAAGCATGGCGGAACCCACGAGTTGGCCCAGCTATCCAAGCATTAGTCAGAGGAATCACCGGAGATCACGAGAGCACAAAATACCATTATGTGAAAGGAATGGTCGCTGGAAAAGGAAGAGAGAAGCCCGAAAGAGAGTATTGAAGGCCCACGAGAGAAGAGAGTGAATGGCCCAGATGTCGCGCTGTCAGGAGCTTCCCCGTTCCACCCTGGCTTCCCGCCACGTGACCACGCGCTAGAGCTTTTATCGCGGATTGCTTCCAAGGCGACTCTCGCAACCACCGCATTCGTGCTTCCCCTCCTCCCCTCTTCTTCTCTGCACCCCCGGAGTCATCCGAGTCTTCGAGATGTCGGACCCGGTTATTTTGCAGTCTGCGGTTCGTGTGCCCACTCCTCCCCCCGGCACCGATTCTCCGACCGCAGCATCTCGAAAACGTTCACCTCCATCCCGCTCACCCTCGCCGAATCGCCGTCGGTCCCCCCCGGCGAATCTCGCCGAGACGATGTCGACATACCCCAGCCGGAGTCGGATCGCGTAACGGAGAGGGAGCGACAGCTCGAGGAACGGGTGCGCCAATATGAGAAAGAGGAAGCCGCTCGCAAGCCCATGACCCAAGAGCAGAAGCAGGCCGCGGCCAAAGCAGAATACGAAAAGCTGCTGACCATGCGATCGGGCGGCACATATATTCCCCCGGCACGCCTCCGCGCGCTGCAAGCCGAGATCACGGACAAATCCAGCAAGGAGTACCAGCGCATGGCATGGGAGGCATTGAAAAAGTCGATCAATGGGTTGGTCAACAAGGTCAACGTTTCCAACATCAAATTCATTGTCCCCGAACTATTCGGAGAAAACCTCACTCGAGGACGGGGCCTCTTCTGCAGATCTATTATGAAGGCACAGGCGGCCAGTTTGCCCTTTACCCCCATCTATGCCGCAATGGCCGCTATTGTCAATACGAAGCTGCCCCAGGTGGGCGAATTGTTGCTGTCTCGCTTGGTCACTCAGTTCAAGAAGGCGTTCAGGCGAAATGACAAAGTCGTCTGCATCTCGTCCACGACATTTATTGCACATCTTTGCAACCACCAGGTTGTGCACGAGGTGCTCGCTGCACAGATCCTATTGCTTCTTCTCAACAAGCCGACCGATGACAGTGTTGAAATCGCAGTGGGACTGACTCGAGAAGTTGGCCAGCACTTGGAGGAAATGAACGCGCCCATCGCGCACGCCGTCTTTGACCAATTCCGGAGCATTCTGCATGAAGCCGGTATCGACAAGCGCGTGCAATACATGATCGAGGTGCTCTTCCAGGTGCGCAAGGATCGATACAAGGACAACCCATCAATCAAGGATGAGCTCGATCTGGTGCCAGAAGAAGACCAGATCACCCACCAGCTCACCCTGGAAGATCAAATCGAGACGCAAGACACCCTCAACATCTTCAAATATGATCCGGAGTGGGAGAAGACCGAGGAGGAATACAGGAGGCTGAAGAGTGAAATTTTGGGCGAGGACAGCGACGAGGAAGACGGGGATGATGATGACGACAATGAGGATGAGAGCTCGGATGATGAATCGGATGCAGAGGAGCAGAAGATGGATATCAAGGACCAGACCAACACCGACTTGGTCAACCTGCGCCGGACGATCTACCTCACGATCATGTCGAGTATCGACTTCGAAGAATGCTGCCACAAATTGATGAAGATCAACCTCCCAGCTGGCCTGGAGCCGGAGCTGCCATCGATGATCGTCGAATGCTGCTCTCAAGAGCGGACATACTCCAAGTTCTACGGACTGATCGGCGAACGGTTTGCTAAGATCAACCGCCTCTGGTCGGATCTGTTCGAGGCTTCCTTTGCCAATTACTATGACACTATTCACCGCTTTGATGCAAACCGGTTGCGTAACATTGCACGGTTTTTCGGACACATGATCAGCAATGATGCCATCGGATGGCACGTTCTGTCTGTGATTCACATGAACGAGGAGGAAACCAATTCGAGCAGCCGTATCTTCATCAAAATTCTATTCCAGGACTTGTCAGAGCACCTTGGCTTGCCCAACTTGCAGGCTCGATTCCGTGATGAAATCCTTCGACCCAGCTTCGAGGGTATATTCCCCACAGAGAACCCCCGACACACCCGGTTCTCTGTCAATTATTTCACCAGCATCGGCATGGGTGTGTTGACAGAGGACATGCGCGAGCATCTCAAGAATCTTCCTCGTCCGGCGGTGCCAGCATTGCCAGCCGCCCGTGCCTCACGCTCCCCGTCAGGCTCATACTCGTCCTACAGCGGCTCTTCTCGTTCCTATTCTCGCTCCCGCTCCCGCTCCTACTCTCGCACCCCTTCCAGGGATCGCAGCCGTTCTTATTCCCGCTCCATCTCGCGGTCTTCGCGGGGCCGTAGCTACACTCCATCTCGTTCCCGGTCCCGCTCACGGACCCCGGTTCGTCGTGGTCGACGTGCTTCGTACAGCCGTTCCCGAAGCCCGTCTGATCGGTCGCGGTCTCGATCGCGGTCTCGAGGACGCTCCTACTCACGCACTCCCAGTCGTAGTCCGTCTCGATCTGTCACACCGCCGCGCCGCGGACAAGCTCCCTCTAGTCGACGTGCTCGCAGCTACTCGAGATCTTTGTCTCGTTCCGTGACCCCCCCTCGTCGTGGACCTGCTTCCACTAGCCACCGCGGCCGCAGCTACTCGCGATCTGTGTCTCGCTCTGTGACTCCCCCTCGACGGGGACGAGCTTCCAAGAATGTACGACGGACGCCGGATTCCCGTTCTCCACCTCCTCGAGGACGAAATGACTCTGCTTCTCGCTCTCGCAGCCCTCCTCCGCGGAGAAACGAGTCTCGGGGTAGAAGCTACTCGCAAACACCGCCTCGTCGTTGATCGAATGCATGAGCGTTTTGATATTCTGTCAAGGGGCCCTCTCGTTTAGGCAGTATCCGTGTTGCTGGATGAATATTAGCGCTAGTTCTACAACTTTTTTTCTTCAATTCTAGTGGTTTGGGTGGGCACCGGAGCTGGGTCATACGAAAGGAAATTTCAAACGGTGTACTTTATCTTTATTCTATGCTTTTAGGTACTGCTGATCCAGCGCAAAATTCCATATACCATGCATCATTGATATGTCATATTTCCATAAATCAATCTACTGGGTATCTCATCACTTCACAATACAACATTGATCTACACTACATTGTAGGACTTGATACTCTCTAATATATAGCAGTATGTAAAAGACATGGCTTTTTAGACCTCAAACGCCTCCCAAACACATCTATCACAGCGACACAGGCCACCCAGGGCTCCAGATGCCCATTCTCTCCTCTCCTTGACCGGCAAGCCAATATCACAGTAATGATTGAGGATCTCCTGGTCCTTCGCAATACCCCCCTTGGCTGGAGGCTTGGCTTCGATCTTCCCATCCGGGTAAGTTCGCACCCAAACCGCCGTCTCTTCATCGTGTCGTGCCCGGAAAGTAATCTCACCACCCCATTCCCAGCGTACGTTTGGATCACACGAGTGATTCGCCAGGCACCATAGCGGATGCACCGCACACAATTCCGGTCCGCCATCCCAAGTCGAAAGACGGCCAGACGCAGTACCACGGAACTTGGCGTACAATGTATTCAACACCCAGGTATCGTACCGCGACAGAGACACATAGGGGTCGATCTCCATTTCTTCGAGGAAGCGCATCGGTTGAAGGATATTGAGCTGGAATGAGAACGGGAGGGTGGCCGAGTCATTCTTCTGCGCTGTGGAAGTTGAGTTGATGTCAAAATCGTGGAAGTCGCCCCAGATATATTTCACTTCTGGAAGCTCCAGTGCATCCACGTCCTGCGTGGCGGACATGGCCAAAGCCCGACCGAGGAGCAAAAGGTATAGGTAATCGGCTTTGTCTTTTGGATCGGGAATGTCTTTCCCGATGGACTCCAGACCATCTTCCAGGCCACAGATTGCACCGTGGTAAACGCGCTGAGCCGTGTCATGACACGCTTGACTGCAGAAAATAGTGTCTGCGCAACCACCCTCACATCCGACAGGTGGCTCTGCAGCGGAGAGCTCAGGGAGAGGAGCATTGCAGGCATCGCACAGATCGTCATGGAGGCGATTTGTCGCCGTCAAAAGCGAATTTTCCCGTAGAATGATCTCATCGGCCGCGATATCCTCCTTGGCGAATAGACCGAGTTGGACGGAAACCTCGGCCTCATCAGTGGCCCCAGCATGCAGCGCAGGTAGAGCCACGGCGCGCACTTCACATTTTGGCGCCACGTCCGCAAGTCTCTCATTCAAGAACTTCAATTCCTCCGGCGCGCAGCGGTCTGGCTCATGCTCATTCCAGGGATACAGGACGCGGCGAGCATAGCCCTGGGCAGGGAGAAGAGCCGAGTCAATCAAGCCCAGCTCGACTTCTGCTTCTGACTTTGTGCGAGCCCGGTAGATCTTCTTGACCTGCTCCATCTGTTCGTTCAGCACCGTTGTGGCCGCAGAGCCAGCCTCCAGCAGCCCAATCCCGCGCACCCCAAACTCATACGCATCACGATAGCAACCGCAGAGAACGAGATTGCGCACCAGAATGGCGTATACATCGCCAATCAGGGCATCATACTCTTCCTGTGTCACCGGAACTATGGCATTGTCTTCGTCGTCTTCATCCTCATCCTCATCCTCCTCTTCGCGCTCCGTCTCGTTCTTGAATGTTGTGGCTTGATCGTTTTCAGGTGAGTCGACCTTCTTCTGCGCATGAAATTCGCAACCGTCTGGATCAACAACTGACTCCAGAAGTGAAAGCGCGCGGTATGCATCGGCGGCCGCTAGATCGGGGAAACCGAGCTGTTCATAGAGGCGAGCCCGGTCGAGATAGAGGTATGGATTATGAGGGTCGGTATACAGCTGGGCCGTTTTCTCGGCGCGAGCCTGCAGGATTGGTGTGGCCATGACTGGTGTTGCGAGCTCAAATGGCAGCGACGACGAAAAGAGTGTTGCGGCGCATTTTTTAATGTGGGGCGTTGCAGGCGGTTCCTTGGTGGCGTGGCGGGGAAGCATTCCACTATACGACTACACCACATACTACTATTAGTAGTTATGCTACTGCCCTAGAGTATACTCCGACAACTACTAGCACAATAGTGGACTACCGCCGGTACAACTATCTATACATCCTCTCAAACTATAGATCACTCAAAGGTATTGCCCAAACTATCAGATTATAGACGGCACAGTGGTAGCGCCATACAACCACTAGGCATACTACTAATCACAATAGAAGACCATTGTAGCCGCATCCTGTTGTCTTCTGAAAACCCTCCCCAACCTTACCGCAATACTTGATCAAACCCCTGGTCGATTGCGCTTATTGCTCGCCGTAATTGATGGTGTCATGTAAAAAAAGGCGCCAATTGTAACCTACACTACACTCGTAAGGTGTAGGTGCTATCCATGATCCCAGATCGTTAAGCAATGGCACGGTGGTATCTCTATACCCTCTGGTTATTCTCTGATGTTGAGAGAACCCAGCAAGCCCGACTTTTCCTGGCATAGGGTACTCAAGGCAGTGTGCCCGTACTACACTCTTAGTTACGTAACTTCAAAGCAGCACCATCTCCGCAGCGCCAGGATCTACGAATGCTGGTGGTTGAATCCCACATTACAATGTCATGTTGATCCATTTGATTTTATGAAGGAACACCATTCACAATGCCATTCTCAATGCTTGACCCGAAATACACAAACGCCTTTCCCCACAACACCCGCTTGACCAATCTGAAAACATGTGCGGCATGAGAAAAACCAAATCCAACTGGGGTATTTTTGGGGGGATTTCCAGAATGCCCCGAGAGTTTTAGTACTCAGTACTCGGATCGTTATCACATCACCTAAGGGTATCGATGGTTAATTGCGATTCCGCACCATATTTAGAACGGAAACAAACCTGGCAATTGTCGTCGAGGATGATGGTGGCATTCTCGCCAGCTTCACCACCAATTGCGGGAATACCACCTCCGAGACTGGCACCTTGTCGCCCGCGCAGAGTAGCGGCAAGACGTGTCAACATATGTCTCTATACAAAATCATAAATTCTGTCAGTTGCTGAGTTGGTAGTGCCCAGATTTGGTTGAGACTTACCGTGACAAAAGCGTCATTCACACCGCCACGGCGCTCAACGTCATTCTCGCTCATGATCCGATAGATTTGATCAATACGTTGGCGACTCTCCAGCCCACCTATGTTGCTCACGGTAGTGCCCAAGACATTGGCTGCGTTATCGGGATCAAGGATGTTTACCCCTCGACGAGCCTGGTCTTGCGCATGCCGATCGGAAGAGAAAATTTTGATCGTATTATCGATGCCGGATACGGCCAGCATTGGCTCATAAGGGTGACCTGCGGAAAATCGTCAGCAAAACGACCCAGTGTTAACCTGAGACAGCACAACGCACCCTGTACAACATTGACCACTTCACTATCACCCTCAAGGATGTTCAGCAGTTCCGTGGTCTTACGGTCCCAGATGAAGAGACGGCCGCAGTCGCTGCCGCTCACCACGTATTCATCATTAAGTCCGAAGAAATTGACATCCTTGACAGTCTTAATATTGCAATGGCCTCGGTAAACCCGGGTATGCGGCGAGCATGGCACGTCACGTTCGACATCGACCCGCCGTGGCTTGCGCCCTCCGAAGTGAAGGAATGCCGATTCTTCATCACCGTCCTCATATGGTTCCTCACTCCCCGAATCCGACATCTCGATATCGATATTTGCTTCATCTCCGGAATCGCTCTCGAGCTCGAATTCATCATCGTTTGAACTCTCAGATTCACTTTGATCATCGTCATTCTCACGATCACCGCCAATCCTCGATTGGTCGGGACTGCCGTCTTCCCCAGAAGTGACATCATTATCGGACGAGCGATTGGCAGCCCCCGCAAGAGAAATTGTCTGGCGCCTCACCAAATTGACTGCTCTGATAGGTTCTTCCTCCACGTTTGGATCGATATCATCCTGGGACCTTTCCACCATCTCTCCCTCACCCTCACTTTCAGATTCATCCATGATTGCTGTGTGAAGGCCCCCGAACGCTCTGTTGACAAAGGCAAAGTTGACACCGTTTCCGGCGTCCATGAGGATACCTCTGCCCACTCGCAGAACCCAGAATCGGGTAGCGGATTCTCGGTCTAGGGAGCGAACGTTGGACGAAGAATTGGACACGCGTCGCTTATCTATCCGAGCTGCCCTGTTGCCCAAATTCTCGAGAGGCAATTTCACAGCATTTCCAAAGGCTGCCACCGCAGCTCGTTGGGTTTGGAACAAGACGCGGGAGTCAGCGAGCTCAAATCGAGAGGCATCCACGTTGACGATAGGGGAGTCGCCGGCTAAGTTCAGGAGATAGGGAATGAGAATCCCATCAATTGCTTCTTCGCCGGCATCGGCTGGGATTGGGAAGCGGCCACTGACCCGCGGGGGATAAGAGTCTCCTTTGAAGCCCGCAAGTAGTTCCTGCCTACCTCCCTTAAGCCAGAGCAGAATCGCTTTCAGAAAGTCGTATCCGAACTGGGCTTCCTGCTCGATAGAACCATCTTCATTTGGCGCTGGCAAGACTTTCTTGAACTGTGGCCAGTCATCTTCCGAATCGTCGTTCATTTCCAATGCATGAGCAAGCGCCCCCGCAGCTTGGACAAATCTCCACGATGCTTGACGATTACGCCGAAGTGTTTGCTGAAAAGCAACTGTTTCTTGTGATGGATTCATCGGATAACGCCATTTCCGAATGACATCGCTCATCCGTGGCAGATTTTCCGACGCTAGTGTCAAGGCAATGGAAAAGGAGCCGGCGGGAGGGGATGTCGGGTCAGACCCCATGGCTTCTCGCGCCGCTGTTTCCAGCGAGAACAAGGATTTCCGTAGCTTAACCAAGCCCTTGGCAATTTCCATGCCCATTTTTTGGGCGTCGTTCAATACCGAATATCTGGCTCGTTCCAACATATTCGTGGGAGAGTCGATCTCCTCTGATAGAGTTGAAAATGGAATGTCATCAGACTCTCCATTCTCATAGTGAACCCTGAAGGTATCAGGCTCCCCAGAGCGACGCTGAGAGTGATGACGGTCCCCGCTTTCACCGCTTCCTTGGGATGACATCGACGCTGGCTTGGGTCGCTTTCGTTTCCGGATCCGTGAATTGTCATTACTGTCATTGCGGCGGGTACTCGAACTGTTCGAGTTTTGCTTCACTTCAGAAGACTGGTCGCGGGCATCCGGGCTTCGAATGAGGTCAAAGCTGTAAATGTGATCCCCGGAATAGCTGACAATTATTTCATCGGGGTTCGCATCACTGATCTTGCACGCAGTGATGTGACCTTCTTCAATCTGTCTCAGCCGGCGTTTTCCACGGGGTGCAAATCGTCGCACACACTGTGTTGATTTGACCATAGTCTCATCATCAACGCTACCGGGGATTGGAGGCGAAACAGACGGTGCGCCTTTCTCGGCAGTCGTATCCCTCCCAAGCATTCGTCGATCATGCAAAAAGCAGTGCATATGAGCACCCCCAAGGGCGATATAGTGTGGTTGAGTCGGGGAGCAAGATATCGTATTCAGATCTAGACCAAACTGTTTGTAGGATATGAGCGGCCGGGGAACATTCGAGTCATCATGGTGTAGCCCAGGTCGGTACGCCATGAAGCCCTGGCCACCTTGAGGTTGAGGGTAGGCCGATGATGGCAGCCGCAAATCCCACTGCCGGACTTCTCCGTCTTCGGAACACGTCAGGAAGAGATATGGTGATGACTCGGTCACGATCCGCTTGACGCGATCCGCGTGGCTTTTGTAAACCCGGGCGTTGGTGTTAGCTGCACTGAGATACCGAGCCCCGTTGAAGAAATGGTTGAAGCGCTGGCTGCGGGCAGACCCATCGAATGCCGAAGTGGCGGCCACGTTGTTTTGGCTGGAGTATTCGATGTCGAAAACGCGCACTTGAGAATCACCGGCGCAGGTTACCACTGTTGTATCGTTGGAGTGCGGCATGAACTTGACGGAGAAGATATTGGCTCTGTGACCAGTGAGCACAGTGGTATTTAATTCGAACGGAGCGCTGGAGGATTCTGGTTGGTACAAGTAGATGTTCAGGTGCTGGTCGTCGGATCCCGAAGCCAGAAGACGTCCGGATCGGGACCAGCTACAAGGTGGTTAGCACCGGTCAGGACAACCCATTCGACAGGGGAGAATCGGGTAGCTGGAGCAAATTCATACCTTAAGGCATTTACACAGCCGGTGTGTCCACCCAGCTCATTCACGATGTCGAGATCATTGATCCATTCCTGGTGGCCGTAAATGCTGCGGAGCGCCGCGTACGGAGACCGATCCCCGCATTCTCGGCGCCAGAGGAGATCGTACAGCGAATCTTTCATTGTGGGGGAATGTGTGTCGCGATAGTCACCGGAACTTGTTCCCACCCTATGGATGATCAAAGATCATGGTGGAAAAAGGTGAGTAGTCGAGGCGGAGCCGATTGCAAGCTATCTCCGGAGGGTTTTTTTTCGGGGGAAATGTTGCTGGTGTTTGCGCGTGGAGTAATACTGGTGGATGACGTCAGAAGCGGAACTGCTGCGAAGGAGAGAACGGTAGAAGCTTACAAGTAGAAAAGATGGACGTGAGGACCGAGTGAGGACCGAGTGTGAAGAGCAAAGAGGCAAAGGAAGGCAGGAGGGGAAGTCTGGGCAGAACCGGTTGAGGGCGTCCAGAAATCGAGGCCTGGATGACGCCGGCTGACTCAGGCGGTCGCGCTCAAATGGTACCGCCGTGGCCGCCCAATTTGGCACGGCCGAGTACTGCGAGATACCGGATCGGCGTGGTGGGTCCCGGCAGAGGCAGTTAAGGTACACTGCAATTGTACTTATGTATGAGGGCACTCCAAGGTATACATAGTAACATGGCCCTCCAGGTTTCTCATATATCCAGTGCACCCTGACCCTAGGGTATCTATAACCAAACGTTTCCCGGTTAACTGGCTGGTACCTATTCCCAGTAGTACGAGAAGTAGTAGAGTGCTAGTAAATCCAATAAGTTGAATTATAGGACACGGATTTACAAAGGCACCCCAGGAGCCCTAGAGAGGCAGAGGTATTATCACAACGGTCATCTGTCACTGTGTTTTACATCTGTCCACGACGCCGCACGCAAGATCTCTAGTGTCCATCTTTTCCATCTCGGAAGATCGGGCCCCTTGTCAAAATATGTGTGATGTCACAGGTGGAGATTCGGGAACTGTCGTTATATGTGTTTACGAATAGGCCCAGCGCTGCTGTCACGGTGAAAAGCCATTCATGCATGCGTGCAGGGTCAAGACATCCAAAGCCCAGCTCGCGGTGTGCTTATTTGCCGAGGCGCACTGGTCAACTGCGTCGCAAGGTGACTGACAACATCTCTTTCCATGCGAACAAGCTCGGCCTCAACATTGCGCATCGCCCGAATCTCTTGGACCATGAGTTGAATCGATTCATTGAGGCCCTGTGCCACTCGAGCTAGGGCAGACTGTTCGAGTTGCTCTACCTCACCCGATCCCAGGATGTCGAGGCTCTGAAGTTGTCGTGCGCATAGCTCGAGCTTTGCATTCAAGGCCAACAGCTCCTCTTTCCAGGTCCGATCCAGCGGGTCAATAAATTTCGGGACGTCCACAATATTTACCGACTCCCGGCGATGCCGAATCTGCTCTGCATCCTGGAACCAATTATCAAAGATCTCGACGGCTCGCGTATATCGCCCATTCATTCCGCTGGCAGCCAAGTCAGATACCTCCTGCAATATTTGTGACAGCTCCTGGACTTGTTTCGGGAAGCCATGGGAACCGTGGTGGTCTCGGCAATTTTGCAACCAGCAGTCAAGGGCTTGTACATTAATATCATGTTGGCGCTGTTTTTCGGCCCCCAGGACAGATTGGTATTGCCGCGCCACTGTCTCGTGCTTTTTACGTAGTTCAGATTCCGACTCGGCCTTCCAAATTGTATGCCGTTGAAGAGAGTTGGAATGGAATAGACTCAATTGGAGGAGTTCTGTTTGGAGAGCTGCGATATCAGGCCATGAAGTAAGAACGAGCAAACCGTCAAACGCAGAAGCGGAACCTGGGGTGGGCGTTGGGGGTTTTGCTCCGGGTTTTTTGGGAGAGTAATGTTGTTGGTAGGTTGAGAACGGCGGCTTGGCCCTCTGAGTGGCGGCAGCTGCTGCTGGGTCGGGCTGGATCTTTGTTGCTGTCGCGGGGACCATCTGACTGCGATGCCGAGCATGTCCCCGGGCTGCAGATAACGCTCCTGTCCCCTGTCGCGCACTGGAAGGCTGTCGCAAGGACGCCGACCGCATGGGCCGAGGCGGCGGAGGCATTTCGATCTTTTTAGGAGAAGGGGGTCTTGGGGTAGATCGGGTGGGCGATCGATTTGCAGGCTGTTTGCGGGGTGAGGGGGCCGTCATCGAAGGCACAGCTTTTGTAGAAGCGGAGGGATTGCCCCTAGTCGAGGTAACCCCCGAAGATGCAGCCGTCTTCAGCGTGTTAGGTCGCATGAGGCTCTGGCGGCGGGTTGGCGCCGAAGCCGGGGAATTTGTCGCAGTTGATTGTTTTTCATCGCTCGTTTGGGGTCGCCTTTTTGGCGAAGTTTCTCCACCTGACGCAGGCCGATTGTCCGGCGGTTGAAAGCGTATCTGTCCCAGCGCTTGTCCCTCATCTCGGCCAGAATTGCTGCGTTGGGGGAGCAGGGTTCGGCCATGGGAGGATAGCCCTTCCTTCACGGGCCCCCCTTCGACCGGCGAAGGGCTGGGCTGGGGCTGATTTATCGTCACGATGGATCGGGCGGGCACTTTGCTGGTGGTGGTTTTTGCTGCAGGTCGCGCTATGCCAGAGGCCTGCATCGTACATACTGCGGTTTCAGCGACTGGAATGCTGGGGATTGTGGGGGAACTGACTGGCTTGCGCAGCTCGCGCGGTTCGCGTAGCGAGGTGGACCGCGTGGGAATGGGCATGGTTCACGGTGGCACTCGTCCGAAGACTCTCCCCGGTGTTCAGAGTCGACGGTTGTCATTGTTGACTGGGAGATTGTTGATCTTCCGCCAGGTCAACGGAGAACTCTCCACACCGCGCCTCCCGCCAATCAACGGGCCGAACGCAATCTACAGTGTATCATCACACCTCGACCATCCCACTCATAATAACTTTACGTTGAGAGGATAGAGACAGAATTCGCAGAGATGCATTTTGGAGGAGAAATGGAATCAGTTCCTCAGCAAATTGCGCTGGGGATTTGCGGAGACTCAACGAATGGACACTAATCCCTGTAATAATTGAGCATACTTGGGTGCTTCTGCGATGACTAGTAGCTATTAAGGCTGGTCCAGGTACATCTATATCTTCCTATCGGACTCTGAATCCACGCAATCTTATTTTATCATCCGTATCATCCGTGTATGTAGTCTTCTCTGGTGCGGTCTCGAATCTTCACTGCTGACGGGGGCTCGTTGGCGGAAGATGTTTTTATATTCTTGGTACCCCGATACTGTAGGATGGTAATCGACAAGCAGCCTAAAGCAAACAGCTGATGGGCCATCGTAATTCAAAACCCAGGTTAGGCGTGTAAACGTCTTCTGGCAGAAGCCAGAGGCGGGCATTAGCTCCCGAGGTCAGCAGCATGCCACTGTTGGTCGAACATGTTGATATCCATCTACTCTACTACGGGTACTGAACCCCGAAGACTTATCGATCCTTATGCTCACCAAGTCCAAGTAAGAGCTCAGAATAGACTCGTCTACGGTAAATACCTTTTGTGTGGTGGGCAAATAGTAGCACTTGTTCATATGAACATGACTTCCTGAATCTCTATCCTCAAAGAAAGCAAATCCTAGCCATTTACAGGAGAACTGAGTACGGCTCAAACACTGTATTGGTAATTTTGTTCAATCTCCAAATGGACTAGACCTCTGGGGTGATCAATCTAAGAAGGAAAGTAGCGAATCCACTTTTGAGAAATCGAAATCAGAAAGACGACGTCATCTTACAAAAACTGCGGGTCAAGTAAGTCGACGTGTAACGTCCAAAACAGGCCTTGCAATTCTATCAGAAAAATATAGTGTGGAGCTTGGGACCTTCGAGATATCGCAGATGCTTTTGTTTATTTGAGACGGGGCGGGACCCTTGAATGGCTATAGCTCACAAGCTGCCACGACGGGGGAAAGCGACACCGTCGATAGCCGGGTGATCGGTGAACCAGCTGACCTTCTCACCAGCAGCCTGGTTCACCAAGGCAGATGGAAGGCTGCGGCCTTCCTCGGTGTCGAAGATGGCCTTCATGATATCCTTCTTGCCAGCGCCGGTCGCCACGAAGGCGATGTTGTAGGCAGAGGTGACGACGGGCAGAGTGAGTGTGATACGCTTGGGCGGGGGCTTGGGCGAATTGGTCTCGGCCGCAACCCAGGCATCTTTCTCGCGCAGGAGCTCATGGCCGGGGAACAGGCTGCAAGTGTGGCCGTCGGGGCCACAGCCCAGGAGGATGAGGTCAAAAATGGGCAGCTTGACGCTGTCCTTGGCGGCAAAGACACGCATCAGATCGTCTTGGTACAAGTCCGCCAGCTCCTGGGGGTCATCGTCGTTGACATGGTCGGCATCAATGGGATAGACGGTCGGAGCACCCAGCTCCGCGGGGATCTTGGTGAGCAACTCGGCCTTAAGCAGCTTGTAGTTGCTGTCGTCGTGATCGAGCGGCACGGCTCGCTCGTCGGCGAAGAAAATGTGCCACTTGGCGAACTGAGGGGGTGTCCTCAGGTGTGCCATTGCTGGGCTCAAGCAGGGCACGAGCCAGCACGGTGGGAAGGGAGCCACCAGAGACGGCGACACGGAATGTGTCGTGGCGGGCCAGGGCGGCATTCTGGGCCCGCAGGATATAGGGCCTCAATTGCTGGGCCAGAGCATCTGTGCTGGGGAAGCTGAAGAGATTGGGCTGCGCGATAGCCATGGTGGGCGGGGGCGGTTGTGTGATGGAGAGAAAGCGCGGCGGTTTGTTTCTGCGACGTTCGCCAGGTGTGGCGGGGCATTCGCCGCGTGCAAAAAGCCGTGCGGATGACGTCGTGCACCATCTTATCTCGAATCATGCCTGTTCCAACCACAACACCGCCCCGACGAACAAAACCGAGACTGTCGCGGCATTGCTGCCCAGGTGGTAGTAGTGCTACAGTAGTCGTAGCGAGGACCGTCACAGAGCAGCACCCCATCACAATCAGCATTACACAATGCCTGGTGGAGCAGCCACCGAGATCCCGGTTCAAACCCCCGCAACACGGGGGCTCCCTTTGCCTATTGGCTCCCTTTGCCTATCAACAATATGTACATGCAGAATGTTTGCCTATGAAATCATGAGGATTGTCGTACGAAAATTCTAGACTAGATGGAAGACGAAAAGCCTCACGCAACAATACCGCAGCTCCAGTGTCTGCCCCGGACTCGAGAAACTTTCGCTACGGTCAAATACTCTCTGAGAGACCGTCTCCGAGGTTCCCTCGGGTGTCGTGGGTTACCGTAAATTCTCCTGAGTAAGTGGCGTGTCCCTACTTTAGAGTAATTCATGCGAATATCACGGCTGTAAGGGGACGAGAACGTCCTACAATGGGATAGCTGTGAGTATACTGATTGCCGAAACACTGATAGAGTAGCATGCTCTGCTCGGTCTCTTTGGGCTCAACAGTCCATTGCAATATTTCAATCGAAATGGAAGAACAAGGATTACATTTCGAAGTTTCGAATCTGGAGTACCTAGGTAGACTCATTAGGTTCTGTTTCCAGATCCTCACCAGGTCGAATAGTATAATACAATACGACAATTGTGTAGGCACGACGTAGAGTGTAGACCAAACCAATGGAGCTAGAACAGACTCGCACCTGGTCGAGCTCTCAATTTGGAATCCACGTTCAGCAAAGGCCACAATGTAGGGCAACTGCACTCCATAATCATCCGAAGGTAGAGCTCTCGCAAAACCCAGTGCTGCCTGGGAATTCAGGACCTCGGTGTCCCAACAGGCCGAGCGGATTAGTCATGCGGGGGCGCGAGAGGATCGGCACTGGCCACATTCGACCACTACACAGCGCCAACTCAAATGACAGTCGCCTCATTTGGGCCGCGTGCAGGTCGCGTCCTGCCATGACGCATCGTGCAGAAGGTCTGGACAGGCCCGGTAAAGCCGGCAATACAGCAGTCTGGCACAGCCTCTTAGGCAACCCGAACAATCGCCTGGCTCAGCCGGTTAGATCGGGTAGGAAAAGCAAATAAGGCCAAGAGAAATAGATAGGAAATAGGCAGCAGTTGGCCACCGTGAGATCCCTCGAGCTACGTCGGGTTTGGGACCACCGGTTCAGTCGTGCAGTGCGCGCGTGGACACGAACTGAAAAGCACTGGTCAAATCGGTCATTCTGGGCATGTCGTGACGCCAACGACCTTGGGCAGAAGCGTGACATTCCCAAAAACCGGAAGTCACAAGGTTTCGCCGACTGGAATTTGGACGGACACTCGCAAATTAAACTACTGGGGCCCCAAGGGATGCGCTATCGCCGCGCTAGCAACCACGGGCGCCTGTGAATCACCCTAGGGGCCAAGGCATTCTTCACTGCCTACCCCCTCACCCCCTCCCCCTCCCTCGGCCTCTTTTTAACCCCCAACCCTCCCCAACCCTCGCGATTTGGACGCCTTCCTCGCCAACCTCAATTCTCTCTGAACTCGTTGGCACGTACACCACAACCCCCCACCACCGATGAGCTCGCCCGCGGTTCAGATCACTCCTCAGCCGCAGCCCGACGGCGGCGTGCCCCATCCGTCCGGGACGTCTCCACCAATCCTTGACATCGTCCGCTGCTCGCGCTGCCAGCAGTCTCTCAGCCTGGCCAGCCAGTCGAACTCGGGCGCTGTGCAGTTCGGGATGAACTCCTACTACTGTAACCGCTGCGCCTCCAAGGTTGGGTTCGTGCAATGAAGAGAACATTCCGACGCTCCCAGGACAAGGAGCACCGCAACATGTTCAAAAACCCACTCTGAATCATAAATCATCATCACGCTCACAGGCCGGGCCTGTACCATGACCGTTCTCAATGAACAGATTTCTCTCTGTCGCTTTGACGTTTCCCTTTGTCTTCCATCACGCAAGGCCCTCGACCACGCTCGTTCCCTGGAAATTTGACATCGGTGCCGGCGCCACTGGTTTCTTTAGCTGTCTGAACAACAACCTCGATGAAAGGAGTGGAGGTTGTTCGATCTCATCCCCATCCGCCCATCTCAAATCGTTTGATCACAACATCATCATCAATCTCCGATTTTCTCGAATCCCAGCCAAGTAAATCGGCAAGATGCAGCCTCGGGGTTTTGTGACCACCTTTCCCGGGACGAGTTTCTAGAGTGTTGAAATGCCGTGGAGAAAGGGGTCCGAGGCTCCGACCGGGGTGGCTCGGAGTTCATGGAACATTCTACCTGGGGGTTGATGGCTGCGTGGGCTCCCAGGCTGATTTCGTGAAGGGGGCCTTTTCCAGGCCAGAGCCTTTATTGCTGCATGGCTCAGACCATACACGCCGTCTGAGCTGTATTTGGAGCGCGCCGGGCATATCATGATGCATTTCGCTGATTTATATATGAGCCTTGCATTTAATCCATGGTCCATTCTAGCGTTGTCTTTACACTTGTACATTGACCTCAAGGTCAACATCCATGTATGAAGCGAGAAACCTTCCTAGGCAAACTGCCCACACATGAACGGCCTGTTATGGTAGCATACAACTGGCTTTTCGAGCCTCAGTATGCTGCTTCTGCCATGTAAGTCAACAGTTGATATGTGTCAAAGCTGCGGTGGAAACAAATTGAAGTTCTGCATACTTTGAGAATCATCGGTGGTTCATGCTGGTACCATAGTTATTTATAATATAAGAGTCCTGGTGGTCGTCGTCGGGACTAGATCACGTTTGCAGTGGAAAGTGCACAACGACCGAATCGCTTGGAGCGTAGACTCTCCCATCACTGCTTCCCTGCCAGACTCTACCAGACCCTGCTTTGGGCTCGGCGATCGCATGTTCGCGCATTGTTCAGCACGCGTTCAGCCTTGTCCCACCCCATCGCCACTGTCATCTGACCCGAGAGTGATGATTAACGCCTGGGCGTCACACATGCCCTGGTCGTGATCGACCACTTCGCAAAAGCCAGATCCCCGGCAGTTCAACAGGATCGGCGGATCAGGCTTGGGTGAAACACCCACACGCACGCCCCCCATACCAAAAAAGCTCGATCAATTGACACAGGGCAGACGGAGTACCCTACGGGGGGACCTGCAGAGCTCCTCGGACCCAGATGGCGCCCCTCCCAATCCGTGACGGGTCATGTCTGTGCCAGATGTGTCTGATAGTCCCGAGCAGCTCATGGCGCCGTCAGGATGGACCCTATTGTGTAACCGAACCTGGAAGCGCTCGCCGCCTGGGATGTTGCCAGCTATTTGACTACGGGCCTCGAGCTAAGCGGGTGGGGATGCCCAGGGCCCCAGCGCCGTGCGGCCAAAGTGGGATTTGTCCAGCGAGACGAGACGAGACGAGACAATGTGAGTCGCCGACACGGCCGTGGCAAGCTGTTGCAGCTGCTTGTTCGAGTGCGGATCGTTCGTGCAGTTGTCACTAAACCGCAATGGCACTCGCAGCCAGCCACGATCGTGTCTAGCTTGCCGCTGCAGGTACTCTCCAGTTAGTCCACATCGCGAATCAATAATCGCCAGTTCGTCCCAAAAACAACGGCCAATCGCCGGCCAGGGCTCCCGTGCATTTGACTGATTGCTCATGTTGCAGGATCTCAGGGTAGCCCCGCCGATCGCCGATCGCCTGGATTTCCCTTGTCTTTCTTGTCGTCTCTGCTGGAGGCAGCACCGATCTGGGTGGATGGCATCCACTGGCCCCTCCGCAGCTGCAGAGCAAAGGGACTTATGCAGCCCATAAAGCCAATGTGATCGGTATGGGCCATGGGCCGCTCCGCGCGCGCAGAGCTCCACCGAACCCCCCTCTCAATACCCCCGGCAGAGGATGTCCGATCCGGATCTGGCGGTGTAACACGAAGCATGCTAAGCGCTGCATCGAGCACTCGAAGATCTTGCGGATTTGCCTTCCGTGCACCCCCCACTGCCCCCGCCCCTGCGATCAATGGGACGGGTACACCCGGTTGCGAGCCTGCCCAGCAGTCGATTGGAGATGGGAAGCTGCCATGCTCTTCCAAAAGCTCTCGGATGCGAGTGCGAGAGCACACCGGGGGAGAAAAGCAACAGGGCTGGCGAGTGCACCCGCACAGATTCATGGGTGGGTCCCAGCGGGGTGGTACGGGGTGGTGATTTATTGCATTTGGCAGTGGACGAGAGGAGCTGAGCTCGGGCTTCGTCGCAACGAAAATGACATATCGCAGCACGGCGCACTGGAGCAGTCGAGCGATCCTGGACTTGACTGGCTGGCTGGCAGTCCTTTGGGGCAGCCTCATTCGCTGGCGACTGCAGCATTCTGGGTCTCGCCTCCGATGCTCTGCGTGCAAGCCATTATTAGGAATCCCTAATTATTACTACTAGTCTCGAGCTGCTGAAGATTTGTTCACGATGAGAAAATCTCTTGTGAAACATCCCCCAAAGACACCTCTCTGCAGGTGAATCTCCCATTGCCTCTCATCCCTATAATAGCCTCGCCGCGCGACTCGTGGAGGTTGCGAATTATTTTATCTGCAAAGCACATGCGCCGGTCAGACCAATTCGTTAACCTGCAGTAACTACTGGAAAGAGGCCAGGTAGGCTGAGAGAATCCCTTGCTGCTCTGCTTCCCGGCCATCTTGTGTTTGTGGGATGCGCGATGATGTCGCCGCCACACCTTATGAGCCCTCGCTTCATGGTTCTCTTCTCGAGCTACCAAGATACCGAGATCGTTTTGCGAGATGGTCGGTGTCCTCAACGCTCTGCGCTAACATGGCATTGTGCTAGGAATCCCCACATACGAGACTCTGCACCCAGTTCCAGTCCCGACCGAGTACAACCCTGGTCGGACAAGGTCGAGTTCCGACTGTTTTGCAACGCCGGTCTCTTTTTTGAGGTATTGTACACAGGCTCGCATTATCCACAAGCAAAGACGCCGCCCCGCCAACGTGCAAATCATCCAGAGTGCGTTTATGCAGGGTAAATCAGATTGAAGTTCTGAACTGGTTGTCGAATCGAAACATCGCTCGCCGAAATGCCATTTCTTGGCCGGGAAAAGGGTCGTAGTCCGAGGGCTCGCAGGTCGGATGACGAATTCGTTGTGTTTCTTCAAGGAGTGAGTGTGTTCAGCTTCTGCGGGTATCAATTCCGAAATTGACAAACAGGACAGATTCCTGCCCATTGTCGATGGCAAGAACTGAAGGACCTCGTCCGCCAGACGGCTTTACATATCAGACAGGCCGTTGTATATGATGATAGCCATGGGTTCCCGACCGGCCTCGGACAGATCATTGTCAAGAATGAAGATGAAGCGTGGCGAACCTACCGTGTGTGCTCCCCTATTCCTCGCCTTTTGCAGCAATGGTTGAATTGACTGTCCGTATAGATCGGCTCTCAACAAATGGGTGGGAAGGCCAGAGCTTGGTTGTGACATTGGCGCGCACCAGTGCTCCCACCAAGCCTATCGCTGGGCCTACGCGAAGCCCCCCGGCCATGATACACTCGAGCTTCACTTCGGGTCATTCTACGCCTCCTCGATCCCAAGGCAATACGGCCATGCCTCCTTCACCCATCTCACCAGAGTAGGTGCTATCTTTACATTACTCAAAGATGATGTTTGAAAATGCTCTAACAGTTTCACAGATCTACACAGTCGACTAGTCCACCCTACTCTTATCCCGAATACGGGTCGATGATGGGACCCGTGCCGATGACACCACAACAGTTCATGCCCATGATGCCGGATCCGATGCAATGCTTCCCGCCTTCCCCAATGATGCAATGCTCAATGTATGATGCGGCCGGTTGGGGAATGATGCCGATGTATCCCGTGTCGCCAATCCAGCCTCTCCCTGATACCCGAGGAGACAACCATCACCCTCACCCACGCAAGCCATGTTCAAAACAAACCAGTTCTAGTACGCCGCTGAGTGATCTAGCCGACCGAGTCGTTTTGGTTGAGAACCTCAGCACTGCGTCCACCACCGCAGACCTGAGGAGCCTCTTGCAAGGCGCTGGGGTTGTGGAACAATGCAATGTGACAGTCACTGCCGACGCGGATGGTAAACAAGCCCGAACTCATGGCTCGGCAATCATGCAGACTATCCAAGATGCTAAGCGAACAGTGTCAACGTTGAATAACTTGACCTTCATGGGCTCCCGAATCCGCGTCAAGCTGGACAAGCCCCCGAGCATTTCACGCAGTGGAAGCTGGGATGGGGCGATGGCCGCTCAGGGGGACGCGCATCCTGCAGTGGACCAAAACTCCGAGTGTAGCGAGTGCGGACAGGGTATCTCTCTCAGTAAATTACGGGATGTTAATCAGCCATTGGTAGTCGATGGGTCGGGTCAACAGAGTCGCTCATTAGAGATGCTGTCTACTTCGGCTCCCACGTAAGGCCTCTGAGAAAATTGTTAATTATGTTGATGCTGTGGATATTCATGTATTATGTCGTGCCAATGTTGTCTTCAGCTCGGATTCCTTTTTTTCCCCAAGTAATTGCACGCCCTTGTATATCAATCTCCAATGGTATATGTGACCTCGTCGAAGCCCGAAGGTGCAGTTGCCACCTCACAGGTGCTAGTGTCCCGATACAATGATCGATTGTCTCATAAAAAAAAAAAGCACACTGCATCATTATACGAGCAGGAGCATCTGAGGATCTATGATACGACCTTGACATATATCTTCCGAATAATACTCTTTGCTAACCAATTGCTACGCAACGCATGGCCACCTTTGAAAATATTTTTGTATGAGGGGTTAGAGCACCGTAGGGGTCTTCCGCAGGTACAGAGCACAGTGGATAAGATCTGTTATAGACCTTATAACCCTTGACCTCTAAATTGTCACTGCCTGGGAACAGTAGGACAAGCAATACTGAACTTTGGATCATCAATTCATTCCAGGCTATCGTATCTCCTGAACAGTCGTGTCGAAATGCATTTTATCCAGACCGCAACCAAATCAATTGCAAACAAAAATCGTATGCCCAGAACGCCTTACCATGAGAAAATTTAACAAAAGGTTTTGTGGGGGGGGGAGGCTTTTCAGGTTCTTGAGGAGAGGCCAGATTGCTCAAGCTATTGGATCATTTCGCGTGGTTGATCATCTCTTCGTAGAGCCCTTCGGGAATTTTCGGCACAAACGAGACCGCCATCGCGATGATTCCTTTAGCCTCGAGTGGGGGGAACGACCGAAGAACCCCTTCCGGGGCTATTGAACTTGTTAGCACCAATATGTTCTCGAAGTCAAGTAAGTAGTCAGTGTTGACTCACCTATCACTTTCAAATATGGCATCCCGTATTCGGACCAACTGAGCGACAATGCAGAGGATATTGAGATGTGGACCGTAAGCAAACAAAAAGTCCCACAGGTGGAGGACCTCTGGCAACGGTGGAGTGCAGGCGCAGAGTGTCAGAACGGAAGGAAAGGCGTACAATTCCGCAGACAAGTTCCTAGAGACGAGATAGGCCGCAAGTTTGGGCTCCACAATTTCCAGACATCGGTCAACTAGTCGAAGGCCCTTGTGAACTCCATCCATAGCTCCGCGGATATATCCGGGGCATTCTTGGGTTACGAAATAGTGAAACAGGGCAAACGCCTCCACTTCGCTGCGAGCTGCGTACAGAAAGGGTGCGCAGAGAACATTCATACCCTGAACATAGATCGCCGAGTCGGCACTTGGCTCTTCCGCAATGCTCGGTGGCGTGTCAACCAGGAGTTCCATTTCACGTCTCCGGGATGAAGTAGGTCGAGAGCGAGGCTTGACTTTCGAGTCGTGTAATTTCCATGCCACCGCATTCAGTAGCCGGATCAGGCTAGCTTCGGTCACGCGCCGCTTGAAGAGAGGATCAGTCGCGAGAGTCCGGAAAGTGTCGTTGCGAATTTTCGTGTAGGCGGGGGAACCACCGCGGTGGACCAGAGTCAGGTAGTCGTCAGTGGGAACGGGCGGAATGTTGAGGAGTACCAGCCAGAGATAGATTCTGTACGGGGACTATGATCGTACAAGGTTAGCCTCTCCTCCTTGACGACATGTACATGGATGATGCTCTTACCATGCCATCTCCATCCGCATCCACTTTGGTTGAGAGAATTAGGTACTTCAACTCTTGAAGTCCTTCGTGAGTTTTCCCATTCTGCGGTCCATCACGAAGCAGATTCTCCAGAAGGGATCTTTTGATGCCTATTCCCGAGCCGGTCTTTCTTGCAGGGCGTCTCTGAGTTGGCATGGGTGCGGCGAGGGCCGCTTCGCGAGCCGCCGCATCACTGTTTGATCGCGCCCGTCGGTGTGTGAGAGTGCGCGTCGAGCTGCTGTTCGGTGTGGCTGTGGGTCCGGAATCTGTTTGACGAGTAGCGGATGGGCGAGAAGACTGAGTTTGGGCGATGAGGGCACTGGAGGTGGTCAGGACCTGATGAGATTGGATCTTCCGAAGGGTTCGCATCGTCCGCGGCGATGCAGGCGTCTCGGGGCCAGCGAGACCCCAGGAAGGCTGAGGCTTGGCCATATCTGGGTTCAAGATCAAGACTGCATTGACGAGTGACTCATATGCATCATGTTCGGAGGGTACCAGGCGCAATGGTGGTTTGGAAATGAAATGGTGGCTGGTGTTGGTTTTCTGCCGTTGGAGAAATGCGGAGCACCACGCGCGCTTACATCGGTGGTTCCGCGACGCCTACCGCAGCTACCAGCGGGGTCGAACAATGCGCTTTGTTTGACATATTACCTACGGTATTCCATGGTAGCCATTTCGGAAAAATTATCATGGAGATCCTTGATACGATTTGCGCGGTCAAACCCAATATGGCTTGGTACAGTCATCTTGTTCGACCGTAGAACAAGACGGAACGTATAGCAAGGTAGTAAGTAGTAAGACAAGGTGGTAAAGCACAAGTCCTCCTCCAGTAAACGCCAGAGCGCCAACCACCATGGTTGCCCAATATTCAGGTACTATAGATGGCTCAGCTTTTAGCTGCGCCCGTCTCCCGGCGTCCGTTATTCCCATTCTCAGTTCCTACAACGCTGCGAACAAAGTCCTGGTACTGAAAGACCTCCCCTCTCTTTCCCATGCCCCCACCCGCGCCTTTCGCACCCCGACCACCAAATGTTCGTCGTCCCACAAATCCGCTAAAAACCTCGTCAATCTGTTCCTCGGTCAAAGGTGCCCCGCCATCCTCTGGGGTCGTATGTAAAAGGGCATCGCGCAGCTCCGCGACATCGACTTGGCCGTTATCTTCATCATCAAACGCTGCCAAAGCATTTATGAGCTCCTGCGAGGAAGACATCGCGGCCATCAGTTGCGAAAGTGTGTTCAGGAATGTCGGGAAATTCATGGTTTGTGACGACCCCGGCGGGAAAAAGCACGAAAGCGTAGAAGGCGACGAATCTTGACCTGCTCGGGAATAAGTATCAAAGTAATGGTGACACTGGCGGGGCCATTGCGGGAAAAGCAATACTAGCTTACCAATGTTCTGTAGTACATCAGCGACATCATCCTTGTTGACCAAACCATCATTGTCGCGGTCGAGAACCTGAAATGCCTCGCGGATTTCTCGGACTTGATTGGGCGGTAGTTTTACCGCTGCATCTGTTTGTACCGTGTTGGCACCACTCAGCCCCCTTGGGCGGCTTCCAAGGATTGGTGACGAGCTGCCGGGCCCTTGTGCGCCTTTGGTGGGGGAAGGTGGAAGCTCTCGCGTAAACTTTGGTTGCGGGATAGGGTCGGCTCTCGGAGATCTGGGGGAGACGGTCTCCCCGTCTTCGACCGTGTATGACTGATTGAGCTTGCTCGGAGATTGAATCGGCGTGTACCCCCTGCTTGGAGAGCTCCCTGGGGTTCCAGGGCGACCGGAGGGCGGGGAGTTCGGCGTGGACGGGCGCCGGAATGGCGACGCCCGCTGTTGTCCAAAGGACAATGGTGACGGTTTGTAGCCTGGGTTGCTCGACTGCATGTTGATTAGAGTCCGGTCACTTTTTTGTGGGATTCGGAGCGCCCTACCATGGTTGAAGGGGATGTTGCGTCGGAGTCGCTCGTCTTAAGTCGAGCTGGTCGCCGTTGGGAGGGCAAGTAAACAATGCCCCGGCAACACGTCGGCCCGGGGCACGTGCGTGGAGTCTCCGTGGCGCAAGTTTTGGAGCAGTCAATTCAACCAGGTGACCGGTCAACTGGAGGGGTTTTCTGCAGAAGGATCGAGATTCTGATCAATTTTGGTAGTTAGTCGGTAATTATTAAAGGTAGGCAATGTTCTCACATCATATGTGTCTTTGCGTGCATGAGAATAGTACACTGGCGGTACCTTTGGCATATAGTCCGGGCTCCATCTGTTATCGCCTATCGCCCCCGCTGTGGAGATCGCTCTTTTTCTCAAAGTGACCCCTGAACCACCAGATCGGCAGCGCCTTTGCATTGAACATCGATCGTCCTCTTTCCTCCGATCCCCCCCCATACCTGGTGAGAACAGGCATGTCCCACGACTCTGTCACCTAGTCCCGAGCACCCGACTCGCAGCCTCCACGAAGATGGCGAGCACGTTACCATACCGACCCTCCAATGACTCCCTGTCCACCTCCAACCCCAAGACCAATGGACTCCCTCGCCTGTCGCCGGCGCCGTCCTTCATCGGCCGGTCGCCCAGTGGCTCGCACTCTCATACATCCTTCCGACGAACCTCTGCGGAAAATACGGTCGGGTACAAGCCACGCCGATGTAAATCACAATATCCGCTCGACTCGCCGGAGCGTCATGTGGAATATATTCTCGTGGCCTCGTTTCATATTGACCGAGGTCCAATTATGGAACATCAATACCCAGGCCCGATCAGTGGCGACGAGAGTATGCTGGCGGAGCTGATGCTTCCAGATCAAACCCATGTCCGCAGCCAAGATTGGACCATTTTCTTCTTGCATAAGGATACAAGCGGAGATGACGATGACGACTCGGAGAGCGGGAAGAAGAAGAAAAAGCGCAAGTCGAAATACCGTGGGAATGAAGAGGGCGCGGACATCCAACATGAGAATGTGGACGAAGCTTCCGAGGGCGAAAGCAGCGAAGAAGATGACGAGGAAGGGGGAGAAGGTCCGCCCCTGATGTACGTGCTGAACTTGGTAAATACAAAGCAGGATAATACGGTCCGACGGTATGAAGGTCCCTCACACAGCCTTTGATGTGCAAGCAGAAGCTGACCAGGAAAACAGTGGCGCGGTTGTCAAGGCCATGGCGATTTGTACAAGGCATTCATTCCTTCATATCTATAAAGTGTGTCCCTCCGAAACCAGTTCCAACGGATTTTTGACACTAATGAATAAAACCAGCCCCTCCTTCTTCTCGCTTTGGAAGACTACTTCAAATCTCCCTACCCCGAAACACTCGCCTCACTTTATGACGCCGTCAACAACATGGACTTGTCGCTCATGCCGAAACTGTCGATCCTTGAGCGCCACATCTTGCAGTCCAGCAATACAAAGGAAATGTTCATCGAAAAGTTCGAACAAATGATCCGTCAACGGGAAGAAGAAGAGACGGAAAACGGGGAATGTCCGCCATCACCGAAGAAAATGAGCCGTTACGTCCTTCCGCGGGACACACACGAGTTTGAGTCGAAAGTGGTTTACCACGACATTCCGATTCCTGTCAAAATCCCCACGGTTATCTGGCCGGAAACCGTGGGCGATTTTTCTCTCATCAAACTAATCCAAACCTTTGCTGGACCACATGCTAGCTCTCCGCAAGCATTCCCCAACCACCCTCATTTGACTACTAGCGGCCCTTTCACGCACCCCATCATTGTCCTTGTCAATGCCATTCTCACCCAAAAGCGGGTAGTGTTCCTTGGACATAATCGACCTTCGGGTGAAGTGGCTGAGGCAGTTCTTGCAGCCTGCGCGCTCGCATCAGGAGGCATCTTGCGTGGATTTACGAGGCACGCTTTTCCTTACACTGATCTTACCAAAATCGACGACCTTCTCAAAGTACCCGGTTTCATTGCTGGTGTAACAAATCCGACATTCGCCAATCACCCAGAATGGTGGGATATCCTGTGCGACCTTCCTACAGGTCGCATGAAGATCTCCAGCCATGTTGAGCCTGCGCCAGTGACAGAAGGGCTCTTGTTCTTCCAGCAGCAGAATGCTCTTCTACCGAACCACACCTCAAATGCAAACTCGGATCCGACCGGGGACAATATCTTCATCGAGGATATCCTCCGCAGCATCAGCAATCGTCATGGTGAGAACGCGATCCGCGCGAAATGGCGAGCATACATTACCAAGTTTGTTCGAGTCGCCGCAGCCTTTGAAGAGGCCGTCTATGGTGCCTCGAATCTCTACATCATTGGCCCCGGCGAGGAACTTTCCCCGGACAGTCCCACTGGCCAACAGACGGATGCGTCGGACCCGGCCTCCCTTCGAGGACATGGTTATGTCTGGTCGGATGAGATTGCAAAGCAACGGGAATTGTCTGCATCAGTGTCAAGAATCGAGGGTTGGCGTAACACTCGATCCTACTACTCTTACATCCAAGATATCGCGGCTATGTACTTCCCGGCTCGTCCCATACAGCGACCGGATCTCTTCCACCATCACGATCGCCTGCGATCCCTCAAGCTATCCCATGCCGAGTCGGCCGCCATTTACCTCGCACTCTCTCATGCCGTCAAGGACTATGCTGGCATCTGCCAATTGCTGACCGTCGCGCCGGAGAACCAAGCAGGGCTGTTCTACCTGAGCATGGGCCTTTTCCACCCCGACCAAGTTGTCCGGGAGGCAACGGTCGAATTGTTGGATCGCATTGCGGCACACCCGGCCGGTCGGCATTTTTGGACCCATCTGAGCCGGTTTGCCAAATTGGCATATTTCCGAGTCAAACGAGACCGAGACGCGGCACAGAGTCCCATCTCGGGTGTTGGATCGCCGACTGGCAGCAATGCCGGGGCGAGCTTTGGTGGCGAGCCGCAAAGTCTTGTGGGAGTTGCCTTGGGAGAAAGTCGCTCAAGAAAAAGCTAGTTTTGCTGGAATCTTTTGCTTTATTTTTCTTGCGGTTTTCGAGCGCTTGCTATTGAAACTCCTTCCCGCGCACACAATTTTGTTTCTTCATGTTTAAGATGTGACGAACACCAAGAGCCTATGTTTGTTTCTGCTGGTCATGAGCTTCATTTGTGACTGTGTATCTGTCTATACCTTGTTCGCTATTACCTGAGCATATCCTAACCGTGGCCCCTTTTGCTATCGGTATCTCTGGATCACGTCTCAACATTTAGTGGCGTTTCGTGAATACACTTAGATTTCTGCCAAGCTGGGCTTGTCCGGCAGCTAGTGTGATTCATCGTTCATTTGGCGAAGAGGAACTCAATCTAAGCGCCGTAGCCCAATGCTGTGAGGTACGCTACGGTGATTAGGAAACAAAACGTCAAAACGTCTACGGCGTAAGGAGCTATGAATCAATTGCACCGAAGGTTCGGTCTCTTACGGCACCGACTCTAGGAGCCGTGCAAAACGATTGAGATTGAGATCGGAGTCACGAAACATCAAACCAGGTTCCTACCGCACAGCTATGGGACGGTAGACCCGGCGATTTGATCATATTTTGAAAACTAAATCATTTAAGCAGAGCCGCAGTCGACGATCTTGGCAGTGCCGCGGACAGCGCCGGAGCCGGAGCCAAGAGCCTCAATGGCCTGGACGTGCTCGTAGCCCTTGGACACCTCGCCGAAGACGACGTGCTTGCCATCGAGCCAGCTGGTGACGACGGTAGTGATGAAGAACTGGGAGCCGTTGCTGTGAGAGAAGAGATTAGCCTGAGGATCCTTCTGGGTGGGGGTCTTTTTAAAAACTTGGAAGGGCCACTTACGTGTTGGGACCAGCGTTGGCCATGGAGAGCAGACCGGGCTTGGTGTGCTTGATGGTGAAGTTCTCATCGGCAAACTTCTCGCCGTAGATGGAGCGGCCACCGGTACCCTGTGTGGAAGATTTGGAATTAGTCCTTGTCGCCGCAGGAGGGGCCGAAAGCTACATCAACATCGACCGTCCGGAATGGAGGCCACTTACGTTGCCACGGGTGAAGTCTCCACCCTGGAGCATGAACTGGGGGATGACACGGTGGAACTTGGAGCCCTTGTAGCCCTCACGCTCGGGCTTCTTGCAAAGCTCAGCGAAGTTGGCGGCGGTCTTAGGGACAACGTCATTGTAGAGCTTGAATTCAATGCGACCCTGCTGGGCTGGGGAGAGAGAGACGATTGGTTAGCATGATTGCACGCACCATTTGTTGGCAAGATATATTGATGGAACAGAAGGAATGCAGGAGGAGATTTCTGGCCCTGGAGATGGATTCCACGATGCCATTGACAGCAGGCAAAGCGAGAGAGGGGCAATGGAGGGGTAGGAGAGGGATCTCAAGCTACCAAGGGGGAATGGAGGACACTCACTCTGGCCGGCGGGGCCGTACTCGACGACGAAGAAAGCAGAAGACATGATGAATGGAGATGTGTAGGATGGATGGAAGAGAGTGAGAAGAGGAAAATGGAGGGGGAAGAAGAGAAGACGGAAGAAGGCGGGGAGTTTGCAGCTTTGGAGGGGCACTCGCGCCTGCCCCACTTCGCCGTCTTCTCGCGCCTTCCGCCACATCGCAACACCTCGTCGACCCCCGTTGCGACCAGACTGTCGATTGCGAGGGCTTCTCTTCTACCTCCTCCTTCTCGCCGTGCGCGGTCGTTCCTTGATCGCACGCGAATCAACCGTGGCCGCACCTAGATGATGTCATTCACCCATTAAGAGGGAGGGGTATTGACCGAGGGTCCGCCCCCACGAGGGGCAGGGTCCGAGGGCGTCCCCGAGGACGCGATGGCAGTACTTTCAATACTATCATTGAACGCTACCCTATTACAGTACACTAATGTAGTGGGATGGAACGGAGGCATGGCAGTTCTCGAACAGTTCGTCATTGAAGCTCCCGTGACCCTGTTTCGCCAGACAGCCCTGCCCGAGAGAGAGCTTGATGCGGGTGTAGCGATGGCAGATATCTCTGTTGATATTACACTCATAATGAACTTCCAATCTTGTGGTCTGTGTACCCCAATCGTGGTTTATGACATCCCAGAGGTGTTGTTCTATCAAAGACTCCTCCTAGTCTAGTACCTTACGCTGTAGGTACACGCGATGTAGTACTCCGGGCGAGCCACGTGATTTCCAATTCTTCTCAAGTGCCAATGCATTGATGAGGTACTACTTCACTGTATCTTCGGGCTTTCCTGGCCAGTCAGACTCGGAATGCTGCAGTGTGACGGCGACAGACCGGTCTTTCACGTATGACATCCCCGATGATCTATTTGAGGGTAAGAAACTTGCTGAGATGGATTCTATTTGTACAATCACAGCGAATAGTGCGTAGCGCTCGGGTCTCTGACTGTCGAAGGGACAAAAGTTCCTGCCCGTGTGGTCATGGCATTGTGATCATGGGTGATATCAACAAGATTCTTCGATGAGCTATTCTCTCATAGAAGAAATTTCTGATGCACCTAAGAACCCGCAAGGCCCCCTGCGGAAAACGCTTTGCAGGTGCCAGCGATGAAAAGAAAAAGCCAGCGACTACAGATATACCTCATCTGTAGAGCAGAAGAACATGGTCCTCATTGTCGATGATTAGCGTTTCCCCTCTTTCCCGCGAACGCGTATGTGGTCTTTGTATCAAACTCCTTGAAATCGCAAATCACCACTCCACACACTTGGGTTGTTTATTAGACGCTTCGAAGGAATTTTACACCAAGCATGTGGACGACAAGGGAGATCATTTGATAGTGGACGACGAGCGGAATGTCATCGGGAACATGGATTGGCGAATGACTAGGGTCGTTCTTGCTAGTGACACATTGGGGCCACCTTCAGTACGAGCGAGTATGGTCAATATCTACTAGTACAATGGGAGATCTCCCTTGCCTGTTTATGACCCCGTTTTGGCTCGCTTCTTGAAAGCAAAAAGTGCATCAGACTTGGCCCAAGAGTAAAGACGAGACTCCTTGTGGAAAGTATGATCTAACCGGACAAGATCCGCGTACGAGGGAGCAAACACTTATTATTTGGGTCAAATGAATGTTTCCCAGAAAACCGTAATCCAAGTATCTCCCAAGTCACATACTAACAAATACTACAAATACTACCATTGTATATTTTGTCGCATTTTCCCGGTTACAGAATGGATGACGTCATGCATCTTATCGCGGCGATCATCGTTCGTCTCAAAAGTTGCAAGCCGCAAGCTTGTTGCTGCTTTCCATCAAGAGTACATTTGAATTGCTGTGTCTGATTCTATCATTTCACGACTGGCTCCGATCGTCAACTGTGAACATGGTGTCTCTGTGGGGCTCGAGGAAAGACGACCCCGACAGTGCGGAGGCCCAAGGCCAAAATGCAGAGAACGCCCACGACTTTGAGCAGAATAGCGAGCATCAGGAACCGACCGAGCGGACGAGTCTGCTTCCTCGTGAGGAAACCCATAGGTTTCTGAGTCCAGACGACCCTGCAGTACGTATTCGCTCTACGAAAATGATTGTACCGTCTATCTCTCGTATACTCCCGTCAGCTAACAAATAGCCAGGTCTCACCCTACAATTTATGGAGCGTACGCGCCTTACGAGCCTTTTCACTCTGTGCGCTGGGTATTAGCTTCGTTTGGTGGACTTTCCTTCTGGTCTCGATCTTTGTCAGTCCTCCGTTGATGCACGCCCGCGGGTCGGGCTTCTTCGCTTTCTCTTACACCACGCTTGCGGTCATCTATCTTGTGCTTGGCCTGCTGTTCTTCGCCGTCCCTTCGAAGCAGATGACCATTTGGGGCGGCATATTCTCTCTGATTCTCCTGGTGAATATGATCATCATCATCTCCGTGCCACGAATTCGACTCGAGGAAGGATGGGTGGGTATTGCCTCGGTCGTTTGGGCGGCGGTTGTATCCATGTATCAAATTGCCCAGAACAGAGCTGTGACATGGGGAAAGCGGGAAGAAGAAGAGCGACTAACAGGCCGTGAAGAGACACGCCGTTCCCTGCGTGAATGGATGGCCGTCCTGTGCGAAATGATCATACTGATCATCATGGCCATTGCTGTGGTCCTATTCACCTCGACTTTGATTCTCCGCGCTCGTGATGCTTCACTCGAGCCTCGTGGTCGTCTGTACAGTGTTCACGGAAATGCATACAATGTTCATCTTGTCTGCATTGGAAACCGCACGGCGAATGACCCCGATCAGCCGACGATCCTACTCGAAGGGGGCGAAGGCCCCGTCGAGCATACTTTGCAACCCTTCATCGATGACACTTACCAACACGGTGTCATCAATCGATACTGCTACTGGGATCGTCCAGGACTGGGGTGGTCGGACAATGCGCCATCCCCACACTCCGCAGGCATGTCGGCAGACGTGCTGTCCGAGGCATTGGCTCTGGCTGACGAATCTGGGCCTTGGGTCGTCGTATCCGCCGGCGTCGGCAGTATATACTCTCGCCTCTTTGCCAGTCGACACCTGCTCGAAGTGAGTGGTATTTTCCTCATCGATCCTCTCCATGAGTCGTATCTTGACGACGTTGGCCAACCGGGCCGAGGCTTCGTGCTGTGGCTTCGCGGAATCATTTCCCCTCTGGGGCTGGACCGTCTTGCGGGTGCGATAATTCGTGGACGTACCAGAGAAGACAGAACTATCGGACGTTCTGCTTACCAGACCGGCAAATTCATCAAGGCTAAGCTTCAGGAAAATCTCGTGGCAGTCACGATGACCGCCGCGGAAGTCCAGTCCGCCCGTCATATCCAGATGGGTGAGACTCCGCTTGTAGTTGTGAGCTCTGGCCAGAAGATTCTTCAGGACTCTCACTGGGCTGCGCGTCAAGAGGATCTTTCTCATATTACGAACAATCTCCTCTCATGGGATGTTGTCCATGACGCACCACACGAAGTGTGGACCAACGGCGAAGGACGACAAGTCCTGGAGAAGCGCTTGCGCGAGATGGTGGATGCTAGCCGGGCACATCGATGAGTCTCTGGTCTACATGCAAAGCCTATTCCGATTGTTTCTGGGCAGTTGGGGCAGAATGATTTTGGATACTTGGGACACCCTACTCATATCTTGCAAGTGTCAGCAGGAAAGCTTTTTTTGGGAACTTGTGTTCAATTTTGGTACGCCTGGGACGGCCTGAAATTTGTTATCTGTAGCATGACATTTCTTAGTTCATTCATAATGATCTCAGTTGATATTTGATCTAAAAGTCTGCTGAATTGCTACCAGATTGATTCATTGTTCCGGCCATAACAGTTCTATTATGGTGTACGAAGTATTGCGAATATTCACCAACTTCGAGTTGCACCCTACGGTGGATTCATCATTTACTCGATCCATAGAAACTCGAGAAAGAAAGTTCTATTTTAAATGATGCGATAGCCTCCACCAATTATTGTAGGATAACTCCCAAGCTGTAGAATAACTGATAACGTAATGATTCCTGATACATCAACTCCGCTTCATTTCATCATGTAGTAGGTAGGTCATTTCAACCAAGGGAGCGAAAGTCAAATCTCGGTAATGACCCCCATATCAATGCTAAATAGCTGACAGCTTATTTTCCCCGTTTCCATGCAAATCGTCTAACCGCCCTATTGACTTCAGCGCCATCAGAAATCCAGTCCGAATCATAAAAAACAGGCTCACCAGCAAATTCTTCGCAAAAAAGCTCTCGGGTTTCCGTCGCATAATTGTCAAGGCGAAATTGAGGCGAGGTGGAAGGGATCGGGCGTAGTTTTCAATCGAAGCTCAGCCGAGCGGCGGATCATAAAAGTATCTAGTCAACCTAGACTAGTTCCCTTGAACCTCTTAGCAAGCTGTTCACCATCCGACCTGGGAGACGAAGATCTGGAGAGGTGGGAAGTGGGTGAGGGATACCGCGTTTTCTCGCTGCGAAAATCCAAGCGAGAACTCTCGGTCGCAGTGGGCCAGGGGCGCTTAGGGGGGCGCTCACCACTTTCCTGGAGGATAGTCATCAACGTTGCCCATCCGGACGTATTCAGCAGCTGCATTCCATCGGCAGGGGCGTGCGTCCTCGCGACACGGCAGAGAAGGGCTTCTTCATCCTGTTATGATATTCCTGTCAGTCCTGGGTCGGGCTATGTCGAGGAAGGGAAGGATGCGGTTTCACTGACTTTGTTGAAGGTGGAGAGACTATGCAAGAAGCATAGAAGATGAAAATCGGAGACGCCCTCGATAGCTTTGTCGGGGTCCCCGGGCAACATAAGCTTTTGTGCGATATGGCGTAGTTCTTGACTCTCGCCGATGACCTCTCGATTTTCGATGGGGAAGCGGCTGTTGGTGAAGAGAGGTGTCGATTCGGTGGGGAAACCGTGTGTAAGAGTGACCAGCAAGAAATCGACCGGGAAGCTCGGCGCGGCGTTTTCTTGTACGCTCGCGCCATATTCATTGATACGGCGGAAGAAAACTTCGGGAATGTATCGTGTTTTACTGCCCTGATCATCATCTTCTGACTGTACCAGCATGACCGAAGGTTCTGCCGACGGCTCGATAATGTCGGCTCGAATCATCTCCACGGCCGAAACTGTCGCCTGGTATGCGCTCACGGCAATGGCACCTGTGTCGTCGCCGCTGAGAACACATGTCACAAAATCTGAACCAAATCGCCCTGTCCGGCTCCACTTGGTTGCTTTGGGGTTTTGAGCCTGCAGACGGGCAGCAAAAGCAATCTCCAAGGAGGAAAGGTAGTAAGAGTCGATATGGCGTTTGCAGATCACAGATCCATCTCCACGACCTGCGTCGAGAAGATCTGTGAAGATAACGCCAACCTTCTGTAGGCCGCAGAGACGAGCCACCTCATCCACCTCCTTTTCGTTCTGCCAGTCATGCAGGGTGACGCCATCCACCTCTCCTACCTGCGGAGGCTCGTAGATTGCCTGGACGACGGCCTTGACACCCAGCGGAACTTCAGTGTATTCCTCGTACGTCCCATACAGGAATCCCAGTCGCTGAGCACCAGACTTTCGCCAAAAATCCAGCAAAGAGTTGATCAGGTCAGGGGTTGAGAACTCGACGTGGTCCACCATTCGAAACTCCTGGGGTTGTAAACTGATTGCACTAGGCTGGCACTTAGTACAGATACCCTCGGGCCACTGCGGATGTCCAGACGGACAATCACTGCGTACCCGATAGAAAGGCTCACTCAGCGGTGGCATGAAAGAGCTTCCTGCCTCAGGCTTGTTGGTCGCCGCATTGATTTTTCGAAGGTAGGAGTGGAACGAAAGATGTTTGATCTTTTTTTCGCCGAGATACTTCGCGTCGTAGGGTTCCAAGGGCATGCAGTAGTCGCACATGCCTCGAGGCCCATGTTTGCACATCCGCTGGTCTTGCTTGCGCTTAATCTTTCCATCTTTCTTGTCCAATAGATTATCCAGGGGCGACTGTTGGGCCACCTCCCAGGGATTTTGTAAATGAGTGTCGGAGGCTGACTGTGAACGGATAGGGACGGTCCGTTCGTGAGGCACCTCGGTTCCATTTAGTCGACGCTCGCCAGCCGCGTTGGTGACGCCGTTAGATGGGCCATTTTTGTGGGAAGTGCCCTCTTGGTAGCCGACGAAGAGCTTATCACCGTGTCTAGATTAAATCGGTCAGTCATGTTCCACTAACTCCCAGTGCTTTGAATGCCGCCACTTACTTGAGGCCAACTTGGCCAATCGAGACACCCCCCAGGGCCGAGAGCTCTCTTTCTTCTCCGCCAGTGCCTATCGGCTTGTTAGACAATGCTATAGAAGCCGGCTCGACGTCGGGTGGCAAATGCTCGAGAATCTTGTTTGCATATATTGAATCAGCTTCAGGATCGCAGTGGTGGCTTTCGGGAAGCGGCAGGGTCCGTAATTTCATATACCTTTTGTTGGAGCGATGTGAAGTGGTCTTGCGGGTTGACGGTGAATCGAAACTGGCCGTTCCGACTTTCGAAGCGTAATAAAATTGATCGGGATGCCATGGTGGGCACTGTCAGCGGAATGACGAGCTGTGATGGGTTAGGGGAAGGGGGAGATGGGGAAGGGAAGTTATCAGAGGCACATGGCGCACAGGAAGTGAGTGAAGTGCTGGAGCTGCTGTCGGAGCTTGCTGCGAGGCACGTCACAGGGCGGGCGGGCGGTTCTGCCGCAAATGTCACCGGGTGACAGTACGCCCCGCAGAAAGCCGGCTGATTGGTGTGTCAGATTGGTAATCCGGTTACGCTATGCCGCACCCTATAGAAGCCGGTCGAAGAGATATCTGTTTTAGTGGTGAGGTCCCATAAGGGGGTAATAATGACAGGCACAAATTACTAGTAGTGCTAAGTCCGGCGAGGAGACAAACGTGGTCTCCCAGGTATGCATACCTAGGGTTGACTGTTGCGGGGCGCAGGACAATCAGCATTGTCCTACATCAACCCTGGGGGACAAACAGCCCGCAACCATGGTCGATGCTACTTTCTTGTCTACAGTGAACAGACAGAGAAATCCGTATGACGAGAATGTTGCATTGGCATTCGCATTCTACATTGATTAAAACTTATCTAGATCCCCTGTTCGAGGAGAGTCATGAACCCATATCAATCATGAAATATTCGAAACGCCGACGAGAACGCCGCAGGAACCCGGAAAGAAATATAGCAAGCAAGGACGGGGAGTGAGAAGTTCTCAATTAGAGGATGGTACACTTCTTGGGCAGCCCACAAGGCCCTCCCTCGCTGTCTTTCTCCTGGGATTCCTGGCCACCCTCCTGCTGAGCGGGCTGCGCGATCTTCTGCGCAGCTGCGCCAGTGGCAGGAGTCGAGTCCTGGGGCTTCAACTCGGTACTACCATGCAGTCACTGGTGGTTGACCTTGGCAACGGTCTCGTAGAAGGCCTTGCCCTGGGCCTCGGCGATCTGAAGCTCCAGCGCGGTGGGCTGGCGCGAGCCATCGGCACCGGCGAAGGTACCGGCACCCCAGGCGCTACCACCGTGGACCTCCTCGAGATTGGCCAGGAGAGGGAAGGTGGTCTTGTAACCCAGTGGGACGTAGAGGAAGCCGTGGTGGGCGAGGGTGCTCATGGCGGCAATGGCCGTGGACTCCTGGCCACCACCGAGGGTGCCGGTGGAGACGAAGAGACCGGCGTGCTTGCCCCAGTAGCCGCCGCTGGCCCAAATGCCACCGGTCTTGTCCCAGAAGGTCTTCCACTGCGCGGGGAAGTTACCGTAGCGAGTGGGGATACCGAACAGGACGGCATCGTACTCGAGAAGGTCGTTGGGCTCGGCAATAGGGTAGTTGGACTTGGCCGGGGCGTGCATCTTGGCCAGAACCTCGTCGGAGAGGGTCTCGGCAATCCTAGAATGCGAGTCAGTCGACTGAGCTACCGGGGATCAAGTCGCAAAGAGAGAACGTACTGGAAGATGTCGACCTTGCCCCCGGCGGACTCAATGCCCTTCTTCTCGGCCTCGGCCAGTTGGACAATGTGTCCGTACAGGGAATACTGCAATCCCAGAGGTTAGTGGATCCTTGGATGACTGCATTCCCAAGCTCTTTAGTAGGCGGGGGGGGGGGGGGGGTAGTAGTACATACAAAGACGATAGCAACCTTGGGAGCCATTTTGCAAGGAATTGGATACAGATGGGGGATGAGGAGGACAGAGACTGGCAGGGGCAGAGGGGGTTTAAATAGGGCTCGACCCCGCCAGCAGTGCAGAGCCGGCGTGGTACCTTCGCCTTCCCGCCAACTTCGAGCTTACTGAGGGCTTGCAAAGCTTCCCGAGCACATCAGTAATCGATGACAGACACACCTCCGCCGCATGATTGGCCTCTCGGATGTGTCTGGCTCCACCCGGCTTTACGCGGGTTTGCGCCGCTTCTTTTCGTCTGACCGATCTCTGACAAAGGACCCCGTCAGCGGATGGCGCTTGGAGAAGTTTCTCGATAGCATGCAAGTGCTCGACTTTGCACAACACAGTACATAGCACGCCGGGGGAAACCCCACAGCCATTTCCCTCGCGTACGGTGAGCGACGGGAGACCAGGGCCATGATGTCATGGACTCCGATCATGATGCAGTCGCATTCCACATCTTTTGCACAATGGGAACGCTTGCGAGCTGCTCTCGTCAACCGGCCCGAGCTCACATATACAAAGAATTCCAGACGAGGTGGTATCAGCGCAACGCGAGCTCGAAACGGCTAGCATGCAGGGTCCGGCCAATTGGCGGCAAAAGTGGCTGTCCGTAGAGGGGCATTGCCGCGAATTGCTGACGGTGGATGCAAAGAGCAAGGAAGGGCTAGACAATACTTTCTGGGAGGCATGTCGAGTATGTGGTTATCATCGATCTGATGGCTTCTATTGCGGCAGCAGGGGAAATTGCGGTGCGAAACCATTAGACGTAGAAGTTGATAATATATACTCGAATTTGCTCATAAACATTGGGTATCTCGTGGTCCATCGTACCTTCCAAAGCGATATCAAGGTAGTCTGAGACCAGAACAAACGGCACTAAAGAAAGAGGAAGAGCCAAAAATAGACAACCCCGCAGCCCAAAACAGAAATACCCATCGCACCGTGAAAATGCATGACTGCAGCGTCTGGCGTCGAGGCACTGGCAGCACACAACGACTAACCCCTGCCTCGTCCACGATACCGGCCCCGCATGAAACCACCACCGCGGCCTCGTTCGTTCCGCCATTCACGCTCGCGCTCCTTCTCGCGCTCCTGCTCCTCTCGAATGAGCGCCCGCTCGTGTTCCAGCTCTTCCTCCGTTTTCTCGGTCTTCATCGTCGGTCGCGGGAGATTTTCCGTCCATCGAGGGTGTGCGTTGGCGCAGCCTTTGCCTTCGGGGCAGAACCCGGCGAGGTAGAACATGCAGAGTCGTCGGCGGACATGGCGCTTGGCGCAGAGAGGGCCCAGTTCGCAGAATCCCCGGTCGTAGTGCTCACAGGGGGAAGTCGGGCCTCCTCGCGCACATGTTGGTAGAGGCAGTCATCGCCATTCGGACAATATCCCGACCGAGAGAAGGACTGGCATTCGGGCATGCGACGGAGGTTGTACTCGTGCAAGTACTCGCATTTGACTCCCTTCTTGCACAGCCCCTTCAGAAAATGTTTACAGACAAGGGACCCATGGGTGGTGGATGGTGCCAGACCGGAGGCCGTTGTCGTCGAGGTTGTCACCCTTGATGGAGTTGGGTGCCGATCCGGGCAGGCAGGTCCCAAAGGACAATGGCCCTCGCTGTAGGCCTTGCAGACCGGAACATCGCTGGCCAGGCCAAAGCCAAAGCTCTTGCGGAGGAAAGGGGAGAAGGTGAAGTCGTTGTAGCTGGGATCACGCGTCGGTTCGGCAGACAGCAGCTCCGTCGCAGTACTTCGGATGTCTGTTGCCATGGCGTGGTTGTAAACGGTGGACAGTGGACGGCTTGTCAGTGATGGTTTCGGCGCAGAATCGAAATGCGGCGATGAGAAAGTAGCGAGGCCGAGCCTATATCGTCTCGGGGTAGCTTTAAGCAGCACCCTGAGTATGCTGTAGAATGAACTCTCAGAAGAGCTCTGCAATGAGGGATAGGGGTGAAGCAAGATAAAAGCGGTGCTCAAGCATAATCGAGATCCATGGATGCGAGTCGCCCCGAAGGAGGTGTTTGCCTGGTTTGCACCTGTATTACCACTGGCAGGTACCGCTGTCGGGGTGACTCAGAAACTTCTACAAAGGCGATTGTTTTTGATGTAGGGACGTCTAATTGGTTTATCCAATTCTAGCGTGAAATCAGGCCGATGTAATTTTCCATAATTGTAGAGTTGATGATGTTATTGCTCAACAGTAATTCCTGAGTTCTCATGTCAAATCTACTGGCACCATCGTAACCGCGGATATATGCTTTTAACGCAACACATTTTCACACTACCTCGCTGTAGTGTGGTGCCCTGTGAGTGTTCACATGTGACCTCTCGGACCATACTTCCCATCAAATGTGATGCACCTCATGGTGCTGATTTTGCAGTTTAAAAGAATCCAGTGTCCCATTCTACCGATTTCCGATACGTAGTATGAACGAAAATTTAAAGATTGCAGGTGCGCCTCCAAGGATTACATTTTTCAGATGCCCACTGAAAGAACACTACAGTTTAGAACGAGCATTTTGCATTGACCGATGACCGGAGGCTCTTTGAGCTGGTAGCTCAATGCCCCATGCAATCTTGCAGTCCCACTGTAGATGATCCTCTCCATTCGCATCGCTGCTCTGGTTTTTGTGAGCCGTAACAATATCATGGAACACGTTTTCTCCGACGCCACCTTCCGCATTCAGAACCCAACGCTTAGCAATTTCTGTGCTGACTGGGTCCTGATCTCGCTCCGCGTCGAGGGCCAACAGGGTACCACACAGTATCCAAGCAAGTGTAAACATGTAGCGGCGGGCATCGGCAAGGATGGCAGCAGGTGACACTGAAAATCGCGCCCGCAGCGCCGACCATGTGGTAGCCAATGCGTTTCGAAGCGTTTTTGCGCGAATGAGCCCCAAAGTACGTTCAAGCCAAGCTGCAAATACATCCATGTTGCTGCCCTTGATCAGGAAGCGGACCATCTCACTTGCCAGGACGTTTGTGGTTCCCTCCCAGATCGAGTTCACTGAGGTGTTGCGAAGAATCCGCGAGATATTGAACTCGGGCTCGTCAGCTTCATCCATGTAGCCCACACCGCCCATGGCTTCCTGACATTCTTGAATACCCAGGATGGACATCTTGCTCACCACGGCTTTTGCAGTGGCTGTCAATGTGCGGAACACCACATTGGCTTCTTGTCCGGGACGAGGAAGATGTGCGAGCCCGGAAGGCTGGGACACCTTATCTTCGACCAGTCCCATCACAGCCACGGTGAAGAAGCCCAGATTCATACCACCACGATGCTTCACTTCGAGATCGGCCAGGAGACGCAGGTGCATAGGGATGAGCCACAAGGGCTCACTAACCGTGGACCTTGCCCTAGCAAAACTCTTCGTAATACTCAAAGCTCGTCGCCAGCCCGCCAGAGAACCGATGAATGTGTGGATGCGAGTGACATTGAGGAGTGGGGCGATAGTGACAATGCCCTGATCAATCTCGCCAACCAAATAGGCGCGCATGTCCTTCAATTCCAGCTCAGCGGTTGGCAATTCCTTGGTACCAAGCTTGTTCTTGAGGCGATGGATTCGCACTCCGTTCGATACCTGACGCGAGACACCGTCTTCTCCGACAACTGTTCGACGCAAGGGTGCCAGGAAAGTGCTCAGTTTGCCCGACGGAGTTTTGGCGAGCAGTAGAGCCACATTAGCATCGGTGGCAGATGAAAAGAACTTGAACCCATTGATCACATAGTCTCCCTCGGCCAGCGCATCGGTACCAGAGGGCTTGGATAGCGGCGAATATGTCGCCCAGGTCTCCGTGTTCTGGACATCACTGCCACCGGCCCTCTCGGTCATCCACTGACCTGATGTCCAGTGATCAGTATTCTCGGAAATGAGTCCTCGAAAAGCAGCGTGAAAGGGGTGATTCGTAGGCAATCCCTTGAGCTTGGGAGCAAGAATGAAAGCCGCCCCATCGGTCATGCTAATTGGACACGAGTAGAGCCCCGACGAGGGAGAATATAAATAGTTCCTGGAGGAAGTCACCCGTAAGCCATACTGAACACCTTACAGGGGTCATTCGGTTGCATACAATGCATATTGTACCGTCCGTCGCTGCGAGCCAAACGCAGGGTCATATCCCGCGGACACAATCTTGTTACGCGCGCCCCAGTGGCCCAGCTGCTTCCAGCCTTCGGTGGTTATCAGTCGGTCGTAATCGTATCTCTTTCCCCATACATTATGGCTCTTCACATAGGGCTGGTTGCGCTCGGCATCTGCACTCCACACGCGCACCTGCTCCGACACTGCCTCGGCCCCGAGCTGAGTGAAGTGTGGTTCCACGGATCGTAGCGTGCTTGAGGGAAGATACCCTAGGAAAGGATCAGAATGAGTGATCATTGCATTCGGAAGTAATAAGTAATCTTACATTGCAGCGATCGTTGAAGACTGGTATCCGACGTGTAGGTATTCTCCAGCGCGGCCGGCTGGGTGATATACCCACTCTCGGCCGTGGCGGGTTGGCGAAGGGAGGATGACATTGCGTAAGAACAGACTCTCACCAGACGAGAAGGATCTGACTGCAAGAGTAGACTGGGGAAAGTCTGGGGTATTCCATGCTAAAATAGGAAGAGAAGTATGGTTTTGCGGGGAAGCCTGGGAAGCTACCAAGTCGCCCGGCACATTCATCCAAACGTGCCTCGGCGTTCGGCTGCAGGCTCCACCCGCCACGGCGATCGCCGGGATATCCCCGAGAGCCAATACTTTCCTGGGATCAATGCAGTGCATCTTATGCATCTTGTGCTAGTGGATATCCTAGCTACCTTGAGAAAACCAGAATGGATATATTACGAAAGAACCTCCCATGCAGATCAACAAAGAAGAAAACGACCGGACCGCCCAAATTTCGTGACCGGCAAGTACGTAAGGTACTACCATAGCCTTTTCCAACATCACTGATGCTGTCCATTTTTCCAATTCATCCTCGGATCTGGTCATTCACATTTCATGAAGGGTATTGTATCCAGTTTCCAGGAGACTGCGTGGACCTCGCGCATCTGAGCAGATGTGCCAGTAGAACAGTCCGCCCAGCTTGGACGAGGTCACAAAAGTGGCCTTTTGTTGCACTGTCGCCGGGTTATCATACGTGACAAACCCGCCATCCCCCCGACAGAGTATGCAGCACCGGCTCTTTGGTCATAAACTTCCTGGGTTCCCGGACGTGGTAAATCACTGTAATCGAAGACTCCATCTTCTCCACCATGGCCGGCGTACCGCTGGCCCGGTCCGGCGCAACCGAGGAAAGAACGCCCATAGACAGGAATTCCAAGGATGATCTTGCGGGACGGAACTCCCTGCATCAACGCATAGTCAACTGATGAATAGCCAGAGATCGGTGAGCCGTGGAGCTGGGCCTGGTGGTTGGCCTCGGACTCCCAGGGCCCGGAGAAGTCGTAGGCCATCAGATTAATCATATCCAAATGCTTGTGCGCAGCTCCCAGGTCAATATGTCGGAGAAACCATTGGCTTGCCGGAAGAGCCGTCGCCAGGACATACCGCGGTGCCGGGAGCACCTCTCGCAACTTGGACAGGAGACGGACGTAGTCCTTGCCCTCTTTCGAGTTGGCGGGGTGTTCCCAATCCACTGCACGATGCATCAGCTTTGGTTATTCTTTCTTTACAACAGCTGGAGGTACAGTAAGAAGGTGCAGGTGCCGACTCACCATCGATGCCATCTAGACCGTACTGATCAACCAGCTGCCGTGCGCTGCGGACAAAGGTTTCCAATCGAGACCGACTGTGAGCAACGGCGGCAAAGTTCTCACTACCTTTTCCCCCGCCACCAACCGAGAGGATGACACGCATCTGCGAGTACTGCTGCTTCAGCTGCACAAAGGCCCGGAGGCAGCCCTCGGTGCCATCGACGGGCATCTGGGTATCGGCCCACTCGTCACTCAGCTATTACCATGGTCAGTCAAGAAATCTCGCGTGTGAGCACCGGCATCCAAGGGAAAAAGGGTAAACTTACGTAGACGGTGCCATCCTCTCTGACCCTGCAAGGATTCCAGATCGAGATTAGCGCCTCCTATCTATACGATCGCCCCGGAGTGATTGGCCTACCAAGCGAATGCATAGAATACATGGGACACGAAGCCCAATCGCAGCGAGGACGGAGGCTGCTTGCGGTAGATGCGCCAGTTGGGATAGTAAGCGGCGTTTGTGTACAAAGGCACCTCATACGAGGCGGGCGCGGGGTCGACAGGCCGCCGGCGGAACAGGTTCGAGAACATGACGGGCGTCGATGGTGCACCCGCCAGAAGTCAGTAGGCCAAAGGAGGGAGGAGAGACGACGGAGGGTGAGTTGCGGTGGGCAATGGCGGGTTAAGAAGTTCAGCCGTTCCAAAAGATCGAAAAACAGAAAAACACCCTCTGCTTTCCCGTTCTGGAATGCGTCACGTGTGCGCGCGGCTTCCCTGCGATTCCAAACAAGATTCCCGCTTGGCGAGTTGGCGGCGCTTGTTCTTTTTTACCTCCGAGCCTGTCACGACCCGGTGTCCACTTCCTCCTTGGGCGCATTTTTCGGCGTGGGCCAGCCGATCCGCAACGAGACGTAGCGTGGGATACGACGATGTGCGGGGCATTCCCTGTGATGATCGAGTCGCTCGCGTTCCGACATTAGGAATCCCATCACGACGGCCGATGCAGAACTCCACCAGGCACACAGAAATCACGATCTCCTGCCAATCGCCGCTGTTGCCGACGCCTGTCCAGGCAACTGCTCACTCGAGCATCCCCCAGCGCATCGTAAAACCGGGGAAGAGAGCGCCCTGAGCCCAGAACCAGGCCGAGGCCGGGGGCACCGCCTCGTCGTCTTCGTATGACGTGCGGTGAGAATCCGCTAGAGACTGCAGTCAGCGCGATTGGGCGCCCGCCAATTCGCCCGCGGCGCCCTGCATGTCGTTTTAGCGCATGCAGCTGGTCCCTCGTGTCAAGAGACTCGCGCGGATCAGGCTGATCGACACGCAGGCAACTCGCGAGGGCCCATCGTGGGGAGGCAATGCCTCGAGCCGCGCATACTGCGTTAATTCTCGTGGAGCAGCCAAAAGCCAAGGGCGATCAAGGCTGCATGCGTTCGTGGAGAAACTCCCGGCGCCGGGCTAGGCCCCGGGGGCGCCACGCCGCCCCAATTTTGTTTGCTTCTTCTATGGATTTCAGTCCGCTCGGTGCGAGGGACGGATTGGCTGAGACTATTGTCCCAAGGTGAGGCCGCGCGCAGGGATCCGTCGACGCCCCTTTCTCCTTGCTCCACGTCTCCTGGCTGGGCGAATGGTACATAAAGTATAGTAATCATCGCAGCTTGAACTCATGGAAACCCCCTTTCGCAGCGGGATCTGTGACCCGAATCCTGAAACTATGACATTTTCAAACAGCGAATGGCATTGGAACTATAATAATCATCGAGCTTGCTACCGGCCACCAAAAGCACCTCGCCCCTTTTCGCAGACCTGAGCCGGACTCAAGTTATGGGGCCAGCGGTGCCTATCCTCATTTCTATTCCGATATTTCCACGGCGAGCTGAACGGTGCAGACAACTGACTCCATCACGGTGCATGCAGCTAAAACTTCACGGCGCAGTTGGCGCGCGCCCACTCTTTCTCCTCGGCCGAGCCAGACGGGGGAGGGACCATCCCGTTCACTTTCCACAGGTCGCGTGATGTCTCCGCGATAAAGTACTCCCAGTCCATGCCCTTGGGCTCTAGGATCGGGTTGAGAATGCTGTCAACACGGGACAGAAATCGCTGCTTGGCCTCGTCATTTGGGAACGAGCGAGCAACATGGTATATGGTGATGGCAGCAAAGTTGGGATGCACTTCCCCACCGATAAAAGCAGTGCCCGGCACGTCCTCGATGAAGTGGACTTGCACGTAGAATGGGGGCAGCCCGTAAGAGACGTAAAGCTGGGTGATTGACTTGGCCAATTGCACCTTTTCGTCCGGCAGGATGGTGTTTGAGCTATGTTTGATATACCAGACAGGCATGGTGAAAGAAGACAGGGTCTGCCCAGGAGTAGAAACAACCAGAAGGTAGCAGAGCAATTATCTGTCAATGTGAACAATGCTCGCTCTCATATATTTCCAGGCCCAATTGCATGTCTATTGTAATCCCGGATGAAGAATACCCCATGGTCAGTGATCTACTGTAACGGAGTGAAGCAGCGCCTTGCTTCTTGTTGGCGGGAATCTCTTACGGGTGGCGGGTCTTGGCATCGGGCTGATGGCATAATCCGAAAAGATCGGCGTCATCATGCCGTGCGTTTGCCCAACCGTTGGTTTTCTTGTTCACTAGATCAATCTATCATTTTCATCGACCTCGGCATCCCGATTGGAAACTCGAACGATGATTCGTAGGGTCCGGCCGAGGTCCATCTCAGATCTACTCAGCAGGATTTATCAGCAACGCTCGTTTTTCCTGCTATAATCATCTGTCATTTACCTGATGATTCTGCGGTAGCGGAACATATTTCAAGGTTCATATAAGGGTAGACAGAATTGCAATCGCTAACAGTACACCATTCATACAAAATTTTCTCCATCGTCATGGCTGGAGAATTGATTTTCATCACTGGCGCGACGGGATTCATCGGCAGCGCGACGGCCTTAGCCGCGCTCAAGGCAGGATACCGACTGCGTATTTGTCTTCGGAAGCCATCCCAGAAGATACAGGATCTTTTGTCTGAATACAGCGACCGAATCGAGTTCGTGATCGTTCCCGACATCGCCGACGAAAGGGCCTTCCGTGGGAAGCTGGATGGAGCAGACTATGTCTTACATCTGGCCTCCCCACTGACGCATGGCACAAACAAGGAGACCTACTTTTCTCCCGCTGTGAAAGGCACCATCGCTGTTCTCAAGGAGGCAGCAGAGGTGTTCAGCATCAAAAAGGTCGTCGTTACGTCGTCCATTGCCGCGTTGATTCCCATGACCGGGATTCCCTGCGATGGCGTCGTCAAGGGTAGGAGACTCGACTCACTACATGATAAAACTGTCAAAAGCAACCCTAACATTCACTTCTTAGAGGACAATGATTGGGACTTCAGTGTCGATGAAGCAGCCAACTTTGACGACCCCGCTAACCCTGCTGCCACACCAATGAAACTATATCATGCGTCCAAGTTGCTGGCCAACAACGCCACCTGGAAATATTGGGAGACCACGAGGCCCCATTACTCTCTGGTAACTCTACATCCATCATTCGTATATGGACACAACCTCGTGCAGACATCCGCAGAGGGTGTGAGTGGATCATCCAATGGTATCCTCTGGAAAACAGTTATGGGCGGAGTAGCCGCCTCCAACGTCACCGGCGTGCATATTCAAGATGTTGCCGATGCACACATCAAGGCACTCAGTCCGAAGATTGCAGATGGCTCCAGATATCTTATTTCTGGGAACCAAACAACATGGAAAGAGATCGCGCAGATTGTGCTGCGCGACTATCCCGATGTGGGGGCAAAGATCGCTACAGATCTGGAGGGTGAGTCCTGGCCAACGAATACGACCAAAGCTGAGAGTGAATTGGGCATCAGTTGGCGCCCTTTTGAGCACATTGTACACGAGGTGATGGATCAACAGCTACAATTTCTTTCGGATTGAATATCCATGTCTGATCACATTTGAAGGTCCCCCAGGGTCGGGAATGTGAGAGTCGGTAAAATTGTATTCATTGGTGTATGAATGTAACTGCAGAGGATGTGAATATATTGCAATGTATTAATAGTACACAGTTTATTTGATAATGCATAATCATACTAAGGTACCCTAGTATTATGAGTGCATTGTAATATAGGAAAAATTTGACATGAGAACCCGGCAATGAGTCATATCAAAAGCCCTACATTAGTTAAGTAATCCATGAATTTACTCACATCAAATAATCATCGTGAATAATGTATAGCATTGAGGGAAAGTGATTAGCCGAGGCCATCAGCGATGTTTTCGAAGTATGATGACGAAAGTGGCATTTTCTCTCTAAATTGACGCCTTGTTTCCTATGACTAGGTTTCAAATTGTGTCTTGAAGATATGAGATGATATAGTTGGTGTGTGGCTACAGTAATCTCCATGGACATCCGGTCAAATCTTGGCAGCTCGATGTCCCAAAGACGGAGAGGGTGGCAGATCCACACCCCAGACAATGCGGCAATCCCACTCCGTCCGTTCGCGCGCCGTGGGTTTTTGGTCCTGAGCGGCAGCCAGTCTTTGGAAGATGAGGTCGGTGAATGCAAACTCTCCAGGTACACCTTGGCCTTCCAGCACCCATCTGCGAGCTACCTCGCGAGCAACTCCATTATTATCTCGCTGAGCATCGAGGGAAAGAAGGATGCCGCTGACGAGCCAGGAGAGCGTAAAAATTATCTGACGGCCGACGCCGAGGACTCCTGAGAGGGCTCGCTCGTCACGACCCGGTTCGATTCTGCCCTTGAGCTGACCCCAGACATTCCGCAACGTGGTTTTGAAGGCAGGGTCGGAGACCTGAGCGATGGCATCGCCGATCCATTCATCGAAAAGAACAAGATTTTTGCCCTTGGTCAAGTGGCGTACCGTTTCACTGGCCAGCACGTTGGTGGTGCCTTCCCAGACGCTGTTACTGGCAGTATCGCGCCACAACCTGCTCACATTGAACTCGGGTTCTTCAGCCTCGTCTATCCACCCTGAAGTCAGCTCGGCAAGGACGAAAGGGATCGAATCAACGAAAATCACCTACCAATATAGCCGACCCCACCCATCGCTTCCTGGCATTCTTGGAAAGCTAGCGTGGCCGACTTGCAAATGACGGCCTTGGAGGTGGATGTGAAGGCCCGCAAAACGACCGTTGCCGCGGGGGCGTTCTTCGCTAGAACAGAAAAGACGTTGGGAATTCCGCTCGGAAATCCATTGTCTACATAACCCAGGAGCGAAGATGTAAAAAAGGCCAGCTGCATCCAGCCACGGTGCTTCACCTCGAGTTGGGACAGAACGTTCAGATGCATTGGGAAAGTCCAAAGAGGCTGGTCAATGGTCGTGCGGGACCGCGCAAATGCCTTTGCAATATCCAAGGCACGGCGGAGGCAGGAAAGTGCCGTAATGAAGTTGTGCGTGCGAGTCACATTCAGTAAGAGTGCGATTGTTGCGATTCCGCGGTCTTTGTGGCCGATCAAATGTGCCCGAACATCGCGAAGTTCGACCTCTGCCGTCGGGAGCTCTTTTGTGCCCATCTTGTTTTTCAGTCGGTGGATGCGTATCCCGTTTGAGATCTTTATTGTCTTTCCATGTGCATCGGTGATGGTTCGGGTCGTCGGAGCTACAAAGAGCGAGAGCTCTCCCGACTCGGTCTTTGCCAGAAGCAAGACTGAGTCGCAGTCGGTCGCACTGCAGAAGAACTTGAAACCCGATAGGATATAGTCGCCTTCTTCCATGTTACCGAACCGGCCTGTCTTAGAGGACAGAGGAGCGTAGGCAGCGACGGTTTCGCTATTCCGGACATCACTGCCCCCTGGCCGCTCCGTCATCCACTGAGCCGAGATCCAGTTGTTCTCTCGAGCGATTAGACGCGCGTAGAGTTCATGGAAAGGATGGTCCGAGGGGAGTCCGGGCAGCTGGAATCGTACCAGACGAGCAGCCCCGGAGGTCATCGAGACCGGACAGGAGTAGGCCGCAGACGAGGCCGAGAACAGGTAGTTGCTGGGAAGGGCGATGAGCATGATGGTTTTGTTGCTGGCGGACTGGACTTACAATGCATGCTGAACTGTCCGACGATATGGGCCAAACTCCTCCTCGTAGCCCAGGCCGACCACACTGTCATTGATGTCAGGATTTCTGTTGGGCGAGATGCGATGGCGAGTATACTTCGGGTATACTTCGGGTATACTCGCAGTATACTACCCGTAATTGGCCAGACTCACCCATGCTTGATTCCCCATTTGCCCAATTCCTTCCAGCCGTGGCTTGTCGCCAAACCTTCTGCTTCATAGCGTAAGCCCCATACATTATACGACTTGACGGAGGGTTGCTGGCTTTCAGCATTTCCGATCAGGGCGTTTGTGTCCACGGAAATCGCGTCGCGGCCGAAGGATTCCAAGCCCGGGGCAATTTTGTCCTTGACATCGCCAGGAAGATGCCCTAGCGAAAGAAGTATCAGCGTTCTGCCTTCTCTGAGATAAGCAGAATATGGCAAGTGTACATTGAAGGATTCGTTGGAATACTCGATCGTGTGTTGCTGGGTTGTCCAACGCAGCCGGCGCGAGGATGAAGCCCTCGTCCACCTTAGAGGGTGATAGTGTCACTGGCTTGCTCATACTGAAGCAGTTACGCTGCCAATACCCGTGATGGCGATTCTTCTGTCTCGTGTTTTATATGCCGCACTCGGGCCTGCAGCGCTGCGGGGTCCGACCTCCTTCGCAGCCGATGAGGAGACCTCTTGTTGCCGAGCAGAAGCTCCGACATCCACCGACAATCACCGACAAAGGCCAGCTGACGCTGACGAGGGCGCCGTCGAGGGCAGCATGGCACAAGGACTGAATACGCTTGCTGCAGACGACGTCTTTCCGACGGACTGCGGGGAATCCGTGTGGCCTGAGCCCGCCGGCTATTAATGCGCGGTAGTCTGCAACTCACCACCATCCACACCCTCTCGACACAGTTCCTCTTGTTTTGTCCTTTCTGTTTTCTCGGCTCCCTTTGACTTAAAGAATGGCTAGTTCCGCACTTCACAGCGACATGCAGAAGCCTCGTCCCATATGGACGCCTGTTATACCACCCGCCCAGATTCCCATGAACATATATCGTGCGCATATCAATCGAAAGTTCAACCAGAACCTGCAATCATCGCAGGAATTACATCAATGGTCGGTGAAGCACCTGCAAGACTTCTGGATGGACCTCCATCAGTATACTGGCATCGTCCCAGCCTTGCCTCCGAGTATCACCGCCGCATTTGATGCCTCCATACCCATGGAAAGGGTCCCGGAGTTCTTTCGAGGGGCAACAGTCAACTATGCAGAGAATGTGCTCGCTGGTCGCGATTTGAACAAGACGGCGCTTGTTGGCATTCGAGAAGGTCAGAATCTCGCCGGGGAGGTATGGACATGGGGCCGACTGCGTGAGAATGTGCGGAAGGCAAGAAGTGCTCTGCTCCAGCTGGGCATTCAAGAAGGCGATCGAGTGGCTGCCATTATCTCTACCAGTGTGTGGTCAGTCGGGCTCTTCCTCGCTACGGCAAGCATTGGCGCCATCTGGACGAGCATTGCGCCTGATTTGGGTGAAGAAGTAATGGGCATACTTCCTCCATCGTATGTGGCACGGGCGCTAACAAACTCCAGGGATGTATATCACGCCTGCAACAGGTCGCCCCGAAAGTTCTGCTGGCCGACGCTGAATCCACCTACAAGGGCAAGATGCGATCTAACGTGCTCAAGATTCGCAATGTCGAGCAAGCCATGAAAACTAAGCCTCGGGTATTTCTGATCCCCATCACGGGCTCCCACGAGCAGACGTTCCCGAGCCTGGATGACTTCTTGTCTATGTCGAGAATGGGAGACGCCCTGGAATTCAAGAGGCTAGCCTTCTCTCAACCATTGTACATCCTCTATACTAGCGGGACGACCGGACAGCCGAAATGCCTAGTCCACAGCCACAGTGTCATCTTGCAACATAAGAAGACATCGGTTCTCCATAACTCTCTGACGGAGCAAGATGTCGTGTTTCAGTATAGTAGTACCTCGTGGGTGCTCTGGAATATCATGATCGGCCACCTCTCAGTAGGCCCAACGCTGATTTTGTATGATGGCTCCCCTTTGTGGCCCACTGCGAAGCACTTGACGAAGATTGCCGCTTACCATCGCGTCTCGTACTGGGGCTGCTCGCCTCGCTACCTCCAGGAGCTTGAGATGACCAGGTGCATCCCCAAGGAGGAGTTCGACCTGTCCTCGTTAAGAATGGTTCAGACCGGTGGTTCTCACTTGGGTGCAGACCAGTATCACTGGTTTTATCGAGCATTTCCTTCTCGCGTCCACCTCACGAGTGTGACAGGAGGCACTGATCTGGTTACTTCGTGGATTGGAACTGACCCGGCCGGGCCACTTTACCCGGGCGAGATTCAGCTCCCAATGTTAGGTCAGGATGTGGACGTCGCGGACCCGATCACAGGTAAATCAATCAGTACGACAGGCAAGCAGGGTGAATTCGTGTGTCGACAGCCCTTCCCTTCGATGCCGGTGTTTTTCTGGGGCGATGAAAACGGAGCCAAGTATAAAAGCACCTATTTTGACAAATTCGAAAATTGTTGGGCTCAACATGACTGGGCTAGCTATAATACCCAGACCAAGGGATGGCAGATCCATGGCAGAAGGTAAGACTAGTCTTGATGTTGAGGTCTCTGACACGGCATGACTGACGGGAATATCCCAGTGACGGCGTGTTGAATCCACAGGGCATTCGATTCGGATCTTCCGATATCTACTCGATCAGTGAATCCGCACCCTTTAACGAAATTATTTCAGCCACTCTATGTATCGGCAGACGGAGACCCGATGATTCGGACGAAGAGGTCTTCTTGTTTGTCGTCATGCAGTCCGGTAGGCAATTCTCCAACCACCTCGCCCTGGAGCTGAAGGATGCGATCCGTAAGGGGCTAAGCAGCAAGCACGTTCCTCGGTTCATCATCGGCGTCTCGGAGGTTCCGGTGACTATCAATGGCAAAAAGATTGAAAATTTGGTGAAGCAAGTGGTATCCACAGGTCAGTTGCCAAGAACGATCAGCAGCACAGTGGCCAATCCAGGTTGTTTGAATCACTTTAAGCAGTACTACGCAATCGAGAGAGCGAAGGAAGACAGAAGCAAGCTATAGAAACCGTGGAATATCTCGTCGGCTTAGATGTGTATATATAGACAGCAGAATCGTCTCCCCCGTGAACCAGGCTCATACATAGCTCTCCACCAGCTCTCACAATTCACCTTCTCTCATCGGCTTTAACTATACCTAGGAGTTTATTATCCAGGTGTCTGAAAAATCACAGCTGTACTCTATGTTTCAAGACCCGCATATGCAAAACCAGAGCATAGCAGCATCAAGGTCACCGTTGGGACCTTTGAGCACCTCCGCCAAACTTTCTTGTCGAACTTCTTCGGTGTCCTTCATCGCTGTCTTTCAGCTGCGCCCGTCTCTCTCCTTAGCATATCGAGTCAATGTATTTTGGGTGATAACTGCAGAATGAACTTACACGACTCGATTGAAGGTTTGGACTTGATTTTGAATGAATCCAAGGATTGCTTTTGCGACATCAGTGAGGGTCGTTGCACTGAGAGGTACATCACCCCAACTGCATAAAGTTGCCGTCCTCTGAGCTGGACCGATAATGAAGCGTTCCTTGATGCCCCGATCGAGAAACAACCCATTGGCGATAGCAGTATAAGTGAAGTTCGGAGAAGTGCTGGATTTTTCGCGAAGATACTGCTGTGTGATGGCCTCTGGTTCGCACACAGGAAGCTGTATGTACAATGGGTTCTGAGAATCCATACCGATTCGGCAGGAATAAATCACGCCTGCTGTGGCGGAAGCGCCAATGAGCGAATTCTGAGAGCCGATCACTAATGTTGCAAGACATGAAATCACAACATCCACTCCCTTCAACGCCAGGATCATGGATTCGATGTGCTGGAGGCTCACTTCTTGAATAGAAAGCGAGGGATGGGTAACAGTTTGGCCGCAGTACCGCCAATGCGCGACAGGACTGTCACGGAGTAACTTGCATCGAGAGCCTGGATGACGACCTTTCCAAGATTGCCAGTGGCTCCGGCAAGTGTAACTCTTCTTGGTGACATTTCATCGTAATCTTCAATTATATAACCCACAGAGACGAGGGCGACTTTGTAATATTGATCGATGGGAGGTTAGAGATGCTCAAATGACGAGTTGACTACCCATGCTGGAATGTTACTTGAGCAAGGATCGAGTGCTTATAAAAAAAACAAAAAGATTTGGAAATGGGGCCGAAAGTCAACTCGTGCATCATGCACAGCACCAGCCTATGTGATGATTTGGATACGTGTTCAGTGCCCTATCTTGACTTTAACAGGCATTTGGCCTAGACATTGAGGAGCCAAGACCCACTCCAATCGAAGCCAGACCCTTCCCAGCTGGTACTGAATGGCTCGAGATTCGTTTCGAGAGGAGGGAAATTGTAATTATCCACCGTGTCATCTGGTCGAGTATCATACGATGGCAATGCATCATCAGCCTCTTGCACATCTGCCAATGTACAGGTTGGCTCAGTAATTGCATTGCTACCCGAGTCGGATGATTGTGCGATCAAAGCCCACTGTTTGCAGAGCTTCATATCAAAGCCTTCGAAGAATGAAGCTGCATCGATGTCTAAAGTTGGCGAGGGACCATCGAAGGGACCTTGTTCTCGAACCTTTTCGGTCAACTTGTTGAGGGCTCGTAATGGCCCAACGGCTGATAGCCATCTCTCAGACAACTTTTGGAGAGAGAGTTTCATGACGGTGAGCTCATGCTCCGCTGTACTTTGCAGCTGAGTGTAACGCCAGCTTGAAAGAAGTGAAAGCCCAGCACATAAGGGATAGAATGCGAAAACAGGTCCCAGGTATCGAAGTTCATCACGAAGCAGGAATCCTTCGTAGATGCCGGCAATGAAGGAAGACGCCACCAGCGAGGCGGCTGGAGGGACACTATTCGGAACAGGCGACCGGTGAAGGATGGTGAGAACGACAAAGTACATGACCAGGAGCTGTTGAACTTCATGATGGGAAGTAATGGCATCTTCTTGCAAGGCGGCCGACGAGCGTAGTTTGGGGAAGACCTGCTTGGCCCATCTGTACACTGCGTTTTCAAGATCAACTCGTCGTTGTCGAGATATCTCGCGCCGTAGGTAACATTCAACCGTATCTCCCAGATGACACGATATTGTGCAGTATGCAAGGAACAGCTGGGCTTGAAAATTCCAGGCGGGGAAATCGTTCATGGATGGCGGGAGCACATCGCTATCCCGAAGATTGATGGTTCTTGGCCGGCCGACTCCAACAGAGATAACATTATCACGGATCTGCAATTGTCAGCAACAAAGCCATTAGAGTACTCTTGTGTCGACCATGACGTACTACGAGTGACCACCACAATCGCCGACGGAGACCCCGGTTTCTGGCATTGGGCGGTGGCTCTTTGTGTAGCCCAATTTGAAAAGCCATCGCTCCTGCTGTTCGAATCCAGAATCCACTGGTGTCCGTAGACACGTCCTCCGGGCCTACTGGGTTATACCAATGGAGCAAACAGGCGGCCACGATGGAAATGAGCGAGTTGTTACCGCCACCAAAGAAGAAGAGCAGTTTTGCACGCCGGTAGAAGACTTCGCTTGATGCATAGTCCAGATGGGCTTTCGTAACCCGACTTCCGGCCAAGAAGATCGACTGTAATAATAGCATCGATGGCGGCGTACTCTCGTCCAGCCACTTGGGTTCAATGACCGGGGTCCAAGGCAGACAGTACTTATTGAAACTGTCCATGAGTTCCCGCTGAACATACTCAGGTGGGAGCTCAAATGCACCTTGTTCGCGCAACATTTGTAGATCTGCGGCAGACGCTTTGGGGCTGGTATAGGTGGTCTCATGACCGGGCTTTACCATATTCTCGTCAAACGGCACGCTGCCACCCAAGTACTCGCTCCGCCCGCGGTAGCTTTCCTCTTTGATGGCAGGCTCGCCATTGTTCAGCGGGACAGCCGATGCCTCGCTCGGCAGGGCATCGCCCTCGTAGGTGCCGGCCTCCGACAGACGCGGCGCGACCCCGGCTTCTCTGGGCGCGTCGACGGGGAGTTGAGAGCTCCGCCGGCTCAAGGGATCCGACGCCGGAGCGCTACGCCTCGGCGAGAGGCTGTTGGTGAAGCGCTTGCGCTTACGGGTGTATGGTCTGCGGGCCTCAGTCCCAAGCACAACAATTTCTCATCTAGCGGGTCTTTTTCCTCACCTGCACTCCACATCGGACTTGTTGCAGTTGGTGCAAGGGTTGTGGGTCGCCAAATCGCAGCGCACCTGGCCGGGGTAAGTTCATGTTGGAGGGATGCACGCAGGGACCCGGCGCACCTTTCGCTTATGGCAGATGATGCACGCGCTGCTCATTTTCCGCGGTGGTTGGAGAAGGCAGAGTGTGGGGGAGGTGTGGAGTTCAGCCGAGGCTCGCGGCGGCCGCGTCGCATTAGCCTTTCGTCGCATCGGCATCTCTTGTTCTCCCACGACTCCTCATCATGCACCACCCAGTATGGCCGAGTCCGAGCTGGTCAGGATCGATACGATCTCGCATCCCGGCATCTCGATCATCCAGATCAATCGCCCGCGCAGAAAGAATGCGGTGGACCTTCCAACCGCCAAGCGGCTCTACGAAGCCATTCTGGCGTTCGAGGCCGATGCATCGCAGAAGGTCTGCGTATTGACGGGCGTTGGTGGCACGTTCTGCGCTGGTGCGGATCTTCACCAAGTCGCACAGAAGAAAGACGATGTCCCCGGCGAAAACCTCCAGCCGGTCAACGGCCGCAATCTGGGACCCATGGGTCCGTCCAGGTTGACGATCCAGAAGCCAGTCATCGGTGCCGTAGCGGGTTATGCTGTTGCCGGAGGCTTGGAACTCAGCCTGCTAGCAGATATCCGCGTTGCAGAAGAGGATGCCGTCTTCGGGGTGTTTTGTCGACGTTGGGGCGTGCCACTGATTGACGGAGGGACCGTCCGGCTGCAAGCCATCGTCGGTCTCAGTCGTGCTCTCGACATGATTTTAACCGGCCGGCCGGTAGGAGCAGAAGAGGCGCTGGCGATGGGCCTTGCGAGTCGTGTCGTACCAAAGGGACAGTCGTTGCAGCAAGCACTGGAGATTGCCAAACAGCTCATTGCATTCCCCGAGCTCTGTCTCAACACTGATCGCCGTTCTTGCTACTATAGCGCATACGAGGCGGCTTCGTTTGAAGATGCCATGTCCAAAGAATTTGCAGCCGGAAGCAAGGTCATATCGAAAGAGGCGGTTGTGGGTGCAGCCAAGTTTAGCAGAGGCTCTGGTCGACACGGTAGTTTCAAGGAATTTGGCAAGCTGTAAGCCATCTTGTGACATTGCTACAATCTGTGATATATAGCACTACGCTTTGACCACCCAAAATTAAGGACGACACCGAGAAGCTAGTTTTTTGCTGGTGTGTACTACACTAGTGTACAAGAGAATACGACAGTCTAGTCTGTAAGAACAATTGCGGTTGTAGTATACATTAACCGACGTGCGCTCGGTGAAAGAAATGTTGATTCTAGTGGCAGTGGCCATACATATAGTAAGCTTGCGAGCCAAAAAGCCAGGCAATTCGCAACTCCTGGGCTGTCTGGAATTTGATATTTTTGCGAAATCCAACTGGGAGACTCAATTCGTCTTCTTCTCATCCTCATCCGCTTCCTCGGGCGCAAATTGGATGCGCTTTCCGTACAGGAACGGCGTTCGCGAGATCAAAGATCCGACTGCGCTGCCGATGTATGCGCCAGCAAGGATGGTGATGGGGAAAGCTTGCCATGGACGATCCCTTATGGAAACATTAGCGTAAGGATCATGGGCGAGAAAGAAAAGATTTAAATCTATTCCGTGCGGAGTAGTACTTACCAATCCAACGGGATGGGGATAGCACCAAACCAAGCACCAAGCCCGGTGCCCAGTGCAGCACCCCAGACCGCGTCCGCAGGCCGGGAAATTCCCCAGACCTCTTTCCACACCGCGCTATCCACACCGTGGGTGTAGACGAGCCCGGTCGCAGAGAGCAGAGCCATGTGAGCACCGCAGAGCAGAGTCTCCGCATTGTGCGTAGTAAGGGGGGCGCCGAACAGAACCAGGAGGGCAGCTAGAACCGGAGTCGCGAGAAGGGTGGTGAGAGCGAGGGACATGAACGCGGGCTAGACAATCGGGTTAGTACAGGTAAACAAGGAAACACACGGCATTGATGAAGCCAGCTACTTACCATCAATTTGGCCCAAACTCCAGCCCAGTCATGCTTCCCGGCGGACTGCTTTCGGCGAAGACCGGGCTTCCCAGGGCGAAGGGTCACCGTCGGCCCTGAAGGGGAGCGGGGCGCAGCCTTCTTCTTTTCCTCGCTGTCGGTTGAGCCTGCTTCTGTTGACCCGGCTGGGGGAGACAGAGAATCACATAAAACATCTGCAGCAGAGCCAGCCATGGAAGATCGCTCAGCAGTTCTTCCACCGGATTGGAAACCACCGCCTCGAACCGAAAGACGCCCAGTGTCAGAAGCACAATCGGATGCACATAGGAATAAGTTCGCGCGATGGGGGAGGCGAGGATGTTGACGGGCGGTGCGGAGGGTTTCTCAGCCGGGGCTTGGTACGGTGTGGGCGAGTTCACTGCGACTGGAGAGGAGGTGGGCGAGGCCATGTTGGGCGCATTGAAGCTCACCAGACACTCGTGTTGGTTTTCTCCGTGAGCCTTTTGAAGCTCCGGTTGGCTCGGCAGTGGAGGTGGACTTGCGGGCTGTTTGGCGTGTTTGCAGCGGTGGCGGGCGGCAGAATGCGGCACTTCACTCACATCCACAGTAGGGCAAACAATAGTTCATCTGGAAGATATCAAGCAATGTCCACGGAAGAAAAGCGCATTAAGTTGATGATAAGTTGGGTTTATTTACATGAGATAATACAGGTGCTACTGTGGATGCTCTTTGAAAGCAGAACAAATTGAAGCGCCATTCTTTCAATCGATTCCACCATGGGGAATCATAGCGACACCCTTAACAGGTGGACAACAAGAGGCAAAAATCTCAAAGTCAACAAACGAACCGGCTGTAATCACACAGAGACGTACAATCATACCACATATCAGCGTGATCAAGAGGAGATCAGGGGGAAAATGGGCTCCAAAGAACCCAGAAATGGGGAAGAACAGAGGTGCAGGGATAAGAAAGGGAAAAGACAGGGCGAAAAGGGGAGAAGATGACTCCGAGACACTAGAGTCACCGAAGAAAAGAAACAGGGTACAGATGTGAGCAGAGCCCTTCCGCACCAAGGGCAGTGAAACACTTCCCAACTGCCTAACAAGGACATCAAGTTCACCCTCGGACTTGGGAGCGGCATCTGTCCTCGTTTATAGTCTCTAGAATGCCCGACTCAAGATTTTTCGTAAATCGAATCCTTCAGATGCATGGCACTGGTTGCAAATGTAGAACCTTGGGATTCCTTGGATATCCAACGACAATGACTACCATATGAAAACAAATATCATCTGGCATGATCCACTTAGGACGCCGCTTCTTTCTCAATCTCTGCCGGGCTATCTCCCTTGGGTGGATCAGATGCTGCTGCCGGATCGGTTGAGACGGGCTCCGCCTTGCTCTCGGGGGCTGCAGTCGCTGTTGTGGCTTCCGGGCTGTGCGGCTCCTCGGGAATGGAAGGAGGTAGACCTGCTCCGGGCAGCGGCGAGACGGGCGAGCGCACAGGCTCGTCCTTCGCTTGCTCAGCGGGAACTTCCACGTACGGCTTGCTGATCGCCTCATTGGAAGGAGGCGATAACGGCTGAGTCGTCATCGAAGGGTCGGTATCTGATTGACTAGTAGGGCTCTTGGCCCGTTCGCGGTCGTCTTTCACACCATCACGCACTTGCGCGACCTTGGCCTTGAACTTCCCAAACAAGCTCTTCTTCTCGGGTTCGCTCCCAACCGTGGTGCTGCCTTGGATGCCAGCATCCAGGCTAATCGGTTGACTTGAAGGATCATTGCTTTGGTGCTGGCCACTGCCAATCGAACTAGTACTCTGCTCAGCACCAGGATTGGTTGCCACCAATGGCGGAGACGAGACACCCAAGCCAACTTGCTCGCTGCTGCGTTTGGCAGAGCGGTGGAAGCGCCAGCTCCGTCGATGATCTCGGCGCTCGGAGCGAGAACCATCCTCGGTCTGTTCCACATCTGACTGATCTGTGAAAGACGACCGAGAATTCATCGACGGTGTCCGTGATTGATGTGGGCGTAGGGAGCTGTCGATGGTCTGTTGCGTCGTACCTTCGGCGAGCACCGGGTTGGACTCGGAGGGGACTGATTCCTTGTTCAGGGTTGCGGTATTGGGGGGTTTTGGGGTGGTGTCGCCCACAGCAAGGTCCATTGAAGGCGGTTCGCGGTTCGCATCAGAGGCTACCTCCGCAATGTTCAACTCCGACGGCGTGGCTTGAAGGGAGTTGGACGAGCTCTGTGCGCTCATGCTAGCACTACCTGGTATCCGCTTCTTCTGCAGGCGCTTTGGCTGCCGGGGCTCCCGGTGCTCTCCTTCTGGCGGTGGAGATTTACTGAAGAGGCTCGAGAGTTTGCGTTCGCGCGTTGGTGTCGCGGCCTGGACAGGAGGCGTGGCATGGGTCGGTAGATTTTCTTTTGGCCGAGGAGTATCGTTGATGCTTAATCTCTCGGCCGCTGCGACAGGAACAGGACCATGCGTGGAAGAGTGAACGAAGGCAGTTCCCTGCGTGGAAGCTGTGAACTGGCTGGGATTGCGTTGCTCGGTTTTCTGCTCGTCCTTCGGTGCGGTCTCCTCACGCAACGACGGGGCCCGACTAGCAGACCGAGAACTGTGGTGAGAGATCGGTAGACCGGGCTGATTACCGTTGCTCTCGGCTGCCCGTGCGAAGCGTGCAGAAGTCAACACCGGACCCATCTTGGATGGGAGAGTATTGCTTCGGTGGACACCGCCACCGGACGTCGGCGTTCCTGGGCTCGGGGCAGTGTTTGAAGTACGAGAATTGCGCGATGAAACGGAAACATTGCGGCGCAGCGAGTCCAGTTTGCGGTTGCTCTCAGTACTGTTGCTCGCACTGGACGCAGAACGGCGAATGTTGGATGGGTTTGTTGCCGGTCGGGGTTGAAGACCGGCCTCAACTTCCTTCACCTGCTGTTCATCTGCACCCGTACCGCTCATTCCTACCAAGAAGTGATCTTGGTTCTCAATCAGGAAGATCAAAACGTCCTGACTCAGCTTGTACTCCTCGGGGGACATGTCATGCTGTGGATGGGACAGCATGCCCGGCTGGAAGATTGCGGACAAGTTGGCCGATGTCATTCGGTTTTGGTCGGACTTGGACGCAAACACAGCCAAAAGATCAAGGATATAGAGAAGCAATTGCTTGTTCAAGGGTGGGAGGGCGATAATTAACTGCTGGTAGGTCTCGACGGCCTTGGCGTGGTCGAACTTCTCGGCCTCGGACGCTTCGCTACCCTCTTGAACCTGTCTCTGATATACGCGCAGAGGCTCACGGAAACGCTCGTAGAATTCAAGGGGCACGATGGGCTCTGGCAGTTGGTTCAAATATCGGCGAAGGACGTTCGCGGCATCATGTACGGTGTAGCCTGACCAATCCAGGCCCTTGCCGTATCGTTCGGGGGAATCGAAGATCTCCTGGAGATCCTTGATGCGTTTCGCGGATCCATTGAGTCGAAAGATGCCCTCAACATCCGTAGCTAGGGAGAGGGAAGGAGGGTCAGCGCGATGTTCGTCGTCGGCGATCGGGTCGATTGCTATAACTCACCTTTCTCCTTAAGAAACACGCCACACTTAGCCACAACGATCGGCACATAGCCATAGATAAAGCTCTCGCCATGTTCGTTGGTGAGTGAGATGGCCACATTGGCATACTTGATGCTGACATTCAGTGGGACACCAAAGATGCCTCGCGGGGGTTCTGTGGCGACGAAGCATTAGTATCTCTTGCAGATTTCACGAGCGTCCAGTCATATAGAAATGGGTTTCGCCACGTTTCTTCGATGCGCGCGATTCTGGCCGCGGGGTCTATCCCACCGCTCTCGACCGGGGCTGATGTGATCCAGAGGCTCAGGGGGAGGAAATCGCCAATCGGTCGAGTGGGGGGATGCGGCCAGATTGAACCACGCGATGGCGAATCAACCGATCCGTGGTGCGCGGGGCCTGTATGGGACGACACTGACGATGCAAACGTACCTTTCAGTTCATCTCTCCTGGTGTTCCGCTTGAACTGTCTCCACCACGACGCGAGATCTCGTTTGGACGGCGGAGAGTTGGAGGCGACGGGATCGGGGGAGGTTGGGGGAAGCTGGACCGGCTCGACGCCGGGCTGCGATTTCCCAGTCACCATGGCGCAAAAGCGAGGGAGCGACCAGTCGTACGGTGAGGCTGGGGGATTCGAGGTTGAGGGGGAAGGGAATCGCGGAAGCGTCGTCGATGGGCGCCTGCGTCACCGCCCTCGTGTGAGAATCTTGGGTCAGGGCCCAGCTTCAGAGCCAGGAACAAGGGTCCGGTCGTCGAGTCCGCACGGAAATGGAGGCCGGATATGCAGGAGCGTCCCAGGGCGACAAGGGAGGCACGGAGGGCGAGACGAAGGGGCTGCGGCGGGGGGACAGCAGTGGCAGGCCAGACCGGGGCGACCTGACAGCACCACTGGGAATGGAGAGGATCGAGTGACGAACGGTCGAGGGGAGGTTCGCCACTACAAGTCGAGTATGGCGGCGTCCGGCAAGCAGCAGGGGAGGTAGAGGGGAGCAGGAGACCGGTCCAGGGGAGGGAGGAGGAAGGAAATTGGGATGCTATGAATAGCTGGGAGACCCAAGGTTCGTGGCCGGGGATGGAAACGGGTCAGGGTCCGGAGTACATCTGGACTCCTCGCAGTCCGAAGAGGGTGAGGACAGTTGCTCAGGCGAAGTGATGGTCTACAAGGGCACTTCGGTTACGGGGCCCCTAGGACTAGGATGGGGGCCATTACAATATTGTACAGGAAATCCTCAGGGCCGCAGTGATGCTCTCGCGGGGCGTCTGGAAGTCTGGACCCTCAGGTACCGCAGGGTCTCACTCGGTGGAGTCCAGGAGGCGGCCGATCGGTATTTCGTGGTGTTTCGGGGCTAGACGTTTACCGAGACAGATTCAAATTCGGCGGCATGTCTAGATTCCCGGCGGCGCAAGACGAGTTCTTGCTGCTGACAAGCTGTCCGCAGTCATCGCGCAGATCGTCAGTGCCCCCATCGCCGTAAACGGCCTGGTCATGTGATCTGGAGATAACCGATTCATTCACGTGATGTCTTCCCCGGACAAACGTAGTTGCGGCCGCAGAAACAGCTTCGAAGCTCCACGCGGTGTCCCTTCACTCATCATTGCCATACAAATCACCCGTGAACACCTTCTAGATCACACAAAACAACATGGACGGGTATGTTCCATGGACTTCCACCCCATTGGGCCTCCTCGCGGAATTCCCTCTTTTCAGAAACCCCATGCTGACAACATCTCGCAGCCTCAACGCATCGGAGCAGCGCGAGTTCGCCGCTCGCATGGAGCGCAAGCAGCTGAAGGAGTTTATGACCGTACGTTCCATCTTCCTTGCAGCATATAAGCATCCGCATGGGATTTATCCCTTCGCTGGAGTGACTCTGGCATTGGTGATGCCAATACCACCGCGATACCGACCGTCGATAATGCCTCCACCGTGTTTTTCCGAGCTGACCTCATTTTTTTTCTCACCTCGTGTAGATGTACTCCAAGATGGTTCAGCGCTGCTTCGACGACTGTGTCAACGACTTCACTACCAAGTCTCTCATCAACCGTGAAGAGCAATGTATCATGCGCTGTGTTGACAAGCAATTGAAGGGCTCCGCCCGCTTGAACGAGCGATTCCAGGAGCAGAACGCCGCCATGATGCAGCAGGGTCAGATCCCGAAATAAACAGGGGTCTCGTCGATCATCGGGATCCCGACGGAGTGTTGTGCTAGGCACTTGGGGAACGACAGTGCGCGCCGCCGGATGGGCAGGGCTCCCGGTGTCACGGAACTCCCGGGGCTGAGCGTGCTTCCGGACCATCCCATCTCTGGAGTCGGGGACGAGCGGAGCTTATTCGAATGAACCTCCTCGCATGGCCGATCGGATTGAGGCATGGGCGACGGGTGTGGCCGAGCTTGGACTCCTTTTTTTCATGTACCATAGTGATTCGGACGGGCAGGTATGCAGTACCCCATCGGCAGCCGTCCCGATCCTGAATATAAAATATAAAATGAGGGCATCGCCCAAGTGGATGTTCATCGTTGTCATGGCTTTCTGATGTCTAGGCTCACGTGCATACTATGTACTCTCAACCACCATTCTAGGGTACGGTACCCTACAGTTGGCTACTCGATGGGCACGATGGACCAGCACGCCTGGGGCGGACACGATTGGGGCTTCCCCTGGTATCGGATCGATTCCACGCCCCACCCGGGATCGAAGCCGTGTTCTCTGGTCGCCCGGCCTACGAGGAGTTCTCGAACTCGGCACTTGGGCCGGAAAACTTTGCCTTTTCCGGTCTCCGTAATGAGGCGGGTTTGTATACCAGATAAGCTGTTCTCCCAATCTGCCAGGACTGTGAACTATACCCCAGGTACTACGACACTCACCTGGGGCATTATCAGTCAAGGTCGCGCCTGGATTCGTCCGTTAGTAATACAAATAGTAATCTCGAGGATGTATCTGCCACGCCCCGCGCGGGGATCGGACGGGGCAGGCCGGCACCGCGTAGTCGAGGCTGTCACGGCTCCCGGCCGCCTGCCCGATGCCCGTTGGAGACCGCCCCTCACCCTGTCAGTGTTCATCCTTCACGCCTCCTCATCTTCCCCCCACTCCCCTCATTCTCCGAGCGGCTCCACCCAAGAGGTTTCCCCTTCAAAAACCCGACGGTGCTCTTCTCTTTCCCGTCTGCAAATATCGTGTGTCTTCCCCTGCAACCCCCCTACGGCGCCAAGTCTAACCCCCCTCCCAGCGTCGTGAAAGGAACATTCGGCTTTCACTGCACACTCAACACAATGGCTAGCACTGTTGGACAGGTAAATTCTCCCTCCTCCATCGATCATGTCGGATCGTTTACTGACCCTCCTCCCAACAGACCATCACTTGCAAGGTAAGCGCCAAAATGGACATCTCATCCGGCCCCCGCGGATGACGTCGGCTGCCCCGCGCAAACATGAGGTTGCGAGCGGGCATGGTCGATCGAGTTGCCAATTCTATTTATTGTCCAGTCATACTGATTAAGGATTGAAATAGGCCGCCGTCGCCTGGGGCGCCGCGGAGCCCCTCTCCATCGAGGACATTGAGGTTCTTCCTCCTCGCGCCCACGAGGTGCGCATTCAGATTCACCATACTGGTGTCTGCCACACTGGTAAGCCCCGCCTCTGCAAGCCCCGCCCTGCACAAGCAAACTGCAACCACCACCCACAAGTCATGATCTGGTCTCTGTAATGCGTACTGATGGAATCCAATTAGATGCCTACACTCTGTCCGGCAAGGATCCCGAGGGTGCCTTCCCCGTCGTTCTCGGCCACGAGGGTGCCGGTATCGTCGAGTCCGTAGGCGAGGGCGTGACCAACGTCAAGCCCGGCGACTATGTTGTTGCTCTCTAGTATGTCTCCCAATGATCCCCATTTCGGCGACTGTGATAATGAATATGCTCGGCTAACCTGCTGCCCAGCACCCCCGAGTGCCGTGAGTGCAAGTTTTGCAAGTCTGGCAAGACCAACCTGTGCGGCAAGATCCGTGCTACCCAGGGTAAGGGTGTCATGCCCGATGGCACCTCGCGCTTCAAAGCGCGCGGCAAGGACCTGCTGCACTTCATGGGCACCTCCACCTTCTCCCAATACACCGTTGTCGCCGACATCTCCGTCGTCGCCGTCACCCCCAAGATCACCACCGACCGCTCCTGTCTGTTGGGCTGCGGTATCACCACCGGCTACGGTGCCGCCGTGGTGACCGCCAAGGTCGAGGAGGGCTCCAACGTCGCCGTCTTCGGTGCCGGCTGTGTCGGTCTGTCCGTCATGCAGGGTGCTGTGAAGAACAAGGCCGGCAAGATTATCGCCGTGGATGTAAACGATGACAAGGAGGCCTGGGCCCGCAAGTTCGGTGCCACCCACTTCGTCAACCCGACCAAGCTGTCCGGCAAGACCATCCAGGAGCACCTGATTGAGATGACTGACGGTGGCTGCGACTACACTTTCGACTGCACCGGTAATGTTGGTGTCATGCGTGCTGCCCTCGAGGCCTGCCACAAGGGCTGGGGTGAGAGCATCGTCATCGGTGTGGCTGCCGCTGGCCAGGAGATCTCCACTCGCCGTAAGTCATTGACCCCCATCACCACCCTCTCACCCCCCAGCAATACCCCGATGTTGAGTCCCTCTGAACTTGATTGCTAACCTGTCGCCAGCCTTCCAATTGGTCACCGGTCGTGTTTGGAAGGGATGTGCATTCGGTGGTATCAAAGGCCGTACCCAGCTGCCGGGTCTGGTGGACGACTACCTGAATGGCGAGCTGATGGTGGACGAGTTCATCACTCACCGCGAGCCCCTGGCCAACATCAACACCGCTTTCGAGCAGATGAAGCAGGGCGACTGCGTGCGCTGTGTCGTGGATATGAAATAGATTGTTTGATAGCGTCTTGTTGAGTTTGTTGTTGATGATCCCCCAAAAGGCTCGATGTGAAATATGAATCTCTTTTTGTGATATGCCAACGTGGCCAGTTAAGTTTTGAGGTATCTTCGGGTAAACCGCGTCGTACGCACTGCAGGATCGATGGGTTTTGTAGGCGGGTGAGGGTCGTCCAAGGTCCTCAACCCCGCAGCACCTTGTGGGTAGTACTCACTGAGGACAAGTACCTCCTTCATCATCCTACGATATTCAGGACTGCCTGAAAGAGAATCCGTTTTCGGGGGCAGGTCTGCCAATCTTTCTAGCTCGAGTGGCTACACTCGTCCTCGGTCGCCATCGGAGATAGCATTATGATCCATCTGAAATCTTACAAATAAGGTATCACGCTTAGTGTACTCTAAAACCACCACAAGGTCCTCTGCTATCTACGACTCCAACCGTCATAACCTAAAACACTTAGTGTCGATCTCACGCCGCGCGCCACTTGGAGTACCTGCGTATCTCTCATTTCCACCTGCTTCTCCGCAGCGATAACACCGACGTCGGCTGCATTTCGGGGGTGCCCAGCAGGGTCGCCTTAACCCGATAGGGTGATCATTAGGGCGTGTCGGGGTTCTCTCCACCGGACGACGTCCGTCGTGCGATATCTTCGAGGGGTATAAGAGGGTATTGAAACCCGAGCAATCTAGTGCACTGCTGTTTCCATCGTGATATCCCATTGCCCGCATTATCGTATCGCTTCACTTTCATCATGTCCGACCTGTCCCTGCCCGCACCGTTCGCCTCCATCCCTCGCACGTCTCTCCTCCTCGGCCCCTCTCCGATCCACCAGCTCCCCCGCATCTCCGCCGATCTCGCCTCTTCTTCATCCCATCCCCCAGTTACCATTTGGGCCAAGCGTGATGACCTCAATTCCGCCTATGCCTATGGTGGCAACAAGACCCGGAAACTGGAGTACCTTCTCGCGGACGCTGTCGCCCAGGGATGCGATACCTTGGTGTCCATCGGCGGCGTGCAATCTAACCATACCCGTCAGGTAGCTGCAGTGGCCGCGCGCACAGGGTTGAAGGCTAAGCTGGTCCAGGAGCATTGGGTCGACTGGGTAGATAAAGGATATGACTCGGTTGGAAACATCCAGCTGTCGCGGTTGATGGGCGCTGATGTTCGACTCGACCCGTCCGGGTTTGGAATTGAGCATAAGACTACAGCGCAGGCCGTCGTGGAGGAGTGCAAGGCCAACGGAGATCGTCCATACTACATCCCCGCCGGTGCATCCGACCATCCGCTCGGTGGACTGGGTTTTGCACGGTGGGCATTCGAGGTCCGACAGCAAGAACAGGAGCAAGGCGTGTTCTTCGATACAGTCATCGTCTGTGCCGTGACCGGGTCAACCTTTGCGGGCATGATTGCTGGCTTCAAGCTGCTTGAGCGTCTGCACCCGTCGGATCCCAAGCGCAAGCTCATTGGCATCGATGCTTCGGCCACAGTAGCGGCCACGCGCGCGCAGGTTCTCCGCATCGCCCGGAATACGGCGGCGAAGATTGGTCTGACGGAGGAGGATATCACCGAGGAGGATGTCATTCTGGATGACCGGTACCATGCCGGCATCTATGGAATTCCCGACAAGCAGACGTGGGAGGCCATCGAGTACGCTGCCAAGATGGAGGCCTTTATTACAGACCCCGTCTATGAAGGAAAGAGCTTCGCGGGAATGGTGGATATGATCCGACGCGGCGAGATCCAAGGTGGAAATGTGTTGTATGCGCACCTCGGCGGACAACTGGCCCTGAACGCCTATTCGGAGCTCGGAGCCACCAAGGAGTAGATACCTCATCCGCCCCGCAGTTGTCCTACAGATCATGATGTATACAGTATACAGTGTATTTGACGCAATGAAGTGCTACGCGATTCAAATGAGAAAGAGTGTGTGATATAAATATTCAAGTTGCATTGACCAGAGAATGACTATAGTTGGAGGTCCAGGATACGAGGAACCGAGTAGCTCAAGCTAATCGGACAAGGGCGACACGACCATCTCATTCCCGAGGGTCATTCTACAGCAGCTTGTGCTCGAGAGTCATCTCTGACTCGGGCTGGAGACCAACGCAAGCACGGAAGATGTTGATCAGAGCCGATCGCTGCTTGCCCAGGGCGTTGACCACGGGGGTACCCGGGGGAGTCAGAGGGGCCTTGAGCATGTAGCTGAGCACGCTGAGCACGCTGTGGAAGCCCTTGTACTCCGAGCCCTCGCTGTCCTCCTTCCAGCTGACGCGGGTCATCATCTCGGCGAGAATGACCAGGTCAATGATGAGGGGCGATGCCAGCAAGGAATCCTCGCAGATGTTGAACAAGCTGATGGTCTGATGACCACCCATGAAGATCTCGGCGTAATACTCGTCCAGGGCACGCTTGTTATCACCCACGGCCGGCATGTACTTGATGACGACGGTGTGGTCGGGGTGCTCATCCTTCTTGTAGAGGATGCTGTTCGCAGCAACCATGTCATCGACAACGTTGGACTTGGAAATCTCCTTGGAGCGGAACTGCTTCTGCGAGCTCAGGTTCTTGCCGTCGTTGTTACCCAGGTGATTGTAGCTGGCAATGGAGGTGAGCTTGATACCGGCGTTGATCAAGAAGTCCACCAGGGCCGACTTCATCTTGGTCTGGCCAGACTTGAAGTCGTCACCGCCAATGAAAGCCTTGTGCTGCTCCGCCAGCTGGATAGCACCGGGAACAAAAGTGTTCTGGGGCGATCCGTTGATGAACGGGACATTGTCCAGGATCGAGGCCACGGCAAACACAGTGGACGGGGACACTTCCGCGTGGCCGCTCTTGATCGCGTTGATCAAGTTCTCAGCGGTGTCATTGACGCCAGGCACAATGTCGGCGTACCGCTCGGTGTTGGCAGTCCACATGACAATGACCTTGTCCAGGCCATTTTGAGCCTTGAAATCGCTGGAATAGCATTAGCACGGACCGCACCCACCACTGACTCCAAAGGGCGTGACGTACCGGATGTCCTGCTGGATTCGCTCCACGTGGGCCCAGCAGGCCTTGGTACCCTCGATGACATTGTCGGCACGATCCTCCTGGTTGGAGGCGATGAAATCGGGGTAGTAGATACTGGGCAAGGGCTTCATCTCAGCCATCTCCTTGCGGACATGGGCCTTGAGAGCCGGCTCCAAAACCTGAGCACGGTCCATCGACGCGGCCAGGTCCATGGAGCTGATGTCCCAACCACCAATGGCCAGATCGTTCGGGTGAACCATAGGCAGCAGATCGCGGAAGGGGATGTTGATCTCCTCGGCGGTCTTTGCGTCCGTGCCCAGCTTGACGGTGGAGCTCATGACGATCGAGCCGTAGTAGTTGGCGGCCTGCTGACCCTCGCGAGTCTCCCAGGAGAGGTTGCGGCGGTTGGCAAGGATACCGGCGGTGACGGTGGAACCGTTATTTCCACCCCAGCCGACGAGCATCATACCGACCTTGCCGACCTTGCGGTCGACCTTGAAGTGGTAGTTGGTGGCCTTGGGGGTAGCCACCAGTTTGTTGTCCGTGGTGCGGGTCACTTCGGTTGTCTGATAGGCATAGCGGCTCTTAATCTCGTCGGCGGTATACTCCACATTGGGAGACTGGACGGTGAAAAGAGGCGCAGATTCTTGGCGAACCGACCCGTTCAAGGTGCCGTTGGCGTCCGAGCTAGCGTGGGGAGCCATTGCGGAGGTGAGGGTTGAAATCGAATGGTTTGACGTGCGTTTATTGGAAATATAACGCACGGTCTGGTGCCCCTCCACGGCTGGAAGTGCGTCGACCGTTGAACGGGTGGTGCCGCCTAGCAGGATGCATTAGCCAGGACTCTCAAGCAAAGGATGGGAGGATACAATGGTGCCACAGCGTCCATGGTACCCGTTATGGTAGCATGCGGACTCACGAGTTAAGATGTGTGGAGAAAATGGTGACGGTTGTATGTGATCACGTCTCGAGGAGAGTGATCGAACCTACTGACAAGGCTTATACGAACCGAAAAGGCTGGGAAGGAGGAGAGAAATGCAGAGAGATGGAGAAGAGAGAAAGAGGAAGCCGCGAGGGAGCCGCAGTGTTAAATAACTCAGTTGTCTTCGCCCACGTGAGCTCCGCCGGGCCCCGGGACATTCTGTCCCTCCCCTACCTCTTCCCTATCCGCTAGCCGGCTACGCTTCTCCCCCTTTTCCCTTTTTTTTTTGGTTCTTCAGGCATGGATTTCACTTTGTGACTGTGGCCCTTACGTTTGACTTTCGCCAATCATCCACCATCACGCCCCGTTCTCGCTAGAGCATTTACGCTGAATGTTGGGCCCGGGCGACGGACATCCGGTGCCTGAACCATTCAACGCACCCGCACGCAGAAAACCGGCGCCAAAGTGGATATCGCAGTCGGAAGACCATCGAGTGTCGAACGAAGGTGCCTTGGGTGGGCCAATGGATGCGCAATTCCCCAAACTCCAGATTGCGTGGAACCCTCCGCTTCCGGGGCCTCGCCTAATACATGGCCTCCTTTTCTACCCGCACCGACATGACCACGGCCAATTCCTCGGCGATAGTCTCTGGGAGTGTCTCTAGAGCAGGGCAGACCGGCATCGACCCTCCCGCGACTTCTGGACCGCACGAGAGTCGTTGATCGCAGCACCATGGATCGCCCCTCCCCCTCGTGAACCGTGCTCGGCGGGGCGGTCGACCCCTGACATGTGGACCGCGCAGACCGCAGGCCGCAGGCTGCACACTGCACACCGCTACACCCGACCACTGCAGAGAACCCGGTGCGAAGCAGTCCAGATGCTGGTCGGAACTCATCGGGACTGCTTTTAATGGCGGGTGATTTCGTAGATCCCTGCGGCGACACTTTTCACCAGCCACCGCTGATTCTGGCGAGCCGCGAAAATACTCGGCCCGCATTCGACGCCAAGCTTCGGGATTGCCTGAAGCTCGGTTGTCTCGGTGAACCGCCATCTCGCAGTCGCCTATGGTGATAGGTGTAGGTACTGTTGTGCGCGCACAATATTAGACCATTGCTATGTATTCAGAGGACAAATCTCTTATCGGACTTTCTCTATCATTGATATAGGGCATGGGGGGAAGACGAGAGTACCTTGAAGTACCGAGGCCGTACTTTGCTTGGCGGTGCGGTCACTGAGCCTGACTGGGGCATATGGGATGAATCTTCAACACCGTCGGACCATTGGTCATGGACAAGGCCTAGTAGTACTGTAAACTTCATTCTGCTCAAATGCTGGGACAATTTACTCGTCATCGCAATGTCAAGATCATCTGCAGCCTCACCCCGCCGCCCCACTGGCCCTGATCGACACCTGCGCAATCTTTGCAGCGCTCTCCACCAACAACTGCCGTCTCGGGAATGCTAAGCAATGGTGCACCACTTACCCTTGAGCGCAATGTCTTCTCGGCCGCCTCCTCGGGGATTAATCTCCTCCCATACGTCTGTGCGTTTGTAGTTCTGACACAAAGACGGGATATCAAATTCACTCGCTCTACGAAACCCCAATGATCTTACTCGTTCGTAGGAACATAAAAACAAATACATAGGGAGTACATCGCTGCGTCCCCACACCCTCGAGCGCTTACATCTATAGCCATTAGAAGCCCGAGGTAGATGCACCGACATCGTCGACATGCTCCTCTGCCGGTAATTTCACACCGCTGCGGTCCGCAAGGCGGCTTTCGATACCAAAAAGGCGGGACATTTCTTCGAGAGTTCGTCCCCGGGTTTCCACTGGCACCGTATTAGTGACTTTCCCCGCCCATCGAAGTTGAGATCGCACATACCTAGGCAGTATCGAACAAAGAAGAAAGCAAAAGCACAGATTCCCGTGTAAATGATGTACAGGCCCCAGCCGATAGCATCAGCAATTGGGGGGCTTGCCTGGGCAACAATGTAGCACGCGGCCCATAAAGAGGCGGTAGTCAGGGCATTTCCCTTGGCGCGCATGGAAACAGGGAAGATCTCGGCCGCATATGTCCATGATCCGACGCCCCAGCTGATGTTGAAGAAGACGTAGAAGAGATAAGGGAACATGATGATGGTGTAGTTAGCAGGATCGCCCGGGTTGTGCTCGGCATGCCATTGTAGCACTGTAATGCCGATCATGGCTCCCATCATGCCGACGGTTCCGATCTGTAGCCAGGTCTTTCGTCCTAGTCGATCAAAGAAGAAGATGGGAACCCACGAGAAAACGAAAAGGACGACGCCGACGCCGCCAGTCGCAAGATTAGCTGTACGGGGGTTTGTGATGCCTCCGCGTTCGAAGAGGGAAGGCTTGTTTCCGCCTGTTAGCTCGTCTGTTCGTTTCATGTGCAGTTTCCGTATGAATGCGTACCGTGTAATAGAGAATGGAGTTAGTACCCGTAATCTGCTGCAGAAATTGGACACTCATCCCTAGCAGTGTCACACGCAACACCGGCATGGTAAACATGTCTTTCCAGGAAGCTTCACTGACGGAGTGCTCAAATTCAATCGAGCCCATGATTTCTTGCATTTCAATTTCGGCGGCCTCTGTCCCATGAAGGCGAACGAGAACCTCGCGCGCGCATTCATGGCGATCCTGGCTGGCGAGCCAACGTGGACTAGGAGGGACCCAGAACCAGCAGCCAACGGCGAGGACCAACGCGGGCAAGATCTGGATCGCGAGCGGAATGCGCCACCAACCGTCTATCTCAAGGAAGCTGAAACCATAGTTCAACCAGAAGGCAACCAGTTCTCCGAGACAGAGGATCATCTGTTCGATGGCAACAATACGGCCACGAATGGCGGGCGGGGACAGCTCGGCCACATAGAGTGGAACACCCCCCGCGCACGCTCCGACTCCGTAGCCTAGAATCACACGGCCAATCGTCTAAAAACCTCATTAGCACAAGGTCCCCGACGCTTGGCCGTAGTCGAGAAGACATACAATCTGGGTGATGGTGTATGACGCCGCCTGGAGCACGGCACCCACTATGAAAACTACACACGCGATGGCCAGGGTGCGCTCCCGACCGATTGGGTCAGCCAAGTACCCAAGAGACATGGCCCCAATGAAGCACCCGACATCATACAGCGACACCACTGTCCCTGTCACCCCTTGTTACTGGTCAGTGGTAAAACCCTCTGACAACCCGTGCGAGGCTGCTTACAGGAGTTTGCGGGCTGCATCAGATCAATCCATCTCTGGTCTGCGACGATGACCCCCATGACACCCTGGTCATATCCGAACAAGAATGCGCCCAACGAGACAAATGCCGTGACCGCGTAGAGATAGTACGTACTCCCTGGCCGGGGCTGGAGCGGATCGATGCCCGGTGGCGGTCGAATGAGCTTGGTCTGCCTGATGGAGAACATGGCTGGCGTTTGGACGGGACTGCCCACCAGCTGATATCTGGGCGACATGTTATATAGTCTGCCGAGGAGGTGTCCGAGTCCCGATTCCCGGCCAGTTCGCGTCTCGTGGAGTCGGGGGGGGATGTCTGGGGTCATCCATTCCCAGATGTCAACACGGCATCGCTCCGAGGTCTGCTGTCAAGCGAAGTGAGGAGCGCGGCAGGAATTGCCTGTTGCGTGGGGAACCCGGGGGGAAGTTGGGTCAAGTTGGGGCCCCGCGGGCGATCACTACCCCGGCGTGGCTGGAAACGGCAAGCACCGCGCGCTTCGTCACCAAGACATTTCTTCACTTTCCCCCACTCCTCACGACAGTGGGATCCTTCCGAAGCGATTTGGGCCGAGCAAGTGCCGCGATAGGTGAGAGGAATGTCTGGTGTTGTCTGCTGCAGATTTCATTGGACCTCCGTTATCATTTGGCTCGAGCATGACGAGTATAAATGCCATAGTACGGCATGACGAGCAGCTTCAATTTCGCATCAAGCACGGATGGTCCGGGGCCGATCTAATCATGCGGTCACGCACTGAATGTCAGCCAGGTCTACTGGCCGTCAATGATGGGCCACTGGGAAAGGTCAACTCCTTGCAGCCATCGCGACCGGATGAGCCTCTCGCCCAGCTGCGCCGTCGGTATGAAGAGGATGGCTATCTGTTTTTGAAAGGATTAATCCCACACGACGATGTATTGAAGGCGCGGCACGAATACTTCGCCATGTTGCAACCGACTGGAGTCCTCGAAGAAGGCACCCGGCCCGTGGAGGGGATCTTCAACCCTCTCAAGTCTCCTGAGGATTTCCCGGGCATCGGGGCTGGAGGTGCCGGTAAAAATGGACGACCGGGGGGAAGAACGCCGCGCAGTTTGTCGATTTGGCTATCGATGCCCACTACCGCGACTGGTATGCAGAGGACTTTTGCCGTCATCCGGCACTGACCAGCTTTATTGCTCGATTCACTGGATGGGATTCGAACTCATTGGGTCTCCGGCGCTCGCTGCTGAGGAACAATATCCCCGGGACGAAACCCATCGGTGTCCACTACGACCAGATCTTCCTGCGTCACGGGGAACCGACGAGCGTGACCGCGTGGGTGCCCATCGGTGATATCAAGCTGATTGGCGGGGGGCTGATCTACCTGCAAGACGGTCGGTGTTCCCAGCTCGAACCCGAAGATGAACGGATGTTGATGATGAAACCATAGGCGACTCGCTGGGTCAACAGATTGAAAATGATTTCACCCTCAAAGCCAAGGCCGCTGGGTTGAGTGAGCAGGAAGCCAAGGACGCCTTCAACAATAACATGATGGCCACCGGCTTATTGTCGGAAAAACCGCTTGCATTTTCTCAAGAAAACCAGCGCGCCTGGCTGGTGGCTGAGTACGAAGCTGGGGATGTCGTTCTGCACCAGCCACATACTGTATGACGCAGGAGCCCCTTTGCACAGCCCGGATCTGGTATGCTGATGTCTCTCATTCAGATCCATGCTTCCACCATCAACAATGACCCTGACCGGGTCATTCGTCTGGCTACTGACTTGAGATTTGTCGATGCATCAAAGCCGTATGATACAGTACGTATCACTTCTCTCGGATAGATTAACTCCAACTTTACTAATACCGGCTATAGCGATGGAACAAGTTCTATGAGGTGGGAGATGGCGTCTAGCATTGGTGCATTATCGATGAAGCGGCTCAGCGGCTCAAGAACTAGGCTGTCATGACCAGAAGGGATCAAGATTACAGTCCAATATAATCCCCGGCAAAACAATTGCCCTCGGTTAATGCCATTTTTCTGTATTATATGTAGAGTAGAGAGGCTCCATAGGCCTATCTTAGTGTGTTTATCTTTCGATGAAGTAGCACCTGTGAGCGGCGTTCAATTGTCCAAGTATATACTACTTCGCTACCCTTCTTGGCATATTGACTTCTTCTGGAGCGCATGTTTCAGGTTTCACTGTAAGGAAGACATTGTTTTCAATTTCGACTCGCGTGGAAGGCATGATGTCACAAGTCTAAGTTCCTTGAATTTTACCATAACTTGGAAAAAATTAAGGCCACCAAAGAAGAAGGACAAAATAGTGGGTTGATATCGCACCTTCTGGAAGTGCCGAGCTTGCCGGGTAATGTATGCACGCCTTCCGCGGGTGATCCACCCAGCGTTTCATCGCTCGGAAAAGGTGAGGCGGGGCATATCCAAATGAATCAAAGGATGAGAATGCCTAGAAGAGACCTTGCCTTTACACAATTCCGGAAGACTCGGTTAAGAGGACACGCCCCTTTCTTCCGTCGGACGGTTGTCAAGGGCTTGTGCAAGTACGACGCCTTTTGGGCTCTGACGGATCGGTTTCTTGATTCTTCTATTTCAATCTCTCAAACTAGACGCAATAAACCTTTATCACTCGTGTTCTGCGATTAAAACTGGGATAACGCGAAAGCAAAGCTCGTGTTGGGATCTACATGCAGACTCAGACATGGCGGAATGGAATGCGGAAACCCCAGGGGAGGTGAATCCCTGAAAACTTACCTCGATGAAGGGATGAGCCTGAATCGATTCTAAAATTGTCACTGCAATCAAATTGTGTTTTAAAAGCGATTTGCACAACCAAGTCGGATGTCGAGCGACTGCATCTCGTTCCTATCCTCCCTGTCTGCCGGCTATGACCAAATTCCTGGGTCTTCGAGGCAACCGCCTCAATTTGGTGGCTTTGTTCGGCGTGATGATGCCCTCAATTGTGTCTCTGGGCTACAATCAATCCCTGCTTGGAGGGGTTTTGACACTACAGGCTTTTGAAGATCAATTCCCAGAAATCAGCGTGGTCGACGCTACACCGCAAGAAAAGAGTCGCACTTCGACCATTCAAGGTACCGTGGTGGCCCTCTACGCGGTAGGTGGTCTTTTCGGTGCTATCAGCTGCATTGGCTTAGGCGATTTGTTCGGTCGTCGTCGAGTGATCATGATCGCTTCGGTGATTCAACTGATCGGGGCCATCTTGACCACGAGCGCGTTCGCGTTCGCACACCTCATTGTGTCTCGCCTCATCCTCGGCCTGGGCACCGGTGGCTTGATGGCCACCGCGCCTGTCTGGCTGTCCGAACTTTCATCGACCGAAAGACGCGGAATGAACGTGTCGAGCTCGGGGTTGTTTGCGGGCCTGGGGGCCACGATCGCTCTCTTCGTGGACTTTGGTATGTCCTTCGCACCTGGAAGTGTGGGCTGGCGCTTTCCGGCCGCGGTCCCTGTGTTGCTGTCACTGATTATTCTGGGGTTCATCTATTTCTTACCAGAGTCTCCTCGGTGGTTGATTCGCAAGGATCGCATCGCGGAAGCTCGTGAAATCCTGACAGCTCTGGATGGTATGAGCATCGGCAATGGGAAAATTGAGGGCGAGATCCAAGAGGTGCAATCGTCACTTAGGCTCGCGGGCGATGGGTCCCTTGGACAGATCTTTCGGATGGGACCGCAGCGAGTGCTCCATCGCACCCTCTTGGTGATGGCAATCATGATGTTCCTGCAACTCACGGGCTTCAATGCAATCACGTTCTACAGTATGTGCCCGGGCCGATGGTCTAATGCTCTCTCCCCGTCTGGTCTAACATGATCCCCCAGCGAACACCATCTTCGAAACGTACCTGCATCTCGACTCGGTTAAGTCGCGAATCCTTGCTGCCATCTATCAGTTGGTCAGCCTCATCGGCGGTACGATCTGTGTCTTCACTATCGAAGGCTTGGGCCGGCGAGGCTTGCTTTTGGGAAGCGCAGCTGGGAACGCCATCTGCATGGCTTTGGTTGCCGCTCTAGGCTCCCAGAGAGACAACCCTATGGCGATGCATGGCGCTGTTGTCTTCATCTTTCTGTATCATTTGGTCTTCATAATCGGCTTTGCCGGGGTGCCCTTCCTCTATGCAACTGAGATTGCCCCGCTACACCTGCGTGCCACCATCAATGGCATTGGCATTGGGACCTTCTGGGCCTTTTGCGTTCTCATTGCCGAAGTCACCCCGGTGGCCATCCACGCCATTGAATGGCGTTTCTTTATCATTTTCGCTGGGCTAAATGCTCTCATCCTGCTCGTCGTGTATTTTTTGTTTCCCGAAACGGGTGGGCGAAGCCTGGAAGAAGTGGATCAGATCTTTATCGGGTCTCGCAGCATTTGGGACACGGTGTGGGTGGCACAACGTCTGCCCCGATCAACTGGGGAGTTGGGCCCGGAGGACCGAAGTCATTTGAAGGAATCTGTTTGAGCTGGTCATTCTGGCGATTGTGCTGAAAGTGTAGAAAAGGTATCTAAGACATTGAACTATCATATGTAATTGCTGCGGTCTCATGAATGCATTGTGCCAGTATGCGAGGACGATGTGAGGAGTAGAAGATATATATAGTAATTGGAGCCGAGCGGTGGTCACTATACCATGACATGTCTTTCTTCGTCAGTTCATATTGGAATAGAAGCATGTAGCCTGTGATTTAGGCCAACCACTTGCATACTATGGTATGCGAACATCGGTGGATGCGAAGAGGGAAGAGAGAGGTTACTCCGGCCGTTCCAACGTTCTCCACACTTTTTCACTCCTCCCCGCAACACTCGAAGCGCAGCAGCAGCTGCGAACCCCCGCACAACTTGGAAATTTCACCACCGCCATGCCGACGGCCACAAGGGTCAAATGCTGGTAAGTCAAGTCCACCGCACACACTGATGGAACCTGACGAGCTCCAGTGACCCCTGCCGTCTGCTGCACCACAAATGTGAGTCTCGTTTGTCCCGCTTGCATCCCATCTGCGACCCGGTCTAAAGCTTCTTCCCAGGCGACGGAATCCTGCCACAGTGCGGGCGGTGCACGCGAACAGGTCGTGCCTGTGTGCGCGGTCAAAAGAAGACCCAATTTCGACAGGCGAAGGGGCGAGGCCCACGAACTCGATTCCCGCGCAATCAGGTGTGGTTGCGGCCGCCACCGCGAGGTGAGATGGGACGCACGCCAGGAACATGAATCCATGGACTGATCCACGGTGTTGTCAATAGTCGACTTTGTCCTAGAATCAGGCAATGGGGAACCGGATGACCTGGCGGCTCTTCCCTCGGTCGAAGCTGAGTCGGTCGACCCAGGCTCGCCGGTTATGGATCACAACCCGACCCCGGAGTCCATCGCTGTACCCCCGAATACCCAGCATCGGACAGCAGAGGACGTTGAGGTGCTGGCTTATCGTTGCGATCGAGATGGGAAACAACGTCCACCCTTCCGCCCGACCGGCGCAAGACGTGAACTACGATCAGGCCGGCGTACATGGCCCTTACGAGATCCAGAGGAGGCCTATCTTCTACAACACTTTGTGGACCGCATCGCATCATTCGTAAGCTCATCTCTGTCTACCTGCCATACATACATACATATATATATATATTGCGGTTCTTCTAATCTGATTGGTTGCAGTTTGACTGTACAGACCGGCAGCAGCATTTCGCGGTTCACATTCCATACCGAGCCCGGTATTGCGACACGTTGTTCAACGCCATCATGGCTTTGTCGGCTCGCCACTTGAGCTGCACCACCACTTTCGACCCGTATGTGTCGGATCAGTACTATCAGGCCTGCCTGGAGACCCTCATTCCCTCGTTGAATGACCACGGTGTCACGATGGATGATGATCTGCTCGCGGCGACTGTGATTCTTCGTCTGCTGGAGGAATTCGATGGTGAGGCCTAGAACCCCTCCTCCACCATCCAAAAGCCATGAAGAATCCCGCGCTGACCACGGTCCTAGTCCCACTGGCGGGGTCGGATCTTCGGGGCCATTCCTTTGGGACCAAGGCGTTCATCCAGGGTCCGCCACCCTCAGCGACGACAACTCCCAGCTTACGACAGGCGGTTTACTGGAGTGGGCTTCGGCAAGAAATTTACAATGCCCTCAGTCTACAACAGGCCCCCGATGTTGACCTGAGCTCCCTTCACTCGCTATTTACGGCCCTGGGCCCCGACGCCGGTGATTGCGCGTGGGCAAACCAGGCAATTGCGCATTGCGCCGATGTCCTGCTCTTCTCGTTCGGCGATGGGCCCCGCTCAGTGGCAGTGCATGAAGACCTGCAGAAGCAGAACGAACAGTGGAGTGATACTCGGCCAGCATCCTTTGACCCCTATTTCGTAGGCAGTGACGAGGTGGAGATTGGAGCAAGCTTTCCCGACATCCGTTTCAGTTCTCCATGGCATGGTAAGTGAGAAGATGATCGAGCGAGGCGGCAGGCATCAGCCTTTTTCCCCATCCCCGGGGCGGTTTCACCATGGACTGTTGATGAGCTAATGATCGACGGTGATTAGCAATTGGCAATCAGTACAACGAGCTGGCCCGGATTCTGCTCTCTGTACACAACCCGGGACTTCCTACGGTAGGACCCCTCCGCCGACGGTTTGCCCAAGAGGCTGATGTGAGTCGAGCGACCCTTTGGATCGACGTCGACGTTACGAAGTGGCAGATGCTGATACACATCCTTCCACAGTACCAGATCCGCAAGGGGGTATGGACCGTATGTGGTGTGGCGCTGGCTAATGACTCCGTGCCACCGGCGATGGTGGTGGGGTGCATGGCCATTCATATCTGTGAGAAGCGACGATCGCCTGGATGAATATTGAGAAAAGACCGGAAGCTGAACGTTGACAGGTGGCGATCGATTCACAGATCGGCAGGAACAAGAGAGGCTGATTCAGGTCCTGATCCGCACAGACTCGTCGCACGGCTGGCCGACTCATGCGCTGCAGCGCCAATTGCGGGAAACCTGGAGTTTGCCCTGAGATGCGAGGACGAACGCAGCGGGGTTGGATGATGGGAGATGAGAGAATCTTCCACTATCTACTTCGCGGCGCGACGTCTACAACATACGAGGGGAGTGGAGGGAGACGGGTTTCTCCCCATGCTATTTTCGGAGCTACCGAATCCAGTAGTCAGTCTCCTGAATGGTACGCACGCCATTCGGAACCTCATTTTGCCCCGATCACTCCTCTGACTGGTCGCTGGCAGCAGGGAGCGGGCCACGAGGCAACAAAAAAAAAAAAAGAAACAATCGGGAGAGGGGAACAATCTGACAGGCCCCCAGCCTGCGATGCAGGGAATAATAATAATGAACCTCCCTCGTCCACTCTCGACGACGCGGAGTAAGCTTCCGGGTGTGACGAGCAATGTGGAGGACAGCACATAGAACAATAACAGGACATGAACGAATCACAGGATGTGGAAGCTACGCGCAGCACACCTCGACCGGTGCAATCACCATATCCAGATCCAGATCGGGGGAATTGGCCCCTCTGCGCGCAAGAGGATTCGCCCCTGCGCACGGGTGATGCACCAGGCACCACCGGTGGAGCGTGACTGTCAAGTCTCCCGTGGAGGACCCTGGGTCGCGTCTAGTGCGTTCAGCCAGACTGTACTGCGGTTGGATGCTGAGGGCCCACCCCCTGGGCGATCGGCTCGGGGCGGGAGAGCACGCCGTGATCTGTGTGGACTCGACGTTGTCTGGAGTTCCTGGGTCGGAATTTCAGCAGAAACGAGGGATCAAGTCGAGGGAAATGGGTCGGAGAGAGTGTGTTGACCAGCATGTGCGACGAGGAGGGACCTGGTAATGTACATATAGAGTAAAGGAGAAGGTAGAGAGGAAGAAAGCGATGGGGGCGGGAGCCCGTGACCTGCAGCAGTCCGCGTACCTGGAGGACTACCCCTGAATGCACGCACTTACGAATCCCACCGGCGCTACGCCTCGCCCGCTCCACTTTGAATTGCACTGCTGCCCCTTCCAGAACAACTCATCTACAGCCTCTCCCCGCAGTCGCTATCGCTGCGAACCTCTCCGACCTCCATGAAGCCCGGGCTGCCAGCCCACTGCGTTCAATGACCCCGCTGGGCGACCTCTGACACAATGGCGATGGATATGGGCTTCTTGCCCACGATCAAATGCTCCAACTGCGGCTGCAATGTCGAGATCTCGGCCATGGGCGACCATGTTTGCTCCGCCATCGAGCACGGTAAGTCGTGTGACGGGCGTTCCCAACTGCGCGCACCGTCAGGCCCTCATAGACAATGGGCTATATACTGACCGTTGGCCTGCAGCCCCCGTTGCGCCGATTCCATCCCCTCCCCCTCCGCGGGGCTCGAGGATCCAGACCGATTGACAACCGCCATGGCCACAAAGCCAGGGCGAGGCGTGCCCCCGCGCATCGATCCTTCTGTCGCAAGTATGTCTTGAATCCATATCGGGGTTGGACCTAGGAGACACCTGGCTACTCCATAAAGTTCGTCTGGGGGTATGATGCATGTTATACTAACAACGGGCAGACAATGCATTTCTGCAACCCACTATGCCCACGCCGGCGAGCAGCGTGGGATCGCATATGCCGTCGCCTTTATCAGTGTCTTCGGCGCCTCGGTCTCCGCTGCAACCTTCGCCGCGCCAAACATCCCCTGATGACGACTCGGTTCTCAATCTGGACTCGGTCTTCTCCTTCCCCATGCCTGGTAACCGGTCACCAACCCGCGTGGGAACCCCGAGACTATCTCCTGAGGCGGCCGCGCGCTCCGCCGCGCCCACGCCCTCCCCGCGATATGGACTGGGACTGGACTTGGTCCCGGAGAATGTGCAGCTCCCTCCCAGCCCGCTGCCACCGACGCCAGAGCCGACAGAGACCAATCACCAGCGCAATGAGTCTATGGCCAGTCAAAGTAGTTACCGCACATCGCTGGCCAGTACCCGCTATGGAAGCTCCACGGCGAGATCCTCGGCCAACAGCTTCTCACGCGGTTTCCACAAGTATATGGACGAGACGCCGCCGCTGCCACCCGCGCCACTCAAGACTCCCAACAAATCCTCCTTTTCTCAGGATTCACACATGTCGCTCAGTTCATCGTACCAGAGTGACAGAGCGGAATCGTTTGGTGGATTTGATTTTGGAATCCCGACCAACCCGAACCGCAGCGGCCTACACGATCTCCCGGAGGAGCGTTCCCTGGATGAAAGAAAGGCCAGCCCAGACCAAGATTTCCCATCGCCTTCGCAGAATCGTCTCCACCCGGCCGCAGCAGCCGTAGAACCAGCGACGGAAGCGGTACGCAAAAACTCCGATGCCTCGAGTCACAGTGCCTTGTCGGTCACTAGCTTTGCGCGTGCCCTCGGACTAGAGCATCAGATGCAGAAGCCCGAGAGCTCGGTATCTTCCGAATCCTCCCCATCGGAAGTCAACAGTGGGAGCTCCATGTCTAGTCTCCCATCCGACACCAGCCTCAACAAATTCAAAGCCAACGATCCCCTGAATCTCGGACCCCTGGTGGAAGAATTGCCTCCACGTACGCGTCAAACCATCTTGGAACTGCCGGGCCGTATACGAAACGAAATGGATGAAGTGCCTCCGATCCCTGCGGCCTTCTTCAGCCCCGACTCGCCCACCGACCCGGCAATCAACCAAGGCAACCTGTCTTTGATCGCCGAGAAGAAAGAGACCCCCGGATCTCCTCAGCCGCCATCATCCGAACCTCCATCCCCTCGGCGATCCATACAGCGAGCCGCCACGACCCCAATTCCTCGTCCACCGACTCGGTCAGCGACCCGGTCCAAGGGCAAATGCAAGGGATGTGGCGAAGAGATTACCGGCAAGTCTATCTCGTCATCCGATGGCCGACTGACTGGGCGATACCACCGTGGTTGTTTCGTATGCTTTGAGTGTTCGTCTCCCTTCCAGACTGCCGATTTCTACGTCCTCAACAACAAACCGTACTGCGCGCAGCATTATCATGAGCGCAATGGTTCCCTTTGCTCTACTTGCCACAACGGTATCGAAGGCGAGTATTTGGAGACTGTCGCGCACAATGGTGGCCGTCCGGACCGCCGACGATTCCATATCGATTGCCTGCAATGCAGAACTTGCCATGTTCTGCTGAAGGGAGATTATTTTGAGTGGAATGGCGGAGTCTACTGTGAACGAGACGCACAGCGGGCTGCCAATGCATATTACCGGCCACTACCGGGGCCTGCGGGGCCTCCTGGTCGACGACGGCCCACCGTCGGCGCATCCCCCCTTTCCCAAATACAGACTCGTGGCTATCCTCCTCCCCCGGCCGGATATCGGCCACCACCCTCCCCCGCACCCTCCCAAGGCGGACTTCGTCCTGGCCCACGCTTCCCGTCGGGTGGCGCCAGACGATTCCCTGAGCGACGAACGACCAAACTCATGATGATCTGAGATTATGGCCCTTCCACTTCAATCAATACCTACAACCCCGTGAGGCTCTAGCGAGCTCCATGCTTCTTTCTGCTTGCACCTTCTTACGCCACGCTTCCAAAGGTTCCTGTCACCGACTGCCTTGGATTCATCATTCGCTTTATAGACCGCGCTATACCCTCCATCCTACTTCCATTCACTCGGCTGTCGCCGACTGGCGTTGATTGTTCCTTTTTTACTTCATCCTGGATTTGGACTTTCTCTTCACCTGTATCTTTTTTCACCTTTTTCGTTCTGACCGCCCCGGTATTCAATGGGTTTACTTTGCTCTGTGATTTTATTTGGACCGGTGTTTACAAAATTTGGGCTCACGGTCATGCCGACATGTTTCCAGTGTATATTCTGTCGGGCTCGGTGTTTGGTATGCGGTGTATGTCACCTCGCGTGTACAGGTTTTGCTTTTGAATGAACATAATGTTTACTGCAATCAATAGTGAGGACTTCCCGGAATGATATTCAGAGATCATAACTTCGTTAAAAAGCAGAAGAGAGCTTGTCACTAGGTCAGTTTGCGCTCCTCGAACTGAACCCTCTCGACGGCAGGGAGGTACCGCCGCTTGAGAACCCATCCGAAAAGCAGAATGAACAGCGTGGCCAGGAGAATATGAGCCCGTTGAGAAAGGGTCAGGCTATCTAAGGATGGATCATGTGGGGTGCCCGACCCATCTTTTTGTTGCTCCTGCCATTCCCTGCAGACCTGTTGGTATTGCGCTGGCTCGTCAGTGATGACGCCATCCACTTCGTGTCGCAGGCTCCAGCGCATGAGATTGGGTGCGTTCACGGTCCAAACATACACGCGGCGACGCGCTGCACGGGCTTCTTCGAGGAATCCTTTCCCAAGCGGCCCCATCAGAATCTTTTGGTTGACGTTGAAGGAGATGCGGGGCACCTGCATGAACTGTCGGGCGTAGCTGAGGTCAAAGCAGATCAGGGTCATGGCGTACCGGGGGAGATACTGGGCCCGCAAGGGAAGATATCGTGCAGACCAGCAGCCCAGGACAATCCGGCGATGCCAGTCGGGGCCGATAGCGGGGATGGGGACCGACTCGATGGTCTCGGCGATGTGTTTCATGACGGTCACCGGCTCATTGTCGAGCTATTTCGTTAGTTCAAAGTCGGGGCCATCTTGCTTTTAGGGCGGGGGTGGGGAGAGAGAGTTGTAACTACAACAGTTCTTCTTACCTTGATATCAAGCAAAACCCAAATGTGCTCCCGACCGGGTTGTCGTAGGTACTCCAAGACATCCACCAAGCGTGGCATCGGCTCATGCGGGGCCATCAGAGTGCGCAGGGATTGCAGGTATTCCCAGTCGCAGTCCACGACTTTTTTATTGACGCCGAAACATCTTTTCAAGGTCGGATCCTGCGAGAATCGGGTTAGGTTTCACAAGGTAGACCGTGTAAGGCTGGCTCACATGCGACAGCACCACGATGCCATCACGAGAGAGATGCAGGTCGAGTTCGAGAGCGTGGGTACCGGCTTTGATGGCTTCATCGATGGCACAAATGGTATTTTCCGGAAACCTTCCCTTGTAGCCTCGGTGGCTAATGGTCTGGGGCTGACGAAAATATTGACCTCGGGGTGAGTGCAAAAAGTGCGCTGGAAGAATGTCAGTGAGATGTATCTGAGAGTGGAAGATGATAGTCACTCTGACCGGGCGTTTCGAGAGAAGTTCCCTCGGGAGGAGGTGATGGATAGTCGGACATGATGTTGTCCAAACCTGCGAGGGCCTCTACAGCTCAGTCACATCGAACAATAGTATTGCGAAGCACCGAACTGATAGAAGGAGGAAGGAAGAAGGCGTGTTGCGTATGTTTTTTAGTCCGGAGTTTGGCGGAGTTAGGCGCTCCGCCTGCAGGCAGGTCGGCGTGCATTCGAGCCACGCCTTTCGGCTTTTGCATTGCCATAATGCTGAGCCGTCCAAGCGAAGCTCGAATTAGTGGGAGCAGTAAGCACATTCTCTAGATCATCATCAGCAACTGCAGCAACATGAAAGTCTGCTACGTGAGAGCCGTGCGGGGCTGACAAAGCGTCTCCAATTTTCTCCATTTCTCATTTCTCCAACTTCGGTAGCTTTCAATATGCCCCTGGCAAACCTGTCCCCAACTCTCGATACGACACAGCTATCAAGATGTCGGTTCAGCAATGGGTAACTCCACTCAAGGGCCTTGAAAGCCTCCGGCGGACAGAGGCCCCAATGCCGGCGCCCGGAACTGGCGAGGTCCTCGTAGAGATTCACGCCGTGTCTCTGAACTACCGCGATGTGGAAGGTGAGAGGTGACCTCATATCTAGAGCATGTCGGACCAGCAGCTTATTTCGCGGGTCAAAGTGACCAAAGGTGAATACAAGCACCATAAGAGTGCCGAGCAAGATGCGACCATTGTCCCCTGCTCGGATATGTGCGGAGTGATCATCCAGGTGGGCTCCGGCGTGACCCAATGGGCTGTGGGCGACCGCGTACTGTCGACCTTTTTGCCCGAACATCAGACAGGCCAGGTTACAGAGAAAGAGCTGGCAGGCAGCGTCGGACTCCCCCTCGATGGTGTTCTGGCGACGCATAGGGTCTTCCCGGCACATGGCTTGGTAAAGGCCCCCAGCTACCTGTCAGACGAGGAAGCTTGCACATTGCCCATCGCGGCGGTTACGGCATGGATGTCAATCAATGGAATGCGGCCGATGGGCCAGAGTGGCGGAAAGGGCGAGTATATCCTCCTGCAGGGCACAGGGGGTGTGGCTATCTCGGGATTGCAAATTGGAAAGGCTGCGGGTGCAAAGGGTGAGTTCGGATGATAGCCTGCGTATATCGGACGACCCTTGAAGTCTCTTTGAAGTTGAAAGCTAAGCTCTAGCAGTAATTATCACATCTTCGTCCGACGCGAAGTTGGAACAGGCTACGCAGCTCGGTGCCGATTACACCATCAACTACCGGACGACACCTGACTGGGAAACCAATGTCATGCAATACACGGATAATCATGGTGCGGATATTATTCTCGAGACGGGTGGAGCGCAGACCCTCCGGAAAAGCTTTGATTGTATCGCCTTTGGCGGTCTCATTGACTGTATCGGCTACGTATCCGGCAAGGTGGATGCGGAAGATGATCGGTTGAATGTGAACATCCTGGCGCTGCGCCGCACGGTGACCCTCAAGGGCATCATCAATGGACCCAAGGACCGATTTGAGGAAATGATCCAGTTCTACGAGGCGCATCAGATCCACCCGGTGGTCAATCAAGTCTTCTCCTTTGCAGAGTCCCGGGAGGCCTTCCAGTTCGTGGAGAGCGGCAGCCATTTTGGCAAGGTGGTCATCAAAGTCCAGTAGATGAATGCAATATGGAACAAATGAATCCGCGATACGAAAGCTTGATTATCTTATCTCATTGCCCCGTTCTCTTGCCAATCGGTGAAGTCAATAGCCAAGGAAGGGAATTACTATAGCCACCACCCCTTCCTGTCTTGTCAAGTACTGAACAATATCTGAGACCTGTCATTCTAAGAATAGAAAGTGTACCCCTTCTGCTATGTGCAAGTAAACAATCTTTAGTAATGCCTTTCTTTGCCTTGAATCTCGAAGGGTCGGTGTACAGAGCAGACAGTCAGGCGGCTGGTCATGTACTTGACTGTCTCAGTATGGGCATTTGATCAGGTGGATGACCAGATAGGTGGCGGGGTATCGGATCAGTACAATGGTGAGTGAGTGTTCAAAATCACGAGAACATGGCAGAGCTAGCAATGAAGGTCGAGGCGGGCAGCACTTTTGGCCTGGGTCCAATTGATCATTTACAAGATATTGGAGATTCCAGTGCTAGTCGTCTCTGGGGTTGAAATCCTAGGGATCGACAATACAGTGCATAAGGAGTAGTTTTTGGCCAGAGGTGGTTATTTCCGCTAACTCCGTGATGACATCGCGATGATCGTGCCCCCTTCTTCCCCTACGTCGATCGACCTCGTCAATCGTTCCCTCTGATTGTATTTTCCTTCCATCAAAATGGAATCGGTCATCCAGGGACAGAAAACTGCTCTTATCACAGGAGCCGCCTCCGGTGTGGGGTTCGCTGTGGCCAAGTTCTGCCGGAGCAAGGACATGCACCTGGTTCTCTTGGATATCGACCAGGAGAATCTGGCCAAGGCTAAGGCCGTCTTGAGCGAAGCCAATCCACGTCTCATAACCGAGGCTTATGTCCTCGATGTGGCCGATGCGGCGTTGTGGAAAGAGACCACTCGCCAGATCCTCCAAATCGTCCTGGAGATTGACTTGGTGGTGTTGAATGCCGGCAAAGGGTACAAAGCACAGGGGACCGATGCCGGGCGGCTGAAGCCCTGGCTAGATGGAAGCTACTGGGACAAGGTCGGTAGGCCCCATCCGGATTGAGGTCGACCCGCGCTCATTGATTCGATAGACCTTCGACACTAATGTCCGCGGCCCGCTTAATGGACTCGAATCATTGCTGCCGGTATTGGTCGCCTCGAAGAACAAGACCCCCAAATCGATTGTCATCACCGGCTCCAAGCAGGGCATTACCAACCCGCCTGGAGCGGGCAACCCGGCCTATAATGCGTCCAAGGCAGCAATCAAGAATCTGGCCGAGCATCTCGCATTTGACCTGCGCTCCGATCCCGCGACGGCGCATATCTCAGTCCATCTGTTGATCCCCGGATGGACGTGGACCGGCTTGATGGGCAATGTTGGGCCTACCGATGAGGCCGACATCAAAAAGCCTAGCGGAGCGTGGTATCCGAGCCAGGTTGCCGAGGAGCTCTTTAAGGGTCTCGAAGCAGGAGCGTTTTACATCGTCTGTCCGGATGGCGAGACCGACCGCGCCCTCGACCAAGCACGGATGAAATGGGGCAGCGAGGATGTGGTGGAGGGACGGCCCGCTCTCTCTCGCTGGGACGAGAGTTGGAAGAGCCGCGCCGAAGCCGCGATTCAGGCTGACGCGACAGCGCGGAGAGCGTAAGGACGAATAGTGTATTCGCCATATTAGCCATAGCCTCGAGTACCCTAGTCTAGCTACCTTGGATGTCGGATGCAGATTCTTTTTGGAATCCATTATTTCGTACTGAATTTAGCCTCCATCGTCTTACACTCGTGTAGTTCCTCTGGTTTCCATCTATCTGCAGCAGTCTGTGCAGATCGGCCGCGACGCGGGGACCCGATTAGGAAACTGACCGTCTGGGCACTGCCCGAATACGAAAGCATCCCTGCCGATTCTGGCCTCAAATGAGTCAATTGAGTCATGCCCAGAGAGATACACCGAGGTAATTTGTTCAATGGGCGCCCTGTCTGCGAAAGATCGCACCATGAACCCTGGAGCGTGGAATCATCTCTGCCAAGCCTCGACTGTATAAGTATCGCGTGAACCTCGCGGGTTTTCGATTGACAGTTCAATTGTGATCCGACACAGGTGTATCTAGTGTACTTCACTAGTGCAGAAGGTATGGCGTAGCACGCTCACTCCGAGTTGTTCGATGCCGAGTTTATGAGGGTGTAAGTGATAGCCAATGGCTTAACCCGATTCTCTCTTTATGATGACACCTATCACTCGCCGAAATGACGCTGCTGGATTGCTTAAGACCAGCAGGGCTTGATTCAACATGGGTCTGAAAAGAGACTATATCCCATCTCGCCTTCAAGTCGCTCCCATCCTATGGAGACCAGATGCTGACCTTGGAATAGAAAATACAAGTCCACATGCCCAACGCAGTCGGGGTGCTTGAAAGAGAACGACCTTCAGGCAATCAGACGAGATAAGGAGATAGCGCTACTAGTAGATGGCAGCAATTGAACCCCTGAACCCTAGGACTACTGCTATTACACTAGTTACTGTATAATAGGTGCCTTCAAGATTAGGTATCTTGGGGTGCTATCCCAAAGGGGAGCTTAGGTGCGTACTCCACTGTAGTCCAATTTGACCCACTTTGAGATAATGCGAGATAAAGTAGTACCTGACAAGAAATACCTTAGACGATAGACCCCCTGAACTCATGCTGCTAGTATCGCTGTGCTGGTGTCTGACTAAGGACCTGAGAGTGTCCGAGCGGCATGACGGGCTCATCGCAGAATGCAACCCTGCCGGCTTGCCGCAATCGGCATTTTCAGCCTTTTCCGTCGCATCCACCCGCCGCACAGACGTGGCAGGCTCATTGAGCTGGCGATAGCAAGAAACGGGGGAGAGCTTGAAGTATTCGACCTGCCCTGAGACCAGGGGGTACCCCTCCGGTGGGCCAGCCGCCAGCGTTGCCCCCTGCTGCGAATGCAGGCATGAATGCTTATCGCCCTTCACGGCTCCCCGTCGAGTCGCCCTCCGACAGCCAGCGGCCTCGGCAAATCGACCAGCGAACTGATACGCAGGATGCAACGGTGCGGCGCAAGTCCGACCAGGATCGGCGCCCCAGCTCGCTCTTCCCCGGCGATGCGGAGAAACGTGGGGGTGACATTGACGAGATGCAACATACTCCCGCCAGCAAGGGCTCTGATAAGGCGTGGATATCCCCTCTGCCACCGCGGCCTTCTGCGATCTTGGCTTGCCTGCTGGTCTTGAGTCTTGGTCTTCGATCTTCTCCGGAAATTTGCACTGCCGGCCAGCGATAGTATATTGTATCGCCTATAGTACATTTCCTCTTCCGGCATCCTTCTGGCATCATGGGCCACGCACCCCAAGCGTCGCAGGACGACATGGCCAAGAAGACGGCCACCACGGGGAGTTTCGACGAGCCCGACAAGTTGCAGGGCTATGCATCGACCTCGGGAGTGGTGGACGAGGTCACTCGCGTGGTCGACCACAAGGCCGAGCGACGGCTGTGCCGCCGCTTCGATATTCGCCTGCTGCCCATCCTGGCCGTGATGTGTAAGTAGCCCCGCGGACCTTACCGGCATCGTGTTGGCTCCCAGACCTGTTCGCTGACCCAATCGTTCGCCAGACCTCTTCAATGCCCTCGACAAGGGCAATCTGGGTAATGCAAAGACCGACGGCATGACCGAGGACCTCCACTTCAAGCCCAACCAGTATAACCTGCTCCTCTCCATCTTCTTCGTCCCTTTCGTGGTCTTTGCGCCGCCTTTCTCCATGCTGGGCAAGAAGTTCAGCCCAGCGCGCACCTTGCCCGTCCTCATGTTCTCCTTTGGCTCCTTCACCCTGCTCTCCTCGGCCGCCCACAATTTCGGCGGCATCTTTGCCCTACGCTGGTTCCTGGGCATGTCCGAGGCCGCATTTTTCCCCCTGGTCATCTACTACCTGACCACCTTCTACCGCCGGGGTGAGCTCGCCCGGCGACTGGGTGTCTTCTACGCCGCGTCCAATATTGCCAATGCCTTCTCGGGCCTCATTGCCTTTGGCGTATTCCAGATCAAAGGCTCGAGTCTCCCCAATTGGCGGTATCTGTTCATCATCGAGGGCGGCGTGACAGTCCTCTTTGCCGTGTTTGCCTTCTTCTATCTGCCTCGCAGTGCGGCCGAGGCCACCTTCCTGAACGAGGAGGAGAAGGCCCTCGCTTTCCACCGCATCCAGGTCGACTCGTCGGCCGTGGTCAACGAGAAATTCCGGCTGCGGGAGGCGCTGGGCATCTTCAAGCACTTCTCCACCTATGTCTTTCTGTGCATTGAAATCTGCCTGGGCGTGCCCTTGCAGGGCGTGGCGCTCTTTATGCCGCAGATCGTGGGGCGGCTGGGCTATCCGACGGTCAAGACCAATCTTTACACCGTGGCGCCGAACGTGACGGGCGCGGCCATGCTGCTGGTACTGGCCTTTGCCTCGGATTACACCAAGCTGCGGTCGCCGTTTATTGTGCTGGGCTTCCTGCTCACCTTTTGTGGCTTCATGATCTATGCCTCGATTGATGATGTGCAGAACAACCTGCAGCTGGCCTACTTTGCCACCTTCATGATGACCTGGGGGACCTCGGCACCCTCGGTGATGCTGAGCACCTGGTATAATAACAACATCGCGCACGAGGGTCGCCGGGTGCTGCTCACGAGTATCGGCGTGCCCTTGGCCAACCTGATGGGCCTGGTGGGCAGCAATGTCTTCCGCGAGCAGGACGCCCCCAAGTACATGCCCGCACTCATTACCGTCTCGGCCTTTGGCGCCGCGGGGGCCTCCCTCGCGGGCCTGCTGGGCCTGTACATGTGGCTAGACAACAAGCGCCGCGATCGCCGCGAGGGAATGACCATTCGCGCGCGCGACATTCCGACCGAGCGCATGCGCGATGGACCCTCGTCGGCCGAGTTCCGATGGTTCCTTTGAGCCGATGCGCAGTTCATGCGAGATGTGCCCTGTATGTTGTATGTAAATGGAAAATAATGAATCTTTTAACGTCTATCTCCTGGGATCCCACCTCGTAAACGGATGGCCCAGACCCCAGTTGCTACTGCGTAGAGAACAAGTTTCTGTACAATGAACATACGAATAGGCGCCTGAAGGAGTACTCTGAGATCCCCGAAGAGTCTGCAGGGCGATGATGTGGTTGCCGTGACAGCCAGGCGGAATCGCCCGTTAGGACGAGTTCAGCCGACGTCAAGTCCACTTTTTCCAGCCTCCCCAGCTTCTTCCCCCGGACATCCCACGCGGTCGTCCCCATCTCTCCACAGCCCGGAGGAACGGGGAAACCTGGGAGAGTCCCTTTTCAGCTGGGGGATATAAGCGAGGACACATTTCCAGGGTCCACTGTCACTCCACACGGCTCAACGTGGGGAAAGCGTCCAACTCGGCCCCCCCCCCCCCAAAAAAAAAAAAAAAAAATTAAATGGAGCTGGGGCAGTTCTGCATCGGCGGAATGGTAATCATCGTCGATCGGAGTTCGGCGATGCTGAGTATGGCTCAGCAACGCTCACAGGAAAGGGCGGCGGGAGGTAACACGGCCAGCACATTTGCAGTGATGTGCTACACCGCTGGTCGTTCGGGGCGGCATGCATCTCGCGTCTGCATCTAAGTGGGACAACCACTGAGATCCCCTAGAAAAAGGGGCTAAACGAGGGAGCACGATAAATACTACCTTTTGCAAGACCTCAGGGCAGCCACGAAGAAGAATATCGCCAGCATGTCCAACACCGGTCAGATCTCGCCATTGCCGCCCGTGACTCGGCATATCACCGGCCATAATGCGGATGGCAAAGCCATTGTGCAGTCCTCCACGCCGGGTGAATGGAAGTCGTTCGAGGAGAGCCAGATGGCCTTCAATGTCGTCTATACGACCTCCCAATTCCCCGCCGATCTGAACAATGACGCGGACCTCGCCGCGCACGACAAGGTCCAGAAGTCAGGCAAGCTAGGGCTGGTCAACCCCAAGGGCACCGTCTGCCGCATTGTCGATTTCGCCCCCAGCAACCAGTGCGTGGTTCATCGCACACAGAGTCTGGACTACGGGGTCGTGCTGGAGGGACAGATTGAAATGGTGGTGGAGGAGGGCGAACCGGTACGAATGAAGCGCGGCGACATCGCCGTCCAGCGCGCGACGATGCACGGGTGGCGCAATCCCAGCGAGACCGAGTGGGCGCGAATGATGTTTGTCCTGCAGGACTGCCAGCCGTTAACGGTAGCCGGCAAGCCGTTGAAGGAGGAACTGGGGATCGCGGCCGGCGTGCTCAACCCAAGCGGGAATGACCAGTAGCGTGCGCTGGCTGATGATTCATGTCTTTTGCCGGAGGGGCAACGAATATCGCCAGCGTTGACTGTCAGCTACTCGTACTTTTGAATCCGATTCCATTTCTTGTTTCAACTCAATTTCTGCACGCCGTGTGGGCATTTGGGTCAAACCGCTTGGTGGCCTGTAGTCACTCCCCCGGGGGACGCGAGTTCCAGGGTGATGGAAGAACAGGGCAATGTTTAGGATTTATTTTTCTACGTCTTTCTCTGGGCAACATGGTCGATGCCATTCTTCCCTGGGGGCTCTTCGAGGGACATCCCCGCTTAATTTATCCCACCAGCCAGCGTCGTCGTCCCCGCGGGGATACACCCCCGCAATTGCGCTGCCGACAGGACATATTTATCCAGATCCTCCATTTTAGCCGCAGAAATTCGGGTATCTCTTGGTTATAAATGGTTGACATGGTAAAGGGAAAGGTATTCATAAGTCAATAAATGGTGGTTGCGAGTGAAATACCCAGTCTACCTCAATTTGAAGGTAACCATGGCCCCGATTACGAAAAAGCCTCTCGGATGGATCTTCAGGCTTTTCCTGGCAAGCGTCCTGTTGTTTGCCAGTGAAGGTACTCCTTTCCCCCGAGATAGACGAGCAACCGACCAGGAACAACATAGTCGTTGGGTGGGTATTTGGGCGACAATGCCTCAACAGGTCGAGCCTTATAACCTCCCTCCTGCGCCATTTGTAGGTCACAAGCAACTCAAGATATTCTTGCCTATTCCAACATTAATAAAGATCTTGATAGAATGGCTCTGACGCCGTGTTTCGTAATAGCTCACTCCGCCAAACTATCCAGGTAGGTCTGGCTGCCGACGAGATTCGACTCCGCCTGTCGAATGCATTTGGCAATAATGATCTGAATATCACTCGCGTCGCCGTGAGCCTGCCGGTCAAGAATGAGGCGGGGGCGAGTGCTATTGAAGTCGGATCCAGCAAGAAGGTGCTTTTCAGTGGAAGCCCGAGTATTTCCATTCCAGAAGGTGGCCTGGCGGTATCAGACCCCATTGAACTCCCCCTCGAATTCCGGTCGGTAGTGACGATTGACCTCTACCTGGAGCAGGGGCAGGGTGGTTCTGCTATCACGGGTCACCCGGGGAGCAGAACCACGTCTTTCATGGCACTGGGTGATACTCTTGATCAACATAACTGGACTAGCTCATCAGTGGCAAGCACCGAGCATTGGCGAGTTCTGCCCTCGTGCTCATACGATGAAAAAATGACTAATACCGAAGGACAGGTATTTCATCAGTGCTATCGAGGGACGATTGGACACGTCATCGAGCTCTTTTGCCATTGTTGGCGATAGCATCACTGACGGCCGGGGAAGCACTACCAACGCGAATAACCGGTAAGCACAATACGTCGAGGAGGGAAAGGAAAAACTTGAAGATGGCCTGGCCACGACGGTTACTGACTTGCACAGCTGGCCGGATCTCCTACAAAGGAGAATGCGGCAACACGACGCAACAGCGAACATTGCGATTCTCAACGAGGCGGCAGGCGGGAACCGTATCCTGCATGACAGCCTTGGCCCTAACGCTGTCAGTCGGGTCGATCGAGACGTGCTAGCACAGCCCGGTGTTCAATACGCCATGATATTCGAGGGGGTGAATGATATCGGGGTTGCTGGTCCAAATGAGCAGTCTCAGAAGGAGATCGGCGACCAACTCCTCGTCGCCTATCAACAGATCGCTACGCGAGTGCAAGCTGCCGGGATTCCTTTCTTCGGGGCAACTATCACCCCATTCGGCACATCCCCCGACTCCAACTATACTCAGCCGTATTCGAATGTAGAGCGAGAGAAGACTCGTCAGCGAGTCAATACGTTCATCCGACACAGTGGAGTTTTCGATGCTGTGCTCGATTTTGATCGTGTGGTGCGAGATCCTCAGGCCCCTTCCCAACTACTCAGCCAGTTTGATTCCGGGGACCATCTCCATCTCAATGCGGCCGGATGTCAGGCGATTGCGAACGATTTTCCGCTTGGTATTTTCGTATAAATCCGTCGGGTCGCAAAAGGGGTAGTCTAAGAAAGATGTCTATCATTCCAGCATTATAATATGTACGTCGAGTCTATCTAAGAATGTGTACATTTCTTGCTCGTCAGGCAGCACACACGTTGGATGCCGAGCAGGCAATTAACTGCGGCGAGCAAAACGGCGGACGCTGCGCTTCTTATAGGCACCGCTCTCCTCGAGGGATTGCTCCACACCGGGCCCAAAGTCCGGGGTGCCACCAAGTGTTCCGAAGATGTCGCCGATGTAGTTGCTCGGCTTCACTCCGTCGGCAAACGTCGTATCCCACTCTTTCAGGATTCCCTGGACAACCTCAATTCCGGCGCGGTAGATGTTCTCGAGGGCCAGCTCAAAGCCACCTTGAACAGAAGATTCGAACAGGTTGTGCGTAGCAGTCGATCCGGGGTAGGGTCTGTCGAAGTCGGAAGCAGTACGCATCACGATAATGCGAGAAAAGTCTGTGAGATTGTGAACCGACGACCGCAGCAGAACCTCCAGGGTGGCGTTATCCTCTTGAGCACTCGAGCAGTAGTCGCCCGTGCCGTTAGTGAACAGTTTGGTAGTGTTCTCAAATGCTGTTGCGAGGAGATTGCCACTGTAGTAGACATCCGACGTGGCCGTATCACACTCCACAATACTCGGGGGCAAAGTCGCCGCCTTGTACAGACCGCTCGGGGTCTTATAGTGAGGACGATAGGCCCTGGCAGTGGCCGAGTCCGACAGATTTGCACGGCGGGCGAAACCAGCGGCGATGCTGCGGAGGTTGGCATTGACCTCGAAGACCTCGGTGCCGTAGATCAACGTCGGGTACTGGTTCGGGTACTGGGAACCCAGTGGGACGTAGCCTGTCGAGTAGTTGCTCGGCAGCTCGCGGATATCAAATTCGTACTGAAGGGCCACCTGCACCGCGTACCGCGCAAACGTGGCGGAGCCGGTGGTGGTGCGCTTCGGGTTGACGCCTGCAATGCCCGCTACGAAGAAGTATGTTTGGGTGAGGTTGAACTGGGGTGAGAAGGCGACCGACGCGACAGTCACGGCCGCATTGATCTCGGCCTCGCCAGTGATGAGCTGGCAAATCTCATAATCCTCCGAGCAGTGGACGTCGGGATAGGTGGGCGACAGGCCCGGGACGGAGATGTTGTGGGCCAGCAGGTTAAATTCCGGGATGTTCCACCAGGCCTCAGCCTCGGGTTCGAACTGGATCACGCATTAGTCGGGAGAGAATCAATTGACCTACCACGAGGTGCACTTACCATTGAAACAATAAACACCTTGGGTGCAATTGGGTTAGCCTGCGCGCCCACGGCAGCCGAGGCTGTCGCGACGAGGGCGCTGACACCCAACGACGAGACGAATAGAGACCGGAACGACAGCATGACAGTCGCGCGAGACGAAATGAACGAAGGAGCGAAGGAGAAAAAATTCAGTAGGCTGGAGCTCGGGTTAAAAGCTCGTTGATAGCGTGCTTCATTGGCAAATTCTTCGCGATAGCCCACGCGATAGGATCGAGCATTTCTCCGACGAAGTGGAGATCGCACCACAATCAGCAGCGATCAGCGCCGGTCCGTCGAGCATCGTTAGGTCCGAATGACGCTGTCCCTTCTCCGATTGGCGTGCGTCGGGCCAGCTCCATCGACTCGACCACCGTTGGATCGTGCAGAAAGCTCTAGTTGCGCGCGGATCCAATAATGGTCGCTCCCGCTCTTATCGTGTGCCCCTGGCAGTTGTTTGCTGGGTGAGACCTTAGCTAGCCTCAGGTACCATCCAGGGCGAGAGTAAGTAGGGGCATTTCACAATCGCGGTGTGGTATCGCGATCTTCGGTTGCCATGGGGGTAAACCTTGGGTGATTGTTGCCGGGTTCGCGGAAATCTGCAACAGTGGCTGGTAAACCGAAGACACAAAATTGCTGAGAGTCCAAAACTCCGTATGTGTAGCATCGACCTCATATCAGTGTTTCCGCTTGCAGTTCGAGTCAATCAACATTTGCTTTCGACTGCGGTCCACAACGGAACAAAACCACCATCAAAATTACATTTTGGAGGGTTTGGTTATCCTTACCGTCCACCGCCCGGCATAATCTTAAGCATATTATTGTCGGCGGTCTGGAGCCTAAAGAGGCACGTGATTCAGAAGACGATGGCGCTTGAGGCTAGTCACATAGGGGATCGCTTCGGTGACTACGGGTGTCCGCTTGAATGATACCATCGAGAAGAGGCACAAAGTAGAATCGCACCACTGGCACCCAAGGTATCCCTAGTCTGAAACCTGGTATCGGGTGTCTTGTCGTCGCAGTTGGTCATCCCGCTTGTATGCCGTTGCCCAACACACCCCGTCCGTGCCTTGCAGGTTTATATCTTCAACATAATCCATCGAAGGTTGCTGACAAGTATATATGATAGGGCACACTCTTGTGCATACTCAAATCAAAATCTCTTGCACCGTTGTCTGCTCCAACCCAGCGGCCATTGTTGGGAATAATAATACCAGTGACTGTGCTCCAGACTCATACGCTGTAGGCAGGTCTATACACCAAAAGATTATTGCATTGCGCCGTCAAACTCCCTGTGACACTGACACTAACCAAGATTGACTGGTCATAGCAGGCTAATCCGACGGATAGACACATTTTGATTGCCGCGAGTCTAGTCGATGGTCGTTGTGATACCTGTCAAAGAGTCAATCGCAGCGGATGACGCGGGGGCTCAAGCCACCGTAGTGACCGTGGCACATGGGCGGGGCATGACGCATGGCAGGGCATGGCAGCAATAAATAGCAAAACCGTGAGCGTGTCAAGGACCTGATTGGCAGCGTGACAGGATGGAAAGGCGCTGATCATCGGGCCATTCTCCAACGTCATCCCACTGACGTCATTTTAATCTATGGCGACGCTGCCATCAAAACCACCAGGGGCCGCCGCAGATTCGATTCGCACTTTGTTTGCATCGTCCGAATCGGTAAGTTAGTCCGTTTGGTCAAGAGTAAAAGGGAGTTGGGTCGAGCTGACTGTTGACCGTGGAGGGTAGTAGAGAGAACCATCACCATGCCATCGATCCACGACCGAATCCGCGAAGATCTGCTTAACAAGGAGCGTGCGCTCTGGACCGCGCTCACCTCGGCTGATCCAGCACCCGCTGTGCAGAAGCTCTCCAACGCAGATGTCAACCTGATGTTCCCCAAGATGGGCATTATCACGCTGGAGGACGAAGAGCAGTTCAAAGAGGCCCTGAAGCCGCCTTTCCACCGTTTCGAAGGCTATCAACTCGACGAAGTACGAACAATCATCATCGACCTGATGGCGGGGATTGTGACATACCGGGTTCATGCCGTTCGGGGGCAGAAGGAGTACCGTGCGACGGCCTCCACGACATGGAGTCAAGCATCCGACGGCGAATGGCGCATTTTGTGTCACCAGGAGACCCTGGTATAGAGCAGAGCAAGGCTACTACTGGTTTGCATTTCATCTTATCTTACCGTGGGCTGTCGAGTGTGTGATAGCTGTGAACGGTAACATGACGTTATGCATTCACGATTCGATGATTTGATTTCAAGAGCCATCTTTTTAGCTATCGAACGGCGGTTCAATCCCTTTGTTTGCGTGGAGATATTTCAAAGCTGGACATTTCTCTTCTCTTCACATCTCAACCATCACTTGTGATCTAATGAAAAATTGAAATATATCAACGTTCCTCTTCATGAATGATGTATCTTCCATACAATAGTATCTGCTGTACTAGTGTATTGTTGCTCTCTGATCTTCATCAGGGGCTCCTTGTAGACAGGTATGAGTACGATTGTAGCCACAATCCCATTGTCTCTCACCGCAACATCTCCTTCTGACCGTTCGGGCTTCTCATAGTATGATGCTCCAAAATCTTGTCGTGGGCGTAGGAAAGGGGTCATTCTGATCCGTGAATAGGCAACATCGCATGGTCCTGAGCCCATTTTTGGCCAGGCTCCTGGGCCACCAGCGGAAGGAGGAATCGATCAGGTATGCGATAGAATGTACAATGATACTCGTGTCACAAGCAAGGGGTCACCACTTATCGGGGTGGAAGTTGGGCAAAGATATTCCAATACGATTTAATTTACACGCTTGATTCCAAGGACTGCGAGCAGTGGAACGGGGTGAATTGAAACAAGATGGCTACTTCGGTGGACCGTGAGCGAGCGCGAGTTCTCCAGTGGAGATCTCACCAGTATTTTGGGCTGGCTGTGCCTTCTGTGACTGTTGTCTGGTTAGTATCAATCATAATTTATGACAAACTGGCCTCGCCCAGCATATAACTGGTCGTTAGGCACTTTTTTACATAATTTATTGTGTCCATTCTGCCAGCGACTCTAAAAACCCGCTTGTGTCTAGATGGTTCCCTCGTCCAGCGGGTCAGCGTGGCTTTGATGTCCCAAATGCCCTGGTTTCGTTCGTCTTGGCCCCCATCCTCGGGCGTATTAGCGATGCATCGAATGCTAAGCAGTGGCTTCTTCTCGGTCTGGTCACAGAATTGGCGGGCTCGATGGTCGTTGCATCGGCCTGATCCCGTAAGTCTGTTGGCCTCTTACCGAACTTTGGGAGGCTGCGAGGAGAGCAGATTGCTCACTTGAGCATTTAGTGTCTCTTCTCTTCGTCGGGTGGTTTATCCAGTCGGCTGCCAACACGACGGACGGAATGATCGGGTTTGCCAGCCTGCTGGACAATACTTCGTCGAGTGCACGGGAGCAGATCCATGGGATCATGACGGTTGCCCTTGCCGTTGGATCCTCAGCGCAGTCTACACGTGGCTGGAGCTCTCTTGGAGGTGGCTGGATACTGGGCTGCCTGGTCTCGCGGCGATTGGGGTGAGTCTCGTCGGGATTGTCCTGCAGGGTCTTGTCCTGCCGCCGAGCGTGGATGACGAGGTCCCTGATACTGCCAGCAGTGCCAGCAGCAGTCCAGGGAGGCGAGGAGGAAGAAAGGCGGGAGGCCGCCCGAGGGGAAAGAAAGCCCCGACGTGGCCACCGCGCTGCTCTCCGCCACCACCGCAGCCTGAGATTACGGCCAGCCGCCGCGAGCCTCGCAGACGATGGATCTGCTGGTTTACTGGCATCTCGCGACTAACCGGCAGTTAGTGGGCGGCATCGTCAGCGCCTTCTTTCATGCAATCATCACGGCCAGCTTCAGTATCACAATCCCACTGCACGTCCGCGCCGTCTTTGAAAAGGACAGCCTGGTGACTGGGATTCAGTTAGCATCCATTAAGGGGCCCAATGCCATCTTCAGTGTTCCCGTTCGATGGGCGAATACCAGGATCGGCACGAGGCACCTCACGTCGGTAGGCTTTGTGGTGCTCGCACCGCTGCTGTGGATGGCGGGGGTCCCAGGAGATACGAGATTCCCCTGGGCTCATGAAGGACGGCGGGGGCCGGTCTTGTATGGACTCGCAATATCGGGAACGGGGCTCACGAGTCCCTTGCTGAATGGAGTGAGCATGATGGCGGCGACCGGTACGCAGACCATCCAGCAGGCCGGATGAATTCTGATCGAATGCGTGGATGTTGACAGCTGATGATCGGCAGGCGCAGCTCACGAGATCGAAATGGAGCACCCTGGACTCATCGAGTCCGACGATACATACAAGAAGGCCGTGCAGGGTGAATCGGCTCGGCTGGACGCTGGGCCTGTTTGTCGGCCCGATCTGGTCGGGGCCTTTCACGGAGCGCGTTGGCTGTTTCACGATGGCCTGCGCTCTCAGTCAGCGTTCCATCCCTGCCGCAATTCGTCAGGCGAGTCTAGCGCTAACGGGCGGCAGCTGGCCTCTGTCTGTTCTGCGCATGCATTGCATTCTGAAACCTGCCATCATCCGGGGCCGCACGGCGTGCTAATACGTTGCCGAGAACGCGCGGGGGTGAAGAATGAGCGTTGCACTGCGAGCCGCGTATGATACCAAACGTCGGACGCTAACGGCTGGTCCCAGTGCTAGACACTGCAAGGATAATCTACGCAGTATGAGAAGCTGTCGCTCCGGATGTTCTCCGTACAAACTGGGCCACTGGCCGGTGCTCCGCCAATCTCACTGGGTGCTGGGGCTGCGTTCCTTGATTTATGACCACTGCGCCAGTCTGCAACGGGAATGGGACTGGCGTTGGCGTGTTTGCCCTTCCTGGCTAGCGCTTCGCAATTTTCAGAGACAACGCCGCCAAATGCGCGGCTGACTCGCATCAATGATCGGGTGCAGCGGCGTCCTCGCTAAAGCCCAGGGACCTAGACTCGCGATCGATTCCCCTAGACGAAGAAGGAAGCATCGAAGCGGATAGAGGAAGCGACTCGTGTCCATCATGGGCGTCGCTGCTTTGTTGGGCAACGGGTGGAACGGGTGGAACTGCATTGGGATCCAACGCCACGGCTGGTGACGGACCGAGAGGCCTTTTCCTGCAGGACTAGCAGGCCTCGGAGGACGATCCGGCTGCTGGTTGCTGCAGCTAGTTGATTCGCACGTCGCAGACTCGGAGACTTTTTTTGTTGGTTCTTTGTTCTATCCCTCTTTTCTATTTTGCTTTTTGCTTTAGCCCCGCGTATGCTGCGTGTTGAAAAACTTGCCACCTAGCTGTCAGCCTCGGTTACGACGGTCTCCCCGGACGCCATCTACCAGCCAATTCGAGGCCTGGACAGGGGCAAATTGGCGGTCAAGCCGTCGTCGGGGTGTGATTTATCACATTTGGCCGTGTGGAGAGACATGGCCGTTGCTGAGCTCCACCACGGGTTCCGTGGATCATCTGCAACGCCTCGACAAATGCCGAACGATCGCCTAATCCGGCCGAGGAAACTGTGATCTCCTTGAAGCTCCGATTGATCACACTGGGCCCGTTATATACTAGCTACGCCGGCGTGATGAAGGGGCGTTAGACGTGTCGATCGTTGGCCATGGACCCGTTCACTTTCCCCCGGACAGCACGTTTTATGTGCGGTGCCTGAACCCTGCGAATATCATCCATCGCGCGCGATCTTCTCCCAGAAGCTGGATCCCCTCTGCACTTCGTGGATTCTTTCAAGTTGGATGCAGATTTGGTCAATTACCGCCCCTCTGGAGCGCTGCTACGACATGGATTCGATGCATCCGCCACATGATATCATCATCGTCGGCGCTGGCATTGCGGGCATCGCCTGCGCCCTCGCCCTTTCCCAGGAGCTTTCGCCGTTTGTCCCAGGCCTCAAAATCACGATTTATGAGCGGCACGATATTTTGTCAACATCTGGAGGCGCTATCAATTTGACTCCTGTCGCACAGCGCCACCTCGCACAGTTGGGAGTCCTGGAAGAGTTGGATCGTATGGGCCCCGAAGGCGGAGCCGAGGTGGATGCCGTCGGACTGTACTCGATGCGATCCGGTCGCTCAGTCGGGTCGATCGATTTTGTGGATCACCGAGGGAATGGCTATGGTGGTTTCAAGGGTCGCCGAGTGATGCGGATTGTCCTCTCCATGGCGATGATGAGCCTGGTGGAACGAGCCTCTAATATTGACCTTGTTTTCGGCAAAAAGGTTGTCGGAGGCGAAGAACTCAACAACAGAGCGGTGGTGCAGTTCCAAGATGGCTCCAAAGCCATCGGAGACTTGGTAATCGGATGCGATGGAGTCCATTCTGCGGTGCGCACCCAATGGATTGATCCGGAGTGTCCCTCGCAATACACGGGAATATCATTTCTGCAAGCCACCATTCCTTCGGACACCATCTCTTCACGCATTCACTTCAAATCATCGGCGCTGAATATCTCTCGTCATGGCTCCATGTTGACCAGCTACTGCGACCGGGACCATGAGCAAATATTCGCAGCTGCGATTGTACAATTTAGTCAAGAGGATTTGTGTTATTACCGATTAGAACCAGGGCAGGACTGGTCAACACAGAACCGTATCAAATGTGCCCTCCGTCGGGAAATGCAAGATCGCTTTTCCAAAACTGCGATCCCTTGCATTCGCGAAATGGTTGACAGCAAAGCAGACTGGATGCTCTATCCAGTCTACCAAGTGCAGCCAGGAGGACGTTGGTGCGGAAACCGAGTTATCTTACTAGGCGATGCAGCTCATGCGGTATGTGAAATTAATGCATTGACTCTTTCTCTTCACATACTAACGCTGTGCTTTAGATGCCACCAAGGGATGAGTCTGCTGCCTACGCACTAGACGACGCAATCCTATTTGCTCGTATTCTGGCACGCTTTCGCTCAGAGCCTCTCTCAGAGGTTTTCGATGCTTACGAACGGCTGCGTCGAGATACTATCAACCGTGCCTTCAAAGAATCTCGTCGTATGTGGGAACGCAACCGAGATATGGGTCTCTTAGAAGGTCGACTCAAGGAGTGGATGATGCCATTCTATCTCCGTAGTCATCGAGATGAGCGAGAGGCTGCATGGGAGTTTGACGCAACTAAAATCACGATTCCAACCCCCGCACCGAGTGAGGACTTAGTATCTCTACATTCATTTTTGAAGGAGCATGCCCCATAAAAAGGGAGTATTTGTACATTGGAAATTGAAAGGGCGGTCCCGGTGTTGGGTTTCGTTAAGATTGCATGGAACGGTGTATGGGAGATATCCTTGATTTGATAGCAAGTGTAGGACCTTGACCTGTTGGTCACAATAATATTGCATAATGGATATTGTTTCAATTTCAAAACTCAAACAAAACCTAGAGGTCTTGAAAGAATGAAAGAATGAAAGACAGACAGAAAGAAAGAAAGAAAGAAAGAAAGAAAGAAAGAAAGAAAGAAAGTATTGCTTTACAAAAGCACTAAAATTCCAGATTCTAGTCTCGAAGGTCGCCACCTCGACTTGACCGGCATATCGAACAGCGCTGATATGTTCGCTTAGAAAGACAAAGTCTGGCCAGCTGTACCGACGACTGCATTTTTCACACTGCCCGACCCGACGAGGTCATAGTCGTAAGGCACAGACGTAAGAGTACCTTGCTCTGCGGCATTCTCACCATCACCGAAATCATTGTCGTTCGACACCGCATAGCCATCATCGGTGGAGTACAAGGGCTTCTTACTACCCGTAAAGGCATTTGACTCGACCAGGAGCTGAGCCCCCTGGCGAGTGTTGATTCCATCACTCACATCCTGGAAGTAGCTATTGTAGATATGGCCAGTACCGAAGCGGAAAGATGGTGCGCGAGAGTTGATGTTGTACCAGTAGTTGTTGTTTTGGGTCACATGCAGGTAGCCAGTGTCCTCATCGCCGTTGCTGTCCGAGTGGCCGACCAGAGAGGCCTTCCAATGGTCATGGATGAAAGTGTTGGAGACGGTCACATAATCAGATCCGTGGGTAACCTAAGGTATGCAGCGTGAGCGTTAAGTCGTAACGAAAACCACTCATATATGTTCATCGAAACTCACGTCAATCAGGCCATCGTAGTAATCCTTGTCATGGTCTCTGTCGGACGAGACATCACAATGATCCACCCAGACGTTTTTGGAATACTCTAAGTAAGGTCAGATGTGGGGGAAAAACCAGGGCATGGGAAATACATACGGATGCCGATGGCATCACCGTTATCGGCGAGAACCTTTTCGACGCCCAGGTTGCGGATAATGACGTTTGAAGCCTCCTTGACGAGACTAATGAAAATATGAGTCCAGACAATTCACTTGACCTGGTGGGCATGAGGGACGGGGTTTGACTCACACTCCAAAGCCCGAGAGAATGGCGCTCGAGTCCTTGCCAATGATGCTAGTATTGCTGCCAACGCGAGCCTGGTCGGCAGCCTTGGTAATCTTGCCACTAACAACGACAACCTTTGCATCATCGCCAGAGACAGCCTCGGTGAATGCCGCATAGGAAGAAACCGTGGTGGTAGTACCTCCAGCACCACCGGTGGTTCCGCCATTTTGACTGGCATAGCCAGTAGCAGACTTCAATTAATGTCAGTAAGATAGCTCGCCACATGGAGAGAGACTCGAATCACTGACATCGTCGATGTTGGCTCGCTTGACCAGGTGATCGGTAGTTGACGTCGGCATGCCCAGAGCAACGCTGGACAGACAGCCGACGAGCACGGCAGAAATCCACTTCGAAGGAGCCATTGCGCAGAAACTTTGCAGATATCGGTACTAGATCGAGTGTGAGTTTCTGAGAAATTGAGTATTTGGATATCGACGAAGCATCATGGGATTTATAGGTCTCTCGAGCTACCCCTGCCACTCATGTTGTCGTCCCGCCGGCGGACGGAAATTCTCCACGGGGCCTCGTCCAACTTGGCAAATATCATAAGTTCGGTGGATGTATGAGGAGGACTGAATGTTTCTCCGACATGTCTTGCATCAAACTGGCCTCCTGAAACCCGCGTTCATCACGGAGTCGACGTACGGGTCTTTAGTTCCCCTGGGCGGCGGGCTTGGCGGGATACGCCGACTCGTTCCGTGCTCAACGATGGCACCAACAGCGATGATCGACGCCGGCTGGCGGATTGACGGACGGCGTTCGTCCGCGAACTGCGTGATGCTTCCGTCGACGCTGTCGTCAAAGTCTATCCCACTTCCACAAATAACGTCGCATACGCCTAAGGACTCGCGAGCTTCCAAGTGTAGAGAAACGCCAAGGCGTCGTTTCAGCCTCCCCCGCCTGAGTAGCTTGGCAGCAGCAGATGAAAGGAGAAGGGGGCTGTGCTTGAGCGGAGATAATTCCATCAATCGAGCGATGGCACTTCTGCAGAGCTGCACACCTTGTTTTATCAACATGAGCATGCTTGGCAATCCGTGAGGCTATTGGGACATTTCATTAGTTCAGCTCCGGTCGAGGCATTGCGGCATAAGCGTTGTCATTATCGAATAAATGTCAATGCCAACCAATCTCCATCAAATCGGCATGCCTATATCATACATGCAAATGACGCGAGATGTATGCATGTATAACTGGCCGGAGAGTGGTTGAGGTTCATCCGTGTTTGGAGTTTTCCACTTCCTCTTCTCATATCGCACAAGTTCCACAGTGCGGCCGCCCACTTCCCGTTGTCAGGTAGGAGGCGCTATAGACAGTTCCGAACCTTGAAGCCCCTAATTATCCCCGATTCGATCGAATGGGACCAAGTTTGGCCGAGTCGTCATAGTGTCAGAATAGATGATGGTTCTTGGCCGTCTTGGCATCGCGACAGGTTCTGGACCAGACATCACATCCTTTGCTGCCGTGGGGAATAGTCTCAAGGGTTGTGCACAGTAATAACAAAATAGAGCGGATGGTGTGCGCTCACAATCCTCGGTCATATTGTTGGGGTTGCCCACTACCGTCGTGTTGTTGGGGTCAACCCCGTGATGCTTACTAAGACACGCGTTCAACGCTGATGGCCTTGATGCGAGTCAACCAGCGGTGTGTTTCTTCCAGTCTTCAAGCCCTTCGTGAAACACTTCCGAGGAGATCCTCCCGAGCACGGTCTATCAGTATGGCGGTTGGTGGCTGTTTCTGTGGCAAGGTCCGGATCGAGTATCATGGCCAGCCGATCAAATCCGTTAGTATATCCCTCTAGATTTCTAACTCGAACTCGATTTTGGGCTAGCTGTCACTACTCATACTCATGCTCATCTCCTTCGATCTGCTCTAGGCGTTGTGTCACTGTCTCGATTGTCGCAAGCTGACCGGGGCTCCCTTTAGCTATAATTTTCTCGTTCAAAGCGCAGAATTCGAAATCACAGGGAGTCCCAAAGAGGTAGCCAAAACGTCCGATAGTGGAAATGATATCCGGAATTATTTCTGTCCTGACTGTGGTTTGCTTTCGCGATTGAGCGTAGGAAGACGAGTTCTAATGAAAACGACAGGCACGCCCCTTTTTGGACGGAGAATAAATTCGGACGGAAGCCCATATGAGTTGACAGTAGTTCGGGCAGGAATCTTTGATGATACCCGTGTTTTGAATGAACAGAAGCCCGAGGTGGAACTATACACTAGCCGGCGATTAACGTGGACGAATCCTGTTGAAGGGGCTGATCAATTTGACGGCATGTCACGATTTTGACGGACTTTGCACAATGTATCCTAGGGTATGATAGAACTGGACAGTTGGGGGGTACAAGCATGAACGCAAGATTAAGTCGCCCCGGACTTCTCTCATCTTCTTAATTCTTAATAGAATCCAATTTTCAAAAGACCATCAGCTCGGGGGTTTGGCTCGTCTCACGGTGGAAATTTGCACCGCACGAATAGATTGTGACATGGAGGAAGATGTCCTGAACGATTCGCTGCAGGGAAGGGATTGAGGGGCCCAGCGAAGCAAGAATAATTTCAGAATACACGTTCAATTCTTGATTTAGCATGATTGAAGATCCATCTCTCATCATGACACCTTATTCACAAGGCCTCTCAGGGGCTGTACGATGTGAGGATGCCGTACAAAGTGACTCATTACATACTCTAGCGTACTAGTCGTACATTCACACTGGGAGAGGTAATAGAATCTTGAGAGTATTCGGTAGTAGCAGTGTATCTAAATTAAGGTATACATCAGCATACAGTAGCACCTCCTAGTTGATCATATGTGATCACGTACACTATATCCCGTCTTAAGCATATAATAGGGTACCCTCGTGGAGGTAGCGCCGGCTGAGTAATGGCCGCCCCTCCCCGCGTTTGACCTCGGCCCCAAACCACACGCGATCGTCGCCCTTGAACCGCCTCGAATCCGCCCGAATCGGTCGTGAGGAACGGGAGAACCGGGGAATTATACCTGGGCCAAGGAAGAACAGAGAGTTTTCATCGGTGCGCAGAGGCTCGACAACCTTGGAAGATGGCGGCAACATTCTCGTCGGTGCCCCAAGTGGACTATGCGCGGTTGAAGGACAACGCCACGAGAGAGGAGGAGCTTGTGAAACTGCGCGATGCCATCTTCGTCGTGGGTTTCTTGTATTTAACCAACACCGGGCTCGAAGTATGTGTATACCGGAGGCCCTATTACTTATGGCCATAGTCATGGTCATGGTGCTGTCTAAATATATTTCCGGGGCGTGACTGACCGCGAGGTACACTAGGATCTCATCCGCCACACTCATGGGAAACTGCGCGAGCTGTTTGATCTGCCCACGGAAACCAAGGAGGAATGCAATATGATCCACTCGCCATCCTTCCTGGGATATACGCGTCTTGGGGCAGAAACCACCGCCGCCCAGACCGATTTCCGGGAGGTAAGCGCGCCCAATCTCTGAAATTGCCATCAGCACGCCCATCGTCGATCGAGGACTAATCCGCGCAGCAATTCGACTTCGGGACCCCCGGCATGCGACAGTGGACCGAGCAGGATCCATTCTGGCAACGACTGGAGGGAAACAATCAGGTCGGTGCTTTCGAACCAGTCGAGCTTCTGTTCCCCGTCGCTGATTGTATCCGATCCAGTATCCGAAGCACCCGGGAGCCCAGGAGCTGGTCGATGATTATATCTCCCGGATTGACAATCTGGCTCAAAACTTCGTGCACCTGGTTGCGGAGAGTCTCTCGCTCCCCAAGGACACATTCGATGATTTCAAGGGCAAGATGAGTCGACTGAAGTTTGTGAAATACCCACCCTCAGCGCCGGATTCCCAGGGCGTGGGCCCTCACAAGGATTCCGCCGGGCTCTTCACATTTCTGTCGCAGGATAATACTGGTGGCCTCCAGGTCCTGAACAAGAACGGAGAGTGGATCGATGTGCCCCCAGTCGAGGGTAGTCTCGTGGTCAATATTCAGCAAGGGTTCGAAGCCATCACAGGGGGCGTCTGCGCCGCGACCACGCATCGGGTTATTGTAAGTACAAACAGATCCATTTCCAGATGCGCTTTGTATATCCTGCAACGCCGCAGTGGGCCCTATCTGACTATTACGTATAGGCCCCCATATCTCGAACTCGATACAGCATTCCCTACTTCCTCGGGGTGCGGTTAGATTTGACGCTGCAGCAGCTGCAAGAGTCGGCGGCCCACATCGTAAAGCGCATCCCTGCATCCGACGACCGCAAGAAACGAGCGGTCGATGTGCCGAGCGAGTTTTTGTCTCCTCTTTATGCCTGCGTAAGATGAATGACCCCTTTAATGTCAAATTTCTCTAATGGAATGCTCTAGTTTGGCGAGGCACACCTCCGGAATCGCATCCTGAGTCATCCGGATGTTGGGCGTCGCTGGTACCCGGATTTGTATAAGAAGTACTCCCAGCAGACTCTCTCGTAGTATATAGATTACACTGCTAGTTAATATCACTGCACCGGCAACTTCAAGTGTTGGAAGGTAATAGTTGTATGCTCTTAAGGGAGTAGTAGAATCATTCGGCCGCCGTCTAATTCTGAAGGTCTCCTGGGATTTCGACATATTTGTAGAGCCTCATAGAAGAACGCCAGTTTCTCTTTTTCTTATTTTGTCCAGCTCGGCTGATCTCTAGCGGAAGTGAGTCGGGGTGATTTAGCCCGTTGGCGCGGAATGCGGGCTGATGCCCCGCGAAGGCGGGGATCGTCTCAATTTCCCGCACGCTGCGGCTGCTGCACTTCACGTCTTCTCATAATTGATTGTCCTCGACAACGCCAGCATGTCCATCACCGCGGCTTCTATTGATATCCTTCGCAGTCGGCTTACGACGGCGATTGTTCACGTTCCTGGCTCCGAAGGCTACCAGCAAAGCCTGGTTCGATGGTCGGATACAGGAGTGAAACGCGCGGTAAGCAACGCAGCACTCGCGAGTTTGCAATGCACGGATGTGATGATGATTGACAGGCACAGGGCGTCGTGGTACAACCAATGATTGCGGAGGATATCCAGACGGCTCTACAATGGGCGCAGGAGCACGCGATTGACATCGCTGTGAAGGGCGGCGGCCACTCCACGGCGGGCACAAGCTCGAGCGACGGCGGCCTGGTGATCGACCTGTCACGAATGAACCAGGTCATGGTCGACAGTGCCCAGAAAACCATCACTGTCCAGGGCGGCGCCACCTGGAAAGAAGTCGACGAGGTCGGCGCTGCCCATGGCCTGGCGACCGTGGGGGGCACTGTCAACCATACCGGCGTTGGCGGACTCACACTCGGCGCAGGTTACGGCTGGCTGTCGGGTCAATATGGTCTCACAATTGACAACCTGCTCACAGCAACCGTCGTCCTCGCGGATGGAAGTCTCGTAACGGCCTCTGCAACTGAACATCCTGACTTGTTCTGGGGCCTGCGAGGTGCGGGCTATAATTTTGGGGTAGTGTCTGACTTTACCTACCAGGCCTACGACAAGAGCAGCCCGGTCTATTCGGGGATTCTGGCATTCCCACCGCCCCAGCTGGAGTCTGTCGTCGAGCAACTGAACGGTCTCTTGGCGGAACCAGACTCACGCGCCGGCGCGATGTGCATCTTTGCCCAGGCCCCCGATGGCTCTGGCCCGATGATCATCGTAATCTGTTTCTACGACGGGACACAGCAAGAAGGCCAGCAGCATTTCGCAGGCTTGCTCGGACTGGAACCGATTCTGAACACAATGGACATGATTCCCTATGCGATGGTGAACACCCTTCAAAATCCCCAAGCCACATATGGAGATCGCAAATCGTTCAAAGGAATTTTCTACCAACCGCCTCTGGACCCACACTTTGTGCGCACCGTGTTCACTGATTTCATGGCGAAGCTGCAACACGAACCCGATCTAATGGCGTCGGCGATTATTCTCGAATTCATCGATATGCGCAAGATATGTGAGGTTCCCTTGACTGCAACCGCATTTGCGAGTCGCAATACAACCCAGAACGGAATCATCTACATGCGCTGGACAGATTCCAGTAAAGATCTGGAGCATCGGGCATGGGCACGCGAGATACAGGCCAAATGGACGGCCGAGTTAGATGCTCGAGCTAGGGGGCAAGATGGCGACTACGTGCCCCAATACATCAACTACGCTGAACGTAAGTTCCTTCTTGGGGCCTTTTGAGAAAGTCCCTTCTATGTGTGATTCCTATACCTTTCAGATACTGATAGCTTTTAGCCGGTGACTCGGTGGTACCAAACATCTACGGCGAGAATCTCGGACGCCTACAGACAGTTAAGGCCCAGTACGATCCCAAGAACATCTTCAACAAGATGCACCCCATTCCCTTGGACACCAAGTGAGGAATATAAAACCGGATGTGCATGAACTGTATCATACCAAGCGCGGTGCGCAAACGTTTCAGATAAATGGTACATATGCTCAATTGAATATATGTATGTCAATTTCTGACACACCAGGAAAAGGTTCAGTGATATGAGCATCCAAATGGTACGCATTGAAGATTCCAGCACGATTTTTATTTCTAAAGACGTTGTCAACGTTATGGAAGTGGCTTTTGCACCTTATATCAGAGTCGAGGTAGGATATGGTATTTGACCGCTTTGACGGTGGTCCATCCCTCGAGGGCCTCCTCACCCATGTCTCTCCCAAACCCGCTCTCTTTGACACCACCAAATGGCACATTCGGGCTCAGCATCGCCCACGTATTGACGGTCACCTGGCCGGACTCGAGAGACTTGGTGACCCTGTGAGCTCGATTAACGTCGTTAGTGAAAACAGCTGCACTCAAGCCGTGGTGGGAATCATTGGCTTTGGCAATGACCTCTTCCTCGGTGGAAAATTTCGCAATGCTCTAAACCACAGGATATTAGTACAATGTGCTGCAGATAGAAGCTTGACGAGAACGAAGGAATACTAAAGGCACTCACTGCGACAGGGCCGAAAATCTCCTCGCGCATGATTGCTGCATCATCGGCAACGTCGGCAAAGGCGGTATTTTGCACGAAATAACCCTTGTCACCGATACGTTCGCCTCCAAATAGCAGTTTAGCGCCCGACTGCTTGCCTTGTCGAATGTAATCCAGAATCTTCTGGTGCTGGGCATGGCTCACAATGGGACCCTTGGTCGTCGACGTATCCAGTGGATCACCGGCCACTGTCGGTGCCCCTGCCGCCGCCTGCTTGTAGGCCTCGATGAACCGGTCATAGATGGCAGCCTGAACATAGATACGCGACCCCGCGGCGCAGATCTGGCCGTTGTTGGCGGTAATGCCAACGCGTGTCCACAATAGCGCGTTCTCGAGATCGCAGTCATCAAAGACAATTGACGGTCCCTTGCCCCCTAGCTCCAGGCTCACCTTCTTCAGATTGGTCCGAGAAGCAGCTTGTAAGATCTTCCGACCGGCCACAGCACTGCCGGTGAACGCCACCTTGCGAACATCCATATGCTCCGACAGAGCTTGACCGGCAGACGCTCCATCACCGGTGACAATGTTTACAACTCCGGCCGGAAAGCCGGTTTCTTTGACCAACTCCGCTAGCTTTTGGGCATAGAGCGGCGAGAGCTCGGAGGACTTGATGATGAGGACATTCCCGGCCGCCAGAGCTGGTGCCAACTTCCAGATTGTAATCATTCTAGTCAATTCTCGTCAACAAGATCCGGTATGGGCAGCGTTTAATATGGGCGTCTACAGCACTTACAGAGGAGCATTCCACGGAACGATGGCCCCGCAGACCCCAATGGGTTCACGATGGGTATAAGCAATCCCTCCTTCCATGTCGAGCGTCTTTCCATCCATCTTGTCGGCCCACCCGGCGTAGTACCGCAGGCAACCCACGGATTGGGGGATATTCAGTGCCATTGAGTCTGTGTAGAGGATGCCGGCATCGATCGCCTCGAGCGATGCCAGGTCCTGGGCATCCCGTTCAATCAAGTCCGCCAGCTTTAGCAGCAGTCGAGCCTTGGCTGGACCGGAGACTGTCTTCCAAGTTTCAAACCCGGTTTTGGCAGACTGGACAGCGTAATCAATGTCCTCCCGACCTGCGGCCGCGATGGTTCCCAGCTGCTCGCCGGTGGATGGATTTTCGACTCCCAGGGTTTGATTGGCTGCGGAAGAGATGAAATCATTGTGAATGAACAGTCCCGTACGAACTACATATGTGTCAAGTTCGTTAGTACATACTCCTGGTACCATTTTATCTCAATGAGGGGGGGGGAGGGGGGAGATCGCTGGGACCGCACTGACCGGTGACTCGGCGACCTTGCACTCCAATAACGGTCAACGAGGATGGCATGTTGAATTACTGTGAGGTTTTGGCCATGCATTTCCCGGGGTTGCACGCTGCTTTTGAGGGCCACAGCGCAGCTCTCTGACGTTGGGCCGCGGGAGTTGCCGTCTTCTAGCTGCTGCATCGATTCCGCGCTGAAATTCCGCACCCTTTCCGACTCGGAGGGCTGCTTCCGAAGAGAGGTGCGCTTAGTGGAGACGAGAAAAGTGCATGTGGGGAGGCCGATCCTCTTATGCGTAGATAGGGGTACCATATCGCGACACACTGTCGAAACTCGGGCTTGCTGGCTGTGTCCGGGCACCCCATGCGGAAACTCGGAGCCCTCGTCACGATGCGGAAGGGCCACAGCCGATCTTGGGGCAATGTTGTCATCTGGCTACCCAGGTCCCGGAAAGACTAGGAAATATGCAGAGAGGGGAGTGTGTTAGTGGCAGACAGGAGTCTTCAATCGTGATTATTTTAGTCTCAAAATAGCAAGACGGCAAGGGAGTAGTCGTAAGAAGGTTACGCATTGACGAAGTACTCTAATGTTGATGCCTGACTGCCTCGAAAAACTACCATCACACCTTGTTCTTCAGGCACAAAATTAGCAATGTGGCCGCCGCATGCGCTTGCCTACACCCTCGCGCCTTTGTCTTCTCTGGTTGTCGTCTTCATCAGTCTTTGATCCCAGCCTTCTCTATTTTACGATGCAGTCGCCCAGAAACCCCATGCACCCGCAGCTACCAGCTTGATCCCCGCTGATAACCACAAAGCCGACGCAATCTGCTCCGTGGTCTTGGTCACCCAGCCCCCAAGAATGGCTCCCACCAAGGTCAATATAAACGCAATGATCCGCCGATCACGCTTTTCATTCCGCAACAAGAAGAGCTTTGGGTCTGACATGAGATCACAGAGAAGGCTGGTGATGACCACAGTCGGGATCTCGTTAAATCCCAGGGCACGACTTGCCACGATCTGACCGGCCGACTGAAGACTTAGGAGCACAATGGGAACCTCCTGGTCCCATGGAGGGGTACCGCTTGGATGCCCCGTGGCCAGAGTACTCGAGATGACATGACCCTGAATGAGCCCGGCCGCGATGATGATCACACTGGCTTGGATCAAGAATGAAAGCATCATGCATCCTCGGCGCCGGGGCCCCAGAATGCGATGAAGCCGCGCGAAGAGGAAACTCCCGATCACAAAACACCCGATGGATGTCAGAGAGCGTGTCCAGCCATATGGACGTGTGTCCTGCCCTGACGCTCCCAATCCGACGAAAATCGTGTTTCCTGCAAGATCACACACATCGTCAGTTCCCAAGCTCGCTGAATATTCGCCCGTCTGTTGTCGCAGTTTCCTTACCAGTTTGCATTGACACAAATGTCCGATACGCTGGGAGATATGGAGTCAGCTTTAGATGCAAGAACGACTGGGGTGGAAGATCGCACCGTTGTATATCGTACTGTCGACCAAGCCGGACGAGAGACAGCACGCGAACAAGATCACGTCCCCATGGTGAGGCTCCACGTCGGCCCTCAAAAACGCTGATACTCGTGAGGATGACTTCTCATCTGGCACAGCGGACGTTGGGAGCGATGTCGACATTCTGTTGAGGGGTTCGAAGACGAAATGGTGCACAAACGGGGCAAACTCCGTTGGGAGGGCGACTCGAGGTATACCCAAAAAGCTGGCCAAGAGCTCGGCCTGCCGTCTTCCCCTCTTTCGCGGTAGTCAAGGGGGTTCTCCAGCGGCATCGTGATGACGCGGACCTTATAGCCACCGGTTAAAGGCGAATTCTGCACGCGGGGAAACGCAGCGGCATAAGCGGCCTCCAGATAAGGGCCGCCACTGTCACGTCTCGCCTGCAAGCCCGGCGGGAGCATCTCCGCGCAGCAATCCGCGCCGAAGCCATTTCCATTTGCCGCTGGGATGCGCCAAGCCTCGGGGTGAATCGGTCGCGATGCCGAGCAACTTGGCGCCGTTTCTGTCTGCTCCCCCGAGATCCACTCGGTCGACGTGTGTGACGGTTCGGACGATGTCCACGAGGAAACCAGTGTAACGTTCTGGGTTCCTGGATTCCCTTTCACCGTCTGATCAGCGCAGGCTCTTTCACCGTCTTATCGTCTGCGCTGACTTGCTTTTCTTTCCGAAGAGCCCCCAAAAAATATGGTGAGCGAGGCTCTGGGATGCCTTCTCGTGCCAATCGTGGGCTCGCCACGAATGCCACCCGCATTTGGATGCCAATAAAGCCGCGGCCTGCGCCCCCGTGGCGGGCCTCTGAAGAGACTCGCTGATCTCCCGAGACTAGTGGAGAGCGGAAATCCCTTGGCGGGCCGGGGGCGGTCCTTCAGCCCAAAGGACCTCCTTGACCCCTTTCCTTATTCGTCTTCCGTGTATTAGCATCCATGGAGGGACCCCTCTTCCCCCGCCGGACTTTCATCTCCTGCAGATGCAGGTGAGAATTTTCCGCAGGAGCGGAGCGTTCGCTTCCATTCGTCATCCCCAAACAATATCAAATTGCGCATCTCCGACGCACATCTCCGACGCACGTCCGGGGTGGTCGTGGATTTTTCCGGGCATTCTCACCTTTCCTCTGGCGCCTTCCGCGCCTCCTGAATGGCCGTATCTCATCGCGTGCATTATCTGAAGCCCTAGTCTCTGCAGTTCGGTGGGATGTGGCCACTGATGACGGTGCTGAGGTCCGCTTCTCATGTCTGGGCAGGGGTCATCCGGGTCTTGTCGTTGAATCGGTACGACCCTACACCGAAGCAACAGGTCTTCTGCTGTCTTGGCGCATGGCGAAATGTTGCATCTCCAAGATACCAAGACTGGTCGTTTTGTGTGATCATGATCGTCAGCTGCAACCATGCATTATCGGTGCCCGTACTCGTAAATCCCCGGTGTGTGTGTTTGCTTGCTATCCGTGGCCTAGAGGAGACACTCGTGGTATAAATAGCCGGTGTTGATCTCGTAGATTCTTCTCGTGCAACACACTGATCCAAGCCCCACGAACGCCGTTTTCTTTACTTGCAATCCCGCCAACATGACGATCACCATCACTGTCGAGAAAGATGGGTATTATGAGGTTAACGGCACCCGGCAAGAGCCCGTTGTCAATCTCTATATCATTCCCGCTGCATCCAAGCTGCACCGCATGCTCAAGGACACGAAAGACTTAATTGTCTGTCCCGGTGTATACGATGGACTTTCTGCCCGAATTGCCATGGAGCTCGGTTTTAAGGGCCTCTACATGGTACGTGGACCAAATAGCCTTCTCGCCATTCTCCCATAGGGGGGTAATGAAATAAATGAAGAAAGAATGAAATGCAAAAAGGGGGAGAGAAAGACACTAATTATCATATTAGACCGGTGCCGGCACGACTGCGTCCCGTCTCGGAATGGCCGATCTCGGTCTGGCCCAGCTTCATGATATGAAAACGAACGCCGAGATGATCGCCAATCTGGACCCTTTCGGCCCCCCACTGATAGCTGACATGGATACGGGATACGGAGGTATGTAACGGAATCTGTCGTCTCGAACCCTCCCCGGGGCGGCCGGAAGCTACCCAACGTCCCACCGCTAAAGCTAGTTTCCAGGCCCGTTGATGGTTTCCAAGGCAGTTCAGCAATACATCCAGGCCGGCGTCGCTGGGTTTCATATTGAGGACCAGATCCAGAACAAGCGCTGCGGCCATTTGGCCGGCAAGAAGGTGGTCAGCCTAGATGAGTACCTGACACGAATCCGGGCTGCCAAGTTGACGAAGGACCGACTGCATTCGGATATCGTTCTTATTGCGCGCACAGATGCGCTTCAGCAACATGGCTACGATGAATGCATCTGCCGCTTAAAGGCTGCGAGAGACATGGGCGCCGACGTCGGTCTCCTCGAGGGCTTTACCTCGAAGGAACAGGCTCGTCAGGCCGTCCAGGATCTGGCACCCTGGCCTCTCCTGCTCAACATGGTCGAAAATGGAGCCAGTCCGCTGATCACGACCAAGGAGGCGGAAGAGATGGGCTTTCGCATCATGATCTTCTCTTTCGCATCGATTGCCCCGGCTTACCTGGGTATTCGCTCTGCCCTGCAGCGTCTGAAGACGGAGGGGGTAGTGGGAACTCCGGAAGGATTGGGTCCTCGGAAGATCTTCGAGGTCTGCGGACTGATGGACTCGATGAAGATTGATACGGAAGCTGGAGGGGATGGGTTTGCCAATGGTGTCTAAGAATTGTAATCGAACGTGTGTGTGTGCGGGTAAGGGTTTTCCTGGGCTGAGCAAGAATTACTAGTACATTATGGTTTTCTCTACATACAAGGTCATTTCAAACGTCAAGCCACCTGCCTGAATGGTAACTGTATCCATATCGTAGCAACCCTCGGCACCCATCTCGCGGCCTTTCGTCATAGCATCTCAGCTGGAGTCCCCGAAATTTGGGGCTGCAAGCCCTCTTGCGCCTTTTCCTCGTATGATGCCGGTGAGCTAATTACCACCACCTCTTTCGCTACAATAATCCACTTATTCGGGGTTTGTCGGTAAAGCATCGGCCATAAGGTCTGCCCAACTGTTCCGTCGGGGGGATATTCTCCGGTGATGCTCATCATGCGTTCTTCGCGCAAGGCCATCCCGGATGAACTCCACCAAAAGCAGTATGTGTTACCTTGCCGCTCCAGCTTATGCTTGAAGGTGACACATTTCCAGAGAATATGCTTCAACTGACTTCTTCTCTTGGTCTCATCAGTGACGGCGAAGTGTCCGAATTTCGCCTCGAAGTGTTGTACAATCTCGTCACAGGTTTCCTCCAGCTTTGTGTGATCTAGAGACGCAGCCGCGATGCTTGTCGCAGATCGCCAGTGCTGCCAGACGTGCACAGGGCCTATGTAGTTAGTGCTGTTTGCTACAAAACTCTTGTTGAGACTGTTACCATCAGCCAAGAATGGACATACAGAGCTTTTGTACCTCCCGGTCGATCGCCCGCTGACTGTATTCCCATGTCGACTTCCTGGACCCGGCCATGAAAGGCGCCAGGATCAAAACGAATAGAGATTTGAAGATTTCACTTTCGATATCGTAAAGAAGATGGGACGATGGTTCACCGGTAGGACAAACCGCGTTTTCGCCCCTCTCGTCTACGTCGGAATCGGCGGACATACCGTTGGTGAGAGGACGCATAAATTGCCGTTTCACCCAATCATCCAACTCCTGATAGAGCAGGCGCGTCGTTTGGGCTGCCTCGGTATCATCCATCGTGTCGGTCCATTTCTCGAGTCTTGCTACTTTGGCAACCAGCTCCCGGTTCTCCGCCACCGCAATATTTGCGGAGTCAGTCGCCTCATCGAGAAGCTCCTTCTGACGTCGGATCTTCTCCTGATGCGAAAGCTGCGCTCTCCGTAAGACCTCTGCTTCGGCATCCAGCGTTTCTAGCTTGCGTTGCAAGCCGGTGCACACTCGCTCCAGGCGATCCACCTCATTTCTCATGTCGTTCTTCATTTCTATATTCTGAGCGATCAACAAATCAGAATCTTTCTGAACAGCCGTTGGCGTCTTACCGCACATGTCGAGCTCATCTGGCGAGTCTGCCATGTCGAATCGTTGATTCGGCTCATCGAGCCCGGCTTCATTTCCCCGGAACATGGGAGTAAACAAATTCATCGTGTAGTACGGCCGCTTGACTGCACTGGAGGTGTGGGATAAAAGACCAGAGTACTGGGATCACGCCGATCAAGTCGAAATAAATACTGATGTGATTCATGACCACAGGGTGATACTTTCACCACATCCCCCGTCACCTCCGACGCCCGATATGGGGGCAAGCGGGAGGCAATGACGGCACGATGCGACTTCTGTTTGCGACACTCGCTCCCCTAATACCCCTTTTTACTCTTCGTTGCTGTTCAAAAGATTCCAGAAATTCTCGATTGTCTTGGCCGTTGTCGGTTTCCCCAAACTCTTCCTCTGTTGAGCGCTCCACACCGTTGAGATGGCAAGTGCGACACCACTCAAGACTAGAATAATCGTTAGCATCGATTTTGGCACGACCTTTGGCGAGTAGGTTCTTGACCTGGACTGAAACACCCAGACGCATCCTGAAGAATTAAACCCTAAATCGCCTGGGCAGTGGAAGACTGTCCTGAGGATATCGAAGTCATCCAGAAGTGGCCGGGTGGAGGGAACAACATACTCACATTCCTAGAAATCCTCTTACAGTCACTGAAAGTCTTGAAAATACCGGACAGAAGGTCCTAACGGTGCTTTACAATTGCAAAGCGAAAATCCAGTGGTGCTATCAAGTTCAGGGCGTGCCCGAGGCTATCAGAGAGATCAAGCTTCTGTTGGACGACAGTGATAAATATCGCTATGGCCCCGCAAAAAAGTCCGAAGAGGCCATTCACGAATTGGGAAAGATGGTAGTTCAGGCGTCTAGAGACTTCTCTTCGGTTCTGGTCGACCACGCGTGAGAAGTGCTGGATCGACTTTTTGGAACTGCACTCCCATACTATGGAGGCAAACTACATAGTGACAGTCCCCGGGGTGTGGTCGGACAAAGTGGAATATACTACACTCCGTGAGACATGTCTGGCACACATCCTCCAGTCGCACTTGTTTATGCTAGCAAAGGTGGAAGAAACTGCTGTCTGCGCTATCCGTACTATACAGCCAAATGACCTGGCCGTAAGTCTCAACTACTCATCAGGATATCAAAATCAAAAGACAATCTCACACGGACCAGGAGGAATAGGTCCTGGTTTGTGATGCTGGGGTTGGCACCGCGGTAGGTACTAAGATAGCAAATGCTGAGGAATCCACACTAAGCCTGACTTCCTATGCATGCAGGATCTCATCAAACACCACATCACCCAGGCTGGGCCCTTCGGCAAGAGGTATCCACAGAATGCAGGTACTGACCCACAGACTCGTCAAATACACCGATGCTAATATCCATGACCCGACTAGGAGCGACATGTGGCTCGGTGATGCTCGACGGGCGATTGAGTCTTCATTGCAGAGAGAATCGGAGTCGACAGATGGAATAGCCAGTCTCAAAACTCGAGGGCCATCACCTCAAGCACTGCCAAAACTATGTCAAACCGAGATTTGCAGGGAAGTTTGACCAAGATGGCTTTGCCGCCGCGGACCACTTCATACGGGTTCCGGGCATATCCGATGAGGCGGTGATTCAGTTGACAGGCGGTCTTCTCTATCCTAACAGGTATTTCAAGATACTTCATTCCGCGAGGCCATGGTATGGAGTTAATATTTCCGACGTTCAAGTGATCCAAGACTTAGTTGCAGCCCCAAAAATCGAATGCAGGGAAGGCCGGCTCCAAAGTTAAAGTATTGAAGATGCAAACAAGGCCATGTAAGGTGCTAACTAAATACAGACAATCCTTCTGGTTGGAGGCTTTGTGCTTCTGAGGACCTTTCAGCTGTCTTCAGAACAGAGTTGCGGGTCTTTGCATCATGCAACCATCCAACGCGGGAGTTCCAAGATCAAAAAACACCCCCGGGCTTTTGATCTGCTAATACAAACTTGCCTGGTAGATGGTCAGCAGTCGCTCAGTATGCTGAGGGAAACCATCACCCAAAACGATATTCAACTAACTGAAACAGCGAGGCCGTACATCGGGGACAGGATGGCAACCAACTAGATAACCGCAAGGCTAGATGTCATTACGGTGTCTCAATGCGGGATACGTTTGATCCTGAAGTTGACGGAAATGGAGAAACTACAGTCTGGTGCGAGCTTGAACAAGCTTGGATTTGGACGGTCAGATGAATTGGCACATTCGGTACGTGTTGACTTTTCGAGTTCTGGTGAAAATCTGCCAACAGATATGATATCCTAGGGAGACTATGCCCGAACAGAATCCCATTCATTTTAATTCTACACTATTGTCGAGAAAAAACTTTTTCGTGGTCTTCACAGTGACTTTGAAATTTTGTCAGTCTCAGCAGGCACCCAGAAGTGTCGACTCACGTAGGTCAACATGTGAGCGAGCTAAGGGACATCTTTATAAACCCTGTTAGGTGAATCAAGACTTTGCTCTTGGGGGCAGATCTACGGATGGTAAAAAGGGGACTTTGTGAAGAATGTTTGCACTCTAAAGGGAAGAAGTTTGTACCAAAGTCCACTACTACCTCGTGTTTAAAACACCCTCGGCATCGTTGCCCGTCGAGTTGGAATTCAATTACAAGTCTTATGGAATCTTTCGCTCGCGCTACCTAATTCATTCTGGAAGGAAAAGTTCTTTCACAGGTTCTAATGACGCGAATGTATTAGAAGCTATTGCCAGATAATAGGTGCTCGCATGGCTTCCACAGCGGTGGGATAGCTGGATCCGCCAATTCATGCTAATTTGCTACTTAACCTCTACCAGCATTTCGTCTCCTATAGTAAATTATTCAGAGCTTTATGCAGATATCATGATACTGAAAACTTTTAGCGACGGAACTATTCCTCTCAAAAAGAAAGTTAATCTAGACTCGACTCTCGAAATAGGAATACACTTGTGAAGCCTCCATCTTTTCTGGTGGTTGGGAGTCCAGGTCATGACATATGGGACGTACCTTGTCCCTCGAGCAAACTCTCCTAGCACAAGGGTTACAACCCCCCGCACATTGGGCGTGTCAAGCAGGTCGTGGTATTCGTGCGAGCCGCGCTCCCAGTTCCGTGCTTGCATGTTCGGCCAATAATAGTCGAACTTTGTGTATAGATCTCCGACAAAATCATGGGTTTCATCGTTTACCACATGAACACGGAAGACATATCTTAGTTCTTCTGTTTCATAGGGACGATATCTCTGACCAGTGTGGACCATCATATAGTTCACTAAATAGGGCACAAATAACCCCAGGCCCAACTACAGAATCGTAGCCATTTACGCATGTCATTCCAATAAGTCACGCCACTTTTCTCATACTAACGGGCTTGTAGATAGGTTCATCACGTAGGCCAAGCCCGATGGCCTTTTCCCAGATTGCCCGAGGATGCCCCTCTGTCGCGGCTCTCGCAGTATCAAGTACACCTGTGCGCATTGAATCCGGATGATCAACCTCGCCGCAGTTATTACCCATCCATCCGTCATGTATCAGCTCTTTCAGGGTAAGTTTTGAATGTACTACTGCGCAGCTTAAGTCAGTCGGGTCTTCTAGCAACCTTTGCCACTGGATACCTTGGATTTGCAAGGCGCCGTACATGGGAGGATCATTTGATGGACTTGCAGTATTCATTGCGTTGTTCTCTCCTGAGGGTCTGATAGTCGGTTTAATAATTTGCCTCGGGTGTTCTGTCGGTGTGGCACTGTCTGGATGAAATTAGGATATCCCCAAGGAAGTCACATTGCTTTTATAGTCAGTTCCTCGAGTTATCTGCTGGCTATTCAATGACAAAGCCTTCAAATATTGTACAGTACCGCCCAGGTTCGCCTTCCATATTGGAGATAGAGACTCTTTCAAAACCTGACCACATGATACGGTAAAAGAACACGTTTCGTACTGTAGTGGGGAGACCCCCTCCCCCTACTACATGGGTGCCATCCATGTTATGTGACATAGCCGGCAGTATACGGTGGCCGGATAGCTAGTTCTAGAATACACCTTCTTACACCTCCCCGGCCTGACCCCTACATTTGGGATTCTCGCTATTTCCTGATTGATACGCGTGTGTTTTATGGTGGTTTTCTGCTGAATCGAGCCGCACGTCTCAGCGCGTGCTGCCATCGAGCGTTCCCCTCTTCAGTACCTAACCGAAAAAACGCGAGCTCCTTTGTATAGATAGAACGACAGATACAAGAGTCTATAATTAGAAGCCTGGAACTCCTAGAAGGTTCCACGCAGACGCGACAAACAGCGCAAACAGAGCAGCAGCTGAACTGGCGAAGTGTCAACTTCTACCTTTGTACCTCGCAGGTGCTTTACTGTAGCGCTTGTTGCTTCCTAGGGGTCCATCCGGATTGAGGTGATTGGCAAATTTGAAAATAAAGTTGTGTTTCGGGATCCCCACTATTGCTTATCCTCATGCTGCGGGTTCAAATTTTATTGGATACCAGGGATTACGGGCTAACATCTTCCAGTTCTGCTAAGGTCAAGCTCATTGGAAGATACAGTGGTCATTCGCAACAGGGAACCGAAAATTATATTTCTGGAAATCTGTTTTAGGGACTTTGATAGCTAGAATAACTCGAAGACCACTTTGAATCCCTTCTAACCCAGCCTCGCCGCAGTTCAGCGCTTCTGAATAGGGCGATACGCAATCCAGTAGGTAACGTCACCTGTGTATTTTGGCTGGCCGTCCCAAGATGAATGCAATTCGCAGTTGTTGGTGTCGGTATTGAAGTTTGCACCCTGACAGGTGGAGTCTGAAGAGCATGCCTTCACGCAATATTCTTCAGTCACGTTGTCCAGATGCTTAGGAACACCAGTCGAATACGCTTTCTTGCACATGACAGTGTAAGTAACGCCATCGACTGTACGCTCGCGTCCATCATCTGGTGGGCATTGGCCAGGTGCCAGCTGCCGATGGACAACTGGGGTAGATCCACCACCAGAAGGAGGCCCGCCAGAAGGAGGCCCGCCAGACGGAGGCCCGCCAGACGGAGGCCCGCCAGACGGAGGCCCGCCAGACGGAGGCCCGCCAGACGGAGGCCCGCCAGACGGAGGCCCACCAGAAGGAGGCCCGCCAGACGGAGGCCCACCAGAAGGAGGCCCGCCAGACGGAGGCCCACCAGAAGGAGGCCCGCCAGACGGAGGCCCACCAGAAGGAGGTCCACCAGGGACCTTGGCTGCCTGACAAGCTGTGAGTTGAGCACTAGTCACCGCCTTGTCTGTCTGACATTTATCATAAGCCACCTTAAGCTTATCCCAGTCCTTCCTTGTCATTATTGTGACCGCGTCAGACCAGGGCGCAGCACCCGCACCCGCATTGTACAAGTAGCATGTACCACCGTGCCAGCTGCAAGGACCCTCAGGAGTCCTTTTGGCGCATTCGGTGGCACAGTCCTCGGGCGTTGCGACAGTGCTTTGCACATGAGCGTAGTCGCCCATGTTATGGATCTCTCCGCAGCCGTAGGTAGCCACAACACCAGTCTCAACATCCTGATCCCCCGCGGGGGGTGGATTGCAAGTTTTGTCGTAGGGACTCTGGGCGTTCGCGAGCCCGAAAAGTAAGGCAATGCCGATAAGAGAGGTTGGAGTAGCTCTCATGGCGGCTGAAAGTGGAGGAGGTATGAGAGGATAGCAATGTCTTATAAGAGATACTGATAATGCTTTGATGATTAGGGAAAGGGTAGTGGGATTCGGGGGCAGATGAGGCCTATGTATATTAGGATTACAACCATAAGCAAAAGCTGCGATATTTCTCCTTGCCTCGTCATTCATCAGGTTTGGATTTGCGAAGTCTTGTAAATTTCAGCATTATGCAGCAAATGAGCTCATTTGGAGACAATACTGCCTGGGTAGCTGCCGTGTAACATAGGGTGGAGACGCAGCAGCCTCGATGGTAGTGACTGCGTGTAGCCCTTACTTCCGTTATAGCTGCAGGTTAAATGGCTTCTGGTCACTTCTATAATTAGTTCTAGGCAAATTGGCCGTTTGAAGCGTCGAACGATAATATACAACCATCCTTCATGATTCGATCATTCACAATGCCAGCAGTATATGGTGCTACCACGACTTGCCAAAATAGCAATGAAACCTTTTATGGAAAAATGATTTTTTCTCTAATTATTGATCGATCATGCTAAGCTCAAGTAACACACGTCGATTACGTAGATCTGTTAATAGTGCAGCGCTAGCTCGATGGCCCAAAGAATATCGATTTCCAGGCTATATGCCGCACCCTAGGCTATCCTTACATTAGGTGATGTAGAGGTTGTCATGTGCCAGCCTTGATTATAACACTTACATTTTGCCTCTGTGCCTTCCCAGTGGCTGGCCCAATAGTTACATCCCTGTATTCTGAATCAACCAAGTTTAATACCGTCATTAGTATCGCGAATTACCGAGGTATGATCAACAAGTATAAAAGATAAATGGTTGTATCCCGAGGGAGAGGATCACATATCCCTCGGCTCGCTTAAGGGCTGTAGCAAGTTTTCTTGTGAAAATGCTAGAGAAAAGACATTATGCAGCTTGAGCTCTCTCTCGGGCGCAGATTACTGAAACCACAACACTGGAAGAATCTGTCGGACTTTCGGATATCGGTATCGACTAGTACTCGTGAGGGGCCAATTGAACCATCCCAGCGATCGATTGATTGACTGAAGAACTATCTGTCGGCTCCCGTTCAGGATGCCATCTATTCAGGGGTTTTTAGTGTTACAGCGCTGCTTTTCCGAGAATACCCGATTACCATGCAAAACAGGTAGGAGATTGGGTATCTGCTGAATCATCCTGCTCCTGATTGTAATAGTTAACTATCAGTCTCTCCGATCGACAGAATCCTTACAGAAAGTTGTGCATGCTGTACAACGATTTCTTCGCTAGCTCAGTTCCTGTTTCAGTCCTGAGGATACACCGCTTGAACCCAGTTGCTACACCTTGCCTAATCCTGCAAGTTCTTGCCTTGCTTTTTCTGTCCTCTTCAAAGTGGGTCGCTCCCTATGTGTGATCATCTCTGTTATATATTAAGAGCCTCCTTACTTAGGACTGAAGTATTGCTCCTGCTTGCATATTACACAGATCGACTATTTATTGGCAATTTACTGACGCAGCCAATCTCGCTCGGAAGCGATCCTCACATTTGAATAAACAAGTCCTGGGTACGTATCACTGATTGGACAGGAAAAGTCTCACTGAGATGCTGCTATATGATTTCTGAGCAATGTTTACTTACCGTGAGTCCATAAATACCTCCCTCTACCACTCATTTTTACCAGAACGAAGTACACCCCTTTCATTCATCTCTTCTTACAATGGCCAACACCAAACTTATTCTGCCTTTTGCCCTTGTGGCTTTGGCTTCTATGGGCGCTGCTCAATCCTCACTCCCAAATGATGCTCCCAGCACTTGTCCCTCTCTTGGTGGCCAGTCCGCTACCGTTGGAGGCGTTGTTAAGGTCGAGTGCGACACCTGGTACAATGGTTATGATTCTGTTCCAACCTCGGCCTCGACTCAACAACAGTGTGGCGAGCAGTGTCACGCATCAAATGACTGCGAGGGAAGTATTTGGGTTGCCGCAGCAGCAAAATGTTACCCAATTCGCCAGAGTCTCGGGGCCCCTCAGACAGCGAGCGGATATGTTACACTCCGTCCGGATCGCAGTGCTACCCCTCCTACTTCCTGCCAGGTCCCTGCGTTTAAATACTGCAACTCCGGTGGATCTGACCAAGTTGTTCAAATTGGAAATGTTTCTATGAAGAAAAAGTGCCACGTGAATATGGGCAAGCCACAGATGTCTCTTCTGAAGGTCGTGAAGGGGCTAAGTCAAGCGGAGTGTGCTTTAATCTGTGCTCTTAACAAAGGATGCTTGAGTGCCTACCACGTGGAAGTTGCTTCATCAACCACGGGCGAATGCCAACTCCAAACAAACAATATTGAATCTCAACTAAATAAGGGACCACTCGACGTGGCTTTTATTCGAGTGTGAGCTTGATTATCTCAAACATCTACAAATGGGACCTGGGCCATCTTCAGAGGAAGGCCCCAATCGGGCCAAAAAGTCCGACAGGTTACAATATATGTTTGACCTTGCTGTGGAGGAAAGAATGCTATCGCTGTTCACTTTTTCCGGTCTATTTTATAGGCAACGCGGGGTATATCTTGCATTCTTCACTCCTTGAACTATGCCGCTCCTGGTACGCTAAATCCACGTTATTAACTGTCGAGGATAGTGGGGTAGCACCCGAAATAGCTCAGTTCCGTTTGTGTCGTGATATCTCCATTTGTACTAGGGGATTCTCGACACTCCGAGATCGGGAGGTTCACCCCCTCACCCTACTCATGTAAGCAAGGACACCCTAGTTAACGTGTCCTCGCAGCATACGCTCTTTTCTTCTTTTCTTCTTTTCTTCAATTAATTCATCCTATCTTTTTGGATTGGTTCGCCTTGGTAGATTAGCCCCATTCTTGCATACAATGCCATACTGTATCAGCTAGCTGCGACATTGACTCTTTTATTGAGTCCACGTATACTTTCAATTGATAGAGTACTTATAGTTTTTCTACAGCAAATGATTGTCGAGTTCAAAGTCAGGGGTAAATCATTGCTAACCTGCCGGAAATACAGTCAACTCTCGCTTATGGCACAACCCACCATCCAACAGAATTTGCGTGCCATAAGTGAATTGTGCTTAGTTACGTTATTGTGATCGGATGACTAATTTGGTTATATTGATCGACATATATTCATTCCTAATTAGGAAGTCATCCAATGTCCTCTGTTTCCTCCCATCCAACTGTAGCCTATTGAATAGACATTCTAACCCCTCTATTTGACGTATATTTTCCTCAGTAGTGACCTCTTCATGCTGAGCCCATAGAAGAACTTTCTGAATACTATTAATAGCCTCAGCACGAGACGGAAACTTTATTCGTGGTCCACATATATATTCGTCATCCTGGTCATCATCATTAACGTAGTTCCCAAGCGAGCCGCCCACCCAAGCGAACCGCCCACTTCGACCGAAAACGCGTTCCGACGCGTACCCACCATCTTCGACCACTCACCATGCCACCAAAACACGCTCAATCAAGCCGAAACTCGAATGAACAGGAAGGCCGAATCCTCTTAGCTATCAGAGATATTCAGAATGGCTCTACTGACTCTATACGCACGATCGCAGCGCGGTACCAGATACCGCGCTCAACACTTCGAGACCGCGTCAACGGCCACCAATATCGAGTGGATACACATGCCAATAGTCACAAATTTACTAGATATGAAGAAGAATCACTTGTCCAGTGGATACTCTCTATGGATTCACGTGGTGCAGCCCCTAGGCCTTCTGATGTGAGAGAAATGGCTAATATTCTACTTGCCGACCGTGGAAACACCCCCCATCAACTGTTGGAAAAAATTGGGCAACAAATTTTATCAAACGCCAAGAAGAGATCAAAACTCGTTTTTCAAAACGCTATGATTACCAACGTGCCCAAAATGAGGATCCAAAGGTCCTACGTGAATGGTTTAAAACTCTTCAATCTGCAATCGATGAGAATGGCATCCAATTAGAGGATATATATAACTTTGATGAGACTGGTCTTGCGATGGGCCTTATATCAGCACAAAAGGTGGTTACGCGAGCTGAGTTTTATGGTCGCCGGGCAGTTCTACAACCTGGAAATTGTGAGTGGGTGACTACAATCGAGTCAATCAGTGCAGCAGGTTTTGCTCTTCCACCTTGTATTATCTTCAAAGCCAAAAACCACAACATCAGTTGGTTTGATGGCCTTCCAAAAGATTGGCGATTTGAAGTTTCACCTAATGGCTGGACTTCAGATGAAATTAGCGTCCGATGGCTTCAAAATCTATTCATCCCATTCACGTCAAGTCGGATGAAAGAAAACATCGCCTTCTGATTCTTGATGGCCATGGTAGCCATCTCACGCCTCAATTCGACCGGATTTGCGCTGAAAACTCAATTATCCCACTCTGCATGCCAGCACATTCATCCCATCTTCTTCAACCGCTAGATATTGGATGTTTTGCTGTTCTTAAACGTGCCTATAGTCGTCTGATTACCAATCAAGCACGGCTAGGATTCAATCATATTGATAAGCTCGATTTCCTAGCAGAATATCCTCAGGCGCGAAAAGAGACCTTTAAACTAGAGACTATTTAACATAGTTTTACAGGAGCAGGTCTAGTTCCACTAGACCCAGAGTGTGTGCTCTCAAAGCTCAATATTTCACTCCGAACACCAACACCACCACCCAGCCGCCCAAGCAGCCGATCTAGCCAATTCAGTCCAAAAACACCGAAAACAGTCAAACAACTACCGAAGCAGTTCTCTTCACTCAAAAATTACTTAAAAAAGGATCAAGAAGCCCTCCTTCCCCGTCAAAGCTTGTCCTAGATCAGATTATCAAGGGCTACTGTATCTCAATGCATACCAACGTGGTACAAGCTCAGGAAATTACTGATTTACGGGCTGCGACTGAGAAGAAACGGCAAAAGCGGGCACGAACGAATCGCCTAGTTCGATATGAGCAGGGTATTACAGTTGGAGAGGGCCTGCCATCACCAGTGCAGCCAGTGTAGCCAGTTGAACCTGTTGACCAGCCTCCGCCCGCACCAGTTAAATCGCCTATCCTGCCACCCCCACCAGCCCAACGTGCACCCCGGAGATGTAGCGGCCGCAATAATGTTGGACATTCAATTACCCGGTGCCCTAATAGATAGTTTTTGAATTCATAGTGTTTTCGGTACTTTTATCTACTTTTGAATCTTTAGTAATCGGTCAGGTGGCCGACTCGGTAGTGAATTCCGTTGTCAAAAGTTGAGGTGTCCCTATCAGTTCCCGGGTTCCAAGCAGAGAAACATCTCGGCAAAAAAAATGACCCTATTTGCCGGTAGAGCCTTGGCATGTCAATCGATCCCTTAGCCAATGATTGGAAACTATATGATTGGCGGGCTAAAAATAGAAGGTTGTGGCTGAATCAATTGAAATCTTTCGTCACTGGGTCAGTTACAGAGTGCGCCAGCTATGGTACAATGTCAGGAAGTAGGATACATGCACGGGCTGGTCTCGAGGCTGGCAATTTGATGGTCATGATGTATTGAAAGTGTGAGTATGTTATGATCTATGAAAATGACTCAGGGGCTTTCTACTCTGTGTTGCAACACACTGTTTCGAAAAAAGTACGATTACCATGCATTTACTATGGCAATGTGAACGCCTGCAAAGAACCTAGAGCTGTTGGAGCTCCAAGGCCTTTTACCTCTCTGACAGTTGACATGACATAATAGCCTGCTCGGGATATCTGTACTCGGTGCTTGCAACACTCTTAGAGAAAAAATGATGAGCGTTCGGAAGCAGCCTATAGTTATATATTCAAAATATTTGCCAGGTTCATGGCTACGCCTGCTCTATTCCTCTGCACACACACTAATAAGGGGGATGGTGTGATCCACGAGTAACAGTTACATAACTTCTTGGTAAATCACTGGGGACTGAAGAAACAGGGTCAACAACTCCGTGTCTTGGCAGTCCTTTCCCTCAGTAAAGGCACCATTCTGTGAAAGATATTCCCGGTCGCTGCACGGAATTTATCCGGCCAGGGTCTAGGCAGGGATGTCGCTGTATCAAGTAAAACGATGGCTTCGCATGACACTTGTGGAAATAAGGGCGTTCCTACCGAAAGCGTACCATGCAGGGCACCGTTCTTCTTGAGGAAGGGGACTTCGGTGATCATCTTGGCGTCTTAATCATCTAAAAGTAAGAGCTGAAAGTATTAATACATAGCGATGGCTATGAATTTCACTCTCACTTTCTCACTCACAGACAATCTCGAAGATTGAGGCAAAGTTCGAAATTTTACTTGACGAAAGTTCCATTACCTGTGATCTTGTCTCTTTGCCAATTTATAATGATCTTCCTCTCTACCCTCTTAGCCCTGGGCCTTCTAGCCACAGTTGGCACCGCCTCATCCTCGGGCTGCGGCACACAGCCGACCCTCACAAATGGAGTCCACAACATCAATGACCGCGAGTACATCCTCAAGCTCCCTGACAGCTACGATCAAAACAAACCACATCACCTCATTTTCGGCCTTCATTGGCGAGGCGGAAACATGAACTCTGTCGCCAACGGCGAGGGTGTTCAACCTTGGTATGGTCTCGAAAGCCGAGCACAAGGCAGCGCAATTCTGGTAGCTCCTAATGGCAGGAACGCTGGCTGGGCCAACACCAATGGCGAAGACGTAGCCTTCATAGACGCCATCATCAAGCAAGTTGAGGATGACCTCTGTGTGGACACGAGTTCTCGCTTCGCGACGGGATTCAGTTGGGGTGGGGGCATGAGCTACGCGCTTGCTTGTTCGCGGGCAAAGGTGTTCAAGGCAGTGAGCGTGTTGAGCGGTGGACTGATCAGCGGGTGTGATGGGGGCAATGATCCTATCGCTTATTTGGGTATTCATGGGATTAACGACCCCGTGCTACCCTTTGACGGTGGGGTAAATTTGGCGAATAAGTTTGTTGGGAATAACGGGTGCCAGCCAGAAAATGTTGGTAAAACTGGGGCCGGGAGTAATGGTTTCGTTCGAACGGACTTTCAAAGATGCTCCAGGCCAGTGTCGTTTATTGCCTTTGACGGGGGACACGACGCTGCACCCCTTGGCATTTGGAATTCTCTGGCCCCGGATGCGACTTGGGAGTTTTTCATGGCCGCTTAAAGTCGGACGTACCATTTGGTAGTGTGATTACTGTTGATAAGTAATGAATATAACCCGGTGAATTGTTCATTTTGCGCTAGAACACTAGAGAGTAAAAGCTCATGTCAAAGGAATATATACAAAAACATGTTGACACCAAACCCACAGCGGCATCTATTGAACAATAGGAAAGGCGTTTCGCTGACTGGTGAGTACGTATCGGTGACGTGATATGGTTTCATTTCGAGAAACCTGCGGTGGAAGATACTGGGGAAATTTGGTGGCGCATCCAACAGTGTGTCAGGCCTGCTGAGAGTCTTTCAAGCTGGTAGAGGACGCAGATCAGACAATGCCTCGCGAGCGAAGACGGCGGAACATGTGTTGAATTTCGGGGAGGCTTCACAACAGTTTCGAACTGGGATACCAGGAAGACGGCGTAACAATAAAACGGCATTTGGCCACGAAGGGCCTCGGTGAGGCTATGCTTGTTTCCATAAGTGATACATGTTTAGGAAAGGAGAATGACAAGCACGTCCAGCAGGCAGTCACAATGGGATGAATTGTTGGAGGCGATTGGGATGGCCCCTCAATGCAAGGGCATTTTCTACCCACCAAGAATACAACTAGTTGTCAGAAAATAAGCAATATACAACATTGTCAGGATGAGGAATTGATGTACTGGCTAGTACTGAGCATGTCCAATAGAATCAGATGATTGATAGGTGTTAAGATCGGTTGAGCGATCTCAGGGGTCTCTATATTTTGAACTATGGCGTGTTATGACACCATACTAGGTGGAAATTGCGTGAACGATGAATAAGCCGATCCCAAAGGGACCTAGTGGTATTTAACCACTTCCTCAGGTCGTCAAACATTCCTGTAACGGGACTCAGGTAGGTACCTATCAGTGGTGTTGAACTCAGGTCCTCAGCGGTCAACAAGGCTGATCCCTCAACAATACGCTTGACATGTACCTTAACTATATTAACTTTAAAAATAAGGATATCTTAACTATAAAATAAGGATATTTTATCGAGTTCACCACACCGGTTTTCGAGAACTTGACTTTGAATCCACTTGCGAACCTGCCTACGGATGATGTTGATACTGTTGACGATTAGAAGACTCCGCAGGAGGCCCAGACTCGCTAGTGCACTTGCTGCGGCGGTATGTATCCAAAATTGAATTTAATTTCGTTGATCAGACCCATCGCCCCGATCCCTTCATACATTGCGCTACATGCAGATCGCAAATCTGCTGAGCTCATTGGCCAGCCCATACCGGTATATAAAACTGCTCACGGCGTGTTGATAAATCCTAAGCTCCCTATTGCCCAGGTTTTCGGTATAGCATGCCCCCGCCAGCCGTTTGGATTTGCCCGTGTAGCGGACCCGCCGTCCCGGCGCCAGTTGGATTTCGCTCCCAGTCCCGTCACAACACTTTACAGAGACCTAGTCTTGGCCGTATGAAATAAGGTCTTGCCGTTTTTATAAGACTCTCATCGGCTTGCCAGGCGAGACATTTACTCTTCCCAGGGCAATCCTCTATTTTCTAACCACTGCAGCGATGAATTCCTGGGATTTGCATATTGACTATGGATTTATCCTTCAGGCCACCTAAGCGAAGCGAGGGCTGTAGCCTGCATATCGCTTCGGCTGTCGTTATAAATCTCCACAGAACAGACTGAGTGAGAATTCGTATTCAGGTATAATGGCAAAATCAATTTCGGCGAGTGCATTAGGGTAGATGAAGTCTACCTACGTACCCACAATGTAGGCAACGAATAATAGTCTTCTTATATCGAAGTTCGCCAGCGAATAGTAATGAAACCGGACCTGAGCATTCCATGTTGATCCGCCGCTGCACATCTCCTTATGCATGAGCCCTATCGCCATGTGATCTCGTATCCACATAGTCACCATCTCAGAACTGTCACAATCTCGTCTTCACAGCTCTGTTACCATATCCCATTACCGAATATTCTTTATTTCTTCAAAGTGAGCACAGCCGGACTCCATGGTAGGGAATTATAGTTGCCACCGGAATTTGGGTTTCGTCCCTGATAGAGGAACTGCAGGTTGCATGGGTCGATGGTCATTGTTTGGTCAGGGTTGGAACGAACCAAATCGCCGTGACTAATGTCGTTTGTCCAGGTTGCCCCGCTGTTGGCTTTCCCGGCGAAGGGCTTGCTCTCGCTTGCTGCCTGAGCCGTCCACGAACCGCCAAGACTACTGGCAGTGAATGAACGGAAATATCGCCCTTGTGATCCAATTGCCTCGACGATCATCAGGTACTTGTTTTGACCTTTCAAGGTGTACACTTGGACCGCCTCAAATAGATTGTTCTGAGTATCACTCAGCACCACCTCTGATGTTGTTCCGAAGTTTCCAGGGAAATTGTTAATAGGCATGCTAGAACGATAGATCTTGCCATTGTCTCCCGCAAAGAAAAGATACATATGCGTAGCATCCCCGATAAGAGTCTGATCAATGGCGCCAGTACTTGAGCCGGAGATTTTCCCTGAAAAAAGGGCTTGCTCCGATGACCATCCATTAGCATTGGTAGGGTCACTTGAAGTTCGGTAGGTAAACGTGCTCGAGCCCCATTGATAGGCCAGGACCCAGATATTCTTTGGCTGGAAGTAGAACAAGGTAGGCGCAACAGCTGTAAAGCTCATTGCAGTTTGGCTCGCAGACGCCATGCCAGACCAATCCGAAAAGGTGCCGAAGTTCATCGAGCCATAGTTCCCACTTATGTCGGTGGTGGATGCATAGACCAAATGTTTGTTATTGAAGACCACATTGGTGAAGTCTTTGATTGCCGTCCATCCGGACTTAGGATTTGCAAGAGCGCCAGTTGATGTCCAACTGTAAGTCGATGGAAGAGCGCAGTCGGCGACGACAATTGGCACTGATGTGAGCAAGAATGTGCTAGTAACCAGGCCAGCTTTTAGCTTGAAAAGTCTCATTGTCGTTGAGGTTCCGGTTGTCGATAGTTTTGATGATTGAATACAGGAAGCAGATTTCAGAAGCATCTAGCTAGGAGCCGAGCTCCTATAAATAATGCAAGTACAGCCTATAGTTTGAATAGTTTAGCGACGGAACTTTACACCGGAGGAAATGAATCAAACTTGTCCTTCCTCTTCCTGGATAAACTCCGCAGTGTTTCAATTAAAGTATGACGTTTGGTTCAACTTTTTGATTTGCGGCCCTCCCAGAGAGATGGTTCCGGAGTGCTGGCTGGGTAATCTCGATTAGTCAGAAACCAGTCAGTGGCCGGACTGTTACCTTTCTAGGTATGGTACCGACATGAACCCCGCACCAGTTTAACCATTCCATCCTTGTCCTTGTAAATTACGGAGTTGTGGGAACTATCGCTGAGGCTGGGTAAATGCATCAAAGATAATTGTGAATCTAGACCTGGGCTTGATGGTGACGCTGAACGGATTAAACTTGTGCTGAAACGTTATCACCATTGGGCTGTTTCACTTTAAAACACACATGTGTCTCAGAGCAATTTCTGCTCCGGGGTTATTATCTTTTCGGTGCGAATAATGCTTGCTAAAGCTCCTTGAAGACTGTTGGAAATTATTTGGTTCGGGGATACCTCGGGGGATTTAGCCGGGCGAAGTTTAAAGTGTCTTAGCGAAGGTGGAGCTTCTTAATATGGATGACTTTAGCGTATAGGTGATCACCATGGTATCCACAATTGGACCCTTCCTTCGTTTCTACAAGCCGCATTGTTCTTTCCTTGAACACAGACTAAGATTCATATGCAATTTTATTGGTATATGCCTGGGCTACCGCCTGCACTGGGCGTACGTGAAAGGAGCTTGGCGGTTTTGCCGTCTCCAGCCTAAAATCTTCTATGCGATTATTTAGGCTATCGAGTACCATTTTTCCCGAGCTTTTAGCAAATTGAACCAAATAGACAACATACGTTCTCCATCAGTGAAACAGGTATTTCGTAGATGATGCAACATCCGTTTTCAATCGGGAAGGATGTCCGTTCTGCCAGCACGTCGATTATGAACAATCTTCCTGAGAAAACTTTGACTTCTGTTCTGTATAAGTATTGTCTTCAGCCTTCCCAGGAGGTATCTTTCTTCTGTCACCCTAATTTCTTTTTTCCACTCGAAATCCAAATCGTTTCTCAATATGGTTCAAATCAAGGCAGCTGCCCTGGTTATCCTTTTCGCTGGCCAAGTGCTTTCTGGACTTGTTGAACCCCGACAGGCATCCGTGAGCATTGATGCCAAATTCAAGACACACGGGAAGAAATATCTTGGCAACATTGGTGACCAGTACACTTTGAACAAGAATGCAAAAACCTCGGCAATCATCAGAGCCGACTTCGGTCAACTGACACCAGAGAACAGTATGAAGTGGGATGCTACTGAGCGTGAGTACAAATGTTCGTGAAATACTATTTTATCAAAGGCTAATTTGCGGAATAGCAAACCAAGGGCAGTTCTCCTTCACAGGGTCGGACTATCTGGTATGTATCCAGTTGGCCTTTACCAAGGCAACCGGTTCTTCGCCCGATCCTTACAAAATGTAGGTCAATTTTGCTCAGTCAAATGGGAAGTTGATCCGTGGCCATACTCTTGGTAAGTTCTTGGAGCCTAAAGATTCACACATATTACAATAAAAGAAAACTAAACCCTTCAAGTGTGGCACTCCCAGCTCCCATCCTGGGTATCTTCCATTACAGACAAGACCACTTTGATAAATGTCATGAAGAGTCACATTACCACAGTCATGAACCGTTATAAGGGCAAAATCTACGCCTGGGTAAGTTGTATTATTTTTTTATACAACCACATTACTGATCGGTCTCAGGATGTTGTGAATGAAATATTCAACGATGACGGTTCCCTACGCAACAGTGTATTCTATAATGTTATCGGCGAGGACTTTGTACGAATCGCTTTCGAAACAGCTCGTGCTGTCGACCCAAATGCAAAGCTCTATATCAATGACTACAGGTGAGCCACAGCCAATTCTCATTGCCATTGCTATTCTGGTTTAATTCTGATCTTACAAAGCCTGGATTCCGCCTCCCATCCTAAAGTGAACGGTATGGTCAGCCATGTCAAGAAGTGGATTGCTGCCGGTGTTCCCATTGATGGAATCGGTAAGACACCTACCATAGTTGTTCACAGTATATGATTACTTACTCGTCAAAGGCTCTCAAACCCACTTAAATGCCGGTGCCGGTGCTGCAGTTTCTGGATAAGTACACTCCTGCGTCTTTTCAATCGAATCATAGCTTATAGCCTCTCACAGCTCTTAATGCTCTAGCAAGTGCGGGAACGAAGGAGGTTGCCATCACAGAGCTTGATATTGCTGGCGCCAGCCCTACCGACTATGTGAACGTGAGCCAACCCCCCTCCCTCTGTAATTACATTACTTGAATTATAACTCCTTGCTAATCACCTTTTCCACAGGTCGTAAAAGCATGTTTGACCCAACCAAAGTGTGTTGGGATCACAGTTTGGGGAGTGGCTGACCCTGTAAGTGCCTAATACCAGTTTTGTCCAGATAAATATACTTCATACTAATACCAGGTGATGCTCAGGATTCGTGGCGCTCCAGCTCTAGTCCTCTGCTTTTCGACAGTAACTACAATCCCAAGGTTGCATATAATGCTATCGCAAATGCCCTCTAATGGCAAGACCTAACGTGATCATATTCACTTGATCAACTGGCTAGGACTCGAGATTCATCAGGGTTCGGTGTCAAGGGAAAAAACCACTGAGATCATTACTGCCTGGATGCTTGGCAGAATCGTGTACATAACCGAGTAAGAACGAGCGGTCAACCTACGGGTTAAGACCCCTCACCTTGAGACCGATACGCTTGAGTTCTTCAGATGTCAATCTTGTTTTTACGAGAATACACGTATCCTACCTAATCCCCTCTTGCCTAACACTTAGTCACCTGGCGCCAACTAACCTGGCTGTTTTCTCTATATGAAATCTCTCAACTCAATAGGATTGAAATTTCCGGAACTTGAAGACGCTCCGTAGGGTTGCTGATAACTTCCGATCTATCAGCTGGATTAAGTCGTGGACACTTCTGTCTGCAGGATTCTATTTCTGAGACAGTTTCACTCATCCTCATTGTCCTTTAGTCAATCATCCAGGAAAGATGATGGTTACTTCTATTCTAGACAAATTTACCATTCACGGCCCAAATGGCAATCATGCCTACTACGTTACAGCGCCCGTGACCTCTAGTCTCTTCGACATGAAAGATGGTTCATGGATCCGTTTATTCCAGCTTCATGTAGCCTGGTCTCTGGCTGCGCAACTCGTCCTTAATGTGGATTATGTGCATTCTCAAGGAATTGTTCATGGAGACCTTCACCTTAGGAATATTCTCCTCAAAATTCCGCCTAATTTGATCAGCTTTCACCTAAACAATTATATGAGAAATATGGAGCACCGGAACTAGGCCGTGCTGGGCGTCAAGATGGCAATCCGCTTCCACTTGGTGCCCCAAACTATAGGATTGCGTCCATATAGTTAGGGGAAGCGAGTGAAAGAATTACACTTTCAGACACCAGGATCGTGCTTACAGACTTTGGTAAGGCCATTTCTCACTCAAAAGAACAAAAGTATAAATCTTGCATCCCCAGTATCATCCGCCCCCCTGAGGCGCGATTTGAACCAAATAAGCCACTGTCTTTCTCAACATACATTTGGACTCTCGCCTGTACCATATGGTCTATCATCATTCAACGGCCATTGTTTGAAGGATTTCTCGCAACAGAGGACGACATGACATGTGAGCATGTCGATACTCTTGGTGTTCTGCCACTTGAATAGTGAAGGAGGTGAAGCGTGACGACTGAAATTTACCGAAGACGGCAAGCCAATGAACCGCAACACTTTCCTGTCTTGGGACGATCGGTTTGAGAATGGCGTGCAATAGCCCAGGCGAGATAGCGGCATACCGTGGTTTGATATAAACGAAAAGGACGCGATCTTCGATATGCTTCGGCAGATGCTCTCATTCAGACCTGAGAATTGCCCTACCACCAAGGAAATTTTTGAGTCAGAATGGATGGTAATATGGGCTCTGCCTGAAAATGGCAAGATCTCTGATAATGTATGAGTTACACATTATTTTCTAGATTGGATGCATACTTTGCAATACATACCTCGCAGTTCCTTAATTATCGCAGCAGGTGATCATTTGCTATTTCATACTAAGAGTGAACGAGTCGCATAAGCGCCCATTGGCAAACCATGCCTTCTTCAGATACTGAAGGGTCTTGCTAGCGAGATTCTTATCACCCGGTTCGCGCGACGCTGGAACTGTGCTCACGCAGTTTTCTCCCCGGCGGCATCTAGCCAACCACTGTTCGGACAGATGACGTAATGTCACATGTCACAAAGTAACTAGAGAGCGAGTATCTGTGCCTTTCTGCCCACCCACACCGTCCCGTTGTGGGTGCGCCCCAGCGTAATTACCAACCCCACCGTAATTACCAATTTGATCACATTCAAACTACATACACGATTTATCAACGCATCGGCTCAGGATCTAAGAAAAAAAATCCCCGTTCTCTTGCGCTACCCTCGCTGCTTCAATTGATGCCTCACTCTCCTGCATAACCAAAGGTGGTGGCTTGCAACCATATAGCTTCTCGTAGTCTCTAGCTAGCCGTCTCTTTTCTGCCGTAGCTTCCTTGGCCTTCCTAGTCGCAATTGATCGATTCGCATCGCGTGTAGTTAATATACCAGTGTGACTAAGGCCCTTAATCTGCCGCTTGGTCTTAGATCGCTGTATTGGTTCTTGTACGGCCCTAATTCGCGCAATTGTATCATTGGCCATAGCGAGGTGATCAACTGCGATACGACTATGTTGGAAAATACGCTCAAGATTGCGCTGTAGCTTTGGCGTAAGAATATCTGCGTGCTTTGATAGCTTTCCCTGGTTCTTCTGGAGTGCTTCAGTCGATTTTGGAGGTGTATTTTCAACGCTGGACGATGAGAGATTGGCTGGTGGCGGAGATGGTGTGTAGGAGCCATAAGAACGAAGATCAGGCGCGATTAGATCAGGTATAGTATCCCAACCATTAGATAGCTTGCTTAGGACCTTGCTAGCATCAACTGGGTAGATACCACGATCTTTGAAAGATTCACGAATAGTTCGCTGGTTAAAGGCTTTAGATCGTACGGGCCCGATTACCCGTAGAAATTCAGCCTTACCCATCGGCTCGCCTGCCCAATAAGATATCTCGTTGTTTAGGCTTCGAAAGTGCTGTTTATAGCTGAGAAACGGCTTGCCGTCAAGCGGCTGGCAAAAGATGTGTGGAGTGAGGTAAAAAACCAAAAGGTAGAATATCGTTGTCTTCGCATTTTTGTAAGAATTCGAGGGTAAGGTGCGCACCGTGGCCATCGAAGATTAGGATGCGCCTCTCACTCCGCTTCGTACGATTGCGAGTAGCCTCGATAAAATAATCAAGCCATTGATTAGCTAATTGATCAGAGATCCAGCCATTAGGTGAGGTTCCAACCATCGTACTAGGTGGTAGATCTTCGCTGCCGTCGAACCAGGCCTCCATAAAGACCCCGCCGCTTTTGAATATAAATAGCGGATCCATCTGCCACCCATCGGCAGCAATACATTCAAGCGCAGTAATATTTTCGCCTCGCTCAGTCTCAGCAAGATCAGGGCCAGATCTTGTATTCTTCCTACCAACCACACGCTGGTTTTTACCCTCGCCTGGCCGGAACCCACACTCATCGAAGTTGTATACTAGCCGCGCAGGTACACCTTTAAGTAGATTTTTGAGCAGATCGTACCAGTGGGCTAGTAGGCCTACATCTTCTGCTTGGATACGCTTCGATTCCTTCGTACGCTGATTCACTGGACCTAGCTGTAGGTCTTGTGGGAGACGCTTAATAAAGCGATATACCCACATCTTGCCAACCTTCTGATCAGGCTTACCAGCGCGTGCAAGCGAGCGAATTGCCCACGCCTCGATTAGCCTAGGCTTTGGTGGCATATTCCAATCGATTAGTTGGCATATCCAGCGCGTCAAAGCTTCCTCTTGAGCCCTATCTAGGACCTTATTGACTGGCTTCCTAGCTGTACGAGCCTGCATGCCCTTTCTGACGCGATTCTGGAGGTTCCGCCGATTAACACCAAATTCACGCGCAATCTTGGTTATATTTGGTTTTTCTTCGCGTCTAGCCGCTTCGCAGGCCTCGATCATTCGAGATTCGTCAGATTCAGCGATTTTAGGCATGGTGGGTGGAAGATATCGATTCGAATAGGATGGTGGTAGGTGTTTGAGTCAAATTGGTAATTACGCTGGGGTTGGTAATTACGCTGGGGCGCACCCACAACGGGACGGTGTGGGTGGGCAGAAAGGCACAGATAACAATTCATCTGCTCGGCTCACCAATACTTCATTCACGAATTTCCTAACCAAGGCCAAGGCCAATTCTAGGAATGAAAGGAGTTATATGTCATCTCTGAGAGAGCCTTTTAGCGAGAGCTGGGGATAGGGCCTACAAATCTATCTCTTAGGGATTGCTATCTACGGTTGTGAGTGTTGTAATTCAAAGGAAGATTGCTTGTATTCCTTCTGGACAGAAAACTTGAGGGTTTACATACACATGCGACCTCCAGATTGATTTCCAATCAAAGCTGGTAATTCCGTGAGGTTAGGAATTGATTCCGTTACGATATGACATATCACAACAGTCATAACACGCCATAGTTCAATATAGAGACCCCTGAGATTGCTCAACCGATCTTAAAAAACCTTCAATCAATCATCTGTTTCTATTGGACATGTTCAGTACCAGCCAGTACATCAATTTCTCATCCTGACAGATTGTCCTAGATCAGATTATCAAGGGATACTTTGTCTCAATGTATACTAATGCGCTACTAGCGCAGGAAGTTGCTGATTTACGGAGGCTGCGAATGAGAAGAAACGGCAAAATCGGGCACGTACGAATCGCCTAGTTCGCTGTGAACAGGGTGTTATGGTCGGCGAGGGCCTACTGCCAACAGAGCTGCCAGCGCCGCTTGTTGAACCTATTGAGCGGTCTCCATCTACAGCAACCGAACAGCCTATTTTACCACCTCAACCAGCCCAACGTGCAACCCCTTACGTGCAGCGACTGTAACCGTGTGGGCCATAGAATCACCCTTTGCCCTAACAAGTAGTTTTTAAACATCCGTTTTTGGGTAGTCATATCTGGACTTGAAAATGTAGTGGTGGGTCGGGTGCGCGGCTCGCCCATGGATTACGTTAAAATTTCAGGCTGTTTCGACGAAATGAAAAGAAGTAAAACAGGACTATCACATTTACAGCCTTTTGAAAGACATGCCGTATTGCAAAATCAGTGGCAACGCCTATAGTGTGAGTGTGCACCTTTGTCACTTCGCTAGCTGGCTACCAGTTTATGAAGGAATTCATCAGCATCCGTGTATTGCTGCATCCATCTTCGTCTATCGTGGATATTTGGATATTTCCGCCCTTAGTCAAGAAGCGACTGAATTTAAAATCTCCTTCATATTCTACTGTACTTCGGGATATAGTGACTCCAAAATTGTATCGTAGAGATTGTCTGTTTGTGAAAACGCGTATCAAGGATCTCAGAATTTGCTCGGATTCTCCTTGGTCTGGTTCCTGTTATTCTTCCCTTCTATCTCGTATGCTAAGTTGAATTCGCTCACTGAGATTGACTTCGTCCAGGCCCTACCGCCTAGCAGCTGCCAATGTATATCGCAGATTCTGTTTCAGTGTTCCAATTCTTGCCTCAAGCTCGCGCACTAGTTCCGGTGCTTTCTCTGGCTCTGAAATCTCGCCTGCAGGAACCACTACACCGCGCAGATCTCGCGCAATCATTTCAATTTGCTCGTGCAGTTGGTCCCCGAGAGCAGCAAAAGGCCCGTCCAAAGCTGAAAGATACGACGACTGCACTGAATCCGTGTACTTTCTGTACAGTTGCGTATTTGTCAAATGATCGCGCATGATATTCTTGCGTCTCAGATAACTTCCATTTCCTGAGAAAGAAACATTTTCGCTCAGTCAATGACTCGAATATACCTCACATCAAACGTTATATAAACGTACCTTCTTCTCGGCTGCAATTATTGTACGCCTCAAGCATGAGGTCAGCAATCAACGAACTGTTGTTATGGCCATTGAGGGTGTGGTCTTTTGTAGATCTGACAAGGTCTCAGTCAGTTGATTTCTCAAATAGATATTTTGTACTGAGCATACTCTGTCTCTTGAATTACTTGCGCGAGGGCATTTTTGAAAATATGGATGATGTATCCCTTTCTGTGGCTCAAAAGGGAGAACAGATTTTCAATTGCCTGAGGGGCAACCGGAGAATGATCTGGAGAGTATTGCACGTTAGCAAAACAAGCCACAACCTAGAGACAGGTGTGAATCATATGGAGCTTGATAAGGGAAAGCCTTGCCTTGGAGTGTGTCAGAGACAATCTGAAAAGATGTCGAGATGTCACTGCGCAGCGTATCCCTTCGAAACATCAACCAATCTCCGAGAGCCTCCCATCTTGTATCTAACACAGGCCGTGCTTGCTCCATCAGCTCATTGTTCCAGCAACGAGGCTTCTGGCCGTTGACCTGATGGTTTCCGTTCTTTCGGCAGAATGCGGCATAACTTGCCCAATGCAACTTGAGGACACTGTTTTCAGCATGCAATCGAGTCACTTGTTTCTGGTTGAACATACGGTTCCCCATCCCTGGCTCACTGCAACAAACTTTTCCTTCATTTCTCTCTGAAACGAAGGACCTACTCACATATTAGAGACACTGAAACACTAGATAGCAATGGTTGAAATGAACTCACGAAGCTGATGCATGACTTGGGTATCAAATTGAGAGTGCAATTCACTCTGCGTGAGAGCGAGATGCCCCCACCCCGAGGTAAAGCTCTACTCATCGTCAATTTTCTTGCGCTGCGAAATATTTGAGTCAAGGAGCAAAAGTGATCAGACATACCTGGCGTAGTCTTTGTTCTACCTGTTCCAATGCGCTTCGGAGCTCACGGGCTCTTGCGGGGGTCACGGAATCACGACCTGTCAGAATCCACTGATGAATGGAATCTAGCAGAGCAGGTACTTGTTTCTCGATGAAGACCAAAGCGGAATCCATCCTACCCTCCGCTGGGACAGATCGGCAATATGAACGAAGCTCTCGAACTCCACTGAGATTTCGGTAGTCCTCTGCCAACCTGTGTGGAGGATTTCCATAAAGCTCATTGCCAATGCAGAATACTTTGATATCCTTGACCTTATGATTTTGATTGTTGCAGATTGCCCTTGCAAGGTCTCTCTTTGTTGAGTCATTTCGTTGGTTCATAAGGAGCGCTCGTCGCCTGGCCATGAAAGTTAGAATCCTTCAAGGTACATAGGTATCGGATTGAATAATGAATAACACGCACTCGTAGTGAAGCTTTTGTATCTTGTCTCTGCGAAATGGTCAGTCGGCTATTGAATATCCAGGTAATTCACTTCCTTACTCCAAAGAGTCTAGAATAGCAAGATCTGCTATCCTCTGGCCCTGTGCTTCCTGCATTTGGCGCCCGATACGCCTGAACTTGCTCTCCAGCTTCTTGATTTCTGCGTTCATATCCTTCATGCGTCTAGCATGAGGATCAGTGCCGCGAGCAGACTCTTCCGGCGAGATTTCCTATTGATAAAAGTCAACAAATTTCCAATTTTGTCAGCAAGGAAAAAAAATTACATCTGCCCTTGTGCAAACCACCCGTATACGTTTGCTTTCCCCACTCTTCTTTATTGTGTCGAAGATTGATTGATTCGAAACACATCGAAGTATTCCAGTCACAATAAACACTTCATCGCAGGTTCTAGCAAGATACCGTTCCGTAGCGCGTACCCTCGCATGATTCATATCGCGCAATCCTACCAACAGTGAGCTACATCACTTCAGAAAGGCGCAGAGAGAGTATTACCTGGTAGGTCCGCCAGCACCAGACCGGTCTTCAGCACAGGCAGCACGAGGAATACTCTCCAAGTCCATTAGAGTCATTTTTTTTTTTTTGCCGGAATGGGTACCACGAACCTGATCAACTTGATAAAAGGCCACAGAGCAGGCGTATTGCTCTCCTCGGGACTATCTGTCAAACTGTCAAGTTTATCTTTACAGCTCTCCAAGTCATCTGCGACGGCAGTATATTGTAGTGAGCTCGATCCTCCGGGCCGGAATGTCAATCGATGCAAGGCCAGAGCTTTCAACTCTTGAAGAATCTCAATTTCCGTTTCCGCTCCGGGGCGCGAGAGAAACTCAATTGTCAAATCTGACCGATCGCTGAAAATTGCCTCGAGGGTTTCATGCGACCTTTTGCCTATCGCTTCGTACTCTGCCCAGTCCTCCTCCGCGACTAGACTCCGGTCGGTCGGAATTGAAGCTCGTCGAATGCTTCGCAGAAGCTCTTCTAGGAGACCATTGACTTCGTTTTCATCCATGAACTCAGCTTCTATGGTGTAGGGGCGGGGATGCTTTTCATCCACATATCGATACTCCATAGGGACGGAAGTACATGCACCTCCTGCACCACTCTACATCGAATGTGTCAGAAATATGTGGCCACTCTAATACATAAAAACATAAAAGGGTATAATCACCGAGCGTGCGAGACCTCTCTGATTGAGTATAGAGTTGATAACAGAGCTTTTGCCTATTCAACGATCAGACCTGTCTCTGTCGCGATATGAAAAAGAGAGCACCAACCGGCTCCGGTTTCACCTATGAATCCAACGATGCGTGGTTCCTGATCCTTGTACTCACTGAGCTGTTTGGCTTCAAGGTGAATTTGATGTAACCTTGTCCCTGGGTCTTGGGACAGTGGACACTCAGAAATCACGCGCGAAAGCTCCTGGATCTGTACTTTGACGGCATTGAAATTCCTTTGGAAACTCTGATCGTCGATGGGATCCGGAGAGAAGAGATCATCTTCAATACTATTCGAACTATGCATATCTTCGTCCACAGGTGATATGATCGAAAAGTCCGTATCTCCGGACTGATCTGTTGCTCGGCTTGCAGGATGTCTGTTCACACTACCTATTTCCGCACCAAAGCCTCCTTCTCGTGGCCTGAAGCTATATGGTCCTGCGCGTATAGCAGTATGAACGGGCAAAGCTGGCGCATCTCGTGACATGCTACGACTTGGCAGAACGCTGAGTCGCGGATTCGGAGTTCTAGGAGCCATACTGGGCTCCGTGGAGGGGCCTGCACCTGCGGGGAAACCAGAGCCCGAGGAGGTAATGTCGCTATTAGGTGGACCACTAAAGAGGCAAATGGGTCGAGTTTGATAGTCATGATGAGAAGGGCCTGGTGATGACGATCTGGCCCGGTCTAAAGAGGAAGTTTCGACATCGGCGCTTCTGCTCGGCGGAGGCGGAGGCGTGAAAATTCTCGTGTCGGTACTGGCTGGCCCCCCAAATATACTACCAGATGCAGTCTGACTAGTATTGTCAGAGGAACCTGATGTGGATGATCTAGCTGGGACAGTTGTGGACGGTCCGACATTGGGACTGCTGCTCAGCGGAGATGGAGGCGTGAAAAATCTCGTGTCGGTACTGGCTGTCCCACCAAATATACTACCAGATGCAGTCTGACTAGTATTGTCAGAGGAACTCGATGTGGATGATCTAGCTGGGACAGTTGTGGACGTTCCGACATTGGGACTGCTGCTCAGCGGAGGTGGAGGCGTGAAATATCTCGTTCCGCTCGTTTGTGGTCTACCGAAGACGCTAGCTGATGCAGTTTGATTATGATGGTCAGGAGAACGTGGTGATGACGTTCGGGCAGTGAAGCTGGAACCGAAGATGCTGCCACTTGGGGCAGGCGGAGGAGTGAAGAATCTCGTGCCGGCACTGGATGATCCACCGAAGATACTACCGGATGATGTTTGACGAGTATTGTCAGAGGAACCCAGTGTGGATGAACTGGCTGGGACAGTTGTGTACGTTCTCACTTCGGGTCTGGACCCGAAGACCACGTTGTTCAGGAGCGGCAAAGGGCTGAAGATTCTCGTTCCGCTCGTTTGTGGTCCATCGAAGACGCTAGTGACTGGATTTTGACCGGCATTTTCAGAAGGACCGGATGATGACGATCTCCCTGAGTCGGGAGAGGACGTTCGGGCATTGGCGCTGGACCCAAAGAGTCTGCTGCTTTGGGAAGGTAAAGGGGCGAAGATCCTCCCACCGGTAGTATGCGGGCCGTCGAAGATACTACCAGAAGCAGCTTGACTAGTAGTATTCTCAGAGAAGCCTGGTGGTGGCGATCTAGCTGAGACAGATACGGACATTCGGACGTTGGGGCTGGATCCGGAGATATTGTTGCTCGGGAGATGCGGGGTGGTGAAAATTCTCGTGCTGCTAGGAGGTGGTTCACCAAAGATGCTACCAGGTTGGGTTTGACTATAAATGTTAGAAGAGGCTGGTGAGGATGATCTAGATGGAACAGATGAGGGCGTTCGTGCATCGGATCTGGACCCGAAGAGGCTGCTGCTTTGGGAAGGTGAAGGGGTGAAGATTCTTTCGGGCGAGGGACCCGAAGAGAAGGTGAAATTGAAATCGGACGATGGGACACTCATTCTGCATGGCCTTCGATCTGGTCCAGCTTTTTTCGATATTAGTTCACGAGCGGAACCAAGGACGGATGGCCCGGCCCGGGTTATAAGAAACTCACCAGGCTCTGAAGTGGGACACTGGGGCGCAGCATTCGTTATGAGGGGGCTGGCTGGCTCGTAAGTGCATACTACTATCTGCAAGTCGATTTCTAGTCTGCCTTGCCATGTGCATTAGTTCAATCTAGCGTGAAGGGCGCCGATTTATTGGCGCTTAGGCATGGGCTCCTAAATCCATACCCTGGGCCCGATGGTAATAAAGAACGGTTTCGATATCCACACCAGATATCTGTTCCGAACATGTTATTATGCTACAAATCACCTGAAGTTATCTTCTGTTGATGGGATCCTCTGCGTAGAAGATTGTGTTGGCCCTGTTATGGCCCCCACCTAGCTCGATTTGATGGTGCGCTAGCGTGCTTCATGATCCCTGCCCTAGTACAATATGCCAGCTCTGGCCCCCTGCTTTAGTACCCAATCAAGTACACCACACGATGGATATTTGGTGCTAGAGCTGCACGGTATTATTGCCGCGCAGAACCCCTCAAGAAAAGTCAGTCCATTAATATTGAATGGCTTTTGATCTCACTGAGCGCTGAAAAACATTATCGAAGCGTACTGTATAGAGTTTCTGTATACCAGGTCTCACTGTAGAAGACACCCGTTAACGTGCTAGTGTGACGTAGGATCAACTGCCAGTAAAAAAGGATTGGTTACAGATAGCAAAGCTTCCACATTAGTGCTCCCATCTTTCGCGAGATCCTGGCCGCCACTATTTCTAAGGTCCAAGCTCCTCGCAATCAGCTCGCCGTGCCAGTCACGTGCAAAATGTTGCTGACGTCTGCGTGCACGGCGAGTAGAGACTTGCTAGGACTTCGTGTGCTTTTACTTGCTAATGAAGACTTGGCAAACCACATGTATGCCACCCGCGCCATATTATATGGAATATCAAACAATTTAATTGACTATATTTGAAGAATATTCACTTAGACAGTGGATTCTCTGTATGGATTCTTGTGGTGTAGCGCCTAGGCCCTCTAACCCTCTACTGTGAAAGAAATGGCTAATATTCTACTTGCTGACCGTGGAAACAACCCCCCCCCCCCCCAACCAGCTGTTGGGATAAAATGGGTATCAACCCTTGTGAAGCGCCCAGAAGAGCTTCGAACGCGTTTTTCAGAACGATATGATTACCAACGTGCAAAAAACGAGGATCCAACAGTCCCACGTGAATAGTTTAAAACTGTTCAATCTGTCATCAATGAGAACGGCATCCGATTAATCAGATGATATCTACAACTTTTATGAGACTGGTTTTGCGATGGGCCTTATATCATCACAAAAGCTTATTACTCGAGCTGAACATCATGGTCGTCGGGCAATTCTGCAACCTAGAAATAGTGAATGGGTGACTGTTATTGAGTCAATTAGTGCCGCTCGTTTTGCTCTCCCAATTACTTAGATCTACTGTTAATTCACACTTCACTGCTAGAGATAAAGTCAAACATCCTACAAGTAGCGGAGCTCTTCGGACTGACCTACTTAGTGCACTCGACTAGCGCACCTCAACAAGCATCCTAAAGACCCGAGTCCGTATAAAGCGTGGCTTCGCAACGGTACGGTCACGGACAAGCTTAAGAGTTACGAGTACTTCAGGCAAGTATTACCCAGGAACGCACAGGTTCACTGCGCCCAGCCAGTAGCGCGTAACAGAACCAAGAAGCATAAAAAAAAATAAAAGAATTAAAATAACTATTCACACTTAGGAACTAATCTATAAGACCTTATCGATGTTGAGGTTCCAGGATAAGGCACCGGATTGATGCCCCATTACCAACCTCTGTCGGCATGCCGGTCCAGGGAAACCGGAGGTACTGAGCTTAATATGCGCTTCAAGCGCTCTTGCCACCATTATATTCTACATTCGGGAGATCTTCATGGAAGAACCCCGATCGAGACCGATTATGATGGATTTACTACTGTCAGGGGCTTGCCGCCCGTTCAGGGATAAATACCTCCAGAATCGCGTGTAGACATTTCAATACAACACAGTCAAGTCAAAGTTCTGCCAATTCATTTAAGGTCGATTTGTCTAGCAGGCCCTCATTCAATATTCAATGCTTCGTCGTAGCCCATCTCAACAATCGATATCACCACAATCCTAAACTGTGTTTGCGACCGGATACTTCAGATTTTTGAGAGCTTAAAAATATATTTCCTCACTGTTGTGATATGTCGTATCGTAACGGAATCAATTCCTAACCTCACGGAATTACCAGCTTTGATTGGAAATCAATCTGGAGGTCGCATGTGTATATAAACCCTCAAGGTTTCTGTCCAGAAGGAATACAAGCAATCTTTTTCTGAATTACAACAATGACGCCATACTACATAACGTAATTCCCGCCCGAGTGGCCCACCCGGCCGTTTGGCCCACTACGCGCTAAGACGCGCCCGTATGACCATCTTCCTTCTTCAAACACTCACCATGCCTCCAAAACGTGCTCAATTCTCGCAAAAATCTATTGAGCAGGAGGGCAGTATTTTCCTAGCTATAAAACACGTTCAAAATGGCCCTACCGACTCAATACGCGGTAGCGCAGAGCGATTTCTTATACCTCGTACGACCCTTCGCCGTTGACTCGTTGGCCAGCAATTTCGCGGGGATACACGCTCCAGCGGCCATAAATTGACCCAAACAGAAAAGGCTTCGCTTGTGCAGTGGATATGAGATCTAGATGCGCGTGGAGCAGCGCCCGGGCCTTCTACTGTTCGAGATATGGCCAATCTCCTGGCGAAGCGTGGGAATGGTTCTATATCTACGGTCGGTAAAAATTAGGCATCAAGCTTCGTTAGTCGCCAGCCAGCCCTTCGTACGCGATACTAACGGCGATATAACTATCGACGTGCTAAAATCGAAGATCCGAAGGCCTTACGCGCATGGTTCATCACCGTTCAACGCGTGATTACCGAACACGGTATACTGCCAGAGGATATATATAATTTTGACGAGACTGGCTTCGCTATGGGACTAGTAGCTACTGCTAAAGCAGTCACACGCGCTGACTGCTATGGCCGCCGCGCGCTATTACAACTGGGAAATCGTGAATGGGTAACAGTTATCGAGGCAATTACCGTGTATGGCTATAGTCTACCGCCATGTGTCATCTTCAAAGCAAAAATTTTATACAAGGGTGATTTGATGACCTTCCCTCCGATTGGCGCTTCGAAGTTAGTCAAAACGGCTGGACTACAGATGAGATAGGCCTTCAATGGCTTCAAAAACTATGCATACCAGCTACTACCACGCGTACACGTGGCAAATATCGCTTATTGATTCTTGACGGCCATGGCAGCCATCTTACGCCTCAATTCGACCAAATCTGCAGTGAAAACAACATTATTCCACTTTGCATGCCTTCTCATTCATCTCATCTCCTACAACCGCTTGATATTGGGTGTTTTTCAGTGCTAAAGCACGCATACGGTCGCATCATAGAGAACCAAGAGCGTATAGGATATAACCACATCGACAAGGTAGATTTTCTAGCAGCATATCCTTACGTGCGCGCGGAGCCTATAAGCCAGCGATTATTTAAAATAGCTTCGTCGCAGCAGGTCTAGTGTTTATCAACGCAGAGCGAGTGCTTAAAAAGCTAAATATATCGCTTTATACGACTACACCACCTAGCAGCCGACCTAGCAGCAAATCTTGCGTTTTCAGCCCGAAAACACCAAAAACCACCAAACAGCTTCAGAAACAGGCACCTTCGATCAAGACCCACCTCAAACAACGATCAAGAAGCCCTCAGAGCCCGTTAAAATCCGAGCTTGAACTGGTGTTCAAAGGCCATGCAGGCTCCCTTCATAGGGAAATACTTCTATGGGAGGAAAACGCTACCTGTACCTCTTGTATTGATCATTCAAGAGGTTCAGGTGTTAGCTGAGGAGCGAGAAACACCGGCGGAGGCTATACAGTGTGACCGATGAACCTGGGAATAGCCTCATCTCGTGGAAGGGTGTCTGAGGCATAATTTTGGGTCGTTTGCACTACGCGTTTGCTGGTGCGTGTTTGCTGGGTACTTAAGCCCTCTTTTTCTGGCGAAATTTCTTTCTCCTTCCTTCTTCATCTTCGAGATTCTCGTCTGTACGCGCCGAATGAGTCTGTTTCTTTCGAACGGCCCGTAACATACAGCACACTGAGCATACAGAGGCTATTCAGACTCTGTAGGCCGCGAAGAGGGCCCCGCCGAGGTGTGGTGGGTGTAGAGAGATAGGCCATAAGATAGGTCAGTGTAAAAACAGCTATATTTAAATGAGGCAATTCTTCAAACTATCCTCTGGCTCTTGCTGTGGTGAGTCAACCCGGGCCTACCCGTTGCCTCGCAAATGCCAGACTCTCACAATGGGGTTCTGAACGACCGGTTATTCAACCGACGAATGTGCCAATTGCCTTTCTACATTCCATTTGTAAAAGGCGGTTACCTAAGGTGTTTTCCGTGCTGTGGGCAAGAGGGAATGAATGCATATGGCATCCGCTATGGGTTACTTTGCGCCATCCAGGCCAGGCCTTACGGTATACACCCACGCGAAGGACTGGGAGAGTTTTCTTTTCGGTCTGAGGTCTTTTCTCTTACCTCGAGCGGTCTGGTTTCGATCACGCAGCTCGGTTTTGAGACATCGGGGGGTGAACTTACTGGTTTGACCCTCGCAGTCGTGATACCTAATGAGCGTTGAATTACAGAAAGTCGGATCAAGACAAAAAGGATTCTATCTACACAAGAAGACTTTGGGTATCATTTTGTGTTCAACCTAGACGTATCGCTATGCTGTATGCGGAGTAGCATACCAGCAAATGCTTGATCACGTGACTGGCCAGATACATAGCCGTAGCCTGGTAGTACGTGTCAAATTCATTTTAAAACAAGCATTCCCATCGATAGCGCAACGTGATCTGGTGCTTCTGTGACTCCTCCTCGGCTGGACCTGTCGGTTATCAGATTATCCTGGCCGAAAGATCCCTTAGGAGAGTCCCCAATCGGGGTTTTATCTGTTTGATCGGCCCGTAGTATACCCAGAAGCTGGTCGAGTAGCATGATACCGATTTCAATGCCTTGCATTGAGAAATGAGTCAGCCTGTTCACAACTGCCTGAGGGATAGGGCCAGTGACATCTGGTCTATGTTCAAGGCTATTGCCCGCCGCGAACAAAACCAGAAGCCTGTCATATAGTTTGCTAAGATTTGCTCTGTGCGTGGCAATTGCACTGGCAAGGTTCGCTCTCTGACCTAAATCATCCCCGGCGCTCCTGGAAACCATATCTCGCGCGGTTGCCACCAGGCCGGGACAAACAGTTACTTCGTGGAACGCACACTCAACCAGATCCCCAAGTTGACTCCCTTTTCCAGCTTCTCCTTCAGCCTTCATAGCTTCAGTTATTGTAGACCTCCAGGCAGGCGCTGCTAGAAAGCAAGGCTCACCTCGCACCAGAGCGTCTGCTAGAAGGAATGAACGAAAGGAGATAAGCAACGTTCGACCCATTCCATCGCGGTGTACCTCCGGTCCCCGATGTTGAAACAAGGTAGCAATTCCACGAGAATGCATGAGCCAGGACTGCTGAAATGATCCATCCAACATTTCGTAGATAGCCAGCAGAATAGCAGTTCCAAGTGTGTAATCCAACTTGACAGTCCGTGGATTCTGGATCAATCGTACCAAGCATTGTAAACTTCGGATGTACATTGTGCGGCTGAGGATGACCTTTTCACTGTCTCTGTGTCTCTGGCCCACATCTAACATGACCAATGTCTGAGTGGCTAATAGCAAGGCATTTGCGAAAGTATCATTTTGCTGGCGCACAAAATCCATGAAATTTATGTCGACGCGAGTACTCCAAGAATAGTAAAGGCCTGGGAAGTTCGCATCGACAAAGCGACCGAAGGTTTCTTTTTGTTGAATGCAAAGAGCACTTCGAACGAGACTAGGAGCCACGCATTCATCAAAGGAGGTAGAGCGCTCCCTATCAATGATGTCGGATTCTGTGCCGCCTGGGTGTGTCGCAATAGCTGGGATGAGCCGGGTACGGTTCTGCAAATGTCCCCGGGATGCGGCAAAATGGCAAAACTTGGGTGGCCTCTCGTATCCAGGGCATTTCAGACCACGGGTATCACAGCGCTTGCACGTTGGCCGTTTCTCATCGCACTATGCTCGTGTTAACACTGGAGTGGACTCCAACCCAAGGTGGGCACCTCCGAACTGTCCTCACCTTGACACGTCTTTGGAGGCATGTCGTGCAGCCTTTACTGCGAGGCACGCCCACCATGGCTAGATTTTCGTATGATCTATGGGGTCGAGAAAAGTGAGAGGGGGAGGCGTCAGCCGTGGGGCTGATTTCTGGCCCCCATGCCAAGACTTCCGCCCTCTGCGGGGGGTTTGTGCGGAGCACACTGGCTTCGATGTCAGCTGAGTTGTCATTACATTCTTTGTTGTCTGCCTGCGTCAGTCAAGCCGAGACAATCATGGCAAGTGGTGAGGCAGCGGTAGTAGTGCAGAAGGGATTTCGGGACTACAGTGCTACTCAAACTGGCATAAAACATCTCCTTCACGAAATCTGTTTTATGTGGCGTACAGGAAGCACCGAAGTACTTGAACTGGGCATTGGCTTTCCGTAAAACTCACTCAAGCAATTCAAAATTGTGTAAACAGGTGCTTCTTTTTTAAGAATATTACAAGAAGCTCTCGGGACCACCAGCGTCTCATCAACAAGTGCGAGGATAGGTGAGTAAAGCGCAAAAGTGGAGAGCTAGTGGCTTCAAATAAAGCCTCCGCTAATTGTGGGGCCATTTGGAAATAACAACCGAGAAAGGGGCGTGTCAAGTCCATCCATCGCATTCAAGCTTGGCATTCCGTCTCCAAATTCCATCGACTCAAATTCCCGGGCATCGGTGTTCCTCCCATCCAGGTAATCTATTGGTATAGACACCATATTCAAGGTGCTCGACTCAAATGGGAGAGTATTCCCGTGTGACCGCGTAGCACTTTCATTGAAATCGAGAAAGTCAAGATTTATGTTGTGTTTCGGTTTGCACGGATTGATTCGATGAATTACATCGACCTCCTCACTGCGGTCGGCTTTGCTATGCCTTTCCGAAGAAAACTCGCCTTGCTCTGTTGGATCAGAACTGTTGATTGTTTGAACGGTTGCTCCAGATTCTACAGACCCGGAACGTGCGCATGGGGCTCTTGGATCGTGAGCCAAACTGGACATATGGAACGGCTTTTTGTCAAGACCATCACCCATTGTCCAGGGTAAACGTATGAGGTTGTCTGTGAGCGGACTCTTGCGAACGAATTCTGGTAAAGAACCATCACATGGAAGACGACCGACCGCGAGGCTATAGTCAACCGATGTTGAGATCAGGAGATAGGCTCGAGGGAAGCGAATGAATGCTTCTAACCAGCTTTTTGCTCGTGTGCAAGAGCCAGCTTCTGCTAGTTGACCCTGGTGATTAATCCCCGCCCAAGTCCTTTTTGATCCTTCTCTTCTCTGTGGCGAGAACACAGACGGAAGAAAGAAATCTTGTGTGGTAATATATGCCAGTTGAAGGATCTGGTTCGTTCCAGCGGCGACGAAATCCGTCACATCGTAAAGGGACTCGGAATGCCGAATAATCTTGCTGAGGGAATTCAGTCGCCTCTGTCTGGTGGCCATCTCATCATGAGAGGAAGACAGCTTGAGGTCAATTGCGGCCAAGACCAGGGGCATTGCGACATACGCCAGACTGGAATATGGCGAAAAAAGAGTTAGTGGTAGGCCACACCGAGAGGGTAGAGTACTGACACGCTCAGCGGCAAAAATTCGATGTGGCCATTGAGGCTGAAGTATTCCATGACCGCCGTCAACCCCACTATGCCAGAGTACAGGTCGTTGCCAATTTGAAGTACAGAATTCCGATACATTTGAGTGGCGAACGTAAGGTGCTCCTCCATCAGAAGAGCCGCGTATTGTGCGAGATCGACTCGGGCCGCACTAACCACCGGAGATTGAGAGTTAGGTTACAATGTACGTTGCTCTTTCAGGACTCGTTCCTTGGCGTAGTGGCTCAGGGTGCCTTACTGGTAATACATGAACGTCAAGCTTCTCAATGCCGCGGATGGGTCATCGTTTTGGGGTTGGAATGTAGGGGCTGGTGCAGGCAAAGCCTGGGCCTCCCATTCAACCAAAGCTCGCTTGATGGCTTCGACCTCATGCATCAAGGAGTGAAATACCTCGGCTGAAGGAGGAAGGCCGCAGGTAGCTCGGGGAGCGAACACTACTGACACGAGATCGGTCAGCAAAATCGCCAAGTGGCATTGCTCCTGGAACGCAACAAGCAATCTTCTTTTGGCTTCGTAGTTAAATATCTGAGACGCATGCATTTCTCCCTCGAAATCTTCTTCTTTCAACCAATCGCGGCACCCATGGAGATTGACCGAAGTAATTTGCGGGCGGCGTCGCAGGCCAATACAAAGGCTTCGATCGCGTAGCAAAATCGACCACCAAAGGCGCTTTTTCATGGAAACAAGGAAATTCTCGATGAGAAGAGATGGCTGGGCATCTATCGTCATGGCATTTTCGATCGCTCGCGTAAGCCACAAGCTTGCTGCCTGGGGTGCCTCAGCCGAAGTGTGATGAGTGAGAAGCACGGAACCTTGAGCTCGAACAGACGGTCTTGCTTCGACCTTCAGATCAAACAGGAGCTGCTTAATATAAGCGACTGGATCAATTCGGTGACATGACTCCGGTGTCTACCTTTGCTCTGTTATACAGTTGCTTCCGCGCGTCTCGTTTGTTGAAGAAGCCGCACTTATGTAGGATATCGCAGGGCACAAACTGAGAAACTAGCTGTTAGTGATTACTGTCCATTCTGATCAGCATAGATGAGAGCACGGACGGGGCAGCTTGCAAAGAGAAGAGCCTGGAATAAGAAAAGGGAGAATTTCTCTTCGGAACGCCCATCCCATATGCGCCAAAATTGGGCTTCATCGACGACCGGGGCCACAGGATGGATTCGCCTGAAATATTGCTCTACGAAGCACTGTGTTGTCGCTCGGTCGGGTATGAAGAATGACCCTTTCGAGCATAGAAATGCAATGTCTTCGGGCGGTAGAGAGGACAAGGACTCATTTCGCAAAAATGGATACTCTCGAATCGTCGACGACCACGGTATAGAATTGGACTCGTCCTCATCTCCGTACGCGCTTCCGGGATGAGTAGGCCTGTGTGGTGCTGTTTGTCGCTCCGAGAATGAATGATGACTCTTGCTTGAATCAAGGTCAACCTGCAATTTTGTATTGAAGGGAAGCGCATTCTGAGAGGAACTACGAGCTTCATTTGTAGCTTTGGGTCTGGAGGTCCCAGTTAGCCGTGTCGGGATAGGCGAGCAAGAAACTTGTGGATACTTTGGAATTTTTGCACGAAGAACACAGTCGCTGCGACCGTCTTGTCGGCAGCGCGTACAGGGACACCCTAAAAGCGATGCGTCGCATCGTACTTTGCGGTGATGGCACCAGGAGCAAGCCGCTGGCGCTCTTCTAGTTCGTCGTAGCATCCGCGCAATTTCTCTTTATCGATAGAACAGGTTCGTGGAAGAGGCCAGTGGTTGAATCTCAGACTTGTGGGGAGCCGAAGATGACCTCCATAGGCGATGGCGGCCGGAAACCCAGCAGCCCAGCTCAGCAGCCCAGCTCAGCAGCCCAGCACAAGGCGGTCGGTCTCAGCATAGTGCCATTATGTAGCAAACGCAAGGCTAATAATGTGGAGAACAGGGTGACCGTGCCTTATCAATAATTGTAGCTTTCATCATGATGGGGTCTGTCTCTTCGCGGTCGCCAACAGTACTAGTTCTAGCCATGCTTTGACAAGTTCCAACCCAATAAGCAGCATAGCAATCGAAAATGAGAGACCCTCATCATAGTACGTTATCAAGGTGGCATCTCTATCTAAGCAGCGCGGAATATACGATCTCTATAGGAAACTGCCGCAGTGCCGCGGACATGTCGTATGCCCATATATAATCCCACGGGATGCAAAAAAATAGCCTGGTATTGTCAGGCTTACCTACGACGTCAATAAGATGCCTCCTCGCATGGAATAATGATTGTGCGTCTAACAATTCAACCAGGGCCTCGAGCTTCGCATGTGGAGCCCCACAACTTTCACGGGACGTTTTATGGTTTCCCCGCAAGTTCAACATGTAGGGTTGCCGCGGAACTCGGTTAAGCAATCTCTCCGCCTGAAATCTAGACTCCTGCGTATCATTAAATCGTTGTACCAGCTAGTATCAGGAACGACTAGACTCTTCAGGTTGAGAAGAGCCAGCTACTGTTGCAGAGCGCAAAGTATCAGAGACAAAAGAGAAAATCTGCAGCTAACAAGAATTTTTCATGATATGGACCACGGGCGCTTAACTTCTGCGTATCGAGTCCGCTTAGATACAACAAACGAAGAGAAAGGAAATGTCAAATAAGAGTCCCTTAACATTTGAGGAATCTATTATGTTTTCCCCTTCAGCCGCTGTCGCATGTCTTTCAGATAATATTTCATGGGATACGTTCGAATGGCTCTTGGAAGAGATGGGTAAGTCGCTTTTGTAAGCCCCATCGTAACCCGATATGCACCTCGTCTCAGCTTGGTCGATCTGAGACCATAAGCCTCGCGAATCCGTTCCGGCAAAATGTAAGTTGTTGTGAGACGTACGAGTGGTAGCACCATGCGGATTTGAATTGGTGCTCGCTTATTGTGTAAAAGGTCTTTCGCAACGTGTTTCGCATGGTCGGTGATCTCCATTGTGGCAACTTGGTAGTTCCAGTACTCCCAGAATGCCTTTCTATCGACCGGCCACATTCCCGGGGGAACGCGAAGGGAGAGAGCTAGAACGGAGTATTCACGGTAAATGGCCTCAGAAGTTGTATTGTCGAACTTCCCAAACATCTGCTGGTACAAGTCCATGCCGACGGCATATAGCGTTGCTGCGACCCAGAGTTGAAGTCTAGGGTCGTTCGCGGAGTATCCGGGTCCATTAACGGTTGCGTGAGCTCGGTGAACCATCTCAATCACTACTTCCTTCTCCTCCCGGGTCCCAAAGACCATGCAATAGACATAAGTCATGGTGGTGCGAAGACGATCCAAAGGACGGTAGGCAAAGTTGCTGTGTTCATCAACACCCTGAGCAACGCCAGGCTCCGCAACTTGGAGTAAGATTGCAGCAGCGCCACCTGCAAGTAAAATGGCCTCTTGGACAACTTGGTGAATCTGTTGTGGCTTGTCAAGTGCATCAAGCATCTTGGAGTCCACCACCTCATTGCTGGAATTCTCGTTTGACATTTCTGCGGTAAGAACAAATTGATGGAATGAAGGAATTATTATATGTCTTTCGTGCACTCTGGCTTTCGCTGTAGCTCCTGGTCTTCTTGAAAGACTTTAAATGGTTGCAACAAGTTTCAGGGGCAGTATTTACAGCCCAATCATGCGCTCTGAAATAGTTTAATCTGCTCATGTGGCATCATAAATTTGTTGAGATGACACAACAACGATCCTGGCCGCTCATATGAAAACTAGCTGCTATATGAGTAGAGCTGTGATAACCGATACCGCGGACCGGGCGGCTTGCAGCAAAGGCTGCCCACGGTTCGCTTCACAGCAACTAGATTGTTCGCTATCGTGATCGGGCACCTACCGCGGGCCGTCAGACCGCGGGATTATCGAAGCATGCGGTAGAGGGGTTTTCATTCTTACTGACCCTCTCTGGTGGGGTAAACGAGGATCTGCAGTCTTCACTAGACTGAAAGTTTGATATCCCCGGATTTGCACGTACCAAGATTGCAATGCCCTTTGAACAAGACACACAAAACGAGGGGCTTTTGAAGGCCCGCGCATTGTATTCTATTTATGCTGACTGCAGAGGAAATATAAAAGAATTGATCTACAGGGATGACATCTAGGTGCTCTGAGCCCTCAAGCTTGCTACGCACTTGGCCGTTCCCGGAATCGCATAATCAGTATCAGTACCTTCCAGTATGGGAAGCGAGAAGAAGCGCACCTCCACAATCAGTAACAACCGCAATTTATCAGCTTCAGGCGAGGCTTTCCACGATAGAAAGCTTGCGCAATCTGAGCCTGATCTGGAACACGTTGAGAATATGGATTCTCACGACAATCCAAAGTCGCCCACGAGAATTAAACAGGCACAACTAAAGCTTCACAAGCATTGGAGGCGTTTCTGGTGTTGTTACCTGGTCGCAGTTGTCATATTTCTTGCGATCTTCCTACCTGTCTTGTAAGCTTGCCATTCATTCTACCCATGCATGCATCTTCTGTTTTCTTCTTTCCCTCTTAGCACGTACCTTTTTGTGGTCTTTTTAACGAGATTACAACCTTTCTGCGATGCGCCTACCAATAGCTATCGGCTGACATATTTTGAAAAACAGCTTTCTGGTTGCAATTCCGGCCATTGCTCAGAGAATCGTCGACGACACAGACCTTCCTATCTACGGAGCCCAGATTTTGAATCCAAAACCGGATCGAGTGAGCTTCACATTGCACACTTCGTTGGATGTTCCATTAGGCCTTCGTATCCGAACGGATCCATTTGATCTCCGCCTATTCGATCGAAATATCAGTCCGACCGATCCATATATCACTGTCGGGTTGCCCACATACAGTCTGAAGGGGAAAACCGATATGATCATCACTCGCAACGACACAAGGATCTTGAACCAGGGACAGTTTGTGGAGACTCTCACTCGGGCCGTCTATAATGAAAAGTTTACACTGTCGGCAAAGGGATCCACAGTGGGTCACCTCGGAGCTCTGAAAGCTCCATTGACCTTGAACAAGGATGTGGAACTCAATGGTGCGTCTCTAACTTTAAAAAAAAAATAAAATAAAATAAAATAAGATGGCCGTTTACTCACTCCTGTTTAGGTCTGAATAAGCTGTCTGGCTTCTCGATACAGTCTGCCCGACTTCTGTTTCCCAATGAAAGCAATGGAAATAACCTCGTCGGGACTGCTAACTTGCCTAATCATTCCGTTTTCACGTTCGCGCTCGTAAGTCAAACCAAAGCTCTTCCAGTTTCTGAAAACTCAGCTAAACGTACATCTCCAAGGGAAATGTGACTCTGAATTTGAAAAGTGTTAATCTGACGATCGGTCAAGCTACCATTGAGAACGTTGTTCTTCGGCCAGGCAATAACCCGGTATCACTCAAAGGCACACTTGACATCGATACCGTCCTAGACAACCTCGAGGATATGCTTGCTGCCCAGAAAAGTGCACTGGAGGACGGGGATGTCGAACTTTCGGCATCCGGGAACTCGACAGTCTATGATGGCATTCATATTGACTACTATGAAGAAATTCTGAATAATCTCACCCTGACCACAAGAATTCCCATCCTGGAGGTCTTAGGGGATACACTTCAGGGGCTGCTCGACAATAAGAATTCCTCGCTTGGGAATGTTCTCAGGAACGTCACCAGTATCCTTGGGGATTTGACTGCTTCGAGCGATATTTCGAATGCAGCCCGGTCGCTTCGAGTTCTTATATAGTCTTTTGTATGCCATTTTACCGTGAAGGGCCGTTTCTTATATTAGCAGCTCTTCTATGCACTGAATAAAAGAATGGTTTGAATGCATTACCACATGCCGCACAAGAACGGGTGCTGACTATTTTAATGCACCATATGATCATCTTCCCCTTCCCAAACAAGTACACATTCTCTTGATGCTTGGCGCTTACTTTTCGATCTGAAAAAGCATGCTAATCTTCCACTCACAGGTTTGGTTTGATGGCCCCAGCTTCGAATTCCTTCTTCGCATCCTCCCGCAGAACTCGCTTGAGGATCTTACCACTCGGATTCCTTGCAATGGCCCCCACGAACTTCACCCCGCCCGTGAGCGCCTTGTATCTTGCCAGACGCTCCAAGATATAGGATTTGATGTCGTCCTCAGTGATCTTCGCTCCGTCTTCTGTTGGCCGCCGTACCACGTACGCACGCGGAAATTCGATATTCGCCCCGGGAATGGTAATTCCGATTACGGCTGCATCAATGATCTGCGGGTGCGAGAGGAGGACGGCCTCCAGCTCGGGAGGGGCCACCTGGAAGCCGCGGACTTTGATCAGTTCTTTCTTGCGATCCACGATGTACCATTTCCGGGTAGCTTGGTCACAATATGCAATGTCTCCTGTCTTGAACCAGCCGTCCGAGTCAAACGACTGGGCATTGGCGGCGGGGTTCTTGTAGTACCCCGGTGTCACTGTGGGTCCGCGCACACACAACTCTCCACGCACACCAAAGGCGGAAATGTTGTTGCCATCTTCGTCGATGAGCCTATCAATTAAATCAAGTCAGCGCTGCGACCCCATTGAGTCTTCTGTGTGCTCGAGGATTCAATGACCTACTTGGCTTCCAGGTTAGGTATGAGTCGGCCCACGGAGCCCGTATCGTCATGTTCGGGGTACGGGAACATGGTCGCTATGCAGGATGTCTCTGTCATCCCCCAGACTTGCGTGAAAGGACCGTCATCGCCCATTAACGAGCGAAAGCGAGCCTGGACGTCCTTATCCAAAGGCGCGGCTCCGCACGCTGCGAGACGCACCTTACGAAGGAATGGCCTCTTCTGAGATAGCGGGGACATCAGAATTGCGATGACGATGGGGGGTACCATCGCCAGATCGGTGATGTTATATTTTTCCACGGTGGAAAGGTACCCTTCGAGGTCGAAACGGCGCATCATGTACACCACGTTTCCCGCTTTGAGAGTCGAAATGTGAGTGACCGGGGCCGCTGATGCGTGGAAAACCGGAACTGCAATGATGCGCGAGATCTAGATCCATTGGGACCGGTCAGACGCGGGTGCTTGGTGTCACAGGGGAAACCGCTCCGGCGGGACAAATGATAGAGAACGACTTACCGGATAGGGACGCGTATTGACTCCAAGAACAAGTTCGTGCTGGGCAATCAGATTGTAATGCGTGATTGTCACGGCTTTGGGGAGCCCCGTGGTTCCGCTGCTGAACAGCCTCGCGGCTGTGGTGGACTGCACCGTGGCGAGATCATTGAATCGAACCCAGTCTTCTTCTCCAACGCTCAGGAGGTCCTTCCAGGACTGCCGTCCCGCGGGGATGGGCTGCCCGAGGTTGTCAAACACCCAGACATGCTGATCCGGGATGTTTCTTTCTGCTGCCGCGCACAGGAGAGGATCGAGGATCTCGGGCTCGGAGATTAAGAATTTACTCTCAGATGTTTTGATATGATGCGCGAGTTCGTTCGGGGTGTATGCTGGATTAGACCCCGTGAAGATCCCCCGGCCCCGATGATGGCGAGCACGAGTATACTGTAGTTGATCTGTGCTCTTGGCGTGTGAGCCGATGCTGCGGCGTGGGATACGAGCGGAATGTCCACCACTTACGTCGTTGAACGAGTGTATTAGCACACAATCGCCCTGCTGCAACCCTGCCGCGCGCAAGCCCGCAATGAGTCGGCGAATCAACTTCCTAGCTTCGTTGCAGGAGATCGACCGCGACGGATTATGCGTGTCCACATAGATCTGAGTAGGCGATTAATGCGGGTCGTTTTACTGACAAGGCCAGGCTTTTCGCTGGTCTGCGAGGGCTTACCGGCGTATCCTGATCATATGGAGGGTCATCGAAAATGAACGACAGCAGGTCTTTGGTGGGGAGCAACACCCGCTCGGCCGGTTCGAAGATCATCGTCGGAAAATGGAAAACGTGGGAATGCGAGAAGCTCTGCAAGTTCCGGGGCAAGGGGTGGCAGATGAGAAGAGAAAATCCGCCCCCTGGCAAGGCCTGTTAAAAGATCACCGCATCTCAGCGGATCATCGATGGGCACGACGCAGGATTCAGGCGCTCCGCGGCTCCGCGCCCCTCACGCTGGGCTCGGAACTCGGTTGGGGTGTGCACATCAGCCCATCAGCGCCACCGGTTTCCAACTGGGCGTGGAGCGAGGCGCATCGACCTCGACTGCTGGCAGCGCATGTGTCTTGTGCGGACCAGCCACGGGCGGATTTATGCACGCATATCTCGCGCGCGGTCTCCCACTGGCATCCCAGAGGGAAGGGTGCTGGGGGTAGTGCAGCAGGCGCATTCCCCGCTGTTTCAAGTGGAGACGCCGGTCGAACGGGAATGGAGGTTTTGGAGGAAGTGACAGCTCCCCTCGACAGCTCCCCGTGCGACCGGGGGTCAATCCTGCACGCGAGGTTTGTCCTCTTGGGCATTGCAGCTCGCGCATCCCGGTGGGTGGTCGCGACATCGAGGACGAATGTTCCTCCCCCAAACCATCACAGCTGACACCGCGTGCAAATATCCGGCGATATACAATTCGCCAGAGTGTCGAGGGCGCGCACTTCGATCGATTCGACTTTTACTTGCTTCGCTATAGGATTGTACTACTAGAAGTGCTTACGAAATGTCGCTGCTGCACGGCTGGCCAGGGGGTCATCCTTCTTCAGCATCCTCCGTGCGAGGGATTTCACCAAGAAAGCAAACAAAGGTCGTATTCGACAGTACCAAGCCCGATGAGCCTGCATAAAAGCGACAAAGGCGCAGATGACGGTGAGCGATGCCCCGGCTTTGTTGACCCGGACATTGACGCGGGGGTGCGAGGAATTTAGCAATAGCAAGCACGAGAATGGCTAGCCATAGGAAGGAGACCAAGTTGATGTAGACATTGGCCTTGAGGGGATCAATGAGAAACGAAACGGTGAAGAAACACCACAGGATGAGATAGATGCCCACCGCGAATGTGTACGCCCGCTAATCGCCCTTGTAGGCGGCTTCAATCCCCAGATAAGGCAGCAAAAACATCGTGTAGCTGAACCAAAATGCGCCGTACGCGCAGTGGACCGTCGTCCTAAAGGTGTTGCCCACGCGGAATTTCATCGATTCCTCCCATGAACACCGCCAGACCAAAGACGGCCTGGTCCGGGCCCATGCCCACCTGGGGATCCGCATGGGGTAGTCTGCCTGAAATCATTAGCTCTGAAGAGAGGGCACGACGAAATCTGATGCATGAGCGCATCCACCGGGCCCGTCAAATACCTGTGGTGCTGCCGCCTGCCGGCATGGGTGACTCGACTCACCCGGCGCCAAACTGGTAGAGGCCCAGCACGAACATGGTGAGCGCAAATGCCAGTAATCTGGGAGGGCCTGGATTGGCCAGCTTCATGTACTGCGGCAGCGGCACCTGCGACACCAGCCGGCCCTGTCGCGACACGATCATACCCGGGAGTTTGCCTCCACAGTTGAGCTCCAGCGTCTCCTACTTTCGTTCACTGCTGGGGCCAGGGTCAGACATGGCATGGATCTGGAATTCCCTTGGGTAGTGATTTTGGTTGTGACCTGCAATGTGGTTGAGCGACGCTGCAGTATGGTCGTGATGGTCGTTCGCAAAGGTGAATAGTGTGTAAAGTACAAAGTCAACAGTTGAGTGCGGGCTGCCGTGGGAAATATACATCTGCACAACCTAGTGTCCCGTCACCACGACTCTCCGCCATCACATCAGAGAATTTTGACGTGACCGCAATCACATATTTTCAAATCTTGCAACGGAAAAGTTTACCCTATGGTTCACAAGTGTTCCTGAATAATTTATGTCCGCAGAGTCCGACTCTCCTGTGAACTGTAATATACACTACACACTGGAGTGGACCTACTTACTTGTAGCCCAGAGGGCTGAGGTCATCCCGGGCCATCATGGATACGGATTCTTTTCATCCTTTTATCAATTTGACTGAGCAAGTCCGGCTTATTAGTGAACGATTAGAAGTGACAGTGTCATGTGAAACATATAGTATTTAATTGGAATAGACTGTGATATCTTCCCCTTGGAAGTCTCCAATCATATCTTACATGGGGTGCTGGCGGGCTACTTCCGGCAGCAGGAGCCAAAACACATATCGGCGGCTAAAATGGCATGGTATTCAGTCTTAGGATCAGGACAAGGTGACGAGAAAACATGGAGTGACTTACGATTGAAGTTCTCGGGTAGCATAGCGGTTTTTTTCGACCTCGCATTTCGGCCGGACCTGTTCGGTGAAGTTAGCCAGGGAATTTCCAAAGAACAGGACAGCGCTAAGGACAATCCCTACCTCTGAACCAGTGTGATGTCGGATTGCGAATCATCTGGTGTATTTTTATTCCCATCTCGAGTATTGGAGGTGAAGAGATTTTTCACCCAAGACCCTTTCGAGGAAGATGGGAGCTCCGAGTCTGCCTTCATGCCGACTTCGATTTCCTGAGGCGTTCCACGAGGGAAGAAACGTTCAAGGGTGCGGAACTATCAATAAGATATGGCAAGGAGCTCGTCGGGTTTGTTAGACTTCCCGGAATTGAGACTCATTAATCAATGCCCGTCTCACGCGGATGGCCTGACCCATATATAGTTCGACCGCAATGACAGCACTGAGCAGACCCGGTATGAGCATCCATGCCAGTCTCAGCGGCCGTGACTGCCACGACCTCATGGAATTGCGTCGGTTGTGCTGCTCCTCCTTTCCCCATCAAGTTGTCGGTGCTTGAAAGCAGTGCGTGGAGCACGTCGCTTGTCTGGCACCCATGTTCGCCGACGGTGGCCGAGCGAAGATGCGCCCTCTCGGTTGGGCGATTCGGCTGCCACCCAGACGTGATGAGTCAGCATCCTGTTACGCGAGCGAAGCCTCTCGTCTCTGCGATTAGACGATGTGACATAATGGCCGCCGGCGGAGACCGGCACGGCCGGCGACGGCAAGTGCGCCTCATTGTGTCAAACTCACAAGTAACTCTGCAGTGTCAACCTCAAGTTCATCGCCCTGCAACAATTCAAGTTCCCACGGGTCTCACGGGTCCCACGATTCGAACGCTCCGGTGGGGGCATTTCGGCGGTCGGCCAACGTCTCTTTACTGACCGTCGCCGAGCGGTTTCTACACACGCCACCGGCGACGTTAAAACCCACGTTCTGGCTGCGTTCGCCGATTGCTTGCGTGCAGCTTCACCATGTCCTCGCCCCCGTCTGCTCGCCCGTATCGGTCCAAGCGCCATCGGCCATGCGATCAATGCCGGTCCCGAAAGCTGGGATGCCAGACGGGTGATGGCATCCCTTGCCAGCGTTGCCGAACGGCCCGCATAGACTGCACTTTCGACAATCCGCCGCCGAAACGCGCGCGTCTCTCCGAACCGCTCTCATTTGCCGTCCCCAGCATGGATGACATGCCCGCCACCTCCCAGGACGGCGAAGGCACCTTTGCGCGAGATGCCTCCCACTTCAAGAGCCCGTCCGGCAGTGTCGAGCCCCAGTTTACCTCGTTCGAGTTGGGCCCTGTGAGCGGCCCTTCGCCGGCGTCGGGCATTCTGCTGCCCACGGGCAGTCGGCCGCCGACCCAATTCGTACAAAGTATTGACCGACTGGAACACGGCTATGCGCAGCTGTTCGGCGCCTCTGCCGAGTCCGACCCGTGGCTACTCAGGCATTGCCGCTTCGACGACTCGGGCATGAAATACTTTTACAAAGTCCATTTCCGGAACGCCGGGGGCGTGCCGACTGCCCAACGGATTCCAGTGCACTTTATGATCTCATCCGGCGACCTCTCGGCCGGGGCGAAAGAAGAGACACGAGTCAGCACCGGCCAAGCCACGCGAGAGCACCTGGACTGCCTGGTTCCCCCGGAATATGGCCGACGACTGGTTGCACTGTAAGTTGGCCCCCCCCCCCCCCCCCCGACCCCAACATTCCTCTCCCCAATTCATCCTGATTGTTACCAGTGCACATGAAGCATGCTTGCCGTCTGGGTAGAGACTGGACTGATCTGACCGTCTCCTAGCTTCGTCAAGTATGTCTTTCCCGCGTTGCCGGTCATCTCGCGTTCACAGCTGGGCCTGACCACGCCCTCATATCAGCTCCCGGAGCAGTCCGCACTGGCCAAGGTGCCCCTGCATCTCCTCGCGGCCATCTATGCATCTGCATTCCCGTTCGTGGCCAATGACGATTATTTATGTGTGCTGAATACATATCACGCGTCCCCAGTGCAAAGATTGTGGCGGTTAGTATATGAGTTGGTGTGCGAAGAGATTCACACACCGCGGCTGGCGGTGCTCCAGGCTGCGTTGTTGTACATTCATCAGCAGCCCACCGATGAGGCCCGATATACGACGGCCGACACCCCCTTCATCTGGTCCTTTGTGGGGCAAATCGTCGGCCTTGCCTGTTCGCTCGGCGTCCATATCGAATGCCGCATGTGGGGGATTCCCGCCTGGGAGAAGCGCCTACGCCGCCGACTGTGGTGGGCCGTCTATGCCGAAGACAAATGGCGCAGTCTGTTGATGGGGCGGCCACCCTTTATTCACCCAGCGGAATGGGATGTGAGTGATTTGGATGAGGGCGACTTCTTGATTGGGCCGCGACAGGGATTCTCGACGTCGTCCTGTGACACGGAAATCCCCTTCCGATACCTGGTCAACCTCGCCCGGATTGCGGAAGAAATCCACGAAACGTTCTAGTGAGTTTGTCCCTTTGTCCGGTACAGTTCCAAACCCCATCCCCCTCTCCACCACCCACTAGACTAACGTCATTCGAGCACACTTCGAGCCTCCCAAGTCCTCAATGCGAATTTTGACTCATCCGCCGAACTAGGCCGAGGTCTGTTGGAGAAATTAAACACATGGTATTCGACCCTTCCAGAAACATTCCGTCTCCCCAACTGGAGCAAGTCAGTCCATGGACAAGCACCGTATCCGACTTCCATCCACTTCGCTTACCTTCTCCTGGTCGTTTTCGTCTACCGGGCCATGCTGCGTCCAATGGCGCGGTCGTCGAGCCCGCCGATGATTTTCGACCTGGAAGAAATGTCGGCCAACTCGCCGTTGCCGGTCGATGACCCAGCGATGGATTTTGCCGACCTTTCCGGAATTGAATCGTTGCCTGAGATGCCCATGTCTGATGTAAGTGGCACCAGCGAGCTTACTCTACATGCCGCCGAAAAGTGCGCGACCATTGTGGTAAACTTCACTCGAAGACTGACGCCCAGTGATTTCACGGGATTTTGGTATTCCTGTAAGCCTGCCTCCCCTCGCTTCCACTGATTCTCTGTACGCCGCATGCTTATCATGACCTTGCAGGGTCCCGGATCGGGTTCGCCACCGCCTCGAATTTTCTAATGCTCCTGCTCGTTCAAGCTCCAAACAGTGCCCATGCCACGCGAGGGAAGTATTTGGTAGAATCGTGGCTGCAAGTGCTGCGATGTCAGAGCCAAAGCTTCCCACTTGTCAAACTTGGACTAGCGCGCCTCGATGCTCTGCACTGGGCCGGGCTCGAGGATACCTTTGTTCTTCCCCTACACGTGCGGGAAGCCGCCACTAACTTCGAGGAAGACAGGCCCATCCATGGTGTAGCATGATAAGCCCCAGGAATCACTACCGTGACTGATGGAATATTCCGTTTTGTGGAATCTGGCATCCTGTAGGGCAGTATCTATAGCTGGCGGATTCTGACCGACCTAGGAATTTGATCTGGAGCACTCTAGATCTATATATGACGCAATTCGAAGAGAACAATGAAGAAATTCCACATGAAAATTGCAGAAGCCATTCTACCGAGTTCAAAGATATGCAAGCCGGTCTCATGCGCCCGCGATCTCCAGTCGTTCTTCGGCAAAGAATCAGCCAGAATACTATTGGGCGATGTAAAGGATGGTGGTGGCTGGAGAGCATCGAGAGGGGTTTGCCGATGTCGTTTACGCGGGGCTACGTCGGCAGTTCGGTAAACCGGTGCCAGCCGCGCAGCCTCGGGCTTCGATCAGGTGTGGGGAAGCACCTTCAAATATGCAGTGGGTCGTGGGCGAGTGCAAGCTTTCCTTATCAACCTCGGAGCAGGATCATCGCGCGACGTGAGCAGACATGGCAAACTTTCAGACGATCAAGATTCAGACCGACACCCCATTAGTAGGGCCTTTCCAGGTGCGACCGTTTGATGCCAACACCGCTGCGAGAGTCTCAAAGCTGCTGCAGAGGAACCACGACAACTATCATATCTACATTCATAATTTAGGCCTGCACAGTACGAGCAACCCGACATGGACCCTACGTCCAGCGAAAGCAATGTTAACGATGAAACGATAAACAGATCATATACTTCACCATCTGTTGGCCCTGTACGCAGTTGGAGGAACGGCAGAGCAGCTCGACCAGGCCTACAGTCTCGCCGTGAACTCTCAGCGCCCAACCCGCAACCCCGATGCTCGTCGGGTGTCGGACTTTGCTGATCCTGCTGAATTCAGATCATGCCTGGGAAGAGGTAAGTACTACGATGATTACTTTGCCTTTTTCCAGAGCGAAATTAGGGAGAATGGCATGCCCAGCACGGTGAACAAGTATCTTTTCAAGGGTGACGATCGAGCGGAAGATATGCTGCGGCGATTTTTCAGCGGTTAGTCCGCCTTTTCCTGATCTTCTTCTACACTGACCACCTGTTCATCAATTGATCCCCGACGGCTGTTGCAGGATTTCTGCATTCGCCAATCCACTTAGGATATGCCATCGAGTTTGATCAACCTCTTGTTGCTGCCGAAGCATTGGCATTGACGGCAATCCATGACTTTGCCTTTGGCAAGACCTTGGCCGTCATTGAGAACTATGCGGAGCGAGTACGAGACTCGAAGAGCTTGATTGAGCTTCAACAAGAAATCTATGCGAATCCCAAGCTTCGAGGCGCGATGAAATACGAGCATGGTGTTTTTCAAGTCCGGGACGGCTTGCTTGCAAATGCCTCAGACGAGTTCTTGCGCATTGTCAGTGCCTGGAAAGTGCAGCCACATGAGCTAGTACAGAAAACTGCACAAGCACTCAACTGTACAGGTACTTCTCACATGTCAATAATCCTGCGCAGATCGTGAGGTGCCTGACATATTGCAGTATACTGGACGGCCCTTGCGCAAAGGCCTGAAAAACAGATCCGATTTGACTTTTTTCTGATGCATTCTATCACCGCTGGGTCATTATGGCCGGCTATAAACAGCGCGCCCTGGATTACATCCGAAGCCAAATGCCGACTACTGGAATGGAAGGGCCGATCTGATTTGATGCTCTACTGCCAGGCCGGAGCCCCGAGGCTCTACCCGGAGGAACTAGCTGTCTACCGGCCACGCTCGCTGTCTGGATGGAGTGATATTTTCTACCGCGCCTGTAATTACGGAGACGATGGCCATCTGGTCAAGATGATTCGTGGAATTTCCACATCGGCTGCACTCAGCCAGTCGTTTGCGCACGATCCTGCATTTCCCATCAAATCGGACCATGAGTTTCTGACCATAGCGCATATGGGTACACCTCTCCGTATTGTGCCCTGGCTCACAAATTGGGCAGTCCAGACCATGAAATGCTAATAAGGTACCTATGTAGTGATTGACTCTGCCGAAGAGTTCAACCACGAGTCTGCCGACCAGGAGACGCGTATGATCTGCGCCAAGTATGAATACTCTCGACTCATGTCGCCGGAGATCCAGCGAGTCACTGCCAGGTGGCCGCGCCATGTCGGCTTTGGAGAAGCCTGGTTCCATGTCCCAGAGCGGAAGCCTCGCTTAACACATCTATGACAACATATATCGTGGGTAGAACGATTAACATGAATACGTGGAGGGCATCGATGGTAAACTGTTCGCGATAGTAGTAGCGCTGCAGCCTAAATCAACCAGACTTCGGCATATTCCGCTGGGTTGCTTCCCTCTTGGCACCCAATTGTGATGCTACCCACTGATAGTCGATCGCACTGTTGATACCACCTCGCGCTGGTCGCCGTGCCTCGTGGCGTGGCTGATGATTTAAACTCTTCCCCCACGTTCCCCGCGGCGTGGCATTTCGCGGCTCCACTCGTCTGCAGGGATGTAACGCTGCCATTTTTGAGGAGCTCCTTGCGTCAAAACATAAGATGCGCACATCGCGCGTCAATTCGGTGACTTGAAGGTACTTCTTTCTGACCATGGCAATGAAGTGGTACATAGTCTCCCTTGCTGCGTTGGCCTCGGCCCTGCAGACGCTGCCTCCCGTGCAGTTCGACCCCCTCGACGCACCCACGTATGGAGGCTTTTCTCTGGCGACAGCAGACAAAGTCATCTATCTCCAGAAGGGACTGGACTCATGGACCGACCAAGAGGGAATGACGCTTATCCCACCTTCGGCGTTGGAGTTCGCTCACACATTCCGCGATGATCTGCAGGAGCTCACCAATTCCTCCTGGGACCTCAAGATCGCACCAGGATTCCCTGACCGGGCCACGGGGGTATTTTTGGGCCGTTCTAGTGCACCCAAGAGTGACTTCGCATACGAGGATGGAACCACGTCGGAAGAAGGCTATGAAATGCGGGTTGAACAAGATCGTGTTTTCATCCGAGGTTCCGGCGCAAGAGGGATGTGGTGGGGAACGCGGACCCTGCTCCAGCAGCTCGTCATGAGTCCGTGCTCCTCAATTCCTGCTGGGAATGTGAACGATGCCCCGTCATATCCTGTTAGAGGTTTTATGCTGGACGCAGGCCGAAAATGGTATTCTTTGCCCTACCTCAAAGACCTGTGCACATATGCCTCCTTCTTCAAATTGTCCGAATTCCACTACCACGCGAGCGACAACTATCCCTTAAGCCGAGGACCCGATGTTCCATGGGACGAGGTATACTCACAGTTTGCGTTGATGCCTGAGAACCCCGACTTGTTGCCTTTGGTCCAAAGAGCCAACGAAACCCTGTCGCGCGCCGATTTTGATGAGTTCCAAACACACTGCGCTCAACGAGGTGTGACTGTCATGCCTGAAATCGAAAGCCCAGGACATTGCTTGTCGGTGACGAAGTGGAAGCCCGAGTTGGCATTGGATCAGCAGGATCTGCTCAACCTATCGCATCCCGAAACAATCCCTCTGGTCAAGTCTGTCTGGTCCGAGTTTTTGCCCTGGTTTCACACCAAGGAAGTTCACATTGGAGCCGATGAATATGACTCGACGCTGGCCGACGATTATCTTAGTTTTGTCAATGAAATGGCCACTTTCGTGCTGCAGACATCGGGAAAGAAAATCCGTATCTGGGGTACTTACGAACCCTCCGAGACACAATCGGTCAACAAAAATATTACGATTCAGCACTGGCAGTACGGTCAGTCTGACCCTGTTGAGCTTGTGAGAAAAGGGTATCAGATCATCAACTCAGAAGACTGGTGGGCCTATATGTCGTTGAAAAATGATCATGTCCCGATCATCCCTGCGCCCTATCCGCAGTTATTCAACAACAATAGAATTCTGAATTTCGCCGACATGGATCAATGGCAATGGACCCCGCAGCTATTTAATCCGGTCAACTGGACAGAGCAACCTAGCAAAAAGGCTGTTCGGGGTGCCATCCTGGCTGCATGGAATGATAATGGACCCGACGCAACGACACAGCTAGAGTCATACTACGCTATTCGAAATGGAATTCCCGTGGTTGCTTCTCGAGCATGGACAGGTAACCGTGGGCCACGACTGAGCGAGCGTTCACTCGATGTGTCTATCAGGAAACTGTCGGGCATTGCAGTGGCTCAGAATTTGGAGCGGAAGCTGCCCCAAGAAAACACCCACCGGAAAGGTCCAATCCTCACTTGGTCTCGGCATAAGACACCTGGGAAAAACTCCGATATACTGCATGAGCTAGGCTACGGTAGCAAAGGAATGAACTACACTCTCGTTCTGGATGTGGCGGGACCGTTTTCACTCCATTCAGGCGATGATAATTTGGAAATGTCCGAGGAAGGTCAACTGATCTTCACATCGGATGGATGGCATTACCCCCTTCGCTCGGTTGCGGAGGCCGACGGTTTCGATCCTGCTCAGCCCGGGCGAATTTGGGCGAATGCAACAACTTCAACTCATGATATTGTCAATATTCCACAACCTGCAAAAATTACGATCCGTACCGATGAGATCTCGGGCAGCAGAGTCTGGTTGAATGATCGTTTTGTCGGCCGATTTGAAGTATTTGTATATGGTGGAAAGAACAAGATCTTCTCATGGAGCCAGATGGCGTTTGTCGCCCCTCTGGAGAGAATCGATGGAGAAGGATTGCAGAGATTGACTCTCTATTGACCTAGTAGCGCCAACGGAACTGAATATGTCAGAATTATCGGATATACTACAATTGCTCAAATCGCAACTTCAAGGTGTCCTACCGCTAAGGCCCTCCCCCCCCTACTACATGGGTGCCATCCATACTATGTGACATAGTTGGCAGTATACGGGTTAGCTAGTTCTAGAATACACCTTCTTACACCTCCCCGACCTGACTCCTACATTTGGGTTTCTCGTTATTTCCTGATTGCTTTGTGGTGGTTTTTCTGCTGAATCGACCCGCAAGCCTCAGAAGTGCTGCCATCGAGCGTTCCCCTCTTCAATTTATATGTGTTCACATTAGACAGGTACATTTGAGCTTTTTCGTCCATTGTAGCTTCGAATTGCTCCTTCAGGAAAGAAGTAATTTGGGAACTGTTCTCTGTTGCGCACAGCTACAGGAGCAAAGAAACTTGGGAGATGTATAATCCCACTTTCAGAAGAAAAGACCAATCTCTATATACCCAGCAAATCCAGATTTGGGGTGCATTTTACGACTCCATCAGTAATATCCTTCAACGATACCCCGGAATAAGTGGAAAGCAAAATTAAAGGAAGCCTACTGATCGGGCTTAAATGGACATGCTAGTCTGCGATGACCACATGGAAGCTAATTTTGAATATTTCGAGGTCGTTGCAAAATTGGTAAGGTTGTCGGAATTCTGCTGGCGTGGCTTACAGGATTTATTGAGCAGCATGGACAGTTTCCTTTCGCTATTTTAGAGCCAACCTCTAGCATCCACCATACTATATTCGATGAGGAATCACCAATCTGTCATGAGATAGAGACGGAAGTTACGGGTACACCAGAAACATGATAACCATACGCGATAGTCCAAGAAAATTCCCAATTTGTGTTTACAAACGGAAGGTCTTCGCTTCCCCTGAACTTGGCGGACAAATTCAACCGGGATACAAGGACGACGGATGAAGATTCTGTAAATATGAAAATTACTAGATACTTGACCGTGTATTAATACTCTCGGACAACGGCCATTGCAAAGTTATGAAAGAGCTGCGAGACTTGCTTGGAAGCAAAGTGGCGCACGACCAAGTTGAACCCCCGCTCCCACCGACGAAAGCTCTCTGGATCTTTACATCCAGCGTCATATTAAACGGGCAATTTGCCAGAAGGTACAGACTGTTAATTAATAATTGTGAAATTGGATTTCGTGGAGCCGGCTGAAATCGTAGGTTGAGAGGGCTAGTGCTCATGTACTTTTAAACTCTGGCGCATGACGAATGACGAAAAGCATCTGTGGAAGCAATTCGTCGTGATATTGGATCTAGCATCATTCCAAGCTTATACCACCGGGGGGGGGGGGTCTGTGCTGCAACCAACAGGGTTCAAAGCGTAACGTGATACCGGGTTTGGGTGGTTCAAGCTAGCGTTGCCAGCATTAGAGCCGTTCATTCTCACAATGTGGCTAGCATCGAGAGGTGGAGGGTATAAATGCATGCGCCTCGCGCATAAAATCCGATTTTGCTTCTCTTCTTTCTTTTTTGGCCTTTTCCTCTGTTTGAAAAACTCCCTTCTGAGGCGCCCAAGACCCGACGGCACTAGTCATGTCGTCTATGGACGCGGCAGAGAAACTGTATATTCCTGCCCTTGCTCCTAAGGGTGGAGGGGCCGATCGAAGGAGGACTCTGTGTCGAACCTCCCCTTACCCGACGCTCTATTCGTGTCAGGCCCTATTCAGAGGCCAATGAATGCAAAGACACTGGACCAGAAAAGCCGTGAGCAAGCGCACTCAGCCGGCAGGCCACCGATTGGAGAAGTATGGACTTATATACCACACTGGGTCCGTACTAGTTGGCAAAGCTCACAATTCATTCCTGGCGTACGTGACGGGATTCTTTTGCATACCAAAAAAAGCAATGATGCTCACAGAGCCAGCATTTCGTCATAATGGACACTCCCACCATGTCTCCGATATTTCAGTGGCAGGGCCCGGATATAATGAGTACTTCGACCTGCATCAAAGACATTTTCAAGTACATCAAGGGAGAGCTCGGCGTCAATTGAACAGATTGGGTGGAGATTCTTATCACTGGCTTCTCTCGGGACCAGTTCCCCCCCATCCGCTCTGGGAACAGGCTCAAGCTTTCCATGAAGACATCAGTGCGCATTTGTCAGACTGCGATGCTTTGGGGTTCGTTCGTGTAGAGGCGTTCCACCGTAGCCTGGTTTGCGGCACTCCCTATATTCAAGTGGTCATACGTGTTCGCCCGTCACGGTCGAAGCGGCTAAGTGAAGCTGGTCGTGAAAGATTGAAGGCTATTTGAACAGATTCCGATACTAGCATACTTCCCTCGCCTTGTGCGGACACGTATACGGTAGAATTCGAAAACAGTTTACCCCCAGGCACTGACAATTCCTTTCTCGGGCCGTACCTGAAAATACGCTAATTCGTATTAGGTACCGGCGTAAAATACTGTCATTATAAATAGTCCAGTTTAGATTTGGGACTATTGCTTTGCGTGTTATTACGTATTTTACGCGACATGCCTATACACTTGCACTTTCCTGGCCCTCCATACCCTGACACTTTCGTCCTTTGCACCCCTCTATCTGAGGACTGCTCAAATCTTCCACACAATATGGCACCCAGACTCAACCCCTGAGAGTTGATTTTTATCAGTGATATGATCAAAAGCGAGTCGCTAACCCGTTCTCAAATAGCAGAAGCAGCAGAATGCAGCAAGCAGACGGTCGAAAAAAGCCGCAGGAACTTGTGACTGTCTGGACACGTCTATGACCCTCAAATCGTATCGGTCGTAGACGCAGCATAACGCCACCGATGCCAGAAGCACTCTGTGACAATTTGCTGGAAAGGCCGTCGTTGTACCTCGAAGAGATGGTTATCTTCCTGTGGGATGAATCCGAATGCTAGCGACCATCTCCAGCTAGACCTCGCCACGACCCGAGGGTGACCCTGACGACCCGGACCGCGACCAGGACCACGCAGGTTCTAAGGTCGTAAGGTTAGACCCCGAAATGGGGTCAGGATAGGGCCATAAAAGTCGCGAACCTACCCTCAGGATCGTCAAACAAGGCAAACATTGCCAAGTCACGCGGAGCATAATGTCAACTCTGAGAGAGGTAAAATACTGTGGATTCTCCACTGCTCTTGGTTATTCAGCATCCACCCACATTGCAATAGTAATTGTATGGTAATTCTGGTCATTCTCGGAAGAACTGTGATGTAATACGCAGTTTATAGCCCCTGGATCATTTTCAACAGATCGGAACACACAGACACACTCTCGTTAATCCATCTCATGCATCAATTGGCCGTCCCTCGATACTAGATGATACACGTATCCGACATCCTGACACATAAGTTATGTAAATTTTGGCTGTATTTTTGAGTATCTCACTTACAGTATTTATAGGAGTAGTTTCTTAATTTGGCAATTTGGTAGGGTCTGCGAGATAGCTCGGAGCTGGGACCTGGCTTGGAGCTGTGTCGTAGACGCTTCATCCTCTTCATTGTCGCTAATTGGATCAACAGCGAGTTGCTGCTGTGTTCTCTCTTCCTTTGCAGCCTGTATCCCCTGCGCCGAAAGATATTCAGAGAGCATTATTCGCTCCTCTTCATGAATCTCAAACCGTGATGTACACATATACATCATAAGATCTGAGATTGTTTGAGGTTGAAGAGAGCCTTAACGATAATGACAGATATCTCGTGCAGGGTTAAAAAGCCGCTCTACTCCTACACCACTAGCTGGGATAGAGAGCACATCATGAGCAAGCCTCGCCATCGTAGGGAACTTATCTTGATGATCTCTCCACCAGGTCAGAGGCTGGGCATTTGTGACTATATCTCAAAGACAAGTCAGTAATTGCTCAAATAGAGATCAAGGGACACTTACTGCTATCAAGATACCTTGTAAGCTCGTCTGCCTGTGCTGGCTGTAAAATTTGAGACTGCTGCGACTCATCTAGAGCACAAGCTAAATCAAATTCATCCGGTATCGAACTTATAGTCGGAGCGCCCAACCTTTGATGGTCCTCGGCAAAACTCTCAGAGTACTTCTCGAGGAAGGACTCAAGGCTCTGGCGATAGGCTGCTCGGTAGTCGACCCCAGATCCTGGGTCTGGATCCCAGTCGGGAGTCGAGAAGAACTTGAGTTTATCCTGTGGAGAAAGGATTGTGCCAACTGCGTAGAGATGACTGTCAATCTTGTCGGTGTCTCTGTAGTAGGCAGAGAGCTTGAGTTCTGCTGCTTCCAGGGATATAAGTATCACCTGCTTCCAAGCAACCTTCTTCCGTCGAAGCTGGTTAATCGACTTTTCAAGATAATCAAAGAGCTTGTTGTAGACCTTGAAAATCCGATGGATAGTGACATTCTTTGTTTTGCACAAAAGCGTTGTGAATCGGTGAAAAGGCCCAAGAATATAAAGGAGATAAGAAACCTGCCGCCACTGCTCCTGGCTTGAGGAAAAGTGCCCTTGGTCATACTGGGAGCAGAAAGCATCGAAGGCCTGCTGGGGCTTCTTCGCGCGTGCGAGCATTAAGAATGTAGAGTTCCATCGAGTAGTAATGTCCTCGATTGGAATTAGATTTTTCTCTCTTGCCTGCAGGTTGTAGAATGACTCCTGGCGCTGAGGACTTGGATTAATATAAATCGCAAGGTTTAGGACCTAAGAAACTGAGAGTGTGAGATGTACAGGATGATCGTGAACGGGTGAGAAGCAGGTGGTATTGGCTATCTGCTGCTATCTTCTGCTATCTTCTGCTATCTTCTGCTATCTGAGAGAGAGAGAAGAGGAAGGAAGAGAGAGAGTGGGAAGTGAGAGAAGAGGTACAGAGTCAGGTGACCGTGGTGACTAAGTGAGTACCTGATGTATGTACGCTCAGTTATGTAGCGTTTTACGAACGTTATTAAGGTAGCGTAATCGATAAGTAAACGATGCGGAGCATAACAGACAGTAACGAAGTAAATTACAAATTTATGGCCCAACAACTGTTACGGGCCGTTCGAAAGAAACAAATTCATTCGGTGCCTACTTACGAGAATCTCGAAGATGAAGGAGGAAAGAGAAAGAAAGAAAGTCCGCCAGAAAAAGAGGGGTTAAGTCCCCAGCAAACGCGTTGTGCAAACGACCCAATATTATGCCTCAGGCATCCTTCCACGAGACGAGGCTATTCCCAGGGTCATCCGTCACACTGATGGCCTCAAGTCGGCGGGGAAAACGTAAATAGTATTGCTATTTGCTATTATCACTTAACGCTTTGCTTCCCTTGCTTCAGTTGGACAGATATTGCGTACATATTGCATCGGATTTTCACCGCTGCGGTAACCTAATGCAATATTCGAACACATGGAAGCCAAAACAACACATAGATCCCTCCAACTTATAAATGTTATAGAAACAATACGCGAAATCCACACCCATTTAAGAACTTAGCCCGTGGCTATCGTACGCACATGCCTGTCCAGAACATAACGGCATTATCCTCAAGAAGCCTAGGGGAAGGAATCTTGCCTTCAATCTTGGTGTCACACGAAGCTCGTACCAAACTTCATTACACTGACTAAGAAAAGTGCAAACTTGCCAAACTACAGTACGCACGAGATTGTCAAATACACCTATACCTCTACCTTCGGTCAAACTGTTGCAATGACATGCATTATGAACCCATGGAACAAAATTTTCACGCACAGGTGTGAGAAATAAACTTATAGACTGGATACTGCTAGCATCAAGACTAGGCTCTAGCAGAGGCTTGCTGTTGTTGCATCAATGCTGCCGCTCTCTTCAAGTCTTCAACTCCCTTCAAGACACTCTTTGGCAGCCCATCATAGTGGGCTATTTTCATCCACTCACCCAGAGACTTGATGCGGCCAGGATGGATTCTGTCGAGAAGAGCAAAATCTCTTCGTTCAGCACGACCCTCTCCCCAGTACCTCCACCAAACTGAGAAATTCTGGCGCCATGTCATAGTTGATTCATCCTTCACGGCACTTGGACCCGCGGCAAAATTCGCTAGTGCATTTGGAAACGGCTCCGCCATAGGTAGGTACTCTTCAAGAGGTACATACTGGTGAACACCTTTCTTCCCTGTCACCTCAGTGAAGGCCGCCGCTATGTCCGCAAAACTAACTTCATCTGTTGCCACTTTAAGGTCCAGTCCTGCAGACTCCTGTGGATTGTTAAAGAGCCAAAGAGAATAATGCCCAATATCCTCTAGAGCTATGAGAGGTATTTTACCAGATTCTGTGCCGGGAAATTCATTTAGTCAGTCACTGGTAGAGCATATGATAGGTGAGGTAGAGAGACATGCTTGCCGGATTAGCCCAGACAAATGTTCCATCCGATTGCTGGGTAGGGACAAACATGCCATCCCAAAGCATGTTCATGTAAGGGCCAGTAGTGAGCACCGAGCTTTTCATTCCACCCTGCCCTTGAGCTAGAATATATTCTGCCACTCTGCCCTTGGCATCATTATGGCCCCAGTGGTAATTCTCATCCCAGTTGGCATGCTTAAGGGCGAAGTCTGCGCAGGCATAGACATAGTGCTGCACCCCTTGATACCTCGCGATTTCATAAGCTCGACAGCCATAGAACAGCTCATTCTTCTCCCCTATGGTAAAACCATCCGTGTTCACCCATGCACCGTAAACGCCTTTGAAGGCTCTATGCAAATCTTCCTGGCTATCCTGTCTGCCTTCAACCAGGGACACATTAGGGAGTTTCGCGATTTCTTGCGCACGAAGTGACTTTGCATCTCGAGTGAGGACTCGGGCCGAAAATTGTTTGCTCGAGGAGAGTGCTATATGATCAGTCAGGTATAACCCAAACGACAGGAAGAGAAGCTGGTTTAACACGCACCTTTGACGACTGGCAGCCCTTGGGCGCCAGTGCCGCCGATAACTAGGACTTCTCTCATCTTTCTGTGTAGCGTTGATACTTTCTGGAGCATGCGGGTTACAAATTAATTAGAAGAACTGATTAGCACCAGAAAATCGGGCAATATACAGCTATACCTTATATAGGCGTTTTCTCCAAAGGTTGTTCCCGCCGATGATTATTAATCGATTAATGGGGCTTTACTCATAGTATCACTGGCAGTACTTGGTCTCCATAACCTCCGACTCTGTTGAAGTTTGTGATTCTGGTATTGGAACCATCTTTGTCATCTTTACCCGCATCTGTTCTGCCGAAATCGCCAGCTGTACTGCGCCCATTATGGTGTAAGTGGCGAAGGACTTCCTGCGTCTCCGAATGGAGATGAAAGGTTGGTCAACTTGATTATTGATCCAGCCGACTGATGATATCAATTCAACATTATTCCATTGATCCATCTGAGTCCTTGACCCACTGCGTAGGCATCGGCGTTCTTCCCAGGAATTTCTCTTCGGCTCTTATCGGCACGATTATTAATTGTGCCTCTGATTAACGTAATTCCCTGCCGTTCGGAACACCCGCCCGTTCGGAACACCCCATCCAAAAACGCGTCTTTCTAACCACCCACCTAATTCAACCACCTACCATGCCACCAAAACGCGCCGAATCAGCGCAGAAATCGGCTAATCAAGAGGGCAAGATCTTATTAGCCCTTAGAGATATCAAAAATGGCCGTATCAACTCTCTTCGCGCTGCAGCGAAGCTATACGAAATACCACTCACCACACTACACTCACGCGCCACTGGCCAAACCTCACGCGTCGATAAGCGCCCAACAGGCCATAAATTGACCCAATTAGAAGAGGATTCGCTTACTAGATGGATACTCTCTATGGATTCACGTGGAGCAGCGCCTAGGCCGTCTACTGTGCGAGAAATGGCTAATATTCTATTGGCTGCCCGTGGTGACGACCCTCCGGCTACAGTAGGCAAGAATTGGCCATCAAGCTTCGTCAACCGACGAGACGAGCTTCGTTCAACCTTCTCACGACGCTACGATTATAAACGCGCCCAAAACGAAGACCCAAAATCACTACGAACCTGGTTTGCGACCGTCCAACGTGTTATTGATGAGAATGGTATCCAACCGGGGGATATCTATAACTTTGATGAGACCGGCTTCGCTATGGGTCTTATATCTACACAACGGGTAGTTACAAGGGCTGAATATTATGGTCGGCGAGCGCTTTTACAACCGGGTAATCGTGAATGGGTTACTGCGATCGAAGCAGTAAGCGCTGATGGCTATTCGCTACCGCCTTGCGTGATATTCAAAGGCAAAAACTTCATCGCTTCTTGGTTCGACGAACAGCTTCATCTTCCAAAAGACTGGCGTATCGAGGTCTCGCCAAACGGCTGGACAACCGATGAATTTGGCCTTCGTTGGCTACAAAAGCTCTTTATTCCAGCGACTACAGCGCGTGCGAGGGGTGGATATCGGCTATTGATTCTTGACGGCCACGGTAGCCACCTTACACCTCAATTCGACCAAATCTGCGCTGAAAACAATGTGATTCCACTTTGTATGCCTCCACACTCTTCGCATCTCTTACAACCGCTTGACGTTGGCTGTTTTGCTATACTAAAACGCGCATACGCCCGCTTCGTGAGCGATCTAGCTCGTTGGTCATATAACACTATCGACAAATTCGACTTCCTTAATGATTACCCCCAGGCGCGCACCGAGGCCTTTCAACCACATATTATTCAAAGTGCATTCGCAGCTACTGGTCTTGTTCCAATTGACCCAGAACGGGTACTTTCGAAGCTTAATATCTCACTCAAAACACCGTCACCACCGAATAGCCGGCCAACCACCAGCGATAGCCATTTTAGCCCAAAAACACCCAGGACCGTCGTTCAACTAGAAAAATCAGCTTCGTTACTCAAAGATCTATTAAGACAACGGTCAAACAGCCCTCCGAGCCCATTAAAAACGCTGGTAGATCAAATCATCAAGGGCCATTACGAACAGCTTCATTCAACAGCGTTATTATTGCATGAAAACGCTAGACTACGCGTGGGTAATGAGAAAACACGCCAGAAATGCACACGGTCAAATCGGCAAATAGTTCACGAAGGAGGCTTGACAGTTGAAGAGGGTCAACAGCTAGTTACGCAGCTAAATCAGCTAGTTGAAGCTGATCGGGTCGTTTCGCATGAGCAGGCCGATGAGGCTATTCAACTAGCTCAGCCAGCAACCAGGGCTCCACCAAGGTGTAGTGGGTGTAGGGAAATTGGCCATAAGATCAATCAATGTAAAAATCGACAGATATAGCTAAATTGATGCGTTTTGGTTGATAAATTTTTATGCAAAAATTTCTAATGGGGGTAGGTGTTCCGAACGGGCGGGTGTTCCGAACGGCAGGGAATTACGTTAAGTGAACTAATTACTAGCTAGGGTTTATAATTAGCTTTAACTCCAATGCGATCCCCCACATCCGTTCGCTTTTTGTTGGTATCACCAGCTAGGTAATGTGTACACAGTTAAGTGGACAGTGTGTATGCTCCAAAGCAAAAGTCAATTGTGTTGATAGATGTGGATAGATGTTCAGTCTCGTTGGAAAAACACCCCTAGATCCCACACGCCGGCCTTCGGCGGTCACAACACCGAGGCCACAGCCCTGCGCAAGAATGCGTACACCAAGCAAGGGATGTTATCCATCGGTCGCTAGCAGTGGGTCACAGCCAGTTTGTTCTGACAGGAGAATATATCCCGACACTTTTACTCGGAATCCATTGTTACGATGAGCTAAAGAAAGCAGGTACTTTACTAATCGCGTCAAATATGAGTGAGTTGAGCTAATGGTCAGCATCCATATTGTGACGGATGACCCTGGGAATAGCCTCGTCTCGTGGAAGGATGCCTGATGCATAATATTGGGTCGTTTGCACAACGCGTTTGCTGGGGACTTAACCCCTCTTTTTCTGGCGGACTTTCTTTCTTTCTCTTTCCTTCTTCATCTTCGAGATTCTCGTAAGTAGGCACCGAATGAATGTGTTTCTTTCGAACGGCCCGTAACAATCAGTGCAATGGTTAGACTTATTGCGTCTACTTAGTATATGAAATACTGCAAAGCGAGTAATATTGAGATTTGGGCCCTTTGACACATGGTTCTTGTTCACAAAAGGTCTAGTAGACAACCGAGCTTCTAATGCAAAGGAGCTCTTGCAGACACCCCTATTGACACATATGGAATCAGTATCCTGGAAGACCTCATGACAGAGGAGTTTAGCGCGTGAGGCGTGCGGGAAGGATGGACCAAGCCTTCTTTCTGCCATCGTATACTGAACCATTGAATTTCTCCATTTATATGGACCACATGGCTGAACAATTTATTTAGGGAATCGATTGACTACTTGACCAGCTGGCAATAAGGCTTCGCTTGGAAGCTGATCCTGGATGAATATAGAAATCAAGTGGATCCATCAGCGGTTAGCATGACTCACTTAAACCAATTCGATGGAAGTTGAGAAGGCCAAAAAATAAGGTAATTCTCATCTTGGGCTAGCTCTACCCCCTACTCCAAAAGGTGATCTTGCAGGAACTTGACCTGGACTGGAGCATTTTGTTGAAAAAGAGGCCCATCATATGGTTCAAAATGTCCTCCCGGAATTATATGCAATTGCTTCGGTTCCTTCGCTCGGGCGAAGGCATCCAAGGTAATATCAGTAGGGGCGACAAGATCGTTATCGACGACAATCATTAATAGCGGAGTAGGCGAAATGCGCTGGATATAGGCTCCAGGTTCGTATGCTCGGAATGCCTCGAGGCTATTTGATAGTTAGAGCCGCATCCACCCACAACTTACACGGGGTACAAAATATGAACAATACCTCTTGAGCGTTACATCGTTTATCCACCCCAGAGATTCTGCTTGAATGTAGCCGTTATAGCTGTCCTCCGAAGGAAGAACAGAAAATGCGTGAGGGTCCTTGTCCACCACAGGTATCCGACCTGGTTTGTCTCCCTTTGCGCGAGCACGGCGATCTATTTCCAATTTGAGATCGTCAGCAGGATGAAGCCTCTTGTGGTTATAATTTACTCTTTGGGAGGAATGCAAAGCTCACCGTCTGCAAATAACTTGTTCAGTCTTGGAATGAAATCTGCTCTGTGTATACGATGGAAATTGTCCCATCCACTGGTCAGGGGCCTGTTCGGACAAGTGAAAGTTAGAAACACGCATGTTATGCCGGTGATAATAGCCGTAATAAGAGAACTTACACCTGACTGATTACAGCTTTCACCCGACGATCAACGGCACCAACAGTGAGAACATGACCTCCGCTGTATGAACTGCCCCAGATGCCAATTTTGTCGGCATCAACCTCTGGTAGGGACTGCGCGAATGTAATAGCGTCCGAGTAGTCATTTATTTGCAGTGCTGGAATAATTTCTCGTCTCGGTTCGCCATCACTGGCGCCAATACAACGGTTATCATAAGCAAGGCAGGCGATACGCAAATTCGACGTAAAATATTTCGCGAAATTGTTCAAACCCATCTCTTTATGGACTGCAAAGCCGTGCGCCATGACAAGACATGGCAACTTTCCTGTAAAGGAGGTAGGGATGAAGAGCCATCCTCGAAGGGTGAGGTTGTCAAAAGTTCTGAATTCAATATCTCTGAAGGGCATTTTGGAGGTCACTTCGTTTCTGCTGTTTTTTCGTACTCGTATTTGCTTGGGAATGCTACGATGTGAGGAGCGATGAGACGTCCTTTTATATACGCTGTGATTCTCAGAAGTTGGTAAACTGCAGGCTGCGCGCTAAAAAAACGGAACGGGAACCAGGGAAGTACAGAGTGCAGCGTTGAAATAGGGGGTGTACATTAAACATTAGGAGGGATTAGAAATCCTGAGAAAAATCCGACAACCCCTGTTCATCCAGTGTCCAAAGTTTGAGGTGTTAGTGCGATTACTGATCCAGCCGATGCTGAACCATGGTCCCGCTCTATAGCGTAATCCACTGGCGAGCGGTTAACTCCAAAACACATAGTAAATGCGATAAATTACGACTTCATATCCTAACTACCATATCCTATTAGGATATGTTGTTGAATTCAGTTAATCAGAAAGTATTTCAGGTATGTTAGTGGGCTCTTTCGTTTAAAACCCCACTAAGAAATATGTATTTTACAATTAGGGTCAAAATTACTGCGTAGTTTTTTGTCATATTAGAAAAGTAATAACCGAAGATCTGAGAATTAAGAAATTGTTGGTATCACCAGCTAGGTACTGTGTACACAGTTAAGTGGACGGTGTGTATGCTCCAAAGCAAAAGTCAATTGATTCCTGTTGATACATGTAGATGTGTGTCAGGTCCGGTCCAAAATACCCCTGAATCCAATACGCCGATCCTCGGTGGTCCCAACACCGGCGCCGCAGCTTGGCGCAGGGTCACGCAGCAAAGGAATGTGATCTACCAGTCGCCAGCGGTAAATTGCCGCTTGCTTGTTCTGACAAAAAGGATATGTCCCGACAGAAATATTGATTCTGAGAGCTAGAAAGTCTCTGACAAATTTTGAGATCAAGATAACTCATGGTTGTTGAGACATAAAGTTGTCAACTGTCTCGTTTACTATAGCGTTTACTATAGCATTTTGGAGTTTACCGCTCGCCCGTGTTGACCGGTCGCCTTTGGATTACGCTACACTTTATTGGTGACCTCTCGCAGTCAAGAAGGGAACAGAAAACGTGCACAATTTTGCCGTACCGGGTCACCTGTCGCTGCGGTCTTATGCGTAAACGCATTAGACTGTAGCGTCAGAGAAGGCCCGTCCGCGCTCCCTCGTAGGGAGGCAATGTGTCTGTATATTGCAATGCTGGTTTCTATATACAGAGGGGAGGTGGGAGGGACAAAATCGAGTCTTGACTGCGTGAGAGACGACAAGCTACCACCAGAGGCAAGCAACTGACTCTTCAGAGGCAGTTGTAGGAGGAAGGAGCCCTCCGTAATGTCGGTGTAGATGTCACGTGAGACAGCGTGGGCAACGTGAGGCATCTCCAATAAAACGTCTCCCTTTATCTCATTATTTGCCTCCCTAACGTAGTCAGGAAACAAGTCAGGGCCATGAAACCCCACAGTCAATGCGGCACACCATATTCTGATATTTGTACAATTATAGGGACCCCGTCGTTCCTGTCTCCTTGTGTGAAAATTAGTATGTGGGCTAGTCTGACCCTGCCCACATATTCAATTCACATACGGAACATGTTAACTAAACATTGGAAATACTTTAACCGTCACAGAGCCGCGGTTAACGAGACCGCGGTATATCCTCATTTTCTGATTACATTTCTTCGCACAGCCACTTCGCCATCCGGAAAGTTAGTGTTTTGTAATTTCGGGATGTTTAGTTATCATAAAAGGCGAAAAGGTTGAGTAGCGCGCTGGGGATGTTTCGTGCCTATGGTGAAGGCTTGTTGAGCAGCGAACGGCAAGACCACCGAGTTAGGGCGGGATAATGAAACTTCTGCCGGTGGGACGCGCATCACTGTATTTATGAATGCTCACGCGCCGGCTTATTTCAAACTTGCATATTTGCTCAGAATTTGATCTTGTTCTTTCATGCCCTCCGTCGGCTTCCGAGCGGCTACCAAACACTCTCAACATGCCCCTTTGGCTCATTTTCCACCCCCCGGGGACTTTTGAGGACGTTATCTCTAAGCAAGCTTTGACCAAAGATATAACGAAAATATACACCGGAATCGGTCTTCCGCCCTTTTATGTGGTCGTCAACTTTATTAAGCTCTCAACTGAAGATGTTTGGGTTGGCGGTGAAAGGAAATCGGAGAAGCCATTCATTCGAATCGTTGCCGAACACATTGCTGTTCGGCTTGAGAACGAGGACATCGTTTATAAGCGCACAGCGGACGCATTTGACAAGGCCTTGAAGCCGCACGTTGCCGACAAGGGTTACGAATGGGAATTCCATATCGATGAGACTGAGAGGAGACTATGGCGGGTCAATGGATTGATTCCCCCTCCGTTTGGGAGTGACGTGGAGCAGCTGTGGGCAAAGGAAAACAAACCGAGTGTATGGGACGGCGCCTACTGAGTTCTCAAATCGGCCCAGGGCGTGGTCGTTAAGGTGCTGAAGAATTGCCCACTATGAATGACTTGTCACGCTTATTATACGGCTGCTTCATAGGTTCCCCATGAATCTCTGCTTTGTATTCTGTTGTTAGACATAGCACCTCTTGTCATGGCGCCAGTCGTAGATGACGGGTTGTGCCTGTCCTGGCTGCTCAATTTGGCCGACATTTTGTTGTGATGAGGGATAGGATCTAGGAGGAGCGATGTGTGCATGCCAGCAATTGAGTGATATTAAAGATTGAAGATATCTAAAGTAACCCCTGAATGGAAGCGTGCTTTACACGCTTCCCAATTGTCCGCGTTACCATATAAGGCTTAGTGCGTCTCAGGGGGGATGGCAAGATAGCCATCGGAGCCTCAGCGGCATTGAAGACTGCTGAAATTCAACACATTTCTCAACACCCAATCTCAATCGTGATGCTGAAAACCAATATATATCTTATCTTGCATATGTACTCGTTAGTTAACTTGATTATATATTTGTTGAGGTTCCAGGATAAGGCACCGAATTGATGCCTCGTTCCCAACCTCTGTCGGCATGCCTACCCAGGGAAACCGGAGGCACTGAGTTTAGTATGCGTTTCAACGTTCGGGAGATCTTCATCGAAGAACCCCGATCGAGATCGATTATGAGGGATTTACTACTGTGAGGAGCTTGCCGCCCGTTCAGGGATAAATACACCCAGAATCGCATGTAGACAGTTTAATACAACACAAGTTCAAGTTCCGTCAATTTCATTAAGGTCGATTTGTCTAGCAGGCCCTCATTCTACATTCAGTGCTTCGTCGTAGCCAATCTCAACAATATTAACCCTCTTATCCTTTTCCAGGCTTATTCCTAAAATTTACATATCTTAACTCTGAAGTAGAAGTCATCTCCGCAGTCAGAACTCCCCGCGGCTGCCGCATGCCACCCTCCATGAAAAGATATTTCTCGATACGCCGGGTGTTTTCGTATTACCTCTCTACTATTTGTAGAACTGCTACTGATGTTCCCTAAACTATTGACATTTCGCTTACTATTTCTTCAATGAAGTAGCCCTTCTTTAGCCCTGTTCTGAACTTTGACATGCTAGCTTATAATAATAATCCCCAGACCAGACGCTGCTGTACTCATTATGATATACACGTATTCTATAACTTGAACAAGCCATTAACTCTAACTGAAAACTTCTCGTGAGCTTTCCGAGACTACTAGAAATTTGAATAGAACTGGAGAAACAAGTAAGCATGCAGATATTACCAGCCCCATCCGAGTGGCGAGATCAACCCTAAAATACCCAGTACTAAACTTTAGTTAACTTGAGAGAGTACTATAACAGGATATTTCTCATTTAGCCAACATAAGGGACCGACCCTCAAGGCATCAGTTTGAGGATTTCTTTTCAGCTTCCATTAACCGTGCAACAGTGTTCTTGCAGCTGTTGCTCAAAATGAACTCGTTCCATATATGCGGATAGCGCTTCTTCATGGCATCCTCGACCTTGTCCGCATCTTTCCATTTTTTTACTTCTTCTTCAAATGCGTGGATATACTCCTTTGTCAAGTCGATTAGATACGGCCCATCCAACTGAGATACCCTCTTATGACCAGTGACCACGATGCTCGGCTCCAGCGCTGCAATTTGATCTAATGCATCAAGCCAAAGCTTTCGTTTTTCGGGAGTATTGGCTTCACCGAGATGTTTGAAGCATTCCCTATAAACAATGTCGCCAGAGACCACAAGATCAAGGCTAGGCACATGTAGGAAAGAGGGATTTTCGGTGTCCGAGAAAACGACATCAATACAAAAGAGGCTATGGCCGTCAATAGAAAACTCGCCATTCGCCGGAAGGGCTTCAGGCAAACACTGGCCTTCCGGTAACTGGCCGGGGAACATCGCTTTCCAGATAGCAAGATTGTCTTCTGCCAGCGCTTCCTTGATTCCTTCGACCACAAAAGAGGTTGCGACAGATTTGGCTTCCGGAAAGTCCTTGAGGAAGATTGCCGAAGAAATGATCCCCATGTGCGTGGGTGGTGTAAATGTACTTTAGTTTCTTTCCAGGTGCTGTCCTTGTCACCCATTGCGACAACCCTTTAGTCAGTTCCGCGGTGGTCGGGGTATCGACAAGGACTACCGAGGTTGGGCCCTGAAGCAGGGTGCAACAGATCGAGGACCACAGTTGTTTGACAGGCTCTTCGTAGCCAGTCTCTGCGGGGATGGCTGGAGCACAGTACGCATCCACTTGAAGGAAACTTGACATAATGATGGTTATAGTGGCTCATCTCTCGTCGATGATTCTAATTTTTAGTGGTAAATAGCATATCAACAGGCGCCTTAAGGAGGTCTGAACGATCTTGGGGTGGGAGCGGATGGCTAATGTATAATTGCCGAAGCTTTGGTGCAAAACGAAATCATCCTTTACCCACACCATCCGCTATCGATGACGGCCGGAATCAGAAAGGAGTTATTATTTTTTTCCCACTGGCGGAGGGATTAGTGATCATTTTTAACGGCTCTGATATTCCCCGCACTTGCGGAGAAGGAGTAATAAACAGGATCGAGGTCAACCTTTTTTCGCGACCTTGGATTACCAAGACGATATTCGAATGTCTTCCAAAGGAAGCTGAATTTCCGTCCAAAATGGGCGCAACGTTGTTAGGGTGTGTTTCCTTTACCCCGGAGGAAGTGATATATCATTGGGCTCGGGTTCCTAATTGAAACAGAAGCACCGGGGTGAGCCCCCATTATGGGCAGGCACATACATAAATACTGGGGTAAGCCTCCCCCCTACGAGCAGGTAGAGGAATACAAATCATCGTTATTTTACTGGTTTTTCAAATCGTCTTATTACACTTTGAACACGGCTAGCGTTGGCACTGGCTCTCAAACCTGCGAAGGATTTGTGGAAAACAGCGGTGTCCGAATCCATTATCGTGCGGCAGGTCAGGGGCCGCTACTGCTGCTCCTTCACGGCTTCCCTGACAATGGAGAGACGTTCAAGGCCCAGATGGCGGAATTTTCAAAGAAATATACGGTCGTATGTCCAACCTTGTGCGGATTCCCCTCGAGCGACGTGCTAGATGACGTGGATGCATACGATTTGTCGCATGTCGTCGGCGATATGGTTACAATTATCGGCCATTTCAAGGCTCAAAAAGTTATTAACGGTGGCCATGATTTTGGCGGAGCAGCAATACAGATGTTGGCGATGATGGCACTAGACCGTATTGCGGGATTGATCCTCATCAACAAGCCTATTGTGCCAAGGCTCTATGATCTAGTGAATTTTGATGAAGGGCAGCAGAAAATGCCCGAGTATACGATCAAGTTCATGGAGTATCAACCAGGAAATGAAAAGAATAAGGCGGATGTTGTGAAATTTATACGGGATCCTGCACGTCGGCAAGCAGTACAGGAGTATATGCGTACCTCTCCGGTGCACGGCATGTTCGCCTACTACAAAAAGAACTACCCCGGGCCGCCCTATGGTCAGAAGGTCGATACCTCCCATATGCGTTTCCAAGTTCCGACACTTATAATCTGGGGCGTGGAAGACGAATACTTCTCTCCTAAATTCCTTGAGAAAATCCCGCAGTTTTTCCTTGCAGCTACCCGGCTGAATACGTTGCCTGGAGGTGGCCATTGGCCATTTCAAGAACAGACGGAGAAAGTCAACCAAGAGATCTGGTCTTGGCTGGATGGCTTAAAGCAGGCTTGAAACACCAGCTTTTCGCCTTGGGCCACGGCGGAGTTGTGATTATATGGGGCTGCTGCAGATCAGGGAAAAGTCGGACCATCGGGAAAATTCCCAGGGCGTTTATAGGAAGAAACAAGTTGGCTAGGAATCAAATTGTTCATATCGATATATATTGTAGTGGGGAATTGCCAGTCGACCTTGAGTTTCCCAAAGAGGAAATTCTGTCTTTGTGCCCGACTATTGTGGCATCCTGCCTGAGTGCAATCATAAGGTTGATCTTGAGGATAGTACTAGAATTAGTTCCTACACACATCCGACGATATGAAGAGTTATTGAAAACCTGCTCGATATCTACCATCAACCCATCGCAGCCATTACCACCGCAGTCTCCCTACTTCTGTTTGGTGGTTGGTTTGTCTTGCTTGCGTCGATAGGCCAGTACGACTGGCTGCCACTGCGCGTTCCTCCCTCTTCAATATGTAGCCCCATTTCCTGTCTCAAAAGTCCCGTCAGTCTAAGTCTGCTTTTTACGTAGAACCGGAACAGTTACCACGCCATACCACACATGCATGCACTGTCAATCTTCCTAAACTACTGGTTTGTGTAAATCGCTAAAGCCGTTTTGATTTTATGTAGCGGGGCCACGAAATGTTTACAAAAAGCCTAGAGATGGGAAGGAGTGGAACAAGCAAAACAACCGCAGAGGTAGCGGGCTAAACAGTGGTAGAACAGGAGCGTGCGGGAGAAGGCTATATAGCAGGGCTATATAGTGAGAAGCGGGTGTGAACCATTCTAGTTTGTTTATTATAGGACCAAGTCAATCAGGAAGCTACCTGCATTAAGCACTACTAAGAAAAAAAAATAATGGACGGAAAAAGCCTATCGAAGGGCGAAATATAGCAGCGACTTGCATTTTTCCGTTCTCATGAAATGTAGTGCTATTTACTCGCCAACATCTTGGTGTGCCTCAGCTGGCCGAGGGTACTTCGCCGGACATGTAGGCTCCAGCACAGCCCCAGCCCAGGACCATCGGATTGAATCGGTCAGGGTGCCTTTCTAGCATTGCAGAGTACAATTCAGTCGTACTCTTGGGCTTTTTTTCCAGCAGATCGATAAAGTCCTGGATATATTTCTTCGTTGATCCCAGATGCCAAACGCCATCCATCTCATCCGCGTTTCGATGTCCAGGTACCACATATGCTGGATGGAGAGCCTCAACCCTCTCTACTGCTCTGATCCATTCCTTCCGCTTCTCCGGAGAATTGGCTTCGAAAAGCATCTGATGAACATTGCCGTACACAACATCTCCACAGACGGCAAGTCTCAGGTCTGGAACCCACAGGATTGTTGAATCAAACGTGTCGGAATGCCCGCATTCGATTGCCTCGAAGATCCATTGGTCTCCCAATACAAATTTATTATCCTTTGGAAGCGGTTTCGGCAACTGCTGTGGAGTGTAAAGTTGATTACCAGGGAAAAAGGCAACCCAGGTCGAGGAGAAATATGGTTCGGAGATCTGCTGCTCGATATGCCGGACAGTGCCTTCGGTTGCCACCGGCTGTGCTTCTGGAAAGCGCTGCAGCAGCTGAGGGAGGCCTAGGAAGTGGTCTGCATGCCCGTGCGTGATGTAGATGTAGGACAGCTTTCGTCCCGGTGCAGTTGTCTCGATCCACTTGATCAAGTCCTTGTTTTGATCGATTGTGATCCCTGTATCAATGAGAACGGCTTCGTTTGTTGAGAAAACCAGAGTGCAGGTTTCTGGAGACCATGTCGTATTCTGCTGATGCGACAGGTGGTCAACACAAGGGACCGGAGGGACAGTATAAACAGCTACCCTTAGCCCTGACATCTCGGAAATATGTTATTTAGAGGTGCGAAATAGAGAGCTGAAAAAATGGCCTTAACGAGGCTCAGCATACGACAAGGACCGGACGGTTTTAAAAAGATAATCTTAACCTTCCGAACCTTCTGTCTCCTTAAGAATCCTACGTATATAGATTGGCCCTCGGTTTCGGCCTTGATCACTCATCGAGAACCATGGTTATAAGCTATACATGAGGTATTTCTCGAGTGGTTCAAATAATCTATTCCGATTCCGCAGAGGTATGCACCGCCCGCTGCGGTGGAACCTGTAGGGCTGGACGACATTTCCAGATCATTATTTGACATTACCCCACATATACGTCACGCGCCTTCATAACCGTAACGGCGGGGTAGGGTTGGAAATAGATCACTAATCATAAACAGCCGAAAATTGATGTCTGAGCAATCTGGGGCAGCATAGGCTAATAATCCTGTAGGGCGAACGAAATCCAGGATGACATAAACAGAACTAATCTTGGATGAATAGGTTGATTGATTGAACAGAAGTAACTGACAAACTGAGGGGGTGGTCAAATACCACTAGGACACTTCGGGAAAGGCTTATTCATCGTTCGCCCTAGTTAACGTAATCCACTAGCGAGTGAGACACACGGGCCCGTGAGACAGAAAACCAGCTACTATAATTTCAACCCAATTTATTAAACCAGAAACGCCATTGATTTCAAATTTCTATCTATTAGACCTATCAGGGCATTGCGTTCTTTTATGCCCTATTTGATGACAGTCGCTGCATCGCGGGGGTGCGCGTGTAATTGGCTGGGAAGCTGACGCAGCTGGTTCCGCGGGGGCAGTATTAGGAGCTTCATGAGCCTGGTTCATCGACTCCCTGGCTTCTTGGCCCGTAAATCTCTCCGTATGAGCTACGCGCTTAGTCGTTCTGTTGCGTTTTCGCTTTTGTGTCCCGTTTTCAGCCCGTAAATCGCGGACTTCCTTTAGAAGGATTGCATTAGAATGCAACGATTGCTGATAGCCCTTGAGGAGCTGATCAATAGCTTTATTCGTAGGCGTCGGAGGGCTTTGCGAACGTTTCTTAAGCAGTGCCTTGATTGAAGAGCCCTGTCGATTCAATTGTTTGAGATTTGCCGGCGTTTTAGGGCTCCACGCGCTCGATTGGCTCCCTGGTCGACTACCTGAGGGGGTAGGTGTCTGAAGTTGAACATCAAGCTTTGAAATGACCTGATCGGGATCATATGGTACTAAACCAGCTGCGACGAATGCATTTTGAATAGTCTCTGGTTTAAAGGCCTCTTTGCGAGCTTGTGGGAATGCTGCAAGGAAATCACTTGTCGATATGGTTGACCCCCAACCGTGCTTTGCGCTCAATCAAGCTCCCATACGCGCGCTTTAGGGGGCAAAACAGCCTATATCCAAAGGCTGTAGTAGATGAGACGAATGCGGAGGCATGCAGATTGGAATAATATCATTTTGCTCGCACAATCGATCAAAACGGGGGGTCAAATGACTGCCATGGCCATCGAGAACTAGTAGTCGATATTTACCCCTAGTACGACTAGTAGTCGCAGGGATAAATAGCTTTTCTAGCCATCGAAGCCCAATTTCGTCTGTAGTCCAGCCATTCTCACTGATTTCGATTCTCCAATTGTCGGGTAGGTCATCAAACCATGCATATTGTTGGTACTTTGACGATTTGAAGATAATGCATGGTGGGAGTATAAAGCCCGTTGAATTCACACATTCAATCGATGTGACCCATTCGCGATTCCCTGGCTGTAGAACTGACCTCCGACCATAGTATTCAGCTCTTGTAATGACTTTCGCAGTGGCTATAAGCCCCATTGCGAAGCCAGTTTCATCAAAATTGTAGATATCCTCAGGTTGGATACCATTCTCATCGATCGTGCGTCGTACAAGGTCGAACCATGGTTTAATAACCCTTGGATCTTCGCATTTTGCCCTCTCATAATTATATCGACGAGAATACCGCGATTTGAGCTCATCATAGCGCTCTGTATATCTGTAAACCCAATTGACTCCAACAGTCTGACTACCACGCTCTGCTAGTAGAATATTGGCCATATCCCTTACCATACAAGGCCGGGGAGCTGATCCACGTGTATCCATAGAGAGTATCCACCGTAGGAGCGATTCCTCTTCAGTTGGAGTCAATTTATAATTGCTGGCGCGGGTTTCCGACCGATGAAGTTTGCCATTGTATCGGCGATGGAGAGTTGCGGTAGGTACTTGAAATCGGCGCGCAGCTTCGCGAATTGATCGAAATTCTTCGTTCTGAAAGGCTTGTATTGCGAGCTGGATCCTACCTTCTTGGTTGATAGAATTTTGAGGAATTTGACTGCGAATTGGGGGCATAGTGGGTAGTTGAAATGAGGAGGTTGACGCGCTGGGGCGCGACCGCGGTTTCTGTCTCACGCGCCCGTGTGTCTCACTTGCTAGTGGATTACGTTAACTAACTAACGTAATCCACAAGCGAGTCGATCACACAAGCGAGTCGATCAGCCAACGCGGTCGCGTCCCCCATTTAATCTTCCACTACCTTCAACCACCCACTATGCCACCAATTCGCTCTCAAAATGCCCAAAAACGTGTCGAGCAGGAAGGTAGGATCCTCTTAGCTCTTAAAGCCATCAAAAACCATGAAGTCTCTTCTATTCGTGAAGCTACGCGCCGTTTTGATGTGCCCTTTGGCACGTTATATAGCCGGCTTCGCGGTCAGCAATACCGACAAGAATCACGCGCAAATGGTCATAAATTGACCCAGTTCGAAGAAGAATCGCTTATTGAATGGATACTATCTATGGATCTACGTGGAAATCCTCCCCGGCCAAGCCTGGCTAAAGATATGGCCAACTTACTACTCGCAAGCCGTGGACCTACACCTCCTCCGACCGTTGGCATTAATTGGGTCCCAAACTTCGTCAAACGTCATGCAGACACGATCGCGAGTCGCTTTAGTCGTCGATACGACTACCAAAGGGCACAATGCGAAGACCCAGCTGTCATTGGCGAGTGGTTCGACTCTGTACAGCGAGTTATAGCCAAGTACGGCATCGCCAACGAGGATATCTTCAATTTTGATGAGACTGGCTTCGCAATGGGCCTAACTGCGACCGCTAAAGTGATCACTCGTGCCGAATATTATGGGAAACGATCGATGCTACAACCTGGGAATCGTGAGTGGGTGACTGCTGTGGAATCAATCAACGCCGCTGGTTGGCACCTTCCACCGTATATCATCTTTAAGGGCAAAGTCTTCATCGAATCGTGGTTTGATGACCTTCCGGATGGCTGGAAAATCGACAAAAGCGCAAATGGATGGACTACTGACGATATTGGCCTTAACTGGCTTAAGAATCACTTTATTCCATACACTAAAGGCCGCTCGAAAGGCAAATATCGACTACTAGTCCTTGATGGACACGGCAGTCATTTAACGGCTCAATTCGATCAAATCTGCACGGAACACGATATTATACCAATTTGCATGCCAGCGCATTCTTCGCATTTACTCCAGCCACTTGACGTGGCTTGCTTTGCCCCCCTAAAGCGTGCATATGGTGAGCTTGTCGAAAGCCTAACTCGGAATGGCATCAACCATATCGACAAGCTTGACTTCCTTTCGGCATATCCTGAGGCCCGTCTACGAGCATTTAAAGATACCACTATACAAAGTGGCTTCAAAGCAACAGGATTAGTGCCATTTGATCGTACTCAAGTCCTTTCGAAGATCAATATTCGGCTAAAAACTCCAACACCACCCCGAAGTCGTGGAAGCAACAGTTCAGCCGATTTTATGCCTATAACACCACACAACTCTAAGCAGCTACATCGGCAGGCATCTTCGGTTAAGGCACTACTTAAATATCGATCTCAAAGCCCTCCTACGCCCACCAAAGCGGCCATTGATCAACTGATTAAGGGCTGCCATATGGCTATGCATAGCGCAGTACTTTTAGCCGAAGAAAACCGGGCCTTACGTGCTGCAAATACAAAGAAAAAGCAAAAGCGATCAAGATCCACTCGTCAAATAGCTCATGATACAGCATTAGGTGCTACAGAGGCGCGTGCGTTGATACAGGCCAGCCAACAGCCAGCTGAAGCCGAAGCTACAACCTCCGTGGAGATCGCAAATCAGGCCAGTACGCAACGAACTCGGGCTCCACCAAGATGCAGTGGATGTGGAGTGATAGGGCATAAGATAAATAGATGTCCGAAGCAGTAGCTATTAATTTAATTGCGTTGTGGTGGTAATATATGCAAATCAAAATTATGACTGTAGTTGGCTGATCGACTCGCTTGTGTGATCGACTCGCTTGTGAATTACGTTATTTGCCTTAAATGTGATTACACAACATGCCACAGTTCAACAAGGGAGACCCCTGAGATCGCTCAACCGATCTCAACAACGTTCAATCCATCATCTTATTCTATTGGGACATCTTCAGTACTAGCCAGTACATCAATTCCTCATCCTGACATAATAGATTAATATTTGTTCTTAATGAAAATGGGCGCGGGGATTGGGAGCGCTCACGATTGGTGGGGAGGCGGATGTGGAGATTGAAAGGGTTGGTATTGCCAAGAAATTGGTATTTGACCTGACCAATCATAATAGATTACGAATCTATGCTCTACACCTGGAAAATAGATCTTCCGGTCGGGTGTGGCCCGACCCACCTGTTACTGTCGGCCTGACCTGCTTCCTGGAGGTTTTCGGCCCATGAGCGGGCCGTGTCGAGGTCTATTTTCGATTATTCAACACTCCGGGCCTTTGTTGCAGACGAACGAAATCATCCTCACGACATTTTCCACAATGCACTTTTTTTGAACTCTCCATCTCATTGCTCCCAGTCTGCTTTGTAACACCAAGATCAGCAAGTTCGAATTCTTGTGTCACAAACAACCTATGGCTAAAGCCAAACCTTCTGTGGCCCGGCCACGCAAAAGGGGACGCCCACGCACCGTTATAACTGATCACCAAGACCCGGAAGAGGTGGGTAAATGCATGAGAACATAGCAAGAGTGACAGCTGCTTATCCCGCAAAGAAACGTCGCAACCAGGTTCGGCTAGCGCAGCAAGCCTATCGTCGGCGCAAGGAGACTACGATCACTAGTCTACAAACCCGAGTGCAAGAACTAGAGTCGGGAATCGAGGAGATTATCAAATCCTTCCTATCTTTCAGCAATCTCCTCATAGAGGGCGAAGATTTCAAGCAATATCCCCGTGTGCTCTACGCTCTCCAAAAAGTGACGCAGCAATGCGTGTCACTCGCCAAAAGCGGATGTGACGAATCGGAGCCCGATCAAGTGGATCCTGCTACTAACGCGACAAATAACGCCCCTGGAGAAGGTGTTACAAGAGGCGTAGAGCTGGATCCCAATTTAAACATCAAACAACACGATGCCTTCCCGATAGTTGAACCAAGGACTCAGTCCTCCGTCGCAGCAGCGTCCCAGTTGCCCGTTTCACAGACCCCCAGAGTGCAATCTTCTCATGGGCAAGCCATTCACCCGTTTGAAATCGCCCTAACATCACCTACTATGCAGTTCTCGACTTCAAGTCCGCCTTTACTTAACTCACCGATCGTCAGATCTACCGGGAACGTTATCAGGGAAGGACATTACGCGCTCTCCCATAGCCTTGTTCGAGAGTGCTACGAAAACGGATATCAGTTGCTAATAAGTTCATCTGATGGTGACACAAGGATTCAGGAAATCTTCGGCCGACAACTGACCACCCTCGAGCGTACACACATGATTTCTGTATTTTACGCTGCCGTGCACAAGGAAGATGGTGAGATGATTGAGCTCGAGACCCAAGTACCCAGCTCTTTCTATCCTAAGAAGGACGCATACTATCCAGAACAGATCGCACTATCCAGAAGATGGCATATAGCAATTGAGTCTGGTGCTGATGACTGGCTGGATGCGAGTGGCGTGCAGAAACTTTTGCAGGAGAAAGGACTTATTATTCAGGGTAATGGTTTTATGCATTCTAGCCCGCAAGTCACTTCCTGGTTGAAATTTAATGCGGCTGCCTTTATCAGACGTGAGTCATTGCGGATACAGTTTTACGGCTCAATTTTAACGATATGACAGTCCTCTCTCTTGGGCCCACTTGCGTTGGCCGTGGGCCAATATTCCGAAAACGGGATGTTGAAAATGCGTTACACCTCACCACTTCAAGAAATCTCTAGTCTTTCGATATTGCATATGATTTGCCATGACACTATTCATACTAAAATGTTTTCCAATGGATATTTCGTCTATCTTGAAAAATCACCGATTAGCTGTTATGGCATAGGACCACCACGATAGCGTTCCAATGCATGAAGGGCCTTCGGGCCTCAATTCCCTTACCAATGATGTAAGCGAAAGTGAAGCGGGCCCACATATAAAAGTGACCGCCGCCATGTTAAGTTATGGGATTAAACAGTTTCAATGTGTTCGTCCAATTTCACATCTCTCAAATAGCTATTTGCACTTGGATCAACCGTCAGAGGGGCAATTCTATGTCGACTCAATTCCAGTTAGCTTCACGTTGTAAGTAGGGATATGTATCTTCGTGATTGACGAGAACGACCCAGCATGGGCTTACACGTTACGGTTTCCAATGCGGATTCCAAGAGTATATCGCAAATCCCAAACGTACCGTTGCCGTGCTTAGCGTTACAAGAGCTCACTCTTAGTCTAGTGTATTCCAGGACGAGCCAGGGTTGGGGTTTGTGGTCCTTCTGGTTCCTGGGCCGCCTCCTTTGCGTGTCGGTCGACACGTTCATTGCCGGACACTCCTTGATGAGCAGGTATCCACCTGAGGTGGATTTGACGGCCATTGGCTGCGTGTTGCCTTACCAGGTGGAGGCATTCTTCCAGGTAGACCTGTCCTGATGGCATCCGTGGTTGGCGGAGCGCCTTCAATGCCCCTTGGCTGTCTGCAAAGATGACAAGCCCGTTTCTCGCCTGTGCCGCCCACGGTTCCGTGGTCTCCAAGATTAATTTGAGTGCCATTTCGATGGCACTGAGCTCGGCAGCGTATACAGTGGACGTGTCTTCGCCGCCCATTTGGCTGTGAGCGTGGTGATCCTCGAGATCAACGACTACTGCTGCTCCAATTTTTCCCTCGATCCCACTCCCGTCGGTGTAGAGAATCAAGGGTCTTCCGCTTGGGTCTTTGGATAGAATGTGGTCGTGAGTTTTCACTGCCGTCTCTCTGTCCTCGATGAATACTTCTGGCGGCGCTTGCCATGGTGCCTGGACGAATGCCTTCCGACTCTCCCAGTCCCTCGCCAAAGTTCCCGGGGGAGTCGTAAGGCATCCGCCCGTTTTCCAGGCTTGCGCCTCCATCGGTGTCCATCCAGACCAATCTCTCTCGTCCACCGGTCGGCGTCGTAGCATTGTTGGTGGGACAGCGAATACTGGTCCAGTCCGTAACGGTAAAGCCGTTTCTTTTACGAGGCGGTTCATATGGATCGCAATTGGTGGTAGGTGTAGTTCTGTGTTCAGTGCCTCTGCTGCTGTCGTTCTGAAAGCTCCGCTGATCAGGCATGCTGCCCGCTTCTGGATGGCCACGAACGGTTGACTGATCATTCGTGCCTTCATCTTGCTGATCATCATTGGGTGGTACCAGGCCGATACTCCGAAGAGCATCTGTGGGATTACTACCGCTTGGTAGATCCTGCGCATAGCTGAAAGAGAGGCCCCCCATGTCGAGCCAGCCAAGCTTCGTAGCGCCTGGAGGGACACGCTTGCCTTCGAAATTGCCTTTTCGCTGTGATGCCGAAACTCCAAGTTGGGATCAAGCCAGTAGCCCAGATAGCGTTCCGCCGTCCTTGTCGCAGGTACTGTGTGCCCCTGCAGTGACAGTGGTGTGTACCGAGGCTCGACTTCTTTCGTATTTACGAAATGCACGAGCGCGTACTTCTCCGTGTCGAATACTGAGGCATGCTTTCTGGCCCACCGGTAGGTCAGAGGTTATACAAGAAGTGTAAACCCTTCTATAGTTGTCTGGAGCCCCCCAGAGCAATGGCTACTACTAGATATAGAAAGGACGGAAGGACTTCTATTCTTGATTTCTCTACCATGTAGTTATTGAGAGTGTGAGATGTACAGGATGATCGCGAACGGGTGAGAAGCAGGTGGTATTGGCTATCTGCTGCTATCTTCTGCTATCTGAGAGAGAGAGAAGAGGAAGGAAGAGAGAGCGTGGGAAGTGAGAGAAAAGGTACAGAGTCAGGTGACTGTGGTGACAAGTGAGTACCTGATATATGTGCGCTCAAGTTCATAAGGAGATTCGCTCGTCACCTATTGTATTCGAGCTGATATAGTCCCAAGACGCCTCTGCTCACTTTAGGATATAATTCTGCAGTTTATACGATGCCATTGCGACTAAATCATAAACCTGAAATGGCTGCCCATAGCATAGGTGGTATATGGCGAACAATAGCAGACATTGCGCGCTTCGTGGGCCAGTGTGCAAAAGCACACGGGAGCATCTTCATAGCCGCTTCAATGTATAGTGCTTCCGAGCAGCTCCCCAAAGCATCAATGACGGACTCGCATTCCACAACGCGACCAATAGCCAAGATGAGGAAAGTAAGGTAGGATGTTGCCGACACGGGGAAACACGATGTTATTGCCTGGATCAATTCCTTGGTATAGTCTGCAAGCAGGATCGGGTACCAGGTATGGATCTGTTCCCAGAACGCATTTAAAAGACTATAGAAAGGTGAACATGATGTCAGAATCGCGGTGTCTGAAGTGCAGAGAAACAAATCCACGGCTCGCGTTGACTTACAGATGCATCCTGGAGGTCGACCATCGCGATGTTCTCGCCATATGATTGAGCGATGATTACATCTCTGCCGTGCTCTACATGTTCGAGGAGCACAGGCAGGGATTGCTCGAGGCCAAGCAAATTCATGAATGCTCGACTCTGCATTAACATGAATGGAAAGCCTAGAGAGGCACCAGCGGTTGTAAAAGTAAGAGAGTCCTGTCGCCCATCATGGGAGAGTGAGCTCTGTTGGGTTTGGCCCTGGACTCTGGCGGTGATATGGTCTACTTGTTCCCATGACCTCGAAAGCTCCGCCTTCAGGCTAAGAAAATATTAGAAATCGGAAAATTTCTTTCTTTCGATGGGAATGCCACTCACGAAGAAGGGGGCAGGTCTCGCGTCTCTGGGTAGCAGCAGTCTTTGCCACGTTCAACGCAAAAGGAGCATTTAGGGCGCCTGCCATCATATTTCGTCCGTCTTCCCTAACATGTGTTGCATGCGAGAGCGCTCCGGCGTCTCCGGGTGTCGGGACACAGGAGGTCATCAAGATCCATTGTCTGGTCGAAGGTCCCCGGGTTGGGTGCTTCACGGCTGTTTACACTCTATGATAGAAATATACCTTTGGGAATTGCGCACAGGTGATTTGCCTGGGTTCAAGCTTCAAACAGCAATAGATACACGAGCTTCTTCTTTTGCAGGGTATGGTATATCACTTGTGTGCCCCAGAGGACCAGCGGTCCGCACAAGCGTTCCCAATTATCCCGCCTCATGGCACCTCCAGAACAAACGATGAACATCTATCTCACGTACTGCGGGGAAATGCAACGATGGTAAAGAATACCCGTCGAATCAGGATTCAAAATCTCCACCCGATAGCTTCGAGCACGAGTAGACTTTGACTCCATTCCGTGTGGAGACTCGTCGCCAGCCACTGAAAACCGTGGACTACGAGGAGTTTCGGGCAACAAACACCGAGGGATGGTGTGATGTGCAGTCAATCTCGGGCGTCGAGCTCCTCATACCAAGACGGGGCTTGCAGGGATTGTGCCTGTGATTGGTCAGACAACGATCAGTAAGCCACCCCTGGATCATCCGGAGAGGAGGAGTCCGAAGGCTAGCCCGTGGCAGTCGTCCAGTCCTTTTCGGGACACCGATCGTCCTATCCCGCTTCGCCAATCCCACTCCTTGCATGGTAAGTGCAGCTTGTTCAGGTGGTAAAGTCTAAGTTAGGCTAATGGTAGTGCCAATGGCGTGTCCTCCTGATTCCCTAGACAGGGAAGATAGGCAATATTCTTGGGCTGTGGCGGATCCTATACTTTATGACCGGAATGTACATTATTTTGGGAGGCTTTTTTGGCACCCACAGAGATAATGCTCACACCCAGGTTCCACCTGATGGGAATATTTCTTTATTATAATAAATGGGGCATCGTTTTAGTTATATTTGAAAAGGTTAGTCACAATTCTCCTTTCACTCAATATGTACAGCGCTGGCTGGGCGCTTCAATGAGATAATATCCCCCATTCGTGAAGTAGCACGCACATCAGTAAAGGTCGGGTGGCTCCTATAATCTGAAGGATACTCGACGCGTCAGGAGTTGTCGCATAAATGGTAGATAGAGGAGGGAAGATCGAAGAAGATGCTAACCTAGTGTATGGACTCCGTGAATCCCTTGCCTCACAAGCCATCTAGCACTTAGATTGTCAAGCGCAGTTTTGAAATCGTCAAGAATAATGGTGTCGCACAGGCATTTGAACATAAAGCATAGCTGAAGGATACACCACCTGTCAGCCCTAAACACAAGAGGAACTAAACATTTCCAGCAGAGACTGAAGGGGTGCACACTTTCCAAAAAGGATTGATTCCCAGCGGCATGGCGGATCTGAGTGCTCCAGTCACGCTGATAACGTCAAGGGCAATAAAGACAATGGAGAGGCACATTGAGACCAGCATGAGACCGAATCGAGGGCATTCGCGTACTAACTCGAGGAAACCAAAGTTGTAGTGTGCCTTGACCACCCAAAAGAGGTTGCACGTTGTATAAATCCACCACGGATCGCTGAGTCAAGGGTTGGTTAGTCGACGCAGCCAGGGGCAAAAAAAATGACACCATTAAGACACTTCCTACCGAAATAGTGCCTCCCATGGGCGGATCTTTTCATAAAGAGTAAGATTTATGTTATTGAAGTAGGCGAAGTTCGCGTAAATCTCAGTTGCCCAGTATGGCTGAGCCAGGATGATCGTGCCGACATAGAAGAGCGACAGTTTACGGCCCATGAACGGCCTGTTCTTCATCCACGCGATCACATTGTGCAAAGACCAGGATATAATTAATCCAATCGCGGATGCGGCCAGATACCACCCGTACACAGGGTCCGGGGCGAATATGAATGTTCCGTGGGCTAGGGCCAGAATCAACTATCAGGAAGTGGTTAGTGGGTATATTCCACATAGATGGCGGCAGGCCTACCTCTAGTAAAATCAGCTTGTGCAGCAAAACACCTGATCGCATGTTCGCATAGGTAACCGCAGCCATGATGACCAGTGAACCCGTCATAAAGCCTTGGGACCAGGCTTCCAGGATTAGAGCAGAGTCATCAACTGGGCGTTGAACTGTTCTTTTTGCGTGATCAAAATACTGCACCGAAAGCGTGGATAAACCGCCACTATTCGAGCCTGCCATGGTATGGTCGCAATCACATTGTAGATGCAATACTGTATGCCAGTGAAACAAGCAACAAACGAGTACGCCGTCCACCTGGTTTGACGTAGAACATATGTAGCTTTTCCCCTCTCGTCATAAGCGAGAAGGGAAGAGGTCAAAACTCTCTCCGCAATCCTGAGTGTGGAGAATCTGGAGACTTATCCAAGAAATTGGGCTATTACGGCTAAGTTCTAGAACTCAAGTTGTGGGGATTGAGTGTGGGCAGAAGAAGCGTCTCGCGGAGAGGAGGAGTCGCTCCGCGATGGCCAAGATCGAGCCCTCCGATTGGAGCCATGGGAGGACGCTAAAATACTGTCCAATCACATTGCAGCAAGTCATTGCGGCTAACCACAGGATCCCATTACCCCACTCGCCCACCCTTAGTCATAATTCGCGACGAAGTACTGACTGCAAGAAAAACCTCGGCACTGGCATCCGTGCTACTAGCTCCCTAAGCTATAGCTAGAATGCAGAGTGTCTCGCCATTGGCAGTTCATAAAATAATGCCGCTATATCAGTCGGGGAAAAATCTTCGATATTCATGAGCGGCCCTACGACAATGCTCCCATATATCACGGCATCAGTTTGCGACCACTGTCGCCTCCGCAGAAGGCGATGTGATCGAATCAGGCCAAAGTGCTCATTCTGCGTCTCTCAAGGTGTAGAGTGTGTTCTATGGACAAGCTCCTGACTCTCAGCCCTCACAGTAAGTTGAACCTTTTCCACACGACATCTACCATAGCTTATGTGTTTGTTAGAGATTGGTACAGGAACTCATAAGAAACCGAGAAAGACTGGAGTTTATTGTCAGGATGTCGGATACGTGTATCATCTAGTATCGAGGGACGGCCAATTGATGCATGAGATGGATTAACGAGAGTGTGTCTGTGTGTTCCGATCTGTTGAAAATGATCCAGGGGCTATAAACTGCGTATTACATCACAGTTCTTCCGAGAATGACCCGAATTACCATACAATTACTATTGCAATGTGGGTGGATGCTGAATAACCAAGAGCAGTGGAGAATCCACAGTATTTTACCTCTCTCAGAGTTGACACACCCCCCCAGCATCCGCTCTCATTGCTGAGGTTATTCCAACAAAGTGTGGATATCCTCCATTCCCAGTTGTTGCAGGAACTCGGTGTGTTTCTGTCGTGGGAGCTGCTTTGTTAGGCCGTCCGCGGCCATATCCTTTGTTTCCACCCATTCAACATGTATCCGGCCAGTTTGAACCTCCTGTCGAAGCCAGTGATGGTGTATGTCGACATGACGAAGCTTCGTACGTAAATGAGGTATTTCCCTGGTGAGTATACCAATCGTTTGCTGGTTATCGCAATTGATCGATAAAGGGTGTTCAGGATCAAAGCGGATGGATAAGAATAGGCGCTTCCACATTTCCATGGTCTTCGCGGCTTCCGAAATCGCTAGCAGCTCTGCTTCCGTGGTGCTAGTGGTAACCGTACGTTGCTTGCTGGCACGCCAATCAACTGCTCCACCAAACATCTTGCAGATATATCCTTCTGAGCTCTTCCTATCTCTGTTATCCGCAAATGATGCATCGCTGAAGAAGGATACTGCTTCAATGTCTCCATGTGGACGTGAGCGATACGTCAAAGCAAGAGAACGCGTGTGATATAGATAGGTAATGACCCTGTTGATGGCGTCAAGGTGCTCAGGTCCTGGATTTGTGAGGAATTGTGCAAGCGCAGAGGTTGCTTTTGCTGCATCTGGTCTGGTGATTGTGGTAGCATATTGCGTTGATCCAACTTTCTGCTGATACTCATGGATCTGCTGTCGAGTTGCTTCTCCTTCATATGGCTTCAGTGCCAGTGCTGAGGGCAGTGGGGTGTCAACTTTGCGGCCATTTGTGAGATGGTACCGGCTTGCCATAGAAGAGATATAAGAGTCCTGACAGAGCCAGAGTGCTTTCTCCTGCCGATCTCGAACAACTCGGATTCCAAGAAACCACGCTGCTTCTCCCATGTCACGTAGTTCCCACTGCTCATTAAGCTTCTGGCGCAGTTCCGTTGCGCGTGTACGCTGGGCTGGATGGTTGACGATGATGATATCATCCACATAGAAGAAAACAATGATGCCGTTTGTGGAGAAGAGGCAGAGGTCTTCCTGTACAACTTGTAAGCCAAAAGAAGTCAGGACCTTAGACGCTTCTTGTTGCCATAGCCTTGGAGACTTTCGTAAGCCATAGAGAGCTCGCTTGAGTTTCCAGCACTGCCTCTGTTCCTTGAAACCCTCTGGCATCTCAGTGATGATCTCCTCATCAATCCAACTATTAAGGAATGCATTGACAGCATCATACTGGTAAGTGTCAAGGTCAAAAGCAGCCACTAATGAGAAGACTGCTCGTGCAGTGCGTGCAGCGAGGGTTGCCGAGTATTTCTCCTCTGTGGTAAGTTTCTGGAGATCTCCTCGCACGCAGATTCTGGCCTTGAGCTTGCTGAGATAGCCATTGCTATCAACCTTATAGTTGAACACCCAACGGAGTGGTAGAATCTGTATGCTGTGGTCATTTGGTCGTTGTATGACCTCATATGTGCCTTTCCTCTTGATTGTCTGAATTTCAAGAGCACAAGCTGCCAGGAATCCCTCTCGGTAAGGATGGTTCATCATCTCCTTCCAGTTTCCTGGCTCTGGAGGTAACTCATCCTGATGCACTTGCGCGTGTGTGCGGGAGCTGTTTAATCCAGTAGCGAAGGCTGCGAGTACGCTATCCTCTTCCTTCTCAGAGATAGCTTGAAAGCTGACAAAGTTGTCATCCTCTCTTGTTCGTCGTTTTCTCGTTCCTCTCACAATGTTTCGTTCTGAAATGTCACCATCGATATCTCTAGGTGCTCTGGGAGTCTCCTGTGCGGGTGATGCAGCTGTGAGCTCATTTTGAAGCTGCTCAGCATGGTCATATGACTCCCGTGGCGGTGAGCTAGGGAATGTTCCTGGTGGAAGCGAAGGTGCCCGTTGCTGTGATGCTGATGGCGTTGGTGAAGGTGTAGCCATCTGTCGTCCCTCCTTCTGCTGCGAATTTGTTGCTTTTCCTGCTGAATGTCTTGCTGCTTGTTCATGCATGTTCTCAGCAGCGCTTTCTCTGCTTCCTGCTTCATTTGAGGAAAGAGGGACTATCTGGTGTTGTATCTCCTCTTCCTCATCCTGTTCAGTGATCCAAGGCATTGATTCAATTATATCGCTGACTGGTGGTTTGTCTAGTTCTCGTGGGTTGAAGAACTGGTTCTCATCAAAGACAACATCTCGCACTGCCCGTACAGCTCCTCTCTGTGGAAACCATACTCTCCAGATATTTGAGGCTTCATAGCCAACGAGATAACCGATCTCTGCGCGAGGCTCCATCTTCGCTGCATTCGGGATGCCCTGCTTGCGTACATACGCTCTGCATCCATAGATTCTGAGGTTGGCAAGGTTGACTCGTGGTGGTTGGTCTTGCTGGACATGAAGTGCTTCCTGGTATGGGACAATCCACTTTCCATCTCTCATCCTCGTGGGCGATCTGTTAACTATCCAAACAGCTGCTTTGACTGCTTCTGGCCACAGGTCTTTCGGAAGACCTGCATCCTGCAGTAGTGCGCGTGCTATAGTGACTATCACCCCCCCAGATCGCTCCGCGAAGCCATTTTGCTCTGGCGTTCCAACGACGCTATGCTCAACAACAAAGCCTTCCTCTGCTAGGAATTGCTCTACCGTACGACCTGCTGAACGCTCATTATCATAGCGAAAGGCTCGGATTGGTAGGTTCCACTGGGTCCTCACATATGCACAGAAGAGTGTCACAGCTTGCTGACAACCACTTTTCTTCTCGTGAGTGAATGCTGCATGGAATCGAATTCCATCCACATAGAAATGGGATAACCAGCGATCACCATTATAGGCAGGGTCAATTTGAACAAGGTCAAAGTGTATTCTCCCAAATTTCCCGTATGTGGCTCCCTGTGGTCTTCTTGATATCTGACGTTTCGCAGAGGTGATCTGACAGACCTCACATCGTTCAGGGTTACCATGAGAGTTGTCTTCACTCTTTCCATCAATTTTGACTCCATCCACCATCGCTGGCAACAGTTCAATCTTCTGGCTATATGCGTGGCCTAGCCGACGATGCCAGCGCCTGGCTGATGCTGCTGAAATGAGTGGCTTTTCTGACTGCTTGGTGGCAAAGGCTGCATCAGAAGAGCAGTATTCCATGAAGTATAATCCCTTTTCCTTTCGCACATGTAACACTGGACTGTCGCTGTTGTTGACAATGGCTTTCTTGCTAGGATTCCACCAATATCCTTTATCCTCAATCTTTGAATAGGAGATCAGATTGGTATGGAAGCCCGGGGAATAATGAACATTGGTGAGCTCTACCACTTGAGGCTCGCCAGTTTGAGGGTCCTGGCCTACCATGTCCACAGTGCCATACCCTGTAGTAGCAGTCATAGTATCACCTGTTTTAACAGAGCTTTCCCCTTTGATGAACACTTTGAAACGCCCACGATCATTACAGATATGCAGGGTAGTGCCTGAATCAAGAATCCAGCGATTTCTGAGCGGTTTGGCCACCTGATGCTGACCAGTTGATGCTGCAGCTGCAATGAAGAAGCTAAGCTTCTCTTCTGATACTGCTAATTGAGCCTGCGCTGGTGGTGCTTCCTTCTTTTGCTCCATCAGCTGCTTGATCTTCTGTTGATCCTGAGGGCTCATTTGCTTGATAGCATCAGTTAAGCGCTTCGCAATTCCTTCTCTTGGCTTCCAGTCGTCACTTCGCAGGGTCTCATCAATATACCAGCACTCCGAGTAGTGGTGTCGAGGGTATCCGCATGGGCACTTCGTTCGATAAGTCTTCTCTGTTTTCCCAGTTGGCTTTGCCTCTTTCTGACCATCCAGGGTTGCGAAGGCCATCTTCGGTTGCTTCTTTCCAGAAGTGAGTGCTAGATCTCCACGGCGGCTACGATAATCGGCAATAACCTCATGAAAC